GATAAGTCTCTGCTGGTCAGGAGGAAAGCCTTCCTTGTCCTGGATCTTGCTCTTCACGTTATCGATGGTATCGGACGATTCGACCTCCAAGGTGATGGTCTTGCCAGTCAAGGTTTTGACGAAGATTTGCATACCGCCACGAAGACGGAGTACCAAATGAAGTGTCGACTCCTTCTGAATGTTATAGTCGCTCAAGGTGCGACCATCTTCAAGCTGCTTGCCAGCGAAGATGAGACGTTGCTGGTCAGGTGGGATTCCCTCCTTGTCCTGAATCTTGCTCTTGACATTGTCAATGGTATCGCTGGACTCGACCTCAAGAGTGATGGTCTTTCCAGTAAGGGTCTTGACGAAAATCTGCATGGTGAATAATCTGTGAAGATGATCTGTGTTGTTTGGAGTATTTGAGGTGTAATTGTTCTTCGAATGTGGTTGAAGAAGATGTGTGGAAGGTAAAGAGTTGGAAAGAGGCAAGATAGGTTTAAGTACGACAAGAGTCATAGGCAGGCGGTGCGGGACAGCAAACGGCGGTGGCTGAGAAGGTGCTAGCGCAATCTACTGTGGAACTTTCCAGTCGCCTACCTGTATCACCTTTCTGACTGCAGTGATTTGCTTTGTCACGTTGTTCCTACATCACTTTTGTGAGTCCACGCAAGAAATTTTAGAGGCTTGCGCTTCGTCAAACGCTCTTTAGACACATCTCTTTCTACCAGCGGCATGTCTTTCCGAGCACGAGAGATGTGCTTCGAGTCTATGATGGCCGGGTGGCGATTTCCCCAGCTTTCATGAAGGGCGATGACGACACTGTCATTGGCTGCGGCAAGCGCTTACGTGACAAACTTCAGTCACTATGAATTCTTGTGCTTTTACCACAACTGATTCACTTCCTGGGCTCTGAACTGCTAAAACTCGTATATGTCTCGTATAGTAAGTGAGCAAGCGTGTAGTTGTTCAATCTTGCATAAGGTCTAGTCAATATGCCCTTTTCCACGGCAGGCTCGAGGTATGAAACAGCGATCGAGTCTGATAGCGGGGCAAATTGGGATGTCTTTCGGGTGAAACTTGAAGTGAGTAAGGTGGTGAAGGTTGCCTATGAGTGAAGTCCCATGTACTCTATGCTAAATGCATACGTTCAGCCAAGATTCGCACGTACTAATCACCTGGTTCTGATTCATGCCTTCTGATGCCAGCTATAGTCAGGCATAGCTAGACGAGCTAAATGATCTGGCAACCAAGGCTCATCTCGTGTCTCAAAAGTCCCATCTATCACCATCCTGGCAAGTTTTTTTTACAACCGGTAGGAGCGGCAGCACGTCTCTCAAGGTAGAGCTTGATTGGTCGAGGCACGGCGAGCTAAGACTCGGTCTTGCACTTAGAGTACTAGACTCCAGCACTGGCAGCAGGCATCCATCTATTGATCGCGATTGCCTCAGACGCTGTTTCAACCTCAATGGTGTTCTGCCATACATCTTTGATCGATGAACATTCAGCACACATTGTGGAATCAAAGCTGTTCTATTTTGTGGCTTATCGTTCATGTTCTACCAGAGACCTCGTACTAAGCACTTGAAGGACTAGCTTTGTGTTACCATACTATATGTTATTGCGTTGACTACTACCTCACCTTGAGATTCGCTAGTGAGCAGTTTCTGATATACCGAGCTGAGTACCAAGCATTATAGAGCCACGTCTTGAGGAGGCTTCATCGATCCCTGCTCATGAACACGGCCAATCTTTCACACCAGCAGTCTTGACGCCAACAAAAAACAATTCTAAATGGCACACAACTCACCTGTGCTGAGCAATACCACTAGCCACGACCACGCGTTTCAGGCATGGACTGGCTTGGTCGAAAGTCTACCACATGAAAGTGACACTTGGCCGATATCTCAGAGTTCTAATGACGAGCGACCACGAGATACCGCAACAAACACTCGTGCGATTGACCACGCAGTGCAGGACACCTTTGCACAATTACTATCCCGACTAAGCAACCAGTTGGTCCCTATTGTCGAAGATGCCGCAGACACGTTGATCTATTTGGGCACTCCCCCACAACTACCTGACCAGCTTGACTATGAGCACGAGTACATCGTCCAACAATTTGAGCGTCCATATCTTATGCGAAGCAGCACTCTGAGAGCACTTTCTTCCTCGAAATTCGACAAATTCCTTGGACCAATGTCTGCAAGAACAGAACGCAGACTGAAAAAGCTGGGCGTGCATAAATTTGTCTCCAATCTTGACACTATCAAGTACTATATTGACCTTAGTCCAGCAATAAATGATGATGAAGCCCTGATCCAGATCACAGAGTTGACCGCGCCACAAGGAGCTCTGTCATGGCATCTTCATGCCGCAGACTTCGGTGTTTCAGTGAGCCACGTATGTGGTAGAGACAGGCTGGAAATACCGCCGAAGGCTTCCTTCAACACGCAGATAGCACGAGAGTCTAGACTCGGTTCTGTGGATTTAGAAATGCCAGATCAACTCGAAGGACAATCTGAAGCAGCAGTAAAACTTACCGACATACCTGATGAGAAGCAAAAATCGTTGTACGATTTACCTCTCGAAGAAGAGTATAGTTCTCTTCGCCACCATGTCGCCATTGCTCGACTCCTTCACGCCATTGTCGGAAATGATCCTAGACTGAATTCTGCGCCCAAAGCCTGGACCTTCTGTATGCTCGCAAACTATCTTGGATGCGCTCAATCGCCCCGGGTGAATACTTGGGTGACTTCATGGTTATTGCAAGAAGGCAACATCAATTTTGTTCAAATGAACCCAGACATCGCATACCGCATGGCTATGTCTATGCAATCAGTCTGGCTATTGAGGTGCACTTTTACGATCATGGTAGGTCAACAGGCTGCACTCGAGGGAGCTGTTGACGGTCAAGCTCCGCCTCTTACGAGCAACAGAACAGCCCATCATGTCGCCAGCTGTCTTGACGATGACGAAATCAATAGAATTGATCATGCAGCATCAACTCTGATCCGCCGTGTGAAAAGTGCGCTTCTTAACGTCACTAGTCACCCAGGCGTGTGGCATTTTGAGGGCGTATTTGGTTCGGAGATGGCAAAGCTGAACAATATCGACCTTGTAGACTCAGAAATTCAAGGCGTCCATGAGACAGTCGTACAACATCTCAAGTCTTATTTCCAGCGGATGATGTTGATGACCTTGAGCGATGCCTACGATCTTTCAGGCAAAGGCCCTTCGCCACAAAGATTGTGTGACGTTCCTGAGATTTATGCTCAATCGCCACCTTCTGTCAAGATCTTATGTAGATTCTTCTGGGAGAATCTACGACACGAGGAGTATACTAGGGATTACGTAGATTCGAATAAAAACAGGGAGATATGGGACAGAACACTTCTGCATCTGCAACAGCAAGACTTTGTGCCTGACAACGACATTGCTTATGTCTCAAAGCAGCAATGTCTGGATGTTATCAGAGAGCTCAATAAGCTAGTCCAGCACCTGATACACATGGAAGAGTCGGACGCACACTCGAAGGCTATTCCAGCAGTGACCTCTCGTATTAAGCAAGAACAGCAAACTCAGCGGTATCGCGACTTCATGGCGTTACAGCCGAGTTCACCAGCGAAAAAGCGGAAAACCTCAGAAGATACCCCATCGACTCCAAGTAGTTATAGATTTGACAAAGACGAGCTACTAGCCACCAGGGATGACTCGGAGGAGAAAAAGCATATGGACAGGAGTTGGAATGCTGGTACCTTCGCAGAAGCCCACGCCAACGATGGAAAGTCCATCACTGAAAGGGACCCCTACCGAGCATCCTCTACTGGAGAAGGAACACATTTACAGACCGCCAGACTGTCGGACCAGGAGCACGCGCTGAGTTTGCGATTCAACCAGTCGATACTAGCATCTGCAACTCCTTCACTGCAAGTTTCGTTGCAAGGACTCCCATTTCGGCAAAAGCAACCTCCCAGGTCTCAGCCTGTTATTCCGGACACCCATCAGCTCATTCCAGTGGGTACCATCGAACAACGTCGAGAGATGTCCTCCGACACCATCTCTCATGCATACACTAACGACTCGGCCCTCGATGATGGGGACGCTGAGCCCTCTACCTTCTCAATCTCCTCCAAAAGAGCTCATACCAGTGATGACTTCTCCTCGATCCCCCAAGACAACGATACGCTCGCCGCAACAACCCGCAATGTCATCGACCCAAATAAACCTCTAGGACTAGACCGCTCCTACGATACGCGCCATCGCACGATCGACGGCATGACCCTCCTAGGAAGCATCTCCCGACACATCAAAACCCGACTAGAACCCATGGTAAGCCCTGGCTACGTCACCGACGGCACGTGCGACTTCGACATCCCTGTCAATCGTATCCCTACACTTCTCTGCCTCACCGAAGACGAGTACAAATACCTACCAATGTGGGCTGGTGGTCTCGATGACGGCAGTGGAGGTGTATTTGATGATGGCATGGAAGTTCCTGATGCGCCGGATACCGCAGAAGGTGGCTTTCGAGGTGGTGCTATCGGTATTATTCCTGGTGTTGGGAGTTCGCTGGGAGGAAGTATGGCTGGAAGTGAGTTTGAGGATATCGGTACAGAGGTTGGTATCAGCACGGTAGGGAAAGCTAGTCGGTATGCGACGGATGGAACGGCTACGGAAACTGTGATTAGTTTGGACGACTAAACGAGAGGGATGAGGCGAGACATGGACCAATTGCAATTGTGGCACAGCCTCGTCGAAATTGTTTGTCCCGTTGATTGATGTATTGCCTACAGCAAACGTGGTGAGTCTATATGAGCAGGACCGACATGTTAGGTGTCTTTAAGTGCTTGTGGATGGTGGCGTTAATGGAGAGCACAAACATGTCGAGTTAAGAAGGCGAATGGGCCGTGCCACCAAAAGCGTTGAGAAAGGACAATCTGTTTGATTACAACAACTGAGTCGAAGTATTGTCGAAGTATAACAAATTTCATTTATTCACAAACTGTATTGAACAACACTACTACAACGAGGTCACACACACTAGAAGAAGCAAATAGTTCTGATCTCCACACTCTCACGAGTAGGCGCTCCTTCTCGTGTAGTAGGATCCTCAAAGGCGGAGTGACCTACAAAGCGTGCCCTGCCATCAGTTGCATTATCAAACGTCTTGAGCAGGATGACTTGTTCAGGAGAGATCTTTGGAAAATACCACCACTTATGGTTGTCGGAATGCTTCATGACATAGTTCTCACCGTTGCGATCACGGTAACGTAGGTAGAGCTTAAAGAAATCCTCGGAGGAGGAAGAAGTGACGTCGCACATGGCAAGTGGTCGTTCTTCAACGACGTTTCGCACGGGCTTCCAAACGTTGATGAACGCTACCCTTCGGGAGAGGAGGTCATCTGCGTCGTCAGGTAGGAGCTGGCGGACTCTGACGGGTCCGCTCTCTGCAGTGTAGTCACAGTGCACGAGCATGACAGGAGCTCTTTGGGATGTGTTTGTTTCTTGCGTAAGCTTCTTGTCTACATTCTTCTGTGTCCTAATTGTGTGGTCAAAGACGAGGACTCTTACTGCGCCTAGCTCACGCTTTAGAAACTCGACGACTTCAGGGTAAAACTTGTTCTTGCAAGCGTCTTCGTCTTCCCATTGCTCGAAAGAAGTCTTGAAGTCTTGCACGCTGAAACCGTTCTTGTCAATTGTGAAATCTTTGACCTTTGACCAGCCATCATGAACAGTCACTTCGTGAGGAGAATCGCCTGGCTCATGAATGTCTTTGGCAGTTTCAGTGTCGTAGAAGTAGAGCTCGGTCAGTTTGGGGTGGACGTCTTTGGTGTAATTGAACGTCGCCCTAACTTCGCCCTTATGAACCCCATTAGCTGTGCACCCGTTTGCATTAGAGGCCGTACCTGGAAGCAGAGCTTTTTCAACGGCACCTTGAGTCTTCTGCCAAGCTGGGAGCTGCTCGATACCTTGAGTCATCCATCGCTTCAAGTTTGGATATTTGTCAAGTGGAAATCTCGAGGCCTCGTGAAGATGCATAGGGCTGGCAATAGCAATGTCCGCAATCGTGACATTGTCTCCAGCAATCCACTTGGTCTTTCCAAGTTGCTCGTCCAAGATTGCTGCGAGCTTGTTCCAGTTTGGCGCTTCTTTCTTGATAACCTGCTCGTCTGGCTGAGCGTTAAGAAGTGGCTTCACCACATACTCAACTAGATAGACGTAACAGCTTGGGAACCACGATGAAGTTTCCCAGAGAAGCCATCGATTGACGTTCGCACGCTGCTTTAGATCTGCAGGATATGCAGATTTGGAACTTCCAACATCAGCACCGTACTGTAGGATAGCGTTTGATTCTGTCAAGACCATATCACCATCAACTGCGGCTGGTACTGTTGCAAAAGGGTTGATCTTCGTATACCAGTCTGACTTCTGCTCGCCCTTGAAGTAGTCAACCATTTTGACCTCATGGTCGGTACCCGTGAGGTCAAGGCCAGCAAGGACCTTCCTGCAATTGATTGTGCATGGATCGAGGTACACTTCTAGCACCATGATTGCTAAGGCTGTGTTGTCTGCTACCAAGGTGGGAGATCTGATGTGTCTGGAAAGTACGTGCAGAAGTGTTCGTGCTAAGCTCTCGCTCTCGAACGACTCATGAGGGCACTCATATTGGAATAATCGTGCTGTAAACCCCGCAATCTCAACTACAAATCTGGTCTAGACCATGACATAGATGGGGAAGGGACAAAGTGATCAGCAATATTCTCAGCTTCTGCGGGGGGGTGGAAGTGTCTGCGTCTCGGAGAACTGGGTTTGACGCATGATTTTCGTCCAAAGGGTTTGATCTCTGAACAGATTGCAGCGACTTGTCGCGAAATATCGGAAACCACAGCTAGACCGATTACGGCGAGCTCAGTGGGGAAAGCACGGACAGGATCGTCTTTCTCAGAGAGCCATTGACAATGCTCAACACTGAAGCTAAACACGATGTCTACTAGGCCCTGGGTGGTTGAAGTGTGAAAGGAGAGAAAAGTAGCAGAGCTCAAAGAATCACAACCCGAACGCCAAGGGAAAGCGCCGAGAACGAAGAAGACCCAGTGACGGGTCCTTACTACCAGTTTCGTTTAATTCGCCTCTCTTCTGCACTCAGCATATGAGCACAAGGGCGAAGTAACACTGAGGTGCTAGGCCGTGATTGTACATGTTAATGCATGCAAAATATTCTATGTTGATTGCGTTCAGTATACAAAAGTTTCTCTAGCACGATTGTTAGTACAAAAGAGGATATCTCAACAAACAACACCTTGCTTTTCACAAGCTATATCCTGCCACCCACTTTCTTCACTCCTCAACTCTCTTCGACCCATCTGAGGCCGCCGTCGATTTGTATTCCATCTTTAACCCACGGTAACTCTCGAATTTCAGACAGTGGTGTACGTCGTGTATTCCTCCTCAGGAGGCCTTCCACACACTTTTTGGCTCCTTCCAGCTCTTTGCCCTTTTCTGGATCCCATTCGTTATCCTGGTCTCCGTAACGGACCCAGCCCCATTCACATCGGGCTATACGGTGTGGTGTGCGCGCCTTGAGTACAGCTGGATCACCACGCACTCCAGGTAGAGGGTCGAATGGCAATCGCCCTTCCATCAATGCATACAAGAGCACGCCTAAAGCCCAAGCGTCAGTTTGTCGTCCATCATACGGTTGGCCCATGAGAATTTCAGGAGCCGCATAATCCTCACTACCACATCTTGTCTCTAACAGAGGACTTTCTGGTGGAGGTGGTATAGTTCGTGATAAACCTAGATCTGTCAATGTGACTGTGGCACGATCGAGGCTTTGCCAATCTTCGATGTCGCTGTGGACTTGAACTGGAATATTGAGCAAAACATTTTCGAGTTTGATATCGCGGTGCACGATGAATTTCTGGTGCAAATAACGGACCGCAGAGACTAGCTCGGAAAAGATCCGTCGGATCAAGGATGGGGTCAACACTTCACTTTGGTTACTGGTCAGGTCGAAAAGGTCACCACCAGGACAGTAGTTCATGACCAGCAGAGCTCGGCCATCTGAGGTAGTGCCAAAGGCTTTGAGATGCACAATGGAGGGATGCTGGATTACTTTCATAAGCTCGACCTCCCGTTTCAAAGAGACTTCAATTCGATCGGCGTCCGCACCACCAGCTGGACCTGGCTCAACTACTTTCACCGCAACTAACCTTCGGGATCGTGCTCGGACTCCTGCCATGTTTGTGCTTTCCTGTCGATAATCAACGCTTTCCTTCTTATCGACCACCATTCGCACAGCAAGAAAGACTTTACTGAACGTTCCCTGACCTAGCAGCTTTACTTTTTCGTACGCTCGTGGCAAGCTAGAATGAATGCTCGTAGCGTGATACACCTCTGTTTTAGGTCTTTTGCTGGGTGGTTCATCTGTGTGAGAAATATCGTGTACGCCATCGTTGTTTGAAGAGACCTCATGTTTGGGGACAGTCGAGGTAATGCCTCTCTGATTACCAAGATATTCCTCACGATGCAGATTAGGGGGTTTGTGGTCGAGATCGGGTGGAGGGCCTGTGGTTGAGACAGCATGCTGACGGGGCTTCTGTGGCAGCATAGGTTCAGGTACATATTCGCTGATACTCCTGTTCCGTGTGTGGGAGCCATCTTCGTCTGTGCTGCGCTCACCACTCGATCGAGGGAGCGGAGGTTGTAACCCAAAATATGATTTCTTCCGTGGTGACGAGGGCGATATCGTCGAAGTACTGGATATGTTCATGACCAATGGTTCGGCTCTTGAGGACGTTGAAGAAGCCCTCGAGCGAGTTCGCGCCAGCACCCTCCAGCTTTCGAGGGGCGCCATTATCGGCGAAGGGAGTGGAGTAATGTCTAGCATAGCGGCTATCTGGGGAGAAGAGATAGTTGATCCTGGTGAAAGGGAACCTGCAGTGGAGTGCAACCACGAGCGGATGCTCGGTACGCGACGTGCAAGACTTGCTGTCGAAGCGCTGGACACCAGGCGCAGTTCTTGGTCTTCTGAGCCTACCGAAGACCTCCGGCGCAGATGATGTAGATCAGTTTTTATGTGCAGATCATGCGGCATGTTGCCCGTCTCTATGTTTGTCGTTCCGTCGTAAAGAGTCGGTCGGAGCTCAGCATTTTGTTTGAATACATCACGGTTGAGCTTGTGCGTTTGACTCGTCCTGCGAGCACTGGTAGGCGATACACGGTCATGATTGACAACGGGGAAGCCGTAGCCGATATCTTCGGTGGGTAGTCGAATGCTCGGTGTTTTAGAGGAATTTGGCGGTGATGGCTTATTCTCTGTCAAAGATTAGCACAATACCAGAGTGATAGGCACCGCTTTGCCTACCAGGGTGTGAATGCTGTGTATGATGGGCATTGCTCAGGGCCTGGCCGAGGCTACTAGCAGTATTGTCCATGCCCATTGTGGGCATTTTCGATCGATTTCCAGTCCTCTCGAGCTGAAGATCAACAGCTTGTTGTGTGGTCGCGATGATTTGTGGCGACCTCAATAGCAGCCCCCATCAGCGTCTTGCTTGAGAGCGGAAAAAATATAGAGGGGCTGTTTCAGCGCGTCGTGCTAAAATAGGACCTGCGCAGAGACATAACATGAGTGCATAACCGACTCGAGCTTTAGGTAGCCAGAAATGATCCGGGACCTATTATATTGCTTTACCAGACATACAACCTAACGTCAACTTGGGATGTAGCGGAACAGTGTAGTGGTTCTTGCACAGGCAAGCAAGTCGTAATGGTTGCAGTTAGTTGGACACAGAGGTTTCTACTCAGTTGCACCGTGACACGCTAGTACTAGTAGTAAAGGTAAAGATGGAGCGCCTCGTCCACATACGCTCAAGTGACATGTCGCGTTCGCCTCAAATGACATCCTATGCTTCGATAGTTGTTCAAATACTTTGGGCAAATACCTGTGGACGATGAAACAGATACATCACTACGACTTGTAGGCCTCTGATTTCATTTTAATATGTCACCGCAAAATTTCAAGACGCAATCAACGCGTTGAGCGCCAAGTACGACCTCCTGCTTTCCTGCTCCCTGCTTTTACGCTCAGTAATGGCAGTATTGTTCCTCGACATATATATGTACTTGTGATATCGTCCGACCGTCTCACATTCAGTTCTGTGAAGACAGTTCTCACGACCTTTGGATGCGCCTGTCGACACTGCAAATAGCTCGAGTCCTGTCTCCAAAAGAGCTACAACGTCGTCTTTTTTGACTGGTGTAAGGTAGGTTATGCTCCTCCATCTGATCAGGTCAGTCGTTTCGAACGGGGTGCATAGAGACTCGACACACCTTCAAAGTGCTCTTCAGTAGCACTGGTCACTTCGAAAAGGTTTGTTGTGATCGCAGGAAGCACTCTCCCTGGGTGGGTTCTGCTGTGTGTTAGCCTTTGACATTCTTGTTCTAACCGTGATGTACCCTTTCATATCAATGGCTGTCAACCGAAGCCTATATTTACCAGGCTTGGAAACCGAAAGGTTAGGAAACGAGGCAAACGCGAAACCATCACCATGGTTTTCGACATGCCAATGAACAGAATCTGCTCTTTGGCCTTGAAGGGGATCCTCGTTTGATAATGCTCGAGAATTGCTATCCATTAAGGACGCGAATATCCATACACCATCTAACTCGTGAGCAGTATCAGATTCAGCATGGTGGCCAAAAACTGCAGTAACAGGTACGGTGATCCTCTGACCGACAGTGAGTTTCGAGGGCAATGGGCCTGCCAGTCTCATGCTGACTCCGATAGGATAGGCTCCGTTCTGTATGTTCATCTCTTCAGGTACCTGAGCTTCTGTGTGGGAGTTTTGTTTGACTGCGGCTAGACGAGCGGATCGCCGATGTTGTTGCACTACCTGGTATTAGTAGTGGTTGTTGTCCAATGGTACTCGACCTCACTTGATGGTTTCCCCTCTACCTCCTTCTTTCTACTTGTTGCTCGACCCATCACAAGGAGAACTAATCACGGTAGAATACGCTCCATGTTCTTACAAGGTCTGACAAGCTGTATATAACGCTCTAGTGCCTACGTATAGGCTTCACACCATTTAACCTGCCTTGCTTTAGTCGATACGTGCTTGGCGAGTCAGCACTCCTCCATCTGGTCAATAACTCGCTGCGTATCAAGCACAATCTGTTAGACACTAATACCTTATACACCGGTTTCAGGCTCAGCATGGAGCAGGATTCTTTTCCTTGGCACAGAGCGTCAAGGCGGCGTGTGTACCACTACCACGGTGGCTTTGCAGCCACTAGAAAAACCGACAAGGTTTATAGGAGGATATATCGCTCCAACCCTCCACACCCGCAAGCGTAAACGCATCACACCCTGCTTACGGATACAGCTCTCATTGCAAAGGACATATTATTGACCTAGTAGTAAAGATTGTGCCAATAGATAGACACAGATTTGGGACCTTTGAGAATCCGAATGGACGTAAGGCGATCTCGCCTGCATACTGTCAGATAACCGATCCGCCAGGTCGGATCTATTTGTCAAGCCTCGTCGCGGAAGCATAAAGTCCGAGAATTTCTTCGTTCGTTACTAGTATATGAGCAGAGCTGCCATTCGATGCAGCAAGTACCTTTAAAAGAGGGACGTGATCGTTCCCCGTGGACTACATGATAGCCACCAAGTTCTGTTGGAACCATACAGATTACATTCCGCGAAGATTTTCCAGATCGGGATGATGCGTTACTCCAAATCTGTCTATTTTCACTCCTCGCCTCCACACGACACCTTTTGGGCTCTGGCGATCACCCGCTAAAGCACGTACCTGTCCAAGCTTGTGGGACTCTGGGGGCTCGATCTCGGAACAGCCTATCCTGGAGCACCTTTCAAGACTCCCTCGCAGAATGGGTGAGAACACTTGCGTTACTATACACTGGAAGTTTCTACACGCTGGGAAGAAATACACGATTTACTATCGACACCATGCTAAGATGTATTCGAACCCAGGAGCCCCAGCGGCGCACTCTATCTAAGTGTAATACCTCGATCCCCGAGAACATCCCGAGGCAGGTTTCCATTGAGGTTCAGCATAATCACCGGTCCTATAGCAAGACTATGCGTTCGTCGTCAAAACGGGATTGTGGTCTAGCCCAGCTGACCATCGATTGGTGGGCTGCAAATAGTCGGCATAAGATGAATCATTATGGCTGATAATTAGCTCGTCGCAAACAGCTACAACGCCGGCGCCTCTTAGTGCGTATGAGATAAGAACGTCAATTGGTGGGCTGAGTTCCTGAATTGTGGTCAGAAATCGTCGCCAAAGATACACCCGCCATCTGGCATTACGTTTCCACATACTCATAGTTTAGAGAAGACCTCAGCGCGACATGCTTGATTCTTCTTTACAGTGTGCAGCTCAAGCATGAGTAATCGCGTTGTGGAAAGGTTACGTAGCTGGGAGTCGCATTGGGACGCATGTTCGACTAGGGTGACAGTGCGGTGACACTGACTGATGGGGTGTGGGCTCTGGCTAGCAGCCCGAGTACCTGTCTATCGGGGCAGCCAAGCCAAGCTCTCAGTGATTTCTGAGTATACTGTGCAGTTATTGTATGTCACCTCCTAATGCTATTACTGCTCTACTAATCGCTCTCAGATAAACAGTACCTTCCATCGTACACGTCACAACGCCCGTGTCGCCAACAATTTTGGCCTGAAGCGAGGAAACTCTCCATTCAATCACCATTTCAGTTTCGATGCGGACACCACTAAAATGACTTGTCAGGTTTTCGGGTTTTGCAGAAGCGTGCCATCCCTAGTTGGCAAGTTGTTCCGAGTACGATGCTCAATGCATGTGTTCTTTGGCAGGCACGCTTGAATGTTTCTCCAGCCACGTCGCTTCCACATGACCACCTTGAATGATCTGCTGCATATGCAGGTGCAGGATGCTTGTTAATGAAGCAAATAGTTTGAGGAAGACAGGCTCGATTTCTTGATTGCCTAACACAAACAATCTGCTTCGTCGTTGTGCCTGTGCAAGACATCCGGCACATCAATGTGCATACGCTCTGCGGGCAGTCAGGGCGAAATGCCCAGGTTCGATGATAACATATTGTCGCTTCGTACACAAGAATCGAGCAGAGAGCACAATGCACCGTATGTGACTCTGGCGTCGACTTCTCAGTCACTGTTCTGCACTACTTTTCTGCACAACTGTTCAGAAACCGCTTTGGCGTTGCACTCAGCACAAAGCTGGTCGCGCTTGTAATCTAGCACTGGGATCAGTTGACAGCTTCCTAGGCTCAGCTTGCGGACCCCGTCACTGACATTCGTGAGGATTTTCGCGACACCGATCGACCGTAGATCATGTGGACAGGATCGACCTGCTGTCGTGGCTCTCATGGACGTATCGTAGCACAGTCCGCAAATTCCTCACTTTGATTCGAGTTTCGGCTTCTCGTGGTCAACGTCAAGTACGCCTTGCCGGCAATACCCAACCGCACCCTCCATCCACAATTTCGCATACTGCCGATGAGCCCATGGCATGAACCATTCTCCCTCCATTGGCGCTTGCTCCGTTCTACCCTCTCCTTGATAGAAGACACTCTTCAGGCTAAATTCTGCGAATCCCCGGTCGAAATCAGCCTTGGCACGCATCTCGAACAAACCGTCCCCTGGACGTGCTGTGTCAGGGTTCTTCAATGGTGAGTCACCACAACGGAAGAGGATAGTATTCGGATCGGGTCGCGAGAGCACAGCAAAGTGATCCGTTAGTTCGGTTCCTACAGGATAAGTGCTCTGTCGCAACTGAGGTTTCGTCCATAGCTGGTGAGAAGTCGTTGTCTCGTTCCTGTACTTGAAGGAAAAATACTGTCTTTGTATAGCGAAGCCTAAAGAACACACATGGTCAGACAAGTGTACGTGTGGACATGGAAAGACTGCTCAGGCTGTGGATGTGGAGATAGGTCATGAGCCAGTGCTTCAGTCATCACAAGTTTGATTGCTACCAGCCAGAAGCCATCAAAGCTCTGATCTTGCTCGAGACACCTGATTGACCACATTGCTTTCCTCATCCGAGCAGAGATCCCAGTGCTAGTCTGGCGGTTCGAAACAGATCATAAGTCCATCATCAAAAGAGTGAAGCAGACAAGACTACAACTTACCCCATCCACCCCAAACTCCTTGCGCAAACCTTTCCACCAATTTACTGCCACCCTGTTCAGCATCCTTGGCCAGCTCAGGGTCCAGTTTCGTCAGTGGTATCCTTCTAACACAAACATCGTAAAAAGCTGGGTTCTGGTTGGGATTAAAACGCCTGTAGAATGTCGAATGAAATGTGGAGTCCGTTGCTGGGTCCATAGGCTCGAACTTGCAGTGTTTTGTCCATATAAAGAGACCTGTTGGTACAGCTAGAGGCGTCACGATGGCGAGGGGTTTGATGAAGAGTGAAGCCATCGCGCTGGATGTTGATAGATTGCCACGAGCCTTTTCGGATTTGGTCTTGTCGAGGACTGCTTTAGTAAAGCTGCTGTCGCTATAAAGTCATATACGTGAAACGAGTGACACTCCAAACTTGAATTAGGATGATTTCTGATGCCCCAACAGTGAGAGATGGATCGTGTACGTATGGGTTTCAATATATCAATAGTCTTTCTACGATACTATTTTATCTGGGCCGGTGTTCAGTCACCAAGTCGAAGTAGCCGCTGATGTTCGCTTGTTAAGCGTAGCTAAAAGCCACTGACCTAAGTTCGGACCATCATCGACCCATCAAAAGTCAGAAATTGTGCAACATATTTTCTAAGATTCTTACCTCCAAGTCCACGACTAACGAACACGTTCGCGAATCACGAAAATGGCCACTGGGTTGTTCGCCTCGTTGCCGAAACCAAAGTACACCGGCGAATACGAACAAGTTCCTCTCCATGCTCAACCAAAAGGACCTCGAATTGTGGGCGCTGGAGCCGTTAATGAGTCGCAGATTGTGCTGAAGAGGACAGGACCTCCTGCTTATGGACAACGATCGGGATGGAGACCACGAAGCGCAGAAGACTTTGGAGATGGAGGAGCCTTTCCCGAAATACCTGTTGCCCAATATCCGCTTGATATGGGAAGGAAAGGCAAAGCGTCAGCCTCGAATGCCTTGACACTACAAGTTGACGCAGAAGGGAGGGTAAAATATGATGCGATCGCACGGCAGGGTCACAACGAGGGAAGAATTATACATAGCAATTTCAAAGACTTGATACCATTGCGACAGCAGGCAAATGCTGGGGACCTTAGTCTAGATCGACCATCGCAAGACGAAGTGGTCGAGTCAACGGAGAAAACCAAGGCTGCACTAGAGAAGATCATATCGGGTGCTGTGGCGGCTCAGAAACCTAAGAATGTCAAGGGTCGCAACCAGGAGGAACCTACCTACGTACGATATACACCTGCGAACCAGATGGGAGATACCTCGAAGAAGAACGATCGTATCTTCAAGATAATGCCAAAACAACAAGATCCCATGGAACCCCCGAAATTCAAGCACAAGAAAATTCCTCGAGGGCCTCCTTCACCTCCACCACCCGTCATGCACTCTCCGCCTCGAAAGGCAACTGCGGAGGATCAAGAAGCATGGAAGATACCTCCAGCTATTTCGAATTGGAAGAACCCAAAGGGCTATACCGTACCTTTAGACAAGAGATTAGCTGCTGATGGCCGAGGTATGCAAGATGTAACAATCAATGACAAGTTCGCACAGTTCGCAGAAGCACTATTCACTGCTGATCGACATGCTCGTGAGGAGGTCAACATGAGATCAAGAATGCAACAGAAACTGGCCGAGAAGGAAAAGCTCGCGAAAGAGGAGCATCTAAGAGGCATGGCTAGAAAGGCCAGAGACGAAAGAGCTGCCGCTACAGCTTCAAGCAGCAAGCGTCGCTCAAGGTCACGCTCATTTTCAGGCTCATATTCTTCGCGAAGTGAAAGCGATTATGATTCGGAGGACGAGCGAGCTCATCAGAGAGCCGAGGCTCGAAAAGAAAGACGTGAAGAAGATCAGCGCCAGCTGCGACAGTCGAGGATGGGAACTGAAAAGCGCCTGCAGACCATGGCAAGAGAACAAAACCGAGACATCTCCGAAAAGGTCGCTCTGGGTTTGGCAAAGCCCACGTCTGCCAACGAGACAATGTACGATTCAAGATTGTTCAACCAGACGTCCGGCTTTGCCTCTGGGTTCAACGAAGACCAGGCTTATGATAAACCTCTGTTCGCAGCACAAGATGCTATTCATTCGATATACAGGCCCTCAGCTGGTGCCGCTGAAGAGGACGAAGGAGGCGCAGACGAGGCCATGGAGAAGATACAGAAAAGTAACAGGTTCGAAGCACTAGGCAAAGCCAAGCAAGGCTTCAAGGGCGCTGATTTGGTGGGTGAAAGAGAAGCCGGACCTGTTCAGTTTGAGAAGGACAAGGACGATCCTTTCGGTATTGACAGTTTGATTGGTGAAGCAAAAAATAAACACGGCGAAGAGAAGAAGAAAAATTATGGATTGGAAAGGGCAGAGGACAGGGAGGAAGAGGACAATCGAAGGAAACGACGACGAGTCGATGAGGACGACTAAGCTACACTGTGCGCACATTCTCCAGTGCTCGAGGAGTGCTGCTTGTCCGAGCAACGATAGTGTCCACCGGACTCTTGAGTGTGAGCAAAGACTTTGCTGTCACCACAGCTGAGTACTTTGGCAGTCTCGCACAGGTGGCCCGTAACCGAACCGGGTGGTTCTCGGGAACACAACCTGTCTCGAATTATACCATGTTGACGATCGTCGTCAAGGTCGCGCACATCCCGTGCCTGGACGTCAATTCATCTCACTTCGGCAAAGCTCCCAAAGTTCAACGAGCGATTTCCATTGGCAGCAGCGCAGGATAGAGATGCCACAGTATGAGTGCTGAAGCAGAACAGAGTTTATCGAGCCTGCCCTTTTGATGTCACTCCGCATGACTCCATTTATGCGGGGAACAGTGATGTTTTTCGAGATGTCCTCGCTCTCGGTCCGCCGGGGTCGGGAGATACAAAATGTTGTGGCTCGTAAACAAAGAACAACCTCTTTGGCATAGTCGATATCGCACGTGCACCACAACTCCTGCTCATAGCTAAAGCAGAATACACAACACCATACAACATGCCTATGTCCTCTTCCCACCAGCTCATCCAGTCTTGTTGAGGGGCTAACAAGACTTCAGGTACGACCCGAGACCCCTGCCCAAGCGAGCTTTGATCGCTGTAAGCTCGGCGCATAAGCCACTATACAAGGACGGCAAAGAGACAGGCTTGTTCATTACAGAAGCACTGCACCCCTACAACGTCTTCAAAGAGAACGGTCTCGAAGTAGATTTCGTTTCCGAAACCGGCACCTACCAACCTGACTGGCTGAGCCAACAAGACGAATGGCTCAAGGGCGACGACAAAGCAGCATGGGAGGGTCAGAAGGGTGACTTTCGCAAAAAGCTAGACAGCATGTATAAAGCTGGCGATGTCGATCCTGACCAATATGGGATCTTCTTCGCCTCGGCCGGCCATGCTTCCCTGATTGATTACCCTGAGTCAACGCAGCTTCAACGTCTTGCTGCGAAGGTCTACTGCGACAACGGCATAGTAGCTGCGGTGTGCCACGGCGGCGCTATCTTCCCAAACACTATCAATGCAGTCACTAACGAGTCGATCATCGTTGGCAAAAAGGTCACCGGCTTCACTACGAAGGGCGAGGAGGAAGAAGGTGTACTCGACACGATACGAAGCTGGAATCGACCGACTATTGAGGAGGCTGCGGCAAAGGCGGGTGCAACTTATGTTAGTCCACCGGGACCATGGGATAGCTTTACAATCACAGACGGACGAATTGTGACTGGTGCCAACCCTGCGAGCGCGCATGCTACTGCTGTGGCTACTGTGAAGGCCTTCAACGACTTGCCGAATCACGATCCGGAAATTGCGGATATAGAGAAGAAGAATGAAGGCGATGAGTTCCCGAAGGCTCGCAACGAGAGACATGGGCAGCAACAGCATTCGGTATGAGATGATTATAGACAAGAATATGTTTTCATACAATAGTATTTGAAGCTAAGATTGTGTCAAGTTCGATCTTGCAATTGACGTACTGCTTCCAGGACATGTCCCTCTCCCAAAGTATCTCGTGGATTGTTGTGTTCGAGGCGCCGAATGTCTGATAGTAACGTGGGTCATAGCTGTCGTCCACTAATTATGTCTGGCAGCTCTGACTGATAAACATCATGAATCGACCCATTTCCCAACAATAGGTGCAGAAGATCTCCTCAATTGGAGTCTCTTCAGCGATACAGACAGAAGACTGATTCAATCATGACATACACACCAAACGACCTGGCCTCAAGCTTGCTCCAGTGATTGACATTAGAATAGTAACAAACAGATCGTGTCGCTTGCTTCTTTCAGTAAAGACCTCGTTCTCTATGCTCGGAAAAGTGAGTAGCATTTCTCCTCTTGCCTTGGATCGAATTCAGTCAGGAGGATTATAGAAGCTTCATCCGCCTCTGCTTGACCTCCGGGACGAAGCGAGTGAAGAGCTAGTCGTCGACCGAGGCTGGCTGGGTCTGCTCCTAGCAGATTGAGGCTCGTCGCGATGTGCGATAGGTTGAGTAGGAAATACCCAACGTTTCAGATCGTGGTCATATACCGGTGTAACCTGCCTCATCTTGGCCATGTCTGGTGGCCGCTCAATGGTTATAGTCCTTGACGGCACCTTGACCAATTGTTTACTGAATGACCGAGCGTGTCGAGCGACTGAGAGAAACACAGATAGTGCTGGATTCGACGTGTTGTCGTTCCGCTCGCTGTTTAAAGAGCTGCTGTCTGACTTGACGGGAGCCATGTCGTGTAGATAGATATATCAGCTCGGATGTGTGGATTTTTAGCCAGTAAGGGAAAGACTCTCGATGTAGCAGGTCATCAGTGAGGAAGACCAGGTGGCTATTCGTTTTTGTTGCTGTTCAACTGTACACACAGTGTCCTGGTGTCAAGAGACCTGCTTGGTGGACGTGTGTTGAAAGTGTCATCTTGCTTGCTTGAGAGGCGGACTGGAATGTGGAAAAAAGTACATTGTTACACGTTTCGAGCACTCTGAAGAGTATTCCAAGCTCATATAATTTTTGTGCCCTTCCCACGCCCGTATCAGAATGCTCACCGCTCAAAAGGAGGTGCGCTCCCTAGCGTCGAGCAAAAGCGAATCCGGTCACGCTTGGCAGAGGACATCTTGGAAGATGGTATTCGACTTCGTTTTAAGAGAGGGTTTTACTGTAAAGAGCTTCGGAAATGGAGAATAAAATGCTTGCGAGTTTCCACTTCAACGCAAAAGCATCTGGACCAGATAGTGCGTATCATCTTGTCTTGGAACAGACGGTAGACTGAGCCGCGTGCTGCTCGGCACCGGAACGGCTGTTCAGGGCTACTGGGAAGATCCGAAAGCTTCTTATTCTGGACAATTTACAAGCTACTGCAAGGTCGCGAGTACCCATCATCTGGTCTCATGCCTGCGTCGAAGGATGTGTGCTTGAGCACTGCGTGAACATGTGAAGGTCAGGTTTCATGCGAATCACGTCAATGAGCTGGCAACGTGCCAGAGTCGTTGGGAATGTGAAGATCCAGCCCCTGTTCGGCGGTGTAGAATGATCAGTCTCGATCGTCCTCACTTCATGCACAACTCGACTGAGACGAGATGAAACCATGTGAATATGTCCTCGCATACTAAATTGCATGGAATTGACCATGGCGTTCTGGACAGTGGCTGAACGAAGTGTTTTCAGAAATTAAATTCTACAATAGTAGAGGTGGAGTGCAGTCGGCGGTCGTTCGAGCTTGACCTCAACCATTTTGTCGCACGAGCTTGCGACGGCCAAGACTGCCTCTTCCACCATCATTAACTCCTTCCGCGACTCATTGCAAGATTGTGCTCCTAAGGACTTTGAAGTAATTCGGATCGAAGACATTGGTGGTGCCTGCCAAGCTAGTCGAGTATGCCGCCGTGATCACGTCTATGTGGGAGTCCTGTATCTTCTGTGAACCACAAAGGAAACACGAATTATTGCACCTGCTCAATACCAACATGACTCGTTGGACCTCCATGCGTCGAGCTCTTGCTAACATTGTCGCTGATATTGCTTGCTTATATTTACGGAGGTGAGAACATAGAGCGCACTGCAAATTGTTGGCAGCGCTGTCCTAGCTTCGTGTTCACCTTTTCAAAATGCTCTGAAGTAAAGACTCCTGCAAGATGCCACGCTTAGTTTCAGAAACACGAAACGACACGCACCTAAGCAGAAGGAGTGCATTATCACGGACAGTGATTGGCTATCGAAAAGTCAGCACCTTCTGGTTCCACGTTACGTGCAGGGATGTCTGCAGACCTACCATCTTCTCATTTGTTGGGAAATGCTACTGATTTATCACTTTCGTAGCATGATATATCATTGTAATGAAGAACAACCTGACAGGTGGACAGAACGTTCTGAACGGTCGACAGTTTGGGTCAGCCTCTGTTCGTGCCGATAACTCCAACGACTTATCTCAGAACAAGACCATATTGCAAGGTTTCGAGTGGTTCTCGCCAGGCACAATCACTAGCATTGAACAGGATCCAGACACCGGCTTTGTGAAAGACCAGTCTGTTTCGCACTGGAAGCATCTAACTCAACTTCTACCACAATTCGTTGATCTGGGATTCGCCTCAATATGGATTCCTCCAGCCTGCAAAGCCACGAACCCAAAGGACGAAGGTTATGGTATCTACGACTTATATGACCTTGGTGAGTTCGACACGAAAGGAAGCACAGCTACAAAATGGGGAACTAAGCAGGAACTGCAAGACTTGTGTTCGGAGGCTCAACGCTTCGGTGTTGATGTTGTATTTGATGCGGTCCTAAACCACAAGGCTGCTCCCGATGGTGCCGAGGAGGGACTTGCCATACGGGTCAATCCCAAGAACAGGCTCAAGAATCTAGACACAAAACCGAGAATGATTGAGGCATGGACAAAGTTCAACTTTGATGCTCGGCAAGGTAGATACAGCACTATGAAGTATAACAACAGTCACTTCTCGGGCGTGGACTGGGATTGCAAACAACAGGAAAAGTCAATATTCAAATTTGTTGGAAAACGTCCAGATGGAACCATGAAGGACTGGGCCGACGATGTTGGCGGATCTGAGAACGGCAACTACGATTTTTTAATGTTCGCCGATGTTGACTTTGGCAACGATGAGGTTAAGCAAGATGTCAAGCGCTGGGCACGCTGGTTACTCGATGAGCTGCCAGGAATACGAGGTTTCCGACTTGACGCAGCCAAACATTATTCCTCGAGGTTTCAAAGAGAGTTCGTAGACCACGTCAAGTCGTATGCCGACGAGAGCGCCAGAGAGTTCTTTTTCGTCGGAGAGTATTGGATGCCTGATTCAAAAGTCCTAAATGCACATATCGATAAGACGTTTTCTGGCAAGGTACACATGTTCGACATCAAGCTCTTGTATAACCTCCACGATATTTCCATTGGTCGCCTCCGAGATCTGCGGAAGGTCTTCGTAGGCAGTCTTGCCAGCATCAATCCGTCTCGAGCAGTCACTTTTGTGACCAACCACGACACGCAAGAGACGCAGTCCCTGGCATCACCCATTGAGCCATGGTTCATTCCTCACGCGTATGCCTTGATTCTTCTACGTTCAGAAGGTCAGCCTTGCGTTTTCTGGGGCGACATGTACGGTACAGATGGACCACAGCCACGGCTGCCAGCATGTGGTGGACGACTTGTACGACTTATCAAGGCCAGGCAGCTTTTCGCTTATGGCAAACAGTATGATGACTTTTCGGCTTCTCAAACCTCGTCAAGTCCTTTCACTCAAGACAAGGAGTGCATCTTCTGGCAGCGTGGCTGGCAATCGATGACACATGGACATATCGGTCTCGTAGTGCTAGCATCGATCTCCTGGTCCTGGAAGAAGAGAAGGGTAAACGTTGGCTCTCAATGTGCTGGACAAATATGGACGGACCTCATGGGCTGGGCATGGAGCGGAGTGCTAATAGACAAACATGGGTTTGGTGATTTCCCTGTAGGAGCTCGCAGTATCAGTGTTTGGACTTGGCAGAATGCTCCGGGCAGAGACCAAGTGGATGACCTAGTATACCCACCAGAGCCAGATCTTGTGCCGAATACAGATGAAGTGACTGAAGAGGTATTTCCCGCTGAACTTCGGACCTAGATGCGCAGTTGCAGCAATGCCACTCGGGACCTCACGACAGAAATTTCAGAAGACGCTCGTGCGAGACAGGGTATATCGAGGCTTTGTAGAAAAGATCGAAAAACGAGCATGCTATCCTCCTCGGATATCATACTTGCTGAAAAAGTCCTTTCACCCTGGTACAGTGGTACACAGGGACTGAGCGGCGAGACGGATGGCTGAGCGCGGCGGAGTTGTACCGGCTTGGCACAGAAGAACTTTTAGCTTCGAAGTGGAACTTTGCATAGCATCATTTATGGCAATCTGTTGCCAGTGACGATTTTCATGGACTGTGTAGCCTTTCACACGTGTTATAAGATGTGCGAGTCAAACGGCTGTCGCAGTCTTCATTCCTCGGGTCTTTGCCAATAAGCGCACTCCACCTGTCTTGAAGGCGAATATATGCTTGTCGTTTTCTTGCAGAGGCTTGTTAAATATTGGCATTCCGCAATAGCACCTAACTTCAAATCGCAGAACGACCCTATATCGAGTCCTGAGTGACAATGCCTACCATTGTGCTAACTAACTTCAACATCGTCACCGCTGTGCTTGGAGGCTTCATCACACTTTTCGGTCTCGTATCGTACTTACTGAAAGAACGGTTCTATCTGTCCGAAGCACGTGAGTTTATATTGTCTCTGGTATGGTCACCATCTAATCTTCACAGTAATTTCCTTGCTGGCAGGAGTCGCATTCTCACCCCATGCCTTGAACTGGATAAGGCCGCTAGAATACGCGGAAGGCTCACAGGAACATGTCGAACAAATCACCTTTTACTTTTCACGGCTCGTCTTAGGAGTTCAGCTGGTCATAGCAGGAGTGCAGCTACCTAGGAGGTACTTGCGCACCGAATGGCGATCGCTTGCAATCCTACTCGGTCCTGGAATGACCATGATGTGGCTCACCGCCAGTCTCCTGGTCTGGGCAATGGTTCCTCACATCAGCTTCCTTCACTCATTAGCAGTGGGAGCTTGTGTTACGCCGACAGACCCCGTCTTGTCTAACTCGATCGTGAAGGGAAAGTTTGCTGACAAGAACATTCCAAAGAAGCTTCAGAGGATTGTTATTGCTGAGTCAGGAGCCAATGATGGTCTTGGTTATCCTTTTCTGTTCTTGGCTCTGTACATTATCAGGTACAATGGCCGTGACGGCTTTCAAGGAGTGGGACATGGTATTGGACTTTGGTTCGGTGAGAACTGGGGATACACGATAATCCTTAGCGTGGCCTATGGAGCTATTGCTGGATGGCTTGCGAAAGAGGCACTGCATTATGCCGAGCAACACAAGTTCGTTGACAAGGAGAGTTTTCTGGTCTTCGCGATTGCACTTGCTCTGTTGATTACCGGAACTTGCGGCATGATTGGCAGTGATGATGTTTTGGCATGTTTCGTTGCTGGTAATGCCTTCACCTGGGATGACTGGTAAGTGGTCAGGTGTCCTACAGAATCAGAGCTGACAGATCAGGTTCCGAGTCGAGACCGAAGACGACTCCCTTCAGCCTACCATTGACATGCTCCTCAACATTTCAGTATTCGCCTGGTATGGCGCAGTAGCACCATGGGCAGAATTTCGCACGAACGATGTCATCCCCATCTACCGACTCATCGCCCTTGGCATTTTGATACTACTCTTTCGACGAATTCCAATGGTTCTACTTCTCCACCGTCAGATGAAAGAGATTGACGACTGGAAGCAGGCGCTGCTTATCGGATTCTTCGGCCCTATTGGTGTCTCGGCTGTCTTTTACCTATACGTTGCTGTTGAGTTCCTTAATCAAATCATCGTGGATGGACAGGTACGTGAAGATGCTGCGAGACTACAGGAAGTCATCAGAATCGTGGTATGGTTCTTGGCGATATCCAGTATTGTCGTGCACGGGCTTAGTGTACCATTTGGAAAGTTTGGATATCATATGCCTCGAACCATCTCTCAAGCACTCAGCTCAGACAGCGGACAAGGCCAAGGTCAAGCACTCGGCATGCGGCAACTTCAGGACCCTACTACGTTCATTCGACGCAGACGAAACAACCAGGAGCCTCGAACTGACCCTCCAACACCTACGACGTTTGTTCTTGGTCAGAGGAGGATTGGGGACGATGATGAACCTTCTCGGCCCGTGAAAATTCTAAACAGCTCGAACCCTGTGTCCGGAACACAGACGCCAAACACAGCGCCGCAAACGAGTCAGCAACATCTCAGTCAGCCTCCTCGACAGCCTAAAGACAATTGAGCTTGATCAGTAAAGTCATTTGCTGCCTAGCATTATAGAGATATTCCACACAGACACAGGAAATGTAGAAAGCTCTGGCAACGATAGTCCAAACATGTAAACAAGCAGATTCGCAAGAAAATGCTGTAATTTCCTGCTCCGCTTCACGGCACACCTCGAGGGTGCCCCCCTGTAGTGCTTTTGCCCGCCCGGTACCCCTCATTCTCATTGATACCCACTCGAGCAAGGCTCCAAGCGAGCCAAGTGGAAACCAACTCTTGCAAGCCCCCCAGTTCCATGCAGTTGTGATTCTACTCATTTTTCTGATAGTAGCATCTGCTTCCGCATCCCTCTTCACCAGCTTCACATACCGCTTTTCCATCATTTTCGGAACGTTCTTTTACTCTTGCGGTTCGCATCGCATCTGTGTTGCAATATCGCACCAACAGGAGAACTATTTGCCTAGCAAACCCGAGCCAAATTTCAAAGCTGCCTTCATACATTCAACGACTTCTTCCACTTCGTCGATGTCTGAGAATGGCACAACCCTCGGCTGCCAATAAGGCCTCGCGACCAGAGTCTCCACTTCCTGCGCCTACCGTTGCAGGTCAAAAACGTAAGAGACCAGCAGACAAGAAATATTATGCTGTCAAGGTGGGAAAGACACCTGGTGTTTACGACACATGGGATCAATGTCTGGCACAAGTCACTGGTCAGAAAGGTGCTCAATGTACGTGGCCGGCCGAACAGAAGCGGAATTTCAACTAACAACAGGACAGTCAAGTCCTTCACCAGCCAAGGAGACGCCCAGCTATTTGTGGAGGGAAAGCTGATACACCAAGCCAACAAGGCCCCAGGTGAACAGAAGTTCTATGCAGTCCAACAAGGGAAAGTGCCTGGAGTATATACCGACTGGCCCACAGCCCAAGCACAAATTAGTGGCTTCAAGAATCCTAAGCACAAGAAGTTCACCACCAGAGCTGAAGCTGAAGCATTCATTAGTGAAGGCAAGAGAAAGTCCGCATATGATAATGGAACCGGAATTAGTCCTGAAGAGGAGATTCGACGTCTGATCGTCAAGAATTCAGCGCCAGGTCTGGTGACGAATGGGGACTATGTGGCCAAGGACAAACACGGTAACGAGTTTGAACTTGCTCGTGGGCCCTTACCACCAGGTGCGGAAGATGGCTTCGACCCGAATGTCAAGCTGGATAATGGTGTGATCAGACGGCGGACAGAAGAGGAGAAATCCACTCTGAAAAAGGTTCCAAAAGACAGCAACCCCCCGGGTATGCTCAACATCTATACAGACGGGTCTTCACTTAGCAATGGCCAAGTTGGGGCAAGAGCAGGAGTTGGCGTGTATTTTGGACCGGCACCATTTGAGTATGACTCTCAATCTCCTTCTTCCTCTTCTCCTGTGTCAGATCCGGGCAAAGAAATTCCGATGTACACGGTGGACTGGCAAGCTCGAGGCGCACCTTCTACGATGAAACGACGTAAACTGACTTGGAGATACAGAAATATTTCCGAAGCATTGAAAGGAACGAAACAGACGAATCAGCGAGCAGAGCTGACAGCTATTCAGAGGGCACTAGAGGTGGTGCCAAGTCATCGGGATGTTACGATCTTTACAGACTCAAGATACTCAATTGATTGCGTAACGAATTGGTACAGAAACTGGCAGAGTAATGGCTGGCACAATTCCAAGGGTAAGCCTGTCGAAAACAGAGATGTCATCCAGGAAATAAGGGAGAAGATCGAAGAGAGGAATCATTTCGGGAAGCAAACACACTTCGTGTGGGTGAAAGGACATGACAAAAATGAAGGAAATATCAGAGCTGATGAGCTTGCGGTAGCAGGTGCCAGAAGAGGCTTGCATGGCGATGCACAAAGTTCAAGTGTCGGGAACGAGACCACGACAGGCACCGAGAGTGGTGAGGGTGAAGCAGAAGAAGATAGTGAGGATGAAAGATCGGACGAAAGAAAACTTGAGGACGCTGAGATGGAAGCCGCTCTGCAGTTGAGGCAGGAAGCATTGGATGCTATGGATACAAGCACTACCAGCGTTCCGAACGGCTCGTCCTAGGGCAGGAAGACGCTGCAGTCAGCATTCTTCATTGCAACATAGTAGGAAAATTCCTGTTTCCAGAAGCATGAAGGAAGTGTTTTAGAACAGGCACATGCAAAGCCGAATATCTAAAAACAACTCTACTACTCCGTAGAATACCAGATTTTAATACGCCTGGAGTTGAATGACTTTTGCGTCATATACAGGCGTCAACGCGCTGTATCGCATCCAGGCGCGACTATGGTTGCATCTTCCTTCTCCCCACGTGCTAATCAAGAACCGTCTTGAAAGGGATGAACTGGCCGAGCTGATTGAGCTCAGCTCGTAGGCCTGCGTGCTAGAACTCACTCGCCTCGACCATGCCCGAATCACACAGTCCAAGCCATGGCTACAGAAGAAGACGTCGCCGCAGGCTTGCTCAACTGGGTCAACTCCCTTCAAGTCACCAATCCACTATATACTGTAGATGATCTTGCGACTGGCGAGGCACTGTGGGAATTGTTACGTCTGGTATCCTGATCCTGCTTCAGTCTGCGTACTGACATTCAGCAGAGCTTATCGATCACCTTGCATTCCCTGGCCGGCTCCCCGAAGATCCCTCACGGATTGATAGCAGCAAGGAAACTTCTTGGGTTCAGAAGTGGTCGAACCTCAAGCATATATACGATGCACTATCCATATTCCTCATCGAGCAGTGCGGACAACCACTGCCTCTTTTCTTCAGCTCTGCGACCAATCATCGTGGTAATCCGGACCTCAAAGCGATTGCGCAGTATGGGAGTATAGGTGATGCGGTTCTATTGCTGAAATTATGTGTTGTGGCTGCTACGAGCTGCCAGGACAATGAACGTTTCCTCGAGCCTATGCAAGATTTACCTGAAAGTGTGCAGAAAGTGTTAATTCACACCATTCAAGAAGGCCAGCAGAATGACGAGCCGGATTATACAGAGCAGGAACATGACGCCCACATATCAGACGCAGAGGAAGACTACTTCAATCAACACCGACAAAGCTTACCGCAGGCAGAGGAGGATGAGGATCAAGGGAACATTCCAACAGGTACATCCAACCTCGCTTTCGAGGAGCGGCTTGGAAAGGTCATTGCAGATTCTCAACGCATTTCTCGCGAAAAGCACGAACTTCAGCGCCATATAGACGCCCTCAATGCTAGGTACAACAGTCTTCAAGAGCGTTACGACCGCTCACAAGACGACCTTAACGAAGCCAACGATCGTCTGACCTCTGTCTTATCTGGTCGCGCAGGCGACACAAAACAATCCTCTGATGCCCAGAAGGAAGCCATCATTTCGAGTCTCGAAGCACAACTTGCGCAATATGAGACTGACATCGAGAATCTGCGAAAGAACAACGAAGTTCTGAAGATCAAAGCTGAGCGTGGGCAGAAACTTCAAGATGATTACGATGAGATCAAGATCGAGCGAGACAACCTAAGTCGAAAAGCGAATGCGGCAGAGAAATATCGACAGAAGTTGGAAGCAAGTCAGGACCACGAGAAAGAGAATCTTACATTAAAACAAAAGATAGCAGACTTGCAAGCGCAGCTAAGACAGAGCGACACGCGGACCGCCAGTAGCTCTGACCTGCAACGAGAAATTGATGAGTATAGAAGACTCCTACCCGCGATCGAACAGGAACGTCATGAAGTCAATGAGATGAAGAAGCGATTAGAGCTTGACTACCACCTATTACAAGCACGACACACGGAGAGTGAGGAGCAACTCAGAAGGAGTAAACAGGAGGTTGAGGATCTACAAGGCCGGTTGCGTGATTACGACGACGGTGTTGAACCGGCATCTGCAAACAGCCCGAATAGCGAGGAGATCGAAGTTGAGGGCAAAGATCTTGAAACCGAGGAAGCTGATTATGAGCGTGCTGAAGCACGACTACAGGCGGCACTTGTGGCCAGTGAGGTCGACGAGGGAACAGGGGTAAATGGTGAGACTACGTCCACAATACCTGTACACGCAACAACGTCGAATTTGGAAGGTATCGATATAGATCTGGTGGAGAATGGCATTTCGGAAGACGAGCTTAGAGCAATCATGTCGGCGATGCGTGCGCAAATGGTTGCTGGGACGAGTTCCGAGCGCGAGACCAGTCTAAAAATGCAGAAGAAGATGGTGATAATGCTGGAGAAAGCACGGTCGAAAAACCAGACCTTGGTCGAACACATTAAACATCAGCATGCTCAGCTCGAGGAGCTCAAGCAAAGACCGGAGAAGTCGAATCAGGAACAGGAGTTGCAGGTCAAAGAGCCTAGTACAGAAAGTGAGATGGAACAACAACTTGAAGAACAGGATGTCCTTATTGAAAACCTGAAACGCGAGATTCGACTTATCAGCTCTGCTTGGTTTGAGCAGAATCAACGGCTTGCGACACTGGGCTCTGGCACTGGTGGAGGTGCAGTCGCACTCATGAGGTTGAAGGGCGGCAATGGCCTAGAGGAGCCGAAGAGCTTTCTAGGCAGACAGAGGAAAATGCTCGACAAAGCAGCTTTTGGTATGAATCAGAACATCAGGGTCACACGTGGTTAGGAACGACGTGGAGCCATTAGTTACGTAGCGTCAAAGAATGAAGGTTAAGGACTACTTTTTCCATTATCTAAGAGAAATTCCTAGATAGACTAAACGACATTTAGCTTGCTAACTTTTGCACATTTTTGACATCAATTGGAAGATGAACTCCGGACCGCCACTGCTGTCATCTGTCGAGGTTGTCAAAAGGACAACCAGCCGTCTCATTCTTATCCAGCAGGCACAACTGACGAGCCTCGCTCGTTCCTGGCTGACCATAAGAGGTTAGATCTGGACTTATCTCAATCTGATCATACTCCTTCAACAGCTTCCTCACTTTACCGGTAGCTGCCTCTCTCTTCTGATCTGTGGCTAGTAACTTATCCAGTACCCACTTCGGTTGCAGTGCAATTATTGGGACGGACATGTGTCTCGACCACCTCTGCATGTGCGCAGGCGTTAGCATAACAGGAAATACAGGCTCTCCACCAAAGCAGAACGTCCACTTCTCCGACTCGACCGATTCTGGCACATTCCTGGGCCACGATTTTGAGTCGATAATTCTCAGCCCTCTCAGCATGCCCCAAAAGGTGTTGTTGTAATCCTCGACGGATTTCTCTTTTTCAGACGGTGCGCACACTATCACCAGCGAGGTATTTGGTCCCAAGCTCGGTGATATGGCAAGATATTCTTTCAGTGCAGGAGCAATCAGGCGGACGTTCTGTGGTTCGGATGGGTCGTCGGAGTTTAGAAAAATGTATCGATGTTCGTCCGCACGATACCCCATGGTTGCGTATATGCAAGGGAATGTCTTCATGCCATTGGATTTTGCGACGATGACGTCTTTAAAGTCTTGGTAGGCCAATGCCTGCCAGCTGGATTTCTCAAACCCGTTCTCCACTTGCTCTTTGGTGAGTAAATTGTCGACGCCAACTTGCCTCGACGATGGCTCGGGCGTGGCGTTCCTTTTCGTGAAGGATCTGCTGATGTTGGACGGCAGGCCGATGGCGCTCAATAGTTTAGCGATGTCCTTGTTGTATTTTCCGTCGTCAGTGGCCGCAAGGACGGCTGCACCAAACCCAAGGGTGAAGCAGGCAACTGCAAGAGCAACAATCATATTGTCTGTCGGTCGTTTGAAGATAGATGAGAAGGACTAGATTACAGTTTGCAGGCGAGAGACATATCAACCAGTATATGTTTCACTACCTCGCAAACCAAATTCGGCATGTGCCAGAACGCCATGAACCATGACCGAACAGTACCATATGTTCTGTCCACTGGCGAACAACTACATAACGTCAACATTGGCATGGATGGAATTGTTTGTCATTGTTTACCCTGGTTACACCAAAATCCAGGCACGCAATCGTCAACGACGTTAGAATGTACATCATCTGGGAATTAAGGTTACTGGAATTACGGGGGTGTCCTGTGCTCGGATTTGACACCCGTTCACAGAGCGACTTGTCGCCTCCCATCTGGAGGCTCGCCCCCAGTCATCAAAGCGGCCTGCGCCTACAAAAAGCAAGATCTTAAAACGTGCCAGTGGTCAGCAGGACCGAGGTTTTGGTCAATGCGCATGGATTGCGATCATTGCGGAGAAGAGATCTATGTGGATCCCATGAATGTGCTTACCCGAAACAGCCAAGTCCAGGAACCATATGAAGAACAACTCGTCATGGTTTGTATACAGTGACGCTGATACTGGTTGAAAGGATCAAATTTCAATACTCATCGGCAAGACACAAGCGACAAGAGCCTTCGTGGCTAAAAATTTCTCAGGTGACCAGCAATTAAACACAACATGTCGGAAACAATAGAGATATCGCCCAGAACAGGCACAGCGTTTCGCCTGAAGAAAGGCCAGACCTTGACAGTCATAGACCCTCAGGGCGTCCAAGTATCGGATCTACTTGCTTTCAATGCAGAAGACGTACGCGAAACAGTCTCCAATGGCAGAACCTTCGACTATGCAGACAAGATTTACCTCACCACTGGAGACAAGCTCTACTCAAACCGCAGTAACGTCATGCTGAGAATTGTGGAAGACACTTGTGGACGCCATGACTTCCTACTGACACCATGTTCGAAAGACACCTTTCGCATAATCTATGGGCATGAAGATCCCCATCAGGGCTGTTTTGGGAATCTCGTGCAGGCACTGAAACCATATGGCATTGAGCCTGATCAAATTCCTTGCGCTTTCAATTGCTTTATGAATGTTCCGGTCGATGGAAAGACAGGCAAGTTTACTGTCGAGCCTCCAATCAGCAAAGCCGGAGATCACATTGATTTCGTTGCTGAGATGGATCTCATTATTGGAATGACGGCTTGTTCAGCTGGCTTGTCTAATGGCGGGACTTACAAACCAATCCAGTACCGCTTGTCGCAGAATTGACGAGGAATTGTCACGGTCAGGAAGGAACGCTGGAGTTGTTATGGTCAGAGCTATGACCACGGTCAAGCGCTGTCATGAGCGCGGTTTCGATGAGTATTATAGATAGAGACGTATGATCAGGTGTCGCTGAGGCTGGATCTACGGCAGCACCTTGGCTTGGGGGTAGATCCAAAAAGTTATTGTTTCATCACATTTTCGTCCCGTAGTAATGCCTCCGCTACCATCCGCACTCTTTTAAGAACCACGATTGGGATTATTGATCTCGGTGTTGACCCAAACACGAGACGACAGGTTAGCAGCCCAATGTTGCTGTAACCAGGATTCGGGACATGGTCGAGTACAGTATGTAAGATCATGCTTTCTGAGTGTATATATTCTCCCCACGCAAGCCTCGACATCTTTCCCCTAGCAGTTCCGTAACGGTCGCCGAAGATCTCTAGCCAGTATTGGTGCTTGGTTCTGTCTGTATTGGGCAGGCTGTAGAGCATTTCTCGGCCGTTCTGTCTAGGCAGCCCACGACCTCCTAAACTTTCATGCTGAAAATATCGTGTCAGGCTCATGTACAATCAGAGCCGTAGCAGTCGTACTTGTGAGTACAGCTATGTCATTCTTCTTCTTCCTGTTGTGCTTCTTCGGTGCGGCGCTCGCTGCTTGGGGACGAAGTAGGCGAGTGTCAAGTCGGATTGGAAGTGCGGAAAGCTGTACGAACTCCTGCTTTGATCGAGCAGCAGCAACATAAGCATGGCATGAAGGACAATACTAGTCGTCTTCATGTGCAACAAGTCGCTCACCCCAAGTCGGTGTGATTTTCGTCTGAAGGTAGAACCTTCTCCAACAGCCTTGTGACTTGTAGTCATGTAGCTCAATCACTTCCCATGGCCGAAATAGTTGCTGCTCATGGTCTTTGCCCTCTGCCAAAGTGCGCTATACGAGTTGTCGGCGTCTGGATGCTGTTCGATGCTCTCACGCCTAACACGAAGAGCTGCTGCGCAGAAACCCATCGAGACTGCGAAGACGGGGTCGAACCACCTGTAGAGGTTGTCAGTAACGAGGTAGAGTAGTCGTCAAGGTGGTTTCACTTGGAGATGAGCCAGGGTTGTCTAATGACTCGGCTCGCCATGATGGATTAGCTTGAGAGAGACCCCCGGGAGGAGGATAACGAGCTATATCAGGTATTGGACTGTGAACTTTTTTATAGATAGTATAGTTGACTGAGAGTTGAGCTGAGACGATGCTATGCCCGCTCGACCTGCTTGTTATAGCAATGGAAGGCTCGTGTTAGGCGCGCCTGAACCTGAACTCTGGGCACGATTGGACCCTCGTAGACCATGCGCAGCACGTGCTCTGGCGCGTCGAACGTCTCTTATTCTCGAATACGTCGCGTGCACGAACATTTCACATCTCAGGTCAGCGACTCATCAGTAAGCTCGCACCGGTAGTAGCAGTTCATGGCCTCTTACAGGGCGTTGAACTTCTACACCACCATCATGCTTCTCACGCTCCAATGGCCGACCTGACAGAAGTACTGCCTCATTTTGATTTGCAGCTATGGCGACACCTTACATACTCGTTAGAGAAGAAGAATATCCTCACAGCAGAATTACTTTCCAAAGATCCGGTGGAGATAGCAAAGAGGTGTCCTTTGCCCCTCAACGAGCTACGGCGCCTGATAGCTGCAGTCGTCGATGCTCTCCGTGCCGATACGCATTTCAGCTCTACAACCATAACTACTGCACAGCCTGTCGGTAGTGGCGAACCACCACTCAAGAAGGCTCGGATATTCAGGGAGGACCCGGAATTTCCGCCACTACAATGCGTACGAACACTTGACACGAACATCGACGAGTGCTTAGGAGGTGGATTTGCTGCTGGGTGTATTTCAGAGATAGTGGGCGAAAGTGCTGTGGGCAAGACTCAATTCGTTCTTGGACTGCTACTGAGCGCGCAGCTCCCACCGCCTCTAGGACCTGGGAAAGCCGTCCTATACTTGGATACAGAAGGTACCCTGAACACCACGCGTTTGGATCAGATGTTGAGTTCGCATCCCACCTATCAACAGCTTCCGCCCGAGGATCGACCGAGCCTGAATCGAGTGCTGACGATGAGTGTACATGACTTGGAGGCGCAAGAGCATATTGTCCAGTTCCAGATTCCTGAGACAGTCCGGAGGTATAATATCGGCCTTGTCGTGATCGATTCTGTGACGGCGAATTTCAGAGCAGAATTTTTGGGAAGCTCGGCAAAGGTACTATCGGACCGTGCTGTAGCTTTGGTACGTCTTGGAAACACGCTTCGCAGGTTAGCAAATGACCACAACGTGGCCATCGTTGTCACAAATCAAGTTTCTGATCGATTCGATGATGCACGTACGACAGCGGATAAGCTTCGCTTGTCTTCACAGGCACCGTCATCGTCAGGAACATCCTCATTACAGACACAAAATCTCACACCACGAGCTTGGCAATCACAGAACACGCAGCAGCCACGATCATCTCAAGCTCCCATAAAGTCGATGCAATTGCAGCTTTCTCCTAGTGCACAAGCAAGGAAGGACGAAGTTATGAGTCTCGACTTCCAACAAAGGTTCTTTACTGGATGGGGCGACAACCCGAGCGATCCTTTCGAGTCTCTCAAGACACCTGCTTTGGGTCTTGCGTGGGCCAACCAACTTGATGCCAGAATTGTGCTGAAGATTGGTCGTGGTAGCACAAATCCAGTGAGTGGTACGGGGAACATTTTATCAGAAGCTAAACGAAAACGTTATCTCGGCGTCGTCTTCGCTTCGTGGACACCTCCAAGTCACACACCCATACCCTATACTTTGGAAACACAAGGTGCCGTCTCTATGTCAGGTACTACCAATGCCAAGGCTGTACATCAGGACGAATTCGATGTGGACTTCGAGGAGGTCGACGCCGAGGACGGTCGTGAAAGCACAGATGCTGATCTGTTAAACCCTCAATATTGGGATGACTTGGACAACGACTTTGCTTAAGCGCTGCTTGGAGTTATGGTCCTGTTGCTTGGGTGAGGTTGTTGGCCACTAGTACTGTACAGCAGGACTCTGACCTGCCTGGAGTGATCCGAATCACACGCGTCATTGGATGACGCAGGCATCATTTTGGCAGCATGCGTCGGCACTAGTACTGTATAACATAGACTGGATATAGAATCCCCGTTTTCCATCCGGCTGGAACTGTGCCAGCAATATTAGGTATTAACTTGAACATGCTTTGTCAATGCACGGAGCGGAGCTGAGGAAACTACAGTAACAGGCGCCTTGGCAGGGTTGAGCTTTCCGGTGGCTTATTCTTTCAACCACATCCGAGTCGTGCAAATACTGTGTTCTGTATGAAATTATCACGAAGCTTGCCATAGGACTCGTCCTTTTACTCGCTCAGAGTGAAGCAGGTCAATCATGCTTGACGATCAACAGGGAGCGAGCCGCTTACCGCCACGTATCCGCGAGTGGAGCTGTTTCTCCTCTATGTTGTTAGTGAGCGAACCCGCATATTTTAGCAAAGTCTGTCGGTGAGCATTGACAACAAGGAATCGTCCCTCTTCTGCTTCTTACAACACATATCTACCTATTCCTGTGATGCCCGCAGCTAATATTTCCGTGGACGAAACAAACATGGTGAAACCTCAAGACTCATCTTCAGATACCGAACATGCCAACCAACCACTCAGAAAACATGGCCGTTCCAGCAGTTCAGACCAAGCGAAATCACAAATCAACTACACTAACTCTACTCTCATGAGATCTATAGAGCCGGCCTCTCCAAACAGATCACAGCACAATGTCGAGAAAAGACCACAGAACAAACGCAGAAAATCCTCAGCTTCATCCAAGCACAAGACTCGCCCTGGTTACAGCAGAAAGTACTCGACACCTCCATCAAGACCCCTTTCACCCTCTGGCTATCCACAGGTTTTAGACCCAGACATGGTGATTCCAGAGATTGACCTAAACCAAGCCAACCATCACCTTCTACAAGTCGACACGGCACCGCAAGAGCCAGATCTCTGGAGTGACCCCGAGACAGACTATTTCTCTACAGTCGAGGGTCCAGCAGCCAAGCACATGAGAGGAAAGTCGAGGAGACAACTGAGTCAGAATCTCAACAATACGAGCTCACTTAATGCCGTTATGGCTGCCAATGCTAAAGGACTGCAGCAGATTTCCGAGGACGCCGAAGCTGAATACTCGTCGCCGCGAATACCTGGGGCTTTTGGTGCATAAAGTGTCGATATATCTGTGAAAGCTACCCCTGAAGGCAACATTTCAGCCTGGGCGTGGGGACGACTACGCAGGGGTTAATTTAATTGAATTTGATTGGAGGTGAGAGCGATTTGATCCAGGGACGTCAACCACAAACTTCGCTCAGTGGGAATAGCGAGAGCACATCACGATAGCATTTGCACGAGCCATCGAGCATTAATGGTCACTGCTATCGGCATATCTGTCTGAAAAGCAGCGTAAGAAAGCTCCCATGGCCGTTGCCCTTCCTCTTCCTGGCGCTCCCACTGCCTTAAGACACATCTTTTAGCTACGATACCACGGCAACACATCTACGCTCCGAGAAAGTGGTGACCGTATCAGTTGGTTGTTGTAACCAAGCAGTTGCGAATATTTAAGCCAGCCACACCTATGCGGACAGTACTGCTGCTCCTCAAGCAGCATCAGGATATTGCAGCAATTCTAGGACTACTTGAGAATTCAGACGAAACTCCTTAACGCAGGAGTTCCAGACGGTGACTACACCTCGCTCTGGAGCTGGAGCTGGAGCTATAACGCTGTTCCAGCGGAATGGCGAATGCTCTTCCTCGTGCGCTGAAGAGAACGTTGTCGGTGTATGGGTTGTAGTCCCGGCCTGGTCCCTTAAGCTTGGCCGATTCGAAGGTTCTTGTTACGTATCATCGACGCATCCGTAGTACTCTAATTGGAAAAGGTAATATTTGGAGAACCGAATGCTGTTATATGTAGGGAGAAGAATTATAAATTTTTACCAAACCACCGAGCGCTTGCTTTGACTATCCACAACTTTGCATGTACATCGTCCATACGTCCGCCTGCTCCTCATCACATATAGTAATACATGCAATGCAACTCAAATTTATATCATGTACCTTGAAGGCTTGGTGAATTTGGGAGCCGCATATCATCGCTGGCTTGACGAGCCCTGGTCCATAGCCTTCTCGACCATCGTCGAATTGACCAACTGTCTCTTGCGCAAGCTCGTTATTGATAGTATGAGCAAGAGCATGATCTGCTCTGTGCCTGCGATTTGTATGCCCCACAGATTGCCTGGCCCGCAGTGGCTCAGAGAACCGCGATTGTTGGACGTCTCTCATGTCTAACGAGCAGTCCTGCTCTAGACAATCTTGCCAAATGCTGGAATCAATGTCTGTGCTAACCAGAAACTGAATACCAGCTTGGGCCCTGTCATCAACATCTTCGGCGTCAAACCCTTGAAGAAACTGGTTATGCCTTCTTGTCTCATCATATCCCCGACGATCTTGAACCCAGACCTGGGATCCTCGAAGTTCCTGTTTTGAATTCTCGTCTTGATCACGTCCAGTGGTGCCGAGACGATCAACGACGCGGATGCACCAACCACCGATGCAACGAAATTTTGTGACCAGGATGCCTTGTTGTAGTCCTCCAGTTTGAAGATGCTCTCTTTCGCCCAGGCTGAACCACCGAACAGCGCAAATGAACCAGGCGCATTTCGTGCTGCTGTCCATCCTGCACCACGATATAATCCCATACCTTCATCAGATATGATTTTGAAAAAGCCACGATTTCGAAAGGCCTCTGGGTTGGTCTGACGTTTTATTTTAAGGACATCGAGAGGAAGAAGTACAATTTCGCCGATACCGATGAGCGAGCCTGCAGTAGCGTTAAGCATAGCTTTTCCAGTGCCTTTTCCAAAAGTGCTATCGAAGGTTTGTTGATGGTGTTGAGTGAGGTAGTCTCGAACGAAAGGCTGACCACCATACTTGTATATCCTCTGAAGGACTTTGTAACCAGCTGCATAGCCCAGTCCTGGAAAGAGTGAGGTGAATTTCGTGCCGAGAGGCGCATCGGCGTATTGTCTGAAGATGACTGCGTTGAACGCTGGAACGGATGTAATCTAGACAGAGGTTGTGTTAGCAGCTAGTATGGGTGCCTGGGCCATGTCATGCCCTATCATCCTTGCTTTGCGCTTGGACAGTGACTGGTGATGGTACATACTTTCGTTGAATTCGACATCAATCGCTTTGCTATCGTGTCCACAGGATGGAAGACAGCCAGTTCTGCAATGCCGGCGGAGCCTATATTAATGCGTCAACATCCAGCTCATACCTGCCTCGTCGAATATGCACATACCTGAGCCCAGAAGTCGAGCCACACCCGACTCCCTCTTGAACTCTGCTGTTCCTCCTGGAGCCATGATAAAGGCTGTGGATTTGCTTGAGCTCGTGCTCAGGGAAAGAGATAAGCGTGATCCGGCGCGACTTCAGCTAGTAGGGAAGAGGCTCGAGGTTGATGCTTCGCGAAGTTTGGAGATAGGCAAGCAGTTGCCGTGTGATCGAAGCAGCGGACGATATACGATGGCTTTGGTGAATACAACTTTGGTGGTCACTTTCTCCTCCGAGTCCAGCAGCTCGCGACTACTAGTGCAGACGATCGACCGAAATTTGTTTTAGTGTGGTTTTAGCTCGAGCTCGGAAAGCTTGTTCACTTCACAAGATATCGGGCAAGAGGGATCGAAACTCTGGCTGCGAGAATCGCGAAATAGCCAGGCACAGAAATCTCTTGAGAAGGTCTCATTCATTCCGTTGTATACATGAAGAGCTTTACCGTAGCTACCATACATGAAGTAGAATATTTTATATGACTGCACCACTAGATATCAATGTGGTAACCGCTTCGTTCTAAACCTCCACTTTCAGACGTGATTTCGATGCAGACCCAGGCTCATAGTCATCTGCTTTCCTTTTTCCAAGGATTGAGTCTGGCGTCGCCGTCCTTCTGTGACCCATGTTCGATGATGGCGTGCCGACTCGATTTGGCTGTGCAGTGAGTGCTTCTCTGGCTTTTATCGCTTCTCGATAACATGATGCGTGGTAGTATCTATCGCCTACTCTAACGGCATCGCGCCAAATAAAGTCTTGTATGTCTGCCGACCATTCGCTCTTAAATGGCTCTTGGTCTATAGGGCACGTAGCATTACGATAGGCAGGGTCACTAGGAGTTCGTACGAAATCCTGTTCTTTCTTTGCTGCTGAGGCTCCTGCATGACCATTTGTGGTCGCAACAACCTCTTCCAGTCCAAGGTCGTCCTCGTATTCTTTGTTCGCAATCCATTCGTGTTCATCCACATACCACGATCTGTTTTGCCCACGCTGCTCAGCCTCTAAAGATCGTGTCTTTGTCTTGAAGTGCCAGTCGAGATGCTTCTCCTTTTTAGCCTTGCCACCATCATCCGAAGTGAATCCTCGCCCACATGTGCTGCACTGATTGGGCTTCTCGTTCATGAACTTCAGCACCAAATGCGGCCGTGGTATTTTAATGGCAGCTGACGTGAATGGTACGTCGTCGGTGAACGGCGTAGCAAAAGGCATTGTAGGCGTGTTGCTTTGTGGGGTTGCGACCTTGGACAATATGCCCGAAGCTCGAATTTGATCTAGTAACGACATTGTACCAGTACTGGGTGCCGGCACTGCAGACGCCATCGTCGGCGTACTTGATGCCGGAATCGCGTAATGCTGAGCAGAATTTGCCTCGTTCTGTGTTTTTCGTAACAACTCTGCCAGGTTCGTTTGTCCAAGAAATGCCGGTGTTTGTGGTGGAGGCTGTTGGTATTGCTGTGGAGGTTGCACTGGCGCATATGCTGACTGCTGGGGGTATGGCGTTGCATAATTCTGCTGATGTCCATTTGGTGCTTGCCACTGCGGTGTTGGGAGAGCGTAAGGATTCTGCTGCGGTTGTATTTGATTAAGACTTTGTGCAGCCAGTTTCTCGGCGTTTCGCTTCTCCATCTCTTTTGTGATAGTGTCACGGACATCGCGAAGATCTTGCTCGCCTAAGTTACCACTATCCAAGAATGCCTTCAAACTTTGTAAGGTCTCAAGCTTTTTCGATTTTGCCTGATCCATAGGATGTGTCATACAATCTATCTTCGCATCAGTCGTCAGATCGTCTATGTCTACGTGTAGCTTAGATAGATCAATGCCAGTCCTTGCCTGGATATTCTGCTGTGGATAGTGTATCTGTGGAAATGGCGACTGTACATAATTTCGTGGCGGTCCAGCAGCTTGTTGAGGCATTGAATACAGCTGCGGAGTTGATACCGGTATGGGAGGTTGCTAAAACTTAGTTAACAACGACTCTCTTTCAAAGGTGGATGCTAGGCTTACCTGGTAGTATGGTTGTGGTTGTGGTGGAGGTGTCGGCGTGGGCTGCTGTACATTGATTGGCGGTGGTTGATAAGACATAGGCGGCTGAGGTGTAGGCGTCTGTCGATATTGAAGAGCTTGAGCTTGGATCATATTTGGAAGTCGAATCTGTTGCTGTGGAGGTCTAGCACCGGTACCAGCCCTGAATCTACTGAGAGCCTCATAGATTGATTGAGTGCTTGTGAGTGGGAAGACTGGAGTATTTGACAACGATCCTGGTACTGGCTCCCGCCAAGTCTTGAGCATTTCCTCAAGCTTTCGACGAACATTCTGGTCAACTTGTGAATAAGCGAGCATAAAGGTTTCGTGCAAGCCATTGCCGAAGTACACTGTATACGGAGAGCCGACGTTCTTAACAAGCGAATCGAGGACGTAAAGAGCTGGTAATTTTCGAGCTGGAGGAGCCTAGCATGAATCAGTACGAAACGAGACATGGCGGGGACCTCGAAGCATACCTTCTTTATATGTAATATAAGCGTTCTAGCAATCGCTTGAGCATGCTCAATGTTTTCCTTGGCGATCATAGTCAAGTTGGCGATTTGATGTCTGTCATTCGTGATGAGATCTTCCAAGGCCTCTTTATAGTCGCCAGCAACCTCATCTGAAGGTAACGAAGCAGACATGATTGAAAGAAACAAGACGCTTGCGTTACTGGGGCAGTCAATAGGAGCTGGAACACCACGACAGGAGATCAATTTTGCTCGGATGATATTCTTGGGCTTTGTGAACTTTCCTCCAATTTGAGCGACAGCAAATTTGAAAGCAGATCTGTGGTCAGATCAAGGCACAATTCTCGTCTGGCAAGCTAGAGTCAGAGCGCAAGAGAAGAAAAGTGTCTGGTATCTTTTGCTATCTAATTCTCTTCCTCGCAGAGTAGTGTGCCTTCCAATAGTCAGGATCTTTCGATCACCGGGCTGGCATCGATCGAGTCTGACAAGTGACAATGCTTCAGAATCAAACAACGGACAATGATATGGGATCTGTTTCCACCTTTTGAACAGACACTATTCTGAGTGAACGTCCTTTGTCACGACGCCCGTTTCGGTGATGGTCGTTAAGATAGTGGTGCACACTGTTTGGTTGCGCAGTTTTGAGTGGAATTGCGGAGAGGGAGGATGGCAAGGACTATTGAATGGTGAAAGATGGTTTACCTAGTTGGAAGAAGTGAGCAGACTATTTGAACAGATTACAGATGAGGTTGAATGAAAGACGAACGAACCATTTGACAGTCACGGTTTGTTTGCGGCAGGTGCGGCAGGTGCGGCTTTTGATTAGTTAGGGAGATGCCTGGCCCGGACACGCATGGCTTGCGGTTCCATTAGATGCCTGAAGAGCCTGCGTCATGCGAACAAGACTGCGACTTCCTTCCTCAACACTGTTCCACCACCACATCTCATAGCAAGTGGTTGCAGCATACTTCTCTACCACAGTCTCTCAAGACATACAGATCCCGATACTAATACCCAACATGCGTCTCACAATCCTATCCATTCTGCTTGCCTTCCTCTTCGTTTTGACGCTTGGCGCAGCCCCGCAGAAAGCAATCGTTGTCTCCTTTGCAGACCCGAACACTCCTCAGTCAGAAGTCGACAAAGCAATGCAAGCGATCAAGGACGCTGGCGGTATGATCACACATGAATACAGTATGCTTGTCTCGGCAATCCAACAGGTTTCTGCTGACATGTCTCAGAACTCTTCAAAGGCTTCGCAGCGAAGGCATCCGAGTCGGCAATTGAAGCGATCCAGGCTCTAGGCAGCAAATATGTTCCTACGATTGAGCAGGATATCACCTTCTCGACACAAGATCAGTGATTGATTCAAGGCGACTGCACGGCTATAACAATGAAGATCATGATCCTTTGTAACTTGAGACTTCTCCCAGATTGTATATAGGACGTAGCAACATGAATCACAAGCAGTACTCTGTCCTGAAATTGCTTGCAGGCCTGGATTAGACTATTTTTGAACAGTCTCTTCTCCTCCTAAGTTACTGTCGGTGTACTTGTTGTCGTATCTCATTCCTCATGGCACCGTTTCCTGCGTCACTTTCGTTTTCCAAGATTCTTTGAGAGGGGTATACCCAATAACGTCAAACTGCCCTTTCTTTGTACATGCAAGCCAATATCTAAATCAGGACTTGTTCTCCAATCTCAATGTAAGAACAAGAAGCGTAACATAAGCCGCAATACTCAGTGCGGTCAGCACAACAACCACGTTACCACTGGTACGAAAGCGCTTCCGTTCTTCGCCGCCTTGCCCAACCTCGTTGAAAAACTGTCTGTTGCCCTGTTGTCGTCTGTAGGCACTGACAAGTAAAACTCCTGCTCCATATACCGCGAACAACGCTCCTATGCTGTAGAACTCGGATGTGAAGATCTTGAGAATAATGAGGGCGAAGGAGAACTGAGAAAGAGAGGTCCGAACATAGGCTCCTTCGAATGTCCTCTGAGCGGCACGAATCTCTACCAGTTCAGGTTCTGTGAGTTCGATACTGCGGGCGCGATGGGCACGTAGACGGAAGCGGTCTTCTGGATGACGAGACTACACAATGTGTTAGCTGTCAGTGACTGCAACGTGCACAATAGATAAGCCAGAACTAGCTGGATGTTGAAAGACTTGAACATACTGAGAACATGTTCGGTCTCGGGAGGTTGTTTGATTCAAATCCGCGTTATCTGGATCATTTTGTGCAGTTTGTGATCTAGCGATCTCGATATTGTCACACGGTCGGCCAGTCCAATATTTTATCTTAGTATGCCCTGGAAGCGAATACCACGATTTGGTTCTTCAGGTAGTGCGACGGACGGTTTCAAGTTGTGACGACTGGCAAGAACAGAGTAGAGCGAGATGCATCAGGAAGTGAATACTCATTTCTGCTAATTTTATTCCAATAATTTATGTGATGTAACGTCTTAGGTCGCGAACCACCCATCTCTACTTCTGCTGCCTTGAAGATCAGTATCTGGCTATTGACGCCAAATATCTCGAGCAATCACTGAACAGTACTTCGAAATCCTGAGAGCAGTGCTCCGAATCTTGTGAACGCAGATACAAAATCGAAGTTGCTTGCAAATGTACTCAGTTCGGAGAGCTCTCCGCTCGAAACCGCCCCCATCAACATCATGGTCAATACCCGACACTGTGCTCAGCCAATCACAACTTCTCCACACAGAAGTTCAGGCTTTCTCGGGCTATGCTTCGCCGAGGACTACCTGAATAGGTTGACAGAGATTGAAGAGGCAAAGGTCCACTCTACTATACTTATTCATGGGGTATCGTTAGATAAGACGTTGTGAAGGACGAGGGATCACCTTTGATCTCCCACTCCAAACGTGTCATCCTCTACAAACCACCATGGCTGCCTCGGAAAGATTAATCGATGCTGCTGAGGTTGCCAAGCACAACACCACGGAAAGCTGCTGGGCAATTTTATATGGGCAAGTCTGGGATGTTACAGACTTCTTGCCAGAGCATCCCGGCGGTGCCAACATCGTGCTGAAGTTGGCTGGGAAAGATGCCACTGAAGAGTATGACCCTGTACATCCACCAGGTACCTTGGAAGAGAATCTGGATCCGTCAAAATGCTTGGGTCCAATCGACCCGAAGAGTTTACCAGAGCCTGTCCAAGCAGCGAAGAATATTGGCCCAGAAGCAGATGACAGCAGACAAGTTCCACTCGCAAACTTATTGAACTTGGATGAGATTGAGGCAGCTGCCACGAAGAAGCTGAGCAAGAAGGGTTGGGCGTACTACTATTCAGCCTCTGACGATCTTCAGTCAAAACACCTAAATAATACAGTCTACCGCTCCATATTGCTTCGGCCTAGGGTCTTTGTGGATTGCAAAGAATGTGACCAATCGACCACATTCCTAGGTCACAAGCTCGATACACCTATCTACGTCTCACCCGCAGCAATGGCAAGGTTGGCTCATCCCGATGGTGAGTGGGGCATCGCTCAGGCATGTAAGAACTATGGTGCTATGCAAATCATCGTAAGTACAAATTTTAGTCCAGACTCTCAGTCCATACGGCTGCTGTATGTCCTTGCAGGTTCCCTGACTAACGAGTAGCAGAGTAATAACGCTTCAATGACACCAGAGCAAATCGTGCAAGATGCAGGGCCGAACCAAGTATTTGGCTGGCAGCTGTACGTTCAGACCGAGCGCAAGAAGTCAGAAGACTATCTAGCACGCATCAATAAGCTTGATGCCATTAAATTCATCTGTTTGACACTTGACGCACCTGTTCCAGGCAAGCGCGAAGATGACGAAAGGAGTAAGAATATCACTGAAGATACTGACGAGGCAATCAAGGACGCCGGTGGCCAGAAACTCAAAGGTGGAGGCGGAATCGGTCAATCACTCTTCTTCGGCACGGACCCAAGTTTGACGTGGAAAGAGACGCTGCCTTGGCTGAAGAAGCAGACTAACAAGCCGATTATTCTCAAGGGACTTCAGACTCATGAAGATGCGTATATTGCTGCTCAGCACGCGCCACAAGTACAAGGTATCATACTCAGCAACCACGGCGGACGCGCACTGGATACAGCGCCACCTTCGATTCACACCTTGCTCGAGATTAGGAAGTACTGCCCGGAAGTCTTCAGCAAAATAGATGTTATCATAGACGGCGGCATAAAGCGTGGAACGGATATCGTCAAGGCATTGTGTCTGGGTGCGAAAGCAGTCGGCATCGGCCGCGGAGCGCTCTTCGGCCTTGGTGCTGGTGGTATAGAAGGTGTCGAGCGAACACTGGAGATCCTGCGAGATGAGACTGCAACATGCATGCGGCTCTTGGGCGCCAAGACTGTGCCAGAATTAGGACTTCATTTCATCAACACGAGAGCTGCGGACCGGGACATTTACGATGGTCCAGCGAATCTGCCTGGTATTGCTGGTGCTGTGCAAGGTTTGGTGGCTAGAGCGAAGTTATAAGATGAATACATGTCGAACCACACACTGTGCAGGACGACAGAGTACCACAACATCGACACTTCAACCTCTTCAGAAAGTGACACAAATTGGGTTAGCGAAAAGGAGGCACAGTGTTGTGTCGGTGGATGAAAGCTGATGTATCCAATGACATTCGATCCAGGCTCCATTGTTTTTTTCAGCACACTATCAAGGCAGCCATTAGCGACAGTCGCGTGATCCAGTAGGGAGCATGACTCTTATGCTCCTTGCTCAACAACTCCGAGAATGGTTCGGTATACACCCATCAGAAGATACACACTTCTCAAGTCGAACCCAGTCGCACGCAGTCGGTACCGGCTATACCGTCAGCAATAAGTGTGTGTCACAGACACGATGTGGATGGATAGTCACACATATACGACTGGTAACATAGCTACTCGCTTTGAGCGCTCTCGTGGGGATGCACACCCTCAGCACCATGTGCGTGCGCAGAGGATATACATTCTGGGTACCACTAGTACTCGCATGGATGCTGCGGGCATGATTATAAAAGAAGTTGGCGGTAAATAATAATCATACAGAGAAGGAGGGCCAACATAGTCGGAGACCAGCAGGAGACGAATAGACAAACAAGGTTTCGTGGATAATGTTCTGTATGGCCCGACAAGGTTTTTCTCAGAAGACTTCATTGTCAACACTCGCACCAAACCAGTTCCGCAACTCCTGCTCTTCACTATTGATACCCCTCATCATGGTATCGCCTACACCAAAATATTGGCTCAATCTGTTATTCTCCTTGTCATCATCTGGCCAATCGACCTGAACTGCTTTGCTTCTGTCTTCAAGCATATCCTTGACCGTGCCCCAGCTGAACCTACACTCTGAACCCCAGCCAAACATATCGTCCATATTGCCTTTGAGCCAAGTAACACATTTGGCGTCACTTGGATAACCACTTCCCCAACCGACCTCATCAATCATGACGCCGTTATCCTCGAACTGAGCTTGCTTGCCTTCCACGACCTTTGAGTACAGAACTTCGCAGCTCACGTCTCTCGTGACCTTTGCAACCACACTAGCAGCACTAACACAAGGATACAAGCTGTCTGCCTTCTTCTCAACAGTAATCTTCACAGTCGGAAAGATGGCTTGCAATTTCTTCTGGTACGTGCCAGGCTGCCCGATGGTATCAACATAGATCTCAACCACATTAACCCCACGCTCAATGACACCACGAACCACCTCGACTGTGGCGTCCATGGCCTGTGCATTGAGGTTATAGCTCCCGCCGTTTCGCATCATCCCTGCACCAATATCCAGGGCTGATAATGACTTGATGGCCCAGCCACAATTCTGATGCAAGTCACTCCCCACCGTGCATAGAGTGCGCATGAGCCGTGCACGTACAAGGGGTGTTAACACTTTACTGTCATCGAAATGGTGGGTCTCTGCTAGAAGAGAGTGCTGGAGTTCGATTGGAAGGTAGAAGATCCCGTAGACCATGGGGCCGATGACGGGGCCACGACCGGCCTCATCGACGCCGAGGACAACGGGTGTGCCTTGTGTGTTGGTTGTGGCATTGTTACTGCTGATATTCGTTGGCATTGGGCTGTAGTGAGTGTAAGAGTGGCCGGAGTGGAGGTTGTTGAGGTGTTCTGAGACTGAGGGTGGGATGTATTCTGTTGCTACTGGCTGTTCGGGTGTTTCTTGGGACATAATGAAGAAGGGCTCCTTGGGCTCTTACAAATTATAATATTTAAATCCGCGACGACTTTTCCAATGCTGATAAGAGCTTTGTCGAAAGGCTTGTTATGCCAGACTAGGTGCGTGACTCAGCGATAAATTGTGTGAATTGTACCTTTTTCTTCCGTAATGAGCTTGGAGGACGCGTTTCGTTCGTGTTTGGCTCGCGAAAGCGTGTAGTGCAAGCAGCCGACGATTCGCCGAAACAGGATCCACCTTCCATAATCATTGTTTACATTGGCTCGAAGTCATTCTCACCCACTAAACAACCGAGATGTATTGCTATACCGACCATCGATACCTCTAATTCGACTGCTATACTACTGCGCCTGTCGCGAATATGCCGACAAGGTCAGCTGCGCCAGCTGGCGACCGCGAATATGACTATACGAACGTTGGCAAGGTCGGTCGCAGGACAGGATTGACCTTGGAAGCACGCCCGGTCGATCAATACGGCATGGAGGAGATAACTGGCTTGTTTTCGTCGCCGAAAAAGCCCTCGCCAGTGGCGCAAAGAGTGATCGTGGAGTCGATCGAGGTACATAACAAGACACCTCGTGCAGGTAGTGGGCGCGCTCGTCTAGAAACACCAGGAACCGCTACTTCTACACGAAGATCAACAAGAGGTAGCTCACATCCACCTCCTCGTTCAGCATCACCTCGAAAATCTGGGATCACCGGTTCGGCACGAAGGAGTGGCGCGGTAGATGTCCTTGCGCATAAGGAAACTCGAGAGGAGGCAGAGAATGCGACTGGGAAAGCGCAAGAGCAAGGACAACAGCTGGAGCGGGAGCCAAAATCCGTCAGAACACCTTCTACGGCCCTTCAAACCAGAGTTTCCTCAGCAAAAGCTGCCACAGCACGTCGATTCAGTCCAGAGAGGACTCCTCTACTCAATCGAGTTCTGGGCCGACCATCGAGAAGTGCCGTTGTTGGTAGAGTCTCAGATGTGCAATCAAGCATTTTACAAGAAGAAATAGAAGATGTGCAAATAGATACACCCAGTCATTTACAACCCAGTCGTGAGCTACCGGATGAGTTGCGGGTCGAAGACAACATGGATGTCATAGGTACTGCCGAAGATGAGGAGCCCGACGAAGAGCCCATTCAAGAGCAGGTCAAAGAGCTTGTCGAGGAGCCAGCCGGAGCGCCAGTCGAAGCGTCTGTCGAAGAGTCCATAGAAGAATCAATCGAACAACACAACGGGGACACAATCAAAGAGATCGACCAAGAGCCTACAACTCAACAATCAGATCACGAAGACAGTGAGCCAGAAATGCCACCTCTGCCTCCTCCCGTCGACGACGAAGACGAAGACCAGACCTTCGATCCTTCAATTCTAACAAGCAGACGTGGGCAACCAAACAAAGCAAATTCTAGGAGGAAACGCAAGTCAGATGCCACAAGAGATATTGAAGAAGTTCGTGCTGTGTCTTCACCAGCAGCAAGAAGAGCAAAGAGAAGAAGGACAGAAAGTGTGTCGAACAGTCAGGATGAGAGTCATGTACAGAGTACACCTGAACGACCTCAATCTAAACAAAAATCGAAGCGAGGACGTAAACCGTTGGCACAGAAAGACACAAATAAGAAATTACCGAAATCAAGACAGAAAGAGGTAGATGATATGGTCGAAAGGATAAGAGCGCGTCCAGGTCAACAGAGATCACTATATATGCTGCGCAAAGAGACACCCGCGGACGATAATATCGCACGCACAAGATCTGGCAGAATAAGTGTGAAGCCTCTAGCTTGGTGGCGCAACGAGGGTATTGTCTACGACGCAGGAGATGGCAGTGGAAAGAGCCTGGCAGATGGCGCGCGATTCCCACTCAATAGCATCAAAGAAATCGTACGGACGGATGAATATAACAGCCCGTTTAGGCCGAAAAAGAAAGGTAGACCAAAAAAGGGCAAAGGCAATGCCCGAGAAGATGACTCCGATGTCGACCTCGATGGCAACGAGGATATGGTAGACCCCGAAGCTGACGACTGGGAGCTGGAGAACGGTACACTCAGGGGACGGGTAGCAATTTGGGATGTTGACCAACAAGCTCCTGTCGACGAGGAGGAAGTAGCTGAGATTGCTTACGCTGCTGGTGCCATTGAAACAAAAGAAGTAAAGGGTTCTGAATTCAGATATGCCAAGCTTGTGAGCACACCGTTCTCTGGCACGGGTGTCGTGGATATCCCTCCTGGTGGGAGCAAGAAACCCAAGAATTCTCGGAAGATGCACATGTCGTTCTATGTGGCTCAGGGCAGAGTCACTGTGGAGGTCGGACCGTTGCATGGAGAGCCGACGAGATTCAGTATTGGCAAGGGCGGCTTTTGGCAAGTTCCTAGAGGTAAGATTGTCGTTCCTGAGCCAAAAGGTGCCTTTTCGCTGACTTGTCCTGCAGGCAACAATTATTCCATCGAGAATGAACACGGTAAGACTGCCAGGCTGATATTCAGTCAGGCGTGCGAGCCAGCTCCAGCTGTCCAGAACGAGGGGTAGTCTCTCTGGTCTCTGTTGTTGACGATGTATGAATGTCGATGTATATGATGCAGTGTATTCTTCTTGAGCAAGTATGGTTGTCCGTATTATTCTGGCTCTTTTTTCGGAGCGAAATGAGAAGATATGAACCTCCTGGCGGTAGCAGATGTTCATTAATCTGTACTCCTGGCTGGCAGACTTCTTAACATGGTGCATCGATTGGCACAGTTGTGATTGAATTCAGCGAGCTGACACAGCCGGTCGTGATGCTGCTAAAGTGTCGGTCCAGCGTCGACTCTACGCTCGATAAGCGAACTCGTTCAGATCTCTTCCATATCGCTATCCACCAGATCATCGAGTACCATGAACACATCTCCAACTTCGATCTTTTCTGGTCTCACGAGCCCACCATACTTGGCTCCTTTTGTCTCAAACACTTGCCTCTTCTCCCTGCTTCTCTTCCCACTCTCCGTCACAACCTCAACCTCCACACTCCCATCATTACGTCCCACCGGCTCATCAAACTCCACCCCAACCCAAACACATCCCTTCTCTCGGTCACCGCCCAAACCTTCAATCTCACCCACATACCTCACCACCCCCCTCCGCTCATCACTCCCATCAACCTGACACCTCATCCCAACCCCGATATTCTTCCCCTCCACCACCCTCATATCCTTCTCCTTCCTCTCCTTCACTAAAAGCTCCAACGGCTTGGCATGCGGATCAAACCTCCCTAAATGCTGCCGCTTCTTCCATGCCAAAACACTATCATTGAGCTTCTCATACTGCTCCTCGGGCATAACGTATTTTTCAACATTACTCACGTCGCTAAAATTTTCGCGTGTCCCTGGTGGTCGAAGGTCAATGACTTGTAACTCGCTATTTCGCGTTAGACCCCATCGTGCGTCGCCGGCGAGGGCACTGTCTGGTGAGAGTGTGATCCAGGTTTGTCCGTCGATGCTGAGAGTGCGGAGGAATTGTGAGGAGGCGGGGATGCCAGTGATTGGTTCGAGGCGGGTTTTGAGTTCGGACAGAGTCCAGGAGGGGGTTATGCGGCGTTCGGAGCGGACGAGGATCTTGGCGTTGGGTGTTGTGTCGTGGGGGACTGTGATGGTTAGGGGGATGTCGTGGGGTGTTTGGAGGGACATGGCTGTTCTGTTGATGTGGTTGAGTTCGTGAGTGTGGCGCTGCTGAGAAGGAACGACGAGCAGTTCGTGAATCTGGAAAGTGACTTGATTTTCGATTGATTGAAGAAGTGAGTTTGGTCTGCTGAAGATACTCTTGTCTGTGACCGGCTACGTAGTTCCCGGGTGACTTGTTAGCGGCAACATGTGACTTGTGACGAGCATTACGGTCAATCCTTACTTAATTGTCCGGAGTAATAATGTCCTGAATGTTGCACGAATACGTACTTGTGGTCATACGGGTCACAGAGAAGTGTGCCTTATTATAAACGACTTGTGTGTTCAGACGAGGCAGCATTGAATGACACATTGGATCTGTGCCAGAATATTTGAGCAGGGTTGATTTCAAGACCACAACTGAGAGTCCAGCCGTGCTCACCACTAGGAGTGCAGAGATCCGCGCCTATATTCTATCGCCTGGCAGTTAAGGTCCACGACGATGATCCTCGCCGTAGATCGGTGATCTTCAAAGTTCGATGGCTCCTTGTACCCTCTCGCTAAGACGGCCAGCTCTCTGGAAGTGTAGTCAAAATCCCAAAATGCAAGCAGACATGTCTATATCAACCAACGCAAGTCAGACTCACTTCTCTTTTTCGCGAGATAACAAACAGATAACAAGAGCTGTTCTCCAAAGATGCGTAGAGTTGTGCGAGTCCACGGCGGCACAAGCATATACTGGCCGAGAGATCTTCAGCTGAACTCCTTCGAAAGTGATGTCGTGGGTCTTTCAGCTCATTGGTTCTCCAGCAGTAGTCGTCGCAAAATCTTGCCTGCTGGGTTTCGAGGTATTTGATCCACGAAAACCACTCCACCTGTCAGACGCTTGTAACCCACAGTCTGGGACGATGTCCAGGCACAGATGTCGTCGTCATCGATATGACTTCCCTTAGCACGAACGACGTATGCGCGCGGATGTGTTTCTTCCAGTCCAGCATGGTCTACTGAGGTGACGCCAGCGACTGCACAATCGACGACTTTGGGATGAGAAACGATCTTCTCCTCCAGCTCTTCAGGGGATACTTGCCAGCCCTTGACTTTCATGATATCCTTTATGCGACCAGTGATGAAGACTTTGCCGTCCTGGTAATAGGCACGGTCACCTGTGCGGTAGCAATGCTCGGAATCAAATGCGGTATGATTTGCAGCCGGGTTGTTTCGGTAGCCAAGCATCATGGCGGAAGACATGACCGATGCCTCGCCATATATACCCTCTTTAGTGATAGGTTGTCCGTCTTCCGAGACAAGTTTGAGTTTCACATTGGCGAGCAGCTGACCCACACTGCCACTACGATCAAGTTCCATGTCAGGCGTCAACGTCAGCCATCCCGTCTCCGTGGTACCCCAGCATTGTGAGATACGGCAATCTTCATGCAGATATTGGTAGAATGCGTCTTGAACACAAGGCGCCATCTTCGAACCTGCACATATCAAGCGACGTAGTGAATGTAGCTTGTGCTTTAGCTGATCTCCATATTGAACCAGCATCGAGATAATGGGAGGAACAACTGGAGCATCAGTAATGGAGAAGTCGAAGACAGCATCGATGAACTCGTCACGATAGAAGCGAGGTAGGATGTATGTCGTGATACCAAGCCGAAGAGGTAGTATCATAGCAGTATTGCTGGCGAAGCAGTGAAAGATGGGCAGACTAACCAACTGTGAGACCTACCTCCACAATTAGCACACAATGAAACAGTCAGAGGTTGTAAAATTTACCTGTGCTGCTCTTGCTCGGTATTGTTCTTCAAGCGTCAGGGCTTGTGAGACGATATACTTGTGAGGTAAGACAGCTGCCTTCGGCAAACCCGTCGTGCCGCTTGTTGTGGCATGTATAGCGGGTCTTGTTGTGTCTGTATGGATGAGCCATTGTTGCTGACCATGTTCGAGAAGCACACCGAACTTGTTGAAACCGTTCGGATCAGTCTCCCCGTCTTCACGGTGGTGACCATACAGCTGGGGATCTGATTTGCCATCGAAGACAAAAACCGACTGAAGGGTTATGCCACATGCTGTTGTAGCTTTGACGATGTTGCCCGAGTACGGTGCCTGAATGACCAGATACTTTGTAGCCGTGACATTAAGGTGGTGTTTCAATTCGGAAACTGTCAGCGCGGGATTCGCGCCAGCAACGACTCCTCCTGCACCAATGATGCCTAACCAGATTAGGGGATACAAGATCTGCCGACCCCAAAACGTGGTTAGCTGCTTCACAGCAATGTACAGCTTAATTCTTATCTAGACTCACATGGTTTGCACTCGATATTGTTACACAATCTCCCTGTTGAAGGCCTATCTCTTTCCATCCTTTGCACAATCTACGCACGATATGTCGTGCAGTCGCCGCGGTTATGTTCTTTGTGGAATCCCTGGCGTCCACAAATATCTGGGGTCGTTAGCGAGGCGCTTTTCCAGGGTTGAAAGAGCATCGAACAGGTTTATTCTCATCGTATGACACGTCACCGTCGAAAGTGAAACTGAGGATGTCGAAGTCGGGCACCTTCAGCGGTTGAGCGGAGATCCAGAAAGAGGATGATGATCCTGAGCTTGTAGACATGGTAGGGTACGGCTCGTTACACCCAGCGATCAGTGTCTGCGGTTGTGAAACCTCGCATTGAGCGGTAACGGGCAGGCGCAGGTCAGGTAAGACGAAATACTGATATGATGGCGGAAGGCTGTGACGAAACAGAAAATGACTGGATATGTCGGCCGCGACAACGACAAACCCCAACTAGGTACGCATGCAATTTTCCTCGTTCAAGGTACTCAAATCCCATGTAAGCACATAGGTGTTTGTAAACAGGCTGGGTTCAACGCTCTGTCTAGAGTCAAAGTCGTATGCGCAAACGTGCTTAGGGTATATGGTATGCGATTCGGCAGATTTCAGTCAGTGTGCTTCTGTTCGATTATGGTGATGATTTGCGGGTTGCAACGGGAGGGAATATTCGTCATTGGTATGACTACGAAATTGATCAGCCAGGCAGTTTCTCCACTATCACTCGACCCTTTGAGCGTGGCTGTGAAAGCAACGAGGTGTTTCCACGTGTAAAGGTAGTGCATGGCGACCACGAGGCAGAAGAACCTACACGTCACGCTTAGACGCGCATCTTTGAGATACTGGTAGCTATTGAAGTGGATGGTTCGCTATGTATCAGCAGATGTTTTATGGTAAGATCTGTCAACCAGCGTTGACGTGCGCTAAGCGTGGTTGCAAGACGCGCTGTCTGCAAGAGAAGACATCGGCTTTGCTTCTAGACTGGTTTTGACAGCCAGGGGTCAGTATATATCATTCTTTGAGCGCTGATGTGTTGTCAACCCAACCTAACGTTGTTGAGCAATGACTTTGGGGCAGGAGCATACCAGATTTGAGGAAAAACACCTTCCACTCCAGGCGTTCTGGCAGTAAGCGAGCAACGGCAGGTGCCAATTGGTTCCCGGAATCGGCACTCAACGCGATTGTCGACATCCATGATGCTGGGACTATCATCGAATGATGGGGTTGCCCATCCTCAACCTTCGGTACCTGGCGCTGTATTGTGGGCGGATGATTATTACCAGCTTGACTGAAGGCATGAGCACCGCTTCCTGAATCACACGGTTGAGCACGATCGGGCTGTAATCCGCCTCGAGCATTTATTTCACATCTTCCACGTGTTGAGGGACACTACTCCCGTCTCTCGGTTCACAGCTACAGGCTTTTGATATTCCAACCCTCAAGGTGGTTCACTCCAAACCGGTCGCACTCATGCTCATGGTCGTTCTGCATCTGTCATCGATGTTAGGTTGCGGTATTCAAAAAGCTTACCTTCAGACGACGTCTGTCAAAACAGCTTCGGCACCCACGACCTGCATTCGTTGATGGTCATTGGATCTATGCCGATCACTTTTGTTTGATTTCACCATACTGCTACTATTGACAGTCGACAAAGTCAAGAGACAAAGGCTCGCTCTTTCACATAAGCGTTGCCCGGTGTTGCTCAAGTGATATAGTCCGAACGACGTCGACATCGACGACATCACCGGTCCTATTGCTACTCCAGGTAAGTTTTCGCCATGTTAACTTTCAAAACACTAAATCCATCAACTCGAGAGCACAATGTCTCCTTTTTTCTTGTCAAACATATGGAATCCTTCGAGACGTTGTTTTCCAACAGGACACGATGAGCTGACCAAATGGCTGTCAGAGCTAAGCCGCATACATATAGGTATGGCTATTGCCAGTAGAAATACAGCCCTCATTCGAGAGGACATAGATCTGGAAAAAGGTCTTCAGCTTTATTTCAAGGATGGACTTGGTGCTACAGCTCGACCAGAGCCGGCGCTCCGGAAACAGGAGGAAGTATACAGCAACGAGTCGTTCATTAGTAGCACCTCGACTTTGACTGCAGAGAAGATTAGCGGTTCTGGAACACAACAATTGCCCAACAAGAAACATGGTCGTACTCACCGCAACATGCGGTTTACTTTCTTCTCCGTGTACCGCAGATTACATCTGCTTGTGGTGCTGGCAAATATAGCCGTAATCGCAGGATTATGGGGATCAGGAAAGCTTTTCAGCCTCGAAACAGAACTGATCGGTACTGCAGCCGCAGCCAACCTTCTTGCCGCAATTTTGATAAGACAAGAACTGATTATCAATCTGCTATTTGCCACATTCGGTATGTGCCCGCATTGGCTACCACTGCGTATACGTCGGTTAGCTGCCAAAATCTACCATCTGGGAGGAGTCCACTCAGGAGCTGGCATCGCAGCAACGATCTGGTGGGGCATTTTCAACGTCCCAATCGTGAGGGCTTGGAAATCAGACAGCTTTCACGATACACGGATTGACAACGCTGTACTTACCATTACCATTATCCTGGATGTGCTACTGATAGGTATAGTTACCTTTTCACATCCATGGTTGAGGTCAAAGTTCCACAACATCTGGGAAGCAATACATCGGTTTGCCGGATGGACAGCCGTTGCTCTGTTCTGGGCTCATGTGGTACTGAGTACTCATGCACAGGAGAAAGCAAGTGGTCAAACAATGGCAGAGCTTCTCGGCAGAAATCCTCTCTTCTGGATTCTTCTCGTTGTTACCGTTTCCCTCATTCTGCCTTGGCTGCGGTTGCGAAGAGTGCCGGTACGAGCAGAACACCTTTCGACGCATGCAGTCCGACTGCATTTTGGCTATACGAACCTTCCGCTGTGTGCCGCACCTCGGTTCTCTGACAGTCCGCTCAAGGAGTGGCATGCTTTCGCGGGTATTCCTGAGTCAGATGGTGTTGGCTTCTCGGTTCTGGTCTCTGATGCAGGAGACTGGACGAAGAAGATCGTCCAGAGTCCTCCGAAACAGCTCTGGACCAGAGGCATACCTGCCAGAGGCGTTCTGCATGTTGCACCAATTTTCAAGAAGCTGGTGCTAGTGGCAACTGGTTCAGGAATTGGTCCTATATTGTCGTTGCTTTATGCGCGCAACCTCAACGTGAGGATTATCTGGTCGACCAAGGACCCCATCCAGACGTATTCATCTGCGATAGTTGAGCAGGTGATACAGGCCGACCCCGAGGCAGTCATCATCAATACTACCAAGCGAACCACCAGAGGCTCTCGACCCAATCTCGTCCAGGAAGCATATGACCTTTACCGGAAATCACAGGCAGAAGCGGTCTTTGTCATCTCAAATCCCCAGGTCACACGTAAGGTCGTATATGGGCTCGAATCCAGGGGTGTTCCTATTTTCGCACCTATCTTCGATTCTTAAGGTGTGTTACCTCACAGGAAGTTTGCACATGATGCACATCGAATTGTATATACATACCAATCATCTCACAAGTTTTTGGCACGTTTGCGGATACAAGGGATGAAAATAGCTGGGACATCCCCGAGCATTGACAGTGAAGGTACTCAGCCTGGAGGGGACCTTGGGTTTTAGAGAATGTAGATGAAGCAGAGTTATGGTCAAAGTAGCTTTATGGTTGTGTTACACATAGTCACACTAGTGGCATCTCCTTCACAGTTAGTATGATATTGTGTACTCCTAGTCAATCTCAAGAACTGTTTCAAGCTCTTTACTCTACCTTTTGTACCTCACTCTTCCCTGAGTTTATGCAAAAGTGTAGGCAACAATCTTGCCTAAGAGTAACGGCAAAGCAGTCACTCATTCTTCGACATGTTACAGAGTCACGCTGCTACCAGCCAGGGCCCTTGTCAATTCCAATTTCTTATCTGCAACAATGTCGTGGTGGTTGGCGTGGTTGGACAATGGGTTAGCTGTAGGAGGTGGAAAGATTAGCGCGAGAACAGAAGATAGTACAGAAACCTGATGTTTTAGTACTTCAATCATATTCACGGTCAAGTTTGAGAACATTCTTTAGCACACACTCTCATCTATCATGCTAATCTCATCTACCAAATACCAGAGATTGAAGTCTGGTGGTCAGTCAATCACTCATCAGCAAAAATCCACCTTCCATTTCCCGATATCGCATCGTCGTACTTCTTCTTAGTCTCAGCTCTTTCCAATTCTTTAGCCTTCTTCTTATTCTCCGCATCCTCCTGAGTGCCAGGCATGTCCATCGTCCAGAAGCCAGGAGGATCTGCTTCCTTGTCATAGTCGACTCGTTGCCTTCCAAACTTCTCAGCTACAAATTTGACCCTTGCTTCGGCAAGCAGATTATTCCTGGCTATGTTTGTAAGGGCGGCGATTTTCTGCTCTGAGTTGGGACCTAGGAAGCGTAGTAGAAGCTCGTCGTCGATGAGCTTTTCGCCACGTTCGTGCTGGCCTGGCATTTGTGGGAGGGTTGCTGCTATCATGTCGATGCGTTGTCGGTTGCGGCCGTGGAGGTAGTCGTCTATGGTTCTTCCTGCGGTGTCTATCCAGCGAGGGTTGGGTTTGAAGTGGTATGAGGATAATTTGTCGAGGGGCTTTGAACGTAGAGGCTCTTTGTTTTCGGACGGCCGCTTTGAAGATCTGTTTGAGGGACGACTGTCGATAGTAGGTCGTGGTCGTGCAGTGTTTGCTTCAGTGGTGTCAGCGTGGATTTCTTCGCTTTCTCGTGCTATGGTTGCAGTTGGTAGAGGCACTTCATTGGTTGTGTGGTCAATGTTGGACATAACTGGAGGCCTCTTGCTCAGTGAGCTTGGCGTTGATGTGTCTTGCGCGGTAGCCGGACTCGTTCGACTCAGAGGAGACCTACTTGCTACAGGAGCTGCGAGTAGGCCATCTAGACGATCATACATTGACCTTTTCCGAGTGGCTGGTGTTCTTCCTGTATCTTGCTCTTCAACCACATGGTCGTCGCCATCCTCTGCGAGGAGTGGTATAGCGGCAATCTTCTTTTCCACAACGCTTCTCTTAGAGGCATTGGAAGAAGATCTTGAGTGACGCATGTTTACATGAAGTTCTTGTAGAGAATTGTCGCCATGCTTCTGGCGTTTCCTGGGAGGTGATGAATTTTCGATCCTCTCGGAGTGCTCTATAGGCAGAACTAAGAGGGGAGCACGTTTGGGTGAGGAAGGTTCAGGTGTTGAGAAGGTAGATCGTGGGGATGAGATGGGCGCACCCAGCCGACCATTGGCCTTCTCCTTGTATTGTCTGAGCTTCTTCTTCAGCTTGTAAATTTCGGCTTGAGCTTCCACGTTCTTCTGAAAGAGTTCATCGATTTCGTGACTCTGCTCTTGTGGTGGCTCATGCTGATGCCGCGTTGCTTCAACGGGATCAATCCTCAACTGCTCAAGCTCTTGCCTCTCCTGTTCAGCCTCATGTACCTGTTGTTTTGCATCATGCAGCTCTTTCTTTAGCCGATCGACCTCGTTTGACAGTGCCCGCTCAGCGTCATTCTGCCTAGAAAGCTGCACCTCTTTCCGCAATCGTTCGTTGTCTCGTTGTAGTCGCTCAAGGCGAGTCCCCTGATCTCTTATGGTCTGTATTTGCTCCTGGCTTTGCGACAAAGCCAAAATAAGCGTGTTGGTCAACTCACCAGGAGTATTGACTGACATCGATTCAGCTAGGTTTGCCTGTTTCGCAAAGACGCGTCCTGCAAAGTGTCTATCGCGCCTCGGCAAGTAGATAGCCCGAGCCGCGAATGGAGATAACCGCCACGAATAGTGCCACACCTCGTCCTACGAGCAAAGAGGTCGCACCTCGATATAGTAGTGAACCGCTCCTCCACAGCGATGAAAAGAAAGTCAGAGGCCGAACTCTCAACACGACCAGCGAAGCGTCAGCGAAATGGTACCCAAATTCACCTGTTCGACTTAAGTGACGAACTCCTGCTGCGCACACTATCGTTTCTACGCATCGAAAGTCTGATACGATGCGAACGCGTTTGCCAGAAGTTGGGGAAATTATCAAGGGATAATTTGATATGGCGCGAGCGGTACTTCGCCCACTTTGTTATACAAAGCACAAGACGTCTACCATACCTGAAACCTGCGACTCTGCGCGAGTACGCCACTCCAATATTGCATCGTTCGTCCCGTTATACACAATGGATTGCGCACTCGCCTCTAGTACATGCCGGCTCCGACACGAACTGGAAGCAGGTTTTCAAGGTCCAATACAACTGGCACAGAGGAAGAGCTAGGACCTTTGAAATGCAGGTAGGCTCCACCCCTACTCCAGTTGTGCTTGCGAAGGTGTATCGAGGCTGCCTTTTCACGGCAGACCAAGAACATGGCTTGCGTACCTGGAAGGATGGCATTGAGACATGCAAGCATGTTCTAAGCAGAAGGAGTGATCCGTCTGCCCTGGATATTGAGTGCGAAGGAGGCCTCACACGTGTCTCTCTCGGCCATATTGACGGCTTTGTGGAGATTTATACTATAGACGCATTGGGAGGAATTCATTTGAGCGCTGATGCTTCATTTGGCGGATCACCGATAACGTCCGTGGCCCTGGCATGGCCATACCTGATGACAATGGACAAGTCGAATTCCATCGCACTGTTCAAGAGTTGCTGCTCGTCAAATGATGATGATGCACGTATGAAGTGCTTGGCTAATCTACATTGTGATGCAGATTTGGCACCTGCGGCACTGTCGCTTCGACGAACCCCAACAACTCTAATGGCAGGCATAGCTTACGCTTTCAACAGGTTCAGGTCTGGATGGTGTTTGGGATTGCAGGAAATACGCATGGATCTTGCAGGCTCAGTCTTGAAGAACAGAACGACCTCAAGTGTGACCACACCACTTCGACAATCTTTCAACGACCAACCGCAGTTCACATCAAGGTCCGCCTCCACGTCGCCTTTCGGGCTGCATCCTCAACTTATGCGCGCTCCAAACAGCTTGTCATATTCGGGCTGTTACATTCTAGCTACACTGCCTGACAACACGCTTATGGTTTACACCGTCACCTCGACGGCAGAGAAACTGGAGATCAACGTTGGAAGAAGATTATGGGGACACACCTCGGCAGTTTCAGCCGCGGAGGTCACCAGTACAGGCAAAGCTGTCTCGATATCTACAAACAGTGAAGAGATGCGATACTGGGAATTGGAAGAAATACTCAGTTCCTCTTCGCAAGGCAAGACAAGCACTGCTATCAAATCGTCTCACATGCTGAACGACGCTATCAACAAGAGAGGTAGCGGACTCGGCCTGGCTATCAAAGAAGTCCAGCGAGAAATGGATTTTGTACGGAGAGGCATATCCTTTGATGACGAGCAAGCAGTGGTGGTCGGGCAGCGAGATCAGGGACAGTTCATTTCATGCTTCAATTTCGCTTAACTTTTTCCCAATCATAATGTGAGGCTCTTTCAATTGTGTTCGCTCTAAACCCACGACCAAATCAATACCCTCACAAAGTCATGAAAATGTCTTGCAGTGCCGATCACAATGCGGTAGGGCAACGGCCAAAAACGTGGCGGTAGATGGGATCCACTCACTGTCCCGCTTTCCAAAAATCTGGAAATCTTCGCGATAGAAGTGCGCTCCGACTTGGTATTGCAAGCATTGTTCTTCTGCTCTTTTTCAGCCGCGACATTACTGAATACGCAAAAACCGATTGTTGTTTAAGCAGATTCCCGACAGCTACCTGCAACTTTGACCATTCTATACCGTTTTCATCCTTCTACCGAAAAAGTCGTTCACCTATATCATCATGGAACGAGGTTGTTTCAACTGCGGTGAATCCGACCATCAGGGTATGCGAACTACTACACAGGTATTCGAGCATTCCTTCTGACACAATTATAGCTCGCGATTGTCCTAAGAAGTCAACCGCGTCGACCTGGTGAGCACATTCAATTCTGCTTGCCGAATTTCTTACTGACTCGAAACCAGCTACAACTGCGGCCGTATGTCGTCTTCGTTCGAGTTTTCCATCACCATTAATAAAGAGTAGAATCTGGTCACATGAGTCGAGAATGCACCGAAGCACCAAAGCCGAAGACCTGCTACAAGTGTATGGCTATTGCAGGCTGAACAGACGCAGTTACTTACACATAACAGGCAATCAAGAAGGTCACATCTCCAGAGACTGCCCTCAGGCTGATGGAAGTGGACAACAAGGTGGCCGTTATCAAGGCGGTAACAGCTACGGTGGTGGCCGAGAGTGCTACAAGTGCGGCGGTCGTGGTCACATGGCCAGGTAAGCAGACCAGAGAACCTTCAAACGTAGGCTAATATATCTGACAGAGACTGCACCTCTGCTGGTCCTACCAGCGGGTTCGGTGGTGGTTTCCAAAGCCAAGGTGGTTCGCGAGGCGGTCAGACTTGCTACGTGAGTTATTATTGGTTGATGCCTGCGACATAGCTGACATTCAAGCAGAACTGCGGTGGTACTGGTCACATGGCTCGGTAGGCATATTCTACGAGACTGCTTCCGTGCTGAACTAACCGTTGTCAGTGACTGCAACCAGAGTCGAAGCATGAAATGCTACGTAAGTGCGAGACTGTCTCAAGAGGGAATGCCAAACTAATCTCATTAGAACTGTGGAGAGGCTGGTCACTACTCAAAGGATTGCTCGATGCCTCAAGCAGAGAGGATTTGCTACAACTGTAAGTCACAATTCTCCTTCAAGCGCATCTCTAATCTCCCACAGGCAAGCAACCTGGTCACCTCTCGTCCGCTTGCCCAACTACGGCTTAGCACGCTGCAGACCAGGACAGCGTTACCACCACCCTCAGTGGTTGGACCTGAACTCTTCACGCTCTTCCGCCTTTGCTCATCATCGACCTATATGAAAACGTCACAGCCTAGACCTGATCCGATAGAGATCAACTTTCCCGACGAGCTTCGGCCGATGGCCACACTCAATCCTTGACGGGGTCTGTGGCCTGCGAATCCGAACTTCTCACTTCGCTATCAACCACACCTTGAGAATCGGAATGAGCATGGGCCTTGAGCTCCCACATGGAATGACAACGACGTCCACGAATACGAAGTGACATGAAATAAGTGAAGGATGAGGAAGAATTTCATTGAGTTGCGCCATATGTAGCCAACTTGGGAAGTGGATGTTGACCGACCAGAAGTGATTGCTGGACTGGATAACAAAATTGATCCTGTTCTATACAAGTCACTTTCCTGCTCCTTGCGCCTTCGTGATACTAATCCTATACCACAAACATAGCAAGACAATAAACGTAGCTCTATTCCCTAGCCCAAACCTCTCAAAAAGCACAAAGACACCCACCACCCGCTGACCCCCGATCCAAACACTCCGTCGTCAAAAAGTGCGACTGACATTTTAACGAAGTGCTCCCTGGCTCCCCATTACAAATACACCCGCCATAACAATCCCTCAGAAACACATCTTTACCATGCAAGACGCCGATTTTCCTCGCGCCCTTGGCCTCATCGATGTGGCAGGTTATGGCTGCGAGCTGGTCGAAGGATTTTTGTGGTGAGGGGAAGGCGAGGACAGTGGTGCTGGAGAGGAGGGTGAAGGTGAGGGTTAAGAGATGGATGGGGTGCATGGTTAGGAAGAAGTAGTAGTGGGTAGGTAGTGTTGATGGTAAATAATTTGGATGAGCCTGGATCAGGTAGATTTGCTTGTTTGCTGGCTTGTGTGAGAGTGGGAAGTCGTGGATAGTAACTAGAGTATTGACAGGTTGGGAAGTGAATTGGCTTTTCTTATTGAGACAAGCTTCCGGCTTTCTTGTACGAAACAAAGAAAAGGTGGATCTGACCAAGTAAGTATGATGAGTCGGATGGGGTGTGTGTGTCTATTCAGGGGTGTTGGTTTGGTTTCTTTGTCAAGAACATGAGTAGGCTTGATCTGTAACATTGACCGCAGCCTCAAAGGGAGACTCTGTGGTCTCTATATCCATCACAATACTCGGTCATCTTGCTTCGTTTGCTTCGGCAATGCCGCTGACTTTGACGATTCGACTCGTTCGTTCGACACGTCAGAGAACTCAGGCCTGACCCAAAGCAGTACCACTACCGCAGCCTGGTCACCGGATCTGCAACAAGCACTGCCCGGAGTTATTCATACCCTCAAGGGCTTTGCTCAATACATAGTTTATTATAGACAGAATGCATCGACCTCGACCTCCACCAGCATATCTTTGTCGACAAAGCCACCAGGCACTACGATCATCGTCGCGGCTGCACCGATCATGTCGTTCGCCCGGATAATTTCCTTCTCTGTATCGTTGACTGTGAATGTGTCACGAAATGCTTGTCCAACGGAATTGCAATGCTCGTGATTCTGTACGCCGCCCGTTAGGATGATCGCCTTAGCCAGTCATGGAACGGTACCCACGGAAACGAACATCCTCACTCTGATGATGTCTTCGACACATCCGTGTAAATTCGTGACTGCATTGATGCACGTTTGCATCGCACGAAGAGCCTGCTTATAAGGATCTCCTGGATGTTCAATTTGCGGTATGTTGTCTGAGTCCATAAAAAGTGCTGTAGAGCCGGATACACATATAAAAGGTCCGCGCTTAACAGCACGAAAGTAGCCGAACCTCTGCTCATATAAGTTCTGAGTTGTGAGTACAGTCTTCCGAGCAGTCGGGATTATGACACCCTCTTGGGCGGAAAGGACCTGCTGCATCGTCGTTGCTACGATCGTTCCGACTGTGCTTCAGATGTCTGATGTTGGTAAGAGGTTGCCAGCATTTGATCGTGCTCATGACTCATCGAGATCGTTAGTGTCCATGGTCCCTGATTTTTGCCGCAACTTCATGGTATGATAGCGGCACTAACGGCAAGATTTGGGTGTGTAAAAGAGCTGAGGGCGATCATATGCTCGTTAGGCTCGTACTCGGATAGTATGGTGTTTGCAACGTGGGCACATCGAAATCCAGGTTGTTACATGGTGGATGTACTGAACCAGTAGTTACCCCATAGGTACTCGTAGTCCTCTATCACTCCACCAACCAGGTCTAGCAACGGTTTGCCTTTCAGACCACCAGAAACCTTCATAACGGCACGTTTTGTGACGTTTTCGTAGAAAGCACCTCGCATCCCCCACCAAGCTATGTTCCAACCTCGCTTGGTGAATTCATCCCGTTCAAGAGCCGACAGCCCGTTTCGTGCTCCTGGAACTCTCGAGGCCAGATCATGCTTTGCAAGTTGTCGGGCAAAGTATTCAACTGTCAGGCCGATCAGCCAGGGTGACCAGTTTCGCTTCCATTTTGAGCCTTCGTAGCCATATTGCCGAGCTAATCGTTGCACTAAAATGGCATAGATAAGTGGGCGCAATATGTACAGAACTTCCGCGGCTTGTCCTTGGAAAGAAGTGAGACGATGAACAAGCTGTTTGACGGGCTTGATATCGTCAGGAGTGATGATATGCTCGAAGAGATAGGAAGACACATAATCCGGCGATGGCATAGAAGGCATAGTAAAGCCAGTCCTCGGTAGTAGAAAGGGATCAGCTGGATTGTGATGTATTGAAATTTTGTCAGAGTCGGACATAGGAGGAGTGAGAATTCCAGTCTCGCTGAAAGCCTCTCTGGGCTCGAACGGAATAGGATCGAGCAGTTTCAGGTCGTCTTCCGAGAGGACCTCCGTCGACAAATCTCCTTTCTGATCAGCAGGAGCAAAGTCATCTCGGAGTGGGAGTGGTGGGGTGACGACAGGACGAGAGTTGGTCAATCGCAGTAGAATCATGCGCAGAAGAGCCTTGAAGGACTCGAGGAAGACGACGACACGCCATCGAGAGCGCTCGCCGCCTCTCTTTCGAGCCGTCATCTCACATAGCAATTCGGTGTATTGCACAACCTTCAAGATAGTCGCTACTTTTTCGTATAGTGTAGATGAGTCGGCCCAGAACATAGTATATCTGGCATGGCGAGAGGGTCTGACTTTAACGCTCTCCGACGAGGAGGATTTGGAAGCGGCTTCTTTGGCACGCTTTTTCAGGAGGTGGTCGTGGTATATGGAGAGCAATTGCACGAAAGTGTGAACAGACTCCGCAGGCAGTTCCGAGTCGTTGAGTCGTGCACCGGGCAGAAGATAGGTCAAGGATCGTAATGTGCTTTCGACCTGGCCAACAGACTGTGCGTTTGACGCGACGTATTCAGCGTACATCTCTGGTAAATTCTTAACTTTCTGAGGTAGTTCTGACGACGCGGCAGCGCACGATCGTAATGTCGCGTTGGCCGCCTGCCATATCGATGCAGCTGCCATCTCGCTGCACCTTGCACAGCAACCACTCAGTCGAGACCGGATTGACTTGCTAGCGGCCTATTTGGAAACAGTTAACGATGGTTCTTGGGAAGGAGGAACCTGAAGTGGGAGGAGCGGGAGATAGGGATGTCTGACTGCGCCCGTGACGCGATTGGTTGGCCGATCTGGACACGACTGCGAGCCGAGGCCTGCCAAAATGCAAAACTGGACGCCAGACCTCAATCTGATTTGTGAAAATGAGCAGATTAACACTATTCTTTATGATATATCGAGTACTGCACTCATTAATGCAGTCACGATAAGACAAAGTAGGTGCGTACGTGCGCGTGGTGACCAGCACTGCCTCTAGCAAGCGTGACTTCCAAAGGAGCAGGAAGTGGTGGGCATTTACTCGTGCCTTCCTCCTTCGCAATCATGCGACACTCTGGGGTTACCTGGTTGCAAACAAGATATTTTCACGCGTACTGTTGTTCATTATTATTGTTCGCTCCGTGCCTCAGGCCATGTGTCATTCATTAACCGGATCAGCTTCGCCATTGATTGCTTTTGACAGTTTCTGACGAACCACGACTGTTCACTACAATTATTGCTATAATACTAATTGTCAAGCACATCTCCCTAACTCAGTCGGTCGAGAGACACTGCCCCATTATTGAGCAATGTCTCAAATACAGCAGCGCAAATATCCCTCCAGAGCACGACGGACGCCTCAGAATAAATCTCAGAATTCAGAGGATGCTACAGACCAGGCGTTACTTGATGGAGAAGCCGAGAGACGCCCAGCAAAACCAAAGCGGATTCCGGCTCTTACAACGTCAAGAGTGTTTGGCACCAACTCACCCGTTGCTGATCGAGACGTCAATATCCAAGCTTTTCTTGCGAAGTGTATGAGTCAATGGGACACTTACACGCTGGAGGAGAAGCAGAGTATTAACACTTCATTACCTACAACGCGCCAGAAGATGTATGATGACGTGTCTGGAACGCAGACTCCGCCCCTATTGCCTGATTTCTGCTCTAAGGATCCCTATCTCAAGAGTGCTGCTGCAAGGTTCAAGAGGGATCTAGCGGACGGGTATTATCAGAAATCTTGGCAGGATAAGGCTAAGAGAGCTCATGCAGAGCGCCTGGACGGCAAGTTCGATGACTACCTTACTGCACACACAGAAGAAATGTTCGTTGAAGATGGAAGCGAGGAAGAAGACGTTTCAGCTCAGGATGAGCTGATCCAAGAAGATGGGGATGGCGAATATGCAGACAGTCAGGCTCAAGGCAGAAGAGGGAGGAAAGCTGTTAAGAGAAGCTGAAGAGGTTAGTTTGTACGAAAAGGCAACTTTGTGTTTATCACATTAATTGCTAGCATCGCGGTGCTCCAGCCACAAATCTACCAGGCTAGTGGAGGGAAGCGATGTTGACGTATCACTCATACCTTCAGAATATGATTCTGCAACTGCATCGCAACTGCCTTCGTCACTGTCTCTGCCAGCAAGACTATCTCGATCAATGTCCATATCGAACATTTGAAAGCCTGTTTCTCCATCCGCGAACACACCATAGGTGTCGTCCACAATGTCCATGTCGTGGCTCTCAACTACCTCACCTGCATGATCCCTAACCTGGTCGAAAGCTGAACATGTAGGCTGCATATGCAATGCCTCGCACGCCATCATCGAGTCTGCCAGATACCCACACATCATCGGACATGGAACGCTCAGGCAGCGACACAATATTTGTTTCGGCTCCATACCACCGTAAAGACTGCGCAGGATATGCCGATCGACGATTTTCGCTTTAAAGCAGCGTCCGTGGAGTGTCTTGTCGCAGCATGGTGTGTATACCAGACAATCCAACGAGTCGAGGTCGCCGGAACGTAGATGCTCGTGAGAGCTTACAGGTATTGGCGTAGTGCACGTCGCGCAGAATGGATTGTTCTGCTGAACAGCAGGACACGGAGGACATGGTGAGGGTCCTGATGGTGCAACGTTCCTCTTGTGACAGGGTACGTATAGCTTCTGGAGTACCGAGCCATGTTGTTATGTGCGACTGTCATTCACGTGGAGACCTCGCGATAAGATACCATAACAGACTGAGTACAACAATATTGATACAGAGAACAAAGAACAGAAACAATGTTTTACGGGACCCCAATGAACCAGACAATTGCCAAAGCAAAAGCTCAAAGACAAGCTTTGTGCATTTCCTATTTGCTCACCCGTTGTTCAGAGACGGAGAGTTGTCAGTCCTGCGATCAGAACTCGACGTCTCCTTTAGCTCTGCAACGTCAACTTCACTGCCTCGAAGCTCAATCTTTGGTGTCTGCTCTGTCGCTCACCATGTCTAGGCAGTCTTGAAGTTCAAAGCACCGCTCTTAAGCCTCATTGCCTTTCCAAAAACCATGAGCGTAATAATGAAGCCAAATGACCCAGCCACAATTGCTGCTTGTATACCAAAACTGATCTTGGTTCCTTGACTCTGCGCCCACGATACCTGAAAATAGCTTATTATGAAGCCTCCCAAAGTTCTGTTCATATTGAGCCATGCGCTAACCTCACCGCTGGCTTCTGGATACGAGTCCAGGCAGTATGCGTTCAGGGCGACGGTAGTGATCATGATCCCGAACACATACAGGCCCCATGAGATCGAGGTTGCCATATAATGCCAACCCTCTTCTAAGCTTTGGCCAAGAACCACAAGACCAACGACCATAAAAGGCAGGGACACAAATATTGCCCGCAGACGGACTTCTGGCTCAAAATGTCCCTTGTGAGATTGGATATACTGTTTGGCAAGAAAATCGTGCAAAAAGTGGCCGGAAATCTCTCCTAGTATTACTGCAACCACTGGTGTGAAGTAGAAGTATCCAATTTGTGTGGGGCCAAAGTTGTACAGTGGAGTAAGAAATATGGCCAGGGTAGTATTGATGCCGACGACCCAAGCAAAGGTGAGAAGGTAGTACAGGCAAGCCAGAAAGACGGTTGGCTTTGCAATTACGATGAATAGTCTGGAGAATGCTTGAATGAGTGAATTCCGGAGATGTCGAGATCGATATTGGCTGATGCCTAGCAGTCGTGATACTCTTGTGCCAGGTGATGGCTGAGCAGAAGGTGCGATGCGGCGATCGTAAAAGGTCTCCTCAACGAAAAGTATTGTGAGTACCAGAGCGAGTACTGTCTCAGCTGTGTACACCCAGAAGGGTACTGGCCATGGCTTTGAAGCGATCATGAACGCTGCCAGTAGTGGGCCGAGGTAAGGCGACAGTATGATGAAGGCAGCCCAGATATTGATTTTGCGAGCTCGTTCATGGAAGTAGAACATATCATAAATGAACATGAGACCACCACCTTGGCTCACGGTTGAAAAGAAGCCATTCAGGATTCTGGCAGCCATAAATGATTCGAAGGTTGTAGCTGCTGCGCACCAGACGGTAGTGGCTGTTGCAACGACGAGAAAGTAGAACATGACAGGAAGCCGACCGAAGTATGCGCTAAGGGCAACCACTGCTTTGACTTAGTAAGGACCTGCGGATCTGCGGCTGACCTACCAACAAGTCCTCCTGCACCTAACATGAAAACGTTTCCAACCTGCGAATGGTTGACATGATCTTCAGTCATATGCCATTGTCTTGAACTATCAGCAGGTAATCCTGCGCATAGTCCTGCTCGAACTTACGCAGCTTGTGGCAGTAAAGTGACTGCTCCAGTTGCACTGCCATAGTCTGGCAGAAAAGCAGCAAAGGAGACAATGAAGAGGACCACATGTTTCTTGGTCCAGGACCAATTCAACGGGTCGTTCGAGTCGTCGCTAGGTTGTGGAATGAGGCGGGTGTGACCATCTGCTGCCAGTTTGACGTTGCCCGTCTCAGCTGCTAAGTCGATTACATAGCCTTCACGCTCATCGTACTCATGAATATCTTCGACCATTGCCGAAGACGTATGTGCTGGGATAGACTTCTCGTTGTCCATGGTTGTCAAAGATCTAGTACTGCTACTTGTCTGGTGCAGTCAAGCTGATATCTTGCCAGATGTCAGGGCACGAATGCACAAGAAATTCGCCTCCGCTTCACATGGAAGAAGCAACATTGAAGTACATCGGCTTGGTCGTTGCAGACCCCTGGTATAGCATCACGTGGTGATTGAGGCTGCAAGCTTTACTGTCTGTCGTTGGTGGAACTTGAGGAGGACCAACTTTCTGATAGGCTCAGGCTTGACTCATGCGGGGTTCTCAGATACCATGACTGGTGTATATTGCTCTGAACAATTGCCGAGCTCGCTAGGGAAGCAATCTAGACCATAGGTCGTGGTGCACGATCCGAACCTCGTAGGGATCCTGTAAGCAACTGCTGGTGATAGCGAAGTATGTGCTTTACCACAGTCCGTAGTGGAAACACGCTTACCAGCAAACAATCTTGAGTACACACCAACTGGCTGTCTGCCCCTCGCAACGCATTGGAAGTCGGCAAGCAGCAATATATCATAGTAAACAATTCGAAACCCTCTCCAGTGCAATTTCCACGAAGCTCTGTGCTTTCTTGATGTCTTTGTCCCGTTGTTCTAAATTTGAGGATCATGAAGTGATACAAATGTCGACAACGATATTGGTCTGTAGAGGTATGTAAGCATTGGCAGCTTAAGACTTAGGATAAGATCACTTCGTTCACACTACGGCAGCCATCTCAGTCCAAGTGGTAGTCGCTCGCTTCTTCCCAGGCACGTTGGACTATGATAACTGCGGCCATCGTCCAATCAGTTACCTTGTTAGTGATAAAATGTTGATCGAGTAATGCAGTCGACCACTCACATCATGATCGCGATGCTTACGGCACATACGGCAGTCATTCATAGCCTTCGTTGCGCTTCGTAACTGTATTGAATGGTTGTTCTGGTCGATTCCCGAACAGGTTTGTCATGCTTGAAATGTCCTTCAACACAACTCATGCAAGGAAGATTCAGCCTCCCAGACCACGAGTACTACACAGGCACTAGTGATGTCTGCTGTATAGCTGTGCTATGTCTGTGGACGTGAACAGACGAATGCGAACCATCCGCGTAGAGTACCGCGGGGGATCTGCATCGTCAGGGACATAAGACTGTGTAGCTCACCTGGAAGTTTCGCTTCAAGCGAAGCAAAGTGGAGTGACTCTTTCTCTCGAGGTCGCTAGATGAAGTTCTTACTTCACATCATCCAAGAGTAGTACAGCATCTGGTCTGTAGCAAGCACTGGATACGCCGCATGCGATCTCGAGAGCAGCCTAACTCGCAAAGTATCTGATCGCCGTCATCCTCGTATCACGAGAGCTGAACGTGTACGAGTAGTTCTCATCGAGCACGACACGAAGTCGTTCGAAAGGTAAACAGGATGCATGTCGTGAGCCACCCTACGGCAAGCGCGACAGTATAAACAGCAGGAGACTGGTTGGCCAGCTGCGCAAGACCATCAACATCAAAGCTATCTTGCAGGATTTCGCAAGGCATGCTCCCAAACAGTATTTGTGAGCTCAAGGCTTTGTGCACCACCAAGCCTGTGCAGCGCATGGAGCATCAACTTCCTTGTGATTGGGTTGTGATTGATAGCCAGAAGCTTCATGTGTGCTAAATTCAGCAGCTGCCGGTGCTTCGGAGAGCTAAGCCCCGCCAGTCCGGGATTGGCTTTACGTTACTTCCAATCATGTTGGGTCTATTTTCTTGGTTTCACTTGGAACCTGCATCCTTCAAGTATGTGTCCTGAAGGACGCGTGGCTTGTTCCATCCATTACACTATAGCTGCAGGAAGCGCAGAATAGCGACATGGTATTCCACGATGACCATGAAGCAGGAAAAGGCGTTGGCTATATACGCTTAGTCGATGAGCCCAGAATAGCGTTGACGACGAACTCCTCTTCTTCGCTCACACTTGTCACGCCTTAAAACGGGTCGAAACAGGTCAAATATCCACTTCCACACGCTTGCACAGAGAGGCTGTGACCGAGCCAGCCTGCTTATTGACGATCTTTGGTCAAGAGCAGAGACATTGGCGTCCATTCCGGGTGATATCCTACCTCCATGTTCCCTTCCCTTCTTCTCTTCCCTTCCCTTTTTCTGTCTTGTCCTTCTCGTGAGGTCTTGACGGAGGATTTACCTTCCAGGTTGTTGTGCCGTTTGCTTTGTCGAAATCCGTCGTCACGCATTCTTCGGCATTATGGCTACTGTACGACAGCGATTTCTACTCACTACAGCAGCCTTTCTCCTCTTCTCCACAGCAACAGTTCGAGCAGACTGGGGTTCGGGCTTCGGTGGTCATGGATGGGGAGACGACAACGATGATAGACCCGGCTGTTGGTGGGGAGGGGGAGATTGCGATGGGGACGACGACGACGACGACGGCGATGGCGATGATGATGGTAGCACAACGAATCCAGCCCAACTTGGTTTCACCTCAGAACAGATCAATGGTTACAATCGAATGATTACCATTCATGCCGTGCTGGCTTGTCTTGTTTGGGTATTGTAGGTTTTCCTCTGCATTGTGGTCTCGCCGCCTGTACTGACCGGCGCTCTAGCTTGATTCCGCTCGGAGGTATTCTAATCCGCCTCGGCCTCAAGTCTCCATGGATTGTTCGTATACACGCCCTCCTTCAGAGCATTTCCTATCTCATCTACGTCGTGGCCGCGGCTCTGGGTATCTACCTTGTCCGTGAACTTTCTCCTCGCTCTGGCGGCATGTGGCAGGATCCCCACACCAAATTGGGCATTGCTATCCTTGCTCTTGCCTTCCTCCAGCCAATACTCGGTATCGTCCACCATAGTCTGTTCAAGAGCCGGGCGGCAGCTGCGAAAGCAGGGACAATATCGAAGAGACCTGGACGTACAGTTCCTGGATATATTCACCTATGGCTCGGTCGTGCCCTGATTGTCCTTGGTATGATTAATGGAGGACTCGGTCTCAGGCTGGCTGCTCAAAGTCGTTTCGAGACCAACTCAAGAACCAAGACAATTGCCTACTCTGTGGGAGCGGTGATCATGTTCCTGTTATACCTGATTTTCGTGGTTAAAGGTGAAAGAAGGCGATCACTTGAGAGGAAACAGCAGTCACTTGATGCGAGTAGAGGCGGTGTACCTCTTATGGTAAGAGACAATGGTGCTGCCATGCCTCCTGGTTACCATCAGCCACCATCATACGATGAATCTCAGGAAAGCATTAGGAAGGAAGGTCAGACGACGGCGAGATATTCTTGAGCTGCTACTTCTATTTACAAATCGAATCCCAGCTATAGTTCGTTCTTAAGTCAATCTTAACAAGCAAGCGATCATGAGGACAACGAGTAGAAGTGCGCTTCGCGTTTGACCAACTAACCAAGTATTAATTCGCTGTGCAAGCTTTTTTGACGATGAGTCGCCGACATCGTATGTTTAGCATCATATTTGGAGCAAAAGACAGAATCACTCAATTACAGAGGTGCTATCGATCCTAAGAGATAGGACGTTGGCATCGGCCCATTTCGTGCATGAACATGCCAGGATCATGCGTGGTTTATGTGACTAAGACAACTTCTTCGTCCTGGTTCCTCGTAAGCTGCAGGTGATTGGCAGACACACAATTCAACATTCAAGCTTCGAGGACAGTCGCTATTGAGAAGTAGAATCATGCTGTGTGGCGTCAACGTGGGATGGATGTCCTAAATTCGCGAACTATACCAGAACTGCGCCTGGAATTGTGGTGGTGGTGGTGGTGAGGAGCACATGAAGTTCAACCACTTGATCAGAGATTCTAGAAAAGAACATTTGGTTCATCTTTGAATCGTTGCAAAGCTGCTTCTGAACCAATACTATAAGAACTCCATGCCAGTGGTGCTCTTTACGAATAGAAATAGCTTCTATAGTAGCTAGTAAATCGAGGCTCCTCTTCGGGTACTAGCGATTTCTCGAGGTCGTCAGCTTGGCGGCACGGGTCATCCCCAGTCGCAGAGCACCCACCTTCCCGCAATACTGCCTGCACTCATATCTCTCCACATTGTGCTCGACCCCTAGACACGAGTGATCCAACAATAGACAGGAGCTCATCTGTGCAATACCTGGCAGCAAAGGCCACTCACGTTCTGCTGATCTGAAAATCAACCCAGAGTCTACAACGTCGACGTAGTTGCGACGCCGACAAATCGATCTAGCCACCTTTCTCGTCACAATCCACTCACAATCTGGCTGCTGACCAGTGACGACTGTGAGCTGTTCTTACCTTGGCTTCAGGCGACAGTACATCCCACAGTCCCTCGAAACGATATCCGCCGCTCATGAGATTGAGAAGCCGAGGCCGACAATAGCCGTATTCCATCTGGAACGGTGCATACGGACTGCAAGGCATGCTTTGAAAGTCTTGCGACCTTGCTGAGGCAGTTTCCCTCTACGGCGGGAGGGTCTTGAGGAGGAACAAGACTATGGCTAATGAGCAAGATGATGACATGTACCTTTTCCAGGGCGACATGGTTCAGACGCCAGGTGCTTTTGCAGGAGATTCCTTCGATGCCTTTCTCGATGCCTCCAGCACGGCGCAGAACGACGACATGATGAATACAGACTTTCTGAACCCCGAAGAGTTCGCTGTCAAAAGAGAGTCTACAAGTCCAAGAGTCGATCCAACATACACACGAGCATCTACAAGTTCGGCTTCAAGCAGTTCTTCCTCCGATTCTCCTCTACATCACAACAGAAATGTCTCGACAACTACCACTGCATCACCAGCCATGAGTAAAAATGAAATATGGAGCACTGGGATCAACGGCATGTCTGTGCCAATGAACGACCAATACTACGAAAATGGCATGGACCCAGATTTAGACCAACAGATGGCTTCGGCTTTCGACTTCGATACCGCCGCGAGTACACCCAGTGGTCTTGACGCAGCAAGTATGCAAAACACAAGAGCTTTCGCGCCGCCGCCTCGGATAAGACGAACAGCAAATATCATGAGCATGGGCAGCGCCCGACATACATCGCCTCGGATTACGGCTGCACCTGCCTCATTCTTTTTCGAATCACGCGAGGCATCTCCATTGAGCTCAATGCTTCCGACAACTCAGGCTCCTTCAACGTGGACGAAACACTCTCCATCTTCAGGCTTGGAAGAAACCTTCCATCACATGGGCATGAACGGTGACTCTCCAGGCAATGCAACCTTTCCACCGCACATGCACATGAACTTTGGTGATACTCAATTCCAGTTCGCGCCTGATTCTAGCGGCACACCGTCGTCATTTGCAAAGGACATCTCATCACCTCCATCCACGATTCATTCTATGGACGGACAGCCCACTCTTCACGTTTACCCCACTTCTTTGAAGTCACGCGTCGAGACTCAGATTCCTATCAAGATGACAATGTATCCACTACCACATGGTGTACGGAAACTAAGGTTGCCTACGCACACTGTGTCCAAGCCGAAGTTTTTAGCCAAGGCGGAAACTGATAGATCTCAAGATACTTTGGAGCTCTATGTGTCATTGGTTTGTACGAGCGCCATGCAAGATCCCCAGAGGAAGCAAAGGGCGTTGGCTCGAGCTCGGGGTGAAGATTTGAGCGCCTACTCGAGACCGAGTCCTGCTTCGTCGACAGGATCAATATCCTCCAAAGACGATGACGAAAAGCCATTAAATGGAGGAGAGGTCAGAATATGCTCCGGCTGTATTCAAAGAGAACGCAAACGCGCTTCACGGAAAAAGCAGAAGAAACCCGACGAAGAAGAAATCTTCCAGAGAGATGAGGAGAGGCGTGTTGTGGTCTTCAACACAAATGAGCTGAAAGAGTGGATAGAAGTTACAAAGGAGACTCAACTACCCTCTGATCAGGGTCCTTTACCACCACCTGGGACGATGCAGGTAGAATTGCCGATGAGAATAGCATGCTATTGCAGACATCAGAATGAGAAGATGGGCTTTCAGGTCATCTTCACGATCAAGGATTGTCGGGACAAAGTCATTGCTCAAGCCATGACAAATTCGATTATGATCACAGATGATCACAAAACACATAATACACCACAACCACTGGCCACTACCCAGCCAACACCTTTACCTCAACCCTCTCATGTACCAGGTTCTGGAGTCTTTACTGCTACAGGTGCAGAAATGCCGCCCCAAGAACAATCCGGAGCAAAGCTCTTCAAACAGTCGTATTCCACACCTGATTTGACCAGACTGCAACACAGTTATGCAGGACAATTCACGACATCGAACAACACTCCCTTTGCTATTCCACAAGCAGTGTCCGGCAATACTTCTGCCACTTTGACGCCGAGAAATCTATCACGACCTGCTTCGCCTAGTGGTCCTTCTGGTCCAGCTACCAAACGCCGAAAACCTAGTGGGTCCGGCAAACTACCTTCCGGGCTGACCATGACGCGCTTAGATACTATGCAGGCTCAACCATCTGGTCCTGCGACGCTACCAAACACCGCAGCTTCTTCGCCATTTGCTCCTAATATGCCAACGTTTATGAGTGGTCCTGATCGGCCTATTCAACCTGGCATGCTTTCGCGGCCATACAATAATAGTCCACCTACTCCAGGAGGGGATGGCACCTTCAGTGGTTCTATCAATCGATCTTTCAGCCTAGAAAATCTGCCTCGACAAGCTCTTATGTCAGCCCCAAGTTCCAGACAACCGAGTCGACCAGGCAGTCCACTTGCTGGGCCCCACAATGGTTATGGTCAAAATGATTCGACTTTCCACCAAGCCGTGAATAATCAGCTGGTGAACCAGTCATCTAGGAGGCCAGTGCCTGTCATTCACAAGCTCGTTCCAGCTGAAGGTTCTATAAGTGGTGGCACGGAAGTGACTCTGCTTGGAAATGGCTTCTACCAAGGCCTCGAAGTCATGTTTGGCGATACAGAAGCGACAACAACAACATTCTGGGGTGAGAAATGCTTAAATTGCATAGCACCTCCTGCAGTTCAGCCGGGCATGGTCGCAGTCGTTTTCAAACACGAGCATCCGCAGTATTCGGGACTTCAGTCCCCCTCCCATGTGAGACATCCTATCTTCACATATGTAGATGACAGGGAGCTGGAAATGCTTCGTTTGGCTTTGAGAACCATCGGCAAGCAGATGGGCACAGACGACCCGTATACTGCAGCACAACAGTTGATGCAGCAGAACTCTGTGGGTAACAATGGTATGTATGGTTCCCAGGCACCTTATGGTATGGCAAATGGACACCAGACAAGACACATTTCGAGCGGTTCACAAGCCTTCGCACCACAAGAAATGGAGACGTGTCTGTTGAAAATGCTACAAGCAGCCCATCGACAGGTCGGGTCGTCTCCTGTACGCCTCGATCTAGTGCGACCCACGGGGCTGAGCTTGTTACATTTTGCTGCATCTCTGGGTATGTCTGGGCTGGCTACTGCCCTTCTAGCAGCCGGCGCGGACCCCAACCTCGTTGACAACAATGGTTTTACTTCAATGCACCATGCAGCCATGAATGGCCACGAAAAGATTATCAGCCATTTACGAACTGCGGGTGGCGACCATCGTGTGCGCAGTATCAGGAATTTTGTGCCCGCTGACCTTGCCACAACCCTTGGGGCTTATCAGGCAACGATGCGACCATTTACTCATTCTCGATCAATAAGTTCAGGTGCAAGTACACTGGGTCCAGCTAGCCGTAATGAAAGTAGTAGGTCCTTGACCATGGGATGGGAGTCATCTTCGGTTGACTTTACTGATTCCGATTCGGGGACTGCTGATGAGGATGTGCATCCACCATCTGGCATGTCATTGAGAAGATTGCCGTTCGCTCAGCCAATACCTCGATCCAGTCAGCCGTCCAGGAGAAGTAGTGGGCAAGAACTGCCGGTCTCTCAGGCCGTGGCTCAACCCGTTCGTGATCAAGCATCATCGCCATCGACTTTGATGAGCGCTTGGAGACAATTAGTCAACATGACTCAAGCACAACAAGCTCAACTAGCCGAACAGGTACAGTATTTTCAGGACACTATGCCAACGTTGCCGAACATACCACTGCCAGACTACCAGAATAACGTGATGCGAAGGATGAGCGCCTTGTTCCCTCATCGGCAAACTGCTACATCGGAACCGCTTCTCAAGGAGCAACCGTCCTCGCCTAGCTTAGTTCCTCCACCTTCGTATGATGAGCTTTTCCCTGCAGCTCCTAAAAGTTTCGAGTCGGACAAGGAGAAGACTTCGGTCATGCGAGCAGCTGCGGAAGCCGCTCTTGATCAACACTTTGAGAAGCAAGAAAGCGGCTCCAATCTGGTGAAGGCGTCGCGTGTTGCTGAGCCATTGCGTACAGACACACAAAGGGTAGGACTAATGCAGGATCGAAAACTGTTCTTCTTCTGGGTAAGCATTGTTTTCTTGCGACTTCGAACTTCTACTAACTTTGGCAGATCCCTCTTCTTATTGTTCTGCTTGGGCTCATGTTCGGCGGCACGACTCCGTTTTTAGTTGCAATCTCGGTCACCAAAAGACTGGGATCTCGTTACGTGGTTGAACCGCTGTTTGCATGAGGTATTTTTCGAGGGATTTTGCGTTGAAAGGGTTAGCTTTTATGCAAGGCATTAGAACAGGCCATGAACAAAGCATGAGAGCGCCGAGGTTATGGTGATATAGAAGCTATCAGAGCATGCTGCGCTGTAGTTTTGGATGTCTACAGGATCATGATAGTACGTACACATGTCTTTCCATGTAGGGTGCAAGATCTGTATATAATTGTGCCGCTCCAGATCGACGTGCATTAACAATGTGGAGTGGAAGCGAGCGTGAACTGAAGTCTATTCACTTTCGTACATATTTCCCTGATGATCTGCCTTCCGCTTAATATGTACGTGACTCAGCATATTCTGCTTCGGCGGCCATTCATTCACGATGCGGATAGTCGCTACCACCCCTCGTAACGGTCAACGTCACCTTCACCATGGACAATGACCACATACGAGGCGAGGAGTACGAACAAACCAATGTCCACAACGTTTACAGCAAGATCGCGACACATTTCTCCTCCACAAGATACAAGGTCAGCACAATACTAACAAACACCCTTTGCAATTAGAAAATCTGACACTTCCCAGCCATGGCCCGTAATTGACGATTTCCTCCGCAGTCTCACAACAGGCTCAATCGGGTTAGACATAGGCTGCGGAAATGGAAAGTACCTGGCCATCAGGGACGACATCTACATCGTCGCATCAGACAGGCATGTGACCAATCTCACAAGCAACGAAATCGACTACTTCGGAGTAGCTAAGTCACTGACGCGAAAATACAGATCATCTGAACTGATCGAGTTCGCTACGCAGCACGAACCACATTCCGCGATTGTCGCGGATATCCTCTCCCTACCACATCCTGGCGCGGTCTTCGATTTCGCGATTTCAATTGCGGTGATACATCATTTATCTACGAGGGAGCGTCGTGTTGATGCTGTGCGAGCTATTCTGAATACTTTGAGGCCGTGTGGTGAAGATCGTGAGGGTAGTGGTAGCGCAGGACAAGCACTGTTCTTTGTGTGGGCGCTTGAACAGAAGAATAGTCGGCGTGGATGGGATGTTGACGATGAGCAGGATCAGATGGTGCCGTGGGTGTTGAAGGCGGATAAGAGTGGTGATGGGGTGGGGAAGACGTATCATCGGTATTATCACTTGTACCGCAGGGGAGAACTGGAAGAGGATATAGTGGCTGCTGGGGGCGAGGTTGTTCGCAGTGGGTATGATCGAGATAATTGGTGGTCGGTTGCTCGGCGGCGTTAGCAGGGTTGGTGACCGTCCATGAGAACCATACAGGTAAGAGACGCGAAGTGCTTGTCATAAAGGTATGTTGGTCTTCGATTTAACAAAATTGCTATCTATCTCTTCGGCAGTAGACAAACCGAGCACTAATCTTACATTTTTTGAATCTTCTTTGCTGATCTCAAAAGGAAAACGCTTGCTAAGCAGGTATATCTTTCCGCCTCATCATCAAATGCACAAAAGAAAAATTTTGCCAATGCGCAGCGAGGCAGCGCGGCCCTCTATTCCAACAATAGTGTTACATGCGTCAATATTTTGTGCTTCGTTCGTTCATTCATGGTCTTCGTAAGAAATAGTCTGATTGTTGGAGATTACCAGGAGGTGGTGTCAGTGATTGCCGTGGATATGGTAGCGTCGTGGATGAATAGGGCGTCCCTGGTGTTCTGGCTGGTTCGGAGTACGGGTAACTTGATACTGACTGCGAATATGCTGGTAGTCCTGCCGTCAACTCCGAAAGTGATGGAAGCTGTGGAGCGCCAGGCCGAGGACCAGGTTCGATGCTCGGTCTTGAGGTTGGGCCGGAACGGCTGTTCACCCTGGACATCGACGTGTGATTGGTACTTCCGGTGGTTAAAGTGAAAGGTGTTACACCTGCTCGTCGAGCCATCTCATGTTCACCCATCTGCCAGTGCATGGCTTCTGCTGCCCGCCATGGAATTTCCATTTCTGCGGCAATCTTGGCCCACATGTCAGCTTTGAATCTGTGCGACAAGTCAGTTTTCCATTTTGGTGGTACAAGTCAGATCTGGTACGACGTCTGTCAGACTTACCTTTCGTACAACCTCGCGAGCTTATTCTTACGGTCTTCATCCCACTCACTCCGTCGCTCGAGATAGTTCTGATAATGTAGTCGACAGGAAATGGCACTACGACCAGGCAAATGTTTGCTGATGTCCTCCCACTTCATCCCTTCACCTCGCAGCTGGATGATTTTGGCGTCTTCGTCTGGAGACCATTTTGACTGCTTCTTTGCTGGCGACTCAGAGATGAGCGTGCTGCTGCGATCGGCCGGACGTTTGGCAGGGATAGCACTCGAAGTTGTTGTGGACGTTGAGGTCCTTGAGGGATTTGACCGTGTCGGTGCGCCGAAGCCTTGCCGAGGCGAAGCTGGCTTTTCTCCGGCAGTCGAGTCGTCGTCCTTTGACTTGAGGAGCAGAGAGATATCCACGGTGTTGGGTTGGTGCCAGAACTGGCCGCAGGGATGAGAGGTCGTGGCGAGAATGGGTTGATGGTAAGCAAGACTCATAACAGGCCAGACGAAGACTCAGTGGTATGTGTATTGGTGCTCGTTGACAGAAGTTCTCTGGCGCAATAGGCAGAGGTGGACTACACTGAGAACTGACGTACTTGTTGGTGACTGCAGGTATGATGGTTCGTGAGACTGCTCGTGCAAGACAGAAAGAATAGGAAGAGCTGTCAGATAGTTGTTGTCGATGGACTGAGCGGCTGCTGGGGAAGGCGAAACAAAGACCTTAATATCTAACAAATCGCTGGCTGATTGAGTCGGTGTACCAAGTAGTCATAATACACAATCAATCCATGTAAACAGGCTAACCGTCGAGCACTAAACCATCACAGTAGACCTTCAGCAAGATTGCGAATTCCATTAGGCTCGAAAGCAAGGATAAGACCTTAGCTCACAGATGTGATGGAGAATCGTTGTATTGAAAACCACAATGGAGACTTCTCGGGCCAGCTACATGCGCCAGGTGGAAGACCATCCGCTAGTCCATCGTGAAGATTCTAAACGCCTCAGAGAGGCGTGATGATGCTATGCAGTTGACCCGGAGTACTTCCTAGCCTCACGCTAGAAGGCTGCAATATGCTTTGGTGGAAAATCACTGGAATCAAGCTAGCATGAAACCTGGTAACCACAGTCCTATTATCAACGTGGAGACTGCAGTGCCAGTGGTAGAAGAAGGAAGACTAATTGCTCGAAAACATTGCGTCAGATCTTTCCAAGACTACAGGACGGCAGGAGCGCGTTCAACAGTTTTCTGCTCCCAATTGCTGATATTGAATTTGTAGTCTGAACACGTACACTCAGGAGGTACTAACGCGTGAGTCGAGCATAGGAAATCCTGTGCATTCGCCAGAAAGTGAAGGACTTTCAAGCATCTGCTACTGTCCTTTGGGAAAGCCTGCTGCCGATATCACCCTTTGCTCGAGCCCACTTACCGAAACCGAGCCTTTTGAGTTCACCACTTGACCTGATTCAGTCGTTCTTAGGTTTCATTTATTAGGCAGCAAGACCTTTCTGCATCCAAGCAAGTTTCGTATACCCTACAAGGTTGCCTTCCTTCGTTGTCGGGTTGGAACACTCTGTCCACCCACCACTCGTGATGATGCTCTCAGCCCCAGCGCTATCTGCGGCTCGGTACTGTGTCAATGTAGACCGCAGCCACCATGACCAGCAGATTCGATAGTTAGCCATTTGCTAGACTCAGGGTGTTAGCAAATTGAGGTTCATCGGAAAGCGTTAGCTCTCCGTCGGAACTATCATCCATTACTCACTTGACACCGTTAGGAGTGGTAGGGGGTGAATCCATGGAACACGTTCGGCATTTCACGACACGAACAGAAACCCAAACACCGTGGCTTCCCACTACACCAGTGATCAAATATATCGATCATACACTCACATGAACCTTCTCGCGCGATTACAAAAGTGTACAAGAGATTCAGTTGATTGCACAACCAAGGAGTGAATTACCACCTGATCCGGTTGTCCCTCACACCGCCGTGCTTGATGCAAAGCATATCACATTTGAGCTCATCGTACCCTACAGAGGCGGCCACAGCAAAACGCAAGTCTTTTGACCCGCATGCCAGCGAGACAATTGGGAGCCGTTCACAATGCATGTGTTTGCTGTTTCCGAAACGGCAAGGTAGGCACGCACGACCGCACAAGGTCTTGGTTGTGATTGTTGCTGCCTCATAGTACAGTTGCATTTGGTTGGACGAGAGCGGTATACACACCGCTGTTTCTCATCGCTTCCGTCTCCAAAAAACTGTTGTCTCCTCCTCTGAACGGGCTCGCCCTCTGTATACCGAGGCTGTTGCTTGGCTTCGATCTTAGCCTCTCTCCTTCAGCCGACTTGTCCGATAAACACGGTTCTATCCTTCGTGTTTGAGAAAACCATTCACCAAGTCAGCCACGTGTCTTATCCGCAGGCACCTGCAAGAGCAATCGGTCGCAGAAGAAACACGATCAATCGACTAGCTACAAACCTTGCCGTTTGCAACTGCCGCTTATCCGCAACGACGTAGTCCTTGTTCCTGGATTCGGTCGCTGGATTGCATACATACGTATGTTAAGACTAACTTACTCGTAGCAGAAAGGCTTTAAGCCGCATCTGTCACGCTGTTCTCTCGGACTGTGGCTGGATTGAGTTTCTGCGGCCACGTTCTCCAATCCTATTGCAATTTCGCGTACACAAGAACAGTAATTCCTCTTACGCTGACGGGTTATGTTTTCTCATTTTCAGCCATGATGCGGTGTCATTGTCACGGGCCGGCGGCGAGCGGAACCACTTGGTGAGCTCACTAGTACTGCAGCTAGCACGATCACTCGCACTAGCCGGATCACCTGCGAACAGGTCGTTTGGCGCTTTCCCGTCTCTTCTTTTGCTTCTGCATTCTTAGCGAGTAAGATTGTGCTTGCTCATCATGATATGACATCAATTGTTGAACTTGCCATCACATAAACAAGAAGGTATCCAGTGTGCATATTCAAGTGCTTATCTTGTTTGGCGTAACACGAGCAATCTGACACACGATGATGTGTGAACCACCCCCTTCACCCCTGCTTGACCCAATGCAGGACCTTTCCCGAGCATTCCCCAGCGGCAGGGAATCCACTGTCTATGCTAGGTACTGTAATCTGCAGGAAGTGGAACTCTGTCCGCATCATGTGGCTCACCAAAGAAGGAGAGCTTCTTTGATCTTTCCAGAAGGAGGTTCGTTCGAAAATAGCTAAGTGACATAGTGAACATTTGGATTAAGTTCGTCACACAAAGTTACTCTGCTACTGCCTTTCGCAAGCCGCAACTTTTTTGCAACTCTTCCTCTATTACTGCGAACAGCTTCTCGTTGTCGAGCAAGTCACTATGGCACAAGCATTCTCGTGGCTACTGACCAAGCTCTTTGCGGAAGGTAGTCCTTAATCTCCGATGCTCTCTTCGCGTCCGATGCAACGTTCAAACAGGCGACGCCCAGACATTGCTATGACCAAGCTTACGGTAGCCAATAAAGGAAGATATCGGAATATTCATCATGTCCCATCTACGCATGTTACTTCCGAACACAGTCGAGCAGAACCATTTGTGGCTAAGACGTCAGTGGTGCATCCATACTGTCCACTACAGTAGCCCAGTGCAGCGGTACAAGCAGCTAGGCATGCACAGAAAACGTGGCTTTGGTTATGCATGAGCCATCTACGTATGTATAGCACACCCATATCCACTAATTAAATTCTGAGCCTCTTACACATTCCAGCAACTGGCGGGGAATGGCTAAAGCACTTACAGAGGCTTACTCCTAACTTGCTTCGGGCCTTGCACACCCCAATACACTGCATAGGCCAGGAAAGAATGTGCAGTACGACTGATCATGTTGAAGCAGAGGATTCTGACGATGTGTCCAATCTCGCAATTGGCGACGGAATTACTTCCTCGAACCAGATGATCATTATTCTGGTCTGGGCAGTTGCCTGTTTGAGTCGCCTGCAGACCATCATTGTGGCTGTCACACTGTCTCTTGCTGGGGCGGTGCTTTCTATTTTTCAATGATCAAGTGCCTCTGAGATACAGAGTGACTGTCTGGCCCGCCGTGACACGGCGGCTTTACCAATAATGCACAGTGACAAGGCTGCGATTGGGCAAGATGTACCAGGTGCAGCCGCAGTCACGATTCATTAGTGGAGTGGCTGTTCTTCTCGAAAAACGATGATTCGGTCCAGCAATATTGGGATTGCCTGTCGACGGCCTTGCCGAAGCATGAACTACTCCCTATACGCTTGGTACCTATCACTATTACTCCTGTGCATCGACTGACCGAACGATACTCCTGGATACCACCACTTTAACTCTTCGCCTTGTGTCGCAAAAGATCCACAGACTACTCACATACATAGCCAGATGGGCTCGGCTAGGAATGTTGCCGACACTTCCGCTGCTTGCTCGATAGTATACACAGGGTTAGATCGATCGAGTGTGTGCCACAACTCTGATGCCTGTACTCAAGTACCGCAGTATTGGGATTCGGTACCTCCCATGTGCTAAATACGGCAGCCACAGGGTTCTTGTTCAGGCAAGCGAGGTTGGCAACCCGCTTCCGATCCACTAGCGGCTCATCAAGGTGCAGGCAGTTTTCTCATGTCAGTCACTTTGAACTTGTTACTGCCATGTCACTACCATAGAGGATCATTGGCTTCTATTTGAGGAATTTGAGACAGCATAAACTCCACTCGACCACGGGGAACACCTCTTCTGGTTAAGACATAATATGCGAAGCCTTGAATACAGACACGGAATTCATCTACTTTGGACCTAGATGACACAATACACTGGTCAGGACCCGGTAGATCCCGGTTCTCCACGACGTCTTTCAGACGCTTTGCGAATATTTTTGGTCTTGGTTGTCAGGCACCGTAAGTCGCTAATACTCGGCAGATCATTCCTGAGCAATCCGTAGATCTCATTTAGCCCTGCAGATCACAGTGTTCGTGCCCAAGACGTCCTGCTAGATCTTGTTACATGCATGCTGTGCGGTAATCGACCGCACCTGCGACACTCTTTTCGAAGATTGCAAGCTTACTGTCGATTGTTGTTGCAATTACTACTAAAGTCGTATGGTGGATCAACCAGTCAATTCATTTTAAACTTTCTGAACCACTAGTACTACACCACAATCCCGCTACATTCACACTAGTGCATATCGTGCGTATAAGTGGTTGTATATCAACCCTTGTTCGAACGTTGCCGCCGTCAAGGATATGTAAGCCTCGAGAATAATCGCGCAGAGTCATTATGCAGCAGAGCCACAGTTTCAGCTGGGGTAAAACACACTTAACATCGTTCAAGGGGCAAGACGAGCAGCTTTGACCTTACCACCTTGAGCTAGTACTCCGAAATCTTCCCTGCCGCTGCTTACTACGATATTGGATCATACCACTTCATTTCACGAACACTTCCAACCATTGTCATGGGCACTGACATCGCTTAAGCAAATTAGAGTCATATCTATCTGGGGCCAGCAAACGAGGATGTTGCCATGATCGCAAGGTTAGTTGCTTCTTTCAGCTGATGATGAGTCGGTGAGACGCTGCCCACCATTGAACGTTCAATGCTTGAGTCGCTTGTCGCAATGTGCCTGCCATGGCGTCACCCTCGCTTACAACGCGTACGAGTGGAAGCAATTCGTGGACTGCCGTCGTAATATCAAGGGTTTGTAGCCTCTGCAGCACGGCATTTGCATCGGCAAACCCGATGTTTCCCCTAGTTCTCCTCGAGAACTAGCTCACTAATGCTGACTGATAGTACCAACAACAGCCCTTTTCCTGTGTGATCAAGGATTGATGACAAGGCAGGAACCAGGCCGAATAAAGTACCCGATTTCGGACGATCCCCTTCTCTTGTCGCAATGACATAAGCCTCGGTTTTATCATCGCCCTCACCCTGACCTCGGTTGGGTGAAGGTCGTCAGGCTTTGTGCTCGAAAAAGGTCTGTCAATCATCCTCTGTGCCCGACTTGATAGACGATGCCAGGGGAGGTGGTCACTGTAGCAGGGAAGACCTCCAGTGACGTACTGCTTCGGATTATCCTGCGCACGTACAATGCATGCAGATCAATGTCGATCGAAGCAATTCAGGCGACGAATGGGCATCTGTCTAGACGGTGCAAAACACGCTATCAAGCAGTCCCATGGTAACTGGTTGATATAACCTCACGATGGGTGTGATCGACCGCAGTAATCTGCCCAACATCAAATAAACTGTCTTGAACTGGCGAGCATTGACAGGACATCAATGTACTGATCGTGCTTTGTACTTCGGGTTATTGTAGCAATTTGACATAGCAGAACGTCCACAACTTATCGAAAGTCATGCTTCGAATCCGCGCACTATGCGTCGAAATGGTTCGCTTGACGGAGAGCTGTCTGTCCAGGAAGTTAGCCAACCTGTACCAGACACTCAACCTTTAACTTGTCATACTATAACACATCCTCGACAGAAAGCTCGCGGTCCAGAAAGCAAAACTGATGTACTGTGTACAGCTCCTCGATATGTTCACATAAATAGAAGGGATTGTCGTCTCACAATATAGTGAACCGCATCTAGAATTAGTGATCGTGCTGCAAGCTCCATCATTTCAACTATGAACATGCTCGTAAGAAGACAGAGTACTGGGCTAGGCGTTGCTTCTGTACGTCTAATTTTGTGACAAGAAGGTATCGCTGGATAGTATACATGCAAAACGCGACGTCATTGTCTGCACCACTTTGGCGAGAAACACGCGTCGCGTTGCCTTCCTCTCTTCTCGTAGCCCTAAAGTTCAGGCCTTATACTCCATTTTACTCGACGCAATACTTCAGTGAGTGTAATCCAATACAAAATTCAATGTGCGCACTCTTCATGAAGTGATTCGATGGCACTCATTTAGTCCCAGCTAATTAGTGACAGACAACCTTGAACGTGCCCTGTCCAAGTGCTCGTCGATCGTGAAATTTCCATCTACCATTGATCGCAGCCCAGCTCCGCTTGACCACATTGATACGAGCGTGTTTGTGCACGAATGCTATCTGACTTGTGCGAGCTTATGCCTACATGTGCTCTTGACCATGGCAGTACCAGAAACACCACGCAGATCTGGCCGGCAGCGCAAAGCCAATCCACGATATGAAGATCAAATCGAATGGACAGAAGATATTGTTCGCACTCTTCGAGCCGAGTCCAACTCACCGGATCGTTCTTCTGAAAGCTCGGCGCCCGAATCTGTGCAGAAGACTCACGACGTCAATTTTGACGACAATGCTGGACCAGGTGACCTTGTGGAACATGCTGAAGTACAAGCTGACGCGGAGCTATCTAATGCAGCAGAATCTTCTGTCGCGACATCCGAAGAAGATGAGCGGGAGGACGATCTGGTAATACGCGACACTCATCTCAGTCCTAGGTCTGCAGTAGTCCGGCGGCCGAAGCACAAGGAAATAGCTAGAGAAAAGGGTCTCCGTAGTCGAATGTTTCCAGAGGGATCAGATAAGTTAAGAGGTGCGATAAGCAAAACATATTTTGATAACTTCGGTCCAGAGCTTCAGGACCTGTTTCCGGTATTGCGATCAAGAGATGTCTGGCATTTGGATCCGAGAGACTCGGTCCTCCCAAGCAGAGCATCCATCGAGAAGGCCGTTCAGTATGAGGCACAAGGCAAGTATCTAAGTCTAAAAGTGACGCAGGAGGACGACATGGAACAGAATCCTCGAAGTAAGAATTTACAGCCACCTTTGTTTACAGATTCTGCACAAATCGCCCGTGCTGTTACGAGTCAGAATACATACCAGATATCTGGTTCGGAAAACAAAGTCAACAACGAAGTGGTACTCGGACCTTGGAATCAAAGCCAGAAATACAAAATTGAGCCATTGAAGCCATTTGATATCACAGAGGCATACTCGAAGTCATCGGTACCTCAACTAGCTGCCACCAGGAATAGACCTCATCGAGGATGGCTCGTCAATCTTGGTGCTAGACCGCACTGTCTTGCCTGGGCATCCATTCGGACAGATTTACAATACCTCGCTGTATCTTTCCGAGGCACGAAGCCACAACGAGACAGCACTGCACAACATTCGCCTAGGCCGTCGTCAGCCTTTATCCCTTCTCCTGGCTACCATTCCATCATTCAAATCTTGAAAGTCGGGGCAGATCCAGGACAGGCAGAAGAGGCAGCCAGACTGAGTCGCGACTTGGATAAAGCCCCTCAGCTATATCATCAGCTACATATGGAGTGGGGAGATGTTATCAAGTTCGAATGGCTACCGCTTCTTGATGATGCTGAAACAACTCATACACGATCATTGGTCATCCTTTCAAGTGATGGCAATATTCGCATAGTCAATATCGAACTCACGGCATCTACGATCCAATACATAGAAAAGCCTCATCTGATCGCTGAGCCACCCACTGGCACAATCTTCACCTGCTTCTGCACACCATCACCCATAGATCTCATAGCTGGTGACACGATAGGAAAAATCCATCTCTTCGTAATCGACAATTCATCGAGCACTTCATTAACTGCATACACCACAATTCATATCCATCACACCTACATCATGTCGCTGACCACAGTAACCGACCACCCGACCTTCCTAGCATCTCAGTCAGCTGCCGGCGAGATTATACTCACAGATCTCCGCGCGCCATCACAAGATCGTGTAGTGACCCGCAAAGCTCGCCTCCCAACTCGAAACCTGGCATATTATCCGTTTGCACGCAGCTTCCTTACCACCTCTGATACGTCAGGCAACTCGGAACCGTCAGGCACATCCCTAAGCACTGTCGTCAGCCACAGCATGAGACACTTCAATCAATACAACACGCTACTGAAGCTGCCGGAGTGCAGCGGTATATGCACTTCATTGGCAGTCAGTCCGTTTCACCCAATTGTGCTGGTGGCGAATGCTTCGGGGAGTGTGTTTGCGAGCAACTGTTTAAAGAGAATGCTGCCCATTTCGCACTTTGCCAAAGGCGAGAAAATCCTGAGCTGGATGGTGAAGATTTGGGAAGTGGAATGGAGAGAATTGGAAGTGGAAGATGGACACGCAGTTAAAGAAGTAAGTACAATGGAGCTGGACAATCCAGCAGCTACGGACAATTCGTGCGATTTAGATAAGAGGCAGGACACGTCGACACTAAATGGCTCGGACCTTGCTGCCCCAACTCAAGATTATGGGCCTCAGGACAACCCAGCGACAGAGCCCATCGACATCTTCTACGGTCGTCCGACTCGCAGAGGCCTCACACGCTTCTATGAAGGGTTTCAACCGGATAAGGTCGATCTTGGCCCCAAAGCTCACTCAACAACTGGTGCAACTTCACAAATCATTTTACCAGAGGAGCAAGCCGTGACTGCAATGTGTTGGAATCCCAATCCGCGATTCAGTGGTTGGGCTGCTGTAGGGTGGGGCAGTGGATTGCTTGTTGTAAGAGACCTTAGCCATGATGTCGCGTGAGCCAGGCAGTAGTAGAGTGTAACAGTACGAGTTTGAATATTTGACCAATTGTGAAATTTACAGAAGCGCCGCCCATTGAGCCTACCAGGTCGTTGCACTTCGTTGTTCACCTTCTCACGTACGCCAGGCGTAATGCGCCTCAGATTCCGACCTGAAGGGGAAATGACAGATCTCCAGAGCAATAGCCGCTATATACGTCCTCTGTTTCCAACTACCTCTGTCTCAACCCATTCCAACATATTTAAACCACAACGGTCGACAATCATCTCTCTGTAACCAACTCTCGCCAGCATAAAACTGTCCTGGCGTACACCCCCTACACTTGGGACTGTTCGGGCAGTTAAAGAACGGCACATGATTATACCCAATATCCTTGAACCAGTGAATTCGTGAACTGTCCAAGAACAACCCCAGCGCAATCGCATGCACAGGAGCATCACCCCATCGTTCGTAAAAGAATCCACCCGCTCTGTCGAGGTGATTGAAATAGTCTTCGTAGGCCTGCGATCGCCAAAAAGACATGTCTGCAATTTCGAAATTCGTCCAGAAATGGCAGGTGCTGTACCCGTGTGCTTTTAGGTTGACGTCTGGTCGTCGCTCGTTGTCGACCAGCCAGGCCATGGCGTTGTTCTTTGCGAGGTGTTCTGGGTGTGCGGCGAGGAATTTGATTGTTTCTGGCCATAGGCTGGGTATGCTGTCCGGTGCGTCGAAGAGGTTGATGTTGAAGCCGTAGGTCTTATTGTGGTCTTGCATGTATCGGAACACATCGTAATCGACGTCGCAGAAAAACTTGACTTTTGGCTCGACTCGCCAGTAATATTGTACGTCTTGCAGAGCGGGGTGTTTGTAGAATAGCCCGCTGTTCCAGCGGCACATCTTATTGTAGGAGATTTTGCCAGAGTATTGTACACCGTTTTCGTTCAAAATCTTGGCCGATTCTTCATATAGATCATTGCTTATCCACTCAGGCATGTTCCAATGCTCATCAGGTATCACATGATAGTTGGTTTTCGCTTTCGTGGCTGCCGTGGTCTTGCGCTTGAATTCTTCGGTAAAAGGAACATCGTTAAAGAATGTCCAAGGATAGTTGAACTTGTGATTCCAGGTCGCTTCAAGTTCGCGCATGGAAGGTATCAGATCGTTCAGTTCTTCATTGCGGACGAGGACGAGGAGAGTGGCATTGAGCCGAGCGCTGTTCGCAGAATCTGGAGAATAGTCGTGATCTGTATGCCGCCATAGTGGTTGCGGTGGCTCTTCCACAGGATCTAATAATGGATCTTTGTCCCAATGTGTCACTTTCCCTCCACTATTGACATTACTCCCGCTGTTCACTGTGGTTGGCAAGCCCACGGGAGTCGTGCGATAGAACTGAGTGAGATAGATGAGCACGAAGACGAGCAGTATGCAAACTGCCCCGAGAAATCGAATTGGTCGTGCTACTCCCATGCTGGCCTATTCTCTGACCCAGGCAGCCTCAGAGCCATGTGAATGGCAAGGGAATATATACTGGAAGGAATATTGAATGAGCAGGATGCTGATGTGTGTGGCTTGTTGAACTGATACAAAGCCCATATGCGTTTGATCTGCAGACGGGTGGACTCCTAATAGACCTCTGCGGCACGTTGCGCTAGCCAAGCCCAAAAGTGGTAGGCTTCGAAAACGCCAGACGCGTGCTTGACATCCTTGAATAGTGATACCCTCTGCTACAGTTACTATTGAGCAAAGTTGTGTATCGCGACACTTCGTAATCTGATAGCCATGACAACGCTGTGTCAAAGAAGACCAGCTCAAATATGGCTGCTACCTTGGCCACCATAAACACGTGGCTGGATCAGCTCTCGATCTCTATCGTCAAGCAAAGCACATCGTCGAAGCAGGAAACCAGACGTTTACAAGATTCTTTTCGTCGACGCATCAAAAAGCATACTGCTGCTCGCACCAATCAGTTCGAAGTTATCAACCGGCTCGATGGCTTAGAGGAGAAGTTCCAGATCCTATCTTTGGACAATCTATCTGACGCGTTGAGACAACGTAGAAATGAGCTCAAAGATTTCGAATACAATTGGCTTCCAGACGCACTGGATTTGCTGCTTCACTTAGCAGGTGATCCGGCCCATAGCAAGAATCTGCTTGAGCTTTACCAGAAACCTCTTCGCGTTGGCACTCCCCCTCCACTTCGTTGGATAGATTTGCAGGCAGAAAGTCCAATCGACAAGCACAGTAGACTTTGGCGCGTGCCTGACTTTCACGACGTTAACGACCCGGGTTTGCTGGACGACGGTGTTGACCCGGACTATTCAACAGCTAAGACTTCGCCCCTACACGATGCAAAGGAGGTTGAGATTGCACAGGACATAGATTCTTTGCTGCATACCGTGGATGACGAAACACTCAACCTCTATGGTACTGTCTCCGACTGCGATCAGAGCATCGATCAAATCACCGAGGAGCTCTTCATTCGCGAAAGCATGTTTTTCCTTCGAGGGTATAGCAACCGTATGTTCACCACCATCAGAGGTAGATATGAGCTCAACTCAACTATCCAAGTTCGTGGACTGCCACACAAGACATTGCGGTCAATTTTCACTCAGTTCTCGCTTGTACGTACAGACCTCGACTTTGTACTGACCTGGATTGCGAGTCTCACACATGATACATACATTGCCGCAATGAAGGACGCAACAGAAAAAGTTATATTGCATTGTTATAGAGCTATCGACGAGTTGCAACAGAATTTCACAGATTCTAGCACTACAACAGTCGCCAGCATTACACCAGTGGTCCTTTATTTGCCAGAAGTAAGTGCTGATATTACAGCGATCGCAGACTTCTTGAGACAGGACGGTAACGACGATGCCATCAGCTGTCTTGAAAACTTGTACCAAGCAGTATGGACGAGTCAGGTCTGCGGCAATGTCAGAGTCTTCCAGTGTTTGAGCTCAATTCTTTTTCCAACTCTGCACGTGTATCTGCAACCTATATGGACGTGGCTCAATTATGGTCAGCTAGAGACATCCACATTCTTTGTCGTGTCACATCAGCCCATCTCGAAACTGTACACTCTGTGGCATGACTACTATTCCTTGGAAATTACTGGACGGCAAAGACCTTCTTCTTTCCTGATGAACATAAGCGGACAGATACTGGCCTGTGGAAAGACTTCGGCATTTTTGCGTCAACTACGGACGAACGATCGTCTCGAGTACCCAGGTGCAGTGAACGAGCTGGCGGGGTTCATGCAAGACATCCAGCCTGACATATCACGTCCTTTCTCGGCCTCTTTCGAGGAAAGCTGGAACCAGTATGTACATTTTCTCTTACAATCACGAACTCTCGAGCTGAAAGCCGTCCTCGATACAACATGCGGCTACGGACAGGCCCTCGACACAATAGCACAACTATACCTGCAGCAAGATACCACTTTTGTAAATGAGATCGAGCGAAAACTGTTCAACAGAATCGATCATTTGATGGACAGCTGGAACGACCGGTTCCAATTGAGAGATATGCTTGAAGAAGCTTTCAATGCCGGTGGAAGCCGTCACATCGTCGATTCAATATTAATCCATTCTACCTATACATCTTCGAGGGCCATGCAGAGCAGAAGAACTTCTGTTGAGATCCTGAGCTCAGTTGCATTCGAGTACGTTTTGCCGTGGTCTCTGGCAAACATCGTTGATGCAGCAGCTATGGCTACCTACCAACGCATTGCACTGGTATTGACACAAATCAAGAGAGCGAAGTATTGCATCGAGCGCACCGGCTATATCTCCGTTACGACAGTCCCGTTAATGGAGAGTGCTACTGAGCTCGACCGAAGACGTGCTCAAGCACTAGCATTTGCACTATTGAGCTTCGTGAACACTGTCTACGACCATTTCACAACCACTATAATATGGCCGCTCACAAAGCAAATGCGCATCAATATGCATGAATCAGTCACTATTGATGAGATGATACAGACTCATCGAACTTACATCAGTCGTCTCGCACATGCTTGCTTAGCAGCACCGAAGGTCAAAGCCCTGAAGCAGTCCGTCGTGGCAATTCTTGACCTGTGCATTCACTTCTCGGATCTGGTGTCGAATTCTACTAATACAGAGCATGCTAACCCTGACTTCGAGGTCAGCTCCTTCAGATCAGCCCAGAGCAAGAATAGACGGCTGCGAGCAGACCAGGATGACTCTGATTCGGAGGATGAAGACCAGAATCACTTCGATGGCTACTCTTCGTTCATTGTTCTCGATGGTGACACTAGCGTTGTGAAGGAGTTGCACAAGGTAAAGTTGAACTTTGAGAAGCAGGTCAAGGTCTTAGTCGCAGGTTTGAAAGGTGTTCGGAAAGGGGAGCAGTATGTACAGGACTTGCAATTGTTAGAGGAACGGATTTCTTGTATTCTAGTCAGGTAAATCCCTTTTCCGATAGACCGAATGCTGCTGTGGGGCTGCTTGTTAGAGAATCAGGAGGGCTGATGTGGCCTTGATATAAAAAGCAGACTCGGAGAGTAGGTAGTGAAGGTGAAGGCTGGCTTACGACAAGGCAGTATAAGTAATGACATGTCGGTCAGTAATAGCTGAATTGCATGGCTGTGTAATCAGTGAGCGTGGTCAGCCACAAGTAAGGGACGATTGCTTGTTGTGGCAGCCTGAGGCGCCATCGAGCCTGTTTTCTCGATAGAATCGCTGTTGGTGATTCGCTGGAGATGTACGTTTATCCTCCGCAAACTGTAAGAACGAAGTTTTGTGGCGCAGCAAATCAAGTTCGCATAGCCAAGGCATCACTATTTCAATGGCTGACCACACTCTTTATCGGCTTCGAGTTGACACATAGCACCCTCCATTACACTACTATGCCGAAAGGCTCGAAAAATGTCTTCAGATGAGTTGAAGTCTAGCGCGCAAGTATGGGGTGGGCCGGCAGCGACGACAGAGGATTCTCCACCTGCTTACAGTGGCATCAGCCAGGAAGACAACAACTCGAATGAGGAAAGCAGTAGTGCGCCTGTTGTGCAGACCCAAACAACACGACGTCCAGCTGCACGTGTCACGTACGACCCTTTGAGAAGACTGGGACTACTGGCTACCGTCCCTTATCACAAATACAACATTCCTGATGGCGCCTTGTCCAATGATAAGATGAGCTTGACCGTCAAGTACTCTGACCTCTATGCACAGCCTCAGCATATGATGCCGTTCATTGTTGAGCAAGCACTCTTGCCACCAAAACCAATACTTCGAGTCATCGGGAGTCATGGCATGAATACCGTCGATTTTGACATTACACTCAATCTAGCACACCTGCTGAACTTGAAGCAACGCAAATGGCGGTTCAACTCGGCGCAAGTCTCCCCGTTGCAAGGCGGTATTGGGCCACTGTATAGCGACGAGGACGATCGGGTGATGACGATGCTCGCGACGAGTGTCAGACAGTTTTGCAGAGACAAGTCGGAGAACAAATCTTACACCTTGACAAGAGTGGTCGAAGGGCTGCCTACTGACATGCTGGCAGGGCAAGTAAGGAACTTGGCAGCAACCGTTAAGTATCGAGGAGTGTTAAAGATTGACTTTGTCTGTGAACGTTCCCAGGTCATTGTCCATAAACAGCCTTCGAGCTGGTTTTCCAGCATATTGCGATTGCACCCGGAGAAGAAGTTTGAGCTGGCAGAAACAGTATGGAGCTTATTTAATCTCTCTGACAACGAGGAAGACGTCGCAACCACCGAAGCCAGTCTTCGTACGTCCCAAGAATGGTGGAAAAGCTGGTCAAGCACAATAAGGAATGCCATGATTGCAAAACACAAAGGAAATATAGGCATAGATGACTGGATCGAGACTAGGATGGGTCATTCAGAGCCGGAGCCGAGGATTGAATGGGGTAATGACAGATCTCACGACTACTGACATGAAGCAGAGAATCTTCTCAGAGCGTGCAGAAACAGTACTGCAAGTTACTGCAGTGATTTCCACAGGATCAAGATAGAAACGAAGGCTTTCTCGACATGCTCATATTCGAGTGCAGTACTGCTGGCAGTACCCACCAATACGTGGGCAACACGGCGAAATTAATGAAGAACGATTTCGGAAGGTCAGTCAAATGGATTGGCAGGTGCGGGCGCTTGACAAAGGACTTAATGAAATCGACAATGAGGGCGTGGAAAACTGCTTTCATATCACGTGGTTTCGTGTCGCTCTCGTGCTTGTATAGTCTCTGACTCGAGTATTCATTTTGGAGCCTTTTGAGAACGAACACAGACCACGTGCCATTACTTACTTCCTTGAAATCGTTCTAATTTTAACCCGAAATCTTGGTTGCAGGATCACTGTAAAGTTCATAATCACATGCCAAGAAACAACTTATCGCCTTTCCTACTTGGTGTGTCCGTAGAGCTTGGTTGAGATATACTGGCACATCAGTTCTGTAGATTGGGAGCTCATGCCGGGTTTGGACTTTCAGACCTTCGTGATCGTAGCAGCTATACCGTCGACAATTGCGTACTCGTAGTAAATGTTGCTTGGACTTGGAAATTTCGGTTCTCAACACAACGAATCCTCTTAAATTCGTCACGTCCGGCTATAGATATATTCGTGGTCTCAGGCAAACAGCTAGAAGATATAGAATTAATGTGTCCAATAATACTTCCAAGGGACTTCTGATTCTATCGCTTGTGCCGCGAATGTTATAACAATATGGACCTGCTAGCCGTAGGAACATCTGCCTCGATGGATATCAGCCAGCCTCTCACTGGTCGTGCCGAGTCGTCTTCGACTTCGGGAGGGTGGGGTAAGCACGAATATTGCTCCTGGTATACTAGTACTTTCTGGCACATTCGATCTGTGCCATGCAAGCAACAATGAGCTATAGCTAAAGCGAAGCAAAAGTGACTTGGTGGAGACGCCGTAAGTCAGACAGGTAGCAGGCTTGGCAGGTACGACCCAAGAATTGGAGATTGGATTACATCTGACGTGCACCCAAGCGACGTGTCTTGAGAACTGGAAGCTTCACAAAAGTAATCAACATTTCGCTGTAGAGTCTCGAAACTTCTTACTACAATTAAACACGTCCCTGATCGAACCTTTCAAGACTTGTTTCCAAGAAAACGTACTGTCTATATACCTCTAAATCAAGCCTATTGGATCATCACGCGACACAGTTGCAATACCATCTACAATGTCGACCATTTCTTCAACACCAGTTCTGGAGTCAAAGTCTGCAAAGAAGCGTAAGGCTAAGGTCAATCCTGCAACCACACCACCTCCTGCAGAAACGCCTATGGATGCCAAGGTCAATGGTACTGCTGACCATGAAGCTGAAGGTAGCCCATACCTGCGGGAACTTCAAAAGTACTGACAACTTTCTGTTACTTATGTATGAGCCTAGCTAACAATAGCAGACAGATAAGAAACTCCAACAAAAAGCTTGCTTCTATCACCCGCACGGAAGCTATCATCAACGACGCTCCCGGTGTCTCCCTCGACGACTTAATCAAACAAAAGAAGATCAATAATGATCAGAAAGCTCAAATCCTCAAGAAACCTCAAATTGAAGCCCAACTAGCCCAGTTGGAGGAACAGCAGAAGAACTTTAGTGAATTCGCTCAAGATTTGGAAGCTCGACACGACAAGGAGAAAGCTTCACTTGCTGAGGCTCATAATGCTGAAATTGAGAAGGTGAAACAAGAGGCGGTACAAGGTTCTTCTAGCGCATCTACCATGAAGGTGCAAGAAGCTCTCCGCATTACTTGCCAATTCTTGCATGCTGTTGCCTCTCATAGACAAAACGAGGATTTGGAGGAGAACGAGAAAGAAGCCTACGAAGCTGTTCTTCACCACCTCTATCAGGGCAATCACGCCTCGGTGGAAACCGTCACTCATCTGGTTGAGGGCAGAGAGGAGAAGATCTCGGATCCCAACACATCAAAGACGATCGATTACACCTTTGCTCAGCTGAAAGCCTCTGCAGTCAGTACTCCTTGTGAGCTTGCGGCCAATGCCGATGGAGATGCGGTCGATGATTCGGAGGCTGCGCCGGTCACGGAAGACACTGATGAGCACGAAGAGACCGAGACAGATCAGACCGTCGCTAACGCAGGTCTGACAGAGCTCGAAGACAACGCTGCCGTTCCCATTGCTGAGGAAGCCACAAGTGAAGAGTTGCTTATGGCCGCTCCAGAACAATCTTCTACTACAGCTGATGCTGCAAATGCTGTTGCAGAAGCATCATGGAATCCAGAAGCCTCTATGACTACCGAGAACACCCAGACAGGTGAAGACTGGGTTCAAGTGCCTCGAGACCCTGCCGAAACTGAGACCTCTGCAACACCAGCTATGAATCAGTCAACCACAAACTGGGCAGACGAAGCCGGCGCTGCGGCTGAAGCTACAGCTACTGAAGAGAAGGGTGTTGTCCCAATTAGTGAAAACGACGGGTTCAGTGAAGTGCGACGAGACAGAGGGGGTCGTGGACGGGGCGGCAGAGGTCGAGGTTCTGACGGACGAGGAAGAGGTCGTGGTCGAGGAGGCGAGTTCAGAGGCAACCGTGGTGGCCGTGGTCGAGGAGGACCACGTGGTGCTGCTCAAGTCCAGGCTGCCTAGAAGGCCAACCTGTATGAAAAGGTCGTGCTTGATGAGCTCTGGGGCAGGTCCAATACAGTACGGTCGATGCTACTCCTTGGTCTGAACGAACCCTTGAGTTGTGGCATTCCCAGGATTAGTATTATCATAGTATCTTCATCTTCTCCTCGTGACACATTGTACGTGCTACAGTTGACCAATGAGACAGCTGAGCCGGTATCCACACTCACCCATGCCTACAAATCTTGGCTTGGTTTTATAGCATCATAAACATATGCGAGTGTGCCAACGTTAGATCCTGGTATTGCTGGTAACCTGTTCTAACACAAATCCTACTTTCTGATAGTAATTAGGTGCAGCGTCGGTGTTCTGTACCGTCTGCAAACCGCGACGACCAAGGTCAGAGTATGGGATCATAGCAACCACGGGTCGCGAGGTTAGAAACGCATACAACTGAGATTCTGCTGTTCCAGACAAGTGAAAGTCATCTGTGACAACGAGCGCCCTTGTCGCAAATTTCCTAAGCTACTCGAAGTCTCAGCAGACCAGAACAGCGTTACGACGACGCGGTTATGGACAGTACGACTACCACGGGCAGGTTCCCTGACCTCAAGACCAGTTACTTCACCTCGCCACCTAGACCAGTTGTCCATGGAACTTCGACATAATCACTTTCACTACGCCATGTCGCGATCGATACGCGTGCTAAGGTTTCGCGCGCGTCGCATCCAAGTTCTTTCTCCACGATAAAGGATCTTTTCTTGTTGACCTTTCTCATGCAATCCCACTACGAGACTGGGATTACCTGACCTCACCGACGAGGTCGCCGTTGGCTACTCGATCGACTTGCAAATCGCACTCCCACCAGTACCCATCACTGTTTCCGAGAAGCGTCGACACAATGTCCATCAAGCACCATTTCAGGCCCGCACTGTCTGACTGGCCTCGCGCGCACCTTCCAACTCCTCCACTGACCCCAGGGGACGACCTTGACGACGCAGTATGTCTTCCAGACTTGCCCACATCCTCGACTCTGGTGCTGTCGTCCTCTCCACTCGGTATCAGCTCGTCCAGGAAGAGGAAATGGTCAGAGTCAGCCAATGTCACGATGCTACAGCTCGCGATGCTCAGGCAGCTAGCCCCCGAGAAGAACACAATCAACTGGCAGTTGATCGCTGATGAAGTCGTTAATCAAGGCCATATTCGGCCAACAGTTACAGCAGGACGTGTGAGGTAGGTTTCCACGATGTCTAACAAGGGCCGCCAGAGCTAGAATCCGCTGACACTTATGCTCTCCATTACAGAAGCCATTTCTTTTCGCTCATGCACAATACTGCCAGATCATACAGTGTGCCCTACAGACAAATGTCGGGTCAGCTGGCCCTCAACAACGATAGTCTACCACGTCTGATTCCACGTCACACTCTTCCGAGCATTCTCTCTGATTGCACAGACGTCAGCACAAGCGACAAAGGACATGCTACCAAGGCCCTGAACGACGCAGCTTTCAGTGCAAAGTTACGGGAAGCTGCGGATGCTCGCAAAGCTGATCGACCAGACGTGATGGCGCAACACAGAGCTAGTCAGGCTCATCAGAGCAGTCAAAGAATCAAGAGAGAAACAGTAGCAGTGGCAGCTCTGACAATAGACCAAAGACTTGCCCAGCTACCAATATTGAACGATTCGATACCTGTACAGCCAGCATCGAAGTCCACTCACAGAATCTTCGAACCGTACCGTTCCGCTCAACCACCCATTCTCTCATCTCAGCCTGCCTCATCACAGAGTCTTCGTTCGAGCCAACCACAATCGCATCAACTATCGTCCCAATCTTCAGCGGCCGCACAATTAGCATCTGAGCTCAAATCCCAGCTCCGAAGAGAAGTTCTCGATAACGATGAGAGACGTCGCCAGCACTGCGAGCAGAAGCTTGCGCAACAGACAAGTAAGAGGATATATCTGTCGGCAATTGACTACAGTGCGAAGCAGCACAAACAGAGGCAGAAGTGTTATGTATTTGAGAGGATGGGTGGTAGGACAGACGAGAATCTGAAAGGCAAGAGTAAGAAGCAGAAGCTACAGAACAACGTCAAAGAGAAGCATAAACACAAGACAAAAATAGTCAGCGCAACTCACGAGAAGAAGAGGAGGAGGAAACAGAAGACGTCAACGCGAGGGTCAGACTCTAGCGAGCTCGTATTTGCTAACGGGTCCGCTGCGAGTACAAGGTTCGCAGAACTGAAGGAACGACTTGCTGCGAAACAGAAGGCGGCTGCTGAGCGTGCAAGCGTGTTGGTATGAGATTCTGATAGCTTCACCGTATAACCATGTTGTTTTTTGGAACGTATCCGTGTTGGTATGTACTATAGTATTCAAAAAAAAAGTAGCACTCTCGACGCACTGTGGCTAAGCTCTGTGATGGCGTCAACTAAAATTGACTAGGGAGAACGGTAAATTTGTGCTTGTGGGTTTTCGTAACATACGAGACGACAGGCTGACATAGAATATCTGATTGTACAAACACCATTGAGAAACATCGTTGAGATCTGGTCTGCGGATTGGTGATTTAGAGGACGCTCTTTTGGACCTGCATTTTTCGTCTGTGAGTGAAATCTGTAAGATGGATAAGAATCAGGCGCATCTTGTATCGTTAGCTTTGCTGGACGTTCGGCGGATCTGCTGGCCATGGGGAGATGACTTGCTGAACAAGAAATGTGATGAGGTGCAGATGTTTCTGCCTGCCGTGTGAGTAGCATGCAGTCACAGCAGAGCTGGTCAATTGATCAGACCGTGGAGTAGTCCAACGCAAGGCTAGAGGCTTGTGATAGATTTACGTGAAGCACGAAGTCATGTCAGTATTTCGAGCAAATGCCGGGCAAGTCGCCTCGCTGATGTTGCAAAAACTTCGTAAGCGTGGACTCGGAAATGCGCAAAGAACAATTGAGAATGCTGTACATCGATTTTCGTTCGAAGTCAAACGTGTGATGGTCGCTCCTAGCTGCACAGTCTGCATTACCGTGCTCAAGGATCTCCACACCGTGACCATATCACCCATTGTGGCTGTGTCAAGGCTGAGTAACAACCACACCGTCTTCCCATCAAAAACAACATGCAAAGGTGAAGGTGTGTCTATGGGTTGTAGAAGGGGCTATCGGTGCCTTCGGGATACAGATCCTCCTTCAAATTGATGCCAAGCTCTTCCCGTATTGGCTTGAGTTCAGCCAGGTACTCTTCGTATTGGTGAATGTTCTCAACCTTTGCCTTTATGCCTGCATCGCTTGTGTCAGTATGGGTTTCGTGAATGTGTTTTGCTCTCAGACTCCTTTCGCACCTTCAAATATCCTTACGGCGGTAGGATAGTCATTAACTCGGCGTGCAGCTTTCAGGGCAGCGATCACAACTCCAGGTGAAGGAACGAGATCGTATGCGAAGGCGTTGTTTAAGTTTCTCTGTCGAGTGTCAGCCCACCCATACTGGTCCGCAAGCCTCAGATCGGTGACTTACTTGTAGCTCGAAGACATCTTGTACCTTGTCGAACTCTGCCTCATACCTATACACGCATGCGTCAACCAAGTCCAAAAACAAGCGTGCAAACTTCCTGAAAGTGGTGTGATCTCTTCCTATGGTCATTGTGCTCGAAAACAAGCTCCAGGCATTCAGTCGTACCTCTGAGAAAATTCTTCAAATGTCTCTTCACCATGCTCTGAGCTTCTTTGAACAGCCGATGTGCTGAAGGGTGATCTCGCGCATAGGAGGGACGAGGTAGGAGCTACCCGTACAGCTCGTGGAGTGATGATGCGAGCAGGGCGCGACAGCGATGTTGCCGTACGAGCAGCTACTCGCAAGAAGCTGAGAGCCATTTATACGGGTTCGTTCTGTGTTTTGGGTGACTCGTGGCTGGAGGATCGTGATTGTTGTCGAACGTAAGTACTTTAATCTGAAGTCACTACATTCAACTTTGAGCTTGGGAATTGGCGACACTTGACGAGGCCCTCAGGCAGTTTTTCTTGAATCGTCCTTCTCCTGATTCGACCACTCGGAAGACCTACCTACATCCTGCAAGCATGCGACTGTCGGCCTATTATCGGCATCGGGTTTACCCTGGCTGCAATAAGCATTCCAAGCCGCACCTGCCCAACACATTCTTCCTGCATGTCTAGAGCAGGTACAATCGCTAAAGACACAACTTAGAGTAAGTCTATCCTCGCCCGTTATTGTCGGTCGTCCCGTGTATTTACCAAACAGTGCAGCATCGCGTCAGTCGTATCTCGTACACAGAACGACGCGCCAGTCGCAACAAAACCCTGGCAGGAGATTGGCCTCCAGACTTGCGCGAATCGGAAATCCAGGAACAGGCGGGCTTGGCAGTATAATCAAAGCAGAAGCCGTTACAAGCTCGGTTCGTGGTAAACTGGGGTGCACGGGCTACCCCCTAACATTGAGATGTAACATATTTGCGTTTCCAGAAATCCTTGCCGAATCTCTCAGCCTCCTTTGCATACATGATCCGGCAAGTCTCGTAATACGACACGGCACGAGAAAAGATACTTGATACGACTTTCCCAACTCAACCTCTCCCACAATTTCATTCTGATTCTTACTATAACTACTGCGACCCTTGTCCGCGTTGTTGTCACTGTCACTCCTTTCAGTTTTCTCGACAATCAAGAACATAGCAGCCATGTCGCCAGAAGAGCATCCTACCATAGCCGACTTCTTCAAAGACATGGAAGTCGGCCTACCCACACTCGAACGACCTTTTGGTATAAAACTATGGCCTGTCTTCAGCAAACTATACTCCGGCCTGTTTGGATATGCGCCGGAGAACTTTAAGTTCAGACAGGGTGAGACGCACATGTCCACCCTACAGGAGACTCTCGTTGCACTGGCTGCATACTACATAATAATATTTGGTGGAAGAGAAATAATGCGAAATCGCAAGCCGTTCGTATTGAATGGGCCTTTCATCGTTCACAACTTCTACTTGACCGTCATAAGCGGTGCTTTGTTAGCCCTCTTCATTGAGCAACTTCTGCCTACTTTGGTCAATCACGGTGTTTTCTACGGCGTCTGCAATTACCAGGGTGGTTGGACGAAACCCCTGGTGACACTTTACTATGTGAGTCAGCCCGGACTGTTCCAAAGACAAAGTACTGATAGGTCTTCCAGATGAACTACTTGACCAAATACCTCGAATTGATCGATACCGTCTTCCTCGTCCTCAAAAAGAAGCCTCTGACCTTCCTCCATACCTATCACCATGGCGCAACCGCTCTTCTCTGCTATACACAACTCATCGGTCACACTGCAGTCTCGTGGGTGCCCATAACATTGAACCTGTGCGTTCACGTTGTCATGTATTGGTAAGAGACCGACTATTACTACCCTGTTACATAATTCGTGCTGAACACTTTCCAGGTACTACTTCCAAGCTGCCCGCGGTATTCGTATCTGGTGGAAGAAGTACATTACAATCATGCAAATTACACAATTTATAGTCGACCTCGGCTTCGTTTACTTCGCCTCTTATACCTATTTCACATCCACCTACTTTCCGTGGATGCCGAATGCAGGCCGTTGTGCGGGAGAAGAATTTGCAGCAATTGCTGGTGTCGTTATTCTCAGCTCTTACCTGTTGTTGTTCATCAGCTTCTACTTCGCGACATACAAGAAAGAGACCAAATCAGGACGACCGAGACGCAACACTGGAAAGGATGCCCTCATTGCAATGGCTAGGGAGCCTTTGCCTCGACCTAGGGGGCTGAGCAGTGCTGGAGATGAAAACAGCAATGGAGCTGTAAGTACAGCAAGAGAAGGGTCAAAGACTAGGAGCAGGAAAGCATAATCGGACAGCCAGTATGCTCGAGATTTATCTTGTACGAAGGTCAGGCCTAAAGATTCAGCCGAGTGCTGAGAACATGAACACAACACGAACGATATTTGCATGAAGTACATACATGCGGTTGGAAACTTGTGCATAGCAATGTCTATGTACAGCGCGAAATGTCGGATTTCGTATAGGCATACAACGTCTCTACGGCACGAAGACCAGCAGATGTCCTCGGCTGCCAAGATCGACGTGCTCGAATCCGGCGAGGAGAGTGTATAAAAAGAGATGATGGATTCTGTTTTGTATGAACAGAAATTATTTGACAGCACCACAACAGATGGGCGCATGTACCTTATTGAGACGAGCTTCTGAATATACGACTAATACGTGATATTTCTTGTCACGAATCTGCTCCTTATTCTGCTGTCAATCTTTGTATTGTGTGAAGAGCTTCTTCACGCATGCTCTACCAACCGCAACGCACTCTTTCAACAGCACATACTTTTAACCACACCACCCCCTAGCACTCCTAAACAACCTCATCCAAGCACCTCCATACTCGATGAATTCCTCCCGCCTCGATTCCGGCACATAACTCCCCGCCGCAGCACCAAGAACCGTCCTCTCAGGATGTGGCATCAGCGCCAGTACTCGCCCATCCTTACTTCTGACACCAGCAATTCCGTCCGGCGAACCATTCGGGTTGAAAGGATATTTCTGCGTCGGCTTCAAGGTGTTGTTATCGACGTATCGTAACGGCGCTAGACCGCTACGTACGAACTCCGACGCGAGCTGCTCATTCTGTGCTGCTAGGGAGGCTTTTGAGGATGAGGCTAGGGTCGATTGTGGGATGTTGCAGATGAAGCTGGCGCGGCCTTCGCCGTGCGCTGTTGCGATTGGGAGGGCAGAGGTGTGCATCCCGTTCAGGAACACGGAAGGTGAGAGGGCTGGTGAGTCGGTTGTGCCGCTTGTTGCTGTAGGTGGTGGGTCTGAGACACTGACCATACACACTCGTGCCTCGTACTGCTCGCTCTCATTCCTCTCGAAACTCGGCCAGGTTTCCGCGCCAGGAATAAGAGTTTTGAGCTTCGAGAGGACCTGGCAGCCGTTGCAGACGCCTAGCGTGAACGTGTCCGCTCGTTTGAAGAACGCTTCAAACTCGGATTTTGTGGGTGGGTGGAATAAGATAGATTTGGCCCAGCCTTGACCTGCGCCGAGGACGTCGCCGAAACTGAATCCGCCGCAGAGGGCGAGGCCTTGAAAGGCAGAGAGGGAGGTGCGGCCGTTCATGACATCTGTCATGTGGACGTCGTAGGCTAGGAAGCCGGCTGTGTGGAAGGCGAACGCCATTTCCGCTTGGCCGTTGGTTCCTTGATCTCGGAGTATGGCTACTCGTGGCTTGGAGGCGGGACGAATATAGTTCAGGACGGTGGATGTGACTGGTGTGAGGTTGGTCTGTTTGGGATCGAAGGTGAGATGGTAAGAAAGACCGGTATCTTCGTTGTCTAGGATATTGTCGTATTCTTGGTCGGAGCAGTGCGGGTTATCCCTTAGCTTTTGCATCCAGTGACTTGTATTGGACCAAGTTTGCTGGAGGCTTGATCTCGAAGCGCGATACACCAGTTTGGCACGCCAGTAAATACTGAGGTTCTGCTTCGTCGATGAATCCTTACTAATACTGCCAACTTTGTAGATAAGGCCTGGTGGTGGCCCACATGTGGCGAAGCAAGCTTTGAACTTGGTTTCATCCGCTTTACGTACCTGGAAAACTGCACCGAGCTCTTCATTGAACAGTGTTGGTACTATATCTGCCATATCAGGCGTAGCGCAGATCGATTCGAGGGACACACTCATGCCACAACGACCAGCGAAGCACATTTCGGCAAGTGTGGAGAAGAGGCCGCCATCGCTACGATCGTGATAAGCAAGAACTAGATCCTGCTCGTGAAGCTTCTGTGTTGCATCGAAGAAGTCCTTAAAGAGGTGCACATCTCTGATATCAGGACAGTCGTTGCCAGTTTGCTTGAAAGATTGCGCTAGGATGGAACCACCCATTGACTTGTGACCGAGGCCGAGATCAACGAAGAAGAGGCTCGTCTCACCGACTTCGTTGTACCGCTTCACTTGAGGAGTCCAAGTTCTTGTCACATCAAGCACAGGTGCGAATGCTGATATCACTAGCGACAGTGGTGCTGTTACTTCTTTGCTCTCCTTAGCTGCGTTATCCTGCCATCGCATCTTCATAGACATCGAATCTTTGCCCACAGGTATCGATATTCCGAGCTCTGGACAGAGATGCATGCCAAGTGCTTCAACAGCTTCGTATATGCCTACACCTTCACCAGGATGACTGGCAGCAGACATCCAATTAGCGGACAACTTGACTTCGGTTAGCCTCTCCTTAATATGAGCAGCAGTGATGTTCATCAATGCTTCTGCGACTGCCATGCGAGCCGATGCAGCATGTGATATCAACGCTAGCATTGGCTTCTCACCCATTGCTTCAGCTTCACCCGTGCGAATGCCATGAGTTAAAGAGGTCGCGGTGACACCAACGTCAGCTAGAGGAACTGCCCAAGGCCCAACAAATTGATCGCGGGCTGTTAGTCCACCAACCGTGCGATCGCCAATTGTGATAAGGAAGGATTTAGAGCCGACAGCAGGCATCTGCAAGACTCTATTGATCGCTTGGTTCAGCAGTTCCTCAGATGATTGGCCAGGGAGGTAGGTGATAAGGCTATGGTCGAAGCTGGCTAGCTGTAAATTCCTGCTCTGTACATCTCTCACCATCTTTGGTGGCTTGCCGAAGAGCACAGACATAGGCAAATCAATCGGCCGCTGTATATTCGGGTTATTGCGATCAACCAGAACCACCCTGTTCTCAGAATTGTTCTTCTCTCCTGTGGCTTGGCCCACGATTGAGTATCTGCATCTTTCACGTTCAGCTATTGAGCGGAACTTGTTGAGACCATCGTGTGCGACTGCTAGAACGTATCGTTCTTGTGCCTCACAGCACCAAATCTCCATTGGACTCATGCTGCCGTCTGCATTGTCCACGTCACGAAGCTCGAATTTTGCACCAAGAAAACCGGCGTCCTTGATCAACTCAGGTAAAGCATTTGACAATCCACCAGCACCGACGTCGTGTATGAACAAGATTGGACTGTCCTGGCCTAGCGAAGAACAAGAATTGATGACCTCCTGAGCTCGTCGCTGCATTTCGGGGTTGCCACGCTGAACGCTAGCAAAGTCAAGGTCTACCGATCCTGTCCCAGCTGTGACACTCGAAGCAGCGCCGCCACCAAGTCCGATCAGCATGGCTGGTCCACCCATCACGATGAGATGTGCTCCAGTAGGCACAAGGTCAGGGTCTTTCAGAGCAAGTTGTGGGCGTACTGTACCAATACCACCTGCGATCATGATAGGTTTGTGATACCCTCTGACTTCTTTCTCGTTACTGTTGATGTCCACTTGGGCAAGGAATGTTCTGAAGTATCCATTGATGCATGGGCGGCCAAATTCATTGTTGAAAGCTGCGGCTCCAAGCGGTGCATTAAGCATAATATCGAGACTGCTTGCGATATGATTTGGCTTTCCATAATCGAGCTCCCATGGCTGCCGATGACCAGGTATCAAGAGATCTGACACAGTGAACCCCACTAAACCAGCTTTCGGTTTAGAACCTCTTCCGACAGCACCCTCGTCTCTTATCTCCCCGCCTGACCCAGTGGCAGCACCTGGGAACGGTGACACGGCCGTGGGATGATTGTGGGTCTCGACCTTCGCCAAGTATGGCACCATCTCATCTGTAGGAAGCCACTGGCCACTGCTTGTACTAGGGGCCCAATGTGTGCCTTTGAAGCCTTCGAGGACTGCAGCATTGTCTTCGTATGCACTCACGGTGCCTCGAGGAGTAATTCTGTGTGTGTTTCGGATCATCCCGAACAGGCTATTAACTTTTGCTTTGCCATCCACGGTCCAAGTTGCATTGAATATCTTGTGTCTACAGTGCTCTGAATTGACCTGAGCAAACATGAATAGTTCAACATCTGTCGGCTTTCGTGCAACAGGTCCATCTTTCGAGTACGCATCGGCCAGGTATTGTATCTCCGCGGCATCGAGTGCCAAACCTAAGGTTCTATTTAGTTCTTGCAAAGTCTCAAGAGGGGAAGCACCGTTCTCGCTCAAGTCGAAGCATTTCAAAGGTCTTGTTGGTAGCGTCACGAATTCCTCGACCAGATTCGGCTCGCTGGCGTATATTTTCTCTGTCATACGGTCGTGGAGAAAGTCCAGCTGCCTCGAAGTGAGGTCTGTTTGACCATCTGCCAGCTTGACTGAAATCTTGATACCTCTCTCTACCCGTCTGACGTGTCTTCGTAGACCACAGACCTGAGCAATGTTGGTAGCCTTTGAGCTCCATGGCGAGATGGTACCTGGTCTGGGCAGAACGTAATAATTCTTTGCACCTTCGATATCTTGGCCTATAGTAGTAGTAGCACCATCCGAGAGGAGATTGGTAAGCAATTCAGATGCATTTTCATCTAGATCTTGCAGCAGATCGACATAGTGGATATAGTGGCCTTTGATCTTCTCAACTTCTGCTTGAAGTGCCAGGGCTTGTTGGCGAAATTCTGAGAAAGCTTCCGAGCCTGGTAAGGCTACGATTTGGGTCGCAGACATGTCTGTCACGGCTTACGTGACTTGTGAATTTCAGAAAGCGCAACTTCCTACCTTAAAGGTTGGTGAAGCCAAGCACTTTGAGAATCCGTGTACAATTCTTCGAGGAAACACAGGACCATGTCAGTACAATGTCCTTAGTGCAAGCTGATTATCAGAGCCCCGGCTATCGAAACATATTTCTTCGATTCTCGTAGCCCAAAAGTATTCTCTGCTGCAACCCTGCGGGTGAACATTTTTGGAATGCAAAGTCGATAGCGGCACAAAAATCTTGTTAGGTTTGAGCACAAAGAATATGAACGCATTGGTACCTGAACCTCAAAAATTACACCGTAGCGGCTTCCAGGCCAGATTTAATCCCTGCAGAAAGACCATGCCGGGTTGGCATGTGCCTATTCTGTCATCTTTACACCCTGGACCCCCAGGGATGCCGCAGGAAACTGAATAATCAGTCCGTCTTTTTCGAATTGTTCCTCCTCACTCCGATCTCGTTCATGTGCCCTTTTTGCGCGTGTGCTCTGGACTCGAATGACCAATATCGAAAAAGTTGCAACCTGCTTATCGTATCCACACTCCTGCTGACCATAGCTTCGCTAAAACCCTCGATTTGATCCGTCCACGAGCTTTATCCATCACTGTGGGCATCCACCTGATCCAGCACGCGCGAACCGACTCCGGCCATTTCTGGGAGCCCACATCTGTACCCTGCTCAGGCTTGCTATCTACTATTCTTTGGATCTGCTTGCGATTTGGAGGGCTGTCCGAGACCGCCCTCACCGTCATCATTGCTTCCAAAGGCAAGTCGTCGAACCCACTCCACCGTCGACAAAGGACCAACGACGAAGACGAAGCAACAGTAGCCTTGACTTCCGCCGCAGAGGAGAAGGAGCGATCGGAAAGGCAGAGGTCGTACTCCTCGGCCACTGAGTCGGACGAATTCTCGCTCTGGAGCGATACAGGAGACATTGCTGAAGAGCTTGCCAACGATCGGGACCATCCTCATATCGAGCTTGATCCTCTCAACAGCGAGGGTCGCCCTCTCAACGCTCGTGGTCACGGTGGAGGACGAGGAAAGAAGGTCGTTTTTGAACAGCAAGACTACTCTCGAGGGGGAAAAAAGCGTTCTGGCATTGCTAAAGAGGATATAACTATACCCAGTCCTCCTTCGAGAAGGATCAGTACAGCCGAAAAGGTCCTTGCCCTCATCATGGCGCCGAGCGACCCTCAGACCGCCAGGTCCAGAGGCCTGGTAGGCAAGCCTTTGCTGTAGGTTTACGCGTGCCGTATGGTCCCCACTTACTGACCATGCTTGCCAGCTATTTCACCAGTGTATTTGTCTCGTTAGGTGTGTTTCTGTTTGGCTATGATCAGGGCGTCATGTCTGGTATTATTACGTGCGATCATCCCCCACTAAGCGACCGAGTGAAGCCATACTGACTTTCAGCAGTGGTTCATTTTTCAAAGACTATTTCAATCAGCCAACAAGAGCCGAGATAGGCACTATGGTAGCTATTCTCGAGGTCGGTGCTTTCATTTCTTCGTTGAGTGTGGGCAGAATAGGCGACATAATCGGCCGTCGTAGAACCATTCTTTACGGCTCGATTGTATTCTTTATTGGAGGCATGTGTCAAACGTTTGCCAATGGCATGCCCATGATGATGTTGGGTCGCATAATCGCTGGTCTCGGCGTGGGCGCGCTTTCCACAATCGTTCCTGTGTACCAGTCTGAGATCAGTCCGCCCCATAACCGTGGAAAGCTCGCTTGTATCGAGTTCACTGGCAATGTCTCAGGTTACGCAGCAAGTGTGTGGGTGGACTATTTCTGCAGCTATATCGACAGCGACTATGCATGGCGTGTACCCCTCCTCATGCAATGTGTGATGGGAGCACTCTTGGGTCTAGGCAGTCTCGTTATCTGTGAGTCTCCGAGGTGGCTGCTGGACAACGACCACGATGAGGAGGGCATCATCGTCATCGCAAATCTCTATGGTAAGGGCGATATCCACAATGACAAAGCACGTCAAGAATATCGTGAGATCAAGATGAATGTTCTTTTACAACGACAGGAAGGAGAACGATCTTATTCCGATATGTTCAAACGATACTACAAGCGGGTGTTCATCGCCATGTCTGCGCAAGCTTTCGCGCAACTCAACGGCATCAACGTTATCTCCTACTACGCACCTTTGGTCTTCGAATCCGCTGGTTGGCGTGGCCGACAAGCCATCCTCATGACTGGTATCAATGCATTCTCTTATCTTGCCTCGACTGTACCACCCTGGTACTTGGTTGACAAATGGGGCCGGCGACCCATCCTGTTATCGGGAGCGGTAGCCATGATCATCTCGCTATCCCTGATATCGTACTTCCTTTTTATCGATATCGCGTGGACACCAACATTGGTGGTCGTTTTTGTTATGGTTTACAACGCAGCTTTTGGTGCGAGTTGGGGGCCAATCCCTTGGTTATATCCACCTGAAATACTGCCACTAAGCATTCGAGCGAAAGGAGCAAGTTTGAGTACGGCCAGCAATTGGGCATTCAACTGGCTGGTGGGTGAAATGACACCAGTACTGCAAGAAGTGATCAAATGGCGGCTGTACCTGCTTCACGCATTTTTTTGTGCTGTCAGTTTTGTGCTTGGTAAGTGAATGTCGACATCGAAAAGAGGACGTGAGACTAATATGCTGCAGTTTGGTTCTTATACCCCGAAACAGCCAACGTTCGATTAGAAGACATGAATGCTCTATTTGGTGATGCAACAACAGCGATGCCTACTCCAGTGTCACAAGCCGAACGAGGATCATTGATGGGTATTGACTCACCTTCATCCATCGATATTCGACGAGGGTCACCACGGCCTGGACAATTCAGTGCAGACGACGCGATCCCTGGACTAGACATCGATCCTCCTGCTCTGGAAGTTGATGCTGATGGCAAGCCTATACAAAGCAGTCGTGGCAGAAGTGAGAATGGCGGAGAAGGTCTTGGTGGTTGGATTGGACGAATGGTATCCAGGACACGAAATCGTGAACGAAGTGACAGCAACCGTGGCCAGTATGGTCGTATTCAAGACGATGACTGATCTAGAAGATATAGGCGACATCTACGAACCACCTTGGATTGTAGACAATGGCATGTCGAGCGGCTGCTCGCGTTCCAACCAAATCATAGATGAGCTCCAGGGCTCACGACTTGTGCCTGCCAGTACATGCTTCTTTGTGTCGTAGCAAGATGTAGGACAGCTGGGAGTGTGTGGGGGCGAGATCTGCAAAATGTCCCAAATGGGCCAGCAGACCCAGCGGCAAGACCGTTCCGAGTTGCGGTCCTTTGTGTGACAGGCTCTGGCCAACCAGATCGGGCTAGAAATGTGCTAGCACACGGACCCAGCCACTATCGTCGTTCCCACACGCCTTGCCTGTTTCCGCGACCTTGTCATCGTAGCTGTACTATCGCCTTCGTTGTGGTGTGTTCAGTCACCACAGGTCTCTCCAGCCGGGCTTTGCACACATATCTCAAAGTCCAGCACTACATACCCAGGAGGTCGAGTTGCGAGTCGAACCTGCAGGACGGTTTCGTCATTCTTCCGGAACTCCATCCTGGCCAGGCCCACTTCGTCCATCGCAGCTGCCAGTTTCCGCGAGTGCGAACGCTGCAACGAACAGCCTCAGATCGAGGGCCCTCTGTGTTCGTGCTGAAAGATTTTTGAAGAAGCATTGAGTACGACTACTTTTTCACTCTTACCTTCAAGAGTGCTCGGGTGTCGTGGTCCGCATACCTCGATCACATTGTCACTTACAGCGCGTCTGCGGTTTGCCTGTGCAGCAGGCCTGCGCTGGCTTTCACAATGCGCAAACGCTAGCCACTGCCATCCTATGTACAAATCATCCTTGATTACGCCACAATAGGCTGGCTCGTTAGCGCAAACGGTCCTGATTGAACTGACAGTCTGGGCAGCATGTCGCAGTCTACCATATCTGCACCTTCACAAAACCAGGTACTGTCGGACTCTCAGCCTACAGACACGAGGAAACCTAGCCCATTTGCCAAGTTCGACAATCGGATAGCGGGAATCAACGATCGCGTTTTACCAAAACAACCGTATGTGATCACAATTCCTTCTGATTTTCCCTACCGAAGGCACACGACAGACCCCAATAGATGGTATATAAACACACCCTTTTCACGTAGAGAAGAGCAGCTCCAATACATGAGTCTTCTTCTACACCAGGAAGACGACGAAGCTCTGTTGAAAGTGGACGGCACCAGAATAGACGAAGAAGGACGACTACTTGTTCATGTTCCCTCCCCAAAACCGGAAGCACCCAGCAGGCCAGATACTCCCCACGACTCAGGACCTAAGAAGAAGATCAGCCTGAAGGATTACAAGACCAAGGACCGAAGTAGTGTAAACACTCCCGAGCGCAGGCCTGCAGACGATATTCGCAAGCAAGCAATCAAAAGTCACAAGGAGGAGGAGGTGCTCGTGAAGGAAGAGAAGCACCAGCAACCATCACAATCGACTTCTCAGATTGACCAGAAGCCTGAGCAAAAGTCTGAGCGGAAATCCGAGCAGAAGATAATCCCTTCAAAGGTGTCTGCTCCTGCGGTCAAGCCGGACTCCAAGCCGTCATTCGCAACGCCTACACAGCATGATCATGGTTCGCAACGTCCAGCCAAGAAGCGGAGATTGTCTGCAGAGGAAGAGAAGACACAACCTAGTCGGACCTCAACACCTGTGCTGCAAGGAGGACGTATAAAGCAGGAGACTACTGAGAAGCGATCACTACCTGCTTTACTATCACCAGACATACCTCCGTCACAGAAGTCGTCGTCCGAAAAGCCTACAACTGAGAAGGAGAAGAAGAGGAAGCAGGAGCTTCCAGTTCTCCTTTCTCCGGCATTGCCACCAGCTCTCGAAAAAGCTGTCGCAGAGTCGTCCCAGCGAAGTGATGAAGTCAGAGCAATTCTGAAATCTAGCATAGCCTCACCTGCCAGGTCGAGCGACAAGAAACATAGAGAGGTCGCCGCTAAAGAACCAAATCGTCTACGAGCAGATAGTCAGGCTTCCGCCAGACCTACTACGCCAGGCATAAAGATCTCATCACCTGTACCTAAATCTGTGAGCGCGCTGAATCAATCAAACACTTCTACAGCCAACAGCAGAACGGCTAGTCCAAAACCACGGCAGAGACATATTATTGTCCTTAAATATGGCAAGAAGAATCGCAAGCGGGTGGAAGGGCTACTCAAGTTTGCACCGAGGCAGAAAAAAGAAGCATCCACGGTTAGTGAGAAGGAGAAGGAAAGAGAGAGATCGGTCGATGTCAAAATAATGACAAAGGTGGATCCCCCGAAATCTGACAAGAAACGTGCAGCTGAATCTTCTCCGGAGATGTCTACAAAGCGAATGAAACTGGAACCACTCATCAAGACGGAGAGGCCTACCACTCCCAGGCTAGATGCTGAAGCTGCCAAACCCAAATCACTGTTCTCTACTCCTAAGAAGGATCTGAGATCAATAGCGATGCAGAGAGTGGCTTCCACCGACACGATTGAAGCAGGAACTCCAGGGCACGACAACGCTCGCAATTCCACGCCACTCACGATGTCTCACACCTCACGGCCAAAGACCTCGCCGGGTCCATCTGTATCAGGAGCACGAACCGATGAGCAGATCACGTGGAACGACATCAGCACCAAGATATTCCAACTCGGCAGACTCCTTAAGAAGGAGGGTCAAAAGCTTGCCAGTGAGAGCCAGGGGAAAGAAAAGCAGAGAGGTGTCGTGCTACTCATCGAAGCGCTACTTTGCTTTATGATCAATTCAGGGGCACTGGCTCAAGCACGACCCAATGTAGATCCTGGCTGGTCCACCATTCTCCCTTACTACACTATGGTCTTCAAGCAGTCTCAATCTTACAAACATCTCAATGGTCTTGTGGTGCAATTAGGCGGAGTCTGCCGACAGCATCTGCAGCAAGAACACGTTAGACGGCTTGCTAAAGAGATGCTGCCAGACGAAACAGTTTCGGCTCCTACACCTGGAAGTGATGGCACAACCAGGGGCGTTGACGACTTCGCGAAGAAGCAAAAAACTTTTCTTGACCTGCGAAACGAGCTTGTTTCCAATTTTCGGGATCTGAGACTGGCCTGGCTGGAGGGCTCAAAGCTACTGCCTGCGGAAACTATCGAGCAAGATTATCCCAGTACCTGGTCGAAACGTATATCGACGAAGGACTTGAGCAAGCGCAATCCGGACAAACTTAGTCCAAAAGATCTGCCCAAGGATTTTCCCATGCCGCTGGACGTCACAGCCAATGTCTTTGAAGCCTCAAATTTCGCATTGGCATTTATGCGAGAATGGGCGCTGATTGAGCAGATTGACTGGAAGACAAGGATGGAGATGTGACGGGACCGCCTGGCATGAAAGTCGTTCCTTATTTCTTTTTACATGATACCCAGCTGTGACTTACCTAGCTACCATCGTCCTAGCGGACAAAAACTCTTAACAGCACGTAAATGGATGCGAATTTTGTGTTTTCCTGCCCCTTCGCAGCTCACAGCTATGCTACTTTTCTCGACCACAATCTGTGCAGTTGCCCAAGATTGACTCAACGTCTAAGATGCTTAAATTAAGAGAACATGGTTACTATGCCACAACAAAGCTTGCAGACCCTTGTTTATTCGAGTATACCTTTTGACGAGCACGAGCAAATCGGAGTAATGAGTTCTCTTTAGCTTGGAGGCCGTATCGAAGATTTGGGATCGACGCGTGAACGCATCGAGGCACATTCGCGCCGCTAATAATTGCAGGCAAGTGACTACGCTCAACAATGCACAAATAGACATTGCTCTCGCGCTTCGCTGGTAGAAGCCTTGTATTTGTTCAGTGTGCGGCTTCACGTCTTTCCCACCGTTGCATTCCTATCGCTGTACCGCGTCTATATCTGCCATCTACTGGGCTTCCGATATAAGAGTGCTGGCCACTTCTTAGACCTCAAGTGTTCGACATGATTACATCGATCGAGCCAGCACAGCGCAAGAGTATATTGCGAGTACTGTTCATATCCCTTCTCTTGGATTTGGTAGGTGGTTATTGTGCGCGTTTGACTACTAGCTAATCACAGCAGATATCATTCACGTTCATTCTGCCTCTTTTCCCATCTCTTCTCTCCTTCTACCGAAAACTCGATGACCGTCCCAATTCTCTGCTTAATCAGATATTTCACTACTTGAATGCTTACAAACAGTCCTTCGCTATTCCAATAAACTCGAAATATGACATTGTCCTTCTAGGTGGTGCACTTGGATCGCTGTTCAGTTTGCTACAAGCGATAGCCAGCCCTCTAATCGGCAAGGCATCTGACAAGTACGGCAGGAGAACGGCATTGTTATGGAGCATGTGTGGGAACATTGCAAGTGTCGCGCTTTGGTGTGCGGCCGTCGATTTTCGGACATTCCTCCTCAGCAGGGTCGTCGGTGGTTTAAGTGAAGGAAACGTGCAGCTCGCTACTGCCATTGCAGCCGATATCAGTGACGAATCGCAAAGGGGCTCGACTATGGCTATGGTTGGAGCGTGTTTCAGCATAGCGTTCACATTCGGCCCTGCTCTAGGAGCTTGGCTTGCGAGCATTACTACTTTTTCAGCCAACCCTTTCGCCACAGCAGCTGGTTTCTCACTCGTCCTCGTTCTCGTTGAGTCACTGTACTTGTATCTTCGATTACCAGAGACAAGGCCAGTATCTACCTCTGTCGAGAGAAAGGGGACTTCTTCGAGCGCGGCCAAAGTACACACAAACGCACCTGCTCTACTTAACGTTGTTCATTTTCTCTTTCTCCTTCCTTTTTCTGGCATGGAGTTTTCTCTTCCCTTCTTAATCACATCGGTCCTCTATCCCGATCACCAATCGCCGTCGAAACTGAACGGTCGCTTGCTCGGCTTTGTTGGGTTGATTGCGTCCCTCCTTCAGGGTTCGGTCGTCCGCCGCATGCCACCACTTACTATCGTTAAGGTCGGCGTTGTCAGTTGCACGGCAGCCTTCTTTCTCCTTTCGAAAGTGGAGTCAACCACTCAGCTCTACCTAGCTGGTACGCTTTTGGCAGTTACATCAGCCACAGTCGTGACGGGCTTGAACAGTTTGGGCAGTTTCGAGGCAAAGGAGTCAAACAGGGGTGAGGTATTAGGCGCACTAAGAAGCTGGGGTCAATTTGGTCGAGCTCTGGGGCCGCTCATATTCTGCTCCATGTTCTGGTGGTTAGGCCGAGAAACAGCTTACCAGGTTGGAGGAGCATGCATGTTGGGCGTTGCTGCAATCGTGTTTAGTGCACTGAAACCACCAACGGTACAAAACGCAAAGAGCAATGACAAGACGGAAGAAAAGTTTGGTTGATTTTTTAAATTGAGAGCTGAAATGCACACACCTTCGAAAATATGATGCTACATAGTCGAAAGGCTATCAAGGCCTCTTTCCTCAAATTGCGAGGTTAATCGGACCAGCGACTCCCTCTCAAGTACAGAGGTAGCAAGCAGCCGCCATTGTGTACAAGATTGTCAAAAGCATTGCAATCCGAGGATAGTCCAATGCCATTTCCGCCATCAACGCCGACACGCCAATGAGCAGTGTTATTAGCGCAAGCAAGCAGATACAGTGGGCCATAATGATACAGAGGAGACCAGTGGCCTCGATCGTGGTGGCAGGCATATCTTCTCGACTCAATATGGTGATCGACTTGATGGGAAACAAGAAAGTGAATGCAGGCAATATGGAAGCAATACGGAACACAAGGGGACAACCAGCAATATATAGAGCATGTAGCTGCTTTGTCTAAGCAGGATTGATGAGAAGGATCAGGCCTTGTTCGTCGATACTCACAACGAAAGTATCAAAGACTAACAACAACATCTTTATTGTTCATGGTGGCATTGAACGGGCTAGTTGGGCATATTGCGTGGTCAACGGTCGGTCGTTTGCTCGGTGGGCTGCATGGCAACGACTCGTGCTAGAAGAAGAGGCAGATTCTATTCCAGCATGCTGCGATATGTATTCGAATCAACTCAACGGACACGTACACAAGAGTCGTGAGGCTGGAAGAGCTGCGTGTGTCGTGGACAACCAAACCATCCAAGCAACGAAAGAAGCACCAGTCAATGCATTGCTTTTAATGTCAACGATGAACAGGATGAATAATAGAGCATAAGGCAAGGCTGACTATACTACTACTACACGATTGCGATACCACTGCCACTTGTCTCTGCAAAAAAGTCTCCAGCACGAGTACAATCTCACCTGAAACAACAAACCACTTGGCGATCGATAGTGCAAAGCAAACCTTTGAAGAAACCTGATTTGATACACTACTTGCAGAGCCAAGATGCGGGTGGTTCTAGAGCTCATACAATGAGTTGCCGCTTGCTTGCCACGTCCTGGTCTTTCTACCGGAATACGTGTCAATCTGATGTGTGGGGTTAGTGCTCAGCGCAGTGGGAATATCGCTTGGCAACAGTTTGCTGTTCGATTTCATAAATAGAGAGAGCTGATCAAGCCTGTCGTTTTGTAGCTTCACCAAAACTCGAAATTGATTTCGTTGAACGGGGGACAAGTGAGAGTGGATTCTGGTCAAAGTACATACCTTACAAATTCTGTGGAAAGTTGATCGGCAACCCATGTTGTGTAAGGTTCCCTTTTCCTGGCAGTGCAGAGACCCACTCGTGTAGATTTCGGCTACTGGTTGCTGCCGCTAAGTTTATCGCCTAAAATTCTTCCCCAGGACGAAGCCTATCAGTATGTGTAGTGATGTATTGGTATCCACTCTCGCCGCGCTGCCATGGCTCTATAGACCTTGAAAGCCATGACTGCCACTGCGTCTTTTCCATGCAGAATCTTCCAATGAGTAGAATGCGGTCGTTTGCGTTCCTCAATGGTACGCTTCGAAGTCGACACCTCGAAAGCTAGCCTTCGGACAGTACATATTTACAGATACTCTTAACTGTTTCGACAGTATGGTAAGTAGTCAACAAACATGAAATTCGCAAAGGAACTTGAAGACGATTTGGTGCCAGAATGGCGGGCCAAGTACATCAATTATAAGCAAGGAAAGAAGAAGATCAAGGAGATTTCTAAAGCGCTTCGAAGCGCCAGTCGAACACCAAAAACCCCAGGAAAACCTCAGTTACCGCATTTCGATTCTACCGCTAGCATACCTTATACTCACTATGATTTCGAAGCAAGAGCCCAGCGAGAGGCCAATAATGGCAAGACTCCGCAAAACATGTTTGCTCAGAAGGGCCATACCAGGGCAGGTATGCAAGCTCAATATGCCAATATGCGCAAGATGAGCACAACCATGTTTTCCACTTCTCCTCCTATTCGTGCGCCAGACGCAGCAGCAGACAGTGACAGTGAGGAGGGCTCTGACTTGTCGGATGTGGAGGACGAGGAGAGCACACCACTTAAGAAGGCGGTGACTGGCAAGTCCATCACAGAAACACCAGCAAGCTATGGCAGTTTCTCTCCGCCAGGAAGGACCGATCCTACACAAAGTGCAGAAAATGCTCAACAATCTGGTCGAATGCCGAAACTAGCTCTTCCCGATCCTGCCCTAGATCCAGGTAAAGAACGAACACACACTCCACCAGGCATTCCGTTCGAGCAACAAAGATCCGCATCTGATTTCCAGAGTACACCACCATCGCAGAATGCACAGAGGCCGGAGACTAAGAAACACAATTCCCACCCTCTCTTAAGATCGATTGTACAGAGGAAGATGGATCAGAGTCAACAGGGGCCACAGGATGGAGCTCCTGCTACAAAGTTATCTGCAAGAGAGCGTTTCAAAAGAGCTTTTAGTGCGAAGCAGATCAACACGCCCGAGATGCCCTCTGTTCAACAGGAAGCTTATGTCGAACTCGACCGCAGACAAGATGATTTCTTCAGTTTCTTGGACAAGGAGCTTGATAAGGTAGAAAAGTTCTATCAGCAGAAGGAAGACGAAGCACGCGATAGACTCGGTGCATTGCGAGCCCAGCTCCATGAACACAGAGACCAAAGAGCTCGCGACATGAGGTTGGAGAGGGAAGGTCGTCTGCACCATCCGCAGCGAGAAGGACAATTCGCGGAAATACTTGCCGAAACAGATTTGCATCAAAATTCAGCGGGCAAGGACTTCCAGAACGGAGCACTGTTCAAGAAAGTCTTCAAGAACGAACCAAAGGTTGGGAAAACCAGCCGGGCCATGGAGAACATGGCCACTCCACCAGGCTCGCCTGGGACAAAAGCGCAGCAGGACAAGAAGGATTACACGAAGAAGAAGACGGACAAAGTTAATGAACGTGTTCCATACAGATTCGCCAAGCGTCGACTAAAGTTGGCCATGCAAGAATTCTATCGAGGCATGGAGTTGCTGAAGTCTTACGCCTTGCTGAACCGTACTGGCTTCCGCAAGATTAATAAGAAGTACGACAAAGCTGTGAACGCACGTCCTCCTCTACGTTACCTGAACGAGAAAGTCGCCAATGCTCATTTTGTCAAAAGCACCTTGATCGACGAATTCCTTGTCACTATTGAGGATTTGTATGCCAGGTATTTCGAGAGAGGCAACCGAAAAGTTGCTGTCAGCAAGCTGCGCTCAAGGCTTCAGCAGGGTGACCATTCACCTTCGGCCTTCCGGAACGGACTGTTCCTTGCTGCCGGAGCTGGGTTCGGAGTCGCTGGCTTATACAATGGGCTGGATATTCTATACAACGGCGATCCCGCCATCAAGACAGTTACCTCTTACTTGCTGCAGATGTATGCTGGATATTTCTTAGCACTCTTGCTCTTCCTCATGTTTGTACTGGACTGCAAGATCTGGACCATGGCTCGAATCAATTACACGTTCGTATTTGAGTACGATACACGAAGCGTACTCGACTGGCGTCAATTAGCAGAGATACCTTGCTTCTTTGCCTTCCTTCTAGGCCTCACAGTGTGGTGCAACTTTGCATTCGGCATGCACTACATGTACCATTGGTGGCCCATCGTACTCTTCGGCCTTACAGTTCTCATCATGTTTCTGCCTTACAAAATATTCTACTACCATTCGAGGGTGTGGTGGGCCTACAGCAATTATCGACTTATCTTTGCAGGGATTTTTCCTGTCGAGTTTCGAGATTTCTTCCTGGGCGATATGTACTGCAGCTTGACATATTTCATGTCACAGCTTGAAGTGTTCTTTTGTGTCTACCGGTGGAACTGGCAGAACCCGTCACGATGCAGCTCCAGTCATTCAATGCTACTTGGGTTTCTGACGACATTGCCGGCAATCTGGCGTTTTGCTCAATGCGTTCGGCGATATTTAGATTCTGGAAACAAGTTTCCACATCTTGCTAATTGTGCCAAATACATGGGTAACATATTGTACTATATGACATTGTCGTTGTACAGAATACATATAGGCACCGAGCAGAAGACGAAGTACAAGATCGCCTTCATCGTCTTTGCAGGTCTAAATGCAATCTATTGCTCTATATGGGACGTCTTCATGGATTGGAGTCTGGGCAATTTCTTTGTAAAGCACCGAGGACTGCGTGGCACGCTGGCCTTCCGAAAACAATGGGTCTACTGGCTGGCGATTCTTGAGAATACTGTCTTGCGCCACCAATGGATATTCTATGCTGTATTCGCCGAGGATTTGCAGCACAGCTCTGCTGTGAGCTTTTTCGTCGCTCTTGCCGAAGTCGGCCGAAGAGGAATCTGGACGCTTTTCCGCGTTGAGAATGAACACACTAATAATGTCAAGCAGTTCAGAGCATCACGAGATATCCCATTACCTTATTCGCTGAATGTTTCACCCAAGGCAGAGGGACAGGAACAAGACAGTCCTAAGGTTCGCCGCAGAAAAGCTGACAAGGACGATGGTACTCCGCAAACACAAGGGCGAGATTCAGGCACTGCCACTGGCGCAGAGACAGACCTCGAGCGTCAAAGTACAAATGATTCTAGTTCTACGTTGCGGTCGAGGATGACCACTACTCCAGCTCTTCGGGCACTACACCGTGTTGGCACTGTCATTGCCGCGGCGCATGCTCAAGACTTCCAGAAGAAGAAACGACTCGAGCTCGGAACCTCACCTGACGATACACCTATGGTAAATAGAGGCAGGCAGTACGACAGCGAGGACGACGATGACGAAGAGGACGACAAACACGATATTGAAGGGTCCGAGTTTGACGACACAGAGGCTGCCGAGTACAAGAACAGATCTCGAGGTCAAGACAATGATCAAGACAAGGAGAACGCACAGCGTGAATCGGATGACGGTGGCGAAGGGAGTTCAGGCGAGAGTCATACGCACGAGCATACAGAAGATGTTGACATCGAGAACAAGGATGATGTTGATGAGGCCAGAGAGCTTGCGATAAAATATCGAGCTGATGAAGGTCTACGAGGAAGCTCTTCGAGTAAAGACAAGTAGTAGTTTGAAGTTTTTAGCCGACGTATAGAGCAACCGTTGTCTTTTGAATATATTGATCTTGTTACCTATAACACTACGTATTCTTTTTCTCCTTGCAATGGTACGCTTTCCACATACGATCTGTATGTCGTTAAACTGCTCGAATATTCATACAGTTGCGAAAATTAATCGTAGTCGCGAAATAATCCGAGTTCAATTCTCCACCAAATTGTTTGAGCAAAGGCCAGGGCGACCATGATAATAAAATTGCATCGGGTTTTTTCCTTTTCGAACATCGGAGCTATTACCACACCATTCAATTCTCTTACTTGTGAACCTGTCACGGAAACACCACAGCGACCACGAAAGAACATGCCTTTCCTTTGTCACAAAGGCTTAGGTTATCGCAAAACACGGAACAACTTGGCCTTAATCATCTGCGCGCACACCATCCAGTCAGAATCACAATATTGCGAATCTATGTCTTAAACTTCTTTGCCTCTGCCTTACCAGCAGAAACGCGGCACAATACTTGTGTTTGGAGATACAACTTGTGTTGAGCATAGTCGAAGACATCTCGGCATTGGTTTAAGGATGGTATTGTTGTGCTGAGTCTTTAGTGACAACAAGTCTTAGCCATGTCGAAGCTATATTGGAGTGCTGTAGGGCTACGATGGCTACATATTCACGGTTGTCAGTGTGGTGGTAGTCTTCAAGCAAGCACACCACACAGTAAAGACGAGAAGAAACGATTCAGCATACAGAAACTCGCACCACCAGCACCCAGTACTTTTAGCTCAACACGCTCAAGATGTGGTTCCCAGGATCGTCCAAGACCTCTTCATCATTGCGTGATGCATTTTGGACCTTTGTGAGAACATATTCCTTCCCGACAGATAACTGGTGCAGCATTGCAGGCCGCAAATTCGAGAAGACGAGGCAATTCTCTATTGCCGAAGCAGGCTTCGACCTCGATATCATTGAAACCGACGAGGAAGAAAAAGTAAGGCTCGCATTTTGTCAGCTTGCCCTCGGCTACCAATTCCGAAATTCAAAACTTCTGGCGGAGGCTCTAAATATATGCTGCGACGCCAATATGCGACTCGCACAAATTGGGGATGAAGTCCAGGGTCTTCTACTGTGTGAGGAGGCATATTGGTCGGGTGTGCTGACCAATGGTAAGGCTAAAAGTTGCACAAGTATACCATTAGTGACTGACTTCAATTTCATAGGTGAGATTGAGCACAATGTGAAGCAGATAGTCGGAAACAATAACTACCAGACATATGTGGCGTACGAACACGGTCTTGACAACTACATGTACCTCCGCAAGGTCTCCTTGCCAGGCCACCATGAAGACCATAACTCGAAGCGTACTACCAAAGGGCCACGATACAAGACTCGAATCGAAGTGAGATCAAAGTGTGTTGCTGACACATTAGAAGCAATACTTGGTGCGGTCTACCTGGATAGTGGCAGCGCTTGGAGAGAAAATTGCTTGCAGGTTATGGCAAAGTTCAAACTTGACATGAAGGCTTGTATCACTGCACAGGTTTTCAAGGAGGAAACCCCTCTGACATATATAACCCATATTGCTTGTATGAAGAAGCTAGCCAAGGAGATAAATCCCGCCGGGTACTAGCACGAGATGTGCAGCTTCAAGAGCAAATTGACCTCCACTGGCGCGTGCCGCTGGCAGCAAGCATTGGCCAGGCGGTTGATAACCTAACGCTTGAATGTTTGGGAAATTGAAAATAGGCTTATATATGAGCAACACCTGTGATAAGATGTTTTTCCCCAAAAATTCCTTTTGTGATGGACCTGAGCATAGTCTGTGCCTCCATGCACGAGAGTTTCCTTCCATTGATCTTCCATCTACTGACAACTGCCTCACGCTAACCCACCAAGATGAGTACTTGCTCAATCCTATGGTCTTCACCTCAGTTTGGGGTTGCCGGTTGGGGTGCAAAACGTGTAGTGCGAATCTGCCTTAGAGAACCATAGTTTGCTAAACCTGCTCGAGGACCTGCACATATGAAAAGGTATATATTCAGCATGACTATGCCCAAACCCTGCCACAATTGCTCTCGTAAAGTTGGTGGTAGAATCAACGTGCCACACACAGCTTCAGAACACTTACTAGCATCCAGTAAACTGCGCCTTGTGATAGCCGTCACCACAGCTATAATCCACGATGCCTCCACACGTCACATTCGCTGACACAACAATCTCTTCCTCTTCCACTCTCGCATCAGAGCCCACTCAATCCACAGCGTTGACCACACCAGCCTCATCACTAGCATGGCTGGACGTCGCTTGCCCACGCCTCACACGTCCGATCCGGATACCGTTGCCGCTACCCCACAAGCGACGCTTCAACCACCCAGAGCCTCCCTTCGGCTGGGCAGACGCAGACGCCGAGCACAGACGTTATGATGCCGCCAAGACGAGGCGGAATGCAACTACCACCATCACCACTTCTCCAACATCCTCAACATCGTCATCAGCATCAACATCAATATCTTCACTCGTCACAGCTCCCCAATGCCTCAACTCCAATCCAAACCCTTCTACTCGCCACGTAACATTCGCACCAAGCACCCTCGACCTCGCCCGCGCCCAAAAACGCCGCCGCGAACGCCTCCTCGACGCAATGGGCTTTCCGCCTCTCTCGCGCTCTCCTCTCCCTCCGGAGCGCAACATCCTGGACCCCCGAAGCATATTCGGCAACATGTTCGAGATCGCGGAGAAATTCGCCTCGGAAGAAGCTGAATTCTTACAAAAACAACAAGAAGAACAGTACGACGATTACTCTTACCCAACCTGGCAGCATTTCGAGGATGCTAGGGTTATGTTGACGACGGACTATGCGTCGTCACGGAGCAACAGCGCCGACGAAAACGACTTCGATAACCCGTATGAGCCTGAGGTGTGGGAGACGCCGAGTCAGAGGGAGGCGAGGATCCAGTGGCAGTTGAGGTTTGTGATGCATTGTATGAGTAGAGATTGTGAGGTGCGTTGGAGGAGGAGGTTTTCGATGAGGTGGAAGCAGGTTGGAGTGAGGTGTTGGTATTGTGTTGTGGATAGGGTGTTGGGGAGGAGATAAATGGGAGGGGTGGAGGTCTGGTGTATTGGTTAGTGAATGGATTGGTCAATAGTGAACAGCTTCAAGAGTTCAAGTTCTGTCTGGACGACCTTCACCATTGAGCAAGTTTGTATCGGCAACGTTGCTTCTCTTTGAAGTTAGTAGCCAGGCCGTAAAAACGCAGCTTGGGTTGGTTGTATTCCTGAGGATTAAGACGTGTAGAGAACTTCGAGTAACATAAATCACTAGCCCGACATTCTTTCAATAACAGTTTTAGCTCGCTCGTCAATCGAACTTAGCAATATAAACACATTCGTTACTTCAACACTCGGTCCGACAGTCATCAATCGTAAGTCCTTCGTCATATGTATAGCAGACACTCGGCTGTTGAGTGCAGATCTCGAAAAGCGTCGAACAGTAATAATATTACATCTCCATCTTGACATCAGAATCGTGTCCGACAGTTTCGCTTCGTTCTCGCGCAGGCTCCTGAGTCGCCGACTTCTCAGCATTCTCGTGTGGCTGTACCTGTCGCCGTCCACGACCAAGCTTTTCGATCCAATCCTCAGCACTGACAAGAGTGTCGTTCACTACTCTGGTCACTTGATTCATCATGTCGAGACCCTCCTGAGCTAGGACGATGGCTCGGTTGGCATTGTTGGTTGCCGCATCGTGGTTCTCTTCGTCGCTCGATCGCGAGGCGATTGTGAACCTTTGTGGCAGGGAGACGAGGTGCTGGTGCACGAGGCGACGCGCATTCTCTGGCAAGGCACCACCAGCATATGTGGAAACAACTTGTACGACTTGCTTCAAGGTCGCTAATACGTCGGCTTTTACTGCAGCAATCCTTGCGTGCAGAGCGTGGTCTTCGCTGTCATCGATGGTAAGGTTTGACACAGACATAGGTTGAGCCATATGAGACGGCCGATGCTCCCATTGCTGGAGCAGGTCTTTTAAACTAGCTACGGCACCACCAAGTCGACCGTTGGCCCAGCGCAACCAGCCCAGACAATATTTGAGACTTCTGATGCTTTCCTCGCTCATGGCGACGCCAAGACCGCTTGTGGTAATAATTAGCTGCTGGCGCCAGCCTACTCCAGGGTGATGTTCGCGGGAAAGGACCAAATGTTCTGAATATGGTGGAGATCTATCGCCTGCACTATAAGCAGGAAGCTGCTCGCCTCTAGCGAGATCTGCTTGCCTGACTACACCATCGGAACTGATTTCAAGGACTGCTTTTTCAATGTCTGGCGTTGCTTGCGGTCCATTCCTTGGGTCTCTCTTCGGCTGCAGGGCCCACCTTGCAACACTTTCGACACCAGATATCCTTGCGGTCGTCCTAGCTAATGGTAAACCAACATTCCTTTCAGTCCATTCACCGCCTGGAGTATACTGTTGAGCTGTCTTGTAAACCGAGATTGAGCCATTTATGACAGACGCGGCCAGGGGGTATTGTGAAGTGATCAAAGATAGGAGAGGCTCTGGCTCGTTGCCGTTGAAAGAGCTTCGTGTCTGGACGTGATTGGGTGGAGGCTGGTGTAATCGGGGAGAATGTACATCTGAGGTTTTCAGTCAGTCACAGCACACGACAAGCTAAGGCTGTCGATACCTTGTTGCAAACTCTTTAGGGTTTCAGCTGCCTCCAAATCGTCTGCGGACAGTCCCGACAGCACACTTGCAGCTCGTTGTGTTCTCGCGTCACGACTCTCGACGTCCATCACGTCAACTTTTGCTCTCCCAAACGACCTCCGATCGACATTGTCCGGAGGAAAAGGCGGAGGCGGAGGCGGAGGGTAAGGAGGAACTGCGTGTTGCGCTTCCATAGCTGCTACAGCAGCCGATGCTGTAAGTAGCAGTTCTGTTGTCCCAGACTTGAAACTAAAGCGTTTGTATTCAGAAGGTGTTTTGTAGCACTCTCAGCTCGTTACATGGCGTTCTCGTCGCTCGAAATGTTTCTAGGAGTATCGCTGGGATACCACATACGCAGACCGACAATTTCGAATTGCGGTCCTTACAATTCAGGCGAGCAGTATCGAGAAAATGGTGAGGTGAGAGGGCTTTGTGCTAGCCGAGCACGTGAAAACGAGTGAACGGTCAGGGGACGTCTGAAAAAGAGCCGAGTAAGAAAGCTGCGCAAAGAATGCATGTGGGAGACAAGACACAGAATGAGGCACCATACCATGACATCGATTTCCTGACAGTCACATGCGCCGCTCAAAGTAGGGTCGTGCACTTTGCTTGAGCAAGCCACAAGCTTCAGGTGAACATCCCCGATTGGTGTGCACAAGAAGGTGGATGTTCACTGGCCGCAGAATGGGTGTCGTTAAAAAGGGTTTCAACGTGCGATTTCCGCGTTCCTGGTGCAAGCATGTGCCTAGGTTTAAAAAGGATCGAGTTACACATGGAAATTGCTTGGCACGTCGATGACCATTTCTAGGATCATCGCAATCGGCAATTTGTTGCATCGCTTTCGTGAATCAATTGGGATGGCGCAAAGAAGACACGTGAACAGATTCCTCAGGCACAACAATAATTCAGAGACATGAGAGAACCACCGGTTACCTGCTGCAAGACCAGAAAGTCAGTAACCAGGTATGTGGAGATTCAATTGCCCAGTCAAGGTCTCACATGCTGATTGCAACTACTTATTAGTACTGGGACAATTGACAGTACTGCACGATGTGCCTTCATGCATATTGTTGACGGGAGCAGCGAGGCAGATTTGCAAACCACCACAACAAAAATTGAAGTGTGAGAGATTCAATAACCATCTCGAGAACTCAGGCACAGGTCATAGCGGCTTGCGCATCTGTCACCCGTAGCAGCTCTGTTTGAGCCTGCTCATACCTTTACTCAAGGTCAGATGGTTACATAGTAAGCTGCTATCTTAGAAGCAGAAATGGCGATTTCGGTATACCGACGTTGTATACATCGCGTGTGACTGCAACATACTGTTGTCAGCACTTGAGCAGCTTGAACAGCAATATTCACAGATTGCAGCTCAACTCTTCATTTGACGAGAGATACACTCTACACCGTCGGCCAAATCTCCGAGATCACCTTCGAAGTATGGTGGAAAGCAGTGCGGAGGTACGCTACTGAATCGACCAATCCGACCTATGCATCTGTCCGAGGCAATCGTCACAGCGCTTGCAGCGCTCGATTTCCCCAGAATCTTGTATCGAATTGCGAATACGCGATCATTGACCTGCCCTATGCCTATACCGCTCGATACTTGTTCCTTGGACCATGAATTACAATGAGCTTGGCACAGACGACCATGGGCCAGCACATAGCAGTGATACGGAAAAGCTCAACATAGATAGAGGACAGGATGGGTCAATCCTCCAGCCGCTTCCTGAGGTGTCGTCTGAAACAACAAATGCCAGCACTATAATTCCGGAAATTGAATATGTCTACCTGAACTTCAATACCAAGATTGCGACTCGACCTGTGTTTACCGACGGGAGTGTGAAGGATTATCCACCATGTCCAGAGCTAAAGGAATACGACAATCCTTTTACCTGGTCAAGAACTCGAAAGAATCTGATGACCTGGGTCTCATGTGCTACAAATATGACTGCTGCATACGCAGCTGGCTCATACGCTTCTCCCGAAGCTCAATTAACCCAGCTATGGGGTATATCAAGGGTAGCATACAATGTCGGAATCACGATCTTCACTGCTGGTTTCGGAGTTGCACCTATGGTCTTGGCGCCTTTTTCAGAAATAAATGGTAGACGACCTGTCTTCATCGCTACTGGACTGCTCTTCGTAATCTGTCAGTTAGGCTGCTCCTTGACCAATTCTTATAGCGGCATGCTAGCTGCACGTCTGTTTGCCGGTATAGGTGGCTCGACATTCTCGACCATGGTTGGTGGTATACTAGCAGATATCTGGGTATCTTCGGAGCGAAACACTCCCATGGTCCTCTTCACAGGCGCCACTTTGTTCGGTACAGGACTTGGTCCACTTGTGAGTGGCTTCGTTGCTCAGAGATTGTTGTGGAGATGGGTGTTCTATATCCAGATCATAACATCAGGTGTCCTTGTCGGCCTAGTTACCATATTCTTTAAAGAGACCAGAGGGCCGATTCTGTTATCCAGAAAAGCCCGAGCTTTGAACAAATGGTTCGAAAAGCTCGAATCCTGTGGTGCAATTGGCATGGAGAACCCAGACACCTCTTCGACGACGTCATTCAGTGATAAGTTACACGAACCAAAAGTCCTGCGAATAAGGTACAAAGTACTGGCGGCGGAACAGCGAGCGTCAATTTGGAAGATGATCTCGGTCTCACTCACATTACCCGCACGTCTGCTCTTCACGGAACCAATCCTCATGTGTTTCAGCTTGTGGATATCATTCTCATGGGCTGTTCTCTATCTTCAGTTTGGTGCTATACCTCTTGTGTACGAGACCAACCACGGCTTCAATCTGGAGGAGACTGGTGCAATCTTTTCGGCCGTCTGCATCGGCGGCATCTTATCCACAGTATTGAGTATCTACCAAGACAAGTGGGCTGTCAGAAGATACGGTAGCAGGTTCACTGGCAGTCCTGAGGGAAGATTATGGTTCACTTGCGCAGAAGGATTGCTGATGCCACTGGGTATGTTCTTCTTTGGATGGACATGCTATAGCTCTATCCACTGGATTGTTCCTACCTTGGGCATTGTGGCCGTCACTATGGGTATCTTCTCAATATTTCTAGCAACTTTCAATTACACGGCGGACTGCTACCAGACATACGCAAGTTCTGCGTTAGCTGCGTCCGGTATCTGTCGGAATTTTTTGGGTGGCAGCTTTCCCCTGGTAACGGTACAGATGTTTCAAGGCATGGGGTTTCAAGGTGCCAGTAGTCTTTTAGGAGGTATTGCACTGCTTCTTGCATTGGGGCCTGGGCTATTAATTTGGTATGGACCAAAGATCAGACTGAAATCAAAGGTTACTCGGCAGTTTGTTGCACATGATAAGACATAGAGTCTATAGACCTGAATTGAAACTGGGACGTGTGACTGTCTTGCTGAAACAATTTTGAGGACGGGGTGAATTCGCCCGCTGAGGAGGAATGACGCAATGCCATACGTATTTCCACCACTTGCACATCAACAAATCGTGGTTGCCTTCTCTAGAGAAGCGCGAGTATTCACCACTTTTCGTATCCAACCACCTCGTCACAGTGTATGTCGATTCCATTACACAGTCAAATTAAGCCTGGCACCATCGTGTCTATTGTCCTGAAGCAGGATCAAAGAACTGGTCGTCAAGTTCAGGGCGCAGTCTCACAGCTACTTACAAGAGGGAACCATCCACACGGTGTGAAAGTGAAACTTGTTGACGGACGTGTTGGTAGAGTGCAACAACTTGTCAACCAGAATACTTCGACTTCACAAGTTGCATCACAATCTAACAAGAAGTACTATCGCAGTATGGCCGACCACAACCCTTGGGCCACGAATGAGTCCCAGAGTACTCCATGGCAGGGTCAAGGCCAGCAGCAACAGCAGCAACAGCAAAGCCAGGGAACTGGTTATCCTCAGCAGAGGTTTTACAATGAGCAGCAGTCCTACCAGCCAACCCAGCAGCAGTCCAGTCAACCGCTTCAGCAACAGAGCTACCACCCGTCACAGGACTACTATAACCAGGCATCGTACAATGAACAGCCAACTGACAATGCATGGTCGGATGCGACCGGCAACCCACCACTTCCACAGCGACACCCACAATACAACTACCAACCTGCGCAAAGCATGACTCGCAATGATACAGATGACCTACTGGAGTCTCAGCCCGATCGAGCGGAACAGATGGAACACATGCAAGCATATGAGGCAACAGCGCAAGAGACGAATGAGGACAAAGACCGAGCACAATTGGAAAGAGAGTTTCCTGATGTCGACGGCAGTTTGATTGCAGCCCTGTACAGCGATACCAAGGACCTGAGTTCGACTCGGGAGATGCTACAAGAGCTAGGCAGACAATGAGGGTTTAGCCATTAGGTCTATCAGGAGATAGTTTCCTGGCAGCTGTATAGGGCTCTGGATAACGACAGCACCATACCGCCACATACAGATCAAGCTACACGTTTCAGAATCGCAATCCTATTATGAAGACGAGAACATGACCAGGTTAACTGCGCCGAACGCAGCAGCACATTTCGATATCGATTACTCCGTGCGCACTGTCTCGCTTACTTACCCCATCCTTCCCGCTTACCACTGTCCTGTGGTAAGCGCTATTGGTGATGACGTCAAAGAGCCCTTCGTTTTGCGTAAACGTTTTCTGTATCGATCCGAGAAACGAAGTCGACGGAGAGATTGCCAACACTTTCTATGATTGCTCTATATTATACAGAAGCCCAAGGCCTGGCCTCAATAGCTGGTCTGTCCTCCGCACTGATCGAAGTTAATCTGTACCTTGCATTAGCGCTATTATGAAAATGTCCCCTGGACGTGGGTTCTCCACGTTCGAAATGATGATGTAAAGAAGCGTCATGTCTACCAGAAAACGGAAAAGAAAAGATCGGAAGCTTTCTCCACGCGTATTCGAAGCTGGAGCTTCGAGCTTGTCTACGTAGTATGCCTGTTCTTCATCGAAGTATTTTGCTTGCTTGTTATACTTGGTCAGCAGCATCAGCAACTTCTCCTGAAATCAAGGCGAGAGATCCTTTTATAGATTCGACGATATTGCAAGCCTTTTTTACCTCTTCTGCGAGTGGTTGAAAGGATCAAGCGAGGCCTCAACCGTGATCAATAATCCTCCAAATCGATCGGAATCTGCAGCAAAAATGGATGCCATGAAGCCGCAGACGTCCAGCAGGCCCATGCTGGACCACGACAATGGCAAGTTCGAAGCTGAGAAACTTGAGTACTGAAGCTAACTGTGTTCTCTACAGTCGCTGGTGGCCGACTCTCTCGATTCTCCATGGATCCACCAACCGGCTTCAAGCGCGATGGTTACTGCAAAGTCACTGACGACGACAAAGGGAACCACTCAATCGCAGCAACAATGTCAGAGTCGTTCCTGAAGTTCACGAATGGCCGCGGCAACAACCTCGAGTCCGCAGGTGTCAAGCCCGGCATGAGATGGTGCTTGTGCGCTTCTCGCTGGAAGGAAGCCTATGACGCTTTCAAGGACGGGAAACTAGAGAAAGAAGCGGTTCCACAGGTACATCTGCATTGTACGGATAAGAAGGCTTTAGACGTGGTAACCTATAAGGACTTGAAGGGTTTCGCGGCTGCGCCAGAAGCAACGAGGGAAGGGGGACGTCAGGGTGTGACGATCGACCCTGCGAAGCCAAGCCAGCCGCATGGTGAGGGTGAGATGAGTGGTACTCGACCTACCCAGGATCAGCAGTATGGTACAACGAAGGAGATGAGTGGTGGCACAACAGGAGCTGGTGCGGAGCAAGCGAGAAGGCAGACCGGTCGAGGTGGCTAATGGTCTCGCGATCATATATACGTGGGTTGATTCTTGCTGAGGCTCGATTATCATTGATGCCATGTCAATTTATCAAATACGAAAAGTAAGCCTGGCGTTACCACAAGTTCGTTGTCTATTAAGTCGATAGTATCTCGATACTCAAATCTAGCTACCGAATCTCCATTCCTGCTTGGCACTACAGAGGAACTATGTCCACTATCTTGGTTCACGTTCTCGTGGATCAAGTACATCAAGTCGCTATCCGTACTAGATCCCCGTATTGACAATTTCAGGTCGGCGAAGGGACATACAGAGTCTGACCTTGCAAGCTGAATATTTTGAATGCATGAAGATCTCAATTGCTCAGGTAAGCGAGTATATGATCGCCATCTTGAATATCTTGGCTATATCGGAAAGGAGCAAGTTGAGACCGAACACTTGGTGCTGGGTGACAATTTATATACCCTTAAAGAGAGCAAGATCTCTGGAATACTGGCCTCGATGTCGTGTACCTATCTCTGTCCTTTGTCTCTACGCCGACGGGTTAGGTATCGATCACAATGTCCCGCTTCCCTCATGGCATGCCATTGCCAAATGGACTTAATACAGATCCTCCGCTACCAGCCGACGCCCCTACCATTGGCTTCAAGCTGAACCATCTCTGCATACGTGTGCGCGACCTAGAGAAGTCATTGCATTTCTACACCAATCTCATGGGTATGCGTACCGTCATGGTCACCAATACCGGCCCCATGACGGTCTATTTCCTAGGCTATCCATCAACAGATCGACATCGTGAGAACCTGCCTGAGTTCGGCAAAGAGACTTCAATCCCAGACACGACCGGCCTTTCAGAGCTAGTCCACATGCACGGCGCAGAAAACAAACCAGACGGGTTCTATGGCTCCGGGAACACGCCTCCACACCTAGGGTTCTGTAATTTAGGGTTCAGTGTCCCTGATCTGCCAAAGACATTGGAGAGGCTCAGGGAAGCTGGTGTTCCCGTCGTCAAAGATATTGGTGCTGCTTCACGAAGGGATATTCCTATTACTGATTGGGAGAGCGAGCGGGGTGTTGGTGTTGAGGTCAAAGGCACAGAGAGCGAGATTCATCCTATGTTCAAGCAAATCTTTGCTAATTTCGCGTATGTTCAGGATCCGGTGAGTTTTGCCCTACCTTTGCATGTAGGGATCTCGCTGGTCGGATGTACAGGATGGGTATTATGTCGAGTTGCTTCCACAGGGGTTTGGGGCGTGATCACTGGCGTGGATAAGAGGAAACCAGTAGACCGTGATACAGAGAAATCTAAACCTCGATTATGCAGCCATTTCAAAAATACTTGCCTTTTTGTCACTTGGTCGTAGCTTTGGTTTTTGCACTTGATGAGCAATTTCGTTCGTCAACTGGACTTGATCATGACCGGACAGTGAGATATTCGTAAGTAGTCATTCCTCAGGCCTTGCTGGTATGACCATGATATGGTTGTTCAGAGTATGTAAGCGAGGGGCGTCTATCAGGCTCTTTGCTCTGATCGCGTTGCCCGAGATCTGTTCTGTTCGTTGATAGTCGCCATATACTCCTAGAGATTCGAGTTCGGTATGTCATGTTTGATTTTGCTCACAGCCGTATTTATTCACCAGGGGGTGCATCTCGCTAAGCGTCTAATGTAAATGCCGTAGATCACACTCACATATGAATGTATATCGGCAACTTTTCGAAATGTGAAGTGACGTCTTCCTCGAACTTGAGATCTCTTTCGTGGGGCACCACGCTTGAACGCTCTAAGAGCAGGCCATCCGGCTGGCCGTAAGAAGACTCACGACTATGTACATACACGAGCGAAGTCGCAATTACCGCGGCTGTCGCTCTATTGGTCAATATAGGCACAATTAAGCATATGATGTGATATACTTCAAGCATACGGAGCTCGTTACCAGAGCATGTTTTCCAACGCGCCTCGTCGTCTTAAAGCGATTGCAGACTCATTGACCACACACCTACCGCTACCGCAGAGACAGATACGCAATAAGTCAAGCAAAGCCATGGAGTCCTCTTTAGACCCCCTGGTTGGCTTGTACAAGCCCAATCAGCTAAAGGGTCTGTATTACGGCTCTGGCACTGTCAAGGATCACTTACTGTCGTGCCTTCCTTCAGAGACTTCCAAAGCTTTTATCGTTACCGGGGCTTCTCTTGCGAACAAGACACCACTGATTAAACAGATTGAGGAGCTTTTGACATCGAAGCACCATGCGGGCACGTTCTCCAACATTAAGGAGCATGCTCCAGTCGCACAACTTGACGAGGCGACGTCGAAAGTGCAAGAGGATTCGTCTATTGACACCATAATCTCAGTTGGTGGTGGCAGTCCGATTGACTCTGCCAAAGCTATTTCGTACCGTGTGAACGAGAAGTCTGGACACTTTCTCACACATATTGCCATACCGACCACACTGAGTGCAGCAGAATGCACAGCTCTTGCGGGGTACACCAAGGAAGATGGCGTAAAGACAGGTATTGCTCATCCGAATGTGTACCCTAGCTATATCTTGTATGATAGTACCTTTGCTCTGCATACACCACCATCGTTGTTTGCAAGTACTGGCATTCGAGCACTGGATCATGCTGTCGAGTTACAGTACCATCCTACCGCAACGCTCATGCCATGCCAGTGGCTTTGTTTGCTGTCAATCAGAGCACTATTCGAGCACTTGCCAGAGTACAAGGCCAATCCAAAGGACGAGCAGGTCATCACTAGGCTTTTCTTGGCTGCATACGCAAGTCTTGGCTTTCTGGGAGGAAATATGAAGGGAGGACTAGGACTTAGTCATACTATGGGTTACGCCCTCGGCTCGCCATATGGCATACCTCATGGCGTAACATCCTGCATGACCCTGGGACATGTGGTGAAACTGAAGGCAAAAGGTGATCCGAAAGATGCAGCTGCTGTAGCAGGCATACTGTCAGTACTTCCACCCAAGTATGGTGCTCAACCCAGCGGCGATCATGTAAAGGACGCTGAAGTGGTTGGAGATGCCATATTGAAACTGGTTGAAGAGCTCGGCTTCAAGACCACCTTGACAGAAAAAGGAGTCAGCAAGGAACAGATTGACACCATCGTTGCCAGAGCCACAGGTGGGCTGTCAGGCAAGGAAGGCCAGAGTGAGAAGGAGCAAAGAACGGTGGCGGGTGTTAAACAGATGGTGGAGAGTCTATACTAGCACAGAAAACCATGTATATTCGTTTTACACAAACTTCTGAAAATGGTGATGTATAACACCCAAGATCGAGTTTCATAGAATATTGGCAGGATGCGGCAAGTTGGACCTGTGAGATGTTACAGATAATGCATTCTGAGAATGGGAGACTGCCACCCTAGAGCTTTCAAATCTCCTTTCGAAACAACACAACGCAGTTTTTCATGAAAAGCTTAAGACACAGGTCGGATACTCTAGGCTCGTATATTCTTAGAACCAGTATCGCAATTATCAATAGTCATGTGCTTTTAGTTAGGAAACATCTAGTAGTGAAGGTCAGAAAGAGCTATGGAGAATGCAGGGCCAAGAAATTGTGGTCGCCCAATCAGAGGTGACGCATTCGAACGTTGACACTTCGACTGCGAAGTCCAGTTATTGTACGCCGCCACCACCACCACTCTTATACACCCGCCGACAACTTCTAGCTGGGGTTCCTCAAGCATCATGATGAGATCTCAGCTTCTCAGCGCCGCTGTGCGCGCCAAGGGTGCCTCAAGGGTGGCCTTCAACAGGAGCTTTGCTTCGTCGGCACGAAGACGAGCGAACATGGTGAAGCTTACCATCGATGGAAAAGAGGTCGAAATTGAGGCCGGATCTGCTTTGATTCAGGCTTGCGAGAAGGCGGGTGTTACGATACCACGATATTGCTACCATGAGTACGTCAATTGTCATGAACTGCTCCCCAGATTCACGACCATGGAAAAGAAGCGCTTGACTGACGACTTACAGAAAACTCCTCATCGCCGGAAACTGTCGTATGTGCCTTGTCGAGGTCGAAAGAGCCCCCAAACCAGTAGCGTCATGTGCATGGCCTGTACAGCCAGGTATGGTCGTGAAGACAAACTCGCCACTTACACACAAAGCAAGAGAAGGTGTGATGGAATTCCTACTGGCGAACCACCCTCTCGATTGCCCTATTTGCGATCAAGGTGGCCAATGCGATTTACAAGATCAGTCGATGCGATACGGTGGCGATCGAGGCCGGTATCACGAGGTTACTGGTAAACGAGCTGTCGAGGATAAGAATATCGGTCCCTTGATCAAGACTTCAATGAACAGATGCATTCACTGCACAAGATGTATCCGATTTGCGAATGAGATAGCTGGCGCGCCAGAACTTGGTTCTACTGGACGAGGAAACAACCTGGAAATCGGTACTTATCTCGAGCGCAACCTCGATACTGAGCTTTCAGGCTGTGTGGCTGATCTATGTCCTGTTGGTGCTCTGGTACCTAAGCCAGGTGCTTTCAGCTTCAGACCCTGGGAATTGGTCAAGACTGAGTCTATTGACGTATTGAACGGCATGGGCTCGAATATCCGTGTGGATGCCAGAGGCTTGGAAGTCAAGAGAATTATACCTAGACTCAACGATGATGTGAATGAAGAATGGATCGATGACAAGACCAGGTTTGCGATGGATGGCCTCAAGACACAACGTTTGACTACCCCTCTCATCCGAAAGAATGACCAATTCCAGCCAGCGACGTGGGAACAGGCACTTGTTGAACTAGGAAACAAATACAAAGAGCTCAAGGTTGGCGAGAACGAAATACAGTTTGTCGCTGGCCACCTGATGGATACTGAAGCTCTCGTTGCCGCTAAAGATCTTGCTAATAACCTCAACTCGGAGAATCTAGCACTTGACCAACCTGGTGGATACAAGCCTATCGCTCATGGTGTCGACGTTCGAAACAACTACGCTTTCAATACTAGAATATGGGGTATCGAAGAGGCTGATGCTCTCCTGATCATTGGTAGCAATCCAAGGTGGGAAGCTGCTGTTCTCAATGCCCGTATCAGAAAGCAGTGGATGAGATCGCCACTCAAGGTTGGTTTCATTGGCGAGGATTTCGAAAGCACGTTCCAGTATACCAAGCTGGGGGAGAACGCCAACGACGTCAAGAAGGCTCTTTCTGGAGAATTTGGCAAGGTGCTCGCTGAGGCAAAGAACCCAATGATTCTTATCGGAAGTGGTGTTACGGAACACGCAGATGCCAAAGCTATTTACGAGACCGTCGGTGCCTTCGTCGACAAGAATGCCAACTTTAACACTCAGGACTGGAAAGGCTTCAACGTCTTACAGCGAGCTGCTTCGAGGACAGGCGCCTACGAGATCGGCTTCACCGTACCGTCCAAGAAAGTCGCAGAGACCAAACCAAAGATCGTCTGGCTTCTTGGTGCTGACGAGATCGATGATAGGGACATCCCTCGCGACGCTTTCGTCGTCTATCAAGGCCACCACGGTGAGAAGGGAGCTCAACTGGCTGATCTCATCTTGCCAGGTTGCACATACACCGAGAAGAGCGGCACATACGTCAACACTGAAGGCCGAGTACAACTGACTAGACAAGCTGTGTCACTACCTGGTGGTTCTCGACCGGACTGGAAGATCCTTCGAGCAGCATCCGAGTATCTCGGTGCACCACTACCATACGATGACATCGAAGCTCTCCGCGATCGATGTGAGGAGATCTCGCCTGCTCTCCGAAGATACGATAGCCTAGAGCACCAGTCTATGGGCGCCCTGGGCAAGGTTCAGCTTGTGGACCAGAACAAGGGTTCGAAGATTACAGGAACACTGCTGGAGAACCCGATCAAAGACTTCTACTTGACTGATGTGATTTCCCGAAGGTACGTCTCGCACATTCTCCTACCTCTTGTTGAGTCATACTAACTTTTCTCCACAGTTCCGCAACAATGGCGCGATGCTCAGCTGTCAAGAAGGCTGGACCATTTGCTCATCCAGAGACAAACTTTATGGCACCAGGTAAGTCACTACCAGCCTATTGTGACGTTTGGACTAAATACTGACATTCAAACTAGGTGATCCTAAGCCACAAGTTAGTTACGGCTAAAGGTCCGGATCATTCTCCTACCTCGTTCGTGTTACTCTTCGATTTTCTTTTGAGCGGAAGTTTGCATCCAGGCGTTTATTGAATGACGAGCTGCTGGCAGGCAGTGTTTGTGTAAACCTTTACTACACAATGGTTCACAAGAAGAAGGAGAACATTGTATATAGTCACGCTGAGGCAATCGACGACGAGCCGCGCAATTTGGTGTTCAGACCATTTACCCCTCCACCACCATTGCGAGCACCTGATTAGTGAAGTCTGTTTCTGCGAAGTTCACTTTGCATACCTGCCCATACTGACTCGACTCACTCGGTTGTGGTATATTCGTGTAAGACCTCACGTGCCCCCGCACTCTGCATGCTCCGATAAGCATATCGAACGTCTTGCTGAAATGGGCTTTATTTGGCGGAAAGAACCTTTTCAGGGAAGTTCCAACGAGCATGATTTCTGCTACTTGACATGCACGATCCACTGAAGATTATAATGCGGCAATACAGCAGGGAATTAACCTAGGAACTATACGAGAACCTGGCAAGCCTGAAGGTCGCAGCGGTTCCGTCGTGGTAATAGAACAATATGAAATGTACTTTTTTGTGCAGAAGCTATAACTAGAAATACAACATGAATGTATACCTCAACACGCCACTCCAGCTCGAGACCAAGTCAAGTCAATGTCGTAAACCTCGTTGCATTCGTCGTCAGTCGTAAGAATGTTGGGAGCGCTTGCTGTGTGTCGTGAATATGTGCCGTATTTGCATACGCATTCGAAATACAAGGGGTGGACCGAAAGAATGCCTATATCGTGATCATAAGTCCCTGTGCATTGCTGGCTCCTTCACCGACATTGAAAAAGTCGCGAACAGCCCACCTCCAGCCAGTTGGACCTTCGACATCGTCTTCGGCTACCTCCGCTTCACTTCTCAACCACTTCTCAACTTTGCGTCTCCAGCGTTCTTCCTCGCTACGTTGGCGTCTGACGAACTCGGGACCTACATCGAATTCTTCAGAGACAGCAAACTCATCACCACTGTGGCCTGAGACATGCGCGGCGTCCTCTTCGTCCCCAATCACTAACTTGTCGTCTGAAGCGGCAAAGGGGTCAATAGCACTAACAGACCTGTCCCGCGTGTCACCGTGCATGCTTGACATGTTCTCTGATTCTTCTTTCAAGTCCTCGAGACCAGCGAACACGTCTTCCTCCTCTTCGAGCTGGACAGATCCCGTGCCACTGCGGATACTGTCGCCTCTTTCTCCATGTGCAACCTTCAACCATTTCATTTGGCGAGGATCGAAGACCATACCATTGACGAGCTGGACACCAGTTGTACTACCCACGTTCATAATAAGAGCCAGGTTTGGTTTACCTGTCGGCTGAGCTGGACTACTGACACCGATAGTGCTACCAACCTTGATGTTCGAATTACGTCCGTCACCTGGGCTGGGCTGTTGCGGTAGAAAGTCGGGAACGTCGAAGGGCGCAAGAGCTGTGTCATTACCTTCCCATCGGCAAAGGACTGGGTTGTAGTACATTCCCTTCTCTTCCTTTGGTCGATTGTATTCGCCGCCAAGTGGTTTGATCAGATGCGGCTTCTGTTGTACGGGCTTCTTCCGTCGCAGAGAACTACCATAAGTCGGCTTCGATATTATTGTCGCCTTGGCGTTAGTGGACACTGGTTGTAATGGCTCACCTCGCATGTTGTGGAAAGTCGTGCTGAATGAACGAGTCTGTTCACGAGCTATACGTGAGGCAGCAGTATCGCGTGCAAATCTAGGCATGTTGCTGAAAGGATGGTGCGCAGGTGCATCATGAAGTCGTGGTGGCGAAAGCGGTGTGGTCGGGACAGGTGTCTCAGTGCCACTTCTGACTGAGACAAGGCTGGTGCTCGACATGGCGGCTTGACTTTGCTGACCGATCTTGCTACGCAGGCTCCTGGGAGGACCACGAGCGATTGGCAACTTTGTATATTTAGCTTCAGCAGTAACAGAAGTCGGCAGATCGTCAAAGGATTCAAGCTCTGAACCATCTCCCCAGTTGCGTCGACGAAGAGGTTTGTTCATCGTCTTCTTTGCTTGTGCAGCAAGCTCGGCAATACTGTAATCCGACCTTCCCTTACCCGGAGTTTGTGGACGGACTCCTGCAAGTCGTGACAGAGACTTTTGAGCAGCAGTCATGTGCTCGCCAGATCCATCTGAATCGTTCCTCCGTATGCTGCGAGGCGCAGAAGTCTTGATACTGACGTGTTGAGACTGAGAGATAGATGCCCCAGCGGGCAGAAAAGGAGCATTCCTTCTGTCGATGCCGAGTCTTGACTCAGGTCGCTCAGGTGATCGTGGTCGGAGCCTACTACTCGAGCCATCCTGGCGGGAGGGAGGACGGTTGAAAGTGCTGCGAGTAGGAGAGCTGATGCTGTCTATGGTAGGGATTGATCTCTTGGCACGTAGCAATTGTGCATTCGTTGTGGTTGGAGGTTGATGGCGCATATCAATCCGCGAAGTAGCGTTCCTAAGGTCACGCCGGCTAGGTGTTGATGGAGTGGGAGTGGCGGGAGCAGGAATGCTCGAAATCGATGAATTGGTGTTGTGACCGAGCCTCGACGTGGGTCGCTGGTATCGTTGTATAGGAGCACCAGTCTCGGATACAGGCTCCAGATGTGATCGTGGACGCTCCTGTCTCTCATTACCAAAGCCGAAACGAGGTCTAGGCATTGAGCCAGGTGTTTTGCTGGAGGTGAAATTCAGAGTTGTAGTCTTGATTTTGCTTGGACTGGTGGACCTTTGGTTCTTGACCTTGACGTTACGGTGGAGGGTGAGGCGAGCATTGTCAAAAGCTTTTCCGTTCGGTATCACAAGGTCTTCAGCCCAGTCTTCCTCTTTCAGTAGTGTTTGTGTAGGTTTGGTTTGTTGTGGCGAAGAAAATTGCTGTGGAGCGAGATTCTCTTTTTCGGAGTCCTGTCTCCTTTTCAAGATATCATTGAAGTTTACAGGACCTTGAGGTAGTACCAGACCGTCTAGACCGTCTTCTTCACTCTCTGCGGTAAAGGCACTGGAAACACTAGGGCTCATCGCTGATATCGAAGAACTCCGGTTAGACATGCCCGCTCTTCGTGTGCCAGCATGTCTGGTGCCGAGGCTGCCTTCAGCCCATTCGGCGTCAAAATCATCGACGGTCAAAGGTGTTCTGGGGCTCAACTTCTTAGTGGAGAGGCGGAGTTTGCCATCTGAAGGTATTTCCAAGCCATCTTCAAGCTCCTCTGGACTTGGCTGTACTGAAGCTGTTTGTACGGATTGTAACTTTTGTGGGGACCTATGCTTTGCAACTCTTATAGTAGGCACATCTCTAAAATCCGCGTCCTCATCGACGTCGCGAAAATTCTCTAGGCTAAGAGGAGTGGCAGCAAGGCGTGACTTGGGCGATTTGATCGTGTCAAGAATATTCTTTTCCTCGGGACTCTTGGGGCTTGCATGGAAAGCCGCGCTTATTTGCCGCAAACTTTCTGACAGATCACGCTCTTCTGGCTTTGTAAGACGTAGTTGTGTAGGAGCACTTGCGAAGTCGAGATCCTCGGACCAGTCATCGGCTATAGCTTTTTTGACGACTTTCCCACCTAGGCGTCTGATAGTGCCACCTTCCAGGGCCGAACGAGGAAGGTTCGAGGGCAGAGGAATACCTTTGCTCTTAGCTATGGTTAAAGCATCTTTTACAGACGATTGCTCGTCAACTAACACATCCCAATGCTCGTCGCCTTGGTTCGAGTCGGACCTAATGGATAGCCGAGACGAGGTTGAGTCTCTGTGGTTGAGTTGTGGATGTGAAAGAACAGAGGTTGCAGCAGAAGCTGTTCTGAGGTGGATATTGTCAGAGGTGTCAAAGTCGTCGTCGTCCCAATTTTCCACATCCGGGCTACTATTCATGTTCTTGAGACCAGCGACCTCCATCTCAGGTTTTTAGACCTGCACCAGTGTTTACCGAAGCGATATTTGTAGACTGCACGTTCCTTGCGATCAGCTATGAGTCGAGCTTGTTCGCAGGACCGTCTTAGCTGGTGAAGTATCGTCCGAGAAGTTCCAGGAGATGGTGTTCGCAGATGCGCTTCCACCGTGATGGAAAGCGACTGCTTGCACGCACGGAGATGTTGCTGAAGGTTCTCTCACGAGAAGCTGATACAGACCACGTAGGTTCAAATGGCTAGCAAGCCTTCACTCATTCCTGTGCATGGTCGGACTGTGCAATAATTTGAATGAGGTTGGTAGAGATGGGCAGGAGCGAATCAAAACTGGGTCAGAAGTGGGTCTTGCAGCTGCGATGGACTGAGCAGTCGCGCTCGAACGCGCTAAAGACGATCTACCACGCTAGCCACGCGCTGATCGAGGCAGCATTCTTGGCTTGACTTGGACAATTTCAATGTTGAGCCTCGCTGAATATTGTAACGCCCGCAGCTATCTTTTAAGCTTTACAGATGGACAACTGGGTTCTACAGTTTCCTATTGTTGAGTCCTCCGACTGGGTTCTGCTTAAGGTATCGCGCAAGGTCGGAGGCGAGCAGTTAGATCTTGATTTAATCGCAACTGATGGAGAATCAGCTTATCGCGCTAAAGGTGAGTGTTGATCGTCTTGACAAAAAGCTGTGTTTCCACGTTCTTGACGCCCAAGTCTGCTGACATGCAACAGTCAGAGAGAAAAAGATAGATAGGCTCAAAGACGAGCACTATACTGGTTCGTGTGAACAGTGGAAGGCTGAGTTACTTAGTGCACTCGTTCCCCAAGCGTCGAATTCACTGGCAGCCGAAGATCGCAATATCTTGAGAACCACATGCAGAATACTCGCTCGAGGCTCCAAATCAAGCCTGGCCATCACTCTATCGACAGATGTCTCAGGCATCAAGCACACTCATGGCACCATCAAACTTGATTACACTGAAGATACCGAAGACGTAAACCTCTTCGAGTGGACCAGCCAGGCTATCACTGATCGCGATTCGCTCCGAGATCAAACGACCGAGCATCAGAAGTGCCTTCAGACTGCCGAACAAAAGGTCAAATCACTACAGACACAATTACAGGATCTGATTAGGGCCAAAGAAGAGCACGAGCGACAATTATTATCCAAGTTCACTTTACTCCTCAACGAGAAGAAATTACGCATACGTGTGCAGCAGCGTCAGCTTGCTGAGCAAGAGGCAACAGGCACCACCGTAGCTCGCACTGATGCTTCCCACAGCTCACGAAAACGGAAAGCTACGACAGCACAAGGCTTACAGGAGCCTGATTCAGAATCTGATGCTTTCGAGCCAATGGATACCGATGCACAGGAGAGGCAGTCTTCAGAAGAACAGTCTGTTCAGGCCCGTAGGTCAGAATCAGAGGCTGAAACAGAGAGTGATGACGATGTGCCACTAGGCAGTCCTCCTAGAACGAACAAGATTCCTGGAGAACGGTTTGATATTCCTCCGCCAAGAGACCTGCCATTTGAATTACGAGCTAAGGAAACAGCCACTGCAGCACCAACCAACCCTGATCGAAAGAACAGTGATGATCAGGAAGCCGACGATGAAACTGCGTCAGAGGACGACGAGCTCTAGCATTGCACTCACCCAAAGCTTAGTGATGTATTAGTAATTCAACAGGGTCGTTGCATCAAGCGAAGTGTTACGCAAGCCAGCCTTGCTGGACTTTGCGCTCTGCCTCACAATCAAGACATACATCTTTGTGTCAGCCGGTAAGGATATATGCGTCTGGCTCGACCTCACCTGCGTGCCCCCAACCGTAGCGCAATCAAGACGTGTTACGAAAACGTGGTATCCACAACAGCACCTCACTCTCGTGGGGCAACGTTGTACTTGCACAACCTGGCACAATGTCAGTCACACCTAACAACGGACTGGCAAATCGTCGCCGAATTCGTCCCTGCCAGGTTCCCGCATGCTAGGGCTATTGATTGTTCAAGACGCGGGATATAGTGGAACCGCCACCTCGATGTCTGTCCAGACTTCTTGCAGCCAGATTCCTAGATAAGGACGATGCCTATCGCAGAGAGACGGTGTGCGCGGGACTAAGACTTGATCAACGATTGACTCTCGCGTTTTGCCTGCGCTTCTGCCTCCCCTATACCCTGAACTGAATGCCTAAACAAGCTCAAGGCCAGCATTCACCGGACAAGTTAAGCTTTGTAACCTGTTTTCAGTCTACACTATGAGGTCCGCACTCCTCTGCCTCCATCCCTGACACTGATATCTGCTTGGAGCCGCCAAGATCCGGAGACTCTCCCTGAATGTGCCATTGGATTGCATTATTGTGTGAACTCAGTACACGGTCTTATCGCCGTCTTCTAGCCTGACCGGCCAATATGGAGTCACAATTCTAGGCTGACAGCCAGACTTCGTCCTCGATTCAACGCGTCTATAGCATCGCAACGCTACCGATGAGCGATTTGTGGTCATTCAGGACATCGTGTGCTGCTCAATTTATCGTCAGAATAGTATGGCAGTGTCCGCACTTTCTTGAACTTCTCTACAGTAGCCGAATTCACGCCCCTTGCTTTGAACTGGTACAAAGCACGTTCGAGTTCAGGGTTAGACCTATTGCTTGCCGACATGAGCTGGAGACGCATCTTAAGCGATATCGCTGCAAGCGAATTCTCCGGCCTCAGGTTCGAACTTCAGAAAAGAGACTATTATTCATTTAGGCGTTCAGCACCACGAGATGCAACACTATGTACCTGTTCTCTTTCTGACATGTCTAACAAGAGCTTTCTTCTCGAGAGCCTCTGTATCTCGGTATGTGACTGCCAGCTAGAAGAGAGACCTGCTCGCGCTTTTTGGCATCCTCAATAGAGCAAATCTTAAGACTCTCTGGATCCATATCTACGTGGTCAACTGGCGCTAAGCCTCCTTCGACGTGGCTGTTTAACCTTCTTCGCGTTGTTGCACAGCTCTTCACGGGCGGACAAGCACCTCCAATCAGAAGGATAGGCAGCACTGTAGCTCCATCTGCCTAGATCGCACGCCATTCATGTCTCTAAAGACCATGTATCGATACGTACACTGCTTTTGACCATGCATTCTAGATGAGTACAAGTTTAAGACCTACGCATGAAACCATACCGTTTCTGGAAGCTTGAGGACATCTTATGCTCAATCCAACGACGACCGGATCTGTGCTGGTAAGAGTCGTGGTCCGACAATAACCCGAAACACACAAGGCGGCAGACTGTCCAAAGTGCAGTCTTCAAGAAATGAGGTTGCCCTGATGCTCTCAAAGTACTAAGAAAGTACTGACGTTGTATCGATATGCTGACAGCACTGTGAGAGCACAAGATTGTACATAACAACTTGAAGTACAGCGTCTTCGGATCACTGTATCTTTACCGGATTTTGACGTATCGTTTGCTCTGTTTGATCTACTGCATTCCACCATCATCTCTTCGACCACTCTGTGACGAGTCAACAAGTTATCATCCCAACAATGTTGAAGGTGCGCACGCTTGCAGGTACGAGAATACGCGACTAGCAAACGCAAACAAGCTACCTCCTCTCTCCGCGACTGGATCTTCCATGTGTTGCGGGACTGCAGCAATACCCTTGCTCGGTAGCGAATCTGATATTGTCTTGTTACACAAAGTGAAACACTCGTCAGGTGCGTTGGACTTCGCGACTGAATAGTGGTTTCCAGATCGTGGCCGATCCAAGAATACGTATGTTCCTCCTACTAACAGCTGCGAGAACGGCTTCGGATATCCTTGTTCCGCTCCAGCTCGCGGTTGCCAACATGTAACTGCACATTTTTGGTGGCCGAGCAGCAAAGTCGCAATTATGTCTTGCAGTATCGTTTGCCCCTACCGTTCCGTCGATCCGAGCGAGACCTGTCGCTCAAACACGTTATACCAAGGTATGCACATCCCAAACTCTCAGGCATTCCACATGCAGAGTATCTCTCATGTTCGACCAGCTGAAGCTATCAACGACAACGGTTCGCTGTAAGTACATGTATCCCAGGCTCTGTCTATGCCTTGTGTTGCGGAAGACGCGACTGCTGCAAGGGCACATACGTTACCATCTTAGGTTTGTCCCTGTGCGTTGAGGTTGTCAGCTACAAAGACTGCCACTAGCCTTCTAACTCTTCCTCAATTGATTTGTGGAAGGAAGTGATTGGATAACATCGAAAAGCCAGGATTGCAGGGCCTATTGGCTTTATGGCATACTGCTTTCAGTATATCATCAGGATCAAGCCAGGGGGTTATTAGATTAGAACAGACACTAGCAGCACATGCTCGACCCACGCCCTGATCATGCTTGGCAGTACGACAGGTCTTCAATGCCTAGATCATAGGCTAAATTTCGCTGGTACACAGCGGATGTCATGTCCCCAATGGACCAAGTCATTGTAGAGAATATCCATCCTCTCGAACGCACTAGATCAGGTACATGTCCTAAGTACATGCTGAGACACAAGATTCTGTTTCCCTTAGCTTAGTAGCGAGTGCCACTGTCATCAGAAGAGCTTAAAGGAGGAAACATTGTGGCTCTTGTGTTAGTTTCACCAGTTTAAGTCCTTATGGTATACTGGTCGCCAACATTAACGTATGTGGCTCGGTACGCTGTGCACTACTGAATGGAAGGCTCTGATCGCCTGCAACAGGCTCGAGCACTGAGAGAACATCCCCCAGGAAACCCTAATTACGACTGGGTGACATATTTCCCACCACAGCACAATAGTATGCCTATCTTTCCAGCATCAGCTGGTGTCAACTACATAACAAATGGGCACCAAGCACAATACTCACCGTACACCACCACCTATCCGAGCTATTCGTATCTCCCGTCCTCGAGCAGTGCTCAAACGGCTGTACACTGGCCGAGCTCAACCTCATCGTCTATGCAGTATTCAGTACGACCGCCACCTCGAAGTGCCACATTGCCGTCCCAGCCTAGGGTACTCTCTCGAGGCTATTTTCCTCCATCGGCTCAGTCTCAGTGCTCTTCCCATCTTCATGTCAGGACATCAATGGCTTTCGACATTGGTTTGCTGGATACGGAGGAACAGGATTCAGTGAACCGAGATACGATGTATTCTGAACCCATTGAACCGCCATTATCAGGCTACCCAAAGGTCGAAGATTTCGATGATCTCATGAAGAGGCAAGCATAAGAAGTGTGGATGGAGACCACGACTGACTCCAAACTCGCAGTTATGTTGCACAACTTTCTCCGAAGAAACAAGACAAGGCACTCATCCACGCACGTCGAGCGACCAACATCAAGACAGTGCTTCTGGATAAGAAGACAACAGCAGTAGAGTCTGCACAATTTCGGTACGTCAACGCGTTCCTGTTGTATGGCAGCATCCACTGACAGATCAGGTTTTGGGTGAAGAAGATGTTCCAGTTGCAGCCGACTGACCCGAGTGTTCCCCACGTAAAGTGTGGCCAAGCATCGTCTCAGGAAGAAGACTAACTTGCCCAGGCGCGCAGAAAGATCTGCCATGAAAACAAACCTGTTGCTATTCGGGAAAAGCTATTCAAAATTTTGACTCGAGCTCATCAGAAGTGCTCCCATGGTGGACGCGACAAGACATCGGCTCAAGTTAGGAGAGTCTATTCATGGTAAGAGTTTCCAGTGTCTAAGCAGCCAAACTGATAATTTTAGGGTACCGAAAGAACTTATCTCTCGCTTTGTTAAACTTTGTCCAACATGTCAGATCAGAAGAGGATTGAACCGAAGCTCTCCAGAAGAACAGAACAGCCCGCCTGAGATCGACGATGATGGTGCAGAAGAAACGGAGTCTCCAATCAAGAGAAGAAGGCAGTCCGTGGCGAACAATCGGGAGAACGAGATGGTAGACATGCCGATGCAGCTTGCTCACGGGAGCCCTGTGTTTCAGAGCCAAAACCGCTGGCTCAGTGATTTTCACCCTCCTCAGCCAGCATACGAAAGTATGTATTCCCCGACTTCAGCCACAGCCACGTCGTCGTTTTCGACAGTCAACAGCATAAACGCGTACGGTCCAACTTCTTCGGGCCAGTCCACAATACCCTTAACGGCGATCAGCAACGTGTCGCCAACGAGTTCGCGGCCAGCGTCCAGCCATCGGTCACGATATAAGCAGGCTGAATATTACTATAATTAATGACAGTCCTAAACATATGGGTCTCCAACGGTCTCTATCGCCAGACACAAACTCACACCTTCGAAGCAGGTCATTTGCTTCTTTTTCGGGTTTTGCATAGTGGGGAAGGCATACTGTATAACAAGCATTCATATTCGGGAAGGGCGGATATAGACAAAAGTGCATAGCAAAGCATAGCAGAAATGATGGAAGACAAAAAAATGAAGGGCTAGGTGAACTGCCAGTAGAGCAGACAGGGCTAGATAGACAGCGGATGTGAGAAGAGACAAGGACTGAGGTCGTTCTAAAAGCTGAGACCACGTGAGCGAAGGGGGAGATCGTCAACAGAGCTCGACTTAGTATTATGAGGCCACAACGCGCCTTGGACCTTCTGGGTGAGTTGTGGTAAGAGCGTTATTGGTAGATCAATGAATAGAGCCGTGTGCCGCACAAATGTGCACCTCGTTGCCCCTTTTTGGTTCGATCTCCGGATGATGCCTGGCTTCGATACATTCCAGGCATCAAAGAACCCCATGCTTGAATCTTTTGCTCGGTTTGCTCAGGAAAGTTGTCCTCTTTGTGACGGACATTCAACATTCCTATGTTCATGTCAACTGCTGTTGACGTGAGTTGAAAACGGGTTACGATTGTGTTACGGTGGTCGGTTTCCTTCATTCATATTCGTACGCACTGGAGTGATCAATACCTTGCAGCTCGGCTGCTCAATTCACACCATGAATTTGTTCAGAATTACAGGTGCGTCTCGGGACAGTGATGGACGAGTGTTGATATACTGACCCTACTAGCTGATCTGGCACATGTTGCCTCGATCCTCATACTGCTACAGAAGATGAAATCCTCAAGTGTGCGGAAATCCCAGTTCAGCAGGACTTGAGTTACCTATACTAACACTCATTACAGTCAGCTAAGGGCATATCTTTCAAGTCGCAAGCACTCTACTTCCTCGTCTATGTCACAAGATATCTAGGTCAGTCAGTCCTCTTACGGCTAGACCGTGATCAGACATCGCAGTTTGTGTACGGCCTCTCACATTCCTACAGATTTGTTCTGGTCGTTTACATCCTCCGCATGGAACACCTCCCTCAAGATTGTCTTCCTTGCATCGCAAGGATATATACTTTACCTCATGTTGAACGACTACAAGCCCACACACGATCCGAACCTCGACACCTTCCGCGCGATCTACCTCTTAGGTGGCAGTGTCATCCTCGCAGTTCTTTTTCCACCCGAGTACAAGGTCTCCGAGATTTTATGGGCCTTCTCGCTCTGGCTTGAATCAGTCGCTATTCTGCCACAGCTATTCATGTTACAAAGGACAGGTGAAGCAGAAACGATCACAACGCATTATTTGTTTGCGCTTGGAATCTACAGAACACTATACATTCCGAACTGGATCTACAGGTATTTCTTTGAAAATCACCATTTTGATACGATACCAGTGCTGGCTGGTATTGTACAGACAGTCCTGTACAGTGATTTCTTCTGGGTCTACTACACGAAGGTGTTGCAAGGGAAGAGCTTCAAATTGCCAGTTTAAGATTGAGCGTTCCTGCTGCGGAGTTCTGGAAGTCAGGTGCGGCTGTGTAGTATAATGTAGCAACATTATTTGCAGCGGACACAATATAGAAGATCACGTTGTTTGTGACAAAGCGCAAGCTGTACCCCGACAACGTACTTGACTATCCGAGGTACACAGAGAAGTTCTTCTTCAACCTGAGGACGACTCGAAGAACGGCGATCCAATACCATCTGAGGCTCCAAGCTATTGTGCTGGCTGACTACATAGGCGGACAAACAGTTCCGAAGACTACAGTGGCGTCGGTTCCTGAATCAGAACCTTTCCGTAATTCTGCAAGTTCCACCAACGCCGTCTATCTTCGCTCCCTCGCAAGACCGATGAACGTGCCTTTCCACTCCCTTCTCCCTCCTCGACCCAATTCTTACAGCTTAGAAGCGTGACAAGATCGCTCGACAGAGCTCTGACTATATCCAAGCAGGACCTTCACCAATCTATCGATCTATAGACGGGATCACCAAACGTTGGTGCGCCAAAGATGTTAATACTACGTACTGACTAGCATGTCGCAGATGAACTGACACTGCGGGGCCTCACAGAAGAACCGGGTCCTTGGTGTCTGTGTCAACAGCAGAAGGTATTTCCGAGCACTGAGCTAGCTCCTTTAGTTTCGGTGCAGAAATGCCCCTAGGATCTTCCAAAAGAAAACTTCCACAGCTCATAAGCAGGCATTTCAGATTTGTGACGATGCCAGCTTGTGCTGGCGAGAGAACCAAATAGGCTACACATGCAGTCACAATAAACCGAGAGAGTGTGGATTTACAAGAAGTGAATGAGGTTATTGGAGATGTTCATATGATTATTATGTACGAAAAAACAAAATGGGTTGCAAGATCAGCTTACAATGCCCCTCAGAAGCAGACATCCTCAAGGTCTCCAGCAACGCCCACTGCAACTTCAACAACCAGTCGCGGGCTCTTGACAGCCTCCAGCTCTTCGTCATCTGTATCACTACCACTGTGATATTCATCGATCACGTCCATTACAGAACTCTCATACGCGGCGCCAGAAGCACATGACACAGAGCTCGAATGGAAGGAGGCCCCGTGGAAGGTGCGCTTGTATCCTGGCTGATCAGCACGATCTTCTTTTTCAGCAGCAGGTTCGGAGCTACTGATAGTACTGCTCGGCCGCCGGCAATTCGGACAGACCTTCTCCTCAAGCTTCGCAAACGTCTGCCGTAACAAATTCTGCAACTTCGAGATCCTCTCACCAAGATCAGCAGTCTTGTGCCTCTCCTTTTCCAGATCTTCTTCCAGTTCCATTGGGGGATTTTGAATTTTCTCAGTTCGAAAGTGCTGTTTTTCCAGCTTGTCGAATTTGTCTTGCTCCCTTTTCAACTTGGCTTTTAGGTCTGTACACTTATCCTCTAGGTCCTCGAACTTTTTTCGGGGTTCTTCGAGTTCGTCTTCGAGGTCGTCTCGCTCGTCCCGCAAGCGTTTGTTGTCTTTCAGTAGGGATGCAACGAAGCCAGAATTATTCTTGGGGACTGTTGGCGGACGTGTGGGACGATAGATCATGCGGCCGTTTTTCTCGATTGGGATTGCGGGTATGTACCTTGGGGGAGGAGGGAATGTGGCCTTCTTGAGCGGGAGAAGAGTGTCCGGCACTTTGAATGTAGGTGGCAATGGTGTGCTTAAGGGTTCCATGGACGGCAAAGATATAGGAGATGGCGAAGCATCTAATGTGAGAGGACTTGGGGACCTAAGTGTTGCTGTTGCGTTCTCGCCGACAGCTGGCAATGATGGTGCTGAGACGGATGATGGTACAGTTAACGAAACGGTTCGGGGGGTCTGAGGTTGACTCGATAGATTAGCAGCCATTTCGGTAAGTTGCGGCTGTTCAACAGCCACCTTCTGAGATGGGTTAGATATTGCTTTTGGCTCCTGACCATGTGCTTGTTGGTTCTCACCGTAGTTGTAGATATGAATGGAGCACTGAGCTCCGTAAATGTTTAGCTGCATGGTTTCGAGAAGCAATACTAGTTTTTTGTCAAGTATACTTCTTCTGTTCCAGAGCTGGTTAGGTGTTTGATTGCCAGATCAGATGAGCGGAGGGAGAGGGAGGTATGTGTATTATCTCAGTAAGCACAAAGGGAAAGATAGAGTGTTGTATGATTGTGATCGCCATTATTTCGCAACGATTGTTGCATCGAGAACAACACAATCAACCATTTTTGGCCTTTGTCCATCTTTCCCAGCTCTCCTTGTGTTCTTTGTCGCCTTGAGTGCCTCGACGAGACCTCGTCATGTTCCAAACAGGCTCGGGGTTATCTGGCAGAAACCATACTTTCGAGCGCTCATCGAGGTGGTGACGCTGGTCTTGATGGTGGTCTCCCACGTCAGGCTAGGTTGTAGTTTAGTAGTGCAGACTGTATCGAGGATAAAAGAAGCTTGGTCGTCGGGCGGCCTTGGTCATCTCTATCAACCAGGTGCAATCTCGGCTCAGATACTTTCCAAACAAAGCAGAATGTTCGCAAAATTAACAGAGGTATTACATTTCATGTAGATGTGAGCATCTTCGTAGCACGTCATATCGCGCTCAACGACAAACGTGATCTTGAAGGTCATCACATCTCTATCTACATCGTCCTCACATCGATATTGAGTTGGCATCTCTTCGCGATTCTACCCACGTCAAGCATAGATCCACTCAATAGGCATCTCAGATATTGATCCTTTGGTAGAACAGGAGATACGCCACCTTGTTGTCCTTGACAGATTCTCGGTACCTCGGCGTTTGTGGCCCTGAGACATCCTTGGCTGGTGTGGCATTGCCGTTAATTATTGCATTTGCTGTGGACTTCGATCTGCCATGTCCATTGGCTACCTGACTCCAAGCAGGCCCTACATCGTCCTCTTCCTGATCTGCCTCAATGTTCTCGAAGCGATTGTTGCTTGACATTGCCTGCTTCTTGTGCTGCTCCAATGCAGCCGCAAGGACCTTTGGATCTTCTTCAGATCCTCCATTCGCTACGTCTTCGTTTCTGATCCTTCTTATGACTGTGTCGTCCATGCGAATCCATTCTTGACCGTCCTGGCGACGGATATCGACGGTGTAATGTCCACCGTTGGCGTTCTTGCCGTGGTGGTAGATGACGCCAGTGAGCCTGTATTTGGGTAGTCCACCGTGGGCAGCATATTTGTTTCTCGCAGTGGGTGGAAATACCTCTTTTGGAATCTCGAGTTCGAGTGGGTAGCCAACCTTCTTCCATATCTTCTCAGCTCGATTGGTGGAAGAGTCATACTGGAACCGCTTCAGGTGCAGTATCAGAACTGGAGGAAGTGTCTCGATGAACACTTGCTTTGTGGCTGTGGTTTTGGTACCTCTGGCAGAGTGAAAATCGCCCTGCATGCTCTCAGGCTTGGTTAGGCCTTTAAGGGCATCAATAATATTTGATACTTGTGGAGAGCCAATGTCCAACTGAAGTGGTTGGTACGGCTCTAAAGTCACAGAGAGTTTGTTCCCAGCGACTTTGAGCTCGGATCTTAGCTTGCCACCAAAAATATTTGTGATCGGCGAGTCAGCATTAGTTGCGCCAGACGACCTCGTGATGGCAGATCTTTGTTTGTGCCCAACCTCAAGCCAACCATCCTGTGCATCAGGGGTTTCTGACATGTTGGAAACACTACCGACCGGTGTAGAGCGCCCGGAGCTAGCATTGGTGCTGGTCCGTTGCATGGCCAAAATACATTCCTCATGGAGTTCTTCTAGGAGAAAGCCAAGGAATTCCTGAGCATCTTGCTGGTGGCCTCTTCTCATATCACGGAATCGGGGAAGTTTATTCAGGATTTCATATACAAAGTCCGGGCGAAGCGAGTCTCCATACTTCTCAAAGTCCTCGGGCTTAAGGCGAAGACGCAGCTGCTCCACAGTAGCAGCTGTATCGATCGCAGGGTATTCTCGCATAAACATGATCCTGGCAAACGTAAGCGGCAGCGAGGAGGTGGAACAGGAAAGGAACTCACATGGCGTCAACTAGGGGGGTTGTGCTTTTAAAGGCATGAGCAGCCTTCGAGGCGACCCTATCCAAGAAATCGTAAAAAGGTGTGCAAAAGACAAGAAGCTGAAGAACCTGTCCAGATAGTTAGCGTGTGTTGCAAGCCAATGATTCGGGCAACATACTGAATTCATATAACACATATTTCCAGTGTTGACTAGACCTCTGGGTCGTAGAAAGGCAACTTTGGAAGGTACGTCTGCGACATTAATTTCGCCAAGGACTTCACCGAGACTTTCGTTCCTCGGAGGTGCCAACCCGTTAATGACAGGTAGAACAGCACCACTAGCTGAAGTAGCTGCATTGCCTGCAGACTGTTTTCGAACCAGATCTGCCCAGGACTTTGGAACTGGTGGGGGAGCTGGTGCTGCTTCAACGTTTGGTTCTGTTTGTACCTCAGCCACTGGTGTAGACGCCGCGACCTCCGAGTCAGTTCTCGACCTAGCAGACGTGACCGAGTCACGGTGTATTTTCCTTGCAGTTGTGGGGCTGGCTGGTATAGCAGGTATAACTGGCACGACTGGAACGGAACCTCGGGCTGCCTTTTGCTGAGTCGGCGTCTGCTTTAACTTGTTGATTGATGGCACAGCTGAAGAAGGCGTCGTAGGTTGAGTCGATGGCTGATCTGATTGTGTGTCAGATGGTTGGGTAGAGCCAGCTTCTGCATGGGTCGTGGCCGTGTCCTGGAGCTGAGCTCGAACTGATACGTGGATATCACGTTCTTGCACTTGCTTCGATTCTGGTACTGGAGGCTGATCCAGTGGTGCAGTTTCAGGAGGGAAATAGAGCGGTTGCAGTAATTGAGACCGAAGCAATTTGCGTGTCCCGGGCATTGCTCGAGACGGAAAATCTACGCCGGGTACTGATAGCCAAGGTAACTGTATGGAATTAGTTGAGAATAGGCAGGCGTAGGACGACTTACAGGCGGAGTGAAAGGCTCCGTATTGGAGATGGTATTCGTAGGCACAGTGTGATCTTGAATAGCAGCACTGACTGCAGGGCTTGCGAGCGACTCGTCTCTCCTTTCCTGCACTGCGCTAACTTGGCTCATAGCCCTCGAGGGCGGGGTCTCTGCCTGAACCTGAGACACAGACGAAGCCATGCTCGGCCTCCTCAGTGAGGCAGGAGAGTTTGGCTGCGGCTGAGAATAGGTACGTGCGGTCTGTGGCATTGACGGATGTGAGGAAACCACCAAGGGACCTTGATGCGGCTGTTGTACAGGAGGAGGTGGCAGCATCGAGGACGGGTAGTATGGTTGGCGAGGCGGATGATACGGCGGTACGTATGGGTACTGTGGAGGGTACCATTGCTGTGGTGGTGGTGGGTAGTGTGAATATGGCGGCATCATGGGTCCCATGGGAGGGTAGTAAGGAGGATAGCCGGGGTGCGGACCCATGTGAGGCCGACCATAAGGTGGTATATCATGCTGTCGTTGCCGATGGGGTGGTCCATAGGGCATATTGGGATTCATGTTGGACTGGTGTAGGCAGGCAGAGTGCCTACTCTGACAACCACGACATCAGTTGTATATGATGGTGCTTATCTTTGGGCGCAAGGCTGACACTTCGGTTGAGTTGTAGTGAAATAGTATGCAGCTCTTGTTGCCTCAGCTCATCGCGAGACTCGAGCGTGTACGTGGAAGAGGTACGAGGGTACGCGAGGTCGTCGCTACAGCTCGACGTGTCAGCACGCCAGGACTGTACGGTGAGGCTCTGAGTAGAGAGATTCAGATTGCGAGGGCAGTGCCTCTATGATTACAACAACCCTGAGAGTAGAGATGCGTTTGATAATCTATCCTGCGTGCTGTGAATCTTTCTACGGCGTGACTTACAGCCAGACATTTACAAAGCTAATTTAGCACTACTATTGGCGTGCAGCGGTACCCCAAAGCGCTCCAGCCTCCAATTGTTGCCGCGAGGTGGCTCCGAGTAGTTTGATGCCTTAGGCACGAACTCGGTGACATGGCTTCGTCTGCATTTGAAGGAGAGTGGGGCGAGGAGCAGTCATCGAATGGCTACTACTCCATTACTCTCGACTCATCACTCCAACCACCCTCGCTTCGACGATGAGGCCTTGCTTTCACTGCCACCAGTATATACGTCGCAGTCTTTCTACACGTCGAGGACTCAGGCCCACAGTTCAGTGGCCTGAAGAGACGATTTCGACATCCGGTTCAGACCATTAGCAACAATGAGCTCCGCCACCTCTCTGACTCCCTCCAACAAAGCTTCGATATCACCTGCCACCACAAATTACTCCCAGGCATCTTCAGGTGGCGGCCTCGACCTCTCTCAGAAGCGAAGCAATAGTTCCGGCAGCTACGGTCCTGGTCTGCAAGCACGTCAAGCCGCTCAGTCACGCAGTCAGCAAGTGTCGAAGAAGCCCAACAAGGCACAGAAGAGGGCAAAGATCTTAGATGATGGTGCCGCGGATGAGATTGCTGCCATGAGGTCAATCAATAGCCGCAAAGGTCAGACCTCGATCACACATCTCATGAATTTCTCTCTGCCACCAAGGCCTCAATACCAGCCTCAGCATCTCAACCACAGACCCCACCAGAGGTACAACAAGACTTGGGGCCTGGGATCTGGTTATCATGCTGTCGATAAAGCCAAATACGTGCATGCCAACTATCGCTTCATCGTAAGACCTGATCGTGAGTATCATGCTCAGACCGTGGATGCCGACGTCCACGTTGGATGGGATGCTGTCCTGCAAATCCTTGCCTCGGCTGATACCCAGTCCACCAATTGCCCTATCTGCCTCTCGGTTCCAGTCGCTCCTCGTATGGCCAAATGTGGCCATATCTGCTGCCTCCCATGCCTAATCCGCTATATGCACTCCACTGATGACACGACCCCGAATTCGGACAAGCGTGCGAGGTGGAAGAAATGCCCAATCTGCGAAGACAGTATCTACACGTCGGAGGTTCGACCTGTCCGGTGGTTCTCGGGACAAGAAGCTAGCATGCTAAGAGAAGGTGGCGATGTTTTGCTTCGGTTGCTGAAACGCCATCCAGGTTCTACCCTCGCACTGCCTAGAGATGCAGCTGATGGCTATGGCCAGCACGAAGATATACCCTGGTTCCACATTGCTGAGATCATGGACTATGCTCGTTTCATGAAGGCTGGTGAAGAATACATGATTGAGCAATATGATCAAGAGATATTGGCCCTAGAGGAACAAGAAAGAGAGGATGAGCTGATGTTCGGCGATGATACCACCTGGACCAGAAAAGCAATTAGCACTATTAAGGACGCCAAGCAAAGAATCCAAGGTCTACCAAATCCTCCCTCGGTCCAGCCTCAACCCAGTGACAAGGTAGAGAAAGTGCCGGAGTCGTGGGACGAGGATCAGCTTACAAATGGGAGCAGGTCTGAGCTCACCAATAGCATGGCTAGGCTATCATTTGGCGAAGGTCCAAGTCAGGGTCCGAGACCAAGAGCTCCGTTCTATTTCTATGGTGCTTTACCCAACTTCTACCTATCGCCACTCGATATCAGGGTATTAAAGGCTGCCTTTGGAGATTTCGCAAATTTCCCATCAACCATTCTGCCACGGGTAGAGCACATTTCAACTGGACATCTTGTCGACGACGAACTACGCAAACGTGCCAAGTATATGGGTCACCTGCCACATGGTGCGGAGGTGAGTATGCTGGAATGTGACTGGACAGACATCATTAGTCCCAGCATCTTGGAGCAGTTCAACGAGGACATCGTTCGCAGACGTCGGCGAAATCACGAAAAGGAAGCTCGTGAGGAAAGAGACAGGTTACGAGCTGAGAAGGAAGAAGATGATCGCCGATGGGCTGCAACCAGACGCAAAAGACCTAGTATTAATGAGAGTTTGTCAGAGGCTGACTTTACGCCACTGCAAAATATGGCCGTCTCTCCGAGTAATGGTGAGGGCCTTGCTCAGACGCCGCCTTGGAGCAATCAGCGAGCACAATCTGCTTTTGCTACATTAGCTAGTCCTGGCACGAGTCCTGAAGGACCAAGAACTGTCTGGGGTACCGCAATGATCGGACCTAGCACTCCAGATATGCCAGTAACACGTCCACAGCAGTCAGCCGACGATGGATGGCTTCAGGATTGGGAGCGGGATTTACTTGATGAGGTAGATGCCGTAGCCCTTGTTGCAGCGAGCACAGGAGAAGGCAGTTCGAAGCACGTTGTGCCAATCAGTAAGAAGAACAAGAAAAAGAAGATTACGCTGATGTCGACGAATGTGCGACGAGGCGCATAGATAGCCGTTTCTAGCATTCTCATAATGATTTTGGCCCTTTAGATACCAACAATGAAGACATTCGTCGAGCAGCAGCCTGCTCACTACTGATCACTACCTTTCTCTTGAAAAGCTCGTGATTTTTAGATATGCTGTAATTTGGACTCGACCTGCGCAAATGATTAGTACCGCGTTACCCGAGCCTGCCCACCCAGAAAGTCAAAATTATTATGTGCCGTGTTGCTCCTTTTCGCAACAACAAGCACTAAACCTCGAAACGCATTGACATTATCTCAGAACACATTTTGTGTCTGCACATTCATTTTCTGGCAAATTCGCCGTTCATTCTTTTCCGTGGCTGACTTTGGCGCCCGTGTCCTGCTCGGAATGACAATTACGACTCGCAGCCAGACGGGTAGAACGCCCAGGTTTGTCACTCTCTTCAAATCGTGTACGTGTGCTAACCTTGACTTTCAGAAAGCCAGAGCACCCCGGTTTTGTCGAGACTCCAGGACCAGCTAAGAAGATCAGAGTGCGCAAATCACTTGCACTTACGCCAGATGACTCTGATGCTCAAGACTCTACCCTAGAGCCCGTCCCCGGGTCCGAGACTCGAAGGCGCAACCGAGATGTCAAAGCTGACGGGGCCCCGAATGGAACGGCGGGAAAGCAAGTAAATGGGTTCGCCAACGGACATATCCCACACCCGGACACTCCTATCAATGGCGCCGTCAAGGCAAGCAAGGCAAAAATCGTTGATGGTTGGGAAATTGGTACAGACCCCAAGATCGATCGCTCGGATCGCAAAGACTTTGGGGGGTCGATAGGTGTGTCCGCCATGATGGTAGGGTTTCCACTGTTGATGTACTACATGTGGATTGGCGCTACCTATTACGATGGACATCTGCCTCAACGACAGCCTGACCAGAGCATGTCAAACTTCCTGCGACATTTGTGCCACCTCGCATACGAAGGAGCGTTTCCTCATGCCAAAGCTTGGACAATCTATTGGGTTTTCTTCGTCTTTCAGGGCTTCCTGTATATTTACGCTCCCGGTATTTGGACGAAGGGCAAGCCCTTACCTCACAACAACAATCAGACTTTACCTTACTACTGCTCGGCCATTTCCTCGTGGTGGATAACAAATGTCCTTGCCTTTGCTCTACACTTTTCAGGTTTGTTTCCACTATACACGATCATTGACGAATTTGGGCCGATAATGTCGGTTGCCATACTTTCAGGATTTGGCGTTGCGATTGTTGCGTATATCTCTGCTCTTTATAGAGGCAAGCAACATCGCATGACTGGCGCTCACATCTATGACTTCTTTATGGGCGCGGAGCTCAATCCGAGAATGTTTGGCATTCTTGACTTCAAAATGTTCTTCGAAGTTCGATTACCATGGTACATACTTTATCTGACCACTTGCGGCATGTGTGCTCGACAGTACGAAAGATACGGTTATGTATCGGCTGAGGCATCCTTGTTATTCATGGCACACTTTCTATATGCCAACGCATGCTCGAAAGGCGAGGAGCTTATTCCTCTAACCTGGGACATGTACTATGAGAAATGGGGATTTATGCTTATCTTCTGGAACATGGCAGGTGTGCCCCTGAGCTATTGTCATTGTACAATCTATCTAGCCAACCATCATCCCGATGAGTATAAGTGGAACACCTACGTCATGGTTGCGTGGCACATCGTCTACGTTCTCGTCTACTGGGTCTGGGATACTTGCAACGGGCAGAAGAATCGGTTTCGAGGGTCACTCTCTGGCTCGAACTTTAATCGATGGACATTCCCTCCTCTACCATATGCCTATGTCGAAAATCCAAAAATCATCAAGTCGGACGCCGGACCCCTCCTTGCTGACGGATGGTGTAAGTACGCTTTTCGACTGTATATGTGTGCGTGCTAACTCGATACCTTTAGATGGCAAGGCTCGCAAAGTACACTACACTTGTGATCTTTTCTTTGCACTTTCGTGGGGGGGCGTGACTGGTTTCAACTCTCCCTTCCCCTGGTTCTATCCTGTATTTTTCGCCTGTATGATTGTGCATCGGGCTTTTCGTGACATCGAAAGATGTCGCATCAAGTATGGCGAAGCTTGGGCCGAGTACGAGCGACAGGTGCCATATTTGTTCATACCAGTAAGTTCTGTCTGCACGTTGCAGCCCTTATGCTTACATGATCAACAGTACGTTTTTTAGTAATATCTAATCAATAATACAAATGTAACAGTGAGTTTCATAATGTCAGAAGGTTGGCAGGAGCAATGTTTCTAAGGTTGGGTTTCCGCACTAAAATTTATGGTAAGCCTCAATTGGCAGGTATCACTCGGTAGTGAAAAGTGAAGCCCGTTTGAAGAAATTCCGTTTACATCTACTACTCACGTCCTCTGCGCCTCACGAATCGCGCACGCGACAGCCTCAAGCGGTTTTCAAGTAACCCATATCACTCCTCAACGGCAATCTTGTCACCTACCTTAAATCCTTTCAGTCAAAACGACTCGTATTTGTCGCTGCCAGAAGCTCTCATCTCACCCATTGCAAGCGTGCTGAATCTCTCTGCGTCGCAATCAGGCTAGATGGGCGTCCTGATCACTTTTCCAGATGTCGTTAAACGATCAGCCTCCTCGTGCAACGAGACCTCTCCTACACGAGTTTGGCGGCCAACACGTATCTTGAAAGAAACGACTGTTGGGGTCGAAAGTCTCCTTCCAACAAACAGCATGCATGGTATCGAAAGCCTGATTCCTCCACATGTACGACCTCCTCTACACGAGAGTCCCACGCCTTGGCTTGGAGCACACACGGCAACGTTATCAGCACAAGACCCAGCTCCTTCATGGTTTGTGTCAACACTAACTCAGCTCGAACTCTCGAATATGATGCCTGGTCCAATGCCTGCCTCAGACAGTCCTTCTTTTGAAACTATCAGTACCAAAACCCTCATACCTCCAACTACTTTGCCCGGGTCGCTTCAGACTTCGACGCTGCAGCCGTCATATACCTCGTTAAGTCTTAGCAATGCAGGCAATCCCACACTCTCGACAACACCCCTGGCTTCCGGCACGTTACCGAGTACAGCAATGCCAGAGCCGACGGAGTTTGGCACTACACAATGCGAAAAAGACCCTTTGTGCGAGGGTGAAGCGCTTATCGAAGAAGATCGACGAGGCGTTATTGCTGGCAGTGTTGTTGGATCGGTTGGTGCTGCAGTGTTGCTGTTTGCCGTCTTCATGTTCATACGCCGTAAGGGCTGGAATAGAAAGAGAAAGAACGGATCAGGAAAAAGGTGGAAGGCTGATACACAAACAACTGGGTCTACCCACCTTCCGAAGCAGGACCTTGAAACCGCTCAGGTGAATCACAGCGAGAGACAAACCAATGCAATTTCGCAAAGTACAACACGAAGTCGAAACAGCAGCCTGGGCGAGCCAGGCCCGGCTCTTTTTGACAGAGCTGGTAACAGAATGCTTAACAGGTCGTTAGAGGCTAACAGCCTCTCGGCGACCAATGACTACACAGTTCCGCCGCCATACCGTTTGTCCGTCACAACAATCGGTTCCGATCCTTTTCATACCCCTGCGGAAATTAACGGAAGCTTCAATGGTAGCCACGAGACCAGCGACGATCGTCCAAGTCATTCTCAGATTGGTCTGGCATTAACGCGATATTCGACGACGAATTCTGCGCCTCGAAATGACCTTGTCCAGCGCCTTTCCGTGCCAAGTTCTTCTCAGCACCCAGCAGAGAGCCAGCACAAGCGAACCTCGTCTCTCAGTGCACAGACCGATGTTACTGATATCGACAAGGAAAACGAGCCCAGAACACTGTTCATCGGGACTGCAAAACCTACAAAGCTACCAAATGTTCGACGACATAGCCTGATACCTCGGATTGTCAATATCGTCGCTGGAAGCGGTAGTCGGGATCGCATGCAGTCTGATGGTGCAGGTAGTGACAGGAGTGACAACGACGACACAGAAAGCTGTCCTAAGCCTGGCAAAAGACGCACGACTAGAGCTAGGTCTTCCTCTCCCATGAAGGGATCGACGTTGTATGGAGGATCCCTAGCCAAGCTGAACAGCCACTTTGGTATTCAGACCTTGCAATTCGGACGATGTCCTTCCTGGCTCCCGTCCCAAATTCAAGGCCATTCACGAGGCTCTTCAAAAGACAGCATGCACGGTAGAGGTAGAACATTACAGCGCAAGAGCTCGAACGACGATGACGGTTCCATTAGCTATCCACCTAGCAGTTATCCACTATCCGAAAGGACTATGGGCGAGACGAAACCTCGGAGCTGAAGAGGAAAGAGTTCTGTAGACCCAGAGGTTGACTCATCGAAATTCACTCAGTCAAGATATTTGCTCATGACAATCCGTCTGAGAGGAAGCATTGGGGCGGGGGCGGCGTCGCCAGGAATGATTGAGGAAGGCAGCACGAAGGAGCAAGGATAATCCAGAAGTAAACAAGAGACACACAATTTTCTATCCAGGTACTCATCCACAAGCTTTTGAGCAGTTGCTATACCTTGAACAGGCGTCAATAACCAGCTCCACGAAACTGTGCTACTCTTTTTGCAGGGATGGATATTCAAGTAAGCGCAGCAGGAGTATGAATATGTGCATGGATACGATATCGCATGGTAGGCCACAGAGCGTCGGAATATGTTACAGAATGTGGTGATGAAGAGCTGATATTCTTGAACTCACATAGTGTTTGCACTCAAGTGCGAGGGCAATATACTGCTTGTTTTCAGGAAATAGCTTGACAACATATCGAGTCCGACGAGACTGTTGTTGCAATGGTGCCGAAAAGTTTATGATACCGCGAGAGTTTCTAGGTTCTGAAGCTCTCCTGCTTGTGCATCCCTGTGAGAAGGTTTAATATTCACATGCAAATAGTGCTGCAGCAGCTGATAATGAAGAAGCACACGACACGATACGAACAAATGTTAATCTTGCTCGTGCAAGCATGTGCAGAGCTCAACGGGAACATAATATATGCGAATCACAAGGTCGGCATTCGGCGAAGACACTTCCAGTCATGATGTCACCCCGCCGAATGCCAAAGTCACTAGCTCGGGACTTGTGTCCTTCGACCAGTCACAACGTTTTTAGTTCAGGGCCTAAGTTCAACAATGTAAATGTACCTTTTCGATATTGGCAAAGCTCTAACAAGCATCTTCATCGTTGTATCTTTGACTTTAATCCTTTTATCCTGTCATTCTTTGTGTGTGTGTTGAGAGTATTGTTGTTACACGATGGCGACCACGACGATCCTGGGCACGGAGTTGGAGTTGAAGCAGAGGAAACACAACGCCGAGCAGGCAAATGGCGAGTTTTCCGAAATCACACCGCCTGCTTCAGACAATGAAAGGAGCGATGAAATGGGAAAGGGTATGCCTCTTCGTGCCAATATAGCTGCTCCGACGGAGGCGTTGGTGGGATCAGAGAGTGATCCTTATGGTTACAAGAATCGAAAGAAGACTGTAAGTTCTGCCTTGGGTGTTGTCCTCGCCACCAGCACGGAGCTGACTTTCGCCGGATCAGGTTCTAGAGCAGCATTGTGTGTTCTTTGACCGTGACAACGACGGTGTTATCTGGCCGACCGACACGTGGCGCACATGTCGAGAATTCGGGTGGGGCATCAGGTTGTCTTTGTTCTTTTCTTGTTTCCTGCATCTGGTACAGTCGTGGGGGACCGTGCCGTGGTTCTGGCTGATTCCGGATCCGCTGTTCAGAGTATGGATACACAACATCCATAACAACAAGCATGGTAGCAGTACGCTGGCATTCGACAACGAGGGCAAATACAGGCCACAGTTCCTCGACGAGTTTTTCGAACGAAACGACAAGGACGGAAAAGGTGGTTTGACTTTTGAGGAGGGGTACTATGGCTTGAGGAGGATCAGATTCGCCTGGGATATCTTTGGTCAGATCTCGGCTTTCTTCGAGTGTAAGTGCACCGGTTGTGGGGTGAGATCGTGTTTGCTGACACTTTTGACTTAGGGGGCATGACGTACGTGCTACTCTGGCCCGAGGATGGCATCGTCCGGAAAGATGATGCTCGTCGCGTTTTGGATGGAAGCATCTTCCACGAGTTGACCATGCAACATCGAAAGTATAACGGCAATGCCAAGGCACAATGAGCGACGTCGTTGTGTTGCTGCTAAGTCTATGGTGTCATGCCTTTCATTGGGCATCATTACATACTTCACGACCACTGGACGAGCGTGGGCCTTCGTCGTCGAGTTTCCACCATGTGGATGACAGCGGACAGTCAGGCATGTCATTCGTTCGTCCTAAGCTTTGAAGGGCGTCGACGATCCAGTGATCTCAAGTCAGGTTCAGAACCAGTGATTGCGAGGTCTCCAACCACACACCTGACGCGACAGAGACCGTGCAACCTGCCCGGTCAGCTAACATTTCCTTTTCAAGCTAACCCGCAGCTTCGACCCAGAACCATGAGTGTTCGACTTGTCAGAGCAGCTTTCAATGGACATCAGAGGCCGAAAATATCCGAGAATAGGCCGCATGAACCACCATGTCATGTGTCAGACCTAGAGGTTAGAATATTGGGGAAAGATGGGTTCAAACAGAGCAACATGGAGTGGATGGGATGTTATCATCAACAGGACAGATAGTGTGGGATGCATAGTCGACAGAAGAACCCCAGTCAAAGAAGATGCGTACCCCACCACACTCCCTTTTTCGGTGGAGTCGTTGTGCGACTCCGACACAGACGTGCATCTGAATCGCAACACGTGTTACAGCATTATACTACCGGAATTAAAGCTACACAAGATAGATGAAACTTGAAGATTGAAGATTGCACAACTCGAACGCGGACTGACATGACCTCGGTTTGTAAGATGACAGGGTATATGTGCTAAGGTGGTGCTTTCCATTGATGATCTTCGAATGACGCTAATGCAGGTACACCCGGAGTTTTTTGTTCTATGTCCACCTACTTCTTATCCTGGCTATACACTTCGAGATTTAACTGTTCGACTTAATAGTCCTATTCTTTTGAGTGGTTCTCGCGGCTTCGCTCAATTTGACTTGCGAGGACAAGCTGTGCTCATGCTCGCATTACTTGACAGCAAGCATCGACAAGTCAGTTACCGAGCTCGCGAGAGTGACTGTCACTTGCACCACGCCTGCCTTCAAAGGCGATTGAAGTATGAAAACCAGTGCTGTGCGACGCCCGAGCCAAACCAGTCCTTGACGGATATCATGGTGGGTAACTCCAGTAGGAAACACGCAGGACCACAAATAATGAAACAGACAGCCGCCTGGACCAGTAACACAACAGGTGCCATCTCTGGTAACCCGCGTTCTGCATACCAGTCGGGCTCACCATGTGGCTCGTGACAACAACATTCCCTAGACAAAGATCGTACCTCTCTTTGAGATCATTGACAAGCTGAGCAAGAACTGCCTTTGTTGTTGGGCCTGACGAGAACAACCAAATACCTCGAGTGTTAGCCCAGTAAAGCACATCCGCTTGTCTGGTGCTTCCCTTGACTACTATCCTGTCACTTTCCGCCACACGGTTCGTGATAACGTAAGTTGTAGCCCACTTTTGATCTGTCACCCTTCAAACAGGGCAAATTGTTCAGACCAGGAAACGTGTTTCAAGCTGTTTCTTGCGCCTCGATTTTCAGAAGCTGGTGACGATCTTGCTGTATCAAAGAAGAGGTGAAGTGTACCTCCCCCGTACCTCTGACACACTCTCAGCAGGCCAGCTAGCAATACTCAAGCCAAAGTCGGTTGTCGATACCTATTAATCCCTGCACAGACTGAAGTGTATCTCAGCATAACATAAAGAGCGTTTGCAACCTCAGCATCGACCTCGGGTTTCCCTTTCAAACTCTTTCACCACTTATTCAAGGTCTACGTGCTCTCATTCTCTCGAGTTGCGTAGGCTTGCCACTCTTTCACATTCAATTCTTACCAGCGACTGACTCTTACATCTTGCGCCAATACACATCCAAATTACCACATCTCACACTCGAGAACCACTGCCACCAGGCTTCAACCACTCACAACCCGTATAGTCTTCTCAGCTTCTGGTCACATGCTGGAAACAGGGTAGAAAGATAATCTTCTTGCATACAATGAAGTCATCAGCATTAGCAACGCTCTTCCTGAGCACTTTGGCCAGTGCCTCTCCCTTCGAGAAAGCTGCCAGATATGTCGTAACAGAATTGGTTCTGGAGACTGCGACAGTCACTGTCACAGAAGCTAAACCTTGGAGACCCTGGTCAAGCTGGCACTCACCAACTGTTACCATCGTCCAGACAAGTACTACTACCTTATCGACCTCAACTGTATTTGTTACTGCAAGCATATCCTCCTCGGAAGTTCCGGCCTCGTCGTCTGTACCTACCAGTCCAGCAGTAACACCCAGTGAACCCACTACCAGCTCCTCGCCGCCTCAACCCAGTAATACTCAGGGCTCGATTTCTCCCTATGCAGACCCAATCTTGAAACAGCACAACTTGCACCGGGACAACCACACAGCTCCAGCACTCCAATGGAACGAGACACTGGTCAGTATCGCACGAGAGATCGCCGAAACCTGTTATTATGCACACAGTATGAAGGTTCGTGGCGGCGGGTATGGTCAGAATATCGGCGCAGGTAGTATACATGAACAGGTGCCTGCGATGATCACCAATGCAATGTACAACGGTGAAGTGATGTTCTATCCGGGCTATGGTGGCGAACCAAACATGGCTGTTTTCGAGAAATGGGGTCACTTCTCCCAGATCGTATGGCGCGCAACAGAGTCTGTCGGATGTTACACGCACCATTGTACGAGTGGGCTCGGAGGAATTAGCGGTAACATCTCGCCGTACTATACTGTTTGTAACTATTATCCAGCCGGTAAGTAATCTATGCATGCTTCAGAGGCATTCTGCTAATATCAGCCAGGAAATGTAGGTAGTGGATTCAAGGACAACGTGATGCAGCCTCGAGGAGATCCAACGGTCACAGTTTGAGAGCTTACACAGCATCTTCAATATCGACTCGCGCGAGGCAAATGATTTTTTCAAATTCACCTTCTGATTCGAACCATGTGCGTTGCTTTGCGGGCACTCGGAATAGGCATGCCACATCTTGATCGATTCAGTTGTCCATTTTCAGACATATTGTTCGACAAGAGAGTTTGAGAATGTTACACTTGGTGGTTGTGTTTTTTGTTCTTCACTTCTTTTAGGGGTATTTTGACGGTAGAAATCATCGAGTTTTTGTTTTGCAAGGACATCTAGCCAGCGTCGGTGCAGAGAAGATGAACTACTGCGTCTGTGCCTCATCTGACATGGAGCAGATGTATGTCGCAATGGTCAGAAATGAACAAAGCTTAGCTTCCAAATGTTTGACGCAGTTGCTGTCGGAATGCGTGAAGTGGAAGGTGCGGCGGGAACGTTACCATGATAACCGCGAATTTTGGCCTTTTCATTCTTGATCGTTCAAGAGCACGGCACAGTACAGTGGATGACATCCTCAGCGCTACAAGGATCGCGCTCTGTCATGGCAAGGCGACGGTGCCAAAGTGAGACGTTCCCAAGTGCGGTCAGTACACAAATACTGTAAACTTGTGGAGGGAGCTCCAGCACGACCTTTCCTATTATGGGTATTGGCACCTTTCTCCCGACGAATGATGCATCTGCCATTTGAACTCGATAGCCACAACCACGCTCTCGGACTTCAACCGGCAGTAGAAATTGTAATAATACTCAAGTACGGGCACTTCCCCCCGGCTCCCAAGCATACAACAGCGGGATAGCTGGCACGATTTATACGTTCTAGAGCCTTCAAACTTCCCTCGGTAATAACGCATGACTTGACTGGGGAATTGGCCCCACAATCCCAAAGAAACTCCGTTCGAGTCGCTCGTCGTCCAGCTGGACGCGGCGGCGATCAACAAGCAATGTGAGACTGGCAATAAATCATGTGCCAGGCATATGATGCTCTGTAGACGTCCATAGCTAAAAGTCGACAGCACTTTGTAATGTTCATTCTTGAAAAAATCGTCGTGCTTTTCTTATTTGACAATTCATCGTTCAAGCAGTCAAGCAACCGACTTCACGCCCTCAATCCATCCAGCTCCAGCTCCACTTCCATAGAGAGCCGTCTTCGCAAGCACTCGGTAGGTTGCTTCCTTCCTTCTTTCCATTGCTCCGAGGTCATGCACTTCTCGCAATGCTTTCCAGCGCATCCCCATCACGCGCCTTGGGATATACACATGCTCCACGGGTCATGCATGCCTGTCACAGCAGGATATACGCAAGAGCCATGCTCTACAAGGGTCGGGCACATGTCAAAGCCATGCAAACCGCTCGAACGGAGGTTTCACTATGGACTTGGGGGTGCTATCCTGTGCGATATACGTTAAGGAGGCCTGACTGCGCCGACAGGTTGACATCTTCTTTGCTCAGTGAACAAGATTCCAATGCCGCCGTACTGCCAGCAGGATTGTCATTACTTTTATCGTACTGCCCTGCGCTTGCTTAACGTTCCAACCGTGGTTGCTCCTCTCTATTCTTAAATACTCTATCTAACCATGACCACCAAAACAGGAGTCCGCCGATTTACTAATCCCATCTCGTTGAACGAGTCCTTGATACGAGCCTCCAACATGGCTGTTGACGGCCAGCGTTCCATGGAGAACGCAAAGCAGGCCACAGAGGCCTTCTCCAAGAGCGACCAAGAGCCGTTGAGGAACAGCGTCAAGAATGGGGTCAAGGCAGGTATCACCTACGCCGCACAGGACAAGCTCCCGAGACTCCCTATACCAGATATCGAATCGAGTATGAAGAAATACCTGGCTGCGCTCGAACCCCTGCAATCCTCCAGAGAACACGATGAGACCCGAGCTGCTGCGAGAGATTTCGTAGAGCACGATGGCAAGGATCTGCAAGAGAAGTTGAAGGCCTATGCAGAGGGAAAGTCGAGTTACATTGAGCAGTTCTGGTACGATTCGTACCTCAACTATGACAACCCTGTCGTATTGAACCTCAATCCATTCTTCCTTCTTGAGGATGATCCTACACCTGCAAGAAACAACCAAGTCACCAGAGCTGCTTCACTCATAATATCTGCGTTGTGCTTCGTTAGAGCCGTCAGAAAGGAAGAGCTACCTCCAGACACTATTCGTGGCCAGCCACTTGATATGTACCAATACTCTCGCATGTTTGGCACGGCGAGAGTGCCAACCGATAATGGCTGTGTCATTGGCCAAGACTCAGACGCGAAGCACATCGTAGTCATGTGTCGAGGTCAATTCTACTGGTTCGATGTCCTGGACCACAACAACGACCTCATCATGACCGAGAAGGACATGGCGATGAACTTGACAGCTATAGTGGACGATGCTGATGAAATTCCAATCCAGGATGCAGCCAAAGGAGCCATCGGTGTTCTAAGCACGGAAAATCGGAAGACGTGGTCAAGCTTGAGAGATTTGTTGACGCGAGAGGAAGGATCTGCCAACTCCGAGTGCTTAAATATCGTCGATTCAGCTTTGTTCATGGTATGTCTGGACTATACTGAGCCTACTGAGGTAGCGCAATTGTGCGGAAACATGCTTTGCGGCACGAACGAGGTTGTGAGAGGAGTTCAAGTTGGTACGTGCACGAACAGGTGGTACGACAAATTGCAGATCATTGTGTGCAAGAACGGGAGTGCTGGTATCAACTTCGAACACACTGGTGTTGATGGCCATACAGTTTTGCGATTTGCCAGTGATGTGTACACCGACACGATTCTTAGGTATGCCAAGTCAATCAATGGACAAGCACCAATGTTGTGGTCGAGTCAAAGTCCTGATCCCTCCAAACGTGACCCAGAAAGTTTTGGTGATGTGAGCACGACACCTCACAAGCTGGAGTGGGAGATGATACCGGAGCTGCAGATTGCTCTCCGCTTCGCCGAAACTCGCCTTGCTGATTTGATCAACCAGAACGAGTTTCAAACGCTGGATTTCAAGGGGTATGGTAAGAATTTCATCACCTCTATGGGATTCTCACCGGACGCGTTTGTGCAAATGGCCTTTCAAGCAGCCTATTATGGTCTCTATGGCAGGATTGAGAACACTTACGAACCAGCCATGACTAAGACGTTCTTGCATGGACGAACAGAAGCTATCAGGTCGGTCACACCTGAAAGCTCGAATTTTGTGAAGACGTTTTGGGCAGAAAACACGGCGCAGAAAAAAGTCGATGCTCTCAAGGCAGCGACACAGAAGCACACCGCAATTACCAAAGAGTGCAGCAAAGCACAAGGTTGTGACAGGCATTTGTATGCACTATACAGCGTGTGGCAACGGAAGGTAAATGAAGAAGGTGCAGAAGCGGCGAGCAGCACAGGCTTCAGCTCACCTCGAGACAGCAGTCCGCAAGACCTGACTGACCTCGGAAGTGCTAAGAAACTAGAGGATACAACATCGCAGAATGGGTCAGTGAGTCGATCGCCGGCGCCACCACTCCATCAGATGCCAGCATTATTCGCTGATCCTGGCTGGGAACGAATCAACAGCACTATTCTGAGCACATCCAATTGTGGCAATCCATCACTTCGCCACTTTGGCTTTGGACCTGTTTCTGGCGAAGGCTTTGGTATCGGCTACATCATTAAAGATGACTCCATCTCAGTGTGTGCAAGCAGCAAGCATAGACAAACGCGCAGATTCATGGATGGCCTGGAGTCCTATATGAACGAGATTCGGAAACTTCTCAAACAGACGAGGAGCAAAGATTCCGTAGCGGCGAAGATTACACGTGCTCGAGAAGTAGAGGACAAGCTTGGCAGAGATGGCAGACTGAGGTCGAAAGGTCGTGTGATCAAGACGGAACTGAACAAGGAGGATGGGGCACCTGGCAAGGGCGCCGCGACGCCTATGAGCAATGGAACAGAACTGGAGGACGATGATGGACTTGGTGGCTGTGAGTCAAGTAACTTTGAAGCTGTGTCACATTTGACTAACTATGATTATAGATGGCTTCTTCGATGCAGGTATGCTGTTGCAGGCACTGAAGAAAAAGGAGGATCCTTCGGCAGCGGAACAGGTCGCACACAAGAAGAGAGCTGTCGGAAAGAAGCTTGCATTGACAGAGTTTTAATGTTTGTTTGTTGTCGCAAGTCACAGTGCTGCACAGGGCTCTGGAATATGGACGAATTTCACGAACGTGGTTGCCTTGGGATCAAGGCACTAAGACATAAGCTTCTTTACAGGACGGCATTGTACACTGTAGGAATAATCATGATTGAGCAATGCATGAATTACTGCACAAACCTTAACTGGCCGATGACGGTGACGGCTAAAAGGATGGCGTGACACGTCGTGTGCTTTTGCAGTGCTGATAGGCTCAAAAGCGAGTCATCGCGAACACGTTGCAAGGGTTGAGGCGTGCTGAGATGCACCGAGACACTTCAAGTTGCATACTTTACGGAGCCTGCTTCACCAAATAGTGCATTGTTGCAGAGTGTTCGTTGTATTCTGTTGGTGTAAGATTCTGCGAAGTTCTAGCTAACTCAGCACGGTGACTCTGCGGTATGAGAATTCAGTAACATTGAGGATCTCTTGAAGCAGCCACTTCACCGTATTGTGGTGCGGTAGACTGCCCGTAGCTCCTTCCCGAACAAAACATCCGGACCTTCAGCCTAGCCCGTGCACTAGTATCTTAGTGGTTAGCACATTTTCGATAGTAGCAAGTTAGCCGCCGCAGGCAGTCCGTTCCTTCTGCGACGTCGAGTACTGTGTATCTGACTTGGTGTTCCTGTAGCCAACGATACGATCGGGTCTCTCGCTGCACAGACTGCCAACATGGCAGCTCTTCAATGCAATGAGCCCCTTTCGCCGTCATTCTCTTTCTCAGGCAACCGGATCAAACACGAATTCAATCCCGACGTCAACTCCCTCCCAAGTCCGCCGACGACCAATGAAGGAGCAGAAGGCAGCCACAAGGAAGATGACGCTGTCTCTACAAGCAGCCTCTCCGATTTGGATGAGACTGTGGATCTCGATATGAATATGAATGATCTCGACGAACAACTTAACCGACAACGTTTTGAAGATGCTGCACGCGCGGGCGCAGAGGCTGAACAACATGCTAAAATCAAGCCGCACCACTATGAGGGCGGCGTGCCAGTCTTCCAACCTACTATGGAAGAGTTTAGAGGTAATCACACACCTACACAATTTACGCCGACCATACTAATCTGTGTCTTCGGTAGATTTCCAAGCATTTATGGCTCAGGCCGATGCCTACGGAATGCAAAGTGGCATTATCAAGATCGTGCCTCCTGAAGAATGGAAAGCCGCCCGAAAAGCCCTCGACGACCTGGTAAAGCATATCAAGATCAAGAACCCTCTCACGCAAGAGTTTCATGGTGCACAAGGTGTTTACACTCAACGCAATATGGAGAAGATCAGGTCCTACAACCTGCCTCAGTGGAAGGCCGTATGTGAACAAACCGAGAACCAACCACCAGCAAAGAGGGGCGAAAAAAGACTGAATGCAGATAAGCTACTGGGAAGAGGTACTAAGAAAAAGACTGAAGGAACACCAACTCCGGAAACTGGGAAGAGGCGAGGACGCCCTGTCAAGAAACGAGAGAGCACAACTGAGCCTGATACTTCCCTTGTCGCCCCTCTTACGCCAACCAGTCCTGACCTCGATTCGGTCAAGATCAAGGTCGAACCTGCTGAAGATGAAGCCGACGGAGAAGTCAAGCGAGAAGAAACTCTCGGTCCTGCCAAACGTGGTCGCAAGCCCAGAGGACGACAGCCTAGAACTACGACCAAGAAAGAGCCGGGCGCTGGCAAAAGCACTGAGACCACAGTCGCCACCAGGAGACTCAAGAATGTTGGTGCAGCGTCTGATGTGATCGACGAGGAAGCATTTCAAGACTTTGACTACCGAACCTATGACCACGATCAATGGACCCAAGAACGTTGTGACGAGCTCGAAGAGAAGTACTGGAAATCATTGAACTTTAGCAATCCCATGTATGCCGCTGACATGCCTGGTTCACTCTTCGACCAAGACACAAAAGAATGGAACGTCGCGAAACTACCAAATCTCTTGGATCTCCTCGGTGCTCCAATTCCTGGTGTCAATACTGCCTATCTTTACCTCGGAATGTGGCGGGCAACTTTCGCCTGGCATCTCGAGGACGTTGACCTCTACAGCATCAACTACATCCACTTCGGTGCTCCTAAGCAATGGTACAGTATCTCTCAGAAAGATGCTCCGAAGTTTGAAGCAGCCATGAAGTCCATTTGGCCATCTGATGCAAAGAACTGCGACCAATTTCTTCGACACAAAACCTACCTTGTTTCACCGTCCATTCTTAAATCCAAGTATGGTGTTCAGGTGAATAAAGTCGTACACCGTGAGGGCGAGTTTGTTATCACCTTTCCCATCGGCTATCATTCTGGTTACAATCTAGGTTACAACTGTGCCGAGTCGGTCAATTTCGCCATTGAGAATTGGCTTGAGTATGGACAAACTGCCAGAAAGTGCCAATGCGAGGCCGATAGCGTTTTCATTGACGTCGATTGGTTTGTTCGCAGGATGAACGGTGAGCCAAGTCCTGAATTCGAGGAAGTCGAGATTACCGATGATGAAGACGATCAGGACGACGGGGCTGATCGATCGACTCCCGCCTCAGGTCGTGGCAAGACAGCCCAGAAACGTAAACGGTCTGTCAAAGACCTGGGGCCCAACAAGAAAGCTAAAAAGATCGTGAAAATTCGCAAGATCAGTAAGCACCAACCTTGCTGCTTGTGTCCGAACGATCTGGCATGGGAAGAGCTACTACCAACTACGAATGGTCTACGTGCTCACAGGGTATGTGCTATGTACACGCCCGAGACATACATCGCAACCAAAGATGGTACTGAGAAAGTGTTTAATGTTGAGAACATCAGCAAAGCTCGTCTCGATCTCCGATGTCACGAATGCAAGCAGAAGAAAGGCTCATGCTTCCAGTGCTCGTCTGCCAAGTGCACTCGTGCCTACCATGCGACGTGTGCTATGCACGCTGGCGTTCAAGTTGACAAAGGCGAGATCGCGGTGTGGCACGAAGGTATCGAATATCGCGATATTGGCTTTGACTGGCGTTGCAAATTGCATCGAACTGTCAAGCGAACTCGCATCACCAGCGACTTATCAACCCTGAATCACACTACGAGATGGCTAGCTAACAAAGAGCTGCACGAACACATCATAGGCCTTGTGCCGGGTGACGCCATCCAGTGGCAGGCTTCACACGGCGACGAAATCCAGGCCGGATTGGTCAAATCGGCCTTTGACCCAGGCCAAAACTCCATACTGGTTTCTGTTCTGCCAGATGTGAAAACCATTCGCGAAATTGACCCTGCTTGGATCTTGTTTGTTGATAGTTCAACATCCTGCCTGCAGCGACCTACAGCGAATGCTCTAGACCTGCCAGAAGACTTGCAAGGTAAAACAGCGCAGGTACCGGGCTCCACCGAAAAGAAGCCTAGCGAGGGCGATCCATTCACCGAAGAGCCCAAAACAGAATGGGCCGAATTTGTTGTTGAACCTCCACCACACAACAAATGGCAGAAGAGGACAGACTTGACCAAGCCTAAGCAGATTTTCTACTACTTGGGTGCAACATCCACTGATACTAAAGCACAGTATACTGCGGATGCGTTTAAGCCCGTGTATGATCCGGCCTGCAATTTTCTAGAAAAGGTCGAGCCGTCTCGTATGGCCCCACCTCCACAACCAAAGAGACATTCATTGGCTGCTTCTTATCCAATGATATCTAATGCTGCACGTAATGCCACAATTCAGTTCGTGGGACAACAGATCAGACAGAACGTCTCACCGGTACCTCGTGCAACAATGGGACCAAAGAGCGATTCGATCTTGAATGCAGCAAGAGAGAAAGCGCTCGAGCTTGAACGGTCAGGCCTGCCTCCTAAAAATCCTCAGTATCGCGATATTATGGCAGCTGCCGAAGCTAGAGCCAACGAGCAGGCTCGGATCTTACAGCGTCAGCAACAAGCCTTTCAATACTCAGGGCCAAGCCAGTACTCGATCCCAAACAATGGCATTGGCATCGACCAGTCTGCAGTTGCTCGACAGAAGCAATTTCAACAGCAGGCTTCTCAACAGTCTCGAAGCATGTCAACAGCCTCGCAGCAAGGCTCACCCCATCACTCACCACCACTTCCACTGTATACTACCAATTCACCTATGACAGCATATCGTCCTTACCACAATGTCGCACCAACTTACTATTCAAATGAAAACGCTCGCTACGGCATGAACGGCAGCTTCACGCCACAATCTATGCAATTCACTCACGACTGGATGAACCCGCCTGGTCGGTCGCCAACTTTCCCAAGTCCGGCCATGCCGACAATGGAATCCAATTCACCCGAACTCGGCTTCAAGCAGCCCGCGACCTATACTCAGTCGCCAACCACGATGCAGAGTCCGCCGATGGTAGCCAGCAACAGTCCACCTCAACAATCGCCAATTGAGCAGAGGAATTCTTTTTTAGGGGATAGTGCCGTCAGTCGAGGCACTGGCGGCACCTCCTATACCCCATCCTTGAAAAAGGAAGCCTCAAGCATAGAATCCAACAGGACATCAGGGTCCAATCTACCACCTCCACGAACTCCCACTGAGATCGAGCGCCAACGAAGAATTAGCAATCCATCGTGGCCTTTCAAAAGTCCTGAACAAATTATGGCTCAGAAAGGTGAGCGTGAGAAGAACGACAGTCAGTCATCAGGGTCAAGACCAGTAAGCCGACCAGGAAGTGGGTATTCTACCAAGGCATTTCCAAGTCCCAGAATACCACCTCAGTACGGTCCCGAGCTGCAACCGCCAATGTACATTAATCCAACAGCTACACAGCTGTCTTCATCTGCTGCACCGGTGTCACATAACCGCGCCAAAAGCATGAGCGTGAGTGCTGGACTTGGCAAGATGGGACCACCGGCTCAATATCCTGCTATGCCACCATTTCGTCGGTCAATGTCTAGTAACAACCTGACTCCTATGGATGGCGACATAAAGCGTGAACTTGCCGGTCTGCGACAAGAATTCTTCAATCAGACCAGCACTATGTTGCCGACCCTGGGTCCTCACCCTATGCCACCTCCGTCGAGAAGTAGAAGGTCAACTATGAACAGTGCTGCTACACCACCAACAGTTGTTGCGCCTATTGCTCCACCTTCCCCAGAACTTCAGTCTACGCTTGAATCTCGACCAACAACTCGATCTGGTACACCCACTAACGATCGTCCTGTCCCAGATACGATAACATCGTGGCACAGTCATCCCGGATTCTGGGGTAAGATCGCCGCCTACTTCACTCACAAACACGACAGTGCAGCGACAATATACAAATCACCCTTTGGAGTCCTCTCGAATCCTGATCTCGCTACCACTGTTGCAGGAAACGAAGCTCTTGGAAGAATGCAAGGTGCAAGCACTATTGGTAACGACGGTGGATTAGCTGGTAGATGGCTCAGCGACCTCGAAGACTCTAGAAGAGACTTTGTCGAGAGTTGGAAGATCGATCACCCTATTGGCATGCGACCGTGAATACGACATGTTCTCGACACATTCAATCAATTTACGAAAGTACGATTTACTTTATGCCGTATGTTATCATGACGTCGCTGCTGCTGGGGTTATCACGAGAACGAGGAGCGTGAGAGCAACGAGCTGGTGCCAGAGCTATTGTAGAAGAGCCAAAAACATCAGGTATTACTGCGTAGCTAAAATCCTCAACAAGATAGGAAGTCGATCGCTTTTGAGTAGTGAATCGATGTGCATGGAGAAGAAAAGGAAAAGAAAGAAAATCAATAATGGTTTTTACCACCAAATCGCGTTCTTGTTCCCCTTTTTAGTTGACCATGTATTGCTGATGCTTTCTAGCTAAGACGTTATTCTGAGCCAAGAGAACTTGTGTTATGTACGACAGAGCATGAGAGTCTCTCACGGACCAGAATCCATGCAAGGGTAGGAGCGGATGAGTGTGGAGTGGAAGAAGGTGTTCGAGTGCTCTGTGCATAGGTAAGCTTGGGGGCTCGAGCTTTCTCTGAAGCGACTTCTTGTCCCCCTTCCTTTCCACGGCTTGTCCTACTGACACTACACCATGCTAAAGCTAGCTGAGATGAGGTCGTTCTCGGCCTGGAGTTCGTGATGCTAGGTATCGACCACTTAACCCCAGGTCTTTCAGTCTCGCAAAGGATATATCAACTCGAAAAGCTGAACCAGTCAAGTCAACGACGTACAAAGCTTGGACCAGAGCGACGTCGTACGCACCAATCAGTGGAAGAGGCGACACGATGCGAGGTGTGGACTCCTGTCTGTGCTCGCATCTGTGTGGATCTGCAGGACACAAGGACCCCTTGTCCAGCATCTGTGCACTGGTCTTATCATGGCGATGTTTGTGTCTGTGCAGAGCTCCGATGAGTGGAAGTGGGGAGCCCTAGCTGGAGCGACTCCCTTTGTGCCACCACCACGTGGCCATCACGATGCTAACCTTTGTGCAGTAGAGGGTCTTTGTGACTCATGGCCTCGAGGCATATCACATCCGGAAGTCTGCTCTTTCTCGTTCTCTTTCTCTCTCCTCCCTCGTTCTCCGTCGTCTTTCGAATGTCACTCCCGTACCTAAATTTTTGTGCGGAACAGCTAGCTCTCTCTCGACACATTTGGGCCACAACTAACCAATCGTGGTATATGGTCTTCACACTGCTTCTCTCATTGCTGGCAACGATGCAAGGACACGCCGCAGGCGTAGTACGGTCTAGCGCCAAGCGAGCACATTCGCAAGGACTCAAAGTGTGGTTGACACAGAAAAGCCAAGCTGCCGAGCTAAGGCGGCAGGAAAGGAAGAGAGAATTGGAGTGTTTGATTTGGCGAACAGGGTAAGTTTCACTGCTTCAGAGTCTGTCAGAAGTGTTCTGATGGTTGTTACAGCACATGAGATGTGCGAGAATGAGTCAAGTGTTACAGCGAATACTTGGAGTAAGCACACGAGCGCACTTGCCGTTCGCAATGACTGTGAATGAACACCTTCCATGCCGAGACAGGTGAATTGATATCGGCGACGAGCAAGCCACGGATCATGGTATCGGTTCGATCAAAGGTCGCCGCCTCCAACCTGGACGTTGTGCCGCGCAGAAGCAGTTCAGCACAAAATCGGAAAGACCTATGTCCTTGAGGAGTCAAAACCCGCTGGTGCTGCAAAGGTTGAAAGAAAGATTTCGGGGTAGTGAAGGGAAACATTGGAACAGTGGCATTGAATTTAACGGCCGTCCTTGAACAATTCTTGTACAGAATTTCGGTGTTTGGATATGCAAACGATATAACGATTAATCATTCCATCCAGGTTCTTGTGTTTCTTGATTGTCCGTGGGCACGTCGAAGATTTTCAATAAATGCAAGGGCTTAGCACTGAGCTGCTTTAGCCATGATGTGGGATGATAGCTTTTTTGGATGCGGTGATGTGGCTATGGTGGTATCCAGGTCGCAAGCCTGCCAGGGATACTAGAGAAGTTGATCACTGACATATGTGATGCTTGGGGTCGTGACTGCCTCACAGCGTCTGTTCCTGTCACGAACTCTACTCGGACCTGCCTCTCCTATCACCACACAACCTCTCCCACTTCTTTGGCTTGTTATATGGTCTAACCACTTTGCACGAGGTCATGTTACATGGAAGTTCTTACATTTTGATATTTCATGAATAGTAGCCTATTGCGATGACAGTGATGGACGCTATGCACTGTCACTTTTTTCTACCCTCTCAAACATAATGAGCCTGACTGCAAGTAAAAGAGCCCCCAACGGCACCACTATTATACTTGGTCATGATGTCTTGCACGCTTGCGTACGCACCACATCCGAGAATTGCCAACCCCATCGCAAAGATGATACCATTTACAATCGAAAGACTGATATTCTTTGTTCCTCTGTACCAAGGCCCTTCTTTGATTAACATGAACCAAAACATCGCTGGAAAGTAAAAGGTGAATCCACTGATGAAGAGGCTGGAGATGAGGCCAAGCAAGTCGTTGAAGAATGGAACAGCTTCAGCAATGATCCACGCAATTACTGTCACAATCGCACAAGCTGTGATCCATACTGACCACCCTGCAAAGGTATTGATGTACCTGATTGGAGAGTTCTTGAAGGCTCGATCGATCATGTAGCGGCATACTACTGTGGTATTGATGCTGCCGGAGATGAAAATGACTGGGATGGCAACACCGAAAGCGACCCTGGAGACAGTGAAGCCGGCTGACAATAGAGCAGGACTTTCAACATCGTTGCCAACGAAGGCATACACCAAAGCACCTGTGACAGTGTAGATGAAGATCTCGGACAAGCCGAGAGCCCATATGGATTTGACATAGTCTTTTGGCGTGTGCATTTCCGACATGAAGCTGAATTGGCAGACGGAGAAGGAGTAGGCGAAGATGATGTTCGTGACTGAGAGAAATGCGCCTTGGAAGCTAACATCAGCTGGTGGCCATACGCTCCATTCAACCGAGCTCAGACCGCCGCTTGATTTCCCAGCCTCGATACCTGTGGCCACGATCGTGATGCCGATAGCACAAATGATCGAAACAAAGTCAATGTAGCCCAGAATTGCAAATTCGGCAAACGTCGGTGGTAGCGCCACAACGAAGAGTAAGATGGCAGAGATGACACCCCATACTAGAGCACAGATAGTGCTTTTGTCGACGATTCTGATAAATGCGATAGTGCCAGTAAGGGTATGACCACCGACCAGGAGGACTAGAAGCAGAATGAACATGACACCAGTAATTTCTTTACCCCACCGCCCCAAGCAGAGACCAACAGCATCAGCGTAGTGTCCGACTTCAGGGTGTTGTAGCTTGACTCGGCCAACTATGTAACTGGTGTAGATAGCAATCAGACCGAGACCGACAGTCAAGATCACACCAGCAACCATACCTACCTCAGCAAAGACAGACGGTATGCTGAGAGAGCCAAGAGCAATAGCCTCGACGATCAGACATACTGTCAACTTCTTCCAACCTCTATAGTATATGGTCAGTAACACGACTTGCCACCATATGCTAGTAGAGAAACCTTACAATCGTTTGAATTTGGCTTCACCAGCTTGTATTGAGTCCTGATTGCTTCTTGCAAACTCGAGGTCGTCTTTCTCCTTGTCCCGCCTATCCGAATCCTTGGACGAGAATGACCGCATGACTGTAGATACTCTGTGAGATCGAGAAAGCCAGAGAGACTTCCCAACGAGGGGCCGTTGTTGATTTTTATGTTGTGGTCAAATATGAGAGATCAAATGAGCTGGCAAGAAGAAAAATACCGATAATAGAAGATATCGAGGACAGCGTTGATAAGCGCGAAACCTGAGCAGGATTATGTGACTATGCAAAGCATGACCAGTACTAGAGAGTGGGTTTGACTTTGTCCCCAGGCATAAGTGTGGAATCGACTTCCGCAACGACCGTGCTACTTTGCTCTTTCCATGCTAGCATTTTGGGTTTTGGAGTCAGGCGGAAGGAGCGATGGCAAACATCGGCGGTCAAGCATGGTCGCATCCTTCACGATCGAAACAGGATCAGACAATTCATAGCTGGTTCAATTGCTCTCACCCAATGCTGCTTCAGAGTGTGGCTTTGACTGAAGATATGTGCGCAGCGTAGCAGTTGACGAATAATTGCAATCGCTTCTGACGTAGACATGCATAAAAAGCAGAAGTTCAAAAGCATGGTTGCCGCCAAGGAGGAAGCCGAAAGCTTGATCCACTTTGGCATCGCTAGGCTCTCGTGCAGGAAACCATCGCCCCCTCACTTCAAAAAGTGCTAATGAGCTTGTGCTCGAGTATTAGTGCGAGAGCCGCTGACAGTGTGAGCTGCAAGCCTCTAGCTACTGTAGCTCATAGGCAGTAACTCTGCCGCTTCATAAGTTATGAACTATTTTGGATCTCGAATCATTTTCCATGGAGAAGGGTTGAGTGCCTGGCCTGAGCACGATTGGGTAGCCTTCGGACTTGCCTAAAAGAACTTGTTTTTGATCTTGTAGTTGACCTGACTGTAGATCTCCTGTCGTAACAACCAGCTCGGTCTATTCCGTGCAGATAGTGTTTCGTCAGATTGATCCGTGTATTCTTCTTAACTGATTGTGCTCATCAACCCAGCCTGCGGTGTAAGAATATCAGCATGATATGAGCACGATAGGATAGGATAGTGATCATACGTAGCAACTGCGGGAATGCAGCAAGAACAATCTTGCGTTACAACGCTCTACCACAACGTCGTTGTCCTCAAGTAGTACTACCACAAGAGTCCTCGTTTCTTCTTGATCCGGAGTACTCCGAGGAGATGGACCCACCGAAGTGCATCGGATGTGTTTCTGCTGTGCCACAGATTCCCAGAAGGAGAAACCGGCCCCACAAGCTGATGGGTGGCTAACCTGAATCATCTGACACTGCGACAGTATCGTCTGTGAACATCGAAAGGCGCATCAAAAGCTGCGATATGACTTGTCGCAAAGAGTGTAATCGGGCTCTGCGATTTGTTTCTACCGGATCGAATCTGTAGAAGATGGGCGAGTGAAAAGCCATTCGCAGATTTAAGTCTGATTCGACGAAGAAGCACGAGCGACATGGCCCTTAGCGCCTGTTTGAGCAACGTAGCCGACAACCGTACTACAGCAGGAAATTCACAGCGAGCCGCGCTTCATCAAGAACACAGTACTCGAGAAGCATCTTGGCTTGACAAGTTTTGTGTCATCCTCGCAAGAATAGATGTCTTATTCAATGTTGTTGTTCTCCGCGATCGAAGGTTGGTTCTTCGAGCCAAGTCATTGATTCGAGCAAGACCATGTTGGAAGCCCGAATCCGGCAACAGCTCCGCACTTACTCAAATAGGACATGACTTCTGATACCTGTCGATATTTATATTTCGACAGGTTCGACACAAAACCGAGATCACTGTCTTTCGGGTTCAAAACATGCAATGGACAATATAGAGAGTGGTGACAATTTCAGCAGCACGAACGGGCATGCCAAAGCCAGCACACCTAAACGATGTTTCGGTCTTAACAATTCCAGCACTCTATCAAGATTGAAGAGCCTGTGCTCGCAAGGAGCCGGGGGAAAAGACTTCCCCTACAGCTCAGCCATCGCCGAAAACATTCCTGTATACGATCTATCACAGTTTTCTGCTAGTGACAAGGAGTTAGTCTCTGCACTTCAGGACACATGGCACGAAGTTCTGCATAATGGTCCTGGTGTCTTTGTCCTCAAAGCATTTTACCCAAAGGACTCCCTCATCACTATCGATAAATCTAACGAGATATTTGACTCCATAATAGCAGCCGAAGCCTCATTGTCTCGTGGTGACCACTTTGCAGCTTCGGAAGCAAACAGTCGTATATGGAACTCTCTGCAAAAGCATGCGTTAACCGATCCAGCGTCCTTCCTGGCATACTATTCCAATCCCTGGATCAAACACGTCTCAGAAGCTTGGCTAGGTCCAGACTACACCGTGACTGCACAAGTCAATATCGTCCGACCTGGCGGCAAGCCGCAAATGCCCCATCGGGACTATCATCTTGGCTTTCAGACCGCCGAGCAATGTGCAAGGTGGCCCAAGACGATGCATGCCGTATCTCAATTTCTGACGTTGCAAGGTGCTGTCGCCCATAGTGATATGCCACTTGAGTCTGGGCCCACAAGATTCCTGCCCTTCAGTCAACTCCTAGAGGAAGGGTACATGGCGTGGCGGACCGATGAGGTCAAGGACTATTTTGCAGACAGGTGGGTCAGTCTGTCGTTGAACAAGGGCGATGCAGTCTTCTTTAATCCTGCACTACTACATGCCGCTGGCGAGAATGAGACAAGTCCAGGCCCAAATGGGGTCGACAGAAGCGCGAACCTGTTGCAAATCAGCAGTGCCTTTGGGAAAACAATGGAAGCGATCGACCATGACTCCATGGTAGATGCGTGCTGGGATGAGCTAGCTCAGTGCATGAGGGAGGAGACTTTGGACGCGCTCGAGATTGAATGTGCGGTACGAGCTATGACTGAAGCTTACCCTTTCCCAACGAACTTGGATCGACGTCCACCTGCACCGGGTGGCATGGCGCCAGAGAGCCAGACAGATCTTGTGCTGAGATGCCTGAAAGAGGGTAAATCCAAGCAGGAGGTCATGCAAGTCCTGAAAGAGTACAAGGAGAGTTCTAGCGGTTAAGCCACTACCTCGGAACGTGGCCCCAGTCACTGACAGGAACAATCAATGTATCAATATCGGCTTAATAACCTCCGTTTTCATGTCCTCCAACGCCTGAGCAGCATCCCTCGCATCGTAGAACTTGATGAACTTGTCAAACGGAAATTTGCCCTCTTTATGCCACTGTATCATTCTCGGCACAAACTCTTTCGCCAGACAGTCGCCAAGAAAGTTTGTTTCCATTCGTTTCGTGACGTGGAAGAAGTCTTGCATGTCGAGAGGAATGCTGCTCGTCGCATTTGTTATGGGTATACCGATCTGGATCAGCTTGCCTCTTTTGCTGAGAGCTTTGATTTGAGCGTTAATCACGGGTAGGACACCAGTTGTGTCGATTGCGTAGTTGAGTTTTCCGTCCGGAGCGATGTTCTTCAATTTGGCGGCCAAGTCAGTTGCGTAAGAGTCACTGCTGATGTCCAGTCCACTTGTATTGTAGGTATGTGTGGCACCAAGCTCTTTAGCTATTGCAAGCCTACTGTCAATTCGATCAACAGCAATTATCGCGCGACATCCCTGAATCTTCGCCGCCATGATTGCAGCGAGTCCGACCGCGCCCAGTCCTGTCACAAGCACGACATCGCTTGGTTTTGCTGCAGCGACGTTGATTACAGCACCACTCCCAGTCATCAACCCGCAGCCCAAAGGACAATACTTCTTGAGATCCTCCTCATTATCCGCCAAGCCCTTCACATTAACAATGCTCTTCTCATCCACAACACTCAAGCTAGCAAAACTGCTCTGTCCAAAGAACTTCCCGCCAACCTCCTTGCCGTCCTCAGTTGTCCAGACCTTACTGACACACCCTATATTCTCCTCATTGAACTTTTGACAGTATATCGGCATACTATCTGTACACAGGTCACATTCACCGCAGTAAGTATAGCTCAGGAGGACTGGATCACCGACTGCTACGGAAGTGACTCCGGGACCAACTGCTTCCACGTAACCAGATCCTTCGTGGCCGAGGGCGCTGGGATAGCTCATGGCCTCTGCGGGCAGACCTCCTACGTAGACGTCGGTGTGACAGATTCCAACAGCTATGATCCGCACGAGGACTTCGCCTGCTTGTGGCCTTAACTGACTCAGGGTCAAGATTTCGTGCTTGAGGGTTGGCTTGCCAGGTTCAGCTGGTGGGTAGGCCACCACGGCTGTGACGGATTGAGTCTGTGTGGTCATGGTGCTGTGCTTCGACGTGTGATTCGGGGAGCGTAGAGGGGACACGACTTGTCTCGGACTGTTCCCTAGTTTGTGTCTATGTACTCTTATGGAGCTTAACAATTGTGGTCTAGAGTGCTGGACTGAGAACGACGGATGCCAAGGAAGACCCAGCTAACGACCCGTTTCCCGAGCAGATTTGATCAACGAGGGCGAGGGATAATTAATCGTGGCGGAGCGACGTCGTCTCGAAGGTTGGGGTCTCTCTATACAATATCAGTTCGCCTAATGAACATTGGTAGGACAATGCGGGGATCCGATAGAATTGATCATATTGTACATATGAACCGAGAACCGAAACGAAGTCTAACGGAAATCTCCTCAAATTGAGGACTGAACGTGGCTGACATGACACGAGAGTCTCGATTCGGTGGTGGTGTCGCTCTGACCACGACAGTTACGTTGTGTTGAGTCTACCTCATTCGCCAAAGTTCCAGCGATACTTCTGGGTTGGCCATCTGCTATTTGCTCACGGTGAGGCCATAACGTTCAGAAGGCAGTCAAATAGGAGGTTCCAGGGTGTTTGAAACTCATATCACGAATCTCGGTGCCATCAAGATAATTCGTGTAGTGCTGTAGGGTAATCTACGAGGTCCTCAAGATCGATCTCTCGTCAACAAATTCGGGGGAGTGCACTATGTGAATTTGACCTGACCGTGCAGTAGACAGCGCATGAAGCCGCATATTGTGCTCGAGTTGTGCTGTCGGATTCAAGGTGAAAAAGAGACAATGCATCACAACGCAACGCGTATCGTGGGGATTGACGCGCTGGACAGCTTGCTGCCTTGGCGCTAGGGCATATGTCGGGCGTTGACATTTCTATATCTCCCCGGAATCCTAGCCCCAGATGCAAACAGATGGATGTATTCACCAAGCATCCTGCAGCAGAGGCGCTGATGGTTTTTGTGGAGGTTGATAAGTAGTGAGGTATTCGTTGGCTGACACGGCGCCTTCTACCCGAAGCACTCCTATGAGAAAGAATAAATACACAAACGATGAAGTTGAGCGAATACGCCGTGTATCTCGGAGTAGCAGTGGACACATGCCTTCTCAAAGGCCGTAATGACTATGAAAAAGTTGCGAACAGAGCAAGAACAAAAGCGAGCTTTTCGCGATGACCCGGCACAGGACCCTTATTTTGATTTGACAGTCATATCTTCCCAGGCTCATCTACCTCCCCATAACTAGAGACTATCGACCATCCTTCAACGTCCAGTTCCTCATCTATTGAGCTTCCACTCAGTACGTCGTCTTTGTCGTCTTCCTTCTCCACCATATCGAACGACTTGATCACTTTCTCCATCGAGTTGCGCCGCACCTGTGACCTCTCCGAGACAGTGCGAGTATGTGCGCACTCGATCGCAAGTCTAATTGCTCGAGCAGCAGCTCTTTCGGCAGCCTCTTGCTTCCTCGCCTCGTACTGGCGCCTTTGTTGGTCGAAGATTGCGTTCCTTGTGCTAACGCAGGCACGAGCAGTAACGTCTGGAAGGTCTGGCTGATTCTCAGCGGAAACACGTTGAGCTGGATCATGTTGAGAGAGTCTGGCATAGAGTGCTGCTTCTCGTGGAGTCGAGACGCTCGTTCCAGCACTTTGTGGAGCAAGGTGGGTTGAGCGTGTGGAAGGTCTCTCGTGAGATGCTGTCGTGTCAATGCGCTGCCCGCGTGAATTCGTGTGGTACAGCTGACATCTTTCTCGGAATGAGAGCTCAGACTCGCATTTGCTGTCTGACACGGGACCCTTCACCAGTGTTTGAGGTTGTCGTTGGTTGTCTTTCTGATTAGCCATGTCAGGTCGAGATGGAATGCAATTGAGCAAACGAAGATCCTTGAGTGAAGATGAATTAAGAGAAATTCTCTTTAACGTTGCGAGGTCGATAGAAATATGAGCCCAAAGACTAGGCTGAGGTGGATCGCTTCGGAATATGGTATGTTGTGTGCTCGAACGTTGTGATGGCATCACGTTGATGTATATATCACTTAGAGTCACATCACATGTCTGAGTTGCGCAAGTATTCTTGAGGACCTGGCGAAATGCTTGGTGGACCAGACTCGAGCAGATGTGAGCAATATCCACACTGGAGAACCAGAACCAGCGCATCTGCTATCTCAAAAGGTGGTCGTCTCGGCAAGCTGGGATTGAATGAAGAACGACATGTTCGCGTCAACCGTCTCAAGCTCGAACACGAATGCTGAGGGACCTTCTCAAGATACTCGTCTTGATCGCCCAAGACTGTCGCCGTACTGAAAGCGATCTTCTCAAGCCAGTATTGGGGTTGGAAGAAGGAAGTTTTTCCAGCTTCTCGTGTAAAACTGAGTCTTCGTTCGATACGACTGACGACGATCGAGCTCCTGTGATTATTTTGCTGTTCATTTGTTCGCTCACATTGACCGAAACTGGGCCGCCGAGGCCGATGATGCGGGACAATTCCTCAACCTCTGTATGATCTCTAGAATTTCTCATTCGGTGACACCACATGAGCTTCCAGTCTTCAGCCTGTTCCTGCCACTCAAAAAGAAACTCGCCGCCATTCGTTTTCCAGCTCCCAGCACCTCTAACATCGCCTTCTGGTATCCTCCTCACACCCTGCATAATGCTTGCGAGCATGTTCTCCGCGAGCGATCTCCGGATATATCCTGGATTGTGATCGCCCATACTCAGGCTTTTATGCATACCCAGTGCTTCATATAGTTTGGTAGAAGGATCCGCATACATTGCCCACGATTCAGGCATGTTCGTGATGGCACGGTATGAATTGATTAGCGACGGTGTACCACAGCCAATGATGACTAATCTGAGCTTATGTTCAAGCAGACTTGCCTCGGACAGAAGCCGATGAGCTGCTAGGCATCGAATGTACTCCTGACAGTTACCACAGAAGAAATGGCGGACAAAGATAACAAGGACACGATGCTGACTCCGGAGCGTAGAATTTTGTTCCGATCTCCTATCACAAGAACACGAACGCGAAATCGTCGAAGAATTGCAAGATTTGTCGTCCTTGGAGGCCGTCACGTCGAGAACATCCTCGAATGCAAGCTTCCTGCCATCGGAGTCGAAGATCGGCAACTTCATCACTGCCCTTGCGTCTGATATCGTTCTGTTTGTAGAGTATCCCATCGTGACCTTGTGCACGTTACGGGGTAGAATCCGTTCAAAATATGTCGGTAGAATCGCGCTTCGGAGAAGGAGTGCTCGATCAATCCTTTTCAAGTAATCTAGAGGTTATATGACTCGAGAGCGACCACCTTAGCCTTACAGCTTCCGTCTCGAAATATGGAATTGCCATCCTGAGGCGCGGGAAGTTTCACATCCGACAGTCGACGCTTCCCAAGTGTTACAGCAGCGTTCCTTGAGCGGTGTGGTCGAAACGTGGAAAGTACGGCCAATAGTGTATGGGAAAAGGTCGACCGAACGTCGGGGGTGGCAGGCGCTAAGATGAAACGGAACAAAACACGCACCACATTGGACAGGTGGATTGCACATCGATACCAGATATGGTAGGTAAAGACCGGAAAGGTTGCAAGTCTGGCTCAGTCGAGGATAGTGCGATTGACGAAATCAATGACTGGCTGGTTTGGGAGGAATTTCAGCCGGTGAGATCACAGATGGCTGTCGCGTAAGCCGAAAGAAGCCATCATAAAACCTTGACAGACGTGCCCCACAATTCAAGAAGTGGCTCGTATTCGTAAATCATTGACAGGCGATCAAAGACAGACACGATTCATGTTGATTACTTTGTAGTTTGTTTTAAAGCTGCTCTATCTAGCAGCTCTTAAGCTGAGAGCTCGTATGTGCTGGGCAAGGAGCGACTGTCTGTATCAGTATCCCAGAAATCAAATCCAAATCAAATCAAATCAATATGCCTCCCCTTTTTGTAGCTCCATGGCTCTATTATGTGGACCGCCTCCTCCCCTCCAAAACACCATTCTCCTAAACTCCGTCTTATGCTCATAAAGCACTAGTAAATTGTGGTTGTGTATGTGCTGGTTCTGCCTCGAACCATTGATTAGGGTCGAACTGATCTTGCTCCTGGAACAGCATGCCAACTTCAGGGCTATGAGAAGTGGTAGGCATCGGATACATCATTGGACCGTCCATAGCCAACGAGGCTGGGATAGTGGTGTGCAATGGTGACATGAGCGGTGCAGGCATAGAGAAGCCGTCAAGATCAGGTATCGCGCCCATGGTAGGACTCGCGACGCTGCTAGACATAGGCAGAGCGCCGTGTCCACTATATCCCATGTTGGATGATAGTGAAAGGTCTTCAGAATGAGGAGACAGTACGTCAAAACCTGAGTTGGCTGGCAGAGTTGGTAGACCCATGTGACCATCCGGCTGAAAGGTGAGGTCTTGCCAACCATTGGGACCGTCGTTAACTACCATTGCGTTGCCGGGTTCGAGGTAATTTGACCCGAAAGGACCGTAATCAAAGTTGTCATTGAGGGCTGCATCGTTCACACTCTGTGCCGCTCCATTCAAGCCGTTTGCCGCTCCAGCATACATTGTAGGCGGAAAGGCAGGCATCGGAATTTGAGAGAGTGATTGGGGTACAGGTGTGTCGGTGTGTCGCATAGGGTACGCCAAGAAGTAGTTGCCTGTATTGGTGGATGGAAAGGCTGCCTGGAAGTTGCTAAAGTCTGGCTGCATAGGCAATCGAGTGACGGCGAACTGTGGTTGGCCTCCCATGCACGACATCTCCTGAGGCACGCTTGGTTGGAAATGGGTGAAGTTTGTGTCAATAGGTCCCTGTTGAGAGATGAAGGCGGCTTGCTGCTGTACATAGTTCCGCGACACTTGATTGTTGGGATGTTGAGGACAGAATGCACAGGCGCATGCGGCGCCACAGTTACAGCCATGAGTCGAAGCTAGTTGAGCGTGACGGACGCTGCTGACATTTGCGCCGTTTGTAGCATGCTGGTGCGACATCAGACCTGCTCGGATTTCCTTGGCGACAACCTGCTTATGTGTGCAACATCCGCCAGTAGCACTTGGCTTGGCCTGTGAAGGAGAGGTTGGTTCGATTGTGGTAGAAGATCTCCTTGAATGATTGCTGGCGGGACTTGAGACCTCAGCGTGCTGAGCTTCCTTCTTAGCTCTTCTTTCTGCTGCCTCCTCTGGCGATAACATTACTCCTTTGAGATCGGTGTCGACAGGACGATCAACCACCCATCGCTCTTCAGACATGGCCTGGAGCTTGACCAGAAACCACATTCGAACTACGCATGAGCATTCTCGAGCGCATTTGCAGTCTCTTTTGGTGCAAGAACAGTCCCTGGGACAGTCACACAAAATCTTCTTCGGAGCACCGGCTGCAGGTCGGCCAGGAGCATGAGTAGGCATCATAGGACGCGAGATGGCATGGTTGCACGACCCAACTCGATGACCAAGCTTGCACGGTGCGCAAGCCCAATTCTTCCCATCAATCACAATGCCAGTCAGTTTGTTCTTGACTGACTTGTTCGCAGTGCCAGACTCTGTGCCGCTGTTTGACTCTTGTTCAAGCTGTCGTTCTACATTCTCCTTCTTCAGTGTAGACTTCTTTCCGCCCGAGGCCTTTGCTACCTTACCACCGTTACCGAGCCCCATATTTTCCTGAGTTTGTTTCTCTCTGTATTCTGCTCTTTGCCATGCCACAGGTATGGTATTGATGTGAGAAGAGAAAGGAAGAAAAGTTTCGTGGGTGCTGGATTGAAGTAAATGAGCGGCGCAGATCCTCTGAGCACTTTGGGCGCACTAGCAATGGCTCACATGAATCCGAATGTCAACTTTCGCATCGTGGTTACCATTCGAACAGTGCTAGAATTCCCGCTTGAGGGGCAGGCTTGAGTGTAGCATGTGGGATCAGCCAGTGATTAGACGCAAAATGGCCAGGCTTTGGAGGTCATTGAAGCACGCTAAGATTGCTCGTGGTTTAGTCAGGTACAGGCTTGGCTGCGGCCAGTGTTTAGCCTACAAACTTTAGTCTCTGGCCTCAACGACTGCCTTCTCCTTCTCCATGCACGACCCATCGAACCAAAGAGTCGGGAACGTTCAAGGTCGGGCTATGAACGTCAATGGCTCTCATAGTCAAGGACAAGCAAGACATCAGCCTGAAAGAGTCATAAAATCCCCTCAATGGTTCAGTCTTCCTCCGGCTATTCGCCAGCTCTTCTCATTGTTCCCTTTGATCACCTACGATGAGAACGAACTACCACAGAGAGTTCCAAATTCGAGACACCATCATACACTCCACATCTTCACGATCAACGGTCATGAGCTGTCGCCAAATCCTGCCTGCTTGAAATGGCAGGCGTACCTATTGGCTAAAAGAATTCCGTTTACGGTCGTGTCTGCGAACAACCATGCCTCTCCGTCTGGCGCCTTACCTTTCCTGCTACCTGCGCAGAAATCGAAGAAGGAGCCACAACCACAAGCCATACCCTCGTCGAAAATTCAGAGGTGGGCAGAGTCACAAGGCGCAAAAGAGGAAACGCTACCTATTCAACTTGAGGCTTACATGGCCTTGATCGACCAGAATGTGCGTAATGCCTGGTTATACTTTCTCTATCTACGGAAGGAGAATTTTGAAGCCGTTGCGAGGAGACTCTATGTGGAGACTGCTTCTAGCAACACTATGGTGCAAATAAGCCTGGCACACCAACTGAGGTCGGCGGCCCAAGAGCAGCTACTGCGCACAAGAACCCACATTGACGAGGAGGAAATATACGAAGCAGCAGACGCAGCTTTCAAGGCGTTGGCTACTGCGCTTGGTGACGATTCCTTCTTCAGCAAAACAGAGTCGCCAAATATCTTCGATGTGACGCTGTTCTCGTATACACATCTATTGCTAAGTTTTGGACGGTCATCGCAGCAGAACTCTTTGTCTTGGCAGGACTCAACATTACTGGACCTTCTGTCGCGACATGAAAAGTTACTCCACCATCGAAAGCGTGTTCTGCACTTCTGCAATGGAGATGACATGACTCAGTCGACTCCTTGATTGCCCACACTGTCTCACATGGACAAATCAGAAGTCACATGCTTTCAGTCGCCAGTTGAAGGACATATGGTACGTCCTATCGACCTAGCAGAATTCATGGCAAGTATGGCCTTCAGACATATGACCGTATTTCGCTGCAAAATTCACGTGTGGACCTTCTGGCTAGGAATAGTTGATTGCACATGCTTGGAGCTGAATGGAGGTTACGACAGGATGCGGATTCGAATTCCTGAAATGCTGGAGCATGATGACGCGGTTCGATCGTTGTAACAAAAGACCTACCTCTACATGGAGGTTGAGCGAGCACACTCGGGAAGTACCGAAGACACTCGCTAAAAGTCAATACTGATTACAGCTTCATGGACAGTCTTGCGCTGTGCAATTTGTCTCAGGGCGACGCGCAACAAGGCCGCCAATTTGTATTACAACCAATATCAACTATTTCGACGCTGTTACTGCATCGTCCATCTCGTTCTCTACAGGGTTGGGCCTACTTCCAAAGCTCTGAATTTATTATTCAATGTGATACGGTAGACACGCCCTATTGTAATGTAGCACATACCTCAAAACACATCCTCACGTCTTCTTCCAAAGTCCACCAAACCACACAGTCACGCCGACCCACTTCTTCCCCCGTTGACCCAATCTCTCCGCCAGCGTCTCATCAACAGCCACTTCCTTCACCCCCTCTTCACCATCACCACCAACTAACTCCAACCCAGCCGCCTCCGCCGCCATCACAACATCCTCCACTGTATGCGCATAACTCACCGGTCGGATCTTATCTCCCGTCTTCGGATCCACGAACCCCGCCTGGCTGATCTTCCCCATCTGCGCATGCATGTTCGTGCACAGAAGCACACCGCCTGGCCTGAGCATGTTCGCACATGTCTCGAAGAAGATCTGCGTGGTGGGTATGTGCTCGAGGACTAGCGTTGACACGACTAGATCAGCTCCTTTTGCTGGTGCGGGTGCTGCGGATTTGGACGTGATCATGTCGTATGTTTCGAACGTGACTTTTTGCTCGATTGTGGTGTCGGATTTGGTAGTTCTTTCCCTCCTGCTCCTGCTCTTGGATAGGAGGTTGTCGTGACATGCGTCCTGGGCGATCTGCATCATTTTGGGTGATAGTTCTAGGCCAATGATTTCGTGGATTTCGTGGATTTCGTCTGTGTTGAGGAGTTGGAGGGTATTTCTGCCTGTTCCACAGCCTAGGTCGACTGCTTTCCATGGTGGGTATTTGGAGGAGTTGTCTGCGTTGAGGAGTCGGATAGCGGTGGGCAGGAGTGTCTTCATCTCGATGGTGTCTAGTGCTTGGAGGAAGTTGCCGTCGGTGTCGTAGACTTCTGACCAAAGATCATATGCTTCTGCTGTTGAGAGATACTTGATCTGGCCGCTTACGCTTGCGTCGTTTTTGGCCTTGGTCAAGATTTCCTGTTCTGGAGGAACGTCTGCCATTGTGTTGTCACGGGTCTGAGCAATGGTGTTCCTGAATACTGTGCAGGTCACTTGCTGTATACGTGCAATGTAATTATGTTAGGATACTCCTGTCAGTGGTTTTCTGGGTGAATGTGTAGGCATAATTGTTTTGAGGTCGGGCCATGCATGCACCACGATCGACATGACTCATACAACGCAAATGGTAGGAAGAAGAAAGAGTTACATTTCCGCCTAGATGACTTTCATCTTGTTCATCTTCACTAGCGCTGTCACAGGGTGCTGGTCAGTGTTGACCTCGCTGCTCTTGGGTGCACGCTGACCATGAATATGTGTAGTGGTGTTATTGGTGAGAAAGGTGGTACAGGTGCAGTCACTGCCTCAGCGGCCAGCGCCAAGAATGAATAAATTTGTGTCGACATTGCTCTCAGATCGAGCCTACAGAGATGCTGCTTTTGTCCAGCCTAATTACCATGAATGTGGAAGACGAATCTTCACAGAGATACCACAGTACATCTACCAGCTCGAAGTGGGCCAAGAAAGGGCGACAGAGCCGCGACTCACTGCACCTAACGTGGATATGAACCTGAGCAGCGTATAGTAATTCAGTCACAGACACCTGCTTCAAGCAGATTGCCTTTCCGCATGCAACGCCATCTATGTAGTAATACGCCGGACCATCATCGGGACCTTTGGTGGCTACAAAAACAGTGTACGTTCGCTCATTAGATGCAAAATTCATCCGGTCGTCTGAACACCATCGTCCCGTCCAAATCAAACATTGAAACCCTTCTTACTTGAGTAACCGACACATTTCGCTTTCCTGGTTATACATGATTCGTAAGTCGATCGAAGGACATAGCCGAGATACGACGTGGGTCATCGAGAACTGGCAGGCCTGTGCTCTCTCATGTCGTACGTAGCAGCACAGGCTGTCCTTGTATGGGTTACTGAAAACCATCACTTCTCTGTCCTTTCCATTTTCTTACAGTCGTTTCAGCTTTTCCGGAGCTCATTCACGATCCAACTCCGAATGGTCCACTGCCCTCACTCAAATCTTCCACGAGATCCTGCACGTTGCTCAGATACTTGCTCAACATTTCCTGCTTGTCAGTGGTAGATCTTGTCTGCCCATCTCCCTTTATCTCTGTGTCGATGTGGACAGTGCTTTCCCTCCTCCTGTCCCTGTCGAAGGCAGCAGCAATTTCTCTCCCTCTTCCGCCGAGGACAGCTGTATTTGTTGCACTAGTGACCACGTGCTTTGGTGGTGCAGTTTCTGGCATAAGGTAGAAGTAAAGGAATTCGACCAATTTCATCTTGACTTCGCGGCTCGTGGAGCGAGATTTGAAAAGAGAGGTGATAACGAGTAGACCGTCCAGGGTTTCGAAAGTGCGGGTGTTGCTTGGCTGATCGAGGAGAGAGGTTACAAGGGCGAGCAGAGTTGTCGATTGTATTGCGGGACAGTTTTGTGGGTCAAGAAGGTCGAGAAAGAGCTGCGAACGTCAGTCTGGTGATATTCAAGGATGGGTGGTTTCCTCACGTTCATGTATATTTCTCTGGCAAAGAGTTCCCTGCTTGGTGGATGTAATAGCAGCACTCCTTGAATGAGCTCCAAGGTCTGTATAACCAACAGGTCGTTTGTGCCATTGCTTTCTTTCCCCAGTAGTCTCTCCAGACAGCTGATCAGTCGCATACACACATTCCACTGAAAGCCTTGTTGCAGTTTGAAGAACTCTCTATATGCTGGATCACTGTGCAGGTCTTTGAGCTTCTTAGGCGGGGTGGTGGTTGAATTCGACCCTAAAGCCAGCATAGAATGCCGCTTGTTTAGAGGCTGTTGAGGCTTAGACATGCATATCTGTGCTAGTAGGCCTTCGACCTGTCTTAGACCTTTGCGAATCTTTTGTGGTGATGCGGAAGAGAGGTAGTCGAACGAGTGGGAGAGAAGGGTTTCCATCGTCCTGGCAGCTTCGAACTTTCTGCTGTTTGTTGTTTGACTTCAGCTATGCTTCCACTCTCTGACCTAAGTAGCCCTGTGTACGTTCACGTACTAAGAATACGATAAATGGGCGTGGTGTTTCAAGCTCTAACTGGAGACTTGCTCGATTGCGATCGGTCGCACTTTCCTATCTCGATCCTAGTCAATATACGCTAAGCGTAGCCCAGCAACACTTCGATGACCCCGCCATGAACGCCCACTGCCGGCACTACGGCTCGATACAGCGTCCTCGACGTCATGATGAAACAATATTGGGCAAAAAAACAGAGGCATGTGATCGCTGATGCAGGCACAGAAGTTCAGATGGATGATAATTCGTGCGCAGTTGTGTCTGCGGTCGACGGAAGGGAGTCCCTGCTTCGTATTACTCCTCTCGAATCTGTGCTTGTGTCGCGTTTCTCAAGTCGACGTCTACCATCTTCAACATTTGTGCTCAAGATCCATCAAGCAGATAGCTAAAACGTTCAGATTTGTGTTTCAGCATCCTCCGTGCAAAGCAATAAGTGTAGAGCAAGTACTTCGGATCATGCACAGATCCTAAACTGTTCAAGTGCCAAGGTGAATCCATCTGCCTGCGGCTACACGTCAACACTCGGGAGATAGAAGCAGTGTACAGCCGCACCACTCCGACCTTTTAAGAACTTTACTTATCTTCTGTGACCATGACCCCTCCCTCACTCGACAACCCATCGTCACCGAATGCAATACCGGCACGATCAAGCTCGGCAGGCTACATCCACGCAGTACACCACCAAGCATCTAAACCTGTCCTGGTACCCCTGCCTGAAGAGACTTGGATCAGCAACAAATCCGTGCCTGGCATGCATCAACCTCAAATAGCTTCGAGTCCGCCACTGGCAGGAGGTGGCTCGTCCTCGGATTATCCTCTAACCAACGGTAGTCCTGGAATTCAAACACATCGGCATAGTAAGAGGAGTTCACGGCCTGACAACATAATGGAGAAAAAGCGACCTGGAGAATGGTCTATAGAGAAAGAGAAGATAATAATGGGACCGTATGACTACCTCTTCTCGCATCCGGGCAAGGATATTCGAAGCGCAATGATAGAAGCCTTCAACGTCTTCCTCAAAGTGCCTCCGTCCTCGCTGAAAGTAATCACGAAAGTTGTCGGCATGCTGCATACCTCGAGCTTGCTGATAGACGATGTCCAAGATAATAGCATACTCCGAAGAGGCGTGCCAGTAGCTCACAATATCTTCGGCACGGCACAAACGATCAACAGCGCGAACTACGTTTACTTCCTGGCCATGCAAGAGCTGCAACACCTGGAACATAAAGAGGACGCGATGCACGTTTTTATCTCTGAATTGCTCAACCTCCATCGCGGCCAGGGTATGGATCTTTATTGGCGTGATACTCTCACTTGCCCGACTGAGGATGACTACCTCGAAATGGTTCAGAACAAAACTGGCGGTCTGTTTAGACTGGCGATCAACTTGATGCAAGCTGAGTCGCCGGAAAGAGGGAGGATAGACTGTGTACCACTGGTCAATCTGATGGGTCTGGTCTTCCAAATCTGCGATGATTACCTGAATTTGAGCTCCAGCATCTACACTCAGAACAAAGGCATGTGCGAAGACCTGACCGAGGGCAAATTCTCATTCCCAGTCATCCATTCGATACGCGCGAATCCAGGAAACCTACAATTAATCAATATTCTGAAGCAAAGGACACATGACGAGGAGGTAAAGCGATATGCAGTGAAATACATGGAGAGTACGGGCTCATTTGAGTACACCCGCAAGGTGGTCCGGGAACTTAGGAATAAAGCTTTGGCAGTAATAAACGAGCTTGATGCAGATACGGGACGTGGTGCTGGGGTCAGGAAAATCCTAGACAAAATGGACATTGAAAAGCCAAGTCAAGAGCAAGTTGGACAACATGAAGGGAAAAATTGACGGCTCCCTGGAGGACGCTGCATCATGATCGAGAAGAATGTAATCTTTGTCGGAACACGGAAGGATTTTAGCAATGCTGAATTGTCAGGTATAGTCACCGTTTCAGTCACGCAAGATCTTCACTCAACCAAGCAGATGAACGTCGTCGCAATACATTGTCCTCGTAAGTCGATCTGTCGAAACAGTAGTAGTAACCTAGACAACGTGAATGTCAACAGAATCGCTGAAACAAAATCATTATAGCCATTGCCCGACCAGTCCCTCCTCTGCCTTGCCCAGAACTGGATCACATTCGGGCTTCGGCACAGACCACACTCTTTCATACTCCCCGACATGCTCTCCACCCTTCGCAAAGTCCCAGTTCTGTTCTGTCGGATATGCACCCATCATGGTAAATCCATCAAGGTGAATCTTTCTCAGCGCCTCTCTCGGATCATCAGCTTCAATACCATGCCCACTACCAGGAGTCAGCAGCGCAAAGGATGCCGGCGTAGTATCATGTGTCTTATGCGCTGTGCCAGCCGGTAGTATAAAGACATCCCCAGCATTAGCTTGTAACTCTACGCCTCCTTCCTCCCTGCCTGAGCCGTGAGTGCTCTCTTCGAGGTCAGCAGAGGTATCGCCGACACCAAATCGGATCGTCGCAGAACCGGTCAACACGACCATGCACTCGTGAGCTTCGGAGTGGTAATGTGATTCTTGTGTGGGACCGTAACGGAAGATCCACTGTGTTTTCCAGCCGTTGCTCAGGAAGAGGTCGTAGACTTTGGCGGCGTCGCATTCGCCGGGCGCTGCGAAGATGCCAGGGTAGTGGAGGAGGGCGTGCTTGGAATTGGGCATGAGAGGGGTGGGTGGAAGGTCGTATTTCCGAACTTCGACCATGGTGGTGGCTGGTTGTTAGTGTATGTATGTGGTCAGCAATGTAGTGTGCAGGTGTTTCTGCGACAATCAACAATATCTTCCTCGAACGTTTGTTTCTCTGGAGAAGTTCGTCCCGAGGCATGACACCTCAAACATGCTTTTATGGCGGAAATGTCCTTGTTGAAATCATCGGCTCGGACGAGGAGCCGATTCTGAGGTCTCGAAACGCATCGTGTGTACGTATTCACTTGACATTGATCTTAACATAAGCTACGATCTTGTTGAAGGAACATCGTCGGTCTGGCCACTATCGGCAACTCGAGGCTGCAGCGAGGCATACTGAGATGCCGAGGACACAGTCCTGCTGATCGTGCAGGATTCTCGAAATCCAACGTATTTGCAAAGAACGTGTCGAAGCAACGGCAGTTGGTGCCGAAAATGCATTGTTGGTTCGATCGGTTGGTAAAAGCACCTCTTTACTGTGCCGTAGCCTGTGATTTGAAGGTCACTGCTTATGAGCTTCAACTTGATTGCTCGGCCGCTACGTACTGATGGCCACTTTCATGAGCTTGTTACTGGCAGAAGAGGGACACCAACTTACTGCAAACAGCTTAAGTCAAGACCAAGCAAATACCCTAGAAGAAACGAATGGGTATACATCGTCGACAAGGCTTGTGCAACAGAACAATGCAAAGATCAGTCTTGGTGAAGAAGACATGCAGTCAAGCCCACTTTGCAAGCAAACGGTGCTTGAGTCGCTGCCACAGGTGCCAATTTCCTGAGAAAAGAACGAGATATATGCTTCACAACCAGACCAAGGTGCTCGCGTAGTAGCGACAGTAGACACAATAGACTCCTGAGTTCGAAGGTCCGCAAGCACGCATGCTGACGCGATTACAGAAGACTGATAATATCGACTGACTATACAATCGTTTCTTGCCGCAATGAATTAGATCGATACAATCTAGATTACCTTGGCGGCTGTGTTGCTCGATTTTCGGGAAGCCTTCTCCAGCGAACTCTGACTATCCTATCTTCACCGAATGCCTTCGTCGTCCCATTCAAGCTGAGTACAAGATACTGTCCATTGTGCTCGTCCACGATCTTGCACAATCTGCGCTGCGTATCTCCTAACATGTTTGCCCTGTTCGCGACTTTCATGTGATGCATCAATACTGGCCCTTTCGAGTCTCCTGCCTCGTCGAGGTAAAATTGACCAGTGTAGGCAAGATAGTCTCTTTTGATTTGTGACCGGTCTTCCTCATTACTTGATGATAAAGATGACTCTTGATCAAGAGTAAGGATTTGTGCTGACATATAGCCGTCTGCGGTGTACATTATTATGCCCTGGGCATCTTGACCTTGCGGGTATACCTTGTCCGATTCGTCATTTGGCAGGTATGCGCAATACTCGATGAGCTCCCAGGCACCAACGAGCTGCTCACGCAAAGATTTGGACATGTTGGGTGAGGAACAATTGGTGCCGATGCAGAGGAAAAGCTTCGACAAGAAACAGGCGGCAGCAGAAGCAAGGAGTACAATTCGATGTGTGGGGGCTTGCAACTTAGAGTGTAATACTCCTGATATCGGCAATTGAACATTCCGATGATTCTCAGGCAAACCCAACGAGGCCGAACTGCAGTACTTTCTCCGCATCTCCACAAAGAAACAAAAACTACGGCGAGTTTATGACTACGAGGTGCACATTCCTGTCGAGTCTCGACCTCCTATGTTCAGCTACTTCAAAATCGTCGGGTATATTCGCATCTCAAACGACTACTGTACAGGACATATATCCCCGCTTGTCGATCATCAGCTCACCACACAGATGTATAGCTGGAACATACCTATAAGCAATGCGTCTTGTCCCAAGCTGCCCAAATAGGTCTTATGCTCAGACATCTTCGTGGGGTAGACCATGGCTGACCGTACTACGGCACATCACAACACTAAAAATCAGTTGAAGACTTCACATCGTCTTCGTGCACGAATGGTGCGTTGACTGCTATACCGCAATTTCGCTGACACGGCGTTGTACGATCACATGGATGACACTACATATTGTTTACGAGAACGGCGTTACAGGCACTTGTTTCGTTCGCTACACACTGTTGGGCTGAGTGATAGAGCTTGCAGTGCAGTGCAAAGCACGACTCAGACAATTTCGGAGCAGCGCGTACGTAGCTTTGGCCTTCCACGCTTCGTAGGTTTTGTGCACGAGCATAGCGGGAGACAGTTGTCCAATTCACATCTTTGACTTTTCGAGGACGATTTCACGATATAGCAAAACGTAGCTCTCTCGTGCAAATCCAAAGCAAGTACCTGGAGAGACAGCAAGGCGGGGCGTAATGTCTGCCAGTCGCGCCTGCCCAAACGAAGACATCTTTGTGCAGCGATCGTGGTTGCACTCTGGTCTGCACTTGCAGTCCGACCCTAGGAAGCCAACTCCGTTGTCAACCTCTCGAAACGACCACGGATCCGCCCTTTTCGCTTTGATTCAACGCATTCAAGCCGAGCACTCGTGGCAATCTTTCCTGACTCCTCAAACGAACACAGTATGGCCGCAAAGATCGCATAAGCGTATGGGCTTCTGCCCACGCTACGGGCATAGAAAAGTACAGTATCTGGCGGATTGAATGCGGAACAGCAAGAGAAGGGTGTATATACACGAAACAGCAGCCGTCTGAATCTCACCCTCCTCAGAGATCACGACAACCAGGCGAACAGGCACGATCTACGTACGTACTGCGCATTGACTGACTCTCGATCCACAGCTCAAGCCAGTAAGGCACCATTTGACCGAAAACGGCTCGGAAATCACTCGATCTGGGCGGGCATACAAGACCAAGAAAAACTTTTGGTAGTCTCAAAGACTTGACAGAGGCGTGTCAGGCCGATCTACTCGTATTTGAACATCTTCGGATTTGATCACGGCACAGCCCTGCACCACAAGAAAGCTCGCCAGTTGCAGTAAGTGAAGATCACTGGAAGGTCACATGTGAATATCTTGCTTGGCAAAAGTGGAAAGCATTCAAACTACGCTTGAAGGAAAGCTCCAACAAAAAGGTGGACAGAACACAAGACCTACACCAAACGATGATCTGGACAAGAGCAGAAGGAAGGAGCTGCAGAACGGCAGACACACACCAATATCAAGATCGAAGAGCAAACCTCCGACCGCAACAGGGGCCTACGTATGCATGAGCACACGCATTCGAGTTGAGGCGTTGGGCAGATGACAGGACAATGCTGAAACAAGAAGAGCAAGGGACAGATACGTACGTCTCGGCAGCGCAGGATCGACCCTGCGAAACACGTTATGGGAACAGAAAAAGGTTCAAGTTGCAAGCTTTGCTTTATGTGGCATTAACTGGCTTCAAGTTCGTTGTTCTGGAGTTTCGCTCAGGCTGTACACATGAACAACAAAGCGCTCGCCAAATCGCTGATCAATACGTACGTATACTTTTGGTCTTCCATTCACGATAGTACGTGTGCGGATCTCCTCAGTCTCCCCATCCACTCCCGTCATACCGCCTTCTCACACTGCTCATGCTCTTAACATCCATACTCTGCCTCACATTGAGTCCACCGCCAGGCTGCAACCCCTGATCCGCGTCCTGCCTCAACATCTCTCTCGACGGTGACGGCGAAGGCTTGCGCGGTATCCTGTGCACGTCTCTTTCGTACACAGACTCCCCACCATATCGCGGGCTTAGGGTCGCAGAGTGATATGGTGAAGTGGTAGTGGTAACTGCACTATACGTATTCCCAGTATTCACATTCTGCTGCATCTGACTAGGCAGCAAAGCTCGAGCTTTCGTAACAGGCGATGCGGTACGTTGATTACTCTGTGTCTGGACATACCACGAAGGAACGCCAGCAGGGACTTCGAAGGGGTTACCTTGGTCGCGGAACGGGCTTCCCGAATCAGGTGAGTCGGTATCGTTGGTCACTGCGAGGGTTTTGATGGGATAGACGGATGTAGGAGTGGCTGTGTTCGTGGCTGTCGTGGGCGTATTCGAGTTACTATCTGTGCCGTCGTAGTTATCTGGATTTGCTAGCGATAGTCGTGGTCGACCGGAGCTAGCTTCGTGGAGGTTGTCGGAGGACACCTGCGGCGAATAAGGTCCGTATGGTTGTTCAGGATCTGCATTTGGGTCGAAGAATTTCGCGTCACTGCCCTGGTAAGCGTGGTCTTCGTGATAGTGTGTCGGTAATTCGTGTGAATCGCTATGCTGTAGTGAGTATGGTCGATCGTTTAGTGCTACTGCTGGTGTGTCTGCGATTGAGGCGCCGTGCGATGAAGGTCTGCGGTCCAGGAATTCCGAGGTATCGATATGGAAATCGTTCTGTGGAAGATTGAGAGGGATCTCAGGCATTATGCTCGATCTGTGGCTCATGGTCTCGTTACGTGTAGCTGGTGCTGGCGATTGCTGAATATCTGACGGTGCGATTGAACTTCGTGGTTCTTGCATGCTTGTCCTTCCTAGCATCGTGCTTGCTCTTCTTGCGTCAAAGAACGTTCCTTCGCCATCGGGATCTCTGATACCGAATTGTGCAATGGTTCGCAGCTTCCTTGTTACCCACGATGCCAAAATCTTGCCCCGCTGCTTCTCAGCAAGACGACTTCGTGGAAAGTCGCCAGGTCCGACGAAGGCGACAATGTCGGTTATGATTTGATGCTCGTTCAGGACAGCGTTGACGATGACAGGTACCATCGAAGCTAACCATGACTTTTGACGAACCTCAACAACGACCACAACTAGACCTCCAGCTTGGAATACTGCACATCCTCCGGGCGTAATGTTACCGTGACAACGCTCGATACTGTTCTCAATGTCGATTGGAAAGTGGTTCAGACCATTAATCTCGAACGTCTCTCCAATGTTGCCGAGCACAAATAGAATCTGCATCTCAACGGGCTGGTTATTGGCGCCAATTGGCCGGGTCACGTTATGTAAGAAGCCCAGATCTCCAGTCCTGACATATAGTTCTTCTGAATTAGCACCAGCAAGTCTGCCGTTGAACCTTTCCTCGTCAAAGACCTGCTTCGACATGTAGAAGGACTTGGCACAGGCTTCCGACTGAACCCAGATCTCACCATACTCACCAACGTGACAGAGCTGATTGCTTTCAGGGTTGACAATGGCGACTCTTGTCGAGATTGGGACCATTCCAGAATCTTGCACACAGAGCGCACCAGGTTCAGTGTCCGGATCAACAGGGTAGACAAGACCTCGTCTCAATGCTCTCGTGTCGAGGAACAGCTCGATCGGCTCTATCGACATATAACTCCTCGACGAAATCATCGGGTTCAGTACATGTGAATACACGGTGTTAATGGCCGTCCTGTCCAGGCCAGTTTGTGCAAAATGCATGCGCATCTTGGCGAAGATATCTTGTCGTGGTCGTGCTTCAGTGGATATCATGAGGTTTCTGAGTTCATGTAGCGAAAAGCCTTTCCCTGATGTGTTGCCCATGGCAAAGTCGAGCATCTGCGTCGTGGCATAGGTATCCTTTACCTTGTACCTCGATAATGCCATGAATAATTGATGAGGATTTTGCGCAAAGTCAAGTGGTGACATTATGTACGTGCCGCAACCATTATAGACACCCATCAAACATGTGTGTAAGAAGCCTATACCGATCGTGCTTCGGACACAGCCCAAGACCGGCTTCGAGCTTGTCATCTGGAAAGTTTGCTTCTGCACTTTGCACATGCCGAAGAGGGTATCGTGACCAAGCTGTACGGATACTCGTCTTTGGTCAGGTGTCCAGTATGTCCAGATAATAACAGGATTGGTAGACGAGATCCAGTTACGATTAATGGTCAGGCCAAGATCTCGGCAGCTATGTGATTGTTTCGGTGGCTTTGTAGTATTATAGACAGGCGGTATGTGTGTTTTTAGGTATTGTGCAGATTGCTTCAAATGTTGCGATACCATCTTTGCTTTGAACAAATCGTTGACTTCGGTATTGCAAATGACAGCTTTGACGCTCATGTCTGCAACGATGTGTAAGAAAGCTGGTGCATCTTCAGATAGTCGGTTCTGGTCAAGTGGTGCAACAGGTATAGCAATCGCACCGAGTACCATGCAAGCATAGACTGCGAAGACATATTCTTCAGAGTGCGTGTACATCAAGACGACATGATCGCTTGGTTTTATCTTGACCTTATTTTTGAGATACATGGCAACGGATGCCACTCTGAGGTCGAATTTCTTCCAGGGCAAAGGCTTGCCTTCTTTACCTCGACCATCGACAGTGCAGTAGGCAAGCTCATCGGCTTGTCTCGCAACACGCCATTGCATCAAATCAAATATGTTTGTGAAATTGCTGAGCGACGTTGACGTTCGGTCATCGATAACGACCTCGCGGTAGTCTGCTCCAGACCACTGCTTCTCTTGCTCGAATAACAGCTCGTTGCGCATGGCACTGGATATTGGAGACCATATACCGCCTTCTATATCTTCACCGACTGCAAGATTCTGCACAGCTCTTTCCACACCAAATTTGACGTGCACGCATGGCAAGGAGCCTCGGTCAAACTCCTTCCTGCACAGCATGTTTCCAATCTCGCGTCTGCCGTTCTTGACCACTCGCGGCAGAACACCAGGAGCCGTTATCATGACACAGTAAACTCGAAGTTGGTGCTCTTGTAAAAGAACCTCGATTGCTCGGTCAGCCAGTTGGTCTAGAAGAGGAATGTCAGGCTGTTGTGGGGGTCCACCAGAAGTCAATGGCGCTGTGGAGGCTGATGCAGTCTCCAATAGCAGTACTGGGAGATGTTCATCGTTGACGAAGCAGTCAAACGCAGAGCAATCGTGGATCTTGGGCACGTTTCGCATAATAGTCAGTATAAGGTGCTGAACGAAGTAGTACCTGTGCTCCTGGACTGCCAACCCATGCTCGACCCATTCTACTCTCTGGCGCAACCTGTCTTCGTACAGACCTAGAACATAAACTTTCCCTTCAATCACACAGCCAAGCAGACCTGTTCTTAAAAATTCCATGTCGAGAGCAGTGGGTGTCGGGTTACCTTGGTTGAAACAGAAAGGCCTTGCATGGAAGATGATTTCAGTGTGCCTGGGAAGAGCCCAGAAGCCGCCAGATAGTGAAGGGGAATCTACCCATATTTCACCAACAGTGTTCGGAGAGCACAGGAGGCCTGATTCCGGGTCGACCACGGCCAGCGTTGCGTCAGGTATGGGATAGCCAAAAGCGCCACATCTCACAGCATTTGGATAAGATGCAGCCTTTTCTCGTGCTTCGGCGCCCATAGCAAGGACGACAACATCGTTTGTTTTGAGCGCTTCCTTGTCCAGGAGCACTTCGCCAAGGTCATCAATCACTTTCTCTTTTTTACTGGATTTGCTGCCTCCACCGATCAAACTACTACCGAACCCAGTCCGGCTAGAGTTAGCGCCAGAGTCCTTTTTGTCGGCTTCTTCTCCCTGCTTGTCACGATCGGCTTCGTGAATCAACGGACAGCCCATACGCTCTTCTCCGCCAAGCCAGTCGCGCATACTGATGGCCATACCACCATGCTCAGGCAGGCAGAGCATGGGAGCGACGACTTCTCGAGCTCGAGGATTACGAAGTGGCCGCAGCCAACGATCTGCCAATAACTCGTGGAACTCGGGATCGACTGTGAGTGTATCAATCATACATAGCTTGACCGTGCTGAAGTTAGGCTCCATGCCCTTTTTGAAGTTCCTGGTAGTCATTGGATCGGCCTGGTAGTTGATGACGACCCGTTTCAAACCAGGGTAATCAGCAACCATAAGATTGACCCTATACTTTGTAATGAGGTGTGCGTAAAGTCCAGGTGTTTCGACCGTCCTCTGGTCAATATAATAAACAGTATGACCTCCATAGACATTCATCAGTACACCGAGAATCATGCCAATGCTCTGCCTTGGATCAAGATAGGTCAAGATGGTCTCGCCATGACGTGTGCCGGTCACTAAATGACCCTGCTTGTCCCTCAGATTTGGGTTGAAAGTGTCATTCCTGGAGTTGCTGGTTGCAGTGGTTATCATGGCGGTGAGGGTAGCCATCTGGTGCATTATGGTCTTGTGACTCATAACCACACCTCTCAGATCACCTGTAGGAGCGGTCGAGAACTCAATATAGGCCAGATCGGGAACTACAAGAGGCGGTTCTTCACCTTTCTTCTTGGGATGGTAACTGCCAAATTCATTCGTCTTCCACCACTCAACACCTCGAGGCCAGTTCTGTTTGGCGGCGGTAATATCGCGCTGAAAATTCTTGAGGTTTGCTTCGGTTGTCAATGCTAAATGTGCCTGCGTCGATGTTAGCACAACATTGAGTCTGTTGTAGTTGTTCAGATCATTAATCGGAACAGCCACAACACCAGCAATGAAACAGCCAAGTAGAGCCACGGTAAATTCGATAATCTCATTCTCGGTGTAGATGAGGGCAACGCGATCGCCACGATAGAGACTGCTCTTATCACGAATGACTTGGGCGACTTTCTCAGCTCGACTGGCCAACTTCTCCCATGTGATGGATACCAGCTCTTTTCCCTTATTGTCGAGCACCCAGTATGCAGCCTGTTTCGGGGTTGTCTTTGCTCGATGACGCAGGACCATGGCAATATTCTCGAATCTCATCATCTCAATGTTCACATCGTGGGGATCACATATGGTGAATGGCACATCGCGCGGCTCTAGTGGCATCAGATGAACAGCAGCACCTCCAGCTAACTGACCGGCTCCGAGAAAAGGAGGAGGCACTTGCGCAGTGGGAGAAGTGACACCACTGTCAGAGTACCTGTGCATGTGTCCACCGTAGTTGTCCTGCTCTTCTCTCTGCTGACCTGCAAAGTCGGAGAAATAGCCCTGGGAGTCGAGCAGCGTCGAGGCTCTTGTATCTGGTGCAGCAGTATAAGCACCTTGCTGCTCTGGGTTGAAAGCAAAGTCCTGGTGCATCAGAGACTGAGCTCTTGAATTATCGCCTGATCCTGACCCTGTAGCAACTGTCAAGGTGTTACGACGATCTTCCATTGAAGGCATAGACGATTGTCTACCCAGACCACCGACTTGTTGCTGTATGAAGCGCGACGCATGTGTTGGTGGTTGCGACGAAGCAGAGAGGTCGTAGGCATTGCTTTGGCGAGACATGGTTCCATTACTAGAGGCGGCGCTCTCACGTCGAGCGCCCTCGAGGCGTAACAAGGATTCTGCACGGAAATCATCTCGAGAGGAAGCTGAGCTAACATTGTCATCGGCTTGGTGGACTCGAAGGACTCGCTTTGGATCGGCCGTCGATGTTGGTGCAGGCGCAAGGTATTTGGACAATAACTGTGTCCTACGCTTGTCGTAGCCTTTCTTGGTGATGTCCCCTTCCTCGAGCTCAAGATCTAGGGCGCGTAGCTCCTCCTCGAGTTCGGGGATCACTTGCGCCATAGCACGCTGAGCTCAGCTCATGTGGAATTTCGAGAGTGGATAGTGGTATATGTGTGGCAGTCGTGCAACTTCGTCGGTGTCATCTGCAGAGCACAAGTAAAAATCGTTGTCAGGGCATCATACACCTCAAACGAGTGACTTAGCGCTTGCTGGAAGGCTGCTATTGAGTACTTTGTTGCCCGTCTCGAATAAATGTTTCACCTCACTGCCATCCGCTTCGCGGCCGCAGATGGATCGCTGAACAAGTGGGGAAAACGGAGGATCGCACGAGGCCAATGAGCCGCCAGCTTCCCAGCTGCGGAGGGTCGGGGCGATCGTGCGTGCAAACACCCATGCCCGAGGCGGCGTCATAACGAGATTCAAAAAGCATAATTTGGCCTCTATAAAGAGCCTGGTAATCATGGCAAGCAAATTGTTCATCTTTTTACAAAGAGGGAAAGAGCAGACACGCCAAAATGACGTTTCAGCAGGAGCTTTCTTCGTGGAATCCTTTTAATGGACCACAGGCGACTAAAGAAGTACCTACTGTAGGAAGCAAAGCACCATCCACACCACAGATCACATTACCTCGGAATGACAAGAAGCCAACGATCATATCGTTTCTGCGACACTGTGGTTGCCCATGTAATTTGGATTGTGTATCTAACTATGGATGCAACGGCTAACATCAGCAGTTGCCGAAAAAGCTTTCCAGAAACTCCGTCGAATTGCTGAGCAGAATCCAGCGATTCACTGTATCGCCGTCTCACACAGCGACAAGGCAGCCACAGAGAAATGGTTAGAAGCAGTGGGTGGTAGGGGAAAGGTTGAGGTCATAGTCGACGACCAAAGGCAGTCGTTTACCGAGTACGGTCTTGGCTATTCCAGCTTCTGGGCCGTGCTGAATCCCTGGAGTCTGAAAAACGCAATGACTATAGGCAAAGAGGAAGGCTTTAACATCCGACCCACCGAATCCGGGTCAAGATGGCAAGTTGCTGGCTTGTTTGCTGCTGATGGGGAGGGTGTATTGACATATGCGCATCAAGCTAATACCTCAGACGATCTCGGTGACCTTGATGCCGCTATTGGATCAGTGAAGTTCCCAAAAGCCTCTCTTTGAGACTAGCAAGGGTTCTGGTTATCTGTGCTCCCATACAAGACATTCCCCAGTTCAGCTTGGCATTTTCAAAGGTGTCTGTCAGCTCGTCGAGGTTCGGTACAGGTGGTCTCGATAAGGAAGGCTTGACTTATTTCTCCTCCCTGCTAATCCACCTGACTAGGCAGGCTGTACGTGTACCTGCAACCCCACGCCCTGGTTCCGTAATATTATCGTGAAATGTGCCTCAGAGTCACAGTCCTCATGCCTGGCTCTCGATCAACGTATAGACTGGTACATCGCCAAGCTTTCCTCTTCCACTGAGAGCAGTCAGCTCGATGATGAATATGTAAGCGAGAAGCTGGCCACCACACTTCTTGACCAGCTGTCCCGCAGCTGCAGCCGAGCCACCAGTAGCAATCAAATCGTCAACAACCAAGACCTTGTCACCCGGCTTGATGCTGTCGGTCTGCATGGCGAATGTATCTGCTCCATACTCTTTCTCGTAGGTCACCGTCTCAAGTTTGCCCGGTAGTTTGCCAGCTTTTCGAACTGGAACGAATTTGCAACGTGCTCGTAGTGCCAGTGTTGGTCCTATTAAGAAGCCTCGAGCGTCGAGACCAACTATAACGTCTGGAGGACCGCCTTGAAGTTCCTTGATCTGTAACTCGTATGCTTCGATAAGAGCTTCATGGTGAGGCGGCGAGGTGAAAATAGGAAAGATGTCTTCGAAGAGAATGCCAGGTTGAGGAAAATCGGGTGTCTGCGTGATTGCTTGTCGAAAGAAATTTGTCTTCTGCTTACGCTGTTCGCGCAATCCTTCTATCTCATTACTGGAGAGTTTGGTGGCTAGGGAAGGAAAAGTCAGTCTCTCGCTGAAAAACTACCACATTTCAATTGACTCACAGGAGGTGGTGGCATGGGACTCTGGTCTCGAGGAGCCATTTGTGTTTGTGTTAATGGGGTCAGTAACGACGGGAAGTGTGCTTGGAGAGCTCATCTCGAAGGAAGAAGAGTCAGCTGCAGTGTGTCCGAGTATATACAGTTCAGGTACTCGTACAGGCAGGGCGATACGGCGATGGAGCAGCTTGAGAAAAATCACGGAATGACTGTCAAGCTGAGTGTTGCAACGCGACTTAGCAAACGTATCGACGAATCACTGGCCTCACCTTGGTGGCATGCCAACCCAGCTGCCACACCAAATGCACCATACGCAGGCTTGTGCAAGCCTCACCCGTCGGATCTGGTGGGAATGGTGTGCTAGACTAGACACGAAACGGGCGGGATGGATGCGAGACAGTCAGAGTTGTTGAGTCCTCTTGCATGTGTTACTCGAGTACTGTTGCTTGCGAAGATGCTCGGTGGAACAATGTTTTGGGTGATGCATGTCAAAAAGTGGCCTTGGTGGCTTGCTGATCCTGGTACGCAGCCTAATCACATCCTGGTCAATCCATCCTCACGCATCTGCCCCCTTTTTTACACCTTCCATTGTTTGTGACCCCACCACTGTCCTGCTAGAGGTTGCGTTTCATGAAAAGCCATCGAAATGTCAAGACCGTTTGACAGATAAGCATTCGGTCGACAAAGGTCGAGGGTTGATCGTCGAGACGATGATCGGTCTGGCCCATCTGGGCTACTACTCGAGAAACCTGCTACTTATAGGTCAACTGCATCGCTTTCATCTTACTCAGTGCCTCTCGTCAGCATGCGGCAGGAAGTCACATCGGCACCGAGCTTTCAAGACCAGACCGGAGCCTCTACAGTTCTGCTTGAGTCATTTTTGATACGTCCAATGCAGTCCTTCTCGAAGCGCTTGGCAGCTTTCTGTTGCATGTGCTCGGGTCTGCACGACGCATCATTACAGTACCCCCGGGCGGAACTCAAGATAAGAATACAGGCTACAGAGGCTATACATGCTCTTGAGCTGCTAACGGTTGTCGCAGTACACCGTCGGATAATATGTCAGGCAACTCGCCACGACTAAAAACTCACAATTGCACCAGTCATGATAACTGAGCCTGTTGCTACTCAATCGACTGGACGAATACAAGTACAGTAGACTGGCAGACGGATCGGAAGGCACGACCATTTCCACCCGCGTTCGCCCCGGAAATCACAAAAAGCAAATACTTACAGTTGTACCAATTGCAGAATTGACTCTGTGCAGTAGCAACGCAGCTCTCGCTCACCGCCACTTTAACTCGTAAAATGATTGGGACGTCGCTCAAGAGAGTTCGGTTCGCTGTTCCTCAAGAAGGTACGAGGCTCGGTGGTACTCTACAGCATAGATGCGCAAACATTCTACCCTTCTGAAATGCTGTGAGAGATCTTGCACGATACAGTGCTGACAAACACGACGGTTGCAGAAATCCGGATGTCCAGACAGCGGAATTTTCCAGTCTTCCTTGACTCCCTGTACTTCCTCGATGCGATATCTTGTGCCAGTTCTCGTATGCGACTATCCCCTTCAGTCAATTGCATACAGTGTAGGTAACTGTATATCTGAAGTAATCCGACAGTCGTGTGTCCGCGGCAAGCAGCGGCTGAACCCATTCCACTATCAAAGACGATCTTTTCTGGAAAATTGCCTGTTTCTGGATGATCAGCAGATTGACGCTAGCCGAATCAGGCCTCTTCCAAAAAATGTTTCGAAAGTGCAATGGCGACCAGTAATTCCAAAATTGATGATCGGACATCGTAATCTTAGTCCAACACCATAAGTTGCAACAGATATGCCGTCAAAGAATAGAGAGATAGAAGACGACTTTGTGCTAACAATATCTGACAATGAAGCTCTTCCCAGCGAACCAGAATCCGACTCAGAGCCTGAAACGACCCTACCTTCAAAGAAGCGAAAGAGAACCGGTCGTGATGACAAGAGTGCTGCAAAGAAGCAAAGGTTAGATCCTATTGAAGCCGACGAGAACTCTTCAGAATCCGCTTCGGAGACTCAATTCATCAAAGATGGTGCAATCGACAGTGACTTCGAGTTCGATGTTGGCCCTGCAGGCGTATCAGACACACTAGACGATTTCGATGGCTGGGGAACTACAGACACCACCCCCAAAGTACAATCGAAGGTGACTAAAAGAGCGGTGGATGTAGACGACATTATTGCCCGTCGCGCAGAAAGACACAACAAGAAGAATCCAGCACAGCAAGTGCTCGAAGACGAAAGCCTGGATGATGCACAGGCAGTTGACGTCGAGGAGGCAAGCCCGGACGAAGAAGGACTCGAGGACGGACAAGAGATCGAGTTTGACGATGAGAATCTTGCAGAGGACACATTCGGCGGCGCCGCTGTGTCAGAAGATGAGGTAGCAAGTCAAGCACTAGATGGCGAGGAATCAGAAGACGACGCCCAAGGAGATGACATTGATGCAGAGGCATCCGACGACGATTCTGCGGCTTCACCCGTAGCACACCCAGACGACCGAGATTCAGATGCAGTTTCGGAAGACGAATCGAGAACTTCTCACTCAGACGTAGAAGAGGCGGCGAAGCGTAAAGCTTTCTTTGCTGATGAAGCGACACACAAACAGACAGCAGCATCAGATACAAACTCCTTCCACCAGTTTTCGCTTTCCAGACCTTTACTCCGAGCGCTCGCGGCTCTCAACTTCGCAAACCCAACACCTATCCAGGCTCGTGCTATTCCTGTAGCCTTGCAAGGTCTCGATGTCGTAGGCTCAGCACAAACCGGTTCTGGAAAAACAGCCGCCTTCTTGCTTCCCATACTCGAACGTTTACTCTACCGACCTCGAAAGATCCCAACCACTCGTGTTGCAGTTTTGATGCCAACTAGAGAATTAGCCGTGCAATGTCATAGTGTTGCTGTCGCCCTTGCTCGCTTCACAGACATCACCTTTGCACAGGTTGTTGGCGGCTTCAGTTTGAGAGAGCAAGAGACGATCCTAAAGAAAAGGCCTGACGTTGTGATTGCTACACCTGGTCGGTTCATCGACCACATGCGAAACAGCGCCAGTTTCGCCGTTGAAAACCTTGAGATCCTTGTTCTTGACGAAGCAGATAGGATGTTGGAACAAGGTTTCGCGGACGAGCTCGATGAAATTCTGAAGACGATTCCTCGATCCAGGCAGACGATGTTGTTCTCTGCAACCATGACATCTTCCGTGGACAAACTTGTACGTATAGGCATGAACAAGCCGGTGAGATTGTCCGTCGACACCACTCATTCGACGGTCGCAGGACTAACCCAGGAGTTTCTGCGCCTTCGTCCGGGTCGTGACACTACGGAGCTGCGCCTGGCTACACTTTGCACATTGGTTACCACGATCCCCGAATACCAGCAGCGCACAATCATTTTCTTCAGGCAGAAGAAGGAAGCACATAGAATTCGTATCGTCTTTGGTCTTCTCGGCATAAAGGCTGGCGAACTTCACGGCTCAATGACACAAGATCAGCGTATAGCAGCAGTGAATAACTTTCGAGATGGCAAGACCACTCATCTGCTTGCAACAGATGTCGCTTCTCGAGGTCTCGATATCAAGAACGTGCACTCAATCATCAACTACGAGGCCCCGCAGACACACGACATCTACCTTCACAGAGTCGGTCGAACAGCTCGAGCGGGTAAAAGTGGCAAGTCATGCACTTTGGCAGCTGAGCCTGATCGCAAGGTCGTCAAAGCTGCAGTCAAAGCAGGACGTGCTCAAGGTGCAAAAGTCGTCAGTCGAGTGCTTGAGCAGGATTTAGTGAACAACATGAACGAGAAGCTTGAGGAGCTAGCAGGAGAGATTGAGGAGATCCTGAAGGAGGAGAAGCAAGAAAAACAGCTAGCACAGATCGAGTCCGAGGTTCAACGTGGTGAGAACCTGATGAAACATCACGACGATATCATGTCTCGACCAAAGAGGACGTGGTTTGAAAGCGAGAAGGAGAAACAGGCCAACAAAGATCGAGCCAAGGCCGAGTTAGCTGCCAAAGGGGTCCTGTTCAAGGGCGAGAAGAAAAAGCTGAGCAACAAGGACAAGAAGAAGCTGGACCTGTCGAGAGAGCAGAAAGAGGGCAGGTCTTGGAAGAAAGGAAAAGGCGATGCTGCTGAGGCAGGAAAGAAGACCAAGAAGGCCGTGGCTGGAAAGGGGAAGGCGAAGGGCTCGTCCAAAATGAGAGGCAAGCGTAGATAGACGTGAACACAAGCGAGGCGTGGTCTTCTACCGTCGAGCTAAACGAATCAATCTTGAACTTGTACTGTCTTGTAACCAAAACCGGGGTCGTGTACTTGGTGGCATTGTAGAATGAGGCCACCAGGCACCACTTTATTTACTTTGACGTCATAGGCTGTCCCGCTGTTGTTTTACTCAGGCAGGCTCTCTTTTCTTGAGCCCTATAAGCAGACGGTGTCACGTTGTGCCCACTACTCTCTACAGCAATGACCTCCAATATTCTGGAAATACCCTTCCGACGGACACAGTCTGTAAATCTCTCAGCTGCAATCAAGAGCTACATCGAGTCCAAGTTCGATCAGCAATCTGCCGCATTCGAAGATGATTGTCGTGCAATTGAGCGGCTGCGAAACGACGCAATCCACGTCGTTGAGCCTCACACAACTGGTGTACAGCGTCTCACCGTATATGCGGCTCAGCTGAGATATATGGTAGGGTGATAACAACACGGTATGCTGAGTACTGACTGACGTGGTAGAGTAGCAAATTCCCACTTGAGCTCGGCGTCGACTTCGCGTGGTGGCCAGCAATAGGCTACCATACCGACAATCCAATCACCAAGAACAACATTCGATTCGAACTCGCCAATATCTTGTTCAACCTTGCTGCTCTCTATTCTCAGCTTGCCTTTACGAACAACCGGACGACCGAAGATGGCCTCAAACAGGCTGCATTGTACGAAGTTGCGGCAGCGGGCACGCTCAACTTCCTACGAACCGATGTCATTCCCGATATGCGATCGACTCCTCCTGAAGATATGGACGAAGCAACGTTGCTAAGCCTGGAAAACATCTGCTTAGCACAAGCTCAAGAGTGCTTCTGGGGCAAGGCAGTGAAAGGAGGCATGAAAGATGGTACAATTGCCAGGCTGGCTGCTTGCGTCTCGGACTACTATGCTGCTGCTGGCGACTTTGCTGTCAAGTCGGACGCTGTGAGCACGGAGTGGATACATCACCTGAATGCGAAACATCACCACTTCGCAGCCGCCGCTCAGTACCGCCAGTCGATTGACTGCCTAGAGAAGAGAAAATATGGCGAGGAGGTCGCTCGACTGCGCGACAGCGTAATCTGCGTGGACGAGGGTCTCAAAGAGAAGAGGTGGATCAATAGAGTTGTCGAAGGTGATCTGAATGGCCTGAAATCTAGAGTCAAGGAAGAGTTGAGACGAGCCGAAAAGGACAACGATGTCATTTATCTACTACCCGTGCCTCCAAAATCCGAGCTGAAAATCCTCGATAGAGCCAACATGGTCGCACCTAAACCACCCAAAGAGGTTGCAGATGGTATTGCTATGCTTGGCAAGAACAGTCCCTTGGGTCAGCCACTATTCGAAAAGCTAGTACCGTATGCAGTGCACCAAGCTGCGACTGTTTATGCCGAACGAAGAGATAGATTGGTCAACGAGTCTATCATTGCAGAACTCGAGGCGATGACTACGATATTGCGAGAGCTGCTAGCATCCCTCAACCTTCCTGGCTCACTGCAGGCTCTGGAGAAGCCACTTGGCCTCCCACCGTCGTTAATGGCAAAAGCAGAAGAGCTGCGTCAACAAGATGCTTTGTACAAGCTCAAACGCTCTGTCGAGGATACCACAAGACTCAAGACGAACGACATGTCAATCTTCCAAGATGGGTTGGGCTTGTTAGATGCCGAAAAAGAGGAGGATGAGAAGTGCAGATCAAAATATGGTACTGATAGATGGTCTCGACCTCCTTCAGAACAAGCTCTTGCCAAATGGTGGAAGCAATCACAAGATTTGCAGGGCTACCTGAATAGTGCTGGTGCCTCTGACAATCTCGTGCTGGCCAAGATGCGAGAGAACGAACATATACTACGCCTGCTCACAGGACCTGACCGTGACCTCGAACGCTTTGTGCCAAGCAGCAAGAATCTACAACTAACGCCAGCTGGCGAGAAAACATCCTCGAAACTAAGAGGCGTACTCAATGATGTGTCCAGATTGGAGTCAAGACGCAAGCGGAAAATCGAGACTATCAGAACGAAAGCTAAATCAGATGACATCGGTCCTGCACTGCATGCTGAGGCAGCACGTCTAGAGCGAGAATACCCCATGCAACCAGTATCAGCAGCACAATTCGAACACCTCTTTGAAGAGCGGCTAGAAATATACGAGCCAGACCGTGAATCCTTGACATCCGAACAAGAAGACCAGAACCAGCTAACAGCACGCCTCCGCGAAGCAAACACAGCATTCATCCACGCACGTCGCGGAGAAACAGAACAAGTCACCAAAGACCGAGAAGAAGCCCTCCAAAAACTAGAGCTAGCATACGTCAAATACAAAGAAATCGTACAGAACCTCGAAAACGGCCGCAAATTCTACAACGACCTCGCCGGCCATGTAACAAGATTCCGCGAAGGTGTTCGTACAGCTGTTGCCCAACGAAGACAAGAAGCCAGCGAACTCGAGGCCGAAATCGGAGTTGGTGGGATGCATCTACAGGAACGAAAGGAGCTGAGAAGTCAGAAGAAAAAGGAGCAGCAGGAGTCTCATCATCAGAAACAGGCTCGGACGAGTACAGTGGGTGTAGTGGGAACTACGAACGTTGGAACACCGGATGCATTACCTGCGCCGACACCGATATCAGCGAGAGCAGGAGGGAATGTGCATTCACCGCCTACGCCGGCCGTCATTGCGAATGCGCAGGTACAAACGCCTATTCCTGGTTTGAATGTGCCGAATGGTGGTGGTGGTAGTATGGCGCAGCAAAGACCTCGGAATCAGGCGTGGACGCCGGATATGGGTATTAAATTTGGGTGAAGCTTCAATTTGAGACGAGGTGCAACTAAGAAGGAGACTTTGATTCTGGAGACACGTATACATATGGGATAGCATTTTCCACTCAAATTTACCAATGTACCCCGATATTGGCGGGTGCGAGTTGTTCCAGCTTCTTTGACCATCATAGTATCGTAGTAGTATTTCGGGGTTTCACGTAAACCTGATAAACCCCCAGAATATATACGAACAAGTTGCCACTACTACTTCCTCCTTATGTATCGATGAAAACCATCAAGTTATCGAAGAAAACAATCCTACGGGATGATCTCAGTCAGCTCGTGCGTCATGGCAGAATTGTCAGAACAATTGCGTATAATTGCGGTCGGAAAAGCCGTTGCTGTTTTCGAGTTCTTGTTACTTTTTATGTCTTTAACTTCTCATTGTTCGTCAGACCTTTTCACTCTCCATCTGAATTTTCGTACTCTCATCACCTGTCTATCTCACATTCACGAACCGTCCCAGTCTCGACATCACACCATTACTTCCTCTCCTTCCTCTACGTCCTTCAAGACCGAAGCTCTCCGCAATCATCCTCAGTCCTTCGCTTGCTCTCTCGGAGTAGCGGTCACTCGACAGTGCTTCGTGCCTGGCTCGTGCTTTTCTCTTCTCGTCTGTTGTGGGCATGTTGTAGTGCCTCTGTCGCGGTCTAGTTCTGTCAGTGTCGTGGTCTCTGAATCTGTTGGATGATCTTCTCGAAGATGAATTGTCGCTAGTTGCTGGTGTAGTAGATCTTGTGGCTCGAGTGCTCGATGCTCTGGCCGAAGTATTAGATGCCCGGTCCGTGGTACTAGACGCTCGCGCCTCGGTTGAATCTGCTGAATAGCCTTGATATCCGGAATCAGCACGATCCTCGTTTGCTTCTTCCCGAGCCGTGGTCGTATGGGTAGTGCTGCTGCCTCTTTCGGGTGTAGTATGTTCGCCGGTAGTCTCTCCTTGAGGTTGATTTGAATGATTTTTTTGATCTTGGTCTTCTTGTCCTTCTGTTGCGTGCGGGACTTGGTGTCAGGTGAATGTCTCTCCTTTCCACGATGTTCCTTCACTCCTAGCACGTTTTCCATCTCTCCATGGCATTGTTGAACAGCACCATATACCTGATTAAGTCTCCCGTCGAGCCGGTATCGCCATTCGGCTGCAACACGTGACGCGCCGTTCTCGATCAGTAAGTTGATATACCCGTCTTTTGCATCGAGATGCTTCTCATATTTCACAATTCTGCCCATAATTTGGTCTTCTATCGCGTTGCGCAACATGCCGAAAAACGACGTCAGTCCTTCTAGGTCACTCTCGGAACGAGGCTTGACTGGTGTCTCGCGGACCCATTGTCTGTATTTCTCGATTTCAGCTCTTTGTTTCATTATATCCTCGATGATGTGCTCAAGTTCTTTTGTGATCCGTCTGTTGGATGGAGGAGACATCCTGCTCGAATACGTAGGTTTTGAAGTTTTGGGTTGGCTGTGTTGCTGTCTCAAGAGGCTTGAACCAACGAATAACTTTGTCAATATGTGGTTCTAAAATTCTCTGCTTCTTCCGAACAAGGAACGTCGTATTAAACGCCATGCGGGCCAGGCAGTGGCTGTGCGGCTCAGTGACATTATTCACTCGTGATCAAAATAGTGAAGTGCACGTTTGTACAGTAATGTAGTGCCTGTCATAGTGCAGTCGCTGTACATGTAATACTGATCGTGTATCAAGTTGCTCAAACGCTATGAATGGCCATGGCCGTACTGACAGCGAAGGTATGCTCGTTTGTTGAGTACACTATGTGAGCTCTACATGGTGAGACATTGTTGGTCCTGAGAACCGCTTCCTGCATCCGACTTAGTGACTTCAGCCGAATGCTCCTGGGACATGGAACTCACCACCAGCAATAAGAAGACGGTGGCTGTTCCTGATATCTAGATGTGATGCTTGCTCTCCGTCGATGAAGTCCTGGTCGTCATCAGCTGTTAGATCGATCGTGTTGCTAGCTTGCTTAGCTCTAATGTCTTCTTGGAGGATCTCGTCCTGGGCAGGCATGGCGAACTTGATCTCGAACTTTTGTCGCTTTACTTCGACGCCGGGAGGAGTCCAGACCTGACCGTTGTCTGTCGCATCGGGCTCTTCATAGAGTTGTGCCTTGCTCAGCGTCCTTTTTCGAGAATATGATCGAGCGTCAAGGGGTTCAGCTGCTTTAAATAGTGTAGAACACTGACGAGCATCGGACAGGCTCCAAGCGATTGAGCTGTTGAGGAGACGGGCTTCTGAAAGCTGTTCTCGAGGCCTCATCTCCTCTTCTTGCTGCTTCAACCAGTCAGATTTCTCACGCAGCGTAAGTGCCTGGGCCGAAGGAGCGAAATGTAGTCTCTCTTCCTCGTTCAACAGATCACTGCACGCATCATAGAGCTTTCTCAAGTGCTTCTCCACATATTGCTTGCCTGCTTCACGGAGAGCCCCAGCATCCTGATCATTGTCACAATTGACCCGGGACAAAACTTCTAGAACGCCTTGCACCAGTCGTCCTACTAGTCTCTTGTATTCTGTTTTGTCGTCTTCGAAATCGTCGCTGGGATCCGCTTCGAGGAACACTTCGACTTCGGGCATCCAGTGAACAATGTACTCTCGAGCAATAGTGTCAACAATGCCCATTGTTGTGTCTCGGTCAGCAGCTTCCGCTTTTCGGAGGAGCTGCTCACTAGCAAAGTGATGATTTGACCGCTTTGGGAATTGTCTCTTGTGGTATTGCTCGTAGCGAATATAGTGATCCCGTGGTAGTATCGGGGCTCGGTCGATCTGCCCCGGAAGTGTTACTGGATCAGCTTTGGACCGTGACCTCGGGACACCCAATCGTAGGATGTTGAGATTTTGCGTTAGAGTAGGCATTGTGGCGGCTCTGGCTACTGTTTCGTTGACCAAGATACGCAGGGTGTGTTACATAGGTGGATCGAAGCAGATTTCCAAAGTGCTTGGCATGTATCCAATGCAAACCAACCACGGCTTCAGAACTCCGAAGTATCACTTGTCACCTGCACTTCTAGAGCGAAGCAAATACTGGACTGACGATTGCACGAGTCGCGATGGCTGCCTTCCATCTTTATTTGACACTGATATTTTGGTGCAAACTCCTTGAAACTCCAGTCATTACGCATTTCTCTGTCGAGTGCACTGCGATTAGCTTTGATGGGTGTAAGTATTTGATGATACACATGATCTCACGTCAATTGTAGTGAGAGCAAATAAGGAGGACCTCGTCGGGTGGAAAACAAAATCCTAGGTGACGGATGTAGCAAACACAGCAAACCTGACCAGGCTGGTCGAGCCTGCTCTCAGAGCTTTGCCAAGTACTTTCCAGCGGTCCCTGGGAAAGTGCCCTCCTCGTATTTCTGCCACGCCTTCTCTGCTTCTGTGAAAGCGTTATATCCAAATAGAAACTCTTGGAAGACTGGATCTGCCCATCTGTTCGGATAGCCCTCAAAAGGCTTGTCGTTGTGCTCAAGCAACTGGCGATCTCTTTCTTGTTGACGAGCACCATCTTTGAGATGAAATACCGTTCTTCCAAAATGATTGGAACCTTGTACAACTTTTGTTGTCCTTGGCTTTCGGATGGTTTCGTAAACGACGAGTAGGTCTGGTATTTGGTGTTTTCCCTTTATCCTTTCAAGTAAGGCGCCAAGGACTGCGCCATCCTCAACTGCCATTGCAGCGCCTTGTGCCAAGTATGGTTGAGTAGCGTGACATGCATCACCCATAAGCACAAATTTGCCAGAGGGATGAGACCAGCTACTCATCTCTCTACTGTTCTGCACTCGCCATTTGCTTGTTTCCTTACACAACCTCAACAACTGCCTCAGCTGTGGATCCCAGTGTTCAAAGAAGTCGTGCATCTCTTTTAGATCCGCTTTGGCCTGACTGACGAGCTCTGGCAGATTGTCGGGACATATGAGTACGATATTGTATAGGCCACCACCCTTGAGCAGATAGCAAACTGCGTGAGCATTAGGGCCCATCCAGATATTGATGTTTGGCTGTTCTGCTAGCTCCTTCAAGATTGGATCCTTGCGCATATCCTCTGCAGATACTGTGATGCGATATGCTAGGTCGCCTGTGAGATATGGGGGATCTGCTCGGCCGAGTAATGCCTCTCGACAGACGCTCTTCAATCCGTCTGCACCAATAAGAAGATCTGCTTCAAAGTCTGGCTTGTTCTTGATGTAGACCTTCGGCTTGTTGAAGTCGATCTTTTCAACGATACTGTCTAGTTGAATCTTCACGCCCAACCTCTCAGCTTCTTCGACTAGGACTCTATGATAATCGGCTCGATGTATGTGTAGATAAGGATGCTGGTATTGTTCTTCGACCAAAGGAACGAGATTCAGGTTAGATAGCTTCTTGCCGTCCCTGTATCGCCGCAATATGCAATTCTGTGGCCGTACGGATAGGTCTTCGATCTCTTTGAGGATGCCCCATTCCTTGAGAATTCGCGACGAGTTCGGCGGAATTTGTATGCCAGCTCCGACCTGTCATCTGTCAGCTCTGCCAATCTATTGGGGGTGTAACACAAAGAGCTCACCTCGCCCAGAACTGGCGCTTGCTCAATTATTGTGACTTTGTGTCCACTTCTCGCTATGCCGATAGCTGCTGCTAATCCTCCAAGACCTGCCCCGATTATGCCAATGTGGCATTCTGTGTTCGCCATCGCGCTGAATGAGCTGGCTGTATTGCCAATGGAAAATTAGTGGGTAGAAAGAGGGAACGCAATGCAGAGATTCAATCAAACAGGAACAAAAAGTATCGAACTCAATTTCATAACCGCCAGATTTATCATCTCCGGCCTTGGAGAGTGTCTGTACATCATTTTTGAGCTGAATTTCAAGCACTTAGCCGTCCTTAGGTAAAGGTGACCATGCCGAAACCATTGCCGTTTACTCCGTATAGCCGAGCCACAGCTGGCGACTGATGAATCGCCAGACAATACAGTAAGTTAGAGCAGCGCTCTCGGACATGCTCGAGGCTGCTGGTGGACCAGAAAATCACATCACTGCAAAAAAGACCCATGATGCCGTAGCTCGAGATAAGGCATTGGGGCGCTCGGATTTTCTGTTGTGGATTTGTCGCAAGAACGGAATGCTCCTCCGACGCGTACCCTGGGGATTAACGCCGGCAATCATCGCGGTAGTTGGACCAGCTTGTTCTCCGTCAATGTGGTGATTTATTGCACCATCCTGCAATGGTCTCGCACAGCGGAATGGTACAGCACCATCATACGAAAAGGTCAGGTAGATGAGGAAGTAAAAGCAAGCTGTTAGAAAGGTGCCATATTAATAGGAATCGGCAAGCTTCAGGATAGTACAGATCCGAAGCTGGCTCATCTATTCGGCAGGTGCACTTTCCGGACTCCTTGTGAGACTATACCCGTCTACTAGAGGCAAACCACACAAAGTATCAAGTGTCTCGAATCATTTAGCTATATACCTAGCTTGAGGGTTCAGTCAATGTATCTTCAGACATCAAAACTTCCCACCAAAGAAACAAAGGAAATCCTCCACTGTTTTTCGACTGGTCTTTCAAGAAACCGCCCCTAGTTCCCTCTCATGAACCAATCCCAGGCGCTACCGGCCTTGCTTGGTTTATTACCACCTTGCTTGAAGCCCTGTTCAGATTGTTCCTCGTCACGACGGCCCTTTCGGCCACGTTGCCTTCCACCTTGCTTGCCGTACAGCTTGACTGATCCGAACTTATAGCATTCTCTGTCAGGTAGGGCCTCGCTTGGTACGGGAGTTGCAGATGCAGTGATACACTGGAACGCACTAGTGACCTTGCTTCGATCACCTCCACAAACGTTGGCGTAGGTAGGGATCGGCGCATTGCGATTGTTGCAGAAACCTGCAGCGTCCTTATGTGCCTGGTCAATGTGATCGGGGTTGAACATGCCAGCGAAGCATGGGTCTACTGTACAGGTTGGTGGGACCGAAGAAGTGGTCTTTCCACTGGTCTGCGTCGTGGATGTCGCCGCTGTCGTTGTGGAAGTAGAAGTGTAGCATATGAGGCTGTTGCACGTGCTTGTAAGAATTGTCGATGTCGCGCACGACGTCGATTGACCTGAGCTGCAGCTCGTGGAAGTGCTCGTCAATGGCTGGCATGTTGTTCCGGGCGACGTGCATGGTGGGATAGTAGTCAATGAGCTGCTCGAGCTTGTGGAGCTGCTGGAACTTGTACTGCTGGTGCTAGAGCTGGAGGTGGAGGTGGAGGTGGAGCTCGTAGTGCTGGAGCTACTGGTGCTGCTGCTCGAGCTAGTCGTGCTCGAGCTTGTAGTAACAGGTGGTGTATAGCAAATGGTGCTTGCACATGTCGTGCCTACCGACGACACTGTTGGGCAGGATGTCGATTGGCCAGACGAGCAGCTCGTGCTAGAGCTCGTGGTAGGTGAGCAAGTCGTGCCTGGAGATGTGCAGCTTGAAGTCGAGCTACTTGACGTTGTGCTACTCGAAGGAGTCGTGTATGGAGCTGTGCAAATCGTGCTAGCACATGACGAAGAAATACCCGAAGTGACTGGGCAGTCGGCGCTCTGACCTGAAGAGCAACTTGTGGTCGTGGTCATCGTGGTTGAGCATGTTGTCATTGGCGCAGTGCAGGTGTATGGTGCCGTGCAGATATCATTTGCACATGTAGAAGACATTCCTGTTGTTGTGGGGCAGCTAGTACTCTGACCCGAAGAACAACTGGTACCAGTCGTCATTACGGTTGAGCATGTTGTCATTGGTGATGTGCAAGTACTAGCAGTAGTGCTTGGTGCGGATACAGCAGTTGTGTTGGTTAGAGGCAGAGGTGTCGACGTGGTTGTATTGGTTAGCGGTGCTGGCGTGGAGGAAGACGACGTTGAATTGGTCAAAGGAGCTAGCGTGACTGTCGAAGTACTGACCGAAGTTGTCGAGCCGTTAGAGCATGTAGTGCATGGGACAGTAAGTGTTGTCAACGAGGTCAAAGTGCTGCAGGTCGAAGTGACCGTGGTAATACCTCCGATGCAAGTTGTGCATGGCACTGTCTGAGTGGTCACAAATGGTGCGGTCGGAGTCGTGCTGCTCGAAGAGGTAGATCCTGGTGCAACTGCTGTGCTGCTAGAGGTAGTGGTATTGGTCAAGATCGGTGTGGTTGTTATGGATACCGTTGTTGTCACAGGTCCGGTAGTAATCATAGTAGTCGTCGATAAGGTTGTGTTCATGCTCTGGGTGCAGCTCGAAGTCACAACACCGTTGCTCGTGTAAGTGCTGCAGACATCGCAAGGCCCAACATTTGTAATGGTAGACGTTGTCGTAATTGTGCCCGTGGTGGTAATGGTTGATTGTGTGGTGATCGCAGGTGCGGATGTGCTTGTGGTCGTGATGACTGATCCGTTACTAGCAGTCGTCGTTGTTGTAATAGCCACAGGAGTTGGAGTGCTTGACGGCGTCGTACTACTTGATGAAGTTGAACTTCCTGGAACTGGCTGCACAGCAGTTGAACCAGATGATGACGGAGTAGCAGAGCTCGATGAGGGGATCATGGAGGTGAGGTTGATTACTGGTCCACTCGCGATAGCGTTGGTAGTGCTTGTAGATGAGCTAGAGCTGCTGCTGCTGCTGCTGCTGCAAGGAAGCGTGACTGTGGCGGTACCACCGGAACAGGTCACACCAGCAGTGACAGTGACCGTCGCTGTAGGCGAGCAGATTGAGTTAGAGCCAGAAGAGACGACTGCTGTGACGGTAACGGTATTGGTCACAGTGTTGGTCACAGTTGTCGTTGTTGACACAGCACTGTTGGTGGAAGACGAGACCACCGAACTGCTCGTAGAAGAAGTAGAAGATGCAGAAGTGCTGCCACCTTTGCCTGGCACATTCAATTGGGAGCCGATGATAAGAAAGTCACAGTTGACGCCTTGGTTAGCCTTCTTCAAATCATCTAAAAGACAGCCCAAACTGCGGGAGATGGAGTCGCAAGTATCGCCAGACTTGACGGTGTGGGTAGAAGATGCCTTGCTGGCCGAGCCGGTTTGGTTGGCAGTTGAAGTGGTAATGTTCAAGTCTTCATATGTGTCTCCGGAAGAGATAGTAGCGTTGCGGCCAAGAGTCTGGTTCGTGCATTGTACATCTTCCCACTTGCCGCTGAATTTTTCCGGGAACTTGTAGCTAGAGCATGGCTTGTAAGGAGTAATCTTGACAGACTGAATATAGGCAGTATAAGGTCCCCCAGTCATATTGAGCTTGCCACCAGCCCAGTCGGAAGTAGCCTGAGGAGTGTCTGGATCGCCAGCATTCCAAATGCCGAGATGCAGACGCGATGGGCTCTGGGGGTATTGATAATCACCACCAGCACCAGTGTTCTTAAGCGTTCGAACCACGCGACCGTCAATGAGCCATTCAACTTGCTCAGGCTTCCAGTCATATGAATAAGTGTAGAATTTGCCATGGGGATCGTTGACATTAATCTCCGCACCTCTATCGTAGTGGCCAGTAATGCCCTTTCCGAAATAGTTGGTTTGTACCTTGCCTTCGCCTTTACCGAAGTTATTGCCAGACCATTCCCAGTCGAGCTCGTCCTGGTTGTCGCTCATAAGCACGGATCCAGTAATCAGACCTGCGCCAGGAGCCGCTCGCAATTTAACATCGACACGTCCAAACATAAGATACTTGTCTGTCCAAATGTATGGCGCATCATAGCGTTTGTTGAATGTGAACATGGCACCATCTGTAGGGCTGAAATTGACGGTAGCATAGTTGGCGGTAATCCAATCACTAGAGGGAACTGAAGTCTGCTTGGTAAAATCAACTTCGTAGGATTTGTCAATACCAGGGATTGGGTCAGTACATGTTTCTATCAAGATATCAGTATGGACTTGGTACTAACGTCAGTAGACTTACGAGTCGACGGGTTGCAAACCTCCGCTGTGGTGAAGGCCAGGGAGCCTGCTAGAACAGCGAGTGATAACGCTAACATGGTTAATGACAATTGTGAAGTGATGAAGAAAAAAGGCCACACGAAACACTGGCAAAGTCATTTTGAATAATTCACTTATGCCTACCATGAACAAAGAACCATTTCGCGTTCGTGGGTGGATGGAGGTAAACAAAGCACCACGAAGTAGACATCAAAGAAGTCGAGTATTCCGCAAACGTTGTAGTCCATCGTCGTCTGGTGCCTCGAGGTATGAGACTCCAAAAGCACGATCGACCACACAGTAGATACGCGATCGCTTTGAAGTGGGGTGTCACGCGAGAGTTCTGTGTAAAAAAGAACTCATAGTGAAGGAATATAGAAGCCAAAAAGTCGCGAACAGAACAGCTGCAATCTGATGACAAGAATAGTGTCGTCGTCGCAACCGTTATGATGGTCGTTGCGGGTGCTGGAGTCAAACATAGAAGACAAAGACAGAGTTTGAATGAAGGCGTCGTGCACGTGTTCATGTCTTGGCATATAGGAAGAAGTGCCGGATTCGCCGATGTGCCGGTGCACGGCCAGCTGGTTTAGGAGTACGTTCGGTGAACTGTGACTTTCAATTCCAAACTTTGGTTGATCTCATTGAACGCGAAGGTTCACCCTAACTAGAATCGCATGGTCACACCACTGCAAATTCCGGCTCAAATGGTCCTGTAGTGTGTTTTCTCTTGTGTATTTCTTGCTGCAAAGTGCGTCAACGTACTTTGGCAGGTGGACCAGCTTCACTCTCAGCAATGCGCCTAGTGATATGCCGTCCGTACTACTGTCATGGTCATGTCAGGCTAAACCTCGCTGTTGTCATGAGCCGCTTCGGAATGTTCCATGTTCTTGGCAGAGGTTAGGTTTTGGTCGCATGAGGGTTCAAGTTTGTGGCTGCAGAACTTCGCCAATGACGCCCGAGTTCTGCCCTAGAGCAAACTCAATTGCAATGACAGTTTGAAGAGTGGTTGTGTTCGCAATACTCAAACGTCCACACAGCAGGTACCTCGAGACGTGACGAATATTGCGAAAGTTTGTTGGAGACTCTGAGTTTTTGTTTGCCGTATCTTCACCCTCGTCCGTAGCGGTGGGCTTTCGGCAACAGAGCAGCGACATCAAGTCCGACCTGATGTACTTTCGGAATACCTCGCCATATCGCAACTCTGCAACCAAGCGTCGCTGACCCGAGGCCGAGATGCTGCCAGAAACCAGCGAGATGCGGAGCTGTCTTACACCACGATCTCGGATATTGCAGGAGCTGGGCTGCTTTGTACCGATTCTCGAAGTACATGCCGTCGTTCTCGCACTGCTTTGTTTTTAGCCGAACGAAAGCCAGCTAGTGACCACGAAGTTATGCATGCTCTTGCTTTTATCCTTATCGATATGTGTTTCAAGATACCCTGTGGTAGGTATTGGTCCGTGGGTTTGAGAGACGCGAGTCAGGCAGTGGGAAGGTATCTTCTGGGACTCTGTATAAATGGGTGAGATGTCAGCTTATAGGACTACAACGATCGAGCCTGAAAGTGACTGCAGAAGTGCATATAGTGGCGTGTTTTGGTTTGTTTCTCTGTCCATATCCTGAGCAGGACAACCTGGCGTGGGTGAGGATCTGCCGTCGATATGCCAACACATCCAGTGCTTGACATTTTTGCTGATAAATGCATTAACGACATCAAATCCAGCCATTCGAGCAGTGTGATGGCGCTAAGAACTTACCTTATTTCCACGTCTAACAGCCGGTACAGGCACAGGGTCAGTGGTGTCATGTTCGTCAGTACGAATGTATGATGGTGATATTGCAAAACGGGCTGGCGAAAATGACGTTCTTTTGACACCAGAAGCTTGGCTAATTGAACTAGCTAGAGTCAAGGCATCAAATAGTGACGATGGAGGAGATACGAGCTGCATACGATGGACGGGACGAACCGGCTGATACCAAGCGGGAGTGTTTAGATGAAACTACTCTCGCAATGGTCATGAACTACTAGCGGACCGTTAATGTGCACCCCGTACTGAGCAGTCTTGCAACCATTGCGAGCTCCACGCCGTACGATTGCGCAAACCAGTTCAGCTGGGATTCCACAACCACATCGATCGTGCTGCAAATTACCTTTATGATTCTCTGTCCGGACGAAGCGGTTAAATACGCGAGCAGCAGCACATGCTACTATGCTCGCCGTTGAACAATTCGGACTAGAAGCTTGGACTGCAGCCACAAACCGAGAAATAATGCCTCCTTTGAAGCTCGAAGCTGAACGAACACAAGAAGAAGCTTCAGCAATGAACAAACAAGTGCCTAACGATTGAAGAACCATTCGCTCCCATCCACATCCTCCACAACCCTGTGTTTTCCTTGCTGTGATCAAGCAGTACGAGCTCTTTAGAATTGCCACAGAAATGGCTTCCAACGGCTGCGGTAATTATGTGCATACCTGAAAATGGTCAGCATCAACCTGTTGTTCGTCCAAGATGATGACCACCCACGCTTGGGGATGTCAATTCTATTGACTGTTCGCTGCTAGCTTGCTGTTCCAATACTTCTCGACGGCTTTTCGTGCTGTTTCGTTTTGAAATCGTGATTCTGATCTATATCTGTTGAAGACGCTGAACTCGGTCTGGCTCATGGTAAAAGTGTTGGGCTGGGCTTGAATCCTGCTCCAAATGCGATTGAGCTCGTTGGTGAGGACTCTCTCAGTCTCGGTATCGAGTAGTTCTGACTCACAGTCGTGAGCACGTTTCAATGCTTCACGGACGTTCATTTTGCTTTTCAATATCCTAGAAGGTTGTACTGCGTTGGTTTGGCGAAATATCGACATTGAACCAGTACTATATGGAATCGTTTGACAACCCTCGTTTAGATACATACGAAGGTGAACTCGAGGGGTGTGTAGAAGTCTCTAGTGCTTTGAGCTAGGAAGGATTATGGTGGCAGTTTACTAGCAGGGTACAGGCAGGGGCTTTTGAGGCTGAAGCAATGTTGCTCTTCGCGGTGTTAAAGAGAGTCAAAGCTACTCCCAGCTTATATGCGAGATACCATTGCATTTTGCGGTCCGAGCGACTCGGCAAAAGAGGACAGGAACCCATTTTGGCGGCGAGCCTTGATTTCGGTACCGCGCGATCAAGTGTTTTGGGACATACCTGTGGATGTTTGACTTCAGTCGTCTTGAGTCAAACAAAATTTTGAGTTACCTATGACTGCGGCTGACTCCATATTAACATGAATCGTAGCAAGAACAAGGCAAGCAATATGAGCATGGGTACGTCAGTGGCCAAATCAGGATAAGTAGAGGCCTTCGTGAGTATTGGCCAAGCTTGCTTCTGATTTTAGGTGGTGATATAGGGATCCGTACTGATATTTAGAGTCACGGCCAAAGAATGGTATGCGTTCGGTTAAGTGAACACTGATGTCGTGCCGTGATCTGAACGAACCGAGGCGCGTTGCCATGTTCCACAATGAGTGTCGCCTGCTGCACGATTCTGTCATGACCAAACACAGTACGAAAAAGCACCGGTCTGATAGGGAGACCGAACAGAACGCGGTCATTTCGCAGGGATATGGATTGATGACTGCTAAAACGACGGTCGGTAGCACACATGCATGGCCGCAACATCGCGCGAAGCCAAGGACATGAGGGTTTGCTCATCCGCCAACGTATATCACGGGGTACATGACCACAGGCGGAAATTTCGCCAAGCCGGTCTTCAGACCATTACCTTTCCCAACCACAAGGACGTAAATTCACGAAGAGAACTAGTGGTAAATGATAAGTTTCCACTGTCCATACGTTCTGTATTGAGCACTGAGATAAACTCACAGGCCACTTTGCAGTCTTCGATACATGCACTGGATAGAGAGCGCTTCAAGCACATAATTCGCTTAGGAAAACCCACTATCGAAGCAAGGTAGCTTGGTGTTTGGGACGATAGCGAGCGGAACAAAATCGCAGCGACAATGGATCTTCAGCTGCCGAGCCTGACAGAGGTACGTGGATAATGATCAGACGAGGTATAATAGCGCCGTTGCTTTGTAATCCAAGACCGATTTGGATTAACTCACGAGCCGCAGAAACAATGACACAATATAGGATGGCCGATCGATAAGATTTGAGGACGGATTTAGGAGTGAGCGTTCGGCAAAAACAGGTAAATTTCGTGGCTCAAAAGGACAGGACAATTGAAATGGACGAAGAAGGTTTTGACCATGCTGATTTGAGTGCACGAGAAGCTACGATCCACATCGATCCACCTTGATCCACTCCTATTTCCAACTGCCGGAATCAGGTTCTGCTTGCAGTAAACCTTAAGTATACGATTCTCCTTAACCATTCACGCATGGTGATGAAATGCAGGCGCTTGACAAGCAGATGTACTGATCGCCGTACACCTCACTGACTGACGTGAAGAGTCGCTGGCCCTATCATAAACAATCGTGAGGGGTTCTCGTTACACTCATCGCCTTGCGAGGCCCTGGACGAATGTACTGGTTGAACCCGCGGCTTCGAATCCTCATATTGGCTACTGCCAGGATGTCGCGCCTACTGGACAGCGATGCTAGCCTCGATTGCAAGAACGACATAGTACATCTTCTTGCCGAAGTTCTGAGGCGATCGCCAACACCCGGTCTTGTGGTTCGTGTGGTTTGATATTCGTTCTCAAACACGCTTCTGAAAGAATTGCCCAACAGGTATGGGAGAAAGACAAAAGTTCGCAATACACTGCCACCTATCCTGCTCGGGTTACTCTTCGGACAGTGCTTGCTATACGTTGCAGTCGAAGACACCAACGGTCCTTGCCAGCACAAGTGACGTTGTCAAGCTTCTCTAATGAACATGTATCGTGACTGCTGGATGAACACATCAGTAGAAGCGTGTACTGATGCTTGTGATCAGTCTTCGCTAGCTATAATTCCCCTCCAGGTGTTTGTTCTTATCTTGGCAGTCGACCTCAAACAACATCAACCTCATTTTCCACCCTATGCTCAAGCTTCGCATGACGCCAAGGGCCGGTCACCAAGCCTGAGCTATCCCGAAGCTAAGTAATGCCACGTACACACTCACCATTCAATATTTGTCAGAGCCAGTTTCTTAGCAACATCACTGGAACAAAGTAGTGCATACTACCCCGAACGACTGGACTCTTGCATCTTTGCTATTTTCACTCGAGCTTCGTCCTATGTATAGCACCTGCGAAGCTCTGCCACTGAGTCGCCAAGATCCACAAGGGAGGCACTGCGCCACCACGACTGACTAGTAACCTAGCATAGGCGGGCGTAACAGTTTTGGTTTTAGATAGCGAGGCACTACGTAGGTATGCATCTTGACAAACAGTGTATCAGCCCACAGCAATTCGAGGTTGACGATAAGAACACGACGAGTGGTAGCGATGGCCAAAGCTAAATGTCTGCTTGGAGTACTCGGAAGGGGGGACGAATTAGGCATAAAGTGGGTCTACCCTAGACCGGTGGTTTTCCGTAGTGTGGTCGATCAACCTCTCTTTTCTCAAAACGCATCTGGGCATTGAGATGCATTCGTGAGATCTGCCCTTGAACTGCCGCGTTTCGTATCCTTCGATCTCGAACTGGTAATCTGACCAAGGCGCTACTTACGACTGAGGCCTGATTGGAAGTCAGATCGATATGGTTTACTACTTTCAGTCCACAGTCGTGGACCCTCCTGCATACATCTACGTCGGTAAAGACAAAGTGGAAAGTAAGGCGGCCTTACAACCGAAAGTTATACCTTTCACAGGCTAAATGACCAGATGAGGACCTGATCAAGTTCGGCTGGGAGGAAGACGTGTGGTAAGCGTGCTGCACTCTGACGTGTTCAAGCAATAATCTGACAAGATCTTGAAGGGTAAGGTGTCAGCACACTCAAGTCCAGAAGCAGACTAAGTCATTATCAGTTCCATGTGGACAACCTCTCCAGTGCTCACGTCTATCTTCGGATGAAACAAGGAGATTCATGGACGTCAATACCGAAAGAGCTCCTTGAAGATTGCGCACAGCTGACGAAGGCTAATTCGATAGAAGGTGAGTTGATGCTATTATGAAACAACAAGATACGAATGAGCCGTGGCAGGCAACAAGAAAGACAACGTCACCATTATCTATACACCATGGTCAAATCTACGCAAGGACGCCTCGATGGCAACAGGTCAGGTATCATTCCATGACCCTAAGATGGTCAGAAAGATACATGTACCAGCGAGACAGAACCCGACAGTCAACAGACTGAACAAGACCAAGGTCGAGAAGTTTCCTGACCTGTATGCTGAGCGTGAGGCGGATCAGAGGGAGAAGCGCAAGGCTGAGCGACTTGGACGTGAAGCGCAGAAAGCCAAGGATCGACAGGAGAAGGTAGAACGGGAGCAGAAGAAGTGGCAGAAGGATCACGCGTACGACGATATGTTTCGTGAAGAGAACATGATCAGCAATGAAGACCGGGACGCTGGGTTTTATGAGGACGACTTTATGTAGAAATTCATGGACTGACCACAGGGCACAGCTCCTTCCCACTCCCAACTTTGATACCTGGGTGAATGTCTCTGTTCGAACTTCGACCAATTCCAGAATATAGCCTGAATATACCCTGCACATAGCGGAAGTCGCGGCATTTTACTCATGCTCTTCCCCATCCTCCACGACCCGCAGGGAGGGCTGAAATTCGGTGCATTACGACAAGGGGTTGACACGTGCGCTTTCCGCAAGCCACGATGTTATTGACAACCCAACTGGGGTGCGTGAGAGTGAGACAAGCTGATTTCTGTAAATCGCTTGGATTCAGTATACAATGGTGCTTAGCCTTTGTGTCCTTCTGTCAACATTCTGAAATCGACCTAGCCGAAGGTTCAAAACCTCCAGTGTCGTTCTTCTACGCGATCGCATCGGATGATCATTGTTTTGCAGATGATCCCCTTCTTCCATCATTGAATATATAGCGGAGCAGACAGTACTCCTTGCACCAGGACATCTCGTATCTGCGAGCGCTCTGCAGATTCAAGCGTGCCATGGCTTCAACGGAAGGTCCTGCCCGCGCTCATGGTGTGCCATCTAGAACATCTATATGTATACGTGCTAATGGTAGCACAGATAGACATGCTCGAAGACGACCCTTTGCAAACTGGATGAAGCGTCTGGCTAACCTCAAGAACCTCCATAACGAGCCTGCGACTTCTCGGCAGTCGAATCCTTTGACACCAATACGAGGCAAAAAGACTGGATTTATAAAGAACAATCCCTACCCAAATCCTCGAAGTGAGCCGGCAAATGTGCATGCATCTTCGTCAATCCCTTTATCTGTTTCTGGGTCACGCTACAGCACAGAATCAAGAGGCAAGATTTCTATGACGCTGTCTCAGGATGGTCAAAATGCGCCCAAGTCAAGAGCTCCTACATTAGGCACGACCGCTGAGACAATCGTGTCAGGAGCCGGCACAAGCAACACTGTTCCTCACACCGAAGGAGATCGAGACAGCACCTTTTCTTCGCCTGCCCCATCTATGCGCTCCGTAACGACCACCCTTACGACAATGCAATCTACCACTCCAGTCATTGCTGGCGCTCCGGGCAATACTGGCTCAAACCCAGTCTATAGCTCGACCCAACCGGCGAGTGCAGTACCGGCACACCTGGCACCACATGCGCATACAGCAACGTATCATACCGCCACTGCGAATGGCTTCTTGAGTGACGATGCTTCTATCTTGACATTGGCTTCATCTTCAAAACGAAGGAGGAGGAACAGCCTGGATACAAATGCTTCAATACGGGCGCTAGCTCCGCAGTCGATGTTTGGTGGTTCTCGAGAGTCCCTGTCTTTGTCAGTGCTTTCTGGCTCTGCGTACCATGTCACGACTCCACGCGATGCTGGAGACAATGCTTCTCTCCGAGACAATGCATCCTCTCACTACCCTCGATCGATCTCCGCCATGAATGTTGAAAGAGCAAGTTTGATCAGTGCTAGTGGCGTCACTGCACCTGCATTGGCATCTGAGCGCAACAGTTATATTGGTAGCAAACCTACTGGAGATGGTGCAAGCATTCGGAGTGGCCTGGTTGGTCAAAATGACAAAGAAAGAGACAGAAGTTTGTATCATACGAGAAACGATAGTATCGGAGGCCTCTCTGCTGCAAGAGAAAGATTTAGGGACGGACCACGGGATGGTAATGGACAAGACCATTTTAGAGACAGAGAAGACAGGACTGCTACTACGTCTATAGGCTCTGTACCTGGCTAGATATGCTTGTGTATGGAGAGGTGTTGAAATTCGGGATGATGATTTTGACAGGGAGGAAATTAGGCCTTGGCTCGAGCTGAATTGTGCTTTTCATTGATACCCATTTTGCAGTTGGAAACAACTAGGAGGCAGGAGCGTCGTGTTTGTGCATTGAGGGAAAGAGCGATCACTGGTTAGGGAGCGTCTTATAGCTATATATTGGCAAGAGTTGTTCTGCTTTACGAATATAAGAAGCAACCATTCGTGCGATCCGATGCTTGACGGGCCTTTCTAAGTGCAACAGTGTTTTGATCTTCTCAATTTCTCTGATCGACGTTACAAATATGTGCTGTAATGTAAACTAAAATAGGGCCAACACGGCTGGTAACTCGTCGTTCCAGCTGAACCAGCTGCCAGGTCGAGAGCACCACTCGAGCTGCTCACCTTTCTCAATCATGCAGCTACATCGACGCGTCTGCTAATAATGCGTTCCTCATGGCGATAGACAGGTTTTGTGAGGTCAGCCCCATGCTCTGCGGCCGTTCATCATGAGCGTAGCAGCACGCGACCACGGCCGTCATACATATGGCCATAGCACAATCGACGGCTCTGCAAGAGTACAGTTGGGTGATATCAACTCATATACGTACCACTACTCGTTCGCTGACACCAAGGATGCCATTTACAAGAACACCCTTGCCGTTACCCTGAGTCAAATCATCCATCACCAATCCCTCTGTGGCAGCTTCGCGAGAATACCAGCCTCAAGATCGATTGCTCGGAAGTTGAAAGAGTCGCTTAGCCTCAAATTAGACACACTACAAACCTACCTTGCGCGTGTCCAGAAGATCGAGCAGAAACATGTTTTAAGCGTCGCTCCTGAAAGTCGCAACCGTATGCTCGAATCTACGATGGCCGATAGCAAAGTGGAAGTCTATATAAATATGACAAGCAGCTTGCTTCCCAAGCTGTCCGACCTGGCAAAATGGCAATGCTCGAACAAGGGGCAGGTTTCGTGTCTGGACGATTTCTGCGATCTGGTCGAACGTCTTATCCAACAGCTTGCAGCTAGGCGCGCCCTAGGCACTACCGTCGCCGAGATTCCAGGAGACAGTCGAGGTCAAGCTGCAGACGAGGACGTCCCGACGAGTCTCGAGGGCCAGACTAATTCGGATACTCATCCTGCTGACCTCCCGGAACAGCATCGAAATAACACTTCGTATAACGAACAAGAGTATCTCTATGCAACGCGGGACTTCTGGCGTCAGCTGACGTCTATCCTTCAAGAGATGGTCAGCCTTCCGACACGATGCTGGAAGAGGCTGTTGTTCAAGTTCGTGATTCCGCTCGCCATCTTCACAGTGGTGCCGATATCGCTCGTCAATGCTTCGATGAAAAAGGCCTCTATCGAGACGCGTATCGCTCTGTCTGTTCTTGCCATCTTCATGATCCTTTGGGGTATGTATGCTATGGTCGTTAACAGGAGATTTGTGCGACGAATGAACAGAGATCAAGGTGCCACTAATCCAATAAATATATGATGATTCGCCGCAAGCCACAAGGACTCCATCTCGAGTCAGCAACCGTCAATCAACAATTCTTCCTGTCGTTCACACACCTTCGGTTGACACCTGTCCATCCTCAGATGGCCTCTTTACAAAATGGTCGGCATATCTACACCAGAGGGGTTGCCAATATGTCGACGACGCGGATATCGTGAAGATGCCCCAATAGCTCTTCCTTTGCGGTCGGTCAGTATTGTCGTTGTCGAGACTACACACTTCATGGTCTTGCGAGGCTCCAATCCGCAACCTGAAAAGAAGTCTCATGTACCTGCTTCCTTGGTCTTTACATTGAGCAAGCATCACAACCAGCAGCAGAGCATTCTATGTGTGGGCAAGTCGAATTTGGTGATTCGCAGTCTTCCTGAGATTGCGCAGTCTGTTGTGGCTCGAGGATGTCATCTCTGCACGAAGTGTGTCCAGGTGTTGTCACTAAGTGCTCAATGCAGTTTTGTACAACATTCTATCCCCATACACACTATGGTCGGAACTCCTAGTGATATGAAGATGTGTAAACGACGTTCGCCTTTCCGCTCTGGGCAACCAAAACACTTCAGCTGTCAATACCGAGTCGCATGAGCGCCATTGTTTGAGACCTCCCATCACGACTTTCTCGTTCTTGTGTCCCTTCAAGAAAATCAGTTTCTCGCACCAAGATGCCTCGTGGTATTGAATACGAAGGTGGCCAACCTGTGGCCTGGACTAGGAAGCGATCGTCGAAGAGTAAACGTAAGCCACCCTCAAGTGGTCGCTTGCCGGCGTCAACCAACGCACGGGAAAAGCCAATGCATGGTGCTGACACTGAGCCACCACTGTCCTCCCTTTCCAACCTCCTCACAACCTACTCGAATATTGGTGAGCAGCTGAGGGAGATAGATGAGGATGTTGCCACATTCTACTCTCCACGCGCATTCCAGCTGATAGAGACTATGAGTGAGTCATCCGAAGGACTTGACGCTGGTACTGCACTTTACCTCGAGATTGAGGATGACATAGTTTGGGAAGTGAAACGCTTGAGCCGCGAAGCGAACGATGCATCTCAATCGTCCTCGGCATCTACGCTCAGAAGATCCATCAAAGCTAAGGACGGCCTTACGAAAAACTTCGAGAGGACTCTTGACAGAGCTACCGCTCTACAGCGCAAGATTACCAGAGCTATACAGGAGACACAACACCACAAAGAATCTGCAAAGACTTATACTGAAGGTCACAAGAAAAGAGCGCAGTCCAGGCGGCAACGTTCGCAACAAGAAAGACCGCTTGATACAGAAGCGTCAGTACCAGAGCAAGCGAATAGCAAGAAGGAACGTGTACTGGCTGATAGTACACATTCAGAGCAGACGCTACGCGCCCCTCAGTTGCGTATACCATTAGAGAAAACGGAAGCAGCAAGCGCTACGACTGAACTGCTCGAACTCTACAATCATTTCACAGACGGGCTCGAAGACTTGAACGGAGAGCTGGAGAACGTCTACGACAGAGAAGTAAGCTATCTGCTCTCAGTCGCCCGGAACAAGGAGAGCAGCAAAACCCGCTTGGACATTGTATCTAAGGCACAAGAGCAGATCAATCGTGTTCTTGAGCGCAACGAAGAATTACGAGATAAATTTGAACACGTAACTGAGGGGCCGACTTTTAAGGCTGCTGCAGCCAGTGAACAAGGAAATATCGACTTGCTAGCTGATTCATTAGGCAGAGTCAATCGCCTTGCTGCTGTCATTTATGAGAAAATGGCAGAAGCGTTCGAAACGCCACGTGAAGCTCTGTCAAAAAGCCAACGCGGTAGACACGCTCCGAGAAAGATCGTCACTGATGGCAGAACCGATAAGCTCAAGGCGAAGCAAAAGGAGTTACTCAAACTCTGTGACCGGCTCCAGAGGCAATATCCTCCCAATGTCAACAGTCACAGAAAGGACGTTCCCGAACCTATGCGTGGCAAAGGGAAGGCTAGAGAATTGCGATACCCAAACGCATACAGATCTTCTAACAGTCTTGCGAGCAGTTCTGGCACAGCTGCTGCATCAGCAGAATTGGGCACAGCAAAAGAGAACGAGGATCGTGGACCGAATCTGCGAGATCTGTTCGAGCAATTTGACGGAAAGCTGACCTTGAATGCTGCAGATGCCTGGCAGTCTGAGGCCGGCTCGACTAGGTCCGCTAGGCTAGAGCGGTTTCGACGGAACAAGGCGACGGCAGAAGCAAGACTGTGGGATCGCATTGAAGGTGAAGACTGATAGATGATGTTGGATAAGTGGACATTTTCAAACCTGTACTACTACGTCGATACAACGTCGATACAATACTAGTTATAAGATTCTCTATCAGCATTTTGCAATCTCAATTTTCAATGACGACTTCTGCAACATCGTGATTTACTAATGCCTCTCCCTTTCTGAAATGCGTGCAAACACGACATTTCACTCCCTTTCTAAGCCCACTCTCTGCCTCAACCAAAAAGAGTGCACCAAGTGACAATAGTGAACCAAGGGCAAATCTGCACTTTCAGACAATGCAGACAAAGAACACAAGTCAAAGCCCTGCACAATGCTCGTATCAATGCCCCTCTTTTCCTCCCCGATTGACTTCACTCAAGCTACACTATGAACATGCGGCGCAGCGAAAACTGACCCGAGTCCTTGCCCTCCTGCCCTTCCGACCCGCATAGACTAGATGAGAGTTTTAGCTCGTAGCAATGGCATCGAATCTTGTACCACATCAGAAAACCGAGAGGCCAAGAGAACGAAGTTCACGCCCAATTGACCAACACCACAACCAACACCACAAGCACAACCAAAAGAACCACTATCAAAGAAACCTCGACACACACCTCCACTTTATTATCATCAAACCCTTATTACCGAAACCAAAACAAATCATCAGAAATGGGGTTCTTCACAGACCTCCTCCTCGGTTCCCCCAAACGCGTCGCCGTTGACCAACACGGGAACAAATACTTTGTGCGGCAGAAGAGACCCACAGAGCGTCCGGCGACGACATCAAGAAGTGGTGGTGGTAGCTCCCGATCCCGCTCAACATCCGACCGAACATCATCCTCTTTGTCCTCCTCTAGAAAACGAGCACCACCACCACCAGCAAGATCAGCACCACGACAAGCACCGTCACGTGTATCCCGAGCGCGGAGCACTGGCAGAACCGAGACTACAGGTAGTGGAAGAAGTAGCCAGGTTCATGATAGAGATAGCCTTTATGATGGCAGATTGAGGGAGACGTTGTATTTTGTGGATAGGTCGCCGCCGAGACAGCGAGAGCGAGCGCGAGAGGGCCGGGGTGGTGAGAGCCGATATGGTGGGGAGGGTAGACGGGGTGAGAGCCAGCGAGGTGGAAGCAGACATGGTGAGAGTAGGCGTGGTGAGAGTCGGCATGGGAGTGTGAGAAATAGAGATGAGCGGGTGAGGTCGAAACGGCCGGTATAGATGACGAATTTGAGATAGAGATAGTATGAAATGAAACGAAAACAAAAAAAGAAAAGGATTTGTTGTTGAATTGATAGGTGCAGAAAGCAATTGAAAGCAATGGTGTTCGACTTGTGCAAGGCACGTGATCTGTGAGAGAACAAGTACTTGACTTGGTTCGTTACTTGGTTTTATACCTTGACTCATCTCATGGGGGTCTTGGCTTGTTAGCAGCATCTTCCTTAGTGTCTCCGCCTACTGCTTTTGACTCAGTCACGGCATTGGCTTGTTCCTCTTTCTGCTTCTGCCGGCGTGGTTGCGACTGGTGAAGTTGATCGTCGTCTGCTCTTATCAAATTGCTTGCATGCACACCAATCATGCCCAATAAATGTGAGCCACGATCGGGATTGGAAAACCACCAGTTTGCGTCTCTCTGATTTCTTCTATTCACTTCAATCCTGGCAGCCAGTGCACTCGGTCCAGTACTTCGCCTCTTTGCGCTAGTCAGCTCGGCTTCATGTTCGGATACAAAGAGGTGCGACCATTCTGGAACACGCCTAACTTCCTCCCACGTGAATTGTTCGAGTGCGTTGGCGGCATTGTACCATTGGTTACCTGCAGGATTGAAGGTTCTGCAGTTGTCGAAGATCAACTTCGCATCACTAAGGAAGTCCTCTGGTTGCTTGTAAGCTCCTTCCTGCAGTTTCTTCTTCATAGTGCCAAGGTCCATGGGGTTTTTGATTTTGTCTCGATATTCTGGTAATTGTGTGGTGTCCACGGGCACTTTGAAGCACCACGCAGCGGCATGGCTGGTCAACCTTTTCAACAAGTTTTGAGCAATGAGCTTCATGGCAGTCGCTTCGTGCTCTGCGACAATCCTGTTGATCTCTTGGTTATGAGCGACAATGTTTCTTGTGAGTATTTCCTGCTTGGCAAGACTTTCTCGCAATTCATGGCGAAGCGCAATGTACTGGGAAGCCATGGTGGGTTGGTCTTGATTCTGATTATGGTGTTCATCGACGTCTGTCTCTTCCTCGGTACCTTGCACATTGGTTGGGCCTGAAACTTCTTGTTGGTCCATGTTATTCGGATCGAAGTTGGTTTCCACGAGTCGTGGAGGGTGATAACTAAGAAAGTAAGAACAGTTGCAGTGCGCCTGAAGTGAATCATGGCACGTTGATTCAGCAAACACATTTGTAGTTTGATCTCTGCCACGATTGTGTCTGTCAAGTTATTGTCCCAAACTAAAGACTATGTTGAATGTTTGCAATCTTGCACATGAGACTACAAGTCGAGAGTCACGACCAATTCTGGCTCATTCAGGTCGCACCATGAAAGATCACCAATGTTGGTCATGATACATGCAGCAATATCGGAGTAATCGCAAGACCTACCTTCTTGTCTTGCCTGGATCACCGTTGCACTATACAACGGATGTACATGACCTCCTTGGAGAACCGCAACCCAATCAGGCCAGTGGGCGGCTCAATTCCACATTTGATATACATACCACTTGAGTTCTGCGGCTAGCAAGCGTGAGTTGTCGGTGTATTAAATGTACGGAAGTGACAACCTGAACAGAAGTAGTGCTAAGTAGTCGCGATGTCTGTTGTTGCCTGCTTCTGCCGGCGGGTTCGGGGTTGATTAGCTAAGCGAGTGGTGTGCTGAGAAATAGCACAGCATTGTTCGACGTACCTGAAGTAGATAGCAGAATCCAAACCTCTGGTAATAAGTTGAATCATAGCCTTTTCTCTTGCCGTCATTAACCATAACAACAAGTACAAATATGACAACGCTAAGCCCAAACCTCACTTCACGGAAAGCTCTTGAAGAGTGGCTGCTGGACTTTCACAAAAGCTCAGCTACGCTCGATGCAAAGCTTTGTGCTGATAAATTCTTCACTCAGGATGTCGAAATGTGCTACGCCAATAACCTGCCAGTCAATGGTAAGGCATCAGTTGAAGCGTTCTTCGACAAGGCCTTCAAAGCATTGGATTTAATGCACCACGACATCAACTACTTTGACTTTGTGGGCCCAGATAAGCTGTATCAGGCGGCCACCATCAAGTACCTGGTTAAAGGAGATGATCCAGACAAAGATTTGATTGTGATCCCAGCCATTCAGGTGGCCTGGCTAAAGGAGGAGGAGGGCAAGCTGAAAATGCGGAGATCAGAGATTTACCTGGATGCGTGTCAGGTGTTTGCCAAGATGTCCGAAAAAGGCCTTCTGTAGTGGTAAAAGCCGAGGCGTCTACGGTGGGAGGAGATATGAGCATCTAGACAGTGAGATGTAAGACCAAATGAACAATGGGAAGACCGAAATGTGAGGCTGGTGAGATGAGAGTTGTATACATAGCTGCCACAATGACCACTCACAATAGCTTTCGGTCAGGGTTATTGCGGCTCAAGTCCGTCGCAGTAATTATGTTCCTTGTCGCCTCCGCAAACTTGGGTCGCTGAATTTCGGGGTGCCAATAGCCGAAGAAGGCAAGAACGACGCTCGGTCTTGGCTCGGTTTTCTGAACCCGAACCTTCCAAGGCAAGAAGCTGCGGAGATTTCACGTGAAGGGAATGCTCGGTCCGGTAGTAAAGAAGCTCTCAACGCCTCTATGAGAGGATCAAACTAGAATTTCTGGTCAGGAGCATTGAAAAGTCTCGAGCGCGCCGTTGTTGTGTGCTTCTCTTCTTTCTACATCACAAACTTCTAGCTCATGGCTAGCCACTAATCGAATTCTATCCTATTAGTTTGCTATTCTGCATCATGTCCTGGCGTCACTCGCTACGACGTCTCGTCAAGCCTACACTGTATGGTGGTGCGGCAGTCGCAGCGGTAGGAGGTGCCGCCTTCTGGATCGTCTATAAGCCCATCGATGTGCCTGGGTCTCAAGGTGCTGCTGTTCCAATACCGACCGATGCCGAAGGGAACATAATTGCTCCTCAGTTCCCACTTATCAAGTCTCGAGAGGATGCAATTGCAGACCTCAGAAAGAGTGCCGGTCTAATTGGCGAGGCTTCCGAAACAGGGATTGCTCAGCAAGCATCAAACAGCTGGTCAAGATTAAAGAAAGCTGTTGACTCAAAACCCACCGCAGACACAGATGTTGAAAACAACAAGGATTTACAGGTCGATCAGAGAGCTGGTGAAGAGTACGATTTGCTCGTCATCGGTGGTGGTGCTACAGGTACCGGCATCGCTCTAGATGCAGCTACTCGAGGCTTAAAGGTTGCTCTGGTTGAAAGAGATGATTTCGCTTCCGGTACATCCAGCAAGAGCACAAAACTCGTTCATGGTGGTGTTAGGTATCTAGAAAAAGCTGTTTGGAATCTCGATTACAATCAATATGCCCTGGTCAAAGAAGCACTGCGTGAGCGCAAGTACTTCTTGGACACTGCTCCTCATCTGTCTGACTGGTTGCCTATCATGATTCCCCTCCAGCATTGGTGGCAGGCTCCTTACTTTTGGGCTGGAACAAAATTCTACGACTTTCTCGCCGGCAGTGAAGGTATCGAGACGAGCTACTTCATGACAAGGTCAAAGGCTCTCGACGCATTTCCGATGCTCAAGAAGGACAACTTGATTGGTGCTCTAGTCTACTACGATGGTGCTCACAACGACAGCCGAATGAATATCAATATCGCCACAACTGCTGCCCTTTATGGTGCTACAATGGTCAACTATATGGAAGTCACTGAATTGAAGAAGAACGCCGAGGGAAAGCTTTGCGGTGCTGTCTGCAAGGATCTCGTCGCTGAAAGAAATGGTAAACCAAGTGCTCCGGTGGAAATCAGAGCCAAAGGCATTATCAATGCTACTGGTCCATTTTGTGATGCCGTCCGAAAGCTGGATGACCAAAGCGTTAAAGAAATTGTCGCTCCTAGCTCAGGTGTCCATGTCATCCTTCCTGGTTACTACAGTCCTCAGAAAATGGGTTTGATCGATCCTTCAACCTCAGACGGTCGTGTCATCTTCTTCCTGCCTTGGCAAGGCAACACTATCGCTGGTACAACTGATACTCCTTGCGAAATCAAGCAAGATCCTCAACCCGGTGAAGATGAGATCAACTGGATTTTGAATGAAATCAAAGGCTATCTCGCTCCTGATATCAACGTTCGACGAGGAGACGTACTTGCTGCCTGGTCCGGTGTCCGCCCACTGGTTAAAGATCCCAACGCTAGAAACACCGAATCGCTTGTTCGAAATCACTTGGTTTCCATGTCTCCATCAGGTCTTCTGACATGTGCAGGTGGTAAATGGACTACCTACCGACAGATGGCTGAGGACGCAGTTGATGAGGCTATCAAACAGTTCAGGCTCACCACCAAAGCTATCACCGAGCGAGCACACATCAGTGGCACCGAGATGATCGACGATGCAGCTCCCCTCGATGGTACATGCCAGACTCACCAAGTTCGACTTGCTGGTGCTCATGGCTACTCAAAAACCCTCTTCATCAACCTCATCCAGCATTTTGGCATCGAAACTGAGGTCGCTAAACATCTCGCAGAAGCATATGGCGATCGAGCTTGGACTGTTGCCGCTCTCGGGGCTGCTACCGAGGATAGATTCCCTGTCAGGGGCAAGCGCATTTCTGCATTGTATCCCTACATCGATGGTGAAGTCAGATATGCAGTTCGACATGAGTTGGCGCAAACAGCTGTTGATGTCCTTGCTCGACGAACTCGACTTGCATTCTTGAACTCACAAGCTGCCTTAGAGGCGTTGCCAGGTGTCATTGACATCATGGCTGAGGAACTCAAATGGGACAGCAAGAGGAAAGACCTGGAGTTCACGCGCAGTGTGAGATTCCTCGCCTCGATGGGTCTTCCAGCAACAATGCTTGATATCACTCGTCAAGAGGTCGAGAGTGGCCAAGCACGCTTTGCTAACGAGACCGAGCGACGAAGATACTCACGCTTTGACGGCCCAGCAGATACACTGGAGACTGACTCGAAGTACCAAGATGGACATAATCCAATGATTGGCCGGGAAAGCACTGCCAACCGGTGACTAAGTTGGACTGGTTTAGAGCACGGGTTTAAAAATCTGGTACATGGAGTTCCTGGGCTGATCAATCAGTTGGGTGAGCTCTTCAAAAGCGACCGCATCGATCGCGACGGAATGTCTGCAATTTCCTGTCCTCGATGTGGATGGTCTCTATGCCATCCACAACACGTCGACACATATGACGAAGATATTGAGGAGCCTTGGCGCGATGAGTTCTATTCAGGAGTGCTTTTCTTTGCTTCTATGGCGCTACTCGGCGTGACGGCTGGATTGTTGCAAGGCTGATTTTGTAACTGAATTGTCGGAATATGTTGGAATATGTGAACGACTTAGTGATGCTCGTTGAGCATAAAAAGTGATGCAGTATGCAGCAAACCATGCTTTGGAGGGACCTCAATACTTGTTTGTCACTACTTCATATACCAATCATTTGTCGACATGACACTCGGATCCCTCATAAAGCTTGACGTGGCTCCTAGAGCTGCAGGTTCTTCTACTTCTTCTCCGTTGTCCGAGTGATATCGTACAACGAAATCAGTGCGCCTTCTGGCTGTCCTGTTCTGTATAGGTACTCACAACATCGAAGTTGGCAATTCCTCGAATGGCTGTACTTGACTTGACAGCTGTGGCTGCTCGATTGTATCAGGCTTGTCTTCGTGCAGCTTCAAGCGACGCGCTTTACAGCAGCCTCGACAGAGACTTTCAGTATTTTGGGCAAGACGACGACACTTCTGTTCATACATGTGAAGATAACTTTCTTGTCGTTCTGAACAATCGTCGCACCGATTGCCCTTGACCTCAGAGAAGACATGTCGTTTGGTAGGCCAAAGCAGTGTTGCGACCAAGCCAGGTTGTGATAGTGAAACAGGGTCACCAATAATGCTGGTGATATACGCAAAAACAAACAATGAAAGTGCAAATTCTTGAGCCGCATGGTGCAGATCACTGTGTGTGTGCAGATTTATATATATGTTTCGACTGGCTATACTGCTAACAATTCACCAATCCAAAGGAACGATTACAACAAACAGAACACACAAGAGATATGCCACCAGTACCTCACCAGCAGCGAGCCGCCAACGGCCCCAGACAAAACCCTTATGCTCGCTTCTTCAACTCGATAGGTGGTCTTTCCGAAATGTTTGGTTCCTCGGAACACGATACCCATAACAGTGAATCTGCTGATAACCACGAGCAAATTCAAACAGCAATCTCCAGCCCTCGTGCGACATTACAGAAGCTCTTCTTTGAACAGTTTGACCAGCTCATCATAGCTTGGCTTCGCCGGAGGCCGAGACTGAGAAAGTTGCTGACCATGTTTGCAGCACTAACGGCATTTTTATGGTACGTGCCTCAGCGGGCAAGCTTGGTATGGGACTACATGGTCTCCTACGTGCTGGCCTCGGTCAGGATTCCCAGGTCAGGTACCCTGCACACACACGTGGCTAATTTTATTGCCCATCAAGATTCGGCTATCTCTCGTTATCAGAGGCACGTTACAGCACAATCCAGAATTGATGCTAAGAACAACCTATCACTGCACGATAACAACTCCTGGAACGATGGTACCACGACTCGGACTGTCAATGGATCTGGGGTGCTCTACAAGGGTGAAGCTTCGAATTGGCAGACTTTTGTACACGAGGGCCGCAGATTCTTCTATACGAAAGGAGACAATGGCGACATCACAATCTGGCGCTGGAACTCCACACCAAACACTATCCAAAAACTTATTGAGGACATCAACAGGAGCGCGGTACAGAAGAAGCAAGCGACACAAATTCAGATCTTCATGCCATACACGTATGGGGAGGAGTGGTACTGGGAGCTTCAGGGCGAGGTCAAAGGTCGCCCACTTACAAGCGTCGTTCTTCGAGATAATCTCAAGGATGAGGTCATCCAAGATATTGAGGAGTTCTTGAGTGACGGTGCTTCGATGTGGTATGCTGACAGGGGAGTACCGTACCGCAGAGGATATCTCCTTCATGGACCACCTGGTACTGGTAAGACGTCTTTCATACGAGCGGTGGCATTCACCTTTAAGCTGAAAGTGTATCAGTTGGCATTAACTCAGGAAGGTCTTGACGACAAGCGACTATTCGATCCCCTCAAATCTATGAAGCCAGGTGATCTGGTCCTGCTCGAGGATATTGATTGTGCTGGTGATATGATAAAATCCCGCGGAAAGGGAACTGCCAAGCAGGACGACGAGCATGAGATCGACGGTGACGGTGTAGAGCACGAGTTTGAGGTCGATGATGGTTTCTACAGCGACTACGATGACGACGACGACGACGACGACGATCCCAGCACAAGCACAGGCTACGGTTGGGACGATGAACCCGTCATGAAGACGCCGAGGCAGCAGAATAAAGGCAGAGGGAATGTCCGGCAAGAAGAGAAGACTGCAAAGAAGTCTTTCAAAAAGACCTCAAAAAAGTCCAAGCCCAGATCTGGCGTGACACTGGATGGGCTCCTGCAAGCTATCGATGGTCTCCTAGCGCCTGAGGGACATCTTCTGTTTATGACCTCCAACCATCCGGAAGTCCTTGATCCAGCTCTCGTACGGCCAGGTCGAATCGACGTGAAGATCGAATTGGAGTATGCAAGCCGGACTCAGCTTCGCGATTTGTTCATCAACCTCTATACACCAGTCCGACCTGAGCGCAAGCTCTTCGACCTCTTGTCGGTCCCTCAATGGGCTGATGTATTTGCAGAGGCCGTGCCGGCAGACACCTTCTCTCCTGCACAGGCTCAACAGTACCTTCTTCAGCATCGAACACGTCCAGCTGCAGCTTTGACTGGGGTTCCAGACTGGGTGTTACAAGAGAAAGGTATGCACACGACCATTGATTTGAGTCTTGTCGAGGACATTGCGACCCACAGCAATACAGCAAAATTCACTCCGCAGTCATCAACAGATAGGACGTCAGAATCAGGACCATCAGGACTGTGGACGTCAACGACGGAGAGGTCAGAGTCTTCAGATAGCCTGGTACTCCTGAGTCCACGGCCTGAACCCGACAGTCCTCCTGCAGTGTTGTATCTGGAGCACGACGACGACGATGGAGACGATTATTCTGATCCAGTCGAGGTGGCTGTCTCGGGACCACTCTGTAACTTCTAAGTTGTCTTGATAAAATGTGTATCTTCAAAAGTCAAAAATAGACGTGTTGGCAGAGGTACCGTGTTTGTAGAAGTCTAATCATTGAGCTCATTCTGATCGATCAAGATGTGATTGCCGCCCCTCTGTTGCCTGGGCAGGCACAAAGTTGATCGGCTCCAGGGCTTGATTGCACAATCAACAAATTAACACCATTTTCGGTTGACTTGGTTTGATAAAATCATACATTGCGCCATTTCATTTAGACCATACGTAGAAATGTATGCTTCTCGCGCGGCTCATATCTGACTTTCCAAAGATCTCTTGCCTAACATTGCACCTCCAAAAATCGATACGTTTCACCCCGTACTGACCTCCTTGAAGCTCAGATCGATAGTAGTCTTGGGGTTGATTGTGACTCTACAGCAGTATCGTTTCCCAAATCTGCTTCGTTCATGCTGAAGATGATGCTTATCGTGTTCGTGCGCGTCTCCAAGCTCTAGATATGTCGGACATCTCCAGCTTGACCGATTTGACCTCGACTCTATCGACGGACACGCCCTGTGCCGAGCATGTCATCTTCGTCGAGTCGCTCACGTTGGAACAAGTTGAAATCTCTTTCAAAACATTGACCTGTTATCAGAACCCTGCCACACAAAGTTCTTGATCATTTAGCTCTGTCGTTACTGCACCGTCGAAATGAGCGCAACAGGAATTGTCTCGGCCTCAACCCTACCACTCCGAGGTAACATCACACCTCCACTCTCAGACAAAGGCGATGAATCCGTAACGGAGAGAAAAGAGACAAAACATGTCCATGGCATGAAAAACATTGATCCAATCTCAGCAATCTCTCATGCTTCCGCCGGATCAGGTATAACCATAGCCTCTATCCCAACTTTCGTCTCCTTCCAGGCTCAACGCCAATGGCAACTAGAACATATGGCCGGCGTTTTCCGCCACTGGTCTCGTCAAAACTACGTCTTCGGCATCTCTGGACACATCTCAGTCCGAGATCCAGAATATCATAATGCGTTCTGGACGAACCCGCTCGGTGTTCACTTTGGTTTGCTCAGGGCATCGGACATGATCTTGTTGAGTCTAGAAGGAGAAGTGCTACATCCACCTAACCATCGAGGACCAGGTTTTGAGACACTACCAGGACTGCAAGAGCATAAGTCGAGTCAACGCGCGAAGACTCGGCCGGCAAACGCGGCTGGTTTTCTGATCCATGCCGCTGTTCATAAGAGACGACCAGACGTTCATGCTGCGTGTCATTGCCATACGCCGCATGGGAGGGCCTATAGTGCCTTTGCCAAGCCGCTGCCTATGGTGAGTCAGGATGTTTGCAAGTTTTACAAGCGACATGATGTCTACCAGTCCTATGGAGGGGTCGTCCTGGCTGAGGAGGAAGGTGAACTCATTGCGGATGCCCTTGGCCCTACGAATATGGGTCTGATACTCCGCAACCATGGTCTTCTTTGCTGTGGTGAGACAGTTGACCAGGCTGCCTGGCTGTTTGATGTCATGGAAGCCGGGTGTAGAGATCAGCTGATGATCGATGCTGCTGAAGCAACTGCTGAGAAGGAGGGATACAGCTACAAGAGAGTGTTGATTGCGGATGAGGAAGCTGAATACAATCGTCAGATGGAAGGTGGTTCTGAGATTTGCTATGCTGAATTTCAGGCATATTACGATTATGAGTACGAGATGTGTAATGGTGACTTTACGAAGTGAACGAACTACATATGAACTAAATTAGGCGACAGGTAAACACACTGAAACTGAGCATCAACTTTTAAACTGACTGTCGCGTGCGATCGTATACTCCGCGAGTTGCTTGTTAATTTAGGCTCTGGTTCTTTTTCCAACCCTCACTGTCCGCGAGCACAATGTGAATATTGTCTGGAGATGTGGGGCTGTGATTGTATTGGTCCTGTTCGCTCCTGTTCCGGCTCGGGACTAGTATTAAGATTCAGAACCTGAGCCCCAGATTATGATGACCTGGCGTCCTCCCCATATTGCATTGACATAATTTTGTGCAAGTCGACGCCCCAGGTAAACAGTTCGTTTAGATGAGCGGGTCGTTAAGAGAAGTTCTTGTGAGTTGCAAGCCAACAAAGACCAAGAGCAAAATGAGGTGCGAGTGAGAGGGTGGATAATGGTTAGCGGTACGTATGTTTGCGAAGTTCGGTTTTGACCAAGCGACGAGCAATGAAAACTGCGAGAGCCATGTCTTCTCAACTTGAAGCATTTACTGCCTTTTTAGAACAAACTTATACTTCAGGTTACAACTAAAACCTAGCCTGTACTTTTTGTTGTGTGTCCTGCAAAGCCCAATCACTTCTCTTCTTCTTCGACCTGACCTTGTCACATTGTTCGGCAGTAAAGCCTTTGGCTTGTGTCGCTGGATTGTATCCTAGCCCGTTGGCTTTGCCTACGTCGGCATCGGATAACTGCGGCGCAGCCTTGCCATCGGGTCTTGTATAGACAGTCACCACAACAGCACCACCCAGACCAAGATTGTGCTGAAGGCAGTACTTGGTACCAGCTTTGGCTCGGTTGTTTGCCATTCCACGAAGATGCCATATCAACTCACTGCACTGCGCAAGACCTGTCGCACCGAGCGGGTGACCTTTGGAGATCAGCCCGCCAGATGGGTTGACGATATATTTGTTGCCCTTATAGGTAATATCACCATTTCGTACTAGCTCGTGTGCCTTGCCAGGCTCAGACAGACCAAGGGCATCGATGACACACATCTCATTGGCCGAGAAACAATCGTGAAGCTCAACAACTGACACGTCAGCTGGAGTGATATTGGCTTCCTTCATCGCCATCTGGCCGGCATATTTCGACATCTGGAAACCAACAAGATCCATAGCCGACCTTGAAAAGAGCTCAGGTGAATCAGTAGCAAGAGCTTGACCAGCGATCAGTACAGCTTGGTCCTTGACTTGGGGGTGACTGTCCAAAAATTCTTGCGAGCAGACGACAACGGCAGCACCACCATCCGAGGTCGGGCAACATTGCAACATTGTCAATGGCTCATGAATCATTCTCGAGTTCTTGACCTCTTCGAGCGTATATTCTTGCTGAAATTGCGAATATGGGTTTCGCTTTGAGTGCTCGTGGTTAACACGCCCGATCTCAGCGAAGTCGTCCGCCGTAGCGCCAAACTTCTCCATATACTCTCGTCCAGCATTGCCGAATAGCTGTGCAGCGCCTGGGGCGTTTGTAACACCTCTTGTCTCTTTCATCATCTTGTTTGTGGTCATGGTTGGGTTGACTCGATCGTTGAAGTATGCTTGTAGAGAGCCAGGGTTCATCTTCTCGAAACCGATTACAAGCACGCAGTCTGCAGCACCGTATGCAACGGCTTGTCTGGCCATATGTAAACCAGTCGAGCCAGTACTGCAGTTGTTGTTCACGTTGTAGAGAGGAATCTGGGTCATGCCAAATTGGTAGAAAACTGCTTGACCGCAGGTAGAGTCGCCATACTGGATGTCATTGTCAGCTGAAACCCCTCGTCTGAATGGTCGCAACTCACGCAGTAGCACGCAACGCCTTGGTCAACTTCGTCATAGTTGATCTTCGCGTCAAGCATAGCCTTTACACCAGCTTCGAAGCCCAGCTCTGTATAGTCGACCTTTCCTCGTGGCTTGATGAACTTGGTCATGCCAACGCCTATCACATAGGCAGGTGCTGCTTTTCGAGGCATGATGGCGAGTATAGGAGCTTGAACTAGTTCGGTGGTATACTTCTGAAGATTTTTCTGTCGGCCTTGGTAAAATATCGACTGAAGATCGTCCCAAGAGGTAGCATATATTCAATATCTCGACGAGATGTCCAACCGAACAAAACGAGGAGGACCCTCGGACTCAAATAACCTCGGCTCCAGATGCTAAACCTGCCTTTTTCGAATGGAAGTCTTCAGGCAGTAGCACTTCATAGCTGCCTCAGGCAATATAAACCAGGCATCAATAGCGGCTCTGCTCGACTCTTCCCACTTCAAACGTTGAGGCGAACCCTGGCCAGCTATGTAGCTCTCCGGGCTGCATCGGTTGTCGACACCACAAGCGACCAGTAACAGGGATTCGAGAATGCGCGTATTGGAAATGTAGCAAGATGACCACATTTCCCCCTCTCTCAGATGCCCTGAACGCTGGTCGCGAAGAGTTCAGCCAATGATATCGTCTTTATCTTTCTAATGAGAATGGGGCACCCGAGAACGCCACAAGCATCACTCAATCAGAGAGCAGGACGCTAGCCTCAAGAGTGACGCCCCACCAACTGCCCTTGTCGAAAGTGCACTGTGGCATGTGTGAGGAACACCATGGAGAGGCAGGCTCAAATCCGTAGCTCTGCGTGTTACGTTCTGTCTGGTATGACCTACTGCTATAATCTTGTGTGATATTCGACCTTCGTGTAGTCTGAAGACGCCAACCACGTCTCGAAAATTGTGTTCGTATCGACGACGATGTTGACGTCAACTTGAGCTCTCGACAATTCCCCGGGCCCAACAATTCATTCATCGTCCTAGCGCCAGTAAATACAGCTGACTCTGCTGCTGCGACACAGTCTACCTCACTTGTAACACCCTCTGAGTTCCCAATCTACACAACCCGTGACTGCGACGGCGAAGACCCTCAAAGGGATCATCGGGATAAGTGAAGGTTATTTGTTCCAGGTGAAGTTTCGACTCTTTGGGAAGGGAAGAGCAGATGGAAGTTTGTGGAACGCGTAGAAGTCTGCTCATATCTTGAGAGGCTATCTTGCGTTCCATAGGCTTCCGCAGGGTGCAGCAGGAAGATTTATATGTGGCCAGCGAGCGACAGAGGTGCAACTAGTGAACGGTATCGAGCGGTTGTCGACGAGCGGAGGGTACAGTGTTTAGACCTCTTCTCAGAGGATGAGCCATGCAGCAGAACACCACTCCTCGCTTGCCCACGATAGAAACGAACCGCGCACCTCAAGACCGCATCCTTACTCAACCATGGCACCTACACCTACAACCTTCAATCTAGCGGATCGCGATACACAAGTGTACTATTTTAAATACTTCAGGCAGTTCTGGGCATCAGGTCCAGCTGCTGCCGTGGCAGTCGTTGCAGGAGTAAGCACAGAGTTACCGCAGTAGGAGAAAGATATTAACATGCACAGTCCCCCTTCGAAAATGTCAAGACTCGAATGCAATCGTAAGTGTTCCTCATATGTCTCCCGTTCAGAGGTGTCTAATGCATTCAGGAAACATTTCTCTAGTCCCCTTGCAGCAGCGAAATTCGTCTATCGGCAGGAGGGCGTACGTGGCTTTTGGAGGGGTACCTTAGCACCATTAGGCTCTCTCACCGCAAGCAGAACACTGGGCTTCATTGTCTACAGGAAAGCAAAGTATACTATAGATAAGATAATCGAAAAAACCACAGGCAGTTCGCCGTTGGAATGGGTCAATACTGCGGGCACATATCCAAACCTAGGTACGGTGGTGTGTTTCAGCACTGCTGGCATGGTTTCTGGCGCTGCGTTGACCCCAGTTTTGAGTAAGTCAAAGCACACCAAATCCTTGAACAAGTACTTAACAAGAATAGCACCATTCGAATGTCTCAAAAATGCTCAACAAACAGCGGTCCTCATGTCGAAAGATCAAGCTCCAGGCAGGAAATTACCTACCAAAGTGTCCTTTTTCGGAGCAGCAAGGATAATAGCGCGACAGCATGGCTTTCTCGGGTTGTGGAAGGGCTTCAACTTGCATTTGACACGAGACGTCATTGGAGGTGGTGTATATTTTGGCGTGTATGAGAGCTGCAAGCAAGCGTTGGGAAGCTATTACGGCGATGAGATGAAGAATACACCGTGGGCAATTCCTCTTGCAGGTGCTATTTGTGGAATCTCAAGCTGGGTTGTGGTAAGTCTGGGCTCAAGATCCTTTGAACAACCCCTTTTGTCTGCTTCTTCCACGAGGTTCTGTATGCTAATATCTACCCAGACCTACCCTATCGACACTATGAAGACTCGTGCACAGAATAACCTTCTTACCACCTCTCGTACTCCGACAGTCGCCGATGCCCTTTCCGAAGCAACGAAGCAAGCTGCCAAAGCCGCCTCCAAGCAGGGGCGTTGGCATGGTATTGAAATGGTAATTATACGGTCCGCAGTACAGAACATGATACAAATGTCAGCGTTTGAGCAGGTCAAGGTATGGATTGACAATGCCAAGTTTGGCGATGGGAGCACAAGTTTGCCAGATGTTGAACGAACGAAAGGGAGAGATAGAAGAATTATCTGAGTCGTTTTCAGCAGAGCGCGTTGCAGGCGAAAGAATATCGTCGCGGGTTGTCAATTGAGTTGTATGCGTCATTTAATCAAGGCTTAGCATTATCTACTGAACAGCACGACAGCATATAGAGGCATGAGAGGCGCGACATGGGTTCAAATTGGTTACCTCAAAAGGTTTGGTATTGGAAAAGTGGACAATTAAGGCACTTTCACAGGCATGAAAAAAACGCGCTTGGAGCTACCGATGCATTTGCTTCCAAGTAAAACTACCACTCTCTTTTCGTTCTTCCAAACTTTCACTCTTGAGCTGTCGGTCAATATCATGACCTGTGTAGAGAATCTGAATACAGGAAAATCGATGGCCTGACTGGAGGGTTGAAAACAGCCATCACAGGCAACATTTACGACTGCGTAAATACTCCGGTTTGTAACACGTGACCACGTTTCGGTCGCAACTCTCGTAGCAAGCATCGAGCATACCGTTACTGCTGACCATACCACATTCGTTTCAATATGCGGAATCGGGCAACTACGCCCTTATCAAAGGCAGTAAGTCAACTTTCCATCCCATCAGTTTTGGCTCCGCGATTTCAACAAAATCAGTGCCTGACACCTTCTCTAGAAAGTTCGACAGTCCTGGTCCAAGTTCAATCTTTACAATCTCTCCCGAATCCGTTCGCCGCCATACCGTGGCCGTACGTTTTACCAGCAGAAATGGACAGCAAAGTCCATACTGCGGGACTACCACGGCGAGCCTGTCAGAGAAGCACAATGGGCTAAGCAGTTATTTCGCCGGCGGCTGAACGCTGTGATACCTATGGATCCTACTTACATGGCTCGAAATGATGGCACAATAGAAAGCTCCGGACGTGGAAGTGGTCTCAAGGATGAAGATGACTTTCGGGGCGAAATTCGAAAGAGAATGGATAAGACAATACCGTACATGAACATGACCTTTGCGCCATTAGAAAGAAGGCTTGATACTGCCATATTTCGGGCCCTGTTCGCAAGCAGTACACGTCAGGCGAGACAGTTTGTCGTACATGGCGCGGTCAAGGTCAACGGCAAAAAGGTATTTACTTTGCGCATAGGAAAGGACTGAAAGCTGACAGTGTCAATAGATGCAATACCCTGGTTACTTGTTAAACCCAGGTGATATGTTCCAGGTAGAGCCACAGCGAGTTATGTTCGCAACTGGCGCGCCAAAAGTAACCAAAAAGACAGCAGCCACCACTGATGCAGAATCAGCAGATCCGGTCGATGAAGCCGAATCGAAACCTGTCGAGGAGGAGCCAGCCGAAGAAGAGGAAGAGGAGGATGACGACGTTGATATCGAGCGCGAACCTCGCGAACTCCTCAAAGACCTCATGTCCCAAGCCAAATCCATCCTCTCTCACGAACGTGCAAAGATAGGCGCGAAGAAGAAACAAGACCTTCGAGCATTCACAAAAGCTGTAAAACGTATGCTTAGCAGATCGACCAGCAGCACAGTCCTCACAGACTCGCTCGAAGCCCAATTTGAAGAAATAAAGAACCAATTAAGGATACAAAAACAACAGCAAAAATCAGGCCAAGCTGCCGCCGACCGGGCCAAGGCTGCAAACAATTCTCCCGACGCACCACTCGCGAAAGCACAAGTCGATGCAGAAGCTGCCGATCCAACAACATCCGACGAAAAAGCCGCAGAAGAAGATAAAGACGCCAATTACCTTTCCGACGAAGATCTCAAACAACTACAGCTTGCCTTTAAGAGCTCATCTGAGAACCCCATCGACCCCCGCAAGCCATACGCTACACCGTGGACACCGAGAGATTACATGTCCGCTTTCGCATTCATACCACGATATCTAGAGGTAAACCAGAATATCTGCGCAGCTGTTTACCTGCGACATCCTGTTGTGAGGCCGGGCCTAGCTGAGGTGCCAACACCATACGGTCCTGATGTCAACGGTACTGCCTTCACGTGGTACCTGAGACGACGCTGATGTGAAAGATGTTCTTTGTGGCTCTTGTATATTGTACATCTAGTTTTAGCGATGGTTTGGCCCCTGCTGTGTTATCTATCTTAGACAGTGTACAGTATAAAACATCTGTAAATACTCAGTACTCTGGATTTGATACCCAGTCTCACTTGTCTTTGTCAGACTACACACAAGTTTCAGCTCCGCGATCATCATCGTGAGTCGTTGCGTGCTCATGCAAGATCATCTCCTTCTCAATTCGAAGGATATGTATATACATATAACGCTTATTTGTAAAGACCGAGACTGTCTAGATGTAGTGCCGAATTCAGGCTCATGTCCAAGCTCTCCATTCATGGACGTACCTCATCTCGTGCTTAAGGCCAGCGTTTCCATCCCCGAAGCTTCACACGTGCATACCATTCGCGTCATTACATTTTAAAGAGATGAGCTATTCGAGTCCGTATGAAATTGAGCAACGGAGGATCTGTCAATACATTCAATCCAACTCATGCTGGGGGGGTGAAAGATACGTATTGGACATTACTATCAACACACCTACACCATATCATGATATACCTACCTACCTCAAGAAATAAATAGATACCTGATGACACACTCCGCCCCCAACCACATTTACCGTTCCCTGGGACATAAAGGCCAGTACATACGTAGTACTATGGACGAGTGAGAAGTAATGATCTAGCATAAAGCTCGTCGTGTATCGCCGTCTGCGGCGTTTTGTTGCATCTTTAAGGATCGAACATCGGGAATGAGTCTCTCTTTGTCCTGGTAAAGACTCTACCGGATTTTTTTGGTTCGTTCGTAAACTGACACGTCCTGTCCCAATATCCTTCATATTTGTTTCGTCGGCAGAACCTCATGATCTCTTCAAGTGCTGGAAGCTGTCTTTCCGTAGTTCCTGTTTTGAGCCTGAAAGTTTCGCCCTTGCTTTTTGCTCGAAGTCGAGTCGAAGTAATGTCTGTGAGTTTTTGTGGCTGCGCTTTTAGCTCTGATTGCCATATCTTCTGCTTATCCGCCATGTGGCTAGATGGTGCTTGGCAGGTCCTTTATTGTTGACAAACATCAAATGCCCACCCGAAAAATGTATCGTTGACGCAAGCGGGATCATACCAATCATTCACAGTAAACATCGATGCTTGTGCTTGTAGTCGTTCTTGGCTGTTCGAGCAAAGTCGCAACAGCCCTTCATATCAATCATGGTGTAATGCCACTAGCCCTTGCCTCTTCTGGCAGACTTCGATCTGAACTGCGTTTCTTCCAGAATTGCAGCCTCCTCTTTAGATCTGACCGTTTCCTACCTAATGTCCTCGTGCTCAGCTTTCTATCTCTGTGCTCTTCAAACGTGCTGTCACCATTACTGAATACAGTCGTTCTAAATTCTTGCTTGCTCTCCTGCCGACTCGTACTGTCAGAGCTGTTCGTGCTGTACGACTGAGTTAGTGCCGGCATAGGCTGGCTCGTGGCACGGTTTCTGGCATCATTGTGACTATACGTCGTCTGTGGCGATGAAAATGCTTCTTGACTTCTATTTCCAGTCGTATAGCTGGTAGCCTCTGTCGAAGGTGTTGGGGTCACATCTCCGCCGTCGTTTGGGCTTCCTTCTGTGACAGCTCTCTCGGGTGGTTCGCTGATGCCCTGAATCGGTGCCATATTTGCCTTCGCTAGCTGATGGTCCATATCGTTCATTGGCGCGCTAGCTCGAGTACTCGGATTGGTAATCTCATGTTGACTTTTAGGATCATATGTCCTTACTGGTTCATTGATATTTGAGGTCGCAAATTTGAAGCTTGCAATCGAGTTTCTAGCATGTTGTTCGGCAGCATCTTCTTGGGCTTCTTGCATCTGCTTGACAGGGAGAGCGGTGCTGCCTGCCCTCATTGAGATTCCTTCATCGCGAGACTTGTCGTTCAGCTCCACTTCACTTACATTCTCGGGGGACGAAGATCCGAGATCAGCAGGTGCTTGTCTTGGCGTAGCAGTCTGAGAGTCCGCTATTCGTGATGTGCCGTTAGGCGGTAAGTTGTGGTCGGATGAAACGGAGTTTGATCCGGTGGTTTTGTGGCCGACCAGGACAGGGCTCGAACTTGGTTCTCCACCAGGGGTCACCAACGCTTCCACTTGCCTCAGAGACGAGCTCTTGTCTCCGTTCTGCTGCTTCCTTTCCGTCTTCTCCTTCAGTGGCGACGAAGGGAAATACGACTTTCTTGCGGGATCGACCGGACTTTGTGACCGAGGGCTAACACCACCGTCACCGACACCCCCTCGTTCCTTCAGAACTTGTTTCTGTTTCTCGTGCTCAGCCCGTGTAAACCAGACACCCTTGTTGACGAGTATTTCGTCGGCAGCAAAACTCATCGCGGGTATGACATCCATGACGTTGGCGAAAAGTGGATGAGCAAAAATGGTCATAAAGCCAATCTGACCATTAGCCAGCTTCAACATATTGCCAATTTCTGGAGGACCGCCAAATAGAGTCGTTTCCATGCCGACACTCCTTTCCATTTCTCCTTGGTGTGCAAATTCGTCCTGTAATTTATAGGTCCACTTCTCAGCTACAGACCAAGGTCGTGCAACATTACTGATATCTGCACACTTGATCAACAGGCCGCATGTCAGCACTCTGTATGTCTCAATGTCCTTAGGTGTCCATCCGTCGGTGGATTTGCTCTCGTGAATCTTCTCCTGTAACATTCCAAGCTGCTGCATATAGTCCGAATGACAACCCATGTCGGTTGCGAGGATCGAGCTGATCATTAGTTTTCTGATTGCTTTGTCGTGGAAGACAGTCGGCCAATGTCTTCGTAGAATCTGAGAATAAGCGGCGCAATGGAAAGCTTCAAGCACAGACTGATCGTTGTATAGTTGCGCCAAGGGAGCATTCAACTTGACGAGAAACATATTATTGACACCAGGATGTCCAACATCGTGGCCAATCGCAGAGATGAGCAATGTCATAGCTTCGAAAGGACCAAGCAACTTTGCAATAGGCGATTTTTCGTTTGCATGTGGTGTTGGAGCAGATCCTTCGGGATATGGTGGAAGTAGACCTATTTGCAACAAGAAGTAGAAGGTTGATTGCAGCACATCGACGGCATGCTTGAAGTTGTGATATAGCACAAATGAGTTGTAAGCAACTCTGCAGCCCTGCATGAAGCGCAAAAGATTATCTGCAACCATCAGTCAAAACCATGGCGACGGCAAAATCGTCGAAACCTACCTTTTGGCATCGACCACTTGTTGACTTCGGGCATCTGAAGGGCGTGATTGAGCATGAAGTATCCAGCATAGACCAATTCATCTTCACTGTAGTCTTGACCACTAAAACTCCATTTTCCAACTTCGCTTGCGACGACCTCCCTTCTGTGAGGTTCAATATAGAGATCACGGTGCTGGTAATCTTCAATAAATTCTTGTGGTTCGCAAATGCCTTTGAGCAGCTTCCGTACCATAGCCTCCCTAAGATAAGCATACGGCTTCTCCTCATCGACGCCCACCCAGGATTGTTTTCTGCCGCGACCACGAGCTCTAGCCATATAATGGGACTGCTCAGCTTTCGCACTCTTGTAGATTCGATAAGCATGCACAGTCAGGCCCATGATACCGGCTTTGTCCAAGGGACTTTTGACCACATCCAAAGCTCCGGCCTCCAGACATTGCAACATCAATTGAGGGTCAATAATGTCTGATGTGTCTGCCAATGCAGCTGGTTCTGTTTCGGTCCCATACGGAGCTCTTGCGACCAAACTCTTTTGCAACGAAAGTTGCTCATGAGAGTCCTTACGCTGGGGCTGCACGACAGCGACAGGTATAATGAGCTTGGCACCCTCTTCCACTTGTAAGTCTGAGGCTATTCGTGAAAGTAGCTGCAAACCGTATGATTCGTCGGCTTCGGAGGAGAAGGTGAGTTCTCTTCTCAGACCTGGCGAGGGGAGAGGTGACTCGAACTCTGGTGCAAAGCGAGGACGCGCCCGACCGAGGATGTCTTGCTTCTTTTCGAAGCCGACATCGAAGCATGCTAGGATTGGAGTGCAGTCACCGGACACCGCTTCGTGTATTTCGGCAAGCTTAGCAGAAAACGACCTGCCCGAACGACAGACATAGACTTTGGAAAGTTAGTAACCAAGACCGAGTTCGCAAATCGGTGAAACATACCCTGATTGAAAACACTGAGAAATGCGTTTACGTTTGCCTGCAGATCTGGTGGCAGCTCGTCGAAATCGGCCGACGAGGATTTTCTCTTGTCATAGCTCGCCGGACCGATTCCATCCCTCGAGATCCATCTTTCTGTGTTGAAGCGTTCGTCTATGTATATGACCCGACAGGCTGAGGGGTCCATGGAGACAATAGTGCTAGGTTGTAGCTATACGAATCAGGTGTAATAGATGAGCATAGCGTCGCTCACAAAGCTAGCTCATTGAAGCTGGTGATTGGCGTTGCGTTGCAATGAGACGTTGTCGTTGGTGTGTCGTGTCTTGCAAGGTTATACGATTTCGTGGGAGCCCAGGATCGAAACTGCACAAGAGCGTGTGCGGGACCTAAGCTCTGTCGCAAACTGAACAGGCAGGCACAAGTTTTTGGATCGAAGGTAGGAGGGATCGCCGTGGTATCGCTCGAGGAGATTCGCAAGCCTCGAGCGTGGGATCGAGGTGGACGGGACGCTGCAGGAAGCTTTCGTCGAGTTTGGCAGTCGCAACCAACTCAATTTCGACGGACAAAAATAGACCCGGATACTCGACAGGTCAGACGGTAGCAATTGTCGCTGAGAGAAGATGAATTCAGATTGAGCCGTGAGATGTATAGGAGACCGGCTGTCGATGTACAGCGTGCCGTTCAGTAACTGGCGATAATGAGTAGGTGACAGCGAGGAGGAGTCGTCCGGGTACAGTACGCTTGGTAGATCGTAGCGATGGCCCGCTTTTTGGCTCTTTGGCAGCTAATGCGCACGTTCTAACAATGAGGACACTAGCCGTGCCTTGGACCACGACCAAAGGAGATTCCCAGCCAATTGCACCTCTGGATACGAAGCATGATCGGGGTAAGTGAGCGCTAACAACCACTGAGGTTAGGTCAGACAATGAAGTCGGCTTCTCGTGCTCCATTCCATGACCATCCCAGCTCAAACTCGTGACCTCAAGCCTGCTTCTTTGTGTGTTCCAGAAGCCTTCTCTCACAATTGTGCTGATCTTTCGCCACCCCTCTCGGCACATGAAGTAATCATACGTGTTCTGGAAGCTTTTGCGAATACAGAAGCCTTGAGCGCACAGACCGTGCCAGGTTTCTTTACTCAATGATGCATACGCGATCATCATATCTGCGGGGAACTGCTGGTCGAGCGACACACATTCTGTGATCTACAAGTAGTCGATTCGAGTCACAATGTATTGTGTCTCAGCATCCTTCGTTGGGAGGGCAGCGCAAATAACGATCTACCATACGTGTAACTTTTTCGATTACGTCGATGGGTCGACTTGCCAGTTTGAGAACACCGGAAGTCGCTGGGTTTGAAGTTTGAATATCATTTCTCCATCCGAGCCCAAATAAGGTTGCATCCCAACAGGGAGTAATTTAGGGAAGCTAACAAACGCTCTGCGAACGTCTTTGGCATGAACCAAGTCTTTCTCCATGTTTGGTAGATCTTCTGCCCACTACACAATGAACTTTCTCCCTGCCGTTTGTCATCTGTCACTATAGCTTCGCGACCATGTTCCCCGACGTGCGTGGCTGCATACGATCACAAGGTATCCTTCCAGCAGGTAGATGTTCCATGCTCATGCCCCATACCAGACTTGAATCTTACCAGCTCGCACGTGCAAGAAACCCCATGGGCCTGGTGGAATCTGGGTCATACCGCGAGATAAGGTTTGCGATGGCTGAAGCTGTTCGCCGATTAGCATTGCATTCATCATTCGTCCTCCTCGTCGTTATACATTATCCATGTATGTATTGGAACAGCATCACCACGACCTAAGCCCATCTGGTTGCAAAATGGCAGCGTATCTATGCTGAGCTTCGTGCTAACTTGCGCTTGAGTCGAGCGTCACACCATCGCTTCGATAACGTGCAAGCCCACCGACCGTGTCAATTATTGCTCGTCCAGCAATTCGCCGCACCTGGCTCTGAACACAAGTGCTACATGTGTTTTGCTGATCGCATCGATCTCATCAAGGTTGGAGTGGAATGGTCGGTCTCGTCGTGGCGTAGTTTGAAGTCTTGTCTCAAGGCCGAATGCTAGCCGCCTGTTTAAACCTCTTAGCAAGGTGATCTGGAGGTGTTGATGAACGAGAACCGGTGATTTGTACATCATCGTCGTCATCCAAGGGCCATGAACGCTTCAGATTTGAGGGCCTCTCACCATACGACTCTAGAATGGCCATTAGAGTTTGCCAACCAGGGGAATTGGATAATTGCAGCGCATCTGCCTGATCGTGCTCGGTCGCAACTCTGCAGAGAAGCATCTCTTCGTCCTAGATCCATTCAGATTAATACTCGACCCATGACGATGATAAGCTACTTACCTTGCTTAGCACACCCATGCCGTGAACGAAGCTGAGTAGATGGAAATCCGAGACCGCTTGTACAGGTGGCACTTTCGATTTGTTGAGCTGCGAGGCCAATTTTTGTGGATCTTGACCCTCGGCGATGACTTCGCGGTTCTCTATGGGAAAGACACTGTTTGTGAATTGTGGGTGAGGATCAATTGGCATGCCAGCTGTTAGTGAGACGAGGAGGTACTCGACAGGGAAACTGGGCTTTGCGTTTTCCTGCACATTTGCCCCATATTCGTTGATGCGGCGATAGAAGACCTCAGGTATGTATCGATGTGGATTTTGCTGACCTGGATCGTCTTCGTTTTGTACTAGCATAACTGAAGGTTCTGCCGCTGGCTCGACAATATCAGCGCGGACCATCTCAACAGCTGAGTTTGATGCCTGATACGCGTTGATCGTGATTGCTTGCTCTTCGTCGCCTGTTACAACACATGTGACAAAGTTCGAACCAAATCGACCAGTCTCGCTCCATTTCGTTGGCTTCGGATATTGTGCTTGGTACCGTGCTGCGAAAGCAATCTCTAGTGCTGACAGGAAATACGAATCGATATGACGCCTACACACAGCTTGACCTTGGCCGTCTTGGGGCGAGATCAGGTCTGTGAAAATGACACCCACGCGCTCTAGCCCACAGTGACTTGCAAGCTCGTCGACTTCTTTCTCATTCGTCCATTCGAGCAGGGTTAGACCGTCGACCTCGCCCAGCTGAGGTGGCTCGTAAATGGCTTCGACCACAGCTTTAGTCCCTAGCGGTACCTGATCATACTCAACGTATCGGCCATATAGAAAGCCCATTCTTTGATTGCCAGATCTGCGCCAAAAGTCAATCATCCTATCGACGATGCCAAAATCTGCGAACTCCACGTGATCAACCATTCTGAACGGCTGTGGCTGTAATGTGATGGCACTGGGTTGACATTTCGAGCAGATACCTTCAGGCCATGGTGGATGTCCAGAGGGGCACTCTCTCTTCACTCGATAATATGGTTCGGATAAAGGTGGCATGTACGAGCTCTTTAGTTCTGGCTTGTTCGTTGCAGAGTTGATTTTGCGTAGATGTGAATGGAAAGAAATGTGCTTGATCTTGTGTTCGGCTAGGTATTTGACGTCGTAAGGTTCCAACGGCTGGCAGTTGTCGCACATGCCTTTGGGTCCATGTCTGCACATTTTCGAGTCTCTACTTCTCTTCACCTTTCCATCGAGCTTGTCTAACCGATCGTCGAGAGGAGACTGCTTAACTGTTTCCCAAGGGCTTTTTATTAACGTTGGAGAAGTGATTGTGGGCAGCTGTACTGTCGTTGTATCCGGCATCACGATTGATCCATTGAGTTTGCGTGCTGACGGTGTTGATTCTGAGGGGCCGTGTCCATTGGACAATTGCGCCTGCTCTTCATAACCAAGGTATAGCTTGTCGCCATGTTTTAATCTGACTTGTCCCAGGGTAACTTGTGGAATTTCAGAAAGTCTCTTCTCTCCTTCTGATGGAACGTTGCTGACCGGCTTAGGACTTAATCTTATCGAGGATCCATCTGTGTTGGATGGTAGATTGTCGAGGATTTTGGAGGCTAGAGAGGCAAAGGTATCGGTCGGCTCGGCAGTGAGACGAAATTGCCCGTTCTTGGACTCGAAACGAAGCAGCATTGTAAATTCTGCTTAGGAGGAGGAAGAGATTTCGGTGAAGGGCTCGGTGGGTTGGGAGTAGTTGTAGGAGAGAGAAAACAAGTGGAGGGCAAAGTGTATGAAAGAAAGCTCGGTCTAATGCCTGACTGACGCAGCCGAGGAAAGGTGAGGAAATAACAAGAAGAAGCCTAAGTGAAAGACTGGTTGCGAAGGTGACATACGAACGACACTGTTTCCATTTCTATGTTGTAAGCTTCTTTAGCTCATGTGTTTTCTGAACGCCAGTGCTGTGCTGCCTTCTCGTGGCTACCGAACACGCGCCGGACTACAGGCATCTCGAGTCAACGTCATTCTGGAAGGACCGATCTCGTGCCTGAGGCGGGACTTTTTAGCGTTAAGAAATGCCTGAGACGATATCGCGATTTAGGCAGCCACTATATGAAGCTGATCGAACGCGAATCCTTCAGACGCGTGTCAACAATCATAAGTAAGGACCTGCAGCCTGTACAGGCGAAATATATTCAGGAGGCTTCTTGTCTAGTACGTGGTTTCTGCTACTGCTGACTCTTCTCTGCTTCTTGGACAACCTCTTTCAAGCTCTTCGCGCTGGTTTCCAGTTCCCTCTTCTCCTGGTCGCTGAGATCCATGGGAAGTGTCCTCACAATACCCTTCCTGCCAATCACAGCAGGCATGCTCAAACATACACCAAGCTCCTCTTGCCAGTGACTGACCGGTCTGACGTTCCTCTGGTCAAACAGAATACTCTTGCAAAGACTAGCTGCAACACCTCCTATACCATAAGCAGTTGCCCCTTTAGCCTCCATGATTGCAGCAGCCTTTTTCTTCGTCTCCTCTGATATCGACTTCTTGTCAATCTCATTCTTTCCCACAGCCTGATCTAGCGGTACACCACCAATACTGACATGACTCCACGCGACCATCTGGCTGTCGCCATGCTCACCAAGCACATAGGCATCGATACTGCTTGCGGCAACACCGCTTCGCGATGCTAGGATTCCTCGTAGTCTGGCCGAATCCAAGAACGTTCCACTTCCAAAGACCTGTGATCTTGGTAGACCAGAAAACCTCGCTGCAAACTCTGTAAGTACGTCGACAGGATTGGCCACGACCAGCAAAATCGTCTTGGAGTCTGAACTTAGACTCCCCTTGAATCCCTCAATCGCGCTCTTCAAAATCTTTACGTTCTTTCCAATCAAGTCCGTTCTGCTCTCGCCTTTCTTCTGAGCTGCTCCCGCAGTAAGCACGATTACATCACACTGCGCTGCTTCCTCGGGCTCTGCTGTAAGTACTCGTGTTGATGTGTTTCCATGATATGTTGCATCACTGAGATCTTGAGCTTGAGCATCGCGTCGCGATGTATCTGGGTCAATGAGCAGAATGTCGCCAGCCACTGGGTTGAGTATCAGGCTGTATGCTATGGTGCTGCCGACTTCACCAGCGCCAACCACTGCTATCTTCGACGTCAACGATGCCTGGTCCTGCGACATGGTTGATGAGGTTGAGAAGAGACGATAAGAGGGTTTAGATATATGCGACTTTGTGTCTTTCGAGGTCCTCGATACTATGCCTGTTGGGTAGCACCTTCTTTTCAAGTTTATGCACATCTGTTGTTGAGATTTAGTGGGTACCCGGTGCACGTCATCGTGATGTAGTCTCTGGGATGTGTAGGAATGACTATGTACAGATGTTGAAATGCATCGTAAACCGTTTTTGCTTGACCGGCTTTGGGTCGCATTGCTACACAGCACCTGCTTGCTTCGTGGTAGCGTTATTCTGGTACTAATCGAGGCTGGCGAGCACCTCGTGCCAAGAAAGAGCATGCTGGAAGTAGGTCTGGTAAGCCGGTGCGTATGCTATTATTCAATGATTAATGTGCTTTTACTAAAAAGCTGTTGCTCTGTGATCAATTGAAGTACAGCTGAGGTGAGAACGACAAGACTTTATCGACGGCTTTTCAGACCACACGACGTGTAATTATGTCTCAAGCACGCTGCAAGTTGGGTGTATTTTCCGTCGTTGCATTATGGTCAATTTTATTGGTACTTGACAATTCCTTATTTGGCATGTATCTAGTGTCTATGCAATCACAAAGCCGGCCATTTGTTTGTAACGTCTACGCTGTATGCTGCCTGTTTCACTTCGTTGCCCCTTTTCTGCCGAGCTAGTCTGAATAGACAGGCTCCCCGGCTAATTACCACAGAGCATGGTGACATCTAAAGTCGGCCTTTGGTACGTTTACCATACATGACTGCCTCAGGTGTTCGTAGCCTGGCGCCCCAATTGCTGCGAGGAGTCGTCTGAAAACATTCGTCACCCCATGTATGTCTGCGTCGAAAAAGTACCGTCGGAAGGAAGGGTTCGCTGGAGGCCCTCCAGTGGCAGCATCATCAGAGAGAACAGTCACTGCATTCTGCATAACGTCCATCGCCTCAATCAGGGTATTCACTACCCAGCTTTTGTAAGTTGTTGCCCATTCCCCGGCCAATGCATCAAATTGGTAGAACTCAATATATCGACCGATATCGTAGCTTGGGTGTCGCGGTGGTGGATCGGGTGTGAGACCAGGAGCCAGATTCGCTTTGCGTCGTTCGAGCACATTCCGTGAGTCAAAAGCTACAGATGAGGACAGGAATATCATGAATAACAGGAACCAGAGGAGGTTGAGACTGGTAGCCATCGTGAAAGCTTTTCGCAATACCTTGCTCGGTGAAATGTTCAAGCATGCAGAAGGATTGCAACGAGTAAGCGGGCATTTGTACTGTCCTAGATGGACTAGACACAATATCACTACCCCTACTCTCATTCTGTTTGCTGTATCTGAGGCATGAGTGAACACTAGAGATCTCTGCTTTACCTATTGCCGAGACAGGCATAGCAGGATATATCTTAGGGGGGAGCTTTGTGTTTCATTTCTCGTTTGAAGCCTTGCCTGCTAGCTGGGCGGGAATTTGTCTAGTTAAAATTATCGTGATATGATGTCTGCACAACGTGGGCATAATTTGACTGAGATGCATTAGTGTAGAATGATGAACGAAGCAACGCTTGCCGGCAGTCTATAGTCCTCGAGCAAGCGTGCAGACTCGGCGAGTCTTCTTCGAAACCGACGGTCATCTACCTTCCGTCATACTGCTGATGTTCACGCAGTAGCATTGAAAATACACCCTGTCACTTTCCCAGCCATCTCATTGCTGTATCTGCTTATTCAGAGTCATGTGTATCTCCTTTATGGCGGCCTTCTTACAGTTCGTGCAGTAGAAAACACCACATTTTCTACAATTAGCCAATTTCGGTGGATCTGACAGCTTTTTAGCTTTGCGTTTGCTCTTGGCTTTCGACGCCGATTCAGACCTGCACTCCAATTTGGGTTCAGAGCCCTCCACTGGTAGTATATCAGGAGTAGTGGCAACCTCCGGGTCGATCTTCTCGATTGCTTGGTGAGCATAAGGCTCCACAAGAACGATTGTGCTGTAGCACTTCATACAGTCAATCTGCTTGGTGAAATTGGGGAAGTTTGTTTCCTTCTCATGAACGTCCAACGTCGACGCGGCACTAGTCAAACCCTCAAGCACTCGCGCAGGGAGGGAAGGTTCAACGTTCGGCAGCCAGCGACCCTTTTCGAGAAAGATTGTCTTGTTGTGAACGGCTGAAAACTGGTGCATGCAGCCCCAAGCATCCCAGGACTCATCAATCGGCTCATCACCGAAGTCGAGTGAGCGTGTCTCCCACTCATCATAATTCTCGTCATCCAAATTGACCAGTGATTCCGGGGGTTCCGGCGGCTGTGTTGTAGGAAGAGAGTTGATTTGAGTATCTTGTGGAAAGGGTAGTGCCGGAAGACTGGCATCCTCCGTCACTCCAAAGACACTCCCTTGAGCCTCTGTCTGGTCTGTTGCAGGTGTTGCCGGCTCCATGACGAAATTTACTGCTGCACTATTATTGTTCTCAGTAGTGACAGTCTCGCCCAAGCTAACATTATGTCCGCTAATGGCAGTGACTGCTTCACTGTCAGTGTCGCTTTCTTCTTGTGGGATGTCATAATCATCGGTCTCATCTCCATCTTCTCGAGCTCGTTCACAGGGCTTGGACCAACATATCTGTATTGGCCGCTGACAGTCCCAACAAAAGTGAGCACCGCACGGACATCGAATGTGTGAGCACCTGTCAGTGTTAGATAGAGTATCAATCAACCAGTTTATCAGTTCAACAGTACCCAAACATCTTTGCCACGCCCGCATTACAGCGAGGACACCTTTTGTAATTGTACTGGCTCAACAAAGCGACGATTTCGTCTGCCTCCACACATTCGTGAATATCCAACGTGGTACCGACAGTCGATCTGCATTTCTCACAAGTGGTTGTGCCGCATTCCGGACATTTCATTTGTCTCTTATCGTCAGGCTTTGCAACTCGGGACGGAAGGAATATAGAGCAGTGCTTGTTAGCACAGTAGAGTGGCTTGCTGGTGTTGGACTGCTCGAATCGTGTCCGATACTTTGAATAATCTTCTGCAGAGATGACGTCCTTAGCCACGTCGAAATGCAGCACTCTACCACAACATCGTGCAGGAAATCTTTCCTGGTCGCTCAAAGATGCCGAAAACTGATTGCGCAAGCAATCATAACACCAGACGGCTTGGCAATAGTAACATGGTCGGGAATATGTTTTGTCGTCCTCAATCTTTTCTGAGCAAATTCGACACTCGGGTAATGGGATGGCAGGACTCTCTTCCAACTTGGGTCGCTTGCGTGCCGGTTGTGTATCATAGTCTTGACAATTCGAATCGGCATAGGTCAATCGTCGTCGCTGTCCATCACCTAGGTCCATGATTGGGAATGTTGCAATTGTCTGAGCTGCCTCGGCAGCAGTAGCAAATTGTATATCCAGCTGGTACGGTACAGTATGGTCGAGGGTTTGATCTTGTTCGAAGGTTACGTAGCCAGGAAGTCGTTGCAATTTGTCAAGCAGAACCGCAGGGGTGAGATGTGGTGGTATATCAGGGACGACAAGGGTACAGCCTCGTTCAGGATATGCCAGACAGTCAAGGTAGAAACGATCAGTTTCGCTTCGGATATTAACCAGCTGTTGCAGGAGGACTTGAGTTTTGTTATCTGCAGAAGGCAAGGCAGGCGCGGCAAACGTATCGGGCACACGCCTTCGATGTCGAAGGGACATCAAACGAGTAAAAAAGCTACAAGACATGGTGGCTGGTACAAACAAGGGGAGACACACTGCTCATGAGCGCGTTACGAAGTAGAAATAAATACATACCACTGATAACTGTCTACATCTTCTCAGCTATGAGTCCGTCTGAGATAGGTAGAATTGAGACAGCGTCGCTTGCTTGAGTCACCATGCAGGCAGCCATCCGCTACTGAACTTGCCTATTGGTATTGACGCAGTGAAAGTTGCCTTGCCAAGGGCCTGATTGGTGAACGTCCGTGGACGCCTGGTCAGCATGTGCTGGCATGTTGTGCCTGGAAACGTGGCCGAGCATTTCAAGAGGAAGAACGTTGGCACAATCGGGAATGATCGAACATCTGCAGAAATGAAGACGAGACAGTCAGATTCAGCTGAGCTCTATTTGGGTACATTTTACCCCCGGGAATCCATGGAAGATTCCTCCGAAAGTGGTAGATCGAGACTGTACAGAGTCCCCACCAGCATGGATCGAATTCCGATCTGATCGCCGCCAGGCGCATCTGATCGTCATCATCCAGAAATATTCTGTACTGCTGTTTCATCTTGCAAGCAAGAGCTACGATGTCCTTCTCTTACACATAGTCGGCCATGGTATCACCAGGCCTGATGGGCAGCAATACATGCGCTCGATGCCTTAAGAGGACTCTGCAAGCACCACCACCATTATCCCGGTCTCCTCTGCTACATTCGCGTCGTCTTCTTTCATCCTCGAGGCACGTCGCAGCCTTTGCTCCCCCAGATCCTGCCTCTCTAGGAAAAGCTCAGCCTGCGAGACAATACAAGAAGACAAGAAAATGGCTGCGCAGGTTGCTATACGTTGGAGTCTTTACGGGCGTTGTATGGGCTGCAGACAATCAGTTCTACGCCGCTGCGCTCACTAGGACAACCCGGACTTTGGCAACCGCTGCATGGGTCGCAGCAGACTACAAGATCAATTTTCGAGAAAGTCCACCTTTCGCTCACGACCTGACGGAAGTGCATGAGAGAAGTGCCAGACGCCTGTTCGAGCTGTTACGGACGAATGGAGGACTCTACCTGAAGATTGGTCAAGCTATAGCTATGCAGAGTGCAATCCTCCCTCCAGAATTCCAGAAGATGTTCTCGCGTATGTTCGACGACGCGCCTCAAAACGATTGGGAGGACGTAAAAAGGGTCATTGCAGAAGACTTTGATGGCAAAGCGCCCGAAGAAGTATTTGGTGTTTCCTTCGATGGAGACCCAAGTAAGGGCGTGATGGAAAAGAAAGCAAGAGCAAGTGCCAGTGTCGCACAGGTCCATTGGGCAAGACTTCACGACGGCCGAGAATGTGCGATCAAGGTTCAGAAGCGGGAAATTGCACAACAGATTGGTTGGGATTTATGGGCCTTCAAAGTAACGGCCTGGATCTATACATGGTACTTCGATATTCCTATGTACAGTTTGGTGCCATACATTACAGAAAGGTTGACCTTGGAATGTGATTTTCGGAACGAGGCCGACAACTCAGAGCGTATGGCGCAGTATGTGCAAGGCGAGCCACGTCTACGCGACAGGGTTTACATTCCGAAAGTTTTCCACGAGTTGTCTTCAAAACGCGTCATGACAGCTGAATTTATCGAAGGAGTAAAACTATGGGATAAAGATAGCATAACTAGGTCGTGGCAGGGTGGCTGGAGGCAAGGCAGTCCAGGAACTGAAGGTAGACCACTATCCGCAGACAGTGTGCCTCGACCGACGAACCCACGAGACTATTACGACCACCTGAAGCCCGACAGGAATTATTGGAAAGGCAAAGATGGCAAAGGTGGCCTCGGTGTGAGCTTGAAAGAAGTCATGACAACCATGATAGACCTATTTTCAGCACAAATGTTCTTGTGGGGCTATGTACATTGCGATCCCCATCCAGGCAATATCTTCATCCGCCGAAAGCCAGACGGCCACTCCGAGCTTGTACTGATCGACCATGGTCTATACGTCAACATGTCTCCAGACTTCAGACATCAGTACTCCCTCTTCTGGAAGTCGCTAATGACCTTCGATAACGCGACTATGAAAGAGGTCGTCAAGGAGTGGGGTATCGAAAACGCAGAAGTCTTCGCCTCAGCAACTCTCATGAAACCTTACACAGGTGGTAACAGCAAAGTCAGCAAAAAGCTCCAAGAAATCACCAACGAAAAAGACAAACGCAAACGTCAGTACCAAATGCAGCAAGCCATGCGTCAAGGCATACGTGAAGTCTTGGCCGATGAGAAGAAATGGCCACGCGAACTCATTTTCATCGGCAGAAACATGCGAATCTGCCAAGGAAACAACCAAATGCTGGGAAGTCCAGTCAACAGAATTAAGATCACTGGCAGCTGGGCATCGAAAGCATTGACAGAGGATAAGAACTTGTCTTTCAGGGATCGAATTCGATTCTATGGTAGCCATCTGTTATTCAAGACTGTTTTGCTCACTACAGATTTGTACTTCTACTATGCGAAAGTCAAACAATGGTTTGGTCGAGGATTGGGCATGGACGATGATATAGATAATGCTATGAGGAAGATGGCTTCAGATTATGGTGTAGATATGCAGCATGGTGTTTTTGACGGTTGAGGCGGCACTTGTATAGAAGAATGCATCAAGGGATTATGTATCACATCCTTGACTCGCAATGCTCAAAAGTTGAAAACGGAGCTTTCTTTATGTGCCAGGAGTTTGCAACGCTCGCATTTGAACGCCACCAATATGTCTACGTTACTTCTATTGTTAAGACACTTAAGCAGCCTGCGCACCATACGGCCGACTCTCCACACTCTGAATATCAACGTACCCATACATTCCCATACTCGCGGCATCCTCCTGCATCTTCTGCCCCCAAGTCCCCATATCCTTCATGAATCCATCCACATTCTCCTGCTTACTCAAATCAATCGGATCCTGATCCTTTCCAACCTGACGTATTTGAGTACCCGCAGCAACATTCGTAAGACCAAAGTTATTCTGGTCGATTTTCTGCTCAATCGCGCCTTTAACTCTGCCTTCCAAGATATCCTTGGGTAATCTAAATTCCTGTGTAGCTGGACGAGCGAGGCCGACACCGTCGACGGCATTGAGGGCCTGGATCATGGCGCCGACGGTCTTGAGGCCGCCAGTGATGTAACTCCTGGTATGCTTGAGGCCAGGTGTGATCTGCTCAGCGAACTCGATGAAGAAGGACTCGCGCTTCACGGTCGATTCGCGCTTGTGTTGGAACGCGAGGGATTCGTATGTGCCGCCGCTGAGTTCGACAAAGTCGAATTTGTGGGTTTCGAGCAGAGAGACTAGTTCTTTGGCTTCTTCGGGGCTGAAGCCTGATTGCTGAAACTCGACGCTGTTGATCTTGATGCCGAGGATGAAGCCTGTCGAGGTTGGGACGACCTCGCGGATCTCGTCGGCGATTTCGGTGATGATTCGGGCGCGGTTCTCTAGGCTGCCGCCGTATTGGTCTGTTCGCTTGTTTGTGGTTTGTGAGAGGAATTGGGCGAGGAGGTAGCCGTGGGCGCCGTGGAGTTGGATTCCGTCGTAGCCTGCCTTTTGTAGGTACTGTGCGGAGTGAACCCACTGCTTCTTTAAGGTCTTGATCTCATCGATGGAGGCTGCGTGGGGCTTGGCGAAACGTAAACCCATGATCTCTCCTTCGAGCTGGATGTCGCTTGCTGAGAGAGGGTTGGGTTGGATGCGCTGTTCGACCTGTCGGCCTGGATGTGACACCTGAGCGACGACGAGTGAGCCGTGGGCTTTGCTGACTTCGGCCATCTTCTTGAAAGCGTCGAACCGGGCATCACCAGGCTCGGCTTTAGCCTCTGGTGGAACGATAGGGTTGCCTGGAGCCTCGAGGTGGTCGTACGCAATCATAACATTGCCTGTGAGGATAACGCCGTACTGACCTTCGCCCCATCTCTTGTAGACGTTGATCAGGTTGTCAGAAGGTACGCCTCGCTTCTCGTGAACCTTGGGATCCCAACTCGATAAACGCTCAGTCATGGCAGCCTTGAGGAAGCGATTTGGCGCTGTCCTGTTGGCGAACTCGAAATGTAGTGGCTTGCCAAGTGGCGCTGGGTCAACATCTTCGGACTGGTATCGTGCAGACATCTTGGATTAGTATGTGTGGTATGTTTCTATGTCTATATTAGATGCTTGGGAGGATAGTGAAGGGGGGAAGAGGAGATATGGTAAGTATGTAGATTCAATATATACTTGGGACACGAGAACTTCTCCATCCTCATCAAGACTCGACGTTCTGTCCGCTATCCCGGCGGACTCATGTCATAGTCCCCACTGGCGAGTGCTTACAGAGCGTCACTGTCTATTGCCCGACACAAAATTTCACCATTTTTGCATGTCGGCAGTATTCGAAAAGTTCTGAAACTTTCGAAAGACTGCGATCTGCAGGAACGTCATCACAACAACCGAAAGACAAAAGCGCTAGCGGCAGTCAAGCTTAGAAATCCTTCAGGCGCATCATTGGTACTCAATTGAACATTCAACCGGTGTTCCATGTACGAGAAGTTGTTGTTGCGGCAATGTTTTGCACGTGGATGTGGTTGGTACGCGCTAGAGAACATGGACAACATAAGTTTTGTTCACAACTTGCTTTGGATTTGTGCATCGAAATGCTCTTGCTGACTGATAAACGCAAACTCGAGGTCAGAACTCGTGTTCTGTATAGCGATGTATCGAAGTGCATCACCTTCAGTACAGACACGAACTGAATATGTAATGCACAGAAGTACAGATTGTACGAACCCTCTCAACACGCCTTCGCTAGTTCTCGTTATGCTTTATCATGATCATAGTCCTTTTGTACCAACTTGTCTAACGCCGCTTTTTGTATGCAACAAACCATCAATTCTTAAGAGCATTCTTGAAAATAGAAGAAACCCAACGTCGACTCGCTAAGTCTTTCCTCTACGCCATAGCATTATCATTATATCCACACAACCGGTCCTGCTCAACAGCAAATCAACCACGGTTCTTGGGCCTAGCAAGCATATTGAGTCGACTCAGACTCAACACACCTCTGCTGCTTGTGCCTGCAGCCGCCCCAGCGCCTCCAATACTAGCCTTGACCTTTCGTTCCTTAGCAGTCTTAGCAGCGAGTTCTCGCGCAGCACTTGGTTTCTTGAGTGGGCTGGTATTCTTCTGCTCCGGCTCTTCAACAGGTGCCACCTTGACGCGCTTGCCACCTCTCTTTTCGCCCTCATCCTCTTCAACAACGCTATCGTTCCAAGCGCCGGGAATGCTAGCAGCGTGTGTGACTCGTCTGTTTTCCTTCGCGTCGTCATCGTTACCGAATTTGTCATTAGCGATTTCGGAAGCCATGCGGCGCTTTTTGCCTGGCAAGCCATGAGGGACTGTCTGTATGCGATCTTCGAAGGGTTGTACTGGTTCAGAGGTTCGTACTTGGCGGATCGTCGGTGGGGATTGTGGTTGTTTCGGTGGAGATGTAGCGACGCAGTAAGCGTTCGTTACTGGATTGGTGCGATTGAGGTTCGTGTTGACTGATGTCAGGGTCGTCGAAGGTGTATCGGGCTTGGGATGGAGAGTTGTGAAAATTGATTTGAATTCTGTTGATTCTCGTCGTCCATGGTTCTTAGCATTTTGCGTGAATGCATCAATAGTATGATTGACTGGCCCTGGTTCCTGTCTGGTCGGCGGTCGCGCATCGAGTGCTGTAAGAGATGGATAGACAATTGCACTATCATCATCTTCCCAATCATCGTCATTAGTGACCACAAATGCTGAAGAGTCGTAAGGAATAGCGGGCTCCCACTCTTTCGGAAGCTGCGAACGATCAAGCTTAGCCGGACTCGGACTGCCTTCAGCCAACTTTACAGCATATCTTGATTTGACACTAGGTGTGAAGTCGACCTTTTTCTGAGAGCTCGCAGGCACAGGAATAGTAGATGGTTGCTTGGGAGTTCCAGCTTGGAGTGACACTGGATTCTTCTTGGGAGATCTGAGAATTGATTTAAGGCTAGCAAAAGTTGGAATCCTTGAGGTGGAAGCTTCTTGAGGAACTTGAGGAATTTGAGCAAGTGGTGCTAGGCTCTTAGTTGAGTTTGACCGTGTCAGTCCGTGCTTGATGGCTGCAGTACTGGCTTGACCAGGAGTAGGAGGAAGCGGCTTATCCATTTGTGGTTGTGAGACCTTGGCTGGGGATGTGAACGATAACTGAGGACCGGTTCGGATTGAACGAATAGAGTTAGATCGTGGAATTGAAGACTGCTTGGCGGATGTAGGAGTGATGGATTCTGCAACGCGTGCGGTTGAGGCTTTCGTCGGCGATAGCAATCTGCTCGATACAGGTCGTGCGAGTGCTGTTACTGGTCTGCTGTCCGAGACGTCCTCATCGTCGACTCTCCGCAATCTCTTTGCAGATGCGTCTGAAGCATGCGCAGGAGTGGTACGAATAGTTTTGAACGGGCTTGTGGAGATAGCACGGCCTGTCACAGGCGGTGGAATGCGTGATGGGCTCTTTGCGACAATTTTGGATCGCTCTGGATCGTCCAGATTGGCGACTGTGCTGTTGCGCTTCAACGATTGAGCTGTAGGTCTAGCATAGCCAGGACGAACGCGCCAGGCCGAGGCATGATTTTCGACAGAATCCATCTTCTTGAACTGCGCCATGTGTACGTCACTGAAGCGACTGGCTTTGGCAGTTGGCTTTGCGATCTTTCTTCCGACTGCAGTGTCGAATGAGCCCTCAGCTTGAGCATCTTTCTCCTCTTGAAGTTCTCGCTCCACCTGCATTCGTTCTTTTATTTTGGCAGCCTCCTCTCGGATTGTGTCCATCAACTGCTGGCCTGCTTCGGACAAATTTGTTTCGTGACTGAACTTGAATTGGAAAGAAGGAGATATATTGGTATGAGCCAGGCTTTGACGAGGTCTGCTTGGGGTATTCTGTAAGCTAGCTACTGAAGCGCGACCAGTTGTTTTGATATCGGCAAATCCCAGCTTCATCCCGGAGTCTGGAGCTTTCGCAGTCGTCTGGTGTATAGTCGCTGGATGCATTTGGTTGTTGTCGGGTCGGGGCTCGGTTTTGGGTGTAGTAATCTTCGAGAGCTCTCTAAGGCGGTCTTCGATGCCGTGACGAGTGCTTGGTGTAACAATAACATTGTCGATCAACGGTTGCTCGGCAATATCAGGCGTTTCATCGCGCTCTATAACAGTGTCTAATTGCAAGCTTTGTTTCCGTGGTTTGTAGGCCGACTGGTTGTGTAAGCCGCAGTCCTGCTCATAACATAATTTAACATACCTCTGGTTGCTGATTAGATAATCGTGCTGACCGACGCTTTGGCGTCGAGTCGCGAGCTATACGAGCCATTCTAATGTCTCCAACTATCGTGGGTCTATACAAGAAACAGAGTGAATATCAAGCAGCAAGCACAGACAATGCTGTGCTGAGATCGTCCAAAACGTGGCAGTCACACGACGGTCCTGAGAAGCTGATTTGTGGAGGAGAATCGGAGAACCTGAATCGTTTGTTTACACTTGCACACCAAATTCGGGCTTGATGCTCTGCGTGGGGCTCGGGCACCAAAACACGTGAGCATGCCTAAAGCTATCAGAGCTTAGCTTGCGATACGGCGTAGTAGTTATCGGTCACTCCCTTGACTACGCAGTATAGCTCACAAAATATTTCCTGCACGATGCTCGAATCCTGATAGACTCCAGACCTGACACGGTATATACTTCTTGACGCGCAATCAGTTCCTGCACATGTATGGAGCCTTCGGTTCGTGTTCGGTGGGAGAGTAGACACCAACCTTCTTACATTTCTAAACCTGTGCAGTATCATTGTCCAACATGACCACTGAAAGGCTCCCGATTCTCAAGGTATCACCATCGCAGCAGCTATGCTATCACTCCCTGTGCCCAGCAAGATACGGTTAGGCTTTCAGACGTGCCAAGGCGGGTCCGAATTACTGTCCGCCACTTTGTTGTACTATGAGTCTACTGTAATACATGTACCATCAGGCGGGCGAGTTATTCTGACCTCCCACTTGCGTGCGTTCCTGCAAAAGTCCGCTTCAAGTTCAAGGCTCCGCACAGCCGCGTAAGATAGCCGACGTGCTGCCTAGCTCTCTCAGTCACCCATTCAGCTTTCATAAACACTCTCATGCTTTCACCAGGAAACCTTGGTCATCTATGTCATGCAGCTGCAGCCTGAACTTCGCCATAAATGCTAGTGTAGCCAAGGCAAGTAGCACCCTGCGTGCTCGCAACCTCTGTGACACACACATATTCATCGTGCCACGGACCACGACTGTCCATTGACCTTCCGTAGACACCAATACTGACTCTCCAGTGAGCCACAAGTGTATACTTACCCTCTGAATTGACGGCGGCGACCAAAGATCTATTATACCTGCTTCTAAAGCAGTATCTACAAGTTCGACTTGATACTGATCCTGCTCACATTTGGCCATAGGATTTACAAAAAACTATGGATCTTGTCAGAGCAGTCCCTAAAGATCTCGCCAGTTTGCCAGAATATGTTGTCACGAATTTCCTGCCTGGTGCACAACCTCTACTTCAGAGATACCCTCGCGTCTTTCGGCTTCTTGGCATACTTCTAGCCTTGTGGTACTTCGGTCCACTGGCCAGACTTCAAGCCATATGGGCTAGATTCTCTCAGTTCTTGATCTCAACTATCACCGTTTCGAGCGAGGAAGACCTATTCCAGTACATGACTAACTGGATTGCCGAGAAGAAGACATTACGGAAAGACCAGACACTCAATGCCATCAGTAATACCCCCGTGGACGAAAGACGGAAGCGACGGCATGATGCCGACTTTGAGGAAATCGCTCGAAAGCCTGTAGATGACCCAAAGATCAAGTACGAGCAGTCGCAAGGTCCCCAGGTATTCATCCACAAGGGCCGCATCTTCTTCATCAAGCGCACACATGGCGAAGGTCACACCTATTACGGCAACCGCTACAAGAGGATCGAAGTGTTATCCGTCTCTTGCCTCGGTCGGTCTGCCCAGCCTATCAAAGATCTCATCGAAGATGTGTACCAGCTCAACAAAGACAAAGAGCGAACCATGACCATCATTCGACGACCTTTCACTGGCGGCTACAGCAGCAGACTCAGTTGGTCGCGACTTACGTCCAAACCACGAAGAGGTCTAGACACTGTCATTCTTGACCCACAACAAAAGGCTGCTATATTGAAGGACATTGAAGAGTACATGGATGAGAGCACACAGAATTTTTATGGAGATCATGGTATCCCCTACCGTCGTGGATACCTGTTCCATGGACCACCTGGATGTGGAAAGACTTCTTTCTGCTTGGCTCTGGCCTCGAAGTTCAACCTCGACGTCTACGTGCTTACCCTGCTCGATCACGAGCTGCAGGACTCCGATCTTATGTCTCTCATGAATCAGCTGCCATCACCGTCTCTATTACTCCTTGAAGATATCGATACGGCTGGACTGTCTCGGAAGAAGCCCTTCGCCGACACGACTGCACGTGGGGGTGACGCTCCTATTCCTTTTCCCTTCCCTGGTGTGGGTCGCAGAGGCAAACGTCGCGGCATGCCAGAAGGAGCGGTTGCAGCAAACACGAGTACTGGGGGAACAAACCTCGAATCCGATGATGAGGACACTAACAAGCAAGCGACTCGAGTAAGTCTGTCTGGACTGCTAAACGCTATCGATGGTGTCGCTGCGCCAGAGGGACATATTTTGATCATGACCACCAACAAACCTCATGAGCTGGACGATGCTCTTGTTCGTGCCGGAAGAATTAGTGTCAAGGTCGCATTTACCAATGCCACAAAACAACAAGCCGAGCAGATCTTCCTTCGGATGTATGTTGATGGTCCGGATTCAGACAAGACGGAAAAACACCCGCAATCTAATATGGCGGGTCTGTCCAAACAATTTGCTGAGCAACTCCCTGAAGGTGATTTCAGCCCCGCGGATCTTCAGGACTATCTTCTCGTGCACAAGAAAGATCCTCAAGGTGCAGTCGACGATCTCGGAGCTTGGATGGACGGTCAACGCGAAGAACGGAAGAGAAGGGAGCAGGAGAAGGAAGCTGAGATCAGGTACAAAGCACAAAAGGCTGAACGACGACGTAGGCAGTTTCGGGAAGACATGAAGGCTGCATTAGCTGAGGAGAAGAAGATAGTCGAGAATGGAGATGCTGCCGAAGAGGCGGGTGTAGAGGCTACTGGGGCAGGCGGCAAGTCCAGTGGTGAAGATGCCGCAACCGATGAACGACCAATCGATGAACAGATGAGAGAAGCAGAGAAGGAGATCGCTCTAGAGGATAGAGCCAGACCTTGAACAACAATACTATAACAAGGAATTGAGTCCAGTCAATCTCCATCATAGGCCTTCACCGCGAGCACATTTACCTAAGATCTGTCTAGTCGCTTCAGTAGTGAGAACAATGCATTTAAATGACAGCAAAATCGCATCTCAGTCACTAGTCTATGCTGAAATGGTAAAAGTTGTGAATGACGGTAGACCAGGAAGACGACGACTGGTCTCGCTTCGACAAGCCAATAGAGAGAACAAAAGTGCATATGACGTAATTAGGTGAAGCGAATGTGTGATTCTGGTTTACGCTCCTGCAAGTCTGCGAAGTTCGAGCAACTTCTCCTGCCACGTTTGTCTCTACTTTCACTTCCAGGAGTTTACCAACGACCTACAGAATGATATTATAGCCCTCAAGATGCCTGTGACGACTCGGAACGCTCATCTGAGGAATGGCACGACTCCTCAAAAGGTTCGAACAGCAACACCTGAACCGGAAGACGAACCATCAAAACGAACATCGCCCTCAATGGCTTACGCTGGCCGCCCCAATGCATACCTCCTGCTGATATACCCTGCCATTCTCGCGATCGGAACACTGTATGCTGTGGTATCGCCATCAGCACGAATAATACAGGAACCACCAAGTGCTGGGATGACTGTTGACTTTAGTACTGTGGCTGTTACACCGAACTATTTCGCAGAGAAGAGAAACCTGGTCAACCTGCTGTTTGTCAAAAGAGGATGGGCATGGACAACTCTGGCATTTGTCTTTCTTCAACTTACTACTCGACCTTCACCAACAGCAGTCTCCTCCACTCCTCATACCACCAAGGAACGTATGGCCAGCCACTATTTTCAGGCAGTTCTACGCTTTCTCATTCTTACTACAGCCTGGGTTTTCACAACTCAGTGGTTCTTTGGACCTGCCCTCATCGATCGTTCATTCACTCTGACGGGCGGGCACTGTGAGGGACTGCCAGCCAAGTTTGATGATAACCCTGCGAGGAAATTGGCCTCGATCTATAGCTCGGCCGTATGCAAGAAGTCCGGGGGCAATTGGCGGGGTGGCCACGATGTGTCAGGGCATACCTTTATGCTCGTCACATCCTCTGCATGTCTACTCTATGAGTTGTGGATTGCTGACCGAGCTTCGCAACATCCAAGCGTCACACCACGAGCTGCTGCCAATGTCGCACATGGGCTCTCGGAGCAAGAGAGGAAATCTGTTGGTGGATGGGAGAGTGAGGGAGAAGCAAGAGCACGCGTATATGCAAGGAATTTCCTCTACGGTGTGGTTGGACTGGATTGTCTCATGCTTATGACCACTGCGATATGGTTCCATACATGGCTTGAGAAGGTCAATGGCATGCTCGTCGCAGGCATAGGATTATACATTACCTACTTCCTAGGCGACTATGTGCCGGCGTGGAGGGAGATTGTTGGAGGGCTGTAGTGGAAGCACGTCCGGTACAAGAGTCTGAGGCTCACCCAGTCCACAGCACGATGACAAAACTGAATCTCACAGCTTGTTCAGTTGAATTCTACCTGAAACCGTTACCCTGGGGCTGCGAATCATAGGTGACAAACCTTCGCAATTGTTCAGGGACGACGTTCGTATTTTCTATGAGAACCGATTGAGTAACGAACGGACACATTTGGTTTGGTTTCACCTTGCGCATCTTGGAGCGCTCTCACAACTTCGAGGCTTATGAGTCCGGTCCATGCTAGTGGCAACATTGAGCAGGATTCTCGAAGTTAGCGGGAGGACGCCTGTGCCAGAACCAGAACCACAATTATAATGCCAACTTTTTTCACCTTCCGAACTTCAGCGCTTCTGTTCTTATTCTATTTCTTCGTCCTGCGTAATGCTGACTCTTTCTCTACGGATACGCGACAATACTCAAGGGAAGGATTGTACGAGACAAACTCCCCTGCAACCTGTACGTGTTCCGGGCTCGAAGTCTGATTCAATTATACAAGTTGCCAACCAGCACACCGAAGCTACGACTGATAATCCCTTAAGCAGGCGAATCGCGTTTCGAAAAATGATGGCTAAATACGAGGTCGCTGCAGTACTATCCAGGCAACCCCCTACATGTACGCTCCTTGGTATGCCACGGGAGATTCGTGCTTCAACCCTCGAGTACCTCCTCATCTCCGACTACCCACTTGTTCCTTCCCTCCTTCCCTGCGACCTCACCATACCTCCGACCAAGAAACGTTGCGACTATCGAATCTCTAGCCGACACACTTTGCACCTTAACATTCTTCGAACATGCAAGCAGCTCGACCTGGAAGGAGACCGTTTCCTGACCAAGGAAAACAGCGTTCATATTGAAATGTTTCATGAACACATCGCCGCTCTGGGGTATCGAATCCCTTTCGATATGCCACTCAACCTCGCTCATAGAGCTTTCGCAGACTTGAGACGATTTCGAAAGTTCGAGCTGGTCTACGTTAAACCCTTCTCAGAGAGACGGCATCAGAGATTGAGAAGAGCATTGCAAAAAGAGAAGCTCGACGCAACATTGGAGGGTGCAAATTTTGGAGTGTGTTATCGGTATGGCCTCGTTAGTGGAGCGTACGATACGCGACCATTCTCCGATCCTTCTGGTTTCTGGCACGTATTGAAAGTGTGGTCGATACGATTCGAGTTATCGCTTCCTGTTTTAGAGGATGTGAGGGCTGGAGGCGTCTAGGATGGTTCAAGTAACGATGTTTAACTTCAGGTTCGGAAAATTGGGTCATGCAAAAGATGAGCACAAATGTGTTAGATGCGCAAGAATTGTCACTCTGATCTTGTATTCACTCAATAACTCTTTCAAGCAAAATACAAGTGTGACCTCGTCGTAGTGGTGTGGATCTTTGTGCTCGAGTTCGAGAAAATTGCAACTTCTCAGTACTGGCGACTACCACCTGAGCTTTACACCGGTCAGGAGTACCGCAAAAAAGTTGCGGTCGTGCGTGCTCCCTACACTTCTGCTGACTGGGACGTGGTTGCTGATGCGCCAGTGAGCTTTTCTGATCATTCCCTCGCCAAGGCATCAGAGTCTGTTTAGGTTTAGGTTAGCTCGTACAATGGGGGCCAAATCTCAAGTCGTTGAGTTTGGTGTTTCTCCTTCTCTCTTCGCAAGGTATCAGCATCACTCTTCGTATTCCAAGACCGCTTTTCTAAGAAGTTGAACTGGTGGTTCTAGCCATGGGACTGTCAGAACTGATGTTTTCGTGCCGGACCTATATCAGCGCACAGCTAGGGACAGCCAGGTGAGGTAGGTGAGAGCTCTGCTTCAGCTCCAAACCCGACAATAATCGTACGAACGTTCAACGCACTTCTAAAGCAGTCCATGTGTACAGTCCTCAAAACCATAGACTCGACTAGACTTATTGAGGCAATCAGGTTACCAAGGAGAGTAGTTACTAAAAGAACCACCTGTTGCCTAAGTCCAAGCAACTTGCCAGCTACCAATCAGTAGCCAACCTGCCGCCAAGGCCATCGATCTCGTGTCGATTTTCGCCTAAGCAATGATATGAATCTCCTTGACTGCAAATGCAGCCTTGTGGTCCGAGTATTGTTGAACTCTTGTGTTTTCCTTCGACTCTCTCTTCACAACGACTGGCTTGCTGATGCCTTTGAGTGCTCAGACAGGAGAGCCAAGCCAGCCTTGGCCCCTACCTGACCTCTCAAAAGTTATCTCTGTAGATGTGATTGCAAGAGTACGATTTCTTACTGGACGGAGCAGGATGGTTCATGGCGTGCACTGGGAAGTAGCGAAATGTTGCTTAGCGAAGCAAGGCAGATTCCTCAGTTCCAATACTCATCGTAACTGAACATGCCAGCTAAGGGGTATCTGCTAAAAGTGTCACCCAAAAGCTATAAGTATCGCCAGATACCCCCAGGTAGGTCTTCTTCACAGCAACAGCTACCAGACTACTTCCATTGGGCATCATCACATCCCCCTCTCAGGACTTTTACTTCCAGCAATCAACATGGCCATATTCAAGACACTTCTCATGACGGTGATGATGGTCCCTTTAGTGTTCGCACTTCCAGCACCTCAAGCACCCGGCGATTCTGCGATTGAACAACCTCTACACCTGGAGGTTGCATGTGGTTGCTGGAACCTGTGCACCTTAAAACAATTGGCTGATCCCGCACTGACTGGTTGCGACAATACTTGTGGTAAGTCGATCTCGGCACTGAAACACTTTCACTTCGTTCTCGTCCTATCTGAACACAACAAAATCATTTCAGCACTTATTGAGAATTCTACTGACATTAAAACAGACCCTCGCTTCGCCTGCGAGACTTTCAACGGTGGAGCTAGTGATACCGCAACCGCGGCGGCATCTAGCGACAGCGACAGCGACAGCGCCAGTGCCATTGCAAAAGTCAAGCGCGAAGGATTGTCGTTGTCAGCCCTGAACGGAATGATCGAGACCAGGCGAGATGCAGAACCAGGACGACCTAATTGCGTCTGTGTCGTAGGAGAGGGTTGTCCCTGTAGCGGTGGTGGTAACTTCGAGGGCAATTTCAAAGAGAAACGATCAGCAGGCGCGAGTGATCTTGCAGTGCGTGATGAGAGCCTGGCAAAAAGGTTCCCACCAACTACTGTTACCGTCAGTTGCGACACTAGTGGAAAGTGTACGGGCAGTATCTCAATCCATTTCTGAGAACCTCTTGGATGGAATACAAGGATGCGGACAGAATTCAGGGTGTCTGGTGTAGGGCGTGTACGAAGGACAGGAAAAGGTCATTGTAAGGGTTGGTTGTACTAGGAGTCTGTTTAGCAGGTATGGCTGGTCCATGGCAATCTGAGCACAGAGGAGCAATTGATATCATGTTCTTATGTATATCGTCGTGGGAACTCATTTTCACCACTCTGTCCGCTCTGTATCTACTTGCAGATGCTCATGGCTTCAGTGATAGCTTTTCTAAATATCAAAGCATCGATGGTCGAGCTTACTGGTGTGAATAAGCACCCCGTTCACCAGGCGGGCTCACCTTCGGTAGGTCAGCCGAGACGCGCTTGTAGTCAGACACAGAGTGCGCGTTTTTTACTCCAGTCATCAGTCCATAAGTTCGTCTCTGCGACGTTGATGTGAACCCAAGACCGATGCAAGAACACCAATGTCCTTGCTCTCGCTTAGAGCCATGATCGCACCAGCTTTTTCTCACTGTGGCTCGCATACTCCGGGGATACACTAAAAAGAATGACTACAATCTCAGCGATATCGTCCTCCACATTACGCAGATTCCCCGGAATATGCTATTAGACGACGATCCTGCAGTATGTCCTGGTATAGCTGTACTGTTGGACCGATGTGCTGGATTTGAAGCACTCTTATCTCACCCACACGGAATGCAGGCATGACATAAGTTCGCAACACCGTAACGACGCACTAGGGTAACGACGCACTCTACCACTTTTCATCCTCTCTCTTTATCACTTTACCACACCACCATTTAGCTAATATAACGCGTAAATCCAAGCCTGCTGTCGATACTGCTGTCGCAGCTTACCGTCGAGGTGAATTTATGTCGATTTAAGTAGCTACGCGCGCGTACAACGTCGCGGAAGCCTTAGTACGCTAAAGGCTTAATAGTAGGCTAACTCGCTAGTAAGGTTATACCTATAAGTAAATCTTGTCCCCTGTATAACAGATAATACTTATTAGATAGTCTATTGACCTTAAAGCCTACGCTTAGGCACCTACGTACGCTTAACTATGTTCTATAGCCTCGTTAATCTTATAGACTAACGATGGCCTAGTAGTCGTTAGCGAGAGTTAGATTATAAACTTTAAGCGTCGTAACCCTTAGGTTTATACTAAGCGTAGAGTCGCCCTCGATATATAACGATCGTAAGACCTTATAGAGAGCGCTATCTAGACCTAGTATGATTACCTCTCCCTTATTATATAACGTAAATACATTAAGAGATAGTATATCTAGAATATCGATAAGATTAGTAACGTATTTAGTATTATATCTAATTAACGAGTTATAGGTAGCGTAGATATAGACTTAATATTTATCTAGACAGTAAGAGAGAGAGAGTGGGTTACTATAATCGAGTATATTAATCCTTAAGGTCGTATACTTACCCCGTTAGTTATATTTAAGGCTAAGCACGTATAAAGTTAGTAGTTTATACCTACTTAGACCCTAGATTAGGCCTATACTTCGAGCAGTAGTGTCAGAATCAAGCCTAGTATCCACTTAAAAAGGTCGCTTAAAATATCACCAATGTTGGTGATAGTTTAGAAGGCTTGGCATATAAGGCTGTTACACCGCTAGGCGCAGGCTCTGCGCACGGTCGTAATAAGTAGTGCCTTTACGATAAATGAGATTAGTGTACGCTGGTTATATGAGATTTTTATACCTTAAACCACTAAAGAGTTAGCTAAGGGCGAGTGGCGCCTACTTATATTAGATAGTTATAAATCTCATATTTTAATCGACTTTATATAAGCTGTGTACCTTAATAAGGTCTAATACTACTATTTAATCCCCTATACCAGTTATATCTTCTAACCTCTCGATCTAGCGGTATTCTCGTCGCTTAAGCGTAAGTTTCGTACTATAATAAGTGCTAACCCGCTTATAGATGATATAGCTGTATTAAAGAAGGCGTAGTTCTTATTACACTACTAGGAGGCCTGTACGAGGGCTATAACACTTATCAACTGCGCTACTGGCTTTTCTGTAGCTAGTATATAGCCATTTAATCCGTTAAAGGGCCTAGGGTTAAGATTTATACCTAGTGCAGTTAAGAAGTTATATAATAAGCGAGCCGTTACTCCTCCGCTTATAATTATCGACTTAGACGTTGTTATCACACCCTATAACCGCGCTCTTTTATTATAGGTAGTTAATATTATCTCTCGTCGCGTTACTATTAATCGAATAGTACGTACTCTCTTTACTAAGACCCGTAAGGCTATTAACAGTTACTCTACTAATATAGCAGCTGCTCAGCGCAAGATCTTAGCCCTTATAAAGCAGCTAGATACCTTTAAGAAGAAGTAGAAGAAGAAGTACGCTATTAACTTAAATCTATTATTTATTGGCCTACAAGATATCGAATAAGCTGCTAGAGCCCCTATTACACTAGTAATAATATTCTAGCCTTACCTATAGGGCGCAGGTAATCGTTAGCTACCTATAGAGATAGATAGTATCCCCTTAGATCTATTTATAGCCCTAGTAGATAGATTTCGCAGCATTAACAACGCATAATAGCTATATCAATTTAACAGCAAAATTGAGTGGAGTGCGTCGTTACCCTAGTGCGTCGTTACGGTGTTGCGAACTTACCTAGCATTAGAAAGTCATGCCTTTCCTGATGCAGCGTGATGGTTGTCTCTCGCCGGCACGTATGCTTATCTACAGCCTCTCACCGCCAGTACACCAACCGGCATCATGCAGATAAGCACATGTCTGTGTGCTTGCGCTCCGCTGGTGATATTATGACGTAAACTTCAAGTTTCTGTTGTGTCTCCATTCTGCTACATCTCTTGCTACACGGATACTGACAATATCAACGAGCACGACTTACGATAGTTCTCAGCTTCCCAGTTGCCTCCTATTTTTGGTCCTGCAATAATCATCTGGCAGAACGTAGACGCTGAGAAGACCCTGCGGAAAGCTAAATAATCCACGTCACGAACGATGGAACCAGATCCGACCTATCGGGTCCTCGAGTTGGACCAATGCAGACATCTTGCCGAGCCTTCACTTACACAATTCATCGTCTCGTGGTATGTACTCACAACAACGATGCCCTTCACAGCATCGCTGGAGAACGTCGCCGCTGATGTGTCCTGCTCAGTGCCTTGATGGGATGGCTCCTCATCTGCTACATACCACAATGGGCTCGTATAGTGTCGCGAAAGTCAGCGGAAGGTCTTTCGACCTTCTTCGTCCTGCTCGGCTCTCTATCAGGTGTCTGTGCTGTCGGCAACATCATGATGCTGCCCTCTAGTGCTGTAGAAATTGGGTGTTGCAGAACCAATACACGATTTGCATGTATTAGTGGCTTGCTCGGAATGCTTCAGGTCATCTTTGGCATAGCCTGCTTTTGGACGATGTGAGTCAAACCCACGTTGTGCTCTTGAATCAGAAGCATCGAGTTGAATGTACTGACTCTTGACAGCCTGTTCTTGTATGTCTATTACAGTGAAGAGGAAGCTGATGCAGAGCTACATGGCCGCCGATCCTCTGTTGGCGGACCAGATCGCACGTTCCGACGTGCTCGCCGAGCCTGGCGTGTTCTCCTTATCGCATGTGGTTTTGCGTTCCTTGTCCTCATTATCTCGGCTGTCATCCTTCACCGCTTTCCATGGGTTTCCCAGTCATGGGCAGATATTCTTGGTATCGCAGTTGCTGTGTTTGCGTGTGTTCAGTGGGTCCCTCAGGTGCGGACCACATGGCATCTAGGTCATTTGGGAAGTTTGAGTCCTGCTAGCCTGTGCCTCATGGCACCTGTAAGTGCTTTCCCACTCCTACTCCGCACGTTCTTGGGTCGCTAACAAATTCAGTACACCTGGATCTTCGGAATCAACATGATGATTCGAGTTGGGCTTGCAGGCTGGAGCGCATGGATCGTGTATGTCCTGGTTGGAACCATGCAGATCGTTCTTATCGTGACTGCTATCATCTTCGCGGTTAGGGATCGCAAGAGTGGAAACGAATCGAAGCATCCGTCGGAAGACCCGTCCTTTAATGGGTGGAACACCACCTTACGACCGCGACAAGGCTCTGGTACATCACATGCGCCGTCGAATATTTCACCTGACGAGCGCAGCCCACTCATTACCAATGGCAAACAGTCTAGTAGACAACACTAGCTGATACGATCTTGGACGAATCACATGGCTGGGGCAGTAAGTCGACTCGGGCTTGATTGAAAATCATGTAAACATGTAGAAGCTATAGTACGATGAACTTGATCCAGCAACTTACGTTTGTTCCTCGAGTTTGGGTGCTGCATTCGTTCGTGCTCATCACATCACATTACCATAGGCCAAAGGAGACTGCGCTGGCAGGCGTGATCGTTCCAACTTCGGAACAGGCGAATAGCACTTCTGTTATCCAACGCTCTCGCAATCTTTCGGAAGGCCTAGAACGTCAAATTGTACGCCATGTTGAGAGGAAGCTGGTCATAAAGGAAGAAAACAAGGACGTACTTCACTCGGCAGTATTTCAGAGTCTCCTGCGGAGACTTGCCTCCTCTTGCCGTATACCTGCCCACGATCCAAGGCAAGTTCACATGTCATATCACGACCACTGACGTCCTCAGCCTCTGTTACTATGACGTTGGCGCTTTCTCCGCCTTCACTGTCACCTGGTGACTACAACTCTACATACATTCGAAACTGTTACAACCTGGTATCTAAGATATCTGTATATCTACGAAGCACACCCACCTACAGAAACACTAATTAACCAACCTAAGACCCAAACCCAATTCCCCACTAATTCTACAATCCTACAAAACCGACCGTCATCATGAATGACCCAGCCTTCAACCAGCGCGAAAAAGGTTTCGAGGATGACTATATCCGTAGAAGAGAGTAGGTCCTCAACCCTCCCATTCCTATTACAACCCTCTTTGTCAACATCTCCATCTCCATCGCCTCGATTACCTAGGTATCTATCTATCATTCAAATGATTACATACTCGTTCACCACTCTCACACTCTCACAGAGCTGAAAAATTCGCACAAAAGAGAGGCGCTGCGGCACAACCACAGCAGCCCGGCTCGAATCAGAGTGGGACGAGTCAGGGTGCTGCCACTACAGGTAAAGCTGCTGGGACTTCGGATGCGACTGGGAAGTAAACAAGGCATGTGTGAGATGATTCTTGCAAGGCTGTTGCCAGTATAGCGGAATGGTCATATGGGAGCATGATGCCGAAGCGAGTAAGGAGATTCTTAGGTATGAAGATGACCTGAATTGTTTTGCAAGTGTTTTGGTTTTGCTATTTCAGCAACGATCAGGTCCTATGACTATATGAGCTGCTCTGTGCTCGATGTATGGAGAACCTGTAGATTTGACTTGGTCCAAGTATATCGTCTCCATCGCTACAAGGTCATGGTGCAGTGAATCCAAAATGCATCATGTCATGTTACTCCAGGAATCCTGAAATGCCACCCCAGCCCATCAATCCTATATTGCCTAGACTAGCAGTCGACCAAGGCTCCTTAATTACAAGCGGACTTTGCACCGTGCTTATTCAGGCAGTAGCATGAGAAATAGTCGTCGTGCGGTGCACCGCAGAAGCTTGTAGCTTTATCGTTACCACCACATGTCTCAATGCCACTAGGTTGACCTAGGGCATCACACGTTACACACCCGTCGTCGTTACACCAGCAATGTGCTTGGCAGTAGTATCCATTGCCGTGAACTTCCTGGCGTCTATTTTCGCAGGGTGGCATTGGAAAAGTATGTAGCATATTCGGTCCTTCGCATGTCAGAGTGAAATCACTCGCTGCAGAGCGTGGTTGTCGATCCATGGTCGACACGGCTGCGGACTTCGGGACTGTCGAGGTGGCGAATGTCGTATGCTTGGGATCGGTGACTGTAGAAGAACTGTCGTGTTGGAGCTCATTGGCCATCTCATCATGTTGGTTGGAAGTTAGAGCCTCAGAAAGAGCCATGGCCATATTGTCTGATGAATCTTCGTCAAGACCAATTGCTTTCATCACTGCCACCTTCGAGGTAAGACAGTCACACTGGAAGTTTCCGTTCTTTTTGCAATAATCATTGACAACGTTGTCCGGGCCACAGTCTGAAGGATGACTGCAAGTAAGCTTGCCGGAGCCGTCACACTTGCAATAATGCTGACAGTCGTCACCAGAGTACATCAAGAAGTTGCCGTCCATACAAGTACCAGCAATATCAGTCTTGGTGAGTGAAGAACCCCAGCAGAACACAGAAGGTGCAGCAGAATCCTCAGCACGCTTGAGTTCCAAGGCTGCTAAGGCTGGTGAGATTGACGATTTAGCCTCTTCAATGACTTTTGTATCTTCATCGGGCTGCTTGTGGCATTCACATACATAATCCTCTCCCAAGGCACAAAGTGCAGTCACTTTACCATTGTCTGAACATCCAGTGGCAGGCGAGGGACAGTGCATTTTCCCATGCTCGTTGCATTGACAAAATGCCTCGCAGTATTGACCATTCGTGGGTACCAAGTAATCCGGAGCTCCGTCGCATACTGCTGACCATGTGAAAGTATCTGCATCAGGGCCACCGCATAGGAGAATGTAGGTTGAAGCTGATCGTGCTGGAAGCTGACCAGCAGGTACTCCCGAGGTACTAGTGACCACAACCGTAGTAACCGAAGTAGGTCGAAGCGGTGCGACAAGGCCTGAATCTGTGACACTACTGATTGTATTCGATGTAGGTCGTAGAGGTGCTGAAAGAGGAGCAGTATTTCCCAGCTCTTCATCCTTCTCCTGCATTTGAGGGCTGCCGGAAAGATTCGAGACCACGAATGGCGCGGAAGCTGATACTTCGTTAAGATCATGCCTGCAAGTTCTATGCGTGAAGTTCACTTACTAGTGATGGAACGGTCTGCAGCGTCTTGACGTTTTACTGCTGCGGTAAAGCCAGCTAGACCAACGAGGCCTATACTTGCAAAGACTCGCATGTTGTAGGTGATGTTCGGGCTTTGCAGATCTGTAGAGGCTTTCAGGTTGGTCGAAGATGGTAGAAAAGGCTGATGAGAAGGAAACGATAAAGATCTTGTCTCGAGTAAATATTGCAGAAACTCAAGAGTAGTAGTTAGCTACGCAGAAAGTGCTTGTTGATTAGTGCTGGAAGGTAAAGATAAGTGGGCATGGCGGGGCTGCGATTTCAGGCGATATCAAAGTGAAGATACTGTGACAGTGAAGGTATGATCTCAGTCGTGATTAAGGTAGTGAAAGTTTCAGACCCTCTCATCCCACTCAAGTGCTTGGTCTTGTCTCTGGTCTGTGATCGGCCCTTCAGATTGCATCATTGTGCGAGAATCTACCAAACCGATGCTGAACGCCTATTCCAGAGTTTGACCGCATTGAGTATTTACTAGCTCAAACGGAAAGTCAACGAATATAACGCAGTTCTGGAGTAATATCGTAGTATGATGACTGCTTTCCTCTACCTTTCCGCTTCCGTCGTAACAGTGCTGGGAATGCCTCTGCTTCAGGCCCACGACTGCCTGACACGACTTCTGCAAAGGACGGACTCGGCTGTTCCACGTCATGGACGAGATCATGGCTGGTCTCGATCATAACAGCTGGCAATTCGTTTCTGACGAGGTCGGGTTTGCTCACCATGGTGTGGTCTGAATGGTCTTGCTCGCAGATCTTCCCTGACACGACTTCAATCGGCTTTCTAGGCGATAAGATTGGCGTGATGGTTGATTCTTTTTGTTCGCCGTACTGCGGTATCATTGTACGCGAGCGACCTTCTTGCTGCCGCAATTGCGATCTGACAGGCGGGCCACTGTCGTCCCAACACACAACCTTGTTGGTACTTCTTTGCATCATTCTTGCGACGACGACGACGTCCTCCTCATCTGAAAGTATCACCGGCTCTGACTCCTGCGGTACGAGGTATGACAGATTGCTGTCATGCATAAAATCCCTTTGTAGATCATTTATCGACAGCTCTATGAGTTGCACTCCTTCGGCGCTCACTGGGACGACTTCTGCTGCTTTCCCCGAAGGCACAATGTCCTTTTTGCTAGTGGTTGTAGCATCTATTATCGGGAATTGTGTAACAGGTTCGTTGTAAGAAGCAGCGCTGACATGCTCATCGTCCTTGTCGTCTAGAATAGAAACACTTGCCGGTCTAAGGTCAATCGGTATTGATGGTCGAGGCTTCCGTGTACTATTCGTGTTCTGTGGAGCGGACTAGCACTGTTAGTTGATCATATTTGCGAATAGCTTGATAAAGACCGACCACGGCTGAGCTTTCATATGCATAGGAAGCCTCACTAGGGTCGATCAAATCCTCCTGAGAGGCACAATCCTTCGTTCGGTGCTGACTCGAGAAGCACAAGAGGCAGGAATGTTGACTCGCGTGATGCATGATATGACAGGCATATATGGCGCATAGGTTAGGGAAGAGACCCACTGTGATTGGAAACGATGATTTTTTGGGAATTGGTGGGTGCAGTTTGGACTTCCTGCAAGTGTGGTGTAGGTTTGTTGACCATAATCATTCCTGGCAGGAGCGACCCCACAGGCATCATACCTTTTCTGCTGTGAAGTGCTGATCGGCTATTATTCTGATAGCGACAGCAGCCTGTTCGAGGTCCGATATCACGGTTGAAGTGTCGATACCTGTCACATTATCCCATTTTTGAGGTGGAACAGGACCGCTCCCGTCTCTTTTCAGAAGAAGTGGCTCAAACCCGCCATACAAAGCGCCGCCATAGTCCTTGAGATATTCATCACCAATATGGATGAATGTTGAGTTTTCGTTGACGGCTTCGATGCGACGTTGGATCTTTAGTTTATGCTTTATGTAGTTCAAACTTGGTCGCCAGTCTTTCCATTCCTGCTCGAACCGCGACGCAATGTTCAAATCGCATAGCATCCTGGCGTGGTTGAAAATATCAGGATCGGGTTTCTCTGCGTCAGCATCGTAGCTTGAAGCTATAAAATCGACCTCGTTGGACTGACTCCACGCTCCATACCAAGGACTCTTCATTGCTTCTCCCACGTCAGGAACACCATTCTGATTGGTGGTTCTATTCCAGCGCTCCCGTGTAGTTTCTGGTATAGGGCCTGAAGCCCAACCGCATCGAAGTCCTAAACTTTGCAATATCGCCTTAATTCTAGGATCTGAGTTCGACACTACACCAACCAAGACAATAGGATCTTCCGACCTTGGGTACCGCTGCTTCAACTCTCGCATGCTAGCAAAGAAGGGGTGAACGTCTGGATAGAGCTCATATGCAGCGCTCGAGGTGAAGTGATCATAAAGCTCTTCGCCAAGATGGTCGGGGATTTCATTCTCATCGACAACTTGACGGAACGCATCATTGACCACAGTCTTCCACCATGCTCGAGGGCTGCTTAGTTGACCTTTGCCGTAGTTCGGATATTCAGTTGAAATAGCTCTGAAGGACTTCTTGAAAGCTGAGCTTAAATCTTCGTCTTTTATAGGAGCTCTGAGACCACATCTCCCAGCGACTTTGATATATTGCTTTTCCAATGGCTCCCGGAATTTGTAGAGTGTTCCTAGCGCGTCGAGAGTGACAACAAGGCCCGGTTGGAACCTGGCGGGCGAACTAGCACCGATGCCCATGTCAGCGTGCAATATCAATGTGTTACAGAAACAGTAGGTTGGGACCAAGAAAGACGATCGACAGGGGAGAGATGCTCGAGACGCGGATTGAGACCGATGTTGCTGGCTCAGAACTTTGTTTAGATGATCTTTACGGCAACACTCTCTGCCAATTTCTTGAAGAGCACGAGGATATCGGTCGAGATTATGGCATCATTCATGCAGCAACAATTTTATACTTCCAGCTCGAACTTTCCGAAGCAAATGCGATTTCAAAGCCGTAGATTCAAATTCAATTCAATTTCTCTTTGAGCAGTACAGCGACATCTGCTTCAAGAACGCCTTCTTCTCTTACAATACTCTGCGCCGAAGTTCACGGAAACTGAGCACATCGTCTTATACCAGTCAATCCCCTGCAAGTTCATAGACAAGAGACTTCGGTTCGCTAGCAGTTGGTATTCGGCTCTGGCACCGAATACCATCCTCTAGCATTACCAGACACGATTAACACCCTGTCTTTCTTCAGGCGACTGCTTCCGCTTCGATCCTCGACAGCTGCAGCATCTCTTAGTGCAGCCACCTTCACAAACCAGCACAATACTCAGGCGCAAAACGATTCGACTCGATCTTTCTCTGCCCTAGCACACCTGCGTGGACCGTCGCCAGCCATGGCACCTGCCACACCTCATACCAAAGTTGCCATCATAGGCTCTGGGCCAGCAGCTCATACCGCCGCAATTTACCTTTCCCGAGCCGAACTAAAACCTACCCTTTACGAAGGTATGCTCGCTGGTGGCACTGCAGCTGGTGGTCAACTGACTACAACGACCGAAGTGGAAAACTACCCAGGGTTCCCGAATGGCATCTCGGGTCCTGACCTAATGGATAGCATGCGTGCCCAGTCGGAAAAGTTCGGTACAGACATCATTACCGAGACGATAACGAAGCTCGATCTAAAGAGCAGGCCCTTCAGACTATGGAGAGAATATGAAGACGGAGACGGTGATGCTCCTGCGCATACAGCCGACGCCGTCATAATAGCAACAGGTGCAAATGCGAGAAGATTAGACCTACCAGGCGAAGAGACCTACTGGCAGAATGGTATAAGTGCATGCGCCGTCTGTGATGGCGCTGTACCAATCTTCAGAAACAAGCCGCTAGTAGTCATTGGTGGTGGTGATTCTGCAGCTGAAGAGGCACTGTTCCTGACCAAATACGGCAGCAAGGTCACCGTTTTAGTGCGGAAAGACTTTTTAAGAGCTTCCAAGGCAATGCAGAACAGACTGTTGAGCCACGAGAAAGTCGAAGTCAAGTTCAACCATGAAGCTGTGGAGGTATTGGGCGAAAACAAGCCAAGGGGTCTGATGACCAACTTGAAGATAAAGAACAACAAGACAGGTGAAGAGCAGGTCCTTAACGCAAACGGCTTGTTCTACGCCGTCGGCCACGACCCGGCCACAGGGCTTGTTAAGGGTCAACTAGATCTGGATGAAGAAGGATACCTGCTTACCAAGCCGGGTACATCCTATACAAGCATAGAAGGAGTCTTCGCAGCGGGTGATGTGCAAGACAAGAGATACAGACAGGCCATCACTTCGGCTGGCTCAGGCTGTATAGCTGCCTTGGAGGCTGAGAAATATCTTGCCGAGCGCGAAGGCGAATCGCCAGAACAACAACTTGAGCAAAGTGGTGCGAAGAAGGGTGACATCAATGGTGCAGACAACGTGCCAGAATATAAAACGAATCCGCTGCTGTAAGCGGAATACTGATAGACAATTGCTAAGCTCGCCCACAACCCTTTCTTCTTGCATTCCATGCCCTCTTCTGCAATCGTCCACGACTATTGTTTCTGAGCTAGCCATTCTCACGACGACAGAACTTCTAGTACCCAAAGTGCTAGACGTCCGGATTGGACCAGTTCCATTCAGCACCATAGCGCTGTTTCCTGTCGTACTCATCCTCATGGAGGGACGACAGTAGACCTGTCCTAGCTGCGAGGTGGTAGTTTACGGCTCTCCGCCCAGCAGTGGCATCTTGCTCTGGCCCACTCACAGGCACGACTCAACGATACCGATTTATCGCTTCTTCTCTTCCACCTGCCCCTTGCTTTGGAGTGGGAAAGTATCTTTCAATCTGTCGCTGTCATGGCGAAAACTGTTCTTCAGCTGAACGGACATGTCGTTCGCGCCTTCCAAGGACTTTGAGAACCATTCGCACAACTCAGTACATGGCTATGTCCTGACGCAGAGCTCACAACAGAAACAACCGAACCTGTTCTCTGTTTTGAAGTGGCGGTGATCGTGCGCGAACAGGTGGCAGCGAATAGTCGTTCCTCGACGTGTACGCTCAATATCGAAGGATCCATGTTCGTGTATAAAGAAAGGCGAAGAAAGGTGGTGGTTAACACTCGTCTTTTATTCGGTAACCTCAGAATATAGCATAGATCTATAGAACCGCACCCGCAATCCACAGGGCATACAACACATCTTATCTCACCTCACAGCGCTGACTTGCACGGCGAAAAGAAGAACAATGCCGTCGATGCCTTACTCACTGCCTATAGCAAAATCCATACAGTAGCCCGATGCCAATGCCGATATACAAAAGCTAGATAATTACAATCCCGACCCGTTTTCGGCGCAAGCCTGTGAGTGTGGCTGTGAAATCACTTGCATGAGACTACCACTTCCGTCCATTACACTATGTACCTCCTGCCAAGCCAAGCAGACGACCATCAAGCTATTCTAGTACTGCTTGGTCTTTATCTCGTGCTTCTTTCACTCTCTGAAATTGAAACGAACGTGATCGTTATAAAGACTCTGAAGACGGCTCGATTCGGACTTTTTGGACGGATATCTTCGGATATTTTACTGTTTACTATCACTCCTTCCACGAAGACGATCTAGATGAGATGAAGCTCGAAGACGGAAACTTGACGTCGTGCATTGTGGTCAGCCCCGCGATCTATTGATCAAGCATCCATGTTACAGTACATAGACGCCACTAAGTGATCCTTTTGCCATGGCACGCGACTTCGACCTTGGTAACTCTTGATTCGTCTTGTCGTGTCTGAGGTTGTGAGCAGATCGACCATGCACAAAGATACGTATTTTTGTCGTAGATCTTAGTACAGAATTGTGTAGATACGTAATTGCGGAGGTTAGATTACCATCCTAATCGAGCTCAAGCAAGAAGAAACCAGCCAAGGCGAGAGTAATGCTTCAGGACACGAGAGAAGGAGGGATCATACAAGCTGAGAGGAACTGGAGTTCGGAACAACAAAAATCATGATCAAAATCAGTGCATGCTGCATCTCTCATTGCCTCGTAAAAGTCATCGCGCATCTATAAACTATCTATACGATTTTCGTGCATGCTCATGTCGGACAGCCCTCATGCTTCGGACCTGGTCTCATACAAGAACAACTTCATCTAGTCCATGCGCGTACGAGACAGATCCGCGGGGATTTGCTCTTTGCGATGGCTTGCACACTTTGCACCTGTGGAATTCTTTGACCTCCTCTCGTTGCCGGCCTTGGAGTAGTATATTGCAGAAAGGACAGAATGCCAAAGAGCACCCAAGTGCTGAGTGTCACCGTGGCCAGCTCTAACTTTCGCATGGTCGACTGAATATCTAGCAGCTCAATACTCGCGAGTTCTTGGGGAAAGCTGGGTCGTCATTGCTGCTTACTCCCACCGCTTCGATATGAGTCAAACCGACATGCTTCTCATCGAGAACTTGCCCGCCCTTGACAGATTGGACATCGTCACTTCCTCTTCGATCGGCAAGCACATCCTTGACAGATCGTCTTGTCTTCAAGCTTTGCCATACAGCAGTGTGCATGGTTCCACTGAAAAGAATATCCATGTCCTCGAGAGTAAGACCTCTGGTCTCGGGGATGAAGAAGAAAGCCCAGAAGCCCATCAAAACCATGAGGGAGCCGAAGAACATGTAAGTTCCGTAGCCCAAGCTCGTGATCATGTATGGTGTGGTTCGAGAGATGACGAAAGACCACAGCCATTGGTCAGCGGTCGTGATAGCCACACACAGCATTCTGATGTCCAATGGGAAGATCTCGGAGCAGTACACCCAAGTGATACCTTGCCAGGTTGCGCAGTAGATGAAGCCATAGAGGTAGACGCACACCATGGCGACGTATCCAGCGGCATCTCTTGTGAGCTCGCCTCGTGCAGCAGCACCAGCTGGATCAGCTTTCATGACGTAACCACCGATGAACCACATTGGTAGGGAACCGATGAAGGCACCATAGATGAGGCCATTTCGTCGACCAACTTTCTCAACGAGGTACAGAGAGAACAAGACCATACCAAGTGTCTTAGCAATGCCGTAGAATCCAGTAGCGAAGAGCTTGGTGTCTGTGCCTGTAATTCCAAGGGTCTCGAAGATACGTGGGGAGTAGTATCTGGAACATAATTAGCTCGAGAACGGGGTTCTCCTTCGAGTGGTACTTACGTGATAATGTTCACTCCAGTCAAGTTTTGGCAAGCCATAAGCAATAGACCAATTGCGATTCGGTTACGTGTTCCTGGTGCGAAGAGCTTTTGGAACTGGGCCTTCTTGCTCATTCTCATTGTGGATCGTTCCTCAACCTGAAGTCGGATGTCGGCCATCTCGCCTTGAATGTACTCGTGGTTAGCAGGCAGTTGTCGGATATCGATCAGGATCTTCTCGGCATCCTCCCAACGATCTTTCTTAGCGAGCCATCGTGGTGATTCTGGGCACCACATGATTCCGAAGAAGAGCAGGATACCTGGCAGAAGCTGGAGACCAAGAGGTACGATCCATTGTGTCTGTGTGCGGCGAGAAATTGTACGGTCGACGGCATAGTTGATCCAGAAACCACACATGCCACCACCTTGCGAAGCGATCTCGAAAATACCAACTAGTCGACCTCGAATGGAAGGTGGACTCGTTTCGGCAATGTAGACAGGAACGATGAGTGACACAGCACCGATACCAAGGCCTGCAACAGCTCGTCCGGCAATGAGCATGCCGATGACTCCGTGTGATGCAGTCATGAGAGTTCCACCGGCCAAGAAGATCAAAGACGAATACATGATAGCCTTCTTGCGACCAATCTTCTCAGCAAGAGGGAAGGTGAGCAAAGCGCCAAAGAAGCAGCCAGCTTGGAAAGTGGAGACAATGTTGCCTTGGAGAGTATCTCGTGCAGTTTTGGAGACGTTGAGGAGGTCGAAATCTCGTCGGAACGAGTCCAGAGCCATAGTGCCACCGATGACCGAAGTATCATAACCCACTAGAGACTGTTAGAGAGTCGTTCATGTTGTTAAAGCAGAGACATACTGGCAATGGCACTCATCGAGGCAACAATTGCGATCAGGTGGATCTTGAAGTTGCGGACCTCTTTGGGGTCCGTGGTCCCCTCGGCATGGAGATTGAAACCCATGTTGACTGTTTCGTGCCAATGTTTGTAATGTTGTGAATCCGGGGGTGGCAGTGATAGGCAATGAAAAAAGATTCTGTTTCAGCAGGCGCACAAGGCGTAGATATAGATAATTTCGAGCAGTTCACCATGTGCAAAAACTTCATCCTCTTTGCGGAGGACGTCTTGCGGAGGTGGACACTCTCCGCAGGTGACAGTGTTCATCGATTGCCGTGTCATGCAAACAGTCATTGGTGGGGAGCCTATTGTGCGTGTCAGAACGTGAATCGAGACCTAAGCGACACATGGATCTAGCTACTGTGGAGACGGGCTTCGCCCGAACAGAAGTCGAAGTATTGCTGCAGACATGCAGGAAGTCAGTCGCTACCTCATTGGGTTATCTCGGCAGGGTAGTCTGGACTAGGATCAGAACTAGCCACCTTCTCGAAAACTCGTCGGAAGCAGAGCGATTGGACATTCGACAGCTGCAGGCGAGCTGCATGACAAGTGAGCTTGGCGGAACTTGGCAGACTTGGCCTGGATCTCCCGCTCAGCACAGCCTCAAGCTAAGCTTGTGCTTGATAGTCGTTCCGTTACTATCAACCATAACATGCTTTAGTAACTGTACCAAGTTGCTTCAACGCGCCGGTTCATTACCGATTTCATGTACACTTATGAGAAACGGTGGTGGCATTGTTGCAGTCAAAGCTACTCGTACAGCGAACATCTTCATCAAGAACATCAAGAAGCTCCGCAAAGACAACCCCTGATAGCCATTGGACTTCGTGACATCGTAATTGTTCATCAGCATCTTCCGACGAAACCATGAGTGGTAAGACCATCAGTGCAAGGTTTAAATGAGTTAGCGCTAAAGCATACCTCGGGCCCCATAATCAATGGTTGCATGAAACCTTGATTTGGTCATTGGTGGTGCAACCCCGAACCATGTCCGGTCCACACCGATTTGGAAATCAAGCAACGGCAGCTGATCACACAACATGCATGGTCAATGCTCTAGAAATTGTGTCATGTTATCATTGCTTTGAGTAGCTTGGGCAGAATGGTTCTCTCTGATGGTTTGAGGCACGTGTCTACATATGACGGATGAAGGACACGGCCATAGATTGTGCAGCAAGCTTTGTCCAGCTTAGCAGAGCTGCATTTTCCCGCGTACCTGATGGAGACCAGGATTATGGTGTTCTGCCGGGTTTCGACAATTACCGATATGGCTTTAAGCTGCAACGTGAAGGCTAAGAGCACTGCCTCACGCCAATAGCTGCTCCTTATGCGAGCATATCAACTTGATAATGCTTTTCAAGACGTCCGTGGGGCATCGTATGACAATGCGTGCCCTTAGCTCAAGAGCGGAAGATAATCCGTGACCAAGGTACCGACAAAATGATAAACGAAATGAGAAGGCGCAGCAATTCATTGTTATCGTCGTGCATGGAGAACCCCATAAGCTGGTATAGACCAAATGTTTCAACGTCGATGATTGTTTCCATACCACACGATCTCGTACCTGAGGGCAGTGCACGAGAATGAAGACCGTCGACACGGTGAAGAGCTGGAAGCTGATGTTGGTGCCGCACAACTTCCTGGTACACTCTGGGACCCCTTGCGAACGTTAATCGTCGTTCCCCAGCCTCAACGGGTCGACACCCGCACAGATGCAGTACAGACATCGTTGGCGATGAAGACCATGGTCTCGGCGCAAGCTCGAAGAGAGCTCATTTGTGGTGCGACTTCGCCTCTAGCTTCTGCTCGATGGGTTTCCTTTGAATTGTGGCTCGAATTGCGAGAACTAGTCGACGTATCCACGATCGCTGAATCGTGTCTAGATGCTCGTAGCTGAAGGCCTGGTGATCAGCTTCCGGGGAGAGACTAGCTGTTGCCACGAAGTTTCCCCTCAGTGCGGTGATCGAGCCCCCTGAGGCAACTGTAATATAGAGATCGAATGACGTGTTCTGATTTTCCATATTCTCCTCGAGTGATAGACACGCCCAACACCATCTTCGGACTTCGTGCAGATGTAATGATGCATGCCTCAAAGACACCATTAGCTGATCCGCATGGACACATCTGCCAGCTGTCTAGCCCAGCTTGTGCAGAAACTGCTTGAGTCGAAGGACATGCGCCGATCGCCAGTCTCAGTGCTGATCATAGCAATCTCCATCTTCTGAAGAACAATTAAAAGGTGCATCTGGGCCAAAGTCAGCTGGGGTTTGCGGTAATCCATAATTCCTTGGTATGCTGATGGTCTGCTGGTGAAGTAAAGTGGTCCACACCACGATGTCAACAAGTCGATGCTCTCGACTTTGAGAAGTGGTCTAGAGCTTGGTGAAGTTGACGCATTGATCGTCGACCTTGGTGTCCGACACTGATTCTCAGTCACTTCGTATGGTATCTACTCGTGTTGGTGGTCTAGGCCCACACCTATGATTTGTGCATCCAGAGCATATTGGCTCGCGCAGTGACGCATATTGGCCTCCAACTTGTTGTCCGGATTCTCTAGCTGTCATGTCTCTGGTCGGCTTTGAGACTCGACTCGCTCATCTGGAAGAGTGCATCTGATGCAGTTGAGTGCAGTTATTGACAACTGTCCGGAGCGAGCTTCCCACATTCGTAGGTGGACAGCAGTTCTCCCGCACTGAGACATCCTCTCCATCGACAGCGTGTCGACGAGGTGTGCTCGAAGGTCTTTCGTGGATGATGTGGTTGTTGGTAAGCAACACATGCAGTGGTTCGGTATCTGCGGCGTCATTTCATGGTTGAGCCCTGGTACAGTTGAACGACTGTAGGACATCGCACAATAGAGCAGAGCGACTCATCAGTGGCGGAAGTCGCATCTCGTTCTCGCTCGAAAAGGCTACCATTGTAGCAGACCTAGGTAGTGTTGAAGAATCAAATGATGGTGAACAAACGAGGACTGAGCAGACGTACTCACGGTACTACGTATCTATGCAAGCACCGGCACTGGCAGGCGCGTCGCAATTAAGTTAATCCGTACCACGTACTCAGGGGCCATTCAGGCACTCGTCACTAAACCATAAGGCTCAAGGCCTCGAACGAGACGAACTCGCAGCTAAACTCTTCCTGGATGAGCCTGTTCCTGATCATCAGCACAACTTCACCACTTCTGTAGACACAACGTTTATTGTACATCACGTCTACACGACTGCTGTTGAACTCTCTTCGTCGCCGTCTACTGCGAGTGCGTCAGTCTCGTCAGGCTCATTTACCAAAGTCCTCACGTTTCTGGAACAAGCAGACAGGACCAATCCTGGAACTCCTTTTCGTAATTTAGGGGTTCACTTTCATCCAGCTGCAACGTCTTGCAAGACCTACAGGACTTTTTTGTTACCATCCCGGATTCAAGGACCACGCAAAAACGTTCGATACTGTCTAAATGGTTCTTCTTCCCTCTTGGCAGGCTGTCTATGCCCTCATCGTTGCTTCTGCCACAATCGCTTCGGCATATCGACCTGTCCAACACTGTAAACAACTGGGCGACAACGGTCACTATTCTGCATGCACATCGTTAACGCAGCACTACAACCAAACCACAGCAGAGTCCGATCTTTTCGTCCGCTATCACTGGTACAAATACAAGGATTCCAGGAATGGCTGGCACGCCTTTGCACTGGGTAAGCAGATGGCCGGCGCGCTGATGTTCATCATGTACGGTGACCCTACCACTCCGATGCCTGAAATGACAATCAGTGTCCGAAGTGCTGAAGGTCATCACCCACCTCAGTTGGTCAAAGACATCGCCATCTTCAATCGTCCTGAGGCGGAGAATCGAATACCTGAAGTGACTATTATCACCAATACTTTCAAGCCCTACACTGGTGCTTACGAACAACCTGAACTCAGTCTGAAGCCAACCCATGTTGGAATCGCTGAGTTTATTGTTCGTGGATACAGTAAATGGATCGGCTCCGCTGTTAGCAATGTCAGCACAGCGCAACCCATGTTATGGTCCAGCAGATACGATCAAGATTTCCAAGAAGACTACAGTGTCGATCATGGCATTGAGATGCATGCTTTTGGCCTCGGCTTCGGGTTCATCTTCGCGGATTTGCTCAACGCGGAAACCCCAGTGCCTATGTTTGGTGCTATCAACGAACTTAGCGGCCACAAAGGTCTGGTTGAGATTGGAGAGCCCGCGCCCCCTACAGCAGCGGAAATCTCTGCTGGCGAGTTCGCCATCAAGAACTACCGCCTCGATCCTGTAAATGCCGATCTTGCTACGTCCTCGGGCGACGGAGAACACAACCCTTTCAGTGATCACAGCAACACCACTCCCTCGACCGTGCCAGAGGGTCACGGAGGTGGTAGTGAGGCTCAACCCAACAGTTCCAGCACGAGCGACGCTGCCAATTCTACCAACCAACAAGCAGCACAAGCAGCCTATACGATTCGCGGAAAGACTGTCCGTGATTGGCTTTGGCATCTGCATGGATCTATCTTGTGCTGCACTTTTTTCATTGGTTATCCGCTTGGCATCTACCTTCTACGATCGTCGAAGCAACAGGCAGCAGGCTTGAGCTTCAATTATCACTGGACTGTCCAAGCACTCGCAACCGTTGGGTTGGCTATCGGCATCTTCATTGGCTACTTACAGAGTCGAAGCATTTCTCTTACACACCAGTATGTGGGGATTTTTATCGCATTCTGCATTGGTGCACAGATGCTGCTTGGTTGGCGACACCACGTCAAATTCCTCTCCGCGAAGCGCAAAACCTGGTTAAGCAAGATACATATTGGGCTTGGTAGAGTTATCATGCCGCTCGCCTTTGTCAACATCCTCAGTGGTATGAAGCTCAGGCATTATGGCTGGTTTACGATGCTCCTGGTCTTGGCGTTGGCTGTTATCGAAATTGTGTTCTTTGCAGTCTACCTCAGGGGGTCTCATGTTAGACGGAACAAGATGGGAGGAGCCGCTGTTGCTGAACAACTCAAAGCACAAGGTCCTGGGCAGGATGACGATGCTGAGGAATACTTCCAACTTGCAGGTGAGGATGATGATCTGAGTGACTTGAGCGACGGCGAAGATGCTATAAGTAAGAAGCGACACCAAAAGCATGAGGAGAACGAACGGCTTGCCAAGCTCGACCGAGTCTAGACTAGCAGTTCGGACTCTTGTTTTCCTTCCATATTACGATGTCTGGTAACATGTAGAGTCCAGCTCATGCTTGCAGATTCCAAATGTTCGCCAACGGACTGGCTCGTCTTTGTACAGTAAAAAGCCTTTGTAGCGGCTTCTTCATCCATGTATTAAGTGCAATTTAATTCTTTCTCTTACAATGTCCTTAGTCAAGTCAATAATTTTCAGCAGTTAAAAAAGTGATACTATACTCCAAGTATCACGTGACAAGAACAAGGTCTAGCGCGTCGACCCGCCGGCGTCGCTCATCGTTCGGTTTCTCAATAAAGTTTCTCACATGTCGTGGAAGTCTGACTGCCTACAATATTCAATGCAATATCACGTTCCCATCGCTTCGTGTCCGAGACTGTATGTATCTCTACACGATCATTAAATCATCTAGCTGCTAAGCTGTCAAGTAATGTTGAGAATCTAACGAAATATCCTGAGGCATCATCACAGCCTTCGGCCTCGGCCCAATAGCCAATCAGGTTCGACCATAAACCGACACGATGACAGTGAGACCATCACGGCCTCAGAAATCCATGCAGATCATGGCTGGCACGAAGCAGAAGATGGATCTATGTCCGCGAGATGTCAACTGTGGTTGTAAAAAGGACAAGACGATACCAACCTTATCACCGTCACTACTGCACATGGACGATTGTAATGACCCCGATTGTGTCGATTTCAAGCAACTACAACAATTACAGCAATCGATCGACAAGTATACTGACTACTCGCATTACGAGAAGTGCTGTGATGGCAATCATGCCGCAGGTGAGAAATGTAACACTAACTACTGCTGTCAAGGCTCTGTGACGGAGCATGAAGAGTGCGACGAATGCCTGGATGATTGCGATGAGTGTTTCGAGGAGCATCACCTCGGCCACCCTTCTAGTCCCGACGAGATGCATGAAGCTGGGACCCCGGTAAAGTGCGATGAAGACTGCGACCAATGCGAAGAGGAATGTGAGGAGAACGGCCACGAACGAAAAGATTGTCCTCAGGACCACCACACGAGCTGGGAGAGTTGCTTCACCACCTGTGGCCAATGTTTCGACCCTGCGCCGTTGCCAATGCTTCCGGCGGATGCAGAGATGCAGCTCCATGATTTGAACAATTACATGCCACATATTACGCCGTGCGACGAGAGATGCACTCCCCCTCCATACATTGACGATGCAATGGCCCTGGATGCTCTGTTGCAGCCACAGGCTCAGTTTGATCTGGATTTAGACCACTGGCAGACCTTTCAGCAGGCGCACCACTGCGCTCCTGATCCATGCATAGTTGATCCTCTTCCTAAATTCCATCCTCCACAACACATTGACCCGCAATATGGCTTCTCTTTTGGCTGTGATCCTTTGCTACCCGGCAATCAATACACTTGGCAGCAGCACGAACAACCGTTTCAACAGATGTGTAATGTACAAGCCTTTGACAACTTAGACCTCAACATGATTGCAGCCAACGTGAATAATTTCACACCAATCAATTTCGATGTTCCGGAACAGAGCACTAACCCGGGGCAAGTGCTGACAAACTTGACACAGAGAGAGATTGCTCAAGCAGCCCGGCCAAAATCGTCGACTCCACCTGTAAAGATTGGTAAGACGTGTCAATGGCTCATGCCTTGCGGCTCCGTATGTGGACAAACCTTTGCACGGACTGACGATCTCAAGAAGCATGTCAAGAATAGTCATCTGGCACTGAAAGGCACAATCTCGTGCAGATGGGGCTCTGCATGCAAAGCGACTTTTGCCACCGAGGCTGCATTGACTGGACATATATCTAAGAAGCACTTGGCACCACTATATACACAAAGCTCAGCAGTACCATCCAAAGCAGACTCCAAGTCGCCTGCGACAGCATCTGAGAACACTACGGGCGATGAGCTGCCATGGAAATGCACATTCCCTGGCTGCAACAAATCTTTTATGTACAAACAAGTACGCGATGAACACGCAGCGAGTCACACAGGAGCGAATATGGCACACTGTCCAATCTGTCATCGCTGGCTAAATGCTGAAGGCTCCAATTTCAGGCGTCATTTGGCAAGCCACCGGCCAGAGCACGAGCATATGGAATGCAAACACAAGCATCTAGGATGTAAGTCACCTCTGGAACTCGTGCTGGCGTCCAGCCACAGCCCTAAATGCATGCCTGGTAAAGGTGGTTCTTTGGCTAACACGAAACAGGTCGTAGGAAGTTCCCTCGTCTCGACAACCTTCGAAGGTAAATCGCCTTCAGATCATTCTGGGGCCACGCTGACGATTACACAGGCACGAACAATGTTGCAAGTATGGGAAGAGGGCTGCCGAGGCAAGCGATGGACATGCTCACCACCACCACCACCACCATCATCACACCATAGCTCATGCAAAGTGAACCTCGTCAGGTCGGCCTCGAGGCCTCTCAAGCTCGCACTTCGTTGTTACTGACATTGGTTGGTTGGTTGGTGGACAGCGTTGGAACAAGTGCTCGAGAGTGGTTTGCAAGCAGGAATTCTCTACTTTCACGTGATTAATATGTTCTCGGAAGAGCTTAGCTCGAGCAAGGATTTCAAGCCATTAGTATCAGGCGCAGATAGTGCGTACAGGCCGCGCCAACTATCAGCGCAAACACCAGGATACTTCTTCTGCAATGTTTTCAAGCTGTGTAGACCGTCTTCTCCTTCGCAGGTCCCTGCTCTGGAAAGAAATATAATGCCTGAGCACTTCGTGAAACTCCCTCCTCTCAAACCCACGTCACACAAACCCTATTGATACGCGTTCCTGGAGCTAGGACGAATTGGACTTCCTCCACTGATCGTTCTCCGTTCCTGCCTGTTGTTCTTCTAGAAGGACACAATTTCCATTCCAACGTTCCTTGTCTTGATGCCTGATACCCTTGGAGACAACTTTGTCCCTTCCTTCACTCATTTCAACCCTTCCAGTTCACGAAACTCTGTATTACCATTGCATGTTGCGAAACACCACGAACAACAGAGACGACAGTCACTCCTTTCGAACACCTCACCAAACATCGAATTAGGCTCGTTAGCCCACGAGGGTAGTTCCCAACCTCAGCCAGAAGACTTCGAACTAGACAGCGACGACTTTTCAGACTGGTCGGGAGAAGAGCAGGAGCACGACCCCTTAGATCCCGAACAATCCCAGATGCAGAGGAGGGCGCGGAAGCAGAAGAGTAAAAACAATTTAACCATCAATACCAACACAAAGCAGAATGGCAATGTAGCGAATGGTAACGGTCACATCGACAGCAAAATGATTGAGCATAGGAGAAAACATGTAGTAGGACCTGAGGATGCTAAAGCAGCCTACATAGGAAGGGAAGACTTTAGTCTGGATCAGGATCCTCCTCCCTTGACACCTCAGACACCTGCGCAAGTCGAGACGAGCTTCAGTGATTTGCCAACGCAGGACAAACACAACTTTCTGCTGTTATGCCTGCTTTACTTCCTGCAAGGTATACCGATGGGGCTGGCCTCAGGTTCGGTGCCTTTCCTATTAAAGAAATACCTATCATACGGCCAAATTGGCGTCTTTTCACTCGCAATATACCCCTACTCGCTCAAACTGTTATGGTCGCCAATCGTTGATGCGGTGAGTTCCCTCCTGGGCTAAACTAGCACGACTAGAGTGTTCTAACATTATTCGTCAGGTCTGGTCGCAAAGGTTTGGTAGACGAAAGAGCTGGATCACACCCATACAGACAATCTCAGGTTTGTCCATGATTTACCTCGGTGGTCAGATCGACCCAATGATGGAAGCTGCGGGCAAAAACGGCGGTGCTGGTGTCTGGAACTTTACTGGCTGGTGGTTTCTCCTTGTCTTCCTTTGCGCGACGCAAGATATTGCAGTAGATGGATGGGCAATTTCTCTACTGAGCATTCAAAACATCGCCTACGCCTCGACTGCACAGACAGTTGGCTTGACTGCTGGCTCTTTCTTGTCACACACCGTTTTCCTGGCCTTACAAGCTCCTGAATTTCCGAACACGTGGTTCAGGAAAATGCCCCAGGACTACGGATTGTTGACGCTGGGTGGCTATATGACCTTCTGGGGCTATGCATACCTCGTCGTCACATTGGGCCTGGCGATATTGAAGAAAGAGGAAAAGACAAAAGAACGAGACAGCATACGCGAAGTCTACGAGAGTATGTGGGCTGTATTGAAGCTCAAGAACATCATTACGATCTGTATTATCCACCTAATCGCCAAACTCGGCTTTGTGACAAACGACTCAGTCACGAACCTGAAGCTTCTGGACAAGGGCTTCGGCCAAGCCAACCTGGCGTTGGTAGTGCTAATCGACTTTCCTTTCGAAATCGGACTGGGATACTACGCAGGACAATGGTCAACCAAATATACGCCCCTACGGTTGTGGTGTTGGGCCTTTGTGGCAAGATTGGCAGCTGCCATTTTTGCACAGGTCACAGTGATGATTTATCCTACAGCTGTTGGCGAAGCAGTACCACTGTGGTATCTGTTGACTGTGATTGTGGAGCACGTTTACAGCACCTTCATGAACACCGTCATGTTCGTCGCGGTATCGGCTTTTCATGCTCGAGTGGCTGATCCAGCTATCGGCGGCACATACATGACCTTGCTTGCTACTGTCTCCAATCTTGGAGGTACGTTTCCAAAATATTTCGTACTCAAACTGGTCGACACTTTTACAAGCGCGACCTGCATTCCTCCGACCGCAGCTGAAATTGCGAAATTGACCCTGGCAGAAGGCAAGACACCTATCACAAGCGCCCTTTCTTGCGCATTAGAAGCCGACAAGCATCTTTGCATAGAAGGAGGTGGTACTTGCATAATCAACAGGGACGGATACTACATTACTAATATCGTTTTTGTGGTTCTTGGAGCTATCACCTTCTGGATGTATATCGAGAGAAAGGCACTGGCATTGCAAGCGCTGCCTTTAAGAGCATGGAGAATAAACCCAGAAGGCTACACGAGAGTGAATAGCTAGACTGGCTATTCTCCATGAGGTTGGCATATATCTAGAGTTTAGCCAGGACGAATGTACGATCAATGAAATCCAAGACTGACTGACAGACATCTCTTTTTTTCATTAGGTTGTGCTTTGCAAGATGGACAATCCAAATCAATAATATTACACGAACGAACAGAATCTTGGCGAGGCTACTTGGATCTCTGACAATTATACCAAAATATTGGGCTAGAGCATCGGACATGCTTCAGCTCTTGTAGTCCTACCTCTACAGATCAGGGTCAGGTCGGTGAGAGCTCTCGTGGTCTTAAGTCGTATGAATTAGAGGGAACAGAACCTGTCAAACTACATATTTGTGACGCTTTCTCGCAATTCCATCATACTAAATCTGATGTAGCAGTCAAGCCGAGCGATATACACTAGTTGATACAGTCAGCAGCTAGATCCGGACGAGTTCCTTGGCCTTTCTCAGGTTTTCTCAGGTTCACTCGGGGCCCCTGCAAATCCTCTTTTAGCCGACGGTGCGCGTACTTTTCTCCCCACGGCGCGTGTTTGAAGAGCGCGTCCTGGCTAACATGACGACTTGATCTATCGCGACTCTTACCAGAGCAGCTGCATTTTCCCACAACTACGTACCAAGGAATGGTACTGACTCCCGATCTTTGCTACTTGGGAGCTACCACGAGAACATACAAGCCCTTCGCTGCGCGTTGATCCGCACTCATCATGGAGCAGACTGCAGCAACCAACGACCTTGAAGCACGCCTAGACGATCAGATCGCACACATTCGCGCGGAAATCGCTAAGCTACGAGCACAAAAGCAGAGACTGAGTACCACCTTGCTCGGATCGAGTAGGGTCCAGAAGTGGCTACAGACACGAGAACATGGATTTGGATCGAGCAGTAAAAGCACTGCAGCTTCGGTGTACGAGGACACAGCGAACGGCACCGAAGCGACCAGCATAGGAAAAAGACTAGAGGACGCGATCGAGCACTTGAACCACAAGAATAACGTCAAAGTCCACAATCTAGCGTTCGGAATTACCGCCTTCCCATTCACAGACACCGCACCAGAACGGCGGAATGCTGATGGACTTGAGGCTCTGATGCTCGGGGTGAGGATTGACTTACATCCAACAACGCCAGAACTCCTTCATGTCAACGAAAACACACTCCAAGATCCAGCAGACGTGCAAGCTACCAAACCGCAAAACCATACAGAAGAAAGACAAAATAACGAACACATGCCCTCAAGCTATATTCTCCTCCTTCGTAAACTCCGACACCAAAACCAAACATACCTCCGCGTCCATTGGACTAACGTCCCCAAACACATCGACGTCGATCTCCACGAACAGCACTACCTACCACTGCCCGACGCGCTCATGGACGATGCAGCCGTGACCCTCAATCATGACACAAGCACGCGGAACAACAACAACCAACAGGCAGGGAACGAACACCTTCCTGCCGAAGACACTTTCGAAGACGACTCTGGCATCGACGTTACGCAGGATCTTGAGGCGCCGGTGCAACAACAGCATGTACCTCCGACGATGGGCGTGAATGCCGCGAACATCTCCACAAACAACCAGGATCTACACAGATTCACCGAGTGTGTGCGTGATGACTTGCAGAGCTGGTGGTATCGGAGACAGGGTATCGAATACCTCAGACACGTACTAGGACTAAATACTAGTATTGCACTCTCCTCCTCCTCCAAGACCGCTCATCACAACATCCAAACTCTCGAGCGCAAAACTAATGACGCGCGGAACATGAAAATTGTCTGGAAGAGCGGCGCTGTGGGCTTGCTACGCATCGGTTACGATGGCACTATTGAACGAGCTGTTGTGTATGGGCTGGGGTCGGGGCTGCAGAAGAAACGGCTAGTTTCGTATAGTGATAGTGATAGTCATAGTGGTAGCGAGCTTAGCGAGCTTGAGTCGGATGATGATAGGAACGTCTTCCGGACTCAGCCGAGGAGTTTGAGAGAGGGAGGGAAACAGTCGTCTCAGGTGCGGTTGTTTGAGGTTGAGAGATTGTTGATGAGGGATGAGCAGGATGATCAAGTTAGGGTGCAGAATTTGGTTGGGAGGCTGGAGATTATTAATAGAGCAGGATTGGTGTGATCATTGACGTTGAATGGCTCGAGACGGTAGAAGGCGCCGGGTAACCTTCAAGTCTGATTGCATAAATTGGGTGAGGATGTTTTGAGCTATAACTTGATCTAAACATACATCATAATAGCTACCGGTCACCAATTGCCAACCGTTCATGCAGCATACGATGGTAGCATCCAGGCTATCCTCTTGGCTCAGCGCTTGTCTCTGAGCTCGCCTGATAAGCAATCTGCTAGCGAATGTCATGGAACTATACATGTGCACGCTCGTGGACACTCAGCACATTCACTGCGTCTGAATTTCGATCCTCCCATGTCCGTTGCTGATTCAATACGTGCAATTCACCTCATCAGCCGATCTTCAACTTCCCGCTTTTGTACCTGTCTCCTTCGCGAGTGTGGTCTTGCACTCGTTTTCGCCTCTGTCGGTTGTTCTTGCGAGAACACAAAGTCATCAGCAGGCAGTTTTCCTCTCCGCTTGCTCGACATCCTCTCCAGCTGTCGCGCATCTTGTACAGGCTTGACGTCCGTTGTCCCATGATCCGGTGCTTGAGCGAACGACGTGAATAGTTGTGGACCTGTATTGGCTCTTCTTCTGGTGCTAGCTCGATTTCCTTGAGCATTTGAGTTGGCGCTTGGTCGCAACGGCGACTCGATTGTCATACTGCGTTGCTTGGTATTAACCCTCGATTCAATCACATGCGGCTCAGCACGACGAATCTGTACGTCAAGCAAGGCTGAGGCGTTAGGCACTATCGCTGCTTTGCTTCGTCCACGTCGAGACGGCAGTCTTGACGCTGCTTGACATGTATCATTCTGCTTTCCAGTCCACTCGCTTCGCTGCTGCAGCTCTCTTTGCTGGTGAATCATCTTACGCTCCTGCTCACTGAGCATTACCTTTTTTGGTGGAGAATTGTCGATTGTGAAATCTGAGAGCTCTGTCTCTGTGAAGCCTAGACCAGAGGTGGACACCTGTAGTCGTGGCAGTTTGGGTCCAGTCTGCGAATTCGAGGTTGAGGGACGTTTGTTGTGCTCCAAGTCTATCAGGTGGCAGTGGTAGCAATCTGAGTCATGGCTGTGGAAGCAATAATTACTATGCTCAGCACTTGAAGAAGCTAGCAGGTCCTTGAAGGTCTCCGACTTGCTGCACTGATGGTGAAATTGATATTTTCGAGGAGATTTGTCGAGTTCACGTTTCAACTCTTCCAACCTAGCACTTGCTGTGCTCTGACAGCGGCTGTGGGCACCTTGTGTCTGCTCAAGGCTTCGTTTTCGTGGAGCCACGAAAGCTTGTCCTTGATAATAAGGCCGATACAAAGGATGGTTGGGATCGGTTGGTAATGTCTTGGATCGTTTGGCTTCGATCGAGGCAGCCACCTGAGCAAGCGCGTTTGGCATGACATCCAAAGAGTTCATGTGAATCAAAGTGATTGGTAGTTGCACCGTGATTGTCTTGAACATGGCTACAGTCACAATCACGTTCAGAAAGTATCTGACCTCGAAAAATCGTCCCGTGCTGATTGTGACATGTCCATGAGGAACCTGAATGTGACAGGTCCTGACTTCAGAAGTATGTGGCGGAGTGCCATTCCATTGCTTCGCTTTCTTGACCACAGTTGAATTTACTATGTCGTTTTCCTGCTTTCTTGGAACTCGAAGATGGTTTGCGTTCTTCGCTCCTGTTTCGGCAGCTGCGTGGGTGTACCACAGTGTCGACCTTTGAAGCTGGAGTTCGAGCTTTCTGAGTGTGCGTTGAGACTTGTTAATGATGTGGATGTCCACAAATACTGAGTTGCCACTAACCCATATCTGCCGATGCAATCCTGCTGTCAGTGCAATTGACTGTGGACCAGGCAAATAGGGTAGGCTCAGCGTCTCAGTCGCGACCAGAGGGCTTGGTAGACTGGCGAGAGCCTTGCAAGGATCGAAGACTGTTAACATCTGGATGTTACACACTTGGCTAACGACTCCTCTACTCCCGTCACTCTTCACGACAAGTGTGGGAAGCAGTGCATATCGGATAGTTGCGCTCTTTGATTGATATGGTGGCGGACCGAGGTTCAAAGGCAGATCAATGCAGAATGGAACTGATGCGACACCTGGCTTGGTTTTCCAGAACAGCTCAGGCCCTCTTTCTGCTTCTTGGCTTGCGATCGCTGGTGGAGGTGGATGTTTTTCGTGAAAGAGCTTGGACGCAAGAGCCAGGAAGACCTATTTCCTGCCGTCACTCACTTCTTCTAGGCCAACGACATCCACAGACAACTTCGAGATCAGCAGAGGTCGCGATCGGTCTCTGGTATTGTCTTGGTTGATGGTCAGCCTGACCTCGCCTTCAATAGTTCCTCCACCAACGAATAACGGAGCTTTCAATTGTGTTGACAGTTGTATTCGTCGATGGTTGATACTGCCATGCTCGAGCAGCTTGAGTGGAGGACTAGGACGGATGAAGGTACGGGATTGTATTGGTCGAGCCGTGTCAGATGAAACAAAGTCTTTCGCAATGAATCTTTTGATTGGAGAGTCAGCCCTTCCTCGAGGAGGTATAGCTCGACCAGCAGCTGCTGCAGGGGGCAATTTCCATGATGGAAAGTCTTGCAAACTCGCTTGCGTGGAGTCGGGAAGTGAGGAGTTCCTAACCGGCACATCTCTCAAGGGCAAACTATGAATGCTCGCCGCACCTGAACGATGGCTGAAGACTTCACTGCTACGGTCTTTTGCTGCGTCTCCCTGAGTTTGCAAACTCGCCTGTACTGCACCTGCAAAATCAGTAGATTGTCTTCTCTTAGGCTTTACATTCTCATCGAACATGCGACTGAGCCGTTCTCGAAGCCCGTCAGCTGATAGGGCAGGTTGCACTTTCGGCTCAAGAGGAGTAGGATGAATCACACCGAGAGGCCGAAAGGTAGACTCTGATCGTCTTGTTCGTGTTTCGGAGCTCTGTCGTAGGAAAATGTCTGACTTCTTTATCATAGCTAGACGGTGTCAGTTGTATTAACGTCCAACTTTTTGCTAGACTTACATGGAGTTTTCATCTTGATAAGCTGGCATAGAAGAACTTCCAAAAGTAAGTCATGCTCCAAATTGCAGCCTCTAGCAGCGATGAATATGGTACAACACAACTATGTGGTAAGAGAGCTGACGGGCATCGGTCTTTGAGGCCATTTGTCTGGCAAGGCAAGGCAATCACGATCAAAGACTCCATGCGATGTCTGAAAGCAGTAAGGTGCAATGCTGTAGGTCCTTCTAATATTAGCTGTTGTTCAGAACATCGCTCACCTGCATCACTGGATTTTCAAAGCAGATGTTGGCAAAGCTGGAACAGAATGGAAGAAATTGAGCAGCAAAGCGTCTTTTAAACATGGATTCGCGCATTGCAAAGTAACAGACTGTATAAAGTAAATAATTAGACACAAAACTTCGTTACCTCGAATACCACACTGGAAGAGTGCTCTGGTCCATCCTGAATGAGCTATCCATGTTGCCTCATGATGAAAACAAGCTGTGTCTTAGTAGTCTGAGCTCTGAAAATGGAACAATTCGGACCATTCTGAAATGTATATCCTCGCTAGATCATCTTGCTTGTTGCTTGGGCTAGCCGCGTGACGCAAATTTCCAGTAGAGGGCGAGATTTCACCAGTACCGCATGGCACATGGCAGCCACGATCTCATCGAAGGACCGACGGCTCATTCCTGTCAATGACCATGAGTACACAACACATACGGCTATCAGATTGACCAGCCTTCTTCTCCCCATCCTCAGCCTCGTCGTCAACTTTCTTCTTCCCAACCTCTCCAATTTATCACGTAGATATCAGCTGATTGAGCCCTGCTCTCGGAGCTAGAATGGGTTTGCTGGTCCGCTGTGGCAGTCCTCGTGATGCAGAGAACTTGGGCATAGAACGGAGCACGTAGACCAATCGGCCTCAAGCACACGAATCGTCAGCATACTCAGCTCAACGTGACATTTCATTTCGAGACGACATTGCAATGATCCATTTCAAAGGGGGTCGTGGGTGCGGCTCCTGGGATACTTACGGATCCGACAACAGGGTATTTGAGATGTAGAGAAAACACAACATGAAGGGAATGTGGTCGACGAGTTCATCTTCCACGGAGATGGTTTGATTGACCAGGTCGTGCTATGCTGTTTGAGGTTGGATCAGCCTCCTCTAGAGGCTTGGCAGCAAGCTGCAGGATGACGAGCTACCCTCTTTTCAGGCATCGGAAGCGGTAAAATGAAAATTTCAATTGCGGGGAGCGCATGGGAAACCAGGTTTGGCGATCTCCGACGGAATTTGAGTGGTTGCGGAACTTCTGAGCTCAAGTCGATCATTTCGGCGGCCTTGTGCTAGCGAACAGCTAGGATGGCTTGAGAAACTGAATACGATGGTGAACTATCCAGCCAATTGCGTAATTGTGATGAGAACAACATACGGAAGGAGATTCAGCTGGCAAAACAACGACTTTGGAGTGCCGTCCGAAAGGAGGAACGTTAGTGAGTATTGGACATGGAAAACTCGGTTGCATCACTTTGAATTTCTGGTACTGGTTCTGAGCAGGTGAAATATTGGAGCTTTGAGTAATTTGGAAAGGAAGTCGTACTCGTAGGTTTGAAGTAGGGAAGCGCCCCTCTTTTAATATCCCAGCGCGTCCCTTGCCGTGCAAATTTTCATTAGCTGATACCATTACGCTTCGCTCCCAGTTCCGCCTTTCATTACTTGAGAGAACTTTCTTATCTCTTTTTTGTGTGTCAGTATCAAACATCAACATCGAAAATCACTTCACTTCATCCACGCTTATCGTTGCGTCGCGCCTAGTACCCCTTTACTGCAGCAGCCTTGTGTCGCGCTTATGCCAGGTACTACGCATTAGTTTGGCGTTGAATAGATATTGAAATGGGATCCATGGGAATCAGCGACGTCACAGCTGCAATTGTAGACATCGACCATGTTGTGCCCAAGATTGAGCCAATAGACGATACTCTAACTCCTGAATCAGAGTCGTCGTCTTCTCCCGAGCCGGAGAGTGCGACCATCCCGCATGAAGGAACTTCTACCTCACAAGAGCCAGCTCCTGTGCCTAAGCGAAAAGGAGGTCGAAAGCCTGTACGTTGTTGAAAGTCGCCGAACTTCACAGCTAATTTTTGCCAAGATATATGCTACTTCCGAGGAAAGGAAGCAGAGGAATAGACAAGCACAAGCAGCCTTTCGAGAGCGTCGTACTGAGTATATCAAACAGCTCGAAACAACGATCCAGCAACATGAAGAGAACCTCGCCAACTTACAGCAAAGTCATCGCACAGCTGCGGACGAGTGTCTTATGCTGAGATACAAGAACTCGCTACTTGAGCGGATTCTCCTTGAAAAGGGCAAGTACAGCACTCTACCACTGTTTAGATGCTAATCATACTAGGCATTGATGTACAGGGCGAGCTGCGATTGAAGGGCAGTCCCCATCTAGGACCCGTCAGGAACAGACCTATGGGAGGTCAAACTTTGCCGATGCAAAAGGCGATGCTGAATAGACAGCAGAACGCACGACAGCAAAGACCCCAAATGGCCCCGCCACCTATCCAAACTGTAAACCAACCTGCCCGAACAAATTTGATGGGCGAGACAATGAACTCACCACTTACACAGCCTACTCCACCATCACAGCGTTCCTCCCCGTCAACAACAAGGTCACCTGGTTATCCTATGCAAGCAATGGCTTCCCCGACAAGTGACCTGCAGCCACGGCAATTTCAACACCCTCCACGCCAGATGCAGGCTGTACCACAGCAGGCATTTCAACATCAACAACACCGAATGCACAACCGAAGCATGTCCGCGAATACGATTGGGCAGTCATACCCACGAAGATCTATGCACGCACCAATCTCCCAGACACAAACACAATATTATCCAGCTTCCTTTCAGAAGCATTATGATCAGCTCGGCAAGTCTACCCCTACCCATCCCTTTCTTTTCCTACTCGAGAGCTGTGTTCGTCCTAGGCTGAATCCGTTAGTACAGACCAGGAATACGACGCACAAGTTGATATGCTTGACGATGTCGACGGCGATGACGTGGATCCAGATAGTTTCATACCAAACTTCCGATTGCCGCCGCAAACTGGGGGTCATCCTGGTATGGGCATGCAAGCATCACCACCAGCCACAGCCACAACGGCAAGTGACGGAGGCAACCCTTTGTCGTCAATTCCGTTCGACTATGACCCTATGCTCGATGCTGATCCATTCGGTCTCAGCGCATCCATGCACTTCCCGAATCCCTTCAGTGGGCTCCCAGCCTCAAGAAGGTAGAGTCGGATGGGGCGTACAGAACAATGATTGGTGGAGCTCCTTCGAGAGCAGTGGTGTCTTTGGTCATTTTAGAAAAGTGCGAATTAGCGAAGGCGCTATGGTTCTATCGAATCTGCTGATGAGCAAGAAGTTCAACGTGTGTAAAGGTGAACATTTTATTCTCCAGGACATAATTTATCCTCTTGATATCATTACCGAGCAGAGGAAATACCGTTTCCGTATATTTTCTAGACTCGAATCCAGGTTCAAATACACTACAATCTTTCAGAGCCTCGCGAAGTTTCTCATCACACGACTTATAGTTGAAGATGTGAAACGGGCATAAGGGTATGATATTGTGTCTGGTAACAGGGAAGGATACTGGTGCTCTATTGCACCAGATATACCTTCCCTAAGGCGTTTGCCTCAGTACAAAGGCACAAAGGAAATGTTTAGGGAAGTATCTAGTCTCATCTTTCCAACTCTTATTGGATGCACACCTTTCCACTACTGGCAGTGAACTCGAATGCTTGGAACCTCGTCAGCATCACGTGAGCCGCCGAGCTTGGCGAACTTTTAGCGCATCGTGACGAATGTAGCGCACATCGGTGCCGGAAAAAACAATAGCAATTGGACACCATCGTCAACCTTCTAGCTCACCAGCAGCCAACAAGTGCCCTTCTAAAACTCGACTAGACATTGTCCGGAACGTTGGACAAGGTCGCCGTCGAGACATCCTCCTATAAATTACCGAGTTGAGTCGGATATAAAGCAAAGCCTTCAGGGAAGGCGCTCTATTCGGCATCATGTCGGAGGTCAAGAGCAAGGTCAGTAATACCGTTCAACAGTTCGGACACGTCAAACCTTTTGTTCTTGCTTTGAGGACCTGAAGCTGACAAGTCGTGCTTTAGAATTTGTACGAGCTTCTTGGTATGGACCTCAGGATAATATCGACGATTGACCAACGACTCACCCAACCGCAGGCAATGATCATGAGTATGATTCTGACAAGGAGCCCGAGCCTCCAACCAAGACAGTAGATAAGCCTCAACCTCGATCTGGCAAGCGCGATGCGCCCACCGTAGAGAAGACTGATAGCGCTCCTCGACGCGACGCCGGAGCAAGAACTGGAGGTTTCTCTGAAGACAACCGACGTGGGCCATCCATTGTGTCTGGCATCGGATGTTAGAATTAACTTGAGACAGGCTTTCGAGACCGTACCAATGCTCGAAACAACCCCAACACAGTCAACGCGAACACCAACCGAGATCACCCAGTCGAAAATACTGATGGAGTGGTAAGAGGTCGAGATAGCGGACCAGGCACTCAACGAGGTGGTCGAGGTCCTCGTGGGCCAAGACGTGGTGGTGACAGACACGTAAATCGAACTGGTCGAGGGTAAGTCTGCTACGAAGCAGTGCGACAGGCTTTCTAATCATTATAGTGATCATGCTAAACAAATGGCTCATGGCTGGGGCGAGCAGACTGGAGAGGGTGAGCAAGAAGATGAGAAGCAAGGTGAAGCTCTTGCTCAGGAGGACAAGAAAGACGAGATCAAAGAAGACGCCGCTGTTCCAGATGAGCCAATCCCTGAACCCGAGCCTGAGCCAGAAGACACCAGCGTATCCTATGCCGACTACCTTGCTCAACAAGCTGCTAAGAAAATGGGAGACCTCGGTCTCAAAGAAGCTCGTGCTCCAAACGAAGGTTCCAAGGAGAACAAGAAGTGGAAGAACGCTACTGCTCTGGACAAGGCCAAGGAGGAAGATACCTACTTCATTGGTGAGGCTAAGGCCAAGCGAGAACGTGAACGAGCCTCAAAGAAACAATTACTTGACATCGATTATTCTTTCAAGGAGCCCCCACGAGAGAGCCGAGGTGGACGAGGAGCTGGCCGTGGTGGTCGAGGTCGTGGTGAGGGTCGTGGCGAGGGTCGTGGTGAAGGCCGAGGTGAAGGTCGAGGTCGAGGTGGTCGAGATGGCGACTACCGACCCCGGGGTGGTGATCGAGGAGACAGAGGTGCTGGTCGTGGAGGCCGTGGCCGGTCCGAACCGGTCGCTGTCAACGATGCTTCTGCGTTTCCTGCTCTCGGCGGAAACTAAGCGTCCCACGACTTCATAACTGCCGATGAGCCAACAACTCCACTACGAAGTCTGCAACATGCAGCAAACTTACACGCCAAATTGTCCATGCCCCCCCGTCGTATCTTTACCTCTCGTCGATCATTGCAGACTGTACCACGAGAAAAGGCGCCTCCTGCAGACTGATGATCGTCATCTAGACATTTGATCAGTCTTGGTGTTGACCGAGGATGTTCCTCTTGTTGTTGTTGGCGCCTTTGTCGGATGCGAAAGGCATCGTATATGGGAGGATTTCTGCCATAGATGCTTGTGCCTGATGCTATTGAAAATGCTGCATGGCCTCGACGAATGTGGAAGCTATAGCTTTCTACAACTCAAAATGAATACAATTTCCAGGTTCGACACTCGACGCGATTATGCGACTTGTAGGATTTCACTCGCAATTTCATAGCCCATGCACACGTTGAACCGTACAGCGTTGATAGGCATTCTAATATAGTGCCACACTAGAAGGCGAGACCTGAAAGCCAAGTGTTAGTGCATGATACTGATTCCAGGTACAGGATGCCTGAGGCTACAATCAATGAGGCTGCATCGCATGGATCGGCACTTGTTGACCACGCAATTGCCGAGTATCAATTGCGACTTACTGTCAGCCTCTCCAGACCATTGACTCCGCTGCATCAACTGTTTCTTGCTCCCTCGTGGGCACTTGAAAGTTCACACATTGATATCGGCAATTGAAGAACAGAGAGAAACAGCACGAGGGAGGCGCGCCGTGTCTCCGGATTTCAAACTATAGTGATTGACACCAACCCCGGACCAGTCAGGAACGTTCTTTGTAAGTCAGATAACCTACGATGGACCACTCTTGTGTTGTCCAGATTTCCTTGGTGGTGTTTGACGTGAACTGCCGAAAATGAAGATAGATATATCATGTCTGTCACTGGCAGTACATATGGAATGACCTTCCCGATATCGTCTTGAGTCCTGGGCACCTCATACCATTCTGAAACCATCGCCATGATTGAGGCAATCCTGCTTGCTTTTAGCCATTACTGGCTCTATTTCGTTCCTGCTCTTATTCTTGCATATTTGCTTCGAAACTATTTCGACAAGGGTCTCAACAAATATCCGGGGCCATTCCTAGCCAATTTCACAGATGCTTGGAGATTTATCAATGTATACAAGAGAAGACCAGATATCACTCAGATCAGATTACACCGGCAGCTTGGAAACATAGTTCGACTTGGACCCAATACTCTTTCCTTTTCTGATCCAGCTGCGATCAAGACCATCTACGGTCTCAACAAGGGATTTGTAAAGGTGAGCAGACCCCTCGACAATGACCCATCTGCTTACCCTTATTTAGTCGGGGTTCTATCCGCCTCAACAGGCAACGTTCGAAGGTAAACGGCTACCATCCCTATTTTCTACGACAGACGAAGCCTACCATGCCAACCTTCGACGATCTGTCAATAGTGCCTTTTCGATGAGTGCTCTGGTTCAATATGAGCCGAACGTCAATGAGGTTATCGACGTATTCCTGGAACGTACGAGACAGGTCTATGCTGCCCCAGGAAAAGTTGCAGATTTCGCCCTGTGGCTACAATACTTCGCTTTTGATGTTATCGGTCAAATCACGTACAGCAAACAGCATGGTTTTGTAGAAAAGAACGAGGATATTGATGGTATGATCGCATACCTCGGGAGATTGTTCAGCTATGTGGCACCCGTAAGTACTTCCTCTTGCAAGGTGCTAACCCGCGTACTAACTTCTGCTAGGTTGGTCAGATGCCATTTCTGGATCTCCTGCTCTTGAAGAACCCAATCGTTCTGTTTCTCGACAAGCTCGGCTATAAGCCTCTCGCTTTTCCAGTCACAAAATTTGCGAGAGCAAGAATGGCGGAGAGGTTATCTGAGATGGAGAACCAGATCGAGAAAGCACCATCTGGAGCCAGCACACCTGGTCGCGGAGATCTACTATCCATGTTTCTCAAGGCACAGGCACAAAGGCCGGAGTTCATGACAAGTCAACGTGTACTCACCATGGCAGTGAGCATGGCATTTGCTGGCTCCGAGACAACTGCCATTTCCTTGGCAGCTGTATTCTACCACCTTCTAAAGAATCCTGCGTGTTACAGAAAGCTTCAATACGAGCTCGACGAGGCCATGCGCCATGGTAGAGTAGGGCGAGGCGAGACTGGTCTAGTAACTTGGTCCGAATCACAGACTCTACCGTATCTCGACGCAGTGATCAAGGAATCAATGCGTGTTCATCCCGCTGCTGGTCTTCCACTCGAACGAATCACTCCACCAGGCGGCATCGAGATTTGTGGTGAGCACATCCCAGCCGGCACTATCGTCGGCTGCTCAGCATGGGTCATACACCGGCACGAGCCGACCTTCGTCCCACAATCCAATCCAACCGCTTATCCCATCGACAAATTCGTACCAGAACGCTGGCTTGATGCATCATCCTCCCAGCGGAAGGAGATGGAAGCCACGATGTTTCAGTTCGGCGCTGGTAGCCGAACCTGCATCGGTAAGAATATCAGCTTGCTGGAAATCTACAAGCTGGTCCCAAACTTCTTGCTCAAATTTGATATTGAGCTTGAGGATCCGGAGGAGGAGTGGAAGTTACACAACGCATGGTTTGTGAAGCAGCTTGACTTTAATGCCAAGTTCTCGGAGCGTCAGGTAGGGAGAGAAAGGAGCGATAGTGGCAATATTGTGTACTAGCATAGCACGATTAATACCCACCCAATGTGTTCACATCTGCTTTCCCTATATCTCTTCTTGTCTCTTCTGATTTGGACATCTTCCGTTAAAAGTCAAGCTGCTCATCCTTTTAGGGACTCTACGAAGATAGTACTAACGAGTTTGAAAGATGCTACAAGGCGTGAACGATGAAATGATGTGAGGAGACCAACATAATTCCAGAGAGTACAAGGTATATACCGATTTTTCTGTCAGGAAGTAAATCTTTCGGTTCTGCTTCATACGAAGCTTTCAGTGTGGACGGAAAGAAATGGAATGATGCCCGGTATATTTTGAATTGACTTGTCGCATCTTGCACAAGCACTGGCTTGAGCCATGCCGCATTGTGCGATTGGAAAGAGAAGTATTGAGAGCGGATGGACTGAAGTACCCTCAATCCACTGTAAGACATTGGGTATCGAGTGTGTAGATTCCTTGAACGGAGCTGAAAGAAAAGTCTCTTGTCTCGTGCTGTCCGTGCAATCGTGCCAGGAACGTGAAAGCAGAACACAGAGGAATGCTGCGATCACTCCATACTCCAAACACAACAACAACAACAGAACCTTATTCTCTTGCCTGTCTGCAAACCCTTTACTGCTCACTCTGGAAGTAGTTCAACAACACACTTCGCTCCTGGCTCTCCTCACCCCAGTCCCGAACAACAACGCAGCTGCAGTTGACGACCTTTCGTGCATTACCCTCTCGATCCAACACGCAGAGACCAGCCCACTCGCCGAGCATCTTGCCATCAGGGACCTTGATCAGCGGGATCTTGTGCTCGGAGCACAGAGCAACGACAAGTTTCTTGTATGCTTCTTCCTCGCAGGCTTCGTTGAGGACGCACATATGGGCTTGGCGACGATCAAGGGCTTTGCTTGCTTCGCGGAGACCTCGTGCTAGGCCGTCGTGGACGAGGGCGATTTTAAGAACTCCTGTTGGTGGTTCGTCAGTATTTGGCTAGGTGGAGGGGATGTGTAGATATGTGCGCATAGAGCTGACAGGGCTCACTTCGTACCTTTCAATGCATCCAAAACAGACATGGAACCACCAGCACCGCCGGTATCTCCAGAGACTTCCACCTCATCGGCGGCGGCGACGGGGGAGGTAGGCTCTTCTCCGTCCGACTATAAGAACAACAACGTTAGTCTTGGCTCTTGAACGGTACATCCTCAGTCGGACTCGGTATAATGATAGCGGTCGAGTTGTCCATGGCTGGTATTACTCTCGCGATATGCTCTCGAGTCGCAACCGATGGGTTTAGGGAATGGCATACCATCTTTGCAGTTGGCTACTTAATATTTATTCTTTGTGTAGTCTGGTAAAGGTGTCGGCTATCCTCAAAGAGTTTTACATAGGTAGGAAAAGATGGTATGGGTACATTTGATGCGCGAAGACGAGAAGAGCAGTCGGAATCTTTGTGGCAGCGCGCCAAGAGTTCCTGCGCCAGGCACTCAGGCAGTACTTCTTTCTTGAAAGGTGTACAGCATCCGCGAGTCAATCAGTCCAATTCAAATCGGGTCTAACAAATGCGACAAGCGGTAAGATCTCGGTGCCTGCTTGCGAAAATATACCAATCTAACAGCTTTCGCGCGAGATGCTTCCTACAGGACTAAAGAATTCGTTCCTCGGGTCATCGACGTAGAGAGAATAAATTGGTCAAGAATCACGCTAGGAATTTCGACAAACACATCGATCAGCAAAAACGGGACATATGTTGGTTTCTCATTCCGAGGCTTGCAGGGAGGTGGATTGTGATATGATGCTCACATAGGAGCAACTATACAATTCGTTGGCAGTTCTTCATATACAGAGGCGCGCCCCACTGATCGTGCGGCGTCACTTGTTCAGACAGAACTACTATAGTGGATATCATACAGTTAAGAGACAAGTCTTTGTAAGAGCTCCGCTACTGGCAGCTGTGCCAGAGAGCTGTTCCTCTTCTCGTGAGGTTCGTTGGTGTTTGGTGATGATCGTAGTTCCAGCTAGGTGATTCCGTTTTCGCCATTTGTATGAATATGTGTACTTATACCATTAGGCAAGTTATCATACTGTTGCAATAGCCCAATCTTCGTGCTTGTACCTAGGATCTCATGATAGGATTTGAGCGAGATAGTCTGACGAGGCAAATTCCTTTGCAAATGAGGAAAGCGTGGCAACTGGTCAAGGAAGTTGGATAGCTGAGTTCGTGTTAGCAATCTTGCAATATAGGATTAGACGTAATGCTCACCTTGACCCAGAAAAGTTCAGCCATAGACATAAACTTTTCTTGCGCAATATGTTCGATCTCGTTAGCTTTGCTGACTGACGTTGTCCAAAGCGGATTGAAGTCGTAGGACAACTTCAACCGCGCGACTCTCCATATACATTGTCGCTCGTGTGGTGTTACGTGCCGCTTTTCAAAAGAATTGAATTCAGATAGGTTCAGGTCTTTTGTACCTAGCAGACCTGCAATCTGGAAGTTCGGTACCCATGACTCCTCAGCAATAGATGAATCGCAGTTGTGGTCGAGCTGATATGTTTTGACACAGTATAGAGGTAAGAACTTGCTCAGCCATTGCGGACTTCTCACTTCAGAATCACCGTCGTCTACCATGCGAGCTGTTTTTGCAAGTACAACAGGTAGCCCGTCAAGCCGTTTCCGTTCTCGTTCAAATAGTTCGAGGCGTCTCCTAGACTCCTGCTCCCGCCTTGCACGTTCTTGCCTTTCCTCTTCCTGTCGACGGCGAGCATCGACTTCTTCTTGTTTCCTTCTCAGTTCAGCTTCTTGCCGGAGTCTCTCCTCTTCAGCAAGCTTTTCTTGTGCTATCCTCTCTTCTTCTGCTCTACGTTGAATTTCTTGACGTGCTGCCTCTTCTGTGGCAGCACGATCAGCACTCTCTTTGGCTCTGCGTTCGGCTTCACGCTCTTCATAAGTGGGTTCGACAGCAGGCGGTGGCGAGTAATGGTCATCGGATTCTTCAGCGGCATCTGGTAAGGCCTCAATATCGGTGGGGATCGGATCATTGTGGGTCGGCGATGGCTCTTCTTTGACTTCGTTCGCTTGCACAGCTTGAGCAGAGTTCGATCGAGATCTCTGTAGCGAGGACATGTTGACGTCCGTACTAGTGTTCTGGTCGTCCGAGGGCTTCACTTCGGGCTCAGCTGCCGATATAGGTGGTATGGTTGCAGATTCAGTGGGGTTGTTCATGCGTGGTCTCATATCGTCGGGACTACTTTCTAGGACTGTTCTCCTCTTCTTCCTTTCCTTGTTGCCCCCAGGAGGTTCTGGAGTTGAACTGACACGGCTCCTCTTCAAAGCCAGCTGTGGCCGGTCTTCTCGCTCATCATTGATCATTTCAGAGTCTTCATTATCGGAAGAGGTACTTACAGTGTGTCGACTTCTGTGTTCTTTACCTGTCACTAAGCGTCTGCGCTTCTGCGAGGGCTCACTTTCTAGGGCGGGTACGGGTGGGAGATCGCTTTGACTTCTTCTCGTACGATGCGTTTTGGCAGGAGCATCCACAGTCTGATCAACATCCGAGGTAACTGCGACCGTATACTCCATATCGATCTTCGCTTTGAGTCGATCGGGGTCGCTAATCTTGCGTCGCTCTCGTGGCGAAGAGTCAGGTGCTTGAACAGGAAGTGATCGATGTGTCTGCGTAGGACTTGGCATCTGCCGTTTGGCCTCTGTGACAGATGAGGAGCTGCGACGTGGTCTCGTTCTCTCGCCTTCCCTTGTCTTACGAGGTGAGCTCGTCTTTCTGCCTTTAGCTCTATCATATGCGGCTCTAAGCACGTTAAATTCTTCTTCCCAACGATTGCCGCGACGATCCTCTGCCAGGTCGTAGTACGTCTTTTCCTTGTATCTCCGACAGGGATTGAAACCTGACTGGTTTGCCAGAAGCTTCACAACATCAGGATGTCCACGTCCGATAGCTGCGAGCATAGGTGTATTGTAACCAGGCACCATTTTGGAACTGCGTACTGGTTCCGGGTCAGGATCTGGCCGGCCCATGGCAATAAGTAATTGCAGAACTTCCTCGTGACCAGCCTTTGCAGCAGCAATCAGGGACTCTGTCTCAGCTTTCTCTAGGATGCTCAATATGTTCGCAACTCCCTGAACATCGCCCTTTCCTGCGAGTTTTGCAAGATTTTCTTGTGTGTTGGCTTGCCACAAGAGATCATTGCGAGTAGATTCGCTTCTACCCGTCCTTCTGCGAGAACCAAGTGCAGGCGGACTTCTGGGCGCGCCAATCGGTGGCGAATCGCGAGGGCTTGCCGCAGACGCAGCTCTAGATGTCTGGCCTTCACGTGCTTGAGAATCGAAGGCGTCTATCCCAGGAGTTTTCTTTGTGTCCTTGTCCTTGGCCTCGGCTAGCATTTCGCGAATTTGAGAGTATGCTTCATCATCTGGATGGACCAATTCGTAAGGTTCATCGCCTTTAGCGTTGCCCATACGTGGGTTTGCGCCATATTTCAACAACAACTTGATAACCTCGACGTGTCCGTTCTCAACCGCATCGATGAGCGGAGTGTCCTTGTCAACGTTGCGGACGTTGACTTCTGCACCCTTGGATAACAAAAACTCTACAATTTCCTCGAATCCTTCAAGAGCGGCGATCTGCAATGGTGTGTTACCTGCATTATCCTCCATATTCAGATCTTCTGGTCGTTCAATCAGTTTTGCGGTCGCAGCCTCTATATCACAGTTTGCGCAAGCACGAGCTAGATATGTGCGACCATTCTTATCCTTCCACTTCCTAGGGCCAACCTTTGCCGGCGACATAGTATCATGATCGTTCGAGGCGAATTTATGAATTAGGGGACGTGCCCGACCTGTTCTTGGTTCAGATTCACCAGAGGAATTGGAGACTCGATCGGCACTTCGATTGCGTCTAGTGTTGATCAACGGAGGTCTCCCTCGCTTCTTTCTCTCGAACTCGCCCGTCGTCAACTGCGTGGATGCACCACGTCTGTGTTCTTTACTTGATATTGGCTCAGGTGAGGCCGATTTCTCGTCGTCTGATGGACGTGGATATGTCGCAGATCTGGTCTCCCTACGTTCGAGGAGGTCAACACTGCTGCGCTTGCTTCTCCTGCGAGACAACGAAGGTGGCACGATCTCGGAAGGACGCCTCCTGCGCTTCTTGAGCGAATCAATGGAATCCTGAACGTCACTCTTATTGCTTTGTTTAGGAGATGATTCTGTATCTGATGCAGCATTAAGATCAGAACCAACATCTGATTGTGGATGGACCAGGGGCGATGACAATGGCGAACTGTGACGGCTTGAGGTATCGGAGGCCGAGTCGTGGCTGCCTCGTTCGCGCGAGCGCTTTCGTTTACGGGTCGTGTTTTCCTTGTCCGAGGTGTTCGTTAGAATAATGGAGCCAGCATCAGATCGAGCCATGCTAACATGTTGCATTGTTTTCGAGCCATCTGCGACACTGTTGCGTTTCTTTTCGGGCGATTGTATCAAGGTTTCCGCTTCTGAATCGCCATCTTCATCCATTGCATCTCCAGCATTTCCCACGACGACTGCAGGCACGTCTGCGGCATCACGGAGCCCATTTTCGACCAGCTTCAGTGCTTCTGATCTCGTTGTTTCCTCCTTCTCCTCCTCTTTTGCATCTGATTGAGCGGTAAGATCATCCTCAACATTCAGTACGAAGTCTTTCCGCTCACTTTCGCTCATCGCATCACCCTCCTATGTTCATGCTTGTCGACCACGACTTGGAAAGTGGTATGATCCAACGTGGAGGCACTGATTGGCCTTGAATGTGCTCGTTGTGGATTGTTCGGTGGGAGATTCGTCACGATTTCGTCAGAAACCAAGCAAGACGAGTCCAGCTCAGGAATTGCTTTGTCGCGATAATCCAGCATATACAGTCAGTGAATTCGAGATACACACAGTGCACAGTTGGGCGGTATATTGACAATGGGGACGAAGATCAAGGTAAAGGCGGAAGTACAGGCTTCAGTGAGACAGAGATTAGAGACACTAGGTGCAGCCAAACAACGAGAAGGAAAGACAGGCGAGTGAAAGGCGGAGCTGGGCACAAAGACCCACCGGCGCTCTCCCTGAACCACTAACAGCTCAGCCCAAACAGGCTCCGCAGATGTTCTAATCCTGGCAAAGCTAAATTACAACGATGCATCAAAATCCACGTATCAGTATCGTTTTAGCGGTAAGTAGTTCGACGAGGGTGGGCAGGGACCCCTGTTATGCAGGCATGGCTGAAAATCGCAACAGCTGTTCTTGTTTCACTCATTCACGACTATCAAACCTGACGAGCTTCGTGAGAGCAGCACGATGGTCCTCGATAGTCCCGTCTCCATGCGCGATGATACCTCTGTGTGGCTCGTCCGAGCCTTCTATGTCTTCGCCGCCTACGCTATCGTGATTGTACGCTTCATACCAGATCTCAGAACGCGATTTCTTAATTATGGTGCCCGTTCTCCCGCTTCAGAAAAAGCAACGACCAGTGAGGAAACTGCTCTTCCCAAATGGCTTCGTATCCAGATCGATCCTATGCTTGACTGGGCTGCGAATGTGACAGTGCCACATAGCTGGTTTACTCATTTCTATGCGACTTCAACTATCTGTTCGGCATGTTGGATGTTTTACCATCGCCGTGTTTTCGGATCGTTGTTCTCGATCGCAGACAAATATGCGTTGGTCGCATCATGGGAAGGTCGAACGATTGTTGCCTTGATGTTGTTGCAGTACCAAAGTCTTCGACGACTATACGAATGTATAGTGATTTCCAAGAAGAGTCAATCTCGAATGTGGATTGGCCATTATGCTATTGGTATAGCTTTCTATTTGGCAACGAATATTGCTATTTGGGTTGAGCCGAGTGAGTTGCAGGTAATTCATCTGCCAGCAATTACTCACCAGACTTAGGTGTTAGAGAAACACGACCGACAATAGTTTCAGACCTCACCATCGTCAATCTGGCTCGAACCGTTGCATGCGTTTTCACCTTCTTGTATTATTCCAAGCAGCAGCACGTGGTCCACAGATTTCTTGCAAGCCTGAAGGGTTACCAGGTTCCCAACCACCAGATCTTTCAGACCAGCAATTTGGTTTGCCCTCACTACGCCTTCGAAGTTTACATCTACCTCACTTTAACGATCTTGACTGCACGAGACGAGCGCGTACTGAATATCACAATGCTATGTGCTACTGCTTTCGTCGTTGTGAACCTCGGCGTGACTGCAGACATGACCAAGAGGTGGCAACTGAAGACATTTCCGAAGCAGAGACCTGAAATCGCTGGTCGGAACAAGATGCTAAGCTTCTGGTGAGCGCATGACCTCAATACACACGAATGCCTCCTTGTGTCGTTGGCCGCTGTTACACGACGACAATGGTTGACAGAGAGAAAACTGCAGTAACGAAAGTATATACGTAGTCAGAACGAAGCACACTTGATCAACACACTGGCTACACCTTTAAAATTGTATAGTCGAAGGTTCCAAGTTGGAATGGTTGGAAGCTTATCAAACATGCGGGGTCCCGAAACCTGGGGAAATCAACTATTCCTTCTGGCCTATCCAATCACCACCATCTCTCGAGCTTGATAGTCCTTCGGTTATACAGCACGCGTAGTGCAGATCTCTGGTGCCCTTATCCGAAACACCTCATGCAATCCCGATGGTCATAGGTATGAGACATAAGCATAAATGCTCCTTGAGAGTCGACATCACGCTTTGAGAGCCCGCCAAGGCCAATTGTGGTGAACAAGGGCAGCATCATTTTCATCGTCGTGGAGAGATCTGCATATAGTATTTAGTGTGCATGTTTTCTACTAGCAACACCTCATCTTCATCTTCATCTACCTAAACCTCTACAGCATGGGCTCCGTTCAGCCCTTAGACAACTCCAATGTCGACGTCCTTATCGTTGGTGCTGGTCCAGCTGGACTAATGATGGCCAACTGGATGTCGCGATGTGGTGTGAAGACACGGATTGTCGACAAGCGGGGAACCAAGGTAAGATGAGAATCATGCTATCATCAATGAAAGAACCATCTATGCGATGCGATGGTTTCGATTCTTGCTTCAGTCTCACGCCAGGTGATGGGTTTCACAAAAGCGACTTGACTTCGAGCAGCTGACATTTTCATTCTCCAGATCTTCAACGGCCAGGCCGATGGTCTACAATGTCGGACCCTCGAGATCTTCGACTCATTTTCCTTCGGACATCGCGCCTGGATCGAATCGAACCACATGCTGGAAATTTGTCTCTGGAACCCAGATCCCGAAACCGGCGTATTGGCTCGGGGTGACCGTATTCCAGACACCATTCCTGGTATCAGTCGTTTCCAGCAGGTTGTGCTTCACCAGGGTAGGATAGAACGATTCTTCCTCGACGCAATCAAGGAGAATAGTGTTCGCACAGGCTGTAATGGTCCAGCTGGTGATCCGTCAGCAGAGATCAAAGTCGAGCATGGGGTGCTTCCGACAACTTTCAAGTTTGATGAGTCTCTCGCGGAGGACGATGAGGCGTACCCGATCACGGTGGAGCTCAGACATTTGACAGAAGAAGAGGCTACACCACCACAGAAGGCCACTAGTGCGAACGGACAGGGTATTCAGGATGGTATTTTCCGTTCCAACCTTTCGGTCGATGACACTATGGACATGATCCGGCTATCGAATACTCTTGCCGATAAAGCTGGTAGTATTGAGACAGTGAAGGCAAAGTACATGCTTGGGGCTGACGGTGCGCACTCCTGGGTTCGACAGCAGCTAGGGTTTAAGCTTGAAGGTGATTCGACAGATTATATCTGGGGTGTATTGGATGTGATTCCTATCACCGATTTTCCCGACATTCGAATGCGGTGTGCAATTCATTCAGAAAGCAGTGGTAGTGTCATGGTCATTCCGCGAGAGAACAAGCTTGTCAGGCTGTACATTCAACTTACGACAACCAACGTTGAGGGTGGTGGTAAGAAATTCGACAGGAGCACGATAACACCCGAGACAATTATAGCTTCTGCACAAAGAATCATGTGCCCCTACAAGATCGATTATCACTACCTAGACTGGTGGACGGCTTACCAGATCGGACAACGTGTTGGCAATTCCTTCAGCTGGCATGAAAGAGTATTCCTGGCTGGCGACGCAGTCCACACGCACTCTCCGAAGGCAGGTCAGGGCATGAATGTGAGCATGCAAGATGCTTACAACTTGGGCTGGAAAGTGGCGAATGTAGTCAAAGGACTAACGAAGAGATCGATGCTAAAGACTTATCAGTCAGAACGACGAAAGATCGCACAAGATCTGATCGACTTTGACCATCGTTTCTCACGTCTGTTTTCAGGTCGACCTGCGAAGAGCGTGATAGACGAAGCCGGCATTGATATGAAGACTTTCAAGGATGCCTTCGAGAAAGGTAATATGTTTGCAAGTGGAATTGCTGTCGACTATGGCGCCTCAATGATTGTTGCTAAGAGCGGAAGTGGCAAAGATCAGGGTGACGGAACAGAGGTACTTGGCGATGAGAATTTGCGTGTCATTAGCGACAGTGCCGAGAAGCTGGCCAACAAGCTCGAGGTTGGCAAGCGAATGCCTAGCTTTAAGATCCTGAATCAAGCTGATGCACGTCCGTGGCACTTCCAGGAGCTGCTGAAATCGAATGGTACATGGAGAGTCGTGGTCTTCGCTGGCAACGTCAGGGACCCATCACAGAAGAAAAGACTCGACACACTAGGTGAGAAACTCGAAGCAGCCGACAGTTTCTTGAAGTGGTGCACACCAGCAGGACAGAAATACGATAGTGTGATTGAGCTGTTGAGTTGTCATTCTGCCCCAAGACAAGAGACTACGATATTTGATTTCCCAGAGGTGTTCAGACCATGGGACGACAACGATGGCTGGGATTATTGGAAAGTTCATGTCGACGACCAGGTAAGACCTGCACTATTTGCTGCCAGATGACAGACCAGCTAACTGATCGACACAGAGCTACCACGAAGGCCATGGTCAGGCCTACCAGAACTACGGCATCGACCCTCAACGAGGCTGCTCAATCATATTAAGGCCCGATCAGTACATTTCGTGGATTGGTGAGATGGACGACTATGAGAGCATGGACCGTTTCTTCAAAGGATTCATGATAGATCAGCGGACGAGGCAAGGTGCAAAAGAAGTCGTTGCTAACGGCAAGAAGCCTGGTAACTCCAAGGACATGTATGCTGGTACGCTTGCTGGTACGAATGGATTGAGGACGACTATCAATGGCGACACTAAGGCTGGCGATGCCGCTGTAGAAGGTACTGCTGGGATGTGAATTGTACATTAGCAAAGTAGCCAGGTTGCCGACGTGGTGTCGGGAGATTCCCTCTGTACCGTATCTCGGACAAAGTGTCAGCACATGTGTAAATTAACAGTGTTGTTAGAGGATGTTTCATGCTGTTGGACAAACACATATAGAAGCCCTTGATTGTTTAACTTTAGTGGCAGTGGCCATGGGTCGCAACTTCCCTGGTTGGCAGATGAGAATATGTGGCTCAGCTGTCAAGTTTCGCAAGGATCTCCATGTGATGACGCAGCCAGGGATCTACAAGTACAAACCAAGCTCAGGCTGAAGATGGGTTGCACAGGCTGTAGACAGTTGCACATCCAGATCTTGCTCACGAACATCTTCCTTGTCCTCTTTGGCTATTACCATCTCCATATTCTTTCATACTCCTTTGCCCTGGTCGTGGGAGTTACAAATCTCTTCTGCCTAGTCTTTTTGATATTTGACTAGCGATGGAGGCTGCTCTGAGCTCGCCATACGCAATCGAGAAGCTATTGAATAGGCTGAAGCAAAGCATCTATGCTGCTCGCGAATTCTCAGGATTCGCAAAGGAAAGATGCGCTCTCGAGGATCGTTATGCCCAAGGTTACAAGAAGCTTGTGCGCCATGCTTCCGAATCGCTACGCAAACCCGAATCGCGACAGGGCTCGTACGCTCGAAACTTTGACGAGACTCTGAGAGTCAACGAGCGCACGGCCGAGAATACCTTGCAGCTCGCCCTTTCGTTGCAGACAATGTCGGAAGAGCTTCGAGAGGTTGCTGAAACCGCTGAAAGAGGTCGTAAACACTGGAAGCATGCCACAATCGATGCTGAAAAGAGACTATCTGATGCCGAGTCTGCTCAGGCAAAGGCCAAGGATAGGTACAACTCGGCTGCCGAGCAATATGACAGGGTCAGGACTGGTGAAAAGCAGGGCGGCAAATTTGGTCTGAAGAACAAAACTCCAGCTCAACAGGAAGAAGCTCTAAAGGAGAAAGCCGATATGCTTGACCAAGATTATGCTCAGAAAAGTCAGGCAGCTCAAGAACAGAGGCGCGAGTTCGAGGGTTCTACGAAACCTTCGATCATCCGAAATCTACAAGATCTGATCAAAGAGTGCGATGCTGCACTTTCCATGCAAATGGCAAAGCTTGCTTCGTTGAGCGAGAAGCACATTGTCAGCATTGGCATGGCAGTTGCGCCTATCAGAAATCCAGATTCGACGGGTCCCGAGCCACGAGGCTTGAGACAGATCGCTCAGGAAATCGACGACGATCGAGACTTCCAAGATTATATGCTGGACGGTGTCGAACCACCTCCCCAATTCAAGGGGAGAAGTCGAAGAAACACCGACGCTGAACCAATGACGACGCCAGTCCAACAGAGTACCAACTTTGATACCAGGCGATCATCTGAGACACCCTATTATGGTTCCCCAGCTCACGTCGAGTCACAGCCTCCACAATTACCACAAATTGGAGGTCAAGACAGCTTCGGTAACAGTTTCGAGTTGCAACGTCCATCAGCCCAGAAAAGAGACTCCTCGTTTGTTGGCGGCCAACCAGATACATTGTCAAAGGTCAACACAGACCATCGTCAACAGACAGGTATTATACAAGATTCAGCACCAGCATATTCCTCTGGCCAAAATCTTTCTACTGGACCACCAGTTCCACCTTATGAGCGTACACAAGCACCAGTGAAGACTGGGGGATACGATGGTGTCCATCAACGACAGGATAGTCTAGGCCCCGCCAATGTCGACCACACACCGGTCCTGCTCAGGCAAGATATGCCTACTTCAAGTCCTCACTACGACCAAGGACCAGTACCAACCAACGCGAGGACTGCTGATCTCGGTCATGGTCAGCTATCAAATACTACACCTGGTCCATACTTAGGTCGAGGTGGCCCAGCTCCTGGAAGCTATATGGATCCTGGCAGAAATTTTAGCTCTTCGCCTAATACAGGAGCTGGTAGAGGTCAATTGCCCTCCGCACAGCGCAATTTACCAAGTCAACAACCACAAAGACCAATGCTTCCACCAAATAAACCTGTCTTCGGTATGCATTTGGATGACCTCTTTAGACGTGACGGCACAGCAGTGCCAGCAATCGTTTTCCAATGTATACAAGCAGTTGATACTTTTGGTCTGAGCACCGAAGGCATCTATCGAATCTCCGGCTCTGCTCCGACAGTAACGCAGCTCAAGTCCGAATTCGATCATGGTAAGATTCCTACAAACTGCCTCAATTTGACACACTAACCTATTCTAGATTCAAGCCTAGTCAAGCTGACCGAACCAGCCTCTTTCAACAATGACATTGCCAGTGTCGCCACACTACTCAAGAACTTCCTTCGCGACCTACCCGACGCGCTCATGACCAACACAGCCTACCACTCCTTCATCCAGGCTGCTAAATACGAGGACACGATCATGCGACGCGATGCTCTACATCAGTACATCAACTCCTTGCCTGACCCGAACTATGCTACTTTGAGAGTACTGGTTCTGCACCTACACAGGGTCAGCAGAAACAGCGATGTGAATAAGATGGACATGAGGAATCTGGCCATTGTCTTCGGACCTACGATATTGGGAGGGAATAATGTTGCTGATGCAGGGTATCACACCAAGGTCATGGAGACTATTCTGCATCACACGCATGATATTTTCGATCCGGATGAGTAAGGGCCGATACGTGGTACGAGTGGTATCGCGAGGGCGAAGGCGTTTTATGTATGGATTTAGAAGCGTGCGAGTCATGATACCCTGTAGAACAACTTTCACAGATTAACATAATACTCTTTCAAGGTCACTACCAAAACTCATCTTATTATTATCATCATCGTCACCGCCGATACGGATGTGCATCAAGCTCACTCGGACTCGTAATGCGGAAATTCTGCGACTCCATCTCATGCACCGGCGGCTGCCGCGACGGTTCCCACCCCCCCGTGTTCTGCGTATCTTTCCACACCGGCTTCTCATGAACATATTCCTTCGACGATCCTCGCTCTGACATTCCCGCTGCTCCTCCAACGCCACCAGCTCGAGCTGCATGTTTGCGCTTGTTGTTTCGAGAGAGAAAGAAGGCGATTACGGCGAGGAGCGCGATTAGTGGTATGCCGATTCCTACTGCGCAGCCAATGGCGATTTTAGCGGTGCTGCTGAGGCCGGTTGGGGTTGAGGTTGCGACGGGTTGTGCTGCGGAGGAGGTGGCGGATGCTGCGGCGTTGGTTGCTGTGCCTGATCTTGAGGAGCCAGAGATGGAGGTTAATGAGCTTGAGGGTATGGCAGATTGACGTGAGGCGCTTGTTTCAGATAGTTCAGCTGTGGTGACGCGGCTGCTTGCGGCACTTGAGGCTGGGGTGAGGGATGAGGCAGCTGAAGAGATGGCGGAGCTCGCAGGGGTAGTTATGGCTGAAGAGAAAGCAGAAGTTGCTGTAGACGCAGTTGTTGATGTTGATGCTCTCGTCTGGGTCAGTGACGCAGAGGCCGGCATTAGACTTGAAGGTAGAACATTGAAGTAGTGGGATCCAAATTCACCGCCGAAGGTGTTGTCTGAATCGTACATGTGAATCCAATACCATGGGCTTCTGCTATCGTACCCCGCGCCGTTGAACGTTGGAATATTGACGTTCCAGCTGAAGGACGTGCCCTGGTTATTTTCTGGATTGACTAGTTAGCTATTAGTTCAACTGGCACGTGTGATTGTTCGTACCATTGATCAGCCAGCATTGGGTGTTTGCAAGGTTCAGTGCTGTGCATGTGTATCCTGTGACGTCTCTCTTCAGCCATAGGTTCATGCCTGCCGTGTCTGCGGTCGTTCCGCTGCCAATTGTTAGCCCAGAAACCAGCTCGATGAGACTCGTAGACGGTGTTGGTGAGAACCGATACGTGTTTAGGACAAACTCACGTCCAGGAGAAGGTGACTGTGCTACCAATTGCATAGTTCTGGTTATTCGTGTTGTCACCAACTGTGCCGAAAGGCGGAGGGGTGATGAACTCGGGCATAATGGCTCGTGGTTAAGCCAAAGATGGTTGTATGCGCGTGACTGTCTGAGTGTGTTGCGCTGGTTGCGGAGACGATCCCTGGTACCAAGTCGTACTGGGCAAGCACAGGATGAGTTGCGAAGCAGTGGACGAGCTGGTGAAGGAAAAAGCAACACAGACAAGTATGGTTCCGAAGTCCTGGCTCGATCCAATTCAACCCATCATGCATCTCTGGCAAGGCTAGAGCAGGACTAACAGCTGTGACATGGAGATGAATGTAATCTCGACCAATCTGGGTCTTTTTTGAGCATCTAGTCCTGTAAATCTCCAGACCACATGGTGCACAGCGTCGAGTGCACGGTGCAAAAAGCTATCCCAGAACGACCAACGATCCACCACAATATTGTTCTTTGGTGAACTGTTACAGCCCCCATGTGTTTTTGGCTTCGAAGCTTGTACAAATACAACACGAAGGATGAAAGCAAGTTCGATCTTCCGGTTGGGGTGATATGCCCGAGGACATGCGCAGTAAGTGTATACGTACGGCAACTTTATCACGTACGCGGATGGTGTGGCTTGCCTGCAAGGTTAACACGTCGCCTGCTTGAGTCGCTGGCCTCGAAATTGCTTCACGCTAGGCAGGCACTTCACACAGAAACTCGCAAGGTGGGCATTTGAGCCGAGAGGCACACTCGTAACCTTATCTCACATAAAGGTCGATGGGATAGGTGTGGACTTTGGATGATCCTGATGGACGAGAGTCTTTTGATGGCATGATCCGAAGAATGGCCAGAGAATGCACAACCGATTTCGAACTGCTAGTTACGTCATTGACAATATTGAAGCACTGTTGACGACTTGCAGCTCGGAGTGCTCGATCACAACCTCAGATCGGCTTGCTGATAAAGAGTTACTCAAAGAACACCCTACACGTACAGGCGGAAACAAATGATAACAGAGACAGGAAGTCTGGTCGAGTAGTGTTGATTTCCACAGCACCGTTCTTGCAAGCAGATATCGATCCAGCCATGTCACTATAATCGTGTTATAGCATATCCATTTACCCCATCTTGGCACGTTCCCAACACAAGCTTATCGGGACTCGCGGAATTGTGAGATCAAGCATTCTCGAATCCGGCCCCTATGTTGCACTTTTTGCAACCTCTTGACAAGACATGTCTATCGAGAACGACCAATGACTTGCCGAATGACCTGGAGATCGGCGACTTGCCTCTTTCCCTCAGAATTGTAGGCCGACTACGAACTTGGAAGTCTCTGGAGATGCCAATTATTGCTGTTGCAGACATGAACAGAGTCGCCACGCTCCCTGAACAGCACAAACGACAACCACTGCGAGTACATGAGTAAGCACGCTCGAATTCCTCCATGTTTCACATCGCGACTGCTCGCAGGTCCAAGCGTGTCAAGTTCGTGCCAACGCACTTGTCCGACTTTGTCGCATTTCAGTGGGGTGTTGATCGCCTTGGCTGCAGATCAAGCTCAAGATAGCGACCACTTGCGTATCATGCCGCTGTTGGGCTGTTGTAACAATGGTACAAGTTCGGCACATGATTGACTAGAAAGGTTGTTGCGTGAATGGGAGCATATATCCTGCAGTGGTACCTCGAGGGAAGACGTTAGAGGTGATAGCTCGTATTTTCCTGCGAGGTCCAACATGGCGCTTCTAAGCAAAGTCCGACGAATCGTATGGGGTGCTCCGGCTACCACAAAAGCAGAAAGACGACTGATCCTCAAGATTGACTTCTTCATCCTGACTTATGTTTGTCTTATGGCAAGTGACCTCCAAAGATCTGTACCCGCAGTCTATTGACTTCAACACAGTACTGGTGTAATTACCTTGACCGTGCCAATCTAAACAATGCATATGTCAGTGGCATGAGAGAAGCCCTTCACTTTAAAGGCACCCAGCTGAATCAGATCAACACAATCTTCTACGGTGGTTACCTCCTTGGTCAGATTCCAAACAATCTGATACTCCAAAAGGTTCGACCTCGGATATGGCTTCCTCTAACATGTCTGATCTGGGGCTTCTTCACACTCGGTACAGCCTTCACAACCAACCCGACTCAGATCATGGTGATCCGTTTTTTCCAAGCATTCTTCGAAGCGTCTTGTTTTGTTGGGGTTCAATGGATTCTGGGCTCATGGTACAAGCCATCTGAAATCGGCAAACGAACAGCAATATTCACCAGTTCCGGCCTGGCTGGTACTATGTTTAGTGGTATCATGCAGGGAGCTATTCATGAAACCCTCGACGGCAGCGCTGGACTCGCTGGGTTCAGGTGGTTGTTCGTCATCGACTTTCTCATCACATTTCCCATCGCTATCTATGGCTTCCTATTCTTTCCTGACACGCCCCTGTCAACATCAGCAAGGTATTTGACACCAGAAGAGCGCTCGCTTGCAGTCGAACGTCTTCCTGAAATCTCCAAAGAGCGTGGCGTTTTGGGCTGGTCGCTCATCCGCCGTGTCATTGCATCTTGGCATTTCTGGGCTTTTGTTCTTCTCTGGATTGCAAACAGTAACACTGAGATGTACTCTACTAACGCAATCATGCAACTATGGCTTCGATCTACAGGGGACTACACCATCTCTGAAGTGAACTACATTCCTACTTCGGTTTCCGGTATGGGTATAGTGGTCACACTATTACTAGGCTGGTACAGCGACTACAACCCAAGTCGCAACAGATGGCACGTCGGTGTCCTCCTGTCATTTACCGCCATCGCCTCTGGAGCCCTGATGCTCCGTCCACCTACCGAGGGTGCAAAATTCGCGGCCCTGATCCTGAACGGCTGCCAATTTGCTGGACAGACTGTGATGTTTGCGTGGGCCAACGACCTGATTCGCAGCGACGATGCAAAACGTTCCGTCATCATCGCTTGTATGAACATGTTCAGTATCGCAGTCTATATGTTCTGGAGTATTCTCTTCTACAATGTGACCCAGGCACCTGACTGGTTCAAAGGGAATTGGGCGATGATTGCGATGGGTCTGTTCTTGTTGATTGTTACGCTGGCGACCTTTACGTTACAGAGAAGACAAGAGCGGATGGAAGCGCTGGAGGACGCGAGTAGAAACATACGAGCGACGGAGGACAAGCTCAGTATGGAGGATGTGGCAGTGAATATGCGCGGTCTTACGAAGGTCTGACAGATATCAAGATGTTTCAGAGAACAGCTTGTGCAATAGCAGTTACTGAGAGTCCATATTGAAATTTCCTGTCTGCCTATTCTGTGCTGAGAAACTACTTGCATGACAGTGTTGTAACCTTGGCAACGATCTCTCACTACCGCCACATGATGTTTTCAGAAGGAAAAAAAAAACAGAAGGCTTTCACTAACGCATCGAGCTTCTTTGTAAGCAAACGAAAGAGAATCCACGAGGTCGCAGTAGTACCTATGACTTAGCCACGACTAGTACCGCTATTGTAATTACACATCTCCCATTCCAGCTGAATCATTCTCGCAGACTTCCTCCTCTCCACCTCCACCTCCACCACCACCATCATAACACTCGTCAACAACCGCATAATCACATCCATCCAACCCCAGCTCAACACCAAACGCAAAATCCATCACTCAACACGAACTCCACACCACTTGAGCAGCAGTCACCACGCACCAACCACTACCGTCACAACCACTCCAACCGCAATGCTAAGCGCGTAACGACTCCCAGACCACCAAAGAAGGGAGTCTACTCCAGCTCCAATACGAATCAATCTGGAGGCTGAGGAGGTAAAGGAAGCGATGGGTGAAGGTATCGTGCCGTTCGCAATGACTGAAGGTACTTTCGGAGCGGTGAGGTTGCCGTGTGTGGCGGCGGAGGCATTGGGGACTGAGGGTGGGGAGGCTGGCGCGGCAGCTGCAGGAGGGTTGTTGGCAGCGGCGGCGGCGGCGACGTTGTTGTTGCTGGCTTCAGGGCGCATACCTATTGGTGCGACGGGGCCGGCTGTGGGTGTGGTCGTGGTGCCTAGGTTTTGCATTGGCGCTGCTGCTGATGCTCCTGATACTGCACCTGGAGCGGCAATGGGAGCGGCAATGGGAGCGGCAGCTGGAGCAGAACCGGAAGCTGGTTTCGATGCGCCATTGACTAGAGCTGCGGCGTTCATGGCGTTCGCAGGAGCGGCGCCGCTGGCAGGCGAGGCATTGTTCATGGCAGCTGGACCACTAACAGGAGCAACACCATTGGCAGGTGCCATAGTGTGACCAGCGTGGACTGCACTTCCGGGTCCACCTCCAGCGACAGGCATAGTTGAACCTCCAGCCGGAACAGCCGAGTGCATAGCCATCTGCGTAACCATCGCAGCCAGCGCCTTGATCGAGCTCGTATGCGGCACAGTCAAAGTCACTACACTCTTACCGCCAGTTTCAGCACATACCTTACAATGTTTGACCGTCGTCATCATCGGCACCGTTGGCTTCGCAACAGGCACAGTCTTCTGCAGGTGCTTGTCGTAGCTCGCTGTACATCCGCAATCTGGCACTGTGATCGTCGTTGAACGGGTAGTGAGGCCAGCGGCGCAGGTTGGGCAGAGATCAACATAGTCTGTGCTGATTACTGTTACCGTGTTCGTGCCTGTGACGTTGTAGATTACGTCTTCTGGGTCGAAGTACAGCGGACCTGAGGTTGTAGTGATCCGTGACGAAGATGTGGACGTTGATGTCGCGGTTACTGTTATGGTATCCGTCTCTGTATCGGTGACGGTGCCTCCACCTATACCTGAGCGTGTTGTGGTCGCACTATCAGTCGTGGTAGGAACATCATCCTCGCCTGGCGAATCAATCAGCAGTGTATTGTTGTACAAACTGACCAAGATCAAGTTTGTATTTTGTCTTTTCGGAATCGCCCCAGAGGTGCCCTCAAGACCACCTTCAAACTGAACTGTACCACCACAGAACTGACGGTTCGCACCTGGACAACGGATGTTACAGCTTGCATCTGGGTAGTCGAGAAGGATATCGTAGAGGTCCATGGATGTGCTGCAGAAGCACTGCTCGTCGTGGGTAGCAGCGAAGTAGGCGTTGGTGATGTTCTTGCATGCTGCGGTGCACTTCTCATTTGTCATTGTGTCTGAAGTGAGTGGCAGAGAGAGGCCAGGCAAAGACGCGGGCGAGATGTCCGTTGGGATGCCGAAGCAACCGGCATAGACGAAGTCGTTGATGGTAGATGCTGTAGGAGCGGTAGTCGAGGTACCGGTTGACGAGCTGGAGGTTGTACCTGATGCGGTTCCTGGATTGGAAGAAGCACTAGAGGGGGATGTGGATGCAGTAGGTGTACTGCGAGTACTGTCGCTCTGAAAGCTCGAAGATCCCGAAGTCGTGCTCGTGGAAAGGCCTCCGGTTCTAATCGTGGTAGTACTGCTAGTGCTTGTACTCGTTGAGCTGTCAGGTGATCCAAGCAGTTCTGGCTCGACTCGCGTACAATTCACCGGTACTTCATCTTCATCTGTGCCTATAGCAAGTGCGCCACTCTCAGTAAGGCAGAAAACTGGTGCATCCGGAACAGATACATCTCCTTCTTCGCTCACGGTAACTATGAATGGTTCTGCAGGCGCATCGTCTGACAGCTGTAAGCGACCTTGGCCGGTGTTGACACCAACATACAGGTCTCCTGCCATCAAAGAACCGTCGCTGGTCAGCCAGAACTTAGTCGCTTCGCTCTCAGTCGTGACGAGCTTGCTGTAGCCATTCTCATCGAATGCAAGAAATTGGATAGCTCGCTTGGTGAGACGCTTAGCCGCTGTATCGACATTGAACACGATATAGAACTCTGAGTTCGTCACTTGAGGATCAGTAGAGGTGACGGACGATGGAAGGGAGGTTGCCGTGCTTGTGGCGTTGCCAGTGAGAGTAGCTGTTTCAGAATAGTCTGGAGGTACCTCTGACGACGTTGATGTGGAATTACCACCCATTGCAGGTGGGAGCGTGGTAATTTCACGGGAAGTCGCAGTCTCAGATACGCTGGATGTAGTAGTCACACTAGGTCTAGTGGTGATCGTTAACGGTCGGTACGTTTGTGGTGTTGGTATCGTCTCAATGAAAATGGACGTGAGTGTCGAATCTGCCGTAGATCGTGGGTCATCGGTGATCTGAGGATATCCGTAATAGATCAGACGAACTTGGTTGAACCCCTTGCGATACTGCGGCGTCCCTTGGATAAACTTCTTGAAGTAGCAGAAATTGTCTTTGGAAGAATGCGCGACACCACCACATTTGTTTGTTCCGTTGTTCTCGTTCATGTATGTGCAGCCAGCGACACAATCGGCCAAAGAGTCGACCTTGAAGCCAGGATATGGTTGTCCTACAATATCTGGGCCAGGTGGGTCAAAGTCACAGGCAACTTCGTACTTGTACTTCCCATCAGTAATGACGGAGAAATTGTATGTCGGGCAGAGTTCATCAACGGCTAGGTTTGGTGTGGAAACTGGATCCGCCACTGCCTGTGTTGCGGTACTAGGAGCCTGCTCACTTGCAATGTAGGTCCTGTATTCTGTATCACTCTCGGGGTCATCAAGCTGATAAACACGAACGTAGTTGACACTCCAGTATCTGCAACAAGGTTAACAAGCATCACAACCAGGTGACCATGCACATACGCGTCCTCAAAAGCTTCGGGAAAGTTGGCAACATAACTGTCGCATGTTGCTAGTCCAGTAGAGCCAGCACATGATTTCCCATCGTCGGTCTTCCAGACGAATGGACTGCCTGCATCAATTAGTACGTACTGAGGAGAGAAGTCAAGGAGCGAACGACCTACCAGCATATTCACCACAAAATGTCGTGTCGAAGATGATCTTATGACTCTGGAAGTGTTCATCGATCTTGCAATTGCCAACACCAAGCTGTGCAGCTGGAAGACCCCAGCTGCCCGGATCAGGCTTCTTATTGTCGACGTCCTCCGGCACTTCGGCACGAGGCCAATACCAAATCAAGATCGACTCGCTCGTCCACTGCATGGCATAGACACCTCCACCTGCCTGATTAAAGCCTTTACCGAAGCTCGTTGTTCGAGGATCGGAGACGCCGCAACCGACATTGTAATTCGGATAGTAGGCACAATTTGTGTTCTCCAATTCGCCGGTCATGACCGACGAGTCGCCAGTGATGATACATGTCTCATTCGTGTGCAAACTCATCACATTATTTGCGTTCTGATTAACGCCTTCTAGGATATCGACTTCTCCTGTAAATGGCCAATTTGGTCCCAGAGTCCAGACTGTGCTACGGTCAGCATTTTCGCAAGGTAAGAGTGGATTACCTACACGCAGGCCACGTTCCACAGATTCCTGCTGGTATGTGCTCAAAATCACCTATGAAAAGACCATGGGTGAAAGCTTGCTTCGAGGCAATGCGAACGGAAGGTCTTCCTGCGCCATCACCTCGTCCAGTAGTACTATCGATGGGTAGTACATCGACAGTATTAACCCGCATCTGTGCCGGACCATCCACAGATGTCTCGATTAAATTTTCGAGCTGAGCAGAAGACCGAGAGTAGTATGTCACAAATCCATTGGTTGGATCTCGTTCCTAGTCCTTCTTTAGTGTCTGAACAGTATTGTGTATTGGTCACTCACTGAAAAGAAGTCCCAGCCATCGAAAAATTCAAGCCCGAGTACTCGTAGGTTAGTTTGTATTCATGGCCGGTGAAGGCGGCTGCACGAGTAGCCAGTAGCGAACCACCCAACAAGCACGAAGAAATGAACGACATGGCTGCAAGCAACCGGAGACTGAAAACACAGCACAAAAGAGCGACGGCAGATAGTGAAAGAGGACATCAGCTATCGTAGCAGAGAGCAAGTCAATGTTTTTGTCAAAATATGGAAGGGATAGAGCACGGTCATTGTGGGTGGAGGTTGGAATGTGCATTTAGAGCTCTGTCAATACTTATTATTGGCAATATCCAGCCGGAAGCACGGTCACCAACCACGGTATCGTGTCAAACAAAGGGTGTATAGATCATCATAGGTGAGTCGAGGCAGCGCTCGTCCTCACGTCCATCTAATGAAGTGTGCTCGCCACATAGCCGTTTCAGTAACATCGTGAGTCTTGCTTGGGTGATCAGTGCTCAGCGTGCTCGATACTGGATGTTGTACGGACATCTAGGAGGGTTTCGTGTTGACAATTTACCAATTCGTGGTCCTATAGCAAGTGCACTTTATTGCAATCCCAAGCTTTGGTCGACCGCACAGAGGCTCAAAAGTCGAGAGCCTCATGACGTCATAGTCCGTTCATTCCTCCATCTCTCAATCATGTATTCTTCCATACTGAATCATCGTCCTGCATCATGCCTAAATCCGATGATCCTGAAAGCCATAACAAACCATGCACTCTTTGCGGAACGCCTCGTCAAGTTCTCGTTAGGTGCCAGATAGATGAGAGTGCACAGTGGCACTTCGTCTGTCCTGGCAAATGCTGGAAATCGGTATCTGGAGGCGTTGAGGACGCCAAAGGGTTCGAGGCTGAGCATCCATATTATAGATATGGTGGCATGGTATGCTGTCCATACAATGCAATCTCAACCATTACTAAGTGGTCGATTAGTGGAAAAACAAACACGCAGATGGGCCGTTGAGCGCAAAGAAGCCGAAGAAAGTTAAAGATCGGCAGAAGCTCGACAGAGCTGAACGCGGTGACGGTGGATCAGCAGAAGCAACCGCATCCGAGGAGGAGACGAATGTTGTGGTACAGCCTCAAGGGCAAGAAGCGCAGCGGCATTAAATCCTTAGTATCCAACACTAAAACGATCAAGCAGAATCGCGTCGGTAAACAAGAAGTTCAAGCTGTCATTCGCCGACAGCTTCTTCGTCCAGATCAGCGAGTAAAGACGCCTCCAGAAAGCTATGACTGGCCACATAGCTAAATCCACCAAATGGATCTGACTTCGAAAGTGTACGATTATGCTGGGTGATAAACTCGTTTATAGGTCGATCTGTGAACTCAGTCGCGAAATTTTCTCCGAGAGCAGGGTCAGTGATCAATGGTCTTATCGGTGGTTCGACCTCTCTTCGCTCGAGCTTTTTCCAATCAATCTTCTTGAAGAATCTATGCTTTTTGATAATGGCCAGATCGTTCAGGCCAACACCGAGCCGCTTTCTGGGCTCCTTGCGCAAGAAGCGTGTCAGTAGATCTTTGGCGTCTGGTGTAAGGAAGAACGGAAGATTCAGCTTCTGATGCATGATGTTTTGCTGGATCTTGCTCCAGTTACCGCCGCCAAATGGTGGTTTTCCGGTCATCAAGTCGCAACCCATAGCTCCAAGACTCCACCAATCGCATGCGAGACCATATCCTGGGCCAAAATCGGATTCCATAGATCCACGAATAAGCTCAGGTGCCATGTACTCGATGGTGCCCACCCCCAAGCTGTTGCAACGACTGCCGCCAGGAGTACCGACATCTTTGACGGCGACTTTGCTCAACCCAAAATCAGTCAACAGAAGATGACCATCTGCATCGAGCAGGCAATTCTCGGGCTTCAAGTCTCGGTAGATGACACCAATCTTGCGATGCAAAAAGTCCAGAGCTAGAACAATTTCAGCCATGTAGAAGGCTGTGACCTCTTCTGAGAAGAATTTCTCCAGCTCCAGGTGTCGAAAAAGTTCGCCGCCTTCAGCATACTGTAAAATCAGGTATAGTCGCTCATGATCTTGGAACGCGTAATAAAGATCAACAATAAAGGGCTGTCTATTGACGAGCTCGAGGATTTGACGTTCTGACATGGTTCGATCGACCACTCTCTTGTGGACCTTCAAAGTTGCCTTGCTTAGAGTCTTCTGAGCAAATAGACGACCAGTGGCTTTTTGGCGAACAAGCAGGACTGTACCAAATGCGCCGTCACCAAGACATCTGATTGGTGTAAAGTCATCGGCAGTCATCTTTCGCAGCACGGATGTTGCTTTCTGGTCTGCATCAACTTCTGCTTGACCAACTTTATCATCGAGAGAAGTGCTGACGAAGTCTCGGTCTAGAGGAACATCGTAGCTCACCATCTCTTCTGTCGAATCATCCTGATCGTCGGACGCACCTGTAGTGCTCGGTGTTCCAGATCCGATTGGTCGTTGTCTCGAAGTAGACCGACTGCGGACCTCAAGAGCTTCTAGCTGGGCTCGTAGGCCCGACACTCCAGGAGATTGTGGTCGAGAATAGTTTAAGCCTGGCAATCGTGGTAGAGGCGATAGCACTCGAGGCGTTGGTCGTGAAGAGCCATCGGAATCTTCAGCACCGGAATCTATGGGAGTAAAGCCGTGCACAGTGATCGGACTTGCAGTTCCATTGAGGGCAGTTGGCTTTTTGTTCTTCTTTTTCTTCTTCTTCGCAGCATTGGATAGAATAACACTTCCTGCAATACCAGAGGGACGTCCCCTGTCTTCAAACTCGCGATCTCCTTTTGACTCAAGCCTGTCAGGCGTAGGTGGAGGGCTAGGCTTGGAGCGCATCGGGGTAATCTGTGGCTCGTCGAACCCATCCATTACTCCCACAACAGAATCGTCGTGGTCATTGTACTGCGCGGTGGCGTCCGGACGTTTGTCGTCCGGTTGGAATTCAGCCATCTTTCTTGACCGTAGAGACTGCCTGCCAAATCGTGCAGCCTTTGTGTTGTTCTCCTTGATGCGAACAAGGATTTTGTTGGCCTTTCCACTCTCTTAACCCAAATTTCTATCGGGCAATGCTCTTTTCGTCCGCCTCTCAGGACGGACCAGACACTATTGGCCAACCAAACCCGTCCAAGGCTGTAGAAACCGAGCAAATGCTCAAGAAAGAAGAATTTCCGCGCTGCACGACATTGAAGTTGAAGATATTGTCAAAAATTGTTAGCTCGGCGAAGCCCATAGGTATAATCGTTTGTTGAAATGTCGCGTTTGGTATAGATGCGGACGTAGGAGCGGATGCAATGAGGCGACGAGTTGAAACAGGAGGAACGTGTGTTGGAAAATATCAATACAAACTGAGCAGATGATTGACGCTGGAATTCAGATGTCCACCAGCCAGCCAACTTTTTACAGGTGGATCTAACCACCTGTAGTCCCCGGACTTGCCAGCATTTCTCCACGTGGAGGAGAATTGGATCGTCTATGGTAAATTCCACTTCTTGTTAAATACGATCGTGTTCGCGTAAGCCTTAGGTGTCACTGACAAAATTTGTGACGGAACGAACAGCAACCCACGCGTCGCAATCTGACTGTGCTCGCCATGGACCATTCTATCGCAAGTACAGACAAAGTCATTGTAAAAGGCATCCAATTCGAGGCAGTAGCAGGCCTTGATTGCTGGGGACGCCCTGGCAAGGCTCAACCCATCGAGCTAGAAGTACACCTGACACCACCAGGAGGATTGGAGGCCGCTGCACAAGAAGACTCTGTCGCCTATACGATTGACTATGGAAAGCTCTACAAAGCCTTGAAGGCCGCTGTATTCGGTGGCAAATTCGAAACCATTACGCAACTCTACCAGGCCATAAGGTCGTCAATGCCAGATGTCATATCGTGGCATGTTCACCTGTCGTTTTCAAAAGCCATACTGGCAGCTAAAGGTGGGCTCTCTTTGACGTGGACTGGTCAAACAGATGAGACTGGTGCCGCGATCGTGACGCAAGTCATGGTCGTACGTGACATTGAGTGTAGGTGTATAATCGGCGTAAACTCTCATGAGCGGCTTGAAAAGCAGAGTCTGTCCGTCACTCTGTCGGTATGGGGCATCGAAAATCGTTTAAGCCCATCTATGCTTGCCGGAGTGAGCCTAAACCCATCGCTAACGCTTACATACCAAGAGATGGTGAAAGAGGTTGCCGAACGTGTTGAAGGTTCAAGCTACGAGACTATTGAGGCATTGGCAACGGCAATAGCTCAGATCGTCACAATGGGCCATGGCTTCGACAATGCACGTGTCACAATTGAGAAGCCAGGTGGATTGGCTGGAATGGGAGCCTCAGGAGTCACCATCGGGAGGACGAAAGCATATTTTGAGAATAAGGATTTCTGGAAGGTCAAGAGGCCTTGAACAGAGACACACTTGTACCTACGTGAGGTCTATAAAAGTGATCTTCGAAGTCCGCGATGGTGTCAAATCCACTTCTTTCCAAGCACCAGGCAGGCTATCTCGGGAGGCAGCGAACCTCTTGCTTGCTATATGAGCTTCGCAGGCAGAAATCTTTCCACGATCGAAGTCGTATAATCGCCCCTTGTGCTGTTCTAGGTTATGCGACGTTCCTCTTGGTTCTGCGTCTTCTTCGGGACGAGACACGCGGGCCTCGTGGTCATGACCAGTAATTGCCTGTGTGTCAAAATATATTAATCCGGATTCGGGGTTGCTATGGTTTAGGAAAAACGACTCGATTGAGGGCAGTACCTGCTTGCTACCCACGAAGATTACCTCCTCGTCATCTTCCGTCACCGACTTTGTCGATTCTTGCATGACAGAAGACGAAAGAGAAGGTTGCGGAGGCGCTTCTAGCTGCGTTGGCGCCTTTGCAAGTCTGTCTGCGTTCAGGCCATATTGCCTCGAGGTCTGCTTGTGTTGCGTGACACCCACTGGCCATTCGAACTCTTCGTCCTCGTCCTCATTCAAGTTAACATTACTGTTCAATACAGCTGGCATCGTTTGTGTTCTGGACAGTGGTCTTCTCGTATGCGGCATACGGGGGTTCTGTAGCATACTATCGACGTCCCCTAGCAAAGAGGACACCAACGACTGCTTCGTATTCACTGAGGTGTCTGCGCGGGTCTGTGGGACCGCTTTCGTTGGCCTGAAATAGCTCTCGATTTCGGATGCTGAGATAGCGACAGCACTGACGGGATACGACTTTGTCCTCTCTATCGTTTTCTTCTTTCTTGGTGTAGTCTTTTGCGGCTGTGCGTTGTCTTTGGCATTCTCTGTTGAGGATAAACAGGACGAGTGAGCTACTGGCAGGTACTCCTTCAGCGCACCGTGCTTCATGCTCTGGTCGATCTTCTCGATGGTCCTGGACGTCGTTTTCGTTTGCTGTCGGCCCTGGCGAGTCGTGGACTTGACTTGACAGGCTCGAACCTTCCCCTGCTCACCGACCCATTCCTGCATGATGGTCGGCATACCACATACAAGCAAGGGCATGGGCACCCACCATCTCTCGGTAGCCAAAGGATCCCAGGGTGGTCTCAGCAATTTCTTCGTCGGACACGAGGATTCTTGGCTGCTCGCCCCTGCACCGACTTCCTCGCCGTCTCCATCGTGGTCTCCTGCTTCATCCTCAAGCTCGGCAAATTCGGGATTCTCTTCTTCAGAATCAATATTCAGGCCCACCACATCTGCTGGTATCGCCGAAAATCTTAACTCTGCGACTCCGTCCATGATAAAGTGTTGTCTCTTGTCGCCGAGAACCTTCAAGGAGTATTCACTTTCATTAATCTGCTTTGTCCTTAGGTGATGCTGGAACAGAGGTTGAGCAAGACAGCGTACGAACTTCGTCGCACCTCCCTTGTATAGCCAGTCAAATGTCATACCACAGTAATCGCGTAGGGCCGGGATGTCGATTTCTTGGTCCCACCATTGCAACCATCGAGTTTCGAGCTTCTTCGTGTCCTCTTGCGATGATACAGCTGGGTCAAGGTAATAGCCCAAGATTGTTCTATTCGGGAAGTCCTCTGGCACATCCACAGTCTTGTGCCTTTTCGCAAAGTAACCACTTTCGTTCGTTTCTAATTCGTACTGAAGCCTCTCTCGCCATTCTCGTAGCCCCTGCTCATCAGAATTCCTCACAAGCTCAATAAGATCGTGGCCGAAGCCAGCGCGAGCCACTGAGCAGGATAACGCAGGTCCGAAGCCTGGCACCCCCTCGTGGTAATCACCACCACTCAAGAGAGCAACTAAAACCATGCCTGCTTGATCGAGCCCGCTAGCTTCCTCGATCTTGACGGTGTCTAGCACAGTCACATGCGTAGGCGCTTTGTTCCCTTTCGTGCCTTCTTTGCTCCAGTCTCGTAGGGTCACAGTACTTCCAAACATGATAGCGTCGACGTCCTGGCTCATCACAGCGTCCACAATGCCGTGCTTCTGCAGTGTTGCACATTCTGCCTCTGCCTCACCAGGAGCTGTGTGGTGAGGGAATTGAAATCGTGCGACTAGGTTCTTGGACAGCTCATTCGGCACACATGTTCCATAGCGGCTCACGGTCTTGCCTCGTTTTGTTAGTGGCTTGTTCTTGCCGTCGTAGACGAATACTGGATGAATAGGTAAAGCCAATAGTCTTAGTAAACGAAAGAACAACGTTCGTAAGGCTGGATTCTTTCCACCTTGACCTCCAACTTGAGTCTGAAAATTCCAAATCGCAGCGTCTATGGCTATGCGTAAAGGTCGCTTATGCTGCGTAAAGTGGTCGATTGCGAGTTTGGCAAGTGCTACTCGTTCTCCTTTGCCGATCTCTTTCAGCAAGCCAGGTATACCCATGACCACCTTATGCTTCGCTGAAGCTTTAACAGTAGAGATCTTCTATCAAAAGCAAATCGCGTTCCCTAGCCTTCAATGTTCTGCCATCCAATATCCACGCATTTGAGGCCGGCGTTGTCACTTTAGATGCACTAGCTGCCTCTGTTAGCACTTCCGTCTCCACAGAAACGTGCGCGTTCCCGCCGAACACGAACTCACGTGGAGTCGTAACTTCGAGGCAGCAACTGTGAATGAACCCAATGAAAGGTTAGCTGGTCCTGCAGTGCTTGCAGCTGGCGTTGGCCAGCTATGGCCTCACCGACAAAGTCGCCTACTAAGCCTCGTGCAGACCTCCGTCGAGGTTTATCGAGATCCGAGAACGAGACCACGCCCGTCACCCCTCCTACACGCTTTATCTCCTCCAACTTATCTACTCCAGGCTCAGCCTACGGCAAGGAGGACGATGCGGTAATCATAGAGTTGTCACCTCGCTACCTGAAAGCTGGGATCGAGGGAGAAAGCCACCCACAAATTCGATATGACTTCACACCTGAGAAAGCGCAGAAATTAGGTGATTACAGACAGTATCTGCCAGGCTATACACGTCAGGAGAGCAAGAATGGTGCGTGGGGAGAAGGTCACGAACTATGGAGAAACGATCTGAAGAACTTCGACCTCGGGTTGTTGTCAGACAAGGTAGAACGGGCTGTGAGGGAAATCTACAACAAGCACCTTCTGCTAGATACTGGTCACGCCAGACTCGTGCTTGTGGTACCGGGGCTGCTGCCGCATCCAGTACTTGCGACAATTCTACAGACGATTCTTGAAAGATGGAGTTTTCCTACCGTTACTCTCTTCCCCACTCCAGTTACTGCACTGGTTGCAGCGGGCGTGCGGTCTGGGCTTGTGATCGAAATTGGATGGGAGGAGACGACCGTTACAGCAGTATACGAGTACAGAGAGGTCTTTGCTAAAAGAAGCACAAGAGCTTCGAAGCTATTGACGAGGAAGTTCGTGGAATGGGCAGAGAAAAGGCTCCCTCATGGATGTATGCTGGATCTCGAGACTGTAGAAGAGTTTCTTGCTAGAATTGCAAGACATGTATGTGACGACAAGGAGAAACAGGCTGCCGATAACACAGGCACATCTGATACCATAGACGTTCAATGGCCTACGAGCAGCTTTACACAACAAGTCACATTCTTGAGGAGTGAACTGAAGGCAGAAATTCAACAGTCACTGCTGGGCAATGACATTGAAGAGGAGGGACATGCCGATGATGAGGAGCTTCCTGTGCAGCAAGTCATATACAATGTCCTCTTGAACCTGCCTCCAGACATCAGGGGTATCTGCATCTCTCGAATGATGTTCATAGGAGATGGAGCCGATCAACTAGGTCTCCAGTCCCTAATTACCAAGAGCTTTTCTCGTCACCTCGAAGCAAAAGGCTGGTCAACAATACAGGGCAAGAAGGTGCGCAGGAGACGCGAAGGACTATCAGAACTGGCACAAGGTCGTGTACAGCCTGTTGACGTAAGACATAGCGATACCATATGGACGGAGAAAGCAGAGACAGAAGAGAGATATCTACGTGAGAAGCACAAACACATTCAGCCAGCTACGTACGGTGTGGTACGACAGATAGATACGTTAGGGTCATGGGCTGGCGCAAGTCTTTTGGGCACATTGAAGGTGAAAAGTTTTGTCGAGATCCAGCGAGAACGTTTTCTTTCGCATGGGCTGGTAGGTGCGAGCCGAGATCTAGATGTAAGTGTGCTGCAGCAACGTATGAGTACAATTGGCCTTCGACCTAAGGCAGGCGAGAGGACGAGCTGGACTTTAGCTGGCTGGGGTTGAAATTTTTGTTTGTGCACTGTTTGAATACAGGCAGAAAACACTCGAGGAAGGCACTTGTCACTCAGAGTGCCTCGCTCTTGGACGTTTGCGCATGACGCTGCGAGGCGGCAGTATTGCAGGTACCATATTGTGACAAACACAATCACCCCAACATTTCGACTATTTGGACTATTCGACACCTATTCTTCAATCCTAAAACAAGCAATCTAGAGAACAAGTATCAGAAGTTACTACCACTGGACGTGAACATGGCCGACAGAGCACAACTGCTGGTAATTCATTGAGTACTTGTTTGTGACACAGCTGACGTACATCTCGCAGCTCAATACGCAAACAGCCGACACTCCTCCCGCATCGCCTACTTCACCTACAGAGTACGATCAAGCGTTGGCTAACCGACAGCCACGCATCCAAATCGATGAAAATGGCGTTCATGACTTTGATTTGAGACGGCGCCAGAGCGAGGCGGCTGGTTCCAAAAAGTTGAGAAAGTTTAGTCGACAGAGTCAACCCAACAGTATCTCTTCGATGACAGACATAGAACGAATACCATCCAACGGCAGTGACACCAGCTCTCTTCGCAAGAGATTTTCTGCGCTACTCCCTGGTGGCAAGAGCGAAGTACAAAAGGCGAATAGCATCCGATCAACGCGCACATCCCTCGAGGTTCAAGAAGACCCGCTGCCTGAGACGAAGAAGGAGTTGGAGATTCGTCTCAACCATCATTTGTCTGAGCTCGACATTCTCAAGAAAACGATAAACTCGGCGAACGATGTCATACGGCAGCATTATGATCGTTACGAGATCATGCAGACACGAGGCTTGACTGACATGACACGTGCTATGCAAATGCAGGAGGACTTGATACATCAAGCCCGGAAGAACCGTGACTCGTGGGTGGAATTTGTGTCGTTCCATCGGCGACAGATAGTAAGAATCAAGCACAAGCGGATCGAGATTGAGCTTGACGCGGGACTCGAGCCAACGCTACCACAGGTGTACAAGCAGTTATGGGGGGATGATGAATGGAGTCGACTTTTCATGTCTTAGCACGCTCCTTCCCATGGCACTGTTGAAGTTGACCTGCTACGACTACATCTTATTGGGCGGCATTTTCTTCCAAGACTTACATATTTGAATACAAGACGGCAGTCTGACTGCTACTCTTTATCAATCTTTGCTTTTGGTTGCTTGTTTGCGTGTTGCTATCTTGGCTCCAGCTGCCTGCTTTGTCCATCAAACCACATTGTACATGAGCGAATCTTGGCTGCCGTAAGTAAAGACTGATGCTAAGAGTGAACATACCTATCAAGCAGAGTATGGTTTGGTTTGCATCGACCATTTTGGACTTCTGTTACCAGGCTGTGGTCAACAGAGAGAAGAAAAGGAGCAGGAGGACTTCAATCTCAATTTAAGTTTTCGCGGCTCAACGTCCAAGTGGATCGACGCAGGCACCTGAGCACTCGCAAAATGGTTCGATTGGCTGTGATACCGAGTCCCCTTGGCGGCCCCAGACAACCTAAAGTTCTAGCCTAACTGCGAGTTTCTGCGACGCTGCATGGGTACAAGGGTTCTTTTCAGTGCAAGTTAATTACGTCTCAATTCTCAAGAAACAACAGGGTAGTCACACAGCGCAACAACGACCCAGCTTTCTTCCATCTTTCGTTTGTCCTACTACATGACTCGTCAGTCTCGCACCATCTAACTCTAGATCTTGTCTATATACGTCCTGCTTTCTTCGACGAGCTAGCCAGTGCCCCTTGCCGTACAGCCTCATCAATCGCCATAACTCTCGAGTCTGCCAGTAGAGACACAACTACGAAACATCCACTTGGAGAACAAAAACATAGTCCCCGAGCAGTAAGAGTAAACCTTGTGCCGTTACGATGAGACCGCAACGCCATGGACAATCATTGTGTGCACTCTTGCTGCTTTCACTCGTCTCCTCAGTCATCGCAAATCCTTTGCCTGCAGAAAATGCCGCCTCGGTGGCAGCTCCTGAGGCAACGGCCAAAACCAACAACAAGCCCAATCCAATAGGTACACACCACGCGCCTGTTGATGGCAAGGATGGAATTCCGCATGAGGGACCTTGGGTGGAAACCAAAGCAGACCGAGAACGAAAGAAGACCAAAGGTCCAGCTGCTGGAAAAGATGATGGCTCTGCTTCGGAACGTACAAAAGCAAAAGATGGCAAGAATCGTTATCTCAAAGAAGATATTCCACAGAGCAATGGCGGAGTCATGGACGACAAGAGCCGGACTGGTCCTGTCGAAGGTACGAGGGGTACAGAAGGCGGTATAACTGAGAAGAGCAAGACGAAGGTTTCGGTCGATTCCGATGCAAAGACACCAGATGCACCAAAAGAGCAGCCGCCGCTGCCACATAGTGAAAAGGAGAAGATGAAGACTACACCTGAAGAAGACACCTCAAAGACCGCCCCCGAAGATGAAACCAAGAAGACACTGGAAAAGCCAACAGATCTGCCCGACAAGCCGATTAGTATCCCTACCACTGAGAACCCATCGACACAGAGAGACAACACTGTTCCATCGGACGATCAGCGATTCAAGACTCATCCATCTGCAGTCCGACCTGATACACCCACAAATTTGCAAAAAGAGGACATTGTCCAACCATTGCATTCTCTCTTCCTGGCTTTCACCATGATCCTCTTCTCAGAAATAGGCGACAAGACTTTCCTGGTAGCCTGCCTGATGGCAATGCGTCACGACAGACTACTAGTTTTCTCCGCCGCCTTTTCCGCTCTCATTACCATGACCGTTCTCTCCGCCGTCCTCGGCCACGCAGTACCCACCCTCATCCCAAAATGGCTCACCAACTTCCTCGCAGCTGGCCTATTCCTCGTATTCGGCATCAAGATGCTCCTAGAAGCACGAAACATCAGCCCGGACGAAGGTGTCAGCGAAGAAATGAAAGAAGTCGAACAAGAGCTAGAAGAAAAAGAACACCAAGCACTCCGCAGATCGCGCAGACGCTCAGACATGTCCCCCTACATCCTCGAGTCCGGTCGTGGAGGCGGCATCAGAAAAGGCCGATCAGACGGCCGACTCCCTTCACCCCCCGACTCCCCCACTTCAGAAACATCATCACGATCCTCCTCCCCATCCCGACAGTCGACACTACGCAGAGTCACAGACGGCATCAACAACCTCTCCAGCCTCCTCCTTAGCCCAGCCTGGGTCCAGACTTTCGTCATGACCTTCCTAGGAGAATGGGGCGACCGCAGTCAAATCGCCACTATCGCCATGGCTGCTGGAAGCGATTACTGGTGGGTTACGGCTGGTGCGCTGGGAGGACACGCGATTTGCACAGCGGCGGCGGTCATTGGAGGGAAGGCTATTGCGGGTAAGGTGAGCTTGAGGACTGGTAAGTGCTTTTCCCCCATATCTATGTCTTGATTTTGAGACGATACTGACTTTTTTCTGCAGTGACTATGGGTGGTGCTATCGCCTTTTTAGTCTTTGGTGTCGTGTACTTGTTAGAAGCTATATATTAGTAGATTTTGTGTGTATCAACATCGATATAGGTCTTACAGAGACTGTAATCCAAGAACATTCAACGTGCTGACCATGCTCTGATTCTACAATGCACTCCACTCTGTTTCCTGTGTAATTTTTCTGCCTCAATGCTCATGAAGCTCATCAGTGCCACTTAGACTTGGATTTATCTCATCATATTCGTGGATCATACGCACTAATCAGAAAGGCATTAAACACTGATACATTCGCTCTTCATGACAGAATAAATTGATGGCTCGTCATTGTCTTTCATCATCTCGAACACATGCTACGTGGCTGAAGCAACACATAACGCTCACTTTAAACACGGCTCGCGTTTCGGCTTGCTAAGAGGTATTCCACAGCAGGACACCAATTTCAAATGCTTTCGTAAATCCTGAATCACTCTGGCTTGTCAGAGGATCGAGTTGTCCTCTTGTTGACCTCGTCCTTGACAGCCTCAGCACCAGATGCGACGGCGTCAACAGCTTGATCCTTAACCTCTGTAGCTTTCTCCTTGGCTTGCTGCGCCGTCTTCTTGATATCCTCCTTAGATGGAGCAGCGGCAGTTCCAGAACCAGCAAGGAGTGCAACAAATGCAATAGTGAGAGCGAGAACACCACCAATACCACCAGCGACTTCAGGCATAAATTTAATCGCCTCAATGGGGTCCTTCTTCGCCAAGGTGACGAAGAGGTCGAGTTTCTCCCTGATATAGGTAATTGGATCATCCATGAAGACAAGGTCACGAGGAGACTTGGGCTTCTCAGAAGGCTTAGGCTTGGACTTGGCCTCTTCAGCGTCCTCAACGGGCTTCTTGACGTCGAAAGTCTCAGCTCGGAGAGCAGCAGCATCAGCGATGGAATGACCAATGTAGATGTTGTCAAAGGTAATGTCTGACTGCATGGTCCAGATCTCGAAGCCGATCGCACCCATTGACTCGAAGTTGGCAGGAGTCTTGTCCTCAAAGTAATCAGGGTTGTTGATCTTCTGTGGTGCCCAAACACCCTTGTAGGCTGGATTGTCGATGTATGGTGCAGTCCATTTGCCCTTGTACGCTGGATTCTTCTTCATTGGTGGTTCCCATTTGCCACAACCCGAAGCCTCCTCGCACTTTGGATTTGGGATTTGTGGTGGAATCCAGTCACCATCCTCTTCATCATCCCAATCTTCTGGCTTCTCCGCCTCCGGGTCGGGAATGGTCAATGGTTCGTCCTCGAGCCAGTCATCTGGTTTCTCGGCGTCTTCATCAACGATCTCGAAAGGGGCATCCTCATCCCAGTCCTCTGGCTTCTTAGCTTCTGGATCTGGAATTCGAGCTTCATCGACCCAGTCTTCAGGTTTCTTGTCGTTGGGATCGTCGATCTCGGCAGGTGGGTTGACGGCAGGGGAGAAGTCCTCGAGAAGAGTACCGTTCTTCATGGATTTGTTATCAATCAAGAGCTCCATGGTGTTATCCTTCTTCACAATCAGAGTATAAAGGTGTGAGAGTTTATCATTCTTGATCGAGGGAGGGCTCTTGAGGTGTTTCTCTTCGTACTCGCCGGTCTTTGGGTTCTTGTGCTTGAAGATAAAGTGAACCTGTACTTGTCAGAACCTTTGTTCTTATCGTGTAAAAAGTAGGACACACCTTATTTGTAGTTCCGCATTTGTCGGGACCAAACATAATCACATATGGTGAAGCATTGGAGAACTCGTCAGAAGCCAGCTTCTTGTCGTTCCTCAGCAGTTTCATATATGCACCACCACACTCGAGGCCTTTCTGTAATTTGACCTCGTACTGCACAACCAGATCTTTGCCCTTGTTATCGATAGGCTTATCGAATTTGGCAGAGATAGCATGGTGAGCAGCAGGGTTTTTGACAACAAGACCCTTGTCACCAACTATACCAGGCAGTACCGATGGCTCTTCGACGGACCACTCGCCAACATAGGCCCAGTCCTCGTCCGATTTGGAGTCCTCCTTCTTTGCATGTGATGGCTTCCACCGTGTTTCCCAGTCGTCTGTGAACTGTTCGAGGAAGGGCGCTTTCAAGTTGGTAGGCTAAGAAAGTTAGTTGCTTCAGAAAGTAAGTTTCTCAGATCAGCTTACTGTAAAGGTAGGCCTCTCAGCAACTGAGGTGTCGGTGCCAGAAGCATCAGCCTCTTGTGCATAGCCTCTGCTGACCAGCAGCGCACATAGCGCTGGTGTGATGTACTTCATCTTGGGATAGACAGAGTACCACAATGAAGAGAGCAATACTATCTGAAGCAGAAAAAGCCAAAAGCTCAAATGTGAAATTCGAACTTATGAGATCCGCAGCGAAGAGGTGTCCTCTCCGGGATACAGTGACACTAAATTCAAAAGTGTGCAAGTGCGACCTGACGTGCAGTTTGAACACTTTGCCGTAGTGTATCGCAATGTGTATGCTCAAGTCCGGCAATATTCTCGTAGTATCACAATGCAGACTCGCTGAAGTGGACTGAGGGATTCACGAAACAACTTCAGTTACCATACAAGAAACTGTCAATATTTCAATTTATACCCTTATAGCCCCCAAGGTGTTAGGTCTACCTGGTAGCTAACGCGTCAGTGAGCCTGATCCTATGACAGCCATGCTGATTTTCAGTTGAAGGACAACCCTCGGCCACAGATGCGATCGCGTTGGTATAGTCCTTGGCAGTCGCGCTAGAGTATGACATTTTGACACGTGCTTCGTGACCTGGCAAGTCGCTCTTTCTGCAAATTCTAACAGAGGTGTCCTCTCGTTCAGGTTGAGCGTCTAATCGATTGTGAGTAATATGGCCGACACAAATGGAACCGACCGCATGTCGGAAAGCAATAGCAGTGATCACTTGGTACAATCCGAAGACCCAAACCATCCAGCAAACCTAATTCCAGACCTATGCAAAAGATTCTTCTACAATGGCTGGTGCACAGGTACTGGTGGTGGGACAAGTATCAAGCAGGGCAACCATATTTTCATCGCACCCTCCGGAGTACAAAAAGAGATGATGAAGAGCGAGAATATTTTTGTTATGGAATATCCTACACCTAAGTACCCCCCATCAGACCGCAAGTACATTCGCAAACCTCCGGATTTGAAGCCGTCAGCATGTACACCGCTCTTTCTCGCTGCTTTCGAACGAGGAGCCGGATGCTGTATTCATAGCCACTCTCAATGGTGTGTGTTAGTCACTTTGCTAGTTGAAAAATTGTATGGGATAGAGGCCTGTTTCGAAATCAGCCACATTGAGCAGATCAAGGGTATTCCAAAAGGTCCTGGTAAGGGTATGCTCAACTACCACGATACTATGCAGATTCCAATCATCGAAAACACCGCTTTCGAGGAAGATCTCACAGGTGCTCTCGAGGAGGCGATAGAGAAGTATCCGGATACTTGTGCTGTTCTTGTCAGAAGACATGGTATCTATGTCTGGGGTGACACTGTCGCGAAAGCCAAGACACAGTGTGAGAGTCTTGACTACCTGTTCCAGCTAGCAGTAGAAATGCATAAGCTTGGTCTGCCATGGGTCAAGGAGTGACTGCAGTCCGGACACCATCAGAGATCAAGATCGCTATTCTTCAGTGAATAGAAGAATAAGCAAATAACTCTGAAACTGCGCGGTAGCTAACATTGGATGCAATTGCCTCAACACTCACTCTTGCACACTAGACAACCTCTTCGATGTTCCTCCCAAAACTCAGCAATCTCGCACCCCTTTCTTGACGGAGCACGTTCGCTCTTGCAACTACGTCCGAATTCATCGACCACCACCAATTGCAGAACATTTTCTCACCCACTTCCCAGTTGTCGCTAGCAAATGGGTCACTGCCTGAAATCCGAATACCTTCAGAGGAATCCTCCATATCATAAGCAAGGTCCAATAGAGCTGTTGGAGTTCGTGCATTTGGGGGTCGCAGATCAATCGGCTGAGCAAAGACTAATATTAATTTGTCTCTCACACTGGGCCAGGGTAGTATGTCCAGAACAGGATGGTGAGGATAATGACGTTGTGTCAATGTAGGGCGAAGATTTATGGGGAGATGCGAGAACGAGGAAGGAGATAAAGCTGAGCCATAGAACGGTGAAGTCGCATCTAACGACCAGATAATCGAGTCAACCTGCAGACTCTTCGCGACTGTCATTACGCCACGGAGAAGGTTCAATTCGAGTACAGGCAGATGGACCTCATCGCCTGAGAAGCTGAGCACATCGTCTGAAAAAGGTTGAGTATGGTCAATGATATCCGAGGGTATGCTTGGTGCTGGAGATGGAGGCAGCCACGGTAGTGGAAAGGTGAAACAAGCATCGACGGCCGCCAACGTGTTCGGGTCGAAGCAAGCAAAATCTATCGCACTCGCGTCAAACAGTGTAGAGTCGTGGTCGATTTGAGTCAGATGGGACGGTGATGGAGTGATCATCTCGCTCGTGGATACAGTGGCATCGGCCCTGTCGTCTCCTGCTAAAATTGTACGCTCAAGGTCACGTATGTGTTCCTTTCTTCTCCTGCGATACCGTCTTTGTGCGATCACGTTAAGTATTCTTTTGCGTTCGGCGGGATCTGCATCTATAGATGGTACCTCGGGCTCTTTTGTTTTGCGCTTGCTGCCACTCGACCCCATTGCTGTCGAACGACTATGAGCCTGTGAGGAGATTGTGCACTTTCAAATGAGAACTGGATTAGCTGACCTGTTCGCACAAGCCATAAAGAAGAATGGTGAGCATGGTGGGAAATGCGAGATGAGAGCCTACAGCAGTGGTGTTACTGGCCAGGTCAAGGCCAAGTGCCATAACGTTATGCTTGCATTGGCGGCTCGGTTCTGCAGGGCACGTCTTGGCAACCATTCGCTCTGTCAGCACCAGTTTCGTACTCGTAATTTGAACTTCACCTCTGCAACGAACTCTCCTTCGCTGAATGTTCGAACATGGTTCTTTCAATCGTGATGCAATCTGCTTGATGGACAAGCTTAGTATAGAGCTCAATTGACAGCTTCAACCACTTTTGAGACATTCTCACAATCATCTGTCTTCCATGCAGGCATGACTACAGATTAGCACGGCATATTGCATCCTGAGATTCGAATCGTATGTCTTATACTAGAGAAAAGTTTCCTTGCATGATGAGACTCCTCCTAAAGACTCAAGTGAATCGCAACGTGTACAGTTAGTTCTGATACCTCGTGCAGAGCTATTTGGTAGAACGAAGTGCAATCCTGTGGGCCGGTCAGTCATCTTTCATGGTTAATATAGAAGGTCCGCTTGCATTCACTAATGTTACCTTACTGCCGCAAAGGAAATGGCAGAGCATATGCTACTGCAACTTCGGTCATTGCTTGGCTTTTAGGTTAGTCCATGCTTTTTCAAATAGTGAGGCCTCCCGAAACAGAGTTCTGGCGACATCCAAATGACATGGGTCGGCCTCACGCTTTCCCCAACTTGATCAGTCCACTTTCCACATCTGCAACTCCTTGCTGTATTCCCAATCTTCGCCCGTCAGCCTCATCAAACCGGCTCGAGGTGTTTAGCTTAGTGCTGATTTGAACAAAGGTCTAAGCTCTCTGGCTCGGACAAAACTATTGCCTCGTGCCACCAAATTTGGCATAGCAGAAGTAACAGTCCTTTGTTGACAGCTCTTGAAGCTCCATTTTAGAGCTTGCGACTGATAGTCCGCCCTCAGAGCTAGGTTACTGTGCAGCTGCCACGTTAAGTGCCGGACACGAAGAAACACGCATAGGATGACTATGTACTCGGCGGTGGTGAGTTATGTGGCTGGCCACTGTCTGACCAGTAGATGCACGTTGTCCTCCTTCCTTGCGTTGCATCTCTTGTTGTTCTAGATATTGCTCTGAAAGGCCCCCCTCGTTTACGGCCAGTCGTGCTGGCAATACTCCCGTTGAAAATGTTCAGAACAACAGCTTTCATTGCTCTGATCTCTGCGGTCGTGGCGCAAGGCTCTGGATCACCATCGTCTTCGATCACGTCGACCGCGGCACTTTCGTCTGCGACATCCTCCGCGAATGCAACCAGCACATCCAAGGAACCAGTCACACACACGATAGACGTTGCGAAGGGCGGTCATTCGTTCTCACCAGATGTGACATTAGCAGAAGTAGGGGATATCATTGGTAAGATAATCGCTACCTATTCAAGATCCTGGTCTAATCTCGTGTGAAGAGTTCCGATTTTACCCAACGAATCACTCTGTCATTCGTGCAGACTATGGCTATCCCTGTGTACCTTATGAGATGATCTTAGGCGCAGGGCATCCGGGATTTTGGTCTGGATGGGAACCGGTTGATGCTGTTCTTGATGACCCACCAAAGTGGTCAGTAAGAGTGAATGATAGCGATCCGATATTCTTCTACTGCGGTGCGCCGGGGTCATGTATAGGCTACGGAATGGTCGGTGTGGTCAATCCCAACGCGAACACGAGCCTGGAGCGTCACAGACAGCTCGCTGAGCAAAGTACATTCGTTTTGGTACCAGGTGAAGACTGGCCGAGTGAGGGAGTTATACCCTCCGGTGTCGCCACCACAACGAGTGCACCTTCTTCGACAGCTACGGGAGCTCCTGCTACTAGTGCAGTACCACCGCCACCATCTCATGCTGCTCTCTCACCTGGTGCAATTGCTGGAATTGCCATTGGTGGATCTGCGGTTCTCCTTGCTGCTGCAGTCGCTATCTGGTTTTGTGGAAGACAATCGAGACGTCACATAGGGCCTGCTCCGGGAGCACCGGCGCAGGAAATCCATCCTGGCTATAACCCACACATGAGTTCAATGTATGGCAAGTCAGGACATATGTCAGTTTCTGGCTATACTATGCCACCAGGATACGATCAGTCGAACATGCATTCTCCCACAATGCCTACAGCACCCGCTCACCTCATGGCACAGGAGCCTACAATGCTTTCTGCTGCACCAAGTCCCCATCTTCAGTCCGCCTCTCCTGTCTCCAACCACGCATCTACGTAAGTCGTTCGGGAGATTGTTTCAGAGAACTTACTAACAACATCTAGGTATGCCGTAGGAACTCATATGGTTGCTCCTGTCGAAATGGATGGTGGCTCACACTTGACTAACCCGCCACGAAGATCGACGGAGAAGCAAGGCGTTGAGAGATATTCGTGAGAACGGTCTCAGTGTCAAATTGCCTAGCTTTCGATGCTGGTTTTCAAAACCTGAGCATGTGCTTGCTGAAGCGGTCACATCAACGTGATCCGTGGTCTAGGACAATCTCTACCTGTATTAATTGTGTATAAAAGCAATACTTACGATAATTGATGACAAGGAATTTATTGAGGACCTTTTCACCTTCTGAAGCCCTGCAATCGACTAACATCCGAGACTAATTCTTGACTTCGGTCTCGTTGACACTGTAGAGCTCTCCTCAATCCTGGCGATAGGTTATTGCAGCACAATCAGCTTGGTAGTGAGAGATTGCTGCTCATCGGCTGAGTGTCGTCGAAAAACTGCGGCCATTTAATCTCGAAGCAATATACCTCTCACGACTCATCTTGACCTCGTTGTTGTTACTCGATTGCCCACTCACAAGGCATGATAATTCAGGTCTACTGAAGCAAAACTAATATCAGCAGCTTCAATCGAAAAACAATCATGTCAAACATGTCAGAAATACCAATGCCCGAACCCACCAACAAGCGCCTACCACTCTCACAATACCAAATCATTTCATTCGACGTCTACGGCACCCTAATACAATACAAACAACACATCCTCTCATCATTCAAACCATTACTCTCGCGATTACCAACAGATTCCCCTCTACGTAACTCAGCCCCCCTATCATCGCACATATCCGACTCAGCAACCACAGGCGACATTGAATTCCTCAAAATCTTCCAAAAACAGGAAGACACTATCAAGCTGGAACTAGCTTCAAACCCACTACGCTTCGACAAGGCCCTACAGGAGATTTGGCGACGGGTCGCTGCGCAACTCGGTGTAACGACTACAGACGAAGAAGTGCAGCGTTTTGGAAGTGAGGAAAACATCAAGTCTTGGCCTTGTTTTCCAGGAAGTATTGAGGCTCTACAAGTAATTCAATCTGCGTCTTCTGGCCATAAACTCGTGGCACTGAGTAATATCGACAAATACGCTACGGACTTGACATTTGCTGCTTCTGGGCTTGGGAATATCAGCTGGTCGAAGGTGTATACGGCGGAGGACTTTGGGACAAGTGAAGAGGATCTTAAATTGGCTGATCAGCGGAAGTTCGAGGCCCTACTCAAGTATGCGGATGACATTGGGTGTAGCAAGGAACGTATTCTGCATGTTGCGCAATCTCTGGGACATGATCATGCGCCTGCGAAGAAGATGGGTGTTAGTTCTGTCTTCCTTACTGGTGATGGGCCGGTCTGGGGTAAAGAGGGTGAATCTAGAATGGCTGTTGAGAAGGGATTGGTTGGGTATGGTTGGAGATGTGAGGATTTGAGAGAGTTTTCGAAGCTCATCAAGCAGCAGGAAGAGCAGTGATGAGAATTTAAGCTTCGCGTTGTGATCTGTAGGGTGAAATAAAGCGTTCCACGCGATTTTACAGACCACAACTACTCGGTACCTGCTTAGTGCTCTTAATTGCTGACGAAATCCTTATGGCCCAATCCTCGGAGACACCGTCCCCATGTCTGAGTGTTGCGGCTACTGCTTCCTCGTCCTCCAAGACTTCCATGACTATTGAATGATATACCTTCCTTTGGTATTGGGTTTCCACGGATATGGTGGAGTCGGAATATGTGCTCTCGGTGGTCTGGGAGCTCCGGAGGGTACCCTATAGGTACCGTAGTTGTTAATAAGAACCGGTCGAGGTCCAGGAGGGGGGGCTGGTCCATATATCGGACATGGGCGTGATATCAACCCGCAGCAGGTGTCACCACAGCCACCACGTAGTCGAAGATCTGGTTCCGATTGACGGTGCTCAATGGATGGCGCTGCCGAAGACTTTGAGTCTTGCCGGAGAACGTTGTGGTGGACGCCTGGTTCGCCCAAAGCATCTGGTTGTGGTGCATCTCCGCTACCATAGCCATCAACGTGATTCTGCGTTGCAGATGATGAGAAAACCTGCAGAGCTTGGCGGATCTTGAGGCTCAAACTATCCAGTCGCTTGGTAAGAGTGTCAAGACGACAACATAGATTTTCCTGTCGCACCAACGAAGAGTCGCTTGTGTCAGTACGTCCACTATCACTGACTTGCTGCTGTTCGTTTTGCTGTGTAGCCGACGCTTTCTGAAGGGGTTGCTGAGTAGCACTGCAAGGTCGATCAGTTTCTGACATTTTGAAGTCCAGGACGGCAGCTCATGAAAGGTCCCCCAGGCTCTGGTGCATCATGTCAGAGTTAAATCTTAGCGATTCCAGGTGTTTGCACGCAGCCGAGCAAACATAAAGCAGATGCGTTCGTTGGATGTTGTTGGCATGCTTGCAACCATGCAAACGCAACGGTTGCTAATACAATGTGATCTACCTTTGAGATTCTCCACCTCGCGCATCGAAATATCTACTCCTAAGAGCCTGGCTAATACCACTGACTCGATTGGCTACATTACCAACAGCACCGCTCGGTCCGCCCATAGTCATGGTTGTATTTCCCATGCCACTCAGAAGAGCTTCTTCTAATGCTGACTGAGTCACGCTTGCATCATCGAGGTCACTAAAACTGCTGCCCATGCTTGGAGATGATTCTGATCCATGGCCGCCATGATTACCTGCTCTACGTAGTCGAGGAGACAGGCCTGCCGCCGCGGCGAGTGCTGCTTGTTGTCGCGGTGATAGTGGGTTGGGTAGATTCTCACGCCCTTGTTGACGATGTTCAGCACTCCTCGGACGAGGATTGGCCTGATTCTCTGACGTTGAACTTGTGGATGATGTGAGCTGGTCATTTGATGTCGATTGCTGAGGTAAAATTCGTTCTGAAGTGCTTCGACGATGAATTGATGGTCTTGCCGTTTGTGCCATGCCGCCTCGTAGAGTTGCTGCAGGGTCACGGCTCGTGCTTGAGTCAGCCTTTGTGGTGTCGCCAGAGGTTGTAGAGAACGGCAAGAAGGCGGGCGTATCGTCTTCGTCCTCTTCGTCAAGCTGAGGTGCGGACGGCCTTCGCATGTGCTGTGGCTTTCTACCTGGGGCTGTTCGTCTGGAAGCAGCAGGATTTGGTCTTCGATGTAGCATACGAGATTGTGTCATATTTTCATCCGAGGACGAGTCAACCTCATGCACCACTTCTTGTCTAGGAGATTTAGTGTTCGGTTGCTGAATACTGCCTCGTCTTGAGTGCGTCCTACTACCAATTTCATTCTCCTTGGAAGTTCGCCGCGACAACGGCCTCGATGCTGTCGACTCCGCCTTTGGGTGAATTGGCCCACCCTGTGCGACTGTTCGTGCAGCGAACGATGACTTACTTCTATTGGGTGTGCCTGGGGTGCTCGATTCAGCTGCAGCAGGTTGTGTCGCTGGACGAGATGGAACTTTGAAGCCAACACCACTACCTGTCCTTCTCAGAGGTTGAGTGCTAACGACGCTTGCTGTATTCGAAGAAGGTAGAGGCGATGCAGTATTAGATGACCTTGACCCCATGCGTCTCATCTGTGCACGGACTTGAGATAGTTGTCGTTCGTAAAGCCATGCCGCTTGCTGCAGTAAAAATGCCTGGGTGACTTCGAATCGTTCGGCGAGTCCCCTCCAGTCGATCTCGTGACCTTTAGAGGACTTGGATAGTACCTCCCAAAGATCTCTTTCCTTAGCTGCCGACCACGCTACTGGAGGCGGATCTATGAAGTCGCCTCTGGCGAATGGCAACCTGACAAAGACTGTGAAATGATCTTCGCGGTCGCCCATAGCTTAATAATTGAGACTATTGAAGCGTGGTGACCTTCCAAGAAGTTGAAGCGGTGCTGGAGCAGGTTGGCTAATCTTTACTGGGTTTCCATGAGCTGAATGGCCCTGTGCTGATATCTATCGTGATAAGTGTGAAAACTCGGCTCCTAAGGCCTGCGAGGCGTTCATTGATCGGCGACCCTGCAACAGGAGCAGTACACGGATGAGTTGCGGTGCAGTAACGGGTTGTGGTCACTCGTGTTGTACAGGCCATCTTGCCGGTTAAAAAGAACAAAAAGCATCAACAGCGGTCAAATCGTCACTCTCAAGTGAGGACCTCTTCTGAAGCGTTCATAAAACAGCATCATAGGCGATTTTCTTTCTCTGCCGTCACTTCAAATATACTGAGATCAGTCCACAACGTCGCGAACCACAATTTCATCTCAAGACATCTAGTCCACACGAGGATCACGATTCACGGCCATCAAGTATCGATCTCAATGGACATTGATCTATTCGTAAGGTGAATAACCACAAAAGGCATTGAGACGAGTCTTCACGATGATAGTCAACGTAATTCATGCAAGGACTTGATGTAATATAATTTGCTACTCGAAACTGGGTTGCTGGCTACACCCGAGCTCGATAATTTACAGGTTTCTACGTATATCTTCACACTCTCGAAAGCTGGCCTGAGGTATATCATGTCATCAATCAACCTTATACGCGTCCTGGCTTCACAGTGGCAGCTTTGAGAAAGTGGAAACTATACAGGTACCATCAATCAGGCGTGATTTCACTAGCCATGAGTGCAACACGTTTCCGTGTCGCTGAGGAACGCAAGTGGTAAGCAGCTAACACTGAAAGCTATCGAATCCCAGCTCTGCACTACTACAATTTGTATAACCTTCACCAACACTATCCCAACGAACAGCATATGGACATCTTCTTGTGTATTCTCTCGTGTTTCGTTTTGCTTCACTCGTATGTTCCTTCTATACAAACAATACCAGCATCCCTCTGTGGCTATTGTCGCATGCTATGGACGTAGCACACGACGCCTCATCCTGATATTCAAATCACCTCTCGCATCTCGCGTCTCGCTGTTTACGACGAAAACTTCACTGGCACCTACGACTTCTCTAATGTGCACGACGTTCGAGTGTACATCGTGCGAGAGGGTGTTCCTCCATCGGTGCAAGAACGTCGCCTTTGAGTCCAAGGAGGCATGTCCTGATCTTATCACGACTACCGAGCCGAGGTCGTGCGAGCCTTGCGCAGTCGTCAACGGAGCGATTCAGCAACTTTGTCTTCTTGTCTACCGCGCACCCTTCTTAGAGACGGACGGCATGAGTGGGATTGACAATCACGAGGAGTGGCAGAGAGAGGACTACAGGAGGCTACTCACGAAACCTAAGAACCACAAGGGCTTGCAGGATAGAGTCGAATCGAGAGCGGAAAGACACACTGTGGCTGAGAAACTGGTAGCAATGGGACTGGACGGTGTCGAAGATGTACACGAAAAACACCAAGGATTCACCATTATTTTGACACCCCCGAGTTGTTCCAAGAACAGCAACAAAGAAAACGAGCGACCACATACTGAGAAGAGTTTCGACGATCTATGAGGCAGGCAAGGTGTGAAGACAGGTAGAGGATTGATGTGTACCATAACTGTAGGATGTGACGATGCTGTCTAAACAAATACTTAATATCCTTACCATGACCTCGCATACTGATTGTGTTTGTCCCATAGCTCCTCCAGGAAAAACAGGAGAAAATGGCTGAAAACGAACTTATTAGGCAACAGAGCTTCTTGCTGCTTCACTCGTTTGTCGTGTGTCCTTCTTTCCACATCGGTAGTTCGTTGTTGTTAATACACTGTTACTCTGGGGTCACGACCTATGACATTTCAGCTTCATGTTTGGTTGTCACCTGGCTATGGATCTCCAGCAGCATTACACATGGTATGAGTTGCATACAGCATGGGCGATATGGCAGCTCGCCTGTGCTCAGGTTGAGACCTTCGTCAAAAGAACGAGGAGACAAAAGATCCTGACAGTTCGCTAACCTCTCTGGGCAAGGTTGAAGCTACCTTTCTGGGACTGGATTATGCGACACAAGGTTTCCCTCCCACCTTGGTGACACGGCGCAGCCAGCATGAATGCTTCGGCGTCTTGTGAAGCTTGGACGTAGCACAAGGAACTTTTGCTCACCAACGTGTTCGGTGTCAGTGAGGCCACTCGAGGAGACCGTGACGTGAGGTGTGAAGCTTTCCAGCAAGACCTTCTTTCAAACGAAGGTGGAGGAAGTTGCTCCAAGGCCACCCTTTACCGGTTGGCTGGTTCGCCCTGCCCCATTTCAGGCATGGTGGCTTCCCAAACCAGCTCGTTTTGGCGTCCCGCGCGTCCACTCGTCTACCAACCTCTTCCTGCGCGAAGCTTTGTCATTGGCACATAGATAGTCGTATTGGCGTCGCATGTTGCATGAACTATCTTCCTTTGCGACAGGATCGTCTCACGTTGATCAGATGGAGACAACCTGAAGGGGTGGCCGCAGAAGTGCTCTACATGCGCTTCTTACTAACTTGTGTAAAATCCACCACATCCATGCTGAAGCTGTCGCAAAGATATATTGCCATGCTGTTGTCTAATTTATGAACCTTGCCTGAGAGATCAACCTCATCGCGATCGTGGGTTGATTCTCTGTTCCTCTTACATTATGTTTAGCAATTTACACGCTCCACGAGGTGATCGTGCCAGGTCAAAATCTCCAGGTGGACGTACTGCCCGAGCCAGCAACGACCATTTTGCAGCTGCCGGCGACGACCGGCGACACCGTAAGCCCTCGCGAAGCAAGTACAGTGAGTCAGAGTCAGAAGGGGACGACTATCCTGAGCCACCTCAATACGAGGATCGCACCCCAGATGCGTATAACGCGCGATCAGACAAGGAAAACCTTAGACGTCAGAAAGAGGAAAACGAGTACGAGTACAGCAAGAAAGGAGGAAACAAGTACGCTGCTTCTGGGATAGAAGACGTGAAAACGGCTGGTAGTCGAAAGGGACGAGATCCTTACGCAGATTATGCTGGAACACCACAATATGCGCGCGGGAACGGTACTGCATTCACGAACGGCGACTCCTTACAATATGCTGCCTTCCCTGGTACTGGTACAATCCCAGGTGGGTTTCCTGGACAATCAGTCAAGCCACCACCTAGTCCGCAACCTCGTCCCATAGGAACACGATACGAAGATGTAGGAAAAGTACGGTATGCTCAAATTGATCCAAACAGCATACAATATAACTACAACAACGGTACTCGTCAGCCGTCGTACGCGAAGGCCTACGATGGTACTGCAAATCCCACTCGACCCCCAGGTACAGCACAAAGGAAGGCATACAACGATGACAACTACGCGACAAGAGAACCAGTACGTCCAGCAGGTAGCAGACATGGTACCGATGAGAGAGTCAAGACTTTGGGCGAATCTGGCAGACGACAAAGCTATCATCGTGAAAGGTCGAAATCGCCAGCACCGGGAAACCCGGCTGGATTTAGTACAGAACAACTGCGAAAAAGCCTTGGACGACTATCAACCAGCGGCGTGTCTGGAGCCAATCTGGGTGTAGCTGGAGCAAGTCTAGCAGGTGGTAGCAGACCGCCAGCATCGCCACTTCTCGAGGCCTATAAAGGCACATATCAGACTATTTCTCCACTTCCCTCACCATTGACGGCCGCTAGTGGCAGGAGAGATGAGGAAGCCATGTCAGATTTTGACCTCAGTGACAGTGATGACTCAGATGAGGAGATATCTCAGCAGATCAAGGCCCTGAAACGGGAGAGGCAAGGTATAGCTGGTAGGAACGGCAGATCGCCGAAGACATTGGACTCAAGGCTTGAGACTGGTGGGTCGAAAGCACGAAGACTATCTAGCAATGCGATGGCAGTTGCTATTAGGCCCGAGAAGAAGAAGGCTGTTTCTTTCTATAATCCAGACAAGGATGCTGAGAAGATCGCCGAGGCTTTAAAAGGCAACCACAGAACGCCTGATGTGAAGCCACTTCTCAAGATCCTCCCATGGCTTACCACGGACGAGATTACAACACTCAAAACAGCTTATAAGAATTTCGCCAAGATCAATGGGCAAGGCATCAACCTTAGCAAACATATTAAGGCACGTTTTCCTGGTGGCAATCTCGGCAAAGTGCTCTATGCGACAAGCTTAGGAAGGTACGAGGGCGACGCATACTGGGCAAACTGTTTCTATCAGTCTGGTGCATCCAGGCGGGAGCTGCTAATCGAGTCGCTCTGTGGCCACAGCAACGAGACCATTCATCAAATTAAAGACGTGTTCAAGGACAAGAGGTACGACGATGATCTTGAAAAGTGTATGAAAGCTGAGTTAAAGGCGGACAAATTCCGCTTCGCCATCTTGCTTGCTCTTGAAGAACGTCGACAACCTGAAGGCCTTGGTATTAATATGCGTGATGTCCATGAGGATGGAGAGGATCTGCGTGATGCTCTGGCAGGAGCAGGCGGAGAAACAGCAATGATCAAGATCATCATGACCAAAAGTGACGACCATTTGCGTGAAGTGATGAGGTATTATGAAAAGAGTCACAAGCGGAATTTTGCAAGAGACATGATCTCGAAGTCTCAGAACCTGGTGGTAAGTAAGAGCCCGAATGCATACGGAATTGACACTAATCAACGTTGCAGGGCGAAGTATTAGCTCACATCATCAACGGAGCTCTAAACCGACCTATGCGCGATGCCATGCTATTGCACCAAGCTATAGAAGAATTTGCGCCTCCTGCTCAATATGGTCGCTCCCCATCACCTACTGCATCGAAGCCTAGTGCAGGCCGGGCAGAACTCCTGATATCGAGAGTCGTCAGACTGCACTGGGATTCTAGGCACCTCGAGAAGGTAAAGAGAGCCTACGAAGAGCGGTACAGAGAGACTGTGGTTAATGCTATTCGTCGCGATGTCCAAGGCGGCATGAAGACTGATGATGGCAAAGCATGGGCTGCCTTCTGTATGGACCTGATCAGAAGCAGTGAGGCCTGAGCAAGATCAGCAAGTTGTGGTCTATTGACCATGCGCCCTCATGTTTGTATATCATAATTCGAGTAGCTACGCAAGATCTACCATTAGCGACTGTCGTGCTTACAGAATTGGAAAATGCAAGCTCGCAATAATGAATTTGGCGCCCCAAAGTCTCGCTTCGGCCCGCCAAGTAGTAGGGTTTCGGCTAGCAGATCTGGGTTCGTAATGCCACGACTTGGTGGCTCTGGGCACGCCCGGACGAGTTGAACGACTTCCCCTGTGTTTGTGTTTGTTCGCCTCGTGGATGCAATTCTCAAGCTAGAAGCATCGCAGCGTCTGTAGTTGGAATCGGACAAAGACAATACCTGCCAGGAAAATGAACCAGCGGTAGTCAGCAACATCCTGAGGGCCACCCGGCACCTCCCTGATCACAAGCGATTGCAACAACTACCATGCCTGGCGACGAGAAATACACCTTCTCCTACCTTGCACCTTTACCGTCGTACGATGAAGCAATCTCGTCGAGACCCTCGTCTTCCAATTCAAACCTCGGACCGCAAGAGACAAGTGACGATGCTGAAAGGCAAGGTCTCCTACATGAACACAATCTAGACAGCGACCAAACACGACGCAGCAACTATGCTCCTCCCACTGCCGAGTCTGAGCGAGGCTCACTCGACTCCCTCGATGGACTCGACGCAGACGAAGACGAGGAAGCTTCTGTCCGCCGTGAGATGCAGGAGATGGACATTGAGGATCCAACCGATAGCGACTCGAACCGAAGCCTACTCTCCGATCGATTCAAGCGTTTTACTTCCTTCACCCACTCTCTACCCTCGATAAGGTTACCCTCGTTACGGTGGTTGCTTCCCTCCTGGCGACCGCGCATGCCTCAGATAGATTGGCAAGCCATGGACAACAATCGTGCCATCATACTCGGAAGACTGGTGGGGATATTCATTATTGGTGGACTACTGTATGTGCTGATAGCGTCGGATATTATTGGCTTTGGGAACAGGCGCAACATTTACATGTTCAAACCGGATAGTATAAGAAACTACGTTATGGATGGGATACAAGAGTCTGATAACATACCGCGATATTTACAACGGATTACACAATACCCACACATGGCTGGAACCGAAGGCAACTATGTGCTTGGGGAGTGGGTGGAGGAAGAATTCAAAGCTGGAGGTTTAGCTGACGTGCGTATGGAAAGATTTGATGTCTATCTGAATTATCCTAGCAAGGAAGGAAGAAGAGTGGCAATAGTCGAACCTGAGAATCTTCAGTGGGAGGCCAAGCTCGAGGAGATCAGAGAGGAGACATATGTGTTTCATGGACATAGTGCTAGTGGAGATGTGACGGGACACCTGATTTATGCCAATTATGGCTCGAGGCAGGACTTCGAAGATCTCAAAAGCAAGAATATACCTTTGGAGGGAGCGATCATTTTAGTAAGGTACTACGGCACACAAGGCGATCGTGCACTGAAGGTGAAAGCAGCTGAGCTGGCAGGTGCAGCGGGCTGTATTATCTACTCGGATCCTGCTCAAGACGGGTCACTGAAAGGGCCAGTGTATCCAGATGGGAGGTATATGCCGCCTGATGCTGTTCAGAGAGGCGCTGTCAGTCTGATGTCATGGGTTGTTGGTGATGTGTTGAGTCCTGGTTGGGCCTCTACCTCTGGCGAGCCCAAGCGTCTGGATCCAGCGGAGAGTGAAGGACTCAACAAGATTCCTTCAATACCACTATCGTGGCGAGATGCGCAACATTTGCTGTCAAATCTAAAAGGTCATGGCCAAAAATTAGATGGTGAATGGGTCGGCGACTCTAGCGTTGAATACTGGACTGGCGATGCAACATCACCCAAGGTGAATTTGAGGAACCTACTGGAAGAGGAGCGGAGACAGCCGATCTACAACATCCTTGGCCGGATTGAGGGTCTCGAGCAGCATACGAAAAAGATAATAGTCGGCAACCATCGTGATGCATGGTGTACCGGCGCCGCTGATCCAGGCAGTGGCACGGCTGTTATGCTTGAGGTAATTCGACAGTTTGGTGAACTACAGAAGCAAGGTTGGGCACCACTGAGAACTATCGAGTTTGCCAGCTGGGACGGTGAAGAGTACAATCTGATTGGTTCTACTGAACATGTCGAGAATAGATTAGAAGACCTCAAAAGAGATGGCGTTGCTTATATCAACCTGGATACAGCTGTTAGTGGAATCGACTTCCACGCTTCAGGTTCGCCTATGCTCGAGAAAGCTCTCAAGAACGTTTTGGCACGAGTCGCAGATCCCGGCACAAACAAATCACTTCACGAAACATGGGACCACGAAGGACGATCGCTCGAAGGACTTGGTGCTGGTAGCGATTATGTTGCTTTTCAGGATATTGCAGGTGTACCTTCGCTTGACCTTGAGTTCAGAGGGCAAGAGTTCCCCTATCACAGTTGTTACGACAACTACGAATGGATGATCAAGTTTGGTGATCCAAACTGGTACTATCACAAGACAATGGCTCAGGTATTGGCCCTGGTCATCCTCGAGCTTTCGGATCACGCTTTAATTCCACTCGATTTACAAGCTTACAGCAACGCACTCGGCGGTTACATTGACAAACTCGAAAAAGATGTCAATGGTGATAGTACAACGTCCCACAAGCTTGATGTTCAGCCACTGCGGTCAGCAGCTGACATCCTCGAGCAAGAAACCGCCCGCTACATGGACTTTGATAATGAATGGCACAGCCAGATATTCGCCACAGGTGGGTTTGAAACCAGCTTCCTGGGCCTCAAGCGTATGGAACGCAATGCTAAGCTGGAGCACTTCGAAAAGACATTACTCGACGATGTAGGCCTGGTCAACAGAACACAATTCAAACATGTCATATTCGGACCACAAAAATGGAGTGGTTACGATGAAGCCTTCTTCCCAGGCGTCAGAGACTGGGCCGAAGTTGGCGATATGCAGAAAGCACAAGAGGAGGTGCAGAAAGTCGCAGACATTATCATCAGCGCTGCGGCACAGTTAGGATGAGCTGTGCTAGCAGAAGATGTGATTTCAGGCGTTCGTTATTGTGACATAGCGCTGGCGTCGTGGGGATCGTTGAATATTGTGTATACGGACAACGACACCAATATAGCTGTAGATACCGTTTCCATTTAGAAGGCACTTCTGTCTGTGCTCAATTTGACCTTTTCCGGACCACTTTCAAAGGGAACACGTGATCTCGTAGTTCGTCGTGAATTCTTGTGTAGTGAAGGAACACGTTCTACAAAACAAAACAGCTCGTAAACGACTGAACAATGCTGAACCCTGCTATGTCAAATACAGAACTCTCAAAGTGACGCGAGAACAGTATGCTGCGATCGACCCAGGAACTGTCCGACAAATCTCGAATATAAATCACAACTAGGTCAAGGACTACGAATCACACCCCCAGCCCAGGTTCGGCTCATAATGTCAACAATAGACTCCTTCCTCCAACAAATCCAACACGGCATAACCACCCACAACGGCCGCCGCATAGCAGACTTTCTCGTCCTAAACTTCGACAATCTCGACCCAGAGAAGCAGAAACCCTACCAAGATCTACACAATGAACTCAACTCGCGCTACCCGACAAACAACAACAACAAGGACGCGCAACTATCTAACAAGGTCAAGAACAGCTTATCCTCAGAAGCGTTACGGAGCATCCATAGTCCGTTCTGTGAGGCTGTGATAGGGTATTTTCGCTATGTGAGGGATTTTGCTGGGGATTCGGGGTTGTTGAAGGCGAGGAAGATTGAGAGGGTGACGAAGTATGTATGAGCTGCTATACGTTTCCCATCGATATGCCATGTCAAGAGGATGTTCTTGCTGACTTGCTGTCCTTCTGCTTCTCAGACAATGCATCGCAGCTCTACGCGAAGACCAGCCTGGTCCAACAATGATCCCGGTAGTTCTCTACCTCACCAACGTCCTCCGCCAAATCTCAATCAACCTCGATCGCGACCCTGAATTGCGCGGCCTCAACAGCGGTGACGGCTCAACTACTTCCTCAATCGGTGGCAGCGGCGGCGGCGACGACGACAACATCTCAATAAGCTACGTCGAGCAAACGGGCAATACCCTCCGCGAAGCATTTATGAAAATCGTCAAAGTTACAAATCCAACTAACCGAACAATACCGCCGGCGCCGGACCACCTCCTAAGCGGTTTGTATCTCATGCTTAACTCCTGTATGCGCATCTACCAACATGCTGGGAAGTTACGAAATTCCGAGTCAATTCTGCAGCAACTCGAGCTGCGGTGTCCGCCCATTTCGTTTTATCCTGCTGCTCAGCGCGTGACGTTCTTATACTATTTGGGGTTATTCTATTTCACCAGCAATCAGTTTTACCGGGCTCTGCTGTGTCTTCAGACAGCGTATGATATGTGTCCGAAGCGAGCGTGTAATACGCAGCGACAGATGATATTGATTCACTTGCTGGCCACGAATATCTGTATAGGTCGATTACCGAGAAATATACTACTCTATGATCTCGCGGCACACCCGATCTCACGCCCGTTCGCGGAATTAAACCAGATCATCAGAAATGGTGATATTGGACGCTTCCACGTCTTTATGGATTACACCCTCCCTTCACCGCTTTCAGATAGCGCAGACTGGCTTCTGCGCAAACGCGTGCTGCTGCAGTTGAAGAACAGGTGCGAGATCCTGGTGTGGCGGAGCTTGATCTACAGAGCTACGAAGTATGCCGGGTTTCTTGGCTCGAGCGAAGAAGGACGACAAGCTAGCATGCCATATGTACGTTACTCGCACATCCATCAAGCTGCGTGCATCTCGTATGCGAGGGCGAGACAAATGGTATATGACACGACTGGCGGGTCAGTTGACTTGAACTCTGGCTCAGACAACGAATATATTGACCCTGAGTTCGTGGATTCCGGATACAGTAGCGACGAACACGACAATTACCACGAGGCGGGTGGTGAGGCCTGTTACCATCAGCCGGATCACACTGGACTGCACGATCCGACGCCCGAAGAGATTAATGGTGTCTTTTTGTCGTTGATTTCTCAAGGACTTCTAAAAGGGTTTGTGCACCATTCTTATCCGGATTTATTACAGTCGAGGTTTGCAATACCGGGTGTGAGGAGGCCACAGAGTAAAGCTTTTGATTCCATAGCGACGCAGGCAGGTCATACGTGGAAGGATGTTGGTTTTCCCAGTATTTTTGAAGTCATACGAGAAAGAGAAGAGGCCAGTGATGGTGGAGTGGTCCCAGGATGGGTTACAGAGGAAAAAGCGAAGAGGAGTGGAGGAAGAGTTATCAACCTCACGGGTGCGAGGGCTGTTGGTCAGTGACTTGTGTCTCAGGAAAAATACCGATGAGGAAAGAACAATCAATATTGGACCAATTGATTCAAGCTATCCTTTGGCTTTGACCTTGGGCGTGAAAAAAGCCGACATCTTCTTCATGCCTTTTACATCCACCTTGGCCAACTGCTTGACACCATGGCTCGTACTTGCCTTTTTCCGTTTCTCTTCTTCTTCCAATTTTCGCTTCTTTTCAGCTCGAAGCTCGGCTTCCTCGTCCTCTTCAAGACCGCCTCTTTTGCGTGAGAAAGACGCCAGATCCGAAGATGCTGCGGCTTGTGCCCGAAGCTTCGCAATATGGTCGAGATGCTCGTTGAGAGGTGCAAAGTCAATTCCTGACACAGTGTGGTCCTGCAAAAGGGCTAGCAAAGTGCTAGACAGAGACGAAGAGAGATACGATGTCGTAATAAACTTGAAGGCTGTGAGGAGTCGTTGCAGATGCTTAATGGTGGCAGGAATGGTTGATTCTGGTACTGTGGCTGTCAGGGTTGTGGTAGTGGCCACTGAGGCTTCAGAGAAGACGACAGACGGTGCTACACTTGCTGCAGAAGATTGTGAGTCAAAGCTCTGATAAGGGGTAGGTGTCGATGTTCGGCTCGCTGAGTCCTGGGGTTCTGGCTCTGTGTTTGAAAGAGAGATGGTGCTCTCTTCTCTCCTGACACTCAAAACTGGCGCTTCGAGTGTTCTTGTAACGAAACGATCCTCAAGACTGGCTGGTAGCCGAATGTCTACGACTCTTCGTGCTTTGGATATTATATTATGCAAAGTTTTGGTCTGGCTGTATCTGAACATTTTCTCGTCTCCTGCTTCGACAGTATCACAGATACTTTCAAGCGCGTCTTCCACTAACTTCCTATTGTGTTGTAGGACATATTTCAAATCGTATGTTTCCACATCGGCTGTGTCTACGAGGTCGTCCATGGACTGAAATAGGCTACTCCTCCCTGATACCAACACCAATGGTAGTAAAGTGAAGGAGATATCGTAGGGTGTCGCAGTCATATAATCAGCATTTTTATTGACATAACCAGAACTGACACCAACTTTCTGGGGTGCACTTGTGGTCGTACTGTTGGATGGCGCGAGTAGTATGCTTCGAGGGTCATGTTTCGGCACTTCAATTTTCCTCAGCTCATGGATACCAGTCTCGCGACAGAACAGGAATCTTCTAGGCCTTGCACTCTCTGGTTCGGAAAGGGTGAGAAAGCGCGAGTTTGCAGATGTGTTATGAGGTGCTATCACTAGCCGAAGCGGCTCCGTGGTTGGTCTCGATGGTTGCGTTGACGTGGTCTTCGCTGAGATTGTGACGGTCTGTCTTTTCACTGGACTGCTCGAGGCTGATCTTGTCTGTACCATGTTTGCTGGACTGTGAATCTGCTGGCGAGAAGGACAATTATCTCGGCACGGCCTCGAGAAAGCATGGACGACACGAGTGTGACGCGCCGAGACGCGTCTGCCAACGCGTAAAGATCTCGCCGATAAACATCCCGAGAAAGTGTAACAATCCGGACGTTGATGTTTCCTACCAACCCGGAGATGCTTAGCTTCTGCAGTGTTCCGAAGGCTGCGAAGTGACGGATCATGAGGAAGAGCAGGTATGATCTTGGATGGGCACGACTTACCACAACAATCTAGTGCCTGCGTCGGGCAACTGAAAGAAAGATATGGTAATTATGGCAGTTGCTGAACAATGGCCGCCCAGATCACCCATGAAAGCACTGCTTAGTTCACCTAGTGGTAAGAAAAGATACCGCGAATACCAAAATCTACCTCAGCCTTCATCCTCTCCCAAAAAACTGCTAGGCTCACCGTCACTGCTTGAGAAATTGCGAGCAGCGAAGGTAGATCGCGACCATGAGTTTCTGCAACCACAGAAGGGTCAGATTGAGGAAGATGACGAGGACGAGGACGAGGACGAAGAGACATTGCGGCTGAAGCTAGATGCGATCGAGGCAAAGTTGAAGTTAAAGAAGTTACAGCAACAAAAAGCAAAGGGTGTTGAGAATATTCGTCCAGAGGATTCGAGAACTACGGTCACGACATCTTCTATTACAGGCCCGAATGTGGAAGTCGCACTTTCTCCGACTAAGCGCACGGCCGTTCCTTTCCTTCCAAAATCACCAAGCCGTATTCGCTTGGGTATCGATAAAGGTGTGAGTGCCGGAGATGTGTCCCTCAAAAGAGCCAAAACTATCAATACCAGCCCTGCAAAGCAACGTCTTCACCACGTCGACGGACGCCCCTCCAAGCAGTCATCAAGCCATGTTCAGTCCTCGACCACAAGGCCAGCCGGAGCACCTTCTGCTCATCCAAAATCATTCTCAGATAGAATGGCTGAGATGAGAAATCGGGAACGATCTCGAGATCAAAAGTCATCAGCCATGCGAGATGCTAGAGCTTCGCGCTTCAATGTCGGTAAGACCGAACTTGCGAGCTACCATGCTGCGTCCGAGGCTGCTTCGAAGGTGGGAGACCCAACACAGAATATCGAACGAGATGAGCAGCCCAGCCACAGTCAACAGACGCCTCCACCCCCTTCAAGGTCGATAGAGCACTCGCATAGTATGCCAACACTACGATCTTCCTCACTTGCCAAAACCACCTCACAGTTACCACCCTCGACAAATTGCTCCCCAGCCCAAAACGCAAATAGAAAGGGAGATCCTGCTCTGTTCGAGGATTTCTCTGGAACACACCTTGCAACACGCATCCTGCCACACACCTTCTTGAAACGCACATTGCCAACAGATCAGTTCACCATATACAGAATGCCCAAGCTTTTGAAAGATGTAACGTCGCCTGATTACCAAATGCCAGACGAAGTCACGGATTATGTCGTTTTCGGTATCATTGCTCACATGTCTCTGCCTCGCAATCACAAAGCCAGACAGGCTGACAAGAACACGGTATCTTCAGCAGAATGGGAAAAGAAGTGGAAAGATGGCAGTACCAACAACCAAAAGTTCCTTGTGGTCACTCTGACCGACTTGAAGTGGTCAGTTGAACTTTTCCTCTTCGATACCGCTGTACCACGTTACCATCGACTCACGCCCGGTACTCTGATAGCAATCCTCAATCCAGGTATCATGCCCCCAAAGAAAGGTCTCGAAGACACGGGTGCCTTCTCCTTGACACTGCACGACGGTGAAGACCAGATCCTCGAGATTGGTAAAGCAAAACATTTCGGATACTGCAAGGCTGTAAAAAAAGACGGTCACAAATGTCCACAATGGGTCAACGTCTCAAAGACACATTATTGCGAATTCCATGTCAACGCTCAAATCAATCGAACACGGAGTTCTCGTAGTGGAATCAACTCAATGGACGCCTGGCAACCAGACAAACCTCCCCAAAAGCAATCACAAAACCGTAAAGGTTTCGACCACGAATCGCAATCCTTCTACTACTCTGTTGGTGGAGTGAAACCACAAAAGCAAAAAGAAGATCGATGGAGTTTTGCTCCCACAGCCAACTCAAGCCTGAGCACTGCAAAGCTACTAGATGCCTCCAACCTCGACGATCCTTACCTAGCCGAGGGCCAAATGTTAGAAAGAGACCAGCAAGACAGACTTCGAAAGCGCATGGCTGACATGGCACGAGAACACGAGATTGTGAAGAAACTAGGCGCTTTTACAGGTTCCGCTGGTGGTCAGTACATGAAACAAAGGACAGATGAGACTGATATATCTCGTTCTGGTCCCACATCGAAACCTAAGGAGAATCCTGGATCCGGTATCACCAAGGACGATATCCTTGTTGGTCGTCCTGGTCAAACGACGAGCAAGAAGCGGACGGCGGAAAGTGTTCGGCTGAGTCCCGTCAAGAAGAAGACTAGATTTTTGATGGAGACGGGTATTAAAGAGGCTGGTAGGGAGAGTCTCGGGCCTAGTGCTGGATTTGATGATGAGGACGACGACGATGACTTGGAAGTTATTTAGCGAGGCAGGCAATCATAAAGGGTTCTGCTCCTCTTGGGCTCTGCCACATTATTACTATTGATGAGATGAATCTGCTTGACGCGATCACAACAGAAGAACATCCATAATCTTTACGCTTATGCTAAGTCTGCCATCATCATACACTGCTGCTTTTAGAGCCTTGGAAATAACAATCAAGTAATGCCAATCTATGTGCCAAATATACCAGTCCTACCAACCACAACATCTCCTACTCCAACCTCGGCATATTCACACTGCTCTTAGTACCTGTCGCATCTTCTGCTCTCCACAAGCTCGTCACCGTCTTCCATTGGGTATAAAACCTCAAACCGTCCTTTCCATAAAAGTTTGATGCACCAGTTCCAGCGACTGATTTCTTATTACCGGTAAAGCTGAACATTGGTAGTGGGACTGGGATAGGAACGTTGATACCTAACTGGCCAGCTTCCATCTCTTTCTGGAACCGGGTTGCTGTTGAGCCGGATCGGGTGAATACTGCAGCGCCGTTTCCGTATTCGTTGGCGTTGACGAGGTCGATGGCTTCGTCGATTGTGGCGACGTTGAGGCAGACGAGGACTGGGCCGAAGATTTCTTCTGTGTAGCATTTCATGTGTGGTTTGACGTTGGTGATGATGGTTGGACCGACCTGTAGGGACGATGTTAGCAAAGTGTAGAGGTGACATATTGTGAGAAAGTACTTACCCAGTTGCCGTTGGGATATTTCTCTGGTGCTTGTCCTCTGCCGTCAAGCAGAATAGTTGCACCCTCTTCCTCTGCAGAAGCAATGAGACTTTCTACTCGCTTCTTGCTTTCTGGGCTGATCAGTGGACCGAGATCTGCATCAGGCTCAAAGCCACCATTGATCTTGAGTGCCTTAGCTCTTTCTGCCAGCTCCTCTACCCAGTTTTGTGTCTCGCCAACCAGAACGAGAGTGCTGAGAGCCATACATCGCTGACCAGCAGCACCAAAAGCAGCGCCTGCGATCGAGTTCAGGGCGTGGTTCTTGTTGCAGTCTTCTAGGACGATAGCATGGTTCTTAGCACCAAGATTGGCTTGAACACGCTTGCCTTGAGCACTGCCTCTGGTGAAGATATACTCGCCTGCCTTATTTGAGCCGACGAAAGAGATAGCTTTGATAGCGGGGTCGTCGATGATGAAATCGACAGTCTTTGCGGAGCCGTGGACAATATTGACGACACCATCTGGGAAGCCAGCCTTTTTGCAGAGTTCGGCAATGATCATTGCAGCACCAGGATCTCGTTCCGAAGGCTTGAGGATCAGGCAGTTACCAGTGACTGTGGCAAGAGGGACGGACCAGAGCGGAATCATAGCAGGGAAGTTGAAAGGACAGATAGCAGCCACAACACCGAGAGGTTCACGGTAGGAGCGTGTCTCCATATCTTTAGCGACCTCGATGACTTCACCAGTGAGCTGTGTAGTGATACCACAGGCAGTTTCGACGACCTGCAGTCCACGCAAAACATCACCCTTTGCATCAGCAAAGGTCTTGCCTTGCTCGAGAGTAATGCTTGCTGCCAGTCTGTCCATGTTCTCCCGTACTAGCGAGGCCAATTTGAACATGATTTGCTGCTTGTGCATTATACTGGTGGCTCTCCATGCTGGGAAGGCTTTTTGTGCAGAATCGACAGCGGCTTTGAGCTCTTGTTCGGTCGACTGTGGGACGCGTGTAACTAGGTTGTTCGTTGCGGGATCGTTGAGGTCAATCCATTGTGAAGTTTGCGAAGGGACGAACTCGTTGTTGAGGAAGTTTGCTGTGTCTGGAGGGTTCTCGATAGCTTCGTGGTTCATAGGGTAGTCAGCAGTGGATACACCTTCAGCATAGGCTTGCGCCTGCTGGAGTTGCGAAGCTGTAGCATGAAGCCTGCGCTTTGCTGTCTGGTTTGATGAAGACATTCTTGAGAGGACTACTCTAGAAATCTGAGGTGATGCTCTGCGTGCGGTCAATGCGGGGATTGTGCGTAGGAGCGTTCGACGAGCTGCCATAGTGAGCAGACGTGTATCGGGCCGCCAGGTCAGCAGAGACGAATTAACAACCAAAATCTGTGCGCTGTACGTGCTTCCTGCTGTTCTGAGCTATTAAAAACCCTGCAACAGGTACTCAGACGACGAGCCTCAGAGCAGTTTTGTAATGCGGAGACCTGACCTGACTGACCTCAGTCGACACGAAGCTAGCGAAAATCGGAAAGGCCTGCTCACTTCCACCGAGGTAAGCGGAAGGAGGAGCCCGTAAATATCAGCTCAGCAAATTAAAACTTACCCCGGATCTCGAAAAATCGTGGTGCGTCTGCTCTTCTCTCCGAGCTGATACGTGACGGCCATGTCCGTCAATCGCAATACGATGTTGATCACCCTACGACAATAGAATTTATACAAGGACTAATCAGGAATTAAACGTTCGGATAAAATTGTCCTCAAGCGCTGAAGTTGACATGCACAATGCCAGCACCGGCTTCCTCTTCACCAGGATCCGACCGGCCATCTAGTCAGCTGTACAGGAAAGCATAACTAAAACCAACACAAATCGCGGTGTCCCATAAAGACAATTCTGACAAACCACCTGTAACTGATCCATACCGCTCGCGGTTGAATACCGGTCGTGGGCCATGTTCTGCCTCTGAGCTATCCGCATCATAATCATCTGTAATCGTGCCGCTATCATCAGCTTCATCTTCTGTCTCACTGTCCATTGGCGGCACCACGTCCATGAACTCGATTTCGAAGTCTCTCGAGATTCCAGCATCGCGAGTCGACCCATAATTTGTCCTGCTACCTATGTCCACACTCCAGTCGATCGGCGTCTTAGTGTTGATACTCATCTCAGCAACACCATAGGCAAGCTCCTCTCCTTCGTGTGGCACATCTCTCGATGCAGTTTCGGCCTCCATGTCGGCGTGGCCATACACGAGTCCGTCCTCATCCAGTCTCTCGTCTGCATTGTTTGTCCGACCATGCATTCATTCCTCGCCATATGCCAGCCCATCGTCCTCCTCTTTCGTGACGCCAAGGTAGTCGTATACGAGCCTCACCCTCTCGCTTTTGGTCCCGTCACTACTTCGTGACACAATCCGTCTGGTATAGTACCTCTTCCCCTGAACCTCTTCGAAGTTCCATACCTGCTCTGCTGACCACCCGTGCCCAGCATCCTGGTTCTTGACATAACTCTGCACCACTTCGTCCTCCAAGAACTTGCTCGCCGTTGTTCCATCCTTCAAGATCTTGCCCTGTAGAAACTGTGTATCGGATTCGTTGTATGGTTCGCACGGCTCAAAGGCTGTAGTTGACAATTTGACTAGCCGCGACCGACCTTTTACGTTTCCGAAGATCTTGTCTTTGTGTGGTCGGTCCTCCCAATCCATTGTTCTGTTCTCCTGCGTTGTGCTCAACCCCGAAGCGTTGGAGGAGATATCGATGTGGTAGAGTGATTTGTCGTCTTGATACTCTTTGATGGTGAGTGTGACCGTTGCGAAAGAGATTGCTTTACGCGTGAACCACGAGAGTCCTTGTAAGGCGAGCATCGAGTCTAGGTTGTCGGAGAGGCTCTTGTTCATGACGAACTTGCCATTGAGGGCTCGGTTGTTGGTCTCCTTGGGACACGCCATTGTCACGGTTCTTCTTGTCGTCAGGGTTTAAACTTGTAAAGTATAGATACAACTGAGTTAGGATGGTGTGAAGGTGTATAGTATATGCTGTGTATATGTTGATACCATGATCTCCGGCCAAGTCGACCGCGGCATCAGTTCGAGTAAACAATCGACGTCATTTGTTGATTCTAGTCTTTCCTGTAGCCTTAAGACTGGCCCAATCTATCGAATGAAACCGGCAATTATCTATTTCAAATGCTCAAGAGTCGAGACGCATGCATACTCCTGGTGTTTGCGACTTGACGACGTTCTATTCTGAGCAACGACCTTGACCAGCAGGATTTATGAACATGGCGGTAGCAATGCTACGAAAAAGGCTCAAGATCGGCTATGACCATCTTTGCAAGACATTCCGTGGAATTAAGCTTCCAAATAAATGATTCATAATGTTCAATTGGTATGGTCGACAAAACCGAAGGGTAGGTGCTACGCAGAACGTGAAAAGCTACCACGCCTTCATTGCTTTCTCTCGGTTCTCGACTGGTTAGGCAGCTATTGAGCACATAAATTTTCCACTGAATGTGAACTCATCATCAACCATACAGCAGAAACTGTGCACCAACTGAGTGCTTTTTCTCAAGTGCAAAGCATAATGCACAGGCATCAACAGATGAGGACCTGCACAGGGTATAAGTCCTGCGCTTCTCCTCGAGCTTTTCTGCTGGACAACTGAGACAGATACTACGTACTCGCCAAAAGCAACTAACCACTACAGCAACACAAGACAAGACGACAGTAAGCAGCACTTCCGATAACCGAACAACCCCAGCCTTATCTAACTCAAGCCAGAAGAAAAAGACATTCCATCAACATCACACCACATCAAACATGAAATTCACATCAACCACGGCCTCAGCAGCCGCTACCATACTCGCCCTCTCCAGCATCGCTTCAGCCGCTGCAACACCCTCAGACCTCATACAACCCCTCTTCAATACCACCAAGACCGCAAACATCTCCAGTGCCGTCTTCACCGATCTTCCTATTCTCTCTGTCCCTTCCCTAAACACAGCAACCACTCACATCACGGCCACCAAGAACATCTCCAAAGCCATCTTCACCGCCCTCCCCATCCTCTCCATCCCAACCACCCTCGTCACCGCCACGATCCCCGTCAACACAACTACCGCCACAACCATGCCTGCACCACACGTACACGTCCAAGCCGACGCCAAATCCGACTGGGAGGAGCTTCCCGCCGGAATGTCTATGGGGAAATGTATGGATACTCTACACGAGTGCGGGAAGAAGAAGGCTGGCGTGTGCTGGTTGGTTCCGGTGCTTAAGATGTGTAAGAACTGTGTTTGCTAGATAGAGGAGAGCTGTAAAGTGGAGAGTTAAACTGGGTTATTGGCTAGATGATGTGCGAGGCAGGACAAGGGGTTGTGTGAGGGTGACTTGGTACAATTGGGTGTAGTTGTTGATAGGCTGTAGTAAATGGCAGATGGGTTTCTCCTTCACAGATTTCCTTCCGTCGCTTGGTGTTACGGTGTGATGTCAATGTACATCCTAAGTGTGTAGTCTCTACGATACGCTTAGCACTCCGGCTATGGGAGATTTAGACTGAGTCAGGAAACAAATGTGGTACTATGAAGCCAGACTGCCGCTCACACAACACAAACTTGCTTATGTGGACATCGCTTTATACCTAACAGCAAATTGACTCACTTGACGTACTTCTTGACATACCTTCAACCAATGGCTGAATTGTTCCTGCACCTCATCCTCGCAATTCGCAGGTACTATCATAACTTTTCTTCGCACACCAATGTCATACTCTGCAGTGAAGCTGACTCAATGCGTCCCATTCACTTTCAACCCATTCGACTCTTCCTCCTTCCACGCAGCCTCCTCAAGCTTCTCAAAGTTGACCTGACCAGGCCGTACAGTAGCCAACGGACTGGTATTCAACTCAGCCTTAGGCGTCATCATCTCTCTCAAGGGGCTCTGATTGCCCGGAAGGTTCAGCTGCTCCAAGGCATGTATCTCGCTTTGGCTGAAGTCTCGCATATGTCTTGGCTTGAACGGTTTTGGTGTCGACACTCTGCTGGTTAAGAAGCTTGAGGCTGCAGATAGCAGGGCAATCAGGGAGGCTTGTACCACGTCTTCGTGGATACCGACGCCCCAGACCTTTTCTTGTGGATTACCACTTACCATGCATTCGATGTATGTGGCTGCCTTGACGTCCTTCCCTGCGCTGTTGGCGTCTTTTCCGGCACTGAGAGAGTGTTCCTTGTAGTCTGCGACGTCAAGGTCGATGCCGAGAGAGTGCAGAGCATTAGCCAGGGAAGAGATAGCACCGGTACCAACACCGACAAGAGGGTGTTGTACACCGTCAATAGCGATGACACCCGCAAATTGTCGTTTATTGCTGGACGTATTTTGTGCAGGCATAGCAGTCTGAGGTGGCTGGCCGACGCTTGTCTTGTCAGCGTCACTTCGAACGGCCGTGATATTGTAGTCGATAAGGGTGAATCTGGGGTTGCGCTTGAGATGGTATGCCTCCTCGAAGAGATGTGCAATCTCCCTTGGCAATAGTTCGCGGCCTTTCGCATCGGCCTCCTTCTGAATGATCCTGCTGAAAGTGACTTGCAGGCCTCTTGGCAGGTCCAGACCAAGAGAGTTCATGATAATCCAAGCAACTCCACCCTTGCCAGACTGTGAGTTGACACGGATGACAGCCTCGTAAGTCCGACCAATATCCTGTGGATCGAGGGGAAGATATGGCATCTGCCACGGATGTTCTGGGTCGTTGCCCTCCATTCTGCGGGTCTGGAAGCCTTTCTTGATAGCATCTTGATGTGATCCAGAGAAAGCACAAACCACTAGTTGTCCACCGTATGGCCACCTCTCATTCACAGGTATTTTGTTCGACTCTTCAACCACTTTGATGATCTTGTTGATATCACTAAAGTCGACTTCGGGATACACACCTTGCGTGTACAGGTTCAAAGCCAGAGTAACCAAATCCACGTTGCCTGTCCTTTCGCCATTGCCGAATAGAGTGCCTTCAACTCTTTCAGCGCCAGCCATCTGTGCCAACTCAGCAGCAGCAACAGCGCAACCTCGGTCGTTGTGGGGATGTACAGAGACGCAGAACTTCTTTCGTTCCGTCATGTTCGTGCAAAAATATTCGATTTGATCGGCATACACGTTTGGTGTGCTCATCTCGACTGTTGCAGGCAGGTTGAAAATGATAGGGTTGTCTTCTGTAGGCTCCCAAGCAGCTTTCACAGCCTCACATATCCTTACCACAAACTCAGGTGAGCTATCTGAGAATGTCTCTGGTGAAAACTCATACTGCCATTGTGTGCCTTGCGTGCTTGGGTCGTCCTTCGTGATCGATCTTGCATATTTCGTACACTTGACGGCCAGTTCTACCGATTGATCCTCTGTCATTCCAAACACTATCCTCTGAAAGCATTCGGAGGTAGCGAGGTATAGATGTAAAATAGCCTTGTTTGCACCCTTCAAGCTCTCCACAGTCCTCTTGATCAACTCTTCTCTGCAAGGTGAAAGAACTTGTAGCCATACATCGTCAGGTACAACACCCGGTGTCTCAAACAGACTGCGTGTGAAGTCAAAGTCGGTCTGCGACGCAGAGGGGAACGAAACTTCAATCTCCTTGTAGCCAATCTCTACCAGCATCTTGAAGAAACGAAGTTTCTGTTCGCCGTCCATAGGATCGACGAGCGACTGGTTGCCATCGCGCAGGTCCGTTGCGAGCCACCTTGGAGGTTTGTCGTTCGTCCTCGAAGGCCACTGTCGATTTGGTAGGTCTAGAGGTTTGAACTTGCGGTACTTCTTCCAGGGCTCTTTCAGCATAGGCATGTTTACTAGTGTGTTCTAGTGTCGTTGACCATGAAAGTAGAAGGAGGAATTAGCTGGGTAAGGTCTGCAGACCGTTCTTGCGCTTAGGTGAGTCATGAAAACGTCTGCTACGAGTAGTATTTGAAGAAAAATGTCACACCCACAATTGCAACGGCTAGGGTCTTTCCCGCAGTACGCTTGTTTTTGCTCAGGTACTCGGACATCACTGTGCAGATCAAAAGTGTGGGGTAAAGCTTCTGAGAAAATACATGTCGGTCCCTGCAGAAGAAAGCCGAGCACTCGAATCAAGCAGATAGGCGCAGGCAGACAATTCGTTTGCTCTGTTACAGTGTATATCCTATCGAAAGCTCAGGGTTTTATCAATAGCCATCCTGCTCTTGGAAGAAAGAGGACTGAAGTTTGCTGGTGGGATGAGCGTCGTAAGCAGAAGTCCTGCCGACCATCGGAGGTGCGAACAGCCGATCAGAATGCTAGCATTGACATGAGTATGTGCAGTGCTACCACACATAATAGTGTAGTATGGTTGTATACTCTATACTCAGCTGTCTCTTCCTTAATGTGCGAGGACGAGACTCGTACTCGTGATGCAGATCGTGTAGTATCGTATGCGTACGTAACCTTTGATAGCGCGATATTCTCCATACTGCTGCATTCTACTGGGACATTTATTCAATGCGTGACCTCAATAGTGCCGTCTTCGTCTTCCTCGCTACTATCCGACTGCTTCTCCGCAACACTCCTTTGATTGGCCTTCTTCGGCGTCGGTGACTTCTTGCATGGCGATGTTGACATTCCCCTGATACTTGCAGGTAGGCTGTCAGTGGTTAATTGAAGCACCGTTGGCGGTGACAATGTTCGTCTGCGCTTCGATCCGCAAGATGTTGACCTTTCGCTTGTGCCAGACTTCTGTAGACTGGGGAGCAATCCGGGAAATTCCTTGCTACTGCTAGACCACAAGTCTCCTAGAGTTGGTGATTCGTCCCACGACATGGCTGTAGAGTTGCCAGAGGTTGAGCGACTGCTAAGTGACGATTTGCGTGTTCCAGGAACAGAGCGTGCTTGCAGTGTTTGTTTGTCCAGGCTCTTGATAGACATGACTCGGCTATTTGGGACAGCACCGACCCCTAAGACCTCAGGTCTATCTGAAGGTGATAACGCATGCAGCAGAGCGGCACGTTTGGATGGTGTGAGTGCACGAATTATCTCCTCGACGTTTGCGCGGCCCACTTGTTGTTGGAAATTCGGTGGCTGTATGGCGACATCCGACATTTCGCTCTCGTTCTTTTTAGTAGGATAATCGGACATGGAGACATCTGTATGGGCCTTTCGCTGAGATCGTTCAAAGAAGCTCTTAGCCGTTACTGAAGGCCCTACAAAGGGATCATCCGCAACCAGAGCCTGTGCTGAGGACCAGGAGGCTGATGCGTGCATGCTGCCTGGTATTGGCATAGGGGTTTGTGCATATTGCTTGCCCGATCGCTGGGGTGAATGTGCGTGAGCCTGGAAATCAGACTGTGGTTTTGGCAGGATCTTTTTCTGGAACATGCGAGCGTTAGGCCAGGCAATGCCAGAGTGGTCGAGGATGTGTTGAGGAGCATGCTGGAACGAGAATGCCACAACGTCCCGAAGTCTACGGAATGCGAGTATATCGGAATTCACGTCTGGTCGCGCAATACCTTCTGCGATAACGAGACGAATGCGACCGAGGCCATCTCCTGCATCCCAGTGGGATTGCTGCAAGATCTCGGAGTGGAAGGGAGGAAATCGCAGATCTGTGGGAAACTCGGTCAACGGCGTGCTGGTATCACCTACCATTCATTAGCTCGTGTCTGCTCCTGACTCTATCCACCTACTGATGACCTCAGGCCAGGTACTGTTTTGTCTTAGCCAGCGCTGTGCCTTCAACGTTCCATCGATAAAAAGCTTTGCTTCGAAAGTGATTCGTTCTGGTGCTGGCTTGAAGCTCGAAAGTAAAGACGATGGTCTAGGCTTTTCCCAGCTATGCACAGAGACCCGAAAGGCGTGACCAGCGTCCAAGCTAGCGATGAAGCATGTCATAGTTGGTGTTTGAGTGATAGATGAGTTGTAGTCATTGCCGGCGGCGTTAATCAGTTTGGGAGATAATGGAGTATCTAGATAGGCGTCAGCAGTAAAACTAATACTGCTTCGAAGATATTACCACTTGCTGCAGGCAAGGCTTGACATTTAACGTCAAATTCTTGCACGGGCACCTTGGTGTCGTCTGGGAAGATGAGGATGTCCCAATTGAGGTAACGCATATTGAATCACGAAACAGGCGACAGCATCTAAGGAGTGACGGAAAGATCTTCAAAGGCACGAGACTGATCTCAACTCCAACCGGCATACTGCTTACTTGGATCGTGGAATGGAAGCTGCACTCCAACGGAGCACAAAATGCGTGTTCTGGAAGGTGTTCAGGTCGTATATCGTGGCTAGAAGGAGCGTTGATCTAGCCATGACCAGAGAAGTCGCAAGGGCCGTGCAACGTCGAGGTGAATGTGATGACCGAGGTTGTGTTCGAGCTGACGCGCTTTCCAAGAAGCTGACACAAGATTTGGTAGATCACCACTTACCTTGTGTCGAAAGTTCCTAGAGATCTCTATGTTAGCTATGATGGGATTACCTGATTCTCGTACAACCGATCAGTTCAATCCTGCAGATTTCATAGACTTCTGGAAAGTGGCCAAACAGGCAAACCTGTTTCGACGCAATGTATTAAATCACAAAATTTACTTCCGTACGTCCAACGTGCTCAGCACATGGCCATCGTAACACCAATGGGTATCGATCTCAACATTAGCAGTATATGAACAGTGCCACCATTACCCTATCACATTTCATAGACATGGTTCCAATAACGCTAGAAAGAACAATCAATAACACGCATCGCAATCAACGGTCGACGTCCAGGGGGCTAGTGGCAAGCTACTAATCTCCCTGTCCCATGCCGAAATCCCCACTAAGCTCAATGTCGTTAGTGAAGTTGAAGGTATCGTCGGCAGATGTATTCAAAAAGCTATCGAAGTCAAAATTTTCCAGCACTTCGGCATTTTCTAGTGTGCTGAAATCCAGGTTGAAAGGTTCTGTCCCAGTACTGGTAGAGTCGGTTCCAAAGTTAAAATTGTTCATGTCGTTCTGCTGCATCTGCTGGTTCATTAGGTTGTTTTGCTGACCTTGGTTTGATGGTTGCATTCCAGGCTGTGCCTTGGCGGCAGCATTCATTCCAGGATTGTTCGGGGTAATTGGTGTCGAAGGCGTCGGCGTAGCTGGAGGGTTGTCATCTGAACCTTGTGTGGTGGCCATTGAACCCTTCTTGGTCGGTCGCTATTGGAGATGTGGTCAGCTCTGTTTGTTCTGCATATGGCAGAATGACTTACCTGTTTCTTATTGTCATCCTTGGCCGCATTTTTCTTGTTCTTGGGATTAGGTTTACTGGTTTGTGAGGGTGTGGGAGGTTGGTTCTGGGTCGGTGGTGAGTTGCCCGAATTTCTTTGAGCACTGTTGCCGCCAGCAGGTGCCTGAGGGGGTGGCATGTCGTTGCGCTGTCCAGGCGTGCCCATTTGTTGACCAGTTTGAGATCCTTGTTGCTGCATGGGCTGACCACCTTGAAACTGGGTTGGTCGACCACCCTGCTGCATATTCGAAGTCGGAGGTCGCATACCTTGAGGGCCAACACCCATCATAGGTTGATCTTTGTTCATGAACATGCCTGCATTAAAGTCGTTACCTTGCATATTGAAGGCGCTCATTGCGGCTGGAGATCGGCCAGCCATATCAGCTAGATGGAGTGAGCCATATACTTCGTCAGAACATTGAGTAGTACGACTTACCTGGATTAGGAGAATTGCCAGTTCGACTGCCAGACGGTGACATGCCTGAGGGCATATTGATTCCTGGCATACCTGTTGCGCCGGGGTTGTTCTCGTGCTGTTCTTGCCTTGCCATCATCAGCCGTTTCTTATTCTGCTGCTCGAGTAGCATGAGTTGCATCTGATAATCCTGTAGAGCATGATTGCCACTCTGCGCACCACCACCTGTCTGCATTGGCTGACCACCAGGCATGTTCTGACGATTGTACATATCCATTTGCATGCCGTCAGCGAATTGGTTCATGCCAGCTCCCATCATGGGTGAGCCAGCATTGGCCATAGTCATCATGCCATTGGGCATCCCAGCCTTCACTCCGTCAGTATCTGCTCGATGACTCGACCCATACACATTCACTCACCTGCATTCCTTTTGGAGGCATGGTTCCATTCTGTCGAAACTGCTGGCCTATACCAGGTTGGAAGCCTGACTGTATCATCATGCCCTGGTTCGGGCCACCAGGCACACCAGCAGGACGTCCATTGGGCATCATGCCTTGCGGGAAGGCTTGGCCATTGTCTATGCGTGGCCTTTTGGAGGGGGATCCAGTAGCGTCACCATCGGCAGGTGTTCCTGGTCGAACGCCATTCATTTCGCCATCACCCTGCTCAGCACGCGCCATCTGCTGCTGCATCTGCATTTGTTGTCGCTTTTGGTGTTGCAACATCTGAGCTGCTTGTGGTGTCCTGGGACCCGGTCAGTATTAATAGCCTCTCATCCGGCTCGAAAGTTGACTATACATTTGGTTTTGCATTTTGCCGTTCATCATTCCTGCTCGCATCTGTTGCAACATCGCTGGGTTCATGGCCGGCCGGTTTATGTTCTGGTTCTGGAGACTCTCTCTCAATCGCTGGTTACTCTACGGAACGTTAATAATCGCAGTATCGACGCACTGGCTAAAACATACCTTTTCATGTGATAAGTATTGTGTTGCGGCATTCTTTGCGCCTGCTTGATTTCTATGAGCTTGAAAGAGGTCGTTGAAAATACTGAACCATTCAAAAAGAAAACCGTGAGGTGTAGTTCCATCCCAACCCTTTGGCCGAGGCAGATCGTCTGGAGCGTCGTCTTTAGGGTTCATGTCCATGCCCATGCCATCCCCTATATCTCCATTCATGTCGTTGTCCTTGCGACGTCCTGGACTTGCTTTAGGACCAGTGGGGAAATCGAATCGACTGTCCTGAGATGCACTGCGGGCAATATCGTAATGTCCATTCTTGAGGAGATAGTCGTATATGTAGAGGTTTAACGACGTTTTTAATTGATCTAGGCCCGTAACCGCTCCCATGGCTGGACTGCCATTGCTCATCATCATCATGCCGCCTCCTACTGGTCCACCAGCAGTAGGGTTGGCAGTTGCCATGCTCATAGTTGTGGTTTTGCGAATCGTTATGAGGATTTACCAGAGTCACACTACGTCGATGTGAGAGTGAGCCCAAGCAGGCCAAGGATAGTTGAGGTGTAACTAAGTCGAATCGATGGCTGTAAGTCAAAGCTGCTCTTGGTGGTTGGCGCGGCGATCGCGAAGTTCGTCAGGTGAAGAACACCAGCTGCATGCTGGCTTGAAAGGTGAGCGGATATTCTCGACAGAAGTACTGAACGGCAGGCTGCAATCGTGACTGCAGAAACCAGGGCCCAATAGATCTTGCAAATTGTCTTGGTCAGGCGCGGTCAGGCAAATCGCAGGCGGACTAGCAGAAGCAGGAACTGGAAGTAGCCTGCTGCTTGGGGAATCGTGAACAAGAGAGGTTAAGAATAATCAGTAATGCGATGGGCGAAGTGGCGTGTAAGTACTGTCTGCACCTCGACAGATAAGAGTGCTTAGTTAAGCTCTGTTTGCTGCACTTCGTATGCGATGAAAAGTGTCGAAACTGCACCAAGTTACTCTACGGCAATGATGGCGCAGATGCTGATCGACGGATTTTCTGGAGGTGAAGCGCAGGCTGGGATGCGCACGCCTACCGCCAGTTGATCTCCTCGAGCCCCAAGTTGGGCAGCGGAGTGCACGCTGGTCTCAGGATTGCGCAGATTTAGAGCCAGGTATGCGTGTGTCCGTTGCACTACTCGGATCAAATTGCGTAAAGTATGGCACGCTAAGCTGGAACGGTGGGGTTCTTGGCAATACTGTAACCTCAACTCACACCTCGTAATCTTGAGCTTCAGGAGCAGACATCGCAACAATAGCAAAGAGATAAGGAGTATAGATTCGACGGTCACATCCTGATGAGGCCTCCTGTCCACATGCTCAGGAAAATCGGTCATGATGGGATAGCAAATACTGTCCTCTTGGTAAAATACTTCGCCACTTAGGATTAGGGGCTGTACCCCTTTTGTTCAATCCAGCCTTGCGAATGTATTTCTCAGCCTCGACTGATAAGTCGTGCTGAGACAGGTGGAAGAGGTACAGAGCTGAAGAGTGTACTCTTCACGTCGTCCGTTTGATTCTCAATCTTCCTCCGGCGGCATTTCGTCCTCGGTGTATCTCAGTAGTGTTACCCTTATTTCCGTGGTATCGTTACCTCTGAGCACATCACTCACAAAGTGTGCTTCTATAGACATTTGTACCTGTATCTGCTTAGTATGGAGAAAACAGAGTCAGACATACTCACCATCTCCAAAGCACCCCTGAGGACGCCGCAAAGTATATTGGAGAACCAAAGCTCATCTTGGGCTCTCCCGTCGTCTGGAAGTTCCACAAAATCAGCCAGAGGATTTTCATCAAAAAGTAGCGAGAACGATTTGTTGTCCGCCGTCCAATTCGTCACTGTCGGTGTAATGTTCAGAAAGATCTTGAAGCCAATCTGTGTTTCTGTAAGTCATTTGACGTTCTCAACTCTGGCGGTCTGTATACCTTTGAAATCATGTCTGCTGTGTCTTTGAAATTGTTGCATCGGGCTATGCTTGTTTTCGCGAGAAAATCCTCGATCAGTCGAACACCAATATTGTAGCCCATTTTGTCGAGTTGTTGGTTCACTTGAGCATAATCGTTTTCGTAGTCCGACACCAACTGGGAGACAATGGTTCCATATGTGAGTGTCACCAGCTCAGCGTTGACTTTCTCTACCCGTGTCCTTGGGTGTTGTTAGACGAGTCTCTCCGGTCCGTAGAAAACACATACTTCCACAGGCTGTGGCTCGGTCAGTATTTGATGCCACCATAGAAATTCTGTTATTCACACACTCCTCGCCCTGTCTGGCATTTTTAGTCGTGGCCATCTCGCAACCATTGGTTGCGATGATCAACCTTATACAAGCATCACAAAGTAAATCTCCGTTCAGCAGAATTTATGGAGTCGACATATGAAGTTTTGGTATTAAAGAGAACACTGCCTGGAAGTGCTCATAAAAATAGTTAGGGAGGAAACGAGGGCGACAAGGCTACCATGCGCCTAAACCGATCGTCGCATGACTCGAGTAAATCTCGCATTCCAAGTACATGACTCAATCTTACGAATTTCCGTTCGGATCGCATGCTGAATTCGACAGACACGATCTGATAGTCAACTTCATTTTTCTGTTGTCCTTTGCCAAACTGACAACACACCTCATTCTCTAGGTCGTGTTCTTCCGTGTCGCAAGATGGCATCGTCGATCAAGCGCCAGGCGTCTGACTCTTTCTCAGGAAATCAGGCATTGGTGAAGAGACAGAAATCTAGCAATGATTTGCGCCATGACTCTGCACTCGTTGTCGGACGTGGTGTCGGCAATCAATCTGGCAGTCTCATTCAGTCAGTCAGTAATATCGCTGTTCTATGTTCATGGGACACGAGCTAAAGTGTTGAAGGAGATTGACTAACGAATATATAGGTTACGAGAACGAGCGGATTGCAAGCCCCAATCATGGAACTGACTGGACATTCCGGAGAAGTTTTTACGACACGATTCGACCCCTCAGGAGCACACATAGCGTCAGGCTCAATGGACAGGTCAATAATGCTGTGGAACACATACGGTCAGTGTGAAAATTATGGTATGATGACTGGTCACAAAGGAGCCGTGCTGGATCTACAATGGTCGCGCGATTCTAATTTCATATTCTCTGCTTCTGCGGATATGACAATAGCAAGCTGGGACCTTGAAACAGGCCTGCGAATACGCAAACATCAAGGTCACGAAGACGTTGTGAACTGCATCGATCTGGCCAGGCGAGGTCAAGAACTATTGATAAGCGGCAGCGATGATGGTACTATAGGCATATGGGATCCACGACAGAAGAGCGCGGTCGACTATCTGGAAACAACCTACCCAGTAACAGCGGTTGCTCTCGCCGAAGCTGGAAATGAGCTTTACTCTGGAGGGGTGGATAACAAAATTCAAGTCTGGGATGCGAGAAAAATGCAGGTCTCCTACACAATGAATGGCCATAACGATATTGTCACCTCACTCGAAGTCTCTCCGGACGGGCAAAGCTTACTTTCCAATTCGATGGATTCCACTGTCAAGACATGGGACATTAGACCTTTCGCTCCTGCAGATAGATCTATCCGAACATATGACGGTGCACCTGCTGGATTTGAGAAGAATTTACTGAGAGCTAGTTGGAGCCCTCGTGGTGACAAAATCTGTGCTGGTTCTGGTGACAGAACAGTTGTGGTATGGGAGACTAGGACTGCTAAGCTGTTATACAAATTGCCGGGTCACAAAGGCACAGTCAACGATGTGCGTTTCTCGCCTTCAGAGGAACCAATCATCGTATCTGGCTCTACTGACCGCAGTCTACTGCTCGGTGAGCTTGGCAGATGAGTCGTCGTGTGATACGGTCGTGATAAGGTTGCAAAACACCTCACCACGCCTCGATCGGGAAAAAGACGACCAACTCAATTCAATGAGGAAGCTGCCAGACCGACCACTACTCGCGCTCAATGAAACGATGTCAAGAGACGACTCTGTTCGTCATTGCTATGACGACCCTCAGGCGCAATTCTTCAAGTATGCTCGGTTATGGCCGGCGAGAAAGAGTCAGATGGATCCGATGGCTTACATTCCCGCTTTCTATGGCATCTGGGAAGCGTTTCACAATCTCGCGTGGAGTCGTTTGTTGGGCCATGAAGCCTTGCTGGGACGTTGCACACGTCCGCGCTAATTCCGCACAGCTCTGTGAGACATAGAACATCATGGACGTTCTGCTAACTGCAAGATCGCCCAAAGAAGCCGCTTCGCATACTACATGCAGAAGTACGAAGCTCCACGTGCAAGCTGCTATGCTGAAAGCTGTTCCGGGAACAGCTCTAAGGACGCTGAGAGCACATGGCTCGCATTTTGATCAACGTCTCACATCGAGTGGCCACTATCAACGATCTGATTTGTGAGTCGATTGAGATATGCTTCTGTTGTATGTCGTCCTGCCGGGAGTTTAGCAGATTGCTCTGCCTGAAAACATGCCTCGGGTGACTCACTGCTGGTAGATATCAATATCTTCTGCTTTTCAGGTTGTTGACCTCTCGTTGCATCATCCATCTTGGCTGCGATTTAAGGTGTATCGCAAATTTAGCGGTAGGGTCCGATATGCCAGACAATCATACAAGACCTCCCAGAATGGTGTTTGCGATATCACCTTCAGCTCTTGCACTTGATCAGAGCACTCTGTCTGTACCATGTTCGGTGCCAGCTTATGCGTAGAGGAACCTCTACCAGAAGCAGTATAAGTATGCTACAAACTTGTCTTTGTGACAGCTCGTTTCTTCCACTTGTATATTCGCTTTCGACAAATTCGATCCTGCTCAGGTCAACTCCCTGGAAAACACAGCACATATGCCTTCTCCACAGAACGAAATATAGGGGTGGGAAGCAGACTAGCTCGCCTAGCACTTGGTATAACATATACCACTGATACCAAGTTGAGAAGTATAAACACTGTTTGTTACACAGACAACCCACCTACTACCTCTTTTTCCTTATCTTGCCTCTATACCCCTTCACATCCTTGCCACTCTCAATCTCTCGTAACGCCTCCATCCTACATTCACCCACATCCTTCAGAGTCCGACCCCTCACAACCCTCGTCTCAACATTAACCACCTCCTCGCCTTCGCTCTTCCACTCACTCATCTTTTCTCCGAGGTAATCCTCAACAGCCAAAACTAGCTCCACGTCTCGAGGACTGACGAAAGTGACCGAAGTACCAGAGCGGCCAGCACGTGCCGTTCTTCCAACGCGATGAACATAATCAACAGGATCGCGAGGGACGTCGAAGTTGATGACGTGCGTGCATGTTGGTATGTCGAGACCTCTGGAGGAGAGATCTGTAGATATCAAAGCTCGCGCTGTACTTGCGCGGAAAGACGCGAGGTTGGAAGTGCGTTGAGATTGCGGAAGTGCTGAGCTTAGGGATGTCACGGTTGTTGGTTTGAGGTGATTGATTAACGCGTGGGATGGATCAGCGGACTGGTAGGTAATCGCGAGAAGTTTGTGTAACGTACGGTGAAGCATATCTGCTGTCTGGGTGCGATTGGTGAAAATGATGACTTGGTTTGGTGTTGAGGTTGACTTTTGGCTGTCTGCCGTGAGGAGGTGTAAAAGGAGGATGTAGACGAATGCATCCTTGTGTTGTGGTGGGACTTGCAGGTAGGTCTGCTTCAGCTTACTTGGGACGAGAGCTGTTCCATTAGCGCTTGGGGTATCTGTTTGGTCTCTGATCTCAGATACGAAGAGTGGCGGTCGATCTTTCGGTCGAGGTTGGTCCTTCAGTGCCCGCACCTCAGGAGTAACTGTAGCCGTGAAGAGTAATGTCAGCCGTTCACTAGATGGAGGCAAACTAGATAGGCAAGTACCAATATCTGGTAGCATGCCTGCTGACGCTGAAAGCAGTCGATCAGCCTCATCAAATACGACAACTTTCACTCTTCTTAGGCCGCGGACTGTTTCTTCACCCGATGTCTCTATATGGTCTGCAAGTCGGCCAGGTGTGGCTATGACCACATGCGGCCTTCTTCTTAGTGCCTGGGCTTGTGCTTGCATGTCCGTGCCACCAGTCACTAGTACAGTCTTGAGTGCTTGGGGAGCTCCGAGCGCAGTAAATTGCTCGTATATCTGAAGGGCAAGCTCCCTTGTCGGCGTAAGTACGACGGCGTATATGCCATGCGGATCTTGAGACCACTTCTGCAGTATCGGTACCGCAAATGCCACTGTCTTGCCCGTACCCGTTCTTGAACCTCCGATGCAGTCTCTTCCTTTCAAGATCTCAGGTATACAAGATCTTTGAATCTCTGTCGGGTGATGTATCTGCATCGTCTTTAGGGAGTGTACGAGCCACGGCGCAACATTTACGGCATTGAAGTCGGTGGTTGTTGTCTTCACAGATAGACCAGTAGACAATCCTTGGTCAGCGGTCTCATTGGCCCCTAGCAACTCTTCAGTATTCTTAGGCACTTGCACTGATTTGATCCTCGATGGGGCTGTATAACCACCGGTAGCTATGTCCTCGGTGTGTTCCACATCATCGTTGGATATGCGCCTGCGCTTCGGTGAAGGCTGTACTGTCTCGTCTTCGAAGGAGGAAGTTTCTGAGTCAGTGATATACTCAGACCTCAGTTTGAGAGGCATCACGGGTACACGCCGACAATCTTCACGTTTAACGCTTGAGCGTTTCACGACATGGGCAACTACTAGTAGAGTGTCGAGAGACGTTTTCGACAAAATTTTACGGCGGGCTGTACGACACATAGCGACGAAATTTTCGTATGCTTACCTATGTCGAACCGTACATCTGCCTCGAATTCTGGAGATACCGATTCAGGATTTTGGCTTCTTGAAGCTCACTGCTTGAACAGATGCAGTTGTCGAAGCCTACAGGCTAGTTGTCGTTTGAAACCGTCTGTTGGTCTGAAATAAACATACGTTCCAGCATCAGGGGAAAATATCCATGCATTAATAATCTCAATCACACTTAAATCTTCTACCTCTTGGTCGACAATGGTCCACGTCGTGCAGATGAGCCGGAGCTAACCTGCAGAAGTTCGAGGTAATGTCGCGGTCGCACTGTATGCATGACTTCTAGTGTCTGCTCTCGGGTAGGACTTCAGAAGCGGTCTGTATTCAATGACCACAGGCACCTGCAGTTTCATGGTGACCAGATCAATCTGAAACGTAGTCGATCCATCCACACTACTTCTGCACGAGAAGCAGATTCTAGAAAATAGGTGGCTGGAAATCGGCTGTTCGCCGAGAACAAGTCGTCCTCTCTGGCGCGCTCGGTTGGGTGAATCTTCGGTCAGTTCGTGATATGCTTTTGGTCTCGTGACTTCGTATCTTTAGCGTGATCGTGCCATGTCTTGGGCGTTTTCTAGCGTGCCCGTAGCGCGAGAGCGTGTTCAGTATTTCCATTGGCTAACTTTTTAGCGATGAACAATTTCTCCAATCAATATCTCAAAGATCGACTTTGCACAACATTTCGCATGTTAGTCGCGCTTTCCGCCAGCTCCAGCCGCTTATCGAGGCTCTCACTTCCCGTTCGCGCCAGAGCTCGTCCAACGAAGCGCACGCGCCCAAGCTGGGGAAACGTTCTGCAACAGCAGCCGCTCGACATGCTATTCATGGTCAGCCGTTTTCAGAATTCATCATACAAGCGCTCGTGTGTCTGAGGATGGAACAATTGAAATTGCGTCAGATCACACAGCCTCCATGCAGTTGCAGTCTGCTGATGGTGAGAGACATCGAATTTCATTGTTGGCGACGCGCTTTATGCAGAAAATACGTTCAGAGACGCTTGGCTGCGCGTCGAACACCGTCGCGCAAATTGATCGTCCCTACCTCGAGCGCGTGCCGAATCGTCCTCGGGTAGGACTGACCACGCTATTCTGTGTGGGTTTCGATCATGGCCAGCTTCTTGCTGTTTGCGTGGCTCTCTCCATGATTCTGCTCTCGTTTCAGATACACGTCAAGTGTTGGTCTGGATATTGTTGGCCCACGTTGCTCCTCATCCACCTCGCAACATTAATACTCCATGATGCTGCCATTTCGTGCTTTCTGAGCCTTTCGTTCTTCCGATCTGTCCAGGTCTGATATTCCCAGCTTTCCTTTGTTACTGTCTTTACGTGGCATCTATCCCCAATCAAATCGAAGCTGGTCTTCCTAATACTAAAAGCAAAAATGCCGTTAGCACCATACACTTTTAGACCGTTGACACCTCCAGAGGTTGACTATGCTGCTGGTCAGCGGTCAAGTCAGATGAGAAATGTTTCAGCATCATCCTATTTTACGAACCCATCTCCAGAGTCTAGCACACCAGAACGACGTGCTTTTGGCCCAACATTACTTCCCAAGATTCGAACGCAAGACAATAGTTTACAGCCATCTGCTGGTCAGCATGTCAAAAGTCACAAGCGCTCGATCTCTAATGTCAGCAACGTCTCGACATACAACAATGTCAGACCACCAATCTATAGGAGTGCTACGGAGCCAGTACACGACAGCATCAGCTTGATGTCACCAGTGTCTATGCCCTCACAGTCCAGGGCTAGCTCAGTCGCACCTTTCATCACGAATACTACTCGTAGTCATTCGCGAGTACCATCTTCGTCTAGTGTGACGCTCGATGAGACTACATTAAACCGATATGGTTATCCCACATACCGTCAGATGCCGGTATACATGACTCAAGCTCAACAAGCACCATCGCCTCCAGTGTATGCACAGTCATATCTTCCTTCGGAGCAATTCTCCTTTCTTGAGCCTCCTACCATTAACATAGAAGGGACATGGGACATTCCAATTGATCTTGATGTCATATCACGCCCAAGCTCGACGAGTCCTCCACCATCTTTACAGCCTTCGTTGATGCCTGCAGCTCCTCTCGTGCACGAACCATCAACGTTTACCATGCAGGGTGGTCCTGTCGTGGCTGGCTCGACTAGTTTAATAACATACCTAACTCAGTCAACTCAGCCGATAAACCTTGTGCGCAATCTAACTTACTCTACTGGTCGAGGCTTGTCCTCTTACTTCTGGTGGGACGTTCGTAATATTCGTCCTTGGAGCACTTTCTCGCTCGATACGATGAACTCGATCCCAGATCTAATGACTCTCCTTCACTTCCAACATGATAACAGCACCTTTCCGAGCCTTGCAAATCAGTCGACAAGTGCTGCAAATCCTTCCTCGGAAGCTGACCTAGCCAACTTGGTTTCCAAGATCTACTTCCCAAGAGTCAATGCAGCAGCTCAAGTATCTCTGGGCGCCAATGCACCTTACCTTTACATCGCACCCCAGCAGCCAGTTCAACAGACCACCAGCTCAGCAACACCAGCTCAAGCCCAACCGACATTCCTTGCAAATTACCCTAATGAGAACCAATTCACACTGCACGGCACCCCACGCGGACGCGTCATCGGCCTTGCAAAATCCTTCGACACCTTCAACACATCAATGCGCCACGAATCACCAGCCCAAAGAGTCCGCTATCTCAAGACACTCTCACAACTACAGAAATGCATGCGCGACCACTCCTGCAGATACGGCTTCATCATCACCGAGATCGAGCTAGTCTGCGTCCGAGCCGGTTCCGACAAGTACGGTAACCCATACTTCGGCTACCTCGAGGTCGCAGACAGTATCGCCACCAAGGAAAGCGCCAAGTACGGCATCGACGCGAACGGAAACTACACTGAAGACATCTCCATGACCGCCGGCCTAGCACTCTACTTCCTCCTCATGCTAGCCAAGAAGGTCGCTCTACCAGGTGAATGGAGCAGTTTCATGGACGTCGGGGCTCAAGGCGCCATGACAAGACAGAGAGTCCTGCCCGCAAACGAGGAGCTGAAGAACGACGCTCTCGGCCTTTCTGACGATGAGGACGGAGATGTCAGAGATGAGGAAGAGCGAAAGTCCGACGGTAGGGATAAGTGGATGCCTGAGCCGCAAGTCGGTGAGAAGAGAGATGCAAAGACTGCGAGGGGTTGGGTGTGGCCGAGCGATCCTTGGCATAAGAGGGAGGGTGGGCGAAGATCACGACGTGGATGATTCATGAAGATATGAGTATGTGAACGAAGACTTTGATTTCGATGAGAGCATAGCATAGCATAGCGGGAGAAGGTTAAAAGAAAAGAAACTGTTCAGTCCTGGCGACGACAGACGGGTGGTCAGTGTGTTGATTTGGCTGGGCATTTCTAGGTGTTTGTCTAAGTATTAGAATCTAATCAAGCACTCCAGCGAGTGCATTATAGTCTATAATCTACACAATTTTGGAAATAGGCAACGTGTCTATTACGTACTTGTGATTTTTATTCAGGCAGAAAGGACACGAGAGCTTAGCATGAATAGAATCCTATTCCTTCTGCACCTAACGTGCGAGACGTATATACACCACGTAAACATGCTCCGAACGCCATGCCAATCATGCACTCGATGAGATGACCATCTATTTACCGTCCAGCTTTCCTTACCGCTTCACACCGGCCATCATAAAGGTACTCAGAACCCCTTCCCTGGAGACTGACACGCTTTCAGCATATGCCGAAGTTGTGAGGTATCCTTCTGCCCTTTTTCAAACAACCCATAGTCCATGCAAACACCCTGGTACATGCTAAGGAGCCCCAGAACCATGCTCGCTCACTGCTTCTCTTCTCCCTTGACCGCATATTCACGTCGAAACATGGAGTCCACGAATGTCAGGTAGTATGTGCCTGGCAGCAAGTCTTCGATGCTTCCGGCGGGCTTGAAGTCCTTCTGGAGATGTGCCTTCTCTCTCAGTAAACACATATCATCATATGTCTCTGGAGGAACCACCTTTCTCTGCTCTAGACGCTCTTGTAGGTTCAGCTTCTGGCGCATTTCCGAGACATCACCAACGACCTTCATCGACAGCATACTGCTTGCAAGACCACTGCCATAGCTCAAGAGGCCCACGCGTGAACCCTGGAGGGCCGAAGGTTCAATGTAGCTGAGTAGGCCGACAAGACCACCCCAGACTGACCCGCAATACATGTTGCCGCACATGGTAGCGACTTGAATAGCAGGTTGCACACGCTGAGCGAATCTCTTCTTGGTCATAGCCATGAATGTCTTCTCGACAGTTTTGTCTGTAAGAGAGGCCTGGTACTCCAAGTTCCGAAGTTCTGATGGAACGTCTTTGAAGACTGGGTTCTCCGGATCGTTGAGGTAGTCATTGTAAAGCAAGCGAGCATAGGATTTGCTGACGAGCTTGCAAGTAGGTGCATGGAAAGCCATGTAGTCGAATCGATCCATTGGGGTCTTCTGCTCATCGCCTTCCTTGACACCGTTCCCGTTCGCGTGACCATTCAATTGTGCCTTCATCTTCTTTTCCCTCTCATTCAGAGCAGCATAGGTCTTATCGACCGCCTCTGTGTAGCACTGAAGGGACAATTGACCATCCACATAGGGATACTCGCTCGTCAGATCAGGCTTGTAGAAATCGTATGCGTGTCTTATGTATGTTCCTCGTAGACCGGGCTCAAAAACCAACGGCGCATCAGGACCAATCAACATGGCAACGCAGCCAGCGCCTCCAGTTGGTCTAGCATTGCCTTTCTTGTAAAGAGCGATATCACCTGCTACTACGACTGCATCTCTGCCATCCCAAGCTGAAGACTCGACCCAGTTGATGGAGTTGAAGACTGCATTGGTGCCGCCGTAGCAGGCGTTGACGGTATCAATCCCTTCAGTGCTATAATTCCCCGATGATTCGAACAGTTGCATGAGCACACTCTTCACTGACTTGCTCTTGTCCAACATGGTCTCAGTGCCAACCTCCAATCTTCCAATGTTGGCTGGGTCAATTGAGTACTTCTTGAAGAGAGAGGACAACGTGGTGAGGGCGATGGAGTAGATGTCTTCTCGATCGTCGCAGAAGCTCATTCGAGTCTGGCCGAGGCCAATTGTATATTTGCCAGCAGCAACGCCATCGAACTTCTCAAGTTCAGATTGTTCGACACATTGCTGAGGAAAGTAGATTTCTACGGCTTTGATTCCGATATTTTGTGGTCGTGTGGAAGCCATACTGGATAGAAATTTGCTGGTAATAGGATCACAACTTTCTGAAGAGTTTTCTCGGAAAGATAAGAATAAAAGTACAACTTCTTTTCAGGAAGAGAAGCACGAAGGCGGTGAGTGCTGTATATCAAACACTCATCGCTACTCACTTAATGCGCTTGAATTTTAAAATGTTGACAGCCCACTACACGGCGCAACAGCCAATGACCGAGTGGCATCATCGGGAATGACAGAATGCCGATGGCAGTTCCTGCAGCTTTAGCGCCTTCTACCAAAGCAAGAAATCAAGAGCCAGGCACGCCAGGGTCCAGATAGCGGAGAAGAAAGTTTCTTGTTGAAGAGAACTCGAAGTTGGTCAAGTGCTTCCTAGCTTTTGCTCTGTTGTAGCTGTACAACACCGTTCCACTCCTAGAAGCTGTTGTATTGGTATACCAGCAGAGCATCAGACGGCGCAACAAATTACTACACTGGTCTGAGGCATTAGAACATTAAGAGAATATGCCAACAACCTGTTTGCTCGAAGAGCTGATGCCTCAGGCCAGTATCGGAAGTTTCTGCACCACGAGTACCTGTCGCCTGAGGTATCAAAGCCCAAGAAAAGAATGTCAGAACCCTTGAACTGAAATTTGGGGCCTCAGGCGACAATGTGAGCTCGTTTTCCCCATGGGTAGCTAGACACGATGATATCAAGTGTCAATCTATTATGTTGCTGGTGGAAAACCTTCCTCAAATAATACCTCAGTCGTTCTCGTATCGAGGATGTATGATCGATGTCTAACTTGAATGACTGTGGAGGACGCCCGAGTAAATTGTCAGAGTGAGGAACGATTGAGCTATTATCTAACTACACGCGAACTTATTAGGAATGAATGACTTAGCTTAAGTAACGCGATTCGAACATCGTTGATACAGCTCAATTTGTCGCCGCACAACACGACCAGCCGACCTTCACCACGGCTTCAGTCAACCTCTCATAGCTTTAATAGGTGGAAACAATTCTGGTGCCTCTGCTCGAATTTGTGGCTTCATTTCTGGATCTGACTTCTCAAGCGCTCTCTTATAAGCTGCCCTATCGGTGCACCTCTGCAACCACCGCAATATCCCGTCATAGCCCTCCAACGGAACTGGGTAGAACACCCTCATCGTGGTAAAGCTAAAGACAGTCATGATATCCGCAGCGGTAAACTCCTCACCAGCCAGGTGAGGTACCTTCAACAGCCGCTCGTTAACATGATCGAACAGTATCTTCAACCGGTTCACGTAGTTGGAAAGAGTTGGATTGTTCGGATCTCCCCTCGCTGCACTACTAACTGCCAGGACCCGGCTCACCGCAGGCTGAATTGTGCCGTTGGATGCATGCCACCAGTATAGAAAGTCTGCATAGTCCTTGTGGGATTTATCGAGGAACAATTTGCCGTTCCCGTGTTTTTGGACGATCCACTCAACTATGGCAGCACTTTCTGAGAGCCGGATCGGTGTGCCAAAGCTGTCATCATCGAGGATTGGCGCCGCTCCCAGAGGATTGAGAGCTTTAATCTCAGGTGGTGAGAAGATGGGGCTGCGCTTGTATAGTTGCAGATTATAGTCGAGGCCGAGTTCTTCGCATAGCCAAACTATACGTTCGCTCTGTGAGACTTGTAGATGGTGGACTGTGATAGTCATGGCGGCTTGGCACCGCGTATTTCGCGTATAGGAGAGGGTATTCGAACAGTTGATCTGCTTCTTTTGAGGACACCTCTATCTCTTCGAGTACTATGATGTGCACCTCGGTAACCTAACTTTCCATGCTGTAAAGTCTATGTGAGACTAAACCTGCTTGGGCAAGCAGGCCTCCGAATCTGCTTCGAGTCCATCACGAACAGGATTCGTGTCTGATTAGTAGGTATGTTCTCCACATAGATGCCTATGAGAGAATTGCAATTGACCTTGAGGGTCAGCTCTGCTGTGCATGAAGTTGGAAACAGAAATTCAAAAGAGGCCAAGCTTTAAGAATCGCTCAATGTAGGACGGGTATCGAACCGCTAAAACCGTCGCTCTATCAATGCTCTATGCACAACCACAACCATTACACATCTGGCTAGTATTATCAGACAATGGACGTGTAGACTTCCCTTGGATAACACAACATTTTCTCATGCAACTCTTGCTTCTCACGACCATTACCAAGACACCATGAAGTTCGACGTCTATTTGGAGCTACCATTGGGAAGTATCGTGGCAGCTGGTATGTGAGCGATGGGTGTCGTTGTCTCGACTCGTCCACCTAGGTCGGCCTTTCCACCAGTCATCCGGCGGCCAACTGCGACGTTTTTCTTTCCAGCTGTCTCTTGGGCAAAGGCCTGAGCGCCATCAACAAGTCGTCGTTCGGTATTGAGTCGACCATTGACGAAGTCTGGGTAGTTGAGGGTCAATTCGACCGAGCCATTGACAATTGAATCAACAGCTTCCACGCCCAACATGAAAGAGTGATCTTGGTTACCGACCTCATATTTCCAGCTACCAAATCGGCCTCTGCTGTAGATACCCTTCTCCTGCAAGTATGGTAAGATCTGCTTCAATGCACCGTCTCGTTCTAGTGACGGAGTTGGATATCCATGCTCAAATTTGCGGACGTATGTCGATACAATCTCATCTTCAGGTCTGAGCATCTCAGTATTGATCAACCCTTGAACGCAGTCCCGAAGCAGATTCTCTTCGTCGACAGGCTTCTTGGACGATTGGGAAACTTCAAGCATGATGGACCAGTACGGGCCCTCCTTGGGCTCCGAACCACCCTTTCCGTAACTGTTAGCCTTGTACAGAGTAGGAAGTTTCACGTCCTTCTGCGGCTGGTTGTAAGGTGAGTAATTCGAGAAGATAGTAGCTCTGTAGAACGGGCAGTTGTCTTCGGGAAAGTAGAGCCAGCACATATCGCCAATACGCTCTGGTCTCGCTCCTCGAACGCCAACACCGATGACATGGGTGCTGCTGTAGTAGAGTTGCTCGCACAAGCCGGCCAGTTTTTCGTCGCCCATTCTGTCAGCAAGTTGATCCACGTTCATGGTGTTTACGAAGCGCTTGTAGGCGATTAGCGTACCGTCCTCCATGAGTACTTCCTTTCGGTCGGCGTTAACGGCCTTGATAGAGCCTTTCTTACCAAATCGCTTCTTTTCTTCAGGTATGGTGTCAGCAACGGCGGTCCAGATACCGCCCGTGCCATCTCGAGCTGGGAAACGGAAGGTAGCATTGGGTCCCCAATTGCCAGCTGTCTTGCCTTGGATCACATTGCTTGTCACCAGCTTGACATTCGGTGCAGCGACACGCTCTCCAAGCCATTGACACTGCATGTCTGTCGTAGGCACGGCCCATACCTTGTAGTTATAGGGACGCATGAACGCATCAGCGATACCGACACCCATCTGCCGGACGATCCACTCATCAAAGTTCTTGGGCTTGGTATTGCTCACTCTTGCTTCTAGAGCTGCATCAATCAGACCCTCGACGAATATGACCTGATCGTCCTTGGGACACATGGAAATGTTGTTCTGGAACGGATATGGTACCCATTGTCCTTTGTACCGTACGTAGGAAATTCGCTGGTGGGTGTACCAGTCATCTTCCTTGGGCAAGGCCTCGTCTATGCAGTCGTCGAAGTACTTGTAGTGGGAGAATATGACATGCCTAGAGCCTGGTCAGAGCGTCGATTTGAGTGCGACAATTGAACTTACCCTCCCACATCGTACAGAAATCCTTCTGGGGTAGTGTCTGTCCCAGCAAGACCTGTAGAGTGTTAGTTAATGCTGAGCACGTAACATTGTAGACCACCGACCGCCTGGCTTATCTGCACAATCGACAATGAGCCACGAAGGGCCATTCTGATACCATGTTAGTGGCACGCTTGAACCGGTAGTTGTTCTATCTCACAATTTGATTGAGACGTTTTGCGGCACCTAGACCTGTCTGAAATATTGTCAGCGAAGTGTTGACCACAACTTTTGAACCGCAAGAACTTACGGGGCCCATGCCGCATACGAGAACGTCAACCTCGACTCGCTGCATAGTTGATTTGCGAGACATTGGGTGTGTAGTGGTGTGTGTAAGAGTCTCAGAAACAGTCGGTCAAAAAGTTTCGTGTTCAACAAAGTGTTAGCCACCGAACAGCAAGATCTCAAGCGGCAGGTGCAAGTCAAGATGCGACCTGGAAACTGCACAAAACCGAAGCGCGTCAATGACGGGTGAATATGGGAGCAAGTGGCGAGGTCTTAAAAGAAATACTATTTTCATCTAATCTATCACATCATGTTGGTAAGAGTATTTTGGCAGCCAGACCCGTATCGTGCTTCTGCGCAACCCACCGCCGAGACCCCGACCACGGACAGCTGCTGAAAATCGGCTGTATCTTGGCTGCGCAGGGGTTTGGTGTCCCCTTTTAAAGTTTCAGCTTCGCGACAAAGCCAAACATAAGCATCAAAAGTCCAGATGGTCGAGGTTTGTGCTGTGGTAGGTCATTGCGACTTTGCAATTTATCGATCATCTTCGAGAGGCTCTGACGCTGATGCTCCTTCTGATGGAACCAGCTCAGTGGCCAAATGCTTCGCTCTGCACCTCAATCTGCACCTTCAATACGTGTGAAGGAGTGTGGTGTCTATTGTCCTACTAGTACCGATAAGTATTGTGACCCATCGACCAGACTGCTAGTTCCTGGAGGCGACCCGAACCACGGGCTTATCAAACACGCGACAGTTGTACCGTTAGGGATATCTCCACATATACCCTGCTCGGCGTAGCGACACAGGGGACTGATTAGGAGGCCATTAGCCCTCTGACATCTGCAATGCAGGAGTAAATACATACGAAAAGGACTCATACGACTGGAGCCACATTGCGGCTGGAATCGTGCGAGTCTCCAAAGAAAGGGTGTGTGTAGATTGCGGAGGAGGCAATCAGGCAGCCACACGCCTCGATTTCGAACTTGAAGCTATCCAACTTCGAAAAGCACATCGCTGGTTCATCTAGTACTCGGTTGATAGACTTGACTCGATAGCTTATTACAAGCTGTATGCAGGAACAATGATTGTGTACTGATGCTTCACCAGAGCAAAACCTTGTGTCCGGCTGTCCGTCGAGGATCTTATCGTGCTCCAACTTGGGACGCTGATTTCTTGTGGCACAAGCCGTTGGTGGTATTGCGGAGCACACCAGGACGGCTTTGCTGACTACTCGAGTACATCGCACGGAGCAGCTCTCACACTGTTGTGACCAGATGTCACAAGTGACGTTATAGTAGCCATGGCAACATTAAGAGAATAGCAGTACGATTGCATAGACACTAACCTCCGTATGCGAGATCCAGCCTCACGAAACAAGGATAGAAGATAACAAGAATATGCAATTTTAGGCGAACGGGCTGTTGCGGTTTCCTAGTGGCATCGTGCCTTGCCCCAACGGAGAAGATGTCGACACGCAATTGCTCCACACCGGGACACTAAGCGTCAAATCAGTGTTCTTGCCTGTCGCATGCTTGGCCTCCTTAGAATACATTTTTCCAACTCCGACAGAAAGGAGAATTCTAGCCACCGTGATAAGTGAGCGCTTCTTCGAGTCATGACCTTTTAGAGTTGCTGTAGTTGCAAGCATCTTGCATGAACAAGCTCCGACTTAGCACCAGTTTTTCTCCATTAGTGGTTGCTGGTTGAGGCAGGAACGTTTTGGTGGTTGAGTATCTGTCTCCAACACCACGCCAACGCGCCAGCTGCGGATTACTTCATTCTTTTTCTCCTGTCGCTCGCTCGTCGACCTTTGGTTTACTCACCACCGTGCTTCAACCACGAAATTTCGCTCGGCCACGGCCCTTCACTTTACAGCACTTCCTCGTCGGTCAAGTCAAGCCAGTCATTATGGCAGAAGAGAAAGAGAGGCGGAGTGGCGAAAGCCCGAGGACGACTGAGCCTGTATTGCCATCTGTCAATGCTATCGAGAAACCAGAGCCACAGCAGCCATCGCTGCACCCTGCTTTCTACGTGGTGTAGGTGATGCATATCAAGCGACTGAACATATCCTGACTGTGACAGAGCATGGATCAGCTTCAGTGGTGGTGTTATCCTTTTCAACAAGTACCTTCTGGATACTATGGGTTTCAGTGAGTGCAGCTTGCTCGATGCATGCCGACGTCAGGGACTGACCTTTTGTGAACAGGATTTCGTATGTCGTTTCTCCGATAGTCCTTACGTTCTTTCCTAATTGTTTCCAGCAATTGTCCTTACAACATGGCACATGGCTTTCGCAACCATAATGACCCAAATCCTCAGCCGAACGACGACACTCATTGACGGACGAAAAACTGTAAAAATGACTGGCAAGGTCTATCTCAGGGCCATTCTGCCTATTGGTTTCTTCTTCTCCCTCAGTTTGATCTGTGGAAACCAAGCATACCTCTACCTCTCTGTTGCTTTCATCCAGATGTTGAAGGTACGTCATCACCAACATGCGCTTTGCAAAATATATCTGACAACCCTAGGCTTGCATGCCAGTCGCAGTTCTGGTTACATCATGGGTATTGGCCGTCGCGCCTGTCGACTTCAAACAACTGGGCAAGGTCATCTTCATTGTCATTGGTGTTATCATTGCTTCCTTTGGAGAGATCAGATTCGATTTGACAGGATTTCTTTGGCAAGCCGGTGGTATCAGCTTTGAAGCCACACGATTGGTCATGGTTCAGCGCCTGTTGAGCTCTGCTGAGTTTAAGATGGATCCGCTTACCAGCTTGGTATAACTTGACCGCATGAAAGTCGCAAAGCTGTGGACTGACCTTTACACAGTACTATTTCGCGCCAGTGTGCGCTGTGATGAATGGCGTCGTGTCGCTATTCACCGAGATCCCGAGGATGTCTATGCAGAACATCTACGACATTGGTTTCCCGATCCTCATTGCGAACGCCATGGTCGCGTTCCTTCTCAACGTTTCAGTTGTCTTCTTGGTAAGCCATCTGAACTCACTTTCCTCAAGCTTGCGCTGACAGCTGCTAGATTGGAAAGACTTCCTCCCTCGTTTTGACACTCTGCGGTGTGCTCAAGGACATCCTCCTGGTCGCTGCGAGTATGCTAATCTGGGGCACTCCTGTCTCCGCAACACAGTTTTTCGGTTATGGCATTGCTTTGGGTGGCCTCATGTACTACAAGCTAGGCGCTGACCAGGTCAAGCAATACTTCGGACAAGCAGGACGATCCTGGCAAGAGTTTGGTCAGAACAAGCCCGTCATGCGCAAAGTCGTGGTTTTCGGCCTTGTATTATTCGTCATGTTCGTTCTACTCGGTGGGCTTGCTCCAACATATGCTCCTCAACAGACTGGCAAGCTACGTGATTACATGGGGTTTAATGCTGGAGGTGTTGTCAACAGCCGTCCTTGAGCCAGCCTTCTTTCGTCGGAATATTCAATGAGAAATCCTGTGGCGCAACAGGATGTGATCGGGGACGGTGGATATGTACCATGTGTATTCTCTAGACAGTCAGGTTCTACAAGTTGGCGTTGGGATAGCAGCAACATCTGACAGATGTTACAAATGTCCGGCACAGTATAATAATCAAAGAAGTATAGCAATTCTATTACGGGTCTGTTCACCTCAACATAACTCCTTATCCACGAGTTCAAGCAGCGCAAAAATATCGACTTCTCCCAAGTCAGTTTCACAAATGTGCTCTTCGTCCTTCAGTCTACCGACGTCAAATGAACATAAAGTTAGCCGTAGGGTATGATGAGGCGAACACGACTCTTCGGCCTGGAGGACCCGGCTAAGGCTCCTCAGCGGGTTCTTGGCCACCAATAACAACATCGAGAAAAGAAGGCTACTGCAAGCAAGAGTTGAGCTCAACGACCAATCATTTGTGCTTTGGACCCTGTTCCTGCTTGATCTGCTGGGGCTTGCGATGTGCAAGGTCTTCGCGTTGTGTCCTGTCAATCTTTGCTCTAGATCTTGGGATCTCGTTACTTGAGATTCGCTTACGCTTCCTTTCTTTCTTCTTACTCTATATTCACTTTAAAAGCATTTTGTTCCATGTAAACCTCCTCACTTGGCCTTTCGTTTTATATCCTCCTGTCTTGGCGCATGTTGTATTGTTAGACTCATTCCCAAGCGTCAGCCTTATTGTAGGTCATCGTCAGCACTGCACCCGACATCCCATAGCTTTCAAGATGATGGAAACGGACTATAGCATGTCACCTTCATTGTATGCTGGTCATACGACTTCGTGGACGCCTGCTATAGAGACAGCGCCTGTCTCCACCAAACCATCTCGCAAACGATCTCGAGATGAAACAGCATTTGAGCAAGCTGAAGCAGAGAACCCAACTTTCTCAGCACCCCCAGAACCCATACCCGAAGAGCCTATATATGGAGAGGGCATGGTATTGCTAAATCCTTCGACCGGCAGGGCACTTGCCGCTGAGTCGCAAACAGGGACATGGTATGAAGACCAGGTCGAGAAGCAAGCGATAGCAAAGGCAGCTGAAGCGGCTCAACGGCCAAAGATGCCGGTCAGCCGAAAGTCTCAGAGGATTTCGCAAAGTTCCATCCAAGTTGCGCTCAATCTCCCAAATTCCGGTGCGCCGGCAAGTCCACCAAAATCGACACCAAATACCGAGATTGACGAAGCAACTCTAGCTCTAGGAATTGGGTGGACGAAAATGTCCTCGGAGGACCCAGACTTGCAGGCCGCTGCAAGAGGTTGGGCACGATATCTGGAAGTACATTACCCCATGCATATACACAGAGCAGAAATCCTGCTCAAGCATAGAGGGTTGGACGCATATCTTGTTGGCTGTCAAGAAGGCTTTTTTCTGTTTCAGGAAAATATGCTGGAAGGAAAACTGGTTGGCAGGACGTGGGAAAGCACTTTGACCAATTTGCGAGCACAACCCATGCATTTTGAGGGTACAGAAGTCTTGCATGCGACACGGACGCCAGGGCCTGAATCTGATATCAAACCGCAGCAATTGAATGGTTGGAACACGACTGACGACCAGACAGTCACTACCGATGGAATGTTAACAAATGCGCATGCTGCGACTCATATTGGCATGGAACTCGATTGAACAGGCCATCGGTTCAAGGCCGAATATAAATGATGAAAGTTTTCATCAAAACGTCAAATTTCGAGCGTCTTGGGGAAGACGACAGCCAGTTGTGAAGAGATTTGGTCTTTCTTCCAAACGGTAGCTTTGTACATTAAAAGAATAGCGGTTCTCTGACAGCGCCAGCTCGATTGGGACACGAATAGATCGATTGTGTCTCTTTCAGCTATTCGCGATTGTTTCAAATTTTTTTTCCTCACGCCCCTATCAAAGAAACGTTGCTAAATTGAACCATGGAATTGGTAGGGGCGTGATCGTATCTGCTGACAAAGGAGCGTTATTGCAAAAGGCCCAGGTGTATGCCTCGCCACACCTTCCAGAAACGGTAGGCGCCACATGCTTCCGTCCTCCAACTTGAACTGCTACAAGCCCAATGCACGGTTCCGTACCGTTGTGTCAGGGAAGGTACGACGATACTCGCATCTTTCCGAAAACCACGTCACAGTAATATGTAACCTGCTCGACAAGCGTTTGTTATATTTGGTGGGTTTGCTAGATTTGATATATTTCAGGGGCGTCAACTCTTCTGCTTTTCTCCTTTGTTGTTCACACAAGTACAGAATAGGGGCAGTGCTGGTCAGTGTCTTGCAACAACCTGCATAGCGCGCACATTACTGTGCCAAAACGACTGCCATACACATCATGCATCGGTTTCGAGATGACCATCATCAAACTCCATTCTGATTCGTTCTCGGAGTTCGCTTGAAGCTTTTGAATACATCGAGAAACACTAAGCCCCGCAGTCTCGAACTCATCTTGGTGGCCCAAAGTCATCCCTCATGTCTCGTCAGCTCCGTCTATCGGACTTATGTATTGTTGCTTGAACACTACGTAACAGCTTGTCACCACTAAATCAGAGCTTCCTCCACCAGTTACACTACCGGAGGGACGCCATATACAAGCCGACGTATCTCATCACCATGGAGGGAACATGTCTTTGCAAAGCAGTGGCTGTCAAGGTCAATGACGACAATCTCTTTGGTGACCAACGTCGAGGCCACATCTGCCACTGCAAGAACTGCCGGAAGGTTGCTGGTGGTATCTTCGGCACGAATCTGATCATCGAGAACGAGAAAGTCGAATTTCCTAACGGAAAAGATGCCATCAAGCAATATGATGTATGTACATCCAGGACTATATTGTCCGCCAAGTCTAACACCTCTACCAGGATCCAGAAACGCTCAGCGGGACCCCTGTCTCTCGGTTCTTCTGCGCGCGCTGCGGAGTGTCCTCCCCCTTTTTCTTTTTCTCCTTTTTTTCCTTTCCCCTTTTCCTCTCCTTGGCAGGGACGCTGACTGGGCATCTATAGACCGATCATGAGTATATCACCACTATACAAGGGCAAGACTATCTTGAAGTTAGGACTCGTACGACCACATGCTATTGGAAGGAGCCCTGCTGATGTACTACAGTATGACAAACTGCCGACGCCAGAGTGGGAATCCTTTGCCTCACAACGACAGACATGGGAGACAGCCATGCCCGGAACAGTCCAGTACGCTGTGAAGAGCTTTGGCGACAAGCTCCCGGACTCTCCAGAGAAGGCCGGACCAGCGAAGAATTAGGTCAGTGAGGGCAGCAAGTGGATGGTGCAATCGGACGCATAAGTTGCTGCGACCTGTCACACGGGAACGACGATTGAGGTGCCCGCCCGGCTACTGAACAGCCCGTGAGAAGTGCAAGAAAGGCCATGTTTACTTCCTGCTTGAGAAACGAACAAGAAAAGGAAATAGTCAAATAGAGGTAAAGGGGTCTCAGGCAACCATCTTTCCAGACAACGCCAATTTATGTCCTTTCAAATTGAGTTGTATGCTGCTCGTTGGCGTCGCTGCGCTCTATCGCCTTATCGCTGTTCGACGACTGTCATGCAACTGCCTCTACATTCCACTGTGACTCCAGCCTATACTGGCGTTTTACGATTATAGATACGTAGACTGGCACAGGCAGATGGCTATGAAAAACAAAATCTTCGACCAAAAGTGAGGTATCGCGATCTCAGCTTTTCCAAGGTCATGCTATCGACAACTTTCAGGGGTACGCCCGGGGGTTTGGAGTGCACGTGCGGTCTGGCAGGAAAAGCCTCGTTACACCTTCTATATCCAGTAATCTGCCATAGTTCTTCTCGAAGCTAACTTTCTGACTCCAAACGCATTCTCGTTCGCTCATACTGCTGCAAGCCGGTATAGCATTGTCTACCACCTAACATATCTTATCCTCGGTAGACAAAAAGTATACGACCCGTTGTAAGCGCTACAGTAGCCGAAATCCTCCCCAGTGAACTTTCCTCTCGTCCCATCATGAAAAGCAGTTTCGAGTCAGTATGCGGGGAGAGGTGTCATTGTGCATCTCGATATAGTTGATCGCTCTCGAAAGTGCTACATCCTGGAGAATTGAGTTTCGCAAACCCTCAGCTCTGCGGGGTCCTGATCAATGATCCTCGAACACTTTGCGATCATGGTTTCCTTGAAGCAGGCCTTGATGAGCTCTGATTCGACGTCGAGTTCTGCTATGCATCCCAAGCCTGCATCTGACATGATGGGGAAGAGAGGGGGGGAGCTCGGGGGTACAAGAGCATGAACGCCTGCGAATCTCTCTGACTTGCAACGATTGATCACTTTCGACTTCGAGATTGTGAAATCCATAATGGCTAGCGTTCTACCTAACTTGGTGCAAAGTGCACTCAATCTTGGGCCCACGAGTACCACGTACGACCTGGTCGTAGTAGGCAGCGGGTTCGCTGGCACTACTACGACGCTAAATTTTCTCGAAGAATGTAAGAAGTTAGGCAAGAGAGGCAAGGTTGCACTGATCGAAGCTGGTCGAGATGGCGAACGTTGTGGTGCTAGTCGCTGGTAGGTAGAGATGTACTGCAACTGGAATATTGAGAAGTCATAGGGATGAGCTGACACTGATTGAACAGGACAATGGCGTATTTAAGATTGGGAAAAGACAATGATTTTGATAGCGATTGGAAGAACGAGATGGCCTTGGTATCCGAGGGCATGGCAGACCAGGATTACTGCCGAAAGATGGAAGTAGAAGCACCAATCACAGCTCAGTATCTCATCGACCACGGTGTCAAGCTGAACCATCACAAGGAAGAGAACGTCCTCCTCGAGTTCAACACAGACCAGTATTTCGCCTTTCCTGATGGCGGCGGGCAGGCGATCATCAATTGCCTATTTTCTCACTTCAAGGACTACGAGGGACTTGATATCTTCTGGGAGACACAAGCACAGAAGCTTCTACTTAACGAGACTGGCGAGGTTTCAGGCGTGCAAGTACGCACCAATGATGGACGCCGGAAGAACATCAATGGCAAGAAAGTTATGCTTGCTTGTGGTGGCTTCGAGGGCAACAAGGAGATGTTGGCTCGCTACGTCGGACCTCGAACCGAGAAGCTCGAGCTTATAGCGCCGGGCCTTGTTCACAACACTGGTCACGGCCTGCAAATGGCCCTCGAAGTTGGTGCAGCCACAGCTGGATCACCAAATGGCATGCATTGCGAACTCGTGGACAGGCGTGCATCCAAGCCAGATGCCGTGATTTGGGGTCACCTTTACGGCATTGTAGTCAACGACGACTGCAAGCGCTTCTACGATGAAGGCAAGCGACACCTATTCGCCACCTTTGAGATGATTGCGCTCGAATGCTGGCGTGATCATAACAACAGCTGCTACTTCGTCACTGACAAGAAGACAATGGATCGTTTCAGGCCAGGCTGGGTATATGATACTACAGATCAGGAACCAGAAACATCGGATACCATCGAGGGCCTCGCACAGAAACTTGGCCTTGACCCAGCTAAGCTAAAGAAGACAGTCGACGATTACAACGATGCCATCAACGACAAGGAGTTTGACCTCATGAAGCTTGATGGTAAAGGAACTACCGGTCTGTCCCCAAACAAGTCCAACTGGGCTCTGCCCATCAAAGAGGCCCCCTTTTTCGGATACCCGATGAAGTCACAATTGACTTTCACGTACTTTGGCCTCAAATGTGATCTGGACAGCAAGGTTCTAGGCACGAATGGAGTGCCCATCCCTGGTCTATTCGCTGCAGGTGAGCTGAGCGGACTGTACTACAACGAATATCCTCCTGCCACGAGCGTGCTCCGCAGTTTAACTTTTGGTAGGCTAGCTGGGCTCGCTGCTGCCAAAGAACTGTAATATGGCCGGCAATATGCTTGGAGGATCATGTAGACTTCCCTTCGAAGTTTCCCCTGTCACGCTCTTGTTCTGGAGGTAGTAAGCAGCAACATATTTCGACTCGATGCCAATATGTAAAATGCTCGATGACACAGCGTTCGGAGAGTTAATTCGAAACCTGACACCAGGGTCGTTGCAGGGGCTAGATACTCGAGTAGTCTTTATCCGTAGCAAGGATCCTGCATGTAGGAGTTTTGTATCTCTGTTGAAGTCTCGAGGCGGTCATGCTCGTTAAACGAGTCGAGCCCCTGTGTGACAGTCGAAAACGAGTACAATATTCACGTTCAGACCTGGTAAGTAAGAGCCCAGAAGGTGTATAGAGATGTTGACTTGGTCGGTAAGCACATCGCCGAATAGTTCAAGTCCTGGGGCAAGATTAGTCGGCTCAAGACACCCCCCAGGTTGATCAGGTGATCAGTCACATGGTAGACAGCAAAGGCGTCCAGGTATATAGCGAGGCAATAGATCGCGTACCACCTATCACCCATAAACCTTTTTGGGAAAACCTGTAACCGTCCGTCTCGCCTGTTTTCGCCGACTGAGACTCTAGGTACCAGACCGTTCATTCGCACACTGGCATGTGGTGGTCGGCAGCGCGACCGCTCGCTTCGGCGCGATCTGTGGCTGCTGGGTGCGTTTGTCAGATGATAGAGTAGAGGAAGAACAGAGGAAGAGTAGAACCGGAACAGGAGAGCACAGAAATAGGAGTAGAAACAGAGCAGGAACAGAACTGCAATGGAATTGTACATACGATCTCTCAGACGACCTTCAAATAACTGACAGTGGTAGTGGTTGTCAGTAACGCTTGGGATGATAGCAGAGAACCACGACCGTATAACAACGTAGCGAGATTCACTCTGTTATGCGCGTGTCGTCTCCAAAGTGGTGACCGCTAAACTTGAAGTGATGTGATAATAATCGAATCGCTGCTACAATCAGCCCTTCAACTCTTCTTGTGTTTTCCGAAGAAGACATTTTCCAATCAATATAGTATCATGCTGGCATGTCTGCCACATAAACTCTGCCACTTGTAACGGGGACGCGGATGGGTGACGAAGTCAGCTTGCAGCGCTACTATGTTGGGGGTTGGCCACAATTGCCGAAGCAACGAACAACGAGGCCGGAACAAAAGGCAAAATTACAAACGAGCGCGCTTCATGCCACGACTTACTACTAGTACTGCGAATACTTATCCTTCTGGATACAGATTATACGTTGCTGAACCGACACGTCCTATATACAGGCGTCGACAGCTCTTGATCCTGATGTGAGAAGAAAGAGCTGGTACATGCGCAAGAAGTGGAGCAAGCATGGCTGCACGACCACTACGCTCGCCAGCACCTCCTACCTCACCAAATAGATCCAATGCAGGCTCTCGACAGAGCCAAAGGTCAAGTATTGATACTGATAGCGTGAGCGACACAGCATCGAATTATGTACCGCCTCAATTACAAGTGAGCAAACGACCAGGGTATGGACATACACTCCCAGCCTTTGTCTCACACAAGAATGCAAGCACCACATCCATTAATCAGGTACGACCTTCTGCACAATACATGCCTGCAGACTTCCACCGGAAACCTTCCTCCTTTGCTCCTTCACCTCAGATAGGACATCGGCGGCAGCACTCTCAAGGTTATTTCGAGCCGTCTATGCCCTCTGCTTCTCTAGCATCACAGAATAATGCTGGTCTTACCCCTTCTCAGATCGCCGCTCAAACGGCCGTGCAGCATCTGCATGTTAGTGGTCAGCATATGCGAAGACGCTCCTCGACTGTACCCCATCCAGAGCAAGAAGAGAAGAACAGACGGAACAGTTATGGCTCGGTCAGTAGTGATGGCCAGTCCTTGTCGCCTGTGCTTGATACACAACCGCAGTACAGGAATGGATTGATGGGAACCAACAATGCCACAACTGCCGCGCAGGCTGTGTGGAAAGCTCCTCCACCTGCTGAAGAGAAAGAGAAGAAGGGCTTTCGAAGCAAATTCCGTCCGAAGCATATCGGTATAATAGGGAATAAGGACAAGGTCGATAAGCCTTTACTGTCGCCCAACAAGCCTACAAGTGGTTTGGCAAAAGTCTACAATGCCTCTACTACCAGTTTGGCAGACACTCTTTCCTCAGTCAATAGTTCTATGTACAATTTACAAAATAATTCTGTATCAACAATCATCCCTGCCCGAGACGATGAGAAGAAGAAGCACACTGGTCTGCGACAGAAGCTAAAGCTGAAAGACAAAGACGATTTTAACCTCAATCTCTCCTCCGCGAACTCTAATTCTCAGCCTGTTGATATCAACAATCCGAAGTCACTGTACAATTTCGCTCCCTCTTCCCCTAACCACAGCAGCTTCGCAAAGTCAGTGTCTGGCCTCGACCTTCGTGCAAGAGCACACCGAAAGGAGAAGAAAGAGGAGAGATCACAGTTGGAGCAGGTCTACAGCCGCGAAAGTGAAGGCTCAGAATGGCCCTCGAACTCGAGTTTGACGGGTTCGCTTACCAACTCAACTGACGCCTTCACACCATATTCGAAAGAGCTAAGAGAGACTCTGGGCGTGTTTGGTTTGAACAACATGACTCCTGACGATGCTTGGGAGTTCCTCAAAGCACGTCTACTGGTCGTCTTCGAGGGTGAGCATGTCAACATAGCAGTTGAAGACCTCAATCGTCTTGTAACAATACACGTCCAGAGATGTGTACTTAAGCGAGATCCGAGTATTATCATAGGCGATCTTGAGAATCTCTTGCATACAGGCTTTTCCAGTCTCAATCACACACTGCGTGGTGTACGTGAGGAGACTCTGGTCCCATACCTAGTCGATATGTGGATGCAAGTGTTTGGGACGATCTTGCCCTTTCTGCAAGCTGTCTTTCTGCCCCTTGACCAGGAGTTCAAAGGGCGCGGGTCGGTACTTAAAACACCACAAGCAGCAGCAGAGTTTTGGGGTGCACTACCGAGCCCAGAATCTATCGGTCGCTTGTCATCGAGTCCTTCAAGTGTTCCTGACAATGAGGCAACAGATATCGTCGCTGGTGAGGAACTGGAAATTCGCCGCATCCTATTGACCTCTTTCAGAGACCATGTCATTCTTCCACGGTTCGATGTCCTCAAAGCAACATTTTCGCGACTCAGTCTCGAAAGTATCAACGCCACTTTGGCGCATTTCGAGTCGTCTGGCAGGTCTCGTGGTGATAGTACAGGCAGGGACAGCTATGATCGACCAGCTGCATCCTCAAGCTCAGATCCGCGCATTTCATCTAGTTATTCGTCACAGACCTCGACCCTTCTTGGTGGAGCCACACCAGGCTCAAGGTCGCGCGCGACGTCGAATCTATCAGCTGGCTCAGCACAAGACGTGGCCTTTCAGTCTTTCAGCTCACCTCCAGCTGCACAGGCAAACTCAACATCCTCAGCACAAATCACTGAGACAGTGGCGCGAATGTTGCAGTGCCTTTCCGTTCTCTCTAGTGTCCAGTCTAACGATGAAGCCCAGACCAAGCTAGAAGAGCTGACAAAAGAGCTCAAGCTCAACTGGCTGGGTAGAGGTCGAACTGGTAGAAATCGCAAAGGCTTTGTCGGGTCAAGAGTCAGGCCTATCAGAAGTATTGCGAGCACCATCAGAGGAATAGAGAGAGTGAACAGTGACTTGCGAAGTAGGGAAGGCAGTCCTACTCCTACACCAACTCGGCAGGGTACAGTGAGCAGGCAGGAGGGAAGGGCTGAACATGGTTGAGCTTGTTTTGGTCCCACTCTGTCGTAATCTGCATGACTTATGATATACCATCGTAGACGTAGAAGAGATACCCATTTTTCAGTCCTAAAGGGCTTTCCATTGCTATACTACATGCAAAGCAAACTATAACTCCCACCTTCCTTCGCTATTTCTTCTTCTAGTATGCCTCAGGCATCAACCCTCCTCTACCACAACCACATCTCTTCAAAGCTTACACTAGGAAGTAAGCCTTTAGAGATTCTCATCACAACCACACCTCAAAACACAATGTCCACACCTGCCGAACCAACACTAAAAGCAACATATACCAACACCACCAAACCCGTTTCAGACACAACACACACCCACACATTCACTCACACCATCTCCTCCTCACAACCAGCAGACTCCGCCGTAGAATCCAAAACAGCATTTCTATCGAATCTGCGGTCGTCGACGAAGACATTGCAGAATGAAGTGAATGCGTTTTTGACGGAGAGGATGGAGGAGGATAAAGCTGCTGCTGCTGCTATTGTTGTTGAGGGTAATGGTAATGCCAAGAACGAGAAGAAGAACAAGAAGAAGGGAGTAGTGGTGAAGGATGACGACGAGGAGGAAGAAGAGAATTACGGCGAGGAGAGGATTGACGAGGATTGAGTTATGTGAATATCTTCTTCAAGATTTGGTATCTACGCGAGAAACATCGCAAACAAATTGCCAAACGTAGCGTCCAAGAAATCGCCTTCTACGACGCTTGACTCAAATATTCTAGGACTTGAAGGGTAATCAAGCAATTCTTCAGAGGTATACCTACTACCAACTAAGAAGTCACTGGAGACGCGCTACGCCTCAGAACCCATCAAGCTAAATGTCAACCCCTGCATACGACGTTTCAGCAAATCTTCTTCTGATGGCAGGCTGCTTAGATCAATGTCCTTGCCGGATGATGGACTTGGACTTCTCGATGTCGAACGATCGCGCCGCCTTTTGTTCTTCTTGTGGGTGCGACGCTTATCGGCAGCCCCATTGGTGCTTGTCATGGCCAGTGGTGCGTCGTCGTCACCTTCGCTCTCACCAGATGTGCCTGCGGTGGCATCAAGCCTGTGGTGACGAGTCGTAGGCGTGGCAAAATCACTGCCACTTCCTGCTGCGTGGTGTAGACCTTGCAGGCTACTCCTTCTCAACTCGGCTTCAATACTAGGACCTTCGAAATTATGTGGTGGCTTATTGAAAATGTCTGAGATCCAGCCAGCGCAGCGGTGAACGTGCTTCCAGCCTTCTGGGAATATCGATACGAATTGTACGAAACCATGAGATATGCCAGGGATGAGTGAGACTTCGACGTGTGCTCTCTCGTCAAAGTTTGCACTACTTTTCTCCAAGCCAAGCTCTTTCCGCTCTTCAAAGTTTTTCCTTTTGGCTTCTCGAAGGCGTCCAGCGAAGAAGACGGTGTCGTCGACTAAAGGATCTCGTTCACCAGTAAGGAAATAGGTCTTTGGGAATTTCGTCAATAGTGTCTCAGGTGCGACTGCTGGGCAGAGAAGGTGGTCTGTTCGGAAGGACGGTAATTGATGAGGTCCAACGTATAGAATCACCATTGCGCGCATCATCTCTGGGGTAAGGATACGGTCATTGTAGTATGAAATGATAGACGATACAGCAAGTCGCGTTCTCAACTGCTGAGGCTTGTGCTCTTGTGATTTCTGTCTTTGTGCTTCGATGTCGATGTCTTTTTTCTTCTTCGGAGGAGTGTTAGAACGTGGCTCAGGCGAGGCTGAAGTAGGCCGTGCCGAGAAATAGTCACCATTGACGCCTTTGTCCTCGTCAGAGTCCTCGGCCGGTCGAGGCGTAGTGGCGGTGTATCGACGATCGATGTCTTCAGATTTGCGCTTGATGAATCCTGCATATTCTTTCTTTGCGCGGGTGCCAGGTTTGCGAATCAAAGCCATCTGGTCTTCGCTCATCCAAGAACCAATGTTCATATCCAATGCTGGGTAAAGCAGAACCAAGCCTGCGGGCGAAGGTATCATGCTTCTTCCTGAGGCAGCATGACTAGTATTGTGCTCGATGATCATCAAAGTTGTGCCAGTGGCCAGGTTTCCTCCAGCACTGTCGCCTGTGAGTACTACACGCGGTAGACTGCCACTCTTCATGCCCACACATGCACCACGTGATATAATGATTTGCTTGTAGACATCAAAGCACTCATTTAGTGCATAAGGAAATGGATACTCAGGTGCTTTTCTGTAATCCAGGCTCAATATAGGTATGCCTATACGTCCAGCCCAGCATAGAAGTTTATCGTCGCTCTCTCTCGGACTCATAGCAACGAAACCACCGCCAGGTATATCGAGCACTAGCTTTGTTTCCTGCTCCAGCTCTTTCAGAGTTCCATTGTAATACATCCAACCCTGTACTGGCTCGGTATAACTACTGTGTTTAGGTCGTGCTATCGTGATTCGTCTCGGTCCGTACTTGGTGAACTTTGGTCGTAACAAGCCAGTAAAGAACGAGAGATAAGGCGTAGTACTCTTGTTCCAGCTCACTCGCATATGATCGACAGTCATGACTGCGCGAACTTTGCGGACTTTCTCATCTGCTTGTTCGGCAGCGATCAGGTAATATACTGTGAAGATTATGCTGCAGATATCTCTCATCCACTTTCGACGTATTTTCATAGCTGACCAAAACCCAGCGTCCAGCGCAGTTGTGATCCACGTTGCACGGAAGTAGCTCCTATTGTAAAGATTCGCCAGCGGCTCAGGCGACTCGAGTCCGACAATTTTTGCAAAGTTCCGTGCAACGTAGAGGTATGTCAGAGTCAAAACCATTGTGCGCCATGGTGTAAGATGCCGCTGATACAGCCAGGTAGAGAGTCGACGGAGAGGAAGAGGACCGTGTGGGTTTCCGAGGAGGAGGTAGAGGGACCAAAATGATACGGCAAGGAGGACTTGGACTTTGCGGAAGCGGGAGGAGGGACGACCTAAAACGTGGTCGATCATGGTGATGGTTTGTTGTTGCAATTCGCTCTGTTTTGTACAAATACAGTATATAATTTCACAATCTATTTGGCTGTCACCGCCTGTCTCAAAAAATAGTCGTCGGTTTCGAGGTCGTGATGCTGATATGCAGCGTAGCGATCATGGCACCCACGATAACCAAGTGACCCACTAAGGATAGAGGAAGTGTATGGAGGTAAATGAATAGTGGTAAAGCAAGAAAACTCGAAAGGAAGTTGTAAAGGACGTTGTTGAAGGAGCGTGAGCTGTCCACAAGCAGTTGTCTCTGCTCGGAGGTGAGAGAAATGGAAAGTGGTTTGCTTCGTCTACTGAGGTGATGACCTGGAGGCCGTAGTGGTCGTTTTGGACTGCGTTGTGGCATCGTGACCAGCACCGAGCAATTTATGGACCCATTCCGACGTCAAGAACCGAGAACTGGAACGGATTCGCAAGGTACGACCTGTTAATGAGCAGCGCGTGATCGCTCTGACGTTCGGCCTAGGATTACGAGGAAGAAGTTGAAACTAAAGCTGACATGTGAAAGGAGGCTGAGAATGCTCTTGACATGTGGCCCAGAACTCGAGAGCCGCGTGTTCGTTGTCGCATATCCACGGATTCTGATTTGTTAATTCCTGAGGCATGAATACGGACTACCTGCAATGCTTTCCAGGCCCTCGGATAATCACCCTAAGCCTTCCAGGTTAAAAGTCGTACTTTTGACTGGGGACAATTCGTGACTACTGCAAGGGAGAAGGATAGAGCTTGTGTACAGAAAAGCTCTTCAATCAATTATATGGACCTTCTACAGAAGAAGGGACTCGTTCCATTGCAACAGGGTAGCAACTCACTTGAACATTTGCTATAACGCATTGGTATTGTGAGTTTGTGAGCAGGTTGTCCAGCCACTGTGCAAGGTGTGGATACTTGTCACGAGAATGGCATATGCGAGCGGATCCAACCACTAACACCACCTCCACCCCCACCGTCGCCATCACTTCTTCTACTAGACCGCCTCGCGCTGCTGGGCCTCTCAGTATTCGGGTCGTTCTGCGATCTTCCGTAATAGGCCTCTCTAGCAGCTCGTAGGTCACTGGGGCTTTCGGGTATGTGACTTTGATATTGCCTGCTTCCATCCTGCGGCATCGAGCCAGGCATTTGTGACATTGGACTTGCGACTGAGTTGCTTCTCCTGCGCATGCGTGGCATACCACTCGGTCGACCTTGCTGGTGTCGTTGATCCTCAGGAGTGATAGGTTTTCGACAGTGTGGGCATGTATCGTGTTCCTTCAACCAATGTTGTATGCATTCAAAATGGAACCAATGCTTGCAGGGTAGCACAGTAACCTCAGTGCCCATCTCCACATTGTCCATGCATATGCTGCACTCAGCCTTGTCATCGTCACCTAGCATTGTTTTGTCGACTGCTTTTCGTGGTAGCGAGTTTATGATTTCCTCGGGTGCAGGGGGTGCTCCGTTTTGCTGGTTCTGTTCCATTAGTTGAGATACGACACGATCGAGGGCTTCTTGCGAGAATACAGCATCACCGCTTCTAGCGTTGGCTGGATTCAGAAGCATACCAAGTAAATCGAGTGGTGACTGCATCTGGCGCTGACCGTTGCGGTTTTGATTTTGAGGCGAACCGGGAAAAAGCATCGAGAAGAGACTGTTCAGTGTGGTCAGTACTTAGAAACAACAATAGGTTCAAGAATACCATACCCAGGTGGACCTCCCATCATTGGACCAGGGAATTCGTCGTGATGAGGAACAGCTCCTCTATTGCCGAAAGTGCCAGTTCGCCCGTTAATATTGAATGTGCCTCCTACATTGGTCCCCCCCATGCCTCCAAGCATGTTGCCAACCATGCTCTGAAAGTCGCGCATTATTTCGTCAGCGACGGGATCAGCATGCGCGTTGCGTTGTCTTGGCACCCCGAAGCCTGTGGTATATGTTCTCTGGAAAGTGAAAGTGCCATGACCACCTCCACCAGTATTGAACTGGTATGTCTGGTAGTTGCCTATATCGCCTTCATCGGGATCGGGTGCATTCCATGGATTATGTTCTCTTAATGGGCGCATCGTGTCGTGATCAATGTTCATCTCTTCTGGTGTGACTTCTGGAGGATCGTCCACGTTTGGTTGGGCTCCGGGTTCTAACTGAGACGTGTTAGGTGGATATTGACATTGCAGAGCCTGACTTACTATTTCCACAAACTCACTCTCACATCTTGGACATTGCAGCCCACCATGTGCCCGATCCCACTCATTTTCACATTGGTAGCAGAAGACCCTTTCGCCCTCAATTCGACCCGACATGATCTTGGTTTGTTGCGCTCAAGGCGCGAAGCTGGCTAGGGTATAGCAGTATCTAATGTGACGTGTAAGACGTTAAGGCGGACAAGAACTTCGGAGTGAGGGCTGGATCGATTCCGTGTTGATGGACGGACGGTGTTTTAGAGGTCTGTAAGATGGCTATGACGAGACGGGTGACGGTTCTAGGAGATGTTTTCGTAGTGATAGATGCCGGATTATGAGGTTGAAGCAGTGGTGAGTATTGCATCCGACTGTCAAGGCCAGCCGATGCTCAAACAATCGAGCAAGCGACCAGCGAGGCAAATCAAATGACGTCGTATGTCGTATGAACCGTAGAAGCAGGCAATTTAGGCTCGGGGACGACCCACGGATACCACCGCTAAATGCCAGGTCAATGTGCAGCCGAAACAAGGCAGAAGTTAGCCACTGGCAATGTCTGTGAGGAGGATTGTCCTTCTAGTACCCAAGAGCAGGATGTCAGATTATCCAACTACGACGTTTGTGTGCAGTTGATTGGACTCATTGCACGGAAACAGTCGCTTGCTTGATTGTAAAGCTGAAAGAGGAAGTATTCTAGAACTTTCGCTACTAGTACTGCCTGACCATTACGCTTGATTACCCCAAGACCCGAGTACATGCCGCTGAGATCAACCGGATTGAATATATCAGAACTATTCTTATGCAAAAGCCACAATATCACACGTATCGCTGAGCCGTTGAACCTTCAGGCCATGCAGCCTCACCCGCCTGCGTCATGCATGTAGTCCTGTTCACTCGAGCGCCAGCATGACTATCCATCAGAATGCGACAGCCTGATAAAAAGGTTTGTGGTTGTTACCTTGCATTGAAGCCACTGGTATTCATGGTGGGAGGACAACCTTTGTCGTTCGTTGCCTTGGCGTCACCATAACGCGACTATTGGGTCGTTCTGGGACTATGTTGCTAGCCAGTAAGGCTTGTTCTGCTTCCAGGATATTTTGCATAGGGAAGACTTGCGAGGTCAACGCCCTCATGGAGGTTAGTGGCAGAGAATACAGCAGTATTGTACCTTGCACCAATGAAGTTATCGGCGTTTTGCTGAAGCAGTTCCAACTGTCGCTGAATCGAGATAGTTTTTCGTGCATTAACTTAATACTCCTGTCAGACAGACTAAAGTTTGCTGTTCTTAGGGTCAATAAATAGAGCTCTTCCTTTTGCTAGTAGTCGTCCTTTGCCGTCCTCAATCACAGCTTTAACCCACGTCTTCCTCCCACTTCTCTCGACTGTCCAACCTCGACACAGCACTATACCTGGCGTATCGATCGGAGCAGCATAGTCCATTTCTAGCCTTGCAGTGGCCGGCGCAAAGCTGCCGCCGACCTTGCTCGCAGTAGTGCCGGTCATTTGATCCAAAATCAGCGCATTGAAGCCTCCATGAGCACGACCTGTCTTGCCGTCGAGACCGTCGCCTATAGATAACAGATAACAATATTCGTCTGGAGTGATGGCATCAGGTTCGCGCACTGGACGACTAAAATTGATTTGTGCCCGAATAGCATTGGAGCTGGCGTTGTAGAGCGTGCGTACGAACATGCTGTTGCTAACTCTCCTCTCATTCCCTTGAGTTGCCGGTATCCCGTTCGCGACGACATCGGAAGTGGGTGCCTCTACGAACTGAACTTGCGGGTCGTCGAGTATGTCACGACACCACGGTTGCTCCTGGAAATCAGGGTGTAACTTCATGACGCCGATGGACAGCCGATTCGTCTTGGGTGTCACGTCAATATAAGTTCATGGAACCTGACTCCCTACTTTGTGCTCAACGACTCCCATCTATTAGTGAAAACCCACGACATTGAGAAGACAGATGTAGGTGTGTATCACTGCATGACGAGAAACTCGTGGCTCGGTAGTGCAGAATTCAAGCCGCGGCAATACACAGATAAGCTTTGGAGTCGCGTGGCTTTGAAATCCGCTTCACGCGTCGTGCCTACTACTAGGTCTGGGACTTCGTCGTCGTCCTTGCCAACACATCGTCACCGCCCTTTCCATTGTACCTGTCATTTGTTCAATTCATCGCATTGTCTCTGACCATGAATACAAATGCCCTTATCAAAGAGTAGCTATCATGCACTACAGTCTACACAATGAGACGTCTTGCGCTTTGTCCAATAAGCTGACACCATGTTGATTGTCCAGCGTATATAGTGCTGACACCACGCAGCGATCAGGCCATAAAGGTCATAAATCGCGCTACGCATAATAGACCACGCAGATACTGGAAACACTACTGAATCTATTTAGGAACATCGCTATACCTATCCAGTGGTTCAATATGACCTGCCATAGTCGACACTATTCGATTCGTCAGCATAGGAGGTCAAATGGCTGCAGCGAGGACGATTTCTTTCCAGAAGAATTCTTCTATAGAGACCGTCGCTCCTTCGATGAAGAATTTTCTCGTATGGAGCGTGTCTTCCGTGACAGTTACCAGGAACTCTCACTCAGTTCTGTTCGATCGCACGCCCTCTCTCGACTAAATCCGCTCTCTCAATCGCACCGCGATATAGCCAGCAGCATGATGCCTCGCAGGAGAAACACCAGAACAAGACGTCCAGATACGCCTCGCATTTCGCGTTCGCATTTCTTCCCTGACTCTACTGAACCACAATTACTTAGATCCAGGAGCACATTCCAGGAAAGCCGAACAAGGAGGGATGGAAGACGATTGACTTACGATATCGATGCAGCAGATGGTCACAAACGTTGGACACGTAGTACGTACGCCGACGAACCAGAAACAGCTATTCAACCACGAGCTGATTACCGATCTCGAACTGCTGATCGACCCCGACATCGAGCACCATCAGTCAGCAGTAGAACATCTAGGCGACCAAGGAGTCCACTTCTGCTGCCTAGTGAACACAACGATGACTTGAGATGGCGGATTGACAGACTTTTGAAACCTTACAGACCTAGCAGACAGTGAGGTTACTGATTCGGAAGTTAGTGCGCTGATGTAATAGGCTTGTCAGGTAGGCAGGTGGTGGACTCGAGGAAACTACAGACTTGACTACTGCAATGTTTTGAATATATGTGTTTGTTCCCCTGACATTTTACAGTGTTCTTGTGTGATTTGACATATGCAACTCCAGGTTCAAGGTGTGTAAGCACTATAACCAAAGTCAATACTGCCAACAGTCTCAAGTGGCAGCTAAATGTTCGAATTAGCATTCTCCGCATCTGGATTCACTGTAATATGCGAAGCAGGCCAGACGTGTTCATCACAAAGATTGATTTCAAACGCCATACAACCTTTCTATAATCCGAACACTCATTCAGAGCACGTCGCTGCTGTACTTGCTATGCTGTCATTCAGTTCGTCACTCATCAAGCACTCACCCTTTCTCTCTCAGTACTCAACAACTTTCAACAACTCTTCGCATTCATCTCATCAAAACGCATCAAGCGTCATGCTCATCCCCACGTCAATACTCCCACCCTCCCGATCCACCATCCCCTTAAACTCCTCAAAACTAATCTTCCCATCCCCATCCTTATCCGCCTCCATCACCGTCTTGTCCACAATCTGCTGTAACTGCTGATCCTTCAGGTTCGACCCAACCATCATCTTCAGCACTATGAAGAGTTCCCCGTTGGAGATGTACCCGTCGCGATCGATGTCGTATACTTTGAATGCGAAGCGGAGTTTTTCTTCTTTGTGGCCTTTGGCGGAGAAGGCGGAGAGGCCTTGGACGAACTCGGCGAAGTCGACGTCGCCGCCGCCGTCTTCGTCGAAGATGGCGATCATTCTGGAGGAATTAGCAGGGGAAGAAAATGGTGTTGAGCTCTTAGCAATCCTGGAGCAGGTCATGCTTTGCGGCCAATTCCCTCCCAAATGTCCTAGGTGTAATCATACCTCGTAGCTAATGGATTCGAGCTCACTTGTGGTAAGCTAAGAAACTCTTCTCGTTCAATCGTGCCGGAACCGTCCTACATCGACCTCTATCAGCTCTCTGTTCCTCGCCACATCTTCACGTAGCTCAACCCACCTTATCCAACTTCATAAACCTCTTTCGTAACCGGTCAACTTCATCCTTGTCAAAGTTCGATCCCGCCACGATGTTGTCCAATATTTGGCTTCCAGTGATTGTCTGCCGCCTTCTTGACGAGTAGAGTGCTGCATTATTTGCTTGGGGTTCTGTAAAGGCTTGAGCGCCGAAAGCTGGGGTTGCCATGGTGGGTGGGTTGTCGCTCGCAGGCTTGAAGGAGTGAGAGTGGTATGGCGGTGAAGTTGCGACTTCAGACTTGCACGATAGTATACGTTGAGACCAGCTCGTTCAACCTGGCACGTTCGTCGTTGTATATGTGTAGTACAAATAGAGGTGGGAAATGTCTACTATATGAGCTGAAGATGCAGCATGCGACAAAGGGCCCATCAGCGTCAGCAACGGTCGCTCGTCGCACACCAAACCCAAACAGTGCCTGTTCGAGGCAGCAACTATCACAAGCCACAAGCTAATTTCAGGGGCGAACGAGGCATCAAAGCTAAACCACAAATAAACGACATGCACTGTGGCTGGTGTACAGTTACTGCCTGATCGCCTCAACCAGTAATGGAATTGTGTTGACCAGCCTGTTTCTGCCCTTGCAATTTCAATTTTGTGGAGGGGCTTTCCACACTGGTTCCTCTTTGGGCACACACTGGTTGATCGTCACCACCAAGCCATCTCCTCAGCAGCCGGGCTGGCTGTTTTCCCCTTGCCAGCAAAATTATTGCGCCTTTGCTCTCCCCCAAACAACCCGATACAAGCAAACGGCCAGTCAACCACAACCCACGCAAGTCTTTGACCATCAAAAATACACCTTTTGGTCGTGCTTTTTATCGCAAAAATCGATCCAAAAGTTTGCGGCGATCAAGCGCTACATCTGCATACTAAAATCACTAATTTTCATTAATTTGATCAAAAGTTGTTGGTGCATGCATGCTTTGTCGCGACTTTTGGGTTGTCGTGGTGCCAGCCTGTCCTTAGGCCGCAACAATTGCAAACACGCACTCATTTTGACCTCACCAACGCTGCCGGTTGACTTCCGATGTTGTCGTTGGCACCCATATTAGGCTACACATAATTTTCCTGCCTCTGGACCTCAATGTCCCGCATCACGAGCAGATCTACGCGTCCCAAGAAACTCACCGCCAAACAAAATGTACCTATATTTCGTGAGGAGCAGGTCGATAACATCAACGATGTCGACGCCATACGTAATCAGGTAGAAACGGGTGTTGAAAAAGCCGAAGAATCAGTAAGTACTTACCTGACTCACCTACCTTTTACCGCATACTGACTGTTTCAGGAATACCATCTTCAGCAAGCGATAAAAGCGTCACAAGACGTTCGTAAAGCTGAGATTATCAAAGATGCATATATCCCGACACCACCTACCATATCCAGTGACATCCAGTATGATGTTCTGTATCCAAAAGGATGGCAGCAACCAGCCACCTATATTCGATCGTCAGCAACGGTCGAGGACTGTAATCCCATCTCGTATTGCATGGATGAGGAGGATGAGATTGCTTTCAAAGTGATCAATGCCAAGTTGGCTCAACCCATGACAGAAGACCAATTTGAGGAAGTCATAACCTTTTTTGAAGAAACTGTTTCGATAGAACAGCCTTTTGCAAGTGTGCATGCTCCAGTGATGACCTTGTCGGAACTGCTGTCACATGCCGACGACTTAACACCAGCTTCAGTGCAGCGATACGCCAAGACAGTGTACGAGCACTGGTCATCTCGACGAACGACGAAGCAAAACAACTCTCTTCCACCACAACTAAAATTCGAAACAGGCCACGAAAGCGACGACGCCGACCCATATGTGTGTTTCCGTAGACGCGAAATCCGACAGACGAGGAAGACACGGCATCGTGATCAACTGAGTGCTGAGAAATTGCTGAAACTGCGACGTGACCTAGAAAGCGCCCGAAACCTTTTGCTCTTGGTCACTCAAAGAGAGCGTGGGCGGAAGGAACAATTGGTAATTGACAAGCAGGTGTCTGAGCAGAGACAGGCCTTCCGAGAATTGAAGCGGAAGCTGAAGCAACCAGGAGACGATGATCTGCTGATTACCCAGAAGAAGCCTAAGTTGCCGCTGGTTATACCATCAGATCAGCAGTTGGCTCAGCAATTACCGAGTAGACCTGGACCGGAGCTTAAGACACTGGAAGACCTTCGTGCTGATAAAGAACGCGCCATCGCGAACGACATCCATACGAACGTCGACAAGCACATCAGGTGGAATGACGGCTATCACGACAAGACCATGTTCCCACTCACCCCTGTCACGGAAAGTGCCGAAGAAACTCCTTTCTTGCCTGCAATCACTGCGGTGTATCTCCCAACACCTCCAGCTAGCATTTCGGAGGATGAAGCAGGAACTTCCAAGCCCGAACCAACACCGGACGTAGAGATGAAAGATATCTCCAGATCTTCAACACCGTTTAGATACGCCAGTCCCGATGACGACAACGACAACAAGACATCGATGCCCTCTTTCCGCATGCGTACAGGAAGAGGAGGCAGGAGGATCATAGATCGGAAGATGCCATTCAGGACATCTCTGCGTCAGTGTCAGGATGACGATCGTTTCAAGTTCGACCATGATTCGGATGAGGACATAGATATGGAGGATCAGGATGTCGATACGTTCCTGGAGCAGTCGACGAGACAGTCGAATGAAAGTAGTGCTCTGCTGATACTGAGGAATGCTCAGCCAGCAGCCAATGCGCAAGCCACTAGTGCGGTAAAAACGCAGATAGAGGGTGCAAATGTGGCACACCCACCTGCTCAGCAGCAGGTGTCTAGCAGATAACAACTGCTTGTATTTGTTTGAATAGAGAACTTGAAGCGTATTTTTTGTTTCAATCAGGTCCAACTCTTGGTATCGTGCTCGTACAGCTTCGGTCGTCCTCAGAGCTTGGTTTCGGTCGCCCATGTTGCCCTTGCGCAGTTATTGTTATTGGTCTTCGTCTCGGGAAAAGAATGTTGGCCTAGAGCTTTCGGTTGAGCAAAAGCCATGGAAGATCTGTCCGGTTGTCGAGCATTTGACAGTGTTCTTGTCATTCGTGACCAGACGGCTCATGTGTAGAGATTATGGATGTCCGATCAGCTGATACTGCCTGAAGCGAGAAAACAGCTCTTGACTGCCAATCACCCGCGGTGGCATCGAGTACCAAGTGAACCGCAATCTCCTCGCTTTGAGGCGTAAGGAGCCCATCTCAATGAGTGTCTCTAGGTCTTTGATTTAAAACGTGTTGCCGCTGTGGTTGCAACTAGCCCTGGTCGAGCACGGCATTGTACGCTCAAGGTGTCGGTGTCACAGCCAGGTAGCATGCTAGCGCTGGACTGTCGAAGGCTCTGGGCGACAATGCTACATGGTATATCGAGAGTGCTTCTCTAATCTCGTCAGTACCCAGCTCGCCATCCACTGCCAGCCTGGTGCCATGGCTGGGTCCTGTGCCGGCTGCAGAACAAGAGATGCATGCTCGCTAAAGAACCGGGCATAGTGAACAGATACAAATTCTGCCAGAGCAGACCCCCACAGCGTAGCTCGTAAGAAATATGAGATGTAGGTAGGATATGTGGTTGCAATGTGGGCACGGCGCAGACAAAGAGTTGGTCCACCCTACTTTGCGCCAACGCATCAGAAGAGCGCCGCAAGTGCGCCGGAGAACGATTCCGCTAGTGTTCTTGCCTCGGTGAAACGTTGTTCCTCACTACCGGTTGTTCCTCCTCGTGCACGACTGAGCATCGGAGACGAGCAGTCTTGTACATACATGAGATAGGTCAGATACAAACACAGACCTAGACTTGCAGAAATAAGGACTGGTTACTTGGATTACAGAATACGGTTCTTAGCCACAAGGGGCTTAGATTTTCCGTCACAATCCCGTTGTGAATAAACTCGCCAAACCTGTTCAAGTGTATCGAGGCAATACAGTTTGGACATCAAAGACTCACCAACTTCCACTCAATCGAAAAGCTCAGGCAACCAGATACAGCAGGATACATCAATAGACACAAAAACTGCTGGTTGAGACTAATCAACCTCACTACCACAAAAACCTGGGCACAGCCATCAACAACTCCTCAAGCCCGACCCCAGCCTCGTCAGGCATCACACAAACCAGACTCTCTCCTTTCTCATTGTCCTCCACGATGACCAAGCCTCTCATCGCGCTCGGCCTAGAAGGCAGCGCCAATAAACTCGGCGTTGGCATAATCCGCCACCCTCCGCATCCCATCTCATCTTTCAAACCTCGACCCCCAGCTGAAATCCTCTCTAACATCCGCCACACCTACAACGCACCACCAGGCGAGGGCTTCCTCCCAAAAGACACAGCACAGCACCACCGCCAACACGTCGCAAGCCTCGTCCAGCAATCCCTCGCCGAAGCCAACCTGACCTCATCAGACATCGATGTAATCTGCTACACCAAAGGCCCCGGCATGGGCGCACCACTCCAGTCCGTCGCAATAGCAGCACGCACCCTATCTCTAATGTGGAACAAGCCTATGGTCGGCGTAAACCACTGCATCGGCCACATCGAGATGGGCCGCGAAATCACAGGCGCCACAAACCCCGTCGTCCTCTACGTAAGCGGCGGAAACACCCAAGTAATCGCATACAGCAACCAGCGTTACCGCATCTTCGGCGAAACACTCGACATCGCGGTCGGAAATTGTCTGGACCGCTTCGCGCGCACACTATGCATACCCAACGACCCCGCCCCAGGCTACAACATTGAACAATTGGCGAAGAAAGGCAACATCCTCCTTGACCTGCCCTACGCAGTAAAAGGCATGGACTGCTCCTTCTCCGGTATCCTAGCAAAATGTGACGAGTACGCCGCACAGATGGCCAAAGGCACACTGACAGATCCAAACACCGGCGAAAAAATAACGCCTGAAGATCTATGTTTTACGCTGCAAGAAACAGTCTTCAGCATGCTCGTCGAGATCACGGAGCGGGCCATGGCTCATGTCGGCTCGAACCAGGTGCTTATCGTTGGCGGGGTGGGGTGTAACGAGCGGGTGCAGGAGATGATGGGGAGTATGGCGGGTGAGAGGGGTGGGTCGGTATATGCTACGGATGAGAGGTTTTGTATTGATAACGGGATTATGATTGCTCATGCTGGGTTATTGGCGTACAGTATTGGCCAGACTACTGATCTGGTGGACTGTACGTGCACGCAAAGGTTTAGGACGGACGATGTGTGGATTGGGTGGAGGAATGACTAGTACGTGATATGACAATGAGATATGATTACGATTTGTAGAATGTATGTGCGACCATAAAGACGTGTCAACACAATCAGTGTTTGTTGCAAGAGTTGAGATTGCGAGCTTATTCAGATGGGCTGCCATCTGGCTCGTTATCGCAAGATCACAGGGTAACCTCCTATAATGAACACCATGCCCTGAATGACATCCTTGCAGGCGCTGTTTCCTGTGTCCGCTCTCAACCTCGTAATTCAATAATCCTCGTCTCAACCACAATTTCCACCAACACCATGCTAGAACGAGAAAAGTGACATGAATTCCCCCAGATCTTGTTCATGCTCATTCCGATGTAGAGTATCACTGTCCGAACGGTGGCTGCTTTGGCACCGGCTTGAACGATATCGTTGTAACGTACTGCGTAAAGTTAGCAAGATTTTGGATGGCAACTTCTCCCGTAACTAGTACCATGGGCTCCACCTGGTGTTGTGTACTTGAAAGAAAAGATTCACATACCTTCTTCTTATACCTCGTTGTGACGGCTGTTGCCAATACTCCGTTCTTCACATTACTTGTCATAAGATGGTTAAGCACCGTGTGATTCGGGAAAGCCAAGACGGAACTATCATCTTTGACGCCCACTTTCTCACCACTACCATTCAAAATACTCCTTGACAGAAAAAGTGGAAGACTATAACACGATTAGTCAAGACAACCCGAAAATTTGTCGTCGGTTGCTTACCTTGGAGTATTGCCAGCTTCGCTGATCACACGTGAGGCATCCTTCCATCTATCATCATCCTCAGGATAATCGATATCGATAAGTGCCTGAGGAATGAGCTGCCGAAAGTCACCTAGTCCAATTTCTTCAGGGGGAAGTTCGCCTTCGACTAGTCCTTGGTAACCTTCTTTCTCACCAGGCGTGACTGTGCCGGAATAGTCGTCAACCTCTCCCACAGGCGTTCCATCGCCAAGTTGCTTTTCGGAGTCAGGCCTAGGACTTACTGGATATGGCACCTGTTTCTGAGGCACTTGATGACTATCCCGCCTGGCCGAAGAGCTATCCTTGGCAGGAATGTCGTCTGTACTGATCTCGATGTAGTTGACCAAGATATTATTGAAGTCGACGGCAGTAGGCAGATCGGGAGTGACCATCATTACGTTGTCAACGAAGAACTTGAGATGGTGGGTACCAGCTGGTAGAGGAACGACCGTACTGTGGATGTTGGGGTCGGTTTCACTATACATATCATAGTCAGCATGTGAGGCTGGTTTAAGCATGGATATCATGATCTGTTTCCAGATTGAGATGCGTTATAGGTTTTCTATTTTGGGCAGGACAATCCGTAGGTTGATAAAGTCGTTGGGCGGCAAGTATCCGAGACATGGCTCATGCAAAGACGAAGATATCCATTACATCGAGCCGAATAAAAGAAGGTTCCACGATCGAGTCATGCTCATCAAAAAGGAGCACTTACCTTTGCTTCATCCTAAGTTTCCGATCCCAAGCAACAAAAGTACCAGTCACGAATACTTGCTTGGCTGGCTGTCTCCAGTAGATAGTGTAGGGTATAGTCTCAGAAGTATATTGAGCGCCAAAAGGCTGTAATTCCTCGCCGACATCATCCTCATCCTGTGTGTCCATACTCACGATGCTGTTCCTTCTTGGTAGCACGCTATCACCCACATCGTGAGTGAAGATTGGCACGTCTGAATCAGTCTTACTGATCGTTTCCGGACCAAGAGAAGGGGAATCAGGCATCTCAGCTATCGGCAGGGGCATTCTAGGCGGTCTGTGATAGGCTGAATTGTGGATAGGGATATAGGTATGATCTTCGTAAGTCGTGGACAATTGCGCCGATCGGCCATCATCCTGAAGTTCTTCTTGACGGGATCTTGTGGGCAACGCAATGGGTGCTGTCGCTGCAGCAGGGATGTCGATACTCTGAACTGGAGCAGTATCTGGCGAGATCCCTGTCTGTAGGCTTTCTGCATCCTTCTTCCGCCGCGAGGAGCTCGTTGCTGACTTGCCAGACTTTATACTGAGCTCAGGGCTTGTAGATTGTAGCATTTTCTCGAGATTCGCAGTGTCCAGATTATAGGTTGTAGTTCCTTGTACGGCAACAGTGGTTGCTGATGCATCTGCAGGTTGAGATGGACCGAAAAGAGGATGTACAGAAGACCTACGACCTACCCTTCGGTCTCTTTCTGCTCGATCAGCATGTCGTTCTGAGTGAGGAGTTCCGCCTCGAGAACTGGAGTGAGACTTTTCTCGAGGCGTATCTGAAGACTGATTTTGACCCATCTTTCGGAGTGCTGAACGGAGGAAGGGTTATGGGGTCGAAGGGTTATGTAAGATCGCTAATGTATGCTGTCCATGCAGGAAATGCAGGTCTCACGATCAGGGCCGATCGGAGTCGTCAGGATACGTATGCTGTATGTCGAACTTGGGCAGTGGAGTGGGGCAGTATCAGAGTCGTCCCAACTAGTAATTAGATGGATTGAGGATTCCGGAAAGTGTATTGCATCTTCTTTGCATGACAATACGAAGCTTGTCCTTTTGTGCGATGATAACTGCGACGGTGGTGAAAACATTCTGGGGAAAGTGCCTGGGACTGCTCCAGCATGTGCTCTGGCATGTGCTACGAGGGGCGGGCTGTTCCATCCGCAAAACATTTCGGATATGGTCGCCTTAAGAGCCGGCGATGATGTTTCGATAGTGGAGGATAGCGGCAGTTTTGTATGCCGATCTGAAAGACTATCACAGGCACTAGTATCTAAGCTGCTGAACTCCGTTGTTCGTGGTTTGTATCGTGGCAGTGACGTGCATCTTGGCTCCAAACATTGTTTGTAAAAGTACTCCTACTTCGTCAACAGCTCAAAGCCGTCGACGATGGGGTAATCAATGGATGCAGACGCAACCATACAGACGGTTGCAGCCGTGCCATGGTATCAGATCACCGCCACTACCCTGCGGTACATCGCTAAAGGCCTCTACTACACTGTTCTACTGCCAATCGTCAAGCTCCTGCTTCTGGTTTACTCGCTTCTTCGCTTCATTCTGTCTCCGTTCATTGCTGTCGGACATGTATTGCTTCAGTTACTCCTGATTCCATGGCGGATTGCCGCCAAGTTCGAGGTTAGCTAGCTCTTTTGATACTCTTTCTTTCCCAGTGCTAAACTGTATATTCAGGCAGTATGGTACTACATTGGCTGTGCCATCCTCGTCGGCCTCGTCAGCGCTCTAATTCTCCACGGCATATTGAAAGTCTTCGTCCTCGTCTTGCGCCTGGATCATCCTCCAAAGCCGAAACCGAAGCCGATGCCAAAAGCAAAGGACAAACCGGCTGTCGGCCACGACGTTAAGAGCTATCGCAAGGCCAGGGACAAGAAGAGGAGAGAAGCTGAAAAGGAACAGCAAGAATTAGAAACCCGAGCTCGAGCTCTGGCCAGCAGTCCTCTTCTCAAGGATGCGCTTAGAAAGATGGCAGCGAAAGAAGCTGCCAAAGAATCGCACAGTCCTAGAAGCAGGTCTCAGCTATCATTGCTAGATCAGACGATAATCGAGCAATCAGCAGAGGAAGACTCTTGAAGAAAAAGCTAATAACAACTATTCATAGCCTCCACTTTTCAGAGCACTATGGAAGAGCTCCTTGCATCTGACTCGACTACCTAATCGAGCACAGAGCAAGAAAGCACCGCTCATCTTTCTGTGCAAGCTGTATGTTTCTTCTGGTGGTGGTGCCAGTCGTTCTCGCAGCATGGTTGGAATAAAGCTTCGCACTCGATCCGTAATGGTCTGGTCCTTGAAGTCGTAGACGTCGTCTGAATAGTCCATAAATGGTTCTCCTAGAGTCATCACTGAATCGATATGTGCATTGACCATGGCTTTGGAGTCGTACCCAGTCAAGTATCCTAGCTGGATCGAGAGTTCCTCGCATTTCTTCCTGTCCTGTCGACTTGCCGCCATGAGAACTCCTGCGTACAGCCTAACAAACTTTTCTGGGTATTCTCTTGAAGCACCAAAGTCGAGTAGCTCCAGCTTATTTGTATTTCTGTTGTATAAAAAGTTCGTCCAGTTTGGGTCAGTCTGCATGTACCTGAACTCCATAATCTCACGCAGGCACAAACGCAATATCTGCGACCCAATCCAGTCCCGTTGCTCTTGGCTGAACGACTTGACTCTTGTGACTGCGATACCATTCAATCGCTCCATGGTCAAGACCTGCTTACCAGAAGCTTCGTCGATAATCTTGGGCACAGTGAAGACTCCGGTGTCGTCGGATAGGAGCTTATGGAAGTGCTTGGCAGCTTCTGCTTCTCGAACGTAATCACATTCCCAGGCCAGCTCCGTGCGAGCATTGGCAATTGTCTTGTCTAGATACAAACCTTTAGGCAGTAACCTTGTGGCATGAAGCAACAAAGACAGGTTGTTCAAGTCGGACGATATAGACTCAGCAACGCCAGGATATTGAATCTTGACAGCCACAGGTTGCCCTGACTTGAGCACAGCACCATGGACCTGACCGATCGAGGCAGCGGCCATAGGTCGTTCCTCGAAAGATTCGAAGAGGTCTCGCCAATTGCTGCCAAGGTCATTGGCAATTACTTCGTCTCGTTGAGATGCTGGCATGTAGTCTGCGTTATCCTGTACTCTCTGCAGTACCTCGACGATAGCGGGTGGAAGCATTTTGATGTCCTGAAAGCTGACCATTTGACCGAGTTTCAGAGCTGCGCCTCGCATCTTGGACAGCTTGGCCACCAATCTCTCCATATTGGCTGGACTGAGAAAGTTGCCAGACGATGCAGCACCAAACGCCATCGACGCTGCTAGGCCGCTAAACTCGAAAATCCGAGACATGCGAGAGGAGGGGACACGAGACTCGCGCATTTGATAGGTCTTGGGTGGATCGGCCTACGAGTGCGCCTGTCAGTCCGTGTGGTCAGTTTCCATGATTTCGAGCGAGTTGGTACTTGATGAAGAGGGACTCACATTGCCGTCAGCAGCCTGTACATCCTTGGCCATATCTTGACCTAGCTGTTCAAAGTCTTGCTTCTCAGCCTGCGCACGTTGTTGCCCATACCTAGCGCTGGTATGTAATTGGCGCTTCGCTCCGCCTGGCATGTATTTGTTCTTCTTGCCCAGCAGAGCAGCTGCTCGAGGAGTATGGAATAGCTGCTCAAGCTGTTCTTCAGTAGGTGCCTGGGTCTCGGCTTCTGCGCCTGAGTAGAAAACGTCCGCGTTGATGCCATCTTTAGCTACGTGAGAATCACCTCCTTGAACGTCGTTTTCTGTTTTAGGCACTTTGACTCGAGGAAGTGAAGAAAGGACAGGAGTCGCTTGATCGGGCGGTTGGTAGTATACGTCCTTCTCTTGCTCTATGGAGAACTCAGGTTCGTCACTTGGTGGGTCTGCGCTTGCAGCTGGAATCTGTGATTCGGACTGCCGTTGTGCTATTCTAGCTTCTTTTGAGGATAAAGGTGAGGTCTGAGGATTAGGTATGCTCGATTGACCTGAGGACTTGACACTAAGAGCATTCTGTTCACTTTGTTGTTCCAGCGGTGCTTGTGAGGTCTCAATTATGGGCCGTCCGGGCTCGCTTTCCGCGTCTCCTGCTTCCTGACCAATGGCACTGTTTAGAGGAGGAATGGTGCCATCTGGAAGAGGACGCCGCTGGGCTTCAGCCTGCGCAGGTTCTATCTGCTGCTGTGAAGCCTCTGTCGCCACACTGTTGTCCTCGGATCTCTCATAATGGTGGTCTTGCTGAATTCCCTGCTCTTGACCCGAGCTACCTTGCGAACCTGCCTGCTTGTCTGCTTGTGGTATATTATGACTCCGATGTCCAGACGTTGCTTGCCGTATCTGCTGAGATAGTATGCTTGCTGTCAGAGGGTATCTCTGTCTAAGACCTTTGGTCAAGGAAGACGTCTTGGCGTAAACCTCTGCTTGGGATAATCGGATCTGAAAATGATTATACGCGACTTTGCGTCCAGCCCGTAGTAGAGCTACTGCATCTAATATCCGTTTCCTAGACATCTTGCTCACGCCTTTACTACCGCCGCATGCCGCGAGCAGTCAAGCCAGGCTAGATTACCTGCTCAGTATTTCTGAAAAACAATTACGCAGATCTATTGATGGGAAAGAGCATTCGAGAGCACCTTCCTCGCATCAACCTCGATGCATTCGAGCATGTCATGCTGCAGCTTTCGTTGTTGCTCCTGACACTGACATTTGCACGGCATAAAACGGCAGCTTGGCACAGCTTTGCTCCCACGCTCCATACTTTAATTTGGCTCCAGTTATGTGAACCACGATTTACCCCGAAGACCGACTCAGAACAAGCACTGAATCAGCATCAGAATGCCATCTTACTTCTCCCTTAGCACAAAAGCCAGCCGCACCAACTATGCTACATGAACACTGCTGACATCGAGCGCCTCAAGGCACACGTGGCCGAGCTCGAACAACAACTCCAAGCCACCAAAGCCGTTCTCAAACGAGCAGAAGCATCTCAGCTCTCCAGCCAAGATGCACGAACCACCACAGTCACCACACTACCACTAAGCTCATCACTGCACAATCTCCTCCTCCTATCTGATTCCGCTCTCCCACTGGGATCATTCGCATACTCCAGTGGCCTGGAGAGCTACCTGGCACATCACAAAGGCAGCAGCAATGTCAGCAGCAGCACCAGCACCACCCTCTTCAATCAATTCCTGAAGCTGTCCGTGCAATCCATGGCACACACGCAAATACCTTATGTACTTGCCTGTTTCCGTGACCCGTTAGCGCTGATGGATCTGGATAACGATCTTGATGCTAGCACGCCTTGTACGGTACAGCGCCGAGCCAGCGTTGCGCAGGGTCGAGCCCTGCTCAATGTGTGGGAGAGAGCTTTTAAACTCACTGCACAGCGAAGCTCCGTTAACACGGAAGATGATGGTCGCGAGGCAGCGGCAGCACTGAGCACCTTCTCCGCCGATCTCAAGGCTTCCGCAATCTCAGATGTACCTCTCCCTGTAAATGGTCATCTAGCACCTCTCTGGGGCTGCGTCGCACTGAACTTAGGTATGAACCTCGAAGAAGCAGGGTATATCTTCCTTCTCAACCACGCCAAAGCAGTGATTAGCGCAGCCGTTAGAGCCTCAGTGATGGGCCCATACCAGGCTCAAAGTACATTAGCTGGAGAGGCATTGCAAAGATTGGTCAAGGAAAGCTTGGAAAGAGTTTGGTTTTTGCAACCTGAAGACGCCGGACAAGCCGTGCCGACTTTGGATCTGTGGCAGGGCAGGCACGAACTGCTTTATAGTAGGATCTTCAATTCATAACTCATTCATAACTCTCATTACATACGTACGCATCTCATCCATCTGTCTCAACATGCACTGTACATCCCCTCAATCAAACACAGTTCCCAAATATATTCAAAACGTTCACTCTCAGTCTTCCCATCGATCAAAAACAGGCTGCCACTCCTGTCCCGGATAGGCAGTAGCACTCATCATAGGCTCATCCTCAGACTCATATCCTTCCGGCTTACTTCCAGACAATTCGTACACTTCCGCATCATGATCCCTAGTATTTCTTGGCGACATTTTATGAGTCGTAGCACCATTCGTGGAGGTCGGTAATGCAGACTTGACGGCTTTCGGCATTGGAGGCGGGCTTACGAGTGGTGCAGGTGGCGGTAGTGAGGGCGGAGCCAGTGCGGGCTGGTGTCGACCGTACTGTCCACGTGATGGCTCTCTTGAAAGGCTTGCGACACTGACGTCCGTGCTCGGCCGCTTGTTCGTGTAGATGGATGATTCGTGACCAGCTTCACGATGGCAATTTTCGAAGTCGGTAGGCGTAATAGTGCGGTTAATTGGGCCCCTGCCTCTTAGGCTCGAATTCTTGTTGATGGTCACACTCGGACTTTGTGCTCGGGGTGCTAATACGGCACCACTACTCGCATTCGTGCCTGAGTCGGAGTTCGCAGTCGGGCTTGCAATAATCGTCTTCGGCTGTTGACTGCTTTGCCCATGGTTCATGAAACGGTCGGCTACAGTCTGCGGTCTTGTCTCTGCGGGAGCTGTCTGTTGCGGTTGTTGTGGTGTTCGCTCGAGCATGACTCGCCTCATCTCTCGTGCTCGCGCACTTGTCGCACTGCTCGGATCCTCGACTCCTTGCTTTTGTTGCTCATCTTCTGGAAGCGTAATTGCCCATGGTTTCTCTTGATCTGCCTCACTCCTTGTGACACCTATTGGAGAGACTTTCTTTGAGTTGAACGTGCCCAATCCTAATACTGGACTTGCAGAGTGTGGTGGAAAATTCTGAAATTCTGCATTCATATCTTCGGACGATGTGCGACCTCTTTTCGGTGAGCGCGAGCGAGTGTGCAACTGCTTCACGCGTGGTGAGATGTTGCTTTGAGGCTGGACTGCGCGGTTTTCGGCCGCGATCCGAGACACCGCATCGGTCTGGAATTTGTGCGGATGAGCATTCGAATATGATTTGGGCTCATTTTGTGGTCCTCGTTCCCATGACTGGTTATGTGCTTGCGACGGACTACTCGCACGATGGATTGTGTCCGAACCATGAGAGATGTCTTTGTTTACACGTGTTGACGGTGGCTGATAAGCTTCTCGAGCCTGTTCAGGGATGCGATGGCTATATTGCTGCTGCTGCTGCTGCCGGTTTGGATAGCTGGTGGTCGCCAGGGATCGTTGAGGCACTTGGTCGTGCGTAGGACCTGCAGGAGCTGACAAAGGTTGTTGTTTACCTTGATACGAGTGATCACCTGTGTTCAGTCGCGGCAAATCAGGTCGCTGTTGAGGCGAGTGATAGTCCTCGTTACGAGATCTTCCATCATAGCGATCATGCAAATTGCCGTACTGATATGGCCAAGTACCTTGTAACGGAGCATCCGGATCATCAAGTCCTGTGTGGTTTCGGTCGTGACTCGGTGAGAGCGCCTGCTGGCGCAACGTGTTTGCTTGCCCACCATAGTAGCCCTCTCTAGGCGGAGCCATGCCCTGGAAGGATTTGCGAGGATCTTGTTGATTGTCATTGGGCCGTTGACCTTGTCGACTACCATGGTGCATTGTCTCGGCTTCAGATTGGCCTGGGTAGTCTTGACGGTCGTGAGCAGTACTTTGTTGAAACTGTGGCTGCTGAGAATTAGTCGGGAGCGTGGACGCTCTTTGTGGTTGCTCGTCTCTTGCAGACGGCTTGCCAAAAAAGCCTGAGAATCTTTTCTTCTTTCCGGCAGACGTTCGTTCAGGTTGAGCGTACTGTTCTGAGGGTGTCACCTGTTCATGTTGTGCCTGGCCAAAGGTTGTACTTTTGAAAAGATCTTTGCTGATCTTTCGACCACCCTGACCAGGTCGTGCATTGGACTCAATCATGGGCTCCCTGGAATCCAACCTCTGAGCCGACTTCTCTCGACTCCCCGACATGCTGCCCCTACTACCAAAGTTCAGCAAACTGGGTCGTCTGCTAGTGCTCGGCATGTCTTCACTTGGTTGAGCTCGTCTGTCGTCTTTCTGAGCCCGTGAACGAGATTTGGATCGATTTCGGAAAAACGAAGTCAATCGAGATGGTCGGTTCCTTGTGTGAACCCGTTCGAGTTGCTCCCCAATTGGCGAGCCAAACGGTGCCTGCTGTTGTTGCGAGAATGAAGCTTCCTGCCTCAAACGTGCATCCGCCTCGTTGTCCTGTGGGTAATGACGTTGAGCATGATCGAACCTATAGACGACGCTCTCGGTTGGTATTGCTGATGTATGCGAAGGTCCATTACGTTCTTCCGGTTGTTGCTGCTCGACTGGTGTCCTACGTAGTTGTTCTAGCAATGGTGACGACGTTTTCTGTCGTGGCGATCTGAGTTCCTGTCCATATGGACCGGGTATTCGATATCCGCCCTCTTCTTGTGGTTGTGTTTGGACTTGGGGCTGTGGTTGGCGGAGTTTCGCGAACTCTTCTGGAGTTCGGCCAGCGAATTCTTCCGGGTTACGTCGAGCACTTGGCAGAGGACTACCTGCATATTGATCGCGTAAAGCTTGAGTCTGGTGGGGACCAGAGATCTGCGCCAGCAGGTTACGTTCTGCCGAGCCAGAGCTGTGGACGTCGTTGCTTGTTACGTGGTCAATCGAACCGTTCGTGCCATGTCCAGCATTGAGGATACTTTCCGATCCTGCAAAGGAGAACGGCCGACTCGTCTCAGCACGAGGAGGCTCTTGATCTTGCCTAATACGAGCTATAGGGACGATCTGAGCACCTTGCGGTATTCGTGGTGGTGGAGCAGGGATTTGTGAATACCTTGGCAAAGAACTTTCCTCTTGTCTATCAGCTTGAGCTTCTGCTTCTTTAGCTGATTGAGGCTGCGGCATAGGCGCTGTAGCCATTGCACTAGAGTACGAGGGCGCGTGGCCAGAATGCTGATGATTCTGCTGTAAATCGGCTGGTGGTAGACTTGCGGATGCAGGAGCTTGGACATGAGAAGGCGTGTACTTCGGATCGTCACGGGTGATTTGAGGCTGCAAGTCAGGACTTATGCCAGCCGTGACCGCTCTATCGGTTTGGGTTTGGGTCCGATCCAGCTCGTTACTGACAGCTGAAACGTCTGATACACTCGAGTCCCTCCTCAGGTCTCTAGCATCTCGTGGATGATATAGGTCCGTAGATATATACCCATCGTCAGTATCCATGGCGCTGACACCACCAGCTGATTTAATTGTGTCTTTCCTTGTGGGTGTTTCCATCTGTCGTGCTGTAGAAGTCGGAAAAGTTCGTGGTCTAGCTGTGTCGGCTGACTGTGGTGACTGTTCGTGTTGTTCTCCCACCGGGCTGACAGTACGTTTGAGGTTGGTTTCGGTCTGGTTTGTGCTGGCCTCGGATACGGGCGAGAACACTGGCCTGATTGCAGTTCTCGAAGCAGGGTGGCCAGCTGTCGTGTTTAGTGGCGCCAAGTTTCGTGATACATCGTCACTGTTGCTGGTTGAGAAATATTTAGACAACGTGCTCTCCTCTATTGGCGTGGACATCGCTGGAGTTGGAATTTGAGGTGCGGTGCTGCGGGTTGATGCTGATTTCTCGTCGACAATTGCTGGGATTTGGTCGGTCATCGATGACCTCTGATTGATTGCGACTGGTCTCTGATTGATCGTGGATGTACTGACATTTCGACTTTGCTCGGTAGGAAGACCCTAAAAGACGCGTCAATATGGATAGTAAAGGTAAGAGGATAACAAAATGAATTTTCACTATCTTAGTTCACATTGAGACTGGGCACCAACCTCGCATTTCAGGATTGAAAAGCAGATCGTATCTTGAAGAGGGAGTAAGAGATTGTTATCGCACCTTTTGGCCAGCACTGGCAGTACGAAGCTTTTCCTTGCCCTTTGCAAACAATCCCTTTCCGAGTATGCCAGCCTTCTGTCCATACTTGCTAGCCGAAGCAAGTAGCCTTTTCCCATCTTCTTGCATTTGTCTCGTCCCACCTTGAGTGCCACTAGACTCTCGGGCGTGACGCTGGGCACTATCAGGGGCATAAGGGCTAGCACTAGTGGGTCCAACTACAAAGAGGTCTGCATGTCCAGAATTACTCATGTACGTCAGCCAGTTTTCTAGATGTCCGACGGGCTGCACATATGCGTCGCGGTTCTCATTATAGGCATGTATGCGAGCCTGAGCCGTACTCATACCAGCAATCTGAGTGACTGGCACTCTATCCCCAGGAAAAGGTCGATTCGAATTGTATTGAGTTGGTAACATTGCCTGTTTCGGTGTTCGAGGCGTGATTGGTGATGGTGGTGTTGAGGTTCTTGTGCTTGGGCTTCTTGACCTTGACGTTGTCTCATCTACCGAAGTGATTGGTCTAGGCGGATCCTTCGGTGGCGTCATCGGAGCACGTTCAGTCGAATCTTTTCTAGTTGGCAGCCTGCTTTCCTCGCGTGGCAATGTGGCTGATTGGCTTCCAGCAAGATCACTAGATTTCAGAGTATCGGAAGGCGTTCTGTTGCGATCAACAGGAGGCTGGTATGAGTCCCGTGCTGACGTATATGCGTCACGATCTATATTCGTACCAGAAAACTCACGAACATCATTCTTCGTAGCAGGACTCGTGCTAGCATGAAGAGAGGGTTCATGGGCTCCGACATCAGGTGTGGCCGCCCTCGCTGTGGTCTCTTTCTGTCCTGGTTCATGGTTACGGGAAGTGGTTGGTACTCCAGGTATCATGCTTGCCACTGTAGCAGCGATACCTCCGAGCTGATTCTGCAATGTTTGTGCAATCGTTGGCGAGTGCTGCTTCTCTGGTTCGAACAGAGGACGTGTCGGCTCCTGAGTAGAGTCAGCCACGGATGTCTGATGATACTTAACAGAGTTTCCGTTAAAAGCAGAAAGTGGTTGAGAGCTGTCCTGATCACGTACAGTTGCATACTCCCTGCTAGGCGAGATAGCAAGAGCAGCAGCAGCGAATGGTGCCGAGGTAGGGCGTGCATGCTCACGATGCGTATCATCGTGTACTGACGAGGTTGTTGCTACATCCTTATCGGCAGTATCAGGTATAGTCGATGACTTTGGCGTCAGACTCTTCACAATGTCCGACTCCAGCTGGTCTGTGTCAGTATGGGAGTCAGTAACTGGGCGGACTCTGACTGGAGAGGCTGGTTGACGAGAAGGATCGAAAGTGCTCAATCTGTTCGTACGAAGTGGTGCAGGTGCAGGCGTGCGCTCGTCCTCATCTTCGCTCCACCAATTAACCGAATCCTTCGAGGGAGATTCGGTGCGAATCGATTCGGCCTTCGGCATTGCACGATCGATCATATGAGTCGATATCGGTACTGGCTTGCCATATTGAGAGCCTGTATGTAAGGCTCTAGGGGTCGCATCGTCTGCGTTGGCGAAGTCGCGTGTTGCCGATTCTTTGACATATTGTGGTGACTGTGGCTCTGGAGTGGCAGCGAAATCTCTAGCTCTCGTATTTGCGTCTCGATATGTTCCTGTCGGACCTTCTGATTCGTTGATGCTACTAACATCGGAATCTGTATGTGCAGTGGACGTCAGGGAAGGGCCGGAGAATATGCCAGCTAAGGCAGAGCCAGCGTTGGCCACAGCTGCAAATGCTTGAGCCTGGACACCACTAGTATACTGTGATTTCCAGTCATTGTCCTGCGGCGCTCTCGCAGTCGGGAGACTAGCTTCACTATCGTTCCTATGCGCTGTGCCAAATAGTGGTCGAGGATGTGTCGGTTTGCTTGGTTCCAATGGGGCAGGTGCGGCCTTCTGCACACTGCTTGTAGACATCCAACCTCCAGGCAGCTGAGGCCTAAAACTCTCATCTCGAAGCATCTGAGGGCGATGTGAAGATAGGCCTACCTTGTCGGAGGGTGGATTTTGTGTATACTCGCTGCTTCTAGCAGATCCCCGATTCAGCCCGCTGGGCATAAGGTCCGGTGATGACATCTCCGAGGAAGGTAGACCAGGGGTTGCAGGGTTGCTGTCCTGTATTCCGTGACGAGCGTGAGCTTCTTTTCTGGCAGCCGACCAGTCTTCCCATTCCTCAGAAGCAGTGCGTTGCTTATCAGATGCCACAGAGACAGAAGAGTCTTGCTTTGGCAACATGGGATTTGCATGATCAGTCTTTGAAGCCAATGGTTGTGGATGTGTAACCACGGCTGGACCTGGTCTTGCGACTTGTGCCTCCATCACAGCTACCCTATCGAGAACATCTCCGGCAGAAGCTACTGCAGATTGTGGCTCAGGCACAGGAGGAGCTTTTGCACTCTGGGGCCTTCTTGCAGGACTTGGACTGTTTGTCCTGTTAGAAGCTGGCCTCTTGGGAGGATAGAAGACATCCTCTTGCGCTCCTGCGTATGGAATTGTCGTGGACTCGGCGTCGCTGATTGGAGCAGCGGGTCTGTTTGGAGTGCGATCAAAATACTGGTTGTTGAAGTCGTCCATAATTGGGCTAATTTGGGAAGTGCTTGTTGTGTTGGATCTCAGTAAAGAAGCATCCGTGGTTGCAGGTGAGTTTGAGGCGTCGTTCGCTGTGGAGGAAAAGCCTTGAGAAGGTTGTTGTTGCAATCTATTGCTACTTGTGTTCTCTGATAGAGACTGGAAAGTAGGATCTTGGTTAGAATCGTGCTGTCGGAGAGCGGAAGGGCTGCCAGATTGGAAGAAGTCAGAGTCAAAGGTTGAGACACGGCTGATTTGAGGCAGGGTTGACGATATCGGCTGCGGATCGCGGTTGGTGATATCTCTAGAAGGAATGCGAGGCTCTCCAGCTGTAGCTGAATCGATGTCAGGGCTGTCGGCATATGTTGATGAGGTTAACGATCGAGAAGGAGCTCGCAGAACGTTCGTGTTCGGAGCTTTGGCCTGAGCAGGAATCTTCGGTGGCATCTCTGTCTCCAGCTCATTCTGACGCTTGGTGGTAGTGTCTGAAAATGGTGGCATTGTTCTCGTAGATAATGCCTGGTTTGGCAAAGGAGGTGGGTCTTCTCGAGCACCTCTTCTGATCGAGTCCATACTAGGGCGTGATGTTTCTTGGGGGCGTCTCTCTTTCTCCCGTTCTTCGTCCAACCTCTTGTAGATATCGGCAGGTCTGATGAAGGGCAGAGGCTTCGTGGTAGATTCAGGTGCGGGAGGGGGAGGGGGCATAGAATCAGTATAAGGCTGCGGTGGATTGTACTCGGCGAAGTCTTGTTGACCAAGACTAGATTTCCGAGGAGGGAATCTTGAGCTATGGTTCGAGCTCCTGCTATCAGGACGCCGGGCTGAGTCAATCGAAGTTCGGGCCGGAGGGTCCTGGCGCATCATGTGCTGATTGTAGGGTTGCTGTGGATAGAAGTGGCCGGCTGAGGTACTCTGGGCAGGTGGGAAGTCGTAGGAGGGAGGATTTGCGCCGGCTGAGAAGTTCCTCTGCTCAGGTGCATGATCGAAAGACAGGCGGGAGCCTGTATTAATGGCAGGATTGGTAAAGCTCCTGCCTCCTTGGGCCAAAGACTGCTGCACAGGCTCTGGCTCGTAGCCGTCGTCCTGGCCCCAGTCATCACCACCATAATCGACTTGGCGAGCTTCAGCCCACTTCCTGGTCACATTGCGACCCACAGATGGTCGGTACGAGTATTGATGTGGATTCGCCATGGAGGGCCAGCTCGCGACAAACTGAGGTCTAACGGCAGAGAATGAATTCTACAGCCAGAGCGTGCAGAATCAAGGAATCACGTCGACCAGGCCGTGTCGCAAGTGTCAATGCGCAATGCTGTGGCACGTTGGTCGGATAACCATCCAGTACTATTCAAATAAGCCTTCGGGTATCAATTATCAATTATAAGACGGCTGATGTATAGCCTGATCAAGGTGCGACGCAGACGAAGAACGCTCAACAACGACAACAGAAGGGATTGCGGTGATGACAGTGTGACAACAGCAGCATACTGTAGATAGAAGAGACAGCAACATCTATTATGCTTTGTATAACCAAGAATTCCAACTTGCGACTGCGATCGCCAACCACCTGGCACGTCAGCTCCAAACTGTCGAAGCTGGAACAACTGCTGGTATCTGGCACAACAAAGTCGAGTCAGGCGGCAACTCGCTCCTATCTCGATCGCACCTTCCCGCAAACTCTAATCACAGGTCCTGCGCCACAGCTGACGATTACATGGGTGGCACATCCTTCGTGATTGGCTACGCAAAGAAACGGGCACGGACCTTCAAAGTGCTTGCTGCGACCGGCAAGAGTCTTGCAGGGACCTGCCGGTCGAAGTATCTCCGGGCCGACAAATGAATCTGAACAACATTGCGTTTTGCAGTTTTGCGGAAAGAATGACCAGTTCAACAGCCACATGCGCCTGCCTAACTTTACGATTATTCTAGCAACATTGTAGCAACACAGTACATAATTAGCAGCAGTAACAAAACCACGTACAGCGACCACTCCTTTACCTCCTGACAGCAACCACGATCTTCAGTGCCTTCTCCGGCCTGTAAACACACTCTGCAGACACAACAGATATGGTCACATCGATACAGGACCGGACGAATGAGTTCCGGACCATTCTCGCGCAGGCGCAAAGACGACAGAAAGCACCACCGGGGCAACGCCAGTCCTTACTGTCCGAGCAGCAGAAGCGGGAAGCGAATGACGGAGCACCTCGAAGCGCAAGGTCACAATTTGCTAGAGATGCTGCGGCGATAGGGAGAGGCATAACTGCAACAATGGGTAAATTGGAGAGGCTGGCACAACGTAGGTCAATCTGAACAGAAACATGGCTGTGCATATGGAACTGACACTGTGCCAGTTGCAAAGAAGAAGGCCATTTTCGACGATCGACCGGTGGAAATCAACGAATTGACACATGTCATCAAGCAAGATCTGTCCCGACTGAATACTCAGATATCGAACCTTCAACAATACACTCAACAACAACACTCCACCCTTCCAAAATCCCAGGATCAAGAGGGTCAACATAATAAAAATGTTGTTTTGCTGCTTCAGAATAAAGTGACTGATGTGGCCGCTAACTTCAAAGACACTCTCGAGATCAGGACGAAGAACATTCAAGCTAGCCGCTCGCGCACCGAGAACTTTGTGAGCTCAGTTTCCGCTCGCTCAACACAATTCGATACCTTACGATCCGAGTCTCCGTTATATCAGGGGACCACCGGCAAGTCTCCGCGAGCTGCTCAATCCTCCGCAAATGATCTCCTTACCCTGGAACCCTCCTCCTCAAGCACATTATCGCTGAACGGGCCACAATCGGATCAGCAGTTGCTGATGATGGAAGAAGCTCATGCTCCCAACGCATATATTCAAGAGCGTGGTCAGGCGATTGAGTCGATAGAACGGACCATCAACGAGCTAGGCGGCATTTTCTCTCAGTTGGCCTCCATGGTTACAGAGCAAGGTGAAATGCTTCAACGTATAGATGCCAATACCGAGGATGTTGTTGACAACGTCCAAGGTGCTCAGCGAGAGCTTTTGAAATACTGGAATAGAGTACAAGGCAACAGGTGGCTTGTAGCCAAAATGTTTGGTGTTTTGATGGTTTTCTTCTTACTTTGGGTACTGATATCGGGATAGCATTCACATCCAGAGCTCAGAATTCAGTCCTGGCTTTCCGGGCCTTCATGCACATATAGAGAAGGAGGGCGATGCCTGATCATCATCTCGATCTCATTTCGCACTACAGAGCGACTTATCTAGCTAATGCCTATACCTGCAAAGCATATTCTTGTCTTTAGTGGTCCTCCAGGAGTGGACTTCATTATCTAGGGGTCAAGAGCAGCATACAGGATCCTGCGAAGCACCACTGCAGCTGTTGCACTCAGGGGCACTCTTGGCATTGCCTCTCAGCCTTTCTATAAATGGCAGCTTTCACGATGTCCATCCTGCCTTCCTCCTCCGTCGAGAAATGCCAACTCCCCGTCAACGTTGAGTGCTGGGTTTCTAGATCTCTTGCAGGGGTTTCCAGGACGCAACACTTGTTGAGCACACGACATATGCTTGCGACCTTGATATGTATGTGCGACGTTTCGTGTACAAGTTCAAAACTTCGACTACGCGGCACGATCTTTGGGCCAACCTGAAAATACGGCAATACAATCTAACTATGTATTGTTCAATACCGTGTCCATTACCTCTTTCCAACGATAAGTAAGTACACAGGGTGATGTCCGGAAGGCAGACTGAACTCAGGTCCCTTCATCTGACCAAGCTGACTCCGGTGTCCTCGCGAATGGAATGCTTTCTGTCGCGACCGCCGACAAACTGTCTAAAGCTAGTGCTAATGCATTGACAGGCTTGTACACATCCTCCTCATTCTGGATGGCTCTTCTTTGCTAAGTGCAAGAGGATAGGCTGGTCTAATCCGAGGCCACACCTGATTCCTGCCAGATGTGAGTGCCGTTGTGGAGTCGGGACAAACACTATGTGCGTGGGTTGCTAGTACTGACAGCCCCGAACTGAGTGCCTACACCTATCAGAACGAGATCCTGGTCACTCATCTGATATAGGATCTGGCCGGTGTATAATGGATCGACTTGACTGGTTGATGTAGTGTAAGAGCTTGCTGAAGCTCCACTCATACTTGTCGCCTGAGACACGTATGTCCGGCTGGTACTCCTGCTATCCTGAGGGATGAGTGCACTTTTGGAGCCCTGTTCTGCAGGTTTGATGCATTCACTGGTTCCCGAGGGCTGACTTGATGCAGTCGTTTTGTACGACATCTTCCCCGCGTCTCTTCTGCGTCGAGACTTGATTTTGGACGGTTTCTGTGGCTAGAATTGTCTCCTACACAGGTTACGCAATTCTGAAGGACTTACGGAGCTGGTTGTGGCGGCATGATTCTACAAGTACCTTCAGCATACAGGCAACCATCTCATCCACCGTTCTTTGCCATGTATCACTGGCTGCCCTGATCAGCTCGGTATACCAGTGCCAATGTCTTGAGTTAGCATAAACACTGCACAGACCTCGCTAACTATCATACATGGACAACGGAACATGAATTGATTGGACAACTTTGCGAGAAGACCTGACCCTACAAGGTATAGAGGGCCACGCAAAGCTAATGCATGATACTCCTGAACAGGTATAGCGTACCCTACAGCCAATCAAGCCTGGTTTCAGCACTCTATCTCGTCGAAGACATCCGCTCGAGCTGCACAATGGGGAAACCCTACCTACAACCTGGATAGTACTACTATGCCAGGTCTATCCCGGAAAGTGGCAGCTACAAGACGCCCAGCATGTCGCTGTGTCTTTCTCAATACTCCTGTAGACAAGATGACACAACTTGAATCGCATCCTGGTGAGGCTGATCAATCCAAGCTGATTGGAAACCATGACAGACAACTAGTCTTTGACTCTAAGCAGTTGGAGCATTCTCAGCATAGCTGGGAAGCTGTCAAGGCTCACATCGTGAAGTTGTATATTCAACAGGATGCGCCTCTGTATGAGGTAAGGGACGCACTTCTTCGCGATCATGGCTTCAACGCAACTATTCCCATGTACAAGAAACAGCTGAAAATATGGAACATAAGAAAAACTGTTTCTGCTGCTCAGAAGAATGACTTGGTCAGGCTCGCTGAGCAGTGTTACGGGGAAGGAAAACCGCTTCCTGCTTACGATGCCACTAGTGGTAAACTATACGATTGGCATAAAGTCAAACGTCGAGACTGGGAGGCAGGGGTTCGAGATGCGTTATGGAAGAAGCTCAAGCTGCCATCTGCGAGACCTCCCAGCAAGATTGCTCTACATATTACGGACACGGATCCTACCTACATACTGGTCTGTCGTATACAAGACTACTTCCGCTCGACACACTCACTACTACAATCAGGCACGGTACCAAATCCGTACACTCTCACTGCAAGGCCACATAGCCGGATGTGGGAAATGCCTGTCCTATTTCAAGATGCGATCAGACTTGTTGAGCACGGATCTGACAAACTAGCGAGGTTGAAGTTCGACGAAGCCGGCGTTATGTTGCAAGCATATTTGAACAACATGCCCTTCACATTGCTGCCTCAACTTCTTCGTGTCGTTATGGACCAGAAATGGTCCATATGTGTCGAGTACCAAGCAGTAGTATTCCCTTTTATTCGTCGTCTCTTTTCGGAGAGGCTGGGTCGGGACGCTCCATTGTCAAAATTCACATTTGTTCTCCTTGAGCTGATCCCTGAGCGACTAGCTAGAGAAGCCATCTGGCGATGTGTCCTGGATGCACTTTCAAATGTGCCCACTCTGAGCCCATTGGACACCGAGGAGATGCGATTCAGGTACTTCTGGGCACTTTCCGATGGCGGCTACGATGATTCAGTGGTCAGATTCTGTAACAAAGCAATCAAGGAAACATACGATTCGCCCAGCAACACCAGCATGCAGCACCTGCGTCGCAAGTGGCGCTACCATCTAGGCACAGTTTTAGAACAGCAGGATCAGCTCGAGCAAGCCGAAGAAATGTACAAGGACGCAATACACGAACAGATGCTCCAAGGTGACGACACATATTACAACAACATTCATGTTGAAGCATTGCGTTCTCTAGGCGGGCTTTGTCTTCGTAAAAAGCAGTACAAGCAAGCTGCAAACTGGTATCAGCAAGCATTTGATGCTGCGGCGAGGCTACGTGGACCTGGTAATGCTAGAGCTCTGCTCTGTCTGGATCAGCTTTTCGTTGCGTTGGAATCGCTTGGTGCCAAAGACGATATCGCCAAGCTGTATGATGCCTATCCAATTTCATATCATTATTTGAAGAGATTTGGTTCAGCTATGCCTTTCATTACCTGAGACACGCAACTACTCATCAGACAACACGCAGGATCCTATTCATCCTGTGTTCTCCTTGCTTCTCTCCCCGATCTGATACAACGGCGGATAAGGGGCTTGGTCCTTCCGCATCAACCTATTGAAATAGTACGGCGCCTTCTCCAAGTAATACTTACTATGCTCCCGATTTCCAACGTTGAAGACAGTATCGAGTTCTTCAAGGGTAAGGGCCTTGGTCTCCGGGAGTAGGAAATAACAGTAGACCGCTGCAGCAATATTCCAGCACGCATACCAGGCGAACGCGCCCTGAGGCTGGAAGGCACGGACAAGTGCCGGCCAGGTCAGCGAGATGATAAAGTTGAAACCCCAGCCTGATTGAAGTTGTCAGCCAAGCAGGTACCAGAATGAAGAGGGGGAGAATGTACTTACAAGTCGCAGTGGCCATACTCATTCCCAAATCTCTGATATACAACGGGAACGCCTCGGCAGAATATGTGAACGGAACAGGTCCAGAACTAGGCGAGTAAACAGCCATGAAGGTGAAAATACCCGCGGCAATACTTCCTAAGCGCGCCGTCTCCTGTGTTTCCTGCGGGATCCAGAAGCTAAACCCCGTCCAGAGCAGACACAAAGCCATGCACGGATACCCGAAGAGTAGCAGGTTGCGGCGGCCGAAGGTATCGATTGTATAAATTGCAGGGATGGCGAAGAGGAAGTTGACGGCACCTGTGCCGAGGGAGACGAGCAACGCATTGTTTCGCGAAAACCCTGAGTCCTCGAATATCGTCGTCGAGTAGTATGCTATCACCTATAGAGTGTTAGCTGAATTGTGGAACCAAGTGGGATAGTGTCGCTTGCATTGACTCCACAAAATTGTTGCATGTACATCACAAACGCAGCCGATTGGGCAGCTCTGCGGTTGCGCCTAACAGTGAACACCTCCTTCAGCCTATTCTTGCCTTCTCGTTGAGCAGCTTCAACCTCGAGAAGCTTGAATGAGTAATACATATCACGCGCAGCCTGAACAGGGTGTAGACGCAATGCACAAAAGGAACGAAACGCCTTGTCCCAGCGCCCCTTTTCCATGTACCAACGTGGCGATTCGGGACAGAAGTAGACCTGGGCGCAGACAAACATCGGTGGAATTGCAGTTGACCCGAGCATCCAGCGCCACGGTGCGTATTGAGCATTCCCTTCAGGACCTGGAGTTCCTGGGAAAAAGACTCCGGAGAACGCAACGCTGGCAACGAAACCGAGCATAATGCCGAATGCGGTCCACATTTGCCACATCATAGTCAGTGCGCCTCGAATATTTTTCGGTGCTGATTCTGCTGCGTAGACTGGCGTTGTTGAGGATTTGGCACCTGGATGATTTGATTAGTACAGTTCTTCCAAGTCATTTGTGAGGTGGAGACTTACCGACTGCCAGACCGAGCGCAAACCGCGCGATGAGGAGGTTCCACCAGGTGTTTGCGGCGGCCATCCAGAAGGAGGATGCGAAAGAGATGATGCAGGAGATGAAGATTGTGCCTCGACGTCCAAAGTACTTGTTCAGAGGCGCGTTGGTCCAACATCCGATCAGCAGTGAGCAAAGGTAAGGAGCACCATTGAGTAGACCCTGCTGCCACTCATTTGTGATACCAAACTCTTCGAAATAGAATACCTGTGCACCGTTGACAGCTAGACGAAGTCAGTACCTTCATTCGATCCAGATCAGTAAAAGGAATACACATACCAGTTTGATCCATACCCTGCACAATAGCACTACCAGCACAAAGCACAACAAGAAAATACAACTTGAACGGCTGGCTCCAGCGGTGAGTCCTTTCCCGGCGCAAGATCTCCTTCTCATCCTCACTTATCGTATCGACGTACTCGAACCCATCCTCCCGCTGTTGCACACGTGCGAGAAGAGCGCCTTTATGAAAAGTGTCGCGCTGATCCTGCAGGCCTCGAGAATCAATGAATGTATCGACGTCTTTCAGTACTTCGGTTTCGCCCATTCCAGCCAGCGGGTTGCGAAGCAAAGCTGCTACTGAGGGTTGTCTGGAAGACTGTCTCCGCTGTTGTTGTTGTCGTCGTCCATGCTCGTCGTGTAGGGTGGCTGATGTGGCGCTTGAAGCCCGTCGGAAGGGAGTACTGGATTTTTCGTATTGCTGGTGCTCAACGGCTTCGTCGTCGACCTTTGCGAGAGGCATTTTGGAAGGCAGGAACTTAGGAGAATTCAAAGAATCATGCTTGCGAAAGTGTTAGCAAATCCATTTAGTCCTATATAGACATGTGTCTGCGGAGCCATGCCTTGGAGACAGGCGCCCCGGATGTTCAGAGATTTCCGCATGGTTGTTGCGGTTGGCCGACGTCAGTTACGTTGCATGCGATGAACATCGATAGCTGCACTACGCGTGTGGAAAAGGTTTATCATTGAAGCCAAGGCGTAACACGTGGATGAAGACGCCGATCTTGAATGAGTTTGGAAAAAGCCAAGAATGAGCACGAGTAGCCAAGCAGGAGCGGAATTCTTGGCGGGTTGTGGACCTATCGAAATGCTGATCGAGTAAGTGTGACGTATGCTAAGCAGAAAGGTCTACTGAGAACACACCTTGTCCAAAGTTGAGGGAGAAAAGACACAGTGTAGGGCTTGAATGAACAACCTAAAGTTGTAAACGGCATCTGTTCTTGATGTCTGAGGACTTCAACTTGAATGAAATGACATGACCGCACGTAATCAGCTATCACTCGCGGTTTCGTACTCTGGAGCAGCTTCAGAACTCAAATATCGAATATAGCAAATCGATACCTCAGCCTTCTTCTATCTTGACACCACCTTCTGCGTCGCTGTCATCGGATAGTCTGTGCTTGTCCGAGTGCTCAGGCAGAGGCTCTGGTGAGCTGGTGTTTCGCGTTTTCACCATAATGTCACCCTCCGCATCACCTGGCTCTACTTCTTCTTGTTTCGCTGGCTTTGACCTGCCAGAGGTATGGTCCTTCTTGAGCTGATTCATGTTTTGTAGTGGTGTATCATCGTTGAACAGCCTCAATAACATAGCTTTTCGGTCCTCTTTTGGCATCATCAAGTTGAGACTGTGAATACTCTTCCACAATGGAAACACCATTTTCTCACTGAAGCCACCTTCCTCCTCTGATGGTTCGACCTCCAAAACACAGCAACCCATTCCCAAATCGCGCATCTGGTCGCCAAGTTCTCCCAGACTTGCCCAATCGTCGTCCTGGAAACGCGGGAACATCTCAACAAGCAATTTCTTGAGTGTTTCCTTTCTTTGCAACTTGACTTTTCGCTTTCGACCGACCCATGTTTCCAATATCCTCAATCCGTCTGTTTGTATGCGCCAAGGACAAGTGTCGGGAGATGGTGCGTCTTGTTTGACGAACATCTTGACACCTGAGTGCACAAATTTCATGCCCTTGCCTTCATTCTCCTGCAGAACCTCTTTTGCCAATGCAGTCGTGTAATACATGTTTTTCGTTGCGGTGCCCTCCACATTTCGCACCATGAATCTATCCATCGGGAAGCGAGGGGACAAGTCGTAAAACTGCTTTACACTTTGCAGTTCGGGAATGCTCTCATCAACGTACTTGAAGGGCTCTTCGAAGACTTGGCCTTTATTCTTCTTGAGGTTCGGTGGCTCCTGCCTTCTGAAGTCCTCGCTTTTTACACGTTTGTGTTCAGATTGCGGTGTTGTTTCGTGCTCAGTACGCTTCCGCTTGGTTGACGATTCCTGATCGACAGACGAGGCGGCTGTGTTCGTGCTATCGCCATTTGTAGGGACCTCTGATTGAGTTTGTGCTGCTAGCTGGCTATCAATCTCCATACCCTCTTTCATAGTCATGTCGGGCTCGGGTTGCGTCTTTGCTGCAATATCTTCAGTGGAAGTCCCATTTGTGCTCTCCACAATCTCAGCAACTTCACCATCACCTTCAGTCCTGAGCACGTTCGTCGTGCCGTTTGAGTCGACAACGTTTAGACTGTCTTTCGGACTCTGAGCTTGTGACTTCGGTGCCACGATAGCATCCGATTTTGCAGTAGAGACTTTGATTTCGGATCTTTTCTCCAAGATGGCAATAAAGAATGCACCAGTGTTCTGCGAGTGCGGATAAACACGCATCGCTCGTTCCAATGGGATGTTGTTGTCCATGGGAAACATTGTCTCCTGCAAGCGACTCAACCCCTCCGTGCCGTATTCAGTCTGCTGCTTCTGGACTGAGGACCAATCATCCCAGACTCTGCCCTGTTTGTCCATAATCTTCCAGCTTCGTAGACCGGGATATCGCTTCAGTCCTGGCAGCAGGTCTTTAGTCTCCATCAATTGTACAAGATCACTGCCACCACAATGAGTGATAGCAGTTTGCAGTACAGCCTCGTCCTCGACCGGGTTCATGCTACAAGTCGAGTAGACGACTCTTCCGCCGACCTTAAGCATCTGTAGTGCTCGAATTAGGATTCGTACTTGGGTAGCGTACAAACCAAGGCCGTTTCCAGGATTCCAAAGTCTCCATATTTCCAGATTCTTTCGTAGTGTGCCATCTCCTGAACATGGCACATCAGCCAATATGCGGTCGAACTTCAAGTATCGATTATGTACGAGCTTGCCATCTGCCGTCTTGGTCGCAGAGAGCTTGATGGAAGGGTATATAGTCGCATCGTGGTTTGTGACAATGATATTTGGCGAACTTAATCTTTTCATCTGATGGACCAGCATGTGAGCTCTCTTGTAGTCGACATCATTGGCGATAAGTAAGCCGGTCGAGCGACCATCGTCTGCAAACTCGATGCCCTCTGGCCGATCCAGGCCATTGGCTGTATTATGTGCAACCTGTCTTGCTCTATCCTCTTCACCAGCATTGATCAATTCTAGCAGCTGTGCGGATTTACTGCCGGGAGCAGCACAAAGGTCTAGGACAGTCATGCCAGGCTTGAGATCCATGACCAGTGGTGGGATCATGCTCACTACCTCTTGTCTGGTGATATTGCCAACATCTGTCTCTGCCACAAGAAATTTTTGAAAGTTCGCAAAAGGAGGAAAGCGTCGGACAACAGTTTTGGGAGTGGTCATGAACCATGCCAGCTTGTCTGGGTACCAATCGACTGGTTGCGGAGCTTCGACGTAGCGACCTTCATGTTGGATCGAGGTAATTTCGGGAATATAGTGGTTTCGCAAACGTTCCTGGACAGCGAGAGCATGTCTGAAAGGTTAGTGAAGAGGTCTTGCAGATTGAGGGAAGTATGGAACTTACGCCTTTGAGCCAGTAAAGCGGAAGCTGTTTGGCAGGTCGGTCTTCATGGCCTTCCAGAAAGCATCTCGCTCCTCTGCAGGTACGATGCCCAGCTCGTTGTAAAAGTTCTCAAATTTCTCGTTCACTCTGGGTAGCTTTGACTTGTCTACTCGATTATCTGGCTGGTCTCGACGATTTGGGCCTCCATAGCTGCCTCGACCTCGGCCTCGACCGCCCTAGTAGATTTAGTATATAGCAAGAATCGAAATATAAAGACGCACCTACTCTCTTGCCTCCACGACCCATCGTGCTTTGTGAATCTCACGTATTAAAGCTTCGGGAAGGTGCAGCTCACCAAGCTCGAAGCTTTTAGCGAAAAAGTCCGGCAGCAGCGACTTTCTACGTAAGAGAATGTGGGGCAGATCTGCGGAGAGTTCAATCAGAGGTTGTGTTTGCAATGTTTGCTTTTCGGCTGTGGGTAAATAGTATTTGTTCTCTGTTCTACTATCCCTTGCTTGGTGAAACTGAATAAGATCATCTTTGGCCATGTGAGAGTATGCTCACCACAAAATGAGAATTCGCCTATACCGCTGGACAGTTCTATGTTTCAAAAGTGCGAAACCAGCCAACACCAACGCTAAATATCACGCGAACCCAGACGTCCTAATACACAAACCTGTAGCTAGCATATCGACCGGCAGTCTCACTCTTCCTGATGATCTTGACCACTTGCCCCTTCTTCAACCCCAAGAACTTTGCAATCGGATCTGAATTTTGAATCCTAGGCAGTTGTTGTTCCTTCAATCTGTACCTGTTCAGCAGCACTTTCTTCTCTTCATCACTTAGCAGAATGTGACGTGGGACGAGCTCGTGCTTCGTGATATTGACTAGCAGATCCTCCTCTTTGAAATGCTCTGCATGCATGCCCAGTTCATGCAATGCATCGAAAGCGCGTAGCGCAGCCGCATTCGGTTGTTCTTGCGTTATGAAAATACCGTTGGTGTAGTTGTTCTCTTGCAAAAAGTGTGCAAAGATCCGCGTCTGCTTGATGCCTACTGACTTGTCTGGGCACATCTCGACCCAGATGGTGCCGGCCGTGGTAGTCGGAGTTTTGTTCTTGGCCGTCGCCATAGGAGTGTCGCGCTTGATCATATCCGCTGATGGATCAGCTCTGAGTTTGAGCTGAGTTCGTCTGTGCAAATTTCAGTCAGCCTGCACCCTTGTTCCGACTTACACGACTGACTCTACTTCGTCTGCACCACCTTGATATTTTGAGATGAACATGTCTCTCGACATTTCTAGCTCCTCTTGACTGATTTCGTAGCCCTGTAACAGCTATAGATTAGAGCCGAGCCTGAGTATACAGGCTTGGACGTACTCTCGCTGCTAGCACTTCGTGTACCGTCCGCCAGACGCGCCATAGATGTGTCGTCCTGTCTGCTCTCAGTTGTGCCGCATGGCTTTGAGCATCCATATTTCGAGTCCGTTCTTTTCAGTCTTGTCGATAGTTGTGCGCACCACAATGCGATAAAGTTCAAGGTTATTGAAGCGCAATGACAAACTGTTTTGTGAACAAAATTTGAGGAAAGCGGCAGGCAAGTCAAAACGCATGTCCACGTGACTTAAAGACCTAAGAGACCAGACTGCTACGAGAACCTTAACAACCGCTCTTTTGTGGTGGTCATGGTTGATAAGTTTAGATCTATAGATTGAATCAAACGCAAACATATATCCGCATGTGTAGTACACGGTGATACCGTCTGCAATAAATAGCGTGATATCATTGTGAGCTCAGGTCAGGCTGTTTGATGCATGTTTATTAAATTTCGCATTGTGCATGCCTGACCTACCACGACACCAAGGGAGAGGAGCTCGCAACTCCGATGGGTAAAGAGCTCAGCTTGTGCAGAGAAAGAACAGCACGAAGAACATGTCACAATACAAAGGGAAGAAACTTGGAGCAGAACAAAACTCGTCGTTACTTCAAGGGGGTTCTGATTGGCCCGTACGCCTGAATGCTTGAAATAGGCACAACTATTGAGGGTCAATAATGAATGGGATATATATCTCAAGGTCACCTGAATCGATATTTAGTGATCCCTGAGTATGGTCAACAAACTAAGCACAAGGATTAGTATACAATGTGCAAGGCACATCGCTGTCGTCACTCGTGATCACCTTTTGCATGCGGTAATGAATGTACGTGTCTAGATTCGTAATATGCTGAAACCTTCAGTGCAGAATTGGTCACCCACGAAAGACATCGTCGGTCGACTGGAAGCCTTCCCATAACATTCCACGATATAGTAAGTGACTAAGAGCACCACTCTCCAACACACGCGACAGCGGAAACAAAGCTTCTGCGACTTCAAAGCTACTGTTGCTGATTCTACGAGTACTGGCAATTCCGGAATTAGGCCATGCTATTTATGCTTGAATAGTGAAACCACGACAGAGCCATACCAAGAATGGCTACAGAAGATGCTCAAGCGCAGTATTTTGAGAACAATCCAGCTCCCAAACAATTGCGAAAGCATGAAGCACTAGTCAGAGAATTTATCGAATACCATACCTCTACCAACCCGGAAACTCGTATAGTGCTGGTCACTTCTGGAGGTACAACCGTCCCTCTTGAGAACCAGACTGTCAGATTCATTGACAACTTCTCTGCTGGCACACGAGGAGCCACATCAGCCGAATACTTTGTTCGAGCAGGATATGCTGTAATTTTCTTACATCGCGAGTATTCACTGCTGCCATATTCTCGCCATTACAGCCACAGTACCAACTGCTTTCTGGACTTTATGGAAGGGTCCGCTGGGGGAGATGTGGTTGTTCGTCAAGAATATCAGATGAAGATGAAGCAAGTGCTTGAGGAATACCAATACGCGAAGAAGAATCGGCTCCTCTTGATGTTGCCCTACGTGACAGTCAACGAATACCTCTTTGAGCTTCGCAGTTTGGCTACATTGCTGCAGCCTGTCGGCAGTCGCGCACTATTCTATCTGGCAGCTGCTGTGTCTGACTTTTTCATACCACGGGATCGAATGGAAGAGCACAAGATTCAGTCGTCGACAGTCGAGAACGGTAAGAAGACAGGTAATGGTACACAGCTAGTCATCAACCTCGATCCTGTACCTAAATTTCTGAGCACACTGGTACATTCGTGGGCATCTAGAGAGAGCATGATCGTTAGCTTCAAGCTGGAGACAGATCCCAATCTGCTAGTCAGCAAAGCCGAGCAAGCCCTCCATAAATATGGTCACGACTTGGTAATAGGCAATCTTCTCACGACGAGGAAATGGGAAGTCGTGTTTGTCAGGACGGGCGAGGAGAGATGGGTGAGAGTACCAAAGGCCAAACGATCGAGAAGTGTTTCGGGTATAGAGGAATTAGTTGGAAGGGCTGACAAAAAGAAAGATGCAGCCAAGAAGGACGAAGTCGACCTGAGTGGCGGAGAGGTTCGAGAGGGCATGGAGATCGAGAGTTTGATCGTTCCCGAGCTTGCGGCACTGCATGAGCAGCGTATCAGAGACAGTGCTGCAAAGGCTTGAATCTTGCTGCAGGAAGGTGGGAAGTTGCAGTAACCTGTCTGACGGTTGCCAACATATCAGCGCTGCGTCACTGTCCAATGTAAGATCAACAGAATCTGTGTCTCTCCATTGCTGAGGTCCCCAGCGCCAAGTTGTCAACATCTCGTAGCCAATTCAGCAGGTCTGCAGGCAACCGTTGTACATAAGCGAGGTCGATCATCCGTCTTGTAGGGCAAGCAGATCGTAGAATACTATTCCAGATTGAGCAGCCGCAGGGTGGGATTCAGTGACGTGTCCACAGATAGAAAATCTCACACCACCCAGAGCCATCAAGTGCTGACCTCTTACGGCCAAGGCAGCATCGGGATCTTCGATGGTTCAAGCACCACAAGCACCAAACGGGCAGGTACAACTGCTGATCGACAGACAAAAAGACACCAAACAACGTCTAGCGTTATGAGTAGCAACGTCGCTCCTGTTTAAGAGTTCGTATTCTGTTCGCTCAACTACATCATACCGTTCTTTCTTCACAAAGCGGTCGGTTTTGCGACAGAGCTTCGGATTCTATTTCCTGGACCGGAACTGACAGACTGAACTGCTCATGGGGGCAACCAGATAGGGATTGACTCTGCTCCGAGAGTGCTTCGGGGTCATCCAACTTGAGGAGTGAACAAGACAAGCAGACAGGAAGAGGATTTGAAACACCGAATGATTGGATGCATGTCACTGGAAGTGCAGAGCTCCGAAGCGCGTCCGATGAACCACTCGAGCCAGTGGCCTGAGAACCCAAGGCGATCGCGAAATGCTCTACCATGGTGCGGCTATTAGTCCAAGATCGCCAAACCTTTTTTTCTTTCAAATAGCGGATCAGCTGGTCTTGCTGCCCGGGCTAGTGAAGTCATCGTGCTTCAGTAAGTGCTTAAACATTTGATCGGGTTAGAAACGTAACCACAAGTCAAGGAGGCCTAGACGTCTTTATTTCCGAGTTGCTCTTCGCGGCAGTTCAGGTGGCTGCTTGACCGAACCTGTTTTGACAGTAACCAGGTCCCCCACAAAGCTTGCTAGACCGCCCTTGACTAATTGCGACTAATTACGTGAGTTTCGTCTCAGTACAGTTCCGTCCTTGTGCTGCTATTACCGATAAGCCAGATCAGCCACCACAGCTTCAACCCACCATGATCGTACTGCAGCCATTAGCCGCGCCGAATGCGAAGGTCTTGCCGACTGAAAGCTTCCGATCGAAATCGGATTGTGTTCGTCTAAACTTGTTAATTCCTCGCACTTTGCATGGACGAGTTGGATTGCTCCGTGTTTGCATCCGTGTGTGTTCATTACCACTCTTTCCTGAACCTCTTCAGTATTACGAAGTGATCGCGTATCACCAATGCTGTGCATCAACGGTGAGGACCTCCACAGCTGCCAGCATCTCAACATCTCCTCGGGAAGGTAATGGCCATCGTTCACCCGTCAGATGCGTACCGGTCCCAGCTGCCAATGCCGAATCGTAAACGCAGCCACTCCTCAATGTCAGCCTCAAGGTCCTCTCGTAGATGGATTGACGAAGAGACTTACAGACACAGCGTTCTGTTACTGCCCACATCGAAAAGTGAGTCGGAATTGGACGAGAGCCTGCAGAGCTCGGCACGAGATTTAGGATTACTGCAACTACCCAGCTCTCCAGCTGTCGACGATATATCCTCCACCTTGTCTGCGACTACAATCTCCTCAGATACAAACCAAGGCTCAATCATATCACAATCCACTGCTCCTACCTCTTGCGCTTCAAGCGAGAGAAGGCCTAGTACGAGCCTGTCAAACAACTCATCCAGGCTAGGACCAAAAATTGAGATGCTATCAATGATGTCGGACACAGATGGGAAAAGGCATCGTAGCTTCAAGAGTGGGCTCCGCAAGATGACTGGTTTCCGCAGAAAGAGGCTGTCTGGGCTAAGTACATCATCAGTGATCAGTATTCAAGGCCATATGGCCGGCACCACCAAGGACGAGGCACATCTGGCATCCTCAGGAAGGCCAGCCTCGATCAGATCCGGTGATGGCCGTTCTGTGCCCCAAGCACTTCCACACAAGCAAATCTACGATTCCATTCCACTGGTGGACGAGCAGGCACTGCAGAGGAGCCTCGACTGTGAGGAAATTGCTTTGATAAGGACCCAGCAATTGGAAGAGAAAAGACGATTCTTAGAGTATCAGACGAACCTGATAAAGGACTTACTCGCCGAAAGAGACAGAAGGAAAGCCGAAGCACAGAGGGAACACCAAAGGCGTCTTGCGGAACAGGAAGAAAGAGTGAGTTGCGCCTTTACTTACACGCCTATCGTTGCTAACGTCGTTGCAGATCGAGAAAGCTGTAGAAGCACTGGAAGCACGGCAGCTTGAAGACGAGTTGAAGCAACAGAAAGACCACGAAGCCGAAAAACGAGCGATACAAACACGCCTCAAACATATGGAGGCATATTGCCAAACTCCTTCACCACCACAATCGCCCACAAATCCAGCCTTCGAACTTCGTGCCTCTGTGGACTCGATGAGGAGTTTGCCCGAACGACATGTCACGCAGCAACACTACGAGAATTTAGCACAAGCATACCATATACGAGACAATATGGACGGCTTACACGCCTCGAAAATAAACGTTCTTCGAGGAAAGCAGAAAAAGACTCTGCAAAACTTTATAATGAAGAAGGAACGCGAACTAGAACAGATGGAAAGGGCGCACAAAGCGGAGCTGGACTCCATCGACGTTGAGTACGCCAGTCAAGAAGCTGAAATACGACAAGAATTCTTATTGAAAAGGACCAAGTTAGAGGCAAGGTGGAAATTGCAAGCACTTGTTGAGAAGACAAAGGCAGAAAGAAGTACTGGTCTAAAACACGAAGGCCTGCCGGATGTTATTGCCGCAGAGGCCTGACCCTCTGATTCGAAGGAGGATATCTGTGCACAATATTCACGAATTGTAAGAGTATAATATAGCCTGCATGATCTTGTTTGAGATATAGTCTCATTTAGGCACTTGACCCAATGGACAGCATGACTGCCTGTACTTTGGCCCTCATCTACTCTTATATTGCTGCTATCAACCTATGTTTCTCTAGAGATGTAAATAATCGCTCACGGATTGTCGTTATAAGCTTTTTTTTTTTGGCTGAAGGTGCGGTCCCTCTATCAGGGGTGTCCTGCTCGTTCCGGGTATCTGGGGTTGCACTTTCTTTCTCGGGAAGCCTAATCCTAGAAATACCTTGATAGAGGCTTTGAGCTCAAGAACAGATCACATCAGGCACATCTACTATACGGTCAACCTGTACTGGAAGTGACTAAAGTGCTCGCTATGGACGGTGGTAGGAACATCCGTTGACAGATCCTGCCGAGGTTGTTTTCCTTCCTCTTTATCCCCTGCCTCCCACAGTCTATGCATTAGCTCAGTAGAAATATGTATGAAGGATGCATCAGCGTGTTAAGCATTTCAAGTGTATGGCCATGACGGTTGGACTCAATCACCATCCATCAATGTAACGACTTGATCGCACGTGTAGGCAACCAACCACTAACCCAACATGGCACAATCCAATGGAGGTGAGAATCTTTTTAGGGCAATATGTAATGCCACAGCCGACGCTGAAGATCACGACCATATCACTCCCACATCGAAAGCACTGATGCAGGCCGTCCATCTCGATGGCTATATTAAGGTACGCCACAGTGTTCGGTGTCTACTCACTCCAGCCACATCGTCGATATAAAAAGCGATTGTGTTCGGACAAGCAGCAATTTGAGCTTGAAACAGAAGGCTGTTCTCCGCGCTTTCGTCGTTTATTGCTTTTCTAGACCAGAGTCCTATGTGCTGACTTGCGGCATTGCATATAGTCACTGGATGAGGTGAAGGCAGTTGACGTTCCTCGGCCGAACTTCGAGTCGTATCTGGCACTCCTGAAACAAATTCAGCGGCCTGTACCTAAGGAGCCATTGGTTCATGTCCGGATCACCCACACAGCCATCAACCACGTGGATCTTCTGTATGCCCATGGTGTTCATCAAAACAACAAATCGGGATTATTCGTGCCTCCTTTCACTTTGGGCCTGGAATTCAGTGGCGTCGTTCTGCAAGTGCATGCTGTTAATGGTCAGAAACCAACTTTCAAACCCGGCGACAAGGTCTGGGGAGGTTCGGTAGGCACTCATGCCGAAGAGATCATAGTCCCAGCGTCAGCTATACACCATCTCCCCAACCCGACATGGTCCCTGCACGATATTGCTGCCATAGGAGCAGGCACTCTACCGGTGTCTTATGGAGCATTGACAACGATTGCTGGACTTTCAGCTGGAGAAGTCATTCTCGTACATGCAGCCGCTGGTGGCCTCGGAGTGTATGCCGTTCAGATTGCTCGAGCATTAGGCGCGAAGGTAATTGGCACAGTAGGGTCACAACACAAAGCGGCTGTCGTGGAAAGTCTTCTCCGCGACCCAAATACAGGGAAAATTCCTGCTGGCGAAGGTGTAGTCAATTACAGCAAAGGTGGTTGGGAGAACGAAGTATTGGCGCTTTGTAAGCAAATTGGCAAGGATGGAATTGACGTGGTTTACGACACCGTCGGACTTGTACAGAAATCAATTCGGTGCACAACGTTCAATGGCCGAATTGTCGTCGCAGGGTTCGCGGGCAGAACAGGAACAGGGGCCGAGAAGGTCCAAGCACTCGAGCAGCTTGCAGTGAATCGAATTCTATTAAAGCAGATCAAGCTTCTCGGCTACAGATATGGCGAAACAAACAGGAGAATGCCTCAAGAGACTGTCAAGATGTGGCGAGGTCTGAACGAGATGCTAATTCATGAGCCGAGACTCGTACATCCGGTGGTATATAAGACCTACAAGGGTCTCAGCCATATCAACGAAGGAATGCAAGCACTGCGCCATCGTGAAGTCTATGGCAAGGCCGTGATCGAAGTCTGCACGGAAGAATTGGCATTGAAACAAGCACAGCAAGTTAACAACCAGCAGCAAGCTTCAGCTGTCTCGAAGCTTTAAAGACATCACTGTGCTCGAAGCAAGCGGTAGCACGACTGGAGCTTTCCACGTCGTTCAGCATATATGCCGCATTCAAAGTACTTTAGGAGTTGGTGTCGCGTGTGCGAGTCAACGAGGCTCACGTCAGTTGGTCTTGGCACCTCACTAGTGTCCTAGTACGTCTGGCATGCAGATAACCTGTTGGCAACCAACTCGTTGTGACGGAAGTGCTGTCAATCTAGCTCATCTAGATCCGTCAAAGAGGCACGAACCATTTCGATTCGTTCGGAATAACATGCATCCTCCACCTTCCGCTTCGTAATTGAGACAACCTCCTCCTGAGCACACTCACGTCAGTACGCCAAAAACTGACAGAGTACAGAGCTTCCTGTCCAAACGAAGCCATTGCGAGAGGAAAGTCCACTTACTCGATCGATAAAGTAAACAACCCTGTTCACTCTCGTACTGAAGACATCCATCCCGACTGTCCCAATTCAAACAACCATCGACGACGAAATTGTCGCCCTGCTTCCCAGAATTCCATGTCAAACAGCCTGTCGCTGGCCCGCTCCCACCCGTTAGACATCCGCTATCTTCGCTTTGACACCTTGAAGATGTGTCGTTGTTACTCCTTGTGTTAGGTTGATGTGGTGCATCGTATGGTGGAGGTGCTTCCATGTGTGGAATGTTGGCTGGCTGAGGGCTTGTGTCGGTCCTGTGTGCTGGGGCGTCCTGTATTCCGACTCCTTGGGCTTGGCGTTTAGCTTCTTGTCGGCGTAAAGCTGCTTTGGTCATCCTGAGCGTTACCGAGGATATGAGACTGTGTTACTGAAAGTTGACAGGAATAGGAGCAGGCCAAGCTGTTGAGATGATGTTGACCAACCTCGATTAAGCAGTCTTTGTTATAGGGGCAACGACAATAAAATATAAACACTGCTTTTGAAGGAGCATGAACAAATTCTGTGATGCATTTTAAATTGAAATTTATAGCGATTTCTCCTCTATATGTATCGTTACATGATACTTCTTCATATCGAGATACGCAGTTGCCTGAGGCTGTTACACAAGCAGTTAGCGTGCACCTGGCCATTTTCAGCCCAACAGGCTTCTGCGATCCGTGCAAGCTGACTGGCTGTATTAATTGCATTAGCTCAATCTGGCCATGGACTTTGTATTTGTACTTTTGCTTGGGAGGGAAGTCGTGAGCTGAACCTTCATGCATGGTTGTAGCCTCAAGCAGCGGAATACGTGTTGATTGTCGTTGTCGCTGATTCCTCGTGGGTAAGCGATATGAATATACTATGAGCATGGATCACACTAACGCTGGGCGTTGATTTGGCAGAGCTTGACCGTGTTGACAATTGCAGTCAATTGTATAGTTTCGGCAACATCTGAAACACAAACTCAGCCTACTGAACATTCGAGTACTGCCAACGTCTGGCTCAAATTAGCTCGACGATTCTCTCAATTCCTTACCTTGAACATCGAAAGGAGCTGACACAGCGATGCCGCCGTCCTTGAGCTCCCGCAGACATGGTAGGATTAGTCTGGACAATAATCGCAAACGGCAGCGAATTGTTCTGAAGGCTTTCAGCTCAGCATCTAGGTCTGCAGAGAGCGACGCTCGACCCGTCTACGGCTGCTCTGACCTAAGCTGGGTCATCCCGCAATAGGTAGAAATGAGCGATTTAACAGTGTGTTCTGCAGTAGTTCGGCCACCAGGGATGAAATGCACCCTCTTATGCGACATTTCTGGAGCAGACTACGCTACTGGTCGTGATTGATAGCACGGCTCATAACGCTAGAACCTCTTCATACGCCAGACCAGGCGATTGACAAAACAACAACGTGTGAAGATTGCTTCCATTTCGAAATCTGTAGCTTCAAGCATAATTGAAAGCTCAAGCTTGTCCGCATGCTGCATGGACACCACACGGTGTGTTTGGCTCGAGTAAGAGTCGTCGCGACTGTACTGAACCCAATGCCTCAATCCAAATCATGTTCCTGCATGCATGCCATTGCTTGTTCGTATTTGCGTTACCATCCTCGTACCCCTTATGATTAAACATCTCCCTCGCGTCCTCGGGTACATGCTTATCGAAGGCGGACCGCGATGTGTTCTCTTCTTGCTGTAGCTCGCGGGGTTGTCTGTATGATAAAAGATGGTCCCAAGCCTTAGTGCAATGTTTACTGCCGGCGATAGTATGTTCAGGCTCTCGGTATGCTTCATCAGCTCGAGCTTACGCCCGCGTTTGACAGTATTAGTGAAGGTGTACGAACTGTGGGGATTGGTTAGTCGGATCGTTACATTGACCGCAGGCTGCAGTCGCAGCACGGCACAGGCTTTTTTGCCTGTTCGTAACATCGTGGAATTTGTAACACACTAGCTCAAGGGGAAGTCGGAGCTCATTATCGTGGTTGTAGCAGAGCCAGAGTGTAGTTGAGAGACATTTGCGCAAGCATGAATGCGAGATGGGTTATCGGCATAATGTCGCGCCTTACCAAACGCATCATGGCGCCGGAGTTTCACCAACTCAATTTCTGACAACCCGAGAAGTACTGTACCTAGAGATAGAGTGTCATAATTTCTTTGAAATTGGTGTTAAGCAAGTAATTAATCTTGTTCTCAACTCTTGCTCGTATGGACAGCCTTGCACAACCTGGATCTCGAATACCTCCGCAGTGAAGTATCTATAACTCAAGTGGCTAAGCCTTTCTCAAGCACTTGGATTCCGGTCCTGTATCCGAATCCCGTCATCAACTAGTAGTCGCTGCCATAGTCAAGCAACGAATAGCATTGCCAGCTTACCAAGAAGCACCGCCGACATCGTTTGAGGTGTCAGTACCACCCCATGCTGTATCGGCTGCAGGTCCCACCTTAGCAACCTCAACGACGTCAGCACTACCATTACCCCAAGTACCTCCAGCGTCGTCAGTGTTGGTGTTGTTCTCAGCACCAAAGTCGTCGACCTCATCAGCAGAATCGTCGTCGAAATTGAGGGGTTGGTCAGCTGGTGGTGCGTATTCTTCCAAGAAATCAGGGATTGCTTGATCGTTCTCGACAAGCAGCGCGGCCAAGAAGGGAGCCAGTGCTTCATCAGCTTCGTTGTAGAAAGAGGTTGCTGCACCGATGTTACCCAGTCGACCTGTTCGACCTGGGCAGAGTTAGCAACGATGAGATGCAGAAGAATACAGGTGCTGCCGTACCGATTCGGTGGATGTACTCATCCTTGCCATTGTACTCGATCGATGGCAGATCATAATTGATGACGTGCATCACATTGTTGATGTCCAGACCTCGAGCACTGACACCGGTTGTGATCAGGATAGGGCACTTGCCGATGCGAAATGATCGACTGAGAGATGGTTAGCATAGCTCAAGACATATCCACGCGACTACTCACATGGCATCTTCTCGCTCCAGCTGAGTCCGATCTGCGTGAATAGAAGTGGTCGGGAGACCTCGATTGTAGAGATAGTCGTCGACGATATCCACCATCTTCTTTGACTTGACGAAGATGAGAGTTCGAGCAGGCGGTGAGTCGAGGAGAAGATCGTACAGCGCGTCCTTCTTCTTGTTTCCGTCAACCCAAACGATCTGTGGAGAGTCAGCGATATGAGATTGAAGAGGTTGAGTGCTTACACGTTGAGTGATTGTCGAGACAGTTGAGCCGATCCTGCCAATTCGGATACGAACATAGTTTTGGGCAAGGTATCGCTTGGCCAGAGTTCGCATGCGCTTGTCGAAGGTTGCAGAGAAGAGGAGATATTGGTGTTGAGAGTCTTGAGAAGCATCAGCACCAGCTAAAATCTCTTGAAGATCCTCGGCCCAGTCCTCATGAAGCATCTCATCAGCTTCATCGATGACAGTGAATCGAAGTCTGTGCAAAGCCAGAAGGCTAGGATCTTTCATGAAGTCTCGGAGACGACCTGGAGTAGCGATAAGCACGTCGCAACCTTTTCGAAGATCGTCACGCTGCTCTCGAATGGGTCCACCACCATATGCAATACAAGGTCGCAGCATAGACCGATAACAAAGACGTCGTGCTTCGTCAAAGATCTGTATGCACAACTCACGTGTTGGAGCAACCACCAAGATCAGGGGTTCAGCACGAACTCGAGCACCTGGATCGGTGCTCAAGTCGGGTCGAGGGCCACCCAGCTTCTTAGCCTTTCCCATGAGCTTGGACAGAGCAGGAATCAAGAAAGCGCCAGTCTTGCCAGAGCCTTTAGCTGTGTCAGATCTAGTCATGTGTGCACGCAGGGAGAGCTCTTACCAGTTTGTGCGATGCCAATGACATCGTGGCCCAACAGGACAGCAGGAATGGTGTATGCTTGAATAGGTGTGGTATCATTATAGCCAAGCTTTTTGCAGTTTTCAAGCATGGCTGGGTGTATACCAGCGTCCTCGAGAGACATGACGGGTGAAATCTTGTGGACACTTTCTACGATGGCCTGGATTTTCTGCTGTCTGGACAGGTCAGTATGGTGAGCTTGTGCGAAATTATTGAGTGGCCTACAAGTCCCATCGAACGCCCTTCTTGAGACGCATCTCAGTTCCTCCAAAGAGCTGTAGCTCAAGGTCGGCCATGACAGGACCAAGTATACCAGCCTCACCACGATATTCGTATTTCGCAGCATCGTGAGCCCACTTCGGAACTTCGACGAGTGTGTTAGAGGAGGTATCGGCATTGCCTCGTGTCGCAACGTTTGCATGACGGTTATAGTCAAGAGGTTGTGGCTCCGACCATCCTTTCTCTCTTGCACGTGCTGCAGCTTCTGCGTCCCTCGGAGGACCTGGTGCAGCTGCATTACCGTTTCCGGCTTCCCTCAGGCCAAGATCGGTCTCAGGTGTAGCAGAATTATCCCAGTCAGCCATGGTGAAGTTCCTGAAAGAGTGAATTAGCACAATGACCTGGACGCCAAAGCTGCGGGGCGATGCCAGTTCGATGGTTGCTACTACGAATTGCTGTCGATGTTTTGCCAGAAGAGCCAACAACGAAGGTTGCGCTAGGCAGTGAGAAAGAGGTATAGGACTCACCTTTACGTTGCCGAAGACCTTTGAAAACGTATCAGAAGATGAAGAATACCTCTAGCAGTCCTCAAGACGTGGTGGACTGATACAAAAAGATATGACAAGAGGAAAAGAAGTTCGCAGAGTGTGTGGACAGGAAGAAGACCTATTTAAGTGCCAGGGGCAGGTGCGACCGACGAAAACTCACAAGGCGAGCCTGCCAAGCCTGCTGAATATCAGCACAGACTTTGTCCTGCTAAACTAACCGTCTTTGGGTGAGCACGACAATTGATGAAGGAAAACAGAGCGTGAAGACCCACAAGGCTCACTAGTGGGACTCGAGTGAGGTTTTAGCAGGCTCAGAGTGAAGGGTGGGGCCAGCGAGGCTTCGGCTGCGCTTCAGAACGCGTTGGCGAGGCCCTGGTCGAGTGCTGAGCTCAATGACTTTTCAACGCGATGCTGGTATGAGAGTAGCAACAGTCTTGTAGGTGACTGCAATGGCTGAGCAAGCTCCTAGCCAAAGACTGTTCGGTATGGCCACTTGTTTTCCTTTCACGTTGGACGGGCTTTGTTACTATTTGGAAGCCTCTCTGTTGCTGCAAGAACGTCTGTCTTACTATTGACCAACAACAGCAAACAGCAACTCCATTCACTCGTCTACAAAGCATTATAACTTTCATATGAGAGGGTACAAAGAAGACGCAGCAGTCCTGTCAGCATATCGCAACATCAAAATCTCTACGCAGACCTCACTCTGAATACAGTCCAGCCATGATCCCTAGACCAGTGGGCTCCGCAAAAGCACATCCAAAATGAGGAACTACAACCACGAAGGACGAACATGGGCAGGAAAGAGTACTTGGGTTGAGTTTAGAATACGTCTTTCAAGACTACGCAAAAGCAAGATACAGAGCTCGCAGTATACAGCAATACCTGGCGGCACACCAGGGAATTTGAACCGGGACAAGATTCTAAAACTGCGAAAGGGGCTTTCTTCCTCTACAATCAGTGTTGCGCAGCATGTCGCTGCTTACCTGGAAGTCGTCCTCAAATTGCTTCTTTGGCCAGCCTCCAAGCCTATCAAGAACAAAGTCCTTTACAATTTTTTTCCTGCTTCTGGAAGGAGTTGCTTTGAGTTCCGAATACATAACCTTCCCTGTCTCCCCTGTCGATTCAGGAACCATACCCTTGCCTCTAAGAGCTTCAGCAATGCCAAGAGCTTTCTGCACTATCTTGAACCGACACAGAACGCTTCCCTTTCCAACCTTTTGGTCGAATTGCTTATAGCCCTGTTTGACTCCATTTACAAGAACCTCAACTGTATCTTGACCTCCTAGACCGTTCCCGTCCGCAATCCAAATGGTAGAAATATTGGTAACTCTACTCCTTGCCGCTACTGTCTCAAGAGACATCGACTTCTCGAACTCGAACCGACGGAACTCTGGAGTCAGGCGTTCAACCTCAAAGAAAACCACATTTCCTTCATCCTCTCGCTGCACCTCAGCCACCACATCTCGCAGTCTGCCATCCGCCGAGAAAGCTCTCTTGTAGCCAAATTCGTTATACTGGTCCTCGTACAGCACCAGCCTGCTCAAGAATGCTTCTTTACTCGGCTGAACGAACAAATCGACCGGGAATTGCAAGAGACTGGCAAACTGTCTTAACATAATTTTGTCGGTGCAGCTTCTGCTCATACTGACCTCAGCATCTGCTCGAGCAGGCTTGCGACGCAAGACACCAAGATTGGAAAAATATCCACGACCAGGTGGCAGCGCAGAACTATTTTCGGACGAAGCATCGTGGCTGGCAGAAGAAGAGGTGGGCCAAGGGCGAACATCAGCTCCAGAGGCTTGCGCAGAAGCCATGAGCAGTTCCATCGAAGCATCGCCGCATGGTGCTTCGGTCGAAAAGAGGGCGATCTCTACGCCTCTACAAAGACGAAAAGGTGGCGAAATCTCTCCTGTGCCGTTTGAGGCTACAGTCTCAATCCACTCCGATATAAAACCTTCATTCTGGAGTATCCTTTCTATCTCGCACAATAGCCAATGGTTCAAGCCACGAAACGCCAAGATCTCAGCGTGGCAATCATGAAGAACCAGGCCCTTGCACTTTGACAGAGCGGATACAGGAAGAGACTTCGTGCCCGTTGCTAAAGATACAACCTTAAGTTGTTGCTGCTGCTCGGGCGAGTCATCTTCGAGCCGCAAAGGTCGTGAAACAGCCACTGCTGACAGAGGTGTCCATTCTCTCTGCCCACTGGCCAATCTTCGCGGTTTGCACTTCTGTGGTAAGGCATCGAAGATATCGAGAGCCATGTTGGCTATGGTTTCTGCCAGAGGATTTGTAGTTTGCATGTTATGTGTTTTTTTCCTCATCACAAATCAGTGGATGTCAAAACAGAATTTGTAAGCTTCGGTTCCGTAGAGCTTGGACCAGACGACGAACATGGCTTTCCGTGCTTGTTGTGTTCAAGATGCTTGTCTCGACTACTCCTCTATGTGGGCGCGCTAAAACGTATTCTTGTTATAGTATGGTCGATTCTGCTGGCATTAGCTTAGAGGACCAGGAGCAAGTTTTTATTGAAGTCGAGTTTCGAACATTATTGTACGTGCCTCAGGCTACCAATCCTCGCCTCAGATTGCTACTCCACAAGCAGTCAGGGCTCGTCGATATGCACAATTACATTGAAATCTAGATTCGTGAGTCTATTGACGTCTAACAAGGAGAATGACCTGGAGCGGAATCTTCCAGGTTGCATGGCCTGGACAGCACGAAGAGTTGTCAATCTCTCCGAGCTGTGATTGAACGCTCTTTGAAGGCCAGTAATACTCTACAGATGTGTTCACAGCGACATTCCTCAGTCTCTCAGATCAGCAATCATTGGCAGACCCTAGTTGCTCTCGGGTGTAGCAACTCCCTTCTCTTCTGTCGCCGCAGTCGCACCAGCTTTGCGATGGCGACCGGCTAGCTGTGGGAAGCAGTAACCAGGATGAAAGACAGTCTGCACCAACGTAGCGTATGCGATCATACAACCCTCCAGAGCGATATAGCTCGGCTCATCTCGCATGATCTCAGATGCCCAGCCTGCCGCCAACTCGGGTATTCGGTAAATGCACCTGATAAGGACAGCACCAAAGGCAGTAGCCACTGCAAACATAAAGAGTCGAAACTTCTTGTCGTGCCAGACAGCATTTGCTTCGGCACTGAGAGCATGACCTGAATTTATTGCTCGCCTGCGTCTTATGATGTAGTGCCCAATGACAGCGGCAAAGACAATTAATGTAACGACCTGCCAGCATATACCCGCAAGCATAATATATGTTCCGGCGTCACGCCGAGCATCATCGTCATCTGCAGTGGCAGCCATACCTCCACCGATAGCCTGCAAGACCAAGCTGAAGAGATCACCAGTGATGAAAATCCAAGTATACCACTTAGGTTTGAGGCTGGAATATTCAGGTCCAAAGGCAAGTGCAATGTGCTTCATGGTCAAGTATATAGCCGCGCTGTTGAAGGCTGGTCCAAGAATGAGACAGCAAATCTGCATCTGGAATCCGCTTGACGAGAAGGGGTTTTGGTGAAGCATTATTCGACCGCCGTAGCCAAGTGCTTCGATTGCGCAGCCAAAACCCAGCGCAAGCATATAGGTCCAGGTTTTGTAATAGATGCCGAAAATGATGTTAGGTATGAAAAGAACAGCGAACCAGGCTGTAAGGAAGGCGTTTGCTGGTAACGATGGGTAGTAGCCATAAATCGAGTATTCAACTGGACATTGTGGCGAGACTTCGAAGCACTGAAAGCTTGCCATAGCTGTACAGAGACTTGTTGAATGTGAAATAGATTAGTGTTCAAAATCCAAGGAAAGGTACGAGAAATCAAGAGTATTGGGCTGAAGCCATTGAATTTGAAGAAGAGCCTTCACATGATTCATTCATGGTTGCCTTGCCATTCCAAACGCTCGGACCGGCATGTTTCCACTCGAAAAACTCGTGGTAGCGAGACTACTGGTACATCTCGTTTACCTGTTCGTATTTGCGCATTTAGAAACATGTCGACAGGGATGTTGGGGTGGCGCTGCAAAATTTAGTATCGAAATATTGTGGATCTCATATCTTGATGGTCAGATAACAGTAATCACGTGAAAAACAGTCAGGACTCATGCCACGAGCGAGACATTGTTTACAGGGGCCTGAGGTCGCTCATCGTCCAAGACAGATAGGACAACGTTAATACTCGGCCGTTGTCTTGAGCAGATAGAGATCGTGTCGTCAATGCTACTGAGAGACTTCTCACCTCGGATCCTTGTTACGTCTTCATGGTCGATTTACATTCAGCATGACAACAACTCTCAGCAGATCAGTGAACATGAGATGCGTATGCAGGCCAAGTTGTACTTTGTGGTTGTGACTTGTGGTCTTCGTATTCGTGCAAAATATTGTGCCCGAATACGTAGTACGCGATGCGAGTGCGGGTGGAAGACTCCGAGTCATCCTTTGATGTTGAGACTACACCACGTTGAGTATCGCGCTGCAAGGAGACCCGTTCAGACCACGTTAGTAATTGAAGCTATTGGCCCACTGCATCAAGGCTCGGCTTTAAATGCTTGGTATCGTGTAAATAGCCCTTGTGCCTTGACGAGTGAGGAGTGCGTCTACAACGAGGAGGTGACGATACCGTGCTGCCAGCAGAAAGCAATCGCCAGATAAGCAGACAACCTCGTTGCCTTAATGTTGACTCATTTCCACTGAGAGTGAAAGCATGCGTCGTATTTTACGGCTCATCATACGACCATGCGTACTCCGAAGTTTATCATCTTCGATTAAGTTATCTGGTATTGTGTTCGATGCGCCAAAAATCGCAACGACAGTATTATAGACATGACAGACCACGTCTGCCGAAGCACATCGTCATCGCTATGCCATACAACAGCGTGTTTTGACTTCACATTAGCAGAGGGCTCTCCTGCTCGTGAATATTTAGGCAGCAGCTTTCCGTCGCAAAGCTAGAAAATTTCCAGATTGTAGTGATTGCGTTACAGGCCAGGATCAATCTGCCTTGCCGTCTGCTTCTTCTACCTGTTCGCAGAAGTCCAAGGCAGCCAGCTTAAGATTATGGCGCTTCAATTTTGCCTAGGCGATCATTCTCGTGGAAGCAGCAATGATGCATGTTTCAGGTCGGGCATGAGTGCTTCGGGCACTCGATGCCAGGATCTCTCAAAACTGGACAAGAACGCTTGATGCCGATATGCCGTGAAAGCTGTAGCGCACAAGATGCCTCCGTATAGGGAGTGGTCGTGGGTATGCAAGAAGAGAGAATACACAAGAAGAAATACTGCCTTGAAACTCAGGCTGAGCGATCCACATGGCGTGTTTCGTTGAGACGCGACGGGGCGGGAAGAGTCAGGAGGGTCCGACGCGGTATCTGGTGTGGGGAAATATGCTTCGGGACTTGGATATTTCGACTCTTCTCGTTGCTTACCATACGCGATTCTCATTGCCTGTCCGATTGTGCTCTTCCGAGTTTTGCGAAATAGGGTGGTTCTTCGTTACTGAGCTATTTTACCTTTGTCGATACTATTGTGGTACTTTAGAGACTGCAAGGGCCTGGCTCTGGTTAGCAAACCGAACCAAGTGAGAGACAGCGCAACTTTTCACTACCCAATTCACTTTTGCAAGACACAGAGTCTTCGGTCAACTGAACCTAGCGAAAATTTGAGTCTAGTGGTTTGGCATATAATGAACTCGCCCGCACGACGCGTCCTCGGAGATAAAGACAAGAACGCGCATCTCAATATCCGCTCTCCCAAGCGAGATCCTACTTCTAAGTCTGATATGGCCACAATAGCTACTTCTCGAAGAATTATTGAATTCACACAGCCGTCATCGAGCCCTCGAACAGGCAACAAGAGGAAGATCGAGGAAGTTGAGGATGCGGAACGCGTTCACGAGGACAACACTTCTGACTCACAGCGTACTCAACTCTTGAGCGATAGTGAGTTAGACGATGATAGACACCAGAACAACACGTCGGTGTCTGTTGCGCGAACCTCGTATGTGACTGCCGAAACCTCGTTTTCCGCAAGTCAAATGCCCCTCGAGCCGCATTTCGAACTACCTCAAGAGGAAATGAGCCAGAGGACGTTGGAAAAGCTGAATGAAGTGCCAATGCCGCAAAACAATTCACAAGCACCCTTCCTGAAACCTGCCCTTCTGAAAGAGATATCAGCAGGAAGTGTAGGGTTGGCCAATTTCATTAACTTCGATGGCCTGCCGTCTAGCCAAGGAAGCGAACCACTACAGCTAGCTGAAATTGAGGAGAAACAACAGAACAAGGTGATAGAGGAGACGAAGCAGAAGGGCAATGATGTAGAACAACCGTCTGACGCTGCGGCTCGGAAGAGGATGCTCATCCAAAAGGCGGCCGAATTGCAGACGCGCCTCCAGCTTGCGCTGTACAAGGTTCAGACAAAGCAAACAGGCCAGCCATTCTCCCGTCTCAAGGCACCGCAACCTCTACGTCAAAGGTCTGCATCCCCACCAACCAACTGGAGACCGATGCTAGCCACCCCTCAATTATCGTCCTCGACCGCCAAGGAGCCATCTTCAGGCCGAACAATCACTTCCATCAACCACACGCAAGACTCCCGTGCTGTGCACTCTGCAGAAGCAACCATAGCAGCTATGCGCGCACAAGCTACAGCTCAAACAAAGCCACCAGTGAGGGATCTCAATTCCTTGCCTATGCCTCAGCTGGACCCAGCTTTGCTAGAAAGTTTCGACTCCCAACAAACTGAGCTTGTGACCGAGCCTGATAGCCATGGGAGCGCACCACAAAGTCAGCATTTCCCATCGTCTCCACCACTTTCACGACATCCATCGGGATCTAATCAGGTAGAATTATTGAGCGGACTCAAAGCAGCAGCGTCGAACCAAGCCGATGTGCGGCAGCAGCTAAGCAGTCCACCAGTAAGTGATGCTGGTATGGAGGAAGGTAATGTACAACGGACCGTCAGCCAGGGCGAAGCTGCATCTGGGTTGGTTCAACTCATGAGTGGGAGATAGCATAGCAGGTTTGGACGTGCGCCGACGATCTGGCTCAATCGAATATGCTGTTCAGTAACTATACCTTAGAAACAGCCTATTCTGCCCGCTTTAATCCATATGCTGCCCTACCTATTGATGTCGGACATTCAAGATTAGTAATCAATGTTAGAACTTCCATTGTTCTTGTCTATGCCTCGATGGTATAGATTGTCCTCCGTGCCAGCGTCGAATGTCTTGGTTGCTAATGTTACTACCAACAATTCGTTCGAGACTATAATCGTTTCTTCTAGGGTACATTATGTGCTGAGACACTGCATATTGTATCGGCAAGCCGAACAAGGAGGACACGTATCACAACTCCGATCGCTAACAAGCAAATAGCCGTCAACGGTTCTTCCTGCCTTTCTTCGTGTCCACGAATGTGACTTCATCGTGCATCGCGCCGGTCCTGAGCGAAAGCGAAATCTCCGTGGCACCACACGCACTCGGCTCGAGGATAGCGCGGTGTTGCCATGGTGAATAGCCGACTTAAGAGTTGTTTTTATCCACAACTCTCCTGTGAAGATCAATCTTGCCTTGCAACGTGTCATCCATAAACAGCCTCCGAAGTCAACGGTTCTGCAAGTCCATGCAAGAGGGCGTAGACTTCTAGAATGTTGATAGGCGTTGCTATTGATGGAGATGCAGCTCGATGTAGCGGTCAGTAGTCAAAATCCTCCCAGCCCATCGGTCAGAAAATTTGTTGTTGGTCTCGCTGCGATTGGACAAGACAATCTTGTTTTCATGTCCTCTTAGCCAGTCAGCTTCTGACAAGGTCGTTCGAGCAGGGTCATTGGTAGCAAAACAAAGCAGGCGCGAAAAGTGAAGAAACAGCTATTGTTCCAAGCCCATTGATTGTAACCAGAATAATAGTCAGGATCTTCCATGTTTGTGTAGTTCTGTTAGTCCGTTGACCTTCTCTGAACCTTTTATTTGTATTGCAGACCACGGTGACCATGAGGGTGGATGTGCGGCAGGCATAATAGTACTAAGCGAGCCAAACAGCTGGGAAGCTAGGCTGCCAATTGAGTTCCTGACTGGGATGTGGATAGGTGAGGTACTCGAACAACCAGAAACTGCCATTCACCTCGAGCTCCTCTGGCATGATCATTGTATGTTTTCGCGTTCACTCGACACAACCGACAGAAAACACACGATCTTTAACGACTATTGGCACTTCACTAATGACCCTCGATCCTCTAACGCGAGTGAAGACAATTCCCGTCACTTCCAACCCGATTTGCGACGGCGCCGATCTTCGTTACACATCACGCTGTGTATTCCGTCGAGTTTAGTGACCATACTGCTCCTGGCTGGCAGCAGTAAGAATGAAGAGGAGGCCTCTACTTCGACTACGTGCGATATATATTGAACATTCCGCTGGCAGGTAGTTGAGCTCAGGCCACAAACCCACGCATGGAGGGACCTCCTCCGCCTCCTCCACCCCATGGAGAGAATCCTCGTACGACACGTTCAAGCGGCCTACCCGATGGCAAATACGATATCTTCGTCATACCGCCGCATTCGGCTGGCTCTGGTTTCCTATACTTGCCCTCGCTTAATACACAACGAAACAGTTTTCTGGCAGGATGTGTCTGTACCGCAGCTCTGTTCTTCTTCTACTCTGTGGCTATGCCAGTCGCGAAGGACTGGTTCTATACTACAGTTAATGGCGGCGGATCTGGTGTAATAATGCTAGTACTTGGTGTAGGCGTGGTCAGCTGGGCGTTAGGTAAAACACAGGGTGAAAGTACAGGAGGACCCACGTCAACAAGTGCCGCTGGTGGTGCATCGAGCTCATCGGGAGCTTATGCTGATCCACCTCCAAAACCACAACCTGGATATAGTTCTTATCATTCACCACCACCGCAGCCGCCTCCTCGTGAGCCTACCCCTCCACCTGCTCCTGGATCCGAAGCAAAGCCTGAGCCAAAACAGCCACCCGAAGAGTCCAAATCTCGGCCTCAATCTCCTCCACCAAGGTCGAAATGGCAACGGTCAGCACCATCCACTGATGCGAAGTCGGCGTGGGAGAAGGCACGTGAAGAGACAAGGAAACGTGAAGAGGAAAAGAAAAGAGCAGCTGAAATACAACGGCGTCGTGACGAACTGGAGAAGGAACGTCAGAGACAACGTGAGAAGGAGACGCTCGAACGACTCGAACGAGAGTGGAAGGAGAAGAAGGCCAAGGAGGACGCGGCTGCCAAAACAGCTGAAGCTGAGAACAAGGCACAACAGGTTAAGGACGAAGCTGACAAGCGAACACAAAGGGAAAAGGAGAGGCGAGAACGTGAAGCACGTGAAGCTCTGCTCAAAGCTGCCAAAGAGGCCAGGGAGGCCAAAGAGGCTCTCGAGAAGACGCGGAAAGAAGACGAGGAACGGAGAAAGAAAGAGGAACAGGAGAAAAAGGAAGCGGATGCCAAAGCTGCTGAGGAGCGCCGCAGAAACCTCGAAGAGGCCCGAAAGGCAGCAGAAGCCAGATCCGCCAAGGCTAGTAACCTGTCTTCCAACAAACGTCCCCCTATGCCATCAGCCAGAACCGAGCAAGATGACGACGCATACTCATTCCGACCGTATGATAGGTCCCGAGCCACCCAGAAGAGTTCTTCGGGCTCGGTGTACTCTGATGATTCCTACGCTCCATCAGCAACAACAGCCAGGACTACACCTCCTCCAAGCACGAGAGGTCCATACACAACCAAGGATCCTGACAAGATTATTATTAAAGGTGTCTATTCTTTCAACAATGCTTTTATGCGTACACCCATATCCCAGCTCATTTCAGGCCAAGGCAATGTGACCGACGGACTGATATTACGGATCACCACCGAAGGTCTCTTTATTGACGATGACGTGAGGGGTATCCCACAGCGCGAATGGGATGTCAAGGCATGGACCATGAAACTTGCAGAGGTAAGTCACACAAGTTTCATCACTCTAATTTCTGTCTGTGCTAACAATTACGATAGAGTGTCGAACTTCAAGGTCACCTCGTCCTCCGTGCCTCTATTCGTGACCAGGAAGGCAAAAAGTACGTCTTCATACTAAGTCAGACAGAGGGCTGGAAGGTTGCTGTAGGTCTCCAACGACTTCGCAAAGGCAGCCAGGTTCGAGCCCTTGGTGTAGCTGGTATGCCCATGAACGAAGCACGAATGCTGCTCGAGAGTCTTGGATGGGGCTAGCATTGATGCATAACCTTTATGAAGAATACTGCATTGTCACAGTCGATGCACTGGTTAAAAAAGTTACAGCAAGCACAGTATGTATATAGAGCTTGATGCGGAGATTAAAAATAGGCATGGGCACAGCGATGGCGTTATGATCATGTTGTCACTCTTTTGAAATACCCCAGGAGCATGTTGTGGTGTTAGTCAAATGGACATAGTTGCATAGTATTGGCGGTCTTTTGAATGGACGGGAAGAGATTGACGCCTAATGCAAAAAGAAAGAAAGAAGGACAGATCGACTTCGAACATACAAGATAATTCAGATTCTTTTGTACTTTATTCCTAGTATATCCAAGATCAGGCTATAGCTACACTTTCACATCTAACTTCACCACTATAAATCTTCCCTTCTCTTCTATCGCTAAACAGCCCATCATTTGAATCAGTCCAAAGTCAAAGGAAACCTCTCCCTAATCCTCGGACCATAATAATAAAAGAACAACGGCGCCGGCCCAATAGCCACAGAAAGAAAAGCAAACACCGAAATCCCCCACCCATACCCCAACTTATCAAACATGGCCGGCGCAAACAGCGGCACCACACCACCCACAAAACTCCTAAACACACTACCTCCTGCGATTGCGCTGGCGGCATACTCGCTAAAGCTGTCGATGTAGTAGTTCTGTATCGTGTTGAACATGACTACCTGGCCGATACCGTAGACAAATGTTGCGGAGATGCAGATGGCCCAGTGGAGACGGTACTCGACTGTCCATGCGAACCAGAAGAGGGCGATGGGGACGAGGACACTACCGATGTTGGCTAGTGGAAGGCGGAATTCCGGTTTCGCTTTTCCGTTGTTTTTCTCGGTGAGCTGGTTGTAGACCGTGTCGATGCGGGGGATGATGAGGCGAACACTGAGGATGAAGCCGAGGCCTGGGGCGAGGTATAAGAGGCCGATCTGCTCGCTATTGAAGTTGTAGGGTGCTTTGCTGAAGATTGCTTGGAGGTTGGTGAAGATGCTGTAGGTGGTGCCGAAGATGAGGGCTTGCCAGAGGGACATGCAGAGAACGATGGGCTGGATGAAGATGACTATGGGGCGTTTGATGCTCTGGCGGAGTTTAGCGGTGATGGGGCGGTCGTCTTGGCCGGCGAAGGTGTATTTGCTGTCGGGGTTTTTGGAGATGAGGCGGGCGCGTTTCTGGGCGAGGATGACGGGAGCGTAGGTCTCGCGCAAGAAGAAGTAGCCGATCGTAGTGTTGAAGGTGCAGACTATGAGGAGGACCCAGTAGATCCAGCGCCAGCCGAGGCGGGAGACTATGAGACCACCGAAGAGAGGGCCTGTGAGGTGGGTGTTTAGTAAAGTCGTGGATAGGGTTAGGATGAGCTCTTACCTAAACTTGGACCTAGTAGTGGTCCTAACAAATACCAGCCGAATATGGTGGCTCGCTCATAAGGTTCGTACATATCATTAATAGTACCGCCGCCATTTGCAAGGCCGACAGAGCCGAAGAAGCCAGAGATTGTGCGAACAGCGACCAGAGTCGCAGCATTTGGAGCTAGAGCGGACGGTATCTGCAATACTGAAAAGATACTGAATGAAACGATATAGACCAGCCTTCTTCCAAAGGTCTCGGACAACGGTGCCAATATCAGCGGTCCAATGCCCATCAAAATGACAAAGCCGGTCGTGGTGGCAATGATACTCGTCTCTGGAGCTTTGAGGTCGTCGGCGATTTGAGTTATACCAGGCGTGAACATTGAGCTCGCTAATGGTGTGAGGATTGCCATCAAGCCGATGATAAACACGTTGACCATTCGCTTCCTGCTGCTCCATTTCTTTGGATTGTCGTCGGCCTCGTCAGAGAAAGTGATCTCTTGTGGCTCTTCATGGTCCGCGTAACTATTGCGCTCTCCTTCGGTAGTCAGCAGCGGACGCTCTTCGTCGTTCCTTTGACGCTCGTCATTTCTTCGATACGGGGCCATATCGCTCAGATTCCTTACTGCCAATGTGACACAAAGGACAGAGAACCATCAGACGCGTTCGAGATTGATGAACTTGTTCTTCGATTAGTGATCGCGTCCACCTGAGATCGTAGTCATCGCGATCGATGACGAGCACTTCGCGGACCACTATAAACACGCACCAGTCAATGAACAGTTTAGGGGACGATTGGGGTAGAGCAAGCCTAAAGTTTCGGTACGAACATCCGCCTAATTTGAGAAGAGCTGCCTTAGGCATGCACAGCTGACAACCTCGTACTCGTGCAGTACACAATCAGCTTGTCTACGTACTTGATTTACTTGCTCAAGGGGTACTTTCATCCACGTCGAAAAGGGGCCGGTCAGAAACCAGGCTCGGTTATCATGCAAGGTCAGACGTCAAGAAACTCATCCCACAGAGATCTGCTCGATCCAGGTATGTGTACTGTAGCAACATCAGATTCTACTACCCTTACAAACGTAGTGGCTTGTTGCTCTCGGGACTGCCTCGTAGGTCGACCGAAATGGCTGAGACCCTTCATGGACTGTCCATGGCATATAGAAGAAGTGTTCCGCGTTTGAGGCGGTTGCCATGGCATGTCCATCTGCGTACCCGCTTATGCTCGTCCGCATTCTGCGTGTTCGACTAGATATCAACACGTGTAGGACATTCAGGTGCACCAAGACAGAAGACCTCGGATTGTTGGACAATTGATTAGTTGAGATGGTTCCATATCGATCAATGCATTCTGTGACTCGTCCGGCTCGGACCAACACTTGAGGAAGCCAAGAAAATGTTGTCAGCAAGTTGAGGTGCTGCCATGTGATGGTTTGATGCAAGCCTAGTGATCTGATCAAGGTCGTAACGAGAAACACGGGCAGTGATGGGAGTCAAAATCTTGAAATATCCATGGTGGCGAGAATGGCGTGCAAGTGTTAGAATAGATGTAAGTTGTGGATCAAATATGCTTCAACAGCAGCACGCCTGAAAGATCAAGCACAAGTATAAGTATCTGCTACAGTCATTCAAAGTGTTCTCATTTTAGCACCTAGTAAGAAGTTCGTTTACTTACTAAGAAACAACCACAACAGAACGATTACTCCATTGATTCAGGCCTCGTACGAACCAGCTATCTTGAGTATTTGCAACCATGTCGAAACCCTACATCGTGCTCGTGCCGGGATCATTCGGGCTCCCGGTCTTCTATGCAGACAACGTCAGCACTCTGATTGCAAAAGGCTATTATATCGACGTTATCCACCTGCCTAGTATTGGGCTATCCACACTTCAAGGCCGTCCAGGGCCACCAGCGACCATGAACGACGATGCCACTTTTATTGCCGAGAAAGTCGAGAGGTTAGCAGACGAAGGCAAAGACGTGGTGCTTATTGGGCACTCTTATGGTGGAGTGCCAATGACCCAAAGTGTCAAAGGACTGAGCAAGGAGGAGAGAACTAAGCAAGGAAAAGCAGGGGGACTAGTGAGGATGGGCTATCTGACTTGTCTAGTGCCAGAAGTTGGTAAGGCGGCCAAAGACGTTCTAGGCGAGGCCCCTCCAGAGCAGACAATACCATTGAGCATAAGTGAAGACGGATGGATGCACCATGAACATCCGGAGACAACAGCACGAATCACACTCAGCTCCATGTCGGTTGAGGAAGGGGCGGAATGGATCAGGAAGATGCCTAAGCATTCGGCAATTAGTTTCATCGGCGAGCTGACCTATCCGGGATACAAGGATGTGCCGATTAGCTATTTGTTGTGTGAGGATGATCTCTGCATTCCGCGAGACGTGCAGCAAGCTGGAATCGATGTGATAGAGCGAGCAAGTGGGAAGAAAGTTGATGTTACGAGCATCAAAGCTGACCATTGTCCAAACGTGACTGCGCCACAGGCAGTGGTTGACTGGGTTGTGAATGTTGTCGAGAGAGCAAGTGCTGGACATTCATAGGCAACTACTTCTATGCTCGAAAAAAGCCGAGACGAGGCATGAGTATAGCTTGAGGCACTGCAATATTCAGCTGAACAGGCGAGCGAGATGGTGGACGGGGCTCTGAAACGCAAAGTGGTTTGCACAGAGAGAAAGCTTGTCTGTTGACATAGCTCCGTAATGTGCTGCACTTTTCACCGTGTAAAAATAGTGCACGCGTGAGCGGCAGACAAATGTGAGCTGCTGTCAATGTTGCTCGTAGCATAGGTTTCTTTTCGAGGAACTGGCTGTCGTGTCTTTCACAAGTGGGTAGCTAGGTGTTCAAGATGTGTATATTTGTCAATGGTTAACCGTGTCATTTAGTCATTGCGGTTCAAGCAAAATTGTCTTATCGGACGCGGTAGCTAGCTCGTGTCTAAATCTCGATATAAGAATGACGACCTGGAAAGTTCGTTGACGTGTGTGTATGCAGCTATCAATTTCGGAGACGGTATTCGTGATGCGGCGGACACATTTGCTGAGCTCCTCTTGATATATTTTATTCTATACTGGCTGCATGCTGAAATGACGCTTTTCGAGCATTCTCGAGGTCTTTGTACATGACACACTCTTGCTTGTGGCTCTCTAGTGCGGCGCGCCTCCTGGGTTGTCCACCTTCTGTTCTCTCAGGGTGTCTCTCTTTCCGAATTGCTCAGCTGAAGAGTATTGTCAGTGGTTGTAACTCGGTCAGAGGGTCAGTGGTCACGAACAGTTCATCATGGCAGTAGCGCCCGCGTTGATGCCGTATAGGACTAACAGACCTGCAGCGAAGAAGGGGATCATGGGCTCCGCTAGCAATCCAGTCAGCTTGGTTGTTGCCAATGTGGACGGAGTCGAACGTACACATCTTGCCAGGGAATTTTTTGGGTAGGAGACTAGGCATTTTATTTGTATTTAGTACGTCTGGCTGCTTTTCGAGTGGACGGTCGAGCTAGAAACGTTTCTTCTATGACCGGGGACGTGGTCAAGCTGCGACGGAGCTTAGCAAATCTGGCGGATGCCATTCACGTGATATTAGCCACCTGTTCCGATAAATTACTGATTGTTCTTCTTCAGAACAGCATCTTTCGCGGCAATATCGTCTGCAACGATTCAATCCAATACATACATATCGCGGTTACAGATTCAGTAAGCAAAACACTCGCAGTTCAAGCTATTGATCGTCTAAACAATGTACCCAGGACTTTCAAGCGTTCTTAGTATGAGACGTATAGACTGGCAGCTGTCAGAACTGTCCCAGCTGCAAGCAGCACTACGATCAGGTACGAGGTAGCTAATACCAAAGATTTCCGACTGAACCATGGCCACACTCGGGCCAGCGGTATCGAGCCTGCGAGCATCGCTAGCACTGCTTGACTCCAGTATCTCGATCCTAGACGAAGGTGTTTCGGACTTTCCTCGATTGCGGAAGGTTCTACAGACTCAGCAACACTTTGAGCTCGTGCCTGAAGCAGTCCTGAAACAAGCGCAACAATCACTAGCGAATGAGATATCTCCTGCAATAGAGCAGTTGCTGTCCACAGCTGAAAGTCATGTGGATCAGCTTGCACGAAAAGAGCAAAGTCTGAAGGCCCGATCTGAATTGTTGGAAGGAAGACTTGGGTCACAGCGCAACTCAGCTGTTGGACAACCTGCTCGGGCTAGACCAATGCCCACAAGTCAAGGTTCGAGCCTTACAGATCCTAAAGCACTACAGATGAAGAGACTTCAGCAGAAAAAAGATCAACTGCAGTTTGCGATCGAAAGACTGGAACTACAAGGCAAGCAGAAGGAGCGGGAGTTGAGGAAGAGTATGGCATTTGTTCGACAGGAGAACAACTGAGCACGGCAAGACAGCCAGATAAAGAAGTATGCCTCAATGCGAGCTGAGAGCCTGTCAGGAAGTCCATGCTGCGGTGCTTGTTCCAATGTTGTCGGAATACGTTGTCTTTCTGCACGTGCGGGTCTTCTTACCTGCCTTCAAGCTGGGGTTTACACTGCTCGATATGCAATCCTCGCAGGGAGTGATCTGACTGTACTTTTATCCTCCCACGCATACACGACCAGATCCTGTGCAGGATCACACGAAAACATGTGCGCTGTCTGCAACAAAGCTTAACTTATCAGTTCCCATGTGCTCCTTGCATAAACGAGGTGTTGCTGTCCTACTTGGAACACAATCTAGTGGTGACTTCAAGTAAGGGTTCGTCACCTCGCGCAAGATTGTTCCTGAACTCTGCCTCACGAGCAGTCGACGATAAGCAATGTGCTGAGGAGCATCGAGACTGCCATGTGCTTCTATCCAATACCTCGGTGTGGCTTAGCTCGGGAGTTCTTCCTTGTTTGATCACGTGCGTAGGAATATTCAAGCCTCCAGTCAAAACCTGGGGTTTGTGTTAGGAACAGGCATAGCTCCCGTCAATCCAGATCGTCATTTGGCGCACGTTGCATCTGGGACGCTCCGAAAAGCAAATTTGCGTCACTGGGACCGGTGACTATGGTCAAATGACCTGCTGACAGTTTGTATCCCTCGCGCCAAGTGGTCGCTGTCCTTGAGCAGTCCACGATGCTCGCTCTTCCGGTGTCGACCTTCGTGTCGCTTGCTCTTTATCCTTCTCCCTTGCATTACCAGTATCTTTAGTACAGCTTAGAGCTACAGCTGTTGCTCCTCCTACCACGATGCGGCTGGTTTCCGCATTGACGGTGCTCGCAGCGGCCCTACCTTCCTTGGTCGATGCCTCTCGCCTGACTCCCCCAGTCCTTCCACTTATTGTACGCAATCCATACCTAAGCACATGGCTCAGCGATGCACGCGGAAAGCCATGGGAATCATGGCCTATGTTCTGGACTGGAGAGCATGTTGGCTTCTCTGTCCTAGCTAGACTTCCACATGAAGAGAAGGTATACCCTTTACTGGGCAGACCACAGGACGCTTTGAGCCCTCACGACAGCTCTTACAACGTCTCCTATCCCACCTACCTGGGCTCCAAGTACGATGCGTCTACTACCAACCTCACCTACAATATCCTTTCGCACAATTCCTCAAGATCTTTGGAGATAACGCTGTCCTTTCTCTCACCCATTACCCCTACCTCTACCCTCCGGCAATCGATACCTGCAGCCTATCTGAACGTGTTTGTGACTGGTGACGTGGACGTGGACATCTATGTTGATGTCAATGGTCAATGGGTCAGTGGTGATAGGGCCAACAAGATTGTGTGGGATATAGAGCACACTCATTTACAACAGGAAGAGGACCAAGGTCTCAAGACGTGGATGGTTAGAAGGGAGACCGAGCAAGCTTTCACAGAAACCCGAGAACAACCAGAGTGGGGTACCTTACTCTTCTCTGGTCCTTCTGATCTTCGTCATGAGGCAGGCACTTCATCGGAACTCAGGCAGAGGTTCTCCAGAACGGGAACCCTGCAAGACCATGCTGATGGTAGATTCCGAAGCATAATGGACGACGAGCCTGTTTTCGCTTTCTCAAAGTCTTTCAATGCTAACACGACGAGCCTCAAATCACATGCGCACGTCAAGAATGTCATGTTCACAATTGCTCATATCCAAAATCCGGTCATTCAATATGCTTCAGCTAGAGGGCTCACACTTCTACGTCCATTGTGGGCATCGTACATGTCTTCTCCTCAGGATCTTGTCACTTTTCATTGGCTTGACTATGGACATGCTGAGGAGCTTGCTTCCAATTATTCCGCTCAGCTTGCGGTCGATGCCTATAGGTCTGGAGCTGAAGATTACGTTGACATTGTGGCAGTATCTGCTAGGCAGGTCATGGGCGCCACTCACTTCACGGGCACGCCAGAAGATCCACTACTGTTCATGAAGGAGATCTCATCAGACGGCAACACACAAACGATAGATGTGATCTTCCCTGCTTTTCCTTTCTTCCTCTACACTAATCCCAGGTGGTTGGCATACCTGCTTGAGCCGCTGATCGAACATATGATGAGCGGCCAATACCCAAACAAGTATGCTATGCACGACATTGGCGCTCATTACCCCAATGCAACTGGTCACCCTGATGGCAATGACGAGTATATGCCAGTCGAAGAATGCGGCAACATCCTCATCATGGGCCTTGCACTGGCAAACTCAATCAAGTATGGTACAAATAGCTCTGTCAGCTCCACCTGGCAACAAGCTCCCAATTACCTGGAGAGAAACGATGAAAAGATATGGCCCCTAAATGTTGGCACGGATGCTGGCGTTCAATATATCGATGAGCCCTGGACCTCAGACAGTCAGTCGGAAAAGAAAGCACAGAGATGGGTCCAGCGAAGCTATCGCCTCTGGAAGCAATGGACTCAGTATTTAGTCGATTACAGTCTCGAGCCCGAGAACCAGCTATCGACAGATGACTTTGCTGGCTGGCTAGCTTTGCAGACCAATCTGGCGCTGAAGGGTATCATTGGCATTAAAGCCATGGCTGGCCTGGCAGAAATTGCTGGCTATGAAGCTGATGTCAAAAGATACGACAACACGTCGAGAGTCTATATCGAGAAGTGGGAAGAATTAGGCATTTCTAGAGACAAGACACATGCCAAGGTAGCGTACAACTGGTTCGGCTCCTGGGCCACAACCTACAACCTCTATGCCGACAGCTTGTTGTGCTTTCACCTCGAGAACACAGACTCAGCCGACACAAGCCCCCTGGTCACTGGCCAAAAGCCGATCAAATCACCCAGCAAGAGTTCTGGCTTTGTCCCACAACACATCTACCAGATGCAATCAGACTGGTACTACGCAGTCCGCCAAAAATACGGCCTTCCACTAGACTCCCGTCACATATACACAAAGACCGACTGGGAATTCTTCGCCATGTCAGTCGCTGCTCCACGAGTTCGCGCAGATATACTTGAGCGAGTCGCTCGATGGGTGAATGAGACCAACACCGACCGGCCACTGACTGACCTGCATGACACAGAAGGAAGCGGCGGCTTTCCAGGGCCAAACTTCTTCGCCCGACCTGTCGTTGGCGGCCACTACGCTTTCCTGACATTGCGCAAGGCTTGTGGCGGGAAAGCGATGGAGGGTCTCAATTTCTTGCGTGACGATGTGGTGGATCGAGAAGTTCAGATGGATGTGCAGGGTTTGCTGGAATTGGAGGTCTTGGAGGAATTTATGTATAACGGGGAGCTGTAGACGTTCAGCTGCAGACTCGAAAATTTGGGATACGACTTCTTGTGAGCTTGTTATTCGATGATCTTGGATTTCTTTTTTTGATTGCCAACGATTCTTTGCGGCTACGTTCTATGTATGATGGTGAAAGAAAACCTTTTCCACTACCGAAGTATTTCCACGTTCCCTCTCCCTGACTCTTTTGCTCGCCCGAGCCTTGCAGGCGACTAACATCCGAGAACGCCACCTTTATTTACAAAACTTGGGATTTCTCTTGTATCGCCAAATTGGCATACCTCTGCGGTTGTATCTCCTGCAGCTTTGCACTGTACAGGTACTGCCTCCCAGTACTAACGGTCCCCTGGTTTTTGCCATACTGTACGTACATACGTCATCTCGAGCCGCTCTCCCTTCCATTTCCACCTCGCCCAGCTCTCGCCAAGCCCTCACTTACGAAAGCCTTTCCTAGAGCCAAGACTCCCGCCAACCCTTGGGGCCTCGTCATGTTTTCTTGACGTTCGTATTCTGCATTCGGCACGGTTAAAGATGAGGCAGATATTAGCCCACAAACCTTCTGAAGCGCTTCTGCGGTTTTCACGATGTGGACCTGTCGTGAAAGTTCTCGCAATGCACAAGTACAACCCCGGACGATTTGGCCCGCAACGTGGCATCTGGGGAACACGTGTGTCATAGGAGGTCCAACCTGGGGTTGCGCTTGGGACGAGATCCGCACAAAACACATGGCGCCCATTTGCTCGTGGAAATGATGAGAGCCCAGTGGCTGCTGACGTTGTTGTGTGTAGATATATAGACCACTGTGCTGTCCCATCTCAATCGACTATGCACCTCTTTCGACGACAAGCTAAACGTGAGCGAACTCGTCCAATATGTCCCCCAAACGATATTCGACTCCAGATGCTAGCAACGGCAACGATGGGGGTGTCGTACGCATGAACGATAACACATTCCGGCGTCTCAGCCAGGCAAATCCAAGTATAGGCCAGCAGGTCAACGAGATCGAGTTAGCAACTGCGACGGAAAAGTCTCTCACCATTCGACAAGCTGTTCGATTGTATAAGCGAGCAATATGCTTCTCGCTGATAATGAGTTTGGCGGTTGTGATGGAGGGATATGACCTGGCGACCACAGGCACATTCATGGGCTACGATGCCTTCCGAAACTCCTTCGGGACAGAACTTGACCCAGATGGCAATCCAAGAATATCCGCTGCATGGCAGGCCGCTGTGCTGAATGGTACTCAGGCTGGTTCTATCATCGGTCTTTGGATCAATGGATACCTGTCGGAGTGGATCGGCTATCGAAAGACGATGTTGCTTGCACTCTTTGCGTCTGCTGCCTTCAACTTCATACACTTCTTCGCGCAGAGTATAGGGATGGTGACTGCTGGTTCGGTTCTGATGGGATTGCCTTGGGGCATCTACCAGACTTTGACAGTCACATATGCCTCTGACATCACTCCTGCAGTACTTCGACCATACTTGACAACATACATCAACTTATGCTGGGTTTCAGGACAGCTTGTGTCATCAGGTGTACTGCGCGGTTGTGACACCATAAACAACGATTGGGGCTGGAGAATCCCATTCAGTCTGCAATGGGTCTGGGTGCCGTTCATCTGCGTCGGGGCATTGATGGCACCAGAATCACCTTGGTGGCTCGTTCGCAGAGGCCGGTTCAACGACGCTCGGAACAGCGTGAGAAGACTTACGACACCTTCTGCGGATATACCCTTTAACCTTGATGGTGCATTAGCCCTGATCAATCACACTAATGAGCTTGAAAAAGCCATGAATGAAGGAGTCGGCTACCGAAACTGCTTCAGACCCATCGAGAGGCGTCGAACTCTGATTGCGTGCGTGGTTTGGCTTACACAGGCCTTGTGTGGAGCTGCACTGATGGGGTAAGACCACATGCGTTACTCGCAACAACCATCTGCTAATATCGTGCCAGATACTCCGTACAGATATTTCGGGAAGCCGGTCTCAGTGGTGAGGACGGCTTGAACATGGCGATCGGTCAGTACGCCCTGGGTTTCATTGGAACACTCATCTCCTGGTTTTTGATGAGCCATATCGGCCGACGAGCTCTTTACTTCTGGGGCCTCTGCCTCCTATCCTGCTTCCTTCTGGTCATAGGTGGTCTAGGCGTCATATCTCAAGACAACGTCGGCGCTGCATGGGCTCTCGGTTCTGTATTATTAGTATACACTCTTGTATACAACTGTACAGTCGGTCCAGTATGCTATGCCCTCGTATCTGAGATCCCCTCAACCCGAGCCAAGGTGAAGACAGTTGTCCTGGCTCGAAACGTGTATAACTTGGTAAGTTCATCCCTTGGTCTTTGCACGTCGCGAGCTGACCGAACAACTCTTAGGGTGGCATCATTAATAACATCATTGTACCACGCATGCTTTCGCCAACCGATTGGAACTGGGCTGGCAAAAGCGGCTTCTTCTTTGCTGGACTGACCGCCATTCTGGCTGCATTCATGTTCTTCATGCTGCCGGAGTGCAAAGGTCGTACCTATGCTGAGCTAGATATCTTGTTCGAGAATAAGGTTACTGCTAGGAAGTTTCATAAGACAAACGTTGATCAGCATGCAGGTCACACGACTATCGCAGATACTCAGACACGGGCGAGCAGCAGTGATACTGTGACTGGTGATAGCGAGAAGCCAAGGGACGTGCGGAAAGAGATCGTTTAGACGTTCGCGTTTCTTCAGTCGAGCATTTGCCACTGTTGTATGGAACGCGTGTGCGAATATTGAGGTATGCATGGATCGTATTTGTAGTTCTGATGTGTCTTCCTTGGATCGTATTGTGGTAGCTACATTTACTCGAATTATGAGGCATGGTCAGTTGTGTGTAGTGAATGGCTTAGAATGCACTCACACAATGAATACATCTGTTTTCCATGCTTGTTGTCCCCGAGTTCACACGTTGCGAATATTACACTCCAATCTCGATCCCAAGTAGAGCCTAGATAGGATGTAGTTCGCTTCTCCAATCACAGATAGGCAAAGAAGCAGGTCGTGTTGATCCAAGGTAACGGAGGAAAACTTCCTCGAACTCACAATGACTGTATCCGCAGTGCTTGGCTCGTCGCGTCGAAATGAAGCTCATGCTGATGATCTCGTCCTTGGAACAATTATAGGTATACATCTATACCATAACATCATTAATCAGCAAGACATTTCTATTGTCGGAGTTTACTCGTGGGGCAAAAAGTTGCGTGGAAAGGACCTACGTATGTAACCATACCACAAAACGAATCTGTCGACTTGTGTTGGCTTCTGGCATTGACCTTTCTTGAGGCAAGACATGCCTTGCAGATGAAGAACCAATCCACCTCTGTTGTCCACAGAAATGTGATCGTGAGCATTGCATCAGACAACCTCTTCCACTCGAAGCCCGAATGCATCATGCTCGGGCGCGCTCCCCATTGAAAAGTCGACCTCAAAACGTGGTCTTTGGGATCGAAACGTCTCGTAGGATGTACGAAAAAGGGGCGCATATTATGAAAATCTGGAGCCAATTCTGAGGACGATGTTTCGTTGAAGGGACGCGCAGATGGGTCTGTAGCAGCAAAGAGATCTTTGATCTGTCCGTCGAGTGCAACGAATTCTAGAGTCCTGACGGCAGGTAGAAGCGTCAGTTGCAGGAGCTCGAAGAGCTCCTCATGGGAGACAAAGTCCGGCAATGTTAATCTACGAATCTGGTGAAGAAGTGATCGGTGATGTGGAGATTCGTACAATTGGTTCAAAGCCTTTAACACGTATCCGTGGTATCTGTGACCAGAAATGCTAGCGGTGTTCGATGCTGGATAAGCCCTTTGGAGGCGTTCCACTTCGATCACAAGATGACTAAGAGCTTTTTCGTGAAGACCAATGGCTTCTTCGTAGCATTGCAGGCAGGTGAGCAATATGCCACGATGCACGGGTACTTCAGACAATCGAGAGAGTGAGCATCGTTGCGTTTCTATAAATTTTCGTTCTTCTCTCTCATCTATCCACAGAAGTAAGCTTATGCTGTCATCTGAGAACAGGTATTGGTAGATCGATAGCCGAACCTCAATCGGCAAGGTCAAAAAGCGAGCCATGCAAGTACTATGCAGCAAAGTGAAGAGAAGGCAGGCACGAGAGGGTCAGAGCGGGCAGTGGATTCGGCGCGAAAGTTGAACGTCCACTGCTGATGAAGTGGCAGGCGCGGGCTTCAGACTGATGGTCGAAGTATTGGATAAAGGAGCTTGGAAGCAACATACGTGTGCGGGTGGTGATCAGGAAAAAACTGCTAGCTTGTGACTGCAAGTCACATATCGAAGCAGTAGCTTTTAAAGTGATAGGGATTGGCTTAGTAAAGTGGTAGTATCACACTGGCAGGCGACCGTGAACTGCAGGCCTGGCTCGAGTTGTGGTTGGCTGGAACTTGTGCTTGCTGCAAATGAGTACTGGTACGGGGCCAAGTTTGTGCATTCAACCCCGACTTACTGAGACAGACGCACAAAGACTACTGCTAGTCATCGATTACTTCGAAGTACTATTGCAGCTGGGATAACACTGTAATGGATATCTCAAAGAGCCTACTCAGTGCTACTTAGACTTTGGTTAAGCCTGCAAGAAGTCATAAGAGGAATTCGTTGCCCTGAGTGTGGTGATCAGGTTCGTTGGAAGGATGAAGAGAACGTTGTCCAAAAATTATAGACCAACGGCTTTGGCTGCATTTAGCTGACAGTGACCGGAGCTGAGGAGGTGAACCCGAGCTCCTGCTCACGTCTTACTTGGCAGCTCAAGTGTACTACACTGCCATCAGGAAACGCACTGATTATGCTTCCTGCCAGTCTCTTGTGGCATACTCTGCAAACCCTGTCTTCATTGATGACTATCTTTCTCCTACGACCTTTTGCTGCTGCATCACTTATGGGCTCACTAGGGCCAAGCTTGGCACCAGGATCACCATCTTCACCGTTCCCCAGGAGCAAACGAGCCTGTACTCTTACGGCTTCGACTTTGCGTAGATTCGAAATCATGCGAGTATCATTCATACCTGTATTGGCTGTCCGTATACGGCCACGCAGGTAAGACTCAAGCTCTTTCACAAGCAGTTCATTAGGTATGATGGATAGAGTGTTTGAGGCTGGCAGACGTGGGCCATGCCTTGCCAACAGAGACAGGGCGTCTCCGATTCGTGGTTTTTCTTCTTGATCAGGTGGTGTTGCGGGAGGTGGGGAGAGATAAAGCGATAACAAAAGTGCATAAATCGTAGATGCTTCCGAGATAGGGTCTTCAGTTTGTGCTTGTGCTGTTGACGTTCTCTGAGAACTGCCTGCTGCTGTGCGCTGGTTCGCGTTTGAATTCTCCTGTAGATATACCTGATTGCAGTATTCTTCTGCTTTGGCGGTATCATTGAGCTTGAAGACGAACAATTGCAGTGCTTGTTTGTGCTGGCCCATCTTGCTGTATACAATGGCAAGAGCCTCATAAAACAGCGGGTCGTCTCGTGGCAGCATAGGCAGCGTCTTGGCTGCCGAGTACTGTGTTGATTGTCGAAGATGAGTAAGAAGCTTTTGGAACGTTTCGTCACTTCTGTCTTCGGTGTTTCTTGACTTTAGTTCGTCCAAGTAAAGAACGATCAGATGCTGATGCAATTCTGGAGTGGTATCGTCGAGTTCATCCACTACATGCTCCAGATATCGCATCGCATGTCGCCTGTTAATCGACTCCAGAAAGGCGAGCACCTTGTCGCGTGGTAAAGACTCGGCGTTCTCAGTGTCAGCCATGAAAATCTCCATGCCTACTTCAGGCTTTGTTTCCAGTGGCCACTTCGCAAACTCAAGAATGAGATCAATTAGCTCGGCTGGCAGGTTCTGCAAGTAGCTGACCGTGCGGTCCGGACCATGGAGCTGTGGATCGATGTCGTCGGTCCTGTCTGACTGGCCAAATCGCTGTAGTCTCTCCAGCGCCTCTCTGTGCAAGCGCTTACCATACAGAAAATCTATCAGTTCACTGTATCGTTCTGTCTCTTCCAATTTGTTCATAACAACTTCGGGATCACAGTGATTCTTGATGCGGAACAGCGAACCAGCCAATGCAGGATTGTTGTACATGTGAGCTCTGAAGAGCGTCGTGTCCACAACTTTTGCGGTTTCGAGGAGTTTGTCTTTAACGTGCGCTTCGTCGTTATTCTTGACTTCTAGAATGTGTTCAACGACGTTTTTGTTGTCTTCTGCTTGAGGGCCATCCTCGAGCTCGGATAGTGGTCTGATGTTTTGATCTGGGTCAAAGAACCGCTGAAGTCGTCTGCGAATATCAGCTAGAAACGCCTGCAATTCTCTTACTGCAGATTTCAGCTCCTTTTCATTTGTGCTTTCCTTGACGCCACTAGGCACGTTTGCTACATCAGAAGCTTGTTTCCTAATCTTCTCTATACTCGACTTGCTGGCAATTGATGCAGGTCTGTTCATCTGTGGACTTCTGGGCTCAAGCGGTGATTGTGGCCTGGCCGTAGCCATATCACCGGCGATGAGCCGAGGGTACAACCTGATAACACGTTCAGGTGGTGCAGATACATCACTAAAAAGCTCCAGGGCATCACGAAATTTACCTTCGTCGAACAGCCTTTGAGCCTTCTGCATCTTGATCTCTCTTAGTCGGCCCTCCTTGTCTTTGATCAGTGTCTCTTCCACAATGTCAAGCAGACTAATGGCCTCGTCAAGTTGGTCGGCTTCAACCAGTGCATCGATTTGTGCATCGTAATGTAAGCCTTTCATGCGCCAAATAATTCTATCACTTGCAACAAGAAAACCCTTGCCTTGATGTGCAAGACTGATGCTCGGATTAGGCACTTGCAAGAGTCCTGCGTTGGGCAGCTCAATAGACTGCAACAGAGTGAGTGTGTTGGGGTTTCGCACTTCCAGCACACCCTGTTTAGCCGACTCCTGTAGAGCTAGCAGAAATGGGTAGGAGTATCCGACTGCTTTCGGAGTGCCTCGCCACGGTATCTGCCTGCGACCAATAGGCTCACCATTTCGATCGACAAAATGTGTATTGACGTCCTTGGCCAGTAGCATTTCGTTGGGACCAAGACCTGTAGCGAGTGGTGCCGGCATCATGCTACCCATCCCAATGTAGCTCAGTGTTCCTGTTCCTCTCTCAGAGCCCGGTTGTCCGCCTATGCTTCCAGGGCCGACAATGGTCTTCTGCTCCCGAGACTCTATGTCCAGCATGACATAGTTCTGATTCAGACCGACCAAGAGCTTCGTCCCCATAGCCCAGGTCAAGGACTTCGCGCTGTTAGCAAGGGTGAATTCGTCTGCATCGCCAGCGAGTTCTCCATCGTGCCACGACCAGAGGAGGATCCGTCTGCGAACAGCAACAGCCAATCTGCTAACAAGAGTTGGAACTCTGGTGGTTGCGTCCTGGACGATGTTGCTTGTGGCAGCGAAGATGGTAGTGCCTTTGGTCTTGCTGAGTTGCTCTTGAAGTTTGTAAGTGCCCAAGTCGTGTATAGAGATCAAGCCACCACTCAAGGATATAAGGATGTTGGCTTCTTTGAAGATTGCTAGCTGTTCGATCTTGTATTTCGAGAACTTCTCGTGCTCAGCAAGAAGCTCGGTCGGCTTGTTCTTTGTCTGTGAGACCTCATCATGATCGTCCACACCATCTTCGTTTTGCTCAGGGCCAGGGTTGACTCTATACACGCGAAGAGCGCCCGTATTTAGACCGACCAGTAGATGGTCTCCATGGGCCAGGATCGACTCGATCTTCGACTTGTCGCGTTGCTTGAGCTCGACGATGGGCTCTGCAGTGAACGCCGACAACATCGGTGGTTTCCTACATCGGTTGTCTACCACAGCTGCAATATAAGCGGCAGGAGTTACCTGGTGCTTCTTCCAGTAGAGAGTGCTGGGATGACGCAGGCGGAGCATGGCTAGAGAACAATCGTGCCTCAGGCATCAGAGGTGGCCGATCCTGCACATGCCGCAGTTGTCCTACTGTCAACTCTGCAGAGGAACCAGGCAATGTGAGCATTCGGTCAGTCAGTCAGTCAAGAAACATGTCGAGCGTTTCCCGGCACTCAACGGCAGAGGCAAGCCTGAGTGCTGTTGGGACATCTTCTATCAGGCCACAACCGAGTCAAGCTGAACGGACAGCAGATGCCCGCAAAGCCTTCCTCAGTTCTTTCGATGTCGCTGCTAAGGAAGTCGATACAGATCTACAGTCACGGGCAAAATCTATTCACTCCAATGCTCAATCCTTGACGAAGCAGGAAAAGCAGCTACAGGACGAGACCAAGAAGTTGGCCAAGGAAAACCAGGAAATGGAGAAGTGGCTCCAGAAGAGCCAGAAGAAGCTCGCAGAATTCAATGATCTGATGGACTTTGATCTCGAAGGTGATGGCCTCGAAGATAGTCTCGAAGATCTTGAGGCTATGTTGGATATCATGGAAGCAAAAGCTAAACCAGGTAAGGATGCATCTAGAGACTTGAAGGGAGCAGACAAGACCTGAGAGACTAGGACCAATGGTTCTATGATTGTATATGTATAATTTGCGCTTAAAAATGTCAACAACACAGATTACCGCACTGCCTTTAGGGACACTTATCAGATTTCATCTCACCTCGCCGTCGTTCGCTCATGCAATAGATATAGGGCCTTTCGCAGCATCGATTGCCTTGTACTCGGCCTCATCCGTCCAGTGGTGCTCCGTCAATGTCTCCTCCATCTGGGCGGCATCCATACCCATCAGAAGCTCGTCATTGGTGCACAGCACTTCCAGACCAGGAACGCAGTCGATTAGTGCGAACAACAGCCAGCTCACCACGAATGACCAAGTGAACCCAATACAAGCCTCCAGCACTTGGATGCCAAGCTGACGAATATTGCCATCGAAGACGACACCGCCAGTAATATCAGTTACACCATCGTAGGATGCGACTTCTTTCGACGCGAACAAGCCTGTAGCAATGGTCCCTGCAAAGCCGCACAGACAATGTGTCGCAAAGGTGTCCCCATTGTCTACCCAGCGCCACTTTCGAGCCCAAGGCGTGAACTTGATACGAAGAGCTTGCCGGGTCAGAAGAGCACCAAAGATGCCGAAACTGTGCAGATTGCAATGGTTAGCATGTTCTCTTGTTGCGGCAGGATAATATGTACAGGGAAGTCGATAACTTACAACAAAGCGGTATTAATACCAATGAAGCCGGCAGACGGTGTGATCATGACCAGTCCAGCAATTGCTCCCAGGAACACAGAATCGACTGCCCACTTCCCTGTTTCGGCCCAGGTGTATACTGCATAGGTAATAGCTCCCGCACTTGCACAGACATTTGTCACGACCATAGCCATCACGCTCTTGTAGTTCAATGCCAGAGTTGTGCCAGCATCGAACGCCAGCCAACTCCCCCAGATGATAATCAGAGCGATCATTTGACAGATGGTGTTATGTGGCTTATGCAAAGCCAGGTGACTGGGTGTTCGGTTTGCCGACTTTCGAGAGCGAGCGACTGGATAGGAGAGGTACAAAGATAACGCCGTGGCTGTTGCGCCCGAGTTAATATGGACTGGCGTTCCTCCAGCGAAGTCAAGAACTCCGAGCTCAGCGAGGAAGCCTCCTCCCCAAACCATGTGCGCTAGTGGGCAGTATACGAAAGTTGACCACAAGAACACAAACGGAACTATAGCTACGATTCGTCCTCGCTCACATGCGCCACCAATCGCGATTGCGCAAACCGTTGCCTCAAAGATCAGCTGGAAAAAGCTGAACAGGATTGCGGGGATAGTCCCAACAGGATCGGCACCAACGCCTCGATGAAAGGCGGTCGTCAACGGTCCTACGACGGCTCCACCCTCACCGTAAGCCAGAGCATAGCCGATCGCCCACCACTGTATCGTGCATACAGAGACGGCGATGAGAGCTGGGTAGAATGAGGCAATGCTGTTCCATCGAGTGCTGTAACCAGAGTACCCAAGACCGACTGCGGGAATGATAGGCCAGCAGAAGGCACAACAAGTCATCACAAAGGCTGTATCGATCTTGTTGCATGCTTCCCAGGCATCGAGGGTTGGATTTGAGGGGGACATGGCTAAACAACGGGTATGGGGTGAGCAATGCCTGTTGTCGCCTCAGTTTCGTTAATTTCTAGCTGTAGGTTGCTGTGGCATCAAGTATAGAAGCTATGTTTGAGAAGACAAACCCCTAGGAGACTACATGACCGTATAACCTCGGATTCAAAGCTGGAGCTATCAGTGCACGCTAGGATGGGTCACGCATTCTGCATTTGGTATATTTAAGCCGATAAGGACACTCATCAAGCTTCTGAGCATTGCTCGGCCACATGGAGGTAAGTGTATGTAAATTCAGGTACGAAAGCTATCGCCGGAGAAGAGCTGTGATTGAGTAGAGCAGGACAGCCAAGCTCGTTATCAGCTGGTTGAGGTATCCACAAAGGATCCTCTATTTGGGGTTTCGCCCTCCGCTGTGCCAAGCAACGTAGACTTGTCTGTGCTCGCCGTGTTGATACTCGGAGAACGGTTCCATCTACAATTGTTCTTTTCGTATGGGTGAGCTGTTAGGAAAGATTTGAATGGCATAGAAGGATGGTTTGTTTGAACAAGGGCGATGAATTGCAGGTGTGACTTACATAGTCAGAACAGCAGAACAGCGAGAGATATTAGGGAAGCAAGATTCACCTACGACAATATATCCAGAAACGCTCAAAATCAGGTTTAAAGTAAAGCTCCCAGTCTCAGCGATGCTCACGAGGAACACTCTTGTTCTTCGGGTAGGCTCATCTGTTGGCTCGAGCACTCCTCATCATGAAACCACCCAGTACACCAGCAGCAACAGCCACACCACCCGCGATAGCCAGGCCCATCATGCCTTCTCGCGAAACTTTGTCATCAATCAATGTCCGCAAGCTCTGCGACTGCAAATTTCCAGGCTCTTTTTCTAATAATAATTCGTTATACCGCCTTGCTTCCGCGTAGTTGCCCAGTTTATAGTTCCCGAGTGCGAGATAGTATAGACACTCGCGCCGCCTTTCGGGTGTTGTCTTGAAGATGTCTGATAGTAGCTGTACACCAAGCTGTTGTTCTGAGCGCTCGGACGACTTAATTAGGCCCTGCACCTGTCAGTATGCTGCGCCTACTAGAGGTATTGAAACAGTCGTACCCATGCGTAATTGAACTTTGTCTGCACTCCGACGTAGTCGCCCTCCTTTTCATACTGTGCTCTTAGAACTTGTAACTCAGCTGGTCGCAAAGGACTCTCTGCATCGGCGGCATCTGTGGCGCATTAGTGTCGTGTTGCGCGAAGTCAATCGTGGAGACGTACAAGGCAGGTTCGATCCCATATTGCCGGCTGTGGGAGTAGTGCAAGAGTTTGGGGATAGTAGCTTAGGTGAATTTTAGGACAGTAAGGAGCGACACAGTTGCTGATTTTAATACGGAACATGTGTAGGCACGACCGCAGAATTGAGTCCCCAGATGATGCACATGGACTGGTGCAGGTTCGCCATGTGCCTGCTGTGCCACACCTGGAACTTTCGACCAACCTCAGGACGTCACACGTTGAGTAGAGTTGCCGTTACTTTAGAGCCTCGACAACGTCCTCTACGGCCTAGGACATCACAGCACGGCCACATATGCTATCCTTACGTCATTCCTTCCTCTTCTGGAACAAAATAAACATTCACAATTCATTTCGAAAAGCCATGTAGGCCTAGGAAGACACACAGCATCACGCGGCACACTCGCAGCCAGATCGAAGAAACAGCAACTCACATCCGTAAAGATGCTACTCGAAGAAGATCCAGCGACTCTCCTCCGCCACACCATCTCGAATTTCAGCACACAACCCGACCGCGCAGCCGTCTCCCGCATCAACGAGAGTCTCTCAACACTACAGCAGTCACGCGAGCTGCGCCTAAATGACGCAGAGACAGCTCTTCGGAAACTCTCGCGTCAACTGGCAACTGTCTCATCCCAGCATAGAGAAGCGACTGGCTCGCACGACGCACAGCGTCACGCGAGTGAGATTGTAGAGCTGGACACCAAGAAATTTCGAGTCGCTAAACAGGCTCAAGAGCTGGAAGTTGAGGGTGAAAGGCTTGATTCAGAGCTTGATCGACTGAGGCGGCGATTGGAAGACTTGGAAGAGCAGGGCGTAGAAGGAGATGCACAGGCACGCGCACAGAGAGAGGTGGATGATCCTACAGTGTATGTGGATTACTTGGAGAGAGTGCACAATACAATGGCTAACAGTTCACAGGTTGAGGCTATGGCTCTACCGATCTCTAGGAATCACGCTCGAACCAGATCACGCTGGCAACTACAACAAGGCGACTGTAAACAATACCAAGAAGGGTGATGTGCATATTGTGAACGTTGAGCCGCAGAAATTCAGCAAGTATTTCTATGCCGACTATTTCTGGAGCACCATGCAAGGATAAGAGACAGTTCATCGGTCAACCATATCAGTTAGAAGTCTCAGCCTTCGCTTCACCCCTTTTTACCATCTCTACCAGGCTCCTCACGTCCTCCACGAGACCACCCGGACATTCGAGCGCAGCAAAATGTCCAGCCTCGTCCCTCTCGTTGTAAAACACAAGATTGCCAGTTTGCTCGACGCCCCACCTCACGCTCGGTCTTGTATCATACAGGAAGCTCGTATAGCCCATCGGTACTGTCACACGATTCTCCTTCTTGACGATTTCTTCTGGGAATTTCTCGTGCCGGATGTTTTCAAAGTACACCAAAGACGCTGTATTTGAACAGTTGGAGAAGTAGTACAGGCACACAGTGGTCAAAATATGGTCCCGCCACAAATTCGACCTGGTTAAGGGATTATGCGGATTGCAGACTTCGTCGTATTTCTCACCAATGAAGGAAAGGATGGCCGTTGGATTATCGGTGAGCATAACACCAAGAGAGGAGGGACGAGTGCGCATGAACTGTGCATAGGCGAGGTGAGAGTTTAGCCAGGCCTGGACACGTTCGTGAATTTGCTGTTCGCGCGGCGATAATACTTCCGATGACGGTGGCGGGAGAGGCGCAGGTATCCAGTTGAAGTGTATGGCTTGGACGTGCTTACTATATGTCGGATTTGCTGCACTACACAGGAGTGTCAGCTCAGGCTAGTAACACAAAGATTGTCATCGCCCTGCATTGACGACGATACTTACAGCTCTCTTCCAACCCAGTGACCCCAGTCACCTGCCTGGACACTATAGTCACTGTATCCAACACACCTCATCAGTTCGTGAAACATCCCTGCGACATGTTTCAGTGTCTGGGCCTTTGGTGGGCCAGAGGAAAAGCAGAATCCTGGAAGCGACGGTACGACGCAATGGAACGCTTGCTTAGATGGATCCTCCGGCTTTGTGAGAAGGTTAATGACCTGGCTGAACTCGTAGAACGAGCCTGGCCACCCATGAATCAACAAGATGGGTATAGCATCAGCTCGATCGGAACGAGCGTGCACAAAATGAACAGTTTGGTCATTGATGTCCACTAAATGATGTGGCCATTGGTTCATATATGCTTGCTGCTTGTACCAGTCAAAGTCATTGATCCAGTAATCGTACATTTCTCGGATCCATTCCGTCGAGATTCCATAGTCGCTTCCTGCTCCTGGCACGATTTCTTGTGTTGGGATGCGAGTGTCCTTAAGTTTGCGTAGGAGACGGTCTACTTCTGCTCGAGGTATGTCGACTTTGAAGTCGCGGAGGTTTTGGGACATGATCAGTGCACTTTTTGACCTGGGTATGCTAGCGTCTCGTTTGCTGAGCGAGGACCTACCTTCATTTTACAGGGTCGATTGAAGCCATTATACTTCGCGGAGAGAGCTTCTCCTCATGACTAGACTTCTAAGCCGGTTGAAGTGGTCCCACCGAACCTTGAATAGTTTGGAGAGGCCATCAGCAACCATACTTTTCCAATGCATATCCGAACGTGATTCCAAGATCCTGGGAGGAGGCTCGTGAAATAATGCCAAGCCTCATGCTTGTCACCTTCCGCTCCGACCTATTTTATTCTTGGCCTCTACCGCGCCTCCCATCGTGCTTTCCACAAGTTGTCAAGCCCAAATACAATTCGGCTTGTCGCATGGAAAGTAAAATGTCATGCAAGACAAAATGCAATCGTCGCTGTACTTCGGCATCAACAACACACACATGGGATTGGCCTTTTCGTAAGGTCAACCAGGAGACATCTCGGTGACTTTTCGAGCTAGGGCCAGACCCGACTTTCACATCCAGTCTTTTCACATTTCTAACATTTGTTCTTCCTTCATCGTCCGCCTTTTCTCATGTCCTCGGATTGTTTGACGTTGCAGATTATTGCCATATAATGCCAAAATCATTGTTTCCTGGCTTTTTGTGTATATATCTACTCTCCCTGTTTTGCCCCCCAGTGACAACCTCGACAGTACAACATGACTTCGATATCGCATGGATATGGGCTGATCCACCAGGCACGCACGCTCGTCCAGTAATAGGTGTCAACGGTCAGTGGCCACCACCGACTATAAACGCCATGGTCGGGGATGTGGTTGTTATCAACGTGCATAACTCGCTGGGTAACCAGTCGACCTCTTTGCACTTCCATGGCCTGTTCATGAATGGCTCCTCTCACATGGATGGCACAAGCTACGTCAGTCAGTGTGCTATTGAACCGGGTGCGAGGTTCACATACGACTTTACTGTTCAACAACCAGGCACATACTGGTATCATTCACACTCGAAATCCCAATACCCAGATGGTCTTCGAGGACTCCTCATCATTAATGACCCAGCATCACCGTACCGCGAGCAGTACGACGAGGAGATCATAATTTCTTTATCTGACTGGTATCATACACAGACGCCAGACCTCCTGAAATTATATGGTGCTATGAGAGACCCATCGCCAGATGCAAATCTCATCAATGACGCTGCCGATGCCAAGGTACATATACAAGCCGGAAAGACCTATCTTGTCCGCATAGCGAATATCGGAGCTTTCATCGGACAGTATTTTTGGATCGAGAACCATGTCATGAAGGTGGTTGAGGTGGACGGAGTGTACACGGACCCCGTCGAGACAAAAATGCTCTTTGTTGGGACTGGGCAACGATATGCTTTCCTCTTGACTATTGAGGAGGGTCTAGCGACGAATGTGCCTATGATCACACGTATGGATGAGGTATGTTTTCCCACCAGACAAGTCTACAACCACTAATCAAGCCAGTCGTCCTTCTCCATGCATTCGGGGAGACCAGAGAGTATCGATGGAAAAGCCTGGTTAACGATTGATCCTGAACTGTCCTTTCCAGACGCACAGTTTCCGAAAGGCTTACATGCTCTCAACGATATGAGCCTGGTACCTCTGGACCACGAACCACTATTAGAGGCTGTTGACCAGAGCATCAATCTCACCATTGACATGCACACCCAGACAGACGGCGTTTCGCAGTAAGTGAGCTCAACAATTGTTTGTGTCATGCTACAATGTGCCTGACAATAATATAATCTAGTTGGCTCTTCAACACGGAACCATACACCACTCCAGACAACACCCCATCTCTCTTCGCCGCCCTCGCCGCCGGCTCAAACGCCACATCCCCCAACACATACACCCACCAGACCCAACCCTACATTCTCAGCCACAACGCTGTAATCGAGATCATCATGAAAAATAAACACATGCGCCCACACCCAGTACACCTCCACGGCCACAACTTCCAAGTCATCCACCGCTCCGGGAAAGGCACCATCGAAGACACTCCCGTAGGAACGAGCCCTCTCCGCCGTGACACAGTCGTGATCAACAATCACGGGACATTACGAATTCGTTTCCGTGCAGATAACCCGGGGGTGTGGCTTTTTCACTGCCATATGGAGTGGCATTCTCATTCTGGTCTCGTAGCGACTTTTGTGGAAGCGCCGTTGGAGCTGCAGGCGCAGATGGGGGATAAGCTCATGATTGGGCCGAATCCTGAACTGGCTTGTGATGCGCCTGAGCGGATATATAAATTCAATCAGGATGTGAATTCTGCGGCTGAGGCTCAGCAAGCGAGCATATCGTTCCTTGGGATGTAAGCCAATACTCTCTCGGCTTGTGTTGATCGTGCTAACACAGGCGACAGACCTCTCACAATCTTAGCTCTAGGCGCCAGCATCACACTGATAGGAGCAGCTACATTCTATATTTGGTACAGATCCAAGGGTTTGCGGCAGAGGAACACATCATATAGCTTGGTGCCGATTGTGGATGAGGATAGGATATATGAGCAGGACGATGGTGAGATAGATAGCAAGTGAACTTGTAGAGGGGTAGTCGTTAGAATAGAGCTGACAGGATCGAAGAGTATAGACTAGTATATTAGACGATACATATATGTGTAATGACTGTATTGTGACTTGTCAATCCTTAGCAAGCTCGCCCCGGAGGAAGGCCTGCAGGTGCTCAGACGCCCCTGAGCTAAATTCAAGCACTTGTATACATTTTGTAATTACAGCGTGATCATTTTGCTGTTACTAGTAAGTATCAGGCCTTGACCTGCTTCATATCTTCATCACTTTTACATCAGACATATTCTAGTTTCGTGATTGTGGTCTCCGGCTGACAAGACCAATTTCACCAAAACTGCGTGTTGTAGAGGCAGCACAGAGACACCGCTGATAAAGACTTCATTTCATTAGGACGAAGCTTGTAAGGAAACCATCAAACGACATGCTCAGACCACATTGACGGGGAACAATTCACTTGTCTAGAAGCTTGGAGTGGCTGATGTCGCGGAGACAGACTGCAACCTCTGTGTGCAACCAGGACGATCTCGTCTATTGTCACTGACCAGCCCTTCTGAAGTGTTGTTTGTGTTAGATAGAAAGTAATGGATCACAGTAGTGTTTGCTCTTGCCAGTATCTCCTGCTTGCGGATTATACTGTGTATTCATCATGTAGTATATGAATCTGTCTTTTGTAATTACCCTTTCCCACTCTCTAGGTCATCCAGACCGACAATGTCTTCACAAGAGCCAGAGTTCAGAAGAGTCAGACCAATGCCACTCCGACGTGGTCTTAGATGGGAACCAGGCTGTTGGCCAGCGTTCACTGTCGGCGTCGAGGAGAACCGCGTCGACGAACTATGTCGAATGATACTCAGCATACCGCAAGGAGGAAAGTGCGAGTGTGCAAAGCTCGACTATGGCACAAGAAGTCAGTTGTGGTCTGTGGACACCGGCGATGCGCGATATGTCCTCAAAGTCCTCAAGGCAGTCTTCCCTGTTCAAAAGCTAGAGAATGAGGTGGCGACCATGCAATTCATCGCGGATAGGACCTCCATCCCTGTTCCGGAGGTGATCGCATACAGTGCGTACACAGCAACAATCGGCTTTGAGTGGATCTTGATGACCAGAATACCGGGAAAAGACCTTGGCCGTGCTGGGATTGACATGTCGATTGAACAGAAGTCCAGAGTTGTGAAAGAGCTCGCTTCGTATCAAAGAGAACTTTTGCAAATCACCTTTCCCAGTATTGGCAGTCTCATGGCATCACATTACGACCAGGATAGTGTATCAGGTGCGCCAGCATATTCTCGCTATGACGTTGGACCAAGCTGCAGCACAGACTATTTCCTGCTTAATCACCTTTCCCTTAACATGCCTCGTGGCCCATTCAACTCCGTATCTGAGTGGCTGTCAACCACTTTAGACATCTTCATTCATGCTCAAACCGGGATCATGAAGAGGAGTCTCAGCAGCGACAATCCTGGCATTAATGACTTGATGTGCCAAAAGTCTGTTGCAGATGCTGACGTTGATGAGGATGACAAAGATAGCCTATACTGGGGATACTCACGTGGGTCAGCCGATGAGGCTGGGTATCGGAAGACACTTGCTCAAGAGATCCAGTCGCTAATTTCAACGATCCTCCAAGAAGAGCGCAGCGAGAACATGGTTCTGTATCACCACGACCTGAACACCGGCAACATCATGGTCGATGAGGCCGGCGGCATAACAGGTATCATCGATTGGGAGTTGACGTTAACAGTGCCATTGTGGCAGGCTTGTCAATTACCACTATTCCTACGACGTCGGCCTGGTGACATAAGCGCTAATGGTGGTGACGAGGCGGGCCCGATTGAGCAGGAATATTGGGAGCGTCTGACAGTTGGAGAGCGAGACTTCTTGTCAAGAGAGTACACCGAGGCGATAAAGGCAAGCTTTCCTGAGTGGACGACCATCCAGAAAGACAACGTCCGAAACAGAAGTCTGGTGAATGCCGTCGCGACGATTGGAGCACCTGATACTGTGCCGGCAATCGCTCGATGGGTGAAGTCCGTCAAGCAAGGGCAACCTGACTCTAACCTAGGACAACTCTAACATATTGTGACGTTGCAACTAGTGAGAAAGCATACTCAATAAGAGATTGTGTCTGCGAGCTCTCTTGAGAAGGATCGTAAGGGAATCTGCAACTGTTTCGGTGTCTGTGGTTAACATTTTTTGGTTGCAATTCCACAAAATTCGGATATTTCAACATTTGGTGGTATTTTGCTTCGACAAACGGATGCAGTCGATAGGTCAATGTCCTCTGTCAGTGTTGTCCTACCAGTGGCATTCAGGTTGACCGTTAGGACTGATTTTTGAGCGTTTTCAAATATTCCCGTAAGCGCAGCAATTTAGATGCACCTGAGCTATTCGCTGTCTTTGCCTTCCTTCCTGCGTTTCTTGGTCCCGCACGAGCATTGGTGGTCATTCGCAAACACATTATGCTGGTAGCAGATCGATCCGTCGGAAACCTGTGACATCTGACCACATGTTTCATTGAAACGCAGGACTCCATCTGCGAGATTGATAGTGCTGCGCCTCCGAAAGGCAGCTCTGTCAGGCTGACCAGTTGCTTGAGGAGTTTGAATGTGGCGCTTGTAGAATGCCGCAGATACTGTTTCGAAGTTTGTGATAGATGACACCTTCACCTTCTTGTCCTGGCTAGGGTGTGTTGGAAGTACTTCGGTAACCAGAATGTGCTGCTGCTGAGAGTTAGCTGTGGCATTCAAGTCTTTGCTTTCTTGACCAGAAGCTGCTACTTGCTCCGGCGTCTTCCAAGAGGATTGTGACTCGAGGATGTCGTGACCGCTCATTGCATCTAGGCGGAGACTGTCAGCAACCCGAAGATTTGTTATGTCGGTAGGGTTCAGATGAAGTACTTGCCTGCTGTGTGTTCTACACCAACCTCACCAGTGTTCTTAGGAGCCCTTGAATCGCTCATGGTTGTATTCACGTATGAGATGGTATCTGATTTGAATCTTATTCGAAGTCATAGAAGATATCTCTGCCACCCTCCATAGAGAGCCCCTGGTCCTCCTTATGTACATCATGCCGTTCAATTCACCTGGAAGGAGTCTTTTCTCGGCTCAAGGATCACACCATAGAAATTGACTCGTAAGATATTCATCCATGCTTCACACATATGGTCGAGTGACAGATAGCTGTGATGTAGTTAGCTCCCGACCATTACGAGCTCTCTTGCTTAAAATTTCCTCGTGATACTGCGGAATACCATTTAGGAAAAAGGAGTTGACTAAGCAGAAAGTTCAGGAATGTGCCGGTGCTCGCCTACAATGCAAACGCGCGAATTTGTCATGAAACATCACACCACATCACCGAGGGTTGATTCGATCCTTCAAGAGTACGGACTGTGCATTGTGGCATGTGATCGATGAGCCAAAAGACAATATGAGTGATAAAACTGTTCAGAAAAGTAATCATTGAGAGGTGCGGCTCGTGTATGCTGAAAACAAAATTGCCGGGCGAGAAGTGCCTCAGGATACACCCAGGACACGCTAGCCTATTACCCGAATGAAGGTACAGTGCAAGCAGCAAACATACAAACGTCACGTTCAATGTTACATATGCTTTAATCAATGAATTTACCTCCAGATGAGACCCGAAAGGATCTCTACCTACAGATGAAACCGGATTCTTCTGGAAGCGGAGCATGTGGTAAGAACGTCAAACACTCCTCCGAGCCGTGGTCATGGGTTTTCCCTTGGACAGTATATGGCCCACTTCAGGTCTGCGCCGAGGTTTTTGGTGTTTTGAGACAGGGGGTTCGATCCCCGGATAGGGAACTGGCATGATTCTTCTTTTTGCGACTTCGCCGAGCTACTAACTGGTAGCTCGTCATGGCAAGGTCGAAAATCCTCGTGGAATTCAATAACAACAATTATAATGGTAACGGCAGAAGTTGTTGGAAAAAAGCCAGTACTGCTGGCGGAAAGGAAATAAATTGAACGTTGATAGCATATCGATCTATAATCATCAGCCCTTCGAAGTGTAATTGCTCACCCCAACGCCCTTTGAAACTGTTGATCAGGAATCCGTCTTCGCTGTTCCTTTACCCTCTTCGAAGACGAGCTCTCTGTAAGACGCATCCCACATTTGTGCTCTGACCCACTCCTCCAGCTCTTTATCATTATCAAGAGGCACATTCTGAACTCCTAACAGATTCTCCTTGGCTGCTTGCTTGAGCACACCCATAGCAATCTTCACGCTGACATCTCTTGCTTGCTCGACGCCCGGGCATAGCTCTTTCGTAGGGTCATTTTGTTTAACAGCTGGTGTTTCATCTGCTAGAGCACTCACAGCAGCGACGAGCATGCCATCTGACAGAAGCTTTGTCTTCCCCAAAACACAACCTAAACCTATTCCCGGAAAGCAAACACTGTTGTTGCACTCCGCAATTTCATAAGTCTTATCATTGTACTTGACAGGTGGGAAGGGCGATCCTGTGGCGACGAACGCCTTGCCATCTGTCCATTTGATGAGATCTTCTGGTTTGGCCTCATGCAGTCGGGTAGGATTGGACAATGGGAAGATGATAGGGTGTTCGACTTGTTTTGCCATTTCCCGCACAGCATCTTCAGTAAATGCACCAGGGTTTGTAGAAGTTCCAATAAGGACATGCGGCTTGATCTTGCCGATCAAGGTTTTGAGGTCTTTACGCTCATCATCTGATAGAGACCACTTCGAGGCAGGGTGAGCGAATGGCTTCTGAGCGATAGACAAGCTATCATCGTCATCGAGCAATAGTCCCTGCTTGTCGACCAAGAACATTTGTTTTTTGGCGTCCTCCTTTGAGATGCCTGCATTGTTGGCCACAGCCGCAGCAATTTGTTCCGCAATACCTGCCAATGGTCAGAACATGGTTTAGCTAAGACGACGAAGCACCTACCAGTACCTGCACTACCTGCGCCATACGAGAGCACCCTCAGGTCGCCAAGTTTGATGTCGCTAAGTTTGGCAGCAGCCATGACTGAGGCTAATGTGACACAGCCTGTACCTTGCACATCGTCGTTGAAAACAGCATGCTCTCCTCGATATTCGTTCAGCAATCGTCGAGCATTATGAACTCCGAAATCCTCGAAGTGAATGTAGGCTTTCGGGAAAAGCTTCTTGACACTCTTAACGAAGCTATTCACAAACTCGTCATACTGTTTGCCTCGAACTCTGTTCTGTTTTACGCCTAAGTAAAGATCATCCTTCAACAGTTTTTCATTGTTGGTGCCTGTATCAAGGACAACTCCGAGGCATCGGTCAGGATGTACACCAGCACAGATAGTTGTCAAGGCAAGTTTGGCAATGCTAATCAGTATACCACCGATGCCTTGGTCACCGATGCCTAGGATTTGCTCCCCATCAGAAACGACGATGTAATCGACGCCACCATCGTCCGCACCAGGGACAACGAACTTGCTCAGACGGTTTTCGACCTCGTCAGGATGCATGATCGTCAAAAAGCATCCATCCGCTCGTCGGAACACTCGCGAGTAATTCTCGATAGCTGCACCTTCCGTCGGCGTGTAAATGATACTGAACATCTCCTTCAGGTGTTCTTGGATAACCCGAAAGTAGAGGACAAGGTTCTGCTCCTGCAGGGATGTCATGAAAGTGTTCTTCTCGAGGTCTGTTTCTAGTTCGGAGTACTGCTCGTAAGCCCGATCGACCTGCTGCTTCAATATCTGGAGATTTGTCGGCAGCATGCCATTAAGACCAAGTTTGTGTCTTTCATTATGGGAGAAGGCAGTACCCTTGTTGTAGTATGGTTCATTGAGTAACGCGCGACCTTTGTAAGGCACCTTGATAGGACCTCTGTCAGCTAAAGGCAGGTCGTCGTACTTCCCCATGTTAGGTAATGTGGCAGAGGACTATTTTGCTGAGTCAAATAGCGGCCTAGGCTGCACGAAATAGCTGCCGAGATTGTACAGTTATGGCCAGAGACTTTGTACACGTTCATGCCATAGCAGAGTGTTGAAGACAATATTTGTACTTTCGTTTCGATTTCCACGTTTCGGGAATACTCGTAGACCTTCACGTCATGCTCATTAACAATTGTGGTAAGCATGCATATTATTTAACCTTTACCACAAGTACATAAACTGCCGCTCGTTTTCATTCGTCCAAGATATGAGACTAATTCTGTTAGTGGGTGGGAAAAATGCCTGTTTGGTCAGTCGATGGTTTCTATCAGATAAAGCGACGAATTACGCAATTCTCTTTAGTAGACTAATGCAGTCTCAGGACAAGTGGAGAAGGTCAAATAATATGCACGCATACCACAGTACGGCTAGCAGTTGCCGAGTCATCACAATCAGCGCCTTCATACCACAGTAAAAAGCATGTCGACGGAGATTCAGCCAACAAAGTGGTATTTTGTTGGTCCTGCTCCCACCCCTTGTACTTACCACGAGTAACGTAACGATGTGACGACTGCGTAGTCATTGTACACGAATCCTACCTGATATGCCCGTATCAAGTCTGGTCATCGGGGCTGTCCTTTTCGTGATGTGGTAGTGCGTACCGTGAAAGTTCTCTTTCTGTCTGTAATCGCCTCATGATTTGTGTTGAGCGAAGAAGACCTGTGCTCATTTACTGGCATGCGCAGACTTGAGCTTGCCCTGCTTGATCAAGTCATCCACCTTTGGTGGCAGAACCAGCGTGCTTCGATCATTCCTCCTAAAGAAATCTGCCACTACCATGGCTGTTTTTTCAGGTTGATCTTCGTGCACAAAATGACCAGCTTCTGGAAAGACCTGCAACTGATATTTCCCTTGCATCTGTCCAATCATAAGCTCTTTGTCGAGCCGATCCGTTCCAGCTAGGATGAGCAGTTTGCCTGCACCTGGAACCGACAGAAACTTCGAGGACAATCCGGTGAACCAATTCTCCCAAAAAGGCTTCGTCGCCGAGAGATCTGTACGCCAAGTAAGTTTCTCGTTGCCGTTGGTTTCTTGCTTGAGAAGTGGGGGAACTGATACTCTAGCAGAACTGCTGTTCCTGAGTGTGCGAGACCTAACGTGCCACGTAATAGCACTTATGACTGATGGAAAAGATCTTGGTCGTGTAGAAAGATACTGTTCCATGCTTTGTAACGCGTCGATGGCTGAGCCCTCGACAACGTCCAAGACACCGTAGCCAAGGACAGCACTGCCTAACAACTTTCGGAAAGCAAGCTCGGTGACGACTGCTCCTCCTAACGAATGCCCAAGAAGAACGATCGGAGGCAGCTTGGGCCATAGCGAGCGCTGCTGTACGCCTATGATGACAGACGCGAGATCAGTAGCAAGCGTCTCCAGGCACAGGTCAAGCTCCTGGTGAGTGGTGACTGTCTGGCCATGGCCGCGACAATCAGGGGACAGAAAGCCAGCCTCGGGGAGGCTCGTTCTCAAAGCAGTAGCCAAAAGCGCGAAGGAAAGCCCTGAGGCGCCAGCTCCATGATGAAAACAAAACAACGGCGCATCAGCTGTCGATGGTGGTGTGAAATAGGCATGAACGTGGGTGCCATTACCTATATCGAGCAGAAGCTCTTCTTCGAAGAAATTCTGCCACGGTAATGGTTCATATTGAGATTCTGGACGCCTGGTAGTCGGTCTCTCGAACAGGTTCTGTTCTGCAGTAGGAACAACGGTACCTGTTGAAGATGCCGATGAAGAAGAATCGTTGCGCAACTGATTCGGTTGACGAGTATCCTCAGGAGCCTCGTCCTCTTCGTTTTCGTCAAAAGACGATGGTAGATCTCGCAGATGGCTTTTGGCCCATTGCTTCTGCAAAGCACTCATAGTCCTCGTTAGGCTTTGGTAAGGCTTGCAGTCCAAGTCACGAGTTACGGGGGGCTGGTTGAGATTGCTGGGGAGTGGTGGAGTTCATCGCCGTTCGATTTGCATGCATGAAAGTGCCAACAGTCTAGCGGCAGCACGCTAAGTTCCAGGCGAGAGATAGGCGTATCATGGCTGATCGTGAATCTCTTCGCGTTTAGAAAAACAGGTCATACGAATTGAGTATTTCGTACCATACGTTTAATGACGTTGCTCACATATCGGAAATTTTGCAGTACTTCTGCACTGAGTCTATCTGTTGAGTCTAGAGTTTTGAGCAGACAGGTCAATGCCTGCGTCCTCATCGAATAGCAGGAGGCTGCACATGCTAGGAAAAGCTGGAAGTTCAAAATGGACGCGCCCAGACTAACGGCGTGGGCGAAGCTGGCGCTCCAGCCTCGAAAGAGCTTGGAATCGAGCCTGTAGAAGACGTCATCGGCCAATGTGGTGGTGAGCTCATGCTCGAACTCCTCTTCTTCCTGTCGAATGACGATCGTACTAGCGCGGCAAACTGCAAGGAAGGCTACACATCTTTTTATCGCAGCTCATGCGTGCAGTCTGCGATACCACAAGCTCTATAGCCACGCAGGACGTGACTTCTTTCCATCACTTCCCACCCCACAACACTTCTTATCTGACTTTGTGAAGGTCAGACATCATCTTGCACAAGCTACCACAGCTGTTCTAGAGCAGTGTCGTGACAATGGTGTCGCTTTGGGGCAGCAAGAATAATCAGGAAGAGCAAGACGAGGATCAAGAGAATGGCAGACCAACTACCTCAACATCACAGACAGATACACCTCGACAGTCCGAAGAAGCCAACGAGCGTTCGAGGCTTCTTCCTCCTCCTCCTGACCGCAGAGGCTATCTAAGCCCTGACGACCCAGCAGTATCCCCATACAATCTCTGGTCGGTGCGAGCACTGCGATGGTTCGAAATCATCTTCCTGGTGATCACGTTCTTGTGGTGGGTGCTGTTGCTGGTGTCGATATTTGTCAGTCCACCCCGATTTAACTCGCGAGGCTCTGGATTCTTCGACTTCTCCTTCACCTCATTGACCATCGGCAATCTCCTGGTCGGTCTTATCTTCTTCGCCGTGCCGTCATCAGCCATGAGCATACTGAGCATGTCCATCTCGGTGCTTCTTCTGATTGACATGATCATCATCTTGGCTGTACCTCAGATTCGAGTCGAAGAGGGATGGGTCGGAATTGCTTCTGTGGTTTGGGCAGCATTGATTGCTTTGTACAATGTCATCACGAACCGAACTGTTAAATGGGGCAAAGCTGAAGAAGAGGAACGTCTAACAGGAAGACAAGAGACAAGAAGAACGCTGAAGGAGTGGTTGGCCATACTCCTTGCTACAGTCATTATGGTTCTGTATGTCATCATCGTCATCCTGCTCACGGCTGTCCTCGTCCTTCGATCTCGAGACGCAACCCTTGCAGCTCCTGGCGAGCGATACTTGGTTGACGGTGACAAATATCGAGTCCACGTCGCTTGTGAAGGCAACCAAACATTTTACAAGGATGGTTCGCCTAAACCTACTGTGTTGTTGGAAGGCGGCTATATGCCAGTATTTGACAGCATGGAAGATTGGGTCTACGACGCTCGCAAGAACGGCACCATTGACAGATACTGCTGGTGGGATAGACCTGGCCTAGCATGGTCAGAGAATGCTCCTTCTCCACATTCTGCTGGCATGTCAGCCGGTGCTCTTAGCGAAGCGCTCGCCATCCGAGGGGAGGAGGGACCATTCATTCTGGTTGGTGCCGGTATTGGTGGCATCTACACACGTATCTTCTCTGCCCGAAACGTGCGAAACATTGCAGGTAAGTGCCCATATTCTGTGTTCTGTAATTTGGCTAACCAAACTAGGTATTATGCTCATCGACGCCCTTCACGAGGATCTGCTCTACCGCGTCTCAAGCCCAGGTCGAGGTTTCGTCCTTTGGGGTAGAGGTATCATTTCTCCTCTCGGTCTCGATAGACTGTCAGGTGCTCTTTTCAAACATCGAACCAAGGAAGATCGTGTCTACGGAAAGTCAGCCTACCAAGGTGGCAAGTTCATCAAGAACAAGTTGCAGGAGAATTTGGTCGCAGACTCCTTGACCAAGAGCGAAGTCAAGTCAGCCACCAATATTCAACAGCCTGAAGTCCCGCTGGTTGTGATCACCAGTGGCCGTCACATCAAGACAGATGATGTTTGGGAGGAAAAACAAAAAGCTTTGACAAAGATCACAGACAACCTGCTTGGATGGGAGATTGTACAGAAGGCACCGTCTGAGGAAGTGTGGAGAGTTAAAGAAGGCCGTGATGCACTGGAACACTGGCTCGGAAAGCTGTACAGCTATCGCATGAAGACGAAGTCGGAAGAGGAACAATAAATGTTGTTCTGCTAATCCTGCAAGCACCTGGGTCCGTGTTGTTGGAGCATTTCCATGTCTGCTAGGATTGATGCGTTTGGACGACGTTGCTTCTGCATTGTTGGCGGCTAGGCGCAATGTATACGCATTGGTAATACACAAAAGGATAGCTCGGTCTTTATATTGCACGAATCTAATGTTTTGTATTTATCTGGTGGTTTCTTCTTTTCGCTCAGCAGTAGTAATATGCAGAAGTACTACTAGTAACCAATCTCGCAGGGCGTTCTCGATTAATAGCCGCCCTCTGGTGGCTCGTTCCAGTGTCACAGGCTCAATACAATCCTGCATGCTCAGCGTTGATCCTTCAATGATATACCGTGCTTTGCAAGGACAATATTACAAAGCTTGATGCTCTATACACTCTCCTCCTTAAAGTAGCTAGGCGTCTGACTCGCAGAAGCCGAACTACGAGATGATTCTGCGATAACAATACAAGGCGCATTATGGCGCCGCCATCTTCACCACCGAATAAGCCCACCGACCCAACGTCCTCATCCACTAACACTCCCATTGCTACACCATCGCCTATCCCACCTCCTGTGCCCGTTGAGACTCATCCAAATCGCATCAGACCATCCGGGCATTTTTACTCTCCTGACCCGTCTAGACTTGCACCCGAAGATGCACTTACACCACCTCGACTTCAGCCCATAGCCTCACTAGATGGCAGCGTTGTCTCCCTACCATCTGCTGCAGCACGAGCTGCAGCAGTAGCGTTACGTCCTACTGCTCCTGACCAGCTACGGTCTTCAGTTGCTGCTCTTCGACAGCCACCCGCTATCCCACCTGTTGCGGCACGACTCGAGCAAGAAAGACGAGCTGCACGAGCTGCGAGGCGAAGAGCTAGGCATCAGCCTCAAGTATGGAAGAAACTACTGTGGATAAAGCACAAAGGCTACCCGGACAATTATACAGATCCTACTACTTTCTTGGAGCACTTGCAGTGGAATCCGAAATTCAGACCTTATGAGTTTTGGCCTCTTGTTGCAGATTCCATGGTGATTGTGCAGCATGTCGCGGCAGTCATAGTGTTTGTGTCCGCATATGCTGGTATCTACCAAGATCGTCTGAGTCCTGTAGCTGTTGTGCTCTGCGGAACAATTGCTAGTGTGGTAGGCTGGATCATGTGGGACCAGTGGAAGTGTGAAGAGGACTCTGATATGGAAGCCCAGTTTGCGGACGAAAACAATGGCAGTATTCAGATTGACGGCGTTGCTCCAAGGTCTACATTGGCTGCTCAAGAAGATAAGTCGAACAACAGCTCGAGCAACGTCCGAAGACCTACTACCATGAATGGACACACCAATAACCTCACAAACGGCACTTTCAAGAAAGATTTAGGTCTCAGCTTGTCCACCTCAAACCTCATAGCCAAAAACGCCGAAGGTCAGCTTCAGAGCAGTCATGTTCCCTCTTTATCGAAGGCCTCTTTGCAGTCAATATCTCCCATTGAACCATTAGCGGAGCACAACTTATTCACAAACTCTGACGATGGATACGCATCTGCCTCGCTGATGCGAGTCTTCTCCAACAAATCGTACACCAGTAATGCTTCATATAATTACATTCCTCAGTCACCAACGACGCTTCCTCCCAGTGTCTCACCTCGCAATCAAGCACGAATCAAGACGTTCAAGTCAGCCCTGCTCCTCTACTTTGCTTTGCTAGGATTGAGCCCGATCCTCAAGTCGCTCACGAAGTCGACCTCAAGTGATAGCATTTGGGCCTTGGCTACCTGGCTTCTGATCATCAACATATTCTTCTTCGATTATGGTAGCCAGTATGTACCTACTGCGAAGTCGCAGCAGCTGCAAAAAGAGGACAACGTTGGAGATTCTGCTTCGAGCAGACAGAATGGAATACTCCACAATAAGCCTTCTCATGCTTCAATATCGACGACAGCTTCTTCTGTGTACCAGAACTACAATCGGCCTGCGGCAGCCTCTGTCGCTTCACCGAGCGCATATCCATCATCAGGCATCGCCTCGACAAAGCAACCTTTGACATCGCCGACACCAGCGCAGCCTTCCTCAAATGCTGCGACGCTTCCGCCACAAAATACATACCCTTCTTCTCTATCAACTAACGCGGCTGTCATGGCATCCACGGTACTCGCCTCCAGATTGCCTACCACAACCTCTGTCTTTTCGCTTACCCTGTTCTCCATCCAGATTTTCGGACTCTTCCCGCTTTACCGCAGGTACCTACGGACGCGATCGTTTCCAATGCATACTGCACTGACTATCACCCTGATTGTCATGGCCTCGGCAGGCCTTGGTCTCATACTATCACAATCCTACACTCACAAGTACGGCAATTGCGGCTTCTGTTTCAGCTGGTGCGTGCATGTCGTCGTGCGAAGTACAATTGGAATCACTATTGGAAGTGTAGCCACGGCAGTGATCATGGGCGGATGTGCTTGGTGGTTGATTAGTTTGCAGAGGTACAAGAACGTGGTCATTGGCCCATGGGATCCAGCCAAGCCGATGTTGGCAGGTGGTGAACGACCCGGAGACTGAATAGTGATGAGGTACATACGAAGTTGCGTATAGTGTACAAGTATCACTTCGTGACTCTTTTACCGACACTTCAGATAGTGACATCTTGTTTGGACAATGGGCTATGTGGCTGCTGCCTGAAGTATTCTCTGACTGAACCGCAGAGAGTCTCTCTATAGCATATTTACGCCATATTAACCCTTGGTATACGACTACACCACGGTCGGTCACACAACACAAAGATGTCTACTCTCCTAGATCCATATCAAGTTCTTGGTGTCCAATATGGCACTCCTAAAATACAGATCAAAAAAGTGTATCGAGAACTTGCATTGAAGTTCCACCCCGACAAAGCAGGTCCTGCATCGACAATGCGCTTCCAACAAATCCAGGACGCATGGGAAAGAGTCGCAAACGGTTACATCCCTCCAAAACCGGCACCTCCTCCATCTTGGTTCCCACAACCAGAAGCAACCCCAGATCCTCCTTATCCGGGCTGGGAATCTGGGCGAACATACCACGAATGGTTTACGAGCGTCGAGGTACGAACAGAAGAGTACTACAGGCAGAAGTTCAGAGAAGAAGGACGTCCTTTCAAGGTTCCGCAGGACCCATCGAAACCACCGCCACGACCACAAAGGCCAGCAGATACACAGCCGCAGTGGCATCAACGAAAACGTAACAAGAAAAAGTGCCCTTCAAGTTCGACTTCGATGAGAGCGAGAATGAGAACGAGAGTGGTAGTGATAGCGAGGGCGAGGGTGATGGTATGCCATACGGAAATCATTCTTGGTTTTGGAGCAAAGGGAGGTGGACAAAAACGTCGCGTGGTAGTGGTAGCGATGCCGGTCATGTACCCAGGTACAGTACCTGTTCGGATTCGCAGCCAGAGGATGAGAAGAAAACATGGGAGTCCACTGGCAGCAGCGAGCAAGCCGGCAGTCGTTCTGCTGACACATGGTCACAAAACTCGCACGGGCAGAACGTGAACACAAAGACGGAAGAGCAAGATCTGTGGGACGTGGAGGACTTGTGATTCTGGACAGATGCAAATCAATGATATTTGTACAAAAAAAGCTTCAGTTAGTTGTGTAAAGAGGTTGATTGCCTCGATTTGGTGATATAATGCTATCTGATATGCTCAACATGATTGTCCTGTAGCTTTCTCAATTTGAGTTTCTCGCACTAAGACCTATACGTCCAATCTCTAAGATACAATGGCTATAGTAGATACAATGAGATCATTGAGCTGCATTGGTCGCTACAAACTTTCTGGATTCGTAAGTAGTATGATAATGCTGCTTGGCTTGATGTGAACTGTAACAGGGTCGTCGACTAGCGGTATCGAATAGTATTCGTATTCAACTCCGTGCACATAAAAAGAAGAGACAATAACGTGTGAGAAGATATTTTATCTTGACTAAATACTAAAGCGCTTATTTGGGGTATCTAAAACAATAATCCAACAATGACGTCGATATAAACCAGATGTCAATATACCTGAATGGCAATCACGCCACTGTCAAAAACAAGCTGGCCACAGCAGCAGCCACCCAGTAACCACCGTAGTTCGCCATGAGTTGTACAGCAGCGGAGATCTGGCTCTCATTGCTTGGGTCTGTGCCGCCAGCAGCAGTGGTACCATTGTCGAGGGTCCCGTTGATATAGGCTGTTGTATTTCCGTCTCCAAAATCGACAACTCTGACTTGTGTGGTGTTTACAGGTGCACCTGAGCCAGCGCCGTCTGTCAGGGTAAGGGCTAGTGCTGTCTGGTTGCCTTCTGGATCTGGATCACAGCCACATACAGAGTACTGCTGGCAAAGACATGTGACGTTGGCTGTTCGATTTCTGCCGTCCTCGTACCAGCGGTAACCACCATATCCGACATAAGGATATGCGTAGACAGGGTATAGCCAAAGTAGAGGGAAGAAACCAATCGCTGCCACTGGCAGGAGGAAAGGGGCGACGCCTCTTGTCGGACTCCTTGCACCTGCTTGGTAAGGTACGGCAGCACCACCGGCATATCGTCCGCCATAAGACGGAGGTGTTCCTGAACCGTCGCGGGTTCTACCACCTAGATTCGACGAGGGCGAGAAGGAGTAAGATGAGCTGGCTCGGCCTCCAGAACTGGAAGAACCTCTGCCGCCACTGCTACTGCCACCTCCACGTCCACCGCCACCACCTCTTCTCTTTTCTAGCTCGGTATATTTCGCGCCATCGAATGAGTCAGCCGATGGTATCCTCTCTATCAGGACTGAATCTGCAGGCTGTCGTGGTGGTAGTGCTGAGACGAATGTGCTGGCGCATAATAATGACGTTACAATCGCTGACGAGAACTTCATCTTAAGATTGTCGACGAAGGATGTGAGACTGGTGCGTGCGTAGTGTTTGTAATACTGATACTTGTGAAGGTATACGATGTGTCAGAAGATGGCTACCACAGTCGTATTAATATTTAGGAGTATTAGTGTTGAGTGTGTACAAAAGGAACAATGTCTGTCGCAAACGATATTGTTTGTACAAGATGGTTGATTGGGATGGAATGTTCTACAACGAGACAATGAAGGCTTTTGAAAGCAAGTGATTAGAAAACAAAAGCTGCGCCTTCTTTCATAGAGTTACAGTACCCAAAAATCAATGCGTCAAGAGCTTACCTCAACATATTGCAGAGGAAAGAATGTCTATGTCACGAATAAGATGAAGTCATTGGAGAATCGGATTGTACTTCAGTCCAAATTATCGGTTAACGGCTTCGCTGCGCCTTGAATTAGTCCCTGGTTCCAGGCTTGAAATTGGCGTGCTTTGAAGATCGACGCGGGTGGCCTTGGCGTTTTCCTCCGCTCAAATTTCTTCGCCACTCGTGAGCTTCCATGCATCAGATTTGCCCTGCATTCGATCGCAAACTATACGATTTCCAGCTCGATCTCATCTCTTGACCTACGACATATTCGTGGCCACGAGATCGTTGGATATGTATACTGTAAGTAGGTCGGCACTCGTGTTCCGAATGAACTTATCAGTATCAACCTATACTGCAATCTCTGGATACGACTTTGGCTGAGCCGCCAAGGAGCTGGTCACTGAACCGACTTGCCGGGCGCATTCAGTCTGCCTTCCAGGTACGAGTGTGAGATAGAAACAATGATTTGACTTCAATTACCGAACGATATGCGTTTCAACAGGAGTACTGTGGTAAGCCCCTCAGGCGTACCCCTACAAAAGTTTCTCACAGGCTTGCTGCTTAGCTATCCTATCTCATTGCTGGCCAGCGCCTGCCTGCCTTGTGGTCTGCCTGGTACCTTGACTAGCAATTTCCTTACCGAACTTGCAACTTTAGACACTACATTGTAAAGAAATTAAAGGCGACAGCAGTTAGGACATACTGTGACCACAGGCACATCCCACGTGCAAGGCTCACAGTAAGCGAGAACCGCATCATGCAAGATATCTTTCTGAAAAAGCTCGGTCAGTAATTTGAGCGCAACGTTTACAGTTCTCTGGCATCCTCTGCCACAGATAGAGGCTGCCTCTGTAATCAATCACTCATAGCTACGACTTTAGCCATGTGCCCGAACAAGTAGCCAATCATGCCCATTAAATATTTAGCTCTTCCATCCTTCGTGGCCTCCATGAGGGGTTGGATCAGCACTACTCGAGTATAGCTTGACACAACGTTCGTTACTACCTTGCTACGAACACTGCGTCACAGTGACTATGCCATGACCTCCATTGCCCTGCCTTCGTCCAGTAGCTGCAGACTATTAGCTGATTCTGCCAGTAGATATACACCTTCCGGGTTTGCTAACGCCATGGCCGAGGTGCAGCACAACGAAGCTCTCGCGGAGTCACGCATATCCAGTATCGAGAATACCACCCAGCACCGCCCCGATGCACAGACTACCAACGACACTAGCACCGAGGCAGACCTCAAACGCTACACATGCCTCTACTTCGGCTACGCATCAAACCTCTCCCCACGCACCATGAAACAACGCTGCCCAGACTCCCTCTTCATCAGCCTCGCTCGTCTGCAGGGATGGCGCTGGATCATCAACGAGACCGGCTATGCTAACATTATTCCCGGCAATCCCGACGACGAAGTTTGGGGTAGCCTGTGCTTCCTGTCACATAGAGATGAGACCGCGCTCGACGAAAGCGAAGGTGTGCCTTGGCTGTATGAGAAGAAGAAACTCAAGGTTCAGAGGATGCCTCAGCAGCAAGCAGGGGCGGAGTGGCGGGTCGATGAGGGCGAGGAAGTGGAGGCTGTTGTGTATGTTGATGTGCAGAGGTTGACTGAGGGGAGGGTTGAGAGGGAGTATGTCGTCTGGGTGAAGAAGTCGATCGAGGACGCGAAATTGTGTGGATTGCCGGAAAGCTATGCGGAGAAGTATATTAATAGATTCTTGCCTCGTGGTCATAATGGGGGCAGTACTCTGCCAGAGCGGGATATTATGATGGTAAGAACAATGAAGTTTGGAGACAAGGGGGCTGGCATGGTGCCACGAGGTTTTGCAAGCTGGGATCGTGGTTGACTCGAACCGAGCCTATGGTATCGATAGAAGGCCTTGATGACTGTCTAGAGATGGCATCAAATGCCATGAGCTAGCTGACACGATTCACACATGGGTATTTACGTCCACACTATCAGGACATAGTAATACAACACATCATGTCATTGCATGAGTGCTTCAATATGATGATATAATTACTGTCCACCTTTATATGTCGCTTCGTATCTGTGTATTGTTAGTAATGGAGTTTCGCATCAGACGGATAACATACCTCTTGCCTCTAAAAGCCCATACACCCCAATTTCCGCAGCTGATATCCTGCGGATCGAGATCATTCAGGTCCCATCTCAAACTCCTGAAGAGATTCTCTCCAGGTTCCATTAGTAGATCGACCTCACCAGCACACTTCTCCATGACCCATTTCCAATCTCTTTGCATATCCCAATCTGTATATCCTGTGCATATGATTGGCACTTTCGTGCTCAGTAGCTGAGGCAAAGTCTCTTCCCATTCATGTGCTGACGCTGGATGACCAAGACCCGGATGGAAGAGCATAAAGCAGTCGAAGTATGGATCGTAAGGGTAAAACAAGTTTGCTTCATGGAGAGTGTGGAAATAGTCGACGTATGTAGTGATTTTCATCTTGTCCGATATTCGGTCCTCCACTATGGCCCCGAAAGGATTTTCAGGCGTTCGGTCTGGCAGTGGGAACTCGGAGTCTCTACCAACCATCGACTCTGGACCAATGAAGACAAGGTGTATCGATGCACGAGGGAAGAGATGTGACAACTGCGCCCAGATGTCTCTCGGCAATGAAGATTCTGCTCTAGCTCCTAGGATGAATACCCTGATTGGCGGACTAGCAAGACGCAGACCGGAAATGTCCAAGCCTTGACCTGTTCTCGGTGGATGTAACGTGTATCGTAAAGCACTCAAACTCTTTAGACCCTCAAAGGTCAATCTCCCATCTTTTTTTATGTTGTATGGACTTAGTTCGTGGAGCACGCTTGCAATGGTGGCTGGATACGTGAGCAATCTTGTCGCCTGTCTCATACTTCGATCCTGGTTGATAGCCTCAAATTGTCGAGTGTAGAGGAATGTATCCCAGTTCGTCATGTTCACCACGATCTCATCCAACTGTGGTCCAGGGTATTCAAATTCATGGAACCAACGACCTGACCTCAGATCATGATCATCTTCATTGATAGTCCTCAGTGTGTCACATATTTCAACATGAGCCTCGTAGTCACCTACCCAGTGGTCTTCGGAGCAGTACAACGGAATCCCACAATCAGGGCACTCGAAATGTACATGTGCTGGAGGCTGTCTTGAATATTCTCCATACTTCTTCGCTTCCGCATCGTGCGGCCCTTGGGGTTCTCGTGTGGGTTTATGCGCAGGATGTGGACAATATGCATGCTGCCTCATAAACTGTGCTCTTTGCCTTATTTCCGGAATTGGAGAATTTGTGAAAGAGTGAAAGAGGTTGTCTGGTCGGAGGAGCAGAGGTGCTCTATATTGGCCGTATGGCGACAGATTGGGAGGATATCTCTGAGTCTCGAAGTCGTCCGTCTCATATTGTGCTGGTTGAGCAGCTGCCCGGTTGACGGGCTGCTTGGAGGACCATGTCCGTATCTGCTGCGGCGATCTCTGCTGGAGTCTATTGGACTGTCGCTTCGTAGTTGACGAGAAGTTCTGAACTTGACCCTGTACTGCTAACCTTCGGCTGGCTTGTCTGGTAACTTCAGTAAGCTGTCGAACACATCGTAAGCACATATACGAAGACTCCATGACAGTGATACAGAAGCTGAAGTCCAGAGCTGCTCAACTGGCGACTTCGTCAATGAAAGTCGTGACGAACACGAGGCTGACGCTAAGAGCCTCGTTCGGAGATCGCTGTTTCTCTTTGGCGAAAGTTTCCTCACACCATTTGTTTTCCCACGACCATTGTTTCTTTCACCACTGCACGTCAACTCAATTGAACGTCAAGAATGATCTTCGTCTCACAACTGGATCTATAATGACCGCCTATCAGGCCTTGCAACCAGCTCAATTTCCAAAAGCGCTGACTATGCACATCTACATAAACTGCAAAACGTAATTTCGCAACGCTCACTTTCCAGCTGCTTGCTTCTCCTACAAGCTCTTCTCACGAAGTCACAGTCCTTGAGTCCACATATTGTAGACTCATACGACTAGAGCTGGTGGATATATCACACTTGTTGCAAGACGAAAAGGACCTTCATAGTTCATGACGACTCTAGACTTTTGTCTATCAGTGAGCCTGATGACTCCTAGCGTACCTACATGATCTGCAAAATACATTTTTTACGAGTAAACTCCTCTTCCTCTGAAAGCAGTGCTGTTATTGTTCTTGAAACTCCATAGTCGCTCATTCATGCCCATATTGCTCCAGTGCCTGCCCGCTAAAACGCTGTCAAAATGGAATAACATCGAAGTGAAGGTGCTAAAGCCGTTGTCCATTGCCTAGCTGTCGAAGAAAGAGAGCCGCCTGTTCTGCCGAATAACCCAGGAAAACAGGTCCGTTAAAGATGATCTGGTTGCTTCGCTGATTGTGGGTGGTGGAAATATGACTTGTAGCTTGTGCAGAAGCGGCGCCGTCTGCGACGACTGGGTCAGGTATTTGCCTGCGACTCGAAGCAGTGTCCAATGGTTGCACTGATGGTGGTTTGGACGCGTTCGAGGTTACTGCACTAGCAGCTTTGGATTGGTCCATAGGGACATGTATACCCCAAGGACGTGTTGGTGATTCTCCCACTCGTACGTCCCGAAGCGGTTTGTTGAAGTGCGACAGTCGCTGATCCGGGTCAAGTGGTGCAGTGGTCAAATTCGCGTCTCCATCAACACCATCTGCCCATTGCTGAACGGCTTCGGCTGATTTCGCGTCTATACTCGTCTCCTGCTGATCGCTAGTCAAGTATTGCTTGTGCTTATTGCCCAGTCCTTGAATCATGCTAACAATATTTCCGTATCTCTCGTCCAGCTCGCGTATTTGTGACTCGTTCTGCTGATATCTTTTGACGCAAATTTCATGGCTTCGTGGCAACTCATGCTTGTGTTTTTCAAAATATTGTGCAATCTCTTCTGGCGAATGTTTGTCCAGGAAACGAATTGGACATCTATTGCATCCTCTAGCCTCGTCTAGAGACCGCGCCGACAAGACCTCAGCATGGAATTCAGCAGCAATCGGATCGACCTCGCCATCCAATAGACCGGCCTTGGTCATGCTTGCGAACGGACATTCAAGACTGCTGGGCTTGCCTTGTGTTGTGAAATCCTTCTCCATCTCTTCATAAGCAGGAGGTGCCTGTTTGTGTGAGACAGGACATTTCCGTGGGGTCGATGAGCTCAAAACTTCATCAGTGACCACAGGCTTATGTGGCACAGGGCATCTTCGAGGTGTAGCCACTGCATTCATTTTTGATCGAAGAAGTTGGACGGCTTCCTTTGCTTTTACTATTTCCGGCAGTGATTCGGGATTGATGGGTTGAGCGCAGTTGGTAGGAGGACAGGATATCTGTTTGACTATCTCGTCTTGCCAGGCTGAGAAGGCACCATCGGACGGATTATTGGAGTCATCCGAATTGAACTAAACACAGGGCGTCAGCATGGGATTGCGCCAGAGGAAAATGGATGGTTGGATAGTGAAATAACAATCAGACATCAAAGGAAATCCTCCATGTCACAAAGTTGCGACTCGGTTCTAGAGCTAATGATATTGTAACATCACGAGGTAAAGTACACAGGCAAAGTGAAGTTGTACTCACCCTATCAACTGCCCTCTCTAGTTGTCGCCGTAGATCGTCCTCGACCTTCCTTAATTGACCAAGTCTGTTCAGAAGTGCTTCAAACCCGACAGTGATATCGCTGGCTAGAGAGCGTAGTTCGTCTACCGACGACATTAGCTGCCACTGCCACCTCTTGCAGAAGCCGCCTCGTGTATATCGCCAAGCGCGGGAGTGAAGGAACTCTATATTTCACTTCTGCCAGGCAAGCAATCGATCAGAAGGAACAGAATCAGGCAACATAGACGCTGATCAGATCAACATCCGGAAAGCACATGGTAAAAACACGACTTTCGCTCAACTTTCTTGCCTGAGGAAGCCGCATTTACGCGCTTGCCCGCTTGCGCCTAGCTCACGATAACCACTCCTACCGAGGCTCAGCTACGGCAGGTGCGACCATGGTCAACTTTCTTATTAACTTGAAGATGGACGAGCAGCAGGAAGTGCTAGAGATACGTTTTCGTGTTGTAAGGAACCAACTGGACACAACTACTTAGGGCTACAACATCCTATTAACCGCTGCTCGAGCTATCTTCTACACAACGCTTCGTCCACGAGACCATCCTCAGTCCACCATCACAATGCGCTGCGTTAAGATTTCTCAATATGTGAAAGGACCACAAGAGCTCACTGTAACGACAGAACCGACCCCTCAGCCGCATGCTGAGAAATACCTCATCCGTATCCATGCAGCAGGCACAAACTTCTTCGACCTTCTTCAGATCCAAGGTAAATACCAGCATCAACCACCTCTACCGTGGATCTCTGGTGCTGAGTTCGCTGGTGTGATCCTCGCTACACCTACAGATTCCAAGAAGACAGGCAGCTCAGTAGTAGGCAGTTTCGATGGTACCATAAGCACACAAACAGGACACAGGTTCAAGGTTGGAGACCGAGTATTTGGATCGAGTCAGGGTGCATATGCAACACACATCCTCGCCCCGGAAAGCAGTCTACTGCCCATACCCGAAGGTTGGAGCTTTGAAGACGCTGCCGGACTCTATGTCACGATGCCGACAGCCTATGGTGGTTTGCTAGTGCGGGGAGAGACCAAGCCGAGTGAGTGGGTACTGATTCACGCTGGTGCTGGTGGTGTGGGCTTGTCTGCAGTCTTGGTTGCGAAAGCGATAGGTGCCACAGTGATTGCAACGGCAGGAACGGAAAGAAAGAGACAAATCTGCTTGGATTATGGTGCAGACTATGTCATCGATTACAAGCAGAAGGACTGGCCTCAAAAAGTCATTGAGATTTGCAAGAAGAACCGTACAGGCAATGGTCAGGCCGGTGTAGACGTAGTATACGACCCAGTCGGTCAGTTGAATCTTGTCTATACTCCTTTCTTTCTGACTAACCATACTTAGGCATGATCGACCCATCGATAAAATGCATCACCTGGAACGGCCGGCTCGTTGTCATTGGTTTCGCAGGCGGCAATATCGAAAAGCTGGCTTTGAATAGGGTACTCTTAAAGAATATCTCCATCGTTGGCCTGCATTGGGGCAGGTATGCTGTGATGGAGAACGAGACACTGCATTCAACATGGAAAGGCATATTCGAGATGATAAACAAAGGCCAAATACGAGGCATCACATATACCGACAAGCAATACATAGGCCTGGAAAGCTTGCCTGCTGCTTTGACAGCGCTTGGTGGTCGAGATACATGGGGCAAGGTCGCGATAACGATACCGGATGATGAAGAGCATGTGAAGAGCAAATTATAGGCCACGGGAAAGCATGGAAAATGACAGAAGAGAGGAGCGCGAACGTATGTTCCGACACAGCGTGCCCTTTTCTTTGATATTCTCTCTCCAGATTTCTACCAGCACTATAAAACTTTGAATCTGCTCAAATGCTTGATTATTCAAAACGGAGTCTTAAAGCCATGTAGAGTTGAGACAATCGTATTTTGGGTATGGAAATCGTTTTGTGCCTCATTTGCTTCGACCAGATACAGTCGTACTTCTTTGCATAAGAGCCTGTGATTTACGAACGTGCGTATCTCAACATCTGAACCTGGTGTTGTATGTGAGACGTGTTGTGTATACTAGTATGTATACTTCTCCATTAGATAGGGACGGAGTCAAGGTGAGCAGGTCTGCAGAGACTCAAACTAGAGCAAAGCACACGTACAACTGGTTCTTGTACTGTATAAATGTCGAGCCCAAGTATGGGAACCAGTTCAAATCTCTCTCTTCACTTCTTCCGGCAGAATCTTCAGCAGACATGGATGCCGTAATGGGTTTCATGGCAATAATAGGAATGATAACCTCAATCAACACAGGCTCAATGATAGCGAGTCTTGCAAGCGGTTCTCTGATCTTAAGTTTCTCTCTCAAACTTGTATACGAGTTTGACCAATACGATTTTCCGGCTAACATTCGGCAGATCGCCACTGGAATCGGTGCAGGCGTCGTGGCGGGTGTAGTGAAAGGTCCCGTATCACCACCTGGGCCGAAGAATGTCAATAGGAGAGGGTTTGACGACCCACAGGCGGTTGACATGACTATATACTCCAGGTTCAACGGACCACTTCGAGAACAGACTTTGAACTCTCTGGCAGGGGCCGAGTTCAAGTTGGGCACGCAGCAGGGCGAAGATACAACCTCCATGGCCTTCTGGACGAACTGGCCAGATCACCAGATGAGGCTGAAGACTATCGATGCTGATCCTGCTTGTCTCAGGGGTATCTTTGAGACCACGTTGCCTGACGAAGACGAGCCGGCCAGGGGCACATGGCTGATCGCGATGCCAGAGGAGGGAGAATCCGAGGAGTTGGCTGAGCGCAGCATTTCCAGCTTCGTTAACGTCTTGGCCTTCGTCCACCCAGATGACCTGGCAGCCAATCTAACAAGCAAAGCCGAGGACCGACTGGTGACCGACACAACCGTCGACTTCTTCCGCAGTCTGCCAGCAGCTATACTGCACGAGGCCAGCCTCGATCGTTTCGGTCACAACCAGATTCTCGCATCATTCAATGATGTTGGTCGTGTTCTGAAGCCGCGCAATGTGCAGGCTTCAGATGCTTTCCACAAGTCGCTCCTGCGAGAGGCTTCCAATAGTGCTGACCAGACTCTTGGTTTGAAGGCCATCGATTTTGTGTTCAGCCAGCATTTCGATGGTTGTTATCTGGGAACGGAGGAATGTGTGGAAGATCCTTGGGCCGGGTTGAGACAGTAAGGGTACTGGTGATTATGTTTGGATTGTCGTCATTGCGGCGTACAATGAAAGGACGTGCTACTCCTTGAGGACGTTAATGAGCTTCACTACAATGAAGTCGTCCTATTCATCGGGTTCAGGGGTTTATACGCTCGGCGTCCTGGGGAAAAGTCTCAGAATACCTTGTACAAGTATACCAATGTAACGGGAATGTGCATTGTGTGTCAGTAATTTGTCACGGCGATTTCCTCGACGTGCGGTATTGCTGTCTCATGGTTCGAGGCCTGAACGAGCAGGATCCACGGACGCGATGTGGTTTTCTTGATAAACAAACTTCAGGTTGAACTGACGTCTTTCTTCGTAGAACCCCACATTGTCGTTGAAGTCCTTCAAAGAAGCCAAAACAACCAGCTCTAATTCGTGGTCCATGTATAGAATTGCTACGAAGAACACTAGGATACTCGCTCAAGTCGTTCGTCCTCGCCTGATCACACCCTGCATTGTACCGAGAATACAAGCTCTATCCACCACGATCTCAAGGATGTCTGAACAAATGGAGAAGGTGTCTACCAAGACGGGACCACCGCGTAAGTGAATACACCAGATAATTCGACACATGGTCGCATTCGAAATCACCTACAAGGATAGCCTTGGCCATGTGGCTCATGCCTAGAATTCGCACCGAGAATACCTACACCATACAGGTCCAACATCCACCTAGAGATCCAATCACTAACATGCATCTTTCACCACCAATATAGCAGCAGCGCCTTACTCCCAAGCCATCAAAGCCGCCGGTCAAATCTGGGTTTCCGGTCAACTGCCCGCCGACAGCACCGGCAAGCTCATTGAAGGTAGCATAACAGAAAAGACACGTGCATGCTGTCAAAACGTAAAAGCCATCCTCGAAGCTGGTGGCTCGTCGATAGACAAAGTGGTTAGAGCTGGCGTGGGTCTTTGCTTTCTGCCAGGCGGGACAAAACGTGCTGATTGCGAGACAGATATTTTTGACAGATATGAATGATTTCAAAGAGATGAACGAGGAATATGCAAAGTGGTTTGCGCATAAGCCAGCTCGGACGTGTGTAGCTGTGCATCAATTGCCTTTTGGTGTGCCGGTGAGTTCTCTACATTCTGGCATGGTAAATCGAGGAGTGAAAATTTGACTGATATACAAACAGATTGAAATTGAGGCTATTGCACTGCAGTAAAGTGTCAACGGATGACCGCCAAGAGGAGCAAACGAGAATATAGGCTTGAAGATGGCAAGGGTCCAGACACGGATTAAAAAGGATATCAATCACTTCTACCACCACCTAACACCAACCTCGTCTGCAGACAGCACCCGATATCGTATAGGGGAGATTAGCAAGAGAATATCTCTAGCCTCTTATCAAAATACGTGGATCATCCTCGTGCTTTGAAGATGGTATCTGTGGGCAGAAAAACAATTGGTGGTGATTCAGGTTTTTGCTTGGCTGCTCTCGACTTTGAGATGGTAGGCAAGCAACGGAGGAACAACAATGGTTCTTTGGAAGAACAGAAATGTATATGATCCATTGCGCCGCCCACTATACACTTTTACATTGTTATGTGGCTATAGTTTGACTCCATGAACCTCGTCACCTGCTTTGAAGGCCTATATATGTTAGCGTATGGCACGTCCTTGAGGATAGTTGCTCACTCTTAATGCACCAGAACCGCCCAGCTCAGCCTCCAACCCCTCAGGATATTCTTTCGGTGCACTCGGCCTGTCGGGATAGGTCAAATATACAGCACCACCGAGCACACCGACACAAGATAGAAACAACCCCCACATGGCCATACCCATGCTACCTGTCATAACAGTGTATTCCTCAAGAGAGAATACACCGAGAGTGTCTTCGTCTTCGTGTACTGGTTCACCGAAATTCCTTCGCTCTTGTTTCTCCGTCCAGTCACCGTATGGATCTCTGAATTGTCTCTTAATACGTGGAGGGTTTATATAGCCGCCATTCTACATCCTGTTAGTCATTTCAAAAAACCTCTCGAATTCCTTGCCCGCTGTACCATTTCTGGGTCTTCTTCCTCGGAAAGTGCTTGTACGGATCGTGTGGTCGAGAAGGGAGCTCTTAGAGCTTGTCGAGGGACAACTGCTGGTTTTGCAAGGCGCGAAGCCTGTCGAACAACCTGTCGCGACAGCATGATGAGTCCTTCCTACAACCCTGCGCAGATGAGGGCGTGTTCGCGGGTCGTCCTAGTAAAGTATAGACTGTATCGTATGCAGTCGATTGCTTGACGTGACATTCGATTGCTCAAGCCTACTGTCCGGCTGTGATTGGCTGTTTAGGGCTAGAATGTGGGGTACAAATCACGCCGTCGCAGCTAAGGATTGGCGGAGTGCAGGCACTGCGAGGACGGGTTACGTCTGGCGGGAGCATGGCAATTTGGGGCATGGATAGGCAGGTTTGGTGTGTCGCCCTGCGCTCCTTCCTTCTCTATCACATTGGCGACGACAACCTTTGAACCCTCGTCAACAACGCATATCTATCGTGCACAACCTCAAACTTCGCACAGAGACTATACTAGCATTGCTGTACATTCTGATACCAACATCGATGATTGTCGCTTTGTCTTGACGCGGCACGTAAGTCGCAGATTTGTATAATTAGGTGGAGGTAATTTTTCTGCAATGACCGACGTCGCGGTTACCTTCGCCCTCACCAACTTCCTCACCGTCTCCAATGACCGATCAGGTCAACCCACCCACACTCTCTCTATCAACCACGTCCACCACAAATACTATCGCAATCAACAAAGACTCCAACCAAGAATCGTGGTTGCTGAATCAGCAGGCCAATGGCCATCAGACCGACAATGGAGAGGATGAGGATCATGGACAACAACAAGACCACGATCGCGAACACCCGGATGCACCTCCTTCAAAGAGACGGAAATTGGTAGACAAAGATGAGAAGAAACACAAGTCGTCTCCACGCGCTATATCTCCACCATGGAAGAGTGTCCATGCTGACGGTCCGACCTCCTTCCTTGAGAACGGGAAACGACGGTCAGGACGAACCAACGCATTGCCTCTGCAACTACAACCACAGTCATCGAAACGTCAGACTCGAGCTGCACACGACAAAGCCAGCGAGAACCGTGTGAAGCCTGCCTATAATGACAGCAAACCCAAACCCCAGCCCAAACCGCAAGCCAAGCCTGTTCCAAAGACCAAACCGGAACTCCCGAAACATGCCAAAACCCCGTCTACCGATAGCACGATTATGGTCAGAGGTCCAAGCCATCGATCTTCACCCCGCGTCCCGGTTGTCATCCCCCCTGTGAAGAAGGAGGCCAGCAAGAAGACCCCTGTGAAGGCTTCTCCTAGTAAAGATGCTTCATCCTCTACGCGCAGGTCGGCTCCTGTCGCTGCAAGGTCAATGAAGGAGGTTATCAAGCAAAAAAAGCTGGAACTCAAACGCGAGCGCAAGGAGCTGGAAAAGAGGCGGAGTCAGTATGGACTGGACGATGGTGATATCGACGAGCTCACCGATGATACCGATACTACCTCCGAGTCCCTTGATCTTTCACTTCCATACTCAGGCTCTCCTCCACTGATAAAGAAAGTTTCCTTGCATGTCCGCCCTCCGCAACCACTTGTAACGACTCCAGCCAACATTCCTGTGCCACGTCAATATGCTTCGTTCGAAGACTTCATTCAACAGGACCAAATAGATGAGACAGCCACCAGACCACCCTGGACAGCCAACCAGATTCGTAAAGAGGCTACGAAAAGGCTGAAAGTTCAGCTTGCTACTCGTCGTGGTCAATCTGCCACTTCGAAACTACCTCCAAGACAAGAAGAGCCTGCCAAACAATACGCTCATCATGATCATCTCTTGGCTCACATCAGCTACTTCAGGCTGCTTTTGCAAAAGGAAACAAAAGAGCATATGAGAAATGCTCAGATAGTAGCTCACGAGGCACAGCGATATCTCGAAGTCAAACAGGCCAAGGGACGAGTCAAAAGTGCTGAGGAGGTCCGGAAGGAGCAAACTCTGCTCTGGATTGCAAGCTATAAGTCTGTTGTCAGAGACCTGGGCAAGCTTTGGCAGTCTGTTGAGGCTGAGGTCAATGCTGCTCGTTTACGCCAGTATGAGCAGGAGCAACAGGAGAAGATCAAAGGACATCTCAATCGTGTCCTCGAACGAACAAATGACATGGTATTGAAGCGTAACGATACTGACCTTGCAGATTCTGACCGGAGTGACCTTGATGACGGGGATGAGTCCGACAACGACAGTGACATGAGCGATTCTGAAGATAGTGAGCAAATGTCTGTTTCTGCTTCCGGTTCTGCAAACTCGCTCGATGGCGACATCGATCCTGACGCCACCATGACCACGGCCGAGCTCAAAGCAAAATACGAGAACCTACCTGATACAGAGCCCGCTTCTGCCGCTCCTACCTCCGAACCAGACGCCGAAGAAGATTCTGATCCAGAGACAGTCATGGACAGTGAGCTTGACAGCGACGAAGAGGAGAATGACGATGCTGAGGACGAGCAAGAAGATGAGGCCAGTGACGAAGAAGATGGTGGTGGTTTACTTTCACTTTTTTCGAAGAGAGAGATTGCAGACATGGCCCCAGAAAACGATCTCGACGAAGAAATGGCTGACCAGCCAATTACCGATGATGATTCTGAACCACTTCCTGGCACTGAGAAGACTCTAGTCCAAGAGCCTGGCAAGGACACACCACCTGTGCAGCCTCTTATTAAAGAAGTTGCGGATCCAATGGACCCGGACCAGATCAACGAATCCACAGAGGCACCTCTCCCATCAACGAACAGCTTCCCACATCCTACACATGAGGAATTGAACAGTAGCCGTGACCAGAGTGATCACACGTCTCCAGGGACGTCAATCACCAGGGTTACAGAGGCAGAGTCTGTGTCTTCTATTGAGCAGGCTAATGAGCAACAACATCAGGAACAAGAAGAATCTAAATCGAAGCACATGACACCTGTACCACCACTCCTCCGTGGCACCTTGCGAGAGTATCAGCACGAAGGACTCGACTGGCTTGTCAACCTCTATGCAAATGGTAGAAGTGGTATCTTAGCCGATGAGATGGGCCTGGGCAAGACTATACAAAGTATCGCTCTCCTGGCTCATCTGGCTACAACTTACGAAGTGTGGGGTCCTCACCTGATTGTCGTTCCGACCAGTGTTATGCTCAATTGGGAGATGGAATTCAAAAAATTCTTACCTGGCTTCAAGATACTGACATACTACGGAGACATTAAAGAGCGCAAGCAGAAACGGCGTGGCTGGATGGCTGACGATGCTTTCAACGTCGTGATCACGTCCTATCAGCTGGTCCTCCAAGATGCGTCGTCTTTCAAACGACGGAAATGGCACTACATGATACTTGATGAGGCTCACAACATCAAGAATTTTCGCTCCGAAAGATGGCAGACGATGATGACATTCAACACTCGAGCGCGACTCTTGTTGACTGGAACACCTTTGCAGAACAACTTGACTGAATTGTGGTCGCTACTTTTCTTTCTTCACTACGGCCAGGAGAGCGAGGGTGATGACGATGCTTTCGCAGGCTTGCGAGAATGGTCTGAATGGTTCAAGCGTCCTGTTGAGTCAATTCTAGAGCATGGCAAGCAGGTGCTTGATCAAGAAGACCAAGAACAAGTCGCCAAATTGCACAAAGTAATCCGACCCTTCCTGTTGCGAAGACTGAAAGCCGACGTGGAGAAGCAAATGCCCGGAAAATACGAACACGTTGAATTGTGCCGCCTATCAAAACGTCAACGTCAATTATACGATGGTTTCATGTCAAGAGCTCAGACAAAAGAAACTCTTGCTTCTGGCAATTACCTATCAATCATCAATGCCTTGATGCAATTGCGTAAAGTCTGCAACCATCCCGACCTCTTCGAGACCAGGCCAATCAATACGTCATTTGCGATGCCACGATCGGTGGCCGCTGAGTTTGAAATTACAGATTTACTACTTCGTCGGAAACTCTTTGGCCAAGACCCATATGACAACATCGACCTTGATTTTCTACAGCTTGTACCAATCTCGGACGAGTCTATGTCTAAGTTACAGTGGATCGAGATGTCCAGATGGAATGCTTACCAGCCACTGAAAGACTTGAAAGAGAGACAATGGTCCCGTGTTCGAAATCGCAGCAAGACTTTTGCTACAGCTGATCGGGGTGAGGTTATGACGTCCTTGGAAAACGTTGCACGCCAGACTCGACTACAATTGATTGAGAGGACGAACTACTACGACGCTTTCAAGCATCATCAGCATCCCATCTATGGTGTTGGTCTTTGCGGCAGGCTTGATGTACCTCTAAAAAGTAAGGTCCTGTCACGCTGTGATTTGCACGGCTCGAAAGGCAGGTTCTGGGAAAGAGAACCTGTGCTTGGCTCAATTAATTTGGTTCAGTCACTGGAAACACGATCCCTTGCTATGCAACCATTCATCGAGCAGTATGCATGCATAACACCTGCAGCTGTCGCTATAGATCTTCCCGTCACTGTCATGGGTGGATCGAGAAGCAATGCCATTCGCCAACAGCAAGCCATTCCGTCGTACGATCCTTTCCATCAGGCTCAGATGAAGTTGTCCATTGCTTTTCCTGACAAGCGACTTCTGCAATACGATTGTGGTAAACTTCAGCGTCTTGACAAGTTATTACGACAATTGCAAGCCGGCGGTCACAGGGCGCTCATCTTCACTCAGATGACAAAAGTCCTTGACATACTCGAACAGTTCCTGAACATACATGGCCACAGGTATTTGCGGCTAGACGGTGCGACCAAAGTCGAGCAACGCCAGATTCTCACCGAGCGGTTCAACAACGATACGCGCATCCTATGTTTCATCTTGTCTTCTCGATCTGGTGGTTTGGGAATCAATCTTACTGGTGCTGATACTGTCATCTTCTACGACCTCGACTGGAATCCAGCTATGGATAAACAATGTACTGATCGAGCACATCGTATTGGTCAAACGAGGGACGTACACATCTACCGATTTGTGTCCGAGCATACTATCGAGTCCAACATCTTGCGGAAGGCGAACCAAAAGCAATTGCTGGACGACGTTGTCATTCAGGAAGGTGACTTCACGACTGACTACCTCAACAAAGTTACATACAAGGACATGCTCGACAACGATACTGCTGAGGATGATGTAGCTGGCGCAGCTATGGACAGGGTGCTCGGGGGTGACGTGTCCCAGGGAAAGCATAAAGCGAGTGTACTTGAGCAAGCAGAGGACAGGGACGATGTCGCTGCTGCACGAGTTGCAGAGAAGGAGGTCCAAAATGCTGACGACGGGGACTTTGACGACAAACCCGTTCTGCCAACAGATTCAATTAGTGGGAGGAAGAGCACACTCGATCCATACAACGCTACCAACGCCGCAATCGAGGCAGTTGACGCGCTAAACGATGACGGTATAGAGCACATTGACGACTATATGCTACGACTGCTGCAGCACTTGTTAAGAGATGTTCCCCTGGTTGTCAGGGATAGAGATAGAAATAGGAGAGGCAAAAATAGGAAGAAAGGCGGCGATGGTCGTCGGCGGTAGTTTAGCACGCCAGATGCACCCATGCGCGCATGTTGTATAACTTTATGTAGAATATCATTTTGAATAGCGAGCAGTGCTCGTTGTTGCTCCCGATACTTGGCTTCTTCTCAAGTGTTGTGATACGTGTGCTTCTTGTAGGTCTTATAGCCAGCTTTGCTAGTACAATCACACACATTTTTGGATTTTCAGATCATATCAGCTTTATGCAAATATCGAGTTGGCTACATGTCGACATTGTGTTGACTAGACGTCAACGCGCGTCAAGCCTGTATCAATGCATCGTCCACGACGCCTAGCCGTGCGTCACGAGTATGTCACGAAGCATGTCGGATAAAAGTTACGGACGTTTCGTCAGCATCAAGCGCGAAATGCGTTAGTCGAAGGCGTTGCGCTGGGCAACGAGCAATTTCTACGGGCGTACGCAGTGACAGCGAGGACGAATGACTTTGAGGCGGCATGCTATCAATACGTAGTACGATTACAGGCAGCACGGGAACATAGAGCGCTAGCATATGCAGTCGTGCAACCTCTAGGAACTTGTAGCCAGTTCTTGCTTAAGGACGAAGGTTCGGGACTTCTGACCTTCCTGATGCAAGAGACTGGAGTGGTAAATTCAAAGAAACGTAGCGTCGCTCATCTCCTCATGTGCAATTTAGCGCGAAATAGGAATATACTTGGCAAAAAATACTAGGACCTTTAGCAATAAATTATGTGGACGTAAATGTGCATCATATAGAACATCATTGAAGGTCTAAGAAACGTTTTGTTCTGGAGACAACGGAAAGCGCAATCTAGAGAGCCAGAACGCAGTTCATCGTCTTGTACCAAGGAAGGTGCAAGTCAGCCATATGTAGCCAATGGAATCATCACGTGACTATATCGCCTTAGGCAGCAAAGCGTTCATCATCTCGTGGCAGCTCTTCCAGATTTAGGGTCTTCACTTATTCCACACAAATTTAGTATAGCTATGTTCTTGGAGCTCAAAACTATCGTTCAACCATGGCTTTCAGCTTCAGAAAATGCTCCGGATTTGGCTCGTGGGCGCGATTCAGTGCTAAAAATGTGCACAAATCCTCAACTGATAACATACCAGTATAAGTTTTGTCAAGAAGTTCCGGATGATTCGTCTACTTAAGCTGGCCAGTATACGTGCTTGAAATCTGGAGTCTCAACATCTCAGGGCACGAGAATACACTTCGACGGTCTAACAAAGTTTCCTTTTGGACTTAATCATTTAGGTCCTATACTTCACTTTGAAACCATAATCACGTCCCAGCAATACAATCATGGCAGCCCAATCGGATACACTCGACATGTCCCTATACTTTGGGGATATGGAACAGAGACTGCGATTCTGCACAACACTCCTTGACCAGCTTAAGAAGCGTGGCTGTGTAAAGATTCAGAACCATGGGATCCCGAACGAAGACATACAGAGGTTGTTCGAATTGGTATGTTGCAAACACTAGAGCAAAGACTGGGGGACGCACTTACTAATCTATTCCTCGCAGACTCGCCAATTCTTCAATCTATCCTACGAGGACAAAATGAAGGCAAAGCGTCCAGCCCAAGCTAACCCAAACAGGGGCTACAGCTTCGTCGGTCAAGAGAACGTGGCAGGTATCAGCGGCTTCGAGAAGGGACTGGGTCCGTTGACTACAAAGGATATCAAGGTACGGAAGACGTTCCGAACTCGAAAGGCCAAGAAGAAGATGTACTGACCTTTTGAGTATAGGAAACCCTGGACATGGGTTCCGCGAACGACAAGTTGGTCGATAACATCTGGGTTCCGGAGGACATCCTTCCTGGCTTTCGCAATTCTATGGAGTCTTTCTACGACAAGGCATTCGAGACAGAGATGCACCTCATAGATGCTCTCGCTACCGCTCTAGGAATCTCCGCAACACACCTCAAATCCTTGCACTCGAAAGCGGAAAACGAGTTCAGGCTTCTACATTACCCTCCTACTCCAGCCTCGAAACTAAAAGATGGAAAGTCAACTCGTATCGCCGAACACACAGACTTCGGTACCATCACCATGCTGTTCCAGGACTCTACAGGTGGTCTACAAGTCGAAGATCAGACACAACTTGGGACATTCCGAGATATTGAGTCCTCGGGCCCGACAGACATCATCTTGAACGTTGGAGACTCGTTGCAGAGACTAACAAACGATACCTTCAAGGCAGCTTGTCACAGAGTCACATATCCACCAACGATCAAAGCTGACGGCGATGAGATTATCCCAGAACGTTACTCCATCGCATACTTCGCCAAGCCGAATCGTGACGCATCTTTGCTTCCTCTGGAAGACTTTGTCACTGATGCAACGCCTTGTCTTTATCAGGACATCACAGCATGGGAGTGGAACAACATGAGGATCGAAAATTTGTTTGCTGGAACGACGGCGTGATTTAAGATGTCGTGGAACAGCAATATGTGAAGCGAGCTTAGGTGTCCTCCAGGATAGTACGAAGCACTACCATGGTCCACAGAATATCTCTCTTCTTTGAAGCATATAGCTTCTGTACGGGTGTATCTGGGAGTGTATGTGTTATTGATTGAAATTACCTCGACATCTCTCAGCCCCTGCTCCTCGCGCGCATCAACACACACACACACACACACACACCTTGAGCTATATCTCGGTGCCATCTAAACCACTCACAGCCCTTCCAGGACATCTGTGATCGCCTTGACTACAACCTCGGGTCTGCTGAGATGCATTCCATGTCCACCACCCTCGATCTGAATATACTTCACAACATCCTTCTTACCACTTATCTCCTCAACCTTGTTGATCATGCTCTGCGCTAACGCAATTGGCACAACATCATCATTATCACCAGCAATATACACCACCCGTCCCTTGAATCTGTTCTCTCCCTCACTCCACATGTCGTTTTTGACCTGCCCATCAAATGAATCAGAACTATGTCTCGTCATCGTCTCGAACCAGGCCTGTATCTGCGCTTCGTTGGTGAAAGCAGTGTCTTTGAAGATACCCGGTCCACTGCCCTCAGGAAGAGTCATATACTCGCCTTTCGCGCCTGTTTTAAGTGGTTCGAAGAGGTACTCGGCCATGACGTTTCGTATACTATCTCCTGGTAATGGGACGAAGCTGCTGAGGTAGATCATGCCAACTACTGCTCCTGTCTGCGTGGAATCGCTTTCAGTGGTCAGTGATGCGCGGCTCGGAAGGCCGGATATCGCTTCAGTGCTGGGAAAGCCACCATACGAATTCGCGACTAGGACAACGTCGCGGCCTTTTGAGAGGTGGGCCTGGATGACTTCGCGGATATATAAGCTGTCATCTTCGAGCTTGGCTGGTGGCGTACGGAGGTCTGAGGGTGGGCAGGCTGAGAGTAGTGGAGTGGGTGAGATGTGCTCGAAGCCTTGTTGAGAGAGTATGCGGACAACGTGTGTGTACTTTTGTTCAAGGTGAGAAACAGAGACTTTGATGCAGAGTGTGCAAGCACGGGGATATAGTAGGCAGTGGATGGAGACTTACAAAACTAGTTGGAGAGAATGAGCCAGGGACCAGGACAATTGCGGTGTTAGATTTGACTTGGTCGGGAAGGGTAGTCATTGTGGCTTCTGTTCGGATGAGACTTCCTGATAGTTGATCACAGGACTTCAAGACACCTTGAATGACAGGTTCGCTTTGTAAGACTTGTAAGCACTCTGGCCTCGGATAGACACCACCTCGGCGGCTTGGGGTCGGGGTTGAAGACGATGTTACGTTTTCCTACCCCACTTTCCGCTGGTGTTGCTAGCTAACAAGTACTTTCTTCAAAAATCTCACGATTAGCACAAGGAGAAAGCCAATACGTATGAGGGATAAGAAACATCCGTATATGTATTCACACGAGCCGGCATGAATGTGAAAAGACAGAAAGTGTCCGAATGCTGAGCCCTCGTCCGCGGGTCGGCCGGAATTGGGGACGACAGGTTGCCTTGAGCTCTGATGGCTTGGCGTGCCTTGGCCTACATTGTCGCGGCATACTGTCTTTTCTAGCCTGGTTTTCTCCTTATCTATCTGTAAGTGGACTTGAGAATGGGAAGATCCTCGAGTACGTTCGTACACGCAGATACAGAGTTCTGGTACGGTGACGAGCCTGAAGTCACATTCCGACCTGGATGGCGTCGATGATACCATCTTCGCAAAACACAATCCGTGTATCTTGACTCAGTACGCCACATGGATTCGAAAGCAAGGTGATACTGCAGGATCACTGCCCGTCCATTGGAGGTCTTGTGCTGGTAAAGTTGTTGCAATCACATGTCATTCTTGCTGCCCAATACCGTACACATTCCGGACTTCCTCTTCTCGATTTTCAACGACATGACTGTCGTCAGTTTGCTCACTCCGAGTCAGAACGAAGCAAAAAAGAAAGTCGACCGAGCTCAAAAAGCAAAAACAATTAACAGTGAGGATTCGCTGGTTGTCTCCAACCCAACTACTAACTCGTCGGCGCCTGGCTTAAGTACGGGTGATCGAACGGGAACCCCTGTTTTCCAAATCCTATGGTCGATTGCGAAGATCAACTGTAATTATTACATTTATATTGTCTTGTGTCGGCGGCTGACGAAATGGAAGTTCTGCCGCCTCATGGGGGTTTACTGACTGCTAGTGCTGGCCCTTGAGCCACAGGATACGATCATGCCTTTGTGGAAGGACGGTCGAAGGAAAAGGATCGTGCCTCAGCTCCCTCTCTACTGCCACCTGACAGATCTGCTTCAGATGTCTTCTACCCAAAAATGCCTCAGAGTATTGCAAGCTGGAGCACAGTTCGTTTTTTGTTTTTTTTAAAGCACTTAGTAAGTGATGACTAGTGTTAGCTCTGTCATACTACATAGGCAACTAAAGATTCACTTTGTTTCAACAACAAAGTATCAGTCACAATGAGACAATGCACTGAGCCACACAGGCATTGTTGCATTGTGGTTCGTGCATACTACGGTATATGAATTCTATATTGCCACAGATTGAGCCAGTACAGTGACCTACCCAAACTAAGTCTTTTCAAACCAAAGCGAACCAGTACAGCGATTTATCAAGCCCAAATCCTTTCTGAAACAAACCCGACATGATGGAAACCCAAGAACAACACCTGATCACACTCGCAGACAATCTGCCAAACCTCGACCTTTCCCCTGTAGAAATTGACAACGATCCCAAGCCAGGCATGGCACTAGCCGTCTGTTACCAGATGGGACTGCAGCCTGTGCTGCTAGTGCGACCAGCCTTTGCTTATGGCGCATATGGCGTCTGTTCTGTTTGGCTCGGAGCGAATGACAAGAAGCTCTACCTGCGTAAGATGGTGCTTGAGTGTGCAGGTATGACCGCGACCCCGAGCGACATTGTTCACTATGTCCCTCATTTGAATGTGCCAAAGCTTGTTCATTATGTTAATCATGAGGCTGGTCCAGAACCTAGACTCTCAGATGATATGTTCGAAGGCATGAAGCAACAACACCTCTGGAGCATGTTTAGTGAGTTTATCAATGGCCCAACGCTGGAAAAGGTGATCAAGCAGTATGCTAACAAGCAGATGTATATCCCTGAGACCGAAATCTGGCGTGTCGGAGCAGCCTTGTTATCTGTGGTCATGAAGATGCAGTACCCAATGGGTCATGGTTACCAGACTGAAGCGAAGCTTCACCGAGACATCCGGCCTCGAAATATTCTGGTCAGCAATTCGCCTGAATCCACACAAACCACATTCCACCTCATAGATTTTGGAATCGCCGCTGGGCCCGACATGATGAGGCGGATGCTGCCAGGCAACTTTGATGTCTGCATGATTGCGGAGGTACTCTTCGGTATGATGCTTCACAAAGCCGACCCAAATCCCCGCCAATGTTGCAACTTTGACAACGATGTCTTTTCTCTGTCAAAAAGACTGCCTGACTGGCCTTACAGTGAAGAGCTCTACAGCTCTATCAGCGAGTTGCATAAGTATGAGCACAAGAGTAAGACACCGCTGCAACCAAAACCACAACTCCGGCAATGGATGAAGAAATTTCAGACCTTTGCGACGTCCTCTTTGGAGCAGGCGACGAGCGATGGCAAATCAATTCGACTTGAGTCGGTGGCCCCGCTACCTGACACTAAGCCTATGCTGTTCAAGCATTCAGAAGCTGACGAGGTGATAGCAGATTTGAAGCTCAGAAACACAACGCCTGTTGTCCTTTCCAGAAAGCGTGGGTCGATGAAGCCAGCTTAGAGATAGTGCAGATCGAAGAAGATCTGGAGTGGGCGCCTTGGATGAGCAAGGTTTGTTGGTCTTGAGGAGCAAACGACTGATCACTAGTACTATAGTAGAGCACAATATGAGATTTTTTGTTTTTAAAAGATTTCTTCGAGCAGCGAGGAGAACAGGACTTACTCGATCGTGTAGCAGCGAGACGTTGTATCATACAACGATCAATGCATGCTGATTTAGAGCTTCGCTTGTGTAACAGCAAAGAGATCCCTGTCAAGTAGACTCTCCATAACCATCTTCCATTCCTCGGCCTTTGCAGGATCAATTGCATTAGCGTCGTAGGATACGCCGAAGCTAAGGTGCTTTGAATCACCATATGCACCTACCAGGAACTCACCATCACGCGGTCTAACAAGACTGGAGATACCTTTGAATTCGGCGACCAGATCCTTGCCTCCGAGATTGCTCAGGTCGACCTTTGGGGCGGTCATTAACACACTTATGTCTCCAACAGAGCTAATCCCACAGGTTGCTAGAGACGGACTAGCTTTAGCTGGAAGTGAGCCTTGCACATTTATGCCTGCTTTGGCTTCTGCATCCGCACGATTCTCCATACGTTCAGTGGTGGAACAAAAGAGTGCTGGTATGAGCTGACTGGGACTCCTGGAACCAAGATGTATCTCTTCCTCTAGGCTGCGCTTTCGCTTCTGGTATTGGCGTAACTGTCTGTGTGCCAGACGACCGAGCAACTTGAAGCGGCCAACGAAATCGAGGTCGTGCGGCAAGAATGGTAGGGTGACTCCATCGCTAAAAGCAAGCATACAGGAACCGTTCGGCGATTCACCTGTAAGGAAGGGTCGCGGATTGACTGGAAAGGATCCGACGAAGGGCAATCGCTGCGCCATAGACACACCAGGGTTCCGTCTTTCTTCCATCTCCATCATCGCCATAGAAACCAAAGTGAAGAGTCCACTACCAATACTGAACCCAGCTTCTTTACAAAGCTTGCGCATATTTTGTACAGACCGTCCGTAGAGGTCGCCACTTATCCTGCCACTGTTTAGAGGAGGAGTTTGGCTATAGTCAAGGACATCGCGATAGGTTGGAGGCAACGGTCGAGCTTCCGCCAATGGTTTCTGACGCCTCAAAGGATTTTGGAAAGCGGCGGGTGGGGGATGCCTAACATGGCGCAACACTCTCGTCAACAACCAATGCCATCTTTCCCGTGCCTTGTTTTGAGATCTGAGTGGGTAGAAAGCTTCCTGTGCTAGAGGTAATCGAGCTCTCAATTCGTGCTCGTTCGTGAAAAGGTTGCCAAGCATTTCGTCCAGCTCGTTGCCATCCATGTTCAGAATTTCTGCAATTTTTCCTGCCCATCGAAACGTCGTCAGACCGTCAACGATTTGATGTGCAATAACGCAGATGAAATGTAGTAATATGGTATCATTCGATGTTCTTTGAAATGGCATGACATAGAGCGTAGAGAGAGCCTCCCGAGCATTCAACGTTCTAGCACTGTTCATGGTGTGATGGTAGAAGTCTTTAGTGTCGACGTTTGAGTAAGTATCAGCGACGAACTTTACCTGTAGTCTACTGTCAGCCAGTGCTTCCTCAGAAGACCGTGGCCAACGGTAGACGAAGCATTTGTCGGTCCACCGAGTGCTTCTGCTTGCAGTCGTAAATTCATGAGGATACTCCGAAGTACAACTGAGCAAGATCTGATCATGGCGCATTAGAGTCCATGCCAGGATGAGTCTTTCACGCAATTGATCGTCACTGAGCTGCGTTTTTATCTCAAGGCTGATATTTTGGTGCAAGTCTGCTCGACCGCACCACAACGAACCATCCGCATCGAAAAGACTTTCCACCACACCTAACGGTCGATAATAGACGCGATCGTTGCTTCTTTGCCAATTGTATCTCTCTGCTTTTCGTAAGTCCAACCAATGTAGAGATCGCGGGTTGCGATTGCCGGCAACAATTTGCTGCATCAAGATGTTCGTTTGCCATTTAGCAGGTCTTCCCATCTTGGTGGCTATACCTGTTGATCACGACCATGTGGATCGATAACAATGAAGGACGAAAAGAAAACAACAGCTGTTCGATCGACGCTCGACGTGGAAAGATTTGTGCCGATGCGTTACTGTCGGCATGTCATCATCTACTGTGTAGTCTCGAACCTCGTCGGTTTCCTTTCTGCTACAGCTTTATGATCCGACAAGCCCACTGACACTGGCTCTGTGAACACGGCACTGGTAAGAGTGCTTCATCCTGTTCAGTTTCTTTCAAACGGGTCACTGGCAGATCTTACACGATTGCCCTGATCGTGAGATCGAATGAGCAAGCGACCTGGCTCGTAGCGTTTTTGAGTTGGCGCCAGCTTTTGTGCGAAATCAGGCCCACCGTAACCACCCACACTCCTCGCCAAACCAGCTCCGAGACTGTCCCATACCAAAAAGTGAATGCGTGCTTGGACGTTCGTTGTTGTGTACGTATGTCGTCGAATAATCTGGTCCAAGTAACTGGAACCTCTGCGATGATATTCAAGTCAAGCTCAGGCAATGATAGCAATACACCCTTTTAGGTAAGCAACGAAGACCACAAGTGACAATACGCATGGAACGACGCTATTCTGCTGAAATTGTCAGCCTGTGACTCACAAGATCAGTGGAAATTATCTATGTCACGATATCCGAGTTGTGCTGAGCGGAGACCACACTACAATCGAAAGATATCTCCAGCAGGAATAGCTCACTCGGTGTAAAAGCTGAAAGATTCGAACACAATCGAACATTCTTCAAAGCACAGTGAAGATGCATATGCGTCCAGTTCTACAAGCTGATCTTTACGACTTTGCTCGGGTAGTAGGGGTATCGATGTGGAAGGACGAGCTCATGGAGTATACCGCGCCCTACAAGGACAACTATCCCGACTCTTACTTTCGCCTTTGCTTGCTTCGAACCAAGATACGATGGTACAGGGGTGAACTTATGTTTCTCTGCGTTAGCGATCACGAAGATACTGACTGGACTGGCGAGGAAGTCATCATGGGCTACTGCTGCTACAGCACAACAGTGAAGACAGCAGAAAAGCCACTACGCAGCGGGTGGCTGGGTAATCGGGTTGAACAGTATGCATTGAGATGTCAGCAACACTACATCAAGCTCTTCAAGCTGAATCGGAGCGCGGATCAGGTTGCTGAACAACACTTCCGTAGTGTTATTAACGAGCAGGCATTCGATCCATACTTTGCTACATTGCCCGAACGCCACAGAACAACTTTGCAAGGCCAATATTGGGAATTGGAACTCCTCGGCACTCATCCCGATTATCGTCGCAGAGGTGTGGGAACGAGCATGCTGCAATGGGGGTTCGAAAATGCCACGAAGGACAGTGTGCCCCTGATCCTTTTTGCGACGGTCATGGGCGAAAAACTCTACTTAAGTACAGGCTTCAAACAGGTAACTCAAATAAAGATGCTTCCTGACGATGCAAATTCGGCTGCGACACTGCGAGAATTAAACTTGGGCTTAGGTAGGGGAGAGGGACTGATTTGGGCTGGCATGACCTGGGAGCCACCTACGCTGCTAAGCGGAAGGGAAGAGGTAGTTGCTGGTTCATGATAATGAGCATTGTCTGGCATAAGCGATGCTTCCTTGTGCACCTGGTTGGAATGTGAAGATTTAGCTGCCTCAGGCATTCCCCGGAACTCAAACGCGTTCCATGTTGTCTTTGTGACGTAGTAGTCACAGATATCTTGGAATTGGATGGTTGAGAATTTCGTGCTTCTGGCTGCTGTACTTCCTTATCCTGCACCTCTCCCACACCTGCATCACTTCTTCTACAATTTCCTCTGACACAAACATGGCTGAAGTCGCTGATCGAGTGCGCGATGTCGCAAAAGACGAGGCCGCAAAGGTCTCAGCAATGACCAAAGAAGCGGTTGAATCGCGTGCCTACCTCTATCCCCTCAAAGGCGTTCTATACTTCCTCACTCACCGAGACCTATGGCGACCTTTGACCTCGAAACTCGCGGCAGTCCTGACCACTTCCATTGGCGTCACAACTTTGATGTTTACCTTTGCCTATCTGCCACAATTGGCGATCATGGCCTTCACGAGCGGTCCTGCAGCAGCCATTACTGCGGCCTTGCTCACGCTGAGCGAGAGCTCGACTATTGTGAACCTGCTTTCGAGGACATTTTTCATTGAGGAGGCTCTCGTGGACACATTTGATGGCACACTGTTGAATCAAGACTGCAAGAACCTGGTTAGCGAGGGTCGACAGATACAAGCAGGAGGAGATAACATGGCCAGGCTAGGAAAATTGATTAAGAAGCCATTCGCAAAATTCACTCCAAACGCTATCATCAGATACTTTATCTACCTCCCACTTAATTTCATCCCTGTTGTTGGAACTGCCATCTTTATCATTTTGCAAGGCAAGCGAGCCGGACCTACAGCCCACCAGAGATATTTCCAGTTGAAGGAATGGTCAGCAAGGCAACGAGAGGCACACATTGAACAGAACAGAGGCGGCTATACTTCGTGAGTCCGGTCATCACCCATTTACAAGCTTGAGCTAACAGTTTCAGATTTGGAATTACTGCATTTCTCCTCGAGATGGTCCCGTTCGCTAATCTATTCTTCGTTTTCACCAATACTGTTGGAGCTGCCTTGTGGGCTGCTGACCTGGAGAAGAGTGCCGGTACTGCGCCCAAATTGAGAGAACAGGCAAAGAAGGCACAATAGTGTAGAAGGGTTTCATGAGTTATGGCCCGCGCACCTACCTGTTAACGATTGAATGACCGAACGAGAACGATGAGACTGAGAAACGCTGTGAATGATTCAGAGCACGAACGATGAGCCTATGTGGTTGTTCCGCCTTTGATCAGCCAAAGAATGAGTAATTGACGTGAGGACCACAATTGCAAAGGAATTCGGTAGCTGTTGGCTGTTTCCGTGAGACCACTTGGCTATCTGGCGTCCCCTTTGTAGAGCCTAGGGCATAGGTACATGAAACAAACGGGTGGTAGACGGAGAGGACGGAGGTTTGTGCTAGACGGTACGTATTTGAGGTATGTGTCACAGCCCTTTACTGTTGTACTACAACCAGCCGTCAACCACATGATGTGCAGATCACTATCACGAGTGAAAGGTGGGCAGTGAAATAACGCCGATTTATTGTTATTGTTGTTGTTGTTATTGCTCTGAGCTGGAATCACGCATCGTCGCTTACCTCGCAATGTGATCTTCCTTCTCTTTTCATCCAGAATCTTGTCAATATCTATCAAATAATCATTGAAACATCTTGCAATCGCACGTCACTCCTTTCAATCTCAACCCCAGTATCATATAAGACCTTTTCTTGAAACCAGAGGAAAAGGTAAGTAGAAATCACTGCCCTTGGATGTGTAATTCTAACATTTGGCCAGAAACAGCAACTCACATGGTCGTTCCTTCCTTTGCGATCAGCTTACTGCTGGTCGCGTCCACTCTTTCAGTGTACGCCCGCTCTGTTCATACCCCATCTCACTCCCAGCATCTAGGTCTCGCTGGACGAGTCCGAAGTGTACTTACATCATCTGGTACAGCACCTGAAGATGCCTCTTCGACTGTACCAATGCTTCAAGGAGAAGAGCTTCTCTGCAATGCAATCAATGGTACGAACTTCTCGACTGGTAGCAATACCTGGACGGCATTGTGCGACATGGACTTTATTGGTCAAGACATCTATCCATTCATTCGAGCGGGAGACTACGTGGAATGTATGAATCACTGCGAATTTCACAATCAAGAAAATAATGCATATATCTGCCAAGGGTTTGTGTGGGCGCCTGACCGTTCAACCCTCGAAAATGATTGCTATCTCAAGAGTGGTCTGAACGATCCAGTATATCCAGCCACCCTGCATCTTGTTGGTGCAAGCTTGTGGCCTACACCAGCTCCGACTCCTGCAAAACAAGCAGTTTCAGCCTCGACTACATCTCCTTCCACAATCAGTGAAACTAGCTCTGAAATACCTTCACCACAGGAGTCTTTGTCAGTCCAAGATGTGCATGCAGAAAAGCAAGGCAAGATACCGGTGGTCACAGAATCCATGTTCCTGGGCACTTCTGTCGACGAAAATCCTTCTCAATATGTCAGCCATGTTCCAGCAAAACCTCAACAACTTGCAGCCGATGTCCTCGTAGCCGGCATCAATGTTGACCTAATTACTGGCTACCCACTGGCCGCTGATACCGGTTCGTGGACAAGCAGCGAGGTGACAACCAACGTGCTTTCGAACATGAAAGTAGTTCCTCGAATCTCCCGAGATGGAGGTCGAGGAGGAAAGATTAACGGCACCAACTTCTTCGTCTTCTGCGACACCTCTACTTATGGTCAGGAGAAGGACCCTATCCTCGGCTACCTCAACGGCTTTGTTTCAAGCAGTATTGCTGTCGATGAAACCCTGAATGGTCTGGACGGGAAGCCACTGCATCTTGTCAATTCTATTGGTCAGTGGCAGGATGATGTGGGCCGCATGCGTGGCTGGGTACCTATGACAACAGGTGAGGAAGCCTTCAACATTGCGATTTCAGGACAAGGTTATCGTTATGCAGTCTGGCCGAACTCGAGCCCGACTTCCCTCAACAGTACTCACGCAGTCATGTATGCACCACTTGTATATCTCGAAGTTGATATGCAAGACCAGTCTAGTCCTAGATATACTAGTCTCGGCAATACCCTTCTCCTCATCTCTGTCGATCCGACCTATGGTCCTCATGCAGATAGGCTTTACAATCAGTTCTTCACTAGACCCGAAGTCGATTGGGGTTCCTTAGGCGGTATTCGAGCATGGTCTTCTGCTGGCCCTGGTTCTCCTGGCGGCGACATCTACCTCTTTGGCGAAGCAGAACAAGGGATCCTCCTAGGCAAGATTGCCGCTCAGGACTTCGACGATCGTCACAAATATCTTTACTGGAACGGCAATTCCTGGTCTGGTGACATGCCACCCCCTGGTTCCTCGGCTGATGCCTTTATGATCAACCAAACAGTCGCGAGTATGGATATAGTCTATTCACCTGCTCATAGGACCTTCGTTATGGTCTACCTCACTCAAGGGGTGGACAACACATTCTACTACCGCTACCTGGTCGGCAAGGACAAATCTACGTTGAATATCATTCCTCCATATGAGGATGGTGGGGACACCAACTACGTGGAGAATCTAGTCACAAATGCATGGTTGGATCAGAAGATCCTCTTCACAGTACCTACTCCTGAACGTGGCTATGCCTATGCTGGTGGTTTGCACTCTGGGTACTTTGGTAATGATGACATTGCCAACGGTGGCTACAAGATGCTACTTACTTGGACAGAGCATACGATCGTCGATCCAGACGATCCTGCCAGTGGCTACGCTCATAAAGCACAGATTGTTGAGCTTGGATAGACTTACTCTTGAAGGAGAGGAGAGTGTCTGAACATACCTGCACTGATTGGATGTTCGACAACAAATTCCCAATAACTTCCAGCCTCGTAGAGAATCGTCCTTCTGGAGAGGAGATATATGTCGTCAATTTGATGTGACACACTTGATGTTGCTTATCTATTCAGCTTATTGAGATTTAATATCCAAGTGTTTGTAGCGTTCATGTAGCAGCTCGTCGACCTACGAGCCAGACATGCCAGAATAGGATAAGTTTCATTTTCGTTGCGTTAAAGGCATTTCGAATCCACCGTAGCTGAAGCACCTTCCTCCGCCATCAACCAGTTCTGTTTCTCACCTATACCTCCGTCATTCAGTTCTCCCTTCTAGTCTGAAGGTTTTCGAAAATACCCTGCATATCAGCATGATTCTGCGACAACATGTGTCCTGATCAGCATATCGTGAACGCCCTAGGCATGGTCGGACCTTCCCAATGCATTCCCCGCGATCATCCTTGCTCCTGGTGGAAACTCTTTTGAGGGGATTGAGGAGAATGCACATCTTCTCGGCATAGAGAAATAGCCCAAGCATAATCCGGCCGCGAGAACGGAGGAGCTTAGAATATGAGAGTCTACGTCCCAAAGTCATCTTCAGCACGTCAATGTCGACTTGCTTTCCCAGCAAACACACCAAGTCAATGCTATAGACTTCAGCTACGCAAGAGACTAAAGCTTATGCTGCTGAAGATCTGAGGATATTTCCACTGATAAATCGACTTGAGCGTATCGATCAAGTATAGAGATCGGGCTAGGCAGTCCCATTAAGCCGTTGTCATCCTGGTGACGATTTATGGGAATCCGAACCTGGACGTACGACTTAAAGACGACACACTCATCCGAACTACTTCGCTCATATGGCTACTGCTATGGCCAGCTCTACACAGCAGGCTACTGACTTGTCCACTGCTCAAGATGAGGCTGAATACCCACTAGCAGCACAGATTCCGCTTTCATCCTTTACTCTTCCTACCTTCCCAGAACAAGCATCGAAACTCCGATCACTGACTCTGACATCCGATATCAACCTCAACGACTACCAAACAAAACACCTCGCCCCTGGCACGTTCGAGCCCTGCACTACACTACCAAAATCTCTGACTCACCTGACCCTCGAACTCTTCAGCCTTGGCTTTCCAGCACCTTTTCTGACCGAAATCGGCAAGAGCTTGCCAAGCCTGCAAAGCTTGACTCTCTTCAGTTGTCTTGTCGATGGTCTTGAGGAGCGCAGTCGGCGTGATGCATTGACCTTCTTCCAAAATGCAGCCAAAACACTCAAGGAGATTCATATTGTTGATTCGTTCGCTCGAGCTGGGTTCTGGAAAGAGGTTGGTAAGACACTCTCTACCACTTCCGATTCAGGTCCTGCGATCGTCGAAGTTAGCTACACTTATCGAGGCCATTACGAGTCAGACTTCCTCAACCGTGTTTCTGGTGAAGAGTGGGCTGAATTCATTTCTCCTTCCGTCATTGGACTTTCGCTGAATTTTACATCTCCTCCGCCAGATCTGGACACCGAACTGAAGATGCAGACTGAGAAGCCGGAAGACGCAGAATTCCTTCAAGCTCAGGACGGCATATTGCCGTTTGCTAGCGACGGTCGTGCTAGCCTGGCTGTTCGACGAAAGATCGAGCAAATCTCTGGCCACAAGAAAGAAGGAGCAGGGCTGAATCTGAAAGTGCTCAATTTGAGTATGTTCAGTCTGCGACCGGTAGAAGTGGGCGAGATCGCGTATGCTGTTGCCGCTGGCGATGGAAGTGGTGGATTGATCGGCCTCACAGTCAGTATGCTTCTTGAGAAGGACTGGTTCGAGATACTGCTCAAAGGTCTAAGCGAAAAGGGAGCTGGTAGTGCCATTGAGAGTCTAGAGATCGTGGGTGTTCCGATTGAAAGTGGTGATGGTGCCGAAGATGCGGAAAAGCTACTGATGAAGAGCGAGGAGAAAATCAAGGCTTTTAACAGTGAATGCTCTAAACTTGAGAGACTGGAGATGACAGTGTTACAATCTAGAAGGATAGGGAAGGTGATTTGGACAAAGGAGAGTGAGTCCTGGAAAATGCAAAGAGAGACAAGTAGCGAAAGCTAGTGAGACAGTCACTCCAAGATAGGAGCACTACCTTTATAAGACGAGTTACAGCCGTGACACCTTGCACTAGTGCATTGTGACAGCCGAAACCATTTCGCGGAGAAGAGTCGACAAGCAATACCTGCCATGGCGTCGTATTCAAGATAGTGCTCAGAGTATCACGTCGCTCACTGCGGAAGGCACTGCTGAGAAACGAACGACCAACGAACACCCAACGCACGGGTGGCTCACATGGCCAAGATGTGCTCTATATGATACTCTCAAATCTCTGACCACAGCATATCCTGAAGAGCACACCAGCACAACTTCTACCATAACCCAAGTGTTCCCATTGCCAGAATCGAACTCATTTACAACAACCACATCTCAAAGAGAACACAACAAATACCAGCACCAACCAATCCACATCTTCAAAGACTCAACTCTTCCACGGGACGCCCACACACTCTCACCAATCTCCACCAAAGACTTCCTCTCCTTGACCCCCAACCATGTCCACCATCCACTCCCTCCCCCCCCGAACTCCTCCAACTAATCTTCACCCACCTCTACAATCGCCTCGACCCAGCCTTCGTCTCCAACGCCGCCATAGCCGGCACCGATCACCCCTGGGACACACACCTCCTCTCCCAGGACCAGGAGTTTCGCAAGGTCATTAGGGTGTGCACGTTGTGGCAGAGGGTGGTGTTGAACATGTCGTTTGTGACGGTGTCGTTGGGTGGGGATCAGAGGGTGTTTGATGAGGGGATGGGGTGGTTTTCGAGGTGTCGGTATTGTAGGAGGAGGGAGAAGAAGGTGTTGGAGGAGGGGAGGGAGGGAGAGAGGGAGTGAGTAGGTAGTTGCTGGAGAGAGAGAGATGGTCAATTGGGTGCAGATGTAGGCTATGTGTGTCATGAGAGTCGGAAACAAATACCTACCTATTGGCATATTGGATATCGAGCTGGCAGACGCTTGTACATGTAGACAGCTGGAGCAATGGACTGTGAAGAGTGGGAGACCTATGACCTAGCATAAGGCAATAGTTTCCATCGAAATTCTACTGTACTAAGCAGTTTTCTTAAGCACGCCAAGTCTATAATATCGAAGTTGATGACCACTTAGGGCGCCTATGCCTTCTCCGAAACCTCCATGCCAGGTATATCTCTCCTCCAGACCTTCAACGGCAACGGGCCGACATGGTAATTCATGGTCTCTTGTCTTGTTACTTCGAAATTAGGATGAGGCAAAGCGAACTCATAGCGATGTATTAGAGATGCCAACAGTACTGTCTGCTCGAGGTACGAGATATTCCTCCCGATGCAACCACGAGCACCAGCTGAAAAAGCCAAGAAGTAGGGCTGCAGTTTTTTGCCTTCTTCACCTAACCAGCGTTCTGGAATGTATTTGCGTGGCTCCGGAAAGATGGATGGGTCTTGATGGACGACGTGCGCAGACATGGAAACCGAGACACCGCCTGGAACGAATTGGTCGATGATTTGCATGCCTTCTGCTGGTGTGACGCGACCTAGATTCTGTGTTGTAGGAGAATAGATCCTCAGTGACTCGTCGAGGCAGGCTCGGAGGTACGGCAGGTTTTTGACATTTTCGTAAGATGCAATGGTCTCATCTGGATCCATGGCTCGGTCAATTTCCTCTCTTAGCTGGGCTAGGACCTTGGGATTTTTGAGAAGGTGGAACATGACGTTTGCGACGGCGATAGCAGTTGTCGTGCTTCCTGCATTCAGCATGATGTTGATTTCTGCGTCGATTTCGCCGAGTTCAAGGTTATTAGGCTGTCCGGATTTGTCTTCCATAAGTGCTTGGAAAAAGTCGTCGTTCTTCTCACCGCGGCGATAGGCTTCGAGACGCTTCAAGGTCAAAGCGAGATGAATACCATCCCAAGCTTTTGCTGCCTTTGTACCACGTCGGTAAATGCCGTATGTGTATGAAGAGAGCTTGTCGAGTGTTTTGAACCAGTCGTATGTATGGACGATGAGTGATGTTTTCTCGTTGACAGTATATAGGGATTCACGAAATGGCGCTGTGAACTTTGTGCCGTCTGGGTTCACGGCCTCGCACATATCATCACCTCGATCAAGAAAGCCGAGTTTCAGAGATAGACCTATATCCGCAATGGCCTCGACAGTGAAGAAGTTAGTCCACATTCTGTAATTAACGTTGACGTCTTCTGGATTAGGTACGATCTGACCCGCGGGAAGTGGAGCGGTACATCTTTTGTCGAATTGTCGGATCAGTCGCTCGACTTTATCAGCCACTTTGTATTCCCACTCCTCGAGGTTTTTAATGGCATAGGCAGATGCCAATATCTTTCGCTTCCGAGCATGGTCTGGCTTGTCGACGACATCAGCCAAGTGATAATGTGTGCCCTTCTGGATCTCGTATCCGGTGTCCTTTGCACACTTTGTGCCGTGACCGTAGATATATTTGATTGCTTGAGGATCCGAGTATGAAAGGTGATTTGGACCTATTCGAAGCACTCCCTGACCTGTTTCCTTATGCCTCTTCAGGACATACTCTGATCTCTGCCCACCATGTGCAACAACAATGAATGGTAGATTTGTTATGCCTGATAGAAACGAGATGTTTGTGAATCGTCTTAAGCCCTTCGGGTCTTTGAGGTAACTGAATAGCCGCCACGATATAGAAGAGATAATTGTGACGGCAGCAAGCACACTCCAAAGCAACCATATAGACGGCATGCTGATACTGTGTTCTTAGTCTGCTGGTCGTGTCAAAGGTCGAAGAGAGTGGTAATACTGCAATCTCAAGAATGGTATCGAAATCGGCAGCTGTACTGCTTGAAGTTGTTATACGGGTTCAAACTTTACGAGCAGTTCTTCCACTTCATGCTCAGCTTTTAGCACCGCGCCTCACCTTGTAACCTCTCACCCCACCACGACCAGCTTCTGTTGCTTCTGTGCCTTCTCGAAGCCGATCCGAAAGCCAGAACCCAGAGTCTGAATTTGGTGTCATTTCGAATACCTGACCGGCGATTCCTAGCATGGGCGAAAAGGGTATGAATGAAGCGAAGGATCGTCTGAACATCCTGGTACGAAGTGGATTGCCGAAAGCTTACCTTCTCGAATGGTGATCAAGGTGGGGACAGGCTTAAATACCCAGCTTTTGAATGCAGTACTCTTTCCCCGAGTCGGCTATTCTGTCGTTGACAAGCATGCCAGATACGAGTAGCCCGATCTTCCCTCATGCACGTCCCGGTCAGCAAAAGTGTCGGGTTTACCACGACGAAACTGCGGGCGTGGCCACGACACTTTTGCTGACCGGGACGTGCAATGGTGAATCCGGAAGCTCTCATAACTATTTGAGCAGTCAAGTTGCGATCTTGGCGAACAGAAACATGCGGTCAAGCCGTCCACGAACAAAGTACGATAACTGGCAATTTGACAGGTTGGGCCGCGCACTCAGGCCGTGTAGATCACGACGTCAAACATATGACAACGTTCGCCACGAGCGCAGCACATGGGTCACCTGAAAACTCTTTGTGCACCATACTGTACCACAATAGTTGCAGTCGGTCAGGAATGAACACCATGGAAAATTGTCAATGCCTGGTTTGCTGATTGTTTGTGGAGCAGAACTAGGAAGCCACGACTCGGCTCATTTGCAGGAACTGACAGCGCTGACCAAGCTAACCAAACGCAGACTGCCTTGGCTTGGAGCACGCCCGACCACCGCCTACTAGGATGTGTTTTAGGCAGGCCTAATACGTCGTCTAATTAGGCGTCTTTGAGTTGTGGTCTTTATTCTCCCCGTGACTAGCTCCGGGGGCATTGTCAGGGCAGACAAACACATTGGAGGCACATAGTATTCGTAGGACCGCGATTGATGGAATACATTCTCTTGTCATCGGACAGAATTACTGTACTGTTGTCTATTCGTCTATGAGTACCAATTCTAATGCAGTGATACTGTTGGAATTAGCCCCAAACATCTTCTTGCCATCTCCTGCTTCTCTTCATGCCGTCCATCCAGGCCTTGCCATCTGCCGCGCTTCCTTTCTGGTACTCCTGTACAGCATCGACTAGTGTTCTGCCAGCTGTTTTAGCCATCGTCGTGCTGCCACAAAAGTACAGACTGGCGTCCTCGTGACAAAGCAGCTTGACAACCTGGTCTTTGAGCTTGGGTTCCGCTAGACGATCCTGAACGTAGACCTTTGGTTGACCAACCACTCTCGAAAATGCGGTCACCACTTCTAATCTACCCTTGAGCGGGCCACTTTGAAGTGCTTCAATCTCCTCTTTGTACAGATAGTCCTCATCGGGCTTCCGACAACCGAACACGAGCAGAATTTGTCCTATTTCCTGGTTTGAGATTTGAGTCATGTGTGCACGCTCTTGTAAGAAGCCTCTGAAAGGCGCAATACCAGTGCCTGCCGCAACAAGGATAATGGGTGTTTTGTGAAGAAATGGTAGCTTAAATGTCGATCGCCGTACGTGACTCCATAGACGTGATCCTGCGTGCTTGTCGAGTGTCGAGAGATAGGATGTGGTAAGTCCAGAAATGGTGACGGCAGGATTTTTGGGAAGTTCCGAGGGAGATACAGCCACGGTGATAGCCATTTGACGTGGAGATGTCATGGACGAGCTCGAGATCGAATAGTAACGTGGTTGCACAGGGCGAAGAGAATCGATGACGAACGCCAACGGCAGGTGAGACCAGCTAGCTGTTGGATCTTGTAGTATAGAATGCTCCAGTAGACGAGCGAATGTGACATGGTTGCGCGCAATGAAAGCTGAGTACGCGGTCTTGTTGCTGAGGCTTTGGAGAAACGACTTTGTTATCTCCGTTGGAGCCAGTCGGCTTAAGGCTATGGCTGTGTCGCGAGATACTGGCGCGCTGATTTCAAGATGATGCTGAAAGAGGGCATATATCGTAGACATTCGTGGAACCTTCACGTCTTCCTGTGAATCGGTGCTTGCAACAACAATGGTTTTATGTTGCTTCTGTTGCAGTCCAAGAACAGCAATAATGCGTTGTACCTCCTCCGCAGCGTTCGTTGGCCATACAGCCAAGTGGTCGCCGGTCTTGTACTTGATCTGAGGATGAGCCCGAATATCGACTTCGAGATGCAGACAGCTTCGCGTGTTAGTATTAGAGCGCGTTACCACCTTGATCTCCTTCAATGGCAGCTGATTAACAGCACTGTAATCGCGCTGGGCTTTCTTTGATAGCTTAAGTGGTCGCGGTTCTCCCAGAAGAGGCAGTGGATCATTCGCATCTTCCCCTTCAGTAACTCGAAGGGTCGGAATGTATTGGGGTGCTTGTTCCTGCAGGCCTAGAACCTTGTGGAACATGGCAAATAAGTCGTCCCTCCATGAAGCGAAGTCTTCCTCGGTGCCACTGCTTGCATCGTCTGCCATGCCCACAGGTAGCAGGGGTTTGGCACCGAGGGTTTCAAGACATCGTACTACGTCGTTGACGACTTTGTTGTAGTAGACGTAATTGCTGTTACCGAGCCCGAATGCTGCATATCTCAGATCTTGAAGAGGGTCTTGCTGGTTCTGTAGCCATGAGAGAAAATCGCAAGTATTGTCGCTAGGATCTCCTTCGCCATAAGTTGACACTATGAATATGGCAAACTTTGTGTTGGGTATCTGAGCAATGGTAGCAGGTTCGTAGTCGGATAGATCGGCAATAAGCACGTTGAGCCCGAAACGAGCAGCACAGTCTCGCCCGAGTCGATGTGCCAGTCCTTCAGATGTACCAGATTGTGAACCCCAGAAGATAACAGCATCTTTGTTTTGCTCAACAAGTTGCCGTGCAATATCCCTGGAACGTCCATCGATTGTGACTGGACCAAATTGCTCTTGTGGTCGTTCGAAGAGCTTGTAGAGGTAGGGGTCAGGTTTTGCCCATAACTTTCCGTATGACAGATATGTGGCAGCCGCGACCAGCAGCAGTATCGATGCGATGTAATCGTGAACACTCAGGTGCACAAGGAGGGAGCGCAGTTGTGGAAGAGAATCGATATCGATTTGCTTGAGTTGAATGAGCTCGTCCATTGTACTTCAGTCACGATGGTTGCCTCTTGTATGCTGAGAGCCCGAGAATCGAAGATATTCTGCTTCATACTTATTCAGGACGAGTAGGACATATTGAGGCCAATGTTTATCGATTTGAGTAGTCGCAACGAAAAGCCCTAGCCCACATGGTAGAGAGTTTCACATCCATGTGTGGTTCTTGCAGTAACACTTCACGTTCAACATCCAGGATCGGCAGGGTACAGGAAGGAGAAGGAGCGAGAGACGTGACTGAATCGAGTAATTCCGGGCCGACGAGCGAGCACACGCAGTTAATACGAACTCAAACATTACCATTCTTGGACGTTTCACTGCCCGGAGCGGAGAAGCTCCGTGTAAGCTTTCGTAGATACAGAAATCCGCCCTGGAGAAGAGTAAGGCACTACGGGCGGATTTACATAGTAGCAGAAGAGTCGGTGTTTCTACTCGTACGTCTCTTTAGTTACTGCAGTCGCCCCGATGAAGTTCAATATGCTCCTGTGATTTTCCTATACAATTTACGTGACGGCGGTTAATTCCTTTGGGACGGATAGTGGTGATCGTAGTAGTCATGGTTGGGTAGGGCTGGTGCTCTTGTGTAGCAGTCGCGAACGCCCCACGCGACGAGAAGGAGTGGTGTGAGGAGCACACCCACTGCCTATAACGTGCCTTGTGTTTCCGGCGAGGAACTGGAGGCTTCCTCATATCTCAATCGATCCTTACGATGACTTCGTGGACCAATCTGATTGCATACTTGCTCCAAAACTATTCTCTCGATACCAGTATCATCTTCCTGCTAAGCCTGGTGAGCATCGTCGTCTAGGCCTTGAATGCTGTGATTGGTCTGTAAGTACTTTCGGTTGCCACTCGCTTTGTGCTCAAGCAGAAGTCAACTTTATGGAGATACCATTAGACTGACGCTCTGCATGCAGAATCCTGTGGAGTTTCTGGCTTGATGAAAATATGCGTCAATGGCGAGGGTTAACACTTCGAGGAGGGCACCGTTGTGATTTCGAAAGAAACTGGCCATGTGAATGTGAATTGTTCCGAGGTCGAGAGTGGGAGAGGCTCATCTGACGCTGGTCACGATCGTGGAGCTGGTGGAAGTCGGTTTTGGTGAGAGTAGAAGAGGGACTCAGGATGCGAAAACAGGGCGAAGGAGAAAGAAACCGACGAACGAGGTAACCTAAGAAGTCTGAAAAGTCGTGACCGTTAAGACCTGTGGTGCAGATAGAGTCAAAAAGGGAGTCTCTTCTGGTTGTGGCTGAATAGCGAAAGATGCTAGGTCGTAATCTCCTGGAGCTGTGGTTCAGACAGAATCAGAATTGGTAACACTTTGGTTGTGGCCGGGAGATGAAAGATGAAAGACGTCAGGTCGTGATCTCCGAGGGCTGTAATACTAGCAGAGTCGGCCTGGAAAGAACTCTTCTGGTGATCCTCAGGAGCTGTGGTGCAGGCAGAGCCATGGTGTGATCAGAGTCAAGCTGGAGTAGACTCTTCGAATGGTGACCGGAGGGCGAAGGACGTCGGCTTTATAACCTTTGGTGTTTGTACGGACAACACTGGATAGACCTTGGCGGCGACTCAACCAGGATTGACCGTATGATGAGTCGACTTCGCTGCAACTGTTGTGCGCTTCTGTGCTGATTATTCTCTAAGAAAGTTACTGCTGCTGCTGCACTAAGCCATGTTGCATAAAACAACAGATGAACTCTCTCAGCCGCCAGCCAGCGAAAGCAATTATCGGGTGCATGTCGAGCCCATCAGCGTGCTTGATGACTTTCGAGCACAACTTCCGACTAGCCACGCATCATTTGAGCAAAGAGTCCTTTGCCAGGTGAACCAATCCCAACATCATTAGAAGACGGCGGTGGTCAGCAAAAGTGACTGCTCACTTTGGTGTGATTTACGTATATCCAAGGGGGACACCTTTTGTGACCACTAGGTGCCTGGCTGATAAAGTACATTTTAGGTCCATCTGAGATGCCGTATTACCAATGCTGGCTTGGTGGAAGTGAGCGAGTTGTAGTTTGATCCAGCTATGTATTGCTATGCCTGCCGAGCGCCTGGTCACTAAATCTCGTGACCAACGAACAAACATCCCAGCTCGACGCTTCTGTTAAGTAGAGTTACTTCACGAGGGTAGTGTTTGTGTTGGTGCTAGATGCAACAAATTGACGCGTACCTATGAACGAGCAAGTTGGAAGGCAGACTACAACAAGAGGGACGAAACAAATCTTTCGGACAGCAAGCAAAAGCTATTTGAACATGTCGACGACCTGATGGCACCGCAGCATGTCTGAGGCCAATGACGATCAAAAGGTTCCTGTCGAGCCAACGTCGAAAGAACACCAGAAGGAACGCAGAATACGCAAGCAAGGTGACCTGAAACCTTGTGAGAGATGTAGATCTCAGCATCTCAAATGTGTGTACAATGCACACGACCCACGATGTCAACGATGCGAGCGCTCAGGCAACGACTGTATCAGAAGTACAAAGAAAATCAGATTTCGTGATGTTCCAGCGTCGAGGTTTCACACTGATCGGAGGAGCAGAAAAGTTTCCACGATCAAAGCAACAGGATCTAAGTTAGCCGTGAGCAAGAATGCAGCGTCTATCAACCAGAGTGTGGCAGACCTCAATCATTCCGAGTCAATGGATGCTGTGCCCTCAGAAAGTCTGCAGGATGACTCTGACGAGCAAGAAGATGCTGAGGTGGACGCATTTGCTGTCACTTCTGCACCTGTCCATTTTGTCGACCCAATAGTGGGCGTTTCCACGGTACAGTCTGCGAAACAGATGAGCACCTATGTGCAACAGCCGACGAGAAGTGATTCTAACAAGCAAGATACTGACACCGACATGATGTTTGCTGCAGCTCTACTGCCACCTACGCCGTCGGACGACCGCTTGTCGCTCAGCGAATACTACGACAACGCATCGTTGACACGAGTGTTCAGCTCGGACATGAACTCCATCATGAGTGGTTCGCCACAAACCAGAGGCCGCAGAGCCTCATCATCCCGCTATCTTGATCAGCTGGTCAGATCTCAGGCAAGAGATGTGCCACAGAACTCACACGATTACCTCGAAAACGTGCTGCTGAGATATTTTCACGAAGAGTTGGCGCCTTGGTTCGATCTGTGTGATCCAGACCGGCATTTCGCAACCGTGATACCACAGAGAGCTCGTGCTCCGGGTCCCCTGCGCAGCGCTATCCTCACCATATCAGCAAGGAACATGTCACGCAACAGAAGGTTTCGCAACAGCGCGGGGGTGGTGGAGTGGAAAGGTCGACCTTTGCCTGATTTGAAAGAGGAGTTCGCTGTACCTTACCACAATGAGTGCATCCGCGATCTGCTACAGTTGAGCATGAATCCGAGGAAGCTGCAAGATGAGAATCTCCTTGCCGCTGTGCTAGCTCTGCGCACTGATGAGGAGATGGGACTTGATACAGGTGATAGCAACGATGATCAACAGCTTTTCCTACGAATCGCAAGTGTCTTCATCGATGCTCAATTACCCCCAGCTTTAGCTTTACCACACAGCTCGCCTACAGTGTTCCCGTCCACGATAGCCGAGGAGTACACCCAGTCCGAAATGGTGTCGCCATCTGTACACACCGACGATCTAGGTGCAAGCGGACTTCGTCAGGCCTGTTTCTGGACTGCATTTCGTCAAGATCTACATGCTTCGTTCTTGAAACAGCAGCCCGTGAGGTTTCCATTATCTCGTTGTGAGGTCTTCCGACAGCTATCCCCTGCGACCGATGCTGTCTGGGCCAACCGCATGGTCACTTTTTGTGCTGATGTCCTGGAATTTAGCTATGGCAGTGATTCTAGTGACGGCAAAGTAATGCCTTCATACACTAACCAAGATCGCTGGAGAGAGCTTCGAGACCGCGAAAAACTTATTTGCGGTCTACTGCCTGCAACTTTCGAGCCCACTTTCTGCAGCGAGCCAGAGTTGCTGCATGGCATCTTTCCTGAGATATGGTACCTCGACCCTTGTCATGTGAGTGGAACAACGTACATTGAGTTGGCACGTATGTTACTACAAGTCTTCGATCCGACACGACCGAAGCTAGGACACGGCTTTTTAGCAGCTACTAACGCTTTCATCAACTCTTCGAAGAAGGTATTATTTCGACTATGTGGAATTGCTTTGAGTAATCATCATTGTCCTCCGAGTCTAATCAATGCCTGTCTGGGGATTGCTATGTTCGGCGAGTACTTTGACGATTTGAGAGAACAGACTGCTCTCCTAGGCGTTCTTGAGCTTATGCACAACCGATATGCCTATCCAACATCTCAGATAGCACAGTCGCTAAAACGCGCTTGGCACAACGAAGACCTCGAGGGAACGAGTTCAATAGTTTCCTACAACCCCACAGGCATGGATTAGGCTGGCTACGAACTTAGTGACTGAGGTAGTACATGTGGTATCTGGGGTAATTCTGGGGTTTCCAACCGGCGGCGATCGCGTCCGAAACACGAACATCGGTTCTAGACGCTACGTATCCGTGCGATAAGAAATGCCTGTGTGATCTTTCGTCGCCGAAACTCTTCCCCATTCCGCATTTCTTTGGCGATCGTCGGAACTTTGCTTGCGACTCAAAGTTTGTTGCCACTATCATTCACAACTTGCCAGGTGTCGGCGAAAGTGTACGGATTTCTCGGCAATTTTTTCAAACGAACCTGTTCTTCCTGGAAGTCTGGGGTAAACTTTTTCTCCACCTACTCCAGGTCTGAGCATTATGGAAATTTGTATATATCTACCATGCATCTCACTCAACCTGGGGTACATTTTCCATCGACTTCTACAGTTCACAAGAAGATTAGATCAGACCACACTCGAGCACAACACGCCGATACACAACCAGAACGACCACCTCCAAGATGGGTGGTGAATTCGTCGACGAGAAGGCTGGCGCAGTCCACTATGAGGAGTCAGCACGCAAGCACAGCGTTAGCAGTCAAGGTCGGCGACGCAGCAGTTTTGATCAAGCCAATCTGGCTATGGTACTGCCAGACAAGACTCACCTTGCCGAATCCGCCTACAATGATAGCATCGAGGATCTCCCGACCAGCTGGTTCGTTTGGATAGTCGCCTTTACCGCATCTGTCGCTGGCGCTCTTTTTGGTTATGATACTGGTATCATTTCTGCAGTCCTGGTCTATCTCGGTAACGACCTCGGCGGACGCCCGACAAGTGCAAGCGAAAAGGAAGCTATTACGGCTCTATGCTCGGCTGGCGCTTTCATTGGTGCCATCATTGCTGGACTCACGGCTGATCAGTACGGTCGCAAAGTCGCAATCTATGTCGGGTGCTTCCTCTTCACAGTTGGTGCGATCATCCAAGGCGCATCCTTTTCGGTCGGCCAGATGGTTGCAGGCCGTCTGATTGTTGGCTTTGGTGTTGGATCAGCTGCTATGGTCGTGCCACTCTACATCGCAGAAATCGCTCCAACGAAGGTTCGAGGTCGGCTCATCGGTCTAAACAATATGTCCATCACTGGTGGTCAGGTCATCTCCTATGGTATCGGAGCAGCCTTTGCACATGTTCCGCATGGCTGGCGATACATGGTCGGTCTTGGTGGTGTTCCTTCTATAATCTTAGCATGTCTGCTACCACTCTGCCCAGAGTCACCACGTCAACTCGTCTGGCACAACAGAATGGAAGAGGCTGAGCGAGTTATCCGAAAGATCTACAAGGGAGCATCCGATGAGCAAGTCCGAAACAAACTGGCTCTCATCCACCACGCGTGCGAGGAAGCCAAGGAACTCAACTACTCTCAGACTCGGTGGTCTAAGATCAAGCAACTCCACACTGTACCGGCCAACCTCCGAGCTCTCATCTGTGCATGCGGGTTGATGGTCATCAGTCAGATGTCTGGCTTTAATGGTAAGTTTTCCCTGTCGTTCCATGGCCCCTCTAAAGGACGCTCCGTTGTCACGTTTCACAGAAATTTCAGCTAACATCTCGACAGTATTGATGTACTACTCTGCTACCCTCTTCGATATTGTCGGCTTCTCGAACCCAGTCGCTGTTGGTCTCGTTGTTGCAGGAACAAACTTTATCATGACCTGGATCAACATGATGTGCGTCGACCCAATTGGCCGAAGACGAATCCTGCTCTGTACTGTCTGGGGTATGGCCGCAGGTCTTATGGCTGTGGCAGTAGCATTCAGCTTCATCCCCATCAACCGAGAAACTCTAGAGGTAACCAGTGACAACATCCGAACTCCAGCTATCGTTGTCCTCGTGTTCATTATCTGGTTCGTCGCATTCTACGGTGTCTCAGTTGGCAACACAGCATGGATGTCGACTGATTTCTTTGATATGCCTGTGCGAGCCATGGGAACCATGTGGCTTACTTGCTCATGCTGGGGCAGCAACATCATCGTCTCATCTACTTTCTTGAGTATGATGAAGGGTATTACTCCAGTCGGTGCCTTTGGCTTTTATGCGGCCATTTGCGGTATCGGTTGGGTCTTAATCTACTTCTTCTACCCAGAAGTCTCCGGCTTGACTCTTGAAGAGATCAAGGAGGTCTTCCAGCACGGATTTGGTGTTCGCTATGCGCGAAACTTGCGCAAGGAGCGAGCGGCGGAGATTAAGGAGAGAATGAAGAACAGCGAACGACCATTGGCCGTTGGCCATTGATTGAGGATTACAGAACGACGAAGAGATAACGATGATATGATTAGCGAGTCTTGGAGTTGACGTCAGGGATTGGGACTACTGCGAGACTGTGAATAGTCGAATTGCTATTGTATATAGCAGTACCTATCTTATGACTTCAACAACATAGTGCTTCCTAATTGTTTGCTTGCTTTCGACATCACTGTACTCTCTTTTCATCTTGACCAGAGCTAGTCAGTCGAGTGCGACTGCACTTCCTAGCCAGAACAAACGACCGTTCCGTGGAATGCCCGTACACCAATACATCCTCTCTAGTCTTAGGAAGACTTCTACAGCAAAATTTAGCTCTTCCTGCTGAACACACCGTCCCACGCAGTGAAGATACAGCTCAAGCTACTGTAAATCAGGCCATAGGACTTGACAGGTGTCAATAGGTACTCCTGAACTTTGTGAGTTTGCTATTTTGCTGGAGATGCGGGTGAGATAAGTGGACGGCAATGGTCACGAAGGAGGATGGGTAAAATGACTTGCATACGAGTGCGTTGGGAGACACTTGGGGTATTGGACAGTGCGTATCGGCGCTTGATATCTGGCTAGCAACGCGATGTATTCGGAGGAGTGTTTGGAGTTCATGTACTGTTGCTGAGAGGTATCTGAGTTCAAAGCAGAAGTTCTCTGTGGCTCGCACAATCGTAAAGCGACTCATGAGGCTGCACAGAGAAGCACAGCAGCTGTATCGTCGTGTGATCAAGTTTTTGTGTGCCGATGCTGTGAAATACGAGCGTGAAGATGTTTTCGTTCAGCAAACGATAGCCATTGTCTTCTATGCTTGAGAGATCCCAGTCCTGCCACGAGGACTCCCGCATTGCCCAAACAACAAGTACGAGTCGAAGCTTGCAACCATCGTGCTGATAAAGATAGGTAAAATACTTAAATATCGACCCTGTCGGGCACGTGCGAAGTGGCTCATGTATGCTGTTCTCGATAATATGTACATTTCTCAACCACTCTTTCTCTTGAGTATCGCCATAGTCTTCAGCATTTTCGACGTCAGTGTAGCTATCCACGACAATAGTGTCGTTAGCTACGGCATAGTACGTGCCACCCGATGTTCTTCTTGCGTCCTTCCATCCAGGATAGGTAGGCGTAAGAGAAACTGAGGCATGCGCTACGCCTCCGTGGCTTTCACCAGGACTTTCCGTTTTGCAACAGGGATCACCACAAGACCTGCCAGCGGTATATTTAGCAGCGGTCTCGGTAAAAGGATAGTGCCAGGCAGCGCCGTCCACGTACCACGACCAGCTATGACGAAGCGACAAGTCGAACGTCTTCAGACCTTCGAAGTTACTGACACCTATAGCAAACGAAGGATCGAGACACACGCACTGAATACGGAATTAGTATAGCCGTGCCATAAGCTAGAGAATCTCAGTACATACCAAGCTTTCTGGGGGATCATCTACCGTATCCCAAGTCAAATCGCAATGGGTGCTTCCTGAAGACAGGGATGCTGAGTGTTTCAGATTGAGTGAGACATGGTATTGGCCTCCAGTCCGAGATGGGTTCAAGGATGAACTGACGAAGAGTGCCTTGATTTCAAAGGCGGAGATGGGTGATTCGAGGGCGTTTTGGAACGAACTGTGTTTCGAGACATAGAGTTCAGGAAGAAATGGTTCGGACAAGAAACCAGTAGGATAATCATAGAGGTACAGGAAGAAGAGGGCGTAGCCAATCCAAGTCGCTGTCATGAGTGAGACTATTGATGCAATACCAATGGAAGACCTCATTTTGATGGGTTCGACGGGCGTGGAACAACGTAGAGGAGTTTTTCGATGCGTTGCTGGACCGCAAACCTGACCGCAAATTATATTGTACTGATGAAAAACATACGAATGACACTGTATGACAGAGGAAAAGCAATTCTCTGCTCACTGTCAGTTTGCTGTCTTAGCCAGTAAGTCTTAGCTGGCAGGTGCATCGTAGAATCGTGGTTGTCGCATTATAGAAACAAGGTCCGGCAGGAGTGACTTCCTAGAAGACGCGAAACTCGATTTCAGACAGCACTTCTCGTGCAGCAGCAATATGCCACTGAACATGGCTCTTCGTCATATCGACTTTGTAAAGGGCTTCGAAGCAGCTGACTCCGACGGTCTCTGCGCTCGGTAGTGGTCGACACATGGTCGTCGTTGTAGTATGGATGACTCATTCTCTTGTGCTCAGTAGTTAACCAAGTCTAGCTATTAATTGTTTCAGACCAAGTTTCTCTTTTTCTCTTCTCTGTGCGACCTTGTCTGCAACGTCCAAATTGTCCAGCTCGTCAACGTTTTCAATCCTTGAGTTTCGTCGCATGCCAGGATTCGTGTTGGTGATAATCGCCGGAATGGTGCTTCGTTTGATCAATTCTTGGTTGTAAACAATGTGCTGGATTGTTTCTCGAAACATGGCGAGATTGGAAACATTCCGAGTCGCAACGATATGCACTACAATTCTCTCGCTGCTATGGCCGGCTTCCCAGAGATCCACGGCTTGCCAGTACAAGGACAGAGGCACTTCAGCGTCGCCAACTAGGATCGTCGCGATCTGAATGGTCGGATGAGGTAAAGTATGCATGTTCTGGTGTCAGATGTGAGCAAGAAAAACAAAACAATACCCAGGATGAAATTATATGCATTATACGGCTCGATTATGTCTGAATATACATTTGGATGATCAGGTGCTAGGGCCTAGATCAAGCAGAATCAGTGTCCTTGTACTCCCCACGACTTGACAAAGCGATCAAGGAATAGTCTGTGCGCAACCAAATCCCATATGCATGCTCGAGCTTCGACCAACTTTTGACAAGACACCAGCTAATATACACTGAATATACAAAGAACACCGACCAGAATGGAAAGCTTATCTTGCACCTCGAACGGCCCCATCTCGCAGGTTGTCGTAACCAAGCTCGTGTTTCAGAGGAGGTGCCTCCAACGCGCCTGTCGGGTTTTGCTCATCGACCACGTAGTGTCGTTCATACGCCGTAAGAACACTGGCATCAGGGGAACGAGGAGTCAGGTTGGCAGGCATCTGCCATCCGACTGGTGCTTCGATCTCGGTCTTAATGCCTGTCTTTACATCTAGGTGGAAGTGGCGAGCAGGTAGAACCTCGACAACCTTGATGGGTTGTTCGTATGTAAAGTAGTGATGAATATGAATGTCGCGTGAGATGGCCTGTTGTATTATCTCGTGTCGCTGATTGACAACAGTCTCATACACCACTGCTGGTCTTTGTTCCTCAGTCACGGTTGTGCGTACCGAATCTCTCAGATCAAAACCCGCGGGCAGTCTAAGATCTCCAGACTTAAGTATTCTCTCCTTGGCAGCATGTTCAACGACATCACGCTGCTTCGGCTGTTGCAAGTACATGTTGGCTAGTCCGGCAGACTGGACCAGATCACCCGTGGTTGTTGGGTCTACATTCTCCTTGCCTCTTGTCTCGGCTGGAGCCGCAACTTTCCTCCCAGGTGTGCTGGGCAATGGCTTTCGGGGTAGAGAATCTCGTCGAGGAGGGTATTCGGACGAAGCTCGAGGAGTGGTCGATCCTACCTGCGACGGTAAGCCGTTCATGTCTCGCTGGGTCGAAGAGCTGCTATTCGGCAATGGTGGCAGGGGTTGATTGTTCGTATCGAGCGACTTGGAGGCATGATGACCAAACAGTGATCTTCGATGGGGTGAATGCATATCTAGATCCAACGATGCCACGTGTTGAGAAGAAACGCGTTCGGGAATGAGTTGAGTGGGTACTTTGCGTGGTGTTGACTTTTTAGCAGTGGTAGTGCCTTGAGAACGAGGCCGCAAGGCTTGGCTGCTGGCACTTTGCTCGACGGTTGGTGACAGCTCCTCTAGAGTCTTGCTCCTCGTGTGATGTGCGCCGTTTGAGATAGAAGTGCCATGTTTAGAAGAGGCTCGCTCCGGGATTATGTCTCCTACTCTGGCCTCTCCATCTTCTAGACTCAACCCCCTTCTATGGTGTTCTGTGGCGTCAGCTTGGGACGGCCCAGGTGCCAGTGCTCCAGAGTTAACATCTAGAGAGTTCCCGCTTGCATGCCCTCGATGAACGTGGAAAGCCGAGTTGCCAACGGATACGTAGGTGCGTCCTGCAGGAGGTGCAACATGTTCTGACGACACCCCTGCAGCCTCTTCGCTAATACCCGTGCTCGTGTCTGTCGAGAGCTTTGTCGCCCCCTCAAACGTGTTACTGCCGGAGCGGCGATGAACCTTGTCCTTAATCTTGCTTACGAATCCCGCCATTACTTGCACAAAGTACCTCTAATCTCAGTAGTTCAACTTCTTGGCCATAATTCTGCTATCAGGCGAACCCAAAGGATGCTGTAGAATTTTCTTCAACACTGTCTATCTGAGCAAAAGTACAAGCTTTCGCAGCGTCATACATCTGGAGCTCGCCAAAGCACAAGAGCTACGTAATCTCGAGAGTCTAGAACTTCTACGATGCTGATTTTTGTAGTCGGGTGGGTCATTTCATTGGGTGGGATGTCCTTGCCGGCTTAATCCGCTGCAAATGGTGGAAATATGCACTAATTTCAGTCTGACAGTGGTTCCTTTCTTCACCTTCCGGCTCCTCCAACGCTTGCCTTTCTGAAAACAGGATTTTGGTTGTCCTATGCAAATCATTGGAAGGCACAATCATGCTATGATGCTGTATTTCTCCGACCCTGTGGCGCAGAGTGACTGCCTGCAGTTTGTTTACAGTTGAGATGAGGTCCGCTCCCTATTAAGCCTCTCACTAGTCCGGAAAGAGCACTGTTTCGCCCAAACCGAAAGCTCTACGTCAAGGACTGCCACGAGGGTTTTGACAAACACTGTGTGATGTTCAACTTCCTGCATTTCACCATACATGTGGTTGGATACCAGGAATCCCGATGTGTGCACAATTTCTCCTTGCAACTTCGTCATGACATAACATCCAATCTTGGCTTTCGTGCAGCTGGGGTAAGCAAACACGCTCCTGTGCATCATACCTCCGATTCGCTGATTGAGAAGTCGGAAGATCGCGCAGACATTTTCGACATTATGACGAATGTAGGGTGACAAGCACATGTTGATGTCTTTGACCCGAAAGTCAACTTGGGAATATCGACGCGAGACCAGAGTACGACCACGAGGGTCAAACGAGTATACTTTCCCTTCTCGATACACAATGTAGCCAGATCAGTCGTTCGGTACCCACGTCTGAATCCTACAGATCGATCTCGAAGATTTACCATGACAATTCCCTGTTTGAGGTTTGCAGAGGGACAACTATCTTGCGATATGTGTTGGTTTCCGTCACTCGGGTAATGTCATGGGGGCAAGCTATGTGTCCAATGCGGAACAGCGGCTGAGACGTGCCACAATTGATGGAGCACGGCCACAGATTTTGTTTATGGTTCGTTCCTTGGAACCTTGCAAACTGTGCAGGTTGGGCGTTGGGCTATGATATCACACCTATGATGATGTTTGAGGAGGTTACGATGTGTACAAAATGACAGCTCGGTCTCAAACAATACTGCTTCTTCTCATTATCACCACTTTCAATAGTACCTAAATAGAATATCTACATCCACCAGACCTTTCCCGATCTATTCCCAAACTTCAAAATGGAGGCAGCACGAGCAGCAGTCAGCAAGATCACCAGTCGAACTGGTCACCGAACCGATGTCGACGAGGTTGTGAACCCCGCCGTTGTTCAGGAAGTTGTCAAGCCACATAGACACGAGGAGACTCAGGAGGCTATTGACCGAGAAGTTCACCAGCACCATTACCACACCACTGTCCAGCCTATCGCACATCGAGAGGTTGCACCTGAGAAGCACGTTCACAACGTCGTTCCTCAGATTGAGCGAGAGTTCAGACACGATAACGAGGCTGAGACCGCTCGACGAGTTTCCGCTGAGCTCAGCCAGTTCAAGAATACACAAACCGTCACAAACACAACCACTTCAACTCAAGCCGCCGCTGCTGTTGTCGGTGAGCACGTCCACCACCACGTCCACGAGACTGTCCAGCCAGTCATCCACAAGGAGACTATCCGAGTAAGTGTTCAATGCTATACCTACGATATCATTCATGCTAACTCATTGGTAGCCCGAGGTCGTCCACACCACCGTTCCTATTCACGAGGTTCATGTCGAGTCAGCTCAACACCATGGCCTATCTGCTCTGCCCATGAAGACTCTTGACGAGTTCCGAGCTGCAGGCGGTGTCCTTCAGGGAAGCAAGAGTCACACTCACGAAGAGTACGATGGTGCCCCACGACCATACAACGAGAAGTTGAAGACTACCATTGATAAGGTTCTTCCAGGTCACCACACCACTGGTACAACTGGCACAACAGGTGCTGGCCTGACCGGTGCAGGTCTGACTGGTACTCACTCAGGTACATCAGGCACTAGCTTGACCGGTACTCACTCAAGTGGACACCACACTGGTGCCCTTGGTGCAGGTGCTGCTGGTGCAGGTACTGCAGGTGCTCTTGGTACCACCGGTCGACACCGACGAGGCTCCAACAGCTCCAGTTCATCTGATGAAAGCCGTCGACGACCAGACTCCGGCTATTCAGGTGACCGTAGCACTCGATCAGGCAACAAGCCATCTTTGATGGATAAGTTGAACCCACGTGTTGACGCTAATGGTGACGGTCAGCCAGGCTTCATGAAATGAGCAATTCAGCCAAGTCGATGATTGTTAATTGTGTTTTTATACCCATTTACGAGTGACGTCTAAGACAAGCACGAAGGTGTTGTCGGTGTTCATAGCTTATAGTCATGCAAAATACCAATAAAAAAGTATTATATCAAAATTTATCGCTCAAATTTCCCTTTAGTACATGATTCTACAACTTAGCGGTTATTTCGACTTGTTATGCACGAGATATTTGAATCTGTTTTCCTCTCATACATTATCCTCACCGACCGAAACCAGCGAGTACTACTCCGGAGTACTACTTGTTGGTCTCGAAGATGGCGGGGCACGAAACGTTTCACCAGGATATGACGTATTCAACGCCCTTTCCCATCTTTTGTTGTACAGTACATAGAATTGGCCCCACATTGGTGTGACCTCATTTGCTCGGTGCTTGCAGTATGTAAAATACAGTACCACTATACCTTACCGATATCGTCAAATCGAGTTGAGCGCATTCATTGATGCAACGAATTGACTTGTTTTGTTTCTGGAGGACGCCAGAACAATGGTCGTGGGTGCCGGCCTCCTGCTCACCATATAGACGGTTCACTTTGTGACCTGTCAGAAAACTGTTAAGCCAACCTTGCTCGCATTGTCCATGGGATTAAACACGTGTAAGCAGCAAGAGTATACAGCAGGAGTGCTCTATCCGGAAACGTGGACATATCACACTGTAGCACGGTATTGTCGATAGACGAAGCGGACGTCCTACTACTGACTAACGCTAAGACCAGAGAATTTTATCGTGACGGCAACGACTTCAATCGACTGATCGTGCACGTCGCAACCGAATTCAAGAAAGGGTGGAAGAGAGTACTGTACGAGATCTATACACGAAGGCGGGACTATTCACCCTGTAAGTGCGAGATCTATAAAAGCACAATCATCAGAATATATCTGTCAACCAGTTCTGGTCAAAGTGATGTTGTCAGACAGATTGTCTGACCGAAGCGGTTGGCAACGTATCAGCGGCAGATATATTCGCCGAGACAATGCTCTCGAGGGAGGAAATAAAGACCCTGCCGCGAGGCATATAAATCTCGAGATACAGAGAGGCTCTATCGAATCTAGGATACGATATCACACCTGCTCGTGCCAGGCTTGATATAGAAGAGTTGTTTCCTCGTGGGAAGAGTATAAAGGTACGGGAGCGTTAGCTTATAAGTGCAGAGAAGCAACATGGAAGAGTAATTGCCGAACAATATGTAGGTAGTAAAACAACTCTGAATACTATGGGTGAGCGGTTAGCAGCATAGGTTCGTAATTAAGGAAGCGAGCCTATCTCATCGAAGCGTTGTGCGACATATTTCCAGCAAGAAGTTAAGACTAATAAGGTCGTGAAGAGGCCATGGGCAGTAGAAGAAGATAGTGCTTTGAAAGAGCTTATCAACCAAAGTGAAGGCAAGAAGTTGGCACAGCCGTATACACAAGTAGAGGCCGAGCTCGCCAGTCTGCGTGATGATTTAAGTGGTTTCGTGCCGTTCTCGACGCCGTCGTTAATGCTGCTTATGATGAGGTGATAGAAATGACTTTACGATAAGGTTAGAACGAGGTTGGAACGAGGTTGGAACGAGGTTGGAACGAGGTTGGAACGAGGTTAGAATAAGTTTAGAACGAGATTGGAACGAGGTTAGAACAAGTTTGGAACGAGATTAGAACGAGGTTGGAACAAGTTTGGAACGAGGTTGGAACAAGTTTAGAACGAGGTTAGAACAAGTTTGGAACGAGGTTAGAACGAATCTCGAAGCAGACGTCGATCTTCTCTTGATGGTTCATCTCAGCGTCGGCTACGTTTTTGTTGACATCGAACAGAATTTAATCTTCCTTTTTGTCCAGATGGGAACACCGACGCCTCGACGCGTAGGACATGCCCGATCGCAGCCCTTCTAAGGCGCTGCCGGCATATCCTTTGGTCGCACTCGTCGAACCCAGGATACCACATCACTGCCGTCGTAGACATCCACCTCCATTGAGTCGAAGTAAACAATCTATACTGCTTCCAAGATTGCCATCATGACAGCACGAAGGAAGAAGTCGTTGCGGTATTTCGTGGGGACGGACGTAACGAACGCGGTGATAAGGTCTTGGTCGAGCCTGTGCCCATGTTGGTATAGATACGGCACACTGGTGTAGCGACTTGCCAAATATGCCCACGTGTTCTGAAAGTTCTTTATATGATCTCCTACGCGGTTCGAAAGCGTCCTTATCGTCGGGGCCACTGTAACAATCATCCTCGAGGAAGACACTACATGTTTCGATGTCTCCCGTAAGGTCTTCCACAGGTGTTGCTGCCACCCGCTGTAGCTAGAGGCTCGCTTCCTGGGGATAGGGACAGCATCAATGAGTGTGTTAAGTTGAAATACTCGTTCGACTGGCACGGTATCTGGCCCTTCTCCAACTGCTTGTGAGAATTCGATACCAGACTCACTGATACCATCGAATCGACTTTCTCAGATGCACATAACTAGCGGCCTCGGGAGGACACCACAACGACGCTCATGAGGAACTGGTCGTTGTCCATGAGTTCATCGTTTTAGACATGTAATTGGTATGATGGTATTTGTCTATTGGTACAGAGAACAGCACTTTGGACCCCCTGAACCTCAGCACCGGCAAAGCACGTTGTCCTCAACATGAAGCATTATCACCTGCTAACGAAGCTTAGTAAAAGAGCGTCTCGGAGCTCCGGACTTCTTGTCGGGAAGGATTCCTGCCATTCGCTCAATTCTGAACAAAAAAATCATCAACCAGCCGGACAAAAAAGACTCGAATGGCACTCCGCCTGGGACTCGAACCCAGAGCCTCTAGATGGACTTCGTTTAGAAGTCTAGCGCGCTACCATTGCGCCAGCGGAGCTCAGCATGGCTCCCGAATCCATGGATTCATCTGTGTGGCCGTTGAGGAGCCAAAATGAAAATGTATAATATATGATGTCATACCAAGCCTGGCAGAAGCAATCTCCATCCCTGTTGTGCTATCGTTGATGCTGCGCAAGTGTTTGTTCCACCCGCGAACACCATTGAGATCTCTTCAAGACCTTTCAGTCAAACACAAGGCATCTGCGACCTTGGGCAGAACTCGGGCTGGTTGAGTGTCTGTACAGCACCTCATCTTCAAGAGTGAGCGAGAAGAGCCGAGTGAGCAGAGATAGTGGACGAGGTTCATCGAATTGATCAAGTTACTGATCCACGAAACAAGTCTGAAAGCAGTAGCGGCGTGAAGACGCTCCTTTGATCATGCTTGGACCATGAGATCCACAAGCACTTCGGCATTGAAGCCTGTGCAGAACAAGGAGGACGGCACAAGGCTTTGACCATGAGCTTAGTCTGCGGAATCAACAGCTACTATCCGAGGTCCTTGGACAGGCAGGCTGCGAAGCCCTGTTGAGATAGTCCCTTCGTGTTTCGTACAAGCTGTACGCTTGGTTCGGCTGCATCAGCAATGCCTAGGGAGTTTCGAATCGGATGGCATTTGAGCTGAGGACAAGATTGGTGGCACTCATGCTTGAAGCTGGGGTTACTCGCCTGACTGAGCGATAAGGTCTCTTCTCTGATTAGCGGTGAGCTGCTGGCAAGAGATACCTTCCTTGCTTCGAGGAAAAGCAATGCAGTGGTATAGTGAAGACATGGATTCTAGAAGGTATGGCTGGAATGGTATGTAGGCCACGAGTTTACGGGAAGTTAAGCGAGGCCCATCGTATAAGCAATACCTGTATCGTGTCTACGGGCCTGCCCCAAGGACAGCTGCAGTATTCATTCCAGATAAGACACGTCAAGACGGTATAGCACGCTATACTGCAGTAGACTCGAGTTTACTGTCCAGGCGGTTCAGGGGCAACCTGCTTAGCTAACACTACAGGGGTCGTGCCGCTAATTTGGACACTCGCGGCATGCGGAACTAAATTGAGAACCGCGAAATGATAGCGCAGCTCAATAATAACGGATACTCTTTTATTGACCAACTCACATTCACCATTCTCTTCTTGTTCTACTTCTTGTACGTTGTCTGTTTAACAACTAGCGCTCTTCATCATGTCCTGGTTTTCAAGTTTCGTCTCGAATTTCAAATTTCCACCACCAGCCGATTCTCTCAGACCACATCCTACTCAGGCGCAGCCTCATGAAAGACGGCTTCTTGAGGAGCCATCGTCCTTTACAAAGCCCATCGATTCCGAAGCAGCTGCTCCTACGGGCGACAGTTTACCTGCAGACTGTGCCAAGATACAAGAAGAAGGCCGTCGGCGCAACAAACTCATCATTGCAGCTGGTCTAGCTTTCTTTGGTCTCTCAATCATCACGACTCGACGATCTCTTAGCAGGAGGCGCATAGCATCGCAAGCAGCGTTTTTCAAGGACGCCCCTACAAACAATGCGGAGCAAGCGAAGAATGTCAGTGGTGCGCTCGAAGCAGTGGAAGCGCTGAATATAGCGACAATAAATGTGCTGAGTGTGGCTATGTTGGCTACAGGAGGAACATTGTGGTATCTCGATATTAATAGTTTGGCGGATGCAAGGAAGATGATAAGAGGTGGATTGGGCGTTGATGGAAAGGGTATGACTGAAGATGAGGCCAATGAAGAGATTGAAGAAGCTATTGCGAGCATACTTGCGCGAAAGGACTCGAAAGATACTACAAGAAGAACATGAGCTCGACAAGGATTGACCTTCAAATGCGCATCTCACTTGAAAAAGGGATTCGGCTGATACGAGTACCTATTGTGATTAACGGCCGTCCTCCCCGAACTTGTCAAAGGCACTTGATCGGTCTCGATTTGTTCTGGCTCGCAGCTGGGCACCCGTAACTCTCCTCTCGATATCTCCAACGCCGATATGAATGGCAGAACGAGCATCAACATAGCCAATAGTTGCCCGAAAGTCCACGTCTTTTCGTTCTCGTCAGATAGTTGAACGCTGGGTGTGCCAAAGGCTTGAGAGATGACCACTACTCTTGTAGTTGCTGCAATCGCAGTAGCAAAAAGCACAAGCAAGCTCAAAACCTGGACAAATCGACCCCAAACCTGCTTCCTTAGGTGGAGGTACCAAGTACCCAGTATGAATAGGATCGTGCTGGACGCTATTACTGCAATGGTTCCAGCCACTGCAAGTGGGTTATTGCCCTTTTCTTCCGGCTCTTTCGCATAATCTTCCCAAATACAACCGACAGGCAACGTGGAGGGCAAAGACTTCAAGTTGACCTCGAAAATGAAGACACCGAAAATGATAGTCAAGCAAAGACTCACAAACATTGCAGCCTGTCTCAGCCATCTCAACATCCAATCTCTCTTGAAGTCTTGGACGAGCGCCAGAAGTGCAGCAAAATTTGTTGCTGTACTTAGCAGGCTCAGCATCCAGATGATGAAGAAGTGGTATGCGACCAGGTCGTGAATTCTTGCTATACCGAGAGCTTGAATGGCTATGCCTTGCACCGGTTGTTGATCAGACAGGCCAGAGAGGAGTTTGCGAGATATTGTTCGTGGGGAGGACGCCATAAAGGCCTCGGACACAACAATGTAGGAGGAGAGAAGGAGAGCAAGTGTAGCGGTCATGATGAAAGCTAGCAGGATTCCAGTTCCTGCTATGCCTGCGTCTGAGGAAGTTGTTGCAGGTGCGACTGAACAGTCCATTGTATTATTGAAACCAGACATGTTTTCGAGCTGCGAGTGACTCCGTGGATTGCCTTTGCTGTCCTCCTCAGATCGAGACACTAAGGACAGCTTCCTTGAGGCACACAGAATGGTCGTTCGGTCTCTTGCTACGGGTGCGCACCAAATCACGTACAGATTCTAGCAGCGAAGTTAGACACTGGTCTGTGCGGCAGGGGCTGTGCATTGTCCAGGACTGGCCGCCCGTTACAATACTGCATTGCACTTGACAAGAATAGTAAAGAAATTTATTTATTGTCACGACAAGAAGATCGTTCTGCTGGCGACTATCTAGCGGCCAACGAGCTGTCGGAACCTTTGTCGCAACCTTTGATTTGAAACCGTGCTTGGGAAACAGCCCTGATAGTGGATCACGGAGCGTGGCTAGGTAGCTTAAACGTGGCTCGCGATCGACACCAAATTTCTTTATTGCTACTCACCACTACAATTCATCACCACTGCAACGAGCTGATCCGTCAAGGCTGATAAATTCAGTCGCATTCAATGTTCCGAGCTCGAAATACTAGCAATTAAAACCTATACTTCCACTTCCATCACAACGCAGCTCAATCGCCTTGTCAATATCTGGAAACTCAACACCCCTCCAAGCATATTCCTCCTTATTGCCTCTCCGGTCGTGTTCCAAACCATTACCTCTAACACCAATACTGCCGCTCCCACCAACGCTAGCATGAACTAGTCCAATCCACTCTCGAGGATAGTATGCGAACACGGACGATGAGCCTGTACAATGATGCCTTGCCTGACAGGCACTGATGATGGCACCTGACGAGGGGTCAGTATAGCCAGTTGTAATGTGGATGTTCTGCGAGCCACTACTGGATCGTGTCGAGAGGAAACTTCTCAGATCTGTTGCAGCAGATTTGAGCGTCCTTGACCTGCTCTCAGTAGTTGCAAGTCGCAGACCTATGCTCCCGGAGCTTGTGCTTATCCTGGTTTCTGAGCCTGGAGTAAGTACGAGTTGAGCATTGACGCTACCACTCGACGTCTCGATCGTTGTATGAATGACTCGCGCGCCACGTGGGACTTGTTCAACTTCTGGATCTTGCTGCTGTGGTAAGGGGAAGCCATCTTGACCCGCCTGTTTCCTGGGATCATCGCTGCTTGGTATTGGTGGCTGCTCGATGGTCCGGACCTCATCCTGACGTTGTCGTGCCCACCCAAATAGAAAACTCAATGGTCCAGGACCTCTAGGACCACAACTGGAATTTTGCCGAGATCCCCAACGAGATTGTGCAACGTCGTACTGCTTGTCTGTAACGTTGATGCTTCCAGATGTGCTCTTGAGCTTCAATGTAGCTGGATATGGTCCTGGCATCACATCGATACTGATGCCAATGCTTCCACTGGTTGTGCTGAGATCCAGGCTATCGTGTAAGGTGAATGTTCCATGGATGGGTTGACTGGTCTCGTGACGCTCATAATGCTTGCCTGGAGCGAAAGGAGGTCTTATCGGAATTTGGGGTTCGCCTTGGACTCGCACCTCGGAGCTACCAGCAGGCACAAGCTCCTGCCGCCCTGAAAGTGAGACATGCCGGTCATTTCCGAGTGATTGTGATTCTGCACCTAACGGTATCGACGCTCGTGTCGAGTATGAAGCCTCTGAAGCCGGAGGCGTGTATATCGTGTTCCGGTCACTGGTAGCAAGTTCATACGTCGGAGGTGCATCCTCTGGCGTGGCATACGTGCTTGCTGACGGATCACCATTACTGACGACCGAGACAGTATCACGACCCATGCTTGCCTCGTCGGACCTTGAAGGTACGTATCTATCAGCCCAAGACGATTCTGAAGCCAGTTGTTGTGCTAATACTGCAGATTGCTGGGTAGATTTACTGCTTGATGGTACTGATGTGTCTTGGTCGCTGATACCTGTCTGCGCAAGGTAATCTGCAACATCACGATTGCGCTTTTCTATAGTACTTCGGACCATGTTTAGAGTTGTCGCTGGAACTGTGCTGCCTAAAAAGAACAACGTAGTATCCAGAGATGAGCACAGAGGTAGACGATATGTTCAGCTATGGTGTTGCCCTGGAGGTGGGGCATCCTGGATGTGGCTTGGAGAAGGTTTCAGGCACCAGGATTTTGGCACAGCGAAGCTCCGAGCTCCATCACTTGTCAAAACACTTTGCTCCACCTCACTCGAACGATATCTGTTGGAAAGGACGACTTTACTGGCAGGTTACCGAACACGTTGGTGGTGTGACCCTACCCATACTACTGATACGAATGTAGATTCTTGCCGTACTTGGCCTGCTCTGCTCGATGGCTTATCATGAGGCCCCTTACAGATGAGGTAATGAACAATGTCCTTTTCTTTGACACGGTCTGAGGCTATAATATTCTGCGGAACCAGAAGTCTGCAATTGAAGTCTTTGGGCGAAAGAGAAACGGCACTGCATATTTGAGTACAGCAGTACTGTAGCTCATGCAGAAAATGCATTGACTCATTAGCAAGGCATTGACAGTGTCAGTCTTCGGCTTCGAGATAAGAAACCTGCGATATTGTTGCAACCATCCTACCGAGCGTCACACGAGGAGGACCATTAAGTCTTCCCACGACGACTTCATTACAGACTCTGGCAGTTAGACTCGAAACTCGAACCCTCTTCGTGACGTGAAGGCACTTTATGAGCAACCGTATCTTTGGCCGAGCTTCCAGTGGAGACTAAACCGTTTTCGAAAAGAGCCACTTATTCGAGCATTCGATTTCATGATCCTCTTCCTTGTGACTTTGGCATCAGTATAGCTATTTCGCAATTCTTCGGAGGCAACAAAAATGCTCTTGAGGTATAAAACAGTCCTTCTGGACACAATGTCGGTTGACCTGGGTTTCTCTCAATGCTTTTCCACTTGGCTAGCTTATACACTGGAACATGAAAGTTATCATCATCGGCGGTGGCCTCAGCGGCCTTAGCTCAGCCCTCGCTCTACGCAAGTACATCACAAACCATCCTCTTGAGATCAAAGTCTACGACAAGCCCGATCACGCAGAGTCCTCGCAACGTCGTCGGAAGCTAGGAGCTGGGCTGGGACTTCAATCAAATGGCTTGCGTGTCCTCGACGACTTGAACACCGGGCTCAGAGAAAAGGTCTACAATGCTGGCTTCCCTTGCGACCATTTCATATGGAAGACATCGAGCGACTTCGCCCTGGGACGCGAATACGTCGACGTTTTGCCTATTTCACGCCCATTTCTCGTTGATTGTCTCATGCAATGTCTGCCTGAAGACATGATTGTGTACAAGACGATATCAAGGGTCAAAGCACGAGATGGAGCTAGACCAGTCGTTAATTTCGAGGACGGGAGTCCTCCAGAAGTAGCAGATCTCGTCGTCGGCGCTGATGGTGTAGGCAGTATAGTCAGGAAAGAAATGTTCGCCAACGGTGAAGCTTACGATGCCCAGTACTCGTAAGGCCTTCTCCCTTCAAAGTTCCTCTGCTGACTGTCATAGCGGGATGTCGGCTGTTGGAGGAGTACTCGATCTGGCCATACCCCAGCATCTAATTGACGATCCAAGCATGATCTTCGTCATGGGTTCAGGCGGCAACTTCGGCTATACTGGCTTGACACAATCGGACAAGAACAAGTTGCTATTTTGGTCCATCTTCAAGACGCCTCTTCTGAAACGTGGACTTGACCACGACTATGACCTCCTTCACGAGGAGCTTCGAGAGCGTCACCGTGGTTGGACCGACCCTCTGATTGACAAATGCATTGAAAAGGCTGCTATTGACAACGTTTATCCCGTCTTTGTGATGCCGGCGTTGCCGTACTGGGGCAAGAACGGATGCGTATTGGTAGGCGACGCTGCGCAGTAAGTGCCATTCACGCTTCGTACTTGCACAACCCATTCCCACTTTCCAAAAATCATTAATTGTTGCGAGGCTGGAGCTAATCAATACAGTGCTCTGCCTCCCAGAAGCGGACAAGGTTCCAGCCAAGCTTTCGAGGATGGACAGACGTTGGCGCTCCTGGTAGCTGGCTACTTGGAACGACATGATACGACGTTAGCTATCGACAAGTCTATCGCTAGCTTGTACAACCTACGACATGCAAGGATTGACACGATCAGGACAAGGGCATTGGCGTGGGCTGATCCTGACATGCCGATGCCTCAATGGAAATTGTACGCGTTGTACGCGTTTATATTCATTATGGTTAGAGTCAACAACCTGACGAGCCACTTCCAAAGTATTGACAAGTGGGATGCAAGAGTTGAGGTCAAGAAGCACTTCTCGGGTGCGCAATGATTACAAAGATGAGCCTGAGTATACCTGTGTATGAACGTTCACCGAAGCGGTCACTGTTCTTGATCTGGTTGTGTTGCGACAAATTTCCGGCCTAGAACACATATACGTACTCCACCGCCGTATGAATCTCCACCACACCTATGCCTCAGTCTTCACGGTCTGCCCACCTTGGTGAATCACAGACAGTTCCGCTCCACTGGATTGTGCCTCAATCAAAGGACCACCAATACCATCGCTTAACCAGTATCTGTTCTTCTGATCTTTTCCTTGCACAATCCCTTTGATGTCAAAAGGATCAAACAGAGTCCATAGAAAATGCCTCTTGTCAACCATGCCTGGACCCTCAAGCTCTGTTTTCCCGTCCATGGCAAGGTAAATCTTATGGTTCGCTGGAAGGTATTTTGCAGGTGGATAGATATTCATCAGATAGGTATTAACAACCATCGGCACAAACTCGAAGACCCACAATGGCCACTCTTTGCCGTTCGCTAGCGAATGCCATGGGTAGAAGAATGCGGCTGTTCGAAAGCAGTTTCGCAGGAGAATCAGAAGGTTGGAGGCGTAGAGCTCGTACATGATGACCTTTAATTTGTAGTTGAAGACACCTGCTTTGACTGCTCGATAGTGGAAGTGGATGTTCAGTGCTGTTGAGGTCAGTAAAGCTTTTCCTTTGTCCAAAGCTGTACATACCCATGAAGGCCAAGAACATCCCCATCAACAGGAACAGAGAGATCTTGACCAGATCAAGCCCGGCTTTGATTGCAGATGGTTCTGCTCTGGCGTTGGCTACCCTCACCACTCCATTCGCTGCGACGACATCTGCCGCTGCATCAAGGGCAACAAATGTAGTCCATACCCGGCCGGGGTGGATCAAGGATAGGTAGGGCAGGTAGTAGAGAGCTCGGCCGAAGATGAAATAGTTCTGCCGTCATGTAAGCAACAATACTCTTGTTTGGCATTGCTGGACCCGATAGTCGAGCCACTTGTAATGGCATGGAGTCACTCACAGCACCATTGTAGACAGGTGGTGCTATGAAAAGTAGCACTTGCGATGCGATGAAGACGCCTAGGTTGTCGGTGTTGTAGCTGCCATATTCGCGGAGGGTAAATCCAGCTGTGAATAGAAAGGCAGCCCATGGTAGGAGGAAGCCGATCCGGTACGATCGATACTTGAGATTGTTCTGCCAGATGTGACCGGTCCCAGAGATCGTGAATAGTATGGCAAATGCAATTGACGCTCCATGGGCAGGCTGGTAGATATAAAAATTACTTACACCTGGTGGACGTGCTTGTCCAGGCATGTCGGCTAATTGAGTTTGATGCCCACATGTGCTAGTATCTGAGAGTTTGGTCAGTGAGCTACGTATATCAAGAGGATCAGCAGCTCATCATATATTTCGCAACACTGCAGCACAGGCACGCGAAGCCTGTCCATCCTTCAAGGCATTCTTTATTTGACATCTTGCAACTCGTATCCGAATTCGCCTGTTAGTGCTGGCTTGCGGTAATGGCAGGTGTGAAGCTCATGCATATGGAGCGGCTAGGGATACCGAGAAAACGTAGGGGTCGTCTTGGATGCCCCTGGTACTTAGCTGCCAGGCAGCACAGTTTCCAAAATTCGCTTCGGTTCGAGAACACGCAGCCAAGGCGCTGCTCGAGAGTGCAAACATATCCTCCTCACGGCAAGGCTGTCTCTGATACAGACTGACCATAAATAGAGGATTTCGAGGGAGATAAACGAATACGTGGAGAGTATGGGGAAATAGTAAATAGAAATACCTGCATGGCACCCTCCGAAAAAGTTGCCTGATCAGGGTGTGAGCTCACACGTTCAAGTCGGCTATTGCCGCACTTCACTAGCTTGCATATGGTTAGTGGGAAAGGCAGGCGGTTTTCTGCTTTCTCTGTCGAATAAAAAAAGACTTGACGAGTTAACTTGAAGCTGCTGCTCTGATTGTGTTGGCCTAGAGGTAGGGCGAGATGAATACCTTGGACCCTCCTCTGCTACCTCGTCCCTGTAACAGCTTGTTGAGTTCCGCTTCAAAAACACTCTCGTAGTCTTTCTGGTTGTCCGGACGCACGCGACCTTCAGCACCACCTTCAAAACGTACTTTTAAAAGTCTTGTTGCTGGAGGCTCAATCTGGGCTATTTGAGCCACACATGCAACATCGAATAGCTTCTGTGCAGTATCGCACTCTTCATATGGGTATGACCCACATACCTGGCCTGCACGGTCCTGAAAAATGCAAGTCACATCTATAGCTCCAGGTGTCTGGTACTGAAGAGAAGACTTGGTGCTCGTGTGGTCGTCCAATTGACGCAGAGATTTTCGGGTTTGTGAACTTCCAGCAGGATAAGCCCCTGGAGATGGATTCGATGATTGAGTATTAGTACTAGGGCGTCCTCCCAGGGCTCGTGCTGTCGCAGAACTAGCTGTCTCTAATGGAACTTTGCCCTGATACAGCTTCTGCCTCTTCACATTCCCAGAAAGACCGGATGTCAGGATCTGCGAAACCTGGTGCCAAGGGTCGCTGCTGGGCGAAGCTTCGAGTCTGCTCAAGGCATCGCCTGCCATTGACGCCGCAGAACGCTTGCTGTCGGGTCGAATATCTTCAAGATATCGTATCACAGTTCTCGGTTCCTGTTCAACTCCTTGAGGGACCCATGTTGACCATAGTACAGGCTTACAGGCTCTGCCGTTCATCAGCTCCGGACTTGAATTATTGTAAACCTTGAATTTGCAGATGGCAGGTGTGAGCAAGTCACCTGGCTCTTCTGCCGGCAGCCACACAACGAAAAATTGCCGAGAACTACCGTACAGATATCTTGCTGCAGGGATTTCCCGCTTCGTTTCCCCGTCCGCGAAGAAAACCGCTCTACCCAGATCGAACTTACAGGATTTAGTAGTCGGCCAGATATTGGCAGCTACAGTAGATTCAAATTGTGCAGAATATTTCTCGATGAGTTTAACGATAGTCTCTGGACACTGTCTCTCGGATAGCAAGTCATTGCTGTCTAGCCATTTGATTCTGTCTCGTACAGAAGCAGAGCTCGGTCTTGGTAAATTGCAGCTTTTACGAACATTGATTGATGTTGCTCTTCGCGGATGAGTCACTGTGACTATTTTGTCGCTTGCGCGGTACTGCGCAATCATCTCACCGTAGTTCTTAAATTTGGATCTTTCAAAGTAGACACACTCGTCAGATTTTGTACATCTCTGACAATACGGTAGTCCTCTGTTGCATGATTGATGTCCTATCATGCATTTTATGCACGAACTGTAAGTTTCTTCATCAGCATGGGCTTGGTCATAACGTTCCTTGTCCAGGGAATGCTGGAGTTTTGGTCTGACTAGGCCTGTTGCATGAGCTGAAGTAGTATATGAAGGAGTATAAGAAGCAGTCTTAGTTTTAGAGAGATCAGATGTCAAGAAGAATTTCGCGTCCGCAGTAGCCAGCTGATCATTGTCGCTCTCGCTAGTGGTCGAACTGTAGTCTGGATGTTCGTCAAGTCTAGATTTCGTCGTGAAAAAGGCTTTGTTGTCGGGCTTCGCGAGCTGCTTGGCTAGATTCGACAGATTAGCTTGCCATTCACAGCTTCAGAGATAATTTGAGGTTTGCTGGTGTACCTGTATATATAGTGATGATATCCTCCACCTCCGATTCTGACTCCTCCAATGCATGACCATGAGACAATTTCTTGTCGGTACTTGTCTCATTGCTAGCATCAGCTAGGTGAAGGTCAACGTCGGGAGTCGACTCGATCGTCTTTTCCAAAATACCTGGAGAGTCGGTACTTATGATCGCTTTTGGGTCGACGGTTGAGTCATCCTGGATTTGTTGTGATATGGTCGAAGCAGAATCATAGTTGTTTTGTGGTGCATCCATCGAGAGCTGGTCAAAGGTTCACTACATTTGTCACTTGTGAACAGCCTATGCTCACATAGCCGATCTTCAAGAACTTAGATCTGTTCTTGTTTCTCGGGGATCCCGACAATTATGAGAAAGGTGCAAAACGATCAACAAATCAATGAACAAATCAGGATTAACAAAAGTCACTGAGAGCCTTCCAAGAACCGATGGCTTCCACCTCTTCAGGCGACGCGACGCGTCTTCGAGACTGCATAAAGTGGAGTCGAAGCTCTGTAGCAAGAGTACTAAGACCCAACTCTCTTGTAAACTCCGCAACATCACACATCTGAGGAAAATGACGGGAAGTCTATGAGGAGCTTGCTCTATTGTCTCAAATGATCTCTGCATAATATTTGCGCTGTTACACTATGGGAAACATTGTAGGCCTGCTGCTTGTCTCCAGCTACAAGACCGTCACATGCACAACAATCGCGATGACGAGTGAAGATACAGCCATATGCCATGAGGTCAAAATGGCAGCGATGTTCTCGCAATGTCGCGATCGGAGTGATTTCGCACGCTTCTTAAATGCTGCTAAATTCCAAATATGCGTCCGACCCTCGTCCTCAAGGACTTCCATGCCCTCAACGAGCTGAGGACAAATGCATCCTTCGAGCACAAGACAGCCGCCACCACTGAGACCTCGGGAGAAAATTTCTGCACACTCCAAGTGTAGTCTCCTCCGTCGCAAGAAACGAATGACTTCTGGATTAGAAACAAACTCTCTATCCGATGACCACCTGCATTTTGAGGCAGTCGGGAGCGGCAGACGTTGAGTTGTGCGATCGATAAGCCAGTCGACCCTAGCAGTCTTTGAGGTGCGGATGCAAGGGTGATTGTAGAATTTTGGGTGAGTCAAAGTGAGTGACAATAGGTCTGGATAAGGAAGTTTCGCGGTTATAAGCAGATGGATTTCTGTCGGTAGATCAAGGAAGGCCACGTTTGGTAAATGTGATGTTGAATCTTGCTGATATTGTTCGCAAACCATATCGGTGATTGAAACCTGAGGCCGAGGTGCACACTGTGACAAAGCAGGCGAAAGACTTCCTATTTTATGAGTATTTAGGGTGAGAACCAGTCGTTGGAAAGAACTCGCTGTGAAGCTCAACAAAGGGACAAAGCAGAAAAATGTGCCTGTGAGTTGGACTGTAGGTCTATTTCAGATCTCTATATACTCACTCATGAGCTCCAGATAGCTGCTGCCTTGTAGTCACTAAGAAGTGAACAGATCGTTATGAATGTGCAGTATCCGAGCTGACTCTGGAGGAAGGCGCAGCAGAAGGCATCGACAGCCACAAGTCGAAGCTAATCCAATCTCACCCTGGCCGGAATACCTACTGCCTCTGTGTTAAGAGGAAGCTGTAAGCAACAGACGCAAGCCTCCCTGATCATTTCGTAGAATTTGATTGAGACATGATGAAACTGAAGAGTCCCTGGTGTTTATTGCTCAAGACTGCTTAGAAATGAACACTGTACGAGACGATTCGGGCCGAGGTCTTGGTGTGCTTCGGACGTGCGCGAGGCATCCAAACAGACTGGATGCTACTGAGCAAACAAGAGCATGACAGATTGTGAGCAAAAGGTGCCATGAAATTTATTTTCCTGATACCACTGAAAGCCCTCAGGCTCCGGCTCTCGAGAGCGGCCGTTTGCTATTAATTTTATTTGTGTTTTGGCCCGATAGCATATTTGTACAGCGACCAGTAGAAATGCTTGTCAACTGTTGTTGTCACCATGGCTCAATCCGAGCAGAATTTACAAGTTCCTCAAGAAGCCCCGGCTTCACCTGCGAGCGATCATAACCCGACAAGCCCGAGTCGCGTGCCCAGAGCTCCACCGAAACCTGCTTCAGTGAAGATCAACGTCGAGGGCGCATTCATAGTCAACGACGAGACTGCGACCAGAAATGGCGGGAGCGAGTTCGTCCATTGGGAGCAGAAGGACATCCGGCTGCCTCACCATACAGACGTTGTGAGCCATGTCGCTGTGGATGTAAGTGTGTCCATTGAGCCGAAGCACTTCGAGCTGACCTGTGGCAGATAGGAGGTTCTCTGGCAAAGCTCGTCTATTTTTCTCGCGAACCTGCTTCACACATAGTCGGTGGGCGCCTGAACTTCCTCAATTTCGAAACCGATCGAATCGACGAATGTATTGCCTTTATACAAAACCTAAAAGACAAGCAATCCAAGCTCAATGGCTCGAGACCTGCAGATCTGTGTATTATGGCTACTGGAGGTGGAGCTTTTAGGTTCTACGACAAGATGAAGGACGTCTTACAGGTCAATGTGGTGCGTGAAGATGAGATGGACTGTTTGATAATAGGCCTGGACTTCTTCATTACCGAAATACCACGAGAAGTCTTTGCCTTCAGCGAGACGGAGCCAATGAACTTTGTACAGCCAAAAGCTGATATATATCCCTACTTACTGGTCAACATAGGCTCCGGCGTGTCCATGATCAAGGTGTCTGGCCCTAGACAATTTCAGCGCGTAGGAGGCACGTCGTTGGGCGGTGGAACATTTTGGGGTATACTGTCTCTGCTCACCGGAGCACGAACCTTCGACGAGATGCTCGCGATGGCGGATCGTGGTGACAATGCAGGTGTTGATTTATTGGTTGGAGATATTTATGGGACTGGATACGGCGCCAACACAAATATAACTGGCTTGAAGAGCACCACAATAGCTAGCACTTTCGGCAAAGTGTTCAAGAAGAAGAGAGCTGCTGAAAGAAATGCAGAGGACGGCGAGGGATTGGCAAAGGAGAATCCAGAAGAGCTAAACGGTTTCTGCATCGAGGACATGAGCAGGAGTCTACTCTTTGCGATTTCCAATAATATCGGTCAAATTGCCTATCTACAATCAGAGAAGCACGCCTTGAAGCACATCTACTTTGGTGGTTCTTTCATCAGAGGACACGCGCAGACCATGAATACCTTGTCTTATGCCATCAAGTTCTGGTCAAAAGGAGAAAAGCAGGCGTATTTCCTGAGGCATGAGGGCTACCTAGGAGCAGTCGGCGCCTTCCTAAAACGTCAGCCTAGGAATTGGGGAAGGAGAAACTCGATGGAAGAAATTGGTCTGTCAAAAATGATCTCGAGAGAGTGATTGGAGTGTGCATCAATTGAGTGAAGCCAGAAGCCAATATCGATAATACAAGCATTTCGCTAGGAGCAAACACCAGTAATGGGCAGCACAAAGAGGGCTACGGACAACATCCCATCAACACAACTCCACGAATACACGATCGACGGTTTTTGCTCTTATATAACCTACCACTGCCACACAGACTAATCCTCAAGGTTCAGTAAACATGAACAGCTCAAGCTAACGTTACGCTTTCACGCACACTATCTTTGACTTTTGCAGCTTGTTGAGGTCCAGATAGACGCATGCGGCCTCTGGTCCGATTGAAAACATGGACGCCAAGTAATGCATCAATCGGCTCGAAATGCCACAAGGTGGCCTCTCAAGTGAAGGTCGCCCACAAGCAATCATGTCTGAATCCCAAATACTATTGTCGTCAGCCTCCTAAATGATTCGAAAGTTAAACGACTTTTCACCACCAATCTGATCGTACAAACCATGGAGAGGAGCTGCAGAGCTCAGTCGACGCCATCGATGAAACCAGCAAAGCCGAAGAAGAAGGTCATACTAAGGTCCATTGTCTTTAACGATGGGGACTACTCTTTGCGCGCCTTCCCTCCATATCTTAGACGTGCACTTGAGCACCACTGCAAGAGGATACAGAAACCTATTCCCAGCTGTGCTTCACTATTTCGCGAAGCAGGAGGTATTCACATGACAAACGGTAAGCAATCGCTGTTTCGAGCTACGGATACAGACGAGCAGCTATTGGCTGCACGATACAAGTACGGCTCGCGTCATCAGATAATTATTGTCAAAGGGAGCAACAACAATATCAGCGAAAACAGACAGGCAGTCGTAGTTGTGTTTATCCCTGGCAGGAATTCTGTCAATCCTAATACCAACGACATAGTCAAACGTGCCATACAGGGGTTCAAAGAACAAGAACAAGCACGAATGCCTACGCGAACCACGAAGAGCAGAGACGGACCTCCAGCGTTGACTTCCATACCTACAACCAGAGCTGCACCTGAGCTCCACCGCACCGATCCAACCTTGGAACCCTGCATTGCAAACGAGGAACTACCTTTCCTGCCAACGCCGCCCTGATCGACACCGAGCGCCCCTCCCATGCCTCCACCCATCGAGCAAAAGACTACCTTCCTCTTTAAACGATCGCCACAATCTGAGACGATACGCAGCAGGACAGTCGACATCTGCAATACCGTCCAACACCTGTTTGCTCACGCAAAAGTTGCAGGTATCGCCGAGAACAGGTCTGCCACGCTAGTGCTCTCTGTTAACCTGCCAGACAGGCAGCACAGTACGACTCTGGTCAAGGGCGACAGGGACGATTCCGCAACATTCGAGGACTTTGTTGGCAAGGTACAGGGAATATCGAAGGAAATTTTGGTCTCGCCAGACATCGATGAGTAAATCTTTTTCCGAGTTGTGGAGTTATTGTCATATTTTGAGGTTGAGTTTGTTGACGAACATGCGTGGTTGTATGAGAACTTGTAGGCATTTCGGCAGTTGTCAGCCGCCGCGGATGCAACTATGAGTATATTGCTAAATCACACAATTCTTTCGTTGTCGCTTTTTTCGCTGAATAAAAACGCATATCCAGACATATCGCCGAATTTCGATCTTGGCCTCGTTCTTGGCGCTCAGCATAACGTTATCCTTCCATACCACGACATATCATGATGCACCATAACGAAGAGCATTACAGGAGGAAAGGACTTATAATGCGTGTTCCGAGTGTGCACTTGATGAACTCAGCATTTGATTGCCAGTTAATTTCGTGTTGGAAGAGAGGCACTCACTGTTGCGGCCCTCCTCATACCAACGATTACCACTGGCTCATAGCTGTGGCATACACTAACGAAAAAGCAAAATTCAGGTACAAAGGCCAAAGATAGTGCTCCTACATCTGCGACCACGATGTCCTCTACTTCAAATTCGTCCGGTGCCCTCAGCCGGCAACAAAAGAATCACTCCATCCTCTCAATACCTATTGTCTACGCATTAGCTTTTCCACCCCATCTCTACGCTTTCGCTAGAGGCATGACAGCTTCCAATTACACCTATAGCAACACTGTTCCTCGTGCCAATCTCGACCTGCTTAAGTCCAAGCTTCCCGAAGCGACCTGGCAAAGCCTTGCACGGGCCCAGGGCGCGCATCTCAATGCCTTAGAAGGATTCCCGTTGTTTGCTGGTGCGATGGTACGTACCCAGAGATTCTTCTTCGGACTGTTCTCATGATCTGTGTCGATCGAAATGTGAATGCTGATATGTGGATACGATAGATTGCAGGTAACTATGCCAAGCTCCCTCCCAACGACCTCAACTTCGCAGCTGCGGAGTACATTTGTGCTAGGGTCGTGTATACTGCGCTATACATGACCACCAAGAGCGAGGCGTGGAGCTATCTTCGCACTGGCGTTTATGCTTGGAGTCTTGCTGCTCCCATCTGGATCCTCTGGAAAGCTGGAAAGAAGATTAGAGATCAAAGCGTGGACCTGAAAGAACTATGATAGCGTAAGCTGAGTAAGATGTTCCATACGCGTTTCAGCACGAGTTAAGGACAGGAGCCAAGTTCGAAGGGGGTAATGGTAGGCGAAGGGACGTAAGTGTAAATGCAAAGATAATACTTCCAGGCGTGCCAGCACGCAGTAATGGCCCGATGTATACGAGTCATGGTGTATCTATACCAGCTATTATGGCTGAACTCGGAATGATGTATTGTTCTCACGCGACTTCCACAAGTCATACCTTCACTTTACCCCAGTTACGTTGCCGTACAGGACATCACACAGACGTGATGGTTACCACGCCTTTACAACCCTCACTCTGACGCCCTTCGATTCCGGCTTCGGTATACCCACAAAAAAGTCTTTGTTGATCATGATATCTCTTTCTGCAGTCGTGTCAAAGACTTCCATGTCGAAGCGGGAGACGACATAAGCGAGCGCCAAATACAGCTCAGCCCATGCAAGATTGATTCCAACGCAAGAACGGCTCCCCTTGCCGAAAGACACCATATATCTTTGCAGCGGGAAGCCCTCCTTCTCAGCCTCAATCCATCTCTCCGGGTGGAACTCGAGCGGCTTTGGAAATATGCGAGGGTCGTTGTTGACCATATAGTTCATCTGTGAAACTGGCGTACCTGCTGGAATTTCCCAGTCCCGGTACTTCATCGGTTCGTGAGCTACTCGAGGCAAACGTGTTGTGACACCAGATATCATTCGGACGCCTTCCAAAACACAAGAAGTCTATCAGACAGATATTAGCTTCCGAAAATAAGATACACAATAATGCACTTACGAGGTATGGCAGCTGCTCGAGCTTGGCAAGAGAAAAGGATCCGTCATTCTCAGGTCCAACGGTCTTGAGCTCATCTCTGAGCCGTTGACGTTTCGAGGGATCGGCAGTGAGGAAGAAAAGGATGAATGAGAGACTTTTTGCTGTCGTCTCACTACCAGCGCCAACCACAGTCTGCGCTTCGTCTTGCAACCGATCGGCGGTCTTTTCATATGGCGGCAAGTCGCTGTCAAGGACGGTCTGGAAGATCGTACCTTCGGCTTTCTTGCCCACTTCGTTCTTGGCTAAAATCTCGTCGACTTGTTTCCGGATCATGTGCTGCCACGCAACAAGTTTGGCGGCTTTCGGATTTCCGTATTCGAGTAACCACAGAGGTGTTGCTTTCAGGACCGGGAATGCCCACGGGAATTGACGCAAGAACACGCCATTAGCGGAACCGCCGATAACTGTCTCCTTCCACTCGAGGTTAAAGTCGGGCTTATTCAGCATGTTGTAGCTCGCTCCGAACCCAAAATGTGTTATAACATCCATCGTGCTATACTCAATCAGCTTCAGGTCTTCTTTACTATTGATGAACTCACAGCGCCATGAAGGCAGCATCCAGCCTTACGATTTCATTCGTTTCCATGCATCCCCTAAGCCTACTGCACAGATGTTCTACTTTCTCCTTGATCTGTGCCTCGTTGCTGGCGATAGCCTTCTTCGAGAAGAACGGGTTCAAAGCTGACCGACGCAGGCGATGAAGATTGTGACCTACGGTCGCGAATGATGAGCCGGGAGCTCCTGCCATGACGGTCCATCCTTCCCACTTGTCGCGCTTCTTCGCCGCTGCGGCGTATATCTCTTCATAATAATCAGAGTCTTTGATATGAAGCTCGTTTGGTGTTATCCGCACTATTGGGCCTGTTCGGGCTCAGCAAGGAGTTACGATACATTGGACGTGGTCAGATTTCCTACCATACTGATCATGGAGCTTATGAATTTGCCATATGAAATCTCCTCGGTGGATGATGTCGTGATAGAACTCGTACCATCCTGTTACAGCCGCAAGTCTGGGCCCGGGAAATCTAGCGAGCTGTTTCGGATCTTTTCAGCAGGTTTTTGTTCACGGAAAGACAACTGTGACTTACAGGATGGAGGAAGAGTCGATACACAACGCCACATACACAATAGAGCACTAACGCGCCCAACCCGAGGGCCAATGCAGCACTGCTGACAGTTGACACCTGCATAGCGTTATACTAGGACCCTGTATTGTTACACAAGAATCAAGCAGGGTAAAACTACTGTACTGCTCTTTGTTCTGCAGTTTCTAGATTTATACATGGTCAATGTAAAGGACAAAATCGTTCTTCTCGAGCTGAATCATCCTGCCAGTGGCCTCTTACACTTGCCAGCGTGGCATGGGTGAAGCTCTCTGCACACGATCGGCTAACGTTTCTCCGATGCACGATAACGCTCCCGTCTGAATATGCAACAATGCCCTGTAGATGTCCGACGGTTTCACACTGTTTCTGCAGCTAAGCATATTCACTGGCTTCCTCCCGGGCATGTCAGTCGATCATTGGCTTCGACGTAAACATATCGCGGCAAGAGGTCCTAGCGGCACGTGCCGGCACCTGATGGTGTGCATCCGCTCGGAGTCTTTGAAATCCATGAAGCATGCAGAAGGCTCTTTCTGTCAAAACGTGATGTAATCACTTGCAGAAGATTACAGCAATCGACACGCACGATTGGCCAACATCGCGAGATAACTTGCATTCATCCTCGGCGGCTTTGCTTTGACATCGCTTAAGTGCCAGCCTTAGCTGCCGTGAGCCCCACGCTTTGGGGTTGCAACCTTCCCAGTCAGTGATTGGGGACCGATTGGTAGTACTTTCGTTTAAAGCCTGGACCGTTTGACAACCAAAATACACACATGGATGCGAAAACACGATTAGATCCAGTTCATTCGCACGAGGCATCGTTGGTAGAATGAACACTTCGCCAAAAGATAGATTTATCGAATATTACAGCAGGTCAAGTGGACATTAACGCACTGTATACGTATTTTTACACGAACAGTATGGACCAACCAGCTTCGGCTACCAATGATTACACTTTGGGCAATCCCCAAGAGCCTATTGAACCGGACAGCACTAGCGACTACGACACCGACAGCGTAGGATCAGACCTTACCTCGATAGCATCTTCAGTCTTCGAATATCAATATGAAAATGGTCGACGCTACCATGCCTACAGAGCTGGAAGATATGTTCTACCCAACGATGAGACAGAACAAGATCGGCTTGACCTGATGCACCATGTCTTTAGATTGACTCTAAACGGCGGGTTGTGCTTGACACAGCTCGAAAATCCTCTAAAGATTCTTGATGTTGGTACCGGTAAGCGAATATCTCCGTTACATTCGCAATAGACTAGATCTCAATTCAGGAACCGGAATCTGGGCTATCCAGGTAGCGGATGAATATCCTTCAGCACAGGTCATAGGCACCGATGTAAGTCAGCTTTACTCAAGTCGCTACCTCATCTCACATACCAAAGATCAGTCCAATCCAACCAAACTGGGTTCCGCCAAACGTGCAATTCCAGATCGACGACGCAGAAACAAACTGGGCATTTCCGCAAGATTCCTTCGATTTCATACACATCCGTTGCGGCGGCGGTAGCATCCGGAACTGGCCTGCCCTCCTTGCACAAGCCTACGACCATCTCAAACCAGGCGGCAGAATCGAGCTCAGCGAAGGCCGAACCCGTATGTGCTGCGACGACGGTACCTACTCACAGGAAAGCTCAACCTACAAATGGGTCGACACCTTCCACCAAATCGCCAGATCCCACGGTCTTGATTTCGACCCATTCGACCACTACGCTGGCTGGCTACGACAAGCAGGATTCGAGAATGTGATCGAGGAGGAGCGACCGTGTCCCATTGGCGGTTGGCCTAAGAACAAGAGGCTGAAGGAGATTGGTAAGGTATTCAAGTATCAGTTCCTCACTATGGCTGTAGATAGCTACTCGCTAGCATTATTCACGAGGTTAGGCGGCTGGTCTGTAGAGGAGACGCAAGTTCTGTTGGCAGAGGTAAGGTCAGAATTTGGCCCTAAGCAGAAAGCTCATCTCTACACGCATTGTTCATATGCGATTGGTCAGAAGCCAGGAAGATAAAATGTCGGACAGTCTGTTTAGCAATTTTAAGTCCCACCAGAACGATTGCATCTTACGGAGACATGCTTACTCTGAGATAGAGCCTTGAGCTCACGACATACACATACACGATGCGCCATACAAAGCCATACGGTCGTCCTGCTGACGAAGTTCTGATATGAAGACAATTCCGTCATGTCTTGCAGTCTACCTAATTAAGTATACACTAGTACAAAAGTTGTCGTCTCACCTCCAGACCTCCCTCCTGCCGTTCAACCACACCCAGCTTCATGAATAGAGAACCTCATGTATGAACCTGTCGTAATATGCACAAAGTCCCAGTTGTCCGACCCCTTCTCAATCCGATCTTGACGCTCGTTCGTGCAATAGCGATATACACATGCCTGATAAGTAATTTTACAAAGGGTGACTTTTTGAATGCAACTCTTAGTGCTTGCTAACGTCTTCGACCGCCTTGTCCTCCTCGCCCTCCTCGCCGCACCGCCATCGTTCTGATGTTCTTCAGTTCGTCATCGGTGGGCATCCTGATCACCGAAGGGAGCGGCTTGGAAGCTGTGTCACTGTTGTCCAGAGGTGTTAAGACGCGCTCCTAATGTCCCCCACCTCGTGCGGCCATAACCAGCCTCTGTCTAAGTTCTGGTTCAATAATAAATGGTTGAGTTCTCCAGAATCCATACGCCGGATTGTCGCTCAACTCTTTGAACACAACTAAAGCACCCCATGGGTTTGGTCGTAGCGCATCAATGCGTTCGCGTAGTACCCGAATAATGATCTCACGAATGTATGCATGGCTCTCGGACGCCTCGGTGGTCGTACCCCAGATGTGAAGAACCTGCTTGCAGAAATACTCGGTGTGGGTGTTGGGATAACGAAGCTGGTCGAAAAGAGCAGTGACAAGAAGGTACTTGTGGCGTGGTTGAGAGTTGTTCAATAGCTTGCTGATCAGTTGCGCGTGGTTGCCTTCGGGATCAAACTTAGTGCCACTATGGAGAGCGTCTTGTGCTACCACCACAACCAAGCTGCACAGGATTTCACAATCGAAAGCAGGTGCGCCGAAGGAAGGTGTCTGCTTGACATCCTCTTTGAAGATTTCCACCATCTGCTTCACGAAATGGTCCAGATCCGCGGTCTTGCCGAAAGCTGATTGCAGCCCTGCAAGGATATCGGCAGCCTCAAGTGGTTGCGATACGTCGGCACTAATGACAGGTGCCTTCTTCATATCTTCGATGCGTTCCACTCTAAGGTTAGGTGTAAGCGGATTAGGCTCGACCAAGCCGAGTGGATGGGCTGATAGTATGAGGTTGCGTGTCGTTGGCTCTCTGAGTGAGAGTCGTGAGCAGAAATAGGCATGATTCGCGCAGACAAAGTCAGGGAAGTCGTTCTGAATCAGGAAGAAATTCTTCCATGCGCCACGAATCAGGGCCTCCGCATCTTGTTGTAAAGCTGGTATTTCCGCAGCCGCAGCCGAATATTGCAGCATCAAGCCAGCAAGCTCTCGATACTGCGTGGCACACTCCTCATCTCCGTGACGCAGCATGCCATCGATGAATACCCTGTGACATATAAGACTCGTCCAACCAAAAGCAAACGCCGGTATTAGTCTTGGTTGGAGTGACTTGAATGTCTTGGCGAAGACCAGCATGAATTCAGCGTATTCCTGACTGAGGTCGAACCTAAATTCCGCGAAGCTGTACAGTATCGAGGCGAACAGTCGTGTGAAGACTCGTTGATTAAAGTTGGTACCACGGAATTCTTGATGGTTGTTCACGATCAACACGATCAGCGACAATATCGACCCAAGGTAGGCGGGCTTGCTGATCTTCACTGCTCCATTCTCCTCGCCCTGAAACTTGACAAGAAGGATAACGAACAACGCGAGGGCATCGATTCTGCTGAAAGCTGCCGCAAAACTGACACGGAAACTCTGAGCTTCAAGCTCGAAGGCCTCGGTAGAGCTCTCAATGGTTAGCCTCAAGAAGGTTACCAAGTCCTCAGCTGAACTGATGAGCTGGCTGCTATGTAGGTCACGCAGGAAGGCTGCATAGGTCGCTTCGTTGTACGATGAATTATCATACAGCGACGCCCACTCTTGGAAAACATACAGCATCTGGTCTTGTTTTGCCTTTGTCTTGTCGTTGAGCGCCACAACCGCAAACTCAGGCACACCGTGCGCCTTCAGCTTATTACCAACTTCCGATGCAAGCGGGTGGTCAGGCTGCTCTTTTAGCCATGCGTAGAGCGCAACAATGCTGTTGATGAAATCTGCTCGTAGCGCCATAGGCCCTTCATTGAACAACGTCTGGTCCATCAAATCTGATAGAAGACGAAGTCCAATCTCGCTATGATCTCGTACAGCTGAGGCAATCAGACCGTCAACTCGGCTGAGATCCATGAGACTGGCGCGTACAAAGGCCACTGCAACGAAGGAATTCGTCAGGAGGGACTCCTCATTAGCTGTGATCCAGCGCATGACATCGCGAACGATCGCCTCTGAAACATCGCACAGCTTCCTAAGGAGTACAATAAGACACTCAGCTTCCAGACTACTTTGTGGGGGTTGTCGTAGAAGAGAAGCAGTCACTTTGTCGGCCAATTGTCGTGAGATGTGGTCAACGACCGGGTGGCTGGAAGTTGCAAGAAGCGTAATTATTTGTCGCATATGTTGTACTATTATGCTGTCTTTCTCTAGGTCCTGCACACGTGGAATCAAAGAAGTTCTCGCAGCCTTTTGTACTTCCTCAACAAGGAGAGCGACACGCTCACGTGGAGGCATGTTGTCTACGATTCCATTTGCTCGATGCTGTTGCAGCACAGACGTTCCTGATTCGTGTTGTATCAATGGGCTTTGATGCGGCATAACTGGTTGTCCCGCTGGAGTCGACAAGTTGGGCATAGCTAGCGTCTCATTCAATATATCGGGCAATTGTCGAGCGGTGGAATCAGCTGAAGCATTTTGAAGATGACCAGCATTCATACCATGTACTCGTCGTTCGAAATCTTCATACACAGCTCTTTGCGCTTCGTTCAGGCTACCAGGAATCATCTTATACGGCTCAGGAATCCAGGTTGCCCAACGATTCAACGTCTGACCATAATAATCGCCACCACTGTTCTCGGTCAAGAATCGCTGTCTGTCATTGAGATCAGCCTCGATGACTTGGTCCATTTCTGGTACAGCACGCTGTTCTGCCGCCTCTTTTATCAACTGTGCAGCAATATCGAGATTGTCGTTGACAGTCATGAGTATCTGCCCTTCCGCCATAAAGGCACCGCCAATCTCTTCGAGGTACTGTCTGATATAGTTCTGAATGCTCATTCGGAGGGGCTCTTTGCATGTGACCAGTGCCAAGCTACCAGCCAGAGACTTGACCATTTCTCGGGCAGCATTACTAAAACTGTCTGGATTTGGTTCAACTGAGTAGTCTTTCGACACGAGCTGGGACGTCGATAACGATGCTATGGTGATGGACCGCTCCACAACAGGAGCAATAATTTCCTCAATAGCACGTTGTACCGCTTTGTTGATGATCTGCTTGACAGCATTCTGTTCCTGTTGCCCACCTGAAGGAGGAGGATACCTCAACACACTGTCCAAGCTGGGAAGAGATTGCATGATATCTGCAACAGTAAACGTTTCGCGTAGTCGGCCACCGCGTAGTGTAAGATCATAGTCTTCGATATTTTCTATAGCTGCAACATTTGTGGTGATCCCCTCGATAGTCTGCTGCGCGCGATACTCTCTTATCATATTTGATGGCTCGACCTTCTTATGGTCTAGGTTCAAATCTTTGCAGAGAACCTCGATCTCAAACTTTAAGTTCAGCCTGAGGTCTGCATGATGGTAAAGTTCTAAAAGGACACCGAGTATCTCCATCAACCAGGGGTTTGGTGGTTTGAAGACAACAGAGTCCTTTCCTTGCACAAGAACCTTGCAGGTGAATGGAATCACTATAATCAGACGATGTGTCTCAAAGCCTTCGTGTAGTAGGTCGACAAAGTATATGTTTCGATGTTTGATGGGCTTGTCTTGTGCCAGGGTCAACGAACCTAGCCAAGCACCTAGACTTTTCAGGTGTGTTCGTTCGACCTGCGAATCCATAGTGGATCTTGCACTCATGGTCTTCACGATCGCGCTGTATGTCTCTCGCAGCACCTCTGCTGAAAGCACAGAATCGTCAAGATGTGACAAGAAAGTCCTGTACAAGTCTTGGTTGTTTTGCTCCAGTCTGGCTCGTTGCTCGACCAGATAAGATGCAAACCAATGGTAATGCTCTGGTTTTAGTACATCGCGCATCTCTGCGAGTTTGAATTTCATGTTTTCTTTTGATAGGTTGTTGACAGCGAATAGGATCTTCTCTTGTGACTTCTGATCTGGATCGGAAAAATTGGAGTGAGGAGGTATGGCTTCAGCTTTCAAGCTGCGAAAACCGCGCGAAGTGGCTTCAACTCTTGCCTCCTCAGAGGCGCCATTGAGCATCCCATCAGTATGGCCTTCTCGGTCTACCATACCGCCGCGTAGTTGTGCATTTCGCAGACCTTCCTGAGCCCTTTGTATAATCTCGCTGTGCTGAAGTGTCGGAATCTGTAATAGCATAGCACAAATTTCTGGCCATTCAACAAGCTGATCACCAAGCTGTAACAATGCCTCAATGCCGAATCTGTGCATGGGTGTGTCAGGCAGTTGATCTCTGACCGCGTCCACAATGAGGATCAAACCATATTCTTGTGGTATCTGTGGGAGTAAGCGGAACTTGACGATGCTTCCAAATAACAATGCCGTTTTCTCTAATGCTTCTTCAGGGTACTCGCCATAACAACCATATTCATCAAATAGCCCGTGTACTATGCAACAGAACAAGTCTTGCTGGTTCGGATCATTGGACGTTTTGTATCTTCGCATCTCATTGATCATATCGCGTATGGAAACCTCGGCACGGTACATCTGTCCGAACAAGTCAGACATCCTTAGATCAGTCTCGGGTGCAAGCTTGTGCCCTTTTGAGTCGGATGCATGATCAAGCACCTCGTTAAATTCAGTGCCGTAATTCATAAGACGCGGGTAAGTTGTGAGACAGGTAGCTTGCGCTGACTTGATCGTTTCGCGATCTTCGAGAAGTTCTTGCACTTTCCAGAGCAGGGCAAAGACCGCGGATAGACTGAGCGAGATGGACTGATACTGTCCTTCTTCTTTTTGTGTACGATACTCGTCGTCGGCCTTGATGCGCAAGAACTTCCACAGAGTCGTACCGAATGCTGTGGCTTCAGATCGCGAGAGGGTTGCAACCACCTGCGACAGCCATTGATCGATGTCAAAGTCCGACTGCTCTTTCTGCATCACGCACGCAATATCGAGCGTCATTGGGTTTTGGAAATTCTCGAGCATAAAATCGACCCATCCCATTTGGCGTGCTTTTCGAGTGATTACCGCGGTCATCCTCGGATCAGTGTGGAAGATCATCATACATAGCTGATAGACCATTTGCCGATCCTGGTGAAATAGGGCTTCCAAAGCAATATCCGAATCTGAGCGCTGATCCTCGAGGAACATTCGGAACGCGTTGATCAGGAAGTCATCCTGCGAAGCTGTGAAATTCCCTGCTCCAGTAGTAATGCGAGTAAGGGACAGCAGAAACAAGACGAGATGGTTCCTGGCTAGATCGTGAAGTATACTCTGTGCATCATCGTCATCCACGATTGCATCGGAGAGAACAACCTCAAAGACTGCTTTTAGAGCATAAAAGTTGCTCTGATGCTTCTCCAGTTCTAGGTTCACTTTCTCTCGGACGCGTGGTGATGAAGCCTCAAATTGAGACACTTGAAATGCTGCTTGAAACCCGGGGATTTGCGAAGGAGCAACATTTTGCAACTCGAAGAAAGCGCGTAAGAAGGACAACTGCGTCCTCGGGTTATTCCATTGACCTGCCCATAAGTTTTGTATATCGAAGTCTTGGTGCTCGGTAGCAGCGATCAGGAGAGCACGGAACAAACGCGTAAAACTTTCAACATGTAGGCGTAGGTCTGAAACATCAAAAGTCCTGATCACAGTATTCCAGTTGATTTGTTTTGCTCGTTCTGTAGCAGAAGTTACGGCTACGAAGTCGTTAATGTTGTAATGCTGGCCGGGTTGAGCAAAGAGCATGAACAGGATTGCGTTGGCAACTTCTGCAGAAGTAAGGGCGCTTGTTGGGAGTGTAGATACGACATCCTCAATGCTGTTGCGGGAGGCTGCTGATCTGGGGCCTGCTTTCTTGAAGGCGTCTATTATCTGACGATCTCTATCCGGCAGTTTCCACTGGTGAGACATCCTGTCAGACTGTTCGAGAAGCAAAGATGAGGTTGTAATTGTTCTGATCGGCGTCAGAACTCGCCTGCATGGGGAGGTCGGGTGACTCGTCTGTGTGTCTCGAAATGCGTTTGCAATCTAGAGACCGAGGACTTTCTCAAATTTGACTTGCAAAGATCTGTACGCTCATGTGATGCAGTCGATTCAGTTCCAGAGGCAGCGCAAGCTGGCAGGAGAAGTTCTGCAACAAAAGAATGCAACCACCTGTTCCGCCCGAAGCTGTAGTTTCCTGGTGTTATCCCCTTTTTTCTCGTCTTCCCAGTTGTGTTTGCGAGCAAGATAGAAAGCCGTGGTAGGCGTCACTGATCGAACTTGTGTACGTAAGAATGATAGTGGTAGTAATCGTCAGGAATATGCTAGAGCTGGCTCGAGTACAAAGGCCGGTGCTGTATACGCTGCGGTCGCAGCAGAACTGAGAAGGTTGTACGCAAAAGTTATGCCCTGTTTGAATTCAGATCGGTATAGCTTTGCCGCTCAGCGGTCTTGCAAATCTCGTGTTCAGAAATGGTTGTTTGCGCGGCTGATTACGCGGAAGAGGATAAAGGAATCGAGGTCGTCGGCCGATTCCAGTGGGAGGATAGAGAATGAGATTGCCAAGAGCTGAAGATGAAAGGATCAACGAAGCTTGGGTGCCACAGTCATCGCATTCGAGAAGTCTGATCGAGGTTGAGACACACGTTTGAACAATAGAGGCAGTATATGTCACTACCAGTATCACTCAATGCTGAATCGTCGTGTCTGTAGGTGCTGGCTACACTCATTCAATCCTGAATCAAGTGCAGCCGCGTAGTATCAAGGACTGTTCCTGTCGAGGACAACGACAACATAGGCAAATAAGAAGATAACATGAAGATTAAACACGCTTCATGCCTTCAGTTGGGCGCAACCTTGTACGATTTCGCCGAAGAAAGACACACGAGGCTACTTCACATTTGACGCCAGGCCTCCAGGAAACAATACGGTTGGTTGAGCAAAATTGCCTTTGTGGATTCGAAGCACCACCGAAGTCGTCGCAATCTCGTTCAGACAACTTCCCTCACCTACGTAGGTATCCATATCACTTCACCTGCTAACAATACAATAAAACAAATACTCGGAACCGAAGGGTTGTTCGACTTGAGTGTGAGTGAATATTTAGTGGGTGCTTAGGACTACTACGAGTCTGAGGAACTTGTGCCTTCCACAATAAACAGCGATTTACTTCCTTGCAGCCAGAAGAGACTTGCTTTTCAGCTTTGTCAGGTGAATTGACGAGCGCAACGTCTACTGAGTGTAGCAATGACGATCAAACTGGGTCCAGCCCAGAATAAGAGAGCACACAGCGATATTTCGTTCAAGCACGTCCTAGCTTGCTTGTTAGTGGGCAAAGATGATAGGTAGCGGACAGTATCAACATGGTAGGTTGTGATATTCGTCGTTGTGTCGACAATGGGCGAGGTAAGTGATAGTAATAGAACTATTGACGCTCAACCATGGAAACTATTTGTTGTTAGACTTTCACTCCTGACACGATATCCACACTCGAAGGGTGCTGCGTCGTGCTTTCCTCTCATTACTGTTTACTGTGGTCGCACTTTCCCTCGATCTTTTCTGACCACAGCTTGCTTCGTGACGCCAAATTTCCACCTAACTCATGAAATGCACCCTTCTATGCACGAAATTCAGGCTGTTGGTATCACCTGCATTCACACAATAACATCTCTGGCCACTCGACACAATTACAAAAGACTTGCAGCAGGTGAGTGTATCAGTCCAGAGGTTGGGAATGTTACTAATGAAGCAACAGCTCAAGATGCTTGTATTGCGCAAACAACAGCTGGTGAAGCGCCATAACCCAGGCACGACATTCACCATAATTTTCTGCGTTATTGCTGTCTGTGTTCTGTTAGCTTGCGCTATATGGGGTTTCATTCTACCACAATGGAGGAAGAAGCATCCTCCCCAGCCTTCTAGGACAAAATGGAACGAGGGGTCTATTTTGACCACAAGAAAGAGCCGAAGAATTGGGAATGCTTTCCCCACCCACCCAGCAGTGAAACCACTGCTGTCGAAACCATCTACTGCCCAGATTCTACCTACCTACAACCCAAGAGTTGAAAGTCCGTTCCCTGACCAACCCGAACCAGGCATCTCACGAAGCCGCGAGGAGGTTGAGCCTCGAACGTATTCTGCTCACACCGCTCCATTACCAACAGTGAGCAGCAATGGTCTCTTTACTCCTGTTCGACGTGGGGAAAATAGTTTTCATACAATCCCACAAGCCACTGATGCCAGACACCATATAGGCAAATCTTCCGACTTCGGTGATGCCAAGCACTTCATCCTAGCAGTCCCTGAACCCCTGACTTTGAGGTCAAGAGACACTGATAGACCTCCAGCAGTCACTCGTCACCTTGAGAAGTATGGGACACCATATCCCACTTCTCTGACAGGTTCGGACAAGCTTCCTCATCCAAATAAACTCTTTCGAGCCATCCAAGGCTCTGACACGCGAAACAGTTTCTGCAGCACTACCTCCTTACGTGTCGACCACCGCGAATCTGATGCAGCCGCAGCTTGGGCAGCAAAAGAAGTCGTCGCAGCTCTTGACGAAGCTATCCAGGAAGGTAAAGAGCAGCGCAAATACAGCAGTGATGAAAGCAGCAAACTCAGTCACTTCATTGGACAAAGCCACGAACTTCCATGTGCAACACTGTCAGATCTCCATCGACTCTATAGCTATAGATCATTGACCGGATCTCAGCCAACCAAAAACATAAAAGCGAAAAGTGTCCTGAAACTAAAGCTACCTATAGACACGTTGGGGAGAGTCCACGATCGAGAACAGGGATTTACAGCCATTCCCATGGTCTCTCTGCCTCAAGCATCAACTACTTCAACCATGCTGACAACCGGTGAGAACAGCTCCGAGATCGAGTCGATCTCCACCCCAGCGACTTCGCCAATCATGCCTCCAAGCAAGTCTTGTGTTCTACCTACTGCACTTCGGCCCTGTAATCCAAATGATACAGCTTCAATATCTGCTCTTGGGAAGATTGAGCATGAGTGCAACAACACCAGTACTGTACTAACGCAGAACAAGGAGGGTCGTTTGACTGAGCAGAGGAATAGTCGAGGCTTCTACCATCCAGGTCGTCGAACTAAGCCAGTACCACCATCCATTCATATTAGCTCAGGTTCATCTCCGACATATGGGCGCCAACAACGACGATCTCTTTCCGATCCCAGTCATAACATCGTCGTTCCGGTCAAAGGCAAACTTCGCTCTCAGGTACGAGCCAGTAGTATGTATAGCAGGGACACAGATGGGTTCAGTCTGACGCCTCTTCCAATCACACCCGACTTTCCTAGTCCCTTGGTTGATATTTTCGCGGACCAGGACGTTTCAGGCAACCCTTCCACATTCCGTGAGTCGGTGAGGACCCGAATATACAAATGGCACCAAAAGATTGAGAGTAGTACTGCCACGCTAACTCTGCCTCCCTCCAAACAGACTTCACCAATGATTTCGGTCAGAAGCATAGCCGGACATGATGGTAACGACACCGCTGTTGGAGCTGTGCCTGAAGATTCGAAAAATCAAGTGGAGATGGTCGGAGAACGATCGCATCCTGACTGTGATCATAGTGCGCCGGGTGGTGCGGTGTGGATTTGAGTTAGCTGAGTGGTTAGAGGTCATGGTGATATTAGTATTGGTAAAAAGAGGATGCTGGAGGTTGCTGTGTCACAAGGAGCAATGAGTATAGATATAGGATGTAACCGTCTGTGGAAGGGTTGGGAAATCTGCAGAGATGTCATCAGAATGTGCTGTAATCTGAGCTTCATTGTTGGAGATGTGGCGTGTAGTTGTGCACGAGGCAATGCATAAACGACGAGCCTAAGTATCCGATCTGGTCACATAGTGTTGTCTAACAATATCCAGAGGCTGACAGCTCCGTCCGAGATCTCTCTCTTGAAGTACATCAAGAATCTAACCACACGTTTTTGGTGAAGACGGGTATGTCGATGATGCCGGCTCGTGTCTCGTGATGGAGGCATTACCTGTTACCACGCCAGGAGGACACCAGGACGACAGTAGTTGCATCGATGGTCGCCTTGAGGCGCGACTAGTCTAAATTGCTGTGGATAACGAATTCAAACATATACGTGAAGCATCAACTGCTTCACTCACGCAGCTTCTTTTACTGCACGAGCGTCTACCTCTTGTCTATGCACCGAGAACTCTTCGTCTTGCACCTGCGTTTGCGCTTTTCGTCTCTCTCCTGCATCTACCCATCTTCTGAACCCAATGGTCGTCAGGCTTGCCAGTCCCATCTGTAAGACTTGGAAAATCAGCATTGGTATCTGAATCTTCGCTTCTTCCAGAGCACTAATCCCAGTGAACAGCAAGAAACTGATAGGAACCCCTAGAGCCAGAGTCTTTGCGGGAGCACACATGGCTACTGCTATAGTGTCCTCTCTGTTGAGCCATGGGATAGACGTCACGAACGAAATTGCAAGCCAGGTACCATAATTGACAATAGTAATGAATACAATGAAAATCAAATTCGACGACTTGACCGCTTCAAATGCCTGAGTTCCAAAAGCATGATCGAAGGTTTGCCAGAGCAGTGAAAGCATTGCACATGAGGCGAATTTGCCGATTTTCCAGTCGACAAAGACTTTGTTCACCAGTTTGGGACAGAAATATCGCAGGACTTGACCCAGGAACATGGGCAGATAGATCGATAGTCCGAATTGCATGAATACCCTGCGGTATAGCGCTTGATATCCACCAGTCTGCTGTGGAATGACTCCTGCATACCACTGTCCGCCAGATAGATACATCTTGATGAGCACTGGGGTAATAAATGGTCCAATCAGGTTGCCGATGGTCGTTTCGACCACTGTAAGGTGCACATTGCCGTGAGATTTCCTGGTGAACAGGACGTTCGAGGCCATTGCTGTAGGCTGACAACCATTAAAAATCAACCCTATCAACAACCAAGGATCCATGAAGTTCTTATTCAAAGCCGTCAGGCTCACGATGGCGAAGGCCAGAGCGGACACCAGCAGGAAACATTGCGCCTGAACAAATAAATGGTGTTTCCATTTCGCATAGTTGTCGAACAGGGTCTTCGTATCGAGTGTGCAGCCGCTGGTGAAGAAAATAATCGAGACTGATAAATACGACACCAAGACTTGCTTTGTGGCTTGTTGAGCTTGCGGCACTTGCACCTGTGACGAGATGATAACCACTAAAACCATGCCCAGCAGGAACCACTGATCTTTGACGAACCAGATGCCGGCGTCGAGGATGGTCCTTGACCACGACCTCGACGCGACTTCCTTTTCCACAATGTCATCGTGCTCTTCGTTTTCAGGCATACTTTCGCTTAATAGTAGGATAACTCATGAGACATGGCGGCGATACAGGCGTGTATATCAAGGGCGGCACAACGGCAATACGCCGAGAGCAGAGAAAAAGCTCGGTGATCTCACCATTGTTCCGCGGTTAAATGTTGAGCCGAGGGTGAAATATGTGATGGTGGGTGAGATGCAGAAGTTCTCAAGAACCTGCAGGGCGCTTCCCAATAATCTCAATACACATGAACCGCACCCATTGCCGCCCGCCTCTAATAAGAAGTGTTATTTGGTGATCGAAAAAGTGTCCGAGTGTACTGATGTATGGCCATTGACCAGAGCGATGATTTTCGACTGGAGCGTAGGCACAACGACAACGTGGTTGACCTAACTCGGCGGCAGAACACGGTAAGCACTCGAAGATTATCTATCCTTGTCCCGAGTATAAGTAATGCTGCATCTTGCCGTCTCTAGCACATCCGTGAGCAGGCTGGCGTAATCAACATCACGTTGTGGCACATAACGTAGCTACTGATATACCCAGACAAACAATCAATTCCGATTGTCACAAGAAAACTTGTTCTTACGAGCCGGCTGCTCGTTCGGGAGGGGATTACTACCAGTTGTGGCTCAGGTCACTGCGTTCGGCGTAAGGGGTCACGTCTCGAAGATGAGGGAAGGGCCTCGTCCTTCGGCAAGAACAAGACCCTGGAATGCGGTGCACGGATGACAACGAATGCAATACAATCACAAGGTTTTGTTTGTATAAGCACGAGTCAGCCGTTCGTGAGTTTGTACCTCGACCTAATATCGTTCAGCTCATTCGTACGAGCAGCTTTGTTTTTTTTTTTCTTCTTCCTGTTATCACACACTCGTTTCAGTATAGCAGCCCAATACCAAATAGATACCAGTCAACGAAGTCTCAGACCGATTCGCCCTCCTGCAAAATGCGTCAGGCAGCCATTTTCGCAAGCTTGCTTGTAGCAATTGCGTACAGCGCACCTCAGAATGAGGGATGGTAAGTAACCAATATGTTTGGCGGCGACAAGTGCCTTGACAACCATTGCTTAGGACACATGAGTGGGCTCGTAGTAATTTGATATCCAGCTCGACACCACCACTCCCACCACGACCGATGGACACACTCTCATCAAGCTCAGCTGCCGCTTCTGCTCCCACTCCCCAGCTTCTCGGAAATCCCAACGCTAAGCTCAACCTGCCACCAAACGCCAAGCTGAGCGCCGACCTTCTGACAGCCTCGTCTGCCTCTGCACGTATGCAAGTCCTCAAGGACGCGGAGGGCAACAACACCGCTGATTTCAAATTCGATTTGAACCCAAGTGCGAGTAAGTACCATCCGGCAATTTCAATACTTCAAGCTGACAAGTTGTAGATCCAGGCGCTCCTGGTCTAGGTGGCAAGCTCAGTCTTGCCAACCGAGCCACTTTCCCAGCCCTCACAGGCTTGGGCACCGCTTTCGCAGGCCTCTTCTTCGCCCCTTGCGGCCTGAACACACCACATATCCACCCTCGTGCCACCGAAGTTTTCACTCTTGTTACTGAAGGGACAATCACTGCTGGCTTCGTTTACGAGAACACCTTCAGCATGGAAATTAGCGAGAATCTGACTCAGTTTCAAGGTATGGCTTTTCCGCAGGGCAGCATTCATTGGCAATTGAACAACGAATGTACACCCCAGGTTGGCATTGCAGGATTCAGTGATGAGGACCCTGGTGCCAGCTCTGTGGCGCAGAATTTTTCCAGAACACAAGGGATGATATTGTCCAGGCTAGCTTGGGCTTTCCAGCACAGATCACTGCAGAAAGCTTCAAGCAGCTCGAGCAGAATATTCCACGAGCTTTTGCATTGGGTATCAAGGATTGCTATGCTAGATGTGGCATCGCACAATAAGGCAGTCAAATCGCGCCACGAAGTTTGGCTTGGGCAACCCGGTTATCATGCGGTTGGAGTTAGACAAGCGATATTCTTGTTGAGTTGGTGAGACGCTGTTTATGTATTTTTCTTTTGTACTTTAGATCTGTGGATTAATACACTATAACGCTGATGATTTCAAACTTGCCTTCATGAAGCATCTGCTTGCCACGAGATATCGTGACACTTGATCCGCAATCCTTTCGAACCTTCAAATAGCGAAGGTGAGACAAGGCGCACGTCTCGGATGACACTGCCTGTCGTCGAGAGAGAACGATATTTGTATTGCATTAAACCTCGCGTCTCCTTGCCTCCGATGATCGTTTCAGCAAACTCTGGCTCTAACGCGAATATGCTCAAATGTTGTAACTCAGTATTTGTGGCAACAACGAAAACAATGAATGAGCGAGCATAGGTGCTGGAGAGAACACGACGTGAACTGTGCATTGAAATCTTCATACAGACGTTGCGTCAGTGAGCAACGCCAATGTTCTGCCCTCGACGCCCATAGAGACTTGAATAAACTTCGGTTTTATCGGTAGTGAAATCGCCCCTCATGTTCTACATTGTTATTGTAGGGCAATACAGTCTAAAGGCGAGATGGTCCACGTCGCTGCTGCATACCAGGCCACGACGCCTGGGAATTTAATGTAAACTTCGAATGGTGGGATATTGTCACACCATTTAAAGCTTTTCTTGCGTTAGTCAGGCACTGGCGGTCATTAGCTCCCTACTAGTACCCGAATGGCTGCGTGCATGAATCGACCAGAAGCGTTTTGGTTACTAGGTGTGAGCACACGGTCTTCTGCTCTGGCTACATGGTTGTGGCCTACCAGTACTCTGGACTGTATCTTCCTCCTGAACAGGTTGTAACGAAGACGAGTGCCTTCAATTCTGAGAGAGGTTCTGCAAAGATTATGTAGTGTTTGGTGATCCAGTACCCATCCCGGCATTTCTGAAACAACGGCGCCTGGGGTCACAGAACAAAGTGCGTACGAGCTTCGCGAGAGACCCATCAGTTCTAGTTGAAGATGTGAAATAGTCTCATCTTTCCAACTGTTCTCGGCTCGATGGCTAACCAGTAAAAGATGATCGAGAACCGCAATCACAGTGAAAGTGGCTTCCAATTTGCTACTTGATCAAGACTTGACGCAAAGCGCAACTTTGTTGAACTTGTATTCAGCTCGGTAGTAATACTTGCCCGAGTAGTGTCTCTCTTGAAATCTTGATATTTCATATCTGTAACATCGTAATAGTACTCGCGAACTGAACTCATTTTCGGTGTTATGCTGACAAGGATCACTTGACGCCAATGCGTCACTAGCATGGTTCAGAGGAGCAGAGCGTCGCCCAATTTAGTATCTCAGGATCATGGACCTTACTTTTGTGCCTGACAATCCAACCAGTATTGATCCTTCTAAAGCTTCTATCACTGCAACGCGAGGAGCAGCGCCCTCTGTATCCGAAAGTCTTCCGGAGACAGCTGATACCCGCCATCACTACGCAGACAAACGCAACGCGTGTCCATCACGCACTTCGGTACACTCCATCTCGTCCAATATATCGACGTCAACGACCAACCTTGATGTTCCAAAACTCAAACGGAAGCACGGACACAAGCAAATGCGCCAGCAATTGAACGCTGCCACTGTGTCACTGCCTACTGCGAGCGCCACCACAAGGGCTGTAATCTCTGCTTCTCCTCTACAACCACATAGTAAACAACCAGCACCAAGACCCCCACACCTGTTTCTGACGCGATCCAATACTGCACCGTCTCCAAAACGACCACCCGCATCCCATAGCTCTTACGGGGTTGAGACCATCGTTGGACCTCCACCATCGTTCGATACAAGGCGAACCCTGTCTACCGAAAGAGTGTGGAAAGCTGAAAGTTCCATATCCCTGCGCACGACCCCTATCGAACGCGCAGAAGGACAACTGCATTCTATTGCGCCAAACGGGGAGCACTGGAGTGATCGCGATCAGCCTCCTTCCTCGATACCTCTCCCAGTCGACTCATCGCCTGAAACGGCAGATACACAAAGCGTTGCGACACCTACTGATGGTGAAGAGGTCCTCGTAATGGATACACGTAGTGAACAGGGTTTAGGTCTAAGTCACAGTGAAGGTGGCAGTGGCAGTAAAGCAAGTAGTGAGTCACGTAAGAGCGAGGATCTGTTTCTGAATATTGCCAAGGTTGATGTGAGCCGTCCTATTTTTCCCAGAGGCGAGAAGCGCAGAAGTCGCATATCTTTGCCCTTTCTATCCGGTGCACGCCCAGCCACGAGTCATACAAACGAGTCTAGCCAGTCCCATACCGAGTCTCCTGCTGCAACGCCTCGAGCAGAGGTTCCTGCATACCAAAGCAAGCGTTCCAGTCTGCAATTCGGTCATTTGCGTGGCCCGAGTCAAGCTTCAGATCTTGAGCCAAGCCACACGCAGAATACAGGCCTGTACAGCCAGAGATCGTCCACCATGTATGCGGATACTATCAGAGCCCCTGCACATTCAGGCGCAGGCACGCGAGGCAACAGGCTCGTATCTGAATCTGGCAATATGGACAAGTCCAAGGCCACGGATCAGAATGCCACGGAATCCACTGCCTCAACCACTGCACCGTCGACAGTATGGGATGAACTCGATGATTTGAAATCACGTATACGAAAGTTGGAATTGACTGGCAAATTACCACCATCCTCGGCTGCAGCGATGGTCTCGGCTGAACGACCAAGGACGGCCACAACTGCCGCGACCACTATGTCTAGTTCTCCCAAGCACAGTAAGACGCCTAGCCAGCTTCAGTCAACAATAGAAGGTGTTCCACCCAATGTACATCCTTTACTTCACGAGGCACTCGGCAATGCCAAAGCCATTGTCAGTCACGACGTTTACCAGAAACTGCTGGCGACTGCTCAGGATGCACTACAGCTTGCCACAATGACGAGTCTTGACAATCAAAGTGTTCGTAGTGGCGTTCCAGCCATGTCAGAGCGTCAAGTACGACGTCGAATAGAGAGCATGTGCAGAAGTTTGACAGAGCTAGCCATTGCTCTGGCTATTGAGCCAAAGGTGTCCCAACCATCTTATCGACCAGGGAGTCGAGACAACCATATCTCTCCTTCCATTGGCTTGCGAAACAGGGACTATGGTCAAAGCAATGAGCAGATCGACCGGCCACCAGTAAGCACTCGCGTCCAGTCTCGCTTGGAGAATCGCAGAGTCAGCACGCAAACAATCCAAGCCCGTCCCAGACACGCTTCGCCGGAACGTGAGTCACCGACAGCATTGCCTCAATATCCTACTTCTGGCGGCACTACTACACGCAGAACCTCCCACTTGCGCAATAGACGAACTCAGGGATTCTTAGATGGCGCAAACGATGACAGTGAAAGCAGCCCAGGTGTTCGACCTGTAAGCCGGGCCATGACTGACCTGGCGATAACCCGGCGACCGTCACGCGGCGATTATGCCGCACTCTCTCGAGAATATACCAGCCAGCATCCTTTGCCTGCAACGAAAGGCGATGCTTCGTCAATCACGAGAACACCACTTCCAGCGAACATAACCTCTAATCTTGTTTCTCGTCGCAAGTTTCCATCTCCTGCGGGTCAGACCGCTCAAGCAGATAGCAGTCCTCTAGCACGCAGACAATCTTGGGGCAGGATATCTATTGTTCAAAATGAGACAACACCTATCTCGGATACAGTGTCAGAAGCACCCGGATCGACCTCGTCAATCAGGACGCGCAGGAGTCTAGGATTTGCTAGTCGTATAGGATCGAGCGTTGGCAGCCGCTTACGTGCAGCACGAGCGGAGCGTATGGATTCACGCAGCTACAATGAACCATCTTCGTCCACTACCAATAATGAGGTGATTGGTTGATATGCAGCACGGGCTCAACAGAGTGGCTGACACCTCTCAAGCAGAAGCCTTGTCAGGTTGGCACACAAGCAAAAATTTTCAGTAATCGAGGGTCTTAGAGAGTGATGGTAGCTCGTGCGCTTTTGTTCGATCATATACTGGCGGGTTTGATCAACCCTCTCTAGCAACCTTGGGTAGATTTTCCCTCGTCTGTAGACAACTCGGGCCGTGTCACAATTCTTTTCGTAGTCAGTAGCTCACTCCATCTGATAACCAAGATTCGCAGGTGTGCCCAACTTCGTGTCATCGTTGCAGTGTCGCGAGCATGTCCGATGACCGCTTCCATGCGAGCCACGACAGAGCTGTTTCAAGATTCGTATACAGTATATTTCCCGACTCTCCACCAGGAAGCATGGCCCAATCCTTTTTCTCAAAAACGCAACAGGAACTGACATCCACACGCATCATCACGATCACGGATTCTATGGCAGATTGCTACGGTCTATCAGTCGGTCTTTGTTTATTGTGGACTCGGGGGAACCCGCAAAGTCAGTCCGGGAAAGCGAATTTCTTTGTCTCCTGTCGTTCGTTCTGCGTTGCTTCCAGACTTGGCTGCCTTGTCACATTCCTTCAGCCGGCGGACGTGGTCCTCAGTCCGTCTTTCTTACATAATTCGGTTCCTGCTCCAATGATGTGAGGCGGTCAAGGTTCCTACTGAGTCCTCAGGGCATGCGTGGAATCGAGATATGGCGCCATCTGTGCTCGTGGCTTCGCAAGCAAGCACGATTTATTGCATGATCAGACGTGCTACGCTCCACTGCTGTTCGGAAACATCAAGTCTGACTCCTTGGGTAGATACATAAAACATACAGGTGAGCCATTTGATTAGCAAGGTGTCCTCACTGTTCCGTTGCTGTCCTCAATTTCCATCGCTCTTAATATTCGACGTCCTTGCGGTTGCACGTCCTCGAGCACAAAGTTTCTGCCTGCTGGTATCGGTATATCTTCATCCCTTCAGCTTGTCAGAGAACTAGCTCTATAAATCACCACGTCGATCACCCTAGCGTTGTACGTCACATACTGCATACACTATTGCCTAAATATGGCATCATATCAAACCACCAAACCGTCGCCCAGCATAATTGCTCATGGTGACGTTCGACGAAAGTCAACAGTGTCGGCAGCGTCGTCAGTCGCTTCCACCCTTCACAATAGTCCCCGAGTCCAGCTCGTCCCTCACTCCAGACAGCCAAGCTACGATGCCTCATTATCACCGTCTGATATCGAAAGTCTCGCTAACACCAGCTTTGACTCAAAGGACGTGTCCTCGAAGGACTTCGATTTCGAAGACATCTTTACATATGATAAGCCGCAGCGGAAACTCAAAAGCGTGGTTGAGGTGTCGTCTTCAACAAGAGATTGGTCGAACTTTTCGTTTTCACATTACCACAGTGCTGTCAATGTAAGGCAGAAGCACAACAGGAACAGGTCGTCAAACGCAGGCGAAATGTTAATGAAGAATCAAGGGGACACAAGAAAGAGGTGAGGTTCATACACTGGCTGTGGGAACTGGTTCGCACATGTATAAGGATCTGCGGTCGACATAAGAGGAGTCAAAGGCTCATGTTTGTCAGTGAGAAGTTCAAGACTTGATTTCGTTATCCATCCGGAATGACGACACACGTTTATGTCAAGAATGGCTCTTTTCCAAGATATGGTACCGAAAGGATATGGATGTTGAAATTGCAGCTCGGAAACATTGAAGAAAAATAATCATTGTATGCAAAGCCATTGTGACTGCTTGAGACCTAATCTCAGTGAATTCAAGCAGACGTTGAGAGGAGTCATAACAAGTACTTTCCGTGGCTTTGTAGTTCGTGGGGCCTTGCTCGGCACAGTAGCAGACTGAAACGTAGCACTGCCCTAGGCAACGCTCAAAGTGGTAGAGTGGTAGGCGGTGAGTTTGGCCTCTGTTGATTCCAAAAGACTTCACTCTCAACTCTCGTCACTTCTTCCAGAAGCGCTTTAGAAGTACACAGCAAGTTTAATGTTCCAAGAAGACATGAACTGCGCTCCTGTAGCGGACAGTGTAGTGTTCATAGCTGAAAAGCCACCAATCTGGAATCCAGGCTGGGGTTGCCAGTCTGCATCGGCGCGAGTCGGCCTGGACCTCGAGGCAAGCACGGCAGGAGGCAACTGGGTGGGTGCTTTGACCAGTGAATGGCGCCTAAAGGAATGCTGTCTATTGGCTTGAGCAAAGTGACCAGTCTTCATATGGAATTAGGGTGAAACGCAAACAAGCTGGCTATTTTTGTCATAAGCGCTCGGTGGAGCCCTACTCTCAACCAATAGTGAGAGGTTTAAGCATCCTTCCCGGTCTTTCACTGCTGCGCCAGCACTGGATTCGACTGGAGATTATGCTGGTCGAGTGCCGTCTTCAGCATATCCATGATGGCGAGGCGGGCGTGATTCGTCAATGTCGTGTTCCTCTCGGCTTGGCTCCGCCCTCACACTCCAGGCTTTACACCACAGATGCGCTCGTCGGCGCCCACCAGCGCTTGCAAGTGACAGTTCACCTTTCCTCTCATCAGCTCAGAGTGCTTGCGTCGTGCTTCCCACCCAGACTTCACATCGCGACATTGGCGACGACCAACCGATTGGTTCGACTTTCTCTCCTCTCCCACAATCCTCTCAGCCTTTGCGCCAGCAAACTAATTGGTACCATTCATCCACGTTCGTTGAATCTCTGCTCGTGTGCAGCAAGTTGTCCCGTACTTTATTCTCTTTTCAACACGCCTGAGAGTAGATCCAGCTTTGCGGCAACCTAGCTCTAATACTACGACCAACTCGATCTTGCGCTCATTAGACAAAGAGAATACTGGTATTCTCGTCTGCATAGAAGAACAAGAGCATAGAAAGCTTGTCAGAGGTGCCGCAGAGCGTGCACCCGAGCGCATAGCCGCTGTCCAGCACTTGCATCTTCTCTTACACCACACGTTTCGCCTACAGACAGACTGGTCAAGTAGACGCGCTTTGCACCTTCATCTCTACTGTAAGTAAATCCAGCCTCTTGCTTTTACTATGGACGTCGAGCACCTGCTGTGCCGAGCATAGACATGGACGACTATACTGCCAGGTATACTAATGTCTCGCCTAGTAAAAGATCCTTCGATCAAAGTACCACTCCGTCCATATTGAGCAACAAGCAATACTATTGCGCACACTATGCAATAGCACCCAAGGACTTCACCTTACCTCAACCTTTTCATCTGTCCTACTCGGCCTCGAAACGACGATTGTCGTCTCCCAAAGCCAGCACTATGCTAGCAGACCGTGATTCAATAATGCCAGAATCGTTTCCATCTTTCATGTCTGTGTATGAGAGTGAAGAGGCAGATATTTACAGGCCAGCAGAACTAGAAGAACAACCAACAGAGAAACAAGATGCGTTGTTACTGCTAACAGCACGACCTCAGATCCCTTCAGACACACAATTACACCACAGACCACAACAGCACAGCCATCGTAGTAGCATAACTTCCCTGTTTTCCGAGTCCACAGAGTCCTCTCCCACCACCACTAATTCGACCTTCGACTCACCACTAGTGTCGGACAACTCTGCATCTACTTCACCTGAGTCTGCGAACTCAATACTACCACCTACTTCGTTTCGTGCAACAACAACCCAAGACAAAGCACAACACGCACCTATGCAGCTCGACAAACAACAAACAACAAACGATCCACGTCCAGAAATCATGCAAGACACCACCAAAAATGTAAAGAAACTTACACTTGACATGGACATTCCTGCTATACGTAGGCCTGCAACAACGCATGTTCCGTTAGATGTATCACAGCCTCTTTCTGCCCCTACATCGCCCTTGAAGGAACCAATGAAGAGTGCAAGGAAAAAGCCAACCAATCTCACAATAAGAACACCCGGCTACAACCAGGTATCGTTCCCAAGGTCTTCCGGAATTGTCCCGCCGACACCAAGTGGCAGACCAGGCCTGCATCAATACCAATCGTCTCCGGCATTGTCGTCACTTGCCTCTCCTAGAGTCGGACCTCCAAACGGCATGTTCTTACCCTTGCCAAGTCTGAACACTTCCAACAATGGGCTTGGTGGCGAGCGAAACTCCTTTCTAGGCAGTAGTATGCCTGGTTTACATGAGGAGAGTGAAGGCCAAGTCCCAAAATCTCAGGAGGCGCCGGAACGTGGCTACACAGAAGGACCCGTATGCATCTATGACTGTGGTGTCTATCTCTACCTTGAGCCAACGGCAGAAGAAGCCAGACAATTCGATACCGTAATCAATGTTGCAAAAGAGGTCGGAAACCCATTCGCGACACAATCTGCCCAAGAAGGCAGTGTTATGTCAGTATGGCGGGACCAGAATCCGAGCCCTGCTTGCACTTCAATGACAGAGCCTCAGACTGCTATCTCAGAGTATTCGTTCCAATCGGCGTGGGAGTGGCAACCACCACAGAGCACCATTACTCCGAGTGCAACAACACCAACGCAGTCGACCTTCGCCCGCAGATCAAACGGGCCTGAGTATGTGCACGTCCGCTGGGACCACAACTCAGAGATATTGGAGGATCTGTATCCATTGTGCAAGTTGATCGATGACAGAGTAGCTGAGCACAAGAAAGTCCTTGTACATTGCCAATTAGGTGTAAGTCGATCGGCTTCTCTCATCATTGCCTATGGCCTGTATAAGAATTACCAGGCGACTTTCCATGCCATGTATGGCTCGGTAAAGGAACGGAGCAAATGGGTCGGGCCGAACATGAGTCTCATTTACCAATTGACGGACTTCAAGAACAAGCTCAACAATGGTGATCTTGCATCTAGCGACAAGCAAGCAAGGCCAGAGTGGTTTATGCGATCATCAGGTGAGAGTCCAACGCCTACTGCCACTGTACCCGCACCTCCAGCCGTTCCGGAGAACTCAGCAAAGCAAGCACTCGAGCGAACGCCTATTGAGAGAACGCCACGGAAGAAGCTTCCGTCGCCTCTGCTCCTAGACAAAGCTCTTCCGCCTGTACCTTTGTTCGCGCAGCACGAGCAACCCACATCAGTGTCGTCGACTGCTAGACTGGACGACAAGCCGCTGTCAGTGGTAGAAACAGCAGCTCCAGTGAAGAAAGCTGCTCCCAGACCTCTGCCGTTCCGTGAGCGAAACGTTGATATGACGGTTCCACAATATCAACCACGCCAACTCAGTCGTACAATACTTGCACCATCATCAACTGTTATGGACTTAGCTATGAACGACGTACCTAGCACTCCATCGTTATTTTCACCAAGAGTGACAGAGTTTAGAGCAATACCTTTTGGTGTACGTGGAGCAGGCGATCTAGAAACACCAAATAACCGGCTCTCGAAAGAGATACCACTGAAGTTCGACTGGCTACCACTAAGGAAAGATGGACATGTACGGACAGCATCGAAAGACCCGAGGAGTCCACATCAGGAGGACGAATCGAAAGAGATATACAGGAGCATAGACCAATACCTGTGATTGGAGAGAGTTTGTCTGAAAACCTTTTTGAGCGTTTTAGCAATGACTTTTTGGCAAGGCGTATAGGATACCCAATTTGGCTCAGCCTGATGGGAGGACAGAATATACAGATGGAGTAATACTGATCGGAAAATGTAACAATAGCATACCGAAACAGCCGTGGACCTGACTATGAGCGAAGAGCAGGATTGAAGTTGATGATGACGAGGTATGAGCTGTGATGATCTTGATGACCACAACTCAGGACAGGGCGAATATTAGCCAGAAATAAAAATCCAGCTTGCTCTAGGAGCACGCTAATGCTCGAGAGAATTACATTACATATTAAAGCTCTTGGCTACTGGCACTGTGAACGTTTTAGGAACGTAGACTCGTTCTTCATGGTGCTATGATGTCGCTGTCAGCGATTGATACAAGACATGGAAATACGTGTTGTTGGTGGCCGTCGTTGTACTCAATGAACTGTGGTTATTTGATAGTTGCTTGGTTGATGCCTATCAGAATTAATGCGCCTCAACTTCCTGGACCTCTGTGACGTACGAGTCCTGCGGACATCAACGGGCACTCAATTCAAGCAGCAGTGTCTACTCAACGCGTAGTGCACAGAGAACGTGAATTGAACTGACAGGCAAACCGACAGAGCATCGACGTGACAGATGGCCCCAACCGACAAGATTGCTACGTTCCATTTCTGCATTCCTCCTTGTGCCCCTCCATAAGATTGTCTATTTCTCTATATTTCTTCCAGTATGGCCATGGAACGGACCAGGATCGCAAAGGTATGCCGCACACTCAAAGAGCAGAATATGTGAATGACAGGATCGAAACAGGTCGACGAAGTGGTGCTATCTCGCAGAGGTGAACAAGCCAAAGGCACCCTTCACTTAACACCACACCACCTTATCTTCGTCCACTCTCCCCCACCTCTCAACGAGCAGTCACCAAACACACCTCCATCACGACCACGAGAACTATGGATAACGTATCCCATCATATCCTTCTGCACCCTCCGACCCTCCCCAATAGCGTCACGTCAACCCTCCTCAATACGCCTGCGATGCCGAGATTTCACCTTCATCTGCTTCTATTTTAACGACGACCGCAAAGCCCGCGATGTCTTCGAGTCGATCAAAGCCTGGACCTGCAAACTCGGCAAGATCGAGAAGCTCTATGCCTTCACGTACCGACCTCCAGGGCCAGAGAGGGATGTTGTGCCTAGTGGATGGAGTGTCTACGATCCTATGCGCGAATGGCGCCGACAGGGTCTAGGCGACGAGAAGCGCAATCTTAATTGGAGGGTCAGCACGATAAATAAAGATTATCAGTTTAGTCCGACGTATCCAGCTTTGCTGGTGGTGCCGACTAGTATATCAGATAATACATTGAACTATGCGGGCAAGTACAGGAGTCGGGCGCGGATACCGGTCCTGAGCTATGTGCATCCGGTCAATAATTGCAGTATCACGAGGTGTAGCCAGCCTATGGTGGGTGTGAGGCAGAACCGCAGTATACAGGATGAGAAGTTACTGGCTGCGATTTTTGGGACTACGAGGAATGAGAGGCCGCTTGCTGGGCTTGGGAGTCCGACGCCAGAAAGGGAGGATTCTGGGAGCAGTAAAGATAACAGTCTGGGTGGAGATTTACACCAGACGGATGCAGAAGCTATTGAGGATGCCGTGATTGCAAAGCTGAGAGGAGATGATGAGGACTCGGACGACATGGACCAGAAGAAACCAATGGTATACGGCGCTCAGCAAAAGAACATGATTGTGGATGCAAGGCCGACTATCAATGCGATAGCCATGCAAGCTGCAGGAATGGGCTCTGAGAATATGGACAATTACAAGTTCGCAACCAAGGTCTACCTGGGTATCGACAACATCCACGTAATGCGACAGAGTTTGGACAAGGTCATCGACACACTGAAAGACTCGGATTTGACACCTTTAGGTCCCAATAGAGAGCAGCTACAGAAGAGCAACTGGTTGAAACACATAGGAAACATGCTTGAGGGTGTTTCGCTGATTGCAAGACAGGTCGGACTACAACATAGTCATGTACTGATCCACTGCAGTGATGGCTGGGATCGTACCAGTCAACTTTCTGCACTGGCTCAGATGTGCCTTGACCCTTACTATCGCACTCTGGAAGGCTTCATTGTGCTGGTCGAGAAGGACTGGCTCAGCTTTGGCCATCAGTTTAAATATCGAACCGGCTTCTTGAGCTCGGAGAAGTGGTTCCATATCGAGAATGAAAGGGTCAGTGGTCGATACGACGAGGAAGAAGGAGACCGTAAGCCCAGTGGTGATGCTCTCTCAGGCGCACAGAAGACATTTGAGAATGCGTTCTTGAGTGCCAAGGGCTTCTTCACCAAACACAATAATGACTCAAGAGAGTCGATAAATGTCGATTCTGAAGCTGAAGCAGGAACTGACGCAGATGCATCCAGTGGCAGGAAAAGCACGTCGAAGAAGAATGAGCACGACAAACAGGTGACAAAGGTCAAAGAGACTGCTCCTATCTTTCACCAATTCCTCGATGCAACCTACCAGCTCATGTATGAACATCCTTCTCGATTTGAATTCAACGAGCGATTTTTGAAACGATTACTGTATCATCTTTACTCGTGTCAATATGGTACATTCCTATTCGACAACGAGAGACAGCGACAGGAAGCAAACATTTCTGAGAAGACGACCTCGGTGTGGAATTATTTCTTGTCGCGGAGAAACGAGTTTATGAATCCGAATTACGATCCCCAGGTGGACGATAATGTTCGTGGTAAAGAGCGGCTCATCTTTCCGGACGAGAGAAAGGTTAGGTGGTGGGCGCAGGGATTTGGCAGGACTGACGAAGAGATGAATGTGCCGTTAAAATACCTTCCAGCTTCTGCAGAGAACAACGGTGAAGAGTCGGAGCTTTCAAGTACTCACGACAGCACACAATACTCCCACAGTGTGCCTGTAAGCAGGGTTAGGACTCCCGTTGTGACAGGCGTTGAGACCGCGACTGCCGCAGTCGGTGTTGGATCGCCACCAGGTGCCGGGACGAATGTATCTGAAATTGCTGCTTTGGTCGAGAACGACAAGAAACACGAGCAACCAAGCTTAACCACAAGCGCTACTATAACTTCGGAGCCAGAGGCTGATGTCGAAGTTAAGGACATACCTGAAGTGAAGGCGATGGAGCCAGAATCAGCTTCGGCACAACACGCTGTGCACGAGGATGTAGTCGAGCAGTTACCAGACGGTCTTGATCCTCTAGGAATAGGAGACGTAAAAGATCATGTGCCAGCCACAAAGAGGGTTGCTCTTGAGAGGAGAAAAGAGCAATTGGAGGCACTGATGCAATAACGTTTGCAGATGAAAGGTCTCGAAATTGCGCAGGACGTACCTGCCTTCACCTCTCCTCAACTCATACCACTTCTGCAAGTCTCATCTTGTTTTTAGTCTTCACTGCACCTTTCCTGCTGCATCCATGTTACAATTATGCGACTTTGTATTGACCCAATACTTACTGGTGTATAGTTCGCGATGTATTTTTCGTTGTTCTTTGCTGCCATTGCAGCTCTAATAAAACTAGCCTCTACTCAAGATGATCTACCTGGCAAGTTCGAGCCGGCAGGACGATCTGGCGTTCCTGTCATGCACGCAGCTCTTCTACCAAATGGCAAGGTTGTCTTTCTTGACAAGCTCGAGAAATACACCGAGTCCAAACTTCCTACAGGCCGATATGCCTATTCAGTCGAATACGATCCGACCACCCACGAACTGTCTCCACTGTCCTTATCATCGAATGCGTTCTGCTGTGGAGGTGCGTTTCTCGCTGACGGCACACTAATGACTGTGGGAGGCAATGGTCCTTTGTCATAGCTTGACGATAGCATTGCTAATGGGTTCGACGCGCTGCGATACTTGGGTAAAGAATGGGTAGAATATCCAGGCGTTCACATGGATTCGAGGAGATAGTATCCTTCTGCTCTAACATTGTCAGACGGCAGGGTGTTCATCGCTGCTGGCAGTCTGAATGGCCTAGACATTCGGGATCTTCGAAACAACAATCCTACCTACGAGTTACTTGACAAACAGGGTAAGCCCATAGCGAGGAGTATTTCAATGGACATACTTGTGAAGAATCAGCCCTACTGGATGTATCCGTTTCTTCATTTACTCAGAGATGGAACTCTGTTCGTTTTCACAGCCAAGTCGTCACAAATCTTTGACGTTGATCAAAATCGCATCATTCGTCAATTGCCTGACCTGAAAGGCCTCAAAAGAACGTATCCGAATACTGGTGGAAGTGTTATGCTGCCGCTGACCAAGCAAAACAACTATGGGTCACAGATCATGATCTGTGGTGGTGGTGAAATCGATGATATATTGAGTACGACAGACGAGACTTGTGGCACCATCTCACCTATGTCGACCAAGCCTGAGTGGAAAATGACCAAAATGCCTGGTGGTGGTCGGTTGATGGTTGAAGGCACTCTACTGCTTGACGGCACTGTTTTGTGGTTGAATGGTGCTAGACTAGGCTGTCAAGGCTTCGGTACTGCCAATAATTCAGCATTGGAAGCACTGATCTATGACCCGCAAGCTGAATCATGGGCTACTGCAGGCAAGACCGATATCCCTCGCATGTATCATTCTGTTGCGCTGATGCTGTTGGACGGCACCATCCTAATAGCTGGCAGCAATCCAAACGAGATGCCACTTCCCGAGGAGAACGTGGTTCAAGACAACCCTACGAGAGCATATGCTACCGAATTTCGGGTAGAGAAATACATACCGCATTATCTGCTCGAGAACAAAGCTGAAATGAGACCAACTGGAATGCGCATTCGGGACAAGATACTGGTTCCTGGAGGAACTATCACCACGATCAGCTTTGACCTGAACTCGAACCACGTGCCCAAAGACGTCAAAGTTCTCCTATATCATGGAGGTTTTGTCACGCATTCGCTCCATATGGGTCAAGTCATGGTTGAGATGGAGTCTCTGCCCCCAAAGTTGAAGTATTCCAGTGGCAACCAGTGGACAGTGGAGGCCAGAGTTCCTGATATCAAGATTGCGCCTGGTCCTTATGTCATATACGTCGTGGTTGACGGTGTGCCGAGCATTGGCCAGTTTGTGAGCATACAGATATATTGACAGATTAGCTCTTAGAGGAGTTGTGTATCGAATTGTGCAAGCATGGATCTCTTCGAGAACAACCTCCATTGCAATGCAAGGTAGCGTTAATGTTTTCTCTGAGCATCATCTTCGACTCGTACACAACACAATTTCGAGCAGATTCAGCTGCAAGTAGATGTGTAACTTGGTATCGAATCACGGAAAGTCAGGGATCGGTGAAGGCCACGTGCCAAACCTTGACGTGGGCCTGATTGCTGGTCACATCGTGGTTCAGCTACTCGAGTATAATTGAGCCGGCATAGAAAGTGTTTGACATTATGCGGCTGTTTCGAGCAAGCGTCAAGTCTCGAGGCCTTTGCTTTGTTGATGGCACTGATGGGAGCATCAGTAGTGCCTGCTTTTCTTCCTTTTTCAATTCATGGTATTTGTCTGGTGGAAGAGCTCGTAAGTTATGGGACATAAGTAATTCAAAAGACCGAAATCAAAACCAGGAACAGTCCGGGCCGAAGGTGACCTTTCCGGCATCGCGCTTTTTCAGTGAGATTGTGAGTGCAGCCACAGAAAGGATTTTTCACACATTCAGGGAACATAGCAATTGTAAAAAGGTTACATACAAGCAAAGTCAGTTGAATTAGGATAATGTTTTTATTGGTAAAGACTGTTCATACTGTGCATTTCTCTGGCTCTACAATTGCTACTCTGGAGGAGCGGTAGCGTTAGGAAGCCCGAAACTCTAACTGCCTCCATCATCTCGTGCCAGCTGGGCTGTGCACGTTTAATGTACCACTATACTTGACAGTGCGCCAGTCCTGTTTATCCAGAGCTATATGATCGATCAACAAGATGCACATATAGACGAAATTTACAGCCATGGCGGACGTTGAGCGTAGATCCAGAACCAAACATCGGAAGTCGACGTGTGCTGGATGCAGGCGCAGAAAGGTAGGTGAGATCCCCAGGGATCTGCATCTCTATTGCCCCATTCTTCATCGTTCCTTGCACACCATGTGGTGCTGATCATGCTTCTTTCCAGTCAAAATGCGACGGAAGAACTCCTTCATGTACTACGTAAGTATCATCCACGAATGACTTGTTGGACTGGGTAGGTTGACGTCTTGGACAGCTGCATCGCATACAAGGACGAATGCATTTACGATAAGCCGTACGTACAGTATATAATCTCCGTGTCTGACGCTGACGCGAAATAGACCCTCATTGGCATATGTGCGCGCTCTCGAGGAGGAGGTACACCAACTGCAGAATCAGCTAAAATCCCTTAAGACACAAGCATGGGTAAACAAGTCGCCTCAGCTGGAGGAGAAGAAAGTTCTTCCTGCCGGCTCTCCCATCACTAGTGCTAGCTCTTCACGACAGACTGAATATGGGCTTGACAGCATTCTTCCATATAGGTCTCCTCCGTCACGAACAACCAAATGGGAAGCCGACATTAGTGTAGACGATAGAGGCTCGATATCATTCCATGGCTCAACTTCAGCAGTGCATGAACCTCCAAATTTGGAGCAAGCAGCGCAAATAACTTCGCAGCAGCTGATGAGCCCGAGGTCTCAACAGGAAGAAGAGCAAACTAAGCATGATTTACGACAAAATGCGCAAAATCAACGACAGCTCGAGGACTTCGCTATTGCGAATACAGCATCGCGTGTCAACTTACCAAAGGACGTTTCCGAGGAATTGTTGAAGTTTCATTGGTGCTGGATTCATCCGCTCTTCGCCTTTGTGTACCGTCCAGCCTTCACCCGCGGTATGACCTTGGTGAACGCAAGTCAGCCAGGCTTGCCAGATCCGCCTTATTTCTCTGAGACTCTGCTCAAGGTTATGACATCTCACTGTGCCCGCTTTCTGAATCATGACATCTACCAGCACCATTTCAACATGAAATTTACACCCTCTCAATTTGTTGAACAGACCACGCAGGATGCAAGAGTAAGTCTGGCCATGGAGAGTTTGAACTCAAGTTCAATACCAACCATACAAGCCTTACTACAGCAATCTGCAAGGGAAATCGTTTTTGGCAGGTCGTCTCAAGGTTGGTTGTATGGAGGAATGGCTTTCAGGATGGCCTTGGATATGGGCATTCACCTGCCTAGCGATAAGTTACAGACTTTCGTGAAGAGCCTCTCCAACGAAGATATCGAGATAAGAAAGCGTTTATTTTGGAGTTGCTATACATGGGACAAAGTGTTGAGCCTGTATCTTGGTCGAATGCCAGCATTTACACCACTTATCGATGAGGTCCCGCTGTCGTTCCTTGACGACTTCACTGATACAGATCCTTGGTCACCATACTACGGGGAAGCTCCAGGTATTCATGCTAAGGGCCTGCCACCTTATCCACCGACACCAGGCTATATTGTATCATGCTTCCAGCAGCTAAGCAAATTATGCGTAATAATTGACGACTTGATGCAAAACATATATTCAGCTGAAGCAGCTGCGAAGCGTACTGAAGACTTGCAACCCGCGCAGAGGACAGCAAGAAGCGAAGAGCCCTTCATGCGTGTCTCTAGATCCCTACACGACTGGTGGGCGGCACTTCCCATTCATCTCAAAGTCGACATCAACCATATACCGAAGCTAGCACCTCCGACACACATCATGTCACTCAACTTGCTCTATCACACCATCGTCATCCTCCTCCATCGCCCAATCCTCCTCGCCAGCGACAGCCCCAATTCCGAAAACACTTCACGATCCTACACCAGCTGTCTCTACGCCACCGCCGCGATCCACGACCTCCTCCTCCTTCAAGCCAACACCTTTGGCCTCGAACAAATAACCTACCTCAACGCCTACTGCGCCTACATGGCCGCCACAATCTCTGTCCTGCGCTTCGAGCGCGAACTCCAACCCCACGAAGACCACAACCTCACAGCCAAGCGCATCGGCCTCGACTACCTTCTCGACGTAATCACCCAGAGCTCCACAAGAATGCCCGGCCTCGAACGTAGCAACGCCATCATCCGCAAACGCATGCAAGGCGTAGTCGACGCCCACCTACGCGCCCACTCACATCTCAGCCCGAATAGCATCGAGCAGCAAGCCAGCGCCCTCGGCCCTCCTACAAGCCAAATCGCCCTAGCTGAAGCCACCGCCTTCCAACAAATGTCCAACCCTGGCATCGGCCACATCTTCGACCCCAACAATCAACAACTCACGCCACAAACCTCGCCCTCTGACCCCTCAACCGTCAACAGCATACCCTCAATATCAACGCCCGTCTCCACTATGCAACAACAATATACCGTCACCACCACTCTCCTTCCAGATCTCCAAGGTCAAATGCCCTTGCCTGCATTCGTCGACGATTTCCTACCCGCGTTCCCAGGTCAGCAGTTCCCTGTTGGATCGGAATATTATTTTGGAAATGATGGGTTTGATACGCAGTCAAAGATGCATCTTATGGGGCATAACCTTGATCCGCATCCGAAAATTGATCCGGGTGCGATCGATTGGCAGTCAATTGGGAAGATTGAGGTGGCGCACGATGGGCAGGCTTATTCGATTGAGGAAATGGGGAGGCCACCGTGAAGGATGCTGGGTTCTGAAGGGTATGTGTGATTGTGATGTATCGCTTTATCAGGTCATTGGTCATGATAACATAAAGACGTGTACGGGTTACTGCGCGACACAAGGATCTTGAAAGAGAATGCTTGAGCCTAAGATTCTTCTACTATATACCAGTTGCACATACAGAACATACATCTATTTTGAGTGGGCCCAGGACACATCGGTGAGCTCCATAAGTATGTGATTGGGGCAGCGACGACAACACCGGTATCCAGGAAATCGACTTGACGCACCGCGTCAGCTATATATGAGCGTTTTTATAATGCCACACGATTGCCACTAAGAACTCTCAACCTTCGAAAGGCCTGAGCAAGCGTCAAGTCCTCAAAGTTCTCCTCTCCTACACCGTCGGCATCCAGATCGTCCCGCCAGATATTGTCGAAGTTATTGGTCTGGTCAATACCCGGCAGTGGCATTCCATTAGACATACGAGTGACTCTGAGTCGCTCAACACGTGCACCACGACTAAACTCACGTTGTCGTCGTTCTCGAATGGATTGTGCTCTTGCTGCTGGACTCTGGTCACCTGATGGTTGTCTGGGACCATGAAGGTACTGACCCTGGAAAAAAGCGGGAGAGCGGATCATGCCAGGTGGAGCAGTGTAGGCGGCATGGAAATCAGTCAGCAGCTGACCTCTGCTCAAATCAGCTGGAGTTTGTGGTTGGTAGCGGGCAGGGACAGAATCATCGTAAACTGTAAAGGAACCATCAAGATACCGCTGATGTACATCCCGACGAGTAGTCCCTGACGGTGTGCGTGGTATACGTGGCAGAGAGGGAGAGCGGACACTTGCGGATTTGTTTAAGGGCAAAAGTGGTGGTGAACTTGGCAGTGAGATGTCATCTGAAATGCTAATTGCAGTATCATCATCCACTTTTGCTTTGCCTTTACAGGTGTGGTTTTCACGCTCTTGTTGGACATGAAGGGGTGTAAACGTCTCCGCCTCAGGTCTCAAGTTCGACACAATCCTTACAGTCGTCCTGTTAGATTCTGCGCTCGTAGGGACAAGTTCGTGGTCTAGATGCAGATGCTCGAGTTCGCTATCGTCCATGTTATCCTCTCGATCAACATCGTCATCGTCCATCTCTGACTGGTCGTAGGAATAGGTTTGGCTGCGAGGACGATAGGTGATGTTCAATTGGGGAGAGAAGAGAGTTCTGGGTTTCGTATTGTCTTTCACAGACTCTTCGGAAGAAACCTCTCGAACAAAGCGAAGCAGGGAACTCTGTCTTGGGGCATGTTGGCGGTTGACAATGTGCTGTTTCTGGCTCATTGTGCCTGGTGCTCCTGTGGCCTTGTCCCTCATTGGCAACAATACTTCTGGAGGAGATACGTTTGAACTACTCGATGAGGCATGCTCGGTGGTGGGTGAGCACGAGTCTTCTTGCTTTGAGGCAACAGGTGGTCTATTGCAAAGCTCGAGCGTGGTAGGTACTGGATCAGAGAAGTCTATTCGTGCTTCGACAGCTTCCTCTTCAGCTGCTCGGTTCTTGAAGTACTCAATGATTTCTCTCTTCTTAAAGCCTTGCTTGAGAAGACCCTGGTAGATGTCAAGTTGTAGCAAATGGGAGTTGAGGTCATCTTGGGAAATGTCGATTCCAGTAGCGGGTAGATGTATCATAGTCAATGGCTCGGGGCTATATCTTTGCTTAGTACACGAAAGGCATTTGCAAGTCTGGATCGTGAAAGAATCAATTAGAAGAGCCACTGGTCGTGGTGGAGGAAACTATAGCACGGACATGAGAGTGAACGGCTGCAAACTCGTACCTTCCTCATGGCAAATGAGGTAGTTGCTCGCTCCTGCCAACGAGTACTTGCGGGTCAGTATTGGTATGGGCATGGGCATTCACACAACCTCATCAACTCCTCAATACCAGGATTGTTCATACTGACAATTGAAGTTCCGTACATTTGCTCAGCTATCTGGATGAGTCGACGATACCAGAAACGACAAGGCATTTCAATATATCAACCTGTAAATTGAGTCGTGGCAGTATCACCTTCCGTCTCGCAAACACACTTGACGCAGCCATCATCGTTCGATATGTGATTCTCAACACAATTCAGCTTGAAGTCAGATTCAAGTGTCTTCACACTACAGGTACCCATTACCATTGTATAGTCTTCGAAGGGGTTAGATCGAAGACGAGTCTTGTACTCAGCACCTTCTGAATATGTACATCCTTACGAGAGGAGATTGGTACGGAGACGGCACAATTTCCCTATTCGAAGTAAGCTTCTCCAGGTCAAGTTGAATACGTAATTATAGCACGATTGAGGAGTGTTCCAAAGCCTAAAGAGCCATGCCGGAAGCTTAGGGCAAATTGTCACAGGCACAAACGTGACGAGCCACTTTCGTACTGAACTGCAGAAGACGCTGGCGGCCGTTGAGTAGGATTGTGTGGAATTACCGTTGGATCCTTGTCAGTTCCGCTGTCGCAGGCTAAAGGCGTCGCATGCACCATCTCATCATTGGCTTTGCAGAACAATTGGCACGAAGAAGTACCGCTGTTGTAGACTGCACGTTCTCTTCACAGCTAGACATGCCTCATTGACCTCAAGCCTCGACAATATCGTCCTATTGACCTCTTCTCCATTGACGTCCTTCGTTTTTAACCACCATTCGCTTTAGAAAATAAATCCTTAGTGGTCCGACCCGAGTCAGTAACATCGGACAGTATCGACACTTCGAATTCCTACACAATTTCCAGACGATCCCCCGCAAGTTCCACTACACGATCAGATCAGTATGCAGCCAGATCTTTGAACCCAATTGAACAATGCCACAATCTCTACGAGTCTGAAACATATCGAGCGCGCTTCGCAACGCAAGTCCTCCATCCACGTCACCAACTGTGGGCGCAGCTGTTCAGCAGCGAAGCGCATTAGGCGCGAACATTCACTCGACCAACTGAGGAAGACGGATCAACTAGCAAGATGAATGATTTGTCCCTCGGCAGGCTACGAATAGCAAATCCTGATGAGTCGTCGCCCGAAACACCACTCCAGCCACAGACCTCTGCGCATTCGATCCCTCCTCTATCTGCAGTGTCACCACTACCTAGCATTGATAGCCCCGAGCACGACTATATCGGGATCCCTCCACGCAACAACGACCGTTCTGTGTCACCCGCCAGCGACCAGCAAAGACCGCAGAACAACTATAATGCTCCCCTCCACAATGAGACCACCCTTCAGTCGCAGTACAACTCGAGCCCACCTCTAAAATCCGATGAGCTCCCGCAGCGCCAGAAGAACCTTCCTCTGACCTATCAAGACCAACAGCAAGCACAGTTTCCTCAATATCCGACTATGATGCCTCAGAACCTGCACGATCCTAGGCAGGGCAGTAGTCGGCCTGGTTCGATGTACTATACCTCGTTACCAGTGAGTAATAACGGCAACGGGTTAAGTAGACAGACCTCGTACAGAGCACCAGGAGCTTCGGGAACGAACACTCCTCAACGCAGCGTCTCTCGCAGGAACCCCCAACCGCAATATGCTGAACGAGACTTTCGGCCATCACCTCAAGCAGGATCTCTACCACAAAGAACAACGTCCCGCCATATGCAATCTTCAAGATACGGATCAACTCCTACCCATCCAACACCTCTGTCCAGCACTCCTGCTTCCCAGACGGCTCTGTCCGTGTCTCCCTACGGTATGGAAGGTGGCCCACTATCTAGTGCCGAAGATTGGCAAGAGAAAGGGGCTGCCGTAGGTGTACGCAGAGATTACGATGTGAATGGACAACCGGTACTGAGACCGATAAAGAAAGGTGTCAAGGATTTTAACTTCGGAGCCACTCTCGGAGAAGGTTCGTACAGTACGGTCATGGCGGCACAAGACAGGGAGACGCAGAAAGAGTATGCCATCAAGGTGCTGGACAAGAGACACATCATCAAAGAGAAAAAGGTCAAATACGTTAATATCGAAAAGGAAACCTTGAACAGACTCACAGATCATCCTGGCGTCGTCCGACTTTACTACACATTCCAGGATGAAAGGTCGCTATATTTCGTGCTGGATCTATGTAGTGGTGGTGAGCTACTGAGTGTGCTCAAACGCATGACCACCTTTGACGAGGAGTGCACCAGATTTTACGGCGCCCAGATCCTGGACACAATCTCATATATGCACCAGAAGGGAGTAATACACCGTGACCTGAAACCAGAAAATGTTCTGATGGACGAAAATCAACACATTAAGATCACAGATTTTGGTACCGCGAAGATGCTCGAAGCTCATCAGGACTCGTCAGGGAGAATCTATTATGACTCTGACACTGGACACATTCGTGATCGTGCGAGTTCCTTTGTCGGCACAGCAGAGTATGTTAGCCCAGAACTGCTAACTGATAAGAACGCCTGTAAAGCAAGTGATTTGTGGGCGTTTGGATGCATAATATACCAGCTACTTGCTGGTAGGCCACCATTCAAGGCTGCTAATGAGTACCTGACCTTCCAGAAAATCGTCGCATTGGAGTACGAATTTCCCCATGGCTTTCCAGATGTTGCTCGTGACCTGGTCGAGCGACTGCTAGTACTGGATCCATTACAAAGATTGTCTCTGGAGAACATAAAGAACCACGAATTCTTCCGGGGCATTAGATGGGGTCGCGGGTTGTGGCAAGAACGTGCGCCAAAGCTCAAACCATATGCTCCTCCTCCGCGGCCACCGATCAAGCTCAATGGGAGTGAAACAGGAGACTCGTACACTGCTGGCGGTCCTGGTCACAGCACACAATCCACAATGATGCCACCCACGAATGGTGCCAAGCCTTCGAAACCCAGAGTCATCACTGAACTTCCACCTCCAAGTCAATTAGATATTGAATGGTCGCCAGTCTTGACAAAGAGCAATGAGAGGATTCTGAAACTTGGAAATTTGAACGTGAACATGACCCAAGGTCCTAACAGTCCGGGTCACGACGGCGGCAACAAGCTGTCGAGGTTCTTTGGAGGGAATACAACCAAGAAACGGCAACGACTCGTGATGGTTACTTCTGGCGCACGAATAATTATAGCGGCTGCTGGTGGCGATGAGAAAAAGTCCAAATCGGAGATTGACCTTCTTGCAGCAGGAACAGATGTCGTGAGTTCTACTGATTTGAAGGGCACAACGCATTGGACAGTGAGCACGGTCAGTTGTTCGAAAGTTGATTGTGAGTCATGAGCACTAACGTCATGCAGCGCGACAAGCGATATACCTTTGAAGATGTCAAACCATCACCATCCGACACAAACACCACCGCAGTCTCGACCAGAGAGTGGCTCGACGCTGTCGACCGCGCGAGAGACTTCGCCAACGCACAGTCTCTGCTGCGGAACATCCCAGCAGACGAGAGTCTTACTCCTGGCGTTCTTAGCCATGCTAGCACTTTTGAAGAGCAAGACGAGTTTGAAACGTCACCACCGAGTCAGAGCCATAGAGGAGTTCTATCAAAACAACCGATCAACACTGGTGATAATGAGTCGCTGAAAGGTAGAAAGAGGTTCAGTAAGCGACAGAGTAAGAGTGGACTAACGGCCGTGTTTTAATATAATGATACCTGGACCAAGACATACCCATAAGATCTGTTTCGATGCATTTGTGTATTTAGCTTTTTGAGTGGCATATACCAACCTGGGCGTTGGCTGAAAGCGGTGGGAGCGATGACGATCAACAGTCTTGCAACTTACTCAGCATTCAGAGTATGCACGCACAAGCAGCTGACTTGGCAATGCCATTAGGGTGAAGGCTCACGAGCGAGGCACAGTGGTAGAATTTGGAGTTTAGCAAGCGAGCATCAGTCTGATTTATCTCCTACTTGGACACAAGCAGGGTAAGGCAAAAACAAGGCGAGGCACTTCCAGCCGCAATAATATGCCAGACATACAGGTTATCAATACTATGCACAGTAATGATGAAAGCAGCAATTTCGCAGTGGCGGTGGTGAAGATGCCACCATTCTTTGTCCAGCTCAGGCGAACTTGCATTTGATCGATATTGATTGGTACTGGCGTCCCAGTACAAAGAGTTTCTTGCCTTTTGGGACATGCAAATACCTGATTGTCACTTGCTGCCGTGAGACCTGGGAAGAAGCTAAAGATAGGCGATCTTTCGGGTATGCGCGGGTGCCACTCCTTCCACCTCTTCTTATTGACCAGTGACCATGCGAAACCTCGAACATGGGTTTCGGATCGCTGCAGGCATTCATGCATATCTTTGTTGTTGGTAACCTCTGCGCGCGACATGAGTCTCTGGTGCTTCCACAGTCAGCAATCTAAGTCCTTGAAGTGGACGCTGACTCTTCAAGACTGGTAGTGGCCATAGTACTATTGCTATACACCTTTACCACAACAACATCACAGCGCGACCTTGACTATCAAGCCGAACCTCGACACGCGCCTATCAAGTCCTACGTGCTCGCTACTCACACCAAGAGGAGGAGATACAATACACACTTGCGGATTTCCTTGAGTCGTTGCCGGTTTGCGCAGCAAGTTCTGGGCAGGTGCTACTTCGAGACGGCTCGATTATGAGGTGGAAGCTGGTCTGAGTGTGCCTGTTTTGGCGCCTCCAAGTGGTCGCAAGTCTTCTCTAAACACGAGTCAGGGTCATACCCCAATGGTATCACACGCCGAGGTACCGGAAGGCTCAAGGAGGGCGCCCTCGGTGACTTCCAGAAGCAGTCGACATAGACACCACCAAAGCCGTGTACGGCATGGCAGTTCCGGCTACCCAACACAAAACGAATTCCCATTCTTCGCGCAAACAGGTGATGTAGAGATCGTGATTGAATGTGATGGACAAGGGAAGAGATACCTGCTTCACAGGCTCATATTGGCTCAATTTTCAGGGTTCTTCCAGAATGGGATGAGCGATGAATGGTCAAGGTCACATACTCAACTTTTGGCTGGAGAGAAGAAGCCAGAACATGCGCTCAGTATCATAGGTGAAGAAAGATCCAGCTCGGATGTTTCTGCTTCCCTGATCACGGCTGAACAAGCCAGTAAATCAACGTCTGTTGGCAGGAGGTGGCATTACGAGCTGAATTGGGCAACGGTTGGCGATTCAGATGAGCCTATCTTGGTACAGAAAGCGCCTCAGTACTCGAATTTTACAGCCACCCCCATCTTACAGCCAATACCAACTCAAATACGACCAAAGCCACCATCATCTTCCTCGTTCTATCGATCACTAGCAAATTTATCTATTGGATCCTCGCACCAAGGTCATGCCTCGCAATCTGTCGCAAATCTCCCGGCACCAGCAGACCCAGCACTCTCAAATCCACTCATACGGGATTATGACAATCTCTTTCGAAGTTTCTACAACTATGCGCCTGTACTGAATGTCGTGAATATAGCTGCTGCTTACAACGAATGTAAGTCGTTGCTTGCCCTTGCAGACATGTATGGTGCTCTCGCTATTGTTGGGCCTCGGATCGAGCATCATCTTCTTGCATTTTCCTCGCGCTTGTTCAAGCAGATAGCGAAATACCCACCATCATATCTTAAGCTTGGCTACCTGGCCAGGTCTAGGGTCATCTTCTCCGAAGCGCTAACTCATGTGATCGGGCAATGGCCATCTGCACAGCCATACCTCAAGCCTGGGAATCCAAATAATAATAGTTACGAGGTACCCCTGGACGTACTAGATCTCATCGAGGACAAAGCAGAGGAACTCGAAGAGCTCAAGCTCAAAATTGAAGCAAAGCTGTTCAGGTTGACTTTAACTACATCAAGAGGTGAGAGGGTTAACCCCAGTAATGATTATTACAGCTGGCTTGCAATGAGCCTGTTCAGGCAGTGGTTAGCAGAGAACACAACGCCAGAAGTGAAGGGAATCTTGAAGAATAGCGGTAATACTTCGCGACCACCTAGCAACCAGTCCAATACACCCGCATCGGCTACCACAATGCATCTTCCACAATCACAACAAAGCGCGGCCACAACAACTCAATCTATATCCTCTAGCACGGGGCGCATCTACCGCTTGATTGGCTCAACGAATCTACAGGCATACCTGCCCCACGACGAGCTCAAACGTTTCCTCAAATTACAACCTTCTGCATCTTCTGCGTCGGCTCTGTACACCAGAGATAACTTGAAACGGTTCGAGCGGAAAATGGACCAGATCAAGAATATTGCTAGAGATCTCGTGAAGCCTCTAACACGGAATTGTTTGGAGCTTGACTTGAGGAGCTTAAGCGATGGACAAGGTGGTGGCTTGGGATATTTAACATGTACAAAAGTTGAGGAAGAGGATATACCTTGGTGAATGGGGATGATGAGCATTCGGATTTTGCAAGATTGGTTATCATGAACACGACACGAATTACGATCCAGCCACGAAGAAGAGATTTACAGAGCTACTGCGATACCATTTGTTTGATGTCTATGCTGTTGGTTATGATATGGTGTTCGCTGGAATTTGTTTGATGGGGGATGGAGATACCCATTTGAGTAACATTTGATTGTCTGTTATGTTGTGGGTATGCCGTAGCAATAAGATGTTGTATCTATGTGTTGAGGTTTTATTTGAATAGTGTGGTGGCCTGTACGCAAACACGTGTAGGGAAAGATTTGAGTAAAATCGAGAGTATCACATTGTTAGGCAGTCGCGACCCAGTCATCATGTGAGTTAGCATCTGATTCTACGCGTTTTCTTCACTCGTGTATCACTCGCGTCCACCACATCCTAACCACACACCGCTTAGGTGGACGCCCGAACGCTGCTGTACTCGGTCTCTGCTTCTCGATCACACATATTACTCATTGTTGCACAGCATGGTGAACCATACACAATCCGAACCACCTCATTCCGATCGAGCCTACAAAGATCGAAAACATCGTGATGAGAGAAGAGTCAACGACTGAATCACTGTGGAGCGTCCTCCTGAGCACCGACAATCTACCACCCCGGCGTGGTAGATTGTGATGATCGGCTATCACATCTGTTCTCTGCCGACTACTTTGCTCCCAACCAAGCCAGATCTCAGGTTAACTTCGGCCTGAGACGGGGTCAGCAACTTCGTTGTTCATGTATTTTGCTTCTAAAATTTGCCATCACATGACGGCTTAAAGTCGTCAGACGTCGATGTTTCGTCTTGAAGCTTTTCGGATGGTTTCAGTGGTCTAGCGGTTATGATTTCTGTCTAACAAACATTCATATTCGCTTGATTGTACACAGAAGGTTCCAGGTTCGATTCCTGGCTGAAGTGAGTGACGTCCAAATATCTCATCGAACAATCACTAACAGAGTATCCAGACAGTGACATTACTGAGAATTCTCGTTTCCTTTTTGCTTATTCGAGCCTCTAAGCATGCGATGAATTTGATGTACTACCCTGCGCAGTTCAGGTTTTCTTCTTGCAACCAGAAGAACGGGCAGCACGCAGGTCAAATGCAAGAAGTCGCTGTGTCAGAAAGAGTGCAGAGTCTGTCCATTATGTGTGCTGATTTGACGGCCAGATAAGACACCACCTAAATCAAATGTTGTCTATATCAATATATGTTTTCTGCTCTTCGTCTCGCCACCGGTTATCATCTGGGACTTCGCGCTCCTTCTTGCAGGGCAGGCTTGTCGTGGCATTTCTCATGACCCCTTCTACGCAGCTCAGGTGCTGTGCTATCATGAGGTTCTGGGTGGTTCTGAGCACTATTGACCATATCCACTATGCTCTTCCTCCTTTCTCTGTCCCTGAGACTCGGTGCTCTTGGCCTCTGATCCCCCTGCGCTCTTCCTCCAAACACAGGTAACTCATACCATATAGTACGGCAAACCCAAAGGACGAAATCGTAGAGGATGGCTAGAAGCCATGGTGACATGTTGAATACGGCTAGAAAAAGCTAGAGAGTCAATTTTCAGTTGAACATGTGAATTAGCGTTTGAAAAACATACAAAGATTCTGATGATCCATGTTTCATAGATGGTAAGTTGTGGTGGAAGTAGAGAGTACCACGCCATAGTGTAGGTATAACGACGGATGATTTGGTACAGAATGAGTGTGAAGCAAGCCTCTATCTCTGCTAAATACAAGTAATGTTTGTCTTTCACATTATTCTCCCCTTATAGTGGGATGTCTGGAAGTAGGCAGTTCTCAAAGATTGGCGCAGGCTCGGCAGGCAGGTGCGAAGCGATAGTATCGTATTCTATACAGTTTCCACTTCGATTCGTGCTTTCAGATAGGAAGGATATACAGTCTAGAAGGACGAGCTCTGCACATCATCAGCATCAGTTACTCGCAATAATAACACAATGCTTGTTCTGTGCTAGAGTGCATTGCTTCAAATTATCAGCATTGACTGCGAGACGGCTGGATCGTCGCTGCAAAAGCTCAATGCAGCATGACGTTGGTCCCCACGCAAACGTGGCAGCCACGAGGCACCAAAGTACTTGACCTGAGTGCTGAAGGCCCGAGCATTTGCATCCAACGAATTGATTAGCTTCGCTCACTACACATAGAGCTCAATCGACAGAAACAAGCTCAACAGAACCTCTTTTCTTGTCAAGCTCGTATCTTGAGTATCGAGACCCATGTCTTCAGCTACAGAGTATGCACCTCTGCACGCGAGCGAGGGTGCATCACGCCTTCAACTTCGCTTCTGCTTGTATAGTCTTTAAGGCTGCTTCATCCTACTCGAGTATCTCCTTTGGATAAGGAAACATATCCACGACAGCAATGCACACTCGCCTAAATACTGGAGAGTTTACCCTTCTGCCAGAGCGTTCTTGTGCATTGTGGACCAGTGCAGTTTGCGCACATCCTGCCGATATCCTACATGCCGGCCTCATAGGTAGGGTGAAGATCGACCGCTATTCTTACTGACCAAGTGAGCTTGAACGAAGAATGTCTATCTGTTGTTTGGCAGGTATCATCCCAATGACTCAACACAATCAGCTCATCGTCGAACAGCAAAACACTCCTGATGAGTCTGCTTCCGTCTGGCATGAGTCCAGCGAGAAAAGGAGATCGGACTCCCAGATTGGCTTCTGTAGTATTCGTTTGTGTTGATTGCAGCTTGCGATTGTTGCGTAGCCAATCGAGACAACCGTTGAGCTTCTATCTCAGGACGGGACGTCAGTCATGCACTTGAAACTCTTCCTTCCTTTCATTCCTCGTAGAAATGTCAGCTCGCAACCAAGGTACGTACCAGACCCTCAGATCTAGAACTGGAAACTCGACTCACAGAGTAACTCCGGCTAATTCAGAAGCTCCTGACTTCAATCCTCCTACCAACAACGTGGTCGACCACCAGCGTGTTTTCAATTGCCTCGTCGAAGCTGTAAACTACATCCATGCTTCTATGCAACTCCTCTATGGCCCAAGAATTTTCACTCCTCTACAACCACCGACTGTCAATTCTCCCAGACCAGGGCCGACTTTCAATCCACACGCACCTGAATTTCAGCCCCCCACGACATTTCCTGTACCTAACACTTCAGCAACTGCCTCCCAGGGTCCCCGAAGTATTGCAGGACGCAACGTAACTTCGTCACAAGCCAGAAGGAATTCCACTCATCCTCACACACGTACAGCCTTCGCTGATGCCTTTGGACCCACCCCAGACACTGTCTCCAGACTTCAAGACTCTCTGTTGAACACCCCTGTGGCCACAGAACTCTATGTGCCTTCTAGAAACCCGTCTGAAAAGCCATGGATGAACACGGAGACTGGCGAAAGACCGCACTACACGAGTATCAAACTTCCTGGGCTGCAAGATGGGTTGATAGACGCCACGATCATGCGTGGTCCTGGGGACCCGGCGGCAGTACGAGCTGAAGACGTACGTAGTGATACCGAGAAGGAAGCTCTAGTGCGGGAGTCTGAGTTGGCTGAGAGTATGGATGCGGAAATGGATATCGATGACTCGATGTCAAGGGTGAGATATCAGCGTCGTGGAGGCTCGATAAGGAGGGGCAGTGTGGTACGTCGCAACCAGGCTGCTTTGGCGCAGCACGATGCAGACATTGCTAGAGGCTTCAGCTCGACCGGGAGTACGTCAGATCCACAGCCTACGGAGGGCTACCGGCCTACTGCTCAGCCAGATGATAGTCAAGCAGACGAGGAAGATCCAAACCCAGACACAAATGGGGGAACTGAAAACCAACCCACTGGCATACGAGGCGGCAGCGGCGAAGAAGTCAAAAAGCAACAAGCCATCTTCAAACCTTTCGATCTCGACGCAGACTTTGACGAAATGCTCAACACCAAGCCTATGCCACAAAGTGCTGCAGACGTAGAGCTCCACCCTCAATACTCAGACGAACGAGCAGAACTTCTCCGAAAGACTGACGACCTCCCTGTCGTGGCGATCTTTCGCGACGAGATCGAGCGAGAAGGTATCGCGCGTGGCTTTGAGAGACCCGACGCAAACGTGCAGAAGTGGCATGAGTTGGTGCGGTGGTACCAGACTCGCGCGACTAGTGAGCTGCAACGAGAGATGAAGTTGATCGTGCAGAATAAGCAAGTCTTCTATGGGATGTTGAGGGAGAGAGATGCTGAAGCTTTTGGGGTGACTGCTAGGAAGAAGAGGGAGGCGGAAGAGGCTGCGCTTGAGGAGCATGTGAAGAAATCTTGGGACGATGTTGGAAAAGCAGCTTGGGGGTTAAGTTCGTCTGGAGGCTCTTAAACATGGCTAGGAGGACGTCCGCGAAGGTTTCGTCTTCTCCCAATCGTGTTGCCAATGTCAATCTCGGTGGTGTAGTCATTGCAGAATTTGACAGACCAGTCAGAGCTGATCATACTCAATTTCATGGTTTCCTTGTGGCATGTTTCACCTGTGATCGAGGAGCTCGTTATAGCGATACCAGAAGTCATAACAATCTTTATGACCCCAATGCTCAATCCAGAACTCGCCGAATGTATCTGAGACTTTGACGTCAATTCCATTAATTCGCTCATTTCGTTTCAGTCCGCAGGTGGGACAGGGATGCTGAGCACTTAACACATCAGGACCTGTGGCCATCCTAGCTGCCAGTGTCGTAGATAATGACATGGGTGGTTTCTGGACTTTGAACCTGACCATGGCAGCATTGAGACGGTGAGACAGCCTTGACCACGAGGCGATAGCTTCCTCCGCTTCTTGGTCTTCCCGTCTGCTTTCGCCTTTGTCTATTGCTGTCAATTTCATCCCTCCACTTCTGCCTGCAGCGCCTATTCGCATGCTTTGGGCCAGGTTGTTGTCTCGTTTCCATCGTAGAGATCGACCTGCGATAATGCGGGCACAGACTCTGTAAGCTTCGGCGATATGTAGTCCGAGATCAGGGCTTGTGCTCTGGCATTGCGAACCTGCTGATAATGCTGAGAAGACTTTTGGTAAGAGGTTGAGTAGCACTGCGGGTGGTGGGACGTTGACGGGTCGTTCGTTGTGCTTGGGTTGAGGTACTGTAGAAGTATCGGGTTGTCGTTGGGTTTGTTGATTTGATGTTGAATGTGGTACTGCTTCGCTCTCGGTCTCGTCAAATTGGAACTCATCCCATGCGTCGGGGTCATTATTTCCAGTGTTCATCGCGTCTTGCCTCGATGGCTTTGTAAGGGCTCGTAGGCGCACTGGCGTGCGTTGGGCGTGTGTTTTACTTGTCGTGGAATGTTTCACTGAGGGTTGCCAACCTGTCGCAGCAGAAGGATTCACAGACCACGGTACGTCTTCGAATGCGCCCCAATCCTCGTCGATGCCAACCAGATCTAAAGCCGGATCATTTTGAGCTCTCGAAGTGTTGTAGACAGGCGTAGACTTTGTTGGACGGGCTGACTTGAATTGTGTATTCCCTACGAACATGTTATTGTCACCAGTTTCATGATTGTCTAAGTCGAGCAAGTTGTCACTTAAATGCTGGGACTGGATCTCGGCCACTGTGTTTGACTGAGAAACTGTAGGACTTGATTGTTCGAAGTCGCCAAAGTCGTCGTCGTCGTCATGCTTTGATACACCTTCAGGCTCGAATCTCTCGGCATCAAACAAGACGTTGTCATGTTCCCAGTCTGTTCCCCATGTATGGCCGTCGCTCACCAGCTTCCTGCCAGGACTTGTGGGCACAATCGTATGAGTTGGCCATGGTTGCCAAGTGTCCTCAATGGTCAATGGGACACTCGCTAGCTTACCAGGATCCTCTTGCCGTTGTTTCGTATGAGCTGCAGTAGTATCTGCATCTTCGATGCCATGGTCGCCAAACGCTGCAAGTAGGTCGGCAGACATCGTCTTGTAGGTGGAAGTTGTGGATGGAGGTTGAGTTCAAACGCTGGAGAAAATGCCTTAGGCTCGTTTAGGCATGGTGTTTAGCTACAAACGCCGCTATACTTGAAGATTGTAGCCAGCAATTCGGCTGGAACAGTAGCAATTACTTGTCCTGGTGCCAACGACGATTTAGAGATTCTTTCTGCGTTGGTCTACTGTGCAGGAATGCTCGTTAGGCCTCACCATGAGACAATACCAAGACATCGAAAAAAGATGGTCTTTGCTGTTCAACACGTCTATAGGAGTGGATCTAAAACAAGCCATCAAAGACGATGGTGATTTTGATCCTTGTGAAGATGGTCTCCGATCTATTTGCTGGAAGTCGTTCTTGCTTAATGGACCTCTGAGTAAAGCATCATGGACAAGAAAGTTGAAAGATAGCAGGAGCGGCTACACTGCTCTTCGCGATCATTTCTTGAAGTACATTGACAATCCTAATAATCTTCACTCGTCAGCAGATCCTCTCGCTGACGACGATACAGTCAGTAGAAAACAGCCCGTTGTGTGCTGTATCTGACTGACACAGTGATAGTCGCCATGGGCTACGTTGAGGCAAGATGAGGCCAGTCGAGAAGAGATCTGGCAGGACGTGATACGCTGCAACATTGACAACTACTTCTTCCGAGAACCATCAACACAAAGACAATTGTTGGATATTCTTTTCATCTATTCAAAGCTCAACCCAGACACGGGGTATCGACAGGGTATGCACGAGTTGCTCGCCCCTGTACTTTGGGTGGTCTTTCAGGATGCGGTGAACCCGAAGGCCGTTCCGGACAATAAGGTTGGGACGGAAGGCATCGACTTTATGCTTGAGACTCTCGACTCAAACTACGTCGAACACGATGCCTTCAACCTGTTCTGCGCGATGATGCAAACCCTAAAGAGTTTTTACGAAGTCGGAGACACCAAAGACTCATCTATTATTGTGGCTCAGAGTGAGCGCATACACAAGGAGCTTCTTGGAGCAGTTGACCCTGACCTCAGTACTCATCTCGAAGTTGTTGGTGTTGTTCCACAAATCTTTGCTATCCGATGGTTAAGGCTTTTGTTTGGTCGTGAGTTCGAATTCAAAGACGTGCTGAGATTATGGGATGTACTATTTGCGGAGAACCTAAACATTGAGGTGATTGACATGGCTTGTGTAGCGATATTGTTGCGGCTGAGGTGGCAGCTCATCGACGCTGACTACACCACAGCAATTACGACCTTAACACGGCTTAACCTTCCGAAGGAGGGTGACTCAGCTCGAGCAATAGTCAAGGATGCAGGTTATCTCGTGAAGCGCAGGACAGCGGAAGCCGGAGCGGACATTACACAGCTTCGCACTGGAAGACGGCAATACATAAATCCACTTGGTGGCGAAGAAGTGCCATCTAGGTCATCGACTCCTCAACCCCGTACACATCGAAGGCTAAGATCGCAGCAAATGTCGCCAAGTCCCTCGCCAGCACGTTTTGCAACACCGCAACGGCACCTGGAGAGCCTCTTCTCCAATGTCTCGAGCAATTTTCAGAAGAACGCAGAGGGCTGGTCCGTGCAGACTGTGTCGAAAGCGCTTCGAGGCGCTGTTGGCGAGGCCAAAAAGAACTTTGAGCAGTTACAAGGCAATTCACCAAGATCGAGCATAGACATGCCACGAGGCTCATCTGAAAGGCAACATCCACCAAGTGGCGACGTCGATTCTGTTCTTGTGGACCGACTAAGGAAACTAGAAGAAAGGAACCAAGCATTGGCTCGAATGCTTGAGGATGCACAAGAGACGCTACGAAAGTGGAAAGCCACAAGCCCACGACAAAGCTCGCAAGACGAGGACATGTTCAATACTGCTCTGGCCAAGATGCAGTTCGTGTCAGTGTACCTTACAGATTCTGATATTCCTATACCGGAAGGAAGTTCTTCGATTGAGCAGAAATCCATTGATCAGGTTGTCAAAAATTACGACCCGCAGCCGTCCGCAGACTCGCCGAAGGATGAGCCCGTGACACAAACAGGTGAGCAGCATGAAGCAGAGAACGAGCAGAAGGCAGTGCCCGATGTGGCGCAAGATGCACCAGAAATGCCAGTTGTGAAAGTAGAAGGACCCGAATCGCGTGACAGGTCTCCTTCACCTGTCAGAAAAGCATCGGCGAGACCATCTCTCGCAGAATCCTCATTCTCGTTCATGTTAGGTGAGAATCGGCATCGTTCATCGTTTGTTAAGAGCACACCACTACCAGAAGAGCGAAGGAATAGTGCACAGATCGAGAAGAACAGGAAGAACAGCAGTGAATCCAAAACAAGACCTAAAATATCTTCCAAGGACAAAGCAGATCGGAAACCTGGCGTCAAAGCAAACAACAGTGACGAAGACGGATTTACAATGAGCACGCTTCATTAGATAGAAGAAGTCGACGATCATGGAACTCTTGAAAGATAAAATGCACATTATTGAATCGGCTTCTGGCAGGCCAACCACACAGATGACTTTGACCCCGACTCGAGTCGCAACGTCGTCCGTCGAGGTCACGAGCTTGGTGGAAAGATGTCTCCTTGGTCGATTACGGTGGCGCCAGCAGGATCAGAAACCCCTCAGATGATTTTCGTACCACGGACAAGGCTATGCGTGATGAGGTCATCCGCCTTCGACCGCCTGTTTCGAGTCCAGGCTAGTTGACTGTACCAGCACCCCTGCCACACTCGACCTTGGCCGTAGCCCTCGTGCCAAATATTGCTTGTCCAGTACTCAGCCTCTGCGCGATTAAAGCCTTGAATGCTCGTTGCTTCGTTGCGATTCATTCTTCGGGCACCAAAGTCCACAATCTAGTCACCAAAAACAGAAGCTGAACCAATCATGTCGGAGGTTGGCGACCCTCGGGCAGCAAGATCAAGATATGTCGACCGCGAAGATGGGTAAGTAAAAGTCGCTCAAGATCTTGTACTTGCTTCTTCGTACCACGGCGCAAGTTATACATCTCAAGCTCTGAATACTGATGACAAGTTAGCGGACCACCCCCACCTCCCCCAGCAGCATCTTCACCCCCAAGAAAATCAACACGAGATCCACGCGACCTTGAAGAAGATATAACGTCTCCTCCACCTAGAAGAAGTAGACGCGCTCACGACGAGGAAGAACCTCAACCTACGCGGACGAAAGATCGCAGGGATCGAGAGCGAGACAGGGCTGACCGAGCAGACCCACGAGAAGCAGCAGAGCCTTCTCGAACCAAGTCGAGAAAATACTACGACGAAGACGACGATCTAGAAGCAGCTGTATCAAAATCCTCATCGCGCCGAAAACCCAAAGAAGAAGACCTTGTGGACAGCGGTGACGACGATAGAGCCTATCGCAAAACAAAGTCCAGGCCGAAGGAAGATCCAGACATGAACGAAGGCCGTCGCAGAGAAAGAGATCGCGACCGAGATCGGGATCGAGGGAAATACGCTGATGATGACGACTATGCTCCACGCAAACGAAGAGAAGACCCTGCTCCTCCCTCAAGACGTCGCTACGATGATGAGCTTTCTGACGAGCCTCCTCCGAGGCGCAAAAGAGACAAGTACGACGATCGCGACGACAGAGGTTACAAGTCGGATGCGGGTCGTCGACGTCGTTACGACGATGATTACGAGGAAACACCTCCACGTCGTTCAGACAGAGATCTAGATCGTCGCAGGCGAGAGAAAGAACGTGATAGGGACAGGGAAAGATCCGACGACTACGATGATCGCCCTCGTGAGCGCGACCGTGATCGAGACCGAGATCGAGACAGGGACCGCTACGCTCCACCACGCCGCAGCGGCACAACCAGACGCGACGACAAGTATCGTGATAGTGATCGAGATCGTGATCGGGACAGGGAGCGAGATCGTGGCTACAAGAGCTACGACGACCGCCCATCACGTCGTAGAGGCTACTCTCGCGACGATGATCGAGACAGATACGACGATCGAGATCGTCCCAGAGGTTCGGGCTCAAACAAGAAGAAATCAGACTTGTTCGCACCCGAGAAAATCGACAAATACGTCGACTTTGGAAAGAAACATTACAAGGATGTGGCGCCAATTGTGAGCATGTTGGCCAAGACGTACATGGACAAGAAGTAGGCTGGAATGCTTGCAAACAGGGAAAGTGGAGGATGAGTCGGGACGCGACTGGGAGGACGAGAAGTAAGCGAGGAAGTGTCGAAGCTATAAATGAAGCATGATAAGAAGTGATACCATAAGATTACGATCGAGGACGGCGTATGGGTTGTCTGTTGTTGTATTTTAAACCCAGAGATGAATATTCTGTGTACAGATTATTTACAGGTGAATCTAGCTCAATGAACTATGTATAATGAAAACTATCAACTGCATTTTTGCAGCCCTTCTCTTCGTCCGTGAAAATGTTGCACAATATGTTGGTACAATACAAATCACTGACTTGAGGCACAAGCATCAAGTCACTCGACTCGTCTATCAAACTCCCCTCAAAACACAACATTAACAACCTTCCCACCCCCAACAACAACAACTCTCTTCCTCTTTTCCCAATCGTTCCGTAACTTCAGCCAGAGTTTCCCCTGCTCTGTATCCAGTATAGCCCCAACCACTCTCTCCTCATGCTCCTCGCTCTTCATGACTTTCTTATCCTGGACCGGCGGCGCAGGGACCTGCATCGTGAATTTTAGTTTCCCGTTGATCTGCACAGCGCATGTGATTGTGTTCTTGCGTGATTTGAGGATGTCTTCTTCTTCTTGCGTGAGGAGGGTTTCTGGCCAGGAGTGAGTGAAGATACTGGAAGGAGTCGATGGTGCTGTAGTAGTAGAAGTGTCTTTGTGTAGATCTTCCCAGCATTGCTCGGCAAAAGCAGGACATATAGGTGCGAGCATCTTGACGAAGGTCAGTAGGACTTCTTGTGCAACCCATGGCTCGAGGTTGGTGATTTTGACGTCATGGAGGGCGTTGGTTAATTTGATGAGATCGGAGACGACGGTGTTGATGTTGTAGATGTTTTGGGTGATTGTGTGGATTATGGTGCGGAGGGTTGCGGAGGTGTGGAGGAGGATGTTTGCTGAGGGTTCAGGGAGTGTCGTTATATCTCGTGTGACGTTCTGCTGGGTTGTGGTGGTTTGGCGAGGTTGTGAAGAAAGGTAGTCGTCTAGCAGTCGGCTGATGCGATACATCCATCTCTGAATGCCGACTATCTTCTCTTCGTCCCATTGCAGGACCTCGCTAAGAGGTGCAGCGAAGAGCATGTGCGCCCTTGTGATGTCGGCGCCATATTTTTGGAAGCAAGTCATAGGGTCAACTCCGTTGTGCTTGGACTTTGACATCTTCTCCCATGTTATGGCTGCTTCCTCACCAGTTGCTTTTACTAATGACGATTTTCCGTCTTCTTGAACGACTATCTCCTCGGGTTTAAGAAAGCGACCGGTGTTAGGATCACTGAAGGTCTTCCCATGAACCATACCTTGAGCTATTAGTTGTTGAAAGGGTTCTTTGCTCAAGGGTTCAGAAGTGCTTGCGATGAGGCCTTCCTGACACAGGAACTTGAAGATGAAGCGTGCGTAGAGTAGATGAAGGATAGCATGTTCGACACCACCAATGTACATATCGACTGGTAGCATATTGGTAGCGGATTCTTTCGAGAACAATTCGTTCTGGTTTTGAGCATCTAGGAAGCGGGCATAGTACCATGACGAGTCAACGAAAGTGTCCATAGTATCAGTCTCCCTTTTCGCGGGTTTCCCACAGCTTGGGCAATTTGTGTTGACGAAGGACTCAATGTTGTCGAGAGGATTTCCTTTGCGACCTTGTGGATTTCCTCCCAGAGCTGGTAGCTGTACCGGCAGCTGGTCGTCTGGGACTGGGACTGCACCACATGATCCACAATGGATAATAGGTATCGGAGTTCCCCAGTATCTTTGCCTGCTAATCAGCCAGTCTCGAAGTCGCCACGTCTGAGCCTGATTACCACAACCGTGCTTACGAAGAGCTTTGATAATCTTCCAGCTCGCCTTGCGATTCTGCATGCCCGCATATGGCCCACAGGCAGAAGTGAGTTCGCCATCACCAGTATATGCCTCGATCAAGTCTGAGCCCTCTTCATGAGCATCTTGAGGTTTGACCACAACTGTAGATGGTTCGTCTGGCATTTGTAGTCGCCAGAAAGCGAAGTCGCGAGCATCGTGGGCCGGCACACCCATGACTGCTCCTTCTCCATAGTTGTCAAGAACGTAAGGAGCTGCGAAGACTGGCAAGGGCTTGGAATAGCCAGGGTCGAGCATAGAAGCAGGATTTGTAGCCTGTATTGGAAGTTTGAAGCCCTCCTTCGAGTCGGGGCTGAAGCTGGCCTTGTTTGCTATAAAAGCTGCTAGTTCCTTGTTCGACAATGCCAGGTCGCGGACGACAGGATGAGACAGTGACAAAGCAATGTAGTCAACGCCGAATAGAGTATCAGGCCGTGTGGTGAAAACGTTGACCGGCGCTTTCTTGTCATCTTGTAGCACGAGCTCGAACTGGATAGTAGCGCCCTTGGATCGTCCAATCCAGTGTCGCTGTTGTTGAATGACACGTTCAGGCCATCGGTTGCCTGTTGCAAGCACGTCCAGGTCATCGAGCAGTGCATCCTGAAAGGCAGTAATGCGGAAGAACCATTGTTTGAGCATGCGCTGCTCAACAACAGCCCCAGAACGCCAGGACCGGCCGCTGTTGTCCACCTGCTCGTTAGCCAGCACTGTTTTGTCAACAGGATCATAATTCACAACAGCTTCAGCTTGATATGCAAGTCCTTTTTGGTAAAGCATTAAGAACAGCTTCTGGGTATGCTTGTAGAAGGAAGGAAAACACGTTGATATTTCCTACAACTCTTTATCAGCCTATAAACTCCATCTACCATACAAGTCCTTACATTCTCCCAATCAAAGCTTGTGTTCATACTCTTCAATTGTCCCTTCATCTTCTCAATGTTCACCATGGTCCATTGCTCAGGATCGATACCACGCTCGATCGCCGCGTTCTCTGCAGGCAAGCCGAAGGCATCCCAGCCTGTAGGATGCAGGACATCGTAGCCCTCCATTCGCATGAATCGTGCAAGGACATCAGAGATTGTGTACACTCGCAAGTGACCCATGTGGAGGGACCCCGATGGGTAGGCAAACATGGGTAGGACATATTTTTTCTCTCTCTTCTCATGTTCACTGTGCAAGGTAGAAGGACTACGATCCTGCCATATAGCTTGCCATTTCGCATCAACAGCTTGGAAGTCGGTTCGTTTTAGCACCGTCGAAAGCCATCTTCGTCTAGGACGCCATCCTTGTTGAATGAGTCTCTTCGGCCATGACAACAGCAGTTGCATGTCCGATGACAGTCACATTGACACGGCGAAAGTAATGAACTCTGGCAGATTTGTTGTAGTTGTTCGGTAGATCGACGCGCAGGACGATCGAGTTGCCGGACACTTGTTGTTTTCCACTCCACTAAGAGCTTTTGAGCCGACTTCACCTTTCTCGACGACACTCTAGTTGTTGATACGTCGCAGCTCGGACGCGCGACAACGATGCGAGATCTAGCAATGCATTCACGAAGAGTGAGATCCGAGATCTGTCTAACGAAATCGTCGATGCTTGCCCCTTCGAATTGGGACATTGCGTAGCGGCCAATACGACACTTCTTCAAGTTTGTGGCCAGCGGTTGAGTAGCATCAGCTATGCAGAGATGTACTCTGATGCATGTCATAGCATAATTTGTGAGTTCCGGTCAAGAGTGCAAGCTCCGTCCGAGATCAGAGGTACGTGCTGCTGATATCTTGCACGCTAACGAGACGGTTGTGTCTGTGGACAAGCTGCAGCAGTCGAAAATATATCCAGCATACTATTAAGTCGCTCAACGTATTGTGTTCAAAAGTGCCGTTCTCGACGAAGCCTGAGCAGCTGCAGCCCTTGACGCTGAACGAACACCCATCTCATTCCTTCGCTTACTCCCCTTCTTCTATAAATGAGACGTCGTTGAGGTATGACTGGAGTCACGAGCCAGAAGCAAAAATGACCACAGCCTCTACCAATATCGTTTTCATGATTCGGTCGATCTCTTAAGGCTTAAGTATGATTTCAATACAGCTTCAGAATATGGGTGGACAGCGGCTGATTTTTAGCATGGCTTGCATCGCCAGTGACTCGTTTGCAAAGTTTGGTTGGCTCAGCCATTGTACAGCCTTCGACTCATTTCCAGTGCCTCCTACCCGATTACTGACATCCGAAATTGTCGCTGCTTCCTTCGCTTGATTTCTGAGCTGCTGAGAGGCGAAGCTGGAAAACGTTCCAGCAACACCTGATGGCTGACATGAGTTCGCAGACACTCTCAAGCACGGGGCCTGAGTACCCAGCCGCTCATATACTCGGAGTCGCACTCGAGGTGAGACAAAAAGTCTACAACTACATCCTCACAAACATCCACGAAGAAGCACGAAGTTGGGAGAAATCACCAAAGTCCAGCTACGATGGCTTACGGTGGACTTGCAAACAACTGTACTATGAGACAACCCAGTCGATTTTCCTGCATCGAGTGTCAAAGCAGCAATTGCCTGGTATTGTTTCGATCTCTATCAACAAGGTGAATGTGCACACGCTGCGATCGTTGTACCTACGGATCGATCTCGCGCTCGGCATTCAAGGTTGCTATGGCCTTGCGGGATTCCTTAACAGGTTTCAGTTGTCCTTACAAGAGCTTCATCTGATCTTCTCTGGCAAAGATGCAAGTGGAATACAGACAGGTTTTCAAGGTTGTGGGGGTCGAAGTCATCAGACTATATGCTTTCAGGAAGAACTGTTTGAGCGGCATCAGGAGATAGAGAAAAAGCTACTGGTTCTTCGTCAGATTCCGACGCTACGAAATCTTGGGATCCTGCGCATCGAGAACATGAACATCGCCATCCCGCGACCAGCGCTTCTGGCCAACAAGCCATATTTACAAGCACTCAGCGTCACTTGCGATCCTCGCTCCCAAGTAACCGATATCCCACGAGTGGCGAGACGCAATCCCCAGCTCTTTGCAGGTCTCCTCATGCCTGTCAGACCATTTCCTCCTGTTGCAGCATTGACACTCGATGCTAATGCTGTCTTTTCCATAGAGGCCTTAGTAAACAACGTCGCAAAAAGCCTTCGACATCTTAGCTGGATAATCCCGGGTCCAGAGCACCACACTCATCTTCAGAACGAACTGACATCCTTCTACAACATCACTGAAAGACTCATGCAGACTTTGTGGAGAATACCTCAACTAGAAGCGCTTCGGCTTTGTATCAACCCGAGTAGAGGTCCTACTTACCCGATGTGGTGTCGTAGAAACACAGCACCTGTTACGGAAAGTCTTCACAAATATCTACCTCATTTCAAGGCATTGAAGCACTTAGAGATCCACGAAAATGGAAACAACGAATACTATTACAACGGTTTGATCAATGATCTCCCATGCAGTTTGCGTCGATTGTACCTGTGCAGCCGCACAATTCCAGCAGCTCGACTTGCGGACTTAGTTCAGCGGCGATACTTCCATGGAGAAGATGACAATGAATATTCGTATGGTGCAAACGTAGTGCCGATCGATAATGATTTTGCATTCTACAATACCTTGGAATATCAACGAGGATCTTGTCTTCTCAGTGAGACTTCAGAGGCGGATTGGATCAGAGTGAACAGTCGAGGCTTCGTCGAATACTTCACACAAGAAGAACTTGACTCAGCTGAAACGCCAACTGATGGTGTGCTATTGGTGCATCGAGACGTCGGCACGATAGATGATAGCTTCAATGAAACTGGCACTGTTGGCGAGTATTATGATCGGTTCGACAAGATTCCTTTGTACGCGGGCAAGCTGGGCTTCATCACCTTCGAGTACAACGTGCAGGCGGAAGTGGGGGAGTCTAGAGGTCGACTCGATAACAGGCAATACGACGATTGTTATATGGAGAGCGACCGCACTCGGATTTTCAAGTTGAATGGCCGACTTCTCGACAGAGAGCACAATATGCACCTAGCTATTTCCAGAGCCGCAAATGCAGAACAGGCTGTGGCTGGATCGTTCGACAGACGACATGGCACCTTCGAGGACGAGCGCAATTCGCAGTGGCCCGATATTAGACAGGCTCTGCTACATCCATGTCGGAAAACGAGGCACCCTTTTACCACCAAGCAATTTGTTGACGAACTCGAACAATGCTTCGACGATCCTATGACTTGGTACTTCGGCAACGAAGTCGCAGCAGAAGAAGTCTTCAAGAAGGAGCCAGTCGCGAAGCACGACGGTCAAAGGATTAAAGCAACAATCGAGGAGGTTCCCGTGTCGTCAGACTGCCACTGGATGTCACCAGATTACGAGGTTCCTCCCGTTGGTTCTTTTCCTTTACCACCGCTGCCAAGAGATTGGAAGGACGATATGTAATGAGAAGCATCGAGAGATGGCAATAGCACAGAACAGGAGAAAATTCGGATTGATACAGTATAGAACACGACGCGTGAGTAACTCGAAGTCCTGTCGGACCCCAATAGATTGGATCGCGGGCACGCATAGGGTAGCTGGTGGTTGCAGCTCCTCAGATAAATAAGACGTAGAGACGAACCCCTTTGGATATTGCCGTTTGCTATGGCATAGCTTGCGATACTCACCTGATACGTAGTCCACAGCAATAGTTACTATATCTTGAAATGCGAATACCTACTTGCTGTACTCGAGTATACATGAAGTCGTACAAACGCGACAACAGATCTAAGCACCAATCTCGTCTTGTTTACTTCCGGCGGCATGGGCACAATGAGGCAGTGCCTCCAATCTTCGTTTCGGAACTTCTCTCGGCAGTGAAATGGAGCCTCGATGAGCCAGGTTAGCGGTAAGAAGTCTTCCAGAACATCTTTTTGGTGCTTAGAGATCATGCAGGATCCAGGATCTGGAACATTGAAATTCGTTGCCTGCACATGGTTGAGATCTCAATGGACTCAACAGGACAACAATGGCTTCCTATTTCTTGTGAAGGGAATACATTGCCAGAGATATATTGTGTGAAGACAAGCTCTCTTCACGGTCAGCTCCAGCAGATTGATTCTTTGTTTGCAAAGCTCAAAGGAGGGTCTGCACGGCAAAGTCAATCCCAGGCGGCTGAATTGACCCTGCAGTGTTTAGCCTGCGGGAAGCTTCGTAGGCGAGGTCGAAGAAGTCGAATACTCCTTCCACGTTTTGAAGGACAGAGGAAAAGATATCCGTCCAATTTCTATGCATGGAATTGTTGCTTGAAGGCTACTTGACACTCGAGAGCATTCAAACTTCAAGGACGCAATGCGAACATTCCGTTCTTCATGGCATGATCAATATCGAGCTGTCAGTGAGCAATGTTTGTCCTCTTAAGTCTTGTGGAGCTCTCTTCTTCTGTCTTGGCTTGCGAGAAGATGCAACGCTACCCTTCAACAAGAGACGCATCTGGGAGTCGTTCGGCTGATCGGTCCAAACGGGCATGGGTGGCCGAAGTGGTCGGAGCATTGTGCAGACGTGTGGTCGTGGTCACTCGCTCCTGCATGCGCAATGAATGCTTTGCTCATGAACACACGTCCAGACCTCGGGACCAACATGCTTGTCGCTGTGAGCCATACGGAATTCAGGTGTGCTTAACGCGAATCCAACGAATGCCACCTCCGATAAGCTAAATCGGTGGTTATCGCAATACCCTTGTCCCCAGTCCACTTGACTCGCCGATGATAATCGAGTAAGCGCAACAGATATCCTGCATGACCTGCCCACACGGCTTGAGCTCCTGCTGACCCATTCTATACTACGTCTTGACGCTTCTCGCAGCACGACTTGCCTGAAACTTACCTCACTGCAATTTCAAACTGCGCACACACAACGACAGCTCAATCCTCCTAAGTACGTATCTCGTCATTACAGCAGCGTTATCGATAAACCACCCGTTCCTCGGTACCGGAATTCATCCCTCGCGATTGGAGCTAGGAACTACTCCGTGGTATCATCATTACACGTTTGCAAACTGTTTGCTGTGCCTGTGATCCAGCTGTGTTGTAAACCAGCAAAGCACATGTCTTTGAAGCCACAAAGGGCTGGAGCATCGTAGGACCAGACCAAAATATGAGTCTATGAGACAGAACAAGCAAACGTGGATTCAGTCCCCGCACACTGGTGGTATTGCTCTACCGCAAGCTATACATTCACGGGTGCGACCATGGAACCACGATCGCTGCTGACACCTTCTCCTCGTTCTTCCACTCCCGGTAGTCCGATGCTTGCAGGAATGTCGCAAGAACAGCCGCCGAAGCTCAAGGGACGACAGCGTCTGCTTCAAGGCCTTCAACGCATGTCGTCGTCACCTTCATTGGCGAAAATGGGCAGGACCAGGTCAAGTGAGAAGGTCTACAAGCCTAACCACAAAGCTTCAATATCTTGCGTTTCTTTAGGTTCCTCGCCTCAAGGCAGCTCGATCTCACCACCTATTCAAGTGTCAACGTCTGCATATGCCACACCTCCAGGTACACCTGGTACGCCCACTAGCGTCTCCTCTTACGTCGATAGTCACTCCAGATTCCGACCCTTTGACCTTGGCTCGGCTGCGAGCAGTGCTGAACATCTGCAGCTGAGACCAGCAAGAACTCCCCTTCACGAGATATCCGAGAAACCCCTACCTAAAAGAGAGAACTTCAACTTCTGGGGAGACCTACCCCAAGAGGTTAGGATCCAGATCTTGAGCTATCTGCCTCCGAAAGAGATTGTTAGGTTGTCTGCTGTCTCGAGATCATGGCAAGAGATGTGCTTCGATGGTCAGTTATGGACAGTACTGGACTGCCAAACATACTATCAGAAAATCACCTCCGAGGCATTGATGAAGATCATGCTCAGAGCTGGGGCGTTTGTAAAGAACCTGAACCTGAGAGGATGCGTTCAGCTGAGAGATCAGTGGTTGAGTTTAGGTACCCGGATGACCAACCAAGAATGTCGAAATCTCGAAACGTTTAGCATCGAAGGCTGCAAGATCGAAAGATCGAGTATACACTTCTTCCTGCTCAGGAATCCAAAACTACTTCACTTGAACATGCCCAGCATGCAGCAGGTGAGCAATGCTACGTTGAAGATCATTGCAGCACATTGTCGCAACATCGAATATCTGAACATCAATTGGTGTACCAATTGCGATAACAGAGGCCTTCTCAAGGTCGTTCAGAGCTGTCCTAATCTCACCGACCTTCGAGTGAGTGAGGTAAGAGGTCTTGACGACACGGAACTTGCGCTGGAAATGTTCAGGCGAAACAACCTTGAACGCTTAATAATGGCAGGATGTGATAGTCTCACGGACGAAGTGCTGGAGATTATGGTGCAAGGTGTAGATCCACAGGTTGATGTCCTTACAGATCGCGTTACGGTCCCGCCGAGACGATGGCGCCACTTGGACGTTTCAGAATGTCGACAACTGACCGATCGGGGCGTGAGAGCATTGGCTCACAATGTACCGTTCCTGGAGGGATTGAAGCTCTGTAAAGTCTCAAGCCTAACAGATGATGCTTTGCTTGACGTTATGTCGAGCGTGAACAGGCTGACACATCTCGAACTTGAAGAGCTCGAGCATTTGACGAACGAGGTACTCATTCGACTCGCTAAGTCACCAGCTGCAAAGACACTCGAGCATTTGAGCATATCATACTGTGATCAAATGGGTGACGTGGGGGTGCTTCCGATCTTGAAGTCCTGTCCTGAGCTCAAGAGTTTGTGCCTGGACAACACACGAATCTCGGACCTTGCACTCATGGAAGCAAGCGAACAGGTGCGCAAACGAGGCAACCTCCTCAAGCGAGGGGCTCGCCCTAAAAAGGGTCTGGAACTCATTGCCTTTGACTGTGCAAATGTCACCTGGGCAGGAGTTCGGGAGATCATGCAAGGAAATTGCCGAGTACTGCAGGGCAGGAAGAAGAGCGTTGTGAGGGAATCTCTCATGACACACCTTCCGCCGACAGACAGCGAAACGGAGTCAATCACAAATGCTGCATCGGCCTCAGCATCCCAGGAGATCAAACGTGTCATTGAGATACAAACCCTACTCTTCCCTGCCCAGATCATTCATCTCAAGGCCTTCCACATCTGGCAGGCGACTTTCGATGCACACTATCAACGCTGCATGACCGCGCGATGGGTGGCAGCGAGCAGGCTTGAGAATAAATGGGCGGAGTGGATGGTGGCTACCGAAGAGGTTGGAAATATCAGCCATGGCTGGGGAGCAAGACGTAGAAGAAGGCGACAGAGGGAAGCTGAGAATCGAGTTCGAGAGGATACAGCGGGCCTTGTACACGACACTGAAGGTGTTGGCACAGGCACCGAGACTGAGGACATGAGTGGTCTTGAGAATGGCTCAAGGCGGCCTAACCGAAGAAGAGCTAGAAGTGGTGGGTGTGCTGTGATGTAAGCTTTCCGAACTTGACGTTCGTTGAGCTTGACTTTGCAGCAGCTCGGTATCTATTGATTCGAATTGGAGTTGGCATTGTTTGGAAATTGCATGGGTAGGAAATCTGGTGCTTGGTAGCCTCGCGGGTGCATTCAGCGTCCAGCAGCCTGGACGCGAGGAGTTCGAGCTGCATACAAGTAGGAGTTTTTATTCCAGATGCGACGTTCGATCTAACGGAGAAGTTTCTAAGATTTAACCAGCGCTCTTTCACTAGTCGCTTTTAGCCTGCTTCCGCTTGTGTCGCTGCAGCCACATCGAGGCGCCAGTGACGCCGTAAAGTGGGTTGGAGTCTCAACTACGGAACGCAAGTCCTTTTTTCTTTGCAGCAATGCACTTCTCGTCTTCCTGATTGCATGTACAGTATTATAGCAGGGCATGACGAGATTGGACAAGAAAAGCATGTGTGACAGTCTAGCCTACTATGACTTTTGGTGCTCCTGTGCACGGCATTCGCTGCACGGTGACATCGTCCTACATGGTTATCGCAACCAAGTTCACGGCTGATCCTCTTGGACCTTTGTCTCGCTATTCCCTTCTTTCTGCATGGCTATAGAAAGGAGTTTGCTGTGTATCGTTGAAGTTGCTACCGCGAAACACTGACACAATCTCTTCTAGAAAATTTGATCGCCATTCCGATCACATTCTTTGAGGTCGCACAAGCCCAATCTACTCTACCGTTGTTCACGAACCCAGCCTCCATGGCAGACCGTAACTACCGCGTCAGTTACAAGACTCGCGAAGTCGACCACGACGAAGCACGTCTCGAAGAGGCACGAAGACGCCTGCCGACAGCGCTCGATCCATACAGATACCCAGAAGACCGAGAAGAACTAAAACGGGCAGTCGCAGAGACAAAGGCACGTAACGCTCGATATCGTGACGACTATCGTGAATATGAAGCTCCTATAAGAAGACAGACACTTCGAGAGGATGTAGTGGACAAGATACCTGAAGACTTGCCTCGGCCAAGCGCGACAAAGACAACGTATTCGGTGACGGCTGCTGGACTCGAGAAGGAGTCGCAAGTCATGACTCGAGGTCCTACAGCGCCTATGGACCGAGAGGCTGGCTCGGTACGTGCTCGACAGGGTCAATATGAAGATAACAACAAATATATAGCGGCGCGGTCTGAGAAACCTTCAGGTCGCAGATACGATGATCGATATTATGGCAGAAAAGATCGTGATTACGAGGTTGAGCGACCACGATATGAGGGCGGTGCGTATGTAGTTGACATGAGAGATGCAGACGTCGTGGACATATATTCGGGGTCGAGAGCACGAGAACCTGACAGAGGGTTTGGTGGCTATCGAAATGACCGTTACAACGATCCAGCACCTGAAGCTTACGGTCGTAGTGGAGGTTATAGATCAAGCGGAGCTGCGTATGCAGAACGCGACGATCAACGTGCTTCGGCTCCTTACATGTCTGGAGCACGTCAGGATCGAGCTCCAACAAGAGTTTCCGCGAAGATGGCAGATAACGAGGCAGCAGTGGCTTACACACCTTCGATGACCACAAAGAGAAGAGACGAAGATGACTTTACTTTCGTCGAGCGATCAGGGCCTCCGGATCGAGCACCAGCTGAACCAAGATCTTCCAAGGAGTCCTTCTATGCTGCAGCCGAAACACCCAAAGGCAGAGTTCGTGCTGAGGTGAATCGTTCTCCTCCCGACAACGACTACGTGATGGTCTCACCACCCAGAGACAACGCCACTATAGTCAGTGGGCGAATGACCGCCAACACTGGTGGCGCCAGCATGAGATCAGCAATGTTCCAGGCCGACGCATACACACCAGAAGAGCGTCTTCACCGACGCAGGTCACGAAGTATCAACTTCAGGAACGAAGACACTGATGGGCATTATGCTGGTGATAAATTTCATGAGAAGCCTGGCGCCGAAGCGGCAATGCTGGGACGATATCTCAATCATTATGATGCCGAAGAAGATCGCATGGACTACCGCTATAGCTCGAAGGGTGGTAGGGTGGCTGAAGACGATTACTACGATCGACGAGAGCGTGACAACGCCAGGTATGCGCCGCAGCGTGCAAGAAGTAAAAGTCGAGGAAGGCGTGAGAGGGAAGAGGATGATCGGAGTTATGTTGATACGTTCAGGGAGAAAACGACCAAAACCACCTATTATTGAGTGGTGCTGGTGTTTAAACCCCGTTCATGTACTTTCGCTGTAGAAAAATCGACCAAACTGTTTCAGTCGCACTACCTAACCATAAATTGAGACAAGTTTCGACAGTATTAGTGATGTGTCCTTGTCGATACAAAATGCTGCAGTCTGCAAATATTCGCTGCCAGTACTTTGAGATCGTTGATGCCTGAATTTGAGCCCACTATCTCAGATTTTCCTGCCTGGCTTGTCAGTGCTTGGCGCGCACCATCGGCATTGCTTGAAAGTTTGCGGAACAGACAACGACAAGTTGACATACCACATTGACGACCATAGCCCGTACACGATACCACTGTCAAGATGAGTACGTTCGCCTCGCCTATGAGAAAATCCACGATCGATTTCCCTCCAACTACATCCGCAAACCGTCATTGTTCCTGGCTAACAAAATGAACAGCGAAGGGTACATCCAGCTTCGGTAAACGTCACAACAAGGTCAGCGGATTCGAGGAAATACAGCAGGAACAAAGTATTGACACTGGCTCAGACACACACTCTATGCCGAAGATGCGGTAGACGATCCCTACACATTCAAAAGCACACCTGCTCCAACTGCGGCTACCCAGCAGCCAAGACGAGGAAATTCAACTGGGGCGAGAAGGCTAAGAGGAGAAAGACAACTGGTATGGGTTTCTGGGAAGCAAAAGAGACTGTGAACAATGCTGACAAGGCGATTGAAGGAACTGGCCGTATGCGATCTTTGTCCATCATCAACCGAAAATTCAAGAATGGGTTCCAACTGGGTATGCGCACCCATTGTAACGTTTCGTGGTGTGGAAGAATACTGACTTTCGATTCTAGGTACACCAAAGGGTGCACGAGGTCCAACATCTTCTTAGATTTGTGGAGTTCGTGTTTTGTGATGAAGAAACAAGAAGGCTATTGCATTGATATGGGTGAACCAAATTCAGGAGAGTGACGAGGTACATTATCAGCCATGTTATTGCGGTCGAGGTAGAAGGGCTGCAGAATAAAGGAAGGCCTTGGTGCAAACGCAAGAGTCAAACCGCAGGCAAGACGGAGAGATCTATCAACGCGGACGGTACAGACATTTGCAACTACAGCAATACATGTCGTACTTTACGCCGCAAAAGTTGAGCGACTGGACATACAGACGACCCACTGTATATGTCTGTTGTAGTCAATCATGAACATTCTCACAGGGATATATGCCAAGACCATACATCTCATCCGTAGTTCTTCATTTGAGTATGTTCTCATCTTCTAGACATGAATCAAATACCGCCAGCCTTAACGTCGTACATCCAACAGTGTACCTATGGCCAGTCGTTAACGCTTCTGACATCTGTCCTTGATACTCCCGCGAACTGGCTGCTATTACGTTTTCTACTTGCCATATCTGACGAACGTATACCTGCTGGTTTACATCACGATGGTTCAACAGATACATCAGGCAATAATTTTATCCTCGTCAGTATCTGGCGCTCACTAGATTTCTGGTCAGAGCTCGCTGGGAAGAGCGTAGGTTCTACAAAAAACACACAAAATTTACAGCTACTGACGAATTGCTCAGGGTTTCAATGTTCAGAACGCACTTGACACAGGTGAATTGTGCTACATAGATGGATTGAGCGGGAGTCCAAAGACATCGAAAAATGTTATCAGCCTGGAATCTTTGACACTTGAAAGTCTCAGAAACGCGCTCGACAAAGCAGTTCAAGTCCTATCACAACGGAGCACATCGAGTCCCACGATCTTGTTCGATGGCCTTGACTTCCTCCTTGCATCTCAACAGTCCGTTACTGCTCTCGACATTCAGCAGATGCTCCTTAATCTACAACAGCGTGCACCAAATATCATCGTCACTTGTGCTGCCGATAGTGCATTGCTGCATAACACTGACTCGTCTGCTACACCTTTGGAAACTGAACATGCTAGCCTGGCACGGTCTCTCGCGTATGGAGCGCAGTGGGTGTTCCAACTAAGGCCACTGGAGACTGGACAGAGCAAGGAGGTCAGTGGAAGTGTAAGAGTCAGCAAAGGTGGTGCTTGTGAAACTTTTGAAGGAGTCAAAGATCTCGAAGAAGGGGAGTGGTTGTATCATGTCAAAGGTAGTGGCAACGTCGCGGTTTGGGGACGAGGTGAGGCATAAAGGTTTTTGAATAGAGTATATTGCTATGTCTGCCACGGCGGACGGCGATACTCGAGCATACTTGATCACAAATCATATCCGATGGTCCTTGTAAGCATGATACCAGATTCTATGGGCTTTGGACGACAACGAAATGGTCGTAATAGCGAAGTCAGACACAACCGAGTAAAGACGGGGCCTTTCCGCCCTTCGTTGACCAAACTTTGCACTACCAAGTAAGCCGATTAGTAAAAGCGATGAGCCGCCGGCAAGTAACAAGGTAGTGAAAATATGCTCGCGCCATGAGAGACTACATGTCAGCATGTATATAGAAGACGACTTTCGCTGTCACGAGCGAAGCAAACTGTTGCCGAACCGTTGAAGTTCAAACAATACCATGGATCCCGCAAAGTACACATATCCCTGGCCTCTTGCTGGATACGAGAATCTACAACCGTTACCAGAAATACAACAACCGGACAAATCCATAGAAACTCCTCAGACAGGCATCCTCTCCCCAGCCTACTCGAAATTCACATCCGGTCTCGACAACGGTATTCGTGGTGGCTTCGACGTTCACATATACTACAACCACTACGACGACGAGCAGACCAGTTTCGCTCGTGCTCTCCGGGAGCGCATCCGTCGCGAATTCCCAGAGCTTCGCATCTACAAATTCTGGGATCGTCCAGTAGGTCCCCATCTGCTTGCGATGTTCGAGGTAAATATCTTTACTCCTGCTCAATTTGGGGCGTTTGTGTCGTGGTTGGCTATCGAGAGGGGTCCTTTGAGTGTACTGATACATCCGAACACTGAGGCGGGAGATGCAGAGGAGGAAAGGAATCACACGCAAAGAGCGATTTGGATGGGAGAACGGCTGCCTCTCAAGACTTCTGTGCTGAATAAGAGGCATTGAAGCATTCGGGAGGGCGCCTTCGATAATTCAAGCATGTCCGGTCCGCGTTTTGGTCAGTCATGGAAGGTACGACTTCGGGACGTATGAACGCGTGCCTTCCCTTACACGCCAAATCTTTCAATCAGGCATCATTTTTTGCTGTCTGAACCAAGCTTCGGAATTTGCTAACTTACACACCGTTGCATCGTCACCAGATGCTTGCTCTGTCCATCATGCCGTCTACGGAAGACGACTCGTTACAAACTGTACAACCAACGAGATTCACCTCTATCAATCAGCGCTCGCCAACACCACCGAGCAGATGTATCTCAGATTCAGAGCCTGAGGATGACCTTGGCGAAATTACGGCAACGGGTCGTTCTGCTGCATTCGATGCAGCTTGTCACGACATAGGATTATCAACCAATGATTCCGTCACAGACATTGACGAGCTTCAGGACGCAAAGAGACCGTTAGGTGATTTTGAAGATGTTTTCGAAGCTGCGGCAGAGCGGCGTCCACGAGCCTCTACTGAGGATGATACTAGCGAGGTCTTCAGACCAACACCAAGAGCTGAAGACTTTCTCTCCCCTACTTACAATATCGCCACTGTCATAGGAGAAGCTGAAGAGATGTACGAAGGCGAAGTTCCTCCCTTTTGCATCTCCTACAAGAGTGGAAAGACAAAGCTTGTTATAGATAGAAATTCGGGCAAAGAAGTCGAATTAGTACTTCGCCAATGGCTTGGTAGTGACTTTGGGTACTAGGAGTACCCCGATCCCGTTGATTCTATCAAGTATATCGTCTCCTACAGTAGAAGCGACCAAGGCTACCTTGTTTGGAGAGGTTACGATCAGAGGTATGACAAAGAGCCGGTTGCAACAGTTTCTAAACCACACCGAAGACCAACAAACAAAAGTTCTCGATCGGTCAATGGCAGTGCTCACGACGACTTCTTCGATGACACTCCTCTTCGATCGTTTCGAGATCGAAGTGATCGGCAGTTATACCCTTATCAGATGGACAAGGTGGAGCACAATCATGTCAAGAAAGGCGAGAAGCTTTCGGAGTCTTTCCTCCAGGAAGAGTTCCACAGAACACAGAGTAAGAAAAGACGAAAGTCGCAGTCAGGATCAAAGTCAAAGAGAAGATCAATATCTTCGACAGAATCAAGGTCTAGTACAGTGTCAGTTATATCAACAACTAGCAGGTCAAGCTCTGTCACTGTGGTTGACGACGTCTCTGCGACAACAGTCATGACTCGTTTCAAAGAGCTTGATGGTGCCATTCCTGTGGCGTTCAACACAAATTCAATGGACGAGCTGTTCGACACGGTCGAGGATGCCTGGCAGGCTCAGCTTAATGGACGTACTATCAAATACAGCACAGTTCATTTTCCATGGCTCAGCAAAAGCTCGAACCTCCTGTTCATGAGAAGCAACCACACCAGTTTCGGTTTCGAAACCATGCTTAAAGAACTCCGCCGTGCCCCAACTTGGTCGATAACAGGTGATTGCTCGATTGAGCTCGAGTTCTTCGTATGAGGAATGCATACCGAAGTGTTGTGTTCCTAACTACTGCGGGAGCTCGCGAGGAAATAGTTTGATGCCCGAATGCACTATGCACAAGCTAGTGGTCGACAGATCAGCATTTAGCGTATGATCGACAGCAATCGGCAGCTAAGAGATGGATACAAGAGTCCTTGCAAGTGGCAACAATGGGAATTTTGACATATGTGGAGTCAGAATGTCGCTCCAGGAGCATGAAGCACAAGAGAATAATATGTATGAGTATCAATATGGCGCAGGCTATATAGACCTGAGTAACATGGCGCAGGGTTTCGCTGAACGTTACACGAGATGTGATCAAAGCTCTGCTCTAGCCAAGTTTGCGAAGATAAAATAGCCCATTCAATAGCCAAAAGCTTCAGCTTCACCTAAATGGCTTATCATGCACCTGCTAAACGCCAATACCCCGTAGTTCCATAATAGATGCAACCACTATTGATAGTCCCCGAGACCGCGTCAAGGCATACGCACCCCAGAATCGTGCAATACGAGTAAGAGAAGTAAGTCGCTGAGCGCGATCTTGAAGGCGACGAAACTTGCAAGATGCTGCTGTCGCCTATGCGTTGTTTACTCGCTCGCTGTAAGCAAGTGACGCTTTTCGATTGCTGAGATTACTGTAGAGTGTAGGTCTACACCACTACGACGGCCGGACAGTCGCAGTCCCCTGCTCGACCAGCTGCCGCAACCCTGCAATCTCGTGCCTTCTTACTGTGTGTCCAACAAGTCCACAAGCAGCGACGCCCATCAGCGCGCCTTCCTCGACTTGCCCAAATTCTCCGAAGGTCGATTCCAGTACGATCGTTTCGCTTCAATCATGACTGACGAACCTGGACCTGAGCGTGCCGATCCTGCGCGACGCACTACATCTTTTGGATCTTTCATCAAGCGGACAAAGTCCAATGATCTCCTAGGCGAACGCAAGCCCTCCACTACTCGACTACGCAAAAAGAGCTTGGATAGTCAGCGTCGTCCATCGGTTTCAGACACTCCTCCTGCATTGCCAACTGTCAGTCCTCAGCCTGTTATAGACTCTTTTGGAGGCGAGAACTACAACCCAATGTCTAGTATGTCACCAATTTCAACTGCCCACGGGGCGTATGGTATCCCTCCCGTTCCACCGTTGCCAGCAGCCCTGCAGAATAGTGCCGCCGATGTTTATGCTAGGGCGGAAAGCATGACCCATCGTTCTCGTTACAGTTATGCCCAGAGTACATCCAGCACAGTCAACAGTCCGAGAAGGGTACGCAGGAGAAAGGACCCTACACCCTACAAGTAAGTTCTCCCCTCTCAGTTGCCTTTCCCGAGCGCATATCTAACAATTCATCAGTATCCTCGTTGTAGGGGCCAAAAACTCTGGCAAGACATCCTTCATCGATTTCCTCAAGGTTTCCTTGGCCCTGCCTCCCAGAAAACAAGCTCCTCGATCCTCCGAAGCTGGCGAGACGACGATAGTCAAGTCATATCACAACTTCACTCATCATTACCAGGAGATTGAAGTGGACAACGAAAGAGTAGGGTTGACCCTTTGGGACTCGCAGGGGTTGGACAAAGGTGTTGTTGACCTGCAGCTACGCGAGCTGACCAGCTTTGTGGAAAATAAGTTCGAAGAAACCTTTGCAGAAGAGATGAAGGTCGTACGTTCGCCCGGCGTGGGTGACACCAAAATTCACTGCGTCTTCATGATCCTCGACCCTTCCCGCCTCGACACAAACATGCAAGCTGCCCAGGAGAGTTCATCCACCACAAGACGCATCGGCAAACCGTCTCGCATCATCGGTGCACTCGATGAGGACTTCGAGCTGCAAGTGCTGAAGAGCTTCCAGGGCAAAACCACGGTGGTGCCGATAATCAGTAAAGCCGACACTGTGACAACTGCTCATATGGCGTATTTGAAGCAAATGGTCTGGCAAAGCCTGAAGCAAGCTGGCCTCGATCCTCTCGAGGCACTCAATGTCGCTGCTGCAGACAGTGACGATCAATTTGACGAGGCGGATGAGGACGATCTCAACGACCATGAGGAAGGTGAAGACGTAAGTCCTCCAGGTTCTCCCAGAAGCGACGACTCGGATAACGTCGACTCTAAGAATGGTGGTACGAAGCACAAGGCCTCTCACAATCGAACCGTGTCCAAAACATCTATCTCGAGCCAGATGTTGGATAGCGGATATGTTCCCATGTCCATTCTTAGCCCGGACCGATACTCACTGGATCCAAAGAATGGCCCGGTTGGTAGGCAGTTCCCTTGGGGGTTTGCCGACCCGTACAGTTCAGAGCATTGCGATTTCGTCAAGCTCAAGGATGCCGTCTTTAGCGAATGGCGTAATGAGGTGCGGGAAGCCAGTCGTGAGATCTTTTACGAAAGATGGAGAACAAATCGTCTCAATAGACAAGCTGCTGCAAAGGTCAGCAACACGACTGCACACAGGAGACCATCTGGCGGCATTCCCATTCAGGTGAAGTCTGGCAAGAATCGTTTCTAACCATGAGCATCACAACGTCTCAGCCCTGGGTTATCAAGGAATTGTTAGGCAGGCAGTGGTGAAAACCCCCTGAGCTGTAAAGGCTGGCCTTTTATCCCTTGCTTCATCACCTGACATGGTTCTTGTGCGGGAGAATTGGTTATTCGACATTCGTTTTCTGTTTCTTAGATCGTATTTTCAGCAAGCGTGCAGGTAAGCTAGCACAATTACGAGTTATGACAGCTATGCCGGCAGTTATATACCCCCAGTCAATTCAGCGAACTCGATTTCTGTATGTTTTAGGTACTCATTGTGTATTTGGTGTTGGACCTGTTATTAGGGAAAAGAATGTGAGCTGTCAAGAGGAATCAGGAAGGACATGAACTACGTATGTGTATGAGACTGCTCTATGGTCCATTGTCTCGGCTTCTTACTTCGTAGACATTAGCTGTGGGACTTTTCAGATCAGATACCCTCGAATTGTTTACCTGTCCTGTTTGTACACGTTGCATGACCGACCCGGGACAGTTCTGAAAACACTGCGAAATGCTCCTAAAGCCATGGAAATTCCCGGGCCGTGAAAATAGACTTTGGCAGAATCCAAAGTCACAATTTTATTTCTTCCTCGTCACGCGACTACTATCACCGTACAACTTGATTTGTGAAGTAAATAATTACCCATTTAATACAGGCAACACAGCAGCGCGATGTTTGCACAGCATGGACTTTGGATACTTGATATGTGTTGTACGTCGCATACTGTACTACATACATAGCTAAGAATAACCCGAAGTATATAAGAGGAAGAAAAGATATCTACCACCACCGCGGCTGCACGGTGGATTTAAGCGCGTAGCACTTCTGCTTCCTCTATTCTATCGTACATGACTTTTCTCCAATGTTCATATGTAAGCAGTCGAGGCACGACTGAGTAATAGTCTTCCGCACCTTTGCTGATCCAATAATGATGCTTTGAGTGGGAGAATCTGTTCGTGCTCGTGCTGCTGCCATAAACCATTGCTCGTTGCGTGCAACGCCTCCCCATCACAAGTCAAGTCGTGATCTATCTTCGTTGTCTCATCGTGACATGGGTTTTTATCGTCGTCATCGTCATCGTCGTCGTCATCGTCATCGTCCAGTATATCAATCGGATCGTCGCAGCTACTAGCGCCTGTCCAGAGACTCTATCTCCGCTCGTCGCCGCCTTGGCTATAATTTCTGAAATGGCCTTGAGGCGGCGCCATTCCTTGTGGTTGGCCAAACCTTGGCTGCTCGCGGTATTGCTGAGGCGGAGGTGGTTGCTGATGCATGCCAGGTTGTGACTGGTGAGCATGCGGTGCAAGATTTTGATGAGGTTGCGGTGGAGGTCCAAGACCTTGCTGGTGATGATGGTGACGGTGATGTTGCATTGACGGTTTCTGACCAAGAGGTAACTGTTGCTGCTGCTGCTGTGACGAGGTAGGACCTATCTGACCCGACAGACTGTGGTGGTGATGGTGAGCGTGCTGGTTGTGAGTTGCTGCTGCAATTGACCGATGCTCGGTGTTATAGCCTGCCAATGGCGGCGTATTGTTGTATGTACGCGACGGAGGTGCACCATAGCCTGAGTTCAACGAACCAAGTTGAGAAGTCCTTGGAGGTGGAGGCGGCACTTGGTGGTTCAAAGACTCTGGTCGGTAGAATTCGCGGCGATCGGGTGCTGTACGAGACGGCTCATGCGATTGAGGAGGAAGTGCTATAGGTCGATGGTGAGCTTCGTGTGTACTTCGTTGTGCATTCTCCTCTCGTTGAGACCTGTGCTCGACAACCTCTCGTGGATCCCGAGACTGATCAAGCCCGTTTTGAGCCTTATGTTCTTGAATTGTGAGCCTCCTGGATCCATAGTCTTGAGACATCTGTCCGCGGTGATGTTGATGCATTGATGACATGGGAGTTCCGCTAGCGGACTGGGGATGACTAACAGCGGGCTGCAGTTGTGGTTGCTGGGCTTGCTGATTCTGTTGAGATTGTGGTTGCAACCCGCGATAATCTTGACCTAGATGAGTTTGACCGAAACCCAGAGAGGAGATTCTCGAATGCTGTTGAGGTGCAGCGGATGCAGGTCTGAACTGTGGCACGGGCGTGGAGGTCTGCCGAGGAGGCGACGATATCTGAGTACGTCCAAGATTACTCAGTCGAGCTGTAGGGTCCATATTCCGAAGGCTGTCGCCAGGGCCATGTCCAAGTGGCTTAGAGCCTGCCAATGGAGTCCGAGGAACCGGTGCATGCAATGGAGATGGATTGCTTGAGCGATCGGCCAAGGATTGTCGAGGATCAAACCTTTCCAGCCAAGCTTCCGCTCGATGTGGGGGTGCAGGGCTGTTAGAATATGCTCCACGAATGTCGTTGATAGTATTATGGCTTGGATGCTGGCCAAGTCCTCCATATAAGCTTGGACGGGTGATCAGATCATCTTGCATGCGAGGGGTGAACGACGCTTGAGCCTGCGACATTGTATGTGGAGGAGGAGTCTGCAGAGGAGGACGCACACTATCAGTGGATGATCGCTTACCCGGCCGTTCTGGCTCATCGTTACTAAGAAGGTCAAAGACATTAGAGCGTTTGGCAGGTAATGGCTTGGGTGGTTCTTGCTTTACTGGCGAACGTTGCTGCTGCTGCTGTGGTGGTGGCTGCTGATAGTGCTGTTGCGCGGAGGTGAATGCTAGAAAAGCTTCTGGCCTTGGCGCCACACTGACTTGCATAGGTTGAGCCCGAGGTGACTGCGAGATACCTATACCGTACAGCCTGTTCCTCTCCTGTTGCATTGCCATCGAGTCCACAGCATGTGGTTCAGAAAGAGTCGTAGGCATTCCAACAAGACTCGTATTGCGGCTGTGTGCTTGTCTAATTGGTCCATCTGGTTCAAGACCCCTATAGCGTGGAAGCTGCGATCCTGACTGAGCATGCAGAAGGTGATCTCGAGGCTGACTCGCCATGTCTCGTGTCTGGGACACTGCGACATCCGCTGCTCTGAGGTCAACTAATTGTGGAGGATGATGGTGAGGTATGTAATCGCTGACGTTATGGTGTTGTCGTTGCTGACTATGTGAGTGCAATGCTTCATCAGTGAACTGACCCCGTTGAGGCCCTGACATGATCTTCTGTGCGAGCAATGGCCGCTCACGAGCCACATCCTCAACTTTCGCCTGTAGGGGCAACACGAGCGGGCTATGCTGCAGTATCTCCCCATGTGGAGATGCCTTGGTGACGATGTTACCAGTAGGATCACGTTGTAAAGTGTTCGCAGGAAAATCTTCCACAAGTGATGACACTTTTGTCGTACCCATAGACCGGTCAACGTCGAGGAGTGCTTCAGTGTTGCCTGTCGTGGGTCTTCCTAGCGGAGCGATCGGAGGTACTGGGTCGTATTTGCGTTTGGCAGGTGCAACAGGCGACGGGGCCTTGCCCAAAGATTCTCCCCGGGCGACCTTTTCTTCGGCAATCTGAGCGAGTCGATCTAGTTCTGCATCACCCTTTCTTGAATAGTGGTTTTTGATCATGGCTTGGCTCTTTGTTTTCATGAAATCTGCTATCTTAGCATAGTCGCGACCATAGTACGCAACCAATTGTCTGAACTTCTGTTGTTCAGGAACAGACCAGTAGCTGGTCACGGTTTGTGGTGGAGGTGATCGTGGCCGCACAGGTGCTGCAGCAAGTGGCAGCATAGTTGGAGTCAATTGTTGAGGTTCGGTAACAGGCAAGACGGACTCAGGTTTGGAGGGTTCTGCTCGCAATATAGCACGTGCACGACCTTTGGCAGGTGAGCCATCCAGATTGTTCTGAGCCGCGAGAGCCGCCTGGTTGTCAGCCAGGATTTGAGCTTTTGTACGTCTGATCTTGGTCGCTGTTCCTGCTTTCCTTCCCTTCGGCTTCGGTGCTGAAGCTTCACCCGCATCTTTGGGTGCCATGGCAAGACGCTTAGCGGCTGGCATTGCTGCAGGGTCTACATCAGGAATATCACCAAAAGTTGGAGCAGCTGCTCTTCTTGGTCGGCCACTGTCTGTGACTGGTGCAGGCGTGGTCTCGGGATCTTCGTTTAGGGCCAGATCTGAGAGCAAGGCAGTAGATCTGGGCTTCGTTGCAGCACGTCCTCTTCTCCTCTTCGGTTGCGAACGTCTCCATATCTCCTTGTAGTTGGCCTCGTTTTTCGTGAGGTAGTAGTGAACAATGCACTCCTGGTACGTCCTGCCAGGTATCTGGTCGGCAATGAGACCCCACTTTTTCGGTGTTTGACAGAAAGCAGTGATGAATCTGCTCTGTTCCTCGTCCGTGAAATCATCCTCAGGAGGTATGTACTGCATCAGTTCTACTGCAAGCTCGGTAGGCACAAGACGATTGGTATCATTGAAGCGCCAAGACGAATCTCGTTCTGTAGGCTTTAGCATGTCCGGCACAAAAGCTTCCGTCTCGTAGTTGGGCTTTGCGTTTGAAGCGGCTTCCCTTTCACGTCGTTCTTCCTCTTCTCTTGCTGATTGCTGCGACATTAAGATGGCCTTTTCAATGTCAAACTCTGTCGCATTTCGTGCTGCTCTACCAGTAAGACGTTCAACTGAGGGCGGGATCGATGCTGAAGATTGAGCGCCAGGAGACCCTGGATCTGGCGTTGCCTCAATGTCCCTTCTCATCCGTTCATACTTATCAATCTCGTATTTCCACTCTGGGAATTTCTGGCGATAGAAGTCAGATAGTTCAATAAGGTCGTCCTTTTCCTCCCACGCTTCTTGTTCGAACTGTGTTCGCAATAGTGTGGTGACTTTTTCCTCTTCTACTTCATCTTCGATCGGTTCGTCAAAGACTTCAACGGCGTCAGAAGCTTTTTGCAGGTAAGGAAGTTCCTCAATCGGCGGAGTCGGTATGGGATTGACGGGTGGCTCTCTCAGAGGACGACCACGAGGCTTGGGATGCATGAGAGGAGGCGTTTGTGTCTCTTCAGACGTTTCGTGCGGCGAAGGAAGACCTTCTGCTGGTGCATCGCTCATCTGGACATCCTTCACGTCTTTTGTCGTTTGAACATCGTCCGGAACGAGACCTTCTGCGATCATTCCAAGGAGTTGGATCCTAATTAGCAGACCAACGACTTTCGAGTCCTCCAACAAGGGTAACGGCATTTTAGCCTTGAGTAACTCCATTTCCCGTGCATGTCTCTTCTCGGAATCTTCGTAAGAGGTCTCATCAAGCTCGCTTTCCGGCTCATCTTCTGCAGATTCCTCTTCAGAAGCTGGCCCGGACATCTCTGTGTCAAGAAGGGTAGTCGTGTCTCGCCCAGATTCAGGAACAGGGCTTTGCCTCTTCTCCGTGTTGATCGTACTACTTCTCACAGGTCTTTCTGTAGGTGGTAATTGCCTAGTGGTTGCTTTAGGCGATTGATCGGGTGATAGTTGTACGGCCGAAGGGGGCGGACGCTCATTCATATGTGGCCTGTTCATATGGCTCATGATCGAGGGTTTTTGAGGTCGATACTCTATTTGTGGCCGTCTCCAAGATGCAGAGGAGGGACTGTTTTGAGAGCTTGCAGGACCAATAGGTAGAGAGCCCCGAGGGCCAGACGGTGGCAGGATCGACGCACTGCGAGGTCCTGTGGGCGCATTAGGTATGCTGCGTACGTCTTGATTGAACTTCGATTGAACGGGAGGCAAAGAGCCATGCTGTGCAATAGGTGAAGTCTTCGGCTTGTACAAGGGTCCGGAGCCAAGTCGAGGACCTGAAGGCACATTTGACGGCAGAGGACGGTCAGCGTGTACAGATACCGAAGACACACGCTCAACAGACGAATCTGCCGCTGGGCCTTTTGGAGGGTCATTGAAGCTATCCTTGGCTGTGTCGTTATATTGTGGACGTACACGATTAGTGTTCTCCGGCTTGGGTCTTACCTCACTCTGTTGGACAGGCAGCTGAGGCACTTGAGCCGTACTGGCAGAGGGCGCAGTGCGTGCAGCTTTAGGTCCACTCGGTGGTTGAAACGGCAGCGTCGTGGAAGCAGGCTCTGTTTTGAACGGCTTGGGTGGTTGTGAGGGCTTCTCAGCTACTGGCGCAGAAGGTGTTGTAGTTGGGGCTGATGGTGGAGGCGGACCATAATCCAATCCGAGAGAAGAGCTCTGAGGCACAGCTTGAGTGGGTGCAGGCTGAGGAAATGACAGCTCGCGTCGGTTATTGTCGTTTCGTGAAGTGAAATAATCCGCCTCGGTCTCCCGCCTTGCGTCTCTTCCCTGTAGTATTGACGATGTCAAGGGTTTCCTGATCAAGTCGTAGTCAAGTTTTCGATCTTGGCTGATAGAGGACGTTGCCCCGGGTGATACGGCACGATTGCCAACACTGTTGCGACCAGGTGAATGATCTCGTTGCCAGATATCATGATCCCTAGACCGGGCATCTCTCTCTGTTGGTCTGTCGTAATCTCGACGTTCAAAACGACCACTCCTGTCAACATCTGGACCAACATTTCTTGGTCGTTCAAAATCTCGATCCCGCCAGCCATCACGCGATCGACTTCTGCTAGGAAAGAGATCTCGTTCGCGATCGCCAATGAAAGAGCTCCGGCCACGACTACGATCCAATCCACCACGACTACGTCCTCGGTCTGTACTACCACGTATACTGCCACCAAAGTAGGTAGGCGTTGGGTCCTGAGCCCTGCTGAAAGGAGGATTAATGATATCTTTAGAGTCGCGACGCGGCCGAGCTGGTGAAGCGGACCTTTCGCGGCCTACATATGACCTGTCCCTGTTGAAAGCAGGTGGTCTATCGTCGCGACGAGACCAGTCCGAGCGGTCATCATCTCGACGGAAGGCACCTTGTTGAGCTCTGGGCTCGCGATCGCGTTCTCTGTCACGGTCCCAGGAATTAGCGGCTCTTGGTGCAAATGATCCGCCACGACCACGTGGAGCGGAAGTGAATCCTCCTCGAAAAGAATCAGCTCGTGGACCCCGAGGTGGCAGACGGTCTGAAGACGGTTGAGGAGGCTCGTTAGAAGGCCTATAGGAGGATGAGACGGCGAGGGGAGTATAAGTGCTGGAGCTTCGTCTATCGAACTGTCGGGGCGGAGATCTGTCACGAGGCGGAGGGTAGCGTTGAGACATGCGAGTGACAAGGCTGTGACTAGCAACGAATATAGACTAGCGCATGCATCGGTGTCGGCAAGGTTGAAAGTTAGTGTTGTGGGTGAAACTGCCAATCAGCTTCTAGCCTGCAGCTCTGAAGTTCCAGGAAGAGCCGATGGAGCCAATGTGCGGCGGCTTGACAAAAGGAATAGGCAGCCCTGTTGCTCAAGAGGTTCTCGCCTCATGAATCCGACACGTAAATCTGGAGGTTGTGATTCCTGCCGAGCCTCAGATCAGATACGCATAAACACTGTGTTTGGGGTCAAAGCTTCCTTAATTTGATGACTGATCCTATGGTCGTTGATGAAGTTGGTAAGTAGCTTGTACTTAGAGATGCAACTACTGCTGTTCTTGTAGTAATTGAGGATATATTCGATGCGATGAAGGAGGAGTGTTCGCGTGTCGGAAATTGGTATCGTGCAACGTAGAACTGCACAGCGAAGTGGTGAAAGTCAAGTTAGTACTTTGGATATAGCGGCTCGAACAAACGTAGTGTTCACGATGATGTTCCGACTACAATCGACGATGTTGCTGAGTTGGAAAGAGTGTCGACAGCAGTGGTCAATGTGACGGAATCAGATTTTGGGAGGACGAGGATGGAAAAGCAACACAAGGAACCAAGAGAACTGAGAATCGGATCCACCTGGCAGCTGGCGTCTTTTCTGGGTGGAGCTTGCAAACAAGTGCGAAGTGCGAGGCAGAAGCAGACAGTGGTGGAGCGTGCCTGAGGTGTCTGAAGTCATGAGTAGTGGACAACAGGGCCTTTTTAGCTTCAGCCATTCAAGCTCGGTCTGGCCAGATTTACGAGTCATCGACCAATCAATGCACAGCATGCACCTTCTCCCGAAGCGCATCGGTTTGATCCATTGGCTTAAATCTCCTACTAGCAGATGACGCACGATTAGCCCACCGTACTGTTCAGGTTGCGACAAATGCATCGAGTCATGGAAGGAGTCCTGTAGATTAGATAGAATTATGACAGGATGATGGAGACACCATGGATGACCTGATCTCTTCTATACAAAATTCTCTGAGTACATCGGTAGGCAAGCATGCACTCATTGATTGAGATTGCGACGTGTTGGACCACACAAAGGCTCGTGGTAGAAGTCTTAGGGCTAACCGTAATGCCGTATAGTGTGTGGAGAACAAACCTGCCAAGCTTTTCTGTTCAAGATTTCTGCCTCTGTAACAGACTCTATCGTGCACGAGAGAGCCAGCAGTACTGATCTTGCGATCTGAATCACACCATAACCGTTTTTACTGCACAGACTTTACGACCAAGTTCTTCTTATCTAATAGGGGCACGATGTCGAGTTCAAATCCTCCTTCTAAAGCCACCGAGGCTGTACTAGTACCGTCCGAGCCAGTTGCAGGGGATGCCCGTGAGGTGAAGGGCATTGACTGGGCTGCCTTACCTACTGAATCCCGATCTATCATTTCCGATTTTGTGCTAAATCTGTCAAACCAAGGCTTCCAGTCAAGCTCGATTGGGGACGCAATACGTATAATTAACGATATGGTTTGTTGATGAAATTGATGTCCAGCGTCGAGGCAGCTCTGACTGCTCCAGTAGAGGCGGTGGAAGGATCCTGAGACGGGTCATGGCACGACCATTTTCCTCGGATATACATCCAACATGATTTCGTCAGGCCTTCGCGATACCTTTCGATATCTGGTCCAGAACAAGCATGTCTCTGCCATCGTAACCACGGCAGGCGGCATCGAAGAAGACTTGATCAAATGCTTGGCACCAACATACCATGGCTCTTTCTCAACCTCCGGCGCCGTTCTGCGGTCCAAGGGTCTGAATCGCATTGGCAACTTGGTCGTGCCCAATAACAACTATTGTGCTTTCGAAGATTGGGTGGTTCCCATACTCGACGAAATGCTGGAGGAACAAGAGACGAATTTCAAGAAGACGGGTGAGAGGTACATGTGGACACCATCCAGGGTAATTCACCGGCTTGGCAAAGCGATCGACGACGAGTCATCGGTGTATTACTGGGCATACAAGAATGACATACCTGTCTTCTGTCCTGCCTTGACCGACGGAAGCCTGGGCGACATGTTGTATTTCCACTCCTTCAAGGCGTCACCTCTGCAGCTCAACATCGACATTGTACAAGACATACGAAGGATCAACACTATGGCGGTGCGAGCCAAACGGGCCGGCATGATCATACTAGGTGGAGGGGTGGTCAAGCACCATATTGCCAACGCTTGCTTGATGCGGAATGGTGCGGAAAGCGCAGTGTTTGTCAATACGGCGCAAGAATTCGATGGCAGCGATGCAGGGGCTCGACCTGACGAAGCAGTCAGTTGGGGCAAGATCAAAGCAGATGGCGAGAGTGTCAAGGTGAGAATACCAAGTTGGGACGGTTTTGACCTACTGACATTGGAGCTAGGTTTATGTCGAGGCCACAGTCGCATTTCCTCTTATTGTCGCGGCAACATTTGCAACGGGCTGAATCTAGCTCTGTAAAAGAAGCTTTTGTGGTACAGTAGTTGCACGAGGCACGGTGGCAGGTGGAGGCGCTGCTTTAGGTTCTGACTCCTTGAACGGTGGACAGGTACTCACCAATCAAACAACTTGTAGTGTTCGAGCTAGTCGACGGAAATGCATCTCTACTGATGGTTACTCGAGCTGATTTGGTTCATATAGGGAACGGCCATTAAAAGGAATGATCTTTGACTTGTGTTAAGATCAAAGGCAGAGAGGAAAGCATAATTGTGACCAACAAGAGTAAAGAGAGTCGATAATGGAGAGCATGAATTAACCGTCGAGTTTCTGGGACAGTGGGTCTCGCAGTAGCGGCCTCAAGCCCTATCACTAGTTCGAGATGAAGATCTCCATCGTTTATGGGAAGACAAATACCAAGTATCAGCAGCAGGAGCGCAGGAGAACAGGCATCGTGATGAATGTGCAAGAACAGCAAGGTTGATACTATTGAGTGAATTGTGATACCAGACTTGTAGGGCTTTTGGTAGCACTAATTCGCCGTGCGTGATCCAGGACAGATCGCAAGGCAGCCTCACTTTCCCGGCTCTGTGGGTCTTCGTTCCCGCAGGCTCGAAACTCTTTTGGTTCACGTATCCTGCAGCTCTTTTCGTGGCAGAAGGGCGCTGTGAAACCATTGTCTGGAGTCGTGTCAACAAGCCCATGATCTTCCAATAGTCGTGCTGTAATGTGACTGTCCTCTGCATGTGCTGGACTTGATGCACTTCAACTCTAGGAGGATGGGTAGAAAGACAAACGCGAGTCGGATACCCACAAGCCTGACTCATTGTGGAGCAAAGTCTGGCTCATGGAGTTCCGCGGTCTCGCCGTGGTGGACTCAGGCGCGCTTTCACCTCCACAATCGAGCAAAAGAGCCCAAGTGCAGCCTGCAGCGGACTTCCTGCAGCAGTGCAAGCGCAGGCACATGGACCATCTTCAAGTTCTTGCTGCCTTTCCCAACTTGAACTTTTTGCATTATACCGCTTTCTGGACGAGTTGTTGCCTTCAATTTGTGAATCATTGCACGACCATTGTATATCTCACTTCACCATCAGTTCAGAGGTCAAAGTGACGGACGATTGCGATGTAGCTCTATAGCTTGATGACTGTTCCTGTATACATCAGCGATAGAGCGACCAAGAGGCTACGCTCGCTGATGCAGCACATTCGGTAATTTCACTAAGAGCATTGTGAAAATAGACCTTCGAAAGCGAAATAACTGTCACTAAGAGCAGGCCATGGCGTCCACTCATCAATCACCCGTTCTGGTAGAACATCAGCCTACCTCTCCATCAGCTCTCCCTCACCGACCTCATCACTTCTCAAGTCCCGAGCACGCTCTTTCCATACTATCCCCAGTAACTACCAACCAACGAGCCGGTTCCGAATCGAGCATGTCGAACAATCAGGAACCACAGGTCGCACCACAGACTCAGGAAGTAGTTGGCCAGCCCGAGCAGGATAGTCATGTGCAAACAACGGATAGTATTTCTGCGAGACCTGAAGACGATAACGAACGTGGGAGCCATCACGACGGAGACGACTCCTCCAATTCCGAGTCAAATTCAGATTCAAGCACCTCGACGGAAACACCTGGCACCATATCTACCCCAAGGTCCTCTGCGCACGAAAGCGGTCAACCTGTACCTGATTCGGAATCGTCCCGACTAGAAAATTCAAATCCAGAACAACCATCAAGTCAAGTTGGCCTCGCACCCGACTCCCAAGCCACAATCTCTGATCCGGACGCAGAATCCTCGGTCGAGCCTGCTTCCATACCACCAGTGCTGACCAACACCGACGTACCGATCATAGATCACACTCCCTCATGGGTGTTGTATGAAGAGGATACCTCGGCTCCCGACGAAGAAGAATTGAAAGAGATAGAGGCCGACGGGCACGAGCTCAATGCATCCGATCCAAACGCAATCGAGAAAGACGTCTTCTCGGACTTGGACGACCGAGATTACCGGCCAAGCAAAAAGATAAGGTTATCATGGGTGATCAAGGGCGTGAGAGGCACGAAGGAACGCCCCAATCGGGCTCGCATCATGCAATCGCCCTCGGTCTGCATTGACGGCAAATATTGGAGCATCAAGTTTTTTCCTCGAGGTAATAAGAGCAGGACTTCCTTGTCAGCCTACCTCCGCTGTTCTCCTCAAGAGCCACCCGCCGCAGCAGACGACCTTGTTGGTTCCTTCAAGGCCTGGGAAGCTGCACCTGATGACGACCTTTCCAAGACCGAGCCCGTGTGTGATCTCAAGCTGGAATTGGCTGAAGTGAAAGAGGAGCATGCTACAACCACTGAGCATGAGCCAGAAAGCGTACCGCAAGGCCGACAGCGTCGAGATAGCCATGACGATGATGATGAGAGCGTTTCCGGCGCCGAGGACGACCAACCCGAAACTGCTTCAACCACAACACCTGTGCAAGATTATCGAATCTCTGCACAGCTAGGCCTGGTCATGTATAATCCAACAGAACCACGTACGTCTTACACATCCTCTGCTTCCCATCAATTCTATCCTCATCAAGACGACTGGGGCTGGGATACAGCTGTCAACCATTGGAGCGAGATCCACCGAAGACGTCGTGGTCAACGCCAAGCCTTACTACGAGACGACACTATCGCCGTCGATGCCTACGTTCGAATCTATGACGACCCTACTAAAGCTCTTTTCTGGCACTCTTCAGCTGGTGAAAGCCAGTGGGATGCGAAGGGTTTGGCTGGCATCTTTCCTGTCGGAACTCGTCTTCTGTACCACAGCCCAGCAACGGCTGGCATCATTGCTTGGACGCTTCTTGCCCCTTTTCGATCGCTTGTTCAGAACTTTGATGCTGGCATTTGGCGCATCGACAGTTCAGCCCGACCACGTCCGCTCATGGCACATCTCCAGTTGATGCTCTTTCAGATGCGGAACATGAAAAAGGAGGAATTATATGTGCGCCTCGACAATATAATTCACGAAATCACAAAATGTGGAGAGTCTTTTGACAATGTCAATATGTTCTGGGAGGCTTTTCGCCGTTCGATAGAGATTGAAGCAGAAGGCGACCACAAAGTTGTCCAGGGTCTGATTGACGTCTTTGGTAGTCAAGACCAGTTGCGAGCTATACCTCTGTTGCCGGTTCACAATGTTGCAGATCTCCAAGCTAGTGCCAACGAAGCTTTCGAGAGAGCACACTTCAAGGGACCACTGCCGAATTTCTTACCTCTGACACTTCAACGACAAAGCTTCGATGCCACCAAGCGAGAGTGGCTGCTTCACAACGATCGTGTACGAATTAATGAAGTGCTCGACCTCAGCAAGTTTGCTGACGTGGACGACGCAAAATATACCTTGTATGGCTTTACCGTACACGATGGCGATCGAACTTCCGGCAAATTCTTCAGTGTGCTGCGGCCACATGGACCTGGAGGTAAATGGCTTGTCTTCTCCGACGGCAATGGTAACAAGGTCTTCTCTTACACTAAGAAACGTCTAGCAGAGTACGAGGGCCTGGAAGGTGCTGAGCTTAAGAAGGCCACAATTAACCATCAGACGGCACATACAGCACTATATATACGCACAAGTTGCTTGTCAGACTATCTCCTGTCAGAACTCGAAACATATCGCCTACCCTACTGGTTGAAATTCCATCTAGATGAAGCATATAACAACAACGCAGACATGTTCGAGAAGCCAGACGAACCAGAGCATGGAGACTCCATTCCGATCGAGCTTTTCTGGGACAAATCAGTTGGTGGTCAACAAGGCAAGCTTGATCTATACAGATTAAAGAGCCACGAAAAGGCAAAACAAAAGCAGTATTGGCAGCGCTTCTTGGCTCATAAACAGGCTACTATTGCCGACATCAAAGCGAAGATAGCTGAGATGCTACAAGTCGACGAGAAAGCCTTCAAGCTCTGGGCTATGAACCACCATCGTTTAGGTGGTATGTCCAAAGGCTATATGTACGTGCTTCCTGCCGATTCAGCAGTGCGTTCGTGTCTCAATACTAGCCTGCATTTGAGCTTGTGGTTCACAATGTTACCAGGAAAGTATGAAGTGGCAGAAGACGAGCTCGCTGAGCGGTTCATGAAACTAGGAGAAATCAATATCCAAGCGCCCCCTGAACCAGAGCCAACGCCGGAAGAACCAGTAATAACACCTGAAATTGCTGAGCCACAAGAAAGCGAATCGCACAACCCCAATGTAGAGCCTGCTGGATCATCGTCTGCAAGCGAAACCGCCGCTGCTGCGGATGCCGAACAAGCATCTGTACGGGAGGCAGTCGATGCGTACTTGGAAACAACTGCTGCTTCTGAGGTGGTGTCCGCATCAACAACCAACCAACCTGATCACGAACAACCAGGTACGGATGGTACAAGAGAAACACAGGCAACATCGAACGAAGAACCAGCAACGCAAAGTCTTCAGACTCACGACAACGAACAAGCCGATGAATTAGCGCCCCTGGAGAACGCGACGACGGGTCGAGCCAGTGTTGAAAATGATACTGCATCGTCACAAACAGAGAACAATGTTGCTGTTATCGTACCAGTATCTCAGAGTATAGTAGAGACTCTCCCCGCAGAATCTCATCCCACACTTGTTCAGACGGTTAGAGACCACAGTCCTTCAACACCAGATGCTCCTGTAACACCGTCAGAGCCGGCGTCGATCGAAGCTGCCCAAGAAAATGCTATGAGAGAAATGCTTGCTGTAGCAGAAGCAAACGAGTCAATTCCACCTGTTGTCCATGGTCACCTGATTGATGCCTCTGCGCACACGTCTACTGTTGCCGATTCTGCAAATAACGAGACAATTTTAGGTCACGGCCTGCCTCCATTGCCCGCTGGTATACCGATACCCATTGGCAATGATCAAATCGTTCTCATACAGCCCGCGCAGGGCGATATATCGGCCGAAGATGCTGCATTAATCTCACAAATGATAGCAGCTGATCTCGAGGCTGCAGAACGATCTGAGCAGCCATCGAATGACAGCAACGCAATCGAAGAGGCGGAGTCTGATGGCGAAGACGAAGCTGTTGACTCACGACCAGCCACGCCTACGCAGCGCATACCTGATGTCTATGGATTTTTGCACATTTTTGATGCTGAGCAACAAAAGTTCACAGCTCACAGTACGTTTACGGTCCCTCGAGACACAAATATCAGCACAATGGTTCGCAAACAGATGAACTACGATGACGAGAAAAGCTTCCATCTTTGGAAGCGCGAGGGCACATACAGAACGGTTGGTGTCTCCCTTGAGTCTACCTTCCAAGATGCGTCACTACTAGACTGTTGCGAGGTCATCGTTGGCGACCATCTAGGCGAAACAAAAATGGAAGCTTTGAAAGCTGAAGCGAAATTCGTGGATCCTGGGCAGCTAGTGCGATACCTAGCTATGGTCCAGCGCCGCCATCCCGTCGCAGCGTTAACAACTCAAGAATCAGTCGAAATCGCAGAGTTCGGAGGCGACTACTACAAAGGCCCGCTAGTACAAGGTCAACGCCACGGTACAGCTTGTTCCCTCATCACACAGGCCGGCGATACCTACGAAGGACCACTCGTAGCAGGTCAAAAATCAGGGCAGAAGGGTAAAATGACCTACCAAAACGGCGACACGTACAACGGCGGCTGGCTCGATGACATGAAGCACGGCGAAGGTGAGTTTCTCGAGCAGCGCACTGGCAACCGCTACGTCGGAGGCTACGAGAACGACAAGCGCTGGGGAAAAGGCGTCACCTACTGGCAGCAAGCAGATCAGCAGGCGGCACTATGTCAGATCTGCTACTTTGAAGAAGTCGACGCGTTATTCTACAAGTGTGGCCATGTCGTTGCGTGCTACGCATGTGCGAAGCAGTGTGCTGGTGATTCGAATGGGTGTCCGGTGTGCAGGAAGCCTATTGAGGCGGTGGTGAAAATGTATCGGTCGTGAGATTCGGGCGCGCTGAGGCTAGACAGATACCAATTTGTGCATAAATGGGGTTCGGAGCTGGGCGACTGATATGGGGGTGGTTCATCTGGATATATGTGTTTCCGCTCGTTATTTTGCGGGTTGTACACTTTCAGTCTGCGTGCAAGCGCTTAGCGAGGCGTCCCAGCATTTTTGCTCGGTACTAAGTCATTTAGATCGGAATCGCGATGCGAAAATACAAAGATGACGAATTATATGAGATGTTGTATAAATCTCTGTTCTATTTGAGATAAGTTCTGGTGAGATGCGTTCGTATCAATCTTAGATCCTATCGTCTTTTTCTGACACAACATCGTCATCCACATCGTTGGCATATTTCATAGCTTCAAGATCCCGTCTCCTTATTAGATACCAAGTCGCCGAGATCACAAGTATAGCACCAACCAGCATCCCAATCGACACCGAGAAACTCACTCTGTACATTGGTCCAAACTTACTCTGATAAACCTCTGGACCAACAATACCCGTGAGTTGCGCAGCTGCGTTCGTGATTCCAATTGCTAGACCAGCGGTAGTCGTTCCATGCGCGGCTCTGATACGTTCTGGCCAGATGATGGGGTATATGCAGATCGAACATGCTGTTGCGAAAGTTACGAAGACGTAGCGGATGATGGGTGGGCGGACACAGATCAGGACAACATAGCAGATACAGGCGAAGACTTCGAGACACAGTGCTGCGATCCATGGTGTGATTTTACGGCGGTGGATGAGCCAGCCGATGAGGATGAGGCAGGTGCAGCCGAAGGCGTAGGTTGGCATGGTCATGAGTTGAGCTCCGGCTGAGCCTGTTAGGCCGAGCTCGAAGATGACTGTTGGTAGGACGGTGCTCACGCCCCAGCCACCGATGCTGTGGAAGATCCAGACGAGGGTGAATGTTGGGAAGGTGGGGTCGCGGAAGAGGGCTTTGGCTTGTTGCCAGTTCCAGGTCCCAGCGAGAGATTTGGGCTGTGTCTTGGGTAGGTTGTTGATGATGATGTCTTTCTCGTCTTGAGTCAAGAACTTGGCTGTCTCGGGGTAGTCAGGGAGGAAGAAAAGTGTGTAGATACCACAGAGAATAGCTGGAATACCTTCCAGAATGAACACCCAGCGCCAGCCTGCGAGACCACCGACATCGTTCATGAAGGATATAGCGAAAGCGAGAAGTCCACTGATTGTGCCTGAAAATTGGCCGCATGCATAGAAGAAAGCTATGCGAAGGGCGATTGAGTCTGTTGGGAACCAGAAGGAAATATGATAGAGTACGCCTGGATAGAAACCTGGTCCACGTCAGTCGAGGCATTGTGTTGGCTCGTGTAATATTGACTTACCAGCTTCAGCCAGACCTAGGAAGAAGCGGCATACCAGAACACCAGCATAGTTGTGAGTCGCGCCCTGACACATTGAGATGATACCCCACGTCACCATGATACCTAGTACAATATCAGCTCATGTTCATGTGCTAGACTTTGGGCTTATCTTACGTGACATCCATTTCGAGGGTGAGAAGCGTTTTAGCATCAGGGTCGAAACAGGCTCGAAAAACATGTAAGGATAGTAGAATATACTGAGCACCTAATATACACATATTAGCCAACAGGTCAGCAGTAGCACCAGTAGACGTACCCAGGCCCATTGTGCACTCGTTAAGTTGCCCAGCTGTTTCTTTATCCCATCACCTTCCTCAATATTGATGATAGCAGTATTGGTAATGTTACTGACGTGTATTCGCATAATCAGGTAGACAAAAGAATACCAAAGAATGATCTTCTTATCGACTTTCTTCTGTGCTTTCTTGAGAAGACTGGGTTCATCTGTGTCTGTCGTTGAAGCCGAGTCTGTATCTGAGGTGATACCTCTGACAGGCACCTTGACCTCGCCAATGGCAGCCTCACTACGATTATCTTCTGGTGAGCCCATGATGTCGAGAAGTTGCTTCGTAGTGGTGATCTGATTATGTAGCGAGAAGGGAATGAGCTACTGATTGTGAGTATACTACCTGTATTTAAGCTTGCTCTAGAGTTCTTCTGTTTTTCTTAGCAGACCTCGATCAATTCGAGCCATGGGACGAGATACCACGCTGTGAACTGAGTCTGGTGAAGTTTTAGCGCTCGGAAAGGAGATGGAAGCATAGCGACGAAGCGCCTTCCTTCAGTGTTTGCAAGCCATGGACAGAGATTTCGCTCCTTGACGTGCTCATATCTCCTAATGGTACAATATCTGTGCAGCAGGCTCACACCGCCATGTGCCGACTTCCAGATTTACATTAGCAAGCACGATCGATAACGGGAGTCCTTCGGGCGAGGCCAAAACACATGTCAGAGCCAGGTTTCTACGTATGCAGGAAGGTGACTATCCAGCGGCAGCATACTTCGTGAATATCACGTCCAAGAGGTCGTGCACGCGGCTATCGCCTTGTGCTACTCGTGCTGTAGTCAGGCAGAAGGATCTGGTTGCATCAAATGTTGTGATCATCGCGTAGATCCTGTCACGGAACAGTCGCCGAAGCGTATTGGATGCTGTCCAGCTGGAGGAATCAAGTGGTTGTGCAGTGGGTTGGCAACAAGGAAACGCGTAAAGATCGAAGGCACTGTGGTCGGCTTGTCGGCGGAACATCGCATTGTGGTCGGGGAGTCAGCACAGCACCCCCCTGTTTTCTTGACTCGTGTCGATGCAAGCCGTCTCCTCACCAGTTGTTGGTAGGATGTGAAGCTTACAAAGGTTCGTATATGTGGTGAGGGGTGTGTGTATATCAAGATGGCACAGCTCAAGCAGTGCTGGAAATCCTTTCGCTCCCCACATTGTCCTGCAATACGTCCAAGATGGCAGCCGCAGCAGTTCTGAGTCAACCAGCGCCCCTATCTTCGGTACATCACCTGCCCAAATATCAGCAGGCCAAAGAATCTCGCTATGAGCTAGACTGGGCTGACCTCGTTACTCTTGATCTGTCCAAATTCGAACAGCCAGGAGGTAAGCAAGAACTTGCTAAGCAGCTCAAGGATGCAGTGCACAATATCGGTTTCTTCTACATCACCAACTTTGGTCTGAGCCAAGAAGAAGTTGACTATCAGTTCGCCATCGGTAGAGAAGTCTTCGCTCTTCCCATGGAAGAGAAGCTGAAATACCGTGCTGATCTTGAAAATGGTAATTACAATGGCTACCGACCACTTGGTGCAGCTGAGCTCTACCCTGGTCTTCGTGACAATGTCGAGATGTACAACCTCTTCAAATTTCTACCCGAGCTCGAACGCACGCAGCCATCAGTCATTACTGAGAATAGGGCTGAGATAGAACGTTTCCAGCGGCACATTGCCGAAAATGTGGTACAGAAACTCCTTGTACTTGTGTCGATCATTCTTGAATTGCCTGATGAGGGAGCTCTCAGCGAGGGCCATCGATACAGCGACATCTCAGATTGTCATCTGCGATACATGATATACAGGGCGCGCTCGCCGGAAGAGAATGCCAAGTTTAACAACATTTACTCCAAGGGTCACACTGACTTTGGGAGTCTGACCTTACTCTTCCGACAACCCATTGCTGCTTTGCAAGTACTGACCCCAGCTGGTGATTGGAGATACGTCAAGCCTCACCCAGGGTCAATCACAGTAAACATTGCAGACGTTCTGCAGTTCTGGACAAACGGATACCTCAAGTCGTCGATTCATCGGGTTGTGGCTCCACCTCCTGATCAGGCACATATTGATCGGCTGGGATTGCTATACTTTCTACGGCCCGGTCATGATTTGACGTTGAAGACGCTTGACAGTCCTTTGTTGAGGAGACTTGGGCTAGATGTTCACGAAGATGATGCGAAGAAAGACGGCATCAAGGCTGGGGACTGGGTGAGGGCGAGAGTGAAGGGCAACTTTGACAAACCGGAGAATGAGAAGGAAAAAGAAGTTATAGGAGGGATAAAGGCCAAGTATTGGGACTAGTATTTCTTGGTTGTTCAGTCAGATATTGACAGATACTCCTTCGACACTCTTGTTCTATGTTGCTCTGAAGTCTAACATTCAGAAATAGGTTTGTTCTGTCAACGCATTGGCTAGACCAAGTCAATCGTCTTCGAGCCTTGAATGTTATCTGCGTAATTTCGTTCTAGTCGTATCTGACTTTAAGTTCCAATGGTTCTTGGTTCGTCACTAACCAACAGCTATTTACGATAAATCCCACTCTCAGATATTGATCCATAATGAGCCAACATCTCACGGCTCTGTTCATGTATTGATTGTTTTGATCTGCAGTTCTTGACCAATGTTCCATAAAGTTGTCCCTGTAGCCAGATGTATTGACCATATCCACACTTGGCTAGCAATCGTTGAATCGCACTATGGAATAGCCTCGTAACCTCCAGCTGCCTTGTGTTGTTCTCGGTTGGAGAAGAGCCAGTAGAGTATGATTCCGATGATAGGGAAGAGGAAGATCAGAAGACTCCAGCCGACTTTGTGGGAGACTGGCCGCGTAGATTGCAGGACCTCGACTGTGGCACGATGGTTAGCATTTCTTACAAGCGTGGGAGTACAACTAGGTACTTACTGATGACAATCAGGTCAAGAATGAGGACGACGAAACCAACGATACCACCACCAGTGCCGTATTGCCATGCATTAGCCTTCTCGACGTGCATTGTTGGGGCGGCAAGGGCCATGGAAGCCAGCGCAAGCTGCAGAAGCATTGTGAATACGTTCTGATACATCTTCGTACACGTGAATGGTCTTGAGACTGTTGTATAAAGATGCTGAGCGTAGTAAAAGTGGTATAGAAGAAGGAAGAAGTGCTTGAGCGCTTGCAGACGAGTTGGAGGTGTTGGAGCAGCGCTGTTACGTCATGCTTCAACGAGAAAACGCCGTTGCCTGTCCTCGTGAGTGTCGCGTGCCAGCTCGCGATTTTCAGGAAAAGTCCGAAGCCCTAAAATTCTATGAAGAAGGTATAGCTCCGTTTGAAAACATCTTGAACAGATACAGTAACTACCGTGTGGGGCACCAGTGTCGAACACTGATTGTAAGCAGGATGGCATGAACTGCCAGGTGCCCTTGTTGTCTGCGTGTTGCAACCATGCTCTTCTTTACGGTAATTGTACCGCAAAATGCTGAGGCTGTAATGGGGCCGCTAGCTCAACTACGGCACGGGCACTACACGATACATGCCTGCTTTTGAGGCAGTCAAAGCCGCGAGTATATCATAGGATGGGGATGCTGATATGTATAACTTATGTAGTCCTTGCCAGTTTTCACTCTATCAGCCAGTTTGGCCAATCTCAGGTATAGCATTTGCTCGCGGAACCAAGTCAGTATCCAGCGGTGAATGAACAATAAAACGGCAGCAGCATTACTTGGACTCGAATAAATTAACGAGCAGAGGAACATCGACTGTCGAAAATGGCCCCTTATTGGGCCCCTTATTGGGCCCCTTATTGGGCTTGGCAAACTTCCAGTGACCTGTTACTATTTCAGGACGTGAACTTCTTTCTCAACCACCTCCTATATCGTCTCCTAGGTCCTAACGGAATTCGACATTTGCATATATGTTCGCGATGTCAACCGGCCTTGTTCCCGCTAATCAGAAGCACGTCGAGATAGGTTCACTGCGACGGAATAGTAGGCTGGGATGTTGAATCATCGCGCCACAGCTGAGCCACATCCACCATGTGGCCTGCTGCGACGTCATTTGATGCTTGTGCCTCCATTGAGGCCGTGGGCTTGGAGCATAGGAAGAAAGTAAAGGCTGACGCGTTCGCATAGGAAGTCCTGAAAGGCAGTGTGCATTCATGAAGCCTCATGTCCTTCATATTTTGCCATAGACGGATCGTAGTCCTGTTGCTTGACTTACAGGCAGATCTGCTTGTCGCTGAGGAAGAGTAGACCAACAGACGTTGCGTTACTGTGTCGCGAATAATGCTTGGGTTGAGCGATCACTAATTCGTGGCTTGTACACCAAATTCTGTATCTGCAGTAAACAGCTGTTTGCTGGGCAGCTGTTCGACCACGACGTTGCACAGAAGCGCCATGGTCATTCGAAAGTCGTCGGTGCCTTACCCGGCCTCCCCTCCACCTGCGCCGCCTGAGCCGCCCATGCACCAAACGCACCTACATGTTGATTCGGCTGATGTTCCTCCTGTTCCCTCCTATGCACAACGATCACAGATGGGCTCCCATTTTGAGGAGATGGGAAATCCATGGCAGGACGATATCAGCTCCCGCAACGAGCAGGACCGACGCGACATTCCCAACCTGCTGCGACCTGGGGTGAACCAGACTTCTGCACAATCGAGAAACACTCCCCCGGACGTACCTGATGTTCTGAAACCCGGATGGTCCGGCGAGGTCACCCCTCGTTCCTCCTTGGACAGCGATCGATCCCCAGAAAGAGAGTGGTGGGACGATGAGGACGAACAGAAGACGGACCATGGGGATCCTACTGATCCGGGCATAAAACATTCGAGGGAGCTTCATGTGGTAAACAACACTGCTTCTCCTTCCGAACCTGCTATACAGTCTGCCTCTATTGTCAAGCGCAAACCACTTCCGCAGAGTCATTCACCTGCCCAAGATACTCTGCCTACCTCAGTCCACCAGCCCGAATTTGCCTCGAATAATCCTTTCAGAAGACTTTCGGAAACACACCAACCTGAACATGCACCGGAAACTGAGAGCTATTCCAGATCAGGACATCCACATCCATTACGAAGCTCACCCTCGAAAGACCAGCTAGGAAGACTCGCCCTTAACGATGGCTTTCAAGAAAAAGAAGCGATACCGACACCACCATCGATCGCACCACCTCTGCCTCCAATGGAAGCGCCGCCTCCCATACCACGGTTGCAGGAACCCCTCATGCCTACACAGACCGGTAACGATCAGAACCCCTGGGCATCGGTGAAGCCTCCACTACCATCACCCAGCTCTTTCGAGCCAAGGCAACATTTTGACACAGTCCCCACTGATGACTTGCTCGATCGCGGACACCATGAAGGATCACTCTCACTTGGTGAAGAGCTTAGAGCGATCCCCAACAATCCTACTGCTCCGAGACCATCAACAATTCGCGAACCGTCCCTGTTAGAGAATGAAGAGCCAGGTCCACCCAAACCACCACGACCCGTAAGGCAGGAGTCTGATGATCTTTATGCTCCGCCTCCTGGTCTACCTCCATCTCTCCAACCACCAGTGAAACCTCCACGACCTGCTGTTGTTACAAGTGAACGTGATCTGGCCATGATGAAAGAGCAACGAAACGAAACGTATCAAATCAAGCATTTCAACTGGTACGACTTACGAACCTCGAGAATGAGACGATCGTCAATGTTGACCCAAAACCAGAATGGGCCTTGTCCCCTACTTGCTCTTGTCAATGCCATGATCTTGGGCGCCACGGAGGAAATGCAAGCGGCGTTAGACGAAGCGCTACGGTTACGCGAGCAGGTGTCGCTGGGGTTGATTATCGAGACCCTAATGGATGAGCTTCTCACCAGAGCTGCAATGTCTGACACTTTACGCTTACCTGATGTGGACGAGCTCAACCGATTTCTAATGCGATTGAGGACAGGAATGAATGCAAATCCGCGCTTCGTGCCTGCATCACAGCCAGTTCCTAACCTCATGGACGGTGATACACCTACTACGCCCGCAGCACCACGACCTCTGACTGTGGTTGGCACCTTCGAGACTACACAGGATATCAGCCTGTACAGCTCCTTCAGGATCAAGCTTGTACATGGCTGGCTGCCACAACCTAACGATGAAGCCTCACGCGCCTTCGCACGATCTGCGCAGACGTACGAAGATGCTCAGGCAGTTCAATTCGGAGAAGAAGAGCTCGAATACAAGCTTTCGAATGGAGGGCTAAATCAGCATGAGCAGCAGCTTTGGCAAGATATTACTTCTATCAAGCAATTCTTCCGAGCATTCCCAACACAATTGACGCCTTATGGCCTTGGAGTCGTACAAGAATCACTTGAACCTGGTGAATTTGCGATACTGTTTCGCAACGATCACTTCAGCACGATCTACAAGAATCCTCGAGACCAGCGACTCTACACACTGGTTACAGACGCAGGATATGCTGATCGAGATGAAATTATCTGGGAGTCCTTGGAGGACATCAACGGTGCTCGGACGGAACACTTTTCAGGAGATTTCCATTCTGTAAGTCATGGAGATAGCAGACACTCCATACCTCATAGTATGACGGACGCTGCGAACCCAAGACGTACTGCCAACCAGGCTCAACTCGCGCCACCAAGCACTTCGCACACTGCTGCAGCACTTACTCCACAGGAGCAACAAGAGCAGGCAGATATGGACTTCGCGATAGCATTACAGATGCAGGAGGAGGAAGAGCAGGCACAAAGAAGAGCCCGGAATCAGCAGCAGAACAGCCGAGGTGGAGGTGTGAGACCAGGCGATCCCGCTCAAAGACCAAGAAGATCGCAGGGCAACATCCCGATACCTCTGAGAAGCAACCCCGGCGGCGAAGTGAGACCTGTCATTCCACCTCGAAACCAGAATACGAACAGGAATCCAGCCGTAAATAGGCCAGCAGATGCGGATCAAGTCGATGCGCCGCCTGCCTATGAGGAGGCTGCCGGGCATAGGCCTTATGTTCCACCAATAGGTAGTCCACTACACCCATCGAGCTCGACTGATCTGCCACTTGGCCGAGCTAGCACAAGCACTAGTAATGTGCACGCTCAGGGTCAGACAACCGGGGTGACAAATCCCATGTATAGACACAGCAGCTATAGTGATGCTCGGCCAGCTCAACACTTAAGACGAACTAGCGCTTACGGCGAGAATACGGAATACCGCTCGCCAGACTACCCAGCTGGTCCGTTTGGGCCGAATCATGCCTATATGCCATCAGCTGGTTCAGAATATGGTAGGAGGAGGACAGCAGATGGACGTGGTGAGAGGGACTGTGTTGTTATGTAATGGCGTTGCATATGTGGGAAAACTACGACTTTACGTTGATTATGGAGGTGGTTCATAGCTTATGGACATAATGATACCCAGGTTTTTTGCTGCTCCTTCCTACTATACATATGACCAGTTCGATCTTACAAGCCGCTCGTGGTTGGGCCTTGTCCTAATCTCAACCCTCACGCTGAACCACGAGTTGGCCGCTTCGCGTCGTCGGTAGACCATGCAATTGACCGTAAGGAAAACGGCTAGCATCACTTCGAAGCCGTGCATTGTACACGTTTGACACCAAGAATGCTCGAGACAAGACAGTCGTGGCTTCACATGTGCGGAGTCGACGCCTTTCCGCACCGATGTCGGTCGTTGTTTCCCCACGAATTCCTCCTGGGAGGACTTACGAACCAACCGAATTGTGCTCATGGTCCATAAACTCCAGCAGATCGTCATTCCCGAGGATGACCTTGTGCAATGAGATGCGACATGACCGGCATGGAGGCCGTTGAGAGATGTTCTTTGAATTGAGATTGTTGTTTCGTGATTGACTACTAACCACGACGCTGTGCAGAGGAAGCTGAATAGGTCCTACTGAGCCTTGTCAACTCTTTTGACCTGCTAGTAGTACTGAACTCTTCACTCAATCGATACAGGCGTAAGAGCGAGCATCCAACGGCCATACAATCGGAACAAGAACTAGAACAAGAACGCCCAAGTCGCGGATATAGACAATACATTAAACTATGGCAGCTCCTGTCTTTCCACCGTCCAGCAATGGTACAACCAACGGTGCCTCGAGTGGCCCTAACACATACCGAGTCCTCATCTTGCCAGGCGATCATGTTGGCCCAGAAGTCATGCGTGAAGCTCTCAAGGTCATGGAGCTGATTGAGACCAAGAGATCGGACAAGATAAAGTTCCAGCTTACACATGAGATCGCAGGTGGATGTAGCATGGACAAGAGAGGGACGCCGATCACTGATGAGGTGTTGCGGATTGCGAAGGATGAGGTCGATGGCGTGTTGTTTGGGAGTGTAGGTGGACCGGAATGGTAAGTCCTGAATACGTTCCGAGGCACAGAAACAACTACGAACCTCATAAACGAACGCTAATGTGGTGCTGTACAGGGGCCACACGTACCCAAACCCCGAGTCCTCTCTCCTCCGCCTTCGTGCACATATCGGAGCCTTCGCGAACATTCGACCTGCAACCTTCTACTCAAAATCTCTGGTTCCGCTCTCGCCGCTCAAACCACATATCGCAACTCCAGTGAACTTCATCGTGCTTCGCGAAAACTGTGGTGGTGCATACTATGGTAACAAGATAGAAGAGCAGGACTATGCATGCGATCCATGGGGATACTCTACACCTGAGATTGAGAGGTGTGCAAGAGTTGCAGCAGCACTTGCACGAACCCTGGGCAAGGACGGTCGCGGAGACGGAAGTGGTGGCCCGGCTACAGTATGGAGTGCAGATAAGGCCAATGTCCTTGCAAACTCTAGGCTGTGGCGACGAGTGGTCAGCAGGGTCTTTCAAGAGGAGTTCCCCGACGTTGAACTGAAGCATCAACTTGCTGATTCACTTTCGATGATCATGATGACAGATCCAGCGAGATTCAACGGCGTCATTCTAACAGACAACACCTTCGGAGACATGCTGAGCGACCAGGCTGGTGGTGTGGTTGGAACATTGGGTGTGTTGCCTAGTGCCTCACTCTGCGGAATACCAGGCGAAGGACAGAAGTGCAATGGTATCTACGAGCCAGTGCATGGTTCTGCGCCTGATATCTCTGGCAGAGGAATCGTGAACCCAGTGGCACAGATACTGAGTGCTGCGTTGCTGTTGCGATACTCATTGGGTCTCGTGGAAGAAGCCGTACTCATTGAGCAGGCAGTTGAGAAAGTGCTCGACGGCAAGGACATCGGTGGTCTGGAGATCAGAACAGGTGACCTTGGTGGAAAGGCCACAACGGTCGAGGTCGGTGACGCCATCTGCAGTGTGCTAAGCAATTTGTTAGATGGTGGCCACACTTCAGCTACTACAGATGGCGCTCAAAGCAGTCTGGCAGATGACTTTGCCAAGGCCAATGTACAGGAGACCTTGGGCGAGAGTCACAAGAGTGAGAACAAGCCATATGAGGATGCAACGAACAGTGCGGATGTCCCGAAAGGACCGCAGGATGCCATTGCTTTGAATGGATAGATGCTGCGGCGGTGGACTGGCTTAGGAGAAAAGGCGTTGCAGGTATAAAAATGCACGATGTATATTACAGCCATCAACCAAGGTAATTCAATTTTCTTGTCAGTCATGACATCTTGTTACATTTCATTCTACCGAACGTGTTCTTGCTGCCGATGGACGATGGCCCGTGCTCAAACCTCAACCCTAATGGAATGCAACAACCGCGTCCGAACACAAAGCTCGGACGTAGACACTGCTTGCCCTGCTTGCTCCCAGAGACACACAACTGACTGCATGCAGACTTTCTTAACAATCCATCGGTATCGGTATAGTGCAGATGAAAGCAAAGAAACACAAAATGGGTCAAATCGTGAAGATGAACAGAGTATCCGCAAACGATGAGCTTTTGAGGACGAATAGAAGTGATCGTGAGCCGTCTGTTCTTCTTTCACTGAACAGAACTCCACTTCGACTTCACTTTTGCTTACCCACACATACATACGGACAGCTATCCTCTGGTACCGAGAAGACATTGGCGATAACATACAGAGCTTCTGTCGCACTCAAACACAGACATAAAAACAGAAAGCAAAACACCACCCCAGAAAATAACCATGGAATCAGCAGGCCTACGCAGACGCAGCAAGGGCCCCACAAAGAGTCCTGCTAAACGCGGAAGCGTCGCGCCAGAGGCACCACAGACACCACGGGAGACCCAGGAACTGGCACAAATGGAAGACGACCCCGAACACATTCTGAGATCGCCCAGAAGATCAAAGACGCCTGCTCGTAGGAAATCTCTTGCAAAAGCTGCCACTACTACCACCAGCGATGTAATCGATACGCCTGTTTTGGCAGCTGTAATTCCTGAGTTGTCGCCTGGAAGGAGGAGTGCATCCGTTGCTCACGGAGTTGAAGGTGACTATAGAGGAGAAGGGAGGAGCCAGGGCGCCATGGCTGCTGCATCAACTGAGCCAGCGGTTCGAAATATTGATCCGAATGAGGTATTGCCCTCGATTGAAGAAGAGGACGAACTTTTTCTTCAAAGATCAGCGCCTGAGGGCCGTGCAGGAGGATCACCTGCTGTCAGTACAGGTCAAGCTGATGCGAGACGAGATAGCAGAGGGCTATCGTCCTCCCCATCGATAGGCAAAACACCATTGCCTGCCCCTCGTGATACTCCTCGGTATTCGCCGACACACAACCCTCGTCAAATTCCCACGCAAGACGCTGCACAGGACCCTCAAAAGACCTTTCGACAGCTCTTTGAGGACGAGTGCCGTAGAGGGCTGCGACATCTCGGCAGAAGATGGTGGTTGTTGACAGTGGCCATCTCCATGTTCTGGGGAGCAGTCTGTTCTGCAGGGCCGATCTGTCACAATCATGGTTACATGAAGGTGCTCAGGCTACAGTGTATGGCGGCGCCATCTGAGTCGTTCTGTCTCATTGCGGTATACTTTCTGTTACTTTCGAGTATTTCAGACATCTCTCTGGGAATAGTCAGAGTACTTATCCAGATTGGTACGCGAGGTGCAGTGCGCGAAGACCAGCCACAAGTCGTTGAGCCAGCTGACTACAACCTTCGTGCCTTACTGAGGTCTGTTCGTGATTGGACCACTCATTTCTTCAGACACTTTGGCTGGAAGCAGTTCTTCCGGAACTATATCTGGTCTATTGTCTGCGATTTCATGGTCCACGTGTTGGAACCAATTGTCATACTGGTCGGGAGTCTCGGCCTTCGATGGCGATGGGGTGGCTTGTTGGATGGGCAACAGGCGCTTTCCGCGTTCGTCATGGTGTATGTGACGAAGTGGTTTCTGCAGGCTATCGAAAACTACAGCCCTCAGAAGCCATGGCTAGCACATCTGGATCGAGGCCGACTCTTCTGGACGCGCAGGCCGCTCGTCGTTCTCTTCCTGGCGATTCTGTCTGCAATCTTTTTCTACCAGCACTGGGATACAACAGTTGACCTGGTCAACACCACGTGGCATGCTGTTCGTGTTGCAAAGGCATATGGGCGATCGAGCGGAGGTGGAGGACACGGTAACGTCCTGAAAGTCGGAGGCAGTCGTATTCGGAGCACAAGCACAGTTGTTTCGTACGCTTATGTGGTGACGCAGGCATTGATCAGAACAATATTGCCCACCGTTACTGGTCGCTGAGAGATTAATATAGAATTGGACTCAGGAGGGCACATAATCTGCTGTACTTTTAGCATAAACAATAGAACTCTAGCAATGGTATGATTTAAAACATGACTCTTGCGCTTGGAAGGACATAGTTCATGGTGGCAATCATCGTAAACTCGTTGAAGTGAGAAGTCCATCTCTTGTGATTATATACAAATTTTGAAACAAGCAAGCCAAAGCATGAAGTCTTCATCTGCGGATCTGAAGGAGATCTGTTCGAGGGTGTACGAAAGGACGTCGATGCTGGGAATGAGCTTGTTGCCATAGTTGTAGTGCTCTCTGTTCGGAATCATGCCGTATCACACTGCCAATACCCATGAAGACACTAGTATTTGATCAGCATAATCGTCTAGCGACGCAGGTGTACATACGCAAACATGCCGCCAGATGCGCCCATGTATTTGCCCAGCATCCTGAAGACACCAGCCGTACCCGCGCCATGCTGAAATATCGTCACGGTTCCTGTCTTGTCAGACTGAGCTGTGAGCAGTTTTGACTAAAGCTTACCATATATGAAACCCATGATGCTACCCACAGCTGCAACTTATCAGCGTTGGAAATAGAAACCATGTTGAATCACATACTGCCACCCATGATGGCACCCATTGTCACTACTCAATGTCAATATGTGCTGCCTTGTTGAAGACTGGGAGAATTACTCTTATTGACCCAGTTCGGGCCAGCTCGCTGAGCTCCTGCTGGTACCACAGGCATCTTCAAGGATGGGATATATTGTCAGTAGTAAACAAGGCACAGCGCTGTGTTGTGGTAGCAGATGGTGGTGGCTACTGATCTCGGCCTCGTGATTATTGGAGAAGGGCAGCTGCGATCGACTGCGGCTGAAAAGACCAATCATAGCCGTTCGGTTCGACAAGCGGGTGCTGAACAGCCAATTGGGTGCCTCAGGAATGGGCGGCGCTTGTCCTGGGGAAGTAGTGAATTGCGCTCAAATTGAACGTCGAGACCTGCCCTTGATTGTCAGAATAATCGTCTTCACGTTGTCGAGCATCGAGATCTCCCCTCTAGCCATCTCGGAACCACTATACGCGACCAAAGCAACCCGCTACTACAACGTCCGGACCTGCAGCCTGCCAGCCAAGTTCTTCGCAGTCTTCTTTGTAGTGGTAAGCGCACATCATCCCCCTACGTCAGGTCAGCTCCCAGCGCACGCGAGCGTCTGTTTCACTTTACCCGTCGACTCCTCGAACCGATAGCTGGTGTACTTCACCTCGGAGAACTGCCATCCATTCGTCAGGGTGAAAGAACACTGCTGACACTTCTCGTTGACAGGTTGTCGTTCGGCAAGTCTCGACCAGTATCGTGACACATGCCGTGTCTACGTTCAAAGGGCTCTGTGGTTTTTGTTTGTTTGCCTGCTACTCTGTTCTAATCTTCCACCCATCCACTGAGGCACAGAGGATCTACCGTCCTTCTCAAGTCTAGTTATCAATGACTACGATTGTGGCCTCTCCACCAACCTTTCAGTCACTGCCTCGACTCGGCTGGGATGGTCCCTCGAACAACCATCAAGCTGGCTTTTCGGCAATGAGCTCCGACGACGTTTCCCGTATGTTCATGCCACAGAGAAAAGTGGCTACTAGGAGCAGTTCCTCCTCGTCGTTAGCGTCTAATGCCTCCGCATCCTCCACCTCCTCGACCTCTACCGTCACATCTGCCAATGATTTGGCCCATTCGACAAATGGTGAAAGTGTTGGACCGGCCAAGAAAAAACAAAGGGGGGGGTTTTGGCCCGTCTCAAAAGCAGAAATCACCGCGAGCGTCTCAAATGCAAAAGCCAATGGTGCTGTGCAGCCGGCCGTGCCGAACGGCGCAAACATGTTAGGTCAGAAGAATTCCTTACAGCCCGCTATGCCCGAACATGCTGCAAACGCTGTTAATGGCATGGAGAGTAGACCTCGCCAGCAGCCGTTACTGGTTCTATTGCCCATGAACGGTACCTTCGAGCGAAAGCAGATTAACGTGCCTATGCATCCCGATGCGCCTCAGAAGATAGGGAGACAGACAAACAACAAAACAACTCCCAAAGCCGACAATGGCTACTTTGACTCCAAAGTCCTATCTCGTCAGCATGCTGAGATATGGTCCGATATTAACGGCCGGGTATGGATCCGGGACGTCAAGTCCTCGAATGGTACCTTTGTCAATGGCACTCGTCTTTCTCCCGAAAACCGAGAATCTGAGCCCACCGAGCTTCGACAGCACGATAGTCTCGAGCTAGGTATAGACATTGTGAGTGAAGACCAGAAAACCATTGTTCACCACAAGGTCTCTGCCAAGGTCGAATTTGTTGGCTTCCCCGGCAAAGCAGGCAATGCTCTCGATCTTCTCAACTTTGGAGAGCTGGATCCTGCCCAGAGCAACAACCTTTTGAGTTCTCCCATAAGTGCACCCATGGCCCATCAGCGGAGTCAACAGGGACGCCCCCTTACTGCTCGAGGTTCTGTTGCTTCAAGTGTCACTGGTGGTAATGTTTCCTCAGTAGCTCAGAGACAGGCAAATTATTGGGGAGCTCCATTGAACATAGAGCAACTGGTGAAACAAGTTGGCATCGAGATGCGAGCTGCGAAACAACAATCACAGGACTTGGAGCAAGCTAGGAGCTTTCTGACCGCCATTCTACCGGCTGATGGCGGTCCAGTAAAACTTCCTCCAGGTAGAGACCACATATCGCCCCTGAGACAGGCGAATGGAAGAGCCAAACCATCAAGGGTCGATCACTCTGCACGATTCGCTGATCCGCCTGCTCCTCCTCCTCAGCAGCCTCTTCCCGAGAAACCTGACAATACGAAAGCGTCAAGTCCTGGCTCTGCAACCATGAGTCATATGCTGAAACGTGAGACGACGATGAAGCCTTTGGTCAATGGGACAGCCGCTTCGCCAATCGGTGGTCAATCACAAATTGTATCTCTACTTGAGTCCCTCGATGCAGCACGTAAGCAGATAGAGTCGCAAGGCTCAAAGGTAAGAGAATTGGAGGACATGCTGCAGCGAGAACGACTGGCGCGCGAGGCTGCTGAAGACAAAATTAAGCGACTGGAAGAGTCACACAATGCTAGACCAGTGTCGGTGGTGGAAGAACAGCTCACGACACCAGGAGAGCATCTACCAGCACAGCAAGATCAGGTTCGTAGTGAAAAGGAGGCCGAAGCTGAAATGCGATTACAGCAGCGGATAGAAGCAATGCTCTCGGAGATGCAAGTCATGCAGCAAAATCTGACTCAAGCAACACATCGAGCAGAAACAGCAGAATCGGAGAAGTCAACACTGGCTGCCATGATAGACAAGTACAGAAAGCAGAGGCAGGACGAAGATTCACAGTCATCAGCAGTAGAAGATGATGGAAATGATGTGGAAGAGATCCTAAGGTCTGAATCAGATTTTGACCAGCTGAGTACTGCAATTCAAGACAACAAGCAAGCGAACGGGCACGTACGGACGCCCAGGCTACCAGAAGACCTTCGACAAGCAGTTTCGACGATGCTCCAGCAACAGCAAGCGAATGGAGAAACGTTAGGCAATTACGGGCCATATATGTCGATGACTTGCGTTGTGTTAATAGGAGTTGGGATAATGGTGTACTTCAATTCTTGGCCGCAAGTCGATAAGTGAAGGCAGTAATATCTCAAAACGTCGTCCTGATGGTTCAGGGATTTGATTACAAAGCTAGGCAGCGAAAATGACTCCATGCAGTCTTTTGGGTTTCGTTCGTTTCGCAAGGCGTTGGCAGGATCTGGATATGGTCGTCGAGAACGGCGGTATTTTGCACAGCACGCATCACTGGTACACTTGGCGTTCAATCAGGCTTCTGCAGCTGGCCCATATATGAAGAGTACTAGCTTGTATATATTTTGCTCGGCAGCCTCTGTGGCTATTTGGGATTGGGGAAAGGTAACAAGGATGGACGCATGGCTCAATAGCCTATGTTCACGAACTGATGATGTGGATGACTCTAGATATAGCAGTGAATAGAGATAATCTCTATGGAGATATTCTTCATATTCAATGAATAGTTCTTGATTATTCTCATCGTGAATTACTGGCACCACTATAGTTGAAAGATCATGACTGCAGCCTCTAAGCACGTAAGCCAAGAACACATTTAAGCCTCACACTTGCGGCATGTTTTCGGAAGCCGGAAAATTAGAGCCGATCCCAGTCGCAGTGTGACGATATGTTATCTTTATGCTGCAGGCACAACTCTTGCCGGAAACGTCGATGTCAGGAACAGGACGGCTTATCAAGATGATGACAAGGCACAAATATAATTTCGACAGCGGCATTGGGTCGCACTTTCCTACTGGGAAGCTGCTTCGATGCCTCACCTTCAGCTTTCAAGCACGTCCAGGTGAAGTCGAACCACCATAGCCATGAGGCTAGCTCCACGATCGTGCGTCCAGCTCTCTAGAGCAGTGCCGGCCCAGAAACGAGGCTCCCAATACCCAGAAACAATCAGGCACAGCAGACGGAAGTTCACAACTCCAACGCAGCGACGGTATGCCGACGTCACCCATTCTGCCAGCAAGAGCGATCAGAAGGAAAGGGTAGTGATATTAGGTTCCGGATGGGCAGGTGAGTTCTTCGGGTCATATGCATAGTATATTGCTGAGATTGTACTAGGCTACGTGCTCGCGAAGCACCTCGATCGCAAGAAGTACCACATCACAGTCATTTCACCACGGACATACTTCGTCTTTACACCTCTTCTTACCGACTCTGCAGTTGGCACTCTCGAGTTTAGAAACATCCTCGAATCGGTGCGGAGGGCAAACACAGATGTTGAGTACATCCAAGGATGGGCTGACGATGTGAACTTTTTCGAAAAAACTATCAACGTTGAGCCTGCAGTACTTGATCCGAAGCAAAGCTATGCCTTGACACAAGCCAGGGACACACCAGAAGCAAGCAAGCTTATACCAGAAGAAGAGAAGCTGTTTCAGTTGCCAGAAAGTATACACCTAAAAGATCGTGTTCCTGTGTTTCCAGTCAAGTACGACAAGCTCATCGTCGCAGTCGGCAGCTACAGCCAAACTTTCAATACTCCTGGCGTCCGAGAAAATGCATACTTTCTGAAAGACGTCGGTGATGCCAGAAGAATCAGAAAGAGGGTTCTAGAGCTCTTCGAATTGTGTCACATGCCCTTCGTCACCGATGAGACGAGGTCGCAACTTCTGCATTTCGTGGTTGTTGGTGGTGGTCCCACTGGCATCGAGTTTGCAGGCAACTTGAGCGATCTAGTTAGGCAAGACATGAGTAAGATACACCCTGACCTCGTGAAATTTGTCAAGGTCACAGTTTACGATGTCGCACCCAAGGTGCTACCTATGTTTGATGCAGCATTGGCAGATTATGCGATGAAACAATATTCCCAGAAGAATATCGACATCAGGACGAACCACCACGTGGAAGAGCTGCGGAAGGGCCCTCCACGGACTCGTCTGGCCCAAGACAAAATTCCGCCTGGACGAGTGTTCACCATCCGGACAAAAGAAGATGGAGAAGTAGGTATAGGCATGTGTGTATGGTCGACCGGTCTCATGAACAACCCATTCGTTGCGAAAGCACTCAACCACGTCCGTCGATTTCCAACAAAATCTGCTACAATCGACGAAGGCCGTCTTCCTGCTGACTCAAATTCTAGCGCATGGCAAATCAAGCGACATCCCAAGACAGGCAGTATGATCGTCGATAATCATTTCCGCATCCAGCTAGAGTCCAAAGGCGACTCTCAGCCCACAGGTCATGCAATCATGCAAGATGTTTTTGCCCTTGGCGATTGTACTATGCTCGATAACCTCCATCCACCTTTGCCCGCCACAGCTCAGGTTGCCAACCAAGAAGCTCGCTTCCTCGCATCGATGCTCAACAAGCACTTCGATCGTTCCGCGGGCAAATTCAGTGCCGATTCTTACGACAAGGACTCTGGCTTCGATTACCATAACCGAGGCGTTATGACCTTCCTCGGTGGCAGCAAAGCTATCTTGCAAGGACCCGAAACCGAGCGGGCAGGTGCAGGGAAACGGCTGAAAGGCTTCCTGGCGTATTTGATCTGGAGAGGCGCTTACCTGACTATGACTCTGAGCTGGAGAAACAAGATTTTGATTCCTGTTCAATGGCTTACCGTCAGATTGTTCGGAAGAAGCGTGAGCAGATTCTGAGCGTGTCGAGGCTGTGAGACAGGAGACGGAGATGATGAAGAAAGAGGCTCGGGATCCGAAGGAGTAGATGCAGGTTCTGCAAGAAAGCTTGCAGCTCAAACTCTGGGTGCAACCGCGACCATACCCGCTGACAATCACCTAGTGGAGGCAAATACTTGGTCCGGAGAAGTGCTAAGACGATGAGCATTTCAACCAGCTATCTTTATGCAAGCATGACATGTTTGCCAAAGCTGCGCCCTGGCGAAACTGCCACCCTTGTACTTGGAAAGACCTTCTGCTGCCACTGCCAAGGTGTTACTTCACACCACAAGACCCTTCTCATCTCTGTATCAGACCTCTCCACACATCTCCTTGGCGCTACAGCGAAATGGCACACGTCAAGACTGATTTGAATGATGGGGCCCTTGTCAGCACAATGAGTACAGGTGATCTTGCATGTCCAAGCACAACGCTGGCTCTAGAACTACCTTGACCGCGATTACCCTAGCTCAGAATTTGCTCGTTCACTCTTTCGCATGCATCAAAACACCAAGATGAGCCCGGTCGATCAGATCATGTACTTGTCCAGGACGATCTTCATGCTCTGACCCAGGCGGTATCCTTGGCAAGAAGACGTCGCTCGGTACTTGGGGAAATAAATACTAGCCACGGAGAAGAGACCTCTTTTGTCAGTGACGGACCTTTTACAGAACTTGATGCTGTCGTTCGTGCAGGTGCTGTCTACCCTATGCATTCTTTACAGTGAAAGAAGCGTTACACTTGAGGTGCCTAGCGGAGACTGTCTGCAGATCATGACTTCGGTCGACTTTAACTTCGTACTATGCAAGCACTTCGTGCGGGACAACTTTGCATCTTGATGGTCAGAAATCACGAGGTCCTCGTTGGTGGCGTCAATCGTATAGCCTCCGGCTCGTGTCGTACTTGGTACTGTAATAAGCTTCTGGAAAGACGCGACAAGGAAACTTCCGCAAGTACGACGGTCGAGTTACCTGCATATGGTTAGTACAGTAGACACTGACTCCACATATCGGCCACAAGGCTTCACAAACCAGGATGCATGATGCTCATCAAACGGTCTCGGATATTTTGGTGATCCTTGTCGTCTTGCCTGAATGCAGGTGACCATAGAGTATATGTCGCAGAAACAAAACCTCAGCCAATCATGCAGGACATTGCGGCTTGACTGCCCAAGTCAGCCACTTGTTTCATCTTGAAAACTGACTTCGACCATTCTCCACAGATCGACCTGCACAGGAGGATACAAGCACATCTCGTTTGACATCGGAGTTGCCCCAGAACGTACAAGCTAGTATGCGATAACTACACCACGCAGTCTTCAACCTTGTTGATCACGCACGAGGTCAGCAACCGAGGTTGGAGTCCCTAACGATGCTGCTCTCACATCTTGCTACAAGCAGTGGATGCCTGCAACCCTTTCGGAGCACAGTCTACTCGAAGCATCTACTTCGAAGCCGCAAGATTGCAGGCAGTCTGAATTGTGTTTGACGACTGCACAGTTCCTGGTCGATATTCAAACCCAAATTCCTCGAGCCAATCCCTTCACGTTATGTGTCGAGAATACCGAGGCATTGCAATGCTCGTCGACAGTACGCATCATTTATGATCGAGACGTGAAGCATATAAGGCACTATATGCGCCAGCATGAAGCATCTTCAGATTCGACAGCTTCGACCGTTCTCTCACTCTCAGGCCTTTCCTTCTCAATAAACTTCATTCACTCGTTCATTAGCAAATCAGCCAACATCAAACAATCACGATGCATTTCCAAAACACTATCACGGTCTTGGCCATCGCTGGACTTGCAGCTGCAAGCCCGGTTGAGAGGCAAGCTGCTTGCTCAAGCTACAGTCAGTCGAAATCCTTTACCACTTGCTGCATAGGCTGATGCTTGTTACAGCGATCATCAACACTCGTGGTACTGGCGAGCCTCAAGGCCAGTCTGCAGGTTTCCGAACCATGAATTCAAGAATCACCAGTCAGGTGTCTGGAGGGAAGATTGTGAGATCACCATAGTCGCAAACGGAATGACAACTTCTGACAGCAACCAGTATAACACAGTCTACCCTGCTGGCGCTGCCCAAAACTCAGCCTCTGGCACGCAAGATGTATGTTGAATCACCCAATGCGCAACATCTCTGACAATAACTTCAGATTATCAACAAGATCCAGTCAACTCTAGCAACCAACCCTGCTGAATGCTTCATCCTTCAAGGCTACTCTCAGGGTGCTGCAGCCACCGTTAACGCCATGTCCAGAATCACTGGTGCCAACTTCGACGCAGTCAAGGGTGCCTTCCTCATCGGCAGTCCTCTTCACGAAGCGGGCTTGACCTGCAACGTCGACAACAACGGCGGCACTACCACTCGTAACGTCAATGGCATATCAGCGTTGGGCTCTGATGGTGTTCCTTCCAACTGGATCTCAAAAACTTTGGACGTTTGCATCTATGTAAGTCAACTCTATGCACTCGTTGTGAACACCATAAATATCAGTCTACCCTTACTAATGCCTGCGACCTTCAGGGCGACGGAGTTTGCGATACCGCTCACGGCTTCGGCATCAATGCCCAGCACCTTCAGTATCCATCTGACTCGCCAACACAGAACTTGGGCACAACCTTTGCGGTTGGCAAGCTTCGAGGAACATCTTGAGCAGGATGATGATTGCTGATGAGTTGAAGCCATCATAGTGTATCGATTGTATCTTTGGGGGTTACCGAAAGAGTACGCAGCGGGACGCCGTGAAGGGTACTAGGGAAAGGGTGATTTGATTTAATGTTTCTGATTTATCTTTATTTTCTTCGTTACCACTGCTTGCAGCTGGCTGGTCGTTTCTTTGAGTACATGTTGAGTTAGTTTGCTGGATCACAAGCACCTTGTACTCTGAGTATCTTCTAAAGTCTTGGCTCACTTCTCTCCCCAGCAGATAACTTAGGTCTACTCATCAGAGTCAAGTTTCTCACTTGTGTCCCAGGTGTAGGACGTCACATGAAGTTCAGAGTAGACCGCTGATCATCAGTGTGCAAAACCCATACACCTGACCAGCGAATCATCTTTTGGACATCCCAGGGACGTAAACTGCCAGTGCTACTTTTGAGTTTGACACCGTTTAGCAAGCTGTGTCCACCTCGAACTTGAGCTGTCCATTGGCCCGCGACGTACCATCTACTCATGGATTCTATTGATTCTTTTCTCAATTGCATATCAAAAGGTCGGATTCGTCGAGACAACCATCTCATCAACTCAAAGGCCGAGCTTGCATACACGTTCCTTACTGAAATAGCCTTGAGCTTGGTGGACGAAAGATACAGCCGAGGTACTTCCATCCACACACATATATACACTGGCACGACATGGCAAAATTCTCTAAAATAGTCGGTACGTACTACGAATCTTATGCATGTCGAGTACTACACCATATTCCTTGACATTGTTCTTGTTACCACTCAAGCACCACCAACCCAACACCATTTACTAACTCTCCCTCATCGAGCAGACGCCGTACTAACCTCCAAGTACAACAAGCCGTTTCCAGTCACGTTACTACCATCAGCTATCGGATATTATCTAGGTCTGAAGCAAGGCGAGAGACAGGCTCAGGTGTTGGAAGAGATTCGTGCTCTGGGAGATCAGGATTTGGCTACTGTTCGAAATATTGCGACGCACCCGAAGTGAGCGGGCGAGAGTGATGGTGTTTGTCTTGGGGTCGCCTTTGTCTTGCGAATTTTACGTGGAATTGTTGATTTCGCAGATTGATGTGTGATATTTTGAGGCTGACCTGCGACGAAGGTCTCTGTCACAAGCTCGGCGAGGGCTCTGCTGGGTCCGGCAGTGGTGCTGTATTGTGCCAGAGAAGGTGATGAACGAGACCAGCATCCTACGAGCTTCGGCAAGCTCTGGTTCCTGTCATTTGGAGACGCTCAGATCATATCGACCGATTGTGTGCTGATTCTGCTCAGCTGGGGTCTGATACAGAGGCAGTAGTCTGTAGCAGCTGCCGTATCCAGACCACGACAAAATCGTAGTGGTTCTTTCAGACTGTTGTTACTAGCATCGTGCAAACTCCCTCAGTCTATTGGAATTTTCATTCTACCTCATGAAGAATCTTGTCGAAGAGTCCGCACATTCTCAACCATGGCGACCTCTGCACATCATGCTGATTTTGGCGTCTATCATGAAAGTGTCCGATCGGCTTCGGAGCGTTCTTCAATTCATATGCCGCGTCCCATAATTGTAGAAAGTGTTTCGCGTGCCTCTGTAAGCTCAAGTATGCACAGCCGATTGTGCTTCAGAACGTCTTCGATTGACACCTCCAGTAGCTGCGATACCAGCAATTACAGCTCCTAATGTAGTAGCTTTGAGAATCGTTTCGCCCTGCTCCCATTTCCTAGTTGCTGGCATTGGAGCGCGACTGAGTCGAAATAGAAGCAGCGAGGTGACTACAACATATGTACCTATAATTAGTGGAAGAGTATTTGCGCGATCTCCTGCTGGCTTTGAGCTCATTTAAAAGGGGGGATGGTGTAAGAATAGAAGCACGGACTCTTTGTTGGTGTTGTGGTTTTGATCTTCTGATGTGGTGCTTAGAGGGGGAAGGCAGGTCTGGGATATAGGAAAGGGCTTGGGAGGAGCGCTGATGTCAGAAGCTACCCGTCTCTTCTTGGCATAGACTGGTTGCACGTACATCAGCAACGCGTGCTGAGTCTCTACGTAGCATCAGTACTTAGATTCGACTGACATTTCAGATTTTCCAGGGCTGTAGTAACGTCCTAGAAGAGACGCTCTACCACCAGAAGCTGACACTGATGCCACTAGCGCTCAAGCTTCTCACGTAATGCCACCACCCTTTCGGGATGAAGAGAGCTTCACCTGCTTCAAGCAAGCACTCAAAGTACGGTACACTACTGATGCCAGGCCACTTCTCATCCCAGTCCTCATCAGGCGAGAGCTGCATAGCGAGTATGTCGACCGAGGAGTTATTGGACATATCGATTGTGCCAGGTTGATTGTCAGATGTATCAACACTATTTGCTTGTGTTATGATGGATATTGAATCTCTTTGGTCACCACCCTGTCCAGTCGTGGTTGAGTCATCGTGCAACTGTACTTCATTGATAGGTCCTGAAGCTGGCCCAGCCTTAGATTGAAGGTGAGGAGCAGGCTCCGTTTTTGATTTTGGATAGAGATTTGACGTATGCTCAGGTGAGTACAGACGGATATATTTAGTGCCGTGTACTTGGCAGAGGATATTGTGGTATGGATCGTGGTGCAAAGGGCTCACGGTGCGACCGCCGAACCAAACATTCTGGTGGATCTCTGGCTGTATATCATCGTCCTCTTCATCTTCGATAGCAGATGTTTCCTGCTTCGTCGTAAAGAGATCGTGTCTTTTGGCCATGGCCTCATCTTTCGGCATGTCGCAATAACAATAATCAGGCACCGCTACATCTGCTCTTATCCCTTCAATCTGTCTAAAAAGATCATGCTGAGCCAAATAGCCGACCTCGTATTGCTCTGCGTTGTCGTTGATCAGTATGTATCCTTCGAGAAACTGTCTAAATGGCATGATTTCTTGCCTCCAATCCTCGTCATTGTAGCTCTGTCCAATCTCAACTGGCACCAGTCTATGCCCATGTAATGTCTTGTACCACCAATATTTCACGTTCTTCCACTTCGCGAGTGCTGGCCAATGATCTAGTACTCCTTGCAACACGACTGGCTCGTGACTTTTGTGTGCCCAAGACTCGAACGTGCGCAGAGAAGGGCTGCGGAGAATCCTGATAGGGTGTTTGAGATGAGGTGTAGGACATTTTCCGTTTGGGAGTTGTCTGTGGCCTTGCTTGTGTCTAGTGTCGCTTCTTGATATATCGAGCCTTCGTCTCTTGGTAGGTGGAGCTTCATCCTCATTCTCAGTTCCTTGACTTACTATTAGAGTCTCAAGTAGTACGAACACTTTTTGAATCAACCTCTTCCTCTTCTCATCACCACCGCCAGCAACGATTAGTGCATAATCCAATGCTGCAATGGCCTTCGACAGTAACTGCTCACTTCGCTCACTCTCAAAGTCTGTTTCGTATTCTAGCTTCATTAGAAATCCTGCTGCTTTCAAAATACTTGCGTCAGTATAAAGCTTGAACCAGCAAGGTTTGACTGAGCTGTAAGGGAAAACATTAATACGACTTTTGGCGATCTCAAGAAGCTCATCGTGAGTCTTCTTTTCGCAGTCTCTGACATCTAGATCACATTCAGTATATACAGCTCGCCGAGCATCGACGTTGAGGTCAATGTTGATGAGTGCCAAGATACTATCCATGCAGGGTGTCAGGCTTCAGTTGTATGAACTATCGTCGTCGACCATGCGATGGTTTAGCACGTGTTCTCCAGCAAGTAAGTGAGCACATGAACTTCGTCAAAAAAGGAGATTATTGCTCATTCGCACAAGCTGTGACACGAATAGCGCAGATATCTCGCGTAGCCGCCTTTTTACCGCTAGCAGCTTCCATGCGAATTAATAGTTGAGTACTTCGATATACTTTCTCGGAACAATTATTTCATGAATATGATCCTTCAATCGTCCAGGCGAGCTGCCACTAGAACTCAAGTGCATTCGGAACAGGAACATTCCTGGTGCATTCAAAGTTCACGATGTATGATTACTCAGCAGTTGTGAAGCTTACCCCATCTCACGGCAGATCAGCGATACAGTTGATCGTCCCTGCTTGAGATGTGTACTACAACGCAGATTTGAGCTAAAGACTTGGCTTGTCAAGGCCTCTGCATTCTTTGCAATATACAACAAGACACTACATTGTCAACTGATGCAGAGCTCAGACGCCTTCAAGCCACAACTTAGGCAGATACACGTGGAATACGTCGGCTACAGATGGTGAGACAGGTTTGGACTACTAATACTCCGACTTCGCACACACATAGTTTCAGCACACCTTTCTTTGACGTGGCAAAGGGAAAAGCAAGCCTCGACAAGTCATAATGGGCTCAATCGGTCCAACGAGTACCCAAAAACGCAAAGTCCAAACCAGCGATGTCGAAAATCTCAAGGCTCTACTTTCCGACACCAACGCAAAGATTACACCTCCCAACGGTTCCGAGGACTACAAAGCAGCTATAGCACGATGGTCAATGGCAGCCGCTAAGCCCGCCGGGCTTGTTGTACAACCCTTAAGTGCAAAGCAAGTCGCCATTGTGGTCAAATATGCCAGCGAAAACAATATTGAACTTGCTGTCAAGGGCGGTGGTCACTCTACAGCAGGTGCATCCTCGACTGATGGTGGACTCTTGATCGTGCTGGAATCGTTGAGACAAGTCACTATTGAGGACTGGCCAGCTGAACCTGGTCAGAAAGTTTTTAGAATCGGAGGTGGTGCTAGCTGGGGCGATGTCGATAGAGAAGGTGTCAAGTACGGTCTACATACTGTCGGCGGTACAGTTGCTGATACTGGTGTTGGCGGCTTGACTTTGGGAGGTGGCTACGGCTGGCTGAGCGGACAGTACGGCTTGACTATCGATTGCCTGGTTGAGGTCGAGTGCGTCCTTGCGAATGGAGGCATCGTACGAGCAAGCGAGAAGGAGAATACAGACCTCTTCTGGGCTTTATGCGGTGCTGGTCAGAATTTCGGTGTCGCAACAGAATTTGTAATGCGAGCATATCCTCAAGGCGGAATGTGGATAGGTCTTGTCTTATTCGATACACAACCGCAAACCATTGAGAAAATCGTCAGTGTCATCAACGACAACTACACCCCAAATGCAGACGGCAGAACAAAGTTCAAAGGCCAGACCATGGGCGGTCTAGGATTCATATCACCTCCTCCTGCCAAAGGAAAGATCATGACCTTTGTCTCCATCGTCTTTAACGGCACCGAAGAACAAGGCAGAGCAGCATGGAAACCACTCTTCGACATCGGACCAGCCATGGACACAATGGCAATGCAGCCCTACCCCGTCGCCAACACCTTCCTGGCGCCCCCCATAGGTCTAAGAAGCAGCATGAAAGGCTCAAGTTTCCAGCTACCTCTACAACCCACCTTTGTCTCAGAAGTCCAGCAGATGTACACCGACTTCTTCACCGCAGACCCCGAAGACCGAGGCATCACACTCCTCATGTTCGAACTATACGACCCTTGGAAAAACATGCAATCTTCTCACGGATCCTTCGCCAATCGCGGCACACATATGAACGCGTTGATATGCCCGATATGGAAATCTGCAGAAAGTGACGCTCAGTGCCGCCAGTGGGCGAGGGATCTGAACGAAATGTTCAAGAAACAGCTCGTGAGTCAGGGTGTGGAGACTAGTGAAGGTGGTGCGGCTGGAGGAGTTGCGCCTAGGAGCAAGAAGGGTGGTGTGATGTTGTATGGAAACTATGATCAGTATGATGAGAGGAGTAGGGACATATTTGGAGATAATTATCCACGATTGCAGCGTCTCAAGGCGCAATATGATCCAGGAAATGTTTTTAATAAGTTGTTTCCCATATACCCAGAAGCCTAGATAGAATGAAATGGAAACATCTTTTCGTAAACGAATCGTGCATGAGGTTAGGTCAGCACAAGTCACGCAAACCCTACAACTATAACGTGAAAATGATCCCAATGCATGAAGGTGAACAATGAGCTTAATCCAGTCTATAGGTAAAACTCGCTACTTTATTTGTACATGGATATTAAACACTTTGCGCCTGCGCCTGGCAGCCCACTCCGTACCGTCGTCCTCAGCCAATCTAACGCTTCGTTAATCGTTTGGAATTCATGTGTCGAGCACCATCAGCTCGAGATCTCCATGTATGCAGGTTTTGTTTTGTGCAACGTCGAACGCTGTGGTGAGACAAAGCGTTCGACGTTTTGAGGCAGCAATGGCCAGCATGCTTTTAATAGTCGTCAAACATTTCGTCTAGCTCGTCAAAAGATGTGTGCTCTGGACTCTTGATGTTCCAGCTCGCTTCGTCGGTATCCATATCAACGTCGAGGATTTGTAAGTGCAAGTTATGCTTTGGGGCAATCACTGGACTGCTCATCATGTGCTTGTTGATCATGTTGTCTGGGACAGCTAGGCTGCCATGTGATCTGCCGAAGAGCTCGATCCCTGCTTCGTGGTCTGTTTTTGGTTTTGGCTCATCAACTTGATCCACAGAGCTAATCTGTAGCTGCGAGGTCTGTTGCATGAGTCTGTTTGCTCTGACGGCAGATGCGGTTTCAGTAAAGCCTCGCTCATCCGCTTCAAGACCTGGACTCGGAGCTCGATGCGAAGGTCTGGCTCTTGGCTGAATCACTGGCTCTCGGTGTAGACTCGCCTGACTGCTAAACGGCGAGTCTGGCGGAGCCGGAATAGATGTAGTGGTTTCGAGCTCGGGTGAGAAGAGCTCTATTTCTGGGCTTGGACTGAAGCGCATCCTCTCATTTCTCTCCATCGCCTCTTCATCTTCAACACTTGGATCACTGATCGACGGCGTCAACCTCTTTAAGAGTGGGATTGCTGGGGTAATGATATCGTCAGAATTACTGGGAAGCTCGCCACGAGCTTGTGTGGTGAGGAAGAAGAACACTTTTCGGGGGTGAACAGGTATCAACTCTTTCGCAATTGGACAAGGTGAGAGCGCAGTCCATGGTCTCTTCATATACTGTGTAAGCCGTGAGGATAATAAGGCAGCAGGGTTCGCAGAACTATTGAAGTTAGTAGAAGCTCACAACTAAGACAAGTTCAGTGCTTACTTTGCAATGTTCTGGTTCGTGGACAGTAACACTGTAGCGAGTTCCTTAATAAGATGCGGTCTGTTGCCTGTCTTTTCCAGCTGTTCGATGACTGAGATCACTACATCATCTTTGATTCCTTGCAAGTCAATCTTCCGGTACGTAACATCGTCAGGAGAGGGCGAGGCTGGTGGAGTGTGAGCAGCAACTCGTGGTTGTGATGTGGTGAGATCTACAGACGGAGTGCGTCGTGGTGAAGGAAGTGGCGACCCATGTTCGCGCTTGACTCGTTTGGCAGGCGGCGATTGGTTTGTCGACAGTTGCTCCGGCGTTTCTGGCTTCGAATTCGAGCGATGCGATCTCGAGCTGTTGGGCAGCTGTATACCTAACGAAGGCAAAGAAAGCGATTTCCGGCGGGTGTTGTAAGGCATGGTAGTTAAATGGGTATGTATTGCTGTGGTGCTAAAATATGTTCGAGGTGAAGTGAAAGGTTACATATGCACCGTAGTGTTGAAAGATGCTGTGAAATAATGTATGACTTCTCGCGCCTCAGCAGAGACCTGCAGGCAGCGAACAGAAAATGTGATGTAGACTAAACAGGGCTCAAGTCTCTAGCGGTGATTGGTGCTGGTAGCTACTTGGAATGTATGCAAATATGCAAGGTGCCGAGCATGGAGCAATCACAAGTAAAAGTCTGTACCGCGATCCTCACTTGGGATGTGGAACGACGTCGCCTCCTTGCGTAGTTTCGATCCACTAGGGATTCTTTTGGTGCGTTGAAGTGGCGGTAAGTTCAGTTACCAATCAGGCTGGGTGTATTCTGGATACGTGGCTGCTGCTGCCAGATGGCTTTGCCGTTGTCGTCGTTATCCAGCCTTTGTCTGTGCTTCCGCTCACGATATGGTGCCGCGGTCGTGGCGTTCAGCTTGCTTGCCTTCCGCAGTCGCCCAGAGACGGTTCGTAATCAGGAGAGTATATTTCGAGCTGGCTGATTTGACGTGTAGCTAGGCAGCTAAAGTCAAAAGGGACAAATAAAAAAAAGAAAAAGTTCGCTACCGGGTCTTTAGTGGCTAGCAAATCAGGCTCCTGATATTTGTGTAATAACTTGTCGGATCCGAGCCTGCTAAGAAAAGAGTCTAATGTTGTTTGTTGTGAAACGACTATCACTTCGGCTGGGAAGAAGAGAGTGTTTTGCCTCTACGAGGTTACGAGCAGAACTCCAGGTGCATGTAGGACAGAGTAGAATTATTCCAGTGAGGTCAGAAAAACGTTAATACAGAATTGCTGAAAAACGGTCATGATACTGCGATGGAGAAGGGACAGTTAATGGAGTATCTGGCATCCAATCGATGACTTGACCAGGATAAAGTGCAGTTCGATGGTGGAGCAAAACCCATGCGCCAGGGCATGGAAGCCATGGATGTGCATTCGAGCCAGGTGACAAAAGCCGAGATACTAATCATTGGCTGCATGGCACATTTACCAAGGTTCGCTGCCAGCTGTGAAGCACCGGTTCCGGGCTTCACCGACCAACCAACGGAAACATTCAAAAACAATCAAATGTGCCACTACTGGAAAGTTGAAAAATAGAGCCGCTGCATTCACGAAGAGCGTCCGAGTCAAGACCTAAAAAGCTGACTGCTCGCACCTTGACCGTATCCCAACTGAACTACCCGTCTGGTGTGTCGGGGGATGATTTTTTTTAGCTCATCCTTGGTCGCCTAGTGAAGTTGTTTCTAGCTTCATTCAGCCTAGAGTGCCCGTTCTAGTCAGACAAGCGAGCACTTCTGCTGTGGAGCAAAATCCGAGGCCGGATGCAACGCGCAGATTCCCTCTTTCCCTCTTTCCGTTCTTACCAAAAAATTTCCAATGTCTTCCGTCAGAGCTCGCTCGATGTCGCGTGTTGCCGTTTTGATACTTAGTCACAACTGATGAGAGGTTTTAATGGTCAGGCTGGACATAATCATACCGTAGAGCTTCAAGTCCTGGCTGTTGACTCTGCAAGAACGTCCCGACTCAGACTGTTTGTGTGATTGTGACTTCGAAGAGGACTGTTCGAGCGGGAGTCGTAAATCCGACAGCTGGAAAGCTGGCTCCGGAAATACTGACATTGGTGATCGATGCCATGCGACATAACATTGGTGCATTATCCTCTGAAGTTGAAAGATACGACAAGCCTGCCAGCATCTGGCCTATTCAGGCAAAGGTGGTGACACCACTTCTTCTGATAGCTGTACCATGTGTCTCCCTGCTCATGAGGTCGTACAGACACATTGCCATACTGGCGGATAGTTACACGGTGACTGTTTCGAAAGCTAGATACACGTCTGCTATTCTGCACTGTTCGTTGTGTTGCTGTACCGGTATGCCTCCGTCTATCCGGTATCGTTTGGTCGATGTTGCCCACCAGCTGTCAAAACAAAGATCGTCGCTATTGAGAGTTCACCTTCACTCGATGATCGAACTACCACATTGCTCGGAAAGACGCTTTGGGTTTAGTGCGCTGCAACGATGTGAGGTTCCATTTAATAGTGTTTGGCGCTATGCATCATGTTCACTGCAAACTTCAGGGATGAACGATTTCCATGGTTTGCTCAAGAATCCTTCAGGCGGTCTGTTGTGGTGAGGTTTCGTCATTTGATCATCGACGCTACACTTCTCGATAGCACAACAACACTTAGTAACCACCAGAAGAAGAACAGAAACGTCGTGATCTCGAAACCATGGGTTAGAGTGGGAAGTACATCATTGCTGCAGCCTGAAGTTCGAGGCGCCAAGTTTGGTTATTACTGCATTATGACAGTGCATACAAATTTATTACACTTTGATGCAGATGACGTCCTTCGCTTCGCATGTCTTTTCCTGCTCTTGCAGGACATATTAGCCGAGCGCCTGAGCTGAAGACCAAACTCGATTCTTCAAGTTCGACCGTAAAGCTTGACATCGAGCAGGCAAGATAAGCTTGACCATGGTTTGTTGGTTGCAGCACTGGTTGAAGACTGTAAGATTAGTGCTTGTCTCTGCAATTTCATCGCCAGAAAGTCGACCACCAACTCCTTGAGCCAGTCGTGGCTGGTGGCACAGGATCGAGCTGTTTCTTCTCATCTGGAGGTGGATCTGGGGCAGGGCGAAGCACTATTTCCCAAGTCGTCCCAAAGTGATACCTCTTAATCCTTTCAACCACAAGCCCGCTGTCCTCTACTATTTTGCCAATGTCTTTGTTGAACCAGCAGCCATATCGATCAGCGTGCATGGCTGCGGTGTTTTCTAGGTACTGGTTCAGCCAGCTTGCCCAGTCGTAACCACGACCATGCTCGAGCAGGAATATACGTCCTCCCTTTCCGTCTTCTTCCTCCTGCTTTCTGAATTTCTCAGGACTAGAATTGATAACATGCTCCCCCGGTTGTCTTACCAGGCGTCCTAGGTGTCTCAGGAAATCAACTGGCCTAGGCATAGAACATATGCCCATTGTTTGTACAATTGTATCATACCCTCCTGGTAGTCTAGGTATGACACCAGATAGACCGGCATCGCCCGTTATGAATTTTATTTCTCCTTGAAACTGGTCACCCTCTCTTTTTCGCTTTTGTTCAGTCTTCCACTTATTTTGTGCTCTATCGATCATTACTGGACTCTGATCATTAAACGTCAAGCTTGTGATCATGTGTCTTCTGTCTCTCCCGTAACTGCTGTCCTCACTTGCAGAATATGGTCGCGTATCGTACAAGTCCATGTTCCTGCCAGTACCAGCTGAGACTTCTAGTACATCGCCGTAGGCTTCACGTATGAGCCTACGTCGCTTTGCCTTCATCCACATAACCTTTTCTTGGCCTTCAACCTCGTAGTCGAAGTTGCGCTTTGCGTCCCACCACCTATCGGTCACATCCGCATTTTGCGACAGCTTGCTTGGGTTATGGTTGTATTCTCGTATGGAAATCTTGTATGTGGTATAAACATACACGATATAGGTGCCCAACACAGCCCCGAATAGTGAAACTCCCATCAAATAACGACGCACCGTCTTGGGGTCTTTAGCAGGGTCATGACGCTCGGCATTCTCACTCTTTCGATCGGGTGCCTTTGGTATGGTCTGTGGTGGTCGCACATTGTATCTGGGGCGTGTTGCTGCTGGGGGAGGTGGAGTGCTCAAGACAGACCTTTGCGAGCAGCATGCTGTCGATGCAATTGAACGACATCTTGCAAGCCCGATGTCTGAAGGAAGGAGAGGTCGACGCAGTACGCTTCGCGGCTGAGATCGTCTCTTCTCGGCGATCGCTCGTGCTAGGTGAGGGACTCGTGAGTTCATTAGCTTCATCACTTTCTCAAAGTCGAGGTGTTGTGTTGCCCCGTTCTGCGATCAAGGCTCAACCACTTGGAGGCGACGACATCCCATTTCATTCAAGACGGGTTGCCGCACTGATTGGCATCTTCTATGCGCGGTATGTAACTGGCAAGCTCAGCTGCATTTGACGAAGACGAGGCTCAACGGCTTCATCGCGCCTGCATGGACAAACTCGCGTGTCAAGCTCCACCTGGCTCGGGTCTCCAAATTTTTCTTCTTCAGATCGTTAATCTAGAGCTCTGCAGAGCCGTCCTGAGGCGGAGCAAAGCGCGATCAGGACTCAATGTGCCGTCCATTCAAGTAAACGCCTATATCTTCCAGAGAGCAAGGTAACAGGTAGGTCAATACCTTGATTGCAAACTATTTACAACTTGCAAATGCACACCATGGCTACAGCTAACGAAAGCGTGCCAAGGGACATACTGATTGTAGGAGCAGGAGTTTTTGGCTTGTCAACAGCACTATCACTGCTGAGTCGACCAGCTTACGATGCCTCCAGAATCACCATAATAGATTCAGCACTAGTGTTACCAAACCCTGTCGGCTCATCAGTTGATGCCTCCAGAATCATCAGAGCTGATTATGCTTCAATCCACTATGCAAAACTAGCATGTCTTGCACAAGAGCATTGGCGCGACCAGACCCCTTCTGGCTGGGGTGGTGAAGGTCGATATTCAGAGACGGGCTTCGTATTAACGGGCGACAAAGGTCAAGAAGCATACGTTTCTAGTGCCATGCATAACGTGCAAGACCTGGCCAGAGCAGGCCTTCCCATGGATATCTCCAAGATTCAGGAACTAAAGAATCGTGAAGAAATCCGAAAGGCTGCAGGTTTGCCAGGCGTTAGTGGCGACACAGGCTATGCGAACTGGAACTCTGGCTGGGCGGATGCTGAGAAGTCTGTGGCCCATACAATTCAACGAATTCAAACCCACTCGAATGCAAAGGACAGAATATCCATCAAGCCGGGCTACGAAGTGGCTCGTCTTATATTCTCGCCCGATAGCGGGCAATGTACAGGCGTGACTTGTAAAGATGGTACTTCCTTCACTGCCGATCTGACCATTTTAGCAACTGGAGCCTGGACACCGAGTCTCTTCAATCTTCAGAACCGCTGTCTCGCAACTGGTCAAGTCATCGCCTACCTCGAGCTCACTCAAGAAGAACAAAATTACCTTGAGAATACTCCTGTGGTAATCAATTTTGCAAAAGGTACTTTCGTAATCCCACCTCAACGGGGCGAACTCAAAGTCGCTCGCCACGGCTTTGGCTACCGCAATCCAATCACAGTCGAGCATCCATCCACAAAATCCAATGCTGAGCGACTATCCAAACACGGCGTGTCCGTACCACGGACAGACACAAACATACCAGTCGAAGCTGAAGTTGCTCTTCGAGACGCGCTCGCCGAACTGTTTCCGCCCAACGTCGATCCAGCCTGCCTCCCACCCGGCTGTCCAACCTCTCTGAGCACGGTTTCGACTCGGCCATTCACAAATACACGACTCTGCTGGTATACGGACACTCCCACTGGTGATTTTCTCATAGACTGGGCACCACTCCCTGCGTCTAAGAACTCAGAGAACACATCCCTCTTCCTCGCAACAGGCGGCAGTGGCCACGGCTTCAAGTTTCTTCCAGTCTTAGGCGACTACATCGTCGACGCAGTCGAAGGTCGTCTGGACCCAGTATATCGCAAGCTATGGGCCTGGCCAAGTAACGAGAAGCTAGAGAAGGAGTTTGGGCTGGCCGAGAGTGGGCAGGAGGCCATCGATGTCGTGTCTGGTACCAGCAAAGAGCTACATGCCTTCCACGAATGTAAGGACGGTAGTCGTGGAGGGCCGAAGGGGATGATCTTAGGCGAGGAGCTAAAGAAGGGAACAGCGGCTGTAAAGCCCCTGCAGGCGAAGTTGTGATTTGCTTGACGTTGGCATATATGTTTGAGATCCAGAACTGAAAGTATTGAAAACATAGGTCAAGCATAGCGACCTGACATAGTTGAAGCAGATATCTGAAACACTAGGTATCCTTACTAGTCTCATGGGTATGCACTTGATATCTACTGCTTGGTTGTATGCTTTTTAGTGTTGGTTCTTCATCTCGCGCATGAACCATCTCGATAATAGTCTTGCTACAGGTGGAAAGGACGCCTTGTATCGTCTGAAGCGTACTCCGTACCCGGACCAGGAAGTTTATTCACCCAAGCACCCGAGCTGAGAACACTTATTTTCCATACATTCATCTTGCTGCAATACTTCAGTACAGGAACCGACCAACATTCTGATGGATATAGGCAATGGAAAGAATTTACGCAGTAGAAAGAACTTCTTGTAGAGGACATTATATTCAGCTATGCTGTTCTCTGCACATATGATCGTGACTCAAGACCATGATGGCAGCAACGCCAGCACGGAAGCAGGTAGTTCCAGCCCACGCTCCAGTAGCAGCATTGCGTATGAGAAAATACTAGCTGTTCATAACAAATTCTGAGCCGACAACACCTCTCACCAGTCGCGTCATGCCCACTTGACGCAATCTGACAGGAAGTGTGCCAGCCACATGCCCTTCTTCTTCTATCGCCCCTGTACCAGTCTTTGAAAAGCAGTTGATCTGCCTTCGCTTTGTCCAATGGTGTAATGTTGTAACAGTAATAAATCGTAGAACGGTATTGATGGTCAATCAGCACCGACGATATGCCTCGACCGTGCGAACAGTCCTCTGTGAATTAATCACTTCCCCATCCATCTGATTGTTCTAAGGGGTATCGAACTCCGAAAACACAAACCCATAAAAGCTCCATCACAACTTTTGGTGGTGAAAAAGCCTGCTAAGAAGCAGCCGCCCTAACTTTAACGCCGTGCTATGCTCGTAAAATCGTAAACAAGTTGTAAGCAGGACTCGTGTAAGACCTTGCTACCTGACTACCATGAACGCGAACAGTTCAGGTGCCGGGCTGATGATTAAACCTCAACCAGTCGGCTGAAGCAATATAGTGTTGATACAGAACGATCAAGCAACATGCATGAATTCAAGATGGGGCATCCTAAACCTTTCTGAAGTCTATAGGGATAATTAGCAGTGACCTAAGTTAGCGAGAAGGAAGGCATACCTTGCAATGTTGGGTAGATCGTCTTGAAAGCTTGATAGATCTCTTCACGGACCTTGGCACCTGTAAGGACAATCTTGCCACTAACGAAAATCAATAGAACAATCTTGGGCTTGATCATTCGGTAGATTAGACCAGGGAACAACTCTGGCTCATAAGAGCTGAAAGGATGATGCTTGGCGGCAAGACCTTCAAGGCGAATAGGGAATTTGATATCGCAAGAGCCGACAATATTCTGAATCTTGAAGTCAGTGAACTTGGCATTAAAGCCCAGCTTCTGAATGATTCGAGCATATTTGCGGCTTGCGAGCTTCGAGTCGTCCTCGGACTTGGCACCAGTCACGACCATCTTGCCGGAAGCAAAGATGAGTGCGGTGGTCTTTGGCTCACGAATTCGCATGATGACAGCAGCAAATCGCTGGCCGTATGTCAGTATCAGCCGAAGACGTTCCTCGAAGCCAACATACCTTTGGATTGTACTCAGCGTTGCGAGCGTGCAAAGCGATAGTCTTCAAGTCAAGTCGGCAATCGAGATTTACGGTTGCGACAATATTTCTTGATCGTTGTTAACCTTTGCAGGTAACTGGAAGCAGAGACACTACTTACTGCAACGTAGGAGTAATCCCATAAACACCCGTCTCACTAGCATCACCAGGCGTAGCAGCAGGAGTTGCAGGAGTCACCCCGTCACCAGCTTGCTGGGTATTACCTTGCTGTTGGCTCACTTGTTGTCCATCTTTTTCAGAGGAAGGCGGCGTCATGTCTCCAGCTCCACCAGGATAGGACAGCGACGCAGGCGAAGTGAATGCTTTAGCCTGTTGAGCAGTAGAAGGATGCGTAGTGAGAGAATCCATATTGCAGATAGTCCGTCGCTTGTCGTGATCGAAGATCGCAAGACCGAATTTCTGGGAGAAAGTATGTGGTTCTGATCGAGAGGGAAAAGGTTAGATGGAAGTTCTAAATAGAGGTAACGGGAACAGTGATAATGGAGCGATCGTTGGAGAGGATACAGTGAAGCAGTACTGACGGTGAGACCGACGAGACTCTGCTGCACACTCGTTCGATACGCAGCGATGTACGTGGAAGTGCGGAAGAAGTGATTTGTATTTGGCTTGCGCGTACCAGAGAGTGGGAGAAAAACAATTGAATGTCTCCCCTACACAACTAAACTGTTTGCTTTCCGAGTGACTCTTTCCCAGCCTCGCGGGGTCCGATCACAATATGTGCAGGCAATGATCGAGCAGATCAGAGCCGTTGTTGAGAGATGGTGAGATAGGGTAATGTTCGGTGTAGAAGAAATGGGGAGGATAAAGATGATAGAGGTAGGCAGGCGCCTTTGACGTCGATGCCGGTTGTCTCGTAGAGAGCGGAGATCGCTGCAAACAGCGACGACGAGGCAAGAGCGACTTGTGTCAAAGCGTGGCTAGGCTTGTGATGAGACGAGACAGGCAACACAAACAGGAAAGTTTGCCGCCAGGAAATTGCCGGAAATAGCAGGAGAGACCGAAAAAGAACACTCATCTTTTGAGGTGCGGGACAGACGAGTTTTATAGGAATTTGGCTGCCTGAGTGGAGAAACACGTAATCACATTTATTGGTTAACTTTGTTATCTTGGCTAACGCCACCTTTCCGTGTGCGGTGGTTTTTTCAAGTTGCCCCACGAAACCCCTGACTGTTTACGCTCTTTGTGAAGCGATTGACACATTCACCGCATGGCAGTTCTGTCACCGTCAAGACATACTGTACAAGAGTAGGTGTATCTCGTTGACTGCCTCCACAGTTTGCTCGTCTCACTACCTGTTTGCAAGCAATGACGATTCAATGCAAGCTGTATGAAGCAAACATCGCGAGAGTCTCAACAGAAACCGGGCGTTCAATCTTGCCGCCACGCTATGACCATAATCGATTAGGACAGTTTGTCCTTTGCCGGCATTATCTCGCATCGTCTGTGCAATAAACAATTGTATAATCGTCTGCGATGAGCTCGATTACTGCACGCTTCACCAATGAGAGGATGGTAGTCGTTGCAGAATTCATGATGTTGTTACCAAAGATGACCGAAGGAAAAGGTTGAACAGGCAGCAGCGATAACAAAAGCTGGAAAATTAAAATCCTAACTGGCACATGTCAAAATTTCTCACAAGCTCCGCCAAGACAAACTAGTCGAATCTTCGTTTACGACACTTGTTTGCTTTAGTCAATGGTAAAAACCTTTCTTGCCATCGAAATTTCTACGAGTGCCTGTCTGCTGCAGCGTCATGTATCGCTTGAGAGCAAACACTTTCTTTCTCCTGGCACAAGTCAGTACAGAAAGACAACTTTGAGCAGGGAGATGTGGTCTATATCAGTGATTAGCAGTCCATGATCCCCAAATGCTGGATCCGCATAGTAGAGGAGGGCTTGTACTTCGGCATGCCTTTGGAGCTGCATGGCTGGTTAAAAATACAAATTCATGGTATTCCTTTTGTAAAGATCGTTCGCATTCTCAGTATGTCCATGATTGACGAAAAGCCTGCTCTTGCACCAAACGGCACTTGCACGATTTGCTTCGCGATAGGTCAGCCAAGGCGCAGTGTTGATCCCAAATCCAGTGGCTCACAATTAGACCCATTCCAAGCAAAGAAGTTGTTTTCGCATTCTGTTGTGACTTCCAGTTGCGACCTTGTGTGCGGTGGTATGGCACGAGGAGTCAAAAAGCTGCCGAAAGCAAACAGAAGCTCAACCACTACCTCGAATACGGCTGCCACAATCCCAAGCACATCTACTCCGTCTCTTCCTGCCCCATTCGTTCCAGCACCTGTAGCGCTGCTTGCTTTGACGAACACTCTACCTCGAAACCATGTCTTTCTTGTTCATCCTGAATCCAGCTTGCCGGGATTGAGAAAAAGATTGTTTCTCGTGCCTGTATTGCTCAATATAGTAATCGTGGCTGGTTTGTGCTGGCGTTTGTACTATGCTGTGCCTGTCTACCTCGAACAAATCAGCACAATTCTCGGATATCAAACTCCTTACTCGGTCAAGCCCAAGGCTCTAAGCTGGTCCGTCCTCTTCGAGATCATCGCATACAGGACGTTCTACTTGACCATAGACTACGCGCTCTTTGGGTTGCTCGGACGATGGCCATGGGAATTTCTGTTCGGAGACAGGTATGGGCGCCATACTAGTGCTTTCCACTGGAAATGGAGCGTAGGCTTCAACCGTGAGAAAGAACCGATTGTTCGCAGAGCAAGACGGTGGGACGCATCCATTTACCAAAGCGAAATCGAACGAAAGCATCAGGGAAAGCCAGAGAAGGAATGGACAAAGGAAGAGGAGTTGGCTGTCTATACAAAATGCTCGGATGCATTGAGACAATTTGTTACGATGAAGAATGCATTGTCTCTTTTGGACAAGGATTGGGACCTCGACTACCGGGCTATGGTTGACACGGCCGAGCTCATAGATGCTGCAAAGCTTACCTGGCCTGATCTCGATCATGTCGTTCTGGTTCCATGGCAGGGCAAGTGGTATTCGTGGTATCCTCATGGTGTATCGACCGCAATTTCAAGTGGTCAGCCAGCTAAGAAGCAAGATGAGAAGCTTGAGGAATTCAAGAAAGCGTTAATTGAGCTCAAATGTGAGGACATCTTCTATAGGTGGATCGAGATCGTACAATTCGAGACCTCTCAGCCTGCTGGCCTCACGCCTAACAAAAAGATGGAGATGGAACAAGAGCTGAAGAATATGCTAGAAGCACGAAACAAAGATTTTGCAAGCTTTTTGCAGGTGATTGGTGGCCTATCGAGTGTCCCTGGTTTAGGGATTGGCGGGTGAGAAGCAGAAAGAACATCCTTAACGTGGATTTTGGTCGTCCATCGAAGGCGATGTTCACTGTCATTCCAACAGAGACTCGACGGACACAATTACTTGGTCACCAAAGACGTGCAGACTTCCTATCCGACTCCAGATCGAGCATTCCAACGGATGCCGCAACAGCCAAGGTGGTTTGGAGTACTACACTGCTATCACTGTTTGTCCCGAGCAGGAAATCGTGTATGCGCAGGTTTATCGAGCATTCAGTTACACAAACACGGTCGAGATCGCGGCCTTGCTAAAAACAGAGCAATCCAAGTTCCTCGGAGGTTCATGCTTCTGTTGTATCTGCATGCAGGGCGGGTTGTACCCCAGAGGTATCTCCAACAAATTGTTTCACAACCCGGTCGATCGCTTTGTCAACAACCATATTCCGTGCGCAAGGCACATGACTGAGTACCACCTTGCCTTTGAGAATCAGTGGTTGTTGCGATCACTTATCTGTCATGTGTCTCGAGCTTCATGTCGGCAGGAAATTGACCATCTTACCCACCACTCATGGCAAGCGTCTGCCCTGGTAACGTTCCGCAAGCTGTCATGCATAGTTTTGCGTCATTGAGCTGTCCTTCTTGGTAGCAGTCACGATGTCGAACAAGTACATTCTTGTGGCAGTCCAGCAGGCTCATTCTAAGCATTCTCGACGTTATCCTATTTGCAGCATAGTGTAACCACGACAGGCAGTCCCTGACTATATGCAGGTATAGTGAGGCGCAGGTTAACTTCATGCTGGTCGCGGGCTCAGGTAGAAACAAAGGCTCCCTTCCCTTTGCGAGCTGCTGCTGCGTCGCTGTCTTCTAAGCACAAGAAGCAGCGCTTTGGTTTCGAGAGAGACGCTCCAAAATGAGAACCTCTGTCACATGGGTTGAAAGACCTTCGAGTCAACCTTGTTTGCGAATTTTCTCTCATCCCACACTCCTTCTACAACCTTAATATCGGTTCTTCGTGTGCCCGGTATCTTCCCACACACCCTGCTTCCTTCCTGCATCAAACAAGCAGACATACAGCATCCCCTACCAATCTTTCCAGCTCAAATCTATGCCATTGTGTGCTCCGAACAGTCAGAACGACTGCCAAAGCAATAGATTCTCGACAACATCACTAGAATGCCATTCCAAACACAGCCACATCTTACAAATCCTGACTTTCCAAATGAACACGTTCAATCCCAAGACCACTCGTCAGAATTTACTTCCCACGTAGAACTCCCAGGCTCTTTTTTCTATGCTGCAGAATTGCCCGGCTCACTTCCACCTCAGCAAAGTCGAGTTCATCCGGTGGACGAACGCTTCGATCAGCAGGAGCCCAGCCGTCAAGCAAGCAACTGTTCTGCCCTTGACACGGATGAGGCTCCACTGCACCTTCCCTCTCCTACTTCGGTCTCACGTACAGCTACACCACCGTCATCATACGAATCCGTCCTGCACGACCTATTCAGTGATGACCAATCAGCACTCGATGACCTCGATGACCTCGATGCATTAAACCGAGGCCAAGATGGCGATGATTGTCCCGATCATCAAACATCTACTTCGCTTCCTGACCACGATGATGAGCTGAGGGAAGCAGCAATGCAAAGCCACCGGAAGTCGTTGTCGTTATGTCAACAATCTCCCTGCGCGAGTACAACCGCTTACCACGAGTGTTCGATCTGTCACCAGCAAATACTCAACAGCTCAGGCCTACGGTATCGCAATCCCGGCCACATCGGCCTGTCACATTCCGGCACTTGCAAACCTCGAAGTCAAAAGAAACTCTTCGTTATCTCCTTCAGAAGCTCATGTCACGGACGAAACGGCCATACAGCAAAAACAACATCGTCCGACGAAAGTCTCACGCCAGACAACCTAGCAAGCAGCGAAGTGCTACAACATTGCTGCCACTGCGGCAAGCCCAGGAGACAATCCCTCCTAAATATTGACTCACGCGCGACTGGTTGCGATCTTCATGTTCACAGCCATTGCTGTCGAAAGCATGACTGCATTACTGGCACTGACTCCGGCTCTCACCGTTGCAAACACAGGCACTACTATGTCAACACCGTGCGAACTCACCGCTGTGTGTTCGGTAGCAAACACCACAACATATGTTCGTGGATCTAGCGATCACTGTCGACGTGTCGCGATGGAGCAGGACATTGTTACTGATTATGGTAGCGAGTACTTGCTTTTGTATATAGAAATTACGACTTACGATGATCTTAGCTAGCTAGTGAGTGAGCTTTACGTAATGATACCCTATCTGAAACTTCTACGATTATTGCCGCCCATGGGTACGTGCTCGAGTACAGACACATTGGTGATGCGCTCGTAATTTCTGTCCGCCATACCCTCGTTCTTCGATGCGTCAAGATATGGTTCCTACCACTTGTAATTGATTGTACTCTTGCGAATAGTGCATTCTCCGAGCTTGTCGTCGCGCACATGAGGATAGGCTAAAAAGTGTGCCTTAGCCGTATCAACTACTGCCGAACTCCTAGACTCTACTTCCCCAAACTTCACCTCCAGCGACCTCTGCCCAGTCGTGGCAGCACCAAACACGCATTTCCAGATCGACTCGACGTAGTTGCGGAGAACCTGTTCCCTGTTTATCCCACCGCTTGCTGATTCGACACTCTCGCTGGTGTTCCCATCTCTGCGAGCCCTCTTTCGAAGTGGTGAGTGAATAGCAGTTAGCTCGACTAGACTGCTGTGCGTGCTAGCAGGGCCAGTCGAAGACGCCAAGGTAGTGCGGCCATCGACTTCGTTGTTGTCCTCATCCTCAACTTCGTCCTCATCTTCGTCTTGATCTTCGTCCGAAGTGTCAAGTTCGTGGTGATGTAGACCAATGGAGGGATCATACGTGAGTTTTCCTTGCAGATATCGCGCTAGACCATTGTTGTCAAAGTATATCTGCAACTTCTGCAATGGTGGCGTAAAGTGTGATACAATTTCCAACACATCTAACGTTTCAGGCTGCGTTCGGAGGTCAAAGCCTAAATTTTCTTGATTCAGATCTAGCGTCAGACCAGAAAGTCTTGGACAAGCTGCACGTAGCGACTGTATCTGAGCCGCCGTCAGGGTCGTCCTTTCCGATCTCCCAAAGTCATAGCTCAGAGATGCTTGCTTTTCGTGAAGCTGCAGCGTCTTTAACGTCGCACCATGTCGGTTCAGCAACTCTTTTACGGTGAGTACACCTGACCAGGACCACAGACTGACTGTTTCTAGGGGTGAACAATTCAGCAGATACTCTTTAGCTGGGACAAAGATGGTATTGTCATTGTCGTGGAAATTGTTGCGCAACGTGGCGAAGTTCAATGACAAATGTTTGATATTTGGAAGCATGCTTGCTGCGCATGTGAAGTAATCGAGTCGAGTTATACCTCTGGAGAACTTATACGTTTCAAGTCGGCTGATATCAATATATGTGCTGAGTTCCTTCAGGCTCTCCTTGGACAATTGAAAACTAGATCCATCCAGCGTCAAGCTTTTTAATGACCTGCATTTGTGATCAGATGTGTCAGACTCAGGGAAAACGGACCTATCAGGAAGAAAGGCGTTGTCGTCGAGCACTAGCCCAGCGTATTCCAGTGATGGACTCCTCGAGACTATTGCCCTGAATGCGGCATGGTTATATGTGTTCGGAGCTTGGGAATGAGGGCGTAGTGGTGAACGGGCATGTCGGGTATCGAATTTTATATGTGTGAGGTTCGGAAAGTTGGCCAACGCTACTTCAGAAGGGTCCAAATAATCTAGGCCAGATTGGAAGCGCTTGTAGCACCATATCTTCAGTCGTGCTTTAGGATGGCTTATTTTCAGTGTCTCCAGTAAAGTGTGAGGAAGCGGTCCAGCGTTCCAAGTGAGACTTTTCAGACTCCTAATGCTTCGAATGAAGTTGTTGAAGGGCTCGAAACGTTCTGTGAACAACGTATAGCTCGACGGGATTGAGAAGTCAGGTCGTGTCTCCCAGGGCAGGTTGTATTCTACTCTCAAGTGACGAACATGGTTAATTGCTGAAGTTTTGGTCCACTTGTTCCGTCCATTGGCATCGAATGATTGGTGTATGCTGTTATGGAGGTAGAACACCTTCTGGCTGTGAAGCACCACCTTCATCGCTTCGTTAAAGTACTTGTTCACCTGAGCGAGCGGAACCAAGGTGCCTTCCACGGAATTGTAGACCTAGTCGATCAGTATCCTGTGGTTGAATCCCGGTATCGTTGACGATTTCTTGTAGCACTCACATATTGCAAGATGATTTGCAGAACTTCGAGTTCTATCTCGTCGAGTCGCATCGCGTAGATGTGTAACCAGGCGGAGAGTATTTGCAGAGGAAAGTTCAATTGGATTGACGAGGGCTGAGGAAGTGGTAATTGATGCCCAAGGCATCACAAAAACTAGGCAGTTAGTGAGTTGTGCCTGTCCTTAGGCATCCACATGCAATGCACGATCGTGCCTGCCAAACACACTTTGTTTTTCTTCTGCTCTCCTTTTCTGCTTCGGGATGAGTATAGAATGATCCGAAAACTCGTTGACATCTGCACTGGATCTCTATCATTCAATCATGACTACTTGGTCCTCGGCGCCCAAAGTGATTCAGTTGTCATGAAGAGCTTCTCCAGTCACAACATCCTAAGTGCTCGCAGGCTTGCTCATAGAAGTCTTCGTAGTATTGCCTTCAGACTCTGGAAGTTGCCCTGGTTTTTCATCGCTAACATGTGTGACATCCTCGTTGTTCCTTTCCTCTTTCAAGTGCCTGACTTTCATGTTCCAGCCGCCTTGATAGCCAAACCACCTGGAATCGTGAGGTCCCTTCACGAAGCAAAGCAACAGCCCAAACCCAACGAGAGCAATATTTACAGCTCCCGAGTGTACCCAGCCGCCACGTGCGTATACAGCGTTGCCTACTCCTGTGCCCATGAGTTGTCCGAAGAACACGCCAAGCATATATGCAGTATTGACACGATTTCGCTTTAGTGGCTCGACCGCATAGATACCAGTACGGTTGCCGATCTGAGACGTCTGCAGTCCTATATCTGTAAAGGCAGCCTGTAGAATAGGTCCAACGACACTTGACCTGCCAACGAAAGTTCCAATAATGCATCCTAGCAGGTTAATAATGGTTCCTACTATTACTCCAAATATAGGCTGACGTTTGTCCATGACCGTACGAGCGAAGACTGGTCCCATTGACATAGCACCAATGCCGATGAGTGCAAACAGACCGATGACTAAGCTATCGTACCTGTATGGCGGGCCAGCGAGCAGAAATGTAAGGGTAGTCCAGAAACTCGTGAATGCTGCTGATGAGAACAACCCGATGAGGCAGGACTGTGCCAGGACTGGGTGCTGAAATATCAGTCGTACAATATCCCAAAGCAGCCAAGGGTACGCCTTCATGGTAGAAAGCCAGTCTTCTTGAGGATTCGTGGAAGGATAGTCTGGCATAAAGAACCAGAGCAAGATGAGGACAATGTATTGTAGGCCAAACGCGATCCAGTAGATGTACCTCCACCCGATGTAGAGAGCCACAACGCCTGAAAGTAAGCGCGCGACAAGTATTCCCAGTAAAAGCCCGGACACAACGATCGATAGTGCCGTAGCCTTGCGGTCTTTCGGAGCGAGTTCCCCAACAAGCGGCATCATCAGTTGTGGCGTCACTGTCGTCAAGCCGGTCAAGAAAGTGAGAACAAGAAAGACTTGGAAGTTCGTGGTGATGCAGAGGCCGATCCACAACGTAGCAGTTATCCAAACCAACAACAGGATATACGGTCGTCGTCGGAGGAGGTCTCCAGGTGGGTTTAGAAGGAACAGACCGACAGCATATCCTGCTTGCGCGAGAGTCGGAATGTACGACGCCTCCTGGTCGGTAACATCAAAGTCGCGTGCAAACAAGTTCAGGATCGGGTGAGTATAGTATAGATTCGCGACTGTGATACAACCAGCACAGGCGAAGAGGACGTTGAGCCAGTTGGAAAACACAAGAGGCTGTTCAGGATCATAGCGACAACGAGCTGGAGTGTACGTTATGAAGGAGTATAGTCTCCTCCACGGTGCCCGTTGAACGTCGATACCATCGCGCTGGTCTTGTGCACTGCTGCTGTTGATGCCGTTTGTGAACGCAGAGTTCGTGCTCTGTCGATAATCGGTGTTGTTTGCTGTATCATGGTCATTGGGCAGACTTTGTCGACGTGTAATGTCTTGGCCTGTCATGCTTGTGTGGCATGGCAGCAGAGGAAAGGCTTCGAGCCAACAGAGTATCTGAGGAGAGCGCCATCATGTCGAGCACGATCGTCTTCTTCCGTTACTCGTGCCGATGATGCAGACTATCTTCACTAGTGGGTATAAGCAGCGAGCCAGTGATTGAATGGATGGTCGGCAGTAAAGATTGGAGGAGGTAGCAGCCGTTGGAGACACTGAAAAGAAAACCGAGGTCGGCGATGTGCCGGTCTGAGAAACTTGAACTCCAGGTTTGATCATCACGAACTTGATGTTCGCCAAAGCGACAGCTCTTTATCTGCAAACATACTTCTATTCCACGAGGCGCAATGAAGTACCCACGATAACGAGGCATCAATTATATGGAAAGGAGTACCATCCTGTCAAGTGCAAATCCGACGCTATACTGAAGGCTGCACAAAACCACCCAAGATCCAGTGAGCTTGCTCGCTATCACGGAATATCATGTTTCACCACGACCGAATTTGAGGATGATAAACTCCAACGTTCATTCTCAGTGTCTCAATCACGTCTGTGAAAGCATCAGCATCATCTTTCGTCTCGAACTTCAACATAAAAACACCGTCTGTTATATAGGGCCGGTATCGTCCAGAGAAGACATGTAAATTCAAATCAGGAAGAGCAATGGTCTTCTTGTCGGTGCGGCAGCACCAACCCAAATGCGAGATTAGGTGCGTTGTGAAAGCTGTCCAGACTGGCGTCCGATCGAGCTCTCCTGTGAACACTGATGCCTGTAGACGAATTGAGCCTGTGATTTTGTCGTGCCAAATCCGCAGTGCATGAGTAAAACCACTATCGACAATTCTCCCAGCAAATTCAGAGACATCGTCTCTCAGCTCATCATCGTGCACAGGAGGTGGCGGCTCCTTCGTTGATGAATCTTGTGACCGCATAGCGATGAACGTGTTTGCGAACAGTACCATTTTTTCAGTGACGGTGAACTTCATCGTGAGCCAAGGTTGAGGTTTACCACTTGATCTAGTCCGGCAGATCTTCAAGATAGGACCCTCTCGCCGTATGTGTAGCTCACTCAAGGGTAGACATCCGTACTCCGAGCTGCCACGACGATCACGATATAGCACAACAATTTTCGCACGATAATCTGTAGCACGACAGAACAGAGACACTCTGACGCCTTCGGGATATATGATAGTCAGCACAGAGTCATATGCCTGATTGGGGTAGGAGTGCTCTTTTAACCCTGGTATCTCATGGTACCTCGTCTCTTCATTGCTTCGGGGCAATTCTGTTGATGGAAAATTCTTGAATACTGACTTTGCCCAGTGATTCGGACTTGTTTCGAGGCTGAGCGCATTGCTGGAGACCTGACTAATAGACGAGATAGTGATTGCTGGTGACAAAGGAGGAGACGGTGCCCATGGTTTGTCGCGAAGTCTGGTTGCATCGGATGCTGAGCTAACAGAAGAGTCGTCAGGCGACATGGGTCTTTGACGTTCGTAAGACTTCGGCTGTCTCATTTCAGGGGACGTTGGTGGTTGCATTCTCTGAGAATTCCCTCGAGAAGGAGCTCGAGGGCGCAGTGCTAACTTCTTCTGCGAGGTTGATCTGGTGAGACTCGGAGATTTCGATTGACTCAAAAGTCTTTGCGGCCGCGGTGATCTTCTAGAGTGAATTCCTTTGATCTCGTGCTCTAACTTGTCAGCCGTAGGCGTGGATACATGTCTAGATATGCAGTTAGTACGGGTCTGGCTTCTTCTCCGTTGCTCAACATACGTCTCCATTGTCTTGGATAAACTGTCCAGAAATCGTCGATATCCTTCTAAAACATGATGAAGCTTCTTGCCTTTCGAGGACTCTTCTGCCTGTTCTGTGATTTCTTGCCAAGTAATTTGGTAATCTTCCACAGCATAACTTCTGCCTAATCGTCCCAACGAGAGCCAGACGTCGCCCAGTGTATATGTTACATCTTCGTGAACGTATCTCAGATTATCGTGAATCAAGTCAAGTCCAGCTCCTGTGTCGAGCTCGATTAGTTTGTTGATGTGTCGTAAAGCACAGCTTAAGGATGATAGTTCGGATATAGCTTTGTTAATGTTCTGGATAGCATCATGGTCTTCGCTGCAAGGACCTGTAAATGCAATCAGAGCATTCCTGATTTTCTCAGCCCTTTCGGCCTCCTCGACCAGTGTCATCTCGTCTATCAGTAGCTCAACATCTTCCTCAGGCACCAACAGAAGGACTATAGTGCTTGACGGCCACGAAGGACGTACGGCGCGACTTAACTTTCGAACGATCGCTCTATCCTTTGAAGAATCTGACTCTACCTAAGGCTCAAAGCCAACTCCACTCAATGCTCGATCTCGAAATTGACCACTGACAATGCCCGAAGCAGACAAGAAAAGACGCAATCGGAGGGGTAATTATCTGGTCATTGGGCAAGTCGAAGATTTCTGTCCAGAAGATTGACGTGTCAAGCGTCAATCGGCGGAAATGAAGAGTTCGCTGGGTACATCCGCAGCTGCAGTCGTAGCTTCTAAACTAACTGGTCGCGCCTACTGTAGATGCAGATTTGTTGCCAAAAGTGTAGGTCGGATCAATTCGGGCCTGCTCTTGTGGTATTGGTTTCTGCAGTTGATTTGAAATGCAACAATTTGTGTACAGTGCTGAGGCAGGAGAGGCATCGGAACCCCAATGAGGATTGAGGTGTAAGCACGAAGTATGAGGGCATCTGTAGTTGAAACATCTCGACTAAGTAGCTCAAGCTCTACCTCCCACGCGGGTCACTGGTGGTTCATGTTGATACTGGGTATCGCAAGCTTTCGAGCTGCCAGCGAAATTACTTCACATCATTGCTGGGTCTTGGCTGCGACGGGACCACAATGGTGGTACATCTCAATCAAAATCTGGAGTGCTGTGGCCTGATAAAGCCACTGAATTCTGTGCTCACCGTGCATATTCTAGCAGTGCCTAGCTCGCATCTTGTGGAGAGTGTCGCACTGTCTCATGCACTCGTTGGCGCAACACAGAACGCAACACCGGTTGGCATTTTGTAGCAAGATGACAATTTTGTAGCAGCAAGACTTGATGACAGGCGATGTAGTAGCGACAGTTGTATAGACTTGATTTGTTTCAGTCGTTGTTGCAAGGCAAGGCACAGGATTTTTGCCTGGCTGAAACCAGGGCGATCAATGAGATGGTCAACAATATCCAGGCATCAAGCCGCTGCTAGTCTGTAGCATTTTGGTTGTGGCAGTGTGATCATGCTTCGCCGTATACAATAACGTGCAACAATCCATAGGGCACGTGAAATGTTGAGGACTACTAGCCAGCATGAGAGCTTGCCCTGTCAACTTGAAATTGTAGAATCGTTAGCTGGCTGACCGTCGAAGATCGTGCGTGAGGCTTACTGAAAGAGGCCCACGAGAGCATCGATCAGAAACGGTTCAGAAGTCAGAACAAAGAAGGTGCAGAGAACAATTCCACGAAGCTTATGTCATATTGTTGTTACAATGCCATACAAGATATTCCATCTTGCAATATTAGCTTGTGGTCGAGCCCATATCATGCGTAGGAATTGCTCGAGAGGCATACTGCCAAGCATGCTGGATATATCACGCTCAGTTAGAGCATAGGCCTGCTTCTTCAGATAACTCCTTTGCTCAAGCCATTTCCGTTCCTATCACCTTGGTATCATATTCATCTCGTGTATGGAAACGATTTGCACATAACAGCAACGATGGAAGGCATAACTTATTCGGATCCATCCTCGTCGTCATCACCAGCCTGGTGATTGTTAGCATTGTCCGAGTCTTAGGGAATGCAGGCGTGAAGCATACCTGATATTTGGCTTTCTCTTCTTCGTATCGCTTCTTATCAGCTGCGGCCTTGGCCTCATACGGTTGACGTTGTTTCTCGTTCAGGGCTTTCCACTTGTCACCAAGAACTTTACCAACTTGACCTGCATAAAGGATTAGTTCAATTATGGAGTACGGACCCAGGCTGTTGAAGACATACCGAAGCTGATGCCAGGGTTCTCTTCTCTCACAGTATCTCTCTGCTCATTGGCAAAGAACATGTACGCTGAAAGACCTCGCTTGGGTGCATTGGGATCTATGCGTATGTCAGCGGCTTGCAAGGACAAGATTTGCTAGAACAGGTATCATACCCTTCTTCTTCTTGCCATCTCGAGTCTTGGTGGTAGACTTCTTGGTAGATGTCTTGGGCATCTCGTCGTCGGAAGTTGAAGATCTAGTAGTCTTTTTGGATCTAGTAGCTTTGGGCTTGGTATCAGCAGGCGTTTTTGCTTTCGCAACCTTGGCCATAACAACGGGAGATGGTATGAGAGTGGTTCGTAGGTATGCGACCAGAGGTAAGGTACTAGTAGTGGTGAGGATGGGTAGAATGCAGGAGAAAAAGCAGAGATGCAGGAGTCGGTTGTACAGCGGATCAGTGTGGTTGATCTGAAGTACGAAAGAAAAGACGGCAATCTGGAAAAATTGCAGGCAGTTGTGAGCGTGACTGCTTGTTTGGCGCGTGTTTGGTGCTATGGGCGCTGCGGGCTTGCTATTGTTGCTAGCAGAGCGCGTGTCTGCTTAGGCAATAAAGTAATTATTGCATGTTTGCACGTGCAGCAGTTCACAGCTTGATCGATAGTGACGATGGACGCGTTTGTGGTTGGTTTCAGTGGTAGGGTGGTGCTTGCAGTGATGCAGAGTGGATGGTGTGCATGCGAGGGCGGCGACGAGGTCGCTGCGACGTGCGAAACGTCCTGCTGAGAGAACCAGAGCATCATTTTGAACAGGAATTTGAAGCGACAGCAAGGTGGGAAATAGTGCACGAAATAATTGGGATGCAAAGGTGAAGACAGAATGAAGGTGGAGTACTAACCAGTAGAAGAGGTACGCGCAGTGTGTGCTGGCAGTACTGTGAGAGCTCACTGTGTAGTGTGGCAGTACTATGTGAGAGAGGTTTGTATGAGAGACTCAGCAGAGTGAGAGAGCTGCGCGGTACTATGGGGGACCGCCTTCCTTCCCTTTCAACCCGGCCCTTGCCAAGGCAACCTTGACCATCAGCCAGAAATCAACAGCTGGTTCTGCCGCATCAACAGCGCCCATCCTACTTGCTCCACCACTGCTGCCTCTCACACCAATCGCTGCTTCACATACTTCTCAGATCACTCATCGACTGATGCGCCATAACTATCATTCCACGCTTGTTCGTCCTCTCTCCTCCCTTTCCTCAATTTCACTTCTCCTCTTTTATGGCCATGTTTGACTTTCGCCCATGCTTGACGTACGAGCTCACTCTGTCATGCACCAGCCACCAGAAACATTGGCTCTCGACCTTGTTTGTTTCCACGAAAGACACCACCTGAATTGCTCCATATCTACTTGCATGCTTACGCAAGTGATCCGTCTTCTCACAGCACTATGCCTAAAACACGTACCTGTCGGCCATTGATACATGAGCTTCAGCTTCAGCTCATGTGCCGGATTAAAACGGTTATCTCGTTGCTTGTTTTTGGTGTTTTATTACCTGCAATCTGCCATTTTGATATCCGGGAACGACACACCTGCACGTTACTGCTTTGAGCGATTGACCAGAGAAGATCTATTATCATTGGTTGCCCTCGTTAATGGCCTAACCTGCAAGCACAGACAGCATATAAAGGTTACACCTCTTTTCGTGGTAGTCATTCATATACTACTTGAAGGGCAAACTCATGCCTGAAAATGAAAACTAAATAATCTATCCCAAGGTTTGCTTTGTGCCTGCTGCTTCCCAGGTGATACTGCCTTCTGCCCATCTATCTTGATCGACTTAGTAGGAGAATCGCCAGCCTGAACACCAATCCCAGAAGTAGCCGAAGATGCTCTCATATGCTCAGGACGTCGAGCCTACACAAATATCAGCTCCATTTACGGACCAAGCATTAGATCCTGTCTCACCACATCGAAGATTCTGTCGTCTTCTCTTGCTCTGCTCTGCTTAGAGTCAACGTCACTCGGTTTGACAACTGATCCAGATCCTGCTGCCGCACTCGAGGTCGGAGCAGCAGAACTCATAGTGCCTTCAGCCTCGCCATCCGTTCCAGTACTCGTTAACGGCACCAATGCACTGCTATTGCTGGTGCTTGTTTTGAGAATGGGTGCAGTTGACTTGCGACTTGCCTCACTGCTTCTGCGACTATCCAGGCTCTTGTGCAGTGTCTTCGCAGCATTGACCGCACCTGGAGCAGCCCGGTCCGAGTCTTTACCAGCTGTGCCGCTGCCCTTTCGACCCATATGAGCTTTCACTTCGATCACGCTGGCGGCAACTGTACTCTTACCCAGTCCAGGCGTGCTTGGTGCACCAGGCTTTTCTTCAGCAGCTTCAACGAGATACCACCGCAGTCCATCTGATAGCTCGAATGGGTTGTCGTCAATACTCTGTAGACTGCCACCATCGCTAGCCTCTGCGATTCCTTTTGTGCTCGCATTGCCAATGCTTCGGCTGAGATCGACCACACGTTCTTCGACCTTGCTGATCCTTGCAAGTAGCCAGTCTCTCGTCTGTAGGCGATGCCCATCCATCTCTTTGAGGAAATAGTGTGGTGCACCCACGTTGAAGGCCGCCCAAGGTTTTGTCGCTTGATTCCTGGTGGGCAAAAACAGTGCCAGATCGCCCTCCTTAAAACCGCGATAAGCGATCTTCTCATGTGCCTCGCTCTGTAACCTATTTGTCTTCTCTCTATGTAAGCGTGAATCTTTTTGGTACTTCTTCGCCAGAGTTTCGACGTCTTTGTACCGCTTTGTGATCAGCTCGATGGTGCTATCAATGTCTAATCGAGACAGTGTGTTCAAGAAAGCCTCAAATTTGGTGTCCTCGATCTTGCCGTCCTCGTCATGAGTCCAGTAGAGCGTTTGTGCGTCAGACGTGTCTGTGAAGTGTTGTAAAGCTATGCTGCCTGAGACTTGACGTTTCATAGGTGTGCCCACAGCTACGTCTCCAAGCAGCTGACTAGCATTGACTTTGCTTGCACGTTGAATGACCAGCCCAGCACCTTCACGAGACACAGAGTACCCAAAATTCTCCAGCATGCGGATCATGCGGTCATTGTGCTGGAACAGTCTCTCTGAGAGATCCTTAGCCTTTCTCCGACGACCCTCGAGTCTGTCTCGAAGAGCCTCTGCAGCTTGATTCAGGTCAGTCACATCTTCACGCAGTGTGTCCAGGGTTTGCTGAAGATTTTCGACCTGGACATCACTCTTGTCCTTGGCTTCTGTCAACTCCACAACTTTCTTCTCTTCTTCTGAGAGCCGAGCTCGCAGAGCGTCACTCCCTGTTTCACCAGCAGCAAATCGTGCTTGCAACTGCTCAACCTGCCGTCGCTCACCGTTCAGCTCAGATCTCAGTGTGTCGACTGAGTGCTGTGCGCCACGTAATTGCTCGTCTTTCTGGTTGAGCCTTGCTTCGACCTCCTTCTTCGTAGACTGAACCCTCTTCACTTGCACTTCAAGCTGCTCGATCTTCTCTTCACTAGCTTTGCCTTGAGCAGTCGCCAGCTGCAATGCATCGTCTAAGCCTCGTGCGTGGATAGTTGCTCCTTCAGCCAAAACTTCCAAAGCACTAGCGAGCCGTTTGAGATCATCCGGTGCCGACCCTGCTGGGCTCAGGTGCTCGTGAACCGATTGTAAAGTTCCGAGTATATCGTTGAGCCGACTCTCGATGCTCTGAACATCGTTTGCAAGCTCAAGGTTCCGGCTCTGAAGGCTCGATCGTTCGCTGCGAAGCTGTTGCACTTGTAGTTCTGCACTGGAAGTCTTGTCTTTGTGTACGCCCAGCTCTTGCTCACGGTTCTCCTTTGCAGTACGTAGGCGCTCGATCTCCTCAATTGAGCTTTTACGCACTCGTTCGAGTTCAGACCGTAAGTGATTCAGCATGTTCTCGCCTTGCACCTTCTCGTGCTCACGGCTGCCCATGACCCGGTCGAGCTCTTCCTCGAACTCTTCAATCTTGATCTTGAGTTCATGGTTATCGTCCTCCAGTCTCTGTCGCTCGTCGTCAAATTCCGCACGCTGAGCTTCGAAATTTGCAAGGAGATCACGCTTGACTGATTCAGCTTCCTGCAGCGATCTCATCTGGTTGTCTGAGTCGATCTTTGTTGTCTGAAGCTGTGCCTCAAGCTGAGCGATTTTCTGCACCATTGCTTTCTCGTCGGTGGTTGAATTCGAGGTACGACGTATATGTGTCTGATAATTTGCTGAAACAGAAGAACGTCGAGAAGAAGATTCAAATTGACAAGGTCGATTGGCTGAATCTGGACCGGGAGAAGAAGGTTGCCGCTCGAAATCTGTGGGAGCAATAGGCGTGAATACGTTACTGGCTGGACGAGAGGCACTACTGCTCGTCTGTACTTGACTCTGACGATGCAGAAGGTCCTCGAGCTTGCGTATTCGAGACTCTGAAGCTCGTAACTTGTCTTCGAGACGGCCTTTGTCGTCTTGTAGTGCCTTGGAATCGGGGTCTAGATTTCCGTTGCGGACAAATGAGCTCTGCATGTTGTCGTGAATGCTCCCGTTTTTGAAAGGCCTTGGCCTTGAGCGTCGGGGCTTTGAAGGTGTATCAAGATCACGAAGTTGCTGGGTGGCTTGTGCAACTGCATCATTGATTTCAAGTGCACGTAAATCATCAATATAGCTAAATATCTCCTCTCTACCAACAAAAGGCCATGGGTTAGATGGTGTCGAAAATGAGAACTCGGATAGAGTGTTAGCATTGGCCGAACCGGCAACAGTGTCTTCGTTCAGAAAAGTGCTCATGTTATTTGTCCACTTCTTTCTTCGTCGCAGCTCGTCGTCCTTGTGCTGAGAGAGCTCATCTTTTAGGGATTTTAGGTCGGCCAAGGTACGGTCATTCCACTCGGATCTGCGGACTGCCTCGATCAGAATACTGCCGTACGCACTCGGCAAGCGAAAGACGCGATCGAGAGTCTCTAAGCTCTGCTGGCCTTCCTCGTCCAGGGTCAAGTTCTGGATGCGGCCTTGCAGACCGGCTAGTGTTGACTGAATCTGAGATATAGCCCGCAGTACTCGGAAGCACACTTTGGTCAGAGTTCTCTTGTGCTCAATAGCGTTTGTGTAGACCTGAATACTTTCTTGAACCACTTCCTGTATGCCTGGAAGGAGGCTGTTGGTGTGATTAGCTGCTACCCTGGAAACCTTGGATATGGCTTTGGTGTCGGACGTAGCTCGTAATACATCACTATAGTCTCCGTCGATCTTCTTCACCAGTGTTTCCACCTCCTGGATCAGACCCTCGGTCTCTAGATTCGGCCATTCAACCTGGACCAGGGCTGTGGCGTTGTCGGAATCGTCCGTGAGCCGTTCCATCGATCCTGCAATAGCATTGATCTGAGTTGTGAAGTCACCAGCGCATCGTCGAAGGGTCGTGTCAGCGGATTCGAGTTCCTCCAGATCAAGGATCGTAAACATGGTGTCAGTGGTATCTCCTCTAACATTCTCCTTAGGCTGACCGTCCATAAGTCTTGCAACATCTTCTCGTATAGGGAGCTCTTTTAGTGTGTCTGTCATGCTTCTCCATTCCCGTAGCATATCTGCGTGCTCTTGCTTGGTCTCGGACGCCCACGCTTGTGTCTTTTCGAATAGACCTTGAAGATTCGAGACATGGTTCTTAAGGTTATCAAGAGCGACGATGGTACTCCGGTCGATGTTCTCGCAGGTCTCGGCTAGTTGGGTACTGCGACCAGACAAGCTCTTAACAATGTCGACCGCCTCCAGCGACCATGTTCTGCGGGCCTTGAATAGCTCTTGCCATGCAGATAGACTGGTCTCGTTCTCGAGCTCGGACGGAGGATCTCCCAGACTTGGTGCTCGATCGGAGTTGTCATCTTCGGGTATATCAGAAGGCTCTTGTCCAGCCAGGAATGATTTGTCGTAGATAAAGATCTGGGCATGCTTAACGAGGTGTTGTTGCTTCACATTCTTGCCCGTGCCAGTCATCAGGATTTGACGAGCACCAGGTACACCAACATTGCTTGAGATCCATTGTTTCAACCCTTCAGGGCTATGCTTCGTTTTAGCACGGGTTGAAAGTAGAGACACGAATACTCACGATGGAATCTCGGCCACATCAACAGGAAAGCGCTGGCCGGTGTGAGACAAGTACAATTCGAGCGACATCACAGTCCCTCATCCCTGCTCGCTACTCACTGCTCAACTCAAACAGCTGAATGTCTATATTGTCCTCGTCAGTATCGCGAAGTGTCTAAGGACGTGACAGCAGGCACATGCACCAGTGACTGGATCATCCACCGTCGATTAAAGCTAGACCAAATCAGGCAGCCAGGGTACTGCCCTTCTCCAGAGTTTCTGCATCCACTTCGGATCTTATCACCAGCCAAAATGCGTCAAATTGACAGCAGATGCAAGTGGTGAAAATTGAGCTAGGTGTTGACCGTGCAAGCCAAGGCATATTTCATTTCGCCTTAAACATTGGTGAGGAGATGAGCGGTCTATCGTGCTGATAAAGAAATATCTGGCTTTGTTTGGCAACAAGTGAACAACGTGTTATTCATGCGAGCTAAACATCCTAATACACGGTTGCAGCACAATATCCAGCAAATAACAACTACACATCACTATGGAAAAGACGGATAGCCACTCCTGGTTACAGGCATTAGGCCTCGAGCAACACGGCTCTAAGCAAAATGTTATCCTACGATACCTCCATGACAACCAGATCTCGGTTGCCATGTTTGTCTTCTTCGTGGTAATGGCCATCCGCTCTTTGGTCTCACGTCAAAGAGATGCTGCAAAGACTGGTGCAAACAGGCACTATCTCGAAGCCCCCAGTTTTCCAGAAATCGATGGACTGGATAAATTTGACTGGAAGACCGAGGACCCAATAAAACTGAGGACGTTCAAGCCGAAGTACTATTTGACCATGGGTGAGTGAGCAGCAGGTGCAGCAACCTTGAGTCTATCGTTGACACCAGATATGATCGTACACCCATTGTGCCCCTGCCAGATCCAGCCCTCAATCTTTAACCCTCTTACTGGACAGAAACATGCTGATAGATGGCCCTGCTAACAAGACTTTTCTGACGAATCAGCCATTCAAAATCTTGATCCATCGGAACTACTCACTATGGACCGCACGTATGTCGAACGTATTAAATACAGATCGAGGATCATTGCAGAGTCTAGCGACATTTGCATTCGCGTCCATGACGACGCTCGAATTCGACCTGCTGTGATTGAGCTATATACGTACCTCCTATCTCACTACCTTCCCAAGCGCTTTCCGCAGATGTTCAAGCTGCATTACGCAAGTTTCGAGACAGGCAATCAGTTCATGCTGGAGAACTTGGTTACAAAGCAGGTCTTCGCTACTGAACCTACCAACGTCACACCAACCGAGACACTGCTCAAAACATTAGGCATGACAGTCGATGAAGATTTCCTCTTTCTCTTAACCGAAGAGGGTGCGGAGTCTTCTGATCCTAAGTACGTTTTTCAAGCTCTCGTCTGTATCTGTCCTTCCGGCTGGGACCCTCGGGAGAAAATCGGACAAAGCCTTGCTTCTATTCATGCTCCTGTGCCCGGCTACGCAGATAAACTGGAAAGTAGCATGGATCGTTACTTCAAGAATATTGAGGTGGGTAAATACGTTAAGCGCTCGAATTGGGCGATCACACAGCATGAGGAGCTCTTCATGCCCGATCCCAACTCCAACCACGCCAAGCAGGATGAACAAGTAGAAGCAGTGACCGAGATTGATCCAGATAAGGTATGCCTTTTACACAATGCAGATGTGCAGTCGAGTTCAAAGGTTCTGACCCGTTCATGTAGACATTCTTACGCTGCGAGCGGCAGACATTGCATCGTCTGCCAAAATCGAAAGCCTTGGTGTTTGCTTTCAAAACGTATATGGACACAATGCGAGACATCAAGCTCGAAGGACTAGGCGATGACTTAGCTGATGCTATTGATGGATTGAGGACTGGCAACGTACCAGCCATGAGTCACTATAAACGAAGTCCAGTATGGGGACAAGCGGTAAAGGAATATCTGAGGTCGTAGTGCTTACGGTTCTAGTCGACAGGCTCTGACCTCCAAGCTCGGTATGGATATTCTTGTTCCCTTAAGCAGTGACAGCACAATCAACTAAGCCGCTCAATGGCCTTGATCAAGTCAGCACTAACGCCCATAGCTGTAACCTCACCACCAGCACCACTACCTTGCACAACCAACGGACTCGAGCTGTATCTCTGAGTGTGAAACACAAAGATATTATCAGAACCCTTCAATGCCGCAATTGGGCTATCCTTCTCCACCATTTCCAAACCAACACTGACCTTATCGTTGGCAACATCAACACTGGCCACAAACCGCACGACCTTGCCCTGCTTCGCTGCATCCTCTTTATACTTCTCCATCTCACCATCATACTGCGGCAGCTTCTCCATAAACTCAGCCGCCGAACCCGCACTCTGCAACTCTTTCGGAATAAGCGACTGCACCGGAAAGCTCTCAGGACCCTGCACCTTCAACCCCGCCAGACGAGCCAAAATAGTACATTTTCTCGCAACGTCCATCCCATTCAGGTCATCCCGTGGATCCGGCTCAGTATACCCTGCATCTTTCGCCTGGCTCACAATTTGCGACCACTTCCCTGCGCCAGAGCCTGAAACAGGCGCAAAGGTATTGAAGAGGAAGGACATCGTGCCGCTGAATACACCCTGAATCTTGGTGATCTGGTCACCTGTCGCAACGAGATCTTTCAACGTCGAGATCACAGGGAGCCCTGCACCAACGCTGGATTCATGGTATACCAGAGCCTGCGCAGACACCGAGCCAAAGATATCGTTCCACAGCTCCAAGCTAGAGGAGAAAGCCTTCTTGTTCGGCGTCACCACACTTATTCCCTTCTTCAAAAAGCTAGGATACGCATCTGCAACATCTTGATTCGAAGTATTGTCGACGAGAATCACTTTTCCAGGTGCGTCTGCAAGATACGCGGTCAGGTCGGGTAGGGATAACAGGGAAGAACTCGATGAGTCAAGGTTCGTGGCGTCGATGGCATCGTAGGACTTTGTGTATAGTTGTTTCGAGGATCGGGACGCGAATATCACTGTTGGTTTTGTTGCTGTTGGTAGCGAGAGGCGACTCAGTTGTGAGAGGAATGCTTTGCCGACACCGCCTAGGCCGATGATTGCTATGTAGACTGGTGCCATGGTATAGTAAATAGAACAATGCGAATGACAATGAGCAGTATCGAGACCTCGAATGTTTTGATAATTTAGTCCCACCAACGTTCTCCCCGCACAAGTTGCGCCAAGTTTTGTGTAAGCTTTCTGCGGGGATGCAGCCGAAGCGAGAGGCGAAGTTTCCAAAGCACAAGCCCTGGAATTGCCATATAGATTTTAGTATTTGCATTGGTCAGGGACGGCAAGAACAATGACATTGATGGGTTCGTTTAATTCGTTATTATTCATTAAATGATGGTTATATACACTAGTATAGGATGTGTCACAGACGTGGATAGTATGGAAATGGTCTCACAGGACCAGGCTTGAAGAGCTCTTGCTCAACCACGGTGATATGATCCCAAATGTTATACATTATCTCGACTCTTTAACCGGAAGAGTAGAGGGCTGGACCGGCATACACCTGCAGGGATGAGTTAGTAAACAATGTCATTGTCTATGAAATGTGAGTAGAAGAGAAACTTACGAATGGGTTGATCATGCTCAAGTTGTATGGGGTCACATAGATGTTGGAACCTGGGCAATGTTAGTATCGAGAATACTCTTTCAACAGCTGGACAACTTACTGGTAATGGCAATGAATGATGTGCCGTTGATGGTTGGGTCACCAGCAAATGTGCTGGTGTTTGGCTGAATGGCGACAGCGGTGTTGCCGCTGATATTCTGGAGAGGAACATAAGTAGCGTTCAATTGGTTAACGAACATGGCATATCGTGGGGCATCAGCGACAGGTGATCGTGCGGTGATGTAAGAGTTGTTTGGACCAATTGGCTGACCGGCATTGCCCCATCGCAGGTAGATTGGGCGACCTGGGTAAGAAAGAGGGTAGGTCCTGTTCTGGCTGATGGAAGCGTCGCAGTCTTCGGTAGCCCCGGTTGCGTTGACACAGTAGTTGTTGCCAAGGACAGTGGATGGTGAAGGGTCAGATCCGTTCAGAGCATTGTAGCTGGCGTTGGCGTTGATCTGAGGGTTGATCGCATTGGTGTTTGGGTTGTCCAAAATCGCCAATGTCGGGAAGTTCTGCCAGGCGAGTCTAGTAGTGTTGGCTGGGCAAGAAGATATGTATGGCGCAAGCAGAGTCCAGGCCCACGACTGTGGGATACCGACCTCGAAGCACACTGGCATTGGGAAGAGACCCTGGAACTGACGGAAGATCATCTGCTGGCGAGCCTCAGTTGTGATGGACTGAAGGAGCAGCGTCGCAGCATCTTGAGAGTCGAGGTGGCCAAGGAAGCCATAGACGCCAGACTCACCGAATCGAGTGAGACGTTGGCAGAAATCGATGAACTCTCGGACGGTGGTGAAAGGATAGTTGTACGTGCACTGTGGTGGTGCAGCGGCACCGAGGATATTGGAGAGCAGGGTCGAGTGACCGACTTCTTGGTTTGCCATAAATTCAATCAAGTACCTGTGCTCAGCATTTAGGCCGGCTGCTTCAAATTCTGCTGCCGAGAATCTTGCAAGACCGTGGTGGAACAGATCAAGCTCAATCCATTCCTGGTAGAGAGCGAGGGTGAAGGACTCGTAATCGAAATCGCTAAGTGGGTGATAGTATGGCTCAGTGCCATTAGTCTTGATACCACCGGCGGGCTGGTATGCCACAGGCTGATTAGGTGCTTGCAGCAGACCGTTCGCGTTGGTGTACGATGGAGCTGGAGCTGGCAGGTGAGGAATAGTTGCCATCAGCGTGGGCTTGGTCAGGGCACCTGTCACGGTTGGTGTGCCACTGTAGGGGCCATGGGAGGTGGCTCCGGTGACTTGAGAGCTTCGCACCGGGGCGATGGGCGCAGTGGCGGCGGAGAGAGTTGGCAGCTGTGGTGCGGCTGCGGCAAGTGCGCCTAGGGCGACAACGATGGAGGCGTGCGAATACATGACGGATATGTTAGGCTCTGCGACGTGGAAAGGAATACAGTGAGCTTCAATTCCAAGTTCGGTTTATGAACAGCTTTGTAGCTTCCCTGAGCAGCGTGGCACATAGCTGCTTGTGACCTCACACTGCTCTTTCACATTCCGCGCAATCCTTGTCTTCATTCGCCACTATATTGAGCGATCCACAACCTGAGAAGCGAGACACGGTGACGTTCAGACGTCTTCAGCGCTGTTGAAAGATCATTGGCACAAATGTCCACTTGATCCATAATCAAGACCCACGGGTGACTGATCCGGCGTCGGAAGGAGCTCGATGAAGGACAGAGCTCTCGGACATACATTGCGAAATCCTTGCTTCCGATACATGGATGTGAGATCAGGACTAAAAAAAATTCTTAAGCGGGATGTTGAAAGCTTTCGCAGCACCTCTCGGCAAATAAAATATGACGTAGAACTCGTGGTAGTGGCGGGAGCAAGGTCGTTCCTGGCGCGAAAGCAATTCTCGGCGTTGCATGACGCTTGCACATTATGGTGCAACGGCTTCAGGGCCCGCTCATAGCTGTTTTACTGTTTTACTGTTTTACTACTGCAGCGGTCCTGAACTCTGCTTCAATTTTTGGCCCAGTGAACAGCACCAGCTTTTTAAAGGTTGCTAATCGTGCTCTCGCTCTTTCGCATGATTTGAGAATGTCGTTGTGGTCCGATATTCGCTTCTTCTCGACAATTCGTGACATCCTCTTGGCAGATCTGTATTCTTCCCTGGCTCGGAGTGCATATTGTTTTATTTTAATCACTAACGTGCGGAGTTCCTAACTCGCTGGTGCAGAGGAATTGACGAATAATGTGCCTTCTTCTCAATGCTTGCTTGAGCGAAACTACAAATAATTGGCAGCAAGTGTTCCGTATTTATTGCACAACTTGAAGTCATGACGACGCTGGTCATACTGTCAACAATTACCAAATCGCTGCTCGAAGCAACGACTCGTGCGTGCGAGGCAATGCTGTGAGGTGAGTGGTGTGTGAATCTGTATAGACATTATTAGTATAATCCAAAAGGTACAAAGTCATCACCACACACTACGCATATGATGCAGAGTGCAAATTTTTCTTGCTGTCTTGACCTGTACGAGTGTGGGATTACATCTCCTGGCAATAAAGCAGCCACTGTCGGCAGATCAGTGTGATCATGGCAAAAAGTGTACTGCGCTCGTGCAAAATGGTATGTATCGAACAAAAAACACACTTAGAACTTCTTCTTCCTCTTTTTGCCAGGGTTAGCACGATAGAATGCTGGAAGGGAGGGAAGGAACCACAGAATTTGTACGATTTTTCGAAACGCATAACAGAAGAATTTGAAGCCGAGGGGCTGTCAAGGAGATTACTGTTCACTCTTGTACCTTGAGACAACCTGACAGATGCAAGAGACCGCTCGGAGAAGACCTTGTGAATTGAGCACATAAGGCACCACTAGGTCTGGATGTTCTATATCAGTCATGCCAGTCGGAGACTGGTTTCCAGGCTCTTGATCTTCGACGCGCAGAGACACACGGCGGTCGACATCTCAGCTTCGCGTATAGTGAACGTTTGCAGCGCGATTGTCCTCTGTATTATTCCTAACATTATTACAACTTCTCCATCAAGAAAGATGTGTCCGCTTATGACCACAATGACCTTGACTCATCGGTTGCTTGGTTCTTGTTCATTGTCTTTTAGTGTTAAGTCTGAACTTCTCGACGAGCTCAAGACTTGCAAGATATCAGATCACTTTAGGCACATACTGAATCTGGATGCCATTGCCAAGCTAATTCTTCGTCCATTTTGCCAATCAAGTGACATCAAAGCAATGACTTCTCCTATTCAGACGTTGCCTAAAGACTTGTATCCGCCACGTTTGGGCATAGCGTGCGCGTTTGGCTCAAGCCTCTCCAGTTGCTTGGAGCCGAGGCTGAAGAAGAAGTCCTCTAATAGGCTGCTAGCTCTACACCGGAGATGTCATACTCCATCTCCTTTTCCAAAAGAGGTGCCATCAAGCAAAGGTGCAATCTCGCGAAAAGTAATCTTACTATGTTTGAGGCGCTGAGTGTCTAGGGTCGGGCAATCAGATCTCTCATACAAGAAGACATCTGCTGCCCTTGTCGTTCTCTTCTTGCTTCCTCTCGTTGCTGCGTACGCCAGACGAACAACCTTACACTCATTGACTTCGGTCGTCCACTCTTTCAGAATCTAGCTCACCACCTTCGTTCTTTACCCTTACAGGACTGATTCTGCCCTCCGACAATCGTCGAGCCTTTTCAGTAATCAACAATCAAAATGCGTTCCTCCATCGCTTTCGCCGGCCTCGTTGCCGTTGCTGCTGCAGGTACCACAACCATCACCGCAACCGAGGAGGTTACCATCACCTCCTGCGCACCAACCCACACCAACTGCCCATACAAGTCGCAGACCAACGAATGGGAGAACTGGGCCGACCCAACTACCAGCGGTTCAGTCTCCACCAGCACCGGTACCTGGGCACCATGGGATCCAAGCCAGTCAACCAAGACGACTAGCTCTTCCTCCACCAAGACCACAAGCAGGTCGGTCACTGGTTCCACCTCATCTGGCACATGGGCTCCATGGGACCCAAGCCAGTCAACCACTACTACCTCCAGCGGATCCAAGACCACCACCACTACCAGTAGCAGCACTGATGCATGGGGCAACTGGAACAACGGAAATGGTAACGGTAACGGCAATGGCAATGGCAATGGCAACAAGGTTGTCACCACAACCAGTGTCTCTTGCTCGACACCTGCTGTCATCACTTCGTCGAGCTGCTCTACATACCACATAGAGACCTCAGGATACCCAATCACCTCCACCTGCACAACCGCAAAGGTCACCCCATCAGCTGTCTGCTCTACCACCACCATCACCAGCACTATTACGGTGCCAAACACTGCCACTGCCACTTCGTCATGGGGTAACTGGGACGGCAACAACGGTAACGGCAACGGTAATGGCAACGGTAATGGCAATGGCAACAAGACCCCAGATGCTTCGTCCAAGGTCCCTGCACCAACTGGTGCTTGCCCTGCATACACTGCCACGGCTCCTCCAGCCTGGTTCTCTCAGCTACCTACCTCTGTCCTCAGCTCTTTGGCAGCTCAATGGACTGGTGCTCCTCCAGCTGATTGGTGCTACTACTCATACAGCCTGTCGACAGTTGCCACATCCAAGACTCCGGCTCCCGCCTCCGGTAGCCCAGCTGCCTCGACCGCCACTCCAGCTGCTGCCTCTTCCTCCTCCTCATGGGGTGCGTGGGATAGCTCTGCCTCCGCCTCCGGCACTGGTGCTGGTGTTAAGACACCGTAAGTTTGAACACATTACTGATTCGTCTTACTTTTTACTGACCACATCACAGTTCTGCTACTGGCTCGTCTCCAGTTGCCAAGTTCACTGGTGCTGCCACCGCCAACGCTGCCTCCATCGTCCTCGGTGGTGCTGCTGCCATCGCTGCCGTGATCCTTGCATAAGCGACTTATCTCTTCGATTCCCTACAGATCGGTTCTCGGACTTCAATTGGCCATCGGTATGTCCTGTGTGGAACAGCTCTGCTGTATAAATGTCTGAGCACGCATCAGAAAGAGTGGTTATATGCGAAAATGATGACTGTAAATATCTTTGGAGATCATCAAACGCAACAATGTTATTGATCCTTGAAAACTGTTCTTTTGGCACTACCTGATTACTTGTAAAGTGGATCAACTGTAAGAAACATTAGCCGTCTGCCCGTTAGTGCTGTATCATCAATCATGAAGTTGTTGCTTCTCGGATATTCGCATCATATCATCTGGAGTTCTTGTACATTCTGAGATCGTCTTTGGAATGTGCATCAATCCTGAAGGTTCCCTGATCCAGACTGTCGTATGTATGGCACGCTGTTCACGCTAATCATGTTTGAATATGTATACCAACATTGAGTTTATTGTGTGGGAAGTTATTGGTCTGCAAATTTGAACCTCCCTTGAATAGTGGGATCTGTTATTCTCCGCTATAGCCTCTCTTGAGGTCGTACAGGTTGTCGCTTGCAGATCCTCGTAGTCACCAGAAGCCGGCTGGACGTTCCAGGCTAGTGTCTGCACCAGGAACGAGGAAGACGCGAACCGAGATTGGCCGGTCTGGCAGGTATCTCACCTCATTCTTTCGGTCGCTTTTTCGATGGCCGCCTGGACGAGGTTCAATAAAAGTGAATCTTTCGTCGTGCACAGCTTTCCTCGGATCCCCTTGCAAAAGATTCGGTTGTCCTCTCCTCTACCAAGATTGTACGGACTCCCGGCATGGGTATATATCATGTTTTCACTATCTGCCTTTGATGTGACTCAAGCGTAGACGGGTTTACTCAGTTGGCAATGGAAAAGGTCTCTAAACCTTAGGACGCTCATTGACATACTGCAACAACCCTTGGTGGGAAGCTCCATACTGGAGATTTGTGCTTCTCGGAAGAACGTTTGTGCCGCCACTATAGAATGTTTCCATGGCAGCCTCGGTCACAACTTGTAAAACCGAGGCATGCTGGCAAAACGAACGCGCGTTTACAGTCATTTCTAATATGAAGATGTCTCGCATTCGTGTCGAATGACCGCGTGGCGAAGCTGTCTGCGTCGGAAACCACTCTGCGGAAGTAAAGCTTGGCTAACAGATACGATGATTCGTTTCTGGGACAGCACGATCGACACGATATGCACATCACTCTGCATTGCTTATTTTGATGTAATTTTGTGGTCGATCATCTCCTTACTGCTCCAAGTTCGCGATGGCTCCAATAATCGATACCAAAATCGGGTTTTCTGCTGAGCCGAACTGCTTGACGACCAATCATGGTCGCCTCGATTCGCATGCGCTGTATGAGCAAGAAGCATTCACTGCGATAGTCGCAACTTGTTCCACAAAATCAACTGAGCGTTTTCAGACTTCGTAGTCGTCCCGGTCCTCAAGATGCAGAAGGAGTCCGTCCATACATATAACACGACTCTCTGAAAAAGGCACCTTCAATGAAGCGTGTATGATACAGCAAATATGTCGACCCCTATACCACAGCCACCAGGCTATCCGCTGCTCGGCAACCTGACAGACATCGATCCCAAATCACCCTTTCAATCTATTAAACAACTCGCACAGAAGTATGGTGAGATCTTCAAACTGTCTACACTCGGTTCAGATAGGTACATCTTGTGTTCAGAACGGCTTGCGGCAGAGGCTTGCAATGAGACTCGATTCGTGAAGGGCGTCAGCGAAAACCTCAAGCAGGTTAGGAATGGGGTTGGAGATGGACTCTTCACGGCTTTTCATGGTGAAGTAAGAGCACCTGTCAGCATCATCAGCTTCGACCATTCTATTTATCTAGTCGACAAATGTTCTCACGGGCTGATAATGCATAGCACAATTGGGAACTGGCGCATCGGACTCTGGTCCCGGCCTTCGGTCCACTTGGCATCACAGACATGGTACGATATTGTAAAACCAGCTCGTCTACAATGTCACATAGCTAATATGCACAGTACGACGAAATGTATGATATAGTGAGTATATCTCACAACTAGTCCGCTCCTGTCACCGCACCTTCGAGTAGACGTTCGTATGGACATGGTGAAGCTGACTTGTCTACAGGCTACACAACTGGTATCGAAATGGGCCAGGACCGACCCTGATGAGCCAATCCAGGTGACAGAAGATTACACGCGTCTGACCCTCGATTCTATTGCTCTTTGCGCTATGGATAAACGATTCAATTCGTTCTACCACGAAGAAATGCACCCCTTCGTAGATGCTATGACAGGGTTCCTGCGAGAGTCAGGAGCGAGATCTCGAAAGACTCGACTAGAGCTTCTACTCAACCAAGGACCAACGCGACAATATGAAAAGGACATTGCGCTCATGAGGTCGGTGGCACAAGAAGTCATTGATAAACGGAGAAGGACACCTACTGACAAACACGATTTGCTGAATGCTATGCTCTTTGGGAAGGACCCTAAAACAGGCGAACGTCTATCTGATGAAAGTGTTATGAACAACATGATCACGTTTCTGATAGGTAAGTGCAACCGCCAGCTCTGCCATAGCTAGAGCGCTGCGATCACTAACTCCTTGCAGCTGGTCACGAGACGACGAGTGGCCTTTTAGGCTTTACGACATATTACCTATTAAAGAACCCAGAAGCTCTACGGAAAGCTCAGGAAGAGGTCGACAACGTCGTTGGTAGAGGTCCTGTCCGGTTCGAGCACATGTCAAAACTACCTTACATCGAAGCCATTCTACGGGAGTCGTTGAGGCTTTCGCCAACTGCTTCAGCCTTTTCTGTAACTCCCAAACCAGGCACCACAGAACCTGTCCTTCTTGGTGGAGAATATCTTGTGCCTCCAAATGCCATACTTATCTGCTGGCTACCTGAGATACAGCGCGATCGCACTGTATACGGCGATGATGCAGAAGATTTCAAGCCAGAACGAATGCTTTCAGAGAATTTCACGAAGCTACCATCAGCTTCTTGGAAACGTAAGTACCCTTCCGTTTTCATTTTGCGTTGACTCAAGTTCAATATTCATGGCATGAGCCTTAAGCACATTTTCATGCTAATTCTTCACAGCTTTTGGTAATGGTGCCAGAGGTTGTATCGGAAGACCATTTGCCTGGCAGGAGGCAGTCTTAGCACTTGCATTAATACTACAGAACTTCAACCTTCACATGGCAGATCCCGGATATAGTCTCCAGATCAAGCAGAACTTGACGATCAAGCCGGACAACTTTTACGTCAAGGTCTCACTTCGGCCTGGAATAGATACAACCAATATTGAGCGGAGAATGTTCGGCGACCTTGCGGCTTCAGTGCAAGAAAGAGCTACAACCGCAGCGACTGTGAAGAATGTGGGCGATCTAAAGCCCATGACTGTGCTTTACGGGTCCAACTCTGGCACATGTGAAGGTCTGGCACAAAAACTTGCTTTAGCCGGTAACTCCCAAGGCTTTTCAGCAGCAGTGAAGCCTCTTGATTCTATTGTGGATCAATTTCCGAAAGAGCATCCTGTCGTTCTTATCAGTGCCAGCTATGAAGGATGTCCTCCAGATAACGCAGCATTATTTACAGAATGGCTGAAGACAGCCGATGAATCGAAATTCAAAGGAGCGCAGTATTCTGTCTTCGGCTGCGGACATACAGATTGGATGCAGACTTACCAGAAGATACCCACGCTTTACGACGACCAATTGTCCAGCAAAGGTGCTCAACCTATTATTCCACGAGGTCATACGAATGTGGCAACCGGCACAATATTTGATGACTTCGACGCTTGGTCCGATCAACTATGGTCAGCTCTAGGTGGAGAGTCATCCACTGTCACCGAGGGTCTTGATATGGAGCTTAGCAGTCGCAGTCGAGCATCACATTTGCGCTATGCTGTACAAGACGCGCTTATCGTCAAGAACGAGCTTTTGACGTCAGTTGATGCTAGTTCTGAGAAGCGATACATCGAGTTCAGACTTCCAACAAATGCATCGTATGAAACAGGAGATTACCTAGCCCTCCTACCCATCAACGACTTTTCAGTCGTGTCAAGAGTTCTCCGTCGATTCACACTTCCCTGGGACGCCACAATGAAGCTCAAGAAAGGCTCCCATAGTACTATCCCAACAGATACCGAGATGTCTGTATCCTTGGTCCTCGCCTCCTATGTCGAACTCAACATGCCGGCCACGAAGAAAAACCTTCGAACGATAGCCAGCTACATGGGTGACAAAGCCGACACTATTGATCTAACGGCCTTAGATCAGCACTCACCATTAGACATCCTCGAAGCACATCCGGACCTCGATATTCCCTTCTCAGTATACCTGTCCATGCTCCCCTCAATGCGCATCCGCCAATACAGTATATCGTCCTCACCACTCGCTGACCCCTCCATCGCATCAATCACATTCAGTCTTGCCGGCGATGGCACCACGAGCTCTCATCCTGGCGTCGCGACGAACTACCTCAAGAAACTCCAGCCAGGCTCAACAGCGCAGGTCTCAATTCGCAAATCGCCAGCACCGTTCAACCCACCAGCTGACACGTCTATTCCTCTCGTCATGATCTGCGCAGGAACAGGCGTAGCACCTTTCCGAGGCTTCGTACAAGATCGCGCAGCGAGGATCACCTCCTCCAAGTCATCCAACAATTTCGCTCCCGCGATTCTAATCATTGGCTGTCGTGATCCAGCGATCGATGCTCTCCACACCGAAGAGCTCAAGAAGTGGGAGGCTGCGGGCGCGGTCAAGCTGTACTACGCTTACTCAAGAAAGCCGGAGCTATCGGATGGGTGTAAGTATGCGCAGGACCGGCTGTGGAGAGAACGTGCAGAGGTCGCGGCGCTATTTAACAAGGGAGCCAAGGTTCTCATATGTGGAAGTTCGGCGCTAGGAAAGGGTGTGAATGAAGTCGTTGCGCGGATTACTGTTGATCGAGAGAAAGAGAAGGGACATGAGATTACGGAAGAGGATGCTAAGAAATGGTGGGAGAAGTTGCGGAACGAGCGGTATGCTGTTGATGTCTTTGACTAGTTGGGTTTCTTCACCTATGTCGTGGCCGTGCTGCATGTATATGGATCAGATACCTGAGGATCAATCATGTTTGCAGATTGTGCCAAGCCAATCTTGAAACGAGTTCGTATTGTACCCTTGACCTTCGCCTTAACACTATGTATGGCAAGTCAGACCTCAAGGCCCCCCATGAGCACCACTACTCCTTCTCTGCCTAGCACGTCGCCTACTCATCTCCACGAGCCCAAGCACACTCAACAACACCATGACCTCCCACTCCTGACCCCACCCCCTCATGGACCCATCAACTCTAAACACAACCTTTCCCAACTTCTTCCAGCTCTTAAACGCGTTACACGCAAACACAGCCAATACCTCTCCGTTCCCAGTCTGCGCCTGACTAGCACAATCAATCAATTTGAAATTCCGAAACGATGAGGAATTAGTCTCCTCGCCACCTAGATGCTTGGCTTCACTGCCATGCGTGCGCACCCACATGAACTCATGCCGCATTCCGTCCTGTCCAGTAACAGCCCACTTGTACTCTGGATGTCGTCGGTGTTCGTTATGGACTTCCTCCCAGATCATGCTCTTTTCACCGTCTGCTATGCCTGGGTCACCGATGCCGATCCGCAGGGTTTTACTATACATGCTGCTCCAGCGTACGACGCCAGCGACGGGATCTGTCTTTTCGCTGCCGCGGATCAAGGTTACGTCGGGTCTTCCTGGGGTGAAGGCGCTGTTGTCGACGTAGTACAGGACTTGGCTGGTGGTTGAGTCCAGAATTCGCATGTTGAGATGTGATTTGGTGTGGAGGACGTCGAGTGTTCGGGTGGCGTTGGTGGTCGTCATGAGAGATTCGAGTTCTTTGTCGTATTCGTAGTTGGATTCGCCGGCTGATGATTGTTGGGAGCCCCTGCGTGGTGTTGATGGAGGTAAAGGTGAGGCTGGACGGGAATGAGTCGGGTTGTTGGGATCATATAGATATCTTTCGTCGTTGGGCGCGAGATTCGAAGAGGACTGAGGCTGATATGGTGGAAGGGGCTGAGACGAATAGTTTGTTGAAGCCATGCTTGACTCTTGTAAGCGAAGACGAGATGCGTAGTGCCTTGCTGCTCTACGCAATGCGTGACAAGAGTTCAGCTTACTGTTTGGAATGCTCTCGCTTGTGTAGAGGTATGTCGTTCTAGGGCAAGCCAGCGATTACTTATAGCCGAACTCGCTTTGACCCTGCTGTACAGTCTGGTCTGAATCTCGTAACACGCCATGCCCATGCAATGCCTTGAATGCGAGTTTCATGCAAGCTCGCAAGAGAAAGATTGGTGCAGGCAGATAGGCCAGTTGCTTGGCGATTTAGGTGCAGTTCTTTCTCTTCGTCCTCGTATCGTCAATACGTGAGAGATATTCCCTGAAGTGCTGAGACGAGCCGGGGTACCCAGACTCTGGCGTATCACTGGCATCAAGCATTTGACAAGCCCCTCAGAACCACCGAGCTTGTGAGCTTTGGTTAGGACTCTAAGCGAGACGCCAAGATACGAGGGGATATTGGACGTTGATTACGATGACTGTCCACCATCTGCCAATAATTAGTGAGCATAGTTTGCTTCTCGCGACAAAGCATATGTTGCAAACTTTTGTCCTGCCTAGAATTTGATCAGGCTGAGTGAGATGGCTGTTGTCCAAATTCCTCTTGGCGTTGAGTTGCAAGCACTTCAGGCAGTAGGGATCAACACCTACGTCACTCTGCAGCTGTCTGCAGTCCCATTTCACCAAGCAATGTGTGGTCCACATGAATAGCAGCATGGTAGAGGAAGAGAGATCTGAGAAGCTTCGGTTGAAGATCGCCGTCTTCGATGCACGCTACCAGCTTCTGGTCGTCGGTCAGGTCATCGTGGTAGAGCAATGCGCCACCACTAACGTAGATGACTGTTGTCGGTAATTGCTTCTATAGAATACAAGATAACAACATTGAAATAAAAGAAGTAGACGAGGGCTGTGTTGGACTTACAGTTCTATCAATTGTGACTAAGGACAATCATGTGCCACACTCGAAAAGACAATGCCAACTTTCCCAAACCTTTCATGCTGTAAAGTTGTATACCAGCCACACCGATGACAGCTCAGCCTGGAGCAGCAGTATTGTGGTTATCTATATTCCCAGTAAGGCCAGGCCCAGTTCTCTGCCTCTTCAAATCGCCACCGTCACCAGCAGCCGCAGTAGGCTGATGCTGAACATTGCTCAGATCACCCAAGGGAGCCCTCTTGGCAGCGGTGAGTACTCTCTCGGTACCCGCGACACCAGGCACAGCGTTGCTGCTGGCACCATTGGTGGCACCGTGTCGTGTAGGTGGACGGTAAGCACTTGTACCCATTCGTGGGAAACTGGGACTCATACCAGCACCAGTCTGGCCAGGTTGTCCAACCTTCCTGGCTTGCTCGACTGGCAGTTTGGGGAGCGTCTCATCTCGTTGTAGGGGAGGTTCAACCCTTAATGTGTTTCTGTTCAGCGCGGCTGATTTAGAATGATCTACGCCACTAGTCTTTCGTATCGAAGGCGACTCAGAATATGGATTGAATTTGGCAACAGGTGTATTGCCTGTCGGGTTGTTGTTGCCGTCAAGAACTTCGGCTGCCCGTGCTGAAAAGAACCCCAAGCTTTGAGGACCAGGTGGCGCTTGTGGAGGAGCAAAGTGCTGCGATGCTACGCCAGGCGAAGAAGAGCGAGACTGTGGGTGGTTTGTATCCGTCACTGCGCCAGGATTCTGATTTTGCCTTAGGTGTGGAGCCACACGAGAGCCCTGTTCCCCATTCTGATGAATTATTTGTGGTTGTTGTGGTCTGCTTGCTGGTGCTTGATTTCGTTGCTGGTCGTGTCGAATTTGAGGCGGTTTGGAAGGTGTCATTTGCTGATAAGACTGCGGTCTTCCCGGATGCTGTTGGGGACCATTTCTTTGCTGTCCTTCGTTGACGGGTGGTAGCATCACTTCGTCTGGATTGCCCAGATCATCGAAATCCGCCTCATCGAAGTCGTTTACGTCGAAAGATTCTTCGGCCACGAGATTCACGGCCTGATTAGGTTGCTGAGGTTCAGTGGGAACAAGCTTCTTGTCCTCTTCCTCCTTCTTGGGAGCAAAATCAGCATGTCGATATAGCTCGTTAACGTCCCATTTGCCCTGGCCAGCTTTGACCTTGGAAACCTTCGCAATGTACTCTTTGTCGTATATGCAGTTTCCCAATACATTCCCGAAATTCCGAAGAGCTCTTTTCAGAGCATCGGTGGTCCCTTCCTTCTTTGCTTTCTCAAATGCTGCGATCTTGCTCTTACAATTCTCAATACCGCCATAGCCTGTATCTTCATGATAAGCGCCGTTCCGGAGAGTCACTCGTACGACAACGGAGAGGCCTATAGATATTGTGCCTTTGGTTGGGTTCTCGTCGACAAAGTCGATCTGTATGTTCTGGATGGAGCTGCTCCAGCCACAAAAGCCGAAGACCTCATTGGCGAGATTGATGGCTTTTTCAGCAGACAGGTAGGCGACGCGCGAATTCCCAGGACCAGCTCTTGTTGAGATATATTCAGGGCCGAGTCTCTTATTGAGTCTGCTCTGGAGTGTCGCGATTTCTTGTGCTGTATATTCGCTGATCTGTGGTTTCACCTCTTCGAAAGGATTTTGGGTGGTGGTGCCGTTCGGCTTGTGTTGATCGCCAGGTCTGAGAAGTCAGCAATGAAACACAGATCAACAGGTCAACTTACGCAGGCATATTTGGTCGTATTGCGTCTACAAGAATATGAGGAAGTCTTGCTATACGCACTCGCGTCTTGTGCTGCTGACGCCTCGATACTCCAGTCGCGTCCGATAAGATATCGCGTTGACACGTGATGGGTTCAGCTCAACGCGGCAGTTGCAGTCCGCATGTCTCCAGGCATCACTCCAGGCACAACACGATTGCCAGGAAAGACTGTTGGAGAACTGGCAGCAGCTTGGGACTGTCGCAGCGATAGGCTCTCGGCTTTGGAAGGAAGTGGCTTATGATGACTGTACGGAGTACTGTGTGTCAAACGACCTGCAAGAATCCTGGTCAGCCTTGATTTCACTTCCGCTGCCGCCTGACTCGTATCGCGTGTTCTGGACTTGCCAGCGTGTCGGAAAATCAATCCACTTCTGGCTGTTGCAGAATGACGATGGTCTCCTGGAACCGCGAGACTTCAAGCAATCTTTGACATTGAGGTTATTGAATACTGATGTTTGGTTTCTGTTTTTGTGTTTCGTCTATTGCACTCTCATCAGTTGCTCAAGCGTGCTGAGCTGTCTCGATGTGCTGAAATCGGCTCCAAACTCCAACTCTGTGGGTCTCGTGCGGCAAGGATGAAGCGGTTCTGTGCTGAATGAGCACAAGTCGACATTAACACGCACATCAAGTCGTCCACACACTATCGCACGACTTTGCACCTGTCCCAGTGTGCCAGCAGGATGTCATCTCCGTACCCCGTCCCATCAACACCGAAGGTCATATCACCGTCGCCAACTCCATCCGAGTCGTCCGAACAAGCAGATGGCTACTTTACGCGGTCAGTTGCTAAGAGGTCTCGGACCAAATCACCACAGCCAGACACTATCGCGGAGGAGAAGACGAATGATGACAGCGAAGGATCCGACTCTAGTCTAGAGAAACGCGCTCGTACCCGATCCCGCAGTCCTATTCTCGCACCGACCGATGGCAGTCTGACAAACGGCAATGCTAGACCTTACAGGCGCATGTCTGGTTTAACCACAAGAACATCGTCTGGACTAGTAAAGAAATCCGAGCCACTACCTACCAAGCATAGCCCAGCCGCGAATGGCAACGCAATCCCACCTCAAGTCAATGGTCACCTCAGTCCCTACAGCCAGATCAAGAAGTCCTGGCGCGAATTTTCGAGATCACCTTCACCACTGGGTTTAATTCCGCTGCACAGGCACTATCGCACCTTCATCCACAAGCACGAGATACCTCGAAAAGCCTTACATGTGTCGATTGGCTTTCTTACTTTGGGCCTTTACTCACATGGTCTACAAGCTACAGCCATCACACCCTGGCTGCTCGGTTTGCTCGTGCCCATTGCGTCGGTCGACCTCCTCCGCCATCGATTGCCAGCCTTCAATAGATTTTACGTCAGGTGTCTAGGTGCCCTGATGCGAGAGACTGAAGTAGATGGATACAATGGTGTGATCTGGTATCTCCTCGGTGCATACATCGCCTTGCGATTCTACCCTAAAGACATTGGAACGATGAGTATCCTGTTGCTGAGCTGGTGCGACACCGCAGCCTCCACCTTTGGACGCTTGTGGGGAAAATATACAATCAGGTTAAGAAAAGGAAAGAGTTTGGCAGGTACACTCGCGGCCATGTTCACAGGCATATGTGCAGCATGGTTCTTCTGGGGGTTCCTTGCACCGAGAACGGGTCCCCTTCCAGATGATCCAGCCGGAGGACTGATGTATAAAGGCATTCTATCATTGCCAGAAGTTATCAGAAACACCCTTGGCTGGTCCAAGGAGGAAAGCACTATCAGCGGAGTCACAGCCATGGCAGTCATGTCGATTAGCACCGGCCTTATTGCATGCTTCAGCGAATTTGTTGATATCTTTAGTTGGGATGACAATCTAACAATACCGCTCATCAGCAGTGCCGGGCTGTGGCTCTTCTTGAAAGCTTTCGGCTAGTCTGGTAGAGTATTGCGATTTGTTTTCGGGACAGGGGACGGAAGGAGTGCTTGAAGAGAGTTGAGGAGATTACATTGTGACATAGTTGTATGAATGGCAGAAACTAGTATAGGAATACTGCAACTCAATCGATCGATTTGCAACTACTAATTGCGGCTTTTCCTTGCATGCATTGCATCTGTCCGACTATGATGTTTGACGTCTAGGTGCTGAACATGGCTGATAGATGACCAAATCAAAAAAAAAAAAAAAAAAAACGGTTCTAGACGGGCCGAAACTGACAATTGCAGTGGGACAGTCACGATTGTTTAATTCAGGTCATGTCATCCTGTCCTCGAAAGAGAAACACAAGAGCAGGGATTAGCACTTTAAATGTAGCAACAGCGAGAAGTGGTTTGTTTGCTACAGTGCAACTGACAGTTGCTCATGAGAGAATTGCAAACGCAGAAGACGAAGATGGGTATCATTAGCTCTATCAATCATCCCTTTCACCAGCACTACTTATTTTGCATCAGCTGCGTCCGATCACAAACCACCTCGGGCTCCTCGCCAAGCATGTCCCAGCACTACCGGACAGCGACATACTCCTTCTTCCTCTTGTCGAAGTTCATCACTCTCCTCTTCTTGTGGCCCTCAGCTAAGCGCCACCGACAGTATAGCACCAACATATCCTTGACAGCCACGAAAGCAAGGCCACCAACGAGACTTCTTCCCCACTTTGATGCCAGTAGACCGTGACGGCGTGAACTGTAATTGAACGCTGGGCTCGTCCATGAGATAGGAAGCACTGCTTTGAGTAGTTCTCCAGCTGCTGATGCTACTGCTGGCATAACGAGAGATCCTATGACGAGTTGGCCGATGCTCGAAGTATCGTCCATCAGCTCATTGTCGCCGAGCAATTGATGCACTCTACCAGCAGGGACCGCGTTACCGTTCTGGTTTCCATTCTGCTGACCCGCAGCATTTGGGTCTGCATCTCCTTCGTTCTCACCATCGTCTTCCATGACCTCTTCAACTCCAAGGTTCACCTCCAGTTCTAGAACCATTCCACCTGCATCGTCCCCTTCGACCTCTGCTAGCTCTGCTTCATGTTCGTTGAGGATGTCAGCTATATTACCTTCTTGACCGTCGTATCCTTCTTCTCTTCGAGGCTGTACCTCCTTTATCCACTTTCTGTTCAGCTCGCCGAATGCTTTCTCGTAAGCCCAATTGTAAACTTGTCTCACTACTGGCAGGACTGCGAACGCTGTCGAGGGTAGTGGAGGCCACGTAGTCCAGTCAAATTGGAATGGATATTCGAGCTGAGTGGACAAAAGGTACAATGTCCCTGAAGGTAAGATGAAGTCGGCGAACCGTGTGCGAGCAAAGACCAGGTTGATCGGGATGAAGCAGTATGCGGCTAATCTAGATGATTGCTGAAGTGCAAATCGATGGAGCCAAAACGAGTGTTCTGCTCCAAAGACAAGATATACTGCGAGACGTCCATGCACGTAACAACCGGACAAAATGGTGCCCGAAAGTGCTGCAGCTAGTCCTGGTAGAATCAACCGAGAATAAGTTCGATCTAATCTTCTGCACAAATGTACCAGTGGATCGACTTGACGCTGTATCTTAATCTCCGACCTGCACTGCGGGCACAGAATCTTGTCTGGGGTCGGTCCTGACCTCCCTCCGTTGCGCGAACGGGGAGCTTCTTGATCTGCGATCCAGTCTAGCAGGCAGGCTTCGTGTGCTTGAAGGGAGCAAGAGCATGGGGATCGCCATTCGGTGGGAGGGTTAGGAGGACTCGGAGGATCTTCGTCTCTTGTTGATAGACATATCCAACACTTTTCGAAGGCTGAAGTGCTAGCGCGACTCAATGCAGGAGGTCTTAATGGCGCTTCGTCGTTTGTGTTTGTATCCAGTGGTTCGGAGATGTCTGCAGTCGAATGGTTTACAAGGACTGCTTCAGAGTTCGTTGGCGAATTGGAGGCCATTGAGGAGGTGAGATGCTTGTAAAGCGCAGGTCAGATGAGGTAGCTGAAAAGTTGTACAGCTGTCCTGGTCGCCGGCCCAGGTGCTGTTTGTCGGTTGACGAACGGGACTTGTGTCAAACAATGAATCAGGTAGTTGAGCGACTGTGGTCCCAGGGCCTGGTCGGCGTGTCGCTCATCAGTCAACAATGACGAACACAACTGCTTTCTGCCTGAGGCCACACAAAACCCCAACACCACCGGGGTTTGTCACACGCTCTTACTCACCTTCAAGTTCTCGACGTGCGAGTCAAATCGTTTTCCGCACACCTGTGGATCCAAATACAAGAGTTTCCCACTGCACATTCCAATGTGATGCTGCATAGGGATTGTTGAATGATCAAGTTTTTCTCTGAACCAGTAGGTGTCGTGCCGCAACAGCTCAATTAGCTAATTGCAGAGACAACTCAAGTTGTCCTATAAAGTAGCAAGGAAAGAAGTGTTGGTTAGCCAAAAATACAGTACTCGCAACCACGTACTTTACGTATACTCACAGTCACTTCATCTACAGGAAGAGGAGAAGCGTTCTATAAGTTCTTCATCGTTGCTACATTCCTGACCATGGCGAAAGCAGTCTCAAGGGTGACCTCGATAGATCAGATCTACTCAAATGCGTCTGCTGGTGCTTTACCAGAACAAAAGTCTCGATTTAAGCACTTGATTGACTCCTTCTCCAAAGAGCATGGCTCGAGACCAGACTTTGTAGCTCGAAGTCCTGGTCGAGTCAACATCATTGGTGAGCATATCGACTACTCGCTCTACAACGTGCTACCAGCTGCTGTTACAGTCGACGTACTCGTTGCCGTAAAGGTCAAAGAGCCGTCGTCAGGCACCACTATCACAGTCGCCAACACGAACGATGTGAAGTATCCTAGAGACGAATTCCATGTTCCTCAAGAAGGTGACGTTCACATCGGTGAGCACAACTGGTCGAACTACTTCAAGGCTGGACTTCGGGGTTCTGTACAATTGCTAAGGAAAGAATATGGCAATGACTTTAGACTGAAGAGCATGGATGTCATGATGGACGGCAATGTCCCAGCTGGTGGCGGTTTGTCGAGCAGTGCTGCTTTCGTTTGTGCTTCCGCTCTCGCTGTTCTGGCAGCTAATGGTCACGAGGTGTCCAAGCAAGATTTACTCGACTTGTGTATAGTCTCAGAACGTTCGGTTGGTGTCTATTCAGGAGGTATGGACCAAGCAGCAAGCATATTCAGTGAGAAGGATTACCTACTCTATTGTCGTTTCTTTCCAGAATTTTCAGCCGAAAACGTCCCTGTACCAGTCGCAGACCCCGAGATCACTTTCCTCATCGCACAGTCGTTTGTCACATCAGACAAGGCGGTCTCGGCAGCTAGGCATTACAATCTCAGAGTCGTTGAAGTCACCCTAGCTGCAGTAGTACTTGCCAAGCTACACGATATCACCCTCAATCCAGACTCCTCTTCCCTTGGTTTCAGCATACGAAATTTTCAGGAAGAGTTGATGAAGTCACTGGGGAAGAGAGAAGTGGCTGAAGATGAGCAACTCGATATGATGATCAAAGTTGTTCAAGAGAAGTTGACCAAACAATCTTACAGCAGAGCGGATGTGGCTGAAATTCTAGGCCTAGATGTATCTGCTCTGGAAAAGGCTTACTTTTCCAAGTTCAAGGTCGAGGGCGATAACTTTAAGTTGCAACAACGAGCCTTACACGTTGTACAAGAAGCTCGACGTGTGATCTCATTTAAGGACACCTTGTCTGCTAATGCTGGACAGAAGTTGACCCAGGACCAACTATCTTATCTTGGAGACTTGATGAACAAAACTCAAGGTTCGTGCAGGGACATTTACGAGTGCTCTTGTTCTGAGATTGACGACATATGTGCTATCGCTCGCAACAACGGCGCTCTGGGCTCTCGGTTGACTGGTGCTGGCTGGGGTGGCTGTACAGTGCATCTTGTACCTCAGGGAAAGGTTGACACCGTGACAGAAGCCTTGAAGAGAGAATATTATAGTGTGAAGTTTCCTGAATTGTCCGCAGAAAAGATGAAGGATGCTATAGTGATCAGCAAGCCTGGTCAAGGAAGCTCTTTGATTACGGGTGAGGCTCTTGCATTATGAACGACGTACAGAATGACCATCCAAGAAGTCTTCAATATTGCTCATAGAATCGTTTGGAGTGCAAGTGGGATGGGATCTCTTCCTGGCCAAACACATCGTCGTGGTTACTTGGGCGAGAACACTTTACACCCCTATTCTGTGCCAATACCTCCTTGCAGGTAGTCGAGTGGACTTCCAGTACGAGACAGGTAGACACAATAAAGCGAGGCAAGAGCCACCAGTATCCAAATCTCAGCGTGAGCAAAGCAGGAACGAGGGAATGCTCGTGAGCACTTGCAGACAAGTCTGCCTGCAATAGTCTGCAGCAGGCAATCCAAAGTGTCCACTCCTCTTGCTCGCTATATGTCTCACAGAACCAACATCTAGCCCTCCTGGAGGACAGAGCTACGATTTGTGGTGCTTTGTAACCATGTCCTCTCATAGGTTGTGTAGAAACTCTTCGAGTCAAGCAGTGATGCAGACCATCGTATTGGGTGCCTGCAGACTTCTTCTTGTCGTCCTTGTCCCTGGATCGACGGAGGTCTTTCAGCCGCTGACGATGTAGAATCCTTAGATTCGCTTCGAGCCGTTGATCCTGTCAGGTACAACGCATATCATCGATAGTCTGTCCATAAACGACACTCTTCAGAGCCACGTTGTACGAAGTGCACCACCCTCGACGTCACCAGTCTATGAAAACATGTATGCAGAACACATGCATATTGCTCCGATTCGACTCGGACTGGTCAGCACTTGGAAACTTGAGAAGAATACAAGGCCACCTGCATGGCCTGGTTCCGGCTGCATGGATCACTGGGCATTCGTTCGGTGTCCGAAAGCTGGAGCGAGCATCTCTTTCTTTGAGGTTGAATGCCCTCGCTTGACGGCAGACCCCTCATGCAGCTCCCCACAAGCGTGTGTCAGACGTGTTTGATCAGCTCTTTATGCTCCACATCCTCGCTGCTGTATTCTCGGCGTTCTCAATGCAGCACCGATTTACACTTCCTCCAGTCAGATCCTTCGACCATTTTCGAGGATATCCAAGAGCATGGTAACCCAAGGCACAAATGCGTGTCGTAAAGCTGACAATGCCACATGAATGCTAAGACCTTAAAGCGGATCTGGTCTTAAACCCATTTGAAGTCATCCGCTCTCTCTCGTTCTATGTCATATTCCTTACCACATTGCACAGCCTCGTTTTTGTTGCTAATCGACACTACCAGCGAAAATACACAGTACACAACAAACTCTACAACTAACCATGACAACGCCAACCATTGTCGTTAACAAGCCTGGCACAGTCACGCACTCCGTCCCAACTGCTGTTCACAGCAACGCAGGCAGACCACTCACGCCCAAAATCAGCACCACATCTTTCCCGTCGAAAGGCCACGAGCAATCCTGCTACCTCTGCGACGAGCAGAATCCAGGAGACTTCAGCCCAACCACCAAGTTCCTCGAGACCTGTCTTCTCTGCTGCCGACCTTTCTGTCCTGTCCACAAGGCCGTGCAATTCGAGAAGGTCTGCAATATCAACCACAGCCAATACTACCACGAGCGTCTAGAAAAGGCAAGAGACGAAATAGCACAAAAGAGTCCCGATGGTGTGGGGAGGAGACCAGATGCTGAAGAGGTGTTGAACGAGGGGGGAGTATACCCCAGCTTGGGGGAGCGCGAGAAGGTCATCTTCCGGACGAGCCCTGTAAGCCCAGGTAAGAGCTTCTTGACGAGTACATTGGCAACTCTTTCTAACGATTACACAGAGAAGATGAAGGAGATTGCACATTTCCGAAGCTTAGATGCCGAATTATCTGGCACAAAAGGGAAGGGTGCTTCGATCCTCATAGAGGAGCGAGAGGCATATGCAGCCGATATTGCTGTTTAGACAGGCAAGAGTCTGTATTATGGCCATATGGCACATTAATGACAAGGCTTGTTGAACTTCTGAACATCTTTGGATCTCTCCTACTGCGCTGTTCGGTACTGGTGGAACACTGATGACAATCACAGGTCAAAATTAGAAGAGCCAAGCTGGACAGAGACACAATAGTGCACGGAACTTGTGTTCTGCGCGCCATATCCTGGCCATCCGAAGTCTCAGTGCATATTCGGAGAACAGCTTGCTTCACAAGACCCCTCCATCACGTTTATACAATAAGTGTCCGTAGTCTCGGTTCCAGCTTCAGCGAGCGACTTGAAAACAGTAGAAGTATTAATGCATTTTCACAACATCCTCCAACTACGCCTTGGTAGCCTGCGGCTTAGCGAGCATGTATCGAACAGCCTCAGTCACAGACTCACTACCCCAAACCCCATCCTTTCCACCCCTCGCGAATTCCGGACCACTACCATCCTCACCACCACCTCTGGTAGCCTCACCAAGGATGACTTCTAAGTCACGTCGTTGACTCTTCATCCACTTGTTGACAAAGCCAGCAGGGTCCTTAGCCATGCTCTTGAAGAACGTATGTCGTGCCTTGGAATGTTGTAGTGCTTGGACGATGACAGCAAGCTGCTCGTCCAATTGAGCAATTTGTCGGAGGCCAGCGTGTAGATCTGGGTTCTGATGCATGGCGAGAACCCTCGCACGTAATGGGTCTTCCACGACGACTTTGATGTCGTAAACAGTTGGTTCAGGATTGTTGAGAAATTCTTGGTCAACACGAACGGTGTATGGTAGCTTGACTGGATCTAGTGGTAGTAGATGAGCCATGATTCGTTCCGGTATTTGTGGAAAATGGATTTGATCCATGTTGAAAACTTGTCGTAGCTGGTCGTCGCATCTGATGATGCGCTTGTCCTCGTCTTCTTGCAGGTTGAAGCAGCGGATGTATTCCCAGATTGCCATGACGACTTCTGCGCGGTCACCCTCGGCCATGTCTAAAGTGCTAGCTAGAGGTTCGGACAGTTTGTAGCGGTCTGGAGCCTCATCTCGAGTAAGTTTGATATTGATATTGACGTTCTCGTCGCATCTGCGCGTGAAATGTATCAGGTCAACATCGTTTGTGCCCTGTTGCTTCTTCCACTCGATTTGCCAACCAGGGTCAGGGACATTGTTTCTGTGTTTGTCGAACTCCACGGTCATGTTCTTGAAGAAGTGGGACATCTTGTAGGTCGGAGGATTCTTCTTTTCCGGTTTCGAGGTTTGGTCGTCCTCGGCTTCATCATCGCTGTCCATAATATCATCTTCCGGGTCGTCAAGCAGACGACCCTCGATCTTCACCCTTACCGTAGATTCTCCAGCCGAGTCAAAGTCAAAGGCATTCTCTTCCAAGCCATTGCGCTGCCACGGCTGGTTGTCGGCAGTGTTCGATATCCATACTCGGAGGGTTTTCTGTCGCTTGTTGCTTCGATGAAAGGTGTCTTGTAGATCCAATCTCTTGCGCATGACCGCATAGTCTAAGCGTCGTTCTTGCTCTCTGAGTTCTTTGTACTGTTGCACGCCATCACCAATGATGATGTCCTCGATGCCATCAGGCATGTTACGGTCCGTGGGTTTCTTCGCTCTACGTTGAGCATGTTGGTGTTCAAGAACAGCCTGTTGTTGCTGCTGTCTCTGCTGCTGGAGGTGTGCTTGTTGGGCGGCATATTGTTGCGGATTTACTGGCGCCTGTCCTAGAGATGGGTGTAAGTGAGTTTGCGCAAAATGAGTAGGAGTGGGCATGTAGTTATTCATCTGCTGGGAAGGATAAGACAGGGGGGCTGGTCGCTGCTGCTGGTAGAGCTGGGCTTGCTGCTGCGGCACAACATTCTGCATATAGGCATGGGCAGGGTCCATAGGGAAGTGCGGTCTGTGTGGCACAGCTAGATGACTCGTGCCGAGCTCAGGTTGGTAGTGATTAGCAGGCACGACTGTAGGGTTGGGCGGGTTCCAGCCTGCCTGGTGTGTAGGCAGTTGAGAAGAGGCCATGGTCCTGAGTTTGGCAGGAGACGATTGACTCAGATATCGAGAGTAAGCAGATCCGAGAGATTGAGAGAACTCTTGCGGTAAGGATATAGGCGCCAGGGAAGAAGCATAGGATTGCATTTGTAATGGAATGTTTGTCCTCGTTTCGGACTCACACTCACCTGGTCTGCGGCTGGCCGGCTGGGCTCTTTGTGCCTGTGGGTATGGGCGAAAGGACTGCATTGGCTGTTGCGAATTCATTCTGTTTGAGAGTACGTGTCGCTCGCACGCGACAATGATGCTCGAGGTGTGAGGGTACAGGAGTCCGCAGACGAAAGTGTAAGTAATGCAACTGCTCTTCCTCGATTGTCTTTCTGATTCGCGAAGGAGCAGACGCGACTGGGCTAACATTTCTAGCTCAGGCTGTAAGGCATCATCACTTTTGAATGGCATATGCGGAACATCATCGGTTCCAATAACTCGAAACATAAGACAGATGGAATATGTCAGTACTCCTTAGTGGATGTAACAGATCAGTCGCAGCTGTATCATCGTCAGTCGAGGATGTGCAAGCTCTTGTAACAATATGAGGGTTTGTTGGTAATCTTTTTCCGGACTATACACATCACATTGGGACTTATCATTGAGAAAAGCTCTGCTAGAAGGAAAGTGCTGGAAATAAACTCTATTGAAAGCTTAACACCATCCAGGGCTGCATGGGTGTTAATTCGACAACTGTACATGTACCTGTTGAGCGGCGGGTTTGCAATTTTTGAAATATGGGAAAACCACGACTTATCATCATTATTCGCCATGCACAAAGTGAAGGCAATCGAGATAAGACCATACATCAGGCTACACCGGACCACAAAGTAAGTTTGACGCCGGAAGGAGAGGATCAAGCACGACAGGCTGGCGAGAAGTTAAGGTCATTGCTACGAGAAGATGATTCTCTCCATTTCTTCATATCTCCGTACAAAAGAACTAGGCAGACCACAGAGGGCATTCTCTCGACTTTGTGTTCAAACGATCCTGCGCCCTCGCCCTTTCAGCGACATCATATCAAGGTCTACGAGGAGCCCAGAATAAGAGAGCAGGACTTTGGTAATTTTCAACCAGGTACAGATGAGGTTGAACGGCTTTGGCGAGAACGTGCTTCCTATGGTCATTTTTTCTATCGCATACCGAACGGTGAAAGTGGAGCTGATGTCTATGACCGTGTGTCTTCGTTCAATGGCTCATTGTGGAGGAGATTCAGCGAGGACCAGATGGCAAGCGTAGCTGTTCTTGTCACACACGGCCTCTGCAGTCGGGTATTCCTAATGGCCTGGTACCACTACAGCGTTGAGTTTTTCGAGGACTTACGGAATATCAACCACTGCGAATTCCTTGTTATGAAGTTGGGCAACAACGGCAAGTACGTTCTACAGAATCAACTTCGCCGTTGGTCAGATCTCAGACGAGAGCGTGCTGCCCAACGCAAAAGCGTTTCTGCTTCTTCACCCCCACAGCACATTCCTGTTCACAGATGGCATAACCACGCTACGGATAACACTCGAAGCGTGAAACCACCCAAACGCCAGAACACTGCCGACCTTTTCAAGGACGACGATGAGACGAGCAAGACAGAAGGGCAAATGCCGCAGCAGAATTCCTCGCCCAGGAACGAAAGCCAACAGGATCCTGTGGTATCCCCAACAGAGTATCAACAACGTGACAAGAATAGCCAGCAGTTGTCACAAACAAATCAAAGTCTATTGACGCAGAGCCTCCAAGAGCTCAAGCTCACAAATTCACCTAGATTCTCAAGGTCGCAGACGAAAGCGTACCTCGGTCGAGACGGAGGAGGCTCAAGGTCCGGCGCGGCTTCTCCATTTGAGATGTCTGACGAAGAATCTAACGAAGATACTTCTGCCGCTCCTGCTAAGAACACTGAACCACAAGAAGAGAAGTTGGACGCGATCGACGTCCCGACCCCCAAACAACCATCGTCCATGGCGAGAGCCCTGCGTGGAGAACTCATGGACGAGCCTGGTCGCGTACTAGCTGATGCGCTTGGCGATCATAGTGAACCAGAGATTGAACGGGTCGACGTAGAATTAGGCACTAGAGATCGTGAGCGTAGTGAAATAGCGCGGATAGTGGCAGAGGAAGTTAGGGAGAGGAGTCATCACTCTGACTTGTACTAGAGCTCTTAGAGTCGCTTACTGGCGAATTCTTTCAAACAGCCTTCGTCGTTGTGATTGACAGTCTACAAAGTCACATACTGTCTTTGCGCCTTGTAGACATGGGTATACAAACATTACTCCTGATGGGTTGAGCCAAGATCTTGAGTGCTTAGTCACAGGCTTTGATCGCCCTGTAGTGCCAAAGACTCCCAGAGTGGCTGCCTTACGGCCTGTTGTCGTGGGGAACCTGAAACTTCGAACATTTTCAGTGACAGAAACTGTGGGCAGGGCAAGTGAGTCACGCTTCGAGGCATATCGGAATCCTCGTCGTGTTCAGCACTGCTCCTCATAGCATAGACATGGCGGTCAATTTCCCTGCCGAAGAAGCGTCGACGCTCAAGCACTGGCGCGAGATTGACGCCTTCCAGACACAACTCAGACTCTCTCAGGGTAAGAAGCCATATACATTCTACGACGGACCGCCGTTCGCGACAGGTCTGCCACACTATGGCCACTTGCTAGCTTCTACAATTAAGGATATCATCCCCAGATATTGGTCTATGAAGGGTCACTATGTGCAACGCAGATTTGGCTGGGATACACATGGTCTGCCTATTGAGTACGAGATTGACAAGAAATACGGCAAGTCTGCTCAAGAATACGTGAAAGAGAAGGGTATCGAAAGCTACAATGCGGAATGCAAGGCTATTGTCATGACATATGCTCAAGAATGGCGGGAGACCATCGACCGATTGGGCAGGTGGATTGACTTCGACAATGACTACAAAACTATGGATGCTAGCTTCATGGAGTCAGTGTGGTGGGTGTTCAAGCAGCTGTTTGACAAAGGTCTTGTCTATCGAAGCTACAGAGTTGTCCCCTTCTCAACTGCCCTTGGTACACCTCTAAGTCAACACGAAGCTTCCCAGAACTACAAAGAGACACAAGACCCTGCTGTCGTGGTCTCCTTCCCTCTCCTAGACGACCCATCCACGAGTTTACTTGCATGGACTACAACACCGTGGACCTTGCCCTCGAATACAGCCCTCGCGGTGCACCCAGACTTTGAGTATATTAAGATCAAAGACGAGGCTTCTGGCAGCCAGTACGTGTTGCAGGCAGACCTACTAAAGACGTTGTACAAAGACCCAAAGAAAGCGAAGTTTCAGATCCTGCAAAAATACCAGGGGAAAGAGTTGCAAGGTTTGAAGTATGTGCCACTGTTCACATATTTCTATGACCAGTTCAAAGATCGTGCATTCAAGGTACTCTTGGCTGAATACGTCACAAAAGATGATGGTGTGGGTATTGTACACCAGGCTCCCTCTTTCGGTGAGGATGATTTTCGTGTCGGCCAACAGAATGGCACGTTCTCCGCCGATCAACCTCCCCCTAATCCCGTGGATAGTCAAGGACGGTTTACTAGCGAGGTGTCAGACTTTACTGGCATGCATGTGAAAGAGGCGGACAAGCACATCATCAAACATCTTAAATCTACTGGTCGGCTAGTAAAAGACGGTCAGATTACTCACAACTACCCCTTTTGCTGGCGGTCTGACACACCTCTGATCTATCGAGGTATTCCAGCTTGGTACATCAACATCACAGGCAATGAGAAGAACGATTCTATTGTCCCGCTCATGCTTGATGGTATTGCGAAATCACATTGGGTCCCGGATTTTGTCAAGACGAAACGATTCGCAGATTGGATAAAGAATGCTAGAGATTGGAACGTCTCGCGTAATCGATATTGGGGCACTCCCATGCCACTATGGTGCAATGAGGACTTCAGTGAGATTGTCTGCATAGGCAGTACCGAAGAGTTGAAGAAGCTCAGCGGCCACGAAGGAGATATCGATGATCTGCACCGAGACAAGATCGACAAGATCACCATCAAAGGCAAAGACGGCAAACCGCTACGACGTATTGAAGAGGTCTTTGACTGCTGGTTCGAGTCTGGCAGTATGCCCTATGCCTCCATCCACTATCCTTTCGAGAACAAAGAGTATTTTGAGAAGACGTTCCCTGGCGACTTTATTGCTGAGGGTCTCGATCAAACTCGAGGTTGGTTCTACACACTGGTAGTTCTGGGTGTGCATCTGAAAAAGATTCTACCCTTCCAAAATGTGGTCGTCAACGGCATTGTGCAAGCTGCAGATGGAAAGAAGATGTCCAAACGTCTGAAGAACTATCCAGATCCTGTTGAGGTCATTGACAAATATGGTGCTGATGCTCTTCGTCTGTACATGATCAACTCGCCGGTCGTGAAGGGAGAAGAGTTGCGTTTCAAAGAAGCTGGTGTAAAAGAGATTGTGTCGAAAGTACTACTCCCTCTGTACAACAGCTACAATTTCTTCAAGGACCAGGTCAGTCTGCTGGCAAAATTTGAAAGCATCGACTACTGCTTCGACCCCAAAGCAGGAACGACGAACACGAACGTTATGGACAAATGGATTTTGGCTTCAACACAAACCCTGCTCGAGTACGTCAACGCTGAAATGGCTGCTTACAGGTTATATACGGTGGTACCTGGACTGCTCGAACTCCTCGAAGATACCACAAATTGGTATATTAAGTTCAACCGAAAGCGGTTTAAGGGCGAGCTTGGCCGAGAGGATACTGTTCATGCCCTGAACACACTTTTCGAGGTGTTATTCACTCTTGTGCGTGCGCTAGCACCCTTCATTCCGTTCGTCACAGACATGATTTACCAGAAGCTGTTGCCGTATATCCCCAAAGAGTTGCATAGCGAGGACATGCGATCAGTACACTTTTTGGCTTTCCCTGAAGTGAGATCAGAATTAAAAGACCCTGTGGTCGAGCGACGAATTGCGCGAATGCGAAGTGTTATTGAGCTTGTCCGTCAATCGCGCGAGAGAAGGACAGTGAGCTTGAGGACACCACTGAAGACGCTAGTAGTCATTCACAATGATCAAGAATATCTCGATGATATCAAGTCATTGGAAGGATATATTACGGAAGAGCTGAATCTGCGAGACTTGGTATTGAGTTCTGACGAGAGCAAATACAATGTGCAGTATAGTGTCGCGTTAAATTTCCAGAAAGTGGGCAAGAAGTTGAGAGGCGATGCCAAGAAGGTGCAGAAGGCACTCCAAGAGCTCGGATCCAGTGAATGCAAGGAATACCTGAGTTCAGGAAAGATTACTGTTGCTGGAGTTCTGTTAGAAGAAGGAGATCTTATCGTGAAAAGAGGTTTGCCTCAGGACAAAGCTTCGGAAACGCAAGAGACGAACAGTGACAACGAAGTGCTGACTATTCTGGATGTTGCCGTTTATCCTGAGCTGGCACAAGAAGGCCTTGCTCGAGAGATTATTGCTCGGGTTCAACAATTGAGAAAGAAGGCTGGACTGAAGACGACAGACGATGTGAAAATGGAATATAGAGTCAAGAACGATCCCCAGAACGTTGGCCTTGAGTCATGCTTCGAGCAGCAAGGAGCGTTTATTGAAAAGGCATTGAGGAGACCAGTCGATAAGCACCATGTTACTGAGGTTGAGCCAGTCCAAAATGGCATCAAAGAAGACATCATCATGGAAGAAGATCAAGAGGTCCAGGAGGCAACGTTCCTGCTGCGCTTGGTGAGATTATGAAAGATTCAAGAACGACAGACGATGGAACGAATGCAATGAGATACCCCCAAAACATGAATCCGACGAAAACTAAATAGCAAGAGAATCAGAAGACTGCCTGCATTGAGCACGATGACTAGAAGTTCGTGAGAATCAACAAAGTGCCTCGTTCACTTTTTCTTCGCAGCTTTCTAGAGAACACAGTTAGTAACCTATAAAGCTAGCCAGATACGCCAGCACGAACCAAATAACAGTCTTTCAACACCATGAACTCCTTCTTACACATGTCCTGGTACGTTGATTGATAATCCGCGACGATGCACTTGCCATAGTTGGCTGCCTACATGCTTGTTAGCATAATGAGGCTTTGGAGGTCAGGTCGCTAACCTCAGGACCGCATTTGGCAACAGCTTCGGCGAATTTCTCGATAGGTCTGGCACGACCTGCGATGGTAGGCATGTCGAATGTCCTAATACTTCAAGTTGTCATGTCGAATTGATGGGCTTTCTGCTTCACCTCCAGCTCATAGATGCAGACTCTTCTACTCGCTTTCTTTACGTGCAGAGCTCTTGACAACGACTCTATGACCTGTTGAGATCACGAATTGAGGTAGGTGCGGCGAATTTGTCCTCATGCAAACGCAGGAAACAATAGCGAAGCTATGACGTAGTGCTTATTGACGTCTTCCTCTGAATGCTGACGATTATCCTCACTCAAATACCAGTCGTTGCTTCTAGGATTGTCCTATATAAGCTTTATGCAAAGTCGACTTGGCAACTCTTACTTCACAAGTTGCCTTGTAGTAATTCTAATCCCGTATTGCTTACTTTATCCAGATATTGGTGATAAACAGAACTCATATTGACACGCAATCTATTACAGAACAATGGCCTCTTCAAAACACTCTTCCGATATCCCGAACACAGATATCAAGCAGTCTGCTGACCATGAACAAATGGGTACAGGCTCATCACATGTCATCACGGACGGTTCCATCGTCCAGTCTTCAGATCCTAGTACAAGACCAGATGCGTCATATACAGAGAAGCTCAAAGGAAATCTGGCAGGTGCTGTGAAGGGAACTGTCGGAAGCTTGCAGGCAACCACTGGAACAGTGACAAGGAACAAGGAGATGGAGCAGAAGGGGCTGGACAAGATGCAGGAAGAAGATGAGAGGTTGGGCGCGAAGAGAGGTGTGATGCCTGTAGGGAGTGGACAGAGGATGACGAAGACTACTGATCCTGAAGCTTGACCGTCTCTGCTGCTGACTTGCATGTGTTTGTTGCAAGCTCGATGTTTGTCCAAGACAGTACAACCAAGTCTCAGAAGGTAGAAACGACAATGGTACTGGCTCACACGATATAAAATCAGCCATCATAAATCTTGTCTCGACACAATATACGTCCAGAAGTTCTCACACACTAATCGTAGATCCAGGGTCCTGATAACCAGGTGACGACCTTACGCTCTGGGTTCGTGTGGCCGTACTTGAGGATGTGAGAGACAATATAGAGTGGTAGAAGTTGAACCGCTTTAGGCAATGTCGTGATGCTACCGAGGCAGCATTAACGCACAAATAACATCTCAATCTATTCTCATCAGCAGGCGCAAAATTTCATGAGGGCCGTGTAGCAGCTTGCTGCACTGTTTAATGCCTGGCCGTCCTCGTGCTGCTTGACCCGGAAGGGTTTTGTCAAATATACGTTTCCGTGAGTTGATGTTACGTTCGGGGACCAACGAATTAAATAGCGGAAAGTGAGGAAGGTGCTCCCAACCTCCGGAACCATTTCAGGTAATATTGCCGAGCCAGCACTGCTACAATCTTCATTCTCACAGTGGAAAGGAAGTACCCTGGATACCGACATAGTAGCAGAATGGACGAGCCCCAAATACGTGAGCGTTCGTCCTCCGAAGGTGCACCTAGCACTGCCCCAACAACACCAGAAGCAACGGAGCCTCATGACAACGACGATATTTGGGCCTCAGACAATGATCACGAATCTAATGCAGCCACTACAGGCCAACAAAGTCGCGAGGACCTCCCGTCCGATCTGCCTACTGTCAAGCGACAACACATGACCGATGGCTATCGGGAAGGGTTGTCGGTGGGAAAAGCAAAGGTAATGCAGAATGGATTTGATAGTGGCTATCCCATTGGCGTATCCATTGCTCTGAGAGCTGGCAAGATTCTAGGCTGTCTCGAAGGTGTAGTAGCTATAAAGGACCTCAATGAAGAGACGAGGGCGCCAGTAAAGAAGATGCTTGAGCAGGCTAGGCAGGATTTGGCTGTGTCATCCCTACTAAGAGACATGACTGATGAGACCATCATGGAGAGCTCATCCATACCAGACTCAGTCGACATCGTGTTAAGAAAGTGGGAGAAGGTTACTTTCGGCGTTGGTGAAGAGTCAGGTGAAAGTGAGAGTTGAAGTGGAGATGTAACTGTCACTTGCATTTGCGTACCTCGATCAAAACACTACAGCACTGCGCTTTGCTACTGCCGCACCCTTCGAGACGATCAGCGAGCTCAAGTCTCACAGTCTGGACAATGGTCAAATTTCGAGGTGTCAATGTTCATATCGTCTCTCAGTTCGAGGCAGTGAGGTTGCCCGAATATGGCACTACACAAGGCGTCGAAAATGGCCAGCACATCGTAGCGCACTACGTTCCTATTCACACAGGTGCTCAGATATGGTTCGAGTATTCAATCGATGGTCCGCATCCTCCTAATGCTATGTATCTTTTGAAGTTGTTCATAAACGGGGAAAACATCACAAATTGGGTATGTCGCAAGATCTCAAGCATATATCGCTGACACGCATAAGGATTGTACCACTAAACATGATTACCATGGAAAAGCAATGTGCAGCCTGCAAACTATAGAATACGGCTCGTTCAAACAGCGAGCCGTATTACAGAACGTCTTCATGTTTTCTTCTGAGGAACAGAGTGCCTCTCCGAATACGAAAGATCACAATTTTGAAATTCGAGTGCACAGAGTCCAGCAAAGACGTCGAGTACGTGAGCTTCCTATTGATCCCGATCTTGTCCAACAGCTACAGCATACACGAAATTCATTGAGGTAAAACTGAACTTCGAATTATTTTTTACGTCGGCTAACAACTTTCAAGAATTGTGTCTGGTGGTTTTGTTGAACGTGGCCGACCAGTTCGACGATATCAGTACCTGCTTCTCGATCCTCAAGATGAACCGTATGCGACCTTTCGCTTCAATTGCCGCAATCAAGAATATCTCAAACAACATCGTATCCTCGAAGCACATCGATCACTTTCGCCAACGCCCCCTGCCACTTCAGCAATCCACTATTCGGAGACAGAGACTTCGCCGCAAAAGAAGGAATACTCGGAGCAGGGTCAATTTGAATTCACCGGTATTCCGAATGATACAGAGACCGACCTACCTGCTCTTCTGGCAAGTTTTAACAATACGCTTGACGAGTTTATGCCTATGCCAACAGCAGGAACCGAGCACACATTACCTCCACTCCGCACCACTTGTATGAGTTACAGCGCGACTTCTGATTCAAGTCTTGTTGTGAAAGATGATCTCAGTACTATACCATCTGGAATCTCCTGGTCTCTCACTGCTACACGCGAGAACTCCCCGCGATCACGGACAGCAGATCCTTGGAACGATGCATATATCGACGACATATTGCTGCCTTGCCCCATCTCACTATCACCTACTTTAGAATCAAGTCCTCTTCTGCCCGAGGCTCTCAGGACTGCAAGAAGGAAAAGAGACGAGTCACCTGCAAGAGCACCGTTCAATAAGGAATCGAAATCCGTCGAGAGCATACCAAAGCCTGCCTTAGTCATGCCTACAGAGCCGACCGCCTCCTTAGGTAAAAAAGACTCCCGTCCGCGTTCAACGCATCGGCGTCATCGTCCCTCGAACCTCAAGCTGACACTCGACGGTGGAACGAATGTGCCTGATTTCGAAGGTGGACGGAACGTGTCAGATCCTCTTCAACCTACACGTCCCCTGAGTCCATTTACCAGTGGCGGGTTCCTGCGAAGGCTGACGAGCAATCCCTTTCCAGGCAGGAGCACGGACACTGACACAGAAGATTCACCACCACCAGGACCTCCAAGACCAGTACAGTTGACTGTGGACACAAGAGATGGAATTGAAGAAGCAACAAATATGCCAAAGACTTCATACCAAGGTAGACAGAGTCCTGCTGAGGAGGATAAGAGCAAGTCAAGACGAGGCGGGCATTCCTTAATCAGCTTCTTGGAAAGGAGATCCAACAAAGAAAAGAGTGCAGCCAAGTAACTTATACCGTCCTACGTCGTTGCTTTACTTAATCAACTCCCTTCCAAACTCAAACCCTGCCACACTCCTAGTGAAAGCAATATACGGCTTCTTCGCCAACAAGCCTCCATCCTCTTCACTGAAAGCCTTGCTCATCTCCTGCCCATACACATTAGCATGTTGCACGACAACATCTCGTCCACTCCGCCCTTCTGAGCTCAATTCCCTTCAAATCAGGGACAAAAAGACAAGATATCAGCAACAACATACCTTGAAATGATCCTCCTGCGTATGGCGATCAATACTATCGCGATCCTCATACGTCTCAATAAGCACAAATTCAACTTGATTGTCCTCGAGGTTTGTGCGTTGAGTCATGACGAAGCGGAGACAGTACGGCTCTTTGGCGTGGACGGAGCGGCATTGGTTCTCGAGGAGTTGGCCGACCTGTTGTTACTAGTCAGAAGGCGATTGACGAGTGTTTGGGAACATGAATACATCGGAATTTTCAGAACGATACTCTGGTGATGGGTTGCGACGCGGATAGGTGAAACGGGTGGAAGTGAGAACCTACCCTTTCGACTTTGTCAGGCTTGGGAGTGAAAATTGCTACGATGTGTGCTTGTTTGGATTGAGTCATTGTGGTTTGTCTTCTGATTGTTGTATACTTTGCTCACGAGAAGCCAGCGGAAAAAACGCTATGTCAAGTACCGGGCAAGACTCAAGTCTTTTGATGTTGGAGAAGACACCCGAGGTCTCCCTCTGATCCGCAAACTCAAACTTTGACTGGCTTTTCAAGAGGTTGCCAAACCATCACATGTTCTTGTATCGCTCTCTCATCTTGTCCCTTCCTTGCTCTACCCAGTCCGCGTAATCGCCCTTTGTATTGCGCTCAGCCTGCTCAACTGCATCACCTAGCTTGCCGCCCTGCGCGCCGAGACCTATGCCAGCAGCGTACACGTTTTGCGCTATTGGTGCCGTCATGCCTTCGCCAGTTGCACCTAGACCAGCACCAGCTGTGTAACCCATCTTTGCGAGCAGGTTGGCACCTTTCGATGGTGCTGTCGGTGGTGGTGATGGTGTCCGCTCCTTCGCTGAGGCATTCTTCCCTCCGACAATCTCACCCTTTTTGTTTACTACACCGTGGATCTTTCTCCGTTCCCTAGCGCGATCTCTGTACTCGGACTTCTGGGATTCTTGATCGACGGTCGCCGATGCTTGCACACTCGAGGTAACACCATGTTTGTCGAGCTTATGTTCTGCTCTCTTTACTTTGATCTCGTCTTTCAGGTTGTTACGGTGTAAGTCAGATAGTCGCTCGTGTCTGTTCACCTCTGCTGGAGATTCGAATTGACGCATGCATAAGTAACAGCAACTACGTTTCGGATCCGCATAAGACTTGGCTGGTGGCGCACCAGGATCCGATCCTCGATCGCTCTTTGGGTTGTCGTTGTTCTTCTGGTGTATGCCATGCAACTCCGCATGGCGATTTGACCAGAATTGAAGATGTGATGGTGTGACCTTTTTCGACGAGGTGCTAGCCTCGAGTTGCTGTTTACGCTTCTTGAGCTTGTCAATGTCTGGAACCGCTTTGAGACCTTCGTTGTCTGCAGGGTTGACTGCGGTCCCCTTGGGAGTCGCTGATTGCTGGTCTGGCATATTGACCATGAGCTCGGTGATATAGGCGTCCTCGTCCCAGTATTGCAGCTTGACCGAGGGATTGCCTATCGGACTGAAGCTGAACCGTTTGGTCGCAGGACTTGGATTGTGTACGGGTACAAATACGCCAGCATGGATATAGCTGACTAGGACTGTCTTCGAAGCAATAGTGAAACGATCGAAGGAATTATACCTCGTTATAGCAGCTTGAGCGTCTTCAATAGTCGCGTATTCAGCGAAGCCGTATCGCCAGCTCTCGTTGGTTTTGCGATCTCGGACCAGCAGGATTCGACGTAGGGTACCTTCTTTAGCACCTAAGTTCGCATCCCCCGTTGTCGAAGCCACCTTCCCTTTCTTCTGTGCTGGTTGCGAAGGCAGTGAGCCAGTAGCTGAGGGCTTGTTCAGCTTCCCAACACCCTTGGCAAAGAGATCCTCGTTTACATTGGGATCAAGACCTCGTAGGAGAAGGAATTGGGAGGGCACGTTGTCAGGGGCAGCATCATTGTCTCCAATGTTAGCTGCCTTCGCGTTGGTAGCAGGATCAGGTCTAGCACTCTGACAACGAAAGCATTTCAATCGCGTAGAAAAGTTGTTGATGTTGCAGGCTTTGCATATCCAATCCGTCTCTTGCACTCGGTCTGTGTCTTTCCGTTCTCGACCGTATGCGATTCTAACCTTTGCATTATCGGAGGTGTGGCCTTTGGAGTTCTCGCCATAGATATAAACAATGGGATAGTTGGCTTGCATGAATGATTCGGCTGCGGGTAGAGAGGGAAATCTGATGAATCCAAACCCTCGAGACTGCCCTGCTTCAAGTTAGGTCGCAGGCACAATATTGTGTCTATTTGCTTACTCGTCTGTCTATCTTTGATGATTCTGACATCTTCAAGAGTTTCGACGTGATAGTGTTGCTGTAATTCGAAGAGGATCTGTTCAACATTTCATCTTAGTATTGGTTTCCTGGAGTGGGGGAGGCATCGTCTTGATGCTCTAGAGGGCTGCTCAGAGTGGTCGAACATCGTTCTCTGTCACATGCGATGCGAGTTCTTCCAGCATGATCTCTCGACTCGGCTGTCCGCGACTTCGTGGTCTATCTCTTTCATGAGAGCGGCTTCGGCTTCGACTTCGGCTTGTGCTTGTACTTCTGCTTCTGCTTCCATAATGCCTGTCTTCGTTGTGGTTTTTGCGCTTTGAAGGACTTCTATCTCTGATATCTTGAACTAAATCAGCTCTTGCTCGCGACTTGCCACCCTCCCCATATGATCTCAGTCTTTACCATGGTGTGGACTTCTTCTGCGTGGAGATCGCGATCTTGAACGATCGTTGTAGAAACTAAACGTGTACTGGGGCTTTTGAAAGCCTCCTCTGGGTCTGTAGGAGGCCATATCGCTGTCGCTGCATTGAACGATGTCTGATCTTCGCCAGTCTGGTGCAGCCACCGCTGAACACGAGTTCACAACGATGAGCAGAACCATTGGCTGTCTCAATCACGTGAGATTGGACCAAACACCGAGGCATGCCGAACAAATTAGTTCCAGGCACGGCGAGAGCCTACAAAATTCGGGATTTAGGCAGCAGCTTACTATACAGCCCCACCACCATCGTTGCTCTCTGCAGGTCATGACAAACAATTCGCTCAGTGGAAGCAAGATTTGTTACCTCGTACAAGATGATATATCTTCACCGAAATTGATAAGTGTCACGAAAGTTCACTAGCATACGTCCAGTATCAGGGTAAAAGTCCCTAGAGGTATATATCTTCTAGAGACAGCCTGAACGACCATTATGAAGAACCCCTGCACATTGGCTCCTTGCTGAGAGACCGGACTCCTGCCAACCACCTAGTCTTTCCTGCAATACCATCAAAACGCCTTTCAAAGTGACCCTGATCGTCCCTCTTGGAAACCCCCATACGATCGAGATCAATCTCGAAGAATGATCAAAGTGGCGCCGCGAGCTGTTTTCTGTGAGGTTAGCAGTGCTGTAGAGACGTGGGCGCCATCAAACTTGGAAATGATTCACAAGCAGGCATGGGAGTGTTGGTGTGTTTCGACGGTGAACCCAGGCGCATAATCAAAGCGGCCACACGCACAACGTATCTGTGAACGAAATGCCATGTCTCTAAAAGAGCTAGGATTGTTACTCGACAGAGTGCCTCGTTAGCCAGACGTCAAAGTGGTGAATAGCGAAAGAGGTACCTCTTTGCCTCGCCTGGCCATGCTATTCCCCCACGCATGCAAGCTTGCGGTGAGAACTAATATACACAGGATCATTGTAGTTGTGTTGAAACGATGAGGTTTGCTAACGAAATGATGGTACGTGGGAACCTTTATACCATCCTTACCACATCGACCACAAGCTCCATGCTTTATATCTTGTTTCTAATCGACTAGTCGAAACACCAGCACTCCTACCTTCTTTATTTCATGCTTGACTTACAAGAGTTCCATCGACACTGGACTTGACCCGAACTAAAGTCTCTTGAGGTCAGCAGGTTTCAACGTCTATGTTAAAAGGCCATGTCTGCATCAGTGTTCTTTAGCAGAATAAGCGAATGTGAGTCTAGGCTAGTATCCCCTGGTGATACACGATCACTGCGGCCTAGTTATACCTGCTCAACTCCTGCAGCCACCTTCGTACTCTGCTCAAAATGCCATTGACACCCTCCGGTTCTGACTTGTTTGGAATTGGACTTACCACTTGAGCTGTGTCTAGGATTGAATAAGAAACTGTATAGGTGTTTTAGCCGCTGGTCAAATGTGGCATTGTAAAGGAACTTAGATGACCTAGTATTCTGTAGCCACAATCCTCGGTGTTCGTTGAAAACGATTGCCAGTCCCAGTCAAGCCTCACGATCGGTTCAACTTTGGATGATGCCGATTTACTGGCTTCGTGTTGCTTGAGCGCCACGTTTGTGCCGACCAGCAAGGTATTTGTATAACCATATAGGAGCCAAGGTGTAGGCAGCTTCCCTATTGTTGTTCTCTAGGTGAGCTGTTCTTGAGTGACTTAAGACAGATCCACGGAGTATGATTTGCAAGCATCCAACATCAGCGACGACTCTGTAGATGTGTAACTGAAGCAACATATCTTCGAGAGCTTTGTTCCATCGCTCAAAGCTAGATCCCGATCGACCTTGACTTCCAAAATATCCTTCTTAGGTTCATGAACTACGGCTGCGCAACCACCACCATGCTGTAGAAGACAGGTAAGCATGGCGAAATGAGCTCTCTAATCAGCCTTGCCCGGCCGCTGAATCTGCATTGTAGTTGTCGAGATCCAATACAGCCAGTGCACAAACCTGGACAAAGAAGAAATGCAACAGATCTTATGGCTTCAAGTCTCCATCGTTGCCATAGCCAAACGGGCGAGGCAGCTCTGAGACACTAAGCGAGAGTACTCCTATCGTGTGCTTTCGAAGCTTGGTGGTTCAGACAAGCTCTTCTCGAAGGGATCTTTCAGTTGCTCGGCGCGTTTTCCCTAGCCATGGCAAACGACGAATGAACGCAGCCGACTGATCCACTAGGCGTTGAGTGTACGGCTCTTCTCTGGGTTCTCAATAGACACCAATGCCTCGAACTCCGATCGAAGGCAAGCAAAATCACGATACTGCTCTACAGAGCTCAAGATACTCTTAACTCGAGGTGTTGAATCACTCACCCATTAGTTTTGAGATTCTCGATAGGCATCGAGATCGCCTATTTCGAAGCTTTCGATATACTTGATCAGTATCATGCAGTGATTCTCCGCTTTTCGCAAATGGCAGTGCTGATCTCAGTACATCGCATATCTTAAAAACTGGCTCTGCAAAATCCCCACCTCGTAGTCAGACTGTGTACTTCGTTCCTGGCTCGACTTCCGAAGTCGGTCTCAAGGACTTTCGGCGCCTCGTCATTTTGTATAGGAGCTTGCAAGATCTCTAGCACGGGTTCTATCATTATCGCAAGCCGACCACAACCTCGTGTTTTCTGGTCATACACGATTCAGCTCCATGACCTTCGAAACAGCTTGTATCTGCTGTTCCGTAATTCTAAACGATCCCTCAGGGTAGTATCGACTCTGCGTTGAAACAGATGGGGAGCCCAGGCCGAAAGGTGGCCCACTGAAAAGTGCATCGCCAATCTTGTCTAACAGCCTAGTATCTGATTTTGAGGCTAGCTTAACCAGAATGTCGCGACTGATATTTGGCACGGACTTTTGGTCGCCTCTTCCGTAGAAGTTACCGATATTTGAGAGAAATGTTGCGGCATAACTTAGGAACTGTTGCATTTCAGTTTGCTCTATACCTAGTTCTGTGGTCATACCAGACCAGTCACCCTCGCAACTTCGATGTACTTCAAGTATCAAATCAAAGATATCGTTCGCCTCAGGGGAAACCTGCTGGACGATGATCCTCGTTCCGTACCAAGCTGCGCGGGACAGGTGGTGTGCGTACAATTTCTCATTCTCGTCCAAGCTTGCAAAAGGGTTGGCTACCTCCATTCGTGCCACCACGATCTGCGGCTGACGATTCGCACTCGTGGTCGCGTAAGCGAAAATACTGGGTCAGTCAGTCAACCGGTCAGTCGCGGTCAAATGCTGGAGCAAGATAGAAGAGACGCTTTCAAGTCAGCCTGAACGAAGCTATATAGTTTGAAGAAGCCCTGCAGATATTGCTTTGGTAAGGCGTCTCGACCTCTCATCCTCGCAGGCAATAGGCGCATATCGCGCAGCCAGGCTTGAGCTTGTCATTGGCTCAATTTGTTTCACGGCCGACGGAGCAGATCGTCAGAAGTCCTGGTAGGAATCGAGTCTACACCCTCACGTGATGTCGACCGAAGTTTCAGCGCGTCGCGTTCGCGTCTCTGAAAGCGTGTTTGAGCCCATTCTTTGTTGTCGCCAGCCGCTCGTCAAGCACGAACACTACGTTCTGTCAACCTTTTGCACTTCGGCCCTTTTGACTAGGCTAACGGAAAGAGTCAAGATGTGGTTAGAACGATGTCAGAAGGTCGTACACCAACCGCGACACTTACGCAGCAGCGACGACTGGAACCTGATGATGTTGACATACTTCACCAAATTGTGATTAGAGCTCAAAATGATCCCGTATCAGAGGAGAAGCCTAAAGATGCGCTGTTGCAAGCATACGGCGAGATATTTGATGAACGTCGGCTCAGTCAGCACCAGGATAGAGCATGTTTCGACACTCTTCTGAAGCTACTCAATCCTGCAACGCCTGGCGAGTCTTTGTACCATAAATTCGAGAACATTTTGCAGGAGGAGGGCATTGTGCTAAGTTACGATGACGACGCGACCACTCACGATCCGCCTACAGCAGACGACGAACAACTCTCTATTCGAGCAGATAGCGAGCCACTTCGACAGGCTTCAGAAATTCTCGCAGGGGCTGAGGAAGGTGTTACAGAAACAGTTGGCGGCCATGACGATGCACAAGCCATCAAGCAGGAGGCCTGGCTTGACAGCCCACCCTTGTACGTCAACCATCTTCTCCAGCAAGCAAAAGTTCGCGATAGAGCGGTACTTGCAAAGCAGACACTTGATGCTTGGAGATATTCCGTGGAGCAAGTCAGAAACCGACAACTCGAAGCACGTGCGGACGCCCTCTACGAGTTACGACTCAAGCGCAAAGTACTGAAGCAATGCCTAGCTGTTTTTGAAGACTTGCACAACTGTCAAGTCCAGGCCGACCAGATCTATCACCATAATCTTGCACGTAATGCTCTGGGCAAGACAACTGACGAATATCGAGTACGTCGGGTCAGTTCTATGGACGAGGATCGTGTCAAGGGATTATCTCTTTACAAGTGGACTATGGCAAGTCGCGAGACAAACTTTATTCGCAAGAAGGACAGACAGCTCAAGGCGATGATCATGTACAAGCTTGTTGACATATATCGCGTCAAACAGGCCAAGGAAGCACAATTACAAGGGCTACTACATCAGAGAAACGTGCAGAATCAACAGTGCTTACTGCGAGCTGTTGTGACGATGATGGGCGAGAAATCCGCTATTGCAAAGGCAGATGAAGCTAGAGCTGACTTGCAGAATTGCAATACTTTGTGTCTGGCCTCTATCAATGCATGGCGAGTCAAAATGGGAAAGCTCGCTGGTCTGGATCTCACTGCCGAGGACGCTCGCGAGTACTTCCTTATGAAGCGAGTATTAAGGTGCCTGCGGTCAGCCACACAATTTCGAAAGGATAGGCGCAGCTGGCTTGCGATATGGACGGCACGAAAATGGCAAGATTTTGTCAAGGCACGTAAGCATGCGAGATACGATGAAGCCTACAGACAGATGCGAAGAACTATCAAGATGAATCTTGGTCGAAGGCTGCTACTCTTATGGCAGCAGAAACTTCGCGACAACCAAGAGGAGGATCTGAAAGCTGATGCCATCTACCAGACGTCTCTGAGAGATCGTATCGTGCGTCCGTTCGTCGAAGCGTCTTACGATAGGCTGGAGTGGTCTCAGGAAAACAGTACTCGGGCTGACAGGAAGGCCGATGAGTTCTTGCAAAAACGAGCTCTCGCTGCAATACGAATGAGACAGCAGTTGGTACTTGATATGTCCGATAAGGCAGATCGATTGCAGCAGTACAGAATGGAACAGCGAGCAGTCCAAGCCTTGCGTCAAATGCAGCTTAGGGGATTTGAACTGCAACGACGCCAATCTGATGCGGACGCATTCCGAGGTCGACACGACAAAAGAGCTGTTAGGAGCATGCTTGCACAGTTGCGGCACGTCTTTGTTCAGAGAAGAATTGGTTCTGAAGGTGCTTTAAACTTGATGTCTGTACCAGCCGTGACACCCGCACGAAAGAGGGAAGAGCTTCTGCTTAACAGTAGCACGAGATTGAGCACTACTCCTGCTTACACACCGTTCGCTATGAGGCTGAGGCAAGGCTTGAGAACGCTGGAGAACATCGACGACCAGGAAGAAGATGATACGGAAGATTCACAAGTCGATGCCCTTGATGAAGACACAGTCCTGTAAGCATTGGGATTGAAAAAATGGTTCGGTAAAGAGCACATGCTCACTACCCGAAAGCGGCTCAAAGTACGATAAGGGCACGTGGGGAATTTCACGGGCGGCGACTTCCGCAGCGCATTGATTCAAGTTGCGGCACCCAGGCATGTTCAGGTGTTTTGATCGAGTAACAGCTACACATATAGGATCAGTTAGCTCTGATGTACACGAGCACGCCCTGAAAAATTACGTTGCGAGTGATACAAGCCCTTGGGCATCTGCTATAAATGCTTCGCACCACCTGTTCTTGTCGACACTGTCTTCTGTTTGCTCCCTAGCTTACACACAATTAGTCCCTTTTCAACACATTTTAGCGGATTGACGGATACAGCGTGAACAGCAAGATGGAGATAGCGTCTATACCACAAGAAGCGCTTGAAAAGGCAACTGAAGCCATATCACTCATTGACCAGTCCTCGAACTCGACGTCCACGGTCTCTGTCACGAAGGTGCCAGCCTCTCTCATAGACAGCACGTTCTCGACACACACCAACCTGACCACGACAGTGCTTGGTGCTTCTGTATTATCCTTTTCGGACGAATGGTTTGCCGAAGCCAACAACCTCCTCACCCCTACACCTGCGATCAGACGACCGGGAGTCTATGTACATTCAGGAGCTTGGTATGATGGATGGGAGACAAGAAGACACAACTCGAAGCCGTTCGATTGGGTGGTGGTAAAGCTAGGTTGTGTAGGCGTCGTGGATGCAGTCGAGGTCGATACAGCATACTTCAATGGCAACGAAGCTCCTGAGGCAGGCCTGGAAGGATGCTTCATCCATGAAGGCTCAGAAACCGGGATTGAGAAAGAGATTGCAGACGAGAGCTTCACAAGGTGGGAGGAAATACTGCCAAAGCAGCTTTGCGGACCAAGTCAAAGGCAGGCATGGAAGGTCAGTGGTCCTGGTGTTGAGGGCAAGCAATGGACACACTTGAGGCTGAAGATGTTTCCTGACGGAGGCATCGCTCGGTTGAGAGTGTATGGAAAGGTAGTGCCACCACCACTAGTTTCACGTCAGGACAATGAACAACCACTCGAGGACCTAGCTAGTGCACTAAATGGAGGTGTTGCTGTTGAGTGCTCAGACCAGCACTTCGGAGTCAAGTCGAACCTGGTATTACCTGGTCGAGGAAAGGACATGGGCGATGGCTGGGAGACAGCAAGAAGTCGAGCACCAGGTCATACAGATTGGGCAATCATCAAGCTGGGTCTGAAAGGAAAGAGCATCGAAAAAGTTATTGTGGATACGAAGGATTTCAGAGGTAACTTTCCCAGAGCAGTGAAGGTTGAGGGATGGCCTGCTGAACCGTCCAAGGCAGCATTAGGTCTTGATGGTCCACCAAAAGCTGATAGTGCTGGATGGGTATCACTCATTGACGGTGAGAAGAAGTGTCAAGCCGATACGGAACACGTGTTCGAAGGTGATGACCTCGTTGCCAATGTACCACTCCAAGATTGGGTGTGGACACACGTGAAGATGACCATAATACCTGATGGCGGCGTGAAGAGGCTGAGGATATTCGGCAAAAGAGCTTAAATTAGCTTAGATTTATATATGGTGTTTGGTGCATGACCCAGGTATGAGACACTATGAAAAGTTTCGTTATGGTACGTGCGAATATAGTTCACGAGAGGAATGATAGTCGGGTTTCCGATATAAAAAGTATATGAGCGGGAAAAAGAGTTCTATACAGTTCGGTCGACCTCCGCTGAGCCGCACACGCGCTTTCAAGAAGGCTGTTCATGGGTTTGTTCAACCTGGCTTCAAGGAATGAGTATTTCAAGGGAAGCCGAGGTGTCCCGCCATGAATACCAGGATTCTCACATGTCCTCTCATCGATATGATGACCGCATAAGGGTCGTGCAGCGGCGAGAAGGACATTCCTCTTATGCCATTTTTCTGGAATCGACGTGTCTGGACCTCAAAGTTGAGCGCGAAACTTCTTTGCGGAGAGCAGTCGAAGATGGGGCCGATCTCGGCTCAAAGGCCAATGAGATGCCGAGACTTTCACCACTTTTAGCAAAAAGCTGGCTAACAATTTGCTTTGCTCTCATGCTCCAATTCTTGACTCACAAGACTGATTCTTCGCCTTCTATTTGCTGTTCCTCATCCTTTCGCTCAAATCTTTCACCTATACCACACATACCATGGCGATGAAGGCAGCAATACGACCAGGCTCTAGTGCCTTGCGATCAATCTCCAAAAGAAGACCCTCTGCATCACAGTCTTTTTCGAGCACTTCCCCCGCAGCAGCTCTTTCACCGCACAGTCCAAGAACTGCACAAAGGTCCAATGCCGCGCAGTCGAAGAGACCAGCGACGACAGCTGCTGCGCCAGCACCGGAGACACGAGCAGTGCCTAGTCCAGCGTTCAACCAGGACTTTCGTCGCAATGAACCGTCGCCTTTGATAAACAGACAGCAACCTGAGCTGGATGACTCGTACGTTCGGCTTCAAAATTTCGTAGTATTACCTACTAACGTCTTTACAGCTTCGTCGGCCTCAGTGGAGGTGAGATCTTCCACGAGATGATGCTACGCCAGGGTGTCAAGCATGTGTTTGGCTACCCTGGTGGTGCTATTCTACCCGTCTTCGATGCTATCTACAACTCAAAACACTTCGATTTTATTCTACCAAAACACGAACAAGGAGCTGGTCATATGGCTGAGGGTTATGCAAGAGTGACAGGAAAGCCTGGTGTTGTTCTTGTGACATCTGGTCCAGGAGCCACAAACGTCATTACTCCCATGCAAGATGCTCTGAGCGATGGTACTCCTATGGTCGTCTTCACTGGTCAAGTCGTAACGAACGCTATTGGAACAGACGCTTTCCAGGAAGCCGATATTGTGGGCATTTCAAGAGCATGCACAAAATGGAACGTTATGGTCAAGAATGTGGCCGAGCTCCCAAGAAGAATAAAGGAGGCCTTCGAGATTGCTACATCTGGTCGTCCTGGTCCCGTCCTCGTTGATCTGCCAAAGGATGTTACAGCAGGTATCCTGCGGAGACCCATTCCTATGCAATCCACTCTTCCATCGCACCCCTCGGCTGCCACGAGAGTGGCTCAAGAAGTCTCCAAGCACCAGCTACAAAGCACAATCAAGCGTGTCGCGAACCTAATAAACATCGCGAAGAAGCCCGTTATTTATGCTGGTCAAGGTGTTCTAGGCAATCCAAATGGCCCGGCTCTCTTGAAAGAGCTTGCGGATAAGGCCAACATACCCGTCACAACCACTCTCCACGGTCTCGGCGCGTTTGACGAGCTCGATCCAAAGTCGCTACACATGTTGGGTATGCACGGATCAGCATATGCGAATATGGCCATGCAGGAAGCTGATCTGATTATCGCGCTGGGTGGTCGCTTCGATGATCGTGTGACTGGCAGTATCAGCAAGTTTGGTCCAATGGCCAAGCAGGCTGCATCAGAAGGTCGCGGTGGTATCGTCCACTTCGAGATCATGCCAAAGAACATTAACAAGGTCGTTCAGGCAACAGAAGCTGTCGAAGGTGATGTCGGTACCAATCTCGAGCACCTCTTGCCTCACGTTAAGAAGGTTCCAGAGAGGTCTGAATGGTTCGGACAGATTAATAGCTGGAAGGAGCAATTTCCACTTGGAAGCTACGAAAGAGAAACACCTGAAGGACTGATTAAGCCGCAGCAACTGATCGAGACTCTAAGCAACATGACATCGCACATGAAGGACAAGACGATTGTTGCGACCGGTGTAGGCCAGCATCAGATGTGGACTGCCCAGCATTTCAGATGGCGACATCCACGAACCATGGTCACCTCAGGTGGTCTTGGTACCATGGGTTACGGCTTGCCAGCTGCTATTGGTGCCAAGGTCGGAGCACCTGATGCTTTGGTCATTGACATCGATGGTGATGCATCCTTTAACATGACCCTTACCGAGCTTTCGACTGCAGCGCAATTCAATATTGGCGTGAAGGTTATCGTTCTGAACAACGAAGAGCAGGGTATGGTAACCCAGTGGCAGTCTCTCTTCTACGAGGACCGATTCGCCCACACGCATCAGCAGAACCCTGACTTCGTCAAGCTTGCTGAGGCTATGGGCGTGAAAGCGCGCCGATGCTTGAAGCCAGCTGATGTTAAGGAGAGCCTGGAGTGGTTGATTTCCGGCAGTGGCGAAGGTCCTGCTCTATTGGAGGTCATCACTGACAAAAAGGTGCCTGTCTTGCCTATGGTGCCTGCCGGAAAGGCATTGCATGAATTCTTGGTATATGATGAAGGTATGTCTTATTCACTTTCCTTACTTCGCGAGAAATTTACTAACTGTATAACAGCTAAGGAGAAGGAACGAAGAAGAATAATGAAGGAGCGATCTGGGCATTAAGACGATCTGTCAGTTTCAACTTTCGTCACAAAATTTGTATACGTATATCCTGTTGCTTTACGATGTCCGACAAGTGGTGGTGGTTCCTATTAGTCTAGCATTGGCAGAGCGGAAAAGTTGTTTTTCAGAATCGACGGCTTATTGAGCGGATGTTCTTTTTACTATGGCGCTTCATTGAGCGGCAGCCCGCTTATACCTCAAAATTCAACCTTCTTGATTTCTATGGTCGCCTCTTGAGTTTACCTTCTCTTCACATTCGTGAGCTTTGAGTACCTTTAGCGTAATTACTTTCTGTGAAACTCACATGAAAGCATCAATCAAAAGCCGTTTGCTTGTCGAAAACCTGCGACACTTTTGGATTGCACATGGACGGGAACTAGCTGGGCCAAAGCAGTAAATCCACCATTGTAATCTTAGTGTTTAATCGTATCCTCAATCTGTCTTTCATGCCTTGCATGCGTGTCTGAACGCTCTGCATCCACGCTCGGGCTTTGTACACGTCTGCACGATAGCCCGCGTGGCGATCACCACGCGTTCAGCTCGCGTCATCGAGCAATACACCTCTGCTTTCACTGCGCGATATGTACTTAGAGCATTTGGAAAGGTGCTGAAGTTTGCTTGTACGACGTGCTGGAAAGACATGGAGCAATTCGCTGAGCACAACTTCGACCATATGAGACAAGGCAGGTGTGACTGATGTTGTCGATGCCGTCAGCAAGAAGTCGACCCTTTGACAAATGAACTTCAGCCTGCAACAATTACCCACTTCGACAGAGATTCTTGTTCTCTTCGCAGACTCCTAGCTCCTTAGACAGCCGTTCAACGACATGCCTCCTAGAGTATCTGGCCAGCTTGATAGCTTTCAAGCTCGACGGCCTAGATTACACGCCTTTCTCGTTGCATGTGCTCGCAGATATCCGGAACTGCTCTTCGTGGTGATAGCTAGTCAGTTCGGCACCCGTCGAAGGTCACCCTGGCAAAGATTGCTATTGTGGCGATTGACTTGTCTCAGTTTTCTCAGCAGATATGTATTACTAACACTTTCCATGTACTATGTCTTCAAATCGCGAGGTGCAGCAGGCCGTGAAAGGGTGGGTTGAAACCAATGCAACAGTCAGCAGTACAGCATCATAAAAGTCACTCGTACAAGGACATTCTTAAAGACACCGTGGTCGATGGAGCTGCTGATACCACTTTCAGAGGTCAGCAGTATGCGAGAAACACTTGTTGTATTCAAGAACAACGATCGTCGATAGCTGACACTGGCACGCACCTCCACCTTCACTACTAGTGACAAGTCGCAGTTTCTGCCATGTGGGGTTTGTTTGGAACAAACACATCGCTTGGATCTATAATTACGGCGCTCTCTTTCTCTCTTTCCGAGTTTCGGACGTTTCGATGGACCACACTTGCAGATCGGTCATTTGTAATTGCAAGAACATCCACATCACTTGCAACACGATCTACACAGCCATGAGCCAAAGATCGAAACATGGTCGGCTCCCGCCAAGACCATCCGAGCAGACTCGGTGTGATCCTGACATAAGGGCTGTTCTAAAGACCCTGATCGTAGACGGCAAACTCGCAGGTCGGGAACTTAGTCAAGAAAAGGATGTTGCTCAAGCGCAACTCGAGAAAGCTTTTGCCGCGTACCTGGAGCAAGTTCCAGATATCGAAAAGAGGGTCAAGAACAAGATCGAGGATATGAAGGAGATGATGGGTATCATGGGCGCCATCAAGTTTGAAAAGATGGAGGATATAAAAGAGGTGCTCAAGGATCACAACTGGCATACATTCCGTCCATCCGACTCAGACGAACCCTACTATCGAGCCATGTGCCTACGGAAGGATGGAGTATTGTTGGGTATGGATCTTGAACAATATGCGATATGGCAGGCTTCGCCAGGCACAAGAGAGCGACTCAAGGAGATCGCAGAGGGCCGCGCTGAGCAGGTCGAGAACGATTATTGGACTCACGAATCAAACTTCTTTAGCAGCATTGACGGCGACAGTATGCTGGAGCACGCTGTTCACATCGCCCTTGACGGACATGAAGACCAGAGATGCAGCCCAGCAAAAATCTCCGGGCAAGCTGCTAGCTCTGCCGCAGGAGGAAGACGACAGCAAGAAGCTCCTCAACAAGAAGCCTTTAAGATTAGTATGCCCGGTGCTTTCGGAGAAGCTGTCAGATACGAGAGGAGGAGGATGATATATCCTCCTTGCTATTGCTCAGTGTGTTCGAACACATACTGGAACCCCTCGGGCTTCCTTGCTGGCTGTGACTATCGTGAGTGGAGGGAGTACGTTGAAGGTCTGGTGCGGACTATGGTCGAGAGGTGCAAGAGCATCGCTGCAAGCCTTACACAACATGGGGAAATACTTCGCCGCAGATGGGCCAGGAAGTCTGTGGCTCAAAGGCGGAACATCCTTCTGAGCACACACGATCAATTCCCCTCGTACAACCGTCTTGCAAAAATCGTCCGTGGCAACGCGTCTCGTCAAGGACACTGGTCGACAGATCCCGTCGAAAGAAACTTGATCAGGGGGCTTGTTATCTCGAACCTCAATCTCGACGATTTGGCTAACAAACCAGAAGTATTGTTTGAGCATCTTGAGTTAAGATCCGGCTCGCATCCGTCGTTGTTCTTCTTCGCTGACCTTATGCGTACGCAAAGTGCGACTGCATTCGCTCAGCTAAGTGACATATATATGTTTGGAACTTTTGACATCACCGAGACACACTACGGGAAATGGCAAACCTGGCAGGATGAGCCTGTGCACCGCTTCGAAGCAATGTCGTGTCCGTTCGCTATACCAGTGTTCGACGCCCAGTCGTGCGTGCTTGCTGTGCTCTTCCAGGTGGTCCTACAGCTGCAGAATGGACTGACGGTCCCAACTCAGCTGAAAAACTTACCAACAACCCATACAGCTGGAAGTCACCATCAGATCAATCTGCCGACAGTTCTGAACTTCCAATCACTCTTTGTGAAACCTTCTGTACTACGACCTAACCTAGAGCTGGCATTGACCATTGCTCACAGAAAACTTGTCCAGGTCACGAATGATCTACAGAAGTTCAGACAAGACAGTACCGCTATGCTAGAACGCATCGCGCTTTGTTCTTCGTTTATGGAAGCATTGAGAAGTGTCTCAGCGATGAAGAAATCCCATACGGTGTATTTACTGCTCGCTGAACCACACGGTAGAGTCCTTGTATGGCTACACATCCGCAAAATGTTCGACAAAGTGATAAAGCTGCGAGATAGCAAGGATCATAATCGGGCCTTCTATTGTGATGCGATACGCAGATTAATAGAAGTAGTGATAGCTCGAGGCAGAGCGATCGTCAGTATCGCAACTCGCTTGTGTCGGGACCTGGCTAATCAGAAAGCGATTGTACCTGATGAGACGTTGAATGGTTGTTCCACTGTACAGGAATGGTTGGAACAATATTTCTTCGAATCACCTTAGCAGCGATCTCGAATCATCAAGACGTTGTTTATGCAAATGCACTGCAATAGACATACGGGCAGCATGCGTCTCGTTCATGGTTTGATCAAAGACTGGATCGAGGAGGTGACTACTGTGATCAGTATTATCGAGCTTATTGCAATATCTGAGCCGATGCTGGAAATGGACATCACCGCTTTGTATGATCTCCCTACGATGATTGTGGGTGAGAAGTCCAATAAAAAGATTCAATTGGATTTGATCTTTGCAGCAACCGATGCTAGATTGAAAGGTCTTAAGAATATTCTCGATGCAGTCATGGGCGGTAACAGCAAGATCAACACAAGACCCTCGGATCTTGTAACGTTGATGCAGCAACTACCAAAGACGTGGAGTGCATACACGACCGAGACTTGCAGATATTTCCAAAAGTGTAAGTTCTCAGCTTCGTGGATTGCCGCCATACAAGAAGTGTCAAAAGCCACAGCACCAATACAACCCATTGACAAGGTATCCTTGAATCATGTTACTGAAGCACGTCAATCCAGGTCGCCTAGGAAGAGGTCAGAGAATACACAAGAGGCCAACGCCAACCGAGAGACACTCTTCGAGACTTCAATACCTCATCATTGGGGTCCGGACTCTCCTGCTGTACATAAGATGACCAAGAAGAAGCGAGACGAAGTCAATCCAGCATCGGTCGAAGAACAAGACTTCGTTGTGCTAGCGCAGGAGGACATCGTGCGATCCATTGAGATGACAGACCCAGTAGGAATACAAATTTCTGTCAAGGGCAGATACTTACCTATTGTTGACAGCCTCTTCGCGAACGCGCAAAATAACGTCTCCACCGTACGATGGGATAAATTTGAGCTTTTCATGCAGGATGCTGGCCTTGAAATGAAGCAAGGGCAAGGTGCTAGTGTGACATTCTCAGGTAAGAACGTGCTCGACGGACGTGAAGCGAGTCTAGTCATCCATCGACCACATCCTGACCGTGTGCTCAAAGCTGTGCATCTGAGGAACAACGCAACGAAGATTCGGGAACAATTTGGTTGGCAGAAGGAGATGTTTGTGCAGAGGCAGAGATTGAACGTGTGAAGGAAGGAAGCGAAGATTATTACAGGCAGTTGCTCAGACGGCGGTGGATGTTTGAGGTCTTGCTTCGAAGGAGAGGCGACCATGTCAAGAGGGTACTTTGAACAGATTTGGCTGCAATACTGCTTCGAGTTTGGTCACCTTTGCGAATTGCACGATTCTGCAAATCGGTCAAGTATGTAGCTACTAGTCACAATATTCTGGATGTTCTCATGCTATCTGGGGTTCACTTTTATTGTCTCGTGCCAAAATCTGGGTATTTTCCCTGCTTGTAATGCAGTGTCTGAAACGCAATCCGTCTCAGATCAGGCTGGCGACTGGACCCGACGACGGGGAAGCGAACAGAACGGCTTATACCTGCTTGGGGAGTTCGCATCCATCGGGCTTGGGGTCGGGTGTCGGAGTCGCTTCGATGCGTGCTCTCGCGCCCATACCGAGATACAGCATCGTTAGCCCGGCTGACACCGCACATGTCCTCTCCCTGATAATAACCTGTGTTACATGAAGCTCGCAAGTCGTATGTATTGATGTCAGTCTCTTTCGTTGAATCGTGTCTGTATGGTAGCGGAGGGCACAGCTCCGATGGTGGAGCGAGTAATTGCGCGATGGACATTAAATCTGCTTGGCTTGTCTTTAACGCTTACGTAGGAGGCGGGTGGTGAGATCTTATCTTGTGATAACCACTTTATGAGAGATCGCAAGCAGCGTTCAAGCCTTGAATCGTTATTCAGGACGTGCTCATCGGTGACATCTTCCACAACAAGTAGCTGCACATTTTGAGCACGTCTTCCTCACCTCTTGCTCCGACATTCCAGGGAATGATGACGAATTTACAGGGGCGAAGAGGAAAGGTTTTGAAGTGAGGTGTCTCGCTCAGGACGTCTGTTTCATTGGCAATTCGACCAGCATGCTTGGTTGTACACCTGAGATCAACAATCATGTATGAAGAGAAATCTTGATTCTGACTGGAGCGGGCACAACTGCAGCTAAACTAGCCAGGGGAACTCCTCTCCAAGCAACGCCTGAGGATCGTTCTCTCTTGGCACCAGTGGCTTTTGTGCAATTCTAAACAGGGCTAGGCCGGGTACCATGTCGCACCAATCGATAAGCCGATCTCCTGCTGATCTCGTCACAGTTTGGAATCCGGCCCCAGCCTGGTATGTTGTGCCTCGTGCCTTTGTTAGCTGTGTTTCGCCAGCTCAGACATTCCTGGGATTTCATCAATTGCTGTCCTGCCACTGAGTGGTTACCAGGAACCTTTCCGGACTGTTCCAGCCATCCACGGAGTAGAAAGCCACGGATTTTTGCAAGTAGGTCGCATGTTCCTGCCCCGTTGTAGTGGATAAGTGAAGGTGGATTTCGCGTCAGTCTCAGGACAAGATTATTAGCTCCCAAAAGTGTCTGTAACTTCACGGCTACCTACACCCAAGACTTCTTTATCATCTTCTTCACTTCCGTTCTGTTCTGCCAAGTCAAACTGCCGGCACGGGTCCACGCAATCGGGACCAGACTTTCCTGAACTTCATTTCGTCCGTGTTGCTTGATACCGCTGATCTTCCTTCACGCATGTTCTTGTAGACCAAGAACGTCCCTTCCTTACAACAAGCAGGCAGCTTCCACTCTTTGGTCCTCCGTCAGTGTGCGACGTACAACTTTCTTCTCTGGCCGAGCTGGTATCGGTCGATTGCTGCCCGTTTGTGTTATAAAACAAGAGGTTAAACTGGTTCGTTCACAAAGTCCTCATCTTACGACAGCTCCACACGATCAACTGCATACGATCGTAACCTACGATATGAAGAAAACCATTACCTTGACCAGCATGCTGGTAGCAGTATCTGCCGCAGGAGGCTATGGTAGTAACCCCAGTGGCTCTCCAGAACAAAACCAACAGACCGAACTCTACCTCGCATACCTCAACAAGTCCTTGGCCGAGAACTATCTTTATGCTCTCATTGCATTAACAGCTCTTGTATTTGTCTATCACTCCTCAGTGCGAGTCAATAACCATATCCGACACCTCTCTTCCCTCAATGGCAACCCTGGATCTCAGAAATACTTCTCAACCTTGTCGCCAACCATGGCCTGGATGAAAGATCATATACTCTTAGCTCCACTTTGGCATCATCGCAGAGCTGCGCCAATCAAGTTCAGCAGCAAGATCAATCTAGGAGGACTGCCAACCAGATTTCAAGCTATCTTCATCAGCTTTGTCATTATCTACAATGTCTTTGCATGTGTCTGGAACGTACCGTGGTCAGATCCTGAACTTCAAGTGTTACCTATCCTGCGAAATAGAACAGGCACGTTAGCCACTGTCAACCTCATCCCGATTATCATCATGAGCACCATCAAGAACCCTCTCATCAATGCTCTCGATATCAGCTACGACTCCTTCAACCTTATGCACCGCTGGATCGGTCGACTTAGCATACTCCAAGGTCTTGCTCATACTCTCTGTTGGATGATTGCCAAGGTCAAGAAGGGCGGCTGGCCTGCCGTTACGGCTTCATTTACACATTCGTCGTTCATATATACTGGTCTGATCGCAACTGTCGGCTTCGTCGTTCTCGGATTGCAGGCTCCAAAGATGTTCCGCGCTTTAGCATACGAATTCTTCCTCCACTTCCACATCGCTCTGGTAGCCATGACATTCGCTGGCCTGTGGATCCATCTGGAAGCATTCCCTCAACTCAAGTATCTCCTCGCTGCCATAGTCATCTGGGGTGCTACACGACTCTGGAGATGGGCGACAATGTTCTACAGATCCTTTGCATCAGGTGGACGTTCCTGCAAGGCGATCATCGAAGCACTGCCAGGTGATGCGATGAGAATCGAGTTCCTTCTTCCTCGACCTTGGAAGGCTCAGTCTGGTCAAACTCTCTACTTTGGTGTCCCAAGTGTCGGCTGGTCGACGATGCATCCATTTTCTGTCGCTTGGTCCGAAACATACACGCACGGCGGCTTGTCCCGTAATGCTTCAACAAAAACAACCTTTACAAATCGTGCTGACCCAGAGAAGCACACGCTGAACCTTCCGTCGTCGCGCGCGAGAGATATGGACATTGAGGGACCAAAGCACCACTCATTCAGCCTCATCGTCAAGAAGTATGACGGCTTTACCCGTAAGCTGTACGAGAAGGCTGCTCGACAACCCCTAGGCACACCACTGACTATCAGTGCTGTCGTCGAAGGACCCTATGGCCACGCAAAATCATTGAACAGCTACGGCACAGTCTTGCTATTCGCATCGGGCGTCGGCATCACACACCAGATGTCATACGTCCGCGACCTCGTGCAAGGTTATGCCGATGGGACTGTGGCCACTAAGCGAATGACACTTGTCTGGGTCGTCCCTGATACTGAATGCCTCGAATGGGTGAGACCATGGATGCACGAAATCCTAGGCATGGACAAGAGGAGGGAAGTGCTAAGGGTTCTCTTGTACATCACGAGAGCCACACTCCGACAAGAGATCAAGAGCCCAAGCGAGACCGTTCGCATGAGCAGAGGCAGACCGGACGTTCTCAAGATCATGACTGATGCTGCCCGAGAACAAATCGGTTGTATAGGAGTTTCAGTCTGCGCTGGTGGCGGGCTTGCCGATGAAGTAAGACGTGCCTCGAGGTTCGTCGTTGGTTCAGGCGTCAATCTTGACCTGATCGAAGAGGGCTTCGGCTGGTAAGACCTGTCGGATATCGATCTGAAAGAATGTTCATTTGAGCGATTTCTTGTACGTCATCTAGGAGGGCTATTCTTGGGCTACCAGATCTCGACAGCAAGGTGAACGGTTCGTACATAGTCTCTCATTACCACATGGATCTCCTGGCAAGAGCCGGAGAACAATATCAGGCCATGTCGTACCTGAGCATAGTCTTCAGTCTTCTTGATCTGCGCAACTCTTGCTTTTGACCATGACGATCTCAATGTTCCGAGCTAGACCTTCTTGACTAGTATGACAATTAAACCTCTAGCTACAATGCCTTACTTCTTTCCTTCTTGATCCTACTCAACCTCCTCCTCTCCCTCCTCCATGCCACCACGGCACACAATACTCTTCACTCCACCTCCTACCAACACTACTCCTCCGCCACCCAACCAAGCCCTCATCATATTTAGGATCAACCTTCAGTAATCGGGGTGCTCCTCGTATGTGCAATAGGCGAATGAGTGGTTGGCCGCTGGTTGTACTGTCCGTGTCTAAGTCGAAGTCTGAGTCTGAATAGGAATCTTCGTGGAGTTTCTTTCTGGGACCTTGACTTGTGCAGTTGGTGCAATTTAGTCTGTTGATGAGTCTGCTGCATGTTTGGAGGAGACCCATTGTGGGTGGGTGAGGTAGGGAGGAGGTTGTTGAGGTGCGGTAGGTAGCGACAATGCTGGTAGTAATGGTGTTTTAGGTTGTTGGTTGTGGTTGTGGTTTGTTGATAGACTGAGGATATTTGTTCGAGGTGATGATGCTGTTCTTGAGGATAGACTAGGGGTGGCAAAGGTGGTTGCTTGAGCATAGACTACTCTCGTGAGAGTCGTTGTTATGCACAAGACCGGAGAGTATGACGTTCAAGTTGCACCTGCCGAACAAGTCTGATAAGAATTTGTGCAGGTGCGACCCTGTAAGGCGCATTTGCCTGCTCATGCACTTGGTAGATTTGGTTGTGGTATAGCCATGACAATCATCTCTTTAACCTATAGTCAAGGATTCAACTTCACAAACAGCCCAGTCTGAGCAAGAACCCAAGCATTCTTCACCTTCCACCTACTCTTGTCCACAAGCTGCATGTTCGGAAACTTCATGATCAAAGCAGGAACTACCTTGCACATCTCCATCATCGCGATGTTCTTGCCCAAGCAACTTCTCTTCCCTGCACTGAAGGTGAGCAAGTCGTGTTCCATGGTCTTTAATTGAGCGTCGGTGTTGCCTCTTGAGTTCTTCAGGCTGGAGTTCGAAGGTAGCCAACGCGCTGGGTCAAAGGAGTCGACGTTGGATGGAGAGGATGAGTCGGTAAAATTAGGATCGAAGACTCGTGGGTCACGGTGAAGGACATAAGGGTTGATACCGACTATTGTGCCTTGTTTAAGCACGATTTTGTCTTCGCCGTCTGGCGAATGTAGAGGTAGACCGGCTGGATCTACTACGACACGTTCGAGTGGGAGGGAGAGTGCTGGCCACAGACGTATAGCCTCTTTGATGACGCATCTGGTGTATACCAAGTGTTCCGACTGAGACTCGTGCCAGGTAGGACAGGACATGGTGACAGCTCCGTTATCCTGAGCTGTTTGAAGTTCTTGTTTTAGCGTTGCAAGCTCTTTCGGATGAGTAAGTAGATAGTAGAAGACGGCTCTAAGAGTGGTCGCGATTGTGTCTGCACCTGCATTAATGTTACCAAACATGAGCGAGAGTAGCAGCCCATCCGTCATAGGCTCTGTTTCCTCGTCGCCAGAAGCTTGACTCTTTGCTTGCAAAAATCGTGCCAGGAAATCTGGCTTGCCTATCGCGCTTTCCTTCTCTGACTCCTTGCCACTTTCCAAATGTTGTAGTCGTTCCTGTAGCAACTGCTGAGCGAACTTCAATATTGGACTCGAAACATTCTTGCGAAAGTATTTGACATACATAGGATTCTTTCCGAGCAATTCATCTAACCATGGCATCTGGCCAATGACTGAGAAATACTCAAAGTTCGCATCAATAGATTTCATAATATTATTGACATCCATGCCTTGTTCGATGAAGCCTAGCCGTCTCGACATGGTGAGCTCGCCCATCACATCAAAGGCATATGCCTGCAGATAGAATCCAAGATCAATTTCCTTCTTCTCAGCTGCGAAGCGTTGCTGCAAAGTGTCTAAGAAAAAATTGGTAGTGCTGTCGACGAGTGGCTCAAACTCCACGAGAGTTGAAAGTGCATAAGCATTGGCAACAAGCCTCTTCATCCTGGCATGTACAGCCTCGTCCGTGACGGCCACTAGACTAGCAGCTCTGCGCCCATTGACAATGTTTTGGAAAGTTGCATAGAAGTTGCTCTTTGGGAGTTTCTTGTCGATGGCGTAGATTTGCTGAATGTAGCCTGGACCAGAGGCAGAGACTAGGTTTGGCCCTAACCTAACCAGATCTGATCGTCCTCGATATCGTTTATGAAGCTTGTCCTGTTCTTCATGAGTGTTTCGACCGTAGACGGACAGTAAGCGCCATAGATCGGTAAACTTGGCTAGAAGTGGACCGGGTATCCGAGATGGCACAAGGGCGTAGGTATTGGAGAGATAAATCAACAGTAGCAATGGCGTTATCCACAACAGCAGTGAGAATATCATCTTGAGGTTTGGCCCTTCTGGACACTGGTGCTGGAGTGGTGGGACTCGTACTAAAAATGCTTGTGCTTCACAACTTTCCTTGTATTGGCTTGATCACCTAGCTATATCAGGTTGGAGTTGTTGGTATACTAATTGTGCAAGGACACCTCGGTTGGCCAAGTAATGCCTTCATGCCAGCAACAGGAAGAAGGGGACAATAATACGATTGAGAATGGACGAGTTAAAACCTGAAAATTACGTTGCCATTTAGCGGAAACTTTCCGCTGAATAGGAAGTGCGGGATGCGAGGTCATTGTAGGTCAAGTTTGTGATATTGCGGCAGGAAAGAGAACAACATTGTGGCGTTGATCTTTCCTCCCAGCTGGCGGTGCATGGTGCACATTGCGGAGAGCTGTACGTGTTCTGTGGCGGACATCGCTGATTTCCCAAAGTGACATTTCACACTTGACAAAAGCTTGTGGGCTCTCTTTGGCCCACGACAACACAATCGACGTTGTGTGCACAAGCCTTGACGTGAAAGCACCCAACTGTAGCACCTCAGCACGTTTCAATACCTTGAAGTCAACTCCTGTATGCCTAGATCACGTGCTTCGAGTTGGGCGGTCGTGTACTGAGGAGTGAGCAAGCCAGAAGTTTGCACACAGGAGGACGTGGTCTTTGTTCCCAGATTGACCTCGGAATACTGTAGGCAAGTTGCACGTACGCATATTTGCAGCAACACAAATAGCATATCGCCCAAGCACAGCCCGACATATTGGAAATCTGTTGGTGCTACAAGTACGGCCTGGATGAAACCATTCTGTCCAGACCACTGGTCGCGTTGAATCTTGGTTGCTTTTCAGCAAGTACCAGATCTCTGGCAACCAGTGTCGCACGGAGCCGCTATACACCACTCATCTTTTCGAATCTTCATCTAGCGCATGTTCGATGGGATCGTAAATTATTTGGCTCTTCCAGGCGGGGAGTTTTGAACATACATGTTCGGCATGTGCAATCATTCGGAATCAGAAGCTGAACCTGCGGCTTCGTCGTCGTGGTTGTCATCTCTTCGTAGACCTTCGTTGAGAATATATTCTTCCTGCCTGAGAATAGCTTTGACACCGTCACATCTTGGAGTGCATACGTCTGCTGGTTTGTGGCTGTGACTGTCTTTGACTCTTGGATCTGCACCAGCTTCGATCAACATTTTGACCATCGCCTCACCCAGCTCCAACTCCCTCTCATTGGCGTAGCGGACTGCACTATGTAAAGGGGTTTCTTTGTCTCGTCTGGTCAGAGGGTCGACTTCGAGAAACTCGACGTCAAGCAGCTCGTTCATAACATCGTCTGTATCATGATCAGCAACGGACGATATCGTATTTGTAAAGTGAGCCCTTACACGAGCCGTAACTTGCACAGATATGCAGCAAATGGTTGCCCAGGGTGTCGAGTACTTCATTGAAGAACTTTGCGACTTGCTCCTTCGACTTGCCTTTCATACCACCCAACACCTCGTTGTAGAGGTCGACGTTGTCACGACGACATGCTTCGATGATTTGTTCTTTGGGAGAAGCCCCCTTCCGTAGTGTTAGTGGCACCTATTTTGTGCTAGCTGACGGGTCAAACATACATCAGCGTCAGCCATTCTACGACTTCAATAATTGAAGAAAGTAGTGGCAGGAATGTCGCTTGATTGTGCCAATTGTCAGAGGGACGACTCGGATTCTTGCAGTGTTGAGTGCTCAAAACCGTGCTCCGCGGAGTGTCTCGGTGCTGGTATGAGCGGGATTGACCACAAGGTATTAACATCAAACGAGAATTCCTGCTTCGGTCATAGCATGCCTGACTCTCACAGCCACCTGCGACGTGTATCCCGGTACACTGACCCCACGCCTGCGACTGGCCTATTTCGAGGAGGGCAGGGACGGCAATTCTTCGGCATATCTGGACCAAAAACGTTTCGCAGCCGACGAAGGAAACTTGTGTCTGGAAGAGAAGGCAGCTCTTGTCCAGACTCGCAGACAATGCGCAAGACTCGCGTTTTTGCATCAAGCACGGCTCTTGTGTTACCACTGTAACAGGGACACGTCCAGCATGGCGCCTACATGCAAGTGCATCTGAGCCAACGACTGTCCGACTGCTAACGGCTGAAGTCTGTCCTTACTGCTGTAACTGTCTAACAATACAGCCCGCTACTGATGACCCTCAAAATCGAAATGCCTTTACCTGTCGAACATGTCCGTATCAGTTTGTTCTCGATCAGCCATATTTTGAGCGCACCTACATGAAGCGAAAGCAGAAAGACGATATTATGGGAGAGGATCAGGGCGATTTGCCAACTGTCGAGGGTATGTGCATTACCAGCCTCGATATAGTAATCTAATCTCCTTCGCAGTTCCAGGAGGCTGCCCGGCAGAAACTTGCACATCCAAGCAGGCATATTTCTATCAGTTACAGACCCGAAGTGCTGATGAGCCTCCTACCTCATTCTACAAATGTGTTGAATGTTCGAAGCAATGGAGAGAATACTAGACAACTTGAGTTCAAGAGCTTGCAGGGCATTCGACCAAGAAAACCACTTCAAGCCATCGACCCTAATCTTCTTACCTCCATCCGTACAGTACTGCTAGCACTGCTGTGTTATACGCGCACCTTCGTTCGATTACCGAGCAGGAACAACGACGTCAAGACTGGCTTGCTGGACGGCAGCGGCACTGCCCAAGCACCAGGCGTCGAGGGACAGCAATCGAGCTGTTTAACAGCCTCTGGCCGAGCAGTCGAGCAGTGGCTAAAACCTGGCTCATCTGCACTGAGCCGGCGTCATGAACCATGTTTTGAGACTCATGTGTGAAACACGAGAAGATTTGGCAAGTAGAACATCAGGCTTGAAGCAAGAAGTCGCAAGAGAGCCGTCCTTTGGCAGGATGTGTGGGATCGTCTGTGATTGATTGACCTTGCTTCATTGGCACAAATACAATACCTTGTGCCGAAGCCTCTGGTTCTGCGAGCTTGGGACCTGGCGAGGTTCGTTGGAGACGCAGGCACTCGTGTCTACTCACGGCTGAGTCACCACAGAAATTGTACGATTGACACTTCTGAGTCAAGAATGTTTGGACAACCCCGCTATAGCAAGAACTTTGGCCAGGCTGTCTGCTGCTTTTTCAAAAATAGGCTAGATGCTCTATAGTGAAACAAGTCTAAGGACTTTTTCAACCATCGGTGATGCATGTGCAATTTTTTACACGGTCTGCGGCCTGGTAAAAGTGAGTGTTCAAAGCCTATGACAACCGTGTATTCCATCATTCTCTATCCAAGACTCCACCACAAAAGTGGAGCCTTATTTTCGCACACTGTTTAAGAGTCTTCTCCCTGCGTTCTTCTTCTCAATCTTTTCCTTTCTTCTTCCGTCGCTCACACCTCTACGCAAAAGCCGTGGTATCTGAGCATTTTCGCGAGGTTTTCTAGAATCTTACAAAGACCTACAAAACTTCTAAACAATACATATCAAACGCCAACATGGGGTAAGTCAAGTTCGCCTTCCAAATCAAACTGGTTAGGAATTCTGTGCAAAGCAGTCTGCGCAGTTGTTACTTCTATTGAAGAGTTGTCCACTAACATCTTCGACAGTAAGGAGAAGACTCATATCAACGTCGTTGTCATCGGACACGTCGACTCCGGCAAGTCCACCACTACTGGTAAGCCTACACAATGTCAAGAGATCGGATCACACAATACTTATACACTCCAGGTCACTTGATCTACAAGTGCGGTGGTATCGACAAGCGAACCATCGAGAAGTTCGAGAAGGTACGTTCAGAAATGTACTGCATGTTGCCTCTCATGTTGCCATCCCTCAAAAATATTAAATATTTTGGCGGGGTTGCAGCGTGGGGCAAACCGGCAGTCCAAAATTTTTGCTAAGGGCAACAATCACTAACGCCACATCACAGGAAGCCGCTGAACTCGGCAAGGGCTCCTTCAAGTACGCATGGGTTCTTGACAAGCTGAAGGCCGAGCGTGAGCGAGGTATCACCATCGATATCGCTCTGTGGAAGTTCGAGACACCTAAGTACAATGTCACTGTCATCGATGCCCCAGGTCACCGTGACTTCATCAAGAACATGATCACTGGTACTTCCCAGGCCGACTGCGCTATCCTTATCATCGCTGCCGGTACTGGTGAGTTCGAGGCTGGTATCTCCAAGGATGGTCAGACTCGAGAGCACGCTCTGCTTGCCTACACCTTGGGTGTCAAGCAGCTCATCGTTGCCATCAACAAGATGGACACCACCAAGTGGTCCGAGGATCGATTCAACGAGATTATCAAGGAGACCTCCAACTTCATCAAGAAGGTTGGTTACAACCCAAAGACCGTCCCATTCGTCCCCATCTCCGGCTTCAACGGTGACAACATGATCGATGTCTCTTCCAACTGCCCATGGTACAAGGGTTGGGAGAAGGAGTCCAAGGCCGGTAAGGCTTCTGGCAAGACCCTTCTCGAGGCCATTGATGCTATCGACCCACCATCCCGACCAACCGACAAGCCACTCCGACTTCCTCTCCAGGATGTCTACAAGATCTCCGGTATTGGAACGGTTCCAGTCGGTCGTGTCGAGACCGGTATCATCAAGGCCGGTATGGTCGTCACCTTCGCTCCTGCCAACGTCACCACCGAGGTCAAGTCGGTCGAGATGCACCACGAGCAGCTCACCGAGGGTGTTCCAGGTGATAACGTCGGTTTCAACGTCAAGAACGTCTCCGTCAAGGAGGTTCGACGAGGAAACGTCTGCGGTGACTCCAAGAACGATCCACCAAAGGGCTGTGACTCATTCAACGCCCAGGTCATCGTCCTCAACCACCCTGGTCAGGTCGGTGCCGGTTACGCTCCAGTCTTGGATTGCCACACTGCTCACATTGCTTGCAAATTCTCTGAGCTTCTCGAGAAGATCGATCGACGAACTGGCAAGTCCGTCGAAGCCTCTCCTAAGTTCATCAAGTCTGGTGATGCTGCCATCGTCAAGATGGTTCCATCCAAGCCAATGTGTGTTGAGGCATTCACTGACTACCCACCTCTCGGTCGATTCGCCGTCCGTGACATGAGACAGACCGTTGCCGTCGGTGTCATCAAGTCCGTCGCCAAGTCCGACAAGTCTGGTGGCAAGGTCACCAAGGCCGCCCAGAAGGCTGGTAAGAAATAGATGTATTGTCATGTGTCACAACACGTTTCGGGGAGTTCATATGATGGTGTGGATGGATTGGATTCTGGTCTTGTCCACTACAGCGTTGTTTGCCTTCGACTGGCATGTTTAACAATCTTCTATTATGATACCACAAAATCTTTCACAAAAAGCTTTGAGCACATGATCACGACTATTGACGACTGATATGAGCTCTGAGATATTACGATGACAAGGGAACGATTATCAGTTCCATAGCTGGATGGGGTCGAGATTCTAGCATAGGGAAATGCAATAGCACTTTCCAACATTCGTCTCTTCCATTTCTGTCTTTTGTATCACTGCCAGTCATGGTGTCGGGTCTCCCAACTGTCCATCCCACCTTGATCTGGCAGCAGAATTTGTACTCTCCACGCTACCACTGCATTGATATACATGTGCGCAGGTGTTATAAGTGATGCTCATTCCCCCAATTTCCTCATTCGATGTTCCTAAAATTTACTCACCACTCCAAGCTGCTAATAATGGTCAATATCAGGTGAAAGCTACCCCAAAGCACGTATCGAAAGACTTGACTGTCGTGGGAGAAAGAAGAACACAGGAAAAGCGTTCCTGAGCTTCTGGTCGTAAAACTATTTATCATTAATACGCTTGTTTGCGTACCTGCCATCTACTCATTCTCGACACTGTCTAGATTTTATTTGTGCATAGTCATTATGGTAAGGAAAATCGTCGTTAGAGAAAGAACGCAGGACAGATAGTGGCGTGTTTTCGTAAAGCGTTAGCACTGATTCAGAACACTTCGTAGTCTCGCCTCATGTGAATTTCATTCAAGCTCTTTCTCGTTTAGCTTAAATTCCTGAAGCATGATTTTGGTCTCATACGTACCTATCTGGCCATTCAAGTCAAGCGCCTGCGATGGTGCTTTGCCCGCTTCCACCACGTGCATTCGCATTTGCAAGGTTGGGACTTGCAGGTAGCACCCAGTCTCCTAATTTGAGGGGATCGCTAGGCTTCCTGGGTACTGACGCCGTTAGAGAAGCTGTTGGGATTATTCTTACGATCGTCGTTCGTGTTGTTTGCGAATCGCCATGCGTGCCGTTGGTCAGACTGCTATCTGTTGGTACTGGTGACCCGGACAATGAGCGTGACGCTGTCGCTGCAGGAGCGGACCTGATGGCACTTGGAGTGGTGATCGCCTGGCCAATGGAAGAGGAGTAATCGGAAGTGTCGATCTTAGAAACGACACCATTAGAAGCAGGTGTGAGTGCTCTACTTGTGTTGGCTTCGATTGGTGTACGAATACTGTTCGTGCCATTGACGCCATTGACTGGCGAGTGATCGCGGAGAATAGTTACGCGACGCGACAGGCTGTTGTGCACGAAGCTGCCATCGACTGAGGATAGATCGAAAACTGGTTCGTCATCGTCCTTACTGGATGTGGCATCTGACTGCATGACTGGGTGTGATTCTTTAGGAGAGGTAGGAGAGTCGCTAAGAGGCTTCTCAACGGCAGGCGTCGAATTTTGATGAATGGACTGTTGATCGTCATTGCTCGCTGTTATCGGTGTGTAATCTTCTGTACCCTGGGCAAGTCGAGATGATTTAACCGGACGATAGTTGTTTGGCAGCGAATAGTGCCTCACTTGTTGTGCTTGGTATGCACCTTGAGACTGTCCTTGTAATAGTGATGAACTTCGTTCCTGCTGCTGCGCGATCTCGCGAAGACCGTAAAGACTTACGAACCGCTGCGCTTGATGTGGAGGGAGATTCTGAGATGACATCTGTTCTTCTGCATTCGCATCATCATCTGTCTCCTTAATCTTTGCATGCAGACTGCCAAATCTACTTAGGCGGGGGTCAGTTCTTGACCTTGGCATGATAGCTAGAGGCACAGAACCGGGACCTATGACATCCCCCAACTTATTCACAGCGACGCCCTTCATCTGCTGAGCTGTATTAGCACCTGATATAGGCGTGTTCATTGGCTCGATGCGGGCTTGTTTAGTCTCATTGCCCACCTCCATAGGTATTATTGGTGTATATCTTCTTGCACCAGTACTTATTGAGCTTGATCTTTTTCGCTGGTTGGAAACCGATTTGTTTGCTTCCAAGCTAAAATTTGTTCTCAGGTTTTCGTTTTCCAAAACAGGGCTCAGATCTGAGTCAAATCCACCTGGCTTCGTGACGCGACCACAGCAATTGCAGCGCGAATAAGATGGCACTGACGAGCTGAGGGACAATCCATCGGTATCTAGTCCAGGGTGTAGATCTAATTCCCTTCGCTTGCCTTTGCTAACGGATGAGGACGAGTCCCGAACCACATCAGCCGATGGCTGCCCATCTGTACTTAGTGGTCGAACAGCTGGGTGCTGGCCATATTCGGTGTCCATGTCTGCCGACTTCCTTCCTTCCTTGAAAACGGATGTTTTAGACGAAGGCAGCTCATCCTTCAGGGTATTTCGCATCAGTGGTGGCTCACCAGGTTTAGTGTCAGAATAACTTATGGCGTGCAAGCAGTACCCATTTTTGGGAGCCATAAGAGTACGCCTCCGATGTTCCTTTCTCAATGGAGTAGGTTCCTGGTCTTTATCAGGTGGGCCTGTCAAAGTTTTGCGCCAGACTTTGTGTTTCGCTTGTTTCTCAGAGGTCTCTGCATTGACCTTTTCTCCATTAGCGTCTGATTCGACTTCTGGAATGTCAGATGTGACAGGTTTGCCTCCACTGCCATTGGAGCCCACTTTATTCATATCGGGCACCTTGCCTCCCTCCATTGATACTGGGGAATCTGAGACTCTAACTGGACTATGGTCTCGTGATGGGTTGTGACTTATAACGCCAAGAGGTTGTTGGCGTGGTTGCGTGTCGACAACACTAGCGGGGCTGTCGTCGTTCGCAAGAGGCTCCAACGTCGTCTTCTGAGGTGACGAAGTCAGTGTAGACTGGCGAGGTCGTGAGAATTGGGACAGCGGATTAGATACGATATTTTGAGGTGGATGCTGTAGCATGGTCAGAGACCCAGTCCTTGTAATCTCTGGCCCACGATATGTCGCAACACCACGGTAAGAGTTCGCGCTTGGCGATCGCGAATTGACGATACCATTAGAAAGGTGTGGCGCTTGGACATGCGAGATGGGTTTCGGAGCGTGAATTTGTCGTGCACTAGCGTTTGATCCTCTTCTCTCACTCGAAGGTGAATGAGGTGGTGTTGGCAATCTGGCGGCGGACCCGTGACGTTGAGGAGCAAGTTGATGTGGCGAGAAGGGAGTATCTGGAGTCAGAGGTGGTGTACTGGAAGGCACTCGATCCGAGCCACGTATGGAAATTTGGTCAACGCTGCGAAGACTAGCAGATTTCGACACATCAGCACTATGGTTCAGCGAGCGAATCTCGGCGGGCGTCAGTTTGGCGACTTTGTGCTTTGGTGTTAAGTGGTGTCGATGTTCCTGGTTCAGCCTTTTCTGCAACTTGGCCATGTCGAAATCATCTAAGTACAACCAAATGGTCAGTAAACTAGATTGGCATATGTCAAGGGCTTCTGCGGGGGAATGCTAAGAGAGTTTCGCGAGCGATCAACGAATGACAAAGGAAAACGATGAAATGAGCATTCGGATGTGAACTGGATATTACTGATAGTAGGAGAGTACCAACCATGTCGCTTATTTAAAGATAGACCTTGTTTTTGGGTGGTGACATTGTCATCGGAAGACATGCTTGCCCACTCGTGCACAGTGGCTGAAGACAGGGTGCAAGGAAGAAGTCCGTGGCGAGAAATGTCCCGGGAAGGTCTGCGCAGTGCTGGGCTTAGCTGTTTCTGCAACCCTGTACTCAGGGCAAGGTCTGAGGGCCACCCACTAACAGTATCGATAATATGATGATTCTGCTGTAGGACATGTATCAAGCTGAGGTCAACACTATGCGGGTTAGACGTTCAAAACGGTGTACCGTGGTACTCATGAATTGGAGCCTGTTGGTGCCGGAGGCCAGTGTTGAGAAACGTTGCTGGCTAACCGTAAAGAGAGAGTCAAAGCCGGAGAGGAGTATCGTGGTTGGTTGCAAAGGGTTGGAAATACGTCGTGCTTTGGACACTCGTGGCAGGATGATGGATTCAGAAACAGGTCCAGTCGCAAAGTGGACTGTGTATTCGTTGTTTAGCGAGTACCAGAATAAGGCGTATCGATGACTGGTACACGAATAACCTCGCGTCTCTTCGACCCGAATCAAGAAGTTTCGTTGGTGTAAGAAAGGAGCGGAATCGTGGGTGCTTCCGAGGTTGTTTCACTGTATCAGTGGCTGGAAGTCCAATATGGCAAGCACGAGGACGCGACAGGGTTGAGTAGCAAGAGCACATGTGGTACACACCAGCCTGCTTGAATATATGGTGCCCTCCCGGATTTGAGATAAACAGAGACTTGAAAAGCTTCAGGAAATGCAGTCATCTGCCTTCAGTGCATTGTGATGCTTGCATTGGTACTGATCTCACCTGGCATGAAAGCTTACGAAGCCCAGGTGCCCAAGAACAGGAAGAGTTGGGTGCGCCATGATCCATTCATGTCTTACCTTTCAAGCCTCGTAATTGGGCCAATCGTGGATCGGAGCTATTGGCAATGCTTCTAAGCTCGATTGGGCTGGCTGGCGCCGACGAAAGGAACTCTAGCTCACGCCCATTTCGCGTCCGGTATCTCAGATCTCTGGCTCTTGGCAGCCAAACTTGATGATCTCTTATCACACAACTCTAGCACTCTAAGCCTTGCGTTCTACTGGTATCACACTAGGTTATGACAAGCCTCGCCGTCTGTTTCCTACAACATCTTACACATGAGATCGTTATGGCAGCGAGTGAAGAAACCCAAAGTGGAGACGTGCCGGACATCCCCAGAGAAACGGCGAGCTGTTCAAATTTCCAGCATCGATATTGAGCGTTGTACGACCGTTCTGGAACAGGTATCACGTTAAAAAACCGCCACACACCAGACGAGTGGAATGCAGCTAGCAGCGTCAAATGCCGCATGGCGACAACTTACCACCTTTGTTGACGATCATCGTGAATCACAAGGCAAGACCGGTGCCATCTCCTGTCCATCTGTACAATTTGAGGATCTCTCGACGCCACTTTTGTTGTTGCTCTGTAGCATCTTCTCGTATTCGACCACGAACCTGCTGCAAGGCTGATCGCATTACCTTTCTGAAGTTTAATTGATATTGTGTCGACAGCGTTGCAATTGAAGCCTCGTGGGCACGCACAATTGTTTCACAGGCCTTGACAACATCGGCGCTAACATCACCTTGTAGCTTTTCTGCAAAGAGCAGAAGCAAGAAGCTTCCTTGCAAGAGATAAATGCCGAAGAAGAACGGCATGAAGCTTAAATCAGGGTCGTGTTCAATAATGTCAGCAACTGCTTCAGCTGCTTTCACTGCATTTCCAGTTGCGTTCACAAAAGACTGTGACGAAAGCCACATCATGTCATCCAGAAGAGCGATGGGGTCACATCGACCCGTCAGTAGAATGTGCAGAACGTTTAGGATGTGCGTGCCATACGACACGACGGTTTTCGTCTGCAGGCTGAGCTCGGCAGAGTCCTGCTCCGTACCACATGAAGCCACACACGGTGTTACGGTATCGCTTAAATTGTGCTCTAATTCCTGGTTGTGTGATCTCTCAAAAGCCTGTAGACTTTGACCATAGATTTCTAGTTGTTGAGTTATCTCATCAACACGATCGTCCCAATTTCGTGGCTGTCGCGCCTTAGGACCAAAGCGAGGACGGTTACGAGCGTGATTAAGGTCCAAGATCTCCCCTAGAATGACCATCAAAGGTAAGAAATAGCCAAAGACACTGTGTGAAGTGCACTCGATGTTGAGACCACGTTTGCGATTCTTTGAATGTACAGTTTCAAAACGTCCTGACTGCCAGACATCATCATCCAGTGGCTGCAGGAGATCCTCACACTCCTTGTTGAGAAAGGACGTGGGGCGGTTGTAACATAACGCCAAATGCCTGTCTTGCATGTACAGCAGCCACCAAGCTCGACGTCGTTCTTCCCGCTCCTCCTCAGTGACGTGTGCCAGGCGAGCAGCAGGCTGACGAGAGTTGTCGCTGAAGGAGGTCTTACGATTCTCGGTTTCGCCAGCTGCGTGGTTCCCCGCGGCAGATGTCGATTGGTCGTCAAGTGTTTCTTCTGGGAGTTCGCGTCCAAGTCTTAGTTCCCTAGCCAATGACCATGCTGCATTCCACCAGCGCAAACTGGCTGCTTTTCTTTCACTAGCAGATACGACCGTTGCAAGATGGATATATGTGGCCAAGTTGTCGATTTGCCCTCGGCGTGCCTGGTTGTTCCCATTGTGATCTGTGGAGACCACAAGACTTGCTAGACCTGCATCTGTTTGTGTCCCTGTATTGTATCCAGCAGTTCCGATTACTATACCCGAAGAATCATGGATCAAAGGGTTCAGCATGTTGATGGTCAGTTCTAGCAGTTTCTGGCAGACCTTTCCTCGCGCATCAACCTGAGACGTCAAGAATGCGGCGTCGCTGACCTGCGCCGATATCCACAACATACTTGCTAGTAAAGCTGGGGTGCAGGGGCGCGGATCAGTCGCGTGGAGTATGGAGTCTTTCCTGAATATGTGTCCAAGCACGTAAGGATTCGAGGGACGCAGGAACGTAGATGTCGAACTTGCAAAATAATGCTCTAGCAAATCACATGCTGACGCCTGTGGCATGATTGGTTCGATATGTAATGATAGGGGCCGCAGGACGGGGTAACGCAGGTTCTCTACAAAACGTGGTTGTGCAGCTATGAAAGGTGACCCTTGCATATAAGCTGGTGTAGTAAGAGCCATCCAGTCTGGCGATTCTACCATAGGAGCCTTGCCCATAAACGCCACGGAATAATCATCACCAAGTGGGAAGCCAAAATCTTGTTGCATACTGTCCAAGCCATTTGCTGGGTACGAGGTAGTATTGGCAAAATTTTGTTGAGCAATTGAAACCATTGCAGCAGTATCGTTCATGGCCAAGGCATTGTTGGCATTGTAGCCATCATAGTACGTTGCATGAGGACCTATTCCGAATGTTGCACCAGTAAGAGTTGGGTTTGTGGGAAGAGTTTGTTCTCGATTACTGTATGTGCTCATATATGATGTGTTAGAACATTTCCTTGCAGGTGCTGAGGACGTCTGGTTGTCCATTGCCGCAGCCTTACTGCTCAAGTTGTGCTCTTCTGGTTGGCCTTCTTGGACCCTTTTCGGTGCTCTGCCTCGCTTCTTGTGTGCGCGGGCATACTCACACAGCAATCCAATCTCGCTGCAGTGTGCACAAGGGTTCTTGCCATCGCATTTCGTCCGCAACTGGTTACATTGATCGCAGGCTCGACTTATTCGACGTTTGACGTTCCCGCCATCGCCAGAATCGTTCGTAGGATCCATCTCCGACTCACGCCTTTTCCTGCCTGCCTGAAGATTTCCATATTCATCGTTGGCATCGTGACTGTCGTGCTGTTTAAGAGCCGGGGGCAGACGGTGTTGACTCGACAGTTGCTCAGGACTCGGTATATAGGCATTGGGGCTATGGTGCGGATGCAGACGAGCTCGTGACAGCATTGTGCCTGCAGAGCTATGTCACCTGAGGACGGCTTGGTGGGAAAAGAAGTGCAGAAAGCCGAATAGCGATGATCGATGTTATCGTTCGCGCCTCAAGGTCGAAATATAGTCAGACAGAATAGGTTGGTTGACTGAATAGTCGCATGGTGTGCAGGTTGGCTCACATGCCATCATACAGAGCGTACCGGAACACTCGATCGCGCAAAGCAAAGTCGTGGAGTGAGAAGCGTAGTCAGTATAGCTTAATTTTCTGGGTATGGGATACCTAATTGCATATTGTTAGTAGATGGCGGAGTGGCGCACCCACTGATAGCAGCCTCCGCTCTAACAATACCGGATGATCACCTTTATTCGAGCTGGCATCAGCAAATACAGAAGAGAGCGAGCTCCTGTTTGATTTCCTGCAAGAGAAGGTGGGGAATAGATGTGGAAGCTTCAAGTTGGAGGATGTGATTTGTCCTACTCTGCTAGTGGAGTGAATATCCGTACCACTGACGCCCGGGCGAATCACAAGGGTAATCTTTGTGGGCTTTTGCTTTCCCAGATGAACATCGTTGTCGTTCTTACTCTCTTTGACACCAGTCTTTCAGGCGGCAGTAGGACCTCAACCGCAACGCGAGGACCACTGCTCTGTTGTTTAGCATCTGCATTGTTGTTGGAGAATGTTGTGCGTGCAATCAGCTTTGTGACTGTTCTTTCCTGCTCCGGAGGGATGATTACACGGTCGCGGCAGATCTATCAGCCATCGAGCGGTTGGTGATGTCCGTTCAGCGCCGTCTTTAGCTACCTCGAGAAGTGGAATGTCTTAATGAAAGGAACTTCCATCTCTCATCTTTCATACACTGGAGACGTCGATTTTTCTGACTTGTTACGAACTAATGCTGGTCGTGAATGTATGTAACAAGCACAAAAGAACGTGGCTCGTTTGTGGAGATAGACAACTAAGATACCGGCTTGTTGCACTGACACAAGAGATGAAATCAGAGCCCAATATTTGTCTCAAGAATGGTCTGGAATGTGAGGCTTCAATAGAGCGTTGCTCTCCAAGTTACAAGCCATGTTCGGCAAGATTGCCTTGGATGTGGGTATGGAAGTAGCTACCGAAGCGAACGTGCCTTCCAAGTCAACGAACTTTGCCAGGTCGAGTATCTCATCTATAGAGATCGTTCTATCATCGACTTCTTGAGCCGTATTTACCCAATATAACCAAGCTTTCGGGCGTTGAGCTTCTTTGCACGGGCATCCACCCGGGCACTCGCCGTTCGAATTCGGATGTATCCATTTCATTAACTGCTTCGCCTACCGTGTTATTGAAGATGTTCTCGTACATATTTACATGATACGATGTGTGCTTAGCTATAGCTTTTGTGTACCGCTAATCGTTGTCGACCCAGAGACATATTTGGCAAACACCAATAGCAGCTTTACCTCGCAGTGGCGACACAATACAACTACGAAAATGCGACCATTTGACGTGACGTACGATACAATAGTGGTAGGTGGAGGAAACGCCGGGTTCAGCGCTGCTACAACCTCAGCCCAAAATGGTGCACGGACTCTGCTGGTTGAGAAAGCTCCAGAGTCCGAGAATGGCGGTAACACGTTCTACACAGCAGGAGCATATAGATATGCCTTCCAGGACTTCGACGATTTGAAACTCATTCTTTACGATGTCCAAACTGGTAAGAAAGGCTTGTCGGAGGACCTGGTATCGAGGATAGACTTGCAGGGATATCCCGAGGCGGACTTCATGAAAGACATAATGCGGGTTACCAAAGGAAGATCTGATCAGAAGCTAGCCCGGAAACTGGTAGGTGAGAGCCGAGCTGCCATACAGTGGATCAGCGACAATGGCGGAAAGTTCGTTTTGAGCTTTAACCGCCAAGCCTACGAAATCAAGGATCGATTTGTGTTCTGGGGTGGCATGGTAACAGTATTTGGAGGAGGTGGCAAGGAATTGGTAAAGTGGCATGTTGAGACAGCGAGAAAGAATGGTGTTGAAGTCTGGTGGGATACACCGGCTGTTGGGTTGATCGCTGACGAAGAGAGCGGTCGCGTCCTCGGCGTGGAAGTCCTGCAGAATGGACGGAAGCGGAGACTACAGGCCACTGGTGGCGTGATACTGGCTTGTGGTGGATTCTCCGCTGACCCTGCATTGAGAGCGAAATATCTTGGAGTAAGTGACCTGCTATAATATCTATAGAAAGGTGTTCTTTTGACCCCGTCCTCGTTCTCGAGCTAACTCTTCGCAGCCTGGCTGGGATCTGGCACATGTACGAGGGTCACCATTCAATACTGGTGATGGACACCGCATGGCGAGACAGATCGGTGCGAAAACTGCTGGAAACTATTCTGGTTGCCACTCGACCTGCTGGGACGCGAACTCTCCACGAAATGGAGGAGATAGAGTGCTCACTAACCAATTCACCAAGTCTGGCTATCCGCTCGGTCTCATGCTCAATTGTGATGGCAATCGTTTCGTCGATGAAGGCATCGATCTCCGCAACTACACCTACGCCATATTCGGGGTCGAGGTGTTGAAGCAACCATCAGGAAAAGCTTTCCAGATTTGGGATGCAGAAGGGTCCAAGTGGTTGCGGAAGGAGGAATATGCCGACGATGTGACCAACAACATTCGAGCAGACAGTCTGGAAGCTCTGGCTGATAAGTTGGTCTCAAAGGGTCTGACCAATAAGAGCAAACTTCTGGAAACGATCCAGCAGTACAACGAGGCCGTTGATACCTTCTCGAAGGAGAATCCAGACAAGCAATTCAATCCAGCCGAGAAAGACGGCTTATCGACACAATCTTCCACCAAGAAACTCAGCCTAGCAAAGTCGAATTGGGCAAGGCCTCTCAAGAAAGCACCGTTCCAAGCTGTAGAGGTCACGAGTGGTGTAACATTCACGTTCGGAGGACTTGACGTTGATCCTGATACGGCACAGGTCGTTTCTGATATTTCGAGGCAGCCCATCGGAGGCTTGTACTGTTGTGGCGAGTTGCTTGGCGGCTTGTTCTTCTCGAACTATCCAGGCGGGTCAGGCTTGACTGCCGGTACTGTTTTCGGAAGGATCGCTGGCAAGCATGCTGCCAAAAACAGGGAGTCATGGCCGCAGCAGTTTCAGAGCTCCAAACTATAGTAAGTTTTTTTGTCGCCAGCTGAAAGATCCTGGCTCCTGTCTCACACATCGCAAAGTCGTCGAGCCTCTTGTTGCTGACTGCCCTTCCGGGGTCTGTGAGAAACGATTTTGAGTGGCTGTATTCTCACGCAACAGGGTCCGTTTTGTCACTCGCAATGATGTTCACCCATCCTTCCATTAGACATCTAGCAGTTCTCACCACCTTTGCACTCGCAACCTCGCCGTTGTGTCGGATGTCAGCTCCCACCTCGACCTTACCAGTTGGATGTTGAATAACGACCGTGTCTTTTGCATTTCCACTCGCAAGCTCATGAGCAATAGTGCCATGCAATTTGCACGCCACACCTAGGTTCAACCCCAATGTCATCGGCACGGCGCGATGTGCTTGCTGCATACTTAACGCTTGACACCTGATGTTCACATCCTGCGACGAAGACGGGAAAAGCATCACCACTTTTGGAACGGATTGTGTTTCAGGATCCAAGCCCATCTTCTCAGCGCCTGCTCGGCGTATCAACTCGAGCTTGGACATGAGTTCTTGGTCGGCATTCAACTGCTCCGGTGCAGAGGGTTGACTCAACCCTAAATCACGGCCATCGATGAAGACACCAGGATTGGAGATATCAAGAAGTGATGCACGAACAGTTTGTCCACGGGCGTACTCTAGTGTGTCAACGACGTTACCGGTTGGGACGGCTCTACCGGTCTTTGCGCCGCCAGGGGAAAGGAAAGAGAGTGTGATGGGTGCAGCGTATCCTGACACACCCTCGAGGACATAGTCTCCACGAGAGTCATAGAAGTACCTATCCTCGTCTGCGCTTGTCTGTATTGAGGACGCACGAACATCGGCATCGATCATTCTGCTTGTGTTCAGGTTACGAAGGCGTACAGTCAATGGATATGTCGAATATTGTCGTTCGGCACCAGAACCAGGAGTCAGCTGTTGGTCTGTACGAGATCGTTTGAGCTTTTCCTTCACATCAAGTAAAGCCCTATCAATAGCAAATGGCGCAACAGCAGAAGACATGTTACCACAATTACCTGCAAGATCAAGTGTTCCATCTCGTACTAAAACGTTTCAATAAGCAAGTGCCTCGCAGCAGATCACAAGCTAGCAAAGAATAGCAATCGTACTCACTTCCAACCTGAATAAACAAATAATCCAAATCACAGTCCTTATCAGTAGACCGATCCACAATAACAGCTTTACTCAAGCTCGACAACCCGCCTCCCATTCCATTTAACTGTCGCCCATATGGATCTGGCGACCCCATGATAGCCCTATACAACGGCTGCAGGATACCAGCGCAGTCCTTGAGGTCAAGCTGTCTCAAGTCCGGATAACGTTCCTTGATAGTTCGCCATTCTGGTAGATCGTCGCCTGCGATCATGACACCGTTCGATGTGCCGCCGCGCCAGAATGAGGCCTTTTGACGAAAGGGACGCATTGTGGATAGACTGCTGTATAGCCTGTGCTGGTGTGGGAGCTTCATTGTTGTTGTTGTGCTGCATTCACTGATTTCGCGAGTCAATCAAGTCTGACATGTGGTCAGGTCTCAAGCCCCAGCGAAAGAGCTGTGAGTGAGCAAGAATCTAAAATCATGGCGTATGGTTTGTGTAAGTAGTAAGTATTCAGAAGTACATCTCCTACGCTACTACTGATGGGTAATGAGGTTAGGCGAGGTTATATGGGTCGGAAGCATCCGATGATCATCTGCTTCTCAATGTACATTGTCGCTGTGCTGCCCACAGGAGTACTTGCTCGGTCAAGATCCAAGCGATATTCTGATGGGATTTCATAGAATTGGTATGTGGATGTCCATTAGTACATGTATTTCAATGGCTTGCACCTTGCGAATAATCATGCAAGAGCCGCCCACGATATGGACAGCTGAATAAAGTGGCAGCCGCCATCAGTGTGAAAGGGACGACCCATTCAATAGAACACGAACACTGTTTTTATGTCTCTTGAGCGGCCTGAATGCTGTCAAGGTCAATACCTCAGTATATACATGTACAAATCCGCTGTAAGTGGAACAGAATAAGACCAGAAGCACCCCATGAAGTTGCCACGACCGCGATCACCATATACACGATTACACCCTTTGAAATCCTGCCTGTGACCACACTGTACTATCCGCTCGCAGATCCTCGACCTGCTGCGCAGAAACGACCCGAGTCCTTCGCTTCTCAGACCTCCTAGATCTTATCGAATCTTTCACCTCCGGATAGACGATTCCGACAACAATATAGAATGTCCACATGATACCAGCAACAACAGCATAGCCAACTCGTGGCCATTGTTCGACCACAGCTTTCTTGAATTCAGCAGCGAACAGGAAGCCAAGTCCACCTTGAATCGCTCCTGCGATCAGCAGAGATCGGCCAAGCCAGAGATGTACGTGAGCCGCATAGATGACCCTTGGGTACCTTTTGTACAGGTTGTGGTTGAGCAGCTCGGTTGCCGGTTGCATGCAAAGTAGGATCATCAAAAAAATGCCGATTACAGGGTGGTAACTGTCAAGCTTGATATATGGTTAGCACTGATAGAGATAACGACATAATATATTTACTCGTCCCAGTTGTATTGCCATCCAGATTCCCATTCCACCTGCTATCATGACGATCCAAAATCCGACCATTTGTAAGATAGCATGAACCCAGACAAGTCTCGGGTCGCTCATAGTTCTTGGTATTATGGCGCCAACGGGGAACACAATGAGCCAAACAATCGACATCAGCACAGCATGTGCTACCCGTGTCTTGCTGTAATGGCTTGGAACATAATCGTGGGGATCGTAATTCTCAATCTGGTCGACTGTGCCAGAGAATGGTTCGGCTCTTTTGCCTGAAGTCTGGTGGGCGCTGGTTACTGCGAAGCATAGGACTAGGTCTTAGTTAGCAATTGCCGGTGCATCTTGCCACGGGTGACCTCACGAAATGCAGCCACTTGATAGATTGCCACCAGGGACATTCTGGCAGGCATGACTGTAGACTAGATCACCAGATCCTGCTTGTCCACATCAACAGTCAATGTACATAGCAGTCTGATATCGATAAGGGAGTGTTCTCCGCCTGCGATTGAATTTGCTGCAGAGGTGAGGCTACTATTTCGGTGTAACCACGTTCACATGATATTAGCCATTCCAAACAATGAAAGCTGATGTTTGACACGATGCCAGGAAAGTTGTTGTCTAGATAGAGATTGGTCTCATTCCGTCTTCATTGTTGTTGCTGCTTGCGACCACCAATCAGGAAAGCTGACCACGTTTCTCTGCGTCCGTGCGTGCTCGGCAGCAAATACCACAGCATGACTGCGAATGATCTCGTCCAGATCACACCCGACAAAACTCGTCTGAGCTTCAGCAACAGTCGCAGTGCCATTGTCAACGGCTTCGACAGCTCGCACGAATGCCCCTGCAAGACCCCAGTCGCCACCGCCATGTGAGGCTCCGACTTCAGGAGCTTGTTTAGGGATGCTGTGCAGCTTTTTCCGCGCATCATGGAAGGTATATACTGTGATCGTGTGTGAATCATAGGTGATTTCACCATCTGAGCCATAGATTCGACCTCTGCGATCACATTGTGCTTGAGTCGGATATGTCATATGAAAGAGAGCCTGTTTCGGGCCTCTACCATATGTGCTGTCATTCAACGCGTCCTCGTCCCAGGTCATAGTAACGAACTGATCGTCTACCACGTTGTTATCTGACTCGTAAACACAACGACCATACCAGCTCTTGCTCGCAATATCCTCATCAGGAGTATCTGCGGTGTAGTCTTCTGTCAGCTTGGTGAGAAGCCTTTCGCCAGCTCTTTCCCAGCCTTGAGTATTTACAATGTCTTCAATCTCCGGTACGACGATCTTGACAGGCCATCCTGTATCTTTCGCTCCCATCAGAAATTTGTCGTGATATACACTTTTTGCAGAATACTTGCAGTCCGGCTCGGCCGCGCAGCTGAGACAATTCGTGGCTTTACCAGCCTTCTTTGGCTTTCGGAGAGGACGAAAATGGGTAAGGCTACCACTGCTTGTGATATTGCTCGGGAAATGAGGACGGTCGCCTGTGAGTCTGCTAGGTGAGCAAAGAAGCCAAAGAAGAAAATCAATATCGTGGCACGATTTAGTGAGCAATGAACCAACTCCCTCTTTTGTAGCTCTCCGCCAATTGCCTCGAACATACGAATGAGCGAAGTGCCACCATCCTACCGGTTCTGTATGCTCGATTGACACCACCTCGCCAATAACTTGTTGATTGACAAGGAGGTCTCGAAGCAGAATGTTATGGGGAGAATAGCGCAGAACGTGGCCGATCGAGACCACCCTAGGAGGATATGCTGCCAGTGCCCCAGATATAGATATGCAATCGGTCATAGACAATGCCAAAGGCTTTTCACACATGATATGGAGGTTCAATGGAGCAAGAGCCCGAATGATGGTCGCGTGAGTCTCATCGAGCGTGCAGACGAAGACGCCAGTAATAGCTGCAGGCGACTCATTATCGCTTCCTGCTCGAACGCGTCGTGTTGTCTTCCACTCAACGAACTCTTGCCAACCAGTGAATGCTTGACCTTCTTGAGGCTTGTTGTCTTTCCATATGTACTTCTGTCCAAAGGCTTTCAGCTTGAACGCGTCAGGTTCGGCGACCGCTGCAATGCTACCAGCTGTGGACACAGTAATAGCTCGAGCATATGCGCAGCCTCTGGATCCTGCTCCGATTACTAGAAATCGAGGCCCTGCAGGAGAGGGGTATAGGGATCCCATGGCGCTCTATTCTCAGGATAGCAATCAGGAGCGCAGAGTATTGTGTAGTGCGAAGCTCAAGTGTATAACGCGTAAGCACATCGCGCGATAGAATGATTGGTTTGTGCAACCTCAGGTAGCAGGCTACAAAGTACCTGCAAATATGGGGGGAGTTACGGCGCAACAATACCGGATACCATTTACCTGCTATGATTCGAAGAGAGAGCCATTCTCCATGTGTGGGTTATGGGCTGGAACGATGAAGGCAGTAAATGGTGATCAAGAAGTTTTGGTATTCTCATGCTAATATATCGACATTCATAACCTCCTCTCGGTCAATTAAGCTTGCTATGACAACCCTCTTGAACGTCGCCGAAGCGCCATACTCATTCGCTAAACAGACAAAAATAAACATTACATCTAGTCAATGAAAATCTGAGCACCAGCCTCTTCAACTGCCGAACTGTCGGCGTACCACTTCTTGATCTTGTCGGCCATGCCAGGATGGACAACAACGTCCATCTGGAAAGGAAGAGGTCCACCAATTAGATTTGGTGTGAAATCGTAGTTCGGTGGTGGCACTTCCTTGCCGTTAGCGTCTTTGATCGGTTGCAGCTTGAAGCAGGTAACAATAGTGCCACAGGCAACCAAAAGTTCAGCCTCAGTAAGCTCGATACCGGGGCACATTCTGCGACCCATACCGAAATGATGCGAGCCCATCAGTCTGGGGTGTTCAGTGAGTGGCTCCTTGTAAGTTGGCCATTCCTTCTCGATCCATCTTTCTGGTCGGAAGTTCTCGCAATCTGGGTAGACCTTCTCGTCTCGAGCAAGCGCCAAATCGCAGGCATGAATGATGGCACCTTTAGGAATGTAGTAGCCGTTCCACTCGTCATCTTCCTCTAGAAGACGTGGGACACCAAGAGGGACAGGTGGACGCCATCGGAGGGTCTCTCGGATAACAGCTCGCAAAAGTACGAGTTGTGGAGAATCAGTAACCTCAACAACGCGATCAGTACCAACGACACTGAGAACCTCTTGTCGAACCTTCTCCTGCCACTCAGGATGGAGAACCATAGTGAGTAAGAAGGCATAGAGAGGACCACCAATAGTGAAGATAGCGACTGTTACCAACATGCCAATAGCGTATGCAGCCTCATGATCATCGAAGCCCCATGGCTTGGCTTCGATGGCTTTTCGCTCGAGGAAGGTTCGTGCATAGCTGACGGGTGCGGCTGTACCAAGCTCCATCTCCTTTCTGACCTGATCCATAAGACCCTTCCATAGCTTTTCTTCCTTCTCTCGCCTCTGTCGTACTGCGCGAATTGAAGGGTTCATGAACTCTGGTAGCTTGCCGAGAAGTGGAAGTAGGTTGGTAATCGGACCTGATGGAGAGATCTGGGGAATGAATTCGCCTGCGTTCTTGCAATGCGCAGCAGCAGATGCAGCAGAGCCGTAGCCCATACGTGCTGAGATTCGACCGCAGTATCGATCGGTCAGGGCGAAGTGGTCATTTGGGTCCAGAAGGAGTTGATACATGAATTTCTTGACTTCATGCGAGACAAATCCGTAATATTGCTTGTTGTAGGCTGCGGACAGTACAGTGTGGGCGAACTTGCGCTGCTGAACCCAGTGCTCGTCCCGTTTCATAAGAGGTAGATATTGGTGTTGAGAGTCGGATCCTGGAACAGCAGGCACTTCAGGCCGGGAAGAATAAATCTTTGCTTTCTTGATGAGGAAGTCCTTTGCGAGCTCAAAGTTACCAATCCAAACATGCATCTCACCGCAGATGGTGGACGCTGCGATGCCATTGTACTCTGGCTTTTCGAGAATCTTTCTCCACGCAAACCAAGGACCATCTGGAGGAATATCGTGAACTCGACCCAACCATGGAAGAGTGCTCAAAGGTCCTGGCAAACGCTTCAGACCTTTTGGAGGAGCATCGTGAATGAAGAAGTAGTGAAATATCTGCCAACCGACGGTCAGAGCAAAGATGGCTGTACCAATGAACCACTTGTATGTTCCGACCGTAGTCAGGACAGTTTGTTGTTTTTCAAAAAGAGCGTCAGCATCAGATGCGTTGTTGGTGATGAAAGAACTAAGTTGGGTCATGATGACCGATGGCTTGATAGAGGCTGCCATTGTTGTGCTTGACTATGCAATACAAGCAACGATCAAGCAGCAGAAACGATTGTATATCAGTATGAAAGGATGACAAGTCAGCTTCGAGGCCAGAGGCGAGAAATCTTTAGTTATTGAGGAGCTGGCGAACAGCTTCCCAGTTTGGATTTATTTTAGGAGTTGGAGCACAGCCTTGATCAAAAGGTCGCCAACGATTCGATACAGGTGTCGTCTGACCTAGTGCCAAAGACATGGGTGGCGGTGGGGTGGACATGCCGCTGTAGCCTATCGTAAAAAGTATATCGAGGCAAGCCACACCGTTACGGGCTTGGCAGACCAAAGCAAGCATGACGATTGGCGTTCGCCTAGTCAAGGATGTCCGTTGCTCACTTTCTCCTCTGCTAGCAATTTCTATTTGCTAAGGTACTGGTAGTACCTGAACGATCGTCGGATCATGGTGAGCTTGTATTTACATAAGTGGTAGACGCTTGACCAAAAGTAGTATCTGTATGACCCGACTGGGCAGCCTCGTCCATCTTGGGAACAGGCGGAGCAAATCAGAAGCTTCTCTCGCTTCTACTTATTTAGCACAGCATGCTGACAATGGAGGCTGATCCCTTGGAGTTTCGCCAAAAGTCTATCGCCAAAGGTCGCTGAATTTTTCTGGAAGAGTTAACATCGTGATCATGTACAAGTCAAAGCAAGACTTTGTTGCGACGTGAATCAGCAGTGCTCCTAGGACAGTCGCTTGCCTATTAGAAAATGACGATCGACCGAGGAGCTGTAGGAAAATTGTTCAAGGATTTCGGCACGGCGGTTCATCGTCAGTGGCTTACCAAGTTACCGTTTCTGACGACAGAATTCCGACGCTACTTCGATCCGCCAATGACGCTCTTTACAGCCACTCCTTCCCTCTGGATCGCCTAACAATTTCAGTAAAGGCCATGCCGTGCAGCACTTTCATTTACTTTGGTACTTCAAGGTTCAAAGGGCCGAAATCGACCAGTTTTGAGCGCCGTAGTCGAAGCGAATACCTCGAACTGGTAGAGCTTGGGTGAACCACGATTTGAGCAGGTGCATCAATAGTTAGCGGAACTTGTGTGAAAACTCGAGTAGACGTGGGACTGTCAATAGTGGACCTTGGCAGTAGAGACAGGATCAGCGCCGTCCACTTCACACTGCAATTCTGGGTAGTTGCGCTTGCTATCTCTGTTTCTTTGTGCAACCGAGACATCGATCAGCAACAGCACTATGCAGCGACAAAGCTCATGTGCCCAGACTACGTCTCGGAACAAGCTTCTCAATGAAAATCCTTCTTACTAGTTTCGTCCTGCAACAGCTTACCGAAATTATCGCGTTTCGTGTCGGACGTGTTGCATTACTGTAATAGCAAGTGATCGTCGCTGCACATTTTCTAACCTGTTCAGCATGAGATCGACCATTTGTGTCGTCGTCGCGATGCGACCCAGAAAGGCAAGTTAATTTCCAATGAGATTGCCTTGAGTAGAAGTTGCTTCAAACGATAGGCATGTGACGAAAACCTTTCGTGCTGCCGCTGTTTGTTCCCATCAGCTGTGATCACGACAATATTTCTTATCATAAATTACAATCGCAATAGTAGTCCCGAGACTAAATGCACATACATGCCCAGGCTGGAGGCTTGGCGTGCTTGGTTCACGACCGGACCACCTATGCTTGACGTAAAAAGTTCAGACTTGATGCATGGGAGATCTATTATTCGAAAGAAGCCGAAGCTACGTTGAACGCTGTGGTTAGGTGCATTGACGAGATCTGTCTACAAGCAGAGCAGACATATCTACGCTATGAACGGATGGAGAGGGTGATATGTGCTTTCTCTAAGGGAGCACCTCTTTAAGGAGTTCAGCAAGCAATATAGAGGTATACATTTTGAAGAATTCGAATCAGCTAGCTCACACCTTCCACTTCTCTAGGTGTATTCAATGAAACTTTCTGAACAAAGTACTGATCGAACATGCACCAGCTTGAATATAACATGCTAACAGTTGACGAGATGAGACTATCCATGCCACTTGTATGCAAGATATCTGATCTGGAAATATCACCAGTCTAGCTACCTCTCTGCGTCAAGTATGCCGCTCTGTGCTGGTTCGCATCGGTATCCTCGCCCCTATTAAGTGGCGTCCACTTCGGCTCATCCTTGAACAACCTCATTGCCTTAATATAGTTGTCCTCAGCCGTGGTGAAGCGATGATAAATCCCAGCAGGCAGAATAATCAAATCATCCTTCTCAAGCCGAATCCGAATCCAGTCATCACCCTCCGATCGAACGTCAAAGTATCCCGCGCCATCTCTGATGTATCTAATCTCTTCATCTTCATGCAGATGCTCGTGGAAGAACATCTTCACTTTCGACTCGTAGACGTCTCCCATGGCCTGGGGCGAGACCGTGATTTCGTCTCTGTTCTTGTAGTTGCGCTCTTTCGCTAGGTCGTCGACAGTAGATAGCTGTGGGTGGTGGGAGTAGAGGACGCCGATGCTCTCGAGTGTAGTCTCGGGGACTGGACGGCCGGAGTCATGGGGGAGTCGCTGGTCAGCCTGGTGGATAATTAGATCGGTACTCTGAGCGAACGAGGGTAGCGAAGACTCACGTCGGATTTATCGTACCAGTATGCCTTCATTTTGCTTATAGTGTCGAGGTTATCGTAAGGAAAAGAGATGTCTTGGTGGTTGTTGTGAAGGGTCCTGGAAGTCGTGATTGTTTGAAACAAATTTTGAAGTTGCGACACCTGAAAGTTGACGTAGTCAGGCCTGAAGATTGACCCGCGGTGACAAAATTCTGGAATCTTGCGGGGTGCGGGACGAGCTTACGTACTAAGCTTTGAGTATGAGATCCAATTGGGTTTCTGAGCAACCCTGCAGAACCCTTGATTAACCCTACCACAATTGGAGAATCATGCGAGAATCAAATCAGCAAGTGCTTATGTAGAGTTCAAGTTGTAATCAAGAAGGTTTCATTCGAGGCGATATCGGGTCACGCTGGCAGCGCACCAGGAAGTCTCATCTCTTCGTCAATCACCACGGCCTGCGAGTTGCGTCGCTGAGCCGGAGCTCGCTTTCTGAGCCCTCGAATCATTGCTTCGGCCTCATCTTGTGATGGGAAGCTATCCCTGGTACGTTCAGATAAAGTCTGGGGCGGACTGAGTCTCTCGCTGTCCTTGCTCAACGGCCTATCGTCCTCTTGACCTTCTCTGACCCTGGTCTTCCCCATACGAGGCCACAAACCAGGTAGTGGCACCACCTGAACCCTTGGCTCCACAACCCGCTCTTCGAACCAAGCCTGAATCCTTGACTCTACTAACTGCGCAACTTTTGGAACGTCTTGAAGACGAGATCGCGAGCCGATCAAGCTCTTCACCGATAGATCCAACCTGTAATCTGGCAGGAAGGAAAATGCCAGGTTTGTCTTGGGCTTACTCGTAGTTTCGCCATCCTTCTGAGGTGGTATCTCACCAGTGGCAGGTACAAAACTTATGCACAGTGTGCCTGAGAACCTGACCAGTGAAACGGTTAGTGCCACAGGTAGAATAGCAGAGGCAGGTTTAGGGTAATTGAGAATTAGCGATGTCTCTATGCCCAAGGTGAGATTATCGTCAGATAGATCGACGTCTACCAGTGCCTGCAAACGCCCGCCTATCGCAGAGCTAGTATCATCCTCGAGTGCAGTAATTCGCACATTACTGAAAATGGGAAATTCCTCGCCTATAGATATTTCAGTGATTGTAATTTCGTCGATGAACGACGGCCTCTTCGCTGGATCATTAATAGCGTCGGATAGGCTGGCAAGGATAGAGGGACGATCTGCGGAAGAGTCCTTGAGGTTATACGCCGTTTGTCGGTACTCTGCTATCGTCTGTGCTATCAGCACATTGAACCAATCCAGGCTTTCTGGCTGATGCGTGTTGTGATTGATTCTGCCATGCCCCTTGTTCGGTATGTGATAGTACGTCTTCTTCAAGATGGAGTCTGTATCTGTCGCACTCGTGGGTACTGCCCGGAGCACATTGTTCGAGCTGGCCTTCTTTCTCAGGGATTCCGCAGGAGTATTTCGATTGCTCACGCCATGAAAGGAAGTGGTTCGAATGTGTTTTGAGGTGCGGTTTGCGTACGAGGACTGTGAGGGGGCTTCGCCAAAGATGAAGAACTTGATGAAGGCACCGATCAATAGGACGACCGAGAGCTGGCCAATCAATAAGCCTTGAGTGAAGGTCAAGGGCATTGTATTGTACTTGGGATCATGTACAAGCTAGCTGGATGCATAGCGTGCCTGTGGTTCGTGACGACTGGCGGAGGGGTTTTCCGAGAACAGACCTACCTCAATGCCATGGTTTGACTTGATGCTGCAGATGAGTCCTCCAAAAGGTTGCGCATTTCAATCTATTGACCTTCAAATGTTCTGTAGCAGCCCACAAGAAATTGCGGGCAAGAGCGCTGACGTCGGTTGGAGCAATTAAACAGCCCGTAGTTTTCAGGCTAAGGAACACCTAACTCCTCCTTCAATAGCAAGAAAAACTCATAATTTTGTTCATATAGCATACATCCGTCGACGACTTGGTGTCTACCATTACATGTTCGCATATATTGTTCTCACAAAAGGGCGATGAGCCAGCAGTCACTACTGCTTGAGCACTCACATGCTCATTTCTGACCCTTCCTCAGCAGCATCAAAGGCTTGCCAGCGTCAACGACATCATTCGGCTTGACAAGCAACTTCTCTACCTTCGCGCCTGCCATAGAGCCTTCCGCATTGACGTTGATCTCGAGTTTCATTGCTTCGAGTATCGCAACCACCTGATCCTCTTTCAGCTCGTCCCCTTCGCTAACCTGGATCTTCCACACATTGGCATTGACCGGTGCTTCCACGGGTATGATGTCTGGGTCACCAAGCAATTCCTCAACAGTGTCGACTGATATCTTGCCCTCCTCCTTCTCCTTGTTCCACTTCTCAAGCATTTCTTTCTCAACCTTATCCATTTCTGCCTGTGCTTCTCTTTGCTTTCGGCGGATCTCCTTGACTTCGTCTGCTGTTGTTTTCAACAGCTCGTTGTGCTGCTTCATATCAAATTCTACGTCCTCTATCTCGTATCGATACCTGCCACTTCGGAACTCCTGCATCAGAGTTTGATATTGTTCTTCCGAAACCTCATAGAAAGTGATCTGGTCAAAGTCATCAAACAGCCAGGGCTTTTCCAAGCTATAGGCGTTCTTGAACCCCAAGATATCTGCTGAGGGTATGGACAAGCCTGTATTCATGTAGCCACCTGGCGACTCAACGTTGTATAGAGCCATGCACGAGCCACCCCAACCGACCTGTCCCTCTGGGGTGTGTACACGAGAAGGATTCATCTTCGGACACTGGATGCGTTGACGCGGATCAATTGGGAGTGCTATTGGCAGGGCGATGAAGAATCCAATGGCCACTACCATAAGGGAGGATTTGACAAAGATATCGCGCAACTGTTTCACAGGTTAGCTGGGTATTGACAATATCCATTCGACTTACCTGCTGGTCACTGAATCCGTTGTTCTTAGCCACAAATGCCATCGGATCTGGCAGGTAACTGGCATAAGGTCGTTGAGTTTCCATATATCTCTTCAGACTCTCTTCCTGTGCCTTGTTCTTAAAAGTAATAGGCAATTTGTACTTGCGACCAGGAAACTTGGCTTCGCTCAGATCACCTATCTCGGACTCCAGTTTGATGAGATATTCCAGAAGTTCTGGTCTACGCACTTTCAAGGAGTTGAAATGGAGCATCAAGGAGTTACCACAAGGCATCCCTACATTCAGACTGCCATTGTTGAAGGATATCTGACCCTCGGCCTCTCTCAACTTCTTGTATAGTGTTACAGCCCGACACCGATAATTCAGATCGAACGAGCCGTGACCATAATCGACGAGGAGAAAGTCGTCACCACCTTGTCTGTATGATACAAGAGGTTGGTTAGCCTCTTCCTTGATTTGGTGAATGACTGCCGACTCCCATCCACCATTCTCACCAGATTGTGGCAGACCTTGATATTTCAAGGCGGACACGTCCCCAAATTGTGCTTGTCCTTTGCAACACTTCTCGATAGAGTCGAGGAAATTCTCAATCTCCTGACGTTTAGCTATAGCATCATCATACGAGATACGATGAAAGCGCAATTTGTTTCCTGCCTTCATCTGACCAACACGCCACCAGTCAGCCTTGATGATAGTCACGCTGGACAAGAACCCACCAAAATCCGGGGCATCGACTGGAAACAAACACGGGTCATCACCAGTCCAATTGACCGTACCAAGCGGATAGCCGTACTCAATGACGTTACTAGGATGTGCACCTCCCTCTCCGCCATCGAGCCTCTCCCATCGTGGTCGCGGTCCTATTAGTCGAATTCCACCTCTTGCAGCATTATGAGAGACCTTGAAAGTCGTCTTATAAAACTCGTCAACAAAGTCCTGCTTCAGAAATCCCTCGTCGTGCGGGCCAGGCATCGCAAGAAGATCCCATTCTTCTGGATAGGACGGAATTAGGCTGTCTGGCAGCTTCAAATCATCTTGGAAATGTGGAGGGTCCTTCACAATGCCGAGCAAGTCGCCTGCAGCTAGTGCTCTTCCTTGATAGCCGCCTACAGTCGTCATTGGCGCCGTGCTCTTTGACCCAAACCATGTCGCGATGGTAGGAAGTCCGCCATGGATGGCCAGGTACGATCGACAACCACCACCAGTAGTCTTGCCAATCTTCAGCCGTTGACCCGCCTCAATTCTTCTGCGTGTCCACATAGGAAATTTCTCACCATCTAGTTGTGCCTCCATCGGAGCACCGCACAAAGCTACCACAGCTGGGCCCAGAAACTTGAGGTCAGGTCCACTGAGTGTTATCTCGAGGCCAGCGACACTTTGTTCGTTTCCAACAAGGAGGTTAGCTATTCGAAAAGTAACAGGATCCATGGGCCCGCTATGGCCGAAACCACGTCCTACAGATGGTCGGCCCGGCCAGTCCTCGACTAACGTATAAGCGCCACCTGCGGTCACATCAATTGCTGCTGGCCTGTACTCGAAGCTTGACAAAAAGTTCGTCAGTGTTATGCCTGACTCAAACGTACTATCGCCCAGAATAGAAGCCAGAAAATCAAGATTCGTTGGTGGACCTGAGATCCGTGTTCCTGTCAGTAAGTCCTTCAGTCCGGCTATTGCCTTTTCTCGTGTGTTCGCATGCACCATAGCTTTTGCGAGCAAGGGGTCGTAGTTGGCAGATACGCGAATGCCTCGATGTACCCATGTGTCGATCCTGGAGCCAGGGACCTCTTTCCAAATCACTTCTTGCAACAATCCAGGTGAAGGCGCATAATCTCTGGCTGGGTTCTCTGCATATACTCGCGCCTCGACGGCAAACCCTGTTGGCGAGGAAGGCTGCAACTTCTGGAGATAACCAGCTTCCAACCCGCTTTTGCCAGCGAGTTCACAATCTGCTTGTTTGAGCATAAGCTCGACGAGGTCCACGTTATAAGACATCTCAGTAATACCATGCTCGACTTGCAATCTTGTGTTCATTTCCAGAAAGAAGAATCCTGTATGCTCATCGTCAACCAAGAACTCTACCGTACCAGCGGATGAGTAGCTAATTGACTCTGCGAGTCGGACTGCAGCTGAGCAAATCTTGTCTCGTAGCTCAGGATGCTTGCTTACGAAGGGACTTGGACATTCTTCGATGACCTTTTGATGTCTTCGCTGAATCGAACACTCTCGCTCGCCGAAATGAATCGCCTTGCCTCGGCCATTGCCGAAAACTTGCACTTCTATATGATGCGAATTTGGGTAGAACTTTTCAATGAAGAGACCTGCGTTTTTGAAGAGCGTTTCGCCACGAGATTGAACAGTCTTGAATGATTTGCGAACATCGCCATCGTTGTTACAGGTCAGTAAGCCCATACCACCACCTCCGGCCGTGGCCTTTAACATCACTGGATATCCGAGCCTATTTGCCTCTGAAGTAGCCTCATCCTCCGAGCCAACCAGACCTTTCGTTCCTGGCACGATAGGTACCTCTGCCGCCGAGGCGAGCTCTCTAGCTGTATGTTTGATACCAAAGTCCTCGATAGCCTTAGGGCTTGGTCCTACAAAGACCATACCGGCTTCTGCGATCTGCCTTGCAAATTCTGCGTTTTCTGATAAGAAACCATATCCGGGTATAATTGCATCTACATGGTTGTCCTGAGCTACTTTGATAATTTGATCACCGTCCAAATATGCCTTGGAGTCGGGTCCGGAAAGGAGTACAGCATGATCTGCTGCACCGACATGAATAGAAGCGGCATCAGCAGGAGTGTAGATCGATATGGTCCTGACCCCTAATCTCTTGGCTGTCTTAATCAGTCGAACTGCGATCTCACCTCGATTTGCAACCAGTAGAGTTTTGAGCTTTTCCATGGCCACCACGACAGAATTTGTGATGCTTTCCACAACGTAGGGTGCTATCGCATGGGCAGGAAGCTAGGGACAGGTTGAATATGCTCTAATGCAAACGCGTTGCGATGTGTATTTGTTGCACGGACAAGACCGTAACTCCAAAAACACAATGACTTGAGGGGTCGGATATTACACGTGTGCGGAGGTTGACGTAAGTAAGATCTATTGTTTTGAAGGACTGATCAACCCATAAAGATGTGGTGGACGTTTCAGTTCAACTGGGAGTAGAGCAGAGGCACTTTCTAAGCAATACCAAAGGCTTGAGTCTAGAGCATGGCACAGCAAGTCAACCCAGATGACCTGCCTCCTCCAATAAAGCACAAAGCCTTGCTCAACGTCGACCTAGGCGAAGCGGTGAGCTTCTTTCGCAATCTAGTCGGCAACCTGGTTAACACTTGACAGTATGGTAACTTCAAATGCGGCCCAGATGACGAGATACTGCCGTTGATTGACCATGCAAATATTGCTTGTGGTTTTCATGCGTATGTCTGGGCTGAATGAGCTTCGATACCAAGCTGACCTGGGCAGAGGCGATCCAGTCATTATGGCTGAGACGGTTCGAAAATGCAAAGAACTTGGTGTAAAATGTGGTGCTCATCCAGGCTACCCTGATGTGCAAGGCTTTGGTCGACGAGAGATTCATATGGAGGCCGAAGAGCTCACAGCAATGATCGTTTACCAGGTTGGTGCCTTGAAAGGCTTTCTTGACAGAGAAGGTGTGCCATTACATCACGTAAAACCACACGGGAAGCTGTATGGCGTGATGTGTCGAGACTATGATGTTGCACGAGCAGTCGTCGCAGGCGTACCTCCAGGAGTACCACTCTTTGGTTTGCCTGGCACTGCAATGGAAAAGGCTGCAAATGACCTGGGAGTGCCATTTGTTGCAGAGCTCTATGCTGATGTGAAGTATTCGAGCGACGGCATGCTAGTGATTGACCGGAAGAAGAAGCCGTGGAAGAAGGAGGATGTGCGAGCACATATCGGGCAACAGCTGAATAGTCAATCAGTGACGGCGACTGATGGCAGTACAGTGAAGCTCCCACTGAAGGACTACCCGGTATCCATATGTTGTCATTCTGATTCTCCTGGCTGTATGGAGATCATCACAACAACGAAAGATGTCATTGATGAGTTCAATAGAAAGCACAACCGTTGAGGTGTGATTGCTGTTGCATCAACCTCTCAGGCCTCGAGAGGCCTGCTGTCAAGCAGTTGCGTGAATCACAATCGCGATTTCTAAGTTTGAGTCAGGATTCTGCTCACGATTTTTTCGGAGAGACAATTGATGGAAATCGTGTTTGGTTGATTTTAAGCTCACACATCAAGAGCTGCATTGCTGATGTTCTCATCTTGTGCCTAACCTGTTTTTTCGTCGTTTGTTCCAACAAGACGACTTTCGGCTACATGATACCATGTAGGCTGTTCGAGTCTCTGCAATATCTCACCACGTTCGAGAGATGCCAAGGCTGTGCAGCTTGTAATACACGAGCTGTGTAGACAGGTTAAGGATGTCGAACGCTGATTAGATCGAACAAATGTGTATGGTGGAACCCCTTGAAGGTCATTGGAGGTCCAGTCGTTAACCCACTTTGACCTCCGACGACCTTCCCTAGTAGCCTTCTCTCAAACACATTGAGTTTTCCTGCCTTCTCTTTCGTCATTTCCTGATCTGATAATCGATGTGTCTAGACACTCGAGCAGCGACTACTCGAAGCAATGGCAGAATTTAAGGTACTAGGCGAGTTCGTTACATTCTGGTGTATGTCTGAGCTCGAATAGTTCAAGCTGATTGAATGTGAAGATGTGTCGTTTCGATTACTGACATGACAGCATTCTATTATGGTCTCAAGAGACCGCTATGGGTTCTTCGGGCACATTTCAGAATTCTGAATCATTGACTTCAAGCTCTTCTTCGATTTATGGGACAGTCAGTGCAGCAGTGCTATGTCCGTCGACAGTGACCCTAGTGACGGTACGTTTTCGAGCGAGGTTGTGCTGTTTTAGGCAATTCTCTTCGGGTTTCGCAACAAGAGTTTGAGTTGCCGTCGCATGACAAGGAGCAGCTCATCTCACTCATGGTGAAACGTCTAACCAGAGTTGATTGCGGAAGAGACTTCGAGCTCCAAATTTGATTGGTATAACCAGCGCATATCATCGAAGCTCTCCGATACTTTTGGGTCTTTAATTTTGCCTTCCCGGATCAAACTATTCCTTTCAGCCTCAGGGAGTCTCTGCACGTTTGTTGCATTGGTTGCCCAATCAAAGATGGCATCAATACGGGTCTGCCTCATCTTTTGCCATGCTGTCAGTGCTGTAAGCAGGCTCTTCGACTTCTTGAGCATTAGAACCAGACAGTACACATCCTCTAGAGCTTGATTCACTCCTTGGCCGCTCGATGGAGGTATAGCGTGCTAAAATCGATCAGCACAAAGCTCATACAGCCGTACTTATGGAATAGCAAACAGATAGGATTGTGATGCACTTACCGCCGCGTCTCCAAGTATTACCACGCACCCAGTGTTCGAATGCCACCTTTCGAGCTTGGGCATTTTTAGAAAAGGCCACAAGTAGATCGACTCCTTAGCCTTGCACACTTGGTCGATGATCTGTTTCGCAGTATCATGCCAATCATCGTACCCCTTTCGGAAAAAGTCGCATAGTTTGTCCTTGTCGACGGCCAAAGCATCCCACTCGGCACGACTATTCTCTGGCAGCCGGACCTGCATCCCGACCATGATCTCCTTGGCTTGAGGATCTTCAGGCATTATGAAGAATGCACCCGGTTTACCCTGGATCGTGCATGCTGGCTCGTAGTCAGAGTAGGGCCATTTGACAGTATCTCGACGGATATGTGCCAAGTTACCCACTATTCCAGTATACTGGGGTCGCGTCTCAGCGTCAATGTACTTTCGTACTGTAGAGAAAATGCCATCCGCTCCAACCAGCATGGACGTGTGCTTGGTTTCCCCATTAATGCGGAAGCTGACACTAGTATCACTTTCTTGCGATATGCCATCGAAGCGAGAGTTATACTTTATGTTAATATTGCGCTCCTCCAGCATCAACTTCATCTCAGTAAGTAGGATCTTGCGCCAGAGGCGGTGGTTTTTGTATCCATAGAGCTGTTCGTTGGCGATCAACGTCTTGCGCGTGGTCTCGTCTTTGTCGTTTTTGTAAGTTCGAAACTCGGACTTCCAGCTTCGGTCAGTAATGCGTGAAAAGACGCCGAGTGCGTCCAAGACTTGCAGCCCATTGGGTGTCAGTACCACACCACTCTGATTGTCCTCCGCTTCCTTACTCCTCGACTCAAAGATCTGGCATGGTATGTTTTCCTGGTGTAGAGCTAGGGCAAGTGCAGTTCCCTGATTTTCGTGGTGGGTCAGATTCTCGGCACATCAGCATTGAACGATGGTCTTACTGCGAGTCCAGCTCCGATAATAGCTATGTCAGTAGGCAGCGCGCTCATGCTGCCATCTGGCGTCGCAATTACACAACTTTGAAACGTAGAATCGCACAAAACAGATGGAAATGCAAATCGCCGAGGTTGGGGTATAATTGGAGGTGCTTTCGACACTCTCGGCACACTGTATATTCATGCTGATTGTGGTGATCCCCAATATCAAACTAATCCTGCATAATTCGTGGCTTTGTCTGCTTTCGCCATGCAGTCTTCGACTATATCCCAAAATCGTGTCAAATCCATTTTCCGGGGCACAAAAACTCCGCTCCTCACTGGCACAATCTTCGTTCGTCCTACTTGTTCACCATCGATCTCAACTTCAACTTGCCAACGCTCATGATGCGAGTCATCGAACAGTGGGTCTGAAGCCTCGGAGAGCTGATCCAGCAGAATTGCTACTGCTACCGGGTCATGTAGGGGCGGACCATCTGTCAGCCCAAAGACATCCGCGTATGTCTTCGCAAAGAACACTAGCAGCTCGTAGAACATCCGTCGTAATCTTGTAGGTGGGTCACGCTTATCTCTTCCATAGAGCAGCAATTTGCGTTCCTGCTCCGTTGCACATACTTGATGTGTGAGATCGAGAGTGATCAACGACGTCTTCGATGCAAGTTCGGAGTTGGAAAATATGGACTTGGCAGCCGCAGGATCGCACCAGATATTGAACTCTGCAAAGGGAGTCATGTTGCCGATCCGAGAGCGCCGTCGACTTGTGCTTTCTTCCACGAAATCGGGGCCCATGTATACATGAGTAAAGTCGTCTCCAATGGCGCCCCCCATTATGCTGAGACCTTTGAGATGGTCGACCACCTGTTACACGTAGTTGGACTCAGTTGATTAGGAACAACAGGGCAGATGGTGCTTACCTCTGGAAAGACTGTAAACAATAGCGCAACGTTTGTTAAAGCTCCTGTAGCTACAAGCCATGCTGTCTGTGGTGGGCAGGACATCAGGCAATCTCGCATTTCCTTGATAGCATTGCAGTGCGACAACGGCAATCTGCTGGGTTGCGGCAATAAGTCTGTACCGTCCAAGCCACTTTCGCCATGGACCTCAGGCGCATGTTTTGGAAGTGTGCAGAATGGTTTGGCGGAACCAGGAAAGATAGGAACTACATCTTTAGAAATAGCCTTCAACACACTGAGGGCGTTATTGGTAGTCTTTGCTAGTGAGGCATTGCCGTGTACTGTGCTTATTCCTAGCAACAGGAGGCGGTCGTGATATGCAGCGACCAAGATTGCGAAAGCGTCCTAAGGAGGTCAGCAGCATCGCCCGAGGACGGCTAGTTAACATACATCATGACCTGAATAGTTGTTAGAGAAGGCAGCCGTTGATCTCGCACTGGCATACCAGGGTCACAATCAAGCCAGACGGGGACTTTATCAGGTGTCTTAGGCATATTTCCTGTTTATCGAGCTCAATGAGAAGTTTGGGATACACAGATGCACGAGAATACAAGGCTCAATCGAAGGCGGACAATGCCGGAAGTGGACAAGCATAAACAAGCACGGATTTGTGTGGTGAACAAGAACAGCACGTATTCGTCATCAACCTGGTCGCTGAATACTTGAAGCTTCTGCCAGACCATAGTATAACATTGAGGAGCATGGATTGTATGAAAGTGAAGCAGTTTGAGTTGTGATGAAGATTAGACAGGATGCTTGGTTGCAATGGCCTGATTCAGTCTCGAAGGAAAGTGCCTAGGGCAATAGTGCCTCAGGCAGACTTGTTGTGCCGCGCTCTTGCAAAACTTGAGGTTCCCGGACGCACCTGCCTCGAGCCAATCATTGTCGACCACGCGTTCGACGATACATCTTGACCAAAGATTGCTTCACGATAGTAGCCCCTGCATTGCCAGCTGGCAGTCGAGCACTGTGTAATCCGTCATGAGTTTTACCTGTTTCGTGTGAGATGTCCGCGACCGTTCCTCTTCTTCCTCCCGGTCAACCTCAATCAAAAGCAGCGCCTACAGCCCAGTTAGTAACCTCGCAAGCAGCGGTCAACAATGAGGCAGACGCTGCTAAGCCTGTGCAGAGTGATAATGCGCGTGCAAAGATGAGTCGGATGGGCCGCGACACAAGCTCGACGGATCCCACTTCCAGACAGACAACATTAGCACTGATACAGCGAGTTCTCGTACCAAACAAATCCGGGCTGACCGATACCACGATTAATGTGACAGCAATAGAGGATATCCTCCCTCCGTTGACAAGCTCAAACGATGTGGACCTGGAGCTCTACGCGATCCTAGCCATTATTGTCAAAGACTTCGTCAATACCTGGTATACCAAAATCACTCCAGACCATGATTTCGTGGAGGAGATCATCCAGATATTCGCTCACTGCAGCAGAGCCCTCGAGCAACGACTCCGCCAGATTGATAGAACGACGTTGTTTATGGATGAGGTACCTTTGTTGATACAACATCACCTAGATGGTAAAGAGTCAGAACACACACGGCAGACTTCACTAACGATGTCTAGCATATCGAACCGCTAAGTCGACTACCCTAGCCTCTCCTCATACCGGGTCACTTCGACAGATCTACCACGAATTGATGCCACACCCGGCTCTTACGCCTGTTCCTCTCGACGACCGAGCCGGGACGACCGAACTTCTACAGCAGAGCTACGAAAGAGCCTATCGTCAACTGCTCGTACAAGGAAGCCTTGGGATTCTCCTTCCTACTGAAGACCTTCAAAACGGTCCCCTACGTGTGCTTGTCGGCGATATCGTTGCCGATCTAATCATTGGCCAAGCACTTGCGGGCAAAATTGCTCAAGCCTGGTTTCTGCACGATGCCGTTCGGAAGGCCACAGCACTTGTAAGTGGGAAAATTCAACCGAAGGTCAGTGGCAGCGAATATCGCGATGATGCAGCGAACCGTCTTCAACAGTTTGGCCTATTATCTTCTAATTCCGCACCTGACCATCGCCATTCGTCAACCAATACCCAATCACAGATGGTCACCTGGTTTTGGAGGATCATGCAGTATGGATACATGGTCTACCTCTTCTCTATATTTGTCCTAAAGGAGGCGCACACGGTCCGATCGAAACCAGCGCGAGTCTATCGTTCTCGGGTGGAGGCGTCGAAGGTTCATCTGCACGTCCCGAACCCAGACGATCAATCAGTCCAGCCTGTGATTGCATTTGGTGTTTACGCCATGATCTCCACATTGCTGAGAATGGCTGACCGCATACCGTGGACAACGGGCATACTGGAGTTTTGTCAACACATCCTGCTGCGAGGTATTGGCCACGTGGGACGTGCGAATTCCTATCTTGACAGGTGAGTTAACACCTGTTGTACTGTTTTGAACCCTCCGCTATCTCCTAAACACCCTGAAACAAGGTCGAATCCCGGCAACTGGGCCTGAAAGTATGAGCCCGTACACAACGCTGCATGAGGTCGAAGTCATATGATCTGTCAAATGTCCTCAGATCCAATACCTGAACATTTGCAAAGTAAGGCATGTGCTACCAATGACCAAAGCCCCACTCCCACCACTACCACGTGTGGAGTCGAAGTCGACTCGTTTGGTTTCGAGAAGAAAAAAAACAAGCGTGTATTTTGAACATGTCATTACGATACGCAGCCGTATCGTAATTCTCTGTCAAGACGATTTATCTTATTGGACACTTTTCGCAACTAGCCTTACTCAATTCGGCGTTACGTACACTCCTGGCACCACAGCATTCTCTCATCCCTCTCCCTCGTTGTCTGTTGCACTGATCCGATGCATCCAAGACACAACATGGTCACAGGTCATTGACGTCGGGCCGTCGTGGCTGGCCATGAAATGTGTTGAGACAACAGCGATGTGGAAGCAATTCAGATGTTGACGCTTGTTGACTTCCTTGACTTGCGAATGCAGAACGCAAAAGCACGAATATGCGTCGGTCGCGCCTCGAGGTCCACTTAGACACTCACATGCTGAGTATCTGTTTAAGCTCCGAGAACGGTCCGCTAGTATTAGGCCAATCATTATCTCGCAGCACTGTCGACTTGAATCGTGTCCACCGACACTATCTTTCACCCAAGTTGTTCCATTTGTCGAGTTACGTTCACAACCCCAACCTCCCGATTTGAAATGTTGTCCAGGACATCCAATGAGAAAATTCACTCTACTGGAATGCTTCGACTTTGTCAACTCGAATGTTGTGGTTGGACGTTATTCTATCCAAACGACCAATTGCACAATACGAAACCGAGGCACAGTAGCCCATGATCAACTACATTCTACACTCCACACTCCTTCGAGACATCTCGTTCTTTCAATAGTCGAGATCACGAAAAGCTTTTTTCCAACTCTCAGACCCAGCTACAAAGCAGTGAAACCTCGAGCACTACAAGGTCTGAATGAATGGAGCTCAAGATTTCGGCGAATATCGCCAATGCTGATCGCAGGCATCAGAACAGTGGCGCTTCGAGGCTAGCCACTACTCGCTGCGACGGAATGAGCCTCCACATCTCCAAGACGTGTTTGATAGTGCATCTCCATCCTACCCTAAAGTAGACGTTGCCCAGCTGAAGATCCCGTACCACATCTTACGTCGACCTCTTCTCCATCATGCACCTGGTTAGAGTCTCGATCGACTCGAAGCAGAAAGACAACCACGGTGTTGTTTCCAAGTCTAGAGCAGATCGACGCTCGATATACACAAACGGCTGTGCCGACCTACCCTTCACGATCAGGAGCTGTGATTGCTTCCTTCTGAAGCTCGCTTTGTTGTGTCTCGCCCTCAGCTTCTTGAGCAACTTCTTGGAGCAGGAGGGTCAAACTTTGGATGCTGTTCTCGTCCTTCTTGTCTTCGGGTTTGGTGCAATGATTTCCTACTAACCAGTCTGTTCGATAGATTTTTATACCACGCCATCGAGACGCACGTGCTTCCTAGCTCTCTATTGCCAATGGTACTTCGAAATTTGCGCGTGGCACTCTTTCCTAACAATACCATGGGGCCGCCAGCACCACCTCCACCTTCACCCGAGGAAGCACAAGAAATTAAGCATCAAGCGGCGAGGTCAATTGCATCTCTTCTTCCGGCTGTCGTTACGCGAAGATACTATGCAACCAACGACGATAGCGATCTCGTCGATCAAATCGAACAAGATATACTTGAGCCGTTTGATGATGTCTATCTCAACAAGCACTTGATATATGCCATTCTTGAGCTGATACTGGTGAAGTTAATTCCTGAATTGGGCCAACAGACCATCACTGATCTGCTTGCCGATCGAGGCGTTGTTTCAGATGAAGATTTTGGTCCGGTGGCTATTAGTCCGGATACTGATGAGGACGAGAATGTAAACTCCCCTAAAGTAGCTTGACATTCATAAAACATTCCAGATTACAGTGCGCATAAACGTCTGCTCTGGGGGGGCGCCTCATGCAGTCTTAGGAGACCTTGTGGTATATTCAATCGCAGTCGTAACTGAACGAGCATGCCAAATGCTTGGTCTACCTTGCCACCGGACGTGTTTGACGTCAGTATCTGGTCTGGCGACATTGCAAATACATCGCTGGCAATCTGCAAAAAAGTGCAATCTATTCTGGCAAATTCGTCCGAAGCAAAGAGCGCAGCAAGGTCTGACGATTCTCTTCATCCGTGCATGCAGCGCCTGCAGTTGCCAGACTTTCACTTCGTGCAGATTGCTGCCCAAGTAGCTAGTTCGCGATCGCTGTAAAAGCTACAAATGAACTGCATGATCGGCGTCTTGGTGGGCCGATCGCTTCTGCGCTTTGTGCCTGAGCTTTAGCTAAAAGAGCTAGACTGGGCACAAAGGACATTTTTTCAAATGTACGTTTTATGTACGCCATTTCCCTTCCTAGACAAAGTACCGACATGCATCGGTAGTTTGTTGTCGCACAATAATGATGCTTACTCGAGCTCAGCGAAAGTGAAGCGGGTTTTTTGCTTCTCTCTCTTATTGATAGCATTGTTTGTTCGTCGCCAAGTATGTGGTTGCATCTTTCATGCCCAACTAGTCTTTCGCTCGGCTTGTGCAAGGATGCAACGATTTTGACGTGGTTCCGCCTGCATGCGTCAGAAGAATACTTACTGTAACCAACCCTTGACTTTTTGCGCAAGGGAGCTCTAGACGACGATATTGACATACCTTAGTCTCGTCCTTTTCGCCCGATGTCGCAAGATGAGGCTGAAGAATTTTGTGAAACTCGAAGTCTCGCTTGATACTTTGGCGAACCGACTATTGTTGTTGCCACGCCTGGCGGCGTGAATACTAGATCAGTAGAGTTATGGCCGGTCTCACCCCTCCCTCTGGACAGCGAGCATTGAAATCGGGCTGCACTGGACCCGATGGCATCTGGTCAAGTGATCGTCGAGACACGTACCTGACCAGTTTGTGGGTAATGTCGGGCACCTATATGACGCAGAGCTGTCATGGCGTGACGTGCTCTAGCGTTGCTTCGGAGAGAGGTTAGATGCTAAATGAGGCAAACGTTGTATTGTACCTGAGACGGCAGCATCCTTAGAACGAGCCACAACGGCGATCGAGCAGGCCGGTACATAGTGACCGTGCAAAGCGAGTCAGGATATTGTCCGAGAATGACATCTTCGATCTCGTGAGATAGCGCAAGACCGAGAGATGTTGGGTAGATATCGTAGTCAATTTGGTCTAGACTATCGACAGTCCAAGCTGGTCAATAATATCAACTAGCTGCTCTTGCAACTAATTAGCCACGGACTCGAGACCAAGATCCTGGGAGTGAGACATTTAGCAGGTGGCGATGATGTACATCTAATCATCTCAAACATTCTGTCAGGTGTCTTGTCAAGATAGATAACAAGGTTTCGGGATATCTCAAAAGCACCCATGTCCCGACCCGTCAAAATGTCAAGTTCGCATTCGGAGAAGGTCATGTGTGGGAAGGGGGTGGGATGGGATGAGATGACTCGTCTGGAGCCTTTCTCAATCCTACCGTTTCAGTATCCATGTGACCAGGTTTTTAGAGTTCAAGATATTGAGTGTGATTCGGAAAGCGCCAGCGGCAAGTCGCGAAGGGAGAAGGCTTGATACGTGAGAATGTATGGACGTGGGTTTGGTGGGCTGAGCTGGATTGATTTCACGTCTGTGGGGGTGAAGGAGTAGCAATAACAAATACACCCAGCAATGTTGCAATATACGCTATGGACGAGGGGGATGAAAGATTGCACACGTACACATGGCTTTGATTGGATAAACCGAGAAGTAACATTCAATTCATACTGTCTGATCTGATCATTTCAGCCAATGAGACTCGTCTTCAATCATGACACGAAACTTCGTCTCAAGGTAAATCCTGAGAATCTCTGTTGTGATACTTCGATCCAGGCTCCGAAAGCTCAAACGGCCACTGGTCAGCCTCCTTGATACGTGTATCGGTCCTGGTGCCCTGAGAGCTGGGAATATCTGTATAGTGCTTTTCACCCCTTTTCATAGACAATAATCAAGAAGGTTTTCCGCGGAGAATTGCTTCTCGCTTGTGAGAAAAATAAGTCTTTAGTGAAAGATTGACAGAGAAAGAAAGCTGCAATGCGTAACCGAGTACATACTCAACAATGAAAGTTGTGAGCTTGCGCTCTTTTCATGTAATGCAGGTCGTGGTCTCGTCATCCAACGCAAGTTCACACCTGCTGCTTCTCGTTGGTCCATCTCAATGGGTTCGTCCAATATTAGGACGTCAAAGGAATGCTCTCCGACATAAAGGAGAGTCCGCAACTCATATGCTAGCATGCTATAAACGTCGTAAAAAGCCAAAAAGCCCACTGCTGCAATCGAGCCAGTGAGTAAATCGAGACTCGCGTCTCAAAAGTGACAAGGACATACTCGTCCTGTACCGAAAAATGTAAGGTTGCCAAATGGCAGAAGTCATGAATAGAGACAAACTCTGCAAGATACTGATCTCACATTGACATCTCAATCATGGTTCGCTTCTTTGAGAGTCGTGGACTATCCATCATCTCGACGTGATGCATGCCACCAGGTAGCATAGGTGTGCCTGTTGGACTTCTAGTTTTGAGCAGCTTCAGCTTTTCCATTAATTTACCAATCATCACGTAGTCATCCGGCTCTGCAACATCAGGTCGTTGCTCCAAGATTTTCTTGATGTTGTGTAGAGCTTTGATGGTGTCGTCTGGGTATGATGGTGATCCGGGCATGCTGATGGGTGATATGTCAGCCGATCGAGGAAGTGGCGGCGGTTGCATGGTTGAATAACGAACTCCTTCTGCTTCGTGAATGTCCGGCACCGACTTGTGACGTTTCATGGTCTGCCTGGGATCGACCGAGACTTGCTTCTGATGGTTGGCGTTACTCACAGAGCGTACAGGCAAGGCAGGCAGGCTCGTGTGGGAAGATCCAGGCCTTGACGCTGAAATTGCCACTAGTTGTGGCAAAGTCATGCTCCTCTGTCGTGAAGACATTTCAATGCCATCGTCTTCAAACATCGAAGAGACATAGTCTCGTCCCAATTCAGGCGATACTGGACTCATGAGTGCTCCCGAGCTCAAGTTGCTGTCAGAAGGGAACCCATGTGTGAGCGACGGCGACTGTTCGTACTCGGCGACATCGAAGTCGAAGATACCTCCGCCACGGTTGGACCTGAGAGCTGACTCTTCGATTGCTGATATCGGAGGAGATACTAGCCCATTCACTGAAATGGGCGAGTTATCTAGTGTTTCTGAATGCGAGGTGCTTGTCTCTGCGGTATCTTCACGGCTTGTAGTCCTGGAAGTGCTATGTAGGTGGTGTTTCTGAAAGTTCTCCAGCCATTCTGTGCTTGTGTAGACCTGCTGGTCAGTCCTTCCGGAGGTGAACATTAGCACTTGTTTACGTAGCTCATCAGTGGTTAGCAGAAGACCTTTTTTCTGTTGGTTTCGTGCCCAATTAGCCAGCGTCTTCTCTACGTCAGGTAACTTCATTTTAGGTTTCTTGCCTGGACTGGTCACTTCCTCCTTCGCTTGGACCTTCATGTACTTCTCCTTCTGGCGCAGGATTTTCGACACAGTACTAACGAAGTCAGTTCAGAATCTAGCATGATCACGGACTCGCTTGCCTTCGTTCAACATTGAACTTAGCCCCAATCTGGGTCTGCTTCATCGTGGGATTGTTTTCGGCTTCCAAACACATCAACCTCCTCTCATCGTCGGTGAGCTTACGACGTGAGCTCGATGCTTTAGCGCTAGTTGGGGTAATATCAGAGCTCATGCTCGTTGCTGAAACAGGCGTTTGAGTCGAGACAGCTGGTAAGATGGGCTGTGGATAATTGGTGGAATTTGCTATCATACTTGGCCACATACCGGCATGGGGCATTATCAATGGTGGTGGCATCTGACTGTGCTGTGGTGTAGCATATGGTGGAGGTCGGGACATTGGATAGCTTGGTTCCAGAGGCATTGGCGTCGAGGTCGTGTAGTCATATCCATGATAAGCGTTTTGTCCTCCATTGCCATGTTGCTGTCCTGATTGTGTATAGGTACCGAGTCCTGCCCAAGAATCATTGCCGTAGCTGGGGGTGTGCGATTCATGGTGACTCGGTGACATGGCTAGCAGGAGCTGCATTGATCACAACAGCTGTTGTGTGTCGTGATCGACGCTAGCTTTTGACGGCCGTTGTGTAAACCAAGATACGGCAGTGTCAAGCTGCACGTACCCGGTAGCCCCAAAATGAGTTCAAGCTCGACCGAAGCGTAATTTCTTGAACGTATGCTCTATGATAGTGGTATTCTTGCGCAACACATTTCGTGGTTGCAACGTGGCAGGCCCAAGTCAACAGAGAGATGTGAGGAGGAAACGGTGGATAATGTGCATATGAATTCGGTAGCTTGTTCGTGGACTGGTGAGTAAACCCAAGCTGCATGCACGACGTGCAGGGACTGTAGAGGTCGCAGTGGGAAGTGGCACAAACATCCAAAGCGTCATGCAGTATGGTAATATTGTGGGCAATATGTAGACCGATGAAGCGCTAAGCTCTCTAAAGGCCGAGGGACGGGTCGAAGGCGCGCTCGATGCTGATAAGTGCAGTTTAGAGGATGACCAGGGGCCTTGTTTTAGCCTCCAAGAGTTCTCCACACCCCTAGAGGACAGTTCAAGCCACTGTATTTGCGTTGAGAAAGTTATGCTTGGGGTGTTCGATATTCGATGGTTGCTGAAGACATTGCTGGAGAATCAAGCCATCGAGGTGGGTGAGATTATATTTAACGTGAAGCTGCACCGGTAGTGAAGTGCACCAGGGGCCCAGAAGAGTGCACGGAGAAAAGAAAACGTGCCTGGTTGCGTCCATGTGGAAACCAATATTCCGAACAGTAATCCCCCACGTGAAGGTATCAAGTCGTTTGAGGCAGAAGAATTACTTGAATTGATCTCGCGGCATCAAATGAGATCTCCGCATCGAGGGCTTTTCGTCTCGTTCAACGATGACTCGTGGGATCAGAGACAATGGCTCAGTGCGCCATCAATAGCGACCCAGATAACAAACCAAGTTGGCATGACCCCAGGATTCGACATGCGTGTACTCACAGAGAGATTGGCGCTCCAGTCGACAATAGCTACAGAGTCTAAGTCCAAAAGCGATCAGAGTTGGAGTAAGAACGAATGACGATGTTTTGCTGTATTCTGCAAATATGATGTATTGTACGGTAAGGTCGTATCTTGGTACGTTACGGTGCAAATACAGCTCGCAGAGGACCAGCTGATGTCTGTCAAGCTAGTCAGAATGCAATATAGACCAAGGACAATAGCAGAAACATAGCAAATACGCGTCGTCAATAGGAATATGCTGTGCAACAATAAAGGAACCTAACGACAAGAATGGTGGCTCCTTTCTGCACACCAACGAGCAAGGTTAGAGCTGTCTTCATGATATGGTTGGTCCTTATGGGCGGCAAGGTATGGCTGTCTAGTGGAGTGATGAGCTCGAACGCGCAGGCATTAATGGTTTCAGCATAAAAGCCAGGCAAACCAGGGGCCTCGCTGCAACAGCTAAAATGTGCCTCTTTAGTCGACATCGGTGGAGACAAGCTCTTAACGCAATCACAACTCCGAAGGAAGGCATGATGGATATCGTTGAGTTTTAGCAGACTACCCGAAATGATTCCCTTCATGCAACATGCAAGCCTCGAACGCCCACGCCTCGAAATCCTTCAAGGTGGAAAGCGAGCCAAGCGAGATCGTTTACGAGCGAACGGCGGTTTGTCGTCAAACTCAATCTACCTCACGGGCACTGTTCGGAGCGCTACGGATCGTGCTTAACCTCGCCGCTCTTAGCTTGTCAAAGGCAAGCAAATTGTACGAGCATGCCGAAGATCAAATTGACCCTAACTTGATTTTAAACTCTGGAGACCTTCTTACCCAAGGCGAGTCAACTCCAGAGACAAAAGGTGTAGTCAAAGAGTGATATTCGACCAATCGACTTTAATTTGAGATTAGATTGGTTGATTAATTGCTTTCCTCGACCCCAAACACATCTGTGTTCGAGACGAGTGTGGTGGGCAAGGACAATTGCTCCGCAACCAAGCTTTGCAACCTCTCGCTCGTGGGTACGTATTATGTACTTATTGCTGGTCTTCGCTCTAGGAGCGCGACATTCAAAGCAGGCAACAGCGGTTGACCCAGTCGATATGAATTGCTGTCTTGTCAGCGTATAGTAGATCGATGATCCACGACATTTCGATTGTACTTTCAACACATGCATGGAGACAGGTGTTGACAAGCTCGAAATTTGGTGGGTGGATGAACGGGGATCGTGCATCCCAACGGGTGGATGCACGCTCCCTTCAAGAGGCGCAGGATCATACATCCCAAGCCTCATCGAGGCAATCAGGCCAAAGCAAGCCATGCGACTACGAAGCAGCCACAATTCTTCGAGAGACAAGAAATCTACGATTGATCACTTTTTGACAATGGTAACTGAAGGACGTTAGACGTGTTTCCGGAACTAGAACCATCAAACTTACTGATATCTTCGTCTTCGAGCACATGGTTGAGACCACAAAGTTGTCCCTGGTGTTTGACGGATCTGCCCCAAACAATGGCGTGCTTAAACTGTTCAAGGATACTCTTGTGTATACTGTTGCACTAACAGAAATCAGTCTTTGACTTCTCACCCATCTACTTGGCACACTCACAAAATCTTCGACTGTATTGCGACCATCCTTCAAAACCACTGGTGCCTCGTAATCGGGCAATCTTCCTTTTGGTTTTGTGTAGACTCGCTTCAGCTGTAGTTTATCCCACATCATCTCCAGAAGCTCATCGATGTTCCAGCCGTGCTCCGAGCTAATAGGACAGGCATTTGGTATTCTGTATAGCAGATCAAGTTCCTCTATTGAAATTGAGTCAATCTTGTTTAATGCATAGATGACGGGGATATAGCTTCGACTTTTCGCTTCGATAATGTCAATCAAATCGTCTACAGTGGCATCGCATCGTATGGCAATGTCCGCTGAGAGAATTCGATACTCTGCCATAACAGCTTTGATCTCATCGTGGTCGATGTGTGTTAGAGGAACAGTACTAGTGATATTGAGGCCTCCTTTGTCCTTCTTTGTGATTTTGATATTTGGAGGTGATTTGTTTATGCGAATACCAAAGCCTTCGAGCTCGTTCTCTATCACTCGTTTGTCAGTGAGGGGCTTATTGACGTCAAGCACGATAAAAATAAGTTGACAACTTTTAGCAACTGCAATGACTTGGCGACCACGACCCTTGCCATCTTTGGCTCCCTGGATAATACCAGGAAGATCGAGCATTTGTATCGCAGCGCCACGATATGTGATCTGACCTGGGATCGTTGTCAGTGTCGTGAACTCGTAGCTGGCAGCTTCACTGTGGACTCCAGTCAATTTCGTAAGCAGAGTACTTTTGCCGACAGAAGGGAATCCAATGAACCCAACCGAAGCGGCACCGGTACGTGCCACATCAAATCCAGCACCACCGCCTCCTCCACTCGACGACGGTGTTAGTAGTTCCTTCCGTAGTTTGGCCAACTTGGCTTTCAGTTGACCCAGATGGAAACTTGTAGCCTTGTTTTTCTGAGTCTTGGCCATTTCGGCCTCAATGTCCTTAATCTTGTCGACTGTGGTCGCCATCTTGTAGGATCTTGATTAGATCGGTGAATAAGACTGATTCAATAGATTTCGGATTGTCAGACACCGTGTGGTCTTGATCTGCCCGGCTGAGTACGGAGTTGTTGCGAGTCTTGAGAAAGGTTTGCTGTTCAATTGACAGACATGAAACAACAGTGGCGGTTCTGTGGCTTAAAGCACGTCTCGCCGCTGTTTGACTGATGCAGATGTTGTTGTCCGGCAACTTTAAACTGCCTTTCTTGCCAGTCCCTCATCACTTATAAGCACTTGGTCACATAAAGTCCATATCACTGCACAAACACGGCAAATTGTCGAGTCATTTGTTGAGTGGTCGCGATGTGGTACTCAAGATGGCCGTAAGGTAAGTCACACCCACGAGAGAAAGGGCAACGAACAGCACAACCACCACTGGCTTCCTAAAGCGTCCTTAGCGCAAATTGCGTGCTCTCAGTAGCCATAAGGAGGCAGGAGTTCGACAGCTCAGGTTTGACGTCCTCTTCCACTGAAATGTACGGTGTCTGCATCAGGAGGACCTTGCGACAATGAGATGTATCAAATAAGCTGCAACCGCGACTTGCGATGCCGTCGTGGCGCTGCTGGGCAAGCAAGTGAGCTGTCACTATCAAGTAATGCTCGATCTACAGTAAGTCTAGGTACCGTACAGGTTGGTAAAGATGGAAAGGTATAGACATGCCACGCTTCTGAGCGTGTTTGCTGTCGTGGTGAATACCAACGCTGAATAGACAAGCGATTGTCATCTCGCTGATAACCGGGGACTTTGCTTGCCGTACAGCCCAGCTTCGGAGACTAAAACCTCGTGATCACTATCTCCCTTGTTCATTGTGTTTTGTTTCTGCGGTCTGCACCATATGCCCGAAAGAACTATTGTCTCAGCATGACTACCTTCAAGGAACTGATTAGAGATATTGGCGACGCTCTTGGTGCGACCTCGGGTCTCGATAGTGAGGAGGTTGATCATCGGGAGCTAATCTCTCTGATGGAACGGTACTCGTCCGATAAGACAGAGTGGTTACCATATGCCTTCAGTGATGCAAGCCGAAATTACACTCGCAACCAAGTATCAGACACGAACAAGAAATCGAATGTTCTGGTTATTGTTTGGGTGTGTCAAACCCGGTCATGCCGCCATTGCTATGCTTGCTGACTTGAACATAGGAGCCAGGCAGAGGTAGTCCAATACATGACCATGCTAACGCTCATTGCATCATGAAGATCCTGGGAGGCAGCCTCAAGGAGACATTATACGGACAGCCGCAACGAGAAGGCGACAAGCTGAAATTAGCCAAGACTACGATCTACGAAGAGAACCAGGTAACCTATATCAGTGACAAGATAGGTTTACATAAGGTCGAGAATGCATCCTTGACTGATAGGGCGGTCAGTCTTCACCTCTACACGCCTCCTCATGCGCACAACTACGGATTCAATCTCTTTGATGAAACCACAGGAAAGAAGTCATACGTCAAGACCACAGCATTCTACTCTGATCATGGCAGAGTGTGTGACAACGCAGTATCGGCGAGGATGTAAGATACCATATTGTCGAGTTGTGCCTCAGCAAAGAGAAGCTGCAGTATCAGTGATTTACTATTTTCGTACACAACAAGCTAGCTATCGTTGATTTTGTGGTTTGCTACAATCGAGATATTCATTCCAATCAAACAAGGACTTCCTCCAATAATTGTACATTACATGACCGCTGGTTGTGTAAGTGTGGCGCCGCCCTGTTTTACTTTGTTAGCTTCTGACGTGAAGTCGGGACATGCAAGTACTCACGTCTGGATGTATAACTTCGCCATTACAGAACAATCCTCCTGGTCCGGCTAGATACAGAATTGTGGCAGCCATTTCAGCATCCGAGCCTCCTCGGCCTGATGGATTGCCCAACTTGGAGCTTAGCTCGCTCTTGTTCTGCTCGTCGGACTCCGATGTGGTCACTGCAAAGAATAGTGTTAGTGGACCCTCAACACCGAGCACGCACAAGGCTGTTCTGCAACTTACTTTCTGAGGGGAAAACACCTGGCGCAATTTGGTTGACTCGAATACCTGTACCCTGAAGGTGTGAAGCGATGTGAAAGCTCTGTTGCTTCATAGCAGCTTTGGAGTTTGCATACGCAAATTGTCCTGTTCTCTATTAGCTTTGTTGATGTGGGAGACAGATATACATACCTGAAGATGTGCCCTTCATGAGACCAGAGATACTCGTGATGTTGACAATCGAGGAGGTGTATTTGATGCCAGGGAAAGGCTCATATCCCGCCTTATTTGCTTTGGCCAGTAAAGGTGCAAAAGCAGCTGCCATGAAGAATTGCCCGATGATGTTGGTCCTGAAGGTTTCCTCCCAAGCAGCAGGGTCGCTTTCAAGCATGTGTTTTGACAGAGCCTCAGCATCTTCCCAGCTATCTGGAGGGTTGTTGCTAAGCTTCGTATTGTCATCTCGAGCAATACCAGCGTTGTTGACCAACAAGTGAATACCGTTCGACTCCTTCTCACCGATCTCCTTTGCTAATCTGATACATTCGTCCTTCTTTGACACGTCACCTGTAATAGCGATGATCTTGCCCGGGCCACTTGAGTGCTCGTTGACCACAGTGTCGAGGGCTTCCTTGCGTCTGCCAGTGATGTAAACCGTTGCACCGTTAGCGACCAGTGCTTGGGTACACATCAATCCGATACCAGTGCCACCACCCGTGACGACACACTTGAGTTTGCTCACGTCAAAGAGCTTAGCTGCCGTAAGGTCTTCGGTCTTGAAGTGAGAAGTCATGACTGGTGCTGCGAAGAAGCGTTGTTGATAGGTAGTGGGTACACTTGGAAATTTGACTCTATAGGTCGATGTCAATGTACGAGGAGAAAATAGACGAAGCATGAGGCAGCTAAAAAGAACAACAGAAGTATATAGCTACTACGACAGATTCACGAAGCTGGAAATGCTATTAAAACAAGTGTAATAGTGATCATTGACGCGCTTGGAAGCTCCGAGCTTAGTACTGACATACGTACTGCTCATTGAGGTATGACGTTGATATTCATCGAAGAGGGTTCCTGTTGATCATCACCTTCGAACTTTTCGGGCAGGGCTATGGCTTGTAAATAGTGAAACAATGTTCAATGGCACAGACGTAGCAGAATACCAAAGCCTTGACCATGGACAGAGTCTTGGATAGGGACAAGTTTCGCTTAATAGCTCGATTGTGAGGGTTCCCAGCATGCTGCTGCGAAAGTCTCTCCACCGGAACGTCTGGGGAAGCAATGTGCATGCAGTATCAGTAGATCTGAATCAGTAGGAGAACATGACGTCGGCTCAAAGACAAATACTGAGTCGAGGCTGCTGCTCGTGCTTCTATACAATGTGATTGTTATGGTTGGTCTTAAGAAATGTGCTGTCCTGAGCCCGAGCGGATAATCCTCGCTAGTGGAGTCTTGCCAAGATTTGAAAAGTGGGGTCGAATTATCGCACACCCAGAATTGAAGGTCACGTCCTACCACAAGTAACTCGACCGCAGCCTTTCCTTTATTTCCTATACACAGCTCAACATGGCTACCACACAGACCGCGATCTCTAAGAAGAGAAAGTTCGTCGCCGACGGTGTGTTCTATGCCGAACTCAACGAGTTTTTCCAGGTTGGTAGCGCGGAATTTCACGAAATCAAACAGAAACTAATTCACAGTAGCGAGAGCTGGCAGAAGAAGGTTACTCTGGTGTCGAAGTCCGAGTAACACCTACCGTTACCGATATCAGTATGCGATCACGAGCCTAGAGACTTAATGAAGGAATATCTAACGGGAGGAAACAGTCATTCGAGCCACCCATACACAAGAAGTTCTCGGCGAGCAGGGTCGACGCATCCGAGAACTCACCTCCCTCATTCAGAAGCGATTTAAATTCCCAGAAAACTCGGTCTCACTGTACGCAGCCAAGGTCCAGAACAGAGGTCTCTCAGCAGTCGCACAGTGCGAATCCCTCCGATACAAGCTTCTCAATGGTCTGGCCGTACGAAGAGCATGCTATGGTGTCCTGAGATTCATCATGGAGTCTGGTGCCAAGGGCTGTGAAGTCGTCGTGTCAGGAAAGCTCCGAGCTGCTCGTGCGAAGAGCATGAAGTTCACCGTAAGAGATATACACTATAAATACCAAGAGAAAGACGTTAACAGTTGTGTTTAGGACGGCTTCATGATTCACTCCGGTCAACCAGCCAAAGACTTCATCGACTCCGCTACCCGTCACGTACTCCTCAGACAAGGTGTCCTCGGTATCAAGGTCAAGATCATGCGCGGCTCCGACCCAGAAGGCAAGGCCGGCCCACAAAAATCCCTACCCGACTCCGTCACTATCATTGAACCAAAGGAAGAGCAACCTGTCGTACAACCTTCGTCACAGGACTACGGTGCCAAGGCACAGGCTGCCCAGCAGGCCGCTCAGGACGCAAGAGCTGCGGAACAGCAAGATGGTGAGCAGGAGCAGTATGCGCAGGAATAGAAGACCGGCGAACAGACTGCAGTTGAAGAAGGATATGAGCATGTTCAGCAGGCGGTTGTTCCTCAGCCACGAGCTGATCAGTACGAGACGGTTCAGGCTCCAACTTAGGCCCATTAGCCTGGTGGTAATTGGTAGCTGAACGATCCTGCTGATGCATCAGGCTGTACAGGCTCATGGTGACGTGATGATTTCACGAAGTGAAGAGCAATGCAGTGTGCGGAGGACGAGTCTGTCATTCAGCGACATATCCATGCTTGTGGGGAGTTGCTTGAGCAAAGCGATGATCAAAGCTCACGTTTCGAATGAAGATACCAATTTTTAACCACACGACATCTTTCGTGTAGATTCTTTGACTCTATCGTTGTCTAGTGTCCAAGCAAACTGCTATGGTTTCGCTATGAATCCCTCTAACCGAAACTACTCGTCCACATGCTATCTACGCTTTTGATTGGTGGTTGATTCTTACATAAAGACCTCAACATTCAGTTCCAGCACACTGACAGGATACCTGAGTTCGAACTTTTCAAGCACAGTAGGGTGCAAGATACCGAACTTTCCAATGACAGTCTTCTTATCTCTTACCTGCAAAACGATATTGGCAGCATGTCCTTCGTAGAAGGTCGGGTCGTCGACTTCCTCGATCCAATACTGCATGCTGTTGGCATCTTCGAGCTCGAGTCCCTCTTCTCGTGTTACGAAAGCGGTCTTTAGCATAGCCATCAGGCGATCCAGAAGACCATGCACAACCTCAAAGCCCGATGTCTTGCCGTACCATGCCGCAGCAAAGTGTCGTTCGTTTCGGGCTTTGCGCTCCAGTTCAGGAGCTTTGAAGGCTACGTCTGAGCATTCGAAGATCTTTACGGGAACAGAGTGGTGCTTGTTCTCGCGTATTGTCTTGAGTAGCCCTGGTATTAGCGAGGTACGCACGACTTGATACTCGAGTGTTTTTGGATTGGCGAGCTTGACAGCTGTCGTGCCATCGTCCTTGCGATTGAGCCATGCGAAGTTTTCGTCGTGAGAACAGAGAATTAAAGGGAGTACCTCGGCCCATCCTGCCATGGCACTTTCTTGACGAAGAATGTCTGAGAGCTTGTTGATTGCCAGTGGTGCTGCGACCGTGCTGCTGACTTTGGGAAAGGCACGGGGAAGTTTATTGAAGCCATAGCCTATGCAGACGTCCTCCATTATGTCTGCTTGATGAAGAACATCCGCGCGTGTGCAAGGTACCTGGACATCGATGAGGTTTGGATCCGATTTGGATGGTTTAGCATTGTACGACATGCGCAGGAGGAGATCACATATTTGCTGGGGGCTCATGTCAACACCTGTGCAGGACTTGATGTAGTCGACTTCGGCCTGTGTTTCTCGCGGGTCGACATTGGGAACCTGCCGAGTCTCACCATTGTGTTCAGAGATGATCTTGATGGGCTCTATCGTGAACTTCTCAGCTGTATACTGCGAGAACATCGTAACAACCATGTTCGTAACGATTTCGACTTTTGTCTTATCGGTAGCTGTAACCTCGATGAAGACGTTTTTGGTTTTTGTGGTAATCTTGGAATGGTTGCCATTAATGATGGGTGGTAACGAGCATACCACCTTGTTTGCATCGTAAATGACGGGATAGACTGGCGAGTCTCGAATAATGTGTAGATATCGACCCAGATGTCGGTCTTTCTCGTAGAACTTCATGAGCTCTTCGCCGTTCATCTCCTTAGTCTGGTTCAGAGGTATGAATTTGATGTCCTTGGGTGGTAGTGCTTCGTAGGTAAAAGGGCCCTTGATGGTGTCTAAGTCATGTGTGCCGATAGACACTAAGGTTCGTTGACGAGCCAGATTCTGGTGCAACTTATCCTGTAGAGCAATGAAAGACTCGTATCTTGCTTCGTCGAAGGTGACATTCCTGAGGATAGCTCCAGACACGTACGGTCTGATTCGAGCAGTATCCTTGGTTACTGTAATCGATTGGACATCGCTGGGTGCCTTGAGGGCATACTTAGGCGCTTCAGTCCGCTGAAGAAAGATATTGAGCATCAATTGTATGCCTTCGAAGCATAGCATGTCATAGCGATTGGCAGGAATTTCAATCTTGAGCTGTGGAGGCTCTTGTTCACCGTTTACAACAGGCCGCTGTTCCTCTTCTGTGTCTTCATCCAACTCAATACCGAAATCAAAGCATAGCTCATCGAACTCATCCTTGGTGTATGTTTTGCCAAGAGCCTTATACAAGGCATACTTGTCAACAGCGATGGTTGGCATTTTACGGGCAGTGCCACCAGGCTGCGAAGTCGTAGAGCTCTGACAAGTCTGTCGCAGATGTGGTGTATCTTAGAGAATAGTTTGGTCTCTTGAACCTGTACTACTATTCGAGAGTGATCGCGACTGAGAAATACAACTTGGATTGTGACTCCTTCACGTTCGCCAGTGGCTTCTGCTTTCGGTTTGGTGGAAGATTTGTATTGCGGCTGCTTGGCATATACGTTGCCGCCATGCGAGACTCAGGTATCAACAACGTCCCGACCTATGACGAAGATTTGTTGGACTTGGAACTGTTATAGAATAATCCTCGTATACACAAGCTGATTCTGTCTCAAATCGACTAAGAGACTCCCCGAAACTGCTACTCACATTGCACGAAGCTGTTGATACACTGAGTAGCCTGTCAGAAAGTTTGGTAAGTACCCAAATTATTCAGGGTTACTGAGCACATGCCCACCTCAGTCACCAAAACACGCCTTCGCTCCCTAGCCCTACGTACCGCCTAGCAGCACAGCTTACCAGGCGTTTGCCTACTGCAACAGGCTTTCACGAACTGTTCACTATCGCACAACTGACTTCATACTGCAGGAGCAATTCGCACGACGCCAATATAGCAATAGCTCTTTCCCCAATCCGCTCAACCCTGCGCAAAGTGTCGAAGAATACTGGTCGTGACCTCTTTCCTTTTCCGTGGTCCCGTGCCAGTCTCTCTTTTGAACCACTTTAGGCACCGAACCCACGACAACTATGGAGGGCCAGAACGAGAACGATGAGCTCTATCCTATTGCCGTGCTCATCGACGAATTAAAAGTGGGTAGCCACTGCCTGGGCCTGAGCGAACATGTCTAACGTCTCCTGCAGCATGATGATGTCCTATTGCGATTGAACGCCATACATCGCCTCTCTACGATTGCCTTAGCACTAGGACCTGAGCGAACGAGAGACGAGCTTATACCGTTCCTTGACGACTCAGTTGAAGATGAGGATGAAGTTCTGACCGCACTAGGAGAAGAGCTTGGAAACTTTATCGAGTACGTTGGGGGTCCTGAATATGGTCACGTCCTGCTGAGGCCTCTCGAGAATCTCGCTGCCATAGAAGAGCCACTCGTGCGCGATAAGGCTGTCGATTCCCTTAACAAGATATGCGCCGAGCTTTCGACTCAACAGGTCGAGGAGCACTTCATTCCTCTTACACTGGGCCTTTCCAAAGCTGATTGGTTCACCTCGAAGATCTCAGCCACAGGTTTATACGTCGCACCCTACAGGAAAGCCTCCCCAGCTTCGCAACAAGTTCTGAGACAGCAGTTCGGTCATCTCGTGCACGATGAGACTCCAATGGTCAGAAGACAAGCAGCGAACAATCTGGCAAAGTTTGTGAAGGAAGTGCCAGTTCAAATCGTCATTGATGAGATGATCCCTCTCTTCCAGCATTTGGCCAGCGACGACCAAGATAGCGTACGCCTTCTGACTGTCGAAGTCCTGATAGCCATTGCCGAGATGATACCTAAAGAGCAGCAGCCGAGTCATGGGGTTCTTCTAAAGGCCTTACGAGATCTGTTTGAGGACAAGAGCTGGCGAGTGAGATATATGGTTGCAGAAAAGTTTGAGAAGATCGCAAAAGCAGTCAATGAAGAGGTTGTTACAAGGGACCTTGTGCAAACTTTTGTCAAGCTCCTCAAGGACAGTGAGGCTGAAGTCAGGACAGCTATTGCCAGTCAAATCCCAGGATTTTGTGGACTGCTGGAGCGCGAAGTCCTGCTCGACCAAATCATGACCAGTATAGAAGACCTGGTCTCGGACCCCTCGCAGCATGTTAGAGCTGCTCTTGGAACGCAACTTTCTGGCCTGGCTCCAATACTCGGCAAAGAGGAGACAATCTCACACTTACTACCTATGTTTTTGCAAATGCTCAAGGACGAGTTTCCAGACGTACGCCTGCACATTATCTCGAAACTCGAGCTTGTCAACAACGTCATCGGTATTGATCTTCTCTCGCAGTCACTTCTCCCAGCCATTGTGCAGCTTGCAGAGGACAAGCAGTGGAGAGTCCGCCTGGCCATTATCGAATACGTCCCTCTCCTAGCCAAGCAGCTGGGTGTGAAGTTCTTCGATGAGCAGCTCAGCAATTTGTGCATGGGTTGGTTGGGCGACACTGTTTTCTCTATCAGAGAAGCAGCTGTCGCAAATTTGAAAAAGCTCACAGAAGTCTTCGGCGTCGATTGGGCAAAACAGTCCATAATCCCCAAGGTGGCCGCGATGAGCCAGCAACAAAATTACCTCTACCGAATGACGACCTGCTTCGCCATAACTGTAAGTACTAGTTATTCGTGACGTGCTGTCGAAACATGGGCTAATCGTGGCAGACTCTATCTCCCGTTGTGACAGTCGATATTATCGAGTCTTCTGTCCTGCCTATGATGGACCGTCTAGTGTCGGACCCTATCCCTAATATTCGCTTCAACGTCGCCAAATCGTATGCAGTCATTATCGATGCTCTCAAGAAGCTTTCTGAGAAGGGAACCCTTGCAGAGCAGGAAACATCCGTGACCGCGTCCGCGGGATCGTCAAAAGGTCAGCAACTGATCACGAATCAGATAATGCCAAACCTGGAGAAGCTACAAAGCGATCCGGACGTCGATGTAAGGTATTTTGCTACTGTTGCTGCGGGTGGGCCCGCTCAAGGTGGACCAGTATTTCAGGGAAACGACAAGATGGATACTGGCTCCTGAGCTTAGAGATGAGACATGCGCAAAGACAAGCGATACCCCTAGATATAGCATGGCAGATAAACCGTAGCAAGCGAGTATGCAGAGAAGCAGGAACGACGTGACGTTCCTTGCCGTCTTGTCATTACGCTGTGGGACAAAGCGAAATAAGCTTGAATGTGGTACTCGCTGCCGTGACTGGACTTAGCAGTTGTAAGAGCGACTTTTCAAATGCTTCGAAACTCACTATAGCAGTCTCACAATTTATAATTCATTTTCCAGTCCCAATGTTTGGCTCATCAGGTCGCCTCTATGTGAATGAACGCTTTGCCTATTCAGGCAGGATGGTAGTGTTTGTGAAGCGTTTGATCCGCGGCACGGCACTCTCCTTGACCAACAGCAATCCGTGGTATTTGTACACCAGCACACGATCCTCCTCTTGCTTCAAGCAGATTTGTACATATTGACCAGAACAGCATATCGCGAACGTGCAGGGGATCAACAGTAACCAAGAGATGCGCGACCGCCGAGAGTGGCGCAAAATAGGTTTCTGATGCACATTGGTCCAAGCCATGTTGAATACGGGATGATAAAGTCGCGCAAAGCTTTTGGCTTGATCATACTCTTGTTCACTGCAGCTCTAACCCTTGTCTATCTGCGGAACCTTGAACCAGAGCACTACCCTCCAGCAGCGCTTGGGGAGGACGAGAACGGAAATGAGCAGGTACCAGCAACCGTAAAATCACACCCTATCCATCAGCTTATCTCCAAGAACGAGGTCGACTTCAAAGCACTAAGAGAGCGGCAATCAAAGACTTTAGACGAGGCTGTAGGTGAGTACCGCAGACGGTATGGCATACCACCTCCTCCGAATTTCGATAAATGGTTCAGGTTTGCGCAAGACAGAGGAGTACAATTGATTGATGAATATGATACAATACACCATCAATTACTGCCCTTCTGGGCGCTCGAACCAACGGTCATAAGAGAAAGAGTGCGTGAGGCGATCGGCTTTGACAATGCTCTCATTGCGGTTCTTGTAAGAAATGGTCAAGTCACACATATGGATGGAGGAGGGGAAATGTATCAATGGCATAGAGAGGCAACACCGATCATGCTCAAGAACTTCATTAAATACCTTCCGGACATGGACCTGGCCTTTAATATTCACGACGAGCCTCGAATCGTGCTGCAGCACGACGATCTTTCTCGCCACGTTCAAATAGCTCTGGACCAAAACATGCCTCGAGCATTGAGAAATTCCGGACTCAGGAATGGCTGGTCGCGTCGCCCTAGCGATATGAACGCAGGTGATCGTATCAAGGAGTACAGGACGACTCGGTTCAATCGATATGCCCATCAAGCAACTTGGTACGACAGTCGCACTTCATGCAATCCGGATTCCGCAGCTCGTCGCTTTCTAAACGATACCCCGACCGACGATACTAGCCCATATACCCACGATTTACCACTGGGATTTCTAGCAAACACAACTGCCTTCAGTGACATCTGCAACACTCCCAGCCTCCAGCGCAGCTTTGGCTTCTTTGACCGACCTAATGCTTTCGATGTGGCTCACGAACTCTTCCCAATCTTCTCCCAGTCAAAGGTATCTTCATTTCAGGACATACTTTATCCATCACCTTGGTATTTCATGGGTCGAGTCAAATATGAGCCAGAAAGTGATATGCCATGGAGCGAGAAGAACCACACTATGTACTGGCGTGGCAGCACGACTGGCGGTTTCAGTCGAGACGGTGGTTGGCGTAACCAACATCGTCAACAATTCGTACAGAAGACCATGCCGTTGGGAAAAGCATCCTATCTTCATCACGATGCAGAAAGAGACGAGTGGGTCGAACAAAGAGATGAGATGAAGAACCTGGACCGCTTCTTCGATGTCAGATTTACCTACGTTGGTCAATGCGATCCCGGAGACTGTGATGCACAAAAAGAGTTCTTCGACCTTGCGCCACATGTCAATATGTTTGATGCTTTACAGTCGAAATACGTTCTTGATATTGACGGCAATGCATTTTCTGGTCGGTACTACGCCTGGCTCTTGAGTAACTCCCTTGTATACAAGTTGGCACTCTTCCGAGAGTGGCATGACGAATGGCTTACACCATGGGTACACTACGTCCCGCTTGGCATACATGGGAACGAATATGTCGAATCCGTTCGCTACTTTGACGAAGAAGAGATCGGCAGACAGCAAGCACTCAGGCTGGCGGAGGCAGGAAAAGACTGGGCAGGCAAAGTGCTTCGGAATGCTGACCTGGAAGTGTGGTACTTCAGGTTGTTGCTCGAGTATGGGAGGCTGATTGACGATGAGAGGTACAACATCGGGTTTCAGTTGTGAACCTACAGATGGTGTCGGGCATAAAATGTTCATACAATGAATAGATACGTACATAGAAACTAAATGTCCTAGTAAATGTCACTCGAATCATCTCAATAGATGCCTATTGTGCTGAACGTTGCTCTTTCTATTTGCTTTCAAGTGTGTTTAATAGGTTGACGCTTAAGTACGGCTCGGCATAATATCGGCAGTGGCGACAATGAGGCATGCACCCTCCCCCATCATTTCTCATCAAGTTTGAGTGAGATCCTAACCGTTCGCTTCACATCTGTGGACCGTCAACATAAAAGACATCCTCACAACCATGGCGGTCGCAATCCCTAGACATCGGTGCTTGAATGGTAAACAGTGGTCCTCACCATTTAAAGTCTTCGTACAACAATCCCAAAAGCCCTCAACCCGACGAACCTTTGCTACAGCGACTGACGATGCTCCAACCACAACACCAAGAGTACAAGCAACGACATTCTCAGACAAGCTCAATACCGGACCATCCTTCGATGAATTTGTATCTGGTAAAGAACCACCCTTAAGGCTCTCGGAAGCCTATCAACTCAAAACAGCGCTTGTAGGACCAAAAGGCAAGCAGAAGCAGATCACAAGATTGCCAGAATGGCTGAAGACTCCTATACCCGACACCTCGTCGTACAAGAAGATAAAAAACGACTTACGAGGACTCAATCTACACACCGTTTGCGAAGAAGCGCGATGTCCGAACATTTCAGACTGCTGGGGTGGAAGTAGCAAAGCCGCTGCAACTGCGACAATCATGCTGATGGGCGACACATGTACAAGAGGCTGCAGGTTTTGCAGCGTGAAGACGTCGAAAGCACCACCACCACTCGATCCACATGAACCAGAACATACCGCTGAGGCACTGTCAAGATGGGGTCTAGGCTATGTCGTTCTTACAAGTGTGGATCGGGACGATCTGCCCGATGGTGGAGCGAATCATGCTGCAGAAACAGTGCGGAAGATCAAGAGCAAGGCGCCTTCGATGCTCGTCGAGTATTTAACAGGAGACTTTGCTGGTGATTTAGAAATGGTTAGATTAGTCGCACGAAGTGGTCTAGACGTCTATGCGCACAACGTCGAGACCACTGAAGCTTTGACGCCGCAGGTTCGAGATCGCAGGGCAACATTCAAGCAGAGTCTAAGTGTGCTGAAGGCTGCTAAAGAGGCCAAGGAAGGCTTGATCACGAAGACTTCTATTATGCTTGGATTAGGCGAGACTGAGGAGCAGCTTTATGACGCTCTGCGTCGGTTAAGAGAAATCGATGTGGACGTGGTTACCTTTGGACAGTACATGCGACCTACAAAGAGACATATGGCTGTACATGAATATGTGACACCAGATGTGTTTGAGCTATGGAGGCAAAGGGCGCTTGACATGGGATTCCTATACTGCGCTTCTGGCCCTTTAGTGAGGAGCTCGTACAAGGCTGGTGAGGCATTTATTGAGAATGTGCTGAAGAAGAGGCAGGCGAGTCGTCTTGAGACCATGACAGCGGATATGGCTGGCCAAATCAAGGCTGAGACGACTGTGGTATAAACAAAAATAGGTTTGCTTCTGGAGCGGGCGTTCAGGAGAAAATTAGGGTTTGTAACAAGCATTCAACGTCGATGTAGTTAAGAGCCAGTATTCAACCAGGCTCAAATGAGGATACAACCGTTCTCCTAAAAGATCTCTCTCGACTCAAGCCTCGCTGTGTACTATTGACCTTGGTACCTGCAGATGTACTACGACGTCCCTCAATCTTTCAGCAAGGAGTATGCCCGCTGTACGAACCGTACCCATTTGGAACATCTGTGTTGCGAAACAGTATTTCGGGCGCGCATCTCGCTGTCTGGCGTGCGTCCGTATCTTCGCCTTAGGCTTATGGTAGCAGTATTCAAGAGCTTTCAGGTGGTCTTGCCTTGTCGTGACGCATGTTCGGCCACCACGCTCTCTTTCGCTTCAGAACCTCGTCATCTCCAGCTGTATATTGCTGTCGACTCGTGTTGTGGCGCCGTAGCATTCTCGCTCATAGTATTCGTAACTTCTGTATCGTTCATGTCCCTTCAACCACAACTTCCACATTCCGGCCCTCTCACATCATCCACAGTCCCCATCCGTCTTCCACTACCGGCACCACCTCCACCACCACCACTTCTAGGCCCAGAACCATCACCACCCAGTCTTCCGCCTCCAAACAATCCACCGCCACTGTTTCCAGCGCCAGACCTCCCTGCCGCAGTAGTGCCCGTGCTTCCAGCAGGCTGTCTTCCTGGTCCTCTTGTGTTGAATCTACTTCTCTGCGCGGCGGTGTATGAGTCCAATGACAGCAAAGAGACGAAATACAGTCCTAGGAAATTGTAGACGTCGCTTGTGAGGCGGTTGAGGCGGGCGCTGAGAGGGAGAGATGTGAGGGTTTGCCCGCTGGACGAGATGTAGGATGTTGTTGGTTTGGTGGTTGGTTTTGAGGTGGATGAGGAGGATTTGTCGGCCATGACGGGATGTTCAGGGTGCTGTGTGGCGTTGTAATGGCAGTTACAACGTGCGTGGTGGCTATGGTCTGAACAGTGAAGATGGGAGATAGTACAATATATGCAGACGAAGGTCGGCTTAGGCTGCACAGGCCAGTTTACAGCCTGGGACAGCCGGAATTATCACGTGTTAAGCAGGTCAATCGCCATCATCAGGCATGCCCGTGCCCAATCCTAGGCACTTCGCAGGTACGTACTTCACACCTCAAAGATTGGAATCGTGTCAACCGTCGATTGTCGACAGTAGCGACACTCTCTCGATGATGTGCAGTGTAATAGTCGAAAGTCCACTTCATTGCTCTGTCTTTGAGGAACTGATTATGTGGAAGGATCGCCACTCTATGACACAAGTTTCCATGATGCTCACATATCTTCTTCCAGTTCGGTAAGCAGATCAGAAACGATCTTTCGTAAAGTCTTCCCCTTCTTCTATAGTTTACCACCACACCATGGCAAGTTACAATCGCGTCGCTGCTGTTACAGGGGGTAATAAAGGTATTGGTCTAGCTATTGTCAGACAGCTTGCTCTCCAGTACCCCAAATCCAGCTTCAATTCAGGCCCCTTTCTCATTTACTTGACTGCGCGAAACCAAGAACGTGGCGAGAAGGCACTGCAGGACATCAACGACGATGCACAACTGAAAAAAGCCAAGGCTTTGAAGAGTGACGGAGGCCTTGCAGAAATTAAATACCTGCCACTGGATATCGATAGTCAAGACAGCATCAAATCCTTCGCGGAACAGATCGGAAAGTCTCACCCTAAAGGCATTGATTTTCTGATCAACAATGCCGCTGTCGCGTTGGATGGCTTCGATGCGGATGTGGTGAAGAAGACGTTACATAGCAATTACTACGGAGCTTTGGAACTCACGAAACACTTACTGCCTCATATGGTTGATGGGGGGCGATTTGTACATCTTGCAAGCACAGCCAGCATCCTGGACTCGAAGTACTCCGCTTCTATTCGCAAGCGATTCCTCGAGGCAACCGAAACTCGGCAGATTACCGACTTGATGGAGGAGTTCACGACTGCCGTTGAGAAGAACGATTACAAATCAAATTGGCCTGGCGCGGCATACAAGGTCTCGAAAGCTGGACTTGCAGGCTTGACAAAGACAATGGCTTTGGAGAATGGTGATCGCGTTTTGATTAACTGTGCTGATCCTGGATATGTAAATACTGATATGACCAAGGGTAGAGGCACCAAGACTCCCGATGAAGGTGCTCAGCTTCCTGTTCATCTGGCTCTGGGCGATATAGGAGGCACACATGGCAAGTTTTGGCGCCATGGAGAAGTGTCAGCATGGGAGAGAGTATGAACGCAAAGCAATGGAGGAGTCTGTTTCAGGAACAGCACAGATATAGCAGTGCGATGCATTCTTGAGGCTATCTCGTGGCCACATCCTAGCTCGAACGTTTTGTCGCCAAACGCACATGTTTGGGAAAAGCGTTGGCCTTTAGTTGCAGTGAGTGTCGATCCAAACAGGCCTGAGGACTGCCTCAATTTAGTTGAACTATTTCCTGCGCAGCTACTGTGGTGGCGCATGTCTGATTGCAGCTTCCTTCGGCAAGATGTTGTATTTCACCCAAGTCCGAGCAATTAGGGCTCGCACCTCAATTTCAGCTAAGAAACGAGGATCTGCCTCAAGGGTATAACACAGATCGTACGTGGCTGCATGCTCGCCTCGACCCGTTACTTTTTAAGTTTGAGTTCCGCCAGTGAGAGTTTTGCAAGCTTCAGTCTCTGCAATACATTCTTCTTCAAAAGTCCGGCTACGGAAAGCACGACCATTAGTCTGCTTCGTACCTGTAGCTCATATCCTGCAATCGCACGCAACCATTTCCAAGTCGTGTTTCAAGCTAGCAAAAACTTAGGATAGCCAAGATCACCTGGCAAGTGGTTCGTGCCTGCCGATGAAACACAAGTGTGGCATTAGCGCTTAACCTTACAACACATATTTTCGTGATTTTGCTTCGCTGTCGTCTTTACAGCGACAAAATCTACGGAAGGCGGAACAAACTTTCACTCAGACCATCTCGTTCTCGATTCTACTCAGTCGAGACCAAGGCCAGCAAACATGGTCAGTCCATCGCTTACGCTTTCATGCACAACGTAGGTCACTCGCCAACGTTAATCAAGGTATTGTCGACTTGCTTCATCTTAAAAACTCGCACTTCTCGGATAACCCACATAACGGCGGCATCAAGCTTATCTCTTTTGACCTCTAGCTCACACCCTCGCTCAGCATAGTCGTCCGCCAAAACACCAAGCTTCTCAGCCCTGCTCATAGTATCCTCTTTCGAGGATGTCAGACTTGCTCACTTCCATGTTCTCTTTCCCTTTCCAGGGCTAAACGGAGATATTTTAACCTTTAGGATTTCAGAAGTGTGATTGTTCATCCCACTATGCCATGAGACGGCAAGCCACAGTACCCATCGTCTTGCATCGTGATGTCTCTGTATCCCCGTGGTTGTGCTCCAGCTTGCTGTCCGATCATGTTCCACCGTCAAGTCTGATGATCAGGCTTTTGTCTTGCGGTGAGCGGGCTACCGACATGAATCTTGTCCGACATTCTTTTCTTCCATCAGACCTGAGCAACGTATCTGAGGCCAACGTTTCGCTGGACGACGGGAATCTATCTCGAGTATTTCGAACGAGAAGCTGGATCTTCGGTGACTTTCTCGACAAGACCTACGTTCTCGGAACTGAGAAGACAAACATACTTGACACGATTGTCATGCAGGCATTCTTCTTCGCTATCTTTATTTCATTGCGAGTTTGCTCGTGGTATTTCACCCAACAACAATCTTCATGTCTACCATTCTCAGCAACACATCACTCCCTCTCTATGTATGGATCATCATTATTGTCGTCGGTTCGGTCGTAATACTGGGAACAACTGCATTCTCAATCAGACTGTTTGTCACCCATCGAAGAAGAACCAATTTTGTGGATACTTTTGGGGATGAGAATCTACCTCAGAGGAAAGTCACTGTTAGGCGTGGAAGAGTGGTCGAGCAATCGAAGTATTTATCTTTGACTGGTTCAAAGTTCGGTCTCAATGCTTTTGGCTCAGAAGATGACGCGCAATCTAGAGCTGGTGCTCGCAGCAAGAGTCCGTTTGAATGGTGGTCGACTGTGAAGGATCATCCACAGTCGCGTAGCAGTATGAGCATTAACGAAACTTCTTCTGTCTATGGACCGACGAGCCCAAATATGCAGCGGGTATATCAACGACGAGACTTCAACTCTTCCAACACGAGTCTTGTGTCATCGACGAAGGAGAATGATATCTTAGTCTCAATCGAGGAGCAAGAAGTCAGTGCTCCTTTAGTACGCAATTTTTCTCGTTCGTTTCCCAGACACGCGCAACATTCACCTTCCTTCCCCAAGATGCAAACACTATACCCAATCAAAGAGTCTTCTCCCCACACATCCATGATCAGCACCAGGCAGTCACGTGGAGCAAGCTATGCAGGTCGCAACCGTGATGTAAGGACAGATGTACAATCTGCTTCACCACAATCACTATCTCAAATGTCACATTCCCGCCATCAGCTACAAGAACAGGAGGACCAAATTTCTTCCAAAAAGAGCTCCATATACCACGAAAGTCAAGAACATTCGGCAGAAGCAGTGCAAGCCCCGCTACCAGTCGCCTACAATGGGTCAAGATCGAGCCTTGGAGACCCTGAGCCGAGGAGGCTATCTCGAGGTTCAGCTCGAAACAGCATTGTCGGGTCAACAAAGAGTCGACAGCAATCTCAAATCACGGCTCTTCCGGAAGCACCGTCTCCGAAGCAAACAAATGATTACTGGGAGGGCCGATCCGATTTGCACCCGGTAAGGACTACTAGCCGGAAAGGCAGGGTTCTTCGGAAGAAGTCGTTGAAGAAAGCACAGATGGTGGCACAGATCGATTCCTGACATCGTTACAGATATTTTGTTCGGTACACAGCCAGTTTATCCTAATCCCTCCAATCTTGGCACTACTACTTGTGGGTCTTGTGGCCTGGCGCCTGAGGACCTATTACTACGTATATCGAGGCGGTTTTCCTTTTATTCTGTTACGACGACATGAGATGAGATGTGGAATCATCTCCGAGCCAAATCGCTCTTCTCTTCCCGATTGGCAAAGTCCATTCTATCATGAGCATATGCTCAAGCTCTTCTTATAGCTACTCCATACATATAGCCTACACTTATAGGTATATGAAACGAATGCTTTTCTCACTTCCTTTCAAACGTCTATGTTCTCCTAGCAAAGTCTCGTTGCCTGGCTATGCTATTTTAGTGCGCCGTCCAGTCCTTCCTCGAAATTTCAGTCACATTGTTCTGCAGCTAACAAGGTACATACATACTACATTTTAACAAGAAGGATCCCGAAATCTCTTCGAAATTGGGGAAGACACTTGATGTCAAATGCGCACGCATACCTTGCTATAGTCGTTTTGTACGTACGTCCCTCTGAACTCCTTGTGAATGTTTCTACATAGATGGCAAGAAAGCTTCAATGCTAGCATAATAAGAAGTAGAACGCTCAAGATCCGCTTGTCGTCAAAATCATAATCTACCAATGGCAGATTCAGTCCGCTACTCCGAGCTATGCTAAAGCACCCATGGGATCCCACAAGGGAAGCACCATGGGCTCTTTCTTCAAACAGTCCCTGACCTCTTTCTCGACGAAGCTTGGATCAACGACAACCTGGTACACGAATTCGTCCATCCACTCGTCTGTCATCACAAACCAACCTTCGCTACCGGGTGTGGCGCCCCAGCTATTTTGTACCCGCCACCTGATACTCTGACCAGTCTTCTCGTCCACCTGCACGGCAGTCAAGACCATAGCGTGAGTCATGGCTGATTCTCCAACACGTAGACGTTGTGATTTGCTCATTTGCAGAGCACCGTTGCCAGAGCCGAATGCTAGATCGTAGTCGTAGAGCTTGGTGTCCATGATGCCAGAAGTTGAGTTTGAGAACTTGCCTACGTCACTGCCGAAGAAGACTGGTAGACCAGCCCTGAGCATCTTGATCGTGGCTCGCTTCATGGTCGGCATATCGACGTTGATATAAGTTATTGGTCGATATCCGCCTACGACGTTGCCGAGTCTATCCACGGTCATGTGGGCCAGGTACTCGTGTCGTGGATCGTTGACCAGGGAAAAGAGGTTGTTCACGTTGGCACCTGCCAGGCTGCGTGTCAGAGCTGGAGCAGAGAGTTCTCGAGCTAGCTGGAGAGGCGTCTTCTGTACCTTGTGGAAGGCACCGTTTGCATCGTAGTATTCCCAGGTAAAGGCTTCGTCGGGCTTCGGCAGTGGGCCAAGCATGAGAGTAAGAATGCAGTGTACCTCTTGCATCATGCGAGCTTTTGTGGCCAGGAGTTTCTGTTTCGAAGAGGAAGACTTTGTGCTTGTGACCATGGAACGTAGGGTGAGAGCGTCGGATCGTAACTTGCTAGTGATGAGACGGCCCATCTTGGAGGAAGCCATGGCGTTGAATGAGTCTGGATAAAGAGACTGAGGCACAAGACCATACTTGTATACAAGATTATTGGCCATGTCCCACTGCCCTCCATCATTGACAGGCGCGCCCAAGAGGTTCTGAACAAGCCTGCTGTCGAGGTCCTGCTCAGCTGTATCAATGATTTGTTCGAGGAACCAATTTGCTTTCTCCAGCTTATCCCAAAAGAACAGATATGCTTGGCTTAATTCAAAGTCTTTCAGGTTATGCTTCTTCATGATGGCTACTCGATGGACGTTGGTGGTTGCAAAGAGCCAGCATCGTCCGGACGATCTCTGGTTTGTGATCGGAGCACCTTCAAAGGGTATCTTGACGTTGAAAGTCTGAGTATCGGCGAGGGTAGAGACTTTCTGACTGACGATGGTATCGACGTCGTTTCCGAGCAAGGCACTGAGAGCCAGACGGTTCTTTGGCTCAGCAAGCAATGCCTTTTCCCATTCTGAAGCTTGAGAAACAGATATGGTAGGATCGACCGAGTACGATTGTGGTAGTCCCTTCTCGTGACCGATATGAATGTATTCCTTCTCTACCTCTTGCTGGCGGACTTGATCTTCCAAACGCATCGCCCGCAGCTGGTCCACCACTCGCTGCTCTACCCTGGTTTGAGCTTGAACTGACTGCCCTGCACCCATCTTGTCAGCAATTTGCGTTCTTCGAGCTTTCGTACAGACGAGACGAAATAGCTTAATGTTAGAAGGAGAGCAAGAGAGTGCTCGTGTTGCCTGCGACGCGTGACTCCCCTCTACATCCTGCCCAGAAAGGCAAGAGGCAGCTGATAAGAGGATCCACTGAGGACCCTACGATAAGCGAGTCCCCTTCCGAGTCCGGATCTTGGTCGGAGCGGGCATTAACCATTGTCTTCCACTATGCCTAGTCCTCATCAGCGGAAGACTATAGCAGTACTGCTACTGAGCAGGACGATCTGCTCATGACTAACAGAAGAGTTGGTCACTGACGCTATCGAAATATCACAACTTGTCCGTTGATCTTCAACACAAGACATAAGAACAATCACCTCACTTCCGAAAGCTCAAGCTCAAGCTCAAGCTGCTTCTGCATCTTGACAGCAACACAGGCACTACTTGCCACATAAGTGAATGGGATAGCAGTTGTCCTGCATCATTCGATCCTACTAGTGACACTCCGAAGACTACAACCAAGCTTCACACCAGATGCTGGAGTCGTACGATGATTCCAGCCACCATCTACCTCAAATTTTCAGCAGCTCGGAAAGAGCACAGTACGTGACCTCATGTGGGCATATAACACGAGCACTATGTAGTGAAGTGCGAGCGTGTATGCTTTTTAGAATTGTTTACGAACATTACGTAATGGAGGGCGAACATATCGAGTTGTAATGGCATAAAGTGCTGAGCAAGAATCTGCACTTGAAGATGTGTATCAATACGTACAACGCCGAATTCCCATTTAGCATGCTCAAGTTAATACCTCAAGCAGACTCAAAAAGGCTATACGTATCTACCACGCAACACGGCACAAATTCTCAACCTACGAGATGCACCTGGTCCCAACAGAATTCTCAAGCCAGAGCAACGACCCAAAGTTGGGGCTTCTCTCAAAGGCGACTCAGAGCTCTTCAGCGGATGGCTCAGGTATGTATAAAAGTTGAGGAAAGCGAGCCTAGACTGTCCAACGGACGTGGAACGAGGGAGGTGATATTCGATTGCCGCCACGTAAATACTGTTGAATCTGGTTCAGATTTCTAGACCTGCACATGCCAGCAGCGTATTAACAACTAGTCTGAACGTTGCTGACACGCTTTTGGCACATGTTACATGCTCAGCATATGTCTGGCATCTTTTGACGCTAGGGGAGCATCATTCAGGGAGGACAGCATCGCGCTAGCATCATGTTAGCAGCTGTATCAACCTGGACAGGACTAACTCAGAGTCCTCTACTAACTCTACAGATCACTCGTCTACCCCGACCACACCAAGTCCGAACGAACTGATATTGGCAATGTATTGCTGACCTTCACGACCTCAGATATCTTCGCGTGTCCTGCGTAGGTTGGATCGACAGTTCGTGTGAGCAGCTGGCCTCTCCGAAGTGACCTCGAAGCACCTTCAGCTTTTTGTGACGGAAGAGTATCAGATCGGGAAAGTGGAATATCGGCTGGCCGATCACGTGATCAAATGTTTGTCGCCGATCTTGTCAACCTCGTGATGTTCAAAACCAAGTTACAATTGTACACGACTGGCGCGTCCTTCCAAATTTGCTTAGCTGTATGTAACAAGACAGATCGAAGCATTGCCGCTGTGTTGTCGACAAATTTTCCGATAATTTTACTTTCCAGCCACATTCTAATCAAGGCACCTGCAAGCTTGCGTAGTACGTACTAGTCATGCTAGGCGTCAGTAGGCGCAGATCTACGCAGCGGAATGCGCGTTTCACGTGCTAAAAGTACAAAAGTTCATACACGCTATTCTGCATTAGTCTCGTGCTTCGTTCGTGCTCTTGCGGTGTCATGAACATTGAAACAGTACGTAATGTGTCAAGCAGCTTCGTGGCATGCGCAGCTAACACATCAGCTCAAAATGTCACATGAAAGACTGCAGACGTGAGACGCGATTCGTGCAAAGGCCAGAGCCATGATCACATGGCGTGTGCACTGACGAACGAAGCTGTAAAACCGTAGAGCTTCTGTAGAGCCGTGCGAGTGGTTGCGGTCATGGGATGCGTCATTGTAGAGTAGTCTGCATGTATCTGTCGATGCATGTCTTGAAGTTTAGCTTGTCGACGTATTGTGGTACGGCGACGTGAAGCTGCGAAAGGGAGACGGAGGACGAGGCTGAGAGATAAGACATGTGCCTGGGACAATACAATATCAATTTGGCGAGAGGTTGTAGAAGCCAAGGGAACTGTAACGGTGATAATGATAGTGCTCATGTTCACGTCCTACGCTTCAGCAGTCCTTCGAGGCATCCTTCTCGAGAACTGTCTCTGCTCGAAAGTCTTGAATACCTGGAAGTCCACATCGCGGAAGGTTCCGTGAGTCGCATTTACTGCCCTTTTAGCGATTTCGAGCTTCAAGGTCGCTCTACAAATACTAGGTAGCTCAGGCCGCATGCATTCAGCTCCGACTCTCTGGAAGCATTCACAGCGAAGGGTTCTGTGTGCTTGAAGAAGCGCGCAAGATGCGTAGTAGCCTTCGCCTCAGCCAAGTGCAACGTTCTGAGTTGGGCCAAGCTTTTACATTGGGGCAGAAATTGAATGGAAAGAGAACGAGGAAACAAGCGTTTTGCAGAGATGCGGTGAGCAATCAAACGACGAAGCCTTGAAATTGACAAATGCGGCGGGCGTGCCTGGGAGGAATGTACCTGAAGACATTCTGTTAGATTACTACTGTACATATCTGTCAGCTGCGACACGAAACCATCAACAGCTCAGTTTGTAGCTGCGAGGCTGAGCTGAACGAAACGCGAGTAACACACTTAAAACCTGCAAGCGCCGAGATGTAGAGGGCTTCGCGCCTGCCAAAATAGGTATCTGAACACGACTACCGCCAGGCAATACGAGTATACTACTTGACCTGAGCTATTGTTAGCAGTTGCAATACTCGTACTCATGAGCTTTGCAAAGAACGATGCTGTGTGGTACAGTATTTGGGGTTTGTTGATGCACAAACGCAGTGCAAGTCGCGATCGTCGCAGGAATGCCTGGGAGCAGTCTAGTGGGTTCATAGAGTCTGGATCTCGACTCGTTCGGCTTCGCTTTACGTTGGTAGTCCGATTTGCTCTCAGAATGCTGCAATCAAACGATCGCGATCTGAAACCTTACGAACAGAATTGAATCGCAAGTTCGGCTGAATTCATTCTAACAGGTGTATTGGCACTTAGTAATGTTGTGGGATGTCATGAAACTTCAATATCCATTAGTGCAATTCATTACGAGTATTGTAATCCATCTTCCTGAGAGTAACATAGTATTGTACAAATTCATAAAATTCAACCACGGTCATCGCTCAACATCCGCTGTTTCCGCAAACCAAATTTCTATCACTCAAAAACGCCTCGCTTGTCGCTCGCTATACATTCTAATTACCATTTTGGTGCATGCTAGATCAATTAATTTCGTCGCTCATCAAACGATTTTCGTCACCAACCCCTGACAACCATCGCAAACTGGTAGAAACCATATCGTGTAGAACGCCGATGACGCAAACACCCACCTGGGTGGGTAATTGTTTGGATGACCGAAGCAGCGATGTCCCCAACAACTTCCCCAAGACTCTGAATTGTGCGCCGAAGTTCAAGCCAATGACGTTTCATGTGTTTCGTCCAAATCACACGTCGTTAACGTCAACAATTTTCCTTGCTTCCTCACTTGTGTGATCGCTTCTTTTGCTTTCCCACCCAATCAACATCAGGATGCACCACCCTCATGTGTCGGGTAAGCGCATCATTCCTCGAAAAGGTCTTCTCCTCTGTGCACAAATGACATCGAACCTTGAGTTTGCGCGCATTGTGGATAGTGTCTTCGTGTCTGGTCAGATCGTAAGGTCGTGAGAAGACTGAATTGCAGGGCTTGCCTGTGCTTGGGTTGATGCGGTCACAACGATGAGGCCCAGCTTGAGAGTTCTTCGCTGTCGTGGTTGCAGTAGGAGTAGTAGCCCCACTTGTCTCCTGTTGTCGATGACCTTCACGCTTGTGCTTCTGTAACTTGGTCGGAGAATCGAACCGCTGTGGACAGCCATGATACGTACATGAGTATGTGCCTGCGTCAGAAGACGTGTCGATCACAGGCCTTTGCAGCTCTTGCTTGATTTGTGTTCGATGTATCGATTGCTGGCTGGATGGCTCCGATGGTCCTTCCTCGTTCGTAGACTCCATCGATAACATGCGCGCTGGAAACTCTGGAGTCGAGTCAGGGATGTTCTGACTCGACTGACTAACGAAGGGATAATGTTGTGGTATCTGAATCGATGGTTCATGCTGAAACGATGCAGGATAGTAGTTGGATAGATTCGAGGGTTGCCTGTTGAACGAAGTGCGTTCAGGAAATAGAGGTGTCTGATTTTCGTCCAAGTCAGGATCTTCGAGCATAAGCTCTTTAGGTGAAACAGACGTGCGCTGTTTCTTCAATTGAGGGACTGATTGTTGCGGTTTCTGAACAGGAGCTAGCATTGAAGATGTAGGCTTGAAGGGCGACTTTTCTCTAGGATTCGAAGTAGGTGAACCTGTCCGTAAGTGCTGTTGTTGTGATCTTGTAAACTGCTCTTGCAAGGTGTGCCTGTGGTTTTGCATCTGATGCATTGAGTATGCCATCTGCTGCTGCTGCTCGGGAAACACTTCCTGCATCGATTGTTGGAACGCTGCTGACTGAAAGTTTGGGTATTGCTTCTCTTCACCGTACGAGTCGTCCCAGGTACGTGGCGTAGCAGGAGAGTTGTGGTGACTCATTGTCGAAACTGACTGCGGTCCGTAAGACGCGCGGTCGTCGTTGCCTTGAGATTGTATCCTCCTCATATCGATGCCTGCGAATGCCGGGTTACCTGGATAGATCATATGATCTGGCATCGAGTGCGCCGTCTTCGCTGCTTGGGGTGAGTATTCGAAGTTGTATCTCGACGGGGAGTAGTTGGCCTCTGAGGCGGCAATGCGAGGGTTGTAGATATTCGACTGATCGAGTGGCGAGTCGGGTCCCATCGACTGTACTGACGACCCCGAAGAAGCACGCTTGTGATATCGAGGGTCGTGAAAATTCCTAGGCAGCGCACTCAAATATCCCTCTCCCATACTCGGCCAAACTCCTCCTGTAAATGGACTTTGCGCGATCATGGACTGTGAATGAGGTGGTGTGACTGGACTGGCTCGATGAATGTGCACAGTCGGGCTTGTAAGGTGTGTAGATTGCATATAGAATCGTGGTGTACCCAAGGGTGAACGAAAATAGAAAGATGATCAGGAACCAGTGGCAAATATAGTTCCAGGTCAGGCTTCAAGTGATCGGACTGAGGCAGAATCTCTTGGAAATGACTAGAACGGTATGTAATAGCTGCGGATATAAGAGAAGCTAACAAGTTCCAAGTGTTTCTCGTGCGATATGAAAGTGCAAAAACAGCAATATCAACGTTGCAGGTGTCTGAATTGGAAAAAAGTATCGTGGTTATGCCCGGATCGAAGACGCACACCTAGGTATAAATTACATCACCTAACTACATAGTGGAGACGCTTCCGCTCCCTGCATGTCGATCTTTAGCCTAAAGCTTGCACCACTGCCAGAACGCACCGAGTCATCGATTGAGCCGAATGTCTGCACAGCCTCACGTCTGTACCGATTCATAATACGGTACCACTATCGACTTCAGCCACCGATTTGAAAGCACGGTTCAAGTCCGGGAGCGACACGCTCTTCCCCCATCGTGCGTCTCCGAAATATTACTCGAGTAGTCAGCCAAATCTATTTCGCTCAGCCAATCTGCGACTGTACCTCAACACCTGAACAGTGTCTTGATTCAGCTTTTGTGCTTCCTTACGGTGCACATCGCCTGATGCATGCCTTTGCTTATCATCAACCCTACTTTACTATGCAACGTAAGCGTAACTAAGCAGAATCGTGCGCAGACGCGTTGTAACGTCTATGAAGTGTCCACATTTCTTTCTCGAATGTCTTGACCATGCAAGTTACATGCCATGCTTACTTGTTGGGGTGTCCTGGTCCGTGGATCGCGGTTCCGCCGGATATCGGTTAGCCGGCTACCTGCATGAGTAGATTCGTGGACAAGTACAGAAGGAGAATAACTATCTTCTAACCAGAAACAGCAGTCCCATGCGCCGACGGTCTAGACAATTTTCGTGCTTCGAACCTTTCAGAAAAATTGACGTGCCTGCATGAACTGTCTTTCAACTCGGTGAGGCCGTGGCTGATGCGTGGCTCAACCAACATTTGACAACACAGACGTGGTCTCTTACCATGTTACCACAGTATGCACAGAACACAGTTCTGCCAAGTGTGCCAGACCAGCTGTGGCTACGTAAGCTTTATTGGGCAGAGATGTCGTGTAATCGATGCGGAAGCTGTCTTGCCGAGAACGAGCGACGAATCAGGTCATTGGACTCACTTGTGTTCGTGTCTTGTAGCTGTGGCGATGTGGCTGGGGAGGGACTCTTTGTACTTCTGTTGCTTGTTTGACAGAGATCTCGCCTCTCACACGTGTAAGTGGGCACGCTTAAGCAAGAAAAGAGTGCCAACGTGCAATATGTGGGGTTGGCGTTGGTAAACGAGCTGAGCAGGCATTCGGGATGACAAAGATAACCTCTACAACAAGCACGAGGTGTTCTGTTTACACACTTCAGCTTTCGTCTCAGAGATGCTAGCTGAAGTGACTTCTTGTCCCCTTTCACGTGGGGGTCGGCAAAAGCGACCCATTGCATTCAGACAACCGCTTCTAAGATACCAACAATTCTACCAGTCAGCACTTAAACAGTCAATAACATATACCATTCGATAGCCCACCTGAAGGAGTTCGTGGCTGTATAAGTTTTGACAAGAATAGATGCCTGATTCTGTGTACATTGGCCAAATTTGCGATCTTGGTATGAATCAATGGGCTCACTTTTGCTGATCCCCACGTGCCTCTGTTCTGATTTAGTTCGCCCTCTGTTCAGTCTTTGATGCTCAGCACATTGGAGTCACACCAACCTTAACTTTCAGCACCTCCTCTCCTTGGTGTTCAGATCAGCTCACGACTGCTTCATGCCTATGCCATTCTCTTTCCTCCAATAGTTACCAACTGGGACGTTTCGCGATATTCGGCTATCTACTTCTTAGAGTAAGTGCTCTTCCTGAAACCCATATTCTTCATCTTGAAGAAGTCCGTAATTTTGGACAATGTAGGCTGCAGTGAACCTGGACCTTGCGAGTCTGGTCTGGCGTCTTTGTTGGAGGGACACTGGTTTCTATGGTTCAAGCAGCTCGGCTCCCTCCCTTTTGCCTTGGAAGGATATTCCTGCTTTCGCTAGTGTCCGTACAAGTCATACAGACGCACAATTAAGTCTATAGTAGTCACTTATCATGCCACTATTGTCTGCCTTCTCCATTGTGATGTCACGCACCACGAATCCCTGTAGCTCAATATCACTTATCGTCGTAGTGTCTTTCCTATCCCGGTTAGTCGTAGACGTGGTCAGCGATGTGCGGCTCTGTTCTGCTATGCTCGTGACATGGCAAAGGCAGTGAAAAAGCGAGGAGCTCTAGAGATGTGCTGAATGATGAGACTTGGTCAAATGGGATAGAGTCGTCATTCGATAGTCCAGTTGCTTTTTGACCACAGAGCTGGCGTCTGTTCTTTAGGTTTCGTCGTGTACCGACGAGCCTACGTTGACCTCCCCGTCTCGATGATGGTTGAGTTGGAGATCATCTTAACGCCGTCGAAATTCTACAAGAATGGATCGACCTCGTGGCTGTAGTTAGAGATCAAGGACTCTCGGCCAATCCAATTTACCTTGAGTATGTCTCCAGGCTTCGCCGAGGCATGATTGGAAGGCTCCAGTGCGAAAAAAGACACGCTCACCTGGAGACGGACACCAGCGAGGACTTACGCGAGCGGCAGGACTTGAGCAGTATCGAGGACTACCTCGTCGAGTGTCTGAGGAGATGTCATGTATGCTGGCTCTAGTATCGCTTGGTCTGTCTAGTGGGTAGTGACGAGTGTCTTCGATAGTGGCTGTGTCATCCTCATCCGGCTAACTTGAAGGCATGTTCACTACCAGTCGGAAAGATGGAGCGAAGAATTCCTTCTTTTATGAATGGCTGTCTGATGGTGTAGAAAACATGAGACAAATTAATACTAGAAAGAGGCAGATTGGTATGATGTTGCCGGTGAGCAACTCTGGCTCGGATGTGGTGATATAACAACATGGCAGACAGAATGAATAAAAATGAACATAAACGTGATCGGCCAATGCAAGAAAGAAACCAGCTACTTTGAATCGACACCCCTCATATCCATAACGCCGATTAAGCCGAATGATCCGCCCTTTACGCCGGCCATTATCCAATCACATGAGTACCAAATACTGTCATTGCCTTAACATTCTCTCGCAGCAGCGTAGGCTGTGGCATACCATTGTTATTACCTGCGCGACCGATCAAGCATTGCAGAAGCTCGTTGGAAATCGAGAGCAAGCATACGGAATACGAGAACACATAGAGTCTGGGACAACATGAATTATCGTGATTCGACGCACTATGGGAGCACATTTATGCGACGCTGCAACAAGAACGTGTCGTCAACGACAGCACTAAGAGGCAAAGCATGTCCAAACAAAGAAGTACATCTCAAAGTATTGTCATAATATGCGGAACGATAAAGCTTCATGCGACAAACCACGGATTTGTCGACTGTAGGTAGGTTATGTCTCGAGGCGTATGGCACAAACCCAGAGGCACCACCCCGGACAACGAGCATGCATGGCAGAAAAGCCAGACAGATGGCCGGAATGCAAACACACAGTGCAGAACACATGAGAACAGTAAGATTGATCATGCGAGGCAATTCATTTCATTTCATTCAAGACCAGGCCTAAGTTACCTCTTCTAAGACCTATCCATACGACACTCGATCGTCGCTCGCCATAGTTCAAGCGAACCGGCATATTTGCCTTCCACAAACCAAACGCCAACCATCCTTCATGCTGATATCATTGAAATTGTACAAATAAGAAACACCACCTAACCACCGAAACCATACAAGGTTCGTCCCTGTCGCTTCAAAGCGTAGACAACATCCAAAGAGGTAACTGTCTTCCTCTTTGCGTGTTCTGTGTATGTGACTGCGTCTCTGATGACTGATTCGAGGAAAGTCTTGAGTACACCTCGTGTCTCTTCGTAGATCATGGCAGAAATACGCTTGACACCACCTCTACGGGCGAGACGTCTGATGGCTGGCTTTGTTATGCCTTGGATGTTATCTCTGAGAATCTTTCGGTGTCGCTTGGCACCACCCTTTCCGAGGCCCTTGCCACCTTTGCCGCCTGGGTGTATGGTTAGTAAGCAATGCGATGAAGGGGAATGGAGAATACTCACGTCCAGTCATGATTGATGTGTATTAAGATTGAGAGTTTGGAAGATGTGTTTGGAAATTGACTGATGTATGGTATAGACTTGAGACTTGAGACTTGAGATTTGAGATCGAGTGTGTGGATGAGTCGGTTACAGACAAAGGCTTGCAGCGGGAACTTATGCTCATGAAAGTTAGTGGATGATCCATGGCAGACTGGAGTCATGGAGCTGTGTTTACTCAAGGAGCACAGAGATCCGCGACGCCACCCGTTTTTTGCAGCACCTATTTTGGCCAATGGAAATTCTCCATTAATGCTCACCTTCTTGATCTCAGTGATCTTTCATTCAATCCTGCTGGAAATAATTTGGAAAAAGCTGTATTCGATTGCTGATATTATGTTCACATTCACTGATCTATATTCGCTTTTCAATTGTGGTAGAAGGATAATTGACGTGGTGGTGACGAAAACCACGAGGACCACGAGGTGGAGCCGACTAGTGCCTTTCACGTGTCCGTGTTTGTCTTGTTTTGCAATCCAGCTGCCTGATCAAGCGCGTCACGTCGGCGTACTTATCTCGTTCGCTCTCTCCGGTTTCCGTCTAACTTCTCATCCACCCACATCACCCACTTCCACAACCACATTCAACACTTTATTCGCAGTCACAACACCCATCACATCCTATCATCCACTACACACATACAAAGTTCATTCACCAACACAATGGCACGAACTAAGCAGACTGCTCGTAAGAGTACCGGTGGCAAGGCCCCGTAAGTACCACATTCCAACCTTCTCGTCGCTTTTGCTAACGTGTTCAAAGGCGTAAACAACTTGCTTCCAAGGCAGCACGCAAGTCGGCACCATCAACCGGTGGTGTCAAGAAGCCTCACCGATACAAGCCAGGAACTGTCGCTCTCCGAGAAATTCGACGATACCAGAAGTCGACTGAGCTCCTGATCCGAAAGCTGCCTTTCCAGCGATTGGTTCGAGAAATCGCACAAGACTTCAAGTCCGATCTTCGATTCCAGTCATCTGCCATCGGCGCTCTCCAGGAGTCTGTTGAGGCTTACCTCGTCTCTCTCTTTGAAGATACCAATCTGTGCGCAATCCACGCCAAGCGTGTCACCATCCAGTCCAAGGATATCCAACTCGCTCGAAGACTTCGAGGCGAGCGATCTTAGACGGTCGATGATGACGAATTCTTGATGATTATGGGTTGAATACGGCGAAACGGTTAACATGGGATTTTTGCAAGCAACAGTGGTGGCTTTTACAGTATCAGTAGCTGTACAATCAGACGAGATGCTCGAGACGAGCGAGGGTCATACATAGACAGAAAGAGCATGCGAAATGCATCGAAGACAAATCGCTCAATCTGTCCATAAGACAATATCAATCCAATCACATTTCAAAGTTCAAACACATTTCTTGTTTTAATCGTAGTCGCAGTAGCCGGCAGGAAATGCCGATAGATTTCTCCATCTTGTCTGAAACAAAGTGTTGACTCTTGACCTTTCCTATCCATAACGACCATGATCGTAGAATGATCAAAACCATTCGCGCGCCTTGTGCGAAGAGCGCCAGATTCTTCCGCACACAGAAACAGACACTTCGTCACCAATCAAACCAACCACCCAAAGAGGACCCTATAGACATTCCTACACCACTTGCATGGTACAACAGACTCGGTCCTGTCACAAGTTTCTTTGGCTGGTTTCATAAGACACAACAGAAGAGACCTTTGACTGTTCAACTATGCACTACAACAGTGGTTTACCTGTGCGGTGACCTTTGCGCACAAGACATTGGAGGAGAACCCTACGATGGGACAAGGACACTACGAATGCTCACGATAGGCGCGGTGGCTTCAATTCCTGGCTACAAATGGTGAGAAGGCAGGAGATGGTAATTCCACCAAAGCTGACTTGCACAGGTTCATTTTTCTGGGTAACCATTTCAATTATGCGTCAAAGTGGTTGTCTATCGCTACAAAAGTGGCAGTCCAGCAAGCAGTGTTTACGCCTGTTTTCAACACCTACTTTTTTGGCATGCAGGCCATTCTGACGGGCGAGCGACCATCGGGAGTCATCAGGAGAGTTAGAGATACTGTGCCGACGAGCATGATCAACAGTCTCAAGCTCTGGCCCCTAATTACGGGAATATCCTTTGCATTCGTTATGCCCCAGTATCGCTTCCTTTTCTCTGGGGTCTTCGCTGTGTTTTGGCAGTCATATTTGAGCTTTTTGAATCGAAGGGCTGAGAAAGGAGAACACAGCTAAGGACCGACAATCAGCGAGGGAACCGGGGTTGGCTGTATAGTGTGAGAAAAATAGACCTGTAGACCATTAGATCCGACACGTTTCATTCCCGACTTCTTTGAGTGCATCGATTGGCACAGGAGCTCGTGCCTAGGCATAATTCCAAGCAGCTGCCTACAAAGAAACAACTTCACCTCTGGCCCTGCGACTTCCAGCAGAGACGGTGCAAGGAAATACTCCATGAATAAAGACAAAGCCGTTGGCACCATGACGGCTCAAATCTTTCACAATCGTGTTCGTCATGACTTTGACCAACAACATGGTCGATAACATCGCTCCAATTCTTCAAGTACCCGACAATGCTAGTGACTATGGTGAATTCGGTAGTGACGAGGAGGAAATCACAATCATCGACGAGCTGCTAGCACAGGCGACTTCTCAGACCGATGAAGCACAGCATGCTCCTCTCATAGTGATTGGTATCGAAGATTATGAGTCGCCTCGAGGCGTTGTCCTGCCTAAGAACCTCATTGATACGCGATTGCATTCTCCCGAGATACTTACTGAGGTCGAGATCTTACGCGACAAGTCGTCAGGGCCTAGTAAGCTGCGCACATCCGGCGCGTTGTGCTTTCGCTAACATGCTGACCAGCGTCTAGTTGATACGCGACAAAGCAAGACTCCAGAGCGCGAGCTCACACCCCCAGCAGAACCTGCGAAACCAGATAATCGTTCACCTCTCGACCGGTTCAGGAAACCCCCGAAGAAAGCGCTTTCCGTCACTGATCTTGTATCCCCGTCATGGTGCGAGCTTCAGTACTACTACGTCTTGAGCAAGCATGGTCGCAAGAGAAGAACGCCTGCTATGAAGCAGGGTAGCGCTGTACATCAATCTTTGGAGAACGAGGTACATGTCACGGTGCCAGTAGAGACGACTACGAAAGAGGATACTTGGGGTCTCAGACTATGGAACATCTGTCAGGGTTTGAAGACATTGCGCGACACAGGCAGAACCAGAGAGCTTGAGATATGGGGTACTGTTGGCGGCGAACTCGTTAATGGGATCATCGACGAGCTCAGCTACGAATGTCCAGATCCGAAACACGAGGAAAGTCTCAAGACAAAAGGTCAACCAATATCAGAATTGCCAGAATACCAGACGAGTATAACCGAGTACTTGCTCGCCAAACCAGAAAAGGCTGCAAATGGACCGCAGAAATTGAAAGCTCAGCAGGAACAGCAATGGATCTACCTCACAGATGTCAAGACCAGAGCAACACCTACCCTTCCCACAGGCTCAAGCTTACGGCCTGTGATTGTGCAGCTACACCTCTACCACCACATGCTCGAGAACCTAGCACAAGGCAACTTCAGCCTGGATCAGTTGACCGAAAGGTACAAGCTTGACCCGAACGCCACTTTCTCGGACTCGTTCCTTGCACAGCTAGGCAACCTGAACCAAGAAGTATTTTCACAAGAGTCTAGGGACGAAGGCACATCTACAGATCCACCTCCTTCCTCCCAGGACTCCATGGATGTTCTATTACGCCACAACAACCTCAGCACCCTCTGGGAATACATGATGCAGCAATTCAGGCAAACATTTCTCCTCGAGACCGACCAAGAAACCACAACCCAAACTGCCCTCGAACCACCTTCATCACAGCTCTCAACATCCGACCTCCCACCTCCACCAGCCCAACCAACCCGCCTCTCCTCCCTTCTCACTGCCTCCTACCTGTCCTCAACCTACAAACACACCCCTCCCTCTCCAGGCTCCTCTCAACGCATCCTTGGCCACAAATCTTTCCAGTTCAACCCTGCCTTCCTGCGTACTTACCTCTCCGAATCACTGCCTTGGTGGCGAGGGGAACGTGAAGCCCATGGCGTAGTATTGCAGGAAGCCTGGAAGTGCCACAGTTGTGATTTCCGGCATGAGTGTTCGTGGATACAGGAGAGGGAGAAGTTGGCTTTGGATGAGGCTCTGGAAAGGAAGAAGATGAGGGAGATGGCGGGGGTTGAAGGAAAGGATGCTGCGGGAGGGGCAGCGAGGAGTAAGGTCTAGCTAAGGCGTGGTCGAATATATTGACCGTTTTTGACGAAACTGGGCTGCGTCTCTCAAAATGCTGGAGTGGAGGACCAGTTCCTAGAATTGGGTACGTTGGGGAGATGGCGTGGTTGGTTATTCTCGAGCGAAGAGAAGCAGCTTTCATAACAGCAGTAGCGGCAGTACAAAGTCGATACTAGTAGTATGCATCTACTTCTACATGTTTTACATTACACAATATCTTCTGTACGTACCTGCACATTTCACATCTCAACACAGAGTGCATAAGGTGCACAAGTCCTACCCCAGCACAACTTACTCACCTCCTCCTCCGATAAACCCCATCAGCAAACGGATCATACGACTCATTCCCATACGCATCTCCCCCAAAATTCAAATACCCATCAACATACGGCTGCACCGGAAACTTGTTCAAAATACTCGCTGCATCACCAAACACCCAAACCGTCTGACTCCCCATATACATATGCGCCAAAATATGACAATGCATCATCCATGCTCCAACATTATCCTCCGTGACTCTGATCCTCCACGCCCTCCAGCCCGCCGTCGTGTTTTTCTCGCCACTGACTGCGTAGCGATGCAGCATGGTCGTATCTCGTTTCGCAGGCGTATAGTTTTTGAAATGGAGTTCGTTGGCTGTGGCGTTGCAGGTGCCGTTACCGCTTCCTATATCGTAATAGTGGGCGCCGTGGGCGTGCATGGGGTGGAAATCCCAGCCACCAGTTGGGCCGGAATTAGATAGCCAGACTATATCGAGGACTTCGCCGACGAGAGCGGGGAAGGCGTGGTTGTTGGATGTGGGGTCCCAGCCGTTGTTGGCGAGGGCGGCGGTGTAGTTTGGTGTTGTGCCGGTTGTGTAGACTTGGATGAGGTAGGGGATGGTGTTGTTGCGTTGAGAGGATTCTGTTTGGTAGACGAGGTTGTTTTGTGCCCATTGGACGATGCCGTGGAAGGAGCCATTGTAGAAGCCGTCGCGGATGATTTGGCCCATGGTGACGTAGACTGTTCTGGTGACTTCTGAGAGTGTTGGGAAGTCCTTTGCGCTTGCGGGGTTGAGAGATTCGAGTGCATACTCGGACCAGGTAGTGATGTTCTTCCTGTCGGTGGGCAACCTGACTGGAGGTCTCTCTGGTAGACTTGACGGCAGAGTTTGGTAGCCCAGCTCATACTGAAGTAGTGCATAGCCTGAAACGTTGGTTGGTCTGTCTCGATTCTCATATCTGAGCCAGAATTGGGTCTTGTTTGCCGTACGCAGTTCCTGTTCTGACTTTGCCTGAAATAATAGACTGAAGCGCTGTCCCGACCCTATCTGAATATGATCTGTACTCCAAGGCTTCGTGTACTCTCCATCGGCCTCGATGATCGTCAAGTTGTTGTGATCCTCGACTCCGAGTGTAACGAAGGACAATGCAGTGTTGCTGATCAGGCGTATACGATAGCTTTCTCCTGGACTGATTCTGATCACTTCCGGAGTGCATGTTGCGTCGGATGCATTGCTGAAAGATGAATTACCAGATCTTCCATTGATGAGTATCGCTTCTGGTTCGCCGGTCCACTGAAAAGGATTCCTGATGAGGCCTGCTTCCATTATCGAGTCGTTCTTGTTGTAAAAGTCCTGGAACAGCAAAGAGATGTCATGGTCGTAGGGATATGGGAGTGGATCGGCTTCGATATCATCTACTATGAGCACACCTGACGCCGTAAGAGCTTGCATACCGATATGAGAATGGTAGAAGTAAGATCCAGCATCGCCCACGTGAGGAGTGATCGCATAGTCAAAGTAATTGAAGGGAGCAATTGGCCATTGGGATACCTGTGGTGTGCCATCAGAGAAGATGTCGGCCCTTTGACTCAGACCATGCCAGTGCTAGATGTTCTCAGTTCGAGTTACCTGGAATAGCTACCTGATATAACTTACCACTGTGAGATTCTGGTCCTCGATGTTGTTGTAAACACGTACCCAAGTTGTATAGTTCTCTTTCATATGTAGAGGAGGGCCCGGAATGGTACCGTTGAAAATGACGGAATATCTGGACAAGCAGTTAATGGTGGTGTTCTCAGCAGTGGCCACCAATTTGTAATCTGGCGTATGGTCTGCTGTCCATGGCCGCCAGTCCGAACTCGAGCGTGACTGGCAGAGATTGGTCAACAAGATCGCAGAGAGGGCGATCGAGAGCCGTGATCGCATCTCGTCGGTCAAAGTTCATGTGTTCAATGTGCTCACCGCCGAAGTGTTTATACAGCAGAACGACGGGGCTTTCTACCCATTTTGTAGCCAGCCTCAGTTACTTGCATGGACATTGGGGCCAAGAATGTGTCACAACATCGAATGGCCCCAACAGCACACAAGTCTCGTTCGAGGCTTGACGTGGAGGCAAGCAAGTAGTAGTAGCATTTTCAGGCATGTTGGGTTGCACAGGACGCCTGATCAGCGATATTTAGACGAAGCTTGGTAATGGGTCAGACATCTTGTATGGCTCGGTTTATGAACGTCTTCAGCTCGCCTGAATACTTTGATTGAAACGTTAACGGTCTGCGATGTCGTTGGGGTCAACGAGCAATGCTCAATTCACGAAGGATCAACCGGTGGCTAGCATTTCCCGGCGAGTGCGAAGCAAGGCAAGAAGATCAGTCCTCGCGGGTCGCTAAATTGTAGCTGCTGATTGCCTGAAGTGAGCAACTCACGGTGTCGCGAGCACATGAGGTGGGTTGGTTGTGGCGATGGATGCTGGGGACAGTTGCCGCAATCAGGTTCGAAGTGTTTAGCAAGGCCAGACATTGCTCAACATCATACGATGTATCACGATTCAGGGAAGAGAGCAATGTGATTTTATTCAGCTACTGCAAATGCATATACTGTGGCCTGCATTCAGAAGGGATAACCATCCCAGTCGGTTTGAACTCTTTCCATCTCTCCCACGCCATACGTTGCTATCTGCTCTTCATGCTTCTCATCCAGATACTTCAGGAGCACATTCTGATATTTAGCCTTCCCTTTGTACCTGCTAACATCATCTCCCCAACTACGCACAGCACTCGCAAGACGACCTGGTACACCTTTCTCCTCCACTATCCCCGTCACAGGCAAGAAGTAGGTGCGAATGGTAAACACAACTCCACCACTCTTTGGCAACCTTCTCAAGGTCTGTCTCTCGCTCCTGAAATAATGATGCTCAATAGCACGACCGTCCTCAGCAGTATTCCAGCTGATATCAGGACTATCCTCACTACCAATAGACCATGACCACGCAAGATCGTCGTCCACTTGGAGGAAGTAATTATTCCTCGCGACCATTTCTTCCGGCTTGATACGACGGAAGAAGTTCATCATACCCTTCTCGAGCTTCTCCTTGAATCCAGGAACGTCGCCCGATGTATGAATCTCTGACAAGGGCATACCGAATTTGTCTTCAAGTCGCCAGAAACCAGGAAGCAAGATGGCCCCAGACAACAGATAGTACTGACCATCCTCCTTCTCAATCATGATAGCGAGGTCATCTTGGACGAGGCGGGCACATGTCTGAATAGGGTCCTCCGCTAGTGGTGCGGTCGCATTAATACTTTCGCCTGACCACAGATTGTCGATGCCGGTTGGCGTGCGACGATAGAGGGTTGGGTATCTCGCTGGCAAATACTCAACTAAATCTTCGAGCAGCTCCATCGCAGCAGCATAAGCCTCCGGGGCAGTCTTGCAACACTTTTGCCCTCGCTCCCGGATTCTTCGAGCTTTCGAGGCATGGTAGTGCGGGTAGTGGTTGTCAAGCTCTATCCATTCCGTGTGCTTGGCACTACGCAGGCCCATCGTTATGTTGTACTTAGATCCATATCTAAAAGGTCGATATGGCAATGGCTTTGTGTTCTCTATAGACCAATCCGAGTATGGTTCTGGCTTTGGCATTTTGAAATCTGATGGTGTCCATTTGCCGAATTCTCGAGGTGGTGCTTTGAATCTGCTGCTTGCTTTCTCCACAGTAGGTGTTGGTGGTCTGGTATCTGTCATTGATCGACGCTGGCGCAAGTAGTACGTCGAGATGGCGTAAATGGCGAATATCGCCAACAAGATGCCATAGAGAAGCTCTTTGAGATGTGGTTTCGCTGATAGCTCATTCCATGCTGCTTCCACATGCTGACCAGAAGTTTTCAACTTTAACGAGCACAATTCCTTGGTCCTCTGTGCATGGCTGGCTACTTCTCCAGCATACCGTGATGCCAACATCTTTGGATATGCTATTTTGGTATCCATCTCTAGGCTCTACAGCCTGCGTTCGTGCAAGATGACAACTGAAATCTGAAAACAGAGAGATACTCTTTGCACAGTGCCAAAGCCATCGAGATATTCCTGTGCCATGTTGGACAGTAACCTTTGACACGCGCTTGTCCGATCCCGATTCTCGCTCCAAAGATTGAACTGTCACGACGTTTCAGCATTGAATTTCGTTATCTGCATCCCTTATCTGACATTGTGATGCAACATTGTGCTCTTTACAGAAGATTTGGCCAATCAGCGATGTTGTGACTGGCATAGAAGTTCTGGACATAATTACTCCAACAGGATTAGTGTTCGTTCCATCTCCATTACGCTGCACGGAGACCTTCTGTTGTTTAACCACTGCACTCGGTGTTTTCGTGGCAAGTTCGTAGGACTATGTCAGGGCAGCACTGAGCTCGAATCGAATGCATTGTCGGGGATTGACGGTCTGTCAAGAGAAGGCACCACGGAGCGACTTCCTATAGACAAATCTGTCCGTGCAGCATGCCTCGGAGAAGGCAGAAAGCTGTAGCCATACTAAAAGCATAAACCACAGCGTGTCAAGTTTATACGAGGTTGACTTTGTCCTAGAGAGGATCGACAAGGACGACCTTGATCTCATAATTGCGCTACTCTTAATAGTAGGACACAATATACAATACTGTACGAACAAGTTAATCCTCAGTCTACGAGACTGCGATGTTGCCCGCCTTTATATGTTCTTCGGGAATACCAGCTAAGGGATCTTTATGGTCAAAGGCATGTCGTGCTCGTTCTGCTCGGGACCACTTAGTGATGTCGGAATGTGTACCTCCCATTTTCCCATATTTCTTTTTATGTGCATTGTACTGTACACAATGATTAGCAGAGTCCTATGAGGACGGCGACACAGCATACCCTTTTTGTGAAACCCCAACGATCTGGCCCCTCCTTCGGCCAGTCAGGAGTTTCCGACTCTACCTCCTCTAGCTTCCTGTTCGTGCCGTAGACAGTGCTCACATCGATGCCCTTTTCCACTGCATACATCAGGATTTCCCGAGTCCACTCGTCATCGTGATCGCAGTCAAGACCATATGCAATAGGTTGATATAGACCAATTACCAGCCCCAGATCTTTGTACTCAGAATTTGATCCCAGTTGACCCGCACGGTCCAGTGCATTGAGCATAGACAGGAGGGCGCATCCCATGAGCGAAATCACGTCGTTTAAATGGTAACCGTCGTCAATCATGTGCATTTGTTCTATGCCTGCCATATTCAACCAATGTCCGAGTGCGACCAGCGAAATCCACATCTCTTTCAGATCCCTGTCCTTCTTCTTGAACTCGTTGAAATATGAAACGAGGTAGTTCTCGAGTAACTCCAACTGGCCGTAGCCCTCGAAGTCGTTGTATACATACGAGTTGAATAGGTCAGGAGATCTGAATGTGGCTTCTCGAGAGCCACTTCATCTGCCTCATATTGTTCCTCCAATGCCTCTTCATCGAGCTCGTTCGTACGCGGTTTTCCATCTCACGATCATGTTTGGGTCGGACCATGGTGACGTACTCATATGGGTCTTTCTGCTCCTCCGGGACCTGTAATACCATGCTGTATCAGTCATCATTGTTTGCTAGAATATGGTCTGTGCATACTTCTTCCTGCCGGTCATTGCTATTTGAAGCATTGGCAGTCTCGGCTTGCTGTTCACCATTTCCACGTCGCGTTCTCTTACCTTTAGCACCTTTGCTCGACTTTGCGGCTGGCTTCTCGGCGTTTTTGTTGACTTCTTCACGTCCGCGTTTTCGTGGAGGCATATTTGCAGTCTTGTCAACCTAGATGAAGGCTCAGAGCAGCGCTTCTGAGTCCACAAAGTAGGTGCAAGCGCGAGTCTACTAGACACTCTTATGGCGCGCCCGCTCATTCAGACTCGACATTGCGTCACAGTCAAGGTGGTGCTTAAAGTTCTATCACGAAAAGAGCACGAACTTGACGCGTTTGTGTCTGAGTGACCAGCTCGAACAAATCCATCTTCTTTCCAATTGTCGAAAAAGTAATGCTCGATGTCGGTGTTTTGACCTTGTACCAGGCTGTAATGTCGCACAATGAGGGCATCGCAGCGCGCTGGAGACAGCGTCTTGGGTCATCTTAGGGTTTCGAGAAAACCCGTGTAAGCCTATAGAAACCGTCGGGAATATCCAGTTTTCAGGCCTTGAAGTTAGGTGAGGTACGATGAAATGGAGGTCTGTATCAGCGCTTTTCGATGCATCTAAAGCTACTATATCGAAGAGTACTACATCAAAAAGCAATATATGTTTTGATACATCGGTCTTCATATATATTATTTTTGTGGGAGTTGTCGAACGACTAATTTTATCACAATGGCAGCACTACTGTTGTGCTAAATGACACCATGAGGAAGGGTGAATCTCGCATCTCACGAAAAATCAGGCCTGATATTGCTTGGTGATCTCAGAAGATGCCAGACGAGAACAAAGTTGATTATAATTTATCAGCCAGTATCCAGCTGTACAAAGGGCGAAAAGAAGTACTGTATGTGGAAGAGTCTTGTCTTAATCACGACGAATGCTGCTCCCTTCCTTTTGACTCAATATTCATGAACCGTGACTACACCTGGCCTCCACGAAGACAATCTATCTTGTATTAGGGTGATACACATCCTCTTAGGTGGAGGCTTTCGAGGTGGCGTCGAGATATGGCTGAGTGCATAAGTAATTGGCCCGAGCTTTAGCGAGGGAATACTCAAGCTCAAATCAGGGCCCTATGGCCACGGACGACGAGTTGCAAGGTGGCTGCTAGATGTCAGAACATCAATCCGGACGATCAAGGTGATCTCTAAGCTGTCTTGAGGCATAGGGCAAGGGCACGGTGATCGTGGGACTGTCGACCTCAATCTGCTATCTACACAGTCAAGTGTTAAGCAGCACCAGCCAGTGAGAACTCCATATCTACCAGGCTGGTGTCCTTCGCTGTAATACCTGCTCGCAAGCTCCGGCATAGTGTTGATGGCATATTCATAAACCTTAGCCTGTAGTCTCCGTGCTGTTGGTGTCGCTGTCGAATGCAATCAAGTTCTGCGCAAGAAACCAGTCTTTGATCTCCGGGAAATCTCTGGCACAGAACAGCACAGGATATTCCTTGTCCTTCGATCGTAGTGCAACCTGGGCATCTAATGACTGGACGTCAATACCCAGTCTGCTGCAGACGTTAGCGAGGTCTTTTTGTCCACTACCTATAGGCTGATCACGAATGCAGATGCCGATATCTGCTGCCAGCAAGCATTCGAGATCCGTAGATGAGTCACCAACATATAACACAAGGGCATTCGAAAGACCTTGATGATCCTTCGACCTCGAGGCTATGTCCCTAAGGACTTTGACCTTGTCACCACTTGTTCTGATCTCCTGATGTTCTATTTTCTCGCTCCGGGTATCTGTCGTTTCCTGGACAATGCTCGGAAGCTCATTTGCGTAGATCCTCAGGTTTGAGAGCCATGTAGAATCGTGGGCTCCTTGCTCAGGGCTTGTCGCCTGCATACTGACATCGAGGACTTGCTGAATGAACGATGTACTCCAGTTGACGCTTAGTACACTCAACGAGCCTCCAGTTGAACGGCATTGCCTATTACGGTGCCAGACGGATGAGCATAGTTCTCTCCAGCCATTCCGTAGCTGAACCCGATCTTCCTTGAGAGCTGCTTGTACCACCTTCGATATATCGGAACATCTCACGTCTTCGAATATTCCTGCTTGGAGAGCCCGTGCAATTGAAGCCTTCTCGATAAGTTCGAGACTATTAAGCCAAGCCACTTCTTGAGCTATTGAAGTCCTCTCTGATACTTTCGGTGTGTAGGAATCAGAGTGTTTCTGAAAGTCAGCCATATAGGCCTCCACAATCTCGTTCCATGGTTGAGGTGGTGGCATACGATGCAGTTTCCTCTGTCGTGAGTAACCCGCTTCCGCCACTATGTGCATCGTGTCCTTCTTCGTAAGGGTGCCATCGAAGTCCAAGATCAGGTGGACGGGTTTGGCTTGTTCAAGTGATGCCATGGTCCGAACTGACAGTCGATCGACAGCAATAGTGTACCGTGGTATTTTCAAGCAAATTGTATTCCTGCAAGCCCGCAGATGTAATGCGCGACGAAACAGTGTCGACATCTAGCCATTCCGTGGCTACAGAAGACTTCGTAAGATCGAGGTGTTAGTTGGTAAGTTGTGAACAGCAACGTTGCTACGACGAAGCAGATCTGACAACATCCTTGATGTGAGACATTGACTGAAAGCTTATCGGTGTTGCAATGCCCAAATAATAAGAGGCAGCTGCCGACAAATACACAAACGGGCTCACAAACCAGGAAGAGTAGTACGTGAAAGGATTTCAAAAATGGAGCAGGCACATTTCGAGAGGAACATCAAGCTTGCCCGTGAAGTGACAATTCGCAGTCGAACTTCAATGTAAGAGATCTGGTATCCCACCAAATCTATCTATCTATCTATCTATTGTGAATGCCAACCAGTAGCTCAAAGTCAACGCTCTTCGTAATTGCACAAGCTTTGGTGCATCAGGTCATTCGAACGCTGCAAGAAATTTTTTCGTGTTCCCGTACTCCAATGTAAGCCTGGGTATCTTCCACAAAGAGCAAAACAATATCCGACCAGAGTGATGGTCCTTAGCCAAAACCCAAAACGCGCAAGAGACACCAGATGCTATCCCAAGATAGTTATTCACAAGCCTAAGGCTTCAGCGGCAGTTCGTTTCCTATTCTTAGTAGATGAATCTGAACCAGCTGAGCGTGAGCCAGGCTTCAACCTCTGCCAAGAATCAAAAGGGCTTGTACGCTTTTTCTTGTTACCAGCACCTGATGACCGGGTGGTTCGAGAAGGGCTTGGTTGCTCTTCTTCCGGCTCGATTTCTTTCTGATTGTCTTCGATATCGGTATCAGCCTCTTCATCGATCTGTGATAACTGTTTCTCTGTCTGGAAAAGCCTTTTTGGTCGGATAGATTTTCTGGTCAGTGTCTTCAGAGGTTTGATAATCTCTGCAGCATCGGTTTCGTTGACAAGCAGTCCCAACTCCTCCGGATCAATGACCTCCTCCTCATCACCTGTGTCGTCAAAGCGTTTGTAAACCTTCGTGCCACGACTAAATGTTTGTTAGCATGTGACTTCTATCGAATATCTAGAGTAAGCACTTACAAGACGTAGACCATACCTTCATCCTTCTCAATAGCATCTTTGACCTGCGAATCTAGAGGTGCTCTCTCCTCTGCAACTTTGCGGCGTTTTGAGCTTCGGAGGACGTCTTGAGCAGAGGCCATAGAGCGCTTCTTGGAAGAAGACTCAGGTGCGACATAGAATGGGTTGTCGGCGCTGGTATCAACCTCTGGTATTTGATCTCTAGAATCAATGTGGATCTGGACTTGGTCCTGTGAAGTGTTTTCGGAGAAGCTTTCCAGGGAGAAACCGTTGTGTCGCACCTTCTTCTTCTGATTCTTACGCGGACTATCTGTATTTGCATTGGGTTGATCCTGGAATAGCGCACGTGCAGCCATGGCAGATTTTGGAATCTGTTTCTTCTGTGGAGTTTTGACAGGTGTTGGTAACATTCCTTCTGAAATTATGGTTGTCGCTGATAGATGAGTAGAATTTTGTGCAAGATGTTGAGTAGGTTCAGGTGTGCCAGAAGTGGAGGAGGCGGGGGAGAATATTTGTGGACAGTGTGACTTCTGTTTGAGAGCGGGTCGGGAAGAGTGAAAGTGAAGGTTAGGCAGCTGAGGAGAACCTGGAGTGCGGTTTGACTGAGGTGACACGTTGAGGGTTGAGCCAGATATTTTCCTTGAACTCGATCTGGTATTGTACCGAGACGGGGATGATTGTGAATGATATGCGCTTCCATGCAACGGCGTAGGTGGAGTACGAGCCTCATACAGAATCTGTGCAGGAGGTGTCGAAGCCATACTGGCAATCAGAGACGTGAGCGCACGTCAAACGAGGCTGCAGGTTATGAGTCGAATGTGATATGGTTGTATAGTGATGCAATGCTGTTGGATCAGATCTTCGTACCAGATCGATCAGCAGGTGCAGATGTGTGATTACGATATGCGCTTGCAAGAAAATGCGTGTTTAGCATATACTGTAGGAAGGTGTCATAGAAACAGGAAGGACTGGCAAGGGATACTAACAGCGAGGTTGAGGTGACGCTGCTGCTGCAAGGGAATGGTGGAGGTTGGCTACTTTTCACCTGAGCCGGAGCGAGTGGCTGGCACCTACGCACCCTGCTTTTGGCTCATGCTCCAGGCGGTCGTCTCTACCAATCAATGAGAGGTTTCCGCCGAGCTGAAAGCTCCACTTTTCGCGCAATCTCCCGACGCGACCACGACCGCGTAAAGTGGAAAATTACATCAGCCATCAACAAACTTCTGCTAAGCAAGCCTCTTGAGACCCTTGAACTGGATTCACAGTCATAATGTCGGCCACATATCATGATGAACAGTCTCCTGTCAGAGCGCAGCAGCGGTCACAGCACAGAGATGTGAAGGTCTCTTCTGAAGCAGAGAAGGCACGTGAAGATGCCTTGCGACAGGAGCTGGCAAGCGTGAGAAAGGTTAATCAGGCTATAGAAGGCGTTTTGGGGAGCTTACAAAAGGCCAAAGCAAACATGAAGGTCGGATGCTGCCTCTGACAAGCTGTAAAACCGATCTGACCTGGTATAGACTGTGAATTCAACTGTTGGTGCCGCATCACAACTACTCAACACCTGGACTCGAATACTGTCACAGACTGAGCACAATCAGAGGCTCATTCTTGACCCATCATGGCAAGGCGCAACACAGGACATTGCAGATATTGAGGAAGAAGCTCAAGCGAAGCAGTATGCTGCTGAGCGACGGGAGGTCGAGGAGCAGGAGAGAAGAGCTGCTGCTGCTCAGAGGGCGGAAGAAGAGGAAAGACGTCGAACGGAGGCTTCCGTCAGGACATCCAAGCCGACAGTACGAGCACGTGGCAGAGTGGTAAGTCGAGGTGCAGGTACTACGTCGACAGCTTCGGCCCAAACTACTGCCTCTGGAAATACGAGCATGCTGAGAGTTCCCTCTTCATCAAGAGGTAGGCCAGGTAATGCAAGCCGTGCCAGAGGTGTGCGTGGAAAGTAAAAGTTACACAATCCACTTTTGCATGTAGTGTAGTCTATGACAAGAACTCACTTCCATCATAGTCTACTGTGCTTGCTGAAAGTCTCGTAGCCCAAGTTCGTGAAGCAAAATTGGGAAAACGAGTAATTACCGAGTACGGGAGTATCGACCACTTGGGGGCTGCGCATGGCTACCAAGGATTAGCGTGATAGGCATTGTACCTCCTAACCACAAGGGCAGCCAACGAAAGAATACTTGCGTAATTACAAACAGCGCACCCGTTGCGTCTGTCGTCTTGGTCGGGATATATCGATCTCTTCTTGTACCAAGCTGCTATATACCGCCTCATCGTATGCGAGAACTAGCAAAGAGACATGGCAAGCAGCTTCGCGCCGTACCAGGATGCGCCTGAGATTGAACGAGCACGATCTCCTCCAGTCAAGAGCCCTCGAACCTCCCTCGACTATTCTCGAGCGCGATCACCTCCTCTACGACCCTCACGCGTATCTCGCAACATATCAGAAATTGCTTCGCAGCCACTTCCAGCTCCTGACACGTTCCTGAACAATGAAGACTATACACAACCACACGAGCAGCGTGAGCGCAATCTTGAGGCATTCCAGTCTAGTCTACCCATGCGTCTAGACTACGAGGCTATGACTGCATATCTACTGCTTCCACCTGTTGGCGGTGTCCTCCTGCTCATTCTCGAGCACAAGTCAGACTACGTGAGATTTCATGCTTTTCAGTCAAGCTTGCTATTCAGCGTAATCTTCATCCTCCATCTTATGCTTTCCTGGTCTTCAGTTCTGTCATGGATGCTTTTCGTTGCAGACTTAGTCTTGATTGCTTTTCTGGCTCAGCATGCATACAGAGATGTCGATACTTTGGAGCACTATGAAGTTCCTGTCTTTGGCAGAATCGCCAATCGCTTCGTTGACGACGAATGAGTAACAATGCCTCGATATCGCTAGACGTCAAAACATCACACATCCGAGCTCGCAAGCAATTGGCAATATGCGCTCTCATCGCTCCAGCGACAAGTGAGGTAGCTGCTACATACACGACATGAACGAGACTCTCATCAGCATTTGAACCTAGTAATTGGGTACTATGAGCGCACAAGTCCGATGTAGAGCAGTCATCCATCGTGGTCCTGTAAACTTCGACATCTTCCCTTAGCGATCAGATTCAAGATCAACCACTATACCTAAGCCTTAGATCTCCCGGTTCCTCCTATGTAACGACCCGAATCTGCCACCTGTAGCTGCTATGGCACCGCTACGCATACGCTTCGGCATCATCGTGCCCTCCTCAAACACTGCTATGGAGCCTTTGATAACCTCAATTCTTGAAACTGTTAACGCTTGCATACCTTCGGTCTATACTACTGCTCATTTCTCGCGCTTCAGAGTTACGCAAATATCGCTTGATGCTTCAGCACACTCACAATTCGACCTAGAGACTATCCTACATGCAGCTTCACTTCTTGCCGATGCTAAGGTTGATGCGATACTATGGGGTGGCACATCTGCAGGCTGGCTTGGTCTCGACAACGACAGACAGCTGTGTCAAGCCATCGAGGCACGCTTCGGTATACCAGCTCACACATCCACCCTGGCTGTGCTTGAATACCTTCAGTATCGTCCAGATCGACCCAAGCTTGGCCTTGTGACGCCTTACATCAAAACAATGAATGACGCCATACAGGACAACTTCGCGAAGGAAGGGGTTACAGTGATATCTGCCGAGCAATGCCTGTCGATCACGGACAATGTTCGCATAGCAGAAGTGACAGCCGAACAGCTTACGGAAATGGTTGACATAACGATGTCCTTGGACGTAACGACGTCAGTCATCGCGGTCTATTGCACAAACTTGAGTGCGGCGCAGCTAGTAACTCAGTGGGAGGACAAGCATAGGCAGAAGACACTGTGCGTGCTGGATAGTGTTAGCATCGGTGTCTGGGGTCTTCTGAGAAAAGTCGGCATCTCGACGGCTCATACTGGAATTGCAGCACGATGGGGTCGAATCTTCGATCTCTCGCCTTGATCGTTACTTCGAGATCCGGCCGAACATCAAGTACTGGCCGTGGCACTTCGTTCGTTCTCAAATCGCCGCAAGATAGGACTCAAATCTGATGTGACGAGATCGGGGGGAGACACAGCCAGCATATCAGCACGGCATCGAATGACGGGTCAATTCCTATTCCTACATATTTCAGACGACCATGGCCAAGGCTGCTGATTCTATGCAACCACATCATCAACCATTCGCAGATGCACTCAGGCGCTCGTGGTTACAACCTCACCTTCGTAATACTCCTTTATCTCCCTCTGCAAAGCTTCCTTCACAATCTGACCACACAACTTAGCATACGGATTTGTCTTCACAGCAAGTTGCTGAGCCACTTTATTCCCATAACGACCTGCAATGCTGAAATCTTTACTGGCGAGCTCTTCAAGCTGCGAGCGTTGTGCCACACCTTGGAGAAGCGGACGTTGCAGAGGGTTGAGTTGTTCAAACTGCGAATCAGACGTCGATGCTCGTAGTAAGAGATAGCCACGGTGAGTGTGTGCCTGGCTCAATACTGTTGCATCATGCTTCGAGACTGGTGACACTGGAGAGAGCGGACTCGAGAGTGATATAGCCGTGTCCAGATCAGTGAGGATATCTGACAAAATTGCTGTGTCTGTTCCAGAATCTGGAAGCAGCCGGTATGCTTGGGCACGATTGGCGTATGCTGATGCGTATTTCGGATGATTGGCGACAATGATGTTTAATTCTGCTATGGCAGACTTGACATCTTGCTCTGATGGGTTGGTTGAGTCTAGCAGACGAATTGCTGCTTCTTCTGCAGCGACAACAGATGGCGGGATATGGCTAGAAGGGTTCTCTGCTGCTGGTTGATCTACGATGACTGTGTTCGCAGTGAGTGAGGCTTCAGGGTCGAAGAGAGCGCCGAGGACGGCACGGTCATTTTGAGAAAGAGCAGTGGCTGATGACATGTACACTCAGTAGTATTAGTTCACTTGGGCACAATGAACAGAAGGGATGTGTGTGCAAGGGACAAAGGCAAGCATAGTGCAGAAGCACTTATAAGGGCAACAGGCACGAACAGCAATCCTTGGCATCAAATGAGCTTCATGAGGAGCAGATGGAGAAGAAATGAGGCGATGATAGTGGAAATTCCAGACTACCTGGTTTTAAGGCGGATTTTGGTGGTGCTGGACAACCCGGCATATCATATGTTATCATGTGGAATCCGTGGATAACCGGCCCAATGCGAGAGAAGCACGGTACTTGTTGGCTTTGATCTGACCAATCAGCAATGGTTCTGTGAAGAGTGGAGAAGAGTCCCCTTTGGCAAGAGCGGAATTGAAGGTGTTGTGATAAGGCTCGCTTGTCTATGAGGCAATGAGCTGATATAAGAATGCCTTCCTTCCATCATTGCTTCTGTACCACCAGCCTTAACCAACAAAGAGAACCTACACCCTAACACAGAAACACCTGATCTCTTCCGATCATGGCACCAGTTGCAGTCGAAACAGCCCCTATCCCAAGCCATCTCCTCGCCTCAGCAAATTATGACCTGCCCGCAAAGAAACTGCAGCCTCCCCTACCCACCAAGCCACAAATGCACTCGTACCAAGGATACGACAACGTACACTGGTACGTCGGCAACGCAAAACAAGCCGCAGCCTTCTACATCACACGAATGGGCTTTCGAAAGCTAGCCTATCGCGGATTAGAGACAGGCTCCAAAGTCGTTGCCTCCCATGTCGTCAGTAACGGCAAGGTGGTCTTTGTCTTCACCTCACCACTCTATGCACCAAACAGCAAAAGGCAGGACTTTTCGAAAGAAGATCAGGAATTGCTTAGAGAAGTTCATGATCACTTGACGCAGCATGGCGATGCGGTGAAAGACGTTGGTTTTGAGGTCGATGATGTTGAGGCGTTGTATGATGCTGCGGTATCTAGGGGAGCTTGTGCTGTTAGTGCTCCAAGGACAATTAGTGATGAGTTTGGCTCGGTGAAGATGGCTACGATTCGAACGTATGGTGATACTAGTAAGTCAATAATGGCGGTGAAGTGGAAAGCTCACTGACGGTTTAAGCCCATACACTTTTTGAGAGGCATGGTTATTGTGGAACGTTCTTACCTGGATTCAAGGCAATCTCGGAACACGACCCGTTAACCAAGTACCTGCCTAGCGTTGGATTAGAATTAATCGACCATTGTGTAGGCAATCAGGACTGGAACGAGATGGAAGACGCCTGTGACTAGTGAGTAACAGCACCATATCACCGGATCCAAGCTGACTCTCCAGCTACGAAAAAGTTCTCGGCTTCCACCGATTCTGGTCAGTAGATGACAAAGATATCTGCACAGATTACTCAGCGCTCAAGTCAGTGGTCATGGCCAGTCCAGATGAGAGGATAAAAATGCCACTCAACGAACCAGCAGCTGGCAAGAAGAAATCGCAGATCGAAGAATACATCGACTTCTATGGTGGTGCTGGAGTCCAACATATCGCGCTAAGAACAGGAGATATCGTCCGGGACGTGACTAACCTGAAGGAACGCGGTATCGAATTCATCAAAGTTCCTGACACATATTATGAGCAGATGAAGAGCCGCTTGCAGAAGGCTGGCCTGCAGATATCGCAAGACTTCGAGAAGCTGAAAGAGCTTGGTATCCTGATTGATTTCGACGAGACCGGATATCTGCTCCAGCTCTTTACAAAACATTTAATGGATCGACCCACTGTTTTTATTGAGATCATATATCGGAATAATTTTAGTGGTGAGTGGTTTCCTGACGATCTGAATGCGAGCTCCAAGAAGGTACTGACGCTAGCAGGTTTCGGTGCCGGCAACTTCAAGTCTCTGTTCGAAGCCATTGAACGAGAACAGATGGCCCGTGGAACCTGGTGAATTTGTCGTTTGTAGGGGAGTGTGAGATTGTCGCCTGTCGCAAAGTTGGAGCCAGCATGAGGAGTTCAGGCGCTTTGGTCGGACTATTGTAAAACAGGTAACGTGCATGTCGTCCCTGTCACAAGCGATCGACATGGTTACTGAAGTATTTCTTGTCATGTTCGAATTTGAAGAATAAGTCTATTTGACTATGCAAGATTCGTTCGAAATGTTAGACGTTCCAAGCGAACAGGTCTTGACGAATCACGGACCGCTCTGACACGTGATATGTAATCAGAAATTCAAGCTTCCCCTGATTACGTCGTGAAAGCATTGCAAAGTCGCAGAACTAGAGGTTTGACTTCGAAGCCACCAGACCATGCGACGATCAGGTGGACACAGATGGTTCGTCACGACATGGGCATGGCAGTGAGAAGATGCTTCCATGACCGCAGCTGACGCTTGGGTACAGACAGTAGCTGGTTTTCAAGCTTCATTCCTCGCTTTGCATCCTTCTCTTGTGTGGATTTTGGATCGGGAGCGCGTGTATCCTTCTCGATTGTGAAGACAACCATCCTATGCCTGGCTAACCAAGAACGACCACGTCTGAGACAGGACCGAGTATCGACTACCATGACACTATCTAGTCGCGACTTCCGAGTCGTCTGGGCCGTTTAGCTCCTTTACTAATCAGCGAAGCATGATGCGTATTCTCAACAGAATCGCAGGCTTGGAAAGGATGTATGCTTCTTTTAGTCCAGGATCATATCCGCCTTGCCACGATCAGGCCAACCAACCATATTACACGATGCTCGTAACACTTTAGGCCACCTAGCTAGACGGGCGATCAAGGCTCATCAAGCTTACTATAAGAACATCAGTATATGAGCAAGCTGCTGAGAAATATCTTGAGTTATTCTCTTTTCTGTCTGAGCACGAGCGGACACAGTAAATCTGTAAGTAAACAACCTCCCAACAACCTTAGCCACTTCCCGTCCCACGAATAGCCACAACACAACATGGGAGATGCCTCCGACTTGGCACAACAGGTCCTAAGTGGTGATCTCTTAGAGCTCGTCCAGCTCGTCAACCCGTCAGAAGTGATTGCAGCAACTCATGCAGACTACATATCAAACACACAAGCTTGGTCGACGTCTCGAGACAAGAAACCTCGTCTTGTACTTCGACCAAAATCCGTGGCGTCTCTGTCTGGCATCGTAGCGTTCCTGTCGAAACGAGACCTTGATTACAAAGTACGTTCGCAGGGTTTTGGCTCAGCATCTGCAACAGACGTTTTGGTATCGTTGTCGGCATTTGACGATTTCGAATTCAACAAGGAAGAAGAATATGTGATACTTGGTGCTGGAGGGAGTTGGGCTGGCTATTATGATCGCATGGATGCTGTTGCTCCTGATTGGACAAGTCTGCTACCTTGCCTTTTGTCGATGGTGCACTGACAGGATTCCAGTTGTTTGCGCCCGCACTCCCAGCATTGGGATAGGCGGCTCGACGTTGTGCAGCGGCTTCTCTTGGTTATCGTCTGAGTATGGATGTGTATCCGACCCTGCCAACCTCCTCGATGCACGAGTCGTTACTGCAGACGGACGAGTCTTCTGGGCAAGTACAGATCCCGACCTCTTCTGGGCCATGCGAGGCACAGAGTCCGGCTTCGCCATCGTCACTCATTTCAAGTTCCGTGCTCGCCGATACCCAGAGAATGGCAAGCTTTGGGCCGGGCCAATTCTGATACCAAGGAACAAGGTGTCTGAAGCAGCGAAGGGCGTCATATCGATGGTAGAAAAGGATAGGAAAGGTGAGATGAGCCCTAAAGCTGCAATGTTCTTGTATGTTATGAAGGCAGAGCTATTACACTTTATCGGCGCTACTATGGATATGCTTGTGATTCATGCCTTCGACGGCAGAGGTGAAAAGGAGGGCAGAGAAGAGTTCAAATGGGCGCTGGATATCGACGGAGCCCTGGACCAGACTCGAGGGGACATGACGATACGTCAAGTAGCTCAGCTACAAGGTTAGCAAAGGACACCATACTCTCCCATACCAAGCTAACACACCCAGAACACATCGGCAATTTGCGCGGCACAGCAGAATGCTACTGGTCTCCTATGGCTCTCACCAACGAAGAGATGAGCGAATCAGTTATCCTCAAATCATTCGAGTGGTGGATGTCCCTACAGTAAGAACCAAACTCAATAGCAGACAACGATTGGTTGCTCTTCGAGCTCTTCTCTTGCAGAGACAATCTGAATGGTCGACACAGTAGTGCTTGGCCAAGACCTGTAGGCTACAAGCACATGTTGTTGGTTGGTGCGGGATGCGCGACAGGGAGTACCGGAGAGCTTAGCAACAAGGCGAAGCAACATGTTATCGATGCTTCGATGCGGATATTGGGCAAGCCACTTAGTGAGACTGCTGTCGCGCCAAATGCTGTTGAGGAGTTTCACAGTATTGAGAAGATGTATGGAGAGCATTATGCAAAGCTGAGGGAGGTTAAGACCAAAGTGGACCCAGGGAACCGGTTGCAGGGGTGGATAAAGTCATATTGACAATGAATACTTGGTTCTAGTGTCTGTCGTCCTGTTCGGAAGCCACACAGACAAGCCAGCCTGTGAAGTCGGGAGACGCGCTAGATGGTATGTATGGCAGCCAGACACCTAAATAGCAGCACTTTTGAGTTCGAAGGCAGCTTCCTGTTTTGCACACCTTACGTATATGACGAGTCGAACATGCTTCATTCTGTATTCATTTTTGAATGCTCTTAACTCCGCGCCGCTTCATCGTTTTCGTGATGATTGAGTAAACTTTACGAACGTTCCTGTTCCGAGGCTTCCACTGCATATCAATTGAGCTTCTCATACCAACTTTCCACCTGCGAAGACATATGCCGCATTTCTGTCAGCATGCCGGCGCAGAACCCACTTATCGTTACTCCGAAAAGTCTAGTTCAGCTTCTTCACAGAACCGAGCATATTCAGCTTCTGAACACATGGCCTCGAGAGAGAGACTTTTGACTTGCGGCACTGATATCGGGCAAGTACGCGAGTGGCCGCAGTGAGTCCACTGCTGCATGTCGTGCAATTGTCGGATTTTCTCAGCGTATTCAGTTTGTTTTGTTTTCAACAGGTGCTCTAGCGTTGTCGTACAGCCATCGTGGAACAACGGGGAGAGCCATTCGTGCATGTCGAGTTGGACATCGATTGAAGCGCCTGCAGAAAGTAGGAGCTCAACAATTGCAGGCTCTCCGCCCCGTATAGCCGCACACAACGGGACGCGATAGAAAGACTCCTTGTCCGAAGCATTGACATCTGCACCACTCTCAATGAGTAACTTGGCGACTTCATAATGTCCTTCTTGTGCAGCACCTGCAAGCGCGAAAGATCCATCGTTGATATTTGCACCTGCTGCCAGGAGTACCTTGACTATTTCTGCATGACCACCACCTGCAGCCCTGCTCAACGCAGAATCTCCGAGGCCTACTACATGAACGTTCGCTCCTCGACTCACCAGTAGTTTGACGCATTCGAGTTTTCCGTTGCTAGCAGCTGCGACAAGTGCCGTCAGTTCGTTGATGCCTGTAACTTCAATACCAGCGCCATGGTCCAGGAGTAACGAAACCACCTCCAAGTTCCCGTTGCTAGCAGCTGCGACAAGTGCTGTATTATACTTGGTGCGCCAAGTGTATTTACAAACAAGATTTACATCACTCACTCGTGGTAGCAGACGAGCAACGAATGCAGTAGTGCCTCGACCTGCAGCTAGGCAGAGTAGCTCTCCTATTTCTGCATTATCGTAGACGCCTGGAGGTAAGGTCAAATCATGCAGTATCGATATTTCTTCTTCTGAAGCACGATCATGATGATAGCTTAGTGCTTTGAGGAACATTTCGAGATTTAGACTAGCACCGTGGCTGATCAGCAGTCGTGCGATGTGGAAGTGTTCGCCATGGAATGCCGCAGGAAGCGAGTGCTTGTGCTCACCACCCTCCTTATCAACATCTGCACCGTGATCGATCAAACATTGCACGATATACTCGTCCCCACCATGACAAGCAGCCTGCAAAGCACTTCCATATCGACCGCACTCAACATCGACGGCGCCAGGCATGGCAGCTAGTTTATCGACTAAGATTGGTAGCTTCAGCTCGACGACTATGTACAGCAATGTCACTGTAGAGTCGAGGCATTGTATATCGTGCTTCTCAAAGATGTTCCGAAGCACTCTCCAACCGTCATGAACACCAAAATCTCCTTTCATCAGCAACCTCCAGCAGGAGTCCTGTGGGACGCCATTTTGCTGTGCTGCTTCAGTATGCACAAGTACATTTTCGATCGCATATCGCATGAAAGGCAATTCACTGTCAATCTTGCCCCTGATCTTCGCACTCTTCCTCCTATGGACAACACGGATATGGCGAGGAGTACCAGGAAGAGGGTCATTTTTGACAACATCGTGAATGTCGCTAGGCAGTCTGGAGTAAGTACGGCTGAAGTAGCTGAGACAAGCCTGAGACAATTTGGCATGACTCCAACCATGTAGATTGTCTTTCAGTGCGGGATCGACCTCAGCCAGCCCGCTAGTACCGACGAGGAATTCGCGAACCGTTTCGTGAATGAACTGAATAGTCTGAGGCTCGGATTTCGTATATTCCACCAGACCACGTGAGTTGTTGAGCAGGTATCTCGACAAGGGCGCATCTTGAAGTATCGGAATCTCATCTTCTTCTGGACGTGCCCAGCTGTGTTGAATAGCAAGGTAGAGTTCGACGGCGGTCAAGGGTCGTGAGGCAAACAGCACCCACTGAAGCAGGGAGACACAATTTCTGACCTCATCGGCATCTCTTGCTAGGATTTCAGCAAACAAGCCTTCCAGATCTTTAGGAAGTGATTCGAGGTAGCGCATCATGTCGCTGATGTTTTTGCCTCGGTCGTACATATGATTCAAGATAGGAACTACCAGGACTACCCATAGAAAGATGCTTGCCGATTTTCGATAAACAGCGACATGAAGATCACCGATGTTGGCATCATCAGCAATGAAAAGCTTTTTCCGAACATAGATTTCAATGTCGTGGTCGTGGTCGCGCTGCTTTTCTACCACAAGAGACAAGCCTCTCTTGATGGTGATATGAGGATAGTGTCGGCTTGACAAGCAGACTCTTAAAGCAGGCATCGAATCCGTATCGTCTGTAAGCTCTTCAAGGAAAGCTATGAGAGCTCGTACATCCTTGTCGTCTCCTTCGTCCAACGCGTCAATGAAGACACACAGTGAAGGCCTCTCGGGATTTCTTGCAACCTGAAGAAGGAACCCTTGAAGCTCGGTAGTGGTATAGACCATAGTGTCGTCTACAGCCTTCCACGAGAACATGTCCTCGAAATCTGACACGAATTGAGGAGCGACTTGAAGGATTTGGTGAACCAGTGACTGATAGAGGCCAAGGGCAGACTTCTCCAGGGCGTCGGGAGCACGAGCATTGAAGAAGTACGAGACAGTGATCCAGTTTCTCTTTGGTTTTTGTTTGTTTGCCCAGGCTAGAGCACCTTTCATGATGGTAGATTTGCCGCAGCCTGGCTTGCCTTTGATCCACAGGAAACCGCCATGCTGGGATATCTCGTCATCGTCGGTCCATTGCTTGAATGCATTGTGTCGGAACAGCCATATACATGTCTTTGGCATAGCTGTTGCGATGTTGTGCTGACGAGCGTCCATTCTCTTGAATGTCAGGGAAGCCACCAGCCTCTTGCGCCTATCCGGTACCGATGTGGCATCGCCATCATTCTTTGTCTGATCACAGTAGTGATTGTGAGTTCCATATAGATTACCAAATATAGCACGAGATTGCCCATTCAAGGTAGTATTTCCAAAGGTGTTTTGGCCATCAACTAGCTGATCTTCTCCACTGTTCAGCCTGCGTCTCTTCGAATAGGGTTCCATTGATTGATGATTGACATAGGTGAGAGCATTACAATCAAAGGCATTTTGCGACATAAAAAGCGTCAAGGACGAGCGTTCTCTGCATGACTTGATGAGTGAAGTGAGAATTGTGCTCCCACAACGACGAGAAAGCAGGCCATCGTCTGCGCAACCGACACGGCCTACTTCAGCCGTACGTTGAAAGATGCCTTGCAGGGCAGTACTTGCAACCTGATTCGATGTTCTCAACTGGGATTGTGCTTGGAGTTGGCAGGGACGTGAATGTGGAGCTCCGAGCCCACAAGTTCATTCACACATCAACAGCGGTTTAATGTATCATTTACCACATTGAGGGAAGCAGTCACACTTTCATAATTCTCGTTATATGCCCGCATTATTACGCACAAGCACGAATGTACACTAAAGGAGGCTATTGCTTCAGCTGAGAAGTACATATCAACAAGTGAATGTCTAGTCCACAAAATTATGTAAGGTGATATATACAACCCCGAAACATGCCATGATATCTGGTCGAGATGATACCCATCTATACCTATGCTACACCGCCCACCATCATGTCATCAAATCGTGATCTCTACCTCTCTATGTGTTCTCAAACGATACCAGCACCCTCATGCCCTTCACCCCTTCCAGTCCCTGCCGCAGGCGCCTCCATAGAAACCTGCTCCTTCTCAATCTTCCTCCTCGCAGTAAACAATCCACTATGCCCACGCTCCTGCTGCTCCCCGAGCCACGCCTTCTTCGCCTCTCCAAGCACGCCCTTACCAAGAAAATAGACAAAATGCCCAACCATGATCAGCGCAAACGCAATAGGGTACATCCAATGCACTGTATACCCAAACACCGCGGTTCCGATAATTACACCCCAGAAATTTCCCGTCAATAACGAGATGTTGAAAAATGCGGCGGAGGCGAGGCGGTACAGGATCGGAACGAGGGTGTAGAAGAGCGAGAGAATGAGGGTATACCCGGTCAGATAGGCGCCAACCTTGCTGTTCCAAGTCGCGGTGCGGAAGGAGCTTCGATCGAAGATAGCCGCCTGGACACCGTTGATGATTATGCCCCAGAAGCCAAGCTGGCCAATGACCTCGTAGAGAGGGCGGCCGGAGACGAACCACTCCTCATAGACGTTGCTGAGACCGTAGCAGGTTGCACCGACGAGGGCGAAGAGGTCACCCTTGAGCTGGCTGCTGCGGGGGATATCGCCGCCGTTGACGCCTTGGATATGGTCTGAGGCGAGGAGGATGCCCATGCCGCCGATGCATATGAAGATACCTAGGATCTGAGCCCAGTGGTAGCGTACTTTGAGGAAGAAGTAAGAGATTGTGACGACGATAACGATGGCCCAGAAGTTGATGAGTTGGGCTGAGAGGATGGTGGTGTATCGGTAGGCGAGGACGGTGAAGTAATTTCCTTCTACGTCGAAGAAGGAGAGGATCAGGTCTATGCAAGCATTAGCTCCAGCATACACTCAACACAACTCAAGAGAGAACATACACTTCCACCCATCCTTAAGCAACAGCTTCCCATACCCCTTGAACCCATACTTATACACTGTATAGCTGCCATAAGTTGCACTCAGCAACACATAGTTGAACAGACTCTGAAACGCCGGGATACTCGTCCCCTCAATGACCAAGAATGTCGACAAGGTGTTCGTGCCCGTAACAGCAATCGCCAGAATCTGGCCAAGCGCAAGGATCGACCAAAACTCTTTCGTCTTGAAGTATGTAAACTTTTCACCCCAGGTCAACTTCTTGTTCACACGACGATCCGAAGCTCGTCGGTCGTGCGCATCGACGACTTCGGCTGGCGCATGGTCGAAGGCGTGGGTTGGGGAGGATGAGTTTGAGGAGGAGCCCATGCCGCCGGTGCCGAAATCGACACTCGTTGCGCGAGTGGTAATGGCGGTATCCTTGGCCATATTTTGAAAGAGAAATCGAATCTCGTGCTAATAGGGTAGAGTATGAGTGGTATAATTTCCTTATGCGCAAATCAACAGAAGCTCAAGAAGACACAAAGCAGAGCTTTATGAGTACAGTGAACGCAAAGCTCTTGAAGTCGTTCACACTCAATTTACCTGCACGAGAAAGACAGCATAGGTACTGTCGTACAAGCTGAGGAGAAGGAAAAGAAAAGCAGGCCAACAGATTCATATGCAACAAGAGTAAAAATTGACACGACATCATTAGATCGTAAATTTCTCGAGAGGTGGGGAGTAGCTCTTCCCAAGCTCCATCTCGAATTCTTTGGTGGGTTATCATACAAGTGAGATTGGCTGGACACTGTTAAACCTCGAAAATTGTGTCCACATTGTGGCTTGAAGTTCGCCAATCTTATCATTTCGTGAAGATCTCGTGCTCGTCTACACCTTCCTATTCTATCTGTATAGGTGAAGCCATCAAGCTGTCCATTTGTTTTGTACTCTTTGAGCAAGAGCTATTGCTGTCACAAAGTTGAAGCACTACACCCGAAGTGCATCTGATGCTGCAGCCTTTCTGGAAGAACCCTCCTGAACATCAAGTGTTGATGAAGATGGTCAATCTAGGCCATCTTTGCTATTCGAGAGGACGTGGCTCTGTGGGAGCACTTGTAGATGCTCATGCTGCTGGTTGGACATTATCCACGCAATCTGCCCCTATCATATCGAAGTTGACGTTGTGTTGTCTGGTGTCTAATTCTGGCGTGTGTCATAAAGCTGTGTGACCACATCTAGGTAGCACGACATGCTGAACAGTTCATTTCTTCGACTTTGTAGATTCTGGTGCACGGTTCTCATCTGTCGGCTCTTGGGATCGATTCCCTGTCGTCAAGCTAATCGCGAGTTTTCGTGGCTTCTTCGTATCAGTGTGCTCTTCAGGGCTGCTCGAAAAGTCTGCTTGTTTCGATCTCAAAAAGCCCTTTTTACGGCGGAGTGACGAATTTGAAGCCAAGCTGGAATTGCTTGACGTTGAATTCCTCCTCTTGATCGAGATTTTGTCAAGTTCGTCCTCATCGTCGCCTTCCTGCCGCCTTCGCTTTTCGGCTATACGTTCTGGTGGACTTTGATCCTCTTTAATGTCTGGCGATGGCTGTAATTTTCTACCAGTATTTCTTGTCTCAATAGTACTATCTTTATCGCTCTCGGGCGTTGGAGGTGTTCTAGGTGTGGCCACTCCTGCTTCATGTTTCGCGTCGCCAATATCGTCATCGTCTTCTTCGTATGGGTAGTCTACTAGTGGTTTCTGTACAGGCGATGCACCGCCATTGACCATACTAGACCGCATACGCCTTCGCTGCCATTGCATACGATCCGAACCGGCCCCTTTCGAGGCGATGTCGGACACTGACTCTTCCTCATCGTCGTCGGAAGTGGCAAAATATGTTTCCTGCTCAGGATCCATATCCTGCAAGGACCACTGCCCGGCTATGTTCCGGCGGTTGGCGGGTGTCGTCTCTTCGTCATTGCTGAACAAGATCAAATCGCTATCGTGCTGGTTGGTAAGCTGGTCGAACCTATCAAGTATGTCCTGGAAGGTGCTGACATAAGTAATATCCTGCAGTTTGAGTCGGAAATTATGACCAAGGTGCAGAATGACCGGTTTAATCATCTCTTTCTGTACATGTGCAAACAGCTCCAAACAGGCAGAGTTGAGGAGATTGTCGCGTGGCATTGTCTCGATTACGGTGTCGAGGATGGCATCCAGCGCGTTGCTTTTTGAAACTACTTGTGTCGTGTAGAATTGATCTTGCAGCGCTATACATGTCCGGAAGAACTTTACAGCAGTCAATCTGACGGATTTTTGCGGAGCAAGCAGTAGCTGTGCCACTCTTGCGGTCAACCCATCAGCCGCCACGAATGGCCGACTCCGTAATGAATGTTGTCGGATGAAAAATGTGAGTATCTCGACAATGTAGGAAAATAGTGTCACTTCCTGATAGCTCATGTTCATGTCCTGTCGGTTCTCCAGATTCTTGAGTGGTATGAAAAGTTTCCTTGAAGATCGATCAAAGTAGTCCTGAGCAAATTGCTCGTTTGCAGCCTGAGTCGGAGTAAGTTGCGGCCGCGTGAGCTTTGACATGTACTCAGCGCCCGGCCTTCCAGCTGGTCCTTCAGGTTGTGGTGGTTGCGGATCGAGGAGTATCTTGATGGAATCGGCTAGTTGGTTCTTCACACCCAAGTCTGTCTCGACGTGGAGGAGGTCAATCATGAGGTCAGTGAGGGGAGCCTTTTTGTCGTGGACAGCCTTAAGCATAAAGCCACGAATCATATGAGGGTCGTGGTCCATGAGTGCCGTCAGGATATCTATTCCTGTAGTTCTCACAGCAGCACTTGGATGTTTGATTGCGAACGCTATGACGTTGAAAAGTCCGTTGGCGATGAAATTGTTTAGAAGTGTAGCTCTGTTCTGCATCTGAAGGGTTTTTGCGACAGCACAACATTGCTGGATGAAATGTACACCTTGCTCCTTCCTTTTGATGTCTTCTTTTTCGTTGGTGAATATACTGAAGAGCTCTTTGAGGAAGGGTCCATTAGACTGCAGGTGCTGGACGATATCGATCTGATAAAAGAAGATCAAGGAGTTCAGAACACCGAACGTTGGATCGTCCAGTATTCTGGCAAGCACGACATCCTTCAGATATTGCAACCTCCAGGTCTGCCGTATCTTTCTTCTTATGACCTCATCCCTGATTTCAACAACTTGCTTGAACCTTGACTCGTCCGAGAGATACTGTCTGTGGTTGGCCTTGTGGGTAGGAAAGTCAGGATCGTACTCAAGGGCACCGACCACGCCGAGAATAATGTCGTCTGTGACTAGATGCTCGATGACGGAATTATCGTTCATGAGTATCAGAGCCTTCATGATATTGCACAACCTGTGAAGATCGGAAAGACTTTCTAAATCTTCGGCCATTTCTACCAGCTTAATTAGCTTGCGCACATAGTCCTCCTTAAGAAGAAAGGCAGCCAGAGCTGTGCGGCCAGCTTGTGACAGGCTCGCAGTACGAATATTGGAGTCGATCTCGTCTAGGTTTCCTAATTCTGGGTGGCTCAGGCTGAAAGAAGTGGTAATATTGTCGAGAGCGTCGTCGGAAAGACCGTCGTCGGCCATAGCCAGCAGTTGTTGTTGCACCGCATGGACAAATTCCCACATAGCAGCACAACCTTCCGCCTCTTGAAAACTAAGAGCCATGTCGGTTCCATTAGGCTCGGTCCAGACTATGAGGGTGTCCTGCTGCTTCTGATAGCTGTCGTCCTTAACGATCCTAGTTTCCAGTAGCATCTTGCTAGGCTGCTCCTCCGACTCGACGTAGATCCGGGGTTCATCCTGCTAAAAGCTGTTAGCGAAGTGTTCTTCCCAACGTGTCGCGTGAGGTTGAAATCTACGCCATGTGCACATACATTGATAATCTGACCGGTGCAAAAGCCGGTTCCTCGATCGTACCAATCATTCTCGCGTAATTCATAAACTTTTACTCTTTTCTTGTCGCTGGCGCCAGGCGGCACAGCCATATTGCAATGGAGGAAGTTTGCGCGTCACCATCAGCGACTGATAAGTCGACTGACGAGAGACGCGACGGTGAGGGGTCGACAGTCACCGAGTATAGCGGTGAGCTCGATGTGGTACAGTTGGTATGTAAGAGTAGCTGTGAGTGAGTCGATCAAATGAATGGCGCAACGAGTCGCATGGACCAGCAGTCGGTATAGTGCGCACTGCGTCGTCGCGGAGTACAGATAAGCGGGTTTTGCGACCAGCGCGACCCAGGTCGTCAATGGTGTCGCGTCTAGAACAGTGGTTGGTCTATAAAATGATCAATAACGCCGTGTCACGATGAGGTATGACAGTGCGTTTGAGTCGTGTGAAGTGAAAAGCCTGTGGGCAGATACGAGCAGTATGACGTTGAGTTCACCTGCTGTGCAGATGATCTCTGTTTCAAGAAGGAGCCAGTGCGCGTAGATCGCCTTCGCGGCTGCCGGAGTTGGGTCCTCCGGGCACTTGCGTGATGGGGCTATTTTGAGCCTGTTTTCGCCACCGCTTTCTAAAGTCCACACCCATTGTGATTCTAGACGTTTGCCTGATTCACTCGCAGAACCATATTCTTTCTTCAGTTACAAGCAACAGGAATACCACAATAAGCACCAATGGAAACCTCAGGAAGGTGGTTCGTTGTGCTGCAGCTAAGAGCAAGAGGTCGCCGCCGTACTATCAGCTATTGACTGATCTCACGCGAGACTACAGAGACCATTAAACACCAAGCAAGAAGGGACAAAGGACATCCTTGTCAGTGTTGTATCTAGGCCACTCCTAATTTCTTCGCAACATCTTCTGGCGTAGCTGGCAGCATGGCGCCATCAGCAGGCTTTTCCCGCTTCTTGAACTCATCTACCATCTCAACCATTGTGACCCACTCAACACCCTCATGCTGATTAATGTATTCTATCAACCTCTCATGCATTAGTAGCACGTGAGGATGGCCTTTAGACATGTTAGTTCATAGCTTTGCAAACATCGATTCAACGGTCTTACCTGATACATCTGGATGGATTGTCATCGGAAAGATGAACTCATCATATTCTCGGTAGAAATAGTCGAAGTGATCTCTCCACAATGCCTCGACAGATCGAGTATCAACCCAACCGTGGGAATTTGGAACCTTTTTCATGAACATCATGGGAGGGAGATCGTCGAGGTACCAGTTAGCAGGAATTTCGACCATGCCTGTCTGACTTCCTGCTTTGAGAGGGTGCATCCAGGTCTTAGCGGGCTGTGAATAGTCAATCTTGGTCCACTCGTCGCCTGTCCGAAGGTAGTATGCTTGGCAGTCGTGGTGAGACATGCTATGATCGTACTCGATGCCGTACGAGAGGTAAAGCTCCGTAGCTTCTTTGGACACCTCCCACCAGGGAGCGACCTAGTTTTCAGTGATAAGTATACGTAAATAGGCCGTGGATAATGAGAAGCCCACTTACAGTTCCTCTTGGTGGTTTGCCGTTGCAGAATTTGGTTATCATCTTGTAAGTATAATCTAGAATTTCCCTTTGTTGCTCGAGACTCATATCCACCGGGTTTTCGTGGCTATACCCATGAAGACCAATCTCATGACCCTTGTCCCGGATCATTGCACACTGTTCAGGAAAGGTTTCGAGAGAATGTCCTGGGATGAACCACGTCGCTTTCATATCGTACTTGTCGAACATCTTCAATAGTCTTTCCACGCCAATCGTACCAGCGAAGTAGCCACGACTGATATCACTGGTGGAATCTTCACCTTTGTAGGAGCCCAGCCATCCTGCAATGGCATCAATGTCGACACCGTACCCAACAAGTACTCTCTTCTTCATCGGTAGAAATTGGGGATGAACAAGGAAGGCTTCAAGAAGAGGTCAATCTAGCTAGCTGATAAGGTCTAGTAGCACATAAAGAGAGGTTATAAGGGAGGGAGAGCTGTAGATGATATGAGCCAAAATGTCAAAGACTGGTACTTCGTCATAGTTCTTAGCAAGGTTTCTGTCCCCGTAACATGCTGCCATACTCCAGTACTCTGTAACAAAACAGCAGCTCTGCTCTTGGAGATGAACTTTCGAGCGACCAACTCCGTATGTCTCTGGGGTAAATGTTGCGATGACGTCGTATTACCACTCTTGGTAATATGTTGACTGCGCATACTCATGTGGACAACTCGAAAGCCGGGGTATAGTGAAAAATGCCAGGAGGGTGGTTGAACATCGGCAGCTCAGTTTTGTGCGATAGCTCGAGCTGATGGTTTCTCACTCGGCAGAAGAAACCCTTCTTGCGTTCTCAAAGTGAGCTGTATATACCGACGCATAGCATTATTTTCCATTGTGCTGTCAATACACATCGAAGGGCTCGAGATGTCAGCCAATGCAACAGTGTCGAAGGTTTATTTCTTGCTCATAAACTTCAGTGCTGATCCGATTTTGGCGACTTTCAAGACATCCCGATAAGTGAGACTGACACGAGTCTGTCTATTAGCAGTGCCATTCTCAAAAGAGCTTTTGTCTCCCAGCAACTGCCAGTTGGCGATAGACCCTGACTGTAAGTCCGTGTCTTGCTCTAGATCAAATATACCGTGCAGTGTATCCTTGTACATGCTTCCAGTTGTGAGGAGCAAGCTTCGACGCTCTTGCAGTATGCGCCATATGGGAGCAGCTTCTCTTTCACCTTGTTCATTCTTCTTGTAAATATTCAGCACTGTATGAGCAGCCAGACTGATCGTTGCGGTAATCGGGAAATAGGCGGGACCGTCCTCGTGAGGCATGATACCCTGACCTGGTTGGTATTCATTTACGAGGCAGTGATTCGGTGCACCATGCGCAGAGTCGTCGAAGATGTGCAACTCTTTGAACTTGTCGAGTATGATCTTGGTGAGGAAGGCCGGCATAGGCGCGTCGATCAACTTGTCTTTAGCAGGACCTGTCAGTTGTGAGGGCAATGACAACAAGCGTCGGTGAGTTAGCACAGCCCATCTCGCCTCTGGCAACCTTGCGATCTCTGATAGGATGTATTCTTCTTGTTCTTTCGTTATGAAGTTGGGCAGGTAGAATCCAGCTTCAGGTAGATCCGGCAGCTTACCTGCTGCCAGTTCGGGCACGTTCGAGGTTGCCATCTGGACTTTGGTTACATGATCAATTCACAGTTGTAGACGAAGCAAGACTCTCAAGCAAGCTGTGGCGCGCGGACGTGAAACTCACAGGCGCGGTTTTCGTGATTAGCAATATTCTGATGCTTAGCATGAGGCAGAAAGGCACTTTTTAATCATTGGATCATTGTGTGCAATTTTCGACTAGGCGGAGATGCTCATTGACACATTCGTCGGATTTTCTTCGCATGTAAACAGTGCGAATAGTGGTAGTCTTCGAAATTTGTACGCGGAATGGAAAGGCCTGTTGGAAAAAAGCGTGTAAAACTGTGCCGACTATTTTTCACTATCTCAACCCCAATATATACGGCTTCTCATGGTCCTGTCCAACTATCGGCTTCCACATAGGCTTGCTTCAAGCACATGCTGAACTGAGGTGCCTTCTACTATTCGTGGCGATCGAGGTAATGACTATCTAGCTGACGTACGTGATCAGTCGCACCAGATAGTAAACCTGTAGGTGCTCTGGTTTACCTGTGGAGACACCACAATGTTGCTCAGAAAAAACATCTTTGTGCCCGGTCGTCCTTGCCTCAAGGTCTAACGAGTTGTTGATCAGGATAGACGTCTACTGACTATGAAGCAAATAATGCACGCATCCCTATATCGACAAGTTCTGCAACAAAGACAAGACTTGTATAACTTCGCAATTGATCATGCAGTCCACCGACCTTTCGTTTACCCATGGGATACGTTACCCATCCTTTTTCTGATAGTAGGTATTGCATTTACTCCTCGCTTGTCCAAGCCTTTGGCAATCCTGGCACGATGGCTGTTGACCATAGCATCAATATCGTATATGGTCCTCATATGGCAAGAGGTCAGAACCGTGGGATTAACTTCAGGATATGGCATCGGCTTGTCTGCCTTCTGGGGTCTGATCATGACAATAGTGCTGCTACTTCTTCACGATCCTGGTAAGGACTTTCGACGCGTCGAAGTGCGAAAAACACGCACAAAGAACGAGTTGAACTCCCATGGCTCGACTACAGGCAGACAATATCCTCAGACTGGAGATGTTCGTGAACGTGGGAAGACAGCGAGGAGTAGCGGAGTAAATGGGCAAGCAACCACCTCACAGGTAACCAGACATTTGGTGTGGCAGGAAAACCCCAAGGATTTCTACCACCTCCTGGACTGGTCAATAGATCTAATAACAAGTTTTCGAGGTATCAACTGGAATTTTCGTGTTCCAATAAAAACGTATACAGTCCAACCGCCAGAAGGAAACCCTCCTACACTATCTGCTGAAGCCTCGAAGCTCAACCAGGGCACTCTGAAGCGACTACAACGATCGTCCATCGTCAAATTCCTCTGTTACTACATTGTGCTTGATCTGCTCAAGACGATTGTGGTAACAGATCCTTACTACCTCGGCGTAGCATCTCTAGACTCACCCACTCCCTGGCCATGGCTAGCAAGGCTGAATGTGATCGTACCCGGTGCTACAAAATTCGTCCGATTGAGCATAAGCATGACATCCGTAGTGTCAGCTCTAACATTCATCTTCTCACTCAACCCACTCTTCTTCGGAACCGTATTCCCATATCTCGTCGGCGACAAGCTCTATTCTCTTACAAAATGTCCCCTACTCGAAGTCTGGATGTACCCACCACAATGGGGCAACATGTTCGAGACACTCTGCAACAAAGGCTTAGCTGGTATGTGGTCAACCTGGTGGCATCAAATGTTCCGCTACGGCATCTCAGAACCCTCCAAACTCCTCACAGCAAAACTCGGCATCAATCCAAGAAGCCAGCTAGGAAGACTGCTGCAACTACTCATCGCCTTCGGCCTGACAGCAGGCATCCACGCCTCAGCAAGCAGTACAACATTCTCCATCGTCCAAAGCAAGCCACTCAACCCTTTCATCTTCTTCATGAGCCAGGCAGTGGGCATTCTAGCACAGACCGAACTCTCGCGGCGCCTCAACAAGCTGACACACTTCCCCAAGCTAGTGCGACAGACAGGAAACTTTTTCTTCGTGCTGGTTTTCATGTGGTATATAGGCCCATTCCTATCCGATGACTTTGCCAGGTGTGGGATATGGCTTTTTGAGCCGTTGCCAATCAGTTTCTTTAGAGGCTTAGGTTTCGGGACTGCAGATTGTTGGGTACCGTGGTTGCAGTTTGCTGAGGGTGGCCGTTGGATAGGCCTTTATCGTGGAAAGCATTGGTATACCACTGGAATAGGTATATACTGATCTAGACCAACAGTAACCTCGATTACTCTGAACGACATGCGTTGTATAGGATACTAGAACTTTGCACAAGATAGGAACGACTTGCTTTGACCTCCCAAGTAGAACGTGGAACATATCCATTCTTCTACAAGCGCCTGCTCGAGCGAATCCTCCTGCACAGCGCCTGTCACGCACTTGCCCCGAAACCAGGGCTTGGCTACGGATTAAACCATGCGCTCAATCCCTCTAAAGTCCAAAGTCGCAAGAAACTCCATCCGCTGTGAGACAGTAGTAGAACAGCATCTATTTCCCTTCCCTCGGCTTATACTTATCAAGATCTTTCAATATACCCGTAGCCTCATTATACAACTTCTTCCGCGTCGCCTTGGTCTCCACCTTATCTGCTCCTTCCGGCTGCATCAGATCGCCAGGCTCAAAGACTTTCTTGTATGCAATCTCGTTCAATCTTCTGTACTCTTTGTCTCGCTCGTCTCTGTCTGAGGGAGGTGATCGGAGGAAGCTTTCGATTAGAGGGACCCATTGTGAATGGAACTCGTATCGGAGCTGTTGCATTTTGCCGAGATCTGTGGAGGGGTCTGCTTGTGGTGGTTGTACTGCAGGAGCTGTGGGACGAGCTGGAGGTGCACTTGACACTGGGGATGATTGACGTTGTGGTCTTTGATTTGTAGGTCGTATTGGCGAGGGTTGGCGAGGCGGAGTGTTGCCCATAGGTGGTGTGTCGTGTGGATGAAGATGACCGTTTGCTGAAGGGTAGCCAGATCGTGGATCATCGACTGGGTCACGTCTTCTGTAGGTCGAGTTTGAGCGACGTCGGCCTTCTTCCTTAGTCGGCCTGGCTGACGAAACGTATGCTTCACTTTCACTATCTTTCCCACGATCGGTTTTGCGGTTATGGTTCACTGGCTCCTGTTGCAGGATAGCCATGATCTCGCTGTTCTGCTTGCAGCCATATTTGCGAAGTGCCTCACTATTCCACTTCAACTCTTTGTCTTTGTACATCAATTTGATTCTGTCTTCCTCCCCATCCAATCCTAGCCGCAACGCAACTCTATCACGAACGTGCTTGACGAGGACCTTCTCTTCTGCTATAGAGTAGGGTGGAAAGTCTATCGGCCACTGATCACCTCGAAAGCGGATGTGTATAGTATCTGGCGCATCGTCCTCGTCAAAGACCTGCGCACTTGCGTATCCAGATGGTAGCAATACGTTATGTTGTTCATCTACGTAGTCGTAAAGGTCTGACATGCTGCGGTCATTATGGTTGGTTTGGGCGTAGGCCGCATATGGTGATCGCCCACCATTCTGGTAGGGTTGCGCAAAGCTGGACCTATGCATAAAGAATCGAGCAGCGACGAAGAGGAGGGCGACAACAGTAGCGAGGAAAGAACCGAGAACAGTGTTGGATGAAAGTGTGGTAAGGTATCTTTCGAGGAGGGGTAGAGTCTGGTCAGGCGAGGGTTGACCAGGCAAGTAAGTCAACAAGGATTCCAGCGGCTTTTGAAGGATGCCAGTCCAGTTCAAGGCCTGGGACGCCACGGTGGCTGTTGTCGTCGTATGTTGTGGTAGAGGAAAGGAGCAGCCTCTGCAAATACGCTTAATTTAGAAACAGACGTTTGAGATGGGATTAAACCTCGAATACTGTCAAAAGTCCAACAAAAGATTCAAACGTTTCTTCAAGATTGGAGCCGAACATATGACGTTGCGATTTTTACTGGTGAATTGGTTCGTGTCCACACACAAAAAGGCAACAGGTGCGATTTGCTTACTTGGACTGGCGGTAAATAGAAGATTCGGTAGCAGGGTTTGGGGCAACTTGATGCTAAAGGTTGGCAGTATGGGAAGGCCCGGAGGAAGTCGCAAATAGTGGAGTACCAACTCCTTTGTTGTGACAGCCTCGACTATCGAGATCTTTTGATCTCAATTGCACAATGCGCTCTTTCTGGAATCATCCCACTCTTGAGCCGTGAATCCCACCTACTAGTATGCATGGCTTGGTATTTACAGCCTTTTCTTCTATGAACGTGCAAGCGGCCCAATAGAATGCATAAATTGATCTTGATCAGCCAACACCAGATCACGAGATCCTCGAAACTTATGTAATGCGAATTTAGGTATAACCCGAAGATGCAGCTTGCCGGCGGATGCGCACAAGCAGAATCTCGAATGAGCTCAAACCGCTCCTCTGACTTGATGCCATAGACGGCAGGCAGCTTGAATTGGAAGTGGCACGTCTAGAGAGGCAATCGTAGCAGAAGGGCATGCCTGAAACATCTATTTTTCAACACCACAACGCCTCAAACGTTCACAAAGCAGATTGCGCCCACTTGACAGATTTCTACCAGCAACGCGATCCTATTATGTTGCCAAACGCTCGCTGTTCTATGCTAAATGATGATGCTATACCGAACGATACCAAATGCACATGAAGATGTTCAACTCGAAATCCGTGAATCTGTGACTGTGGGCACCGGCATTGACACGTCTGAAACCACCTCGGACTTTGCCTCAACTTTTGCTTGTATATCCTCAAGCAGTGACTGATCTCGTACTTCCTGCAGTGCAACAAGATCATTCATTCCGTCCGGTGTTTGGTCTAGCCCTTTGAATCCTTCCTCCACGATCCACTGCTTGTCCGACCCCAACTGATGCAGGACTTCACAAGCCGCGCCAACCACTATCAAGCCAGGCGGTCGTGAACCCTCCACTTCTATTGCCCGACATACATGTTCCAGCGTAGATCTGATGACCCGCTGGTCAGGACAGCTAGCTCGCTCGATGACTGCACAAGGCGTGGTCTTAGGCCAAGGTTTTCGTACGTTGACAGTGTCCTTGCCACCAGTGAGACTGTTGATCAGAGCATCCAGCCTGTGCAGCGCCATCAGGAACACAACAGTCTTGCTCTTCCTGTAGGACGGTGGTTCAGGTGCTGCGCCTTTCCTACCTGTTCCTGTGCATATGACGACCTGATCAGCCACGGCGCGATGTGTCACAGGTATTCCCGCAAAGAGTGGAGCTGAGAGTGCGCTCGTGATACCAGGCAGAACTCGTACCTGGAAGCCACGTTCTCGGAAAAACACAACTTCCTCTGCACCACGGCCATAAAGGTAAGGGTCGCCCTGTTTCAACCTTAGAACGTCCTTGCCTTCTTTCATGGCAGCCAAGGCAAGCTCGTGCATTTCGTCCTGAGCAGCATCGGCGTTGCCAGGAAACTTTCGCGCAATGTGGACTGGTGTCCTGCGTGGTATAAGCTCCAAGATCTCAGCAGGAACAAGTTTGTCGGCTAGAATGTAGTGCGCATTCTTGATCGCCTCATGAGTCGCAACTGTTAACATCGATGCATGACCAGGACCCGAACCTGCGAGTGTGATCGTCCCTTTCCTTGCCTTGATTGCCTCGACAGCCTGCTGAACTGACTGCTGATGGCTGTGTGAATTGCGTCTGTATGCATTGAGGATTCCAGCGATGTCATCGTCGCTGATAGCTGCCAGTCTTTTTAGCGGCCAGTATTCACATATCTGTGACAGCCACCGCATGCGTCTTGTTCGCGCAAGCTCTGGGTCTGGTTCGGCTTCTTTCACAAGGGTATTGAAAGTATGTTTCTGGTTCTCTGTCTCTTCATCCTCCTCTTCCAGCTGTGTATTTTCTTGGCCTTGCCGTAGCTCTGCGAGCTTATCTTCCTCCCAAATCTTTCTGCGGATCGTGCCTAATCTATCGACAGCTGCACCAAAATCTCTAGGTAATAGTGTGGCGATCTCTCTTCGTATTCGTGAAGCAAGCTTGCAACCTCGCCCCGAAGTCGTTATGCCGATCTGTAGTGGTCCGTCTGAGTACGTGGATAGTAGTGTAAATGTGCATAGCTGTGGAGCATCCACCACGTTTACTGGTATGCGCAGTCTCTTACACAAACTGGATATTCGGATACTCAACGGATGTTTCGAGCCGGTACTAACAAAGACTGCGTCAACGATATGGTCCACCTCTTCTCTTCCTAGCGTTGTAAGGTCTGAGTCCTCGAAGTCCTTCTTGGTCCAAATCACGCTGCCGTCCTCGACTCGCTTAGCCAAGCTAAAGTGAATGTCATCGTGCTCCGGCGCGATGAGTATAGGTCGTGCACCTACTTCGAGCGACTTTGTGCATCTCGAAGCAGCCAGAGGACCTGCACCAACAACGAGGTGTATGTTGTCACGGCAATTCTGTGCAGTCAGCAATGCAGGCATGGTGTCCGAAAGCAACGGTCTGGTGGTTGGTACGGAACAGAACACGAAGAAACAGAAGACTGGCACCAGCTCGTTCTTTTGACAAGCGATCCACAAGATAAGTGGAAGCAGACCTACCAAATATGACACGACATAATGTGTTCCGAGGATTTCTGTATCAACAACTCCATGGGTGGCTCGAGAACCAGAAAAAACGATCGCCCAAGGTTTATCACAACATTTTGCTTATCGCTATCGACGTCAATTTCCTGTGAGCCTATTTGCCGTCGAGAACTCCGCGTATCTCCTGCGCCCGCGATTGCGCGATGCCTCTTTCCCCAAAGAGTAATGGAGTGCGTCTACGGTGAGGTATACAGCGCATACCTGGCACGAAAAGACAGTTTCAAATGACCAGCTTGGTTTGAGCATGACTTCCAGGTGCAGTGCTGGACGTTTGCATTACTCAGCAGTCAGAGCTCATAGGTCATGGGTAGTAGCCAAGTCTGCAGTAAGTAATGTATAGACTGTATTGCTTCTTTCGGTGTGTAAAATCTCAGTCATTGTCGATATTGTGTCCAGTAATGTCTCAGGACTAAGCACATCGCTCTCATCGCTTCGACATCGGTTTTCTCGCTCTGTCCTCATCGTCGACTCTGCCACGATCTCCTTGACGAAAAGCGATTATGGCAATTGCAGAATGGGAGGGCGGCTGTGCATGTCGCTCCATCAGATATCGTCTTGAGAAGTCGCCACTGGTCGTCCACTGCTGTCATTGTACCTGGTGTCAAAAAGAGACCGGAAGTGCTTTTGCTCTTATTGCCATGATCGAAACCAACCTCCTCACTCTTCTGTCATCGGAGCAACCTCGAATTCTAGCAACGCAAAGCGGAAGCGGCCGTGGCCAGGCAGCAGCCCACTGCCCAAATTGTGTCAGTGTTCTTTGGAGTACCTTTGCTATCGACAGAGACCTCTTTACTTGGATCAGAGTTGGCACGTTAGATGATCCGTCCAAGGCCCCACCAAGCGTACACATATACACCAGAAGCAAGTTGCCGTGGGTCGTCCTCGATGCCTCAGTGCCAGTCAGAGAGGTCTATTACGATCGGGAGGAGGTTTGGTCGAAGTCGAGTCTGGATCGACATGAGAAGTTGGTGAAGCAGGTATCGACATGATAGCCCGTATATTCGCATCTTTGTCGACCGCATGACTCAACTCTGGTCTCCGAGTATATCGATGTGCACGGTTTCGGTGATAGTTGCTGTGCCTAGCAAACTCGTTGGTTCTTCAGAGCCGTCGCTTGTTGTCCAGCACAATCGGATTGGCCGAGACTGGTTCATGGTGGGACAATCTCTCTGCATTCAGTCGTCGTCGCTATCATCATCATAGTTCAACGTTTTGCTCATGTATGGTCCATCAAGCTCATAGCCGAGTCTTTCGTAATAGCTGCGCACACCAACACCACTGATTACACTCAATTTGGTGCTTCCATGCTCATCTCTGGCTATCCTTTCAGCCTCTTTCATAAGCAATGTGCCGTATCCCTGATGCTGAAACTTGGTCTTCTCTCGTCCGTGAATTGGTACAGCCAACCCATAAACATGCAGTTCTCGCACTAGACTGGTTTGCTGGCCAGTAAGTTCAGGTCGGAAGGTATGTGTAGCACTACATTTTCTTAGTCTTAGCAATGCGATAAGAATGTCCTGTTTCGGGTCCTCGTAGGCAAGGAAAGTTTCCCAGCCACCATTTGCTGTATAATCTCGTCGGACCAGCTCGACCTGAGATGGTCGAATCTTGTTCTTGACCTCGTTTATGCCAACTTCGCGAGTTCTCACGTCTCTGCAGGTTGTACCGAAGTCTTTCATCCTCGATAACGCTAGCTCTCGAAGATTACCATTTTCCACTCCAGAAGTAACGAGTGGCATGGGAATGTCGCGCTGTACTCGATAGATCCTAGTCCAAGGTGGTATTAGTGCTAGTATCTTGGCAACGAGATCAACGAGACCATTTGGTGTGTAATTCTTGTAGCGACCTGTCCGCCACAGCTCGTATAAACCTGTTCCTCGAATCACTAGCGTTGGATATATCTTCAAGCCATCGGTTCTGAAGTTAGGACTTTCGAAGTACTCTTCGAATTGGAAGATGTCACGCTCCATACCCACGTTGGGCAGGTCAGGCATCATGTGGGAGACGACTTTGTAGCCGGCATCTTTAGCAAGTTTAAAGGTTTCGGCCACAGCTGCAACCGTGTGACCTCTATTAGTATCTCGTGCGACATCTTCGTACAAGGACTGCACGCCAATTTCGAGTCTGGTGCAGCCATAACGCAGCATATCAGAGAGATGAGTATCTAAGCAGTAATCTGGTCGAGTTTCGATTGTAATGCCAACGCATTTGATGCTTGACATCTCTCCAGCTGTCACTGCTTCGTCCACGTTCTCACTCTGGTAGCCTGACAATGCGTTATGTAGTTGAGCGATGAAGTTCTCTCTGTACTCCTTTGCCAGGGACATGAAAGTGCCACCCATAATAATATATTCAACCTTGTCCACGCTGTGACCTAGAGCCTTGATCTGATCGACACGTCCTCTGGCCTGTTCGAAGGGATCATATCGGGCTCGAATGGCGCGCATTGATGTTGGTTCATAGCCTGTGTACGATTGGGTGGAATATTCAAAGTCGGAGTCAGGCCCACCAGGACAATAAACGCAGATGTTTCCAGTATACGCAATGTGTGGACAACGATGTGGCTTGCACATTACAGCAACACTATCCCCCGGTCAGTAAGCCTCTACAAAGTTGATTGATTAGAATTCTTACACCGCAATACCTGGTGAATGTCAGCTGGAACGATCAATACTGCCAGGTGGTCATGGGCATGAGTGTACATACCAGATGCTGATCTGACAGGCTTAGCGAGGAGCTTAGGCAGAATGAATTTCTTGTACTGTTCGGGTACTGAAGTATTCATCAGTACACGACCTCCTCTATCAATTTATTCACCTACCAGCACTGATGATTGCAGTCAAAGGCGGCTGATGGCTCAGCTTGTATTTTCGACTGATTTGTCCTCGTAAGCTATTCAGATTTATGTCTTTCTTTGGCTTCGAGTCATCGCCAGCCGTCTCGTATTCCTGTATGAGCTGGTTTGCGATATCTTGACATGCTGACATGAAACGCTGCGATTCAGGAACAAGGTCAATTTTATTGCTCACCTTGGCCTTCGGTCGCATAACGACCGTCTCAGTCATGGTGGACATTTTGTGAAACTGTTACGTGCAGAGGATGTAGCAACAGCAGTCACAATTGTCCTCGCAGAATCAACTGCGTGTTCTGAGAGCACATCGAAGACTATTCCAATTGAACTTTCTTCGTATAATATGTTGCCTCCGTGTCGTCCAAAACGATGGAGTCGAAAATCATCATCAAATTCACGTGTCAATTGCTTGAGGATGTATCCGTAACACTTCCTCAATCGGCTAGAGCTTCCTTCGCGGCTAGACTCCACCTCTGCCGCAGGAAGCTGTATCAGGGCTGTACTTGAGCGACTGCGCCAGCTTGCAATAAATAACGTCCACTTTTCGACTCCGACCTTGTCGTCTAGTGCTATTGCTTTGTGTATTCAGCAGCATTCGGAAAAATGCAGGCTTTCAACAACTGCGCGACAAAAACGCTGCGGCAGTCGTCGCGAAGAGCATACTCCTCCGTTGTTGGTAGTTATGCTGATACTGCTTCCAACCTGAGAATCGGAAAGGACACAAGAGTGGTTGTGCAAGGATTTACAGGAAAGCAAGGAACCTTTCACGTCAGTTGAGGCCGCTGCCCATAACAGGGGACAAGTCGTGCTAACCACCAACAGTCGCAACAAGCAATCGATTATGGGTGCGACATATACTATATACACAATGGACAGCCGATACTGACTGAATTGAAGCACTCAGATCGTCGGAGGAACTAATCCGAAGAAGGCTGGCAGCACACATCTCGACCGACCAGTGTTCAAGAACGTGAAGGAGGCTATGGACCAAGCACAAGCCAATGCAAGCTTGCTGTTCGTGCCGCCGCCTCTAGCAGCTGCTGCGATCGAAGAGAGTGTTTCTGCTGAGATACCTCTTGTCGTGTGTATCACAGAAGGAATTGTAAGAACCACGAGCTGCACATGCCTACATTGGAAAGCTAACAATCTCCATAGCCACAGCACGACATGGTTAGAGGTAGGGAAATGGCTCGGGTTAATGGTCAGAATGTCTAACATGAGAACAGTCACGAACCTGCTCAAGACACAGTCAAAGACACGACTCGTTGGTCCTAACTGCCCGGGCATGATCGCTCCCGGCCAATGCAAGATGGGCATTATGCCAGGCAAGCAATTTCTACCTGTCAATTGAGCTTACTAACTTTACTCTAGGATTCATACACAAAAGAGGACGAGTCGGTATCGTGTCAAGATCAGGTACCCTCACATACGAAGCTGTCAATCAAACGACACAAGCAGGCTTAGGCCAATCTCTGGTTGTTGGAATTGGTGGTGATCCTTTCAGCGGCACCAACTTCATTGATTGCTTGAAGGTCTTCTTGGAGGATGACGAGACAGAAGGCATTGTCATGATCGGTGAAATTGGCGGCAGTGCCGAAGAAGACGCTGCGGATTTCCTGAAGAGTTACAACGTCAAGAACAAGCCAGTGGTGAGCTTCATTGCTGGCATCAGTGCCCCTCCAGGACGACGTATGGGTCACGCAGGTGCCATTGTCAGCGGAGGTAAAGGAGGTGCTGACTCGAAAATCTCAGCTTTGGAAGCAGCAGGTGTCATTGTGGAACGAAGCCCGGCCAGGTTGGGCAAGTCTCTGCACGAGCAGTTTGTAAAGCAGGACTTGATCTAGGTGTGGACGGAAACTGAACTCGAGAGTCGTGTTGCTGCTTGCTTCAGCGTTGCGGAAATCTGATATGTTAACACATTCTACGTGTACAATGCAAACTTTTGGCGATTGCAGGAACCACGCGGGTTTCGGTGAAATAGCCTCCGCGTCCTGCGTATAACTCGAGCTCTTTCGCAACCAAGACTTCTTCTGCCTCTATCGGATCTACACCCAAGCCACCTTATCGATTAGGTGTCTTGACAAATCGTAGTAGTATGTGCCTTGAACACCTTGGAATTCGTATCGCTGGTATCAACGTGATCATCTCAACGAGATTGCTCCTCTCCGGTTCTGTCTTTGTACGAGCCAGGCCTGCGACCCGCAGAATACGAAAAATGCCTATTGCCTGGTCAATCTGTGTATTCATTCGACTTGGTCTCAAACGTACTGCATATACCGCGACTGAAATGAAAATGGCTCCAGCGACTGCATTATGATCCTCTGGGTCTTCGTCGAGTCCCATGACCATGTGGTGGTTTCTAGCGAAGAGGCTGCCTATTATTGATAAGATGACCATGGCAAAAGCTGATATGACTATGCTGCACGACGTCAGCTTTCCCAACCCTTCTTCCTGTCACTTGATGTTGCGACTGACCATGTCCAAGCACCGAAGCCGGATACAATAGGCTTCATTGTGAATGATGTCGAGAGTCAACGTATTGGATGTAGCTAGGATCACGCTTCGAAAAGGTCGTGAAAATTTGTAGACCCAACAGCGCTGGAGGAGATACTGTTCGTAACAGGTCGTTTCGTATAATGTCAGAAGAGTTGCTGTTGCTCGAATTGGTCGTACTTGCCATCACGATCACTATAGCTTGATATCATGCAGTGGATGATGCCGCAGTATGCGAGGCTGAGCAAGGCTATTGTACTCCATACAACTAACTTGAAGTGTCTAGTTACAGTTTTAGCGCACAAATGACGTTCACCGCCTGCGCCGACGAAGCACCACCTGCACTGTTGAGCAGCTCTCACAGGCAGAATTTCAAAGTCAATCTAAAATTCTTGGGTCTTTCCTGCTCGTTCGCCCACCAAACTCGCCGATCCCTTGTCTTGTGACTCGGTTCCAGCCATCCTTAGACTCCCCCCACCGCAAACTATCGTCTCCATGTGATTTTCGTCCTGTGCATTTACCGCAGCTCCAACGCAAACACTGAAATCTCTTTCCTTACACTGTAGTTCAGACATCTTCATTCACATTTACGGCGGTCGTTTGTGCATTACTGCAGTATGCTGTGCTGAGAAGATCTATACATCGATAAACTTTCAACCCATTGTCTTAGCTTTTCTCTACACAATGGCTCCGAAACAGACAAGAATCAGTGAGAGGAGTCCTCTTATCATTCCTAACCGCAGTGGCCACGACGACGATGTCGAGTCAACAAGGTTGTCATCTAGTCCCACTAGAAGTAGATCTAGCTACGACAAATACTTCGAGGAAAGCAAAAGCACCCTCTATCTCATTCTGTTGACTCTCAGCATTGGCGGTCTGCAGATAGTCTGGTCAATCGAGCTTTCCAATGGCTCACCGTATCTTTTGTCTTTGGGCATGAGCAAGGCACTTGTCGCTTTTGTTTGGCTGGCTGGCCCAATGACTGGTGTTCTTGTACAACCTTACATTGGCATGATCTCTGACCGATGCCAAATCTCTTGGGGCAAACGGAAGCCGTTTATGCTTGCTGGTACTGCTGGTGTTGTTGGAACTTCACTTCTTCTGGCCTATGCTCGACAAATCGTGTTTCTCATTGGAAGGTTCAATGCGGACGCCGTCTACGAGGGAAACTGGAAAGGATTCACTATCGCTCTGGCCACGGTCATGATGTGGTGTCTTGATTTCTCAATCAATACTGGTAAGTCTATCGGAATTGACAATAACCAGATTACTAACACTTTCTAGTACAAGCATCGATAAGAGCTTTCATCGTCGATGGAGCTCCGGCACATCAACAAGAAGCTGCCAACGCATGGGCATCTCGCATTGTTGGCATCGGCAACGTCTTTGGATACATCGCTGGTTATCTGGATCTACCACGCCACTTCTGGTTTCTGGGCAAGGAACAATTCCAAGTTCTCGTTGCCTTCGCCTCGATCGTCCTTACAACGCTTGTTTTGATCAGTGTTCTTACAGTTAGGGAAAGGAATCCACAAGACGAGCCAGACATGGGCGATGATGAGAACTTGGGCTTCATTACCTTCTTCAAGACCGTCTTGACGTCGATAAGACGACTGCCAACACCTATTTACACCGTCTGCCAGATTCAATTTTTCAGCTGGATGGGATGGTTCCCTTTCTTGTTCTATATTACCACCTACATTGGTCAACTCTACGTTAACCCGAGACTCGAACCTGGTCTTCCAGATGAAGATGTCAATAACCTCTGGGGCCAGGCAACTCGAGTTGGAACATTCGCTCTACTCATCGAAGCTGTTGTCTCACTATCTGCTAACGTACTCCTCCCCTTCCTGGTTGAACCAACATACAAGCCGAAAGACAACGTCCCAACCACTCCACTTACTCCGGCATCTCCATTCACTACCAAACCCCGACCTCAAATGAGACGCTCGGCAAGCTCATTCAACGCCGACATGGGACTACACCACGAACTCAACCAACCACGACCCAAAACCGCACCAAAAGGTCTCCACGGTGCCCTCGAACGACTCCGCATCCCAGGCTTCACCCTCCGAAGAGCCTGGTTCATGTCCCAAATCCTCTTCGCCCTCTGCATGTTCAGCACCTTCTTCATCAACACCCCCCTCCTCGCCACAATTATGGTCGCCGTCGTCGGCCTCTCCTGGTCTCTGTCCCTCTGGGCACCATTCGCCCTCATCTCCGCCGAAATCTCTCGACGAGAAGAAGAACGCCGAACCAGACAGAGGAAGAGACTGATCAACGGGGACACCGACGCGTTCTTCGACGACAAGGACGAGGAAGAAGATCGAGCAGGTATCATTCTTGGTCTTCACAATGTAGCCGTCAGTGCACCGCAAGTAATTGCGACGTTGGTGTGCAGCATCATTTTCAAGTTTCTCCAGAAACCTAGGAATGTTCCGGGAGATACTAGTGTTGCGTGGGCGCTGCGTCTATCTGGTGTCGCGGCTCTTGGGGCAGCTTACTTCACGTGGAGAATGAGAGAGTCTGTGAGTGAGGATGATGACGACGAGTGAGGTCGGTTAGTCAGTCCCTATACTTTTGAAAACGAGGAAGGTCGATGTCGAGCCGGAATACAAGAGGATATTGAGCATTTCATGGGATTATGGTAGGAAGCGACAAAAGCAAGATTAAGCGGACGGCGTTGGGAACATGGAGTTAGGTGTGAAGACGGGTTGATATAATTGCCACTAAATCAGAATTTCCTTAAGCTATGTTGGGCTTACGCCATCTTCGCACTTGACTTCTGCGAATCATTGACGTCCATTTGCTCGAGTTTGTCAATGATTTGCGATTCATCAGTAGTAGTGTCTTTTTCAGCCTGTGCCTTGTTTTGCGATGGATGATCCTTAACCATGACATGACCATCCTCGTCCTCAAGGCCTTCCAAGCGACCTTCTTTCTTAGCTTGTTGGTAGGCTTCCTCTTCGTATATTTTTTCGTGCTCAAGCTCGATCTTTTCCTGGGCAATTTGATCCAAATCAAGGTCTGCAAAATCGAGTTCTTTCAAGATTCGACCAATGGCTAACCGATACTGGTTGTGTCCAGAAACAAAGCTCGACACGTTTTTGTTCTCGACCAGTGGGGCATTGATCTCTCGCAATCCAGCAATTGCCAAGGTAAGATTTCTGGCACGGTAAAGGTAGCCAAGGATCATATCGTGTTCGGAATAAACATTGACTAGTCGGCCTGCGACCACGGCTCGCATGTTCCGCCAGCTAGACTCTGTGCTGGGAACAGGAGAGCCAATGAGGACGGCATTTTCGACAAGTCCAAAGGCTTTTCTTGCTGCAAGTTCCTGCAGACATGAGAAGACAACCCTGCTGCCCATAGAATAACCGACAAGTGTCACAGGTCGTTCGCCTTGAACCCGATCAATAAGAGCATGGGCTAGAACTTTGCCAGCCTTGTCGCTTCGTTCCATGGCGATTGTGAATGGGTTGTCGAGAAGTTGACCCGCCTTGAGCAGGCCAAGAGGTGCCATGGCAGCCGCCAGAGTAGGTAAAACGAACTTGATGGCTTTCCCTCTGACATAATTGAAGCCGGTGTTCTTCAGCAAATTGGTCAAACCCGTACCAAAGGTGATAAGTGCAGCCAACTCATAGCGTAAAGCGAAGGGTTCGAGGCTCACGGAGGAGAAGACTCGCCATGATCGGGAAACGTCGCTTTCATTTGTGACCCAACCACTGATGCCAATAGCAACACGTAGTTTGTGAGATGGGACACCTTTCTCGGATTTTGAAGCAGGCTCGGGCTTGATGTCACTGATTGGCAGGAACTTGAAGTCATTGACTTCTTTTGCATAAGCATCCATGGCACGACTGGTCATCTTTCCGCCATACATTCCGAACATTGCTCCGATAACGATCGGGTTCGCGATGGTAGCACCCAGGAAGGTTACGAGACCTCCTAAGCCGACACCACCCATGATAGTCCCGGCAAGACCAAGGATGACGGGAGCTGCTAAGCCACCTGTGACACCTATAGCGATGGCACCAGCAACTCCTGCAAGACCGACTTTCCATTTGCGTCCAAACGAGCCCTCTTCTGCCTCCTTCTTGCGGGCGTCCTCCGCGTCCATGCCCTTAGATGCTGCGTCGAGCAATGTAGCTGCGGATGTGACCTCGACCGTGCTCAGGACATCATGAGGTAGCTCAAGGTACTGGCATAAGAGAGACAAGAGAATTCGAGAATGAGCTGAATAGTGCTCCAGGCTTAGTAGCATGAACAAGATAGCACCAAGTACTAGAGCACGACCTTTCTCGTCCAAAGCGTTCACACCGGAAGGCAACGGGATTGTGGAGGGCGGAGTATTACCACGAGGCTCGGGATGTGAGGTACTGGTAGCTCCTTGATATTTGGATCTGGCATCTTCTAACGCATCAGAGCGAACATGTAGTGCCTCTTGCATTCTCTTTATGACCGAAGTACGCCAATGGTTGAAGTATTCTAGTGCAGATGCTTTTAGAGCTTGCATCTGAGGTGATGTGACCGGGTCGTCGCTCAGCCATTGCAGATCCAAGACACTCTTTTGTGTTTCTTCCTGTTCGTTTTGAGACTCAGTAGAGTCATTTGGTTGTGCCTTCAGCTCCTCGAAATTGGCAGTCACACCTTCTCTCATGCGCTCGATACATTCTGAGACCAGAACGAGAAGGTCTGCCTTTTGCGTAGGTTTGGGTAGGACATCGTCGAGTGAGGCTTCAGTCTTATCATGGTGGGTAGAGGTGCCGGGGAGATGTGGTAACTGGAACGGCATTTTGACTATTTAGTACGAAAGTATAAGAGCACGACTCGAACGTTTGCGAGGGACTTGTATGCCTTGCAGCAGAGGATGATGTAAGTGGATGCATGTTTGGCATGTGAGACGTGGGTTGGGTCGTGACTGCCTTCTTTGTGAAAGTGAAACGATGACGAAGGTTCGCAATCTCCTTCCAGCAACTGTACTCGTACTTTACTTCGATATATTGCGGCTCACGTTCCTATAGTTTGTCCAGCTGCATTACAGTAATCGCTTGATACATTGGAAGTACATCAGCAACTACCAATTCCAGGAGCTGCCCTCAATCACGAGTCGAGACACGGCTGCCGAATAAATTGCCCCACCAACTTACCTTTGAGGGCCAGGTTGTCACGACTGGGGTATGAGATCGTGTAAACGCAGCGATTGATGTCAAATATATATTGACATTCTCGAATACATCAAATCTGACTCTTTTGTACTCTCAGTACCTTGCTGACCTCGTTCCTAAAGTTGTTCGATTGAGACTTACGCCTGCCTAACCCCCGGGTGCAGTATATACAGGACCCTAACGAGCTTTCAGCCGTTCACGAGGAAGACTACAACATGGCGACTCCCTCAGTACCTATCAACTTTGTGCCTGTTGAGAAAGGAGAAGTCTGTAAGTGCTTGCTAACGCCATCAACTAGACGGCTACACCAGACAGCACAGCACTCGAGCTGACCACAACAAAGTGAACTTGGGCGTCATTACAATTCGCATCATGGAAGACGGCTCCCGTACAGACAATCGTATAGGCTCAGCCGAGTTCACCTTGCCTCCCCACACATCAGGTAAGCAGGTGCAGCCACGAGAGCACAGGGGCTGAGACGATTATGTGACGGCCCTCAATCAGCACCTCGTCACGTTATGGCCCCCAGCTAATCGCATCCAGGCCCACCACCTCACTGGCATGGTATGCTCCTCCAAACACACGTCCAACCACCAGACTGACCCTCTAGAAATGCACGACGAAACGTTCCTAGTAACCCAAGGCAAGATGCAATTCCACGGCCTCCACGGCGAAACCATCGTCGCAAAACTAGGCGACTACGTGACAGTGCCGACTCGCTCGCCTCACACGTTCTCCAACCCATATGACGAGGAAGCCAAATTCTTCAATACTTACACTCCAGCTTTCTACATCAACTACTTCAAAATGCTTTCCAAGATGTCTTCTGAGGTAAGGCCTTGGCCCACCGTAATGTGATCGTGAACACTGACGGATAAATAGGGCGTTCCGATGAGCCCAGAGCACAACAGACGTGCAATGGCTTACTTCGCTACCATTGGGGTGGCGGAGCAGGAGATGAAACCTCCTCATCAAACCGACACGCCAGAAAAGGGCGAACAAGTCGAGCACGGAGACCGGTGATCAAGAGTAATCAAGATCGGGGTGATCGACTTGAGTCAGGGGAAATGCTGCCAAAACAATTTTGACACTCTATTACCTCTTCTCGTAACTATTTATCCTCTCGGATCCAACCCACTTTCATCCTCCCTTCACCAGGTGTTCTTGACCGCGGGACATCTCGATGAGATAGCACTGAAGCGGTCCTTGACGCTGACGATGTGCGACTCTTATTTGTTCCGCTACTCCTTCCGCGACTCACACTACGAGTCCTAGGAGGACTGGTCTTATCAATGACACCGCCTCGACCGACCAAAGTACTTCCTGCGAGACTGGCCGTACTGACTCCATCATCTTCGTCGTCCCCAATCTGATTCGTAACTCGCACAACCTGTACATCATTTGGGCTTCCGTCGCGGATGCGCAAGTTACCAATGTCCACCCCTTCCGCTGCCGTAGCACGTTGTGCAACATGCTCAGCAGTTGGCTCACTATGCACATCACTCATTTGTCCAGCTCTTTGCACTCCCAGCGTGGCAGGACCCCAACGACTTGTAAAGCCTCTCCAGACGCTCGTAACCTTCCTATCCTGCTCACTCCTCAAATTATCAATAGCTGTCTCAATCTCTCGTATTTGCGCCATTGTACGAGTCTGATACGAAAGCTGCTCCGCCGTCCGCTTGGACTTCCTGGACGCCCTAGGCAACAAATCGTCGTCACTAATCGGTGGCAGCGACAACGTACTAATCTCGTGACGTAGATCATGTTCGTCCTCCGGGAACTTGCACATCGTTACCAAACCAGCGCCGTGTCTGTCCGTCGAGAATCGCTCCTCGTCGTCACTTGATGAGGCATAATCAAGCATTTCAAGATGATCGAGCAGGTCAGATAGCTCCTCGTTCAATTTGACGATCCGCCTTGTGCTGCCTTCGATCACTGCGTTTTCCTGTGTACGTCTGTACGAGGTGTCGCAGTTAAAGCACATTCCAGGAATGATACTCCGGGTGATCGCTGGGTTTGATGGGTGAAAGTCTAGATCTGTTCGTGGTTGAGCATCTGGATCGAGAGGTCGGTGAGCTGGAGGTGAAGCATGTGAGCATTCGGTGAAATAGTGGATTGTGCTGTAGAAAGTTGGTCTGCCGCGTTTGTCGTGTGGTGTTGCCGGAGGTAGCTGTTGAGTGGTTTCCTTCTTCTCATTTTGGGGCGTCTGTCTTGTGTGAGGTGATACTGAGGGGATTTTGTTTCTTGCGTTGACGACGATCGTGGGCTGATTACGTGCAGCAGTGGCAGTTTGTTCTGCATACATCTCGTTGAAGTTCTGTGGGAATGATACAGGCGGGTACTTCTTGTCCTTATGACTTGCATGCGAGGGTGCCTGAACCGGAGCATGAGAGCGTGATTGCGACCTTGAGCTTGACATGTTTTCCAGTTCTTTGGGCGGTGTCGAGCCGATAACCATAGTTCTTGACATGGTCCTAGGTCTTCCGGACCTGCCGTCATCAGCCGCTGTCGGCTCGTGTAAGTTGAAGCCAGGAGGTGATGCCGCTGCACAAACAGAGCTAGTCCCATCCTGAGTGAGATCTGATTTTTTGATTGGTATGGGCGTAACTTGCGGCGTCGAGAATGGTGTCGGCGCTTCGATGTTTGTTTCCACGATGTCAGCTTCGTGGCGTAGAGGCAGGTCATGGTTCCCTCCAATCGGTCGTTGATAGGACATGGGTTGGTTATGCATAGCTAAATCATGGAAGACATCGACGTGCTCCGGCGCTACAGGGTACCTAGAGGACTCTGCGTTGGGTCTGCCAATGGGCTCAGGTTGCTGTTCCTTTCCTAAGCGAATGCGTTCGCTCCATGCTTTGAATTGCTTCAATTCTTCTAGGCGAGACTGAAAGTCATCACCCACAACGGGAACATTAATTCCGGAAGATTGATTACGACGGTCGACAGAATCTGCAACTGGTGTGGCATGGTTCGACTCTCGGTCATGCTGCGCTCTGTTGTCTCGGGAGCTTGTCTCGGTAGCTACTGGATATTTCCCGTTACGTGAATTTTCCTCAGAAGCTGGGGCCTTGTGTCGGGATGTGATAGTGTATCGCCTTTTGACCGCAGAATTACTGGAAGCTTGAGATGCATTATCGTCAGATCGGGTTTCTTCTTCAGGTTGGTGTTTGGCTGATACCACAAGTCCTGATTGTTGACCATTACGTGGTGTGTCGCGAGGATGAATTTCCTCGTTCTTGTTATTTTGCTTTCGCCTTGAGCCTGCAGCCATACTGATTTTCTGCATAAGCGAAGGCATCATCTCAATTTTATGTTTGGAGGAGCGCAGGCCGGAATCAGCCATGCTGTCAGCAGACAGGTTGTTGTAGGACTCGTGCAAGCGTTCTGACGAGGCTCGAGCGAGTTGTCACGCGAGCTAGATGTGAGGAGGTTGTGACATCTAACGAGTGCAATGTCCTGCAGGCATATTCTCCATCGAGATGTACGAGACATGCTGCAACGCCCGTTCTAAGCGCTTGGCTTTGTTCTCTTGAGGCTCGTTTGCGTCGTTGATGTCTTTGTCTTACAGCGGTCCACCAGAATCTGGTCTGTGCTTTGTCCTCAAAATCGCTCTCCGCATTCATGGGGGTGCGACCATGGTTGTCAAGCACTAACTGTGTAATCCGCAAATCGCTTTTTCGAAAGCGGACACTGGATGGTTATTCTTTTCGTGGCCTCGATGATTCGGCCAATTCTGGCTACGAATATTAATATGGTAATGTATGTTTCTGCATCAGTGTTAGCGTCGTCTGAGCATCGTGTAGCTGTCTACGAGCTCTTTCAAGCTGGTGCTCAAGCAGGTAGGTTCCTATTGTGAACTAATTTCAGTCTTCGTCCTCGTTTCTTTCCATCAATATGTCGAGATTGTATCGCCAACGGGCAACTTCGTGTTCAAGTGCGCTAAGCTTTGCCGCGACACTTATCAAGCTTGGGTCACCTGTCTCGACCCTGGATTTTTCACGCACAACAACGTCCTGCTTGCCTCTCCACTCAAAGACCTCTCCAGTCTCGTCGTGATTTGGTAGCCGAGGAGAAATGCCCAATAAACGATTACGAAGATGTAAGCCAGACAAGGAAAAAGCGGACTCAGCTGGAGTGCTGGGGGTGCCACCAGGAGTTGCCGGCACTATACTCCGAATTGTTAGGACAAGATTGGACTCCTGGATTGCAAAGTGTAGGCTTAAGCCTCCCGGTAATCGGGGCTCAAAGACTTCATCCGCTACACTGTCTCGAGTCCAGTCGATACCAGGTATGCCCGGTGCTTGAGTGCCAGGAGGGTGGCCCTTCAAACATATCTTCGCTTCTGTCAGACGGTCGTTCAACAATTTCAGCTGGCCCCAGATGAAGGAGGCATCTGAGGACGATCCCGTCCAGCGTGAGATGTCGATAATGTCCAGAGCATCGTTAATGAGCGATCGAACTGTGAGTAGCTGAGGGAGCACGATTTCTGGTGCCTGTGGGGAGGGTTTGAAGGTAAGGCGTGTGGTTGGGGTCGAGTTAGTTGCATTGCGCGTTGTGTTCGGTGGAATGGTATGAAACCTCAACTGGATGTCCTGTCTGACGTTAGTAAGAAACGTGAACCAGTGAACCCGTGGAATGAGTTCCCAGTACCACCACGACGTACTCCTTTCACGATCTTTGTTCCTATCCGTGTCACGAAGCCTTTCACGCTTTCTGACCGCAGTGAGGACAGGACTAGCGTCGAGCCTGGCTCAACTGGAGCCAAAAGATTGACACACTCCTCTAGACCCTCCTTCAGAGCCGCCAAGGACGATTGGAGCGAGGTTAGGTACCATTGCAGTTCTTTGGCCTGGTTGAATTAGCTTGGTACACGTACTCACATACAAGAACCTACCAAGGACTCGTCTTCAGCTTTCCGCAATTCGTCGGAGGGGATGTGGGGATACACCCACATGGACATATTGTACACAAGAATTGTATGATGTCCAGGATCACGAAGCGGCAAAGCCACACCAGCCACGGAAGCTTGCAAAACGCGTCATGTGCCAAAGCAGAAGTCTCAAAGACTGAAGGGCAATCAGTAGCCAATTGTATTACGGTCAGTTGTGAGATCACTACTCACGCAGATCGAATTTACGCCGAGGAAACCATCAGGAAACACCACGCGAGACTTCTCTTCGAAGGTGCGGTGTTGTCACTTGTGTTGCGCTGACAACAGTTACCGTTTGCTAAAAGGGTAGAAGGAACAGCCGAGATACGCTTCGTGCAAGGCTATGAGCTCAATACAGCTTAGCGCATTCATTAGCTCTGCTTTTGGGGTCGAATTGTGACCCAGGCGAGCTTTTTGACTGGACATGACGTGAATTACGACCCGATGGCGTGGAAGAGCAACGGAAGTCGTAAAGTTGGCATGACTTTGCTAATGCACTCTTGGGCTTGACTGACTTCATCTTCGCAAGCTTTGGTTGCACGGCCTTTGCCTGTTTCCATGCCTCTGACCTCATAACCCAAGAGCTGCTTGTGTCCTTCATAGTCTGCCGCATTCTCTCTTGCTCACTCATCCTGCAGATTGAGACACCAACTTGATTGCTTGTAGACTGCAAAGTCGGCTTCCCCTACAATCATGGCAGCACGTAAGAACTCTTCATTCTGACAAATTTTTGTGTCTACAAGAACTGATCTGGTTGCTATAGGTGGTCTTTTTGGCTTGGTTTCACTCATACTGGTAGCTGGAGGCTTACTTCTCGCGCTCTTCATCCTGCTTGCGGGCGCAATCAATGGAAATCCAGTCAATACCTTCTATTTCCTCGAAGCGGACACGGCCAATATTCCTGGTGCACCCCCAGTATCCAGATGGACTTTCTGGAACATCTGCGATGGCTCTGATGGCACAAACACCTGCAGTGGTACAGGGTTTGGCTCTATTAGCCCAGCGCGGCCATTCGACCCTCCTTCAGGACGCAACTTTGGCACCACCCAGAATGTACCGTCACAGTTCGTTGGCACTAGATACTACTTCTACTTGTCGAGATTCATGTTCGCCTTCGCTCTGATCGCGCTGTTCTTCGGTGCTTGCGCGCTGTTCACAGGCCTACTAGCTCTATGCACGCGTCTCGGCTCTTACTTGAGCGGCTTACTTACCACCCTGGCCTTTATCTTCCAGGCTTTGACAGCTGCGCTCATGACGTAAGTATATTCGGAGCTTCGAAAACGACAAGCTAACATCTGAACAGAGCTGCGTACGTAAAAGGTCGAGACCACTTCCGCCAGAACAACCAAAATGCGTCGATCGGGAGATACGCCTTCGGTTTTGAATGGGCAGCTTTTGCCTGCTGGTTTCTAGCCACGGTCTTGTTCTGTGTCGGAGGTTCAGCGGCCAAGAAGGACAACTACGGATCAGGAAAGAGTAGGGGCGGCTTCTTCAAGGGTCGCAGGAGTGCCAGCACTCGCAGTCGAGGCAGCTTCATCAAAGCGGACAAGGAATATTCGTGAGGCACACGAGTGCAGCGCATCCACCAAGCAGCCTTGATGGGTCTTGAAACAAGTTGCCGCTGCAATATCTCGCGTCATGGACGATATTCGAGGAGCTTCAGCATAATGTGAGAGGATGTTTACGAACTGTACGACAACTGTGTAATCTAGTGTTAATATCGTGGAGGTTTATACCGCTACTTAATGAGGTCACATTCTCGCAGGTAAAGGGATCTTAGTTTCCAGTAACTAGAGTATTACATCTTGTAACGCAGTCTGATCTAAAACAAACTACTCTTCGAGTCGAGTGATATGTGTAAGATGCAAACTCGTCATCAAGGCAGAATTATAGTTGCCTTAGGCATCAATATCTTGACCTGAAGGAAGCACTTTACTGTCGCGTTGCTACTGACACGAGAACGTTAGTAGTGCCTTCCCTCTGTTATCCTTTCCCCAGCTCCTTCGCGACTACTTGACAATTGATTGCAGAAATTTCAATCACAATGGCTTCAGCACCTGAGCGAATTAGTGTCAAGCGACGTCGCGTAGACGAACCAATTAATCATCTTGTGTACCAAAGCAAAAAGCAACGAACTACAGACCATATTTTCGTCAGACTTGTAGCAGAGGAGAGCACAAAACCAGTTGTGACCACTCAACAACCACCATTACATGCTGCCTCGAAACCGGGTATACCAACAGTACGTACGACTCAGCCTGGAGATGAAGTACGGGACTTCCAAAGATACAGGGCAGCACAAGCCTTGCGTGATAACCCATATCTGGCAAAAGATTCCACTCAATCCTTGTCGTCCGCCGAAAATGGCACGAGTCCACGACGCTTTCATCTGACACGGGATCTTTCCATGAGCTTTCGACCTGTGGCTGCAAATGGCATCAGGAAATCGAAGCATACTCTTCGACCTCACTTGCCAACGTTCATTGAGCGGCCCAAGATCAATAAAGACGATTCAGACATCGAGCTCAAATCGCCGGTAGATCGTGTTGTTCGTCCTGCAGGTCGAGCTTCAAAGGATGTCTTGCCTGAAGAGATCCTATCAAACTCGGTCAACGTCGAGAAGAGTGATATACCGACTTTCCATAAACCCAAAGCCAATGTGGTCAAAACTGGCTGCTCAATTCGTGATGATCCAGCGACGTGGGATCTTGAGTCGCATCAACTCGCCAACGAACTCATGGCTTTGGCCCTTGACATGGATCCTGAAGCCAAGGCTGCATACTTTGCTGACCCCGAAAACGCGAGGACCGAATCAGATTCGGACAGAATGGTTGTCGACGATCCTAACGACTACATCTACGAGACGTATGTTCGTATGCAGCAAGATACAGTTCGGACCTGGAACCTTTCCACTCAGTCGGATTCCTTTGGCTATCTTTACATTGACGATGAGGACGAAGATTTGTGGGATCAGTATCTACGTGATGAAGATGACGAAGACGACGATTGGAACGAAGAAGACGAAGACTCAAATGCTGAAGATAATCCCCGAAACGAATACCCTGACGAGGAAATCAGTTCGGACGACGAGTTCGGTACCAACAACTACAAATATCGTCGTTATGGTTCAGACAACGAGCAATACGATGAGGACGCCTAAATTAAACCTTTTCAAGAAAGCCTACAACTGCTTGTGCGCTCATACATTATTGAAGTGGAAGATCATCATTACAACTCCTAAATGCGTCGGATTCAGGTACCTATAAGTACCTGCGACATCTATTTCAATCCTGATTTAGACACAATCAGCACATCCTGTGCAAGGTACTGCACTACAAGGTGAATGATCTCTCGTCCGAAATTGCGGTAACGCCAGAGTATTAAGGTGCTCACTTCTCATCCACTCGAACCGTTTACTTGTACGTTGGAGGACTCCGTAGGCACCGATCCTGTCTCGCGGATCTTCATGTGTCCCTCTTGTTTGAGTACGTACTTTCTCAACCTGCCATTGTTCTAACATGCGGTAAAATTTGCATTGCAATCCACCCTTCGGCCTGTTCTGCCCGAATTGAGATCGAAATTCTCGAATGACTTGATCCCATGGCTCGCACAAGTCTGCTGCCAAATGTTAGTTCAGACAATCGTATCGGCCGAACTCGTTCACGAATCTTTGTGGGAATCGATACGAGTTTGAGAGAATCCTTACTGCGGTGGTACCAGATGAAAAAGCCTTGTTGCTCCTCATACTTTGGTCTGGGTGCTCGAGCAATAGAGGCTCGTCTCTTCATCGTGGGTGACATGTCGTTTTGAGGCGACGATCGATCAGAGGTCGCTGAAAATACAGGACTCAATGGCCACCCTTGAAGTATTGGCGAATTTGCCGTTGGTACCATCCGTACAGCTGGCAGAGGCTCCGTAAGGCGTGTTTGCAACCGCGGCCTAGGTGCTGGCTCTACATGAGAATCTCGATGAGGAGCATATTGGGCGTCGAGTATGCGATCGACGCCCAGGACTGACGCAGGTTCAATGCTTTCATTAAGCAAGGAGCCTATTGCCATAGGGTTCGAAGGACGAGAGGCTTCGGTGTGCATCTTGCTCTCGGCAATCAATCGAGTGTAGCTGGGTCGAACAGGTTCGCATACTGACCATGTTAAACGAAGGTGGCTCTCTTGTGTCTGAGACTCACCCGTGCGGGACGTTGCGCATGAAGACGGCCGGCTAGAACCTTTCCGCTCCAGAAGACCGACCCGGTGATTCGAGCAAAGTGGAGTCATACATCTCGATGTACATTGAAGATGAGCGGGCACACGTGCCCATGCAATGGTCTTGCCTCAACAACAGTATCACTTTTACCCACTCGACCAGCAAATCGCCATGGAGCCGAGCTTTACCCTGTTCGTATAGCTTTTGGATGAACATACTAAAAATGTATTGAGTCATTAAAATTGTGCGCTCATTGGCGAGCTTGTCCCAGCACTCTGGTAGGCTCTAACGAGAACGGAACTCACCTTGCAGTGAACCTTGCAATCAATGGAACGGTGACGCTAGCCTAGCTCGTGCCAATGTGCCGCAATATCTGCTAATGATGGACAGTCGCCAGCAGAACGATAGGATTGGTTGCGACATCGTGTATGCTGCACGAGTCACAAAGCTCAGCCTCTTGTCCGCTCTCCTTTCAGGGCGACGACTAGCACTGACCAGCCGCAATGACTAGATGTTCTTGCGTCGAAACGCCATCCTGGTGCAATAACTCCCCAAATCACCCAGTGGATCAAGTCACGTTTCAACACGACAAACGAAAATGATGCAGAGTACGAAATACCACGGTTGGGACACCGAAGTATGTATTGGTCTTGAACATTCTGCGTGGTAGCGAACTCCTGTACTTACACTGTCTCCTTCGAGGAATCAAATTCCATACCATGACACACAACTGTGATAGTAGTGTGAGAGGCGAGATGGGCATCGTCTGAAGGCGCCCGCTTCCGCCTCGAAACTCTTGTGCGGCACACGCCACGTCTCAATCAATCACCAGCTGGTTGGCAGTGCTCTTGAAAGTGCTCCTTCCAGGCTAAGCCAAGTACGGTGTATTCCCGTTCTGAAGCCTCGGAGCTACTGTGTCCCTTATTACGCAATACACCGCTCCCCTCCTCTACTCGTAGCCTTCCCCACCAAGTATAAGGAGCCATTGCCACTTAGCAAGCTCGCCTCTACACTCAACAGACTCGACTGGCTAATCGCCTAATGTGGAGGCCACAAAAGTTGAGGCCAACGTTGACAAACAATACTCGCGACCAACCTGGACGTCATCGCCCATCTTCTTAGGCTGTCTTTAGTGGAGGTATCGCCAGTCTACCGTTTACCGAGTCCCCCTTCTTGGTATGACCCTTGGTAGAAATGATCAAGAGACTCCTCGGTACGATCTGCCGTAGTCTTCACCACATGCTTGGAAGCGCCAGTGCACCTCCATCTCTATACACTGAATTGCAGAGGGTCTTGTTCCAGATAGCAACCCTTATCAAAATCACGATTGGACCAAGCCTAGTGTATGGTCATTAATTGTCAGAACCAAAGAGCAGCGCTTTGTACTCGAGTAGCACTATGCGTGCATGGCTATCGGGAATAGGTCATACCCAACCAGATTCCGTCTGCTCGGCCCCAAGTCGACCTTCGCAGCCTCCAGCTTAATAAGACGTCACGGGTGAAGCCTTCGTCTACCAGATCTTCAGCAGTAGTTCATGCAAATACGAGCTTTTGTTCCTGCCCGCACTTTTCATTCTGATTTTCGGAAATCACAATACGCTACCAGCCAGGCGTCGCGTAAGCGTGAAGAAATCCCCACCCTTGACCCTGTTTGGATTCAAGACCCACCTGCTGATGCATTGGTTACGCGAGGATAGCTTGCTGGATGGTCTCTAATCCGTACTGAATCTGCGGACACTCTCCCTTCAGACCGATGACGCCTGTCTACATGCATGAATGGTTGCTTTCATTAATGCATGTGACGATGCCCTAGCAGAAGGACGTCTTGTAGTGAGCAATACTACTTGGTTTTTAGAGCACCTCCAACACAATTCAGGTCTCGGCTTTCTCAGTCTAGTGCCATGTTCCAGATCACAACAGCTCTCTCTTATAGTACTATTAGGTTAGTGCTCTTCAGGTTCGTGCAAGCTCTGAGAAAACCATGGCCAGACGTACTCAAAACTTGGAACAAAGCAGTTTCTGTCTCGAATCGAGACTTGACCGACTAGGAAGCCACTGCCCTCAATATGTCAGTCGCCTCCAGGAAATCATCCAAACCGCCCAGATTTTATCATGGTTTCCCATTGACCGTACGACGAATGAGGTCGGCCTCAACGTCCCGACAACTAAGCCGACGTTCCCATGTGCTGGTTTTATCAAGCTCTGCTAGCTTGAGACCCAAGCGAAGAACAATGAATGAACGTTACGCTAGTTCCGTTGCAAGCGATCTGCAAGTACGCTGCCAACCTCTATCGTGCCTACTAAGATATCTCGTTTCTCGCATAGTGGTGTCAACGGCCATATTCACGGCCTAAAAACATAGCAGATCAAGGTAATCTTGCATATATATGCTTGTTGTGAGAACGTGGACAACGCCACCTCCCATGCAAGTCTGATTTCGGCCAAGGCGGCACAAACTTTTTGCATATCGTCATGTTCTTTTGCTGCACAAAAACGCACTAATGCCGACAGCGAACGTGTTACACGAAGGGCCAAGCAAACGGTTCTCGATTGGGTGAAACATTTTGCGAGATTGTCAGCGAGCTGGTATTGATAGCGGCGCCTGCCGCGCCTGACCTTAAGCGCCACCATGCCAACCAGCACTGGAACTTTCCATCCCACGTGTTGTGGAGAGCTGCAATCATAAGCATGGCCACGAGGTCTTTGAGTTTGGGCGTCGAACACTGTTTTAACCGTTTCCTCGGACCCACGGTTACTATAAGGAGAACGAGCGATAACTGCTTTGGAAGCACTTGTGATTTTGCAGCCCGAAATTCAGACTTCGAGCATGCTTGTAAATCAACGCAGTCGTACCTTCCGATCGGAAATGCGCTTTAACTTTTGAGAGGAATTATATTTATTGATATACAGCTTACAGGCACGTCCCGACGTGTGCACCAGATGTGAAAAACCGCTATCTTGGTAGCGCACATCACCGCGGATGGACAAAGAGCCACTAACAGGCCTAGAAATTTTATGCCAAGGAGTGCTCAGCCCAGGGCTTGGTCCTTCTGCTGGCTTTTCTTCTGCTTTTTCTTCTTGTCCTTTGGTTTGGCAGGTACCGATGGACCTTGCTCCTCCGCTCTCCTATTGACATCGCCATTAGCAGCGACTTTGGCCGGCTGCTTTTGCTGGTTGTCTCTCAAACTGTTTGTCCATGCATTGTACCTCGACCAGAAATCTTTGAAAGCTCTTCGTGTAGTTTCTCGTTTTGATCCTGTTTCAGACGAGATCTGCGTGACAACGCCCTCGACGTCGTCTTTCCCCGTTTTCACCAATAGCCTGCAGATGAGAGTATTGAGTTGAGCAGCCGCGTCGATAAATGCGTTACTCACGCTCCGGTTACAGATTGCCACGTGCAACCTCCTTAGCTGATCCTGCAATTTGGTCTGCGCCTCTTCACTGTGTTCTACCTGCGGCAGTTTTGGTCCCCTCGATTTCTGCGAGTAAGTCTTGATCAGTTCAACGGCACGATTCGCTAGCTGTTGAGTGTTGGTCGTGGCTGCCAGCTCGAGCACAGAGCTCAACAATTCCAGACATTCCAAACCTCGTGCCTGCTGTGTACGCAAGAAGATCTCCACCATATCTAGAGCGCGATTCTTCAAGTTTATCACGTTCTCTTTCGCGTTCTTGTTCTCTGCTTTGCGTAGTTTTTGTGCTGAGGATTGATTCTGCTGATTCTTGAAGACTTCGGCAAGCTTGTCGTCGAGTTGCATCATTTCAGAGTCTGACATGTCTGAATCAGAGTCGTCCTCCTCATCACCGTTTGGCAGGTCGTTCTGGTCCAGTTTTCTTGTTCCAAGTGCAGCTGCGAGAGCGCTTTCGAAGTTGTCAAGTTCTTCATCGTTACTGTCCGTTTCAGCATCATCTGGTTCAGAAGTATCGTCTCCAGATTCAGATGGCGTTTCTTCAGAATCAGACGCTTTATCGTCCACTTCGACATCGCTGTCGTCAACTCCGTCGACAATCTCGACGTCAGAATCAACTGCATCACTTTCGGCCAAGCTGTTGGCGTCTGAATCATTCACTGTATCTATGTCACCACTTTCGAACAGTTCTTGCTGACCCTCACGGCTCTCTTTCGCTGTCAAAATATCACGTAGCGCTTTTAGACCATCAGACGACATGTCGACAGCAAAAGCCTCGAAGATCAGGCTAGCCGCTCGCCTGATGAGCTTGGAAGACTTTGAGAACAGACTGAGGACGATGTCAACAATATGGTTGGCTATAGCAGAGTCTTTGTCCTCGGCCAGGAAATCTTCAACCATTTCAACAACTTCATCCAGCATTTCGATACTTCCCTCGTCGCCATTATAGACCTGGTACAGGACCATAGCGAACAGCATGGCAAGTCCATCTCCAGGCCGTATCTTTGTGCGCTTCGCGTGTCCGTTGATAGAGACATGACTGGAGTTTTGATTAACGACTGTCACGAGTTTGTTGTATTGCTGCCAAGCGGCCGACAACGATTCCTGTATACCCGCCTCGGCTTCCAAATTGAAGTTCTCGAGAATTCTAACAAGCTCCAATAGAGCTCGCTGTCCTACTGCTCCCGCTGTAAGTAATGCTTCGAGACATAAGTTCATTTTGTCAGTCAGTAGTGTGAAAGTGGGTTCGTCGAGAGAAATTGTCGAAGCAGTGCCCTTGGCCTTCTGACACGTCTCCATTAGTCCTTTGATTATGCTGAAGGACTTCTGAAGATCGAGTCCCACCGTTAAGGCATTAGCTGATGTGCTCTGTGTTACACAACGGATTTGTTGGCAGACAGCCCGTTGCAGAATATTTATCAGATTTCGTTTCCTTGAATTCGCTTTTACAACATCTTGTTGGTCGATGGGGAGTTGGTGCAACCACGACAGTAGATCATGGCCGATTCCCACTCCAGACTCGAGAGACGTGGAAGTCAACAAGGATTGCAAAATATCAGTCTTGGTCTCAACATCAAAATCACGGAGGTCACTGCCAACCAATAAGCCACGGATAATCTGGTGGACAGCATCTGGACGTTTATGCTTGAGATCCGTTTTGATAAAGGCTGTAATCCTGTCAATGATTCGTCGTTGATATGACTCCTTGGCAGAAAGTCCTTGCATCAATGAAGCCATAAGATTTCTGGAGAAGCACACTTCGGTAGAAGAATCGTCGACTTGCTGCAAAGCTGTTTCCAGGATGAGAAACCCGGTTAGTTTCCGCTCAGGGTTGCTGGATTCACCAAAGACGCCATTATCAACCACCTCGTTCCAGAAACGCTCAAATGAAACTTCATTCTTCGACCTTGGCTTACTGAGCTCCTGCAAGACTAATTTCCAGGCTGGATTGAGAGATGGCGACCAGCCCGAGGTACCTGTCACATCTTGATCGAGATTATCTGTCGTTCGGCTGTCTAATAGTGCTTTTTTCAATGCACTCAGCTCACTCAACGACAATGGGTTCCCTAAATTCCAAGAGTCCTGAGGTAGTTTGGCTGAAGGAAATGTTGTCTTTACAGTAAGCCAAATAGCAACACCACCAATGGTGCGGGTCAGCTTGTGCTTGTTGAGCTGCTTCAAAGTTTGTACAGCTGCCTTTTGAGCGTCTGAGACCTTCTGAGCAGCGAAGCGGTGAATGGCCGAGCACACAACAGCACTTGCCTCTGCACGAAGCCAGGGCTTCTGAACCATCAAAGTGTAGATACTGTCGAGAACTCTCGCCCATTCAGCCTGGAGGTCAGGTGAAGATTCCAGCACTCCAGACTCGACTACTGCCTTCACTGCCAGTAGTCTACCAAAATAATGATCGCGTTCATCCTGCCCCGAGGTGCCGGCTTCCGGTCTGGTTTGTAGCTCTAGAATTGGAAAAGTCTCGGCGAAAGAGAGGTCCTCACAACCAAAAGCATTCGGCTTCAATGACAATGCGCCAACAAGCGCGATGTAAAATCCAGGCCTGGCACCTTTCCTGCCACTACATAAGCCTCTGAAAAGTCGTCTCGCAATATTTCGCGCATACTCGGGCTGTGTGTCTCTGCAGTGAGTTTGTATCAGCTCGAAAGCTGCTTCCAGACGAGTTTCCTCATTGTCGTCTGCAAGATTCTCCCATAATCGCGCGAGGTCTGCATCAATTTTTGGTCGTTTGGAGATGGGACGTGACCGGTCTATTTCCTCGTCTCTGGGTCGCTTCATCGCCGTTTTGATCGGCTGAGAGATGATGCTGGTCAAGTCATTCAGTGCTAGATATCGTCAATAATTGGAGGATACCCTGCTATATCCTGGCTGTCGGTAACATTTCACTTTGAACCTCGAAAAAATGTTTGGAGCCTCGTAAAAGACCCCGTAGTTTAGCCGTAAAGAGCTGGTATTTCTCAGGTAAAAGACCCGCTCTGAAACTTAGCGTAACTGCCACAGAATGATCTGCACAGCCCCGCAGCTGGTGCAGGGAAGGTCAACTTTCTTGTTTCGCAGCCAGCAAGCGAGACTGTGAGACTTACCCGGCGTCACGAGACGTCGACAAGACGACGTCAAGAAGCCGACTAGCTGTATTGTGCACCTAGACTACAACCTCGCGACCACATCCTATACCATCGAGTCACCTACTACACCCACGGATCTCGATCCCGACCAACAGCAACGGCCTCGACAGCCCCTAAGCACTACATAGCACGTTCCACATTCTACGTTCGCAAATATGCAGTCGCTGCCCGAATCTCGACAACAAACATTCGAGGAAATCTACGGTCCTCCCGAGAACTTCCTAGAGATAGAAGTATGCAGTTATTCAATCATCACAAATCAAAAAAAGAACTTCAAAAACGATAGAAGGCTGACAGCACAACCCTCAGGTCAAAAATCCACAAACTCACGGCTCGTCCCCAAGATCAATGTACACCTCATACGAAATCCACACGCGCACAAACATCCCAGCCTTCAAGCTGCGCCATTCTGTCGTTCGCAGGAGATATTCCGATTTTGAGTATTTCCGCGACATTCTCGAGAGAGAAAGTGCAAGAGTGAGTCATGTGGATTTTGAGAAAGAGACAGGATAACTGCAGAGGAACACACATCTAACAGCGGAGTAGGTAACGATTCCACCACTACCAGGCAAAGTCTTCACCAACCGCTTTTCAGATGACGTGATCGAGCATAGAAGAGACGGACTGGAAAGGTTTCTGAAGATTGTGGTTGGGCATCCGCTGCTCCAGACGGGGAGCAAGGTGTTAGGGCCATTCGTGCAGGATCCGAATTGGGATCGAAACGCGTGGTAGAGGTCACGATGGATGAAGTTACAGATGTTTTGCGGATTAAAATTTAGCGTGTGATCTTCGAGAACTTTTCGACGCAGCGGCACGCAATGCGCAACGTTTCTACCACTACAAACCCCAAGGAAACGACGGCTCTACCTCTTTCACGTTTTCCACCACGGCCTGGCACGTGCGATCTCAGTATACAGCACGCGAGTTCCTAAAACCCCACGATACGAGCCGCTCGCGAGAACGACCCTCTGAAAAACAGCACAATCAGAATACACGATCACAAGACTCGCGGTACACATGCTTACACTCTGGGAGCAACCAAACGACAGAAAAGTGCTTTCGTATGTCTATGTTCTCGACGATACGAACTGACGGCAGATCTTGGCGAGTAGGGAACAGAACCGGCAGGACCTGAAGAACAAAGAACATGCTTGGAATTGTCTTCTACGCGGAACGACTCCTCAAGCCGCAGCGCAAGGTCGGCTTTCTGAGCACGTAACACAGTACAAAGTGTGTATGGTGTTCTTGAGGGACGACTGTGAGCGGGAGGAGTATATACTGTCTATACCATTATCAATTATCTTATCTCGCAGCTTTTTATTGAACCCTAGCACCAATTTTCCTAACCTCTTTATTCCCTAGTCTATATTTGCTTACAATATGTGCAGTACTGGCCCAACCCTTATTTTTACAATTCTGACCAGGTAGGTATTAAAGTAGTGTATTTATTGGTGGGTGAATCGTGTAATGTGGTGCGTTGATTTTCTCCTTTAGTGACCATGATTCAGAATAGAACATGTGAAGAAGTAATGAGCCTCAAACGAAGCCATCAAGTTATCGGCGAGATGGTGGGTGCCTAGGAATACAGCGGTCGCCCCTAGATATCGTGTTCCCAGTTAACAAAGGGCGGCAATGTATTGTCCCACTCTTCGTTCGCGCTCGTCTCGTTCAGTGCGAGTGATGGCAAAGTAATACCGTTTGACTCTATGTCTGCAACGATCTTGCTGCGTCGAGGTAATGGTCTTGTGGTAGTTACGGAGTCGTTCTCTTCTGTCTGTGTGGTCAATTGAGCGATCGACGGGAATTTGCCGGACGTGGTCTGCCTCCGCTCTGCGGTATGAGCAGGCGAGGTAGAGTCGTTCTCGGTGGCAGGACCTACGCCTGCGCTATTTGCGCTCGACGGAAAGGTAATGGAATCCATCTGGCTAGGTGGAGCATACAGAGTGCCGGCAGGAGTTTCCTTTTTGCCTGCCTTCTCCTGCTTCTTGACCTCTGCGCGAAGTGGTCGAGCTTCAGCGTGCTTGTAGCCGTCCGGGTAGAGGTTGCGGATTCGATCACGAAGGTCAGTAGCTCTTCTATGATTGAGATCCAGGTCATGATCATTATGGATGTCTGTCCATTGAAAGCCGTACTTCCGAACACCTAGCAACAAGGCAGAGTCTTCTTCCTTAGTCCAAGGATGGCGCTTCCGTCGTTGACGATTCACAGGCATACTGATACTCGCGGACCTGCCCGAGGCAGAATCAACGCCGACCTCTGAGTTTTCTGCTAGAGCGTCCTCCGAAGTGGCAGCTTCAGACTGGCCGTCGGGATAGTCTTTAGCAAAGACACGAAAGCGGTCTTTGAGGTCAATAGACGTGCGGTCGACAAAGGTGTATGCAGGATCGTTCAGTATCTGCTTCCATTTCCCGAACCCGTGCTTCTTTACACCAGCTAGTAGATCTGACGTCTCAGGCTCCGACCACTTCCGCCGGGTTCGGCGAACCTTGGTGTCTTTCTTCGGTAGCTGTGCTGTGTGTGTCAAGGATGCTGTGGTTGAGGGGGTATCTGCATCAGCAACAGCTTCGTCCAGCTCATTCGATTTGGGCAGCTCTGCGGTCATCAACTCTGGAGTATTGAGCATTTGCTCAGGTGGTCTGTTGTTGCTAGATTTCTCCGGCTTCTGAAGCATATCCCGTACCTGCATCTTGGAAGTCGAGGTTCTCTGCAATGAAGGCCGTGCATCGGGATCCATCGATGGAAGGAGGGCGGCAGAAGGAGGTGGCTCGTGTAGACCTGTTACCATAGCCGGTAGGAGTGGTAGGCCTTGCTTGTCATCTTTCTGTATTGGTCGAGGCAGCAGCCTGTTCCTGTCCGTCTCTGCCTCCAGACGAGGTCTCTTGTGAGGGTACTCATGGCCGTTGATGTTCAATTGCGCAGGCGTAGGTGACTTCTCCACCACAGAGAGGCTCACAAACGATGGCAGTTGTACCTGAGTGTTATCGTGTTCGGACGGCGCATCGACCAATTCGCTGATGGCGAGGTGTGGCTTTTTGGCCTGGCTCGAAGGGGATTCGAGTGGTGCAGATCGAGTCAACCTACTTCCTGAGTTCTCATCGTTGTGCACGGACAATAGATTCGTCTGATCATGGTCGTTCAGATGGTTGTAATCGACAAGCTCGAGAGGAAGCAGTCCTCTAGCGTTCCTAGAGCCTGAGCCTGAGCCAGGGTTGCGAAGTGGTGGAATATGAACGTCGCTAAGGGTCGGCAGGCCACGAAGGGTGCCATTCATGGTGAGATAGTCTCATGGCAAAGAGACAGCACATGGACTGAGTAATGGACACAAAACTAGATAAATCAGAGGAAATTTCGGGTCATGCAAGTCTGCGGTAAGTGAAGAAAATCGTGAGACGGGCGGAATTATTCATTGGAACTACGTTGCCTTTCTGCAGTGCTTGTCTGCGGTCAGAGACGTAGGGTTGTAGACGGTGGTGCAGGAGCCCTATCTTCTTGGCCTTGCGGGCGACAATAGTGGATCGCGCTTTCTGCAACCCTCTCCAAATGGGCGCCCATGGGAACCCATGGGGTGAATTCTTTCGCTCCGACGGCGCTCGTGCGATTGGCAGAGAATTTAACCTACGAGAAATCCCTGATCTTGCCGATCGGCTCATCTTTTTAGCAGCACATAGATCGGGCAACAAGCGGCTTTCACGGCACAATACCATTGACGACCTCTCCTGGTCGGCCATGACAAGGCTTTGTGTATTACAGGAAAGCTCCTCTAGCAGGGTCATGGTGAGAACTTACTCGAGAAAATCCATATAAAAGCAGTGACATCGAGTACGTCGGGTTGCCAGACCACCTGCGCTCGTCTTCACATGCAGGAAGACCTAATAATGCTCGCCGACCAGTTTCCCAGCATGGTCTGTCAACACTCTCGTCGTTAACCGAGGATGCAACACTTATATGGAGTATCTGCAGGTACCGCAGCACTGACTCAATCGAGCAGCTCCTAGCTCAGAGTCTTCTACCAATAAATGGCTCATCAGATAACAAGATGTCTTGCAATAATGGCGACAGTTACGTTTCGGCATCTCCTTCCTACTTGAGATGTTGGCACAAACGGCAGGTAGCCCCAACGAGTGTCCTTCTCCGTCGAAGCTCAGTTTGTGACTATAACGTATCTGAATGCCTTGTCTGGAAAGTGCCAAGAGACACAACGGCAGTGCTGAGAGGCATTGTCAAGACATTGGGGAATAGACCTGACAGGCATCGAAAATTTTCGTTCAGACAACCGAACTTGACACACAACCAGCCAGATTCGTTTGTGCGAGCACGAACTTACCACACAACTGTCTGCTCATGAGCCCTCACCGTCGCGAGGTGATGAAAATTGTCCAGATCACGTGAATACCGTTGAGCCCCTGATCATTGTTTCAGATTATCAAATCCGAGTCTGGGGAAGCTTACAGATACTTTGAATACCAAGGTTTTCGCTGTCAATAATTCTAGACAGATCCCTTCTGAGATTTGACGTGGTAGATGCTTGATACTTGCACCTGCGATCCTATTTACGCGTGGCAAGCACGACAAGGAGAACCGAAGGGGGCGCGTGCCTGTTTGTCAGAGCTCATGCCGGCTCGTGCGCCGACGCCACGTTTCAGCTTTGCATGATCTGGGATTTCGCAAAACTGTGTGCCAACCGTAGAGATGACCAACACCAGCCTCATGATATAAGTTTGAACAAAGTAGCAGCCTGTCAATAGCGACGGTCGATGTGCAAGTGTAAATCTACCTGATTAACGACGTGGAAAGTGGTAGTAGCCGAACCACTGCACCTTCTGGAATGTCGTCTTAGGATGGTCGGAAGCGGTCCGTAGATAGTGCTAGGGAAGAGCGTGACAGGGACGATAATCACGTTCTCGAACAGCCAGTCTGATATCAAGGACGGCATCGAGCAGACGAAGCACAAACGACCAGGGTGGAAACTAAGCGCTATCGTTGTGGGCTCAATTTTGAAACGAAACATTGGTGTCGAAACTTCTCATGTGGCCCCGAATCAGCATCCTGTAACAAGCACAGAAAGGCTATTACCATATCATGAGCCAGCTAGTGATGCAGCCTTTCAAGCCCCGAAAATTGGGTTTGTCGAGGCTGGCAGGCCGGGTTCCCTAAACCTGTTCCTATTGACGGAGCTGCGGCTGCACCGCGACTTGCGCACACCCAAGTCGTACCAGTACGGTTGTGAGATACCCCCTAAAGCACGACTACACGACTACACTACCACTCCTACCTCTTCTATCCGTTCTTCATACCATCTCTTCAGCGTTTGCGACCTTCGCACCTTTGATTCCTTGTGTTCTTTACTCTCCCTTGAGCCTAGATTGGCCACCGGAACCGCTGTTCGATCTATGTCTTAATACGTCCTCCCCACGAATCACTGTGCTCACTAATTCAGTACTCGCCCACCAAGCACATCGATAAACTCGCTCCACTCTCCATCCTCTCCTAGACTTACCTCGACCTTGTTCGTGAGGAGTCGACGAATCGAAAACATTTGTCTGTGAGGACCTGAAAGAGAAGCCGCTCCAGTCGTTTGCCTTGCTAGACGTGGTCACTGAGTGATCTGCTGCAAGCGCGACGTCTGCCGTTGGAATATACAGTCAAAGAGCAAGAACATTATAAAATTGCATCAGAGGCAGACCTGGTTCGTCGCCCGAGGCACTGTGCAAGCGTGTGTTCAATTTTCCTATAATCATATTTCTAAAACTTCTTCATCATGGTTCCCACATCTCGACCAGACAGCGCTTTGAACATCAACTTGTCCGGTCTCTCACCCATCGGCGAGCCTAGCAACTCGAGTGTTAAATCTCCCTTCAATGCACCAAAGGTCAGCGCATCGGCCTTGGGACAAGTATCAAGAGTAGGGACCAGCTCTCCACTACACGAATCAGCCCAAAGACTTTTTCCCAAGAGAACTCGGGAGCTACAGACTCCAACTGGTACATCTGGAAATATTTGGGGCCCTCCTACCAGTGGTACCTCGACCCCGCTGTTTGAAATTCCTGAGTCGCCCAACCAAGATGGCTTTCCAGATTTGGTTCCCTTGACCGAGACTGGTATCAACAGCCCAGCTCGTAGAGGAAGAGCCGGTACCTTGCCTTCTAGGATATCGCCGACAGTCACTGGTAGCGCTCCAAACATCGCCCTCCTTACCTCCAAGACTTCTCGTCCCACGCCCACTACCAGTCCTTTCAGGCCTGGCTCAACTTCTGCTTCGGAGAAAGCCTTTAACAATGCTCCAGCTGCATCCAGCACATCTGCGCTTCTGTCGAGGTTGCGCGCAGGCAGCATGCCACAGCGTTCAAACATCTTCAGTGGCTCGACTTTCGTTTCGGCACATTCTCCATTCGCAACACCCTGGAACAGCCGCACCCGAGCTGCCACCCTGACCAGCATCAGTTCGGCAGAAGATCTCTCGTCCCCTCCACAATCCACGGTCGGCAGAGAAGATCCTGGTATTCGCACCCTAGATTATCTGGGTCTGGCTGAAACCTCGGCAACTGACCAAAGTATGCTGTCTGAAGCCGATTCAGCGGCCGCGTCTGCTGCTTTCTTGACAAGCTTCGCCAACAAGAACTCAAATCGTTTCCGCTCCTTCTCTGTCAACACTCAAAAGTTTCCTGGAGCTGCACCAGATCCTGTCTCACAGAATTATCCCGGAGCTGCAAGTGGCACTATGACCCCAACCGCCGCTGCTGTACTTGAGGCTGAGTACGAAGCTATACAAGAAAGAGTGAGACTGCATAATAAAGCCGTCCAGGACTTTGCACTCAACGCAACTGCTGCCAGACCCCGAGCTCGGACTGCAGGTTTGGTTGACACTCCACAGAGATCGGTTCTAAGACGGTTTGGCCAACACTTGATCAAAGAAGGAGACATAGAAGCTATGCAAGCTGGAGTGAGCGGAATGGATGCTACCAATGGTGACCTGGTCGCAGCACTCTACAATCTGAACATGGAAGAGCAACCCTATGCAGTGACGATGCAGGACCCCGTGCAGCCTTCGTTTGACTATTCAGATGAGACTCATTCTCAAGCCTCTCGGTCTCTATGGATTGGTAGCATTCCTAATTCAACCACGGTGTCAACGTTAGACACGATCTTCTCCAACTATGGACTGATCGAATCAACACGGGTTTTGACGCACAAAAATTGCGGTTTCGTTAATTTCGAAAACATGCAAGATGCTGTGCATGCTCGTTCGTTTCTTAATGGCAAGGAGATCTTTCCAGGTGGCGGTCCAGTCCGTATCGGATTCGCTAAGGCTCCCTCGAATGTTGTCACACCAATACCAGGTGCGATCTCGCAATCACCGACAGCAGGGCCTGGCGTGGATGTGACCACTAGCACGGCCTCGCTCGTACCTGGTGACGGAGCATCCACAAAACGTAGTGCGGGGCGTTTGGCAGATACTCAGAAGGAAATTCTTGAGATTGTCAAAGACTTTGGAGCGCAAAGTGCTGATATGTCAGCCATCTCCATAGCCATTGCTAGCGCTATCGATCATGAGAACCTGCAAAAGGACATTCCTCCAGCCGTAGAACCCACCCAAAACCGCATGTTTGATGCACCAAGGTTGCGGGACATCCGGAAGAGAATCGACAATGGACAGTGTGCCATTCAAGAAGTGGAGCAGATTGCTCTAGAGATGCTTCCTGAAATTGCAGAGTTATCTTCAGACTATCTCGGGAACACTGTGGTGCAGAAGTTGTTTGAGTACTGCTCGGAGGAAATTCGAGAGCAGATGTTGCTGTGTATTGCGCCACATCTTGCTGAAATTGGTGTCCACAAAAACGGGACATGGGCCGCACAAAAGATCATTGACGTCTGCAGGACAGAGTCACAGATTGCAATCATTATCGAACATTTACGGCCCTACACGATTCCCCTGTTCCTGGATCAATTTGGAAACTATGTCCTACAATGCTGTTTGAGATTTGGTCCTTCATACAATGCGTTCATATTCGAGACAATGTTGAGTTATATGTGGGAAATTGCACAGGGCCGTTTTGGAGCACGAGCTATGCGAGCCTGTCTCGAGTCTCATAACTCGTCCAAAGACCAGCAGCGCATGCTTGCCGTGGTGATTGCTTTGAACAGTGTGCAGCTGGCCACCAACGCGAATGGCGCATTACTCTTGACATGGCTACTCGACACATGCACGTTCCCTAAGAGAAGATCGGTTCTCGCACCACGCTTAGTGCCACATCTTGTTCAATTGTGTACTCACAAGGTGGCATATCTTACAGTGCTGAAAGTGGTCAACCAGCGCACTGAGCCTGAGGCAAGGGAAGCCATACTAAGTGCTTTGTTCTTCAGCTCGGGAGACACTGTCCTCGAGCAAATCTTGAGTGACCAAAGTTCAGGAGTCACTTTTGTTTTCAAGATCGTAACATCGCCGTTCTTGGACGACAAGGTGCGATCAGATGTTATTCAGAACATTTCCAATGTATTGGTAAGGATCAAGGCGCAACCGAACCAAGGCTACAAGCGACTGATGGATGAGGTGGGGTTGTCTTCGAGGTCATCACAGATGGGACAACCATTCAATCATGGTCATGCTGGCATGGGAGACCGTTCGAGGCCAATGTCACAAGCTGGTGGCAGCCACTACAACAATGGTTATGCTGCAGGAGTCGAGAATGGAGGAACGCCCGTGCGAACCAACTCAAATGATTCGTATGGCTATGCTGGCTTTGGCATGAATGGCTATCAGGGGCAGCAACAAGGGTATGGAAACATGTCGTATCAGCAGATGAATCCACAAGCACCATATCAGAACTTTACGACACCTGGATCCCGGAACAACACTAGCGGAAGCTACATGGGCAACGCTTTCAGTGGATACAACACACCACCCCCCACAGTGGACTATCGCAACATGGCAGGTCACTCAGGCTCGCCTGTGCCATTTGCATCGCAGATGAGCCCTATGGTCAACCACAATGGATTCACACAAGGCTACAACGCACAACAGATGCAAGGCAACATGTACAACTACGGCAACAATGGGGTTCAACAGTCGATGTACGGATACAGTCCGCAGATGCAGCCCATCCATGCAGGTGGAAGAGGCAGGCGGGTAAGTTCAGATCCTCTTTCCATCTTCCTAGTATGACTAACTTCGATAGCGTTGAGCAATTGCGGTAGCTGAAATTCAAGTTGCGTGTACTTGACGAGAGACTTCCCTCGACGATGGTTGGGAAGAAGTTGACTTTATGACCCAAAACTTCACGACCTTTCGCATAGCATGTGTTCTTAGGATTCAAGGTGGCGCGACAGATGACCGGGTTGGTTAGTGCATCCTGTACGGCTTGAGCTTTCTTCATAGCAGATAGAAGAGTGCTCGACGTGTTACATATCTGGAGTGTCTGTTTCAAAACGGATGTGGCTGCTAAATAGCATCTGTGGTTTGGTAGCGGACGACCTCGGAGTATCAAGTCAGGTAGATGTACCACAATCAGGAGCTGAGAACAGCAAGCAGTCAGTAGCTATTGATCTATTGCTCCTCCAAGGAGCTGACACCTCTGTTCTTGCTGATCTACGGCTGTTCACTCAGGCCAGTATCGCGCTGCCAAGGCTACGTGTACGGTGGTCGACGGCGCCTCTGACAGCAGCAGGTTTCTGCGTGAATCATCTCCTCTTACACGAGTAATGCTACATGAGTCAGCAACCGAGAACTTGTGTCAGAACATGAACAGTCCTGGTTACGTCTCCGGCGAAATACATCCAGAGAGTATCGGAGACTGTCACAGCGATGTCAATGGCGCAGACACGCCGTCTACTCAGGGCAAGAAGCGGAAAGCCGGCGCATCCAGTGGTCGAGGAGTCGCCAGTCTCACTCCAGAACAATTAGCGAAGAAACGAGCAAATGACCGTGAAGCACAACGAGCCATCCGTGAACGTACGCGAAACCAGATCGAGGCCCTAGAGCAACGTATTCAAGAATTGACTTCGCAGCAGCCTTATCAAGAGCTGCAGGTTATCATCCGACAGAGAGATGCTGTCCAGGCTGAGAATGATGAGATACGCAGACGACTGGCCTCGGTGCTGAACATATTGCAGCCGCTGCTGAACATGCAAGGATTGCCAGAGCTGGCGCAAGCTGCGCAGCAGACGGCTCAACAGAACACAACTGCATACCAACCGGAGCAGTTCATGAACGGCACCTCGCTCCCTCCAAGATCAGTCCCTCCTCCCCTAGAAACGAGCAACTACCCCAGCCCGTTTCCATCGTCCGAGCACGACTCTTCTACTGAGGCACAGTCATGGGTGAATCCGCGCATGGCTCTCAATAACCAACGAGAGTCGATGCACCGCAACCATGAACTGTCGGAGAATGGAGAGAAATTGAATTTCAGCTTTCTGATCGATTCGGCGGCAGCGAATAAGAACAACTATATACCCTCCGTGCCTGAACGAAGAGCTTCACCGCTCGATCGCTCACAATACTCTTCCTATCTAGAACCGATTGGCTCGCCGCAAGCTCCGTGGAACATGCTCCCCAAGAACTGCTCACCCACCTGTCCTCTTGACAGCATCCTCATAAACTTCCTACAAGCCCGTCAACGCGAACACGCAAGCTATACCTCTGCCTCTGGTCAAGCTCCTTCCTACAACTCTCCTGCCTATCCTTCCATTGCCAACCTGCTCAATCCAACCAGCACAACATCCTCAGCGGGCTCTACAGCATCGAGCCTTACTCGTCACATCGGCTCTCCACCATCATCCCGCGCAGCCACCTCAGACCCTATATCAACTTTAATGACCGACATCATTTCCAAATTCCCCAACATATCGTCCCTCCCCGAAAGAGTAGCCACAACGTACACAATGTTCCTCCTGATGCGCTGGCAAATCTACCCAACTCAAGAAAACTACGACCGCTTACCGGAATGGCTCACTCCCCGTCCCTCACAACTCTTCACCCCCCATCCCGCATGGGTAGACCACATTCCCTGGCCCAGGACCCGCGACAAAGTAGTCCGGAACTACCACGACTACCCTTTCGAGAACTGGTTCTTACCCTGGACCAGCGGCCTGAGCGTAAACTGGCCCTACGAGCCCGTAGACTGCCTGATCAGCACTAGCGAACACGAGGATCCCATCATCAACCCTGTGTTTGAGAGACACATCCGCAGGCTGGAGAATTGGAGTATAGGCCCACAATTTACGCAGGCGTTTCCGGCACTTGCTGATACGCTTACCGTGAGGGAGCGAGGCGCGACGCTGAATTCGAACGCGCATGTGCCTATTCAGCTTGATGGGAATCAGATGCCGCAGGGTTTGAGTAGTATCGGTGTGGGGTTAGAGGGAATACAGCAGGCTCATGTACAGGGACAGCAGCAGCGGCACGGTATCAGGGCAAGTGGTGATGCTGGATCATGATGAATCTCTCTGGTAGGAGCTGCTGGCTTTACTTGCCATCTTGTGGATATAGTTGAAAAGGTCGCAGAATATCCTGCTTGAAGAAGATGCGAATGGACATGTTAAATAACATACAAGTATTGCTGTGACGACCATATGTAGCAAGCGGGCTGATTGATGATTAACCTTGCGTTTCAAAGCGAATAAGGATCTAGTATCTTGTTGAATTGCATGTGCAGAGCTTCAATGTGTTTGCATGAAATACAGTCAACTTGATATCTATGATGTATTTCGCAAACACACTCTATGTTGACTCTCGTAAGCACTAACGGCCAGGCTGAGACGACCATTTTGTAGCATAATGCAAGCGATAAGGTAGAGGGATGAGATATAGTGACTAGTAGACTCGTGCAAAGGAGTTTAAAACAGGTAAGATACGTCTTGAAAGGTTTCAACGGCAGTCTCGATTTTGTGGGTATACACTCCAGTCGTAGACTACTAGAAACATGGCGCTCGCAGATGCGTTCATCCACCTCTGACTACTCTTCGCCGTTGCGTGAGTTCATCGACCTGGCCGATACCATGTCGTGCCTCGCGACCGCTATGCTGCTGGTTCGCACTGGTTGGTTACAATGCCTCTGATGCAAAAAGCTCATCGAACCTATTCCTATGCGCCTGTTGCCATACATGACTTTTGATACATCTCAACGTCGTTCGCTATGCTATAAATCAGTTCTAAAACCAGAAATGTCCTCTCTTCCTTGCTCCGCTATCTGACGTTGAAAGACGGTACACTTCATCTAGAGTCACGGACTCTTCCTCCCGTACTCAATCTGATAGCTCGTCGATTTCCAAGCCGACTTCTCCTTCAACAAGAAGTGCAGGATCTTTGAGCACGTTAATGTTGCCTTGTGTATGCTTCGTAATAGGAACTTGTTCAAGGTCCAATAGGTCATCGGCACTTCTGACAGCGGTACTAGTACCTGTACCTGACACAGTCGTGTCCAAATCTGGTCTTCCTCTTGTTGGTGGTTGCACGGACGTGCCATTCATGCTCTCCGCATCCTTTCCTGGTCGATCATGCATCGTTACCGTGCCACCCTTAGCTGCATTCACACCCTGAGGGTAGAACTCAGAGGCTTTGGCGCTTAATCTTCGGGGTTGCATCGGCATCGAGGTAATTGAGTGTGGGAGAGGCTCCTTGGTCCCAGCTAAGCTGCCTCGATTCAACCATGGTGTTGTGGTGACTGCTTGATCTGGACTTGAGACTCGAGACTTGTAAAGAGCTGTATTACCAGTCGCGCTGGGGACTCTCTCGTCGTCGCCATCGAACGCATCACCTGGCCCTCTCTTACTAGGACTGCCTCGCTGCGACCTTCCTGTCTGTGTCTGTGTTGCGTTATCGCTGTCTGAGTCCTCTAGAACTGCCCTCGTTATTCGTGGAGTCCTCCGTCCCTTAGAGGGAGAAGTTCGGTTCGAATCCATTGGTGGTAGAGGGCAGATACCTGTGTCCCAGTGTTGTCGAGCACAATCTTGCTGGCTATGTCTGCAATTACCTCCATGCTTCCAAAACCAGCACGTTAGCAGCTGTTTGCGAGGACTTGCGGATATTGACCGAGCAGTGCTGTCAAGCTTCGAATGTTGCGTATCTGTTCGACCACTTGGCGCTGAATCCTGCTCCTGACTAAGGGGTCGCAATTGCTCACTTTCGTTGACGGAGACTCCCTTGTGCAAGGCCTCAGTATTGACCACTTCGGGAAATAGTTGGCTAGATGAAGGCTCAGAAGTAATGCCTTGGAGGGGATGGCTATGTTCAAGGTGACCTTTCGGTGTTGTTACAGGGACTTGAGAAAAGGTCTCAAAACCTAAGTTTGCAGAATTATCATGCGATTGGGAGTTGTGCTGCTCTGGTGCAGACAGTGCAGCATTTTCTTGAAATAATGAATCTTTGCATGAAGCCACATATTCCGTTGAAATTTCAACATCTGTACATGGAGTATCAGGAGCACTTTCGGTAATCGGCGTGATATCAGTAGACGAGCTTACAGGCTGCTCGGCCTTGCCATCACCCACAATCTCAGCTCCGACTGTTATCGACGTATTGGTCAAGAGAGGATCAGGCAGATATCTTGACAGCTTGCTCGTCTTGAGGTTTAGGTCAGCAATATCAGGTACGTCGATGCTGCCGTCGCCGTTGGAGTCAATTGTCAACCCAATATTCCGTTCAGTAATTTCACCATCTTTAACAACAACTGTCGTCCTGAATGGGCTCGAATCGTCGGACTGCTGAGCGATTTTTATAAGAGTCCCTTGAAGCACCCACGGAAAACTGATGAACGGCATTGTTGAAACACGATCGTGGTCAGTTTCTGCGGCATTGGCCTTCTCTTCAGCAAACTCAAGTTGACAATGAGTCACCTTGTACGCTGCAACGGCCACTGGTGCAAGGCGATCGAAATCTTTGCCCCCAGCGAGGTCGCACAAAGCACTGTAATACTCCTCTTTAAGCACCCTCGATAGGTTGCCAACTTCTTCGTGAAATTTGTAGTCTCGGGAGGCTTTACTGTGTGTCAGCACGAACGTGCTCCAGAGCTCGAATTCAGTCGCGATACCATGTTGGTTCAAGATTCGCCGCAGCGAATTGTCATAATCAATCTTTATGCTTTGAACCTTGTCGCACAAGTCTTTCGATGGCTCCCAAGCAGTAAGAATCCGCCTATCGAACTGCAAGCTGTAGTCAGGGTTAAACTCGGCCGTCTTGACCGAGTCATAGAGCTTGCCTAAGACTTTGTTCGAGTGATATTGCCTTCTGCCCTTCTTCTCCATGAAATGTGGCCACTCAAACCTTTGTAGGCGGCGATCCATCTCCGCAGGAACTCCAGTTTTAGGATAATCCACAGCTTTAGAGTGTAGAGCGCAAAGATCGAGACATATGTCGCTCTTAAGGCCGTCGTCTAGCCTATCAGCAGCTCCTAAATGTGCATGCGCTATCTTGCCCAAGTTGTCGTGGCGGAGGTAGTTGAGGAAGAATTCGATCAAATGAGTCGTTGTGATGGCACTTGTAACAGTCTTTGGTGGTGGTGGTTCGTAGTGGAAAGGTTCGACGTTCCACACCTCAGGTATCAGCTCAGGATCCCAGATCACGATATAGTCGTCGCCGTCCAAATCACCTCCCGAGCACATGCTTGGTAGATCTCGGTCGCCTGTCTGAGGCATGACCACAACATCACGCATGTGTCTCAGCTCCAGCACATCCACAGCTTGAACAACTCTGATATCACCTGGGTGCAGCGATGGATTCCGAGCTAATATACATACGCCTGTAATGACATCGAGCTTGCCCGTAGCCACGTCCGTGATTTGGATAAAGATCTGTGGAAGCTTGTCAAGATACGAAGGGTCCTCGATAATTCTGTTCTTGCTTCCAGTTGGGCAGTTTTTTGTATGACCTCTCAAGGTAGCCGTCTCATCGACACAACCAAGTACGAAAGCGCCCTTCTGAACTGGGATTTTTGCTTTCTCCTTGAGGTGCTTCAAAGACCAAGCACGCCACAGCCTGAGCAATGCAATGACAAAAGGCTCGTGGGCGGTTCGAAAACCAGCATCTACTAGCTCGCAAATGCTCAACGTCATCATGTTTGGGTCGACATTGCTTCTCAGTGCTTTCATGGCTGCTCCGTCATCTTGGAGAGCATTGTTCAGAGCCAGAACAGTCTCATCTTGCATGCGTAAGAACACCTTGGTGGGGACACCGAGAAATCCCAAGCAGAGGATAATCTGGCGGTTGAGGTATGGTTGCCAGAACTCTGCCCACCGGATTATCTCGAGCTCACCAACAAGAGAGTTGAACTTGAATTGAGATTCTCGAATCTCAATGCCAATTGCAGGAACGTCCTTAGACACAGCCAGAACGCCCTTGCAGCCTCCCAACCGAAATTGAAATAGGCATGGGGGCTCGCCTTTGATACCGAGTTGGTTGCTGACAAGGCTGGCTGCAAGTGGGGACATCTTGCCTACACCATCTGTGAACATAAACCTTCCTCTCTTGATGTCCGGAATCAGTGACTGCTCATTAATCATCGGCATTCGTCCGAGTTTTACAGCTTTCGTGGTACTGAAGCATTGACCCATACGAGCAGCTTTCTTAGCAACGACAGTCTCGTTGAAAGAGCCCATCTCTGCACGAATTTTGTCCGCAGTCATATCACCTATCGGCGCGACCATGTAGACGCCATGCTCCCGGAGTTGAGAATTGCCCCAAGCTAAGAACTCATAGGTTATGTCGCCTAACTTGATACCTAAAGTCAACGCCCGTTTAACTCGATTGAAGATTGTTATCATACGATTGTTGTCAGATGGAAAGAGTCTCGTCTGGCCTCGATAGTCGTCGTCTTCGAAACGGACTCTCAAGAATCTATGAGACTGCGACTTGTACTTCCGAATAATGCGATTGGTGATTTCGATTGAGGGTGTGTTGAAGAGAATTCCGGTTGCTGTGACTGTCGCTGAATATACTTCGATGCAGTGATCAGGAAGCTGTTTGGGTCGTACAGGTTTTGCGTACTCAAGTTCAGTAAATATCGCATTCGGATCGTACAGTCTCTTGCCTTGGGTCGCTACATAGACCAAGGCTGACTTTGCTTTCGCTTGCGGCCACTGAGCGAGCTTTTCGAGGAAAGATGGCGTAATTGAGTACTCGCTTAGGTAACCATGAGACATGCAAACCTCAAGCTGATATCTCACCTCGAACGGCAGATGAATGCGAGAGAAGTCCTGGTCAAATGAGGAGAGTGAGGCATCGTTGCTGGTGTTTCCATTGATCAACGTCCATGTGTCAGTTTCGAGAGTTGGCGAACCTTGAGTAAACTGCAAGCTCTGATTGCGATGAACTTGTACGTTCCAATCCTTCAATGCCACGAGGAATTGAGATGTTTCACGTTCATTGTCGACCCCAGGACGAACGTGGAAACGGAATGTAGTCCACTTGAATATATTGATAGTGTTCAGTACTTTTGGCAGGCCAACAGGTGTCCGTTCCAGCTGTCTGTAGGTTGCGATTTCGGTGCAGAGGTCGGTCTGGCGCGCCCACAAGTCGTCTATTGACCACACACGGCCGTCTTTACTATGCGAGTTCAACTTTGATTCGTTGAGCATTTTGGTGTACCAAGGTGCCTTGGGCAGGTGCATAACGAAGCTGTTCTTGGCAGTTTGCCAAATGCTAAACTCATCGTCTAATGCAATCTGAAAACGAAAGTCACGGGTCTTTTGGGTGGAGGAAATCTGAAGGAAGCTGAAGTGGACTTCGAGCTCCTTCTTCCTAAGGTTGAGTTTCAGCTTGGATGGGCCAGTGGTAGCCATGATCGTCATGCTGTCTGGCTTTGAAAGGAAGCCAAAGTCGAGAGCTTCACCATTTACCTCAATTCTCTCCGGATATGTGACGTTTTGATTGACAGGACTCTGAATTTTGAATCTCTCGGGCTGATACTTGGCTAGTATTGCTCTGACACGTTCCACACGTCCACTTATTTTAAAAGTAAGAATGTTCCCTCTCCAGAAGTCGGTGTCTGGAACGGGCTCAAAGTCAACTTCTGCCTCGGATGACCGTTCGCCCTGTCTTGTTTCGGAGATCGATATCCGCACAAGAGTGCCATGCTTCTCAAAGTTGTGGTAGATGTCTCGCGTCGTTACGCCTGAAGGTAGATTCGTCACAAACAACCTCAGAGAATGTCGATCTCTCCAATTACGGTGTGGCGGTAAGTGTTTGGGACGTGGCTGATCGGTAGAGAAGAAGGTAGAGGGGTCTTGGCGCGGATGATCCATCGTTGGTGAGGTTAGTTTTTTGCTTCAAGAGGAAGTCGATATCGATCAGTTGTGTCGATCTATATTGACCAGACATATTCTAGAACAAATCAGTAAGAAAGATTGCTGGATTTAAGAGAAGGTCGTCGTTTGCTTCTTTTGCAGCAATCAGAATTGAACAAAAGAGCAGTAGCGAGGTACTTAACAAATGACTGCTAGCGGCCTTGGCAATGACCTTCCATTACTTCCATGAGAAGGTGACGGTGAAGTGAGAGAGGTCGAGGTCAGTATGAGGTGAAAATAAAATCGGACGCAGTATTGCTAGACTTGTAGACACTATGAAGGCTTGCAAGGACGCCTCGTAGAACATATTAAGGCATGTCAGTTTGAACTCAAAACGCGTCGCGTACAAACGTAGCAGGAATGATCGTGTCTTGTACTCCTGCTTGAGATCAAGTAAAGAACGAACCTACCTCCTGAAGTCAGTGTAAGGACCAAGCGCATCGCAGCTTTGGCCTCAAGATACAGATGGTTTGTACTTGTCAATTCCGCAGTACGCGTAGTGCAGACCTTTGTTATTACCAATGGTCAGCACACATTTGCATCTATCACCGCTCGATCTGACTTGTTGGTCAAAAAATGTTTGCTACATGGTCGCAACTGTGGCTCAGACTGGTCGTGTCATATCTAAGACCTGGAGAATGTGGTTTGAAGTGCACCGTAAACATTCGACTTTTGTAAAGTATCCACCACGAAACGAAGTACATGGGTAGTCTCGAGACATTGGGGCAACACTTTCATTTGATTTCTCGATAAATGGAAGGATTTGAGGTGTTGTGAGCAGAGGTTGAAAGAAAGCCACCGTTCAGCATAGTCGAGCTGTTGATCCATGTATTCAAGGTGATGTGTAACGCGTCCAAGATTTAGGCACTTCATCGAGCTGACTCGCCTGTACCACCTCAACTTCTGGACATTTTGTGTTTGGTTCAAGCGAGACAACATCATCTTTACATGCACAGTCTCTGGAGGATGCGTTCGCCAATCTCGTAGGACAGCTGAGTTGTGTAAGGTTTCGTAAAGTGGCATGCCAGTTCGCGCGTAGTACTCGAGCGTCCTCCCCGAATAAATTTTTCTGTCTGACTCATTGCACATTTTCAAGAGTCTGGATTTCAAAAAAGTCCAGGAACTCGACATCTTTACAGCAAACCTGCTCCTCGGACATAACAAGCTATCGAACCGTCGCAGAGTATCTTCGTGCCCAAAAGCCACTCCTGCTGCACCCCTTAGCACACCCGACTTCATATATCAGTATACACACACCATGACCACCTCAACCAAGAAAAAATGTGGCATTCTAGGAATTACGGGCTCCGTCGGGTACTTTCAATTTTGCCCTCTTTGCTGAGAGAGATATGAACTGACTGTCCACAGGCAGAGGTTTGCTCTCCTCCTCGAGGACAATCCAGTGCTCGAAATTCACGCAATTGGGGCGTCGTCACGATCAGCAGGCAAGCTTTACAAGGATGCCGTACGCTGGAAGCAAGCTCGACCTATGTCGAAAGAGCTAGGCAATCTCAAGGTTGTTGAATGTAAAGCGAGCAACTTCAAAGACTGTGACCTTGTCTTTTCAGGGCTGGACAGTGATGTTGCGGGAGAGATTGGTAGGCCAGGCCAAGAGCTCCGTTCCTACGACACTAACCCTGGCGACAGAGATGGAATTCCTGAAGGCTGAGATACCAGTCTTCTCCAACGCAAAGAACTACAGAAAAGACCCAAAGGTGCCATTAGTTGTGCCTACTGTTAACGTTAATCACTTAGACCTTGTCCACCACCAAAGACAACATTTTGGTCTGAAGAAGGGCTTCCTTGTCTGCAACTCGAACTGTGCAGTGATTGGCGTCGTCATACCGTTTGCTGCTATTCAAGCTAAGTTTGGTCTGGTTGAAGAAGTTGAGGTTACTACGTTACAGGCTGTCTCTGGAGCTGGCTATCCCGGTGTACCTAGCTTGGACATCTTGGACAACATTGTGCCATATATTGCAGGTGAAGAAGACAAGCTCGAAAACGAGGCGCAGAAGATTCTTGGTGCTCTCAACGCCGATGCCACAGCTTTTGAGGAGCAGAAGGGACTCACGATTGGTGCTACATGCACAAGAGTACCTGTCATCGATGGTCATACAGCCTGCGTCTCGCTGCGATTTCAGAATCGAGATAAGATTCCGAGTGCAGAGGAGATCAAGACAGCCATGAGAGAATACATCTCAGAAGCACAGAAGCTCGGATGTCAATCAGCACCAGAGCAGGCAATTGTTGTGTTCGACGAGCCTGACCGACCACAGCCACGATTAGACAGAGATCTTTCGGGAGGATACGCTGTCAGTGTAGGAAGAGTGAGAGAGGCAGCCAAGGGTTCACATTTCGATATCAGATTTGTCGCATTAAGTCACAACACGGTCATCGGCGCTGCTGGTTCGTCGATACTGAATGCAGAAGCAGCCATTCTGAAAGGACTGATATAGATCATGACAACAGGAATATAGATACATAGAAGCAAGAAATTACTCCGTTGCATTATATACGTCTCTATGCTCCAAGCACTCTCAGCTACCACGATTCCCGAACAAAAAGCAATCATGTGCTGCTTGAGAAGTGAAGGTAGGGAGAGGAGCGTGCTTGATGCCTTAGACTTGCCAAGACGCTAAAATTGGATGTGCGATGGAATTTCTGGGCAGTCTTTCTTGCGGAGTCTTGCGACCGCGAACTTTTGACGAACTCGATATTCCTTTCATACACAACCCACAAATACATTCAAGATGGGTAGAGGTCCAAAGAAGCACCAGAAGCGTCTGTCAGCACCATCACACTGGTTGCTTGACAAGCTCTCCGGTGCTTATGCCCCAAAGCCTTCGTAAGCTCGACTTTCATGGAAGATGTAGCTGGTTTGCTAACATTTTGCGCAAAGTCCTGGTCCTCACAAACAGCGAGACTGTCTTCCACTCATTGTCTTCCTCCGAAACCGACTGAAGTATGCCCTCAACGGCCGAGAAGTCACGCAGATTGTCATGCAGAGACTCATCAAGGTCGATGGAAAAGTGCGAACTGATTCGAACTACCCAGCCGGCTACATGGATGTGATCTCGATTGACAAGACTGGCGAGAACTTCAGACTCATCTACGATACCAAGGGCCGATTCGCTGTTCACAGAGTTGAGTCAGCTGAAGCCGAGTACAAGTTGGGCAAGGTCAAGAGAGTGCAGCTTGGACGAGGTGGAATCCCATTCTTGGTCACGCATGATGCACGCACGTAAGTTGCGCCAGTATCAATCAGACGTTGGATCAATGTTTGGTTGGAAAAAATCTCAAAGAAGTATATACTGATGGAGTGCTAGAATCCGATACCCAGACCCAGCTATCAAGGTCAACGATACAGTCAAGATTGATCTTGCAACTGGAAAGATCACTGATTTCATCCGATTCGATACCGGTGTGATCGCCATGGTCACTGGTGGTCGTAACATGGGTCGAGTTGGTGTCATCACACACAGAGAGAGACACGATGGTGGTTTCAATATTGTTCACATCAAGGACGCCATCGACAACTCCTTCGCTACTCGAGAAAGCAACGTCTTCATCATCGGTAGGGAGAAGCCATGGGTCAGTCTGCCTAAAGGCAAGGGTGTCAAGGTATGTCTTCTGAAATAGTTGATTTCGTTCATTGCTAACATTTTCCTAGTTGTCCATTGCCGAGGAGCGTGACCGAAGACGAGCCATGCAAGCTGCTGGTCAGGCATAGATGTTCCACACATATTAGCGTGATAGCACTTGTTGGGATGTAAAAGTTTCGAGGCAGCGTTGTCGAAATGCTGGTCCAGCTCGAGAAGAGTATGAATGAGCATATAGACGGAAAGGAAGAAGAAGCAGCGCAGAAGAGGACAGCTATATACAATCCTGCGACGCGAGACATCAAGGCACACCCGTGCCGCCAATAAGATACCAAATCCACAACCTTCACCCTCACTTTCTCTTCTTCTGCTTCCAGTCCCCATCCTTTCCCACCCCAATCCTCCCAAACACCCCCCAAACCGTCAATAAACGATTAACATTAAGAAACGCACTAACCCCAAAATTCCCCCCAAACATATCATTCCACCGCGTAATATTCCTCGCATACTCCCACCCCACCCCCCTCGCCGCAACATACATATGCCCCCAATCAGCAACCGCTACAGCAACAAGGTACCACGTTGTGATCTCTCGGTGTTTCGTCCAAGAACAGACCACGGCCATGGCAGCGAGTAGCAGGAAGATATTGCCGAGTTGAAGGGTTTGCGCTTCTGCTTGGCGCGTGAAGTTAGTGGGGGTTGTCGGGTGGTTGGGGACTTGGTCGTTCCAGAATTTGTAGGGGTCGAGGATGGTGGTTATGGTCGCCCAGATGCTGTGTTTTGGTAAGTGGTGGAGATGAGTAAGTAGTATTCGATGTATATAGCTTACAGGGCTAAAGGCTCCAAGATGCCGAATAAGATGAATGGCCATGTTGGCAGGCAGGTGTTGATAAGTGCCATTTTTACGAGCTCGGAATTGTCTATGGACTCAGGTGTGGTCGAATTTTAGGGATTTCGTACGAAGTTGTAGGTTGAGCTCAAGCTGACTCCTACTCTCCTGATATTCGTGGCTGGACGCCTGATGAAACGACGATGAGAACGAGTTGGGGTCAAGCTCCGAGATTAGCTTACTGAAACTTGAATAGTCAAAGACGTGTATTTCAGTCTTGTTGAGCATACTTGTGCAATTGTATGTATTTTTGTTGTTATCTATGAAAGCTTGCTGTTACAGGCAAAGAATTCCTCCTCGGTCTCCTATTTAATGCATGGTAAGATTCGGATTATTCACTGCGGCAGATGACCGTATTCTTCGTTCCTGTCATCCATCCACTTTCTGATGGGCTCCCACTTGCGGCAGGTATGCTTTGTGCCGCGGCCGATTCCCAATTCGAACCCTTTCCATGTGTAGACTAGCACAGGGCTTAGGTCTCCATGACACTGTATCGTCTGTCTAATTTGATCCATGCAATGATCGATGTGAATACGTTCGAAATCGTCCTGGTTGACCAATGCTGATAAATTGTGATAGTGGCCATTGTGATGGGTTTCGTAATAAGATTTGTCAATATACATACGCAGGGAGTTGAGGCAATGGAGGGAGTGGAACATATCCGGCCTGTTGAATGAGAGTCAATTGGGTCGTGATCTCCAGCTTATTGCTAGAAACTCACTCAAAGCGAAACTGCCCGTCCCAAGGAAGGGGCGAGAGCTCTGGGTCGTATGAAGCAGCTTCTGCAGGTGTCATGGACAGCCATCGATCTACGAGACGTTAGCATCAGAAATATTGACTTGGTCGGTGAAATAAGCTTACTTCGCATTAAGTCTTCCCACGCCGCGTCAACGATCTCATTCGGCTCCCCAAAGTATTCAGGCTCTCTATCACAGGGTATTCTTATCACACGACCAGAGGATGGATCATAAGATAGTTCACGTGTAAAAGCTCGTTCCTCATAAACGACTGCTGAGTGGAGACCTGGCAAGTCCGTGTCGAATGGACCAGGTTGCTGAACTTTTGCGAGCGTTAACCCAAGGTAGATGAGAGGCATAGCGATAACATTGTAGTTATAGCCCAAGGCAGGACGGTACGACAGTACGACTTTCTAGGCTGGCGCTGCGATAGATGCTCGTACGTATCGCTGGTGATATTTTCACCTTCGGAACTGTCCTTGTCCAGAAGGCTCATAGATGCTTCTTGACAATAGACATCTTGAACAGACTTCGAACTCATCATGCGTATGTCGTGAGGTGTGCTGGCGACGCGAAGTGCAGCAAGTGTTCAGTTACAAGAAGCAACACAGAAAGATCATGTTGGGTTGGGAGAGCCATATCACTCCTCATGACCGTCTTCCCATCATACCCACCTATTTCCTTGCTGCGTGTAGCTTACAGAATGCGTCGCTTCAAGAGAAGTCACTAAAGTCATTTCGAAATATTGACAGATGACACCTTATGCAGAGAGCATTGGCGCAGTGATGTACACTTTCTCAAAGCGAACAACGAGCTGTCACAGATTATTACTATCCGGAGTCAAAGGTCGTCTTTCGGTTTGCATGATGAGCAACGTGTAGAACAACTTGGCAGGTGATGTCCAAGTGGTGTGTGGAAGGAAGCTGAACTTTCATGTCAATGTGTGGTAATAGGCATGTGACGATGCCGAAGATCCATAAGACGTCGACGCCGATCAAGTTTTATATTGATGTAGAGCAATTGACAGGAGTCCGATGTTCAGTGCCGCTGGTAAGGTATCTGCTAGAAGCAGTGGTGGCCGCTAACTTGACTGTAAGATGTATTATTGCATACAGATCTGCTATCAGACTTACGTAAATCTGAGCATTGTCCTGCAGGGCACCAAGAGCAATACAGCCACAGTCGGTGGTAGCTTTGTAGTACTGCAGTACTAGTACAGGCATGTGTCTACCACATTCGGTAAGCAACCACGAATTCCATCGGTATTGACATCTGGTGTTGACACTTATGAGTTTCTTCGATTGACAGAAGTCGCTGTTCAAACTTCCCCTTTCGTCTCTTTATCCGCGTTGACACAGGTGACGGTATGGCCAATAGACATGACAGTACAACACGAGTCGCGAAGATCTGTGCTCGACAAGGCTAACGACGCGGTTGTTGTGCGTCCGACTTCCACACGAAACTTGTCCAATTGTTGACTGTTGATCGTGTTTTGGCAATACAATCAGTTCGTTCCTTGAAACGAGACGTTCTGGATATGGTAGCAATGCTCGGTCGTGAGCGAACATCAGCTAAGTCCCACACAGTCAATATACGCGAACAGGACTCATTCCGAGAAGGTCCAGTGTACGTATACGGATCGCGACTTCGCTTCGAGATTCAAGGATGGCCACTCGAACTAGTGTTTTTGTCATGTCGGGTCGATGTTGACTGTTTCGGTCGGTGGTTGATCCACTGGCGCTTTGGAGCGTGCTGCATAGTCACCAGTGCAAGCGATCGATGCCTGAATCTTCGAGTAGACTGATGTGCTTGTCAAGCACCAGCTCCCAAAATTGTCGTGCTGACGGCTGCATAACCGGTACGACAGCAAAGCTAAGAGCTGCGTGAGTGCTTGGACCACACAATCCGATAAAATAGTGTCTACTTTGGACTCTTCAGGACGAACGACAATTAGGCGAGAAGAAATGCGTCTTCGGCCACGGTCTGCTACATAACTGCGACGAGCCAGGTCTGTCTCCGAGCAAGCAGATTATGTTCACGTGAAAAGGTTGTGTCAATAACTGTCAATCAGAGTTAGCCGAGTCTGCTAGACACCATCATTGGTCGTTAGAACATCCAAGATCAAGGGCTTCCGAATGAGCTAGGAGGTACAGCTTTGCTCGTGCTAATGGACCAGTTCAATAATTCACTTACAAAAAGATGTAGAAGGGTACAAAAGCTCGTTGCAACGCCTGCCTGAGCCGACCGTCTTCATAGCCATACTGCTCACCAGCTCACTCTTGTCTCGCTTCTTTGCTAGCAGACCAACTTCACGACCAGGCGTATTGGCTCTTGCAGCGCTTTCACCAGACTCATACCATCAACATGAAGACGCTCAACTACATTGTTGTCCTATTTGGTCTAGCTGCCGCTGTGCCACTCGGCATCATATCAGTGAGACTCAGTCCAAGCTCCGAGTTTTGGAGACTTCGCTAACATCATCTCAAGGGTGTATCTGATCTTGGTAGTGGCGTAGGCGACGTCACAAGTGGTACTCTCGACGCTACCGGGAGAGTAGTCGATGGTGCGGGTAACGTAATTGAAACCATCGGGAACACCTTCGCAGTAAAGCGTGGTATGGTTGATGGTACTCTCGATACGGACAAAGAACTATCTGATGCGGTGGTTGGTGTATTTATTGGTCTTTCCGATGGAGCCGAGCAAATAACCGACAATGTGGGTGATGTGGCCCAGGGTGTCAGGGATGACCTTAAGGCTCTTGGAGCAAACGTTGAGGGTCTTCTTCCCGCGAAGCGCGGTGTGGTCACTGGCTTGCTTGGGAACGTGGCTGTTCAACTCGTCGACGTCGCGGACAACGTTGTCGACGATCTCGGTTCATTCCTTGGAAACAATGCGGCTGCAAAGCGTGGTCTAACCCTGCCGTTTGTCGTCAACTTGAAAGACGTCTTGGAGAAGGCAGGCGACACTGCTGACAACGCGTGCTCAAGTGTTGAGGGGAGTTCTTGAGGGTGTTGGCGAGGTCCTTCCGATAGACTGTGGTCTGCTTTGATGTGGTGCTACTGTGTATCACCAATGACGCGCGCGAGATTGTCAGCAACGCGCTGGAAGACAGTCTTGCATAACGAAAGAGATCTCAACCCGCGTTCTACACCTGGGACTGTGATATAATCACAGAGAGGCTTGGGATAGTTGTATCAGGTGAAAACCCTTGTGGCAAAACCAATGACCCTAAGTACCTACCTGCAATGAATTCATGCTGTCGATATGGCTGAAGCTCAGCTAAATTGGTGGATGCCATTATTGTTGACGATGTCGGTAAGTAGATAGCCCACGAGATGCATTAAAAGGTTAGACAAAGTGAAGCTGCCATATGAACCGATGCCGATGTTGCTGTGTCAACGAGTAGCGCGCCTTGGCAAACTCGTTCGGCATCCAGCTCAAGGACTTTCGTTGGATGTTTCCATTCATATGCCAGTACAGTAATGCAGCACACTTAGATAATAGCTTTGATACAGTATGGCATTGTCGCAGGAGCCCATCAACTTCGACCTTATTGAGGAACAAAAAGAGAACGTGATCAGCCTGAAAGGTGGTAGAAGCGCTGCTTCTTTGGCTCGAATACTCTCTCCTCGACCATCAGGCAGTGAAGCGACTGCTGGCGACACAAGAACACTCAACAATGCCATTAGAAACGAGTATGAGAAAGAATTACAAGCAATAGACGAAGCAGATGATCCACTGGATATCTTCACAAGAGTAGGCCATACTTGGACCTTCAATGTGGCTCGGCACGGCTAACATTTGATAGTATGTTAACTGGACCCTACAAGCCTACCCTCAGCCGACTTCCAAGGATGCGCAGCTGTTACCTCTACTCGAGCGAGCGACCAAGACGTTCCTGAAATCCAAAGACTACAAGAACGACCCGAGGCTACTGAAGCTTTGGTGCCATTACATCCACTTCTTCGATTCGACTCCACGAGAAACATTCGCATTCCTGGCTCGGCACAATATTGGCGAGCAACTTGCGCTATATTACGAAGAGTTTGCTGCTTGGCTAGAAGGTGCTGGCAGATGGCATCAAGCAGATGAAGTCTATAATCTGGGACTGGAAAGAGAAGCCCGACCTGCCGAGCGTCTGGCCAGAAAATACACTCAATTCCAACAGCGATATGCAGCACAACCAGCAACAGAGGATGCATCTACTTCTCCAGCAATGCCCAAGGTTCGCGCGGCTCTAGCAGCAAAGATAGATCCTTTTGCGCCCGCCCCAGCAGATGAGCCACAGCAATCATCGAGATCGGCTCCTTCTAACACAACGAAGTCGAAAAAGCCCAAGATGGCGATATTCTCCGACGATTCCAATGCTGAGCAACCACTCCTAGGAACGACAAGCACGAATGGCTGGAACAGTATCGGAGACTTACAGGCAAGGAAAAAAGAGAACACAATCGAAGCACAACCCTGGGCTGGGCAAACACTGAAAGCAGGCAAACGAGCTGGTACTGCCACCAAACTGGAAGTGTTCAAAGACCTGGTAAGTTCTTTCGACAAGTGAATCTGATCTCCTTGTATTTACAAGCTCAGGACTAACCATGAGCCCTTGGGCATTTTGTGCAGTAGAACAATGCATCAAACCTTCGCTCTTCGAAACAACCTGAACCGATCGTGAATCCTCGAACGGGCCGTGCAGAACGTGTGTTCGTCGACATGGATGCCGTATACGCCGGGAATGGAGACGAATTCAGCTTCGAAGAGCTGCGAGCACTGCATCGAGGTTGGGCAGGTATGAACTGGAGGAAGAATATACCCGTGTTGAGAGAGAATGCCAATGTCAGAACGACGGCCGAAAAGTACAAGTCGAAAGAACCAGAAGACCTGGAAAATCTAACCGCCTGCTTCGACCAAAAGCTGGATATCGTCGAGTCGACACAACCACAAGACCTGGTAGAGCAACCGAAGCTCCCGAAGCAGAAGAAGCTCAAGGTCAGAGAGGTCAAGCAAGAGACACAAACTGTGAGACTGCGAAGCGACTCACCTAGCAAGCCCAAACCACGTAAGAGGATTGCAGCTGAACCAACCATGACCATGAACAGCCGAGCTGCCAACAACGATATTTACGACATGTACAATAATGCCTCGAGACAACCTGGCAAAGACGACACTCGGAGTGGTGCGGAAACCGAATTCGAGGATGACACTTTCAGTGCAGGTGAAAGTATTGACACTGGTAGAGTTTCCACCACTAACAGTGAATATGGCGATGACACTATTAGCTCGATGCGTTCTTTTGGTGTAGACGACACAAATGCTTCACCTTGGTCCGATTTCACAGTTAGTAAGATACCCAAAGCACTCAAAAAGGCACGATCCACCAAGCACAAGCGACACCATAGTGAAGATCAGACAGAAGACCTATCCGGTTACCACGACCAAAGTCAGGACGGCCTAGACACTCAAGCAATCGCCGATCTAGCAAACCAAGATTTCGGAGAGCTTGATACCATGGCAATTGCCCGAATGGCTGGAAATGCCACTGAAGTCATAGACCTTACCAAGGATGAAGATGAAGAGGACGAGCTCGCTACACCAGTTGAGACACCGCAGCCCGATCCATTCGAGGCCATCAAGGGGCTCGACCAGGATGAACACATACCGATACAGCCGGAAGACTATGAGCCAACACCAATGCGTCCTTATCGAGACCCTAGCTTGGCTGCTCAAAGCAAGTTACCATTTATGACACCGATCGTCGAGCAAACCGAAAGCTCTCTCGCCGCCTCAACCATATATCAGAGTCACTTTGCAACAGCAAAGACGCCTAGTAGACATGCGACCAAGTCAGAAGCCAAGCTCGAAAGCCCTTCCAAACTCAACGTTATCGACCTCCTACTCGAAAGTCCCAGGCCGAGCAGCGCTAAGAGGAGGAACAGCGAAGAAGATGCTAATGAACACTCTCCAAAGAAGCTCGTTGCCGAGTCACCATTGAGTGGGAATCAAAAAATTCTTTTCCCGGTGCTGGAAGAGAGACATGCGGACTCGAGTCTCAGGAAGACAGCGGAAGATGTTTTTGCAGCTCCAACCTCACCAGTGAAAGCCTTGGTCAAACCTGCTGCAGTCATCAAGAAGATAATCCACAAAGGTCCCATCATAAACGATGCGGTCTGCAACCCGTGCGACGATACTGTGATAGACCAAATATTGAAGACTGTCCATCCTGCACCGTCCAGTTACCCAGGCTTTTTCGATCATACGCCTGAAAACTCCAACCAGTTCGGTCAAATCCGATCTTATACAAGGAAGCTGGCAAAGCAGACCAGCAAATCTAGCCCGAGGAAGGCATTGAGCGAGAGTGTGCGGGGCATGGCTCCCGTGCTGAAATTCAAGGGTACCAGCCGAGTGTATGCGATCAAGCGAGAACTTGGCGAGGGAGCATTTGCACCTGTATACCTCGTTGACAGTGTTGAGCAAGAGGGCGACGAAAATACAACCAGCACAGGCGGACGTGGTCCAGTCGAAGCCTTGAAAGCAGAGAATGAGCCAAAGACACTTACGTGGGAATTCCACATCTTGCACCTGCTAAAATTCAGGCTAGGTCATAGCTCGAGGGCAATGGAATCGATCATCCTGGCTCATGAGTGTCATCTATACCGTGACGAGTGCTATCTGGTCCTCGAGTACCACTCTCAGGGAACTTTACTGGACCTCGTCAATCAATGTCGAGCCGATAGTGCTAGAGCTGGCAAGACAGCGGAAGGTCTTGAAGAGCCGGTCGCCATGTGGTTAAGTGTTGAGCTGCTTCGAACAATCGATGACATCCACAGAGTTGGAATTTTGCATGGTGATCTCAAGGCAGACAATTGCCTGGTAAGGTTGGATGCAGAAACAGATTTGAGTGGACCTTACAACCGCCGTGGTCGAGACGGGTGGAACAAGAGAGGTCTAACACTGATTGACCTCGGTCGAGGCATTGATACACGGGCGTTCAAGCATGAAACACGCTTCATTGCTGACTGGAAAGCGCAAGATACGGATTGTCCCGAGATTCGAGAAGCCAAGCCATGGAAATGGGAGATTGATCTGTTTGGTGCGGCTGGTGTGATCCATTCATTACTGTTCGGGAAATACATCGAGACTGTCTCTGTTAGTGGTGGAGGCCTCGGCCAGAAGAAAGAGTGGAAACTGCGGGAGAACTTCAAGCGGTATTGGGAGAAAGATATCTGGACAGAAGTGTTCAGCGTGCTTATCAACGGAGGAGGCAAGAAAGAGGATGAGGTCCGCAAGGATCTCCAGCGACTTCGGGGCATGATGGAAGAATGGCTCGAAACTGAGAGTGAACGCAACGGACGAGATCTCAGAGCTGGAATTAGACGGTGTGAGAGGCTTGTTGGTGCCGGCACTGGGCCGAAGGGGAGACGGTAGAGTCATTTTCCAAGTCGAATATCACCAAACTGAAGTGGTGGTGCTGATGAAGTGATTTGAGCATGGCGTTGGTGGAATTGGTGGTTTGCTTATTAGTTGAAGACATCTCTTGGAGAGTTTGAATTAGCTATGCCGTGGTTGGGTTACAGATATAATTCAAGCACATTTTAAAGAGACCCATCACGTTGAAAAGTGCATTAAACCATATCGATGAGCAGCTGGCAGAAGAATTGTGGTCGACTGAATGACGGACTTCTTTTCATGGTAGACAATCACGAACGCGTCAATAGGTTGAGTTGTTGTCGCATGCTCTCTCAACCACGAAAACTGCTCGTCTCGATCCACACCTGCGTCCATCAACCAGCGGCGCCAACCATGACACTCGATAATCAACTCACCGAAGTATATATGTTATCAAAGATCATGCAATATCCTGTGATATTCTTCCTACTGCATATTGACTGCCTGTCTGGGCCGAGCTTGCCGTCATCCATTCTTGAATACTGATTCATTCCAAGATCTGTCACCTCGTGCCCTCGTGCTTTGACCATCTTTTCCACGGTACATCCAGTAGAGGATGTGCACGAGCTGACAAGCATTCTTAGACTTAGTGATATCTCATCTTTACTGTCGAAGCGTTTTTATCTAAAACAAAACATAAACAGCCACAATGGGTGACGCTGGACCATCAACGCCTCTACCCGAGGAAGAGCTGGCAGGAATAGCAGCATCGATACAAGAGTATGACCACGACTCTACCAGAGACGTGCATGTTCTAGTCACAGGTTTTGGACCCTTCAAGTCCTTCAGTACCAACCCTTCCTGGCTCATTGCATCTTCACTATCCTCAGAGCTTGATCCATTACCTCCTTCCGACCATGTCCCCGAACCTACACCACCGCCTCAGCAACTCGGACTGATGCAGCGTAATCCGCTCGCAGCACTTCTAGGTCGAAGATCACAGCCTGAAGTCCAACCTGTACAGCAACCACTCCGTCCTCCGAACCGGAAGCCCTACCGCATCCACGTCCATGCCTATCCTTCTGCAGTTCGTGTGGCCTACGATCCTACATCCGTCTTGATACCTTCCTTGATCAGCCCTCTCACTAATGGTGGGGCATTCCCTCCATCTCCTTCACAGCATCCTCCTCATGGCATAAACTTTGACTATATCCTACATATTGGCCTCGCCTCTGGCCGTGACAGCTACACCCTAGAAACTCAGGCTCACAGAGATGGTTACGTAATATCCGATGTCGATGATCAAACAGGCTATCTGGCCGGTGAAAAGATATGGAAACAGACGAACATTCCAACACAACTAGATGTGGGCTGGGAGACAGGAGATGTGCTCAGGCGCTGGATCGCTGACTTCGACGAACAATGGCGCAGACTTGAAGAGGCAGCAGAAGACACCGCAGATGGGCAACAAGCGCAGAGCGCACCAGGACAAGAAAACAACGCGAAAGACGCAGACATGAAAGCCGACCACAGAAATCTTGAGGCTATATTCGGCGTACACCCTCAGGACCCAAGCACAGACACAAACACAAATACAACCCCAACCATGACCCTTCCACGCAAACCAGTCGTCAAGCTCTCCCGCGACGCAGGCCGCTTCCTCTGCGAATTTATACTCATGTGCAGCCTCGTCTACCGATACCGAGAAGCACAAAACTACAAGCAAATACGCGAGAGGAACGAGCAGCAGCAGCAGAACACCGCCCCAATCACAAAAGACACCTCCTCAACACAACCTGGATCAACGTCCATACCTACAAGACACGATAGATCCCACGACGAACATGCTCCTACCGAGAAACTCGGCAAAGTCGCATTCCTCCACGTCCCTAATGGCATCGAACCACAACATGTCGCAATCGGTCGTATAATCGCTGAGACTGCTATTCGAGCTATCGTCGCGAGTTGGGAGGATGGGTACAGGAATCCGGCGGTTTATTCTGCTGTTAGTGTTGGCATAGGTGGTGAGAAGGAGAACGTGGGAGCGGGTGTTGGTATCGATATTGGTAATGGTGATGGTGATAGTGGGTTTGAGAGTCGAGGGACTGGAGATGTAGAGGGGGAAAGCAAGCAAGAAGTTTTTGGATAGGTAGTTAGAGATGAGCAACTTGATTGCTTACTCCGTGATGTTTGGATGATGAGGAGGTGGCAGTCGGGATACCATATCTGCGTAACTTACGATCCGATCAGGGAATGGAATGCTGCATCGTGTTCGTTTACCTAGATAGCATGAGACGAGAACCAGACTTGTTTTTCGTCAATGTACGAAGTGAAGCAGTGGTCAAAGAAGAGTTTCAAGTCATAAGAAAATTGTTCTTCTTTCTCATTATCTGTTTGGTAGCCAATCCGTGGCATGATTCCATGGCACCAAGCAATTCATCTGTACTCATGCCCGCTATTCAGTACTAGTATCCTAACCAGGAAAGCCCATCAAGTACATACGTCGAAAAAAGGTGCAATAAGCCAGCCAGCAAGTTCATCCTCGTAACAAAAGAAAAGTTGTCTGCAGTTCTTGCAAGCGTGTATCGACATATATGCCGCCGTCCTTCTTCGTTTTCGTAAAATCATAAAAGGTCATATGCACATCGAAGTTATAGTTCGTGTCGTCCTTCATGTCTGTACCATACCATGCCGTACTCTCATATGCACATTTCGCACTGCCTCGGACGCCTGCTTCATGAATATACTCCGTTGCCACCATCTAGGTCAACCTTGCTAGCTGGGCAGGATCGAACTGCCTGTGACCGCTACCCCAACTCCAACTACCACCAAGCGCTGAATCGTAGAAAAAGGGAATGTTGGTCTTCTATCGTCTTCATAATTGTGGGGTTCTGTAATCACCAAGGTTCTGCTCGAAAGACGCCAATCTATCACCAATATTGCCAATGTTCGTGGTTTGTTGTGTATTAGCTATGGTAGGCATGCCGTGAGTGAACTGAATGAAAGGGTCGCTCAAACTTGGCAGATGCCGTGGTTTGCCACGTAGAGATCTCTTGTTGGGGTCAAGCTCGAATGGTGAACCTAGCCGCCTTTGATTTTCGTCGACCTTGGGTGGCATTAACCCAACAACCTGACTCGCGGCATTGCTACTGGAAGCAAACTGAGCTGGAATCGGAGGAACAGGTGGCGCGTTGTTCTCTTGATCAGGTGGAAATGGGGTGAACAACCTCGCGATTCTTTCGTGAGCTGTACCCAGAGTAGCCCCTCGGTTCCTCAGGCGTACGCGGCGCTGATTGAGGTCGCCAAATCCACTGAAGACGAGTTCTTGTTTTGGTTCCTCTTCTACGAAAGCTGGAGGTGCCTCATCAAGGTTAAGACCCAAAGTGTGACCGGCAAGACTGCTCCCACTAGGGCTGAGCTCGTCTTCAAGATTATGCTGGGCACGACGTTTGTTGAAATTCATGCCAGCGTCCATTTCTGGGTGGAAAGGTGACAACAATCGAGGTCCAGTGGCATGCATGGTGTCAAAATGATTTTTGCCAATCTGCCTTCGATGGTGATTCTCTGGTCGAATAGGACCATTCCAGGTATTGTACGAGAAGGGCGAAGCGAGTCTTGGAATATTCGTATCGGCAGACAATTTGGTCTTGTCCACAGGGATCGGCTCCTGCTGGATCCCAAGTCCTGTAGTTGGAGCCTCTACCTGCTCAGTAGCATCGATATCGCGGTTAAAATTCTGCAAAGCAGATTCCATAGGTGGAGAGTCGCCAGTTGTGAGTTGAGCAAGAGGTTCTGTTGCACCAGTGGCAACAAGATTGATGTGCATTTCTCTTGTACTGTACATGCTTTCATCCTTCACAGGCTGCATTGGCGAGGCGCTCAATCTGGATGGACGCTTTGGCACGAACTGGTCGGCAAATGGTGAAGGACTTCTAGATTCTCTCAATCTGTTGTAGTGTGCTGAGATGGTGAACTTTTCCCTACACAACTGCTTCAGACGCTTCCTAGTGGCGCTTTCGGATGGCCAACTTGGGCGGCGGTCACTGTTGGCGATGCTCAGGAAATTGTCAGGATCTGGCGTCTTCTCACGAGGTGTCATTCGAACGTCGAGCAAGCTTCTAACTTTGTAGCGCTGTATGAGGGGCATTTCGATGCGACTGGCTTTGGACCAAGTCTCCTTGGCGCGACGAGCTACTCTGTGGCAGACACCGGTTGGGGGTATACTGCCCGGAACAGTTTTGAAGGGTGTCACGGTAGGATCTGCGAGGTACATCTGATAGACGTTGAACAGGTGATTGTCCATGTCGACAGGCCAGTCAAAGTTATTCTTGGAGAGGAAGTTTGTGAGCCTCAACTTTTTGCTCTTTCTTTGAGGTGTTGCAGGGATAACTTTGATCGGCTCGTGCGAGGTGAACGGATCCGAATTCTGATCGTCTTGCTCGGTCACAGAGCCATCGTAGGATGTCGGTCGAGTTTCGTATGTCTCTGTTGTAGACAGAGAAGAATCTGACTGATTCGAACGAACAGAGGTGGTACGTCGGAGATTCCACTCATCGTGTTTGACTTCGGGCAGTACTTGAGTAGTCTGTCCTGGGGGAGTATGAGGAGTGAAGGTGTCCTCCATGAGCCTCAATCGTGTGCTATCCATTGGCTCGGAATAGGCCTGAAATAGCTTTGGTCGCAACGGACTGCTTGACTCAACTGATGGCACGATGGTATCAGAGGGTAGATCGGCGTTTGAAAAGCTGGTGACCAGTGGTCCGGCGCTCGAGGGGACGGGAATTTCGGAAGCAAACAGAGTTGCAGACAGAACGTTTCGTCTTGACTGGAAGCTCGCTAGATTCACTCGAGGCCGCCTTAAACGATATGTAGAATGTGAAGGTGGTGGAGGAAGCTCTAGTTGAGCGAACGTCTGATCTGGAGTTCTTGGTGCTTCGTTTGGATCAAGTGACAAGGGCGCAAAGTTGCGCGGCAAGGTGATTGACATTCCGACCTTCTTTACAGCAGAAGACGCGTTCAAGGTGGGGGAGAGATCCAGTTGTTGTGTCACTAATGGCGCAGGACTCGAGTCTGGAAATAGTGAAGCCATGGTTTATGTGCTGAAGGAAGAAGCGAAATGAAGTGAAGTGAAGCTCGGATATGCGGTAATTCAGTGTGCTATGGCATCATCATATCGAGTGAAGGTCGTCAATTGGCAATAGATTTTTGGTTCGTCGTGCACGTAGATATGATACTGTCGATGGTATATCCTCTGGTACTGTTTGTTCAATTTTGTGTCTGCTTTTTCCCCTCGAAGGTCGTTGTTATAGTGAAGCACGTAGGGCGGTGATGGGCAAGGTACAGAGGTGCGCCAAGTTCGAGTCGAGACGCGACGGAGGGTTCACTTTGAGGATCGTAGTTCGTTAAGGTTGGGTATCGTTGAGAAAAGGACGGATTTGAAGTCGTAGAATGCTTTGTTTACACCTGAGGTCATTCGGGAAGCAAAGAAGGAACGACTTCGGTGCGGAAGTGCCAGGTGGATGTGCTGAAGAATGTGAAAATGGAGTGCGAGGGAAGAACCAGAACTGGCAAGAGGCCTGGAAGCTGGGACCCGTCAAAACCTACAGATGCGGATTATTGGTTCAAAAGAGCCCACACGCCAAAAGGCGCTAGTTTCGTAGTCTAAGCTCTTTGCGGCTCAACTCCAGCTTTTACGTGGCGTGGCATGGGATTGTACAAACGTTGTCGTAGCCATGTGAGCAATGGTTCATCAGTATTCCAATGGTCTCGGTCAAGGTCATTGCAAGGTTGTATTGGAGAGATCGGGTGATCGAGCATAATTATGTTAAATGCTGTGTGCAGTATGGACTTTGCACAATTTGTACTGCCTTTGTGGAGTGCGAAACCACATGTTGAATATTCTATCTACAACTTCGTAGTAACAATGCCACATTCTTTTACGTTAACTCTCCTCTCACATGTAAAGGGGAAGTCTTCTGGACCTTCATATGCTTTATTGTACCGTGAGACATGGAGGCAGCGGTGGACAACAACATCGGAGTTGCAACAACAGGAAAATGTTCTGGCAAAAACAAAGCTTGCACCTGCTGTTCGTTGCCGACTCGGGTGTTGTCAAAGCTCCTATTTGCAGTATCCATTACAAGCCACGTCCCTGCCAGTGTGCGGTTGCATTTTACCACACCCCATCTGCTGAACAAGTCGAACAGCTTGCGCTCCATTCTCTTGCAGATGGTTAGCACAATCTCTCCGACCCGCACCTCGAGATAATATCAACAAAACACCTTCTCCTGACTATATCGCTCAATATTATGTCTAGTTCAACTCCCTTCCAAGCCAGCGTCTCAAGAAGCGCTGACCGACATTTTGACCGATGCGTTGACTGCCTCAAGTGATCATGCTGACCGCCGTTGGGACCAGTACTAGAAGCACTCGTTTAACGCGTCAAGCTTGCAAAACAACAAAGTCTCCACTCTTTAGTCGCGAAACAGTCACGCTAGAAAGTGCTACTCCTCCAAAACAGTTGTCACAGATCCTGGTTTCTACCAATCAACGAGTTCTACCGAGCATGCCTCATCCTGACTTATCACGCCATTTTGTTCTTGGCTCAAGAGTGCTCTCAAGTCACTGCTGCTGACCTACTTGCACCTGAAAAAGCCGTGCTTTCCGGCAGTTTCAAGAACTGAACGTTTCATGCAACCAGCTTGCTTTTACCTGGTCCTTCGTTCCATGATCGTCGCTGTGCGTCGACATGGTTGCTTCGTACATATGCAGTTCGTAGTCACAACGTTTCGCCGTTCTTTCCAGCCACCTATTTACACATGTTCGCTCAAGTACCGGGGTAACCTCAATCACCACTGTTGCCAGCATGATCACTGCTTGATAAATTCAGCTCGTGCTCCTCGCCAACGCCTTGCTCATCACAACTGCCCTTGACGTCAAATACACCCGGAACGCATGCACTTACGACCTTCGTCCAGGATACAACCTCGCTTTCCAAGAGACGCTTTATCTTCTGTATCACTTCTGACTGTGACCGATTATGTTGTCACGTCTAACATGTGACTAATCCATTCCCTGATTAGGCCAGAAGCTCGAGCCGCAGCACATGGAGTTGAGGCTCATCTGGTGAGCAGCGAGCATGTAGACGATGTCACGAGTATGGGAGGAGAAGAAAAGACGAAAGTGAAGAAGAGCTAATAGAGTGCTGAAATAATTTTCTGCTCTCGAGGCACTCTTCGTCCTGTTTAGGTGGAACATACGTATCAATTGTCCTGAATGTTGTGAACCTAGATTTCCTTAGGGGCTTCCTTTCAAGGTTCTACGCTGTGCCTGTGCACAACTTATTAGCACGTAGGCCTTCCCACAAGTTCAAGCATTATGTTCCTCCTCTCGGGAGAGCTAAACCGGTCGGCACTGTTCGCGTCGTTCTAGGGAGACCGACGTACAAGATCTTTAGGTCAGGATACCAAATATACAGTAGTATCAGTATCATATCGCAGAACCAACCATGTCGGCTCCTCCACAGTCGCAACTCCAGATGCCACCTACACTCTTCAGGCCCAATTTGTACGAGGTGCACGTCTTCGTCGATGACTCTTCATGCAGATCAGGTTACGATTGTTTGAACATACGAACAACTCAATCACAGATTTATGTGGAAATCCCTTTGGTAAGAAAGTGCACTCCCTGCACCACAAGGAGGACACCCGGAGACGACAATACAGCACTATGTACAGCGGCAGCACAATCGCGCTCGGGTCACTTGTCCTCTATGTCTTGGTCCACTTCTGGAGGATGGCAGTGTATCCTTTGTGCGAGTATCGACGGTCCGAGTTCGAAAGAAAAGGAGGAATGAAAGACACATACGATCTACTTCAACAAGCAGTATTTTAATGACTTCCTGCTCGCCAGACCGATGGAAGGCTCGTCTTCCCGTCATCGTGGTACCTCAGCCGAGTACCAAGTCTACACTTTCAGAACACAAAGCCATTAGTCACGCCAGCCACCATTGTACCCTTCCAACAATGAAGCTCTCATCAGGTCAAAGAGCAAACATGCTTTGTATACAACGCAACAACAGCGCCCATACTCAATATAGATCGGTCTCTATCGTCCTATTCCCAGCAACAACCAAATTCTATACCTATACATCCTTGGCACCGATCAGAATCTGGAACTTTGAGCCGCTATATACCAGAAACACAATACACCACATCTAGCAGTAAGTACCTACCCGCCTACCACAAGTAAGTATGGGCAACTCCTCTTCCAAACCAACCAAACGAACACCACCCAACCATCCTTCTCGCCCCTCCCACCATCCTCACCCTCACCCCTCAACCCGGTACCAGAACCCACGCCAACCACCTCCTCCGCTCCCCGAAAGATCCTACTTCGGCAAGCCTCACCACCATTACTCCCCTGTACGCCCTCGTCGTCCCCCACCCATATATAACTGCTGGAACTCGATCCGCGGCGAAGCCACCAATGTCGACAGCAGGACCCTCGCCCAATGGCACGTGACCATCTGCAATATCTGCCTGGACCCCCTCTCCGCCGACGAAGACCTCTTTGTGATCCATGACTGTCGGCAAGCATGCCACGCAAATTGTTTTCGAAAATATGCAGAGAAACATTTCTTCGATGCGACGCGGCGGCGGTGGATGCGACCATGGTGTAATGGCTGTCATGGTGAGATGAACGCCTTGCCAACGAAGTTGAGTAAGAAGAATAAGTTGGGGATTGTGAGGTTTCGGTGAGGCAGAGGGTGAAGAAGAAGGAGGAGGAGGAGGAGAACAAGGTGAGGATAGGTATGCTCGAGGTAAGTTTAGCTCCTGCGTAGTTCTGGGTCAGTACTGTAGTGGTGGGACATCATGCATGTTTCTCCATTTGCGTGAGTATAAACACATTCATCCTCGTTTTATAAACTACTGTTGTTGAACGACCTGCTCCTGTTAGCTCGGTATCGACTAAAACGCCGGTTCTTCTGTTGTAGTGTTTTGGTTGTTTTGTTCCAGTGTTGTGGATGTTCTGCTATAGTGTTTCTTTATGAGCTAAAACAGACACACATAGTGACAAGCCATGCAAAATTAGCCTTGAAAGCTTCGTTGAATTTCAGAAGTCTGCATTCAGTGTCTCTTCATTTAATCGCCTTTATACAGACAACTGGTATGTGCAAAGTTCGATCGATACACTCCTAAAATCCTCTCACGTCTTGCCTTGTGGTAAGTGACGTAATAATCCCAAAGCGCTCGTACGTCTATACTTTGCTCTAGCTCACCAACTTCTTCAACTCCATCTTCGGTCTCTTTCTTCATCACCAGAATCGTATGTGCAGACAAAAAGAAACAAAAGAAGAAAGGGGTATTGTGTAATACGTAAAACGCTAACTTGTTCTAAACGCCCGCTCATGAGTACTGGTAATGCCGAAAATAGTAAACAAAGAATAAACTTAAGGATGTCTCGAACTCGGTCGTGGTTGTGTTGCGCCACTAATAATGGTCGAAAATATACCTTGACCCATGAAAGAGTATGCATCTGGTTGATAGGATTGTGGCATAACGCTTTACATGACGATGCAACACCCACAGGTCTTCTTGACCTTTGCATCTTCTTGACTTTCCAGGTTCTGAGCCTGTATCCGTGTAATAGTAGGTGCGTCGGTAGGTCCTCCTCCATCCACTGGCACCGGTGCTGGCGTCAATTTTGGTATTGAATCCGACTCAATCTTCGGACTGTGCTCTTTTATTGCTGGACTCGCAACCTTGGGCATAGTGCTGTACGACCCTCTGTGACTGCCGGAGGTGCCAGGCCTGGTACTGTTCTGAGTACTTAGCATCGGTTTGAGTGGGAAAACGTTATTTTCATGCTGAGGCGGCACCTGCTCAGCAAGTGGCTCAGGTTGGTATTCCCTCGTAGGCGATGGAGTTCGTTGCATGTGGTACCTAGATTCGGATTTGGCCATTTCCGTGTCGCTATGTACAGCGATTGGTGTAAAATCACGATCGTACATTTTGGGAACAGCCCCCTCTTCGGCCCACTGAGCCTGCATCTGTTTCTTTGCCAGAGTTGGGATGAGCTGTTGATCTGGTGGTAGCATTGGATCAGGTTTGTACATAGTAGCCAGCCATGGCGGATCACCTTCCGGTCTGTTGACGGGATTACGAGACCGGTCTTGCTCGCCTGAACGGGTGCCTGGTCTCTGACTAGGAGAAGCAGTCGCTCGTGTAGGAGCAGAGACTTTGCGGCTCACGAGGACTTGCTTTGAGGTTGGGGTAGGTGATAGCGCGGCAGATGTGGCTCTCGACTTTTGTGGGGAGCCATGTCTGCTTGAAACTACTGGAGGGGTGTTGTCTTCATCCTCAATGGTTCGACCAGGGGGTGTCGTTCTTATTCTAGGTTGATTAACGTCACCTTCGAAGCTCATAGTGCCACTAGCTGTTCGTTTTCGGGCAATCGGAGTGTCTCTCTCGTATCTCTTCGCTGGTATTGGGTGCGGGCTGCTGGTCAGGATGGGAATTTTGGAGCCAGACTTTCGCAACAATGGATTCGAATACATGTGTGCAGCTGCAGTTACTGCGGCACTCTCGGCCTCGATCTCTTCGGGAAGTCGCAAGTCCCAGGAGGAGTGGTCAACTTCGTCATCGGTCTCGATAGGTGGTTGTAGCCGTTGTCTCTTTCCTTCTCTTTCTGTAGATAGCTCTTCATTGCGATTGGTAGCCTCGTTCTTGACTCTGCTTCGACTTCTAGACCGCGCAGATGCAAGGTTTATACCAGCAGCCTGCAACTCTTCACTTTCGATCTTCGCTAATTTGTCTCTGTGGATCCAGCCATCAGGGTCATCGTTGTCCGGTTTGTACATGTTCTCTGGGATGTCCTCGTCACTGTTTGAGACAGCATGGCCATTGACTGGTTTAGAGGAATATATGGCGGCAGAATGTGCCATGTCTTTGTTCTGCGTGGAAGATCGCCGGCTGTTTGTTGTGTGTGCATTGTTCGATGCTACCGAATTTCTTCCCAGCGGTTGATTCTATTTCCGTTAGATGAGCTGAAGATCTTTGACTTTTGACACACCTCATTAGAGATTGGGTTGTGACCATGCACGTCGTAGGCAGCTCGAGCGCCGTAGTTGGCACCCATTGACAATCCATTCCTGGCACTGGCAGTAGTCGCCATGTGCACTGACACTTGCACGAATAAGAAATACTAGCACAGCTAGGTATTGCCCCGCAATCACCTTTGTGCCATGGAGTTGAACATGGAAATCGGCCAGGCCCGTGAGGACGACTCGTGTATAGCTGGACTGCTACTCGAGCTGCCGACCGTGGTGAGAGTGCACGGAATGGTGGTGTTGCGGTTTCTCGTGCTAAATTCCAGATACAAAAGGCCGGCAAGGTGAAGGAAAAGGAAAGGATAATCGTTCTTGTATGGGTAGTTAGTAAAAGAAAACGTGGGCCAAATATGTACAGACAAGCCGTTCTTGAATTCACAGATATTGCGGTTCAGATGCAGTGTAGGTGCGACCTGATCCTCGTGCACTGGCAGTTTGAAACTCGTGCAACTGGCGCACGCCTTCGACTCCCGTGACTGTAGCGTGCAAATAGCCACCCCTGCTAATTTAAACGGCTCGAACCGTTAACAAATGGGAGATTTACTTTGAGATGGGGCCTTCCTTTTCGAGATTCAAGTTGCACAGCTTCTCAAGTACAGTGATTATCAGTAAATGACAATAGTGATACGTTCGAGCACTAGCAGAGACGGGTTTACCAACTATGCTTTCGCCGTCAGTACTGTGCCTGCAGATTGATTGATCGATCTTTTTGTCCAGCGATTGTCTGACTCGTGAGGAGTGGCCTAGATATGGATAACGATGCTAAGGTCCCGCCGTCGATCGCAAGCCTGACGCCAGACTCAGAAACAGTTCTCGAACATGGCCTGTGTCTATGTTGGCGGATCGACCTTCCACACCGCAAGACTTGTAGTAGTACTCAATTTGGACTACGCTTGCAAGGTCGCTACAATGTCATTGAGTTCTCGATCTCGAACAGCGACTGGCATCATAATCATAATCGTTCTGGACTCGGCTGCGATTTCCACATAGTATTATAAAGACTAATCGCAACGTGGCTGGCACGCTGGCTTAATGAACCCAATGTACTAAGAATGCCACCATTTACACCAATCGTAATTCATATCTTTCTGTCGACCCTGTTTCGTCGATGCAGCTAAGCAGTAGAGAGAGTACTACTGATGGTATCCGAAGTGGTGAGTCCCAGATCGCAACCACACAACAAGTAATTACACGGACGTTCTCCTTCCCCGAACTGTGTCAATCCGCTAAAACACCGAGGGTCTCCTGCGATGATGGTGGAGTGGCTGACTCATGTACTCATCCCTGCTGGTATGCTTTGAGAACATCGGCGGTCTGTGATGATGATTGCTATACACAGCGTCTTTGGGATCAACTTTTCGCATGTAACTACCACTCCGCTCAGGCGATCTTTCTCCAAAGAGTTTCGGTCTTGTTGGCTTTTCTTCGTGGCGTGAGGATGAGGCATTGCGGCTGACTGAAGGTCTGCGCTCCATCTGCGGTCTGTTAGTAGTGGAACGAACCTCTGCTTCTCGTGATCGTGATCGTCTTTGCTCGTGTCTCTCTTCGCTTCCTTTGTTGGTGACTATGTCGTCGGGACTTAACCATTTTCGAAGTCCTCCGCCATCTTCATCCGATGGGAAAGCTTTCTGATTCTCGTTGGCCAGCTTTTGTGCACGATGCACGCCATCTACCATTGGATCCTTTTGAGCCCGATAGGTGGTCTTGCTCTCTCGCAGTCTCGGTTCTCTGTCTCGTTCGCGAGACTCTCTGGGAGGGCTACGACTGTCCCCGCGAGTCTCTGGGGACTGTGGACTGGAACCACTCGAGTACGTCGAGTCATGGTGGTAATTTGTCTCGGTCTGCTTCAAGGACGAACCTTTGAGTGGAGCAGTGTCTCTTCTGGACGCCGTTCGAAGGTGCATCTGGTCACTAGCAGCTCGTGTTAGCTGCGGGATTCTGTCGGCGAAGTCTCGTCTACGAGGTCGAACGTCCCGCGCATCATAACTGTTCTGTCTCAGTTTGCTCGACTGGTCTCGATCAAGAGTTGCAGCAGTCTTCCTGATGCCAGCTGGAGCAGAAGACTGTGTTGGGAGGGGAGGTCGAGGTCTGTCCTCAGAGTACTCAGCCGTGCCGCTCCTCCTATGTGATTTGTGCGAACTGTCAGGCCGTGCACGGTCACTGTCGCTTCCACTTCGTCGATGATCCTTTATGTCTGCCTCTTTTTTGGTCCAAAATTTGTGGATGTCGGCCGAGTTCTGCCGAGACATAGTAGGTCGAAGCCCATCACGAGTCTTCTGCGATGCTGCGATGTAATCTCGAGAGTCACGATGCAGCCTCTCCCATTTGTCTGCTTCCGTCTCGGTGTCGCTTTCAGGACTATCTCCGTAACCTTCATCGTCAAAGTACGATTTTGCCTCATCTCTTCGTCCCAGCCTAGGTGAAGGTTGGCGAGGTCTAGGGGAAGGCTGTCGTGGTCTGGGTGATTGCTGGCGCTTCCTTGGCGGTTCAGGAGACGGCTGTCGTCTAGCTTTAGGGCTGGGGGCAGGACTCCTCTCGCTCGCTGCACCCCGTCGAGGGCCCACTGGGATGTCGCTCTCACTGCTGGCATCAGAGTGGTCATCCACACGAGGAGCATATCTTGCATAAGCTTGCTTCTCGGTTCGCTCCCTTCTCTCGTCTTTATCTCGTGTTTTCTGATCTTTTGCATGGTGCATCTTCTCATGGACCTTTTCAGCCTTTTTGTGCACGCTTTCTCGTGCGCTTTCCCTTGCCTGATTTGCCTTTGCCTTGAGACTCGAAGCCGCCCTCGAGGTGAACCCAGCACCGGCTTTCTCCCACGCACTGACTTTGGCTTTCTTGTCCTCCTTCTTCTCGCCGACTTTCTGCGTAGACGTTCGTCTTTCGTGGGAGGATTCTTTTCGCGGATGACCACGCGGCAAAGGTGGCTCCTCATACCTCGAGCTAGGAATGTCGAAGTAGGAATCCGGCACGCGATCCTCGTAAGAATATCGTGATTCCGACTGGTATTCGTCGCGAGGAGTTGATCGTGGTATGGGTGTCTCACGCGGCATAGGCTGAGTGGGTGCTGGTGATGGTCGAGCAGCGTAAGTAGTCTTCGTGTACGTAGGACGCGGTGGTGGTTCGCGAGAGTCTCGTCCCTCCATGCGCTCCCTCCTCAACTGCGCAAGCTTGACTTCATCGTCGTATCTCTGCCGCCTTGATGGATCGATGAGTAGTTCGTAGGCTTGCTGCACTTTTTGAAATTCAGTCTTTCCTTGTTCTACCAAGGCAGGATCCTTGATGCGATCCGGATGATACTTTAGCACCAGCTTCCGATGAGCTTTTTTTATGGTGGCTTCGTCTGCGTCCTTGGGCACATCAAGAGCCGTGTATGGATCTGGTGGAAGTGGTGAAGTCGACATTATTATTTAAATACAACAAAACAGAGTCGAAAAGAAGCTGAGAGAGTTTGACTGGATGTGCTGTATAGTTGGGAGTGTTTGTTATGGTGTTCCGATCTGGCGGTCAGTCTCAGGTCTCATTTGGCCATGCTTGAATCAGCCAGACAGGTGGGGTATAAAGCAGTGCACAGTGACATTAAAATGTTAACAATCTTCCAAGTTCGCTGAGTAGTGCGCTGTATTACACTATGCACGTTTGAAGAGAACAAAAGACAAACTGTGACGTTGTTGCTCAACGTTGAGTAGAGGCTTGGTGTCGGCGATGATGGCTCCCGAGTCTTTCTTAACTATCGCAAGCCACCTGGAGATCGGTGCTCAGCCGTTTTGACCACTTTATGTAAGAGCCAAGAAAGAGTCGGTTTCTCTCGACGGTCGGTATCAGTTCGGACGGATGACTTTCCAGCAGTCAGGTCCTTGATTACAAAAGATGTGTCAAGAATGAGGGTCTGGGAAGGATCAAAGGTGAGAAAAGCCTGAGGAAGAGTTTTGCACACTTGTAAGTCACAGAAGCAAGCAGGACTTGATGGAAGGCCCGAAGCACGAGATTTTAGGGTCACCAGTCATCTCTAAACTACACAGGTATCCAGCTTAATCACAGGCAAAGAATGCGGGTTATTATTTGCCTCTTCGTATCGAGCTCTCAACTTCTGTTCGAGTGATAGGCTCACAAGGTGGCTGAAATCGAGACAAGTAAAGAGGATCACGCTTGAAGCTCCGCCCAAACGTCTCAGCAAATCAAAAATATACCTGCACAGAAAAACTGGGCCCACCTCAACATCAAGGCTTTGCAGTCCTCAGCACTAACCAGTCGTTCACATCAGCTAGCCCCTCTTGTGCCTGGCTCCGTTTTCATGCTCCCCTGCCCCAGTTCGTGTTCCTGGGTGCATCCTCGTCGTCACCGTTGACTCGTGGTTTGCAGTGCCTGGCCCGTGGAAGTTCCGCGCGCCGTACCTCTGGAGATCGCCGAACATGTGCCAGAAGACTACTGGTTTCTTGTTGATCTTTACTCGAAGTGTGTTGCCAGAATCACACCTCACTGTGCATGAGCTCGATGTTCACGAAGCCAAGTCACCATCAAACCCACATCGAAACAAAGTCTCAGCCGTACTGTATTAGCAAGGTTCTATACCACTTGAATGCTGGCCATCTGGAAGTACAAGCGCGATCTTGTACCACCCAGAATTATCGTCGGCGGCTATACGGAGTATTATTGGCACGGGAGTGGTGCAATTGTGTACCAATGTCTTTATAGAGGACCAGGACAACATCAGCCCGTGTAACTCCCTTCACGTCTAGACAACTAAGATCGATCATCTGCCCCATTATAGCAGCTTCAGTCGGGAATTAAAGGCGGGTCGTTACCCTTGAGGTGATCCAGACAACAGTACGAGTAGTGCCTGTATAAAAATGTCTTTCCCAAGATCGAGCCTGTCTTACGGAGTACCGGCTTACCTCCAGACCTTCGATCATCCAGTATATTAGACCACGGTAGGGAAACTAAACCACTGTTCATCTCTAACTTCAACCTACATGTCGTTAGTAAAAAGCATACTTACTATCCACATGATCATTTTGCATCGTCGTTAATCAAGGTTGGCAAACAGGCCACAGCCATATTCCAGATGGTGTAGAACTGGCTGATCCCAATGGCTGCACTGTTCTTTCGGCAGCAATCCGCCGTAAAGCCATTCGCACACGAGACACGTCCTTCATCGCGATTGCAATGACCTCAGCCAGCATTGTACTGGCCGACGCCCCACTGCATCGTGGGGCTGTTCACATGCAAGCACGAGCTTCCACAACCAGTGAAACAACGAAGCGGGCCGATTCGTGGATACAGAGCTTAACAAACAAGTCAGCTGCCGATGGAATTACCCCATATGCACTGTCGACTCTACAACACAAAACAAGCTGGTGTGTGCTGCAGTAGTCAGGTGGGGTGACAACAATGCAGTGCACTGTCACAACATTCGCAGCGCTTACAGGTTGGAAGTCCTTCCAATAACGACCAGTTGACCCAAGGTCTGGAAGGACTTGTGTGATGCCTTCCAGTATCTACGGATACGTTCTCCTGCAAGGTAGTGTTACTGGGACTTTGACTCCGCCGTTGCTCGATTGTTACTCATCAAGCAAACCTTATGATGCTTATCGATATTGTTACAAAGGACAAACACGCTTGCTCGTTCGGTAATAGAACCCCCACAATAAAGAACGAAGTGGTACCGAAAAAGGCTCTCGAAGATTGTAACGTGCAGCCATCATTGAATGGGCATGCCCTCTCGTAAAAAAGGCAAATGCACGGCTTCTGTCTTTCTCCAGGACGAAGAAGGCAAGCTGGCGTTGAACGTGTGTTGATTCTGCCTTTGGGAGTTGCACGCCACAACCCTGGCAGTTGTTTGCCTCACCAGGCGGCAGGAGCCAGTGCGGTCATGCCTACCGCGAACCAACCATTTAAGATAACTAATTTTCATCAATTTCAACCCCTCGGCTGTGGTAAATCATGCAGTTTTCGCCTCTAATGCATTGTGCAGCATCCTACGCAACCTCTTATCATGCAGTCCTACAACGAGTCAACCTTCCGTTCGCTTATGTGGCAACATAGTCAATTCCAAAACGGGTTGAACGACACGCGTACCAACCAGTAGGGGCAACTGCACTGCAGTTAATGTTTCTTTTCAACGCCTCCACGTCGTCATCTGAATTCCTTTTCCTTGCAGCAAACCCGGACTCACAATACAGCGAGACTCAAGCAGGTCGTTAGTATCCACTGCCACATCCATCATTCAGCATACGTGCACCGAAGCTTACTCCCGATGCAAGAGGCTCAACAAGGAATCCAGAAGCAAGCAAGCATGCGACGACCGCGGAGGTTCGTCGTCGACAGAGCTTCATTCCTGGTTTCTGCACGTACTCTGCCGTCCTCCTCGTCCATCACAACTTCCTGAGCCACGTTTATCTCCTAGCCTGCTATCCCACCATGAAACAGCGCTCGTCGACTCTAGCTCATCGTATCAAGAAGTGCCACAGTCTCCTGCACTTTGGAGCCGATGGATTGAGCCTCTCTGCCACGTCAGTACGTAGCGAAGGTACAGCGACTAAAGAATTCTTGCAACTGTTGCGCCATGAGAGCCTAGTAAAGTGGTGTGCGAGAATACTATTCTCTGAGGTGGAACATTAAGCCAGCCTCGACGCTCAAGCATCACGCCAGCGAGGGAAAAGAGTAAAAACAAATAACAATCAGTAAGTGCTTAGTCAATCCGTCTGATGGAGAAGGTGCATGGCTTGATTTTTTTTGTCAAGTTTGCGTATGCAAGTAAGCAAATCCCAAGTCCAGTGAGAGAACCTCCGAAAACCTCTGATCTTAAGGAATCTCCCCTTGATTAGAACACAATGTTTACGGCTCTATGAAATGCAGCAAGAACCCAGGGCCATTACGCGCACAATCACTTGCCTATCAAAAGGAGCAGAGAGCAGGTATGACTGGCAGAAGATCGTCTTACATCATCTGCCCAAATCGGATCAACACCTGATCGCCAATGCAAGTTGTATATGACTTGACACGCTCCATCTACCTCAAACTAGTACAATCTGGAATATATGTAAAAACTCCATGTCCATGATACGTACAAAAGACGGTTAAAGATCTTGTTTATCCTTTAATGCAGCAGCTCAGCACTTCTGCAAGTAATTGCTTGGCACGAGTCCGATACCATGAGGCCCTGGTCCGCCAGTCTTCACGCTCCTTTCAACGGTGGCTTCCCACCAACCGTCGTCCTGCAGTCTTAGGACCGCCAGTATGTCGCCTTTGTGGAAAGTCAGTTCTTCTGGTATGGCGGCTGTGTAGCTGTATTGTGCTCGAGCTGTGATACTAGTTAGCTTTGTCAGGAGAGGATAGGCGAGATGACAGATACGTACCCATAAAGCAAACACTAGGACTGACATCTTCATTTCCTGGCGGCTCGTACATAGCGATCTCACCAGGCTGTGATTGCGCATGCTGAGCATGTACGCCGGTCGTATTGGATTTAGGTCTTCCTCCAGCTTGCCCGCCATAAGGGTTCGGACTAGCAGCTCGATATTGCCCACTGCCCTGCTGATCGTGGTGTGTAGCTGGTTGTCCCCTATATGGATTCGGGCTAGCAGCACGGTACTGACTGGCACTAGCTTGTCGATCGTGTTGCAGGTTCGGTTGTCCACTGGCCATGCCAGGAGCAGCTATACTCTTGCTTCGTTCTCTTCGCACTGACGGATCTACACCACGACCACGTTGATCGTAACTCGAAGGTGCCGCTGGCTCATACTGGGGCTGGCCAGCATATGAAGAGGTAGGCCTACCATTGACCATCCCAGATCTGCTACGTCCACTTCCTGCTTGTGGTGGCTGTGATTGTACTGGTTGCTGCGGCCTGTACTGATTTTGTGGAGCTCCTCGCTGACGCATATCCGGTGCTGGCGATCGTGCTCGCAGATTCGAGTCTGGGTGAGAAGGAGCGTTCTGCATAGGTTGGGGAGAACGTGCACGCATTGGCATACCTGCGTGCTGTGGCCCTGGCGATCTGGATCTTACCATTGCTGTTGATGGTTGAGGGCTTGCAGCACGAGGAACCACCCCCGACATACCTGGTCCCGGGCTTCTTCGTCCATCTCTGCTGGCAGGTCGTCCCATGGAGCTACTAGGCCTTCCTACCGGTGCACTTACACTCGAGCCCATGCCCCAGTCCTCTGTGCGTGATCGCATCTCTTTACTTGTGAACGCAGGTCGAGGCACACCCAGTGCAGATTGAGCTCGGCCCTCATATGCTGGTGGTGGAGTACCTCGTTGCGCAGCGAAGACATCGGTCGTTTGGGCAGAAGCGATTCCTGGTCGTGCACTAGGCCTCTGATCAGGAGCTGGTGTCTTGACACGATGATAGGCATCTACTGGTTGTCTCAACGAGGCGCGCTTGCTCATATCGATCCCACCTGAGCTTTGTTTCAGATTTGCAAGTGCTAGAGCGACAGGATCGTCACCACCTGCACTTATTGGTGGCGGTGCGTATGTTCCTCTTCTTGCATTCACGATTGATGCTCGAGGCGTTGATTGATGACTGGTAGAAGCAGAAGGCGTATCAGGACTGGCAACATCGAGGACATTTGGACCAATATTGAGTTGAAAGTTAGCTCTCGGATCAGCAGGCTCTTCGCCTTCTGGTGCACTGATTCCAGCATTGCGATTGAAGGGCGCTGATGGTTGTCGAACATGAGACTGCTGGTGTTTGGTTGGGCTAGATTGTGCTGAGGAAGAGCTTAAGTCGCTTCTTGACTGGTTCATCGACCATGATGAATTCGAGATGTTCGATGCAGTTAGTGGGTTCGAAGGCTCTTTCTTCGACTTGCGACGGAAGGGAGAGTTGGCATTAAATGGACTCTTGGAGAAGAAGCCTGAACGTCGCTTCGTAAGGCCCTTCTCGGGAGAAGTATTCATTCCCGGCATTTGGACACCATTGACTGGAGCTTGCTTGACTGGAGACGACTTGCCTGACACTGGGTCGGCGCTGGTGAATGAAGAGGGTGCGGAGTAGTCGCTGTTGCTGTCACGACTAGGTGGCCTTGTGCCTGCTGAAATATCGGACTGTGTCATGCGCGAAGGCTGGTCGTCACGCCTGCAATGCATGGTCATACCCTCGTAAGGATATTCGTTGTGTGGAACCTGTGCGATGTCCCCATGCTGACTTGGAGAATAGTTCGGTGGCACATTTGGTTCAATCTGACGATAAGAGAGAGGTTGTGGACGACCGCTATTAGGATCTGGAATTTGTTGTTGTAGTGGAGGTGCGATAACAGGCTGCTCTATCGGCTCTTCTGACATGTCTCGTTCGGTGGAGTGCTTGCTCGAAGTTGATGTCTGAAATTCGTGAACAGGCGAGGCGGTTCTAAATGCTGGGTTCGTTGATCGTGGGAATTGTGCTACGGTGTATGCATTGTCGTCATCCGACACCTCTGAAGCACTGTCGCAATCAGCCTTCGCAAAGTTGATGTAGCGTGGTGGATCTGGGATCTCCTGGCCTGTACCACAGACTTTGACGAAGTTGGCAATGTCCTTCTCAACCTCACAGTTTTCGAGGGCAAGCCGAATCTTTTCGCAAGAGGCATCGTCGCTGACACAGACTGTGCTTGCAATATTTGCAAAAGCCCAGAGACTGCTTTTTGTAAAGTCCAATCTCTCTTCTTCCAGGTCTTGGAACTTGTCGCAAGCAGCCTTCCACTCCTTATTCCATCGTCCTGTAGTATCTTCCAGGACTTTTACTGCAGCTTCATAGTCTTGTGAATCGCTAGCCATGTTGATCTGTGTCTTTTCCAACTTGGCTTTGTTTTTTCGTTCTTCCTGACCCATGACCATATGACCTTGAGCCAAGTAACCCTTTATACGTAGACAATCCTGCTCGTAACGGTCACGGCATTTGTTCACCACAGCTGTCTGCTGCTGCTTTGTCTTGAGGAGTTTTTCGATACCATTTTGCACAATCTTTCGTCGTTCTTTGCTCCCTCCTGCGAATGCACCTAAAGGCTCCTCACATTCACTACGTATTTGTTGTGCGATAAGTTGATGTTGCTTGCCCATGCTTTCTGTCTCACCACGAGCTACATCCAAGCTAGCTCGCAACGTACCCATCTCCACCGAGCCTAAAGCTTTCCTCGATATAGCGAATAGTTTCTTAGCATATTCCTCTTCGAGATCGGCCCTGGCGCGATAGAATGCTTTCAACTCTTCACTTGTTGTCTTTCCATTTTGCATGCGTGTAAGGAGAGGATCAACACCGAGGTCATTCTTGCCCCAGAAACAGTTGCTAAACGAAACTGGCACGTTTGGCCCGGCATCTGAAGCTGGCACCGGCATGGTGCCGGTGACTGTAAGTCGATGTGCAGCTGTGAAGGGTATTTATCCTTGGTCAATAGTGGAATGATTCCTGCGCACAGTCCAGCTGTCCGACTTTCTGCTTAGTAGAGAAGATTGAATGGTTTGGGTAACAGGATGTTTGAGAATTGTCGCTCACACAAAAGGGTCATTCGACTTGAGCTAGTTGGTTGGGATTGCAACAAGTGAAGATCTCTGCTTGTGCAGGAGACTCGAGAACTGCACTTGATCTGTGCTGAAGGTGGCCTGGGGTCGAAGCGCCATGTTTACGAGACTTGCGTTGTCACAGTAACGAGCGACACCCTGCAAACATTTCACCATCGCGTCTCGCTCAACCACAATCTGTTCGTACCAGACCAATTTCCTGGAAGAATCGTCCCAGTTTCTATACGTGTTCAGATGTGAAACAAGACCACAAGAATGGAAGGAACGTCTGGCTACTGACTTCTGTGCTCCGAAAGCAGTTGCGACTCAATAATATGAAGGAGCGAAGTGGCTACGTCATAGTGTCTTTCACGAATATTGCAACAGAATCAGAACGTCCTCCCTGCATGCACACCTACAGTCCAAGGACAGATCAACGTTCACAAGCAGATAGCAAAAATATAGATAGATGCTCTGATGTCCAGCGGCGACAGTCAGCCAAACTACAGCCCACTACTACCATTCGACCTCCATCCTCTAGCAACAGTACTCACACTGCCCTTCCTCCTAGGTGTATCACCATCCAAGTTCAGCTTAGCAAGCACCTCAGTCGGCACAGTAGGAATGTACTTTCTCGCTCTTTCTCTGTTCGTGCCGCCGATGCCAGCGCCATAAGTAATGAGCATGTCCGTCGAGGTGGGTAGTGAAAAGGGCAGCATAAGCGACTGGTCAAGAAGTAGCCTGTTCCGCTCTATTGGCGGGTCGGTATCAGATTCGATATTCGTTTGTGACGTCGGAGTCTGTGCGGAGGGCTCTGTTTTCGACGTTACAGTGTCTGGTGTCTCGATGCTGTTGCGGACGCTTGCTTGAGGAGTAGAGGATTTGATAGGTGTGTTAGGCGTGTCCGTGTCTGGCAGGGGCGTTAGTGGTCGCCGTATGAGAGTCTCTGATCCTCTCTGCAATTGCTGTAGAAACTTCATGTGTGCCTTGGGTAATCCTTTTTCGCCAACTTCGTATCTGTAGTTTTTTACTGCGTGTATCAGCTGCATTGGCGACAGTCTCTGAAGTTGCATCAATGTCTCGAGTAATGATTCGTGATCTTCACCAGTCGAGCTAAAGCATTGAAGCCATTGAAGCAGCTGTACTAGAGGAGCTAGATGTCGCCTAGCAGCACCCACCGTCGTCTCGCCAGAGATATTGGTGGCACCATTCTCGTAATGCTCAGGCTGGCGATTATTTGCTCTTGCCCAATCTTCAACCTGTGACACATTCATCCGTATCTGCATTGCTTTCGTCCTGGAAAGGTATCTTCGCGTCGTCATAATACGGTTGAATAGCTCGGCACCAATCCAGTACAGAAGCTGCGCAAGAATTTGAGCTGTTATCACCGAATGTACATCGTACAAGTCTAATACAAACAACGTCGAGGACAACAACGACGTGATATTTCGTGGCGATATCTGAGCTCGCCTGTTCGGAGATGGAGGCCTGAACCTTTTTGATGGATCTTCTTCCACGACCTTGGATTTGCTCTTGAACATTTTCCACTCTCCTTGGAATTCGACATCGCTCAAGCCTGGAATGGTTTCATGGTCGAGCATAGCCTCTTCATGCACTTTGTTCATGCGCCTTTCAGCGTCGCGAATGACAAGTATGAATGTTTCGTTGACAAGTTCTGCCAATTCAAGTTGGTACTTCGAGGTAGCCTGTACTAACCCGGCGTCTTTCTTTAGGTAATGTAACAATAATGTTGCGTTGGAAATCCAGAAGGCCAGCATAGTCATGTCCCACTGATGTCGTTCAACCACGTCGTTGATCAAGTCCATAGCTCTCGTCAGCAGGTCTTCAAGCAGCGTTCCAGGCATGTGGTAGTGTGCGTATCGTGCCATGAGGAATATCAGGTTAGCCGGTACTGGCTTCTGGCTGGGCGACCTTTGCGGTGTCATGTTTGTTATGATCGTATCGAGGATCAGGTCCATCTTGTCGTCCTGAAACACAAACATTTGGTCACCAACACACCTCTCCCAAATGAACTCTTCCTCATCTTCCTGCTCCATCTCATCTTGATTCTCCGGAGCCTCATCGAAGCCTAGGGTTGAGAGATCCACTTCGAGGTTGGCAGCAGATTCTTGCATAAGCATTCTCCTCTTCAGCATGCTCTCCTCGGCTTCTTCCTCGAACCTGTCATTTCCGAACCCTCCAGTCGTGTAGAAGTCGTCGCCCTGGTAGCCTCCCATGGCAGCGAAGCCAGCGCCGGCAGTCATGCCACCAGAATAGCCACCCTCTCTCAGGTACTCTGCCATATCAGAACCGGGCTGCACGAAATCCCAAGCACTACCACCACTGCTACTACGGAGCTCACCATTAGCCCCGTGGTCGAGTAATGTGCGCGCGATGACCTTGTGCCTGTTCATAACACTCCACATCAATGCCGTCCACCCATTCCTATCCTGTTCGTCAACGTGAGCGCCGGCATCGAGCAGTACTGCAACAACTCCTTCGTGCCCAAAGCAGCTGGCGTAAATTAGAGGTACAGTGCCTTCTTCATCTGGGTTGTTAACTCCTACGAAGTTCTTCAGTTTCCCATTGACCAGCCTGCGCACGCGCTCAGTATCACCATTCGAAGCAGCCATGTTCAGTCCCTTCTGAAGTTTAGTCCGCTTCTCAGCCTCAGACGACTTCTCATCACTGGCAATATCGTCATCGTCCTCATCTGCCATATCAGCACTGCTCGGCTTGTGCGCACGAACAGTGCTAGCATATGTATTCAGAAAACCTCTTTCACTCGCCTCGAGTCGCGTCTGTATGCCTTCCTCTGCATCTCCATCGTAGTTGATGCCTAGTGGGCTGTCAAGCTTCAGGTCAAAGCCGCCTGTGAGAGAGCGAGTCTTATTGTGGTTCGCTGATACCGGTGGGTAGTTTATCTGTGACGCCGAGCCACTCCAGTCATCGTAGAATTCCTCCTGACCAGGATAGTACGTATCAAAAGTGCGTCGATCGTCGAGGGACGTAGGCAGATCGGATGGAAGGGCTCGGCTGGGACTTGTTGGTGACAATGGAGATACTGGTCCATTGTGGTCGCTGTTGCTAGGATCCAGACTGAGGGAGACAGGGCGAGACGTTTCACCGGTCGACATGGTGCATGCTGTCGCTGTAGAAGTTGGCAAGACTGCCTGTACCGATGCTCGTGGTCGATCGTCCGTATATCTGTGCTGGCAACGTAGGCTGCATGACGAGCCTTCTAACAATAACTTCGTTTGTCATATAGCTGGAGATAGCTGAACATGGTCAAAATGCGTATCTCTCGCGGAAAAGCAATGTGGTGGTGTTACAGAATGCATTGCGCCGACCACACCCGTCTCACCTCAATGAGGTTGGCCGTGAACCTCGTCTTGGCGCTTCGGGGAGTAATTGCACGATTGTCAACTTCTACCAAGCTACCTATAGTGTTCCAAAAGTGCCATTTCAGTGGAAATCAGCTGTTATGGGTCTATTAATATCATGACAGCTGAGATTAGACAAGTATTCCACCTGCCACCCCTGCAACCGCTCTGAGACGTCTTAGATCTCCCACGATAAAAGAGACCATGGTTACTCAGGATAGAGTAGTCAGGAGACTTCTTCCTGTTGGCAGAAGTATGTATGCAGTGACATGTTCTTCGCGAGAGATGCTACATCCACCATAGAAAGAATCACTGAAGGCATTCCACAATATTCATCCAATGCGCCTATTAACCAATACCTATGTGCAATACCCAAGCACAAAACACCATCGCTAATCGCTAAACGCTAAAGACAGGACCCGAAGGTCGAGAAAGCATACTTTGTATGGCGTGGACCACGCTCTCTTTCTTTACCACTTCTTGCACTATTCCAACGACTTGCTCAAAGCATCAATTCGCTTGTCAGTCAAAGCGGACAACCACAAACACCTTTCGACAATGCCGTGTATGGGCTCAAAGTCGTACCTGAGACTGGCATCAATGAGCCGCAACAAGCCTTTGACGATGATAGCGGCTGTCCGAAATCGTTCGAAATTGATTAATGGTTCCGCCCCTTCCTCGATATGAATTTCAGCTGGTTTTTGAGCATTATATGTCAAATCATGCACATACAGCATGAGAAAAGGTATGCAACCACTTGACAGATCTGTCGACTCCATTTCCATACGCAACTCGTTGAAGTTTCGCATTGGCTGAGCCAACTTTTCCATGTGTTTGAGAAGTGACTTATCCGGTCCAGGCACCAGTTCCCACGTCCCTTTGAGTCTTGTACAGCTGGTTGACATTAATGCAATCGTAATTTGAAGCATTGTAGCATAATTCCGCAGCCGCCGCGCGTGTGCTGCAACATGTATGAATTTAGAGAGCACACGAGCTCTTTCCTCGATATCCTGTGTCAGTACTATCTCCGATAACACCCATTTAATGACAAGGTTGAACCTTGTCGTCACCACATCGATGCCTCTAGCGTCGTCATGCTTGGTCATGTACTCGGCCCAATCCAAAGAACTGGTAGATTTATCGTTGCTCCATCGCATCTCAACTAGGTCAGTCCATTCTATCTCCGTCAAGGCAGACTGCTCGACTATTGTGAGCTGTTGAGCAAGCACATCTGACTCACATGCTAGAACAAAGGGCACGTGGGCTGGACCACTCGAAGGCGGTTGTACAGACTGATCCAATTGGTTGTTGCTCGGCGACTGCCTTGCATCTTGCAGTCGACGTGGGGTCGCTGGGTCTCGGTCAAGCAGAGGTGATTGCTGCGGAGTCGGTAGTTGGGTTATGAAACTTGCAGGTCCAGCAAGTGCAGGGCTAGTATGTAGAGATAGGTTCACCAGAGATGCATGGGTGAGTGGATGACTTGGAATCTCTAGTCCAGAAATTGCCGTCCCTGGTGCAGCGAGCATGGGCGACGCTGATTTGCCTACACCATTTGTGTGAGTAAGAATGTCTACTGATATCTCTGATGAGAGGTCTGAGATGTCCTCGTCCTCTTCCAGAAGAAATGACTTGGTTGTATCTGTCAGTGCTGTGCCGGGCCTAACAGTTCCACGTGCTTCTATGTGCTTTGAACTCGGGATGTTGGCCCTCGATCTTGCTTTGTCATCACCACGACCTGCTGCTGCTTTTGTTGGTTGTGGACTATCTGTCGTGACTGCGCGACCAATAGTCGTGCTTCTCTTCAAGATAGGTAGAGATATTTCAGAGCTGTCGGAATCAGATTCAGCGGGTGAAACTGTTGGGAGGCCAAACACAGCTGATTGATGAGCAAACAGTCTAGATGGTGCTTGTTCTTGCAGGGGGTCAACTGTTTCGTCGTGTAGGAAGGACCGTTCAGCCATAGAAACCTCCTTGTCTTGTCGGATAGCGTGCCCATCGGTAGCATTATAGTCTGTTGGCACTGTGGAAGCAGACATCGGTAGTTCTGACGAGGCAACAAAAGAGCCTGTATCTGGGGTCGGTGAAGCGTTGCTACCGTCTTGTGATGGATCTTCATAACGACCTTCGAGTTTCAAGAGTGTGGCTTCGAGTCCGCCATCGTCATCGTCGGGTATCGCCGAGAAGCCCGAGATAGCTGCCTGGAAAGAGGGACGAAGATTCTGCGAAGAATTGGTATTAATCATTGATACTTTCTGAGACTTCTTCTGCGGGGTCGCTGGACTCGTCGCGGTCTTTGGCCGGCCCATAATCAATAGAGATCCGCCAGCGGAACTGCTATCAAGCATTGAATCTAGCGATTGATGATGCATTGCAGGCTCCAGATCCTGAACATTTTGATTTTTGCGTAAATCGCCTCCAGGACGTCGTCGCAAGCCGTGGGCTGGAGCTCTGGAAACAGGGCTTTCACTATTGGAAGTAGCTTCGGTCATTGGGGGCGGCGATGTGCTTCTGAGAGAATCCGTCACAGCTCTGTACACTGAGGGACCTTCATGCAGCTCAGGAGATGGCTGCAGTGCCGTGACCGTAACATTGCTAGATGTCCTATTGCCGACTCGAAGACCAAGTGTTTGTGCAGTCGACGTGGTTGAGCTCATCTCTTGCGACTTATTTGTGTCCACAGGTGATGTCCCTGCTTCTTCGTTCTCAAAGGCAATTTGTGTTTGGAAAGATGCATGTTGTAAATCAGAGCGATCAGAACGTAGGTGCTCTATTTTCGATTGTTCGTGTTCGTGCACATATGAGTCTGGTAATGCCCCAGACATGACTGGCATGGCGACGGCAGTATCATCCACAATAAGAATGGAGCCACTCTGCTCTGTGTAGTCGCTCGGCAGCCGCGCTGGAGGATATTCTGGACGCTTCACTCCTATCGAGTTGAGTGGTGGTGAGAAAGGTAAGGATCCTAACGTTTGTTCAGTAGCGTAAGGAGTGAATCTCTGTGGATTTCCCTCATCTAGCAGCGGCTGTGTACCTGGTACTACCGTTTGAAAGCTCTGAACAGCTGCAGCACCAAGCAGATCGATACGAAGCTGAGTGTTGGATGTCGTCCCAGTCGCCCTCCGGCGCAGGTCATCGTTTGACCTTGCTAGGTTAAGAGGTACAGGGGCCTTTCGTGCGGTAGATGTAGTAGGAGGGGGAGGCGAGATTGTGATCACAGTCACTTCATTCGTGCCTTGTTTTCCACTGAGAGCTCTTCTGATAGAACCGAAAATGTTCTTGACAGCTGGTCCTTGGTTACCATGGAACGGACTTGAAGGACTTGGAGGAACACGCGACAATGCGCCTCGTGGCGGATCTGCACTGAACCTAACGGACGGACTGGGTGGAGCATTGATGGGCAGACGTACGAAGGGTTCGACTGGTCCATACACAAAGCCTCGAATCATGCTTCCAGCATGAGGGTCGATGTAGTGACCTGAGTGTACGAGGGCTTCGACGGGAGTTTGCACGCTCGAGACTGGTTCTTCATATTCTTCCTCGTCGTCGTCGCGCCTGGGTTGTATCTGGACTTTGAGATCAGAAGGGGCGTTATGGCGACGTGACAGAACAGAGACTGGTTGTGGACCTCTTTCGGATTTCCCGGAATCACGCTTAGGAGATCGCGATCGACGCCGCGGGATAGTGCAAGAGGTAGGCTGCAAGCTCTTGTCGCTTATTATTGATTGCGGCTTTTTTGCATGATCTGAAGATGGCAGTCTCTTGTGGTAGGTCTTCCTCGTGGCCATGGAGGGAGTACTCGGTAGTGGTGAGCACGAGGATTCAGGCATGTTCTGCAAACCGAGTCCCAATGCTGCAGTAGCCTCGCTAATGTCGGCATAAGCAGGGTTCCTGCTGCCGAGGACACCACCCGGAAGTAAAGCCTCCTCCTGATCATTGTCCATATTGAACTGCTCTGCATCCCAGTAGAGGGCGCATCTTCCGTTCCAACATCTCTTTAAATCTTGCAAGATCTTCAAGTCGCTTACACCTCCTGTCCCTTTCGGCCTCTGTCTGACGGATTCGTACAGACCATTGACCTCATTGCAGAATCTGACACGTAATTGACGATTGACCACAAAATCCTCGGCGAAATAGTTTAGTATCCAATGTCTCAGTGCAGCGAAAGTTCGTATACGTATTATCCTTCCATCGTCTGACAATCGACCCACTGACCATTTCAGTCGCACAAGCAGATAATCGAGCACTTCGAAAGTTGTCATGTAGGAACGAAAAGTGAGGAAGAAATCCGAGACCAGGTCATAATCCATGAAAGACTCGGAGGATATCTGAGCAATGATACGAATCTTTGTCGCAGCAGCAATGTCCTTTTCGCTGTTCGCATACCTTACCACAGAAGGACTGTTGTATACGGTGGTGAGCTGGTCGTACAATTCCACCGAAATAGGAGAAGTCAATTCTGCCATGGTGAGAGACCGAGTCAAGTCGCCGTCTTGGGCAGTGTGCAATGTGCCTGACATGTGGGGATTGCTCCCATTTGCGGGTATGGAGTGTTGAAGCTTCTGAAAGGCCTTTAGACTCGAAGGAGGAGGACCACCGAAACCATCAACCATGCTTGAATGAGTGGTTGAATGAGCGCCCGAGTCCTTGGTGTAGCTTGAACCACGAATGAAAGGTGTTCCATGAGCGCTGAACCGAGGGGTGCCAATCCTGTAGGAAGGAATAGGTATCTGCAGGGTTGGCGCATCACCCTCTTCGTCGCTGCTGTGGACAGACTCTGGACGATTGATTACGATGCGAAGTGTTTGAGGCTGAGGAGCAGCTGCTATAGACCTTCGCGATTCGTCAATGGTGGAGAATGACTGACTGCGACTGTGTCTGTAGGTGATCTCTTTCGAGGCTTTGCTCAGTTTTGCACGATCGATGAGTCTCTTTGGCGAAACGGATCTTGTCCTCGTCTGCGGTGGCTGAGACGGGAGCGTTGTTGCAATCGACGGCGGCAAAGCAGTAGGAGCAGTTGGCGAGATCCATGTGTAAGGCGATGAGGCCACAGCAGCAGGTGAGAAAACACCTTGGTGCGGCGAAGGACTCAAATGAAGAGTGCCTCCAGTGCCGACGTTCGAGACAGTGAAATTGCGACCTCTTTTAGAGCCTGAGCTTTCGGTTTGCTTCGTGTTTTTTTCCACACTGGGAGGCTTCTGCCTGAGTATTTCTGTACTGTCCTTCACTCGCTTTAGAGAATGCGACCTCTTTTTCAGGTTGCGACTAGGTACTGAGTTCGTCCGGCCGTGGCCCTTAGCTAAAGCGGACAGCTGAGAGCTGGAGGTCTGTGCTGGGGTCGACTCGGTCCTCGAGTGGCCAGTGTGTGTGGTCATGCTTTTGGCTGCACCAGCTATATGTCTAGCTACCACTGGGTCGACAGAGATCACTGAAGTCCTACTGCTGCGCCGCGACGTGTTCCCAGGCATACTGGCGCGCTCTTTACGATTCTTGCGCTTTACGTGTTGACCTTGCCAGACTTCATACAGCAATTGCGAGTACGTGATTGAGAGGACGTAGCCCTGACACAGTGGATGTGCTCATGGTGGGGGTCTATGTCGAGAGCGAGGAGCAGATCAATATACGATCGAGTTCGAGGTGCGCGATATTACGCGTGCTAAGAGTGCATGATTTCAGATGTGCCACTCCAATGGTGTCCAAGCTGTGTATTAGGCAAAGCGACAAAGCAGGGAAGGAACGACAGTCTGCAATAATACAACAAATGCTACAAGTCACGACAGTCCGTATCGTCCGCTCGGGAAGTGCGAACCTGCGGCCAGGAAAAGAAAAGCTGAGTGGTCACAAAACCGACTTCGAAACAGCGTCGAATCAGATCGAGTTTGGCCACGACGACTCTATGCGGCACCACACCCAGCAGCATGCCGATAGGGCACATCTCACTCCCACTAAAAGACCACATGGCAAGAAGGGAGTAACGGAAAGTGGATAATGAGCTTTAAGAGTCCTCATGGTGACCAACCAGAAATACCAGACCTTTGACCCAAGGAGTGCCCATGGTGTTTGGATCCCAAATGGTCTCAGAAGTCAGTAGCCAGCTCGATGTTACAATACAGTATTTTCAGCTCTTGTGCTTGATAATTTTTGACCAATGAGTGACACAGGCTGTTCACAATGTACCTCGCAAGCACAGCTCGTGTGATGTACATGCCAGAGAAGTCAGAGGTTCGTACATCTGGCATGAGCGATCGTGTCATCCATTGCAGTGCATCCGTAGCGTTGAGACCTTGCGATCAATCCTCCCAACTGACTTTCGGAAGCATCAGAAGTCTGTTGTTCCTTTCCACGAACGATAAAACACGAAACCGAATTCACGTGGCAGACCTACAGATCAAGCTCATGACTTGCAAGATGGACTTGTCCTTATCCGTGCATACTCAACCTCGGTCACTGGATACCACATGGTCGTGGACAACACTACAGTGTGTGTATGCCCGCTCCGAGTCATTAGGATTCTCATTTGGTCAGCAAGGAACAGGAACTACGTATACAACCGTGTTCGTCCTCGAACAACAGATAATCTTTAAAGAAGAAAAAAGAACTCCAGTCCAGCTTGCTTATCAAAGAAGGACCACTCACAGCGACCACAACCTCAGAGCTTTCCATGTGACCAGCTCAGTTTGCTCAAGAGTCAAGACCCCATCGCACATACTATTATGTCGTCTTGTCATCACATTCCGCGACGCGTGAATCTTATTGTCCTTCAGCCTGCGCGACGAAGTCATTGCTTGGCAATCCTGTACTGCCTGCGCCTTCCGTGTTCGTTTTTGCCTTGACCATCGCCATAGTGTGCAAGAATTACTCAGCTGTGCACCTTCCTCGCTGCTTCAAAGCCATGCGGCAAGCACAGCCTCGTGATTGCTTATTCGCTCGGCGACCGTAGGTCCATGTTCATATTTCGCCAACGAAATGTATCATGTGAAACCACACTGCCGTTCGAGAGGTCGCGACCTTGCAAGCTGATAGCTTCTATCGACCCTAACGATTGTGCCAAAAGAGCTAGATGTCTGCGGTGTTTGCAACAGAACCATTCGTACTCAGGAACACGTCAGGTAGGACTGATCGTGTGCCTGGCTTAGATCTACTACCTATCTATTTGGAGATTCAAGCTGCAGCCTGTGAGACCACAATAACCCAAATACTCGCGAACTTGTTGTATGAGAACGCGGCAGCCTGTAAAGTCGACGGCATTTAAATTTCCTACTCGGCTGGGTTTTTGTGATGTTCTGTGCTACTCTCCTATTTCACATGCTCACCAGTGCTAGCAACGATGACCATTATCGAGATTGCTCGAGAAGAATATACGGTCGCTCACTTCAATGAAAATGGTGAAATTTATTACGTTGTACTTCGAATGCCGTACCCTGGGAAGAAAGGAGTCAATTACGAGCGATAGTGACCAAAACTAGATCTACCTGATATTGAAAACCGTTTTCACAACATAAGATAATGACCACCGTTCTCGTTCATTAGTATTATTCCAAGTATCACCGTAGTATCGAACATAATTTTCCAAATCCATTACCCAACTCCCACTGCTGCCACGAGGAATATAATTGCTTCAATGTAAAACCAAAAAGCTGCGTCGAAAGATTGCGTTCAGAATAACACGTACCTATAGGATCCTCTGCTTCCACCCAGGTACACATCCCATCCTCTAAACTCTATTAAACTCCCACGAATGTGGCAGTCAATATTCAACCCACCACCTCATCCTTTATCTCCCCAATCTTCTGCTTCGTCCTCCCAATCCTCGCCTGCCACCTCTTCACCCACTTCCTCACTGCCCTCCCAATCCTCTCAGCAGGATAATTAACAGGACTCTCACCACCGATAAAAATCATCGAATCATACAGGAACCCGCCGAGAACCGTGCCGCAGATAGGCGCTATCCAATTGACACGGAACCAGTAACCATCCGCGAACAGCGACGGATATGGACTGGAACTATACCCGAGCACGGCCAATGCGACTCGTGGTCCGAAGTCTCTGGCTGGATTCATGGCCAGGCCGGTGTTGTAACCGAACGCCATACCGAGGACTGCGACGAGGAGACCGACGATGAAGGCGTTCATGCCTGCGCCTGGTGGGGCATTTGTGTCGTCGCCGAGGGCGAGGACTGAGATGGCTAGGATGGTGCTGCCGACGAGTTCCGTTAAGAAGGCAGTGCCTGTGCTTACCCATGCCTGACGTGGAAATGTGAGGAAGTTTGCTAGCACTACCGAGGCGGGTGGCATTGCGTTCGCTTCGAACGTTGCCGAGTGCTGGCCTTGCACGTTCAGATCTCGTACTTGTAACGCGATGAGGCCGGGTCGGAAGATGGCGAAAGTGATGAGGGTGGCTAGGAAAGCTCCTACCATCTGTGCAGTGATGAATGCCGGCATCTTTGCGAGAGGGAAACCACGATATACGTGGAGCATGATTGATATTGCTGGGTTCAGATGAGCGCCAGAAATACCACCTGCGATGTAGATTGCAATCATTGTAGCGAGACCCCATGCCCAGTCACCAGTATCTCCTACTCCTGCTGCCCCTCGAGAGACGGTAAGTGCCAAATTGGCACTGAAACCGAGCGTATACTGTACGGTTATCTGACTTGTCAGCAGGAATTGTGACTGATAGGATGGTTGGTACTTACGCCTAGCAATTCCGCTAGCGGCTCTCGAAAAAGCAAACGAACCACCGACCAGTAGGTATGTAGATTATGTACTTCGTCGTCTTCGGCTTCGTATCCAAACAGGGGGATCGCGTCCTGATATGGTAGATGAATACTGTGTTCTGCCTCTTTCGCCCTATTTGCATTGGCAATCGCTTCATCAAGGCCAGCTAATTCGGGATCTGATTTGCGGTGCTGGTACTCCTCGTCCTCTTCCTCAATGATAGGCTCGCCTAGACGAGAGTGGAGCTCCGAGATATCGTGGTGCGCAGCGGATTCCTTGTGGTATCTTCCAAAGGGTGAGAAAGCTGGCGACCCCGGACGCTGGTGATGGAAAGTCTCAAACAAATGGAGCTCTCGTCCACGTCTTACGTCGTCAAGTTGAGCAGCGATTTTGCCAGGCCGAAGAGATGGCTCGATACGACCAGTCTCCAGATCTGCGATCGATTCAGGTCTGTCATCCCTGTGCAACACTTCCTGCTTCAGCTCGTCCTTTGTTGGAACCATGCCAGATCGCAACACATGAGGAAGAGGCTTGGCCAAGCCCCATATAGGTCGTGTATTTGCAGGCTGGTCGTATGCTGGATTAAGTTGTGCGTAGCCTGGGTCAACGTACGGCTGATTAGCGACCAAGGTATCGAGAGGTGCCGGGCCTGCTAGCGAGAACCTCCGTGAAGCGGTGTCGTTATCTCGGCCAGAAGCTGCAATGGCGACTGACCTTCGATCCGAGTCGACAAAGTGCCTCCATGAATGTGACGGACCGGGACTAGGACTTGGCTGAGCACTCCCAAGGCGACGACGTATGCTGGGCTGTCGAAAGCTGATTGCTGAACTTCTGACATGGCGCAATCGAGGTTCGGGGTCTTGATCTGCGAAATCTCTTGACAGAAGTCGTGTTGTTTCTTGCTCGCTGGAAGTTCGTGCTGGCCCAGGAAGTCGCAATCTGGACGAGGAGTCATCAAAACGGCTTGAAGTGTTGCTCTCCTCGCGTCGAATGCTTGGTCTTGGCGTACGTTCACCTTCCTGCTGTTCTTGCAACGTGGATGTTGTGCCTGATCGGGCTCTTTGGGCATTGGAAGCTGAGCCTTGCTCAATGCCTTCAATATTACTCATTCCTCCTACAGCTCGTGTACTTTATTCGACCAATACCTTCTCAAGTTTTTGTCGAGTCTATACTTGCCACTGAAATGAACACTTTCACCACGAATGCTCTAATTACCCCGGAAATGTTTCCTTCTTGCCTCCGAGCCGGCCCACTAGATCATGCACAGCATCACTAGTAAAGCTTCTGGATAATATGTTGTTGGTTGGATAGAATATCGACACTACCTCCGATCTGCTGAAGTAGTGCTCTTGATGTACTAATGCTTCGTCAAAGGAGCGGACTGTCTGTATTACAGACACGACATCTTTAGCGTTCACACCATACAGATCTCGATGCTCATCATAGAGACCGCACCACTTCCACTGGTTGGTTCGCACAATGGCATCATGCAAGTGAGAGACACATTGCAAGCTCGCCATGTGACCAATCAGCTAAGCTAGCACTATCTGGGACACATGAATTTGGATGAACAGTGAAATAAGCTCCCAATATGCTGGTTGAAGCATGTGCGAATCGCTTGCCACTAAACGTAACTTATCCACTTTGATATTCACGCCAAGGCAAAGACGTGACGGCAAGCGAAGTATACAGCAGTTTGTAGTTCAATAACCTTCTGATCATGGTGTGAAGCCAGGAGGAGCGGCTTCTTGTAGTTGCAGTATCGTAGAAGGTGTTCTGATTGCTTCACCCACGCGTTCATTGGCTGCGAGCGTCTCTACTTTCGACCTCGGTGCTTGAAAAAAGGCAATCCACGGTGGACACTCGCCTCCACTAACGCAAATCAAAGGATTTTTGGAAGTTGTGAAGGTCTTCCGCATATTTGCAGCTTCTACCAGGGTTGTGGTTCAGTTCTTGCTGGCACAGAAAGCACAATGTCAGGCAGGAGCTTAATTAGTCCCTTGAGGCGCGCATGCCGCAGTCAACGGTTATTAAACAATGCCTCGAATTCCAGTCCTCGAGCTGTGTCGACCCGGGCAATATCATCGTTACACGCCACGAGACAGCTAGTCCCACGAACGAGACCTCTTTTTGTAGCTGGCCAACGACGCTCGATATCTGCAGGCGCACGAGGACGATATGCTGACGTAGAAGATACTTTCGATCCTTCCACTGTCGAACGAGAATCCGATGAAGTCGATGTTTGCATTGTTGGAGGTGGCCCTGCTGGACTCAGTGCCGCTATAAGATTGAAGCAGCTTGCGAATGAAGATGGGAATGAAGATTTCCGTGTCGTTGTGCTGGAGAAGGGCAGTGAGATCGGTGCGCATATTCTTTCAGGAAACGTCCTGGAGCCACGAGCTATTGAAGAGTTGCTACCTAATTGGATGGACGAATTGAACGAATCTCGCTTTGAACATGGCACCCCAGCTACCAAGGACAAGATGCGCTTCCTTACCAAAACGAGTGCTATACCCATCCCAGCTCCACCCCAGATGCACAACAAAGGAAATTACATCATATCACTGTCACAATTCGTCAAGTGGTTGGGAGAGCGTGCAGAAGAGCATGGAGTGGAGGTATACCCTGGTTTTGCTGGAGCCCGCCTCCTTTACAACAATGATGGCTCGGTCTCGGGCGTTGGTACAGGTGACCAGGGTATCGGCAAAGATGGAAAGCCTAAGGACAGCTTTGAGCCAGGTATGAACTTTCATGCCAAGGTCACTTTGCTCGCTGAAGGCTGTCACGGCAGTTTGGCTAAGGAGGTGTCCAAGAAATACCAATTACGACGTGACTGTCAGCCTCAAACATATGGTCTTGGCTTGAAAGAAGTGTGGGAAGTGCAGCCCGAGAAATTCAAGAAGGGTGAAGTTTCACACTCGCTAGGCTATCCATTCACGAAGGATGTGTACGGTGGTGGCTGGATGTACCACTATGGCGACAACCTAGTATCTATAGGCCTGGTCATTGGACTTGATTATGCAAACCCCTGGATCGCACCATATGGAGAATTCCAAAAGATGAAGCTACACCCGATGTACAAATCTGTTATCGAGGGTGGGAAATGCCTTGCTTATGGTGCCCGAGCTCTCAACGAAGGAGGCTTTCAATCAATACCAAAGTGTGCCTTTCCAGGCGGAGCCTTGATTGGAGATACTGCAGGATTCTTGAATGTGCCGAAGATCAAAGGAACCCACACCAGCATGAAGTCGGGCATGCTCGCCGCCGAGTCGGCCTACGGCGCGATTCAGAACAACAAAGAAGCCAGCAGTGTTTTCCTCTACGAATACGAAGATAAACTCCGAAACAGCTGGATCTGGCCTGAGCTCAAAGAAGTGCGAAACATGCGTCCTTCTTTTCACAGTCCCCTCGGTATTTACGGCGGCATCATGTATAGTGGTCTCGAAGCCTTCGTCTTCCGTGGCAAGCTACCTTTCACATTCAACCACAAATGCGAGGACTATGAAACAACGAAACCCGCCGACCAATTCCAGAAAATCGAGTATCCCAAACCAGATAACGAGATCACTTTCGACATTCTCACCTCAGTCAACAGAACGGGTACTTACCACGAAGACGACGAGCCATCTCATCTAGTTCCAGCAGCTGGTCTTGACGGCCATGCCGAGAAAGACTATCCGCTGTACAAGGGTATCGAGAACCGCTTCTGCCCTGCAGGAGTGTATGAATACCCAGAAGACGATTCGAAAGATCTAGGAGTGCGTTTCCAGATCAATTCGCAAAAGTAAGTCTATATGCTAGCACAATTTCTCCTCTTGCTAACTTCTGACCTAGTTGTATACATTGCAAGACTTGCTCTATCAAAGACCCGAGTCAGGATATCACCTGGAAGACACCTCAAGGTGGTGGTGGAGTAAGTTCTTCAACCACGATGTTCTCTTTTTCTTCAAGGCTAACACTTTCTGCAGCCAAAATATGCAATGACCTGAGCTGTTCCTCGCTTCCCTTTGCAACAGCAATAAAAGTCAAAGTTCTCGTGCTACGACAGTGCGATGGTAGTTACATAAGACCTTTCACCCTGGACCAATCAAGCGCAATTCTACAAAGCTTTGTCATGTCGGACAACTCCGTCACTGCAGTTCTCCCCGCATGACTGAGGTTATAGGCGCAAATACGGGTGTTTGGCCAGGCACTCGCACGCCCGAGGGCCTGTATCAGAGATGCAGACGTGGAAACTTATACGCTCTTCTGACTCATGGTTGGATTTCAACCTCAGTTTCATTCCAGCTCTCCAGCCACCTCTCTACAAATACCGAACTCAATACAGCGACAATGTCAAACACTGCTACACTCACACGCCTCGAGGAACCTCATATCTTAACGACAAACAACCGCGACATACAGCTGCACGCTACGCCATACAACTCACATTCTCTCCAAGACTTCGAAGTCATTGATACCGATGTTCAACCTCCAGACGATGCCACAGAAGCCGTTCCCGATGGCGGATACGGTTGGACGGTCGTCTTCGCCTGCGCCGCTTTCATCTTCTGGACCAATGGCTTCATGACAGCCTGGGGTGTTTTGCAAACAGCCATGCTTCGCCAGGCACACCTGAAAGTCTCAACAGCCACCATTACCTTTGTCGGCAGTCTGGCGTTAAGCTGCATGGTTGGCTTTGGCATACCTTCTGTCCGGCTCTTCGGTCTCATTGGTGTGAGAAATGCCTGCTTCCTTGCTGTGGTACTTCTGAGCTCGAGCCCGATCCTTACTAGTTTCACGCTGGACAATATTGGCGGGCTCTTCTGTACCGCGGGTTTGTTGTTTGGCATTGGATCATCCATACTCTATACCGCAACCAATAGCCTGCCAATCCAGTGGTTTAGCGGTAAACTTGGGAGGGCGAACGGGTACATCAAGGCAGGTGGCGGTATTGGTGCAACTGTTCTGCCAATCGCAGCTCAAGCTCTCATTGACGCTGTTGGACTTGCTTGGGCTTTTCGTACATTTGGGTTTCTCATGCTAGCGACAATACTGCCCTCGGTGTTTCTGTTGCGAGAGCGAGCCCCCACACTTCAACGATCAACTCGATTGATGGACCTGTCCATGTTCAAGAATGCTACCTTCGTTGCTCTTTGCGTGTCAGGCGCCATAAGCATCTTTGCGTTCTTCGTTCCACCGTTCTTTCTGCCGCTCTTTTCGTCGTCGATTGGCCTGTCTCCTGGCACGGGAGCTGGACTAGTCGCACTCTTTGGCGCTGCTACAACAGTAGGACGAATTGTGTCTGGCTTCGCATGCGACAGTCTTGGGCCTTTCAATACACTAGCCATCACATTACTCACCAATGCATTCAGCATGCTGGCGATATGGCCTGTCAGCACGTCTCTGGCGCCTCTGATTGTCTTTGCGGCGATCAACGGCTGCGCGAATGGGTCTTTCTTTGTAGCTCTGCCCACAGCAATAACGTCGTTAGTCGGGCCGGGGTTTGCTTCTGGCGCAATGAGTCTCGGTACCTCTTTCTGGACACCAGGTTACCTTCTTGGGACGCCTTTAGCTGGTGTGTTGATCTCTTCGACAGGTGCTGCTGAATCTTCCTCGATCGAACCCTACCGAGCAGCTATATTTTATGCCGGGGGCATGGCACTTGGAGGTGGACTTGCTGCGATTACAGCACGCTTGAAGATAGATATGAAGGTGATCAAAAAACTGTAATCAGTTGTAAATAGCAGATTGAGGGTACATGAGGCGTCCGATTCAACAAAAGCCGACGCGAGTAATTTGCCTGTTCACCTCATTGTGCAATCGGATATCGTTATTTGTAAGATTGCCGAATGTGGTATAAGGCGACCTGGGTTGACAGGTCCGGCAAGTGACTGAGTAGGACGACAATAGTCGATGTAGATAAGTATCGGGTTATCAAAATCTCTTGTCAAGAACGTGGATGAGCCGTCGCACACCCATACGTTCTCGCTGGTTGAGTGTAGTTACTGTGGTTTCGCTGTATAAGTCGGTAAAGCTTCTTCTTGCTCACTGATACCATAATTCGATTTTCCTTGTGCTGATTCGACTGTGTTAAAAAGTGCAAATGGACCTTGCGTGCCCAATCGAAACTGCTTGTTCGTCTTTTCATGTCGGAGTATGATGTCGACTGCAAGCCTGTACCCAACGTGCAGTATAGACGTCTCAAGGCTTGCAAGTATCTTTTTGTGGTCATCCTTTAGCCAGTCTTGCAGGCACAAGCCGTCTGCTGCATCCACCAGCCGTCCATCTGTCGGCAGATCGATCCCATTGTTGCCTAAGAGTACTTCATGCTGAGCTAGGATTTCTTCGCCCTGGCAGAGGCGCTCTTGTGTGAACAAGCCGGTTTTTGGTACTGCTATGGTAGTGTGCGTTTTCAACGTCAAGCTCATCTTTTCGAGTAGCAAGGATGGATCTTCTGAGTCGTGTTCAGCCAGTTTCTGTTGTTCCACCGACATTCCTATCTTGAAACGCTGACTTAGTCCAATGTTATGTGGGAGATAGGCAGCAGCTTTGAACGACAAGCTAGGTGGTTTGAGTGCAGGATCGCTACTAAAGGTTGACTTCATCTTCTGTTTGAAGCTTACCCGCTCTCCTGGAGGACGCAGACTGTTGCTAGCCCACGATATGGACGGGAAATCGCAACGCGTCGGCTTCTGATCAGTAGAAGATATAGGGTGACCTTGCTGTTGTCGAATAGTGACGACACGTTCTATAGAGTCGTTATTGAGAAGTCCACTACATTTGACATCGACAGATAATTTGTAGACAACGTCTACACGTGCGTTACGGCCTATGGTTTGATGGTGCCAAACATAGCTAGGTGGCAATACGTCCTCGCCAGGAGCTGTTGTGTTAGGGGACACAGATCTCATCTGCTCGATAGATTCTCCGTCCGCTATTAGTCTGCACGTTTGTGGAATGGTGAACTCGAAAGGCCACTCGAAGACTTGAGGTGGGACATCGTATGGTCCCTCGAAAAGCGTAACGCGATCATCTATCAATGTATTCCTGTATTTGTTTGGTCGTCGTGGTCCTGAGGCAAACCCTAGCCCGGCATTGTTTTGACCCGTAGGGATGTATTCAATCTTGATACTGCCATCGAACGAGATGGCGGCATGCTGTATCGAGCGCTGCTTGATAGTTCTATAGACGACACTTCCGCTGATAGTTTCACCAGGTTCGAATGTAGCAGGGTCGGCATCTAAATACTGTCTTAGTTTGATCTGTAGAGCCATGGTGGGAAAGCTGTGCAAAAAAGCAGATGCAAGGCAGAGGAAGTAATGAGGTCAGCGGAAGAACGCTCGTAGTATCTACGCCATGTCTACCCCATAATTCTTGGCGATTTGCGCCTATCAGCAAGGCTTGGTATGGTCGAGTATTCGATGAGCTCTACTCGGACGTGGTAGAATTATACATGAGACTGGACCAGTTGTAAGATCAGTTCCCTTGCTGCATTCTGTCGTAGAAGGACGAAGTACCCGTACCTTCCCTGGCTGGCCGTGAAGATGACCTTTCCAAACCTGAGCTGCGCCTGCCCGCTTCCAATTCGCAACGCGCTCGACCCCAGAATTTAGCATGGTTGGATTTCGAGAGCCCAGAGTCTTTTCTCAGGTTGCTCTCTCTTCGTCCATGTCTCAGTCACTGGTCTACAGCAATAGAGAGTAATCGAGGCTGAGGTTGGCAAACTCAAGCGTGATGGGGCAGGGTTCTTTCCGTGTGAATTTACCTACTGTAGTAAGTATGCTCCCATCAGATTGTGTGTCAAGAAGATCCAGCACGATAAGGAAACTTCTGTGCAGTGCATCAGCTAACAACTAGCAGTCACCGAATCACCTAAGCAAAGAGAGTACCGAAGGAGATCCATTGACAGTAGTCCATTACTCGAAAGCCATGCAAACTCAGATGCTAGTACAGCCCAACAAGGAGAATCGATGCTGCAACACCACGAGAGTCGACATCTCACCGTCTCGAAAGAGCACACACCTCCACAACCACAATCAGCACATGGTTTTGTCGAACACAATACTAAGCGAGACAGAGACAGGCAGGCACGGGCAGATAGAAGTTGATAACGATACCGTATTGTTCATTGACGATGATGTGGACGTGCGAAGTCTCGAGTCAGTCACATGTCAGCATCATTGCGTCCCAAGGCCACCTTGTCTGTGGCTGGTTCTGGGGTTGGAGTCATTCTGCTTACTCCTTCTCATCATCGCCATGCTAAATTGGAGCGACAAAAGTCGCGATAAGTACCTGAGGTAGATCTAAGGTCAACACAGGACGTCGGGGACAACACTTCGACGCGGTTTGGAATAATGAGGAAGAGTCATTACCTACTGGCTGACATTGACACGTCCTCTGACAATGGATATCGAGGACTTGACATGCCATGAAGGTGGCTGTGCAATATTTGCTGAGTAGCGAATCTGATATAAACGTGTTCAGCGAAGGTGAAGCTTGCAGATGCGATTCACATTAGCACGTGTCTTGGCAGACATTCAGCCGGCAGGATTAGCCGGCAAAAGATTTGACGACATGCAGCTCTTTTTCTCCAACTAAACTAGCAATGCTTTCTTTCTGAAGAACCTTTCACTACCGAAATTGTTACAGATAACTTCAGCAAGTCTCTGCATGGAGAAGATGCACAGTCAAACACAGTTGTTTGGCTATTTTTCATAGCCTCGCTCGGCTCTGCGACCACCTACCATCGTACCCCTCGCACGAACCCGATAAGCAACCTCGAAGCAAAGTTTGTGGTCGCGTGCTTAGTACTATTCTTGTGAAGAAGAGACATGGTTCGCAACATCGTTGTTCTTGGGGGTTCGTCCCACCCGACCCTCAATGACACTATCTGTGAAACTCTGGGTATTCAGCAGGGCAAAGCGCTCTTCTCAAAATTCGCAGTCGGCGAGACACGGGTCGAGATCGAGGAGTCAGTCCGGGGTAAAGATGTGTACATCATTCAGTCAGGAGGTGGGAAGACCAATGATCACTTGGTAGAACTATTAATTGCGATATCGGCATGCAAGACCGCTTCAGCTAGTAAGGTTACTGCTGTTCTGCCACTATTTCCATACTCTCGACAGTCCGATATTCCCTACAATAAGTCTGGTGCACCTCTAGTCAAGGCGTCGAACACTCTCTCAAGGGCCAATACCAATGAAGAAGGCGCTCCTTCATACACGTTCGAAAGCACACCTACGACACCACACCCTGATCGACACGAGAGCCGCGGTCTCAGTAATGGTGTGCACCACCTGAACAGAGCTATGTCAAAGGTCAGCATGGACGAGCTGGCTGATGGACCAAGCATGCACCAAGCCCGCTTCAACAACTACAAAAGAGACGGCGATAGTCCAGTGGACAAAGACTACTTCAACCGTAGTCGTGCTGCATCTACCACTTCAAGTGCTGCGGTGAACAATGCCGCGGTCAACGGCATCAGTGGTCACGATTATGCTCCCAAAGAGTGTACGACTCAGTTGAGCTCGACTGAAAGCTTCAAACCAAAGCCTGGTTATAGGCAATGGGTTGCACAGGCTGGAACTCTTGTCGCTGATCTGCTTACCTGTGCAGGTGCAGACCATGTCATTACTATGGACTTGCACGATCCACAATACCAGGGTTTCTTTGACATCCCGGTTGACAACCTCTATGGACGACCACTTCTCAAGAAGTATATTCAGCAAAACATCCCTGACTACAGAAAGTGTATTGTGGTCAGCCCAGACGCAGGTGGTGCTAAAAGAGCAACCGCAATTGCAGACTCCTTGGGCATGGAGTTTGCACTCATTCACAAGGAACGAAGACCCACTAAAATCACAGATCGACAGAACGCGACCATGATGCTTGTCGGAGACGTCGATGGCAAGATTTGCATCCTGATTGACGATCTGGCCGATACTTGTAATACGATCACTCGAGCTGCGAAATTACTGAAGAACGAGGGTGCGGCCAAGATCTATGCCTTGGTCACTCATGGCGTGCTGTCAGGCGATGCTATTGACAGAATTAACCACAGTGCTTTGGACAAGGTTGTGGTCACAAACACCATAGACCAACGAGATCACCAAAGACGGTGCCCCAAATTGGAAGTGCTTGAAGTCGGCACAGTTTTTGCAGAGGTGAGTAAGCACTGCATACAATACTGTGAATTTGCTAATTGATTGCCAGGCTATTCGCAGAGTCCACTACGGCGAGAGTATCAGTGTGCTATTCCAGTACGATTGATTTGAGAAGTTTCATTTGGGTCTCTCTTTCTCTCCCGACGAGCAAGAGTGGTTATCTGGGGTTTCATACGCTACCCAACACACGAGATAGTAGCAAAACCTAAGACTTGTAGAAAAATGCTCCACCAAGTGCTGGACGAGCTTTTTCTTCGTGCTTTGCATACGTATTAAGCATGAGCGGCGTTATATTTTGTAGTGCTTGTCTTTGACGTATAGTCGTCATTCATACCAGAGGACAAGCCAAAAATACGATCAATTCCCTGATGTTGTCCCTGTTTTGACCTGTCTATCATACACGTAAGCACCATTATGCTGAAAGTTCACCGAACGCAGAGACCTTGCCATGGAAAGGTATTTACACATTTATAAATCATACCCGCCACAATTTTCGCAAAATCTGTCGCACAGATTTCACGTCTTGTAAAAACTTGAAAAGCTTCCCCGCCTGCTTTCCAACGTCTTGATGGTCTAGTGGTATGATTCTCGCTTAGGGTTCACCCAAAAGCATTAGACTTGCGAGAGGTCCCGCGTTCGACTCGCGGTCAAGACCCATTTTTTGGTGATTCTGATATTCGTTTTCACTTTTTTTCATCAGTTGTTTTCCTGAACGTGATTTAGGACTTCGCAGGCATAGATAGCTCTTTCCTGAGGAGTACGCCTGTTGATTACAGCGCAACTCCTTCAGGGTAGATAGATGTGCTCGTCAGGAATAGCAAGGCAGTGCAAGCAAGACGTGGCTCAACTAACAAAGCGCGAGTTCACGATGTGCTTGCTTCTTCAGCAATCATATTGAGCAGTTGATAGCCGGACGTATATAGCATTTGTATTCAAGTATGTTGTTCGTACACAATCAAGTCATGAGCATTTGCAAAGACCGAATATTGCTTCGATGCATACACATCTGCTCGCTTGACCAGCTCAGGCCTAGGTAAAACCGAGATATCTAACAGTGCTGTAACCTCAACCAACTCTCACTGTGAGCCAGCCTGATGAACATTGTCGAAGAGGTCACACAGCGTCCTTCGCCTACTGAACTTCGCTCGCACGCATAACTCCTTGAACCCATTACGGCTTTGAGCAACCAGACTCCACCTTCCTTCCTTATCAAAGCCTAATCACTAGGTCCACCAACGAAATCAAGCCAAGCACCCAGCACAATAGTAGCTATGAGCCACAATCCACCATAACCAGCAGCACCCACAGCATCCACACCTTGAATCGTGCCCCAAACATGAACAACGTTCTCAAGGAGCAGGAAGACACCAAGCACGATAGTACGTCCAATCAACTCCTTCTGACGAGATGTGTACCAACCCCAAACGTTGTGGTATACATGTTGGGCGAAAGTCGCGGTCTCCGGATCAAAGTGGTTGTGCGTGAGCGCGATGCTGTTCGGTCCAGTAGCGGAGGTTGATGTTTCTGGACCTGTCGCTCCTTCAGCAGGCCTGAAGAGGAACTGTGTTGAAGCAATGCCAGCCGGTGCAAGCCACATGCACAGAGAGGGTAGAGTGCGAGCAATGTCGTGAGCGAAAGTAAGGTCGCGCAAGCCATCGAAGTGCTGGACAAGGAAGACAGGAAGGAAGGTGCTGAATGCGAATTGCAAGGTACTGGCGTACACAATCGTCGCAGTGGCACTTGTTGCTAGAGTTGTTACTGGGTCGTTGATGATTATCCTGTTCCTTAGCCCGGCCCTTGCTTTCGTGTGTTTGCCAGCGTGTGGTGCGCTGAGAGGTCTCAAAAGGTAGAAAGGCAGTGCTGGAGCAAGAATCGAGACGGTACATGTTGTGAGGAGGGTTGGAGCTGAGATGAGGTAGAAGTAGTGCAGCAGGATAAAAATTGGTGTCTGGATCAACGTGTTCAGAGACGCGACGTCAACAGCTAGAGAGTCGTTAGCATTGTATTCCATTCACTTAAATACACGTACCATCAAGGCCGCCAAACCAGCAAACCGTGAGAAACCCGATCTTCCACGCGACATAACCTGCCGTCTCGAGGTCTGTGACTACTCCTCTTGAAACGGCAGCAAGCTCAACAGAACCGCCCAAGTTGATAGGAGCTAAACGGCCAGCTGTCTGACCTGCAGCTTCCGCAACAAAACTGATAATGACGGCAAGCACATATTTTGCTATTGACGGCTTCTTAGGTGCATGCGCTGACTTTGCCGGTGGTATTGATGAAGTTCCAGCCATCTGACTGACCGAAGGTGCTTTGCGACGCGTCGCAGCAGGACTGCTTCGCGCTGGTGAAGGAGGTAGAGGAGGTGCAGGCATTTCGCCATTGACGAGTGTAGCAGCTGATATTAGGGACGATCTTTCTTTCGGAGGTCGCGCCATAACGTGAAAAACTGTGAATTCTTATGTGGTGAATGTGGTGAAAGAGATATAGTTGAGTGCTCGATCGCGTGTAGCTTGAAGAAGGCACAATTCTGCTCTGTTTTGGGCCACGGCCATCACGATCAACGTCATTGTTCAGCACCTCAGTCCGCTATGGGTGACCCTAACAAAGCTCTCAGGCATCAATGACTCAGTCGAGTTGGGCTGATCTCCTTCATCTTCGCCAAACAGGCTACTGAAAGTCAATTCTCGCAGGATGTTCTGTGGCAGATGAGCTTGAACTCAAAGCAAAGCATACCGAAAGACTAAGTTTATTCGGAAATCGTATTGCAGTGCTCGAACGCACGCCTGAAGATATGTCGTACACTGCTTTTCCAGAAAGCGGCTACTGTTCCTATCTGATAGCAAGTGCTCAAAAATGCTTCTCTTTGCGTCCAACCAAACTTCGTAATTGATCATGTCTAACCACTCGTGTCTCGGCGAACCGGCCGTCTTCCACCCTTCAAGGATTTCATGCGTCCCAGCAGACCGGTCGGCTTTGTGCTACCCTCGACAGACTCTCCTGTTGTCGTTCTCTCGAGCATGTTCCTCTTAGGACTACTTGGTGCTCGAGCTCGACCAGTCTTCGCCTGTTCATCAAAAGTGATGGCCGTTGGTTCCTTCTTAGTCTCACCATCGAATTCTCGGAAGAATGGGTTGACACCGCTCTCGCTCTGTCCAGTCATGGGACCCGTCAAAGGTGGACTGGCTGGTCCTCGTCCTTCTGGGGAACCCCATCGATCACGATTCGGTCGCACACCTCGAATCTTCTGTGCTAACGACTTCTTTCGTCCAAGTCCTGGACGCTCTTCCACTTGTTGTGTCTCGTATTCGCTTTCTCGGCGTTGAATAGCAGCTCGACTTGCTGGTGCTCCTTCCAGGAACGTGCTCGTTCCGAGGCCAACACTTTCATTGCCATGTATGACTTCTCGCGCATTGGGGTTGTAGCCGAGAGCAGGGTCGGCCTTCACATCCTTTCGATATGGTTCGGCTTCCTCGATGATAGCTGCATCATTGAAATCACCATGAGCCTCTCCGCCGCGTCCATGGAATCGGTCATAGTCCATTTGACGGTTTACTGGTCCAGAGCCACCCATGACCATGTTGACTGAGTCTTTCGGGAACGCTTGCATTGGCGCATACTTCTCTCTCCTTCTGTTTCGATGAGGGTTACAGGCGTCGAAAGGACCATCGTGGTGGAATACTGGACAAATTAGCTTCTTAGTAAGGCGATAGATTGATTGACTTACATCCTGTACCATAAATGCTCGTCACGTCCAGTTTGTCGATGATGTCTAGTTTCTTGTTTGGCTTGGTAGACTTGCTGCCGCTTCTCTTGGATTCGCGGTAGGCACGCTCCCTGCGTTTTCGCTCCTCTTCAGAATCCATGACTGGTTTATCACGAACTGAGCTCTCGGAGTTGCGTCGTGGGCGTCGCTCTCTTTCTGTACCCTTTGACTTCAACCCAAATCTATCCGCGAAGATGTCTAGCCCTCCGCGCGTCTGTTGCCGTATTCTGTCCTCGTTGGAAACAGAAGGTCGATGTCCTGGTGGTTCGGGAAAACCTCTCAATGAAGGATGATCAGGTCTGCGAGGACCAGCGTTTGTTTGCCGTGATCTCATCTGTTGTGGCTCATTTTGTCTGTCATTGATATTCATGGCCCCCTGTATTGTGTTAGCACATGGATGTTCTCTTTGTTGTCTATTTTAGGCATACAAGGCCATTGGTAGTCTTTTCAATAGACTGGTTGGCGGTTCTAGCCATTTGATTGTTCTCGTCCACTCGATTGATTTCGCTAGCATCTAAGAAGGGGTTCGTGGATGTTGGTTGAGGTAAAGGCTGAGCATTAATCGGGGAGGTAAGTTTGTTGCGAAAAGGATTGTTCGACATCAGAGGAGAAACTCCACGGTCTACGTTTCTGGTCAGCATGAAGCAGGATGCAGATATTGCCGAGGCGGGATGCTGGTGAAGTATCTAATGATACCCAGCGACACAATTGGTGGGCAAAACAGAGAAAGCACGTACCAAGTGGTGCCGATGGCTGTACAACAGACATGCTGAAGACGCACTCAGCTATCCTTGGATCTTGTGTTGTTGACTAGTATCCCTGTTTTCTCCTGCAGATATCCTTGTGGTTATAGTGACTTTGTAATCTGACTGAAATCCTGGCCGGTGTCGGTAGTCGCGAGCGTTTGTGTATATCCAAAGCCAGTGACAGTCCTTCCAAGGATATGGTTGCGAAGTGAATCGATGTATACGAAGAGATGCTTGAGTACAAGGCAATATGTTGGCGATGGAGGACAAACAATAAAGAAACTCAAATCAGCAACAGGAGCAGGTGATTTACCCAAGCTGGCGGGAGAGAGGAGGCACAGCAGTGGAATAAGGACGTCAAGTGGACTTCTGCGGAGTTCCTGAGGTTGAAATCGTGCCCAAGAGCCGCCATTTACAAAGGGTCCGCAGGCCGATTTTAGTCTAGCTTTGCGTTGACCCCTGCGACCGCTTTTGTTCCCCAGTTGACTCAACTCTAAGGCGTCTCTCTCGATCGACCAAGCTCACTTGTCTCCTTTCGTGACCTGATCTTCTCTATTCGAAACAGTCACCAAGCATCTTTCCTTGTCTCCTAACCACTCAGTCCTTATCGATTGACTGCTGCAAAATCGTTCCCTGGTTACAGCCAAAAATTCTGGCCAGTACCAATACCACTACGACCAAAAATCAGATGGAGATACTGTGGATCTGGGCAGACTTCCAAGGTTCGCTTCTACCACCAAAGAAGTCACGATTGGCGTCTTCCAGGCTCTCTCGGCACACCACCAGCGCTGAGAAGGTCTAATGTGGACCTCTGAGCTTGTGATTTCTCTAAAACGCCTTGTACGAAATGGTCGAAAAACTCCTGCTATATGCTCGAACATCTAGTCCAGCTTCGAGCATCAAGATTCGATTGTCATGATCCTTGCTGCCAGTCTCTATGCTGATAGTCTAAGAGAAACACGAAGACAATGAGATGTACCAGTGGGGAAGCGCACAATGGTAGGACCTCTCGCTGTGTTCCTGACGCATATAATATGAGATGCTACAACCATTATTGACTCGCCTCCACCCTGCTCATTTGTATACTAGTCCAGCACTATGCCCTTCGCTATCGCAGGCACGTTGTAGATATGTTTGCTTCTAATATGGATAGATTTCGTGTCAGCCTTCGTTCAATACAATGTCCACTATTAAGCGAGCATCAACACGGTACAGGACTACTCGCCCAAACATACCATTAACTGTCGAGAGAAAATCTGTCGAGGCACGAATCGACGACCATCTTATCATTCAACTTCGTATCTTCGAACAAACTGATCTCGAACATGCTCATCGACTTCGAGCTCAAGTGGCAGTCATGGCCAACACATCCACCGGAGTCACTGACGCGACTCTCGAAGTAACTCAGAACTGGATGAATCGCTTCCTCGCTCCCAACGACAAAGTCACATTCAACTTCATGATATGGGCGAAGCAGGACAATGCCCCCTGGGAACATGTCGGCGTGATCGGGAGCCACATGCTAACGCCTGTACCACGTATTGGATACATGTTGCGCACCGAATGGTGGGGCAAGTCCATCACCACGAGGGCGGTTCAAACCTTTCTCAGTCTATGGTGGACTTTAGAGCGCAAGGTAGTTGAGATAGACCTCAACGATGCGCAGCATGAGCACGACTTTCACCTCATTCGCTTAGAGTACGACCAGGACGAACAACTAGTCCCAACATATACCGGCCAGTGCAGAGATGTGAAAACGGTGTCCGAAATACTGATAGCTGAAATCGAGGAACGCAATATTGGAAGCATTCGCGTGGTGCAACGATCTGGGTTTCAGTATCGGGCCCAGGAAACCATTTTCGAGAATACCAAAACTTTTATTCTACACGACTACACCATAGCTCGGCCTTGATGCGAGGCGGAAATGGCTTGCTAAGACTTAGGCCGATTTTATTGGTAATAATTTAGCCACATTCTGTCAAACAGAAGCAAGAAACTTAGAACAGTAGAAAAGAGAGGGGGATAAAAGTGCAAATATTCGATGGCCACTTCGAGCTGGCAGTATACTCCAACTACGACGAAGCTCTGTACGTCGAAACGATGCAATGAATGAATACGCCCCATATGCATAAGCAAATGTATTGTGGCACCTCAAATTGATTATAAAATGAATACTCAAAACCAAAACAGACTATGGAAGAAATCGAGGTGAAGCGGAGTAATGTACTTTCAATTTCAATGTACAGCAGATTCGATAATGTACAGCAGATTCGACCACGCGCAATAGATGCCGTGCGATAACGTGTTGCAAATGCTAATGCTCACACACATTGTTACAAATCTCGCAGGGATTGCCCTTAGTATGCTTTCATCTTTGTACAGTGCAGCAGAACCAACACATATGCACCACTCTTCATGCATGATATGTACCGATTTGAACCCCCATCAATGCTATCTCGGCCGTGATTTCATAACTTTCGATAGAATTCTAGATTGGTGCTGCCAAGTCTGACATATCGTAAGAACAGGTGTTTCTGGCAAGATTAGGATAAGTTTCGTTCCTCTCGTAGTAGCGTTCCAGATAAGTCGAGCGTCGAATACAGTGTCTCCAATCGGTGCGCTTTCTAAGCCGCACTCTTCCTGCCTCTTGCCTTGGGGTTCATACTCTTTCGCTTGCTCTTCCCTTTTGGACTAGCCATATCTCCGCCTTCAATGAATCTCAACAGCTCATCGATGCTTCTCATGTCTGCTCCATTCGCTGTAGGATTCGTTGTTGTGGAGGAGGTAGCCGATGTGGTCGTGCCATTGTTGGTGGCAGCCTTGGGTGCTGCAGTCGTTGCGTTTTGTGGCTGTAACCTCGTCGCGCCAGGCAGTCGTGGCATCTGCATATATTTGATACCTCGCTTCTCCAAGTATTGAGCTTGTTTTGCGAGATTGACAGCATTCTGAGTCAGCTGTTCGAGCCATGTTTCTGCCTCCTTGGTGTTTCTATCCTCAGCGCCAAGCTCCTCTTTGAAAACACTGTACGCTTCACGCATCTTGTTGACAGCACCTTTCGCGTCACCATCGAGTGCTAGTGCCTGTGCCAACTGGAAAAGAATCGTGGCAGCATTGATGGACTGTTTACCATAGAACTCCTCACAAACCTTGAAGCACGCTTCGAACCAGCGACGAGATTCGGCATACTCTTTCAATGACTGGAACATCACCGCAGCATTGTTCATCGTGGTTATTGAGTCTGGATGATGTGACCCGTAGATCACGTTCCACACATCCAAGGCATGGCGAACATATTTCAGAGCGCGCTTTGTGTTGCCAACGTGGTGCTCAAAGAGAGAAAGATTGAGGTAGGCAAGGATGGTGTCATGCGAATCGACTCCCAAAGTTCTTTCTGTGACGATGACTGCCTTTCGCGCTAGTTCAACTGCTGCCTCTTTCTCTTCGATCTGATAGTAGATTGTAGACAACGAATGGTACATTTTCGCGACCTCAGGATGCAATATGCCATAGATCTGCTCATGTAGCGAAAGTGATTCAAGCACGAGTTCTTGACCGAGTTGTTTCTGACCTTGAGCCAGGGAGATTTTGCCAGCTTCAAGCGCTTCCTCTGCTAGCGCACTTTTAGGTGATGCATCCTTGACGATTGGTGTCACGTTCAGGATGTCATCAGGTACGAAGGTGGTTTGCGGCTTCTCCTTTGTCTCGCTATCAGGAGATTCAGACCTTCCACGTGCTTTCTTCGCCTTCTTCTTCTTGTTTTCCTCGTGGTGCACTCCATTGACTGCAGTGCCATTCAAAGCCGGTCTCTCCTGTAAGTCCGTCTTCGTCAATGCAAAGTCTCTAGCGGCAAGTTGAATACCATTCTTCAAGCATATTTCACGCAACAGTTGCAACGGCTTGATTGACATCTGCCACTCGCCAGGCAGATCGTACCTGTACCGCATCCGTACCTGAAGTTCAATGTCTTTGGCAAGCTGGTCTGGTGTCACTTTCTGGAAGGAATAATCTCCATCACTGTAAAAAGATTGTTCTTCTCCAAGCTCAGCTCCTGGTGCGGCATTAACTTCGCGGCCGAGGAGACAGTTGAGTAGATGTGCTATCGCATTAGGAGCAAAAATTGCAGGCAGATGACGAAGGTAGCCGTTTATGATGTGCTTGAAAGCTCGAGCAACCATTTCCTGTAGAGCGACTGTGGCAAAGGCTTTGATTCGTTGTCCCTTCTCCTCTGCTGATTTGGTTAGTAGACCGAGGTACCGAACGTTGATACCACGTTTGTGCAGGAGCTGCGTTAGAGCTACACCGTCCATTGGAAAGCCGACATCGGTTTCGTACAGGTCGTGTATGAGCTCGGGGATAACCTTCTCACGAAGGAAGCTGCAAACTGCTCTGACCTCTTGCTCGTCCTGAAGGTATTCTTCTTTCTCCTCGTCCGTTTGTGGAACTTGTCCACTGCACACATCGGGGTTGATTGTCCAGTCGAATTTGGAAAGGTCGACTCTTTCTTGTTCGGCAGGCTTACTCTCTGTGTCACCTTCCTTCTTCTCCTCACTCTTTTCGTCAATCTTTTCCTCTCCTTCGATCTGCTTCTGATCTGGTTGTGCGGCCTTCTTCTTTTCGACCTCAGCCTTGACGTATTCCTGCATCTTGGTTCTCCAATAAGCTTCTACGAGCTCTGATCTGATTATCGACATTCGGTGCGGATATTTGTTGTCCTGTTCTTCAGCAGCCACTTGCTCCTGCCAAGCGACGTCGAGTGGAGCGATACGGTACAGGTCCAGCACGTATTTCCTGCCATCGGTTCCCAGCAAGCCCTTGGTCTCAACACTACCCTCCAAATCATGTCGTTTGCCTTCCTTATCCCAGACAGCATGTTTCTTGACGTGTAAGGCCTTGGAAAGCTTTTCAAAAACAGGCACAAAAGCAGCATTCTCAGTAACGACGTCTCGGCCCTCAACACCACCATAATCAATTTGATGCTCTCCAGGTTCGCGCTGCTTGAAGATGCCGGGGACTATGCTCTGGCCAACGATTCGTTTGCCAAGATAGTCAACAACAACGGTGCCAGGAGTGAAAAGATCGGGAATGTCAAGCTGGTTGACAGCTTTGACGCCAGTGACGTCCTTACCAACAGCGACCCTCGCAGCTTCGTCACCTCCTTCGCTAGCGAAAGTTTGCACACCGTCGGCACCGAAGGAATAAAAGATGTTGTTGTAGATGAAGATTTGAGCGTCCTTACCCTCGGTCGGGTTTAGAGGAGCAACTTCTCCGCGAGCCACCAAAACAGCACCTCTTGCAGCGGCGTCGTTGTAGTCAGCGAAAAGTTTCGAGGTCAAACGTTCTCTAAAGACGCGGTCTTGAAGTGTTTCTCGAGGCAGTTCCCTCGTGGTCTGAAATTCCTCGTTCCAGTCTCTCAGGTTCTCGGCACCATCTGCACCTCCAAGCAGGAAAGCTTCTTGAGATCTTGTAGGGTCGGACTGATGGTGTTGGGCAGCTGAAGGGTTCAACAACCAAGGGTTCGCGGGAATAGCATTCTGGAAGGGGAAGGTGGTAAGGAGGTCTTTCTGGCCATTAGCCTTTTGTAGCTCGACGAAAGAGGCATTGAATGAGGGTGATAGGAGAGAGATGAGGCCCAGCAGGGAATGTGCGCTGTAGTTCTTAGGAGCAGGCCTCGGGAATGGATCGAACTTGTTACTTGAGGACTTGTTGACAGAGAAACCGGATATGCTAGCAGTGATCTGGTGCTGCTCACCCTCATTGGTGGCCAGGACGAGATATAGCAAGTGACCACGCTGTCGCAGATGATGCGGAGGTGGATTCCACTGGGACACCGACAGACCTTTCACAGTCTTGGGCAATGTATTCTGATCCTTGGGCAGGATGGTGTTGATATCTGGCTTGCTGTCGACATCATAACCAGCAAGTGATCCTTGAGTATCAGCAACCTTCTCTTTCGCAGCCTCAGACGCAGGTGCCGCGCCGAATAGGTCGTCGTGTAAAGACGCACCGGCGCAAATACCATGCAGCTGATCTGAACGGTCGCCGGCAGCGCCGATCAGCTCCCTCATTCTCACGACATGCATGCGAGCCTCTTTCTCAGTATAGGGATCCTCCACCAAAGTGACCTCAGAGTCAGCACCAAGATCTTTGACTTCGGAGAGCTCAACGAAGTCATTGATACGCTCTCCATTGTGCTCAAGATGAAAGCAGGTATACTGGAAAGTGTCTGGAGTCTCGACGATGGATTGACGCAAATCTTGAACTTGCTCCTGGTTGGAAACAGTCAAGGTCAACTTATGGGGTTTGTGAGGTAGCTTGACATGAACCTGAAAGGTGATGGCAGGATTCTCGTGATCATGATCGTGCTCATGCTCATGCTCGTGATGATGGTCTGAACCATGCTCATGTTGCTCGTGCTCGTCCGCACCATTAGGTAATTGCTTCTCGCTTATGTCACCTGTCAATTCATCAGTAAGACGATTCAAACATCAGCATGAATGACGGATACCATTTGGAGCAGCCATTAGTTTCGGAAGTGAAGAGTCGACAATAAAAGTAGCAATACAAAAATCGAACTACTATACAACCAGCGAGAGATTTGGCTGGCTTATTAACAGCTCAAATGAATGTGGTCAGGATTTAGAATACAAGGAAGGTAAATATGGGATGTACTGTACAATGTGGTTTAGGAGAATGATGGACAAGAGGAAGATGTGCTGGAGAGTCACTTTTCGAGAAGCAGTAGCAGAGCATGCGAGCATTCAGAAACATAATTCTCATGTCCATTCAGCCAATAACGTGAATCTGGCGGAGACAAGAAGCTCCAAAACTTTGCTTACTGCCGCAGATTTGCTTCGGGTCATGTCGGCAGTAACGACCCTGCTACTAGTAACAAAGTAGTCCTTTAAAGCTGATCTTCAGCACCGTATAGCGATGACATACTTCTCTAGCAACTCGTGATGATGACGAGTGCGTATCGAATCTTTAGGTGTCACACTCAGCAAGCAAGATCCAAATGAGGACTGGGACGTGCCATAATCAAAGAGGTGATCGGTCTATTAATGAGCAGCGGACCCATGAGCAGCATATCCGTCCAGGACCACAACTAAACGATCTGGCTCTCGAACAACAGGTTTATCAGTGCGATGAATAGTTATTGGTTTGGGAACGAAGATACAGTATTGGTAGCATTGGCCGACCAGCATTTTTGCACAGGAGACACCTTCGAGCAATACTGTGTAGTAATGTGAGGCTGCATTCTAAACGCCACAGTGGCTGAACCACTGACACCCCTGGAAATGGATAGTCTCGGCTGCCAAGAAAGCCTCCCTTTGGTTCGAACAGCACTGATCCTCATCTTTCGGCTGTCGTGTTGACCTCCTCTGAGACGACTAGTAATTCGGAGGTACTCTTTGGCGTTCATTCGTGTCGCATTTTCTTTGGCAGCTTCTCTTCAGTCGTCACCCTTTCTCCCTGTAATGTGCTAATACTGCCAATGAGGCAACATTACTAGTAATCCACGGTTTTATTCTCTCAAAAGCTCATCCCCTTACAGCCAGCCATCTGCTTCACATTCACGCGTCTTACAAGCCGAAGTATACACAACCTCTCTAGCCTGATTCTGGTTTGGTTGTTTCCTTTGCGACTGGTAGTTCGGCGATTTGCGGTGTGTATACACTGTCTACCCCCTCTGCCCCTGGGCTTGGCGTAACTCTTCAGCGTACCATGAACGCAATTCGACCTTTGGCAAGAAGTCGCGTTAGATGTCGTCATGTCTTCTGGCAGCAGCGACCGCTTTCCTCCAGTCAGCAACATCAACAATATCAGAATCCAAATCCAGATCCATCACCTAGTGTAGGCCCTGACCATGCAGATACTGGTGATGGGAAGAGCCAACATGGCTGGCGAGATACCGCTTTCAAAATGTTCGAGTCGGCCGCAACCACTTTCGCTTCCATTGCTGTACTTGGTGCGGCAGGCTACGGCTATCACCTGTACTACAAAAGTCTTGTGCTCCGGAAAATGGATATAGCATTCGCTCCGGGTGACCCTGTCCTAGACCTGGCAGGCCCAACACCTTCATCAAAGGATAAAGACATTCAGGATGGTGACGTTGAGAAGGATGCTGGCAGTGCGTGGTTCCAACAACCTGAACAGAGCACTATCGATGCCATAATGTCTGGCAGAAAGCGTGGCAGGTATTACCTACTGGTGGGTGAAAAGGGTACAGGTAAATCCAGCATGATAATTGAGGGTATGCGCAAGGTCGATGGCTACGGTGTCTCAATGCTCGATGCTCACGCCGACCTTGAGATCTTCCGTCTTCGCCTTGGCAAAGCTCTCAACTACGAATTTCACGAAGACTACATTGGCAGTTTGTTCTCCGTTCGTGGCCCTCGTGACACTACCGCTCTTCTAGATATCGAGCGCGCCTTCAACAAACTTGAGAAGATCGCAATGCGCCGCCGAAAGCAGAAGCGCGCTCCAATGGTCTTGGTCATAAATGCTACCCATCTCATTCGCGATGATAACGATGGTCGCGACCTGCTAGAACTGGTTCAGCAGCGTGCTGAACAATGGGCAGCCTCGAACTTGGTTACAGTCGTCCTGAATAGTGACGATTATTGGGTCTACGAACGCCTCAAATCTTACGCAACTCGTATGGAGGTCATCACAGTCCGCGACCTTCCCAAGAAAGATGCTCTCGCCGCACTGAGCGTCTATCGTGCTAAGTACTTTCCTTCAAAGGCTCCAGCTACACCTGAAGAGCTTGACAACATCTACGACCTTGTCGGCGGCCGTATAAACTTCCTCAGTCGAGTTGCCAAATCCGAACACATGGACAGAATGGCCAAGACCATCCACAATAATGAGAAAACCTGGTTCCTCAATCGTTGCGGCATCCTCGGTGAATCCATGGACGACGATGTGATGGACCAGCAGAAGTTTGCATCGTGCGCCATGGTGCTGGCGCGGGCTCTCGTCGAAGAATCGAAAAAGATGGAGACAATTTACGACCCAGAAATCGGCCACATCCTACCCTCATTTCCTTTATACAAAGCTCGCCAAATCATGACCCGAGCAGATTTCATACAGCAATACGATCACGACAATATCTTCACCATTGACTCGAACGCGAACGTACGTGCCGACAGCGTACCTATGATGAACGCCTTTAAGGAAATTTGCGCCGAGCCGGGCTTCGATAAATACCTTGAGGATACGCTGGACCGTATTTCTGCTATCGAGAGTATCGGCAGAACCAGAGAGTTGACGTTCAAGGATCTCTGGATTGAACAGCAGAATGAGATGAGAGGAGCATACGAGACGATACACAAGGATGCACGGGGACGAGAGGTTGGGAGGACGGAGTTTAGGGTCAAGCCGGATCCACCGAAAGAGGAGGACGAGGACGAGGACGACGACAAGAAGTAACAAAAGGCGAAATGTGGACATACCTCAAATTATACGCTCACTTGTGGAAACACCACGAAATGCAAGGCGCCACCTCAAGGATATGTAGCTAAGTACAAGCAGATACATCCTATGTTGTAATATCCGACTGACAAACAACTCTGGCGTGCTCGAGAGCAGAAGTATCCAGCAAGAAAACTTGTTCTGAATCATGAGATTGTATTGGTGAAACAGGTTGCTACTATTAAGCGAAGACGTTCAAACCCCGAAAAGAGTGTTTTATCCCACTCGTCCTGTGGATGCGGAAACAGATGCGATCATGTGTCTGGTGTTGTAGCAGATCCGCTGAGCTCGGAGAGCCACCTGACACGGCCCTCACGGACATAGATGCTGGAGCCTGCGAAGAAAAAAGACAGAGAGAAAGCTGATGAGATTAAGATCTGTTTAGAAGATTTGAGCTAAACACTTGATAGATACCCAAATTCCAGACGAAGGCGCACTTCAAAGTTGTGGTCATGGTACCGAAATACGTAGCTGTTCACGACACGATCCTCAACCTCCTGGAATCGTGATGTCGCCCACGTCACCAAGTCGCTCCTCCACTCCTTCGAAGCTCTTGTTCTTGTTCGCAGCCTGCTTGCCACGCTTCGAAGTAGAAGCTGCCTTCTTGGTCTGCTTCTTCTTACCGGAAGGTTGAGCAGTCTGCCTTCCAGTAGTGGTTGATCCGAGACGACTTCCTGCAGCTGTGCTTTGTCTATCCCGGTCACCAGCCACTAAGCCTGTGCTGGTTGCCTCGGAGACTTCACCATCCGGTCCTTCGATGCTGGGCACTGCAATGTCAGCCTCTCCGTCTGCGTTGGCGGCGTCAGGTCTGTCTTGAGATATGATTCCTTCTTCACGTCTTCTGGCTTCGTCCTCTTCTCGAAGTCGTTTTTCGTCCTCCTCCATCTGTTTGTAGACATCTGCAGCATTGCACCACTCCATGTCAGCAGAGTTGCCATACTCAACTAGGTCGACCTCTTCCCTTTGGTCCAGACATCGCTGAACCCTAGACCAGTGTAGCCGTTCTTCTACGTTGTACTTCAGCTTGACCTGTTTCCGCGTCTTGCCGGGTATCATGTTGCTAATCATTTTGAAGTCTGTCCCGAACATTTTCAACCCCTGATAAAACATTTCCGTAAGCTGATCGTCCCAGCGCTGACCTGCTGGTAGTTGTTGCTTGCTGGCAATGGTATGGCTGTTGACACGTTTGTATATGTCGACATCTTCTAGAATCTTAGCGTCATCAACGGCCTCCAGTTGTTTTTGAGCGTGCTGTATCTGATCGATCTCACGGCTGCTGGCCACGATCACACCATTCTCTATGACCATAGTGCTGGCCACGTTCACATCTGGCCCATCAGTTTGTAATTGCTCGCCGGCATTAGCGCCTGACACGCCTTTTCTTCTGCGGTTCTCATTGGCAGCGACAAGTCGAGCCTGGGCATCCTCTTTCCGCCTACGAAGAATTTCTGGCCAATTTGCTTCGATCTCCTTCTCTTTATCAGATTTCTTGCCAAAGTTGTGACTAGGAGTGCATAGTTGGCTCATCATGGTTGACTCTGGTTCTATCTCATAGTTCTCGGGATCTTCGGGCGTGCGTTGTCGACGTCGTCCACGATTTGGTGTTGGCCCTGGAATACCAAGAACATTGGCCACGACTTGCGCTGCTTGTTGTTGAACCGTCATTGGTGTATTGTTGTTCCTTCTACGTCGTTTTCTAGGTCGGTCAACTGCTGCACCAGAATCGTCAGCGGGAATCGTGGCATCTCCTCGATGGTTGCCAGACGGCGCTCCTGGCTGATTGGTGGTACGCAGTGGATCGATAGAGGCGGATAGTTCTCTTAGCCTGCGTATACCTGTATGAAAGCTATCCAAGGCCTCCTCGGCTTCGGACAGTGGCTCGCATCTACGTGAGACGACAGATGTTGCTCTTCGAGAATTGCTCGTTTGGGCAGGATCTTGATCGGGAGTTTTCGAGGCTTGGGTGCTTGGAGGAGTGGGTGGAATCGTTGGCTGCGCGAGAAGGATGTCAACACTTCCTCGAGGTTGCTGTTTCCGCTTGCTCCTTGGTCGTGTTGTATTGGGAGCAGTGACTGTCGGCAACGGGTTGTTTGTGCTTTCAACCTCTCCTGGCCCGGCCTCTATATGCTCGGCATTAGTCGTCTGCCCACCGATAGCAGCCAGGACTGGAGGTGAGGTATTTTGTGCCTCAGTTGCGCTCAATCGCGACTTCGAAGCATTACGTTCAGGTTTAGACTTCTGCTTGGGCCAATTGGGAACATTGAGGACATCTGGAACATGCGTGTTCTGTTGCGTTGTGGCCTCCTCTATGGGTTCGGCCCTAGTATCTGCTGCAGTATGAGATTGACTGTCACTCTGGGACGACGCGACACTATGCTCTCCATTCTCAGGGTGGATTTGAGGTACTGTCTCAACTAGAGACTCATTCTCATTATGCGCTAACCCTTCTTGAACGTTCAACCGAATTGTAGAGCCATCTTCCTGTCGCTTCGAGGTTTCATCGCCATAAGATCCGGTGCTGGCCGCATCCACTGGATCCTTATCTTGTACTAGCTCTGAAAAAAGAGCAGACGAGCTGTCGGTCTGAGGTAAAGGCGCACTTTTGGTCTGAGGCTGAGGCGTAGGAGCAGAATTTGTGGCCTTGCGGACAATGTTTCGCCTTGGTGCGACTTTCGGGGCGATCGTGCCGCCTGGTTTGCGGATTACCGAGCTGAACGACGACATAGCGAATTGGGTGAAAATTTGTTGTCCACCTCACAGTCAGGCATAGCGGAACACCAGTCTTGAACCACGGGATTTTCTGATATCTGACTGTGTTGAACACATAGCAACGTCTCTCGAAAGTGCAGCTGGATTCTGGCAGGACTTTTGAGGGAAGCACGACCGTGACTCCCCGCAGCGCGACTGCGCAATTCCGCAGGTGTGCGGATCCGGTTAGCGCAGTGAGGCCGCTATCCTTTCTGCCAAGGCTGCGAGTCCTGACTTCTGGTCTGTAAAGTTCTTGCAGACGAATGACAACCTCAAATCTCTTCAATCCCATCACATTCGACACCTACAATATCCATGATTCTCGTATGATTCATCCTCGACTCAATGTCACTAGTGTCTATATGCTTGCTTGGTTTTTACGCTCATAAAAACCGTATTCATGACGGCCGTTCAAGCCCGAGCCCCTTCTTCCCTTCAGTTGCAGTCCAGCCTTATCAAGATGGAAGATCGCAAGCGACCACTCAATGATCATCATGACTCGGTACACCCTAGCAAGAAGCAAGCTACGTCGGCAAATGGCGCTGGCAAAGGTCATCGCGACGACGATATGCCTTGGAAAGACGACCTCGAAGTAAGATATCCATCCTCTTCCTCCTACCTTCCTATCGAGCCGTGGCTGATCCGATATGTTCTTTAGAAATTCCAGAAGGACGCCCTACTTAGACAATTAAATGAGTACAAGCGCGAACGTAAAGACCTTGAGTCTCAAATATCAGATCTGAAAAAGAAGGCACGCGACCACGATGATCACATCAGAACCATCGATGCATGGCTGAAGCAATTAGTCGATGAAGTCAAGGTCTTGATGCCGACTGATGACGACTCGATGGATATCGACGCGGTGCCCTCGTCGCTGCAGTTTACTGATCAAAAAGCCTTTGAACAGCATCTACAAACGCATGCGACAAATATTCAAGTTTTGATAGAGCGGTTGTCCGCGAGAACAAAAGACTTTACGCCTGAGATCTCGGAACTGTATGCAAAGGTCAACCGTCTTTTAGCATCTGAGAAGGAACATTTGGCGGAGCTGGAACGTCTGCGTGCTGACTCATCTGACCTGGACGAACGTTTGCAAAACGCTTCGCTGCGCTACATGCTTGCTGAGAAAAAGCTTGACCGTGCTAAAAGCGTCACTGCAGCTAAGCTAGACAAGGGACTATTACTCGGAGGCATTAACTCATCGAAAGATGACTCGACTGCGGTGAAGCGTGAGGACAGTCAAATGAACGGTGTCTCGGACCATGGCGAAGAAGTTGCCGAGCTCGAGGTTGAGGTTAAGAAAACCACTGCCATTAACGAGAAACAACAAGAACAAATCGCTAAATTAGAGGAGGAAAACGCCAAACTGACTACTCAGCTCACAGAACTAACATCCAAGTCCTCAGTCTTTACAGATGATGATTATTCGAAAACTGAGTTGTATAAACAGCTAAGGTTGCAGCACGATGACGCTGTCAAGAAGCTAAACGATTTGGAGGCTATGACATCGCAGTTGCGTGATGACAACAGCAAACTTCAGTCAGAACGAACAAAACATCAGGACTCGATCGAAGATGAGAACAGAACTGCCCTTTCCGAGAAGGTGGAGAGTCTTAGCCATGCTCAAATGGACCTGGCCCGAATACGCAACCATCGAGACGAAATCCTGGCAGACCAGACCATGAAGAAGGCGGCTCTAGACGAACGAGCAGACTCCCTCAAGAAGCTGAAAGAGCTTACTACTGCTCAGGAGGAACGCATTAAGGCTTTGGAGTCCGAAAATGAACGATTGACTACCCAGACAGGAAGTATAATGGCTGTCTCATCTGAGCTGGACTCGATGAGCCCGGAAGAACTGCGTGGAAAGTATCAAGAGCTCGAGAAGAAGTATTCCTTACTTAATGGCGAGCTTGCCTCCATGTCAAGTGCATATCAGAAGACTCAAAAACTAGCCAATCAGAAAGTGAGCGAGTATACCACACTCGAGGAGAAGATGGTCAGACTGTCTGCTGAGAAGGCCAAAGCTGATCAGAAGTATTTTGGATCCATGAAACTGAAAGAGACTCGAGACATGGAAATTCGAACTCTGAAGATGCAGACCACTAAGTCATCGGAGATTATCGCACAGCTGAAGGAAGCCGAGACAGTGACCAGATCCTTACTTACCAACTTGGAGAAACAGTTGGGAGAGATCAAAGTGGCGCTCACAGCAAAGACAACTGAGTACCAGCTAGCTACGAAACAGAGCACTTCATATGCATCTGACGTTGCACGGCTCAATGCCCAAATCACGGACCTCAAGCAGAACTTATCCGCCAAAGACGCAAAGCTGAACACCACTGCGACCGCCTGCAGATCTGCAGAGGCCGAGGTAGAAGGCCTCAAAGCCGCTTTGGCCACTACACAAAAGAGTTTGGACTCTTGGAAGAACAAAACAGGGCAATCAGACGAGCAGGAATTGCTCCGACAAATTGCTTACTGCACAGTATGTCGGAAGAACCTGAAGAACACCGTCATTAAGAGCTGTGGTCACACGTTCTGTAACGAGTGCGTCGAAAAGGTTGTTCAATTACGTTCTAGGAAATGCCCGAATTGTGGCAAGGCGTTCGGCAGTAGTGATCACCAGAGGATTGTGCTGTGAGTGACTCAATTACACAGTGTACAAAAACAGTTGCGCTGGCACCGCATTGTACCGCTGCCACACGTGAGTTGAGCTTGGATATTCGCTTCAGGAACACCTGCCACAAGCACCAACATATCGATAGACTAAAGCTGTTGGAAAGCGCTTTGTGCTAGCATCGCAGGAGCTGTTCGTGCCGTCACGAATCAGGTACGGCTGCAGGATAGCATGTAGAGAATTTATCCTGTTCCACACGTTCACTAAAGACTAGTATTTTGGTTCGTGACACCAATTGTCAGTCTCATCAGTCAATGTTCATCGAAGTGCCATTAGAGACATTGAAATTCCTGCCATCTTTACCTGACGAAGAAGCTTGTACATCCTTGCCGCTTTCTTAATCTTCGTCGTCATTGTGGTCGTCCTGCTTTTCATCATCAACGCCTTCCATGCCTTCCATACCTTCAATAGGTGGGAAGTGCAATTCCTTCCAATCCTCAATTTCCTCGATGATACTTTTCAATCTGTCTCGAATACTCTCCACGGCGAAAGTGCCGAGCAGTAACCTCAAAGGAGGATAGGAACAGTGACCAAGCTGCCAGACCAGTTCCGCTGCCTTCACCGCACTCGTCGGCTGTTTGTCGCCAATCCACTGCAGCATACGCTGAGCGTGTGACGACGGAGAATCGGGAGTGGCATAATGAGGCGATGGGCGCAGTATGCGGAAATGCTGGAACTTCCTTCCTGAGGCTGTATGTGCATCTTTTGCAGTTTCCTGCCGATATACACCTGGTGAGGCAGATTGAGCATGATCGTCTCGGCGTAAATGGCCTGTGATGACGAGAGTAAGCTTGATATTGAATTGATCCACCTCATGCAACACAGATTCAACAAGTCCTTCCACCGCGTACTTGGTGGCACAATATGGGCCTAGTCCAGGCACACCGAGTGCACCACTTGTACTGCTGAAGATGAGATATCTGCCTGATTCACGCTCTCTGAAATAGCCGACCGAAGATTGGATGATGTTCAGAGTACCCATGAAGTTCGTCTCGAACTGGTTACGAATCTCATACTCATCTTGATCCTCGCAAGAACCGATCACACCGTAGCCATGGCAGATAGCAACAACATCAATATCACCGAAACGACTCAATGCCCTCTCAAATACCTCATCTACAGCTCCTCGTATCCTTACATCACAGAGAAGAGCCTGATAATTGTGCTCTCGGCCAGGATACCAGTCCTGCATAGTGTGAAGACTGTCTTCTAATCTTCTGCCTACAGCACATACTTTGTCACCATGTGCGATAGCCGAATTTGCAAGAGACCGGCCCATATGACCTGATGCTCCAAAGATGAGCCATACTGCATGTTTGACCGGATTGCTTGGTGAAGGTGGATCTGTGCTTGCTGGCAAATGAACGTTCGGGTAGGGACCGCCAGATGAGTGTGGGCGTGCTACATTTTCGATGGGAGAGTCCTTTTTATGATGGGACATGCTTTCAAACGATCTTAACACATCTCAGGTAAGTGGGCGTAAGCCGTGTATACCATACAGCGAAGTCGAAAATTATCCGATGGTGTTATTCAATGTCCAAGCCGATTTCCTCGTCTTTACAATTTCCTTTCATGATTTGGGCACTAAGAATGCTCACCGACCAGTTCTTCGCCGTAGCTCTGCCAATTTTGCTAACTCACTACGTATATATGCTGCCCAGACGAAAAGCTGATCGATCACGCAAAGACATATCCTTCTTTGCAATTCAGACGACCTGACAGTCACTATCTTGATTGATACGTTATCGAGATAAAATCACATTACTTTCACTTTAGAGAATTGAAACGGGCTTGCCCGGCTTGGCAAGCACAACCTGAAACCTGAAAATTGAGGTGCGAATTCGTGAGCACGATGGCCTTCATAGGAGCGTAAAGATGGGCATCTGCAGTCAACCGCTCAATGTTACGAAGCAAATGGTAATGCGGTCTGTCTGACAATACAAGCTCCCGGCACGAGCAGGTGCTCTTGCTGGACGAAACCCACGCTATGGCTCCGCCCGTTGGCGCCCCATCGGCATCTGGCAGCAGCGGCCTGCACAAAGGACCCGCAAAGCTCAGTTCGAGAAAGTTCGCCAGCGATAGGTCCGATAGGCCATCCTACGCAGACCCAGACGATTACTTTTCTACTCCCACAAAAGCCCAGCGTTCCACGGCATATACAACCCCACTGACATTTGTCGATGAAGACGAGGCACTCAAAAAGTCCAAAAGTGTTTCCAGTGCAAAATTGACCAAAGAGAACCTCCAGAATCTCCAGGCAGCTCACGAGGCGAAATTCGTGGATCAACAAGGCACCGATCCGCGATTTGACGACCCCAATTTTCTTGCTTTCATGCGGAAGTCAAAGTCCCGATCTCCAGAAAAGAAAAAGACTGACAAGAAGAAAAACAAAGATTACAACGACCATCCTTTGAATTTACCTCCATCAGAACTAAAGCGTTTGAGCGCCAGGATGGCACGAGACGAGAGGAAAAACTCTGCTACTATGGATGGTGATGTGCCCGATAGTGGAAGCGGTAGTGATGATGCACAAGCCGATGCAGGCACAAATTCGCAACCTGCGACACCGGGCACGAACAATACGCCTGGCGCCTTTCCTTCGTCAGAGAATCTGTCGAATGGCGATCTACGAGAAGATACCAAGTCACCACCTCCACCACCACACAGGATAAGTTCTCAGCCAAAGATGGATCCTGAGGCTGCGAAAGCGGCTGGAAATAAATTCTTCAAAGCAAAAGACTACGGCCGTGCCGTTGTGGAATATTCAAAAGGTATTTGTACGCTTCAAGATCTTTTACAAGTTTTACTAATTCGACTGTAGCTGTTGAGGCTGACCCACAAAACCCCACCTACCTATCGAATAGAGCCGCTGCATACATGTCGGACAATAAGTTTCAGGCAGCGTTAGGAGACTGCCTGCAAGCGAGTCGGATGGATCCTGACAACGACAAGGTTCTGCACAGATTGGCAAGAATTTACACATCGTTGGGAAGACCAGAAGATGCGCTATCTGTATATTCTAGAATACCCAATGCCTCGGCCACCGATACCGGAGCGGCTCGAAAGGCCCAGCACAGTATTGAGATGGCTGAAAAGCAGTTAGATCAGCCTGAGGGAGATGGTAAGATGGCCTTGTGGAACATCGATCAAGCGAAGCAGACACTAGGTTATGGTACTCCAATGCCTAGGCGGTGGCAGACACTCCGAGCTAGAGCAAACTTGAAGATAGGATCTGCAAATGCGCTCGGAGAGGTACAGAGTATCGCACAGACACTAATGCGAGACAACCCTATGGATGCAGAAGCAATGACACTGGCAGGTCGAGCATTCTACCTGAAGGACGATAAGGGTGCTGGAAAGTCAGATTATCAACGAGCAGAAGATTGTTTCCGAAAGGCATTGTCGTTCGATCCAGATATGTCAGAGGCACGTGATTGTTTGCGCATGATGAAAAAGTTGGAAAGAGCAAAGAACGAGGCAAATGACCTATACAAGCGAAGCCAGTGGGAACCTGCAGTCAATGCCTACACCGAGTGCCTCGCTATTGATCCTACTAACAAGATCACCAATGCCAAGATTCTTGGAAACAGAGCTTTGGCGCGATCCAAAATCGAACAATACGAAGAAGCAAAAGCTGATTGCGATGCTGCGCTCAAGCTAGATCCGACATACACAAAAGCCAGAAGGACGAGAGCGAAAGTTACAGGAGAGCTGGGAGACTGGGAGCAAGCAGTCAAGGATCTGAAGGCATTGGCCGAGGACAATCAAGGCGATGCCGAAATTGCAAAAGAACTTCGTAATGCTGAACTCGAATTGAAAAAGTCAAAGCGGAAGGACTGGTACAAGATTCTTGGTGTATCGAAAGAAGCATCCGATAAAGAAATCGAGCGGGCCTACAAGAAGAAGGCAGCGGTATTACATCCCGACAAGACACAAGGTGATAAAGAGAAAGAAGAGCTATTCAAAGACTGCTTGGAAGCTAAGGAAACACTACTTGATCCTCAGAAGCGACAAATTTACGATTCCGGAGCTGACTTGATGGAACCTGGCATGGGTGGATCACCCTTTGGAGGTGGCTTTGGTCATCCTGGTATGGGAGGTGGTGTTCAGATCGACCCCGAAATGCTGTTCAACATGATGGGCGGCATGGGCGGAGGTCGTCAAGGAGGATTTCCAGGTGGGTTTTCTTTTTCGAGTGGTGGGCCAGGAATGGGGGGTGGCAGAGGTGGCTTCCCGTTCGGTTGAGAAAAGAATATCGTCTGCTGAGTGCTCAATGCCCAGCGACGAACCCTGGTTATCTGAACAAAGCAGCTAAGCACACCGAGCTTGACTGGAATGAGCTTGAACAATCAATTTGCACAAAAAGTTTCGAGATTAGCGAGCACGATCAACACGGCCGACAATTTTGAGCACATACAACAAGCACTGCACTGCAGGAGAAGATAGTTTTTGAAAGGGATTGTCTCTTTTGCGAGCAAAATCTACCTATTACCTGATCTGACACGAATAGACGAGCAACGATATACTCTGTATACTTTAGTTACAACAGTACTAGACAAATGCCCGAAACTCTCGGAGCAAGCGGCATGCAAGGCGCAGGTGTGTGTTCGTTGATTGATGGATGGGATGCATATGGCTGGCGTTGCTAGAAGGGAATTTCACGAATATGGTGTCAGCGGTCCGAACTGAACTCGCGAGCGAGGCAAGGACACAAAAATGGAGACGAACAGATTGCCATCACCACTATGACGATATACTATTCCTTGAATTTTGTCCTTGGTATATCTCGACGCAGTGTCTGTCCAGTTTCATGCCTACATGTCCGATCTCTATGCTGTTTGCTGTCACTTTTGCCTGAGTAAAACACTCCCGGTCAAGGGCACAGATTGCGAATTTGTAAACGACTGACTCGCATTGTCAAACTTGAATATCACTCAAGTATCGACAACTAACAAGCCAGGTTCAAAATGGTCCTTAGAAGGCTCTCGTTCACCAGTATACACTGTGTGCTTGCTTGAGATGGCATGGTAGGAATGAGCAGTGTCTTACAAATAAGGTTGAGAAGGACTGCACTGATATGAGATACCTTCGTGATATACTCTACACAGCCTCGACGCACTTTAAAAGCCAAATCGCTATCGTGCGAGTGAAGGCTCCTAAGGAGTGCACACTTACTACCGACTAGGGTGGGCCAGATGCAAGATGTGATATACTGTGAGGTAAAGGAATTTCACCAGCCCAATGCAGTCTTGCACATCGATTGAAAATTGTCTATGGGCAAAATGAGCTTAGCTTGAATCGAGCAGATACTGTAATGTGGCTTTCGTTATGAGGAAAAGCCTGACATTTGTTCAATCTTGTCTCCGTTCGTGTATGAGTTGTGTCAGGACTTCACGATATATGTGGTACGTCCAATATTAAACGAGCTCGCTGTCACGCTCAAGCTTTCTTTGATAAGTAAGCTCTATCGACACTACCATTCCGTTCTTACAGTATGGCAGGTTCCTCATGATCACACCCACCAACGTGCTCTGAAGAACGTAGTTCTGTCTTGGCTACTGTACTCGTACAGCAACATTCACCTGTAGGGCAACCGGGTTTTTCGGCAGTCATTGCTTCTTGTTTGGTATAGTGTGTAGTAGTTGTTCCACATAAGCAGTTACAGTGTCCTGGAGCCCTGACTTCAACCTCCCACCAAAACCCACAACACCTCAGCTCCGCAAACCCGCTTCCTCGCTTCCTTGCTTCCATCGTCATACCGTCACCACGTGGTTACGTCCAGCACAGCACTATACTCCATCCACTTACTTACCTCACATCATGCACCTCGATTAATTTAGAAAAAACAAAAACACAAACATTCCCCCAGCATATGCCAAGCCCTGCATGTTTCGGACAAGAGGTGACCAAGAAAGCCTTGGTATGCAGCTCTGCCAATCGCTGCTTCCGCTAGTACTCGCCAATGTACCCCGCCTCTTGGCGGTTGTGCCGGAAAGAGTATTGTAGCCTCATGGTCAGTCAGTTTGTGCCGTGCGTGAGATTCTAGGCTAAGAATGGAGACACTGGCAGACAGACATGCACAACCCAACGTTGGGGATCGGGCGATCTCCAGGATTTTGGGAAGAAAATTCGGACAGGTACACAGTGTGAATACTGTACGTTTGTTCGTGGGTCAGTATTTCCGCTGGTTGAACGTCTGTTTGTGGAGTCAGATCGACCTAGTAGTGCAACTCTTTCTTACAGTACGTGTGGATTTGGCGAATATCACGAAGCAGGAATGGTAATGGGGAAGCTATGCTATTTTATTGAATTACTCCAGTAATGTATGTGAAGAATTATTTGTCCCGTAGAGCCGGGTGAGGGAAAGCTGTTTCCTGCTGCTGTGCCATGTCATTAGTCGTTACAGAACGATGCTGCTGGTTGTTGCTCATGAATTGTCGTGTCTGATTCTCTGTGCCTGCTGATTACCAGCTCTTCCATCCGCAATCCTTGGTGATATACACTTCCTTTGTGATAGTTTTTTCGTTTACAACGGGAGCTGGAGTGACATAGCTTGTTTTGTATTCTGTTTTTGTCACTTCCTTAGTGACGGGCTTTTCCACTTCCTTGGTGACATATTTTTCGACTTCCTTCGTTTGTGTCTGAGTAACATATTTTTCGACCTCTTTGGTTTGGGTAACAGTCTTGTAATCGGTGACAGTTTTATAATCAGTGACAGTCTTGTAGTCGACAACTTTCTCTGGCACTTTGGTTACAGTGACATATTGTACTTCAGTCTTTGTCTCGCACTTGCCCCAGGCATTCCAATCATCTGTTGGAAGGGCGGCGACGACAGCTGCTAGGGCGAGGACAGCGAGGAACTTCATGTTGTTTGAGAAGTGTATGAGCGAATGAGAAAGCGAATGTGTATGTGTCTGAAAGATTGGACTTTGCTTTCCTCGACTTTGCAACTGAGCTTTGACCTGAGGAGTTTGCTGAGTTGTGCGAGTGCTGACGAGGGTTATATACTTGTTTCTCGTGGTCAGTGAGTCCAGCTGATCAACTTCATCGTTGCACTTGTCCTTGGCGAAGTGCTCAAAGACACTTTCCCGAAACTTGGAGATCTTGCTGTGGAGAGGCCGTGTAGGTACAGGCACAGCTAGTCAAGAAATTGTGCTCTTGGATGGCTCAAACATTGAGTAACAGAAACTGAATGATGCCAATGGGGTTATGCCATGACTGTTGAGGTGTCCAGCCGTACATGGTGACAATATGTGGTTGGTATAACGAATACTCAGTTTGTAGAATCGGGAATGGTTTGCAAGACGGCGTGCAGTAGCAAGGTCGTTCATGGGGACAACTTACAAGGTATGTCTCAGAAACAACAGCACCATGACAAAGAAACTTTTGACTCTGCATAAAAAGCCAAGAAGGCCAAGACTTCCTCGGCTGCTGTTTACACAAGTGATACGATGTTCTTTCGAACCAACAATTCTTGCTACCTAGCGGAGATGGTGATGGCGTGGATGAGAGACCACTTCTTGATGCATCGCAAACTTCGATGTGCTGCAGCATAACAACCTGTTGCTGTTAACAAAATCCTATATTTATAGACCCAAGCATTGCCAAGACACCAGGGCTTACCTAGCCGACCGTTTTTGGTGGGGTAAGACAACTTGTCCTGCTTTTGTGGGGCTGCATCTGCTTGACCACTACACAGAATGGAGGCAGAATCAGCCTGAGGAGTATCGCTCGGCCCGTCAGACACAAACAGTATGCTAGCATGACGATGCTTGAAAGGTTGAGTTGAAGCTCGCAAGCCGGGCACTCCGTCACATACCTTCGTCACTGCCAGCATGCTGTACAGCACAATTAAGAGCAAACGCGCATGCACGCTCTTTCGACAAATTTTCGGCGAGATATCCAGTATGTGTTCTGGCAAATCGGCGAATGTGTTCATGGCAGGTGCGTAGAATCCATAGCGGCTGAGAACGACCTCTTAGTCTCTCATTCTTGTTCTCGTTTGGGCAGCTGTGCTCAAACATGTTCTCGTGTACACAGCTTGGCTCCTCAAGTATGTTCGATCATAATTCTTCCTTCACTAGAAAACTGGATATCAGAAATATTATACAGAGTGGGTTCTATCGGGCATTGGCGTCATCGTCATCAACTTCGTTGTCGTTACCTCTCCTCCGGGTGGAACGTCTTGTAGACCTTGTGCTGTCCACAGCCTGATTTTCCCTCGTTCGGCTGGATTCGGGTCTTTCTGGTAGCTCGTTGCTGCCAAGGACACCATTCGCTTGGTGATCTTCGTTATTGGTGGCAACAGCAGTTCCCAAAGTCCTTGTTAGCCTTCTTTCGAGTTCGTCGCGCTCCATTTTCACAGGTCGTTGTCTTTGCGTCCCCTGAGCTTCTCCATCCTCTTCTTCTCCAGGCTGAGGTGGCAGTTCCAAGCCTTGGCCTGTGCCATCGATGCCGAATCCATAAACGCCGCGTACGAAAGCAGCCACGCCCTTGCGACCGATCTCACGTTTACCTCTAGGCCCCACAACCCACTCCACTATCTCTTCGCCTGTAGAATTGTCTCTTCGCTTGTCGATGTAGCCTTCGCGCATCATTCTTGCCAGTACTTTGTCAATGTTCTCCCCATTTTCATTTCCCATAGGAGCCCATTCTCGAAGGCCAAGACGTGATAGGAAGCGGAGAAGTCTAGTATCAGAGATAGGTTCAGTGACATCTTCCAGCGCTTGAGCCTGAGAGTCCTTATCTGACGAGCCGGATGGTGTATGTATGTAGAGTATCGTGACAATCATAGTGCACAGTGCAGTATAAACAGCCTCGGTATTTGAGTCTGGTGCTCGACTGGGTATCAGAAGCTCTTGCCTAGATTTGTATGCTGTCGGTAACCTGGACACGAGCATCCAGCTCGTGGCACTCAAGATAGAATCTTTCGGCCTAGACCGACCCTGCGTATCAACATCGTCGCCGTCGAGCTCTTTTTGTGCCTTTGACTTCTGTGTTGCAGTTTGTGTGGCCTTTTGACTTACAGCTTTTCTGCGGTCATTCAGACCTGTACGCTCACGAGTTGGTAAATCGACGAGCTCCATTCCGAACACATTGCGTAGGGTCTTTTGTGCTCCGTTGAACACAAGGCGAAAGTTTCCCCGGATACTTGCACTTCCACCATCACTCTTGAGGATTTTGGCATTGATATCTGCTCGTCGAAGAGGTTGTCGAGCGTACTCTGATGCTAGAGCCAAACGTACAAGTTTCTTGATCATGTTACCCGCTAGTGTCTGGCTGTCGCCACCTTCGTTGTCTGAGATGTTTGCATGCTCGACGTCAGATCCCGATACATTAGATGCAGGTGTAGATCGTGGTCTATGTCTCTGGGATTGTGCCTGTGTTGGGCGAGGTGGTGGTCTTTCTGGTAAAACGTCCTCGGGATCCGAATCCTCATCGCGTGAGATGACCTCTGCACGCCTTTTGAGCGTGCGCGGCATGCTGACTTAGTAGATATTCTACTTCTATCGTGTCTTGTAGACAATCATTCCCACTGGCAGTGCAGATGCACTAGTCGGTATTAACGCGACGCGTTGGGACGTAACAGGACGCGACTTGATAGTGATGATCGGGAACATGCCTCGATAACATGATATCTAGGTGTCCGCTGCGGCCAAAAGCGTAATATCACTAATTACACGCAAACGTGCGGCAGGTGCAGGTCCATCCAACGAGCCTTGTCACCCTTGCTTCTAGGCTCGAACCCTTCTATACCAATACTTCCAGCAATGATGCTCTGTTCGTCTCCGAGTCTCTGTAGTGGGGCTAGATGGCATTGCCATGATGGCTGGCCGTGTAGCTAATATCCAGCACTTTCTGCCTAGGCTACCAGTCGTCTTCCTTGCCCACGTTTGCAGGTCAGCATAAAGTACCTAGAAGGCTGAAATGAAAATATGCTAGCTGACTTCATATAGCGTTACAGCGTTCGTTTTGATGTACTATTTGGTCGGGGGCGATTTGTCAGAATCTACAGGTCAGCAATACTAGACATGCGACTTTCGGTGTGGCTACACAATCTATTCTCAAACGCGATAAAGTGCCCGCTGAAGAAGGCAAGCCTTACTTCAGTTTAATCAAAATCTAGTCCGTGATATGCTGAGTTCGAGACAAACAATCTGCTGGTGTGTCTCAGCAACCGAAACGGCCGCTAGGGTGATATTGATAGCAGAAGCTTCCGTTCTTGAACACAAGCAACGTAAGGCTGGACTAAGAAGATGATTCCGGATGTTGGTGTCTGTCAGCAGATACGAGTTGGAGATTCCCCCAGACACTGGTTTGCCGAGTTTGCCGGATTTACTCTTACGACTTTCTTAGGGATTGATCCTTCAGTTCGTGCTTGCGATGCTACTCAACCATATCGTGAAGCGCAGCCCGCATCCTCCCCAGAATATCATGGCCAGCCCAGCGTGTTACAACTTGGATTCGTGACAGTACTCATCACCCCAGCAAATTCTTAGCAGGACCTCATCCTCGCCTAAGGAAAACCCCTGAAATTTGGAAGCCTGAAACTTGGTCAAACTGGCCTATGACGTCAAACACAATGACTTCACATCCCGTGCCCAGCGACCATAGAGAAGGATGTCAGATCAGATAAAGCTAATTAAGACAGTATCGATCGAGAGGGTCTTCCGTTCCTTCTTGAATTCCCACGTTCCGACACCTGAAAGCCGACAGCCATTCAACTTGAAAGCCCAAACTAAACATGTCGAAAAGCCAAACTGCTAAAAGCACGACGACGCCTGAGTCGATGTTCTCACGCTCGACAGCGGCTCTGACCACGCCCTCTGCGCCAAAACCGAATGGGAACTATAGTCATGTCGTCCGTAGCGGCAACAACCTACATCTGTGCGGCCTGGTCGGCGATGATCCAACAACAGGCAAGATCATTCACCAGAAAACCGAAGGCCAAACCAAGCAGATTATGCGCAACATTAGCGCATGTCTCGAGGCAGCTGGATCGAATCTTGACAAGATCGTTAGTCGGCGAGTGTACTTAATCGACATGAATGACTTTCGCGCTGTAGACAGGATATGGGGAGAACTGGTAAAGGCTCCTCATCCTGTCAGTACTTGCGTGGGTGTTACTGCCCTGTCCAAGGAAGGTGCGAGGATAGAGATCGAGGTTATCGCGGAGGCTTAAAGGGGGGCTAGAGATATATGTTTGTAAAGGAAGGACTTCCGGGTTAAAAACAAGATTCGGTAGAGCGGACAAAGGTTGACAGGATAGCACTTCTCGCCGTGATGCGATGGTAACAATGGCGTTTTAGGGGAGGCTGGGTCAATTTCGTAGACAATAAATCAATCACTACCGTTATATTCCTTGTCGCACCTCACCAAGACCACGTATTCCGATTGAGATATGCTCTGGGCTGAGAATGCACCCAGACTTGTGATGTTGAGAAGCAAAGCTTTGAGCTTTTAGAGTTGACTGTTTCTCTTTCTGTGTCATAATTCCTACCCACGATTCGGGAAAGATCGACATCCATGCAACGCGTGACATCCTTTGAGATGTCGGTCTCCTGCAGACGGAAGAGAGCCAGCATGAGTGCTGTCGGGCAGAGATCCGACCAGATATTGGTGAGCTCGAGACAGACGCTCTGCATAGTTACACCAGAGAGTCTCCATGATAGAAGCTGCCGAGGCTTTTGGGACATTTCGCCTCTTTTCAAATAACTTCTGGGCGTCTGTTGATCTCCGTTAAAGTCGGCCACTATGCTCACCCAAGACTTTTGTTATCCATCGAAGTGTGGTGACGACAATATACACGACTGTACGAATATGCTGTGGTAATTGCTGGCATGTGAACGGATTTTACAATGGCGTCCACGCGACACTCCTGCAAGAGCCTTGGCCTTCTCCAGGACCTGAATAGGTGGAAGCCAACTCACTGTGCTCACCCGTCCTTCTTAGAGAACAACGTGAAGCATTCACATCCCGTTCTTGCCTTTTGACCTAGCAAGCAGGTCACTGTCGACGATGGATATTTCTCCATGGACTCTTGCGAAGCTCCTTATACCTCAGATCCCACGAATCTTGAAACTAGCAATCTACAATCGGCTAGGCTTATCACCTTGCGCAGATGAGCAGGACCCACGTACCGAGATTGTGGTCTCGATAATCAAGAGCACACTTACAGGCAAGAAACCCCTGAGTGTCATTCAGCAAGCGGGCCTCAAAGATCCTGGGATTAAGGGCCAACTGTGGATTGCGACGGCATGCTGTCCTGCACCTGACAATGAGATTCGTGATGCCGTGATTCGATCTGTCAAAGAGCTGGGCGATGGTACTGAGCAATACGATTTACCTACAACAACGGATGTGGAAGGTGAATGGACAGGACATAGGAGTGGTGTTGACAAGAAGACGCCTCGACCGAACTTGGCTGGTGGTGAGAAAGAGCACTACGCAAACCTGATGAAAGAAGTCACAAGTCCTGTAACCATATTGTATTTCCATGGCGGGGCTTATTTCTTGATGGACCCGATCAGTCACCGAGCAGTTACGAGCGCACTGGCAAAGAAGACTGGTGGCAGATGTTTTTCAGTGCGGTACAGATTGGCGCCACAGACGCCTTTCCCTGGTCAATTGGTCGATGCACTGACCGCATATCTGTATCTTCTTGCGCCGCCTGAGGGTGCTTTCCACGAACCTGTGCAGGCAAAGAATATTGTGTTTTCTGGAGACAGTGCTGGTGGTCATCTAAGTTTTGGTCTTGTGCTGCTGATTCTTACACTGCAGAGAGCAGGCGTGACCAGTATCAAGTTTCATGGCAAGGAAGTGCCGCTCGAACTGCCAGCTGGTGTCGCAGGTAACTCGCCCTGGGTGGACGTTCTGAGAAGTTTGCCCAGCGTAACAACGAACGCAAAGTACGACTATCTGGATCCTCCTAGCCCAACCGGTCTACCACTAAAGCCTTTACCAGAGGACGAGATCTGGCCTACCAAGCCACCCAGAGCCGAGATCTTCTGTAGAGCCAGTACATTGACACATCCACTGTGTTCGCCTCTTGCTGCAATGCCGGAACATTGGAAAGGTGCACCACCTGTATTCATATGTCTAGGTAACGAAGGATTGGAAGATGAGATTACTGTTTTCGCAAGAAGGCTATATCAGGCTGGGGTTAAACTCGAATTTGTTGGCTACGAAGGACAACCACATTGCTTTGCCATGATTTTCCCGACGACTGCGGCTGGTTCGGACTGTATGAATCGATGGGCAGCCTTTGTGAAACGGGCTGTGGGGGGTGTTGCTGAGCGTACCGATACTGGAAGATGGGGGAAAGCAAAATCGAACCCTATGCAGTGGAGAGAAGTCAAGCTCGGCGAGATGGGTGTGAGTGATGATATGGTGAAGAGTAGGATGGATGAGATGAAGGCTTACGGAACAGAAAGGGAAGAGAATTGGCGGAGAGAATACGAGAAGACTGGGCGAGCGCGATTGTAATGGTCTCAAGAGAGTCCCATTTCGACGTAGACAATACCATACAACACCTGCTCTAGACTGGGTTCGGAAACAGCTCATGAGAAAAGCTTTTGCGAGGACGATACTACATCCGTATCAGCAATTATCAAGCGCAGCTACTGGTAAGTCTCTTGTAGTACTGTTGGATATGAGACAATACGAGCATTAACGCAAGGGTGTCAAGCATTACGTTGTATTCAGTGCTGGCAGCTTGGGTATCACTCTCTGCGGATAGTCTCCGAGCGGGACATCGAGGAGACACTTGAGTATGGGTTTGGAGTGGCAAAAGCTGTGATTGCTACAGGCAGCCCTGCGTTGCTGTGCAAACAGTAAGTTGTTCTCTTTCCCAAGATGTTACTCTTTATCAGACCCACCCAGTTCTTCATGGCGAGCTTGCGGGACGGCCAGCAGGTCACCCAGACTACGATTTCCACCCGAAAGCTCCTTCACCTGTGCAAATCTATACAGAAGCCATAAACTTGAAGGCAGCGCAAGATCGCGCCTGCCACGAACGCTTGTTTTGTTTGCACTTTCGCCGGCACTTTCGAACTCTTGAATGCTCACAATCTGATTGCTGTCACTCTGGTTACGTTTCCACCTGACAAGGTGTGTTTCTCTACATTCTCCCAACGCATCTCGATCGAGGACAACGCGCAAGACTTTCTCAAGCTTTCACCTTTCTACTGTCGAGCCAGCCCTTGCTTCCGTAACGCTCACAACTATGGTCGCACCAAAAGATTACAGTTCGCAACTCGATGCAATCACCCGTATCGAGGGCGGGCTTAGAGAGTTCCCTAGAATACTACGAGATGAACTAAGGAACCATCTCTCTAGAGGTGGTGGTGGAGATTTCTGTTGTAATAGGTGGAAGGACGGCCATACACTCACTCTGTCGAACGGTAGAGTTGCAAAATTCCTGTTGTACAGCGCTGGAACAAAGCAAGCACTTCAAGCGTCACGTTTTACGTACACAAAGGGTAGACAAATTGTCGTCGTCAAGTATCCGCCAACTTCAACGGCACCAGCGTCCTCACTCATCGTCGTACCGAAACTCCCAGCGGCTGTCATGGACGATGTGCCCGAGAAGGGATGGCACAGCTATACATGGCGCATCTGGGCGCCTGTTGGGCTACGTTCGTCCGACCATGCCAGACCATCTTCCGTGAGCATAGTTCGCGCATACGAAAATCACATTCAAGCAAGCATCATGCCTGAACAACTGAACCCAGTCGGGGCAGAGGCACACGAAGGTCATGAACCCGCGCGAAAGGCACAGTCAACAACTCGAAGGATGACGCCCGATGTTCCCGTGCTGCATAACAGAGATCAAGAGAGTGAACATACTGAAGACTCTGAGGACCTAGAATTCATGGGCAAGATTGACCAAAAGCCTAGATCCGAAAGCGATCAGAGTTCCGTCTTGAGCGAACCTCAGCAACCAGTTCTAAAGGAGTTGATCAATGTTCAGCGGCAAGGTATTTCCAGCGAACATAATGTCTTGAAACGAGGAGTTGAGAGTATCGTGGGTGAACAAGACATTGGCACAGGACCAAATAAGAAACAATTCAAGCTTTCGATGGCTACGATTGATGCCGAAACAATAGTTCCTGAGAATCCGCCTGCTGCTATGTCTTCGCAGCTCCTTCCTTCCATGAGCGACCGTCAACCAGCACCGGCGCAAACGGTCTGTCATGATGTAAGGACGGCTTCCCCCTCAATTGCGTCTGTTTCCGCGCCCACAGCAAATACGCCAGCTCCAGATGGTGCCGTTCTATCAAGCGTAGAGAATATCGACTTGCTTGACCCTCAGCAGATCACACTCATATTTATGGATGTGGATCAAACAATCAGGGGAGAGTCCAACATGTACGAATGCGATACTGCATACAACCTGTTCGATTCGGCATACGAAGCAGGCATCATCGAGAGCGATACACGTATGCTTCACATCGCCATACCTGCCGGCAAAAACGACATTCGAATGAAGGCCAACAACCAGGCATCTTTCGAGAAGAAGCTACTCGAGCCCTTGAGACAAATGCAGCTCGCTAGCGCGAATGATCCACCCACTGTGTATGTTAGGAAAGGTTATTGAGCCTTCTGAGGGCATTTTGTCGTGTATCGATCACGTGTGAAGAACTATGAGTTATCGAGGCACATTGGAAATGATCTCGACTTTTGAGCCTGTTTTAAGTTATCTCACCTTCCTAATTAGGCAAATCAATTGAACTTCATTTGTAGCATTGCACTGCAATTTCTCTCGACGTACAGAATGTGAAATTGACTCCATTACTTTGCATCGACAACAGAAAGCATCTCAACATGGACTTGGTAAAAACTTCATCACGTAGCATATAACCTGGCTCCAATGACTATTCATACAATAAATTTTCCTGTTGCAGAGTAAATACTGGACGTCTACCGCTCCTGTAACTGATGAGATGGCAGAAGTTGGAGCGGATTGCGTGACTGGTCCTCCCACTAGAGTCTGTAGTACAGATACATAGGATACAGCATTTATTCTTCTGGGCCAATTTCCGACCACGCTGTCTCAACCATCGTGTTCTCTGAAATGTCTCCCAGGTAGGTATGTGCGAACAGCACATCGGCTGTCAAATGCTGGAGGTCTGAAACTGCAAGCAGGGTGTGGGTTCTGCATCTCACCATTTAGCTACTTCTTTGGAAAAAGAATACATTCGCGATTCGCCCGTATACGCTATCATAGTGTTACATAGAAAGACAATAAGTCATACATGCACAGACCGTGACAGGAAGCACTCCGTTCTGCCACTCATGGTAATGCCTGATACCCTTCGCTGCCAGTAGCGCTACCATCAACGCCATCTTCCGCTCCCTATGCCACAGCGTCCACAGCCTGGCCCTGCCCCAGCATCGCTCTAGCAGCCTCACTGCCTTCCTCAGGCAATAACTCAATCTGCCTCACAAGGAAACTCTTCTCATCCAGAAACTGATCATCATCCGTACGACCCTCCAGGAAATTCGGCAAGAACCGTAATAATCTGCTCCGGTTCTTGATCAACAAGCGCCTAACTTCGTCGCTCTTGTTCGGGTTCGCAACGAATACTTTGAAGACGTGGAATGCTTCGTACTGGACCATTTTTCGGTCATCTTTCAGGAGGTTCATGGTGAGTTTCAGGTTATCTCCGGACGCGACGTATTGTGTCATGACGACGTAATTCGACCTGTCGAGTAATAGCTCACCGAGGAGTTTTATCGACTGCCGTTTCGTGACGTATGATTGTGAGAGGAGGAGGACGGGGTTGTAGTATTGCGTGAAGAAGAGTTCATAGTTTGTGGCTAGGTATTGTGAGACTAGCTGTTTGTGTTTCGTGAGGAGATCCCGAAAGGTGGTGAATGCGTCGGCGCTGACTTCGAAACTGCCTTTGTTGATCCATTGGAAGAAATTCCAGAATGTGCCTTTTCCAGATTGGCGATGGCCGACATCGACCTCTTTTAGTTGAACGGCACGCTCGCCAGGCTGGGACTCGTCGTAGAGAACGACAGCGGCTATTGTATCATATGCAAGAGCTTGTCTGAGGATTTGGCCGCATGGCATGGCTGATTGAGCGTGGTTGTAGCCTCGGCATAGTTCGATTATGATCTCTGGACGTTGAAGGACGAGGTAGGATATTGCGGACGGGTCGCCTGGTGCTGCATTGGCGGGCTTGAATCGCAGGATGTGGGAGAAGAGTATCTGCGTGTCCTTTCTTGCTTCGAAAGGCAATAACCTTACTGACTTCGATATGTCGTAGAGCAGATCTTCTTGTATAATGGCATGGATGAGTTTATGAACCTCTTCAGGACTACTTTCGGCTTCTTGTGTTCCCTGCACTATCACCTTCATCTGAGACATTGTCCTGGCCACCTCTTCTTCGACCTTGGGTGGGGAGCCATTGTCAGACAATTTTGGTAGTAGATCTTTCAACGAACGAGCCAGTTCAGCTGGCTGTTTCTGTCGCCCACCTCGATTGAATAAGAACGCCATGTTGTGGTGGTGTTGCTTTTGTGGAATTTCTGGCGAGTACGACCGCCGCAGGAATTGCTTATGGGTCAGCCTCAGCAAAGAGCTACCTTTTGTTCATATCGTGCTGGTCGTCTAGAAAGTGGTGACCTGAACGACAAATCCAAAGAGTTGATGTTGACGCGCAGGTGGGTTGTGGGGGCAACCGAAGCCTTCGAGGCTCAACTTTTGGAATCTATGGGGCTCATTCAGGGGTTTCAGCCTTGTACAACCAACTAAACTTTGGTGCACGGAACGTTCTTTTGCAGCTAATCAAGCTCCTACAAGTTCTGGTTGTTGACAAATCAATGCTTTGATCATTACGCGATTGTCGAGTTACTGTCTCGAGGATACTCTGCCCTGGAGTACAGGCATCAGGTGAGATCTGGAATATGGTCAGTACCCAGGGAAAGAGTGCAGCGCGGAATCGGAGGCACTTGATCTTCTCGCCGAAAGTTGTCGAGGGTTGTGTAAATTTATTCGTTGTTACTTGAATGCACCAACACAACAAATCACGGATCGATCTCTTGGACTCTCAGTGTGCATGGTTTTGCTGCAAGACAGTGCAAGCTCATCTTAATACGCCTAGGGCTTCCTCACGTCTATATCAATACTTGTATAATATTGCCTGTTACAAATATACACATTCCAGCGATTGATACCTCATCATAAATCTTTCCTCCTCCTATTCACCTCCGTTGCTCCATCAATATTCGAACCACTACTCATAGCCAATCTCTCAATCTTCTCAACACCAGGCGTCACTGGTCCCGTCAACACCTCTCGGTCAAGTGTATCGGCTGCATGTTCAACAACACTCTTGCGCCTCTCCTTCTCCTTCTCCACCATATCCCTTTCGTTCTTGTACTCGTCATGCGGCTTGCCCTCGAACCTTTTCATCACCGTCTCAATCATCTTCCCGAACCAGTACCAATTCAACGCGTTCAGCGTAACATTGCTGACCAAGTACACCGCAATCAACCAATACGGCACACTCGTAGCCAGATTAACAAACTTCATCACTTCACTTTGTGCACGCACGCACTGGCTATCACCCATGCATAACTGTCCGTCTCTTGTGTTGAATATGCTCTTCCCCGTCGTACTCGATAGATCATGCCCCTGCCTGAAAGCAGCCGTAGTGTCGATCTTGAGAATCTGCCAGACATCGTAGTATACCCGTATGCTCTGGTACGTGCCCCAAACCAGTCTGCAGGAAAAGAAAGTAAACAGTAGCACCATGCCATTATACCACTGGAGTTTTGAGCCCGTCATGTTCAGCTTGTCGCAGAACCAATGCACATTCAAGAAAGGACTCGATAACTCGTAGAGGATAAACACCGGTCCGTAGTAGTTGCAAAACGGCCTCTGCACTCTCATGTCAGCACATACTTATAACAACCAAGACGAACGTAGATATAAATAGCACTCACAAACCCAAAACTAAATACACAAAGCGCCGTAATCGCATGCGCCCATATTCCCAGCCCAAAAATCTTAATATACCGCGTACTCACCACCAAATCCCACACAAAATACCCACACGCAAGCGCCTGAATCAGCCCGCTCGCACCCGTATACCCATACACTCGCTCCTTGACATCGTTGCGCATCGCGTACCGCTCGTTGTCCGTGAACATGACCCATAACGCAAGCGTGTTGATGAGGAGAGACTGTACGAGAGAAACCACGTGTACGTCCCAGTTGACGCGTGTCCGCTTGGTGAGGGAGGCGTAGATCTGCGGGAAGAGGAGGTTTGAGACGAAGGGGGAGATGATGGATTGGACGGATTGGTAGAGGATGGCGGCGAAGAGGACTTCGTGGATGTGGTGGGGGAGAGAGGGGAGGGCGAGGGTGTCGGCTAGAGGTTTGGCGAGGTTGAATAGGGTGGGTGGTGGTGGAGGGATTGGGTCGATCATGGTGCTGCTGTCGAGAGCTTGTGCACTGAGTGTCTAGTGGTGGCAGTGAGGTTGAGCACGAACGGTGTTTGCTTCGAGGGAAGAGCTCGCTTTTTGTAGTGCTGTAGTACTGTAATGAGTTCGAGCTCAAGCTGGTGTTGTGCTACCGAGGACAATCGTCCTGGCTGCAGGTCGTGACCGGAACTTGTGTCCAGCTGGGCAACGTTGCACGAGATAACCGTTGAAACAAACAAGGATGAGATTCATCCCAGTCGTTTGACCTGGGGTCTCAACGATGTGCTTTGTGGGGGGTGATGATCACCCACGTCAATTAAAAGCTTAAGAAGTGCGCTCACATCTACCAGTATTGCAGAATACGGCACTGATCACAATACGAGTAATCACTTCTGTTCAAAAAAGAAATCTGTTCATCGCCACGACTATGAACCTCAATCTCACTCAATAATGCTTGCTATCAGGTGTACACAGCTCCATGGCTTTAGAGAATACGTTTACACGATTGCTACTGGCAGAAAAAGATAACAACACCATACGCCGTCCCATCATATCGTCGTCTCAAGTGCTCCAGATCGTTATGTCGATATCGTGCTCTGCCAGCCTTTCATACTCTGGTCAGGTGTTGGCGGTTCAGAGCCAATTCCGCTGTCGCTAGGGGCAATATATTTGGCTTCATGTTGACCAATGTCTGAATGGGTTGGCAGGTCTCCAACCGTGTCAGCATCTTCAAAATCCTCGTCGGAGCTCATGTCTTCAACACGAGCCATATCGGGGTCAGCAAGAATGACAGCTTTTGATCCATCCTCCTGATATGCGGGGTTGTCGATGAATCGATCTTCGTCGTCGTCCTCCTCATCTTCCTCGAGAATACTGTCCTGGCCGTGACCGTTGACTGTGCCACTGATGCTGCTAGCATAGCTGGTGCTGCGACGACTGTTACGGCTTAGTGAGCTGTCAGTGTACATGTAAGATGTACCGAGGCTTGTTCGTCGTTCTGTGCCTGCATCGGATTCGCCTTCGAATCTCTCATCATCGAGTCCGTGGTTCTCCTTGTCAGCAAGCGTCGAATCCAGTCCAGTCCAGCTTGTCTTCCGGCCACTCAGATAAGTGCTAGGATTGCTCTTAACAGATTGACTTCGTTTCAAACTGACCAGTCCTGATGTATTCGATGGCGCGAGCACCATAGCCCGACTTAGACCTTTCGAGTTGCCATTCTGTACATGGCTTGTGCTCAGGATACGACGATCAACTGACTGACGCCCAGCCGCGTTACCGTTCTGTGTGATTCCAAGAGGTGCGCGCTTCTTCAGAGCCATACCCACAGCACTGCCCAGTGTCGTCGGAGCCTTTGCGGATGCTCTGGCAGTGTGCTGACTTGCTGAGCTCGGTATGCGCTTCAGATTCATCGAGGTGTCTCTATCAGTTGGCGAGATCTTCTTCCTGGGGCCACTCCTTGCAAGTTTGGCTGTACGAGCAGAGTTCATGACACTTTCAAGCACTCTGCGCTCCAGTGTTTCAGCTCGAGCATTCATGTCACGCATCTCTTCTCCACGGATGGCGAGCGCTGTCTCAAGCTTAGCAACGTCTCTCGTCAGACGTCTGGTTTGCGCGAAAAGTTCTTCATGTTCACGTTTGAGTATGGCCATTGAGTCGAGAAGAGCGTTCTTCTCGTCCGTCAGACTGACAATGTCTGCCTCAACTCGTTCCTTCTGGGCTGTTCGCTTCTCGAGGGCGATGGCAGCTTCTCGAGCTTCTTCAGCCTTAGAGTCATGATGCTCTGCCATCAATCTAGTCTGCGTTGCTACTATAGCACTGATCTCGGCAGCAGTGTCGCTAACCTTTTCATGGATACTGTCAAGCTTGTCAAGTCCTGACAATCGCTCAAGAGTATTGCCGTGATGAGTATCCATGGTAGCAAATGCCTCCTTAGCTAGAGCAGAATGTGCAACAAGCTCATCAAGTTTTGAGTGGACTTCTGTATCATCGTATTTCTCAACGATAGGAGGATCTGCAATCACTGACGGCTCTGCTTCAACAGCAGGCAGAGCTGGTAGTAAAGCTGGAATGGCCAAAGGTATATCCTTCAATTCCGATCTCAACTCATCGGTGGTCTTGGTGAAAACCTCACTCTGGGACTGAGAGTGTTCGAAGTGTTGACTAACTTTGACCAAAACTTCTTTGATAGCCGCGAGGATAGCTGGATTTGGTTCCTGCAGAGAATTTTCCAGTCGTGAGGTGGCATTGAGGGTTTTGGCAATTTCCTCTCTGGTCAAACTGTGCTCATGCAGATTAGTATCACTGATGTCTGCCAGTTTGTTATTGGACTGGTCCACGACATCAAAGACTGTTTTGGAGTCATCGGTCAACTTTTCACAAGTCTCACCAATACTGGCACTAAGGCTGTTCATCAATCCCTTGAGCTCTTCGACCACTCCTTTGACTGTATCATTGGTTTCGGCACGATCCTTGTCACGATCCTCCATAGCGCTGAGCTTCGCATCGGCTATGATTTGAGCGTCGTCGTACTTGATCATCAGTTCGTCGAACTTTTCCTCGAGTTTCGTGCGTAGCTCGCTGTGGTTCTCATCGACTTTGGTGAAGAGGGTGGCGTCTCGCTCCTCAGTCTCGGCGTTACCGGCTGACTTCGACTCCATATGTGCATCGAAGGCTTTTGTTACCAGTTCGGTGAGCTCATTGATGCTCGCTGCAGTGGCATATGTCTCCATATTATCATGGTGCATACCGAGAACACGACTGAGCTCGGTAATCCCTTCTTCGTTGCCGTTAAGCTTGCTCATAAACTCTTCCTTGATCTCCGCCACGAGTCCCTTGACGTCGTCGATCTTGGTGGCAAGACCGCCGTGCTCGATCTTACGGGCCTCAAAGGCTTGTGCTGTCAGGTCGTTGTCTGAGTCAAATTGCTCCCGGAAAGATTTGATGCTATCCCTGACTTCTGCAAGATCTTCCTTCGTTGCAAGACCCTCGACCTGCGGCATATGCTGTTCGTCAATTTTTGACTTCATGTCGAGGCACAAAGACTCGAGCACTTGTAGGTCGGTCCGTGTGAGCTTGCTATCACTAACGGTTTCGTCTTCGTCTTGTATTGATCTTCCGTGGAGTCCTTCAATATTGGCTGCAATATCTTTGAGAGACAGTTCTATAATGGTAAAGTCCTCCTTGTGCGGCGGTTCTGCCATTCTGACCACAACATCATCAATTGAGGTCTGGATGTTCCTCAGCATCTCCTCTACTCCTTCAATTTGACTCGTCTTAGCAACCGGCTCAAGATCTGGCATGAACATCTCATCCAGCTTGGCTTTCACGTTGTGCAAAAGTGTTTCGAGAGCATCTACGTCTTCCTTGCAAGCAGCGTTGGGCGGCATAACGGCCTCGGGCATCGGTATCTCAGGTATTGTAATTTCTGGCATCTCGCGTGGGAGACCACTGATGGAGTCCTGTATCTCTCTGATAGCGGCGTGTACGCCATCAAGGTCGTCTCTTCGAGCGTGATGCTCCATTGCTGCATGGAGGCTACCAAGATCGTCAGGATGTACACGCATTTCCGATGGTATCGTTACGTCCGCAGCTGGCATCTCCATGGCTTCAACTTTGATTCCAAGCTGAGTGATCATGACTTTGAGTGCATCAATCTGCGCGTTGATGCCGTTCTCATCGTGAAGCGTGACTTCTTGTCCCCGAGCGGTGCCTGCATCTGCTGTGTCGTCCTGTTTGTTCTTGAGCTGTTCAATGTCATTGCGAATGTTCTCAATGCCAGCATTGAGGTTGTTGAGGAGGTCTTGACTTGCATTGGCTTCAGTAGACTTGTCTACCAATTTTTGCATATCTGCTCGAAGCGCATCAACGCCGTCCTGAAATGCATCGAGCAATTCACTGGTATTGGACAGAATGCTTTCACTGCCGTCTTTAGGGGCACTGCGATTCGATTCGAGACCCTCTCGAATGATATCGAGAATTTCGTCGCGGTCAGGCCCAGACGTGTCCTTCAAGAGCGTGCTGGCAAGAGTCGTCCGCATATGTTCAAGCTCTTCTTTCACAAGGCGAGCAATGTCTTCGCCACTGCTGCTCAAAGTTGAACCTCGATCCTCGGAAATATCACGAATCGCATCCAGGATCTCGCTCTTGTCGGCAGTGCTATCTGCTTGAGACAGTGACTTGCGAATCGTCTCGCGAAGGTGCTCGAACTCTTTCTCCATGGCATCCAGCAGTTCTGGGGTACTGGCTGCCTGACTGCTTCTTTGGAAACCTTTATCCATGTCTACTTGCATAGCCGCGAAGCCAGCCTTGACGGCATCAATGATTTCATCTTTACCTGTCACATCCGCCGCACGGTCAACATAGCTTTCGATGTCGCCTCGCAGGTCTTCCAGACCATCCTTTACCGCATCCAATACCTGCTCAGTATCACGACCATTTGCTGCAGAATATTGCTGAAATTCAGTCTTCATGCTAGAGAGAAACTCGTGCATAGCTTCGACGACACGCTCTCCCATGCCGCCCAAAGGATTTTGCTCTCCTTCCAAGCAGGCTTTGATGGCATCAAAGAGGTCGTCTCGGTTGAACTCGATCTCCTTCGCTACACTGGGCTGATGACTTACGAGGCCATCTCTAACGGCATTCAGTATGTCATCTCTACCAATGTTTGAGTGTTCTCCGGGAATTGCGGAATGCTTGGACATGCCTTCATCGATGGCACCGAGCACAAGTTCTCGTGTCATTTCTGTCGTAAAATCAGGTGCGTTCGATACTGGTGCGGGTATTTTAAACTGAAAATTTTCGAGACATTCCTGAACAGCTGCATATATGTCCTCTCTGGTGATGCTTGGTGGATGCTGAATTTGTGGAGGTTGGAAGTCTGCTAGGCCCGCCTGAACAGCTTCAATGACTTGCTCATATGTCGCTCCAGCAGCGTGGGCCGGCAGATGCTGTGGTTGGTACGATTGTAGTCCTTCTTTCAGTGTATCAAGAATCTCATCTCTTTCAAGGCCGAAATGCTCAAGTGCAATTTCAGGCTTGCAATCCTCCCATGCCTCTTTGATGACCACCAGCAACTGCTCCCGCTCGGCGTCAATATCGCGAGTTGCTTCCTGGGGCTGATGTTGTGCAATGGCTTGTGAGACGGCTGCAATAACAGCGGTTGTATCGACCTGTGTGTGGCTTTTCGCCAGTTGCATGTCGCTGTTCTTCACGATCGCATGCATGTGCTCCTTTAGTTCGATCAACCCTTGTTCGACAATCTGGATCACTTCCTCTTGCCCAGGTCCACTGACTGGGACGATCTCTTTCGAAGAGGAGGTTGTTTGGTCAAGCTTTTTCGCGATTTCTCTGCCCATTCCAAGTACTTCACCTCGTAGCTCACGTACCAGGGCCTTGACTTCATTTGTTAATCCTCCTTGCTGGGAGAGCGATTGCTTCACAGATCGCAAGATCTTGAAAACCTCGTCGTTCACCAGCTCCGAAGAAGTGCCCTTAGCACTCTTGTGGTCTGCGTCAAGATAGAGATCAAGCTGTGAGGCAGCTCTGTCGGTATTTATGCTAGGTGCTCGTACTAAAGCTTTGGAGCCCGAATCAGCCTTCATATCTTTCATGAAAACCAAAATTTCTTCCAGCTTTTGTGCCATCGTAGGGTCATAGCTGGCAGTGCTGCTGGCCATGGTGGTGTGTTGCGACACAGCCGCCTCTGATTTGACTTTCTCGAGCGTACTCATGAGCTTGTCTTGTCCATCTCGGGTGGCCATTTCCCGAAGGACTTTCTCGAGCATGGCAATGCTGGCTGCCCCATCGACAGATACTACCGACGGTGAAGCGGAAAGCTCACGCTCGAGAAAGCTTGCTGGACTAGCTATTCTGGGCAAGGTGAAGCTCTTTCGAGAAGGAGTCGCATGTTCTCGCTCGTCAAGGAATAATGCATCAGGAGCACCCAGTAACCGAGAGTCTATATTGCCGAATTTATGGTCAAGTCCAACGACCAGATCTCTCAATGTCTTCCGAATATCCTCATCTCTTTGGTTTGTGGCTTCCTGCAGCCTAGACAAATCCCCAGCGTTGTCTTTGCTTCGCTTGGTCAAGGAAGACATCTCACGTTGAAGGCTCGTTGCGATGTTTGTAATGTTCAAGATCTGAGAAGATAGAATATCAAAAGACGGTGGAGACTGTCGCAAAGCACTATTGGTGACATCCGAGAGAGGCGGGTCCTCCTCTTGTCGGTTTCGCACGGCCTGCAGTGCTAACATGTTTGATGCTGGTGGTGTGTTCTCGTCGTTCGATCGATTCGTCTTACTCAGAGGAGTTGGAGTTTCTGTGCTAGCTCGTGTAGGGCTTTGATCAGGAGTTCGCGTGAAGTCTTCCTGTTCGATCAGTCTCGAATTTCTGAATCCTTTGTCTGGCGACCTTCTCTGTAACGAATCACTTAAGCGACCTGGATCTCCTGTTATCTGCACACTCTGCATGCGGCGGTGTTGGGGTCGACCTGTGCCTTTGCTGGGTGAAGGTGGAGGATTGCTAGTATATGCGCTGGGAGCACTCTCCAAAGCTCTCGACGCTATCAAAGCCGCCGCTTTCTCGATATTAGAGGAGACATTAGGTCTCGTGATAGGACTATTGGTGAGTGATGGGTTCAAAGGAAGTGGCGGAGGAGCTCTATCTGGGTCTGAGCTATCCCACCTGAAAGATAGATTAGTTTCTGTTCCTGTCGTCAGTGGGACCTACTCACATGGGTATCGCTGTTCGGCCATTGCACTCAGAATACGAGTGTGAGTGCTTGACCATGCGTCCTTCGCTGCGATCGCGAGACTCGTCCCGCGTGTAGGTAGGCGTCATCGCCATGGTCAATGCTGTCTGTGGAATGCGCAAAAGTTGTTTTCCAGCTGCTTTCCTCTTTACACAACCATAATGTAGAGCACGTAACGCCGATGCAACCTTTTATGTTATGCACGACTGAAACACATGTTGAAGCAGATGCGTCGATAGCGAATTGACAAGTCACATGGAATGAGGCGTCCACGAGGAATAATCAGCCCGATTTACACAATATTGACAGGCAAGCGCCAGCTCAGACGCAGGTTGGCCAGACAACCGGATCATGACTGGATGACAGCCGGAGAAAAGAATTGTTGCCTGAGGCGATCATATCTTGAGCCTCAGGCATTCAACCGCGGACCCGCCAAAATTGGTCCCGATTCAATCTTGGCATGCACACGAATTTCCAGACACTCGCTTTAACCTTGCTGGCGCTGCACTGTATTGCGACTCCGAACCATTACAAACCTGCAACGTCGCAGCCATGAAGTGTACGTACTTGAGATCATGATGTTACCATGATCGCGATTCTGACCATGCGCTACAGTTCTCAAAGTTGGCCGCGTAGCCATCATCACTCGAGGTCGATATGCTGGCAAGAAGGTACGATTTCGAAGGCTGACGAGGAATTTTGGCAACACCAAGAAGAATATCTGGACACTAACTGTATGTTTGCACAGGTCGTGATTATCCAACCAGTCGACTCGGGCACAAAGCAACATCCATTCTCTTACGCCCTTGTTGCAGGCATCGAACGATATCCTTCGAAAGTTACCCGAAGAATGGGCAAGAAGAGAGTTGAGAAGCGCTCAAAGGTCAAGCCATTTATCAAGATGGTCAACTACAACCATATCATGCCTACCAGATACACACTCGAACTGGAGGGTCTGAAAAACGTCATTTCCAACGACACATTCAAGGAGGTCAGCCAGAGGGAAGATGCAAAGAAGAACGTGAAGAAGGCCTTGGAGGAGAGATACCTGAGCGGTAAGAACAGATGGTTCTTCACCCCTCTCAGATTTTGAGTGCATTTGTGGACAATGGGCAAACAGTCGTATTTCAAGGAGCGGACAGGATGGGCTGAGAAATAGGTTCACGAGTGTCTTGCAATCTCAACGACATTATACGGTCTTCACGGCCTCCGACAGGCCTCAATCCTGGACGTCGACCTTATGCTACCAGAGGTGGATTCATACCACTAACTAGCAAGGCACGACGTGACATATGACATGGTACTCGGACTGTTTCAATCGAGATAAATTTCGTCCCGCAACTTCCGTAAGCCACCAAGCAATCCGCCTGCTGGTATGCTAGGAGTTCCAGTACGAGAAGGTTGACTGCTCTGTCGCATAGAATCAAGCTGTGGTCTTCTAGGATTACCCTGTGAACCCAGCGCCTTTTTACGGTCGTCTACAATTTTCGCAAATCCATCAACTACCCTGTTGCGCGCCTTTTCCTCTGCTGTGCCTCTCCACACTAATGCCAAGTTTTGGAAGTCTTCCAACCTCTTCTGTGCAGCCTCAATGCCTTGGCTTCCACCTCCTTCATTGTTTAACAAATCGCTAATCTCTTCTCGATATTGTCGTATGGCAAGTCGGGCTTTGTCGTCTTCGGCCGAACTTACAACACCAAGCTCCGGTGCACTGACTGAGATCAAAGACGATGCTATTGACACGTCCGAGGGAGGTATTGGCCATTTCATTGCATTGTCGAAAACTTTGATGACCTGTTCTAGCCGTGCCTTGATGTGACCTAGGAGCCGTAGTTGTTGCATAAACTCGGGATCATGAAGTCCTTGGTTGATAACGCCCGCTTCAGTGCCAATTTCGGTTTCAATCGCCCGTTCGTTTTGGACAAAGTGCTGGATGTCCTGCCGCAGAGTTTCTGAAAGTAAATCGAACAGGCTATTTGCGTCACTTCGCAGAACCTCTACCTCATAGGCCAATCTGCTCCCACTCCTTAAGATCTCCTCCGCAAGAGTGGTAAGCTCAGTTGATGTCCTTGCATTGAAGGCATTGAACTTTGATGATTGAGCCTGAACATCTGTTGAGGATGATTGTAGTTGGGCAGACCGATTTTGTTTGGCCGCTTGGTTCTGTGAAGTGAGATTCAGTGATGGCAGAGAAGTATTGAGGTATGCGATGGCGTCGAAGTCGGCTTCGAATAGCCCTTCCATCATTTCACGGTGACCGACTTGAGTCGTCCTGTTCTTGAGTGTTGTCTATTCCTGTTAAGCCTTCGGGACACCAATTTGTCAATTCTCCATCTGTTGTCAAATATGAAAACGAACGTTGTATTTTGATTTCGGGTGGTCAGTGCTGTGCTAGGCGTGCAACATGTGGTTAAGCATTGGATCTCGCCTGATTCACCTGATGTCGCTCAGCCATTACAAGACCAGCCCGGGACATTCATTATTCTGAACATACCAGTGATTAAACACCTTAGGCACGCCTTGAATCCATGTGGAACACTTCCTCGAATCAGAGCATTAACAATGCGCTGTATTTTTGAAACTATGAGTCGAGTGATGAATGAGAATTGGCCATTTTTGCGGGCTAAACCATCGACACAAGCGGCATGTTCTTGACTTACCATGATAAGCACGGCTTGACTCGCGTAGACACGATTTAAACTGCTCGCCCGAACCAGGTTCTTTGAGTAGTACACACGAGTGTGGCTCTAGTGCAGCTTCTGCCTGCACGCACAAAGGCAGGGACGACCTCACATTCTGTTGACTCTGAGATATGCTTGGTGCTCCCTATACCAATTGAGTCTTCTCACTAAGGAAATTCGCACTTTCAGGTTTGTCCCATGTTATTGCTCGAACGCGTGCCTCTGCTCTCTTCGGATGCACTGTCACTTCCCCTGTCACCCACTTCGTCCATAAGCTGAGATCCGTTTGTCGCTCGCGTCGCATGGTTCAGCCTCGTCTTTCGCTTTTCATTAACAACGTGCAACTTTCGTTTCCAAGGTATTTGTCGGATGATAAAATCCTTGAACTGTCCAGATAGCAACCACCTTCTTGAAAGATAATCACTAGTCTCTCACAACGCAGAACCTGTGCTCAGCATATTTCTCTAACCTATTTACATTACCTACTCCTAGATCTTGTCGCTCATCATGGGGCGAAAACAATTTCGACAGGACCTCATCGAGGCTGCCCAAGATCCACCTCCTCATATCTACGGGATTGAAACTATCGACGATGGCGAGATCGGATTCAACTATACATACGCTGAATACGGTACCACACAACACGCAGGACTCCGTCTCCTTGCCTTGAATGTCGACGATTATCCTATGGACAACGAATACATGATCTTTGCCGGAGAAGGTGATATCAGCCCGCAAATCGCCGACTCCTTCGAAATATTGACCCCTTTGATCAAGAACAGATCAATTCATCAAGCACTGTCAGAGTTATCGACTGTACTGCATCAAGCTGTGACTAGTGGCCAATCTACAAATCCAATAGTCCTTCCTGATGTCAGTAGTGATCTCGAAGACGAGGGTTATGCTGAGGCTGACAGTGATGACGATGTCGAAGAGGACGAAGCAGATATTTGGCTGGAAGGAGACGAGGATGAGATGTTTGGCTTTGACGAGCCGAAGAAACCTGGTCCTGTCGCTGTTGGACGAACCAAGATGAGCCAGTTACCTGCCGAAGACCGCATGAAAATTAAAGCAGATTTGAGAGAAGCCAAGGACGCAGGCTTCAAGGTCGGTGTCATTGGAGATCTAAGTACGTCAGGAATCGTCTGCGTGTCGGTCAGAGTCGCGAAGCTAGGCATTTCCGAGGACGTCATGAAAGCGTGGACTCTGGAACCACAGCAGTATTTCGTCGTCCTTATCCGATTTCAGGCTGGATACCAGAATATCGAGATATTGAAAGAGCAGTCCACACTGTCAGGGTCAACAGAAATCAGGCTTGGTCTTTGCTCCAGTTACAAGCCAAACAGCAAGAGTGCCTTCGACACTTTCAATGAAGTAGCCGCAGATGCTACCAACGATTCGCAGCTGAGTGCGCCGCGGTCGACAACAGACCTTCAGCCCTTGTTCATCGGTCGCCCGTTGAACGATCTGTTCAAATCACGTTTCACCGCAGTTGTGAAGTTCAGAGAAATATACTGCTTAGGGTGGGCTGGCGCCGAGCAACTTGTTCACGATACACAGGGTGCGCCCATCGATATAGGAAAACTTACGAAATACGACAAAGTGATCGACAGCAAAACCGAAAGAGCTTTGCCTGCGATTGTCATGGCTGACAGTATGTCACGGACTCGATTCACCAAAAACTGCTCGCTGCCGCTGGTAACAATGCAATTCGCGCTGCGGCATTTTGTCCGCTGTACCGACTTCTGCTTGGTATGCCATTGCAATTCCGGCTCTACGTTCGAGGCGCTCAAACCTTATGTCTGCTCCAGCCCACTTTGTTTGTATCAGTATATGGGTCTTGGTTTTGGGCCCAGTATTGAATGGGAGATCTTATCACAGCCTTACGTGGTGGATCTGCTCATCAGCTTCTGCTATGTCCAGGCAATGTCAGGTCGATTGAAGGATTTTCCAGTTGGCATAGACCTACGAGTTCCGGTCCTGCCAAGATCGTCGTCTAGAAACGATCCACACCCTAGCTACTCGAATTATCGGAGCTCGACACAATCGACTGCTACCCAAACACAAACACCGCCAAAGCTAGCGTTCGTTATACCCTACAATGGCGCCAACCTTGAGCTCTTATTTCCAGCAAAAAATTTGGATAAGGGTCAACAATTGAGGAAAGGAGATTTCGTTGCTCTGGCTAACTCGAACTACTTCAGCGGAGTCATTTATCACCGTATCGAGGATGTCTTACTACCAAGTGTAAGACTCGGACCTCCGGTGCAAGTTTTTGACGGCGACAAACCTCGATCTGACATACTCCCCAATAAGTTGATCGACGTTGATTGCTACCTCTTCGACACGAGCTTCGACGATTTGTCTGACAACGATAGATGCAAGGCGATCATGACACTTCTAGACACGATACCTCCTGTCAAGGACATGCTTCGTTATCTCAAGACTCACAACGTTGGGCAAGAGTCAAGTCTTCGACAGTGGCGAGATCGTATCTCAAGTTCTGCGCTGAATGTGCTACGATGGATCATTGCGTCAAATCGATCGTGTATTGTACAGGTCGATAGCGTGGTAGAAGATGCTGGCACTCTAAAGACTATGCCCAACGAAGACAGAATCTCTGGCATGGACGAATACATGCAGTTCCGGTTTGCTCAAGGCGCTCCCGACAAGGAGCAGCGATTCATCGATTGCGTGAAGAAGCAGACTGCTGGAAAGCAGTATCCAACCATTTTCGCTTGGCATGGGAGCCCTCTCCACAACTGGCACTCCATCATACGCGAAGGCCTTCACTTCAAAGACACCGCACACGGTAGAGCTTATGGGAACGGCGTCTACATGAGCAATCATGCACAAACCAGTTTGAGCTACATGAGTGGACATTACAGCTTAGCTGGTTCACGAAATGGATGGCCAAACAGTGAGTTGAAGGTATCTGGGGCGATGTCCTTGAACGAGGTAGTAAACAAGCCTGACTCGTATGTGAGCAGGAGCCCCCATTATGTTGTTGGCGAGATCGACTGGATACAGACTCGCTATCTAGTGGTCAAGACCAACGTCACACATACAAAAGGGGAGCAGGCAGATATGGAAACGATTGCTCAAGACCCGGCACATACAGCCATGGGTATGAGTCAAGAAGCTGTACAGATCCCCATTACTGCTGTTGCTAGGTCAAGACGGCCTAAAGAAATTCTCCAGAAAGATTCGAAGAAGCGAAAGTCCCTGGGGAGTGGACGGATCGAGAACCCAATCGAGATCATGAACGACGATGTCCAAAGTGTGGCCACTCTCAATGAAGACCGCGATTATCTGCTTGATGACGAGTCGCACTCTGGTCGAAAACCCATGTCACTAGACTCTGATACAGAGATGGATATCTCCGACCATGAAGATCTAATTCGGTCACCCAAGAAGAAGCTTCGTCAAGATGAATCATCTACCAAGTTGCAGCTGGTCGAAGGCTGTTTGCTCGACGACACCAGAACCGATTTCTTTCCTGGCAGGCTGGACATGTCGAACGTGAAAAGACTTCCAGCTCCCGATGATGCATCACTGGCAGCAAGCAGTGCACTCCTCAAAGCGTTTAACGCACTGATGAAGACACAGAAGACAACACCAGCACATGAGCTGGGTTGGTATATGGACCCTGAACAGGTTGATAACCTTTACCAGTGGATCGTCGAACTACACTCATTCGATTCGGAGATTCCTTTAAGTCGGGACATGAAGGAAGCAGGTATCACCTCAGTGGTACTCGAGATGCAATTCACAAACCAATACCCCTTCGCACCGCCGTTTGTTCGAGTGGTCAAGCCTCGGTTCCTTCCTTTCAATCAAGGGGGCGGAGGTCATGTCACGGAAGGAGGTGCGATATGTATGGAGCTACTTACCAACAATGGGTGGTCGGCTGTAAGTACAATTGGGAGTGTGCTGTTGCAGATCAAGCTAGCTATAAGTGATCGAGAACGACCAGCGCGGTTACCTGGAAGTCACGGTCATTGGCGGGCTGGAGGTGATGGTGGAGTTTATGGAGTTGGCGAGGCTATAGCCGCGTACGAAAGAGCTTGTCGGGCTCACGGCTGGGCTGTACCGCCTGCCTTTGCCTCGCTTAGGAGAGGTGAAGGAAGCGGCATTGGACGTTTTTCGTCCTAGTCATTTGTTACGGGAAAGAGGCTGCAGGCGCATCAGGCTTGGCGTAAAAGGTTCATGCATAGCGTGGTATGGGGGATAGCAGGCATGAGGTTTATATGCAATGGAGTTTCAGGATAGCCAAGCGTAGCTGTTTCAGCTTGGGACGAATTCTCCCAAGACGGTGTACGACCACTCCTGCTAGATGACGAGGGCTGTTTGCATGAAGACCAGGCTCAATGCACGAGATAGAGACTAGTTAATAGGGACATTACCATAGCGGAATGAAGCACAACGCTTGCTTACCAACGCGGAAATACATACCCCACGCTCTGTTAAACCGCGCGTAAGAGATTGCAGTCGTCAGGATCGTAAGAAGCATGCACATGCATGTGTTGACGGCCACACAGGTCTTCACTTGGTAGATTGGAGAGATAAGGCTGGATGGTGGATCCTCCAACGGCAGACACGCGTTATCACAGCTTGCAAGGACGGGATTACAAGGTAGCAACGTTGCTCGACCGACCCTGGAGAGCTCAAGCGGTCCCTTCCTGGGGTGCAGACTGGACTTGCAGGATCGGCCGTCAGTGATGGAAAAGCTCGTGTTGGTGAGGAAGCGACGTTCATGGCATGTGAAAGGCTTTCTCGATACATCGGACTTTTGACGAATTCTTCAGTCTGCGACGCGAAAAAGAAGTTTCGTTTTGCCTTTCCGCGGCACTCAGGGCTGCAATCCCGTCCAATCTTTTTAGACGCCATTGAATTGGTCTGAACTCAGGTACAGCTGTTTTGCCGTGGCATTGTGGCAAAGGTTGAGGCCAGCGGAGCCTGTCTAAGGAACACAAGGTTAAATAAACTCGCAAGGATGACGCAGAGCATGTGCATCGTTTCTCAAGTCGCGGGAGAAATTCACATGTGATTGTTCGAGGCGACTCCTGCTGCGCTGAGACGGGAGAAGCACATGCCAGAACGCAATCGCGCCTTCCTCATACAATCTTTCTCAACAAGATGTGGCAGCACTTCCCTGCTTTTCTTCTTGATTGTCCTCAAAGTCGCATACTACTAGTACTCCTCGACTTCCTCGACCGACTCTTCACACCATCTGAGCTTCTGTCACTCTTGACTACTTTGAATTCACGTTGTTCATTCATTCATCCCACTCATTAAAAGTTCCACATACAAAGCTGCAAGATGGGCGAACCAACTGTGAACGGAGACATGCCTCACTCTGCTTTCCTCGATGTAAGTCTGTCCCGTTTCACACCTATCAGCAGCCCTAACTCACTCATGCAGCATGCCACTGGCTACCCTATGGTTTCGGACTCGATCCAGGCCTTCCAGAATAATCCTTATGGCCAAAAGTCGATTGATATCACAAATTTCACATATGCCAACTTCGTAAAGCCAACTTTCCCGTACCTCGAGAAGCCTGCTTCATACATCAAGCCATACGCTGCCAAAGTCGATGAGCTTGGTGACAGCTTGTTGACCAAAATCGACGAGCGTGTCCCAATCCTTCAGAAAGAGACTGAGGAGGTCAAAAGCACAGTCATTGACTACGTCAATTGGCCAAGGAAGGTTGCTCATGAGCAGGTGAGCTATGTTTATGACACCTACAACAACGAGTACAAGAAGTGTGGCGGAGATGGCGTCGTTGCTGGTAGCAAGGCTCTTGTGAGCGGCAGCTTCGTCATTACCAGCGACTGGCTGTCCTACTTTGCTACCTTGCTTCAGAAGAGGAAGGAAGAGGCTCAGGACGTTGCACAGCAGGCCATGGGCGTTGCTCAGGAGAAGTTCCAGCAGGCTAAGGGCACTGCTCAGGAGAAGACTCAGCAGGCTAAGGGCACTGCTCAGGAGAAGTCCCAGCAAGCTAAGGAAACCGCTCAGGACAAGTCCCAGCAAGCCAAAGAAACTGCTCAAGAGAAATCGAGCAATTAGGAGGGCTCAGCTAAAGACAAACACAAAGCTACAGATGTGCCGGAAACGCTCAAGGCCTGTACATGTTCGGATCCCTCGAATTGCTTGGAGTGTTTTCAGAGGGTACATTATGTCAGGCCGTCGAGCCTTCGAGACTCTCACTCACCAGAAGTCCATTTTGCCGATGATGTCAAGATCATGCAGTATTGATATCTGTGAGGTGCACAGAACACCACGAATCACAGCATGAGCGGCGTCCGGCGATAAGTGCCTATTGTTTGAACGATTAGCCAGCTTTGAAGTAACATTTTACAGCAAGACCTTCGTCGATTCGAGGTCAAGGTTAGGTAACGTCGTATAGATCTGGTGTTTGAATAGATGGAGATGATATTGCTTCAATGCCTTCTGTAAGAAGGTAGCATCAATGTCCAGACGACGAGCGATCCATGTGCAGTCCGAGTTGCAGTCACTTTCATTTAATGGAGTAATAGGCACGCTACCACACACTAACTTGAACAGCACGCGTGCGCGACTGAAGCTCTTGATGAATCGTTCTCCTTCACATTCCAACAAGCAACTGTAAGCTGGTAGGGTTGAGTCCTCATGCTCCTGAGCTTGGTCGCAGCGCCAGTCGAAGACGTCGCATACACTGTTTCCACATCACTATCGTCAAATCTGTTATGGACCTCATCGTGCAGGTATTGGTTTTGAGCTTGCCAAGAGGACGCGTCATGGTTGAATCGTGATGGCTCAAACTTGCTGGCTTGCAGTATCATGACGAACGATAGCTAGCCAAGATGTATACCTTATCGAAGCAATTCTAAAGTTACCCAACACCTCTATCATGAGCTGACCTACTGACACAGGCATCTGCAATTGTTGTGGTAACGCCCAATAATTTATCACACTAGCTCGCCTAAATACTATACCATTCTCCGACCATAACCTGATAGCTCAAGGCCAAACACCATGTCTAACCGCCCCATAGCAGACCACGACACTCCCGACCCATGGATCATAGCTTCACCTTTCCAGCGCGACCTCTTCTACTTAACCTTCACTCTCGGCAACCGCATCGAAATATGGTCTTCCTCATCCATAGAGTCCTTCCACGACCGCAACCCCTCCATCCGCAAAAGCACAATCTGGCAACCTCCTGGAGGTAGCCCATGGTCCGCCGACATCTGGGCTCCTGAACTACACTTCCTCTTCGGCACATGGTACATCTACGCAGCAGCCGCTCAACCAGGCCAAGGCAACCCCTCCCACCGCACCATCGTCCTCCGCAGCAGTAATCCCTCTGACCCTCTGGACCGTGCGGCCTGGCACTTCGAAGGACCCCTAAAAGGCCTGCCACACGATCAATGGTCCATTGACGCGACCGTCTTCTCCCCTGACCCAGGTTTGTCGTCTCACAGTCCAGATGGTCGAGGCGGCTACCCCGACGACCAGCGAAGATGGTACATCGTCTACTCCGGCTGGCCCCTCGGCGATCACAGCGACACCCAACAAGACCTCTTCATCGCAAACCTCCGCTCCCCACTTGAAGCTCACCCACAATCTCTCCAATGCATTTCTCGCGCCGAACTCCCCTGGGAACGACCCGAAAACGGCCGTCGCGGCGTCAACGAAGGGCCCTCCTGGGTCGATATTGCGCCCACAGCACAATCCCCTGGCTGGCGAGGGATAGTCTACAGCGCCCACGGAAGCTGGACGAGCGAGTATAAACTCGCGGTCGTGCAGTACACCGGCGGCCCACAGGACGACTGCTGTAACCCTGCTCTGTGGCGGAAACGCCAACACCCCCTCCTTGTTAGTGACAAGGCGGCAGGTGGCCCCTTCGGTCCAGGTCATGCATCATTCGTCCCATCACCATATAACGACGGCGCCGTCTTCTGTATTTACCATGGAACCGAGCGCGAAGACGAAGGCTGGGCAAACCGTAAGGGCAGAGTGTTATGTCTTCAACCGAATTGCTTCACGGATCAGTCCGCGACGATGTGTTGTGCTTATACTGTCTGTGGACCTGTGCAGGGTGGGATGATGCCGGGTCAGGTTGGTGGGCAGCATGCACACGGTCATCATGGTCAAAGTAGTAACCAGTATCCGGGTCAACATGGGCAGAATCAGAGTCAAGTTCCCGTTCAACAGGGACATGGCTCGGCGGGTCGTCAAGGTGGGTTGGACAAGTATACGGCGGAGATTGAGAAGAGGATACCGCAGCAATATCAGGGGTATTTCAACAAGGCGAAGAAGTTCTTCAAGTGAGGGTTAGCGTTTGTAGGATAGAGGCTACCATCGGTCAAAAGTGCTTGGATCAGCAGTCAATGAATATCTTTACGTATCGTTGTAGAATTTGAAGCACTTCTGGCCAGACTGGTCGTGCTTGGCTCTATTTTTCGAGATGTCTAACGCGGCGTTTTGGTACAGACCAGCTTCAAAGCGTCTACAACGAAGTGTTCTTACGCTCAGGAAACCAGCATCTCTGAAAGGCTTTATCAAGCAAGACACCCAAGTCCCTCCAAAACTACCGAATTCACCGCTATACAGAACCCCGTCAACACCTTCCCACCCAACAACGCATCCCTCGAATGCGTACTTCCCAACCCATCAACCATGATGATATTCGGATATGCTCCCTTCTGCCGGTTCCTGTATATCGTGCTCCACAACCCAGTATCTCCAGGCTGAAACAGGATACTATGAGCCTCTTTCGCGAGCTCACGAATATCGAGCGGTGTGGTCAGAGTCCATGAAAGGAGGAACATGCCACTGTCGCGTGATGTTCGGCGCGTGAGCATTTTGTTGATCTGATCGGCGGCCATGAGTGGTGCGATGGGGGTGTTTGTGTAGGAGTTGTAGATGTTTAGGGCGGTGGAGGGGAAGATGCCTGATGGTGGGGAGGAGGGTAGTACGAGAGGGGAGTCGGAAATGATAACTAGCACGCAAGGGCTGTTGGCGATGAAGGTGTGCAGCGGGAGGCCGGCAAGGTCGCTGTCAGGTCCTGTAGGGCCAGAATAGCGATGCTGCAGGTCTTCGAGCTGTGTAAGAAGACGAGCGAACTCCTCAGGATTTAGATTACGCCAATCTTCGTCTGTATTATGCATGTGCGATAGGTCTAGAATGACAAGTTCGTTGTAAGTGCTCAGGAACGTGTTGACTTGCTCGATCATGCTTGCTAGGTCCTGCCCATCACCACCAATCCAGTTCGAGCCAATCTTTGAGTAATGGCCCTGGAAGAATTTGCTTGATGAGATGACGGGACGGATATCGAAATATCGAACTCCTGCTTTAAGTTGACCTGTTATGTCGGTCCATTGGGTAAGAGTGTTTTCGGGGATAGAAAGGAACGTGCTGTGGGTCAAAATTGACATCCCTGCATCGTGACTGCCTGGTATGCAAATATGGCGAAGTGGCTGACAGCCGAGAAGTGGAAGATTTGCGTGCATCCAGTCTGTAGGCGGGTTGGGAGGCAGTAGGGAGGGGACGTCATCTTGTGTATTGCTGGTACTCGCAATGATGAAGGGAGTGCCACTAGTGACATTGGGGGTTTAAGACAGGTCCATGTCGGTAGAGACTGCACTGTCGGGAGGATCATTATTATTACTGAGACCTCTGCGTTGAGGGAATGTAATCGAGATAGGGTTGCTCGAATGTTGAGCTGAGGCGACAATAGAGATAACAAGAGTCTCTTGTGAACTGCCATCATAGCTGTACATGATCATACCATCGCCAACGCTTTCTGTACCCGTTGTGGTAAATTGAAGTGGTATTGAGTGAACATCACCTGTTTAGAGTTCAGCAAATACCGAATAATGTGTATCGTCTTCAATCCGTACCTGGACTTATCTGATCTGGAAATACCTCGTTTCATCGTACCATATGCGAAGATTCATTCAGTGTCTTCTGCCATGTAAAGGGAGTCGCATTGATGAGTGTAATGTTCGATGGAAAAGACAAGTCCGCGGTCATGGCTGCACTGCAGACTGTCCAGCAGTTCAGTGGTTGTAATGTGGGCGAGTAAACACATATTGATGAGATCTTAGGAGTTTCATGAAGCCACAGACATCTCACATTCTGGTCAAGTAACGAAGAGACACAGGCACTGTGCGGGACTGCTCCTCTGTCCGTGTTCTGGGTGTTCGAGTTACTGGTCGTTTCGCTTCAGGCATGACTGATTTCCTTGAGATGACCTGGTCAGGATCGTGAGACTCGAGAATTGCTAAAGAGGCCGAGTCATTGTTGCGCAAGGTCACCTTGGCACTGGTCAGATGGACGAGACGGACTCATAATGTTTGTGCACAACAAGGGTTCTGCGGGCTAATCAAGAAACCCGAACTTACCACGCTAACCTAGTACTTCGGTCAATGATAGTGCAGCCACCAGCTTTTGCGTTCAGCGCCTCAAACATCATGCATTGCTTTCGCTTGGTTTCAACCGATCTTCAACGACACGCATTTCGTTACTTACAGTGCCTGATTTCAGATTGTTCATGCATGCGTGCACCAACGAGTCACTGAAACGTCGCACCATCGATTGTAGGCAACAGACGGAGCCTGTCACAAGCACAAATCATACAGGACAAGGATCCATCAAACGATAAGCCGCAGCTTGGTGAGATTGCAAGTAGGACACGTCCAGGGCAATCAGCTTGAGAGTAACGATCTCCGCGAAGGGCGTACCGCCTATGAGTCGAAATGGTCAGAATGTGTACTCGTAGCGATTTCCTACTTCTTGTCAGTCATTGAACACTTTCAAAGATCCAGATTGTGATTGAATGCAAGACAATAACGGAACAGCAACAAAAGCCACACAATCTGAGTTGCACAGATGGTTTAGTATGCTCTCATGTGGTTCTACCAAGGAAGTTGTTCGCAGGTCATGTGCCGAAGTTAGTCGGAATCATCTGCAAACATGTCTGCAGCTCTGGGTCTTTGTTTGCGCGGCCCCGGCATTGTGATCGTAGGAGACTCGTTGGTGGTCTTGGGCCCACTCTTGATTTCGCGATCAGGAGGATCACTTTGAGCTGTCTCCGGTATTTGGGACACCCTTTGAGTAGTAGGATCGCTTTCCTCATCGCTGCTGTCAACCATAGGGACACCGTCAATGTTCTCTAGATCACTCGCTGACATATCTTCATCGTTTGGCATAGGCACACCATCGACATCGTCCATTTTGACATCGGGCCCAGCTTCTTCATCGACAGTCCTCCATCGGCTTGTTGTCTTGGCTCTAGCATTATCTTCTGGTGTGCTCTTTTGTGTATCAGCTTCTTCAGCAGCTCTCTTTTCTTCCTCGGTCAATGGCGGGTCGTTAAAAATAGTTGTGAAATGCCCCTGAGTAGCTTGTGGAAAGACGCTCCAACCCTCCCACAAAGTCAACAGATTCTGCACGCTCCTCTTCCACTTTTCGCCTTTCAGCTTGCCCCACTTGTAATCCTTCTCAGCACGACCCAGCTTATTGAAGACCTTCTGTTGTCGCAGAGCGTGCTCGAATAGAGTGCGATATCGCCAGGCATGACGGACACCAGCGTTTGCAGAGCTCGAAAGTATGTCCGAGACGACGTACAGGCCAACCATACTTGCAGATGTAGTGTCTTCACCTTCAGGCTTGGAGAAGGGTCGGAGTATATTTCGGGTGATGAGGACAGCAACTTCCTCCCCACCAGCACCTGCATGCTCAATAGCAAAGGCGGTAATGCGTGCAACGTCGCCTCGTCGAAGCTTTGTGTTTGTGCTGGGCAGGCGCGACAAAAGATGGACGAGCTTTGCTTTGGCTAAGGGATCCAGATAGCCTACACCATCGTTCACTTCTTCTGCATTGAGGGCAGGGACATTATGGTCGTTATAACGCCTTACCAAACTGCCACCTGCGCCATCGTCGTTGTCCTCTTCGTCAGAAGAATTATAGTCCTCATCGCTGACAAATTCCTCCAGCTGAGTAGCGTATTCGAATCTCAACGACTCTTCGGGAGGCTGCCATACTGACTGTCCCTCAAATAAAGTCTCCTGTCCTTGACTACGGTTGTGGCGTCTTTTCGTGGCGTTGGTGAGTATCTCCCACAGTCGCCATCTGTAGTAGACTCCACCCACAGAGCTGGAGTCCCAGAGCCATGCCCACCTCTCGTCTCTTTGAATCTCCGATCTTGACATTAAGAGGGCTTCAAATTCCGGTCCGTAAGTGAGAAGGGCCTCAAGAGTTTTGTGAATCAGCTTCAGTTGCTTCAAGTTCGACGGCGACTGAACGGTGACCTGTGTGGGAGGGCCTCTAGTGTAAGGAACAGACGATGTGTAGAATTGTGGGGGAGCGAAACGTTGATTCGGCGGAGGGGCTCGAGACAGGGAGGTGTGCTGAGGGATGGGTCGGGCTCCGAACGGCAGTGCGTTGACGTTGGTAGAGGAAATAGCAGTATTGCCCAGAGCGGCGGACGATAAGTGCCTGGATATGGACAACTTGAAGCCAAATCCTAGATACTTGTTTTGCAGATGAGAGACAGCGGTATCTATATCTGTGGCAGCTGTCTCAGTGGCTAGGGTGACTATTGCTGAGCACGATTTCCGTTCCATAGCAGGACCGGAGGGCGCAACAGCAGGTAGGATACGGACATTCTCCACGTTCAACGGGGTGTGGGCGAAGAGTCCTTTGATGAAGGCAGCAGAAATGGTTGGTGGCATAGAAGACAAGTGTAGTGTAGGTTTAGCAGCCTTCTCTTCTTCCTGCTCTTCATGGTTCCGACTGTCTCTGCGCTCTGGACGATATCCTCCTCTGTCCCGTCGTTCCGCATGATCATCGAAAGGACGTTTTTTGTTGTATGTTGGCCCCAGTGAACCAGGTCCGGCCTTGCCGAGTGTACCAGGACCACTCTTCAAACCAATGCCAGAGAAGTGCCTCTTTCCTGGCGCAGGAGGTCCTCGAGACGCGCTCTGGAAGACAGACGGCTCATCCTCATCGTCAAAGCTCTTTTCAAACTCTGCAAGCACAGCTGCAGTCTCAGCCTTCTCCCTGGCCTTCTTCGCCTCTGCTTCTGCTTTCTGCCGTTCAAACTGTGACTTCTTCGAGGGCGCACTTAACTTGGACGTGGTTTCTGGGAAGTCAGCCATGATGGACAAGCATTACCACATGCGAATATCAGTGATCTGCTGTATACCTGGCTAGTGCAAGGCAATCATGGCTGCCTAGCTGCAGGGTGCGAATCTGACGCATCAGGGAAGTTTTGGGAGGAAACGCGAATATCACGAAGTGGAGCCCGGAAGATGGGGGTCTGCGGAGGAGCGACCACACCTACGCCTGCCGTTTACAGCAATCACGCCTCTATATTTCAAGTTTGCAGCATCTGGTGTGCTACGAGAGATATTCAGACTTCCCTGCTCATATGATCTGACCGAGCTGTTGCTCATCTACCACTAAACCACGAGAATGTGCCCGACCATGACTCATTTCCACTATTCCTTGACTACTAAGCTTCGGATGCAGAAATCGCCGATTGCTCAACCGGGAGAAGGTGAGTGTTACTCCCGTTGTACTTTGGTGAGTCTTTATCATCCATCTCGCCTACATACAGGGAAGCATGGAAGCTCCAAGGCCCAGAGCCACTCCCCATGCCATGTTTGACGGCAGCCTGGAGACCAACGTTGCTCCTGCAGCTGCAGCTCCAATCCACTGAACGCCACCAACGTGGTTGACTTGCTTCTCGACACAGGGCGCACTGATCATCGGAGTTCACAGTAGCTGCTTCGCGCCGAATATAGTAACGTCCTGTCCTGATCATTTTGGGCCTCAAGCACGTGTGCTCGGCTGTGCTCGCCAGATGAAGGTTTGACATGACCTCTTTACAAGCGCGACCATGCTTGCAATTGATTAACACTCTTTTCCGCTTCAATTTCACGTTATGACTAGCGATATCACGATACTGACACCCGATGATCAATTCACACCAGGTATACCATGGTCAGTACATGAATGGGCTGACAGCAGTACCAGTCCAGACGAGCAGTCTCTGGACAAGAAGCCAACACGAACGCTTGCCCCGAATTTAACAAGACGTTCACACAAGAAGTCCAGGAATGGCTGTTTCTCGTGCAAGGCGAGGAAAATAAAATGCTCGGAGGAACGCCCAACATGCACACAGTGTAAATTGAAGTCAGTTGGCTGTCAGTTCCCTTCCCACCAGCCGAAGCGGGATATGGCAACAACTCGCCGCCTTCCCACACAGCTTGCATCGAGTCCAGCAACGGTACAGTTTAGCATGAACGATATGCAGTTCTTCCATCACTTCCTGACCATATCTTTTCCTCATCTACCTCTGGGTAATGACGATGTCTGGATTAGGGACATACCTCAATTTGCGCAGGAGTATACGTACTTGATGCATGCCATACTCGCCCTAGGTGCTTCACACCTGAATCGTACGGCCCCTCTCGCCTGCTACGAGAAAGAGGCCTTGATACACAGAGGTCATGCCATCAATGGGTTGAACACATGCATGGCCAAGACGAGTCATGCCTACGGGGAAGCAGATGCTATGCTCGCAACCTGCTACGCACTCACATTTCAGTCATCATATATGGCTGATGGTCTTTCCGATTTTGTCATTTTCGTTCGTGGGTGTGCCCTTGCGACAGGCAAGATACGCGACGAGAACGCGCCAACTGCCTTCAATTTGTCACCAAATCGTCATCACCAAGTCGTCCGGCCTCGATTGCCAAACCTGCCTGCTATTGATCCTGCCCACCTCAACCGAGGCATTTCAGCACTGGACGAAATTCAGGTCTATCTCTACCACGAAGCTGAACACAAATTCTACATTGCTATGCGCGATGTCTTTGTCTCTCATCAGCAATCTCCTGGCGCAGGTTACCTCACTTTTATGAACCTGTACCGTGTATGGTACGACCTTGATCATGATGCTTTCCGAGCTTTTCTCGATACTGGTAATACCACGATACAAATCTTGCTGGGCTTCTTCATCGGCATACAGATGATCATGGCACCTCTCACGGCATGTGAGTGGCGTGAAAGAGCGGATAGTGGTGGCAACCAAACCCTGCTGGGAATGGCAGATTGGATGGAGAACGTGGCAAGCAGGGTGCCCGACGAGTTGCAGTGGCATTTAGCTTGGCCTAGGACGATAGTGAGTACGGTTGTTGCTGAGCTGAGTAGGCTTCCGCACGCTGAGCCGGCTGTATTATATACTGGAAGTTATAAGAAGTCAGAGGAAGTGTCTGGGTTGCTTGCTGTGACTGTTGAACAAGTAGAAGCTATCACAGCAGCAGAGGCAGTGTCGATGTAGGGCACAGTTTTTTCCAACTCCACCATGTATGGTCCTCGCGGTCTGAGCACTATGTAAATTAGTTCGGCTAAGATGTCTCCATAAAACTCTACTCTGATCGACTCTCATCACTATGGCAGGCCAAGATCTCTGGTGTGATTTCGTATAGCACGAAGCGCCACAGACCATCCATTGCTACCATGCTCGCGACGATCGGAAGTCCGCACGCGATACCACCATACCGTACCGCGAGGCACAAAGACTTGGCATACAATTCACACCCTCCAACCGCCAAGCAAAACAGCCAGGCATGAACGCAACACTAGCATCATCCCTCCTCGCCCTCGAAAACGACCACGCCCACTCCGCGATCACAGCAGGCGGCACAAAATGGCAGACCGGCATCACCAGTCTCGACAAAGAACTACCCAGCAACATCTGGTCAGGCGGTAACGTCGTCGGCATAGGCAGTATTGAGAGCTCAAGTATAGCGAATCTGAACATCAGTCATGAACTTATAGTTACGCATCTCATCGAGCAGGGCTCAACTACTGCGAAAGAAGGGCAGGAAAATTCTCAGACGGTGTTCATTATCGCGCCTGCAAGTCAGGCTGCGAGGTTGATTCAGGGTATTTACTCGCTACTGAAGGCTAGGCTAGTGGTGGTAGCTCAATCCAGGCCAGGACAACATATATGTCAGCAAAGACCAGCCAGCAACTCCGACCCAAAAGCTCTATTAAACACAGTCTCGATCATGCCCTATCTTGACGCAGCAGGACTTCTCGAATCGCTCTCTGAAGTCTCTTCAATCCTCAATTCTCAAGCCAGACAACCACGACGAACTATCATATCCATCCAGGGCACAACGCAGACGATCAATCACCTCCAGCGGAGGTCAGGGCTTGTCCAAGCAGCGGCGCTCCTCAGCTCGGCTATGTATACGCTCCGAAATATCACGCGTGCTTCCCGTGGGTTATGTCTTGCTGTGGTGGAGGTAGATGTTAGCTGGGGAAACCCGACTGCAGTAGCCTCGACTGCCAATCCAGCTGTGAATGTCAGTATGAACACTGCGCCAAGCCCGTCGAATGTTCCATTGGTCAAGGTATCTCCTCTGCAGACGGCATTTTCTTCATCGACGGGGAAAGTATTGAGGATTGATTTGAGTAATGCTTTGACACGAGTGGTTGAAGGAGAAGTGGATGTGTTTCTGGTTGTGCATGATGCGGATGGGAAGATCGATGTGCGGAGGGAGGAAAGACGTATTTTGGAGGTGGTGAAAGATGAGAGGCTAGGGGTCGGAGAGAGGACGTTCGGAAGATGGTGTATATGGAATGGGTGAGCTAGGAATTACCTACTGGATGCGCATGCTTGTAGGCTATATCGAATATGTTAGTGACCACCTAGCTGATGTCAATTCCCCGTTAGCACTTTAAGGCCGCATGAAATCGAAATCAAGGTTGAGCAGGATACGTCTTGGTTGTTGCTGCAGAATGCAAAAAATCAATATGTGCCGTTCTAACTCCTCGCTGATTGCCTATCTCAAATCACAAACCTGGTATCTTTATGCAAATCCGCTTATTCCGCACTTATCGATCTTCAAAAGTTGTTGCTACCTTAACTGTGTCTCGATATTCTTCTGTTGGGAGCATCGCCTCCGCCAAAGGCTCCTGGATCGACGGTTCGATAATGGCCGCTCCTCTTCTTCCGCCTTGGTGGTGGTTCTGGACTGTGCTCCTCAATGACTTCCACAATGTCATCTTCCTCCTCTTCGACTACCACTTCTGGTGGCTCATCAACGCTCATCTCTTCCTCGACTACAACCGTCTCGGGCTCACGAGGTTGGCTACGCCGTGTCTGGCGACTCGTCCTCCTGCTTTCACGTCTGCTCTCCCTCCGTGACTTTTCGACGATTGGTGGAGCAGGGGCTGGTATTTCAGACATTGAACTGGCTGTAGGAGAGCGTTTGACTGATCTCGAACCGCGATGCCGCCTTATTATCTCTTCCTCGACTACTTCTTCTCTGTTGCCGCTATAGACCTGCCGTATTATAGCAAGAATAATGAAAAATATGAGTAGAAATCCAAGGACTGCACCTAGAGTTATACCAACGACGGTACCAGGCGAGGGAGAGTCGTTGAGGTTGGCGTACGTGGTGGGTATCACCAGTACTTGCTGCTGACGCTTGAAGTGATTGAGGTTGCCTATGCCTGTAGCCGATGAAGAGCTGTCTCTGGCCGTAAGACTGCTGGAGGAGGTAGCTGCATTCCCAGCAGCCAGAGCATGCGCACGATCTATTATCAAAGCGAATACGGATAATAGAGGAGGGTTATTGGGATCTTGCTCGGCTCGAGGCGAGAGGAGGTGAGGTATATGAAAGGCTATGGCTTCTGTCGGTGCCATTTTGAGTGTGTAGTTGTGCTCTGTTTGACCGAGCCCTATTGCATTGTCCTATGACCTGAACGATTGCTGTCGAAAGACTCTAGGTTGGGCGGCACTTTGTGGAGAGCGTCTTTGTAAAGCTGAAATGATTGTTAACGAAAGACTGAATTGTGACTTCAAGGAAACGGGAGGTGTCGAAGCTTGCAGCGGTATGAGCAACGACCACAGTTTGAAGAGTGAAGAGAGCGACAGCAAGCGAAGAGGTAGGAAGAGAGAAGCCGTGATGATGGCCCTCATGGCCGCACATGCAAAATGCGGAATCTCGAAGCGTGCCCTTGTGCTTCTGATTGGCGGCTATGCTCGGGATGATCCTTCCAGCCACGCTTAAATTTCAAAAGCTTGCTGACTTCCAGGGTTGCCCTTGTCAAGTGGGTGGCTGGTCTTTGCGCCAATGGCTCTGACGTGGTACACGAATATGGACCGAGTGGTTGGGAGATCATCACGCAACAAATGATTACTATACAACTTTCATCTGTGTCCCGTGCAACTGCAGCCTGCGGATGTCCAACTCCGTTTCAGCTTGTGCAGTTACAACGGTATTTCAAACGTCCATCAAGGCCAGGATAGAGTACGACAGCTCAGGCTTTGTGTCACGTTGCTCAACAGCACCCATTTGATCTTGCACTATTTGGGCGAAGTGCATGTCAGATCTTACATACTAATACAGTGCATGTGCTCAAGGCCTAGCATTATCAGCTGCTGGTGTGGGGAGGTTTAGGGTTGCGAGGACCGTTGCGTACTCGAGTCAAAGGATGCAAGCCAAACCTCAGTGTCAATCTCAGCTGGCACGAGAGCGATGCTGATAGAACACATCTTGTGAACCATAATGTGTGGTAATCAGAATGAGGAAATCATCTAAATCTCATGTGTCTCGTGCTAATTGTGCGGAAGAAGACTGCACCAGAGAGTCGTTGTCTCGTTATAGCTGTCCCGTAATCCTTACATCTGCTCATGAACGTGTGTCGCCAACCTGGCCAAGAATCGACATATCCAACAATACCATTACTCCTTGAACGCAGTCGCTGTTTGAAGGCAAGCTCATGATTTAGACGCTGATCATCAATGACTGAGCTTTGGCTTAATCCTCCCAACTCTTCTCAACTGTTTCCTTGACCCGCTTGTTGTACTCTCTTCGGTTCTCCTTGTACAGGTTGCTTGCCTCAACGTTGGCAGGGCTGCTAGTGTTGGGATCGTTCAGTAGACTTTGGATACTCGTGAGGATCGCAGCAACATCGTAGGTCGGACTCCATCGGTTTTGCAGAATATCCAGACACAATTCGCCTGTGCTATAGACGTTTGGATGGAACATAGTAGACACAAACTTGACTCCCGGTGGCTTGTTGGGGTATGCCTCTTCGAATTGCATAACAAGTCGAAATGTACCGTCCTCGAAAGGTGTATCGGCCGGTCCTATTATGACTGCGTTCCTATCAGGTCATTAGCAGGATGTCTAAGCTCGAGTAGCCTCTGCAAACTCACCATGTCATCACATTGTCTGCAATAGGCGACGCCGACACACCGACAGGAGGGTCTGTTTGCATTCGCTGAAATATATTAGCTACCTGCTTTCCTCCACCACTCTATCTGTCGTTCTCACCTTGAAGTCACGCATGAGGCGACGCCGTGCGGAGGTCGACATTTCTGATGCTCGTTTTTGAGAAGGAGACGTGAAATGTTGTAGAATGTAAGACGTTGTTCCGCAGTTTCGAGACTATGTTCGATATCGGTGGTTCGACAGCGTGGCCGTAATTCTTGTGAAGTATAAGGACGAAGGTCAGTACTGAAGGCATGAGGCTGCGGAGGACGCTTTCCGTCTCGGTCAATGCGGCAAACGGGCATGCGACTTCCGCCCCGCCCAGCCAGAAGTGACGAGTTGGAGCAGCCTGAGGCGCCCTCGCTCGGGTTATCCTTTTGGCCCGCTTTTCACCAGCTTTGGGCGTTGAGAAGTAGCCTATCTGATTCACTATCATTGCACTTGCCAGGATTGACGACCACTTCAATACCGAGTGAAGGCATGTACGTAACATCGCCGACGTGGCTGCTTCTGCAGCTCTTGCAGCCTGCATTGCTGCTGAACCATGGAAACGCGATCGTGCTTCCTAAGCATAGCCACAGTGTCCTTCACGTATCTGAATCTGGTTCAGCCACATGATATCTGCTTAATATGACAGAGGCGGAGGAAGCTGACAAAACAGTGAAGGCAGCACACGTCGAAAAACCAACCAGAAACACAAAAGCTTGGTGGCAGGACCTGACAAAATGGACCGATGATGAGTTTGAGGAAAGGCGAAAAGCTATCATCACTCGCATCCGCGAAAAATGGCCAGAGGAGTCCACGCTCAGTGGCCGTAACCAGAAGCATGAGGTTCGACAATGGTTGCAGCCACTCGCCTCTACCTTTGACGATTCCAATTAGCTCGAGCGCGTTAAAGAGACTGACAGATCAGAGCGTCAACTCTCACCCTATACTAGCTGGGCTTTTTATTTGAACCGGAGCTACCGCGTTCCAAACCCTCCTGTCACCACGCCCACCTACGCTTTCATACAGCCTGATCATATTTTACCTTCAGTGAATAAACGTCGTCGTTCCGTCCCACGTCAGCAATCCAGTTATTAGAGCGAATCGACTAACCAAGGCACCGCCGAACGACGTCTCACCAAATCAGAGCAAAGCACCGAGCCGCCTTGTGCATTTAGGGACGTCAAACCTCAAGCTTTTGACTGGGACGATGTTGAGGTTGAATTGGTGTCTCTCATTTAAGGCTGGGCCATGTCTGGTTGCCCATGTATGACCTCAAGCCTGTACCGAAGGATCGTCCTTGTCACTGGTCTGATTTCAAGCTGACTGAGCCTTACAAGCAGTTTACCATGAATACTGGTAAATCAACCGATCCTGTCACGCACGAATTTGTGTATTCGATAGATACTGAAACTTTCAAATTCCATCGACAAGGTGTCTGCAAGATAGTACTAAGGCGTTTCTCACAACACTCCACTACCATCGATCTTCTGCCTCTTCTCGTTCAAGATAGAACCAGAAGTGATGAACACCTGGAAATTAGTGCACCACGACATGCTACGGAAATAAAGTCTCCACAACACAGCATCAAGAGTCCTAGTGGTCAGGCCTGGAAACCCATCAACGATGGAAAACCACCACACGAAAATTTCAGCTCGTCAAACGCGGACCGGAGCAAGGTGACTCCCCATGCTGAAAGACCTACCATGTCGCATTTCGCAAATACACACGGAACTGGAAGATCTCGTTTGTCGGGCTTTGCAATAGATTCTGCAGATGAAAGCTCTTTCTCGCCTAGACCAGCTAAGCGACTCAAGCATGCATTTAGTCCTGACAGAACTGGGCTTATCGCTCATCAGACTGATCGCAAGGAGGTTCGAAGCTTACAACGCCAGGAGACTGCGTCCTCTGACGAAGCTGCCGAGGGTTCGCAGAAAGATGCAAGTTGACATATACCTAGACATACCGAGAAGTTTTTGTTCTCTCAGACGGACGCATCGTCAGACGATGAGCAGCCGGACCTTCCTTCAGTGCCTAAGCTGTTCAAGGTCGAGAAGAGGTGACAGCACCAGCAAGAAACCTAGTGTACACGTTACGCAGCGCGAACCTATCAGACTCGACACACATAATTAATCGAGAGAGTGTGATCATTATTGTTAGCATCTTCAAGTGCTCGGCTAAGGACCACTCCCAGTCACGGCTTGGTTCATCAATCGTCTCAGTAATAGAGGATACCAAAGTTCTGCTACACAGAAATGCTCCGGCCGAGTTCTGAGCTCCATGAGAGGAAAATGCAACACCAAGCACACCTCGTACTCCAATCTTGTGTATGTTTTGCTTTACGATTCAGGCTATATACACAACTCCCAAAATGCTTTTCGGTACTTCCATGTATACTTCACTTCCATTTCCCTACTGATCTGTATTAGGTCACTTTTATGGCCCTGTTTCTAATCCGATACTTTACCCATCAGGCATGTGGTCTATATGAGGAGCTAACATGCTGGCAGCTGATACGTCGAAGCGCGAATAGGAGCTGGTCTTGGCGGGAATGTGGATTCCTGTATCCCGAGTACGAAGGGTATTCGTTTTTGATATGAAGATGATACGCTGCACAGGGGTGCGAGATCAGGCATAGTATCAAGCATTTTCGGTGCTTACCAGATGTCTGCTATCGTGATCATGTATAAGAGAATGGCAACTGCTCCACGGAACGTACTATTACCCAACAAAGAAATACAACTCGAAGGCAGCAAAGACAACAAAGTTACAACCAGCCGACTTCTATACAAAGAAGACTGTCGAGCTAGTTCCAGGACGGGAATTCAGCACACGGACGATTCAACTCCCAGAAGTTGACGCTGCGGTTCGTAAAGTTTTGCTATCGTTAGCAACCATGTCAGGTAGCTCAGCACAAGGTCGTCCAAATCCTGCCTTCCTAAATAACGTACCAACAGCCATTACAAGTACAATATCTTCAAGCACTACCTCATCCTCTACGTCCTCGTTGTCCTCGTCGTCCTCGTCAATAACTACCGCAAGTACAACATCAAGAACCTCGACCTCAACGAGCACGTCTCTCGTCAACTCTGCCACCGCCACAAGTCCGTCGTCGCGTCCCGAACCAACATCAATCTACTTTTACCCCCCCTCCGTTCCAACCACCATCGTATTCTCCGTCCTCTACTTCGCCCTGATCCCATACCACTTCTACCTCTCCATCTTCCTCCCTCACATCCGCCGTTCCGTTCACCAGAAACACACCTACACAATTCCATTGTTCATCGCTGCAGTCCTCAGCACTCTTGGATTCAGCCTACGTATCTTCTCCATCTCTTCCGAGTCCAGCCGCTCAAGCATTGGTCTCTACGCCTCAAGTCAGACGTGGATAATTGTCGCGCCGATCTTCGTCTGTGCGACGCTATACCTTCTGATTGCCCATTTGATCAGGCTGTGTCTACCCGAGGGACGTGAAAGGGTGTTCCTCGGCATCAGTCCGAGATGGCTGGGGAGAGTCTTCGTCACGAGTGATGTGTTGAGTTTTCTGTGTCAGGGGGCCGGCAGTGCCATCGCAGCTAGTGGCAACTGGCAGGGACCGAGTAAGGATGTTGGAACCAGCATTTTGATCTTAGGACTCGCAGCACAGCTGTTTACCTTCACGATATTCATGATCGTCCTGGGGTTATTTTGCAAAAGGGCCAGCAGCGGGCACACCGACTCCCGAAACAACAGCGCAGAAATGGCAGCCAACGACGGCGGCATCTTCACCGCACCTACCACCACCAGCACAAGCGAGAAGAGCCGAGAATTCGGCTTCAACCCCCTCCACAAACAAGTCGTGAAAGGAATGTGGATCGCTAGTATTCTCGTCGAGGTAAGTCTCCCCACCTCATTCCTACATAAACCCCCATGCTCATCTCACTAACATAAACCCTCTTAGATCCGCTCCATCTACCGAACCATAGAATTCAGCATGGGCGTCGAAGGCTACCTCTTCCAACACGAGTGGCCGCTCTGGGTTTTCGAAGCGGTACCGATGTGGTTGGCCTTGCTTGTGTTGGGGATCTACCATCCGGCCAAGTGGCTGCAGCAGAAGAGGAGGAGTGCCTTTCTTGATAAGAGTGATAGACGTGTTGCGCAGGCGGGTGCTGTTGATTTGGGATTACCGAAGTAAGTGTGGGTGGGAGAGCGGTTGTGGAGAGCCTAGGGGGTGGGGTTCTGTGTGAGTGTTTCTAATGCTCCGTAACACCAAATGCATGCTCATGAGCATACAGTAGCTTGTTGTGAGGGAAGTATAGAGGATGAATTTTGTGTAGATAATACAGTAGACAGAAGAGGTTGTACCATCCATTTTGAATCTATGATGCCACCACGTGAAATTTGCATATCTGACGGCAATAAATGTCGCCAGTCAATGAATGAATTGCTAGTGTGACAGCGAAGGTCTTTTTAGATCTCTACCTCATAAGGCCAATACAATCGACATCACATCCTGAACCAAAGCTCAATCTACGATTTTCCTGGAAGAAAAGCTTGCCTGCGGATCCTCCACAGCCGTCTGCTTCCCGTCAGCCAAAGCAGTCATCTCTTCCAATTTGCCATAATCGACATCATCCTCATTCATGGGCTCGGTGGGGCCTTCCGATGCAGGCTCTACGTCGACCTGTCTGTTAACACTGCCGGAAATTGGCGTGGTAGTCTTATTTAAGAGGTCATGCTTTCCTGTTACAGAATGAGTATTCGCCGGTTCAGGTGCGGGAGCAGAGACTTGTTCATTTCGTACCTTGATGGATTCGTCTGCCGCCTTGACTTCTGGTTCATTTGTTGGCACTCTCTGTATTTTTGCAGGAACATCGGAGTCTGAGGCTGTTGTCTGTTGGCTGGCTGGCAGGACGTGTGTTGTTTCTCTTGAGTTTTCTCGGTCAATTGGCTCTCCGTCCAATGTGCTTGCGGTCGTCTTTCGTGTCAACTCTCCTTCAAAGTTCTCGTTGTCCCCTTCTGGCACAGGATCGGCTGGCTCGCCAGCTGTGTTTGTAGCAAGACCACTGGCGAGTTGTTTCGGTGCATCGATAGGTCTCCCAGCCAAGTCGTCTTCGGCCTTGGTCGTCGGAACTGGTACCTGTGCAGCGTAGTCGACCTCAGTAGTACTTCCAGGTTCTGCGTCAATCATAGACTCTTCCTTCACGTTTGTTTCTTCTTGCGTCTCTGAGATAGTACTGAGCTCGTCATGGTCATCTATCCGCCACAATCCTCGTGGCGCAAACATCGTAAACGATGCCGTTGATTTTGTATCAGCAGCAGCTTTGGCGGGAGCTCGACGTTGTGGACCTCTAGCACGGCCTTTCCTAGCATCCTCCAAAGGCTTAGCTTCGATTTCCGGTTCTGGTTCCTTCTCTTTCGGTGGACCAAGTCCGAGTTTCTTGTTCAGATCGTTCATGAAATTACCTCTCAAGCTGGCGAAATTACCACCAGCAGGTCTGGCAGGAACTTGTGGTTTAGCCTTTGCTGCCACTTGAGTGTCGGTACTCTCAGTAGAGCCTGCTGAGGTTACTCTGGTCAAGTCCTCATCCGCAGCTTTCTTACCTGGCCTCGGTGGTACCTGTGGCTTGGGCCTATCTGGTAGACTCGGTGGTGAGATCTGTTTTGAGAGCAGACTTGTATCCGTGGGTCTAGCATCAGTCGGAGACACCTGTTGCGTACGCTTCTGTGGCCGTACTGGAAGTTGCGGAGGCACACTCGGCTCGACTTGATTAGAAGATGCACCTTCACCTAGTCGACTCTTTGCAGGTCGTTCTGGTACCGGCGGCTTTGACTCCAGCGGGCTTGATTCTGGTTCAACTTCGGGTGTGCTAACAGTTGTGGTCAGGTAGTTGCTGTCGGGAGTGTCTTCCCAAATGTCTCGACTCGGGAAGCGATGAGCAATGGCTGGGCGGGCTTTTGTTGGCATATCATCCCTGAGGTGAGGTGCAAATCTGGACTTGGCCAGTCTTTCTTCTAGTGGTGCTAGATTATGTTTGTCCTCTTCTGGAACCTCTCCTTTGCGTGCGTGCTCAGCTTCTGGGGATTCAAAGGTGGAAGAGGCCCTCAGCTCCGATTTCGAGCTGTCGTTTTGTGACGGAAGGTCAGGGGTTGATACCTCGGCCATGTGCATGGCACTGCTCGGTGTATCCTCCCAGATGTCTTGACTTGGGAAGCGTCTTTGCAAAGCATCTGGCCTTCTCTTGAAACGTTCTGCAGTGGTGAGAGCCTTTCTCTCCTCACTCTCCTCGAATAAAGGCTCGTACTCGGCGACATCTTCCAAAGGTGTATGCATATGATCTCGGTCGTCCTGATGAGAAAGAAAGCGGGACAGAGAGTGGGAAGCGCTGTGTAACTGGTAGATGCTGCCAGGTCTGCTTGCAGGTCTAGATGTTGGGGTCAATGCACCACCGTTATGATCGTCATGCTGCTGACTTCCACGACGTTCGAACTTTGGTGAAACAGCAGGCTGCATGAAATCTGCTCCAACACTTTTGGCGACTTCGTCTTCTGCTAAGATCGGAACCCTATGCTCATTGCCGTCCTGATCATGGCCAGTGGTAATGTAGGGTGATCCACCTGAAGTCTCATTTATTTGTTCCTGACCACCAGTAATTTTGTTGTATCGTCGGTCGGGTTGGTCGATATGATGAGTTTCGTCGTCAGTCACAGCCTTATCAGTACCATGAGTCGAGAGCCTGTTTCTGCGGATCTCGGCAGGAGGAGCATCTTCTGCAGGGAAACTGGTTCTGCGCAATGGCGACTCCATGCTCGGTTGTGAAGAACGTGTATTCAGACGGGATAGCGGCTCGGGTAGAGGTGTGTTTTGCTGTGATCGCTGATAAGTTTCCGAAGCCATATAGCCGATCTGTTCGTCAGGAAACGAGTTGATGCTCTTCTGGGTGCCTATGTGGGATTAGTTGATTTGGGGTAGAAGTGAAGACGAGCCTACCAAAGCCAGCACCACGAGACGCAGTATCTCGCACAATCTTGTTCAGTTCGTCACTGCTCAGTGCATAACTACCACGTCCGCTACCAATACCTTCGTACACACCATGACCATGGCCTTCCTCGTGCTCAAGTTGGTCCGGATGTTTAGCATACCAGTCCCGTTCGAACTTGTTGTTGGCAATCATGCCGTGGCCATGAAGGCCATAACTGTCAGGCGGTAAGAAATCTTCAAGGCCACTCTTCCTCCTGTTGTGCCTGCGACCAGACTCGCCAGTAGCTTGTGGTGAAAGACCTTGAGGAGTGGGAGCTTGTACATCTCCGAGCAAAGGATTGATGGGAACTCGCAATCCCAGCTCCGCGGGGCCGTGCTCTTCCGGAACTACAGAACGACGTCGCTCATCAGCTTGAGTCGAATCGGGACGGGAGAAACTTTGCCTCGATCTCGTTCTAGTTGGGGTCAAATCATCGTTAGACGGCCTGCGAAGACCCTGGCTTGTAGCCTGAGCTGAGTCAGTCCTGGTCACACCCTGAACCTGAGCAGTAGCAGTCGAGGTAGGCAGAGAAGGCTTTGGAGCGTGCAAGTGCAGATCCTCGGCAATTGTACGCTTCTGTGCCGCAGCATCCTGAGCAAGAGCCGAAGCTGGAGGATCGGAGCTATACTGAATGTTGGCATATTCCATACCCTCCTCGCCTGGAGTTGGCAAGTGGTGCACACTTGGGGGCCTCATCGAGGAGGTGAGGTCTTTTGGCCTTGACGGAACATAAGGGTCGTTCAAAGGAGATCGTGGATAATGTGAAGGTGATATGGATCGGTCGACTCGCCTATTTTGCGGTCGTGGAGGTATATCAGGCAGCTTAGACACCCCTTGAGCTACGGCCTGCTGCTTGACAGGACGAGGTGGGATAGTGGGAGGAGCTGGTGCCGACATATTCAAGTGATCGCAGATATGGACGAGCTTGGAATGATCAGCTTATGCCGTGAAGGTAAACAACAATTGCCTGTAAAGTGATCGTCATAACACGATCTGAAGCTATATAAACTTGTACTTTGTGACCAACATGACGAGGATAGCAGGTTTCTGAACCAGGAGATGTCGAGGGTGGGTATGACTTACAGGTGCTATAGATGTAAGACTGACAAAAGGAACTGGGACGCGTTTGAAGCAAGAAGTGCACGATGTATACAAGTTACGGAAAAGTGGGATGTCAATACTGTTCGAAGGAAGATGGAGTATAAGTTGTCATAGCATTTCAAAATACGTGTGCCAGGTCGAGGAAAGGCATGAACCTTGAAATCTGCTGACCGTCAAAGGTCGACATCGCGCGCATGCATGACGAAGTTTAGCGGGTGCCATGGCTGCGTTTACCTGCGGCAGCGACGACCGCTTGGCCTGCTGTGGATATTCACTGCCATGCAGGTCCAGATAGTTGGAGCACTTGTGAGAGGGCATCGGCCAATGATCGGAAAGGTATTTTGCGAGATCCTCAAGCACAAGCACTTTTGTGCCATAGGACCCCCAAGCCTTTTGTGGATCGTCAATGTTTCTCTTTACAAACGTTGCAACACTGAGACAGTAGGTCTCAGGCACCTCTCTGGTAGTGGACATACATAGATAATGACTGAGCATCTAAGCCGCTGGCTGGGACACTGCTGAGTATCAAATGAGGCATTTACAGTACCTCAAAATTAGCGTTCTGGGGAAGTTCCACCCAGAAGCAATGTTCAGCGGTGTGTACCAGTGGTGTACTGTTTCCATTGCCATGGTTATAGAGATTACAGCCTCTCGTTCATGGTTCATACCGCGTGCGGTTCGCATGTCTTGTTTGTCCCTTTGGTCCATCCAATTAGAGTCATGAATAACCACATTCAACATTCACGTGTGTACGGCACAGTAGCAGATCTGAAATCTAGTCCTCGCTCCTCCGCGGCATCTTGCACTTCGGAGATGCTTTGCATTGGCCCAGCCTCAGCGATGTGCACGAAACATACTTGTATTGCTTGTGCCAAATGTTCCTAACAACATGCAGCAGTAACTAGTGCATATGGAATCCCCACAATAGCCAAGGCACGAGGTCTGGGGTAACTTTGCTGCAGTACAATCCTAGTACAGTGTAAATTATGAGGTAAAACACGACTGATCCATAATACCTGGTGTATCGCACGTCGTGGTTCCGAAGCCAGAACCGTAATCAATATCCCATACTCGCTTGCTCGTGAAGAAACAGAAGAAGAGTTTTCTCTCCAGGTGAACCAAGTCCAGATGCTCAACGAAAACTGCTTTCAAATCACTCGACCCACTTAGACGATCATCTGCGCGACGCCTTGGCCTCCCAGTGCCTTACTCGCGACAAAATCCTGGTTCTTAAGACCTGCGACGGCATAGCAGGAAGCGGTAAGCAGCATGATGATGCCTGCAGCGATAAGACTGCTAGGATCGTACGCAGCGCTTAGTATCTGGAACACTCCCATGACAGCGTACATTGCAGCGCGCATGTAGTTCGTGGTGATGGTTCGGACAATGGCGTCGAATTTGGCAGAGGTTGGGCAGATTCGAAGGAGGAGTGGGATCTCAACAAAGACCAGGATGAAGGCGCAACACCTATGGCGGTTAGCACTTGTTGAAGGTTGAACCAAGGGTGGTCAACGACTTACAGCAAAATGATACTCCATAGAATAAGCAGGTTGAAATGGAATATGTTGGCTATACCTAGCGCAAAGCCGAGCACTATTGACAGAACTCCGAGCCACTAATGTTCGTCAGCAGATGTAGTCGTTTCGGCGCTCCGTTCCCTACGTACCTGAGCATATAGAGAGAAGTTACGAGACCTGAGCTCGTCCTGGAATCCCATGTTGCTGTCGATATCGTGCCAATCTTCAGATCAGGAAAGTACCTTGATTCTGACCAACAAGATAAATCACTACAACTCAACTAGATGCGTTGAGCACCAGAACCCCCTCTAACCGCAACGCTGGACGACTTGAACCCTTTTCTTAATGGGGATGGCTCGAATAGGTGCGGCTGAAGTCGAGCGCTGGTGGGTAGGAAAGGGATCTTCTAGAATAATGGGTTGAGACTATTGACCGTAAGGTTACAGCTGAATTGCAATTCTAGTCGTGCTCGCAGGTTGATGCTGTCGCCTTGTGCTGTGTATGGTCAGAAACAGCCAGGTGTTTGAAGACGCAGGAGACCCTGACTGCGCAACAAATGAGGCTAACGCTTTACTGAACAGCAAGCGCGAGGCGCAATACGCGTACTAGTCTGTGCCCGCTCACGACGTGTATTTGCGGCCACTTTTGCTGGTCCTGAGGACGCGCAGAATGTTCGACACAGGAGCACGAGAGCTTTATGTGTAAATGGCTACTGATTTGTGCAAAAGTTATTGTTGAAACGTTACGACAATGCTGCAGGTCTCGAAGGCTGAGCTCTTTCAAGCCACGTCAGCTTTGTTGCTTGCCGCACTTCCCTCACCCTTCTTGAGATGGCTCACTGCGCCGAGCACAGGCAGATCTCTTTCCTCTTGACCACTCATCCGCAGTGATAACACCTTCCAATCTGGACATCCATTGTGTGGACCTGGTCTCCGAAGCTGACTCTTATTGCCTGCTGGCTCTTGCTAACATCTCATCTTACTAGTGAGCTCCTTCGCATGGTCAAGCACTTGCTGGATATACCAGTCTGAACATGTCATTGTAGACGAAATAAGACCCTGACTCTGGCTGCAGCGTGAAGGTCTGTACAAAGTTCATTGGTTGTGCCTGGTCATCAACCATCAGAGCTCCTGTAACCAGTACCGCAATTCCTCCAGCCTGGCCTGGCTGCGCGTCTATCGTGTCGGCTCGATGCTGGACTTTGACAAAGGGTAGATTCTGCTTCGACGTCAACCCTAGGTACATGTTTGTAGTGCCGACTTCAACCCACCGTGAGCTTTTCCATGATGTTCTGTGTGCCTAAGAAAGGCTCTTTCTCAAATGTCAACATAGACGTGTCTCGCTATTAGATCAGTGAGCTATGGTCCGTCTCTCGACGTACGAGTCTTGATCTTACGTATAGCGCTGCTAGCTGGGTGCGATCCGCGTCGAACGTCTTGTAGTAGAATTCAACAAATTGTTCTGCCGATCGTGAGTGCTGATTTCTGTCGCATGGAGACGAACCCACGAGCAATAGTCTGGAAATCTGTGGTGTATTAGTTATTGACCGTTGCTTTTATTATTAATGCTTGCAACCAGCATAACTTACCACCCATCCTGAAGTTTGTCGATTGGCAGTGCGAAGTGCAAGTATAATAAACTCCTCGATAGATATAAAACGCCGTTGAGGTAAAGTATTGGGACCAATAGCTGCTCAATACAATATAGAGTGGTTGCAAGCAGTTGGTCTATTTGCGGTATAACAAACTTATGATTTGCGCCGTTGTCCCGCACTGCAGCAAGTAGTACCACCAGCCTAGGGAGCGCCTGCGTCATATGTAATGCCAAGGCTGGCGCGGGACACCTGTAGAAACCATTCAGCTTTCAAGGTCATGCTTCGAAGCTCATGATCAATAGTGTGCCACGCACCAAAGAGCTTGTTCAAGTTGCTCAATTTCTACTTGTGGGTGCGTGTTACTGATGAAGAAGACTTTAAGGTACTACAATGTGACTCAGTTGGTTGACTCGCTCCAATACTATCATCTCTTGCCCAGGAGTAGGTATTACTGATTTCCACAATGGCCGCGATCACTCTTCCTAGTCCCTTTAGCACAATTCCCTTGTATCGCTTGAGTTATGATTCTCCATCGCCTGTTCACTTACTGTCAGGACTAACACAATACGTTAATAAAAACTCGTCCCGGCAACCTCAAATCCGGTTGTTCTCCAAGCGTGAAGATCAAGCTGGATCTTTAACTTGCTATGGGAACAAGTACAGGAAGTTCGAATACATAATACCGGATATTCTTGCGCGGAAGGACGTCACTACTATTGTGACCGAGGGTGCTCTCCAGAGCAACCATACTGTACAGGTAGCAAGCATGGCCAGAGTCATTGGAAAGAAGTGTACCGTGCTCTTGCACATGGGTATAGGTGGTCTGCGTAAAGCTGTAGACAAAGACACGTTCCTGAAGGTTGGGAATGTCCAGCTGAACAGAATCTTAGGCGCAGATGTCAGGATCACGGATGAGACCGATACAGGTGACGAGAATGGCCCGCTCGTCCCCATCCTTGACCAGTTGAAAGCTCAAGGTGAGCGGCCCTACTGGATCTCGTCCGGTGCCAGTCTGCATCCGCTTGGTGGACTTGGTTACGCACGTTGTGCATTCGAAATTGCCTCGCAAGAGAAAGAGCTTACGGCATTGACAGAATCGGGTGGAAGCGGAAGATTTGACTACATCTTCGTTGCATGTGGTAGTGGCAGTACTCTGGCTGGGCTGATAGCTGGCTTCAAGCTGTTGGAGAAAACGACACAGTCCAACAGACAGGTAATCGGGATCATGACATCACCCACAAAGTCTCGCTCATACCAGGAAGAAAGAATATTGCGCTTGGCCAGGAAGACCGGTCATCTCATCGGGCTCGAAGACGAGAACAACATTACTGCACAGGACATCCACCTTGAGGATGCCTTCGTTGGAGAGGGTTATGGTATTCTAGATCACAAGACGGCTGAAGCTATTAATCTCGCAGCACAAGTCGATTCTTTACTACTCGATCCAGTTTATACCGCAAAAGTCATGCGCGGTATGTTGGCTTGGGCGAAGGACAATAGATGGCTGGGCGACAGCGCCTTTTCCAACCAGGACAATTCCACCACGAACGCATTATTCATTCATACCGGAGGCCAAACCGCATTGAGTGCATATGAGGACGTCTGGTCGCGAGATTCTCGTGACGTTGCTCTTTAATGTGCATTCTTTCTCTTGGTTTCGTGTCAGACACCGACAAACCACACCACACCGAATATTTACAGCTGTGACAACAGTGTCTATATATGCTCTCACATGAAGATACAGGATCGTCGATCCAGAGATGCAAGCCCTACATTCTCGATTTCCGATACTCGAATGACACAAAGATCCCAAGAGGTCAATGTAGTCATACTCTATTATTGACAAAGATTGGCGATTCAGAACACCAGCTTCAGCCATTTTTGCACCCGTCCGCAGTACAGCCTCACATTCTTTCCGATTGACGCGAAAAACCCCAACTTCACATCGTCCAAGAACAAAGAAAAAGTATCCACCATCCACGACTCTCGAACTCTGCAGGACCCCTGACCCACAACTCGACCACAAAGACAAATGCTGCTGCAAGTAGATAGCAGCCATGTCAAAGAATACCAGCCGAAAATGAGGTCTATAAGAAAATGAGACCTGAGAGTCTTCACGTGTTTCACCTCTTCTCTATCACCCTGGCAACCCACGATCGCTACCGGCAGTAAAAAATACACCCAGCCAGGGTCAACGTTCATTCAGTAGAATCAGTTGCGAGCAAATAATGTCAAGCCAGTTCCCGAAGATTCCTCCTTGCCCTGGCCCGCCTCCCAGGAAGCCTCTGCCACCAATTCCAAGAGAGAAAAAAAAGATACTCAGTAAGCAGGCAAGCAGTACAACCTTCTCTTAGCAAGGCAGACGTTTCGAGAGGTCAAATCATGATGAGTCTTTATGACTCTTCAAGCAAAAAAAACACATAATAGAATGTCATATCGAATTGGTCAAATATAATGTTTAATGGTGGTTGTAGCTACTACACTATGTAGACCGTGAAGCGGAATTATGATTCGATATTTATTATAGCCTCTGAATGTACGTGCTTACAGACGAACCGAGCATCCCATAAGCGACAGTAGCAGTACCATCCGCATTGTATCTCTCCTCAGTGCTTAGGCCCTCCAGGTGGTCCGATGCATAGAATCCTCGCCATAACTTCTTTGCACATCAGGCGTTTCTTCTGGTAGTTCCTGGCCGATATGCAGCTGTGGCTCTGCTAATCGAGACCACTGTAGCGTGTCCAGGATGAAGATGTATCGTTCTTACAGCCCTTTTTAGGGGAATACTTCTGGTCATACGGGAAATAAGCAAGTAGCCAGCGGATAAATTGCAGGGATCGGAGATTCACGACTTTAGTCAAGCCTACGGTGGTCATTGGCCTCAACTTTCAACGAAATTACGAATTATGGTAGGGTCGAAGACTCCACGCTCCACGCTTCGAAGCATTCGACACAGAAGATTTTGTCTATGTGAACGCTCAATAGTAATCAATAGGGAGGCTTTATCACTTTCCCAGCAGTAACGCTATGGACGAGCTCCCTTTCCTCCTCTTCATCTTCTGCCGATGCATCGACTTTAATACTAGCCAGCAGAGAGTGGAGATCAGTCTTCCGACCAGTAGTAGAATGGCTCCAAATACTATTTCCGCCAGCTCTACTTGCGGGCCTACTTGTTCTGGTTCTGCTTTTTTCTGGCTTTGGCAGCGTATTCGTGGAGCTTGTGTCGGGCCGATGTGGTAGTCCGGTCGAGGGTATTGCGTTGGTGGGTGCTGAGTCTGGGGGCACTATGTTTTGGCTGTGGCGTGCAGGACTAGTATCTCTCGGCCATGTGCCTGCCATTGGTAGGTTGAGTGCGCTAGGTATCTTCGGTACAGGTGGAATACCATTGTTGGTATTAGGATCTGTGGCAAATGTTGCCAGATCATGGTATGTCGATATAGGTTGTCCTGGCTCTTGGTGTTGTGCAGGTATTGGGTTCTGAACTTGGTTCACAGCTATACTCAGTCTCGTATTGGGAGTAGTCTTATCGTCGAGTCCGGTGCCCACATCACCGAGGGAATCGTCATCGGCTGGATTCCAGCTGACCATGCTGTCGCTGCCGCTACTATATGCGCTCTGCCTTGACCTACTTTTTAATCTGCGTAGAGGACTGTGACCACGTATACCACCATTTGTGCCTGCCAAAGCCCTCTTCAGATCGGACATGCGCATCGTAGAATCTCGACTCGATGTTTCTGGATCGCGTAATGAGCTTGCAGTACTGTAGTTTCGAACTCGAGAAAGGCTGCCCAAACCACTCGTCAAAGGTGGTGCCTGTGCCTGAGTTGGTGACGGGTTTGATTCAGAGTCTTGTGGTATATTGCGTCCGCCGAAGCCGATGCCATTCGATTTACCGGCAACTGAAAGATGTTGTCTTCCAGTGGATGAGGCTGCTGTTCTTGAACCTGTCATAGACGGATTACTCTCCTTGTCTGCTAATGCCATACAGGCTTCTCTGGACCAGGAGCCGCACATCTCATCCTTGATCTTTTGAGGTATCTGATTCTCAGGCGATGGCTTATGCACGGGACCGGCATTGTACCCATAACCAAAACCCAAAGTCGGTACGGAGAATACCCTGCCTGGTGAGGACGGAGGCGAAGAGGCAGGAGATACCAGCGACCTATCGTATGCATCGCCAACTTCGCTGACAAACATATCGACATTCAAGAAGGGTCGTATCGTGTTGACAGCAACCTCAGAGATGTCATTCGCCTTCTCGTGTGGTGAACCAGTGCCTATCTGAGCCAAACCTAGTGGGGGAAATCGAACACGATCAGACCAGCAACCAAAGCGTTTCCTTCTTGAGATTTCGGCGTTAATTTCCGAGCCGATAGACGAGCTTTCAAAGTCCAGCTTCTCCGCGATGGCCCATAGATAACCGTGCACCAAGCTAGCAATTCGTGCTTTGGCAGTTGGAGAGTGGTCGTCACTGTTCAGGACAGTGCTTTGCAAACCAAGCATCATCGGCAGGCCATTGCGGACAGCATTAACGCCGAGGCGCTCGATGAGGGTCCAAAGTAGCAAGTATAGTAGAAGAATTGCTGGCTCATTATCCGCTTCGTTGACAGCTTGGTCGTAGATAGCTAAATGCAGCAGCTGTAGGAAAGTCGATTTGGACTGCTTGTCTCCTTTTCGAGAAGCATTCGAGACTGCACGCTTGGCCATGGCAACTTCGCCATTCGTGTCTCGTTTGGCCGACCGTGGCTTTCGTAACCCATCTTTGGGCAGAAGCATATCCGTTCTGTTTGTTTCCAGCCGGAGCCAGGTGATTATGGCATCTACATAAGCCACCCGGACTTCGGAATCTGCATCTTTCAGCAACCACTGCGTGCCATCCCACACTTGGACTCCGACCCGACTGCGAACTTCTGCTGTGGAACCCGTATTGCTTCTACGGACATTCGCTGTTCGTAGAATGTCTTTCACAGCCTTCAGAGCGACCACCCTTGCAGTGGCAAAAGAGAAGAACCCATCCGTTGAAGGGTCTTCCTGCAGATGTGCCGATGTAGCGATAGCTTTGGTTGCAGCAGCCGGGTCATTAACAGCAGCTGCTGCGGTTGGCACATCCGATGTGGCTGAAGGCTTCAGACGAGCCATAATAGCAGTCAACATGTCCGAGATCTGATCGGTGTAGTATATGTGTGTGGCCAAGTCACTGATGCATTTCTGCAGTAGGGTCAGCAATTCTCTTCGGACAGGCGAGGGGGCCATCTCTTTCGAATCTGGCATGCGGCCTCTGCTAGACTTCGTCGGTAGAGCTCCTGGATCGAATGAAGCTGCGATATCTCTGTACAAGCCTAGAGTATCCGCACCTGAGGGCTGCGGATTGGTGCTCATTTCACGAGAACCAAGTTGTAGCAAGAGGAGTGTGTGATCAATGAGTCTGAGTAGGACGTCCATGACACTCAGACCGATCAAGTTGATATCCGAACGCAGTAGCCAGTCAATTAAAGAGGCAAGAATGAGCTGCTTCTCGAGTATGACCTCGACTATTGGACTTCTAACCAGTGTCTCGACTGCGGTGATGACGATGATGAACCGGTCTTGTACAGGTGTCCATCGTGCAATGGTTTCGAATAAACTAGTCGCCCAATCGGGTGTATGGCTAGACGTTGTGTCCGACCTCGACGAGGGCTTCGGTCGCTCCCTGGTTGCGATATATTTCAACACAAGACTCGTAGCAAGACGCATCTGTACCCTACTAGCCCCGGTGCTTAGAGAAAAAATTTGCTTCAGACAACGAATAGCCAGCACGCGAACCTCCTCTTCAGCAGCCTTGTCAGCATCCGCAGTTGTCTCTGCAGCGGTGGCCGGATCCGATGCGACCTCATCGACGCTGGGAACGGTAGCGCTGCTCATCCTTCTTTTTCGAGCGAGTTCCATGCTTTGTTTCTCACCACTTGATGCCCTCTGCTGCAACGGTATCAGACTACTCCCCTTTTCAAGATCTAAATTCTCCAAAATGAGCGGCATCACAGCATTCAGCTGGTCAGAAGTGTCCACGGCAAGAGCATCTGAACCAACCACAGCACGGGTTGCTTTGAGCGCGATCGTCCTTCTTCGGGTAGAAATAGGCACGGGCTGAGTCGTTGAGGCTTCAAGTTGACCAAAAGCAGCATACTGTTGAACAATTGACTTATACTGCTTGGTTCGTCCTTGGTCAGCTGCGAGGGACGCGGCATCGGCATATTTGCAGTAGGTTTCGAACGTAGGAACAGACTCCTCAATCATATCAATGTTCTTAGAGTCAAGGACGGTATTCAAGACAGACAATACGGAATTGGCATAGAGGGCTAGGTCTCGTGGGGACTTTTCAATGATTGAGGAAAGAATCTGGAGAGTAACCTGGACATTGCTTTCATACAGTCAGTATGATAATCAAATTCCACCTACGCAACACTTACCCAAGCTTGACGCGCCATACGTCGCTGGCGGTCTTTTTCTCCAGAAAAGCACCGATCTTTGTCAGCTTATTGCGACGCGAACTGGCATAGTAGAGGAGGTAGCTGAGCTCGCTGGAGTTGGGCTTGACCTCCTGCACATTCTTCTGGTATTTGGGGTAACATTTCAGCACGAGAACCTGGTGCTTTGGCCGAAAGCGATCGCGTGTGCCATGTATGGGATGTAGAAGGGAGCTCATCGTCGATGGTTGAAGGCCGCATCAGTTGCGAGCGTTGCGCTGAGACAGACGTCTGTCACCGCCGCATGATGTACAAGTGCGAACGAAGTTCAGTGTAGGTAAAGGCGAACTTGCGACGAGGAGAGAGTGGTATAATCTAGTGCTTGGATATAAATAGTGGTCGTGACTGCCATGTCAGATGCATGCGACTTCGTCCTTGAGGAGGGAATCTCTACCAAGCTAAAACAAGACGCTATGACGCAGATTTGGTCTATTGCTCCTGCCCAACGCATTCAGGCGTCTAGGCATCAAAAGATCAAACTAACCACTCCGCCTGTGGTTCGTGCCTCCTCCTTCCTCGAACTTTGCACCACATATTCTTGTAACTAAATGCTTCACTCATATCTGACTGGAGTTTTTGTGTAACCGTATTTTGACGTTAAAGTGGTCCAATGCTCTAGTGTTATGGAACACTAAGCAACAGCAAGCTTTGTTTGAAGTCCGACTATGGTTTCTGGCTATCAAATTGTGCTGGTTTCCTTCTGATGTCTGAGTAGCGCTTCAGGTCTGGAGAGAACCATCAACTTGTCTGATGCGCAACCGAAGTCGTTCTAACCAGAGCAGAATGTCATCCGTACCACATTGTCTGCTTTGTGCGTAGCTGACTATGTGTCTGATATGCTGTGGTAGTCTTCTGGTGGCTTGCTCGATACTTTCGATGTTCAGGTGGTGCTCAACTTCCATTCCCTGGAACGAAGCAGGAACTTGGCAGTAAAACATACGGCGTGCCCTTTCATCTTGCCAAGCGTGAATCGCTACTATCTCGCTCATTAGTGCAACCAAGTAGACTGCGTCCATGCCAATGGTCTCTGTATCGTGACGTGTAAGCATTGGGCTCCGACTCATGATCATGCTTTTCTGTGCTGCCTCTACCAACTTGTTTCGCAAGTCAAGATCTGAGCACTGGAAATTTGTCCTCAGGTATGCAAGCGCCGAGCCGAAGAACTCTTTCATTGTCTCGAAACTCACTACCATATTCATCTGGTTCATACCATGCTTGATTCGAACAACTGAGTTGTGGTCAATCAGAGGACCCATCTCGGGCCACAGATTCCTCATCTCAGCTAGCACATGTTCCATCCCACCTCGGTCAAAGCCTGTGCCTGGCTGAGTAAAGCATGCTAGGCCATGATATCGCTCAGTCGGAATCTGGCCGCTAGCCTTGCTGACCTTCAGAAAACTAGTACGAACCTGCTGAATAACCCGGGAGCTGCGACTGGTTCGTATCGCCTCCAGTATACCTCGGCTCTCTTCATTTAGTCCAACCTTCAGTCGTGACATGAGGCCGGCTGACATGTCTGAGATAACAATCCGCCGGTCACGCTCAGCTAAAGGTTCAAACAGCCTTCGGAGATCGAGATGAAGCTCAAACATGTCCAGATCAGCCAATTCATTCGTCAGATTTGCAAACAAAATATCGCCATCTTCTCCCTCCTCTTGTTTGATAAAGGGAACGGTAGACGTGCTGCGCTTGATAACAGGCCTTGGAGCGTCCTCGAAGTCGTGATTGATAAGTTGCTCTGGAGGTGTCAGCTCTTTCGCCTTGTCCACGATCACCTGGTTCCAATTCTTGTTTCGCTGCGCTGGCCGTGCTCCAGCACTGGCTCGATACTCCCATCTGTAAAAGATGCGCTCATGCGTGATGAGTACAGGCTGACAGAGCCCGCTTCGCGGCATGATCAATGCGAATAGTCGAACAGACGTGCCAGTGTTCTCCTTGATGGGAGTAACGACAAGAATGGGAGTAAGCACCTCATTCCACGAGATGATATGCTCAGCTTCAGGTCGAGTTTCGCCAACCAACTCATTCTCCGAATACCGAAGAAAGGTCTTGTTGTCCTGGAACACTGGATCATGCTCCTGCAGAGTGTATCCCACCACAAGGTACTGGGACACAGACGAATCGTTCCCGGCAAGACTGGTATCGAGCTCGCGTGCAGTATACGTGAGGTCCTGTCGATAGACACTGCCTACACCTTCTTGCTCAAGCTCTTTAATCTTCGCCTCAAATCCGCCCTTGACCATGGTCGCATTGTAGGCGTTGATTACCTCAAACACTGTGCGTGAAGAAGCTAATCTATCTTCCATCGCCCATCCGTGGATGTTGAAAGCAAGATCGGCGATCTGAGGAGGCGACGTCGGGACACGAATGCCAGGCGCATTGTTGGTGTACTTGCGTACATATGGCCGCTTGAGCTTTTTATTTGCTGAAGCCTCGAATCCGTTCATCGTCAAAGGGTTTCCGAAGCTTTACTGAATGACCCTTTAAATCGTGCCGCCGTGTTGCAAAACTTGTCTCGGGTTTCAGTCTGCCAAGACAGTTGAAGACGTAAAGAGATTCGGCTCAACAAAGCGTGGGGCTAGTGTATATCTGGAGAAGAAGTGGCAAAAGCTGAGGCTTGTATGCTTGAAAGTAAGGGCAGGGTCAAGTGAACTTCGTCACTAGTCAAGTCCCAGCGGGCATGTTTCGGATAGAAGAGGCTTGAGATTCTGAAGTAGCGAAGGTCAACTGAGGACAAGAAACTGTGAGAACAAGAACCAGGAAATTTGCGGCTTGGACAGGAAGAACGAAGGCTATGTCAGCATCAACTAGAAGTGATATACATCCCAGTACCAGCCGGCAAACAAATTGATTTCATGAAGGTTCCACTTACACAGACACTCTGCCTCGACAGATCAGAAGACAATTTGACCTTTACCAGCCAGCGGGGCAGTAACGCGGCATATTAGAGCTCCTCTCAGATCATATATGTGAGACGATAATTTGCGTGTTTGCGGTTCAGGTAACAATCAACCTCTTCGCATGCAACACAGTTTTCAAGTTCAGCTTGAAATAGGCAGTATCCCAGTGTCCATCACTTCTGGGAAGGAGTGGACGAATAATGCCACAGATTTGCCGCACTTACAGCGAAGCTCTGTATATCTGTTGCTATGCGGCATGAGTGATGGAAATAATTGGAGCGCCGATTATGATCTGTGGACACATTCGGTGAATATTCAGTCTTCACTGTCCCTCATTCTAGCACTTGCGAGAAAGTGCTCTCCGACAACACGCACCTATGCCTTCGAGGTCTTCAAGTCAGATTCCTTGGTAGTGCTACAGGCATCTTGATTATCTCAGATACCGATGTTTTCTTCTTAGAGTCAAGTGCGATCATACGGTACCCATCCAATCTTTGTCAGGAGCAAGTTAATAGTTCCTCTAGATAGCACGACTGACTTGAAGTGTCTTCAACTCTCGCGACTTGCACAACTCTATAGCAACCCACAGTGCAAAGTCTGGAGGAAGATAGTGACCACTGTCAAATCTTTTGAAGATAGCGACATGGTCCGCCTTACTTCGACAGTTTGCATAACACGAGCGCCTGGAGACGATCTAGACGAGTGATACAACCAAAGCAGAAAGTGCTTCAATTCTTTCAAGCACAAACGTAACGAAATTGCGTACACGAACAAGGGCTTTAATCAAGGTGGTGAAGGGAGTTGCGTTACATCTGAAAGACATGTCACCAGAACAGCAGATTCAATTCACGTCTTCGCGATGACTATGCCAAGCCGCTAGGATGTACGCTAACATCACTCTACTGCCAGTGAGGATCTCAATCGCAACACATCTGTATGTAACAAAAGGGCGTTCTGGTAATCACGACTTGAAGCAGTAATATCTCTAGGCCAGTCTGTAAGTATCACTACTTTTTGCCTCTTGTCACGATCCCATCGAGCTTGAGTTGACCTCCTTTCGAGCCTTTTGTGTTATTTCCCCTTTTGGCCTTGTGTGGTGGCTCCTCATCAGTCAGATATCCAACATCAGCGTCCGTTCCGTATGCATCAGTATGCTCTTCGACGCTTCTTGTTCTCTTCTTAGGTTTCGACATAGTGCCGGCAGCCTCATCCTTCTTCACACCACCTTCAGGGTAATCGAAAATCTTCTTCCACTCTCCACTTAGAACTTTAGGATCATCACCATATAAATGAGCACCATATGCTTCTTTCATCTTGTCCAAGCAAAAACTCCTCATTTCACTGAAATCAAACATTGGCTTCGGATATTTAGCCATCTCCTCTGTGCCAGTATCTATACCATCCCCTGTAATTTGACAACCCCATCTCTTCTGGTCGGCGATTGGTGCCTTGTTAGGCTCATAAATGTACTTGCTGTCAAAATTCTTGAGCTCAGGTACGTACTTGCGGACAAAGTGGCCTTCTGGGTCCCATTTCTTGCCGAATGCTATCGGACTATAAACACGTGTGAACTGGCTGAAGAAGGCTGTACAGCTTAGCCTGCCGATATGTCAGAAAATTTCAGATTCAGAAGCGAGGTATTCAAACTCACCACATCCAGTTCCCCACATTACAAGCTGTCTCGTGATCAATTAGCCATTCTTCGAATACCTCTGCGCCTCTTTCCCAGCTCACATAGCAGCCGCCTCTTGTCAGGAATGAAGCCACAGAATGTCTTCCTAGGTGATGCATCCAGCCTTCATACTTCAACTGCCGCATCAAAGCGTCGATCCACGGAAATCCAGTCCTCCCTTCCTTCCACCTTCTGAAGTATTCTTCTGCTTTCTCATCGTCCACATTGTACGTGCCGTCCAATAAGTGCTCCCCAACTGGCGAGTCTGAATAGTTGCTCTGCAAATGCCAAGGAATGAACCTCGCAATTGGGTTGCCCTGTGTCTGAGCGAATGCCCAACCCAATGCAGCTTGCGCTCCAAAATACATATCTCGAAACAATAGCTGTCCTGGAAAATTCGTGGGCTCTGGAGCGTTAGTCTTTCCAGCCTTCTTCCGTTTCTCGAATACTTCTTGCACATCCCACCAAAATTTCCTTATGCTTAGAGTTCCAAAGTGGTGATGTGGACTCAACAGGGTTGTACTTTGTGGCTCAAAATCTGCTGGACTACTCTTTGGTTTCTCGAATGTGCCAACATATTCTTCATTGTCGATATACGATTTTAGGAGCCTTAATGCTTCCAGCTCACCACCCTTGTGTGGCGTCATTGCCATTTTCGGATCAATGGCCATCTCCTCCAATGTCACGACTGCAAAATCGTTGTTCGGACCAGCGACATTCTCATAATGCTGCTCCTCCTTGTCCAGACCGCGCTGCCCCTCATTCACATCAGGCTTTCTGTCTGGCACCTCGTGCTGAAACTCCGCAGCACTACTAAGATCCATTTCTGTCGGATCTAATGGATCAGGCAGCCATGTAGGAGTAGGCAAACATCTCCTTGGCTCACCTTTCTTACCACCATCTCCAGGATCAATCTGCTCCGCAGCCTTCACAGTCTGAGCCATAGTCATCGTCGGCTTCCCACCATTCTTCTTAACCAACTCATCTGGATCAAATAACGTGCGACCCATAACAGTAGTAACAACCTTAACCTCCCTCCCGAGCTCCTTACTCAACGCACCAACCTTCTCAAAAACCTCCTTGTCCCGATCCTTGGCATACGCATCAGTATCCTTCTCAAACACAAGGACATCAATCTTCCACTTCCGAATAAGCTTCGGAATCACCGTCGTCGGCCCTTCACGCACCACATGCAGCTTCTGCTTCGGGTTCAACTCCTTCAATCGATCACTCAATACTTGCTGAGACTCGAGCAGAAATTTCCAGCGGTTTGGGCCAACACGCGCACGGTAGACATAGTGAGGATCCCAGGTCCAGATCGGTATGAATGCGCTTGGCTCGAGCGAGAGGGCGTGGTGGATTGCTGGAGAGTCGTGGATGCGCAAGTCTGTGCGGAACCAGTATAGGACTCGTGGGCCGTTGCTGCTGTTGGAGGGAGCGTTAGATTGAATGGAGTGCTTGACTGGTGGTCCTACTTTTGATCGTGTTGGTGATTTGAGTAGTGTGGCTTCTGGCTGCGCTTTCGAAGTGTTTCGCTTGAATTTAGGCGGCATGACTGTGGTAGAGCTTGAATATTGAGAGACTTTAGGTCTTGTTGTGCTGCCACAGTGGACGTATTCGCCACGATTTCTCTCGACCGCTGGGTGGGATAGTTTCGCTCTAAGCTTCGACCAGGAGCGCGTCATAAACGCAAATCAAGTGTACAACGAGTTACGTCGTATGGCCTGTCTAGCCAGAGTGTTCTGCAGCCCATCTTCTCCTGTGATGTCTTTGCGACAAGTATCAATTCGTGTAGCGAAGTGAACTAAGATCTGGGCACTAGTGGATACGAGAGTTCGAGCAAGGGAGCTCAGTGGTCATGACGTGATTGGCTTGCACCAAGATCGAGCGAGTGTTTCTACAGGCTAGCTCGAGATCAGCAGATTAGCCAATTAGCATCGACTTTGTGAATTGCAGGGGGTTGGAGGAGAACCTAAACGAATAAACAGACAACAATGAAACGAAGCAACATAACCATTCCAAGAACGGCAAGTGTGTGAGTCGTCAGAGTATAGGACATTCGCTATGCGGCTGCGCATACGTGTTTTTAAACACTGAACTTCCTCCAGCGAAAGTAGCTACGGCTACTTCGTCTTAAGCCTCGGTCATAATCGACATTAGATCGTCTTTCAGTAAAGCAAATATAGCAAAACAGTCAGCGGCGTCCACAGACACAACGTTGGCCCAACCCAACACCCATTCTATGATGTGCGGGTTGCCTGAATTTGACCATCGGAGATCTGAGAGACAGCTCTAGTGGTAGGAGCTTGCAGTTGACCATCACTAATTTGTGAGACAGTAGCGGTGGGTGCCTGAACCTGACCGTCGGAAATTTGTGAGACACGAGAGGCACCGCTGCTTTGACGAGAAGCAGAGCCCGAAGGCGATGCCGCAGAACTCATCGCAGCAGAAGCACTCGGGCTGGATGATCCAGAACCCCCATTTCTAAGTGAACCCTGGAGAGGGAGGTTTCGACTTGATGCGCCAACATAGATGATTGGATCTTCAACCTGGATCCAATTCTGGCTGGTGACATCCCACACTGAAACGTCTTTTCTTGTCAGTTCAGCAGTGAAGGTTGCAGAGGCGCCGGGAGCGATGGTCAATCTTTCAAATCCTCGGAGGACTTTCGGTGGTTCACCGTCGCCAAGACCAACATAGAGTTGAGCCACTTCGTCGCCCACAACGCTTCCAGTGTTTGTTACTGTAGCTTGTACGACTGCGACTGTCTCATATAGGCCAACATTGCCACCCGGAGCGCCTCCAGCAGCAACAAGCGGCTGAGGATTAGCATCGGTGCCTCCAGGAGGGATATACTGGCTGCTTGGTAGACCATAGTCTTCTTCCGCAGCAGAGGCTTCTAGATCCGTGCTGTTCAAGTAAGGGTAGATATAGAGAGGCACTCGTTCGATATTGCTTGGGAAGACGTAGTTGTTCACGTTTGTGTCGACCGAGCCAAAAGTAGGAGCAGGTTCTGTTTGCCCACTGGTGGGAGTGTACGCAGCGGCATTGACAGGCGTGACGACGAGGTTGGAGTAGCTGAAACTAGTATAGCTGAGACCAAATCCGAATTCATAGATGGGGTCAATATTGTTGGCATCGAAGGCGCGGTAGTCGATCAGAAGACCTTCCGTGAAATCCTGTTGAGGAGCGCCAAATTGACCGTTGTTAGGCTCAGAGAGGATAGAGGTTGAATATTGGCCAGCTCGTGCCATGGTGAAAGGTAGCTTGCCACCAGGGTTGACAGCGCCATAGAGTACGTCCACGATAGCGTTACCACTCTCCTGTCCTGGTAGACCAGCCCAGACAATAGCAGTGACGTTCTCGTTATTGTACCAGGGTGAAACGTCAATCGGGCCGACCGAATGAATGACAACGACGGTATTGTTACAGACGGCTGTCACGTTGTTGATGATACGGTCACCGTTCTTCCAGGCAGTCAAGTTCTTGCGGTCACCCTCATTGCCATCAACGCTAATGTAACCCTCACCTGAGTCGGCGTTTATAAAGACGAGAGACACGGTGGCTTGTTCCGCCGTGCTCACAATCTGGCTCTCGGCACCGTAGTCCGTGACAGCGAACACCTCACCTCCTCCAGTGTTGAGGATGTGCCATGTGATTGCCATCTCCGGCGTGACCAGATAAGGGAAGTCAGCGGTTCCTGAACCCCAGCCCATAGCTAATGTGCCATTGTCACAGCCTCGATCAGCGCAACCATTTGCACCATACGCATTGCTGCCTGCATCCGCACCGATAATGGCAGTCCACTTTTCTCTTCCACTGAGTGGTAGTGCACCGTTGTTCTTGAGAAGGACATTCGAAGCCGCGGCAACAGCTCGAACATTGGCTGCATGGTTACGTCGAACATCAACATGTTGGTTGACTAGACCGATCTCAGACTCTACGGCTGCATGGATCGGAGCATAGGTGTCTCGTGTCCACGAGTCGAAGTTTGTGGGCACATAAGCTTGATCGCGACCAACGTAGTAGTAGGCAGCCATGATACGTACAGCCATGTCGTCGACTCGGTATTGTGGAATGGTGCCATTCAGAACTGCGATGGTCAGGTTCGTGCCCCAGAAGCTGTCGCCTGTTAGGAACAGGGTATCGCCAGGCATACTCATGTCGAGTCCAGCAAGCGCGTCGCCAACGCCAGAGTGCTGTGCTTGCCAGTCTGACATGACGAAGCCTTGGAAGTCGAGCTCCTGCTTGAGCAAGTAATTCAAGGTGTAAGAGTTGCTGCAACCGTAAGAGTTGTTGATCTGGTTGTACGAACACATGATAGATCCAGTGCCTGCACGAACGGCATCGGCAAAGGGCCACAGGTACAGTTCGTGCATTGTCTTGTCGTCGACATTTGAGCTGAGAGACTCTGTGATATTGAAACCATAGCCTCGAGCTTCCGGGGCTTGTCTGAAGTGTTCCTGTTCGTTTACGATGTAGTGCTTGGTGCAGGCAATCACACCAGCAGATTGTATGCCCTGAATGGTGGGTGCAATCAACTGGCCTGTCAGATATGGATCAGGCGAGAAACCTTCCCAGTTTCGACCACCTTCAGGGATGCGACCAAGGGGACCGCAGACAGGCCCAAGTTGGACATCAACACCTTTATCTCTGTGTTCTTCACCCATGGCGACGCCACGAGCATATGCGAGTGATCGATCCCATGTTGCTGCGACATTGATGCCCGATGGGAAAGCGGTAACGTAGTCAGCGAATCTGATACCCAGAGGTGAATCCTGCATGCACAAAGAGTGGAAGCCAAGTCTTGGAATAGCACCAACATTTCCAACACATTGCTCGCCTTCCCAACCAACACCTGTAGTGAGGTTGACCTTTTCAGCCAGAGTGAGTTGAGAAACAAAAGCTCTAGCCCTCTGGTACGCAGCGGACCAGTTACCAGATCCACGACCCCATGGAGACGGATATTTTGGCGGAGAATATGCTAGAGGTCCATCGTATTCGGTGAAGGGAAGAATCGTCTGTCGTTTGGCGAGTTTCTCGAAATCTCCTGTTGGCTGTTACAAGTTAGCTACCGGTTCAGTCTGTAATGCATATACTGAAATCTGGTTGTCTTTGAAAGTGCAGGGAATATGGGAATACGAACTGAAGCTGAGCCAAGCAGCGCCAGGACGGCCTGCGCCGCGACCAGGTTGTTAAGCCACATTTTCCTAGTTAAACGAGTTCATCAGCCTCAAGACAAATGCTAGATAATCTCGCCAATAATGAGTCTGTCGTTTAGGGCTGAAGTCGAGGAAGAGAAACTGCTCTGAAGGGATTCTAAGCAAATTTGTACTCAGTTGGAACGGAAGGAGTGCATGTAACATAGCTATGCCATGTGTCTTGGAGCTGTCAATGTTCCCAAAATTTTGTGGATCAGGCCTGATCGCTGATCGACGTCAGTAGGATCGAACTATCCCAGGTACAGCTGCTGCCCGCGATACGCTAACCCAGCAGCTTGCGGATCTTTGGTAAGGCCTGTTGCTTAGAGCTCCATTTTACCCCGCAATATTGTCCCATTGTCACCTGCCAGCGTCTGGCACAAACGCGTTGACTCGCCGCGAGTGTGTGATTCTTCCAATCAAGCGGTCATTGTTGAAGATCTGCATGCTGGAGGTGTTCAAAGCCTTCTCAGTACCGCAAGTACACTAGCACGTCCCGATCAGCAAAAATATACAGTACTGTACTTACGTCTGCGTTTCTGCTTTCCTGCTACATTACATTGGCAGTCATCGGAAGAACTCACCAGCAATTTGGCACAATCAGCTACCAGATGTCCACCTATGTGCATTTTGAGTGACACCCGCACCTCATGCAAGAGACGTTCCCCTCTCACTGCTCGCTTGCCAGAACGATGACACCTTACTACGCAGTGATTACCAACAATGGCATCTGCATGAGTTCACTGGAGCTTTATGGGAGGGTCAGTGCAGGGATCGTCATGTCGGCTCGATAGAGTATCGGAGCGACGTCTGCTAGAGACCGAATCTTGAGATGATAGTATTCGTAGAGGTACTTGTACGAGTACTTCACATCAACCGCTTGAGTGGTTTGTGCCAGTCTTCGGTACTGCTCCCTGCCTACTCATGCACTCCCGCTCAGAATAGGAAATCAATCAAAGCGACTTGCTTTTCGAGCTGCCAAACTCATTCCCGCGATGCTGTAGGGCTTCTTTCTCAAAATCACATTCGTATCGTCATGAAGAGCAGAATTCACCGCTATGCTGCCAGGTTCTCCAGGCCCGTATGAGAATGCTTATGAGCTGATCCTTGTCGTGCTAGTGCCCCCACGAAAAGCCCCAGAGTTCCTCAGTGGAACTCAAACGCCACACGGGTCGTGCTGTGCATGGTTACGGTAATTACCCAGATGCTCCCATTATTGTCCCGGTGTTCAGCCAGCTTTCCACAGAAAGAGAATATTGACAACTGCCGACCATTTTACTGAACCACACCTGACCTGAAGCACGTTACACAACGGGAGTGGTGGACCGTTACACGTCACCTGTATGATCCGAACAAGTCAGCGGCATGGAAATTGGCGAACGTGTCAATGTCGCCCACTACCCTGTAAGAGTATGATGGCCACTGGCTTATTCTGGTATTCCGTCGAGCTCGGTAAGCATGACTGAACCATTATTGAAGCTGACAGTATAGTAATGCGAAGCGAATGCATTCACGTCAATGAGGTCTTAAAATACAAGTATAGCTTCTCAGACACATCCTCGTCGTGATGGAACTTTTGCTTCATGCCATATGTCCAAGTAGTATGTGCGGTATGAATCCGGCAGGTGACATCGCACTGTAGCCAGACTATGAAAGTGTGCTGGAGTGAGATGCTACGCTGCAATTTTGTCTCAACGGCTGCATTCCTTCGAACGACACAAGACAGCTTGTCGAATGGTGCAGAAACAGGCTCTTAACGACCTCGATATATTTCATGACTGGACATCAGCTCGTTTCCACAGCAACAAGAATTGATCACGTTTCTTAGTGTCGGAATGTTTGATGCCGTGATTATGAGTAGTGCTGAGACAGAAGTTGGAAGGTTCTGCGTTATTCATGAAGGTACGCAGTCACATAATCTCTAGTTGACTCTTCGGTGGTAGAGTACGAGACTATTGATGGTATCGATGTCCTCCTTCGATGGTAACACCTCAAAGGAGATTTCGACTACCTAGTCGTTGTCATACGTGATACCATGTCTACCCGAGGGCCTTACCTAATCCTATGTCGACATGCTGCTCGAAGTATCGAAGCATGGTATTAGCGAGAAGTCGTTCTGAATCAAGACATGAGTTTCTTTTTGTGTCAATGGCAATGAAGCCAAGCACGGAGTTTCAGCGGTAGCCAGCGAGAGTGTCAAGCACTGACCGCCGAGATTGGTGCAGATTCTACCTTGGAGTATGCTGACTGATGCAGAGACGATTGCGACAGCCTGCGTGCAGGCTGCAACAAGCGAGAGCAGTGAGCTTGACGATCGTATCCGATCAACGGGAAACAGAGTGCATAGCTAACTGGCAATATGGTCTCAACGCATCGTCAACCTGCAATATCTGCCCCGTCTCGGCTTCGAACACTATCCTTGTCGTCCACAAGGGTGCCACCTCGCGTAGAGCGAAAGTCTCTCCCTCTATCAACAGAAATGAATAGGATCTAGCAAATTGCTGAAAAGGGGTGCGGATGGCTGGAGATGTTACAAATATCCTAATCACTTCCCTGAAGACACGCTCAGGGAATCAATCCGAAGAATTGAGGTCGAATCATAGAAGACTGCGCTTTCCAGGAACAGAATGCACGGTTCGTATAGACATACTTCGCTACCGTTTCTGATCCTGACTTACCGGTTTCTATTTCACTGGTTATATGGCACATGGTCTACGTCCTTAGTCGACCACATCTTATGCCTGTGGGTGTGTGCACAACATTTCCTGGAAGTCCTACGTATTCTGTGGCACTATGGGCTACATGCATGGCTTGCGTGCGTGGGACACGCGAACTGGTTTCACAGCTGTTCAGGGGATCTTGTATGCCATTGAGGTACCACTCCATGCCTACTGTCTTTTTGTTTGTGATGAGTCAGAGTATTACGACGAGAGATGGGTTCGTACGTGGACTAGCGTTGAGGTCTCTGATCGTTTTCGCAAGCAGGAACGTGGAGGAACGAAGTAAGTGTGTGGTCGTGGAAGGCAGCAATGTCGCAATAGCCGTTGTCTTGCTTTCCGCATAAGACACCTCCATACTGGCTGAATGGCCACAATGATTTTGGGAAGATAAGATTGTGGACACTGACACATGGTGCTTGGATTGTGTTGACGACATATATAGTATAGATTCTTGAACAGGAACTTGTAGAATGCCCCTGACAGGAGAGACTAATGACACGAGAGAACAGAGGAAGTGGCAAAGATGAACGATAAACGAACAGCACATTTGCGCATAATCATACCTTCACTTCGTTGCTCTATCCCTGCCTTTGTTACACTTTAGCTAACGAACTTTACTATATTGACTTTGAGTAAGTAGACGGAGTGTCTTCCCTATACCTTTCGACCGAGATTCACTACAATATTGGACGAGTTTACGAGTATACTGTGGACAAAGAGTACATGTTTCGCTTTGACCTTGACTACTCCTGGTCTACAGTTAAGGTGTCTTCATCAGCCCCATTAACGGTGTGCGGTTTGAACACTGACAGCCTGATGGTAGCGAATTTCTTGAAGTATAGCAGTGCTTATGGATGCATATACTCATCGGTACATTTACAGTAGCGATTGGCCGCCAGAATGTACACTACCGGTCTTTCGACGCGCCTGCAAGGATTTAATGATCCCCAGTTTCAGGTCTACCGTCTCTCATATTTGCTGTAGACCTGACCCAAGCATTTGTGGACGCAGGTATACCCCGAGCTTGAGTTATTGCAACCTCCATGGTGGAGAGGTTTTCAAAATCTCAACATTTCACCTGAGGTCGGTCAAAATGAACAAATTCTTACCTCGAAATCAAGATACTTCGTGCCGAGAGCCAAAGTGGATCTGACATGACGACGAGATACGTTCTCGGGTCTGGCCTTCTCGCTTGCAAGGATTGGGTGTATGTAGAAATGCTGGTCCACATTTGCTTCGTCAGGAATGTCAAGGAATCATAAAGCCGCACCTGCGTATCTCCTCCAAGAATGTATGGGCGTGCCTGTGGCCATTTCTTTGAGCTGTAATTGTAACACCACCAGGATAGTTCAGCAGACCACATTTCAAACCGCAAGGATCTCGTGTTCAATAGGTCTTGCTCTTTCTGCCGAGAACTTCTTCGATCGAGCTAGCGATCCTCGTTTCTGCCTGCTTATCGGGTTAATGTTCAGTTCCTATGTAGTTCGTCCCAGGGAAGCTAAATTCTTGGAACTGTGTTAGAAAGAGGGCCATTGCCACTGATTTTCTGTGCAATTGTGACCGTCTATGAGCGTTGAATGTCCTCTGTGAGTGTCGGTATTGCTCAGATCCACGATTTCGTTGGAAGACCACGTCGGTTCAAGTTAGGTCGAGACGAGCTCATATTGCGTACGGGAGACTGTTCAAAGGCTTTAATCGAAAGAGTCAGACCTACCAACAGGTGCTCGTTAGCCCTAGACGTCTACATTCCTAAGCTCTGTGGGACCCTCTGCCTCGCTTGCAACCGTCCCTGCGCGCACTGCAAGTCACAATTTCAAAGACGCCGAGCAGGCACCTGCCAGTTAATGACAGTCGTGCAGATTGGAGATAGCTGACTCTGTTGCTCAAGAGCACATGTTAAGCATGGGCGTGCCGGCTAAAACGTCCTCCGGGGATCACTCCCATCGTTTGATAGCACGTCTTCTTGTGTTCAGTACTGTTCGATGAAAGGTTGTCTTGAGTATTCTGTGTTCTGGATCGACAATAAAGGTCGGGAAAGCATATGTGAACAATTTATGTAATCGCTCCAACCGTGGATAAATAAACATTAAGCTAGCTGTCGACCTTTCAAATAGTCAATATCCGGTGGTACTCGAGTAGATCCAAGGCAAGCCCTGCCTCGTTAGGCGTCGTTTGTTCACATAACCGAAGAGGCAAAAAGCCACGCAGTCGTCCAAGCACGCAGCTCAGACTTCATCATGGCTATGCCCAAGTGACCTCTTGAGAACTCCGAGGACAAACAATACCCGGGACATGCCGCAAAATCAAAAAGGGTTTCGAAACGCTCGAAATGCTGGAAAGATAGTTCCGGTGGAGATGATGTGCGCCGCTAGAGAATCTTCTGCCAAGACTTAGAGATTCTTGCTAATTTTCATGCCGCGGTTCCCGGCGAACAGCACGACTACAATTCTCAGGCATTATACGAGTATATCCTTAATTTTGTTGACGACGAGACAAAAATCATCGTCACTTATTGGCAGGGAAGTTGCTGCCACCCCTTTCATCGCAATCAGTACTTGTACTTATCTCTTTCAAGGGCAAGGAGAGAACGCTAAACACTACTACCAAGAGCGCACAGCCGGACTTATTTGCTGCTTGAGGTTGCTAGTGTCGTGTCGATTGACATCATGAGTCTAGCCCTTCGATATATGCATTATTTCTCCACTAAGTCGTATGTCGTTCTATTTCTGCATTTGATCGATCTCTGATCCGCCCCAATGATGGGAGCCGCAAGTATTGCATGTCTGTAGTCCTGTGATGTCCCCACAAGTGTTTGGACGTTTATCGGTGAAGCAACAGCAGATACGCTGGCAAATAGTACTCGGGCTGCGATAGCTCCTCAGGTTGAGCGGTCCGGACAAGGCTGAGCAAAGCATCAACGTCCATCAAGCACAGGAGATACATACCAGATACTGGAGAAGTTGTCCCTCGGCTACTGTGTAGGCGGGTCCACACCTCTTCGCACTTTCCCTACCCGAAGATTCGAGAAGAAAAGTTTAAGTCATGCGAACAGCCACCTTCGCCAATGTCCCCATCACATCTTTGCCATGATGAGTACTCCTATGGCGTGTTTACCTCATGACAAATACGTCGATCTCTTCTAAGCCCATAGCAGGAGGGTATCCTGACCAGGTTCTCGGGACTCAATTCGTCAAGTCTAACCGTCCTGCCGCGAGTTCAAGTAGTCTCGGAATGAGCCGTTACACCTCATGAACCTCGACGGGCCCAACGACCCCAGCTTGCGTAGGTGATTTTCAACCAAGAAACTTTCTCAAGCTCGCCGACATCGTTAGTCTGCTTTTTGACCTTGCGTGCCTTATGGTTCCAAATTATGAGACCCTCAACGCATGGACTATATGCAGCTTGTTCAGAGCACTGCGATGGGCATCCAATTGCCTCCCTTCTGTCTGTCATATGCACGCTTCTGGCACGTTATCTTATCTTGTCTGCCACTGAACCCTATTGAATCAGCAGTGTGACAATGTACAGTGCTACTCGTCCACAATAACATGTCTTCTCAGCCTCCTGAGGATCAGGCCACACCATGCCAACCAAAATCGAAACAAGAGCGCATTAGAGACAATCAGAGACGAAGCAGAGCACGAAGACAAGAATATCTCGCCGATCTTGAGAGAAGATTATCGGAATGTCAGCTGACATGTCGAGAGGCTGACATACAGCGCGCAGCCCTTATCGAATTACAGATTGAGAACACGAGGCTTCGAGAGTTGCTAGCGTTGGCTGGGATAAATGAACAGGTAAAAAGCTCTCCACTTCTCGTGTACCAGCGATTCGTGATACTGATATACTCTTAGTTTGTCGAGCATTATGTGTCGCAGGCGGTCAGTCAAGCTGCCAATTATCCTCAAGAAACCAATCCTGCTTTGCGCCAGCTGAAGCCCAAGATCGTTACAGTCGATGCCAGTCGCACTTTGAGCAGCAGTAGTATGCAAGCAACACCCAGACCAAGAGGGACTCAGAACAACCCATCACATACATCACAATCTGTAGTACGAACCACACCAGATGGAACGACGCCACCGACTCCTGGCGTGATATATCCTCATTCTTCGCCATACACGGCGCCCCAACATACTTCCCACAACTTCGATTGGCTATACCAGCAGGGTCGCACGACACCTCAACCAGGTCCTCAACCACGCTTTCAGCAACAACAGCAACAGCAGCAGCAGCCACCACCCATACACTCACAGCCGTACCAACCGCCAACCGATGTCTTGATGTGTGATGCATTTGGTGTGGCAGCCCATGGACCGGTTCGTGTGGCAGACGAGAACTCGGTGCTATGTTCGGTGGCAAAGCAAATGATTGAGCAATACAATATCTCGCCGGCTGAGATGAAACAAGTCAAGCTCAAGTTGTCACAAGGCTTTTGCAGGTCAGCCTACCCAGGCTCCGGTTGCGCCGTGGACAATCAAGTCCTATTTCAGGTCCTGAACGAGCTCAGCAGTCGCTATACGTGAAAAAACACTACTTGACTCTGCCAACCAACACCAATCCACCACATTCAGCACCACGCGTGCACGGACACGAGAATGCGCTGCTATAGTCCGAGGACGAATGTTTTGTCTGATTTGGCCCGCCAATTAGCAACGCTTAAGGGTTTGTCAACCCTCAGGGAGATGATGTCGTTGATTCGACCCAGGCATTTGAGACCAGCTCGACCTCATTTCCAAAACACGATGTCCGAAGTACGTATTGGGACGAGTATGCTCGGACGATACACAACCACCATACGCCCTGCTGCGACTCCAACACGTGTATGGTCAGATCTTGGCGACAAAGAGGCCTTCTTTCGCAATCCCTCACACCCGCGAAGCAAATAATGTATACCAGAAAGCGATCCCAGGCACTATCAACAGGGTACCACCAAGGGCTTGAGGCTTTGAAAGGAGCTCGATGTCCCAGGTGCCGGATGATAACCCGATTTGACGATGCCACTCACGTCCGCCATTGTCTCTACATGATGTAAAGACCATCGTATTCGGTGGTCGGCATTTTGCCCTATTCATATCTCGAGGTGAGCGCGTCTTCTGGCCCCCGGGGGGGTCAGAATTTGCAATGGCCTTGATCTTTGTGGCGGATCGACCGGGAAAAAGCTCTGCTGGCGGAGCTCACAGACACGAGGTTGACCCCTGGTCATCCAGCATGATAGCAAGAAAGGGGAAACAACTCTGCAATCACGACAGCCTCTTTGGTAGCGGTTCTCCCACAATGGATACAAGAATTTGCCAGCTCCGCTACGACACCTACGAATATGGACCTGACAGCTGTAGAGTGTTTGGAGGTTGACAGCAACTCATTGCACAGAGACAACGACGCGCGAATTTACAGTTATCCTTGTCGATCAGTGCGCAAGAAGACAACACTTTCCATTCACAATGCGTAGACTTGATAGAGGTAGTAACATTCAATAATTGATATATATTCGAATCATGGCCCAGTAGTACATCCTCATTCCGGCACAGTCCCTTGTGATTGATGCAATGCTGCTGCTACATTAAGCCTTATGTTCGCCCAAGTCACGCCAGGTACGGCTGAGTGACCACAGGAATGGACAAGGTTGTGTGTTCGCTTCTCTCCCTCTCGAGGAACCCTTACAGGAGCGCAATGGCAGCAATCATAACAGGACCCACAGCGTTTAGATTTGGTGCGTATCCTGCTACAGCTGCGCCTGCGGAGGCTGCCGAGCTGGCCGCACTGGCACCACTGCTCAATGCGCTTGCGGCACTAGAGACAGCAGCGGTGTTTGAGCTCAAGTAGCTGCTCACGCTTTGGGTTGCGCTACTAAAGGCTGTCATGTTTCCTGTTACACCTGCGGTGTCGAACGACAAGCTGGAAAGAGAGGATGCGGAGGAGGACGCGGTCGAGGCATCGGAGATGGAGGTCAATGTTGTGGTGACTGGGTTTGTGACAGCCGAAGTGACGGTCTCTGTACTTTGCGCGAGCACATTGGGAGGTAGAGAGAGTGCAAGTAAAGCGCTGAATATTATGAGTGGCTGCATGGTTGCAACTTCGAGGCGTGATCAGTTGTGTTCGAAGGCTTAGGAGATATCGAGGATTTGCTCGTCGTAGATTGCGACAACTTTGAGTAGAGATTTCGTCAGGTAAAAGAGGAATGGCTGGTACGAATGTGTTTGGAGTTCGTGAATTGCACAGCTGTCGCCAGTACCTAAATACCTTGTAGTCAAGCGGTATCAGTAAGTCTAGAATTGAAATCACAAATCGGTGCAGCAAAGAACGCAAGGCAGTGACGCGACAGCAAGACGTTAAAGCAGGCGCGGTAGGACAATGCAGATTCAGATTAGCCCTGGTAGATCCTAATCTCGATGAAACACCACTCACAACGCAAGGAACGTACGAGGAAGGAACAGAGTTGTACCTGCCCCGCGAAAAGTCTTGGGGGTGTGTCACAACCCGACCGTTTCACTTCCTGCCACCTTCTCTGTCCATTTCACGTTCGTCGTTGCCGGTGCCAAGATGGTAGAGGACACCATGAGCAGTAGTACTACATAATCGCGACGCCAATCAAAGACTCGAAGACGAGGTGGACAGCGGACTCCGGCTTCCGTGCCTGACTATTCCGGTTAAGCTGCCTCGTTTACCTGCAGAGGCCACTACGACCTCGTGCTTGGTTGCGGAACAAACACTACGAATCACCCTATCGCGTTTCACCAGCTGCAATGGACACGGTAGAGACGGCACCTTCGCATAACGATCAAAATAGTGATCTATAGAAATGCGTGCAAGAGATGTTCTGGACTTTGAGTATGGAACATTTTATTAGGTCGAATTAAACCTGACTGTGGTTGAACATGCTTCAGCAGTCTTGCAGCTCCTTCGCCACGTGCCAATCGAGATGCTCCAGAACTCCTGTGCTAGGTATCTTCTTTTTGCATTTTGGACAACAATACAACTCTTGTCCAGAATCTGAGGTACTACTGGCCTCGGCAGGCAACGAATCAGCATCCTCACCAGCACCACTATCAACGACTCCATTCGCGCCAGAAAGCGTCTTCTTGTTGCTGGAAGGTGGCCGCGCGAAGTACTCAGATACCTCTCTCTTTCGCTTTCCTGCCACAGGCTGGGCATGCGAAGTGACAACGACTTCTTTCCCAGCACTTGGTATGAAGAAGTTTCTCAGACTGCTGTTGCCGCTGGATACATCCTCGAAGTTCGAGAGACTTACTGACAACTCAAGGCACGGAAATGCTGGTCCCTCCAAGGAGATCTGAACAAGTAAACTTCTGGACAGATCAAAGAGGAGTTGCTGCGTAATTCGAGCTCCAGTCGGTATATGCATCTGCTTCGAGTGTTTCGGTCCATATCGCCCATTTATGGCATGATGCAGAGCGATTACTCGGGGCCGCCTGGAACTAGATGCAGCATCTTGCTCTTCTAATCTGCCCATCAGATCGCCAGCGAATATGGTAAGCCACTTTTCAGCTTGAGCAAGATCCTCAGCTTTCGGTGCAAATGTCTTCTGCGCAAGCATGGACTGCAGTTGTGTTCTCTCCACAACTTCGCTGTATTCAATGCCTCGAATAACATTGAACACCCAAGATCCAGATCCTGCACCAAGCACTGACTGCAACTGCTTCAAAGTGATGTCTAGGAGTTCCGCAATTTGCTCCGTGCCAAACGAGGTGACCACTTTGTTCCCAAGCTTGCCGCCAAGACCTCGGATCTTGCTGAGCTTATACTCTGACAGAAAGGCTGAAACTGCTCTCCGCCTTACTACTGTCTGCTGGTTAGGCTTATTGTGACCTGCCGCCAACTTTGCAACCACTTTGTTGCCTGCGATCCCTGCTGAGCACGAATATTTCATTAGCGTATACACTTGCTGTCGAACTTGAGCCACAATGTCGCTGCCGACGCAGAGGACAATGTCATCCCAATCTGGGACACCTTGCTCAGCGTCTACATCGGCAGCGATAAGCTTTGCATCTTTCCAATCTAGCACACTTGTTCCAGGAAGAGGAAGTCTTGAATCGAGGTGGTTTTGCTGTAGGCCAGTAGCTAGATACGGGTATTCGTCAATCAGCCGAGCGTATACTTGAGCCGAAAGATCCAAGAAGACCTCGTCAATACTAGCTTTTTCAACTTTCTGTACTGGTGGCCCAGGCAACATGCTTTTGATCAAGTCAAATGCTTTTCGTGACTGCAGTCGATATGGATCGAGTGCAGCTTTGTCAGTCTCCATATCCTGTTTGACGTCCGGCCTGTAGGCCCACGTTGAGTCGCCTTCTCGCCAAGTAGCCACATGCTGTATGATAACAGAAGGACACTGCTTTTTAGCGTCTTCAGGTCCTACGCCTCGCTTCAGGCCTGCAGCCTTTGCAGCATAGTTCAGAGCAATGCAATTCTTGAACTGTAGGACGGCCAAAGGCTGATCATTAGGTATACCCAAGCGTACTGACTCGCATTGCGCATAAAACGCGTCAAAGTCTATGAGAGCAATTACTCGCAATGGACATGTCGTAACGAAGCGGGAGAGATCCCTTAGGTCGCGATACGTGAACCGCGAACAATCACCCTCAGCGGAGGAGTGAGGTGGCGGCACCTCGGAGTCCAACATTCAAGGTCATATCTTGAAGAAACGAGAGCTCTTCATCAGAAGGTCTCACCGTCGGCGCAATGTGTCGAAGAGAAATGACTGACTTGCTTCGATTGAGCGTAAGACTTGATAATTTCGAAGACGAGCAGATACGTATTGAGTGACACGTGGTGAATGGGTATGGTAGCCACTTTCAGTACATCTTCCGCCTCCCAATACGGCTACTTTTCGACGTTCTAAGTGAAGTCTACCGAGGCGTGTGCATGTGAATAAAATGGAAGACTTGACTGATCCCGTAGTGAAGCCCATCCTCAAACAATGCTTCATTATCACACAGGTCTCATCAGCAAGGCGTCACTGACAGAAACTATGTCATTTCTGCCACACTGCATCTTCGCTTGAGCATGTAGCGCACAGCTTGAGGACTGCAGAGTCAATAGCGTTAATCACGATGCTAGAATTTCGCATGCAAGGAGGATATCAGGGCTATGCCGTCAAGTATTCTCCTTTCTTTGACAATAGGCTTGCCGTGGCCGCCTCGGCAAACTATGGCTTAGTTGGAAATGGTAGGCTTTTCGTGCTCGAGCTGACCCCAAACGGAATACAGTGCTTGAAATGGTACGTATGCATGGTAGCTGTATCTGCCAATACTCACGGCCCAACAGGTATCCGACCCAGGACGCCCTCTACGATGTCGCGCATTCGGAAGTTCATTCGAACCACCTCTTGACCTCTTCCGGAGATGGCTCTCTACGGCTGTACGACGTGTCTTTAGATCCTCAGTACCCGATTGCTACATTTCAAGAGCACACTAGAGAAGCCTTCTCGTGTAGCTGGAACCTCACGTCCAAGGCTACTTTCGCGTCGTCGTCTTGGGACGGAAACGTCAAGATATGGAATCCTGAAAGGCAACAGAGTCTTTTGACGCTGCCCACGCACTCGTGCACGTATAGTACTCAGTGGAGCCCGCATACCGATGGGTTACTGAGTGCAGTATGTTCGGACAGTCATCTAAGAGTTTGGGATCTTCGCACACCAGCTTCAGCAAATAATCACCTGGTGCTACAGATACCGATCCATTCTGCACCATTTGCAGTGAACAATGCTAAACTTCAGCCAACATTTCCACCCGCGGAAGCTCTGACCCATGACTGGAATAAATACAGAAAGGACGTACTGGCTACGGCTGGTGTAGATCGAATTATTAGAGTATTTGACCTTCGTCAGCCGAAGGGCCCTCTTCAACTCCTTCAAGGCCACAGTTATGCAGTAAGAAAAATTGCTTGGAGCCCACATCTGCCAGACCTTCTGCTCAGTGCCAGCTACGATATGACCTGTCGCATTTGGACCGATGGAGGTGGTGCCTCAAACCAGCCGGCTACCGAGCTTGGTAGCATGGGCAGGCACACAGAGTTTGCTACAGGCGTGGATTGGTGCCTCTTTGGCAACGAAGGATGGGCTGCGAGTTGTGGGTGGGACGAAAGAGTATGCGTTTGGGACACAAGAAGCTTTATGACACGCTAAGCCATCTGTCACATTAATTGATCTGCCAGCTGGTCCACCTCTACTCATATGGCTTTACGCCTACGAAGCTACTCGAGTACTCGACTATGTACTCCGGAAACCAGCTCTCTCAGTGACTCGTATGTGATCATCTAGCGAAAGCAAAGAGGTGACCGACAGAAGAGTATGGTTTTATTGAGCTGCGACACGTCCGCAAAGCAAATTAAATCCGCCACAAAATTATGCCTCGAAACAAGCATCAAGCTCTAGCAAATTGCTGCGCTGGATGTTGAAGCGTGCTGTGAATGACTGCCCTGAACTAAGACAATGGACAAGTTCACGACGTCTCACGAAGACCAATTATGTTCCAAAGCTCACCTAAGCTTTGTTGGTCTTGGCGACTATCCGTTTACCATTCTTACACCATGATGAATGCTGTGCTGCTGATTTGACGGCGTCTAGATGAGGTTGAGGTTAAGCATGTTTGCTGTGCTATGGAAAAAAAAAAGACAAGAAATGCGTCCAAACCTTGTTGTCGAAGTGCATCGGCTTTGTGTCAAGACAGGAAGGTTGCACATCGATCATGAGTCCATGCGACCCATGACCACACTCGTACAGGCACTTCTCGACGCGAATATCAGGTTGAATGAGAGTTCGTTCCATCGTTACTTTGTGACTTTGGTGATCGTCCTGCTGACGGAGATGAAACACAAACCCGGAAGCATACACGGTGGCTGACCTTGCTATTTGTTTGTGCAGCAGTATAACAGCCAGCGCCTTCCCGAATGGCTATATAAGTGTCGCGACTTGGCCAGGTCCCATCGAGCTCGATGTGCTAAGTCAATTACCACAGTCGAGACAAAGGCGACAACCTGCAATACCTCCACACAAGAAGATTGTTATCCTGCGACTGCAATGCGCGCCCTGACTGTCAGTTGCTTCACCGGATCACGAATACTAAAAATTGACACGATCTCAGCTCGTCTCCGCCCTGCTCGTGGCAGTCCCGGGATTTGCCCTTGCAGCACCCATCGATATCGCACATTATCCACGTGCAGACATATCTTCAGCACCTCAACCATACACAGTCTCGGAGCGCCAGCAACCGTGTTACGCGACATGTGGCAATGTCTGCTATTACCAAAGCACCGTAAACAATGCCGTGAACGATGGCTTCGAATTATATCAGAACGGCGACGATCGTTCGGATTATCCATATTTTTTTTGATGATATTGAAGGGTTCGATTTTCCCGTCTCTGGACCATATCAAGAGTATCCGATCTTAGACACGTTCAAAGCCTACGGGTAAGCGACTCAGCCGCGCCATATTTGACCCGTCTTTCTCGATCTAACAGATTACAGTGGTGGAAGCCCCGGTGCAGACCGAGTCATCTTCAACACTCGGGGACAATATGCGGGTTCGATTACGCACACTGGCGCATCAGGGAACAATTTTGTCGCTTGCGACAGCTGAAACCAGGATCGTTGATATCACCAGGCCATGTTCTGACGCAGAGAACTGAGCACGAACCGAGCTCGAACTCACTATGAACTCAACAGGAACTGAGTTTAAGGTAACATAAGGATTCCAAGGTCTACGTCGAGCTTGTAGATTGAGATGGGTGTTGAACAGCGACTACGAACGGAGCTTAAACTGTCATGAAAACACACAAGTCACGAACGCGGGACACAGTCACGGCTTGGTGATTAAAGACGCCACTGCTTTGATTTGTCAAACGAACTGCCATCACAATCGTGTCGGTACAAGAACTCAAGTCGCTTTCCTGTCAATCGAGACTCTCATGACCACTTGGCGAAAGAGTTTGCTGCTTAGGTCTCATATTTGAAACTACTTGCCATAGTTCATCTCACTCGTCGCCAAACAAATCACGAACCGACGCAATTCAAGCAGAGCCGGTTAGCTGTCTCAGAATGAAGCCTGTCTTATCAATTGTGAAGAGGAAAATCTGAATACTATAGCTCACTTCTTCGCACGGTTGATTGTTGACCGACTATTCAGATGTCACATTGTTTTGCTGCTTACAGTGACCTCGACTGATTGTAACGTTGTGATGCATCGAAATTTGTACATGCTGTTCTGCTCTCGTACAACGACGTCCTGCCAAGCTTCTTCCCGCACGATCCGAATGACGACATGCTCCGTTTGTGGGGAATTCAGTTACTGAACTTTTGCCAGCTCTCAATCGAAACTTTATGGACCTCGGAAATAGTTCTCTGTTCCTCCCTCGTGGTGATGTTGATCGACGTCTGCTCGTATATTTGGCCAAGACCTCAACCTTGCTCGCCAAGCTTAACAGATCCAAGTGTCTCCCAGCCAAGAGCTGCACAAGACGCAGGGCTTTCTGATCTGCTGAAGAGTGGTTCGTGTCGTAGATTAGCGGTTATATTGCCAGGGGTAGACCGTTGCAGTAAAAAATACGCCGAAGTCCTCGACATGGGTCATACCTACTCGATTGTATCGGGACAACGATCGATGCAATCTCGACTTCTCTGCATACTCGAGTACTGTAGAGTTTCCAGTTACAAAGGTTCATGCCGAAGATCTTCCTGGCGCATCTCCAGCACGGCCAATACGTATAGCAGTTAGTGAGTAGAGAGTAAAAAGCGTCCGATGACTACAGTACACGTCTGATTCTCTAGCAAAATGCAGGGCTGAACCGCATGGGAGTAGAGACTGGTGTTGCATTCGAAGCCTTACCAGTCTTGTCATGGGTTATCCATAAATGGTCGTTTGGGCGTCCACTTTACAGCAGTAGCCGCGATATAACGTCCCTAAAACCGACCATTAAGCGTGATCGACACAAATCTCGCCACTAAAATCCATCTATTTGAAATGGACCTTGCGTTTTGGTCGAGGACGTTCAGAAGCTTGAGAGCGACACCGATTCACGTCCTCTTGTTTTCCTTTATCTCCGCTTTGCGCTTCCTCGCATCTACAACCCGACATCGATCGCGTTGCTAGATTACATAAGGACCTAAAAATCTGCGTATTCTTGACTCAACAAGCGCAAGCAGCCACTACTACATCATTATTGCTTGCTAGTACGGCTAAATTCTGATAGCACGTCACAACTTGCCATAAGGACTCAAATCATCCACTTCAACGCTGATATCGTATTGACGGTTGAAGCGGCATAAGTTAGATCTGCTCGCATTGGATGCCATTGACACGTTATTTTCTGTCCTAGTCCAAGCTGAACAAACTCTTCCTGTCGAACACGTCCTGGACAAGGATTTTACGTTGTGAAACTGCTCACATTACTTGGCGCTCCGGACTTCACGGCTTGAACATCGCTTCAATCGCTGACCTGAGTGGTCAAAGTCGTGACTGATTGTGATGGGTGTGACAGATGTCGGAGATGACAATTCTCAGAACACCAGCTCATTGTCAAAACCAGCTTCACCTATCGTAGGTCCTCAACAATCTCAAGAAAAGCTCAGTACAGTGCACCTCGAAGAGGAAGATGCATCCCCGGATTTTGAGACGGATGCGGACGCCGAGTCGAAGCCTCAGGCGCCTACGCAAAAGAGACGACGTGTGACACGAGCTTGTGATGAATGTCGCAGGAAGAAGATCAAATGTGACGGGAAACAGCCCTGTACACACTGCACGGTCTACAGCTACGGTAAATTTGCTTTGCAACTCGCGATGTGGTACTCAGTAACTTATTCATATAGACTGCACGTATGATCAACCTTCCAACCGACGACGTAATCCTGCTCCTCAGTACATAGAGTCGCTAGAACAGCGGTTGCAGAAAGCAGAAGCCATTATAAGGGCTGCACTACCCGGTGTGGATTTAGATGATCCCAAGTATGACGCTCGTGGTATTGACCAGATCCTCGAGGCTGGTAAGGCGGCCACGGCGACAGCCAAAAAGCAATACCGACGACCAGAAGACGATGCACAAATGCGGTCGATGGTGGATCGAACTGGATCTCTTGACCTTGACGATACAGGATATTACGATTACCACGGTATCTCGTCTGGCTACTCATTCATGCGCAAATTCAGAGCTCAATTCGGTGATGACTTCCTTCCCATCCCGAGACGTCTTGAGAATAAAAATTTTGCCAACGTGCACGGCTCGCCGAAATCATTTTACTCTTCCCCAGTCGAAACAGGCATGTCGCTAAGCAACGACCTTCCACCCAAAGACGTCGCCATCGAACTTTGCCGAAACGCAATCGACGACTGTTGCGCATTACAGAGACCTTTGCACCGACCCACTTTCTTTCGGAGACTGCATGCTGTCTACAACACAGACCCTGATAGTTATACGAACGAGGACGTGAAGTTTCTGCCGTCTTTATACTCAGCGATGGCGATAGGTTGCTTGTTTGGACGCACTGATGAAAATGACCGCAATGAGCCTAACGAGAAAGGGTATATGCATGCCACTGAACAAGGATATCAATATTTCAACGTGTCCAAGAGTATGCTTGATATCACAGATTGTCGTGACATTTTATCACTCCAAGCAGTCATGTTCATGATTCTCTTCCTGCAAGGCACAGCTAAACTTGCCACATGCTATTCATACATCGGGGTGGCCTTGCGAGGTTGCTGCCGGCTGGGCATGCATAGAAAGATTGTTGGTAAATTCAACGTCATAGAACAAGAAGAAAGAAAGAGGCTGTTCTGGCAAGTGCGCAAAATGGACATCTATGTTGGAGCTATGCTCGGTCTTCCTCAGATGCTTAGCACCGACGACATCGACCAGGACCTGCCGTCGGAAGTGTATGATGAACACATTACTGAGGACAGTATCCGCCCCGTCCCTCATGAAGCGTTTTCGTTAATGAGAGCTACTAATGCTCATACTAAGCTTCTGGGTATATTGCGAAAGGTAGTTCGATACGTGTATCCTGTCAAATCTCAGAGCGACCAGTCAACTACTGAAGGCATGATCAGCCACAGCCTGATTCGAGAGCTGGAAAGAGATCTGCAAGACTGGATGGATGAGCTGCCTATGCAGCTCAGACCATCAGAGAATTCTGATATTGAATTGTCGAGGTACGTGATTCGACCGAGTGATTCAGGCTCACGACACAACTAACTTTTGCACGATAGAGTCCAGCAATTACTTCGCATGTCCTATGCTTACGTACAAATGATGATCTATCGGCCCTTCCTACACTATGTATCACAATCATGTCAGTCGGCGAAAACTGATAAGAGAAGTTTTGCATGTGCTGCAGCATGTGTAAGTGTGGCTCGCAATGTTGTGCATATCACGTCAGAAATGAAGAGGAGAGGACTACTTACTGGCGCTTACTGGTTTGTCATGTACACGACTTACTTTGCGATCCTCTCATTGCTCTACTTTGTGCTCGAAAATCCTGAAAGCAGTACCTCGAAGGACATTCTGAAGGACGCCATTGAAGGAAGAGATACTCTTGCTAATTTGGCAACTCGAAGCATGGCTGCAGATCGGTGCACAGCTAGTCTTTCTGTAAGATATGCCGCTTATGGTGCTTGAGGCTGTGACGAACTTACTGACGTTATCCAGGGTCTATTCGAAGCACTACCAGAAAAGTTGAACGAGCGTCGAAACTCAATAAGGACGGCGACAATGCCAAGTACTGCGAAAAAGCGACCACCTCCAACCAATGACCCTCCGATTTTTGGCCTCCCATCGTCTTCTGCTCAGTTTGTCCCTGTTTCCATGAACACACCACAGTCCATAAACGCGACTCCTCTCAGACCACACGTTGAGCCGAGATCAATCATGAGCAGGACATCTGTACCAGACCATGCGCCATACCCCTTCACTCCGGCTACGACACTTCAAAATGCGCCTACACCAGCAGAGACGATGGGCTACAGCACTCCGCAGGTGGCATCCCCAATGCCATTGGATTTTGGTCCATCGGCCATCATGCAGGGACATCTGCCCGATTTGAGGAGTGTCATGTTTCCGGGTGATAATCCCTTCGCATATCCCAACCAACCAATCAGTACATTAGATACCATGCCCAATTTGCCAATTGGCATTGAGACACCACCTGCAGGTGATCAAATTCACTCGTCAGCTAATATCGGCACGCCGGAAGCATTTCAACGATTTGATGATCGACCACTCTATCCTGAGCGTCACTTACAGCCTCAATTTTTCGGCATGAACAATTTTGCAGAGGAGCCAGGACGAATGAATTCACCAATGCCGAACACGAACAACCTACAGGTCCCGGGACAAGGCAATCAAGAGGACTATTGGAGTCACGCCCCAGCTAGAGGACGTTTTAGGACAGGTCTTACACCAGGTGGGCAAGGAGTGAATCTCGACCTTGACGACATTTTTGGACAAAGTCAGAACTGGAACATGAATCTGATGATGTCGGATCGTCAGCATCAACAAGGAGGCATGCCATGGCCTGCTGATGGCCAGAGTTGGCAGTAGAGCTTGTGACCAATCTGCCGGTGTATGTCGTGATGAAAGAGAATATCTGAGACTAGTTTGAATTTCAGCCGTGTGCACATATACCACCCTCCGACAATATGCGATCGCAGGCACACTTGAGTGTCACATCGATACGCAAGAGCCAGGAACTGGATATTCGTCGACTACATTTCAATTCAATCAGCAATAGAGACACGGGTCGACGACAGGAGTCTATACATAAGATGGATAATGGACATCTGCACATAAATTTAATTCCAGCATATTGACTACGATGTTGTTTCTTTACTGTCTCGTTCTGACCGGCCATGTAGCGTGTTGTCACTGCGTGGTCAAAAGCAGTCCAGTACAGTAAAATAACTCTCTCGTATCCATACCGGCCGTGAGAACAGTATCAAGCCACCTGCACCGACCACATCGATAGGTTGCGACGCGACTGTGCTGCATTCAGCTCTGCTGGCATGCATTTTCTGTATATTGTCCAATCATCATGGTCCAACGATCCACGCATCGTCTAAAAACGATGTCAACCACGTTGCATAGCCACTCTTGAGAAAACGTCCTCCAGCGGGACAAGAAACCTGATCGTTCCAAGACTTTCCTCTGTCTTGGTTTTTCTCAATTACTTTGAGTGGATAGAGCGGAAGGATTGGCAAGATTGCCAATTTTTCACCAAGCCGCCGCGAACTCTATTTTAGTCCTAGAAATCGGTACTTCCACATGATGTATTTTAGGGTTTAGGACGATAACGCGTCACCTTTGTTAGGGCTCGATGCATGATGAAATCAATCTTTTGGGTTACGACTGCCACTTTATCGCAGGTGGGAGATGTTGAGTGGTTGTATACGAACACTACTCGAGTACTAAATTATCCTTGCCTTTTTGCATCTTCTCGACATTGTGACGTTTGCCAAGCATAGCGACTTGTATGCGATTACAGAGTTGAGAATGGCGACCACGTGGTATCACCTCAGACTCGCTAAGCCAGTGAATTGATAAACCCTGCATGACTCGTGTGAAGAAGGAAAGGAGATCCAAATCGTGTCAAGTTACAGCTTCACTGGAACTCATAGGGGCACGAAGCTCGAACAAAACAGCCAGCGATAATGGTCACAGGGGAATCAAGCCCAATCATCGTCTTCCCAGCCTGTGATTGTGTCCGTGTACCTCTGCAATTCCAACAAGCGTTTCACACTGGCATCTCTGCCAAGGTGAGTGAATCACAAAAATCAATGTGCAGCTGTTATGTTTCGGACGAACACGGTGTTGTTAGACTAGGCGCCCAGACCCGGAAGAATGTCTGGGCAGTGGCAAGTCGTTGGTTATCGCTATGCTGAGAAATGCGCAGCCACCTTAGCTCTTGGTATCTTGGAGAGCGGAACCAAGACAACCAAGAGACCAAGAACCTTGGATCCATGCCAACACCTCTCCTCTAAAGACCAAGAAATTCCGCACTTGCTCCATAATGTAAGATGATTGCTTGTCGAAGCACCCGGGACAAAAGTCGAGGACAACAATCACAGACAGCATAAATTTCTAGGAGATTACAAACGAAATCCTTACTTCAGGTTGACGTGTTCGCGAGCACAGTTAAGCACATGGTCAAGAATTGCCTACCAAAGGCTGAGTTGTAGAACCGAACACTAAAATAGTAGACTCGTTTGGGCAAACAGACAAGAGCCTGTAGGAAAAGTTACTGGAATACTACTCTACGTAGATATGCGAAAGCCGTCAAGAATAGTGTGAGCAATTGAGAGCACACCATGACAGAGCGTTAGATTTGGGAAGCTGCGCCAAGGACTTGGCGTGGTAAGCTAATGACCAAGTGTCGTCAGTCTTGGACTTTATTGGCATGAAAGGCTTGGTGGAGTGCCAAACCAGGAGGGCTGGCTGCACCTGAGGCCGCTGAAATCCACCGAGCTTGCCATGAATCGTGGTTCTTCGTGTTCCCAGTCGCTCCAGAAATTCTGCTTGCACATCTTGGGCATTTGGCTTTCCGGCAGTGCTTGGAAACGCGAAGCATCATCGCTTGTGCGGGCGCCCCCAAAAAGGATACTCAGATAACTGTCGTACATAATGTTATGCATCCCATGGTCGCTCACTAGTCTTCGTCCTCGCTCCAAATCTTCACACTCGTAATTATCTTCTTCACTGCAACGAAGCAATAATCCGTTACTCGTTTCCTTTCCGATTCGACGACGTGAACAGTAAAAGTCGAAGGACAATACAGCCATAAGTCAACGCAGTCGGCACATCTTAGCGTATACGAATAGGTGCACGTCGCCCCTCCTTTGCGCCTCGACCTTTTGGATACCTCACGTACCGACTTCGTTTGTCAATTCACCTTTCTGGACATACTGCCCCAGTTGTCACGACGTTCCGTTGTCGCGAAGTTGCAACTTGATACGTCCCAAGGCATCTCGTCGTTCTGAGTAAAGCCAAGTTCTTGGTATTGCCAAGGCCAAGCGACCAGAATCTGCCAAGATGTCTACCTCAGACCTCCAAGATACAACCAGTCTAGCAGCTGCCGCTGCAGCATCCGCACCTCAAGAAGTACTTCAGCAAGGCCAGGCAGCGCAGCAACAGTTACAAGCTGCCGCTGCTTCTAGTCCGCAGCCCCCTCAGGTAAATTCTGCCGGCGAGAACCTACAGTGCCAATGGCAAGGATGCGGTGAGCGCTGCTCATCACCAGAAGCATTATACGTAAGTAGACTACTGGACCACATCACAGTCGTTCTGGTGTACTAACAATCATCACAGGAGCACGTTTGCGAGCGCCATGTTGGTCGCAAGTCTACCAACAACCTCAACCTGACCTGTGCCTGGGGTCAGTGCCGAACGACGACGGTCAAGCGCGATCACATCACCTCGCATATTCGAGTCCACGTCCCTCTCAAGCCTCACAAGTGTGAGTTTTGTGGCAAGGCCTTCAAGCGGCCACAAGACTTGAAGAAACATGTCAAGACACACGCAGACGATAGTGTGATCATGCGATCGCCTGAACCAAATGGTAACTCGCGACAGCCACCCAGCCTGACACAAGGAGGTGACTACCACAGCCCATACTACTCTCACCTCACTGGAGGCCAAGTCCCTCAGAGCTATTATGCACCAGCCATGCCTCCTCATGATGCATATGGCCAACACGGTGCCAATCAATACTATCAACCTCCTCCACCGGTTAGTTCCCTTGCCTCTACTACGTTCGATTGAGGACTAGTGGCCTCTGAATGCCCGCTGAAGCAGCTGAACCTCGATACTTGTCCGTCGCTGTCAAGCAGGAAGAGATCGATGAGCCCCGTATGCTTTACTTTTACCCAGACAATGCACCAGAGAAATCTGCAGGAATAATTGCTAACAGTATTCAGGCAGGACATCACGCAGGATACGGCCCTGTGACATACTATACCGGCCCTCAGACCACATATGACTACGAAACCCGAAAACGTGGCTACGACGCCCTGGATGCATTCTTTGGACAGGTCAAGCGACGAGAGTTCAACCCAGTTGACTACGCGGCTGTCACACGACGGCTTTTCGAGCTCCAGGGTCTTCAACTGCCACAAATCATCCCGTCGAACCTCGGCGTCCCAGCATACCAGCCAGTCTCCGCGGTAGGCCACGCTTACGACTCAGCCGACCCCATTCAAGCATACAGCCTTCCTCCAATGGGTAATGCAAAAACCAGAGAAGATCTCACTTCCATCGATCAGATCCTCGAACAGATGCAGGCCACGATTTACGAGAATGATACTCACATCACTCAAGCCGGTGGTCATTCAGGAGCATATGTTGCATACAACACACAACGTGCCAGTAACAGCCCACCTAGTGCTCATCCATCTTCAGCTGCTAGCCACGCTCACAACCCAAGTGTATCTGGCTCCAGCATTACTGATGCCTCGACACCTGGTCTCACTCCCCCATCATCTGCCCAGAGCTACACCTCTGGTCAGTCTCCACTGCCACAACATAACACTCCAAGCAGTGCTATATATCCTTCACTTCCGACCTCGTCTTCAGATTATGCTTCTATTGCAGCCAATGCTGCTACTATTGGTAGCATGTACGACGAAGACTCACGAAGACGCTTTGGCGGCGGCATGCTTCAACGAGCAGCCCCATCACGAAGCGAGGACGGCATGGACATTGAGAGAAGTGACGGCTCTGTAACACCACCTGCGTCGGTCATGAACAAGGGCAAGCAAAGAGAGCTAGGTTCCCCGAGTGCAGGCGTTATTGACCCTGCTCTGGGAGGTGAGCCTACGACACCAAAGACAGATGATGCCGACTCAAGACAGGAAGAGTGGTTACAAAACCTCCGATTGATTGAGTGGATGCGTGAGTACATCAAGAAGTCTCTCGAAACACCATCACCAGCAGAGGAGGTCAAGAAAGAAGAAGCCACAGCCGAGCCAGCTGATACTGTCATGGGCGAGGCCCCCGACGACTCAGAACAGAGGAAGAAGGATGAAGAATATTTGTATCCTGTGTTGAAACACGTGGAGCAAGATGCATAGTCTGCAGTCTAGTGCTCAGCGTGTTTTTGTGGGAATTATGAGTTATGGTTTACGGTACACCTAAGTGTCAAGGATGGTTGGTTTACGGCGTACACAGAGTATGGTCATACTGTCAACGAGGAGGAGCTGGTGCATTCTTTTCACGACCTTCATTGTGTCTACCACTGTATCACAGCCAGGAAGCAGTAGCCTCTTGAAAGTGGTTAAGTCTTCAGCAGCACATTCGACTGAAAGGTATGCTTTTTGTTTGTTATCAAGAATTGAATATTCAATATACTCAGTAATATTCTTTTACGATTGACTGTGAGAACTCTTGAACTTTGGGGTACTGGTTTCGTCAAACGTTTAGGCGTAACTGCTAGACACCCTGGCATTGGCCTGTTACTTGCGCAGTGGCTTGCAGCGTGCCCCCCCGGACGGCTTATTCTGCAGGGCAACCTGGAACCCTCGAAACGTCACTTCCGAACAAATTGTGGTGGAGCCAATAGATAGTAGCCATCCTCTTCCTGCGCAACCACGATTCTCCCACCAGTCGCAGGCTAGTCATTCTATACCACTAGCAAGTTTCATCTATTTGGTCGTGTTTTGATCCTGTCACTCGTTGTCGTTCTCAGGATTTCTGTGACAAAGAAGATGCTAAAGACGTGAGCAAAATCCGCAATGGATGCAGCATCAGGATCTCCACCTCTACCGTCATCGTCCAATTCTCCTCCGCAGCCTTCGCAAGAGCTCTCGAGCAGATCAGATTCGATACCATCGAGACGAACAGACCTACCAAACTTGACACAAACCCGTGGTGTGAGCGCAGCCCAGCGTTTGACACGTCCTGACGTCGGCCTGAACGAATTTCGTTCCCTACTCGAAGCTGCTCAACGCATTGCGAGCAGCGCGTCGTTGGGACTCGACAGTGGTCAATGGGTCGACGAGAGCCTGCCTGAACCTAGGATACGAAGGTCAGATGGACTTGCGAGACGAGTACCCTTAACAAGACAGTACAGTGGACGACCTCACGTTCCTGGCGAAGATAGTGGCAGCGAGGACGAGGACGAAGCCGAAGGACTGGCACAGACAACTATCATGGAAGAGACGTCACAAGAGGTTCAGCATAGTGCCGAAGAGTCTGTGCAAAACTCTGTCCTGAGCCATGAAATGGATGCGCTCAACGACTTTGTGAGAGAGAACGTCAGGCGGAGGAACGACAATCGTACGTTCCTAGAACCCCAAGAAGAAGTCGATCGTTTATATGCTGGACTATCATGGGACCCTGCTCCTCCTCCTCCTCCTCCTCCTCCTCCACCACCAAGAACTGTGGCCCAAGTACGTCCAGACCAAGCACGAGAGACCTTACGGCGCGCTGTAGCCATAACCCGTGATTTACAACAGCATCAGCACGCCAGACGCCTACAAAGCGAACAACCTGCTCAATCAGGGACCCATCCACAAAGTATGAACAACAACGGACGCAGTGACCACTATACAACAACCGGACCCTTGCCTGTGAGAGATTCTTTTTACAACTGGGCACCTCAATCTCAAGACGAAGACCCAGCAGAGTCGACCAACGAAACAACAGCCGTTTCGCATTCAGCAAGAAGATGGAGACCATCCGAAAGATTGCAGGATTATGCAAGTAGTCACGCTCGTCGTGAAAGCGCTACTGATTCGGGTGTTGAGAATCTAGGTCCTACGAACCCGCCACTAGGCTGGACTTCAGTCACCCGACCTGCGCCAAGAGAATTTGGTGACCACAATGACATTGTAGATAGGGTAGAAAGAGCTCTTCAAGAGTATAGGATGGCAAGAAGGGCCTTGAGGCCGGAGCCGCACGACAATGTGCCACGACCAGACACGGTTCGACTAGGCACTACTGAGATGGCGACATCGAGAGTGCCCAACTATAGACCTTCACACTTCCGAAGTGCTATTGATGGTTTACCTCAAACAGATATAGCTCTCGCGGACGCGCACTGGTCTGCAAGATTTGGCGAAGCGAATACACAAAGTGACGAACCGATGGTTCGATCTGCTGCAAATGATCGATGGCGACGGGACGATTCCATCCGACATCGTATACGGGAGCAAGCCCGAGAGCGGAGGCGGCGTGTTGTCAATTCTATGCTGGAGCAGGAATCGTCTGACCTTATAGCCACGGGTCCACTCTTCGAGGGATCTGGCTCTTCGACCGTAAATGGTGGTGCAGATTCATGGTTGACTTTGGAAACAACCAACGATCGAAATAGGAGGCTGCTGGGCAAGACACGAGAGGTCGAGGCAGAAATTAGCAGTAAAGACCTAAAACAGGCTAAATGCGCTCTACAACATCTCGCTCGACTCAGAGAGCCTGACATGAAGCCTGAAAAAGCTTGGAAACAAGCTGCTGAACTCGGCTTACACAACCAAAGCCTTTATGAAGAGTCAAACAACAAGCTTGCAATGTCACTGGACGATCTGCCTAGGCCACTGCATTGCTCCTGGCTCGAGCCTGGCATGATCTGGTCCGGCACTCAGTCGGCTGACGATACGAAGGATCACCTCGTCGCGTCCCGAACAAATGCAGAGGTGGATGCGCTACGCAGATATCGAGAACAAAGAGAAAGAGTTGAGACAGTAGCTCACCAGAACGATGGACTACGCATGCGACTGCGTGAGGGCCGGGACCCGCTCGAAAGAGCGCTGTCTGTGGCACGCAACAGTATGGCAGTATTGGAAGATGCGGAACGGGATCTTAACTCTATGCTCGAAAGGAGCGAGCAGCTACTCGCAGAAAGTAATGAAAGTCGTTATGAGAGTCGCGAAATATTGAGACAGCAGTTAAGAGAAACAGACGAAAGGTTGAGGAGAATCGAGTCCGATAGCACTCCCGATCCTGTTAATTCTCAAATTGATACAATCAGAAAGATCAAAGACCACTGGGACGTCAAAGTCACACTACACTCTACTGATTGGGACAAGATGACTGTGACCGGCACAATGACGGCAGGCCATCGACGAAACTCGGCAACTCAAGCCAGCGATGGCGAGATCTCAGCGATGGACTCTTTCTTCACAGGTGAAATCATTGACTTCGCAACTCATGGACTCGACACTCTGTCTTCAACTGAAAGGAAGTCTACGTCCAACGACGGAGACCTTTATCGGAACAAGCATATACAGGATGACTGGAAGATTGGAGGTCCGGAAACCGATTTAGCCTACTGGTCAGGTATTGGACCTTTCAAAAAGGAGGTTGGCCGTGTGCTGAGTGAGCGAGAAGCCAGTATAGCGGACTGTACCCACCAACACGAAATGGACAGGTTACTGCCAGATGTACCTAGCAGCATAGACAATGAGCAGGAAACAGCTCAGCCGACGAATCCGGACAGCGAGCAGAAAGAATCACTGCCCGCAATCACTAAAGCAAGTACCAGCGCTCATCTGGCACGCCTTCTTGAGGACGAGAAACATGATCTGAAAATGAGGACAATGCATGGTCTCCTCTCGGACAAAGACTGGTTGAACAAGCATATCAACTCTCAAGGTTGGATACTGATGCGCTGGAAGGAGCTATGTTTTGTATCGCCAGGTGCTGGACCAAACCCAGAACCCTCCAGACCATGGATACCAAATCAACCTGCCAGTGCAGCCACGGACACCAGTCGCGGCCTATTCAGGAGTCAAGACCCTCCCTCAGATCCGTCAAATCCCAGGTCTGCGGGCCTGTATCGTCGCAGGCAAAACGAGCGAAACAGCCAACGGATATACACAACCAACGCCGCAGAACGGGACGAAATCACGAGTTCAACAGGCGTTACTTCAGGTGGAATTGGTTCACGTCAAGCAACATGGGGTCTCACCATATCTGGCTTCTACTATGTTGCGCTGAACCGACAGACTGGTCAGATCGAGGCTCTATACTACGACTGTGGCAGTGCACCATTCCAAAGGCTGAAAATGGGTCCCTTGCTTACGATGTCTATGGCTCTGGAGGATGAGGGGCTGACGAGTAGGAAGACGGATGATGAGATGTTATTAGATGACAAAGTCGGACTGCGCGAGATACAGCCTGCTATGTCTGGATTGCGGACTAATTTCAATGTGGTAGAGTTCAGATAGGGTATGGTAGGATGGTGTTGATGGCGCATACATAGGGTATCGCAAGACCTTTTGGAATTAGTATGATTATCCATGCAATACTGGTAGGAATTACTGGAGACATGACCGAAGGAAGTGTTCGCCATTGGCAGCAGGATCGTGATAATTATCCTTCACCGCAAGATCAGAACTGCCTTGGCAATTTTGGTAAAGACTTGCACAAATAGTTCACGTTAGCTATCGTGGCCACAACATGAGAATACTGCAAGTTAGACCTATATCATACCAAGACTGAGCTCTTCTTATACCGCAATATGTGATTCTCTTGAGCCATTTGGACCGTGCTGAGTAAACACAGCTGTGTTTCTCTCTTTCGGGACCCAGACATAACAAATAGAGATAGGCATGCCTAGAGTCTACCGTTGAGCCTTGAATTTTTAGGTGCCTGGAGGCTAGAGAGGCTACAGTAGAGTTCAGAGACACGCATGCGACGAGTTTCTCCTCGTCTCAACCAGAGACCATGCACGAGTAAACTTGAAGCTGGAAGAGAGAAAGAAAACATGCTGTCCAAAGACAATGCACGTGTCTGCCTGCGACAACGAAGGAAAGCATGGAAAGGAAGCGTGTACAAGAAATTTTATCTTTTTCGTGCATGTCAATCGAGGGCTTTTACCGCCGTCGATCGATGTCTGTCCTGATTGTGTGTTCAAGTGTGAAGGCAAGTCATTCGCTTTTGCCAGATGTTGGTGAAAGCACTCAATGAAGAGGTCCCATTTACACCAGCTTCAGCGAAATTTATGCTTCGTCGCACCTCACCACGCGTTTTGTCCACCTCTAGCTCCTACCATCTCGTCCCTTGGTACCACCACTATAACCACTACTGTTAGGAAAGAAAGTCACCGGCATGCTTCCTGCCGATGTCCACTCAGGCTTATGCCCCTTCCTTACGACTACATCGTGGTCAACTTGCTGTCTCAGTGTCAAAGCTTTCGCCTGAGAAATGCCCCAAACACTATACTTCCTTGTCATGCTCTCCTCAACGCAATTTCGAAGGAAAGCTGTAAACTGGCTAGCGCATGGTGGAGCAAGACCCATGACGGTAAGAAAACCAGGAAAGTTCTCAACTTTCTGGAGAGCTCGAACTCCGCCTGCAAAACGCTCTGCTACACCTTTTGGAGGTGCGCCGTGGGCTTCGAAGAGTTCTTCTCGTAACTGCATAAGTGATTTTCGGTTCTGACCAGTGCCACGGTTGATAGTCCGACGGAAGAGGTTGAGGAACATGAGGAGGCGATATGACGTCTTGCTAGCGTCGAAGGTCTTTTGCAAACGGTAACGAGATATGGTGTTCGCTTCCATGTAGGCGAGCTCGGACATGTTTGCACCTTGTTTGTCAAGCATCCAAACCACGTTTCGAGTCACTGTCTCTCGGATGATGGCCTTGAGGAGATCTCCAGTAACGTCGACATCGGCGATAAGACAGGCTATGAGAAGGTAACCAAGGTTCGGAACGTGAGCCTTCGAGGTCTTCCCCTCCACAAGGAAGTTCTTGATGGTGCGGTTTGCTGCTATGACACGACCTCTATCCTCGACGGCAAGACACAAAAGCAAGTGAAAGAGATGGAAGTAGCTTTCAATGGCTTTCTCGCTTGCATGTATGAGACTGGAGTGGACGTAGCCTGCTTCTGCCTGTGAACTGAGTCGAACGACGATGTCGTTCATGAAACAGTAGACAACATCGAGAGGCACGAAGGCTCGAAACTTGGCTGCTTCAGAAAGCTCTTTCAGACAGGGCTCGATCAGCGGTTTGACCTTGCCGTAGTGTTTCCGAGATATGGGAAGCGGCAGCCAGTGCGTGAAAGGTAAACCTTGCACTGAACGACGAATCTTGAATTCGTTGAATGCTTGCTCACTCAGAAGGTCGAATTCACTGCCGATCGATCCATACCGGCCACGCATCTGCACTTTGACTCCGACTCCCAGATTTGCATTTTCAAGGCCTTTCTTCAAGCAGAAGCATATCAATTCACGATTCCTGACGACATTGAACCTGCTCACGATACCTGATGCTCCACCAATGCGAGTCCAGGCACGGGAGAAAAGTTCCAGATCCTCACCCTCTAGCTGATTGCAGACAAGGAGTAAAAGCTCATCTGGTAATTCTATAATGCTGGCACCTGCAGCTGTGCTAGTGCTCTCGGATGTGGTCGAATCCGGTGGACTCTGATCGATATCACTTGCATCTGTTCTGGCGGAATTAGAGCTCTCGAGATGCGGTAAGAAGTCGGCCAAGGGGAAGCTATAACTCCGAGTTGATCGTAGAGTGCAGGGTGTTTCCCGATCCGTATCTCTACCACAGTTCCCGCAAACGTACGAGTTGGCTGCATATCTCCACATACCATTGTTGAGAGCTCGATACTCGGTGAGGTCAACACTACCGCCATACTGCTGTTCTAATTTGTCGCTCGCAAAGAAACTGAGCATCTGAATACATATTCCTTTCAAATCGTAGGCTGGTGTGTACCCTTCAGTCGTGTTGAGGATAGAGGCACATATATATTCCCCAAATACATTGGAATGGACAACGTCGGTCTGTATGGTGATGCGTGGAGGTCTAAGTGGATAGTCGTGTGGAAGCTGAACCGTCAGGTGCAGAGGGCCGGTGCCATTTGAGGTGAGGATGACGCAGGCCTTGGTAACGTCTTCGTGTGGAACAAATTCGATGTTTGGATACGGGACACGCTTGAGCTCCGCGATGTCGAGAAGTAATCTTTGCCTTAGAGCCATCAGGGACTGTCTTGATCAAATGAATGGCAACATAGAGTCTGATTGCTGACGATTGTAAAAGAATGTGGTATACCCTAGTACAAGGAGTGACTGTAGGGTAAGAACAGCGTTGCTGGCCAGGATGCTAGGGAACGCTGAAGGTTGCATCTTTGAAGTGCAAACATCTTCGCACTTTTATCTTTTACCATGAAGTTGGATGCCTAATGAGAAGAGTCAAGATCTGTTAGCATGACTCATATGACTCATTCGAGTCGTCAAGCGAGAAGAAGATGAGCAGAAGCAAAGTTGTTGCACCTGCTCAGTGTTATTAAAGAAAAGCTATTCAACATGTGGTACAGGCAACAGCAAACGCTGTCAGTGCCAAGCATCTACCAGCCCTCTCAGGTATGAGGCTCTTTTCCACTCCAACATATTTGTTGACCTCAGTGAGCATGCTGTATCAATGCTATGTAAACATCGTGTGTTATGGTCGACATCGGTGCGCCTCAGATGTCTCGCAATAGCTGTCACAGCAACGGCGACCAGCAACGACGTGACCTTGCTAAGCAAGATTCAGATAGGTTGAATGCAGATACAATAAGCGAGAGTCAGCATCCACACGACGACCGACTTGAAGAGTCCGCCCGAAAGGTGAAGTACAGTGATTGACGACTTGTTCCATGGTGGAGTTGTAATCCCATCATCCGATCGATTCCAGGATGCTGGACAGAGATTCTCGTGTTTAAAGAAATCGATGGGTTGATCTTCGGAAAAGTTACTGCTTCGTGGCTGATCACCACAACACTACTCGTAACAACAGTTCATGGCTATGTCTATGTGATGGCGAGTGATATGTAAAACCCTTACACGGCCTGTTCGATGACAACCTCGCATATCGAAGGTTCGGTGGTATTCGTGCTGTAACTCTTTAACAAACACGTTTTTACCGTAGTCGATGCCCCACGGAGTAGTAACCTTGGCCGCGTTATTAGCTGGACAATCTGCACGTGTATTTTGATCGTGCTCTACAAAGAACAAACGAGGTTAAAGTACTCGATCGAGTGTTGGTAACGTGGTACCAACATGCATGTTATCACGAAGGCTAGAAGTCCGGAAGGTTACAACAATAACTTTTCCACGTTTGTGAACAACTGATAACAGAGAGTCGCATATGTGATTGTTACCCGCGGAGATTTGAGGCAGTCGGCCTGTGTCTCGACCAATCCCCTCCGCAAGTAAGATCCACTAGACCAGCGTATCATCTCCGTACGTCTACCTACAAAGGGTCTGTCTTTCTCATCGTCCCCTTGTACGGATCCTTTCCCCGCACGTCGATCGTCGATGATTGCCATCTCTCTAGCCCTCGAACCTCTGCTGATGGGTACAGTAGCCATTATCTTGCGTGTCGCCACATCGTTTTAAGAATGTGTCCAGGCAAGAGGCGAGGCGTTCGAGGACACTAACAACGTGGTCTTGTCCATGCTTCGGAGGTCTTGACCATATACAGTATGAACAGCTTACCCTTGAGGAAGCTCAGTCGTGCAATAGGCTGAATGAAGGGCCCTTTTGCTCGTATAGTAGAAAGAAGGTTCATCGCCACACGGACGTCCTCTCATCTCGATCGACACGAAATACAATGTGGTTAGTCATTGAACTGGAGACTGTTGAGAATCGGACGATTGGAGATTCAAGGCGCAAGCACATGGACCGGTCGTCCTCAGAACCCAGTCGGAATACCAGTATCGATCGTAGGTTGCTGTTAGCCACTATTGAACTTGCAGGTTGCAGAAAGACGCCGTGCCCACGCTGGACTCGACATCGAAGACTGCAGTGAACGTCCTTTTGCCACTATTGATCGGCTGGGCGAAGTCGAATCTGTGCAACAGTATCTAGGTGTACAAACCATCTCTTCCTGCTCCATTGAGTGGCGACCCCATGTTAGACTTGTAGGTCGTGTCGCTTTAATGCCCGTAACTGGTAAAGCTAGTGCATGTAGTGGACGGAGACGCGGATGAATGCTTGTGTTCTTCGTACAGCCAAACACCATATCCTGCTTCGACATTCTGATCTTTACTATCATGAGAAGAAGCCATATCTCCCGCATCCAGCTTACTAGTGCTCTTGAGCGAAGCCCCTACGTGCACGGTCAAGCTCGGTACCAGGGGTCGTATCGGCCATCGTAGGTTCCAGGCCGAAATCCCGCCATCGCTCTAGCAAATCCCCCATCGCGGCAATCCTGGGATCATCACCTCGTGCTAGAGCATAATTTGGGTACTTGCTTGTCTCGAAAAACTTGTGGCTGTCTGGGCCCCAAGAGTCGAGGGCAATACGGCTCAGAATCCTTCGTGTGCGTTCGGGTATGACCTGCTTCTTTTGCTCAGCTGTAATGAATAGCATTCGTGCGTGTCCACGCATGATGAACCACTTCCTGGCTGTTGCAGTGATGATCAGACACATGTCGTGAAAGAGGTCCTGTATTTCAGGTTCGTCGAGCTCCTCTATAAGCATGTAAGCCATCGAGACGGCTACTTGAGGCATCCCAATCGTAAAGCTCCTCGATCCATATCTCTGTAGATACACTTTGAAGAGCCCGGACGCAGCTCGTGCTGAAAGTATACACTGCTCACGAGCATATCGTTCAGTTTCCTTGCTTCTCCAAGACCCGTCTGTAGGAGACTCGTCGCTTTTGAAGAAGTTGAACAATGCATTCCTTAGGGAGTGATACGACAGGCTGTTGTTATTTAGCAGAACGCACGAACATCCATATGTGTAACTCACTTAATATCCATAATGTAAGGGTTCAATTTCTGATCGTCGTCCGGTTGTGGCAGACAAGCTGCAAATGTCTTCAAGCGTCTATCAAAGTCGCCAAGGTTGTCGTTTAATACATGTCTTCTATCTTTGCTGTCAAAGAGATAGCTTGCAATGTCCGCGCTTAACACATGAAGGTCGTATTGTAGGTTCGCACAGGTTTCAAAATCCACCGCGGATACAGGTTCGCTCTCGGGATATGGAAACCAGTTGGAATCGAATTTGAACACATCATCAACGACTCGTGCCCGATCTACGGCTGGTGTGTTGTAGCTTCGGGTTCTCATAAATGTGATACTGTAGTCACTGAGAATGAGTCAGCTACATGAAGCGTTCACGATTGCTCAGAAAACATACACACTCAATTCATACAATGACCAAATTGCGAGACGCAGAGACTTCTGCATGTCCAGTGATTGTAAGGCTGAATCCGCCCTCTGAGCGCCGAAGACCAGGTCTGCTGCCATGTCATTCATCTGATCGATGTACGACGTGCTTATCCTGTCTTTGCCGATTATGGTGAGACTGTAAATGATTAGCTCGGACCTGTAAATGAAGCTGATCCTACGTACGCCACAGCTAAAGGCTGTCCTGCTTGTAAAGTAGTTAGAGCTGGCCGTCCTATTTCCGCAGTCCATAGTTTCATTGCTTCTTCGAGGAATCCTTTTCCACGAGTGGCATGATCCCCGGGTGAAGTAAGGACTTCTTGATGATCGGAAAATTGCTGATTGTGTCAGTAAAATTGCCATTCGTGGTCGGGGATACATTACGCAAGCCATAGCACACATAGAATTGACAAGAATAGGCGAACAAAACTGACTGTTAGGATCGCCAGCTGTCATATGCGCCACGAATAGTTCGCGGGCCACGACAGGATAGATAGGATTAAACCAAGTGAAATAGATCGAGATGAGGTGTGAAACGAGATCGTCGTCGTTCGTGACATTTGTCCAAGGACGAGCTGGTACTTTGATCAGTGGTATGTCGCATAATGCGTTGATGCTAAGCATTGGTTTCCTGGACAAGCCGGAATCGACTGCTACAGCCAATGATGCAAGCTGGTCCTCGGATATGTACTGATTGTTTACTGAAGCGCATTGTATGATCTCGTCTAGGGGGGCGTTGCTTCGGATGAGTCGCAATAGGTTTTGTACATTGTCGTCGTCCGGATCACGCAAAGATTCCAGAATAGTGTCAAGCGCATCTCGTTTGAGCTCTAGTTCCTCGACATTGCGCTTGCGGGCGGCTCGTCTTCGACCATCCTGCGCCTGGTCGTAGATACAGTCGGTGCCTGTTTTGATACAATTTGAGCATGGGTGTTGCTGGTCACACTGGTAACGTCAAGTCAGCAGTTGTCCAGGTAAAGTTTGACCAAGTTGAATCGTTTTCGTGCATGGTCAGTGAAGCGGGTGGTAGCTGTGATTCAGCAAGCCTGTGTTACCAAGAAGGTGCTTTTTACCGGTTTGTTGGGAAGTTACCGACCTTGCGCTTGATTTGCTTGCAGCTCTGGCAGGCTGTACTTGCTCTTTTGATGCCTGATTTGCTAGACAGACTTGAATTGGCCGATGACCTGTGCACAATTGCGGTTTCCTCTGCGCCCGGTGATGGAGCGGGAGCTATTGGACGCGAACTCGAAGCACACATGGATTGAAATTGTCTGATAGCACCTGTAAACAGATCGCCATAGCATATGAGCTTCTTTGCTGACTCGAAATACAGAAGGATATGCACATTTACCGGAGGTGGAGTGGGAGGATTTTAGTTCCGCGGCATCATACGCTAAGATCGACGATCCGTGGCAATCTCGACTGCACTAGAACTTGTGCTCAACACAGCAGGAGGAGCGCCACCAACGAGTTGGGGTAACAAGTGGTGATGGAGGATATCCGGATATGTATAGTTGTCAATGCAAGTGGTCACACCCAAAATTTCCAGTTGCTTGAATTTTTGCGAGACCGCTCAGGCCCACACGCATCTCTTTTCCGGCACGTACCAAGCTCATAGTTGATCGCTGTGAGTAACGGCCCGATATCATCCTGACGTCAGAAAGTTCTGGAAATTAATCCCAGCGCTTGTGAGACTGGCGACCTAGGCTTCCTGTGAATGACGACGTGTTTCGTCTGTTGAAAAGTATGTTGTACATAGATCTTGTCGCTCGACCTGAAATGCTGATACTATGTCTTAGTCACGCATCATATACGTGCTCGACCGTTTTGGCGGGTTAGACTAGGAAGGCAGTAAACTACCTACTTTGCGCACCACCAGTATTGATGAGGGAATCATAGTAAGCAGCCGCCTTGTGTCGACCGTTTCTCGTCTCCTGTCCAGTCGCTGTAATTCGCTCGGTACTTACTCCTTACGAATCTATCGGTAGGAATGACAATATCGAAGTCGCCGTGAATCTCGTACGATTTTTCAACATCCATATATAGGACGTAGATCGCGTCGATCGGATCGTTTGAGATGTAGTCCTGCTAAACAGCAATAAGCATATACGGGTGTTGGCCACAATCAGGTCATGGAGAAGTGTATCTTAGATACCGAGTAAGTCGCATTGTGCTTGTATCGCATTCCAGTTGTTCGCAAACTCCATGTCAGAGAGTGGCCGCGATCGATCTTCTTACGAGTCGAATCCTTTGCTTTGGCGCCAACGAATGACTCGAACATGTGGAAATCGTAGCCCCGAGTCGCGAACAAGACGTGCTTCTTTGTCTTGTGCTTCGTATAAAGTATATGTAGCTTCACCACAGGTCAGTACCTGACGAGCTTTTGACTTTTTAGTCGCACGAATCGCAGACCAAATGTGACAGTGACCATGTCCAATAGTCGTGCATTTGTTATGGTCAAAGAAGCATAGAAGATTGGCCAATTGACCACTTGACTAGCTGAACAAGAGGACTCAACGCGGGGTGTGGTTCTTCGTTGTTGAATCATAAGATTTGAGGTGGCTGGTTTCGTGTTTCTTTTGTGTTTAGTACATGTTACTAGTAGGCCAAAATCGTTAGGTGACGAAAGCCTAACCAAGCAGTTTCCCCGAGGACTTGATAGTTCCCACTTCCAAATTCGTTCTCGTCTCAGTGGCATTGTTATGAGATAGTGTCGACTCGTCCCTTTGTGGATCACGAGCGTTAGAGACGACTTGTCGTCTGCTCACAACTAGCTCGCTTGTAACCTAGGGTTTACCTATAGAAATAGTTCAGGCCGATGCGCCGCAGCAAAGCATTCACTCATGCCAGGGTTGGATTCGATACGAGCGATATGTGACAGGTCTCCTTCAGCATATCACGTATATCGACGTTTGACATCTTAACTTTTGGTGGTTGGGATTTCACACCACAACGAGCTCTCTATTCCCGACTTCCGAAAACGTAAACCCGGTAGCTACAGTAGAGCCCTAGCTACCATCAAGGTTCCGGGGATGCACTGGCCGAGCGTCAAGGCGGTCGAGAAGCTAACGACTTTGGATCTCTAGAGGGGAGGCTGGCATGGCAGCCAGTTAATTTCGGATACGTCGAGATGGTGAAGGGTCGGCCACATGACAACCATACATACTGGAGGACTAGGACAGAAGAATTGTATAAGCGTAAACTAGACTATGGAAAAGCTTGCCTGAAGGCGAATCTAGCAGTGTGAAACACTTCCCTGCCCGTTGTTGAAATCTGAAGGCTGCCTCACCACGCAACAGTGCTGCTAATCAATTTCAGACCAAGTAGACAGACTGTGAGCAGTCTCTTCATAATGCATGTTTTTATTTCTTGGAGGAAACAAGAAAAAGTCCTGGATCTTGAGCCAAAGGCGTTGATTCGGTCGTGCTTGACCAAATCAGGGCAAATAAAGTCGATGATTCGTCGGCTTATTCGGAGGATGAATCTTTGAGTCAAGCTTGCTTCTCTATCGATAATGTATCAAGCTTTTGGTTGAGAATTAAGTGAAGGTACTTGTAGGGGAACCGTCGGAAAGGACGCGCTACGCACCACTTCTACGCCACCGTTCCTGGTCCCAATTTCACTTTCTCCTGGCCATATATGGAGCGTTTACGCCTGACGTAGCATCCATGCGAGACTGTAGCACAAGCGTTGTGTAGAGTCACACCAACATTCAGATCTGTATCGAGAAACCGTGGTTCATTAGCACAATATCGTGTGGACGTGTAACATGAGTGACACATCTTCACATTAAACGCCACAAGTCATTTGTATTCCTTGAGCACATTCGTGGGCAAGCGAACCTTGAGCCTACCGATATGTAATTTAAAAGGGATGGGCCATCAACGTCAAGGACTGACGATTCCAATCTTCCGAGGGGCCTTCTTGGCTTTTCAGCTTCTCGGGTGGGAAGCGACACCCGTCTTCTGGCGGCCTTCTAGTGCCTGTAGCAACAGCCTGAGTGCTGGCTACGTTTTAGTTGCGAAATAAGCAAGTAATCCTTCCAGGACTCAAGGCTCATATCTAGTTTTGTTGAGATGGCAGTCTTTGTGCTTAGCAAAATACATGTACGAAGCTGCACACTTGGAACATGGTGACCCTGAAACACATATCTTAGCTCTACTTTCGGATGCAGTCCCTGTCGCCGGGTGTTTGAGTCCGTGCGTGGTCGTCTCGGATCAAGATCGCAAGATGCACGTTCAATCGACTTAAAACCTGCATCCAATCAACAGATGTATCGAAAGACAAGGTACACAAAATCGCGTGCCTCATCGTGCTCCAAAATCATACAGTGAACGACTTTCGGGACTGTGAAGACCATGACTGGTAGCGATCAAAGGATGGCAGGATGACTCGAGATCAACTGAGGATCATCACTCTGATCTGAATGCGGCGCTATTCTGCGGCTTGCCAGATCTTATGCAAGGTACGCGAAGGCTTCGCGAAAGTCGAGTTTACCAGTACCAGAAAAGGCACAATTAGCTTCCGCAGGCGTTGCGTATGGCTGCGACGGAACCAGAAATCAGGTCCGGAAGACCTGTAGGAACGTTCCATGCACTTTGATGGACACGACTAGTAAAGCTTACAGCCCCACAACGTAGGGGTGAACACAGTCTTCGCGGGAGTGTTCAAAACCGGTGGTCGATCTCAGGCGGTTGCTTTTTAAGCGCGTGTAAAGGTGCAGGACAGCGCGCAGTCAGTTGTGACTGAACTGATCTTCCCTCGTCTACCGTTTGTGTGATCAGTCATTGTCCATGTACCAAAATTACATCTCAGAAACGTTAGGAGAATGGTTCAGGTGTAAGTGCAGCTGCTCACGGATTGGGCGAAACAGCATTGGCTTGCCGCTTTCGTGACAAGGGAGACGGGACTGCCAAAGTCACTCGAGCCATGATCCCAGTCAATCAACGTTGCTGCGTCATGTCACTACTATTCGCCGTGAAACATCGAATGATCTTCGAGCCTGTTGTGAGCTAAGATTCTACTATGCTTTCGGGGACGTGGATTTGGCTGGCATCGAGTGGATCGGCCCAGCTGCGAGCAACCTTCCAAGTCGATTCGAAGTATTTTTGGTGTGGTTTAGAGCAAGCCCCGGATAGAGAGCCGTCACGGCTGTTAGACATCTAAATACTAGTAGCTCCTCCCTTTTGCGGTCATCACGCTCCACCCGCGCCTGGTCTTCTTGGCCGGATCCCAGTCAACCCAAGGATTAATCGAAGATCTGAAAGGGGTACCTGCAGCAGCTTATATGTCCAAGGCTGCTGGATACTTTTTTTTTTGACGTCGATAACTTTTCGTTACTGTTGCAACTTTCAGCTCGTTCTTTACTTCCGAGACTGTATTTCAGTTCCTGTACAATAGCTCGTGTTCAACATAATCTCTGTCCCGTCAGTCAGTCAATCAAGACGACATTCCGCACCCGCGTCGGCGCCTGCATCTGGATTGGCTCACGTCTAGTCCTTTGCGATATCACAAATCAACAAGCTCGAGTACCAGGCTGGTTCACGAGTCTAAGGAACATAGCAATCAACAATCATATACCTTGCAAGTCTGCTTACAACTACCACAATTGTATCTGGCTGGCGGTTCGACGGGCCAAATACCATCAACTCCTTGACAGAAGCAAAAATTCCAATTTTCGGATATCCCCTGCTGTCCACATTCCCGAAACCCTTGATAGCGCCACGGAGCGCACGAACAGCAAAGATTTGCTTCTTGAGACTTGAGCTGTTTCCTGCTTGAAGTCTCGCGAAAGATCCTCACATTGAGTGAGAGCACCATTCTGGATAGATGTGAGTCCCGCTGTGTCATGGCGTTGCTTCTTCTGAAGCTATATAAGCCATGCCTCACAATATCCATAGATTGGCTCTGACTCCTGCGCAGCACACCAGAAACATGATAGACACATCAAAGCCATCGTCTGTTTGCAACATGGGCCGAGGAGCATATGACACAACAGGAGTACCGAAGCCTAAGCCACCGCCAAAACCGAAATAATCCCACAACACTACATGCAAGAGCACCTCTGGCCAACGGTTGCGAACGCTCTAGATCTCAAGTCTTGTCAGCTAGCACCTAGCATCACAACTTCCTACCAACAGTATGTTTTCGAGATCAGTGCAGAAGCCTGAGCTGACGTGCGCCAGTCTTCTCTGTTATCCTATCACAGTTCTCGGCCACCAGGCAGAAGTCCTGGGACCGGCTTCAATCATCCATCTTTAATATTCGATTCGAGAGACCCCTGTACAACTATTACCATTAATCGAGCGTTCTCAGCGTTTGTTTTTCGAGCATTAACGGAGCATTCGGGTATTCTTCCACGACCATCATGTATAATCATATATTGTACCAAAAGCGATCTGGCGCTTGTGTGAATAGACGGATATTGGATAGGAACGGTTGGCAAAATACTTTATCGGGTAGACTGAACGACGCAAGTCAAGGAATGGGCGTTATCGGAGTGGAAGATATTCCACATGCAGCTTTCCACGCTTTCTTGGAACAACTGTTACTGCTGTTGGATCAGTGAAACGTTCATCACTTTTCCACCAGCGACATCTGCCATGAGACATTTCGGCAGTAAAGGGCTCCATCGAAGACTCATCCCAGGAGGTCTATAGAGTCATCCTGGCAATAATATACTTGTGCATATCATCCATCAGATCTCTTTTTGTTTCGTCGCTGGTATGTATACTGGACAGTGGTTGTAAGTCGCTAGGTGGGGCTGGAAAGCACATTCAGAGCAGGCAACAACGTGATTTTGAAGACGACGTGCGTGTCCTTGAAAAGAAGAAGAGAGCGAAGAGGTCGTACGGTTGAGGCCAACAAGTAATGCTTTGGTCTGCGTGCATGCGCTACACTGCCCAATGATCGTCCCAGCCGCTAGTGCCCCTGCTTGCGCGTTACTAGTACTATTCGTCACTGCCGAATGGTCATCATTGTGCTGCACCTGCAATCGCAGCTGAACAGCATTTGAGACATTCCTGTTGTTCTACAAAATCCGACATCACCCAACTAGAACGACTGTCCCTTCTTGCCGAGCCTAAGTTGCAAGTCGCTCGAAGTGCTTCATTGAAGACTTCATGAATTGACGAGCAGTCGCTTGTTCCAAGGTTGCCTGCTATAATCATTTGCGCGTCGGTCTCTTCCCACCAGCAGACTGTAGGATCGTGAAGGAAAAGAGGATTCCATCTTACATACACTATGTCAAACAATGCATCGGGCAATGCGGCGAAGCCGAGCAGCAGCGTCAAGCTGGTACTACTTGGTGTAAGTACTTTTTACATCCGGGATACCTCGAGATGCAACATGTTGAGAGCAATACCACCTCGTTCCACACAAGCTAACTCGTCTTCTAGGAAGCTGCAGTCGGCAAGAGCTCGCTAGTCTTACGATTCGTCAACAACGATTTCCAGGAGAACAAGGAACCAACAATCGGCGCAGCTTTCCTCACCCAGAAGATCCAGCTTCCGAACAGGGTCATCAAGTTCGAGATATGGGACACAGCTGGTCAAGAACGATTCGCCTCCCTCGCACCCATGTATTATCGCAATGCACAGGCCGCTCTCGTCGTATACGATCTGACCAAGCCGACTTCCCTCATTAAAGCCAAGCATTGGGTTGCCGAGCTTCAGAGGCAAGCATCGCCCGGCATTGTTATTGCCCTTGTCGGTAACAAGCTCGATCTTTGTGCTGAGCCGTCGGATTCCGAAGCCGCTACTCCTACACCGTCCGAAAGCGCTGAGTCAGACACAGCAGACGCAGAAGATGCGGAAGCTGCAGAGGTTGGAGATGCAAGAAAAGTGCCCACTCGAGAGGCCAAGTCATACGCTGAAGAAGAGAGTCTTTTGTTTTTCGAAACTAGCGCCAAGCTGGGGACAAATGTCAGCGATGTCTTCACGGCGATTGCAAATGCTATCCCAGAGAAGGAGCTGAAGCCCGGAAAAGGTGCTGGCACCGGACGAGGCACAGACTCGGCCATCTCCAATGCGGCCGGAAGTGCTGGACAGGCGACGGTCAATCTGGCTGATCGAGCCAAGCAGCAGAAGGACAACTGTGCCTGCTAGAGCACTATCGACTGACTTTACATGATGATATAGAGTGTCCTGGTGGTAGCAGAACTTTTGGTGTTCTTGGAGTAATGCGTTTCAAAATCAATTTATATCAAGGTTATCGTGGCTGTTGACTCCATCAAGGGAAGGTATTGGCCTTAGAATAAAAGGGCTCGTGGGATGTTAGGCTTCTCAAGTACACGTCGCCTTCGATATTGGGACACTGTGAGCACTAGCACAAAAATGCCACCGATTACTGCAGATGCACAATGAGATCGTGATTTCTGCAAGTAGGATGTTCTATTTGCTAGTTTTGGATTAAAGAAAAAACGATATTGCTGTGCTTCAAACTATGGTACACCTCTATTCTTGGCCTTATCTTCAGTACCCTTCTCGACCTACTGCAGACGTCCCAGCTGTATCACTACCTTTCCAATATGTCTCTGATCCCACTGATACTGATACGCCTCCTGTGCCTTCTCAAACTCAAAAGTCTTATCAACCACAGGATGAATGTTCGCCGCATCAATAGCACGATTCATAGCCTTGAACTGAAGTCGACTACCCACCAGAATACCTCGCACCGTACACGTATACGTCAATGTATCCAGCGTGCTCGGCTGCTTCTCTGCACCAGGACCGCCCACGAAGCCGATGACAGTGATCACACCCTCCATCTTGATGGCTTTCATGCTCTGCTCCATTGTGCTTGGACCGCCGATCTCGATGACATGGTCCACACCTTCGCCGTCTGGGGAGTGCTTCTTGGCAAGTTCGCCCCAGTTTTGGTGTGTCTTGTAGTTGATCGTGATGTCTGCGCCGAGTTTCTCTTTCAGGAACTTGCATTTTTCTTCGGAGCTGCTGGTGGCGATGACGATTGCGCCTGCTGCTTTGGCAAATTGGATGGCGGCGACGGAAACACCGCCTGTGCCTTGGGTGAGGACGACCTGACCTGGTTTCAGCGCTTTGGACTCTAGGCCGTAGAGGGCGTTCCATGCTGTGAGAGGGGCACAACTTAGAGTTCCTGCCTCGGTAGGTGTGAGGTTGGTTGGTGCTGGGACCAGGCCGTGTTCTGGGAAGACACCGTACTGTCGTAGAGTACCGTCGAATGCACCGCCCAAACCTGAAGCGACAGCTACTGGCGTAAGTGCGCCGGCTTGATGTTTCTCGTTGAAGAGAGTGCAGACTTTGTCGCCAACCTCGAACTCGGTCACCTTGGGTCCAACAGCGAGCACGTTGCCTGCTGCATCGGAGCAGGGAATGACAGGTGTCTTCACGGGGAAGGGATATTGTCCTTTCGCAATGATCAGATCACGGTAATTGAGGGAGACAGCCTGAATCTGTACGAGGCAATCGTAATCGCCGAGTTTCGGAAGAGATACATCGTGCTCGAGTTCTAGGGATTCAAAGCCCTTCTGCGTCTTTAGGACGTATTGAGATGTCGTTTTGGGGAGCTCGTTGGAGGCCATGTCGAACAGTGCTTAGTTATTTAGTACGAGTCACTAGTTCGCTTTCTCGCGTTCAGCTTCAATATATGAGGGACAATGTTGGTAAAGCAAATGAGCAGATCACTTATTGTTCAATTGTGAAAAGGATATCCTGAAGGCTCGTCAAGCACGATACCTTCTCCATTGTTGCTTAGCAAAGCACCAGCTGCATATTTCGATGATCTGGCACATTTTTTGATGTCATCATGACACTCCGGCAGATATTGAATGTGCATATTCGTGCACAACAGCATCAAGCGAACCATAAAACCGCTTGGTGGAGGAGATATTGAATTTGTATGACGTTCAGGACTGGCCATGTTGGAGGGCAATTTAACCTTGATGCCTGCAAGCCTGAAAACTTGGCGCAGCTTCCCACACGTTGCTGATCGCAACTTCCTAAATTTCAGGTCTTGGCATTAATTATCGGCACGGACTTTGAAAGTCATTCGTTTCGTGACATTCAAGACAAGCCATTGACAACCTCTCATAGTCGCCGATATGTCTCAACCAGCTCTTAATAAGATTGCTGCCAACAGCCCGTCTCGAGCTCATCCAAGTGAGCTCGAGACCAGCGTTGCGACTGCTCTATATGATCTAGAGACCAACATCGCAGACCTGAAGACTTCTCTACGACCCCTCCAGATCCAATCTGCCCGTGAGGTCGGTAAGCCCTGAGTCTATCTCGACCAGTCGTATTGACAACGTTCGCAGCTCGAAGTCGGCCACGGTAAACGCGCAATTGTCATCTTCGTCCCAGTTCCTCTCCTCTCGAACTTCCACAAGATTCAGCAAAGACTCACCCGAGAGCTTGAGAAGAAGTTCAGCGACCGACACGTCATCTTCCTGGCCGCTAGACGTATCCTCCCACGACCAAAGAGATCCAACCGATCACGAACCTCGCAAACACAGAAGCGACCACGATCTCGAACTTTGACTGCCGTCCACGATGCAATCTTGGCTGATGTTGTCTACCCAGTCGAGATCGTTGGCAAGAGAATGCGAACCAAGGAGGATGGTAGCAAGGTATTGAAGGTTGTCCTGGACGAGAAGGAGCGAGGTGGTGTTGACTACAGACTTGACACTTACTCCGAGGTCTACCGAAAGTTGACTGGTCGCACTTGCAACTTCGAGTTCCCGGTAAGCGGTGGAGCTGATTACTAGATTGCGGAAGAAGGAGAAAATCGCTGGACGTGTAATTCAGCAGCTGAGAGGATGCTGCTTGAGTTGGGCACATCATATGCATGGTCGAAGGCCTGCACAAGCATAGAAGCATGCAGAAAGCAATGAGGATGCCTTGGACATGCGGAGGTGACTTGTCCATCCTGAGGTGATGTTGAAAGATTACATCTGAAGCATGTCACAGCACGAGATAGAGGGTGGGAAGTGGTGTAAAGAACAAAATTTGTTCTGGCTTGCAATAGTTGTGTTACAGCTAATGGCTAGTGTGCCATTTCCCTCTACGTGCCCAAACCACCACCTTCGAGGATGTCTTTGATGTTAACCTGACCACTCCCTCTTTCTAGTGGCTTTTGCTGACCAGGTGCTTCCTTCCAGCCGATCATATATATGATCCTGAATGTAGCTGGTATCCTTTCTTTCTCTTCTTCTTTACAATGTAATTCTCTATATATAGCCTCATTTGCCAGCAGTACATCTCGTGGAATTGGTCCACCGAGAGACTTTAGGATCGCATTGCCTTCGCCCATAGCCTGGATATCCTGCATCAAAGCAAAAGTGTCGGGATATTCAACGATGATATCATCAACATCCACAGTCAACAACTTGAATCCAGCCTTGCCCAATAACCCGCCCATATCCCTCACGTCAGCAAGAGGCGAGATGTGTGGCTGTACGCCACCTCTCCTTTCCAAGTCGGCAAGTTGTAGTGACGCTCGTAGTTCGTATAGAGTATCGCCGCCAAACATAGCTCCTATAAATGGCGCATCTGGCTTGAGGACAGAGTTAATGCTTGCAAGTAGTGATGGCAGATCGTTGACCCAATGCAGAGCCATGGACGATATAACAGCGTCGAATGTACCCGGTTCGTACGGTAGAGTCTCTAAGCTAGGAAGCACTTGTTGTGTCAATGGGACCACCGGCTCTTCCAGACCATTGTCTCGCTGAAGCATGCCAGGCGAGGTGTCGGCACATACGAGCTCGTGTATCCTTTGCGATAGCGGTTTTTTAGGAGCTCGAGGCAGGTCTTCAGGAATCTCAGGTGTAGGTAGAGGAGGCTTTGCTAAAGCTCTGGCTATGTTACAGCTGTTTGCGCCCAGATCGAGTACTTTGGGAAATTCTCGACTGATGTCAAGTAAACGATCGACCAGCCGCTGTGCGATCTCGTCTTTCAGGTAATCCGCCTGTCTGCTTTGCTCTGCATGAGCAGCAGCTCGTTCCTTTTGCAGATATTTGACATGACTGTTGAAGACTTCGAGAGTCGGCGCACCTGGCGCTTGCACGGCATAGTGACGGCACAATGGTGTTGGTGAGAGACTACATCGACGAAAGTGAGGTCGCAGGGTTGAAGCAAACAACCTCATCACGAAGACTTGGAGAGAAGTAGGACCGTCTAGAGCTTAGCATGGCAACGAGCTGGACAATCGAACATAAGCAAGCACTCTGAAGCAGAAGAAGTCCATGATGTCAAGCTCGGTGGTTTTGTCCCCGAAAAGCAGTCGCGTCTTGAGCACGCGTCTGGATGCTCCTACTTTGCGACCTGCGTCCTCACGCCGGGGCACAGCAAAATGAAGTCTCGCAAGAAGCCCTTTTTGCACTGGCACCTGTTAATCGAAACGGTGTTGAATTCGACTTATAGTTTCTGGAGGGTCAGGACCTTGGTCAATCCATTGTGATCAATACCAACCATGGCATTGAACTTCCCTTACACCTATATTTCCTGTCCCTGCTCAGATCCATCTAGAAAGGTCTTGACATCGAAGAGGACATCTAGAGAGGTCGATATAGATACAGCACTCGATCAAGCAGACTCAACCTTTGATGCACAGAATCCACGGTCGGCCTTTTCCCTTTTCCCTGCAGAGCATCTTTTCTATTGTGAGGACTGCCAAGACCTGAAATGTCCTCGATGCGTAGTAGAAGAGATTGTGTGTACATACTGTCCTCAATGTCTCTTCGACGCTGTGCCATCGTCGGTCAAGGCTGATGGTAATAGGTGTTCAAGAAATTGCTTCACCTGTCCCGTATGTTTTTCGCAGCTAAGTACATCGTCCTTGACCACCATCAAAGATATTGAGCGTCCATACATTCTAAATTGCCAGTACTGCATGTGGACCTCGCTCGACGCTGGCATAGACTTCGCAAATCCTTCTGGAATACGACAGCAGCTTGAGAAGAAAGATCGAGATCGCAAGGACAATACAAAAAGCACCTTCTCAACATCGAGGACAGGCGCTTACAACGATGTCTCGAAGGCAAGAGGTGCATCAGGTTTATCAAAGGAGTACAACCATTCCGCAGAACCAGCCGATCAGGCTGACCAACAAGGACAGCCAGATCCTCCTAAGCCGCTGGATCATCAGTCTAGATTCAACGCTTTGAAAAGCTTCTATCGAGAGCAATTAATAGCCTCTGATACAAATCAAACTTCAGCTCTTGATGCAGCATTTTCTTCTCCTTCGTCTCTCACACGGCTGATGAATCTCTACAGCAGTAGTGGGGGTATGCTGAAGAAACAAAAACCAAAGATCTCCGTCATGAGGGAAGCTCTTGTTATAAGTGAAGGACTACAAATAGCCACAGATCCTTCTCTTCGCGATGATTCAGTATTTGCCTATGACGATACACCTTCTCCCGAGCAGACAGCATATCAGTATCCTGCTCCGTTGGGCAATCCCACTGCTGTTAAAGTGTCTGAGCTCAAACCCATGCCTACTCTGCTGCGGACGAAAAGGTCAAAACGTTGCGCAGCGTGCAAACATATCCTAGTGAAGCCTGAACTCAAAGTCACCTCAACGCGCTACCGTATCAAGCTCGTCGCCCTCAACTACATTCCGTTCATCACACTCAAACCTGTCCCGACTCCTGGCGGACTGCTCTCTGCAGGTCCTGATGGTGATCCTACAGTCAAACTTCAGCCTGGCAAACCCAGTCAATGGATCCTGACTCTGAAGAATCCTCTCTTCGAGAACGTTGATGTTAGTCTTGGCTCGCCGAGCACGACACCCGGCAAGCATGGTCATAAGGTCACCATCCTCTGCCCACAGTTTAGCATTGGCAAAAACGGAGATGTCTGGGATGATCCTATATCGCAAACTCTCCCCAAATCAGACGCGCAAATGTCCCTCGGTCTAGGTGGTGAGCAGATAGCTGGTAAGGTCTATGATCGTGGCAGAAACTGGACGAGTGTCGTGATTGAGATCGTTGCTTCGAGTATCGTGAAGGACAAAGATGAGCCAAATATTCAGGACGACGATCTTTTACAAATACCTGTTCGTGTCAATCTCGAATGGAAGGTCACAGACGAACAAGCACTAAGACAAGAGCATGGCGACAAGAGAGGTACAGAAATTGAGGGTGATGACGGTAGCAGATCACTATCATATTGGGTTGTTTTAGGTATAGGACGAGTCGCTGGTCATACTGTCTAATGTTGCGGCTTTGCATCTCTTGTCGGCTGCACGCTCCCTCGGAACACTTCGGGTCAAACATGCTCATGTCAATGTGCCTTGCGAACAGAAAGGTATTCTATCAATCGTGGTTTCGAGGACAACGCTGTCGCTCTGCTGGGGGTTTTGGCTGTTTGGCTGGGCATACCAGAAATTAGTAGATTGACAAGTTTGTCGCCCGATCTCTCTGTTTGAACCGGATTTCTAACAAGCAGTTTCCGTAGATCCGCCAATGTGCACAGCACTCGGAATCAGCATGGCATGGACAACGCATCCGGCAACCTAGCAGCAGGGCTGTCGTGCAAGAGCTTCCACACACAATTGATGATTAAAATTGGTCCAGATTTCACCAAAACGTACATGACATTCTGGAGTAAATGGTTAATTCGAACACTGTTGCGATAACTTTCATCACTACATTAATTGCAGAAATACATCTCAAGATAATTCAAACAATAGATGGTAATTGGTAGATCACAGTGAGCGAACGATATTGCCTCCCTCGGCACAAATTTCTGTTGTGCAACTATCTGGCCCAGTTACATCTCTCGAAAATTATCTTGCACAAGACACACCGTCTACTGATACGTATGACAACACGAGTTGGATGATATGGCGGCTCTTCAATCTCCCTGTACCATGAAGCAGACACCAATGAGGTGTACGGAGGTATGACGATCGTGTGCAACATGGGTTCAACTTCAATGTTACACTCTTATCGGTATGCGGCTATCTCTTCAGTTGCCAAGGCCGTTCATATCCTGATGTTCCCTACCAGCCATCTCTTATTCGAGAAGATCCCCGAGTAACAAGCCTCGTCCACTCCGAGCTCGCCAAGAGAACAAGATCAATCCTTACCTTCCTCATCGGGTAAAGCACATTCAAGTTGTGGTATACGCCCGCATCGCCAAGACTACCAAGAGGAAGCGATTAGCATAGCGCTCTTGGCGATCGAATCACGAACCATACGTACGCCGGTGCTTGCTGCCTTGCTTTTGGAAGCCGGAGAGTGGAAGTGGAAGGTCTGTTCTGCAGGTCAGCACTCACATCATCGACACGCTTCTGATCGAATGTAACACGACCAACACGGTATCCAGCACTATGACTTACCTGCATGGGAAGGTCAAAACAACAAGGTTGTCCCACAAAGCAGTATTGCCACCACCTGTATAAGTAAAACGGTATCGCCTGTTCTGTATCTTCTCAGGCACCTTTAGCAGCTTCGTCAAGTACCATACTAGGACTGGTTGTATCTAAGAATCTTCGCCCTCGCAACCATGAAGGGATTGTCTTTGCTGGCTTCGGCGTCATTGGCGCTGGCGGCCAAACAACTTTCGTTCTCGAAGTCGGAGTACGAGAGTGGTGCAGTTCACGAGAGCATCATGGAAACCAAACATGCTTCGTGGGATAGGCAGCGAGCAGCAGGAGAGATGGACTCGTCACAATATCCTTCCCTCGCTGCACCTTTCGTGAGGTGTGAGGGTGGTCTAGCTGTGGTGGAAGCAGGCAACGCAAATCAGACCTTCAGTGAGTACTCTCCTATTACCATGCAACAGCAATATCGTACACGGCTCAAATGCTAACCCACTCTCAAGAGTGCAGCAACATGGATCTGTACGACTTCAAGAGCCACTCAGCTCTGGGCAGCTTTGGTGGTGAAGGCTCCTCAAGCTGGGGTGTAGTTCTAGAGGGTGGTCGCGAATTCGTGGCAATTGGTCAGCAGGACGGAACGGCCTTTGCAGAAATCTCTAGCGAGGGCAAGCTGGTATATCTTGGACGACTTCCTCAACAATCAGTTTGGTCGATATGGCGCGAGATCCGATCTTACAAGAACTACATGATCATTGGTTCCGAGGCCGTCGGTCATGGTGTGCAGGTGAGACATTGTTTATCGTTAGGCAAGCGGCGACAGAGGACTAACAAAAACCTAGATCTTCGATATGAACAAGCTGCTTACCATTGATCCAGCCAACCCAGTCAATTTCAGCACAACCGCAGATCTGACTGGACTGTTCAATGAACTTCCTGTTGGCAGAACTCACAACGTTGTGGTCAACGAGGAACTCGGCTATGCAGTAGCGGTTGGTGCTCAACCACGAAACAGCACGTGTCGCGCAGGTCTTATCTTCATCGACTTGACAGATCCCTCAAACCCAACAACCCCGGGTTGCGCTGGCCAAGACGGTTACGTACAGTAAGTCTCCGGCATGCGCATTCCATGATTTCGAGGAACCTCGTGCAACAAAATCGTCAATCTGCGAGTACTAACAGTGTATAGTGATGCTCAATGTGTCGTCTACCACGGACCTGATACTCGCTATGAAGGGAGAGATATTTGCTAGTGAGTCCATGGCTGTCTTAAATGATACGTGACTGAACTAACTGTTGCTAGCGGTTACAATGAGGACACTCTCACCATTGTAAGTCTTCCTCCCAGATTCCATTGTAAGCTCTTCACTAACTTTCGCAGTATGATGTAACCGATAAGGTTGGTGTCAACAGCTCGAGAGTCATCTCTAAGCTCAGCTACATCGGAGCAAGATATACTCACCAAGGTTGGGTCAACGACGTGAACTGGCAATCCCACATCCTGCTCGATGATGAGCTTGACGAGGAGTACATGACAGGTCTTGCTGCAGACCGCTTCCCTGTTACAGTATGTTCAGCCTGTTTTTACCAATTCTGGTTCAGAAACTGACAGATCATACAGTATATCATCGATATCTCCAACCTCGAAGCACCAATACACACTGGACACTACAAGCACAAATCATACAGCATCGACCACAACCAATACGTATATGACGGACTTGACTATATGTCCAACTACGGTGCCGGAATCAGAGTGTTGGACGTAAGCAGTGTACCCTCGGACCCAACTGGAGGTTCTGTCGAGGAGGTCGCATTCTTCGATATTTACCCAGAGGACGATCACCTCCCGAACGGCGGTATTATTGACTTTGTGGGCACATGGTCGCACTATGCCAATTTCCCATCCGGCTACGTTCTTGTAAACACGATCGAGGTACGTTTTCCCCTTCACTACTGTGTGCCAAGAGCTTTCACTAACTTCACTGACAGCGAGGAGCATTCATCGTCAAAATGAGCCAATTCGAGAAGCGAGGTCGTGGTATGCACTATAAGAAGCCTCGTAATGTGTAAGGGGGAATAGCAGATGCAAAGGCATGAGTCAGCACTCGTGCACTTTTCTAGTGCAAACTAGGTAGCTAGTCTAAAGAACAATACGCAATCGAAATGATGAAAAGTACAACAGAATAAATTGAAGCAATTAATCCGTGATCCAGTAGTACTTGTGACCTGCGGAAATGCCTCAGGCACAATTCAGTTTCTGCCTTAGCCATACGTAATTGGGCAACTCTGAACTTTAGGCGTGCGAGTTAGGCGGGCGGGCAGGAACGAGTCAATGTTTCTCAGGTCAGCAAGTATAGATTCGTGAACACTGTCACAATTATCCAACAACCAGAAACACTCTCTCACAGAAGAAGCACTTCAATTTAAGACTCTTCTCCCTACACAATACATTGCTCAAGCTTCCATACTGCACAGTCAAGCACAACACCCACCTAACCCGCTCAACTCAACCCAACCATGTCAACCATAAACTGGCGCACCGTAAACGTCGACGCCTACGACCCTGAATCCCAACTCAACTTCCCCCTCGAAACCCTTCAACCCTCCTCCCTCCCCGCCCCCAGCACAGCCTCCGAACAAGCCCAACTAGCCACACAGATCCGTCAACTCCTCCGCGCCGGCGACCTCCTCGGCTCCCTCTCCTCAGCCCTAGAAACCGCGCCTTTAGCAGGCGACGAGCAGGCGAAGCAAGTACATACCGCGACGGTGCTGGAAGTGTTACAGGGAATACGGCAGGCAGAAGTCAGTCGGATACTGCAGGAGATGTTGAGGCAGCAGGGTGGGAATGCGCTGGCGGATACGTTGATGAAGTATATTTATAAGGGGATGGGGAGTGGTGCTGGTGGAAGTAGTTCGAGGGGTATGAGTCCGCAGAGTACGGGGGGTGTTGATGGGGTGGGGAGGGGGTTTAGTCAGGTACAGGCGAGGAATGTGTCAGAGGGTGGGAATGGGCAGGCGATGAGTGTGTTGTTGAGTTGGCATGAGAAGTTGGTTGAGCTTGTGGGTGTTGGTGGGATTGTGAGGGTTATGAGTGATCGGAGGACTGTTTGAGCAGGGACTGTGGGTCACAGTAACGATATCTACATGAACAGCGAAAGCAGTCTTGTTCCAGAATGGACGAATCGAAGCTGGAATTTATGGCCAAAAAGAAATGCCATGGCAAACCTTCTCCTCGCGAGCTGTAGCGGCACGAAAAGCGATTACAAAACAGAAGAATGGTTTCAGATATCGAGCCAAGCATCTCTAGACCTGGACGATTACCATAAAACGTCCATAATGTATAGGACTCGAAATCAACGTATATCTCACGCCTCAGAACCCGAATGGTCTTGTTTATGCATCCGAACCGCTCACCTGCCTCTAGCTAGAACGAGATTCGCTGCTCTTCAAACTCGCCGCAGCTGAAGCAATCGCCAGATCCTTGCTCGTAGGATCACCAATATTCTTCTTATCCTTCCTCGACAAGCTGGTATTACGGCTTCGACTGGCCTCCTTCGCCTCGTTGGGTGACAGGCCCGCCTTTCCTAGCCTAATGACCAGATTGGTGTTCTCCTGTTGCAGCTCTTGGACAATCTTTCTGAGAGATGTGGCTTCCTTCTTGAGCAAGTCCAACTCCTTTCGAGCTTCATCTCGCTCTCGAGTCAACTTCTGCTCCTTGTCTTTATCAGCGGTTTTCTTCGCCTTTTCCAAATGCTTCTTCCTTTGCTTTTCTTGCTTGCGCTCTACTTTGGCGACTTCCTTTTCGTATTTCTCCTTGTGTTTCTTCATTTCTTTGTCGTGCTTCTCGCTCGTTTTGGCATGCTGCTGAGCATTGCCTTGTTGTTGTTTGGTACGAGCTTCGTCGTATTTGGTTTGTGTTTCTGCGAATTTGTTATGTAGTGCTTGTTTTCGCTCGTCTAGCCTGCGTAGTTCTTTCTCATGTTGGATATGTTCTTTGCTGCCGGTTATGGCTGTGGCAGATTGTCCAGACTCTATTGAGCCTGCTTCACCGTCATCGGACTCTGGCTCGGATGACCAGTGTTCTTCCGCAGACACGAAGGATGTGCCTGATACCGATCTTGCGTCGTCAGGAGTTGCAGCAGTAAGTCCGCCTGACGGCTCATTTCGGTCGTCGCTGGTCGTCGTTTCCTGTGGATTCATTGCTGCAGGCAGACGATCCAATATGACTTGTGGTGTATACGATTTTACTGCGCTGAAAATGCCTTGCGACTGGGCTTGGTCACCTTCAGCCGGTTGTGCTGTGTTTGCTGGTGACTCCTGACTCTCATCGTAACGGGGGAAAGCCTCAGTCGACTCATTACCTTGCTCCTCCTCAGCCACACCCACAAGACCCCTTCCTCTCCAGCTTTGATGACTTTGTTTTCGGCCTGCCAGTGGTCTTGATTCTGGTCCCGACGCCCCTCCAAACTGCTCCATATCTTGATCATTCTGGCATGCCCAATCTATGAACTTCACAGCATCGCTGCATATACTCCCAGGTGTTCCTCGCTCAACTAGAAATCTAGGTATACCACCGCCAGGATCACTGCGAGTAACCATCACCCATTCGACTGGATCGTCTTCAGGATTTCCAGGATCAGGATAGTTGGCTGCTCCCTTGCCCATATCGTCTGTGGTCATTGATCGCTTTCGACCGTGGTCACCATGAGTTGAGGGACTTATTGGGTGAGTAGATGTTCGTGGATGGCCTGTCTGCTGGTGCTTGTGGTGATGGCTCTGGCTTCCCAAGTCTATCGATGATTGCGAGACTTTGAGCTTCCGAGGAACTTCACGAATGAACTCAATAGATTCGTAGTAACCCCGTACGAAACCAGTCCTTGGTTGTGTCTTAGGATGATCGCACGGCCTTGAGATGATCATGTAGTGCCGCGGTGGTGGCCGTTCCTTCCCAGCATCAGTCTTCAGAGCATGATCCGAGGTCACCAGCAACGTCACAAAGTCTCTAGCAGCAGTCGGACCAGGAAATTGAGCTGACAGTCTGTACACCTCAACAGTGGCCTTATCAGTCTTTATTTGTTCAACTCTTTCTTCTCCACCAATACCACGGACATTTCCAGTGCCAGGAGGGCCTTGTTCTGCCAATGATTTCTCGAACTCAATCTGCAAACTCTTCTTGAATTGTGAGAATCCTATGCCCTCATGTATACTTCGTCTAGCAAACCATGATCCCTTGCTATCCTTGCTGGACATCTTGTAGACTGACAGCCCAAGAGGGTTCTCCTGCGGCTTCATTTTCATAGGCTTCCCCCATTCTTTCTGAAATTTTTCGTGACCAAACGGAGGCTGCGGAGGGATCTCTGAGGAGAGTCTAACTTCTGATGCCTTCGTAGCACGTCTCGGACCTTGAGATTGCGGAGGGGCGCTGTCGAGCACTGGCGCAGGGAGGGAGTCGACAATCAGCTGTGCCATCTTGTGAAGGTCAGTGAGGTAACCATCAAGTTCCGGGCCATCCTGAGGTATGTCGGACCACTTCGCTGGACCCAGGTACTTGAGAGCATCGTGCAGCTCCGTCATGGTGAAGGTACACGAGAGTACTTTAGTTGGGTAGTCAATCTGTGAGTGTTACCTGGTAAGCATGACCAGGATCTATCGCTATGTCAATGCTCCCGTGTCTGCTCTGGAATCAGCGGCAAAGTGAGTCAGGCTATGTGCAGCTTAGTCAATTAACCAACACCACTAATCAAAAGAAGAACAAGGATATAGGCTATCAGCAGGACAAATAGGATCGTAATAAATGTGAGACCCAAAACATGTGGCCTTCACCTTGTTGCTCAGATACTATCTAGAGCTTGTAGAGACAGAAACGAAGTCTCATCATGATACGAACGCGGCTACGCGGCTTGTTCTTAGCTTGAACTGGCTTTTGCTTACTCTTGACTGCCAGTGATGTGTGTCAGTAGACGCAAAATGTATGGAGAGGCTGCTCACGTCATTCCTCCCCACATCAGCCAAGAACGGGCTATATCGGCATGTACAGCCCGAGTGATATGCTTGCTGAAAGCTCGTCGATGTTGGTATTATAGCCGTAGTAGCGATACAACCTGTGTCTATCTTGATCAATGACTGGCTGCACCAAGTCAGGCTTGGTGAGTAGCTTACACGAGGGAACGAGGAGCAAATATTGAAATACGCGTGTTCCGTTCCAGGGCAATTGCGATGGAGCCCTTGGAGAACCGAAGGAAGGAGCCGTTACCCGCTCGAGCATGGGCAGAGCTGAGCGAAGCAATTTCCGCAGTAACATCACAACGGAAAGTACAGGTTCATTAGACTGTAGGATGTTCCAATTTTATTAGCTTGGTATATCTGTGAACCCAGCATCCGATTCCTCTTCTCATTCAATGAGAATTGAGGCTTCCTAGAACCAGTCTAGAAAATATAGGGGATGAACCTATAACTGTGCCTTCCACTCATTCTCAACCTGACAACAACATCGACTACCTTGGCCCCTTGATCACAGAACACGGAGCCATGTATCTCGAGCGCCACAGGCGACTTGAGAGATTGGTTGTCGACACGATGCCTTGTCTCGTCTGACTTTCGACCACAGCAAGGCAGTTCCAACACATATGCCAGATATGCACTTCGCCACCCTTGTCGACGTCTCTTTCTCCTATCAAGCCAGCCAGTGTCTTGACGATGGGAAGGGAGACACGATGAGGCAACACTGTCACAATTCCCGCTCGCTGGGTCGTGATCAAGTGCTATCATCTGCCGGCGCACTGCTCTCTGTATAGCAACCATATTCTTTTGCCTTGCGGCGGTCCACCTGTAGAAGCTGCAGAGACAATATCCACCCAGGGATGTAATATCCAGGCTAAGCCGTTCCTGTCGGCGTATCAATATGAGTTGAGAACAAATGAAACTGGAACAAAAAAACGACTCGCTCGCTAAAAATTCCAAACGTGTTCCGCTCCCTGTTTATGCCCATACCAGTAATGCAAAATGATATCCTTTGTCGCTAAATCCAGTCAATGTTAAAACGCCATGTATAATGCTCTGCTGCGTCACCGCTTCTCTGTGTGCTGTTTGAGGTAGTCTCGAGGTCTCATGTCTCATCAAGATGTCGAAGGTAACCTCTGGCTAGGTATGAGGAGTTGTTCAAAATCTTGTGTCCCCTCACATTGCTGTCGCATACGGCATCATGTACTCGTTATACCTGTCCCATCCGAAGTTCATGTTTGCAGAAGTTCCGCAAGGCTGCGAAGCAAGCATACTCGGAAGAGGTAAGGACGACATCGACATCGTAGTAACTGGCGTCGGCGCTGACCATGCAGGCGACGAGGTATAGTATGTCGATGAGGTGTAAGCAGCGGACGAATAAGGCGTGCTGTCGTACGAAGGTGCTGAGTAAGACGGAGTAGGTGAGGGTAGATGGTGCATGTCAGGCATGCCTACTTCGGTGTAGTAACCGTTGTGTGAGTGACAAGACGAGACTGGACTCGGGCTTGAAGGAACAATCCTCCATGTGTCAATAGATGGAGGCTGCACAGCCGAGATATGTTGGGAAGGCCACCAGGTTTCAGCGATGGTAGAGCTCGGCAGTATGGGAGCAGGGCGAATGATCTCGACGACTGGCTTGGGTGGTGGAGGCAGTAATGGCACAAAGAGCCCAGTAATCTGGTTCCTGACCTCATCGCCTCGACCACAAAGGAGTTCGCCTGCACCATCTTCTTCAAGTCCTTCTAGCGCCAGGGCACTCGTTCGATACACGAATTTGTTCGCAGCCTGTACGAACTCTTCCTGTAACTTCTTGAGTTGGGTGTCCTTGTCAGGCCATGCCCACGTGTTGGCTGATGTGTCAATGGAGAAGATCTCTTTGTGGTACTCTACCAAGGCGTCTATCGTATCCTGTGTCAACTTAAATGCTACTTCATTTCGCGAGACCATATCGACATGTACGACGTAGGCTTCTATTTGGAGCATTTGGTAGTTGAAGATGGCTTCCACCAAAGGGTTAGAGTCCTTTCGCAATTCTGTTTCGGGCGCCTTCGGTACCATGATTGAACATAACGACCATATAGCATTCGTCGACGATAGTGTTTCTGTGAGACATCTTGTGTGTTGAGGGACGCTGTTCAATGGTCGTTTGATCTTGTTGATTCTCTTGAGTGTGGCAGTGAGCCAGGGCTCTACCTTGTTGCTTAATACAACGTTGACAGTTCCTCGAGCAGCGAAAGCCTGCGCAGACGCAGGTAACAATACCGCAGGCATTATAATTTTTGTTTGCAGAGCGTTAACGTGACTGGAAATGGTACGAAAAGGAAAGACAGTTGACTGGGTAGCTCTTGGCTTCAAAATGAGAGTAATTAGTCGTGTTATCGACGTGGTCGGATGTGAAGATGCTCTCTAGGCGGTCCCAACGTGGGAAGTAGTGCTCGCGCCTATTGTTGGAATTGACGAGAGTCTTGAATGTGGGAGAGGTTGTTGAGGTATAGGGCGGGGATGACGAAAAAGGTAAGACGGAGAGGAGGGAAGGACGGGTACCTTATATCTGGGAAGTGACAAAAGACAGCATATGACCACTGATAGGCTGGATCCCGCCGTACGCTAGTCACAGAGAAAACTAACAGTCATGGAACTCACGCTCAGGCTTCGAGGCGGAGGGTCCGCTTGTACAAAGAAAAGATCTGCGAGATTGGGTATGAGATCGACCATCAGCTCAGCATTCGCCAACTTCTGCAGATTACACGCAATGCAATCTGGAGGCAGACGAGTATGGTGACCGTGAAGATGACCGGAAAAGAGTGCGTGCGAGTGAGGCCAGTGTGGCTGGCGAACGGCAATGGCGAAATCTAAACAAGTGGAGCGATACAGACCTTCTTCGATTGCATACATGATGAGTGAGGAAAGTCATGCAGCATGCACAAAAGTGGACGCACATCAGGTGTGGAAGGAAGGTCGAAGGGAAACCTGGAAAATTCGAGGTCCGCGTTCCAGGTGCTGCCCAGTCCGAAGTCGCTAGAGAGATCCACTACTCTAATGCACCTCAGACGATCCAAGCACCGCCTGCACTTACTGTTTAGCTGCAGATGCGAACTGCATCCAGGCTCTTTGCTCACTGGATCACCTCAAGATTCAGCTTTACGAACACTTGTATCGTAGCACGCTTTTGGCAATCAAGAATACTTTACGATCTGCACCCCTGAAACTCTTCTGGAAGATGTGCAGATTGGTTACGACGACGAGGCTGATGGATTGAGATTGACGTCGCGATGTTGACTTCATCGAGGGCCGTTCCACAAATTGTCCAGCTCTACGGCATGATTGACGGATACCGTTCTCGAGGTAAAAGATGCCCTATTCGAGCCGTGGAGAACGACCCCAACCGTTGAGCTACGTTTGAGATTTCTACAGGGAATGTTCTCGCGATGGCTTGTGAAGTTGTGAGGAACACGTACGACCGTTGCTTCGAGTCTTTTTCGGCGAGATGCATTCAATGCTAAGAGCACAATTTCAGATATTTCCATGAGTGCAGGTGATGAGCCTACTGCTTGCACACATACCGTGTGACCTACTTTCATCGTACTTCATGAGAGTAGTAGGCTTGCTGAGGCACAGAGCTTGGGGGCAAACAAGGTTACCTTCATGCACAGAGGACCACATGGCGGCTCGAATGGTCGGGCTACATATGACTCGGTCATGCCAACTTGATCATTTCACGATTTCGCTACTTTGCGCCAGATTTGCGTCGACTGACATTGCATTCGCGAGATGATGACTGATACCAGTTTCACGAATTGCCTGGTGTTGGGGGAAAAAGCTCAACACCATGTGGGCATCATTTTACGAGAACATCACGAAGCCATACTCCAGTCGGCGTTAGCATGGCAGGTGATCATGCTCCACGTGCAGCCATGGTCGGAATGTTCAACGAAGCACGACCAGTCATGCAGTTATCAGTGATGTAGGCTGGGTCTACCTCGACGGGACGATGCTGGTGTGTACTGAATCTTATGCTACCTTGGATCACTAATTGGTTGGGATCGAAACATTAGCCCCAAAGACATGAGCTGACAACCCTGCTGCGATATTCCATTGGCCGAAGGTATGCAGTCAAACGTGTCATGTGATCATTATTCGCGTAAAACGTCGAGAGCACAACATAACAAGGACTCCTTCGACAATACCGACAATGCAAGATCTCCTCGTCTTCATGCATGCAGACTGTGCACACGATTGTAAATCCTGCGACTATTGCCAAAGGTGGTAGAGAACATCTCGGAGTCTACGAACGTTGAGATGTGGCTGAGCACATGGGTGGAAGATGCGATCGGCACTAACCTGTTTGAGCAATTCTGATTCCTCGAGCCCCACTATCTCAACTTTAACTGAGGATCATGAGTTCAGAAAACGTGCTGCTCGTAAAGTGGGTTTCACCAGTAAACCTTTTGCGGAGGATACCTGAGCTGAAACGCGGCAGAGCAGAGCAACAGAGTGAGGGCGTTCTTGTGATGATGTTGTGGCGTGGTCAGACAAGGTGGCTTAGGACAGTCAGCCAGTGGCATATACAGCAGGCCTTCCGGTTGCAAAAGCAGGATGTCGTGGACTTCAGTTGGCACCTTGTAGCTCGACATGATATTTCTGTAAGGGCAGCTTGCAGCTTGCTTCGTGCAGGGAAAGCTCGGACACCACAACTGTGCTCAGACCGATTTTCTGTGTGATACCCAGCAAGGTTCGGTGAAGGCATACGAGACTGCTCAACCAGCGTGGAGCGAGTCACGAGCTTATGATCATGCCCATACTTGCCGGCATGTTATGTTGCAGGCGTTCTACTCGATTCATGGAATGCAATGTTATTTGTTCAGCTTGACCGTGCCTACCACACAAGACATCCTCGAAGTCCACAGACCTGCCCTCTCGCGTGCCAGTCACCTTCAGTTGCTTGTCCTGTTGTTCACTGATGGGGACATGACACGATACCAAAATAGTCATGTCACTTGTGTGGTACAAGCGCGTACAATGTGTCGATCACGAAGTGCAACGTCGCACACGACCACATCAAGCGCTTTGCGTATGCTTCTTTGAGACGCACGTTTTGGGTTATAGCTGTTGCTAACCTCTCGATAAGCGCTGAACAGGATCATGGTAGTATTGAAGAGGAAAAGTCTTCCACGACTGGCAAGTTCGCGGATACTTGAGTTTCACCCTGGTCCATGCTCGCATTCCATATTTGCTTCTGGAAATTTCGCCGATATTTTCACAGAATCCGCTCGGCTCTGATGTTGATGTCTGTCAAACGTTTGAGCACACCGGAACTGACTGTAATGCTTATGTAGCTTCGATCCTCGTCAAGCGATCCGAAGAGAAGTTGTAGTAATCCTTTCCTCAACTAGAGGGTCATATACGAATTAGCGAGGCTCAATGTATTCACACTTATTCGGCGTGCGTGACCTGATAAATGTGCTGTAACGTTTCTTCACATGTCACTTAGCTGTAAGGTTTTCGCATTTATCTATACAAAAGAGCTCTTGCTCGGTTTTTTGATTGCTGACTGCAGATAGGGAAGTAGCAATCCCTTCTAGTCCCCTCAAGTAAAGGTTGACCTGCCTTACCACGTTTCGGGCCGAGAAACACGGCCAACTTTAGTGCTCTTTCTCTGCTTTTGCCGCTACATTTGATTTTTTGTCCTCTTTGGCCTTTTCAAGGTCAGATCTCTCCTTCTGTTCGGCTGAGCCAGCGTTTGCTTTCGCTCTTTTCTCTGCAGCATACCGCCAGCTTCTAGCGAGTCCTGACGTGAAGATACCTTTTACGCTCTGGGTAAAACTGGGCCACCGGACAGTTTTACTAATGACTAGAGTCGTTAGCTTGTGAGTGTTCATGTGAAAGAAAAGCACTTACCTTGCTCGACCTCTTTCTGCAGTCCTCCATCCTTCACATCTTCTGCAATGCGCCTCTCAAAAGGTCCACCTTCCCTTCGCCGTATTCGCTCCGGATCTTCGTCTTTGACCTGCTGCATCATCTCATTGAAGTCTCGTCGTGGAATTTTGAACTTGGATTGATACTCGAAATAGAGTTTCTCCCTAAATCTGCTAGGCAGGCGACGAACCATATGCCCTCGTGTGACAGGATCCATATTCTGCTGCAGTTTAGCGTTGATGTTCGGATTGTCGAGCCAATCCTCGCCCTTGCACACGCTGTCGGTGAAGCTGATATTTGGTAGATTGTCAATGAGTGGAGAGTACAGTCTCCTAAAGTTCTCAAGCTGATACTTGACAATGTTTGAGACCTTTTTAGGGTCCTCACCAACAGACATGCGTGGGTCTCCTCTGTACGATATGCCGGCTATTGTAGAATACAACTCTTGCTCGGTGAAGGACTCGGGAAGTAATAGGAGGGCCGCACGAACCGCAGAGATGAGGTTAACTTGATTGGCGAGGCGAACGGACGGGTTGTCTCGGAGGATCTTGACAGGCTTCTGAAGGCGACCAGCTAAGTAGAGGGTATCCCATTCGGAGAGATCGCGACATAAGGTGTCTATATTCACGACTCCATACTTGATTAGAGTACCATTGACAGTAATAAAGGGATTGAAGTAGACACCAGCTCCAAAGGAGTCCTGAACCTTGGAAACAGCATAGGAACCCAGATACCCTAAGCCGGAGTAGTGGTCGCGGTGCTCTTGCAGGTTGAGGGAATGCCAATGCTGAGTGTAGGAAACACCGAAGATGAAGTCAATCATCTTCTGGTTACTACCCTGCACTTTGGTTATTGCCTCAGGAGGATGAGTGTGTAACGAGGCGCGTGTCTTTCCGGCAGCGCTTTGTGGGAAGACGCCAGAGCCATATGCGAAGGCATAGCGGATGGGTGCTCGGAACTGCCATAAGATCTGCCGCAGGGCCTCCTTGAACTCTTCGTTGATTATGATGTGCTGGTTGACCCCAAAGTTCCTGCTGGGTAACTCTGAGAACTCTGAGATGGACAGATCAGGGTTGGTATCCCAGTCAGCCAACTGGTCCTTGCTCGCTACGTCAACTTTTGTGCTTGCCGTGCTCTTGGCAGCCTTGGAGGTTGCTTCGTCGAGGCGCTGCGAAGAGGCATCACTTTTTTCCTGACAGTGACATTGTGAAGTGCTCAGGTGACGGATTCTTGGCGGCCCTTGGGGAGGTTGTGACAGCTGTTTGACGACATGGTGAAAGCGTAGTGAAGGAGAAGCATAAAGCTCGGTCACTCCTCTCTTGCCAAGCACTGTCGCCGTAACTCGAAAAGTCATAATTGTTTACAATAACCCATTTTCACCGTGAAGGTCAACATTGAAACGTAAAGTCTGCACCAAGTTCAATAACAGCTGTTGGGTTTGCTGCTCTCCAGAGCGCAGGCTCGGCTTTACAAAACCTGGCCTCAGCTGTCCCTGGCTCCAAATTATGTCATTTCCGTCCCTTTGTTTTGTTTGGACGCGACTTTTGAACCAATCATAATACAACAACACCAACTCGTCCACTATGCCTCCCAAACGCTCGACTCGCTCACGATTAAAGGACTATCTTGCTCGCAAGCAGCCGAATACTCTCAACAGCCCTATACTCATCGACTCTGAGCTGATGGAGTACGCGACCTTGGAAGCTCGCCTGGCTTCTTTTGCGCCTCCCACGAAGCGATCGAAAGCAGGATGGCCTCACAAATCTCCATCACCGCAGGACCTGGCCAGAGTTGGATTTTACTACAAGCCAACAGCAAGCAAAGATAATTGTAAATGCTTCATGTGTGATCGCCAGCTCGATGGATGGGAGGAGGACGATGACCCGTTGCACGAACACCTCAAGCATGGCTCTGACTGCGCGTGGGCATTGCTCATGTCTATCGACCAAGAAACCGCGTTTGACACGTCCGACATGGAGGACCCGACCTCCGAGCATATAGCTGATGCGCGAAGATATACTTTCGAAGCAATGGGCTGGCCCCATGAAGGAAAAAAAGGTTGGGTATGCAAAATTGAGAAGATGGTTGAAGCTGGTTGGCATTTTGCGCCTAATGTCGAATGCGAAGATTACGCCAGCTGCGTTTATTGCAAGCTCTCCCTAGATGGATGGGAGCCGAAAGACAATCCTTTTGAAGAACATTATCGACGAAACCCAGATTGCCCGTTTTTCTTCTTCGCAGGCACGACCGCGCCTTCCAAGAGATCCAAGGCGAAGAAGGGAAGAGCTTCCAGAAGTTCGAAGACTTCGAGAATTTCTACCCAATCTAACACAACAGTGCTTACGCAAGCTGACGAAAGCACTGGTATCATTGAAATACATGGTGTTGATACTACTTTGGAGGACGCTGTCGAGGACACCATTGCCTCAATACAATCAACCATGTCTACAACTGCTACCAAGACGAAAAGGAAAGCTCCCGTCCGTGCTAAGGCCACGGTATCGAAGAAGGCCAAAACTACTAGGAGTAAGAAGAAAGAAGAGGAACTGGAGTCGCAGCCTGTTACTCAAGAAGCGCTGCAGGAGAGACAAGAGATTGCGCAGGAGAATCCCAAGCCTAAGAGATCGCGGACCAAGAACAAGCAGCCGACGCCAGAACCTGAACTAGAGATAGAACCCGAGCCACAACCGACGTACTACGAAGAAGTGACCATAGATGAAAAGCCCAGCCGCGGAAAGTCAGAACCCAAGGAACGACGACGGATATCGAGAGCCGAGTCAAAACCCGAACCTTCACTTACAGAGATCGACCCTGCAGACGAACTCGAGCCTGAGCCGGACATTGTAGCAGAAGAAAAACAGTTTTTACATGCCGAGCCTCAGCAGCAGGAAGAGGAGCCTTCTTACCCTGTTCTTCCACAAGAGACACCAGATGAGGACTACCAAGATGCTGAAGAAGAGCCTCATGTCAATGAAGGTGATGTTGCTACACCACAGCCGGAAACGGGTCCGCCACATAGGGAAACCACACCCATCCCAGTCAAACAAATTAGTCCCCTAAAAGAGGCTACGAACCCACCTCGTTCTGTCGTCCCGCTGGCTCAGGTCGAAGAGTACCAGGAAAGGCGTCGATCGTCCAGAACGTCGAAACCATCGCATCGTGTATCCAAAGGTAAAGAGGCACAAACGAAGCAGGCGCCAATGTCACGTTCGCCCTCGCAACCGTCTGACATGGAAAACCGTCCACCTGGTGCCTTTCCAGAAGAGGTGAGATCCCCTTTATCATCGCCTGGTATGCCACCACCACAATGGACGCCTGTGGACATTGAGACAGTGCTTCGGCAAGACTCCGGCGAGGACAACGGTCTTTTTGAAGGGGCATTGAACGGAAGTTTGTCGGAAGCTGAAAAGAACATGACTGTGCAAGAATGGATCGAGAATATTGCTAGTCAAGCAGAATCCAAACTCAGTGCTGAAGGCGAGAGAGTCGTCAGCATTTTTGAAAGGGAAGGTAGGAGAGCCTTGACTGCGTTGGAAAGTATTCAGTGTGTATAACGTGATTTTACCAAAGATTAGGTCGGGCACTTGATCTGACAAAGACGAAAATACAGCGACGGCGTTCGAGATTACAGTATAGGGGAATACTTGACACGGACTTCTTAGTACCCATAGACCAGTGAGTAGCAGCAGAGACCTTTTCAATGAACGGTGTGATCCGGAACAGCCAAACATGTGCCTTCAGCAGCTTTGGAATGATTGAGATGGAGCGCCTCTGACTTACAGACTTCCTGAACCGAATGGAGGGCGCGCGATTCATAGCTATTCCACTGTGTCCGTCTGGTCCGATGCAGATCACTTTGGGTTGGATATCAAAAATTGGACACATTCCCACGAATTTTCGTGGTTGACTGCGCTTGAAATCAGAAGCATACTTTGATGTCGCGGTTGCCGCAGAGATCTGGGCTGATTTGAAGCTACACTGGTGAGATCGACGCTTGATGCCCTTGGTCACTACCAAGATTGTTGACATTACAATATCTTGTGAGTCTGAGGTGATCGTCAAGCCAGGAGTGGAGATAGATTTCACTTTCGATCCGTCATACCTTACTACGAAGTACAGTTATATACTATAAACATATCTGGGTGTCAGCCGCTCATGGCCTACTCTTCATTACGACAACACGGATGGAAAGAGTGTGCAAACTATAACACAACCATTTTATGCTAGAAGTAGATCCTCTTTTACAAGATGGAGCCTGAAAGAGCTGGTTACGTTTAAGTCGAGGAAACAAGCTTCCACTCATCAAGTCGCACAAGAACTTACCGTCGCCAGTATCAACTATCTAGCATAAAGTTTGATTCACGAATTGATCAGTCGTGCCTTGCTTGTAGGCAGGTGACTTGCGCCTTGATATCGCACAGGACTCACAGCGACGGAATCCGAGCAAGATTACCACCCAACTGGCTAGTTCACAATCGTCGAGTGGTTTCAACAACCACAGCGCCAAGGGAAATCACGAACTCGAGGATAGATCCTCTTGCAAAGTATCCGATTCTTATGACTAGCGAGAAACACGAGGTACTCACTTGACCTGTGTATTGGCGGATTACGTATCAGAAATTTCATCTACCAAAAAACACGACCTTGCGTATGCTCTCCTGTATTGCTCAATACAGCGTGCCATGCGCGGCAGCTTAGAGGTCGTCTCAGTGAGCTTGTGCGAAAAGAGCCACCACTCTCCGGGCACGCCCCGCGCCCCAGCTTCCTAGAACTCTAGGTCGCATCCGCGTGCTGAAACCCGACACGTATTTGGGTATTCTGTTGTAATCGTCTGTTCGTTTTCTACAAATGATGATGGCTTCATTTATGTCCTTTAATGCTTTCCATGCCATATCTGTCTAGCTTACAGTTGATGCGATGGAAGTCTTCTTGCCGCGAAAACGGCGTAAGATCGCAGTCGAGGCCAATAAAGCCGTTCACGTCGCTGTGCAGCAGGACGAGGAACAAAGCATAGATGAGAAGTTGGCGATACTATCGTCAATTTTCGAAACAACATCGCCCGCAACACTACTGGCAGCACTGTTAGATTGTGACGGCGAGGTCGAAAGAGCGACAGAGCTTCTACTGAACACGAATTCATCACTTTCTCAGCAACGAAAGACGTCTACTCACCAAGGCATTCAATCGTCACTGAACTTTGCAAAGTCAGCTTCCCAACGCAATATTGCCAATCAAAATACCTCGGAGAGTGCTCCGAATACAAGACCGCTGACCAGAAAGGGAAAGACAGTTGTCCTGTACGAACCAAGTGAAATTGCAAAGTACACCCCATGCTCCATCATCCATAACTTTCTACCATCAGATCTGGCAAACGACCTTCTTCGAGAGCTCTTACCCGAAACAGAAAGCTTCACCTCCGCAACATTCCGCCTCTTCGACAACGTAGTCAAAAGCCCACATACCGCCTCGTTCTACGTCGACAACATTGCAGAAGCGGAAGCACAGAAATCAGCATATCTCTACAATGGCAGCACTCTTGACGATGTGCGAGAGATCATGCCTGTTATGCGGCAGGTCAGCAAGCCAGTAGAAGAGGCTATTAATGCTGAGATCGGGAAACGTGTTCGAGACCATTATCCTGGTGGAAAGAAGCTGAAATATCAGCCGCCGCTGGGACAGTGGAAGCCCAATGCTGCATTTGTGAATTGTTATGATGGAGGGAGTCAAAGTGTAGGATGGCATACCGATCAATTAACGTATCTCGGTCCTCATGCTGTTATTGGCTCTCTGTCGTTGGGTGTGCAGAGAGAGTTTCGTATTCGGAGAATCGTGCCAACTCCTGATACTGACGGACTCAGTCCGGCAGAGGCTGAAAAGCTAAAAGAGGAAGCAGCGGATCTTCAGGGTCAGATTTCTCTGCCTCTACCACACAATAGCCTGTTAGTAATGCATGCGGAGATGCAAGAAGGCTGGAAGCACAGTATCAGTTCTGTCAGTATTAGTAAGAGTATTGTACCACATCCTATTGCTCGGAACAAGAGAGTCAATATCACGTATCGCTGGTATAGGCCGGAGTTCGAGCCGAAGTATACACCACGATGTAGGTGCAAAGTCAAGGTAAGGAAGAAGAACGAGAATGGTAACGAGGTAGAGATCGAAGAACGTATTCCGACCGTCTTGAAAAGCGTTATGAGACGCAAAGAGACACTTGGGAAGTATGTTTGGATGTGTCAGACACAAGGACGTGTGGATATGGACATCATAAACGAGAAGGGCTCTAACCATGACGGTAAAGGTTGTGGGTATTTTGAGTGGGCTGAATTCGATGAGGATGGCGTGCCTCTATCGAGCAATGGAGGGTCAAATTGATACAACGAAGAATCCCGACACGCACGATGGCTCAATCAAAAATGATAAACGCCCACGACATGGTCTCTATCAACTGGGTTCAAGTCACAGATTTTTATTTCGCTGTTCAATCGTTGCGAACCAATGGTTTTTAAACTCGGCTGTATTTTCCGCCTTGCCGGCCAAGATGCTCGAAGGACTAAGCAGGTACCAACACCTAGCGACATCCTCCAACACAAAACCTCACCTTTTACCTGTTCTTCGGAGGAAGCACTGTTGGAACAGGGGGCCTGCTCGTCGTTCTCGGAAGCTCAGGCACAGGAGTGGTAGGCACACAACTACATGCACTACTGACCTGAGCAATAACATCCGCTCCATTGGCGCCACAGGCTTCACTGGCGTACGCCGGAACGACACGCTCATCATCAATCTGCCTGACCAAGAAATCTCCGCAAAAGTCTTGGCTTTCTTCAAGACGTCCTTGAATGCTGCTGGCTCGGAGTGATGTCAAGCAAGCATTGGACTCGCAAACTGGTGGTTTCGGGCATGTCTTGCTGGTCATCTTGACCACAAACGATCCACGCTCGATGGTATGGACAAAGATGAACCCAGATTTGAAGTAGGCATAAGACGACCACGAACCGAGGAAGGCGACGGTACCACCACCTTCGTTCTCGTCGTCTTCTGGGTAGATGTCAAAAAAGCCAACTTCACATATGCTAGATCCTGATGGGTCTTCTGTGATCGAGCTAATGTCTAACATGGTGAACCCATTACCATAGTTGCTCTGTGCCAGGTATGTTGCGTTGATCACATAGTGATTGTGGTCAATTGAGCGAGTTTTACCCACGTGGTAACCGCTGTAGTGTGGGTTCTCAAGATCGCGAATATCGAAGATATGTGTCGTGGGAAGACCCTGACGCATTGGTCCGACATCAGCATCACGCTCGTCGAATTCGTCGTTCAAGAAGATGTATTCCTGGTTCATCTCGTCGTTGACAACACCTTGGTGAACGTATTCTGCTCCAGGGAAGCTGGTGATTGAGATAATGTTAGTCGTGTTACCAACCTTGTCTGTGACATTGTAGATCGTCAGAGTGTCTTCGTTGTAGCCATAGCAGATGTCCATGCCCACGTATCGTGTGTCAGGTCCACGGTAGACTAGGCACTGAGCGTCGTGGACATAGCCGTCACCAGCAGCACAACCTGGGCTCGTCGGGTTCGTGGGATCGGTCATATTGAGGTAGATCAGCCCACCCCGGCATGGCAGATCACCCCTCACTCTAATGGTTGCATTGCCACCAACAGATCCAGCAGCGATGGCATAGTTCAGTTCTTCGTTGACGACAATGTTGTGGGTACGTCCAACGGGTAGCTCGTTCCAGTAACCTGTCAGGTCATCTTGAGTGAAGTTCGTAGGGTTTGCTGGGTCGAGGTCGAGAAGTTTACGCATGTCAAAGACCTGGACACCACTGTTGATGGCCTCCGATCCGATAACAGCATAGCCTCTAAGAACACGAATCTCTCTCCATTGCGAGCCGACAGGATCGTAGGGAGGTAGACGACCCAGATACACTAGTTTGCCTTCACTGCTGATCTCGGCAAAGGCGGTGCCATCAAATTGACCAATGGCAACGAATTCTCGTCCAGTATCCGAAGTCCACCCCCACGAGGAACTTCCTCGACCAGCAGAACTACCCAAGGCTGAATGTGGCAAGAAATGGTACAAGTCGATCTGAGAACAGCGGAAGGTGTTGTTAAAATCGCCTGGAATCGCTGCAGCGAACCCATTCTCGCATTTGGTATAGCCAAGCTCGGGATATTGACTGCTCTCCATCTGACCTGCAGCGATCTCGGCGTCCCATTGTGCCTGCGATATTGGTAAGCTTCAATGAGGCATAAAAGTCGTGGCGCTGATTTGTATACCATCTTGATGCCCATAATGCGTGCGTGTACAGCCCCAGACGCATATTCTTCAGCAGTTCCTAGCATAGCTGCTCTGCTCGTGCCTGCAACGGCCGAGCAGAGGGCAGCAACAAGGCCAAAGCCAACCATGGTGGAAGGACTAGCTCGCAGTAACAATGTTCCCAGACGGCGGTGGACGTCCGTTTTCAATTTCGAGACACAACTACAAACATATCTGCGGACCAGGAAACAGCTCGATTTATGAGCTTGCGAGCTTTACTCACCTTCCTCTTCCCGTTGGTGTTTCTCATGGCGGATACTATGATGGGGCGTCATGGTTCATGTGCTTGAGTTGCACAGTAGACACGATAACAATGTTTGTATGACCTGAGTGGGTAGAGGCACCATAGAACAGGCTTGGCTAATGGTACCCAAGACACATGGTGAGTCTTGGCCTTGGCGCTTTCAATCGTCCTCCGAGCAGCGGAATGCCTGCAATGTCGTCGCTGAGAAGTCGTCACAATCCTGGGCTGCTCCGCGTACGGAGTATTCGTTGGTCCTATAACCCCTCCTTCCTGCACTCAGGTGGGGGCTCCGTCCTATCTCTTGGCCAAAAAGCAGGGAATGTAACGACTGCTCTTCTCCGGCGTAGAGCGCCGTGACTCGGGTTGTAAACACTAATTTGTGTTCATAACATTCATGCAAGGTAAAAGAAGACGACAATTACATGCTGCTCGAGCAACTGTTCGATCAAATTTTTCGCTACTGATAGTTCCCTGGAAGATACCAGGGCTCAGTCGGTGTCAAGTGACCTTGCTCTCATGCCATGTTCTAATTATCCCGTTGCACTCACTGCTAATTAGTGTGTAAGCTCCATAATTGCAGTAAATTATGGACAATTCTACGAGCTCGCGAAGTATTCTTCTCGCACATCTAAGTTCTCTCCAGGAACGGCGCGAGTATGTGGCCTGTTTGCCGAACTTGTGGTCTGGCTGAGTTACCTCAAGGTCATTAGTTATTGCGTACCACTGGGATCTCCACAAGCTGTAAGATTTTAGTGCTTCGAGCTTGAGCGGCCCTTCGCACAACTACAGTAGTTGTGGGTTCCGGGGCATCGCTGCTAGTAGTCGTAGTATCCGAAGTCGTGGTTGCGGTTGTGGTACTGATGGTCGACGCAAACGTTGTTGTGGTCGTAGAGCCAGTGGTTGTCGAAGTCGAGGTTAAGTCACTAGTGGTAGAGGTAGAGGTCGAGTCACTGGTAGTAGAGGTTGAGATCAAGTCAGTGGTGGTCGAGGTCGAGGTCAAGGTCGAGGTCGAGGTCGAGTCACTGGTGGCAGAGGTAGATTCGGATGTGGTGCTTGTTAGAGACTCGAACGATGTCGACGTAGACTCAGCGGAAGTTGTGGTAGTTTCAGAGGAAATTGTTGTGCTGATGTCGGAACTCGTTGAAGTTGTGGTTGGTTCGTCGAGAGTGCTGCTCACGTCGGAGCTCGTGGTACTCGCAGTCACAGTCGCAAAACTCGATGTCGTGCTGCTTTCAACAGGCTCGATGCTGGTAGTACTCGTCCTGGAAGTGCAGCTAGTGCTCGTAGTACTCATTGAAGTCGCAGTACTGGTAGTATCAACTACACTAGTAGTTTCGATAGTGGTTGTAGTGCTCTCCGGCACAGTCGGTCTTGGAACGACCAGGAACTGCCCAACTTGGAGGTTATACCAGTTAACACCTGGGTTGGAAGCGCTCAACATGGAAAACGAGATACCGTAAGTTGCTGATATAGCATTGCCGGTATCTCCAGCGACCACAGTGTAGATGGTACTCCCTGAGCTTTCGTCGCCCTCAGAAGGGATGTTCAAGACTTGACCAATTCGAAGATTGTACCAATTGACACCAGGATTAGCAGCGCTCAACATCGTGAAGGAGACACCGAAGGCTGCCGCTATAGCATTCCCTGTATCTCCACTGATGACAGTATAGCTAGTGCTTCCCGTGCCCTCGTCGTCCTCACAGGGAATGTTCAGAAGTTGTTCAATTTGGAGATTGTTCCACTGTACCCCCGGGTTAAGAGCCGAGAGTTGAGCAAACGAAACGCCCAAGCGAGCTGCGATACGGTATCCCGTATCTCCTGCCTCAACGATCCAGGTGCTGTCCCAGGTGCTATCACGCTTCGAGAGGTAGCTGGAGCCGGACCGTACTGACGCTGTTTTCCGTAACCTGAAAGCCCATTTTTGAACTCCCGATTCAACTACATGAGCAAGATTGCCACCTGTCATGGCTATGTGCTTCGCGTGATCAACAGGCTTTGCATAGCTCGTTGTGCAAAGCAATATCAGGCAAGACTAGTTCCCGTTAGCCTCCTCCAGTGATTGTAAGGGCTTACTCACTAACGTCAGCAGAGACAGATGCATTTTGGGCTCCATGTTGATATTGCGGTGTTGAGAATGGCTTGTTCGATTGAGCAGCTCCTGGAACAGAAAATTTCGTATCTTTAAACACTCATGCGTGGCCATGGCTCATTCCCAAGTCACGTAACGCGTTGTGAACGCGTATAGCAGCATTCTGAACATGCGTGGTGGTCAGAGCACCATGAACATACTTTCAGATGGCTGTAGGGCTCATGGCATCACAATTTACAGATTCCTTTGAAGGTCATGATGTCTGGCGAAATCCTAAGATCGACCTTGGTCGACGGCTTGGAATTCGTGCTCATCTGGCTCGACGGCATACATTTGTATAGCTACAGTAGATATTCGCAGGTCTTCCTACAGCACCGAAAACTTGGCAATGTTTCATAGGAATCAAACCAAGCGTACAAGTCGCTCTAGTTAAATCGGATCGCCACTGCCTACCCAGCTTCGTGGCTGCTAGCAGAGGACCGCGCCTGCCAGTGTTGAAACTCGTGACCGGGTATGGAAAGGGGGCGGGTGTCTAAGTTTACGTCATATCCAAGAACGTGGCTCCTCATGCCTGCAGCACAAAATGCAATAACTCGTGCCCTCTCTTGTCCAAGCAATTTCCAAGACTTGCTTTACCGAATTTTGTTGCAGACCACCAGACAGTTTGCTGGGTGCCAAGTCAGCTTCTGCCGCCTGTAGAGACGCCATCAGCCATTGTCATGCCACACCCGAGGCTTAGCAAGCCGGTTCCCACTGGACAACCTTATCACTAAAGTCGCTATTCGAGTATAATGCTTACTTAGCGCAACTTTGCTGCGTGTTGTTGGCGCGCTCAGCACGATGAAGTCATCCTCGATGGCCATCAAGACGTGTGGAAGGCCATGCCACATTCCAGACACATAGATAGGCAGATCTCTTGGTATGTGCTCGCAAAACTTCTTGTTTTCGTGTGCTTGGTATCTTGTCTCTCTTAAATTGAACCTTACTTTTATGAAAAATCTTGACGGTCTTAGCTTTACCCGGCATGTCTCGTGCTTCTAGCAGATCATCCACAGTTCGTGGCGAAGAGTCGTCGCATTCTAATATTGAGCCTGGTGAAAAGCAGAAAGCACTAGGCGTTAAAGGGCCTGAGCTTGCTGCTGGTGGAGGAGACATTGCGAAGACACAACGTCCAGATGGTCGAGTCGAGTTGATAGAAGATGATCTCGAGGAAAAGCTCGGTTATGCTTATCCTGAGTGGAAGAAATGGCTTATTTTGGTCATCATCCTATGTATCCAGACCTCAATGAACTCGAACGCCAGTATGTATGGGTCAGCTAGCGAGGGAATTGCCGAGAAATATGGGGTTTCTGAAACGAAAGCCCGCCTCGGTCAATCTATGTTCTTGATCGCTTACGCTTTTGGCTGTGAGTTGTGGGCACCTTGGTCTGAAGAGTTGGGTAGATGGCCGACACAACAATTGTCGCTCTTCCTGGTGAATATTTGGCAAATCAGTTCAGCCTTGTCCCCCACATTTGGAGGAGTACTCACTTCGCGTATCCTTGGTGGTCTCAGCACTGCTGGAGGCTCTGTCACTCTGGGTACGTTGTGCTTTGTCGGCCCGTTACTGTAATGCTTACCAAACAATGTACAGGTGTGATCGCGGATCTGTACCATCCTGAAGACACAGGTTTTCAGTATGCGGTTGCGTTTGTGGTGTTGTCGTCTGTTGGAGGCGCTCCCATCGGCACAGTAAGCACAGTTCTAACCTTGTCATGAACCAAACAATTGACTTGGACAAGGTCATTGGTGGATTTGTTACGACATACCATGCTAATCCAGCCTGGGTTTTTTGGGTCTTGCTTATTATGGGTGGAGTCGTTCAAATTGTCCACTTCTTTCTTGTACCAGAAACACGAACAACCATTATTCTGGATCGAGAAGCGAAGAAGCGTCGTAAGAATGGCGACAATGTTTGGGGACCAAATGAGCTCAAGGAGAAACGCTTCAGCTCGAAGGAAATCGGACTAATCTGGTGGAGACCATTCCAGATGTTCTTCACTGAACCTATCGTTCTTTGGTAAGTTGCAGCACCAGTCCACGTTGGCAAATTCTCGCTAATAACCATAGGCTATCGCTCTTGAGTGGTTTCAGTGACAGTCTGATCTTCACGTTTATGGAGGCATTCACGCCTATATTCGAGCAATGGAATTTCAACACCTGGCAAATCGGCCTGTGTTTCCTCTCGTAAGTTCGACATGAATGCGTTGAATCCGGGAAACTGACCACGGGCATAGTTCGATTATCGGATATATCATCTCGTACTTTACCTACTTGCCTGTGATATGGCATCACAACAAGACGAGGAAGGTTGACCCTGACAAGCTATCTCCAGAAAGTCGGTTGTGGTGGCTGCTATACCGTAAGTTGGCATCTTGGGGCAGATGAGCATGGCTGACCAGACGTAAAGTTGCGCCATGCCTTGTGATCGGTCTGTTCGGCTTCGCTTTCACGTCCTTCGGGCCACCAGAGGTCCACTGGATAGCACCCCTAATCTTCACCTGCATAATCGCCATCGCCAACTATGCAGTTTACAAGTCGTCAATCGACTACATGATCGCAGCATACGGACCATACGCCGCTTCTGCGACAGGTGGAAATGACTTGGCTCGAGACTTCCTAGCAGGTGTAGCAGCCATATATGCTCACTCATTCTACGAAGTATTTCCAAGTGAGAGGTGGCATCTGATATATCCAACAATGATTCTGGGATGCTTGGCCGTGCCGATAATCATTCCAATCTATGTATTCTACTACAAAGGAAAGTCCTTGAGACTCAAGAGCAAGTTTGCCGTCGAGCTTGAGAAAGCTCGTCAAGCCAGGCTCGGTTCGAAGAGAAGAAAGTCGACTGTGGGTGATAAGTCGGACGACGAGAAGCAACTTGAGACGGCCTAAGAATTGTTTGATACGTATCGCGCATAATATAGCGTCATCGAACGTCGATAGCATCCGTGTCTAGAACTTTCTGTTTTCATCTCATGAGTAGTAAGTCAGCAAACAGAGTACAGTACCTCAGATAATCCGGGCACTCCAGCAGCAGTCGTTGTTGTATGGTAGCATATGCATGCATGCAAAGTAGCAGAATAGTTGTATATTATTTATCAGTAAATCGGTGGAAAGACTTAATCGCCGGCAATACCTCGGATCCAGGACGCGATACTCAACGCGCTTTCCTGTACAACTGTGAATCGAAACTCAGTCACCATCGACAGCCTCGATGGGCCACTGAGTACAGCAGTATCTTGCACAGCGTGACAGCCCTCGAGCCAACGAACTTCGTGTCACTTGCTATTCAGCGCATTCATGGACCAAACACACCAACATCTTGAGCTTGCGTGCTAGCAGGCAGGAATCGTCCTTGATTCCGTCTGTGTCTTTCGCTACTTATTCTGTTCATGATAACATTCCGGTCGCCAGTATGTCTGCCTTTTCAGTATCAGATCTTCTGAATCCGGCTCCTGCCTCACGCCCGGCTTCTCCCGGAATGCAGGACACATTAATGCACGACGAGTGAGTTCGAGTCAAAGGAGAACTGAGTAATCTTGCTAATTATGTTCTCAGTCCTTCAACCACGATCGCAGGCGACATGTTTGCACCTGAGCTGTTCCATACAGATTCGATGTTGGATGGTCCTAGTATATTCGATCAACAAGGCATGATACCCCTCGAGCAAAGCTCTTCTCCGGAGTTCCTTCGCAAGGATTCAGTAATCAGTGACATACTGAATGGTGCTGATACCCTAATGGAGGACATTGATTTGTCTATTGATGCAAAGAAGAAGGATAAAACTCCAAGACAGCGCGAGACGGAAAAGCCTAAAGATACTCGACATTCATCCAAGAATGAAGGACAGCACACAGATCGAAGATACCTTTGCTACATCTGTCACAAACTCTTTACGAGACGACGGTCTGTCCGGGATCATCTCAACAAGATCCATGGCGAGAAAACTTGGGAGCCTCAGAAAAGTCTAGAAGTTGTCGTCGAGCCTCACTCGGGAGAGCCGATTGAGCCTATTGAGGACATAATCGCACGAGGTCCTCCACCACCTCCTAAGTCGGTCAAGACGTCTAAACCGTCGAAGGATGAAGCAAGTAGCAAACAACCCTCTGAGGAGAAAGAGCCAGAAGATAGGGTCGGAGGAGACGAAGAGGAGGATGCGCCTTTGATCTTGCAAACACAGAAAAGTTTGCACGATGCGAACGACCTGCCTGAGAGTTTGATTGCACCTGAATCCCTCATCCAATTTGAACCTGAACCTGACAGCAACGAGACACGACCGGAAACTGTAGAGGTTGAGACTGAGAGCAAGACAGAACCAGAAATCCAATCTATCATACCACCTGCACAGCCTCCAAAGATAAAGAAGGAGGAGTCGCAAAGGTCAGAATCAAGACCTGTGTCCGTTGAACCTATACAGTCTATACCTGCACCTCTAATAGGCAAGAAAAGACCACTAGCCATGACGAAGAAGGGCACTGCAAAGGTCAAATCTGCAACTCCATCGAAGCGGCTCAAAATGACTGAGCCGGACCGAACCCCGACCAGGTCTCCTAGCGTAACGCCTGCGCAAAAGACTGGCAGCAAGCTGAAGAAGATTGCCAACATCGCCTCACCCGCCTCACGCGCAAGCTCTCGTCAACCATCACCTTCACCCACACCTTCGGGAGCCACGCCCGCCAGCAGTAACGATGATGGAGAAGTCTTCTGCATCTGCCGAAAAGGCGACAACCACACCTGGATGATTGCTTGCGATGGACCTTGCCAGGAGTGGTATCATGGAAAGTGCATCGGTATAAGGGAAAGAGACGGTGAGCTCATAGACAAGTTCTTCTGCCCTTACTGTGCTGAGAAAGGTTTAACGACCACATGGAAGAGGATGTGCAGAAGGTCAGACTGCAGAAAACCTGCAAGAGTCAAGGATAACCCTCCCAGCAAGTATTGTAGCGTTGAGTGCGGAAGGATGTTTTTCGTCGATCTCCTCAGACGAGGTGATCCTGACGCACACGCTTCCAAAGATGGCCAATTCATTGTTGAGAAGCAGAAAGCAAAGAAGGTACGAAAGAAGATCAGAAGAAATCGCCCTGTTGTGGCACATGTAAACAGTACTAGAACACCTGTTACGGCAGGCAGCAGGCCTCACACTCCAGCATATAGTGACGAAGAGAAGAGCGAGTACGAAACAGACACATCTCTTGACGACGACGAGCTATCGAATCGTGGCGGTCCCCTGCGCGCAGGTGAGGTCAAGGCTCTACTTCAGCAGTGCAGGAATGTCGCTTCCTGGCGCGAACTGGGGAAGAGGATCGACAATACACCACCTCGCGACATGGACGAGAAAGAACAGAAAGTGGTTTTTGATGATTTCGAACAGGCAAGGATGAGGACGATTAAGGAGGAGCTTGCGGAACTAGGTAACAAGCTTACTGCTCTTGCTGAAAGAGAGAAGTTTCTTGAGCTAATCAAATCTCGGTCGCAAACTATCGCTGATGACATCAAGAAAAACAATCCGAAAATGAAATCTGCGTGTGGCTACGATCCAAGATGTGCTTGGAACGATGCAGAGTTCTTGCAGTGGTATGAATCAGGCGGAAAGGAGATAATGGCAGGCGGGAAGATCGGACCGCCTGACGACGACGCGCGCACAGTTGATGGCATCGACAATAGTGAGGATGATGAAAAGGCTGCTACCATGAAAGGTGGTGTTTGTGTTCGCAGCAGCTGTACTAAACATGGCAGGACGTGGCAAAAGTCACAGCTTGCAGAATTAAGATTCGAACAGGATTTGATCAAGAAGAAGCAGGATAACTTGATGCAGCAAGAGCAACGCATCAGGAGCAGGGCACAGATTCGTGGGCTTGAACTTCAAGGACCTACTATTGTTAGCTAGAGGAATATATTCATTATCTTTCCGCTTGTACACGAAATGCTCTTTCCAGAGCGCTATACATTGGCTGCGACCACTGGCACTCGAAGAAACATGCGTATGACCACTTCTCGAGCACAATCATCAGAACGAATCGTGGTTATCCACAGTAACATCGCGCATGACGATCTGCACAAGCACTAAGCTAAAATAAGCTAGAATATCCAAAACAGCAATTTACTCTTTGGCCCCCATCTTCATCTCAGCCTATCGCATTGAGTACAAGTACAAGTGAAATGGTAGGGCGCACATCGGGACTTGAATATGTCTTGTTAGTGGCCAGTAAGTGGCTTAGCTATTGCTTATCAGTGCTTTGGACAAGATGGATTGCCAGATTATGCTCCAGTAAGGCAGAGCTCGAGTTGCAGAATGTAGGATACGAGTGGATGGTGAGACTTTGGGAAAATGGCCTGGACGCTAGAAAGGGAGGGTGGTGAATCTTGTAATATGGCTTTGATCAGTAGTAGTGGGATGGCTGAAGTGAAGCGAAGAAACAACTGATCCTTCTAATTGAATCTCACGAGGTAGTCGGTGTCTGTACACAATACTATACCAAGTTGAAGAAACGTACCTCAGCAACGTAGATATGCGCCTAACTTCAGCACTTTGCTACACAACAGCCCTCTTGCTACCATACGTCAACGCACTATACACACCCAAGGGTTCTGCATGCGCTGTAGAATGTGGGACGAAGGCGCAGAATTTCACGGGTACAGGCGACCTCGTCTGCCTGGATACAGCATACAGCGATACTTCTAAGGGTGTCACTCTCAAGTCCTGTATATCATGTCTATCGAACAGTACTTATGTCAACGACACGGTCTCGTTCGACGGGAATGCGGATCAGTATTGGTTTTTGTGTAATTGAATTTTGGTACCTCTTCTTCACAGCAGTTAACTGACATGTTCCAGGGCACATGAAATACGTCCAACAATATTGCCTGATCGACACTCCTCAGACGAGCGCCGCCTCCAATTGTGCCGCAAAATGCAACCTGGCAGAAGATGCAATGAAGACGTCGTGGATTTACAATGGTGTGCAGAATCAGTATAATTACTGCAATTGGAACTCGTCACAGTACACGCAGTATGCGGGGGATTGTGCTCAGTGTTTGCAGGGACAGGAGAATGGTGTGATAATCGGCAATTTTGCAGACACGATGTATCGTGCGTGTGAAAAGAAGCCTGATATTGCGAATGGACAACTGGTAACCACGGCGCGTGCTCTTTTCGACTCTGCTACCCTGGACATTGCGACGGCGACCCAAACACAGACAGGAACATCAGCGAATGCTACGGCTGTAGCTACGACTGGTGCAACAACAACGGCGGCATCTCCTGAACAGTCCCCAACACAGTCTAGCTCGAGGCACGGGCTGTCGACAGGTGCAGCAGCAGGAGTTGGTGTAGGCATTGGTATAGCTTTGGCGGCACTCGTTGGTGGCGTCATCTTCTGCATTCGACGCAGACGGAAGGCGGCAGGCACGGTAAGAATGAGCGATGGGGACAAGGTATCTCCGCCACAATATGCAGCACAGGAGTTGGACAGCGGAACTTATCGGTCTGAGCTATCGGCGGGCGGGAAAGGTCAGGAAAAGCCATTCTTGGTGGAGGCTGGGGATGGCCGACTGCCTGCGCAAGAGCTTGATGCAAGCGGGAGATATTGAGCAAGCAATTATAGAATAGTCCTGTACAAAGAGCCTTGATCGCAACCGTCGTGGCTCGGTCCAGCAGAGCTCACATGCCATGCACTTGGTTCTTGTTGTACGCAACCAATTTGCCCACAACCAGGTACTAGATCGTATTAGCTTGCTTGACCATAACTTGCAGCTAGGCAGCTAGGCTACCAGCTGGTATGGAATAGCATGAAGGTCTCCGCACTTACCTTCTCATCGAACCTCTCAACCCACCCCTGCAGATTCTCCAGTTGGTCCGCACCGAGGTCTGAGCAGTCGTCTAGTGGTCCATCAAGGTTCTTGGTCAACATATCTTCATCGAAACTCTGACATGCCAGTCCCCTCGTCGCATCTCGTCCTGCGAAATTTTCATATGGACCACCCGGGCCGTAAAAGTTCCTGCCAGAAGTGACATCGTGTACTTTTCCTTTCACTGCCAGATACACTTTTCCATCAGGGTTCAATGGAGGATTTGGCAGACCGTTGAACTTCAGTAGGGTTCGTGGTGTGAAAGTCTGGAAGACTATAGGCTGATCTTTGTTGACGTGTAGGGTTTGAGATGCTGCGTTGTATGGACGTATCAGGCGGTAGTAGGTGAATGTGAGGAGGACGACAAGAAGAGCGACGTTGAGTGGTGTTACGGTCGATCCGAATTGTTCTCTTACCCCCGAGCGATAGGCTTCGAGTTGTGGTGACAAACCGAGATTATATGGATCCAACGTCGCGGAAGCGACTATCGAAGATGTGACAACCGACATCGTGCTCGTTGTGAGTGTCGTGGAAGAGGATTTCACTCAACTTCTTCGATATAGACTTGACAGTGTTCTGTGGAGAGCCGACAGTGCTGGAGGGCAGGTGCAGTTGGCTGAAAGTCTGTTTGCCTCGTTTGCACAAGTCTCTTGCCAGCACCATGAAGAAGAAGAGGAAGACATGCTACGTCTTGAACCTACTTGTACACTACTTCTGGTTGAGGTTCGCTTTGCTGCCGTGGCATTGTGCTTTATTGTTCACTTTAAACCATCGACAGCACTGTTTAAAGTCGAATGGCGTGGCATTTTCTATAGCCCCTCTCACATTTGAACAGTTCTAAATCATGAGCTTGCCGCCCTCCTGATGCAGATATCTGGTCAATGACTGAGAAGGACCTCTTGCTGACTTGAGAAAGCACAGCACTCTCGATATGGACACACCACTAACCCACGCATTATTCAGCTCTTGAATCTGTAGGGCGTGCTCCGAGTCTTCCATGCCTCGAGGCGATATGGCCATTCCAGATGTACGAGATGTCTGTCCGTTGGGGAAACACAATTTGCCGGCCAGTCACGCACCCACTTAATAGGTACCAGCCTTTTCTGCTACACGGTTCTTCAAGTGGAGTCGACGGAATTGAGCCGAGCGTACATGAATCACTTATCAATTTGCAACTGAAAGGCATATTTTCCGGGCTTCTTAAAGAGTCACCACGTATTGCTTAAGTTAAGCTCAATGCCAAATCTTCTTGTATAACATGGATGAGATGAGGCACGACGATAGTGGCAGTCTCAATGACCACTAGCTGACATCATAGCAAGCCACGACTGATTTGACCCGAACGAGATCGACAGGCCTCAGAAGCCATGGGACAGTCTCACGACACAGCAAAGCCTGTCAAGCAGACCACTGCAGGAGCCGAAGAGCTTCCTCAAAGTCGAGAGCCTACGCTTCATTCTCAAGTGACCACACCAGAAGTCTTATTTGGTCATCCTGTCGAGCCCTCAACCACAACGCAATCTAATCCATATGGCTGTCGGCCAAAGTGTTTCGCCAGCACATTCTCAGAATGTCTCTTTGTCATTACCACAAGCTTCGCTATTGGTCAAACCGCTGTTCTGACGGGTGCGCTCATGGTGTCCACCGCCCGAATCCAGCAAGGACTAAACATGAATAGTTCTGAAGTTACTTGGGTGGTAGCCGGGAACTCCTTGACTGCAGGATGCACATTGTTGTTCTTCGGTAAAGTTGCTGATCTGTTCGGAAGAAGGTCTCTGTTAGTATATAGCATGGGTCTCTTCACAATTTGCATGCTTATCACCAGCTTCTCTCAGAACGCCATCATGGCTGAGATCTTTCTTGCACTTTCCGGCCTCACCTGCGCATCTGTTGTGCCACCAGCAATTGGAAAATTAGGAGCTATTTACGAGAAACCGTCACGACGAAAGAATAGAGCCTTCGCTTGTTTCAGCGCGGGCAATCCCATAGGGTTCGTCGCAGGTGCCATTATTGGCGGTATCGCCACAGAAGTGGCATCTTGGAGAACAATGTTCTGGACGATTACGGTTCTTTATGCATCCTTGACTATGGTCGCCTGGTTCACAACACCTCAGGACTCCGAACAAGCGCTTGGCGGCTTGAACAAGGAGACCCTGGCTCAGATGGACTGGCTTGGAGCCCTACTTGCTGTTGCTGGTATTGCATCGTTTGTCGCAGCCTTCACTCAGGCTCCCGACGCCAGCAATGGCTGGGGCACACCATATGTGATTGCGATGTTGGTTGTGGGCGTCCTCCTCATGACATCATTCCTATATTGGCAGTCCGTCTTCAAGCATCCTCTGATGCCTCTTAGGGTTTGGCGCGATCGCAACTTCTCCCTCCTCGTCGCTTCGTTGTGCTTGATGTTCTATGGATTCAACAGCAACTTCTTCTGGTTGGCACTTGGTTGGCAACGAGCCTACAATAATTCGTCTCTAGAAGTGGCAGTGAAGCTGCTTCCAGCTGCAATTGGTGGAATGGTCGTGAATTTTGGAGTGGCGCTGGTGCAGCATAAGGTCTCTAACAAAGGCTTGTCGATTTTCGCGGCTTCATGTTCGATTGCTTCATGTGTGCTATTGTCAGCCACCTCAAAGGCGATCTCGTATTGGGCCCTTTCGTTTGCAGCTCAGTTGTTTGCAGTACTTGGCGCCGATATTGCATTTTGTGTCACAAACTTGTACGTCATGTCGTCACTTCCACCAGCGCAACAGTCGGTGGGTGGAGGAATTTTTCAAACTGTGATTCGGATTGCATCGACTATCGGCTTAGGAGTTTCGACCACTGTCTTTGCTGCAGCTGGAGGCAGTACTGAGGTGTCTGTCAATGTTGCATGGCGACCTTATCAAAGCGCTTTCTGGGTCGGTCTGGTTGGCGCAGTGATTGGTTTCTGCTTGACTCCTCTCTTAACAATTGGTAGGCAGGGTCACCGGCAGGAAGCAAGGAGTGTAGCTAATCGAGATGGTGGTGACCGCGCCGTTCAGACCACAGAGAAAAAGAGCACAATAGTCTGAGATCCTTTTGAAAGACAAGAAGTCGTAACACAAAGCCTCCCTTCGATCGACTCTTCCTATATTGAGTCCTGCTGTATGCCTGAGCAGATTGTCACTCTCCTATTAGTTGAAAATGATATGGTCAGCTGAAGTAATCGTGCCTCAGAAATTCTCTCATTCTGTACATCAACCACAGCTGAAATGTTTAGGTACTTCGCTGTTCTCAAGCAACTCTGAGGCACAAATCTCACCAGCGACAATCACTCAAGACATCTCTCTATCGAATTCTCATGCTTGCCTCCATCAACCTGACCGACTCAAGTACCTGACCTTGGACCACAGCAATAGAATAATTCTCACCATCTTGTCCCGTAGCATGGACCAACACATTTTCACCATATCCGCAGTCTCGCTCATCGCCAGCGACCTCCTCGTACTGAGCAAAGCTTTCCCGAGTAATGCCGTCCGCTTCGACGAGTAGAGCATCGAGGGCCAGCTTTCTAGCTTCCACATATTTCTCGAACACACCCTCGATACTATAAATCCTTTTCGCCTCACCCTCGGATCCATCATTGTAATTGGTGGTAGTCTTCACGACATAGTACAAGCCCCTGCAGATCCTGCCATCCTCGAACTGGTGCGTCCACTTGGCGTCATTCGCGGTAGTCAGCAGACGAACTTGAAAGATAGTTTCATCTTGTGCTACAGCATGAACAAGGAGACCACTTTGGTTCTGCGCTGGTACCTTTTGAGCTTCAAAGAAAGCGGGAGTCACGCCATAGGCTTTGAAGAACTCGCCTTCGTAGCCAGCATCGAATAGAGCGCGGTGGCCAGCAGCTCTGGCGAGAGGTACCGAGTCGTAAGTGCCGACAATCCTCAATCTCTCGACTTGCTGGTTAGGATCTTTCGCTCCGAGGTGAGAGGATGTGACGAGGATATGGTATATCTCGTCTGAGGCAGGCGGACCATCTGTGCCCTGAGATTTCGCGTCTAACAAGTCAGGGTCGGCCACGTACTTTTCGTAAAAACTGCGGTACCATGATGGGACTGGTCGTGAATGTGCAAGCATGACTTCTGTGTTCTTGCTGAAGGGTCTCGGTTCGTGGTCCTGAACTGTGAGTATCGCAATATGGCTCGATCACCTTAGAAAGATGGATGTTTATAATGCTCTGGGGACAGGTAAGGCAACGCGGGACATTCACATTTCCAAATGAGTCACTGCCAGGGCTGTGAACAGTAACTCGCAGCGGAATACGCTCATAGAGGGTCATACTCACTCCAACCGTGGTGTTGTGCCACCAAGATTGAGGTGGTATGATTTGTGCCGGGACACTTCGGCTCTACTGGCCACGCTTCTTCAAAGGCATTGCTCGTAATGCTGTTGCACTAACCCGCCAGCTAAAAGCCTAGAGGATAGTCAGCATAGCGACACAGTACAGCCTGATGGGTCGTATAGTCTGTGCAATCTCTCTACAATAGTATAGTTCGTGTTGCTAGTAGTACTCTTCGAAGGTGAAGCGTGGCCAAGCCCCGGAAGTCGCTCGATCTAGGCACTTTTGCCAAGCTCGGAACACGCCGAAGAGACAACGTCTTTGGCCTCGAGTTCCTCATCACACCACTACCAGTGGCAACAAACGCATCTCTTCAGGCAGCTGATCTCTCTGGGACAAGAGATACGCAGGTCGATCTGGTTGCTCTCACATATCGATGAAGCTGATTATCAACGCTTTTCCCCTCGGTTTCCCGCTACCCATGAGCTTGGAGCTTCACAATTTTATTGTTCGCATGTGATCAAGTGTTGAGTGATACCTGGCTGAATGCTAAACTTGTTTACACGTGAACATTGAACTCCTCGTGTTTCTGTGCTGGTACCTTCTTTGCGAACATTCTCCGGTTCAGACAAAATGTCTCACAAGCATATAGGCATTTCGTCTCTTACGTCCTCGCCTCGTGCTAACATCACTAACCAAGTCCAAAGCAAAACGAACACAACACCAAAGCAATCGCCATCCAATACCCAACACCACTTAAGCACCAGCATAAATGGCTGATCGCAGACCAATCCAGCTTGGAGGGCATTCGCCTCCACCATTTCGACCACAAACACCAGATCCCCAGCACGAAGCTACAGTGGTCCGCCAAGGATCTCTGAAACGAGCAGAGAATGCGATCAAAGAAATCTTCTTCGGCAACGCCAAGGTCAAGCAGCACGCCATCGACAAGCAGGTGCAACAAACACAAGAGCGAGAAAGGCAACACAAAGCCAAAGTCCTAACGCCTCCAGAAAGTCCTAGCATCGAAGATATGCCTCATATTTCTCTTGGTTCAAGAAGTCCCAGTGTGGAGGCTACTGATACAGACAGAATCAATCACAACGGTATGGGTGATGATGATTCTTTCGGCTGGCCAGGCTTGGGAACCTTCAAAGGTTGCAGCATGCAAGGAAGGCTGGGAAAGCCGACGAACCCACCGAAGAACAAGATGGACAGGCGAAGGCTGTCTGTCATGCGAGATGCTATTGATGAGGCTGCTGGCGAGTCGTATGGCTGGCCCGGCTTAGTTGAGTGGTCATCATCGAACAAGAAGTAGCGGTGAGGCACGAGGAGATGTGCTACGAAATTGCAAGAAATGGTAATTATGTGATGGTATTAGTCAGACCGACGTTTACGTAAATCTTATCCTCGTCGAAATGCCTGTATGCCACGGACAAGAATACAGCGAAGGTATTACGGATATTCTACCGCTGCTGCAGAGGCGGTGTCATAGACGCACGCCAGTGATTAACAGCTTCGCACACATCTCACCTGTCACAAACTCAAGTCTACGACAGCATTCTGAATTCTACGAGAAACTTCATCTCGACGGCACGCGCAAGTCTTGAGGAGTCCGCCTTCGATCCACTGGCACAAGGACTTACTCGGTTTCTACTTTCGACAGCACTGCAGGCATATACTCTATAACAACAGCATCGACCGATAAGTATAGCAGCTGGGAAAGCCTACGTTGTCGCTTACATCAAATTGTCGTAAGGTAGCTTGTTTTCTCCTCTGGTCTCCACTGAGCAGCAGGAAGAATTCGACTTCAACATGCCGCAGATAGAGATTTACTCAAAACAAAACGACTTAAGATGGCGACCTGGCCACAAGGCCGAAGCTACGATGTTCATGTTATGCACTGAAAAATGGCCAACACAGCAAGTTCGTCGAAACATCACATTCTTGACCTATATAACTTATTCAGATATATGACGCCTAACACTAGTAACACGCTAAACTTTTTACCATTCCACCACCAACGACCTAGCTATCCCAAAATATACATAACTTAAAATGTAGTGCTTACTCGCTCGTGGTATGCCTCTACTGAGTGAGATTCTGCAAACAAAATCAAAGAAACACAATGTGCCAGTCATTAGTCATGTATCGCCATAGTATACTCATAATCCTGCTCCCGAACGTCCTTGCTGAAATAATGAGATAAAGACTGTAGTGCGCTGGGAGGTGAATGGAACCGCCAATCCTAGTAGCTGGTCCATTCACAGATGCAGTACGATTCGAGATCGCCGACTACATCTCTTTCGTCGTCGTAGTCTCTGCCTCGTAGAAGTCGTCGTGCATTGCTTGTTGCGGTGGCTGACGACGTGGTATAGAGGACTTCCTCGATACATATTGTCGGTACGGTCTCGATGGGTTCTATCGACCAGTCGTCGAGCACCTGCATCATCTGACAGTAGGGCTTGACATAATCTTCGACCGCCGGATCTGAGGGTCTACGTTTCTCGACCATCTTAATCAACTTTGGATAGTTCGAGATATTGGCGGCGCTAGTTTCGTAAGATCTTTTGTTCCAGGTTGTTGGTGATGCAGCTGCACCAGCATAGGTAGGACCGTAAGCGGCGAAGGTGGTTGGTGCTTGCGTTGGCGAGGTTGCCATGGTCTTTTCTAGCATAGCCACTCCTGAGGTTGTACTTGCGAGGAGAGTGGCTTTTGTGGTAAGCGAGGTTTGACTTGTCGTCCATTTCTCGAGTTTATGTTGTGTGGTAGTGCTCTCAGGCTCGTTAGGTGCGGCTTGATTGATGTATACGAAGAACTCGTTGATGGTCGAGTTCCAGAAACAGAACCAGGGTTTGTCGGAAGGCTTGAGAGGCGTCCCATCGTAGGACGCGATGCTTCTGGCAACCACACGAGCGTCGACACTACGTTTTTCTGCTGGTGGCACAAGTGCAGATTCAGGCACTGTACACGTTAGCAAAAATGCAGGTGAGAGCTGATGGTAGAACTTACAAATAGCTAATTTGTCGAACAGAACGGAGAAGAACATAGCCACGCCCCAAGCTCCGGCATCCTTGTCTTGCATGGGCTGCAGCGGAAATGAGGTGCCATTGAAGTCGGGGGGCTGAGGGCCATATCTGAAGTCCTGAGTATTGACAGAGAAGTCGGCGAAGCTTGCCATCATCCTGTTTGATGACTCGTTTTTGAACACATTGACGCCGATATAGGCAATATCCATACAACCCCATGCAGCACCCATAGTATCGACGTTGGGTATACATTCCTTGACTTCGTGAGATTGGTTGAATGGGATCTGAAATTGGCCAGTAGGTAAAGGCGAAGCTTCAGGTCCCAGTGTGGTGGGGATGGCGTCCAGCCATATAGTTTTGACGGCACTAGTCATGTCAGCCAAGATCGACGCAGAAAGAGAGAATACACCCACCCATTAGCATATGCTCTTTGTGCGCCTTGACGGTTGCCAATGACGCCTCCAACAATACCACCAATAGTGGCCGAGGATATTACGATAGCAATGATCGCGAGCAAACCCCACAAGGGCAAACCAGCGATCGTGTGCCTTTGTGCCTTATCTTTCCAACTTCCTCTCCACCCCTCCTTCCGTGCTCTTTGATCTTCGGTTTCCTCGATGAATTGTTCTCGGGGTCGTAGTAACGTAGTGGAATCTGCAGCAGATGGTGGAGCCGGTTGTGACGCTACCTCCGATGTATGGGTGGAAGCACCTGCCGTAGCTAATGACCTTCGAGAATTGAAGCGTTCCATGTTACCCTTTGCAACAGTGTTATCGGCATACCGGGTATACGGGGGCAATTGCTCAATGTGACCATCTGAACTAACGATATCTCCAACATCACTCCTCGAGCCTCCTGAAGAGGATTGGAAATTCGTACGAGGGAAGCCAAGTGGTATGCCATTCGATGTAATATCTTCGTCTTCTCCTTCAGGAGTTGTGTTTTGTGGGTATAGCTCATATGGATGCGCAGGGCCACCGTGTGATACGAACGGGGTTTCTGAACCAGGCGCAAAGGTCGACCGACTTGCTATGCTAAACGCTCTGGTCGTCTGTGGATACATGCCATATGGATGGCTAGGTGCAGTGGGACCACTGTAAGGACTCTGCGAGCGAGGTATTGTTATTCGACTTGCAGAACTCAACGACCGGCCCAGTCCACCTTGTGTCGTTGTAGGCACATCGTCTATCATTAACCTCCGCTTCGCTACTGAACCCCGAATCGAACGAGATTGTGAGGGCATTCGGTCGAGAGTCGCGGAAGAGGCATTTCTATCGTGAAAAGGATCATCAAAATACTGCTGTCGAGGAGGAGGGACGTAGCCCAATGGTTCGTTATCTATCGTCACTGGAGAGTCGGGCCCATATTCATCGCTAAACACATTGTCCTCCGACTCTATCGATACTCTTCTCGATCTCGAACTTTGTGGTATCGAGGCCAAGAATATTCTGGAGGGTTCGCGTGAAAGAGAAGAACGAGTTGTCATAGCTGGAGTCGGGCTGTGCAGCGTGCCAGCCGCTGGGCTGTTACTGTTGTTGAGGAGCCAGTCGTTGGTGCTGCTTGTGCGAATCGTCTCCTCTGTCGCGAACGTCGAGGGCTCAGTCTGGTGTTTCGTGGTTGTGAATGGTGTCGTAAGGTGGTGGTCTGGAGCAGTTGTGGTCAGATCTCGACTTTGGTTCGGGCGGATTTCACTGCGGGTGCCGCAGGTGGTGATGTTAGACTCATTTTTAGCGTCATTTTTCCCGACATCCCCAATCCTTCGTGCTTTTTGTCTCTGCGCCTTTCCACTTCGGGGCTGGGGTCTGGATAGTCTTGGCTGACATCGCTACTGCTTGGCCTGCAGCTTGAACGCTCCTCAGGCTGCACCAATCGTGTGGGTATTTGCCGTATACCAACCAGATCGGTACTTGTTTGCTGCAACACTTGCAGGACATTCGTCTTATCTGTAAAAGTGTGCCCAGATGGAATACAGAGCCATCATTAGCAATTCGCTGCCACGTCTGGTGTTCTCGCCTAAACCTCCACGATAATGGCTGCAGAGGCGGCTCAAGCCGAAGTCCAAGCACTGCTGGCTTTTCTGACAAGAGATGCGAAAGTGCCATTGGCTGCAGCATTGCCAAAGTATAACGCTCTCAGAAAGCATGGCCTCGTGACTCCCGATGCCATTGCAAAGGCCGACATTGGCATACTAAGGCCCATCTTCACTGATGAGAAGATCCTCAAGCAAGTCCAAAATGCAGCCAAAAGACTGTCCAATCCGAAGAAACGCGCGGCCTCCACTATCTTGTCGTCACCTACCAAGCAGAGGAAGACTACCTCTGATCATGAAGTACAGCTAGAACTTCCCTATTCTGACATACCCATTGATGATCTACGACACAAAACGATTGAAACGAACCGTGCGCCATTGTTCCTAGCTTTTGCATTTTGCTTGACCAAGTATACGCTTCCGGAGCAGCCACTGTCTAGTCGCTTGAGTCTGGCGCAAGCCGTTACTAGCGCTGGTGCCCAGAGCAAGGCCAAGTATATCGGGTTGACTGACAGTACAGCTGAGGACGAAGGATGGGCACAGGGACAGCCCAAGATCAGACTCATGGGCAGAGATGTCCCCGTTATGAGAAGACATGTCGCTACGCCAGTCATCAAGGAAGAGGAAGATGGTCCGGAAACAGTCGATGTGCAAGAGTCAGGCACGATGCAAGAAGCATTCTGGGGAATTGACCTAGAAGCTCTAAAGAAGTCAAACGGACCACTAGTCGCTGGCAAGTTGGGTGGGGCTGGCCCTCCAGTACATAGACCGGAAGGAGCCAGAGCCTATATGCTCAAGTCGATCGACCTTGTTCAGTCAGACGACGAGAAGGGTGAGCACAACGAGGACACCAAGCCGGAAAAGCCGTCCTTGCCTCAGCGATCGAAGAAGCTCACTGCTGCCGACAAGACTGCCCGGCGGGAAGAGGCAGTGGCTGTGCTACTAAAGGCAATTGATCATGTTTATGCTTCATGGTCTACGACACTCAAAAACGACGAGTTGGATAGGAAGGCGAGTTCCTGGTATGCACAGGTACGACCTGCGGTCGAGTATGGTCAAGCAGGCTGGGGTCAGCGTGGGAAGGTTTCATTGCAAGCTATTGTTGACCTAACCAAACGGCCTTGAGTCTCCGTCTCGCAATCAGTCGCCGGCTATTGTCCATGTTGATCCATCCCCTCTGCTCCCAATTTCCTCGTGTAATCTTCTCCCATCAAGTACAGGTTGTTATTGTTGTATCCTGCCTCTTTAGATGGCCTAAAGTGCTTATCTTACATCGCAATGTTGAGTTCGCGTTTGGCTGCTTCATGGAAGTGGTGTAAGAAGCACTCCTGCACACGCTGCCTGACAAGTACCATAGGCACTGTTGCAGGCAATTACAGTAGCTGGTGCTGTTGCTCCAAGAGTTGCGCCCCAAGTAGCTCCTGACAATGCGTTAGTCATTGCAGAAGCGATTGAACACGAGGACAAACCTGCTGCAGCGTAGCAAGCCATCACAACGGACGCACAGCCTGCCTGGCAGACGGCATATCCAAGCGGACCTGCTGAAACGGCAGGAACGATCAAAAGGATACTCTTGAAGAATCTCATGATGGTGATGAGGATGTAGTTGCTGGCCGCAATCGAATGCCTGTTTTCATAGTGTTTTTGTGTCGCAGTTTGTATTAGATGAGCGGAATCAAGAGGTTGAGTGGAATTAGAAGGGTCTGGAGCGTAAATATATGTATTTTCGACGAGAAGTCCGGGTGAAGGTGAAGGTAAGAGCAGACTCGATATCCCTTCACTAAACATTCCGGGTAGCTTCACAGAAGGGAACCTGAATCATCATGACCAAGTATAGCCCGTTCAGAGGGCTGTAGCTAGTTTACAGATACACAATACAAGTACTCCAATAACCAGCGCTGTATCAACCACATAGTTGATCGTCGAGTTCAGAGGAGGACTTCTTCTGCAGATTTTGGTCCTCAGACTCGACCCAGATCAATTTCCCTACCACGTCTCTATCCTGGTACCTAGAAATCGACGCCTGCCTAGCCGTTCTTGTTCTTTGCGCCAACATCACCTACTCAAGTTAGCTCCAGAACAGTATGCCAGGTAATGATCAAGACGCACCCGACCAGAATCCCTTGTCGACCTTATTATCGGACTCACCAAGTTGGTTGGCACTCTTCTCATGTCTGTTTCTCATCTCTTCATTGTGCTGCTTCACGTCTTCGTTTTGGTCTTCAGCAGCCGATTTGGGTTGCTGGATCTTAGGCGAAGCACCGTCTTTTGAACCAGAGTTCGGAGCTGGTCCATCGCCGGCTTTGGTGGAAGGTGGTTCTGGACCTGGGTGTTCCATGTGTCTCTTTGGATTACTTTCGTTCACGCCCTGCTCTTGTCCCGACTGAACACTACCATAGTCTGTTGTTGCATAGCGACGAGGAACTGTCGATATCGAGGTTCTGCACAAGCGTGCCGCCGGAGCTCTCACAAATAGACGCGATAGTGGTGCCATGCTTAATCACAATATACTATCTGTGGTTGTTATATTGTTTAAGTTGAAGCACAGCCTCCCTGAGCTCAAGCTGCAACACAAGTACTCGGTGGAGAATTGTTGCAGGTGACCTCACTGACAATGATTACGGTTCCGCATCCACGCGTCTGGGAACTCTTTTTGCTCGTGGATTCAAACTCTACCACTAGTAGGAATTTCCGTCTTCATGAACAGAGGGACGACAGCTACGATCCACATTCGTGAAACCCAACAGTCGTGTCTGTCTTTCTATCATGATCGTATCACAGTACCACATGAATATAATTACTGCTTCGTGGTCGCTACGCTCACCTCTACTTGCACGCACATGTTACCAGACATGACGTCAATTAACGAGGTAGCACGCCTCCCCCAGATCGCGGGTCAACCTGCCGCTGTGGCCCTGAGCAATTGCTGTAAAGGCAGAAACCATAGGCTGTAAACAGGCAGGCACGACGCTCCAGGACATGATGCAGTCCTTCGTCAAAGCTGGACACTAGAATAGTAGAACGTCCAATGAGCCTGCGTTGTGCAAAGAGCACACTTGGCATCTGCAAGTTTCACCTCCCACTTGTTAGGTGCTATGACGACAATCAGTAACAAACAGTTCCCTCACCCTTTGTAGCACCACGAACAACTTCCACTTTGATAATTTCAGCTTTCCCTCTGCTGCTTCTATTCTCTCCCATACCGAATCATCCCATTGATTTTGATTACACCCAGGATGAGGTTCTCTATCACAAAAGCGTTCATTGTAGCGCTCGCAACCACTGAGATTGCAGCCGCTAGCAGCTGGTTCCCAGGCAGCAAAGCTGGTAAGAAAGAACACAAATCCTCAAATCACACGGCAGAGCTAATATCACTAACAGCATATAACAAATGGCATGAGACCGAGTTGGAACGATGGCTCTCAGACCACGATGTTCCATACCCCTCCCCAGCTGATCGCAAAGACCTGGAAAGCCTTGTCAAGGACAACTGGCAAGCCAATGTAGTTGATCCAATTTCCTCTACTGGATCGAAAGTCGATGATCACTATGGTGGTGTCAAAGGCTGGATCTTCGATTCGTAAGTTGTCCCCATGAAGTCGTTGCAGCTTGACTAATACTGTACTAGTTGGACCGAGTCAAGCCTGAAATCCTTCCTTGACCATCACAATGTCCCAGCTCCTCAGCCACGCAACCGAGACAGCCTCCTTGCTGCTGCCCGACAGAATTACGATGCCATTGCCAAGAAGGCTGGCGAATACTCTCAATACCCTGGTGACTGGCTCTACCACTCCTGGTCAGAGTCAGACCTGAAAGAGTTTCTAGATGCCCGTGGTCTTCCTTCTCCTCAGCCAACAACCCGAGACAAGCTTATCGCGTCAGTCCGACGCAATGCCCGGCTTTCGAGCCTCAACATGTCTGCCGCTGTATCATCCGCTTCCAAATCCGCTGCAAGTGCCACTGCTGGCGTCAGTAAGTCTGCTGCAAGTGCACAACAGAGTTTGAGTGACGCTCTCTATGATGCCTGGTCTGACAGTCAGCTTAAGGAGTTCCTCGACCGCAACGGCATCCCAGTTCCTCAAGGTAGCCGAAAGAACGAGCTGATTGCTCTTGCACGAAAGAACGCAGCTAAATTCTCTGGCAACGAACAATCGTCGTTGTCTGCGTCCGGCGCTTCTGCCTATGGTGCTGCTACCTCGAGCGCTGGCAACCAATACGCCAAGGCTACTGATGCTACTCAGCAAAAGGGCGAGGAAGCTTTCGATGCTGCCCTCAGTTCATGGTCTGATTCCAGAATCAAGGCATATCTTGACTCCCGTGGCGTCCCTGTTCCGCAAGGTGGTAAGCGTGATGAGCTCCTTGCTCAGGCCCGCCTTAACAAGCACAAAGCTTCGACTGGTTATTCTGCCTGGACTTTCGACACCTGGACAGCAGAGAACCTACAGAAATACCTTGACAGCCAAGGCAAGAAGGCCAAGAAGGGTGCCAAGGCCAATCGCGACGAACTCGTCAAGCAAGCTCAAGATTCCTATGCCTCTGCCTCAAAGAAGGGTGGAAACCAATACGCATCAGTCACGAACTATCTAGCTAAGCAAACTGACGCTGCCAAGGCGAACGTCTTTGACACCTGGTCTGACAGTGATCTCAAATCTTACCTTGACTCCTATGGTGTGACCAATTACCAAGGTAAGACCACCAACGAGCTACGGGCCGAGGCCAAGAAGCAATACAACTATTTCAAGCATGGCTCCTCTACGCCATCTGGCACGGTCTTTGCTCAGCTTCAAAACGTCTTGTTCGCACCTTTGCAGTACGTTTACAACTTGGTCGCGCCTGCTGCTTCCTCGGCATCTGGTGCCGCTGTAGCATCTGCTTCTTCGGCCTCAGGCGTTGGTGGCAAGTCTGCCTCCTCTGCTTCAAGCGCTGCCTCCGCTTCGGCGTCTTCCGCCTCAAGTGCTGCTTCGGCTTCAGCCTCTTCTGCCTCGAGCGTCGCTGCAGCAAGTGCGTCTTCTTTGAAGAACGAGTTGTAAGGTATACTACCAATTGATACCCCATAGCTTTGGAGTGCGGTCCTTCTGTACTTCGCAACAGCACCTAGATCCTTAGTGGATCGCATCACCCTTTGATGCTTGATATTCGAGTCCTGCATGGGTGAGACCGCAAGGTCAAATTATTGAGGAGGTAGAGGAGACAGTGGTAGATGAGAATATTTTATTGCCACAGGTTTACAGCAAGCATGGCTTCCTGGCGTGCTCACGTAGCATGATGATAACGATTATGGCGTAGCTCAAATAATCGTATTTGACGACGGATGACTTGTACGAAATTTGAAAGTTAACCCTCTGTTCTATTCTACTCTTCCGATACTCCTGTTGTTTCATTTCGCCGTCTGTAACCACACTGACTTATATGGCTCAACTACCTGATGCTCACCTGACAACAACAAACATTGTGAGAGTGGTGGGCAGAACAATGCGGCTATGAAACAGTGCAGGTACGTAACCAGAAAATGTGTTTGAGGTTGTTGAAGCACGAACCATGTAGGAGGTAATTACATGGCACAGAAATGGCTCGGAAAGTGCAGCTCCTCCTCGCCGCAAACTCCCCTTCTTACAGCCATCGTGTGACGTTATTGGGTCCTGGCGATACACAAGCGACACGGCAAGCCACATGGTGGCATATGCCTTCCAATCCTGGTATAGCAGGCTGAATGTTCAAGTCACCTCCGGTACTGCAATGCGACTGTCGTATTGAGATGCTATTTTTAAGACCTGTGAGTCGTGTTGGTTTCAATATCAAGATCGCGCTTCCAGCCAAACATAGGCACGTGAACTCTGTTATATAACTCAGGCATTGACGTTGACCTGTGAGGATTGAGAATTGATGACGAACTGTACTAACGCATCACGTTACTGCTAAATTTTGGTCACAGGAAGCAAAAATGTTCCTCGTAGACGCAATAACCTCGCTTTTCACTCTCCAATGGACACAGCAAGAGCCAAAATATCGACCCTTACCTCCTCATGTCAAGCGAACATTCGTGAAGACACCTAATGGAGACCTCGAACTCCTGGTCTGTGAGCCAGCCACATCATCCGCTAGCAAAACTACTCCATCTCACCCGCCAATCTTCTTCGCTCATGGTGGCTGTGGATCAGCAGGTGTATATCTGGAGTGGATCACCTACCTCTACGAACACAACTACAGTGGTACAATGTACGCCTACAGTGTAAGGAATCATGGCGCAAGTTACAGCTTGCCATATTTACGGATGGTTCTTTCGACACCATTCGAGGCAATTCAAGCTGATATGGTTTCTTGCTTGGAGCATGCTATTCGGCGAGAGGAGGAGCAAAACTCTACGACACGTCTACCAATAGTGGTCGGGCATTCTTCAGGTGGTGGTCTGTCTCAATCTCTACTCTCTGGCACTTTTTCAGATCCAAAACTACGTATCAGAGCATCAGGTCTGTGCCTTGTCGGAGCTATCACATCTTTCGGGAGCTACGATCTCTACTGGAACTGGCTGAAGAATGATCCCTTCTTCCCATTGAGAAGTCTTTTCCACTTGCAACATCCGAATTCTCCCCTCTCGACCGAGCAACTCGTTCACAGCGCATTCTTCGGACACAAGTATCCCAAAAGTCGCACTGGTGATTTCAAACAATGGATGCCAGCTTATGAGTCCATGGGCTGGCCAGTCGGTATGGTTGGAAATAGTTTCTGGGCATGGGCTAACGGCAAGCCAAGTTGGTTGAATACAAAGGACATTGTGAGCAATATACAGAATGCTGGTGATGGCAAAGACAAGATCTGCGTAATAGTCGGCAGGGAAGATATGATGTATCGACCTTGGATGTGGGAGAAACAATGCGGCTTGTATCGAGGTGCCCTGGAAGAACTCAAGCATAAGAAGAAGATCGACGAAACTGCTATGCCGCAAACTAGCAGTGACGACTCCATCGAAGCTGTTTCAGTGAAGAGTGAGGGTGGTGTTCGGCTGGTACTAGTCGATGATTCAGGACATCATGTGCAGAACGATGTATACTGCGATCAAGCTGCTGAGGCATTGCTGAGGTGGGCAAATCAGGTTTGAGCTATACCACTGTGCGACAAAACTCTGAGAATCTAGAAGAAGTGCACAATTTGAGACGACACATTCAGAACTATCTCAAAGCCTGGAATCCTCACTCTGTACAACACTCGCGTCTTACATCCTTCTCTATATCATGTATCTCAGCATCTGCTACGATCTTAAAAGCTAGCGTTGTCACTATCTGCAAATTCAAGATCTATCTGAATCCAGATTGAGAACGGCCAGTGACTGTCAGTAAATGACCTCCTCTTCTAAAGAGGGTTGTCCCCTTTCAGCTCTTATATCCACACTACTCGATCGGCGAGACAGATCTGTTGGCTATACCGGAAACTCTCATCCTCGATCATGACCACCACTTCCCACAATATGACCCATGTCTACGACCACAACTCTAAAGATGACATCGAGTTCGAACTTTTCAAGCGTCGTACACGTTCAAATTCACGAGTTCCACCACGCATCCTGGACCTCGACGCTCTGACAGTGCAAGATTCAGAGCAGATAGACCCAGGTAGATTCAGGACGTCGGATCTTGTGCACACATTGCTGTACTACTCAAAAGGTATTGAGGGAGTTGCAGCATTGCAGAACATCTCGGAGGAAGACTCAGTGTCGTTCTCTCACTTTCGCGCCAACACGGACAACGATTACGGTGTGACTTGGGAGATCAGTCGCAAGGGGAAAAGGGGCGCGGTAAGTTGCCATAACGTAACTGTACTTGAAACGAAATGCACTGACCTAAAGTCGTGTATAGATCAATATCATCGACACGACTAGTCCAGACACCGACCTCTCAGAACTAGACCCTACAATGTTCGTGGCTTTCGGAGTCACATCCAACGGCGTTTGGAAAACGCTCGAGTGTGGTGGTGTGTGGTCGAGCGCTACGGCACGAGATCCTCGAATGATGAGGACGGTGTCCCTGCTCGTGCGGAGGTATGTTCTTGAGGAGATTGCACTGATTCTGCTCGGTCGGAGACGTCTTCTGGAGCCCTCCCAGACAGATCAAGCCAGTATGTAGTCGTGAGAGAAGAAGTTGCATGGTGGATGAGAATTTGACTAGCAAGGTTTGCGTTTTACAGTCGCTGGAGGTGCTATGCGCATGGAATGGGATGTACCCTCAAGGAAGAAACGATGAAGAGACGGTGGTCAAATTGCTGATCGGTGCACCACAAAGGCACTGAAGACATGAAATTGAGCTTAAGCAATGCTGCATTGTGGACTATGATCTCGATATATATTTAAGGTGAGAAACAACAGAATTGTATTGGCTTCTTATGGTTGTTATCTCCTGGTTATGCTCCTCCCTCCGGGAATCTCCTTGGTCTACATGTTTTGTTTTGTTTGACTAGCCCATGCAGTCAGATTTTGTCTTACTCCCTCTGACTACTATATTTAGTCGCGCCGCTGATGTCTTCACTTCTGTTCCTCGAGCGATACATTCTCTGATGGACATCTCACCGGTTGTCGAAAATTAGTAATAGATAGGAACAACACCTGGATAAGTATCCAGCAATTGTGATCACAAACAAGAAAAACCGGTATGAAGATGCAGCGGTGGTAATAGGTCACATCATCAGCATCCATTACAAATCGTTCGGGTTCGACAAGATAATTCCAGCTTTCGTTGCACCAACTTCACTCTCATTATTTCGGCTTGTGCCAAAACTTTCGACCAAGACCTCGACAGGAGACCGCGAGTATGTCGATCTTGTCATTGATATGTGCGTCTTCCTACGAGCGATAAGTAGACGTGTACCTTTCTGCGTTGCGGTCCTACCGATGTATCAAGTGCACACTCAACAACAAGGATATGTTCTCCCCTCCGCCACTGATGATCTTTTCGTCGATTTCGAAGCCAAGGAATTGTTAACTTTTGGTGCTGCCAAGATTGAGAGTGTCTATCCAACTCCATCACGTCTGACGGGAAGTTCACAGGAGGAAGACAACATGGCAGAATTTTTGAGGAGGGCAGCGAATCTCAGCATTAGTGATAGCAATGCTTGATTCTCTTCCTCATCTCAAGTCTACGAATAAAACGAAGCGCTTGCTACTTGGCCGCAGCAGTTCAGAACCCTAGAAAATCCCCAAAGGTCTGCACGCCAAGCAAGTTGTAGCCTAAAGAATTTGTTTCACCGTCTTAATCGACATCCCTCATCAACCTTTATGCTCCTTATCTAGCACTCTCAAAACTGTGACATTCATTTCTTTTGTCACAATGCCTCCTCCAGCGTCAATACTCAGTGACCCGGGAATGGCCAAAGCCTACGAAAATGTTCCAGACGACAAATCCGAGGTATCCTGGCTTGTCTTGAGATACGAATCAACCACAAGGGACAATCTCAAACTTGACTCTACCGGAACAGGCGGAGTCAGTGAGACGTGTGAGCATCTCGGAGACGACGAGGCTGCGTATACATACATACGGATGAAGTTGGGAAATGATGAGTATTCTGAACGGGTCAAATCTGCATTCGTTGTGTGGGCTGGTATTGAACGGTATTGTTGGGCGAGAAGTGATTCGGAACAACTTCACTCTGACTACGATATTATAGCAGCATGAGGACTCATTTCAATTATGCTACAGTGATTTATCTGCGCACAATCCTTCTATACCACGTCATCCTACTCCAATCATTTGGACTTCTCATCCATCGTGCCATACGTTATCAAGCTGCGTTTGTTTCTGCCTCGTCTTATCCTTCGGCTGCGAGCTCACGGCCTTAAGCGACTCTATCGACGAGATTGTCTTTTGCAGCAGGCTCTGCGGGTGCGTTGATCGGAGCAAGGTCATTGAGCACACCGACTGCTTCTAGGACTGGTCGCGGAGACTCAAGAGAAAGGGTAACTCTACTCTGTCGACGGTGGTCTGCTCGGCGACGAATCTTTCATGGCGGGAACGGTACAAATGGTAGATCGCCAGTCAGATGACGTTGTTTGTAGGCACGCAGCATTCCGGCTCGCCCTTGGCCAGCAATGTTACAAATATATCTGGAAGGCTGGCGTCAAGCAACTCAGAGTTTTCTGGCAAACACCTTGGCGCGCATCGCAGAGTGAGTTGCACGGGATGAGGTCAGTTGTGGTACATGGCATTCCCGGAAGTTAAAGGTCAGAAATGTCGATTATCAATGCCAACCCAGTGCTGCAAAAATACTACGCATCTCTCGAATCACGCATTGGTTACAGACTCTTCCTGAACGGCACGAGACATTATGGCTACTACGAGACCAAAGACTCCTTCCCACTACCCGTCGGTCAAGCCTTGCGACGCATGGAAGAGCAGCTCTTCCTCGGCCTGCAATGTCCCCCAGGCGCAAAACTGCTAGATGCTGGCTGCGGCATTGGTCACGTCGCCATATACATGGCAAAGAGGGGCAACTATCGCATCGAAGCAATCGATGTGGTTGCACGTCACGCAGAAAAGGCAAAGCGCAACATCGCTGCTGCTGGCCTGAAAGATGTGGTCGTCGCGAAGCATGGGGACTACCACCATTTGGAAGACTACGAAGACAATTCATTGGACGGTATCTACACTATGGAAACACTCGTCCACTCCACGGACCCTCTGTCTGTCCTGAAAGAGTTTCACCGCATCCCGAAGCCCGGCGGACGACTCGCAATGAATGAATACGATCACGAAGACCTGGACAAGGCCGCGAAAGACCTGTCCGACGCGATGAGGAAGGTGAACAATATGCTTCCATGCCGGCGAACGAGTCCTTCGACCGCGATACACTCCCGAAACTGGTCAAGCAAGCTGGCTTTGAAGAGATGGAGCTCAAGGACTTCTCAAAACACATCCAGCCTATGTTGTGGCTCTTCTACATTTTCGCCATCATTCCGTACACAATCTTCAGGTTGCTGGGCATTGAAACTTATTTCGTCAATACCATTGCTGGTGTGGAAGGGTGGCGTGGTCGAGACCTCTGGCGGTACACCCAGGTTACTGCCAAGAAGCGTGGCTGAGATTTCTGGACAGTATTGCAGATGTTGCAGATGAGAACCTAGGGGTTTGGTGGATGGCTAGCTCTGTGAGGAGCTAAGTATGCTGTCCACTTCGCTCTCGTCTTGGGATGGGACCAACACACGCAATGATATCTGGATTACCTAGTAAAATCCAACTTTCTCAAACATAGGTCTTCGTAACCGGCTCTAGCATTGTTCGACATGACTAGTTTGGAAACTGCTTGTGCCTACCTCGACCACATAGACGAGGGTGTGCCGAGATGTGAGAAAATAGCCTGGTAATGGCTATGCAGAAAATGACCCAGGCGCAGGTACTAAGTTCTAGACACGAAATTGTCAAGTGTTGCTTTGCTCGAGCCACTAGATTGATCACAAACCGCATGGCTTGTACCAAATTTATAAAGTGTAACATGCCATCTATCTTGTTCTTGTCCCTGGCGGCGTCTTCGTGGATGTGTGGATATTCGACGTACTGGCGTTCGGTCAGGTAGAGCAGTTGCTCTGCATTGATTGGGAAACTCTCGAAATCAGGTACCCGTTGATGAACAGCTCCCCTTGTCGAGATAGAAGCTGTGGCGTAATTTCCACTCCTTGTAGCCCGCCGCTCGAAACGCAGCTCTTGACTTTCGTGCTGAGAGGAACTGTCCCAAGGCTACTTGGAAGATAAGCTCCAGGCCTATAAGGCATAGGCAAAGGAGGCGGAACTTTTGATACAATATCCGACGGAAAGACGTTTTCGGCTTTGGCACGTTCGTGACCAGAATCGACCAGCAGCACAAGAACATTGTTAGAGCACAATTCCAGAGGATATCCATGGTACCACGACTGTTCGGACCCTCTGTCCACCCAAGGCGCGCAGGATTCGAGGTCGGTAATGGTAAGGCTGAAGGTGGTTTAGTGCTGTTTACCGTGGAGGTGTTCATATCGACTCGAGCTTTCGTAGGTCTATCTTCGGAACATTTTTGTAACGCATGTGAGAACGTTCACATCGCCATCCTGACGCAGTGTAGAAAGGGCGTGACTTCAAATTCATGGAGTCGAGGGCAGGCGGATGCTATTTGATAAGCCTCGCAGCTGGAAGCGCCTGACACCGTGGGGCGACATGGTACGCCTACCCGTTATTTGTACATGCCAGGATGTAGCTAAGCTGGCCCTCGAGATTGCCGAGTACGAAACAGGCCGGCGCCATTAACGCACCTAGTCCTGGCATCATAAAGCGTCCAGATTTTCTGACCAGTCAGACCTCTGACTTGCTGCTCGTTATTGATACCCAAGGACTAAAGTCCTCATCGTCAGAGACTGGTAGCATTACTCCGTGGTCCTCATACCGTAAGTTCGTCACGCATGATGAGCGGGACACTGGTGTCTAGAAGCCGATGTGCTGCAAGGTAACTGATGGAAGGAAACACATCTGCCAGTAGTAAAACAGTCTTTTTGCAGGCATTAACGCCCCGCGCGCTTGTGGACGATGAAGCGTTGTGTTATTGGCTCGACCACTGCAGTGCACGTTGGCGTTAGTTGCTTGACTCGAGAGTACAGCTGCTGGGCCACTGCAGTATGGGCTGTTGCTTCTACGGAGTATGATCGAAGAAAAGATTTCGTGCTCTTTGAGCACCAGCATGCACGATGGTTGCCCATCAACTTTCAAGTACGGATGTCGTTGCACGTTCAAACTTAAGCCACGGCGCGCGCGGGTATCGATCCCTGCCACTGAACCTAATCTCTCGCTTGCGAGTTGTTTATCCCCACATGCAACAAAGGACATTTATGCTGATTGGGATTAAGCAGATGTGTACAGTACTACTGCTTTGCAATTTATGTAACCCAGTAGCGCAGCTCCGGTCATATCAGTTTTATCAAGGCCGCAAATTCAAAGTGATCTAATCTCGTCTTTCTATGAAACTAATTGACCTTCATCCTCCACGCGTCCTAACGTGCAATCATTTAACCCCTTAGGTGATATGGTCTATATTTGATCTATCATTACTATTCTGCCAGGTGCTTCGCTAAATATGCTCACGCCATCTCTACCAATTCGACTCTAAGAGTCACGACCACTAGTATAACGACAGCCTGCGGTACTTCTTTAACCACTCCCGATACGAGTCTCGATCCCGTCCATCCTCGTAATGAGTCCTGCACTCGAAAAGATCGTGGTAGGCCTGCAACTGTATCGCAAAGCCTTTGTTCGGCTTGACGGCCACAGATGTCCGCCTGGCTGCGACGTGGTTGATAGCCGCCCTTACCTTTCCAATCGGAGCCTCCCACGGTTGACTCCAGCCCATCTTACGAGACGACCCCGACTCCAGTAACTGAGGCCGGTGCTTGAGTATATACGCGGTAATAATGGTTGCAGAACGAGATATTCCGGCATGACAGTGTACAAGTACAGCACCTACCTTATGCCTCTCGCGGCTGCCTTTGTCTCTGGCTCGCTGGTAAGCCTGCACACCTGAATAAATGAAACTTACCGCCTTATCGAAGTCTGCGATCAGCTCCGTTTCGGGCTTGTCGCGGTGACTCAGCCTCATGTGCTTGATCTTTCCCCCAGTCCTTGACCTTGGTTGCGGGTCTGGGAGCTTGGGGACGTCGTAACGAGTGTGGTGATCGTCTTGGTTCACGCTTACTATACGAGATATTAGCGGGTATGAACTATCTACTTCTCCTAGCAGGTAAGCTGCTGCTGTTTTGATGTTTGAGATATACAGACCCGAAACAATCCTGTCAGGAACAAACGGCTTCCTTCTCGAAAATGACTGGCTCCAATGTCTGTCACCGGTTCTGGGTAAGTTGAATTGTGTTGAAGTATCCTCGTGCCTGCTGGATGCCCTGCTGGGTGACCCGTGCCTGGACGAGTTACGATGCCCGGATGGTGAACGATGACTGCACGACTCATATCTGCTGGGCGAATGTGATCGTGATCGCGAAGTGCTTCGCCCCCGTCGTGGTTCGCCAAACCCCATATTCTCGAAGCCTTCTGACATCCTCCGGAAGGCATCTCTCGAAAAGCGATCTTCGTATGGCCCCGACATTCTCCGGTACCTGTCTCTCGAGGAACGACCATCGAATCGGTCTGACATCGAGCGGAAGGCGTCTCTGCGGAAATCGTCGTCGAATCGTCTTGGCATCTTTGGTAAGGATTGCTTTTGTAAGGTGGTGAAAGTGGTAATGGTGTTGTAAAGGTTGCTTTGGAAAGTGGTATCTCTACTTCTTAGTTTTCACTGAAGACTGTAAGCTGTTTTGGTTTTGGTGGGGGATTAAAATCATCGAGGTTGCGAGCGAATGGATATATGAATGGTTTCTTGCTCATTGTATCTGTATAGTTGGTGAACCACTACTGACAAAGCCGCAATGTTTCTCTTTCGACCTACGTGAGAGGATAATGCATTGTCATGGTATAATGGATCTGCTTGCCCTTTGTCCTTGTAGCTGTCATTTAGTATTCGACTGTAGAGTAGCCTTAGTGATCTCTTTGTGGTCATTCGAGAGGATGATGCATACTTGTTAGCTAGTGATATCTCCACCTGGAGTCAGTCATACTACTTCCCTCGCAAACTGCCTATGCAATACGTTGTCCAAAAAGCCGACTTTACTCAGGGACAATCTCTCCCATACTTCTCCAAAAATCACACCTTGTGCCTCTGCCACCTTCCCAAGTATAAGCATTAACCAACCTGATATCATTAATAGTGCCCTCCCCTGTTTGTTGGATTAGACTCAAGCCACTGGTATTGACTCGCGTGGTCGGGCCTCCTGTTTGGTTCAGATCAAGCTGATAAGGGTTGTAGACGCTGTATGGTGGCCAGTCGGTAATTGGGCTAGAGCCATTGATTTGCCCACTAGCTGCAGCTTGTGATATGCTCGGATCGCCAGTGATGATAAAATTTCCCCACGATTGCTGGACAGTCCGGCTGAAACTTTGGGAGTATGGAGGGGTGCCTGGCGGGTTGAAGTACAATGCGGTATCTGAACCATGAGTAGCTGGCAAGACACTATATTGGTATTTATATGCTTTTCCTTGACCAAAATCGCCATCGCTGTATGCTTCTGCGAGCCAGTAGCTCGGGCAGATAAATGTTGTCTCGGCGTAGATATTATTTGCGCGCTGCTGCTGACCCGTACCTACATTCGATTGATTGAGAGCTGTCGGTCCGGAATCTCCCGTGGTTGCGAATACGTCTTCTGAGCTGTTGGTTGTAGCGTTAGACGAGGGATAGTAAAGCAAGATCTTCGCTATGTCGTTGTTACTGAAAAGTGGGAACGTCAGGCGTAGCCATGCTACAAGATCGTCTTCGCTTGAGATAAGTTGAGGAACGAAGGAAAGGCCTTCATTGGCAGCGTTGCTGGTGAGGATGTTGAGCCCGTTGACTCTCTTACGAAGTAGCTGTTGAGAAGGCAGGTCCTGAACAAAGACCCCATCTGTGACTGGAAGGAAGGCCCATGTACCGTATGTACCAGACTGCGTTATCCGAGTCGAAGCATTGATCAACGTGTCTGTTGGGACATTCAGCAAACAATCCCATATTGGTTGGGTGCCATTGGCGCCGTATGGCAAGGTAGCAGGGCATCCCGCTGCAGTTGCAAGTGCATAATATGATTGTGAAGGAATCCAATCTTTATAACCATATTGCATGGGCAAATAAGGTGAATTGGCAATAGCTTGGGAAAAGGTCGCTTCTCCGAGTGAGCCACCGTAGGCCATCGCCTGTAGCATGACACTGCCACCGCCAGCACTTAGTCCTGAGATTGTTACTCGTGCAGGATCTCCATTGAACTGTGATATATATTGCTGGACCCACTGCAGAGCGAAATGTTGATCAAGGATGCCTGCATTCACCACACCATTTCGATAAACCTCGTCAGATGACAAAAACCCGAAAGCTGCTAGCTGCAAAGCTGTCAGGGAGAGAAATGACCATAAAAGCGGGCATACATACTCGATACTGAATGCTAACTCCTACAAACTGGTTGCCGTTGGTATTTATGATCGAAGACATGTCTTGCCTGCCATTGCCAGCGCCGTAACCCCCGCCGTGGATCCATACGAGAACAGGCAATGGTCCAGTCACATTACTGGGCGACCAGACATTCAGAAAAAGGCAGTCCTCATTGGAAGCGGTGTTGTTGACAGCCACGATACTGTACGAGGCGTCCGGAGCTTGAGGACATTGCGGTGCATAGGAAGACGCCGAGATTGGCGCGCCTCGATCTACAGGCGGAGCAACAGGTGCTTGCCATCTCAATGAGCCTGTGGGAGGAGCAGCGAAACGAATGCTAGAAGTTCCGTCAGATCTTCTCTTTGTGGCCAGGCTTAACCACGTACCCAGTGAATACATTCAGGTTGGTCGTGGTATTGAAACGGCCCTGGTAGATACTGTAACCTAGATCAACCTCCAGGCCTGTCGTGTTGGTCGGAGCTTGTCTAGCTTTCAAAGCTTTGGCATATGGCTGTGCATCGTACGACTTTGGTCTCGCTACCACAGACGCGGCCAGCGCAATTAAGCTACAACAAAATATTAGCATTATGTAGAGAATGATATATCCAGTCTATGGAATAGGTTCGACACACCAGCCTCCGTGAGACTCGCGGCACGAGCTCAAACATATAAAGCTACACTAGGTAGCTTACATTTCGGGGTCATTCCCGAAGTGAATGTCGGTCCTCGGTTCATGCTGTGCTGGTACAAACCTTGAGGACGAAAGAGTTAGATCATCCAGGTATGTGTAGGTCGATCAGGACGTTGTTTTGGTTAATGCAGCTTGCTACTGCGGAGATTCGGAAACCCGTGGCACATCATGGACGTCTAACGCCGATCTGATTCGATGGCCATACTAACGTCTGGTCACGGCACTACTTCCGTGTCCACATAGAAGGATTACTAGTAAGTAAAGTTCAAGGCAGATTGAATGCAGTAATGGTCGTGAATGTAACAGAAGGTCAAGTGAAACAGGCACAAAAAGATAAACACAAGGCAAGACTATCATGAAGAGTAAGATGAGCACGAGAAGTTATGCCATTATCCGAGCACACAGCAGCACGTCAAGTGTGCATGTCTCGCTTCTAGCACTCGTCCTCGTTCACTGTGCTACCAATGGTCGTGTATGCAAAAACTTTTCGAGGTGAACCATCATCCTCGTTCCACAACGTCAGTGTTCCAAAGACATCAGCAGTATCAACCCAATAAACAAGGACTATTAAAGCTAGGTTGCAACCTCATGTCGAGTCGTCTTGTTCTTCATATGTAGTATTCGGCAGTGCATCCAGCTCATCCTACGAGGCTTTCGGCAGTTTCGATGGATCACCAAAGAGAATCTCTCTGGTGCGATCTTTGGGGGAGGGTTGCTGTGGTCCCTTCCAATCCTTTTCGATCAACTGGTCCTTGTATTCATAGAGCTTCTTGTAGGCTTGCTTGATAGTGGCGTCACTGACATTGGTAACCTGGCTGATTTCAGACAAAGTTTTGGGCTTGCTGAGCAGATGACAAGCAAAATAGATGCAAGCACTGGCTGCAGAAAGAGGACTTCGACCAGTCAGACCGGTAGTGTCACTCATCTTACTAGCCAACTGCATAGCAACAGCACTGATTCTGAAGGGCAAGCCCAACATTGCGCAGTAGCGACTGACTAGATCCTTAGGATTAGAAGAAGAGGTCGGAATGTATTCAGCTGAATTATCGGCAACAAGACCCTCAGCCTGAATTCTCTCCTTCTTCTTCTCGGTATCAGATGCGAAGAAGTTCTCCAGCTGTTTGAAGGTACGGCCAATTTCCTTTTTCGGAACTCGTGTCAAGTTCACGATCTCGGCAAATGAGCGTGAAGTGCCGCGAGTGCGTAGAGAGATGAACAGACAACTGGCTAGAATTGCCTGAGTATTCTTGCCGCGAAACATTTGTGAATCGTAAGCAGTTTTGTACAAGCGTTGAGCCTCCAGCTTGACAGAATGAGCGAAGTGGTCTTGGTCAGCCCAGACATTAATCTGGTTGTAGGCTGCTTGAAGAGCTCGATTGTGCTTATCCTCGTTCTGCATCGCTTGGGCTTTCTTCAGACTACGAGCCTGCTTGGTCATGTTGCGGCTGTCACCTCCAATGGTCGTGCCAGTATCGCTGTTCATGAGCTCATTCTGAGCATCACCTACACGGTTAGGGTCCTCACCACCCTTTTCGTCGTTGTTAAAGGTTCGCCACTCAGACTCGTAGCTGACCAGGCGCTCGGCCAGAACACGACCGCAGTTTGCACAAATGGTATCTGCATTATCTTCAATGAGGTCAGGAGGAAAGATCTTGCAATCTGGGCAGGTCATATGGATATTGAGGTTTTCGCGCCATGGCCGCTGTGCGGGTGCTTGATTCTCGATTCCCTGCGCTGCAGGGGTCATGGTTGTAGAAGTGGCCATTTGACCTCTAGTTCCTTTTAGGATGCTAGCTTTGGTTACGCAACCACCAAGAGTTCCTTGCAGGCGTTTTGTGGCTCGCTTCTTGATGCCTTTGTAGGTTTTAGGGGGAAGATTGGGTTTTCTGGTCAGGGTTTTGACGAAAAGCGGTGAGTAACCCAGTTTGGCGGCTTCCACTTATCAAAGGGCACTGCCCTGATGCGGGAAGGGTTGACTCGAAAGGAAAGAGTGGTGCGTAAGGCGCGATGACTCTGCGCCAAAACACAGTCAGTACATTCAGCGAAGCAAGAGGCAGACAAAGCACAGAAAATGGTACCTTAGAGACGATCGGATGTGATCAAATCGAAAGTACCTGAGAAGTCTATGTTTTGGAGGAGTAGATATTTGCTATCTAGTACAGATTATTCGGCAGCCGACTGCGAGCGAACGAACGAGAGAGAGGTGATGGGAGTGGTGGGACACAGCGGTGTCGCAAACTCGTTTTTAGTCAGACTGATCAACCAGTGAAGGTGTCGTAAGGTCGCGGCGAAGCGCTGAACACGAAAGTCGACGGCAACGTGATTTGAGACGGACACTGTAATCTTCGCAAGTGATTCTTGAGAGGATGCGAAGGATATTGTTGGTTGTCGCAGTGGCGAATAGGTATGAAAGAAGAGAAGGCAGCGAGGTTGGGCAACTTGACTAACAACGCGGCCAAGCACTGACTCAGAAAAAGAGCTAGTACATTCTGAGTTTGAAGGAAGGTGTGCCGGTCACGTGGTTCCGAAGCTCAGGACTGCATAGTAGCGCAACTCATTGACTTTGAGACTCAAATCGTACATTACCGACGTATATCACCCTGATCCAGCCAACATGTCGCGAACGCTGAGAGTTACGGTGAGCGATACCCTCTGCAGTCCGGGATTGTCAGCTAATATACAATTAGAGCTCTCTCGCAGCTCGTTTGAGCTCCAGGAGTGCTTATGTCTCCCACAGAAGCTTTGCCGTCTATGCTGCTGCTAGAAAACGTATGGTCATCAGCGCCTTGTGTTCGAGCTCTCTGACCAGAACATAGCCGATCTGATACAAGACATGTATTTGAAGAGTCTCAGAGACTACAAGGCACCACCACAAAAGGCCTCTGACGCTGAGGGCCATGTACAAAAGTTCAACCCGCCTGCTGCACCCCGATCCCCAGAAGAAACGAATTTAGCGAACGATATGAAAGCGTACGAGGATCAGGTGGTTGAAATTGAAGGCCAGGCTGCTGCTGGTGAAGCACAAGAACCGGAGGAAGACTATTTCGAAGACTTGAAGCACATCGACGGCAAGCTGACTACAGGAGAGGGCCATCACTGAAGCTTGGTCAAGAACTGTAAACTAGATTTCGAGAATATTGCTGCGGAACCGAGTCGAGTTTTGACAATTCGTGGAGCAGCGGAATAGTCTATGGCATCACAGCATACATTAGCACGAGCGTTGGTGAAGTCGATCATAATTTGACACGCTGACAATATTCCAAAGTTTACTGTTATAAAGAGACTTTTGCTGACTTGGTACGCAGAGAGGTCAACGGTCATGTGGAACGGAATGACTTCGTTCAGTTCTGAGAGATGTTGTGGACGTATTCAGTACTGCGAACCTTCGCCATACGTGTGAGGTTTCCCAAGCCAAAAAACGGTGTCAGAATGGCTAAGAAAGCATATCGCAGACCATATTGGATCCTTGCCCTTCATCTGCTAATATGAAATGCTGCCAAAAACGTGGCCACACCTGTCGTGTCCCGCTCCCCTCAATCGCCACGTGTCAATGAGAACGACACATGTTGTAAGATGAACTTCAGCGGGTCGGGTACTTGGCCTTTAGGCATGCTAGACTGAAAGCCACCAAGACAGCATATGCGGTGCTCCTCATGAAGGTTTTCGTGCTCGTTGCCAATCTTTACCAACTAGAACATAGAATACACAATATGTACCGAGGACAGAGCGACGACTTGTTTGGGGGATCGTTGAGGACACAGGAGATGACAATACTCAGCATCTCACTCCCACTGATATAATAGTAAGTATATAGGAAATCGATACGTGAACTCCCGCAGCTATCACAGGTGGAGTTATAGGCGAGGCGCCAGGCATGCACACCCCTGCAGGAACAACTTGAACGCCACCCTAATCCAATAGTCGCCCGGCAATGCCTCGAGCCACGATCTAAAAATTGAACTAGACAACAAAAGACGCCATGCGCCCGGAAGTGAATGTCTCACGCAGTCTAGCAACTACACATCGTCCTTGTCTGATTGCTATTCACGTGGGTTAATTATCTCTTTCACCACAACAGCTATTCCATTCTCTCGTTAACCAAATTTTGTTGTCGATAAGACTTACGGCCGATTAGCCTGACCGCGCGTTCGAAGCCCCTCAGCCTCACAATCGTCCTTCCGGTCCGGAATCTGTGAACCATATACCGTTGCTTTAGGCACTTCAACGTCAGCAATACGCCGAATTTCTCCATTCGATATGGCCTAGAACTGCTTTTCGAAGCCTAGGAAGTGTTCAACGGTAGCAATGCAGATGTCGCGGTTATAGCTGTGAGCCTGATAACTACTCAATTTGGAGCCCGGATAAGTATGCCAGCAGGAGCCGTTGAGGTCAATTCTTTGCCCGTGCTCCCTCTGCATGCCTTGCAGCCTGCAACCGGCCGAGCTACCAGCGAGCTTCCACGTTCAGCCAGCTACACCTCTCTGCCTGGTGCCCTCGATAATGCAGAACCCATAAAAAGGACTTTCTCGGACAATGTGCTTAACTCGTGGCAGCAGAAGCCCGCGCCCGTTACCGCCTCCATGCAGAATGCTAACGTCGAACTATTCCGTCGAGCCTCCCAGAAGACCAAGAAAAGAATGTCTGCCGCCCGTTTTGTGTCTACCAACGAGATAGAAGAGTCTGAAAGAGTAGGTATGCCGCCAGATAAGGATAAGAACAATGCTGGCTCAGCAAAATCAGGTAGAGGAGCTGGTGCTCTCAAAATGTTCTCTCGCAAGAACTGGCTGTCCGGTCAGCGATCACACTCTCCCAGTCGTAAAGACGATGTCAGCCATGATCACTCCCCGAACTCATCCACACACTATATGAACTCCCAAAATACTAGCGGCCTGACTATCCCAGAGCCTGTGGCAAGTCGTCCTTCTACAAGAGCCTCACATGCCTCAGTAGAATCTTTAGCAGCTACGGAACGCGATGGTGTTTCTTCATGGAAAGGAAGTTTGTCTCCCACACCTACCTCACAAGCAACCAGTGAATATAGCATTGAGGAAAGCGAAACAAGCTCTAAAAGGTTGTCACGGCGTTCTTCCTTCAGCTCCTTACGAAGCAGAGCCTCGATTGACAGAATGTATCTGTCTGTTCCTGCTTCCAAGGTCCCTCCTATGCCGAACACCTTATCCTCAGAGCGTCTCTCTAGTCATGGAAACGATGCAGGCCGCAAAAGGGATCCACACTGGATACCATTTCGTTCTATCGATGGTGAGCATACCTCCTTCTTCGCCAAAACTAGTTTGCAGAAAGCAAAGGTCATTCGCACCATCTTCTTACCCTTTCTTGCCAAAACCTTCGATCGCGCTTGCACCGAAACTCTGCGAGCTGAGGATCTTGATCGCAGAGTCATCATCCTCAATAAGTGGTGGACTGGTTTATTAGATTTACTCAACGGAAATGGCCAGCAATCCATCTCCGGCACCGATCGCCCCGCTTTTCTTGAGGCTATATGTGAGATTATGAGGAGACCGGAGTGGAAAATGTCCCAGGCTCCCTCTTCGCCTACAGAGCCATACGATCCTCGACAGAACGCTGGGAAAACAGAATCGTACAGTTCTACAGAGAGCAATGATCCCGAATTCCTGACACGAACAATTCATCAGAATATTCGCAACATGTTCGTACAAAATCTCTTGCAACAATTGACGTTTGTCGTTGAGAAGCTGTCGATGAGGGCTGCACCCGCAAGTCTTGTTATATTTGGTGGAAAGACCTGCTCCTATGCTTTCTTTTTTGTTCCAGGGGTCGCTGAAATGTTGGCCAGACTTTGGCGTATACCCCCCGGCACGATTCGCAGGATATTGGCAGAATATGGTCCGGCATGTGGGCGCAAAGCAGCAATCATCTCCCAGACCCTCGCGCCCTGTTTTCCTGCACCGATACGGGACCTATGTTTCACGTCACACGCTGCATTATCTCGACAGCTTCAGAACAGGACACAAGTTCCTCCCAACACTTCACATATCAGGTGGCACGGTCCCTGGGTCAATCGATGGAGTGGCCGTGATAGCGATCTGTTCTTTGTGTTTGTCAAGCATTATCATTTACTATGTGCTGAATATCTGCCTAGGCACTTATTGGCCGAGGAGCGCATGGGTATTCCTGGGTTCGTCGTTGTGCATGCTCAAATCCTGCTCAACCTTGAGTCTGCATTGTATCGTCAAGCTGGTAATTTCGCTGCCGAACACTACTCTTCACAGGCTGGAGAGAATCCGGATGCTATGGCTCCTATGCCAATGGTTGTTCCTAACGCAACAAGGTCCATCAGCGACAATCGCTTGGTCATATTGCTGCGAGATTGTATCGGAGACCGAAGAACTGAAAACGCTGCCCTGGCAGAGATTCTTATTGGACCGTTCCAGTACGTGCTGAAAGCTGCAGTACGCAGAATATCAATGTACAACAACGATGCTTGTTTTGTTTTATGCGATTTCCTGGAAGAAATGGTTCCACTTGTAACAAAATATCAACGCGTTAACGTTGAGGAAGAGGATTGGAGTTTCTGGTTGAAGGTATACAAGCAATTGATGCAGTCGCAATCGACGATGACGCAAATTCGCGTTATCGCTTTCTTATACAGCACCTTCCACTTACTAATAAACAACGACGAGGAAAGAAAGAGACAATTAATCCTGGAATGGTTGCTGGACCCTGATTTCTTTTCGCAGTATTTTAACCACTGGTCGCCGATGGTTCGGCATTACTTTTTTCGACTACTTTGTTGGCGTGTTGGACGAAGTCATGGCGTGGCAACCGAGCTTGACATGGAGATCTACACACAGCTTTCCAAACTATTATCCAGAAACTGGGCACATCACCAATACCTTGTGGCCGACGCAGAGATGAGAGATATTGCACCTCCCTCAACCAACCCTTGTGCTCCTGCACCGAGCAGAGCGTTGCTAATAATACGTACGGACAGCCATCCCGGAGAAGGATTCACCTCATTCGACAAACTTATGCCTTCTAACTCGAACCTGTCATCCCTCTACGACAGTCATTCTGCTATGCTCAACAAAGTTCCTGAGACCGACAACCAGCCGACGGGCACGAAGAAGAAGTGGAATATACTTAAGTCCATCAGCATGTTTAGTGGTCCCACCAATAGTCGACCTGGCGAAGTCACGCCTCCTGGAAGTCCGGACTCGAGTAATGCCTCAAAGTCGAAAAGCAAGGACCAGGAAGCTTACTCCCGACCCTCGACACCTCCGCATCAAACACTCACGTTCAGGTTCTCGCTCGAGTATACAAATAGTCGTCCTCAGATTCCCGCAAAGACCCGCAAGTTGCCTCTTCCGACACTGCCTCACACCTCGCAGAAACTACTCGATGACCTCAATAAAGTGACACGACCTACATCTCAAGAACAAGCAAGGCAGCAAGAAATCAAACCACTCAAGCCGATGCACCACGAGCTCAACACAGCGCGATACAGTGGTCGAGCGTTGTCAGAATGGGCACAAGTCACACAGGAGTGTCGCAACTTCCACGTCCGTCGCAAACAGGAGGGCTGTCCGAACGACGCTGCCGTCGAGACACCCAGCATAGCTGTGGAAAGTTTTCGTATGTTTGGGTAAGGTAGCAGGGGCTGGTACCTGAATACTTGCATTTCTGGAGAAAAAAGCGAGCGTTTTTTGCATATCATGTTGCTTAGATCTATTGGGGATGGCTTACTGGCTGGCTTGTTTACGAATGCAATTGGAAATCCTTGGGTGTTGATGTAACTTGCGGCACAAGTAAGTAGACTCTTTGCTCGCTACAGACGTACAGTATATGGCTTTGTCGTCCAAATGCGTTATTTGTAATTCTGATATCGACCCTGAGTTTTCTGCTATTTTCATGTTATCCCGCTCATTCATATGCAGTTAGTCGCCGGACAAATCTCGTCTACGGTACGTAGAATGACTGACTTCTGGCCTCGCAGCACTTTACAGTACGATAGATAATATATCGCAGGAGAAAGCAAAGCAAAGCAAAACTGCTGAGTGGAGCACAGTCTGAATAAATTTCAAGCAAATTCACAACCACACTTCATCACTTCCGAAAGTTTCCTTCTTTTTATTGATCAGGCACAATGAACGACAGATCTCATTTCCTCTTCTCACAATGATTAAAACACAGGTCCTATATATAAACTCTTGTGGACACATCTGACGTCTTGCTCAAAAATATACTTGGAAGGGATACGGTACGTACCTTTCTCGTACATGCACTGCAGAACGTCACGTGTAGTGGTGGTGGCTATTGCAGCTACTGGGCTGTCTAGTCAGGATATGGTCTGTGTTCGTTGATGAACTAGTCTGTACACAAGCTTTGACGCGTCAATTTCCGAATATAAACGTGGTTGCGCGACCATACAAAGTGTATATCACGACTATCAGCAACATTGGCGGACAGGGAAGTCCTGCTATGCCTTGAATATGGGAAAGCGATGAAATTCTAGACTAAAAGGAGGTCATCCATCTATCTAGTGTCTAGCTAATCCATTATCTGTGCCGGAAATTGCTGATACTGAGTGAGCAACGACAATCTATTCGACTGGCTCCGCTTCTCGTATGAGCGAAAGAACGATACAAATAGGCCGTACAATGTACACGTTTTGCTGAACGACAGTGACTGATGAGAATCGTGATCCAACGAAATTGCGAATGTAGGAAAGAAATGATCGACACCGAGTGCTGCCAGAGCCTGCGCTCACACTTCTGCTCTCCAACGCCTCGCTCGTATTCATCACTCTTTAATGGTGAAAATAACAGTGACACAACTTTTTTACTTTTTCGTAGTACTCGCAGCACGTTCAAGGGAACATGCGATGGTACTGCTGAGTAAGTGCTCTTTTTCGAATAAATATGCTTGCAACCTCCCATTAAACGCCGACCGTAGTAGCTGGGTTCGTGGACATCATAACTTCGTGGTAAGAATACATCACAAGATCGTCTTGCGGCGCTTGTGCATTCTGGATGTGGGTGCAGGTGAGCTCGAGAGCTCGTGCTCGTGGGCTAGGGCTGAAATTCGCTGGACAGGAGTAACGCCGTCGTAATGGGAGTGATTGTAGGGTGAGTCGTTTCTAGTGGATCTTCTCTTTCGCTTGAGGGGTGAGAGGATCTTTTTTCTCATTGGGGCGGGTGAAGAGCCAAAGCTAACGGCTTCGGAGTTCCGTTTGAAGGCTGTGACATTGAAATGGTTGAGGTGTGCTAGAGGAGTACCAGGTGCTGATAAGCTATGGGCGTTGAAAGGATTGGGAACAATAGGTGAGTCCATTGTTTCGTCATCGTCGGTATCACCGTCGAATGCAATCATATCCTCGATACGGAGAGTGGCTTCAGGGTCAAAGCTTTCACCGTCGAAGATGTCTCCGTCGACCAATTCATTCAGGAAACTGCTGCTGGCAGGCATGAGATTCCCAGTAGCTTGTCGGTTGTCGAACACCTGAGTGTCGGCAGCTGGTCCAGCCAATAAGTGATCAAAATTGGCAAGCTGTGCTGATTGAGGTCGGGGACTAGCCGATGCTTGAGAAGAGTCGCTTTCACCAAAAACAGCGTCTGAGAAGCTGACACTTGGACTAGCTGGCACAGATGGACCGAACCGACGAGCAAAGACACCACCTAATAAATGCGGATCTGACAGAAGCAGCTTTCGCCCAGTTGGATCCAGGACAGCAGTCACCTTGTCACCGTTGTCCTCGAAGACGCCTCGAACTGGACCTCGTTGAATTGAAGTACGTTTTGGGAGAAGTGGAGGTGGTGATATATCCTCATTACTGCTCTTCTGCGAGCTGACGGCACACTTCCATTGTTTGGCAGGTTCCTCAAGCTCTTCTGTAGCGTCGGCTGTAACTGGTTAGCCCATCACAAGTCAACAACACCTGTGGCACATACTATCATAATCGTTATCCTGAACTGCCTCTTCTTCGTCTAAAGCCTCATCATTCGTGTCTGGAAGTGCAGAGGGCAGCAAAGCACGGGTCATTGTGGGCGAGTCAGCCAGTGCGGCAAATGCAGCTGCCATGCCTAGTGGATCTTGTTCTTCGAAATGCACATGGCGAGTTTGGGAATCATTTGCTTCATCTCCACTGGAGAAGGGGAAGAAGACACTTCCCTCTTCATCACTAGCATCACCAAATCCGTAGGCGGACATGCCGTCAATTTGGTTGGCAAAATGAGACGTTAGATCATCTCCGAACTCAGCGGTGAGAAGCTCAGTCTCAGCTCGCTGAACAGCTTCGTCATCATCATTGTCAGAGTCACTGACCTCGTGCACACGCTCATATACTTGGTCATCATCAGAATTGAAGAGATTTTTCTCGAAATCATCGACGTCAAACAAGCCAACCTGGACGTCTTGGAGACCAGGAAGTTCAAGTTCAGGTTCAGGAAAGCCAGCCCACTCACCGTTATCCAGAATGCTGTCATTCTCCATAAGAGGAGGGCCCATCCCGCCACGTAAGGGAGTGTAACGAGATGGGACATCTACATCCGGATCCTCGGACTCGTCGTCTGCCTCCTCAGAATCTTCATCGGTGCTGTCTGCGCTATCTGTCGGATCACCACCACTACTAGTCGAATTAGCGTCGCTATATCTCACGACCTTTCTCTTTGTGATCTTCCTTCCGAGTGTTGTGGTCTCTCTAGCGCCATTCTTTTGGCCTGACTTTCCACCGAAAGTCAACCTCAGTTGGGGTCCACGTCCACCTGTTGGTTGGGACGCCCTGCCACGGGCGCTTGGGTTTAAACGTCGAGACATATTGTTGCACTGCTGCAGATACCAGGAAGGATAATAACTTTTGTTCTTGTAGTATGGATAGGTCGGTATCGTAATAGGTGAAGTGATAGCTAGACTGGTCAATGCGTAAACACAGTCAATAGCGTGCAAAGAGTGTTGGTAGTGAAAGCACCCAAGTCGAGGAGCGACTTTGAATGCCTTATTGGTCTCGTTTTAGGACAATTCCGGAAGTCGAAAGCAATGCTCTCAGGGAGTTTCGAGCAACCGAAAGAGGAAAGATATCGTCGAAGTCGAGTTGAAATACTGCTGGCTGAAGGGAGACCGTAGGAGAGGCCGCTCTGGTAGACGGTCCCCTCCCGAGTCTTTTAGAGCCCAGCGACGGCCATTGGGCTCAGTAATTCCTCGACGATATCTGGTAAGTATGTATCTGTACTCTTGAATTCGAAGGGTATGATGTTGTGGTCTAAATTGTGCTTTTGAGGTCAAGAAGAAGAGTCGAGTAAGAACAGCCTGCGCCGAAAGAAAAGTTGTCAGAGCCTGCCTCCGCCAAGAGGCTCACCGCAACACCGAACTGGCAGGCCCGCAAAAGCGACTGCAAGAGACGTTTCGGCATTAAGTGGGGCTTTTTCAAGTCCCCTCATCGAATCAAGACCAAAATTGGACATCAACGCAGTCGTCATTCAGACAGTTTATGCAGCTAATGCAGCACTGGAGAAGTCCCGGGCGCGCTATCGCAGTATGAGCAACCGTTCTCGTGCCCTGAAAGTCGACTTCAGATGAAGCTGTAACGGCGGACAAAGCAAGCAGTACTTCGACTCTAGCATCTCTATCGACTGGAGGGCTCTGTAATTGTCCTTCTCAAGACATATACTGCTCTTGGAAAAGCTATGCTGACTCTTTCATGTGCCAATGAGCACGTTCGTTGTGACTAACCGGGCATGAAGAAATTGTTTTGGCCCACGAACCAATCGGAAGGAGCAACCATAGACTACCTCACGCGCTCAAAATTCAACAACTCGTCACATTACTTGAGTAGTTGTGCCATCGTTCGATGTTGCTCCAGATTGCCCCTCCTTTGATCAGCCAGAATATATTGTTGCTAACGTCTAGCGGTGGTGGCTCGAAAGTAGAGAGTGGATGTATAGATGCCCTGTGGAGGTGATACTACATCATTAAACATGAAGAAGCAAAAGCAACACAGCTATCCTTTCTAAGCACTTCAATCTCAAATTATGCTAAGTCATTATACAAAGATCCCTAGGTCGTACTAACAGAATTGAGCAACGAACAGACGATTTAGCCGGCAGTCGTGCTCGGCTCTCTCATGGTACCACCGGTTGAGCTACTGGCTCCCTCGCCTGTGCCGCTTGAGAGGCCGCTGCAATTTTCTCTGCATCCGCTTCGATTATGCCTGCCTTAACCTGTTCCATTGTCGCTCCAGGTGATGCTGTTGTAGTCGTGGACGAGGTTGTAGGCTGCACAACATTGCTGTCCTCTGGATGCCTCTCTTTCCAGTCTTTCTCCAGTTCCTGCATCTCCTTCTCTGTCAGTTCCCTCTCTTTCTCCAGGCGAACCTCTTTGCCACGCTTGTGGGCATACCAAAATACGATGAGTAGCAGAAACAGAGCAAGAGACCACAGGACATTCACGCCAGCAAATGCTGGGAAGCGGACTTTTAGAAATTCAAAGATATTTCTCAGCATCTGGGTGATCGCGGTCGGCTTTCCAACCAAATCTTTGAGTGACGGCGTCTTCATGAACTTGGCTGCTTTTCCTGCTGCCTGCCCCGAAGCTTCCAAGTTCAGGCCATATGCCGACGCTCTCTCTGCTGCTGCTGCCATAATCTGAGGAGCCAAGCCTTTTGTCATCGCCTCTGGAAGCCTTTCCACAAGTTTTTGCAGAAATGAGGGTAGACTGTTGTATGTCTTCTGCAACTGCTTGTCGCCGTTAGTCAGTAGACTCTCGAGATCGTGGTAAGCTGTAGGAACGCCATTGGTGAGATCTTTCAGCACCTGGGTGAACTGCTGCAGTAACTCTTTCGTCTCTTCGGAGATACTGAATACTCGATTATCGACAGCTGCCAGATTGAGCTTGTCAAGAACAACGGTCATCTCTTCCTCCTCTTTCTTCGCCTGTGCATCCTCTGGGCTTTCATCAGCTTCATTCCTCGCTCTCAATTCTTCGGCGATATCGTGCAGGCCTGCAGCAGTGTTCTCTTTCTGATCGTTCTTTCCAGTGTCTCTGCTGTCGCGCCGAAGCCAGCTCCATGTCTTTTTCTTTGATACTGACGCTTCCGGCGTCAACTGTTTCGACTCTTCAGGTTCTTCTGTCAACTCGGTTGGGGTCTCAGGAGGTAGCGCAACGTTTTGCGCACCATTCAGCAATGCGATTTGAGCATCGCCTTGGTGGTCAGGGACGACAGGCAGAGGAGGTGGCTGGTCTTGTTTTGTGATTGAGGTCAGAAATTTCTCATCCTCGTCTGACAACAACGGCTTCTCAGACCTGGTACCGTATCCAAGATGCGGTGTTTTCGATCGAATATAATTCACATAATTCATGGTGAACTATATGGATGGGCGCAAACCCTCGAGTCAATCAAGCGGGCTAATGTAGGGAATATAAGGCTATGCGATAGTTGTTTGTAGGGAAGCTGACTGTACTTCAACTGAAGGCGACGCTGTCTGCTTCTCACTCACCTGCTATCTGCTGCTGATTACGACATTTGATGGCAGTCGCATATGCTTGCCCTGGGCCGTATCGCTATGGATGTGATAGAAAGCACGACCTACGTCATCCTGGTTCAGAAATGCCGTCCCTCCAGGCGCAACTTTGAAGGTTGAAAATCACGAACTTGACGACGAATCCTGGTTGAAACAGGATTGAACCTGGCTTTTTGTGCCTCCATCGTCCAATTGTGATCTCGGTCGCTAGCACAATCACAAGGATGACAGGTTTGGGACTTTGATGCACTACAATAATTTTTGTCTCGGGCGTCATTGCGCTTGGCATAAAGTGCTCAGCCACACCCCTGGATATAAGGGTAAAAAGCTCAATAAGCGTTGAGATCTGTCAGTATACGAAGTCTTGGTCGTGCAAGTCAGCCGTATCCTATAATGTATACTTGCCTTCAGGTACCATGACAGGCACAAAATGGAGTTCGACGATGGACGTGGTTCACCCAAAAGACGTCCTTCGCAGCCACAACAACTGCCTCGGTAGTGCGGCAATGAAGGTCTCTCGCGAAGCAAGTGAGGAGCTGGGAGGAGCTCAAAGCTATAAACCAACGGCGAGTCGTCAACTATGTTTAGGTTTTTAGCACGTCCATAGCCACGAAGTTCGAGAAAATGCCAGCTCCATCTGTCTTGTGGAAGACTGCAGCTATATTGTATGCAATAGCCATTCCTGGCCATGTTGTAAGTTCCGTAGAAGCAGGCACAGTGCAAATCTAATAGGAAACCAGTTTGGTGGGATTCAACTCGTACACCCATTATTGAACAAAATTCCAGTCCTGAAGAAGGAGGACAAGATTGGTCAGCGGTCAGCACAGAATTGCTATAACTATGTTAATGTGAGCTTGGCAGTTGCAGGTAAGAGGCTGATCATATCACACAGGGAGACCTTGGATGTGTATTGACATTGTTAGGTTTGCTTTCCTGGCAATGGGCACGGACCCGTGGACCACAGACGTTCGAGGAGAAAGTAATCCATTGGATGTTGGTTGTGACCCATTTCCTATATGGCTACCGTTACGCCCAGGTTGGAGAGTATTCCGTGCTTTCAGTTATGTGGGTGGCGCCCACGTTGAGTGCGGTGGGCTACCAGCTTGACCGGACCGCATAAGTTGTAGTTGGTAAATCGCGTGCGCTTCAAGTTACCAGTCCGAATAGTCGGCCCGCAATTGGTTCCCACTCAGCATCCCATCTCCGATTACTTTCATGTATAGCTCCTTGCTTCAATTTGTCCAGTTTGGTGGGTGGTGGATCAAAGAGCAACCTCATTGTATCCGACATCTGTTGCGCATTCGCAAAACCCTTGCCATTGACGTCCTCTCGTACCAATTCGGGCCAAGCTTTGTAATTATTGTACCCAAGAACTGGCAGACCTGCACCGAACATATCAACAACTTTCATGGGTAGATCAACACCACTACTGCTCGTGTGTAGTGAAAGTCCTAGATCTGCAGCAGCAAGCAGGGACGCATATTGCTCGAACGAGAGCCAATCTGTTTTTACTGTGATCATCTCGAGATCTTGCGAGGCCTCCAAGGACTTGATTTTTTGCAAGTATCGATCCCTGAGAGGTCCTTTCCCTGTGATAATGACCAGAAGCTCGGGTAGCTGCGGGGAATCCGAGATCGCGCTTGCTGAATATTTGCATAACGCTTCCAAAAGAACAGAAAAATCTTCGTCAGGGGTCCAAGAAGTTGACGATACTACGAGCCTCGTCTTGCCTTGGAGGATCTCGGATGCCTCACCTGCCGTCAGTGCTTGTTGGACCAGGAACGCTGCTCGTTGTTGCGAGGTCATGGGTTGGAATATAGGAGCTGGCCTGTCATGAAGCGTCAAGATGGGTTGTGCAATTGCCAAGTCATTCTTAAGCACGTCTCGCATAGCATCCGTGACCGTAAAATGGCAGTAGGCGAACTTGGCGAGAGCATATTCGTAATACTTGGATACTCTCACCAGAAGATGTGAATGGCCTAGCTTGAGGGCGAGGATAGAGTAACCAAAGTTGTGCCAGTCAACAACAAGCTTGGTGTTTCTCGCCCGGCAGGCAAGTATAGCAAGAAGCAAAGTAGGTATTGAAGGAGGATTCTGAACAAGCATCCATTCGTGGGCAGTTGCCTGCCGAGCTAGAGCCTCCCACAAAGTCCATGTCTGAAAGATGACCTTCAGAGGAGCACCCAAGAGGAATAATAGCTTGTTGCTGGTCTGCAATACCTGAGGGGGTCTGGACAACGGTCTCAGGATGACAGATGGGTGCTCTCTCAGTGGCTGAAGTGGCTCGGAATCTGGAACAACATCGAGTCAGCTGGCAGGATTGTAGTGATTTCCATGAAGAACCCACCAATATAGCCAACAAGTTCGACCTGACCTCCATGTTCAGCTATACTCAAAGCATGATACTGCATCCGAGGGCTATGACCAATGTCTCCAAGCACAACGACCTGGATGGATCCTTTCACATATTTGGCAGGAATAGGTCTCAGTAAGAGGAATGCAATGGCTATACTCACGACGACAACGATGAGAGTCACCAACAGCCATAGCATCGTGGCCAGTAATCACCCGCAAGACCGCCTTCGAATGAACAAGCAAGATACTTTGGAGCACAGCACGAATTGAGAAGTAGTGTCAGGAACGTGTTAACAACATCTGGTTTTCGACGAATGACGCACAAGGCGTAAGTAGGCTACACTCATTGGGGGAAGGCTCCCGAAGCTCAGGGGCGCCTACCCACTCTGCTTCAGCCTATCAACGGACAAGCACTTCGTGTCGAGGAGTTGCGAAAACCCGTATTGGTATTACGGAGTAGAGGTGATAGCTGCCACGAACTTGAACGTGAACGTGTGTCGGTCGAGGCAGGGCAGTGCTTCTTCTTTGTGCCTCTTTTCGTGGACCAAACTTGTCAAAATATCGATCAGATTCGGGAACGCAGGCGTTCCTATGCGATTTGCTTCACTTCAACGATATCTGCAGGCCTTCGTGCTACCTGAATACGTACTACTTTGGAACATCGCCTAGCGGAGAGTAGCGTTGTGCAGGGCTGTCAACATCCTTATCAGACGTCGAGGTTGTCACTATGAGTGAGACCTTGATACTCCCTGTCTCCGCTGACCCATTCTTTCATGCACATGAGCGTCGACAATCAAGACCACATCAGAGGCCAGGCCGCTTAGCACCACCGTTCCAACTTCCTAGAATACCATCCGGAGCGACGATACCGACCGAGAAGCAGCAACAAGATTATACCCTCAATGATAGCCCGCCTCAGCAGCATAGCAGGAGCTTAAGTACTGCTTCGCACGAGTTACAAAGACCCTCGAACGAGTCACAGCAATCTTTATCAGTTGGCAAGCGATCCTTTAATGCCAAAAGCACAGCAGTTGCCGCAGCTATGGCATCCCACCCAAACATCTCGAGGTTTACCGAAAGACTCCTCCGCGCCTCCGAGAACCACTCCTTACTGCATGGCATATTGGCCGACCCCGAGTCTAGAAGAATATTCTATTTCATGTTCCTGAATTTGGCTTTCATGGGCGTACAATCAACCTACGGTTTCCTTACAGGTTCTTTAGGTCTGATTAGTGACAGCATACACATGTTCTTCGATTGCGTTGCTCTGCTGGTTGGAGTATGTGCAGCTGTCATGAGCAAATGGCCTCCGAGCACCAAATTTCCTTACGGCTACGGCAAGATCGATACTCTGGCAGGATTAGGAAATGGTATTTTCCTTATGCTGATAAGTGTGGAAATCGTTTATGAAGCTATAGAGCGCTTATTCGGCGGCTCCGAAGTGCAAAGGACGACTGAACTGCTGCTCGTGAGCATAGCTGGACTAGCTGTCAATTGTGTCGGCATTTTTGCTTTCCACGGACACCATGGACATCACCATGGCCACGACCATGAGCACCATCACCATGGAGGCGAGAATATGGAGGGTATCTACCTCCATATCATGGCCGACGCACTCGGTTCTGTGGCCGTCGTCATATCTACCCTGCTGGTACAGTTCACAGGCTGGAGTGGTTGGGATCCGCTGGCTTCGTGCATTATTGCTGTGCTGATTTTCGCTTCAACTATACCTCTTGTCTTGAGTACGACGAAAATTCTTTTGCTCTCCCTCGACTCGAACATCGAGTACAATCTACGGGATGTCCTAGGTGGCATAACCTCGATAAGAGGCGTAGCGGGATACACTGCACCAAAATTCTGGCTGGCAGATATCAAGAAAGATTCGCACGACCACGACCATCATCACCATGATCACGACCATGCCCACTCCCACGACCACAGCCACAGCCATCAGCACTCCCACGACCACGACCACGACCACCACGATCACCGTGCGCACACCCATCCTCACCAACACGATCACGCCACAAAGTCAAATTGCTCGCAAGACCACACCTCCTCCGAACCTCACTCGCACACCCCCTCGCCCCACCCAACCATCCTCGGCACCATCCACGTCCAAATATCCCAGTACGCCGACACGCGAGACGTCCAGTCCCGCGTATCCGAATACTTCCGCACCCGCAACATGGATATCGTAGTCCAGTACGAGCGCGAAGGAGACAACAAATGCTGGTGTGCTGCAGGCAGGATCTCGACACCGAAGACGGGAGGGATGAAGACGCCTGTGACGGGGAGTTTCAGTGCGGGCTTTCCGAGTGGGTTTATGGCGCAGCAGCAAATTGGTGGTAGTGGGGGTGGAGGTGGGACTGGGAGTCCGTTAAAGGAGAGTTCGACGTTGAAGATGTTATGAGCTTGATTATACTCATGGAGGGGTCTGGATTGGAGCAGGGACGGTGTATCTACGGGTGTGTCAAACACGGATCTAATTAGCTTATACAAACGCTTGCTGGTTTTGGAATAGCTTTGTTGCTGAAATGATTTGAAGAACTTTGATGAGCAGCAACACATTGGACTTCGATGTCTGAAGTTGTCCCCCCTGCTTTTCTGATTAAAGTGCGCATACATGCAATGCTAAACTAGTACATATTATGTGAGCTTGGACCCATTTCTCTGATAGAAAATATTGCTCATCATGTCCTCAGAATTCAGTCACCAGTATTGCATTTCGCAGGTTGGAAATCGAACATGCGCGTACGAGGAAGACCATGCCTATGGCTTGGTGATCGTACTTTGGATGTACTAACTGCTGTGCGAAGCGTTGGTCGTTGTGGAGTCCTCGGCGAAGGTACTAAAGTGATGCCACTAAAGTCTGATGTCGTTGGGCTTTGTAGCACATCTTCAATACTCCTCGAATACAATGCGGCATGACTTCGCTCCAATAGCCTGGGGTATATCTTTAGAGCTGCCTCAGATTTACTGCGAAGTCGAGGAGGTCTCTTCTTCTCAGCTGGCGATACCTGGGGGTGTTCTGGGGGATATGATTTTGCTTGTCGTTTGTGTCCCATTGTGTTCGCAGACTGCAGCTCGCCCAAGGATTTCTGATCACGTTGTGATCGTATGCTCTTTGGTGAAGTGGCTCGTGCTCCCAGGCGTGTCGGTGACGTTATGCTTGCTCGTGAATTGAAGTGCATGCATGGTGATCGTGGCAGTGACGGCGAGCCTGAAGGAGCTGGTGAAGCAGGACAAGGGGGCGGATCAAGGTCATTGATGCTGGTGGACCATCGGCTGCTTACGAGCTCAGTATCGGCGATCGAGTTTCGTGGATCGATATAATTGATTGACGGTCTCGAGTATAGAGACGTCCGTAACTCGCGATTGACGGGTCTTTCTATCTGTGGTAGTGTAAAATCGGGTCGTGTTTTGGGCTGTCTCAAATGAGGGACTAGTCGGTAACAGATCCCGTATAGAAAGAAGGCAAGAAGTGTGAAGCCAAAGACTGATGTCAGCACTGTCGGTGTAACGTCCCAACCCATGGTGTGAGAATACTGTCTGCGTGCAAGATCGCTTGTGTTCAAGCTAATGCTTGAACCAGTTCACCAAAGCCTTTGAGTGTGGGGAAGTGCGGCGCAGGTAGTCGCATGATGAAGACGAGGAAGTCGCGATGCAAGCCACAGCAGGCTGCACTCAAGTCGCTCCTACGTCCATTGCTCGTAACATAGCCTCTTGTATCTCTTCCGTCCGCTGATCGTCATACTTCGAGAAGCGAATAGCTATCGAGGTGTTGTTGACTGCACGGCTGGGTCTAGTGCCAAATAGTGATGTATCACTGATGCTCTCTTCAATTCCGTTTCTGACTCTGCTTTCCCATACTCCATCCCAATTCCAATCGGCAGGATCTCGGCCAGGGGAAAGCGGTGTACGGCTAGACTCAACACTGGCAGGACTTATCGATCGTGAGCTTAACTTAGGTAGACCTCGATGGGCGCGCCACGCATGCCACGCATTGGCATTTAGGGCGGCTCTCAGCGGAAGACTATCGAGAAAGTCATCGCTCTCAAAAGCACTCAAGATGTACTGGAGCACGGCTGCAAGTGATGGTCGTTCTTCCAAGCTTTTATTCTCTTCATTTGTGCAAGCACCAGGTGCGTACGCAGTACCGCTCTCGATGCTCGAAGATCTTGCACTTCTCGAACCATAGTCTGCTGGTCGTGGGTACCATAGTGGAAAGCCTTCGCGCAAGTTGAACGACCCTGGCGACAGCCTTTCAGTTTCACTCGCACTGACAGTAGTATTAGGGTCGAGAGCACCAGCTGCAAACGTGTAAGTCGTCAGCGGCACGAGTAGGGGATGAAAGATTTCCGTCGCGAAAGTGACAGAAGGTCCGACTTCAGGGTATGAGGCAGGAAATGTAAGCTCGAAGCGCAGAACTGCTGAGGCATAAGGTCCCTGACGGACAAAGAGGACACCAGACCATATCGAAGGACTCGTGGCCGCAGGAGCCAGATAGATACCTTCAGGGCATCTAGACTTGATCGCAGCGAAATCAAGGAGAAGCTGCTGCCTCTTGAAGGAAGCCAACAATGCTGGCATGACCTACACATAAAGATGCAGTGGTGGTAGGAAGCATTTGGAGAGCCTTGGGGCGCCCATCGAAAGTTTCGGGTTCCCCCACATGGATGATCCTAGCGGAGATAAAGCCCGTGAAGCGTGGATAGTTTCCGCTCATCTGGAGCGATGTGTGGTTCAAGTTTGCAGAACAACGCTTCTTGTTCACATGCAAGTCATACATCTCAACGCTTTTCCCATGCTTACTATCATGCCTCGCATACGCTATGCAACGGCCTATCTCGATTTCGGAGCCTGCATGCTCTCAGCGCACCAATGGTAAACGTGGTACAAGCACATGCAAAGCAAAGAGATGGTCTCGTCCCGAGACCTCAGCATGTGAAGAGGAAGATGTACTGTGCACAACACAATGGGAGTTGCTGACAGTCACAAGAACCTGGTTCGTTGTGAGGTCTCGAGAGTACGTTATTCTGTTGCAATTACTCGTGCTTCTTGGTATTCCCTCAGCTGTTATGCAGTTGCGACCAGTCACTATAGTAAACATCTTGTCCTTCAGACTACACACCACCTTACACCTTGCAAATCACTACAGCCATATCGTACCCATATTCCCACATATATTGTCCCACGACTTCCTCTTGTTGCTCTCCGTGCTCCCCAACAGCTTGCCCTCGTGCAGAATTCAAGCCACTTTTGACGATGGCCTCTACTTTGATTTGCAGCAGTACGAACGAGCAGTCGAACGCGAGCAAGTATCTCATGCTACCTGCTACTATCGCCTCGAGAGTACCATTCATTGGTACAATAAGAAAATTGAGGTCGGCTGCCTCCCGAATAAGACGAGCCTCAACCCCGAGCAGTCTTTCTGCTGGTGCTACAACATCAAACTCGGGCGCAAGCACAACCATGAATTCTGATCCAGTAATAACCAGAGAAAACACAATAGCTAGGACAGACGCAACACTACAATCAATTAGTGAGGACCGTTCGATGGTAAGAGGGGTAGACTGGCAAGCAGCCGCACTTGGATACCAAATGTTAGGCACAGCATGCCAACGCTCCACCTGGGACGACACAGGCATGTCGAGGAGTATCTATCTAGATGCTGTCAAATACCTGCATAGTGGCCTGCCAAGAGACCTCACCGAGGACGAGCTGCGCTCACTGTGCGACACTCTGCACCCAAAATTACAAGGCAACGCTCCACAGTGCATCAACTCCTGCTCGGAACCTAATAGAAGTCCAAACGTCGTCCGAAGCTCCACCTCGCGCTTGATTTCCTTGCTTATAACTGTTTTTATCTTGATCGTTCCAGTATTTGCTTCGCTCCTGGACTCTGCCCTCCATTACGAGCGTCAATATCACGTAACAGAACGTGTGACAAAGTCTGCTAGCGCAGCAGGACTTGCGGTGGGCGAGCACATGGTCACTTTGAGTCAGAGTCAATTCGGGGGAGCTTGCCTCTCAAGACTGGGCTGGATCGCGCAGAGCATAGCTGAGGGCATGGGCGATGGACTGGAGGAAACGCTCAATAAGGGCACTGTACGAATTCGTCTGCGGCGGGACGTACAGCAGATAGAGCCTGCAAGCACAAGTACTGGGCACGCAGCATAAGATTTAGCGTTCAGGAAAGAGTAATTGCTCGGGTTCTAGATTATTAGATATAGATCTTACAATGATACAATAGACCGCAAATATACTTCTTCTACTCCAATGCTCTCACCACCGAGCAGATCCAACAGACTTCGGAATATCTCCTTGCCCTCTAACCCAATGACTGAAAGTCTTGCAATCAGGACCCTCCAGCAGTATCCCTAGGTCAGAACTTTCCGGCGGCAGTACCATGTCATATATACCCTCCCCAGGCTTAGGATACAATAAAGCCATTTCGTCGTAATCGTCGTAGTAACCCTCGTCTTCTTCGTTTCCTAATAGCGGTGGTGCCTGTGTGTTAGGCTTTGAAGTCACGCCTGCGGTTGGATGGCTGTATATGGGGACATTGCTGCGTGAGGCTACTGGTGCTGGTCGAGGCGTGCTTGCTTGTGGAGTGGGATTGGTGGGAGGTGGTGGACCCATGGGTACTGGTGAGTGGTGGACGGGCGGAGGAGGGGCCATTGGTACGAGCTGATATGGTGTTTCGAAGATAGGCATGTTGGGCGCCAAGTCTGATGCTCGGAGTACAAGCTCGATGAGCTTCTCTTTTGGTAGGGAGTTTAGGTAGGCTTTTCTTTGATCCGGACTGAGGCTCATGCCTGGGATCCATGGCATGCCATATCGTAAGGTAGAGAACTCTGACCGGGGCTGAATAGGATGAGGCGAGGGTGATGATCTCTGAACAGTTTGTGGCTGAGATGGAACTCGTGTCTGGTTTTGAGCTTGAGCTTGAAGTCGAGGTTTTGGTCCAGGCTTGTTCTTCTTCTTGCCATGGAGGATTCTGTCACAGTCCGCACAGAACCATTCGGCTTTAGTGTCCGCGACGACCTCCTTCTCTATCCTTGGCTCGTGGCATCTCTGATGCCAGCACTTATTGCACGCATCGCAGAACACAATCAAATTTCCTGGCGGCCCATTGCTGCGTAAACAATGCTCGCAAAGTGCAAATTGTTCTCGTCCCCGGTATACCTTCGCTTTAATCTTTGGATGTCTTTTGACTGAAGGACTTGATATGGATTTTGCCAGAGCGGGACGTTTTGCTGCGGGACTTGCTGTGCGGGCATCTGTGCTTATTGTTTGCGCAGGCTTTTGACTTTGGCGACCTGACCGGGTTTGTGTTGAGGCTGCAGGATTATATTCTGGAGTTGATTCTCTCGACGAGGCATCCTCTTCGTCATTGTATTCGTTGTCATCAGCCTTGCTTATGTCAGACACGGTTCGCTTTCGCTTGATTGATGATGATCGGGGTTGTGGCCCAGGTGACGGTGTTGAGACCGCAGCAGAATTTGAACTGCTATCATCAACTATTTCCCTGGACAAAGCTGACTTTCTGGGACCTCTCTTAAATCCGGGACGACCACGTCCCAAACCTTTACCATTCACTACAGATCCATCCGCCAGGACATATTTGTTTTTGAGCTTTCCTCTACCATCCTTCTCAAGTGGCATCTGATAAGGACTTGAGCTAACCTCGATCATGTCTCCTTCGGATTTGGGCGAATCGTGAAAAAATGTGTTTGATTGTGCTGCGATCATTGCTGTCGTACTTGGCTGTCTCGAAACTGATGAAGACCTCGCGAAGCCAGGATCATCATCCGTAAGCATAGCTTCCTCATCAAGGTCAGTCGAAGGGCTCCTCGCATAGTTTAGTTTTCTCTGCTGTGGTACTGTGATGAAATCCGGATTGCTCAACTCAGAAGCTGAAGTACTATCTCTTGTTCCAGCATGACTTGCAAAACCATCCTGAAAAGACCCCCTTCTTGGAGGAATGCCATGAGACTGCCCACTTATCATGGTTTCTCTGGTAAGTTTCGAGGTTCAAGGGCAGCAACTCTTTCTGATGTCTCTCGACAGTCTTCAGGCACTTGGGCCCAAGGAGGATCCCAGAAGAGGAAAGTGTGGAGGCTGCCTGACTTGCTTGCCTCACAACCCTCGATGATTCGGGGTTCGCACGAGACGAAACAGATATTCCAGCAGTGTTTGTATCGGATTCGATGATCAGTACCTCAGCAAGTCACTAGCATATCACCGTAAGTGATGATTGGACAGGAGTGAGCAGCGAGCTGGTGCATGGCAGAAAGGAGTTTAGTGGTATAACGTGATTTCGCGGCTTCAAACGGAAACACACCAAAATCCCAGTCTTGTTGGCGTAAGACAAGCTCAGCCAAGCATTACAAGATCTGCAAACTTCGTTCTCTTAGGAGGTGCGCTTTTTGTGCGTAAAGTCATCAACCATCTCGAACCATGAAACAACACAACCTTTTCCATCGCCGCTGCCTTGACTTCGTGAACACAGATTCCGATAATGACATTTTGACTCACCTTACGCACTAATCTCTCAACTCATGCTTCCATCAATTTCGCCAGGTTTCCGTATCGCTGTATTTCCCATTCTTTTCTTACATGGTGTTCTGATCAATACACACGCGTCTTTGCTGGACAAAGCGCAGCCCTTCCCCAGCCATATTACTAACGACTTTGTATCCATATCCGCCTTCTCTCCTTATTGAAAGGATCCAGTTTCTAACAATTCATATTGACAATAACTCAGAATGACCAGAATAACAATACCTAGCACGGTGTTCTTTTCACCACGAGGCATTGCATCTCCCACGTCATTATCGTCGGAGGACACCCATACCACGACTCTATTTGTCACGAATCTACACTGTGCCTCATGTGTATCTTATGCCCAGGACACGATCAGACCTCTACATGGCATCTTTAATGTCGATGTCAGCCTCCTTAGCCACACGATATGCATTCAGCATGAACCGGATTTGACAAGCACAATTGTTGACGTCCTCCTTGACGCTGCTTTTGAAGTCCGGCATGTCACCACAAGTGATGCATCTGACCGTGTCATTGGCGCCGTTGATGTGCCTAGCAGGCTCGATCAGCTCAAGCATCAACAACACTTTTCTCTCTTCATGAGCAAGGCACGGAGGAAACACGTCGCAAATTGCAGAGCTTGTCAAGAATCTGCCCCACGAGAAGGTAACCTGTCTCGTGTACGACCGGGCCGCCCCCACAAGCGAGAATCACTGCGCGCTGGTGGTAACTCCCAGGACTTGGAATCTGGCACCACTGAAATCCAGTATGTCGAGAAGGTTCAAAGTGCGAACTCCTCACCACCAATCACGGCCGCTCAGAAACATGTTGCCACCATATCAATCGTCGGCATGACCTGTGCGTCCTGTGTGAATGCTGTTACCGATGGGCTGAAGTCTCTTGATTTTCTAGAGGATGTCCAAGTCTCTTTGCTATCAAACAACGCCAAGATCACCTTTCAAGGCACAACAGTGGAGGCGCAGAGAGTTGTTGATTCAATTGAGGATGTTGGTTTTGAAGCCTCAATCGACCGGCTAGAATCTCCTCCTGGGCCAGAGCAAACCAGTGGTCCGTACAAAGCGATCATCAGCATTGAAGGCATGACCTGCGGAGCTTGTGCAACCGTTGTGAGGAGTGGGCTGGAAGAGCTTGAAGGTCTGACTTCGATTAATGTGGATCTTCTCGGTAATGCTGTCACTACTACCTTGGCTGAGAAGTCTACAATCGACAAAGTGCTAGAAACTATCGAAGACCTTGGATTTGAAGGCTCGTTAGTCGAGTTGAGAGAGATCTTCTGTACGACAGAACAGCAATTTCGTTCGGTCGGATGGGAAATCACAGGCATGTACTGTTCACAGTGTCCTTCGAATATCGTCACGAAGCTCCAGCAAGCCTTTGACGGAAAGATTGAGATAATAGTGTTGCCAGATCTGAAACATCCACGACTCGTCATCCGATACGAGCCTGCACCGCCCGAGTTGACTGTACGACGTATCAAATACGTTATCGAGTCTGCTGATCCAATTATCGTCGCTTCCGTTTGGCAGCCACCCAGCATGGAGGAGAGATCGCAAGAGGTACATCGAAAAGAAAGCAATCGAATCCTTCGCCACTTGGTGTTCACCTTAGTAGCAGCAATACCGAGTTTCATCATTGGCGTCGTGTTCATGAGCTTCGTTTCGGAAGACAATCCAATCAGGACGTGTTTCGAGCAACCTTTATGGCTGGGAAATGCTACGAGGATGGATTGGACAATGTTTCTCATAACCACGCCAGTCATGTTCTATGGTGCCAGCATCTTCCACACTCGAGCACTCAAAGAGATCTGGGCTTTGTGGCGACCTAAGAGTAAGGTACCAGTATTGAGAAGGCTTTACCGCTTTGGAAGTATGAACCTACTATTGAGTGCAGGCACATCTGTGGCGTACTTCTCTTCCTTAGCTATCTTATTTATGGAGGCAAGTCGTTCGAAGAATACAGGGAACAGCCACGAAGGCACGGAGACTCGACATTCGATGACATACTTCGACACGGTTACCTTTTTGACGCTGTTTGTCCTTTGCGGCAAGTTCTTGCAGGCATACAGCAAGTCTAAGACAGGTGACGCGGTGGCCATGCTTGGTAAGCTCAGACCTACAACGGCTCTACTGGTTGACAGACAAGACTTTGGAAAAGATGACAAGTCAGGTGTACGGAGTATACCGATCGACTTGCTTGAGGTCGGCGATGTCGTCAATATTCCACATGGCAGCTCACCCCCTACTGATGGTGTGATCGACCAAGATGGTACTTTCCTATTCGACGAGAGCTCGCTCACTGGCGAATCGAAGCCAGCTAAGAAAATCAGGGGCGACAGAATCTTGACTGGCTCTGTGAATGTCTCGGACCCTGTCAGGATTGTGGTCAAGGAGCTGGGTGGCAAATCTATGCTCGACCAAATCATCAACGTTGTTCGTCTTGGGCAGGGCAAACGAGCACCAATTGAGCGCTTTGCGGACGTTATGACAAGTTACTTCACCCCTGCTATCACTCTTGTTGCCGTCTTGACATGGTTGGCATGGCTTGGACTAGGCCAATCAGGAGTCTTGCCTCACCACTGGTTGGATGTTGACCAAGGCGGGTGGCCTTTCTGGTCTGTCGAATTTGCGATCGCCGTATTCGTGGTTGCTTGTCCTTGCGGTCTCGGTCTTGCTGCACCTACAGCACTCTTTGTTGGTGGAGGTCTTGCAGCCAAAGCTGGTATTCTTGTTCAAGGTGGTGGAGAAGCATTTCAAGAAGCATCTCAGCTCAATGCGATCGTGTTCGACAAGACCGGAACCTTGACAGAAGGCAAGATGAGAGTGACGGAGATGCAATCAGTTCACAGATCGGATGAGAAGCATGCTACTGACCTCGCCCTGCAGCTGGCTAGTATAATGGAAGAATCCAGCACACACCCTATTGCCAAAGCAATCAGTCTGTTTTGCCAAGAAAACCGACCAATTCACGACGACTTCAGCATATCAGTAGTTGAGGTCAAGGAATTACCTGGTCAAGGCATGAGAGGCACATTCAATGTCCGGACGCCAGAATCTGACACGATAAGATACGAGGCTGCGATTGGCAACGAACGTCAATTGGCCGGACTCTCAACCGTTACAACCAGCTCAGGAAATCATGCTGGGAGGCAATCCGAATCACTGGCATCGAACGAGTTCCTCGCATCGACTCTGTTCCGGTTACAGGCTTCAGGCTGCACAACAGCCATTCTTTCGATCCGACGATTACCGCCAGCCTCTATCAGTCCCGAAAAGCAGCTTCCATTGTCACCCTTCACACCACACATGATCTTTGCAATCACAGACCCTATTCGCAGCGAAGCACCATCTGTGCTCGCCGCTCTGCGTTCTCAAAACATCGAGGTCTACATGTGCACAGGGGACAACCGTGCCACAGCCCACGCAATCGCATCACAGCTCGACATTCCCGTCTCAAACATCCGCGCCGGTGCCCTACCACAAGACAAAGCAGCCTACGTCCAAGAACTACAGCAAAACACCTCCAACAAACGCAGAATAGTAGCCTTCTGCGGCGACGGCACGAACGACACCCCAGCCCTCCAAGCAGCAGACGTCAGCATCGCTCTATCCTCCGGCTCAGACATCGCACTGACGTCCGCATCGTTCATCCTACTCAACTCCAACCTTGAATCGATCTCACACCTCCTCTCCGTATCAAAACGAGTCTTTCAACGTGTCAAGATCAACTTCGCATGGGCCGCCATCTACAACGTTGCGCTGATCCCGGTCGCGGCGGGGGTGTTCTTTCCTATCAGTCAGTGGAGGTTGAGTCCGGTGTGGGCTGCGGCGGCCATGGCGGGGAGTAGTGTTAGTGTGGTGTTGAGCAGTCTTGCTTTGAGATTGCCGGAAGTCAGGTTTCGTGGATGGAAGAGGGAGTCACGCATGGTCAGATAGTTGGTAGCGGAGGAAGCTGTAGTACAAGCAACTGAGTCCTTCACTCGTTTCCCTGTCATTTTTGGTTGTTCTTTTCTCTTTCTTTTTGTTTTATTCTTCCGAGTAAAATCGTGTCTAATGCCTGAGCGACGGTATTGTCAATCAAACTCTGAACGGAAGACGCGCTCTGGACCTGTGGTATGATCAAGATATCGAGGTTAGCAACGTGTTCAAATGGCGAATAATATATGTTAAATCGCGTATATTAAGCCTCCAAAAGTGGTCTAGGGAGCTTTTTGGTAGTCAATTATTTGCTTGCATGCACATCTTGCACAGATCCAGTATATTTCAAGAGCTATGTGTAAGTTTATAGTGTTTCAGGAAGACCAGGATAGGTTTGAACGTTAATCGCACAAGGAAGAAACGAGTTGGGATGACCTGAGGTTGCCTCCTGAAACCGGGTGTCTGCCCATACCTGGAAGTGGCTTTTTATTACCATCAATAGCGGGATCCTAGGCTGCACAAACCATATTGCTTGTTTCGAACTATGTTACAGATAAAAGACTGCTTCCTACCAAGCAGTTGATGGTTCTGCTTGTCCAGATAGAATCAAGTCAAAGTCGCACACGTTGCTGCCTCATTTCGTCCCAGCACTCCAACATAAAGTATAATGCCTATTCATTCTGATATTTCGATCTTAATCCTTCATATTCTGTCGCCCGTGGGACACAGGACTTTTTAGTCGATCGATCTGACTATCTCTCAAATTGTTGCCATCGTATAGTCCTGTCGATAGATCGTACAGGCTCTACCGAAGCGTCCGGCTGTTTCTGCAGTGTCCCACACGTGACTCCTGCATTTAGATGGCATAAGCGGATGCAGCAACTGGCTCACCATCACCGGGCGCCTTCACAATTGGCCGAGTATGCTCAGCTGAAGAAGGGAAATCCGTGCTTGGGGCTTTGGGAAAATCTGCTTCCTTAGTGGCGAAGCTGGTATTGGAGGTGCTAGAAGCAGAATTGCTTGAAGCACCATTGGTAGCTGGCATAGAGATCTTCTGTCTGCTCTTGCCAATGTATTCTGATGCTAAACCAGCATACTCATTGGTGTAGCTCTTCACGCTCTCAGCTGCCTTGCTTGTGCGATCGGCGGTAATATCTCGGAGTTGTTGGGTCTGTGCAGTCACGACTTCATTTGCGTGCTGAAGCTGCGAGTCAATCAACTCCTTGTTCGAGGTGTAGACGAGCGGGACGAGGAAGACGATGCAGCTTGAGAAAAGAGCGAAGCCCCATGCTGGGAGAAGCTTGATCAGGTAGTAGCTCAGGAATGAGGCAAGGAAGGCCTGCAGATTTGTTAGCATTGTATGACCTTAAGTGGTAGAATCACTCACAATGGCAGTATTTGGGATGTTCTCGGCGAATATTATTCGCTGGCCTTCGATCACGAAGAAGTTGATCAGTTGTTCAACATCATCAAGTGTAGCCTCGAGGTTCTCTTTAGGAATTTTGTAGTATTTCCGGGGACGAACCGAGTTCGCGACGCTTGATCCGATAGTGAACTGCGCAGCAGCTTCGATGAGCGTGACAACTAAAGAAGGTTAGACTTTGCAAGTCATCGTTGGACCTGGATGTGCTTACTTCCAAGAATAGTCCATGTGCCCTTTAGGAACAGACGAGCAAGTGGTAGATACCGAGTGGAGAAAATGAAGATGATCAAACTGGCAAAGGTAATGCCGGTTGCTCCTGTTGAATGTAAGTAGGTATTCGGTATCACGTAGTAGTGGAAACATACTCGGATTCTTCCAGCTCAGCAGGTTAAAGAAGAAGCTGTGGTAATCTTTTGCTCGGTCAGTACTGGTCAAGCGTGGCTGTCTCATACTCACGGGTCAATGGAGTGTCATTTGCAGCCTTGTAGTTTGGCATCTTTCGAGAGTTTGCGAGGTCGGAGAACTCGTTGCCAGTCACAGCTGCTTGCTCCTTGACGGTTTGTGCGGCAGGACTACCATATGTCAGTCGTTTTCATTTTTCGTTTCACATTAAGCGTACCCATTGGCAATATCTTGAGCGAACTGAGAGTTTTGCACCGAATTGTAGGCATTGGCAGCATCTGTCAATTGTCAGTTTAATATCCAACACGTCTTGCAGGAAAACATCTCACTTGTCTTGACAGCATCAGCGAGGCCAGCAGCTTGCTCTTGTACATTCTGTGCCGAAGAATTGAGCTTGGCATCGGTTGTATTCGAGGTAGCTGAGTTCTTGTTCCAGAGGTTGTCAGAACCAGGGTCGATCTGACTGTTAACGTCGTTTAGGGCCGACATGTTTGTGGGATTTTCGAATAATGGTACGGATATGTTCGAAGGGAGTGGAAAGTTTGGTTGCAGATACAAGGCGGTTTCGCCAATTGTGTGATATGCAGAGTTTTTGAAAGGCAAACTTTGGTGGAAGCTGCAAGACAATAATGCAGAGAACACGATTGTTTCAACTTTGGTGAAAAAAGCAGGCTTGTGATGTTGGTCGCTCCTGACAGTGTGCATCACAACCTGCACACTATGACGCAGATCAGGAAAGTCCGCCTATGCACATTCTCACGAGCACGCGACTGCCATAGCACGGGCTACGCTAACATGTGCACAAACAAGGCACTGCAGGCTTGTCAGGTCAACTGTGGCAGTGACCGCTGTTTGACGCCAGGGGTGATATTTCCACCTATCAGCAGCCACCAGGTTTCAAGCTCAACCGTTGGGAGTTTGCCTGCACTAATTGGTCCGTGTACGTATGCTGACAAGCCTTGTGAACTGCTGCGCGGCCGAACAACGAGGCGATCATCGTGCTGAAAACATCCGCTTCCTCGCACCCCTACTGACTACAAAGAAAGGGGCCTTGCCACCTTGACATAGAAATCACTAGGATTCTTCCTGTATCTTTGTTTCCTTACTCGTAGTTCCAATTCAAAAGTATACTGGTTCTTTCGCAAACAGGCGACGATGACATTGGCACACTCTTTCACTAGGCGAGGCGTCAACCTTGTGCAGCGCTACAGTACAATGCGACAAGCAGACGATACCCCCGAAGTTCATCAGATACCTCCGTTCGCAGCTCTCATCTTTCTGCTTACTTGTGCCTTCTTTTTCGTCCTTCTTGCAGTCCTGTCCTACACGGCTGGCCACCTCATCCTTACCCTATGTATGGTCGAATCCTCTTCCACGACAGCTTATGTTCCGATAGAATCAGTCGAGCCTGTCGATGATTCACCGCCTGCTTACCAAGAGGATGGTAGCCTCAGACAGGACGATGCAGATGTCAACCTCATCAAGACACAACCCATAACTGCCTCTCTGAAGAAGACTGCCAGGCACTTGAGAGTCAGAGCTGGATACTTGTGGGTCTTTCGAGGGTTTTCAGCTTATGTTGTCTGGAACTTTACTCGTAGCATTGTGGTTGGAATGCTGTCGTCGGCGTCGAACAGTCCATTTCTCACAATCATAGCTGCTATCATCGCCGAAGTAGCATTGGTAAGCATTTTACACAAACGAGTGGATGCAGTTACTAATAAATTTACAATAGGCCAATATTCACATGACCTGGATTCATATTATCATTTCCGAGCCCTCCCCAAAAAGATGGTACCAACGAATTCCGACCCCGTATCTTCGGACCTGGAAGAAAATCGCTCCAGCGGTCGCTATCTGGGCAGTCACATCACAAGTCGTGACTATTCTTCCTCTGTTGGTTACAAACAGCTTTGGTGTATTGCGCCATATGAACGATCCATCATATCAACCTGGCATGAAAGAGGCATATGCTGGTGCTGGACAACTCTTCTTCGCCATGTTGCTGACTGTGTTACTCTTCGTCCTGCTTGACGTACCAGCGACGGTTGCAATGGTTCGAGTTGCAGCTAGCATGCTTCCCGAAGAAGACGAGACCATTGTGCCGTTTGATCGAACTTTTGGCGGTTTGACGACACCTGAGATCATTGGTGGACAAGGCAAGATCGGCATTGTCGAAGCGTGGAGATCGTTCAATTGGGAATGCAGAAGACGTTTACTAAAGACAGTCGTCAAGGTCGCAGCACTGATCATGGCAACATGGCTTCTATTCTCTATCGTTGCCATGATTGAAGCTCATACTTTGTTCGGTCCTGCCTTTGGCGAGATGATGAAGAGTATGCATGGTATTGCAAACAGGGGATCCTAGGCAAGTCATAAGAGTCTATACGCGATAGGCTGCCCGCGCAGGGGCAGATCCTCAGAGAACTTGAACATCATCTATACAGGCATGTATCTCTAAAGGAATTTACGGGATATAGTATCCAGACATTCATAGTCTCCAGTTGATTCAAAATTTGGTCATGATGCTGTGAGCTTGCCTCCTCTGCGTATTTCGTTCGTGCAAATACGCGGTTTGATTTTGCTGACAAGTTTCTCGCGTAATTAAGATCTGAACATTCTGTATCATGACATAAATGCCTGGGGCACACCAAGATCCACAACCGCGAGCCTGCTGACGTGCGTGCCACCTTCCAGAACACAAATTGGAGAAGCATCCCAGGCGCTTGACTCTCGACAGTACTGTAATGACCCTCATGCACTGACAGCCATCGCGCGCACATATTGCACTTGCCAGTAAAGAGCAGCTCTCTTGCCCAACACATCATTCTTAACGATTTCGCGACTAGCTACAAGAATTTGTCAATATAAACCTTCATTCGAAACCTCGACCAGTTGATACTGCCTTTCCTTCACACAGCGAATAGCCTCAAGCAAGCCCACCACAGCACACCCTCTGCACCCTCGAGCGAGGCTTCTTGAACAAAATGGCGACCTCCGCAGCTGGCCTGCTTGGCCGTCAGCTGAAACAGATGCAATCAGACAAGGACATTCCAGGCATAAGTTGTGGGCTCGTGGACAACAACGTCTTTGAGTGGGAGGTCATGTTGATGATGAGCGACGAATGCAAGTTCTATGGTGGAGGCTTCTTCAAGGCACGTTTGAGCTTTCCAAAAGACTATCCAATGATGCCACCAAAGATGAAATTTGAGACACCCATATTCCATCCAAATGGTAAGTCTGTTGGCCACAGTGGCAAAGAGCTGGGTAGCTAATTGAACGGCAGTGTATGACAACGGCGAAGTATGCATCTCGATATTACATCCTCCGGAGGAAGACAAATATGGCTACGAATCGGCCGCCGAGAGGTGGTCCCCAGTTCAGAGTCCCGAAACCATATTGCTGAGTGTTATAAGTATGCTGAGTTCCCCCAACGACGAGAGCCCAGCAAACGTGGATGCTGCAAAAATGTGGAGAGAGGATCCAAAAGAATTCAGAAGAAGGTGTAGGAAGGTCGTGAGGGAAAGTTTGGGAGAAGAGTGACACTTCAGAAACAGTTGATCTGAACTGTCGAGATTCTCACCATATATCGAGTGGCAATCCTGCCTGATACCACGACAACGTCATGGTTTTCCAAGTACTACTGAGCTTGAGCATGGCTCAATGAGCTCGGTGCACGACAGACTGTATCGTCAAGACGCTGGTCACAAGGATGCATCTCAAAGATTGCGTATGCCGAAGACCGATGCACACAATCTCAAGATTACAAGAACAACTGATACTGACAGCCAAATCCATCTTCCTCGTCAGTGTGACTTACACAACGTGCAACCACCCATACCTCACAACCACAACCTATCTTGCTCACCACGTGCCGCAGCTCCTTGACAGGCTGGATATTGTGTGGCATCCTGGTTCCTGACATCTGGATGCTGGACAAGGACGTTTCGTGTAGAGGACCGTCTAGCCAGGCGGACGTCAAGTACCCTCAAGGGGTCCCAATCTAATCTCAGCTGCGCCGATTGCACTCGTAGTAGATTTGAGATCCGACGGTCTGTCCGGTTCGCCGAATGATTTCAACCGGAATTATGCTGGACGTGCCTGGAAGCCGAAGGGGTGCGATGCACCGTCATATATGTATCGTATATACTCTGAGGTTACCACGTGTACCTCTTTGTCTTTTCCTATGCGCAGCAATTTCCGATGTACGAAGTTTTCGTTAGTTGGCTTGTCGCTACCTGGTGGCTGAGGTTTAGTACGACCATCACCAAATCTTTGCATTCGACCTGTACTCCTGAGAAAGTCCAGAGAGCCATCTCATCTTATAATGCAGCGCTAGACCTAAAAGAGCCACACAAGGCGTAAGCTGTTGATCGAAAGCTTGACAGCCATTAAACTCTGTGCTCTTTTCGGCACAAGCTCTTCCATCTTCTGGACCTCGCGCCTCGCCTTATTACACAACTTTCCCCTATCCTCGTCACTGCTGCCTCCCATTTCGCGTCATTGTTTCTGTGGGTGGTAACAGCACGAAGTAAGAGCGCTTCTATTGTGGGCCTGGCACCGCTATTCACGACGCTTGATGTCAAATGTGGTACCAAAAATTCGTAACGCGTGGCCAAAATACTTTCCTGCATCCTGACTCACAATTGAAGGCTAGGAACGTCTTCGGCGTTATCACAGTCTCTCTGCGAAGCGCGCCGAAGACTGAACACGAAGGACACGTTCATGCTGACAGCAGCAAAGACGTACAGTATGCTTATGGTGTATACAGGAACAGTTCACTTTCGAGATCGCTCGCTTGAGCAAAGCGAGCCTTGGCTATCGACCCGGAGTCTGGATGCATACCTCTATTCAATTTACAGCGACTGACAATGACACAACTTTCCAGACGTTGAGCCGAGCCGGTCTTTAATCAATATGTCCCTAGCTCTCGTACCTTCAGCACGAAGTGCCAGCGGAAACTGCCCACTGGTACATAGTCCGCCTACATGTTGTGGCGCTCAACTTAGAATTGAGGCTTGAGCTAGCACACGCCTCTGGGCTACTCACTCCGTGCTCCAAACACTCTGCCAGCACCACTCTGATATATGCTGTTCCTCTACTTCATCTCTGTTTCCTGACTTCCAGCGCCGCTCTCTATACGCTCAACTAACCAGTACCTTTGCCTTTCACTCGTTCAAGGCATCGTGTGCAGTCACTCTTTTAAAACTACTTACTTTTTGACTTTTGTTTTTCTTACTAATCATGAAGGTTACAGATATCCTCGTTGCGGCTGTGGCCCTTGCAGCAGGCGCCGAAGCGCAACGACCTGGTGCACAGAGACCAAATTTCGCGTCTCGAGTCTCGAGTTTCTTCGTTGGTACAACGCTGACAAGCAGACCAACAGCCAACCCGTTCGCGCCTTCAGCAGCGTCCTCATCGTCAGGCCTCAGAAACCTAAACATTCCTTCTGGCCAGACACAGACAGCATCTGTCACAAGCCTGGGTCAATTACCATCGATTGTTCCTACAATCCCATCAGCTACTTCCTCTGTCCCTCTCTCCACAGCTACCGTGATATCTGGTATTAACAGCACCACGGGCACGAATGTCACAACCAGCTCGAACACTACTTCGTGTATACAAGATGCCAAAAGCAACCCGGGTTTGGCAAACAGCGCTCAACACCGATGCAGTTGGGGTCCTGGATTTGATATCAACACCAACTATTATACCACATGGCCAAATACTGGCAAGACTGTCAAATACACCTTGACCATCACAAACGGTACGATCTCTCCGCAAGGTGACAGGAAGCTCGGTTTCCTTGTCAATGGCCAAAGTCCAGGACCTACCATTACTGCTGACTGGGGTGACATGCTCGAGATCACTGTAGTCAACAATCTGCAGCACAACGGTACTAGCATCCATTGGCATGGACTGGTTCAGCAGAACGGCAATGACCAAGATGGTATTGGTGGTGTCACACAGTGCCCAATTGCTCCGGGCGATAGCATGACATACAAATTCCAGGCCACTCAATATGGCAGTTCATGGTATCACTCCCATTTTTCGAGTCAGTATGGTGAGGGTGTTCGAGGTCCTATTGTCATTAACGGCCCAACTTCTGCCAACTACGACGTCGATCTGGGTACTGTCATGATCACGGATGATTATGCCTTGACTGCATTCCAGGAGACTTGGCTCGCATCTCGATTCGGACCGCCGACAGCTATCAACTATCTTCTCAATGGTCAGAACGTCAAAGTCGATGGATCGGCAGGACAACGCTCCAAGTGGACGTTCACTCCAGGACTGAAGCACAAGATTAGGATCATCAATGCTGCGGTAGACCACCAATACAAAGTTCAGATTGACCAGCATGATTTGCTCGTTGTCGCAATGGACTTCATCCCCCTTAATCCTTACAGCACCAAGGAACTCTCACTTTCAACTGGTCAAAGATACGATATCATTGTTGAAGCCAAGCAGCCAGTTGGCAACTACTGGTTCCGAGCTTTGAAGGCTGGTGATTGCTCCTTTGGTGCCAATGACGGGACTGGCAATGCCAACGGTATCATTTCATACACCGGTGCGAGCGGCGCTCTCCCAACCTCTAGGTTGACCACGACACACAGTAATGCCTGTGTTGACGAGCCCATCAGCGTACTGAAGCCTGTCTTTGCTCTCAACGTTGATTCTGCTCCTTTCACTTCGGCCGTCAGCAGCCTGGGCGTGGGCGTGGGCACTGTACGAACAACCAACGACACTGTTTTCCAATGGAACATCGGTGGTATCAGCCAAGTTATTGACTGGTCCGCCCCGGTTCTGCAAAGTTCAGTGGCTTCAGTCAACCAATTTGACACGGCCAGGCACATTGTGTCGCTCCCAACTGCCAACGTCTGGACATACTGGGTTCTCCAGAACCAATTCTTTGCTCCTCATCCTGTAAGTGCCTAGAATGCTCGACGAACGTACCCCAAAACTAACATATTTCCCTAGATGCATCTCCATGGTCACGACTTTTTCATCCTGGGAACCGGCACCGGCACATTCAGCGCATCTGCGAACCTCGGTCAGCTCAACTTCACCAACCCACCACGACGAGATACAGTCCAGTTGACCTCGCAAGGCTGGGCCGTCGTTGCATTCAAGACTGATAATCCAGGTGCTTGGTTGCTCCACTGCCACATCAGCTGGCATGCTGCTGGTGGTCTTTCCCTCGGGTTCTTGGAACGACCATCCGAGATCCCGTCCATGTACGGCACTAAGGTGAACTCGCAAGCCTACAAGAACACCTGCTCGAACTGGAAGACATATGCTGCTACCATGGTTTACCACCAAGACGACTCTGGCCTCAAGAAGCGTGAGACAATTGGTGGCAACGTCGAGCTCGAGATGGAAGTCATGGATGAGATGCCAGAGCGACGAGCACTAGAGAAGACAGTTGTCCGCCGAGAGGTCAGCCACTGGGGCAATCAGGCCTACTAAGTCGTTGTGGGATAGATGGGGCGTTCATGGGGAATCGAACGGCTGCGAAGCGAATAGTCTTTCCTAGGTTTACGGCTGTCGGCCTCTGAGTACAAGCGGTCGGGAGACACAAAATCCATCTATTGTGTAAATAATAAGATAATGTTCCGCTACGGTACTATAACATCACCTTGACGTTTCACGAGATAACTCCGTTGCCCGTTGGTCGTTCTCCAGAGATCTGATGGTGAGTCTCCCACTTCCATCGGACCTGCCAATCAACGCATGCGTAGCAATAAGCAGGGTGTTCTGCCCGCAAGCAGGGGCAGGCTCGCCCAGACAACCCCAGAAGGAAAAGCACAGACAATCTCGAGCCAAGCCCAGACCTCTTCGCCCCGGGCAAAATCCGAGCGCTGAAAATCAACCTCGGCGGAACGTATATCTAATCGCATGTCACTGCAGGTACGAGTCGCATGCACAACTGCGTCACAAGCTCTGAGATCGAGTTTGTTGTTCTTCCACATTGAAGCTTAAGCTTTGCGGAAGGTAGACAAAAAAGCCTGTCCCATCTGAAGCACGTTGTTCTGAACGTTGACGATTTGCATAATTATATAAGTACCCCACGAGGAGAGCTACTTCGTACGCGCCCAGTACAAGACTCTCTGCCTATACTGAGTTGTCCTTTCAGCTTACGGAAGCGAGCTACATCACATTGGCCAAGCTTGCAGCTGATCTCGAGACGAAACGCGTGGTCACCAACAATAAAGCTGACCACGACGACTAGGCAGCATCTGGGAGTTTTAGAGTATACTTCACTTACTGGCCGGAACTCGGGACTTTTCTGAATATTGCTAGCTATGGCACCGACCGTCCAGGACGTCAAGTCCTCCACGAACAACACACTTTCCTCCATACAATCTAAAGCTCAAGAAACAATATCGTCCATACCGACCTCCCGCGATGAATTACCTTCCAAGGAGGATCTCAAGAAGGAAGTCGAGCAAAGTGCTAAGAAGGCTGCTTCGGGTCTGAGATCTCTTGCAGCAGGTGGTGTTGGTGGTGTCTGCGCCGTCGTGGTCGGCCACCCTTTCGACCTGGTCAAGGTCCGTTTACAAACAGCTGAGAAAGGTGTATACACTGGTGCCATGGACGTGGTCAGGAGAACAGTAGCTCGCGAGGGCATGTTCCGCGGTCTATACGCCGGTGTATCTGCACCACTAGTGGGCGTAACTCCCATGTTCGCCGTGAGCTTCTGGGGTTACGACATGGGCAAGAAGCTAGTCGAAGCCACCACCGTCGTCCCAGTCAAAAACAACACGCCCCAATACAGCATAGGGCAGATCTCCGCAGCTGGCTTCTTCTCTGCCATACCCATGACACTAATCACCGCACCCTTCGAGCGCGTCAAAGTCCTACTACAAATCCAAGGCCAGAAACAGCTCGCTCCAGGCGAAAAGCCAAAATACTCCGGCGGCGTCGACGTCGTCAGACAACTCTACAAAGAAGGCGGCATCAAATCCGTCTTCCGCGGCAGCGCCATGACCCTAGCAAGAGACGGCCCAGGCTCAGCAGCCTACTTCGCAACCTACGAATACATCAAGCGCACACTATCCCCCAAAGACGCAGAGGGCAACGCAACCGGCGAACTAAGCTTGTCGGCCGTCCTCGCTGCCGGTGGTGCAGCTGGTGTCGCTATGTGGATACCTGTCTTCCCAGTCGATACCATCAAGAGCAGGATACAGACTGATCCTGGAAAGCCGACTATTGGTGGTACAATCTCGCAGTTGTATGGCAAGGGTGGCATTAAGGCATTCTTTCCTGGATTCGGACCGGCGTTGGCGAGAGCTGTGCCGGCGAATGCTGCTACTTTCTTGGGTGTAGAGTTGGCGCATAAAGCTATGAATAACATGTTTGGATGAAGTGACCGTTTGGAATGGGGACGAACCATGACGAAGGACGAGAACTATCTTGATTACACAAGCACTGCACACGAGCTCCGAGTTCATTGAGAGAGGTCGAGTGAACGACGACGCTACCCTGGAACAGCGAATGCTGGAGATTCGAGCGATCAGCCGGTTTGTACGAAGGCCAAGAATTTTCGAAACTGCTCGTCGAGCAGGAGCCACGATCTGGATTGATCGGCAAAAACGTCAACGATGATTGTTACAATTCTCGTCGCCGCTTGTGTCAATTGACGTGCGTCGTGTGCAGATGTAAGGTTGCATAGTCCTGAGGTACTTGCGACTGCACAGCAGAACTCGATTTTCGCAACTGTTGGAAACTATATTCAGGTAGACATACTTGTGCAACCATGGGTCGGATCTTCGCAGCAAATCTATGCTCTATTCAACTTATCTCTTCCTTACCTCTTTAACGGTTCTCTTCACTGATATCGATAGACTCTTATCCTGCTGCGAATTCGTCCATGTCCAATTCAAGACTCCATGAACGCTCCAACGCATTTACGACTCAACCAACGTCTCCCAATCTTCAAGTTCTGTCTCTCACCTCGATCCATGCTCCATCTCCAGCCAAGGATACTATACCTCGCCCACATGCCTCTCCTCCTGCCTCCCAACTTGTCCCTCAAGCCACTGCATCCTCAACTCAAACTGTCTCATTTCCTCATCGAGGTTTGCACCAGCAGATCCATCGAAATAGTTCTCTCGTACCGTGGCACGGGCGTTGGCCACTGTGTATATCGCACAAGAGGTGCTGGAGTCGTGTTCTGTCTTTGCATGGGTTGTCTTTCTTTTCTATCTGGTCCGGGTATTTGTTCCGACCTACTCCGTCGTCCTGACAATTGTGGTGCTGGTGGTGGCTGCGGATCTTGTTCGCTTGATGCTGTGTGGGGCATAGGATTCCATTTCTTTCGTGTCTTCTTGAGAGGTTTCGGAGCTGGTATGCTTTCTTGAGGATTCGGCGCCACGGATTGGTTTTGCGCAATGGTGTCAGCGATGTCTGAGGAGTCCAAGACAGGATCGAGATGATTGTCTGCGAGGTCATTTTTGGGTTGTGGTTCGCGCTGAGGGAGGCATGTATGAAGATTCGGAACTTTTGTGTTGATCTAGGCTGTCCGTGCAGCTGTATGCCATGTGGTCATTCTTTGGGGTGAAAGAGTGATTCCATAGTTTGTATGTGGTGCCTGAGTAGATTGGTGCTGCAGATGTTCTTGTGAATGTTCTACGAAGGCCATATGAAGTGGTAGACGACTGTTAAATTGACATGTCACGAAATAGGTATTGGCGATGTCCTCACTGAACGCGAAGGTGATGTCAAGGTTGAAACGAAAACATGTGCAGCTGATCAGAGTGAAAGACGAGTTTAATGGAGTTTAGTATCCTCGTCGAGAACGGGTCGAAGTAGCAAGCGAACCGTTCCTGCTCGATTATATTTGCAGCGTAGAGCAGGAAGAGCTTCAATTTCACTTAGGTCGCTCCTTCATTACTTCTTCTATAGTCACAGTCCTGTCTGCCAGTATTTTACAGCAACAGCCAACTACCCAATACCAATGCACCCTCAAAAAGACAACCAAGAATCAGCATCACCAACCCAATAACGAGTCCAGTAAGCACCCTTCCCTTCGAGTCGATCTTCCAGTCAGGCCGTCCAAACTTCTGCGTGGTTGCAGTCACATAACTCTCGTTTCCGCCAGGTCTCGTCCCGGGCACACCAAAAATGACCCAAATAATGCTTCCAACTACAGCTTGCAACGCCACCATGAAAGTTAAGAAGGCAATCACACCAATCCTGTACTCGTGCTGAAAGGACAACGTTAAAATCCTATTGCTTTCCGTGTCGGTAGATTCATTGCCCATTCTAGAAGCCGTCGATAGGCTAGAGCTGAGATTGCTTGGCCAGAAGAAAGATCTTACAGGTGAACCGACCGTTGCGTTGGCTTGAGTAGTGGGACTTACCTGAGGTTCTGAGTTGTCCTTCGAGGATAGGAAAGGTAGACGTGGCATGGCTGGAGAGTAGACAAAATGGAACGAGCTCGCATCCGAGATTGTACGGAAGCGCTTGTTCTCCTCGTTACAGTCTGTGCTATCGGTTCGATTTCGACTGCCTTGGCGACTATGACCTAGACTTCGTGTTCGAAGGGAGGAGAGACGGTTTAGGTTGTCGATCTGTCTGACGGGTGCTGGATGCATAAGGCTGGAAGAAAGACGAGATGCTGACTGGGGATTATTTTTCCGGAGCCAGATGACCCATGCCTTACGCTTGTGGCCATAATTTGGGTTAGACAAATTCCTCATAAAGTCAACACCGTTGAATTCTGAGGCGTCATAGTTGGTCGGAACAGTCACAGAGACGTAGCCGAGTCGCCGTACCAGAAGAAATAGTAAACGAGTTGAGCCTAGCAGCTGCTTTGTATACGCTGCTCTGATTTGATTGAAGAGCATCTCGTCATCAAAGGTACTTTTGCCAGCGATCTGAATCTCGATAGTAGTACGTGCGCATGGATGTCGCGACAAATTAAGATCGATGAACAGTACTTCTGGTCTCTCTGGGGAGGGAAACCTGTCCTTTGATCCAGGCGCAGCAGTAAAGGAGACTCCTCGTCTTGCCTTGTCTCTACCTGCCCTCGATGTTGGTGCCTTCATTTCATTTTGTTTCTTCTCAGCGTCAAAATCCAAGCTACTGGCGTCGCTGTTCATGCGAGCTGGATAGGGTGTAGTGACTACTGATTCACGAAAAGTGCTAGGTCCATCACGATCGTGGTTCTTAATGATGAGGTCGGCAGGTCGAATGGTAACACGGCGACTCAATCCTTTGCCCGGTAGCGGCAAGGGCGATGACATTGTTCTATTGATTGCTGGCACAGGTGCAGTTTCGTTGTGGTCCTGGTTCGAACTAGAGACAGTAGGTATATCTGCATCGACGATTGATGGGTGGATTGAGTGTACAGTGCCACCAGTTGGTAATCCTGGGGTATGGGCCGGAACAGGTTCAAACTCACTTGGCCCTTTATCGGAAGCAGAGTTTGCTGTGGTGTCCTTCGAGCTAGCTGAGATGGCAGACTGAGAGACAGCGGAACTTCGGCGATCGACTGTAGCATCTTCCTCTCGCGGGATACGTGCACTTGGGCCACCTTGATCGTCGGTCTCATCAATGCTATCCATATTTTTCACCTGCAGGCGTGCCTTTTTCGTGTGTTTGTGCTGGACGATCTGTGGCTTGCTGGCTCTGACGCTGCTTGCTCGGCCAATGATTGGAGCAGTATCCTCCTCGAACAGATGTTCCGGTTCTGTAGCAGTCTCCAGAGACGCTTGATCTTCTTTTCCGGAGACAGACGCTGCCTCGGTGAAAGCAGCAGTATCCGCTAGTGCAGCAAAGATATCCTGCTGAGTACTGCTGTCCGTGCTGCTCCCAGAAGCTTCCTTAGCTGGGCTGGTGCTGTCCTGCGAGAGTTTTGTGGTAATCAGGTCGTGTTGCGACAGGCTTCCGCTTAGTAGTGGGTCGTTGAGCACTGCTTCAGGAGTTTTGTTGACTTTTGTCTGGCTATCTCTCTTAGAATTTAATTTGCGGAGTTTTTGCATCTTCCCCAACGATTGACGTCTTGAGAAGAGTCGTGTCGGACTGGCTGGCACAAAAGGCATGGTCGCAAGAATTTCTAAGCTCGAATAGCGAGCTTCTCAACACCGGGAGGCGAGGTCCTGCATGCACTTTTGCATGCTGGCGAACCTCTAGAAGATGGCCGCATTCGAGGACTTCCATACTGTTTCCGGTTCTTCTGTTCGTGAGGACTGGGCAACTGGAACGTTGGCTCAGAATCATTGTTCAAGATAGTACAAAGACAGCCTTTGTTGAACGCATTGCAAATTGACTGAGCACGAACTTGAACAAAGAACATGGTGCAATGACGATTTCGGATCACGTCTTCAACCCCGATACCTGCCGCCACAGTACGGGCATGTATCAAATTCATCCAATAGTCTTGATACGACGCTTCGGGTTGGTAGTGGTCCAAGCTTGAGCGGATTCAGAAACTGCCTGCTGCATCCCGAACAATATTTTGAGATGGCCGGCTCCTGTATGGAGAGCAATGACAAGCTGCACCGAACGAATACATGTCCTGACGTGCATGTAGCAACCCCTAAGTCCGATGTTAGATTAATCGTGGCGCTACAAATGCTGCACGGCTCGACTCCTGATGTTTGTGAAGGGTGCGCTGGTGTTCCTAACGCACGGACGTTCTGTGCATCGCTTCCGATCACCCCAACATCTGCATTCGGTTGAAATTCCAGCATTTCTCGCAACAACACACGTTCGTCTTCATACTGGCTAGAATATCCGGCTGCAGTGTAGAACAGCTGAATCATCGTGCGATCTATATCGGTGCTTAAGCAGTTCGGATCGCCACCACACTTTGTAACAACTTGAAGACTACTAGCCAGAACCTGGTCCACGTCTTTGAGGTTCTGTTGCGTAGTGCTTGGCAGGTTGGCAGAGTTTCGCCTTGTGAATATGAGTCGGGTCTTCTCCTGAATAGCAGATGTATACTCGAACGCCTCAACAGGATGAAGAGTTACACATGCCACCTCGTACATGCCTGCAGGATCTATGGCTAATGTCCACAGACGGTATCGCGACACGTTCAGCTCGTAGGTTTTCCTATAAGCATCGCAACAATCGTCTAATGCTTGGCGCCACTGAGGCTCCTTTTTGAGTCTTTGTGCAGCCACGTCGATACCTGCTAGTGATGATGTCATAGCAGAATCCGTATCGTGGGAGCTCGGACCGAAAGTGCCGTCTATATGTCCCTGCGAACAAGTGAGAGTCACAGAGACGGAGCTGGGTGTATGTGAATTAGATGTTCGATACGTGATCCTGGCTGTTGCAATTAGCCGTTCGTTGTCCGGGCGATGGCCAGAAGTGGCAATATTCCAGTCATGCATCTCGAGGCGCTCAATGCTTGAACCTCGTGTGATCTGAGAGTGTAAGCTTTTTGGCACAACACGTCCTGCCGATGTACGGTCCGAGCTCTTCAGCGACGTTGTGCAGATAGCGTGGACTTCCCAAGTACCATACTGTCCTCGGCGTGCTTTCCTCACACTCAACAATGTTAGATTGTCGTCGTCGTCGGCAACGATAAGAAACTGTTCTCCCCAGCGATCTTCTTCAGACTTTTTGAGAGTTGCAGACCAAGCAAATGCCCGAATTCGCCATCGTTTCGGTAGCGAAGCAGACTGCGTACTTGCTGACTCAATGCGAGGGAGATGGTTCAAGATGTATGTTCTGCGCCAGCCTCGATCAAAGCCGTTCGTCTCCCATATGGAGAAAAGCAAATTAGATGTCAACACTCCGAGAACACATCGTCTATGCATTCCAACACCACTCGATGACCACAGTGCTGACACTGCAACCGAATCAGATTGCTCCTCACCCACCGAAAAATCCTCGACCGTGGCTAGTGGTTGCTCGGGCCATTCATCGTAGGTGAATTGATCGACTCGAAGGGCTGAGGTAGACCAAGGCTCAGCATCTTTGGACATGGCATTCATTCGTTTCTGCACAAGATAGACATTTTCGTTCGTTGCTACGACAAGACCATCCTCCGACCAACTCATACAGTGATCACAGGATGGATATGAGTTGAGGATAAGTTCGCTCACTTGCGGTCTGCTCTTGGGCCCTCTCGCCATAACTTCCCAGATTTACAACCAATCGGTTGTTAGCTGGCTAGAGCTGTGGTCTTCGGGAAAGAGGAGTGTTAAGTAGGTGTCTTGTCGAAGAATTGAGTTTTTCTTGAGAAGGACTGACTGCAAATATGGTGACAGGAGTGTGCAAGTCTCAGGCAACAACTCAAAGAATAATTGAATACCTGTCGTTCCGTGCGATGTGTTGCATCTCAAAATCTCAGCCCTCTCGAGATAAAAGAGGCAAGTACCTGAGGCCCTCGGTTAATTGCCGCTTCTTCACAATCTTGTACATGTTGGGCGACAATTCCGCCGTTGAACAACAACGCTCTGGTTCTCTTTGAATAAGCATACTGTAGTTGATGAACTACTTGCTGTTTGACTGCCCTTCAGAAGGATGCCGAAGATGAGTGTTACCTCTAGGATTGTCTTGTATTTTTGGTGCTCCTGACATCCGAGGAGGCTTCTGCACATGAACAACTTATGCTCCCAGATCTGACATGAATAAGCCCAATCTAGCGAACTAATGTAATCACTACGTCATTAGAATATGTAACAGATCGGAAACGGTGTTAAGTCGACGATTTTCGACCACGCTATATCCAATAACTAAATGTAATCGTATCCTAGAGATTTGCACGTTGTTTCTGGTGGGAATAGCAAAGAGAACAGATCCTTGTCCATTAGATATTAAAGCCCGAGAGATTCGGGTCACCTGGACGAGAATCAGCTGGTGGAAACACATACCCCCAGCGTGGAGGCGAATCCAAACTTCATCAGCTGAAAGCACGACCTTTCGTGACTTCAAGTAATACTCCGCGCCCCACCACGCCCTCTGCCAATGCTCTTTACCGAACTCGAATATCCGAACGACTTGTCAAATCGACTATCGAATGACTTGACTTGGCGAGACTTGCTCAATTCTACTTCACGTCTTGCTTTTCCTACATGCCCGTTCCACCTGAAAGCACCTTTCCACGTCGTCAGTATTCTCAGCACTAACACAGCAGCTGAACAGGGATTTTTTAGCCACAGACAATGCCGCACGTTTCGAGTCAACGTTTCCGTGCCTTGAAGGATGACAGAGAAGAATGAGTCGAACCGCCGACGCAAATGGGCTCCCAAAGCACGAACAGGGTGTAAGACCTGTAAGACTCGCCACGTAAAATGCGACGAGGCCAGACCCTCGTGTCGACGATGCATACTCTCCGGCTTCCGATGCGAGGGTTACCCCGAAGCTCCCCCCACGGACGAAGTCGACGTTGTCCGTTCACCAGGAGCGAAGGTAGATCACATGGGGCAATCTGTAATGTCAAATGCTCTTGACCTACCTAGCAGCTGGCAACCCCAGAAAGCCCTTACTATCATCAAGCCGCACAGCTCAGCACCGTCAACAATCAGACCACACACTCCGACCCCGATGACTGTAACTCCTACAGGGCCTTATGTCAATGTTGAGAAGTATTACCTGGAGTTCTTTCTTAAGCAGACAGCCGCTATGGTGAGCAGATCTAGTGCTGCTCCATACTTCTGGCACACTCTTGTTCCTCAAGCAGCCTGGGCTTATCCTAGTGTTCGACATGCTATGCTGGCCGCAGCAATGTCGTCTGAATCGCTGGTGAGACGAGACAGCGATTCCGCCACTGGTAAGCGTAACCAGCTACAGGTCTTGGATCACGCCTCGCAAGCCGTGCAAGCTCTTCTTCTCAATGACGTTCCGATCGATGTCATCTTGTTGACTTCTGCAACACTGGGTATACTGGAGCTGTTTCGTGGATCTTGGAGCACCGCTTGCACTCATGTAACCTCAGGAGCAAAGCTTGCGAAACACACAAAAGCAGACAAAATGCATGAGCCACATATCAAGTTCTATTGTGAGGCCTTTGCAAGCGCTCTCCCTACTGTCTTATCAAGCAATCAGACCCAAGATGTCAGACCTTCCCAGCACGAGAGTTCCGTGACAAGGCTAGTCGAGGCCGTAAAGAGCTTACGGCTCGGTCTGCAAGACCTTACAGAAGCTGCAGACAAAGTCGAGCACCACAAGGGATCAGACAAGACTCAGATTTTGAGCATTCTGAAAAACGCAAGAGTGGAGACTAAATGGATACTACAGCGCTGGGAAATCCTCTTGCGCGAAGAGCTACACACCACTTCACCACTAGATGTGGATTCTCAGCTTCACATTCCTCAAGTGGCGTCTCCCTGGTCCAATGTCATAGTCAGCCTCGACTCTTACCTTGACCAGAGGGCCGACTTTGAAGTACGAAAATTCGAGGTCGCCATGGGACGAACTCTTCCCTTCTATATGTTAGCGAAATCCGGCCCGCACATCAAAATGCGTGAGGATGCTGTAGAGCTCATGTATACGAGCTCCAAGCTACGTGGTTTGACAAAGACAACTTCATTGCCTTATTCAAGCAATCATCTGGTGAAGGACGAAGGTTGAAGAAGAAGACCAACCGTGTGCTGCCATCAGCCTATACTATGTGTAAGGTGGACCCACAATCAACCTGTTTTACCAGACACGTCGAGGTTCGAGAACCTATTAAAGAGAAATAGATGAGAATTCGTCGGTGATTCACTGATCATTTGAGGAGAGTTCTAGCCGTTACAAAAACATTCACACAGCGGCACAGGACAATCTCTGTGTCCTTCCCGCCCATCGACGCCCTGGAACCACATCCTGGCATGTTCGGCATGGAAGCCGTGCGAGCACTGCATACAAAATACAGTAAACCTATGCATTGCCTCGTACCACTTCTTTTGCTCTCCTTGCTTTGCCACCTCTTCGTCAACAACCTCGATCGCAGATGGTGGTACATCAGCCGCAGTGATTCTTCTCACCTCGGCCTTCTTACTGCCAGCGCTCGTACCCGTGACCGAAATACTGGGTGCGTTCGAGTGCATCTGCGGTCCAATAGCGGTGATTGTGCTTCCGACCATACTTGCGCTCAAATCAACACCATTACTGTTGGCCTGACTGTTCCGCGAAGGTGGCTTGTACCACTTCGAGAACGTCTCATCTGGCGTCCCGAGCCAGAGATCACATACGCCGCATCTGGGAAGATGTCGTGCACATTTCGGACATACAACACCTGCCACGGCTGCTTTCTCTGGCGCAAGATTGTGTTTTACCGTGTCTTTCATGTCGACCTTCAGCTCATTGCTTTGCTGCTCATGTCCAAATCGTGAGAGAGACTGGTTGCAATGGTTGCAGACGAGGCGGATCTGTTCCCTCTTTCGAGGTGGTGTGGTCTTGCTGGTCATGCGAATGGCACGAGAGAGCGCAACTTCGAAGCGAGTCTTATCGAACTTGAGCCCTAGGGACATGAGTTGTGATTTGTAAATACTGCGGAAACATTCAACAGTACGCATATGTGGAGAGTCGGGGTGAAGGTATTGGTCGCTTGCAGCGGCAAAAGACATTGCTAGAGTCGTAGTTTGTAGGTCAGAAGATATCCGCGCATAGCTCTTGAGCAATTCGACGCTCTCAGGAGTGCCTGCGCCAGTAACAAGGATTCCTTCGAGATTGCCAGTGGCGATGACCTCGTTCTTAGTGTTTGAAAGATACCGTGTCAATTTCGAGTCGTCGAAATAACGAAGGGCGATGTAAATACGATATCGTAGGGGCATGCAGTCCTGTTTGACGACATCCTCCCAGTCTCCAGACTTGACATATGTCAGGATGGCTCTAGCATAGATATCTGACAGACCCTCGGCAAGAGCTGTGACGACATCCTGCCAATCCTCGCCTTGTTGACCAGTAGGTTCGTTATCAGTTCGTTCGTACAACCTCGATCCACTGAGACGTCGATGTCTGCCTGAGGCTCCAAGCAACGCCATAGCAAGCATTGTGTGATTATGGCTCGCTCCCTTGCTACGTAGTGCTTGCTGAGCCAGCTTGTCCTCGCCACTGAAAAGAGCAAGAGCAGCGGCCTTGGTATGCTCATCAGCTGCGACCAGTTCGTTGCATTCGTGCTTGATGTCGTCGTAGGTGTATGCGACGCCAGCAACGTGAAGACATAGAGCTCTGTTAGCTGGATATTCCGTTGTACAGCCCTTGCCGCGTTGCAGGTTGAGCCGTCGTGCGGTGTCTCTAAGGACTGTGCAGCTTTGAGCACTGTTGATGTTTGCTGAGTCGTGTGTTGAACGGTGTTTGATGTCGATCTCTTCCATCCAAAGGGCGAAGACGCCGAGGTACGATAGGTCGATGTCTCCTTGCACGAAAGCGTTGTGAGCGGTAATGTCCTTGGCATGTTTGAGCCATGACCATAATGCTCTGAGCTTCTCGTTGGTTTGGACGATGGAGAGGTTGGTGCTGGGATCGAGGAGGTACCCTTGCTCACAGCGTTGTCGTAGATGTGGTAGGAGGTCGAGTCGATCTTCTTGTTGATTTGCAGGGGCCATGGTGGTTTTGTTGTTTCTTTGGGGGTCCACGAGTCCCTTTGCATCGTGGAATGAGGTGCTTGAGGTCAACACGACAGAGCGGCTCTCACTTTTCATTCGCTCGATATTTATAGCACCGTGTCCTGTCAAAGTAATGATTTCGGTTTGTCCATGACCCTCTGAAGTCGTGAAGTCGAACGATACAATCCTCTTGACCTCTTCAACACCTGGGTACTCGTCCCATTCATTGGAGAAGTTTTGCGAATTGTCCAGATACACTCCCTGTGGCTGCTGTTTGTCCCAGTCGAGGTTTCGTGATTCCTGCTGTTCGTTGATTGGTACCAGTTCGAGATTATCTAGGCCCAGCTTTAGCATTCTCATTTGACCAGTGCTCGAAAGGACTCCTAGATGTCCTCGCTGTGTTTTCGAGAAGCGTAGACCCCAAATATGACCTTTTGGATCCACCACATTTTTCATCTCTAGAGAAGACTCTGGATGCTGGTCTGCCTGGCTAACATAATTGCTAAAGGCATACTGAGGTGCACTCGTGCGTGCAATCATCCTCCTGTCCCAAATTGAGACTGTCGGAACGTTGGCTGGCAAGCACGAAGCAAGGTAATTCTCGTCCTGTGAATCCACAGCTATGTTATTGACACATTTTGTCGCAAATTGTAGTGCAGACGAGGCGATGGGTTCGCGCAAATCGTATAGACGAACAAATTGTCCCTTGACACCTGCTGCCAGCAAGCGAGGCTGATCCTGAAAGAAGCGTAAACTCGTGATAGGTTCACCACCAGCAAGCTTGTATAGTGGTTCGTTGCTTTTGCCGTATGACTTTTCGTTGGTAGGGGAGAGGCGTTGATTCAGGTCCCAGATGTTGAGGCAGAAGTCGTTCCTGACCTTCTCCAAGCCAGCAGCAAGCCAGTTTTGGGTGTTCGTGCCAACTGCATTGCACGATCGAGGGCTTCTGACGGTAAATGTAATTGTGCTGTCCTTTCCAGCAGCGAGATTCACCAAACTTGCCTCACCACTTGTCTGGCCTATAGCGACCAGGGTCGACTCGAGTGGATGCCAATCAAAGGCTCGAAAGGGCGGTAGCTTGTGGGACGTATGGATAAGGTCATATTTTGTTCCGTGTTTTCTCCTCTTCGCAATGTTGTACAGTTCTAAGACTCTGCCAGCAACGTCGATCTTCAGGAAGTGCTGATCTGGCTGGGTTGGTACAGAGTTCTGAGAGAAGCGAACAGCGGCCTCCATAGCACTGCTACGAACCGCACGTCCATCTCAACCGTCTTCAATCCGAAGAGCCGTCAATCACCTTCGAACATCAGCCATCGTTGTGAATATTGTCAGCATGCCACCACGACGATTGGTTTGTAGCCAGGGAATACTGTCTGCGTGGAATTCAAGTGACAGTGCCGACTTTATAGTAATCCACCTCCGAGCTCCAAGAAGCTGCCGGCCTATGCCGTTGTCGGGAGACTTCTGCAGCAACTTGATCAAATTGACAGAAAATACTGCGACACAATTCAACCTCGTCCAGTGTTTCAAGGCGGAGAGATCAACGCGATCAGGGTCATACTTTCACAACTTCGGTCTGCCGTGGTTTATTGCTACGTCGGGTTGATCCAATCAAAAAGGGTAACTTCAATTCTGAGAAGTGAGGTTGATGCACACATGTCTGTCCAGAAGAGTGCGACCATATCTCGGAAGAGACAGCGAGACAACGATGCAGCAGGTCCAGCTAAGAAGCTGAGGAGAAGTAGCGAAGAGACAGACGATGGTTCAGACGACAAAGGAATACAGAGAGGATCGTTACGAGCCCCGACTAAACACACGAAGCAGGAACGAAAGAAGAATCGATCTTCACGAATCCATTCCCTTCGCAAGCTGCTCGCTCGTAGCAGTTTGCCCAGCACAATTCGGCAGGAGAAGGAACGAGAGCTGGCAGCTCTACTACACGACCAAGGAAAAGCGCAACAGAAGAAGCAGGCCAAGAAGGTGCTCGAAAAATACCATTATGTTAGGTTCATCGAGAGACAGAAAGCCGAGAAGAGATTGAAGCAGTTACGCAAGCAAGCACAAGCGGAGGGCGAGGACGAAGAGCTGAGCAAGAAGATACATGAAATGGAGGTCAGTCGCAATTATGCTATATATGCGCCGCTTGACCAGAAGTATGTTTCAGTATTCGTACCAAAGACACAAGGTGACGAGGAGGAGGAGAACGTGTCACAAGACCCTGCCACACGGAAGCCAGAGATGTGGCATGTGGTAAGAGAGCTGATGGCTCAGGGTCAATCTCAGCTAGAGGCTCTTCGCGACGGAAGTACGAAAGAAAAGAGAGTGATGTCCGACGAGGACAACAATGTCCAGCATTCAGCAGGTCGTTCTGCTGAGAAACTAGATAGACGGAAACGCAAGCTGCCATCACAGCATCTAGCTGGCGACAAAAAAGGACAACACCAGGCAATAGAGACCTCGGACGACGAGGATGTCATAGATGGTGGTTTCTTTGAGCGATGATTGCTGGCTCATCGAGAATTTACTCAGTCGATCTGCTTGTGAATGGACACAAATTTCATATCGATGTGCATACGAGCTAAACAACACTAAAATTGCGCGTAGAAGCTAACCACAAATGGACAGACTGCGTATGATGTCAATTCAGTCGTTCTGGTTAGCAGATTTCTTCGCAAACTTCTGTACCGTTGAAACAGGTCAATGCTGTGATACACTATCGTAACGACCAAGATGGTGCGACTTGAAGAGCTTAACGACGATGTCAACGAGAACAACGTAAAAAAGACTTCGGGTTCACAGCCGGAGGACGGTGATCTGGAAGATTTGTATGATCGTGCAGTAGCTCGGGGAGGCTTTTCGGATAAGTCCTTTGACGAAGCATTGTCAGATCTCAGCAAAACACCTCTTTTCATGACAAGTCTAGACGACGCTGGAAGTATGCGAACTCGACCATTATACTATGCACGGACTGCGAGCTGAGGTAATGCAGACGAAGACAACGTGGTACTAGAGGCGCTCAAAGCGTTTCAATATGAAGGCACAAGGTCAGAAGCCGCTCAGAATTTCAAAGAGCAAGGCAACGAATGCGTGCAAGAAAGGAAGTGGTCCGATGCAAAAGAGTTCTATACCAAAGGTATTGCGGTGCTAACCAACAAAGTCGACGAGGTGAAATGGGACAAGCCAGAGGATCCAGTCGAGGAGGACAAAAGGAGCACACTGCTACTGGAGCAGCTTCATAGCAATCGAGCTCGGTGCAATCTCGAGCTGAGTACGGTACAGCGACAAGAGATGTAGCAGTTGTACTAACTGGTAGCAGAGAACTATCGCTCGACCACTCTCGACTGCAGCTCGGTACTGAAAATCAACCCTCATAATGTCAAGGCTCATTATCGCTCTGCTTCAGCACTATTTGCGCTGGATAAGGTGTACGAAGCACTTGACGTATGTTACAGAGGTCTCAAGCTTGACCAGGATAATCAAGTCATGAAAGTATTGCTGGAGAAGATTCAGAAGCGATCCAGAGTCAAAGAAGAGCAAGATCGCAAGCGCAAGGACGAGCTGGATCGTAAGCGACGAGAAAAATTGACCTTGGTGGCAGCTATTAGAGCGCGAAACATTACAGTCCGCTTCTCGCGCAAAGGCGCACCAGAGATGGCTGATGCAGAGCTTAGACTCGTGCCAGACCCGTTGTCACCTGAGAGCACTCTTGAGTTCCCAACCATGTTCCTTTACCCAACACATAACCAGTCAGATTTTATCAAAGCATTTTCAGAGAAAGACGCCATTTACCAGCATCTGAGCTATATGCTGCCTTTGCCCTGGGACGCAAAAGGCGAGTACAAGGTCAGCACAGTCGAGTGTTACATGGATACGATTTCTGGTGGAATGGTAAAGCTTGGCAAGAAGGTGTCACTCCTCGAAATCTTATCGAACGACAAGGTGGAAGTGCTTGATGGAATGGTGAGAATATATGTTGTTCCTCCTGGTGGTCAATGGCTTCAAGAGGTCAAAAGGAAGAGAAACAAGTAGATGCGATGCGGCAGCCAGCCGACAAGTCGAGAGCAAGCGAAGTTTGGCGAACAGAAGATGGATGTCTGCATGATGGTGACCAAGCGTAGCACGCCATGCCTGGCTCTATTTAGCGTCGGCACTGTTGTGTCCAAGCCATGTGGATCAGAGTCGATCTAAAATTTACTCTTCATAGTTTACACGACCTGACCTGTCGTGACATCTTCCTCGAAAGTGTAATCTAGCTTTCTCTGCGTTCACATACTTTTTGGTAAGACAAGATTGTCAACAGTAAAAATAATTTGACCATATGAGTTGAGAAGAAGCTCTCGCGAAAGCAACCAATGTTTTATTAGTGGCTGAAAATGGGGACTTGAGAACTGATGTGCGATTCGAGGAGGCTTCAGCCGGCAGACTGTGACCCATCAAACAAGCGGCTCCGCTTGATGTGTGCTAGCGCCAAGGGTAAAATGAACTCGACCACGAGCTCGCTCTGAAACGGCATCATTTTTGCTTGGAATTGTGCCGTTTCGTGCAGAAGGCTTCTGAGTCCGTCACACGCGAGAATATACTCGTGATCTTCATACCCGAAACAGGACAAACGCAGCGTAGCGCCTGTTCTCGACTGGTCGCCCTGCTCCACGCCGTTGCCCACTTCCATAGTCTCCTGGGACTGCTCGAACCACCATTCCCTGTCTAGGCCTGGCAAGGTGCAGGAACGTGGCAGTGGCTTGTCCAAGCACGACCGGGGAACTACGAGAGTCCAATCAGGCATCTAGCTGAACCAGAATGATGAACATCCAGAACCCCTCTTTCGCGCAGCATCAGCACGCCTATGGCTATGGTCATACTCAACCCATGAGCCAACCCGAGGCCATGGCTCAATTTGCTGCCGACTTTAATCAGAGCCAGAACCACTTCCAACAGTTTCCGAACACGCCGCAGAGACCACCGCAATTCAACCAGCAATTTCAAGGCCAGATTCCTCCTCAACTATATCAACAGCAGCAACAACAGCAGCAGCAGCAGCAACAACAACAACAACAGGTCGGCGGCTTTGTCCGACCGCAGAGCCGCGACAATCTTGGACTAGCTCAAGGTGAGTCCAATCAGATAGATGCGCCAACAAAGACTGTAGCTAATCTACCCAGGACAACCTCTTAGACAATCTCCTGCCAACCTGCATCAACGTTCGCAATCTGTGCTATCGCAAGGAAATGTGCCTCATACGCCATCTTCCCAACGGCAGACACCGGGAATCATGCAGCAAAACATGAACGTGATGTCTAATATGGGTGCGAATGTGAACATGAACATGAATATGAACATGCTACAGCAAAGCCCTACTCATGCCCAGATGAGCCAGGCTGGCGTACGCAATCCACCACAACAGGCGTCAGCTCAACTAAATACTCAATCGGCTGCAAGAGAAGAAGAGCGTGTCTCCACATTACTGGAAATCAATGCGCATCTCATACAAGAGGTTACCATATTACAAGCACAAGGCAAGGCGGGTAGTCAGCCATCGCCATCATCGCCTACGACCGAGAACATGAACACCGGCGCGAATAGCCCTTCAGATGCCTCCAAGAAGCAAGCAGCGACCCAAGAATACGCTGACTGTATGAGAAGGTTGCAAGCAAATTTAGCGTATCTAGCAGCGATCGCAGACGCAACTAAAAAGGCAACAGGATCCCGACCAGTTGGTCCCGCGATTATGGTACCACCTACACATCTCACTTCAGTGCACCCTCTCTACCAAAAGCTAAAGGCCCTGTTCCCAGAAGCGAATCACACACCGGTTAACAAGGCCATAGCTGTGGCGACAGCGCAAGCGCAGGCGGCAAAAGCAGCAGCGGCACAATCGGCATGATTCCAAGTGACCCTCGAGCAAAGATTTGGTAATCGACGGTGTTTTCGAAGGGAGCCATGCTCAAGACCGAGGTCGTAAGATCGAGGACAACTCTCAAACTAGGATGAGTTGGAAGCCGCGCGATCAGAGCCAGGATCGGTCCCAAGTAGCAGGCACATGTCTGTATGGTTGAGCTTCAAGTAGTGGTTCAAAATCAAGATTGCCGGTTGCATCCAGCATCTACATGTCACCTCCGGCATAGAGTCGCACAAAGAGACGCAGTCATTGAGCACAGGAGGATTGATTGTACGAAATGTGTTTGATGAAGCTTATGTGTTGGATCTATGAGAAAGAACTGCAGATATAGACAGGGAGGGAAGGAATTGAAAATGTACAGAATGTTTGAGAGAAGATTTGCATAAGCAGCGCTTATTGCCTGAGAGCTAGCTCCATCGGTGGTGCCTGCAGATCTACACCATACCAGAAGCGACCATATGCGAGATCGAACCAACGAAAGAAGGAAGTTACAACTAAAGGTGTCTGGCAATGCAGTCAACTGCGTCGCTCACTTTGATGCATTTCTAGTCTGTTGCGCCTTCTATATATGCCATCCTTGTTCTTGCCTTTGAAAGCAGGCAAGCCGTTTCTCACTAGACTTTGTAATTCACTTTTATCTTCACATTCTTTTCAAGTCCAACCTGCACGTGTCTCGCCTCGCTCAATCGCAGCCGCAACTGCTGCCACTAGTTCACCAAGGCATTTCACTACTGCCTCAATTCGACCTTTGTGCTCGAGTATATTAAGCTTCAGAAACCCAAACGCCTGCAGTCAACCTGTCCACTTCCTTTCTCGTCCTCCACTCTCCAAGTCGTCCTTGCGAGTGTCGACTCGACCTTCCACTACTGGCCTTGATCGCACACGAAAGATGTCAAGCAATGGCGTCGAAGCAAGTAATGGAGCAAAGCGAAGGACAAGCCCAAGTGCTGTTCATGAGAGACCAAAGAAACAACCCAAACTGGATGTGGTCAACGGCGCGGCAACTCCAGGCGATGCCACTCCTCAGAATGGCTCAGTCTACGATATAGGTCAATCTGTCCAGCTGCAGAATGTACCTGTAATTACGGGACTGCCTACTGCTGGAGACTCGCCAGAGTGGCAGGCCACTATCGAAAGAGTTATCAAGAGTGTGGTGTCAATACATTTCTGTCAGACTTGCTCTTTCGACTCAGACTTGTCGTTCGCCTCGCAGGCTACAGGTTTCGTGGTAGACGCGGAAAGAGGCTATATCTTGACAAACAGGCACGTTGCTTGTGCTGGCCCCTTCTGGGGTTATTGCATTTTTGACAACCACGAAGAGTGCGATGTACGTCCTGTCTACCGCGACCCAGTCCACGACTTCGGCATCCTTAAGTTCGATCCGCAAACCATACGCCACATGAAGGTGAGCGAGCTCAAGTTACAACCAGATTCGGCAAAAGTTGGGGTTGAGGTCAGAGTGGTGGGCAATGATGCGGGTGAGAAATTGAGTATCTTGTCAGGTGTCATTTCTCGTCTGGACAGAAACGCTCCTGACTACGGTGAGGGCTATAGTGACTTCAACACAAATTATATCCAGGCCGCTGCGGCTGCGACGGGAGGTTCATCAGGTTCTCCTGTTGTCAACCTGGCTGGAAATGCTATTGCCCTGCAGGCTGGAGGTCGAACGGACGGAGCCGCCACTGACTTCTTTCTACCACTGGATCGCCCTCTGAGAGCTTTGCAATGTCTGCAGCAGAAAGATTTGATATCTCGTGGTACCGTTCAGACTCAATGGGTCTTCAAAACCTACGACGACTGCAGACGGTTAGGCCTGACCGACAACTGGGAAACTGCAATGCGCAAAGCCTATCCTAAAGACAATAACATGCTAGTCGCCGAGATGGTTTTGCCTGAGGGTCCTGCGTACGAAAAGATCCAAGAAGGCGACATTCTGATCAAAGCCAATGGCGAGCTATTGACCTCTTTTATCGAACTTGACGCCATATTAGATTCGAGTGTCGGTGGTAAAATTAATCTTTTGGTACAACGTGAGGGCGAGGACCACGACGTCGAAATCAATGTCGGTGATCTACATACCATCACACCTGATCGAATGGTCACTGTCGCAGGAGGTAGCTTCCACAACCTATCGTATCAACAAGCTCGACTTCACGGAATTGCTTGCAAGGGCGTTTTCGTCTGTGAGGCAGCCGGTTCCTTTAAGATGGAGAACGCGCTGGCAGGCTGGCTCATCGACATGATCGACAACAAGCCAACACCTGATCTAGACACCTTCATTCAAGTCGTGCAAGCTATCCCAGACAAAGCTCGCGTTGTCGTATCCTATCGCCACATCAGAGATTTACACACCAAAACCACAAGTATTATCTACGTCGACCGCCACTGGCACAAGCAGATGCGCCTCCTCGTCCGGAATGACGAAACTGGATTGTGGGATTTCAAGACTCTTGGAAAGCCGTTACCCGCTGAATCACCTGTGAGAAGATCAGCAGATTTCATCGAGCTCGACGGCGTTACTGAAGCAGCTGCTGCGGAAATCGTTCGTTCTTTCGTGAAGATAACCTGTTATATGCCTGTCAAGATCGATGGCTATCCCCAAGCTGTAAGTTCTTTGTGCTGGCGCGCTATGCTGATACAAACTTGCTAACTTCTGCAGAGACGAACAGGCTTTGGGGTGGTAATCGATGCAGAAAAGGGCCTTGTGTTAGTCTCCAGAGCTATCGTCCCCTACGATCTATGTGACATCACCATCACAATCGCAGATTCAGTACAAATTGAAGGCAAGGTATCCTTCATGCATCCTCTCACTAATTACACAATCGTTCAATACGACCCGTCTCTGGTAGACGCTCCAGTACAGAGCGCCAAATTATCCGAGAAACCAGTCAAACAAGGCCAAGACACGATTTTCGTCGGCTTTAATCAAAACCACAGAGTGGTTGTTGCAAAGACGGTCGTGACGGATATTACAGCTGTTGGTATCCCAGCCAATGCTGCAGCCCCAAGATACCGAGCAGTCAATCTGGATGCCATCACAGTTGACACCGGCCTTTCTACGCAGTGCTCCTCTGGCGTCTTGATAGGATCTGACGGCATTGTACAAGCTTTCTGGCTCACCTACATGGGAGAGCGTAGTCAGAACAGTAGTCGCGACACCGAATATCACCTTGGTCTGAGCACGAGTATGATTCTACCTATTCTGCAACAGATTCGAAGTGGACATATACCCAACCTGAGAATCCTGAACATGGAGTCATATGTCATACAAATGGCTCAATGCCGTATTATGGGAGTATCTAATGAGTGGATAAAGAAAGTGACACAGGCGAATCCTAGCCGTCACCAGCTTTTCACAGTCCGAAAGGTAGATTGTGCTCCATATGTCGGCCAGCCTGATGGACAACAGCTTCAAGAAGCAGATATCATACTCACTCTCAACGATAAACTCATTACTAAAGTGTCCGATTTCGACGTAATGTACGACAAACCATACCTCGACGCTCTCGTCGTTCGGAAAGGCGAAGAAGTTCGTCTGAGAGTGCCAACCATTCCCACTAGCGACCTCGAAACATCTCGTGTTGTCATCTTCTGTGGTGCAGTCCTACAGCGTCCTCATCATGCGGTTCGTCAACAGATATCCAAACTCCACTCCGACATCTACGTCTCAGCCAGGAGCAGAGGCTCTCCTGCTTACCAATATGGTCTCGCACCTACGAATTTCATCACCCACGTCAATGGCGTCCGAACACTTGACCTCGACGCTTTTGTTCGGGAAGTGAGCAAAGTGCCCGACAACACGTATTTCAGACTACGCTGTGTCACATTCGACAACGTCCCTTGGGTCGTAACGATGAAGAAGAATGACCACTACTTCCCGATGAGCGAATACGTCAGAAGAGCTAGTGGCTGGAAAGTCGTTTCGCACAGAAAACGGGACGATGGTGCGCCAGTGACCGCTGAGGGCATGGACGAGGGTGGTGCAGATGGTAGCGGAGACGATGAAGCGCCAGACGAGGATGACTAGTTGCTACCTACTTGCTGGATGACTGTGGTTGGCTTCGAGTATTGTGCTTGAAGTGCATGCTAGCATCAGCGTGCACGAAACTTTGGAAAGGAACACACAACCAGCAGCTGCAATCTGATACGGAACACACAGCCGGCAGCTGCAGTATGGAAAGCGAGCGACTTGCAGGACACTTTGATGCTGAACATTTACGCATATGATACCCGGGCTATGGGCTAGACATGGCGGTGCAACTTGGCAATATATTGGGATTTGGTTGAGAGCGATACATTAGCAGGGCAACCTTGATTTGCAGACAGTCAGCACTCGCTGAGCTAGAGCTAGAGACAAGAAGCTAAGTAATGTCTATTTCCGAGTCCTCGCTTAAACAACTACTTCGGCTCCTGACTGCAAGCACACGAACATTTTCCTTTTGTTGCGGCGATTTCCTCTTTCTTTTCCTGCTGGTGTACTCACTGCCATTAGCCTGACTTTCCGGCGTTGGGTATTTCCCAGCTCTACTGTCAGAATGATCACTTTCAAATAATGTTTGCTTCTGTGCGTCCACAGACTCAACGAGACGATACTCTTCCTTCACCACTTCTTCGCCTGCCCATACATCCAGCAATTTGTCGCAGGTGCTTCTCAATGAGTCTACCTTCAGCAGGATAGCGACTTCTTTTAATTCTCTTGTTCTGCTGATGTTATGATACCGCAGTTGTAGTGCCTCTGTCAAATCAACTAGTCGTTTAGCTTCGAGACATTTGAGACACCATATGAAGACGTCTCGAAGCTTATCTGCGTCAATGTGGTGCCGGAGAACGAGGGTTGGCTTTGGCTGGGAGGATTCGATGGATCGAGGGATGGGGTTGAAGGAGATGAGTTTTGGAGGAGCGCGGGCACGTCGTGTGGGGGGCAGGAACGGTTGAGGACTTTGTCGTTCGGATCCTGATTGTATATGAGCTTCTGGCGCTGATTGTGGCTCGGATTGTGAATTCTTTCGGTGTTGTTTGTGGGACTGGGCTCGAAATTTTCTGTATGCTCCTCGGCCGCCTCGACTTCCTGGTCCTCCTCTTCCTCGTTTACGAACAGATGCTACGGCTGGTTGAGATGGAGTTGTTCTTGGTCGTTCTGCGTTCGTTGTTGATATTAAGGGGACTGAAGATGTGGAAGCCACAGCCGATGGTGCTAATTGAGGTGAAGCAGACTCGTCTTTGGCAGGTGTGCGAGTGTGCCCTACGTCTTTCCGAATACGAGAGAAACTACCTGGCGACGTGGGAAGAGATCCTTTATTTCTTTGAATAGACGCAGGTGGAATGTTCTCTTTCAAGGGTCCTGCCAGCGGATCTGGCGAAGCTGACTCTCGAAGTAGATGAGAGTGATCGCGAACAGCTTTGTCGGTAGTCTCCGGCTCTATGCTGATATCAGGCGACAGCCGAGTTGTGGGTACTCTTTCGTTTGCTGGTACTTGTACAGCAGGAGTGCGTTTGCGGTAGGGGCCTCTCTTGGAACATGGTCTCACCAGGTGTCCTGCAAGTATGTCTTCAACTTGGCCCGGTTCCAGGAAAGGGACAATCTTGTCTGCCAACAATATTGGATAATTCTCAATCACGAGTTCCTCGCGATCAAGGTCGTAGCGCACAGGATGGGAGTCTTCGGGGTGTACATGAGCAATTTGTATGTGTAGGAGGCCAAGTATGCTTTGTAGGATGTGGCGTTAGTTAATGCCAGGTACTTGGGATTTTGCAAAGTCGCTGCTTACCTATTTCTATCTTTGACCTGAGCGCGTTCAATCTGTTTGATTGAAGGCATCGTTGTAAGCAGGGTCGCTCGATCAACGTACTCAACAGCAAAGTGCCTTTGTCATGTGTACAGACGCCAGTGGCATCGTGGTTGCTGTTGTGCTGGAGCCACGCGAAGCGTTCGTGAAATCCGATCTTAGTGAAGGTGCAGGTGACAAACACCAGATTGACCAATTTGCACTATGCTCGTTCCATGACATCGACCACTCTTTCTGGGTAAACACCCTGTAGTCCTTCGCACCTTCCAACAGAGAAAATGAATAGCCTACACGGCTGTTACTTCAGTCAATGCCTCTTCCCAACTACGAGCACCGTTCCTCAATTCGTTGCACTCTGAGCCTTCACTCAAAAACTGATTGGCCTTTTAATTGCATCCCGAGACTTCATTCCACACCAATTCTTTCTTTTTTCCTGCATAGGAAGCCTAGGCTTCTGATGTTGTACTTGCCGTGATATCAAGCTTGGACGAGGGTCGAGAAATGTCACTGCCACTTGGAAACCGATCCCTTCATGTTCCGTGCTGGTTCCAAAATCACCAACAAGCACTTTCCGCATGTGTTTGCACAATCTCCAAGCCTCGTCACTACCAAGTGAGCTTCTGAACTTCATCGCCAGGTTTCAGACAGCCTGTCCTAGATATTTTCTTCTTGAATCATGTACACATTCTCATATTCAATCCCTTGGAGGAGTTCAGCCAAACTTCTGCCGCTGCCGTTTGAGTAGCTTTTCGATAGCATACCTCCTCTCACGATGGCGACATCCCCTGCGACTCTCGTCACATTCGACAATGTAAGATTCGAGTCACTTGTGACCGGTCCTACTGATCGACAACTGTACGCTAAACCCTCTTTCTCCCTGCTCCCACTAACTTTTACAGCTATCAACAAGGTCCATACATCAAAATCTTGCACCGCGTCAGTTACAGGAATGCAGAGACCATCGCCTGCTATCACTATCCCGAGCGCCTCATCACCGAGCTTTGGCCAGAGTGCCGGATTGGCGACGAAGATTTAGGTCGAGCGGTATTGTTCGAGTTCAACGCTGGTGTGCAGGGTTTTCAGGATGTCCTGCAGTGGACTTTGGTGTGCGTCATCAATGGACGATTTGATGATCTTGCAAGCTATACCTCTTCCCGACGAAGGACTCTGCGACGCATGAGAACCGTGGCTGATATCTTCGAAATGGAGAAGCTAATTGAGAACTTAGAGTCAGCACAACCTGCCAATACCGAAGACACTCCATAAGATTTGTTGGAGGACTAAGTGAGCTTTAAGGAGATAGAAGATCGTGTGATAGGCTGTTGAAAACCTAGAAGGAACATGTCCTATCGAGTTAGCGGGACGAACCAGAGAATGCAGGAGGAAATGCATATACAATTGAGGACTGCTCATACATTGTGCGTGTGGTCGTGTTGATAGATCTTGGGTTGCACGTCGGACGTTATTACCATTCTGCAGATGGTGGCGTCAGTGCATGTGTATAGTTTCATCTTGCTTTGCGTTTGGAAGTTTTCCTTCTTCGTTGCTGAGAATCAGAATGCTGGCGGAGCAGCCATATGTGTCAATAACCTGAAGAAGCTATGGTATCTCTCAAGCCAAAACCCATTCAAAACAAAATACCTGATGACATCCTCAGTCAATCGCAGCCATAGACAGGCAGATATCTGGGTGCATTGATTCGAGCCTATTCACGGCGTATCAACTGCTTGTTGTGCTTTGCTTGCTGAAGTAAGTCCCTTTTCACACCGAAACTCCTCCATCGAACTATGGGTATCCGTTCGGCCCACAGTCTTTGCTTCCCAGACTTTGATTGTTGCTGTCTGAAGTGTCCTGTGAAAGTCTTTGAAAATGGCTGTCCAGAGATCTGTGCGGTGTTTGTTGGTCTCTCGAGCACCGCGTCTCTCACACATTGATCAGCACCAATTTCAAAACAGGTAATTGTGTTGACAGAGTTAGAACAACTAGTTGTGTTTGTTGAGAGGAAGATGAAGTGTCAACTGCTTGTCGGGGAATTGTTTGTGCATAAAAGGCTCGATTTTTTTCTTTCTCGATCTCCTCATGTACTCTTTCCACCCATAGATTCATACCTCACTAGACCGAAGATTTCCATCTACACCACACAAAGATCGATCGTACCACATCATAAGTATTAGTCGATCATTTCTTTTGGTATAATTTGACTGACAAGAAGGATCAGACACTTTCACAACCACCAGTATATGATATCATATCAAGAATATTAGGCCAAGGTTCAACATGCGATTCGACAACGCCAAGTTCGAGCAGATCGTCAGAATGGATCCTCTCGAACGACAACAGAGAGAAATCTTTAGCTGAATGTCTTTGGTACCTTACTGACCATTACAGGTACAAGTCTGTACCGTTCGTCAAGGTTCTATATCCTGCCACAAGCGACTCTACCAGAACTGTACTCGTCGAGAAGTTCTCCGAACGACCTTTGAAAGAACTCTGGCCAGGCGTCAAGACCGAAGACCTCGACATCTATGGACGGGCAGTTGTGTGGGAGGAAGCTGTTGACCAAGAGGACCTCGCCGAGATACTGAAGTGGATTCAACGCTGCATTGATCGAGGCTATTCTGACGACCTGTCTTTATTCAAGTGGAGACCAAACAAAATCGCAAGTATTCTGGGGAATGTTGGTGAGCAGATGGGGATTGAGAAAGTGGTTGAGGTTGTACTCGCCTGCCTTGACCGACTCGCTCGAGGCGAGCAACTGGACGCCAGCATGAGCGTCAAGGAATAGAGTTTGGTCGTCGGTACCATGGCCTTTCAAAGGTCTAGCACTGTTTGGTAGGTGCTGGGGAACAGAGTTTCGTCGAAAGCAAAGGCCTTCTTACTGCCGTATGATGCCTTCGCCAAGATAAGGGGGAATCGATAGAGGCAGGAGGCTGATTGTCGAACATGAAATCTAAAGAAACCTTGTCCTGTTGTAGTGTCTGTCCATTGACTCTTCGCTTGAGCTGTGCAATCCAGAATGGATGTCTGATATCTCGACTCCCGTGCAGCATATTGGACATCCAGAGAAAGAGAGGTGTAAACTTCCAGATGCTTCGACAATTTTCCGTGTCTGCTCTTCTGCTCATCGTGGCTCCATAAACAGGTCCTACGTGGTGAAAGAATTGGTAAATGCGACCTCTCTTGCTCCTTTAATCTCCTGCCCCAATTGAGAGCGTGACAGTTCGAGAAAGATTCTCCTCTTTCCTTTGTACTGGTGGCTCCTCCTATGTAGTAGCATGGCTTCCGCAACCGTGATGGCAATTGCGAGTGTCAGAGGACACACTCCTCCTGCACTGAACGATTGTGTTCATTGACTGGTTGTGTTCGTAGCAAGAATTGTGTTTGGTGAGAAGTGTTAACCAGTATCCAGCAAGCTTCTTCGCACATAAAAGCTGGACCATTTTCCTCCATCAATCTCTCTTGCCCGGTCACCCTTATAGACCGGTATACACAGAGATCGAAAAGTTAGCATCCTCGTCGCATCTCAATTGATCGATAGGAACCGACAAGAATACAGTTAGCATATATACTCACATACCTCAAAGATGTCAGGCTTCAACCAAAACAAATTGGACGAAGTAGTCGCACTCTCTGACACCGAGCGCAAACAGTAAGTCAACTCAATCTCGAAGTCTCAACCTTGCTAAAGTCAATAGATACCTCTCAGGTCCCTACATCAAGATAATCCACAAGTCACCTGATACCGACACAACTCGGACAGTTGTGTATGAGCAATTCCCTGAGGCACATGCGAAGATGCTCTGGCCCGGCATCACCGTTGCGGATCATGAACCATACGGCAAGTCTATCGTTCTCAACCTCGATGTCACTGGAGAGGGTGTTAGCGAAGCACTTGATTGGCTTTTGCGGTCTATCGCCAATGGCAGCAACGACGACATGGCGTGGAAAAAATTCAATGTCGACCATATCTTCACTGTAATTCACGAGGCAGCCATCGCAATGAGTATTGAGAACTTGGTGAGCATTGCGGAGACAGGACTCGGTAGAGTCGCGACTGGCGAACAGAAGGACGCCAGCGAGACAGTTGATCAATGAGGAGAGATGTGTGACTGCTCCTCCAGCTTCATCTTGTCACGTCAACGTCGAAGACTTGTAATTTGAAGCACAGAGTGAGGTAGAACAGACATGAACGAGACGAATGTTGAAGGAAGAACAGAGACAGAGGAAGCTCAAGATGTGAGGCAGAGGAGAAACCCAACCACGTGAAGTCACGTTTGCGTCAGAGTTGAAGTTCTCCACATGAACTCGTGTTCTTGGAGCACCCGTCTCGAGACAAACCAATTCAATTGTGTACCTGAGCTTCTTGGATCTTTTACACTTGAGCACTTCCCATATTACGTGCATTGTACTTAGACTGATGGTTTGGCTGCCAAAGGTATTGAATCAGCAGATTTTACCTATGCAAAGCTGGTTATATCTTGGTAAACGACTGTTCTACGGCCATGTTGGTAGGTACACTATCGACCATAAATGAATACTGGTGCACCAAATTTTGAGCTTCGTGGAAGTTCAGCATGAGATCCTAAGAACGCTTTTGAGATTGTGTGCCAAAAAATGCTATCCGCAGGAGCATGGATTTGGATAGGTTGTGGTCAGTAGCCACATGGCCGTGTTGCTGAACGACGGTACAGCCAACAAAACCATTCCTGCCTGATTATCTCAATTGAGACTATAGACTCTTGATGTATAGAGGTTGTCGGGCCTGCAAACATCCAGTGCGTGCTCTGGATCTATCTAGATCATGCTGTTGTTTCGCGACGGTGCTGCAGGCCGCAGCTGAGGTGGTCAGTGCAATCATACCCCGTCGTTAACGATGACTGGTGCACGCAAGGTAGGGTTAGAAAGATATTCTCTTGCAATAGGGCTGTGTGAAGAGAACCCCCACGTACTTCGGCGCGTCCCTCTGAGCACTACCTTTTAACACAGAAGTTGAATGCATGCTAAAGCTGCAAGAGTGTGCACCTTTGTCAAAAGGCTGGCATCTACCAACATACCTAAGTGAACCTCGCTCAAACCTTGATACACATGTTTTGGACAGATGTAGGCTACTTGTGCTGGAAGAACTATTGGCGTACCTGCAAGGCATGTTTGGCTTCAGTCAAAAAGTAGTGCTTCGAGACGTGGAAGAGCAACAAGACAAGGCTAACCTCAGCATTCGTCGTATATGGGTCATGACAGCTCGTCCCTGCTGTCGATGTCCTGTCGATTTTGGCAGAACGTCACGTACATCAGGATGCTGACCTACCTGCCGTTGAGCTCTGGCTGCTCATCTAGGTAACGAAAGCTCGTCAGATTGGCGGTCTGCTCTGGAAATTTGCACGTATGCTGCTCTCTCAGTCACCCGTATCGACTTCAAGGTCTAGCTGCACGTTGTTACTGATACCATAATCTTGCAGTGTCAAGAAGTCCTTGAATGGTCGCTCGCTTTGCCTCTTCAGCAGAATCTCATGAGGCCGCCGACCGATCATCATAGCAACCACAGACTTGAAGTCCTTGACTGTATCACTGGGTAAACAAGGGATTTGCTTTTTTGTGCCGAGTCGGTCATTCACCGTGACCAAGATCATCTCTTGTTGTGGCATAGATGGTGCTGGCGCCGCTTTCTTCTTTTCTGGCTTCTCTCTCTTTTCTTGTCTGTCCCCGTCTCTAGCTCGTCCACGATCTCTGTCATCCGGTTTGTATCGGTCATCACGTCTATCGTCTCGATCTCTGTCTCGTCGTCTTGATTCATAATCTCTGTCTCTTTCCCTATCACGGTCACGGTTGCGATCCACCCCTGTTCGACTCTCGTAGTCATCGTAGTTACGGCGCCTGGGAGAGCGAGATCTTGACCGCTCTCTTTCTCTTGGCTTGTAGTGGTCTCTATAACCTCGCTTTAGACCTTGATCACGTTCGGCTTCATCATCGTCTCGTCTCTTCTCCTTCCACTTAAAGCCTGCATCCTTGCGCTTTGGCTTCAGCTTCTTCTGTGAACGCTCATTGATTGGTGACGCAGATCTGCTGCGATCTCTGTTTCGCGATTGCACTTGCTTGTCAGCATTGTCCACATTATCTGAGGTAGCAGGTAGTCTAGACTCTTCATCAGACATGGTTTACTAGCGATCACTTGCAGCGATCAGGCAGCTGAGATTTGTGATCACTGGCACAGGTATTTGATTGCAAAACACGAGTCGTGGTAATGGAGCATAGGCGTGAAAATGAGTATACTTTATGCCTGATTTTGGCCCAAGGTGGTCGGCCGATTCTGCTGTGCTTCGAAGGTCTGTTGAGTGCTAAGAATAACTATTAAGGTTCAGAGAAGGACTTCGACGCAAGACTTTCAGCGGTGTTAAGCGTCTCTGATGCCGGGGACTACGAGGCTCAACCGGCCAGTTTATCTAGTTGCAACATCTGCTGGTTCTGAACCTATCACATACTGTAGTTATGTTTCGAAATGAAAGAGCTAATACTGGGGTACTCGCAATAAACACGGTTGAGCGTCTTAAGTGTTGATTGACACCTCAGCCTACATCGTGCTGAGAGGGTTGGATAAAATTGGAAACACCAGAAGCTATTTAGGCATGTCTGAGCAAATATCGCAGTATCTGCGCGTTTCATCTCCATCAAGTACAGCAGTTCAATTCACGATATCAAGCAGAGCTCGTGGGCCCAGCAGAGCAGTGACTGTCTTTCGCCATACATTCCGGCTGGTGATAGCATTGTATACTGTGCTAGCCACGATAGCTAAGTTACAATTGACCTTCTCGTCCGGGATAAATCAAAGTATTGATGCTGTGATACAAGTGACCTTGTTGAGGGCCTTTTTGCAACCGATCATTCAGAATGTACCGTGGTGGCTACTCTTGATCGCAAGCTTGACTACTCTCTATTTGTGCATGCGGCGTAGTTACACAGGTCAGTAGACTCGCCTACTTGACTACTCAACCGATCTGATCAATGAACAGAGGAAAGCCTTCTGGTCTTGCAGGGGATGGGTGTACAGACATCGACCAACTCCTCGTACTACTTTGTGACTCCAACAACGACATTTATACCTACCACTCAAATTCAGGACATCGTAATACATGAAGCTTTCAAAGGCTTCGAAGTTCGGTTCTTCCTTGCTATCATTGTTGAAGGTGCTTCAGAAGTGGTAGTTGTTTTCCCGGTTCGATTGTCGTTGAATAACTTGTATATTGTGCTGACTACCAAGCAGACTCTATTACCTCGACGAGCCGATCTAGAAGTTGTGTGGCGTGGCTCACGGAAGTGTCTGTACGCAAATATCAAATAGCCGTTCAACGTCAATCACCAGCGTCTTGACCTTCGGCTTCAGACCTCTTCGCAAGGCGTCGAACGCCTTTGACAGATGCCATGTACTTAGTGTTGAGTACCTCGAGCGAGTCCATTGCTCTTCTCTCCATGAATGGCTGATATTGGCCAGCAAGTCGCGCTTTACTTGCACCTTCGTAGACTTTCTGACTTCGTCCTTTGACAGAATGTGGGTCACGAAAGCCACCTCGTTGCAACGAACTATTATCGCCTTGGGCCATTGCAAGAGACAAGAGTCCGCCAATTTGGGCCTCCTTCAGCTTTGCCTCGTGCCATTGCGACCACAATTCATCTACAACACCTCCCAGGCCAAATTTACCATCGCCTTTCGCAGTCAATCCAGGTATACTGGCCTGGTCGCCAGCATATATCCAGTCTAGACCAGCGTTATCGCCCTCTTGTTCGGATGGGAAGACACAGTCCCAGAGCACAAGCGGGGCATCGTCAGCCATTGCATAATGAGGGCGTCCAGGGTTTTGGGTGATGTCGAGCAATTTGTCGACGATGTCGGGATTTTCGAGACCTTGGCCGACCAGGAACAGCACTGCAGCGATGCAACGTACTTGATGCCAGAGAAAGGCTGATCCGTGCACAACAATGGCGTACACCTTCGGACCGGCGACCTCATCAAGATGGTTTGCTGATGCCAGCTTAGGCACGACTTCGCCATGCGCGTTCAATGCAGGATGGGTTGACATCGCTGTTGGTACGCCATCAAACTCTTCAACGTCGGCAAAGTTGATCCGCCGCTGACAACTGGGCATCTGTTTGCTCGCATCGATTTGGCATAGATTGCGATAATCGTGAGTGCCTTCGAGTTTCTTGGCTGCTTCTCTCATCCGGTCGATATCCAGCCAACCTTCTCTTACTGGTGCAGCTTGCCCACTAGCATGCGTCAGACCTATTCTGCCTGGAGTAGGACAAAAGGCTGGATTTGTGAAGAAGTACTTGTAACGACGTTCTAAGCATGAATACCTGGCATCAAAACCTTCGGGCGGATGAGGGCACCATGCTAGTATTCTGATATCATGTGGTAATATCATGTTGAGCATGTATACGTAGGGTAGCTCGTCCTCTATAGGATTAAAGGCTCGTTCTTCACCATCAAGCTCAACTTCATCTACCTCATCGTCTTCCATGTTTTCTTCCATGTGCCCGTCATTCTCGAGCTCAGCCTCGACCTTCTGCTTCTCAACAGGTGCATTGCTTCTAACGCGAATTCCAATGACCTGACCAAAAGCGCTGACGCCCCTATCAGTTCTGCCACACTTACTGTATTGACAGCCTTCCCAATTGACATCCAGGTGTTGCTTGTTTTGTGTATCGCCATGCCGCGATCTGCCGTATATGTGGTATTTTCGCTCTCTTTCTCTCGTGTCATGAATCACTTCGAAGCTCGCATCTGCGCCTTCTGGAACGGGTGGACTGATTAACCTGGCTTTTCGCAAGGCTTTCCATAGGACTTCTTCGATGGTAGGTAATGGGGTAAAACAGCGATTTGCGTGCTCGAAGCCGTTATATCGATGACCGAGGTAGGAGAATTTCAAGGCTATAAAACGTGTTGAATGACGACTTGCGTCAAAGTCTTTCATCGGCTTCTTGGGTACAGATGACGGTGTCCTGCCATTGGCCCTTTTGGTCAGCTCAGTAATCTTTGCCGTCTGTGCAGCGAGCTGCTGCTCCAGCTTGCTGCAACGCTCTATCAGCTCCGCCTGCGACAATGAGGACAGGTAAGTATTCATGGTTTTGTGTGGTGGCACGTTTGTTTTCTGCCTCGAAACAGGCTTGGTGCCAGTAGAATATGTGCCATACAAGTTTGACTTGTCGTACGACAGCCCTGGAGACACTGTGCGCACCCAGGCAGAGGAGCTGTTGATGTTATGAAGCGGGCGCAGAGGCTTTGATGAATGCCAGACTATGTGGCGCGCAAAGAGCATCAACGTGTTGATCTTGGGTGCCACATGCAAGATGTGTGCTTGCCTATACAACACGAGGTTCGTGGTGAGTTTGACGTCAAGGTCGGTCAAGAATGCAGCTGTGGACGTCGCAGTTGACTACTCGCGTTCTACACAACCTAATCTGTGGTTGGATCCTCAGCAAGAGTGATATGCATGCCTGAATTCCTCAGGCACACACATACATGGGAAGCAATATGGAAGAAGAAAAAAGGTTCGATCCAAATAGTACTGCAAGATGCAAACCAGCAGCTTAAGCTCCCTGGTAGCTCGACATGCGATCCAGTATTTCTTATTGCAAGCAGGCATGAAGTCGTCTTTAGAGATCTTAGGCATACGCAATCATGACTTACTCACCGTTCAATCAGATACCAACTTAGCATGTAAATTTTGTGTCGGTACCACAGTACTCAAGCAAGGTCGTGTCGACATGTGTCGGAAGCACAATCAGCGTGGCTACAACAACAACATCAAAAAGACGACGCAGCACTCGTGTCGTTGATGGACTCTCTGAGCCGATAGATATTGCTTGTTGTGGTTGTATTGCGTCCAAGAGTACAGCGTCACCGCGTTCGAGTCCTTTCTCGGATCGAGTCGCATGCTTGGCGAATATACAAGTCCCGAGGACGTGTGCAGATTCTGTATGTCAACCTTGTTAGGCACTGGTTAATCCAGTCGAATACAATCGCAGAACCACGGTTTGGCCATCAGTTATGCCATGTCTGGTGGTTGTAGGACTTGTGAGCTGCCAGTCGGAGCGTCCGCTCTTTCAAGTCTTCGCAAGGCTGTTGAATCTTCTCCTTGAGGCTTTGCGTTATGTGGATCGTAGTCAGACCATGCAGATTAGTTTGTGCGCTCATACAAGGACTTCATTGAAGTGCCTCATAATCTCGTGCGTGCTCAGGCCGAAGAATATTCGTTGCACAAAGGATCTCAAAGTGTAGCAGGAATAATAATTCCAGAGGGAAGAATCGGAAGTCTAATCCTTAGCCGCAGTATATGTAACGGCATCGAGACAGCGGTGGAGTCTGTCCATCGCGGCAGATCGACAAAGCGCGGGGTGGACCTGACGATCTTATACTAAACAAGCAACGAGGAATTGGAAAGAAGTTGAGATTTTCGCTTTTGAGAGCGTCTGCTCAATATCCAGAGATCAGAATGGCTCGTGCGAACATTATGTCGCAAAGGTGAGGCAGCTGCTCTCCGAAACTTTTGAGGCTCGAATTCGTGGCTTTTTCATCGTAAGTATTCCGAGCTAACCGAGACCCTAAAGATGCTCTTGCAAAGACCTGTAAATACTCTTGTTTGCTAATTTTATGCAAGTCATCTCGAGAGAGTTCTAAAGACTCTTTTTGCGAAAGCCACACAGCTCTGGAGATGCCCGGGTGTCCACATTAGCTGGCCTAGGTCAGCGCCGCCATACTCGCATAGGCAGTCTGCCAAGGGACCTTACGAGTCTAGACGCATCTGCCTTTCAACAGTATGCCTAACGGATTTGTTGCTCCTGCCATACCCTGCTGAGGTTGCAGCATCTTCCGTTGGTAGCGGCCACAAGCTTTCTGAGCGAATTTAGCAACTCTCATTGCGCGCCACACATGTTCGACAGCTTCTAAACTCGGCCCATGCGGATGCGTTGCATTGTCTTCTTCTTGCTTGCTCTCCATAGCTCCCGATCTACCACTGGCACCTGAGGCTGATTCTGATTTGATTGACAAAGCTTCTTCTTTCTGGTGAGCAATTGGTGGTTGTTGACCCCCGTATACTCAATCGCTTGGCTTGTGTGTTTCACGAAGACTTCTCATGGATGGTCGTGTTTAGAGGTTCACATTCACTACACGAAAAATGAGGCCCTGGTCCGCCGCAGATTCTGCAGGTCGTTCACATCAAGAAGATGCTGTTGCGGAGAGAGAACCTTCTTTCAGACAACACACTGATGCCCCATCCAGAGCCGTTTCTCGTGATGTTCGTACGATAAGCCGCTTGCCTGACCGAAGCAACTCCTCTGCCGTGCAGCAAATGGGCATGCAGCTTGAACACACAATCCTGCAGAATATCGAGCAACGTTTGCTGGACAAGCACCCGATATCGAGATCGCGAAGCTTTCCACTCCCATTGCTGGCTCCAACTATATCGAATCGTCGAGGCTTCGACCTTAGCCTCTCTCGCCTTCACAATCTGCCAAGTCCTGTATCGACCGAGTTCTGCGACACGGTTGGCACTTCGCATGACTCACAATTGATCAGGACATCTACGGAGCCCGTGTCTTCGCAACATCTTGTTCGCTCCAATTCGCAAACACCGCTTACACCCCCACACGAGATCGAAGTCCTATCATGGGCTCCGGATACTACCACAGTCCACCCAGGGCCCAGCGATTCCGATACTGCTAGCTCGTCTCAGCCAGGAAGAGGTACAATACATCCCGGTGGATCGCGATCAGTACCCATTAGAGACGATGCAAGCACTACTCGAGCAGGCTATGTTTCCTCCCTCAATTTTGCTTCGGACGTGTGGTTTCGCCGGGCTTTAGGTGCAGCCTGTAAGTACAACCCTTGCGATTTCCATGTCTGAAGCTGATCTTCTACCTAGGCGCAGCGCCTGACTTGACCTTCAGAATTACATCGACCAAAGTCATCTCCCAAGTACTACCTCCCAATGCATCCGATCAGCGCAGTGTCAAGACCTACGAAATGGTTTGTGACCACTTACAAAACATCCTGCCAGAACCACGATACATCAGCATCACACATGCCTTGACTGTTTCACCAGGTCAAGTTGTAGAAGATTTCCCGAAAAGTCCTCCAGCTACTCCAAGTTTCAGCGGCGACAGTTATTTCGGCGACCAAACAGTCTTTACGCATGCGGCTCAGGTGCCGGTCCACCACGAGCTGCGCGTACCCGCAAATAACGGTGCAGCGCCTCCTCAAAGGCACATCATGATAGCAGAAGCAAACCTTGTGGTGCTGGAAAGATTCATACCTCCTACCACTTTGGAGGAAACGCACGATTTCTTCAATGCGAACTCCTGCCGGTCGTATCTGGCAGATCGACTTCCTGAGCTCGCGTCTAACACAGGGTCGTTACTGCTCATCTATCCAACCGGAAAGGGCGCAAAGACTTTCTCAAAACATTACGTCGGCCCTGTCCTTGATCCCCTTCTGAGAGAGATGACGGTTCTCAAAGCCCTCAACACGAATGCGGCTGAGCGGCTCGGCAGGATGAGTGGGACTGACAAGATGTATGAATTCGAACAGATGAAGAGCAAGATACAGGACTTCTGCATTTCCATGAACTCTCGACAAGCCACTCGTCGGTCGGGCACAGAGTTCACGCTGATATACAGCGACAGGCCTGAAATAGTTCTGGATCGCGATACATGGATGACGTGGTTTGTCGAGCAGGAGCAATCACGAATGAAGCAGGACCTCGTCGAGTATCACCGAGACGGAGGCAAGCTGCCTGGTGGTGAAAGAGATAAGAATGAATTGACGGCAGGTATGCTTGCAAGGGAGATAATTGAAGGATTTAGAAAAAGCAAGAATGAAGCTGGCAATGTTGGGGTAGAGATTGGTGTGTTCGTCATCCGCCGGCACCGGATCGCGACCTAATAATTGAGATGGTATGTACAGACGACTTTCAGAATTTAGCATGGCGCTGGCAGGTAATATTTGCGCAGATGGATTGATGGCCTTAATGAAGAAGGATGCGATGAAATTATCTTTTGAGGTGTTACAATCAACTCATCTAAACTTGTATTGGTGCTTCAAACAATTTCTCCGGCGCCAGTCTTGGCAGCTGTGAAGCTTTCAATTCGATATTGTTGAGTCTTTGTCACTAAACTGCGATGCTTCATAGATGCAAATTTATCGTGTGCCTTCTTTATCTGGTGGCTTGGTTGGTAAAAGCTTCCTTCTCGAAAGCCTGCGAGTCATGTAGCCAGCCTCGCCAACGTAGGTAAAGCTGGCTTCTTGTCATAACTTGACCTATTATACAATCTGACTGAGAGCAGTTGTGCAATGTAAGGTCATACCACATTGAACTACTCACAACATTGAGCTTTATCGCGGATCTACGGACTGTGAGCTTGCACATGCCGCAAGAGATAATGATGTCTGAGATTCTAGACTAGCAGCACGCGGCGGTGTTGAATTCCTTGTTCTCACCTGTCGAAAATCCACTATCCGGAATACTTTCAAGCTTAAGAAGCTCCTCCAAGCTCTAGCCCTGCGTTCTTGATCTCTCCACTTTCGTTTGTCGACACTTTCATCTCCCATCCGATGCACCTTTTGCTGCACGAATCCAGATTGCGAACGGAGCCTGCAAACGTGAAGCAAATGATTCGACACGTTCAGTGGCGTTCACTGCAGGTGTGGTCTTCTCGCGATGTGGCTAGTTTGCAGACATGCGTTTGGACTCCAGCCAGTGACTCTAGTCGAGGTTGTCGTCGCCAGTATTGAAAAAAGACGTTGTATCATCGCTGTCCCTATACCCGTTCTCGTAGATCGATACCTTCTTGTGTTTGTATAGCCCTTTCCGTTCAACTTTGGTCGCATACCTGCAGTCTCAATCTGGGCGGCCACTCCTTCCACGGGTTTCCATTACCAAAAGAACCCGTACCCGCATCACTATCGAACAGGCAGTGGCAGGCTTTTGTACTAACTAACGCGTCGCTCGTTGCTGGCAGTCACCACCCTCTGCAGCTTCCCTCTACAATCCGACTTTTCGCTACTTCTTTGGCCAAAATCTGTTTTGCTCGTTTCCAAGCACTAGTCCTACACCACAACTTCGTTCAACACACGATACAGTCCTAGCCAAGAGTACAAGCCGGCACAGTCTTGCTGCTCGAGTGTGCTCGCACAGAACGATGTCTCGTTCAAACTTATTCGTCGTTGCTCTCGCAGCACTGCTTGCACTTGTCCATGCTATACCCACTATCAGCATTACTGGTACCAAGTTCTTCAACAGCGAAGGCAAGCAATTCTACGTCAAAGGTATGCTCACATCTCCTCATCTATGCGACAACCTTGCTGATCGATAGCAGGCATTGCTTACCAACTCATTGAGGATGATCCTCTTATCAACACTGTACAATGTCAGCGAGATGCTGCTCTGATGGCCGAACTTGGTGCAAACTCAATTCGTGTATACCATGTGGATCCCTCAGCTGATCACACTGGCTGCATGAATGCATTTGCACAATATGGTATATATCTTTGGGTCGATTGCGATTCTTTCAAGACTTACGTCAGATTGGTAAGATGAAATCCTGATCAGCAAGAACACTGTTGACCATGTCAGGGTGACGGGCCATCCTGGACCCAGAACAAGTCAGATTTCTATCGAGCAGTGATGGACAACTTTCAGCAATTCGACAATACTGCAGGCTTCTTCGTCGGTAACGAGGTTCTGAACGACGGTCAGTAATTTTGGCGTTATTGAGAGTGGCTACTGACAATGACCTAGTAACTGATTCGAGCTCTGCACCTTACCTGCTCACTGCCGCTGCCGACCTTAGAGCCTATGGCAGATCGAGAAATTACCGACCTATTCCTATCGGCTATTCGGCGACCGATACTGGTGCCCTCCCTATGCTTGCCGATTATCTCGCCTGTCGCCCGAACGTTGACGAACGATTGGATTTCTATGGCCTGAACTCATACCGGTGGTGTGGTGAGAGCACTTTCCAGCAATCTGGTTACGACGTTCTGCTCAATCAGACCGCGGACTACAACCTGCCAATATTCTTCACTGAAGTCGGAGTAAGAGGACTTATTCCTGCGCATGGGCAGTGCTGACCATGACCGTGTAGTGCAATACTGTGCCACCTCGAACATTTAGCGATCAGGCGGTAGTGTTCAACGAAATGGCCGATGTTTGGTCAGGAGCCATCATCTATGAGTGGATTCAGGTCAGTTTGTCCCTTGATAAATCTGCATTGCTAACATTCAGCAGGAGATGAATCAATATGGTCTCATCAACTACGGTCCTCGGCTTGACGCCAGTATCAATGAGGGTAGCAGCATTGTTCAAGGGTTACACAAACTACCTATATTTGCACGATACGGACACTAATGCGAATTTAGTTTCACCCGGTCAGGCATTCCGACTCCAATCAACCCCGACTTCAATAACTTGAAACAGCAATGGGCTACACTGAATCCTACTGGTGTGGATTCGAGGGCATATGCCGCAACAGTGACCACTTCCCCCCCAGCATGTCCAACGTCCACGGCCGGAACTAGTGCATGGACAATCGATCCTAGTGCTCCATTGCCAATAATGGGTGCTGTCGCAGTCTCAGGTATGAATCCCGCTTCCTCAATATCGGTTCCGAGTGGCAGTATCACTGTTTCGGGGATAAGCAGTGGTATTGGCACAGAGAACGGTCCTGGCGAATCACAGACCCCGACTGGAAGTGCCTCAAACTTACCTCAAACAGGTGGCATGTCTTCTGCTTCTGCATCTGCTGCGTCTTCTACTGGATCCGGCCCTTCTGCTGCGACATCATCAGCTGCTGGTACCAGGACCGCCTCGCTACCAGTTCGTATCAACGAGTCGGTCGTTCTCCAAGCATTTATGGCCTTAGCCGGATTGTCACTCGGCGCCATGGTCTTCTTGTAAGATTTTCGTTTGATATTCATCAACTCTGAGATGCGGTTGCACGCAGATGAAGCTCGAAGGATTGCTTGCGGTTTCAGGCTATAATACACTGGTGGAAATGCACATTAATACCTTCTGTCTATAAACCATATGAGATACAGCATGTTCAGCGTTGCGTATAGGTGTTTCGAAAGTATAGACTAATGATAGAATGGTTACAACTCAAGCTGGTCATTGAATCATCTCTTGTTCCTACTCGATCCTTTTGCATTGTGATGCAGCCTGCTATATGTCGTCCACTACCATGTTCGTTTTCTCGTCCACGTTGATTCGGTGTCAGAAGTCCCAGAATTGACTCCGGTGCTGTCACCACTCTGTCGTGTCTGTTACTTACCCCTATCAGGATTTCTAGCCTGAGTTATCAAATGTCTACTTGCACACATACATGAAGAACACGCAGTCGAGCTGAGCGGCTCCACAAGAAAGTAGGAATTGCAAGAAACACGGTGAAAGATATTATACACTACCGAAAAGCTCAACGTCTAATCTAGTCTATTCCTGCTCCTGGCCTTTCTTTTTCCTCTGAATCAGGTTCTTCACCGCACCCACACCCTTCCCAACACTGCCAAACAGCGGTCCCATGCCAAAGGTGAATCCCTTGACTCTAACAGTATAGATGAAGAAGTAAACCAGTGCCCAATTGCTAATCACAAAGACAAGGAAGATGCCAAAGTCGCGCCATTTGTCGCCAGGTTTGATGTTCAACGTCGCGAGGTATTCGGCACCGTTTGCATATTGGCAGTACCCGCAGTTGGCTGTGGCTTCGGGGTTAGTGATATAGCCCGATGCCATGTTAGCCACGAGGGGGCCGGCGTAGCTTCCGCAGGTCTGGCCTGGAGGCGGGTTGAAGATTGTACTTTCGCCCTCTGCGCAGCGGATCTCGATATTGCCTAGAGTGGCAGCGAGGACTCCACCAATCCACCATTGAGACGGGTTGATCCAGTACATCCAGTAGCGCCAGAAGGCGGGGATCTGCTCGTAAGGACGCACAACGCCGTTGAAGAGAGAGACCATGACGAAGAAGAATGGGAGGACATTGCTGATAACTGTGAAGTCGGGTGCGAAGGCGCAGATCCATTGGCCCCAGGATGCTTGGAAGAAGAACCAGAGCATTGACATGAGGAAGACGTAGCCGGCTGTGCTGCTGTCGCGAGGCAGGTTGGCGGGATAGTACCAGATGAGGAAGTAGACAACAGCGCCGATGATGGCCCATGGTATTTCGGGGACGATTTGTGCTGTGCAGAAGGCGAACCAGTTGTAGATTCGCGATGGGTGTTCGCGCGCTTCCCAGAGTGAGCGGTTCATGTAGAATTTCGGCACTACTGCGTTGACGATGGTGGGCGGTATGAAAAGGATCAAGAAAGCTGAGAAGAGACGGGACTGTAATGAGGCGATGTCGTTTGCGAGGTTGTAAAAGGTGAAGCCGTTGACGATACCAATGATGGCGCTCACGAAAATCTTGCCGTATAGGTAGGAAGGATCACGCCATTGTGCAATGAAGTTTCGTTTCGTCAATAGATATGTCTGTGTCCAAACAGGTGCTGCGAATTGACGCTCGACTTTTTTGTCTTGTTGTGATGCATTTTGGGCGACCTCTTTTGAACGAGACTCTTTCAGACGTTGAATTTCAGCCAGCATCTGCTTGTTTTGTTCGGACTGTTTCCACTCTTCGTTCCAGTTGATGCGTTTGCCCGTCTTTGGGTTCTTACGACCCTTTGCAGCTGTTTCCAGAAGGAACTCTGCAACGTTCTTACCAGGTGGGCATTCAACACCACGGGCGGCGAAGTACTTGATAACGTCGGAGCCATTCTCACCAATCGGGCCAAAGTAGAAGGGGTTGCCACCGGGATTTAGTGCCACCACCATATCGAATTCCTGGATCAAGACTGATGAGGGTTGATGGATAGTGCAGATAATAGCCTGGCCAGCATGGGCCAGCTTCTTCAGGAATCGAGTAATGCTGAGAGCAGCCTGGCTGTCAAGACCAGAAGTAGGCTCGTCCAGGAACAGCAGAAGCTGTGGCTTCGCAGCTAGCTCCACACCGATTGTAACTCTTTTACGCTGCTCAACACCAAGAGAGATGAGGAGGGCGTCCTGGATGTCTTCGAGCTCGAGTAGTTCGATAATGCGGTCGACGTAAGCTATCTTTTCTTCCCTTGGAATGTCTGCGCTTTGACGCAACAGAGCAGAGAATTCGAAAGCCTCACGAACAGAGGCTGTCATCTCATGTAGATCCATTTGCTCACAGAATCCAGTACCTCTTTGGAATTCCACACCCAAAGCTTGGCCATCAACAAGCATGTCACCTGACACAACACCCATGGTCTGTCGCTGTGAGAGGGTATTAAGCAGAGTCGTCTTTCCTGCGCCGGAGGCACCCATCAGGGCAATCATGATTCCTGGCTTGACGTATCCATTGACGCCGTTCAGGAGTTGTCGAGTGCCTCCTTGATAAGGCACAGTGTACGACACATTCTCCCAAGTGAAAACACTTTTGCTCTGAGCGATCTCATTGGTGATATCGTCCTTGTTGCCATCTGAATTGTGGCCCTGCACAGTCTCTGAGCTTGCACCAGAGTCGCGGGAACTTGCTTGAGCAGCTGCAACTTTCTCTTCATCTAATGCACTGCCTTTTTCTTCCTGGTTTATCTGGTTCTTCGCTCGCTTGGTCTTCTTGAAGATTAATGCACCTCCGCCAGAAATAGTAAAGGAGAACAATTCGGTCGCAATAGCTGTAACGAGAATATAGAGTATGGTAAACGCGACGAGAGCACCAAAGTCGCGCCACAAATTCGATCGAGAGTATGAGAACGAGGTCGAGTAGTAGTTCTCACCAGTCACCGTAGTACTTCCTGGTTGCGAACCTGTCAAGGCGCATGATTGATATTGAGGATCAAGACCAGGTCCTGCAGGCACGAGTTGCGAAGGTGAACAGTCCATCACTCTTCCGTTAAACTCATTGGTCAGCACGGCCTCGTATGCATATGCAACAGGGTTAGTCCAGAAAAGCCAGCCAAACCATATCCTGTCTTGTAGCAAAGTCTGCTTGGGAATAATGTAGCCGACATAGATGATCAAGATATTGAGTGCAGTGCCAGAGAATCGCACGGCATCGTCTATGGTGGGACTCAATGCGGCGAACATGCGATAAAGTGCAGTTATGCAGAAAGTGGATGTGTAGACGAAGAGTAGATTGATGAAGAACTTGCCAGCATCGGGTGCTAAGTTTGACATCCAATACAAGATGATGGTGAAAATCACTGCTTGGACTGCCAGTATCGGAACGTCTTGGACGACTCGAGCAATGACGACGGCTGACGGCCTGTAGAATGCATAGTCCTTGTGTCGGTTGATGATGGTCCTTCCAGAGACAGCTTTCATCAGCTCGCTCAGTTGCAACCAACCGAGAAAGAGAATCGAAAAAAACAATGCACCACCTCTTGAGAATGCGCCGGAAGTATCGAAGCTTTCACCATAAAACAAAGATCCCACAATCAAACCATTGGCGATGATGATAAATAGCTTCGTATAGATGGTAGTTTTGTCGTTCCAGAAAAGGTCAAACTCCCTCTTGGTGCATGCCCAGACTTGTCGTGGAAAAGATACAGTGTAGCTCGATCGAGAGCTCATCAGCTTGCTGTTCGATTGCTGCTCCGCTACCGCATCGGTGAAGTCTTTGACATCCTGGTCGTTCGAATGTATCTCTTTTTCGTAACGATCTACCTCGGCCATGCCTTGTTTGCAGATGTCTGATTTGCGGAAGGCGGTCTCAAGTTCTTCTGCGGTTTTTGGCGTTGAAGCTTCCTTACCCTTTTGGAATCTTCGTTGGGTAGGATCGCCAACTGAAGTCAGAAAATCTGAGGTTGTCATTCTCTCGGGCGCAAAAAAGCCGAGATCTTCGAAGTATTTTCTAGCGCGAGAAGCTGGACCTTGATAAATCATTCGTCCTTCGTCTATCACTAGAACAGAATCGAAGAGGTCGTAGATACCCTGGCCAGCCTGATACAAACTCACGAATGTCGTTCGGTTTGATATATCAGTCATGATCCGCAACGACTTGACATAGTCGATGGCCGTGCTCGAGTCGAGACCCCTAGTAGAGTTATCCCAGGTGACCACCGAACTCTTGGTCGCCAGGGTCTCTGCAATGCTGACACGCTTTCGTTCACCACCACTGACACCTCGAACATATTCGTTGCCCACGAGTGTATGCTTTGTGTGTTCAATGCCAAACATCTTCAGGAGGCTATTAATGATGACGGGGATACTATCTCGATCGTGCTTCTTAGTCTTGTTCATAAGGGCGAACGACAAAGTCTGCCAAACCGTCAAACTTGGAAGATGTTGGTCATCTTCAGGGTTGTAGTTGACCTCACCATTAAAGTGCTTCTTCTGTTCGTCCGCAGGAATACCACCATAGTTCACTTCACCAATCACTTCTGCGTATTCGTCTCTCTTGTTGGCAATCACTTTGAGGAATGTGGAGCAGCCAGATCCTGGTCGGCCAAGGACAAGCATCATTTCGCCAGCACGTACAGCGCCAGTGAAGTTGTTGATGATGGTCTTGACTGGAGGCTTCTTGCCGACATGAAGTGCAGGAATAAAGCGACAAACTATACGATATAGATCTGGGCCGAATGTTCCTAGGATTGCATCGGGAACGGTTTTTGTAAAGATCATAGATGCACCAACACCTTTGACTGTGAGGTCTTTGAAGAGGACACCCAACCGCTTTGCTGAATGACCCTCTGGTGTTCTCTTTTCAAAATGACCATCTTTCAAGAAGCCGCCTATATCAAAGTCTTCCTCGCCTTGGCCATCTTGTGCTTCCACGTCTTTCTCCTCTTCGTCGACAGTACCAGCAGTTGCGTCACTGCGCCGCCTCGATTTCGAGGTCTTTTGTCTGCCCAAGCTTGAGCCTGTTATAGTACGAAATAGGTTCGTTTGTTCACCAGCATGTGAAGATTTCCTGCTCTTCGTCCGCTGAAGGTTTAGTTGTGTGAGCTCCCGTCTCATTTCTTCGTAGTCAGCCATGGCCTCGCGCGTGCTGATAGGTCTGCCAACATCTCTTTCACCCCATATAACCTCCGAGTCTGAAGAATCATCTTGAGGTGTTTCCTCGCTTGAGGCTCTTCTGTGTAGTGGTTGACTGGTAGTCACGTTGGAGTAGACTTCACTTGGGAAAGCAGTATTGTGTAGTTCGTTCGTCGCGCCCTCACGGACGCCATCTCTTGTGTGCTGGCGATACAAAACGCCGCCAGGCGTCTGTCCCCACATGATGTATGCGCAGGATTCGCAAGGAGAGTATTGATACCTATTGTCAGCGCTTGAACTTAAGTTGGGACGCGAAAATCTGGGTCAATGATGTTTACGGGCAATTCCCAGGTGTGTCTGAATTATGTATGGGAGTCAGAATAGAACAGGGGGATGAACAACACAAGCCCAATGGTTCTGTCCACTTTTAGGGTGACAATGGACTTAACGCCTCTATATCCAGGGTGCAGATTGTGCATTGTATATGCCCAGACTGCACAAGGTACCATATTAATAAGACCATTCTGCAGAAGCTCCACGAGCCAAACATGCAGGCCAGCCGAAAGGCGAACAGAGTGCCCCAACATTTGGTCGTTAGTGCAAATCCTTCGGACTGCGAGCAGGAGATAAGGAGGATGACGGCATTGCAGAGATTGACCTGTCGAACGAATGATGTCAAACCCAACGTTGTGCTGAAAAGATTGAAAAGTTTACGGTGGAAGCTGCGTCACGACCATGTTGGTCAGCCATGTGCCAAGACCGGTGAACAGAGACGGGATGCCATTTCCACGCCCAGTTCGGCCGATGAAGCGTTGAAGGAAGAGTGCTGTCTGAAAATAATTGCTGCATTGAAAGCTTGTGTTTATTTTCGGGCGAAATTAAGCTTCTAGCGAGAGCTGTTCCTGAGGGCCAATGGATGTTTCCCAATTGCACCACACATGACGATCGTTTTCGGTCTGCGGTTATATATCGGGTGATAGCCATGATGATAAAGATGCTGTAGGTGTGACTGTTTACATTGTGATATCCAGCAATATGAAGAAGTGCTCATGCCCCTGAGTGGAGCAGATAGGCGATTCAACCATGCATGCAAAAAGTGCGTGCCTGAATCGCAGATTCTCCACTGATGTGCAAATCCACCATGCCTCTGGTTGCTAAGCACAGTTACACTCCCGGCAATAAACGGCGAGTAACTAGTATGTTCTCATCATTCCTTCCATGTAAAGAAATAAGACACCGCGGATGCCGTGGATCGAACATGTGGTAGAGGAGAGCCGCGAATCAACAAGATCGTGTGTCTGCAACAAGACTGTGGCTCGAATAAAGCAGATTTATTCAGGTGGGCTTGATGTCCGGCGTTCGTAACAGCGCCGGCCTCCAAATACAGGATACCTGTCCTTGGGATGTGGACTCGCAGACACTTCATCTTAACAACGTTCTCCACGACATGTGAAAGTCAGCACGAACGTAGACCTGCCATAAAGCAAGCCTAGTCGCAATGTATTCAATTTGCTCACATCTTCGGGACGAATTCTGACAACCATCAAAGAAGGAACGAAGTCAATGAACCTCACGTCTGACCCTCGTGACTGACTCTCGGGTCCTATATACGTACCAGCGCATTGCCGTCCAGAAATACAAACTTCACTGTCTTCTTCTCGGTTCCAATGCGCACGACTGAATCAGCCTCCATCAGTTCCGCTCGCTACTCTTGTTATTCATGGTCTCAATCTGCGTAGCTGCCTCCTTCTCTAGACTATCGCGTGATCCCGATCGCATGCCAGACTCAACCGATGCATTGCCATGTGGTACAACACCAAAAAGCGCGTCCATAGCTTCGAGCGACAGTCCCTTAGTCTCGGGAACGAAGAACCAGACAAAGAGGAACATTGTGAATGCGAAGGTTCCGAAAATTATGTAGGTGCCAAAGCCATGTGCACCCACTGTGACCAACATGGTAGGCACAGCTCGAGTGACGACAAAGTTGAACAACCATTGAGTCGATGCCGCCATAGAGACGTTGATCGCTCGAAGTCGCGCCGTGGGGATTTCGGAGCAATAAATCCAGCAGACGGGACCCCAACCGAACTGTACGCCGGTTAGCAAGTCAGCCTCAACTGGGGCCACTCAGACCTACCTGAAACATCGCTGCAAATATGTAGATGCACGCAAGCGCGACGTAGCCAACAGGCGGTGTTGGCACGCCTCTGACGGGAGGCTTGATCCGAATGAAAAGTCCTATAAATAGCATACATATACACTGTCCCACGGATGTCCAAAGCAGGGAGCGTCGGCGCCCAAGAGTATCCGCTAAGAATAGGAGGAATATAGTGCAGGAGACTACCTTGACGATTCCGTAGATGCCTGTGGCGAATAGACCCGTACTTCTTCCGACGATGCCCATGTTTCTGTTGAGTATCCCGTAAGTACGCGTTATGATAAACGATGGAAAGGGTGATTGGCATACCTGAACATCAGTGGTGCGTAGCTGTTGATGGCATTCGTTCCTGTAAAATGGTCAGCTGCAATCATCAAATAGTGATTTGGTATGGGAACAATAGCAGGAACTCGCTCACTCACCAGTCATCTGCTGACATATCATGAGAGTGATTGATATAAGCGCTCTCTTTCGATTGCCAGGAATTGTCCACATCTCCTTCATAAGGACCTTGAAACCAGCACCCTGCATCAAGAGCTTTTCATTCTCGAGCTGTCGAACCATTTCACTGAACTCGTGTTCAACATACTCATGTGTAGGCGGCAGGTTTCGCACGTGCGAGAGCACCCTTTTAGCATCTTCCCAGCGATCTTGCTTGGCAAGCCATCGCGGTGACTCATTACAGTACCAGATGCAGCCCACAAGGAGGCATGCTGGAATACCTTGCACGGCCAAAGGAACAATCCAAGCGCTGTCGCCAGGTAAATGCAGATCAGCACCGTAATTCTAGAAGGATTAGCAACCGTTTCTGGAGCATCTGTACAAGTAAATTTACCGTCCAGAATGCGATCATGCCGCCAGTGACAATAAACCATTGGTAGCATCCAGTGAGGAGACCTCGTATACCTCGAGGTACATTTTCGGACACGTAAGTAGGGACGACGGTCGAGCAGATACCAACACCGAAGCCGTTGATGAAGCGACCAACGTACATGGGTGCAAGATGACCCCAGGCTGAGAACTGCAGGATAACTCCAACAAGCACAATGACTCCGGCGATAAGAAGTGACACTCGACGCCCAAGCTTGTCTGCCATTGGTGCCGCAACGATAGCACCAGCGAAACATCCTGCTTGTAGAGTCGATACAATATTGGCTTGCAAGTTGGCAAGGGCGACAGCACCATTGGCTTTGTCCAGGCCGAATCTTCGTAGAAACTGTGGCAAGACGACCACACCCGAGATCATGGACGAGTCCATGCCGAAAAGCATAGCACCCCATCCGGCAGATAGAGCTATGACTGTTGACCTCCAGCCATAGATCTCAGGGGGATCTGTTCGCATTGCCTCATTGTGGACAACCTTGCTGAAGAATCTGTAACTCAAATTGTTGGCCATGGTGGAAGATACGTCGACGCAACTGATGATGGGAGACAGCCGGAGACAGGGTCGCTGGAGTCAGATAGGCACTTCAAGCTTCCAGAACTTATCATTATATAAGGTGTGTTTAAGGAACCAGAGGATTAGCATGGGGTATGGGGAAGAGGGATAGCTTCCCCGCGATATTTGACGGATCGTGCATCTACAACACACGGATGGACATTTCCTGCATGAAGCAGTTCGAGGTAGGTTACATGGAAGTACCCATCCAGAAATCAGATGTGCCTCTGGGGTATGCACTTTCTGGGGTAAGCTCCAGCCACCTCCGGACATTAGGCAAAGATTGCCTTGGCGTTGTATGCTCTGAGTGGAGCTAATTAGGCCTGGACTAGACACTCGCGAGAAGAGCGGCGGGGAAATGGAACAAGGTGATGGCAAGAGCGTGCTGTATCTCCCCCACGTTATTGTTCTTTCGTGACCGCTGGGAGATGTCCCAGGTTCGGGCTTGTAGCATGCCGACCTACCTAGACCCCCCAGAGGACGCATGCATCGGATTATAGTCCTTCACAAAACAAGGCTGTAATGACACGACTGTGACTAGTCGAAGCTCGCACGGCTCGATAGTACTTGTAATTTGAGGCAGTAGCCCTGGGGCGAAGCCCGAAGACTCGTTCTTGTCGCTTGCAGTCGGATCACACAAACCAGGGGCATTGGGCTAACTCGCGCCTGGCGAAAGTTCACGCACCTTGAGATTGACATGACTTGTAACACTGCGCCTCGAACAGGCCATCGGTCTACCCATGAAGTGAGTTCTCCGCATGGGTACAAGCAATCGGTCCGTTCTGCGACAACAGATAGAGCCTGCCCTCATTTCCAACATATGTAACAAACTACCTCCAACGCATTGCATTCCGTTGTCTGCCCTGTATTAGAAGGCTGTCGTGATGTTTGAAGAAAGAGTGACGCTGTGGAATTTGGGAATATGAAGAGAATTGTCTTCATGCAAGTGGATGACCTGATCTGAGTTTCGAGAAATGCGTTGGTAATTCGTATAAGTCGCATACTCACCTATCGAAAACGAATGAACGCGCTCGAGTCCCGATGGGAGCTTCTCGTGTTGGTGCATCACTCCGTATTTTTGCCTCGTGGATTTGGGTCTGAAGCTCTTACTGCAATATCGCGCAACGTAATATTCATCGGCAGTCGTGCTAGTACCACTAATCTTGAATGCACACTAGATTTCAATTGAGGAAGACCAGCTGGTCGATAGATGAGTGACGCGACAATATTCACCTAGTCACAATACGAAGGGCGGTGTTCCGAATGTGAATTTCTACCAACGGTGTCGGGCACCATAAAGAGGTGAGGTTTTACCTGCACGATATTCTAGCCCCATCTCATCGTGTCATAGGTCGCGAGGGATCGCTCTGGAGGGCAATATAGAAGATGAATGGTGGCAAAAACTGCTTAGTGAGTGTCAATCAATTCATTGCCTGTGAGTGGTAAAGCAGTCGTGGAAAAAATAGGCGATGCTGATGTCCACCATGCGCTTAGAGCTGCTCCACAGAAATCCTGAGGCAACTCGTCTAGTTAGACAATTCGAAATGGGATGTCTTATTAGTCTTCTGTCGCATACCATCATCCATCATGTCGAAAGTTAGAGCACGGCTGCCATGCTGGGGCCATGCACCACGAGTGCGGTCTTCCTTGATCCAACGACGATCGTTTGCGGCTGTTACAGATCTTCCAGCACGAGATACACCCTTCGACGTGGTGGTCATTGGTGGTGGCCATGCAGGAACTGAGGCCAGCGCTGCTGCGGCGCGATCTGGAGCACGTACAGTACTGGTCACGCCATCTGTTGAGAATCTGGGAGTCTGCTCTTGCAACCCATCGTTCGGAGGTATAGGCAAGGGTACTATGCTACGAGAGATCGATGCCCTGGATGGAGTTGCAGGAAGGATAATTGACAAAGCTGGCATACAGTTCCGAATCCTCAATCGCAAGAAGGGTCCTGCTGTTTGGGGACCACGAGCTCAGATCGATCGAGATTTGTACAAACGATACATGCGAGAAGAGATCACAACCACTCCTGGGCTGAGCGTGTTGGAAGGAAAAGTGGCTGACATTATAGTGTCGAAAGAAGACATACCTGAGGACGACAAAGTTTCTACTGGCAAGATCACAGGGATACGGCTTGAAGATGGTCAAGTCATTACAGCGTCGCAGGTTGTCATCACTACAGGCACGTTTCTAGGTGGTGAGATACACATTGGCTTGGAAGCATTCCCATCTGGAAGGATGGGTGAAGCCGCCACCTTCGGTCTCAGTAAATCGTTACGAGATGCTGGCTTCCAGCTTGGCAGACTTAAGACAGGTACTCCTCCACGACTCGATCGAGACACTATAGACTTCTCCATTCTCGAGCCGCAGCCTGGTGACTCACCTCCACATCCCTTCTCCTACCTGAACAGTACCGTACAGATTGGCGATGAAGGACAGCTTTCGTGCTGGGCAACATACACAAATGAAGCCTCGCATACAATAGTCCGAGAGAACCTGGACAAGTCAATACACATCAGGGAAACAGTCAGAGGCCCACGATACTGCCCTTCCTTAGAATCTAAAATCATAAGATTCGGTCACAAGTCGCAGCATATGATCTGGTTAGAGCCCGAAGGTCTTGAACCAAACAAGGTGGTCTACCCTAATGGTGTCAGCATGACTATCCCAGCTGATGCGCAGTACGCTCTTATGAAGACAGTGAGAGGTCTCGAGAACGTAAAGATGTTGCAGCCTGGTTATGGTGTGGAGTACGACTATATTGATCCTCGAAACCTATTTCCGACCCTCGAGACGAAGTTGATCAAAGGTCTCTTCCTGGCTGGACAGATCAACGGCACAACAGGCTATGAAGAAGCTGCTGCTCAAGGAATAGTAGCCGGCATAAATGCAGGGCTCTCAGCACAAGGGAAAGAACCATTCACATTGTCGCGGTCTGAAGCATTCATAGGTATATTGATCGACGATCTGATCACAAAGGGTGTTAGTGAGCCATATCGCATGTTCACCACAAGAAGTGAATATCGGATGAGCTGCAGATCTGACAACGCAGACCTTCGATTGACCGAAAAGGGAAGAAACGCGGGCGTCGTAGGCAGCAAAAGGTGGTCTGCCTTCTCCACCAACAAGGACACATTACAGGACTTGCAAAATCTGCTGGATACACACAAGCTGTCCACACAGAAATGGCTGAATATGGGCTTTAGCGTTAGAGTTGATTCCACGCATCGTACTGCAGTTGACATGCTGCGGCTGCCTGGTATTGACATTGACACTGTCCTCGACAAACTGGGAAAGGCCGAGCTGGCGGCGAATTACGATGACAACACAAAGATGAGGGTCCAGATCGAGGCGACGTATGCACCCTACGTGGTCCAACAGGACAAGCACGCAAGGGCGTTCGAAAAGGACGAGGCATTGACCTTACCCAAGGACTTGGATTACGACAAAGTTTTCGGTCTCAGCATGGGAGAAAAAGAGGTTTTGAAGATGGTCAGACCCACAAGCGTTGGCATGGCTGGCAGAGTGGAAGGTGTCACTCCGGCAGGTGCGTTGAGATTACTCAAGCATGTAAGACGACCACAAGCAGCTGTGAATGTTCAAAAGTTGCCCGCGTCTGCAGATGTACTGCATGCTCAGCGAGCTGATGCTGAAGGTGCAATCGCTGCCGCAGGATGACACGATTAAAGATGATGACTTGGATATGCATAGCGAGGCGCAAAGGCTTGGAGATAGGGTATTGATGTGTGATACGTAGTCGTGTAGATTGTTTATATCGTAGGTTCCTGTCTGTACGTGTACTATCAATTGTCGTCTCGTACTTTCGATTTGCCCCATCCAAGTAGTAGTTGGCTATGCAACTTTACGCGTCGTGCAAGCGGTTGCTTTCTCCTCCGATTTTTACAGAATAGTCCACGAGCAGAGCTCGGCGGAATGTTTATCCGCGAATTATAACCCCTAACAACAGCTTCCGTATCAACCTGTTTTCGCAAATAACAATTCATCACTCGTTGCACGTCGAGATTCTTACTGCACTCAACCACGCGGCCCCTCGAAATTTGAACCAGTATTGCGCCCAGTCTACTTGAGGCCAAGCTCTATCGTAAACCGATAGCTCGTGCATTGAGCAACATGTCATGGCACAACCTTTCAAATTTATAATGCGAAGCACGCGACACACTCCTCTTTTGTCTACAAATACACCGAGGCTTCAACAATGCTCGACTACATGGCATGATCAGATCCGGTCGCTGAGTGCTACACCAAACCGTCATATAGCTTCCCCATACCACCGGAACATACACATAAACCAGAGATGGTTCATAACGTCACGTGCTTCACCGAGCCAGAGCTCGATATTGAGCAGAGTGACTGCTCGAAGCACATATTCATTTCAGCAAAGGTCGTTCTCGTGGATACACAGCCTGGGGAAACCCGCGAAGCAAGATGCCAAAGAAGGCACTGCGCCGCAGGTTCCTGTCGACCCCACGGAATCAGCCAATAACTCCTCCCAAGCTCAAGCCTCAACCCCAGACACAACGACTACGACAACAACTCAAGCAACCGACACACCAAATCCCGTTCCAAAACTCCTCCAACGCCTCACCCCCGTCGAACTCCACGAAAACATCTACACAATCCCCAACATCCTCACAGCAACCCGCATCCTCACGGCCCCAATCATCTCCTACGCCCTCCTCCATTCCCAACCAGCCCTAGCCTTCACCCTCTTCGCCTACTCCTCCATCACCGACCTAGTCGACGGCTTTCTCGCCCGCCGTTACAACATGGGCACAGTTCTCGGCTCGATCCTCGACCCCTTCGCGGACAAACTGCTCATGACACTAACCACCATCTCCCTCTACGCAATCGGGACGTTCCCCTGGTGGCTGACGCTGATCATCCTAGGTCGCGATGGCGGGTTACTATTGTCAGCGCTGTATTTCCGGTGGATCAGCTTGCCGCATCCGCGCACGATGAAGAGATATTGGGATTTTAGTCTGCCTAGTGCGGAGGTGAGGCCGACGGAGATCAGTAAGATTAATACGTTGTTGCAGTTTTTGTTGGTGGCTGATGCTGTGTTGCTGCCTGTATTGCCTGTGTCGTTTGTGGAGGCTTGGAATCTGTGGGGTGTCTTTCAGGGGTGGATGGGGTTGGTTGCAGGGACTACGATTTGGAGTGGGTTGAGCTACTTTTTCGCTAAGGATGCTATTAGGTTTATAGGACAGGATCAGAAGAAGCAGAAATAGAATTGCGAGTGCTCATGGATCATATCATTGAGTTCATAGCCCATCATCCATGTTCTTGCCTTTGCTGTGTATTGGCAGCTGGTGCGCCAAGTACCCAGCTCATACCCGAAACCAGACCACCGGTCACGGCATTACTTAACATATCTCGCTTCCGGACTCTTTGCTGTCCGTCTGCACTGCCAGGTCGAGAAATTTCCTGACTGGTCCTGCTGCCTTCTGTACTTGTGCGTGGTTGTGGAGCTCCTACCTTGACATTTTGACCCTGTTTTCCACGGAGCGGAAATGCATGCCGGCCAAGTGCGGTGCCTACACCTCTGGCAACGTCGAACAACCCCATTGGTGCTTCCTCTTCGTAGCTAGGACCCGTAGTATTGTGCGAGCGCCTGCTATCTAACAACCTCTTCGTCTCATTTGCGTCAAGATCTCGGTCGCTAGGTCCAAAGCCACCTGGAAGTGACTGATCAGTCTGCGCGTCAAGTGCACGCTCTTCTTGCAGTGCTTGGTTCTTGAGACTGTCGAGCTCTTCCTCAAGACGACGCCATGTGGCTAGGATTTCAGGCAATGGTTCAGATGTGGGCGCGAGGGTCAATGCAGTCGACAGCATTTCCATACGCTTTTGCAGGGAGGAAATTTGATTGTGTATGTTGAATGGGTATGATTGATAGGGACGGTATTTGCCAGCTGCGTAGGCAGCGCGCCAGGAAGTATCGTCTGCAAAGGTAGTACCTACTACTCGGCTGGAAGAGATGTCCAGCCGTGTAGTGATAAGGGAGTAGGCAGTGTCGAAGTCGTTATCGGCTAGCGCAGCTTTAATAGCCGAGTACGTGATGCGATGTTCTGCGTCAAATAAGCGACGGTCAATAGGGACAGCCTCATTGGGCACAAGATCTTGTGGAAATGGTGTAGGTAAATCTGCCAGCACCATGTTTCGTGCTATCGACAGAAGATCATCGAGCTTTGCGTACGCATTGTTATTTTGGTCGAGGACTTTCTCGATCAGTGACAGGGGATCGCTGCTGGCTCTTATACTGACAGGCTGGAAGGGCACTCCATACTGAAGAGTAAGATGGTAGAACGAGAGGCTGTGAGTAGCTTTGATGAGATGCTCAATGTGATCGAACTGGCTTCCATCCTCGAAACTGTTTCGGAAGGCCGTGATAAGGTCAGATGCCTTTTTGACACCTCCCCGAGTACGATTTCCATTGCTTGCATTGTCATATGCGCTGAGGATGGCGGCCACAATTTGATCGAGGATCCTATCCTTGGAAATGTCTACCTGCTTATCGGAGAGGTATATGTCCTTGATAGATCGAAAGTCGGTGGCCGCTAGCATTGCATTCAGGAGTTCTGACTCGAGGTATTGTGCTTCCAGACGTCCGAGGAATGCGAGTGTAGGCTGATCGAAACTAGGTCGGCCAGTACTTGACCACGTATGCAACCAGCGAAGCTGAGTTCTGGTTTCTGACCAGGAAACGTTTGATCTTGTTAGGCGAGGTACCTGGTTCAATATGCTGCGCAACTCGTCTTTCTGTTTGTCAGGAGAATCGAATAATGCTGTTGAAGCTATTGCCTTGGTTGTCGTCTCAATTTTCCAGCCACTCAACAGAGCCTGTGTTGACAGAACGCCGTGTAAGAAGTCGACGTTATCCGATGATGGCCTGGTGAGCTGATTCTGAGGGGATAGAAGTAAGTTAGCTAGCAGATCAGATCGTGAGGCACTCTGTAGCCTGGTAGTATCTGGGACATCTGGAAAGCGAACACTAAAATCTGGCGGCATAAGCTGCGCAAGACTGGCTGCACGCCGAAGTAAATCTTGTTTCCTTCGTGTTCTCATATCATCCTCAGTTTCGTAACAGGTGTAAATCAAGGCAAACACTGTTCGAATATATGGTAGTTTATCGTCTAGTGTGGTTCCGTTCTGATCTGAAGATACAGCCTCTGGTTCAACTGAAGCAGGCCCATCCCAAGTCTCGATTGCGGTCGCGGCGAGGTCATAGTCCTTTTGTGAGGTGGCCAGTAACCACTCGTTCACATCCTGCCAGGTTGTTGCTCTCTCCTTATCGTCTTCTTTTTTCTCTTGGGTCGACAGTTTCCGTCGCTTTGATGCTTTGCATCCATTCACCCAGGGTGTAACTATCTCTTTCAGGTCACGAGTAATGTTGCTACTAGACCCAGCTTGCGCAGCGAAGCCTAACAGGGTTGCAACCCCCTGTTTTCCCTGGATCGTCTCTATATCTCGTATTGAAAGTGCGTGAGCCTCATTGGCATAGAAATCATTTTGTAATCGAGACAGTGGTCGCAGATAAGTATCTGCCCACAGGCGCAGGATGTCATGGTGCTCAGCAAATTGGTCAATCAAGGTCAGGATCGAAGAAGGTAGGCCACTGAATTCCTCAACCTTATGCACCCATGCTATGAGAAAATCAGACAAGGGGTCTGCATCTTGCTGCGGATTGTATATTGGCATTTTGTCCAGGGTCAGGGCTGATAGAGCCTCCTCTGCATCTGCTACGTCGAGTTCATTTACAGGGTCGTCCAGCGATCCGGCAGCATCAAGAACGGAGAAATCAGCGAAGTCATGCTCCAAATCCGTCAGAAACGCGACAAGCTGCTCTCCTACTTCTTCGTCCACGTCTAAAGGTAGGTAGGTAAGGAGCAATCGGTATAGAATAGAGGGTAAGAGGACATCAGTGCGACTGGCTGCCAAAGGCCGTAACTTTAAAAGGTCTGGAGTTGCTGTTAGCTGCGCTGCAAGTAGCAGTACCTGTGCATCACTAAGGTGATCCATTCCGAGTGTGATCTTTCTGCTGCTGCGTGCATTATTGGGCAGTATACGTTCAGTCGTCCTTAAAGTGGCATCTTGCAACAAAACATGGCTTCCATGCCTGCATGACATAATAATGGCTAATGTCGTAAAAGGATGTAATGCCCAACCGTGGGCGACGTCCGTACCGCGTTGCAGCTTCCCTACTCCACGTTTGACCACGAATGTCGCAAGTCGACGAGCAGAACGCCTGGTAGAGGAATTCTCAGCATTAAATTCCGTGGGCTTTGTTACAGAAAGATGGCGTCCGGCTACGGTATTGGTGGAGGTATACGCGACTCGACCAAAGGCGGCTTTTAGGACTGTCACATCTGACACTTCAACCAGGAACCTCACGATGCTATTCCTACTGGCAGGAGTATATGGCTTGCTATGTAATGACCAAGGACGATGCCGCACTTCGAGAGAAAGGACCTTGCCTTCCGAGGTTGGAGGACTACTATGAATGTCTACATCACAGGAAAGAGGTTGGTACACGTGTATTCACAAGCAGAGGAGCTAACATTCCCATCTAGTACGCACGAGCCTCTGCAATGCAACAGGCGCTACAAAAGGCAGAAAGAGCACATCCTAGAGAGAACGCGCCCAAGATTGGCCAGATACGAAGCTTAGGTCTGTTAGGTCATGAGGAGGATTCGAAAGCTGTCCTGGGGAGATCATGACAACATAGGGCTACAGAAGGCGTTTAGGACGTTTCTCTAGGACTGCTGCAAACACATTGGGTTGTTTGTGTGTGGAAATGGGTGTACATACAACATACATCACGGCTTACAAGTTACCACAAGTCTGACTCTAAGCTATTCCAAACAAAGGTTTTCAAAGTTTCCATCTCGCACTTTCGAGCTCGAGGAATGATGAAGCGGTCATAATCCCTAGGGTCGGGCGAGCTTTCAACTGCTGCGAGCAAACTCCGGAGTTGGGTTCATTTGCTCATGGCTGCAAATCTTCCTGCATACTGTCCCTGGAGTGTGGACGTGCCATCGATGCGGCAGCAGGATGGCAACTGTTCTTTGAGCAAGCATGTATGTAAGCGCAACATGGGACGCAATAGCTGTACCAAGCAGGGTATCATTGTGTCTGCCACCATCCTCGTTATCTCATGTTGATTACCGCGCTTCTGATAGCAATAACCATTACGTCTGTTGTCATGTATATTTGTTGATAGAATCGGAAGAGATCTTGAGCCACTGTATCCGATTAATCATTATTGGCTTTCGTCTCGAAGATCCTGTCGAAGAGGACTTTCAGCTCAAGAAATGCGATGAGTCGTTGAGTCTTGATTGTGAATCAACTTCGTGATCAACATCTTGCAGCACTGATACTGCAAATTTGGACGTATCTGAAGAGCTAGAGAGGACATAGTGGCATCTGATTGACGCATGAAAAAAGCTTGATGGAGCAAGCTAAACCCTTGTGATGCTAGCCCCACTTGCAAGACTCCATAGAAAGGACGCGATACGATTTGCTCAGAGGTCGGAGCGACAATCATAAATACACCAGGAGCAACCTACAAGACCACCCTCTCGCCCTTCCCCTCACCAATCTTTCAGCGTCGTGATTCGGCCGCACCAGTCTCGTTTCATTTCTTACCGATATTTTTCTTTACATTACCGGTTCAACCTGGGGTTTGCGACATTTTTCAGTCATTTACCACGACTTTACCACGTTCAAAAAGTGCACTACCTGCAGCTGCAGTTTGCCTTGCGAGCCTGCAGAGTCCTTTGAGTTCTGGAAATCCACGCTTGCTCGTTGCATTTGAGGCTAGTGCATTCATGCCTTGTGTGTCTTATACATATTGATCAGGTATTCACAACTCGCATGCTGCGCATTTGTAACATTACTATTCTCGTGTAATATATTTTCGGGGCGTTTGGAGTGAAACCGGGGATGACATCGACTTCTTCAAGGTAAGTCAACCCTCAAATCATGTTTGGCGACCAGTCCTTGCTAACCGCTGCAGGCTTGACCGCCTGGTCACGTGAGTATCTTCACTCCACCCACCTCGTCTTAATGCTTACCGACTTTCAGGCTACTCGACAAGGGAAGTACACAACTGATACGCAATACTGCAGCGTCACAACTCGCGGATATTCAGAAACAAAATCCAGATAGTCTATTCTCGTTGTTAAGTCGTGTTCTACCGTATCTCCAAAGCAAGACTTGGGACACGCGTACTGCGGCAGCAAAGGCTATTGGAGGCATCGTCGCAAATGCGCCAACTTTCGACCCTAATGGTGATGAGACTGATATTAAGCCAGATTGCAAGGAGGAGAATGGCGTCAAAAAGGAAGAAAGCCCCCAACATGATGGCCGACTTCACCTCGACACCCTGGACATAGGGCTCGTTCTTCGAAAGGGTAAAGTGCTCAGCGGCAGCGCTGGTAAGGAGTATGAATACCAATTTACGGGCTTATCTGCTGTTGAACGATTGGCAAAGCAAAAGAAATCCTTGCATGCGAGGCTGGGTCTTGCCGGAGAGTACATGGACGACGATCTACTGTCGGAGAATGACTTGCCAGTTCATGCAAAGTTATCCCAGCCGTCAAGCCTACCCAGGGTTGACACACAAGTCAAGAAATATCAAGCTTATACATCCTCGCCACAGACTGCGCAAGCAATATCGGACACCCCGACCTCACTCGAAGAGTCCGGCCTCAGTAAACGTCAGCTCAATCAGCTGAAGCGAAAGAACAAAACGATGGTTAAGACCGGATCCAACAAGATGCGGGTCGTCGATCTCGGTGGAAGAAAGCCGTCCGAAGCTGAATCGCCTTTGGTTGCTGCCAGCCCACATCCTGTCAAGCTTGATGGCCACGAAGATTCACAAGACGAAACTCAGTCACAGCCCGATTACTTCTCCATCAAACGTGAGGATAATGACGATGACACTCAATTGATTAAGGAATTCAAGGGTGAACCTCTCGAGGTGAAGCCCTTGATGGCACCTGACGAGCAAGATGCAGTTGATTGGCCGTATGAAGTGATGTGCGACTTTCTTTCCATCGATCTTTTCCACCCAAATTGGGAGACAAGACATGGTGCTGCCATGGGGCTCAGAGAAATACTCATTACCCATGGTCAGGGCGCTGGCCGCAAGTTTGGCCGTACGAAAGCCGAGAACGACAAGGCAAATAGAGATTGGCTTGACGACCTGGCGTGTCGTATATTATGCGTCCTGATGCTGGATCGACTTCAGGATTTCAGTTCGGATACTGCTGTTGCTCCAATCCGCGAATCTGTGGGTCAGACACTAGGAGCATTATTGACACAACTGCCGGATGACACCGCTTTATCAGTATATCGCAATCTGCAAATAATAGTCCATCATACAAACACAGTCTCGAAGGAACCTTTGTGGCAAGTCTGTCATGGGGGTATGCTCGGTCTTCGCTATTTCGTTGCAGTGCGGAAAGACCTTCTGCTAAAGCACGGCGATTTAATCGACGGTGTCATCACAGCTGTCACTCAAGGGTTGGACCACTATGACGACGATGTGAAGTCTGCCAGTGCGGCAACCTTGGTACCAATCTCGCAAGAGCTGACCAAGATGCGCCCTAATGTATTGGGTGGGCTGATGACTGTGATCTGGAACTCCATGCTAGGTATGCGCGATGACTTGAGTGCAAGCACGGGCGCTGTCATGGATCTGCTCGCAAATTTGTGCTCAGTGCCGGAAGTTCTTGAAGCCATGAAGGTCAATGCGACACGAGATCCAGGCCAATCATTCGACGTCCTCGTTCCCAGACTTTACCACTTCCTCCGACATACAATCACCTCGGTTCGGTTGTCAGTTCTCAAAGCACTTATCAAGTTCTTAGAAGTTGCGGAGCAAGGTGCCATGGGTTGGATCAATGGCACTTTGTTGAGACTACTCTTCCAGAACATTCTTGTCGAGCGCAATGAAGGCGTCCTTAAACAGTCCTTCGCCGCGTTCCACGGAGTTGTCGAATTCGTAAAAAAACGTGGTTATGAGCACTACGCCATTATGGTATCTGCGCACATCCAACCGATGATACATGCCAACCTGCAGCCCATTGGCCAATCTCGGAATCCAATACCATTAGATCCGACTCTGTTTGTTGATTCATCAGGAAATTCGTTCCACGCAAAAATTAAGCGACGAAGAACATCTGACGTATCAAGTAAGAAGAGGAAGAGAGAAGAGCCACAAGAGCAAACTATGTCTCATAACACTGATGGTCACATCATGTCAGGTGATGTTGATATCGTAGGGTTGGAGGCAATGATGCGCACCAGGATTTATGCCTCAAAGGCATTGGGCGAGTTGCTTGCTCTACAGGACGAGCACGCTCTTGACCAGCATTTTGACCAAATTACTTCGCTGGCAGGTTCCAAAGCAGCAAGTACACGATTGTTTGCGGCAATGACCTTGGAAGAAATGGCTAAAAATACCTCACAACCACTGCCTAGCTGGGCGAAAGTCGTTGCCAAGCTGCAAACGACTCTGGACGAGACTGATGACCTGTGGTATTCAGATGCGCTCATTTCGTTGCAAGCTGCTCGCGGACAATGTCAGACACTGCTTGCAGCGTTTGCCAACCACGCTCATGTTCCGCGCAACAAGATGCCAACCATCGCCGTTATTTGCCAAGGTGATGATGGTGCTGGTCCAAGCGCGTTCGGGCTGACAGATGCTGAAAAGATCGTGGGCTCAGAGTTCGACCGCCTGATGACACTTCTGACGCCTGCGCAACGAGTGACAGGTACACAATACCTCAGTGATGCACGGGCTACTGCTGCAGCTGTCGTTGCAGATGCTCGTAAAGTCAAAGAAAGTCGTGATCTTTACGTCAAGGCTGCAGTCGCTGCTGTAATGGTCGCTATGTGCCAAATACCCAAGAAACCTGGCACGTTAATTAAATGTATAATGGATAGTATCAAAGCCGAGGAAAATGCGGATTTGCAGGCTCGATCGGGTGCGACGGTTGCATCACTGATCGATTTCTATGTCAACAGCCCAAAGCGAGGTCCAACAGACAAGCTTATCTCAAACCTTTGCAAATTCACCTGCGTTGATACCTCCGAGACACCGGAATTTGGGCCCAACTCCGATCTGAAAGATATTGTCTTATCGTTGCGGAAAGAAGAAGACAAAAGAGATCATCCTGATGCTGTCAGGTTCGAACAAGAAGCAAGAGAGGCTCGTATCATTCGACGTGGTGCAAGACGTGCTCTGAGCGTATTGGCAGATCTGTACGGCGATCAACTTCTGGCCAAACTTCCCGTCTTATTGTCTATTATTGAGACTCCCATGCGCCTTCTAGAAACCGTCGAAAACGCTGCACAAGCGTTGAAGGAAGACACGAATGGCCAAGATGTTGTTGATGCCTTCTCAACCTTGCGGACGATTTCACCATATCTCAACTCGAATCTTCACCCATGGTTGCAGACTCTCATGCCACTGATGGAGAAGGGTATCAGGCACGAACTCTCGGTCATTCGATATGCGGCTGCTAAGTGCTTTGCAACAGTCTGCAGTATCATTCCTGGTAAGGGCATGACTCTGATGGTCGAAAGCATTCTACCCAACATGGGAAATGCCCTTGACCTACGTGATAGACAAGGTATCACTGAAACGGTTTACCACTTGATACACGCCATGGGCGACAATGTCCTACCATATGTCATCTTCCTGATCGTTCCTGTCCTGGGTCGAATGAGCGACTCAAACGACGACGTGCGACTGCTCGCAACCACCTCTTTTGCTACACTTGTGAAACTGGTACCTCTTGAGGCTGGTATACCCGATCCTCCAGATATGTCAGAGAAACTACTGCAAGGTAGAGAAAGAGAGCGCAAATTCATGTCTCAGATGCTTGACCCGAAGAAGGCTGAACCCTTTCAAATACCGGTGGCTATCAAGGCCGAATTGCGATCCTATCAACAGGATGGTGTCAACTGGCTAGCATTCCTAAATCGATACAACCTACACGGTGTACTTTGTGATGATATGGGCCTTGGGAAAACCTTGCAAACTCTTTGCATTGTGGCTAGTGATCACCATATACGCGCTGAGGAATATGCAGCTACTGGCGCACTCGACAAACGAAGACTACCCTCCCTCATTGTGTGTCCACCGTCACTTTCTGGCCATTGGCAGCAGGAGGTCAAACAGTATGCACCGTTTTTGACGTGCGTTGCCTATGTTGGTCCACCTGCACAAAGAGCTGCTGCTAAACCTCATCTTGCGACTGCAGACATTATCATCACCTCATATGATGTTTGTCGCAACGACAACGATGTGCTGACACCGATAACCTGGAATTATTGCGTGCTCGATGAGGGCCATCTGATCAAGAATCCGAAAGCCAAGATAACGCAGTGTGTCAAGAAACTCACGAGCAATCATCGGCTGATTCTATCTGGTACGCCAATTCAAAACAACGTGCTCGAACTTTGGTCGTTGTTCGACTTCCTTATGCCTGGCTTCCTCGGTACAGAAAAGGTCTTCCAAGATCGGTTTGCCAAGCCTATCGCTCAGAGTCGAAATGCCAAATCATCCTCGAAGGAGCAGGAGGCTGGGGCCCTTGCTGTCGAAGCTTTACACAAGCAAGTACTACCATTCCTGCTCCGGCGGCTGAAGGAAGAAGTCCTCAATGACTTGCCACCAAAGATACTCCAGAACTACTATTGTGATCTTAGCGACTTGCAGAAGAAACTTTTCGATGATTTCTTTAAAAAGGAGAAGAAAACGGTTGAGGCTGGACTCAGTGCTGGTGACAAAGACTCGAAACAGCACATTTTCCAAGCTTTACAGTATATGCGTAAGCTCTGCAACTCACCGGCAATGGTGATGAAGGAAGGAATGCCTCAATACGAAAACTACAAGAAGCAGTTAGCAGCCTCAAACACTAACATTCGAGATGTAGTACACGCACCCAAATTGAGTGCCCTCCGTGACCTTTTGGTGGACTGTGGTATTGGGCTTGCTCCAGACTCTAACGATATCTCGAACTCATCAAGTTATGTCTCACAACATCGTGCACTCATATTCTGTCAGATGAAGGAAATGTTGGACATGGTACAAAACGAAGTTCTAGCGAAACTCCTTCCTACGGTCCAGTTTCTTCGACTCGATGGTGGTGTTGAGGCTACACGACGACAAGATATCGTCAACAAGTTCAACAACGACCCTTCATACGACTGCTTGTTGCTGACGACGTCTGTGGGTGGCCTTGGACTGAACCTAACAGGAGCTGATACCGTCATCTTCGTGGAACACGATTGGAATCCTCAGAAAGACATCCAGGCCATGGATCGGGCACACAGACTTGGCCAGAAAAAGACTGTGAACGTCTACCGCCTGATCACCCGGGGTACCCTCGAAGAGAAGATCATGGGTCTGCAAAGATTCAAAATTGATGTCGCGTCGACTGTAGTCAACCAGCAGAATGCAGGCCTTGGCACAATGGAGACTGACCAGATTCTTGACCTGTTCAGTTTGGGTGAGGGCGCAGATAGTGTCCCAGGTTTTGACTCCTCGGCTGGTGCGAATGACACTGACATCAATGGTCGGGAAGAAGATATGGTCGACGCTGAGGGCAATGTTAAAAAGAAAGGAGAACGTGGATTTCTTGACGATATAGGCGAGCTCTGGGATGAGAAACAGTACGAGGAGGAATTCAGCATGGACTCCTTTTTGCAGAAGATGCAGAAGTAGGTTCCTTGAGCAAATGCTGGCCATCGGGTATGTTCGTTTCGAGAGGCAGTATGGTATATTTCTCCGATAGACAGCAGTGCAGCGTTCAAGCCTCGAGGACATTTTCACGTGCAGCAAGCATGCGACACGGCTCAATTATTAAGATATGCTACATACATACTAACACTCTCTGTTATCACAGTGCTAGTCTGTGTCGAGCCGGTGAACGCAGATTCCAGCGTTCAGTGTATCTTTAACGCAAGGCTCAAAAAGCAAGCGTGACCTGGTGTTCTTAATACGTATTCCATACGTGTGTGTCACGTTATACAACGTAACAACGTCGGTTTTTATAGTATCGCTTTACAGTACATGTAACATAACTGTAGACGAAACGTGTCTGAGATGGATTGAGGATGCCTGAGGCACAAAGGATTGTGAATGTCCAACTCGCTTGTGGCCCTTCGCACCTTCCTTGTGCAATTGAAATCCCTTTCACGTGTGTCCTTCATTCAAGAGTGTGTTTGCGTCCTTCCCAAAAATGTCTCTATTTAGACCGTAACGAGAGCGCAGTTGTTATAAAATTCACGTACAGGAAGGCCTCGAAACTTAAATCCTTCTGACCAGGAAGGACGAGAATGCACGCTCACCCGGGCTCCATGACTCTGGCGCCTGCCAACGTACGTTCCCGCGATAATTCAGTGGTCCACATCGAGCACCCCATCTTTATTCAATTGTTAGATCGCGCGGAATCTATGCGTCTGTGCTTGCTGTTTGACCCGGTTTGTTTTATCCAAATACAAAATTTGAATTTTTGGGGTCGGTTGTGATACTGAGCTTTAGAAATGTGATCTTGTCACTTGGCGTGTTGTACCGAGTAAGTAATGCGTACTTACGTGTGTACTATATGCCCAGCACCTCGTCGACGATCCGACCGTGATGTTCAACGACCTTGCGGAGATGCTGAATATATAGGTATATCGAATAACGCAACATCAGTTATGTGCTGGATACGTATGAGGCTTGAAATGTGAGGTGGATTGCAGAACGACCACGCATACAGTAAGAGCAGGCGACACAGCCTTGCAAGCGTGTATCAGGAGTGATATATCTTCGGCGTTTGTTCAAGTCACCAAGAGTAGGTTCGCCTGGCGACGATCTCTGTATATTAGCAGCTCAGCATGAATTCATTCGACATACATCTTCGACCAGCTAAAGGAAGCAACCCTCATCCCGACGTTCATCGGACAGACACCTCGAGAAACTATTTGCCTGCACGGTCAAAGTCTTCTTCTTCTTCACCACTGAAACGACATAGTACAAAACAGTCAGCATGGCACAAACGCCGGCTCAATTCCCTCGATTTCCTGACCTACCTGCCGAGATCCAGTGCCTTGTCATCAAAAAACACTATGAAGATCCGTGGGTTGTGAGCTTGGTTAGGCAGCGAGATCCCCTGACTTCGATGTTCACATGCCGATACGAGTTCTCACCATGGATGGGGCGGCCGTTATCCGTTAACCACTTGTTCCACGCTGAAGCAAAAAGGGTTGTGCTGAAATCTAAGGCAGGTACCTACCTGCACAAATGTAAGGGCGAGGAACATCACTCTGCTTGGTTCGATGATGCCATCACGACTTTGGACGTCCAGGTATACAACAGCTTTGAGCCGGAAACTGCATTTCGGTTCAAGCGTCGATTCAAGAATTTGACCCGCATCGTTAACGTGAACGGTGCAGACCTAGGTTCGTTGCAAGCCCTTCCAAATATGCTCTTGGGGCTCGCTGCCAAACATTACTGCCTATTAGATGTTCTAGAGAGGAGGAAAGACGCGTTCTTGACTCGTGGAATGGGCCTTTTGATTGGAGATCGATTCTTCCACAGTTCCAACGGCGCCTTGGGCAGTGACGTTACATTGTCGATGGAGATGGCGTGGCCAGCCGACGAGTGGGCTCCCACTCCAGCTCCAGCCGGATTGTTACACGATCTACTTCAATTGCTACCGCAACTGTCTGGACAGATTCTTTTTCTCCAGTTTGAGTTTACCAAGACGACCTGTGCTTTGAATGATTTGACCCTGGTGGACATAGAGGAAGAAACTGACTGGACGGCGGAAGAGGTTGTGAAGATGATCAAAGATGCCGAAGAAGAGCTATCGCTTAGCGGAGAGGCGAGAACTTCTGACTAGATGGACGAAGGAAGAACCATGACATGGCATACCTTCCTGAATTGGTTGAGGAGAGTGTCGTAGCCTAGAGGGGACGGCGAACGCCTTTCAGCAAATACAGTAGATATAATATTAGCAATGGAATGAACAGTGGACAGAAGCTTTCGTGAATAGCCCTATGCTGTAAGCACGGACGTCTTTTTACAAAAATGGTTCGTTTCGATCGATCAGGCCATAACTCTGGGCCAATCAGAAGGTGGCTGATCTTGCAGGACAGGCCAAGCAATCTCGAAGCTCGGTTTCCTTATAGCAGTTCAAAGAAACTGTAGCTTCCGAGACCATTCCTCAGTCTTCGATCCTACATTGACATGACCTAGACGGTCTTCAAGTCACATGGTAGTGCCTCGGTTATGCATCACAATACAAATTGCTTGCAGTATGAAGATTTGTATCAATGCAGGATGGACAGATTCAGAACGTCCTCACTTCGTTCAGGAGTTTCCTGACAACAAGCTGCAGGACATTCCAGGACTCGCACAGGTAATGTGAGGATGACCAAGAGAGAGTGCGCGATGACAGCAGGCGACGGGAACTTGGGATACAGCAAATTGACCTGGACAGTGACAGGTATCATCGAAATGATCAGCGTATGTGAGATGGCAATGCAAGAGATGTGAGAAGGACGGAGAGGAGGGATACTGTGGTTAGGAACTTCCATTGTGAGAAACCTGGAAAGGTTTTGCGCTTGAGCAAGTTATCATGCTCACACAGCAGTTGATGTGGCGGGATGACAACGAAATCGGGGACTTTGGGTGAGTTCAGCCCATTTAACTGTATGCATCATGGTCATGCTGGGTCTCAGTACAAGAGTCAGTCGTCTTCTATACTGCAAGCTAGATTTCGTGTGCGAAGCAAGAAGCTGTAATATAGCGCTGTCTTTCAGGTTCAATTGTGTACGTTGAAAACTTTTGGAAGGTAGTGCGACAACCGCCCTAATAAGGCCAGCGTACTCCGATTGGCTCGTTTTTCCCGCCTAGAAGGCTGCATTTAATGTTACAGAATCTAAATTATTCACGAGGCAGATTGTTGACCACCAGTACACACAGGTTTCTGTTGCTAGACTCTGAAGATCGCATACTGACCGCAAAGATGCAGGCACCAGTGATCATGGTCAATACTGGCGCTGGTGAGAGACAGACAGGACGAAAAGCACAAATCTCAAATATTACAGCAGCGAAGACTGTTGCCGATATAATCAGATCATGTCTAGGTCCCAAGGCAATGCTGAAAATGCTGCTTGATCCTATGGGTGGTATAGTACTTACAAACGACGGTCACGCCATTTTGAGAGAAATTGAGGTCGCCCACCCAGCAGCGAAGAGCATGATTGAGTTGAGCAGGACGCAGGACGAAGAAGTAGGAGATGGCACGACAACAGTGATCATATTAGCAGGAGAAATGCTAGCACAAGCCCTTCCACAACTCGAACGAAACATCCACCCCGTGGTAATAATACAAGCCTTCAAGAAAGCTCTCAATGATGCGCTGGAAATTATAGAAGAAATCTCTGTACCTGTCGATACCTCGAACGACAAAGCCATGATCAGTTTACTGGAAGCAGCAATCGGCACGAAGACGATATCTCGATACTCAGATCTCTACTGCAAACTCGCCCTACAAGCAGTTCGAATAGTGTCACAAGAAATGTCCGCAGTTTCAAATCCACAACCACAGTCGACCAAGGGTGCACAGCAGCCGAACGGGACATCTCAAACTCTCAAGCCGCACGAGATAGACATAAAACGATACGCACGTATCGAAAAGATTCCAGGCGACAGCATTGAAGCATCTCGTGTCCTGGATGGCGTGATGCTGAACAAGGACATTACTCACGCCTCCATGCGCCGTCGTATCGAGAACCCACGTATCCTACTCCTCGACTGTCCACTAGAGTACAAGAAGGGTGAATCTCAGACAAACATCGAGATCACAGACGAATCCTCCTGGAACAGAATATTGCAAATCGAAGAAGAGCAGATCAAAAAGATGTGCGATGCCATACTCGCCGTCAAGCCCGATCTAGTTATCACCGAGAAGGGCGTGAGCGACCTCGCTCAACACTACTTTGTCAAGGCAAACATCACAGCAATAAGAAGAGTAAGAAAGACCGACAACAACAGAATAGCAAGAGCAGTAGGAGCTACAGTCGTCAACCGAGTCGAAGACATCAACGACGCAGACATCGGCACCGGAGCCGGCCTCTTCGAGATCGAGAAGATCGGTGACGAATATTTCACCTTCATCACAAAATGCAAGAACCCCAAAGCATGCACTATTCTCCTCCGAGGACCATCAAAAGATATCCTCAACGAAGTCGAGCGAAACCTCCAAGACGCAATGTCCGTCGCCAGAAACGTCATGTTTCACCCACGACTAAGTCCTGGCGGTGGTGCCACGGAAATGGCCGTGAGTGTCCGTCTTGCACAAAAGAGCAAGAGCATCGAAGGCGTCATGCAGTGGCCGTACAAAGCAGTCGCAGAAGCTATGGAGGTCATCCCAAGAACACTGATTCAAAATGCTGGTGCCTCACCAATCAGGATATTAACACAACTGCGAGCCAAGCAGGCGGAGGGTAAGAGTAATTACGGTGTAGACGGCGATTCTGGCGCTGTGATCGATATGCGAGAACTGGGTGTGTGGGAGCCACAGGCGGTGAAGATGCAGAGTATCAAGACTGCTGTGGAAAGCGCTTGCTTGTTGCTAAGAGTTGATGATATTTGTGGTGCAAAGAGTGCTAAGCAGGTTGGTGGAAGTGCGCTGGCAGGTGGAGCTGGAGGTGAGGATTGAGCAAGGTGAAAGGAGAGTTTGAGGAGTTCGAAAATCTTGCTACCACTGCAAGTACGGGTCTTGCGACCACGACAGATGCAAGATCTGTGAGTTTCAGGCTCGTTACCATGTGCAGCCCTGCAAGAGTCTGGCCGAGTCGTGCCGGCAGGCGAGACCTCTTGCTACGTGCTCGATGTGAAGGCGGACTGCAAGGAGAAAAGAGGAAAGAAGAACTATGAAGCAAGCGTTGATGAGCCAAGGGAAGTGTCTGCATTATGATACCACATGATCGTAAAATGTTATTCAGCTATCATTCTCAAAGTTTTGTGCCACATATCGTCTGACCATACGAAGATACTCGAACACTGCAAGCCTTCGATGAGGTCTTGCAAAGTACACCACGATGCTGGTAAGCTAACACGAAGTACAAGCGTGTAAACAGATCTATTCTGCTATCCCATATCTCAGACGCAAACACGTGGGATACCTTTTCAAGGCCCACGACGAAGATACAAACAGTGTAGGTATAGAGCTGGAAGTGGAGAAAAGAGTATGGGTCAAGCAGAGTACCATCCGGGTTTGCCTACTTGGTACTTGTGCGACGTGCATTTCGACGAGAGGGATTGCTTGTTTTGCCTTTCTTCGTGGCCTCGGCGATTTCATCCTCAGCAGTATCAGCTTCGTCAGCAACGTCTTCTGGTTGCGAAGCATCGGTGTGCTCGTCCTCTGGTAGAACTGTAGGAGCAGCCTTCTTTGGTCGACCCCTCTTGGACTGTTTCTTCTTGTCGACGTCGTCAAGAACATCTTCATCTTCATCTTCAGGTTGAGGTTCTGCTTTGACTTTCTTTTTCTGATTTGCTCTGGCTGGCTTGGGAGCCGCTTCCTCTTCCTTGTCAGTATTCTCTTCTTTGACAACAGCTTTCCGTCCTCGTTTCTTGGCCAGGGCTTTTGTAGCAGCTGCATGTGCCTCGCTATCGCCAGCACCATCGGATTGGGGTAGTGCTGCTCCTTGATCTTCGCTATCGTCGACTGGTTCCTGCTTGACTTTCTTACCACGTGATCTCTTCTTGGCAGGAGCTGGCTGGTCAGCGTCAACGTCTTCGTCCTTGACAGCTATATTCTCGCCTCTGCCTCTCTTCTTCGGTGCTGGTGCTTCGTCAATATCGTCGTCGTCGTCTCGGGTGGCTGCTTTGCGTTTTCTAGTAGCCTTCTTCTTGGGAACCGGTTCCTCACTTTCTTCGTCATCGTTAGCTGCTTTCTTCTTCTTCGTACGTTTCTTGGGCTTCGTGGGAGTAGACTCGGTGGCACTATCACCAGTCTCCCCATCACCATTGGAATTCTTCTTGGGTGTACGTTTGTTGATGCCTTTCATGCCAGGTCTGTTTAGTTCCGGTTCCTGGTACACATCAGCAAGGAATCATTCTGAGGATGGTATCGTGACCTACACCTTTCCAGTCTTCGTCGTGGACATGACCATTTCCAAGAGCATATTGGACCTTCTCCTGAGCCCAATCTGGAAGCTCTTCATAACCATCGAGAATGTCAAGATCCTCCTTAAGGTCAAGACCATCGAGTGTTCCGCCGAGCTGGACGATGATGTTCTCAATCTGCCTTGGTGTAACACAGCCCCTTCAAGTCGTTAGTCATAAGCTAGACAAGAGTCCAGAACACATACCAATGCTTCCATTTCCACGATGTATGCTCCTTGAACTTCACAAGGCTGCCAAAGCGAAGCTCACCTTTCTGAATTTTAGTTGCTGCATTCTTACACGCACTGTTCTGGCAGATAGCGCGTCCTGTGCTTGCAATTTCTGAGAGGAAGTCAGCATCGAGTTACCTGTAGCACTTCCTGGCCAACGCCTCACCATAACGGTATGCAGCTTCGCTCATGATTATGAATAAGCCGTATTCAACCAAATCGGCAACTTGAAGACTACAAACTTTGTGAAGAGGAAGACGTGTAGGCACTAAAGGCTTTTACACCATTAGTTGAATTAGCATGGCAGATTAAATTGACAAGCAATTAGCAAAGTAAAGCTTCTTCAGGAAGGTACGCGTGTCAGGGTCGCGACGTGTCGTGAGAGCCACGTCAATATACGGCAATATTTTTGCACCATCTACGCAGACTCGTCACTGACACAAAATCTTAATTTCGACCTTGTAAAGGCTGAATGATTGATTGTACACGACGTTGTATGTTCTCGACCAGACATGCTGAAACCGAAGTCGCAGAGCTTGAAGATCCTCGCTCTTCATCAGCAGGAATAGGTAGCCCATCTCCTCAAGATATTTGCCCATCGCCACATTGTTATCTGGACGTCATATTAGACCCGAGCGAGTCGCAATCCCTGGCCTCAACTAACAAGGCAGTCTGCTGAGGTATTGTGTTAAATTTCTGTCATGGAGATTCCAGTGAAACATGCGCTCTTCGTCATGCCAACAGCTAAAAAGGCGATTTAACCAGGGGCGGTATCGTGTCCTGTCAGTAGATCTCGTCCCCCACAGTGAGAGGTGGGTTGCATAGGGGAAGTACCCACGTGCTCTAGCATCATGAGCCGCTCTTACCATTGACCGAATATAAGTTTGAGGGTGAGCATGTTGAGCTGGCGGAGCACAGCAATTTCCTCTCAACCGATCAATGTGGACAACCACTTCCTCCAGATTGGGACAAGGAGCATGCAGTTCATCGAAAAGGCCGAGACAGGGCTCGAAATCAAAGAGTCGTAATCGTCGCAAGCGTAGAAGCACGAAGCTGAGGCACTTGCATAGATGAGTGTTCGCAGTCGGTGTTTCGGAGACTGAACCAAAGTCCTCAAGCTCTAGATTCTCCACCCTCGAGTGCGCCAGGGATCTTACAAACATGGCTAGATTCCTCATCACATTGCAGTTACGTCGACTGTAGCTGAAATTGACAACAGATAGACTCTTGAGGTTGTGCATTATCGGCAGCCATTTCGCGAGCCACGGAAGTCGTTGGTGACCATGCAAGGACATCACCCCTTTCCACACCTTCACCATCGTCAAAGAATGTATTCGCCGCACATTGACGGATGGCAGAAGCTCGAGAAATCGTCTCGCGTCTCTACTGAGCACGACAGGATCTCTCCAACGAATTCTTTGGCCTTCAGAGTTCCATAAGCGACAGACCCGTAGACAACTGGGGAGTGTGTCGAACACATAAGCGTGGACATGCCAAAGTAGTATGCCAGCTAGATTCTCATTACTGCCGAATGCTGTTGCAGTGTGACCGCCCGCTACTATGTCTGCTGACATGAAGTGCGAAAGCAGAAGTGAGCAGACAGAGACGATCGTGAGTGGTAGCTATAGCTGACCATAAGGTGGAAGCAGCCCTGGTATAAGTAGAACTCTGGCCTCCATTTGCTTCATTGTTGAAGGCTGACAGTTTAACATAACTTTGAGGTATTCTTAGACAAATACACAACCAAAGCAACCGTTTCGTATGGTTCCCATGTTTGGTGTTTGTCAGGCAGTTCGTGGACATTGTCTGTTGATTGTTCTAGGACAAGCTCACTCAAGTTGCTGCTGACCGCAAAAGATTCATTCCCCGTAGCATGCGAGATTTCTCAGATAGGACTCTGGAACTGATCATAGCCTCAGTTGGTGAATGCTCATAGCGACTCAATCATTACCCGAATGACCTGAAACACAACTCTTCATCGTGATGATGACGTCTCGAATTCTTTCGTCCCCGTCATCACCAGGAAAGCGTTCGTCTGCTTCCTCAACTACCACTTTGAAGAATTGTACATCTCGCGCCATTTCGGCCTCGTCGTCAGGTCCTACTTCCTGTTCGTCATCACCATTGACTTGGTCCTGTCCTGATGGCCGCATGCCAACCCCAATATTGATCAGATTCAGGGCTTCTGTCTTGGTAAGTCCGTAAGCCTTGAGCTTCTTCACAAGTTCAGAAATCCAGGAGTTGACGTCGGGCTGAGTTTTCACATGGGATGTAACTTCTTCCGTGTATGAATTAAACTTTGCTGCCTGTCAGGTATACTATTTCCACGGCACCTACGTTTTCCAGCACGAAACTCACATCTTTCAGAATTGTCTGCTGACCATGCAGGTTGGTCGAAGGATAGGCACCACTCTTCGCTTCTGGTACCCCAGGCTTCTTTGTTTTTAGGAATTGATAGACTTCTGCATTGGTAAGCAATGCACTTTGTGGATCAAGCACTCTCATCGTGAACTCGCAGTCACTTTCTTTGAGGAACAAGCCTTGCTCTTACTTGCTTCGCAGAGTGAGAACAAAATTGACGCGATCAGGAGAAGAGGAGCGAGTTTTAGAGAGGACAACAAATAAGTCGAAATTTTACCAGATTTTAAACAGCCTCAGGCATCAAAGGTATAACTCGGCTACTAGTAATTCACAAACACATTTTACAAAAAGAAACCCTTGTTAATCAGGTGGAAGGTCACTTATACACACAAGCTTGGCAGTATTGGTACAAGCTGAAGCTACAACTACACCAGAGCTAATTATGCACAATGTTTTGACGTCCAGTAATCAAAGCCCACATACTCAAAAGCCTATAGCTCCTTGCACCAGATCCCGAACGCCTGGTAAATGCGAACAACATCAATCATGCTTCTCGAGTCGCAGATTATACAGCCTTGGATTTCTTTTTCTTCTTCTCTTTTGGCGTTGAGTCGTCGTCCACATGCTTGCGTTTCTTCGAGCCAGCGACTTCGCCATTAGTGGTAGCACTTTCAACCTTTTCTGCTGCCTTCTTGGCCTTCTTGATGTCCTTCTTCGATACAGCAACAGGAGTACCATCTGAAGTGAACGAGATCTCGCCTCGAGCAAGCTTTCTCTCATAGCGCTCCACACTTAACCCGCATGCTGCAGCTAATCGTTCCAGCTTAGCAGCTTCTGTTTCCCCATTGGTCTCTCCAGCAACCTTCTTGGCTTTCTTTTCTGACTTCTTTGCTGCTTTGCGCTCTTCCTTCGACAACTCTTTTGTTCCGTTGGGAATGATTGCGGCAACTTCTTCGTCGTCTATTGGTTCTTCGGGTTGTGACTCCGCATCATTGCCATTAACCATCGAGATATCTTTTGTGGTATCAAGCTCTTCAATCAGCTTTTTGTCCTTCTTGGACTTCTTGTCTTTCTTAGCCGGCTTCTCTTCGACGGCTGGCGCCTCGTCACCAGCAAGACCATCGGCATCTGGGTTGTATTTTCGTGCTTCCTTGATCTCCCACTTCTTCGGCTGTTCCGTTACACCAACACCATTTGGTGCGATAGCCACACCTCGGGGCTTGATCGGCTTTCCTTCCAAGTGGGCCAGCTTTCGCTCGAGATAGCCACGGGCCTCAATACCCAATGCAGCTTTCTCTTCTTCAGGAATGTTCGCTTCATCATCTCCCCAGTCTTGTAACGAATCTACTCTCAATCCCAAGGCAGCCTTTGCAGCCAACACTCGTGCCATCTTCCCCTTGTTCTTTCCCGACGCCTGTCCAATGAGAGAGGCATGATAGATGAGACCATATTTCGGAGTGTCGTGCTTGGTCTTCAGTGCTCGGAAAAGAGCTTTCTCAGCACCGAGGATCTGAATCGTACTGGCTGGGCTCTTTGAAAGGTTCACCAAGCTACCAGCATGTGCTATCAGCCGAGCACCCACCAGCTCACCAACCAGCGCAGTCAAGTTGGGTGCTATGGCCGTCATTCGCGCAGAGAGATAGCTTGCCAACTGCTGTCTGTATTCTGTGAATTGTACGACTTGGTCAGCTAAACTTTGTATGTTTTCCAGATCCTCTTCGGTAATCTCTGTTCCCATCGACCTATCTGCAGCACTTTTCACCGCTGTCTCAATCTCTTCAGGCAATATTTCTGCGAGACTTATCGTTTCCCAATTTGTACGCATGCCCATTTTCAGTACGACCTTTGCATAGGCGAGGTTGTCATTGAGAATTTTGGCCATTTCTGGAAAATGCCAGCCATACCACTCCTTCACTCTCATAGCATATGTATTCAACTCTTTATCCAGGTCGTCCAGCAAACCGATAGCCTGTACAATCATAACATCGATCTTGTCGGGAGAAAATTTGAGCTTGTGTCGTGCAAGTGAGTGTGATAAACCCAAGCTCATGGTCTTGACATCTTCGGGCATCAGACCAGGTATCAGAGAGGGCAAATGTTCTCGAATGGCTCGGTAGAGATCGGCTGTCGCCGAATCTGCTATTGCCTTGATCTCTAAACCAGGTATTTTGCCAATTGCATTGCCGAGCTTGGGATCAGCCACTGCCAGAGAGATCTTCTTCTCGTCTTTGAGCTCATTCAACATGGAGGAGAGTTTTGGTGTGACTTTTCCCTCCACTATGGCAGCAGCTTCCTCGAGAGCTGCTGCAGCGCTGTCGAACTTTTGGAACTGCTTGAGCTTAAGCTCGTTACATATCGTTTCGACATTGCTGAGCTCGGTATCCAGATCATCGCGCTTGAGGAGCTTCTTGTCTTTGGCTTTGAGCAGAGCATAACCTGCTGACGTTTCGGTAAGAATAAGCAGTGTCATATTGATGATGCGCGCGATGCGCCTGAAGTATGTACAAGAATACTATGGTATATCAAAACACTATTCTGCTTTTCTGTTGCCAACATCTTCTGCGGCTCGCAAATTTTTGGAGAGCCAGTAGCCCGCGCCAAGCTCGAATCAGCTCTGCTGCCTCAGGCTATATACACGTTCAGGTGTCAAGGCACCCTGCGGTTGCAGGTGCGGCGACTCGTGCTTTCTCTGCATCATCAGATCAGCTTCAGGAATCCTGGAGACACAGTATAGAAGTGTCTACCGGCGAGGATACAACATTTGTACCCACATCAGATCAACCCGAGTCTCCAAGGGACCGCGACAAGCAGAAGCCGTATCAGAGCACGCTCCATTGCTTGCTGCACCTCGTCAGAAGATGGAAGGCCTCTACTTCAATGTCAATGGCGGTTACCTTGAAGGCATTGTTCGTGGTTATCGCAACGTACTTCTCACAGGCTCACAGTACGGCAATCTTACACAATGCGAGAACATAGACGATATCAAAATGCAGCTGGGCCCTTCGTATGGCGATGCGCTGGCGTCGCTGCCACCAAATCCCTCCACATCTGCCTTAGCAGACAAAACAACAGAGAAGCTTGTACAGGATTTCAGATACTTGCAAGGACAAGCGACAGGCTCTCTCGCTAAGTTCATGGAGTACCTCACATACTCATATATGATCGACAATGTTGCGCTGCTTATTACAGGCACACTGCATGAAAGAGACACCAAGGAACTGCTCGAGAGGTGTCACCCCCTCGGCTGGTTCGAGACCATGCCTGTTCTCTGCGTCGCCACTAATATCGAAGAGCTGTACAATTCGGTACTCATAGAAACACCACTGGCTCCATACTTCAAAGGTCATCTATCACATCACGATCTGGACGAGCTCAATATAGAGATCGTCAGGAATACTCTATACAAGAACTACCTTGAGGATTTCCACCACTTCGTCAACAATGATTCAGAGATGGCCATGACTCCCACAGGCGAGATTATGTCGGAAATCCTGGAATTTGAGGCCGACAGACGTGCTATCAACATTACATTAAACTCGTTCGGCACAGAATTGTCGAAGGACCAACGCAGGAAGCTCTATCCAGATTTTGGCAAATTGTACCCGGAAGGAATGTTGATGCTGTCACGAGCAGACGACATTGAAGGTGTGAGCTTAGCAGTTAGCGGTGTTGGTGACTACAAACGCTTCTTTGATGAAGTTGGCTTGAACCAGAGCAGTAGTGGTGTTGGTAACATGGCGGGTGGATCTGGCGCCGAAAGTAAAAGCTTGGAGGACCTATTCTACCAGAAAGAGATGGAACTGTCCAAGCTGGTATTCACTCAGCAATTCACGCATGCTGTCATCTATGCTTGGGTGAAGCTGCGAGAGCAGGTACGTTGTGATCTGATTGCGAAATTTACACTGCTAATGTTTTTCTACAGGAAATCCGGAATATCACTTGGATCGCTGAATGCATAGCCCAAGGTCAGAAAGACCGGATAGGTAACTACATCAGCGTTTTCTAGTTGACAGCCACGAGCTATTCTCTATTGCTTGAGTTCGATATGCGTGGCGCGGCGTCTCAAGGTCAAACACGAAAGTGATAGAATTTTCGCATACATTAGGTCCTATGCATACTTTTCCCGGTTCGCAGTCGTCTGTGCTCTCGGTGAATTTCGACAATGATCACGGTTGTTCTTGCTATGTCCATGAGACGGTGCATTCTCGAGCTCGTGGTTCGTTACCATTCTACTGCTGGTTCTCATACTCGCCCTTTTTGTGGTCATTCCCGTTCTTCGACGTCGGGTTTCTCTGTTGGGGCCTCTGAGGGTCCGTTCAAGGTGACCTGCTTCAGTTTCTATCTCATGCGTTCTGGACCTGAGACCTCTCTTACAAATTACGACCAAGCTGATAGGAGCCCAACACTTCGCCTCACATATTTGTCGCTCCCTCTGCGTTAGCCCTGTTCGTCACGCGTGCCTTTCGCAACCACGAGCCCAATCTGTCGCGAAAGCGAATCACACTAGGTAACAAACGCTGACTATCGTGTCACATTTACTAGCCTAAGCAGAACTGGTGAACGATATCCTCTATTCGGACAACGGTGTGTAATGCTTGGTCACTCAACAGTGGCACAGTCACACTGCTGCTTCGTTACCGCCATGGCTTGGCGATAGAGCAGAGACTATTTCTTACTCGTGCTGCGAACCCATATCGGATTTTTAGCAATGCACGCTTACTGAGCGAATGTCTGCTCATTCCGCAGTGAAAAGGACATTCCACCCGAAAGTGGATACGGATCGTCTTCAATTGGCTGCCAGCTGTCCCTCTGATTTGAGCCTGCTTACAGAGGTTTGGATAAGCTGGCAGTACCTGGATTTCTAGCGCAGTTCATCTTGCAGCCTCGATGCATCTGCCGTGCCAGACCTGAAGGCAAACGTAATTATCTGCCATCATGTTGACACGTATCTGCTGCTTGGATGGGAAATTCCTACAGCTGTACCAATGTGCAGATTCCCCACTTATGTCGGCGGGGCTCAAGATGAGCAGAGGGACTCGCCTCACGCAATACGCGCTGTTATTGATATAAAGCTTGCATGTCTATGACTTTCCTCCCAAAGTTTCTCTTACTGTTCTACTAGGTAACCTGGGTATCATTCCACGAGCAGTACTACAATCCGTCAAAATGGTCAGAGTTGCTATCATCTATTATTCGACGTAAGCTCTCATGCTCTTACGGTTTCATCGTGCTGATCGATCAAAGATGGGGTCATGTAGCCCAGCTGGCGCAGGCTGAGAAGAGAGGTATTGAGAGTGCTGGAGGCACATGTGATCTTTACCAGTGAGTATTGTCAAATGAGATCAGACTTGAGCGACGGTTGACTTGCTTTGTAGAGTTCCAGAGAGTCTTACTCGGGAAGTCTTGGACAAGATGCATGCTCCTCCACACGACACTTCTCTTCCAGATGCCACTCCCGAAACATTCACCTCCTACGATGCCTTCCTTTTTGGACTCCCAACCAGATATGGAAACTACCCTGCACAATGGAAGATTCTCATTGACAGACTGGGTGGTCTTTGGGCCAGCGGGGCCCTTCAAGGCAAATACTTTGGTCTGTTCGTCGCTACTGGTACCCCAGGAGGTGGACAAGAATCAACTTGCATTGCTGCAATGTCCTCCTGGGTTCACCAGGGCATGATCTACGTGCCTCGTCAGTTCTACTTCTCATATGCAGCAAAGCCATATTGCTAACAGCAGTCTTAGTTGGTTATAAATACACGTTCAAGTCTTTGTCAAACTTGGACGAGGTTCGAGGTAAGCGGGTCCCCAATGTCTTGCTGAAACTTGGCCCAGTCTGGCGGTTTTGGTCTGCATCCTCGCCTTAGCTAACATGTGATAGGTGGCTCCCCGTGGGGTGCCGGCACATTCTCCTCTGGTGACGGCTCAAGGCAGCCATCGAAACTCGAAATCGAACTTGCTGAGGCACAAGGGAAGATGTTCTACGAGACTGTCGCTAAGGTCAACTTCGCATGACTCGATGGCACGAAGAAGGAGGTGGAGAGTACAGAGGCTGCTCCTACCAAGATTGAGGCGAAGCCTGCCGCGCCTGAGCAACATGGCAAGCCTGGTCAGGCTGTCGATACAGACGACAGGAAGGAAGAAGGAGGACCCTGTGGTCTTCCCAAGCATTGCACCGTATTATAGACAGATTTGAACAATTCATTATTTCGAAGGCCAAGTCATCTCACTCATCTCCTCTCAGCTCGTGCTTGCTAGCTTGAAGAGCAATATGATCTAGTGCGCGGGATATTCTCGAGCCGGAAAAAAAAAACAAACTCATGCAGAGTTGCATAGCATGGTGTTTCGAGTACTCGTCAGCATCCACGACCTGGGAAGATAGCAAAACGGGGAGAAACTGGATAGTAGCGGTTGGGGACGGGACGCAATTGCAAAGATTATGCTCAAAGCGTGCTGAAAGATAAGCAGCAAGATGCCGCTGCCATGGAGTTCTGATTGGCGATGGGCGGTCATGTATTCGTGGACGGGCTCCTCCACTACCACCCGCAAAACACCACTGGCCATGGAGTCTTCCAGCTTGGCTTGAACCTCTGTTGGGTCAAACCATGCACTGGACATGGACGAGAACGGCTACAATCAGCATCTCTCACGAGCAATATTATGTGCAACGGATATCAGCTACTTGACCATGGCCATGACTGGTGAAATCTCAAGCTCCCCACAAAAAAATCACCCCGACTACTAAGCATCAGTTTAACAGTGGATATGCCTTGCGATCCTCATGCACAAAGCGGGTTACGAATACTTGATACGGCTATGGAAAGGTCATGTCTTGGTAGGTTACATCCAAGGTGGTGATGAAGTTGGGCAAAATCTCTGTCCCGTTGTTGCAATGCATACTGCATGCCGAACTCATAAAAGCAGAGGTTTTTGCATAGACGTTAGCACAAAAGGACCCTCAAGGAGGATACAGAGCTTCCGTCTGTCCCGACGACATTGATTGTCTCAGATATCAGCACATCCCCATCCACTTGCTCATATTCTGAACAAGTCGACTTAATTCAACCTGAGAGGCAGTATGAAGGAAGAGAATAGCTCCGCTGAAGCCGTCTACGTCGATGCTGAGGCTCAAGATGACCTCAAAGCTGGCAATTCTGGCCATACTGGAGATGCGATGCTCACTGCAGGACATGGAGGGGAGACACAACGTGGCATGAAATCGAGGCATATCCAGTTTCTGTTCGTTCGCGATTGTGAATACTATTCTACGTTACTGACATTTCTAGTGCGCTCGGCGGTGCAATTGGTACTGGTCTTTTTGTTGGTTCGGGTTCGATCCTATCGACGGTCGGACCTGCGCCTCTATTGATGGCATACCTCTCAAACATGATTATCGTCTGGGTCGTGATGAACGACCTCGCCGAAATGGTCACATATTTACCTATGAAAGGTATTACTATTCCATACTTTGTTGGTCGTTATGTCGACAAGAGTCTTTCGTTCGCGTCAGGGTACAATTACTGGTATGCCTACTCGATTCTTGTTGCAGCTGAAGCTGTAGCGGGAGGTATCTTGCTGAGCTATTGGGCACCAAACGTCAATCCTGGTGTATGGATCACTATCTTCCTAGTTTTGGTCTTCGCCCTCAACATGATCGCGGTGTCCTTCTTTGGTGAAGCAGAGTTCTGGTTCGCCTCAATCAAACTCATTACAATCACTGGTCTGATAATCCTGGGATGGGTACTCTTCTTTGGAGGCGGACCGAATCAGGATGGGGTGGTTGGGTTCCGCTACTGGAACAACCCAGGTGCATTCAACGAATACCTGGTCGCTGGTAGTACCGGAAGATTTCTTGCTTATTGGACAGCCTTCGTTCGAGCAGGTAAGTAGAGTCGGATTCTTCAATTTTGCTTACGAAGACTGATTCTGTGAAAAGGCTTCGCGTTCATAACTTCGCCGGAACTGATCGCACTTGCTGCTGGTGAGGTCCTCGCACCACGAAGAAACATTCCAAAAGCTGCGAGACGATACGTATATCGCCTCTTGTTGTTCTATGGCATGGGTAAGATGAGGGTCATTTCTACGTTGACCACCGCTGACTTCTACAGGATCCTTCATCATTGGAGTCATTGTGCCATTCAACAACGAACGCCTCTTATCCCCAGAGTCCAATGCCAGCGCCTCACCGTTTGTCATTGCCATCCAGAATGCTGGCATCGGCGGACTGAACCACGTCATCAATGCGGCGATTCTCACCTCAGCCTGGTCTGCTGGTAATGCCTTTCTCTACTCGGGCTCAAGAATTCTCTATGGCCTTGCACTCTCCGGCCAGGCACCAAGGTTCTTCGGCCGGACTACGAAAAGAGGAATTCCTTGGGCTGCAGTGCTCGTAACATGGCTTCCAGGGTGTCTAGCTTATCTTACAGTATCCGATACCAGTGCCGTGGTTTTTGATTGGTTCGTTAACATCTCGACAATAAGTGGTTATGTAGCCTGGATCGTGTGTCTCATCACATACCTGCGCTTCCGCGAGGCGTTATCTCATCAAGGCCTCCTACATACTCTGCCTTACAAAACGCCATTCCAGCCAGCTGCTACCTGGATCGTTCTCGTCGTATTGACTATCTTGACAATTACGAACGGCTTCCAGGTCTTCTTTCCTTCGAATTGGTCCATATCTGGTTTCTTAGCAGCATACATTACCATACCAATCTTTCTGGCACTCTACCTCGGCCATAAACTTGTTCGAAGGACAAAATTTTACATCGGGGTAGCCGATATCGATGTTATCTCCGGCAAGAAGGAGATGGACGAGTATTGTGCATTAGACGAAGAACCTGTTGCTAGAAACTGGCTACATAAATGCTGGCTGTGGCTCGCATAAACAACATGCAACAATAGACCAGCCACAATAGAAGGAAAACGTTCAATTTCGCTCGATGTTCTTCTTCAGCTCTTTGACAAGGTGGTCACGAAGGAGCTGCCATGGTCGCACAGCATTATGGATTTGGTTTCCTCTCTCCAGCCATTTTGTGAATTCGTGTTCGCACGTTCCCACAGCTGTGCTCTGGTCATGTGCAATCGATCACCTATATACCCTGACGCCAGCAAGTTCGAATGCTCGAGTGCAGAGAGTAACGCCTGGCCACCAACGAAAGACAAGCTACAGTAAGCTTGCTCGCGTATGTGTTACAGTGGATCTCAAGGATACAGTGGCTAGACCTTGGATTGGCCGGAAAAGCGCCGGCCGATACTTCGTTGCTCCGCAACTCTATTCTTCAGGAAGCTTTATGGCTTGTCGGCCGGCTAAACACTGCCTCGCTCGAGACTGGTCTAGTTGTGATTTTTCTGTTGAGAAATGGTCATGGTTTTTACTAAATGAGATCATGCTGGAGTACTTCCACTTCTTCCGGAGAAGGTGCCAAGAATTGAGGTCCATCTCGAATCCATATGTCAGCCAATCAGTGAGAAGCTTTGCACGCTTCGTGATCCAGACTGGATCTCCCCTGCATTTGTTTCAGGAATTGTGAACAGTACTTATAGCTGATTTCCTTCCTCCACGCATGCCCCAGAAAGACATTAATCCATCACATTTCGCAAAAGAATCTTCGTTATCATCGAAAACCACTTGAAGTTATAATAGATAACTGTCAACAAAACACCTCATATACCAAATCATCAACATGCGTGTCACAAGCACTGTTCTCATCGCTCTCGCAGCAACAACCTCGACCTATGCACAGATCCTGACCAGCGCCGGCTCGCTTGTCTCTGACGCCACTGCTGGTGCAGGAACTATTATCGACTCTGCCACTGGCGGTGCATCAAGTGTCGTTGCCTCTGCCACCGGCAGCAGCTCATCAGTGGACTCCAGCTCCATCGCCTCCGTTGCAACATCAAATGCCTCGAGCATCGCTTCAGCCGCATCAACATCTCTTGCATCATTCAACTCGAGCATCTCCGCAAACCTCTCATCGGCGATTGCCTCAGCGTCCTCAGCAGGCAATACCTCAGCCCTCGCAAGCTTGACTAGCTCTGCATCATCTGCTTTGAGCACTGCTTCGAGCGCAGCTAGCTCAAGAGCTTCCAGCGCAAGCTCTGCTGCCAGCGCTTCACGAACTGTCACAAGCGCTTCAGGATCGTCATCTGGTATGGCTGCTGCCATCACTGCCGGTGTCGGTATGGTTGGTGCTGGTTTGGTTGGCTTGGCTGCTCTCCTATAAAAAGTTGATAGAATCATTCAGGTTGGCTGGTTAAGACACAAAGATCGGATCAAAAGTAGAAGTGTTTCCATTATGCAAAGCAACAAGACCTGCATCTCAATGAAAAGAAAAGCATGTCCTGCCCTGTGCCTAGTCGGCACGTATAACAATATTTATATTTAATACATGATCTGTGATTAATGTCTATACTTTTGAGCTTACACACCTGCACTTCATGATTCATTGTGGCCTACTTGGGCATTACTGCTAGATTGCATCTTCCCATACGGATGGTCAAGGATATGAAAAATTGTATTGGCATTTGAAGGTAATGTCCTTTTCCGAGTGGTCGTTGTACCTAGAGGAAAAATTTATTTGTTCGCCTGATACACTTGCAGTGAAGGTACAAAAGATCTCTTGGCTTACGTAAATGTTGTTATTATGCCCAAACAGGCAACTTCGCATATCCATGGCTGTGCTACTGAGCATTTCCCAAGCATTTTATACAACCTGACCCATCTGTGCTCAACGAGGTACCATTAGTTGCAAGTAACTAAAAACACATCCACAAAAATCACAATGACCACCACAGCTGCCTCCCAAGTCCTTAACGACATCTACACCCAACGTCAAACCGCACCACTTTCAATCCTCTCACTCGCCGACCCAATACTAAACCCCGAACCACAAACACTACCACAAACACCTTCATCCCAGTCCCAGTCTCAACTATCAGTATCGCAAAATGGCTCGAATGCCACAAACACCACAATCCTCACACCATCCACTCTAGCAGTCGACCTCGAACACTACCGCGACCTCTTCTCCAAGCTCCGCTTCTCATACCTCGAACAAGTCACCAAAGAAAAATATCTAAAGAACCTCATAGGCGAGCCACCGACCCTCGCGACCCCGGAACAAAATGCGCAACTCGAGGAGAAACTCGTCGTGATGAAGGCCGAACTACAAACGAAGAAGCGTGGTGTTGATGCCCTGGTCGTGGAAATGGAGCAGCTGGCGCGCGAGATTGCAGAGAAATACGATATAGTGGAGGCTGGTATGAGGCAGTTGGAGACTCTGCCTCGGGAAGTAGAGGGTCTAGAGCAGGAAGTGGAAGAGCTGAGGCGCCAGCTGAGAGAGAAGGAGGGCGAGATGGAGATCAGTAGTGACCCACGGATGAACTTGAGCTTGGAGGAGACACAGATGTTAGTCCAGGAGCAGCGGCGGAGGCAGGAAGGACTACGTGGGCAGCTCGACACTTTTGAACGTGAATTACCGGCTAAGATGAGGGAGTGTGAGAAGGCCGAGCGCGAATTGGTGGAGATTGAGACGAGGAGGAATGAGGTCACGAGGACGGCGAGAGACGCGCTGAGACGGAAGGCAGAAGGGAAGCCTGATTTACTAGAGCAGCAGGGCCGTTGGTACAAGAGTAGTGAGGTTGTGCTGAAGGGACTGCTTGGTGTGGAAGATTAGTGGATTAAGAGATTTCTTTGTTGGCTGAGAATATGATTTACGAAGGACAGGAAGGAGTCAGGATGGATTTCAATACCCAGACAGCTTTGGTGATAAACTTGAAGCATGTGGCTTCGATTGATTGGTATTGCTATCATTTCTGAGGTTTACCGCCTCAGGCTTTCTTCTGGTGCAGCAAACTGCCTTATTTCACGACTCGGCGGATGCAAGTCGTCTTCTCGTCCATTTTCATTGACATATTCTGACCTTGCATGCATTGTAGGTGAGTGCTGCATCCAGAGCGACGATCGTAATGATGTAAAGGTTATCTCTGCGCACGGATTTACTCCTCGTCATCACCAGCATCGTCACCACCTTCCTCACCCTTCTCAGCAGCCTTAGCCTTCTTCCTCCTTACACGACCTGGTCGCCCACCACCGAACGGCGATGTAAGAGCGAAATCAATGTGCTTCTGAGAATCCAATCGAACGACGAAGGAAGGAACGTTGACAATCTGCTTGCCAACTCGGATGTGTCTCTGTCGAATGAGGACACGAGCGTGGTGGATAGATTTGGCAAGGCCGAGCTTGTAGACACAAGTCTGCAGTCTTCGCTCCAAGAAATCTTCGACCTTGAGGGCCAACACGTAATCGAGCTTCATGCGGGATTCGTCAAGGACACCGACTCGGACAAGTCGTCGAATGAGGGCGTTGCCTTCGAAGAGTCGCTTAGGATCCTTCTCATCGAGAGTCAGGAGTTGACTATGCTGCTGTCAGTATAGATTCCTGCTTTTCTAGCGGTTGTATCTTGTTTCGTACCGGGCAGCACGTCGAATCTTAGACAGAGTAAGCTGGACTCGCCAGACTTCTCGCTTGTTTCGTAGACCATATTCACCGACAATCTTGAGTTCGGAATCGCTGAAGAAGCGTTAGATAGAGGTACCAAAGACTTAAGCAGAGGGCTAGCTCTTGCTCAGTGGCCTGGATCAACATACAGACGAGCCGACTCGAATGCTGTGACTTGTTAGCACGCGACATCGTCAATGAAACGGTATGTGGTTACTTACGTCGTCTAGGAACCTTGTAGGTCTTCGAATAGGATCTTGGAGCCATGACTGCGATTGTTTGGCTTGCGCAATCAAGGTGTTATCGACGTCGAGATGACTATCCGTTATAGTTCGTGGTCGCAATTCGAGGATGAAGCGGCTTCGCCAAGAATTTTTTGTGTGGCCGGTTCAGGGCAGGTGCGGCGTGCCAAGATCGCACCTGACAATTGCGATTTTTGGTAAACCACCGAAGACGACACACCAAACCGAGACCAAGACATACACAACACATACTGACCATTTCTGAGAGTATTCACAATGGGTGCCTCTCGTGGTCTTCGAAGCGGTACTCGCGTACGTTTTCCGACAGGCATGCGACGAATGTTAGACTAACATCTGGTCCAGTATGCCTTCTCTCGAGATTTCAGAAAGAAGGGTTCGATTAACCTCTCAACATACCTCCAGCAATACAAGTACGCGAAGTCCTCGATTATCTGTTGTGAAAGGATCTAACGCTGCAATTCAGGGTTGGAGATATCGTTGACATCAAAGTAAACGGTGCTGTCCAGAAGGGTATGCCATACAAGGTCTACCACGGCAAAACTGGTGTAATCTACAACGTTGCCAAGTCGGCCGTCGGTGTCATTATCTACAAGAAAGTCGGAAACCGATACCTCGAGAAGCGAGTCAACGTCAGAGTCGAGCACATTTCACGATCGCGGTCCCGAGAAGAATTCTTGACTCGAGTAAAGGACAACGCCCAGAAGCGAAGAGAGGCCAAGGAGAAGGGTGAGAGCGTGCAGTTGAAGAGACAGCCGGTGATGCCGAGGGCAGCTCATGAGATTAAGATGGCTGGTGTTGAGTCGCTGGCACCTGTCGCATATGACACTCAAATCTAAATGTCTTGTCAAGTTACTGGGTTGTATTTGCGGTTGCATGGAGGTTCTCTCGCACGTCGAGATGGTACTGCCGATATTACGGTCGAATTCGACACATTGAGTGAGTACGATGGAAGAGGTGCCCTACCAGCGTCGAGCATAAAGATATGAAGGTAAGTATACTGCCAAGATCTTGAAAATGCTATGCGACACAAAGAATGAATGAGATGAGCACCAATATATGCATGATACCTTCAGATTCGGCCTCCGAAATTTCTCAGCAATGCAAGTTCATTTCAATTACGGTAGCCGTCTAAGCACGACGACCAGCTCGTGATATGTTTCAATTGCATGTGTCCTGACTACATCCGACCCTGTGCAGTGCAACACGAATATGAGCCTGTCAGAGCAATGCCTTGGCGGGATATTGCTTCTGACTGCTGGAATGCTGCTGTGAAGCAAGTTCGTACCACTCTACGCTTTTCTCTAGCTGTCCTTTTAGGTTTTTTTTGTCCCAACCTACTTATGCATTTTCAATCCTATGAAGCGACCTTAGGAGAATACTTTGCAGCAGCTGTATAAAACAGTGCCTCTTTCTCCTTCAGGTCCGATAGTAGCTGATGCTCGCTATCCCGACTTTCCAATGTTGCCCTCAGCTCATTCGCTCGGTCTTGATTGCCCCTGCCCATAATGTATTGTAACACAAGCATGTTTGCCACGGCCTGTATATCAGCGTTGTCACTCTCCAGTGCCTGGTTCAGTGCCGCCTCCGCCTCCTCTACTCGGCCCAGGTGCATCTCACTGACTGCTTGGCCTACTAGGGCAGTTGGACTCTGATTTCCCGGCGCGCTTGCCAATTCTTCAAAGACATAATAGCTAGACTGGTACTTCTCCTGTCCACCTACCCTCAAATTCGTCCATGCTTCAGCAAGGTTGATCAGCAAGGAGTCTTGAGCCCATCTTTTCGCTGCTGCAACTTCTTTGAGCGCGAGATCAGTCCTGTTGTTCTGAAGGTGTATTTGTGTCAACAATGCTACGGCTTCGAGACTGCCTTGATGTTTTGACAAGACTTCAACTGCTTGGGTGTATTCGCCATTGTTGGCTAGTATGGTACCGGCACATATCTGCACGGTAGGGTCTTCGTTGTCACTGCCTTCTGCTAAGCTCTGCGCTGTGGACAAATCATTCTTGGCCAAGGCAACGAGCGCTCTGGACCCTGGATCCCGACTTCTGGAAAGGGCAGAGACGACTTGTGATGTCTGACCTAACGCTATCTGGGCACGGTATTTGAGCGTCTGAGCAGTAGGCTTGTTGTTGTTGCTCAAGCCACTGAGGTCGAAGTCGAGCACGGAGTTGTAGGCGTGAGTATAGAAAGCCGTTGTTATGTTAAGAAGTTCTAGGGCCAATTAGTTGACGTGCTCTATGTTTGAGAAGTGCCCGTCATATACCACTTTCTCCAGAGAAGGGATCCATGTTTGTTGCCGGGCGGAGCCACGATTTTATATCAACGAACGTCTCTTCAGAGGGAAAAAAGATCCTCGTGGCTGAAGATTCCCTAAAGCCGTCGTATTACTGTAATTGTTTCGTGCTGCCAGTGCTGTATATCTGTTCAATATCTCGCGACGAACATATGGTTCTTAAACAGTCCCGCAATACTGAGGGAAGGTGCGGCGAGTTTCAGGATACGATTCAACAGAGCCCTTCTATACACATATGGCAGTAATACCTTGAGTAGTGACAAGCCACTATAGTTCTCCACGAAGAGCACAACCACATCGCGAAGCAGGCCAAAAGACAGACTTGACCAGTATCGAACCTTACTTCTCAACTCGAGCCTACCACGATGAAAGCTACCAAGTCCATGTCCAACAGTTTCTCGTTCGTCCACAGAGGCATCATCCTTGAATACAGAGCGGCACAGACCAAATCAGCCATGAGCAGACTACGAGCGAACTACCATCTGTTCCTGCGGAACCAGCCAAAGAAACCAGAAAGCGCACCTACAAGACACATGAGAATCAGACCATGGAAGGCACCTGTTGTGGAGTACTAGTTGTACTCGTGTAGTTCAAGGGAGACATTGTTTGGCTGAATAGATGTGTGTCGATGAGTTTGACACTGTGTGTACGAATATTGGATTGGGTATGGCAAGGCGTTTGCAGGCGTGATTGAGCTCTGTATTTTGTACGTCTTGAGGACTATAAGACTTGCAACTCGAAAGCTTTTCCACTCACTTTCAACGAGCACTTCTATACGAGTACTCAAACCAGGTTCTTGTGCGGGCCGTTGTATTGGTCCAGGGGAACTGTATTGACAAACAGGGCGCTGGCGAAGGCCTCTGGGTATCTTGTTCCATGAACCTCTGCACCTGCAATAGCCTTTCTGATCTCGGCATCTTCCTCCTTGGTGATATTCAGCTTGAGCGCACCCATGTTCTCGTCAAAGTTCTTGGTCCTTGTCGTGCCTGGAATAGGAAGGACAAGCGGGTCACTCTCCATCAACCATGCTAACGTCAGCTGACCAGACGTGCAGCCTTTCCTGTCTGCAATGGCTTTCAATGTGTCGACCAGCTCGAGGTTCTTGTGAAAGTTTTCCTTGCTAAAACGAGGAGCAAACGTTCGGAAATCACCCTCCTCGAAATCGTCAGGAGACCTTATTGAACCAGTAAGGAAGCCACGACCCAAGGGACTGTATGCAACAATAGCCACGCCAAGCTCTCTGCATGCCTGAAGAAGACCTTCCTGTTCGACTTCCATTGCAAACGGCGAGTACTCCATTTGGACTGCGTCGATATGCGCGATTTTGCAGGCGCGGCGAAGAGTGTCGGCTGAAACCTCGCTGAGGCCAAGATACTTCACCTTCCCGGCATCCTGAAGTTCCTTCATGACCTTGACCGTGATCTCGATTGGTTGTTCTTTGTCAGCTCTGTGGCAGTAACTAACGTGTATTAGCACTTCCATTAAACTTTCGAAGTGGAGGTATATTTACTAAAGATCAATATAGTTTGTGCCCAGGCGTTGAAGCGACTTGTCACACTGCTGGCGAATATAGTCTGGCTCATTCCGCACACTTCTCTTTCCTGTATCGGGGTCGACATAATTCGCAAACTTGGTGGCCAAGAAGATCTTCTCTCTAGCTCCTGGATTGCGCTTGAACCATCTTTACCAAACATCAGTACTCTCATCGAACATGTCTCATTAAGGTTTCGCCAACTTGCCTTCCGAGCAGATCCTCGCTGTCCATGTACATATCCGCAGAGTCCCAGAAAAGCTCGCCAGAGTTATATACGTGGTCGAGGACAGCATATCGTTCCTCATCCGGTTTAGGCTTGCCATAAAAAGCACTCAACCCCATACAACCATAGCCCATGGCTGTGATGGCTGGTCCATTCTTGCCCAGTTTCCTGGTTGGCTGTGTAGTGCCTTCGCCAACGAGTTGATTGACTGCTTGCTTAATGGTCTCCATTCTTGACTAGTTGTGATCTGATTTGTATGTCGTTCGGGTATGCAGTGGCGCTCTTGTTGACAGGCAGAGAAATGCAGATTGAGTTATACCATGTACTATATAAGTCTTGGAAGTAGCGATGACCACGATTGGGCAGCCCACTTACTGCAGTGCCGCGGTATTACGTCGCCTTTAACGTTATTTCCATGATAAAACCTATTGTCTTTGTAATATGGAGCCCCATGTTCAGTTTACAGTAATTTATGTACTATTCCGCCCGTCTTCGTACTGCGCAGTCGCTGGCTTTAATCACATACCTCCGCTCCGATACCAAGAACATCAACTTCCTTGGTCGCACTATTTTTATTTGTACATACTCTGCCTATAGACGACGTCTACCAAGAGATCCATGGTAAACTGGCTATTAACAAGAAGTATAGGGAGAGGTTAGTCACACTACTGATCGTCATCTTGAACTTCTTGCCGGATGTGTGCCGGATTTGTGAGGGGAATGTCTCCATGGACGTATCGAAGTCCGAAAAATCTACAATACTGTAAGGCAGCCAGGCAATATTTCGTCATACATGTCTTGTCTCGTTGAATATGAAGTACTCAAACAGAAAAGACGGCCAGGTTTTATGGGAGAATCTCTTTCTAAAACTAATCATGGTAGTTTGTACAGGTGCATCTCGCTGACAGAGTCACGAGTCGCAAAACATGCGGCGATCTATTTTTCTCGTGGACTTCCATCCAGCCGTTAGTATCATCCCACGGCCACCACAGTGCCTGTATCACGCTCGCGATATTGTTTGTGCTCTCACATCAGTCTCCTACTGTCCCAAGATCTGAGCCGCCTTGTAGATCTGATAGCCCATCACTCCCATTCCAGCAGCCCACGCACCACTGCGCAGGAAGCTGACAGAGTGGTCGCTGACCTGAATATACAAGATGTTATATGCAGCCCTGATCGCGAAAAAGGTAGCCACGAAGCTCGTCAGTCCAGTGTCCGAAGTACCTGTCTGTCCTCTGACGGTGGCTCGCTCAGCCATGATGCTTGCCAGTACAGCAGCGATATAGAACGGCATCTGCTCCATGTTGTTTGACTGAGCATTCTCGGCTCGTTGGTACTTCTGGAAGACGGCATCGGGGACCTTGCCCTGGACTGAGGAAGGCGAGAGTGAGGCTTTGGGGTTCGCATTGTTGAACTGGTAGCCGTTGGCGCCGAGGATGCTGGTTGCGTACATGTGTGGGAGGAGGGAGAAGACGTAGTAGGCAGGAATGGAGAGGAGAGGGTAGTTGAGAGCTGAGGAGGAAGACATGGTTGCGAGATGATTGCTTGTTGTATCTGTTATTTCTGATCTTGTTTATCTAGATAGATTTACCACTTTACAGCTCGTCGTTGAAGGATTGGAAGCAGTAATGGGACAGAGAAAAGTAGGTGGTAGCATCGTCATTGCTGCAAAGTGCACGGGAAACCTGCCGCCGCTTTCGCTGGGTGATCCCAAAATGTACCACTCTGCTCTACCCTACCCCGACTTGCCTGAGCTCACTCCTGAAGATGAATAGTACGAGTAGTGGTCAAACTATTGGTTATAGCTTCTTTCAGGCAAGCATGGAATTAACGTCGGACTTGAGAGTATAGCATGTGAATCGTCGTACTCATTGCCGATACTGCCATGACAAAGCGGTTTGCGATATGGTGGCCTAAAGATCCGCACGGTCGCACATCTACATGAAGGATTAAATGTTTCCGTCCACTTCGCCCAGCCTCACAGTGCGATGATTTCGGCAGACACATACCTTCACGGTACCAGGTTGAACCAACCGCGTTTCGAGCTTGAAGGAGGAAGAGTACCTGATGCCAGCAGATATGTCTCTTAACATCCTTATCCTCGGTGCTGGTGAATTGGGCAGCGCAATACTCGATGCTCTCCTTCAACATCCTGCCTACCATCCATCTGGTGTGACCATCGCCGTTGCTATTAGGGCTGAGACTCTAGACTCACTGGACAAAGGAGTGTCGTCACCAAGAATTGAATCGCTTCAAGCCTATCGCGCCAAGGGAATCACATTCACATCTGCAGACCTTGTCGAGCATTCCGAACAAAAGCTTTCAGAACTCTTCTCTCGACACAATTGCGTCGTACATGCGGGCGCAATGACTCTCCCGGAAGGCACACAATTGAAGGTTACTAAGGCAGTGTTAGCAGCCAAGGTTGATCTGTACATTCCATGGCAGTGGGGTGTAGATTACGATGTCATAGGTAGGAGTGGTGGGATGGGATTATTCAGTGAGCAATGCGACGTACGAGACCTGCTGCGAAGCCAGAATCACACGAGGTGGTACATTGTAAGCTGCGGTGTGTTTATGAGCTTCTTGTTTGAAGACTTTTGGGGCGTGGTTGTACGAAGTAATCAAGGGAGAATTACCGTTGTTCGAGCACTAGGAGGCTGGGATCATTTGATCACTGCGACCACCGTGGAAGATATTGCACGTTGCAATGCTGAGCTTCTGCTCCGAGACACGAGCACGAATCATAGGAACCGCACAATATACATAGCAGGAGACACAATGACTTACGACGAATTCGCTGACCTAGTCGAACGAACGGTGGGTCACACGATAGAGAGGGAGCTCTGGTCGACAGAATACCTGAAAAGCAAGAGCAGTGAGGAGCCAGAGAACAAGTTACTGAAGTATCGGGTAGTGTTCTCAGAGGACAAAGGTCTAGCTTGGAGTAAGGAAGACACTTACATCACAAGCAAGGGCATTGGTATGGAGGGAATTGAAGCGTATATGCGGAGGATGAACATGCAATGAAATGGGGGTATGTCTCCCACATCTATGCTTAGATTATGGAAGTGCTACGGACGGCCCTACACTGTCTTCGGCTTTCACCAGCTGTCTTGCTCCGTAGAGGCTCTGACACCTAAACTAGTCTCTTTATCAAGGACCTTAGCAACCACTTCAGGCTGTGTACCAGGTTAGTACACAGCCACATATAGTGCCTGAGTGGACATCTCTCAATTTGCTACTGCTTCACCGTGCTCTGCCTTCTGCTAAACCCCCACTGACGCAATCAGGTCCTGTATTTAGACACATTCTCCTTCCCCAGGTCTGCTGACCACTTCTAGCGTGATTCTCGAAGCCTGCCATATCTGGACAGACGTCATTGCCTTGTGGATATGGGATTCACCAGCACAACCTATCAAGCTCACTGCATTTGTCTTGTTGCCGAGTTAGCCTTGTGCATAACACAGTATTTGAGTATCGTTTTGGGGAATCGCTGATCTCTTTAGGAGCTGAGCTTAGCTTTCAAGTCCTTACTGGCTAAGATAGACCTGAAGGCCTGAACAGAGACGGCACGAAGCTTGTTCTCTCCCCCGCGACACAATGTGCCAAGATACTGCTAACATGGTAGCCTCGTTACATCGAGGTCATTCGGTGGTATCTAGTTGGCGATCTACGTCGCAAGGCGCATCTTTCCTGCCTACAGACTGCCTTGTCCTGCCCGCAAGCTTGTCGGATTCAACGGCTGTGCTACTCGCAAAAAGGTATATAGTCAGTACTTTTGTCGTTCTTGTTCAGAGTCCTGAGCAAGCACTCTCCATAGTTTTCAAAGCATTATCCAGATCTCAGCATATATCCTGCGACATCATTGTCATATACACAATAAATATCAGAAGTCAACACAAACAACCCAGCCAGAAATTTAAAGCTCAAATCAGCACGTTGAGGACGCGCTCGAATAACACCTCGTTATGTGCTTCTCGGACAAAAGAGGGACCGGCTATTACGGATCACACTCTGGAGAGAAGGCACCTAGACTGATCGACACCTCATATGGAACTCCAACGAGTAAATCAAGAATATATGGTGGTAGAAATGCTGGTAGGACCAATCCAGGATTTTTAGCTGGAGCGTTTGGTGGTGGCATGGGAGCTGGCGCAGCTGGTTGTGGAGGAGGTGATGGAGGTGGCGGCGGTGGTGGAGGTGGAGGTGGAGGCGGTGGTTGCTAGCGACGCCGCAGGGTCGATATATATTGTACAACAATGTATCGACGGATTAAACGGCGTTTGGATATGCCTTATTCAGTAGCTTTCGACACCAGCTTTCCTAAATAACTCAGCTTGATTCTCCTTAGTCGTTTCTCTTTGCCATCTTGCGAACCCTTCTTTCCACTCGTCACCTAGGGCTTCAAGACTTGTGATACCGAATCTCTTGTCGCCGTGTTTAGTGTAAGCAGCTTTGATATCTGGAAATCGTCCTCTCAACCACACGTCTTTCTCATTCCAGCGCGTGCCTAGCTTTCCCACGCCTTCATTACGTAGACTGTCCTTCTTTCGCGCCGAAGCAGCCCATGCATAAAGCGTATTAATCTGATTCGCATCTTCAGGATACACAAGGGTATGAAAGCCTCCTTCATATTTTGCTGCTCCTGATTTAGGCAGGGTTGAGGTAGCACTGTCTCCTGATGCAGTATCAGGTGCTTGCCTGAGTCTGTTTGCCTTCAACAAACGCTGCTCTTCTTCTTGTTCCCAATCTTGCATTGTCCCTCGTGTCGAAAGGTCTAGTCGCCCTGACCATAATCTGGCCAACACAGCCGCCTGGTTCTCCCCAAGAGGAAAGGGTATGATTTTCAGATTGAGGACTGGAAGTGCCAAGGTAGGATAATCCATATGCAAGAAGTGCTTGTATACATGATGCGTTCGTAGACCACTGGTGACTAGGTCGGCGAACGGACTGACCATCTTCCTAAATGGTTGCTTCGGTTCAAGATCGTCGTGGTTGTTATCCGTTCGGGACACCGAGTCTAGAGATGTAGCAGATTCCGAAGGGGAGACCGACTGCGAGCTTGTGTCTGTTCCAGCAGAGGCTTTGCTAAGGAAAGGGTAGGAATAGTAATATCCTGTGGCAAAAATTATTGTGTCAAACCCGGAATGCACCTGGCCATCCTTTGATCGTACAGCGCGTGCGGAACCATCAGCAATGAATTCTTGTATCTCAGGAACGTCCTTCCTCCACGAAGGGCCGCCACCAGTCGGTGCTAATTGACTTGCGCTCCTTGAGGCTAGGTAGACTGGTTGCTGTGCACAAGTAGCTATCTGAGCAGAGATGTCGAGCCCTGATGCAGAATTGCCAATGACAAGTACTTTCTTTCCGGTATAATCTTCGGGGCGACGATAGGCTTTGGAATGCATAATAACATCTGGATACCTCTCGTTGAACTCTTTGATGCCAGGAATACTCGGAATGTGTGGGACCGTATAGTGTCCATTTGCAACAACTACTGCCTGATAATAGTCTTTGGACAAACAACCTGTACGAAGATTTCTCGAGCTTACGATCCATTCCTGGTCGAGTCGTGACGAGCTTACTGCACTTTCATTGGACACCGCCTGTACATCAATAACTTGTGTTTCAAATTTTACCATAGATGAGACAGGTTCAGCATATTGCTCAAGATACCTAAGGACTTCATCGTGTCGGGGAAACAGAGGTAGATCTTGGCCGAATGCAAGGTCAGAGTAGGCCATCAATGACTTGGGGATATTAGTCTCTAGATAGTCATACAAAGGACTTTCGAACTCAAGTGGGTGATCTTCGTCTTTGCCACCAGTGCTATAGTCTGGGTCGTTTTGAGGTACAGGAATGTGTTTGGATCGTTCATTGGACGACAAGTTCCAGATGCCACCAATATTCTGCCTTTGCTCGAAGATGTCAATTGTCGAGAATGCTTCTTCTGCCACGAAGAACTTTGCGCATGCAATCCCAGTAGGTCCAGCACCTATTACCGCAATCCTCTTAATAGGTGAAGCAGCAGCTGTGGTGGCCATACTTGCTTGTGCAAAGATCAGTGGGAAGTTCAAAAGGGCAGGCTCGTTAGTCAATCACACCTACTTCTGCCATGAGTGGAAACATAGGATCAAGTGGCAAGCAGGTACTCAGTAATGTGATGCAATACTTATCGGCGGACTTGCCCGACCATTCGCTCTCATAAAGTAGAGAACAGTGTCCAGAAGATACTTTGCAGCTCAGAAAGAGGATGTGGTCTCTGCTGTGGTGACATCTGTAAATGCGAGAGCTAAAGAACTGATGTTCATGCTTGTAATAGCATTGGCTCACATTGAGGCGAAATGAGGTGATGTACTAGCAACCGCAGTGTGAGACGCGTTAGGCCAGTACAGTACTTGGAAGCCATCGTTCGATATGTGTACTGTAGCTGGAGCGCATCTTATAGTGATCTTATATGCCTCCTGGAAGGATAACACCCAACCTGTAGTACTTCCATCGTACGTTTATGTCGTACTGAAGAAGCTGGAGTTCAATTCGGAGTGATACATTACTTGCGGGAATGGCACGGAAAGCCTGGTGATGAAAGCAACCTCAAGGAACGTCACTTGCAGTACAAGGAACATTTGTTTTTTTCATCCTGTAATTCATGGTTGTATTGTCATGATCTTACTCGTATGTGATTCTAGCAGACCCAAAAGTACAATTTGAACGAGAAGCTCACACCGATCGACTAATTAGTTTCCAGGTGCCAGTTAGGGAAGTCCCAGAAGTCTAGCCTAAAACGAAGCAGGAACCACCCGTGATCAGACCCTTGGAGCTTGACCAGCCTTGCCAGTCGCGGAATCCCAACCGCGGGCAATTAATTGCATCGTGCTAGACCGTCTCCAAAGGTAAATAAGTACCTCTTTACACGTACTGTTTCTACACGGCTCGATATTGACCATGCCTCCTTCAGCTTGCTCTCGGCGCGTACGATGAAAAGAAGCCTTTCCTCGCGGCGCGACAGCAGTTCTACTGAGCAAAGAGGTAGGAAGAGGCAGAAGCTCGAGAAGTCGTACTCGACACGTGAGATTCCTTGGAAGGAGCAGCGAGCTCTTGGGGGAGCCTTCTCTTTCGTTGGTAAAGGCGCTTGGCCCGTCCTTCGCATAACGGCCGAGAGAAAGTCTGGCAAGAGAACACAATATCTGATCCAGTGGCGGCCGCATCCTCGTACCCACGAAGAATTCAAACCTGAGTGGATATTCAGCGACAACGTTGACGACGACTCCATAGCTGAATGGGAGCAAGTTAAAGAGCAGAGAGAAGAGCAGAGAGAAGAGCAGAGAGAAGAGCACTCAGCACGACAGGAGGAACTACTGGTAGCACCTCGTGCTCGGCGACACCCAGCTCTTCCAGACTCTTCAGCGGATGATATCAGCGGTACCGGCCCGGAGAGGGATGCTTCTCGCAGTCCTCCAAGTTTGCTGAGCGGTTCTTCTGCTTCCGGCTTGGATGTTCTAGAAACTCAGTATCCCGAAGAGCATTTGCGCGTCAACCTACCATCACTACCTCAAGACAAAGCAGAGTATGAAACTGTTCAGTGTACTCAGGTAGAGTCCAGTTCACCCTATACCCAGGTACCATTGTCTTCGAATCAGTCTCAGCTTCTGTCTTCCACCAATCATTCTCAGCAAAGCCTCCATCCAACGAATTCTCTCGCAACTGCTGTTGCAGATTCTCAGTCCTTAGCATCCCAGCCGATCGTCATAGAGTCAAGCTCTAAGACTTTCTCACCACGACAATCACCTCGATCAAGTCTTGGGCAGTTCGTGGCTTCTATTTTCGAAAGTGTTCAATCTTCCTACCCTGTAAATCTTATCACGCAGTTGCCACACTCCCAGCACACGTCTTCTCATCAAGGCTCGCAGACTGCAACCTCTCCAGTCGTTCCTCGAGGAAGATTCACTCGGCTCGCCTCACCCTTTCAAGATACACCCATTTCTCAACCCACTGCACCGTCTAAGTCCAGGCCTACCAGTTCGAAGAGCCATAACGACCAGACCATGTCAACGAACGAGCTCGGGGCCAGTCGGCCCGAGACAACTGATCACTATATCAAGTCGCCCTTGGCCAACAGCATCAACCACGACGACTTGATTGCCGACGAGCCTCTCTTCCACGATGGTAATCAAGACGTCTTGGTTGTTGCTCCTGGAGAAATCTCGATTCCCCTTATGATACATGAATCTATAGAGGAAGAGCCTCAGTCTTCTACGGACACCTCAAATTTGTTAGACTCAAAAGCTAACTCCAGTCAAGAGTCTTTGAACAACGAACGGGAGATCGAAACAGTTGATGGGGTTATGATCCCTGCTCTTCCAATATTTGGACCTTGCGAACATGCTGTTGCTTTACCCGCAGAGGGCAGGGTCAAATCAATCTACGACGAGATAATCAAGTTGAAGAAGAGAGCGATTCTGGGTTTCATCAGACGTAAGGGCTCCCCTGGAACATCCGAGATTTCCAGCAAGAAAACGCTCGAACGGAACGAGATGCAAGAAATGTTATCACGGCTGAACGATACAACTACTCATATGGATCTCGGACTACCTAACACGCAAGACCCCCTGACACAGAACCCGGAGCAAAACGCAGCTCATGCAGAATATGCAGGATCAAAGTTCACTTTCCTCGGCTATCTAATTGACCAGTTAAAGACTCAAAACTGTTCAATAGCAATCTTCGCCCAGGGTGGAACACTGCAAGACTTACTGGAGGAGTACCTTATAATGAAAGGCGTGCTATATCGGCGGTGGGATGGCGCTGTTCAGCGTCAGAGTGTCACGGATCTAGACTGCTTTTCGGTTGATCTTCTCAGCACAGAGGGTGACGAGTCTGCCGTCCTGCCTCGCAGACCAGCTTTGATTCTGGCTTTCGATATCTCCTTCATGATAACGGATCCACAGGTTCAGGCTCTGTACCAACAGTTCGATCGAGAGTTGCCAATCATCCATTTGCTAGTCACGAACTCTTCGGAACATGTTGAGCGATGTGTACCAGTGTCATTCACCTCTAATATTCGGCTGAAGGTGGTTGTGCGTACAACATATTTAGCAGCACCGAACCTTGGAGGAGACATAACCTATGTGCCTGATCCTTCAGACCAACCCACAGGGAGACCTATGGATATGTCAGATCTTCAGAGGGCTGTGCGAAAAAGTCCCGCTCGGAGGCTCAACTTGATCGCTGACATCGTTGCCAATCACGCAATATCTGGTGAGCTCAACCACAAGTGGTCGCTAGGTGGTATGCCGGAGCTAAAGTTGGTCCCTCTTGACAGTCCTCCAAGAGTGAGTCGCGCAGCTTCCAGAACACCGCAGCCTCTTAACACAAGAACGCAAACACCAGCCTCTCGAGCCACCACGCCTGTGACTCGTAAAAGATTGCTCGAAGTGGAGGGGGACGAGCGCGGAAAGAGGCAGCGTCTTACACCTGTTCATGATTCTATGCCCGGAAGCGATGTGACACCTAATTCCGTTGAAGAGCTCCGAGAAGCGCGCAAGCAAATTGCCCAGCTAATATCGGACTTGTCCAATGCCGGAAATGCCTTGACTATAGCGGAGAAGGCACGTACTACTGCGGAGACCAAAGCACAAGAATGGAGAGACGAACTTGCGGAAGTACTCCGCCGTTACGAGATCGGACGAAATAAGAGGAAGGAGATCTACAAAGAGAACAAGGAGCTTCAGATCACGCTCACCAATATGAAGGCTAGAGATGAGGTCACCCGAACGGAAAAGGCATTGCTTCGCCAACAGTTGACTGATTCGAAAGCCGAGCTAGTACAGGCTCGCAACGACCTCAAGACTGCAGGAGGTGATGTTGCAGAGCTAGAGGAAGCTCGTGCACTGGCTCGTGACGCTGCAGCTAAGACGCTTTCATTGGAAAAATCTTTGAAGACTACTAAGAGCGACTTTGACTTCACGCGTTCTCAATACCAAGATGCCTCCAAGCGAGCTGTAGATCTGGCGTCGGAGATCAAAGAGCTTCAAGAGCAGGTAGAGCATTACAAGCTTGCTGCAGACGACACGAAACGATCCTTGAAGGCCATGAACTACAAAGCCAGCATTAACAAAGCCATGGAAACAGCAGAATTAGCTGGACTTGAAGTCAAGAGCCGCGATACAGTTATCAAAAGGTTGCAAGAAGAAAATGCCATGTTGAAGAGTAGAAGAGGTGTACAGACTCGAGGCAGTAGTATACAACCTGCTGGCAGTCCAGCTCCTCGAAGTCGACAAGCGAGCCCTGCTCCTGGCCATCTCACAGTACCTACAGGTTCCAGAACAAGTCTTCTCCGCAACGAGCGTTGATCATAGGTCTGCCTCCGTACGATATCTTCAGATTTAGCGACGCATGAGATACCATACCTTACGATATTCTATACGATTTGCTCCCTCTTAGGCTTGCACTTTATCCTTATTGTCCGTTGGCTAGTAGAATTCTGCCGCCATCTATGACGATGGCTGTCCCATCAATATAGGACCCAGCCTCACTACACAGAAATACCACGGTTCCTCCGATATCGTGGGCTCGTCCTATCCTAGCAGCAGGCATCGCTTTAAACAAATTGGCGAACTGGTTCGAGCCCTCCATGACTGGATTCATCTTACTTGGGACGAAACCTGGATTGATCGAGTTCACCCGCACATACCAAGAAGCATACTTGCTAGCCAACAGTCTCACTAAATGATCAGTAGCAGCTTTGCTTGCAGCGTACGACGTTAGGTCGATATTTGTACAATTATGCATTGAGGCGCAACTGCTTGTGACGATTATGGTACCACGACCTTCGTCTCTTCCCTTTCGACCCTGGTCAATATTGAGATCCGCAGCTGCTGCCAGCAATTTCAGAAGGCCGACTGACAGAAAGTAGTGTGCTGTAACGTTGACTGAGAAGGTATCTTGCCAGTCAGAATGTCTCGACGACCACAACGAAGCTTGCAGCTCGTCCAAAGAAGCACTTTTGACGTCACAGGTCTTCGGCGGGTCTCTTCGAATCCCAGCATTCGATGCTAGTATGTCAAGATGCTTCTCCCTCTGTTCAACAAAGTTGACGATGGCTGTGATGCCTTCCTTTGTGGATACTTCGCCCTCGAAGCTACGGTCCCCTGTCAGATTCCTGTGCGATGTTCAGGAATTATTTTGCAGCAACGTACCCTATCGCGAAGCCTCCACTGTTTTTACCAATAGAGTTCAAAGAGTCAAGCGCCCCTTTAATATCATCTGTTGGCAGCGCCACAATGTATACTTTTGCGCCGTTCTCTACAAGACTTCTTGCAATCATGTATCCAATGCCACTACTGCCCCCAGTCACAAGAGCTATCCTGCCTCGGACAGAAAACAGGTCTTTGATTTGCAGACTTTCCATTTTCAAAGCAGACTACCTGTTGGGTGACGGATCCCCTCCGTATGCTGTGCGTTTTCTTTGTGCTTTAGTACTTTCGCGGAAAGACCAATCATCGCACTCCACTTTAATAGAGGTCTTCTTGCATTGGCTCCGACGTACTCAACCGTCGCGTATCTCCGTTGAAAGTTAGGAGTTTGTCCTCCAGCGCGCCTGACTCCGTGTATCACTCTTGCGGAATACCGAGTCCACTGGTATAAAGGATGTATATATTTTAGTGAATTACCGACTGTCATTCAGCAAGTAGCTGTCAGCTCTGTCTATATTGGCATACAACACGGATGACGCCACGTCCTCCACGACCCCACCTTCACCATGACTTCGACAACTTTCAGCTCAGTCTATGACTATCTTTCTCCTTACTCCACATTCAAGTCAAGTACTACTCTAGGATTCTCTATTGTCTGCACAATTTTCCTTTCCTTGTACTGGGTGCGTGGAATACCAAACACTTCACTAACATGGTACCTGCTAACATAACAACAGTACGCCAACAAAACCGACATCCCCTACATCAAAGGCATCCCAGAAATCCCCGGAGCAGTCCCCATCTTCGGCCATCTCGTCAAACTCGGCGACGACCACGCCACCATGTGTGAACAATGGTGGCGCAAATACCAGACGTCCGTCTACCAGATTAAGCTCGGCAACACCCGTGCAGTCGTCGTGAACTCATTCGACGACGTGAGAAGAATGCTCATAGGCCATCAGTCTGCCGTCATCGATCGGCCGACTCTATATACGTTCCACGGTGTGATTTCCTCGACGCAAGGGTTCACGATCGGAAGTAGTCCCTGGGACGACTCGACGAAGAACAGGAGGAAAGCTGCTGGACAGGCGCTTGGTAGACCGGCGATCAGAACGTATTTTGACATGTTTGATCTGGAGTCGTACTGTGTTGTAAGGGATTTTTACAGGTATAGCCAGCGAGGGGGTGTGGAAATCAATGTTCGACCTTTCATCCAGCGATATGCGTTGAACACGACGCTGACGTTGTGCTATGGCATAAGGATGGACAGTGCTTATGACGAACTGTTGCGGGAGATCCTGGAGGTCGGTTCGGCTATTTCGTTGTTACGATCTGCTTCGGAGAATTACCAAGATTATGTGCCTGCGTTCCGGTACTTGCCAAGTAATGAGAAGACTCAAAGGTCGAAGGAATTACGGGCTCGACGGGACAAGTACTTAGGCTATCTGCTTAACAAGGTTCGAGTGATGATTGAGCAAGGTACTGACAAGCCATGTATCTCGTCTGCTATCCTCAAGGATCAGGAGACGAAGCTCACTGAAGTCGAGGTTTCGTCGATTTGTCTATCTCTTGTCTCTGGCGGCTTTGAGACGATTCCTGGCACTCTCACATCCTGTATCGGTTCACTCTCTACACCAGAAGGTCAGGTGTTCCAGGACCGTGCATATGAAGACATCCAACGTCACTATCCTGGTGGCACATCAGAGATTTGGATGAACAGTTTCGAAGCTGAAAAGGTTCCGTACGTCAACGCCATCGTCAAAGAAGCAGCTCGCTACTACACTGTCTCAGCCTTGTCTCTCCCTCGCAAGACTGTGACCGACATCGAATGGGATGGTGCCATCATTCCTGCAAAGACAATGATCCTCATCAATGCACAGGCAGCCAACCACGACGTTGACCACTTCGGTTCAGACGCAGACACATTCAACCCTGAGCGATGGCTGACCAGCAACTTGGATGCTGCTTTGCACAACTCTCTTTCGGCGCTCGAAGAGAAGCCATCCCAGGGCATACAGCATTACTCCTTTGGTGCTGGCAGTCGTGCTTGTTCGGGACAGCTTATTGCTAGTCGACTGTTGTATACAGCTGTGATTAGGATACTGTCATGCTATAAGATCATCGCTAGTGAAGCTGAACCTCCAAACACTGATTATGTGGATTACAACCAGTTCAAGTCAGCCCTCGTCGCAATACCAAGGGACTTCAAGGTGAGGCTTGTGCCGAGGCAGGGTGTCGATATCGATGGCATCCTGAGGGAGGCTGAGAATCGGACGAAAAACTATTACCAAGAGTAAGGGTTGTAACTTCAAAGCTGCATATGGAAGACGGATCTTAGACCTCGTCTTTCATGCATGATAGCTTCAAGTTCCCAACCAGTAGATTGACAGAAATTGTTCTTTCGATGTGGTTCCTCAGCCAAACTTGCCATCGGGATATTGGTCCTCTGGTGCTTCCCCATCCATCAACTTTCTGAGGTTCATCCTTGTGCTTTTTCTGATATTCAACGTATGCGCCTTCTCTCTGAACCCAATATGAGCTTTGTCACCGTCGATATCGCTATCAGCTTCGCCCGCTCCTTCGCGACGATACGAATCGAACAAGGTTGGAAGAACTCCAATACAGGTTCGTGGTGGCCCTTGTTCCGCAAATTTGCCTTCACACCAATCGCGAAGCATGTGGTCAATTGGACGATCCAGACGCTCGAGGCCGAGATCGAGAAGAATCCGACGAGCTGCCTTCTGGGTGACGGCATAAGCGTACGTGCACGTTTGCTCGATTGCGTGTCCTGCAAGCCGGGCGTGACTGGGGTAAGGATTCAGGCGTAGTCCATTCGGATCTCCATAGATTTTGAGGTGTTGCAGATCTGGGACAGTGTTATCGTGCGCATGTACGACATGAGGTTTCTGAGTGTCAATGTCCACGCCACAGTTTCCAAGAAAGAGCACATCCCAGTTGTCTCCGTATGGCGATATCTGCTCACTGGCTGATCTCCTCTCAATGTTCTCGAACCTCATCTTGGTGCTGTCAGTAACGCTGCTGTTCAGTATAGCACTTGACATTACAGCAAAGTCCTTGAGTTGTGTCAGTAGTCGTACATCCCAATCCACATCGTCTTCTAATACTAGAGCAGATGCTAAATTCTCCTGTACCACCTTTGCAATGAAGTTCATGTGCGCTCGCCAGCAACCCAGCACACCTCCTGTGATTGCATCGCCGCCAGTGTATTTTGCGGGCAGGGTTTTGTCCGCTATAGTCGATGGATCAACGCCATTAATGTATTCAATGTCGAAGCCTGTTAACTTTGAGGCTAGCAAGATACTGTCTCGCTTGTCTGTTCTCACGGGTAGGTTGATGGCAAACACTTTCTCGAAACCGAGGGTAGAATTGGAAACGACATTGCCACGATCTTGTTGTAAGACAGTCCCGTGGTCCCAGATTGTGTTCACAGCTGCGTGAGGGATTCGTACATTTTCCAGGACCACATCTTGATGATGTGGCTTGTCCTTTAGAATATCGGTATTGTGCAGAGTCAATATGACAATTAGGGTTACGGAAAGTAGTGCTGGTAGCCAGACACGCGGGTTGCGCACGAGCATTGATTCTTGTTAGAGTATCGGAGAGACTTCAACCATCAATCATATCGTCGAATATGCTATGACCATGCCAGTGATTCGTAATGGCGTGTTTGTCTCCTGTCAATTGCCATCTAAGGCCGTGCATTTACAGAATTCCCAACACCTATCAATTCCTGGTATATCTTGCTCGCATCAACTGTACAACATTGTGAAAATTGTTTCTCGCCTCACGAGGAGCGAAACCCACAGCGCGGCCATCGTGGCGGTCTTGTGGTGGCCAAACGAATTTAATCCTTCATCTTGGCTTTCAGGTACGCGGGGCATGTCAGTGGTCGAGAGACACCGATAAGTCGTTCTTGGATGGCATGTTAGCTTTCGGAAGGCAAGCTCGACCAGCACCATTCGTCAAATGGACCAAAATTCCAGTGCTGGAAAGAGCGCCAGCCCTGCCAGTGTTGTGCCGTAGCACAAAACGTCTTCGTCAGTGATGACGATAGTACGCGATTCTACCAGCTGTACGATTTCCGGGCAACCTTTTAATTACTGCCGCGCAGCTCTAGATAAGCATCGACAGATTGTCCCCCAGGCTTATTGCTATTGTTCATTACATGGAAATAACTGCGAGGAAATACCTACGAAAACAATTGGCGCCACCATGTGTAAAAACACAGATGAGTGGAGCTCGAGTTAGATGCACAGCACACAACAATAATGCACGAGCATTACTTGCTCGTGCTGCCTTGCTCCGACCATTTGTCGTCCTCGAGAAATTACCTATCGTTTCGAATGCTATTCATTATCCGTCTATGAACATCTTCCACAGTAGCTGTGGAAACATGACTTTTCATCATTTCACTTCGATGCACGTACTATCATCATTGGGTACATTAACCATATCTCACCTATGGCCTCGGCGGTGTTCTTCTACTCAGACCCAAGCAGCCGGCCATCTTGTAGAAGACGTCGATGGAGTTGTAGACACCACCGAAGTCAGCCTGGCAAGGACCTTGACTAAAGACTGGCACATCAGTCAGGGAGTGGACACCCTGGTCAGCAGCGACTGGCAGTGAGCCATTGATGACGAAGCCAGTGACTGCGTCGATGTAATTGACGTAGTAATCAGTGCTACTGAAACCAGTGATATTGAGGGCTGGAACCCTAGGCCCTCGTTTGTTTACCGTATAATCCTCACGGTGGTCAGGGAATGCTGCGACACCTTGGTAGAAGGTGTATCTTGGATCAAAGTTGGTCGGGAAGTTGACACCCTGAGAGTACACCACGTTTTGGTCTGAGCCAATAGGCATAGAGGCATTAGGGACGACGTATTGTGACAGACCTGACTCCTCGTAGATACCAATAGCATTTCGCTTGTTTCTGTCCCCAGTCTGCTGAGCAAGGTATCGAGTATCCACCGAACCCATGACGTCGAAACCGTGTCCATGATCGGCGGTGATGATAATCTGAGTGTTGTTAAGCTCACCGACGGATCGAAGATAATTTATAGTAGCCTTGATGGTATCGTCGAGTTCGAGAAGCTCTGTCAATGCTCTGTCATAATCGAGGACGTGCATCATCTTGTCGACGGATGCAGCTTCAGACATCAAGAAGAACCCGTTTTGAGGGTTTCGGGCACGGAGAATTTGCAGAGCCTTGAGCGTCATTCTGTGAAATGTTAGCATGAGTCTAGACCACAAGGATACATGACCGCATCTCTGGCTGTAGTACCAGTGCGTGACCTGATGGTTTGTACTTACTCTTTCAGACCAGGCTGGTCAGTAGCGGAACCATTGCCACCGTTTGGAGCGGTACGAGAGATGTTGAGATTGTTCTTGTATATGTTTCGGTCCAGCCACTTGGCCATGTTTGAAACAGAGAAGATGCCCAAAGTTTTGGAGCTGTTGCTAGCCGTCTGCAATGAAGTGTTGTTGAGGACAACATTGTAGCCAGCATTACGGAATTCCTGATAGTAGTCCCTGCCCTGGAAGGATCTTGAGTTGGGGTAGAATTGTTCAGCTCCACCACCAAAGAGGACATCGGGTCCAGTCCAGTTGACCCATGTGTAGTTGGTGATACCTCTTAGGAAAGAGTCAACCACCTCACCATACCTGCCTCGCTGACTTGTGTGCGCAGTCAAGGCGGCTGGTGTAGCGTCCGCAATGAAGGCAGTGGAAACGATACCGACGCCACCACCGTAAATTTCGCGGAAAAGTTCTGCAATAGTCTCGACCTTGGGGTCGTCAAAATTGCTTGGGGAGCTGTCACGGTAGACGCTCAGAGCGTTGACCGTGCTCTTGTGGCCAGTATACAAAGCTGAAGCAGAGTTGGCCGAATCAGTGATGAACGAGTCCAGGGAGTGTGTCATCTGAGCAGGTTAGCACGTCAGGTATCAGGGTGAGACAAATCATGAAACATACCTGGTGTCCCAGCACTGGCATCTGGTCCATAGCCATGGTAGTCTGATATTTACCGTTGATCATCTGATGAGCCATCAGACGAGCAGCTGTGATCATGTTGGTGGTCTAATGACTGGTTAGCCACTGCAATCGTGTACACGCTGTACTAGCTATACGCAGGCAGGGGTATCGGAGGACTAACCATGCCATCACCAATGAAGATAATGGTGTTCTTTGCCCGTCTTTGTGTAGGGATGTCTCGAACAGTCCAATTGGCTACAGTCGAGGATCCATTTTGGTATGTTAGAGTTGCAACGTAGTTTCCAGGCTCGTACAGAGCGACCTTTCTGTATGCCTTGCCAGCGACCCTGACCAACGAAGGAGTTCTCGCGGCTCGAGCAAATAGATCCTCATACCAAGTGAAGTTCCATGTCTCAAGACGTGGCTCTGTGAGATTGAAGAATTGTGTAGCTGGAACAGCACGTTGTCCATCTCTACCAATAGTGAAGGTGAAGTTGCCATCTGGCTGGGCATAAGACACACGCTCGCTACCATTCTGAGGAGCGTGAACTTCGAGTCGAATGTCGAACCATTGACCTGGCAGAAAATCGGCCTGATCAGGTGGAAAGATGCAACCCAATTTTGGGCAGGCACCAAGTCGTTGGAAGGTCTGAGCAGCGACTTGCGATGCAAGAAGACCGCACGCCACGCAGGATGAGAGGGTGCTAAAGAACTTCATGTCGAGGACAGTTGTGTTGCTCGACCAGAAGACAGAAGGGTATGTCTGATCGCGCAAAGGAAGCTGCGCTCAATTTGTATTCTGAGCTCAGCAAGCTCTCAAGAGCTACCCTGCCAATGGGACTTCTTTTTCCAGCATCTCGATATTTCTTGCGACGCGATCTTTAGCGAAGTGTCACTGAAAGTTCGTCATAGCTCAACTTCGACATCTCGACATGCAGGCCAGGCTACGCGAAGCCTATATAGGTTCTTGGTCCATCTTGGCACTTGGCTCCGCAAAGCTTAGCTGCTTCTTGTCGATCTGTGTCCAATAGTCGAGACCACGTTTTCAACGCGAAAGCAAGCCTACAACGTCGTTAATAGCACCGCTTTCAGCCCCCGATGCATGCCAAGGGCGAGGTTCGGGCGTGCAGTCCTGGTTGGCGGCGCTGAAAAAGATCGCAGTCCCGCTTCTACCGATGAGGAAGGAATAAAATGCTTTGCCACAACGCGGACAGTGTCTAAACTCACCACGTGCATTGAGATGTGCTTAAGGTCTTTTCTCGTGGTGTACGTGAAGTTTCCTATTGGCTGAGAGGGAAACAAGTTGATCGAACATCTCTTTCCAGTTCTCCCCGATCCAGATCGAGAGTAGGCTAATTCGGCTGGAGAGCTCAAGGAGTCAGTCTCGTCAGGTTTGTGTACATGTACACTGGTTTGTATCGTGTAAGACATTAGTTGCAATGACATCGTGCACTGACATGATGTACGCGTCGAATTTTGAACCAGGTATTGAGCATGATAGGCTTGATAGTGCATCAAATCCATGCGACCAATACAATGCACATCCTAAGAGTATAAGACGGTAACGATATGCAGGTACTACCGAGGTTGTGGCTCCTTGTAGCTTTCCAACTGTGCAGGGCATCCACCAAGAGAAACTCAGATTATTGATTTCGGAAGATTGCCAATGATAAAAGTAGGTCTACTCACAGTTGGTCAGCGCTACCATGTTATTTGTCTCTGCTTCTACGATCATCTGGCAACGAAGTCTTAAAGCAAGTAAGCACCCTCAAGCCGCGTGCATTTCCACTGCTTGACAACTAGTTGTAGCCTGACTTGGTTCGTGCGCCGGGAATGATCGAAGTGGTCTGCGCTGCGAAGTTGCCTTGAGCTATCATTGAACCTGAATCTGAACCTTCGCGCTCTCGGAACACAAATTCTCATCGTTGGAGTAGCAGTCCAAGTTGAGTGACCTGGCAGAATTTCTTGCAGAAGCCTTAAAAACGGTCTTCTCAAAAGTGATATGCACTAGATGGGTCCCAAGATAAGGCGTTCAGGCAGCAAAACTGTGTCCTTCAGCGACGTCAAGACGTAGTACCCCAATTCGTGTATCGAGACACTATCTGTAAGAAATGCTGCCTACTTGCAACCATGGGAGCTTCCGAATCTAAGCTCGTCTTTAAAAAAGGCATTTTTCGATTGTCTGAGGAACAGGCTATACCTGCCAACGATCCTTACTGGACTGGATTCTGGGAATTGCCAGAATCGGTTGAAGATGTCTTCAGTCTCTTTTCGCCAAATGATATCCGTCGGACACGAGATGTCTCTCTGGACAATTTAGAAACTTTAATACTTGCTGTCGTATCTCGACTCACTATCCTGAAGAACCACCCTTCGTTCCCGAATACTGAACTTGCTCCCGAACGCAATGCGCTGAATTGTATTCGAGTCCTCACCAGAATCCTTCCGTTCGTCTACGAGGCCGACCATTTGTCAGAATGGGAAGAGAAGTTCTTCTGGGAACCGCGCCAGCGCCGGACTCGACGAAGTCGAGATACTGGCGAGATATTGTTTGACAAGGATCAGACGCAAGAGGCGACAGCACCAGTACCAGACAACGAGAAGCATGAAGAAGCGAAACCTCTAGCTGAAGAACTCCTTGACACCCTTGTCGATCTGCTATTCTACATAGGATTCACTCTTCCAATATTACCAGATGCTAAGAGTAGGGTCTCATACGCAATATGGCAGAGTGGAGTAGGCTGCAAGCAGTCGCTGAGCACCAACAAGGACCTAGAGAGCAATCGATGTGAGGTCTTGCGCCTGATACTCACAATGATGAGCAAGTCCATGTACATGTCATCCGGCCTTCTGCCAGTACAAGGAGTTCGTACCATTACTTATCTCGCAACTTGTGCCGAGAAGCAGATAGTACTCTCAGTTTTGTGTTCTCTGCTGAATACTGCAATCAAGCACAATGCCACTTCTTGGCGCATCCCTTACGATCACATGGTTTGGAAAGACTCGAGACAATCGTTGGTTGTGTACAGCTTGCAAATGCTGCTAGTGCTACTACTATATCCTGTACCTGAAGATGGAACTGGCCCAGCTCCGAAGAACTACTACAGACATTTTCTCGGCCGCCTACACAGACCTGAAGACTTCCAGTTCCTGGCGGATGGTATGATGAGGGTACTCAGCCAACCAATGCAGACCACAAGCTATCTCCCAGGCACTCAAAGACAGTCTAAATGGACACCCGAAGTGATCATGCTGTTCTGGGAAACTCTGCAGTGCAACAAGAGATTTCGAGCTTTCATCATCGAGTCGACCCGCATGCACGACTTTGTTGTTACGATGCTATTCTACGCTACCGAGCACAAAACAGATCTTGCTTGGCAAGGCGTCGTAAGGATGTGCGTTTTCGTTCTGCAAACCATGAGCGTGGAACCTTCATTTGGCAAGAATATGAACAAGAAGTTTGAGGCTCAGGAGACACTTCCGCCATCGATTCGCCTGTCCAGCTTTAGGGGCTCCTACGCTGACTTCCTCATCATCTCAATCCATACACTAATCACCACAAGCAAAGGACGACTTGATGCAGTTTACCCAGCTTTACTTGCCATCATCGGCAACATAGCAGCTTATGTACGGAACCTATCGCTAACGACGAGCACCAAATTATTACAGCTCTTCGCAGCCATGTCGTCACCCAGCTTCCTGCTAGCCAATGAGACGAACCATACATTACTCCAGTCTCTTCTCGAGGCAATCAACTCAATTATAGAGCACCAGTACAGGAGCAACCCCGACCTGGTCTACGTTGTCCTAAGATCACGGAGGCGAACAGAGGCATTAAGAGCATTGACCCTAGACGGTGGTCAGCAAGAAGTTGAACGTGCTCTCCGACGACGGAAGGAAAGTGTAGATACCGGCCCATCCGAAAGGCTGTCTCGAACGAGCACTGCAGACAACCTGAGCTCTCCGAAGAGAAGAAATACAGGCCACAGCGTTAATTCGTCGGTCGACGACAACACTTTCACTATAGGTGGAGATGATGATGACGATTCGGAAGCTGATGCGGACCAGACTGCACCTGCTCAGTCATCTCCTTCACGCCACTCTCGAGCTACTTCGGTAGCCTCATCGTCAGCCGAAGATGCAGTGCCCGTTCAATTGCGAGGTGTTTCTGAGAAAGCACGAGGCAAGATGCCAGCTGGTTTGCAGTCATTTTCGAGGCAGAGCAGCACTACCAGTCTCGGGCGTGGCCTGGTCGCCCAACCTGGAGGATTCATGCCAACACCGGGCTGGATTGATTCATGGTTGCCGGAACTGCCTTTACATACACTGCTGACTCTGATCAAGGTATTAGCACCACGACTCCCATCTCCTAGCGGCCACAATACCGAAGTTTCGGACAATGGATCACCACCACAGGCCAATTCAGGAATGAAAGATTTTGTGGCCTCATTACCGGAATCTGCAGATCTTCCACCTATATCAGCAATTCTGTCGGCACCATCGCCGATTCGAGTACATTTGTTCGAGTGGTCAGCCTTATCACTCGGCTGGTACACGTCAGTCTTGTGGTCACTCATTTATACAGCAGAAATGCATATTGCGCCTGCACCGTCCTCTACAGCATCAACAATATCCAACACAGTAACAGGAAGTGCTAGCATGGGTATAGGCCCCATCGGGGTATGGAACGGGACCCAAGTGAAGCTCTTCCAGGTCAGCACTGAAGGAAAGCGAGAAGGTCCCAGTCTATCCGCACCAAGAGGAGCTGTTGATGCTGTAGGGACAAGATTGGTTGATGGTGTAAAGGGTCTAAATTTGGGCGGGCTAGTAGGCAGAGTAACGGGAGGTACAGTGTCACCACCAACACCGGGCAACAGTGAGGGTCAAGGTCGAGCTAGTGTACGAGAAGTATAAGATTCTCAACATTTTTTTACAGCGTTCAGCCTTTACAGCCTAGTCGGCAGATTCCCGTATACGATACAGATACATCACGGATTGCAGAGCAGACACTACCGTACTTGTGGTGTATCTCCTTCGTGTGGAGTCTGGAAATCTATTCAGCACATCTTGTGCATTGTAATAAGCCACTCCAATTATCACAAGGACTCTATAGGTCGCTCGCATGTTTTGGTTGTTTAATATACATCGAGTTCGTTGTTAGCGGCCTGAACCTGAACAGTTCGATGCCCATGCATAAAGACCTTTCCTTCACTGATATCGAAGTCAATGGACCTCGGGGGACCACATTCGGTGGACCCGGCTAAATGCGTGCCGAACCCCAATCTGCAAAAAGCTCTATAAAAATCGGGCTATGGAGTGCTGAGTATGACGTTGACGCCCATGCCACGAGCAACAGACGAAGTGGTCGTCTTCCTTGAAACGTAGTGAACGTCCAGGAAGACTGACTGAGCTCTCAACAAGCAAGATTGGTACGAGTCCAGCGAGCCGTGACCTTGCAAACATGGCAGCACCCACTTCACGTCTCCTCCCCAGAGCTCTAAGAGCTTCCCAGAAATGCAGCTTTCGTCCTCAAAATACATATCTGCTCCAGTTTGTGCCACGGACACGGACACGGACCTTCACGACGTCTCAAAGGTGCTTGGACGATGCAAGCGACCAAGGCGAACCAGGCCACGATGTCAAATATACCACCGACTTAATGCCACACCTCAAGCGCGACTCCCGCTTCGGCGAGCTTACAAAGGAGCACATCGACTTCTTTAAACAGACCCTAGTCGACGATAATGCTATCATCGACGGCGTTACAAAAGATGCCTCCAACGACCTCGAGCCATTCAACCGCGACTGGATGAAGAAGTTCAGAGGCCGCACGAAGGTCGTGCTCAAGCCGAAGAACGTGGACGAGGTCAGCAAGATATTGAAATACTGCAACGATAACATGCTGGCCGTGGTTCCGCAAGGAGGAAACTCTGGTCTGGTAGGAGGAAGCGTACCCGTCTTCGACGAGGTTGTGATCAATCTGACAAGAATGAACAAGATAAGAAGTTTCGACGAGGTCAGCGGGATTCTGGTCGTGGACGCAGGTGTTATCATGGAGAACGCAGACAATTTCTTGAAAGAGCATGGCCATGTCTATCCACTTGATCTTGGTGCGAAAGGCTCTGCGCAGGTTGGAGGGAATGTTGCTGCAAATGCTGGTGGATTACGATTCTTGAGATATGGTTCACTACATGGCAATGTGTTGGGCATCGAAGCTGTTCTTCCAGACGGTACGATCATGGACGACTTGAGCAAACTAAGGAAGAACAATACCGGCTACGACCTGAAACAACTGTTTATTGGTGCCGAGGGTACTATTGGCATCATCACGGGTGTCTCTATCGTCTGCCCGCAACAATCAAAAGCGGTCAATGTCGCATACTTTGGTCTCGAGTCCTACGAGAAAGTCCAACAGGCATTCAAAGAAGCCAAACGTCAACTGGGCGAAGTACTGTCCGCTTTTGAGCTGATGGATGCTGAATCCCAAAAGTTTGTGCATAAAAAGACTGAGAAGAAGCGACCGTTAGAGGGAGATTATCCTTTCTATTGTCTCATTGAGACGAGCGGCTCTAATGGAGAGCACGACAACGAAAAACTTGAAAAGTTCTTGGAGCACGTAATGGGCGAAGAAATCGTTGCTGACGGTGTAGTGGCACAGGACGATACGCAAATCGCTGACCTGTGGGCATGGCGAGAAGGAATCACAGAAGCCATCGGTCATGTCGGCGGCACCTATAAGTACGACCTTTCCATTCCATTAAAAGACCTCTATCAGCTCGTCGAAGATACCAGAGCTCGACTTGAATCGAAGGGCCTCATCGGAGACGACAAGCCTGCTCGTGGCGTTGTAGGATTCGGTCACATGGGTGATGGCAATATTCACCTCAACATCCCTGTCCCCAAATATGTCAAAGAAGTCGAAGAAGCTCTTGAACCATGGGTCTATGAGTGGATACAAAAGAAGAATGGCAGTATCAGTGCCGAACACGGTCTTGGAGTTGCTAAAAAGAACTTTATCCAGTACAGCAGAAACGAGACGATGGTCAAGTTGATGAAGCAAATTAAACAGCTCTACGATCCTAAAGGTATTATGATGCCCTACAAATACGTGTGAGCCGAGAAAAGTGCTCAGCGATGTTGTGTATCACTCTGTCCTGCGCGAAGTCAAGCTGAATGTCCTCAGTTCAACACAGTGAGCACTGAGGGCATCGGTTACTAGGATCACCAATTCATGGTCTTGACCACCCGGCAAGAGTATTTTCTTCTCTACAGCAACGTCTATCGTGCGCAGCAGCTACTCGGTCCCAAAACATCGACGCGTTCTTTCGCTCCTCCTGGTCCCCGAGACTGCGTATTAGAGTCAGATCGACCGAAGGCACAGAATACCAGCCTATGCAAGATACAGCTTAGGGGGCTCATGTGTGAAAATGCTGGCACTGTGTCTCCAAACCCGAAGTGACTTCAATACATAAACAAGCCAGACGCCTCAAATGAGTGGCCGACGAAGTTCAGCACATGCCCGCGATGCATTTGAGAAGAAGCAAGCACGTTGCCTATCTATGTTGAGCACAGGGAGAACTGACTGCGCTGACGTCGACGATTTCGAGCAGTGACCAAGCAGGCTTTCTTGCGATGGCTGCAAGGTTCACAGCAGGCGACTACCTGTCAAGATAGTGAAGGCCAACGGCTGCTTGCAGGCTCACGCGATTGAAGCGATATACGACCGCAGTATTACAGAAGAGGTCAAAAATATCATATGGCCACAAAGGTCCCTGTAACAAGGTCTGTGGTCGTGTGACAGTGGATTGGGGCAGATTCCGTCCCCAGAAATAATCTACTCGAGTAAATATTGGAGACAACAAAAAGCACATTCGAGTTGGAGTTCAGTGTGCCTCGACTTTTTCCGCCTCGAGCAACTCGCGCCATTATGACAGAATAGTAGCTCTCGATGGCTGCGTTTGCAGTCTCTACTACCTGAACTTATTCGTATACCTTATTGTATAGACTTGTCCACACGTATTCGAACCAAGCCTTTTCGACAGAAACTCTAATATTTTGTGTCTCCAAGCCTCGGCCCAGTCGGTATCTACCCCAAGATATGCGGCAGGCATTTGTTCAGTCCCGTTGCATTGTTGTATTGATAAATCATCCTCTTTCCAAAGTTCCGAATCTAGAGTGAGGTCTTTGGTATCCCCCAAGCCGCCATCATGCCATCCATCTCCGAACTCAGCGACATCCGCATGCCCATGATCGACCAACCAGCATACACACCACGCAAACTCCGAGTCGTCACAATCGGAGCAGGCTACTCCGGCCTCCTCTTCGCACACAAATTCCAGCACGAGCAGCCCGACCTACAGGACTTCATCGATCTCACCATCTTCGAAGCCAATGAGGGTGTGGGCGGGACCTGGAAAGTAAACACGTACCCTGGCGTTCAAAACGACGTGCCTGCTCATCTGTACGCGTTCCCATTCGATCCGAATCCGAACTGGTCAAAGTTTTATGCGGATGGGGATGAGATCCTGGCGTATGTGGAGGGGATTTGTGATAAGTGGAATTTAAGACGGGATATTAACTTTGGGCATCGGGTGGTGGGACTGGAGTGGGTCGAAGAGGATGCGAAGTGGAAGATTCGGGTGTCTGAGCGTGGGGAGGAGAGGACTGAGTATGCGGATTTTATCATTTCGGCTCAGGGGTTTTTGAGTCGGTGGAAGTGGCCGAGTATAGATGGAATACATGACTTTCAGGGTCATAAAGTTCATTCTGCGGATTGGGATCATTCGTATGAATACTCGCGTAAGAGGATAGGCGTGATAGGCAATGGAAGCAGTGCGATACAGATCCTGCCACAGATGGCTAAGCTCGAGGGTGTGCAGGTTGTTTCGTTTCAGCGTAATCCCACGTGGATAACACAGTCGCTTGGTCAGACTTTAGGTGTTAGTTCTGGAGAGCCAGAGCCTCCAGATGAGAACGAAGAGGTTGGGGTGGATATGGCGGAAGTGCCACCTGAGGATACAGAAGTGGGCTCCAATTTCAATCCAAGATATACAGCTCGTGATAAGCAGCGGTTCCAGGATCCCGAGAAGCATAGGGAGTATCGAAGGATGTTGCAGCATGGCATGAACCGTGGGTTCCGCCTCTTCAAGAAAGATAGTCCACAAAATCAAAAGTCCACCGAGGCCACCATCGAGCGCATGAAGAAAGCACTGAATTATGACGAGGAACTCTGCAAGAAGCTGATACCAGAGTGGACGCTTGGGTGTCGAAGGTTGACGCCGGGAGAGGGTTATCTCGAGTCGTTCCTGCTGCCACATGTGAAACTGACACAATCGCATATCAAGTCAATTGACGCTACGGGCATCAATACGGAAGATGGCGAGCACTATGACTTGGACGTTATCGTGTGCGCCACGGGCTTTGACGTCTCGAATATACCACACTATCCTGTGGTCGGACGTAATGGCATGACATTAGCAGAGAAGTGGAAAGACGAACCTGAATCGTACCTGTCTCTGGCATGCCCTGACTTCCCGAATCATTTCATATTTACTGGTCCGAACGCAACAGTCGGGCATGGGACCCTGATAACTTCCATGGACTGGTCTGCACAGTACATGATCAAGTGGCTGCGTAAAGTGGCAGGAGAACAGATCAAGTCAATTGCTCCAAAACAGTCTGCCACAGATGAGTTTGTGAGGTACGGTGACGAAATTCACAAGACATTGACTTGGACGGGTAGTTGCGTTTCATGGTAAGTACATCTCTGAACATGCCAAATCAATGACTGACGATAGGGATAGGTACAAGAATAATCGAAGAGATGGTAGGGTAACAGCCACATGGCCAGGTAGCGCACTCCTATATAAGGAGATGATCAAGGAAATCAGGCCTGAAGACTGGGAGATTGAGTATAGGCATCGCAATCGCTTTGCCTTCATGGGTTCGTCAGTTCAGCGCAAAATTTGGTGCGCCATACTGACTGTAATTGTAGGGAATGGGTTTACGATGCTCGAGATGGATGAGGACGCAGATTTGGCATTCTATATTGACCGATAGTGAATGTTTGAGACGAGTCCAACATGCAGCCAGGGAGAGACGGTCTTGATAAGGTTGGCAATGCAAGACAGATCGTGCTCACTGGAGCCTGAATTAGTACGTCGGCGTGAGTAATGTAGATAAACCATAGAGAAGCAAGAGAAGATTGCAAAAAGAGTTGAGAACCATTTCGGGCAGTACTGATAACTGCTGCAGTACCAAATTTTATGGGGGTTTTGGGGCTGTAAAATTAGTGGTCGATGCCTCCATCACCGCCTGGATTTTTTTGGTAAAACCGAATTGCACCAATTGAGGAAGTAGTGAGGCAGGTATTACTCTATGCTCTATTGCTATAGCTCGATGAGTCAGAGTAGGGCATCTATTCTGCTCTATACGATGATGATGACCTAGCTGTTCCATAAACGACCTTCTTTCTCTCCACCATCAAAAAGGTCAGGGCCACAAAATGTCGACTCAATACACGACCGAACCACCTCCAACAGCAACGGTCCTTCTTCACACAAGCGCAGGACCTCTGACGATATCCCTCTTTGCACAGCAGACACCTCTTACAACCAGGAACTTCCTGCAGCACTGCCTGGATGGAACCTACAATGGCACCATCTTCCACCGTGTAGCGCCTGGCTTTGTGATTCAAACTGGTGACCCTACAGGAACTGGCGAAGGCGGTACAAACATATATGAAGATGGAGACAAGAGCCTGGAACGCTACGACGAGACATGGGCTCGTATGCTACGTCTACCGGAGGAACGATATGGCGAGCGCATCGTTCTCGGGAACGAGGCGCACAGCCGGCTGAAGTTCAATAGAAGAGGACTGATAGGGCTGGCGAGGATGAGTGATGAAAAAGGAAATGCTCAGGGACAGTATGGGAGTCAGTGGTTCATTACGCTTGGTGATTGTCGAGCGGAACTGGATGGGAAATGCACAATGTTTGGGAGGATAGAAGGAGATGGTATATACAATGTCATGAGGATTGCTGGAGGAGAGGTTGTGGAGGGGGCAGAGAGACCTGTATATCCGGAGAAGATCCTGAACGTGGAGATACTGGAGATGCCACAAGGCGAGGCATGGAGGGCTATCAGGAAAAGGGAAAGAGTCGCGCAGAGGACAACGACAGAAGAGAAGAGCAAGAAGAAAGAGAAACCAAGTAAGAAGAAGAGTGGAAAGACATTGTTGAGCTTTGGTGGCGACGCCGGAGACGAGGAAGAAGGTGCAGGTGTCGTGGTCAGGCCCAAGAAAGCAAAGTTCAACACAGCACTCATCGATGCAGCTGCTGAGGAAGAACAGGCGCAAGCGAATGGTATCACCAACCATAAGGAGCCTTCTGCCACGAATTCGAAGAAAAGGAAAAGTCCCGAGTCAGCTCCTACACGAAAGTCACCAGAACCAGAACTAAAGAGAAGCAAACCGTCATTCCACGAGTCGACGACACAGCTACCTCTTAAGGATCCAGAATCACCTTCGCGATCGCCAACACCAGACATTCCTCGACAGCGGAGAGCCTCCAACCACAAGTCTGCCACAGCACTTGAAGCTGAGATTGCAGCTCTCAAGGCTAGCATGAAGCGCGACACGGCACCAACAGCAGAGCCCAAGAAGAAACTCTCTGCCCTCGAAGCACTGATTCCTGCGACAAGCACTCGCGGTCGCAAACGGCCACGTCCGGGCGAGACTGGGTCAGAGGATAGTGCTTCGATGAAAATGTTGAACGCATTTAAAGCTCGGCTGGAAAGTGCAGATCAGGGAAAAGAAACGTCAAAAGATTCAGCTGCTACAAATGGTAACAAACCACATGCAGAAGATCGAATCCCAGATGCACCTGATGAGGAAGCAACCTTGTGTGATCTGCATTTCATCGCAAACTGCCAATCCTGCTCTGATTGGGCGGGTGACAACAAGGAGGCAGAAGACGTTGATGACGAAGGTGGAAAAGGTTTCTTGAGTCACAGTTTGACGTTTGAGAAGGATCGATTAGGAAAGGATCTCACGTGGAAGCAGAAGAACGAAGAGGAACTGGTGGTTATTGATCCTAGAGAAAGAGAGAAGGAGTTGGGGAGCAAGAAGAAGCACGGCGATAGGAATGGTGATGGCAAAAGTAGGAATTGGGATAGGAACCGAGACCGTGACAGAGATAGGAGAAAGGATGAGCGGCTTAGAAGTATTGGGTAGTGCTTTGAAGCTCCAGTCTATTGACATGCCTTAATGCATCCAGTTGCTCGTTGATGTCTTTCAATACTTCAAACCACCATTGATGGACACCTCGCTACCATTCATATACCTCGCCTCTTTGCTCATCAGAAACGCAACGATGTCAGCAACCTCTTCTGCGGTTCCCATTCTACCTAAGCTGACGGAGGCCTCACTCTCTTTGACAGCGTCAGGACCAGCAACAACGCTGTTGTTAGTAGGTGTGTCGATAAAACCTGGAGCAACAATGTTGACTCTGATGCCTTTTGGACCGAGCTCGAGTGCCATCGATTTGGAGAATCCCATTACCGCATATTTAGTGGCACAGTAGGCAGCAACTCGTGCTGCTGGTCGTTGACCCATGATTGAGCTGACATTGACGAAAGAGCAACCAGCATGTTCCTTCATATGTGGTAAAGCGGCTTTTGTAACGTTGTACGTTCCCTTTACATTGACAGACCATAACTTGTCAAAGTAGCCATCTGGCAGTTCTAGTATCGAATAAGCAGTGGGATTGATGCCTGCACAGTTGAACACATGGTCTATACGACCATAATACTGGACAACTTCCTTCACGACTAGTTGACATTGTGCCTCGTTTGAGACGTCGAGTTCTGCAGTGATGATTGGTGACAGATCAGACTGCTGGACTGATTCAGGGAAAGCTACCTCGTACTCGATCTCGACAACGTCGGTAAGGATGAGGTTCGCTCCAAGCTTGGCCAGCTTCAGAGCAGTGGCTTTTCCTATACCTGAAGCAGCTCCTGTAATGAAGACGATCTTGCCAGCAAGGGACTCCGACATATTGAGGACTTTGACTGATCACTATCGGATCCTTTGATTGATACTTTGGTTAGTCATGCCGACTTCGACGGTCGTACCTTCTCCGAGTAGTGAACATTGTCCTAGAAGGATCGGAAGTGCATTACGTCGACCAATAGTCACACAGGTGTGGAAGGAGCCATTATACTTGAACTCACACCTGCTGTTCTCTCAGACATTTCTTGCCTTGTTCAAAATTCATCATACTGAGGCAAGAATCATTGTCCGTCCTGGAAGTCATTTCACAAACACCAAATAACGCGAACAAACACGTTACAAGGTGCTATACAAGTCGCGTGCAAACACGTTCTTCCCCGCAGATGGTGACAATTGTAGTCTGGCCCGTCTAGTTGTCTTTCTTCCAGTATACAACTCATCCTTCCTACTGCCCACCCAATTCTACTCCACGAGAAACATCATACCGCTGATTCGACATGGACCACGCCAGCGCAGGTGCGAAGGCACTAGCTGTATCAGATGCAAAGACAGCCGTGGAAGAGTACACAAAAGCCTTGATTGAGAACCCTACCTCACCAGACTACTTCATTCAGAGATCAACTGCTTTCGGTCGGCTAAACCCACCACGACACGATTTGGCTCTACAGGATGCTGAATTTGGAGTGCTTGCTGGACAGAAGCGTGGGAAGAGAGACAAGATACAGGCTGCACAACAACGAAGGGTCGTTGCTCTCTATAACCTTGAGCGATATGCTGATGCAAAGCTGGTCCTGGACAGTATGAAGAGATGGCGGCCGACAAACTCAAAACCGCAGGAAATGGAACATAACATGTGGCAGTCCAAAATTGATGGCAAGCTGAAGACTAAACCGCAAGAAGCAACCGTCACCGAATATCCTTCAACGTCTTTACCGAATGAGAGGACGATGACGAATTTGCTTGAGAAGCAATTGCAGAATGGTACTGCCTCCAACCAGAACGAAAAAGATGTTGAGGTTCAAATGGTGGACGACGGCGGAAAGGAACGGTCTACTACTGAACAACCTTCCACGACTGCACCTACCACAAGCACAACCGAATCTACACCAGCCACAGTTGCGCCTCCTCAGAACTTCAGACACGAATGGTACCAGAATAACCAAAACGTAATCGTCACAATCTATGCCAAAGGAGTCCAGAAAGACAAGGTCGAGGTCGACATTGAAGAAGACTCAATCTCTGTAACCTTTCCCCACCCTTCCGATCCTTCGTCCTCTTTCAATCTGAGCTTCGATCCCCTATACGCACTCATCGATCCATCAGCCTCAAAGTCACAAGTCATGTCAACCAAGATCGAGCTCACTCTTGCTAAGGCTGCTCAAGGTCAAAAGTGGGCAAACATAGAAGGTTCAGCACCTCTCAAGAAGTCAGAAGCTGCACCAACAGAAGACGCCTCAGCCCAGGCTGCTATGATGTCTTCCATTCAGCAACCTCCTGCCCCAGCTGCAGCCCCTTCATATCCAACCTCCTCCAAAACTGGTCCGAAAAACTGGGACAAGCTAGCAAGCGATCTCACCAAGAAGCCAAAGAAGTCCACCCCAAAGTCCGAGAAACATGATGAGGACGAGGACGATTCCGATGCAGATGACGCTGAAGTCGATGACGACTCCGATTTTGGAGGAGATGCTGTCGACGGCTTTTTCAAGAAGCTCTACGCTGGTGCTGATCCTGACACTAAGCGAGCCATGATGAAGAGCTTTACAGAAAGCAACGGCACGGCACTTTCTACTAACTGGTCGGATGTCGGCAAGAAAAAGGTGGAAGAGGTCAAAAGCCGTGATGAAGAGAACTGATTTTTCCTGATATTCACTGCAATTACTTTGATTAGTACCAGCGTTTCAAAACATTATGTACTTCTAGCAAGGCGCTGGTGATGCTTCCAAATTGAGTTTCATCCCTTCCGGGACTTTACATACCAAGCCATCTACCAACATTCTTTAGGTGAACCCCCTCGTGCACGGATCTTTTGAAATTGGAATGGAAACTACTGGCGAGCTCAAGCACCTGCCTCTTCTTGATGTTATTGCAAACTCCAACACGTCTTACTGACCATTGCTAACCAGCAGCAACATCGACAATCATCACCATGGGTGCCACGACCTTCGGTACTGCCGTCGCAATCTTTGTCAACACCTGGCTCGTCGGCTTGATAGCCTTTGGGATAGCAGCAACAGGGATATTCCTGCATATACTCGGAGCCGTCGACAGTACTATAGGGTCGAGCGTACTGTTGTCTATCGTTTGTGTATGTTGTCCTACCTTAGAAGAGATGCCTACTAAACCACTCACAGGCTGCCACATCGACTGTCTATCTTATACTGCAAAGTATCAGCGTCTCGCATACAAAGCAGTATCGCTTCCACAGATTGTCACTCGTCTCCTTCTGTGTACACTTGTCTCGTGCCTTGATCGCTCTATGGATAGTCACCACTACCGTTGGCTTATGGAGAGCGTTGGGACAACCATTGTGCAAGAGCAGCGATGTCAAGGCTGATACTCCAGCTTGGGAAGCAGGGCTCGGTTGCTGGATATTCAGAGTTCTCGTGGCCTTGAATGTGGTGATGCTGTACGACTTCAAGTTGTGAATGCTGAGATTTCTGTGCTGACGACTCTAGGATCATGAGTTTCTCACTCTTCATTCTCACCGAGATCAATGGCCGCTACGTCCCAATCGGCCTTTTCCATTTCGAATACTTGTCACACTCCTCCGCTCGTAACACCCCTGGCAGACACCGCCGTCGTACTCTGGTGAACTCAGCTTACGGAGACTCCGTCGAATACCTTGCCAATTCCATGACCGTCACATCCGAAGACGAACAAAATCTGACTGGTTCAACCGAAAAGCAGCCTCGATCCAACCGCGATGAATTTACAATCTCTCCGTCGCCTACATACCGCTCCATCGACTTCGTCGGAGCCCGCTCAAAAGCACCTGCCATGCCAGACCATCGGCTCGACGCATTGGACCAGGAGTCGATCCTTAACTTGTCCTCTTCGCGTCAATCTACAATCACAACCACAACATTCGCCACTGTTCCTCTCTCCCACTTCCCCACCACACCAACGAGTAACGCCCTTACATCGTCGCAGCTCAAATCACGTCACCTATCAGCATCCAATTTCCCAGCTCTCCCAAGCTCGTTCCAGAAACAGTTGAAAGAACTCGAAGCTGCACAGAACGGGGCAGTGGCCAACACACCAAGTCCAGGAGCTCGTCCAGCACTTTACAACATCACAAACACCTCTGCAGGAAAGCTGAAATCAAGCTGTGCCTTGCCTCTTTCCACTCAATCCAGCACCACACTGGCAACTACGATCAATGTCATTGAAGCGCCAGAAGAGAAACAACCACGACCTCTGTCGGAAACCATCGACAAGCCTGCGCCAGCTTGGTGCCCTACCAATCTCAAAGCAGACCCTCTCTCCTCGGACCCGGCAATCAAGCGTCTGACAGACTTTCGTCGAAACTCGAAACTGGGTCTCGACCGTGTCAGCCGACGCTTCAGTGTTGGAAGTCACGGCTTCGAGTTCGGCTTTGGTGGGAGCACAAGGGTTAAGCCTGACAGTGGAAATTCCAACTCCAACGATGTGAAGGAGGGTGCCGGTACCAAAGGCACAGAAATGCAACCTACACCCACTACCGACACGAAGGTAGAAAAAGCTACTGAACCCAAGAAAGACGAGCCAACAAACACCTTGACTAAACCCACCACCGACACAATTCAGCGCTACACCAAACAATCTAAGCGCCCCGGAAAGAATCTGAGCATCATGCCACCGCCCTTCCCGCCTCCTGCGCCTGATCGGTCAGCTGCTCACGGTCATGGCACCAGGCCTGTTTCATCACATAGTCAGAGTCGGAAACGAGGAAAGAGTATGGTTGAGAGAGGGAGATATGAGAAGTTGCCACGTTGATACTTCGAGGGTTACGAGATAATTCACTGCTGAAGGAGTCACGAGTGCGTGCTTTGAAACAAGCTAGGGAGGTCGTTATGTCGTTAGGAGTTTGGAGTTGGTCATGCTGTTCCAAGCATGCGAAATCTGGGCGCCCTAGACCTAAGGATTTCAGTATGCGATGTTAGACATCAAAAGAGCAGTGTTTTCCAAGAAGCTGTTTATAGACATTTGCAATAACTGAAAATGCTTCATTAATCGTGACTCATGATGACCTATTCAAACCAAACTCTAGTGTCCATCCAAACCATAGTGTTTTACAGCCAGGCTATAGCCGGATCCAAAGCGTTTCCCAATCCCCAACTCAACTCCTGTTCCTATGGCAGACATGCGCGGTCTATTTAAATGCGTAGCCAATGTCTCTTTTTTGCACTTGTCGCATGATCCGAACGCCCCTATGCCAATGGTTGTTCCTATATTCATATCCGTCCTCTTTCCATTAGCCAAGAAATGCACCAAACATACCACTGTACGCATGAGTACGTATCTAATACAGCTGGCAATGTGGTTGCCATGCCCAGAAAACGCATATCCAAGACAAGCGCTTCGTGCGAAAATCGTTGTCGTACACAGTTGATCATGAATGCACTCTCGTCACGTTGTTTCGACCCCTAGGACAGCTTCGGTGTCCCCACTATCGTCATCGTTATTAGTAACCGGCAGTTTTCTCTGCTTCTTGAGGTCCATCTTCATGTAATCTCTTATCGGCTGTAGCACAGACCGAAGTCGGACTCCTTGCTTGCGTAGCGCCATAGATTTGATGAAACACAGTTCGTCTCCAACAAGTTTCCACGGCATTTTGCCGCGGGGGTACTCACTGTACATACAAGATGCACGAAGAACTGACCACGGAGAGCCCCTATCGCCACCATACCGTATAAAGTCGTTGTAAATATAGCAATCATGTTTGCGAGGTTCAATCGTTTGAACAGCCTGTGACAGCTCGTCGACAATCTTGGCGAAGTTGAGAGGGTTGTTATTCCTCGTTGTCGCGGTATTCCGGTGTTCCTTTGCAGTGTCGAGTTGGCCAATGGTCGTGGTCCACTTGTGACTAATAGCTTGAATGTCTTCTTTGAGGCCTCGGAGGACAGCTTTTACTTCATTATGGGATGTAAGTTGGGTAAGAGTCCTCGTGGCCTCTGCCCATGCATCATCTATGGGCTTCTTCAGATCGGCGTCGCGGATTTTGTCAGGATTGAAGTCTCTGTCAAAGTTATGAAGTATTTCTTCACTTCTCGGTATTGCAACGTCAAACTTCAAATAATCGAGGACACTGATGCATGGGCCGCTAGAGGGGAATCGGTGGTTAGAGCTTGTCGCGTTTTCATCATCGTATGCTGGTGTGTCTGATAACCTGTGGAGCTGGAAAATATTGCGGATCCTGCTGGCTAAGTCCTTCCAAGTATTTGTGCTGAATGAGTCCCCAGCCTTTGCTCCATCGACAAGATAACCACATAGCGCAGCGAGCGTCAAGAAATCCTTTTCCTTCATATTTCTGGGATTTGCATAACACATTTTCTCGAGCAGTTTAGTAACCTGACCAAGTCTACTCGCAATTGCATTGAAAGAGATGCATTTGTACATAAACTCATTAACCTCCTTGGTGGCAGGTGTCGATACTGTAAAGACATCTTTGACATATGCAGTGGCTGAAGTGATGCCGCATTCGCTCTTAGTAGGTAGAGTTGGCACTGATGCATTATCGAATTTTCCAGTGAATCGATCATCCCAGATGAGTGTCACAGTGTCGCCGTCATAATCGCCGCCCGACAGCATTCCAGCTAGAGGGGACTCGCCTCGGATCGGGAAAATCGCAACATCCTTCAGATGTCTCAGTTCTGGTCTATACACAAGCTTGACCGCCTGTATGTCGGATGGAAGATGGGCGGGATTGCGAGCCACTAGCACTCTCATATTTTCGAGTTTCCATTCCGGGAAATCCGAGACTGGTTGCGTAAAGTTGACCTGAATCTCTCCAGGCTGAAGCGTTCCCGTGGGATCTGCCACGCAGAAAAGATTCGTACTGTAAGGTATCTCAATCCAGAGCTTAGTATGTCGATTAGCTAGACTCTGGCTGACAATACGCGCCATGCAGTCTTTGACCATGTATCGGCAGGATTTGGGATCGAAGCCGCTCTCAAGTAGCATATCGACCTCCTCCTCCTTTTCATCAGGCATCTCTCCACACCAGCCAATTTGTGATTCGGATAGAGAGGGATGCCATATCTGTCGCCAGCACCTCAATTCAGCCGCATCTTTCATGGCCTCTGCTAACGAATCATACCATTCTCGTAGGTGAGTCAACAATAGTTCTTTAAGCACAAGTCGTGGAACACCTCTATTCTCAAGAATGGTGATTAACTGAATGTTCAAGTGTGCAGGAGCACACGTGTGCGAAGTTTTGACAACCTCAAAGGTTCTCTGATATCTGTCCGCATCAATCCTCTGCTCGGGATGCGGCTTGATCTTGAGCTGGGAATCAGAGACTTCAATCCAAAAGCCTCGTCCATGAGACCTTTCAGGGTGAGTGTTGTGATAGTCGACTATCCACAAGCCCTTGGCGCCGCCGATACGAGCTTGGAAGGCACTCGGCACGTTCTCGTTCTGCTTCCCGATCTCCTTCCAGACTGCTGCCGCCAGTGGATACGATATAAGAGCACAACCATCTGTCATAATTTGATCACTTTCGATCGCGGTTCCGTACTGGTCTGTAGGTTGCTTGTCGCGAACGTAAATAAATTCATCGGACTTTAGTTCGATCGTTGGAGTTGTCTTAGAAAGCCCGAGGTGCATACGAGCAAAGAGTTTTAGGTCAGTCGAACTAAGATTTGGCCTCAGTGGAATGTGCCATTGTACAAGCTGAAGTAAAGAAATAGCTCGATGACGTGGATCAGAAGCTGCTGATCTTGGGGTTGCAAAGTCGAAGCCGTTGATGGCAAAGAGGTGAAGCTTCAATCGTGTGCCCTCTTCCTTACGTCGTTTCTTGGGCGCATCCTTCGTTTCGACGTAAAAGGCACGCCAGATTCGACCTGCAAGATACAAGTCGTCTTTCCCAAGCCATGCAAATATGCGGTCGTGTATGTCTTGTGGTTGCATGCAACTCTTGAGCTTCTCTGGGGTATTCGGAGGATAGTCGGGTGCGAAACAAGGTATGTCTAGCACAATAAAGCGGTCGGCCCCGAATTTGCGGTGAAATCGACAACTCCTATCAATGGTCATTGCGTTCAGCTTGAGGTCGAGGAGCTGGTTCTCAGGTGTTTGTATGAAGTCGAGTCGAGCAGAAAGCGAGACTGATCTTGACGTCTCATTGTCAATGTAAGAGTTCGCTTCGAACGTCGAGGCTCTAACATTTGACTGTGGTGGTGCAGGCTTGTTATCAGCTCTACATATCTTGACCACTTCCTTCCAAAAGCTGGAGTAGCTTAGTGTCTCGCTAGTGCAAGCAACACCAGCCTTGTGGTACAAGGCGCCAACTTCCCATCCTATGTGTAGACTAACTCTGTAGAGTTCAAAAGTGTACCAATACGGCAGGTCTTCAGGCAGCTGCCGCTTTACTGTCTTCAGGGGGCCCGATGTCGCTATCTCATTCAGGAGTTGTAAAGGGGTTTTCTCAACAGCCTCAGCTGCTTTGCAGGAGCGTTTTGCTTCGACATCGTCTAGGTAATCGCGTTCGAGTTGCGTACCGCCTGAGAACCTTGTCGATACTTCATCACCGGTGTCCGTAAGTATTGAGGTATTGTTGGAGCTTATGTCTTGGTCTTCCACGTCGGAGAAAATCTGGTCAGGATCCTCGGACTTGATTGTATCGAAGCTTCGGTTCAACGTCCCGTTATCTGAAGAAGTGACTGTAGCATCCTGTGCTTTTAGGTCACTGAGTCTCGAACGTCGCTTCTCGGTTTGTGAGAGGGTTAATTGGCCCTTCTCGGGTTCGCCCTTTAGCTTCTTAGAGGTCTGCCTCCCATCTTTGCTTTTCGCGTTCCTCGTCGCGCTTTCGGACTTTGTTAGAGACTGTTTGTGTTAGCAATGGAAAGTCTGTGGATCCCAATTACATACAGTAGGAGGTGTGGCCACACGTCTTCGCTTCGCGCCTGCTGAAGATACTTTCTCTGAATCGGATGGAACAGCCATGCGTGACTCGAGTCGAGGTGTGACGACACTATTATCTTCGATACATGTGGTGAAGGAAGTTGCGGCGGTAGACAAACTGTTTGAGAAGCTTGTATTCCGAGATACAGTTGCAGCTGAGCTGAATGAGCTACGTTGATAAGTATCAGAATCTTGGTTGAGCCTCAGCTCCTCGTCCAAAAGATCAACCAGGGTCTGTAAAGCTTCGAGTCGACCCTGCAGTGTGAAGCGGGACCGGGTAAGAGCCTCATTTTTTATGAAGCTTTTCGACTGTGGTAGTGAAAGTACTGTATCTCGTGCCTCCAGTGAAGGTTTGTCTAGTAACATTAGCCGCTGACTAACGCTCCTTCCACATTCGAACTTACATATCCATTGCGACTGCTTCGCAAACACTCTTTCCTCGAAATCTGTTACGATGGCATCGACATTGATATTTCCTTTCCAGCATACTGCTCTGATGCGAAATGCAACTTTACCAGCTAGGTCATTTCCTTCTCTTGCTTGACGAGCTTCTGTGCCATGCAGTCGTCTGATCTGCAGGCCCCATTTCGAGTTCAATTTATTAATCACCTGGTCAATCTTCGCACTGGTTTGAGAGGGTGTTTCTGGCATTCGGGCTGAGAGAGCACGACCTCATTTGTGTACTTTTGGCAAAGAGAAGGACTACAAAGATTAGTGCCATGTAAAGCATCGTCTCTGGAGTCCTACCCGAGCAATGCACCAATCTTCAAAGCAGAACGATCAACCTTTTTCAAACCCACATTGAGAACGCCCAAAAAATGATCAGTGGCTCGCTCGAACGCTGCAAAAGTGAGAGACACTTTAGGTGAAGCAACAGCTTCGACGAAGCCCACTTCACCACTAGGTCAGCCTATTCTCGGGAGACAGTCGCAGTTCACTTGAACCGCAATCGAGGGTAGCTAATTGAGCGGAGCCAAGTTTGAGGTCGCTGGAGCTTCAGGAGATCCAGTGCGGGAGGCATGAGCCGCCGACCGTAGTTAGTTAGCGAGTTGCCTGGCAACGATCTCGCGTCCATTTCGCGTCTCTCGCGTTCAGCTTTTCCTCATTGCCTTTCCACTGTCCTCATCAAGTCGAGATCAGCCCGAACTCCGGTTATAAACACCATGACTGGCAGCTCGATATACTCCCAGTTGATGCCTCGACCTGAACAAGAAAGAGATTTGTCAATATTGCAACGTACCCGTGATCGTGATGCTTGACTGACCGGTCGCTGCCTCGGAAGTCGTTCTGGCTATTACAGTCTTCCTCTGTGGTGTTTGGCTGAAGCCTGCTCGAGCTGATGGCGAATACAGCTTGAGCACATACGATAGTCCACATCCCGTTGAAAGTTCTTACACGAAGCCATGCCACAGGCACACTCCTCGTTCCGACCCATGGGCGAGGTCTTTCGCCACTCCTCCAGGTTGCACGACGCGCATTTGCAGATTGAGGCACCAACAACAGAATCATATGCTTACCACGTTCCATAGAACAATGCAGTACAGGATAACCGACAAAGTTCAGTGTTTAGTGCCACGCGTGCCTTCACGGTATTTGCTCCTACTTCGAGCACACACCACAGTACATAATTATCCATCGTGTCTCACAGCATGAAAACAACTCACAATCAGATGCTCTTCTGGGGGTCAAGATTGGCAAAAGAAAGAATTTATCTCTTCTGAGGAATTTCCATTGATTTTGCACAGCTACCTGTGCATGCCTGGGGCAAGAACAGCTAGGCAGTACCCAGGCAGAATCTCCACATCAACCACAGATTGCGTACTACATGGCCTATTGGTTCTCGTTGCCTCGTCATGAAAACCTATCTCAAGGGCGCGAGATTGATCCGACAGGAACGCGTCGTGTCATCCTGTCAGTCCTGCAGATGCTGCCGCTCTAGGTCACTTGCCATCCCATCGAGTTGATTACGTACGTATCCACTGCCCTCTCTACTACGGTTCTGATGATGCTGAGATGAATGAGCGCGACCCTCTCAGTCCGCTGTACGTCTACTACCCTTTGGATGCCGGGCACCACTGTGGTTCGTTAGCAGACTTCACCACCTTACGATCGAAGTTGTACTCACAAACTAATCCGTCTCGCCACGCCTTGCAAGACTTGGTCATTATCAGCCTCTCGCGCAGCCCTCTCCAAAGCCTTCTTTCGATCCTCCGCACTCTTCTTCTCGATCTCCTCATGACTGGGAGGTAAATGTTCATTTTGTAAGTCGACCTTTCGTGCATCTTCAAAATTGTGAATGGCCTGCTTGATGCCCTCAGCACCCAGCATAAGAGTGCCAGCAGGTAACCGACCACCAGACGCTGTTTTGAGCTCAGTGACACGCTCCGACTCTTCTCGCAGAACCTGGAAAACACGAGAGAGCCGACCTATGGCCAGAATTTTGTTCTTAATTGCACGACGCTTAGCCTCCGTTGACTCGGCGTCTGAAAGCGCAGGCGAGGCTGGACCGGATAGAGGTGTCTCGTCCTCCAACTCTTCCTTGGAGCATGTATTCAAAATCGCGATAAGCATGTCTGTGATCTTCTCTCCAACAAATGGTAGCGACCAGGTAAATACGTCCATGAAATTCGGTAGCCAATACGGATGTGGTGTGCAGTTGAATTGTCTGATGTTCATCACGTTGTTCTCGTACTTTAGCACAGCTGCCTTGTTGTTGTAGACGTCCAGATAGTTGGGCGCCGAGAATATCGTCATTACACTTGGGAAGCCAGTAGTTCGGGTTTTACGATACATTCTGTAGCCAGCATCTTGCGCTTCGTGGGCGCGAATGACCGAGAGCAGATTGTTCTTCTCTAGGAAATTGCAAGCAGCTGGATATGAGAAGAAGTACGAACAGCCACGTACGTGGTTGTGGACGAAGAACTCTCCTGTCTTTTCTTGACCAAACTCTTCCAGTGGATCTGCCCAGAGAATGTCGCACATAAGACCATGGGTGGGTGGCTCACGGAACCGATCAATGTTCTTGATATCATCGAGCGTGTGTAATTCAGGACTGAGGCCGCCGTGTATACAAAGGAACTGCTTGTTCATGACAGCCGCCAGTGGCAATGCGCAGAAGGAGTCCATGCATGCATCGTAAACTTTTTCCGAGTATTTGTGCTTGCATTCGAGCTTGAAGGTGAAGTAATCGGTCAAATGCCGGCATTCGTGGTTACCTCTCAGTAGCCAGAGGGTATTGGGGTACCAGATCTTAAGGGACCACAGGTATAGCACACATTCGATACTGAAATAGCCTCGATCCACGTAGTCGCCCAAAAACAGGTATCTGGTCTCTGCTGGATCACCACCAACCTCGAACAACTTCATCAGATCGAAATATTGACCATGTACATCGCCACAGACCGTAATGGGCGCATCCATCTCTAGCAGATTGGGCTCTGCTTTTAGCAGTTTTGCACCTTCGTTTATGATAAATAGCGCTTGCTCTTCGGTCAGCCTTCCTTCTCGAATGAAGTGCTGCTTCAAAAACGCTAGGTTTGGCTTTTTGCGATCGGCAGAGGAATAGAACTCGTCGTCGGTAGGTACTCTCATAGCAGGAGCCTGAACATCTACTCTTTTGTCAACGTGAAACTGGCACTCTTGCGTAATACGCCATACCTTTGCAGACTCTTTCCTGCGTGCTCACTTGAGAGCCATCCTCCATGGTATGTAGCGTGAAATCGATATCAGGTACAGGCTTGCGGTTCACCACCGCTTGTTTCATGTATGTTTCCATGATTGTTGCTTGAGGCGCACCAGGCGCAGGTATAAGATATACGAGAAAACCGATATGTTAGGTGGACTGGACAAGGACCGTGGTAAGTGAAGTGTCTGGTCTGTAACGTGTGGTGGTGGTAGGTAAATTGCCTGTTAGTAGGCTATTCCAGCAAATACCAAGCAGACGTCAGATCCCAAGGCTTTAGACGCTTGCGAGGGGCTAGAATAGGAACACTCGAGGCTTTTGAGGGTGGCAAGAAGATTATTGGCAAACAAACAACTGCTCAAGATCTGTCCCACTCTGCGGTATGGCGAAAAGAGCTAATCTATACTGCTGACGATGAGCACAAAGAATACTGCTTGTCACACTCTATGCTCAAACGGTGCAGCTGAAAGAAGTAGGCGATTATCGTAAACCTTATTGCAGGTGTGGGCTTGCGCAAGCCACTCTGCTGCCACCGAAACATCCCTGGAAATCCTCAAAAGCCCTTGGCGAACTGCCTCTCTGGGGGCTGAAAGTAAGCACGAGCACGTGCTGGATATTCGTGGTAGAACTAGAAAGAATTGCCGGGCAAAAGTACAGATATACCACGTCGACGGCAACCAGAAATTCTATCATATCGTGAGCCTCGAAACGACTTCCAACGTCGATGAGTCGGCCGTCCATGGACACTCTCCCACTACCTCCCAAAGTCTGCTTACAAGATGTTCGATACCCATAAGCCACATCCTCTGCTAGCTCAGGTCCCGCTAACAATCAGTCCCTTTGTCCAGATACCGGTTGCTGTGACTCTCCCGTACACTTTCAGGACTGTGCCAACTTCCCTCCCTCCATCTGTCTTGGCTGACGACTCCAATGGGGACAAGCCAAAGTATGTCAAGTCGTCCAGTGGCCATGCTGCTCACCCTGAAGACATTATTAATTCATGTAAAGCTCTAAGTGATCATATCGCAAAGTCCGCCGCTGATGCACAGAAAAGTATCCAGGACTGGGAAAGACAGATCAGAGAGCGGGACTTGGCGGAGAAGCGGAGGGTTGCTCCTGGCTGGCTGGATCGAGAAGAAAAGTTGCTTCAGCCAACAACGTCAGCAAAGAACCAAGACCTTTTGAGCGAGGAATCAACTTCTAATATCGCAGCGCCTGCAATGTCACCTAGTCGAGAGGGTGAGGAGCTTGATCGAGCTTTTGGTCAGCTCAGTACAAAGTGACTGTTCTACAGGCACTTGCGGCATGGTCTTCTACGGACAGAAATATCTAGCAGAAATTCGAATCAACAAGATGGTTTCTTTTTGTACTATTCCACACAAGACAATACCTCTTGCGAAAATCTACCAGAAGTCACCTTATACGCCCACCCTGTCTCGACGCTTGTGAAGGAAACAAAACAGCTGTGAAGATGTCTTCCGGATGCTGCTTGGCACTTATGGCAAGCACAACAACAAACACAACCAGAGATTCCAGGTATATCGGTATGGCAGTTCATCTCTTCTGAATCACATCCTGGCTTTCCACAACAGGCAAAAACTTACAGTCTTACATCTCGGGAAGAGTAACGCTGCATTACAACTCTTGAACAACTGTTCATAGCCTCAGATAATGCTTGCAAAGACCAGTCCAACCTCAGCCTCACCCATCCGAAACAAACCACAGCCATCTCCATGTCTGCCTGCATTGTCCTCGTGACTTGCTTTGGACTCTTCATAGTCTGCCTCAACATCTTCTTTTGGCTCTACCAGCGATCTGCTACGACCGACAGACTATACCCACCAGATGAGACTAATATCAGTGACCTGGAAAATGAATCAGGAGAAGTGCTAATTCACAACGGCGCATTGGGAACAAGACACGACTATACCTCTACCCATGGATTTGGGCCTTCTTCTCCTCGCTCCTATCGAACAGGAGATACTTATGGCCAAGCCCTGAGATTTCCCCAATTCATAACCAGCACTACCACGACTTTGGATTCATCTGACAGAGTGCGCGTCTCATCTCCAAACATTCATACTCCCTTGCTCGAAGATCGAGGTAGGCCACGAACTGCTCGCCTCTTGAGCCCATTGGCTCGATCTGCAGGTGGATCGACATCAACTGCACGGAGTGATACGAGCGGCCATACCTCTGCTCGTGATAGTGCAACCAACAGAACTGTGTCAACCCGATCCAGCCATGACAGCATGATGTTCGCAATGGAATAGAACGCTAGTTGAAGAGTGGACACGCCCGACCTTGACGGCAATTCAGAAAGAAAGAGAGAAAAGGAGAAAAAGAGAGGGAAAGGGGCTGGTGGTAGACTATTCGACCACGACTGCACATCGTTCCAGCCTTGGCATTACCATGGAATCGGTACACCTTCGTGTGCGAGGGCAATCTAAACCACAGCACGAGAAGAAATCAACAGTCTTGTTGCTCGGGACACGTCGGTCCACCCTAATGCATTAGCAACCCCTGGCACCAATAAAGGAAGTCACGCTCGCTCAGGTGCTCGGATACAGTATTGGCACCTGAGAGCAAGAATCGCCATAAGAACGCTACGCAAGGCACAAACAGGAATATCGGTCCTCAAACTCTCAAGTAGAGGCTGTCGAGCTGTCAAAGCTTCTTTTTGAGTACTTGATAGCGGTCCTAAATTGAATCTGAATCGGATTCTGTCCCCACCTACCATCACTATGAAGTCGTCTTTGCGATCTAGGTTCTGCTTTGTACACCAACGATTCTAATTATGATTAGTATGCAATCTTTCGTGATCATGACATTCAGACAATCTCTGTCTTGGTTCATGGCTCAATGCAGTTGCCTCCTCACAGCTTTAAAACTCCGACCTTATCCTCTATACTCCTTCCATCGCCGCTTTTCATAGCCATAACCTGGTCTCCGTCCTTGTGCCAAATATCGGTAGCAGTCTGATCGATCCCACCAACAACGTGCTTCAAGTAATGTATGACTTTTTTTCTGAGCACTACTAACCGCGCCTCCTGACTTGGCCAGTCGTCTCCACCAACATCGTGTATCGCATTCAATATGACAGCAGATTCATCATGTATTGAGGCACCTGTCTCATCGCGTGTCACGTCCTTCCAACGTGCCAGAAGCGCTTTCTGACCGATCTTTCCAGAAACATTCCCATCTGAATCAGACATGAGGACAAGTACAGACTGCACGTCTCTTGCTCCATCACCTGTGGGTCGATTTAGCACTCGGTTCCGTCCAATACTGCCAAATGTCCTTCTTAAGGTTGAGTCGCTCAAATCGCTGGAAAAGAAGTCTTCAACACTAGGATTGGCTGGACTTTCTGGACTAGCGAGGCTCAGAAATCGAGCTATACTGACTGGGACAAGTCCGAGAAGCGGTCTTATGAGGTTGAGTGGCAATACGACGTCACGTCTCTCGTGCTCTGCTGTCGCATCCACGATCTTCATGATTGAGTCGTAGGCTTTCTTTGCTTCTGGTCCTTCATCAATGGTATGGTTTATTGCATCGCGATCAGACACGGGTGCTTGTAGAATAGCTCCTTGTACCACTGGTCGAGCGGGCTTTCTGTCGCTCGGCGGATTGGGTGCTGTGAGGTAGCGCATCACATCCTGACAGCCAGTACTGTGTCCCATAAGCACGACGTCTAGCCCTGAGTTTTTGAATAGCTTGTCACGTAAAAAGTTAGTGCATATAGCTATCTCTTCTATATCTCGGTCAATGTCGAATATTCCCCATGAACGACCTTGGGAAGACAATTGGATGTGCATTACTCGCCATTCTTGTGTGCTGTGTAGTGGGAAGAGAGCGGCCAGGTCAGTCACGTATTGTGGTAGATTGAAGGTGTCGAAAAGACCGCCAACAAACAGGAGCACATGTTTGGGAGGTGGATGACTACCAGAAGAGCGTGGCAGATGCTCAAAAAGATTGAGGTTGCGACCCTCATGATACACGTGCAAAGCTCCTTCGGTCATCTCGACAACATTCGTTCTTCGATCACAATATGGTAGAGTTGATTTGGGTCCATCTGGTGAGGTTATAGACTGGCATGTTTATGTGGAGAGGTACCCCGTGTGCCCGGGTGACTTTCCTTCCGCAATACAACGAATAAATGTGTTGATCAAAATGTCGCAGAGACCTCGAGTCAATTTACCAGTGTGTCGCTAATATCCATGCCACGACGATGCTCGTCACTGATAGTCCCAGCTCTTAAATCAAATTTCCATTCAAAGTCAAGATAAAAGTGACTATGTTCGACAAAATCCAATTCCCACAATATGTGGCCTTACGACTACCTTCTGGCACTGTCAAGGTCGAACAAATAACGCCTAACACGTAGGTCCACACGATGTCGACTTTGGTCAGGCACTGTAAGCTCTGCTTCATGATCAGTGCATTATCAGTAATGCGCAATGGAAAAGGCTGACTTTTTATGACAGCTTGATTAGTTTAGGAAAATATGGCTCGTTCCATTCCAATCAGATCATTGGTCGACCATATTACTTGACCTTTGAGACTTTGGACCGCGCAGAGCAGAAGGACGGACGGGATCTTCGCGTGGTCAAAGCCTCGGAAATCCATGCTGAGACAATCCTCGAGGAAGCAGAACCTGATCTAGGCGAAGATGATTCTGTATCAACGCCTAATGCTGGTCAATTCGATGAATATGGCCTGCCACTCACAACCGACAAATCCAACGTCAACATCATCGACGATCCGAACAATCAAAAGCTCACATACGACGAGATAGAGGCGTTGAAGTCGGACAAAATGTCCAACCCCAAAGAACTCATCACGAAAATCATGGCGAACCACGCTCAGCTCGATCAGAAAACTGCATTCTCCTTGGCAAAATATACCTTACGAAAGCAGAAAAAGTACATGAAAAGGTTTACTGTCATACCGCTTGATGTCTGTGCACTAACCACTTTCCTTATGGAGGAGAAGGATTTCACCAGAATCTTAGAGATCAGGAACGAGACGTTAGGCTTGATGGGTAGTTGGGCGAACGTTCATGCATCTGGGCCAGCATTAGAGCAGGAAGAATCTAGGTGCCGATATTTAATGGTCGATGATACAGGTGGTCTGCTGGTTGCCGCTGTCGCAGAACGGATGGGGATACTACATCATCAACAACCCACTCAGAGTGAACCCAGTCCTACTCACCCACACAAGCCCAAGGTAGAAGGAGTGCCCACCGAGATGCAAGATGAAGCACAAATTGAGGCGCCGTCTATTCAGCGTCCTCGAAGACAACGTTACGATCATACGCTTGCGACCTCAAATACGATTACTCTCGTTCATGCAAATCAGCAACCGAACCTTTCCCTTCTCCGATATTTCGCCTTCGATCACACACAGCCCCCTTCATCCGTGGAACCAAACCCTCATCAGCTGCATACACACCTACAAACATTGACCTGGCTCCAACTCCTGCAACCCGAAGCCGACAGTACTTACTCGTCTGAACCACCAGTTCGTACTTCCGAAGAACTCAGTGCACTAAAACCAAATCACCGCTCCAACTACTATCGTAAGCGGAGAAGATGGGCCCGAACGAAGCAGGTAGTCGATACAGCGCGTGCCGGAGGCTTCGACGGGCTGATAGTAGCGACTTACATGGATCCCATCAGTGTGCTGAAGCATCTTGTGCCACTGCTCAGGGGTGGGGCACAAGTTGTCGTCTATTCGCCGACTATTGAGCCACTGATGGAGGTTTGCGATGTATACTCTACTGCGAGACGAACAGCGTATTTGCAAGAGATGCGCAGAAGACAAGCGTTGAGCTTGGATGGGACGGCTGATGAGACGAAGGAAACATCACAGAAAGAGGACAACACTGGTAGAATGGAAGTAGGAGACGAGGACGATAAAGCAAGAGCCGATGAAACAAGGGATACAGCGTCCGGGCAGGAACTTCCCGTGCTTGACGATGCTCGCTTCCCAGCTGATCCAACGTTGTTATTGACCCCTGCACTTCACCACTCCTATGCTCGACAGTGGCAAGTATTGCCAGGACGTACACATCCTTTGATGACGGCGAAGGGAGGCGCAGAAGGTGGATATGTTCTAGTGAGCACAAGAGTCATTCCATTACAAGGTGTAATTGTACAAGCTCGTGGTAAGCCGGGACGAGCGAAGAAGAGGACTGGAGCTGGACTTGACCAGGCCACATCTGCAGGCACACCCATTGATAATGGTAACAACGACAATTTGGGGGGACAGGCATCGAAAAGAACAAAGGTGGAAAACGACACGGCGGCATGACATTGTATTGGCCTCGGTGGACTAGACCAGGAAGATGCGTTTTGGGCTGGCGACGGCCTGCCTGCTATATCTTATGTCCGAGTGACGGCAGATAGACGATAACTTGGCGAGGGTGCCATGACCATATGCCGTAGTGGCCGTGCTGTACAGAGTTGAACGCCTTACTGATGGTGTAGGCCTTCTATACGACCTCAAAGACATGCTTGCGATCCTCAACCACAACCCAAGTATGACGAACTGCCCTACTCCGTCGCAAATCGGAGGTAGTGTTGATGTGATCTATATGGCTGCTCGAAGTTCGTGGACGATTTTCGGTACATGTTCACGCTTCAAAGATTCTTGCCCATAAACTTACGCTTCGCGAAGCTCATCCAGAACTTGTTAGGTACTCCTGTACCGTCCGCGTACAGACGGGCATGTAATCTCTGCGCTAGCTCCTGCCGTACTTGACTTAAATATTGCCTCTGCGTTTCCGCATCTTGTCGATCTCTAGGACCCTCATATGCCTGGTTCAGAGGAAAGCCGGGCTCCCCTGGTAGGCTGAAATGTTCAAGTGCGAGGTTGATCAACGCCTTTTCTGCTGATTTTGGGTCTTGATTCGGTTTTACTGTAGTCAAACACTGAGACAAGAACAGTATGCAGTATATTAGATGCCTGTCCGCAGGACCCTGTATCTCGAAATTTCGGAAGAACACATTCGCTCGAAAGAGTGATAGAGACTCATCAAGGATGTCGTAGGACTCTGACTCTGGGTCCACGTCAAGAGGGTCGCTGCCGGCTGGTAGAGTGGGGAGAGCATAGGCTGGTCCGCGAGTTCTGGTTCTCAGAGGTAATAGAGGAAAGTTGCCTAAGAGACATAAGTACATGCGGCCAGCAAGAGTGTTTCAGTGAGCGCACCTAGAAGCTGAACACCTTGGTCACCTAGGAAGACCGAGTGATATGCTGGCATGACTGGACAAGAGTATGGCTCGGGCTCTGTTCCAATTCCGCTTTCTGCTATCAACTGGGCTCAACGACCGTGTTCATTCGGAAATGCTCAAGTGCGCGAGGCAGGTGCATAACGGCACGACTTCGGAGGACGCGTGGGGTTGTGCAAAATGACGTAAACGTGATTCAAGTGCTACCAGAACTGACCGACTCGAAAAATAGAAAACGGCTATAATGCGGCAAAAGTGTACTGCTCATATATAGGCATGCTTAGGATCAGCTTACGGGTGTGGCCAAGCCTAACACGAACCACTAAACTTGAGACTTCTACACCGCGACTTTAGGACGCGTTTCAGACGACGCGTCGAACAATAATGGGCTTGCATATCGGAAAGAGTGATGCAACTGTCTTTTAGGTCGCTGGTCCTTCAGCTGCACTGATCTCCACTATACACAGTGAGCCTCCTGCCTAGCACGATGTCCGACTTCGAGGATGAAATGGACGTTGACGTCCCTCGCAAGGACATTCATTTCAGTGCAGACGGACATGCTGGCAAGCAGAAACGGGTGGTGGCCGATCTTCCAGTAGAGATCGGTGACAGTCTGCCATGGTGCGTCTGATTCGCGGTCATAATGCTTTAACTAAGAATTATACAGGGTTGAGAAGTACCGCCCGAATACCCTAGACGATGTCTCTGGTCACCAAGATATCCTCGCAACCATCAATAGATTTGTCGAGCACAATAGGTTACCACATTTATTGCTATACGGTCCACCAGGCACTGGCAAAACATCCACAATCCTGGCCCTTGCTCGTCAGATATATGGAACCAAGAATATGCGTCAGATGGTGCTCGAATTGAATGCATCTGACGATCGAGGAATTGATGTGGTCAGAGAACAAATCAAGACATTTGCCAGCACGAAACAGATATTCTCTTCATCTACGCAACAAGCTGCGACAAGTACAAAGTCAGGTTTAACCGGTTTCAAGCTGATCATCCTGGACGAGGCCGATGCTATGACTTCAGCCGCTCAAATGGCTCTTCGCCGCATAATGGAGAAGTACACAGCTAACACTCGATTTTGTATTATTGCAAACTACACTCACAAGCTGTCGCCTGCTCTCCTTTCTCGATGTACTCGCTTTCGATTCTCCCCTCTAAAAGAAGTAGATATTCGTCGCAGTGTTGACGTGGTTGTTGCAAGAGAAAGTGTCAATATCGCACCGGAAGCTATTGACTCCCTGGTATCGCTTTCGAAAGGGGACATGCGGAGAGCCTTGAATGTGCTACAAGCTTGCCACGCTGGATCTAGGCCGTTGCCTGTGAAAGGACAGCCGCCGTTGAAGGACTCAGAGATAACATACGAATTGATCACGAATGACACGATATACAACTGTATCGCGGCACCACATCCGGAAGACATTAGAACGATCATGACTACGTTACTAGAGACAGCAGACATCACCTCCTGTCTAAACACTGTCAACGCTTTGAAGTCAAGTCGAGGTTTGGCGTTAGCAGATATTTTGACCAATCTTGCAGACCAATTGCAAGAGCTGGACGTCCCTGCTGCCACCCGAATAACTTGGCTCGAAGGACTTGCGGAGATTGAATTCAGGCTCAGCGGTGGAGGCAGTGAAAGTGTACAGACAGGAGGTATGGTCGGTGTTGTGAGAAACGGCGCTGATCTTGCAGGATCAAAGGGCTTGAAGGCTTAATTACGAAACTCAAGACACGATACTTGAGACTGAACTTTTCTGAGCAGGAGGTCGTCAACTGCGGCTAACGAGGCCCAACGTGCAAGTGCACGAAGCAATAAGTCTGAAAGCCTGTTTACCTTGTTATCCGAGTCGAATATCAACGCTCTGCCACACAAACTCCCACGCATCGTGCAGCCTAGACGTCTAGCATGTGCTGAAACAACTATGGTCGGCCTAACCTCATCACTCTAGAGTCCACCAGTCTTCGAATGGTACTCTGACTGACCTTCCACGGCTTACCGCTACACATGTGGGAACGCAAGAGCCAAGTGTGTCAAGCGATGAGCATCAGGACAGTCTACTCTTGTACCATGAGTGACGAATATGCTGCGTTACTCACTCTTCACCGACACATCTGGTTATCTCGACAGCGTCCTATGGCCGTTAGTGAGTGGAGCTCCGACATGGACTTGACTTACCGGTACGCCTTCTGGCTCAAAGCTTTTTACAAGTTTGCTCTCATAGATGAGATTGGGGTTTCCAACTCGAGTTTCGTCAAGCTTGGCATCACCCTCGCGCTTGGCATACTGCTTAGAGGTTCTGTCCTCGAACCTCTTGTCCACCCCATTCACTGACTCGCCTTTAGAAGCACTGCGCTTTTGCTCGCATGTGCTACGAACGTATTCGAGGTATGGTGGATTGCCTGGAGCAATAACGTTATCGGCGGCTAGTACCGATCCTGGACCTACAAGTCCAAGCTCTTCACAAAGTTTCAAATCTGTTGTGTAGGCTGGTTTGTAATGGTCCAAGAACATCATATCGATTCGTTGAACAGTACCGTTTGCGTGAAGGCGCTTGATCGCTACATCACTCGACCCGACAATGACCTTCACCAGGTCGCTGAGGCCTGCAAGATCAACGAGCGATGCAATGACAGCAGCAAATTCAGGATTTCGTTCCAGACTGAAATACTTCTTGCCACCAGCTTTCCTCACTGCCTCTCCGAAGAGAATGCAAGAGTATCCAATATATCCTCCCAACTCTACCATCACTTGCGGCTTGACTTCAGCGATCAAATCTGTAACGATTCTGCCTTTATCCTCACCTACGTTCATGAGGTATTTTTGAGTTCTAGCATACTCGTCGATTGCTGCGAGGACCTTTTCAGGATTGCCTCTAATTTCTTCGATATTTGGCTTGCCATACACAAAATGCAGGAGCTCGATTTCACGACCGTCGTCGAACTTGTTTATGTTAGCGACTAGAGCTCAGGGGAAGTCCACTTTCCATACAAACACCTCCTGCTTGGCCTGGTATTTTTTCGATGATTCTAATTCTGCCATGTTTGTTACGGGTTCGACAACTTCTTTGTACAATCAGCTACGAGTTACCGTAATACAGCTACACGTATGTCTCCCGGCTCAGGTCTCTGTAAAATTCATCACAGCATCTCTCAGACAGAGCATTGAATATCACATGCATCATTCTGCTTGGTTTCGCGACCGTTGTCGGCCTGCTTCGCTTGTAGCAAGCCACAAGCATGCTGAGAGGACACGTTCACGCAAGCATGCCGAACATACCCAACAACTTGGAACTCAAAACATGTGAGGGGCTAGAATCCGCCGAATCATGAAAGTTTTGTAGAACCACAGCCAAGGATCTGCGTTTCGATGCACCAATGTCATTGCGGGTCTCGGAGGTCTAGCCCCACATCGGTAGCCCTCTGCAGGGCAAAAACATCATCACTCAAGGTTTACTGCCGCTGAACAGGTCACAGTATCGAGCTGATCACGCCATAATACCCACGTTGCTAGCTCGATTATGCAATACCCAAAGACATGCTCGCGTCGACGAGCAAATTTGAATGGCTATACGTGTTGTTCGACGTGCTATGCGGGAACACCTGGAAACAGGGTAAGAACCTTGAATTTTGGAGTTGCTAAAGGCTCCCACGACAGTATCTCATGTGTTCTGCATCACACGCACCAAGGTGTTGTATGCAGAGAACTTTTTCCAACGGCTCTGGTGGCTGTCAGGCACACAAAAATGTTCTAGATGTGACTGCACGTTGCTCAGCAAACCAACTCAATCTACCCGAAATCGCACTAAGATCTCGCATTTACGTCTTCACACCCCAGGAATCAACTTTCCGCCACGATCTACATCCCTACCACACACCTGTTGAAGGACGAATCAGGACGATGTGTTGACGTATTGCTGCTCCATACCATCCATCCACGCTTTCTACATCATTCTTCCAAGACATCATCATTGTGACTGGCTCAAATGCTAAGCAGCTACTACGACGCTTCCGGTACCTGTGTCTGCAGCTGGCCGTCGACTGTGCTCAGTGACGACCCTTTCACGATCGACTTATCAGAGCAACAAGTGGGGCACGTGGAACAGAGCTGCCCCATCTCCTTGGAAAAACTGAAATGAGGGTCCGAGACGTCTGGCCTGATTCCTCGGGCAAGGACGCCGTAGGTAGATTTGCATGCTTGGTGTAAACATGCCGTGAGTTAGATCTGATGCGGGTTGAAAAAAAGTATAGCCATTTATACCTGCGAGATCCCCCCTGATTGAGTCCTGTTCAATTCTGCAACCTCTACCTTTTTTCAACTTTTTTTTTTTTAGCACGAAAAGCTCATTCAACCGAGTCTCTTGCAATTACCATATACAATGTCTGACCTCAAAGCTACCGTTGACGAACGACCCGACGGCTTCCACGTCGAGGGTTATGAGAAGATCGAGTACGACTTCAAGTTCATCGACAATGTCTTCGACACTGGCAAGAGCGACCTAGCCGACTGCTATACCAAATGGGGTCGCTGCTTGGCTGTCATGGATACAAACATCTTCAATGTTTACGGTGATCAGATGCAAGAGTACTTTGACCATTATAACATCGATCTTGAGGTTCACAAGACCATGATCGGTGAAAAGGCCAAAAGCATCGATACCTTTTTGAGCATTGTTGACTCGATGACCAAATTTGGCATTTACCGAAAGGTGCGTAATACGGAGATCTTTTCCCACGGGCCCAGCCGACAGCCGCCTGAGTCGCCATCACGTCCCTTGCAGAATACGCTAACTCTTGCTGCAGGAACCTGTCCTTGTTGTCGGCGGTGGACTAGTTACTGATGTTGCTGGGTAAAAATTACCATTGCCAAAGATAACTTCAAGGCACTCTGACCCGAATACCCCCTCTTTGCGGTGCAACCCGTTGATAACAGTATACTAACCTCTCATCTACAGATTCGCCTGTGCTGCTTATCGCCGCAACACCAACTACATCCGTATCCCGACCACTGTTATCGGTCTTATCGACGCTTCAGTCTCCATCAAAGTTGCCGTCAACTATGGCAACTACAAGAACCGACTGGGTGCTTACCATGCACCCATGAAGACATTCTTGGACTTTACCTTCCTCCGATCTCTGCCCGAAGCCCAAATTCGAAACGGATTTGCCGAGCTTATCAAGATCTCCTCTTGCGCCCACTTGCCTACCTTTGACCTGCTCGACAAATACTGCGAGCAGCTCATCTCCACTGGGTTCGGACGAAGTGATGGTGCATCTGCAGAGGTCAAGAAGGCTGCAGACACGATCAACAAAGCAGGCATCTACGAGATGTTGAAGCTTGAAACTCCTAACCTCCACGAGATTGGACTTGACCGAGTAATTGCATATGGCCACACGTATGTTGTGATCCTGCACTAGTTCCCAAACATCATTAACACGAGATAGATGGTCACCACTACACGAACTCGTTCCCGAAGTTCCTCTCCGACACGGTCACGCCATCTCCATCGACATGGCTTACTCGGCAACCTTGGCCAATATCCGAGGTCTACTGAGCGACGAGGAGCACAAGAGAATACACAACCTGTTCTCTAAGGCTGGCTTGTCTATGGATCACCACGATTTCAACGAAGACATCTTGGACAAAGCCACCACAGCCATCCTCAAGACACGAGACGGTAAGCTGCGAGCTGCTGTACCAAGCCCTCTAGGCTCTTGTGTCTTCCTTAACGACGTCTCTATGGACGAGATGTATGCTGCTCTCCGCAAACACAAGGAGATCATGAAGAACTACCCTCGCAATGGTGAGGGTCTTGAGGCATTTGTCGATTCTAGCGATACTGGTTATACCATGAACGGTATCGCCGCAGAGTTCACTAAGAACAAGACGAACGGTGGCTCGAAGACCAAGGTCATTAACGACGACGTAACCAACGGAACTCAAGTAAACGGTGCCAACGGTGTCAACGGCTCACACGCCACCAACGGCACCAACGGTACCAACGGTACCAAGACCAACGGTGTTGCAGCTGCCAACAAGCACGCTACTGCACCAGAAGGTGTTGATGGTATGCAGAACGGCAATGCTAATACCGCCGTTACAAACGGAACACACTAAACATGCGACACTTATCGGATGGTGAGAAGGTGTTTTAGAGGAGCATAGAAGGGGAGGAAAAATTGAAAAAATATTCTCAGGAACACGTTCTAGATAGAAGTTCCGATTATCCATTATCAATCGCGCACTCTGGTAGTTGCAATATGACCGTAACTTGACGCGTCAAATCAGCCACTTCTTGATCACGCTTGCTTACTCTTTCCATCTTAGTATTCACTTGTATTGTTTCGTGCACACCTTGCGTCTACATGCCTCAAATCATGCTTCTTCGCGGTACGTCTCTGGAAAGCATGGCGCCCTACGCCTCTATGGGTAATGATGTCACTGAAGCAGCACCTTTGACAGAGTCGATTATACGAGCGTGCAAGAGTCCACAGAGTTTTTGACCTTCTCGAAATATTGTTGACTAGTAAGCCCCTCGTACTGCTAGCATGAATTCATTCATCCATCGAAAGCTACCATATCCAAATACCCATTTCTTAATTACTATAGTAGCTGCATTTCGTGATTCAAATGTATCAGCACCATAATTCTAAACAGTGATAGGCTATCCTGCAATGTCTTCACCAAAGACTAACTACTTTGTTTGCACTCTTGGCGAAGCAGCTCAACAAGATGTGCAAAGGCCCTTCTCAGACGTCAACCACTTGATCGATTTGCAGGCAAGTCAAAACTCAGACTTACCCGCCATTGGGTTTTATCGAACAACAAAGGAGTCCTCGCAATCAACACTCGATCCTCAAATCTTCACTTTCAAGGAGATTCGTAATGTTGTGTCAGCTACTGCAGCTCTGCTGTCGCAACAGCTTCAAGCGCCAGACACACAGACAGTGGGCATACTAGCCGATAGCTCTCCCGACTTCCTGTTTGCATGGCTGGGCTGCCTCTGGCTAGGACACCCGGTTCTTTTGATCGCGCCACAATGTTCGTCTTCGGCAATAGCACATCTTTGTCAGGCATGCAACGTATCAATTCTGCTCGTGGATGAAAAACACGAAGATTTAGCCAAGGCGGCATGTGAGATACCCACGGAGAATAACCACTTGAGCCACACGTCCCTACCCTCAACACCTCTCGATATTGGATCAGAAAAGAGGTCAAATGAAAGTCAGCAGCCTGCACGATCGAGTCAAAGGGATGATATAGCGTACTTGCACCATACGTCAGGCACATCTTCTGGGCTGCCGAAGCCCATACCTCAGACTCAAAATGGAGCGGTAGGTGTGCTGCCCGCCCTTGACGGCAAGAATCAGGCAACTTTCACAACCACACCACTCTACCATGGTGGTCCCGCTGACATATTCCGAGCGTGGACGAGCAGTGCTATGATATGGTTGTTCCCCAGTCAGTCCTTACCAATAACTGCCAAAAATGTCGTGCAATGCCTCGAAGTTGCGGAAAGGTCAGCAGCTCAGGGCACCACGCCGTCCGTCAAGTACTTCACATCTGTACCATACATACTACAAATGATGGCTGCAGATCCTGAAGGCTTGAAGCACCTGCAAGGCATGGACCTCGTAGGCGTTGGTGGCGCAGCGCTTCCTGCCGATGTTGGCGATCAACTTGTTCAGCAAAATGTCAACCTGGTATCACGCTTCGGAAGTGCAGAAGTTGGATTTTTACTCTCATCGCACCGAGAATATGAAAAAGATAAGGAGTGGCAATATCTACGCCAAAGTCAGAAAGTCACACAGATTGATTTCGAAGCACGAGACGAAGGATTACATGAGCTCATAGTCAAAGCAGACTGGCCACATATGGCAAAACGAAACCATGAGGACGGTTCTTACTCAACCTCGGATTTGTTTGCGAGGCATTCAAGCATAACGAATGGATGGAAATATCATTCCAGAGCAGACTCGCAGCTGACCTTAATCACAGGCAAGAAGTTTGATCCTAGTCCGTTAGAGGATGCTCTTGCTGCTAGCTCAACTCTACTGTCTAATGTGCTCGTTTTTGGTAACGGTCAACCTTATCCAGGTGCTCTTCTTTTCCGATCGAATGACGCTAAGGATAAAAGCGACTCGGATATCATCAATGAGATCGCGCCAAACGTCGAACGTTTGAACACTGAGAACCAGTCTCATGCACGGATACCACGCAGTATGCTGATACCGATGCCGTACGATGAATCACCCCTTGAGAAAAGCAGTAAAGGCACGATTCTCCGAAACAAGGCTGTCGAAAGATATGCGAGCAATATTGAACAATCATATAACGCAGTCCAGGTGGATGGTACTCAAGTATCTGATGAGAAAGTGCCGGAGACAATACTTGGCTTGATCGAAACGATTGTGGGCAAGGAGAAAGGTGCAGATTTGAGGCTCGATGTCGATCTCTTTTCGCACGGTGTAGATTCTGTCGCCTGCGTTCAGATACGGCATGGACTTCGACCTTTAGTTCCAAAAGAAACACAATTGCCTCTGACAGTTGTGGAGGACTCTGTGACAGTTGCAGGACTATCTGAAACGATCATAAAATTGCGCCACGGTCAAGCTGAGGACACAAAGAACGATCAACGGCATCGGATTGTTGATGTTGTCAAGGAGTTTACCAGACTAGATGATTCGAGACCTGTGGAAACAATGACAGACGGATTTACCACAGTCGTTGAGCCGCCAGGCAAGACGGTACTTCTGACGGGACCCACCGGTTCTCTAGGTTCGAATGTACTACACCAGCTTTTACGACGAACAGACATCAATCGCCTGTATCTCCTAGTCAGAGGCGCAACACCACAAGCAGCACGCGAACGTGTTGTCAAAGCGCTAACCTCCCGCAACTTGCCTCTTCCAGACGACTTTGACCAGAAAGTCACCATACTCCAGTGCAAACTATCAGATCCCGACCTCGGAATCCCTTTCTCGGACTACTCAACTCTCCAAAGCGACGTAGACATTGTCCTCCATCTCGCATGGTCCGTCAACTTCCTCCTCTCCCTCCAAAGCTTCACACCTCATTTCGCAGCTATCCAGAATCTGCTCAACCTCTGCCTATCCTCGACTCAACGCAGACCACCACGCCTCGTCTTCTGCTCCAGCGTCGCCGCCGTATCCAACGACCCATCCTTCACCACACCCAACACAACAAACGTCCCCGAGAACCTAATCGCAGACATCGCAGCCTCCAGCCAGACAGGCTACGGCCTCTCAAAACTAACAGCAGAACTCTGTCTCGCCCGAGCCGCCACGTCCATACCGTCCCTACGCAATCGCATCACCATCCTCCGTGTGGGCCAGCTCTCCGGCGATACAGAACACGGCATATGGAGTAAATCGGAAGCATATCCGCAGATCCTCGCGACCGCAAAGATCACAGATGGCACCTTACCAGATCTCGGATCGGAGGAAAAACTGACATGGTTACCCGTCGACGTCGCTGCGAAAGCATTTGTGGAAGCTAGTTTTGTGGAGTCCAGCATGATTGGAGGCGTGCCGACTGAGCATGTCAAGCATAAGCAGGGTGAGCAGCCGGAGATGGTAGCTCAGCTTACCAATGGAGCGAACGAGAAAGCAAAAGATACAATGACGATAGATATTGATGCCGTCAAGGTCTTACATCTCGTCAACCCTGACGCGGAGCGAACATTCACGGATTTCGTGCGTAAGTTGCAGACACTATTACAGAGCAACAACACCGAGAAAGATACGAAGTCAAGTCAGATCCGCCTCGTCCCAGCTCAAGAATGGCTACAGAAACTTGACCAGCTACAACAAAACAGCGAAAAATCCACCAATGGAGCTCAATCTCTGCTTCGTCTCCTCCCCTTCTGGAAACAGGCGTATGCAGGTAGGAAGCCATCATCAGCTAGTGATCCCTCACAATCAAGCGCCAAGGAGAAAGAAGGTAAAGCAGGATTGTTTTTCGATGTGCACAACTCACTGCTCGCGATGCCTACACTGACATATTGGCTTGGTCTCAGCACGGTTGAGGCCAGGAAGACGCAGGGCCAGGCGGAAGAAAGCTCGGGAGGTAGCGCTGCTGCAGCAGTGGTTCCTGATGGTGAAGAAGATAGAGGGTATAGTGAGCTGTTGAAGGACGATTATGTGTTGAAGATCTGGAATTGGGTGCGGGATAATGTACCATAGCCAGGTTGGGGGAAGGGAATATTTGAGGGAGGTATGTAGTGATTGAGGCAGGCGGTTGGGTTCGGATACGACAGTGGCATAGTTACGTAGATCTGGAGAGGTGACAGAAGTCACGATAAGTCTTGGGCAGGTATAAAAGAAAATACTGGACGGCCATCGTGCTTCAATTCATCTCTCATCACTATCGGGCTACTTACTAAACGCTTGCTATATAACTTTCATGCTTTCTATTGTATAATCAACTCACGTAGAATCACAGACGTCCGTGGGTTATGCTGAAAGTGTTCGACCGTCAGGTACTGCCGGTAATGCGTTCAGCTGTATTGCGCAACACTCCGCACTTCCACTGTGAGCAGGACGCTCAACCATAACATTCCCCTCAGAAGAGCGAGAGATGATGTCTGCTTCAGAATAAGGATAGGGCGAAGGTGGACTCGGTGGTTTGATGTGTTTTTCAGAATGGCGCCAGATGTCTATTTGATGAACATTCCCTCAGCTCTACCCCAGAAACTTTTCGTCTTATTGACATGGTCAAGACCTAGACTGTCGCCATCGCTCAGCCTGTCTGCTAGGATGTCATCATCTTCTAGATAGCGCACTTGCTTTGCGTAGGGCGATTTTGGCACGACTGCAAACTTGATGTTCTGGAACAACTTGCCTTTGATAGCCGTCCTCTTACTTATCCTCTCTTTCGTGTCCTTGAACGTCTCGCCAGGTTTGACTACTAGGATGAAGGGCACACCGTGTGGTTTGCCGGGTTCCTTATCGAAATGATAGCAATAAACCGATATGTCCTCATCGTCCATATTTATCTCCTCATCGGGTATCAACTCGCCATATAGCGAGGTAAACTCATTGATCACACCTACATTGTGGTCTCCGGCTAACACTCGACTTATCTTGCCAGCTGCGACTTCGAGAATTCGAATTCTGCGAGGATCAACTTCGTCTGACATCTTCAGCTTCCGCATGATTCCGCTGATGAGATCATCGATAATGCCTTGCTTCGGCACTAGTATTTCAAGTTGTTCTTCTTTGACTATGCCGTCATGGAGCCAGATCGGCTTCATGATCTTCTTTGTCTCGTAGTCCTGGAGACTGACTTCGAGTATCTCGTAATACAACGCATCACTCCGATGTTGTGAGTAGGCACCATATGCAGTAAATTGGGAGGTCAATATCTGGCTCAGACTCTGCTGAAGATTTCGCTTGACCCAAGATTTTGGCTTACCATTTGTGGCATTGACGGTAGCGAATCGAAGGTGGTCACCTAGTATGCCGAGATGCTGACCGACCTTGTCTGAGAACTGGTCATATGACATTTTCTTGCTTAGATCGAGGGTGAAGATGTCTCCAGAGGTGCTTGGTCGTGGATGGAAGGCCACAGGTATTTTGTTCAGTAGGTAGTCGTAATACATTCGCGCGTTGTGGTAGATTACATGGTCGAGGTCAATTCCAGGATTCCTCTCGTTCTCCTGGAAGCAGATAATGTCACCATCCTGAATTTCTGATTGACCAAATGTATTGCTCGACTTCATGGTCTCAATCATGGAGAACTTGATCTCCTCATACAACGATATATCTCTGTTGTCGTTCCATTGCATCATTTCTCTGATGTGAGTGAAAAGTTCCGAGACTCTATCGTTCTTATTGACGTATACATGGCCCATTCCAGTCAGAGTCTGTTTGTTAATGTCAAAGTATTTCAGGAACACCAGGATCGGATGGTTTCCTCCATTCTTAGCGATGCTATCGCCACTAACGTCAGGCCATTCGACTTTGCCAGTGGACTTGTTTCTTGCTCGGGTTTCAGCCCAGAGATAAAATGGTTTCCCTTTCGAAGAGTGTCTATGCCAGGCTTCTTCCATTGTCATGTCATTCCTAATGGGCTGATCTGGTCGATTCGTCTTGTTTTGTCGCCCAACCATTACCCAGAAACGAACTTGGTCGGCGGAAACATCCAGCTCTTCTGCAACCTCAGCAGCGAATTCTTCCACCTTCTTAGCACGAAGGACGCGCTTCACAGTGACAGCTGATGGGTCGTTAACGTCAGCTTCATAGTTTGTGAGATCAAACCAATGATGTTGCATGAAGGATTTGTCAGATATCAGGCCAAGATTGAGATAGAGATGAGCTTCCTCTTTTTCTTTCCTCCGACGCTCGAGCTCCGCCTTCTCTTCCGAGATGCGCTGCTCAATGTGCGAAGGTATGTCGTGATCTTGAACGCCAAATAATACCTTGTCGACCCTGGTCTTTCGGATATAGACCAGCATGTAGGCGTTCATGGATCGTTTGGTTGAGGTTCCTCGCATGTAAGGCTGCCTCTGAGCCACACCATTCAAGGAGGAGGCATACTCCCCTCCATAGTTCTCCTCTAGAACCTCCTTCATGGTTGCTCTGGTAACTCGTTCGTCGTCGTATTTGTAAAAGTGACCGTCTTGAGTTGGCTTGAGAAATGCATAGTAGTGGCCAGCATTGAAGTCACCACTGTGGACCAAGACACCATGCAGCTGATACTCCCATGCTTCAGATTTGTCGGCGTTAGGCGATAAGTAGGGCGAGAGATCGATTTGTTCCGGAAATTCGTGACGGTCATTCACTTTCATCATAGCGTCACGATTAATGTCGTACTCGAATCGTTTCAGCTGAAGATGTAGCACAGGAGGAAATTCCTCAAAGATGACACCTTTTCTGGCGTCCTGCAAACCATATGGAGGACCAGCATCGTACTTGTTCTCACCTTCCAGAGTTTCGACTTGAATGTAGTCCTTGAAACTCTCGTCGAGGTTCTTGTTGCCCCTGACGTTGAGCTGAATATCCCAGAACTCTTCTATCCTCGACGACTCGAAGTTCACATTAATGCATTCGATGTATGTTTTAGTCTTTCCGACAAAAAGTTCTGGTAAGGCTTTCTCGGCCGCGGTACCCTTCATGCGGGTCTCGAGCTTGTCCATCAGAATACGCGAGAGCTCCTGGACGTCTTGTTGCTCGAAAATCTGCCTAGTGTCCCATCCAAAGGATCCGGTCAGCTCATTTGTGGAAACAGCGTTGCGATCTTTTTGGAGACGATAGAATAAGCGTTGTAAAGTCCAAGCACTATTTCCTCGGGAGGCTTCGGCATCAGTAGGTATTTGATATACAGCCTTGCGGAAGGCATCTGTGAAGTATAGGGATTGTAACAAGGAATTGAGGTAGCAGGTTGCGCCCTGGTTCTTGAGACCAATCATTCCGGTCTCTTTCTTGGAATCGTAGCCATCGAAATTATGCCATAGCACACCAGTGGGATCTTTTATGACACGGACGTAGGCAGTCATCTTTGCCTCGTCGTTTTCGATCAGGGGCCTGTCGTGGTTCTCCCATGGCTGGACGAAAGCCTTTCTCAGCTCAACGAATCTCGTGAAGCCCCAATCCGCCTCTTTAGCATTGAAGCGGTGATTTGCGGTGTGAATTTTGAATATGGTAGGGTCAAGTGGATTGTAAAGCACTAAGGCAAATTGTACACAGGCATACCAATCGGCAGGAGGGTCGTTTTCGTACCCATGCTCAAGGTAGAAAGATACACAATCGACGGAATTGCCGTGAGGGAAGAACAAGACACGCCAGGGAGCGCCGGCACATTCGAAAATAGGCCCACGTTCTCTTTTGCTTAAATGTTGCCAATCTTGTATGTGCCATGTATTGTATGTGTCTGCTTCGACTTCCAGGTCATCAAGAGGAGGAAAGACATGCTTTTTCATAGCCTCATCTGGTTCAAGGGTCAGTTGAATTGTTTCAGAAAGTGGTGGAGCAGTATACAATCGTCGGCACGTAGAGGAGCTTCATCCTGCGTATCCTCAGCACCGTCAGGTTGTATGTCGACCACCTCGGCATCCTGCTGGGTGTACTGATCATAGCCGTCGATTAACATGTCTGGACCTGCTAACTGTATGCGATCAACGATGACGCAAGGTCAGCTCATGGTCAAGGTGAAGGTGGGAGGTAAAGTCATGACTGGGCAAGGATCTTACATTGTCCATATTGTTGTTGTTGCCGTGCCTACACAGCGGAAGGTGCTATAGAAAAGTGTCGAGGCAAATAGTTGCTTGAGTATCGACGGTATAGTGGTGGCTGCCTTCCGTAATTTGCCTTGGATTCAACAGGGCAGGTGCGAGTTATCAGTGTAGCTAGCAGAACGCGGGAAGGAAGGGAAAGCGCGCGTTCACAATCACGAACGAACGAACGAACGAACGAACAAACGGAAGGTGGTAACAATGTCAGTTGCGCCAGATCCTGTTAAGCCGGATTGTTCGTGAAGAGCCCTGCCTATGAGACCTAATTGCAGTGGGCAACTCTGCACAAAGCAGATGTGATGTGATTGGTGACGTTGCTGGTTCCTTGGGAAAACGGCGGATATCAACTCCAACAGTGATAATAAGGTGCGCCATGTCCCTCCACTCAGGCTCAAGTAAGTTTTGGGCCTGGACAACCGTGTGCAGATACCACACAACATGTGCGCGCATACACTTTCCTCCCGAGCCTATTGATCATCGGCGCACTGCGACAGCCTGTCCTACCCAATGCTATTGCTGGTATAGTCCAGAGTCAGCTAACAGCAGTGCAGCATGAGGAGACGACCTCGTAGAAAAGCACACATTCATAATCCTGCGGTCCTGCATATGAAATGCTGAATGTGGTCAGAACCTGCACAGGGCCTTTTCTTCCTGAATTTCGGCATGCTGCGCCGACCTTTCAACGAGCTCTTGCGACCTCGAGGCAATTGCAAGCTCCACGATGGAGGCCAGCCTCGGCTCTCGATCAATGGGTTGAGAGACCAATTCGACCTATGAGTCTGCGACAATTGTTCTTTTTCGGACGTACCTTGACTGAAGATCGACTCATTAGTTCAGCCAACTATGTGCGAAACGAGCTGCCTACTCGAATCGCTCACCGCCTGCGAGACATGCAGAAGCTACCCTACGCTGTTGTTACGAACCCTCATCTCTCCTACGTCTACGAGCTCTACTACAAGGCCTTCGAGAGTTTTAGAAAGTTGCCTAATGTCAAGACTCTAGAGGACAACGATGCAATGTGCAAAATAATCAGTGAGAATCTGAAAGAGCATTTGAGCGTCATTCCAAGGATGGTAACTGGAGTGCTCGAGTGTCACAATCTGATGTCCGCCGACGATATGGACGCTTTCGTCAACAGATCTTTGAGAGCTAGAATCTCGCGAAGAGTCATAGCCGAGCAGCATCTTGCTCTGACCGAAACCTACAACTCACCAGGACACAGTCCGCACCCAAGCTCCGAACACGACTTTGTGGGTGAGGTCTTGCTACGATGTAACGCTCAAGATATTGTACGAGATTGCGGTCAATTTGCCCAACGTGTATGTCGAGATTATGTTCAAGGCAGCAAGGTGCCTGAAATCAACATAAGAGGACATGTGACTGCTACATTTCCCTACGTTCTGAGTCACCTGGAGTATACTATCGGTGAACTCCTCCGAAACTCAATTCAAGCAGTTATGGAGCATTACAAAGGGTCGGATCAACCTCCGCCTATAGAAGTCCTCATCTGTGAAGCACCGTCACAGGTAGTCATTCGCATCTCAGATCAAGGTGGAGGCATTCCGCGCGACATTCTGCCCTACTTGTGGTCTTTTAATAAAGGTCCAAGAAGCCAGGAGCGACTGGCGAGCTTAGGTCAAGTGCCTGCTCTGGCAGCGACAATGCAAGAATTAAAGATACCGGGCGGACCCGACACGCCACGTGGATCGTCATTGAATCAGCTGTCGTTTCGAGACCCGAAACTGCGACTGGGCATGGGTTTACCAATGAGTAAGATATACGCTGAATACTGGGCTGGTGGACTGGAATTGCACAGTCTTGAAGGATATGGCGTAGACGCATTCCTGCAAATCTCTAAACTGGGCAACCAGAACGAGCAGCTCACCTCGAGAGCCAGCATAGACGCCGTCTAGGTATTGGCGTTATAGATTTAGAGAGCCTTGACTTTGCCTGCACAAATAATCAGCACACTTCAAAGATTTTTTTCTTGTGATAATGTATTCCACCCGCAGTCAGATCTTTGCCATTTTCCTTATTTTCAACCAGCATCTCTGTGCCTCATGTAGCAAACAGAGGCGGCTGAAGGTCGGTTTACCAGAGCTCAATTGTGCATCACATACAGTACTCCTCTCATATCCCCGCCGCACTCACCTGACGACTGCCAGCCAGGCTTGCATGCAATAGCATTCACAAAAATGTTTCGACAATCAGGTCATCACCAAGTCGTGGTAGCCAAAAGTGGCCCTCGTAGCAATGGTTTTAGATGCGAACGATCTGCTCTCGACCAACACATCGGAGTCGCCAGCTTCATGAAATGCTTTGACGCGTGCAGCTGACGATGATTTGAGTTTGATGGTCTTTGTGAGAGGGAAGAAAAGACTCTCGAGTGTAAAAGAATCTGCGGAGGATAAAAGCACGGCTGCTAGCGTGGGTGGATTGCGTTACTAGCGTTAACGTTCCTGCATGAGCGACAATATCAAGTAGACTCTTTCAAAGATCAACTCCAAAAGCTCACACAGAAGCACAACCAAGCCCACCAAAAGCTAACACGTCTAGATCAGCACACCATAAGTCCAGCCGCTTGAAGTCTTAATAAAAGAACGGCAAATCACCTGCAACGACCTAATTTGTACGAACAAAAATCTAATTACTGAACATTCAACGTCGGCAAACCCACATCTCCTGGGCAGAGATATTTAAGATTTGTGTACGAGTAGGAGAAGCAGGCGTATGCTGTGACGAAGGACAAGGAAGTTGTCATCCGCCTCGGACGTCTTGGTCGCTAGTACCATTATCCCAAACCCACGTGTGTCGAGTCAAGATCAATGGATCAAGCCAACTTGTGGACTCGGAGATCAAAGTACATTCCTCTTCGCTGTTTTCAGGTCTGCACTAACATGGTGTAGCAATAAGGACAAAATAACCTTACCTACCAGAGACCTCGATCTAAAAGATAGTGGCAAGTCAGAGTCTTCTCGATCCTTTGGGCCACGCTCGGCACACGGCAAGACCAATCCCTTCAACGCACCCTCTTCCGCTGCTGTAAAGTCGCCGGGAGCTGGTGCATCTGCTTTTGGGCTTGGGACAGGCGCGTTCGCCTCGTTCGGACAAGCCAAAACGCCCAAGACCCCGGGCGCAGGCGCAAGCTTCGACTTTCCAAACAAGGACAAGGACAGGAAGGAGAAGGAAAAAGAGAATGAACCCTTGAGAAGTCAGGGAGAACTCCCATCCGCTTCTTCACGCACGGATCAGATCGATCACAACCTAAGAAACACTTGGAATATCTTCTATCGGCCACCAACCACAAGCAGAGACAAGGACTACGAAAAATCAATCATCAAAGTAGCCTCGGTAAGTACAGTCGAAGGCTTCTGGACAGCCTATACACACCTCAAACGACCCTCTCTACTGCCGACCGTGTCGGATTATCACATCTTCAAGGATGGTATCAGGCCAGTGTGGGAAGATGATGCAAACAAAAAAGGTGGTAAGTGGATTATCAGACTGAAGAAAGGTGTCGCAGACCGATACTGGGAAGACTTATTACTTGCCATAGCTGGCGACCAATTCATGGAAGCTAGTGACGAGGTCTGTGGTGCAGTCCTCAGCAATCGTAGTGGCGAAGATGTGCTAAGTATCTGGACCAAGAACAACGGTGGTAGAAACGTCAAGATTCGGTCAGTGATGAAGCAGGTGCCCCAACTGGAAAATTTACTGACAATTGGCAGCGAAACAATAAAACGAGTATTGGCGTTTCCTCCAGACACGAATATCATCTTTCGGAGCCACGACGAAAGCATAGAGCAAAGGAAGGCCGTAGACGAAGCTCGACAACAGAAGAGCTCGGGAGCCTCGGGAGCAGAAAAGAAGCGGACGAGCCTCTATGGTGAAGAGAACAAGGGCAAACCGTCTTAATTCTTAAAACCTCTGCTGTTTATGTCTGGTGTACACCAATGAATAATCCTTCTTGGCTTGAGCGACCAAGCAGAGAACCACGAAGCTTAGGTTGAGTGTCTTGTAACCAGAATCGTAGCACGTTCGTGATCTGTACCACATAAATTCAGACGTGAAGACCATCAAACTGCCGCCGTCAAGCACGCGCCTGGCGTTCCGAAGCGCGATTGCCAGAAATGCGGGGAGTCAGGCACTTTCCTGACGGTGACGCGGAAAACGGGCATGGCTTCCGTAGAGACCGCGAAGAACACGAATTATAGCACTGACGGCAAGGTTGGAAGCGTGCTTTTGAATGTGATTGTGCAATGGGAACGCGACTAGCCAAACGGTACACGAGTATATATGAAACTTTTCAAACAAGTTACTGCCAATGTCCGCAATGTCATTCTTGGATCACCGTCTGATGCAGACCCGCCAACTAATACTGAGACAACCACATTGCCTTCACCATCGCTCACAATTCGACAACCTGCTGCCCCTCCAAAACCGCGGCTCCATACAGTCCGTGGCAGACCCATGCCGACTGACAAGCAAGTGAAACAGAGCTTATTCGAGGGTACTGGCAAATTCGACGCAATTAATGTTCGTGCAAGCTTGTTTTTGTGACTCTTGTTAGTGTTGCAAACTGTCTGACAGTAGCACAGATTGACGACGACGATGATTTTGAAGAGACTGATCCCATTCAACAGAAAAAGACAGGTGGTTCGGTGTATTCATCCTACTTTGCACCAACATCCAAAGGGTACGGAATATTCTGACATGATTGAGATTTGGTCTAGAGCGAATGGTTGACCATCTTAGTGACAAAACGAGTGCAAGGAAAGTCAACGATCAGAGTGTATCTGCAGATGAGAAGAGGTTACTCGGTGTCGCGGAGTACGACTTTTCTAAGATCCATAGTCTCTTAAACCTGACCAGATCCAGACCTACTCCTGCGGATGCTGTGAAGGTTCCGATTCCTACCAGCAGACACCCCGAAGACATGGCATCATACAAGACTGTACGTATGTTGAATTTGACAAGAAATTGTGCTGATACACTCAGAACAACAAAAGCCCTTTTACTGCAACTAAGCGCCTTGTAGCCAGCCCGTACAAACCTCAAGACACTCTGAACAGGACCTCCGCAAGAAGTCAGTTCCAGCAAGAGAAGACCAAAGACAGAAGAGAGCCGGGAGCAACCCACTCAAAACAGCACGTCGCTGTCCCAAATGACGTCCTCCCTCATACACGTGTCGAGTCAGGCGATGGACCTCCACCACGAAAGAAGCTGCGGATTGACCAGCCTGCGCCTAACAATTCCTATAGCTCTCAATTGAGGACACGAGCTGTCAACGATGGAAATCACCCTCTCAAGCGTTCTCTGGGCTCGATGTATGGAATGGAAGCGATAGATCAAGAGATGGAGCATAGCACAACAAACGGGGTAAGATCGACTGCACTTCGGAGTATTAAGAACGACGCTGCTCCAAAGGCGAAAGCGCAGAGGCTTATCTTGGACAACCTGAGCTCCGATGGCGTGGCCGGCGATGATTTTGTGAGAAATGCCATACACCAGCGTCGGAAGCAAGAGCAAAAATCTCCTGGGCAAGATTCAGTACAGCCTCAGCACAACCCTACAAGAGCGGCTGAGAACACCCATAAACTCAATCACGACATCGAAGCTCAAGACAAGCCATCTACCCGACTGAAAGCCAGCCATGTTACTCCTCGAGCATCGAAGATTGAGCAACGACTTAAAGGCGAAAGTCCCGACGCCCTACAAGAGGGTTTCCACTCACCATCAATCGATAGAAAATCGCGTCATGTGTCGCTGAGTCCTACCGAGAAAGCGAGACCACTAGGACAACACTTCCAGCTTGATACCTTCGTCTCGTGCAAGTTTTGCAAGGCGAAAAACTGCCATCTCGAGATACAAGAGCAGACCAAATCAATCGATATCAGTTACAAAGATGAAGAGACGATGAAGGACGGACTCTGGCCAGATATTCCTGTCAAAAAGATAACTGACATGATCTGGCCTGACGAAGGAGAATGCAGGGTCGTAATGCTGAAATTTTCAGCATGTGACCTACTGCCAGGAACGACTTGGTATCTCGAATTTAACTCACTTAAGGAGATGACTGCATTTCATTCACTTGTGCTCCGGATTGATCCTACTATCAAGATGAGCCATAGATCGAGGTAGGTTGATCTCGTGTTCGTTGCCACGCCACTGATCAATTTTTTACAGTGCAAGACTGCAGGCAGCTCTGACTTCAGCATACGTCACTACTTCACAGCCTGTGAAAAACCCACTGAACACGTCGACGGCTGATACTGTCACAAGGTCATTCTCTGACGGAAACTCTGAAGCTGTACGAAAGCGCCCAAGGCTTGTTGACCACCTTGACGCACCTCCGAGGAGAGCTTCAGAGCATGTGAAATCTGAATCTCGCGAAAGGCTCCGAGCCTCCGCTAGTGTTTCTCGATCACAGGATGCAGAATTTCGACAAAGCCGTAACACCTTGAGCAGTCGGCAAACTCGCTCAGGAGTGGTGAAAAGGCCGGAAAAGGAGCCGACTCCACCTATACAGATTGATGCGGATCCTCGCCGCAGAGATCCTGCTTGGGTCAAGCCGCTCGTATACCCAAAAACAGGGAAAAAGGAGACGGTGACCTGGGACGATTTGGGCAGGTTAGAAGACGGCGAGTTTATTAACGATTCCTTGGTCGGGCTCTTTCTTCGGTACCTGCAAGTGAACGCGAATCCCGAGCACCTCAAGAGGATGCACTTTTTCAGTACTTTCTTTTTCGAAACTCTAGTAAAGAAGGGGAAGCGACAAGTCAATTATGAAGGTGTCAAGAATTGGACGAAAAACGTCAATATCTTTAGCCGAGATTTTATTGTCGTTCCTGTTTGCGAGAACCTCCACTGGTATGTTATGATACTTTGCAACCTCAAAGCACTGGTCGATCTGGAGGACCAACCGCAATCCGAGAAGGACGAGCCTGAGACGAACCCTGCGATACACGAAGACAAGAAAGAGGTTGTGCCTACGAAGAATATTCTCGAAAGCGACGTGATGACGAGAGACCAACTTGCCGACGATAGAAGCGACTTTGAATATGAGGAAACAGACTCGAAGAAAAGGCGGGCAGGACGAAAACCGAGAGTTGTCGTGCAGAGGAAGTACGATGTCAACGGACCGATTATCATCACCTTGGATTCTCTAGATATGAGCCGAAGTTTGACCGCAGGTCTGTTGAAGGACTATCTGGTTGAGGAGGCAAAGACGAAACTTCACAAGGATATTGACAAAAGCAGCATTAAAGGAATGAGTGCCAAGGACATACCTCATCAGGGCAATTGGTACGATTGTGGCATGTACTTGTGCATGTACCTGGAACAATTCATGGCAAACCCGCACGACTTTGTGAAATCTCTTCTGCGAAGGGAAAGCATTATCAAGTGGCCACAACGACTTCGCAGCGATGCACTACGTGACAGGCTCTATTACTTGATGGACGAATTGTACAAATCGCAAGACGCAGCAGAACAAGCACACCTACCACTAGTCGGCAGAATCCTAATCAGAGACGAAGATTTCGAGCTCCCTCGTGAGCGGAAGCGCCAATCTATGCTGGCAGGTCCGGAAGAACGCAGAAGGATGAAAGAGAGCCTCGACTTTGTTGGTAACTTTTATGATGAGCGCGATGCTCGAGGAGGCTCAACGGTTGATATTTCCCACGGGGTCGTTCGAGGCGCAGTCACGCCAGAGGACCTCGCCGCCGGGACAGAAATCCTCTCGACAAGTCGTTATTTCGAGCAGGCTCGGCAGCCTATCATTGTTGACGATGACACTGACACAGGGATTCAGAAAAGTGCTTATGCAACACCACGTCAGTCTGTCCAGTTGCCTGTGCGGGACCTGCACATATGGCGAAATGGTTACAGCCTGGGTGATGATGGTAATCTGCGTGATTTTGATGCTTCTGCCGTTCAGAAGATTAGAGATTACCAAGCAGCGCCATACCCTTTCAAGGATGATTCTGGTTGCGAGTATTTGTGTAACCTCATCCACCACGAGCAAGACTTCGTGAAGCCGGAAAACCGACACAGACGGCGCAACGTTCAAGTTGAACGATCGCCCCCACACAAGACTTATACGAAGACGAAAGAGACATCCTCGCCGCAACGACCAATGTCGGGTCTCTCGACAAACACCAGGCATCCTGACGGCGACCCAGCTCAACTAGCTCGGCGGATCAGGGAGCAGCGAAGTCCCAGTATACACGACAAAGCTGCGAATGGCACTATGACAAGGCTTGCAGAGTCGGGTCCTGCAGAAGAGCCTCGAAATTTGCGGGGCATTTCTGTTTCCACCGATTTCTTGACCGGGACGAACAGTTACGATCAGCTTGGCGACGATGAAGATGTTACCAATAAAGACATGACGCATCGTCATACCACTCATCAAGACGACGACGGATCGTCCTTCGCGGGATTTGACGATGAAGCAGCGTCAAATGGGCCACATACTACCAGAGACGAGACGCAATCGAGCAACCGGACCATACCAGAGAGTGTTTACGATGACAGGGGTCATCGAGTTGGTAATCAAACTCGTGAAGAGCCGGATCTCATGCTGCTTGACAATGATTGAGAGATGTGTTGAGGCCCTGCTTGTCACTTAGGTAGCACAATAGGACAATTTCAACAAGAATTCTCACCAAAACAGAAACGTCTTTGATTAATACCTTTTCAGACACTCGTTTCCTTGTTGTCCAGGTGAGCTACAAATGGCCGGTAACACTGGCTTCGACGCATTTTTTAGAGGTATGGTTCTTCGATCGATCTCAACGTCGAACAACCTCAACATTTCAGTCACTACACAAAGTAGGCTTGTATTTCGACAGAAGTAGAGCTACACAATGGTCGTCGTCGCGTTGGGAGTAAGTTTACAAAATCTAGGTTGTCACGGTCAAGCACGCTTGCCAATTTGCTACTATCGGTCGCAGAGGGGATCTGTTCGGCTAGACCCTCTTCGAGGAGGGGTAGGTGTGGCACCATTTTCAGCCTGATTTCCATGAGTCTTTCTACGAGATTCCTATACGGCTGTCCACCATCCCCCGATTCCTGACTGACTGCACTTGAGTTGCGCAGGGTGTCCAGTGCTCATACTCTTGGCGGCGAGCACTGTTACAATGCGCCATGAAAACAATATCCCACCAGCATACCGAATTCAGCGCAAGCCCGTTGCGGGACAATACAGAGCACTCGCCGTGGAGGAGCCGGTCTTTAGGTCAGGAGTCTCGATATCCACCTCGTCCAAGAGCAGAGAGTGTAAGCCGTCCAAGGTGACGTTCTTTGGCACATGGTGGCTCGAGATACTGGCATGCGTGTTAGTCCTTGTCGCTTTCGCTGCCATTCTCATAACTCTCCTGCTCGTCGCAGATAAGCCGCTTCCGAGACTGCCCTTCCGCATATCGGTAAACACGCTCATAGCAGTATTTGCGACCACGCTCAAGGTGGCCACAGCGTTCGTGCTCGCGGAGGGCTTGAGTCAGATGAAGTGGTCGTGGTATTCAGACGCAAAACCTTTGCACCACTTCTTGGTCTATGATAATGCGTCTCGTGGACCTTGGGGTGCTCTCCAGTTGTTGTGGCACCTGCGACTCAAAGCCGTCATTGCCTCGCTTGGAGCATTTATTACGGTTGCTGCTCTTTTCATCGACCCACTATCGCAGCAACTTGTACACCTCTACGACTGCAGTGAGCTAGTGAAAGGCGCGACGGCAATGATGCCCCGTGCTAGAGCCTTTGAGGAAATCGGAGGACATGTTGGCGCGGGCATAAACCAATTGTCCCCTGCTTTCGTCGGTTCGCTTGCGACGGGTCAGTTCGCGGCTGCTAGACCCGAGGTGCCTTTCAGTTGCACTACTGGAAATTGTACCTTTGACCAAGACTATAGCTCGGTAGGGTATTGCAGTCAGTGCAACGATGTCACTGATCGTGTGGTCTACAGCAATTACACTCGAGGCTCTGAGGCATTATTAAGCGTGCAAATCACCCTACCGAACAAGGATGGGGTTACGGGTTCTGACCTCTCTTTTCTTGCTGGCGACTGTGGTTCACAAGCTGTCAGATTTAGGCTAAAGTACCAGCAGGGTCTGCTGAGTATGTTGTGGTTCGATGGTGTGGGCACCGGCCCAGAGGATGATGTACATGTACACGCCTGTGAATGCTCACTTGAGCCGTGCATACAGACGTTCAGATCAGAAGTCGTGAATGGCATTCTCAGGGAAGAAGTTCTGGACAGGCAAATGAGCTTTGGCGGAGCGAGGTCTGGGTCAGGCTACATGGGTCAAGCAACGGTTGATCTTAAATGTATCAATGACGATGCTCGGCAAGATTTGCGAGACCTGGGGTACCAATTTGACGATGCTTCAAGATGGCTTCCCTACAATGTTACCGTTGAGCCGGCACTATCCGAATCAGATTCTGGCAAGTACGGCACTTTCTACAACATGTCGTCTTACGGGATTACGAAGACCAAGGCAGGTGAAGCCAAAGGCTTGTACGACGTTACAAGCCCCTCGAATTGGACCTTATCTACGAAAGGGTTGCGAGTTGTGCCATCCGAGTGTATTTACGAGTTACATCTTCTTGTAGGAACGAGCTTGCAGAGCATGTATTTTAGTGATTATTTCAATGGAAATGTCACCGATACTTTCTACTGTTCGGCTACATACGGCTCGATTGTTCCGCAATCCATATACCAAGCAGGAGCAATGGATAAAGACAAGAATGGCTCATTCTCTCAAGTGGAAGAGTTATTACAGAACATCACAGATTCAATGACCACTTATATGCGCTGGCACGGTAATTCCAATATGAGTGAACCAATACTCGGGGAAGTCCACCGGTATGCGGTCTGTGTTCGAGTACGATGGAACTACCTGGCCTATAGTGGGTCAATTTGCGTCCTGCTGATGCTCTTCTTTGTCGCGATGGTATTCGAAACAAGACGAGCATGTATTGTTGATCAACGATTGGGTCCAACATTGGTCCGCCACAACTTCAAATCTTCTGCGCTGGCTTTCCTGCTACATGGACTTGATCGTGATATGCAGAGCGAGCTAAGATCTGTCAGCGTATTAAACAATACACGCGAGATCGAAACTGCTTCGAAAGAGCAGATGGTGGTTTTGAGCGGGACGGATTCTGGGCTGAAGCTTTCAGCGAGCACGGTAAGATTAATGTCGTAGCAGCAAGAATTGTCGGGATTAAGATGACCGTTAACAAGTATAACCATGCATCTCCATCCTTATTTCACGAGTCTCCATGTCGACCTGCCGAGATCGGGTTTCTCGACATCGCTCTGGACCGAAGGCTAGGTATGCTTTCAGGCAGCGGCTATGGAGCTTCTCGCAGGCGATTCAGACAACACTGATACGCCAAGGTCAAGTATCAGTAAGGAGGATGTTTCAGAAACGTAGAAGCCAAATGGCTTCAAGCCAGATAAAGCTCGCAGGATTCAGAATGACATCTCCTCCAGCCCACAACCTCGAACCGAACTGTCAGGCGTTCACGGCTGATATGCCGAGACCATATACTGGTTGCTCGTACTCTACAGTATAATGTAGGGAGATCTCGATCAGGATCACGATGCAAATAAAGATCATCGAAAGATGCTGAGAGGCACAGGAAAGACCGTATATTGGTCCAGGCCTGCCTACGATACGAGCGGTAATGGAGCATATACTTTCAGATATCTGCTCTCCTTGGCGCAGAGAGAAGAGCCTCATCGACTGATCGTGGTCCGTGGAGAGGAGAGAGAGCCTGGAGTATCGTCTTTGTTGCAATGGTTGGGTGGAGGCATGACATAGGATGACATCAATCGTTGTGGAAACGAGATATCTGCTTTGAGTAGAGATCAGCGGGAGGGTGTTATAGTGGTGCAATACTCCTACAATACGAGTACCGTGTGAAGATTCGCACCACGCGAGCAAGAAGGACGAAAGCTTTTTCAGAATTTTAGGGGCGAACAGATCTAGACGATGTCCGTGTTCTTTATGGAATAATATCTACGCATTATAAATTGTATGTACGAGTGGCATGGTAGGGTATCGTGGCAATGGTTGCTGGATGTAAAATATCAATACCGCAGACACGTGTAAACGTGCGGAGAAAGGTAGAAACAACGTGTGACACATGGTAAATGTTTCCGAAGAGATATCAAGGTAAAGTTGTACAATCTCGATGATATTGTTGAAACTTAAGAACATGACGCGTGATCATCACACTGACGTCCTTATAAACCATAACCCCGATTGAACATCCATTCCAACGCCAATGCTGAATGCGCAATTCAATGCTCACTTCGAGAGATTTTGCATGTTTACACAAAGCTGGAACTAGTGCTATACCCATTGAAAATTGGTAACTCCGGACGTGAATGAGCCTAACGATGTTGGCTTGAAGACTGCTGTACTTGATAAAGAGTCGCTTAGAACGATGATCGAGAAGAGTCTGAGCTGATGCTGCCTTGCTTGCCAATTCGAGCATCTGGGTTGACGACGCTGGATGTTGGGCTCGCTCTCCTTCGGAGCGAGCGACATGATGTGTCCATCTGCGTTTTTGTGTGTTCATGCATCATGCGAGCGTATGAGGACATGGCTTCGATTGGGTCAGACTCGTAGTCAAAGGTTGCGTCTGCTGGGTTGGTGATGTATTCAACTGAGGTAGACATTGTGAATGGTGAAGGTTGAATGTGTAACGTTTAGGATATTATGTGATAATGTTGACGAGGCTGGATGACTTGCTTTGTATACAAGTAAATTCTGTTATAACATGTAAGACGTGTGACTTGGTTGTTTGAATAGTAAAGTCAGGGTCAGATGAGGCTTCCAGTCTATATACAAAATGCTTCTTGATGTTTAATGCCTTCGTGGTTGCCTGGCCAGGTGGGTACATGACCGCATATGGAGGATTGTGGTAGGTGGAGTGGCCATTGATAAAAAGCACAGGAAGCCAATCGAGGAAGGGACATACTCTGGAAAGGTGGAGCCGACATGTCATGTGCTGCCACTCACCGTCACCTCAGGCAAACACAACGAGATCTGTTTAACGTCTGTGGAGATGGGGACTGCAAGGAAGGCAAGCATTTTGGCGCACCCTGCTGGGTCAGGGGTAGCAAACTGATCCTGAGCACATCGCTCGATCCGCAGCTCACTTTCGCCCCGAAACTTTGCGGATCGAGTTACTGTGTCGCGATGCACAGGACTGGACCCTGCCGATCGTGCGAGCACAATCCGCAGGGACTTTCAAGCTGGCCTGCTCTGTTGCTTGTTCGACGCCAAGCGTTAATGAACGCATGGTGCAGTCATTTTGTCTCGATTAGTAGGCATGCGGAACTTTTTTCATGGTTGTTTGCTTTGACTGAGCACAGTACCGATGCATGATTGGAAGGCCCGACGGTAGAAGACCTCCTTTCCCCTCCCGCCTTGCGTGCATATCTTTGAGCCTCCACTGGCTGATATGTAGCATTGAGCTCGTTGTGGCCAGGCTACGTCAATCGCACAAACGGAGGGCTAGTCAGGCTCACGACCACGTTCAACATTGGTAAATTCGGTGAAGAGTTCCACGCAATGTATCGTTACCGACTTTCATCATACAAGAATCGCAAAGACGATGCACGAGCTTATCAAGAAGTCTTTGAGTTATGAACTGCCTTGCCAAACAAACAGTGTGGGTGCCGCTCCAGCTGAGTGCAAGGCTTCGTAACCTGATGAAACTTCTCTGGTGTCTCACATTTTCAAGGCTCGAGTTGCCAAGGCGAGCTAGCGTCTGATCCTGCATAAAGACGTCATAGTCAACTCCACTATCGTGCCCCCCTCCAGCTCGCTTGTGGCCTGCGATGACTTCACAGGACAATTTCCAGGACTCGAGGATAATGGCCTGACAATGATTGGCTTAACACTCTTTGAGAGTGCGAAGTTGAGCCAAGGACTTTGTGCATGAAAACAAAATTGCTTGTCTGGTGCAGTACAACTCAGCGTCTATGGCGTGTTTACACGCTATGTGGCATACTAAAGTACACACCGAGTCGTGTCCTCAGCCCACCGACTTCCTAATTCATGCATACATAGACTCCGCACCGCATGCCTACCATGGCAGTTTCACTACGAGTATGACCTAAGCTTCTGCCCCGAGCACGTCAGAAATGTGGTGATGACAGTCAGTTTCAACGTCTGACTACTGTATCTTATCGTCTGAGCATATGCAATGTTATGAGCTTGTGCTGTTCTAGTGATCATAGCCTCTTACCGCTATGCTCTAAGACCAGCTGTCTTGAGGGTATTGTGGGTGTTCAGCTGCGCAGTCGCACATCCAGATCCTTTCCACCAAAAACACGCATCGACACAATTTCTTTCCACGCAGCGAATAACGAACAAGTCTCTCGAAAGAGTGCGCGACAATGTGTTGACTGATGAATGTGCTGCGCAGCGTGCGCAGAGGATCGTCCAAACAGAATCGAGGCCTATAACAAGCTGGCATATTGTACTTATCTACTACCAGTGTGCTTGGAATGTAAACGGACCGAACGAGAAAAAGAGGAGGAGGAGGAATCGTATTTAGACCTTCATTTTGCTCTGAGGTTCAATTATTCACGTAGCTCGAGAGTGTCCCAGACCTCTACGGTAACCACCGTCACGAAAAAAGGAGAAGCAGGTATTCCACTGTCAGTTTCTGAGCACTTTTGAGTGATAGATAGACCATTCTCCTATACTGCGTAAAAATGTCACGCTTACCTTGCTATGCATAGATGCGCCTCGAGCTGCGGGTGCCGCAAGACTAGACAACCTTCCCATCGTTGTACTAACAGCCATGTTGAGTTCTCTTCAACCTGGATTCAGCATAGCAATTTTGCGTAATTTGAAGCTCAGGTGCTCTTTCACGAAGTGAGGGACCACCGTCTTTATACGAAAGCCAAATACAGCATCAGCAACTTTTCTTTGCCCACCAAGTCGTCAATCGTCGTTGTCGGTCGGTATCATATTGGGGCAGGACGGTTCAAAGTGTGAAGCTATGGCTGAAGTTCCGACGAAGAATGGTTCAAAACATCGACAAATTCTGGCTGAAGGCACATGTTGCAATCTTTGTGGAGCTCGTACGCATCGGTCGCAGCCTAACAAGCTTGATATCTTCAGTCCTGAATTTAATACATACTCCATGCCCTCGCCAGCCGTCAGTAACAATACAGTTCTTGCTGGAGAATTTTCGAATTCTAGCTGGTGGACAGGGAAGTATGAGCAGAACGATTGGTTCTGTTACCACTTCGGGTCCTGCGTCCGCGTCTGCGATCAGACTGATCCATGACTTGAGTGTAGTAAGGCCTGCCCATACTGGGAAACCTTCAAGGAGCGCAGCTAGCTCAGCTGTTTGGTGGGTCGACCATGGAGCTTCAACGTGGTTGCCTTTCTCTGAAGCTCAGCTATTATTGGTACAACCCACGATCGTATGCAATGTGGTCAATAGACATACGCGTCGAGCAGATATTGGTAGCATTCACAGTACTCTGCACGAACTCAATGAATCACGAGGAATAGATCGAGAGAGAGAGAGGAGAGAAGAAAATGGCAGTTTGTACCAATACGCAACTATCAATAATGCTCCCTGATGTCACAGACAACGTCTTGGAAGACACCGTTTGCAACGCGCAAAAGTATACCTACTTATGAGGGCATCGCGAGTTGACCAGAATCTGTCGGTACCAATCTCAATCTTGCTGGTTCGAGCCATGCAATAATAGAGTACACTTAGAGTTCAATCGAAGGGAGATTGAGGTAACAACCAGATCGTGTTGGTACCGAGACTATCAGATAGCGAGACTGCTAAACGATACCATTAATTGCGATTCAGAAAAGAGGAATCTGCCTTTTAGCTATAATCGACATTCAGTGCTACAGATGAGGTCGTAAGACTTCAGGTCATCCGTGCTTTGACGTTGCTTGTGAGTACTACTTACGATGATGTCCATCAGCTATCCCTGCTAGCCTGAGCAGCATGCAAGATCGGATCATTGGTCGAGCACGTGTAGGGATGGTCCTTGCGTTTGTCCTGCAAATCAGCATCGTCGACCCCCAGTACCCCCACCAGATTCGAAGATTATAGACGTCTGCGTTCAGCGGCTTGTCTGGAAACCAAGCCATCAATATAGGGTCAATGCATTGCTGCGACACACATGGCACAGCGCAAGCACTAGTACGTCGGAGCGTTGAATATCCTTCGCAGATGAAGGGCAGATGAAGGGCAGATGATCGTTGATGCTAGCGGAGCACATGGCGCTAATCAGAAACCTAAAATCTAATCCGAAGCCAACCAAAATGTAGTGCGATCACAAACCCGCCTTCTTCTCATTTGCTGCCTATGGCTGCTCATGGCCACAGAACCAAATACCGAAAACCTGCATTCAATGCACCGTTCGAGAATGCTCGCTACATTGACAGCACTGAACCAGAATGAAGAATGTTTCTCGAAGCTTTCTAAGCACCTGCTTGGGATGAGCTGCAAGTCTTTGCATCATCTACTGTCCTGGAAGATCGTAGCGCCAACAATGAAGCGCGTCACACTGCACTAGCACCCCGACCGCGTGGATCTCGGTGGGTGTCGCCACTCTACTTATAATCTTCATTGGTGGAAGCTGCAACAGAGCACTGAATTCTTGTCAGCATCTCAGTGGTGGATAGGATAAGTAATTCCGCAAAGTGGTTTTCTGTTATGCATTATAGGACAAGCGAAGTTTTGTCTTTCCACACTTGCAAAATCAGCCCCGTCTGCGCTTCCTGGCCTTTCAAAAAGTTTTTGACTAGCTTCGCAGGTGGGTATTCCCATACGAAGCAAGCTCGGCGTCATGCAGTCGAGGTTTCAGTAACCTCATATGAATACTGTGTTATCGGGGCACCACCCTCGAGCAAAAAACCATCCAGTCCTACATATATGCCATGTCGCAGCTGGATGTGGACGTGGACCTTACAGACCCTGTTGCTCAGATCAATCCAGCGCCTTCGTCCTCCCAAGAGCAGCAGCGATTATCTGATGAACAAACCCTACCAGACAGAAAGGTCACAAGATCAAGGAAACATGTCACCAAGGCGTGTGAATCCTGTAAACGCGCACGAGCCAAGGTGAGCCGTTCTCCACACGTCGCTATCACTCACAGATGGCTGTGGCATGCCTAGCACAGAATACTAAATCTTATAGTGTGACGGTCGTCAACCTTGCGATCGATGTACCTCGAGACTGCTCTCCTGCAGTTATACTAATGAGGAGGATCGCCGCACGAGAGGCTCGACTAAACGTAAACTCGATCAACTAGAACGAGAGAACAAGTTCCTGCATGAACTGTTACGGACTCTGGAACATTCAAGCGATGCTCAGGTCCAACAGGTAGTGTCCATCGTTCGCAGCAACACCTCTATCGATGACATGGCTGCGGGCCTCACTCGGACCATGCACGATCCCAAGCTCACGCGGCAGGGCAGCTCACGAAGTGAGCAGACTCGTAGCGGGAGTGAGACAAACACATCCAACGATCAGAAAACACCTCGACGCCACGAAGTTTTCAAAGTCGACCGTCTTACAGATGCACCACTATACGAGGTTTCTGCCACCCCATGGACCAACGTTACCCATGATAATCACTTAGTTTCGCATCTGGTTTCGCTCTGGGCGACTTGGGACAACCTATTCCCTGATGGTGTAGTGCTGGAGTATTTTTTGCGCGATATGCAAGCTGGTCATACCTCATCTCATTTTTGCTCTCCATTTTTGGTTAATTGTATTTTAGCAGCTGGTTGTTTGAACTCAAATTACGAAGAAACAAAGACGAATGACGGGAAGCACTCACCGATACTGGATCAGTTTCTTGAAGAAGCCAAACAACATCTAGAAGATGATCGAAGCACTTCAATAGCGAATTTGCAGGGTGTCGGTATATTGTATCTGGTTTTGATAAAGATCAATCGAGATCGCGAAGCCTGGGACTATGCCACTCAAGCTACCAACATGTGTGCCGAGATGTTAAGGTGCGGCGAAAGGGATAGATACCTCTCGTCTGAAAATTCGAATTCGGAACAGGAAAGAGCAGCAATAGCTTACACCTTCGACGCTGCCATATGGGGTACTTTCTGTGCCACTACTATGTCCTACATGATGTGGCAGCGGCCGCAAATCCTACCACAACCACCCCGACCTTTCCCCGAACGTCCGGCCAATATTCTACCGGAACAGAAGTGGATGGCCTATCATGGACCCGGTGGTTCTCAAGATTTGTTTCTAGACCCTGTCCACAATCTGCACAGCTCGTTGGCAGTTCTTACCCGGGAAGTGTCACTTGCGATATTCCTGGATAGCGACAGCTTAGCCGACAAAACCAAGGCTTTGGTCAGGATTGAGAAAGATCTTACCGCAGGTTACGAAGCAATTCCGGATTACATAAAGAGCTCACCTGCTGCATGCTACCTTCGTGCCTGGTGGCTGACAATCATTGGTACAGTTTTACTTGATGAGCAATATCACGGTGAATGGGACGCTATTATAGGCCGGCTTCGATCCATTGCGCTAGAAGTCGTCGACATTTGCAGACTAGCATGTTCTATCGCGGACAGAAGCAAAATCAGCATCTTTATGTGCCATTCATTCTATCAATCTCTGCTTATTCTCATGGACCAAAACAGCTCGCACGCCTACGACGATGAGATAATGGAATTGCTTGTCACATTCCGCGCCATAAGTCAACGCAGTCCTTGGGCTGTTGCTTTGCTTCGCATGATACAGATAGACGCTGTACGTCGTTCTTTCAAGCTTCCGGAGGCTGCGCTGAAGCTTTTTGACGAGTTTGAGAAAAACGATCTCCAGGCGTGGAAAGATGAACTACAAATGAGCAGATACCCTTACCTCGACTCATTTTCGCTCAGATGTAAAGAGGCAAACGACAAAGATGGCCTGCCGACACTGATGGGCGATTTTCTGGAGAAGTTCGATGCGATGTGTTTAAACGGCAACCGCAGAGATTCAGTATCGTAACACCTTGTCAACATCACAATCAGTACACCGATCTTTCAGGCACAAAGCATTTTATCCTGTGCAGCCAGCGTTACGGACGCGGCTCTGGACTTCCACGTAAGCAAGTCTGTCGTCGACACAGCACCCGAGGATTATACAATGCTTCACACCATCCGTCGTGAGATATTCTTTCCACACAGAGCATAAGCCCCAGCATTCCGATCTCGAGCTCAAACCCTCAAGTTGCCTGCTTGCCTATTGTTTATCAAGAACCATACAACGAACAGCAAAAGTCAAGACAGAGAAGAGCCGAACCGAGTCAAGAGATAGGTTTACGCTCTGCGGTCATATGGTATACGGATACAGGCACACCACGAACACCAGGGAAATATTGCGTACTTGGTAACAACATCACTTCAGGGGATTCAGCACTAGATAATCAGTCGCTGAGTCGGGAGTTCACGACAAATCGAGGAGTTCAATCACGGACTCAGTGTTTACGACATGGTCGACTTTGGTAGAGTCCAAGAAGAGGATTCAGGAGCACGAGACTAGGTCAAATGGTGATCTAAGAGTTCCACGTGTTATATCTGGAAGTTGTCATTCATGGTCACAGCATTCGGAGAATGGAATATAGCTTGATCGAATTACGATGTTATTGGCATTACAGGACTGCTGATAGATTGCTATGGCGATTAAAGTGAGATTTTCGACGTCTTGTTTTGTGTTCGTGAAGTGAACAGTCAGTGTGGCATGCAAGTGATATGGCGTGGTTTAACATAACGGAGAGAGAAGGTGCTAATTCAGGAAGAACAGATCATATAGTTTAGGTATGAATACCACAGACAGACTAATCAGATCTCGAGACATCGTCATGTGGCATACTCACTTCATCAAACAGACCTTGCAAACGATCAGACGAACAAATTCAGACATCCGCCAAACACAAACTCCAGCATGCATAAAGTCTCAAATCCAACCAGGTAGCCTCACAGTCTATTGTCCACCTAGTAACGTGTTATGCCATCTCCTGCAAGCATGTTCGCGACAACGAGATCGTCTGCCCTGCACCAATGACGACACGATTTGAGTATTGTTCTTCATCTTCTTGCTGTTGATGCTCGTTCTCGTCCTTTGCACTTTCGCTTTCCCATATCTCGATGTCACCAGTGTCGGCGCTGGGCATGAGCTTAGCAGTATCGTCTTGGTCATTGAGGATGTCAAAGGTGAGTGATGTTCTCTGGACCCAATCCGGAATGTCTTCTGGCATTACTTCCGGCTCAGCATTGATCCGAGGCTCGTGCTGAGAGGTGAAGGTGAAGTCTTCTGCCACTGCTGCGACTAATGGTGGTTCGCTGGACTGTTCGGGAGTGGTGAGCTCTGTATCTTGGGCTTCGGCTTGAGAGTCGACTTCGTCGGCGGGAACATCTTCATGGACGAGCACAACACTAGTGGCGTTCAAGCCTTCACCGTAGAACTCCGAGGCGTTCAGGTCACCAAGGGGCGTCCTAGGCTCCTCGGCGGCCATCTTATCTCCATCCTGTTCCGCAGTGACGGCAGCAGCAGTAGCAGAAGATGGCCTTGTCACAGGCACAGGAGGTGTAGCCATCTCATTTGGATCGACGTTCTCCTTTCCTCTATCCTCGCCATTGTGTTTGTCAGAGGACTTGCCAGGTTTGCCCTCGTCGTCAGAGATGTCGAGTGCGGCCGAGGATTGTGTCATGGTCCACTCACACATACGGTAGTCCTGCTGGTCCTCGGGCTCTTCGTAGATGTCAAAGAACCATGACTGGGGCTTGCTTTCCCCGAGAGTGGGGCCTGTGGATCGTCTGGAACGAGAAGAGGATGGTTTTTTGTGGGCGAGAGTGCCCCGGAGTGCTGCTGCGACTGAGAGAGTAGGAGCAGCCTTGATAGAGGGAGGAGCAAAGCGACGCCGTGGTGCTGACTTGTCGAGTTTGCTTCTATTGGAAACACGTGTAGGAGAGCGACCGGCTGCGGCAGGAGCTGATAGAGGGGCCTGAGTGCTCGGATGGAAAAGATTCTCAGGACGCGAGACTGTTGTGGGCGGAGTGCTGAATTTCGTCGTGGTGTAAGCAGTGGGTATGACCTTGGTGGTAAGCAATCGTGGTTGTTTGGCTAGCGAGACATCATCTTCGATTGCCGCCCTTTTCCTCTTGATGCTGGACTCAAAGTGCGAGGGATCGATATTTTCAGAATCTGAAAGCTCGGGAGAAGCAGCTCGTCGTTTGAGACTAGGTGCTGAGTTTGGGGTTAATGCTGGAGAGGATTAGCTACTACACCTAAAGCGCATTCACGATTGAGCATACCATTCTGTCTGTTTTTAATGCTCTGTAAATTCCGCAACTTCGTCTCGTTGACGATACCAAATGGCTGTCTTACTGGAGTCGATACAGTAGCCATATTTTCGAGCCCGGAGAAGTGGCTGCTTCTAGTCCTTACGCGTAAGGATGAGTAGAGAGTTTGAGTGAACAGGTACACAATTCCTGGGTTGTGTTCAAGGTCCAGCTTCAACGTGCCCAGAGAATGAGGCAACAGTGTTCACCGGCAGTCGAGTATATGAGAAGAGCACGAGAGGTCAGGTTCGAGGTCAGAAGCGCGACGCAGAACCCACAGTAACACGTCTCAACCTGGTATGCTACGTGCACTGCGTCAAGGAAGAGGCTTAAGGACCTGGCCGACAGCGCGAAAGGCCTCGAAAAGAAGGTGGCTGCAGTGGTGGAATGTGCTACTGCAGGTCCAAAGAAGGTGATTGAGTCGTTCGAGGTAGTTATTGGGTCAGGATGAAGTGGGAGAGCCAGGGAACGACCTGAAGATTCGCGTTGAGACGTGTTTAACACGGACTAGCGTGTTTGTGCCGCGCCACTTTCTGTACAGCTTCCTAGTTCGCGTTGCTGCGGGTGAACAAGTGCATTGCGTGACACTTTTCGTATATCAAGACTGAGTGACTTCGCTGATGAGCTTGACCGAATAAGCTCCTTACGACTTGTACGTTGAGAAGACCTACGTCCTAATTACTTGTCTGAGACGGCACTGGCAGTTGTTGACACGAAAGCTTGGCATGACGCGACCTCGATCGTACTCGTGGTGCTCCTCATCCAGGCACTGTTTCAAACATCCCATTCAGCCGCCAACCACCAATCTTTTGTCGCCCATCGTCTCAGACCTGCTTCTACCTCCTTCAAGATGTACCTCAGGATATGGTCTCAATATGCAGAGGGAAAAAGGGTTTCCGAGCCTGCATATTCTGTCGTTGCTATCCATACAATCTGCACTTGTTAAACACATCGGAGTGGACTCGTGCGAGCTTGAGAAGCCAATATCCACAACGCGGTCGCGCAGCGGTCGGGGGTGGTTGGGCAGGCCTGAACATGGCCGTCGTGCTTCGTTTGGTTTTGGATGACGTTGGCAGTCCAACTCGCGCGATAACAGTTTCATTCATAACCATAAGGTATGCTTTGCATTGCTCCTGCTCTGGTTACGCACTTCGCTGCTGCAATTGCAGCTTTTCCACAGGCAGTTGGGACATCAAACTCAACTCCACGAGCTCGTGATCGTGCCAATTCTGCGGTGAAGTATCCCACAAAGGTATCACCAGCTGCCGTTGTATCTACCACTTTCTCCACTTTGGTAGCATTGACCAATGCGCTCTTGCCATTTGATTGAGACCAGAACACGCCTCTTGACCCAAGGGTGATTATCATTGTTGTGACATGGAGCAATGTATGAAACTCGTGTGCCACTTTTCGGAGCGTGTCCTCATCCAAGTCCTCTTGCTTGTCGACGTTGTGTATCTGATATCCTTCCGCCACCATAGACTTGACAAGTAGCGAACATTCATTCTCGTTGACAATCAAAGCAGACAAGCTCTTCAACGTTCTTGCGGGTATACCTTGAGGCCATACAGGGGCTGGGTTGAAGACAACTTCAGTACCTCCGGAGGCATTATACTGCTCGACTAGTGCTAACACGCTGTCTCGAGGTATCTCACCTTGCAAGACTACCACGTCAGGCTGTCGGCCCTGATCCATACCACGACTCAGTATTTCTTTGACATTGTCCATTCCTTTGAAACCTGCACCAGGCACAAACAGAATTCGATTTTCTCCGCCAGCCCCTTCATCGACTATGATGGTTGCAGATCCTGTGGTTGTGCCTGCAATTTGAGCAATGAGATCAGTCTTGACTCCGGAATCGTGCAATGCAGGCTGGAGTAGACTCGCATAATATGGATCGTCTTTACCCACTGCACCAAGCATCTCAACATCAATATCTTGCTCATTTTGGGAAAGGAACGAGGCACGTCCGCAAGCTGCAGCTTGATTAGCACCTTTACCTCCAGCATTGATATCAAATCTCGTGGCCTGGAGTGTCTCTCCAGCAGAAGGACATCTCGGGGTAGTGGTCACAAAGTCCAAGTGGATTGAGCCAATCACTCGTATCAGAGGTTTTGCCATGATCAAGAAGTTCACCAGGTAAAGATTTCAGAATGGCTGGACGCAATCATCAAGCATGAAATAGTGCCAGTCTAAAGAACAGTAGGAATGTACTTAGTTGAGGACTAGATTTTTACCCAACAGGAGCAGCAGTTTTAGACAATCATGACACACTTGTGCTCATGGAGGAATCTGTGCCGGTCATACAGGATCACCAACGTGTCTCCAAGTGAAGGCCATAACAATCCACGACCACTTGTGAAGACTTCTAGTGTTTGACCAGTTTGTAATGCACGTGACTTTGAAATGCGGATACTAGTGCCCGCAGACGCGACTTGTTGGTGGTGACGGGGCCTGTACAAGTTTCGCGATTTATAGACCATAACCCATTTCCCTTGTTCATTCCCTTCTCACACCTTTCATCGGGTTTCCTTTTCTTCTTCACTCGAGACTGTGCTGGATGCTTGATCGCGACCTGGCACCAGTACAGTACTAATCTTCCGCCTGTCATCGCCAGACAATTGAAAGCGCAAGAAGTAAAAGTCAAGTCCGTCGCTCGAAGCAGCGCAGGCTGCAATCATGGCCGATGCCATTCGTATCGAACCGAAACTCTTCTTCGAACGACTCCAGGTCTTGTTCAACACATGGAAAGCCGACAAGCGATCTGGGGATGCCCAATTTGGTGGTGCGGACTCGATCGTTATCCTCACGGGCAAATCTGAGCCTGAGAACAGTTTCGTCAAGAACAATGCCCTACACTTCTGGCTATTGGGCTATGAATTTCCTGCTACCTTGTTGGTCTTCACAACCACTACAGTATATGTAATTACGACAGAGAAGAAAGCGAAGCATCTGCAGAACCTGAAAGATGGCAAAATCCCGGTTGAGATCATGCCTATCGACGCGAAGAAACCAGAGACACGTTCAGAAGCCTTCGCCAAGTGTCTGGAAATCGTCAAGGGCGCAGGCAAAAAAGTCGGCACTCTTTCCAAGGTTGAAACAACTGGTCCTTTTGCTGATGAGTGGAAGAAGGTCTTTGACGAAGCCTCAAAAGATCTCGAGGAGGTCGACATCGCGCCAGGCCTGTCACAGTCAATGGCAAGCAAGGACGAGGAAGAGCTCAAGGCTGTCAGGACCGGCGCTAAGGCTGCAAGTGCCGTTATGGCGGATTACTGGGTCGATGAAATGCAAGAAGTCTTAGACTCAGAGAAGAAGGTCACTCATGCCAGTCTGGCTGCGAAGATCAATGCCAAAATCGACGATCAAAAATTCTTCAAGAAGCTGTCAAAGACCACATCTGATTTTGACAATCAGCACCTCGACTGGGCATTTGGTCCCACGGTACAAAGCGGTGGCCAGTACGACCTGAAGATGTCCGCTCAGTCCAACAACGACAACCTGCACTCGGGCTGTATCATAGCTGGCATGGGCTTTCGATACCGAACCTACGCCTCTGTTATAGCGAGAACATACCTGGTCGATCCGAGCAAGTCTCAAGTTGCAAATTACAAGATTCTTGTCGCCGCACATGACGCTGCTATTTTGGCTATGAAGGAAGGCGCTGCCTGCAAAGATGTTTACAATGCCGCTCTAGGCGCAATCAAGGCTAAGAAGCCCGACCTTGAAAAGCACTTTCCCAAGAACATTGGTGCTGCCATTGGTATCGAGTTGAAGGACGTCAATCTGTCTTTGAGTCCCAAAAACACTCGACCTTTGAAAGATGGCATGACTTTTTCGATCATGACAAGCCTCGCCGACCTCACCAACGACAAGCCACAAGACAAGAAAGGTACCAATTACAGTCTGATGCTGATGGATACCGTTCGCGTGACACGTGGTGAGGCCATTGTCTTTACTAAGGATGCACGAACCGACCTCGACTCAATTGAATTCTATTTCAACGAGGAAGAAGAGGTCAAGCCTAAGCAAGAGAAGAAGAAGCCTGGAGCCGGCGCGATTGTTACTAGTAATATCAAATCTAGCCGGACCCGTGGCGCCAATCGGACTGATACACACAAGGAGGAGGAAGAGGCACGTCGAAGAGGGCATCAAAAAGAGCTTGCTGAGAAGAAGCAACAGCAAGGTCTGGAACGATTCTCTGAAGCTACTGGTGCTCTCAATGGTGAAGACGAGAAAAAGTTCAAAAAGTTCGAATCATACAAACGAGACAGCCAGCTTCCGGCTCGTGTCAAGGACATGATTGTCTGGGTCGACGTAAAGGCTCTGACAGTTATCCTACCTATCATGGGTCGACCTGTGCCATTTCACATCAACACTATCAAGAATGTGAGCAAATCAGACGAGGGCGAATACACGCATTTGCGATTCAACTTTTTGTCACCAGGTCAGGGTGTCGGTCGTAAAGACGACCAGCCTTTCGAGGATCCAACGGCCCAGTTCATCCGTTCTCTTACTGTCCGTTCAAAGGACCAAGATCGACTGGCAGAAGTTGCATCACAGATCACAGAACTTCGAAAAACAGCCACGCGAAAGGAGCAGGAGAAGAAGGAGATGGAGGACGTCGTTGAGCAAGAGAAACTTCAGGAAATAAGAAATCGAAGACCTATCCGACTATCTGACGTCTACCTCCGACCGGCACAAGACGGTAAGCGTGTACCTGGTGAAGTCGAGGTTCACCAAAATGGTCTGCGCTATATCTCTCCTATGCGGAACGACAACGTCGACATTGTCTTCTCCAACGTTAAACATCTTTTCTTCCAACCATGTGTTGGTGAACTGATCGTCCTGATCCACGTGCACTTGAAGAACCCAATTCTGGTTGGCAAGCGAAAGACTAGAGACGTTCAATTCTATCGTGATGCCACCGATATGGCATTCGACGAAACGGGCAACAGAAGACGAAAACACCGCTTCGGTGATGAGGAGGAATTCGAGCAGGAACAGGAAGAACGACGACGAAGAGCAGAGCTTGACAAGCAGTTCAAGTCATTCGCCGAAAAGGTATCAGATGCTGGTCGGGAGTGGAACATTACGGTGGACATTCCCTTCCGTGAGCTCAGCTTCAGTGGTGTGCCTCACAGAAGTAATGTCCTCATGTCTCCTGCTACCGATGCATTGGTGCAACTTACCGAGCCGCCATTCACCGTCGTCACACTCGAAGAGATTGAAATAGCTCATCTGGAGCGTATCCAATTCGGCCTCAAGAACTTCGATCTAGTCTTCGTCTTCAAGGACTTCAACCGACCACCCATTCATGTCAACACCATTCCAGTCGACCAACTAGAACGTGTCAAAGATTGGCTAGACAGTGTCGATATCGCCTACACCGAGGGCCCACTAAACCTCAACTGGAGCATGATCATGAAGACTGTCATTGCCGACCCACATCAATTCTTCAAGGACGGAGGCTGGTCCTTCCTCAATACAGATTCTGACGATGAGGACAAAGACGAAGAGTCGGAAGAAGAAAGTGCATTTGAGGCAAGTGATGAGGACCTTGCCGAAAGTGAGAGTGACAGTGAAGATGAAAGCGATTTCGATGACGATGCCTCCGCTAGCGACGATGAAGGCGACGCAGAAAGCGATCTGAGTGAGGAGGGCGAGGATTGGGATGAGATGGAGAAGAAGGCTGCTAAAGCTGATCGGAGTGGACCGGTCAAGGAGGAAGAGGGAGGTGCGAAGAAGAGAAAGCGTTAAGCATGGCCAGAAGACGACAGGTAGCGTCTTCAATGAAATATGTGGGTAGGGTCGTAAGGGCATGATGTCCCACACTTTCCTGATGGGAATTCGCACGGGTTGAGCTTCATGTGCTCTGCAACTTAGTGGTTGCAATTCGACTTTAGTAATCGTCCATAGTGTATTTTGTGCCACCATATTTGGATCACCGCTTGGTTGTCTTCTCTACAATCACAATCGTTGCCTCTATCTGTGTCATCTCCTTGCAATCTAGGACGCTCAAGGCTTCTCCAACATGCCTAATGTAACATCAGGCGATTGCCAAGGGTCCCAGCAGGTGGAGAGCATGATTTCTCGTTGTTAGAGGACGAGGAAAGCTCCCAGAAATCGATGGAACACTATGCTGTACATATCCGTCCAGGCTGCTCAAGGCAATATTATATACTTTTCCAAATGCTTGGGTACCGCGTTTCTCAGACCCTTTGTCTCCAACCATTTCTGGCTGAACAAACGATCAGCATACCTATAAGCACCATCACATAATATCGTGACGACTGTGCTTCCAGGACCCATCTTCTCTGCGACCTCTTTCGCAGCGACGACATTCAACGCCGAGCTCGCACCAAGATATAATCCTTCCTCGTCTAAGCAGCGATAAACCATTTCTATACTCTTCTCGTCTGCGATGTTTAGACTGCCGTCTAATTCCTTGACTTCGTTCTTGAGGTTATCTGTGACGCGACCTTGGCCGATACCTTCTGTTATGCTTCCGCCGGAACGTTCGTTCAGTTTTCCGCCGGATTGTATGTAGCTGTGCAGGACGCTGCCGGGTGGATCTGCGAGAAAGCACTTTACTTTGCCGTTACTGACATCTTTTAGGTATCTTGTCACGCCCGCAAGTGTGCCTCCTGTGCCTGTGGCGCAAGTGAATGCGTCGATTTTTCCGCCCGTCTGATTCCATATTTCGGGACCGGTGGTTTCAATATGTGCTCTGCGGTTCGCGACGTTGTCGAATTGGTTTGTCCATACTGCGCCGTGTTCCGGGTCCTCCTTCTGTAGCCGCTCTGCATGCCGTTTCGCCTGCCAGTTGTAATTTTCTGGGTTCTCAAATGCTACTGCCGGCACGGGGTATACTTCTGCACCTAGTAACCTGAGCAGATCGATCTTGCCTTGTGATTGTGTGTTGGGCATGTATATGACGAGCCTGTAGCCTTTCGACCTGCAGACATGTGCTAGTCCAATACCTGTGTTTCCAGCAGTACCTTCGACGACAGTGCCACCCGGTTTGAGGAGGCCACTCTCTTCAGCATCTCGTACGACATACAATGCCGCACGATCCTTCACACTTCCGCCTGGATTCTGGAATTCGGCCTTTCCCAGTACGGTGGCGCCAGTTTGTTTAGATAGAGTATGTAGTTTTATGAGAGGTGTGTTGCCGATTGCTGTAAGAATATCTTAGTGACTGATGCTTTTTGACCATATCTCTACGTACCTCCTGTGAACGAGTCTACATAGCCTTGTGCTTGGGAGACTCGAATGCCATATTGATTTACTTTCTCTGCGGCTGGCGCCGCATAGTTTACTGTTGCTTTTCGTGCTGTCTGTGTACCGAATCGACGAAGAGATGTACGTGCTACGTTGGCCATTGTTAGGAAGTGAGTATCAGAGTAGCCAGAGTCTAGCATACAGTCGTACACATAGTTCGAGTCCATGAAACATCTCTCACAATTACTCGCAGCTCTGGAAAATGTTGCACAAACCAGACAAACTCGATGATGCCATCTTCTCGTGCCCACGCCTTCGTGTTGGGTACCTTTTCCGGTCGATAAACCCCTATGCTCGGCTCAAAATGCTGACGATAGGCGCTATTATAAGCAATCGTCTGATATAACAGCTCATGCACAGAACAAGATCTCATAACACTGGCAGCGCATGTCAATGCATCTGAGCCAATCTCAATATTATCGTGTTACGGTTCTGACGGAACCTGCTAATAACTTTTCGTCGCGGCACAAGGGGTATCAATAGTCTAATGTCATTCACTTCCGCTCTTCCCAAACCCGCTTAATCCAAAATCCGTGGTATCATGTCATCCGCCTTAACTCATGGTTGTGGCTGTGCCCCTTTAGGACACCTTCTCGTGCTGCGTGCTGACTCTCTGTAAAGTCGTCAGGAAATTCTCCAGCTCCTTCCTGGTGAACTTCGCTGTGCCCCTAGGTGTCTTCTTTCTGCTTCCGAAATGTACGAACCTGTCGAATGTACGATTGTTCTGCAACAGGTAGTATACACCTGCCATGACGCAAAAGACACCGAAACTGTATAACCATATCCTGACGACTGCAACAACGCTCGTCCGTTCGCCTCCAACGAACCAGCCGAAGATGCAGAACAATGTAGCAAGAGAGTCGACTAAGAGTATGGCTCCCGTAAGCTGCCAAGACGGCATCGATGACCAGAACGGACCATTAGCCCTTGTGATGAAAATCAGCCAATTCTCCGACAAGCAGATCTGGAGGAAGAGCATGGCATCACGGTTGCCATGGTTCTGGGCTATGCCACTATCATCGCCTCCCACCAGCAAGGTACCAAGTGCTATCCAGGTACCGGCTGCAAGGATCAGACCCAGCAAAATTGACATGGCCCAGAGCTTAGGCAGATTCCATTTGACAGGACTTGGTGAGTATGGTGCATTGTCATAAGCAATAGCTAGCGTAGCAATGTCGGCAAAGATAGCAATGAACACAGTCAGCTGCAAGTTGAGTGATCTGTTTTGAATTGCAATCCAGAGTCCGAGAAAGATCTCCAGGTGCAAGGACAATGCAATGCGATAGACAATGTAGGCGTACATCCGGTGGAAAATTTGTCGAGATGTTTTGATGGCGTCAATGATAGCTGACAAACCAGGGGCCAGGAAGACGATGTCGGCAGCCGACCTAGCAGCATCGGAGGCACCTTCCACGGCGATGCCTGTATCGGCTCTTTTTAGAGATGGCGCGTCGTTGACACCATCACCTGTCATTGCTACCAAGTACCCACGCTTCTGCAGGATGTCCACGACAGTGTATTTGTGTTGTGGAAATACCTCAGCAAAGCCGTCAGCAGCCTCGACAAAGTCGTACACTTCGGAGCCGGGAAGCTCTCCTCCTCCAGCAAGACCAAGCCGCTCAGCATCGAAGATGTTGGTGCCTAGGCCGAGTTGACGGGAAGTCTCACGAGCAATACCCACAGCATCACCTGTAAGCATCTTGATCGATAACCCAAGCTGTTTTGCATCTCGTACCGTCTTTGCTGTATCGTAACGTGGAGGATCGTGGCACGGCATGATTCCGAGAAGCTCCCATCGATTGTCCTTCTGGCGAGCGATACCCAGAGAGCGAAAACCTCTCGTAGCAAATTCAGCTACCTTATTCTTGTACGCTGTTTCGATGTGGACAGGTACCTGATTCTGTTCTTCGACAAGCTTCAGCACAAAAAGTGGCGCGCCCTTGACACAGGTGATGCGTTCTCCTTCGGGTGATTCTACCACCGCGCAAACCTTCTTCGACACTGGGTCAAACGGTGCGAAGGACAGACATCTGTACCTCATAAGAAGAGCTTTTGCAGAAGGATAGAATTTCAGAGCTTTGAGAAAGGCCTTATCAACAGCATCCATGCCTTTTGCCTTTCTCGAGGCTGCCAAACAAGCTGTAAGCATGAGCTCGTCTGCTTCAATACCTTGGACGCAATAAGGTTCGTGTAATGAGAGCTTGTTCTTGGTGAGAGTGCCTGTCTTATCTGAGCATAAAATTTCGACACCTGCCAGTGATTCGATTGCCGATAGCTTTTGAACTATTGCTCGCTTCTTCGCCAAGTAGGCAGCTCCCACAGCCATGGTAGTGGTGACGACAGCCGGAAGACCTACAGGGACACCAATAACGGTGATCGCAAGGACGAATCTCAGGATAGTCACGATGTCGTTGCTTCGATAGAAGCTAGATATGAAGACAACAAGTAATGTGAAGATAACGCCCGCCAATAACACAGAGCCGATGCCATTAAGAACTTCTGTGAAATGACCGCTTCCACTTGATGCTTGGTTGACAAGAGCCGCAGCCCGGCCGACGAATGAATGATCACCTGTAGCTGTAACCACCATGCGACATGTGCCACGCTTGACGGCGGACGAAGCATAACATGTGTCACCAGGATACTTGTCAATAGCAAGTGACTCTCCAGTAATGGACGACTGATCAACCTGGACAAAAGCATTATCCGAGACGAGACGACCATCAGCTGCAATGATAGTGCCTTCTTCAAGCTCTAGTATGTCACCTGGCACAACCATTGGGGCCTCTATCTCAATGGTTCGTCCTTCGCGTAGTACAACAGCTTTCAAGGCTAGTGTCTTTTTGAGCTCTTCGACGATGGAACCGGCTTGAAACTCTTGCACGAAGCCAACGACAGCGTTTAGAAGCAAAAGGCCACAGATGACGCCAAAGTCAACGTATTGCTGAAGGCCAGCAGCAAGAATAGCAGCCGCCTAAAATTCATCTGTCAGCAAGTCCTCCATAAATAATAGCAGCTCGTGGCAGATTAGGACAGCGAGAATGCTAGGATCGGCGAACCAGGACCTGTATGGCTGGGAGCTTCTGAACTGAATGTGGAGGAACATCAGATATTCCATAAGGTACTTACCTCCATAACGAATTGTATGGGCCCAACAAAGTACATCAAGAACTTTAGAAACAGGTTCTCCTTCTCTTCTTTCATCTGATTAAGGCCATATTTCTTCCGTCTTGCGTTGACTTCAAAATCTGACAGACCGAAGCGTGGATCTGTCTGCAGAAACTCTTCGGGCACACTGTTGACACCAAGAGCTTCGATCTCTTCTTCGACTTCCTCATCTGGGTCCGCAGATTCCAGCTCTTCGATTAAGGCATCAAGGTCATCTTCTCCCAAATCTTCATCCTGTTCGGTATCCTTCTTCTGCTCCTCAATGTCAACTATAGAAACTTGTGCTTGCTTCTCGTCTAAGAAAGTGACGCCTCTCTTCTTTGCTGGAGGTGTTCCTGTCGGAGCTGAGCCAGCAGTGCTGGCATTAGAATAGGCGGGCATGATTGAAACAGAATTGGATTGTGATATGGGATTTCAGTACGAGTGGGCAACTGCTTGCACGGTGAGGCAGATGACTTTCAGAGGATACAGGGTTGACGCGTCGCGAGAATCGGACGATGCAAGCAGCTCTCGCTCAAGTGTTCTCGTACAATATATGCTGGGCGTATAAATCAAGTCCAAATAGCATAATGCTACGGCTGCAATCAATCAATGTATATGATGGGGCCGTAGAACAAGAAGAAAACGCAATATTATAAGCTCTGTTGTCAGTGATTACTGCAAGAAGTCGGCGCATGAAGTTCAAGTTGTCAGGTGGGAGTTTACAAACCCATAATCGGCAAGAGCCAGGATGAGCAGGCGGGACTCGAAGACCACCAACCCTTGGCAATCGCGTGAGAACTGCCCAACTGGCCGGAGGTGTCTCCGCCTCGGCGCGAAAGGTGCCAAGCACGGCAGTGGTGGCAGTGCAGACCAATGTTCAAAAAAGTCAAGCATGGCCATGTGCTACACAACCCACCGATATTATGCACGCAGAAGATCAGCAAACCTCGACATCGGAACAAGTGGTCGATATTGCTCTAAGCATCGCGTGTATGTGACGATCAATATAGACACGTGTAAGCCTGAAGTACAGGACGTGATCATTGTGCATTCAGCCGCTGGGATGCTTCCGATGAAAGGCCGCCGCCATTACCTGCACAAAAACTATGTACCACCACCAACCCGTCGTAGCTAATATACTCCTGCCCCTAAGCACGACAATAACACACATAACTCCATGAATGCAAAGTTGAGGACATGTCGTACGGCGTCACTTTCCTTTTGTTGTGGCGCTCCAGAAGCACCATTCAGACTCTATCATTGGCCTCCCTTGTCGCCGTCCTGGTTCTGCTGAGGGAAGGGAAATGGAAAGCCAGGCGGCATCATGGGCATCCCATTTGGCATCATTGGAAAACCCATAGGGAAGGGTATCATGTTCGGGTTGCCAGAGCTCGAACCCGGTCGGTCATCTCTTTGATCGTCGCCGAACCGACGATCGTTTCTTCCTACGGGTCGGTCGTCCCTCCCTGAGGATTGCGGACCTCGTCGACCACCTTGGTCGGTAGGTATTCTCTTGCTCATGGCTACCTTTAGTTAGCATCGTGTCGATGGGCGAACTCTGTCGACATACCTTTGGATGAAACACCTGCACCGATTTCAATGTCAGGCTCTTCAACGATCATACCCTCCTGAATAGGCTTGCCACCAGTGCCACCATATTCTGCGCTGACCATCCATTTTCGGTCTGCATCGGTTAACCGATACACAGGAATTATGCTGACACCTGTTTGATAGTCGCTACAGTCTCGTGGCCCAAAGCCAACGCCCCATTTGGTCTGCAAGCTGTTAGTACTCGAATTAGTCCAACATGTATGTCTTGCTTACTCGTAACTGCGTGGACCCGTCTCGATACTCCTCCATACCGTTGCGTGCAAGTTCAGCATCTTTGCGGTTGATCATCTTGACGAATGCATGCCGCTTGTCGACATTGACGATGCAGGTCTGCACAATGCCGAATCTCGCAAACAATGATCGCAGGTGTGCTTCGCTCGAGGTTACACCACCAACGAAGAGTGTTCTACTAAGGACCTTGATATTATCCTTTGGTAGGTTGTGATCCCAATCGATGTATTTTTCGCCAGGTGGGGGCAGATCTTGCTCAGGTGGTGTGGGACTTCGGCGTCTGCGACCCACTGGGCTACGTTGACGGTATTCATTGCCTCGTCTATCGCTGCCATTACGAAACCGGTCGTTGACAGGACTACCGGGTCTACCACTCCGACGACCATAATCTGGAGAACGTGAACGGCGTCGACCAGTATCAGCAGGAGACCGTAAATGGCCATCTCGATCACGTGATTGGTCGATCTGGCCGAAACCTGGGATAGGCGGAGGAGGAAACGGCATGCCGCCCTTACCAGCCTGATTTTGCATATTCAATACTTGCAACGTAGCAGCCCATTGATCTGGCGGAATGCCTTGCTGTGCCATCAATTGTACCAATTGAAGTGTAGCTTGAGCATCTGGCGCTACTGCAGGAGGATTGGGAACAGCTGGAGCTTGTTGCTGCTGGGGGAAAAGAGCAGCTAGAGGATTCGCAGCTTGATTGTGAGCAACTTGAGGCTGCGTTCCATTGTTCATGCCCGCCATGAGAGCAGCCAAAGGATTTACATTTTGACCTTGTCCTTGGTTTACAGGTGTGGTCGACTGTGGTACAGCATTTTGTAACCCCAGCAAGGCATTTAGATTATTTGAAGCAGTGGCTGGCGTGACAGGCGCAGCAGAGACGTTAGGCGCCTGTTTGGCCGCCAAAGCCTTCAGGGACTCTAAAAGAGAAGATGCGTTTTGTGTTGGCGCAGCGGCTGGTGCTGGAGTTGTATTAGTCATGACAGTGTCCTGACCTAGTGGTACAAAGCCTGGAGCAGGAGAGTTGATGGGGGTGGTTGATTCTGCGTCTTTATATATGGTTAATAATTTTCATTGGCAGGATTGAAGGTTCACACACTGTTTGAGGGTGCAGCATCGAGCTGACTCTTGATACCTGACAACGTGGCAGATGGGAAGGTGCTGGATCGTTCCCAGATCTCCACAAGCTTTCTAATCTTGGGCTACACAAAGACTTTGGTCAGTACGAAGGTGCTAGCATTCGAGACATGCGGAAAGACAAAGTCGATACTCCAAGCAATACAGGTGGACGCGGCATACCTTTTGATCTTCAGGCGCAGCACCGATAATGTCTGTCATCAGTGAGGGTAGGAGTTCAGTAACTCTATGAACGCCGGCAGCAAAGGTACCGTCAGTCGCAGAAGGGCCGACTTGTTGGCCAGATTTTCTGGCTTGATCTACCCATTGACGAGTCACAGAGTCTACAACGTAGAGTACGCCGAGTTTATGTGTGCCTGGAGCCTTCTTGAAGTGTGTATAGATTTTTCCAACGAGAACAGACTCGGACTGTAATCGATTAGTACAAAGTCGGTCTATTGAATCGGCATGAGTTGACGTACTTGTATGTTGGCTGTACATAGGGTTGTGAGAGCATTGATCTTTGACCCAGATACGCCAGGCGGTTTGAGGTGCAGCATAGACTGCAGGACAGCGTCCAGCTCAGCTACGGCTGAGGACATTGTGCGATATGCCACCTGTTACAGTACGATTCCAAGATACTGGTAGGCGAGATAGTCACGTCGTGTATAGAAACTGTACAGTTTGTACAAAGAAGAGAAGGGTCCTCTTCTTGAGATAGTATCTTCTAGTCCTCTTATAGTGGCATGCGAAGCATTCACTTTGTACTGCTAGCCACGCCTTGATCTTTCAACAGGGACGGTGATACTACAGCGCAGTACAGACCGAGTGCAGGCGGTGGTGGGTGTGAATCAAGGTCGATGCTTGTTCCAATGCAACTACGCGACAATGGATCGTGGCAGTCTTTGTCGCGCAGTGAACTTGTGGTGCTAAGACAATTACAAAAGATCGGAGGACGATATCGCGAGACGCAGGTTCGTACTGAGGTGTGAATTCTGATGGGTTGAGATCTTGAGAATGATAGTAACAATGTTAGAAGAGATTTTGATCTGATGCGGGTTTTTGAGATGGCAGTCGCAACCGGGACAAACTCTAATCACGTGAATTGCGGAGGCAAAGAGCAACTCTGCCCACTGTGTTTGCTCGGTCCCCGTTGGTTCGGGCAAGCTCGTCTCAAATTGACGTCGGAGCTGCAGAAGCAGGAGCCACTTCCCCCGAAGCTTCAGGATTACGAAAAAAGAGGTGCTTCTCCTTGACCTTATCATCCAACAACCTTCCTTCACCATCCAGCCTTCGCTTCCCTTTCACTTGTGCTTCGATTCTTGTCTTCGTATTCAGCACTTTCAATGGCTTCTTCTCTTCGATTGGGAAGCTCTTTGCTTCGCTCTTCCACGGCTCTATCGCGACCCGTTGTTCAGCAAGCAGCATATACTGGTGTGCGATGCGCCAGCTCAAAGGTATACTATATGACGCTATGCTGGTACTTAGATACTGATTCCTCTGATAGTCGCTTAAAGAGACCTTCGCAGACAAGCTCCCTGGCGAGATCGAGAAGGTCAAGAAGCTGAGAAAAGAATATGGCAGCAAAGTACTAGGAGAAGTCACACTTGATCAAGTCTATGGTGGTGCTCGAGGTATCAAGTCTTTGGTCTGGGAGGGTTCGGTCCTTGACTCTGAGGAGGGTATCCGATTCAGAGGCAAGACTATTCCAGAATGCCAGGAACTTCTTCCTAAGGCTCCCGGCGGAGAGGAACCTCTACCTGAAGGTCTCTTCTGGTTGCTCTTGACCGGAGAAGTCCCATCCGAGCAACAGGTTCGCGACCTATCTGCCGATTGGGCTGCCCGATCTGACCTACCAAAATTCGTTGAAGAGCTCATCGACCGCTGCCCAAATGACCTCCACCCTATGGCTCAGTTTTCAATCGCCGTGGTTGCGTTGGAGCAAACCTCTGAATTCGCCAAGGCATATGCAAAGGGTGTCAACAAGAAAGAGTACTGGGGCTACACATTTGAGGACTCTATGAACCTCATTGCCAAACTCCCAACCATTGCCTCGAAGATCTACCGAAATGTCTACAAGGATGGCAAGGTTGCTGCGATCGAGAAAGACAAGGACTTTTCTTACAACTTGGCTAACGGTCTTGGCTTTGCTGACAACCATGACTTTGTTGAGCTGATGCGTCTGTACATGACCATCCACTCCGACCACGAGGGCGGCAATGTCTCCGCTCACACCACTCACTTGGTCGGCTCAGCTTTGAGCTCTCCTATGTTGTCCCTCGCTGCCGGTCTGAACGGTCTTGCCGGTCCACTCCACGGATTGTAGGTGTCAACCAATGTACAACTGTTGTCGAACCGGAAACTAACATGTCTTACAGGGCAAACCAAGAAGTCCTCAACTGGTTGACAAAGATGAAGCAGTCGATTGGCGATGATTTGAGTGATCAGAAGATTAAGGATTACCTCTGGGACACTCTGAACAACGGCCGCGTTGTTCCAGGTTACGGCCATGCTGTCCTTCGAAAGACTGATCCTCGATACATGTCTCAGCGAGAGTTTGGTCTCCGAAAACTGCCAGAAGATCCTATGTTCAAGCTCGTCTCACAGGTCTACAAGATTGCTCCAGGTGTTTTGACTGAGCACGGAAAGACCAAGAACCCATACCCTAACGTCGATGCTGTAAGTTGGCCGTCACATTCACAGAAACCTTACTAACATGTGTCAGCACTCTGGAGTCCTCCTCCAGTACTACGGATTGACCGAGGCTAACTACTATACCGTCCTCTTTGGTGTCTCCCGAGCCCTTGGTGTACTACCACAACTCGTCATTGACCGCGGTCTTGGTGCACCAATCGAACGACCAAAATCCTTCAGCACAGAGGCATATGCCAAGCTGGTTGGAGCTTCTTTGTGAACGTAGCGGAGAGTGCTTGTTGTAACAGGTCTCTGCGCATACATTAATTTACTAGATTCGTTGAGGCTATAGGGAGCATGAATTTGGATGTCGGTTCTGATCCACAGAAGAGCACTAGCTTTGTACTGTGAATATTCGAAATTAGCGAGCGATGGTTATGCTAAGTAGTGTCACGAAGTACACGCAAATGTTGTTCTGTGACCTTCGTATCCCGTACCGCCAGTATAATGAGACCTCAATATGACGGCTAGTGCCCGTCTTGAGGTTTGTTGAGCACTGTCGGGCTGGAGCCTCAGCAGCCGCTAGTCAAATCGGCGAGAATATTCAGGCATGCCACACGAATGGGGCTTTGCAGAAAAGGAGCGTTCCGGTCTTCAACAGGCCATATTTAGCTTTCTCTCGGATAGCTGACTCTCATCCAAAAGTTACGGAGTACTTGTAACAGGTTGGAAATATCCAAAATCGGACATTTTCTCGATACCCGAATACTGTGCTTGTTGCCGGTTTACAGATCGCACTGCAGCTTTCATTGTTTGTCGTTGTTTGTGTTTCTTCCATCCACTACTACCATATCCCCCTCGTCGCAACCTAACGTGTGTGCCAGCTTGTGCAACAGGAAGTCTCGCAATCTCAAGCAGTATCCCGTGTCTCGATTGCAGAGCAAAGTAGGCGACAAGACCTTACAACTCCCTTGGTCAGGGTAGACAATACACATATTAGGTACCCACGATGTCCAACCAGAACCTCCTGACAACCCCGGCGCCGGGCTACATCGAGAAGAAGCCTGTGAAATTCAGCAATCTCCTGCTGGGTGCTGGTTTGAACATGTTTGAAGTCACAACGCTCGGTCAACCTCTAGAGGTCGTCAAGACCACTATGGCTGCGAACCGAAGCGACGGCTTCGTCAGCGCCATGTCGCGGGTATGGGGTCGAGGTGGTATTCTCGGATGTAAGTCAAATATCACAATCAACGTGCTGAGCACACTCTAACACATTACCTGCAGACTATCAGGGCCTCATCCCCTGGGCCTGGATCGAAGCCTCAACAAAAGGCGCCGTCCTCCTCTTCGTCGCATCCGAAGCTGAATACCGTGCGAAAACCTTTGGCGCAGGAAACTTCACAGCCGGCATCACAGGCGGTATGGTCGGTGGTCTCGCCCAAGCCTACGCTACAATGGGTTTCTGCACATGCATGAAGACGGTGGAAATCACACAGCACAAACTCGCTGCTCAGGGCGTCAAGCCACCGAGTACATGGGCGACATTCGCGAATATCTACCAAAAGGAGGGTATCAGAGGTATCAACAAGGGTGTCAATGCCGTCGCTATTCGACAAGTCACGAACTGGGGTTCACGATTTGGTCTCTCTCGACTTGCTGAGACTGGTATTCGCAGGATGACCAACAAGGAGCATGGAGAGAGGTTATCTGGCTTGGAGAAGATCACTGCTTCAGCTCTGGGTGGTGGTTTGTCTGCGTGGAATCAGCCGATCGAGGTCATTCGTGTGGAAATGCAGAGTAAGAAGGATGATCCGAATAGGCCGAAGAACTTGACGGTCGGCAAGACGCTGAGGTATATCTATGGTCAGAGTGGTCTTAGGGGTCTCTACCGAGGTGTTGCGCCTCGAATTGGTCTTGGTGTTTGGCAGACCGTGTGCATGGTACGTTTTCTCGCTTTCATTTCCTCCCTGTACCAGTAACTAACAACTTGCAGGTTGCGCTCGGCGATATTGCTAAGGAGTGGGTCGAAAAGGTGACTGGAGAAGCTGTTACTGCTAAGCACTAAAAGCGTGGCGTTGGAGGGAACACAAACAAAAAAGCACATCTTATTTTACCAGCTCCAGTGTTGGGACTCTTCTATGTTCTTTCTCTGTTAGGGAATGGTTGATACCGGGCAACAACGGTGTTGATGTCGATTTGCATAGACTAGGGTGAGAAAGTAAAGGCGCGGCTATGGCATGGTGTTATTCGGAGTGCACGAAAATATAAGCTCTATTGGAGCACGCTGAATTTTCTGGTGTGTTGCGTGTGTTGCCCACAGATCCGACTATCTAGATCTATCGTCCCCATATATGACATGTCCATCGCTACCATGGCTCTGCTGCCTCGTCAGAAACCTTCGGTCTCTTGATCGAGAAGGGACTCTCAGCTGTTCTAGATCTTGCAGCTCCTTGGGACTGCCGTTCTCCTCGTCCCAGATACCATCTTTTTCTAGTCTCGCTACGTTCTTCTCCTCTTCCTTAGTATCCCTGTCTGCTTCCGACTTCTCCACCTCCACGCTTTCATTACTCTTCTTCCCCCATCCGCCTGACCATCCAATCCACCCTGTCTCGTGAGGTCCTCTCGCCATCACAACAAGAAAGCTGAATGCTACAACCGCGACACCCAAACTCCCACTACTTGTCCACCCTCCATATCTCTCGTATATTTCGTTGCCAGCACTAGTACCCGTGATTTGTCCCAAGAACGTACACAGCATGAACACAGTATTGACTCGATTTCTCGCGTCTGTAGCCACGCCGTAGATAGCGCTTCGATTGGCGATTTGTGTGATTTGTAGACCTGCGTCAAGACCGAAAGCTTGTATTATGGGGCCAGCGAGGGTTAATGTGCCTGTATATGTGCCTATGCAGCAGCCGATGAGATTGACCCCTTCGCCGACTAGGACTGAGTAGAGTGGTATCTTGAGGGGTTGGATGAGGTATTTTGCGTACAGAGGGCCTAGGAATATGCCTGCCACACCAATGAGTCCGAACAGGCCGATAGGGGTGGGAGGCAGTGAATACGGTGGTGATGAGAGGAGGAAAGTCAGTGTTGTCCAGTAGCATGTAAAGGCGCCGCTTGTACAGAAGCTGATCAGACCTGCTTGCACCAAAACTGGGTGGCGGAATGCCAACTGTAGGATGCTGAAGAGCAGCTTCGGGTACTCCTTTACAAAAGCTTTGAGGCGATTGCCTGGTGGAAGGGGGTTGGTGCTTGGATATGCCGGCATGAACAGGTACAAGGCGATGAAGATGGTGTATTGAAGGCATAAAGCGATCCAGTAGATGTTGCGCCAGGCTGTGTATTGTGCTACCACGCCAGAGAGGATGCGTGCTATAACGATACCGAGGAGGTTGCCGGAGACCACGATGCTCAGTGCCAAAGGGCGTCGATTCGGTGGTGCCAGTTCACCCACTAGAGGAAGCATGATCTGTGGTGTGACTGTCGTGATGGCAGTTACGAAGGTGATGGCAAGAAAGATGGTGAATGAAGACGTGACGCACAGCACTATCCTGTGAAGTTGTCAGCTTGGCGAGCCTCATTGTTGGAAGGTGGTCGTGTAGGTATGAGTGGTTGGTAGTGACCGAAAGACTTACCATAATGTCGCCGTGAAGAAGACAAGAATGAGGGTGTATGGTCGTCGAGGAAACAGATCGCCCAAGGGACAGATGAGCAGCAGTCCAACAGCATAACCGCTCTGGGCTAGTGTAGGAACTCGCGAGACCTCGATATAGGAGACATTGAAGTCCCTAGCCAATATGTTCAGGATTGGATGGTTGTAGTACAGGTTGGCAACGGTGAACCTGTACAGCGAATGAGCGTGCTGTAGTATATACGGGACGTGCTTACTAACGCTCCAGCAAAAGCAAAGAGCACATTTTGAAATAGCGAGAACTGAGGTGGACTATTAGGGTCATATCTACACCATGGTGGTGTCCAAAATATCTTCCCAAGCAGGATTCGTGTTTTGCTCGTTGGTATTGGGTTGTTCTTGTCCTCGGGGGAGATAATGTCCGGTGAGCTCGGACTGGGTGAATCGTTGGCAGGTGTCAATGTGCCTTTTGGTGCCTGTAAGACATCGGCATCATTTGTTCTCATTTTCCGGGAAGAATTCGTCGAGAGTATCGCAGCACACTATCAAGAGAGAAGCCATCTGTGTTCGACTGCGAGTACACAGTTTGTGGTGTTAGATTCACTCACTAGTGGTCGGAATAAAAGTGTCCGTCCATATCCCGAAGCGTCGGGCCCACTCCGATGTGAAGCGGATGGCAGCTCTTCTTTCCGAAACTTGAAAGCTATACACTTTAGTCTCTCATCTCAAAATACTGTGTTGTGAGAATGTGAAGCAACGCACATATACATGAGGAGAACAGCATCAAAATTCCGCTGTCACGTGGGAGAGGCTGAAAGTTCTATATTGAGCAGACTTAGAGACCACGCGTCTATACTTGTTTATCTAAACTCTGAGCAGCACACATCTTGGTATACAATCCGTTGAGATCCAGTAACTCAGTATGTGTACCCATCTCCACTATCTTACCTCCCAGGAAAACACATATCACGTCGGCATCCCGTATAGTTGACAATCTGTGAGCAACAGCAAACGTAACCCTACCACCTTGACTCGACGCTTCGGTAAGAGCCGCTTGGACTATCTTCTCGGACTCGGTGTCTAAAGCACTGGTGGCCTCATCCAACAGCAGGACTTTAGGGTTCCTGATCAAAGCTCGGGCGATAGCGATACGTTGTCTTTGACCGCCAGAGAGCGAAAGACCACGCGAGCCGCACATCGTCGATAATCCTTCAGGCAAAGACGATATGAACTCCCAGGCATTGGCCTGCTTGCATGCATCGATGACCGCCTCTTCAGTAGGTCTCTGCGATGCGTCATTGTTGGGATCACCTAGCGCGATATTCTCGCGAACTGTATCCTGATACAAGGTTGGCTCTTGCTGAACAAGACCAATGATCGATCTGTACAAGCGTGGCGACTGTGATGCTATATTCGAGGCCACTTTCGAACTGTCCAGGGTAATCATGCCGGTAACAGGATCGTAGAAACGCTCCAGCATTGCCACAATCGTACTCTTACCGCAACCCGATGCTCCAACGAGAGCCACAAATTGCCCGGGAGAAGTCTTTAGTGAAACACCACGTAAGACTTGTGCATCAGGTCGAAGAGGGTAGGAGAACTTGACATCGTGCAACGTTAGTGCTTGCTGGTCGTCAGGTGAAGGACCGTTGTGCTTGTTTTCAAGCGTTTCGCTCATGACAGGCTGTAACTTTCGTATCCAGAAGATGTAGTTCGCACCACTCTTAGCTTTCGTGATACTGGTGCTCCAGCTGAAGAATTGAGATGCTGCTTGACCACTGAAATAAGTACCGACAAACGTAATGTAGAACTGCTTCTGAGTAATTTCACCATTCATCAGTAAGGTGCAACCATACCAAAATCCTAGGGCCAAGAAGAGGAACTCCACGCATTGTGTCAAGGAGAACCATATGTATATGTGCAGCACCTGGGAAATAGTCTTCCGAACGACATCTCGTAGTCTCTCCTCGAAGTGCTGCAAGGTTGTCTCTTCAAGAGCTAGAGACGAAACTGTTCTGATGTTAGTGACTGCCTCTCCTGCGAGAGCTGCACTGCTAGCATAGCGCTTGGAATTGTCATTCTGCATCTTCAAATCAAGCCGCATCCTGATAATGCCCGACACGACAAGTGGTGGCAATCCAGCAAAGACGACGACCAGTCCGAGTTTCCACGAATATGCGATAGCAAGAGAACAACTAGCCAGCAAGTTCACAAGGCTCACGAAAATCAAGGCGATGTTGAAGCCCATAAGTTCGGTGATCGCTTGCGGATTGGACGACAACCGACTTGTAATAGCACCCACAGTATTTTCTTGTCGATCGAAGAAACGCATGTCTTGTTTCAACACCGAATCAAAGAGTTCTCGTCGGTATCGGTGCGTCATCTCTTGCACGACAGTGTTCGTAGACCAACCCATCATCCCATAGCAGAACAGATTGCCGAGCGCGACGACGAAGAACATCAACGCGAAGAAGTTGCCCCGATCTGTACGCTGTGGTTGAGGAAGTAGAAATACATCCAGAAGATTGGAGAAGAGGAGCGCTTGAGCCGGATACGTAGCACCTCCAATGATGCAGCCAATTATCGTAATGATATAGGGTATGGCGAGGGTTTGCTGCTCGATGATAAGTTTATATACTACTTGAACCATGCTGACAGGCTTTTGCAAGTCGTAATTGTCCCGATCCTTTTCGGCCTCTACTCTCTGAACATCGTGGCTAGGGATCTTGGTGAGTGTCTTCTCGAGTCCGAGGCTATGCGATCCTGATCTCGAAACCGAGTCTTCTTCGTCTTCGTCGTCAGTGTCTTGCTCAGCCGCTTTGCCCAGATCCTGTATCTTGACCAACTTTGCATATGCACCGTCTTTAGCCAACAATGACTCATGTGTGCCTTGCTCGATGATGCGACCTTTCGACAATACAACAATGTTGTCGGCTGATTTGATGGTGGCTAGTTTGTGAGCGATAACGATTGTTGTACGTTGCTTTGCAGCTTTGTCCAGTGCATTCTGTACGACACCCTCTGAATGCGGATCTAACGCACTGGTGGCCTCATCCAACAGAAGGACTGCTGGCTGTGAAATGACACTGCGGGCAATGGCGATACGTTGTTTCTGTCCGCCAGATAGCAAACCAGCACGCTCTCCGCATTCCGTGTCATATCCCTGAGGCAGCTCAGAAACGAAATCATGAGCATTCGCAAGTTTGCATGCTTCGATGACCAAGTCCCGTTGTTCGGCCTCGGGTGCATGCTCCCACCTGGTACCCACCAGTCCGTGTTTTACATTTTGGAAGACAGTGCCCATGAAAAGGGTTGGCTCTTGTTGTACTAGCCTGATGTTGGTCCTGAGCCATCGTGAATTCAAGTCCCTTATCGGCCGACCATCTAAAGTAATGCTGCCACCATCTGGATTGTACCACCGTTCTAGTAGAGCAACAATCGTGCTCTTTCCGGATCCACTGGCGCCCACGAACGCTGTAACCTTACCAGGAGGTACTTCCAACGTGAAGTCGTGTAATACAGGTGCATTTGGCCGTGTGGGATAAGTGAAACTCAAGTTCTTGAGTTGTATATACCCTTCAATCTTCTCTGGTTTGTCCCCATGCTGTGACAATGGATCGATTTCGGAGACTCGATCAATAGCTTTAAAAAGTACAGATGCTGCTGAAGTCGCGCTAGTGAAAGTGATGATGTTTGGGGCGAGTTGAGTCAGACTTGTCGCTGCAACGACAACAGAGAAAAGCACTGTGACCACAGTTCCAGGGGTTGCAATCTCCCCAGAGTTGTACATACGAAGACCTTGCCAAAACGCAAGGGCAAACCCAGCATAGACGAAAAAGAACTCGCTGCTAAAGAGAACCATATAGATTGGCGACTTTTTATCCCCTACTCGATGTGCTTTCTGTAAGAACTCATCGTATTTGGCTACCAGTTTTGGTCGAGCCCAAAAAGCGTGGACAGTTCGCATGCTTGCGATAACGTCTTCTGCGAATGATCCGGCTTGGCCATATGTGTTTAGGATTTCGGTCTCGTAACCTGCATCAATACCTGCTGTTATTCCGGTGACGATGATGATGGCAGGAACTATGCAAACGGTGACACCTGGACAGCAGCCTGTTAGCTTGTGTCTGCCAATACAGATATTACACACCTGTCAGCTTCGCGTTGGTCACAAAAGCAACAATGAATGCTGCAGTGAAGGCCGAGGCGGATTGTATGGTCAGGCCCAACTTCTCTCCAATGCCCTGCTGAATCATGTTGCCGTTTGTGACAATCTGAGCTGACACTGAACCATGATTGCCTTCATCGAAAAATGCTACATCTTGAGAGAGTGTAGCTCTCAGATATCGGCGTCTGAGTGATCTTGTGATCCTTGTGGAAGAGACGGTGTAGCCCACAGTATAGAAATACGTCAAGACAAACCTAGCAATGGCTAGATACACGAAATAGAGAGCGTACTGGTTGATCGATCTGCGAAAGTCGGCTCTCTCGCCAGATATAGTGAAGTTCTGGACAGATGTAACAAAACCACCAAACACGACATTGATCAATGCCAAAGAGGCGCCAGAGGCGATGGCAGCCAGGGCACCGATTCCATTGAGTATCCAATCCCATTTATCAGAGTATGCGAAGATTCTGAGGTAGTCCTTGAAGCCAGCACTAGGTTCTTTTGTCTTTTCATCCTGCTGGTCCTGGTCAATATCAATGGCTTGTGGCTTCTCGTTAAGTGGCGTGATCTCTCGCTCGGTCATCGTTGTGGCTATAGTTTGTGTGAATGCATCGAGAAGTGGCACAGAATGACAAACAACTATATACTCATTGATGTCTCGATCGTGTTAGTGAGCTATTCTCGAAAAAAAAATTCCGCCTGATTCGCTATGCGCGGCACGCGTGGTCAACGATGGTGCGAGCTTATGATAGTACTAAAAACGTATTCGCATGTCTGAAATACGGAAGCTCAAGCCATCCCACGAGTCCTCTCTCTTGGCTTACTGTACTTGTATCAGTGGCACCTGCGAATAGGGTAATTGCTCGAGACCTGGAAGACGATGATTCTTGCATTTTTGTTTCGCCCTATCGGCTACATTCTCAAAATGTATGTGCATACAACCACTTTCAAACTTCACCGCAAAAAGAGTGAAAACTTTGCCGGATTTCAAGCAGCTCCAAGCTTGTTTTAGCGGCGTTCATCACAAGGAGAGAACGATGACGTTCAGTTGCGGGAGTGGCAGATTGGGCCAAGATGTGGACTTGAGAGGCTGTTCATTCTCATACTCACTGTGGTTCGTATCTTGTTCACAAATCTACTATTCGACTTCGGTTCCACGTTCGGCTGCTTGTACCGAGCTTGGTTTCGCCCAGCTTGAACAGGCGTGCACCACCAAGCACGAACGGCGTAAGAGAAGAATTCCACAACCACAAATAAGCTCTATGATTGGTTGGTTTTCCGGGGCCCACGGGAAGCGAACGACCGATTCCTCAACAGCCTTCCCAGGCAACATAGTTGATGCGCAAGGTCAAAATTCGGGAGTGCGATCGCAAATCCAGCCACGGACGACTTATGACCATGAAATGGCCCCGACTTGACCAGCAAGGCCGCGGGTAGTTGCAGGACCCGAACCGCATCGCGATCATGGAAGCGGATGCTGGAAGTAAGATTGAAACAAATACATCAGGTCCTATCCTCCCTAAAGCGGTATGAACATCTTGTTATCGCTGTAGCTGGAGTTGCGAACAGAACGACAGCTGACAGCATGGCATTCCTAGTGCGAGAATTGTCGCATACGGAAGGTGCGTTCTGACTAGCCTCAGCAGGTACCAACTATGTTAACCATATACTGTAGATCCGTTGCAATCGACAGAATCCTTGCTCCAACTGCGAGACTTCTGGCATCAACTGTAGACCAGCGGCAAAGACTACAGGGCAACGATCAAGAGTACTGTTGTCTGCCAATTACGAGAAGCAGATCGAACAGATCAACGACAGACTTACCGGCATCGAAGATGCAATCAAAACTTTGCGCCTCACACCAGTCTCGCCAAACAACCTTCCGGAATCAGGGTTGTCGTCAGGCTCGGACGTCAGCCGATCCCAAATAACGACACCCACTGCATTTGAAGGAGCCTCCTCGTTCACAAGTCAAGCTATTCAGGCCAGTCAGGCCGCTGGTCGTTCCTTAGAGCGACTCTCAGGCTCTGCCGAAGTCGTTGATGCGCTGAGCTCCTTACGGAATCTTGTTAAACCAGCTGGCTTTGGCATAATCAAGCACGATCTGCGACTGGGCACTAGTGTACTTCCTAGAGCACTGCCTGAAATTCAGCTTTTACCTGCACAGTTCGTACTCACTCTGTTACAGGAGTTTAGGACGAGAATATCTGCTCTATTCCTGGCTTATGCATTTAGGGATCACAAACAGCTCGAAAGGTTATGTCAACAAATCTACTTTCCTACCGAACCAGTGACGCTGGCCTCCTTGACCTTAATGAATGGAATGATTTTCTACATGATCAAGGAACTTCTATTCGAGGGTAGCTATGGAGCTTGCAAGGACTATGATTTGAAAGCATATCATGATCAAGCCGAACGTAATTTCCACCTTGGTGTTGAGACGTACGAGGTGTTTACACATCCAAGTTTAGAGAGTACAAAGGTCCTAATGCTCGCGATGCTGAAAGCTCAAGAAGAAGGAAAGCCGTTGTTAGCATGGACATTTGCCTCGACAGGATGTAGGCAAGTTCTTAATCTGGGATATCATAGAAAGGCCTCGTTGAGGAACGATCCCGTTGAACTCGCCGAGGACAAGCGGCAGGTATTCTGGACATTTTACATGGTCGATAAGAATTTGTCTCTGAATATGGGCTATTCTTCGACTCTGCAAGACAATGACATTGACGCTGAGTACTTTTGCTGCTCGTCAGACCCTGGTATTGCACCTTGGGACAAAGCGGCCTTGGCCATGGTCGAAATATCTAGATTGCAAGGCTTAATTTACGAGAAACTATACTCGCGGCAAGCTCTAGAGACCTCACCCGAGGTCAAAGCGCAGGTCATCAATGAGTTGTCCCCGCAATTGCAGAGATGGTATGAGCAGTGGATCAAGGTGAGACTACCAGAATCTGGACGGGACAACTTTCTAACATGTGCAGGTTGATTCGAGTTCATCATATTTGCCTACGTTCTTCTTCATAATCTACGGAGCGTTTGACGTTGTATACTACTCAGTGGTAACAACGATGCATCGCGCTGCAACACCAAGCAATACCTCTGTCGAGATTACGTCAGCATGTTACGAGGCTGCGAAGAAAAGTCTACAAGCACATCTTCACTTCTTCCCATCCTTCAAGTCGTATGGCGACGCAGAAATTCTGGGCAGCTATGTCGCCTGGATCCTACTCTACGCATCGTGGACACCATTGATCGTGGTTTTTCTGCATGCAATCGCATCGTCGAATCGAGAAGATGTCAGATTGCTAGAAGAAACTGAAATTTCATTGGAACCGTTGAAAAATCTCAATCAGCAATCAGAGCAAGTTTATTGCTTATGCAAGATTTTCTGCAAATTAGCCAAGGCATTCGTTGAGCGACGTTCGATTTTTGTCGGATCGTACAATCCACAACAAGATATGGTGGTTATACCACAACAAGACCTGCAGGAGTTTCATCATAACCTTCCAACAGGAACTCAATCAATGCCTATCACACAAGCTGTGAATTGGGCCGAGGCGCCCGACCCTCAAGTGCCGAACTTCGATGGTTCAGAAATGGATGATATGTCGATGTTTCTTGGAAACTGGTTTGGCAATCAGCCAGTCTCTAATCTGTGGAACATGGACTTTACAGAGAATCTAGAGTGAACAATTGGTAACGTAAGAAAATAAGATACGACCACCACTGGCAGTTTGATTGGTCTCTCGACCTGGTCAAGAAGGTCAACTCACACACTCTGCAAAACCACTGTGAACTTTTGTTCGTTAGTCGAGAGACGGCCTACAGAGGCTGGCAGCGCGGGATGTGCAGATTGAACAAGGATACGCGATTGCACGAATGTGACACAAACGTTGTGGTATGGAACGCATCAAATCGAATTGAACAACGCGAACATAACGCGTCATGTCGCGCGCGAAAGATGCGAAGCGAAGCGTATTTTTCGTACCTCGTACTGACAATACAGGTAGAGAGACGTGCTCGATGATGAGATGCTCAAGAAAGACAGACTGGTGGCCTGAGAAATCGTGGAGGCTCAAAAAGTCCTGGGAGTCGGCAAGTGGGGCCTTGTAGTGAGGGGGTCGAAGCAAGGGCCTTTCGTGATCATTGCTACGTGTTCTTTAGCTTGCATTTCTTAACCGGTGAGTTCCTGGATCCGCGACTCTACTCTCGAGTCGATGCACTTCTGAGCTACACAGCAGACCTTTCGTGGTGTTGTGCACGCAAGTCGGTAGAGAGCGTATTTGATGAAATCAATGTAATGTGTGTTGACGACTGCGAAAGCCACGGCGAGAATTTACACCGGTCGAGAGAAAAGTATGGCAAGTCGGCGAAAATGGTTTCCGAAAGCTTACCAAGGCTCTTTTGGGACCTGGCAAGGCTTAGCACAAGGCGAAACAGTTCGTGAACTTTTAGCGCGTCAGTCGCAAATCCGACTCATGCGCGTTGTCGTAATCATCTGATAGGTGGAGAATCGACGAAAGTCCCGCACCATCCCGTAATGGTTGTATGACTCAGGCAAGTCATGAGGACGGAAATAGTGAGGGTGGTGTTGGAACTTGGAAGATACCTTCATACGAGATCTTCACTGAAGAGAAGGCACAAGCAGTTCATATGTAGCGAAGCAAGCGGTGCGAAGATAATGCAAGGAGGATTGAAGAATTAGTATTGCTGATTAATTGACGGGGAATCGCTAGCTCAGACTTAGAATAGCACCATGTAATAGAACGGAGCCCAATGAAGCAGTCATTGGTTTCCCATGCCAAGCATAACAGGCAGCACCCTAAGTTGTACAGGCGCAGCAGTATTGTAACTCACGTCTCTCGCACCCTCCAGCAGCTCTCACTCTCGTCTTTCAAGCAATCTGATTTCCAGCGGATCGAGACACCTGGCAACTCGCATCTGGGACGTCTTTCGGCCGGCACTGCCCTGATAAACCCTCGCATCTACGCGCCATCTTATCAGCCGGTTGAACTGCACTCCCGCTGCACATTTGTTCAGAACACATTGCCTTTTGGTCGCCCATCCAACTCATCTATCATTCGCTCTTCCATCAGACTCTTTCCCGCTCCACGGCCATACAACGCTTGCTAGCTACTCCACTATCGTCCAAGGAGATTCGCCACCGCTGGCACTTTGGGAAATCTATACTGTATACCTGGATACAAGAAAGACTTTCAACACAATACCAATTGGCCCATCAGCCGACCAGGATCTACGACCACTCGTGAGTACTAGCTGTCAGCATTTCAACAATCTTTTCGACGTTCGGTATTGGTATTCCTAGTCTTGTTCCAGAGGGAGTCAACTGCCATAGGGTGAGTCACAAGCCATTACTCACCTGGCCTACCACTCACAGACTAGACAGTTCAAAACTCCCTCTTCTCTTAAACCAACATGGCCTCCATTGCTATGCCCCCACCATCTTTGGCTCATCGACGTCCCAAGTCTGCGTCATGTTCTCGTAAAATGCAACTTCCCAAAGCCGCTACCTTCCAGCAACCATCCTCACCATCTGCTGCAGACGACCCTGTGCTCTCTGTCCCTCATCTCAGTAAGAGAACTACAACCTACACGCGCTCATCCTTCGCCAGCTGGCTCTACAGTGGACGTGAAGCTGCCGCAGACGCTCTTGCAGACTTTGAACAAACGTTCTCAGGCGCTCGTGGTACGCGACCAGCTACTCGTCGTCGCTCAGCTCGTGATCGTGAGGACAGTCTATTAGCTAAGGCTCAACATCGCCCGTCGTCACCCGTCGACTCCGGTATTGGTTCCTCCATAGGCTCACCCTCTGAGAAAAACCTGAGCAACTCTTTAGAGAAGGCTCTAGACCTGGTGTCCAATAAGGACAGCGCTCTTGGTGAATCAGTTTCAGCATCAGTCGTGGGATCAAGCGAGTTATTTGTTCAAGGTTGGCTTAGACGATGCCTAATAATTTGCTCTGTCGGTTCTAACTCCATTCTTGCAGACGCTAACTCTACCAAAGTCGTCCGTCACCGCAGGTCCTCAATCGAGTCCCTCAAGATCATCAGATATCCACTTCCGTCCAACAAAAAAGATACACAACCTCTGCTCGGCCACTTTGCTCGACGACAACTATACAAGAGACTCTTTGCTCCCCTTCTTCAAGAAGCTCGATTTGAAGAGTTCCATCCCATTGTCGCTGGTGCAAGAAAGAACAAAAACCTTAGATGTCTTCGGGACATTGAACAATCGTTGATCAATCAACCTGTGGTGAGCACAATTTATCCTCTTCTGGAAACAAGATCTAACCAAACACGCAAGACACTTGTCGTCACACCCGCAAAGTACAGAGCCTTTGGCGAGCTCACAGTTCAGCTCGTCGTCGATACCTACCAACATCTCTCCGAGCTTGAACAACGACGAGCAACTGATCGCGCCTACGACAACGGATACTTCCTTGACTTGGTTCAACAAGTCCAGCAACTTGCTGCACACATTGGCAGCTCAAATACTTCGGTCGAGGACGGCTCTGCTCCGACTGTCGACGACGAGATTACCTTGGAAGGCGGCCTAGCAGAATCCGGTAACCTTGCAGAACTTGTGCGGTGGAAGAACGGAGAGGGTATCTCTCTACGTACTGGTCTGCCTTACGTTCCAATGGCGGGCATGAAAAGATCAGCTTCAGGCATGGATGAGGCTAATGCTGACCTCTCCATGGCTCGAAGGAAGAAGGGTGTCGAATACCAGGTCCAACACCTACCTTGCTCCATCGAAGACTGCGAAAAGGTCTTCACTCGCCAGTGCGACTTGTCCAAGCACGAGAAGACTCACAGTCGTCCTTTCAAATGCGACGAGCCGGGATGCAAGTATGTCACACATGGGTTGCCAACCCTGAAAGAGCTGGAGCGCCATAAGAACGACAAACACAATGGCAAGGCCACCATGTACAAATGCCATTACTGCGAGTTCAACACAAAACGTGAGAGCAACTGCAAACAACACATGGAGAAAAAGCACGGCTGGAACTACCAACGATCAAAAGGCAAAGACAAGGCCGTTGAGCTTACTCCTGCTGCCACTCCTCATACACAGGCCGCAGGATATGGATCCGTGCTACCCAGCCCTGTCAGCCACACCATGTCATGGGACAACCATAGCCCATCGACTAACAGCATACATGGATCACCATATCAACAGCCTGTTCACAATCTGAGTCCTGCTGGCCAACTGTATCCAAATACCCTGTTCCCGCATCGCAGCTTCGGTCAATCTGCCCAGCTGCAACTCGATACAGGCTTTGGTGTGGATGCATTCACCGCTGGTGCTTATCCTACACCCTCGACTGGTGTTCCACATAACTTTACTACACCACGAACGCCTGCTTACAGCAACATCACTGCTTCTCCAGCAAATGTCGTAATGCATGGCGTTTACAACAATCAGTTTGTCCAGCCAGACATTCCGACTCCAGAATCATCACAATCTCGACACCTTTCCAACCCACCTGAGGTCATGATGAACGGCTTCGACACCTCTATGGGGTTCGAGAGTAACATGGACATGGATTACGCTATTGTTGATGACGGCTTTGGTATGCCTCAGGGTGATTTTAACCTCTTCGATACCACAAACCCCTCTGCCTTTACCCATAATGGAGCTGGAGATCTTACATTGTTCCCGACTCAGCCGCAGATGCAGATGCAGATGCATTCGGTTGACACGCATTTCTCCGAGTCTCAATTTGAAGTCTTCAATGATAATTCATGGTTCGAAAACAACATGTCTCAGGAAATTGACGATCTCCTCATGGAGAACCCACAATAGTCCTGTGCAATTACCATGTGTCAATACGACAAAGGCTGGCTCTTTTTACAAACACATGAGCTTCTACAGAAGCACTTCAGGCTGGACCGACTCCTTAAACATCAAATTACAGGAGCAACGGCGAGTCTCAAACGACGATGACGACAAAGACGACGATATGATAGCAGGCGAAACGGTTGGATGATTTTAATAGTGATGGAAGAGCAGGTTTTAGTTTTCAGCTTTGATTCGCTGCTAGGATGCGCAGGATGTTTAGGTCGTGGTTTGAATGCATCTTTGTCGACAAGATATACTAAACGTGTGCGAAATGCGACGTTTCGGACAAGATGCAGGATTGGGATGATGATTTGCCTACGGTTATGGCGATTACAGAGGTCAGCACCTCGCAAGGATGTTTAAGAGAAGGAATGAAACGAGAAATACCAAAAAAAGACTTTAGACTCGGTTCAAAGGATTTCAATGTATTTATGTAGTATCATCATTTGAATCAACTCAATCGATCGATCAATCACTCGGGTGTTCGATATTGTCTTGTTCGTTACTAGTCTCCTCCTTGCTGCTTGCTGTTGTGAAGTCTATTCCTCGTTGTGATACTTCGAGATAAAAATTCACTGCTTGGATGGTGCGTCAGTATACTTCCCACGCTTCCTCAAGCACACTAGCTCTTTCTTCACCTTGTACAACCTTTTTACTTCACAGAAGAAAGACTCGTGGGTACGTAGAAGAAGACGTTTTTGTGTTGTACGATCAAGTCATTCAGATCATTGCGCGGCTCTAGTTTACTGTCTGACACGAAATACTCCTCTTGGTACGTATTATTCACTGTCTCAGTTCCTCGAAAGCACCAGCGCGAACGACCATGCTACTTGCCACCAAAGCTGTTGTCCCGATTAGGTCGATTGCTATCACAGAATTCCATACGTAGATAGTCTGGATCACTCTGGTTCTGTCCAAACTCATTGGAGGCTAGTGTCGCGTCATGCTTCTATCTCTGTGTGTGTGTAGTCGACATCATTTTCGATGGATGAAGAGACCGTCGCGTACTGTGATTGTAAGAGGTATTGTACTGACGAGGTTTCACAAGATTGGTACTTTTGCTGGACCTGAGTGAAGTAAAGGACTCTCATCTGGTCTCGAAGTGCTTGGAGCAGAGGGAGCTTGATTGGTTAGGTTAGCAAAGAGGAGCAGGCTCGGGAGGTCCATGGTTGATGTTGTACTTGGTGTATCTGAAGTTTAGATGATTTGTCCTTCCTACCAAAGGATAAGGGACGTATGGTCTTTATGTACCTGTGATTCATGTTGAGATCGTCGAGCAGTCACTTCACTCACTGTGCTAGTAGTGGGCAATGCATACATCCCAAAAATTTAGATGAGGTGGCACAGCGCAATCCCACGCTGGACGTACATACAATCATCGTGCCTTCCAATGTCAATGGTATAGATGTGGATTGTAACCCGAGCTTAGTTTCTTGGGCTGCTGCTATCCAGGTCTTTCAGGTCTATACACGTGACGTTTTACTGACTCGTTTCGGCACTAAATGCGAGAAAGCTTGGAACGGTTAAGATATGACATGGCTGGGACCTGGAAATGCTTAGTTGTGCGAGAGAAGCACGTCAATCGTCGCTCGAAATAGATTCATGGTGCAGTCGTATGTTACTATTGCTATGATGAGCTTGGTATCAATTGTGTTTCTATCTTGTGCGCAGAGCTTCGACAAGGCGTCGTTAAATGAACACCGTTAAGGCATCAGGGATGAGGTGTAGTACTAAAGCAGTGTGAAAGTAGGGGGATGATGGCTGCACTTCTATCTGTGAGAGCAGGACACTTCTGATGGCGCGTGCGGGTCTTCCTTTGTACAGCAAGTCTCGAGGGCCCTGTAGAGCAACGACGTTACGTTGCCCACAGCCAGCAACAGTGATTCCAAGCATACTTTCCAGACATAGTGTCAACGCAAGGAGTTCTTGAGGTTGCCAAGGAGCGTTCCGATTATGTCATGCCTCCACCTTGCTTCGCGTTCATGGTGACTTCGTCCCCTATTTGGTGGATTGCTTCACAGTGCCAGATTGACCACCAGATTCTTTAGAAGCCTCGGCCGTTGTGCCTTGTACACCAGGATATTTGTCCGCCCCTTCTGAGCCATCCGTGACAGAGAGATTGCCAGCGCCGCCTCTAGTTGTAGGTAGTTGACCACTTCCAGTTTCCTGATGAATGCGCTTGGATTTCTGGTGCTCTTCCTTGAGTTTCTCCATAAAGGTCATGGTGTGCTAGGACGTAATGAGTTGGCTAGGAGACCAAGATTCGGACAGGAGAATGTGCTCAAGTAGTGCACGTAGATGTGGTTATGATTATAGTGGAAGAGTGATGAATGGTGGTTTCGTTCCCAGGTTGAGTGTGATCTGTCTCGAGTCAGTGAGCGAGATCGCTGTTCAAATAGATGCTGCATCGCGGCTCTCAATTTCATGACGTGTAGCTTGGAAGTAGTGGCGTCTTTCAAGGCATGCCAGAAGGACTCTTGATATGCAGGATATTGTTGCTTGTTGAAAGCTTGTGTCACTATCTCGTGGTGAAATAAACTTTCATGGCAAAGCATAGCACTGATTGGTAAGGGACAGGCCGATTGGCCGTGTGGAGAAGATATTGCACGATTTGCAAGATGAACGTCCTGTTATGGAAAGAGTACGACATCAAGTAGATAGATGCTCGCAAACTGGTACCCGACTTACCCGCTGCTTTGCAACGGAGCGCGTGAGATATATTGTAGTCCGTGGTTTTGGGCGAAGTGCATGTGCTTACACTGGATTAGTAGAGCTATCACATCCATGTCATGACTTAGCCTCAACATCGTGCAACGAATCGTGCACGATTAACGTTAATACATGCCAGCATTGAAGTTGAGAAAACTTCGGAATTGACGTAGCTGAAGAGCGGATTCGCCTGAAGTTGCAGAATGAATCGATGGAGACAACGCTCGTTTGTGGCAGGCACCACCACACGTGCTTACGTAGAGCGTGTCGATCTAGACAGACAATTGGGAGCCTGAGATTCGAACAGAAGGTTCTTCAGAGCGAGTCAAAATTTGCGGCGATTGCTCACGAATGTGGTTTGAAAGAAGTAAGCCAGTTTGAAGAACACAACAATTATCTTGCTCATTCGGTAAGGCTGCATTGTGGCCTCAGGCATTAATCTTACCTTAGTCTCTCTTCCTCAGGCGGAGGTAAAAGTTGCAGCAGCGTGAATGCTTGCTTGACTTGAACTGAGACTGCTGGCTTACCATTCACTACAATATTGAAACAATCCTAGAACCTTTACGCCTTGAACTGTCAAGCATGACGACTCCCGACACACCCAAATCGTTCGAGGACATGATCCATGCTGGTAAGCTCAGCCGCGAAGATTGTGAGCAGGCCCTCTATTGCAGTAGCTGACTCTTAAATAGATCGCAATCGCAAGAAGAACGAGGATCTTGCCAAACAAATCTTTGGCCGATCAAAATCATCACAAAACGTGAAAAAGAATCAAAAAGAGAAGGAGCCCGGGTCTCCTAGCTTAGCAAGCCGCATGGGAGTGCAGAAGGTACGACAACGCAGGTCGCTCATCCAAATCACAAGAGACCAGTCACATGGACGGAGATAGTGCATGCTGACCACTACGAACAGCGACATTCTTCTAGCAATGCCACTCCTACACAAAAGAACAACCCATTCAATCCCCCGTCACGACCCTCGTCCACTACCCCTTCACAGCGCAATGCGCGTGCCAGTCGCATAGCTACCGAGATAGATAGCGGCAAGGCCAATTTTACCACCTCTAACTCGCGGGCTAATGCCTCACCCTCTGTTCCCAATGGCATGTCGCAAACGCAGCAAGGCCCTGGTTTGTCCATAAAGGGCAGCGCAGGCCCCTTCACTATCCATGCCTCGAATTTTGATCCAGGTACAACAGAAGCAGATATTGAGGCAGCTCTTTACAGTGATCTATCCGACGAAACTGGTAACAACTGCTTACAATCATGCAAACTGGTTTCCATTCGACCTCAGGTGACATTCGAAATGGTCTTCTCAGAGAAAAGTGTCGCCGATCGTATAATCAATAAATTCAACAATCTCAAAGCCGACGGTCGAATTCTGAAGGTCGAATTTGTGAGACCCGGACCGGGCAGCAGCACTAGCTCAAGGAAAGGCACAGCAGTCAATACTAATGTCGCTCAATCTATAGAGCCAGCTGTGGTCGACGACATAGCAATCGCAGGTGCAGCAGACGCAGACATAGACATGGAAGGGACGGAGGCTCCAGCTGAGTATCCTGCTACCAGTGCCTACGACCATGAAAGAGAAGCTGCAGATCGAGACCGAAGAGACCGACATGGCGATAGAGATCGAGAGGGATACAGCAGCAGGAGAGACGATCGCAGAGAAGATAGAATGCACGATGATCGCGATCGCAGACACGATGACCGTGACCGAGACCATGACCGTGTAGATGAGCGGGAAAGAGATCGGGACCGAGATCGGGAGAGGGACCGTGAAAGAGAGCGTGACAGAGAGCCAGGAAGAGAACGAGACTACGATCGCAGGGAATCTCAATCACAATCGCAACTACCAAGACCATATAATGGTTATTCACAAGCACCACCTGCCTACGGAAACGGCTTTAACAGACCACCTCGTGGCGGCAGCGGATATGGTGGTGGATACGGTGGTCGAGGCTATGGCTATCCTAGAGGAGGAGGTTACGGCTCAAGAGGCGGATACAGAGGTAGTTATGCTCGATAGGATGGGTCATACAACGTCACTCAATCGTCCGGCGATGCGCTTCGAGATTTAAGTCATTACGGCCAAAATTACAGCCATAAGTATCAAGATGCACGAAGTCCGGACTTCTACCAATATCAACATCAGCACCAGCACCAGCACAGGCGAGATACGAGACCTACGTATGGAAATCTACATACAACCGCCTCTGAAGCTGGATACCTACATCCTGAACGCCAACGCTTCGTACCAATGTCCAGGCGCGTCGACAGCGATCTCGGCTCCAATACTCCCACAGAAGCACAGATCACTCCTCCAGCTCGAATAGACGAGACCACTACTACAGACGCTACCCTAGATTTCAGCTCTGCCGATGAGCAGGACATTCAAATACACACAACCACTCCACCTCCACCTCCTTACGACGGAATCATGGACACGAAAAATACCACGAAGCAGGATTTAGATGTGCCGCAAATACAAACTGCTGCAGCAGAAATTCTTGCGGGGTATATCAACGATAGTGCTAGTTTGAGTGGACTTTTTCACAATGAGCGGAGCAGGAAGATTAGACATCAGTAGGGATGGTCAACCCTTCCATTGTATTCGGAGAGGCAAGTCTTGAGTTACGTTGTCATATGGTTGTACAGGAATGCCGCCTGCTTGGCATGAAACGATCAGTTAGGAAGAGAGTAGCTTAATTTGTCTGGGAGAACTACAAGTTGGATCTCATCAGACTTAGATAGCGGAAATTTATCTGAGCTCTTACTCAATTGCTTGCTAGAGCCTTGTAAGAATGCTGTTCGCTTGCACAACGTGCCACTTGCGGAGCAGCCACGCATTTAGCATCATGCTCGTGAAGCACCAAAACATCTTGGTAGACACTCATCGTGTCCATGCCTTGTGAGATGCAGTTTTCATCTAGTTCCATAATAGTCATGGCTCTTCATTGACTTTCGTACCGAAGGAAGCATCTCTACTCATCCTCAGCCTCACCACCCACATCGGTCCCCATCGTACCCGTAATAGCATCGTCATCCTCCTCAAAAGTGCCCAACGGAACCTCATACAACCTCACAACCGGCTTGTTCGGATCCTTAACCAACACAAACTTCCTATCATCACTTCCCTCATCATCCGCCCCCATCGACCTGATCAAGTCCACAATCGTCCTGACAATACCCCAACCATTGCTCAACGACAGGTTCATCTGGTTCGCAAAGTCTCTCGGCTTATAGCCCAATACACCAAGGATGATGTGTGCCTGTGAGGATTTCGGGTTCGCACGAGATACAAAACCGAGTTTCATCTGGTCTGCCTTGGCGAGGATAGCTTGTGTTGTCCAGCGGGCAAGTTTGCAGCTGTTATTCTTCATTTCGGTTGCGACGACGGCACCACGCTGAGAAGCGAGTTTGGTGCGCCAGTCGAGGGCGCCACCTGCACCCTGGGCCTTGTGGTCGAATTCATTAAGGGCTTTGACGATGAGGTGCTGGTCGTCGCCAGAGATGTTATTCTTGACCACAGCGTCGACTTCGGTTCGCACGATGAGGTTGAGGGGTTCCTCGTCGGTTTCGAGGGAGAGGTCGAAGCGGCGGTATTTGTAGGCTTTGCTGGCGAGGGGTTCAGTTTCTTCGCTGGCAACGTAGAAGGGGTTTGGGTGGGACATTTCGACTTTGGCGGATTGCGATTCTTGGACGACTTGGAGGGCGAAGTTGTGGTTGATCATGGTGGCTTCGATGGCGAGGTTGCCGGGGGTGTTGATGCTGTCGGGCTTGACGCCTGTTTGTGCGTTGTTTTGTGTGTTGGGGGTGTCAGCTTCTAGAGGGGCGTCGGCGGCGTTCTCGTTGACGGTGACGAGGTCGATGGTGTTGTCCACGCGCTTGTCGAGGAAGATCTTGTTGCCTTGTTTCAGGATGACGATGTCCCAGCTGTATACGGAGCGGGTGGCACACATGAGCATGGAGAGGATGTCGGAGGTGGCGAAGATGGTGGCTTCGTCGTCTTTGGCTAATTGCTGGAGGACAGGATCTTGTGATGTTGTGACATTGTAGGCTGCTCGGTCAAGGGATTGTAGTCTGCGCTCGGTGTTCTTGATGGGTGGCTTGTCGAAGCTGCGGTCGTAGTAGTAGAGGAAACCGTAGTCGTCGAGGTCCTCGCCGTCGGCAGTACCAAGATTCAGTTTTGTGAGACGGTTGAAGTCAATCTCTTCCTTCATCGACCAACCTGGACGAATGGTGACTGATGAGTCTCGGTTTCGTTGTGGCTTGTCATAATCCCTCCAGCCAAAGCGTCGGCCTCCTCTTCCACCTCGAGCGCCTCCTCGCTGGTCATAGTATTGACCTTGACCTGGTCGTTGTGGGCCTTGACCGGCTCGCTGGAAACCTCCTCTGCCACCTCTCTGTGCAGCACCTCGTTGGCCACGGCCTCTGAAGACTGTACCACCGCCCCGTCCGAAGCCTCGTGTCTTTGTCGATGCTCTGGTATTATCTACTACTGAGAATGAGGACTCGTCTTCGGCTACCTGGACAGCGAACAGAGAGGATGTGCCTGCGCCAAAGACTTGCTGATCTGGAGCGGGTGTCAGTAGTTGCTGGTTTGAATGAACCCGTCACGAACCTCTATAGCCTCTGCCATATCGTTGACCTCTATCTCTACCTTCTTTGCCTTCCTGTGTCCAGTCGGCCATACGACCTAATTTGTCGCCTTTCGAGAACGGGGCATATGGTACGCCATCGAGAGTTGTTGAGGATGTGATCTCCGGACCCCATTCATCCTCCGCGTTCAGTTGTGCGATCGTGTTGGCGAGACTAATTCCAGGCATTGTTGCAGTCAGAACAGGAAAGATATGCAATAGCAGGCAGTGGGAGTCTTGAAGTTGTCGCAAGTGAGTATTGACAATCGCAGACTACTGCAACGAATTCAATGAGAAATCTTGGCGTTCCCCGAACTTGTGCGGAGCATTTTCGGCTTTACTATGGAACCCATCGGAGTACTATCACTCACAATCAGGTGTCTTCAGCTAACAAACGCGCGCAACTAGCCATTCACGATAATCACTCGATCAAGAATCATAAGATATCGTCAGCAGGTCGTCGTGTTACTCTAGCAAATTCTGCATCTCAGAAACCACTTTGCCAAAATCATGCATGAGTGATCCTATGCCAGCACCCGCTGTTTCACCAGCACTTGTGTTATTCGTGCCATAGATGATCCTCTTTGCAAGGTGAAGCTCCCCTTCGTCTAACGCGAATCTCTCTTTCGTTCCGCCTGCCACATCCGACAATTGAGCTTGCAGCTGATTTATCGCCATCTTCTTGCTTGTTTCAAATGCCTTGATGGTCTCTGCTTTGTCCTTCTCAAATACGTCCTTCATCTTCGTAATATCTGGGGTTGCGAGAGGTGATTCACGAAGGATATCGTAGCAGGCAAGCAGTGTCTCGCTGTATGCCACCACCTCACATGCCTTTTGTATAGCTGGAGACTGCTTGACAAATTGGGGAAAGAGAGGTAAGTGAATGGACGTTGTTGGGTCATGGGCGGTATCAAGGTGGTTCAGGGATCCAGCAAGTACTGGTAATATCGCTTGCTTGAAGCCCTGTTGCCTTCTTTGACTGTTCAAATGAGTAAATATTCATGCCAGGCACGCAACTCTTACACTTCATCCTTCGCTTGTCTAACCGCCTCAATGAGCTCTCTATTTTGTGTTCGAATCTTGGTTCTAAAGTTCTCGGCCCAAGACTTTCGTGCTCTCAAATGCTTGTTGAAGTTTGCCAACTTGCCCTGGACGTTACTGTAGAGGTGAGCGTTCAGACATAAAGGTACAAGAAAGGTCGAACTTGGTCAAGTCATCCTCGTCGAGATCCTGGCCGTCGAAGACTTGATCGGCGAAAGAGCCGTATTTCTTTGGTGACCCTCCGGTTGGACTGCTGCCTTCGTTAGGTCTTGAAGCCTTGGGTCTTTTGGCCCTGCTCGTCGCCGTCTTTTCAGCTGTGTCTAGTCAAGATTGCTTCGAGACTATACTCGCAAAACAGTACTTACGTGGACGCTTCATGACAAGTCTTGTCGAACCCCGACTTCGGTCTCGTGGATGTCAAAATGCAGATTCTGCAGGTCAAGTAAAATTCAAGTTGGGTATGCACAGAATGTGTTGAATGCATGAGTGAAGTTTGTCCTCCATCGCACCTGCCTCAAAATAAAAGCAGCTCTCAAATCGTAAGGCTGTTAGGTGCGTTGTTTTAAGTTGATCAGGAACACTTGCAATTCTTTGCAATTAGCTCTTCAGTATTCAATTGCTAGTGTCGTACACTCATTCCGTATATTGTACTACCCCATTTGCGCATTCGTATAGCTCGTTGATGCTATGTCTTCACAGACTGCGTTTGCTGACCGCTGTTCCTAAGCTAAACTATCCCAGCACCCCAAGCCCTCCTCCTCAATATCAAGACTAATACGCAAGAAATCGATAACCACAATAGCCCATGTAAATCTGTACCTTTCTATGTCCCCCAAGCACAAGCCATAAACCATGCTGTTCCGTCGTCATAACATACAGTTGCTGTCTATGCTCTTTCCAATATAGCTAATTCACATTCTAGGTTGCCCTGAAATCACTTGCATAAGATTTTTACATCCAGCATTCATCACCTTGTCAGCGACATCGAGCCGAACTGGCCAGGCAACGCATCGGTCGATGGCGAAGTAAATCCTGTCTGGGAATTTCTGCCTCCTGCACCACGATTGACGGGAAGATTTTGAGGTCTCGACTGGAAGGAACCGTAATTGGTATTCGTGTTGTAGTTGGAGAAGGGGTCCGTAGTGGGTTGCTGGTAGTTCGGAGAGAAGCTGGCATACTCGCTCAATTGTGGAGGCTGGCCATATCCGCCATAATACAGTGGCGGCATCCCTCGCTGTGCCGTCATTTGTGCTGTGTGCTGCATATATCTAGGATCGACTCGCCCATCATCGTAAGAACCACCAGCTGCTGGAGTACTCGAGAGGCTCAGACTTGTACCAGGTTGGATAGGCGTCAAGCCCAGGGATGATACGGGACTTTGAAAGGATGCTGGATTGATGGCGGACATCCAAATTCTCGTCTTGTACATCTTGAACAGATCCGTCACAAGTGAGTTGAAGTTGATATACTCGGTTGAGAAGAAGTAGAATGTCAGCTTCTTTCCATCCATCTGGAACTCGGCATCCAGGATCTCCATATTAAGGTTGTGCTCCGCCACCTTTTGCTGACACACGCGTTTCGCTTTGGCTTCGTTGCCTTCTTTCTCTTGGAGTGCTTGGATTTCGTGTGTTTGAGCGAGTCGTTTGATCATTTTCGGCTTCAAGTCACTGTCTCTGACAGCGGTACCCTGCGAGCCTGCACCATGTCGTCCTGGGGTCACTGCATTAGGATTGAATAAATTCGGTCCACCTGATCGTGTCTGCTGTGAGAACATCATCAACCATCCAAAATGTTGTTCTGCATATCTAGCTTTGTACTTTCGAGCCGCCTCCCAGGATACATGAGAGTGCTGCACACAGCCCATGTCTGTACCACGATCCGCTTCCACTATTACTAGGTTACCCTCTTTGACAGAGAGTCCTGTACCCTCCTGTATGTAAAATATATCGGATCTGCAGCATTTGAAATTTACCACGTACAGCGGCATTGGATTTGGTCCTTGGAAAGCCCCGATACTCGAAGAACTCGTTAAGATTCCGTAAGGGCTCGGGACTCCGAAGACTGCCTGGTGGTGTTCTTGTTGAAGTTGCTGTTGAACTTCATGTTCTGTGACACGTCGTGCAGCGTCGTTACGATTGAAGTAAGATGCTACAGCTTTTCTGTCAGTCAGATTGCAGAGGCAGTATGAACATGAAATTAAATTTTGACTTACGCTCGTTGTCCTGGGATAGGTTCTGAGAGCTGGCATCGTAGCTTGCGCTTTGATTGTCTTCTTCTTCACGACGAGTCAGCATATCTGTGGTCGGGCGAAAGGAAGCAGAAGCTATGCAACTCTTACCGTTTGATCCCATCGATCCACGACGGGTAGGCACATCTGCAAAGGAATGACGACGGCTTTGCGGAATAGTGTCCAGTTGACCGAAGTCGAGATTAGAGGACCAGTGAGGTGTGTTTCTTGCGTTCCCAAGATTCATGATTGAAAGGTTTGACGCAGCTGACTGTCTTGTAGGTAATGCCGATTGAAAGTCGCTCAAGCGACGTGAGGGAGCTCCACGAATTGGTTGTCGTAGCTGCGTCGGTTCGTCCACATCTTCGATCGCGACTTCCGCACCTTCCAGAGCCGGATTGCGAAGTCGCGTGCCACGAAAAGCAGAGGAGGTTGTGTAGTTGGAATTGTTCGACATTGTACGTGTTGAAGTGCGAGTTGCTGGCCCAAATTGTGGATTATGAGTGGGCGGAGGCTCGTTGTCTTCACTCTCATTGACCCTCGCAAGACCTCCATAATCGTATCCTAAAGTGCCTGGTCTTGAGCTGCGGCGGTTTAACCCATGAGGTGGGCGAGAGAAAGCATCCATTGTGGATTGTGAAGGTTCGTATTCAGTCTGTCCTACACTAAAGGACATTGATCTGTGGACAGAAGGATTCGGCTGGGACGGGGAGTGATACGAAAGTCGATTTTCGGTATTGTCTTGACGAACTTCTTGGAGTCTTGTAGGCAGATCTCGAGAGTTCGCACCCCATATATTCGTGCCAAACGGATAGGCTGAGCTTGAACTCCACGCACCTGCACCGGGAGATATGGCAGACCAAGTTTCATGTGACGCACCAGGCGTGTTTGGTTGTGAACCGACCGCAGGACTATGAGAGACATTCGCAAAGGACAAGCGTCGAGGTTCGTTGTTATTATTTTGATCCATGAGGAGTGAAGATCTCCGATTCACGTTGGGTTTTCGCTGCGCCGCAGAACGTAATCGTGACTGTTCGACTTCTTCGTCTGAAGAAGCCAAAGCTTCAGAGTCCGGAGTCGACTTTCGTAAGCCTGGATTACCTCGTTCTAGGAGTGCGCTTCCAAAATTACCAAAGGTCGGCAGGCCTGATCGCGATGCAAAACTGGACTGTTGTCCAGGACCACCTGCAGCCATGACGTTCGAGCTAACGTCTAACTGTAAATCCTAAGACGTTAGCCTTGAGACAATTCGTGGTATATATACTGGGGAAGTAAAATAGATGGTGGCCCAGTCCAAGTTAGAGTCAAATATATATACTGATCATTGTCCAGTCTTTTGAAAAGCCTGTAAATCGATTGTGACAGTACTACGCTGTACCAGCTTTGCGTAAGAAACCAACAGCCAGAGCGACGACGCACTGAATACAAGGCCAAACGTCATTGCGCCTAACGCTGTCGTTTGTGAGGGATATCTGTGACAAGTACGTCTCGTGTTGAACGTGACTTGAGCAATCTGTTACAAAAGTCGTGGGCCAAGTTTCGAACGAGTAGAAGCAGGAGTTCTGGTAATGGCTCAACCTGCATCTAACTTTTCCCGGCTGAAAATCGAGCAGAGAATGGCTTGAACCGTAACTCCTGGCCGCAAGGGGTTGCAGTCCACCTCTCACAGATCTAAGCCTGGACAGGACCGATTCCGCAGCCAATATGATGATAGCACATATTCGAGTCTCCAGCCCAGCTGTTGTGGTTCGCCTCCAGAGATCCCTACGTCTGCTCGATCTTCTCTAGGGCCAAGTGGAACGAGCTCCTGGCTAGAAGAGAGCAGCTCGGTCGGTGCGGTGAGGTGGTTGCAATGATATAGGGACAAAAGAGATGTACTTTGAATCAGAGGTCGACTTACCTAGGTTTTTGATTCAGTATTGGTCCACATTGTGGCCTTGACTCGGGCTATAGGATGCAACGAAGTTCTGCGGCACGATACTCGATGAGTGCTCGCCGACTTGGTGTCCAATGGTCTAGCTTGTTGAAAGTATGGTGCGTCTATAGGTGGCAAACAACAACACGGTACGTGCTCCAAAATAGTGCCACTGGTGTTGAATTTGAAGGGCCAAAAAAGAAAGCAACGACAGCTGTTCTACAGGCAATAAAGGACGCACGGAAACTCAATAGTCTATAACGTGTAAGAAAGAAATGAAGATAGTAGCTCGATGGCATACACAGCGTGAGAGTTGCAGCACGAGAGGGGTCAGGTCATTTTTTAGGCATGGCACGAACAAGCACTGCTCAGTGCTAAAGGATGCAAAGAACAGGCAAGAGCTCGTTAGTGGCGTTCTGAAAACGAACTGGTTGATGGTGCGCTGGGCAACTCCTTGAAGAGCTCAATGCTAAGTGGGGTTGAAGGCATCGAATTTTGTGTAGGCATTGGTTGGCAAGAGCGGATCGATAGCAAATTTGCGGGGTTGGCCTCCAGCGTAATGGGGACTTCTGTAATGCCATCTAGCTGCTATTGGACAATGAGTTTGTAGCGCCAGGGCCAGCTTCAGTGCCCCAGACTATCGGAAACCACGCATCGCCATGGGGTAGCTGTTTGTTAATTTATTATACACGTTGCTAAGTGATCCGCATAAAGGCGTGGCAAAGCGACAGATGGAGTGTGCAATCTGGAATCAAGGCTCCAACAAGTCTTGAAACATACAAGATATGTCTTCCATGTTAGGGTTCAAGGACTTTCGCGCAAGACAAAACCGAGGTCTCCTCACACTATTTGATAAAGACATCTCCTTGAGGGACATTGAGGCACAATTGAGAAATGCCTGGTTTATCGCATCGGATATCTGCTGCGCCCAGTCTTAAGACCAGTGCACCTGACACTTTGGTCATGAACTGCAGGACCCCACCCAGGGCAATTTCTAGGTTGCAAACTCAATATTACCTAAGGAGTAGATGATCGACTGTGCCGTTGAATTCAGGACTGGGGATACGAGGTTCAGTGTTCCACTGTCCGTGCTGAAGATCCAGGCTTCTGCGATGGACGGTGTTTGATTTGCAGGAGATCGTGCCATATTGCTTCGTCGGCTACTATGAAATGACGCACTTACCCCAGAATTGCGCAGCTTGCAATCGGCTGCGGTTGAGCCACAGTCTGGGCGGTGATGCAACACTGTATTCGTGTGTTGTGATATTATTCTAGGGTAATTGAGCAGCAAGGTGAGATGCGGCACAATCAAGGTCAAACGGCTCCTCAAGACGTCTGAACCAAGCCTGATACCGATCCAGATAGCTGTTGTTTGAAGGCAGAAGACCTGACAGTTGTGTGGATTGTGCTGGTAGCTGCCATCGATACGAGCTTGAAAGTATCCCTTCAAGTTCGACGGTGCCAGGTCTATGCTGCATAATCCAAGCTGTCCTTGCCGACGGTGGTAGCTGTGGCGTCGGGGCCTTTCTGTTGTCGAAGCTTCTCCTGCAAACGAGTCAGCACTACAATTGCAATTCAGCGCGTAGATAGCTGGAAAACCATCTGTGTCTCTCATGTCGATACACTTACTTCGAATTTTGCAAACTCTTGGATCGCAATCTCCTCTTCTTCGTCGAGCACTTGCTCAATGCTTTTAACTTCTTCGATATAATGCATAAGCATGGACTCGATACCATTCTTAAGCGTGACCGTGCTGGAATCGCATGTTCGGCATGCTCCCCTTAGCTTCAGAAGCACTACACCATCTCTAAAACCACGGTACTCGATATCACCACCATCGTCTTGAATTGCTGGTCTAACACGTGTATCCAAAAGCTCTTTAATCATTGCGACAACCTCATCATCATCGTCCTTGATGACAAGACTGTCCTCAGCTACTGGTGGTCCTTGCCCATCCGCTCCTTTTTCTGACGTTGCAACAATTTGTTCGCCGGATGACACAGCCTCGGTGATCAAACTGAACACCTCAGGCTTGACATGCGCCCAGTTTGTATCCGAAACTTTTGTGACAGTAATGAAATCAGGTCCATAGAAGATAGAGGATACGCCATCAACGCCCAACAATCTTGCTGCTAGAGGGGATGGATGAGGAGGAGCCAACGTCGATCGTGGTGAGGTGTATTCTACTGAGCTGCCTGGAAAGTCAGGAGGTAGGACAGGGTGATTCGGTATAAACTTCAGAGCATCGACATTGGGCGTATCCTGCGTCTGTATGAAAATCGTTCTTGCCGTTTGTGGCCCTTGTGTTGGAAATGTAGCAGCGGTCTGAACTTTTGAACTTGGAGTCGGCCTCCTCCTTGCTTGAGAGGATGTTATTGCTGGTGTACGTATCGCTTGGTGGAAATGTCTCGCTTGCGATCTGGCCATGAAAAATGTGCAAGGTCGATGTACAGCAAAACGAGGCACGTTACGCAACGGCCCAGCTATAGACATTGTTGTATTCATGGTGGTTGTGATTGATCAAGCTCGAGTGGTATTGCGAATCATGAGGTGCCTTTGAGAGGAAAGATAATGAGCTGAAATGACATTCGCAAGTGAAAGAGTGCCACTCGAGGCCAATGACGCAGGATCGACAGTTAGCTGACTAAGTAATTGGTGGTATCCTACTGGGCAACGTTGTATTGCATTAAATTTGTTGTACACATTCAAGTGCTTACCATTCCAAGGTTCTTTTTTATTGAAGCTGGAATATCTCTACACGGTCTATCTCTTTTATTGTAACAAGCACAGCAGTCCATGGCTGAAAAGACCTGCATATGTTGCGGCTCACAAGACATCAAATATAAGTGCCCGAATTGTAGGGCTCCTAGGTAAGTGCCGCCCCGAGCCTGTGTGATGCCTGCGCCTTGGTTAACTGTAACAAGCTGCTCCTTGACATGCTTCAAACAGCACAAGGATATCTGTCGGGAGTATGACAAGCGAGAGAACCCAGGCGTCGCCACTGCCCTTGGATCTAACACTCAGGTGCCAAAACCTTCATCTGCTTCGATTCTTGAAGCCTCCACTCTGCAAGCCTTATTCCTCCAATATCCTTCGCTCAAATCAAGTTTGCAGCACATCTATCACGCAGCGGGGGGCTTGCCTAGTCAACCCGACGGCGCCAGTACCGCAACGCCCAGCATGGAAGATGCGCGACAGCAGCAGCGCAACTTCCAAGCTGGATTGCGTGCTCTTCAGAACGCGACATTAGCGGACGAAACAGCTGCTCAAGGTATTGCAGCTCTGATGGAGTTGCTTCCCGAGGAGAAGACTCGGTGACGACCTGTAGCTGTGTTCCTCCACCCAACTGCCAGTCAGAACGTACTCTGACAGCGACAGTGACGGCGATAATGTGTGGATGATTCTGAGCATCAGTACACGACTTCTTGTGAGGCATATTCGCATACTTTCCTCCAACCGCTGTTCGTGGGTGTGTGTTATACGGGTTCAGCCCAAGTTGTACTCGTCTTTATGTTGTCTCTAGTCATCTCCGAGCGCGACCACTTCGTATGTAAAAAGAGCCCAGAGTGCTCCTTGTTATACATCATATTTCATCTTGGCTTGCCACTTCTTTGAGTAACATTCTCCTTGGACTGGAACCTCTTAAAGAAATTTTGCGGCCTGGACTTTATTGAGTTTTTCTTGATGGTCTTTTCCTTGACCAACTGCTCCTCAGTCATATACAGATCAAGGAGGGCATCTACATCGTTCTTTCGCTCGAAGCGACTGAACAAGCTCTTCGTCCTGGTCAAGCTCGGATGGCTTGCAACGTTCGGCTCGCTGTTGATGGAATGTTCCATTAATGCTGTCGGGGTCTCTGGTCTTTCTAACTCATCTGGACACACACGATCATCCATACTCGGCACAAAGACAACTGGCATGCGCTTCCGAGAGACCACCGAGCTTCGTCGACTAAGTGCCAAATTCGGACCTTCTTGGAGTGCGAAGCTCTCAAGTTCTCGTCGAACCTGATCCTCGTTAGCCAAAGGTAATGGTGTTATTGGCGACATAACGAGTGGTGTTGTCGCGGCAGAGATTGAAGTGGAAAGTTGCGGCACAGGCGGTACGTCTGCAGCAAAATCATACTCAGCAACCATGCCTGGAGACGATATAAGAATGATCTTCGAGCCAGCATTATGACCAGCTGATAGGGTTGTCCGCCGCCAATGGCGCTTCATTTCGTCGGCTGCATTCACTTCTCTATTCCTCTGACCTACAAGACCAGCACTTTGAACCTGCTGTGGCTGCACACTCCAAGCTGGAGCTAGACGTAGAGGATCAGGTCGTTTGGCGCGAACAAATTTGGCAGCATTGTAACCTGGCAAGCTGCTAGTTCGGGTTGTGAACATACTCCGTGAGCGTGAATGCGCAGAAGTATCCGACGTCTCTTGATCGTCTTCCTCGGACTTGTATGTGTTCAGAAACCGAGCAGCGGCAGCTATGTCTTCTGCCTCCTTATTCTGCATCCTCTTGTGTTTCCGTCGTAAATCCGCTTCCTCTAATTCTAGTTGATATAATTGCAATTTGTGAGTCAATATCTCGACATCGAGACCGTCGTCGTCCGAGAGTAGACGATTGTGTTTGGGCGAGTCTGGCACAGTACGGTAGATAGGCTCGTATCGTTGCTTCGCTGGTGTTTGAGGAGCCGATTTTGAGGACTCATGAAGAACTACTCCTGCAAGCTTGCCACGTCTGCTGGAGTATATCGAAGACATTTCGAAGAATAGGCTGCCCCTCCTATCCTCCCTTTGCTCGCATTCAGCGTGAAGGGGTGGGGCTCCGTTTGCTCGATTACATCCCTCAAAGAACAGGTATGCTGATGAAGCATGTTCGGCAGAGTATCTGATGAGTGCGTACCGACTCGAAGCAACTTCAGCCCCAGCTCCATTGTGGTAACGAGCAGCGAGTCAAAGCTAGCGAAGAGGTCGCCGCGGAATGAACGTGCACAGGACTTTGATTGCTTCGGCCGCGCCCTCGACGCCTCTCAAATCGTATCTCAGACTATACCCTATTTTGACAGACATCTGCTCAGACACGTGCCAGACTAATCAGCTTTGGGTAAATGGTCGGGAGCTACTGCACGAATGTGGCTGAAAGCTCATCGTTGGGATACCTGATTGGGATCGAGAAAAAGACGCCGCTGCAATAGCACGTTCTATGTTCTTGCTCGAGGGGATGCACAAAGCAAGGGTTATGCCAAAGCTATCGTCTTGTCTCTCAGTGTCTGAATCACGAATTTGCGGTGTTGCAGATTGCAAATGCAGATACGGTAGTCTACTCTCCAAGAGCTGGATCAGCGTTCCGAGTGAAGCCGCTGGACGATAATAGGGGCTGATCAATACCGAGACAGGCTAGACGAGTCGTGAAATTAGTCAACGAATATTCTTCTGAGCAATGCAGAGATTGTGACGAGGCAGAATGTGATAAGCAATTTGGGCATCAGAATGTTCCTTAGCTAATGCGTGACAGTATAGTAGAGGGTAGAGGAATCACTGCTTTGCATTCGATCAAATGTGATACACGTATGGTTTTGGTACCTTGTGCGCGGACACAAAGGTTGCGGCATGCATCGTCCCGTCTTTGACCAAGCCAGCGTGGTCGTGTTTGCCGTCATGAGTTCTACGCCCTGATCTTATCAGCTTAAGCCACACGTAGAGTGCTGTGGTTCGGTCACAGTCTCTTTCAGCAAAACATAGCCACAGCATTCATACCTTGACAAGATACGTATTTTCTATGACGTTGGTCTTTAGCTTGTGAACGTGAGGCCATGGGTACCTTCGTGGCCTGGATGAAATACTGGTGTGGTGGTAAGAGTGATTAGCTGCAGACTTAGAGTCAAAATGCCATCGCACTGCAAATGGCTCAATGAGTGGTGTCGGGGAGTATGATTGCCTGCATACGCGAGTTGCTGCCGCGGCACCGGCTGATAGAACACCAGTTGTAGCTCTTGTACCTGAGAGGCACATGCTCGCCATGCTGCAGGTCAACCTTTTGGAGCACTACCTCGACCATTCACTGCTCGTCGCTTCTTGGTGTTGACCGACGACACCCACTTGGCTGCTTACGGCTGGCATGTCTAGCAGGCTTCTGCAATGCATTCGCAGGTGCTTAAACTTCACATAGTGTAGCGGCGAAATTGCAAAACAACATCTACCCAGATCGTAAAGGGACTGCCTCCGAAAAGTGAACAATGTCTACCGGGCATCCAACACAAGCTCAATTTTTCGATTCGACCTTGAGGTGATCCTGGTTCTACAAGGTATTTTGACATTTCACGTCGTGCCCTTCAATGCGTCAACCTGCATTATTTCTTGCTTGATAGCCTTTACGTTCGCAGCAGTTCGCATGTTGCAGAGATCACGTCTTGAATATTCTCCGATCTGTGTGACGTGAGCTATAGGGAACAATCGCAATCGTGTTGCAGTTTCACTGTCGAGCCTCGCTGTTGCGCGGTGATCGATTGCCGATTTTGCAGAGAGACCTCTTGACTGAGAGTTTCTCCTCAATCCCAGACAGAAATTCTCCATGAAAAAACGCTGACTCGTGAGGCAAGGACTAACAGAGTCCGTCGAGCAAGGAAACAACAACGTTGATATAGATAATGAATCTGTATTCGATGACTGGCTTGTGAGCTTACGACCAAAGTCTTTGTCATGGATCTCCAACGCTCAAAAAAATCTCGTTCACTTGGCATTGCACAAGTCTCACCCAAACAACCCACTCCAACTTCAAGTTCCAGCACAACCACCCGGCCAAATAGTATTGGGGAAAAGCACAAATCTGCACCCTCAGTGGCCCGCTCGAGGCAAAGCGACTCCAAACGTACTTCTGAGGGCACGAAAACTCACGACCAGGTGATACGGGCTTCCGATTCGCAGCACCCGCAACAGCATAGATCCAGTGCATATTCTACCAAAAGCAATACCAAGGTAAGACTTTAACCATTTCTTATGCCAACGTACAAGGTGACTGATGATTCATCAGTCTGTTGGCAGAGACAACCTACCCCATCTCACCTATGCTGTGGTTGGTAACGCAGAGGTCGGGAAGTCTGCATTTATCCGGCACGCTCTAGACCTACAAAGTCCAATTTCTGGAATTGTATCCTCCAGGGTCCTATCGAACGGTTCATCGTACCACCTACACTTACTTGAGATACCACAAGAAGCTGTCATCTTGAAAAGCGATAGAATCGTGTGGCCCACAGGTAATGAACTTAATGCAAGCCCGGACATCGATGGTGTATTGTGCTTGTACGATGTATCGAATAGGGACAGCCTAGAGGGTCTACCCAGATTGTTGTCAGCGCTGAATACACTGAGGATTGCGACGTGCTTGGTGTCATGCAAAGTCGACGTTCCCAATTGCGACCACGAAATTCCGCCCAACTTCCAACAGCAGGTCAAGGTCCACTGTCCTAGTGTCATCCTCGACGACTTCAGTATCGATTCACCGGAAAGTGCAAAACACTGTTTGCTGCGAGTACTGAAGTCATCTCTGGCAAAGACTCGACAGCCAACTGAAAGGTCAACCTTAGAGCCAGATGCCCACAACGACTTCCCGCCTCGTACATCTTCCCGCACTCAGCTTGCGTCTTCGTCTCGCAATTGCAGCCAGTCGAGACTTCGGTCCGTGCCGTCGACATCGAGAGAGGGTCCATTGACGGTAGTGCCATCACCATTCCCAGGAACTGGCGACGAGGACGACAGCGAAGAACTATTCACCGATGAGGAGGAAGAATGCCTGATCTTGCCTTCGAAAACAGCTCTGTACGTGAATACCAGTAATACTCAGCCGAAAATACGTGCTGGACAACCCCAAACACCAGTCTCAACAACTAGCGCACCCAAAACTCAACTGTTCTCTCCTTCCGAAACGGGAACTGTCGCAGTGCCTGCAACGCCAGACTCTTATTCCGGTCATCCGATCAACAGAAGAGGCAGCGTACAAACCGATGATAGCCGGATTTATCGCACTTTCCTCAATATGGACGAAGACTCAATCCATGAAGACATTGATCAGCCTGACAGCACTACTGATAGGTTGCATGACTTAGCATTGGAGACGGATGATTCTTCAGAGGGTCACACTTTCGACGAGCTTGTAGGCAGATTATTGGCAATGCCAACGTCAAAAAGTGAGCAAAAGTTTGTGCCGTCATTCCTATGTCTTTACCGGGCTTTCTCAACACCGCTACAACTCCTGATAGCGATCATCGAACAGTTTGGCAAGACCAAGACCGGCAATATGGTTGTCTTTACCAAGGCCGCAGAACTGCTACGTTACCTCTCAGTTCTAGGCACATGGACAACATACTACCCTGGAGACTTTGCAGACCCTAAAGTTAGGGAGATGGCAACCACTTTCGTAACAACGATCGAGAAAACGAAGAACTACTCTGCTGCGGCCCGACAAGTTTTAAATAACCTGTCTACTTTCCTACCTGACGAAGACGAGGAATGGGCTTTCGAAGAGGGAGCAGGGTCAGTTAGAAGCAGGAGCAATACTACGTCACAAAAGTCGCTAGGCTCATCCACGAAGAGTGCGAAAGGACGATACGAAGAGGTGCAATACGAGGACGATAGCAGCTGCGATGACGAGGGACCCACACCGTCTCCGCGACACTCAACGACAACATCATCGGCCTCTAGTTTGGCTAAAACATCACATATCTCGAGCCAGACATCTGACAACTTGCACAATCTAGAGACGGCTCGAGAACAAGCCCGAAGGTTACGAGTTATTCCGAGTATACCTGTCAGCAAGACACGATGGCATCAGTTTATGGAGTGCTCTGTGGAAGACTTGGCTGTCGAGATTACACGAATTGACTGGACAATGTACTCAGCGATCCGACCTCGAGACTTTGTGCAATACGTTACAAGATCAAACAGCCAGCGAGTCAAGACTGGACAGGTCGACTTTATCGGAATGATGACGAAACATTTCAATCACCTGGCACTGTTTGTGTCAGGGATGATATTGTTACGCGACAAGCCCAAGCATCGAGCAATGATACTAGCTAAGTTTATGGATTTGGCTTGGAAGGTTCGACAAATGAACAATTACCATGCTCTGGGAGCGATAGTCGCGGCGTTGAATAGCGAGGAGATTGTCAGGCTCGGCCAGACCCATGAACTTCTCACTCAAGAACGGCAGAAACAATTCCTAAGGCTAAAGATTCTGATGGGTCATCAAAAATCTCACGCTGCGTACCGGATGGCGTGGGAAAATTCAGCAAGCGAGCGCATACCTTTCCTGCCTCGCATTCAGGAAGATCTCACCAAGGCTGCCACGGCCAACGCCACGTTCATCAAAAACAAGATTAATTGGAGCAAGTTTGAGGTGATGGGAGAGACTATCATCAGTGTACAAAAGAGTCAAGACCAGCCATACGCTTTCCCTGATCGTACAGTTAAAGGATCTGAGATTACAAAGTTGATCCTGGAAACAAAAGTTCTCGAGGGCGATGAGGTAAGCTCACCACATTCAAACTGTCACGCTTCCCCATAACTAACATGCTTGTAGGAATGTGCAGATCCAAAAGAGGAGTTGTACGAGCGCAGCAAACAGGTCGAGCCTTTGACGACGGGCACGGAAAAGAAAAAGTTTGATTGGTTGAGGCGTTAAGGTAGGACATTTGACTGGGCTTCAGATGTTCAGCACTGATGTGACATGGCGTGATGATAACGATAATGATTTTACGCAGCTATTGTGAATGAGCAGGGCGCTGGATTACGATACGAGCTTGGGCTGGGAACTATACTCTATTTTGTGTTATGGGAGGCTGTCTGTCTACTTTTGATTGCATCTGGGAGACGTCGATCTGTCTGAATAGAATGAGACACATACTATTTTATTGCAACATTTAATATTACAGGTGAATCGCAAGGATATTCGCAGGTACTACAGAAGTACAGTACGTTCGGGATGATAAAGCCTGAAATTTAGACCTCAGCTCCCTAAAATCGTTGGTGGGGCATGCCCCAATGAGCACGGCACAAAGGGCGGTTGCTGCAGTAACGACCACCTCTACAATTCACTCGCGCATTTTCCAGTTTGGTAGCAAGCACTGTATAGTAGCAACGCCATACAGCACCACTACTTACTCAGGACTTTTGTAGCCCCTTCCGATCGCTTAAACTCGAGAGCTTGTGGCTTTGTACCGGCGCTCATACTCTCACGGCATAATTTTGACCAGAACCACCTATTTCCGTCTGTACTCATTGCTTTCTCCAATCGCGATCACTGGAATGCAGTGAAGTGATCAAACAACATCTCGACTGCACCGCCCGGAACACAACAGAAAACAAGAAGATAGTTCACAGAAGTCGACATGACTTCTCTTCTAACCACAATGTTCGTATCTCTCTTTTCTTCGTCCGGTGCTTCTCCTGCACAGGCACAGCCACTTCCACCTCATTGCACCCTCAAACAATCCTCTTCTTGCATTACTGTGAATAGCTACACTTTACACGACACACCCGAGCCAGCGGATGAGCCTTGTTCCCCGCAAGGAGGTCGAGCATGGAGACTTCTCAAAGATGAACTACAACATTCCCCACGTTCACCACTGCAGAAGGAGGAACAGCATGTGAAAGAAAAGCGAGCTGACAGTCTTCTTCCGGAATATAGCAATGCGCGAACGAGAGGTCAATTCAAACCACAGCGAGCGAACAAAGGTACTACCAGCTACCAGCTGAGGCAATTCGCCGAAGCTACACTGGGAAGCGGCAGTCTACGAAAGGCTGTTGTGCTACCAGAAGGAGAAGACTTGAACGAATGGCTGGCTGTCAACGGTGAGCACAGGAACGACGGATCACGATGTGCATGATCACTGACTCAAGTTACAGTCGTGGATTTCTACAACCAGATAAATCTCCTCTACGGTTCTATCACAGAATTCTGCTCTCCCATAACATGTCCTGAAATGAAGGCGACAGATGAGTGAGTTCAGATTGCGTTCTTGCACGCAGAAAACATACCTGACGCATCCCCTAGATTTGAATACCTCTGGCAAGATGCTGCGACAGGCTATCCAAAGCCCACCAAGATGTCAGCCCCCGAGTACATCGAGCACCTCATGACATGGACACAATCACTCATCGACAACGAATCAATCTTTCCCTCCAGAATTGGCGCTCCATTCCCTAAGCATTTCCAATCGACTATCAAACAGATGTTCAAGCGACTGTACAGAGTCTATGCACACATATACTGCCACCACTATCCAGTCATCGTCCATCTCGGTCTCGAGCCACACCTGAACACTAGCTTCAAGCACTACGTCCTGTTTGTGGATGAATTCGGCCTAGAAAAAGGTGGCGGTAAAGACTTCTGGGGTCCTCTGGGTGATCTGGTTGACAGCATGTTAAAGAGCGATTGATCTTGCAATCTTGGGTGTTGGCGGTGCTTTTGGGCCATATAACAACATTCGCTATCGGGAGTGAACGAGGCATACGGACACGAAGATTACGCTATACGAGGCTGGAAGATGGCCTGATACGATGATGATACGGCGTTACAGGAGAATCTATCGAGTCGACCACTTGGGATCGTACACGACTGTTCTCGATTATTTCAACATTTGTATTGTTTACTGTTATGACGAGATAGAGACCAGTGTCGCTGTGGTACTATTGAGTCTACTCTTGGTGAACCACACAGCATGTTTCATCTATATCTGCTGCAAATCGTGTGACTTTCTATCTCAAGCCAACAATGCTGGACGTTATCAGGTGGAGAAGAGATAAGCAAGTGGTTCCTAATCGGCGGGCATGTCCAGGGCTCAATCTCGCCCTTTTCCTCTTCCTACCTACGATTGCCTCTTTTGGCCATATCTAAACGTCCTCCAAGCGTTCGAGAGAGTATGTTGCCAAGCTTGCGGGTTCGTCAATACGAGGAGATGTGACAATGGAACTCATCTGATTGCGAACTGCTAACCGTTCATTCTTGCATCGCCGCGACCCAACATGGCTACAAAAGACAACTCGAACGTAACTCAAACTGTCCCTGAGCTCAACGAAGGAGCTCTGTCTGTTGATGAAATACAACTCAGAGCTCAAGGCCATGTCGGCGTACTCCCCAGACAATTCAGCGCCTTCGCAACTCTTGCTCTAGCCTTCAGCATTGTGCGTCATAACATTTGACGATGTTTTGTCACTGACTCTAGATCTAGACAAACAGCTGGGTCGGCTATGCTGCGACATTCGTTACGCCTCTGTTTGCTGGCGGCGGACCGGCCGTCTTCTGGGCACCTATTGTGGCATGTATTGCCTCCTTCTTCATTACAGCCGGCCTAGCAGAATTAGCTTCAGCATTCCCTTCTAGTGGAGGGCAGTATCATTTCGCGTTCATGGTCGCGCCGAAAAGGTACAGAGCAAGCATTGCTTTTGCTACAGGTTGGCTCAGCTCCTTTGCATGGCTCTTTACTACAGCAAGTGCGAATCTGTTCTGCGCACAGATATGTGTCAACCTCGCGACTCTATACAACCCAGAATATGCGTGGATACAGTGGCAGGTGTGGCTTGTCTATACAGGTTTCATCATTGCGTGCTCCTCGATCGTCATCCTACTACCACGGCTTATTCCCAAGGGAGAGATCGTCTTCTTCTGGGCTTCCGTCCTGGGTTTCGTCGTTTCGTTCGTTGCCATACTGGTGGCCAGCGACACCAAGCAGTCGGCCTCGATTGTGTTCACAGACTGGGTGAATCAGACAGGCTGGAACGACGGCACTGCTTTCCTGCTCGCAGTAGGTCAAGCGATGTATGGTTTCTTATGTACAGACTCAGCAACTCACATCAGCGAAGAGCTTCCTAATCCTGGCCGCAATGTACCGCGTGCTATGTGGGGAACTATCGTGATCGGAATCGCCACGACCTTACCCTTTACTGTCGCCCTCCTGTTCTCAACTCACGACCTCGAAACTGTGTCCCTCTCTTACCTGCCGATAATGGAAGTGTACAGCCAGGCATTGAACAACAAGGCTGGTGCGTTCGTCCTCACATTCTGGATCTTATTCGTGTATTTCGGTGCCACCATCGGCTTGGTGGTGACTTCTGGCCGACTCCTATGGGCGTTCGCAAGGGACAATGGGCTACCGTTTTCGCATGTGTTCGCCAGAACACATCCCACTTTAAAGGTTCCTGTCAACGCCACAATCCTCACAGCCGTCTTCTGCATACTCTACGGCCTCATCTACATCGGATCGACCACCGCCTTCAACAGTTTTATCGCTACTGCCATTCTCTCGCTCAACATCACCTACGCGATTCCTCAATTCATCGTCCTCTGCCGCGGTCGTTCCTCGGTCTTGCCATCTCGCCACTTCGATCTAGGCAGCTTTTTCGGCCCCTTTTGCAACTTGTTCTCAACACTTTGGGTAGCACTTTATGCAGTCCTGTTCTGCTTCCCAATTTTCCTACCTGTAACAGTCCAGAGCATGAATTATGTGAGCGTCGTTATGGCAGGGACGGGGTTGTTCATAGTCCTGGCTTGGTGGCTACCAGGAGGGAATAGGGGTACTTTCACAGGACCGAATGTGAATATGGAGATGCTGAGTGTTGTCAATTAGACTCATTTGCAGGGAGTGTCCAATAACGAAGGCGAGAAATGAATGCGCTTAGCCATGAGACCAAAAAAAAGAGATTGGTGCATGTTTCCTTTGCGGAGCGCTGACTTCGGAATAAACTTGCTGCCATGCTCAGAGAAAGATCTACAGATGTAATCCTGTTGGAAACAACCAGATCGAATACAGTGCGTACAATTATGAGTTCACTGTGTCGACGAAGTCAACATCCGACAAAAGCTCGTTTGCTCACAAGAGTGCATCGTTATAGGATATCAACAATGTGCATAGAAGCTTCGATGCTAATCACAATGCAAAGTGAGGAAATCAGTTTCTCACGGTGGTCAAGTGCCATATAGCTCTTTAGCTTTTGACCACAAACTTGGCTTCAATTGGCTCAAGGAGATCAATAGGAAGAAGTTGCCGGCTGTAAATCATTCGTGTGGGCCACCACAAGCAGCGATTCCAAGCTGCTGCAAAGCATCGTCAAGCCTATTTGTGTTTAAGTTTTGTGCTACTTCCAGGTGTCGTCACCATACAGATGGGCAACCACGAAGGTCAAGACTACTGCCCGAGTCTTGTGCCCAGGATGTGGTCGACAGGCTACATGCAAGCTCGAAACGAGGTCGAACAACAGCTTCACTATTGTCCTGGTCGTTCCTACACCCTGGAGAAGCGTCGAGTATGCCTCAACAGCAAACAGACGAGCGCACACAGCTGCTCAAGAATGGAAGGCCAAATGCTGGATCCGACAACAACGATGCTGGCCATTCCTCAGCCCAAGCAGATTCAGGCGACGAAGCAGACGTCGAAACTGTTGACTTTGAGACAGAGGACGACGAGGACCCTCACTACTGGCCCAACTCTATACGTTACCTTCAAGTCTTTCTGATCTTCATTATCGGCCTGATATGTCCGATGTCATCCTCAATTTTCGCACCAGGAATCGACACCATTTCTTCGGCGTTCGGCACGTCAAACCAGGCGGTGATAGGAGCACAGACAGGATTTGTCTGTATGCTTGGAATCGGTCCTCTGTTCTTCGCGCCAATGTCGGAGACTTTCGGGAGACGTCCAGTGTTCTTGATCAATCTGACGCTCTTTACACTCATGCAAATACCATCAGCTCTAGCACCCAACATCGCGTCGTTCATCGTGTTCAGAACATTATCGGGGCTGTTCGGGTCTGTCAGCGTAGCGAATGGTGGAGGGACTGTTTCCGACTTGTTCCAGACGCATGAGCGGGCTACAGTGTTAGGGTTTTATTTACTTGGGTATGTTGTCATGTGAAGGAGCGCCAAACCATCATGATCTGCTTCATACCCCATGTATGTTATTAGCTAATAGTTGAGAAGACCACTTCTAGGTCCAACTCTTGGCCCATTGTTCGGTGGACTGATACTAGCAGACCTCCACTGGAGATGGCTATTCTGGATTCAACTCATCATTTCTGGCATCGTGACGGTGATATGCTATTTCTTACTATACGAGACTCGCAGCACCATCGTGTTGCAGCAGAAGAAGGAGAGACTAGAGAAAGAGAATGAAGGCAAGAAGTACAAGATCAAAGGGGTAAGCGACATGGGTCTGTTCCAGAAGATCAGTGGTGTAAGTCAACCTTTCCGCCATACTACATTATCTGGTTGTCTAGTCCTGTCCTTTCCATGCTGACGAACTTAGAACTCGACTCGAGCCTGCAAGATCCTTTTCCAACAACCTGTTGTCCTGACAATGAGTACTTATCAAGCTTTGGTATGTAAAGAGCTCCGACTCTGCCTAGACAGCACAACATCCTAACTCCTCTGAACCCTGCAGATCTTCTCAACCATGTACAGCCTTTACACAAACTTCTCCTCTATATGGTCAGACCTCTACGGTTTCGACACAACCGAAGTCGCCCTCTCCTACCTTGGCCCAGCAACCGGCTTCATCCTCACAGCCTGCATCATCGTCCCCTTTATCGACAGAATCTACAACAACCTCGCCAAAACCCGCAACAACGGTAAGGGCAAGCCCGAATACCGCCTTCCACTTGCCAACATCGGCGCCATATGTTTACCGGTTAGTCTCTTCTGGTTCGGATGGACCGTTGAATACCAAAAACCTTGGCCTGTCTCCCTGAGCGCGATGCTGCTGTTCGGAGCAAGTCAGGTGAGTATATTCAACACGGTGCAGAACTACTACATCGATGCGTTTGAGAGTATGGCGGCCAGCGCGCTTGCTGCTGGCGCGTTTCTGAGGAGTATGGTTGGTGGGATTGTGCCATTGTTTGTGCCGATGCTCATTGATAAGCTGGGGTATGGTTGGGGTTTGTCGTTGTTTGGGTTTCTTGCAGCGATCTTGACGCCGGCTCCTTTGCTGTTTTACTGGTATGGGGAGAGGTTGAGGCAGAAGTTTGCGGTGGATTTGTGAGTGGTGAAGGTGTTGCGCTTACGAGCTGCTTCCTCCGACGCTGCACCGAGAGCGCATGGCATTAGCTCTTCAGCACAGATAGATGGGCGTGCCAAATCCCTCCGGACTGAGCCGTTCTTGTTGTTGTCCTTCGGTCTTGTCCTCTTTCCGAAGTACTAATTTCTGTAATCCACCAGCTGGAACAGGGGTCTCTGTCTCAACAGCTTGCAACCGAACCACGCAAGGTTCAGCTAAGGACCCTGATCCCTGCTGATCTGTAACATCCAGCTTCCTCGCCTGCTCTGGCGTCGCTAGCTTGAAATCGTAAGTAGCTCCGTCGCCCTCAGCCGAGGTGACAGCCTCAGTCCCAAGTAAAGCGCCATATAGTTTCGCCAAGACGTTGATATCATCCTGTGGTACCTCAATTGTGATTCCAGCAATACCGACAGCTCCACAAGGGTGATTGACAATACCAGACCTGCCAGCCACCGCACCTTCCGTATACGGCACCCTCAATACACGCGGCGACACATCATGGCAGAAGAACGGCACTTTAGGACGTCGTGAGCCGTCTCCTTCATGGTCACGCGTACTTCTCGGCCGCGTAGTAACCCATCTCAACTCCTCCCCATCTTTCCGCCTCCTCCCACCTGACTTCGGCTCATCATACGTCACACCTGCCTCCCCACCATCCGCATCAATCCTCCTCAAACACTCAACAACATCCTCATACTTACTCTGCGCACCATCCCCCGTCAACGCCCAGTCAATAACATGGTTCTCGGGCTGATTCGCCCAGCCGGGGAAATCTGCGTATGGCTCGACGCCATCGGGCTGTGGGTCGATCCAGCTGAAGAGTTCGAGGTAAGTGCCGTCTTTGAAGATTATGAGCTTGTTTTGGGAGGTTCCTTGGGTGTGGGTGCCGCCTTCGAAGATGGCGAAGTTATTTGAGAGCCAGGAGGGCAAGCTTTGGAATTCAGAGGGTGAGAGGAGGAGGACGATGTGGTCGAGTTGTGTTGTGGAGACTGCTGGAGCTTTGTTGGTTGTAGAGGTGTTTGCCATGCTGTTTAGATGGTTGTTTTATGATGGCTCATTCGCTGTGCGCTTGAGTATCGAGACCTTGCTTATGGCTTATGAGGAGCTAGTTGTGGGGTACAGTGATAGCAGTTATAGGCGAATCTTCGTGGAATGGTGGTTAGTTCACGTGACGGTGCCGGCGCTGAAGAGTACTATACGGCGTAGCCTACCAATCCTGCTAGGTGTTCGTCCAATCGACCTGAGAATTCTCTCTCTACGGACACTATGTGCCATTACTCCTGCCAACTTATACTTCCAACTCTGAGCAGGCTAAGCATACCCATTGGGAGCAGGCCTGCATCTACGATCGTGAACGTCTTGAATACCTGCAATATTTCGGGGCCGTACAGCATAGTGATCCACTTCCAGTATGGATCCATGTTATACCAAGTTGTCAGATCCTGCGACTGACCCGACCTGGACTGTATTCTGTTCAGGGCTTCCTGGATGTCTGTACTGTTGACATGCTCCACGGGTTCCTCCTGGGGTCGTCTCAGAAGAGTCTCGTAGATCTCGACGAGCTGGTTCGTGTAGCCATAATTCAACTCTTCTCGGAACTTGGCAAAATCATCGAACGACATGAATTGCTGCGGGTTATCTGGTCTGTATTCTTGACCAAAGGCCGAGTACTGCCACGGCCGCCTATCGAGATATCGCTTCTTTGCATTCTCATACTTATCTCGCTCTGCCTCTCTGAAGACTTGCATCAATGCACTCGGATCCTTTGTAATCGAATCACGAAGTTGTAGAAGGCCAACAAAGGGACTTTTGACTTCGAGTCCTCCAAGGCTGCCAGGAAAGAAGAAATAACCATCGGGAATGTCCTTGACGTCAAAGCGGTGCTCAATCTGCCTCTTCAACCAATCAATCACACTGTGCACGTCCTGACTACCCGGCTTTTTGAAAAGGGTTCGTTGAATGCGTTGGTGCATGTCAAGCATGGAGTCAAGATGCCCGCGTCCAAAACAATTCGCTGGTCTGCCAAAATTAGACGTAAAGAAAACAGAAGCATAAGTCGAATAAGCTTGTACCCAGGAGAAGATGCTCTTTTCTTTGTCTGCAAGTTGGCGGCGCAATACGTCGATATGTTCGTCGACCATCTCTTCATCAATAGTGAACTTTCCGGTCTTGTCGTTGAGATATAGCATGCCCCAGCGTATCTCACCCTTGGGAAGTACGCTGTCAAGAGGGCCAGGTTGAATCGATCCGTTTTTGCGCTGTATCCGCACGGCTGCGGATTTCGACTCGTCAATATTGATACCCATGACCTTGTTGAATTGCTGAATGATGTTCCACGCTCGAACGCAGGTGTCGTGTGAGGATGACCAGAACCAAAAATCATCGTGCATGCGCCAAAGCAGTTCCCCGCCGGTCTGCTGGTTGACAAGGTAGTCGAGAGAGAATAGAATTAGCTCTCCGAAGAACTCGCTCAGGACATGGGCTCCAGGAGTACCTCGCCTGCGTGGTCGAGGTACTTCGTCTTCGCCCAGGAATTTCAAGGGCGCTTGCAAGAAGGTCTTGAAGAAGTCTAGCCACTTCTTGGACACGCCGAAGAAAGCCAAAACTGCATTGATCGTAGCATGAGGCATGCGAGAATGCCACGAGTGGTACTGAGATCGAAAACAGGTTATTTCACCATCAAGATGGGTCTTAAGCAATATCTCCGTGGATAGCAGGTGGAGCAGCCTCTGCTTAGCGTCCATAGGGTTCTTGGGTTTGTAGGGTCCTAGGTCGATTGGGGCGTTGTCACCGAACAGTCCGTAGCCCATATCTTCGTCGTCTTCTTCCTCCCGTGCCTCTTCAAAAGACTCTATTTGACTTGTTCGTGTACTCTTCCTGGCTAGCTGTACAGCTGGTGCTTGGAAAGCAGCCACCGAGCCCATTGGAGCTGACCTTCTGACCAGCTTTTTCTTCCTTTGCCTTTCAAAGCTTACAAAATCGGCCTCCTCGTCGCCTTCTTCTACTTCCCGATCTTGTGTAACATTGGCAGGGAGCTGCGAAACAAAATAGCCAGCACGGTATGAAAGCTGTCTGATCTGCTGTACAGTCTTACCACCATGAGTAGATGACAGATACCACTCTCGTTGTTGCTCGTCGAGCGGTGTTACCTCACGAGAGCTATCGTGCCAGACCTCCTTGTTATCCTGAAAGGCCATTAAGGCATCCTTGATACCAACTGACCATTCTACACCAAGATATTGTAGAAGAATAGCCTGGAGTACATCCTCGTGCATGTAGATATTGTAGCTACCATTAAGCTGACGGCGTGCTTCTACTGCGACTTCTGGACCCCATGACCACGACTCTAACGCTGTCATGCGCATGTTTAGCACATCCGCCACTTCTGCCAGAATGACCTCGTTGGATGAAAAATCTCGAAGGACTTGCTTTTTCTCATTGTTGAGCAGATCTGAGGCAAGGAGGCCCTTAATTGTTCTTCTGAGAGTATGGGTGTTGAAATTTTGAGCAGCGGACATAGAAGACTCTATACTTCTTACGCTGGAACGTAATTGTTGCAAAGCTTTCTGTGCTTCTTTGCTTCCGAAGACTGTTTCGAGGAGATTTCCAATCGCTGATTGATCAACCTTAGCCTCTTCAAAAACACTTTTCTCCCAATTTTGTTTGGCTTCAAACTTTGCTCTAACAGGTATCTCTTCATATCGTTCAGAAGCTTCCGCTTCGTCCAGACTTGTCTTTTTGTCCTCTGAAGTGGACGACATCAGCCACTCGACAGTGAGCTTCCCATATAGGTCAGCATATTGGTACTTCAAAGATTGTACATCGAGATGACTAATCAGCGTTTGCTTCCACTTCCGCATGATGCTAGGCGAGATGGAAGGGTCAAAACGAGCTTGATCAAGAAAACGCCTGAGGTTACGCAGGTCCGTCTCCAGTTTTGCATTCTTGCTGCTACCTCTCACAATCTTGCCATGCTGATCGGTCGTAATAGAGAAGCAACGCATAACCCCATCAGTTACAGCAGTAAGCATATCAACCGGATCATCGTGATCGTGGGAGTCTGCAATTGTGGTGGCCTTCTGCTGCTCAAATGAATTACGCTTCTTGGATAATTCCTCGAGCTTCGCATTTGTGATGTCCTGGAGAGTTTGCGAGAAGACACTACCAGAAGTAGCCATGATGGTTATTGTGACAAGACAACGAGTTAACGAACAAGCAGAAGGACAGCTGAGACGAAGGAACGTCGTGTTTAAGTAATCGTTGCAGAACAGGCAACAGCATAAGAAGCGCCGTGTCGTCGTGCTAGTCAGGGGAAGCTATCATGGCAGAGGAGGCCCATCATCCAAGGAGTAGATGATGACTTGTTAAAGCTAGGTCTTGGTGGGTATGGCATTAGGAGCAGGATTGGGAGGAGTGCTGCAGTGTTGCAGTGTTGCAGTGTTGCCTGAATATCATCCTTAGCCTCATCTGCGATCTTTAGGGTTAACAACTTTTGCAACAACACCGGCAAGAATTAGATTCTGAGCTTCTTATGCTGGTGTGTCTTCTCTGATTTCTGTTTGTAGACATCAGATGCGAGAATTTTCAGCTGAACTGGATGAGGAAATTTCGATCGTGATTTTGACATGTAGCACAGGGATTCAGTTTCTACTGTCATCGCTCCCCTCAAACAAGTTGTGGTACGACAGCATCCTCTCATGGTCTTCTTCGCCTGTTCGACTACGGCCAAACGCGCATGGCAATTATGGTCTACGTGTAGCAGACTTTCAAACGTGGGCCGACCACAGGCTTCGACGAGCGTTTGGGTTTTCTTGAGTCTGATTGATCGTTCAATCAAGACGACGCAATGAGTGCACGCAATTCACGATGGGAGCTCGGACTTTTGGTGAGACAAAGTCCTGAACACGACAAACGTCGTGTAAAGCTTTCGATCGCGTTCACGACCAGGTAGTATATATATCGAGAGCAAAGAACTCCCATGCAGCAGGCCTACGCTGGGCAGGGCTTGACGCACAATCTGCAGTAATGGGGTAAATTCATACTGTATTTAACACACTTTGGAGGACTTTCACTTATATTTGCTAAGATGCTTTGTTCCTTCACTGCGAGTTTTTCATCCAATTCGGCAGGTGCAATCTCCTACTTCAGACGGGAAAGACCGTTCTGGAGTCCCAACACTACGATGATGCACCTCCTTCTTTGGTCACTTGTTCCTCAAAGCCACATGTTTTACGTTGCATTGACAACACCATTCGTTCAACCAGATATCAACGTTTCGAGTCTCGGATTACAAGAGATCAACTTTCAGCCAGGTCCTCACAAACAGCTGGCGCGGCACCAGCCTCGACTCCATCACACCATCGAGACAAAGTCTTTCTAGTACACCACACAACCATTCTGCCAGGTCCTCAAGCCACGCACGTTCGTTTGGCGTGAAAGCAACCACTCTCTTTCTTCCGTTCAGCTTTCATCTTAACTTTCATACGTGTCTTCACCACATAAGGATTTCCTGTCGCAACCCTCTTCCCACTTCAACGTACGTCTTCTATCCATATTTTGTCAGCCACCACAACAATAAATATCATACAGTGACCCTTGCCGAATGTCACAGTCAGCCCGACCAGCACAGCGAATGGCGATTATAAGAAAGGACTACTTAACCTTAGCCGAGAGTACGAGACCTTTGAGTAATTCCAATTTCAAGGTTATGATAAGACCATTAGAATCGTCGAACCTTTAGGAATCCGTGTTATTGTTCAGAACAGTTCAAGACAGACAACTACACCTCAGCATGGCGTTCGGTCGATGGCTGAACAGGTGCCTGCATTGCATGTCAACCCCATGGCTCCTGGAAGCTCGTTCTTCTGCCTGGTTTGTTGTCGTCGCTGTAGGGGTTGCAGTTTTCAATGTATGTAAGGCTCTTGTATCGTGGATTCTGCTAACTTGTTCAGGAATCATGGCTCTATGCTGTGGTCAGCCCTGTCTATCCAACAGCCTTACGCGACCGGTTCGGCGTCAAACCTGAGGATGTTCAGAACTGGGTCGATTGGCTCTTCGGAATCGAAGCTGCTGGACTGATGGTCAGCTCTCCAATATTCGGGTACATATCTGACCGGATCGCAAAACGAAAGAGACTCCTTGTCTGGAGTACTGTGGTACTTCTGGGTGCACATGCCATGCAGTGTTTTGCCAGACACATGGCTCTCCTCGTGCTTGGCAGGTTTCTCCAAGGCGGCTGCGCAGGCGTGGTCTGGTGCATAGGCCTAGCGCTTGTGGCAGACACAGCCGAATCAAACAGAGTTGGTCAGATGTTAGGCTACGCCTCAGCTCCCTATTCTGCGGCTGTCGCCCTGGGACCAGTCCTTGGTGGTATCATCTATGAAAAAGCTGGGTATTATGCTGTATTCGGTCTTGGCTTCGGTCTGATCGGGTTACAATTGGTCTTGCTGCCTCTGCTCATCGAAGAAAAAGATGTGAAGCAACGGGGTCAGAGAAATGGTTCTAGTGACTCAGAGCTTGTGTCCCAAGTTCAGGTTGTGGAAAAGCCTGAGGTCAAGAAAGTGCCAACCACACGCTCTAGGAAGATCGAAACAGGTGTGTTCTCGATACCGCTTGGGGACGACCTGCATCCGACTACGTCAAAGGAAAGCACCTTATCCGCATCGCAGCCATCTGGTGATCGGTGGTCGACGTCTTCTCTCCTGAGTTCTGGCAGGTCAATCAAGAGACGAATATCGAAGTCTCCGCTGTGGATCCTCATCAAGTCTCGTCGACTGCAAGCAACCTGTCTGGCAAACATTGTCACTGCTATGATCCTTGCTAGCTTCGATGTGACCTTGCCTCTCTTCGCGGAAGAAATCTTTGCATGGACACCACTTGGGAGTGGACTTCTGTTTCTGGCGCTGGCAGTTCCCACCGTCCTTCAGCCGCTTTGGGGACGACTGGCTGACAAGTATGGTAAGTTCAATCTCAACTCTCGGGGTGTGGCTGGAGTGCAACGCAGCCTTTCGATGCACGTGCCTCACCGATACTCCTACTGACCCCTACAGGTACACGTTTTCCAGTCTTCACTGGCCTCTTGCTTTGTGTCGCACCATACGCATGCTTAAGACTGGTCAATCACAAGTCAGTGGCACAAGTGGTACGTCTGTCTTTCATTCTCCTAGCCAATGCTGACAGTACTTGCAGGTTGCCCTGTGTTCTCTTCTCTTCTTCATTGGCTTGGGTGCTTCACTCTCTCTGGCAGCCACCATGGCAGACTTCTCATGCGTCGCGAACGAAAAGGAGAGAAAGAGTCCAGGCTCAATGGGTAAGACCGGGGCACTGGCTCAATCATATGTACTCTTCAACACTTCGTGGGGTATTGGGGAACTGGTAGGGTCAAACATCGCAGGTATCATGCGTCAAGGAAACGGCTGGGGCATTATGGGCTGGTGTTTTGCCGCAATATGTGGCGCGGGAGCCATTATCGCATTACTGTGGTGTGAGGGCTGGATCGTCGACAATGCAAGTAGAAGGCAGCGTGAGAGGAAGGAAGCATATTCGAGTGCTTGAGGAGAGAAAAGTCACCCCCAAACTATAGACAAGAGCGAAAGTTGTGGCTCGTGAGCATCAGCCAGTGAGTCTTTCCAGAAACAGCTCAAAGCAGTTGCGATAGCGATACAAAAATCGTGTCACGGGAGAAAATCCAGTTAGCTAGAATAGGTACGTAGCAGTTTTAAACATCTCTTCTCTGAATGATCTGGTCTGCAGTGAGGGGCCATGTGCTCGCACTATTCAAGCTCCAGGACGACCATCCAGTCGACTGCGCTGAGCGAGCTCCACGACACGTACAAAGCTCCCGCACGCGTCGCTGTCGTGTTTGGATTAAATTGGCTAGCACTCATCTACTATTCTCAACGATCAATCTAGTATCTTCGACGGAACTCGGGTATAGTCCGTATTCCGACCTCGGATTCTTTGTATGTCTGTTTACATTGGGATGTCGCTACTGCCACTGTATCCACATTGTGCGAAATGAAAACACAGACTGCAGAAGTGGTTTACAGCACGAATTGATTACGCATCACGAGAGAGGTCTCAACTCTGAGACGCGACGCAATCTATCTAAGGCCAGGCCAGACATGCACTTACAGTGAGAACACTGACTTAACGAAACCGCCTACACTTTTCACACTCTACCCCTCCAACTTCAACCTCTCCATATCCTTCAGTGCAGCCTCAAGCCTCATCAACTCTCCCTCCGCATCCTGCAACTTCTCCTTCTCCTTCTCCTGCGTATCATTGCTCGCCTTGTTCCATCCCGGTCCCGCCATGATCGCCTGGCTCTTTTTCTTTCTTGCGTCCGCACCCTCAAGCTTCTTGTTGATCTTCTCGACTTCGGTGTCGATGTTGATTCGTCCCGCTACTTTGAGATATACCGCGACATCGGCATTGATGGATTCCACGGCACAGCCAGGTGGGATAGAGGTAGATCCTGTTTGAGAAGCTTGCACGGAGATGGAGTTGCAGTATTTCCCGCCCAGGGACTTGAGGGACGTAGTCTCGCTGGAAAGGTTCTTGTTTGCTTTGGTGGATTTTGTTTCGATGATGAGGTCGCCAGGTTCTTTAAATTCGTATTGGGAAAGGATGGAGCGGATGCCTTTGGCGACGTCCATGATTAGTTCATATTGTTCGGCTTCGGCCGGGGCGCTGAGTTGGTCTTGGTAGAGGGGGTATTGGGCGATGATGAGGGCTTCGGTGTTATCACCTTGGCGGCGGGGGAGTTTTTGCCATAGGTGTTCTGTTAGGAAGGGCATGAGGGGGTGCATGAGGCGGAGACCTCCTTCGAGGGCTGTGTAGAGTGTTTGTTTGGCAGATTCTTGAGTTTTGGTGTCTGCGTCGTCTTGTAGTAGGAATTTGGAGTTTTCGATGAATGTGTCGCAAAGCTGGGTCAGCCAGTATTGGTAGAGCGTTCCTGCTGATATGGAGAAGTCACGGTTCTCGATAGCAGCGTTTACGTCTCTTGCGGCCTCGTTGAATCTGTGTAAGATCCATTTCTCAGCCAGAGATAGTGGCTTGCTGTCGAGTGGACTGGCAGCAGGCTGGAAGTCGTCACCTAACTTTCCAAGCACAAAGTTTGTGGCTTGGTAGATCTTGTTGCAGAATCGTCGCTTTGCCTCAATCTCGCGAATGTCGAAGGCAATATCGCCACCACCTGTTGTGTAGTTGACCAACGTAAATCTCAGAGCATCAGCGCCGCACTCCTCTATGCCTTTGGGAAATGCCTTCTTCTGATATGACTTAGCTTTTTCGATCTCAGCTTCGGGAAGGTTTCCTTGCAATAGCGTGTCGTTCAAGCCTTGTAGGGTGATACCACGAATGATATCTACTGGATCCACAACGTTGCCGAGTGATTTGGACATCTTCCTGCCTTCCGAATCTCGAACCAGAGAATGACAGTAGACCTCTGTGAACGGCACTTTGCCAGTCATCTTGAGTCCAAGCATCACCATTCGCGCCACCCAGAAGAAAAGGATGTCCCAACCAGTTTCCAGTATCGACGTCGGATATAGTTCTCGCATTTCTTGCGTCTCGCCAGGCCAGCCTAATATCGAAAAGGGCCAAAGACCGGAAGAAAACCACGTGTCCAGTACGTCTTCGTCCTGTCTCAGGGTGAACTTTTTGCCTGGGAATTTCGCTGCAGCCTTCTCTTGTGCCTCTTGCTCTGTCTCGCCACATACCCAGCTATCACCCACAGAGTCGTCCGGCGTTTCTCCTTCTACCTGCACGAGATAGGCTGGACAGCGATGGCCCCACCACAACTGACGAGACAGACACCAATCTGTAATGCCCTGCATCCACTGATTGAACCGCCTGGACTCACTCTCGGGACGGATCTTGATCTGACCACTTGTGACGGCATCCTCGGCTGCCTGACCAAGCTCTTTCATTCTCATCCACCATTGTGGTTTCAGTACGGGCTCCACGACATCGCCACTTCTGGAGCAGATGGGTATCGTCATCGGATTGTCCTCCTGCTTGACGTATAGGTTTAGCTTGGTTAGACCTTCGATCACACCATATCGAACATCGAATCGCTTGTGTCCAGCAAATGGGCCCCCATTCTCATTGACTAAACCATCATCAGTAAATATGTTGATAAATTCCAGGTTGTGTCGTTTGCCTTTTGCAAAGTCGTTCGCGTCGTGGGCGGGTGTAATCTTTACGGCACCAGTACCAAAGTCCTTTTCGACTTCTTCATCGGCAATGATAAGCACTTTTCGACCAGGAATGAAAGGATGTATGGCCAATTTGCCCACAAGATCCTTGTATCTCTCATCGGTGGGGTGCACAGCTACAGCGGTATCACCAAGCATGGTTTCCGGACGTGTTGTGGCAACCTCAATGAATTGGTAACCTTGGTAGTTGTTGTCCTTGGCTGCCTTGTCGGTCGCTGGATCTTTGCTGATAGGGTATTTGAAGTAGGTCAAGAGACCAAAGTCGATCAATTTGTCGTAGTTCGGGACCTTGAGCTTCTTCCGCCCTGTCAATTCTTGGTTGTCCACTTCCAGATTGGAAAGCGTAGTGCTCAGAGCCGAACTCCAGTTGACCAGACGGTTGTCCCTGTAGATTATACCCTCGTCGAACAGCTGCACGAAGGTCTTCTTGACAGCAGCAGCCCTTGTGTCATCCATGGTGAAAGCCTCTCTTGACCAATCCATCGAGCCACCCATTCTCTTCAGTTGTGAGGTAATATTGGCATGGTACTTGTCCTTCCACTTCCATATCAGCTTGAGAAGCTCTTCTCTACCCAGATCATGGCGGGTTTTCTTCTCTTCCTTGTAAAGTTTCTTCTCGACGACTGCTTGAGTTGCAATACCAGCATGGTCTGTACCTGGTACGTATAAAGTAGTCTTGCCGCGCATGCGAGCATGTCTGATCATAGTATCTTGTAACGAGTTCGTCAAAGCATGACCCATGTGTAATGAACCTGTCACATTTGGCGGTGGTATTGGTATCACGAACTTTCCCTCTGGTTTTATCTTCCCATCTTTTGTGAACTGCGGCTTGAAGTAGCCTCTGCTTTCCCACCATTCATATCGATCAGCTTCTATTTTCTGTGGTTCGTAGGCATCGACGTTAGAGGTCTTCTTGGGCTTCTCTTTCGGTTTCGCGGCGGCAGCAGGAGTGGCAGATTGTTGTTTGGCCTTCTTCTCGTTGAACTTAGCAAGCTTTTCGGCCTTCTTGCGTTCCTTCTCAACTACAGCGTAACATGTCAGAGTCAAACTCGATCAGGAATGGCAGCAAGAGCGCGCATAGCATGGATTGGTCTCTATGATTGAAGTACATAGCCCACACCCATCAATGGTTCGCTACATGGTAGTTGTCGGACGTACTTTCTTTGGCAGTCTTTTCCTTGCCAGATTCACCCACTACGGTCTGACCGTCGTTATTGCCCACCTTGTCCTTGCCGCCTTCATTCTGGCCCGTAGCATCTTTTTTGGCTACATCCTGCACAGCACTATTCAAGGAGTCGTCCACAGGTGGTGGTGGACCAGAAGGGCTGCCAGTAGGCGACGCAGCTAGAGGGAGTCAGTCGTGATTGAGAAAGTGTGCAAGCGCAATCATCTTACTGGGGTTGTGCGAAGCAGCATTCAAGGCCATCTTGTTAGTGTATAGTCTATGCTTTGGCAATGATCTTTTGAACACGCCTCGAAGTGGGTAGAGAGAACGAAGGAGGGGAGTCATGCATGAGATTTCGAGTCATGGTTTATTTGGTCTTGTGCTCGCGTGGATGCCCGCTCAACTTTGCTGTTGTTATCTAGTTAAACGAGGCTGAGATTTGGCCGCAAACACGAGGCTGCAGCTACTATTAATCATGCCCACGACCAGCTGAGAGTTTCATCCACTGTTCATTCAATCGTGAATCGCATTTACCTTCACATCGCTTCCTAAGACTCCACATCATGCTGACCTCCATCTATCTCTCCACGCCGTCCGTGTCTGACACGAGATCCTGTCATACGCCAAGTTTCACCATGAAGAAAGAAAAGCTTTTAGCAGCTCGTGTCGAGTTTGAGATTCATATCTTTCCGTTTCATGTGCATGATCTCTTCTTTTCACGAACTTCGCGGCAGTTGAAAGGTGGAGTTGAGTTTTTTTGGTTCGAGAATGTAGAAGGCTACTTCATCCAGCGTGGTTCTGTTGCGCAGCACTGTTCCTGACTGGGACGAAGTAAGGATGAGCCATGGCTTCCTGTGCGGTGAGTCGCTCCTGTGCCAGATTAGCTGTTGCGTCGAAAGCAAAGAAGAAGACGGCATACCTGATGGTCATATTTCAACAATTTGTCCAGAAAGTCAATGGCTTCCGCGCTGACAAACCGTTGATTATCGTTGTTGACAAAGCTTTGCCAGCTCTTTTTGGGAAACCTGCTAAGTATGTCGTCGTATTGCTGGTCAAGCTCGATGTCATATTTGTCGAGATATTCGAAGAGGTCGTCCGTGCCAAGTACTTTGGCAATCTTTACAAGCTGATCTGAGTTGCTGTTTCCATGGAAGAAGGGCTCTTTGCGGAAGATCATGGAAGCAAACATGGCCCCTAGTGACCACATGTCCAGTGAGTAGTCGTATTCCTGGTAGTCTACTAGCAGCTCTGGGCCTTTGAAATATCGCGATGCGACTCTCACGTTGTATTCAGTGCCGGCGTGGTAGAATTCTGCCAGACCCCAATCAATCAAGCGGAGCTGTTTGTATTAGCAAATGCTCTTTCACTTCATTAATGAATACTTTACCTTCCGCTTTTCATGGTCGATCATAACGTTATGAGGTTTGACATCTCTATGCATAATGCCCTTGCTGTGGCAGAAGTCGAGTGCTTTCAGCAACTCAAAGATGTAGTATCGCACATCGTAGTCCACAAAGCGAGGGTATAGCGTGCGGAAGTCTGTGTTGTTGACATTCTCGAATATCAGACTCGGTGTTTTTGACTGACTGTCTCTGACCACATCCAGCAACGCGACAATATTCGGACCACCTGACAAATTCTGCAAGATTTTGATCTCTCTCTTTATTTTCTTCTTTTTTACTGGCTTGAGTACTTTGATGACGCATTTCTGGTAGTTTGCGACATTAATTCCCTCGAAAACCTCACTGTATTTCCCACGACCAATCTTCTTCACAATTTCGTAGTTTTCCAATACACCCCAGGAGATCACAACACTGTCATAGTCCCAGTAGGAACGGGGCATCTGCGCGTTGACATCGGCGTAGACACGCGCCATAGCTGTGGAAGTGGGGCTGACTCATGAACTGGATTTTGGTTGATGCTGCCAATTCGAACAGGAGGGTCAGAGGAGTGATTGCTAAGAGATACAGACGAAAAGAGTGGCTGGTTTCATAACAAACCGCGAGACGTTCACAGTTTGTTCGGGCAAGCACATGCACGATCGCAAGCCTGTTGTGTCGTGCCTGCCACCGGTACGCAATCGCAATCTGTACGGCCGGCCCGAGGAGGCCTTGATGCCTGAACTAGCAAACTAGTGGATAAAGATTCCGAGTGAAGCATTTGTTCCTGCGCATTAGATCCAAGACTATTTATTGCGAGTCTTTCATACATCCAGCATCCTGGACTGGCCTTTTCAGAAGCTCACCTTGCCTGGCAGCCGGTAGCCTACAATGTTTCGGTCGCTCTTGCCATCACGATCATGCCTTTCTATGACTTGAACGTAGCTTATGCAGAGAATGACCCCAATCTTTCCAATGTCCTCGCTTTCCTTCTGGAATTAGGCTATACCACGGCTGCTCTAGCTGTTCATGTTCCTTCTAAACTTCCAGCACAACTTCCAGACATATCGACTACTCGTCTAGAGGCTCCTCCAGGTTTGACCGTGCTTACCCGCCTAACCTTGACCATCTCCGATACCTCTCAAAACCATCGCATCCAGAGTCTCGTGTCGACTTACGATCTACTGGCTCTTCGTCCCACAACCGACAAGGCTTTGCAGCTATGCTGCTCGTCCCTCGACTGCGACCTGGTCTCGCTTGACCTCACGTCGCGCCTTCCCTTTCCGATCAAATTCAAGACCGTCGCATCGGCACTACAGCGTGGTATCAGGTTCGAAATTTGTTACTCACCAGGTATTACTGGTAGCAACGATGCACGACGAAATTTAATTAGTGGCGCTGCGAGTCTGATTCGTGCCACTCGAGGTCGCGGCATAGTCTTGAGCAGTGAGGCACGCAATGCGCTCGGTATAAGAGGGCCGCATGACGTGGTCAACTTAGCAGTCGTGTGGGGTTTAAGCAATGAACGAGGGAAAGAGGCTGTGAGTGAAGAGTCCGGCAGGGTTGTCAGGTTGGCTCAGATGAAGAGACATAGCTTCCGTGGCGTGGTGGATATAGTCAACAACGGCACGCAAGACATTACTACTCAACCATCAGGTTTGACTGAAATGACTGAGAGAGGTGCTGCCGAAAAGAGTAGGATATCCTCAGAGGCAGTGGGCGAACTCAAGCACGTCACTGTGATTCCGGAAAATCCAGACAAGAACGAAAAATCGAAAAGGAAAGCCTCTCAGGCTTCGTTGGGCGAAGAAGGGCCTGACATGCATCCTGTCGAAGATGGAAAACCGCTGTCTAAACGAGCGATGAAGCGAGAAGCTAAGAAGGCGCGCCTCGATCGAGCCTCTGGCAACCACAGTAAGCAAGCTTTAGGGAAACAGGTTGAGAAAAGTAAGAACGGCTTTCCTATTCAACATGAAGCTCTAGCTACGAAGAAAAAGAGCTGAATTGGTCAGAAACACGATATCTACCTCCTTCTCTATCCACAACCTGCGCCTACGCAGATTTTGGCAATGCATCAGCAATCGGCACACTGGTCCTCCCTGCCAATATGAGTCCTTTCGTCGTGAAAGTTAGTCCAGCAAAGGCAGCCGGTGCTGAAACCGTCGAAACCTTAGCAGCACTCGTATCACTTGCACTTGCTACGGCACTGAGACTAGCACCGAGTGCACTCGCAACCGCGATGGGAAGCGAGGACAAACCAGGCTTGATATCGGCTGCCAGCGTGACGAACTTCCGCACAGTGCTCACTGTCTCTCCTGGAGCCGCGATCACTGCTGTAGAGATTGCACTGGGAGTGCTTGCAGACGAAAGAGTTGTTGACGCGACAGCTGCGGCAGTGCAAGGCGCTGTTACAGTAATCTATCCTTCAGTCAGCATTTCGCAGCTATGAAGTGGGAAATACCTGCAGTCATGACTGTCAGTGGCGTGACACTGGCTGCAGCAGCGGCAGCGACCTGGGTTGTCACCGTGACTGTTGAAACAGACGCTTCGGCTTCGCTTCTTCCATTCCCAAGACCCAGACTGTTACCATTCCCGTTGCCAGGGCCTTCTCTACCACTCTCGACCTCGTCTCTGTTCCGTTGTCGGTCGCCATTGTTACCGAACCCATTATTGTCGTCGCCCGATCTGTCTCTATCCGGTCTGTTGTCTCCTGGATGCGCAAGAACCTGCGCCAGGCAGGATGAAAGAAGGACGAATGTCGAGGTTCTGAAGAAATACATTTCGTTGTCAGTTTAGTGTCGAAAACAGAAGTATCACGATGGAAGTCGAAGACTTGAATGCGAGAACTAGCTCAGCAGATAATTGAAGGAGTGACATGTAAGGAAAGTCGTAAGGAATGTTACACACGTTGAAGCAGAATGTTATGAGAACAGATAAATTCACAGAGCAGAGTTCAAGGTCAAAAGTCATAACCTACATGGCAGACAGTGCTCAGAAGCTTCACTTTCTGCATTTGCCCTCACACATTCAACGTTACTATGCTGGATTGTGGCTGTTGCAAACTGTTCTAAACTGGTCCTCCTCAGACTGTGACAGTAGCAGATATGGACCATCGCGCGTCGTAGTTGCTAGATAGAGCAGAGGCTAATGACAGAAGGAAACGGCCTTGGTGGTGGGAGTGTATTCATGGCGTTTCGCGGACCATATTTGAGGCCAAACGCGTCTGAGGTTGCTGATGAAACAGGTCCGGTTTGGAGTCCGCAAGCGTCGGTCATTTCAGTATGAACGAGCATTCGGCCCAAGGACCTTCTTTGCGCAAATGACAAGAATTGAACTCAGCGCTAGAGTGTCTCTCATGCTTCTCAAACATACCTCACAATGAGGATGGAGTCAATGTGGTGTCACTGCTGTCTATCGGATCTACATGATCTTGGCTCGCTAGTGCGCGCCACGGCAGTCGCGGCTCGGTTCGCGTCGCGCCTGCTGTGTGTCGTACTCGAATAGAGATCACTGTATTCACGAGCTGTCACTCTCACGACCAGCTCTTGCCAATCCATTCATAAACTCGTCATGATGCAAATCACCATACTGACCTGTTTAATTCCTCCACTCAGTTCCGATCTTCGCTCAACAGACTTCTCTGGCTCCAAACCCATAGTTATCCCTCAAGTGAAGCCCCGAAAGAGTCGTTGACCTCTTCTTCCGTGTTGCGATGTTATCATCGTATACGCTGGCGCCCCTCCGTCAAGACCCAAGACAAAAGAGGTCATGCGTGTCTGCAGAGATCTTTTCGTGGTCTCTAGCACTATACTTACTTGGGGAGGATCGGCACAGTGCGTTGCGCTTCTGCAAGTCTTCACTGACTTTGTGCCAACGAACCACAAGCTAACTGGTCAAACAGCAGTATATCTCCACACACGATTGCCGAATCAGTCAAGACGATCTCATATCTTTCACGTCAAAGGTTTACAAAGTCCAATACCGCCTTCTGCCGATATCATGTTCTATTCACCGTTCATCTGCTTGCTGCTCTCGCTGATTGGCGAAGTCGGCGAAGACGCCATGCATCGTCCATCGCTGTTCGTCCTGGAAGCCCACATCCGTCCTCTTGCATTCTCTCCTGCTATACAAGCAACAAGATCACAGGTTGTTCCGCCTACCATATGTCCCCAGCATGCACGAGTTGCACGATGCATGCATGTTCTCTTTCAATTGTGGTCCTAGACTATCGCAAAAGGCGGGCAATGCAAGACCTTGTCGTCTCTCTTCTCTGCTCGCGGGCTACTCTGTGAACCTTGACAACTTTTTGCCCTCACCTTTGTGATCTGCTGCCTGTCCATCTGTAGCTCTCAGTATGGCCTGGACTTTCGAAAGGCTCGCAACCGAATTCCTAAGTAATGCTACACTGCAGGAAGCTTACGGTTATCGCATGCCTGGTGCTCCTCCTGATGCATACCACTACTTGCTTAATCGAACAGGATGCGAAGCTCTTCGGGGCACAGGAAGTGACTTGTACGACTGGCCAGATTCCGCAAACACTATCAATACCTGGGTTTTGCCATTCACCGGCTTGCTCCTGCAAGCGCCTTTTGACAGCAACGATGCTATGGGTACTTTTTGGGCAATCTCCAGATGGGTTGGCGGACCTATGGCTAGTCTGACATATGTGTGGAAGTGCCTGCTGTAACCGCAAACACCGCTAATCATCGTGGTACAGATCTTGTGGAACATGCGGTCTTCGGCCAATTGCGCAGCATTCCTTGACAAGGCCACTCGTCGTAACGATATCCCCAAAGCTGAGATCGGCAACGAAAAAGATGTCAAACAGCGCAGCGACTTCGCCAGTTATCGGGACGCATTCTTCCTTCTCAGTGTCATGAATCAGTTCACGATCAACCTGCATTTTAATGGCGCAGCAGCAGAGAAACTTTTAAAGGTGGCACTGTTCAGTCAACAGCTGCGCCTACCACTGAGTGCTGGTGGGAGCATCGAAGAAGTAAGGCAGGCACTCGCTAGAGATACAAGAGAAGCTAGAAAGAGAGGCACCGTTCAATGCTTCCTTGCTCAGTTGTGGTTCATTTTCGGCCTAGTCATCAGCATTCAGCAGTCTTTTGGCTTCCTTGGAGACAATGCTAATGCTCAAAATCTGGCACTAGGCTTAGCCATGATATGGTTCAGTGTTCTGATGCTTTCTACCGTTGTCGACCGCAACCCTGCTCTTCCAGAAGCTACCCAAAGACAGCTGAATATATTCCTTGGTCTGATCCGTGAAGCATTACTGAGGGACGCCGGACGACATCGAGACATTCACCAGGCTTTCAGTGCGCCAGCTCGAGTTACCTCTTTCAATTCGGTCGTCAGTGGTTCACCAATCAAGACTGCGACTTTCACAGAAGCTATACGTGCGAGGTCTTCACAAGACGATACTATTGTCGATAACGAGATCGTCAACTGGTTCGACAGTGACGAATGTGACACGGCCGACCTCCGTTGGATTGACTCCATCTCTTCCCTAGCTCTCGATGACGCGAAATTCTTCTATATGTTTGCTGGTCAAGGACGGCACCTCTGGCACTATGGTGTAGCATATCCGGTCATACGAGGACTAAAGAAAGATGGCATTCTCGACGCGCGCCGAGGTTGGTCATACGGAGCTGATGTCCGTCAGAAATTAATCGCGACCAAGCGGTGGGATGCAAAAGACCGGATTCACTCCTGGGATCTGAGAGAGTTCTGGCAGATTGTTGCCTCTTTCGTTTCAATCTGGATGTCACTTCTGGCAGCATTTACAATTGCCTACTTTACACCTACCGTCGGTCTCGGCTGTCGTGCTCTTGGTTATATGCAATTCGGAATCTTCTGTACCGGCCAGGGCATCATCGAGATGTTCATTTGGGCGATTACACCTCACCACAAGCATGATACGAAGTTCTATAAGCGTACCCGCTTTTATGGAAAATGGATTCTGCGTGTCTGTGAGCTCACTAATCTTGCCTGGCTGATGTACATAATTTTCGCTCAGGCCTTAGGCATCTATAATACTTGTCATTGCAAATGCTCAAACTACGGCATAGGCGGTGGCTATATTAACCTCAACAATGTCCTTACTCCACTACCTCAGCAGGCCAAACCGTACTGGCTAACAGGCACAATCATGGGATGCACCATGATGGTGCTCAGCTTCATCTTCATCGCATGGGAATGGTAAGCAAACACAAGCCAAACTGATTGAATACAGTCATACCACTGACTTGGAACAACATCTAAACTAACACATACAACAGGGTCACGCAGAGTCATATGAGCACCGAAGATTACGAACACGCGATGAAGGGTCTGCGAACGACTAGACGCTTCAAATCATGGACCAGATGGCTGGCACCGTTGCAGGCCTGATTATTATTTGTCAGGCTCGCGTACTCATGATTTGCAGGATTGGTGTCAACATCGTAATTGCCAACGACTAAAAGCTCCACTTGCTGCTGATTGAAATACCAGCAGCAGACTTCTGAACGTGACGCTGCATCAGCCGTTCATTCCAGATTCACCAACCATCATCACTACGCTATTAATCGAGACACTGGAGATCATTTCACCACACTGCACAATTGGAATATTTTGGTATCACCTCCTAGTGACGTTGAAAAAACATGGCTACCTCCTGCACATCGTTACTTGCCTCAAGAAGTTCAACCACAAAATCCGAAGATCAATGCTAGAATGGCAAGTGTGCAAACACTCCTTGACCTAGGTCTCAAGCACGGCTTCCTCCTCAGTCTTACAGATGAACAGATGGAGAAGCACATTGCTCGGTAAGTGGTGTCGCGCATACGTGTTACTTTACTAATTGTGTCGCAGGCAGAAGAGGAAACTTTAGGACTAAACGGATGGGGATGATGACGTTCGATTTACATTTTGGATTCAATGGGGTAGAGAAGTGTTACTGCTACAGACATGAGCGATTTTGTGACGCCGGTGGAGGTGTGGCTGACCACAGAAGTATATGGTAGTGCTTTCCATTGATTCAGTGCATGAATGGAAATCCAATAACTGCCAAAGACTCCCAAATCAGATCAGTCCAATGTTCCAAACACCTTTATAGATAGCACCATCGTTCACATCATAGCCTCGCCTTGATCCAATTCTCAATAAGTTGTGTCCCTTCAGCCTTCTCGCTATACCCAAGGAGTTTCAAGACGATAAAGTCCTCGTGACTCTTACCCGGTTCAACAACATACTCCGTCTGACGATGTGCCGCTTTAAGTGTCTGTGCAATCAACTCGATGGAATCAATGAGTACCTCACCGCCACCTCCCCAGATCAAGATGTCCTTGACCTTTTCATCGATGCCTTTGAACCAGGTGCTGTCTGCTTGGGAGGGTGTGTTGTAGTTGTCGATTTGACTTGAACCTGCGACACATTAGGGTCTAAGTGTGAATAGGGATGATATATGTGCTTACCAAGGAACAGCTTTGACCATCGTTCGAGCGAAGGCTCGCTGATGAAGTCGGACATCACATTCTGGCGGATACTGGGGTCGGTGTTGGCGAAGTTGACCCATGGAGAGATCAGTATAGCACTAGCGAGAGGCTCGCTGAGCTCAGGCTTGTTGATCACGGTAGGATGAGGATGTAGCATGTGCGAGATCAGGGCAAGTGCCAAGTTAGCTCCAGCAGAGTCGCCGGCGAGGATGATCTGGCTGTATCAGCACAATGGCCTTTCAATACTGTAGGTAAGCACTTACCTCGCCAGGCCTCTTCCCCTGCTTAGTCAACAACCAGTCCAACGACTCAGCCGCCTGCCTCAACTGCACAGGATACTGACCCATAGGCGCAAGTGTATATTCCACAATAGCGATTCCAACATCACCAACATCCCTCTGTATGTCGGCCAAAAACTGTAAATGACCAGGACTCATAGCGAGAACATATCCACCACCATGGAAGTACAGCATGGTCTTCTTAGCATTCTTGCTTCCAAGCCAGTGAATCTTCAGCCCGACATTGAGCACATCAGTATCGGGCTTCAAGCTCTTTGACTTCATAAATTCGAGATAAGCACCTTCGGTCGTCTTGTTGAGCCATTGTTCTTGAGCTGTACTGATTAGTGCTAAGTTTGTTCGAACGGCTGAGAATGCAATGTCTTTGAAGAGTGAATCTGGAAGGAGACCTCTGCTGAATGGACGGAGGATCAGTCTGGATAGTCCTGCGGCGATGACACGAGGTATCAATGTGAAGAACTTTAGCTTGTCCCAGAATGTTGCTTGTGGTGGTAGCGGCATGGTTTAGCTGCTGGTGTTATCAGATGTAGAAGACGTTCCAGGACCAGTCAAAATGCTAGATGTCAACCGTGTAGCTAGGCGAGCATGGTAGTGGTGGAAGGTGGGGTAGCTGCTTACCATGTCAGGAACGCTCGTTCCTTCCGCTTCGGCTACATTGCTACACGTGTTTTAAGTGGTTCGGAAAACTGACAGGAAGATGATCGCGGAAGTCCCTATGGTTCACCGAAGAACACCATGCTTGTAAAATGGTAATCGAGTACGAACCTTGGTATCTATAGCTGGATATATCTCACGAGTCGTACTTCTGGTGCAGCATTATTATTCTACTCGCTCTGCATTTCCCTCTGCGTGGATGGTGTGAAGAGTCGTGCTCTAACGCATCGGTGTCTGGGCTGGATTTGGTTCGCATTGAAACAATCACACCGTAAAGATCGGGCATTGATCCTTATATCAATGTCGCGGAATGAAAGGGCAATCGAGTTCAGAACCTCTATATTGAAGTCAATTCAGCCTCTGATAATTACATGATAGAAGCGACAAGCATGTCTGTACCTGACTTCGGGTCATGTCAGCAGCTTGAGGAGCGGTTTTAGATAGAGCGTCGCCCGAATATTAGGTTCGATAGACGTCATCGTCCCTCAGAGTAGCACCTGAACAGGCCTATGCTGCCCCCTAGACATTCGAAACGCGTACACTTAAGCATGGGAATAGTTACCAGCGAGTCGAGATTCAGATCTCCAGCTCCAATCTTCAGATAATGCTATCTCCAGTGATCTGTACGTATCTGCCAAAACATTTCTGCGACATGCATGCTTGACGTATCGGTACTCTGTTTGAGTGAGTGCATTTGGAGTCGGAAACATGAAGCTCGAGGCACTCGAAAAAGGAGCACGCAGGGTCTCCAGGACAGGCAGCTATTTCTTCGACGGTATACTGTCTTTGATGAGATGTCGAGTGTCGGAAACTCGCTCGTTTTACTGTTTGAATATAGCCACAGCTCACCTTATGAAAGCAGAGGGCGTAGAGAAGACTCAGCGGTTAGTGCCACAGGTCCCTTTCGCGCTAAGACTCTTCCTGAGCAAGATAGCACTCCGAACCACAGACAGAGGTGTCTGCCTGCGGTCTATTAGCTCTATCAACCATGAAATACAGTCTTGACAAGTCTGGCTCACCATCCACAACGTCTGATAGCTCGTCGTTATCCAAAAGAGTGCATGGTGGGACAATCCGCAGCCATGCCACTATGATCTATGTGATATAAACGTAGCAGTATCGTCACTATGCTGAGCTGATGTCCTTTCACTTTCTTGTTCTCTCTCTGCAATCTTGCTTTGCACCAAAGTCATCCAATTTGGACTGAGTAACCTTCCACACCCAACATGTCGTTTCGAACAAGCACAGACCTGAAATTCAAAGACGGCGACGTCGTTGTTCGCATTTCGGACAGACCGTCCGCCTGCTTTCTGCTTCACAGCCACATCCTAGGCGAAGCCTCGAAGTACTTCCGACCACTGCTTTCAGAGCAATGGCAGAAGCATGACAGTGTCCGGGTTGGTGAAGAGCCGCGCAAAGTGTACAACCTCGACATGTTCTTCGACACTGCACTATCAATGGGTATACTGAAGCACCAACAGACTCAGGTAGACACAGGATATGAGCTACCGGGTGGTAGCGAAGACGTCCTTCTGTCGGCACAAGTTGATCGAGATGCATGGACGCCCGAAGGAGATTCCACTTTCCTGAAGGAGGTTGTTTGTGATTGGAAGAATGCCACGAATACGACACAGATGCATGACGTGCTGGTGAGACACATGGGCATACAGGCGAGCACTTTTCCTTTACCAGCACGGAAGCAGTTTTGTGCCCATGAGGAGCAAGAGAGTTCTTCAGGCCGCTATGCGTTGCAAAAGGGTTGGCACAACGATGCTTCGACCAGCGATTCCTTGGTGTTTGAGGGAGTCGACGACACCTACATCCCATTCTTGCGTACATACGAGACGTTTCTGCCCGAGCTCTGCCACGGTCCACCAGGAGGTAGCAGCGTTTCAGGACATGAACAGGCTTTAGAGTATTGGGAAAAGATCTGGCAAGCATTTTTCCACATCATCTATGGCTTCGAGGTTCGATTTCGGCATCCAGGTAACATTGTAGCGAACGTCTGCTTTCTTACCACTCTATACCAGCTTGCAGACTATTGCATGTGCTCTGTTGTCCAGCATCAGGTAAAGCGTGTGATGTTGGACTTGCCAGGACTTTGGTCATTTGTGATGAAGGAGCCAGCATTCATGGCGTGCCTGGGTTCGAGACTCGAACAGCACGATATATTCGACGATGCAGTCAGGCACCTGTCTGCTCAGAGGTTGTTTCGAGCTCATTTTAGTCTAAATGGAGATTGGGCTGCATACTACTGCTCGCATGAGCTCTTTGCTCAGGAGGTGTTACCAGAGGTGAGAGTGGCACACCAAATCATGCGACACAGCTTCGAACAACGATTCCTGACGGTTGTGTATCTCCTGAAAACTAGGCGTCCTCAGTCGTCTGAAGAAGACCAAACGCATTATGATAGTGCCGTGGATGCGATCTCCACGATTCTGCTTGGGACCAATGCCCATCTGTCTGTGCCAGACGAGCAGACACCAAGTCTTTCCAGATGGAATCTAATCAAGTTTTTTGATCTGTGCAAGCTTGCTGCAGTTGCAGACAAGCAAATTCTGAGCGATGTCTTCAACCTCGATCCAGACTCGCCAATAATCCACTGCTTACATGGCATTTTGACAAAGGGGAGTGTTGGAAGGTTACTTTACGGCTTCACCAGGCCCGTGTCCGACAAACACTGCCGAGACTTCATGGAACTGGGTTATGACGATCTTGATATGGACCTTGGTCGGCATTTCTATTGGCCATGTGAAAACTTTGTACATTATACCAGATGGATAACGACTGAGTATAGCACCTTTGATGGATGCTGGAGGAACAGTTTGGACACGTTAGAACAAACGGAGGCACCCCTGATTCCAAGCCATCTTGTTGGACCTGCCACTCACGATGAGCTCATGATGCTAGGCTTGGATGGTTCAGAAGCAGTGTTCTTACCACAGACAGAACACGACTTCTCTCGAGAGGCAAAGAGGGTACGCACGCTTCGGAAAAAGGAGCGCCGCCGCCTTGGTGTGAAGGAGAGTGCTTCGAGTCTTGAGAGCTTCGGTATGAGCATGGAAGCACTGTTTACGGAAGAAGTTGCCGTGAGGAACGATAGTCCGAGTCGTACAGAAAGTTGGGCGGCTATGGGCCAAGCCGTGTTGAAGATGTGTATTGTCTGTACTTTTGTTTCACTGACGGATTATATGTTCCGGAAGATGGTGACGAGGTGATTGGGTGATGAGCTGAGAGGTTCCCAGATATGAGTCATGTTGGTTGCCATTGACAGGATAATTTGCCTCCATTGAGAGGAATGCAATTGTTTGCATATCAAAAAGGGACTATGCACAGTGTTCGTTCCTCGTGATAGATCTCGAATGTATAATAGCTCATACAGACATAATGCTTCGTCTCCAGCGCCGCAGCAGCATCGCAGATTGGGTGTTCAGGCAGGCTTCGAGCCCATGCAGAGGACATAAGAGAAATTCATCAGCTCTCCTTGATCGGGTCCGATAGGTTTCTCGGGTGAAAATTCTCCCGGCCACCTTTCAACCTTTTTCTTGTGTTCCCAGGCGACCTTGACATCGACATCATGGAAGCCGACTTGGGTCATAAGACTGGAAATCCATTTTGCATTGATACCATGGCGCTCGACACCACCCATCTTGTTCTGTGGATGGAAGCGCTTGGCTTCAGGTCCGAAGTCCTCAAAGTCTGTCAGAGCAATCATACCGCCGGGTTTCAGGCAGCCAAGCATGGTCTTCAGTACCGGCTCTAGTTCTGGAATGTGGTGAAGCACTAGGTGGGATGTGATCAGATCGAAGCGCTTGCGTGGTCCACTAGGGACGTTGCTGTCGGCTGGTGGTAGACTCGGATCGTCTGGATCTTCGAGTAGGACTGCAACTGGAGTGATGTTCTTCGTCTGGGATTTATCAATCTTGGTCTTCAGGACATCTATCATACCTTCAGCAGCGTCCACAGCGACAACCTCATGAACTGCAGGAGCGACCAGGAAACTCAGAAGGCCTGTTCCACAACCAATCTCGAGTACATCAAGATCCTTTGGATGTGACTGTAAGGCCGGCACGTATTTCTGGAGAGCTTTCCAAGCTTCAGAGCTCATCTGGTGGACGAAAGGATTAGAATCCCATGCTGCAGCTTCCTTGTTGAAGCGGTCGTTACCTCCCGCACTTGTCAGTGACGATGCTGCACTTGCCATCGTGCACGTCAAAGATTTCGAATGCGTGAAGTATATGTCCTTGATGGTCGGGAAGGTCTAAATTTCGGCCTTGTTCATGCTAGAGAACAGTATAGTTACACGATATCTTTCGGTCTCTCACGAGTAGAGATATTCTAGCTCATTGTAACATCATACAATTGTGTGTTCGCGGTCGGGGTATAGCGAAGTGCTTCGTGAAAGTGAACTTGAATGCATACTCGAGTAGTTGCAGCTCCCCGGACGTAACCTCCTCTTCCAGCTGGCAACCAGAACCTCGGTCTTTCTCATTTCCAACTGCATATTCTTACCCTTCTCCGCAGCTTGACAATCCTGTCCAAGATGAAATTACCAATACTTGCCACGATGTTGTCGCGTTTGAGTCAGGCAGACTGTGAATGTCTGCTTGACACGGTCGACCACCGTTGAAAATGTCAAATCCAATTGGAGCAACAGTAATAGCACAAGCTCTTCAGCAGCTGGATGTTAACATTATCTTTGGCCTCGTCGGCTTACCCGTCACAGATATCGCTGAGCAAGCAATCGATTTAGGAATACGCTTCATAGGCTTCCGAAACGAGCAAGCAGCGAGCTATGCTGCAACGGCATATGGCTTTCTCACGGGCAAACCTGGTGTCTGCCTGCTAGTAGGAGGACCAGGTGTGATCCATGGCATGGCTGGTGTATGAGCTCATCTACCTAGACCTAATATCAGCTAACAAGATGGCAAGATCGCAAACGCTTCTGCAAATGCTTGGCCAACACTCTTCGTGGGTGGATCGAGTGAGACCAGTTTGTGGACGAAGGGTGGCTTTCAAGAGATGGATGCGATCACTTTGCTGACGCCCCATACCAAAAGAGCTATCAGGCCACATACAAATACTGCTGATGCAATTACCTCCGCTATACACGATGCTTACAGGATTTGTTGGTATGGACGACCTGGCCCAACCTTTGTCGACCTGCCGACCGACTTCATCATGACTCCTGTCAAATCTACCAAAAGTATCTCAAGACCACCAGTATCTGCATTATCGAAACCTATAGCAAGTTTTGAAGTGGTTGCTGCAGCCACAAAACTGCTCAAATCCGCTACAGCACCTCTTGTGATTATTGGAAAGGGTGCAGCTTATGCTCAGGCCGAACAGCCTATTCGAGCCTTAATAAATGGTTCCCATCTGCCATTTCTACCGACACCCATGGGAAAAGGCGTGGTCCCAGATTCTCATCCTCTGAACACCTCATCTGCGCGCTCTGTAGCTCTACGCGAGGCAGACGTGGTTCTCTTACTTGGAGCACGCCTAAACTGGATCCTACACCATGCAGCCGCGCCGAAGTATAGGAAGGATGTCAAGATCATACAAGTCGATATTTCACCAGAAGAGCTAGGAAGGAGTAATAGTATTGGCGAACCAGCGCTGAGCATATTCGGCGACATTGGTCTAGTCGTGGAACAATTGACCACTAGTCTTGCTGGTTGGAAAGCTTTTCCCAGCTCTTCAATTCATGCCTCAACCTCAAACTCGACTTTCGCCCAGAAACTCTCCAACAGTGCTTCCAAGAACGAGACAGCAGCTCACAAACTGGCAAGCTCGCCCACCCAACCTGGTAAACCCCTAACCTTCGAAAGAGCATTCCACATCATCAAACAAACACTCCATTCCATCTCCGGCCCCGAGAACGGCGACGTAGTCTACATAGGCGAAGGCTCCCAAACCATGGACATCTCCCGCTCCATCTTCCCTCTCGATCACCCACGCCAAAAACTCGACGCCGGTACCTACGCAACCATGGGCGTTGGCCTCGCCTACTGCATCGCCGCCTGGTCGGCCTACAATCTCCCCCGCAAAACCAAGAAACTCGTCGCTCTCGAAGGAGACAGTGCTCTCGGCTTCGCAGCCATGGAGATCGAAACCATGCACCGCCACGAGATGGATGTTCTGGTCTTCTGTATGAACAATTCGGGAATCTACAGTGGCGACACGGCTGATAAAGCCGGTTGGGAAGCGAAGCAGCAGCGTTTACTCAATGGGAGTGGGTCGTCGAAATCGCGTGATAGATTGAAGAGTTCGAGTCTGATGCATGAAGCGAGGTATGAACAGCTTGCGACAATGGTGGGAGGGAGAGGTATCTTTGTGAGGACGGAGCAGGAGCTTGAGAGTGCGACTAGGGAAGGGTATGCTGAGGGAAGAGTAACGGTGGTGAATGTGATTATTGAGCCCGGAAATGACAAAAACATGAGTTTTGCTTGGATGGACACGAAGGCGAAATCTAAGATGTGATAGGATATCTTCATAATATCGCAGTACGTACTGCAACCATTCTATCAAGCCACGTAACTCATACATCCGCACATGTCCGCGGCTGCATCATAGCCTGCTTCATCATGCTCTTCACCCTATCCTCATCAACACTAAACGCATACGACACATTTCTCAACTGCTGACCCATGGGCGCCAGGATCTGCTGATACGCTCTGATCTCACCATAATAAGGTGAGAACCACGCCACATCAACGTCGACAAAGAATTCCGTCGAGTTCGTCAGGACGTTTTCGCGGTCCAAAAGAACAGCCATGGCAGTTGCGTCCCATGCCGGAAGAACCGGGAAGTATTTCGAGACAAAAGCTTGCGTGTATGTATTGTTGACGGAACTAATCTCAGCGTAGTCTGTTGCGTTGATGAACACATTGTTTGCGGCTGCGCTTACGAGCGTGACGTTCCTCCAGTCGGCTGTTAGGGCGATCTTGGAACTTTCAGGGTCGATCTTGAGGTTGATGTCTGAATTGATGTCGGCTTGGAGGAAGTCGCCTGTGGCCTGGAGAAGGGTTGTGTCGATGTAGCCGCCCATCACGACCAGTTCCTTTGCGTTCTGCGCGAATGTCGGGTCGAGACGAATAGCGAGCGCAATGTTGGTGAGAGCGCCTGCTGAGTATATGGAGACTTGACTGGGATATTTCCGAACACTTTCAATCATGAATATTGCTGCTTGGTAGCCAGCTAACAGAGACTGGTCTGGCACGGTGCCGCCAACAAATGCCACAGGATTGATAGTATTGGGATCTCCGGAGGTTGGATCGAATCCTGCCGCCTGTGCTGTGAGGTTCTCGGGTGCGAAGACACCCTGCCAGGGCAACGCGCCGTGGATATACTGCCACGACTGAAACAGTGAAGGTGTGTTGAGAAGAGGATAATCTGCACCTTTGTAGACTGGGATGCAAGATGTGAGGTTTCCTAGCTCAAGTCCGCGTAGTGCATGCAAGCTTGACTGAAGTGCCCAGGTATTGGCAGAATTGCTCGTGAGCCCAAGAACCTCGTAGTCTAAAGCTAGAGCCATCAGGATGAGGTAGAAATCGGGAGCTCCCCAGTCGTTGTCTATTATGATCTTTGGCGAGGCATTCGTGGCATTGGAGTTTTGTCTTTTCTCATGTCTTAAGGCACTGGATAGGCTGCTATACGACAGCAAAGCCACGGTGTATGCGATCATGAACTTCATGACTGAGTTGAGGCGTTATTTGACTCTCTCACCCAAAGGCTAACGTTGATGGACTTGGGGTGGTTGTCGAAGGGATGTGAGCGACGAAGAAGAGAACCAGAATGCATTGCGACCAAATATGAGGTCACCAAGAGAGCCTGGTACCCGTTGCGGCTCGGGAAGAATCATAGATAGATTGCCAGCCATCATGCAGCATCGTGGTCTTCGAAGACAACCTGGTCATGAAGTAAGAAGCTAGTCAATATATCTCCGATACAAAACTCTGCTGATCTCGTTTGTGCTAAACGAGGGTACGGACATTCACGACCATTCACGACCATTACAAGCAATGTTGGTTGTCCTCAGTAGGAAACACCATGTGCGAAGACCTACCTAGCTTGCACCCGGTATGAGCCAACGGCATGAGTATTGGCATCATGAGTCGGCAACCACGCCCAAAAAAGAAAGTGTAGACTGTTGTGCAGACGGATGCAGGAACGAGTCGGCAAACCTTCTTGCCACGGTCTACGATTGCTTGATGTGGAATTATCCGGGTGTGCCATCTCTGTTCCTACACTCACGACTCTAGTCCAGTTACAACGCGGACAGTCGCTTGTGGAAGCGAAGGATCAGACGTCAAGGGATTCCTGGAAGCGAGCATCTTGGCCACTGCCGTGATCTTCAATGAGCGCGAATAGCATAATGTGCATATCAGTTATGCCATGGCTAGCTTGCACTGCTTGCCACGCTGGAGGACCGTGCATCCAACACTACAAGATTCTTCTGAGCTAGCAAAGTGGCAGGGACCGTCCTTATCAACGTGCGGACTCTCCAAGCCCTCGCTCTCACCGATCTCTCTGCAATGCCAAGCGGGCGTCGAATCAAATATGGACATGTTTTGTTTTGTCCGACTTGATCTCGAATTAGTGCTGCAACGAACTTGCGAACAAGGGCAAGGACGATAGAACACCAGGGCGGTGATAGGAATAACGAGAACCGCGTCACGCCTTCTCAATGAGGCGACAGGCGCGTGTCCAAAGAGCCACGTGAGAGCGTTCTGAAGTTATAGAGTTCCAGCATCAGTTAGAGTAGTTGTGTATATTTCTTCAAGTCGTGAGGAGCAGTTGAACCTCGGCTTTTCTAAAATGGTAATTACTGCACATTTCTCGGACAACTGTGAATGTAGATAGATGTTGTCTTCTTTTTCATACAAATGCGACCCTGCTTCTGCAATCGTACGTCATCCCTCTCGTAAGCATGCACTCACTCTTCTAGAGACCGCTGTCTTCGCATCCTCCTCGACCACAATGACCGACAGAAAGTTCCGCTATCCAATTGTGGACGTTTGGGCACCACACCCAGATCATTAAAAGGTCCTGAATGTGGGCTGTCTCAACGCCATTGCCTTGTATCTACCATGAGTCCACAAGCGCCACCTTTTGCCAAATTTCAGCAATGCTAAAGGTATCATCAAGATCGCCCACATTAGACATGCAAGCAAAATGTGTAGGTTCCTGACACCCATGCCTTCGAGCCAGTCCTCTAGCACGAAGAGGATCACGACCGAAACAGCATTGCGCGTGAACACGACTCCGACCAAGGCATCGCCAATGATCTGACACAGATTAGCATCGTTCCGAATGAAAGAAAGGTAGGTGTGCTCACATCTTGGTAACAATCAGTACAGTAGGCTAGAGCAATGTCAAGACAAACTAGGAATCCAAATCCAAAGATGGCAGCACCAACAGCAAGCACGATCCAGTGTGCACCCTTGAGAAGATTAGCATCAAGCACGACAATTCAGTCGTGGAGCACTCACATTCGCAATCCCGATTCCAAACATCAGGAGACCAACCGGAATGGTCACACTGGCTGGAATTGCCATCCACATTCTCTGTTCAGGTTCGTAGATTCCCTGATTGCGCTTCGAAAGCCACATTATGCTCTTGTCATTCAGCCAGCCTCCTACAAAAAATCCAATGAAAGCCCCTATGAATGGTGGCAGTTGCATTAGTCCCACACCATCAGGTCCGAAATTGTACGGCGGCTCGATCAGATAAATTGCTTGCACCGTAACCAAGATGGCAAAACAGGCGAGCACACAGCCAAAGGTAACTGCTGTATAAGTTACGGCTGGGAATGTAAAGAGTATGATAAAAGGTTGGTAGATGTGTCTGAAGATTGGGGCGTCTGTTTTTGTGACCATAGCCATACGCTGCAAATAGCTCTTCCTCTTGATTGTTGGATCGATATGCACTTCTGTGACGTTACCTCGCTGCACTGGTTCGAGGCTCGTGAAATTTGACACTGCCACCTTCTGATCTGAAAAGATGTGATTGCTCTGGTTCCCCGGTATTTCTCTAGACTGCGGTACGTACTTCGACTCTTCATAGAAGAAAATTGAGACAAAAAGCTGAATCGAAAGGAAAATGACACACCACCACCACATCCAACGCCACCCCTGCCCTTCCGCAACATAGCCTGACGCTACAGGACCAAGAAACGCGCCAATCGAGGTAAGTAAGAGGTACCAGCCGTTCATTGTAGCATGTTGATGTACGAAGAAGATGTCCGCGATGGTGATCTGGACCACCGTCTCACAGATAGCACCTCCGAGACCTGTCAAGATATTGGCACCAATGATACCACTATTGTCAACGACCTTTGCCTGCCAGATACAACCCGCGAGCTGTACAGCAGAACTGAAGAGGTACAGGGGCCGTCTGCCATACTTGTGCACGAATGGCATGAAGAAGATGCAGCCTACAGCAAGGCCAGCATAGTTACCTGCAGCCGAGGCATTCAATACGTAGACCGAAGTATTGATCTCCTCCAGCATTGGTCCCCATGCCGTATACCCGATGTCGAGTTGCACAAACGTCCAGAGAATGTAGGAGCAAACAATACCAAAGTTGAGAAACTTGCGGAATGATGACCAGTTGAGAGGGTCGTCTGGGTCAGATGATGGAATAGGGAAGAGGTTGACTTTGCTGACATCGCGATCTTTGAGTGCGACTGTGCCCGGTGCCCAGACGTACCCAGGTGGGAATGTCTGTGTATTGCGATGAATCTCTGTCATGCTTGCTGGACATGGGGCTTAAGGGGGCACAATGTGAGCTACGGATCAGTCACGCCGTTTGGCCTTTCGAATATATATCGTCACCCCAAGCGACCACGCGACGCGGAGCTGAGGAACGAGGTCGCACATCGAAGAGCACATCTCCAGTCTAAAACTGAGAGAGACGTCTGATAAGGAGCAACAGGGAGGATGAATAGAGTTTGGCCAGACTGGCGGAGAAGAACGTCGTCCACTAACCTTGATATCAACAACCAATGGGGAACTCGGCTAATTGACTTTCAATTCTGGTCCTTCTGCATTGTGCAAGCAAACCGGCGATAGAGCCTGGACAGATCATGGCAACCCGTGTTGCATTTGTGGCGAGATTTAATGAGATCGCGCGTGAGAAGCTAAAACATCAAGAAGGATGCCTTGTGCTGGCGCAGTAGCGCCCGTTGCTGAGGATGCAGTCTCACCTAGGTATAAAATTGTGGTTGTGTTGATCACACATGAGAGTTGAAACATGCATCCCAAGACTCCGTTACCCGTACGAAGTAAAGTCAGCGTGTACAGATATGCGTTCTGGTACTTGCAATTCCACAATCCTTCGGGATTATCAAGAAGAGTTTGAACACGTTTTCGAAGATGTTCTCCTGCACCCAAAGATTCCAAACGGCCACGATATCATGTCTGATATGCTCAGTCCTCCCAGGATGTCTTCAAGGCGAGACGGGACGGTTTCCACAATCAGCTCGCGGAAGGAGCGACCGAAGCGTTTCAGTAATCGCAAAGTCACGTTGTTGCACCATTTCTCGTTCCTGCCTCTGATTCAGGGCACAAAGCCTAAACCCGCAGTCTATTGGTCCCCGCAAACCGCTACTGGTGAAACCCCGCATTACGCACTCGCGTGCCCTTCCTTCGTAGTCAAGGAGTTCGAAAACAAAGCTACAAGCTATCTACGACTGACACGAACAACTTCCTACAGTCAAAATAGCTTCTTCAAAGAATACAAGCAGTAACCTTCCAATACCGACACAATGAGTGCAATTCGTGAAGAGGGCGCAGATGCAGAACCCATCAGGGTCCTCTTCACTCTCCACAACAACATGAACGCCCTGGACTTTGTTGGCCCTCTTGAAGTCCTCGGCATGGCTCTGAACGATGTCAACGATAATGGTGCGTACCATTCCTATCCCTTCAGCTAAAAGTTAAGCTAACATATCTCCTAGAAGACAAAGCCTTCGACTGCGAATTCGTCGGTCCAGGCGAGAATGTGATGTCCGCCAGCGGCACCTCCTTCCGTTCCCACATGACCTACAAAGACGCCTACAAGCAACTGAAAGACTTCGACGTCCTCGTCGTCTCCGGCGGAAATTGGGAACACGTCACCAAGAACAAGGAAGAACCACTCGGCCTCATCAGAGCATTCGCCGATCTCCAAGAACACAACGCTCAGAAGGAACGCACCATCCTCTCCGTAGACACCGGATCTCTCTTCCTGGCCGCCGAAGGCATTCTACAGGGCCTAAGTGCAACCACCCACCCATCAAACTACATCAACCTCGAGATCCTCGCACAGGAATCAGCCCAGAAAGACCTCGATACTCGTACAGAAGTCGTCGAAGGTGAACGATACGTCGTCAACCAAGGCCGTTTCGACCTCGGCGACAACCTCGAAGACAACCCGTATGTCTTCCGTAAGAACCCTGCTCGCAAAGGAAGCATAGGCGGACCAGTCCGAAAAGGCAGCGAGGCACGAAAGATGTCCAATGCACGAAGAGAGAGTATTGTCCGACGAAGCACGATGAGACTGGGCGGTATGCGAGTCGTGACTGCCGCTGGCTCCACTTGCGGAATTGACGCGGCCATGTACCTTGTCTCGGCTCTTGTGAGCTTCGAGTCTGCGCAGCACATCAGTGACAAGATGCAGTATGAGTGGAAGAAGGGTCTTGTTGTGGATAGTATCGACGTTTGATCGGGAAACCGATCGTTCATAGGAGGATGGGAGGGCAGATGATAAATCATCACACACAAACAGATATTCAGTCTAAATGTGCTGACACACTACTATATTACTGTAGTTGGCTGAAAGAAACAAAGCCATTGAGAAGCAGGAATCAAATTGCTCAAATTTGCATAGCTGAAATTTCACAATGCATCTTGGTGTTTCACTGACTATAGTAATTTCAACAACTTACTTGGCATTATCGTTTCTCAAGTTGTGACAGATGTATGCATTGTTGAATTGTCTCAGTGGCGGAATTATGGCCTTGATCGAAGATACACAAAGATGAAGGCGACAGGTATGTATAGCATTACAAATCCTCACGAAGCGCTACCTGACTGCGTAGCTAAACGCTCGACATTACATTTGTACATAACTATGTATCTACAAGACCATCACACCCGCAACAAAAGCACCAAACACAACACCAACCTTATTCAAGCTCATCTTCTCCGCCGCGCCCGTAAACGTAGCAATAGGCGACTTGCTAGTCGTAGCATTGTTGTTCCAGGTATTCCAGTCAGGAGCGCCCGTAACAGCTGCTACAGGGGTGCTGCTAGCAGCAGCAGGAGTACTGCTGACAGCGGCGGGTGTCTTACTGGGAGAAGAAGAGGCGGCAGGCGACGAAGGGTCCCAGGCGGTCCAGCTGACACTTGATACGGATGCGTCGGGCGTCTTGATTGTGGAGGCGTCTGGTGTCTTGGTGGTCTTGGAGGAGCTGGAGATTGTGCTGGTGATGACGACGGTAGAGGTCAAGATGGTCCTTGAGCAGACTGGCGTTCCCGAGACGAGGAGAGCTGAGCAGGACGAGGTGATTGGGTATCCTGGGATTTCGACGTGGTATGTTGTGCAGCTGGTGCTGGTGCTGGGGGCGGGGGTGATGCAGGAAGAGCTTGTTATGGTGGTGATTGTGGTTGTCTTATCGTTGCCACCATTGTCACCGCTGTTGCCGTTGCTCTTGCGCGTCGTAGTGGGCCATGCAGTCCACTGATCGTCAACTCCATAGGTAGAAGTTGGAGTGTAGGTGGATGTAACAGTTGTAGTGCAGCTAGTTGAATCGCTAGGGTCCCAGGCCTGAGAAATGTTAGCTGATGTAATCACACATAGAAAAGAAACTCACAGTCCAGGTCGGAGAGTTGTTGTTAGCATTGCAAATAGGTGTTGGAGTAACGGTAACAGTTGAGCATGCAGATGTGATCGGGTAGCCTGGAATCTCAAGGTGGTATGTAGTGCAGCTGGTTGTTGATGTTACAGGTGGTGTGGAGCATGAGCTTGTGGTCTTCCTTGTGCTGGTGATTGGTGTAGAGCTAGAGCGAGAGCTCGTGGTGCTTGATCCCCAGTTGCCCCAGGCTGGATCAGCCGAAGTGCTAGTGGTAGATGAGCTTGTAGTGGACGATGACCAGTCGCCCCAACCTCCATTAGTAGAGGTAGTGGTTCCGTTTCCTCCCCGGCTGCTGGTGCTTGTCGAGGTCGTACTTGTGCTGCTCGTGGTTGACGTAGTCACAGGGAAACTGCTGGTGGTGGTGGTGGTGGTGGTGACTGGAACAGATGCAGTGGTGGTGGTAGTGGTGGTACCGTTGTGGAAGAAGTGCGACGAAGTTGTAGTCGTGGTTGTGGACGAGGTTGACGTACTGGTTGTAACGTTACCATTTCCACCACTCGTAGTTGTAGTCGTAGTCGAGCTAGTCGAAGACGATGTAGTGCTGGTAGTTGTGGTAGTAGTCGTGGTTGTGGTAGTTGTCTGAGGAGATCCCAGCTTGAAGACCTTCAAAGCATTAATCTCCCAGAAAGCGTTCTGGAAAGCAGATGGGTTCTTTGCAACGTAGGAAGCGCAGGCACTGTTAGCATCAGAGAATCCGCCATTACCGATGGTGAGACCATTGGAAGCAGCACAGGTTCCGAAGTTTGGTCCGGCAGCGTCGCCTAAAGAAGTCAGATCTTATAAGCATTAACCATTTCAAGGACATACCGCAGAAAGTGGTGTCAAAGACAAGGCGATGCTCCTTGAAGTTAAGGTCAACGTTGCAATCACTTCCACCGATCTTAGCAACAGGCTTGACACCCCAGCTACTTGGATCTGGGTGGCTAGCATAGACGTTGCTCGGGATGCTGCCTCGGGGAAAGAAGTAAACGGAAATAGCATCGCTGGTCCACTCCATGGCATATACACCACCACGGTTGTCATTGAAACCTTTGCCGAAACTCTTCTGGTCGCTGTCGGTAATCTTGCATCCAACATAGTTGGGGAAGCCATCTTGGTAGTTGCAGGCTGTAGGAGAGGAGGTGCCTGAGAAGGCGGAGCTTTGAGGAACGTTGCAGGTGTTGTTGGTGTGGCCAGCAACAAAGTTGGTCACCTGGTCGTTCCAGCCTTCGATAATGTCCATCTCTCCGTTTCCAGGCCAAGTATTACTTCCTAGAGTCCAGAATGCAGGCCAAGCTATTTCCCGTTAGCGTTGATATTGTGCCAGAACACGTTTGACACACCTCCACAAGCAAACGGCATATGTGTAATATCAGCGATGATAAGTCCATGTGTCCACGACTTTGAGCTCTCGATTCGTACGCTGGTTCTACCAACTCCATTGACGAGCCAGTAGCCCTTGGTGTTATCGAATGTGTTGGTCGTGTCCACGTTCATGTATGCAGCACCACCACTGCCACCATCAATAAGATTGACTCCATTGTTTTTCGAGCCGTAGGTTGAAGCTGTGTTTCGGTCGACATAGGTGACGAAGCCGTGAGTAGGATCTGCATCGGCGAAGAAGTTGAAATTGTCAAAGAAATTACCAGAGAAGAAATCAGTGTCGAGGTTGTAGACCTTGTCGGTTCTTGATTCTAGAGGAGCAGCAGTAGATGAGGAAAGCAGAGACAAAACAGAAACGAGGGTAGCGCTCGACCTCAGAAAGAGTGATGAGGACGGCATTTTTGCTGAAGAGCGACTGTGGTAAGTAACAACGAAGAACGACTTAGCAACTGACCAAGAACGAAAGAGCCTCAGTTGCGGTACATCGTTGTTATAGTATATGCTCCCTCCTCAGGAGTAGCGCCACGTGAGACACGTGCGTCCGGGTAGTAAATTAAATACATCAGTGCATATTCAGACGTCCGCCATATCCTTTGTGTACATGTGCTTCAATATTGTTGGAGCCTCCTCGCTTCCGGGACATACTGGTGGGAAACGACATCTCGCTGCCAACGATCGGGTAGAGTTCGCCTGTACTTGGTTGCGATCCAGAGGAAACATCCTCACGGCTTCGAGCTAGACCATTACTGGCGATAGATCAGTAACTAGAAGGCTCCGGGCTGGCCAAATCAGCGCTGATATATTCTGTGAGCGAAGTACTGGTACATCTAGACGGCGATCTCGTATCGCAGAGCATACAACGTGGTCGTGGCGTGAGCTGAGGTCAGGGCTTTGAATGGAAGCCATCAAAAGGAGGCGGAAGCATCGATTTGGCACGATTGAAAGTTATTGCCGGTGATTTATGCTCAGGAGATCTTGATACCAGCAATGCTAGACAATTCCACTCATACCGACACTATGCCTCTCTGGAACAGCTTAAGTCAATAGCGCTTCCCCATTCTCAACCGAACAATTTCCACCTTGCCAATGGCTAGCTGAACTCGCCTGTGATGTTGATGGCAAGGCACATTCGAGGCTGATACCTTTGAACGCATCTGGCTTCTCATCTTGTCCAGCTCAGGGCAATGTCAGAATGATGATCGTTCATATCTTACATGCCTAGGCTCTGATGGCAGGAGGGCTGCCTGAAGTAGGAGTAGGTCCTATGTAGTTCCGGTTCGTACCGATGAGGTATATGCGCCTGCTGTGCAGTACTTGAGGCTTTGAAAGCAGTACTTGCCATTTTCGATAAGCGAGCTGAAAAGGGAACCAAGAAATCACGACCCACATACGACAGCCACCTGGTGTGGAAGAGGTCTGAGAGACGCTCTCCTTCTACCGGTAATCACGGAGAGTAGGAGAAGGAGTTGAAAGCTAATAGTGTATGAAACACGTCCAACGACAATGAAAATATTCACGAAAAAGAAACCACACAATTTGCATTCGGACTGATATCATACTAGATGGACAAATTCTTGCAGCTGAAAGCTGGTCGAGTTGCGCCGGAATAGTCGGCGATGATTGCTTCCACCGCGGCATAAAGCCCAGGACCAAGCAAGAAGAGGCCAGAGAACATGACGATAATGTGAAACACCGTCATTGCAGACCTGCCTGCACCATTGAATAGATTGCCCTTGTACAGCTGCCAATATGCCACAGCAAAGAAGATGAAGCCGAAGAACGAGTCGAACGCCGCACCAAGCAGACTGAGAAAATCGCCCATACTTGGAATGATCTCAGCGAAGATAAAAGCCACGAGCCAGATGACAATCATGACAGCTGCCCAAACACCCCAGCCAACGATTGTGTTGCTGTGAGCGTGTCGTGACTTGCCCATGATTCTGAAGTAGACAAATTTTGCGCTGACGTTGGCATAGATTACACCAATGACCAGTGTTGGTACGACAACGAAAGCGAACGATGCCTTCTTGTATGCGAGGACTCCAAGACTGCCGAAGGCTGGTGCTGTTGCGTATTGACCAAGATATCTGAAGCCAATCGCAGGTGGAACGATGAACAAGAACGCTGAGATACCAGCCAAGACAGCGAGGGATTTCGGGAAGTCCTGTGGTCGCTCCATCTCAGAGATAAAGGTCGGGAACAGGATTTGAGGTACCCAGAGGAAGGTGATATTCAGGACTGCGTTCATGCATGCGACCCAAGTAGTGCCTCTGGGTGGGAAGGCATACGTCTTCACCTCACCAGCAGTGGGGTAGTCGCCGTTGTATCCATAACCAGGAGCCGCCTCCTTACCAGCGAAGATAAGGAAGAGAAGAATAGCAAGAGTCATGAAGAAGGCTGCGGAATATTAGCATGAAACATAAAAGTGAGGGAGGCTGGGCACTAACCTGAAAACATGGACATGAACGAGACATGCTTCAAAGTCCTCGGTAGTGACATAATAATACCCATCAATGTCACAATAACCGAGAAAACGACCGTGCACATCGAGTGGTCAGAAAGTGTGTTGATGATCTTCGCTCCAGTGAGCACATGGAAGCCAATAAGGAGGATATTGTTCGCCAACAACATGAAGGCCGTGAAGTGATACGCAACTCGACTTTTGCCAAAGACATAGTAGCCAAAATCGCAAATATCCATGATCTGAGGGTTCTTCATAATGAATTTATGCATCGTCATCGAGGTAATGTAGAACATGATGCCGGCGACAACCATCGTGATTATACCTGGAACCCAGCCAAGCACCGACAGAGACCATGTCTGAGCCATGATGGCAAGACAGACTTGGTCTCCAGCCAGAAGCCATGCCGCTTTTTGCCATGACATTGTTCGGAGCTTGATCTCATGGGTGTGATCTTTCTGAACGAGGGCGGTGATCGTGTCGATCGACTCGCCATCTGAGTCGACACCATCGACCACGATGGAGATCTTCTTCTCCTCGTCGGGATATTGCTTCTCTTCTGAATAGGTGGCAGCCATTTTGATGGTGTTGTGCTGCATTACTCAATGGAGCTAGGTCGGTGTAGTAAGTTGGAGAGAGAGGTGATCAGCCATGCAGCAGAAGGCTGGACTTTAAACACTTTCTGCACACCAGTATCCATCCCAGTGTTCGTAATCCATCTTCAGCCGCGGGCGATCTCTCACGCGAAGAAAAGCACGTTATCAGATGCGCATCTGTAGCTTGAGCATAACAGGCAACACGAAGCTCACTTCGGCCAAGTGTCTCAATCACCTACAATGTGATAGGACGCAGACTCACAGCTGAAGAGATCTGGACCTGCATGGCCTTTCCCTGTGAACGTTTTCAGTCCGTATCTCTGAAATCGCTGGAAGTCAAACATCACGGCAAACCAAGCTCGACAAGCTCGGCAAGCTCAAACAAGCTTCGGCACGTGGCACTGAGATCCAAGTGTGCAAAAGTCAAGATGATATTTCTACTCCACAGGGGACACTACACGAGCCTGGATCATTATGCGATCTATCTCTGATTGGTGAGCGTTTTCGTTGACTCGAGTGTGCTCGTATGAGATGGATTGTTTCCGACGAGCCGGGCAAGTGTTGCTCAGCTCTTCGACCGTTTCGCAGTACACTTTTTCAACATGCAATTGACACGAGGATTGGACGAAGCAATTGGTTGGTAGGGGACCATGCATGCAGGGAAAAGCAGGATAGTGAGGTACAGGGCAGGGTCAAACGATACTGAAGACAGATGTAGAACGCGAAGCTAAATTCGGTGTCGAAACTCTGAGTCGCTCAACTGCAGATGTGGTTGGCTGCTTTTGTTTTCAGCTGAAATCTGCAGGAGAGCTACCAATTCTCTGGAAAGAGCATGTTGTGCCATTCCTTCCGACTGCTGCACGAGATTAAACGAGTGACTGTGCGGTTCTTCTCCGATTCCCACCCATCCTCTGCGTCGCAAGCATCCGCTCACCTCGTTCTTTCCACTTCCTACTCACTTTGTAAAATATGTTGATGATCTGTATTTCGATATTGCCAAGATCGTGCGACCCAGGACCTTAACGACTCGAGATAGTCAATCTTGAATTGAAATATGCTGCCACCACAACTTGAATGACGCGTCGAGAAGCTGATTCGTGGTGGCACTTCTTCGCCATGATCTCCGCCTAAATGGTCGTGCTCGCCTCAAAGCCCTCCTCTTGGGATGTTTGCCCATTCCGTGGCGGTAGAAACTCCATGAGTTGCCAAATGCGTCGCTCGTGGTGTTGTCCATAACTTGACTAGGTCGCTGCTGCATATGGCTGAACGATCTCAACAGGTTTACGACGTCTGCTATGCGACACTGGCTCAGAATACCGTACATGATGCAAGAATTAGCATACATCTGATCACTCATTGAGGTTTGACTTGTCCACGTGATAGTGAGCGATGTAGTCTTGATGAGTTCGACCGTGAGGGTCAATGATGGTTGCTTTGTTACCATGCAACAAGAGTTTGCTCCGACAGAGCCAAACAATGCTGCTCCGTATCGCCTCATCAGTCGTAGCCACCACCAACTTGAGAAGCAAAAGCAGTTGACACACTTCTGGCATCCTCATCCTGTGTCACAGTGTTCTTGCCTCGTGCATAGCCAGGTCGATCAGGTGGTGCACCCTCAACATATCGCTTCAGCCTATCAGACTGATTGTAGCTTGCTGTCTTATTTGGCCCAGAAATAGACAAGTTGTCGAGGTTAACACCACCAACAGTGCTAGCTGTAATGTCGCTTTCTGTGGCGACAGTACTTTCTCCAGCCACTGAAGGAGGCATATTGTTTTTGCCTTTACTGATGCCATTTTGACCCCGTCTACCACCTGCTGGATTGTTTAGACCAGGCCAATTGTCGGGAGTGAAGCCTTGAAACATAGGTGGGTATCCAGTTGGAACGCCAACACCACCCATCGCTGAAGAGTGAATAGACGAGACGTCATCTGGGATGTAACCGACGATCGAGCCTTCATGAGGAGCATTCTGGTTGCGGTGACCATTTCTAGCATTGCCATTCATCATACCACTAGCCATGTGAGAGGCGTGCTGGTAAGCCATCTGGTATCGTTGAGGCCCTCTGTAAGTTTGCTTGGGTCGGCTGAATTGGTGCAGAGAGATTTGGAGGTTCGAAAGTGGTCCTTCAACGAGACAGTTGCGCTCCTTGAAGTGCAAGAGCAAGTAATGCCATAGAGGATGCTTGGAGAGGACTTTTGGATTTCCGACAATAACCAGACCGTACTTGGCACGAGTCAACGCGACATTGAGACGTCGTGGGTCCGACAAGAAACCGATACCTTGGTGATCGTTGGAACGGACACAAGTCAAGATAATGTAATCCTTCTCTCTACCCTGGAAAGCGTCGACCGAAGCGACTTCAATTTCCTTGTATTGTTCCTTTTTGTATGTACCAGATGCTTGCATCGAGCTAACCACATAGCTTCTTTGACCCTCGTAAGGAGTGATGATACCAATATCTTCGGGCTTAACACCTGCCTTGAAGAATCGTGTCACTAGCTTTTCGACATTCGCAGCCTCTGTTCGATTGAGGTAAGATGTGCCAGAGGCTGAGATCTCTTCGTTGCCGAGATTGGCCCAGAACATCATTGGGTTGTCTTGGACTGGCCATGGGAAGTCAACGTCCTTTCGGAGTCGCTGTTGCATAGTGACACCATTTTGTAGGGATCCTTCATAGAACATGTTGGAAGGAAATTCTGAGAGGCAGGGGTGCATTCGATACTGCACATTCAGTCGGATGGGTGCACATCCTAGAATGACAAGTCGTTCAAACAGCGACTGGTTCAGTCCAGCCTTTGCCGCTTTCTTGTTCATGATGACGGGGCCAAGTTGTTGATGATCTCCAACAAGTACAACCTGCTTGCAACCTAGCACGAGTGGGATCATACACTCGGGTTCTGCTGATTGTGTCGATTCGTCGATAAGTACAGTTCTGAACTTAAACTTGGCAAGTCGAGGATCACCAGCACCTACGCAAGTGCAGCAGATGACATCCGCGTTCGTCAAGATCTCTCTTTCCGCAGCTCGAGTGAGAGCTTTGAACTTCTTTTCATCCTGGCTGGATAGTTCACCAAGTTCGGCCTTCAATTGGTAGAGCTTGGCAAGCTCGACGTTGCTGTCGTTCATTCTGACCTGCTCGTGCAGTGACAAGAAGCCGACTGGTGACTCAACGTCTTCTCTGGATTTGGCAGTCACCCTCACAGTCTTTAGACCTGTTTTGTGAATGCGCTCGCATAACTGGTCGACTGCCACGTTGGAGGGAGCACAAACTAGAACCTGGCCACCATTGATCTTCGACAAGTGGTAGATAATGGTAGCAGAAGTGACAGTTTTGCCAGTACCAGGAGGACCCTGAATCAGGCTCAATGGCTTTTGCAAGACTGATTTGACGGCATTGATTTGTGAACCGTTAAGCTCCGGCAGACCTAGAACACTGAACTTCTTAGGTAATTGAGTCTTCATAGGTGCCGCAGCCACTTCGTGTCCAAGCAGTCGGTGGAAAATGTAGCCAGAGACAGACATCTCGTCTATCGCGAAGGTCTTCATGGCAAGTTGCATTCGATCGAATGAGGTGGCTTTCCATACATAGTCTGCAGTGAAGTTGTGGGTGCATTCGGTTGGTACAGACTTATGATCACCCTTGGCGCGCAGTTCTATCGTGACTTCGTCAGATTGATTGTTAGGAATTTTGATGACATAGCCAACGCCCTCCCAGTTTGATCTTAGCTCGCCAGTGTACTTTATGCGCATCTCGTCACCAACGGCTAGCTTGACATCGCCCAATTCCAGCTTGGGCAGGACAAAACTAGCCAAGTGCTTGTTGTTCAGACCAAGATCCCACCTTACGATCAGGCCATCTTGTGACTGCGACTCTTTCAACTTCTTGTCGTAATCCGCCTCAATCTTGACCAGAGGGCCGAACACGTTCTGGTATTGGTATGCATCATCATACCGCAGCAGGACAGGAGCAGGCTCGTCGTCGATGTTAGCAGCTTTCTCCAGGTCCGTCACAGTCGCAGCTGCGTTTTCTTTCCACAACTCTTCTAGTTTAGCAATCATCTGCGGGGATAGATGTCGTCCACGTAGTTGTTCCTGGTCAGTTGGCTGAGCCACAAGCCATGAGAGGAAAGATCGATCTTCGATAAGTGGCTGCCACCTTGAAGTGTCCCAGTTCATATCTTTGGAGGAAGGCATGGCGGCGCAAGGCTGACGGCACAGCAGAACTACAACAGTGTCTGATTTGGCGGGTATGAAGCCGAGAAGGAACACGTTCTTGGTACCACAGTTGTAGCACTCGAGTACAGTATCTCCCAAGGAACTGCTAGGATGAAGCTGAACTTCCTTGTGTCGTGCTCGAACGAGGTGGTTGACAATATGGGAAGAAGAGGTGTTGCCTCTGGCGCTGCAGAACCATTTGCTGCAGGATAGACACCTCACTACACTCGCGGGATTGTGTATGCCGCAATATCTAGAGTAATGTTAGCCACGTGCGTTCCTTGCGATCAGTTTACCTACGCGCAAGCATGTGGAGGCAATTCCTTTTCCTCTTCCTCTTCCTGTTTCTCCTCTTTCTTTTGGGCTTGCGCTGCGCTGGTCAGGCTCTCTAGGTCGTCCTCCTCGCCATCAGCTGATTCGTCGTCGTGATGTCTTCTGCGAGGACCTTTGGCCAGACTAAGAACACTCTCATCTGCATCAAGGGTAGAGGCATCGTCTGTAGCATTGATCGCAGAGGCTGAATTTGAAACCATATGGTTGCCCATGGTGTTAAAGGCCTCCATCTTGCTCGTCTCTCTCGTTAGGGTACTGAAGTGTTAAGTCAAGTCAAGATTACAGGCTCAATGGTCGAGATTCAATCACAACTCTTCCACTATTTCCCGCTTCGACACAGGCCTAGGCGTCCAAGCCACACCCGGATCTTGACACGAAAAACTGGCTACGCGCACCAGTAGACGCCCCAAATTAAAGCACACAAAGGAACAAAAGATGTCGACACTCTCAATATGCCTCAACTTGGAGGAATTGGTGCGAATTGAGGATTAGAGAACGGTACGCTCGAAATTCAGACAGGCAATGGTTAGGTGCGGAGACTACTACCCGGCTATTTTCCGGCAAGTGTTGTGCCTGAGTGGCAGGAGCAGCTTTGTGCTGTACACGTCCGACCATGGTGCTGAATCTGCGGCCACTTGATTGGTAACACTTCTATAAATGCCTGTGGTTGTTCGCAATAGCAATTTGAGCTTGAACTCGGACTTCACTTCTGGATTACTCGTGTGAGGAACTTGAATACCTGAGGTGAGATTACGCACTAAGTGGTATTAGGTTGTGAATTCGAATATTTGGAACTATCACAATCTACCAAGCTAATAGTAAATCGAGCTCTTCCCTGGACATCTATACAGGACGCCGAAGCGGATGTGCCTCAGTATTGAGCACAAACTCATCAAGACTCACAAGCTCCGGCTCACTGAATATCAGATAGAAATACTTCAATGTCTCCGCGAAGAAGAAGCTCTCCATCCTGTCTTCTTTCGGCGGTAATTGCAGTTTATGTACTGTTATGTCAGTTATTGCCGCATTAGCAAATTCTGTCTTGGTCAAGTCGTTGATCGTCGTGAACATATCCCATGCCGCATCGCGATACTTCTCGTCGCCAGTGATCCGGTACAGTATGAAGACGCTTTCGACTGCTTCGGGCCGGAGGATGTAGCGGCGGTCGTCGATACTAGTATAGCCTTTGGGTAGGTTCTTGGATTTGATCACTTCGTTGATATTGACGCTCTTCCCAGAGTCATCCAGCCTCGCCGAAACTTCTGCCAGCCACTTCGATTCGTCCCATGGGCAATGAGTCTTGGATTCACATGCCACGAAATGTGCAATCTCTGGCATTATTCCTTGGTCCATGGCTCGATATGCCCAGATACAGCCGTCAGTCAACTTGCGTGCAAGTGTGACGTGATGCTCGTTCTGGAATAATCGGCCACCAAGACCAAGCATGCCACCAGCAAAGCAACCAAGATGTTGACCTCTAGATTCGGACGTATACGATTTGCCATCGTCACTGGCTCTAGCATCACCACCAATCAGAATGTCGTCCTCGTTGGGTGTCATGGGTCGGAAAAAGAGAGCTTCAGTTGCTGAGGACATCGATTGTTCGTAGAGCTTCTGATAGACAGGCTGCAGACCACCAAGCAGAGCATATTCTTTAGGAAAGTATTCGTACAGGCTATCACTCATGCCACCAAAAGTAAAACCTGTATCGCTGGTGAGGTCCAGGTCCTTGGGGTTTACAACGACTGGCCAGAGGCCAGGTAATTTCGTCTTCAACTGTTGACTGTCGAACAAGGTGGTGATCCTGTGAATAGCATCATAGAACCTCTGATCACCAGTAAGCTGGCTCAATCTGGTGAACTCTAGTGTAAGAGAACCGAGTTCGGAGACGAGTTGACTATCTGGTGTCTCTTGCCGCTGGCCTCGAGAGGCGGCTTCCCAATCCCACCTTGTGATTGGGAAGTGGTTAGGTGTATCAAATGCCACTAGTAGCATGTCACCCACGTCAATTGCTCGATCGAGGAGGCGAGTATCACCACTCAGGTCGTATGCGCTCAGGAAGCCACCCAGGTAGCGGATAGTAGTCTCGAAAATATTGATCGTTTGATCAGTAGAGATGCTGAAGTCGATCTCTCTGGTTGCGGCAACTGCTTCGTTGAAATCGTCTTTCATATCCATTATCCACAAAGTATCGAGAGCGTCCACCAAGCTAGCTGCCCAGCCACCGAAAGTGTTTCGACCACCGCCCGTGATGGGTGACAGCTCGTCGTACAGCCAGGCTTTCTCCTCGTATGATCTCCAGCATCTTTGGAAAGCATCCTTGACTTGGCTTCGCCGCTCTAGCCTTTGCGCTCGTGCCGCAGCTGATTCTGCTCCAAACTTGTGTTGCACATTAGGTAATTTCTTCGGCGAGCCAGATGGCAATGGTGTAAGATGTCTGAGAGGGAAATGTTGAATCCTGGCTGCCCAGTGGAAGCGACCGTCGTGAGCTTGTTGAGGTCGTTCGTAGGGCTGCGAAGGCGCGAGGGGTCGCAAGGGAACCGAGAAATAGGCGTGGCCTGAGTAGAACAGGAAGAGAGCGAACGCAGCAAGACAGAGTAAAGAGATATACCGCTTGGGCAGCGTCGTGACAGTGTAAAAGTGCGACATGGTTCACATTGTGTGGTTGAGCGAATGTGGGACTAAAGAGACCTTGAACGTGTTTGCCTACCTCTATCGACTGGCGAGCGCAATCGGATGTCACTGGTGAGTAATGCTAGTATCCGTTTCAGTACTTGTACCTCCCTCTGTGTTGGCCTGTGCTCCTTGCATAATGTGTTCCGCCCATTGTCTCTTACGAAATTGCTCCCATCCACTTGCTTGAATCACAAACGTTGCATCGTCAAGTTTCCTCACAAAGATCTCGAGGCTGTATCACAGCAAGATGCTGATCAAGTTAGGACTACAGAGTCCTCGCAGTACTCTTCAACTTGGTAAAGCCGAGGACGATTCCGCAGTAGTGTCTCAAGAGCTCCACGCAACCAGGAACGGCCCGCGATCTGGCACGTCCTCCACATAGACCTTTCTGCCTCAGGCACAAATATTTTTTCGATCGTCTGCTTCACATACATTTCGAACACAAGAGATCGATACCTCCCTCACCACGAACTGCCCCCCTTCTCACAGCCAAGATGATCCGCCGACAAGCCCGCGAACGGCGCGACTACCTCTACCGCCGTGCCATCCAACTTCGCGACGCCAGCATCGCCGAAAAGCGCAACCTTATGAAAAAGTCCCTAGCCACAGGCAAACCACTCGATCCCACTATCGCAAACGACAAATCCCTCCGCAAAGACTATAAATACGACGAATCCCTCGATGCCGAGACAGCCGAAGCCCAAGCCAGCCTCGACGACGAATACAGCATGCTCTCCGGCCTCGCAGACCCACGACCCCTCGTAACCACCTCCCGCTCGCCCAGCACACGACTCGCCGCCTTCTCAAAAGAAATCCGTCTCGTCCTCCCCACAGCAATACGCCTAAACAGAGGAAACACAATTCTGCCCAATCTCCTCAGCAGTGCGAAAGCCGCCGCTCTGACGGATATTATCTTATTACATGAACACAGGGGAACACCCACCGCCATGACAATAAGCCACCTCCCACACGGCCCAACCGCAAAATTCAGCCTCCACAACGTCGTCCTGCGCGCCGATATCCCCAACGCCTCGCGCGGAACCGTCTCAGAATCCTATCCCCATCTCGTCTTCGAAGGCTTCACGACAAAGCTAGGAAAGCGTGTAGTACAGATCCTAAAACACCTCTTCCCGCCACGAGACGGCCCGCATAAGGTCGGGAACCGGGTCGTTACATTCAGAAATATCGAGGATAGCATTGAAGTAAGGCATCATGTCTTTGTGCAGACGGGGTATAGGGACGTGGAACTCGCGGAGGTTGGGCCGAGGATGACGATGAGGTGTTTTGAGATCAAGGGCGGGACGCTGGAGAAGGATAGTGGTGGTGAGGTTGAGTGGGCGCTTACGCAGTTTACGAGGACTGGGAGGAAGAAGGATTATCTCTGATGATGTTTTGTTCTTCGAAAGGCATAGCGACGGCGCATACGGGTTGGATTGGTTTGGCATCAAATGCATCGAGACGGCAATGATACCCATGATCCGATGCAGAAATGTACGATGCGTTGTACACAATTTCATACAACAAAAATGTTCAGATTGTCTCAAGTTCTACCAGTGCCTCTGAAATGGGTATCTCCAGTGTACCACAACAAACTCGTGGCTATTCTCATTCATTGTGCGACCATCTAATGCAGTCGTCCTGTGTCCCAGACGCCGAGCACACGCATGCACATCATGCTAAAGTGGTATACCTCCAGTCGCCATGTACGCTACATTTTTGCAATTCGACACTCTTATAACCTGCCAAAGGCTCCAGAAACGTTGTCCGGCTCTTCTGTTGTTGCAGTGTCTGTCTCATCATTATCGATATCCTTCAGACACATCATGGCCGCCTGTAACTCGACCTGAATCTTTTCAGTGAGGGTGCCATCCACGTGCCACGCCAGCTCCTTCTCATTCGTTGGCACAATTTTACTCTTCAATACATTCTTGTCCAGCTCGACATGTTCCCGGACATCGCTCAGTAATGCTTTCTTGTGTTTGTCGAATTCTGTAATAGGCAAAATTGTGGAGGGATCGACTGCGGCGGATGCGCCTGCATTGCGATAGTCCTCCAGAATAAAGGACAACAATGCCAATGTCATTACCTCCTTAGTGTTGGACAGAGTGATGAAGTCACCTGCTCGTGGTCGCAGGCTTGTGCTCGCCCGCTTGAGTTGTTCTGGGAAAGTGTTCAAGAATGTGGCAATCTCAGCCGCTATTGGTCCTCCAACTGCATGCAACAGGTTGAGCGCTAACGGTAATATGCCTTCAGCCCAGATGGTGTATAGTATGCGACAGTGTTGTCTCTGGTCAAGGCTACCGGCAGCTCCGGGCACTTGTTGCAATACCTGCGTCACGCGAGCCGTCAAAATACTGCTAAGTATGCCTTCGATTGCCATCTCCTCCGCTACCATAGGCAAAGCACTTAGCGACGCGAGCAGACGCACTGCGTAGAGTGCATGAACTGGATCGTTGTCTGTCTCTGAGCCAGCGAGCAGATGTGACCACATGTACAACTTCAAGGCGGATTGTGTCGTACCGGTCGCAATTAATCGTTCTGTGAGTTGCGACACAACGTCCGGCAGGCGCGACAAACGCAGAACAGTTTCGAAGATGTTGAGAACGAGTGCGAGATCCTTGATCCCGATATCAGTCTTGACTATCTGCTGTTGTTGCATTTCTGCTTGCTTCTGTTCCTGCAATGTCGACACAATGGTTGCCAAACCTTTCCCAACGACCACGGTGACTAGCTCAACGATCTGTGGCATAACGCTGTTGACGTGCTTGAGTAAGTCCGCGCTTGTGTGAGATTGGCTCGCGAGAGGTTTCCAACCTGTGCCGATGTGAAACTGTAAGGTCAACAGCACAATCGAGAGGCTAGTCCGCCAGCATTGTAGATCGTCGTTTGCAAGAGCTTGTTCATAATTCGTGGCCGTGTAGACTGCGCTCTCCCATGCTGGTTTCAGGAGCTCTCGGTAGTCTGATCCGTGTACCTTCTTCCCCACTAGTTGTTGAATGAGGGCCAGAGCCATTTCGCATCGTGTCTGGACAAGGCTGTCGAAGAGCTGTTCTGCTGGGTATTTAGTGGTATTCGCCATCAGACAGCGTTGAATGACATGAGCCATGGTCTTTTGGATGTTCGCGTCTTGCACAAAGAACGCAGCATGCTCGATACAGAATCTTTGAAAGCTATGAAGCACGACAAGTTCGGCTTCCACTGTGCGTAAGTTGTCATTAGCTCTCTCTAACTCGGCTCGGTAAGATTGATCTGCACTTCTGGATCTGCTCCCTTGCGGTTTCCACGCTGAATTGCCTGCCAAAATGAGATCGGCAGCACTGAGATCAAAATATTCATCGTCTTCTGAGAGGTGTAATCGGTTGCTCTTGAGATCTTCTAGATCGAAATGGAACTTTGTTTGGAAGTTTCTGCGTAGATTGGTATGAAGTGAAGCATTATAGCTTGAGACTTCGATGCCGTTTGTCGTGAGCCAGTTGACAAGAGGAATGAAGACCTTCATTAAGCCGAGATCTCGTACTGACTTGGCATACTGCAAATGTACTGACGATAGATCTGTGACTAGTGCTATGATCTGCCATCGAAGGGCATCTGCCTTTGTGTGCTTTCGATCGGGAGTTTGCGAGACATATCGAACAAGATGGGCGAACACTTCTTGACGGGTGCGGAGCGAAGACAATGCCCACGACCAGTTTTGCTGTGCAGTGATCATGAACTTCAGAACTGCCATGATCAAGTTGTGATCGTTCATCGCGTTGGGACTGAGGTCAATCCCGATCAGGACGTCCAAAGCCCTCTCGATGATCAGCCTACCACGATAGACACTCACGTCTTTGGATGGTATTTTCCGGTCCTTGTCGGGCTTCGAACCAGTCAGAAGTACCACCGCCAGCCATTGCTGATTCCTGCTGATGAGCATGTCGAACAATCTCCAGAATGCTGCACGATTGCATTGTCTTGAGGAAGACAGCCCTGTGAGGAGAATGTTGACGGAGTCGATGGATGACTCTGACCCGAGGTGACCTAATAGTGATACCGGCTTCACGTGCGGTACCGCGACAAGCAGCGACCCAAGGATTTGTGTTGAGATCTGATCGCTGGTCAATGCATCGAGGACGCGGACAAAAACAGGCGCAAGATCAAACAAGCACAGTTCTAGCCCAGATGTCGGGAGTTGTCGAGTCCGTGCCACATTCATCAGTGTTTGTGATAATAGCAGAAGCATATCCTGGTGAACACTACCGATCGAGTCTGTGCCTAATGATTCATGCATGTCAAGTATGTCCATCAAATGCAATAGGACTGGACCTGATTTCGCATCCCCAGCAGCTTCTGGACGGAGACGAGTCAATATCAAACTGGCGGCAGAGTCGAAACAAGTCGTGAGAGCCGACGAAGTAGTCCCAATACCATATCTGAATTTTATCAAATTGTCGAAGCTATGTGATAAGTTGACAACAATTTGGGAATATCGTAACTGATGGAGATGTTTCCATTGCGACATGGACTCGAAAACCTCGAGCATATTCTGTGTCATGCTTGACAAGACCATTTCGAATGTCTTCTCTGTGTTGTTTAGAGTCTTGGATTCAGGTCTCCCACGCCATTGATGTGCGACACTAGAATCTGGGACTTTCTGCATTGCAGCAGTGACTATGTCTCGGTAGAGGCGGGACGCAACAAGTGTAATGGAGGCATCGCGTGACGCTGACTCGATACCGGACATGACCAGATAGAGTAAACTGCTTCCACGATGAGCATTGACCACGCTCGTCTTCGCAAAAGCAGGCCAAAACTTTGCGGGCTTGACCAGCAGAAATGCACGTGCGAAAGTCAATGCTGCTGCGAGCACACACGCATCGTTTTTGCCTGAAGGTCGTCGTCTGTAACCTTGTAGCTCTTGCTCGAGGATATCGAGGATTAGGTCCACAACATTCCTCCGAAGAGTAACGTGAGCACTCGCTTCGTTAATGATGACATCGACTGCAGTATCCCGATGAGCTTGGTCTTTGTTTCCTGACCAAGTTGTGCTCAAAAGGTTCGCAAGCAAAAGAATCATTTCTGCTGCTACACGTGTGGGGTCTTCACGAGTTGCCAGGACTTGGTGTAGTAGGCCATTGCAATGAAGCTCGAGCCACTCCCCAATCACTGAAAGTCCTGAGTATTCATGTATCCACTTGACGACTCTCGATTCGTCGCCCGATACGACGATCCCTTCAGTGTCTGCTTCGATAATCATTCTTCCCTGGGTATCGGCATCCTGAGTAATGAGAGACGAAGTTTCTCCAGGAAAAGCATAAGTGCTCTCATTCAAGGCAACCAGATTGGAGTTCTCATCCTCGCGAATAGTATGGTAGTTACTGAAGGGCCCACTAGCGACGGTGGTGAAGGAGTGCAACGACCTTAGGCGACAGGTTATATATTGGTTGCCTTCGTGGAAGACTTCAGCACGTGCTAGCTGTCGGCACAATTGCAGAAATGGCAAGGCTTCGTAGGGAAATCGAGCTGCCGCCAGTTCGAAAAGCCTGGCGTCTAGGATTTCCGATTGTAGAAACAGACCACACGTATCAATATACTCAAAATCATGCGAGTGTATCGACTGAGGCGGCTCAAGAACGGTAAACTGCAGCTCGAGGATGTTCTCGCTATATGCTTCTTCATCTGGCAATTCCGTGACTGCTATGACAATTAGTTCCTGCAAGAACATGAGTTTGGCCTGCTGCACCATTGGCAACAGGGTCAATGGCAAAGCTTGGGCCATGGACAGCAGTGCGTGTGCGACTCCAGGATTGTATATAGTATTTTGAAGCAAAAACGCAGCCGGATCGAGGTCAGGCGTAGCAGCTCTCACAGCGTCTCTGATCTGCTCGTATAGGCTCTCCTCAACGGAGCTTGCCATTGAAGTCCGTCTACCAGTGGCAGCATCAAAACTCCTACTTTCGGCAGACCTAGTAAGGAGCGGACTGTCTCGTCTATTTTTCGCCTCTTCGGCACGATTTTGCACTCGTTGCAATAGCAGAGCCCAAGCAAAAGCAGCAGGCATGGCTTGTAGACAACCCTGATCGAGAGCGTTCAGTAGGATTTGGTGAACCTCAAAGACAACATCAAAACTCCGCATCCAGTGCTGTTGAGTGCCTAAGTCAAGCTGGGCCGCGCTGTTAGTCGGATCTATTAATGCCAACGTAGTCAGGGAGACGAGGGAGTGTAATTCTTGGAGTTCGGCTGGCGACAGCAGTGGACCAGGTTCCATCCTGCGAAGAAATTCGTAGTCTGCCAGAGTCCTGAACCACTGCTGGACAGACTCAGCCGGGCAGGAAGAGAGGTGTCGAAGGCCCCAGATGACAACCTGCATTAGATATTGAGCATGAAAGAGCTGACCTACGGACCAGATCGAGTTTGTGTCATCGTCAAGTACAGACCATTTGGGACCTTCAGCGGCTTGCTGAATCTGCTTTACTAAGGTGTTCATAGAGTGTTGGATACTGGATTCAGTAATTCTTGGTACTTGAGACTCGTCGAAACGCAGCTGGTTTGCGATTTCTTGATTCCGCAAGGCCAGCCAGCTTCGACTCAGACCTATACATTCCTGAAAGTGAACGAAGACCTGCCTCCGGCGCCGAGCCGAATCAGTCGCGAAGTCCTCCTCATCTCTAGGTGCAAGGATTGACGTTTCGAAGCGAGCATCGAAACCCAATTGTGATCCATAGACGTCCTTCAGACTAGCAATTTCGGCACTCGAATATCCAGCGCGTAAGTGCAATCGAGGCCGATTCTGCCACTCAAGAAGAACAACTCTCAGAGCTTGTACCTCGTTAACTGCCAACTCTTGAGAGATCCATGATGCATCTGCCTTGATCTGAGGAATATCGTAGTGTTTGTCTGAAGAAGGAGCGACATTGATAGCTGCTGTAGCAGTGTCCAAACGCTTTGCGCCAACAGGTGTCTTGGTCTGAAATGAAGGGTAATCCTGGCGGATCTGTACCTGGACATGCTCGTTACTCAGTACGTCTCTCCATAGTGTCGTGTCCTGCTCGTTCGGACTCCTATCCGTCCAAGTATGTATCGGCACATTATACCATGACCTAGCCACGATTAGCGCTTCTTCAACAGCCAAATTTCTTGTAGTTCAACTCACAATATATGCTCCTCTCCTGCAAACAGTCTGGACAGATCCGGCAGATCCAGGCTGCCGTTCGGCGCCATCACTAGACTGATGGGGATCCAGATTGAGTGACAGGAGCTGTAAGTAACCTCTACCAGGTACCAGATGTCTAGCTGCCCGCTGCAATGGCCATGGTGCAGGCGCGACTTTCGCAGAGACGCGTCGAACGTAGTTAGTGCCTCAGGCTGCAACAAATTTCAGCGGAGCAAGCGGAAGGTACGCGGTACCCAGATGCCGGTCAATGCATGCTCATTCTCACCAAGAATACGCAGGTGTCACTATATACGAACGCTCGTCATGCCTGCTCTGGATCTAGTCGACCACTCCCGCGTCGACACCCCTCCTGCCTCAAAACTTGATACTGCTGCGAATCTCGTCCTCATCGACAATTATGACTCCTTCACGTGGAATGTGTACCAATATCTCATATTGGAAGGAGCCACTGTTACGGTATACAGGAATGATAAGATCTCCCTAGAGGACCTGATAGGAAAGAAACCAACACAGCTGGTGGTATCTCCAGGACCAGGTCACCCAGACACAGACTCGGGAGTGAGCAAGGATGCTATTAAATACTTCGCTGGGAAGATTCCTATCTTTGGCGTATGCATGGGCCAGCAATGTATAATATCGGCATTTGGCGGCAAGGTCGACGTCACTGGTGAGATCTTGCATGGCAAGACTTCTCCTTTACGGCATGATGGTGGGGGTGTATATGCTGATGTTCCTCAAGACGTTGAGGTTACACGTTATCACTCGCTTGCTGGTACACATCCCACTTTGCCAGAATGTCTAGAGGTTTCAAGCTGGATTGCTGCTGGTCCCGATGGCGGAAAGGGCGTCATTATGGGCGTTCGTCACAAAGAATACGTGATGGAGGGCGTACAATTTCATCCTGAGAGCATCTTGACAGAGAATGGCCGGACCATGCTACGAAATTTCTTGCGTATGACTGGTGGGACCTGGAAACACGAAATGAATTCTCATCGTCCAAATGGCGTGACCAATGGCACATCGAAGAAGAAGAAGACAAACATATTGGAGCAGATCTATGCTAGGAGAAGAGATGTTGTTGCTGCACAGAAGGCTATCCCATCGCAGAGGCCAGAGGATTTACAGGCCGCATATGACCTGGGTCTTGCTCCACCACAGATTTCCTTTACCGATCGACTACGCCAATCTGAGTATCCTATATCATTGCTCGCTGAAATCAAGCGAGCTTCTCCTTCTAAGGGTATTATTCAGATAGATGCATGTGCACCAGCACAGGCCCGCAAGTATGCTCAGGCAGGTGCTTCAGTGATTTCTGTACTCACTGAACCTGACTGGTTTAAAGGCAGTCTCGATGACATGAGATATGTCCGGCAAGCATTGGAAAGCATGCCAAATCGACCCGCCGTGCTGCGCAAGGAATTCATTTTTGAAGAATACCAGATCCTCGAGGCTCGACTGGCTGGTGCAGATACGGTCCTGCTCATTGTCAAGATGCTGGATGTACCAACCTTAACAAGATTGTACAAATACTCTCAGAGTCTAGGTATGGAGCCACTGGTAGAGGTCAACACAGCAGAAGAGATGAAAATCGCTGTCGAGCTAGGCTCCAAGGCTATTGGCGTAAACAACCGTGATCTGACCAACTTCGAGGTCGATCTTGGTACCACAAGCAGGTTGCTGGATATCGTGCCAAAGGAGACCATTGTTTGTGCACTGAGTGGCATCTCTGGGCCTCAAGATGTCGAGGCCTATAGGAAGGAGGGCGTCGAAGGTGTGCTGGTTGGCGAGGCTCTCATGCGCCCAACTGATACTATCGCCTTCATTTCCCATTTGCTTGGGGAGCCGAAAGTGCCGAAGACAACTACTAAGCAGCCATTATCTGTGAAAATCTGCGGAACGAGATCCCCAGAAGCGGCCAAAGCCGCGATAGACGCGGGTGCTGATTACATTGGCATTATCAGAGTGCCTACGAGATCAAGATTCGTTCAAGACCATATCGTCCACGAAATTGCTGAAGTCGTGAAGACCACACCGAAGGTACAGAAGCAAGAAGTGCCGGCTGCTCATGTTGGCGCTGAAGACTACTTTGAGTACAGATCAAGATCAAATGCACAGTCAAATCGAGTCAAGCTTGTAGGCGTGTACTTAAACCAAAGCCTTGAAACAATTATCGAAGAGGTACACAGGTTCGACCTTGATATGGTTCAATTGCATGGTACCGAACCATTAGAATGGACGAGGAGTATACCAGTTCCCGTCATTCGAAGATTCTCACCAGGCGAAGCTGGCTTCAGTGCGAGGGGTTATCAGGCTATCTCACTACTTGACGCTGGTGCTGGTGGTTCGGGGCAACAGCTTGATAGCGTCTCTCTTCGATTGCTGTTCGAGAAGGATCCAAGCGTTAAGGCAATGCTCGCTGGGGGGCTCAGCGCAGGGAATGTCGAAAATGTTCTTCAGAAACTGGGCCCTTACCGTTGCAACATCATCGCTGTCGACACGAGCAGTGGTGTAGAAACTGATGGCAAGCAGGATCTGTCGAAAATCGCTGCTTTTGTGAAAGCAGCTAAGAATTGAGCTCGAATCATCACTTCTGCGTCAACGACAAGCTTCTGGACGATGTCGAGGAACCATCAAATCCACGGAATTGAGTCAGAGTCAAGCAGCTACATTGCTCAGAACAGGCTCGAGCTGCTTGATTTGACTAACCACATTCGAGGAGTCTTTGTCGTGCAAAATGCCGTACTTTGCACGTGTGCCTGCAACCGTAGTACACCAGGGTGACGCCGGCCTGTCGAGGCTCTTCTGACTTTTCTCACCTCAAGTTCATTCACGAACTTGCCTCGACAGAATTAAGGTATAACTACCTTCGTTCAGCCTTCTTAAAGACATCCATTAGCAAGACCATCGAGTTGCGTGATCGTTTCTATTCTTCTTCAACAATAATCGTTCTGCAACTGTTTCGTCCACAACTGACGTTGCAAGTCGTCTACTGATTGCAGTCACATCCACATAGTAGACTCTATTTCGAACTCCTTCTGCAACGCTTCACAATGAGCGCCATTCGCAGCTTCAAGAAAACTGTCATTGCTTTCCACAGAGACCTGGCACCTCAAAAGAAAGACGATATCAGAAGGTGGGTTGAGCACGCTGGAGGCAAAGTCACATCCGAGATAACAGACGACGTGACACACTTCATTCTTCCACGAGCAATATGGCATAGCGATGACGCACAAGGTAAGTAACAACAGATTGTCCTCGAAGTAAGTCACAGTTAACAAACTGGCCGCTTTCAGTCACTGAAATTCGTCGACGAAGAACAGTCTTCTTGATCAAGTTCAAGTGGTTGAGTGATAGTCTGTCGTTCAACAAGAAGAAGCCGCTGGACGAAGTCAATCAACAATACACATGGGACGTCGCACATGCCAAAAAAGTTTGGGACAAACGAAAGGACGCACGGCGTCACAAAGCACGAATGGAGCGAGCTGCAGCTAAAGAAGCAAGCAAGCTGTCACAAGTTGAAGGTGACAAGCCATCTAGCTCAACCATAGAGGCCAAGGTCAAGAAAGCACAGGAGATTATCGAGTGTGGTATGTCTTCTCAAAGTTGACAAGCAGACTTAACTGTGCTGATTCCTGGGATCAGGACTGAAGTATGACAAAAAGTTGTTGGAGTGCGAAAGAGACATGGCTCTGAGTACGTCCTTACTACTCTCTTTTGCGCTTTTCACTGACGATTTCAGGCGGCTACCGACCTTACGTTGACAACAATGGCTTTCTGTACATGGTCACCTTGGTCCGAGACGATATCGTGCACAATATCAAGGAGAAATATAACATGAAGGTAAGGGGCCTCTTTCTTTCTTTTTTCGTATTCCTGCCGTTGCCCTTTTTCGGACCTTGCCTCCATCTAAGCTCGTTGCTGAGGCGGGACAATGCTAGTTCTTTCAGCATTATGATACTGCTCCTGGCGACATTAGCTGTTCCTCGTATTGCTGTACATCAGCGATCGAGGACGATGCTACAAATCATCTCGCACGTTTTACGATCAACGACAATACCACAGTCCGTTATCTTGAGATGGGCGGCAGCAGTCGCACAAGCGAAAGCAGTGGTAGTAGTGATTTCTGCAGCGGCTTCCACACATCAACAAGGGCAACTAGTCCTCAGAAATCAGACGCAGGATGTTCTCAGCAATCAGTATTTGAGCAATGGGAACAGCACGTTCCTTTTTCAACCTGCCCCATCGTGTCATATGAGCCAGGCCTCAGACCCTGCAGCACACCCGAAGGCAGCGCAGGACTTCGTGTCTATCTCGAACAACCAGTAGCTTACTCTTTACAGCTCTATGAGTCCTTTCAGATTCCAATGCCTGAACTTGAGTCTCCATGTGCCATGACACCTGACTCCACCACGGAGTCGCACACATCCTTCAAGACCTACCTGCCGTCCACGTCCTCCCTACCATTCACAGAGCCACCATCCCCACTACATCCCACGTCCTCCGATGCGAGACCTAAGGGAACAAATGATTCAGGAAAGGAGTATCGTCTCGTCTGCCACTACACTAAACGCATGGGCAGGCATCGTAGTGTGCAAACCGAGGATCTAGTCCCACGGCACAGCACGTTTGAGTTCGTGATGGAGATGTGGAGAAAGATTTTCAAGAACAAAACAAAAATCACCTGGAACGCAGCTCTTCATGGAGATGCAAACACCACACAGAGGAAGGATAGTGGTATTGCACTAAAAGATGATGGCAATAGCCATAACGTCGAGCGCACGGTTTCGGTGCATCGTCTCCAAGGTCAAGACCACACAACTAAATATTCTGAGAAAGATCCTGGTGTGCCTGCGATACTTGCAAAGGCTGATATTGCAAGCACCTACCAGCGTCAGTCCTTCCAGTACATCCCAAACCTGACGGAAAATATTGCTCATTTTGGGAAACGATATCTCGATATCTATGGCGAGAACTGGCTCACCAGTCATTGCACAGAACTCAAAGAACAGTCGTCGAAGCTTCCACTCCTTGCGCATGATAACGCAATTGTGCCAGAGAACAAGCCAGAATTCTTGGTTTGTGACGACCATGTTGACACTGTGTGTGAATGTGTCCTAAGTGTCTGAACATCGCCACTTTCTGGAGTCAGCAGAGGTTGTTTATGAATATAGCCTACAGGCTTGAGTACTGAAAGCTGCAAACAGAATCGGAGCACATCCATTGGAAACTAATGAGCCTGTGAGTAGCAAGAATATCCGAAAGGGTTGCATGTGCAGAGGGCAAGTTCAGGTGCGCATTGACCAATTTCTGTCCATGAGCATTTGAGTCGAGGCTGCATTCAGCTCTTTAAGCATCGCTTGTCTTCCGCAATATCTGATCAAGGCACCAAAGCTGCTCGATTTCGAAACGATTATGAGATATGGGTGCTCACCTCGGCATGATGATGCAGCGAAATGGAGATTGCAAAAGACACTAGCGGCCCGACTACGCACTGCATCGAACTAGACAATTTTTGAACTTGAGGTCTTCAGTGCCTGATAACTTTATTTCATGCTTCCATTTACTGTTTCATTCCATGTTTTGTTGATTAATTCTACATTATGTCTTCCTTATTCTTTCGGACGATACTCCAGCAACCTCAGCAATTGCCCAGGTATTGCAAGACGTTCAAGCTGGGACAGGTACAATCATGTATTACCACAACACGTTGCTTTTCTTCAACAAGAACCAGATGTAATTCGGATTTGTCTCAACCTCAAACATTCTCAACACATCATCCACCACGTCTACACGATCGTGTTGCCATTGTCACGGGATCATCTTCGGGTCTTGGCCGAGCCATTGCACTACAATATGCATCCCACGGCACTAAGCTAGTCGTTTGTGCAGATTTACAGTCCGAACCACGACATGAAGGCGTCGAGCAAGACTCGGTGCCGACTCATGAAGTTATCAACCGGATGTATGGCAAAGCTAAGGCGGTCTTTGTCAAGGCCAATGTGAACAATACCCAAGAGGTAAAGGAAATGGTAGAAGCTGCTGTGAGGCACGGTGGTAGACTGGACGTGTAAGTGTATGGCTGTGAGGATCGAATTCGTGCTTGTCGTCTGTGCAAGCCTGGTCTGCTGAAATTCTCCCAACCATCAGTACGACTTGCCAGCCAGAAATCTCCTGGTCTTGGCGTGTACGGAACGACTGACACTGCTTCGCGATACAGACTAGTCAATAACGCTGGCCTCGGCAGCACTTCAGGATCTCCTTTTGTCCATGACCTGAAAGAAGAGGATTGGGACCGTGTTCTGTAAGTGTGCTCGATAATGCTTTGCCTCGAGATCCCAACTATCTGTAGCGTCAGTGGACCACTAATTCTCACATTTCAGAAACGTGAATCTTCGTGGGACGTTCCTGACCAACAAGTACTCCCTGCGACAGATGATTAATCAAACAGCAATACCACTTCCTTCAGCATCTACCTCTTCTTCACCACCACCAGGCTCCGGTTCCACTTCATCCACCACAGACCTCTCTGAGCACCCTCTCGCACGTCGCGGTACCATCATCAACGTCAGCAGCATGCTCAGCACAATAGCATTACCGGATGGCACTGCCGCGTATTGTGCATCGAAAGGCGGAGTACTCAACTTGACCAAGCAGTTGGCTCTAGACTATGCGAGGTATAAAATCAATGTCAACGCTTTATGTCCTGGGTACGTTCGCCACCGTTACCCACTCCACCCGCTCTGCTCGTGTGACAATAACTGATACTGACTCAACTTGCGATAGTTTTCTCAAAACAGCAATGACATCAGGAAACTGGGGTAATGAAAAGACGAACGCGGAGATGATAAGCACGACGCCGTGGGGTCAATGGGGACGAGCGGAAGATGTCGCGAGGCTGGCTGTGGCGTTGGCGAGCGAGGATGCAGCTTGGGTTACTGGGGAAGGGGTTGTTGTTGATGGTGGGTATAGTGCACAGTGAGTGGGCAACCTAAAGAGTTTGAAAGTAAAGCATAGAATTAGAGGGAAAGATAGAAGGCCTAGATGTACATGACATGCTAGCTCGTGTCGCCAATCTCAAAAGATCGATTACTGTGTTGTATGTACTATAGCTGAGTTCCCGTATGTTCAGTCGATCCAACTCCAAATAGCCGCTTCGTATTAAATACTTGTGATGCGCCTTATTAATTGCCTGGTTTACTCGTCAATTTTAAATCATGCCTTACTCCGCTTTGCTTTGCTCCATTCATTTCAAAAACGTCGTCTCACAGATCTACAACTCACTCGCGTGGTCAGCGTTCATCCCATCAAACCTCGTTCCAACCACCTTCTGCCGCCGCCGCTGTTGCTCACTTCGTGTACCATTACTATCCTGCTCCTCGTCCTCCAGGTTAATGCCCGGTCTCATGTACGGCAACGCCCACATGTCCAGGTTGTGCGTCGGCAGGACTTCATTGTTGCCGTCGACTGAGTATGGGCCTGTTGCTTTGCACCAGTAGCCTAGGTCGGTGGCTTGTTCGAGTTCGGTGGTGCCGTCTATGCAGATTACGTAGGAGAGGGTTGTTACCTATAAGGAAAAGGGTTAATTCTCTTGGTCTTAGTTGATAAAGGAAGAGTAGGGTTAGCGTACGCAATATAATTTGCCAGGTCTATGGTAAGTGCTGCATATTTTTTGGGCGAGGTCATCTCCCTCAGTGGCGGTGACAGAGGTGAGGAGGAGGGCGAAAATAGAGACAAGGCTGGCGAAAAGAGATGGGCCGTACATGGTCGCGGTGTTTTGAACTTTTGCTAAGGTAATCGAGTTGTAGATCTAAGCTACTATATAGTAAAATCTCTTTGTGGAAGCACACGTGGTTGCAAGTGATAAGATGTTTTCAACTCGTTGGACAAAGGTCCACGTGTCAAATAACTCAGAAAGCCACGCTTTGTGTTTGCGTTAACGTTTCAGTATGTGGAATGAGCGGCTTGTGTTTTGGAGTTAACGTTCGGAAGCAGTAAATATTGTTATTGCTAAGAGTCGATTCGACTTTAGGGGAGCGGAACTGGGGTGGTGATGGTCAAACATATCCGACAACCCGCTTTTAGGAATGATATGCACGATCCAGCCGGCAACTCTTCTCCTGCGATATCGATTCAGCCAAGTGCCAAGGCCGGCAATGCTGAAAACAGTCTTCTGGGCTTCCGCCAGGGCGAAAAAGTGGGTGAATGCCCTCACCAGCGTACCCGGTACCTTTCTTGATGAGGGCGTGCCTAGATCCTATATCATGTGGACTCTACTCGACTCTCTTAAATAAAACTACCGGTTTCAGGGCTTAGTCCGGCCTATCGGTTTTGGTTATACCGTCGATGAGTTCTACGCAGACAATCACCATTCGCGGCTCAGTAACGTTCAGCTACACCACTCGAGAAAGAAACACACCTAAGAAAGAGGCAGATTCGTCGTCACTGATTCTTGTGCCCAGTCCTGAGCATGGACCACGATACTCAAACTTTTTTAAATTAGCTATCGGCTAGGAAGAATTGGACTAAAGCCTTTGTTAGAGGGTGAGGCTGCCTAAGCTTTCTGTACAGCCCCAGCAAGCAAAAAGTCCATTATGCAACCCTTCAAACTAACCATCAATACAGGTTCGTATCTCATTGTGAGCTTGTCGTTGTCATGACAATCAGGTATTATCATCGTTATTGTCAAGTTCATTAATCTCCCAGATAAGAAGTTCAAATACTCCTCCAACTCCATGCAATATATTCAAAAGACATCTTCCGGCCAATCCCATTTCTCCTTTTCGCTCGTGGCCTGCGCATGCACATCATTCTCTTTGCTATCGTCAGCTCCGTCGTAAGACTGTCTTGACTTTTGTGGTGATCCTCCTACAGGCGTACGAGTTTTGGTACTTTTGCAGGCTGCTGTACTATCTTGTCCTTCACCTTCGCTTTCGGCTCCTTCAATTACTATCGACAGTGGTCTAGGAAGCTCGATAGCTCTGCTGTTCCGGCGACTTTGAGTGTACCGTTTGATTTTCGCAGGTTCTGGGGTTCGGGACTGGTTTCCATCAGTTGGTAATAACTTTCGTCGAGAATCTGATCTAATTGGTAAAGGTGGAATTGGTGGTACGGGGGAGGACTCTCCAGCGATAGCACGCACTGTAGAGGGGGCTGCAGACTGCGACGAATGCTGGCGGGTGTTGTGGACTTTCGTGGAAGCTAGTGCTGGAGTGTCCTTTTCTTTCTCGTCTGTGTGTATCTGCCAGTTTGAGGTTGTAGACCTGTCTCGCGAGTGGCTGCGACTTCTTTGTAGGTGATTTCGTTCTTGATTCCGTAACATCGCTCGCAGCTGTTGGTTTTCTTTCTCAAGCTTGCTTCGTGATGTGCGCTTGGTGCGATCGGCGTCACTTTCAAAGCTTCCGACCGAATCTACAGACGTGCTGCGACTATGTCTCGAAGATGCGTCAGGGACATTTGAAGAGGGTGCCATGGTAGACATTAAAGCTTCAACTGTCTGTTGAGCTAGCAATTCTCGTCTTTCCTGAGCCTGTTGCGCTGCGGACGACTTCTGGGAGGATTGATTGGAGGATGGATCTTGACGACGCACAGTGGCTGATTCGTAAATGTAGAATTGCGTTTCTTGTCTAGCTTCATCGTTCTCTTGCTTGTTGCGGGCAGTACCAAACTGTTCTGCATATGCAATTTCTGCCTTTCGCTTACGATCATCCAATACCGATTTCTGCTGCTGATCATGTTGCTTCTTCTGAACCTTGTCGCGATTGTGGAAGCGCAGAGTCTTCGCTATGTGATTGTTCTTGGACCTTCTTGATTCTTCTTCCTCCTTGACCGGTGTATCATCGTATTCCGACTCAGGGTTATTGAAGATCTTCCATGATGACACAGATTTGCGAAGACCTTTCCTTGGTGATTTTGCAGCATGTGTGGTGTTTCTAACTGTCGCCTGATCGACATCCGAGTGGGAGTGCTTCAGCTTCTGACCAAAGCGTTTGATAGTCTTCTTGAGGGTAGATGGTGGCACGGGCAGAGGTTTGAATTCGTTGACATCGATCGACGAGCTTATGCTAGGTCTTCCACTAGCTGCTGTTCTTGGCGTCGACTCGTCTAATAGGCTCGAAGTATCAAGAGGATTGGAGGACGTCTGTCGCGAAAGGAGTGGCGGCTCATCCCAGGTAGATGCTGTAGCTCTCGATCCCTCATTCATGCTACCCTCTTTAAAGAACGATTTCCGGATGATCATTCGTGGTGTCTTGGGTTGCTGGCGAGACGAAGAGTAGTCTTCTGGATCCATCATAGGTAATATTGTGGTGTCTGATGTATTGCGTTGCTTGCTAGGAGTATTCTCCCACTCCATCTCTTCACGAGGTTCAAGCCCATAACTTGGTGAGGTAGGCGAACGTAGCTTCTGTGCGGCTGTCCCTTCCTCTCGAGGCTGCTCCGAAGATGCTGTTAGCCATGCATGACGCTCTTGTTGTAGTATCTCGTTGAGCGTGGACCCTTCGTCGGGCTGCCAGAAGGACTTCCTGTCATCCAGAGATATCTTGCTGATACGATATTTGCGACGTTCCATGGTCCAAGATACTGGAGAGATGGTGACATTCACGAAAGATCACGCAGCTGTCAGCCGAGTAAGTGATTCTGCACGGTCACGGGAAGGAATTTCAAAATTGTAGTGTGGGATGGACCAGCTAACCAGGTCTGGTTTCGCTGGGCCAAAAAATGCTCAATGCACGAAATCTGCGCAGGTTAAGAAAGCCAGATCAGCACGACCTACCATGAACGCCGTCCGGTAGATTTAAAACCAAGGCTCATTGTTCCTGCAACCTGGATGTGTTTGTGTTCGTCAAGGTCATGCGATGTGTCGTGTAATTGTGATGGTGTTGTTGTTGTTGGAAGCACGGTTGTCCTGCCAACCACGTGAGCGATTCGCCGCAGCTGACACTCAATTTGCAGGGTTTTGTCACTCTCAATCTGCCATACGCGACACTCGACGATGAGAACCACCAATCGTGCATTCTATCGCTGCAACCCCTCGGATATACTGATGGAGATGCGAAAACAACATGGAAGAGAGCAAGAATCATGAAGTCAAGATTGTTCGACTCAACCATGATACTGGTAGGCAAGCGGGGTTCAGCGATCCAGCAAGCGACTTTCCCAGTTCAATGCTGAGCAGCTATCTGAACTTCATGGCCGTTTAGACAGGTATAGAATCTTCTCATGGTACTCCATCGTCACGAACCTGCGAGCTGCGATTTTAGTTATCATGGCTGAAGGCTTTTAGATTCCGATGAAGTAGTTGTACCAGCGAGATGCTTTCCAGCAGCACCAGGTCGTGCAAAAACACAGTATATTTGCCTGAGGCATTAGCACATTGGATCACCAATGCACCGTACAAATGGAGAATCGTTAAGGAAGAGCTGGTGCTTTGGGCAAACATATCGAGTTTTTGCACGACCTGGTGGCAGCACAAATTGTGAACGTACTGTTCTTTTTCGTATCAGCACAATACCACAAGGTAAGCCCTCCTTGCGTTACTCATCGCGAGGCCAGAAGCATTCTCAGATTGTGTACGTACGGTATGCAGATTTGACACATAAAGAATAATATTTTCGTGAAGTGCCGTCAGTGGCTGCCAGTGCTCTTCATATGCACGAAATATGGAACCTCTGAGGGATCGCCTGAACACTAAGCAATTCTTTAGCACATGATCGTCAGCTTGGCATACGCCATACCGTAGATCAGATAGTGCCCAAGCTTTAATAAGCATTTCGGAAAGAGATTCTGATAACCCTTCTGTACTCGAGTTACGGTCAAGATCGGCATACGTATCAGGCCGCTACTGCCGTGCAAGCAGATTATGAACTTTTCCCTAGCGGAGAGCGGAAGGTACGGGGTGTACGCCCACGTCATTCGTCCCAGACTTGATCGCGTAAAGTCTCGGAGGAGTGGTTTCCAATCTCGTTCGGTTCTCGCGATGATAGCGCCACGCGGACCGTGAGGCTTGCTCACTCAGACAAATACTCTTTTGCATGGGGCGATAGGATGTTCTCTCACTTCCATCGTTCTCGGTCAGCAACACAACTTCCCAGATTTTCGAGAACGTCTACAAAGGGCGACTGACCTGGTGTTTGATACATCCTTAATAGTCCTGTTTAGTTTGCCCACATCGATTGCACATCGTCGACAGCCTGCGCTCTTCGACATATCAGATAGAGTACCTGAGAGTAGTACAATCAATTTCAACACCATCCTCACCATTTCCCTCAGCCTGACTCCAGTATGGCAGTGATATGGGGTCTTAACCTACACGACATACAATGGTACAAATTCAAGAGCAGTTACATGTTTGGCAATACGGATTTCCACATGCGCAGAACCAAATTCATCATATATCAGTGTGCCATGATTTTCCTGATCGTTAGCGAATCTCTAGGCACGAGTGTTTTGTCAGATTATGTTGACCAGCAAAACGCATTGGAAAGGCAGTTTCCCAACATCGATGTATGGAACAACGATTATGTCGGCATAGCATCCTACAACATATTCGTCGGAGTCTTTGCTGCGATCGTGTTCGGTGCGGCTTTCTTCTTCGACTTGTTCTTTCCCGATCGATACGAGCCTCGCTGGGTGCAGAATATGTGGGTCGGTGGTGCTGTCTTCTCGAGCGTTGCTGGACTGGGGGATGCTTTGGCATATACTGTGATATTAGCCTTGCACGGTGAGAAGATTGGGAATATCGACCTTGACGATCCTACACTGAGAGTGCTCTTGGCCCAGGAGAGCGGTAAGACTCCGATGCTTTACAAAAACAGTGGTCGTGCTGTGGCTTCCGTTGCCTTTCTCTGGGTTGGTTGGGCATGTACCATCGCTTCGTAAGTTCGAAATCCGGCAAATGCTTCCTCCTTCATATGCTAATATGTGTAGCACGGTTGTGATGATTATGTTCTATCGTTACTACCGCAATCATGGGACAGCTAAGTCGAAACATGCAAGAAATAGTACCGACTTCACTTCCAGCAAAGGCAGTATCGATGCGACAGAGAAGCTACAATCGCGGCCTCCGTTAGGACCTCAAGTATCTGGGGAGGTGGCCTAAACCATAACACTGCGAGCAACAGTGACCAAGCACAATCGATTCAATAGCCATGATGTTTTTGCAGCCAGCGTTGGCGTTCCGCGACTCTCAGGATTCGACTAGATTAGAATTTGTACCTCTTCAATTACATATCAAACAGAAGGAACGTATAGAAGAGGATGCTCGAACACAGTGCAAACACGACAAAATACCAGGGCAGAAAGCCCGAAATTCTCCGACCAATTTGAGTACCAATACCTGGATTGCCTTATTATTCAGTTTTACGACTCCTCCATTATTGCAACCTTATCTGTGCTGACTCTTTGCTGCTTGTGACTCCTTCTACTGTCATGTTTTTAAGAACTAAAAGCCTCATACCCAGGGTCTTTAATCAGTGTTCGATATAAAGAATGGATTATACGCAAGCAAACATCTTTCTCAGGGCACGAGGACGTGGGCTTACGAACTCAATGCACAAGGCTACACCCTAGCCAGTGACCTCGTGTTTGATAATTAATACACTGAGACACGATCCCGTTGTGTATACTGACTCAGATGTCCTTGTCACTTCGAAAATCATGCCATGCCTGCATCCAAGCGAAGCGCAGGTGCCTACCACAGCTTCCTGCATGTGAGAGATGTTGCAAGCGAAAGATCACCTGCAAGTACGACCTCGAGCCAGTCACACAATCTCAGTCCTCTGAATCGACCTCAAGCGGTAACAGCCTAAGGAGGACACCTGATGAAAGCAACAAACATGCTGAGGTACCAATCAATATGGTCTACAACTCTGTGAAAACAGCTCGTGATGCATCTTCAGCAGCAATAGGACGAGGAATGTCTTCGACATCTACAGCTGCACGACCCTTACTCACTACTGACGGAGAGCTCGTTGACTGGCTTATGTCTTTCTTTGCACAAGTCGCACGGGATGGATTAGCCTCGAAGGCCTCACCATTTGTCCATGCATCCATTTTCCGCCACGAATTATCCAGCAATCAACAAGCTATTGAGCTAGGTGTCTGCGATGAGCAGACACAGACAATGTGGAAGGACCGAACAGTCTTGGAGACTCGATTGTCCGAGATCCATAATCTTATCACACTAGCTCTTCAACGGCTGTTGCTCGAGAAATCATCAAACAAGAAGGATCTCGAGGTAGAAGCTCTTGTCACACGATTGTTCTCGACCACAAACTCGTTATGGTCGTCTGCACCAGCAAGTATGAACCACGCTTTTGGTCCTTGGGAAGCCTGGATCATAGCTGAGAGTATTCGACGCAGTATGTTTGCTGGAATCTTTATCCGGGGGTTATGGATGGCTGCCGTACACGGTCATTGCCAGTACGAGCCATTCTTTGAATCTATACCTTTTGACCCTCGAGCTGGTCTTTGGGAAGCGAGCACGGAGCAAGAGTGGGAGGAGAGGAAGAACCGCCACGGAAATGAGCATACCAGGCTTAAGTCGTACCACGAATTTATTACCGATACAGGAGGAAAGTTGAGGCCAGAGGAAGATGGTCCCTTTCAAAGACTTCTCTTTGCCTGCTACTATGGACCGCAGGGGACTCAGACACTGAAAGATTTAGATCGCCAGTACAAGAAGCGTCTAGAGTTGAGGTGGACTTGATGTAAAGTGTTCGAGTTCCCAGGAGTCTAGCAGCATTCTTAAATCGAGGATGGGTGGGATAGCCCGGGAAATGTAGCAGTAATGCTCATGAAGAAGCACTTCGCATTCTCTTACTATACTGCAGCGTCTATAAATCTCAATCTCGAGTGGTGCTGCAATCTGGTTATACGTGAGTTTCAAGGGGTTACAGAAGGTTGTCGCGATTTACCAAGGGTTAACGCGGGTTTCCGCAGGTTATGGCAATGAACCCATCGAAACGGCCATTTTGATTGCGCAAAACGTGGGCGTATAGCATCAATTCATTGAAATCGTTCAATGTTCTTACGATGTACCATATGCTGTGTCAACGAAGACAGCAGCCGAGATGTCCTCATGTCGTCCTGCCTTGCTTTTATTACTGTTACCAGCAATCTGTACTGCTTCCCCCAAGCTTTCGCCCACCATCTGTCGTGGACTCGTGCCCTAGTGGGATGACTCAACTTTCTGGTCCACATTGGCAATGATGTACTCTACTAAATGAAGGGTGTATGCGTACTTCTACGACTCTACTAAACCCTGAACATCTTCCTATTTATCCTGACACTATCGCTCAATCTCTCACACTTACAAGCACTCTGACCTGACAGCCATGACACACCCAGCACCATTACAAGTCAACCACATCGATCTCAACGACGAACCCTCCCTCACCCGCTTTCTCAACGGCATAGCCGCAGCCTTCACAAACACCCACCTAAGCCGCGCCTTCATTACCGAAATCGATAATACACCACCACCCTACCCCTCTCCCACCATCAACACCTCCCGACTCCGCAGACACCTCAGCCCAGGCATCACCGACGGCGCCCGCTCAGGCGCCGAACTCGTCGAGGCAGAGAACTTCTCCGCCCTAGCAGTATGGGAAACGACCACATATCGTGGCGTGCCGTTTTCCGAGACCATGCGCGATGTGGGACCGATACGCGAAGAGTGGAGGAGGAAGATTCGAGAGTTGAAGGAGAGGTATATCGGGATGAAGAGGAAAGAGGAAGACGGGACGGAGGGTTTCAAGCCATTCTATCATCTGGGGTTTTTGTGTCGAAACCCCGAAGAGGTAAACGTGCAGGGTGCGATTAGTGCGGTTGTGAGGCCCTGGTTGAGGAGGGCGGAGGAGGAAGGGGTACCGGTGTGGTTAGAGGCTACGTATGAGCGTGCGGTGGAGGTATATGAGCATTTTGGGTTTAGGTTGGTCGAGGTTGTTACGGTGGGTGAAGGGGCGAGGAACGCTGAGGGGTGGCCGGAGGAGGGTGGTGCGGGAGTGAATGGTTATGCTATGATATATGATGCTCATTTGCGGGTGAATCAGAATAACACATAGGTAGGGGTCGGAAAAATAGGCTTCGAATGCTATACGCTAGGCACCAGGTAGCACGGTTGCTATAAGACTGATGCTTCGAGGTAGATCGTAGTCCTGCGTCTAAGGCGCAGCACTACTACTTCTCCAAGCTCTCTCGAACAAGCCTCTTAACCTGCTAGCTTCCTCCTGATTTCGTATCCTCTGCGCCAAAAAGCCCTCAAGATCACTCCAGAACTCCGGCGTTTGTAAGACATCATTCCCAGAGTCCTCTCCGGGCTGCACAGGCTGACTCTGCGACTCTGACCTCCCCTTACTCGTCGACTGATCTACCTCCATAGGATCCGCAGCCGTGCTCGTAATGGCCTCCTCAGGATTCAGTCCAGTCTCCGCTTCAACAGCAGCGTTCTCGCTACCTGGGCCAGCAGGTTCAGGCTGATGAGCTTTGATGGCTGTCGTCGTACCTGCTGTTGTGTCTTGCGGAGCTGGATCTGGCGCACCTCCCATGACCATCACGCCTAGTTCCAGGTCCTTGACCGCTGCATCTGCGCCAACTATGTCGCCTACGGTCTGTTTCGACGCAGGTATCGGTTTCTTGTTGTGTAGGATTTTGATCTTATCGGTACTGGATACCACGGACGAGCCGCCGAGGTAGTCCTGGATCTGCTGGCGGAGAGATGCGATTGTCGTGGATGGAGGTGTGGATGGGAGGGAGAGAGTCATGGCTGGGTTTCGCGACGATTTCAGCACGATGTTTAGGGCGTTTGTGGTTGAGGTTGCTGGCTCGGCGCCTGGTGCTGGTGTTGTGGTTTGGCTGAGGTCATGTTGTGGTTTGGGTGGTGGTGGGTGTTGAGGGGTGGGTAGTTTGGGTAGTGTGTACTGTGCTCTTGTCAGGGTTGGCCTTTAATGAGGGAAGTAGAGAATTACAGGTATCCTTATACCAAAGGTAGCAGGGTCGAAGATATGGTTCGGTTGGTACTTGGTAGGCTTGTTGTCGAGAGTGCCCAGGAAACTCTTTGCAAAGGATACTTCTGTCATGTTTTCCGCTTGCTTCTTCCTTTGCTCCTCTAGTCTTCTCAACCCGTGCGCGAGCGCGAATGCAGCCAGAGTAGCGGTATACAAAAATTCACGTGTCGTAGGTAGCTTTAGACGTTAAGTCAATGGACATGTTTCGTGAAGGCCATGGTGTTTGTTCCATAGTAAAAGTGTGACATCATATGCACATCGGCTGGTGTCGAATAAATTCGTTCTCTTCCACAGATCCGACCTTGGGCTTAGAAGCAAGCCCGAATGCATAGAGTGCTATCATGTTTTCTAGTCTTTGATGTCTGAGCTGGCGACGGCTGCAATTCCAATACCACACCGAAGCAAAATTTCGAAAGTCTTTGTAACAGCACCGACAGGATAGCTACTTAAGAGAAAAAAAGAGCAGCTAAACGAAGTGGTCATATCGAGTCAATCCAACAGCATTAAACTATATGGTACATCCAGTTAATCATCGTCAATAGTAGAATGGTATCGTAATAGCTCCAACTTGTCATAAATTAAACCTCGCAGTACATCCCTTGCGTTACTTACTCCACCCCCAGCTCAGTATGCGTACTCATTGTAATCATTTCCAGCTCCTTCAATAGCCATATCACTTCTGTACCAGAACTCAGGCACCTTCTTGACACTCTCCAACCTTCTCAGACTTGAGCCCCTGCTGATTTGGCTAGCAGAACGGCTCAGACCACTGGCTGCTCGCCCTACACCTTGTCGTAAGCTCTTGAATCTCGTGATACCGGGGCGCTGATCAGGTGGAAGAGCAAGAAAGCCATCGCCTTCCTGGACTGACTGCGATCTGAGGTGGTTCTTCGTGGACTGACTTCGACTGTACCTTGGTCGATCGGAGATGGCACTATCCTCAAGGAAATTTGTCGCCTCGTTGGTCTTGTCCCAGCTATTGCGACGTGACGAAGACTGCCCTTCTGATTGTTTGGGCTTACGCATGTCGTTCATCTCGAAGGCTTGTTCTTCTTTCGGCTTGTCGACAAACGAGAAGGGACTTCCTGATCTCTCTATAGGATCGTCGGCTCCGAGGCGAGCATAGTTCGATTTCGAGCCATCATTCGAATCGTGCAGAGCGTTGCTGATTTTGTCGACTATATTGTGAGGTGTCGACTCGCCGAGTTGTTGACTTGGGAGAGGATTGTCGCTCGTCTTCCTGCGTCGGGACAAGGACCGGAATAGTGAAGAAATGGAACTGGTACGACTGGGATTTTGTGGCCTCTTTTGCTTATTGTTAGCGTTGTGCTTGATGAGTGGAGTTTCGCCGACTGTAGAGGCAGGAGAGAATGGCAGAGTTGGAGCGCGCTCAGTGATTGCCGTTGGAGGCTCAATGTTCATTATCGGAACACCATTGGTCTGAAGCAGTGGAACGTTGTGCTCTAACGGAGGTCCTGCCAGTGGTGATCGAGGTTGGTGCGAAGAAGAACTCGTGGAGATGGAGTCAGGTCGTCTAGCCCTACCACATTTTGTGCACTTGTGCCTATGACCAGATGGACCTGCCTCACTGCTTTGTACTGGGGCTGCTCTTGGCTGGGCACGCGGCTGAACGTTTGCCATAACAGCACGAGGGAAGGAGCTTGGAGGTGTACTCTTTCGTCCGCCACACTTTTGACAGCCATGGGCAGGGGGAGACTGTGGTTGCGATTGCACCTTCTCTGGGCTGGCTACACCATTGCTGGCATCAGAAGTCGAGACCTTGTGACCACCACATTTCTGACATCCACCTTTGGTTGTTACTGGCGACTGATAATCTTGCTTCTCGTATGTCGGAGGCATAGCACCCGCATACATGTCCTGAGCTACCTTCACTTTTCGTGGTTTGGCTGCAGCCTCATCTTCGTGACCTGGATACGGCTTGCCATCCAGTTTTCGCAAGTCGGTCGATTTACGCGGTTCCGAAGACATTTTGTTGACAGTGCTGCCTTTCTGGTGAACAGCTCTGGCCAACGTCCTCGGGTTCCCCTCTTCTCTGAACCTGCTGTCAATACCGGTTGAATCGATTGGCGAGACTGGCGAGGATACGAAGTGACTGGACGAACTCGAAGCGTGAGGAGTATGCGTTGGTGTTCGGAACGGGTTAGATTGCTGGGATAAGGTGCTCTGATGGGCTGCGTGAGGAGCACTTCGGACCTGGGACGGGATGTCCACACGATGAAATGGATTACTGCTCCGGGAAGGACCAGCAGCTTGAGCAGAAGATGTTGGCCCAGATGCTGACACGGGAAAGGTAGGCAGAGTTGATCTCGGCAGCTTAGCAGACATATTTGCGAATAGTTCTCAGAAAAGTCTTGGAATTGCGAAGTTTCTTTGGCAGGCCTAACTGCAAATGTTCGTTTCCAATCTCAATCCGGGCTTGTACGCGACGTGCTGACACGCCACTAGGCACTAAGATTGTGGTGGAAAACGAGCTGCAGTCACTGTCAGCGTCGATAAGGATAGCACACACAAGGCGAGTAGGAATGGCAGAGAAACAACAGCGTGGTCGCAGCAGCAGAGACTGGGCTAATAGCCAAATCCTACCTCGACATGAGCCTCTTTACAATTGTCCAGTCTCAAACATCGTGCTTTGCTTTATCAGTACAGCTGCTATTTTGTGCCTAGGCTGTGCACAAGGTGAAAGCTAGTGCTAACGACTCAGGCCAAATCTGGCTGCATTGTGGACCGACGTGGATACACAGCCACTTGGCTACAGGGGGCTTCAGCCATGCGCCAAATCTGGAAGTGTAACAGTATTGGATGTTTTGGTCTCAGAATATGCAGTGCAGGAACGTGCACTTAATCCATGCGCTGGCGAGCTCATCTCGCGTTTCCGCAATACTTGGAATTATTGGCAGAGACGATCTCGCACTTCCACATTCCCAGCGATTGGAAGACGGACAAGTCACGCACGAAGAAGGACAGAATGTATCCAATAGAACGCTAGCTAACGAGGTTGAACCTACAAGTTTGTGCAGCATCAAAAAAAATAGCTTATCGTGGGGTCGAACTGCGAAGCCTTTCCGCAAGTACTATCTCGCACGAGTTCCTGGTTTTTGTATGTAGGAGTGTTCGAAACCCGACTGTTGTAGGATTCGCTGGCACGGACCCAAAAAGCTTGGCCATCCGCTTAAACTGCGACAAGCTTGGCCACAGTCAGCCTCGACCTGGGAGACGATGTGCCTATCTTTGGCAGCTCGGAAGAGGACTGGCACGTGCATATGTTGTGCAAACACGTTTGTGTCCTTCGGAGTATCGAATGAGTTGTGCAAAACGTGTCGAAGAACGGGCACAATGGTGAGAAGTCCGAAAACACTGCAGATGCTGCTCGTGGTTATCACACTGCACTCCGTTTTGCTGCCGAATTGGTGGAGTCCAGCTTAGTGAACAGTATCGCTCCTGACGGTCTACACAATACCCATACGAGGCTGAAATATTCCATGAGAGGCCAATACGATAAGAGTCTGTACGAGCTCGGGCTGATGCCCTGTGCCAGACATGAATTCATAAACAATTGTGATCTAGATTATCGATGATACTGTAATTACCTATATTGATGTGTTGTAAGGAGGCTAATGGGACTGTGCAGTATGAGCTGTACAATCCATTCTCATGGTGAACATTACGTTAGGTGTGTAATTCATCAGGTGACCGGTTCATATTTTCTGTCTTTGCACCAGTGAGCTATAGTAGTTACTGCAAGCCGCTTTCTCCTTTTCACCATTTACACTCAACAGTAAATAGTCACTGCCAACACTACACATTCACATCATGGGTCCCATAAGCTGTGAAAGTAGACATCGGAGCTTGCGGTATACACGTAAACAACCATGCTTCTGTCCACGTACATGTATCGATGTTTATCCAGGGGGAGAGATTGGCCCCGTGGTGAGATGCCAAATCGAGTCGATCGACACGGCTGTGGCGTACGTTACTTTGCACTCGTCGATCCGGCGTTTAAACACATGGCCTAGTGTGTGCTCGTCATCTCGTGGTTGAAGAATATACGGAAAAGCCTGATCACCCAATTGACGTAGGAGGACGTTTTGGCACATTGTGGGTTGCGCCCTCTGAACAATCTTACGAACGTTGAAATTAGATAGCGATGTGTATGGGGATCTTCAATTTGCGCTCTCGTGATCATTCGACACGTCTATTTGTATTTTTTGGTGGTCACATCTAATAGCTGATTGTGACCTGTAGATATTACTGCCAGTGGATAGTAGGATTTTAAGCATGAGCTCATCATAACTGCTATGTCCGTTGGACATTCAACCGGACGCTCGAGATGTCGGAGTGGTCTACAGGGATTTTACCGATCAATGAACAGGGAACACTGATCCAGGTATCTGGGTAGATGTAGGAGTATGTCTTGTTCATGACGAAGGGCATTAACAATATCAACGCATGAGAATGCACACTGAAAGTATTACCTTTCCATGTCCGAGTATGCAAGTAAAAATGCTAATGAGATCTTATGCAGGTACAGTGGACCTCGGATCATGATGTATTGAAACTCGCGGATACTGGTGACTTGAATGCAGAGACGATATCCTGCTGTTCCGCGCTGACGGTGGTAGTTGAACGTGAGCTTCCGAGTATCGCGACTACTATCTCAACAGAATCTGCGATACTGTGAACAGGCGCTGGCCTCTGAATATGCATGGACAATTAATCTCATAATCGATACAAAGTGGTGCGAGATATGTCATTATCAAGGAACTCCACTTTGTCTGCTCCAGACTATCGGAAGTGGCTGAACTTAGCCAAAGAACACGGACTGTCGAGCAAGGTCAAGAACACAAGCGTTTTAGACTGATCGGATAGTCTCCACAAGTAGATTCCAGTGGCTCATTAAACTCCTACTCCCCTGAACAGTTCCTGCCCCTTTTGACAGATAACGTCAAAAAACACCTGAGGCTCGTCTCATTTTCCGCTTAGCTTCTAACAAGGGCACGGGAATGTATCCAGGTTGATATTAAATCCAAGGTGATCCACATAGATACACTTCATCGATCAAATTCCCGCGTTAGTGCTAGAAGGACTTAAAGGACCTAGTTCGGTTCGAGGCACATTGCTCTAGTATCTGAGGTGTGTAGTCTATTCCAGAAGAGTCGCATTACTATCATATGCGATAGCAGTATCAGGATAAGACATCTTCTAGGCGAAGCCTGCCGGGGGTTTTGCCAATGCCCAGTTAGTATGTTACGATGTGGTTGCAATTTACAATACACGTCAAGTATCAGATTCTAGCTGTCGTGGATATGACTGACTGGAATACTGTGAGAAGAATTGAAAAGGTACTCACGTTTGTAATGGGAGTGTAGACCTGATATTGTCCTTCAGTTCTCACTGATCCCAGGTCGATGCCTCGAAAGAAGATGTCGTGAGCAGTCCTAGATGTGCACTTCTATACAGCATGATACCAGCCTCGTACAAGCTGGCATGCCGAGTCTGCCACGATCTGCATCATTGCTTAGCTACATATATAGTCCTTTACTACTCATCCTTAGGTAGAGTATCATATAGGCTTAACGTCCGTGGACTCCACGCTCCCGATAACAGACGGTTTACTGACAAGCACGAGGGTGGTTGCGAGTGGTTGGCCACATGTTAATCAGTACGAGCTCGTGGGACTCGTTGTTCATACTCTTTTCAGCTCTACCATTCCCCGCTGCTGACAGTGTACTGTAGATCCAACCACGATGAGCTGTTCATACACTGCTGCCGCTAAAGACGATGCCCAGCCGTGAAAGCAAGAAGACGCATCGTCGGACGAGATTCACAAAGGAAATAGTGCGGTGTTCCTGTTGTAAGAAGCTTATCTGGTCAGCAACATGTACCATTGCATGTGGAAAGAACTTTGGCTTGAGAAAGCCTGCGTATCGATGTAGTACAGCCATGCAGTATGAGGACTAGATGAATACGGTACCCTGGATGCGAGGAACTTCGCTAGTGTATCGCAGCCTCAACCACTTTGCAGCACTAGGTTGCGGCTGAAGTTGAATCACGAAATCCGAGTGGCCAACTTTTGTTGTCGCTGCCAAAAATAAAGGGGAGGAAGAGGCTTGGTCCAAGGCCTTGGGGCTTTAGCGTGTCCGAAAGTGAGACGTTTAAATTACATGCTAGTCTCGATCGGTCCACTTTATGGGCGCCTTGACTGAAATGAACCACAGTGTGCTTTTCACCTGGGTCGGCTACCGAATATTATTGTAATGGCAAAATTGGATGGAACGAGAATCACACCCTGATGGTAAGACCCAACACCCAAAGCGAGGAAACCTCACTAGCGCAGATTTGGGATCCTCTGCCGCTGAATGAATTTCCAGTGCAATCGTCGCGCACAGGTGAGACCCCACAAGGTACGCCTGGAGTTGACCCCTGCTGGTCATGGATCTATTTTCGATAGGAGAGGAGCATATGCTTCCCCTAAGACATATGTATAGCTGAGATCAGCTCTTGTCTCTCTTTCCTGTCCGTTAAGAAACGCACCCGAAGTACGTCGACATTCATTTGATATACACAATGGAGGAAGTCTACGTCTTCGGTGACCAAACGGCAGACTGCCGGGCGTTCTTCACAAAAGTCTTTCCAAGAAAGGACGATGTAGTATTACAGGCCTTCCTGGAAAGAGCAAGTGAAGCCGTCAGAGTCGAGAACCGGACGAGATCACATCCTTCCAAAGCAGTTCCCGATTTCAACACAATACAAGAATTAGTCGATCGTTATTACAGCAGCGAGCACAAAGATGCCGCCATCGAAAGTGCTTTACTTTCCATTTCTCAATTTTGTCATTTTTTTGGGTAAGCCGAGCCACAACCAGCTCAAGAACAGCCACTGACAGCGAACAGAGCATTTGAAGAGCGTACACCAACATATATATCACCTAATGCAGATGCCAGACTCGTTGGTCTGTGCACTGGTCTAATAACCGCTACCGCAGTTTCCTGCGCCGATTCTCTTACCGCCCTCCTTCCCCTCGCCACCGAGACCGTACGAATTGCTTTCAGAGCTGGAGCCCATGTTGGAAAGGTTGCCCAACAGCTTGAGGTTGACTCTGAGAGCAAGTCCTGGTCGACACTCGTGGCCACAGATGAGAAATCCGCTCTGGCAGCCCTGGAAAGCTTCCATGCGGAAAAGAACATCGCTCCCGCAAACAAGCTATGGATCTCCGCATCTTCAGCATCTTCCGTCACTATCAGTGGCCCTCCCTCCACAAAAGCTCGCTTGTTCGAGACCTCGGATTTCTTCCGCTCGAAAAAGAATGCCGCCGTCCCTGTTTACGCCCCTTACCACGCAAACCACCTACACTTGGAGAGTGACGTCCAGAAGATTCTCCGACCGCAGACAAAGGAGATCTTTGGCGCTCAGTCTCAAAAATTCCCAATCTGCTCCAGCATTTCTGGCAAGCCAATCCAAGGCAAGAATGGTTTGGAGGTGCTGGAGGAGGCTCTCAGAGAAGTCATTCTCGAGCCAATTCGCTGGGACAAGGTTCTGAAGTACATTGTCTCCGGCAACCCATCCGAGGCCAAGGTGTTCGCTGTCGGAGTGACCAACCTCACCAGCAGCATCGTCTCTGCTCTCAAAGCCACTGTATCCCAAGTCACTGTGGAAGATCAGTCGAAGTGGACATCAGTAGCTCCTGCAGGTACCAAGCAATCCAAGCGTGAAGCTGATATTGCTATCGTTGGTTTCTCGGGTCGGTTCCCTGATGCTGCCAATCACGAACTTTTCTGGGATCTGCTCGTCAGAGGTCTGGACGTCCACAAGCCAGTTCCTGCCGACCGTTTCCCAGTCGACTCTCACGTTGATCCCTCATCGAAGAAGAAGAACACCTCGCACACGCCATTCGGTAACTTCATCGAGAACCCTGGCCTTTTCGACGCTCGATTCTTCAACATGTCTCCTCGAGAGGCCGCGCAAACTGATCCTATGCAACGTTTGATCATGACCACCGCCTACGAAGCCATGGAAATGTCTGGTTTCGTTGCCAATCGAACACCTTCTACTAAACAAGACAGAATTGGCACTTTCTATGGTCAGACCTCTGACGATTGGCGTGAGGTCAACGCTGCCCAAGACATCGACACCTACTTCATCTCGGGTGGTGTCCGAGCGTTTGGTCCAGGTCGCCTGAACTACTTCTTCAAATGGAGCGGACCCTCTTTCTCGGTCGATACTGCCTGCTCTTCCAGTTTCGCTGCTATCAATGTCGCTATCACGTCTCTTCGAGCTGGTGAATGTGACACTGCTTTCACTGGTGGTGCCAACGTTCTTACCAACTCGGATATTTTCTCTGGTCTTTCACGTGGTCACTTCTTGAGCAGAACTGGCTCCTGCAAGACTTGGGACAATGACGCCGACGGCTACTGCAGAGGCGATGGTGTTTGTACCGTCATTCTGAAGAGATTGGAGGATGCTGTATCCGACAGAGATCCAATTCTGGGTATTGTTCGAGGTATCGGCACCAACCACTCTGCTCAGGCTGTCTCCATTACACATCCTTGTGCCGAGAATCAATCATTCCTGTTCGACAAGGTTCTAAAGGAGTGCAACGTCCCATGCAACGATGTCAACTACGTCGAAATGCACGGAACTGGTACCCAGGCTGGTGACGGCATCGAAATGGAGTCTGTCTCCTCTGTCTTCGCTCCTCGAACGGGTCGAAGACGCCCAGATCAGCCACTCTACGTCGGTGCCGTGAAGTCTAACATCGGCCACGGCGAAGCTGTTTCTGGTGTCTGTGCTTTGATCAAGGTTCTCCTCATGATGCAGAAGAGTATGATCCCTCCTCACACAGGTATCAAGAAGCAGATCAACAAGAACTTTGCACCAGATCTAAAGGAGCGTGGTGTCAACATTGCTTTCGAGCCAACACCTTTCCCACGACCAGCTGGTGGCAAGCGTATTACCTTTATCAACAACTTCTCAGCTGCTGGTGGTAACACAGCTATGCTCTTGACTGATGGTCCTGAGATCCGAAGAATCCCAACACCAGACCCTCGCTCTACTCAGGTCGTCACCATCTCTGCTAAGTCTCTCGGTGCCATGAAGAAGACTCTCGCCAAGTTCGAGGCATATGTGAACGCTACTCCTGAGCTTGGTCTTGCTGACCTGGCCTATACCACCAGTGCTCGACGATCGCACTATACATACCGAGCATCATTTCCTGTGCAGACTGTTGCGCAGCTCTCATCGGCTCTCAAAGCCATTCAATCCGAGACACACAACCCAATCCCATTGGCTGCGCCTCAGATGGCTTTTGCCTACACTGGACAGGGTTCGCAATACACTGGCATGGGCAAGAAGTTGTTTGAGACATCCCAGCAATTCCGAGGTGATATCGAAGAGTTTGATGAGATCGCTATTCGACAGGGTCTGCCTTCAATCATGCCTCTCATTGATGGCAGCGTCGAGGTGCAAAATCTGCCTCCTACTGTTGTGCAACTTGGTATGTGCTGCATCCAGATGGCATGCACTCGTCTCTGGTCTACATGGGGTGTTGAGCCAAGCGTCGTTATTGGTCACTCACTTGGTGAGTATGCCGCTCTTCAAGCTGCCGGTGTTCTCTCAGTGGCTGATACCATCTACCTTGTCGGAAAGCGAGCGTCTCTCCTCGAGAAGAAATGCACTGCTGGCACTCATGCCATGCTCGCTGTTCGATGCCCAGTTGCAGGGCTTCAAGACGTCGTCGCAAACAGTGAAGGCAAGATCGAGATTGCCTGCATCAATGGTGTCTCGGATACTGTTCTTTCAGGAACCATGGCCGACATTGATGAGGTCGCACAGAAGCTGGCTGATGCTGGTCAGAAGTGCACCAAACTCAAGTTGCCATTTGCTTTCCACTCTTCCCAGGTTGACCCAATCCTTGAAGACTTTGAGAAGCTTGCTGCCAACATTACTTACAACGCCCCACGTGTGCCAGTCATCTCTCCTCTGCTGAGCGACGTCGTTACCTCTAGCGGCGTTTTTGATGGCCTGTACTTGAGCCGACACTGCCGCAAGACAGTCGATTTCGTAGGCGGTCTTGCTGCGGCAATGTCTTCCTCGACCATCAGCGAAACCTCGCTCTGGCTCGAGGTTGGTGGACATCCATTGTGCGCAAGCATGATCAAGTCTTGCCTCTCCACTTCGACCCTGCCGACCATGCGACGAGATGACGACCCATGGAAGATTATCTCTCAATCCATGGCTACTCTCTATACTTCTGGCAAGCCATTGAACTGGAATGCATTCCACAAGGAGAACGATCAACTCCGTGTCATCCACGACATGCCTTCTTATGGATTTGACGAGAAGAACTACTGGCTCCAGTATAGTGGTGATTGGTTGATCTACAAGGGCGATTACCCCAAGTCCAAGGCAATCGAGGCTGCACCTGCCCCTGTTGCTGCTGCCCCAGTCAAGCCACGAAAATGGCTATCCACTGGTGTTCAGGGTATCGTGTCCGAAGACATTAAAGGACAGACTGCGACTGTTATCGCCGAATCTGACTTTGCCGATCCAAAGCTGTTCCCTGTCATCTCTGGCCATCTCGTCAACGGCTCGGGTCTGTGCCCATCGACTCTGTATGCTGACATCTGCTACACTCTCGTCGACTATGCTTACAAGCTACTGAGACCTGGTCAAGATGCTCACATCAACATTGGCACCATGGATAACCCCGCTCCTCTACTGCTCAAGAACATCAAAGAGCCTGAGTCACAGACCTTCAAGTCGTCCTGCACAGTTGATCTTGCCGCTGGTAAGGCTGACTTTACCATTACATCTTGGAACGGCAAGAAGGATGTGGTCCATGCCAAGTGCGTCTGTGTCTTCGAAGACCCAGAGACCTGGAAGTCCGAGTGGGCCAAGCAAGCTTACTTGGTGCAATCTCGAATTGACCTCCTCAAGCACAAGGTTGAGAACGGCGAAGCTGACAAGGTCAGCCGACCAATGGCCTACAAGCTCTTCACTGCTCTTGTTGACTACACTGATGCCTTCCAGGGCATGCAGAGTGTCCTCTTCGATGGTCCTGAATTTGAAGCTGCCAGTACTGTCAAGTTCAGACCTGGCGCTTCCGAGGGCAGTTTCTTCATGAACCCTTACATCATTGACAGCTTGTGCCACATCACTGGTTTCACAGTCAACGCCACCGTCAATCCCCAAGATGAGTGCTACATTTCCCACGGTTGGAGCAGCTTGCGACTTGCCGAGAAGCCACAGCTCGATAAGACCTACTCTGCTTACGTCAAGATGCAACCTGTTGCAGGTTCCAAAATGAGAGCTGGTGACGTCTGGATCTTCAACGACAAGAAGGAAGTCATTGGTGTCGCTGGTGGTATTCGCTTCCAGTGCATTCCTCGCAAGTTGATGGATGTCATGATGCCAAAGCCTAAGGGTGCCGCTGCTGCCCCAAGCACCAAGCCTGCTGTTGCTGCTGCTCCATCACCTGTCGCGTCACGAATTCCAGCTCCAGCTGCAGCTGCACCTACACCAGCGCCTAAGCCAGCTAAGGTCAAGAAGGAGAAGGCGCCAAAGCCCAAGAAAGCTCCTGCTGCTCCAAAGCCTGCTGGAGGTTTAGCACAGAAAGCCTTCGATATCATCGCTCAAGAGATTGACGTCGATCATGCTGAGCTTGTCGACAACGTGCAATGGGCGGATCTTGGTGTTGACAGTTTGATGTCTTTGACCATTTCGGGCAAGTTCCGTGAGGATCTTGATTTAGAGGTCGAAAGTAGCTTGTTCACCGATTATGCATCTGTCGGTGCTCTGCGAAAGCATCTGTCGGAGATGGCTGGACCCGCCGTTGCTGCCCCTGCTGACGACACTGACTCGACTGAATCAACTGATGGCGACTCCGAGAGTGAAGACGGCACAGTTGAGTCTGGTCTTACCACTCCTGAGCCCGAGGAAGTCGCACCTAAGGCTGAGACTGGTCGATCAGCAGCCGTTGAGTCCTACGCTGCTCCACCAGCAGCTGGTGGCGCTGACATGATTGAGACTATCAGACGTGTCATTGCTCAAGAAATGGAAATGGAGCTTGATGAGATTGTTGAGACCACAGATCTTAGCAACCTTGGCATGGACTCGCTCATGGCCTTGACTGTCCTTGGCAAGCTCCGTGAGGACCACGACATCGACCTTGATCCAACCATCCTGGCCGACAACCCAACTCTTGGTCATCTTCGAAAGGCTCTCGGACTTGAGGCAACTCCAGCTCCACCTAAGAAGACTGCTGAGCCAGCTAAGCCAGTCGCTGCACCTGTTGTAACTGCTACTCCAGCTCCTGCTACCCCAATCCCAATCGTGGTCAACATGCCTCCGGCCACATCCGTCCTGCTTCAAGGTAACCCAAAGACTGCCACCAAAAACTTCTTCCTGTTCCCTGATGGTAGTGGATCCGCCACCTCCTACGTCTCGATTCCAGCAATTGACAGCAAGAACCTCGCAGTCTATGGCCTCAATTGCCCGTTCATGAAGGATCCTACTAGCTACACATGTGGTATCGAAGGCGTATCCAAGCTCTATCTTGAAGAAGTCATGCGCCGTCAACCCATCGGACCATACATCCTCGGCGGTTGGTCTGCTGGAGGTGTCGTCGCCTATGAAGTCGCCAAGCAGCTGTCTCAGCTGTCCAAATCAAACCCTGACAAGAACTGGTATGTTGAGAAGCTCATCTTGATCGATTCACCATGCCCAGTAAAGCTCGAGCCCCTGCCAGCTCGTCTCCACCACTTCTTTGACGAGATTGGTCTTCTCGGAACTGGTACCGGCAAGACGCCTAACTGGCTCTTGCCTCATTTCGAATACAGCATCAAAGCATTGACTGCCTATCGCCCAGAGGCAGCCGAAAGAGCTGGATTCGTACCCCCGCCCACTCTTATGATATGGGCAACAGATGGTGTGTGCGGAAAGCCAGGCGATCCAAAGCCACCACCACAAGCCGATGACCCAAAGAGCATGAAATGGCTCTTGGAGAACAGAACTGACTTCGGCCCTAATGGCTGGGACAGACTACTCGATGTCAAGAAATGCAAGATGGTTACTATCAAGGGTAACCACTTCACCATGATGAAGCCACCTGTTGCCAAGGCAGTTGGACAGCAAATTCGTGAAGCCATTCAGGGCTAAGCAACCACACGAATGCTATCCATTACCTTGTTCAATCAACATGATGCCTGTTTGACTACTGCAACATTGTTTCAATAAATACCAGAATAGACCAGGATATGTTTGGGATTTATTGGAGAACTACACTATTTGGACATTGATGAGAGAGATTTAACCTCATTGGCAGGCGCGTTTGGACGATGTACAGTCATATGAAGAAGAGTTGGAATGCTTTGATGTATCTTCTGACTTTGCGAAAGCATTTGGCTCTACTATCGATGGGAAGAACTTATAGACAGCAAGATTGCGAATTGTTTTACGATATTTTGGGAAGGTGTTGGGACATTTGGACCAGTGATAACCACTGAAGGATGCTTCGGGCGAATCGCCTGGCTCTTTTAGCATCTGTGTTTGATAGTACTATGTATGTTGGCAATTAAAGCTCCAGTTACCAAAAACGAGTCTTCTGCTTGGATTTAACTTAATCACTACGTGTTGAGATACTTATCTGCTGCGACGACTGCTTGAATTTGCAGCACGCACGAATAGGGTGGTCGTCAAAAACGGCCGCTTACTTTTGTTGCGTGTGTTCGGAAGGATGCCCTGGGTGATAATACCAGCATGCCAGCTCTTCTACGAAAAAGCTATTCAGCAAAACGTTCTTCGCAGGACAAGCAACCAATCAAACATTCACTACCCTTCATTGTCGCAAAATCTCACCTCTCACCTGTTCGCCTGACAGTCAATGATGCACACGATAACCAGCGCACCACCACCTTCAATTGGCCCCATCCCGCCATTCACGCCAAATCCGAATTCTGACAGATGAGTCGATCTCTTTCTTTTTCCATCCAATGTCTCGAGCTCAAAGTCCGCTCTAACCGGCATCGTCATGATTTTGCTGTGGCATTCCTCCATCGGGAATCCGACTAGCTCCAACCGTTGTGCAGATTTCCGTTTGCGGATTGCGATGATGCGCTCATCTGGTGAAGAGCTACGTACCAAAGTACGTGCTATGGGGCTTTGAGCTTTAGGCTTCGGAGTGTTGGGTTGGGCCAGTGAGGTGAGAGGGGATGGAGAGGGAGATGTAATGACAGAAAGGGAGTTTTTGGGGTTGGCCGTTGTTAGTGTATGCGGTGGGGAATTCGGAGCGGGGCAGATCTGGTCCCGGAGCGGTGCGATGTTGTGCATATATGATGATGGAGGGCTAGATTTTGGATGTGAGTGTTAGTACGTACTTGATCTGTGCTTTATTCCTGCTTTTTGTGGAAGGGTTTGGGATACGATCAGGTTTGAAGTGGTATATTGTTTTATGTACATGGTTCATGTCAGGATGAAGACATGGACTGGAGGAGGGACTCTTTGGACAAGGGATGCAGTCAAGATATGCGGACTTTGTACGCTGTTAATGCCTGCACCTGTCTCAGTGTTGGCGATACTGGTGTTACTGTACAGTGTTTTGTCTCAAGGTCAGGGGTGATCATGCTATAAGTCTGTGGTGGCTTCGTTCTCGTGGCTCATGGTACGCGCGGGATTAGTGCTTGGCATTCCAGGTGGTAATCATTGCACGGGACAATTCCCTGTCCTCCATGAAATGTGCTGCCAACGGCAGTTAAATGCTTACATTCAGGCATAGACATTCACCGGCAGTATGTTCGATCTCGAAAATGACGTTGAGGAGGACGCCCTGGTTGGATAGCGCGGAAAGGCCATGAACGTGATGATCGCTGACGAGAACAATACTAATGCACCAGCGTAGCGCTTGGATCTTGCATTGGTTTTGTATGGTTCTGTTATGTCCTTGTTACGGTTCTGCTGTGGTTCTGCTATGATTTTGACGAGGTTGCAGGGAACACATAGAGACTCGACTAGGAGGTGGTTGGCCGTTGAGGGCATGCTGGATTACAGACCGAGCAGATACCACACAGTCTTGGACGTCGATTCTGTCTTGTATAGTCAAGTACTTCCTTGAGTACTGTGCAACCCAACCACCACGATCGCCTTCTGCGTATCGGCCACGATGCAGCCGTACTGAGGCCACGTGCCATCTTCTCTCGTGTGTAGATGTTCGTCTCTTCACTTGGAGACTGCTCCATACGTACTGGTAAGTCCAACGCCTATCGTCACGTACTTATAACATGATGAGCGGAAAGTGGTTAGATCTTACATCTTCCTTACCACCGCACATTCGACTTCAATCTTCACACTCTTTACATAATTTACCCAGCCTGGGAATTGTGCGTGTGCACTAACCTCAATCCTACAGCCACCTTTCACCTCCCGGATCATCCTTCTGGTTCCCTCATCTTCACTCTCTAAATCCCACTGAACCACGTGTTCTCTGAAGTCCTTCCCTGCATGGATGTTAGTTGCGATGCGCTGAGCACCATATTTGTAGCGCTCCTCGTGCGCCAAACACAGATCCACATGCTCCGGGTCGAGGGCATTGCGATGTTGACAATCGACAGGTACGTTCTGGTAGATGGTTTCAATGTCGGCAAGATTATCAGGATCCAGACCACGGATGCCTGCCTCGAACCAGGTGTAGGATCCTCTGTACGTATCGTGATCCTCGGGGTAGGAACTCCAACCTTGATCGCGACTCACTGTGATGAGGCGGATGAGGCGGATACTGTTCCGAGGTAGGTGTGGTGGAATAACAAGTGCGGCTTGCAGCTTGCGCGATTGAGGTTCAGCTATCCTGTCAGGGTGGAGGGAGGTCGCGACAACTATCGGGTGCCAGAGTTCGGCATGGTCTAGGATCATTGGCACTAGGTCTGCTGGAAGACGAGTTCGAAGAAGCAGGGCGATACGGATAATGCTTGTGACGTGGTCCTCGTCGTCTGATGGCTCATGGTTCGGCGTGATGTTGGATGGCGATGGGCGCAGAATGTACTGATCGAGCAGCTGATTGAAGGCTCTACGCAGGTAGTCCATTGTGTAGTATAAGTTTGAACTTGTAGTGTATGTAAGTCAAAGCTGTGTAGTTGGAGAAGATTGTTTCTTCGCTAATAAGTACCTGGCGTATTGATCCTGGACACCCGTCTTGGTAGAGATTTGTTGAGGTCGCTCGGTGGTGCCACGAATTATCTGCTTGAGAGCAATACTACCAGTTTTCCTGTTGGTTCAAAGTCGCTTCCGATCCTGCAATGCGAACAATGTCTGGCCAGGTGAGCGTCCTTAACAAGGGGAGGTCTTGGTGAGGTTGATTATACTGCGCATCTGGCACCGTGATCCAACCGTAGCTTTCAGTGCGCACTTGCCTCGTCACACCTTCTCAGTCAGGTGACAGGTGTGCGCGTCCCTAGAACGCCCTGAACTTGAAGTTTGTCACGTTCTGGCTCGGATTATAGTTGACCAAGCCTAGAGTGGCGCATATCGTCTGATTGAGAAGGTGTGACGAGGTTCACATTGATCTCCTTATCACCGCCCTGCTTGCATGGGGTCCCAATTCTTCAATAGAGGAATTGTCACGTATTGGCATATATGCTACGGACGTCCACCCGGACCTATCCTTTTGACTCAATGCGTAATTGATTTCCCTACGCACCTGCGGGAAAATCCCAAGACCTCTGTTGGACGCCTGTGCCCTACGGCCTCAATTCTTCAATGAACACATTGTTGTTGGCATCCGTACTACGGGCGTCCACCCAGGCCAAAATGTTTACTCCGTAAATCAGGCGTGCTTGGCCTCATATTCCTCTTCCAAGGTTCAAGGCCTTGTGGAAAGTTCATAGAGTCCTTGCATATTTTGCTTGGACAAACAAATCCAATTCCGTGAAGTATTATGTTGTCATTCTATGAACAGCCACCGAATTTTGTATTCTCACACAATAGGGCTTGTCTGGAAGACCAGATACGTAAAGTGACAATGTTTTACATTATCGTCAAGTGTTAACACTCTTTCATTTGTACCGAATATCAAAGAAGGATGTCGACATCTTGCACACCGTCCTTGTCTGACTAGTATTCTCGCACGCCGGCCTTGTCGAGAGTAGTCTTCTCGTGGTTAGCGATAACAGACATATCTGGGCTGAAGGCATCTTCAACACCAACATTGGCGCGGGTAACACTGCCTCGTCGGTCATCAATAGTGCCATTGTGGTAGTGTTCCTTGAGATCGTCATCACTGTCAGTACGAGGATCTGGCTTCTTGAGGTCAACATCAAGAGCTTCGTCGTTGAGCATCTGGGGATTGAAAGCCAAGGCGCCCTTAGGAATGAAGGTGGAAGAGAACACAACAAGCGAGATGATGGTGAATTGAACGCCAGCGATGTTTCGGATGGCTGGTCGAATGTCTCTTTGCGCAGTATAGACACTGTCGATATATCTTCCGAGTAGAGGGTTGGCAATCGCATAAATGACGATATATGTGCTGGGAAATGTTAGCCGGATTTCGCGGTGACGAAGACACTGATACATACCTGTACAAGCAAGCCATGACGGATCCAAGAGCGGAAACATCCGTGTGCTGTGATTCGAGTCTTGCCAGGGAAGCTTGGATATAGGCAGCCAAGGATACATCACCTGCAGCCCAACCGAAAGAAATAGGAATAAAGGTTCCAGCCACTTTCCAGGCCTCGTTGACATTGCCTCGTGAAGGATACCAATATGGTAGATACCATACGATGAGTAAACTCAAAGCATCCAGTCGAAGCCATGGGATTGGTGTTTGGATGAAGTTCGTGAAGACGAAGACGAACGCTGCACCGAGCAACTCACCGAAGTTACTTCCTCCCACCATAATTTGTGACCACGCGCTGTTTCCGAGGTATCGTCGTGCAATAGGGGGAGCAATACCATTTTCCAGATACCTGTGGCCATAGAGGGCAACGGAGTAACCGGGAAGCAACCAAATATATCGCCTGTTGGTGAGGAGAATCTTGCCACCAACGTACACGGACTTGCCGAAGAAGAGAAACCCCTCCACGACCAGCATGAAGTAGTTCTTCTTTTCCGCCTTCTCCAAGTGTGTTCGCTTGGTGTAGTTGAGGTTGCTGATGAAGAACCAAACAATCGCTGGTCACTGTCAGTTCGGGTGCCTCCCAAGAGGTCAAGTCAACTTACATGCACAAGTAAAGAAGATTGGTGTAATGATGAAGCTGTAGTTGTTTCCGAATCGAGGAATCAACGCCAAGGCTGTGCAGAAAGCACCAGCAGTACCAGCAATTTCGTAGAAAATGTGCACCAAAGCGTCCATACGACGAAGCTTCTGAACGTTGCCACCAACAATATCTCTAGGAATGACACGACGGATCAATTCGACCATACCTGACGCGAGTTAGCAATGGTTCCACAATACCTGGCTCACGTGACATACCATAGGCAATACCCGAAATGCAGTAGATCGGGATGATCGCATCTGTGTTGTAGTAACCGTAGTAGCCAAAGTCGTCTTCATTGGTTGCCCTCCAACCAGCTGGCTTGAAAGTTCCACCAGTAGAAGCATCGACAATCATGAGGATGGCTGTGAGAAGACCGAAGCAGAAGATAGCAACGGCCAGAACAAGCTTGGTCGGGAACCGCTTGATGAGAGGGCCGATCAAAATTGATCCCACACATTGAAATGCTTGGTTAAGACCCTGGAGCAGACCAACACGCTCGAAGGTCTTTGCTGATGAATCACTTCGCCAGGCCTCCCTGAGAAATGCGTCAGCTCAGCACCACCCCATCCAACTCGTATCACTCACCAGTCGTATCTGTTAGTAGCGAGTGCTGTAATAGAACCGTTGAATGCCTCAAGACCAAACTTGTATAACATAATACCCAGGATGTAGATAGCAATGTTCCTCTTCTCCTCAGGGCTGAACAGCTTCCAGCTCCCTGCTACCTCACCGAAGTTGAGTTTGCCCATGATGCCGGCTTAGTGATGAGATCTGTTACTCGAAGTATGGCTATGAGTGATCTCTATGCCTGTAACACAAAGTTCAAGGGACGAGAAGTCAAAGCTTTGATATACCTCAAGACGCCACATTGAGGTCATCGCATCTAACCACTCTCGGTCTCTGGTCATTGGACGGCATCATAGTAAAAACGACGCCAGAACATCCTCTGCAAGACGTATAGATGTACAAAGTAAGCACGAATAGAACGAGTTTGGCAGGAAACGTGTCTTTCCCATATCTCGATCAGCATCACTGACTTGGACCAAAAGGTCTAGTTTGTACTGTAAGAACGTCTTGGCTTGATGGGCCGACCGACTCAGAGCGGCGGAGGCACGAGAACAAGACTTTTTCGAGCTTGGCAATCGAGGTAAAGTCTCCTGAAGCGGCGAAAGCATTTCTTGGCGGCAATCTTAGGCTGTGTACAAGCATTGCATCATGGCCAATCATAAAGTCAAAGCTGACCACGTGTTGACTGCATTCACGAAACTTCGTAGTGCCTTGCGTTTTTCAAGCATACACCAAGCTGCTATCAGCCCTCAATTGTGGAATGTGTAGAGTCTTGTTCGGGGTAGGCAACAATAGACGCCCTCAGACGGGCTTTAAACCACCAGTGCGGGCTATGCAATTTGAGGAACCACCCATGTCGCTTTTGCAAAGCCATAATGCGTGGAAGCGGATTGACTGCCAAAATGCTAGTCATGGACGTAATTTTGTCGAAAATCGACTATTCGTTATGAGTGGCATGAGACGCGTGAACCTCGAAGCAGAATTTCTGCGGAGGACGCCTGCAATCAGCCTGGTCAAAGACATTGAAAACGTGCCTCTTTTGACGCACTACTTGGTCACATCAGATGATGCGACACTGAGCATGTGCGTGGGCAGTAGTAAAAGCCAACATTCATGCGCGCGGTGATATAGCGCCATAATGAATGTGCTGCATTCGGCCTCCATAGGCTTCATGCCTGGATGGATGCGATTGACACAATCGAGCGGCGGCGTATGCAGAACGACGCAATGTCCTTCCGAACGATGTATCCATTCTGCAGACCAGTTTGAGCCTTCCACCCGATCTCGCTACGGGGTTCAGTCTCCAGCATCTTGTACTTGGACGTTTGAACTTTTTATTTACCACAATTGTGTAGAAATCGAATAGGTTTTGTGTCAATCAGCTCGATGCAGACGTGGACATCCTGGTCGAGTTTCTATTGGTATGCCGTTTGTGAAGGGTAAGGGGCGCAGAGTCCCCAATACTGCAAAGTCAGCCATCGGTGAGATGTGCAGAATTTGGACGATCATCTCGGAGTAGCACTTGTGGTGGGAGGTGGCAGAATCGTAATGAGGTCGATTGCGTGGATTGTAGGATCCAAGCACGTCCCCGTCAGGTAAAGCGACCACTCTGGTGGACGCCCGAACTCGAACGCTCGATCGGGACGTGCTGTGATCGTTCGCTAGGCCATAATTAGTGCGTGCGAGCATGTTTAACATCGAGGATGCACTCCAGCAGCTTATAGAGACTGCTGATCGTTCTCGACGCGACATGCTCAGCGTTGTCGCCTGCTGTTAGCCAGATGCGGGATGTCATCGTCAGATATCTCGGTCTGGCGCGATAGCCGAATGGAGAGGAGCGCAATACACCTGGGGGCGTGTTGTCACTCGTTCGATTATGCACACCACATTATGAAGTCCATAGGCCCAGAGCCATCCTGTGAAGGACGATGGTCATCCCATCCGCCCTAATGATCTACCCACTATTTCCGCACGACATGAACTGCTCGGCATTGATTGGTTGACAGCCTCGAACATGTTACGGTACTCGAGTAGCACACTCGAAGATCTGTATACGGTACATGTGCAAGGGCTTTGTAGATTGCCCTCCGAGGCATACTGCCGAGATCGAAGCAGGACCATCCTCGTTATACCTTCCTATTTCGAGACAGGAAGTCAGTCTTCTATGGTCGACTCCAGTTTAATGGTTGATGGTCTGTTTCTGGGTTCAAGTTGCTGCTATTGTCGACACTTGCGATATTACTGTCTCACCAAGATGACCACAGGTGTTGCTTCGAACACCACCAACATCCTACTAAGCAATTGAATATGAACATATCGCTAATCTGCTACGAACGTTTGATTAACTTAGCACGAATATTCTACTAAGTTAACACGAATACATCACTAACTTGGCACGAACGCGCAGGTTCTTGGTGTTACCAATAGTACTCCTTCTACCTCGTACCTCACCTCCTGCCAGTGCATAAGAGCACGCCTACCTACTTTCGCTTCGTCCCAGGTCCGGCCAGTCATTGCGACGCGCAAGGGATACACTCTACTGCCAGTCGAGTGCCCTCTATGACGAAGAGAGGAAGAAAGAAAAGAAGAAGAAAAAGTACACATGAAGGAAAGCCTCCACGAATTCACAACTTGGTGTTCACCCAACATTATGTTTCGTGAACCAGTCGTTCTCGTCTGGCCACGAGCACTGTTTTGTCCCCTCAGGTGCTGTTGAACAGCGTCACCTTCGTCAGATCAGAAGAATATCGAACTCAAAATCGCTTGTTTTTAATGCATAATTTTTCAATGTCTTCGGACCACAGCTTCCGGTACCCAGGCCATGATGATCGGCATCGAGTCTTACAACCACATAGTCCTTTTTCTTCCGGTGCAGCTCGTATGGATGTGTGCTTCCGTCAACGTCCTTCGTCGTGTAATGGCTGGCACTGAAGTTGAATCCCTGTTGCGCACCAAATTTCGCAGTCAATGATTTCTTGTCGGATATTGAACGCGAGGAACTCCCCGGGCGTCCGCCCGAGTCTCCAGTGGCATGCATACTCTCAAACTCATTATGCTCACTCTCTAGGGACTCTTGATTGGCGCCGACACACCCGAACGTGACCCACCGCACATCAGTGCGATTTCCTCCCTCCTGCGGGAACTCATAGTCTACCCACAAATCGTCTACACTCCTCCGCCAGTTCCCGAACTGTTGACTCATCTTCTTGTCCTTGTAGCTCTCGCCAGGCCCACGACCGAACCATGCGACCGTGTCAAACGGAGACGGCGTTGCGAACTCGAATCCGATCCTCGGAAGAGTTGAAGGTAAATTCTGCCCCTCTGGTGAGCCTTTACAACTGATGTGCACGCTTCCGTCACCTGAGAACGTGTACCTCGTAGTGGTATTGATGCACCAGCTGAGAGCTGGTGGTGCGATTTTTGCCTTTACTACTAGCACGACAGAGTTTGATGACGTCCACCAGTCCACGTTTTGTACATGGGTCTTTGCGAGATGTACGAGTTTATCTTTCCATTCTCGGCCGTCTTGTGGGCGATCGTTGTCTGTGAGTGCTCGGTAGAGTGTGAGTTCTGGGCCCATGTTGGCATGTATCATTTCTGTGTCATCTTTGCGAAAGGATGTAATCTTGCCGGAATGCAGCGAGAAGACGAAGCGGACAGTCTCGGCTGTGATCTCAAGCGTCGCTAGTGTGGGTCGGGACAATATTGGGGTGTACATAGTATTTGTCCTTAGAGGCGATAGTGGTACGGGACCTTCAACTTTCAGTTGGCTGGAGCAAACGAGATGACCGGCCTCCGCCCAAGGGGTTGCCCCCTTCAATCGAAAGTCCAACTGGAGATATCTCTCACCACCAGCACTATCCAAATCGAAATTCGTTGGAATGGCCACCTGACAACTTGTGTGTGGACCAATGTCCTGTTCAATATCTATCTGGCCTAGTAGATGTCTGTTGTTGTCGCCAACTAGTATAGCCTCACATCCAAGGTGGTTCAATGTGATAGTATCGTAGCGGTTGACAATAGTGAAGGTTTCACCCCGCAAATCCGAGACTTGGACAGGCTCAATAGCTTTGCTGTATTCAATCAAGCCAGGCGTTGGTGTATGATTCGAAAACAACACACCATCCATGACGAAATTATAGTCGTTAGGCTCATCATCGAAATCTCCTCCATAAGCATAGAATTCTTCACCACTCTTGGTCTTGCTGAGAAGACCGTGGTTCGCCCATTCCCAAAGCCATCCTCCTTGCAGTCGAGGATACTCATAGAACGAATCGATATACTCTTTGATAGCTCCTGGACCATTTCCCATCGCATGTGCGAACTCACAGAGAACTAACGGTTTGGTGAACTTTGGCTCTTTTGCAAACTCGATGATATCTTTGATTTGCGGATACATTCGTGAGAAGAGATCGACAGTCTGCGCTTTTGTGTCGGCTTCATAGTGAATGGGACGTGACTGGTCGATAGACCTGATTTCATCGTACATGGACTGGAAATTACAGCCGTAGAAGGCCTCATTGCCCAAAGACCACATCACAACACACGGATGGTTCTTGTCGCGCATTACAAGTCGTCGTGCTCGGTCGACATATTGCTCCCTCCATACAGGATTGTCGGAAGTGAAACGGGCGGCCCCCCGGGAGATCATGGTCATTCTATCCTGGAATGGTTTGGCCCTATGCTCAGCTGCCAAAGTCATTTCCTCAATTTCAGCGAAGCCGTGGCATTCAAGGTCCGCTTCATCCATAATCCAAAGACCTAGTTCATCAGCAAGCGAGTACAGGCGGGGATCAGAAGGTTGATGGCAAGTTCGGATGGCATTGATGTTGTGTTTCTTCATCATCAGTAGATCTTGCTTCATGAAGTCAAAGGGGACTGCCCGACCGTGCAGAGGATGATGTTCGTGTCGATTGACGCCACGGAAGACAATACGCTTTCCATTGACCTGATAGATACCATCCTTGATCTCGATACGTCGGAAGCCGACGTTGTAAACGACTGTCCTTGAGTTGAACGACAGCACGAGCTTGTACAAGTTCGGAGACTCGGCTGTCCACTTCAGTGGTGACCTTACCTGCTCACTGAAAGTCGTCCCAGCCTTCGTTACTGCTTGCGAGGACTCTAGAACGACTTCGCCCTTCGGACCAAGTAGTTTCAGAGCGATCGTTCCCGAACCTACAGTGTTCACCTCAACACGCAACTCGGCATTCTCAAAGTCATCGTCCAGCAGTGTTTGAACTCGAAAATCTTCAATATGGGCTTCTGGGAAGGCATGTAGATAGACATCGCGAAAGATGCCGCTAAATCTCCATTGATCCTGATCTTCTAGGTATGTCCCATCGCAATATTGGTATACCTGAACAGCGATCGTGTTCGTTTCAGATTCGTCAATCAGCGCAGTAACTTCAAACTCGGAAGCATTTCTCGATCCTTGGCTGTAGCCTACCTGCTGACCATTGATCCACACGTGGAAGGCAGAGTCTACGCCTTCGAATCTCAGCCGGAACTGATGACCTCGTAGGCGCAAGGGAATGTCAAAATTCCTGACATAGCATCCTGTCTGGTTATTGTCGAAAGGTGCATTTGGAGGATCAACGAAGACGGGATACTTGATGTTTGTGTATTGAGGATGACCCCATCCTTGTAGTTGCCAGATTCCAGGGACCTGTATGCCAGCCCATGTTGAGACATCGTATCCTTGAGCTGAAAACCCTTCTGATACCAGAAATGGGCTATTAGCATGCGCAAATTTCCAAGTACCACTGAGACAGAGGGCACATGCTTTCTTAATGTCATTGTCCAGGGCATCCTCCTCGTTGTCAAAAAGAAAAAAGTACGACCTTGGAGCCAACGTGCCACGGTGAATGACCTCTACATTCGACCAATCCGGCTTTGAGGCAGGAAATGTTGATTCCATTATCACTACAAAGAAGTTTGAATGAACTGACCGGAAGGAAACTCATTGCTGGCCTGTTCTGGTTCGTCATGCCGAGCGAAGTTGTTCAAATTCGTGCAATCAACAGTTGCTCTCGCCGAGAAGGTTACAGCTTATCAAATTGCTTATACACACGATCATGAACATGTTTTACGACATCGTTGGTCATGCATGCGTGCATGGGCTTGATACTATTGAGGTTGACATGCGACAAGGACGTGTCGGACGTTATAATTAAATGCTGATGCTAGCAGACTGTACACAATCAAACTATCAAGCGGAGATGCAGATAGAGCCGTAAGGGTCAGAGTACTTGCCAACAGGAAAGGGGTATAAACTGTTTGCATTGCTGTGTGTGCGAACGGGTTGAACGGGACAGCGCACAGACCTACCTACTGTGCACGCGTTGATGTATACTTAACGACTTGTAACACTCACCACCATGTCCAGTCGAGCCAGAGACACACCAGTAAAGGATTATCATACAGCACCGCTAAGCGCTTCCACAGTTGCCATGACTTCAAGTGTTCATCACGTTGTCCGAGCTCTTGTTGAGATGCTCAACGGCGTCCTCTCCAGTATCTCCGACATCCTACACTGGCCTATACGAATTTCGGTAGAAGCACTCAACGTCGTGCTGGACATCTTTCTCTTCGTTATTGAGTTCATGATTGGTGAGTTCCTTTCTGGTTGCCGTGCAAGGCACCAAGCGATGCTGACTCGTGAACGAAAGACCACATATTTTTACCTATTGGACTGGCCAGCCTATGCGTCTGGTGGTCTTTTGCTGCTCAGAAACGGACTAGGAAACAGCTGCTCTCCTTACCAGCTGACAAGAAGCGACAATAGAGATATCGGAGGATGTACAAAGACCGGGGGATATGTGCAAAGCGAGGCCGGAACAAAAAATGTGCGAGGCTAGAGAGCATTACTTGCAGGGCCTTTCCTGCTTTTTCCTGCCTTTTCCGTTGCACACGACCTTGGCGTGTTCCATACCAGGAACGCACTTATCGGAAAAGACAATGCCCCGCTGGAGGCGCAAATGCGAATAGCTTTCGAACACCGCAGGATGCTGTTCAACAACCGGAGATTAGCCAGACAGCGCACTAGGTAGTGGGACCGAATAGATAATCTAGCGGTCCGAGTCGCAAGTGCGCTGAGTAGAAGCCTTGTAATATGCGATGTCGACAAGGTATCAAGCACGCTGTTAATGTTAATGGTTGATATGTAATCATTTTCGTGACCACAGTGTCGACATCGGTAAGAAGGCGAAATGTAGGGGACACAATTTGGTTCCGAGCTGCAGCATTCCAGTTCGATGGGGAGAGCTTGAGTGGAGATTCCATGTTGTTCGGTTTCGTCCGACATCTGGACCGGAATGGTTCAGCTTCCCGCATCGTCTTCTTCAAGCTTCGCAGTTTTCCCGATCTGGCAAATTACTCGCATATTGAAGAGTCATGATCAAGGCACCATGTAGCCTAGTTGAAATGGCTTTCTTGGTTTTTGGAGGCTACCTCTACTGCATACTGGCGTGCAGCTGTGAAGCTCTTGAGTCATGATTGTTGGAGTCACATCCACAATCTGAACATCGTGCTAAAATGCACAAACGCTAAAAAACCGACAACCTTGCAGATGGGATCTACTAATGTTGTGTTTATAATTCATTCTCCCGAGTGTTCTTGCTCCGTCGTTGACGCGTGCTTCTCTGTTCGATCGCTCCTTCTCACCTCAGTTTGAGCAGGAAACCATTGTTCGTGATTTCGCCACTATGTAACAGTACACCGACGCCCGCCCTTGTTACAGCATACGCCCTGCCTGCCTAAGGCAATAGATGACCAGCTTGGAAAGTTATAAGTCAAGAGGCAATTGAGCAAGTAGCAATTTTATTCAACATCATGGCCGCACACATTGTTCACGAGACAACCGAGGCGGTGGATAAGGCACTTCAGCTCAACCACCCTTCTGAACAGCATGGAGCTACAGCTAACGATCATATCCAAGAAGAAACGTCGCCGAACGCTGACTCCACTGACTCCGACAGTATCGAGGACGCTCAGCCCGTTGACCACGAAAAACAGTCTCATTACCTCAAAGTCACTAACTCGCGTGGCTCGGTTCGTACTACCTCTGGAGTGGACGTCGAACAAGCTGAACGCGACTTTGCCAACCTGAGTAGAGAGTTGAGTCAAGAACATCACCGTCGAATGTCAAGGGTGACCTCCCGAGCATCAAACATCAAGGGTAGCCACGATATCGAAAAGGCTGTTACCTCAACCAGCAGGGCAACGAGAGACGACTGGAGTCTGGAGGACGTCCTTCGTGGAAATCGAGAAGCAGAGCTCGACGCTGGCATCAAACCAAAGCAGATTGGTGTCCTCTGGGAGAACCTGACTGTTCGTGGTCTTGGAGGTGTGAAAATCTTTGTCAAAGTGTTCCCTGAAGCTTTCGTGGACACGTTCTACGGCAACATCAAGAATCTTCTGGGCTTTGGGAAGAAAGGCAATGAATTCAATATTCTCAAGAACTTCAGAGGTGTGGCTAAACCTGGAGAGATGGTCCTGGTCCTTGGTCGGCCAGGATCCGGATGCACAACTTTCTTGAGAACTATCACCAATCAACGAATCGGCTACACAGGCATTGACGGCGAGGTCTTGTACGGGCCCTTCGATGCAAAAACATTCGAGAAGTACTTTAGAGGCGAAGCTACCTACAATCAAGAAGATGACGTACATCATCCGACTCTGACAGTGGGTCAGACCCTAGGTTTCGCGCTGGATGTAAAGACTCCAGGTAAGAGGCCAGCAGGGATGAGCAAGAAGGACTTCAAGGACAAGGTTGTTGCCCTGCTGCTCAAAATGTTCAACATAGAGCACACACGCAACACCATAGTCGGCAACGCGTTCACACGAGGCATCTCTGGTGGGGAACGCAAACGAGTCTCCATTGCCGAAATGATGGTCACTGGCTCGACCGTATGTGCTTGGGACAACTCAACGAGGGGTCTTGACTCCTCGACCGCAAGCGATTTCGCCAAAAGTCTGCGTATTATGACCAACATCTACAAAACAACGACTTTTGTCAGTCTCTACCAGGCTTCGGAGACGATTTACAAACAATTTGACAAAGTGATGGTCATCGATTCAGGCAGGCAAGTATTCTTTGGACCAACATCAGAGGCCCGAGTGTACTTCGAATCTCTAGGGTTTGCTCCCAAGCCTCGACAGACAACTCCAGACTACCTGACAGGGTGCACAGATGAGTATGAGCGGGAGTACGCCCAAGGTCGCAGTCCCGAGAATGCACCTTCTACACCCGATGGACTTGTAGAAGCATTCGACAAGTCAAAACTTTCAGATGCACTGCGCACGGAAATGGACAACTACCGGGAGGACCTCGAGAAGCAGAAGCAGATATATGAGAACTTTCAGGTGGCACATCGGGAAGCTAAACGGAAGTACACTGGCAGCAAATCTGTTTATTCTGTGCCATATTACCTCCAAATCTGGGCACTCATGCAACGACAGTTCATCCTCAAATGGCAAGATCGATTCACCTTAACTACATCCTGGGGGACGTCAATCATCATTGCGATCGTGATTGGTACTGTGTGGTTCAAGCAACCAGAAACTTCGGCTGGTGCCTTCACTCGTGGAGGTGCACTCTTCATTGCTTTCCTCTTCAATGCATTTAATGCATTCGCCGAGCTTGCAGCATGTTTCCTTGGGAGAGGTATAGTAAACAAACATCGTGCATACACTTTTCATCGCCCGAGTGCGCTATGGTAAGTCACCTCATAGTTCAGTACGGGCGTCTCCCCCCGTGGCCGGCTAGTTTTTGATCGAGACAATCCGTCAAGCTAATAATCTAACAGGATTGGCCAACTTGCGGTCGATACTATATTTGCATCTGTACAGATCCTCATCTTCTCAATCATTGTGTACTTCATGGCCGGACTGGTCCTGAATGCCGGAGCGTTCTTCACCTTCTACCTCATCATTGTTCTGGGCTACTTGTGCATGACTCTGTTCTTCCGAACTCTCGGTGTGCTGTCTGCCGACTTTGATGTCGCAATCAAATGGGCAGCATTGATAATAACCTTCTTCGTTGTGACATCAGGCTACCTGATTCAATGGCAGAGTCAACAAGTATGGTTACGATGGATCTATTATATCAATGTACGATGATGCCAATGTGCAATGATCAGTGCTAACTAATCACAGGTGATGGGTCTTGGCTTCTCGGCCCTCATGGCTAACGAGTTCAAGTTCCTCTCGATGAGGTGCACTTCAGAGTCCTTGATCCCCACAGGACCAGGCTACACCGACTTGCAGCACCAGGTTTGTACCTTGCCAGGTTCTCAAGCTGGTTCAGACATTGTCTCAGGTACCAACTACATAGAGGCTGGCTTCAGCTATTCGCCCTCAGATTTATGGCGCAATGTCGGAATTATCTTGGCTCTCATTGCCTTCTTCTTGTTCATCAACGCTACCGTTGGTGAACTCCTGAGATTTGGCGCAGGAGGTCGAACAATTACGTTTTTCGCCCGCGAGAACTCAGAAACAAAGAAACTCAATCAGGAACTCGAGGGGCGCAAGCAAAGACGACTAAACAAGAGCAGTATCGACGAATCATCGAAGCTGAATATTACTTCAAAATCCGTCCTGACCTGGGAGGGGTTAAATTACGATGTACCCGTGCCAGGTGGCACTAAACGTCTGCTCAGCGATATCGACGGCTACGTACGCCCAGGCGAGCTAACAGCCTTGATGGGCGCGTCAGGTGCAGGCAAGACGACTTTACTCGATGTCTTAGCTGCTCGAAAAAATATTGGTACGATCACTGGGGACATCCTTATTGACGGTACAAAGCCAGGTATTGCTTTCCAGAGAGGGACCTCTTATGCTGAGCAGTTAGATGTCCATGAATCGACTGCAACTGTCCGTGAGGCATTACGGTTCAGTGCTGATCTCAGACAGCCGTACGAAGTTCCAAAGGAGGAAAAACATGCATATGTCGAAGAGATTCTGTCTCTGCTAGAAATGGAGTCCCTGGCCGACGCCATCATCGGCAGTCCTGAAAGTGGACTTTCGGTTGAAGAGCGAAAGCGTGTCACCATCGGCGTCGAGTTGGCTGCTAAACCAGAATTACTACTCTTCCTGGACGAGCCTACCTCAGGACTTGACTCTCAATCTGCATTCAATATTGTTCGCTTCCTCCGCAAGTTAGCTGCTGCTGGGCAAGCAATTCTGTGCACCATTCACCAGCCTAACAGTGCATTGTTCGAACAGTTCGACAGGCTCCTACTCCTGCAGAGAGGCGGGGAGTGTGTCTACCAGGGGCCTGTCGGGGAAGACGCTGTCACTTTGCTGGAGTATCTTGCTCGACATGGTGCCTTCTGTCCTGAGGACATGAATCCAGCTGAGTTCATGCTCGACGCAATAGGCGCGGGTATCGCACCACGAATAGGCGACAAAGATTGGGGCGAGATCTGGCGCGAAAGTGATGAGCAAGCGGCTATCAAGCACGACATTGTCGCCATGAAGGACCAGCGAATGAAAGAGATCGCAGCAGAGCCCAAGCTCCCTGAAAAAGAATATGCATCACCTCTGTGGCACCAAATTCGCATAGTCTCGTGGCGGACACACCTCTCCTTCTGGAGGTCGCCTCAATATGGCTATACGCGTAAGTCATACCCCATGTATTTCAGTACGACACTAACCTCTCCGTACAGGTTGGTTTAATCAAGTCATTATAGCTCTTATCACCGGCCTTGCCTTTCTTCAACTGAACGACTCACGAGCGTCTCTACAATACCGAGTATTCGTCATCTTCCAAGCCACCGTTGTTCCAGCATTGATTCTAGCGCAAGTCGAGATCAAGTACGATCTTGCACGGCTCATTTACTATCGAGAAGCAGCCGCCAAAGCGTACCGACAGTTCCCATTCGCGTTCGCCATGGTGTGCGCAGAAATGCCATATACAATATTCTGCACGATCTCGTTCTTCCTCCCGATCTACTACTTACCCGGTCTCCAAGGTGCGAGCGATAGAGCTGGATATCAGTTCTTCATAATCTTCATACTAGAGGTCTTCTCTACAACTTTGGGCCAGACGATTGCGGCACTCACACCTAGCTCGTTTATCTCGAGCTTACTGAACCCCTTCGCCATCGTCATTTTTGCCCTTTTCTGTGGCGTCACGATTCCGAAGCCACAGATTCCCAAATTTTGGCGTGTCTGGCTGTACGAGCTCAATCCAGTTACACGCCTTGTGTCTGGAATGGTAACGACTGAGCTACAGGGACGACAGGTCGTGTGTACGCCGAACGAATTCAATTCATTCCCAGCTCCGCCTAGTACGACATGCGGTGAGTATATGGCAAACTTTTTCGCAGCTGGCGGCGCCGGATACATACAGGATCCCGGCTCGAGTGGGACTTGCAATTACTGCGCTTTCGCCACAGGTGAAGAGTTCTACCGTCCATTCGGGCTATCTTATGACGATCGCTGGAGAGACCTGGGCATCCTGGCTGCTTTCATTGGCAGCAATCTGTTTTTGCTTTTCCTTGGTAGCAGATATTTGAATTTTAACAGGAGATAGTTTATCTATGGTGAATGGTGGACAAATCTTAGCAGAGTAAGGAACATAGCAAGGCGTTATTGCGTCACGAACAATGCCCATGTTATCAGCATCTGCAAGAAAGTCGTTAGTGTTACCTGAGGCACAAAGCTCTTCAGCAAGCAGTGTTCGTTACTACTTTACCATGTCTGATTTGAGGTATAATGTCTCCTGCGACACTAGTAATTCTTACGGAGCGGAGACTTCTTTCAGCTCTAAGGGTAGAGAGAGACAAGTGAAGTATCACGATCTAACAATGAACACAAGACGAACCAACGATGAATTGGGAATGACTGAGATGAAGCGAAGACGTGAAGATCATGGTCACAACAAAGTCTCTAGTACAGGATTGAATATTACAGGTTGATATTATACTGTCTTTCGCGAACACCCTATTGACTCACCATGATACAACCTCCCAACATATCGACCATTCGCTATATCCTGTGCTGATACCATCTTAATGTTTCTCTTGAAAACAGGGTCCGAATTTCAATATGTGCCATTCTTCGCGTCCTCAATGCCTACAATTTCATCCTGAACCGCTTCACTCAACTCCATCATCATGAGCGGCACATGCCACTGACTGCCATGCATGTCACTTTCCATGAACCCCCCGGCAGCGCATCTCTTGCCGTTCCTATACCGCGGAATGGTCACCTTGAATGCTAGGGCAGGTTCGAACCAGTCACAGTATATAATGTCGTCCTCTGTGACACTGTAAAGCTCCTGTATCACAGCTCGATTCAGCACGTTTGATTTTCGCACGATATTGTAGATTTCTTGGTTATGGAACATGATATCGATTGTGATTTCGAATGGACCTGAGTTCTTGGAGCGAAGCACTCTTGCAACGTCTGGGAGAAGGTGTGGTACGGCTTGTGTGATCTTGGACATGTTGCCGTTAATAGCAAAGCTGCTGCTGCTAGTCGAATCAGCCTGAGTGCCATTGGGTGAAGAACCGTTAGCATGGCTGACTCCATCGGCATTACTGCGCTCCGAGCTCTTGCGACGTCCTCCACCATCGATGTCCAGAACCTTCCATCGAAACAGGTTTGTCGTGCCGGAAGCAGGTACACTATAAGAATAGCCACGCTCCTCACCTGGCTGTAAGTCTGCCAGATGATATACGGAGAACTCGCAACAAGGGCCTGCCTCGAACTCGTTCCTCCCACCAATGCCAAAACCCATGTTGCCTGCTGTGGCTCTCTGACCGGCATAAGGAGCATGGATGCACCATACCCGAGCAGTATTTGCAAGCTGCGTAGCAATCGCTTGGGTCTCGGCAACGATCTCACCAACAATCGAGACGTTTTTCGGAGCCGATTCAGCACTGCCAGTATCGGAGACATGGAATTCGACGTCCCATTTCCCTCCTATATCCGCGTAGTCGTGTCGTAGTTTGTTCTTCAGAAACGACAAGAGTTCTCGAAGGCCACGAAGTAATACCGGATCGGAGAATGAGCCAAGGAATATGGTTCGGTATCCGACAACGCGGGCACCCTCCATCTTGACGGTGTATGGATCAGCGTCAAAGACGGAACCCCAGACTTTGACAGTCCTGCCGTCGTCAAGTTGTTCGTATTGACATTTGGTCACGTTCAGGTGCCCTCCAGGCCCATACAGGATGTCTGGACGAGACTTCTCATATAGGCTGTGGGCCGCGACAGTAAGAGGTGTACACATAGAATGTGGATCGGTTGGCTTAATGGTGAAACTGCACGCATCGTTTCGATAGAGACAAGCAACAGCTCCCATGCTCTTCGGCGTACTACACAATCCTCCACATTCCATAATCTTGCCCATGTGGTTGAAAGCTCCCAGAGCTTCACGGCTCAGGCTTGAGATGTCCTTCTGACCACGAAGAGTGGCATGGTAGGCGCTGAAGGCGATGTAGGGTGAGGGGTCGTAGGAACGACCTGCAATAAGGACATCAAAGTCGGGATTGGCGACTATGGCATCAAAGATTGGTTCGGGACCCATCTGAGCAACGATGGTGGTGGTCTCGTCGATAGCCTTGTTTGTCAAGGGCGGGACGGTTGAGCCACACCCGCGTACTTTGCCTGCTTGAAACCTCTGGTGGGCAAAATCTTTGTCCATGTTTGAAAAAAGGCTCACTACCTTGAACTGGGCGGTCCTTCATTCATTAACTGGAACAAATGAAAAGGATTGTAGACTCACCTGAACTCTTCCTCTTCTGCTAGGGCCTGTATTATAGAGACAAGCTCTTCAACATGGTGATCGGTGCCGTCACCACCAGCAGATGCAGTAATGACTGGTACGCGATACTTCTGTCCAAGACGAAGAAGTCGACGAAGGTCTCGCTCGTATGCGGATCTAGGATTTGACATGGAACCTAAAGCGAGCTTGTTCGGACCTGAATCTGTGCTGCCAGAGTCGAGTATCAAAGCAGATGGTGTTGGCAAGGCGCAGACCTCCTGAAGTGCATGCTCGGTGTGCTGCTCGTTGAAGCCGTAACCTAGCATGCCAACAGGTGTCACAATCTGACAAAGTCTGGCGTCCTCCATGGTTGCTCACTTTCAGGTTCTCGGATATGAAGGCGCTGCTTGTTTGTTCTGCTGTAGTCCTAGCATCACAGAGTATATCACGCAGTATTATAGCTCTTGTCAATGCCGTCTGCGCTCCGAAGGTACTCTCTCCATCCTGTGCCATTGCTTTGAGACCGAGCTCGGAGTTGAGTATCCGGAACGTTCCTCGAGTTCGTGTAAGAGCTTGCAGGGGCAGACGTGTCGAACTGCGAGGTTCGCAGAAGAGCAGCTTAGTGCCGTTCTATCTAAGTAGTCAGAGGCACATCGCCTTGCGAACCAGGATCGTTGCGGTTTAAGGATGAATTCCTGCAAACACTGCGCATCTGACCTACCTCACTAGCATATTCCCTGGATGGAAGCTTGATTGAGGTGTCTTTTTGTAGTCAGCATATCATTATTATTAGCAGAAACGCAGAACATGTTCGTTGAATTGGGGTGACTCTTTTCATTGCGTCTGGAGTGTCATGTACGGTAAATCGTGGTCTCAGTACTCATACGAACGTCATTACGTCGCGAGAGTCCCTTCCTTCGTCAGCGTACTCCTCAGAGTAGAACAAAAAGCACCACAATGGCTGGCATGACTTTTGCAGATTCACGTGGTGGTTTGAGCATAACTGTCGTTACACCTTCTCGATACAGCTAAAGGCTCTTCTTCCAGGGACTGGTGCCCAACGTAGCGCTTGTAAGCGCCTATGGAGATGCTAAAGCCACAGAATACAAGCTATAAGTACCTGACCTTTTGACAATGCTCATGTTCCATAAGAGCGACCACTTCAGGAAGCAAGAGGGGCTTCGTTCTGATATTACGACAGCAGTCTGCAAGAACAGACCGTTTTTCCAAAATATTCACAACAAATTCAATGAGGGCACTCTCCAGGGTACTTCTTGCGCCTGACTCGTGCTTCGTTGCTATGCTCGGTGTTTGCTTCCTCACGATGCCCTTCTGGCAATCCTGCTATGCAGCTCTCTTCTGCATGCGAGCTGTTCTGCGTTCATCCCTATCATCTTTCGACAGCATATTGTCTTTCCACCTTCCTCATACCAGGAGTTAGAGTGCTTTCCAAGCTCGAAATTCAGGGGCCTTGAGTCCTGCTTCGAACATTTGATCGATCTCAGCAGGTGACCTTGCCTTCATTTCCGGCACGTGGAAATAAGCAACCACTACCGAAATCCCCGCCAGACCAACGAAAAGGAAGCCTGTTTTGGCACCAGCATCAGCAGCATCCGCATTATATAGATACGGGCCTGTTGCGCCGATGATTCCAGAAGTCAGACCATTCACGAGCCACCCAATACCTTGGGTACGTGCTCTCAGACGCAACGATGAAGTTTCACTAGCAATGACATATGATGCCGGCCACACACCTACACCAGCCACGATGACGATAACCATGAAGCTCACCGGTACGAACCACCTCGTGAACATACCTTCTCTGAGACACCCAACTATCCCGACAGCCAACCACAGAATAGTGACTGCGGATAAGGTAGATAGGGTCAACACCCTGCGACCAAACCTGGTCAGCGTCCACCAAGACACAACAAGCGATACCATCGACAAAGCAATGCCAACGATGAAGAACAAGTTTGCTGTGCTGGCGTTCAATCCAACTTGCTGCAGGAAGTAGGATGCGCTACCGACGAGGTGCTGCCCGAACAATTCTGGCAACATCATTACCCCTATGACGAGCAGTGTTCTCCGGCGATCTGTACCTGTAAAGCATTGTTTGTAGCTCACGCGTGTCTCTGCTGCGACCTGCTCTTCGTGTCGTATGGTAGCTTGTAGCTTCTCGAAACTGTGCTCCGTGTTCGGATTGCGTTTCGATTTTTCGAGTCTCTGATGTGCTCGGAATGCCTGGTCAGTAAGCCTTCTCCGCAGAAGCCAAGCTGGACTTTCTGGCATGAAAAATGCAGCGACGAATGGTACCGCTCCGACCGGCCACATCGTCGCGATGCCAGTGCGATAGCCTCGTCGACCTGGGACATCCATCAACACTTGAATGACAACTGCGCCGATGATCTGCCCCACAAGCTGAAAGATAGGAAACAAAGCCAGGACTGGACCTCGGAGCGAAGCTGGTACCGTCTCTGACATCCAGGTCTGAATCGATGTTGTCAAAACACCATTTGACAGACCTTGAATTGTTTTTGCGAAGAAAAAGAAGCCACATCTTGCGTCTCTGGTGGGCATTGTGTCACAAACGAACAACAGTGCTGCCGCAACAGCAGAGATGGTTGTGCCGATGGCCACCATTTTCCTTCGACCAAACTTGTCTCCCAGCCATCCGGCGATGACTGAGCCCAGCATCATTCCCAGGTTGCTAGCAATGTTCCAGATTGATAGCCAATTCGAGGCGATAATCCATCCGTCGTCTACCTGCAGACCAAAGACCTTCTGAAATTCAGGCATGCTCGCCAGATTGCCAACGAGGGACATGTCAAATCCCCATAGCATAATGCCGCTCGTGAGCGAAAGCGCGTACAACGTAAGTCGTGGCCATCTTCGCAGGGACTCTTTGACTGATGGCTGCTCGTCTTCAGCTAGTGGTAGAGCAGCGACCTTGATCGACGATCGACTGTCAAGCTCCTCGAGCTGCACATATTCCTCCTCCGGTGTGTCTTTTACGCCTGTCATTGTAAAGGTGATTGTTGTGATATTTCGTGCTTACTGCTAAATTCCGTGATGAGCAACTTCGGTCCCTAAGTATATCTTCAAACACTAGACGAACCCACTTATAGACCTCTGGTGATAGCAGATCAAGCCTCTTTGAAGGACGATCTACTCTTACCAGAAGCTGACGTCCAGTAAACTCTTGCACTTTACTGTGGGAATCAACAATGCAGGACACCGCATGGTCCGCCTAAAACTATTCCTCCTTCGGACCTTCAACACGTAACGGATGTGAACTGCATTCTGCACTGCTGCATGGCCACTGTCAGACACAGCTTTTGATCGAGGCTATGCATTTTCGGTCCAAGGATAGTCTCTGCGAGAGACGCCGCTGTTGGTTGGATCCTAGCTGAATACCTTGTTGCTCTCGACCGGCTTAGATTCTGGGGAAAGCCACGCATGCACCCCGGCCTGCAGTGAGCCTGAAAGCAAGGCTACTGGTATGTGTTTCTCCTTGGTTCCGCTTAGGTCGTAATGCTCACGCACACCTCTGAATCACATCGTTCCTTCGCAAGTGCGAGTTTCGCAGTTCGCTTCATCCTGTAGTGGTTGATCGCTCACGTGCGCCTTCCATCTTGATGTAGCCCCGACACTCGCTTGCGCAGAGATACTTGACGCTATGCTGTGATGCATCTCACTTTCAACGGCGAAGAGCGCTCACTTGAAAGCCGCTTAGTTGTTCATGTTTTTCGCTTGTTCAGTGCTTAAGTCGCTGAGTTCTCGTTGGGTTATCGCTCAGTTTCTTGTCACCAGGCGACATCCTCATCCTGGGAAGAATGGAGTTGACTGCTTCTGTTTGTCTTCAGTGTATTCTTAGTTCATGTTCCGTAATCAATATTGCAGCGAAAGTCGCAAATCTTCATTCGGCACTGAAGTGCCAGCGTTGGCGGCCGCATCTTTAGCGCGATGTACTCCGCAAGTTCTGCGAACACCAGGGCAAGTGCTCCAGGGGTGCCAAGTCCAGCGCAGACAGGACATTGTCATAGTTATGGGCTGCAAGAACTGAAGAACGATCTTCCCCAACCTCTGGCTCAAAGCCACAGCATCGGTGAAAAGGTTGCTTGCCCAAAGGAGTTGGTCCAAGGGCAAACGTGTAGCGAACTCGGCAAGCTGGAGTTGGCCAACGTCCGAGTATCGCAAGCAGAGGCGACAGGTTGAAATGCCTCTCGACGGCAGCTCGAAAGCTGTGGCAAGCTCGAATGGCAAGGACTCTTCACAAGACCCAGCCCGTGTTAGTACTGAGGCAGCGACCCAGTATGACCTTTAGGTCAAGTCCTGAGGCCTGCAAGCAGAGTACTCATGTCAATGCCTCTGTAAGTAATGCGACCAAATATGTTCTTTTGCAACGACCCAGCAGGGTCGCTCGAGTTTTCTGGACAGAATACGTTGGGCAGACTGATGTATAAACATACATTCACGTCTTAAATGGAGAACCATGAGGCTTCACGAGTAGTGGCACTCGGCAAATTTCAAATATGAAACTAGCCACGACGTCTCTTCCCAATCGATCTGCAGCGAGTACAAAATGCACTTCCTTGAAGCGCGCTCACTGCAATCAAAATCAGGAATCCGATGAGATGCTGCCGACGCCGACTGACTCAACTTTCGTTCTAGAACAGGAGAGTGGTATCTTTTCAGCGACTCGCTTGCGCAGCTCAACGTCCAGCCGAATCACTCACTCTCCTTTCACAGTTGCTTTCGTAATCGTAGCCCTTTCATCAGCACGCTGACGGCCAGACACTCGATAAATCTTTAGTGTAGACGTCAATTGTCCATGGCTGCTTGTACATGCTTGAAGGCATGTACAAGCAGCCATGGACAATCCAGACTCCACATTTTCGTCGCTGCGAGCACATGGCAGAGTACTGCGAGGAACTGCTTCGCGGATGACCACCGTCACAGTCCTGCATTGTCAAAATACCAGCTCGAGCTAAATCAACGATATACCATGAGCCTCAGCTTCAATGGCCACCCACCACGAGCAATCAGCTTCCAGTGGTATCTTATCATGAGCACTCAGCTCCAATGATATCATGTCCGACACAGAGCCCTACGTACACTGCATACCGTGCAGTACTAGGGTCGTGAAGTCGAGAAAACCTGACGCCACAGGTAACAAGTATTGAGTCTTACCTGGTGCGCACACCAGAGCTCACAGAATCCGCGTTGCCCGCTTGACTCAAGACAGCCACAACCAACCCAAGACCTTGGCCGAATCAAAAACAAATTGTGCAGCAAAGACAACTAGTGCCATCACTACACTGTATATTGACAAGACATGAAGAGTACTGAGCTTGGCTGACTGTCTCGAGGAGATCTCGTGGTGCAGATCTGGGGGGGGAAGAAGAAAGGCGAGATACTTCGGGGGGGCGCCCTGATGAATTTAAAGAGCGTTTGATTGCTTGATCTTGGCATGGCTGGTGCCTATACGGGGCGCTTGAAACTCTAACCCCGCTCACGCGTTTCTGGATGTTCTCGCGAACCTTGCGCCTACACGCGACAGCTTTCGACACGATCTATCTACCAACGACGACAACATGAAGAGCAACAATGTTGTTGACTTCTGGCTCTAGCCAAGCAGAGCAGTAGGACTTGGTGTTCCTGGACGATCGAAGATGAGCTCCTGCAAGCAAGGACGTTGTACGAATATGAGTTGAATTACGCGTGACATGGGCAGTGAGAAAGGGCTTTGATCTCCTACACACTTGTATTCAAGAACATTGAAGGATCAGAATATTGATTGTGCCTGCGCTGTTGATCCTGATTTTGGGTCTGGACGTGCCAACATTTGTTTCAGTGATAGTTTTATCACGACTGCCACGTACCTATTCAACCGCAGCAGATACCATCAATCACCCAAATACCCGCCTTTGAGTGTGCTCTACCCACATCCTTCGAGTCCAATTTGTAGCTTCCGCTGACTACAGTATGCCAGATCGACGAGAGGAAGCAAGGATGCAGAATTTCAGACAACGTCGATCATGCAGATCACCATCTCCCGGCTTCGCAATAGAGCTCAGCCTCAAACCTGTTCTCCCCGATATACTCCGTGTTCGTGTTGGCTCCATGTCCAGATATACGCTCCATATGACTCGCAGCCAAGAGATGCTCTGTGTGTCAACACAACATTCAGCAGCACAAAAAGCAAGAGGCGGGGCCCTGTGCCAACACCTCGAGCGCCAAGTACTCGAAATGCCTCAATCTGCCAAGCCAGGTAAGTGTCCCTCGCATTCCGTAAAGAGGCGTCACTAGCATCGTCCCGCTGCGACCCTCCGTGTCGCCCACTCCTAGCCTCCTGCGCGCCCTGCTAAGCTCCGCCAAGCCCCATCACAATCCCTCCCGATGTCCTGTCATTGCCCTTGGCACCGGTCGTGCTATTCTGATAGCCGCATGCAAGGCGATCTATGTTTGATTATCTGTGCTTGCGGGTAGGTAAGGTGGCTGCAGTGGACATCGGTCACGGAGGACAAATGACAGACGGAAGTAGGTAAGACGTTGTACGAGGTATTGTCAGGTCTTGTTCGTTTCCTATTACCTCGTTACCATAACCCGTTATCATCTGCTTCGTGGTGCACCGTATGTCTGATGGTCAATTTATAGTGGTAGGGGATTCTGTCTGGCTTGGCAGTCAGCCTGAGCGTGCATGTGGTGATACTCTTGACAGCCTCTGACCAAGCATGAGGGAAGGGTCATGTTCCTGTGTCGCCCGCTTCGAGGCACTGTCAACGTACTCACAGCCCACCAGTCAAAAGGGTTACGTGATGTGAGTGAGAAGCACGACCGTGAACAAAAGAAGGTGGTCATGAACAAATTTTAAGGCATGTATAGATGGGTTGGAATTATGTTCTCTGCTGGGAATACAGGTGCTTGAGTCATGTCAATAGCGATGACCATGGCAAGCTGAATTAGATCGCTTTGTTCCGTTAATTCAAAGACATTATCACATTCGGTATCATTTGGTATCTGTTCATCTTCTAACTTTGCACCTTCATCTCCGAAGTTGTCGAACGATCAAACTTTGATTCGTTAGACACTTCCCACAAAGGTCTCGTAACCTCTGTCCTCTATTCCTCTTCCTCCTCACCAGTAGTCTTGCTACCCAAGACCCATTTCGACTTGCCGTGAACGTCAGTCTCGTGCTCGAGAGCGATGCGGCTGAGGTGACCAAGGATGTTCTCCATTTGAGTGTCAGCTCGAGAGCGTTTGTGGCGGCCGAGGTTGGTAATCGAATCCATCTTGGTGAGAAGGTAGTAAACGATAGCGGTGACAATCATGACACCGATTGAGTAGCCCCAAATGACAACAACGGTAACGATGGATGTCTGCGCGCTGTATGGTTGGACACCGACACGGATGGAACCAGGCGAGGTGAAGAACTCATCCTCACCACCGTGAAGCCAACCAAAGACACAGAAGAGTGTTGAGAGAACATCGACCACGAAGATAGCACCAACAAGTTTCCAGTTGGGGAATGTCTGACCACCTCGAGTAACGAAGATAAGCCAGTTCTCAACAAGCGAGATCTGCAAGAAGAGCATAAGCTGAACATTACCGAAGTTCTGGACGAGACCACCGTTTGGAAGGAAGAATGTGCCTCGCATAATCCAGGTTGAGAGAGCCAAGAGTACTCCAAGGACGACTGAAATGACCCAGATTCTGGGCAGTTGCCATTCGACCGGTCGTTGTTCGTAGTGAGCATTATCGTAGGCAACAGCGATGGTGGCCAAATCGGCGAACAAGGCTAAGAAGACGATCAAATCGGTTCGGAGGGTCTCGTTGATGATACACATCGAAGTGACCAGGTAGATTTCCAAGTGGAGGCAAAGAGCAATACGATATTGGACGTATGCCTTCATTCTCTGGAAGATCTGTCGGGCGCACTTGATAGCATCGACGATGGTTGATAGACCTGGAGCAAGGAAGACAATATCGGATGCAGCCTGGGCAGCTTCAGTGGCCCCCTCGACAGCGATACCACAGTCAGATTTCTTGAGCGAGGGTGCATCGTTGACACCGTCACCTGTCATGGCAGTCAAGTGACCTCGCTGTTGCAGCATTTCGACGACCTGGTACTTGTGCTCGGGGAAGACTTCAGCAAAACCGTCTGCCTTTTCAACAAGATCATACTGAGTTGTGCCAGCAACACCACCAGCAATGAGACGGTGAGAGTTGTAGACCTTGGTACCGAGAGCGAGCAGTTTGCAAGTTTCCTTAGCAATAGCAATGGCATCACCAGTCAACATCTTCACGGAAAGACCAAGGTTTTGAGCTTCGAGAATAGTGTGGGCAGTGTCTTCTCGTGGAGGGTCGAACATGGGAAGCATACCGATGACCTTCCATGGCTCGTTGCCACGCTTGGAGGCTACACCAAGGGATCGGAAACCACGTCGAGCGAAATCAGCAGCAGTATCTCTGTAGTGCTTGGAGGTGGACTCGTCACACTCAGCGATGGACAGTACAGCTTTTGGTGCACCTTTGCAGAAAGCCCAGGTCTCACCCTTGAGTGTGCAGATAGTAGTAATTCGCTTGGAGACAGGATCGAATGGAGTGTACTTCACAGTCTTCCATCCCTGAGACAGGATCTCACGAGCCTTAGGATATCGCTTCAGGGTGAGAATCGTGATTTTGTCAATAGGATCAAGAGCTTTCAAGTTGTGAGATGATGCAAGAGCGGCACAAGCCATCATCCAGTTGACATCCTCGCCCTCAGCAACATATGGTTCACGGATAGTAAGCTGATTGGCAGTCAAAGTACCAGTCTTGTCAGAGCACAGAACGTCGACACCAGCAAGAGACTCAATGGCAGTAAGCTTCTGGACAATGGCCTTCTGCTTAGCCAAGTAGGCAGCACCGACGGCCAAGGTAGTCGTCGTGACGACTGGCAGACCAACGGGGACACCGATGATGAGCAGGATCAAAGCGTAGTGGAGCAAGTTGATAGAGCTGTGCTGAGGTGTAGCAATAGGAATGTTGTGGAAGAAACCACCGATCCAGGCAGCGAGGATCCAGAAAACGACGAGAACTAAAAGCGCGGTACCGATGGAGTCCATGACCTGCTTGAAATGACCAGAATCGTTGGCACCTTGGACAAGCGATGCAGTCTTTCCGACGAAAGATCCACGAGCAGACTCGGTAACCATTGAGTAAGCATGACCTCGCTTGCAACCAGTAGTGTAGTAGCAGACGTCGCCCATGTACTTGTCGACAGCAAGGGATTCACCAGTGATAGCAGATTGATCAGTAGCCACGATGGAGACACCAGAGTGGTGCTCGTCATCGTCGTCCGAGTCAGTGTGGTTCTTAGAGTAGTGCTCCTCTGGATCGCTGACCAATTGCTTATACTCTTCAAAACCAGCTTTGTTATCGTAGTCGCAAATGAGTCGGCACTCCGCAGCAACGACCATACCCTCTTCCAAGATAAGCTGGTACGCGTTAGTCAGATCTCCAATCAGGATGAGCTACTTACAACGTCACCGGGAACCAGTTCACGAGCCTTGATTTCTTGCTCACGACCATCACGAACAACGATAGCCTTCATGGCAATATCACCCTTCAAAGAAGCCACGACATCGGCAGCTTGTTTTTCCTGGTACCAACCGACAACAGCGTTGAGCAGAAGGATACCGATGATGACAGCGAAATCAATCCAATCTCGCAGACCAGCCGCGAGCAAGACAGCAAGTTCCATAACTATTCTCATGTTAGCTTTGATGTATCGAAAAGCTACAACGAGCAAAGCTTACCATAGAGAATTGGGCCTCTGAAGTAACCCAAGAACTTCAGGAACATGTTTTCTTTTTCGGTAGTGAGCTCGTTGAAACCAGTCTTCCTCCTACGCTCTTCGACCTGCGCTGACGACAGACCTGTGTTGATATCCGTGAGGACCCAGTCTTCAGGCACCTCGAAGAGAGCCTCTGGGCCATTGCCGCCACCGAACATTCGTGCGAAGAAGCCCTTCTTCTTTGGTTTGGATGCGTCGACATCGTCGCCCGAAACTTGAGAGGGAGCTTTAGAGAATCGTCTGTCTCGGTAGGTTGAGATGTATCGCAGGAGGTTGGCATATTCGCCCTCATCTTTATCTGGATCCCAACCATCGGCGAAGGAGATTCGCTCCCTCTTGGGGTCGCCGTTCTCGAGGTCTTTCTCTCCCGACATGTTGTTCTGTTGAGTGGAGATGTTAGTACGAAGGAAGGGAAAAAAGAGAGAAAGAAAAGACGACGACGGCGATGGTCAAAGAGACGGACCAAAGCTGTGAAGGGAAAGGAAGAAAACGCCTTGGGAGCTGTGAACTAAACCCCTCTTTAAGCAAAGTCAGTGGAAAGAGAAGAGCTCACCTGAAGCGAAGGTGAATGGGTGATGTGAGGTCCACCAGTAATCCGACAAGCCGTGGAGCTGAGATAGCTTCAGCAATAGCAAAGTGGATAATCTGGTTGGTTGCTTAAGCTTTCCCTGTGCTTGTCAGCGATGGCCGAATGAGCCATTATGAGATAAGGACTTACCAGACAAGGTTTCAATGATACGAGAGGTTGTTCGTACCGTTACCGCTTGAAAATTACAGCGAAAATTGACCGTGCTGAGGCCAATCAATACAACACTTCTCGGAGCAAGGATCCGCCCGTGGCTTTCGCCAACGAATAGGCGTTCCGCGTGTGCTGGAAGTCTCAGTGGAGTGCGAAGCGGTAGATCGTGCTTTGCCGATGAGGGTTTTGCAACCTTGTCTTTTGGTTTAATTCTCAATGCTTCGAACGAGAAGAGATGAGAAGAGCCTGTTGTGCACAACTGGAAGAGATGAGGAACTCGATTGAAGAATGTGAACGAAACTACCGGATCCACTGCTCGTGAGAGCAAGTTGGCCGAGACTTGGCACAATCGCGAGGCAAGCTGCTGGAAATGCAGTGGTTGGAGGTGGGAGAGGCAGCCCTAAACTTGTCGCTGTAGCTTACTGAAATATATACCTACGTGCTGTCCAACAGATCCTCAGACTTTGGGTATGGTCGCTCGGCGAGCAAATGGTATTGTGCTCAGGGTAACAACAGGCTGTTTAACGTGCGCGAAAAGAAAGCTGCCTACCCGAAACTCTGCTCAACTTTAATCGATCGAGCGTGCTAGACTTTCCAGCCTTGTCGGCTACTCAAGCAGGACCTGCTCGTTCGGGCTAATCCAACCAATATTCACGAACTGGACCACTCCAGGTGTATGCCTTGCCCAATGTGTGTGGTCTTGAGTCAGTAAAGAAGAAGAGGAGACTTTTTTCAGGTAGCATTTCAGCCTATGCACCAAAATCTACCACTGACCACTCGAACATATTTCAAAAGAAGCTCTGTCTTCAGGGAACATCCCTTCTGCTGTCTAGAATAGACTGCTTGCATTGAATAGACGTCCAGAAGCAACATCAGCGTACTCTACCGTAAGAGGCGCACAACGCCGAGATGACAAGAGCGCTCGCGAAGACAACCACCCGGTCTAACAAGGACCTGGCTACCATTACGTTTTTCGATTGTTTGGGCTATTACTGGCTGGGAAAGCTTCCTAGCTGTACGAAACGTGCTGCAAATCACTTTCTCCACCTCCCACCGAATGTTACCTTTTGAAATGTCTCATTACAAAATCCCGTAAGCTAGCGGTCAAACTGCGACAACAAGCCCGATGGATCTTTCCTCGTTTCGGCAAGGTCATGTCGGTCTGAAAAGCTCGTTTGATGATTCGAGGAACGAAGCCTTGTCCCGCTCGCCTGAATACTCCAAAAAGTGCTGCATGGTGTATCATCATGCTGCTTAGCTGCAAGCTCAAGTTTTAGCCCGGCACGCGGTCGGCTGTATTCTTATTGAGGTTTGTAGGTGATATAGCAGAATTGATTACTCGACCGTCGTCTTGTGTGATCGAGATATTAAAGGAAAGTCGTGCTGCGGACAGAAGACTCACCACCTTGGCGCAAGCATTGAGATTCTATCGGGCACCTTCCTCACTCCCATCGAAGCCAGCTGAACAACGCAAATGTGCGACTCGGTGATGTTGCGCCGCTGCACTGACCATGCCGGTCGATGCTAGTCCAAAGCTTGAAAGGCGAATCTCCACTAGCGCATTAGCCATCTCGCATAAAATGATTCGCCAGGCCCGAAAAGAGATGGGATAAACAAAAGATGAAATTGCGCCGGCATCCTCTTTCCATTTGTGAACTTTTGTCGTCGCCGATGCTCATGAAGCCACAACTGCTTTGTTGCCCGCAGAGCTTAGGTCTACAAGTATTGGTTCTGCCCAAAGATTGCGTGTCTGCATTCATACGCGCAATTCACTTACTGAAGGAAGTCTGGAGACCTCTACAGACCCACTCAAAAATGCATTGTGGAGTGCTGCGGCATTTTCGACGTGGACACGATTCAGCAGCGCGAGAGCCTTTCCCTCTCTACAAACAAATGTCTTTGCTGACTTGAACGGTACTTACGTGCGCCAGGTCATCACAATAAACTGCGTTGCAACACTCCCATCTTGGCCTCATCACGACCCGAGACGACCGTCTGGACTGCGAAATTCAAAAAGTGCCGCGTCAACAAGCAGCTTTGCGGTAATTGCTCAAAATACGCGTATGGAAATGGAAGGACATGCCTGTAAGCATTGCAGCGCTTGCTGAGGTTCGTTCTGTATGAGTTCGTGCTTCGAATATTGGATTGGCAGCATCTTATCAGGATATCTCTTCACAAATGCTGTGAAGATCCAGATCCAGCTCTCTAGCACAGACAGTGCCTGCTCGTCCGTTGCAAAGGAAGAATATATTAAGGATATGACTGTATGTACTGCGCAAGCTTGTTGTGCAGTTTATGCTCGAACAGGATGCATAGCAGTTTGGTTTCTCGAAGCGTCATCTTCAGCATATCATACTGTATGTGACATGATAATCCACGTATGCGAATTCTCATGAAACAACCTACAACGTGACTGTTGAGCTCCTGGCCCAGTATACTCGATTATGCCCAGTCCTATTGACCTTACTCAGTATTGTTGCAGTCTCGTCACGTCGTCAGTCACTTCAGCTATGTACATCCTAGTACAGGAGCTAATGGAAAGTGCAGACACGACGTGCTCTAGTCACCACACTATCTATCCCAGATCCTTGACTCGAACGATCGTCTATGTCTACGTCATTGTCGTTATCGCGTGCCCATGCATCAGCATCATGAGTAAGCCGTCGCTGCAGTAGCTTCTTATCTCTACCAGTTGCGAATTGTCTTGACAGAAGAATATCTCACACTCCATATGCCAACAGCTACGATTATGGGAGGAGACGCCCGCACTGCCGGGGTTTCAGATCACAATGTGCGATGATTCACGAAGTTTGCAAAACATGCCGGACGATTGACTAGCTCAATGCATGCTGCTGGCTCCCCGCATGCCTCGAGCAACCCACCGCTGGGTATTTGCCTCTCTTTGAGTGGTGCAACGGGTCGGGTGTATGATTAAAAAACGCGCATCCAGACCTCGATCCAGTGATCCGCTACAGATGCAACATTTGAAAAGAATGTTGTATGGACTGTTGTATGTTACAAGAGCACTATCGCATGAGTAATTCTCGAGGAGCTCGGAGGTTGTAGCCGCAGAACGTGCGTTCCCATGGATAGCACGGGGTTTTCGGATGATAATCGAATTACTCGAAGTGTTGCGAGCAGACGCTGGCATCCTGAACATGTATCAGCCAGTCTTGTAGATGCTTGTGTAACTGCATCCTGGACTGTCTTGCCGCATATTTGTCGAGTCACAATTTTCTTGTGCAGTAGATGGTGCCATCTCGAGGCGAATCTTGTGTCAGGAGTCACTGAAATCGTTCACAGCACTCAAGCTGCGGTGCATCCAGACTAACAATGTCAACCTCCGAGCATTACTCGAATGACATCGTCAACAAGCACTGCTCTTGATGCTCATGCTCCAAGCTTGAACGAGAAATTCGCCTGCCGGTGCAGAATTGCGAAAGTGTGATCAACCGAAGTGAAGTTAACGAAGTGTGGCTTTGCAAGCTGTACCACAAGAACATTGCACTTTCATGGTTGCCTACGCTTCACATATCGGAACAAAAAGTCTGAGGTATATTCTGAGATAGTAAGTAGTAGTTATGTTCCAAGCGCGATATTGATCAAGCAAATCAACGGCAGTCAAGGACGTTCATAGAACACCACGAATGGGCTCGGGAACGAATTCTATCGATCTTACACCACATATATCAGATTTGGAAGTGCATCGACTGTCAAAGATCCAATGCTGCTTGTCGACCTCACTTTTTACGTCTAGAAGGCAATCGAGGGAGTATGTCGTAATTAATATTCACAACCACTCACAAAATGGAAGGAGGTCAATTTGTGTTGCGGAAGAATACTGCAGCTGGTCAAGTCAACAACGTGATCCTTCCTTCCAAATTGTCGAAAAGGTGTGCTTTCCTGACAGCTGAGCCTGTCGACCTCTTGCACCTTCCCTCAACACTATCCAACAGGTTCCCAAAATGACATCCCATCATATATCCTGCACTCAACCTTTATCTTCTTTGCTATCCTAAGCAGTGCTTCTTCTGTCTATACCACTCTCAGCTCTCCCTCACGAAGTCGTTTCTTTCGCTACTGACAAACATCAAACTGCTGGATCTTCACCATGGTTTTAACATTCTTTTTTGCCTACTTACTAGGCTTTGCAACATGCGAGGACAACAGCCCCCAGTATGCTGTGGCTGCCAGCAAAATCGACACTTCCCTGGTTGTCAGGTATACTTCCACTTACCCACCTGAGATTGCTCCTGTCAAAACAGTCTATGAAGGTTTCAAGACAATCTACCTCAATGTGAGTGGGAAAAGGTCAACGATTATACATGCTGACAGTATAGGTTGTGGACTGTGACTATGTCACGGTGGAAAATGTCAATGAGAGCCCTTCCTCAACTGTAAGCAAGTCCAAATAAAAGAATGAGATACATCCATCTGATCATCATAGGGTATATTCACAACGAGAACACTTTTGCCGACACTGACAGAATACCGAATTGGCTGTATGGTAGACACTAGTGTGACAACTCGAGGGGAGATGATCCAAACAGCACTACCACAAAGCTCTGTTGAGACAGCACATGGGAATGCCAGAAGAATGCAGTTCGAGGCATCTTCCCTCGCGAATGTTCTCGGTATTGCCCAACGATTGTCCTCTGGCATCGATCCTACCAACCAGAACATTACTGTTCGAGAGTTTAGGTTCTTACAGGAGATCAATACTGCACTCTTCGCCCTCAATATTTGCAACTCTGGTCTGCCTCTGGACAAGATGTGTGAATATCTGCAGGACCAAAACCTCCGCGGCCATCTAGAGGATAACTATATCAACCAAGATGAAGCTCGCAATATTGTTTGTTTCTGCTCTGCCAACGGTTTGTATTTCAACGAGTCGAACGACGAGCTGCTTGGAGACCTTGCCGCTCTTGAGTATGCTGTTCAGACGCACGCATACGGTACCCAAACCTTGCAGGAGATTTGTCAGAATCTCGACTACCGGGCCGCCAGCATGCTGGGAATTGACGTTGGCGAAATCCAAGCATTCGTGTGCAACGGCACTGGCGGCATCTTACCCTCGACTAGTACAGCGAGCGCTACGATGTCGTTGACTACCGGCTCTGGCAACTCAAGCACGGCGAGCACGGCACTTGGTACAGGCTCTTCCGCTGCTCCTTCAGGCATGGGACTATCCTCAACAGAGTCAGGTCCGGCTCCTAGCTCATCTATCATCTTGGGAACTGATGGTCCAGCCTTTAGCAGTGCCACGTCAGCTGCAGGCACTGTTGGTCCTTGGTTCAACGCATCCAGCACGGCAACCAGCACCACTGCTGATGTTGCTGCTATGACGGCCAGTGATATTGCTGGTCGGGATACGGCAGTAGCCGCTGCAATGTTCTATCCACCACGACTTATTCGGGAAAGACTTCGACGACATGGCCACGTTGGCTAAGTCGATATCACTATGTGATAACACGACACATTGGTGCCAACTGAAGGGGAATTTTTACTTGCAGACGTCCACACAGAAGTATCATATGGATCAATATAGGTGGTGTCAATGACGGACATGAAGTAGAGTTGGCATGTTATTGTAGAACAAAATTGTATTGAAGCAAATATGACGTTTTCGTGTCGACATAGCTCAGAGAATGCTAATACATGGTGCAACCTGCCGCATGTGCTACTGCACTCCTACCTCCTGCACCTGCAGAGTCGTTACATCAAATCGATAGCATAGTATGGACCAGCTAAAGTTACATGCAAGATTCATCCAGCAAGTAAGTAAATGAGCTGCAATGTGGTCAATTGAAACATATTTCTCGGCTCTATAGCCAGTTCCTGTCCAAGGCTTACTGGCTGCCAGATTTGACCTGACGTGTATATCTTCTTGTACTTATGGTACACCTTGACGAAAGAGGTAATTGTCTGAGATGTCGACCATCAGCAGTAGCATGCTGACTTTCGCTCTCAAACCTGCGTAACGCATCTGACTACTCCTCTTGACCCCTCCTTCCAACAAACAGACATGGCACCACCAACCTCAAGAGCAGAAATCCGCAAATCCCTCCAAGGGTCCGCCCGCAATGGCCGACCCATTGTCGGCGCCGGCGCAGGCACAGGCCTCTCAGCGAAATTCATCGAAGCTGGCGGTGCAGACCTAATCATCATCTACAACTCGGGACGCTTCCGTATGGCAGGGCGCGGGTCCTTGGCCGGCCTAATGCCCTACGGTGACGCCAACGCCGTCGTCGTCGACATGGCTCGAGAAGTCCTTCCTGTCGTTGATAAAACACCTGTCCTCGCTGGTGTCTGCGGCACAGACCCCTTCCGGCTCATGCCCAGGTTCCTCGCCGAGCTGAAAGATATGGGGTTCGCGGGAGTGCAGAATTTCCCTACGGTTGGACTGATTGATGGGACGTTTCGCGCGAACCTTGAGGAGACGGGGATGGGCTACGATAAGGAGGTGGAAATGATTAAAATAGCTCACGATCTGGATCTCCTGACTACGCCGTACGTATTCAACGTCGAAGAGGCAGAAGCAATGACACGAGCTGGCGCGGACGTGCTAGTCTGCCACATGGGCTTGACGACGTCTGGCTCGATTGGCGCAAAATCAGGGAAGAGCTTGGACGATTGTGTAGGTCTGATACAGGGGATGAGGGATGCCGCTACGGCTATCAACCAGGATGTGCTGGTGTTGTGTCATGGGGGTCCTATAGCTGAGCCCAAAGATGCGCAGTATGTGTTAAGTAGGACGAAGGGGGTGCATGGGTTCTTTGGCGCGAGTAGTATGGAGAGGTTACCTGTGGAATTGGCGATTACGAATATTACGAGGGACTTTAAGGGGTTGAAGTTTGAATCGTGATATTGGTGTTGCTGGTCTGGCTATGACTTGTCTTATTCTTCACAACTTTCTCCCTTATCTAAGCAGGGCAAGAATTTTTTAGGCGTCCAGGCTCATACGTGCTATTTAGTCGTGGCATTCAGCACAGTCAGACAATAGATATTTTGCTGTGAATTATTGTGTGGTAGTGAACGTCTATCGCGTGGTGTAGCACTTCGTGGTGTTTTTATTCCGGGTGGATCAGTAATAAAAATGTCCATGCAATGCCACCATCTGAATGAAGACCATACACGCAGTTTGCCAAAATTGATTTGCCATGACTATGTATAATTCATCGCACTGCTTGCTAGTAAACGTCGCTCGTTGCCCGTATCTACGGAACCCGACGTCGTCAACGCCATACACCATGCAATGCTCTAAGGTGACCGATCTAGTTCAATTGAACATCTTCCTTAGCGCCTCGTATATAGTGAAAATGATAGCTGAACTCGGGGCAGCTCTGAACACCGTGATGCCACAGCCTCTATAGAAGCCTTTCAGACCTTGCTGTCGCCACAGCTCCCGTCCAACACCCATGAATGTACCTCGCGTCTTTCCAGTCTCCTCAGTCTGCATTCGTGACTTGATTGTGTCGGCCGGGTAGAAGACAAAGTTGTATGACATGCCAGCAGCAGCACCACCAACCATCTGTTGCCAGATCTTGACCTCATTAATTCGCTCTATGCTCTTATCGTATTTTCTGAACAATATCTTGGTGCCTTCATATGACCCGAACCAGGCTGCTGAACCGCCTGTCTCGCGGATGAGTGTGCCCAGCTGACCGTGCCAGAAACCCAGTAGACCATGTGTTCGGAAGACAGATCGAATAATGGCAGAAATGCTAGGGGACCGCGCCATGCCGTTCGGGCCAGTGGTAGGATCTATTGGATTGGAATGGACGACCTGCATTTTGCATTTCACGAGCTCAATTGGTGTAAGGGCCATAGAAGTGAATGCCCCAGAAGCTGCACCACAAAGCAGGAGTGTGGTGAAAGGTAGCTCGACTTTCCCATCTTTGCTTGTTTCCTTCTCTTTTCTTAACGTGGGGGAAAGACTTACATACGCATTTTGGGCTACTCTGTAGCTGAAGAAAAGAGAGGAAGTCTCGACTGCTGCTCCGAAGAGAGGTGCGCTTATACCGCGGTACAGCGAACGAATAGGTCCTTCTGGAGAGCGAAAGGCTTGCTTGAATGCATCGATCGGGCCCTCGAGTCGGTTGGTTCCTGGAAGATTGTTTTGGCTCTGGAGTCGGACCTTCACTGTGTCGAAAGGGTATTCAACGTATTTACCCAGGATACCGGCTGTGCTGCCGAAGAGGATGTCTTTCAGCGCTTCGACACCTTGACTGTCGGTCTTCACAGCAGGTGGACTGACTTCATCGAGGCTGTCGAGTTTAGCTAGAGTATCATCGTGGTTGAGAACTGCCATGCGGCACGCGACTTGCTCGACAGCGAGCTGATTGTTTTTCTTCTTTAGTTAGAAACGTGGATCTTGTGTTATCTTGGAAGCATTTTGTGTGAAGGGCAAGAAGACAACACAACCAAGTCCGTATTCTGCAGAGAAATTCTTCAAACAGACTGCTTTGACACGTCACAAGCGTTTCACTTGCATATCTTTGTGGCAGTACTATAGCATGTGGAGTGCGGTGAGCGATTTGGTCGACAAGATTTTGGCTGTCACCACCATAGCCAGCTCCAAAAATTTGCCAGGACCTGCAGCCCGGAAAGAGCCCTAAACCGCGAAGAGTTAGGCTGCGATAGATAAGATAAGATCCGCGCAGACACAATTTTCTGCTACTGCCGAGCGAGGACCCAGGACTATGACTGGCTGCGTGGTTTTGTATCAGCAACTGATCAATGTCCTAATATGCAAAGATGACAACCGTTGAAGACACACAATCCCAGCCAGTAGCTATGGAGTTTGCAAAAGCCACAACAGTCTCTACTTCAGCCCCAGCAGGCATTAGAGTCAATGGCAAGAACTGGCATGCACAAAAGAAGGCTTTCCGTCCCACAGCCGGTCTGACCTCCTTCCAGAAACGCATGGAGATGGAGCAGGTGAAAAAGGCCACCAAAGCAAAAGAGCAGGAAATGAAGGACGAGAAGGAACAAGAACGAAACAGCCGTATTCAAGCGATCAAAGACAGGCGGAAGGCTAAAGAGGAGAAAGAACGATATGATAAGATGGCTGAGAAGATGCACAAGAAGATTGTGGAGCGCAGGAAAAGACGAGAGAAGAGGAACAAACTCCTGAATAGTTGAGGAGACCCTCGAAAGTACTGAAAACAAGTATCGAAGATCTGGACGAAGGAACAACCAAAATTCGCAATCCAGCACACAAGACACGCCTGGTGGTGAACAAGAAGCAGCAAGATACCCAATGAGTATCTGTTTTTATTGCCTCGAGCTCTACAGCACTCCGCCAAAGTGACTTATACGAGTCATAGTGGCGTCCTATGAGAGCGACGTTTGCGTGCTTCCTCAAGCAGAAAAAGGCAGGAAAATATCGATGGCAAGCTAAGGAGCAGAGAAAACGTACATCCACGGATGAGAACAAAAAGCAGAACAGATACCTTCCAACCAATGCTCGCTATGAAGGCATTTCGTGACCGCTGCAAAACTCATGAGAGACATAATAGCCTTCACTATTTTTCAGTCACGAGAAGAGTGCTTGGTGCTGAAGCACTACAGTCAGGTAGTGACTTTCCACGAGAGAAACGATGATGAAAACTATCTCCTACAGGGCATAGATATTAAAGCAATGCGAGGAGTAGGAGCTGCAAATCATCATGCATTAGAATGAGCTATTCAATTGTTCCTTGGTATCATGAGAAAGAAAGCAGGTCGTCTACCATTCACATCTTATCGTCTTCAGTCGGTGTTCCCCTACTCGCCCTTGACTTTGACTTCAGCTCCTCTCAAGTGCTCCAACTTTGCGGTCACCAATTCTGCAACGTTATCATTTCTCTGAACATCCCTGGCGCCGGATTCATCCTCAGCCTTGGCATGTCGTCTTGTTGCGTCTTCCACTGTTCTAGTCCAGTTGATGATAGGCTCTGTAGCTAATGCAGCATGGCTGATTTGAGTCGCAAGCCCTCGTACGTGCTCGTTTTGTACTTGCTCGAAGTTGGTGTGTGTGAGGAAGATGTTGCTGACGATGAATTTCTTGCCTTTTAGTTCTACGAAGTCACCGATATCGTATGGATGCTGGGAAGAAGTTAGCGTACAGTCGTGGATTGCGTAGAGAGGGGAGGACATACCTTGCCAAAGCAGAAGACCGAGCTGTTGACGAACTCGGAAACGGCACCAGAGAAGGCGAAGGCAAGACCAACGATGCCAGTCCAGAGACTGCCTATGTTCTTTGCGTAGTCTTGTTCGAAGAATTGGACTGAGAGCACGTTAGTGAGCCGGGTCAGAAATCAGATATAGGTGCCAACTGCTTACCATAAAGAAAGACAATGAGACCTAGCACCAGGATGGTGAGAACGATCTCGAGTTTCTGCATCAGGCGTTGAATTCCGGTCATAGCCTGTGTACGGCGGTTGAGCATGAGACCAATACGATGCACAAGTCTAGTGACTTCGTCCTCTGTAATCTGTCCATCGCAGCTTTCGTCCAATTGGAGGAAAAGATCTCGTCCTCGTTCAGGGTCGCGGTTCATGGCTATCAATTGCTGAGAAAGGTCGGACATGGTAAGGAAAGTTCGTCCGTTCGTGATTGACGACCAAATATTGGCGGCATACTCGTTCCATTTCTCTTCGTCTCCCTCACCTCGTGAGATGATGTAGTAGAGATCGTTGGAGTTGGTCGGCAGGAAAAGCTTGTTGAACAGTTTTGTCAGAATGGAAATATCGTCCGAGCTGATGTGTCGATCGACAAGGTTGTTCAGATCCTTGATCACCTCAAGCTCGTTCGACGCCTTTTCTGCTCGCGGTCCGATGAAGCCTTCAATGTACTGAATCTTGATCAATTCGAGTAGGACGCCTTGCACAAAGATAATTGCAAAAGCGATGATGAGAAACATAAATGCTCGTCGGAGGTTGTTCACCCAGTCCGTGGCCTTTGCCTTGACAGTGCCAGAATTAAGGTGTGAGTGGTTGAACATGTTTGGCATGATGGCATAGCCGACACCAGCCCAGAGCATGAGGGTCAATCTCAAGCAGCATTCTCTTGCCAATCCGCGAAATCTGTATGATGCTGACGACAATGTGCATAGGTATGCGGCAAACATGGCTACGATTCTGCCGCAGTACAACAGGCCAATAAAGCTACCCCAGGATACCAGCAGCCATTTTGCTAGACGAACCAAGGTCACGCCAAGGTCCTTTTCACCAACAGGTGTCTTTGAGGGAAAGGCAAAGAGAGCAATAAGGAGAAACACCACGAATGGTATAGCAGTAACAGCTGCAATTATGGTACCCTTGATTACGATCGACTGGTCTGAGCATGATCGTCCAACACGGTCAAATGGTCTTGGTTTAGGCTTCCGTTTGGGTCTTGCCAGTTCTTGCGATCTTCGGAGAGTCTCTGACTTCGCCAACGGTTTCTCGGAAGGAGGTGGGCTCGAGGGAATCTGATTCAGAGGGATTTCGTTCACCTCGACGGCTCCTTTCTTGGCATCCATTGAGCTGTAGGATGGAGCAGTGATGTGCTGTCTTGAATCACTTGTCAAGGGTCGTGTTGGAGTATCGGGATAGAAGTTGAAAGTGTTGGACACCACCATTGTGGGCGAGGAACCTGCTTAAATCAACGTGTGATAGGAACGAGGATCTTCAAAGTCTCGAACAAGACGATGGCTCAGCTAGAAGAATAGCGGAAGCATAAATGCGAGGGAAAAGCTTGCAACCACATGGGCGAATCGTGATCATTAAATGCTTCTAGAACGAGGTAAGCAAGCCGTGTAGCTTTTCAGTTGACTCAAAGAGTACCATGTTTATCTGGTGCTTAGAACCTAATTGCATGGCTTACAGCCAACCCGTCGATAGTGCTGCCCATTCTGGTGGTTCTTGCAAAACTCTCGAGGCGACACGCATGCTGGGACTGAACGAATCCGGCTGACTGAACAGAATATCCGCATCTGGATGTAGAGCCGCATCGGTAGTGAGAGTGTTAGGCAGGTCTGGCCCACTCGAGTCAACATCTTGTGGTCACAACGATTGCTTCGAAATAGCTCGGTACCGCAAGAAATTGCACTTGTGGTAGAAGGCTGGCTGAGAAGTCGTTGCCGGCGCGTCGAGACTGACCCCTTTCTCAAGCCACAAGCTCGTTAGCGTGAGATAAACATTTTGTCGTTCAGCTGGGGTGGGGAAGCAGCTGAGCACGAGTCTCTTGACTAAGTTACTGAAAATGTTTGTCACATTATGCAACAAACCATTTCTCAAGCTAACATTCCGCTGCTGTGAAAATGGTGACAACTTTCATCTGCAAGTACAAGACTCATGGCACGAAGGGTCCTCTTCTTAACAAGAAACATTTAGGAAGTTGAATGCAAGAGAAATCCGCTACCACTCGAGCAGCGCGCCATAGTTAAACTCTTCCGGGAATCGCTAAGCCGTATTCGTTTCATGCAGTGGAGGTCTTATGGTCGGAACACTCACAGTTTTGCTTTCGTTAAACTCTCGAGAATTTACCAAATTTGGCTGGCACAACACTGTAGTCAACTTGTCTTCGGACACGCCGAGCTAGATAACAGATTCAGCATTTGGGTACAGTAGATCAGGAAAGAGAACCGCACAAGCCGTATTCCGGTCTACAGTAGCTGAACGAAATTAATTATACTAACAATCCTTCCGAGAAAACCAGTTTGTGAAGGTGGGGTAGCTTCATATCGGTCAGGCCACGAGGGATGTGGGCAGGTAGCGAAGAGAGTCGACATGGAGAACATATGAACCAAGATTTGGAAGATGTTTTTGTATTGATGCTATGCAGCAATACTGCACGTTAATTGAGAAGTAGTATCACATGATGTGCCACAACCAATCTCAGCATCTGAGACCTATGGTCCTATGTAGAAACAATGGTAGGATATTACTCGTCTATCCATGACAACCATCCATTTTGAAAATCATACCAACGCCTGCTGAGACAATGAACTGGGTATCATCGACTAACACGCGCTGCAGACATTTAGTCAACCTCCTCCATTGCACTCTCGCCAGTAGCTTCAGTAGCACCAGCCTCCTCCTCGGTCTTCTCCTCTGTTGTCTCAGCATCCTCATCGACGTTGAGACCAAGAGAAACAAGCTTGTGAATTCGCTCAGCAAAGCTAGCAGGTTCTTCGATGGTGAAGCCAGAGACTAGCAACGAAGTCTCAAACAAAAGCTGGGTAATAGACTTGACCGTTCGGTCGTTCTCACCATCAGACTCAACCTTCTTCTTGAGCTCCTTGATGATAGCAGACTTTGGAGAGATCTCGAAGGTCTTCTTGGAGGACATGTACGACGACATGGATGTGTCTCGGAGAGCCTGTGCCTTCATGATACGCTCCATGTTAGCCGACCAGCCGAATTGACCAGTTCGGATGGCGCAAGGAGAACCGATGAGCTTGTGCGAGACGATGACCTTCTCGACCTTGTCGCCAAGAATGTTCTTGAGCGACTTAGCGAGAGATTCGTACTCTTTCTCTTCCTTCTCTCGTTCCTTCTTCTCGTCCTCGGTCTCTTCAAGCTCGAAGTCCTTGGTGATGTCAACGAGCTTCTTGCCATCAAATTCCTTGAGCTGGGTCATGGCATACTCGTCGATGGGGTCAACTAAGAACAGGACCTCAAAGTTCTTCTCCTTGAGAGTGTCGAGGAACGGAGACTTTTGTACAGCCTTGATGGACTCGCCAGTGATGTAGTAAATCTGCTTTTGGTGCTCTTGCATGCGTGTGATATAGTCAGCGATTGAGGTAGCATCATCACCAGACTTTGTGGAGCTGAATCGAAGAAGTTTGGCAAGATTCTGTCGGTTTTGCGAGTCCTCGTGGATACCGAGCTTGATGTTCTTGCTGAAGGCAGAGTAAAACTTGTCGAACTGCTCCTTGTCCTCAGCGATCTCGTTGAAGAGCTCGAGAGCCTTCTTCACAATGTTCTTCTTGATCACCTTCATGATCTTGTTCTGCTGCAGGGTCTCACGAGACAGGTTCAGTGGCAGATCCTCCGAATCGACAACTCCCTTTACGAAGCTCAACCATTCTGGGATAAGGTCGGTGGCATCATCGGTAATGAAGACACGTCGAACATACAACTTGATGTTATTCTTGGTCTTCTTCGTCTCGAAGAGATCGAATGGAGCTCGCTTTGGCACGAACAGAATGGCTCGGAACTCAAGCTGACCTTCAACAGAGAAGTGCTTGACAGCGAGGTGATCTTCCCAGTCGTTGGACAGAGACTTGTAGAAAGACGCATATTCTTCTTGTGTAATGTCTGATGGATTTCTGGTCCAGATTGGTTTTGTCTTGTTGAGCTCTTCCTCTTCGATCTTGGATTCCTTGACCTTCTTGGTCTTCTTCTTCTTTTCCTTCTCTTCGTCTTCGTCATCATCGATCTCCTCGACCTTGGCGTCCTTCTTGCCGTCGTCTTCAGTGACGTCCTCGGCATCCTCGTCGGGGATTTCTTTCTCGGTCTCCTTGAGGACGTGAAGGTAGATTGGGTAGGAGATGAATTCGGAGTGCTTCTTGACGACTTCCTTGATCTTAGACTCGTTCAGGTAGTCTGTCTGCTCTTCCTTGAGGTGAAGGACCATCTTGGTACCTCGACCAAGCTGCTCGCCTTCAGTGTCTTGTGTAAGGTTGAAGGTGCCGCCTGCGCTGGACTCCCAAACATACTGCTCGTCGTCATTGTGTTTCGAGGTGACAGTAACTTTGTCGGCGACGAGGTATGCGGAGTAGAAACCAACACCAAACTGACCGATCATGGAGATGTCAGCACCTGCGGTGAGAGCCTCCATGAACTGTTTTGTGCCGGATCGAGCAATGGTACCAAGGTTATTTACGAGATCAGCCTTGGTCATGCCAATACCAGTATCTCGAATAGTCAAGGTCTTGTTCTCTTTGTCTGGGATTATGTCTATTCTCAAGTCCTTGCCTGTGTCGAGCTTGGACGGATCTGAGAGCGCCTCATATCTGATCTTGTCGAGAGCATCGGAGCAGTTGGAGATCAGTTCTCGCAGGAAGATTTCTTTGTTCGAATAGACTGTGTTAATGATGAGAGACAGGAGCTGGGAGATCTCAGCCTGAAACTCAAACGTTTCTGTAGACATTGTTGCGGCAGAAGTGTATAGCTGAAGCGAATGTTAGTCGTGGCCCGGGTGAATTTAATTTTCTATGTTCGAAGCAAACTGGTAGGCTTGCAGTACAACTTACAGGAAAGTCAAATGGCAATTGTGCGATCAACCGAGTACAAATTTATCTTCGAGAAGAAGAGAACAAGTTTGAGAGTTTGCTTGCTTCCTGCACGTTCGACGGATTTCTTCTAAACAAACTATAAGGCACGATCGAAACTCATGGAAGGTGAACTCTGATTGGCGGACGCATCGTAGCGGATCCGCCAGCGTCAAATGTGAGTTTGTGGTTGCGGGTGAGAGATCAGGCACCGAAAAACCAGGCGAGACTGTTTACCGGCTCTGCAGGCACTTTTGATGGTGCAACAATTAAAGCTTACGAAAAGGCTTTCTTCAAGCTAGACACTCTTAAGGACATTGTGTTTCACCTGTAAATTGAAGAGAATAGTATTTGGAACTTGTGTGTACCGAGAGCGCCTTGAGAACTCCTACTGTACCTAGCTCATTTAATCAATAGCTGTCGTAAGAGTGCTTTGTGATTATCTTTCACAGATTGGCCAGGACCAATGTTCGAAGTCACGCTGTGACACCACACTATAACACTGTTCCTTTTTTGAGCCAAGGTATGCTTCTTTACTTCGTAGATCGTGCTTCGTTAGGCATTCGTCTGCTCAGAACTCTGGCTTCCACTGCTATTGCCTTCTGCGAGAGACTTCTCTGCTGCCTCGAGCTTCTCCCTTGTGTGCTGCAATTCGGACTGCAAACTTCTGATATAAATAATGGCCATCTCCACTGTACTCGCTTTGCTTGCACCCTGCATTGCAGCAAGCTTGTCACTTGCTTCACCATTTGAGTCCTTGCCCTGTTCTCTTTCCTTACGGTTGGCAGCAGTGATCGAAGCTGGTAGCAAGGATTCTATTTCTTTCAGAGCAAGATTTATCCGATTTCGCCTACCCTGTTCCGCTATCTTGTGTGAGGTCCTTTTCGAGCTTAGGTTTTCTGCTAGTGTTTCGGGGTAAGAGACACCGGGCAAGTGTGTACCATTGATGATGTTCTCATAGTTCGATTTGGAAGCGAGGTACAAAGCACTTGTTTCGGCTGAGAGGATCGGCATGCCTGCACCTGTGCAAAATGTTAGCCGTCAGTCAAGACATCTGGTTAAGACCTTACTTGTGTTTGGCACTAGAGGACTGATGCTGGGAGATATCTTGGGTCTCAGTGCTGGTGATACAGTGGCTTGAGATATGCTTTGCCGTTTCTTGCTTGCCCTACCACCGCGTGCGGGTCTTGGAAGGTGCTCCTGCGAGGTACTGGCCGCCTTGGCGCCAGACGATCGAGGCGTGCTATCAGCACTGAGTTTAGGAGTCTTGGCAGATAGTGTAGGTGTACCTTCTCCATTGTCGTGGCTGACACGTGTATCCAGAGCTGGCAAGACACGAGGCGGTAGCTCTGCTGCTGCTGCTCCTAGTGAGATGTCTTCCATGAGTTCAGGCGGCTCTATCATCTGCCCGTCTTGTGTGATTGATTGTACTTGTTTGCCAGGGATCTGCATCAAGGTGGCAGGAGTGGCGGGCGCGTTGGTCTCTTGCGAACGTGGGCGAAGTGTGGATGGCGTTCTTGATTGCGGCAAAGGTGGTGGTCGCATCGAGGTTTCAGATAGTGGTTCTGGAGAGACAGAATCCTCGCTGCTGACAGCGGTCGAAGTAGTTGGACCTGCATATAGGTGATGCATCAGAGGCACTGCCGCTTGAGATAACGAATCTCTCTGTCCATTAGTGAGGGAGTTCTGTCTGCGTCGGGTTACACCCTTAACAGCTGGTGATACTCTCAAATTACGATTCGAGGCCACTCTTGACGTTGGCTTCAAGGTTCTCCTTGACTTTCGTACGGCTGTTGGCTGATCAACGTTTAGATCGACCGGCGAGGAAGTGGCGGTGGTCGATGCATAGTTCTGTTGTGCCTCTATAGCGGGTGATGTTAGTGGACTGAAGAAGTCCTCGGCGACCACATAGTCAGGCATGCCCCAGTGATTATCGATAGGGGTCTGCGCAGGTGAGACAAGAGGGGTGAAAGTAGCATTCTGCCGATCGAACACGATCTGTCCAGCGGCATCGATGGCATGTGCAAACTTTGCGGCTTGCATCTCAGTACTGACAGGTGTTGGTGGGACCTGGTGTTGATAAGGGTTCTGCATTTGCTGGTACAGTTGGTATTGTTGGTACTGCTGCTCTTGACTCTGTTGTGTCTGCTGCAAATGTGCGTAGCCCATATGCGACTGCATGTTGTTTATGCTCATGTCCATGTCTTGAAGAATGGCATGCTGCTGCGGTGTCAGGCCCTGCACCTGTCCGTTCTGTCCAAAGGTCAACCGGCCCATTGGAGTGTCCAGACCTGTGTGCGCATTCTGCTGCTCCACAGGCTCAAATTGGGCGAAATCATTCTCGAGCTCGAGGAACTTGGTGAAGTCGTCCTCTGTGGCTCCGCCAGCCAGATGGTCGTGATTTAACTCTTGTTGCCATACTTGATCCGCCGTCTGCGCTCGCTGCATCGTTTCGAATAGACTCTGATCGAGGGTGCCGCGCGTGGCTGCCGGCGCGGGTAGGTGAGAGACAGCTTTGCTCAAGATATGATCATTGCGACAATGTATGTGGGCTGGAATACCGACTCAGATTTAGTTGGTCGTCGAAGTAGTGATTTTAACGAGTGGCAGTGCCGTGGTTGGTGCAACAAGACAAACGACGAGGTCGTTTGACCAATTGACAGGTAAGTGAAGAAAGTCTGCCAGGCAGAGAATGTGCTCTACACAGATTTGCTTCCATTTGCCAGAGTGGGAGCCGATGGGAGGGCTCGAAGATTTGGCTAGTATGCGAAAGCACTAAACGCCCGAGTTCTGTCCAGGTTGCGTTACTTTTGGCTTTCGTGCGGGTCCAGCCTACAGGTGATAGGCTATTTCCTGCCACGAATCTTGAGCTTTCCCATTCTACGTGGGCATGATTTAAGGCCCAGGCTGTCAGCACTTGCTCACCATGACTCTCCTTGGTGCAGATGGATCACGATGCAGCAGGTACAAATTGAGGCTACCTGAAGGTGTTCATACACTAAGCCCTCAAAACGAGGATGATCTTGTGGGGGATGTCTCTTTCTGTTTATCGACCAGAAACACTACCACAGTACAAGTGAATGAGCACCACTACAAACCACCATTTTATGCTTTTGCTGAATCACAGCCATCCTCTCTGCCGGAGCCGCTCCAGTTCTGAGTTCATCTAATTACGTGCATCACCTGTAATGGTCGGAGATAGGCCTGTTGGTCGTGATGAGAGCTTGCTGCTTCTAGGTCAAAGGCGCTATGGAATAGGCTGTTCTCAGATATGCAGCTACCGCGGATTGGGATCAACGCCGAGTGTTGGGTTCAATCAGATTCGCTTACAGTTCCTTTCCGGAACGAATCATGTCACTACTTTCTTCGACCTCGTCTCGATAACGAGTTAGCGCGATTATGACGTGAGATACATTTGTGGCTCATCTTCGAGTCGTCCGAGCGGGTTCGAGTCACTGCAGCTCACCCTACGAGTGATGCCTGGGAGTATCAAGCATATGTTATAGTTGCCTGAATTTCGCGCGTTGTGTAGGCAAATCGACGAAAGTACCATCTCCTTGGGTGTGGCCACGTCTATTGCAGATGAACATAGTAACATCTTTACATCATGTCGAAACCTAAAACACACCTCAAGCAATTCAGAGGGAAGAAAAGAACTGAACAGGTGTGTACGCACGTTTCCAAAATATGGCAGGCACGAAAGGCTCAACCATGGACACCAGATCCTCAATGATGCGGACGACTACCTTGCTGCAGCAGTCGACGATGAAGATGCTATGGGAAAGCATCGCGGTGGTGATGCACTGAAGTCAATACGCTTCGGTCGCAAGGCATTAGAGCTCTATTCGCAGGGGTTGAAGAAATATCCCCAAAGCTTTGATCTTGCGTACAACAAAGCACGTCTGGAGCTCGAACTAGCGACACATCCGGTTTTGGTCAGAGTTCTGGACGTCCCTATAGCTACGTTGCTTCAGCAGTCGTTCTCATCCCATCAATATGCTCTCAAAATTGTGCCAGATGACGCCGATACACTTTTCAATGCTGCTCAGGTGTTGACAGCACTGGCTGAGCAAATCGGCAATACCGACGATGATTCGGATGCGCAGGCACTTCGACTCCTGGAACAGGCTCTTGAATATCAACAAGAGTGTTTGCGTGTTCAGGAGCTTAACTATGCAGAGACTCGTGCCATACAGAATAGAATAGCTCATGAAGCCAACGATAGTGAAGACGATGATGGAGGTGCCAAGATTGATTCAAGTACGACAACTGCTTTTGAGGACAGAGAAGCGGAGGAGCAGTGGTTTAGTATCGTCGAACCTGTCACCGCAAGCACGTTGATGGATACATTACTGGCTCAAATGTCGACTTTGACAACTTTGTGCAGTATTGTCGTCTCTGCGCTGTCATCTAATCCTGATTCTCAGCCGAGGATATCGTTGAGCTGGATTGAGACCTACTATACGAAGCTCGTCACCATTGCTTTGCCCGCACTGCTAGAGGCTGATAAGCAAGCACTACAGTCCCGAATGGGAGAAGCTGCTTTGACACAAGCTCTGCTAAGAGGCACTCTTCTCGAACTAGCATATCGCACGACCGCCATCGACCTTGAAACCTATAAAAAGGAAATTGATGCAGCATTCTCTGTGTCCGAACTTGACACTACGTCCTCTGCCGATCCATTACTGGCTCACGCGAAAAGCCTCATCTCTTTCAACGGGGCTCTAGTCGACACAATTCAGATACGATCAGGCAATGCAATCGACGCGCAGGCCAACGTCAGATGGAACGCTTTGTCCAGAGCACAGAAGCTGCTCGCCGCAGCTGCGAGCCTCGATTCTGCTAAAGCAGATACTACAGTATTGGCCATGACACATCTTCTCAGAGGCGACACCTCACTTCTGCTTCATGCTCTCTCCTACCCCCCTACATCGTTCACCCCAGCGATAACAAGCAAAGCTCAGCTCCTCAAAAACGCCGAGGTCTTCTATCGCAATGCGAGCAAATTGATGGGCAGCGCGGGACAGGATGAAGGAGGTAGCAAAGAGGTTGCCGGCTTTCGTTGTGGCGTGGTCCAAGTCTTGCAAAGTTCTGATGCTACCACAGACCAAATAATAGCAAGTAATATCATACAGGCTCTGTCTTCAACGAGGAACGACGATTGGAGAAGGGAGCAGTTGCGAGACATGGTAGATGAGGGACTGGTGGGCACCTTGTTTGATTTGCAATAACGAAATATGACGGCACATTATAGGTCGGCAATGTCTGTTCGTGCCTCCTCAGTCATGGAACTGGGACAATTGCACATGGTCTGCAAGAAAGCTCAAATCACTAAATACGCTCGCTCGTTGACGCAGAGATATTTCTCAAAGACACAGTCTGCCGCTCGATCTCCGACCGCTTGTGACAAACTGAGCTTAGGGCTTAGAGCTCAATATCCCGTTCTCCGTAAAGCTGCTCTCGAGAGCGACAAGAGTCGATCACGACAATGTCTTCAGAGCTCGATGGCTCTGATCCGCAGGCTTTGGCAACCTTCGTGCCTGGGCAAACGCTACCAGCCAATAAGCAATAGCCTTATTCGAGTCGCTCCTCGCATTCTCCACGGCAGAAACCTCCTCTTCTGCCTCATCGTCCTCTTGGGCCACAGAGTCTATGATTATGCAGTCACTGTTCTCCTCCTGAGCACGCTCTTGCTCGTCGCACAGGTCTCGAGCTGGTGCAAAGTCCTTCTCGACCGCTTCTGTGTCAATATAGCTTCGCTCGAATGGCAACCATCCATCTCGTTGCAAACTGCGATAGCAGGTGACATAATTTCTGTGGTTGCGGTGTTTTAGAGACGCGTGACTCAGATGTGGTATTGATAAGGGATATTCCATTTGGGGTAGGCTATCCACGTCGACAGTAAAGTGTGTTTGTGTCCGAGTCTGAAGCTTTTCTTTGGAGTTGGGAGTCGGAGCAAGGAGTACTGGGGGGTATGTCTGGCGTTGCTGGGAGAAGGAGGCTGTATGCTTATATGTTGGTACTGGTTTGGCTCGCTGCGAATTCAATGTGCGGTCGTACTCTAAACTCTCCGCCGTCAGGGTGGGTGCCTTCATTGCGTCGCTGATGGAGTTCATGACTACGTGTCGGCTAAATAGTGGACGAACGTAGCAAGTTTCGCAGCAGAGATCGGGAGAATTGAGATAAATATAGACTTGCTGATCGATTCCCATGTGTCAATATTATGAAGGAAGCGACTGGAAAGTTGAATCGCTCCATACAAGCAACGACTGCCGTTTGTTGTTGGTGACATCAAAACTGTTACAAACCTGGAGTACCCCATGAATATCTTGCTATCTTCGTTTGCGTATCCCAGGATGGGGAAGTGGTCGACTTGCACACTTTACAAGTGGTAGGCGGTGCGGTCCCTATACAAACAGTTGTGCATAGCCGTAATTCTACCTCTGTTGTCTTGCTGTGTGCCGGACCCTTGCCTTTTTCGGTTGCGCGTACATAGTGAAGATAGGTCACGGATGAAGTACCAGAGGTTAGCGACCAGAGTATTGTCCAACATCTGTTCTAGCAGTTATAGTGAGAAGATACTCTGCCCGGGCAATTTAGAGCAGCATATCCTTCAATACTCCAACTACCTGCCTCGATCTTGTATTATCTGTAGAAGGTTGAGCAACGTAGTGTATATCTGGACGTAGCATAGCTCCATGGCCAGCGCGACATCTTGAGAATCAAGGCGTTATCGTGCATCTCGAGCACAACTTGACACGATGGCAAAAGTTCTCGCTGTTCGAAGCGCGTGACAGATGCTTGTTTCCGCGGTACGTTGCCGTCGTCGCGTGGTGTATGCAGTAGCGAGTCTAGAATAGACGGCAAGAAGTGAACGCCCTCCCATTTCCCGTTTCACATTTTCGAGCTAGTCCCAGATAGGTTGGGTCGATGGAAACGCGACGAGAGAACAAAGGCGACAATGTCACTTGACGGCGACAACAATGCATCTTCCTGCACATACTCGCGAACCTCTCTCGCTTGTCAATACAGCTTTGCGCGGCAATGATCATGCAGCTCGAATGATGCGGTCGAGAGCCTTATCGAAGCAACTAGGTTGGCATAGGCCAAATCGCAAAAGAAAGGTTGAAATCTAGCAGCTATCTCGGCCTGTTGGACATTTCAACATGGATATGAGGGCGCTGCTCGAGCCGAAGAAGAACAGCAAGGCCAAGAAGTTCTCTGAGAAGGCAGGGAATGCGAGAGAAAGTAAGTGTTATTTCCTTTCAGTTGTTCGCGCAAGAACATCAAGAATAGCCTCCTGAGACTACCACATCTACCTCGCCTTCAGTCTTACCGGTGTATCGTTTACGGTTTGTGACTGGATTGAAGTGCAAGTCTACTTGCAGCCAGTTTGTCACGGATCACAACGTATTTCACATTGTTGTCATATGTCATATCACTTATCTGTCACTTTCGAGGTCCGTATCTGACTCTTAGAAGAAACACCAGATCATGTCAAAGATGCAGCGCCATCAAAACCTTCAACTCCAAGCCGACCTGCCAACCAAGTCAACTCCCATGCGATCAATACTTCACCAAGTGCTGTCAGAACATACGACCCTCGAGTGTTACTTAGCCCGAGAGCATCCAAAGCTGGCACAAGAGCACAAACAATGGAGGTTACGGGAGACCCGTCCAATACTTCAGTAAGTTCTCTAATCCCTCGCGTCGCGTGATTCAGCATGTTTCACGGAACACTAACAAGTCAACAGAATGGACAATCTCGCAGGAATGGACATGCTAATAGCGGCTTCAATCTCCTCGAGTCATTGCATGGGACGGAAAAGCGTGTCGAAGACAGACCTGCAAAGAGGGTCAAGACCAAACACGACTCTGAAGGTGACGACAAAGCGGACGGACGTCAATCTGGCGGATCACTTCATGGGAATGCTGGAGTAGGAGAATACTTCAAAAGAACAGCAGACCCGAACATCGTCGGTACCACTATTCCCGCAGCCGCTATTGACCTCACCAATGACGACGATGGCGACGATGACGATGTACAAATTACTGGCGTGAAGAATGCAGACGACAAGGAGGTGTGCTATGGTATGATCGACGGCTATATACTCGCTCACAAGGTTCCAAAGCCGTCGAAAATCAGCAATTCCTCTCAATTCGGTCCCGCCCATTGGCCTGTATTCAAAGTAACTCTGCGACGGCAAACAGAACGAGGAATGACTATTGACTGTACTGATCCTCATGGCGAGATGTTCGGATACGTCGAACAGCCATTGGCGGAGGCACTAGCACCAGCGATGGACGCATTCCCTAAACTACGCGTACAATGTCGAATGTTGACTCGTCCTCAAAGAAAAGGAGAATTTGTTCACCAGCCCTGTTCTGACAAGTTTAGGGTCGTGATCAATCTGTATGGCAAAAAGGGCGACGTCGAGAAAATGGGCCGATGGTTTGGTCAAAAGAACATCTGGTTCAAATCACCTATGGTGAGCGACGCTGGAGTAGAACTTCAAAATCCACATGCTCGAAAGCGCCAGCCGCTTCCAGGTACGACTTCCACCGGCCCTCACCGGGTCACAAACAACACGCGAACACTCGAGGAGGCCTCCGATGCTGTTTCCAAGCTCTTTGACTACCAGGCCGACGAGAACAATGAGTTGCCTGAAACCGAGCCACCAGAAACCATTGTTACTCCTCTGCTTCGGCATCAAAAGCAGGCATTGACCTTCATGCTTCGTCAAGAACAGCCCCGAACTTTCGGCTCAGAAGAAGTTGAGAATTCCTCCCTGTGGCGTATCAGGTACAACCACAGTAGACAGAAGGTCTATGAAGAGGTTGTTACTGGGATGCAAGTCGCTGAAGAGCCTGAACAGTGTCTTGGTGGTCTACTAGCAGACGTCATGGGTCTCGGGAAGACAATTCAGGCACTTTCTCTAGTGGCAAGCACGATGCCGCAAGCTGCAGAGTTCGGCAATCAGAAAGTCGTACGGCAAGGCGAAGACGAATTGACGCTCGATTGTCAAAGCAGAGCAACACTGCTTGTTGCACCAGTCAGCACTGTTAAGAACTGGGAGGACCAAATTCGCGAGCATACCAGAAATGGTAGCATGCTTTATCATGTTTATCATTCTAACAATCGTCAGCGTAATCCCTTCCTGCTTGCTGACCACGATATTGTCATCACCACGTACGGGACAGCTGCAACTGAAATATTCGGCAAGAAGAAGGGTCAAGACCAAGTCAGTCCCCTACAGCGGGTCAGGTGGTTTCGCATCATTCTTGATGAGGCACACACTATCCGAGAGTCAAAATCCTCGCAGGCAAGAGCCATGCATGCTTTACATGCTGAGCGCCGATGGTGCCTGACAGGTACTCCTATACAGAACCGTATCGAAGACCTTGGCTCGTTGACTATCTTTCTCAAGCTGTTTCCGTACAATACCCCAGCCGGTTTCAACACGTATATCAAAGGTCCTGCACAATCAGGCGATACAAGCTTTCTCAAGCGACTTCGTGTTATGGTTGACTCGTTCACTCTGCGCCGCTTGCGCGACCAAATCGAGCTACCAGCCCGACAAGATCTGGCTATCGAATTGTTATTTTCACCAGAGGAAAGAAAGCTGCATGACTTCTTCAGGGAGAAATACATGATGACTGTTAAAGAAATGACCCGCAGTGGCAAAGGCAGAGGTACTGGTGGCCAGTACCATCGTGTTCTGCAGGGCATCACTGTATTGCGGCTAATCTGCGCTCATGGAAAGGAACTTCTTCGGGAGAGCGAACTCGAGCAATTCAAAGGCGAAGCTGCAGATGAACCCATCGATATAGACGACGAAGCAAGCTTGCTCGAGATTGATCAGAAAGCAGCTTACGAGCTGTTTGATATGATGGTCGAAGCAAACGTTGACTTCTGTTCACGATGTGGGAAGCATATCACAGGAGAGTCACCCGCAAGTCCTGGCATAGACGCTGAGGATGTCACAGCAGCCGATCGGGCCATCGTCTTACCATGTCGAGATGTCTTCTGTATGGAATGCTTCAAACCTTACAAACCACGATTCGACGCTAGCAAAGGTACTGGAGTTGGCGTGCAGTGTCCACTTCAGCATGGGTCCGACAATCTCAGCCCAGAATACGTCTCCATACCAAGAGACTATATTGAACAACTACAGACAGCACCTGAAGAGACAATACGCTCGGACACATGTCTCTTCAAGAACGGCTTTTACTCGGGACCGCATACGAAGACCAAGCAATTGCTCAATGACCTTACACAATTGAAGCAAGACAGCATGCCACTAGTGGAACGCGGCGAGGCACCACTGAAGTGTGTCGTCTTCTCAGAATTCACTTCCCATCTCGACCTCATAGGGAAAGCTCTGACCGACCACGATCACGCCTTCGTGCGGATTGATGGTTCGATGTCTCTGCCCAGAAGGCGCAAAGTGCTCGATGCATTGAACGAAGACGATACAGTGACTATCTTGCTCGCCTCGATCAAGGCAGCCGGGCAAGGATTAAATTTGACTGCCGCAAGTAGAGTCTTTCTGATGGAGCCGATGTGGAATCCCGCGGCTGAGGCGCAGGCTGTCGATCGTGTCTATCGACTTGGTCAGAAGCGAGAGGTCATTGTCAAGAGATACCGGATGCAGAGCAGCATGGAGGACAAGATTGTGCAACTACAGAATAGAAAGAAGAAGATTGCTGAATTGAGCTTAGAGAAGAAGGCTATGCAGAAGGAGCTAAGCAAGAAGGAGCGTAACGAGCAGTCGCTCAAGGCGATGCTTGATTTCTTCAAAGCATGAGCATAGCTCGTCGTTTGGTACAATATACAGCACGTGTTCAAAGCTAGAGAAGGTGACATCAAGGATTTTGATATTGACTCTGACATTGCCAAGTCCCTAGAGATCGGATTTACTCCGTTGCAAAGTAAATCCCATGATGGCTGTGTAATGCATACCCTGCACCAGCATCTCGCGTTCCCTCGCGTCTGGCAACGCCTACACCTGCCCGTTCGCATGGCTTCTGACGTGTACTTTGAGCAATAGATCCATCGCAAACCGCCGGTATCATCCACGCGAGTTGTCAGGTGGTTAGCAGAAGATCTGGAACTTTTGATATGAGGCGGCCTGAACGTGGGGGTAACATGCTTTTTGCTGAACGATCTCTATCGAGCGAGTGATGCCTAATGTAGCTAATCGATAGATGACCAATGAGGAGCACTTGCCTAACTTTGCCTTTTTCGCAGCCGCACGTTTACTCGGACAGTCGTAGTTGCCCTGCCTCTATACATCCTACATTACCTGATCGTTTTGCATGATTCCTTCGCCTATCATTGAACAACGTGCTTATCAGTGCAGACGAATAGGCATTGCATGCCAATAATGTCACTTTCTCCAGGCTATTCCATGCACGATTTGACATGGTCTCTATACAGGGTCTGGCTAGATGAGCATGGAGTGTCTTCCTACAGACCTTCAGGCAAGAGGTGAGGCAGGCTTGATGGATGACTCAAGAAGTACTCGAATGACCATAGACATACTATGATATATAATGGTCTCAAATCTCAACCTCGCATATCATCCGACCAAATCTCAATCAAGGGTAGAGGCGTCCTCCTGGAGACACCCGGCCACCTGATCAATGTTGCCATTCTATATGCACGACGATGGCTTTATTCTCTCCGACGACGATCTTAAGAAATACAATGGCCACAAGCAGATCGATAAGTACTACTTTCCAGAAGGTGCCGATGGACCTACCATAGACACTCTACCAGATGACACCCCTATTGATGACATTAAAGAGTGGCTCAGGCCGACTAAAACCAGCTCAGAAGACCATCATGGAGGCATGGTAAAACCGGCTCTTCAGATCCTCATGATCAAGACCAAGAACGAATTCTCTGGTGACCCCGAACAGCATATTCCCAGTCATCGAACCATACCAGGGAAAACTGAGGTCGAACCACACCCAAACCAGAAAGAACATATCAAACTTGTCCGAGAGGTCTTCCGACATGCCAAACTACCACTAGCTGCCGTCGGAGCATACATCAAGTCCCATATAACCTTCCTCAGCGCACCAACTTATGAGGTTTTCGGAGATGAGGGTACAAATGGTGGTGAAGTGACTCGTTACTACTGTTCAGGTACTTCATGGTCGATCGCTTGGAGCTATTTCCATGCCACAAGACACACATCAGCTGTATTACTCTATCGTGAGGGCGACGGAGCTCTAAGACGGGGCGAACTTGAGCATGAGATCTTGAGGCTGAAGCAACACATCAGTCATCCTTTGCTGCTCGCTTTCATCAAGACACAGATCAGTCTGGTTTGGACATTTCAATTGCTGGAGCAAATGAATGGTCAAACTTTTGACATTGAGAAGAGTGTCGGTCTCGCGACCTGGGACTGGTGCTTGGATCGTGAAATTCAAGCGTACCAAGAACCAAATACGGACGACGTTGACTTTGAGGAGAAGATGGCCAGGGCTCAGAAGCAAGCTGTGGAACGTTACAATGTCCTCAGCAATAAGATCATCAATATCAAATTTCGACTTCGAAGCTTTCGAGAACAGATCTCGTGGGTACGCAGAATGAACAACGTGCACCTGAAGTCGTTGGTTAAGAGCTGCACCAATTTCGAGGTGCGAAGGCGAGAGTGCCAGGAGTTGAACACCATACTGGACCGGCTAGACGATTTCAACAAGGTATATCTGCACGATGCAGACACTTTAGCTGAACGATTAAGTCAGCAGATGGCAACGATGTCACACCTGGTCACCCAGAGAGACTCCAGGATTAGTTTAGCAATAGCGGACATCAACAATGAGCTTGCGTGGCAGGGAAAGAATACCAACCACGCCATGATGGCAATTGCAGTAGCAAACTTCCTCTTTCTACCTGCTACCTTTATTGCCAGTGTGTTCGATACACCAATATTCGATTTCGGAGGCCAAAATGGGAATACCATCGTGACTAGGCCTTTCTGGATATTCTGGCTAGCCTGTGGCTCCACGACAGCCTTGCTGTGTCTTTGCTGGTCCTTATACATTCGTGCGAAACGAGCTTTCGACAGGCAGTACCGGCAGGACGAAAGGAAGGAGTTCCGAAGGACGTTTTTGCGAACGCCAACACTGACAAAGCGAACAAAGCGGGTCGGGCCAGCAGCAGAGAACGTGCAGCCTCAAGGTGCTTGGTTTTCGTTCTGGAGTGGCAGGGTTGGTAAACTTCCTGATGAGGAACACGGAATAGGGTTGGGTGCCCTGAAAGCTGCATCATGCCAGAAGACCGTATAAGGTCGCTGGCTTCCTAGAATTTAGTTTCGAGGTAGTTTTAGCATAATGCCAGATTTGCCCTTGCGCCCTGTGCTTCAACGCATACAAGCATGTGTTTGCAGCCCAGGTATCGTGAAGTCAATGCGAAGATGTACTAGCACGATCCAAGTTCTGGTATCCCCCTTACGCCTTTCACGCTACCCGAACGAGACCCGCACAACTACATAATCTCATCTCCTTCATAACCGGACAGTACCTCCTCTTGCCACGATTGCAGTCAACAACAGCCTCTCTATCCTTCACCGAAAGCACCAACTGCTTCAGCACAATATCCGCCTCCTCCCTCACCGACTTGCCCCTCTCAAGCCTAGCCTGCTTACCAGCAGCCATACCGTCCTCATAGCGCCTCCACCTCCTCTCATGACGGTACTGCTCAACTGTCTGCGCCACAACCTCCGGACGATCAAGACACACCCCACAATAAACCTTCACCTTCCATGTCGTCTTCGGATCCCTCCAAGACCAGCTCAAACTTCCCGGAGCTTCAGCAAGCTTCCCACACTCATAACAAACCGTCGAATGCTTCACCCTCGACCCCTTCTTATACAGCCCCGTCCTCACGCCGCAGGGTATACAAACCCGGCTCTCGGCCTGCTTCGCACCAAGGTCGCGCGAAACCGTGCACATGCCTCTTGTGAACATGGATCTATCGCGGAAGCCGGTGTCGTCGGTCGTGATGCTCGGCAACCATTTCAGACAGTGGTAGCAGGGGAGTTTGTCGGTGGAGCAGGTGTAGCGTTCGCCTGTTGCGCGGAGGTCGGGATCGAGGCTGGATGAGCTGTAGGAGGAGGAGTGGTAGCCGAGGAAGGACTCTTCGGCTTGTTCCCAGTATTCTTTTTCGAGGCGGTGGAGGGCGTTGAGTTCTTCGTGGTGGAGGTGTGTGGCGCGGAGGATGTGGGCTTTTCGTAGTTGTGGTTTGGGTAGTAGGCTATGGAATGTGGAGGATGCTAGACGGAGAGCTGTGAGGGATGGCCAGTCTAGGAGGTCGATTAGGTAGAGTTGAAGCTCTGGTGGGAGGCATGCCAGACGTCCTTGAACGTTGGGAACGGCGGCCGTCAGATTTTGAATTGAATCCTTCTCTGCCATTGTCTGAGGTAGTAGAGTCTATGGGTTGTAGATACTGTATAAACCTGTATCACGCGTGCTTATCTCGCACGCGACGTAAAGTACGCGTAGGGCAGGAAGTGCCCAATCTCATGCTATGACGTTGAAGCCTATCAAGCCAATCTATTGGCCTTATCTTCACTTTCAGGCAGCACGTCTATTGGGCAATCATGGGCCATACTACTTCTCTGCAGAAGCTGATGTCATCGACAAAGTCACAATCAGTGTCTATGGGTAGCCGTACGAATAGGGCGTGAAGTGCAACAGTACTCGTAGAGTCAATATGTGCGATTAGGATTGCAAGGAGTGAAAAGATGGACACCACCAAAGATCCGCTCTCCACGTTTACCCAGCAGCTGCTCGATGTGGCGGAGATTCTACCCTCAATATCCATTGCTTGCCGACACTAAATAAATCAAATTGCAACATCACGCTTCTGCACAACATTTATGCACAGCCGAGTCTGGATCAATGTACAAGCACCTTCACAGGTCGGTGCACGTTTCATTGGCCGATACCCAGTCGGTAAGCTGCTGCCCATCCCTGTCTGTTATGCAGGACATGCAAGGGACATACCTGCACCCAGCACGTGGCTGTTCATGGGCTCATGCAAGGATCAAAAAGTACGGATCTAGGCAAAGAACCCTCCTCCGTGCAGAATGATTTGTATATGTATGCAAAGGCTCTTTGACATAATGCTCGAGTAGCAAGGGTATCTCATGACCAAAGGAATTCTTGGTTTGTAGACGACAATTATAACCGAAATCGTCTTTGACAAAAAGACACACATCCATTTCGTGTCCGTTACCCACCTTTCGTATCGACATTGTCTTCGTTCTCTTGGATGGCGGCGAACGTCCCTTGCAGCAATTCAACCCGTGTCGCTCGTCGGGCCTCAGTTCGTAAAGCATTAACATCAAGCCTTGGTGCTGTAAAACTAGCTGCCTGCCTCGTTCATGTTGTACATCTACAGCATGGTCTGTAGAAGCCATTGTATGAGCAGTACTCGCACATATTGTAACGTTTAGGTGTCGACTTTCATTCGTCCTGATTCAATGGCTATCGTCCATTCTCTCCATATTGCACTCCTTGCATTGCATTGCCATTCATGATAGGTGGAAGAGTTCTCGACGTATCCGAGTCGTGGCCGTTGCTATAAGTGGTCCCATTGTAGGGGAGGGAATTTGGTGGCGGTGCATAGTTACTACCTGCACCAACCCGGGCTGTTAGTTCTTTGATCTGAAGCTCCATTTGGTGCATTTGTTCCCGAGTTCGATCCATCTCCATACGACTCTGTTTGTTCTGGCCCTCGAGCTGGCTGATATAATCGATAGCTGTGCTAGGTTAGTCAAGCTCGAGGAAAGCGAGTCATCTCATACCTCTCGCAAGAGTCTCCCACTTCGAGGATTTGTTGTTTTGATTGGTAGGAAGTTTGATTCTCAATTGCTCAAAGCAGTCTTTCATCTCGCTTCTCCGCTTTCTCTCCGCCAATTTGTGCGTCACTCGTAGTTCTGGTGTCCGACTGTATGGTGTGGTGCTATTTGGTGAGTCTGGATCATCTTTCAGGGACGATATTCTTTCATGAGCAGGCATAGTAGTATGGTGATGATGATCTGGCAATTCTGTTTAGTTGTCAGCATCGTGTTGGTTTTATAGACGGGTAGGCAAACCGTGTTGTCCCGGTGGCAATGGCCTATTAAGCTCACTGTATATTGAATTCGTGAAGGATGACGCCTGACTATTCCGTCTCGAGATTGTCGATGATGGGCGCAAATCAGTCGCATCAGGATCTGGAAAAGCCCACGGCTGACCTCGAACAGGCTCTGCAGCAAACATGCCCTCTGATCGTGGATGTTCCATGATGGGAGGAGCAATTCGTCCTGACACACGAGCTCCTAAACTGGTAGGGATTCCATTTCTAGACCGGCCTCCAGGGGACGTCAGTCCACTACCACTAGAAAGCCTCAAACTATTTGTGTGAATCCCCCGTTGCTGCTGAAGACTTGACGCTAGCGAGGACTGCGACACGTTTGCGCTCTGATTGTATGGAGATGTTGGTCCTCCTAGTCGCAGAGAATCCATACCTTGGTGTATGCGACTGTCTACACTGCCTCGTCTCGATTCGTCGAAATTCCCGCTGCCTCGATGCTGGCCGAGGTCAATATTATGGTTCGGCAAGGCTGTATTACGAGCTGACGATAGATTTGAGGAAGGCATGTTAGGCTCGGTGGGAGTACGAGGTTGGTAGAGCTGTGAAGGAGAGTGATGGGTAGACGATGTTAGGTACGGCATAGTGTTATTTGAAGTGGTCGAAGTGGTAGATACTACTATGGTCAGTATGCCGATGTATGAAGTCAGTGTTCCAAAGCACTTACAGACGCCCGTCGTACCTGTCCAACTGCTGGCAGAGTCTCTAGGTGTCATGGTTGGAGGCTTGGGCTTCGATCGATAGTCCAAGTCCTGAGTCAAAGTGCTAATAGAGGGCAATTTTTGTGCCTGAGAGGACGAGGAAGACGCCTCCCAAGGTCGATGTGCTGCCGAAACTTCCATAATGTCTGAGTTGATGATCTGAGTATTGTGAGCTCACAAAAGAGGATAGCGATACAGCCGTGTATACGGCTCTGAAATCTCAATTTGTGGCGCAATGTGATTTCAAGCAACAGTCTTTCCCGTCCTTCACTGTACGACCCTAGAGCACTTGCAATACAACTGGTTGAGGACCAGGCACAAAGATTGGGTTGCAGGCTTAACGGCTGGATTTCCTGACCGTCTAGCACTACAGGCGACCGTAGTACTTGTGCAGTCTTGTGCTTGGGAACCCGTTAGGAACGTTGGACAATCGAGTAACGCTCCGAAAATACGGGACTTTGGGCGCAGTGGCGCTGACGTGCTTGTATAACGCTCAGGTTGTGCAGTACCTTAAGTCTCGAAGAGTCTTCGGTTGAGATATGTCTCGTCGCAAAGCGAATAAAGTATTGCCCTATCCTCCAATTCGATCCCTCTGCGCAGATGTCTTATGCATGCAAGCCTTTATACACGAGTATTGGTATTCGACTCTTCCACTGGCTGGTGGAGATAGGAAAGGCAAAGAAGAAGTGTATGCAGTTGGCCGGTCAACGATCGAGTCGATGTAGTGATCACTGCGAAAGTCGATGGGAGAGTAGCACAACGAAGTTCGTGCACCGTGGACCCAAGAGGATGGAGAGTCGAGGATGTTTCTACCGTTGCACTCGTGACTGGATAATCGCACTTCTAAAGACCTGCTCCTGCGTAGAGGCTCGCTGCTCGCGTAGCGTTGACAGTGAAGCTCAGGACTAGGAGACCTAGGAAGACGACAGGTTTCGAGTATATCGATGAGGACTGTGATGCAGCTAACAAAAGGACAGCCGGTTTTCAGGAGGTGGTCAAGGTTGCGGTGACACTAAGCAGTGTGTGTGTTGAGCCGTGTCGTTCCTGAGGATCTACGGATGTATGTAATATTCACCGCGGGAGAGAGGGGATGAAGTGTGGGAGCAAAGACGATGAATCTCAAGGGTTTCCGGGAGTGCTAAACCACGAAAGTGAACGTTTCTCTCCACCTAATCGGCTGGAAAGTGATCCATATCGTGAACCGCAAGAACGTGTCGAGGTAGACGGACGGGTCATTTCCAACTCTGGCATAGCTGGATTGCTTTTCTAGACCCAAGGGCTTCTCCATGTGCCAAGTAGAGCCGGATCGAGAGTGTGGCAGACAGGGACTAGCAATAATTTGGCTTGGGAGAGCCACTATTGCCGGGACAGCTTTGGAACGCGAAGGGAGAGGCTTGTGCCTGCAGCTTTTATAAAACATGGCTTGAAGTACGTTCGTATTGCTTTGCTCCGGACACCCAGCTACGACTCTACACCTATGAGCATAATAGAGATAATCTTTGTCACCCAAGAACCCAATGTCTTGCTCGATCTCATCTTCGTCAATCTGTCGGAAGCATAATCTTAACGCACGTTTGATCCCGATGACAAGGTGATCTGTGCCCTGTCTCGTGCGATCATACCTATGTGGACCACAGTAATCCACATGTCGTAATGCAGCTCAACATGTGGATAATCTACAGCTTATGCTAGACGAACGTCCAGCTAAGCGATGCCCTCAACCTACTCTAGCAGTGTCAGACACATTATAACGCATTCCAGACCGTGGTAGGAGTACACGTGAATGGCACGTTTGTCGGCTTCCACACAAACGATGAACGAACTTCGGCGAATATACACTGTGCTCGTTCGGAACACGAACCTTTCGTTGGCAAGGATGATCATGGCCACGAAGAATCTCGCGTGATGCTGGCGAGGGGTCCACCCTGCTGCAATGGCTCAGGCGAAGATGTGTATGTGCTGCAAGGTATCTAATGAGGCCTGGTGAAAAGCTGTGAGGATGAATGTCAGACACTTTGTAGAAAGTTCGAACTTGAAGCGAATGTAAACATGTAGATAGAGTTACAGTATTCAGGTCCTGCTAATCATACTAAAAACATGTGTGAACATCTGCTATAGTCACTGACATTTTGACGTGAGACTCTCGTAGCCACTTCAGACAAAGAATTGACATTGAGTAAGGATCACAGTGAATTTGATGGGGTATACATGAAGTCAACAATTGGTTTCACTCGAATTTCGACTTTCCGCACGGGCTCCGAGCTGAAAATCAAACACGTGGCTCGGCTCCGTACCAGGATGAACGGTGTTGAGCGACACATGGATTGACTGAGTTTACATCCCTTGCAGTACTCGTATGCATATTGCGGATCGTTTTGCGCATATCCCGCCGATGCGACGAATTTGTATCCCAAATACAGAGTGTGATCAGCATGCGGATATTGAGATCAAGATACTCTCACCTATCAGAGTGAAGTTGGGATCATCGGTCCAACCCTTGGGGGTTCACACATCAAACTGGCGATGATCTTTGACCCTGGTATCGCGTGGTCAATGGCAATGTTTTTTTCTGCCAAGCTGGCCGCTGGTCCGAAAATGCACCCAGCTGTACTCGTACTTGAAGTGGTCGGGACGTCGATCACGACCTCGAGAATGCTACTACGTCGTGGCAGTCGACTCGGAACAATCGACGAACATTGAAATGACACCCTCCGCCATGTCTTTGCCTGCGCACATGAGGCGACAGTTTCGGAACGGTCTGTTCCACAAGGCTTGATTGGTCGTTAAGACATGCCTGGAACGCCAACACTGGATCCCAATTCTAGAGTAGCAACTTGAATGGCTAACCACTACCGCGACCAAATCAGCTTCTCATCTTTCTTTCTATGTGTACTCAGCCTCTACGCTGAACAACCAATGCACTGAATGAATCCACCATCCGCAGCGCTTGCGCTTGTCGTGCTTCTCATCTCAACCCGCGTCTATAGCGACGAGTAATGCAAGCTGTACAGTATCTGGCCAACAACAGTTGGCGCGCTTCGCTTGAGACACGACCTCAATCTGTAACGAGGTTGTTCCAAGAAGTCAAGTGTTTTTATGTCGCAGCGCGTTTATGGAATTGCCAACCATGAACACTATCTCTTCTGTCATTCGCAACGAATTTCCTAGAGTTGTCCTTGAGCGTACTACCTTACTGTAGTTTCTGTACCATCGTCAATTACGATTGCAAATTCGAAGCTACTGACAGGGTTAGATTTCACTTAGTAGACTTTTACAGCAGCAAATTGTTCACTGGTTTATCGCCTAACTCACGAGGTCACGGTCAATGGTCGTTCGAAGGTGGACGTCCTAAGATGCAAGATGGGATACAACAATGGCATTCGAAGCAGATGGGAATGGGTATAGAAGTGAAGGGGCCACACTTACATCCACGTAACCCGTTCGAGTCCTCGAATCCTTCGACCTCCTCGATCAATGAGACAGACGACGGTAGCACAAGCGGTCAGGATGAGTTTCATCTCCAAAGATACAGTAGCAATGCAAAATACCAGCACCTTCGGCAGATCTCTCAACCAACCAGTAACGAGGAGAAGGACAAGAAGCCAGGTTTGGCCATTATCACGAACTTCGCGGGGCCAAAAATGCCCTTGAAATCAGAAGCGATTCGAATTAATAAAGTCTCCGCAAAACAAGTTCGAACAGATCGAAAAAACAAGGCTTTATCGATCGTCTCCCATAAAGCGACTCAATCTGCAGCTTCACTTCCTAGTGCGGATCATGCATCACCACGACTGGTCACTTCGGGTCTGAAAAAGTTGCAGCTGCTCTCGAAAGCTCCTAAGCATCAGACACAAGAGTCCGACGCAAAAGCTGTCATACATAAAAGCAAATCTAGAATAACGCAGAGGATCCCAATAGGCATTGCCATCCCGGCTCAAGACGCTGTGTTAGTAGAACAGAACATGATTGACAGCGCTCTCGCTACCGCAACACCATTGACACCCGCCATAGTTGTCACACCGGCAGGAGACAGACCATCTATAGCGAAGCGGCGAAGAAGCACCACAGGCACACGCAGGCATGCGCTTGTGAGGAATCTCTCAGCTTTCTCAAAGGTCAAAGAGACGAGCGTGGTAGATGACGGGTCTCCTCTCACTACAACAATCGCTGGAACCACCAAAGAAATGTCGCAGAAATCGCCAGACACGGTCGTGCCATATAGTGCAGATACCGACCGACCCCAGTCACAGGGCTGGTGGAATTTGATGCTGTCGCCACTCTTACGCGCAGGCTCGCTTGCTAGCAGAAAAGGACTGCCACAGTCGGATACTCCTCCTGTGCCTCCAGTACCATTTCCTTCTACAAAGGTCGACTCACCATTGTTGTCTGCTGGAAGTGATCCTTCTTTTCTGGTATCACAGAACGACATCTCGCCAGATACACCTCGTCGGCAGGGTCTTGCCAGAACACCAGGAAGCACATGGTCTCGTTGGACAGAATGGGAGGAGGAGCGCGAGGCCAACGCGAGGAACAATTCGCCTATCAATACCAAGGACGGAGATGGAGTTGATATGTTTCCAGTAGGTGACAGTGGTCCTACGCCTGGACCAGCGCGTATAGGGCTAGCTGCCGAGTACTTTCACGCTTGTGCTGTGGAGCAGGCGACGGGCAGGCCATATTTCGAATGTGTCAACCATAACTGTGCGGAACGTCTGCCCAAGCTGAAGTCAATCCATGACACCGCAGATTTCCAAGCTACTCTGGCTAGTCCTTTTCACAGCCCAAATGTGCAGACTCGCGCCATAGATGGCGATAGCGCTACAAACCCTACAGCTCGTCCACTCGAGAAAGGATCAGTGGGCGCCCGCAAGTCATCAACTACAGCAACGCCCTCGATTCCTGGTTCAGCCCGCATCGTAGACACTGAAAAAGACAAAGAGCCAGCTTCCAGTGGGACACCAGATGCCGACACAAAGATTTCGAGACTCCTTACAGAAGACGAAGCACGTAAAGCGAGTGTATCCTCTTTAGACCAAACAAAGACTCGAGAGCAGACTACCTCTCCATCAATAGCAGCAACGGCCGATAAGGACTTACATAGTGCCGCACCTACTCCACTCGCACCACAGATTGTCGAGTTGAGAGTAGCTCACAGTCTCGACACAACATTGCCAACCTCGCAGCACACACCAGAGAAAGCACCCGCATTCACAAACGACGCAGGGCCCGTCGTCTCACCTGGGCCAATGTCGCCTGCGGGTCAGAAGTCGACTGTGCCTTCAGGAGCTATTCCTCTGTCTGAGATCGAACCTAAAGAGAAATCCAATACATCATTCGTCGTTCACACTCAAGTATATCCAGGGAATTTACCAGGCAGACCAGCGTTCATCACTTCAGAAACCGAATACCCACCCCTGCTCGACAGAGTAAAGACCGTGCCCATCACTATAACAGAGATTGGCAGAGACAGCCGAAGACTAAGTATTGAGGAGCGCAGACAGAGGTACGAAAAGGAAGATGCTACTGCTAAACAGATAGGAGGATTGTGGCGAGGCCGTGGCTGTTTGCCAAACAATGGTTGTACGGGACGTGGCGGCTCTGACCGGCGAGTAAAGAGGAGATGGATTTTTGGAATCTGCCTGTCAATTCTTGCAATTGTCACTGTCAGCATCATTCTTGCTGTGACCTTGACTAGAAGGGGAGATGGCACACCAGTCGACAGTTCGTGGCTTAACTTGACAGGCTTCCCACCAATACCCATCGGCATCTTGACAATTGCAGCACCGAACCTGGTAGCTCAGGAGAAGCAGTGTGTCGCGCCGACCACTATGTGGTCTTGCTCAGTACCTAAGGATGATAGGGATCAGATTGGCTCAAACGGGTCTGATCAGCCGAACTTCCGATTTGAGGTCAAATTCAGAAACGGCACTGTACCCTCGAACATGACTGTCCCACTATCTGGGATAAAAATGGACATGGCGAAAACCTCCAACGACCCCTTCACTAATGATCTCTTTGTCGCTAATCCTGCTCCGCCAAACCAACCCGATCAGCTGTTCATGGGTCAATCAACAGACAACATCACAACACCATTCGACGGGGCGGACACGCCTTTTTACATCACCTTCATGAGTGCGTTTCCAGAAGTTCCGACCAGCTTCAACACGATAAATTCGAAACGTCTCACCAGAGGACAATCAAATTCTACTCTCGGCATTATTCCAGCACCAGCTGTGGCCGACGATGGTTCAGCAGCACCGGCTTCGCTGCTGCCAACAAGGCCTTTCCCAATCTCTCAGCCGATACGATTGTACAATAGAGGGCTGCAGGATGAGCACTATGGGTTCTATATGTATTACGATAAAACGATCTATCTCTCAAACTTTCGCATTGATGGTGAATCTCCAGCCACTGGTAGCAGCGAGCCAGCAGAAGCTGACCAAAACGGTGGATGCCTGAAATCGCAAGCTAATGCTGTATGCACATTCGCGCAGACAAGATTTCTTTTCAAGATCTTCACAAACCCAGCTTTCGGAGCAGGCCTACTTCCCTCGTCCATCAACCTCAATGCTACACATCCCGACGATCAGAAAAAGACCAGCCCTACGTCTTCGGCAACGAATTTCGAAAGACCAGGGTCGTTTCCATACCCTGCATCAATCGTCTTGGACAGACATGGTGGCGATCTGGACAGTAAAGCAGTATACTGTTATGGTATGGAAAATGGCGAAATTCTGAGCAACAAGAAGGTGCTCAGTGGTGAGCTTCGATCTGTTGGGGGTCAGCTGGTAAATGCTGCACCAACACTTTCTGGCGACAATAGCAGCTTCAACACGACCGCTGGTGGTATTGATGGAGGAACAGGCGGGTGTAATTGTAACTGGCAAAACTGGCAATAAAATAGCCTATAGACGTACATAGTAGTAATATTTGTGTCTAGCATACATCAAGACACACATAATCATATTCCTCTTTCCGTAATGATGTGCGTATTGTATTTAAAATGACATGATAAGGGCTACATCACACGAACGGCGGCCTATGTAGGCCATGTTCGGGTGCATCAGTGCCCGAAGCAGGACCGAAACGATAGCGACAAATAGGCATGAATGTGAAAAGAATCACGATACGGATATCTATGAACGGCTAGACACAAATAGGACTAGTCTACCAAGCAGTGTTTACTAGCGAGAGGTACTTCTGGGAACACTCCCTCGTACATTCTTCTTGTCGCCATTTTCACCACGCCTTTCTATTGATCTCTATCGGTTTGGAAGACGACCACAACTGCGCCTGTCTTCAACGTTACTGCATGCTGCCGCTTGCTTTCTCCACGTTGAGACAAACCCGAAATCGTATTGCCCCCAGGTTCTCGTTTCAAGCAACACGAACTGCTAAGCCTTTCACGACCACAATGGCTGACACAATCATACATACCCCGAGAGACCCAAATACATTGTCAAACTACAACAATTGGAGAACGACCCGAACAGCTGTTTCGATTGACATTCTTTTCGATGAGCAAATCCTAAAAGGGAAAGTGACCCACACACTAAAATCGATCACTAATGCAGAAACAAAGGAGATCCTGCTCGACAGCAGTCACGTTCAGGTCGACAACGTGGAAGTCAATGGCAAGAAGCATAAGTTCGAGCTTGGTCCTCGTCTTGAGCCGTACGGTAGTGCTCTGAAGATATATCTCGACGACGGAGTTCCAAACGACACAGAGGTCGATGTTTGTATAGACTTCGCTACCACCGCGGCATGTACAGCTCTCCAATGGATGACACCTGCTCAGACGTCCAACAAGCGCCATCCGTACATGTTCAGCCAAGCGCAGGCTATCCACGCTCGTTCGATATTTCCAAATATTGATACCCCGGACGTGAAAGCGCCATTCGACTTTACCATCCGCTCACCACTTCCCGTTGTTGCTTCTGGTATTCCAGCAGAGTCAAATCCGAAGCAGGCCTCAGCAGATGGAGAGCTTGAGACGTATCGTTTTACACAACCAGTACCGATACCATCCTATCTCTTTGCAATTGCAAGCGGTGATATCGCATTCGCTCCCATAGGTCCAAGAAGTACGGTCGCGACAGGCCCAGATGAGCTTGCAGGCTGTAAGTGGGAGCTACAGAATGACACCGAAAAGCAGCTGAAGGCCGCTGAATCGCTTGTGTTTCCGTATAAATGGGGACAGTACAATGTTTTGGTGCTACCCCCCTCGTTTCCTTATGGCGGCATGGAGAACCCCATCTACACATTTGCCACGCCTACGATCATATCTGGCGACCGGCAAAACGTTGATGTCGTTGCTCACGAACTGAGTCATAGCTGGTCTGGCAATTTGGTTTCAAATGCTAGTTGGGAACACTTCTGGCTTAATGAGGGGTGGACCACGGTATGTACATGATCTCGAATCTGGTTCGCATGTGGTTGTTGCTAGGATTGAACTAACAAACAACAGTATCTTGAGCGCCGCATACAAGCGATTATCCACGGCGGTGACAAATGGCGCGACTTCAGTGCCATCATCGGCTGGTCAGCGCTCACCGACTCAATCAGAAACTTTGGTGAAACACACGAATTCACGAAGCTCATTGTCGACCTGAAAGGTAAAGACCCGGACGATGCATTCTCCAGTGTCCCATACGAAAAGGGATTTGTCTTCTTGTATTACATCGAGAAATTGATTGGGCAGGATCAATTCGACAAATTTATTCCTCACTATTTCGAGACATGGAGCATGAAGTCTCTCGACAGCTACGATTTCAAAACGACACTGCTAGATTTCTTCCAGTACGATAAAGCAACCTCGCAGAAGCTCGAGAACATTGATTGGGACACATGGTTCTATAAGCCGGGATATCCACCAAAGCCTGATTATGACACGTCCCTCGTGGATGAGGTCTATGCCCTAGCAGACCAATGGCAGCGCTTTACGAAAGATCAAAATTCCGATTTTACGCCCAAACCCTCTGACATCCAGGGGTGGTCTGCTAATCAACTTGTGGTCTTGCTGGAACGGATGCTCCTGTTCCCGCAACCACTGCCTGTTGAACATGCGAGATACCTCGGGAGTACGTACTCGCTGCGGGAGAGTCAGAACGTGGAGGTCTCCTCAAGATACTACCAAGTCGCACTCTTGAGTGGTGATACTAGCATCAAAGGTCATGTTGTAGATATGCTTGGAAAGGTGGGAAGAATGAAGTTTGTCAGACCATTGTATCGACATCTGATTATCATGGACGTCGAGCTAGCTACGGAGACGTTTGAGAAGAACAAGGATTTCTACCATCCTATTTGCCGAGCAATGGTTAAGAAAATGTTGATGGGAGACAAGTCATGAGGTAGAATGTAGCTAGCAAAGATGAAGACAGTGCGTATTATAGCTGTCTAGCCAATCGATAAGTTGATGAACGGTGCAAGTCGATGTGAGCGCTTACGGAGTATGCACTGCGTAAGAGCCACTTCTATAGCAGTCTGCAGCGGGCAGGAACGAAACCCCCCGCCTGAAATCGATAGCAGCCTCCAAAGCTTGGCCCAAGTTTTCTCAAATCCGAAATCAATGACTGCTCACCGACCAACGGCTCATGTACGACGGAGGACCCATTTATTTGTTGCAGCAATTACAATGAGGCGAACGAACTGGGACTTGATTCCGTAACAAAGACAAATCTACAGAGTGACAGACATAATTTGAGCGCCTCTGAGGTCAGCTGCATGACACGCATAATTTTAACACGCGCCATACACATTTCCATGCTGATCCGTGGATCTAGACTTTGACCTGTTTCCACTATCCCACTTGCTATCTAACGATCATCACGAGTACTCGACACGTCCTCTGTCCATTCGTGCTCGAGCAGTGGCGTCTTTGTCCACGATTAACAACAGAAGAGCCACATCCGTCGACAGTTTAGCTTGGTAGCAATCTCCAATCAAGGCAACCAAGTCTTGCTGCGCCTGAACTGCCGCCCGACGAAAAGTATGCGACAATCGTGAGAGTCGAGGGCACATCTTATAGCCGCAGAAGATGATGTGGGTAAACGATTGGGTTGACGAAAATAGTTGCGAACGGCAGCCTTGCCTGATCACACGAAAACAAAGAGTTGGGAATACCTGAAGAAGCAGCAAAGTCGACTTCACAATGGGAAGTCCTCAGTCAGAGTCGCAGGAAGCAAAGGACAGTGTTGGCCCTCCTCCTCCGCCTCCCGAACCATCGAACGATGCAGGCATTGTGCCATCTATCAAGAGTCCTGACCTCGAGGGCATCGATCATCTCACTCCTGAGAATGTTGATATCTTTACACTCGACCCTGTCGCCGCTCTGAAGCTACTGTGCAGGGGCACTCAGCTCCTCGTGGACATGACTGGTGATGTCCCACCAACACCAGCGATTAGAAGCCCCGAAGTACCGCTGCCCTCATTCACGAGCGATAAGCCTGTAGCCGTACCGAGAAAGCAAGCTCTCCAAGCCTCTGGTTTCTCTTCACACAATGGGCAAGAGCACATCGATGGGGTGCCTTTTCAGCGCACACCTATCGGTTCACCAGAAGCACATATACACGAGCCCATTGTACACGGCACCACTTCTCAGCCTGCCACAGTGCAGTATGCTGCTCTCGTGCGGAAATTCTATTCAAAGCGGCCCCCACCTATTTCGCTCGAAGACTACCTATCACGTATGCACAAATACTGTCCCATGTCCACTGCGGTATACCTTGCGACTTCGTATTACATCACACATCTTGCAATCAAAGAAAAAATCTGTCCAGTCACGCCTCGCAACGCTCACAGGTTACTGCTTGCAGGATTAAGAATAGCTATGAAAGCTTTGGAGGATTTGAGCTGGCCACATGGTCGCTTTGCAAAAGTTGGAGGCATATCTGAACCTGAGCTGGCTCGTCTCGAGATCGGCTTTTGCTTCTTAATGGACTTTGGTTTGAAAGTTGACCCTGGCATGCTCATGGAAGAAGCCCAGCATCTTGTCCGAACAAGCAACAGCAGCGCCATTGATGAACACGATCTCAATGCGACTGGCTTCTCTCTGACCTTACCAATCACTCCCAAGAAGGCCTCTACGGCTTCAGATCGTGAGAACAGAAGTGGCGACGCTTCAGGCACGACATCTCCTCGATCCACTGCGGAGAAACGGAAGGCTAGCTCAAGCTTGCCAATGCGTCCAATGCAGCATGTCGGGCAAGGTATTGGGATCGCGGGATAGTCTTCAGGGACATAGTTAGGAAAGCGAAGGTATATGACGTGGTCGGGGAGTACAGACAGCCTGATTGTGTGGCTATTCTATCTCATTTTGCACAGCAGCACGCCAACTATTTTCCTTGGAGATTTTTAGGACTCCGGTGTTAGCACAGGTGTTTTTAGGCAGGTAATCTTACATGGTTTTCTTCTCCTCTTCGAACATATGGTTTTTGGAGGAAAGGGTTCGGACCTCTCACGATTTATAACGTAACAACACAAGCATGGAGTCCGCACGATCATCGCTCTTAAGAAGCTGAAAAAGACGGTCTAGGCAGCATAATTCCAGGTTCACTCAATTCATTCCATCACGCAAGCTAAAGAATTAAAAGTGCATTGGGAGCAAACCTCTGTTCACTTAGGTGAACAAGGGTAAAAGTCGATTGTTAGCACAGGCTTCCGTATACAGGCTATACGATCATATCATAGTTCTTGACAATTTCCTCCCACTCGTAACCCATCTTTCGAAGTCACTGAAAGCGGAAGGATCTGCGACAAACAAGGCAGCACCATTTGATCAATTCACCTTTTTTGGCCCCCCCTTTCATCGTTCATTGTCGCCTAACAGTAGTCCAGCTCGTATTTCGTTCTTGTCACAAAGAGGACTCAACCAGTACATTACTCCAGATTTTTGGGGGAAAGAACTCGAATTCGCATTGATGCAAAGTGAAGTTATCATTGTATGTTATCCTTTACCCTGAAACCAACTCCCTCTAACGCCACCTGTTTCACCTCAGGCTCTGTGCCGGCCTGAGATATGATTCTTGGTTGGGTATCTAGATTGAAGACATGAAACAGAAAACGCCTCCTTTGCCCTGTGTTGTATTTCGCCATCAAACCGCCCTTTGAAGTAGATACCTCGAACTCCTGAAAGTGAAAATTTACAAACCTGGTTGATAATCCTAAACTCCTTCCCAACCTTTCCCGGTTGCCGTGAGGCTCCTTGTATCTATATTTGTGTTTATGTGCGATGTGTCTTGTGTGTCTAAAACGTATGTAGGCAATTACCAGTGGCCGACACTCATTTGTAGAAGCTATCACGCCTGGATCGGTCTCTGTCTCGATTGCTTCTGCTCGTATAGCCATACCGGGTATCAGTGGCGAGTCGCCTATCCTCGTCGTTGTGGGTTGGTACGCGGCTTTCGTCGTAGTCTCGCTGTGCTTCAAAAATAGCCTGCATGGAGGGGCTTGTGGAGGCGAGGATATTCGGTGATTTGGTGGCAGAGGTCATTGTGGTCTGGCCATAGCCTGTAGTCGCGAGAGTGCCTGCACCTCGTCTCGTTGCTGGCTTTCTGTCCTCCTGACTGACGAGAGGAGGCAGTGTTGGTCGACGTCTGGATGGTTGGATGGGACTTGTGCTTGCCTCAATCTGTTCCCATTGCTGTTTGGCGAGGATCTCTTCGCGACGTCTGGCTTCCTCTCTGCGCACCTTGAGCTCATCCTCAATTTCTTTCCGCTCAAGCTTGCGTTCGGCTTTTCGTCTCTTCCGCTCAGCGTCAGCCACTTGATCTTCAAGAAGTTGCGACTGCAACGTCACGGCTCGGAGGCGAGACTCGAGCTCGTTGACACGAGATGCGTTTAGAATACGAGCATCCTCTTCTTGCTTCGCTGCAGTGTAGTTGTACCGAGCTGTATCGGTTTCTTCCGCAAGAGCTTTTTGCAGCACCCTGGAAGTTTCTTTGACTGCCTTGTATTTATTTCTGTAAGGTTCTGCCAGCCGTTCTGGTGCTTCTTGAACATAATCCGCATTCTTAGGAGAGCCTGAGGAGCGACTGACGTAGCGGATAGGCTTGCCGTCTTTGGTAGAGTAGATGACCTTGCACAGCTTGCCGTCAATCATCTCATGCGCGGTCCTATTACCCGAATGTTTTGCACTTTGAGGATTGCGAGGATATTGATCTGGTGAACGGTCTTCAACCGACCACGGAGAGGAGATCCCGGAACCATAACCAGTGTCAAAAGAGTTATGAGGCTTGTGAGTTTTGTGAGTTTTGTGAGTTTTGACGTGCAGTTTAGGTGACGGCTTGTCCTTGCTCGATTTTGTCTCCTTCTGTATCCTTTCATCTTCCGGAGGAAGCACTTCAGGGAGCGGAACATATTTTGGCCTAAAAGCTGGAGAATCTGTTGGCGACATTTCGACAGCTGATACGAGTTGTGGCGCAACGGTTCGCCGTGGTGGAGGGGATGGAGTAGGTACTCTGTTCGTATGACGACGAGGCAATGCTGAACGTCCTACGCGTTCTTTATGTCTGTGACAGACAACACTTTGAAAGACAACCGTTTGTCTTCGACGTCGATGGATACCGTGTACCTTGGGCTTGGGCGTGAGCTCGTGGGTAGTAAAGTTATGGTTGTCGACCAACCTTGGGTTCACGATCTTCGATGAGTGGACTAGACTGTCTATACTCTTCGAAGCTGCAACGAGGACGTCTTCCTGACATACATATATGCCAGGGTGATGAGATCCTCGATGGTGGTCGTCACGTCTTCCGTGCCTGAGCTCGGATAATAAGATCTTGTTGTTGCTGTAAAGATTTGTCTTATGAGCAATGATGGGAAACTGGACTCGTGGTATTGGCGCTTGCTATATGTGCCAATGAAGTTTGCAGGAGACCTGCGTTAGTAGTAGATGACGATCTCAATGGATTTTTAGACAACTCCCGTATTGGACGGATGGCGCAAAAAGGCTTGCGGGTTAGATTTGACTTGCTGATGGCCAGACAAGCTGATCAGTAACCTCCGGGCTAACAGAGTGTCCGTATGAACGAGGTGTCCGCTTCGCTGAACAAGGACAGGGATAAGTGTACGTGCTTAGAGATACGACCAGATGGTGGAAGCAGTGTGCTGCAGCCTAATGGATCAGGAGTCCCTGTGCATCATATGAAAGCAGGCAGCTGCAGATATATGCAGGGCGGAAGTGTCGTCCCATGATGTAACAAGGCGACGGATTTTGGTAATTTAGCTCTGCAATTTCGCGAATGGAACTCACAAGGCACAAAGGGACAGGCGAATAAGGTAAGACTCATGGGTTGGGATTGCATGGGGTTATTTCCTTTTCAGGAATACCTTCCTGGAATGTTGGAAACACTGGGAGAAGGAAAAGGTATTGGCCCCAAAGCAAGAACCAGCTGGACCGGACCAGCACATCGAGTTGGAAAAAGCATCGCTCTCGAGCAATAGATGACCCGTCGAGCTCTGAAGCACGGCCAAACAGAAAGCCCACTCGAACAATAGCGGCTGTGTTGAGCAGTTGCTTAAGGATACACTGGACACATGGTGAAGATGGAGAAGACAGAGTGAAAAATCTGGGGCCAGAGGAGGTGAAGTTTGGGAAGCTTGCCCGAGGACCAATTGAACCGCCGGAAAATAGGATCGCGCCATCACGCTTTAGTTCCCAGAAGTGCAGCCAACGAGGCGCATTTTGTCCGACAGAACTTATTCAACCAATCCCATTTTAGGACTTTTTGCAGCGCGACAAAAAGTGTGCTTCATGGGCACCTTAGACGGGATAACGATGGTACCGAACAGCAGGTTGAGCGACTTTCTGTCTTACTCGTTGCTCGTGTTGACAAATGCACATACGTTCGATCACGATGTGAACTTGGTCACCCTGTTTCGCGTCATATAGTGATCCTGGATGAAGTACCGACCCAAAGTTATGGGTCAGCTGAAAGACAGCTTTCTCGAGTTCCGAATGGTTCACAGAGACGGCCGACAATATACCAAGTGGGCCGTGGCCGTTGCTTGTCCATAGTACTGTGACCTCGACAAAACACGGCTTCACTAGTACTCGCAGCAAGCTCCGTGTGGCAGTACATCATCTCGCCTGTTAATACCGCAGAGCCTCAACTCTTGATGACAAAGCGTGCGCGACTTGGCTGTTTCGTGTATCCTCAGGTAACACACTAGGAAACAGGCATCGTACCTTTGCGAAGGCACTCCCCTCCACATCCACTAAATTCAGCAGGTACGAGCCAGAAGCTTGGCCAGCGCATTTACTGTTAGCACCTTCACTTCGCTGCCACCTCCGTTCATGCCATCCCGGCGGCGTCGTCAATCTGTGGCTGGTGTCGAGGCTGACCATGTTCCTAATCAAGTTAGGTTGTGGCTTCGAGTGTGGCAGCAGTCCACACTGCTTGCCTCACCGGGCCGGAACGTCTCATGTCCAAGAGAGAAATCAAGGAGCAATGCTTGTCGTCGGCAAAAGTCACGATTCGCTTGTCGAGATCTAAAGCCATAGATAATCCTTGTGCTGCTGAAAGTCGGGGTTACTTAGCACGCGTGCTCTGCATGACCTAAATGCATGCGCAGCAGCCTACAGTATAGGTTCACCATCTATAGCCGTTCGGACTGCCGCGACTATCTGCCCGATGGACGTCCAACACTAGATGAGTCATTCCTGCAGCCTCTCAAAAATCAAAGTATGCGTGATGATGTCTCATAGACGAAGCCATACGTCTGTTCAAGCAGGGCTAACGACGCAGCAGCAACACACGAGAACCAGCACAAACGCTATGCAAAACCAGTGTCTTGCAATTGCAGGTCTCAGCGCTCTTTTCTTCAATATTGTGATTGCTGAGGAATAAATCCATACATCAAGTGTCAAGTCGGAGACGATGACACCACAAACCTAGCCTCGAACAGGCAAATGCTTTTGAAGCATATACCGATACCCCACGAACGCCAATCACCTGAACATCAATGAGCGACTAACAGCGCCTCGAGCTTTGTCCCATGTACCTTGCGTCTCCTGTGTTCAACCATGACCAGGAAACACACCATAACATGACTGTCGCTGAACACATCGTGCTGACTGGCTCAAAGTGCGAAGATGCTTGCTATATCGCTCATACTCCATCAGAATGTTCATACTCCATACATACATCATGACAAAGATATCAAATACATAAAAGTCGTTGCGAATGTCGAGGCAAAACATCGAGAAGTAATCACGATGCAGCTTCTGCTTTCTTGGGCGTCGACTTCTTCTTAGGTGTGGCTGTCTTTTTCGTCGTGGCGGCTTTGCTGGTCTTTGCTGGAGCTTTCGTCTTGGCTACACGCCCGGACTTGGTCTTCTTGAGCACTGATGGTGTATCTACTACAGCTGGTGCCTGTATCCAAATTAGTAATCGTGGACGCGGCAAGCAGAAAGAGCACGACGTACTGGAGCTTCTGTCTTAGTGGTGGTCGTGGCCTTCTTCGCTCGTGGTTTTGCACTGTTTGCCTTGGCCTTGGGCTCGGTCTTCTTTGGTGCAGCAGCCTTCTTCGCCGTCGTTGCTTTGGTGGGTGCCTTCCTTGGAGCAGCAGCTTTCTTGGTTGCAGTTGCCTTTGGCTTGGCTTCCTTCTCTTTCTTCTCAGCCTTTGGTTTAGGCTCTTTGGTTTCCTTAACCTCCTTAGTCTCCTTCTTAGGAGGAGTTGTCTTCTTTGGTGCTGGTGCTTCCTTTGGTGTCTTCTTAGCCAGCTTTACTGGACCGGATGACCCTGTGACTATATGAGCAATGCGTCTGATTTGTTCTCGTGGTGATGCCATACCTCTGGGTTGCTCGAAATCACCAGCCTTGACACCCTTGGTGATGGCTTCGTTGAAGAAACGATCAAAGCCGGCGGCATTGGCATCAACCTTGTTGTTCGCGCGCACATACTTCTTGAGAGCTTGGCGACTGTCAAAGGTTAGTAAAGAGTGAAGACAGTGACATTATGCCATACCTGCTACCATTTCGTTCTTTGAGCTACACAAGGGACACGTTAGCAACAACGCTTGTGTGAATAGTGTCCAATAAAGACTTTGGTGACAAGTCTTGATGACTGATATGGACGATAGAGACTTGTGCATAGTGATGACATGCTCGGGCGCAAAGACAATTGACTTACATTGACAATAGCATCCTTGACCATATCTATATCAGAGCTATCAGTATTGGTACGCGATCTCAGAACAATGATTGCCTTGCGATCATGTTCCATGGTTGTGAGGCGACTCACCTTTGAATGGAGGATGAGCGGGGGCAGCGGCAGCGGCCTTTTTGGTGGCAGTGGCAGTGCTGGCGGCTTTCTTGGGAGGCATATTGTCGGGTTGAGATGAAATTATTGAGATGGATGGATAGAGAATTGGAAAGCGACCTGGATATGATAATTGGCAATAGCACTATATGAAGCAGTCGGGTTGAGCAGCAATTGGGAGAAGAAGGAGAGACTTCGAGGGAGACGCGTTGGGCGACGCGGGCGGGGAAAGATGTCATGTTTATACTAGCTCGTGACAGTTGATCTGAGATGGTATCCCGCGGAAGGAGCCAATCAGCATGACTGCCCAGAGAAGCCGATTGATCTTGGTCGCATTTCAAGCTTCAATTCCCATTGGGTCCGTGGACTCCATCAGTTTATTCGCACGCCTCTATGCCCTTTGTCTCTCCCGTTTTATTTCTCTTCACTTTCTCGACATTTTTGATCTGTCGACCATTGGTCACATTTTGACCAGAACAAGAAATGAAAAGTTGTAACGTGACGTAAGTATCTGCTGTACTTATTGTAGGTAGATGCACGCGGACAACACTATTGTCGGAGCTCATCTAGAAATGCTGATCGTTCAATCGAGTGACTTCAAGCAGCCCGCTCACGGTTTTTAATGAGCTCATACTATTTTACACTCAAGCAGGCATCAAAGTACCTCACCGATAGAATGGACTAGAACCTTGTCTAGCATTTTGCGACGCCGAACACCTTGCTGCCATGGAAACATAATGACCACCAAGTAGCCCATTACAGAGCAATTGACTCAAGCTGCTCCATGTACTTTGGACTTCGTGTCCTTCTTGGTCTTTGCATCTTCCTTCTTTCTCTTCTTCGATTCGGCAACTTTCTCATCATGTTTGCGTTTCAAGCTGGCCTTTTCCTCCTCTGTCTTTGGAATTGGTTTGAAGAAGCCTTCCATACGAGCTTGCTGTGCAACTTTGGTGGTCTTTGTCAACCTCTGTGCAGAATTTCGAACTCGATCCTCATTGAATCCCTTTTCGTGAACCAGGAATTGCACCAATCCCTCAACATCAGGCGCTTCCCATTTGAAGTCACATTCCGGATCGTCAGCTGATCTGACATCTGGGTTCAGGAAAAGCTCTCGTGCATCTTGGTAGGGCCAATCTTCCGGCATGACATACTTCTTCTTCGGGTCGTTCTCAATTGCTTCAACAACTTTCTCGAGGGTGCCATGTTCTCGAATAAGCTTCAATGCAGTGTTGGGGCCAATCTTGGGGACAGGATCGACATAGTCACAACCAAGGAGAATGCACATGTCGATGAATTGTTCTCGCTCCATGTGTAGACCTTCGAGTGCTTTCTCTAGGTGGATCTCTTGTATGGGCTCCTTCCTCTGTTCGCTGAAGGTCAGATGACGAAGAAGAATAGGTGCGTTGAAACACAGAGTGTCCATGTCCTCAGAAGCTGCGGCATAGACCTTGCCTGCTCGAGCAAGCACAGCACACTGAGCCTCGGCTTCTGTTGGAGCAACAATATATGGGATGCCCATCAGTTTCAAGAGTCTTTGGCATTCTTGATTGTGTTCCCTCGTGACTCTGACTGTTCTCCTGGAGAATCGCTCGACTTCCTCTGCCGTGCCTGTTTCTTTGGCTTCCTCGTGTTGCTCTTTAGCTTCGTTCTTGCGTGCGAATCTCTTTGCTAGCTCTCCAGACTTCAACTTGGGTGGAGCACCATCGAAGACGAAAAGAGGTTTGATTCCGTTGTCGACCATACGCAGTGTGCGGTAGAACATTCCCATCAGATGTGACGTGGTTTCGCCCGTGTCGGACATCAATTGTTGACCTTCTGATCTTACCGCAATCAAAAAGCTATAAATGCTCATTGATGCATCGATCGCGACCTTGCGGCCAAAGTGATTTTTGATTTCGCCATTTTTGACAGCTTCTGGTGCCTCTTCGGAGATTACTTGAAACAGCTCTATGCGCCCGTCAGTATTAGTTCTTCCATAAATTTTGGAAGCACTCACGTTTGATACCCATCTTGGTGGCTCACCTGAGTTGGCAATCTCAAGAAACAAAAAGAGGTGAAGGTTGACCGCGACCTGAGAGCACGCGCCGACACGCGCTCCTGCCCGCATGACGTGAGCTCTTGCCTTTGATGCAGTTAGGCATCTAGGCAGCGAAGTCGGTTTCTGATACTACTTGTACGGCCCGCACCAGACAAGATAAGATTGCTTTGGTGCACTACTGTGGGCACACTCCTGCCAGCGGTCATGCTCACGGACCCTTCTCAATTACTTCGCATACTTCAGGTGTAGCAGTAAGATGCATACCACTAGTGGTGTGCAGGGTAGATATCGCTTTTCTTCCCTTTCCAGTCCGGATTTGAGCGATGACATATTGGCTAAGAAGATCAAATCGAGCCTCGGTTCCATCGGGCGTTAGTGAGTTCTGCATCTAAGTCAATATTTTAAGTGAATTCAGAATGTACGAGTAGGCAATCTTATTGCGCAAACTGCTCACTCAACGTCAACAGAAGACGAGTTTCTTAAAAACCAGTCTCACCTCTGTTCCTTTCCTAGCGAGGTCACCAAATACTAGCAATGTCTTTGCGCGTAGCATTTCGTCAAGCAACGCGGCAAATCTCGAGGCGGCGTCCTGTCTGCGAGGTTGGTCGAAGACATGCTTCGACACCTGCAAAATTTCAATGGGACGATTCATTGAACTCTCAGAGCCTGTATACCGAAGAAGAGCTAGCGGTACAAGAGACAGCACGGTCATATTGCCAGGAACAGCTTCTACCTCGAGTACTTGACGCTTATCGGAATGAGCACTACCATCGAGAAATTCTCTCAGAAATGGGTGAGCTTGGTCTGTTGGGTGCCACGATACAAGGTTACGGATGTGCGGGAGTGAGCAGTGTAGCATCTGGTCTCATTACAAGAGAGGTAGAGAGAGTTGACTCGGGCTACAGGTCTGGTATGTCTGTGCAGAGCTCTCTAGTCATGGGACCTATAGACGAGTTCGGGACGAAAGAACAGAAAGACCGCTGGCTTGAGAAGCTGGGACAGGGGAAACTCGTGGGATGTTTTGGCCTGACGGAGCCCAACCATGGCTCAGATCCTGGCTCGTTGGAAACTACAGCCAAACCTCATCCGTCCAAGGAGGGCTACTACTCATTGTCTGGTGCAAAGACGTGGATCACAAACTCTCCAATTGCTGATATCGCGGTTGTTTGGGCTAAGCTACAAGAGACTGGCAAAATAAGAGGTTTTGTCATTGAGCGAGATCAGTGCCCTCCCGGAACCTTCGAGACACCTGTGCTGAAGAACAAAAATGGCCTGCGAGCGTCGGTGACTGGTATGATTCAATTGGACGAGTGCCCTGTTCCGAAAGAAAACATGTTCCCAGAGATCGAAGGTCTCAAAGGTCCATTTGCATGCCTCAATTCAGCCCGGCTTGGAATAGCTTGGGGAGTTATGGGAGCGCTCGAAGATGCTCTCGAGCGCACTCGAAATTACGCTTTGGAAAGAAAACAATTCAAAGGCAATCCAATTGCGAAGTATCAGCTGGTTCAGAAGAAGATGACCGATGCCAGCACTGACATAGCTTATGGTCTACTCGCAGCACACCAGGTCAGTCGACTCAAGGATGATGGAAAGGTTGCTCCAGAGATGATATCCATGATCAAGCGACAGAACTGCGATCGAGCCTTGATCAATACTCGACATCTTCAGGAAGTTTTTGGTGGCAATGCTGTAAGTGATGAATATCATATCGGTCGGCACGTATCAAATTTGTTTGTAACTCAGACATATGAAGGTCAGAGTGACATTCATGCACTTGTCATAGGAAGGGCTATTACTGGTATGCAGGCATTTGTATGATATGTCAGCTGAATAGAATTTTACACGTTGAATAACTCATTTGGTCGCCTTGTAGTGTACGGCAGAACGAATAAAAATGTCAAAAGCGTGTTCTGAAGTTTCAATATTGTCTTTGTCATGCTGTGGCGACGGTTTCTAGGACGGACTCTGAAAGAACTCATTGGATATCCAAACACAAGACGGGGTATAGATGATGTTGGACGATATGTAAGCATTGTAAAGCATATACAAAATACGTACCAAACACAGGACAATGGATGGTCTGAAAGTGTCCTCACGTCGGCATCGTACTCGCACCTTCCAGTTCCTGCGGCCATTGCCTCAGCTTGCCTAACCAGAATCAGCCCGCGCTCCAAACGGTGCCCAAGTGGCCGAGCTGTGCGCCTGATTAGCCACACAAGACCCGCCTGTCGTGGGTTGGTTGTGACATGCCACTTGCTGGCGCTGCGGTCATCTTTGTGTCTCTTGTTTCCTCCACTTCAAGACACTCTACTTTTCACTTAGAAGACAATCACTGACTCCAAACAACCTGCAACTGAAGCAATTGATCCTCTTAACTTCAAAGTCATAAAGCCTATCACTTGAAGACCACGCCAGTTCTGCACCACACGACGTAAGGATTTGCCGCCTCAGTTCTTGAGTCAACTCTTGATTAATTCATCCCACAGCCTGCCTGCGACTCAATCCAGAAGCCTGTCACAAGACCACTGACCAGACTCTCACAAGTCTACCACCACAAACTCCCCTCGATATGGCGTTGAAGCGCATCAACAAAGAACTTACAGACCTTGGCCGGTACGTATCTCGCCCTTCCGTTCGCCGCTGCAACCATGATCGTCATGATATCATGGTTGTACCGCTTTTCTACAGGCCGGAAGTACTAACACTGAATCAGAGATCCTCCTTCGTCATGCTCAGCTGGTCCTATGGGCGACGACCTATTTCACTGGCAAGCAACGATCATGGGTCCTTCCGAGAGCCCCTTCCAGGGTGGTGTCTTCTTCCTGGCCATACACTTCCCGACCGACTACCCGTTCAAGCCACCAAAGGTCAACTTCACCACTCGAATCTATCATCCAAACATCAACTCTAATGGCAGTATCTGTTTGGACATCCTACGAGACCAATGGAGCCCGGCGCTCACGATATCGAAGGGTAAGGGCAACGTCAATTTTGCATAAATTGCTTGTACTAACAGACTCAGTACTCCTTTCTATTTGCTCCATGCTCACAGACCCTAACCCGGACGATCCGCTTGTACCAGAAATTGCACACGTCTACAAGACGGACCGAGCCAGATACGAAGCCACGGCAAGAGAATGGACCCGCAAATTCGCAATCTAGCCTGACAAGGATGAAGTCGAGGAGTGCAGTATGATACAGGTTTATTTCACGACGTCAAGAGGTATGGGGTTGCGAGAGCTTAGAATTGCGTATAGTGCTGGCTAAGAAGCGCATATGAACACGAAAAAAATTGGCACTCGTACCATTAAAGCTCCGAATTTGGTGTTCAACGGCAGGTGGAAAGGAAATCTACTCGGTGGTATCCCTCATCAGAGATAAGCACGATTTTACACACAGCATCTTGTCCTGGAATCAGTCTTTGTCACCTGTCGAAGTGGAACAGTCTGCGACCCGGACTTACTGCCATCGAACCCGGTTCATGTTGTTAGTTCGCGATGTACTTGTACTTGCATTCCTCGACGTGCTATCAGTGATTGTTTCTCTGCTCTTTACACCAGAAAACTCGTGGATTCGAATGTGGTTGTGATCTCTCTTGTTCCAGTTGTATCGTGTTTCCAAAGTCGCGTCTACCATTGAATTGAGACAGTGTACCTTGGTTTCCGATTCCCGCAGGGTGGTATAAGACAGGACCTAAACAGCCACAAGATATCTACATGCCCATCTCGTTTCTTTGCTGTTGCTGCCTTTGTCGAGAAATATCTTGCATGTGTTACCCTATCATCACCTTCGAGAATCCGGCCTCTTCTCGAAGGGCACGACTTCCACATCTCTACCATGCCAAGACTTTTGTCTTTATGTCGTCGGAAGAGTGTAGCAGACTGTGTTGCGAAACCAAGAACACGAGAGAAGATTCACACAGAAAACTCGCCAGATTTACCCCGATCCGCCAAGATGCAGAATATGAGACGTCGTCAACCTCCTTGCTGTTTCAGTTCAATCGAACGACCAATAGGATTAACGGAGCAGTAGCTTCCCAGCATAGACGCTCGCTACCGCCGATCCTCGACTTCCCCTGGTCCATACAACTGCTTTGGTTCTATGTTTCCTTACGGATTTGACCAACCAGCTTTGTTATGGATCAAAGGTTTTATCGCCCTTTCAACACTCCATCTTGTGCTACTGCTCGCCTCGAGCGCCTCCTTTGCGCGGCAGACATGCTCGCATTGTCACTGCAACCACTTTGTGATGGCGTGATGTGGTTCCTCTCTTCTAACAGCGTGACCAATGTCCTTTCCATTCACGTGCTGTTTTATGTTGCGCCTCTCTTTCTGCAAACTGCGCAGCTTGTAACTGACTCACAGACTGACGTTCATTCCTCCCAACCTTGCCTGGTGCAAGACACAACAAAAAGCATATCTGTGGACTGCTCGCATCTCGCCATACGCGCTGAGGCTGGTCCTTACTACTGATATCAACATTCTAGGACTGTAGCAAATTCACGCTCCCGAACAGTGAACGACTGGGAATACCGCTACCCTCTACCTTCTTGACGAGATGGCAGACGGCAAGCCATGGCTGCAAACGCTGCAAAACAACAGAGAATCAGATCTGGTTCCTAGATACTATTTCGAGAAACCTCTCGCCCGAGCAGACAGCACCTATTCCACGACCTCGAACCTCAGCGAGCGCTCAAGAACGACACCTCTTTCCAGACTCCTGCTCTCCGGAGAGGTCAGCGGTGAAGCACCTAGGGACTTGACATTGCTGGAAAAGGTGGACAGATGGATGGTCAATGAGGGTTCACGACGGATATCAGTCGCAGTTTTCATCCTTGTCCATGCAATGATCTTCACATTCGCTTTCGTTCACTACCAGCTGAAGGACAACCTGACAGGACCCAGGGCAACATTCGGCCTTACCTACCCTACTGCGAGGGCAGCAGCATTAGTGCTCTTCGTCGATATAGCGCTGGTCCTCTTTCCAGTCTGTCGCACGTTGATCTCGTTATTACGACAGACTCCACTAAACGGTATCATCCAATTCGATAAGAACATCACCTTTCACAAACTGGTGGCTTACTCTATCGTCTTCTTTACATGGCTACACACAATTGCGCACTGGAACAACTTCGCGCAACTGGCTGCCAAACAGAAACTCGGCTTCGTGGGCTTCCTGAAGATCAACTTTTTGACCGGGCCTGGCTGGTCAGGATATGTCATGCTTTTCGCCCTGATGGCCATGCTAGCCACTGCAATCGAGAAGCCACGGCGAGCCAACTACGAACGCTTTTGGTCAGTTCACCATCTGTTCATCGTGTTTTTTCTCTTCTGGGCTATGCATGGTAATTTCTGTATGATCAAGAGCGACACAGCTCCCTTCTGTTCTGGCACTGGTGTATTTTGGGAATACTGGATGTACGGCGGATTCGCTTACCTCCTTGAGCGTATCCTGCGGGAGATTCGTGGCAGGCACAAAACTTTTATCACGAAAGTCATCCAGCACCCGAGTAATGTTGTTGAGATTCAGATTCACAAGGAGAGAACGAAAATGAGAGCTGGACAGTACATCTTTCTTTGCTGTCCTGAGGTGTCGATATGGCAATACCATCCTTTCACGCTTACTTCGGCTCCAGACGAAGACCATTTGTCAGTTCATGTTCGTATGGTCGGTAACTTTACAAAAGCCCTTGGAAAGGCACTCGGTTGTGAGCCGGATGCTAAACTTGCTGGGAATCGTGCGGATAGAGCAAAGTCTCGTGTCGTTTCAATGGCGCCTGGTGGTTTACAGAAGATGCTCCCGAGGGTCTATCTCGATGGTCCCTTCGGTTCTGCCTCAGAAGACGTCTTCAAATTCGAGACTGCAGTGCTCGTTGGTGCGGGTATCGGAGTAACGCCGTTCGCAAGCATTCTCAAGAGCATATGGTATCGAATGAACAGTACCAGCCCTGATTCTCGAACTCGGCTACGCAAGGTGTATTTCTTCTGGGTTTGCAGGGACTTTGGCACACTAGAATGGTTCAAGAGCTTACTACAAGCCATTGAAGAGCAGGACAAGGAGCACAATATCGAGATACATGCTGTAAGGTTCCGCTTCGCTCCTGCAGTAGTTTTGTACTAATTGATTTCTCAGTACCTCACAGCCAAGATCTCAGCTGCCGATGCTCAGAACATCATGCTTAACTCGTCGCAGTCAGACGCCATCACAGGTCTGCACACGCCTACCAACTTTGGCCGTCCAAATTGGGATATGGTGTTCCGCGGTATCAAGAAATTGCATAGTCCAGGTGAAGCTGGTGTCTTCTTCTGTGGACCGAAAGGTATGTCACTCGCTCTTATCTCAGATCCATCTCGTATTTTCTAGTGCGCTGGCTAATTCACGTATGATAGGTCTCGGAAGTCAGTTACATGTGAAATGCAATATGTACAGCGAACCTGGTCGAAAGACGGGTTTCAGGTTTGTCTATGGGAAGGAGAACTTCTAGATTTGAACCCTCGTGTGAATATAGAAACTGATCATATAGAATGCGCTGTTTTACGATGTATGATGATAGATAAGACCCAAGCAAGCAATTCTGAATGTGAACTATCACTTCGTCCTCTTCTGCTGTTGAGTACAAAGCGACAGTTTTTGAAGAACCCCGCTGCAATATTTCTGCTGTATCATTGCGGCCTCAGAACAAGCGATCTTATCTGCCAGATGCCTACGATGGGGCGATCCCTGACACACCCTGAATAAATTACCGACATCCTGATGCACGAAGAGATTTGCATTGTTGCATTACGAAGTTGGAACGTGTCGGAATTCCCAAATTGATGCATTTACGAGACTCACCTTACTATCTGTACAACCACAAACAAAGTCTACAATTCTGCGTGCCCATGACTAGACCAGCTAGATGAAAGACTGTACGTCCGCGATGATTCCTCACGAGACTTCTGCCACCAGAACTCCGAAGTAGGACTCAAAGGTGTGACCGGTCTAGATTCTGGCCGAGGCTTCAGTGGCGTGTGCACTCGAGGTGATGGCTTCACAGGTATTTCCACCTTCTTAGCCGCACGCCGTGAGGAGTGCTTACTATCCTGCGCCTTCTCCTTCGCTCTCTCTCGAGCTTTCTTTGATGCTTCACTCTCAGGGTTGCGCTCACGAAAATAGGGTTTACCGGTCACTTTGTCAATACCGCATGAGAGCCACATACCTGTTTGAGTGCTGGCGATCTTGTCAAGGTCGATCTTGCACTTGGGGCACTTGTTGACGTGGTCGGTGACTGAAATGTTGGGTATAATGCCATAAGACCTGTTGCATCGTCGGGGGTATCGCTCACCTGGGAGCTTGTCTGGGGCTCCGGAACAGCTTTGGCGGACTCGAGGGCGTTCAGCCCAGTGGCCGCAAGGCCTGTGAAAAACGTCTTCTAGGACGCACATAGTAGCTGGACTTGTTTGACGATGCGAGAACGTTTTTGATCAGCTTGAATCTCTGGGCTGCTTACCACGTAGGATAACTTGATTTGTCTCTTGTGACTTGCTGCGTAGGGCTCTGGGTCAAAGCTGTTTCTCGCAGTCAAGATATGGAAGCAATATAAAGTGGCTGAATGTTGCATATATCTATTCCAGTGCTTTTAATAGGTCATTAAACCATAGTCATAGTGAGCTGGACAATGAGCATTGTCAATGTTGGGCCTAATATCCTTAGCCTTTGGCTTGTGCCTTTGTGCTCTACTCCTGAATCTCGTGCCATGTTGTTCACTTTGCGTGTCGCGGCATGAGTCTCTACCTAGAAGGCAGGCACGTAGATGAGGCTGCTCGTACACCACTGCCTTTTGAGAGGAAGGGAAGCTCAAATGTTCAGCAAGCTGACCCAACGTGAGGCAGTCATCTTGGCACGGCGCGACTGACCGGGATTACGGAGTAGATATTTTCCGAACTCTATTATGGCACAAATCCCGAATTGAGCAATACTGCTTCAGTTGATCTGAGCATTGACCTTCTTGTTAAGTGCAAAGCTATTTAGGTATGCAAAATTCCATCATGTTACCTATGCCTACCGGAGCAAGGTTGAAAGAGCAACCAAGATGCATACAAACATGTCATATTCCCTTCATTTGTCAGAAGGTAGACTATCAGCTATCCCCTTGCGCCAATATCTGGCAACCATCTGGCAGGCTGAGACCCTTCAGCTCCCAAACAATCAGCCATCATGTCGCTCGCCAATTCACCCGATTGTTTGTTAAGGCCTGAAGACCAAGCCCTGCAGGCGCTCTTTCCAGCAATGGAACAGTCTGCACCGAACTCGTTTGACGATCTCTTCAGCGTCGAGCTATATGAAGTGAATGAGGATATCAAAAGCAAAGAGGATAGCGAGGATAATGTCGACTTCTTTGTTTCTGCCCTGACCAATGATAACGAGCCAGGTCACATAGTGGCAGACCAATCCCGGGACTCGTCTCAGCCATGGCGCAAGGGATTATGGTGCCTAAAACCAGGTTCGCAATTAATCGTCGAGAAAACCCGAAAGGCTCAAAATGCCCCTCCACCAAACATCTCGCCTGCTCATCTGATCGCAAATGACAACTTTGCTCTCCGGGGTCCACGAGGTTCAACTAGACAACATCAGACAAACAGCTTGTCACCAAACCACTTGCGGAAGCCTCATTGTCCAAGTCCCTTCGAACAACAAAGAGTCGATCGAGATACGAGCCTCTCACCTAGTCCGATGTATTCAAGGTCGTTCTACAACGATAGGAGTGGGTTTGTCGATGTTTGGCAGCAGGATTTGCAGGACTTCAACATCAATCTGAATGACGACTATCCGGAGTCCTTTCCTATCATTGGCGATAATCTGATTGATCAATTGGATTGCAACTACAGCCATCCGAAGCGATCATTTATGGGAGACGATTTGCAGATGGAAAGAATTAGGTCGGCGACCATGTTCAATATGTCTCATCCTGTCACTTCGAAGCAGATCTCTGATCAAGAGCTATCTTCGCGAATGAACATGAATCTCAATGCCGCTCAGCGAAACATGTTCTCAGGTACACCAGATCAAAATGATCCCAGCTACCGCTTCCTGAATGATGATCTGCCTCCAATGTCGGATTGGACGGCGACTGAAAGTCTTCATTCTTCTAACAGCTCTCATAATTCTCACAACTCACATTTTTCTACAGGATCGACAGAGGATAGCCATAATGGTGGATTGTACAATACTATGCCAACTTCAGAGGTGTGGTCACCGCCCACCTTGAATACTCAAGTCAGTTCCGTCCAAGACCAGTATTTGGAGCTCATGCAGCCTAAACCGCGAAGGGCGACACATCAAGTACTACAAGCAGAGCACATCAATGGAGGCGGACTGGGTATAGCGTATCCAACCGCTGATGAGATTGGGGTGGCGATCCCTTATCAGCCAGCAGAGGTACAACACATGCCAACCCACCACAGGAGTTCGAGCTACCACCAGAGACATCAGCCAAAACATTCTCTGGCATCATATCCACCGCTTCCACCACCTGTTCACACGTTTCCCGATAGTTCTCCGTTTTCAACTCCTCGAAGACGAGCGACAGCCCCTTCACGATCGCCATCTCCATCAGTCTCACCAACAAGAGCTCCAAGATCGGCGCGGTCTCCAAGCCGCCGAGACACCAGTCAACACTGTCGAGCGAAGTCGATACACCGGTCAGGACCCAAGGGCGCGGAAACACCACGCCATCGATCCGCTTCGCGCGGACGGCAGCCACGTACTCCGAAAACGCCAAAGAACGGGGCTGATAGCCACGGGCAAATCAGTTTCGTGAACTTCACACCTAGCGACGCGGGAAAGCTTTTGAACGATGTAGCACCAAGTGGTAGCTCAAAGACAAGGGCACGACGTGAACAAGAAGCACGTGAACGTAGAAAGAAACTGAGCGAGGCAGCCATAGCAGCTGTTCGTAGGGCGGGAGGTGATGTGGAAGCACTAGAGCGGGCCATCTTGACATAATCATGCTGGTCATATAGGCCGCCGGTGCATGCAAATCGATTGCCTTGTTTGAGCTATCAGGTTCGATTTATGATGGGGTATTACTCGAGTATTTCAAGCATATTTCTTCCTCTGCCATATTTTAGCCTCTGCTGTTCTGAAACACAACTTGTGTGGTTCTAGAATTTCCAGATCAGAATTGAGTGTCCGAAGGGTTTCTCCTGAAGATGACTGATGGTCCTTGCCTCTACACGTTTTGGAACAGATTGCTCTTGCATTGCATCTCCCAGCCAAGTTGGTAGTGCACATCTTGCCCAATATGGAACCCATCTGTGCCAATCACAGCTCGCATAATGCTAAGCGGCCTCATCTCGTCGAATCAAGACTGCTTCCTCCTCGACTCCAAACACTTCTTGTTCCTGGCAAGACAACCAGTTCAAGTTTCCCATTCGTCGGGTTTTCGAGTCGTTCATATGCGGGGAGTGTTTTTGAGTTTCTGGTAGAGGCAGGCTGAATCAAGGCGCTCCAGCAACACAGTACAAACCCACCCGACCTTTTGCTTCACTATCTTTGTGATACGTACTTCTTTGTCCCAGGTCCAAAGCACCTCTGCTACTTTGCCAACGCCGCGTTCGATTTACTGCTCGACTGATCTCTTAGATATCCGTCGACGTATCCCATCACCACCACCATGGCATCAGCTCAAGTCTGCCCAGTCGTTGGCACAACCAACTCTATCCTTCCGCCCAGCCATCCATCAGTCGACCTCGACCAGCCAGGCCAGACGTGCCCGGTGACAAACGCAACCACAGATCACCACCACACGCTTGCTCAGCATCCGAAAGTCCCCATACCAGACGGCACAAGCGCAGCAGATGCCACCGCATGTCCAGTTCTCGAGAGAGTGGTCTCGCAACCACAGAGCAAGGCTATGGATGATAAGATCTGCCCTGTCGTGGGGTGAGTGATAGTCACTAAAGGGGCAAGAAAAGCGCATGGAGCACGCGAAGCTGATAAAATGGCAGACCTGTAACTACAGTCCTTCCACCAGATCATCCATCGATCGAGAATCCTACAAACGAGACGTGCCCGGTAACAAAGGCAACCTTATCACACCACAAGGTAAGTAGTACCTCGAGCATGAATCATACATCTCGCTCATACGCGCTGTAGGGAAAGGTCGAGAAGCACCCATCTGTTGACTCGGCTATAAAAGGCGCAGTCTGCCCAGTTGTTGGCGCGAAGGCTGCGTGAAGGAATGAATACCCTCAACACCGGGTATATAACGAAGCGAGATATCAAGGTCTTACAATGACAATGTTTACTCAATTTGACGTGATATATCGGAACAAGTGCAATACAAAGTGCTTGTGAAGAGTTGGATGACATGATCCTGCTTAATCTGGACATTACGAGTATAAACAAGCACGTATCCGAATAACTACATCGAAAATCTCTCCGTACATCCCTCCCTGTTCCTGCCTCCAGTTCTTAGGTCGTCCCCATGCGCCTATATCAAGACACCTCCTCTTCCCCTCTCTGGCCAGCCAACCGCTCAAGTCACTGACTGCATACTGACTAAGAAAAAAGAGCAGTTCAAGTTAAGCTAAGCTCGCAGTTTTTCCTGTTTCGCGATCTTCATCCAACTTCTTTTCGACCCAGTCGGATTGGTCTTCTCGAGGTACTCATTCGTCCCTCACATTCTTTCATGTGCGCTTCCAGAAGTCGACGTACGGATAGAGCGGGGAGAGAGTGATATAGAAATGAATGCTGACTCGAGTCTGTGTCGATGACATTGACTTGATTTGATGCATCCTGCATATTGTACTGCCACACGATGCAATTTGAGTGCAGCGCATCGCTGCTGTATGGATGAGTAGAAAGGGAAAGGAAATTTGCCGTTGATAGTCATCTTAATGGCATAAATCGTTGGACAACAATCAGAACAGTAAACACGCTTCAAACTCTAGGTTCATAATACTATGCTAGGTCTTCAGACGCTTGGATTCCCCTCCAGCGACTTCTTCTGCCTTTCTCTTGTCATCTCCTGTCTCGTTCTTGCCACCAAACAATACTGGTGGTTTTGATTCAGCAGGCGTTGGAAATGTGAGCGGACTTGGCAATACAGCACTGTTTAATCCACCTCTCCCCCAGTTATCCCAATCACTAAACAGACCACCAGGCGAAGCTATTAAAGATTGCTCCATATATCGTGACGGTAACGCCGATACTGGCGTCTCTATTGTGTTTTTGTTCTCTGAGTATGCATTGGAATTTTGTTGTGATGTTGGTGGTGGTGGTCTCGCGAAGGGGTTCGGCGGTCCAGAGGCACCAGCTGAGAGCAAGGCAGAGGCTGAAGGCGAGGGTGGTGGCAGCAGTATACCATTGTGGTTGCGTTCCGGGTTCGCGGACCGCGTTTCCGCACCTCGTGGCGAGCCTGAGCCAGATTCGTCCTCCTCAGCTTCGGACGGGATCGTGAGATTGAGCTTGGGTCGTGCTGCCCCCTTCGAACCACTAGTATCACTACGTTGTGGTGCCGCAAATTCCCTGCTTGCGGATGCTGTTGTGGTTGCACGCACCGGTTGTGATGGTGCGGGCCTGAGTAATTGTGATGATGGTTGTGAGATGGCTCTTGGAGGAGGCTTGATCTCGGGTGGAGACTGGTTTTGATCCTGCCTTCTTGGAGGATCAGCGGCCCCGAAGAAGACACGTGCCAAAACCGAACCACCCTCGTCGATCGGGGTGAAGATACTTTGCGATTTAGATAAAGTATGTTTTCGTTCAGGAGGAGATGGCGGACGCAGATTAGTATGCTCCGGTTGCGGCGATGCTCTACGAATAGGTTGTGGAGGAGGCTGCAAACTGTTCGACGTGGGAGGCATAGATGACGGTGGTTGGGACTGACGCCTTTGGTCTTGTAAGAACTGTTGATGCGCATGTTGTATTTGTTGATGGGACTGCTGTTGCGGTTGCTGTTGTGGTTGTTGCTGGAAATGCTGGTATTGTGGTTGAGGTGAAGGATGTGGAGGCGGTCCCGAGACAGGCACGGCTGCGTGAGGGTTATATATAGGAGGATTAGGCATGTATGCATAGCCATTTGGTGGAGGAGCAGGATGTGGTGCTTGTTGTAAAGGTACCATTGTGGACGTCGGCCTTCGAATTTCCTGCCTCGAATTTGACCTCGAGATCATGCCTGCTGGTTGCGGGGTCGAATGTCTCGGAAACATGCGATTCGGCATTGGCGGCGATGCTGAAGCAGCAGGCTGTCTGACATGTTGGAAGGAGTTGTGTTGCATGTGAGGTGGCATTAGGTGTTGTTGTTGATGCGGCTGTGGTGGCAGGGAATCCTCTCTTTTCTGCGAGCCATCGTCGCCGTCATCCTCGTCCTCGTCATCATCATCGCCTCCCTTGTTCTTGAAGTCGCCTGGACCTTTGTGCTCGTGTGGAGGACCATACTGTAGAGAACGTTAGAGCAGTTGCGCTGTTAAACTGTTCAGACGTACATATTGATATCTTCTCAAAGTCTCATTAATGTCACCCGACGAAAATTCGTAGAGCTTCTTGTTGTGGCCAAAGATGATCACGGCGACATCGACTGAGCAGAGTACTGAGAGCTCGTGAGCTTTCTTGAACAAGCCACCCTTTCGTTTAAGGAATGTGCTGTCAGTATCATTAGCACTATGTCGCCATGTCCTGTATTTACGCCGCTGTGACAACATACACTGATCTGTTGCGGTCGTCCTTGATAGCTCTTATCTCGATTTTTCTCCTGCCCATAACGAAGATGGTCCAGCTGTACCTAAACTATCTCGGAGAAATTGTAAGGTACTATTCGGCAATCAAGTGAGACCCGGCGGGAGTGTGATCGTCCAAGCGCAGCACTGAAAGCAGAGGGACGACAGGACAATTCGTTGTGCGGCTTGAAACAAAGCAAGTCATTCAACCCAGATCCGCGTCTCGGAGCAAATGATCGAGACGATGTAGAGGAAGCACAAGGTAGCCGTTATTCTTTGTCTCGTTTCGCGGTTGGGCCTTTGAGCGCGCCAACTTGGCAGCAGTCGCGACTGTCGAAAAGCAATACACGTCGAAATGCACCAGAATGCGGCTCAAAAAACTGACGCTGGTCAAAGCAAAATGTCGCTACCTCAGCCGAGTCAATGCTAGGCCGTTGATCGTCGCGGCGGCGGTAATGCTGTCGATTGGACGGGGCTCGAGTGAAGATTCTAAAGATAGAAGAAGAGGCAGAGGGTGGAGAGGGAAAGAAGGGTTTTGGACTTCTGGTGGCGCCTGTGGCTCCAACCTCCATTAGCGGTTCTCGGGCTCGACGAGACTCTGGTTTGCCGCTAACTCGAACTTCAACGACATGGCGAAGAGAGGGCCATAAAGTGGGGGTTCCATTTACCAATGAGACTGGTCAGCAATCCTATCAGTTCTCGTGTCAATGCGATACTCCTACCAACTTCTGTCGAGAGGTCGTCCTGGCAATAGAGCCTGCATGCGTTCTGCTCCTTCATGGTAAGCTCAGCCACACAGCCTCAGTCACTCACCGATCTTCTTCATCTGCCGTGCTCCAGAGGCTGTTCATCTGTTTCGTGTTCACGTGTAATCATCCTCACGAGACCGACAAAAGATGACTGCATGCTAGCAGTAGAAGCTCATTCTTCATTACAATTGAGAAGCTAGCTAGAGCCAGAGCAAAGGCGGCTATGCGGCGATCTTCCTACTAATCTTTTTTTGCGTAAGGATTCCTCTGCTCTACCATACGCCTTTTCGCCAAGCGACTGCTTGCGAATGGGAAAGGTCCATCTTCTACGACCAGCATGAGTCTTTAAAGTTGTTACTTACAAGTCGCCCGCAATTTGAGTTGCCAATGCTAGAGCTTCTATGGGAGCTTTCTACTTAATTCTGGCGGTAGATGAGAAGTAACTCCGCAATAAGTGTTCCTGGGCCCTGCGATTTATGTCTACAATAGGTGATGATCTGGTCTATGAATTGGACTCCGGAGGGTGCCAAGATACGGTCATGGTAGGCGGTTCAAGCAGGAGATGCAGCTGCTGATGCGCAACTGCCAAAAGGACGAGGTTAAAATCGCGGCATCTATTTTTAGCCCTACATTTGTTCAAGTCGTGCCAGGGAATAATACGCCTGCAAGCTGTACACTCAATCCAATCATAATACTAAGTGATCGCTTGTGCCCTCAGCTGATAACCGATATGTACTGTCCTTCTCCTCACACCTCGCTAGCCGGGCCACCAGCCAGGCGGCCAAGAAATCGAAGTTATCAACCGTGACTCATTGTGTACTTCAGCTAAACAGCCGCCCAACAGTTGCACCGGGCACCATTTTCATTCTTCACTTGTATATTGAGCGTGCTTCCACCTGGTGCTACTCTATGTACCTGTCCGAAGTAAATATACAGACAAGCCTGACTGTGTTTCGAATTGTGAATTATTCATTACCAAAAAAAAAAGTATAGACGCTCAAATGCGAAGGACGGAGAATTGGAATAGTTGCGAAGCCGAGAGCCTGTTGTAGACGTAACGTTGTGTGGTATCTTAAATGGAAAATCGACGAAAGGGATGACGGGTTCGTTGGCGAACCCTATTTAGCTGTTGATCGACCAGCTCCACGTTTCTAGCTTGCCTCTATGCTGGAAGTCGTCGATGCTGGAGAGGTTCGCCGCATCACCGTCTAGCAGCATCCATGTTACCGGTCAACTCTGCGACACGAGCCTTAATGCGCGCAACTCGTGATTCGATAGCTGGAAAATTGTTAGCATCCTGCCATATAACTGTGGTACATCACTCACTCTCTTCGCCACTAGTCTCGCCATCATCAGTGGTTCTGGTTTCGGTTCGACTGCGGGCATGATCATCCGATGCTCGTGCTGCTCTCTCGGCAGCATTCCGTCGAATCTGTGCCCATCGATCATGTGCGCTCATGTTTTGCATAGGATCGACCTGGAAGTCTTCATCCGTGGCTTCGGTCTGCATTGTGACAGCTGAGTACACCGACGTGTGTTGTGGTCGGTGTGGCGGCTCGAAAGCTGGTGCCTCGTTTTTTTCGTACTCGTCCTCTTGCTCGGCATCTGCGGGAGCAAACGCAGGCTGGTCAACGAGCGGGCCTTGATCGAAGCGAGAGAACTCATGTGCTGCCTGTGCTCTTTCGTGGCTATCGACTTGGGAAAGATCCTCAAAATTGTCGAGTCGACGATCATGTAGATTAACTGCTGACCCATTGAGGTATGGAGCTGAGTCTACTTTTTCAGGCTCGTGGTTCTGAGATTGCTGCAGCTCTGGCACGGGCTCGTGGCTCTGCGCATCAATGGTTCGAGTTGAAACGACAGGTTCAGGTGCTGTCGTGGTAGATTCTGCAATCTGTTCTGGTTCCGAAGAAGTTGCCATTTCTGAAGGCTTCTTAGCAGCATTTTGCAACTTCGCAAAATGGTTTGGACTCAGTGGTGGGGACACAGGGCCATCACCAGGCTGTGGAGGCTTGCCCTCGAGAGCTCGCCTAGCAGCAGCAATAGCAGGGTCCTCATCTTCGACTTCTGGCGACAATTTGTTATTGGATGGACCTTTGGTCTTGCGTAATGTGCCGAAAAGCTTCTTCATACCAGCATTCTTGTTAGTGCCAACAGGAGGAGGAGCATTAAAGCCAAGCTTCTTAAGACGGTTCTTCTCCGTATTTAGTTTCTCTCTATCGGACTTGTTTGATCGTTTGGACTCGTTACTAGTTTTCGATTGAGCAACGGACAAATCAGTAACGGAAGGATTCTTCTGAGTTAGTGTTGCATCAATAGAGTGTTGAACTGGAGCAACGATGGCTGGCTCAACTGGTATAGTGTTCGCAACCACCACAGGGACAGGCTGTTCTTGTGTGACAGTCTGTTCCTGTATAGGAGACGGCGAAACAGGGTACTCTGCCACAGGCTTTGATTCTGTTTGCAGCGTGAACGGGATTTCTTGTGAGGGCGTCACAAAGTTTTCGGGAGTTGGCGGCAGATCCTTGCTGCTTGACAACGTCGAAGCAGATCGCTTTATGCTCAAGCCGCCACTCGGTAGCGTCAAGAAATCTGTGGATCCCTTTCCAGCAAGTTGATTGCCAAGGTACTGCTCACGGATGGCCTTCTTATCATACTGCTTCGCCCACTGCAAGGCAGGAGAAGCTTCGTCTTTGATGAGCGGGCCAAGAGTGAAGACACTAGTGGTTTTAACAGAAGCGTTTTCATCTGTCCGACCTCTTCTCTGATTCAAAGCTTGTAGTTGTTCTTCTTTGTTCTTCCTGGCCAGTTCTGCTGCGGCATGCTGAATCCTGGCCTGCCGGTCCTGGTCCAGTGTCATTCGATTGGATGGATCTAAGGGTTTGTCGTCCACTAGCGGGCTCTTCTTGAGGGCTGATCTTCGCCTGTTAAGGCGACCTTTCTTGGTGAAGCTGAAGAAACTTTTGCGCTCAGCAACGTAGGCACCAGGAGCTGGCTCAGGGGCGGCGCCTTTGACCTGCTCCTCCATTACCATCCACTGGCCACCAAGCAACGATGTTTCTATGAGTGCACATCTGCCAAAGGCAGCTTTTCGGGAGACCGGCTCCTCACCTGCCAAACTGCTGATCCAAACCCACCAAAAAGCATCGTCTAGCTCTATCTTGGCGATGCTAGCGAGTTCACCTGGTTCAAGGCGGCTTGTGTCGAGATCTCTCCTGTGTGATTGTGAACTCTGACCTCGAGGTACGGTTGTCATGGGTGGTAACGCTTTGTCAGGAGGAAGCAGAACAGGAGCTGATGCCTTGTTACCATTCTCGTCTGTAAATCCTGACGACAAGAAGTCGGCCCAGGAAGGTGTAGTGGGTCGATTTAGGTCAGTCACACCAGATCTCGAGGTCGAATGCAGACCTTGAGCTGTTGAAGATCTACTCTTGCTGAACAAGGCATCTTCGTTGTTGTCCCCAAAGGCGCTGCCAAATCCTATATCTTCGAAGCGGGACCAGGAAGGATCTTTAAGACTTGTCGAGGTCGCTGCATCAGATACGTGTGACTGATTAGTCGAAGAAATTGCGCGTAGAACACGACGACATTCTTCGGTAAGAGCATCGACAGGATCTTCGAACGCGGCAAAATGCTGTAGGGCCATATCATCGTCTCGATATTCAAACTGTTTAGCCCGGCGCAATAGGGCAAATGGCGTAGGTGACACCACATCGACAATCATGACGACCTTAGTTGTATCATTAGCAATAAAGATTGAACGTGGAGGATATTCGACAGAATCGACCAGCTGCTGCAATGACCGTGGAAGGTCGAGTATGCCGTTCGTGCTACCAGGTTCAGGTGTCTGGCCCCTCAAATATGCGAAGAACAAGTGGCTTGTGGCATTGGCTGCATTGTTCCACAACTTATATCCTGCATCGAAGCCTTTGCCGGTATCGTAATGCTCGAATGCCCACCAACCACCAAAACGTGACAACTTGTGACCGCCGAGACCGTTGGTTTTCCCGTGCGCAGCCAAAGCAGCTAGTAGGTCGAAGTAATCAACAATGATTTGTACTCTGGCCTTCGAATCTACGCCAAGAGGAATGAACGTGCTGAACGAGTTCCTTGCATACCTGGAGTCTATACTGGGTTAGAAAATGTAGATCAGTTCTTTCGGTCACACTGCCTACCTTTTTCTCCGACCTTGAAGCCTTGATATGCTTCCCACGTCACAATACCGCCTGGTAGCCGAGCCCAGCACCACTTCATTACTGCCACAATGACCATCACTTCAGTCATTCTCAACTCTTTCGTCAGTACGTGACCTGTCAACTTTTGGCGCTCGACCACAGGAAAAAAGAAATTGCGAATGAATGTCTTAGCCGCACTAGGATCCGAGGACGGGCGAAATGGTAGTAGAAGGAACGGTACATCGAGAGCTAGAGCCGTTAGCCATGGAGTATTCTGCTTGCGCGAACGCCGTACCTCGTGATTTTATCTCTGCTGTACAGCAGTGCAAGAGTTCGACGACCTCTTCTGGGTCGACTCTTGTCCGCTGCCACGCATCCTCCCACTTCGGTTTAGAAACTGCATTGCCATTGGTCAACGGTTTATCGTTCTTCTTCAACTTGTCTTTCTTTCGCGAAAAGAGAGGCATGTCGAGAGATGTTCTGCGTAGGTCAAGCGTGCGCATTCGTCCAGGATAGTTGGTACATGAGAAAATGATCACAGGCAATCGCGATCAGGTGTAGGACTGCAGATTTAGAAAGTACTTGAGGGGAGTCGATGCAGTGCGAATCTAGCAAGTTGTAACAGCGAACAAAATGTCCGACCCAATTGAGTGCTGTCAAGCAGTGAAGCAAGAGCGTTCGATGCGAAGCGAAGCAAGGAATATGCATGCACCAGAAACACGTTTCGAATCACTCAGGGGTCGAGCGAATGTGAATACGGCTTGGCGATGATCTGTCTTAGGTATTAAGGACAAGGACGAAAACTGGTTGCGATAATAACGGCTTGACGCCAATCAGAACAAGAAACGAAGTTGAGGGAAGGAGCGACTGTGAGACCTGAATGCGACAAAGCAGTGAAGGTGCTCATGGTGAATGCACGCAGAGCTGCTGGAGATTTCTAGTGCCACACGAGTGTATCCACGCCGTGTGATAGCTTCACTTATCTCGATGCGTGGGGCTGCGATAGTGGCCCAGCGGCACGTCTTATCCCAATAGAGCGTCGACACTGTTCCCTTCACGGTGCACTAGTCTAACGCTTTGGGAAAGTGTGTTTTTATGGAGTAGATGAAGTTTACTCCGCGCCTATCGAGCAGTCCTGGGAGCGATACAAATTAAAGTCGCTGCGCTTCAATACAGTTCCTTGGAGTTGTCGTACATGGGGAAATCTCTGTACGCTATCTCACAAGGAATCGGGTACCTTCTTACCGCTACGACAAATCACGGGAGCGCAATCGAGCAACTGAGCAACGTGCTGCAACGTGCCGTTACGCAGCATATTTGATCGTTTGGATCACTGTTTTCGACATTGCGGTGCGAGAGGCTGCTATAAGAATGGCGACGTTCGAGGATAAAAGCATGGAGAGAACTAAATATTGATATGAAACTCACAAAAGTCAGAAAGACCCTAAGTGGAGTCTGTGCTGATCCTTTACAGCCACAGCTGTGGCTGTAAGATTTCTCGAGCTTTTAGTGCTTGCATATTTCACAAATGAGGGTACGTGAAGTGGTGACGTAAATATGTCGAGTCCGACACAAGTACCTCATGCATGTCTCCGTAGACAATATCAGAGAGCTAATGCCTGGTTCATGTCACGGGTTGTGCATACTGTAGATGCTGAGATACTGGAGATTTTCAACGAAGTTATCCCAATCTAGATCAAGTGCAGAGTTCACTACACAATATCGGCATCTTGGGTTCACCGCCGTCAGGATGGTGAAGAGTAAGGAGGATGTCATCGAGTAAGTACGAAAACTGGTGTGGTCGATTGGCTGACAAACCCCGAGGGACTTCAACAAAACGGTCAACATGACAGCGGAAGAATTAGAAGAGTGGTTGAAAGGTGACAAATCTCAGGGTACCGGCTGGAGCAAGTCTGATGGCTCGGGAGAGAGTATCGGCCACGAGAGGTAAGTGGTTACCTTGGAACACTACATAAACAGCTAAGGTCGTGCAGTGGCCGTAAAATTGTGGAAATCCTGAAGAAGAATCCCAAAAAAGATTCTTCGAAATATACCGACGAAGATGTGCAACATATGAGGAGAGTAGCCGCTTATAACAAACGGCATCTTGCTCAAGAAGAAAAGGCGAAACAAGACACCAACTCACGATCCTATAAGTCCTTGAAGGTGTGTACTCCACAGTTATACAAACTCCCTGTTAATCTTCTCCTAGAATTGGGGCCATGATGCGCAAAAGTCGGCATAGTGAACTAGACTTTGTGAGCTGCTTCAGTCGTTCGAGTTTTCGAAAATAAAATCCTTGATGATGATAGAACTGGCATACTGTGGGGAAAGCATAACGCAGTTGAGGAAGTAAGACAGTCCTTGTCTACGCTTCTCAAGGAACTTCGCCTTGAACTTATACACGGCGCTCTTTGGTGGCAGCAGAGGCAGAGACTTGGTTGTAGAGTCCGGAAATGCTTTGAGTAGCTTGCTCCGTAGCTCATGGAATTCAGAGTACCGTTTTCGTATGGTCATAGGACTCCCATCCAGAGTCTCGACTTTACAGATCCAAACGACGTAAGCCCCTATACCAACACTGTTCGCCTGAACGATAACATGGTCGTCGATTGTAATTGACCTTGCCCAAAGTTGGCTATGTGCTTGAGTATCTGCTTCGGTGTTGTCCTTCAAGGTAATTGCTGGTAAAGGTTCAATCGACGCTATGGTTGAGTGTGTTCGAGAGCGGTGTCGCATCCAGTAAGGAGGCGAGTTCTGGGACGAGAAACGTTTGAGAGAGTCATTCTCCTTGCCGTCTTGGTTGTTGCCAGTCCCGAGCTGTGACGGTGGCGTGTCTTCGTCCATCCATCGATAGGTGAAGCGTTGGTCAAAGCTGGCTGACAAGAATCACAGCTTGTCTTGGCGTGGTTCTGGGTACTCTGCTGCACGGGAGATAAACTACCATTGCGACGGAAGATAAAATCTGGCACAAGCTATACCAAATGTTGTTCTTCCGGAGTGCCGTCATCAAGTTGGTTGCTAGTGCTTGTAGGAATGTCTTCCACTAGTCATAGGTTGAACCGCAAACGAGGGCAATTCTGACCTCTGATGACGGCGACAAGGCATACTATTGCGGCCATAGTTCGAGGGATGGGTCAACCATCGAGTCGAGAAGTAATTGCCGCACTTAACAGCACACTCACCACATCATTCGTGGCAAATATACACGAGTATCGGAGTAGTGGAATCTAGCATGTCTTTTCGTGGATCTGGCTCGACCAATATACCATGCCAATACCGAGTGGCTGATACCAAGCTCTACAGAACGACAGGGAATACGAGGACAACAAGAAATGGCTGCCGAAATTGAGTCAAGTTGCGGGATGTAGTAATAGTAGACCACAACCGCTCCGTCTGGTCCAACTATTCCATTCTCTTTCTGCCTCTTCACGGACAGCAGATCCGTAAACCAACTCTACCTCGTAATTTCTGTGAAGTTTCATCGCCACATTCCAATCCATAACACCCAGCATTGAGGGATTGATAAACCTTTACGAGTGTGTAGCAACGCATGGATTTCACTAGTAACGGAGCCCAAGCCCCGTAGTAGAGCACTAACCTTCGCTGGCGGCGATCTCGCATGCAGACTCGCGGGATATGATTGGAGAGAGCTGAACGAAGTCCACATCAACTTGACTTTTTTCGATGCTTCACAGATCCACGATAATTCATCTGCTGCATGTCTCATGCTCAACGCGTCGTCTTTATGTGGTTCAACACTCGGGACGAAAGCTTGCCACTGCGGGTTGAGTAATTCTATCACGCAAGGTGTGCATGAACGACCAACCACTTCGCGTGAATGGAGGCGTGAATATCGAAGCAGCTGTTCTAGGCTTGAGGCTGGGCCAATTTCCATGAGCTTCGTAGATCCACAGCACGGAGTTGAGTATCGGTGGCATGCGCCTAGTCCAGTATATCACATCTGGGAGTCGCCGTCGAGTATGTGTGCCACCTTCCTGCCTCATCTCAGTAATAATATTGTATTGTCTTCATCATTTTTTTTTGTCAAATTTCGCTTCTTGAGTCGACTTTCGAACAGCAATCAACAAAATAGCATACAATATTTGCATTAGCTTCGTAGGTAAGAACTTGTCTCCTTATCAGGTAGGGGATTGAGCACTGACATTTATCCAGAACACATCAACAGCACTTCGTCATGTATTCTTCGATCCTTTCCTTTGCAGCCGTGTCTGCTATCTTCCGTCTTGCTTCTTCACAACAAATCGACCCCAACAGCGTTGCCCTTTCCACTCGAGCATCGTGGTGTACCTCCCAAGTCATACAATGTCCATTGATATGCACACAAGAGACGGATGGATCTGCCACTACATTGTCAAACACATGCGACCCTGCCAGTCTTGCTTATAGCTGCGTGTGTGATAACGGCTCGTCCCCCAATATCAGCGAGTATTCACAAACAATACCATATTTCGAATGCACTGAGTACGGCAACCAGTGCGTCCAGAACTGCGGCATGAACAACAATCAATGTGCCTCTGCTTGTCGACAGAACAACCCTTGTGGTGCACAAAACCCAACTCGAGTTAATGTAACATCAACCACGTCTGGAGCTGCTTCTGCCACTGGCAGCGGCTCTTCAGGATCAGGCAGCGCGGTCTATACTGGATTCGGAGCTGCTGCGACCTCATCAGGCTCAAGCGCATCGAGCAGCAGTAGTAGCAGCAGCAGCAGCTCCTCCTCTTCCTCAGGTGCTAGCACTCTTCTGGTTGACGTGGGTAGGCTATACGGTTTGGGTTTAGTGACTGCTGGTATCCTCACAGGCTTTGCAATTCTCCTCTAAGAGGACGTTGCCAAATATGAGCAGGAAACTGGTAGTGGTTGTATAATCGCAGAAGCAAGGTTGTACAGCACTAGACGGACTATTTTTTCTTTCTTTCAATAGTATTAAGCACGGCGTACTGGATTTTTGAGGCATCGACAGAGCACTACTCAGACACTGCTCTTATCTAATACTAATTGTCCACTTCGCTTCTGAAACATATAATTCGTGTTGCCTGCTTAGGTTCTGCCTTCCACGTCCTCGTAGTTTGCATGCTTTGGGATTTGCCACACGTTGTACTTGGCGAAGGTAAGATCGACTTATTTACTTTTCATACAGCACCCGTGGTCGAGATCAGCAATTCTATAGAGTCAGCATCGTTTTCTCAACCGTCCAAGACTGATTCTCGTCTCGAAGTGAGGTCGAACACCTGCTCAGACACTGATTCGCAGATTTCGCGTGGAGATCCAAAAGAGGCTAGAAGTAAACAAATGGCCCGATTCGGAACCAATCAACGCGGTCCTCTACGATCGCAGGTCTCTGTATCCTCTTTTTTGTTGTTGCATTGACCCGACGATTTTGCCAAAGAGCAACATCGATACATGTTTGTATATTCATGTTGCGCGTAGTCTTCCTGCCCAACCAACGCCGACATGGCTGCACTTGCATCAGCAGCACCTGTTCCGGCCTATGCTTACTCCATACAATCACGACCACATGCGCGTGCCCTTCGACCCAGTGCCTCAAATCGTTCGAGAGCTTACCAAGTACGACCGGCTGAGAAGCTCAAACAGCATTACAACCGACCCTCTGACAGTTCGGACGACGAAGATCTTGCGCCGATCAAGCTGAGCGCAGAGGCACAAGCTATCCTTGGTGAGGAACAATCGCAAGCTCAGCAGAACAAGGAGAATATCGAGCTTGAGCAACAAGAGCTCCAAGCAGACCATTACGAAGAACCACTGCACCACCATCATATATCAGCACACATTCCGGATGGCAGCCCTGTATTACGTGCTTACAGGCCATCACCCCCAGTTGTGCTTGTACGCGACGGCTCATTTGCCTACAAAGTTCATGACAAGAGCAGGACTTTTGGCATGCTCGACCATGAATCCAAGACGCCTGCGCCGCGTCTTCGCAAGATACGTGTTAGCGGATCTCGTAGTCAAACAAAATCACCATCTTCAGCAGGAGCTACTACGGAACAACAGACTCACATTGAGCCCGACGAAGAGCGAAGTTCCGAGGACATTGAACGTGATCTAAGTGCTGTACAGGTCGCTGAGACAGCGGATCATGAGCCTCATACTGTGGCACGACCAAGGAAAGCGAAAGAAAATGGTGCACATAGCACAGTGAGGACACACAAAATGGGCACTGGCACTTTGCTTAGGGGTGCAGTGCGCAGAGGAGTTTTTCGCAGGCAGAGCGACGACGAAGATTCGCATCTGGCGTACAAAGAGTCAGTGGCTGCTAGTCCTGAGATGCAACGAGGACGGAGAGCTCAGGTTGAGCTCGATAACAAGCCAGATGATCTTTTGTTTGATTACGAGAGTCCCAAGTCGAGAACGCAGGAGAGTCCCGTAGCGGTCAGCAACCATGGATCTGGTCGAAGGTCGGCATCTCCTGCAAGCCAACAGTCTGCAAAGCCTGCCTCCCCGAGAAGGCCGGTCTCACTTGCCACATCCATTGGCAGACGTTTTCCAACTCCAGCTCTAGATGAAGCAGTATCTTCGAAATCATCAGGCTCGAACAGACCAATATTCAGAATCCCTTCACTACCACCATCACATATCAGCAACGAGCAGGAGAACGAGCCACCGCCCACTTTCAAAAGAGGAAAGCCTGCAGCTACTCATCTGGAAATACACGAAGACAACATGAACAAGATCGAAAACAAACAGCAGAAAGAAGAATTGGTTTCCGGAAGCTCACCTCAAAGACAGATGCTAGCTGTACGTTCTAACAACACGCCTCATAGACCTGCGCCTCCACCACCACCAAAGATGTCCTTAGTGGAAGCAGCGACGTCGAATGCTGGAAATAGTCGAGCCAAGAAATCAGTACACTATGTCTTGAATGGGCGTACCTATCGTAGATTGGATTGTATTGGCAGAGGTGGATCTTCTCGAGTCTTCAGAATCATGGCAGAAAATTACAAGATATTTGCTCTAAAAAGAGTGAACCTGGAAGAGGCTGATATGGCATCGATTGCAGGATTCAAAGGAGAGATCGAGTTGCTGAAGAAACTTGAGAACGTGGAAAGGGTGATTAGGTTATTCGACTACGAGGTTAACGAGGAAAAAGGCGTCTTGAGTGTCATGATGGAGCTAGGGGAGACCGACTTCAACAAGATGCTAAACGACCAACTCAAGAACGAGAACTCGAACTTCGACATCACCTTTACACGCCATTACTGGAAAGAAATGCTTGAATGTGTTCGAGCTATACACGACCACGACATCGTACATTCCGACCTCAAGCCAGCGAATTTCCTGCTTGTCAAAGGCCAGTTGAAACTGATCGACTTTGGCATCGCCAATGCCATTCAGGAGAACACGGTCAATGTGCATCGCGAGAACCAGATAGGCACTCCCAATTATATGTCGCCTGAGTCACTGGTGTGCCATGCTCCTATCGCTGGACAGGCAACCAACGTCAAGATTCTGAAACTCGGCAAGCCAAGCGACATTTGGTCCCTAGGATGCATTCTATACCAGATGACATATGGACAACCACCTTTCGCACATATCCCGAAGGCGTTCGAACGCGTCATGGCAATACCAAATCCAAAGGTAGAAATACAGTTTCCCTCCACTGGCATAGGCGGCTCAGTGGTACCATTTGGATTGATCAAGACACTGAAGAGATGTCTTCAACGCGATCAAGCTCTCAGACCAACGATCAAAGAACTGCTGTCCAACGCAGACCCATTCCTCAATCCTGTGGCGATCAGCCCTGATATGCTAGGCAGAGTGATCGGCAATGTGATCAACCATTGTCGAAAGAGAGAGGAGAGTTACAGGCAGTCAGGTGAGCTGGGTAACCCGCGAGTTAGCTGTCTTCCAAGGGACGAGGACATGCGGAACTGGCCTCAAGCGTTCTACGACAAATTGAGGCAGGCTCAGGAGGAGGGTACGGCATGGTGACATGCACCGCAAGACAAGCATTACAGTTTCGGTGTCTTCGGCTGTTTCTTGGTTGCGTTCTAGCGTTTTTAGCAGAGGTGTTACCTTCCTTTGTATATGTAGACACTTGAGCATCTAATCCGTACCACTATCCTCAACACTCTTTTCGTCCAATCTGCGTAAAACCTGGCATTACACCGCGAGCTCGTCAGGATTATGCCAAGGTCTGAGGAAAACAAAGACTGACATGGCATAGTGGGTATGCTCCCGAAAGCGGCTGAGGATCTGTGGATTGCAAGACTGGAGCAATATGGGCTCTTCTCCAGGAAATGAGAAGAACTCCTGAAATGAGAACAGACTTCTTTGGATGGTAAAAAGAATCTGCGGTCGATCGTAAAAGGACAAAATGCGCCGACATTCAATCACCAGCACGCTTGGCCAAGACGCGAGGCTAAGGCGCTTCTGCCTGGTACGAATTGTTCTCTTGCCTTATTCCTCGCGAATGTGGTTAAAGTGGGTTGTAGAAGCACAAAAGCACGGTTGTGATTTCCTCCTGTGAAGAGACAACAATATACCTGCAGATTTGCGGCAATCGCAATAGAATGCTTCAGTCACTTGGTCGGTCAGCCATGATCAATTCCGCAATCTCCATCATCCACTCTGACTCACAGCTCGGGCTTTACAGATTCACCACCACAGCATAAATCCGTGCTCCACTGTCGCACTAAAGTGGAGGCTCTTTGTTCTTGACATGGTCATGTCATTGGTAAGACGTGATGATGCCTTTGAGACAATGGGGATGAGGTGCATTGTACGAAACTCAACGGGTCTGAGATCTGCGAATGAAGCACCGCATGACGGGTGATCGTGTTGGATTCGGCTCCGCTGCGATCGAGTAATCAGCGGAGCTGTCTTTGGTAGATCTGTCCGCGTCAGCAAGACGTGTATGTATATATTTGCGCCTTGTGCCTTTGTACGCCTCGTGCCTCGTCAGCTCTAGTCTTTCCAAGGATATTACGGATATCAATTAGAAAGCTTGCGTGCCTGCGTGCTTGCGTGTATACTACTATTTATCTTTTGAAGTCAAGTGGTATAACAATCCCACTCTTCTATCTAATATGTCCACGATGCCGGCAATGTCGTCGAGGACAAATTCGTGGTCGTCGGTCTCCTCGACTTCCTCCTCAGTGGCACCAGCAACAACAAGCTACGTTTGCTACGACTTGGAGTTCCGCGCAACCCAGATCCTCACTTCTCTCGCTCAGAATCCTTCCGACCTATCGACACTCGATCTAATATCACCTAACATCAAAGTTGAGCACGGCGATCAGGCACCAGTCTATTCTATCGAACGGTATATTTCACGTTTCACCATTGCAGGAGCGCAACATCCGGACCTAAAGTTAGAAATTAAGGAGGCGTGTGTGGACGAGATCCAGAGAAAAGTCTGGGTTAGAAGCGAAATCTCAGGATTGCCAGATGATGTGGTAAAGGAGAGGATTGACATGTTATCATTCAACAACCACGGGATTCTAGTGGGAAGCATTGACCACCAGAAGGTCAAAAGACGGTGGTAGCTAAGATGCAGACAACACATTTTCGACGTCGGTTAGACCAACCAGCTAGCAGTCTGACTTACCAATAAGGACAGGATGGGTTGAGCTTGTACCAGTCTGATTGAAAGCCACAGCAGGTGCATCAAGATCTGTGTTATCAAGCAGCAGGAAACGACAGCAGACCGAGGTTCCTGATCTGCTGCAACATCACAGGTTCTTACCGGGTCAGGGAGATGCATGAGCTCCAACAGGCATATCAGGGCGCTCGCTGCGACATCTGGAGCACGAAGACGTTTCGTGGAGTTCATTGCGGTAGCGGAAACCCAGCTACCGACGAGTAAAGGTTCAGCCACCGTCCACGACAATTTACTCAATATGGTATTGTTAACGTGAAAGCAGACAGAAGGACGTATGATTGGCGATGAGCAAAACACGAGCCAGGGATCCGACACACTCCTAAGCTGGTCAGGAAAGAGAGAAAGGGGTCTTGTTGTCATTTGAGTGGTGTAGTAATTGATGGCGAAGGTATTTATTTCCCTGGCTGTCCACAAGTACCGCGTGGAGGATGATTGACTGCAGAGTGGTACCTGATCAACCACCGAGCCACGTGCTAACGGCCTCTGCTACGACTCCAAACGATGGAGCGGATTAATAACGCGCTAGTTCTCGTGTGGCTGGAGCACACTTGATGCAGGAGCTAAGAATTGTTGAGGCGGCGATAAGGCCAACAGCATAAAGAAGTAATAATCGATAGGTATACCATACATTATTGCAAGGACTGTCCGTACATGGAGTTTTAAGCTGAAGTAGATTGGATGAAATGAGTGAAGCAGGAATAATCACAACCTCTCTTGGAACGAATGATATGGTGATTGGTATCGCAGGAAAGGATTTGGAGGCTCTTATCTGCATGGAAAGTGACGTTCGCCGTGGCTGCCGAAACTCTCAAGGGAGCCGGTCAAGATTAGCACGATTTGGAGCCGCTATGCTGCAGGAACGCTCTGACCGCGCATCTGCATGCCACTCGCTTGCAACTTTTTTTCGTCCGACTACCTGGCCTTGCCCTATGTTTGTCCGGGTGGGTAGCCGGCGCTGTGGTTTAGAAAAATTGTCTAGATTGTAGCCACAGGCTTCTGCTTCTTCACCCTTCGTCCTAGTGAAGGTACCTTCCTGGCAGGGTCTACGATTCAGCCATGGTTGTTGTTGACCACCATGAATATCTTTCCGAGGAGGAAAAGCGGTTGAGAGACGATCGTGAGCGAAAGAAGTACTGGAAACGATGGGGCTGCTATACTGCTGAGCGTCAGTGGGCTACTGTCAGAGAAGACTACTCGCACGACGGAGATGCTTGGAGTCACTTCTCGCACGACCAAGCTCGGTCAAGAGCCTTCAGGTGGGGCGAGGATGGCATAGCTGGTGTCTGTGACACTCACGGCTACCAGCATGTTACCTTTGCATTCTGGAACGAGCAAGACCCTTTCCTCAAGGAGCGGCTGTTCGGGCTGAGCAACCCTCAAGGAAACCATGGCGAGTCGATCAAGGAAGCTCATTTCCACGTTGATAACACTCCTACGCATTGTAAGTTTCCGAAGAGCGGTCAGACGTACAGACTGACTCTTTGCAGCCTATATGAAATACCTATACAAACTACCACAACGTTCGTTTCCGTATGAAGACTTAATCACCGAGAATGGAAGACGTGGCCGGATGGAGAAAGAATACAACATTGTTGACACGGACGCGTTCAAGGACAATCGCTATTTTGACATTTTTATTGAGACAGCCAAAGAGACGGACGACCCGGAGGAACTACTCTTTCGAGTAACTGCGTACAACAGAGGTCCTGAAGCTGCTCCCTTACACATCATTCCCCATGTCACCTTCAGGAATACCTGGACCTGGGGCTGGGAACATGAAAGCAAGAAGCCCAGCATGCGAATGGTAGGGCCCATGACAGCTCAGACCAAACATCACAAGCTAGGCACAAGGTTCTTCCAGCTCTCTCCTTCTCCCGGCTGTGGGCCGGATGCTGAGGACGTCCAACCCCAACTAATGTTCACCGAGAACGACACTAATCTGCAAGGACTATATGGAGTACAAAACAAAACTCCGTACGTCAAAGATGCTTTTCATCGCTGGATAGTTGACGAAGAAAAGGGTGCCATCAATCCCAGATGTACAGGCACCAAATGTGCAGCCTGGTACGATTTTGGCAATGGTCAAGGTGTGCCACCAGGAGAGTGTGCTGTCGTCCGGTTTCGTCTATCACGTAAATATGACGGCTATCTTAACGAGGAACTGCTGGACGATATCATTGAACAAAGACGGCAGGAAGCGGACGAGTTCTACTACCGCATAAGTCCACTACCTATGGCAGATGATTTGCGCAATATTCAACGACAGGCTCTTTCTGGTATGCTGTGGTGCAAGCAGCATTATCTCTTCGTCTGGGATCAATGGGCAAACGGAGACCCGAATATGATGCCCCCACCTGAATCTCGCAAGAACATTCGAAACAAGGAATGGAAACACATGTTCCTGGACGATATCTTGTCTATGCCTGACTCCTGGGAATACCCCTTCTTCGCTGCTTGGGACTCCGCCTTCCACTGTATACCACTGGCGATGATCGATCCAGAATTTGCAAAGAAACAGCTGGACCTCTTCACTAGAGAGTGGTATATGCATCCTAATGGCCAGTTGCCTGCTTATGAATGGAACTTTGGCGATGTCAATCCTCCTGTCCATGCTTGGGCGACCTTCAGGACATTCAAGATAGAGCGAAAGATGTATGGTCGACAAGATCTTGATTTCTTGGAGAGAGTCTTCCAGAAACTTCTTATCAACTTCACCTGGTGGGTAAACAGGAAAGATGCTGATGGCAAGAACGTTTTCGAAGGCGGCTTCTTAGGTCTAGACAATATTGGGTTGTTCAACAGATCCGAACCTTTGCCCACTGGCGGTGTCCTGGAACAAGCAGACAGCACTGGTTGGATGGCCTTCTACTGTTTGTGCATGTTGAATATGGCCCTGGAACTTGCCAAGCATCGAAGAACATACGAAGACATTGCATCGAAGTTCTTCGAGCATTTCATCCTCATCTCGGATGCCATGACTTTCCGAGCTGGTGGAAAAGAAAAGAGTTTGTGGAATGAGGAAGATGGCTTCTACTACGACGCTATCTCCTGGGGAGGCCCTTGGACTCAGCAGTTACCGGTACGATCGTTGGTCGGATTGATTCCTCTGTACGCCACTTTGACCATTGAGCCCGAAATGATCAATAAATTGCCCAACTTCAAGCGAAGAATGAACTGGTTCATCGAGAATAGACATGATGTTGCGGAGCGGAACATGGCTTCGATGCGAAAACGAGGCAAAGACGAGCGATTGCTGCTCTCACTTGTCAACAAAGATCGTCTCGAAAAATTGCTGGGATACATGCTCAAAGAAACAGAATTCCTGTCACCTCATGGCATTCGAAGTTTATCAAAGTACCACGAGGATCACCCTTACAAGATGGATGTGAACGGCCAAGAGTTCAAAGTCAGCTACGTGCCTGGAGATTCCGACTCAGGCTTGTTTGGTGGCAACTCAAATTGGCGTGGTCCGATCTGGATGGCGGTCAATTTCTTGCTTATCGAGTCCCTGCTCCGTTTCTACATGTTCTACGGAAACACCCTGCAAGTAGAGTGTCCGACTGGGTCTGGGGATTATATGCACCTTGGTCATGTTGCGGAAGAATTACAGCATCGACTGCAACATCTATTTGTTCGTGACGAGGAGGGTCGCCGTGCTGTCAATGCAGGAAACGACACGTTGGACTTTGATCCGCATTGGCGAGATTACATGTGGTTTCATGAGTTCTTCGACGGAGACACAGGTCGTGGTCTTGGAGCCACTCACCAAACTGGCTGGACTGGCCTGATTGCGAAGATGATTCACGACACTGGCATCAATTGTCGTCTACCGCAGACTCCACGAACTCCAGGCACTGCTGCCGCACACTACTTCGACGATGTCTACTCAGCCAGGTCGATGACCAGGAGAAACACTGGCTTGTCGACTCCAGGACCTACAGGTCCAAGGATGCGGCGTTCGTCGACCTCTCGATCACTAGGCAATCATTCAGCAGTCAATGGAGCTTACGTCGGCAGCACTAATGGTGATGGTGACAACTCAGGTTACTTTGGTAGACACACAGAAAGCGATCCCTTCGGCGAAGAAGAGAGGCTGGAGCGAAAGAGGCAACAAAGTGAAGCTGACAGTCATACGGACAACTACATTGCCGAGCACTTGCACAGAGTGCAACTGGGTGATCCAGCGGCTGTGTATGAGGATGAGTTTGAGGCACAACTAGACTAAGGAGCATGGATGATAGACGATAGACCCTAGAGTAGACTGATGACCCAGAGTGATGTTTGTGCCACTGATAATGATTATCTTCAGCTTCTTAGAATAGCGTTTCCAAGACCCCACACATGGTTGATGCCTGAATGTAAGGTTTCGAAACTCGAATTACTCAACTAGTCCTGGATTGGCTAGTCGAAAGCGGCCTTGGCACTCACCCACAAGTTGCAGGTCACTCCTTCCGCATCGAACTTTTTGATCGCAGCCAGTGTCTGATTGTCATTTCTTGCTTCAGCCGGCACAAAGTCAAGGTAATTATTGTCGCCAGTCTTCTCTGACAGCTCGACTAATTAGACCAAGATGGGTGCCTACAAGTACGTCGAAGAACTTCACAAGAAGAAGCAATCCGATGTCCTGCGATTCCTCCTACGAGTTCGCTGCTGGGAGGTGAGATAATTTCCACAACACACGAAAGAGATGCCTTGAGGTTTGATCGCATGACCAAACTGGTGGTTACACTTTCAATGTGGCACTTTTGTGTCTTGCTATACACTCGTTGAACATTTGCTGAGAGTGCATAATATAGCTCCGACAACTGAACGTTATTCACCGCGCCAGCCGACCCTCTCGACCAGACAAGGCACGAAGACTGGGCTACAAAGCCAAGCAGGGCTATGTGATCTACAGAGTCCGTGTCCGACGAGGTGGCCGAAAGCGACCTGCTCCAAAGGGTGCCACATACGGTATGTTCTTCCAAGAAGTGGGAGGAAAGGTGGGAAGAGAGAGCTTTTGCTGATTGTGCATGTTGAACAGGCAAACCAACCAACCAGGGTATCAACCAGCTGAAGTACCAAAGATCTCTACGATCTACTGCCGAAGAACGAGTCGGTCGACGATGCGCCAACTTGCGAGTCCTCAACTCATACTGGATCAACCAAGACTCAACGTACAAGTACTTCGAGGTTATCCTTGTTGATCCTCAACACAAGGCGATCCGACGAGACCCGAGAATCAACTGGATCGTCAACCCTGTTCACAAGGTATGTTTGATACCGCTAACCTCCGTTCGAGGAGAGCAAGCTAGGTTAAAGACGATTCCGCTGACGCAAAGACTAGCACCGAGAATCCCGTGGTCTTACCGCTACTGGCAAGAAGTCGAGAGGTCTTGGAAAGGGTCACGGTTACAATCACACCACGGCTGGACGAAGAAAGACTTGGAAGAGACACAACACTCTCAGCCTGTGGAGATACCGGTGAGCGTGATGCTGCCACCGTTAGGGGCTATCCTGTCGAGAGTGGATATTGCTCACAAGCACTCCTATACACAAACACCGGAGTCGAGATCCAGAGTCTTGGAAGGTTTGACCAGATTGTCTATATGGCTAGGTGTTGCCTGTGGGAAGGCTGCCACAATCTCTCCAGTATGTTGACATGCATCGCGTGAAGACCAATCTCGCTGCTCAAGCCGGTAGACAGCATGCAGTCCACGAAACCGATGTGCATATGCAGTATATGCGTTGATTTCTTGTTGCAGAAATCGAATGATACCAATCAAAGAAGCAATCTGACAAAACCGTTATTTAAACAGTGTGCTTGTATTGAGTAGTTTCTTAAAGTCGTCCTTGCTTGCCGTGTTGTCAGGGAAGTTGTGGTAGATTTCGGATCTTTTGACCGAGATCCAGCACTATGATACTGTTCATATGGAGTCGAAAGCATACACGATAGCGACCAGGTTCTGAAACGATCCTCGACCGTAGCTACCGCACAACGATTCAAGAATGCAAAAGAAAGTCTTCACACTGCTCACAGGACAACACTCGTTCATCCCTATGCTCACTTGTTTCACAAACGGATTCATACCGACCTATACGGTACTAACCCAACCACACAGTGGAAGTACTGGCAGTACTTAAACCTGCTTAGAGGAGCATAAACCTCTATATGCTGTCAATATTGTCTACTTGAGCTGAACTGCGCTGAGTAAATTGCTCACATACGTTATTGAAAGATCCGCAACGATGAGTCTACCAACTATCAGGCCATCGAGGTCTCTCACGATACATCCGGAACCACTGACACCATCTGCCTTCTCTGCCTTTGGAACAGTGATTACGGCTCCATTGAAAAGCGATCTGACGAGCTATCCTCAGACAGTACCAGATCCAGCATATCCTAACCACCAGCCGAAGCCTGTCATGGCTAACCAGTCAACAGCATTAAAGACATCTCCTATCTCGCCTTTGACCAACAATTACCCTACCAGGACCACATCCACTACAACTCAAGCACAACCTGGGGCAGGGTTGATGAGCATCTTCTCCTCTTTTCCACGGCAGAACGTATATTTCAGCAGGGACCTGTCCCCAGGAAAGAACTCTCAATCCCCAAAGGCCACAACAAGCCTCAGATTGAAACTCGGCATTCTCGAGCGTCATCCCTACACGACTCAAACATTCTGTCCATTCAATTACTCTACTACCGCTCCTCCACCGTCCTCATCCTCATATACCAATACCCAACATCCCAACCCCGACCACACATACATCCTCGTCATCGTCGCACCAACCCTCATCCTCCCCTCCCACAACCCACCTAACCCTCCCGACCTGGCCAAGCTCCGCGCCTTCCTCGCACCACTCAACGACTCAACAGGCACAACATCCAACATCGCAGTAACCTACGCGCCAGGAACATGGCACGCGCCCATGATCGTCTTGGGAAGTCGCAGGGTGGATTTCCTGGTCACGCAATTTGCGAACGGGGTGGCTGGGGACGATTGTCAGGAGGTGTTGGTTGGGAGTGGGCCGGATGAGAACGTGCTTAGGGAGGAAGAGAGGATGAAGCGAGGGAGCGAGGGGTTGGGGTTGGGAGAGGTGGAGGTTGATTTGGGGGGTTTAATGGGAGAGAAGGAGGATGGGTGGTGGGGCGGGAGAGCGAAGTTGTGATTCGACTCCAGCTACTCCGGTAGGGATAGTCTTCGTGTGGTTGGAGACGACTGGTGCCTACATCTCCCAAGCATGGAGGGTGCCCAGATGCTGTAATAAAAAAGCCTCGCATACATTGAGGGAGTCCGACAATCCTAATGCGTCGAAGACAAAGAGAGCCCCCAACAGCGGGCACAAAGTCATCGTCGACACCGAGAAGAACTATCAGGGATCTTTGACGCTGTCAAGCTTGACAATCTATCGCGGCTTCAACTATGAATAGTCAGGAACAAGTGGTGCTGTCTGCAAACGATACGTAACTTACTCATATTCACAACAAAACACGATCTAGCATATGAACAATTTTCAAATCATGAGGAAGAAGTGGTATCGAGAAGAGAGACAGTTGCTGGCTAATTTATACAAAATGCTAAGCTCACCACCAGACCCGCCCAGAAGCGTAGGCTCTTCTTGCCCTTTCTCCCATTTCGTTCCATGGACAAATCATCCCGCAGCCGGCGCTGAAAACACCATCATATGTATCGCTAGTCGTACCTACCTACCTATGTACTTTTTGGGTATCACTGCTCAAACCGTCAAACACCGCCTGTCAATCAGGCTTCCTCAGCCGTTCTTTCACATCATCCTTCATATAATTCTCAATCACACCCCAGAAGCGTCAATCGAACAATCATCTCTTCTATTTCCCATCCATAACCGTCCACCTCCACCCCCCAATCCCAACACCACCCGGTGCCGGCGTACTAGCTCCCATAAAAGTATTTCCAGCTCCATCTTCACCACTTTCTCCCTGATTCTGACCTGGCGGTATCTGTGGTTGAGGACTTGCATAGAAGTTATTGTTCATGTCGTAACTTGCCTCATTTGGTCGATTTTGTGTGCTGGAATTTGTTCCTGCTGTTTGAGCTGAGGTGGAGTCTGATGAGTTTTGCTGGGAGAAGAAACTGTTGGTGTTGGTGTTGCCGTTTGAGGGATCGCTGGACCAGAGAGAGGCCATTGGGTCGAGGTGGAGGTTTGCTGGTGCCATATATTGGTCCCATGCTTCCTATGGGGATGTTAGTAGTGTTCAATTCGAAGGGGTCTGAGATTCACATACCCAATCAATATTCATGCCTGAAGTTCCTGCACCGGAATTGGCGGTCCCGAATATTGTTTGTGGAAACATGCCGTTGCCAGCGCCGAACAGGCTGCCCCAGTCAGGGTCTTGTGGTGCTTGGTTGAACGTGTTATTCTGCATGTTACCTATTTGGTTGCTAGCCACGAAAGAATCTAGGACACTCTTGTCCCAGGCACCAGGTGTGGCGGCATTATTCGAAGCAGGTCCCATTTGCATCTGAGCTTGCTGTGCTATTTGAGCCGCTTGCATTGCCTGCGTGTTTGGCATGCCTCTTGCAGCGTTTCCTGCTTGTAGCATACCTAGAGTCATGGCAGCTGTCTGTTCGTCATCAACGCTCCTGCCTACACTAGATTGCAGACCAAGAGGTGGTGGCATGTTTGATTGTGCAGGTGACGAGAACGGTGTCTTGAGGTGGTAGAGCAGGACGTTGATCAGCTCGCTTGCTTTATAGGCCTCCATGCTGTAATCTCGCTGTGTCATCCATATGTCGCGACTTCGTTCCAGCGCACCAATGAGATCGTCACGTGTATATGGTGAGCCAGGCAGGTAGGCAGTATTGTCGGACGAGCTGACACTACCACGCCCTCCCGATGTACTCGAGGCAGGAGTTGCAGCACTACTGTTTGTGTTCGGCGTTGAGGCATCGTTTCCAGCTTCTCGGGCCTTCTCTTTCATCGAGTACAGATCCATACATATCAATGTGCCAGCTAAGAGATAGTCGTGGGCAACTAACGAGCTGACGTGACTCTGTAAATTCTTCATACGACCCATCAGTGGCCGATCCTGATTCTGCTGCGAAGTCAGGGCTTGAAACTCGAGCACCTGCATTGAAGATTCCAGACATGTCCTTCTGCTGAACATGTATCGATTTCCCGGCTTCGCAAGTCGGAGGTATCTTCTGTGTAACACGCACAATGCCTTGTGGTAGATGGTTGCGAGCCCGAAGCGCGCTGCTATCAGAGCTATGGGGGCGAGCTGCTGTTCTGACATAGGACGTACCTTCAGATGTACAGGAACGGTATCGTAGATGTCTCTTAGAGCCTTGTCGATCTTTAGGACTTCATCATAGCTCTTTCTATTGACTCCATTAATTTCCTCGAGTACTCTCCCAAATCCCAAAGACAATTTGCTCTTTCCAATCATGTATGATATAGGCGTGGCTTCGGTTTGCGGTCTTGGGGGAGGTAACGAGGTCGAGGTCTCGTCAAATTCATCGTCGTATATATTTCGTGGCAGATCTGTGTCTGAATCGCCTAACCTTACCATTGGTGGTAGAGCAACCTGGAACGAGAACAACAAATCTCCAGTCCTTATGAAACTCCAAACTCGCCGCCTCATTTCTCCCTGAAAAGGTGTCAAATCTGGGAAGAACTTCGAATCTCTGTGATATCCCATCCTCATCGATAACCGAACGATCATGCCCATCAAAACCCAAACACTACCCTCGCTATCGCGGTTGCTCGAGTATTCCGCATGTAAATGGAATATTAGAGCCTCGATGATAAAAGCATGTGGCTTCGTGTAATCCGCTGTGATCAAGCAGTGTGCCATATTCGTCCGGAAAGAGTTCGCCATGTCTTGACATTTGCCTCGAAATTCTGGCGGCTCATCACCCTCGCGCACGAAACTCTGCATGGCTAAGCGCATGATAGCAAACAGCATGCCAATCCAGACAATACTCGTCTTGCTCGGATCTTGCCAGTGTGACTGATATTGTCGCTGGAAACTCGGACCATGCAATATGTGGGTTGCAGGATCGTAACTGTTGAAATATCGGCCAACCAATATGTCGCTCATGTACTTGCTCGGCAGGGCTCTGAGAATTTCGTTCCTTGGAGGTGGTATGGTCGCGCCAAAGAGTAACGCTGGCCCAGCATCAACATCAACACCAGCATTCCGCCTCGTCTGAGCGATCTTCTCCATTTGTGCCTCATACTCTTTTCTGTGATTCATGAAATAGTTCTTCACCTCTCCAATCTCGTTCAAGAGCGCAGCCCAATGCGCCTCGCCAATGTAGAATGTCTTGTTGCGTTCCTGATCGACTTTCAGTACACCCAAGCTCTTTGTGACTCCATCTGTCTCGCTCTCGCCGTCACCTCCATCCCCATCGATATTGTTTGCATCGTTCATCATGCTATCATCCTCCCCAGCATCACGGTATTCGAGATTCGAGCCCAAAGTCCCGCTAGCACTTCCGACACTATTAGTAGCAGCATGAATAGCCTGTTGTGCAGCCGAAGTTCCTTGACTTGTGCTTCCGTTCGTCATCAGACTCAGAACCAATCCCTCCAACCTATCTATCCGATTCTGCATATCATCTGGCGCACCTCCACTACCAGCACTGCTACTCGTACCCTTCCTCTTCGTCGGTGGTGCAGCATAGGCGCATGAGTGTGCATCGCCTCGTTTTGTGCAGTTGTCGCAAGGACTTTGTCTGTTACATTTAAGTTTTCTGTGTCGACATGGACCGCATGAGAGAGGTATGCGATTACGCTTGCGCACGACACGATAGGGATCTGAGTTCAGACGAGTGGAAGGGCTGGCATTGTTTGAGTTGGCGGAGGGAGGGGTATCTTGCTGGTCCATCGACGAGTCTTCGTTCTGCATGGTAGCGACAGGACGGGAGAGGAATGTTGGGAACGTGTTCAATCTTGCAAGGGCTCGTCGAGCTTGAGATAGTCGAGCCTGGGGTTCACCGCCGTAGTTCCCTAGATACTCGGTGATTACTATGCAACACGCTCCAACGCTATGAAGCAAGGAGCGGTTCAGGACAGTTGCGAACACACAAGCGCTCACTCAGGAATAAAACGTTCTTGTCTTGGTTGATGAATGACTATGGGAAGTAGTGTTACATCAACTTTCAATGATATGTACGAAGGGAAGATGAGCAGACCGCGACAACCAAGAGAAGCACTCAAAGCAACACCAAGAGAAAGTCAGTTATTGTGAAGGGACTATGAAAGAGCATTGGAAGTAGTGTTCCGAGTCGTCGATGCCAAGGTTGGCTTGCTAACGTAAAGGAAGCTGGGATGCATTCTACCTTCTGCTTGTTGCTGCTCTCCTCAGTCTGTGTTGGGGCGGAGCACACCTAGCAACGTCATTGCCTCAGAGCCTGTTCGCCTGGCCCCTCCAAACCAATAATGCGGATATCAGATTCAATTTCACCTGGACCAGGTCAGTGCGATTTTTCGTTCGAAACTCTCGAGCCCAACAGCCAGGCAGAACAGTTTTTGACAGAGGAATGACTCATGATACGCGACTAGCACAATGATAGCTTGGATCAACAACCTATGCGGGTGGCCTAAAGTTGCAAGCTCGGTGCCATGGACCATTATCTCCGTTAGGTCCGATCTTAATGTGGCAGTGATAAGGGATAATTTCTTTCAGAAATCCAGACCATTGACGGACTTTCTGTCAAATATGATGATTTTAGCTATACAAGTACTATCGGCATCGCCTGGCCCGTCTCTTGGTGTTCTTGTGGCAAGCAGCAAAGGAATAGCATGTTTTCCTTCGGGATGAAACCATGGAGCTCGTATGTTTGTGAGTCAAGATACTCTTCGTCTCATACGACACTTAGAAGTCCCAAAAGCTCTTGTCTGCATCACGACGACCACGCGGGCCACCTCCCCGAGCCGTTTGTTGCTTCTGTGTAATACTGTCGTCACTCTCTTGCCATCGACTGGCGACATTCGTGCGTGTGTTCTGCGACTTGGTAGCGAGTGGTCGCTGCTCTTCTTCTTCATCAGGAAATACGGGGTCAGCATACAGCTTGTTTGCGGCTTCTGTCCTCGCAATAATCCTCCTTGGACCTGGTGTTGGCTCATCTGTAAAGTCGAAGTGCGCATTGGCATCCTTTCGGGGCTTTGGCACATTCGGTTGGTAGACAGGGGTACCGTTGTCTTGGAACTCGAAGTGAGCCTCTGCATCCTTACGAGCTTTTCCAGGTTGCTGGGTTTGAGAGTCAGCCTGAGGTTGCTCATCCCCATAGCTGAAGTGAACAACATCTTGATCTCTGGTCTTCTGCTTCACCTTCTCTGGTGTAACAAAATCTTCGAAATCCCACTGTGGGACATGCTGACCTTTCTTGATAGAGCGACCGGGCATATCAGAACGAATTGGGATATCTCGTGGCTTTGTGTTTTCGTCCCGATGCTGGAAATGGTCGTTATCGTTAGCATCACCAATATCGAAGTGATTGTACCGTGCAGGATTGGTTTTATATATTTTTGGTTCCTTTGAAGGTGCTTCATCTTCGTCGAAGATACGAGACTGCTGATACTTCTGGTGGCCTGCACCTTTCGGAGCTACAACATTACTCTTGACGACCTTCTTCGGAGAACCACTGAGACCAGTCGGTTGGTAGTCCTCGTGTCCGGCAGCAAACAAGTCACTCATCTCTCGTGGGGGTGGTTTATGTGATTCTCGAGGAGCCACTGGATTCGGGGCAGAATACCGATCCTCTTCCGGGACCTTTGACAGATCAAGGCTGGCGTGCGGGTCTCGAATGTACTTCTTGGTTGGGCTGGTACTGCGGTCATTACCATTTGTAGATCTATTATCTCTTCCTCGTGGACTCAGGGTTGGGGCTGGGTTGACCGCGTTAGCTGTACTTGTGCTGGCAGTAACCATCTTGATCTGCTCTTTGCCATCATAAACAGGCCAGTTCCTCCCTCTTGTACCAATGACCTCGGCCTGCTTGAGCAAATCCCCTTGATCCCAACTAAGCCGTATCTGAGTAATCTTGTCGTCCTGGTTGAAGTGTACGAAGTGTGTCTGCTATTGTCAGCTTTGGGCTCATTAACAAGCACTCGGCAACTCACTATCGGTAGAACAGCAACTTTGTCAATGATAAAGGTGTCGAGACCAGGCAAATATGCTCCTCCACTCGAGACGAAGACCAGAGTAGTCTCGACAACGAGTGCAACTGCAGTCAAACCCTCCACTCCACTGATGGGGTTTTCGCTCTTCTTCCTAACCACATTCTGACCCTGTTCATGCAAATGCTGAATTATCCTGCTGCCTCCTGCAAAGCTGGTGAGGGTGGTCACATATTGCAACGTTGCATTGTCTGCCAAAGCCGCAGGTGTAGGACTCTGGAGAAATTTCTCGTAGACCGCTTGTAAACCCATCTTCGCAATGGGATGCACAATATATTTCCGTGTCCGGAGAACTTGTTCGGGTATGCAGAAATCTTGATGCTACGAATGTTTGTTGTTGGTGTAAACAATCGCAGGAGCGGGTAGGTGTGGAGTTGCATGCAAGAGCAGGGATCCCGCAAAGTTTCAGCCCGCAGCTGCAGGGGTGAAATCTTCCGCGATTGAAGGTTTAACAAGGTAAGCGCGTCTCACGCGCCATTGCCAACATACAGTACAGTACGACTCGAGTGAGCTAAAGAGTCTTCATTTGGTCAGAATGACCCACGATCACCACGATATGAGCTTTGCGATCAACATGCAACAGGTAATTCGTGGTAGACCTGCTATCTATGGACTTGGCAATGGTAGAGACGCTCAGTGTATTCGGTTCACGCTCGTGGTTAAAGATGACCTCCCCATAACCGTTTCCATGGGCCAGAGACGTGCTGGTGCATAAAAACAAGGCTGTAAGGCTGGTTGATGGGCAAACAACGGTAGCACGTCACACAAGCTGAAAGGATAGATAACTAGCAATAATACCGCTAATGCAAAGCATCAATCGAAATGGCAAGACAACTTTCCAAACTCTGACGATGCTATAGTCAACTGTGTCGAAAACAAGTCTTTTCCTCCTGCCTCTTGTGCTAAAATGTGACGCCGCACAGGATCGTTCCGATGCCTCAAAGGACAATTGTGACTGTTTGCTTTCACTTCCAAACCTGGCTTCAGCTTGTCAAACTCGTGACCATAATCAGCTGCAATTCTGAATTTCTCGTGATTTCAGCTCGAAGCCACCGAAGTTTCCTAATGCTTTTTGACCGGATATACGGAGGTGGCTTATCGGGTAGTAGCGGTATGCTCTTTTCAATGTCCTTGCAAGAGGAACAAATAGTCTGGGCAGTCCGATCTGATCGACGAGGGGCTGGTAACGTCTTTGTGATATTTGTAGTGGCTCCAAGATACGTCTCTGCTTCTTAGATCTCAACAGGCCTGCTCGCGGGTTATATGGGCCTAGAAATGTATATTAGTGACTGCTCTTGCTGCGGAGAGCCCATCGAAGCAACATACCCGAACCATCCAGCAGACATCTTGCCAATGCCAAACAGCTGATTGACATCGGTTCGCAGACCCATGAGCTGCACCCGAACCGCACTGCCCTTCTCAATAATCGCTCCGTCCGTACCAACGTACTGGACCGGAGTCGCATCGGGGTTATATTTGAACCCTGCAGGTAAGTGCTACAACTCGTTAGGTCCTTGCACATTTCAGCACTCTCTTTCCAGGTAACTCACTATCCTCGAAACGAATACTACCAACGGTCCTGCTTCAACGAATACACCTTGATGATTGACGTTCATCACACTGCATTCAAGCTATTTGTCCATAGTCAGTCAACTTTTGCTCTTAAGCACTCTGTAGATTCCTGCCAGATGACTAGAGAGCAACGGCCTCGAAGCCGGCATGAATTCTTGCATGACCGCAGCGAAGGAAAGCCTCATGGATCGACTTACAGCTTCGCCCTTAAAAGGTTTCCATAAAATCGCGCGATACAATATCGTAAACTCTGCTATCCCAGTGCCAGGTCGCACTTTTCCTGCAGATATATTGTAGATATCCATGATACATATGATGTAGTATTCTCCGTTGCAACTCCCCTCCATATCATCATACAGTTTATCCGTCAGGAACTCGGCGATATTGTTTCCGAGAAACGAAGGGTGTAGCGAGATTTCGCGCTCGAGGTACTTGAGGAAGAACATCTTTTCGACGTGGAGAAAAGTGAGGGCAGGGAATCCTCGCTTGAGAAAGAAGAGGTATTATGTTCTAGGGTTTCGAAAAGGCGGAAGGCCTGCGATATGGCCTGTGCCTGTCTTTCACTTCAATTCATCGTCCTTCAGTCGTGCGTTGTCGCGTGGTCGCAATAGCAGTGAGATGGTCGCTTTGAACGTGGGTCTCCGTCTAAGGCCTAATGACTGGGAATACAGTTCAGAAAAAGATATGCGATGGCACATAGTTGTTGTCTACAAACTCGAATGTGATAGTAGTGATGCCTCAGGCAGATAGGGCTGTTGGCTCTTTAGCAGAGCGACAAGTAACAAACACTTTCGTCATCGAAGAACTACTCACGTACCAACCGTGGACGTATTGGGTTGAATTCATGAGAACTGAGGCGTCTCGTAATCTTGTATTGATCTACTGTACATTTTATCTATGTTTATCCAGCGAGTTTGTGTTTGTACCATCTCATCGTTTTCTATCTACAAAAAGAGCAATAACACCAAATTCCAAAAATCCGAGAATATTTGCAGTCGTGACCACCATGTGATCGTTCTCGTTGCCTTAGCCTCGCGGCTTGCGTTAAATCGTTCAAGTCGTGGTCGACGTCTCAGTCATTCATAATTTATGGCAGTGGCGGTGGCAGGGGTATAATCATATCGACAGCATTGAAGTGCTGCGATGGAGCAGGAAGAGGAAATGCGTCGATGCTCGTATCTCGTTGACGAGTAGTGGTGGGTATCGTGCGGCAGTAACATTCGAGGAAATCGGCAAAATGATTGACTCATGGTAGGTTTCTGTTTTGAACACAGAGGTGGACCAGTGCAGTGATGTTCAACACAACCTTTGTGGTTGCAGACCTGATCAGCGTCCCCAGAAGCGGTAAAGAAAGGCGCTAGGTGCTCGCCCTATCTTCCGTGCTTGTTGCTTGAACCAAATCTCTTAGAAAGTGCTTGCAGAGGGCTCACCTTTGCGAGTATATGCTGGACCCGGCCCGGCTTTGTTAATTTATTGTTCGAATCTGACTCGAGATTTGGACATTTGTCAGGCTCCGATGACCCATGTCCCAGGATAGGTTTCGATGTCACGATATCTGCTCCGGCATGTTCGGTGGTCCCAATAGTCCTTGCTGTCTCGGGTGCAACGCTGATCCGAAACCGACGCACACTATCGCTATCTGTATCTGATTGAGTGCTGTCTGTCATGAGGGGAGACTTGATGTAGAAATTGCGGCGAGCTCCTTGAACCACCTTCCAGCTACGAGGAAATACCCGCTTGATGAAGCCGCGCACACCGGTGTGGGCAGCATCGATCTTGGCATACTCTGCTTGACGTGTCTCCTCAGAAGTCCAGAAGACTTGCTCGGTAGAAACCACTTCCGGAGCCAGCTGTGAGGATGACCGGCGTGGCGTTATTCGTGGTCTATGTGTCACGTATTGGCAAAAATCTTCAGGAGATGTCTCGTAGTGACGTGACAGCCGTGGGTCGAGTTCAATATGGAAGGAAGGGAAACGAGGCTTGGGAAAGACATGGTCGTCACGAATCGAACTCGTCCGGGTCATAGTACTGAAAATCAGGCTTGGTGGAGTATTGGTACTTGCTCGGCTGTTCTCAGAGCCTGCTGAGGTGGCGCCTGACAAGGTTGAGTCCAGGGATGAGAATAGCTGGCAGCTACGGCGATGGAAAGTAGTAAGATCTGGTCGGCCAGGGGAGATTCCCTTTGTCCTTCTCGTGCTCATGCTGCTGATACGTCGAGGTATGACTGGGCGCCATGACCAATCTCCTGTTGGTGTAGAAGCGCCGTGTTCTGTCCGTCGTTGACATGTTTGGGGTTCAGGGACGTTTTCAATGCTGGGTCGAGATGACGTTGGTACCTCGACAACAGTAACAATGGTGTTTGTCGTGGTCGTCAGCTTTGACTTGGCTGAATGGAACGATGTTGAGTCATCCCTGACAAGTGATACCTTCGAAGTCAGATGCTCGTGTTTGGCAACCTTCTGCGCAAGCATGAGATTCTGGGTGAAAATAGAGTACCTGTTTTCCGAGTCTTCCTCCCAATCCTGCAGCCCGTCTTCAACGATGTGAATCGGCTTGTCTATCTCCAGGATAGACATGACTCTCGGTTGTGGAACAAAGAAGATTCGTAGGAAGAATTGGTTAGCCACGTATGTGCAGCGAAGAGGAGTCACACATCAGATCAAACAAGGAATTCATGGCAGAAAAGGAAAGGAACGACGAAGGTACATTCTTTAATCGATTTGAGGTCGTCGACATAGCAGCGGTGCAGGGATAGATGGTAGAGAGCAAGCTTTCCGACCTAATGCAGCAGGGCGGGTTCCTCATGCGAATGGTGCAATGTGTGCACCATCCGAGTACCAAAGTGTGGGAGGATATTGACTTTCTGATCTGGATATATCCAGCAGTATGCAAAACCATGCCCGCTAAAGGAGAGATTGACGCGGTGCATGAACGTACTGCAAAGCTGAAGCAGCCTTCGCGCAAGCGAGGTCCGTTTCGGGAGGACTGGTATGCATGTCGTGCATTGTGTGAGTTTAAAGCTGGTCATGCTTAAATATCAGCAGCCCTCAGAACGAATAATCCACATGATTGCTAAATCGCACAGACCGTCCATGAGCTTTCGGAACCAGATCATGCGCTTTTGAATTACCAACAAACATGGCAAGATAGAGAGAGATGGTGTTGTTCGCGAGGAGATTTTAATGGGATTTTAGTGGTTGGTCGGAGGATCGGCCAACCTCGTGAATTCTAGAGCGTGATTGACTACTGCACAGATCCAGTTCGCGCAAGGAGAGTACACGCTAAACTTCGCCGTCGATGCATGGACAGCTAGTATCATCTCACCGCTTTCGTTTTTGAAGCGCCAAATACTTTGCAGTCACAGGCTATACTTCGAGCCAAGCCTGAGTGACAACCACCACGAGGTTTAACCTCCACGGACGCTTGAAAGTTCAACGGATGTGGCTCCACGAGATAGAAAGCAAGGGAGTAGCGGTAGAACGCATAAACAACATTAATCGAAAAGGCGTGCGATAATAGCAATGAATCAATACATACTCTGTACCTTATATTGGTTTGCACATCCACGAAGAGTGCCAGAGCTTGACGCCATCGTGGCATGTAGTCGTCGTAGGTCTTCACGCCTTCCGAGCCTGTTGAGCGGCAGCTCCTCTCTGAGGAATCAAACCCTGTACTCTGCTCAACAGCCGCTGTGAAGAAGCTGGTCCATAGCTCCCGTTATTATTTAACATCCTAGCTGCGCTCTGCAAGAACGGGTATGGCTGCTTAGAAGCCTCAGCGTAACCACCTTTGATACCAGCTTGAAGCAGAAAATTCGCGTCGCCTTCTTTACTGCCAAGTGAAGCAAAATTTACGTCTGCGAAACGATGAGAGAAAGGTACTTCGGCTTTAGTCTTGCTGCCCTCTGCAAGATCTTGCTTGGCCTGGGTGGTCAATTCCGACGCGATCTTGAGGACTTGTTTCTTCTCCTCCTCGGATTCAAAAGATATGAATTCGTTTTTCAGGTAGCGATCGGCCAGCTGCTCTGGAGACTGGTAGCCATGAGGTAGGCGTCGAGCGAGCCACTGGATCTTCTGAACAACTGATTCTGTCAGGCCAGAGTTGGAGAGTGGTGTGTTGGGCCAGTCGACTCTCAAGTCATCAAGCTTGAGGGGCTTGGGGTTGTATGGGATAGGCTCGGTAGGGTTCTCGGGTCGATCAACAAATTTTGTGATATATTCGTCCATAGCTTGCTCGAGGGCAGCAGCATTAGTGCCATCGTCCTTATCTTCCTTTTTGACAGTTTTTCTTCTGCGTTGATCTGTTGCTGGCCTCTGTGGACCACCAGTTCTTTGCGCACTGGGAGCACCTGATCGACGAAGGAGCTGGCCTCCAGGTGATGTTCGTTGTCCTGCTGTTGAACCAGGGGTCCCTCCCGTGCGACGCAGCAACTGCCCAGGTTGAGCAGAGGGACTTCGCCTCAGAAGCTGGCCACCTCGAGGAGGTGTAGTCGCTTGCGGGCCTTGACCAGCATCAGGACCTGCAGTTCGGCGGAGGAAACCTCGAGCAGGTGGTGATGTACTGCCGTCCTGTGTTGTTCGGCGTACAAGAGGCGTTTGTCCTGACGAGGAGATAGCATCACCTCTGGGAGCTCCATTGTATTTTCTGATTAGAGGACGTTGTGGTCGTGAGCTCGTCTCGCTGTCATTTTTAAGAGTCTGATTTATCGATCGACCAGCAGCGGCATCACCAATTCTACTAGGCTGATCTGTAAAAGCTAATGTTAACAAGCTATTCGTGTCCATGAAAGCATGTCATACCTTCTGCATGCACTGCGTTGGATGTTGAGAAGCTCCTGAGACCACGCTGGGCCGGAGACTTGAAACTCCTTGTTCCAGTCACAGCCAGACGGGCACATCTGACACACATCGTATCCATGATGTATGATGATGGTGGCTCTGGACCGTTGCGAAGATCAACGTTGATGACCTGGATTTGGGAGACTCGGAGAATGAAGTGTAGAGCCTCGTTAGGTGACGAGGCTGTCCCTATATCACTTCACGTTCAGTCCAGAGTGGGACAAACTTCAGTGCACATCACTTTCTCTCATTTATGCATACAATCTCTACCTACACGCTCTTTTCTCACAGATATCTCTCTACAGCTTGACTGACAGCGGACCCGTCGACAAAACACGTCGTTGCGCCCTTCACAACACTCTACCCAATAATCTACCACACTCTTCCATAACTCACAATCCCAACCATGGACTCAGACCGCTTCGACCTCGAAGCCGGCCGAGACCTCAAACTAGGCGAATTCGCCGACGACCCGACTCTCAACCTCAGCGAAGCCCGCATCATCCTCGAAAAATCCCTCGAAGCCCGCAACAAACGCGCACGCGAAAAGAACCCAAACTCCGACCGTCCAGCATGGAAAGATACAGAGACACTCTCCAAAACACGCGATTACCTTGAAATCTTTGCCTACTTCAAAGAGATGGCTGATGCGGAAACGGCGGAAAGGCTGATCAACCAGTTTAGTGGGGGTATGGAGAGGTTCGAGAAGAGTCAGTTGGGGAGTTTAGTGCCGGGGTCGGCGGATGAGGCGAGGGCGCTGATACCAAGTTTGGAAAAGAAGGTTGATGATGGGTTGGTGGATGCTGAGGACTTGGAGAATTTGTGTAGGGAACTGGATAAGATTAAGCGGCAGACACAATTGTTGTGATTGTTGGGGAGATTGCGAGCCACAAGAACTCGATACGAGTGCTGGGCATCGTCAAAAGGGATATTAGCGAGAGGCTTTTACGCATGGTGTTCTGGCATCTGAGGTTTGAAGATTTACGAAGGAACGATACCCATACGAAAAGCAGGTCTAGTGGTTTGCATGTTATTGAGTCAAGCTCGCTAAAGTTCAGTTTTGTAATGCTCTTCGCTTCCCTCCTCCACCTGATCGTCTTCTTCAGGTTGAACGGTGTCCTTTGTTTGACCCTTCTTCTTTGCATCTACCACACCGCGTAACGAGCGTTGGCCGTTGGCATCGACACCTAGCCGTTCTATCTTCCAGTCGTGGTTCCCTGCAATCTCTTGTATCTCCTTCTGAAAGGCAGCAATCTCATCGGGATTGAGCTCCAACTTTTTCAGCTGGGAGGATGATAGAGCCTGGATCTGACCGTCCTTTTGGATGACCACAATCTCAGCTTGCTCCTCTGGGGTCAAAACAACTCGACCTCGTTCGATCTTCTTGCCTTCAGCTCCTACGAGTTGTCTTCCGCCTAATTCGACTCGGCCAACCATTGTTCGTTGTTTCTGACTGTCTTCTATTTGAGGCGTTTCGGTCTGAGTGGATGACCAGTTTTCAGCTTCCTCTTGCGACAAGATCGGTTGACATTCGATCCGATGTACATGTGCTTGTTTGGGAGGCTGGAATGCAGCATCGTTACACAGTCTGGAGGTATAGATGACCATCTGATACGCGCAAGTCGCAGTCTCCTTGATCCAACCGATATGATCGGGAGTGCCTGGACTGCAATGGTACTGGACTTCTACCTTCCTCGGCTTTCCTGTCAGATCGCAAGGCGTACCATTGTCCAGTTTTTGGACGAGAAAGGTTGTCTCCGACTGAGTCTGTAAGTCTCCGGGCTTTGGCTGAGGAGAACCATCTATGGTAGCCTTCTTTCCCGGACTGGAATCGTAGCTGCCCAGAACATAGCTCGGGGTGTTCGGATCCTCGGCGGGTGGCCATTGTCGAGCCTGTTGAGCTGGAAGAGCGTGATACTGCTTCACATAGGAATTATAGCAGAACATGTACGACCACCAACCTGTGGTGTAGTATAAACATTGTTGTCCCTCCATATCTTTCAGCAACTGCCAGCCTCGATCGGCAGCCGCAACTAGGTCATGCTCTGTTTCGAGGGCTGGGTTATCCTCAGTCTCGTTCACGTTGAGTGTAACTTGAGGTATTGCGCAAAGATATGGTCTACCGTTGCCGATCAGATATTCGTAGTCGTAAGCTACATCACCCTGTCTTTGACCCTGGTTTGCATCTAGCTTCGCAAAAGCATCATCTTGAAGGATATAGGAGGACGAAAAGGTAACATCGTACTGAGGGAAGGCGAAGATGTCGTCCTTAACGTCGAACTTGCGCTCACTAGCACAACATATTTGTGATAGTAAAAGAAGCAGTATTGTCCAAATCATAACTAGGCCACGAAACGTGCATGGTACGACTCTTTGAGGAGAAGACTGCAGGTTGATATGCTGGTCGCATTCGCAGTTTCAGATATTGGAAATAGTGTCCGGAAATCGGTATTCATTTACTCGTAATATTGTCAACGTCATAAGCACGATCCAGCTCGGAAGATATGGAAGCGAAGCCTCCCAAGCCTACAGATTAGGCACGGTTCTAGGTGCTATGCATGCGTTTCAGGGCTGCGGCAAGCTTCCTGTCTGCACCATCTTGCATGACATTTATTCATTAGCCTCCCAAACACAAACACCATCAGAGCGACCGAGTGAGAAGCGCCTTGCTCTTGTCGACAAGCACGCGACGCCCGAACTCCCAACTTTGAGATCAGTCAGCTAGGACAACAGACGTCAGGAGCGTGCTGGCTGTCCATACGCGACTTTGCAAGTCCCTACCTTCCACCTCTTGTGGTTACAACCCGAAGGTTGGACAGGACCAGTATTCTTGGTTCCTTTTAATGGCAGTATCTGCCGTGAAATACAGCACTCAATCTGTCTGATCTTGCCAGCTCGCAGAAATCGCAATGGGCTTCCTCGCAGTGTGTACTGCGCTTTACGACTACCAGCCCCAGTCAGAGGGTGAGCTCGAACTGAAAGAGGGAGATATTCTCTATATTCTAGAAAAGAGCACCGATGATGACTGGTGGAAGGCAAAGAAAAGGGCTGTAGCTGAAGATGAGGATGAGCCGGAGGGTCTAATCCCATACAATTACGTCGAGGATACTCAGCCCATACACAATGCAAAAGCCTTGTACGACTACACAAGGCAGACTGAAGAGGAGGTCTCCTTCTCGGAAGACGCTGCGATACAGGTTTACGATACTTCCGATCCAGATTGGACACTAGTGTCTGTGGACGACGAGTTTGGCTTCGCGCCCGCCAACTATATCGAAATCACCACGAGCCCTCCATCTGCTACCCACGCTGACCAGTCGAGGGCCACTGCATATCTACCTTCACCAGTTTCAGAAACACAACAGCAATCTTATGCGCCAGCATCCCCAATACCTGACCCAGCAGGTCCAAATGCCAGACTTGCCAACATTATAGGAGGCGTCACGCCCGCTCAGCCTCCTGCAACAAGACATGTGGTCTCTCCACCTCTACCGCCGAGACAGTCAACTCCTGATGCCTCCGACGAAGATCAACCTCCGCCGAAACCACAAAGACCACAGTCCCAGGTCATTCCGGTCGCTCCGCCAGCCGCTGCATACGATGAAGACGATAGTCCAGGCATTCGTGCATCAGGAATGAACTCGCGCGACCTGCCAAGGTCTCCCGGTGGGTTTCATCTCTACAACATTAGTGAGATGGTCTCTGCCATGGGTAAGAGAAAGAAAATGCCTATAACACTAGGGCTCAACATCGCAACCGGTACAATTATGCTCTCTCCCGAGAAGTCTCGTGACGGACCGACTCAAGAGTGGACTGCCGACAAACTGGAGCATTATTCGATCGAAGGCAAACATGTCTTCCTTGAGCTGAACCGTCCAAGCAGAAGCTTGGACCTTCATGCGGGAGCTAAAGATACAGCTCGCGAAATAGTGACTGGACTCGGTGATATCGCTGGAGCACACCGTGCCGAAGGTCTTAAGGAGGTCATTACTGCAGCCTCTGGTGGCGCGCAAAGGAAAGGTATCGTGCTCTACGATTTTATGGCACAAGGCGAGGATGAAGTTACTGTTGCTGAGGGTGACGAGGTCATTGTGTTGGACGACACAAAATCGGAAGAGTGGTGGAACGTGAGAAGGATCAAGAACGGCAAGGAAGGCGTTGTTCCCAGCAGCTATGTCGAAATCACCGGAATTGTTGCAGCCGAACCAGCCAGTCGTTCTGGCATCAATGCTGGACTCTCACCTGTAGAACAGAACAGGCTGGAAGAAGAAAGGCTTGCCAAAGAAGCCGCAAGAGCCGATCGAGCAAGACGTGCTGCCGAAGAAGCTCGCGCTCAGCATGATGGTCTACCTGAAAGGGGGAGTAGCCTTGCAGAAGATGAGCGGCGCTCCTCGAAAAAGGACAAGAAACCAGTCAAGTCTGATGGGAAATCACGCTCGAAACCTGATGCGAGCAAAGTACGAACCTGGACAGATCATTCCGGTTCCTTCAAAGTCGATGCCCAATTTCTAGGTGTCGCTGATGGTAAAATCCATCTACACAAGGTCAACGGTGTTAAGATCGCCGTCCCGGTGTCTAAAATGTCACCACCTGATCTTGCCTATGTTGAAAAGGTAACAAATGAGTCGATCGACGAGCATATTCCGTTGGCTGATCTTATCAAGATGAAGCGAAGGAATCAAGATTCGAATAGTGCTGGTGCCTCAATTACTCCGAGCTCTTCTGGAACACGGAACAAGATGTCGGATTACGATTGGTTCGAGTTCTTCCTCAATGCTGGTGTTGGCCCACACCAATGCGAGCGCTATGCACAGGCCATGACTAGAGATTCTATGGATGAGAGTGTCCTGCCAGACATCCAGATCGAAACTCTGCGGACCTTAGGTCTCAAAGAAGGCGATGCGCTCAAAGTGATGAAATACTTGGACCAGCGTTTCGGCAGGACCAAGGTCAACGGTGAGCCTGGGGGTCTGTTCAGCAATGCAGATGGTGGTCTGAAAGACAACACTAGGAAACGGCCTGATGCCAATAGAACGACTGCTGATACTGTTGACGCTAGTGTGCTTCAATCTGAGGCACCAAGAGCGCCGAGTGAATCACGACCTACACCACTCACATCAGCGCCTGTTCCGCATGCAAAGGATGGATTCGATGATGATGCCTGGACACCGAAACCTAGTAGGCAACCAGTTGCAAGCCCTGCTCCTGCTCAAACGTCCGTCCCTGCCGTCAAACCACCTTCCGCAAACATGCAAGCATTATCTCTACTGGATCAACCTCTTGAACCGACTCCGGCACCTCCACGCCCTGTATCTCAAGCATCAATACCACCAGTAGCTCAGTCCCCACAACCTGCACCTCAGCAGCTACCTAGCCAAACAGGCGCCACTCCACAACTGTTCCAGCAAGTCGGTCAGGCACTTCAAGTACCACAAACTGCTTCACGACAGCGGCCGCAAGCACCGCAGCAAAACTATACAGGCTCTGCATTGTTAGCGCCTCCCCCAAGACCTCTTTCTGCACCACAAAATGCACCACAAAACCAGTTCAATTTACAGCCTCTTCAGGCGCAAATGACGGGAGTCCCAACCACGACTCATCCCGCACCTGCTGGACAAAGCCTTGGCGAGCTGACTGCTCAACGTATGCAACAGTATCTTCGACCACAGCAGACTGCTTTTATGCAACCAGGTATGCAGTTGCAGAACGGCTTCCAGCCACAAGCAACCGGCTTTCTGCAGCAGCAACAATTTGGACAACCTCAACAGCCGTACCTCAACGGAAATGCAACTGGTAGTCCTTTTGCTGATCCAAGAACAAACATGTTACCACAACCTACTGGTTTTGGCTCTTTCCAGCAGACCGGACAACCTCAAGGCGGCATCAACTCAATGCTTCCGCCGGCACTTACACCTCAACGGACTGGTTTTCCACAAGCACAGCCACAATTGCAGCAACAGAATGGGTTTAACCAGTTCCAACCTCAACAATCCAGCTTTCCACCAGGGGGTTTACAACCACAACCAACCGGCTTCCAGCCTTCCTTTCAGCCGCAATCATTACAGCCACAGCCAACTGGCTTTCAAGCTCCTTTACAAACAGGTTTCGGACAGCCGAATGGCTTTGGCGCGAACAACATACCTCCATTACCTCCCATGCCTCAACAGTCCACACCTGCACCTTTGATTCCGCAGAAGACTGCTGCGCCCGAAGTCAGGTTTGGTACTGCTGCTCCTAAACTGCAGCCTCAACCCACTGGACGGAGAGCCAACCTGGCTCATGCTAGTAAGTTTCGCCTTGATCACGCGTGCTGTTCCTTCGCTAACATTCTGACTAGCACCACAAAATCCATTTGGTTTCTAATCCAGTCTTCGAATCTCAAAAATCGTGGCGGAAACATCGAAACAGCGCAACATATGGGCACAATACCGTTAAGCCATTGATCTGCCTCACAGATCCAGGCTGAGTGTAATCGCAGCATCGTCATACATCTCTGGACAGCCTTCTAGAAGTCTGCCTTCATTTCAAAGTTATTCTCCCTTAGCGAGCTTTTCGGAGAGGCGATAGTTCAAAGCCAATCGTGTCAGACAAACAGTATAGATAGTGCAAAGCAAATACAGGAGAGTGAGTCAGTCAAGTAAATCTCCTGCACTCGTTAGAAAAGACACTTATACCTCGAAATCCCGATCGTACGCCTTTGAGCAAGAACAGTCGTAGTCTGTAATGGCAAGCATTGATACACATTCGACCCACATCAACGTATCTTCTTCCTTGTGAACACTCCATCTACCCTCTATGTAACCAAGAACAACTGCTACAACCGACCACTTTATCAAAAACATCGCGACAACCTCCCATCACCAAACGACTACTCATTCACCGTCGACGTAGTCGCACTCTTGAACACAAACCATCCTCCCATCAATCGATTAACAAAAGCAAAAGCAAGAGCTAAAAGTCGCAAAACAATCAACAGCGAGGATTCGCTGGTTGTCTCCAACCCAACTACTAACTCGTCGGCGCCAGGCTTGAGTACGGGTGATCGAACGGGAACCCCTATTTTCCTAACCCTATGGTCGATTGCGGAGGATCATTGTGGTTGTAGAAATTATGTATGTAATGTCATGGATAGGTTTAAGGAGGCTGGGGTGTTCAATTTGCTAGGGTTGTGTTTCTGTTCTTTGAAGGGAGGTTGCTGATTGGTGAGAAGTTGTTGTTTTCCTTACTTCTTTGGGCTCGCTTAAATGAGGATGGGGTAGATGTGCCGTGCACCAGCATGTGTAGAGTTGTAGGAGGTGCCTCGAATCGAAGTGATCTTGTCTCATTCCCAACTTGACTTGAATTTCGGGCATAACTTCCTGCTCCTAGTGAGACTTCACATACCATTCCACAAACAGCGTATCTTCCGTAGCTCCCAGTATCTATTCAACCCTTGCGCAGAGGTAAATTACCCCATAGATCCCTTTACTAACCAACATTCGTGCCAAAACATTCAAATCATAAACTCCCTCCTTGCCTTCCCTTTTCCCTTCGTCTCACCGTCCCCTGCCCCCTGGCACAGTCCCCATAATCCTCTCCCTTCCACTCATCCCCATCCTTCCCTTATCCCCCGGCAACGGCTTCAGCTCATCATTCGGATCAATAGGTTTCTGTAGTTCTTCCGCTTCTCCCACAATGTTCTCCTTGCGCTTACCACCACCAGCACTAGCGGTGTCGTTGTTGTTATTGGTGGTAAAGAACCCCTGGGGATCTTCGCCGGTCTTTTTGTAGTGTATGTAGGCAAGGCGGCGGGTGAGTTGGTCTTCGAGGGTTGAGATGTCGTCGGGGGTTATGCTGATTGGGGTGGGGAGGCGGCGGAGCATGGTCTTAGTAGGTGGAGGGTTAAATTTAAGAAAGGTGAGAGTGTGCAGGGGAGTGATATGGTGGCTCCAGGTATGTGGAAGGGGTTAGGTTTTGATACTGTACATCGAGCACGTTATATGAGGTACCGAGCACATGAAAGTGGCATCATTGTTTACGTTTGTCACTTTAGGCGATAAGGCATCAATGAATTTCGATGAATCACAGCGGAAACTTTGATGCTCACCCTACGGTAATTCCTAGACGAGCTTGTTCTTCAATATCTTGTTCTTTCTTGAAAGTTCACTAACTATGAGCTCTACATAGCTCCTCCAGAACTGACGAACCTCGCAAACCAGCTCTTCCAGGACTTCAAGTCTAACGATCTTAGTTTCGTGAAGAAGTCCTCCATCATAGGTCCACCTTGTAGACCAACGGTCGGCAATTCAGTATTGCGCAAATAAGTAATATATTCCTCGCCCACTTTCGCGTATATCATCTTCTGCAGACCAGCTGCCTCCATAAGTACTTGCCGCGACTGTCCATCTTTCGGGTTGAAGTTCGGGTTTGATGGACCAGCCCAGCATAATGGTGAGAATCGACTCATCATGAAATGCTTAAAGCCTGGAAGTTCCTGTTGACCACTTTGTGTCATTTCTGCTAGTATTTGGCCCGATACGGCATCTGCACCTCCCCATACCATGCACATCCTCGCAAGAAGCTGGAAAGCCATTTTCGCTGTGGTGGGGTCGGTAATGTCCTTTGTAAAGTGCTCGATGGACTCAATCACCATTTCAAAGTGCGGCTGATTAGTAGTGCTCACTAAAATCCCGCCGAGACCATTTCCAAGAGTTACTAGTAGGAAATTGAGATACTCTCTCTTAAGCTCAGCTAGCTCAACCTCATCGTCTGTGCCTGTAGTAGGAGCTGAAATTCCGGCCCATACACGACGGATTAAACCGCCAAATATAGTGTCTAAGAAATCTGAGATCTCATTCTTGAACCCGTATGTGACTTGGTCGAGCAAACGTAGCAGTTGTGCGATTTCATCTCGGCTAGAGGACTCCGTCAAAAATCCATCGACCCACCTCGACAGCTGCTGCAATATCTGCTGGCCTATCATACCTAACAACCGTGCAAATGTAAATCTTGCAGCTTCGCGAATCTCAAACGATGTATTTAACGACTCCAATGCAATCAAGGTGACCTCTGCCACCTGTGTGAATGCATCTTTGAGCGGGGCAGGAATATTGTTGACAGCCTGAACGTTAGTAGTACCTTGCCAGTCAAAATAGCCTCTTGCTACGTTGCCAAATGCCATAAGATCGTGATGAATTTGTAGACATGCCTGTTTGCTTGTTTTTGCAACGTTCAAGTTGTTCTGCACATCCGTGAACAGTGGCTGCATGACAGCTTGAGCATATTGTAATTGCTTTTCAGCTGGAACACTGGTTGTGCTAATAATGCACCCAACGGCTTCAAATAAATATAATTGACTAGTGAAAGTGCTATCACTTCTTTCGTCGTCCGATTCGTCTTCGTCGCCGTTTGTTACCTTCGGCATCTCTGCCTTGATGACAAGCAGGTCTTGCAGATTCGGCACAACGGTATCTGCAACTGGTCCGACATTGTGACGCTGTTGGCGCACAAATCTCTGCAGCAAATACCATGCACGTAACCTAATGCGAACATTTGGACTATGAGCATGTTGTATGAAGTTCTGTAATGTTGGCTGCACATACTGCGTGTGCTTCTCGAAGAAACTTGCGTAACGGACGCAAATTTCCATATATGATATCTGGATGGTTGGTGATGGAAATGTGCCTGTCTGCGATTCAACCAAAAGTAGCATCATGCGTACAAGTCGTTCTGCAGATGGGGAGTTGGGTTTGTGCTTCTGGTAGAGTCCGCCACTCTTGACAGCGAGATCACCAAGCAGGTACATTTCGTGGAGGGCAAGGTCTAGGTCCCTCCAATCGAGATTGTGGCCAGAGACTTGCAGTTGCTCAAATGTTGCATTGACAAGGCCTGACACAGCATCAATATACAGTTGTTCATCTGTGGCCGCAATGGTCTGTTGCAAGTTGCTGAACCGCTTTCTTAGCTCCTGCCATTCTGCTTCCTCGGTCTCGTTACCATCGTCGATGCCTTCCAGATCTCTAACATCGTCGACTCTCGATTTGAGAAAGATGGCGGCTAGAATTGGCATAAGTATGCTTGCCCTCTGTGATACATATTCATCTCCCTGAAAGGCACGCCGTAAGAAGGACAACGCGTCAGTCATACCTTGCAGCACGTTAGAGCAAACGTCGTCGTATTCATCGGAGAAGTATCGCAGCAAATGCGGTAGGAATGAACGTAGCATGTGCTCAGCTCTGTTCCATGTCTGCGAGGATTGTTGTTCAGTTTCCAGGGTTCGAACAATTTCTAGGACAACGGCATTCACGATTTTGGCAACTACTTCAGCAAGGTCAGCATCGTAATAAGACTTGTGTTGATCGGCAAGTATAGGCCAGGCAGATATCCTTTCGACAATGGCCTGTACACCAATAAAATCGATCATCTCAATTTTGTCGGCTGCTGTCATTTTCTTGCTCACAATGTCAGTGATGGCATGACACGCAGAATCTCTGGCTCTCTCCTCATCGTACGACAGCTCTTGGACTCGTGCCTGGTCGATTTGCTGAGAAATCAGTTGCAGCATTCTTGGGTTGACGATAAAGGAGATGTCAATCCAGCTAACCCATTTTCCAACAGCCTTCATAGTCAGGTCACCAATGGTACCACTGGATAACTGCCAGTGCTCCAAGATCTCTTGCCATGACTGAACGATTTTGGCCACATCTCTCGCACGGACTAAGTCCTTGAGTACGTTTGCTCTGTCCTGCTCTTCTCTGGACCTTGCCTGCAACACATCACCAATTTCATCGTGAACGGACTCGATGACTCGAAGGTAGAAAGCGACGCCGGTCAGGTTATCTCGCTGGGAGCCGTTCGTGCTAGTAGTCAGGTTGAGTAGGTCGTCGAAGAAAGATGGCCAGGTAGTCGCATAACAGGCGCAGAACAGATACGTGATCGTTTGTGCAATTTTGTTCTCAATGCCAGGAGTGTCAGGAGCCTCTTTTAAGCCAGCAGCTTGTACCTTATATGTGGTCTCGAGATAGTTCATCAACTGCTGCCTAATCAAATTCAAGTTTTGCTGGTCGAGATTTCCCGCTCGAATTGCATTGTTCACGATATCCAAACTGAAAACTCGAATCACATTTTCATATCGAGGGAGACGAGTGAAGATCTCGAGACACGGCTGCCATGCCGCAGCCTCTTGTCTTAGGTTGTTGACGAATTCGAAGGCAGGTACTTTAACGTCTTGGGGCGCTTTAGGATCCCAAGCGAATCGAATCGCTGAAACAATCTGCAGGCACGATGGGTTAGTCTTGAGATCGAATTCCACGCAAGCACGCCGGGAAAGGCTCAAACAACGAACTGGGGTTTCGTGGCCTACCTGTTCTTCCATCAAGTAATGCCAGTGTTCCTGATCCACCGAGTTATGCTAGGAACACTGGAAAGGTTTAGTCACCGCATTTGCAAGGACAATGCAGTGGAAGCACGTGCTTCCAGAAAGTTATGACATATGTACAGGCATGGCGAGGTCAGTCGAGAGCGAAGACGTTTGTTGTTTAATTGACAAAGATTTGTTCTACTCATTACATCGAAGTGCGCGAAGTTACGTGCAAGCATTATATTTGACTCCATACGCGGGCGGAATATACCCAAATCGTCATCTTTGACGGGTCTCCAAATTTCGTTGCCAAGAAAGGTGCTGGAAGTCCTCCAGGGCGGAATGCAAGGAAGTGCATGGAAACCCTCGGCAAGCTGATCTTCTATGTTCGCGTGCTGTAGTTAGCTATCCCTGTTGCACGGCTCTCGCCCGACACACGAGAGCACAGGCTTCAACGTCTCGGTACCTGACACTGCAGATGAACATAGGTTGATAGGCTGGTACAAAGCAGCAGAGACTGATACCAGCGTACTGTGATAGGCACGATGTGAAAGTGAATGTTTATTCGTTTCAGAATCAACCACTCGCCAGAATCCTTTCCTCAACGCCATCAAGCACACTCCACCACTCTATAACCTCCAGATTCTCGGCTTCTGCTAGGAACATCTTATCTGGATCCTGTCCAGGCTGCATGGGCCCGCCACCACCGCCTGCTCCCATAGGATTCGACATAGCCATTTGCTGCGTGACCTGACTTGCAGCATTGTCATTCCCCAGGATGAAGATGAAAACACTCTGCAACCCAAACAGGCACAAAAAGTACCAGCTCAAACTCGACACCCACCTTACATCTAAGTCTCTTGTCATCACACCAGCCTGCAACATCTGCTTGAAGCGAATAGTAAGCGGGAATGGCAGCTTCAGAATGACGAATCCTGCGAAGAAGGCGTTGATCCAGGACATGATCAATGTCTGCGGAATCATCATGGCCATATTCCCCTTCATCATACCCATCATGCCCTCCATGGCAGCAGGATCAGACATTGGATTCGGTTGTGCCTGTCCTCTTGACTCTGGACCATTCTTCAGAAATGTGCCCTTCTTGTAGTTGTCGATCAGGTAGTCCTTCCGTATTGAGAACCCAGCGTTTGACAACCCCGACGCTGGCAGATTCGATCTGAGAATGGCAGACTGCTGAAGTGCTTGTCTCTCACGAGCTTCGGTGGGATGAGCAGGCGGCTTAGGTGGGGTTTGTAGGAGAATCGTTGCGTAGTGTCGTAGGACACCTGTGAGAATCATTACAACCGTGATGGGCAGCAGGATCCAGTAGCTAGAAGTGTGTCAGTTACCTTTGCGCTATGGTGGCCTTCATATGCTTCCACACGAGCGCACTAGACATAGCCATCAATCAAACTTACAACAGCGCTGGATCTCGCTGGATCACCTGTTCTTCGCCATATACAGCCATTCCTGCGGTAGAGGCGCTGGCTGACGTGGGGGAACAGCTCAGTAAAGATTCGAGACGAAGACTGTCGCCGACCTCAGGGCGATGTAGTGTAAAGGAAGTGAATGTATGTTGTAGAGATATTGGTTTACCAGCAAAAGAGTGCGGCTAATTCAGAGATAAGTTGCCGCTTCGTTAGGGTCGATAGTCCCCACTTGCGGAGTTGCGCTACTACATTCTTGATGTCTACATATTTATCCAACGGTGATATCTCAAGCCTGTCTTGATTAACGTTTCTACACATAGGTCCGACGACGCGTTTGAGAATAATACTTGTTGACACAAATCAGACGCTGTAAAGGGTACGATCCTGAGTTCAAAGAATGATAAAGTTTTGTATAAAATGATCACCAATTGCTGGCAGACTTCACCTTTCCCTATAATCCATCTCCTGACTAGGACGAGCTCTGCCAGCATAGATCACATCGGCGCCTGAAGACTACACAGCACGCTTCTCGTCGACTTCGTTGTCCGAATAGCCATTTTGACCGTTAAGAGTTGGCGACCGTTTCTCACGTTCCATACCTTGCAGCATGGGCGAGTTCGTGGTCTTCTTGAAATATGAGTGTACCTCATGGCTGAACTCGTGGTCAAGGTCTTCCCAATCCTGTTCATCGAGATGACCGGCCTTTTCATCAGCCTTCTCTTGCATCATGACTTCCCATTCCTTTCTCATCTCTTCCACTCGCTGAGCATAATCAAGGTCGGCGTCATATTGCTTGCTCAAGCCTCGGAACCGTTCCCAAGCCGACAAGTGCTTGGGGTGCACGGCGACACCATGGTATTCTTGAGCACGACCGGCTCGGATGAATGCCCACCGACGCTCCTGCTCCTTAAGGTCAAGACCAGTGGTATCGGGCAAGAAGAGGACCGAGAGGGCGACACCGGCGAGACCGAACCAAGGTACAACATAGAACTTGGTCTGGGTATCGATGTAGTTGTAAAGAACCGCAGCGGTCAGTGCACCGAGCTTTCCCCAAGCAGCACTGAAGCCGTGTGCAGTTGCTCTGACAGCTGTCGGGTACACCTCAGCCGCCGCGATGAAGGTGACAGAATTCGGTCCGAATTGGTTGAAGAATGATGACAAGAAATACATCGCCTGAAATTCCGTGATGTGTTCTGGACTAGTATAGTATTCAAGGTTGAAGGCTGGAATAGCAAAGAGTATAAAATCCATAAGGAAGCCGAGTGTCTGCATGTGCTTGCGACCGTACAGCTTGTTGTCGATGAGGAAGGATGCCAGATAATATCCACAGAGTGAGACTCCGACATTGATCAAATTGTACAACCAGCCTGGCATGATCGAATTACTGTGATTTGTAACGATGCCAATGAACTCGCTCTGGAACAGCTTGTTACCGTAGAAAAACACGTCGTTCATATACCAACAGCCGGCTGTAGCGAGCATACGGCCGCCGAAGTGGTAGAAGGTCATTTTGAGAGATTGTGTGTCGTAACCAGTCACATTCGATTTCTTCTTCTGTAGTTGCAACTGCTTAGAAGCTGATTTCATCTTATAAGTACGATAGTAGACTAGCCAGAGAGTGCCAACAGCTGGGATCGCGAAAGAGATTCGGAATGTCCATTGTACGGCGACCTTCGAGTAGGGAGGATTGCCACTTCCATGGTGGAATATTAGCAGTAACAAAATGAGGAGGACTTGGTTGAAGAATTGACCCCAGCCTTGCATCAAGAAAGCACTTGTTACTTTGCGTCCTCGGTGCAAGCGGTCCTCTTTGGTTGAAATTTTGCCAGAGCCGACTGCGTTTTCCATACCAGAAGTGGCAGTCATGGGATATTCTCCGCCTACACCAACACCGTAGAGAAAGAGAGACCACACATAACAGATGATCCAGCCGTTCAGAGTGACACCCCACATCGAAACCAACATGACAAGACCGATGAACATGATTACTGCGTCTTGAATCAGACCCCATCGCCGGCCGAGCCAGTCACCAATGACACCGACAAGGATTTGACCGACAATGATGCCAACAATCTCCATGTATTCGATTGCTGCTAACCAGGTATGACTGCATGCAGTTCCACGAGTACCCCAACAATTCGGAAAGCCAGCTGCGAACAGGGGCTTCAAATTGCCTATCGAGAATAGGACGTAACCTTCTAGACCGAGTCCTGCTCCAGGTAGCACCATGTTGCGGAAGTAGTAAGCTACTGGTGACAGAGGGTCCTTCTTGAACATTCGCCAGACGTTACCAGCCTCACGACTTGTCTCGGCAGCATCGTTCTTGAGTACGAACTTTGCACGCTTGAAGAAGTTGAGATCAGCCCAGTAAACACCTTCTGGGGTGTAAGAATCATCAGGCTTCAGCAGTCGGTTGAACACTCGAGACTCATCCTCGTCCATGGCGAATTGGGGGGTGACCATAGATGGATGCCGGGCAGACATATCAGGTCCATGGGGAGCATGAATGCCAATGTCTGCCATGTTGATGTTTCTCCTGGTTCGATCTGAAAGTGACACGACCAGAGATGTGTAGGTGACAGAATTCACAAGAATATTCAAGCAGAGGAGTCTGGTTTGCAATATGTAGTGTAGATTGACCACCCGAACGGGGACTGCTGAATGACTGGGGTATGTGTGTATGCCGTCACTGGCTTGTGCTTATTACACGACAAGCAATCCTGGCGTATTAGGTAGTGGATGTTGTAGCGTAGTGTCTCGTTTGCCAGTCCCGGCTTCTGGACAGGCTAGAATGGGGCGGATAGAGCTTGTTGCAGCTTAGTAAAATGGCGGAAAGTGGTGTTAAGGTTTCGAGGCAATCCACACGAGTCGTGTAGCAGAGCACGGGCCACGCTCTGCTTCTCTGATTTGTGCTTCGTGAGTTTAGTAAGCGGCGTGTGCTCTGGTGGTCGTCGATCCGACTTTGCCAGAAGGGTTGGATATTCAGTACTAAATGCAATGCTCAAGCGTACTTTTGATGCAGGTATAACAAGCTCGTGGTGGAATCGATAGGCCGCAAAAGTTGCGATCACCTAGCTTCAGTGACTGGATGAGTTGACAAGCACATTCTAAGAGTCGGAAGGTCCGATGGACTGAGAGGAGATCTGATTGGAAAGTACAACAGACATCGTCAGGTTAACGTCAGGACTTTATAAGCGAGGAGAATCCGCCATGGCTTCGTGTTCATTTTTGACGTGAGATATTTCTGCTCTGTTGAAATTTCTGAAAGCGCCCTCTGCAATGCGAGGTGCCGAATACCCAGTCTGAGGTTGCAGAGTCGCCGAAATTCTATCCCATGCACTCTCGTGGAGTCAGAAACGTGGTTAGCAACGCTTCTTTTTTTGTTTGTTTTTGAAACAATCAGCCATGACGTGAGCCGCGAAAGCATGAGCATGCTTGTTTCCTCGCTTTAGTGCTTGAAGAACCGTGCTAAAGCTTACATGATCTGCAAAGTCCTGAAGATGCAAAAGCCAAGAAGAAGTTCTCGCAAACCAATGATAGCCGCTCAAAGATACACGTGTTCGCGGGGCGCATATCGATTGGTCGCGGAGTGATACGCGTGGTCCGCCCAGTCCCAAATTGTTGGCACGGAGTTAGCACTACTTCGAGGGAGGGGTATGCCGTAGAAAGTCTGTTTCATTCAATTGCTTATGATATCCTTGCATCAGTCAGTCGACTTTAAACATGACAGGCGTTCGTCCTCCACAAAGGTTGGCTGGCACAAGGACGACAACTTCTTGGCTTCTTTTCGGACTACTACTCCTCTTAGAAATGTCTGATACCTTGGGTCAAGGCTGTCGAATTCTTCTCAAATGCACTGTAGACAATAGTGAAGAGGAATGTTGTGCCAGGAGGACGTCTGGTAATGGGCTACCCTCTGCCATACTGTTACCTGCTCACCTTCCGGATAGTCCTCCCACAGAGCCACAAGGTTTGACGTATAGACGGCTTGAAATGTCGCCAGAGGACCAGTAACGTTCCTATAGTGGTTGTGGTTCCGTGCTTCGATACTCCACAAGTACAATCTTTCGCACAATAGCAGCCTCACGACGCTACTGTATCACCATAAGCGCATGCTTCAAGGGTGGTGGAGCAATATGGATTCCGGAACAAAGCCACTGCCGTGAAAGTTTGTAGATTAAAGTGAAAATACCAAGATAAAGACACACGTTTTCAGCATCGTCTGATCAACACTATCTGTAGACACTCATACCGCAAAGCTCACCGTCGCCTCCTTCGTTCGAGCTCGAGAACAAGAGATTGTGCACGAGACGAACCCTGTCTTAATGCAACCCCAACCATCGAGTTCAGAGACTCCCACTTCGATACTGTGCTCTATGCCTTTTTTTCAGCTGTGTTGGAGACTGTCCCCGAAGACCAGGGATCTCATCGAACAGTGGTCGACGTTTTAACGTCGCACACACCATCCAAAAGATGGTAAGAATACTCGCCACGACAACATTGTTATCCTGTAAGCTGAAGCTCACACTCCGGAGCGAAATTATGTGTGTTCTAGCACCGTTATTGATAGTTTACCAACCAAGTATGCCCGTCCTCTGTACCACTCTCTCGGGCACACCACTAATATGAAACTTGATCGGCATACACCACTGCCTCCACCAACAATCAGTGTTCGAGAAGCTCTTTTCTTCGTGGACGAATTGAATCTCACAGCGACGATTCCAGACGTGCAGTGCAGGCAGCTAAAGCAGTAAACAATAACGGCATATTCCCACAGATACATGACGCCATTTCTCTGTGCCATGGATGGAAACGCGCATATCCATTTGGTACACTGCCATCATCACAGCTGCGATGCAGCACAGAGAACAGACCCTTCGACACGAAGCGCAAGCTATGTCGAGTTGCGTATATGACAGCAACCTTTGTTGCACATGTGAAATAGATTCGAGCCTAGCACACGATGCTATTTGTGGGTCCTTCGATACACCCACTTTTGACTCCCCTAACAGCATTCACGCACACTCCGCAGATCAATGGCAAGCTGCTGTGGTGTACGATGCTTGCAGTCATCAGATAGCCAACCTCAATGCCTCACTCACAAGTTTCGAGCATCTTTTTGATAAAGCTTTGTAGGGTGGGGTTCCACAACGCAGCTGCGACTCTTTCCTTATCCGCTAGTTGTTTGTTCACCTCTTCAGCAGTAGAATGCGTGCCCTCTTTTATGCGAACGTCGACCCGGAATCTAGCTGGGAGAGACTCCTCTAGGCGTACACGGACTCCAAGCCCAATAACGGTAGCGAGAGAGCAGTGCTGAATTGTGGGCGTCACCAGAACGGTGACAGTTCTCAGCGGCGACTCGGGTCGACGAGGCATGGTAGGTTTGATGGAGATATCGGGCAATGAGACAACAGCAAGCGCACCAAGTGTGATAGGATGTTCAGGGTCTGACATGGTTGCTATCAGGTCATAGATCTCCTGCTCATCGATATCTTCTGCGTCTGACTCGACGTCGCTGTCCGATGCCTCGGAGACATCGGAATGATACAACGGGTCGCTGCTTAAAGTCGTTGTAGGAAACGAGAAAATCGACGATGACTTGCCTTCTCCATGTTGACTTGCTGAGAGTCTTTTGCGAGTCGGCAGGTCGGAAGGGTTTAACACGACAGGATTGGCGTTTGCCAACTCTCTATTGTCCATTCTGTCGTAGCTTAGATGTTGTCAGAAGTGATCGATAGATGACACGAAAAGACGTATCACATCAGCGCCACGATCACGATACTAGTCGAGCGAAGTCACGTGTACATCTGCAGAAACCCATTTGAGTCCTCCGTGATCGGCAGAATCAGGGTAAATTCCTCATTTTATCCTGTTCATCTCAAAACATTCGCTGTAATTATAACGTATTCGTGAACCATTGCTTCTCAAACGTCGCCGTCCACGAACATTCCTCAAGGCTTCAACATGCATGTGAAATTGCTCCATCGCCATCAGCAATGAATGAAGGAATTACGATTTCAGTCAACGACGACGATGAAACTCCTATTACCGCCACAAGCATGTGCCAAGTCTTGTATCACAAGGATCTTGGCAAGAGAATTCCTTGAAATTCAAGGACCAGCCTTATGTTAATCACAGGGAAAATGGCTCTTGTGCTTCAACGCGTCAACGAGTTTGCCATCATCATAGTCCATGGGCAACTCAGGATGAGATAGGTGCAATTTGATAGTGAATGCGTTGCTGTACATCGAAAGGTCAGCAGCTAGGGTCCGTGAGGCCACCGGCGTATTGTGGCGCTCTTCTTGATTCACGTTCTTCAAACTGTAATACATGCAGTAGTAGAGACTGCCCTGGCCATCACATTACATAGTTTGACCTGGGCCTCCCATCGTGACCATGATCCCTGCCACGAATCTCCCAGTTTTATGTTCGATATCTGTTAGGAAATGGTTAACACCCCAGAGGGCGACGGAAGCATAAGGGACATGAGCCGTACTACTCTTCTTCCCCGAGGTGCGCTACGCATATGTGCAGTGAAACTCGCAATGTAGTACCATTGCTGTCCTGTTTACCATCAGTGGCTAAGATGACGATGCAAGCAAAATCACTGGATACCGAGGTTAAGCTCTAACGTTTCCTCGATGGAGATAGGCTAATATTCTTCGAGCTTGACCTTGATCAATCTAGTTCCTCTTCTCTAAACCCACTGTTCCGTACTGTACGACACTGACACTTCGTTCTCCATTGTGGTGAGATTCAGTCCCTTCTTACGACCCCTAGGCGATCGTCGTTACCGGGTATGCACCGGGACATCTCCTGGTTGACGTAGCATTGACCGAAACTTATCATTATCTTTACAACATTTCAGTCCATGGGTGTATGCCAGACTGTTTTGCGCGATACTGTTTCACGAACAACGGCAGGTATCGGATCGCACTTTTCATTCGTTCTCCCAAGCCATCTATTCGACGCCACTTGCTGGAGAACTCTGCAGAAGGGCAACCTGTTCTTTCCAACTTGATTGGCTTTTCATCTTGGTTGTACCGCAGCGCGGATTCATGCCGGAGACTTCGTTCGTGTGTGACCCACAAATCGAGTACGAAACTTCTTGTATTGAACGCAACCACTGACTTCCTTCGGCCTCGACTTGTGCGGACGCACTTGCGGCACTGATCGTTACTAGCGTTTTGTTCCACATTGAGGAGATGCGACCAGGAACGACCGGATCGTAAGGATGCAATCTTTCCAGCCGTCTAATGTCCTGGCTCAGGGTCCAAAGAACTATGTCTTCGTAGATGAACATAATCGACACAAGCGGTTGAAGGTGATGAGGGCATGTGAAGGTTGTCGAAGGAGGAAGATCAAGTGCGATGCTGCTACGACGAACAGCTGGCCATGTGCAGCATGCAAGCGTCTCAAACTTACCTGTGTTCCTCCCACGGGAGGCGTCGATGGGGATTTGAGTGTTGTTGACAGCGACATTGATCAATTCGATGCAACACCAGCAAGCATTCCTCCTCAGCAATACCCTGGCGACCAGATCCAATACCTACACAACTATAGTTCTCAATCTGATCTTGGCCAGAGCTACTCACCTTACGGTGTTCAGGGTAATCAACACCTCTACAACCAGCACCAATTCGATTACTCGTCAACGCGGCATGCATCGAGTCAAGCCGAGGATGCTCCGCTCCCTGCTCACCAACAGCAGCGATTGTCGTCGTTCGACTCCGCGAACGGCCACGCAGAACCTCACTCTTTCGGCAGTCCACAGTCGAGTGACTCGGTTACTGCAGAAGATTTAGCAGAAAATTTAGGGGATCTCCGTATTGCGGATAGTGGCGTTGCTCCATATATCCGTCAGCAGAATGGATCACTGCAAGAAGCTCCGGCCCCGATAGTCGAGGATGATGAGGATTTACCAGCATTTTCGACAGCCGCAGGATCGCAGATACGGATCCCGCCAGCATTGATGCCGACCAACGAAGAAGCCTCAAAGGCTTTCCAGGAGTTCTTTAGGCACGTTCATCCATACGCGCCTGTTCTTTGTCGCAATCATTTCTTACGGCAGTGGCAACAGGACCGTGATTCTATATCTCCACTTCTGCTCGAGGCTGTCTTTGCGTGTGCAGGTCAAGTATCGGACGACCCTGCTGGTGGCTCGCAATGGTTAGCACTGGCTAACAGGCACGAGGAGAATTTCGCAGATACCCCTCGCCTTAGCACTATCCAAGCACTACTACTGTTATTGAAGGCTCGAGAAAAGACACCTAAGAGAGGCTATTATTATCGATCATGGATTACTGTCAGAAAGATTGTAGGTATGGCGAAAGACCTCGATTTGCATGAGCATTTCGACATGCATACTAGTGGTGGAACGTGTGATTCCGGTCCCGTTGACTGCCTCTCAAAAACTAGAATATGGCAGGTCACAATGTTGGTTGAGTTAATGGTTGGCGCTCCTCAAGGGCGGACGGACTATGGCGTAGATGTCGACACAGTGAATGTCAGTCCCTCCCCTCCGAATGCTGACATTGATGAATACGAGCGTGCAATATCCAGGCAATGTGGTTACTGGATGCGCAATGTTCGCAATATCAAAGGTGTCACCCATGCCTACTACGAGCTCAAACGCAAAAACAAGGATTGGGCTACTGACGCCAAATTTGTAGCTTACAACGAGGACTTCACAAAGTGGCCGAACGAAGTGCCGCAAGACTTAACCATCACGATACCGCCAGACGGCTCTCTACCAAAACTACCTTCTCATTTTCTTGCCAACATGCACTGCCATTACCAGTTGGGCATTGTTATGCTATACAAGCCACAGCTAAGTGCTTCGAAGGATTTTGCAAATGACGAAAAGTGGAAGCACTTTATGTTCGCCTGTTATACAGCAGCGAAAAGGGTCTGTATTCTACAGGAAGCTATCTTGCAGCAGTTTGATATCCTCGGGTTGTCGTCGATGCAAAGAGGTCTAAGCTTCCCTATCTATGCCATCCTGACTTGCGTTATGGTGCATCTGGTGAGTTGTTCGTACTGATTCACAGAGTTACTACTGACCATGATTCAGGTGGCTATTGTATCCCCAGATCCTATTCTCAACCGTGACTCGAAGGAATATTTCGTGCGACACATGCGAGTACTCGAACGATGCATTCAAGACTGGCCTATGCCGGAAGTCGAGAGTCAGATCAATGGCTTGAGAACAGCGTTTTCAGCAGACTTGAGGAAGCCATTTGACCTCAAACCCTCGTTTCCTTACGGCACTCCGTCTGAGCAAGGCAGAAGCCCTGGGGAGCACCGACCGTCGGAAACCCTCCACCTCAACCATCACAATCATGGTCATACGTACCTCCAACCCCAGACGCAGCACGGCAGCCATTTCGTTACATCGCCTGCTTCGACGAGATCAGTGTCAAGACCGCACGACCAGACTTTCTATCACGGCTACAATGACCATGTAAATCAGAATTACCACCAGTTTCCCGCAACAACTACTTCGAACAACGGCGGTATGGCTGCCGAACCCTGGAATCCCACACCAATTATCAATCAATTCAATGCCGCGTTCGCCATTCCAGAATCAGCACTAGCTCCTCCTCCTCCGCCACCACCATCCAACTATACCTCATCCTCACCCGTGACTCTAGCACACCAGAATTTCGGACAGCATGTACAAGCCCACACTCATTTGCCGAGCCCAATATCAGCAAGTGGCTACAACTCCCGTCATCCTTACACGCCTTCACCAACATCTCAACCTATGGCGCATCCGCAGTCATATATCCCGACTACCCCGCAACCTCAACTGACGCCTTCCCACTACCCCCAGCAACAAACAGGCAATCCATATTTCGACTCGAGCATGAATAACCATCATCATCGCCAGTCTACTCATGTCCAACAGCAGATGCAAGGTTCCCACAGACCCTACAGTAGCATCAAGGGTGAACCTGTGGTTCCTAATGAGCCTGTGTACGTTACACCTAGGGAGTGGCAGCAGAGTGTTGCCAGTGTGTTTGATCCAGGTCTCAAGCGCAAATATGAGTATGAGCAGCAAGGTGCAATGCAGTAGAGACATTTTCTTTACCATTGTACCCAACACTGCAACAGCCTACTTTTGACACTCTGACGTATGTTATGTTTGGTTCTCGAAGTTGAAGGTTGGAATGTAAGATAGAGTTGCGAACATGTTGATGTCTGTACGATGGGAATTCTACGAGATGCGAGCAAAAGAGTTGTTTTAATTAGATCCTCTGGTCGGCTCGCGCCTGTCGTTTCAACCAAAACGCCATCGCCATGCCGGATAGTTTTGGACAGATGATGCAGATCATGACTTGCCGTCAGACTTGTCATCTTCTACCCTAGGTTGTTTCGAATCATTCGATGTCGAACCACCTTCCTCTGTTATGGTTTCCATTCTTTCTCCGTTTTGTTCTTGCTGCCGCCTCTCACGATCTAATCTGTTCTGTTCCTCCTCCATACTCATTCTCAAGGCCATGGCAAGTTCTGGATCTGTAGCAGGATCTATCCCAAACTCAAAGCCGTTTGAGCCACCAGCACCAGCGCCAGTATCCTCGACACCCTCCATACCATCACCTCCACCAGGCGCGCCACTGTTGACTATCGGCGTGGTGACTAGAGTGTCAGAAAGTAGGCCTGGTCCTGGCGGTATCACAGCAAGGTAGTTGCCCTCATTACTGGACGCGCCACCTACAGCCTCAATGAACTTCTCCAATGTAGATCTTGTTTCTGAACCTGTAGCATCTCCAAACGCCACGAAGTCGACAGATACGTTGTTCTTCTTGCATTTCTTGGCTAACTTGATCAACTCTTTCTCACTGTCATTGCTATCGTGGGTAGGCTCGATCTCACTGCACATTAGGACGATGACTCGCTGCCGTTGTGACTTGTTCGCTCTGTGCTTCAGCGCTAGCATGGCCACACTTATTGCGGTCCCTAATCGAACGGTACCCTTGATCTTAGTATCGTGTAACCCAGCAAGCACAGCACCAAAATTCGTCGTAGGTGTATTCAGGACTTGTGGGGAGGTGCCTGCCATTGATAGTAGGCCAACTGCAGACTCGGGATTGGACTGCGTTTTGGCATTGAAGATTAGAGAAACTGCTTCGGATTGCGCTTGGAATCGAGTAGGACTACCAAGAAATGTTAGTTTACAACAACAACGCCTGTCATATGTAACCCACAGATAATCGCCATTTCGTGCAGCTTCGCTGTTGTCAACACATATCATCGTTGCTTCGAGAGGCATGGTTGCGGTTGACAAGCTACTGGTTCAGATTCTGACGAAGGTAGCGTGGATCGAGTCGAGGCTCCTCAAATTAAATTCAGTCTTGTAAAGATGTTGTGGCGATGGGTTTGGAGTTTGGTGTTTTGCAATAAGTCATAGAGCATTCCAATACAGGCAGGAACGAGGCACGTCAATGCCGCAGAGAAGTGGAGCCTTGGCAGGAACAGCCGCGTTCACCCCATACTTCTTGTCTCTTTGCTTTAGCAGACAAACACGTCCACAGCCTAGGTATAGAATTCAAGTAATAGTTTGATGACTAAGAGGCAGCAATGCTTGTTGGTCACGTTGACAGCTGCACCAGGACTAGTTTATAATGCCGGTCTTCGCCCTCCTTGTAATATCCAAAGCAGGGTCTCTCATCTATCATCGCACTTTTCCAACAGCCTCATCAGGCGCATCACAGCCAGCTACAGGAACACTTGGTCTACCAGGTACTACCACTTTAACAACCAATGACTACCTGATTTTGGCCGGCACTTTTCATGGCGTTCATGCTATTACGAAGAACCTGACTCCTAAACTTCCTCCACAGTCAATACCCTCCGACGAGTCCACACCACGAGTTAATGGAATAAGTGGCAGGAGACCTGAGCACCGCTATCCAATTCCAGATGTCCCCGTCACCGGCATAGAGAGTCTTGAGTCAAGCTTTTTCAAGCTGACGGTATTTCAGTCTTTGACTGGTACGAAGTTTCTGCTCTTCACGGATCCTAGTATGCCGAATACAGATGGACTACTACGAGGTATCTATGAACGGTATGCAGACCACGTCTGCAAGAATCCTTTCTGGCCCGTAGACAATCCGATCCGACTCGACGGTTGGGAGCGTGCGCTCACACAATTCTTGTTCAGAAGGTGATAAACCTGATACAACCTGACCAGCAGAACATGAGCGTGGATCCAAGTATCCAGTATCCACGAACGGAGGTCATCGAGTGAAACAGTGACGACTTATACGTGCCAGCTCAACTACTATCGTGCTGGCTCAACATACCAAAATTCACACTTCAAAGGGGTTTTGAACGGGCGATATCAGATTCAAAGAGGTCATCAAACAGGAGCGCCCACTCTAAGATAGCCACAAGAATTACTGCAGCTGGTTGTACTCAACAGGCTCAGCATCGACGCATGTGGACGTCCGCTGTAGCATCAAGCTCAATTACTCATCAGCTTACATATGCTACAGCAGCCGTCGCACTAGATTGTGTCAGCTCTAGCATCACTGCACTCCGAAGACCGATTGTGAAGGTTCTGTCTTACTGGAGTGTTATCTTTTGGCCAACAACCTGTTGACAGATTCGAACAGACCTTGTGAGACCACCGAGAGAGATACGATTGTCCAACACAATCCAGCGACACTCTCGTCCTCACTAAATCCACTCTATCCGCAACTCTCTTAGCTCGTGCCTACAGGAAGACAGACTGTCAAGCCTGCTTCCGCTTTAGGCTATGTAGATGAGCCGTGACATATAACCCCCAAAGGGGAGAAATCCTTCCAGCCACAAATATACCATGAGATTGCAACATGCAAGGTCATCTAGCCTTGGTAGGACCGACCGTCTCGAAAAGCTCAAGAAGAGGCACTTCCTCTGTGTCTCTGGGTGCGGCAAAAGCGACGGCTCCTGGCAGGCGGAAAGAAGCACAATAGTATAGTTTTTTTGGTGCTACCAGTCTCAAACGTTCTAACACGACCTCATCTGGTGACAATTGATGTCCAAGGTGGCCGCATATTCTCTGTAGTAGCTCCTCCCGCTCTTCGCTTTCATCATCCTTTCGTGCCTGAAAACAGTAAACGTGGATCATTGGAAGCCTGCGTCCCTCAGAACCTCCGAAGAGCCGCTCGTGGCCATGATACAGACCTCTGAAAGCGTGGAGGAACTCAACAGCTATAGCAGGTAGATTCATCACGAAATGATCGAAGGTAGGAGGTTCGACACGTGTTACGGCAGCCGCCTTCATCTCTGCGGCGAGCTTCTGTCTCTGCTTCTCTGTCGCATTACGGGGTATCGAGGTGGCCGGTACTTGTTCGTAGCGTCTTTGTGTCCGTAACAGAGTCTGTGCAGCACTGCGAATGAACTGAGCTCCATCCATGTTGAAAGCGTACACATGATGCGAGAGCTTGTTGACATGTATGGCATTACACATGGCTTTGTAGCTCGCTGGATTCAAGTCATTTGCCCATACCCACGCACCTTTCTTCGCGGCTGGTAACGCAAAAGGACCCACTCCAGCCATTACATCGCACACGACTTCATTCTTCTGGAACTTCGCTATCAACCTCTCGTGCTCGTGACTGTTTCTTATATTCCAGTAAACCTCAGCGTAATTGAACCTGAATTGACAGCCTAGATGACTGACTGTAACCTCTAGATCATCTGGACCCGCTAATACCTCATAAGGAAAGGTCCTGAAGACAGATTCTGAGCCGACATCGTGTATTTTGTTGATTGCCGTTTTTATGTTTGGGTTTTTATCTAAAAGAACCTGGCCGATTAGGTGCTTGTACTCGTTGAAGGACTCTTTCAGGTTCAGATGCGCAACGTGACCAACCTGAGCGAACCCAGAAGGTGTATCTTCCTGCGCACTCAGGGGCTCTTCTGGTAATACAGCGTTGAGAATGTCACTCATAGACCAATTGTCGTAAGTTATGGTCAACTCGTGAGGATGGATTTCCGTTGAACCATCATCAATGATACCTTTCCACTTTTGATTCCAGGTCGAAGGATCCGTAGCACTCACGTGCGGCCTCAGAAGGACACGCTTCTTTCCAGGATGAACCTCATCGTCGACGACCGGCTTAATGGTTGGAGTTACCAGAAGGTCGTGTGCAGCTGCCAATTTATCCTTGACTTTTTGAATGTCCCGAGGATTGAGTACTGTCAGCCCAGAGACCTGCAATTTGACATTGAAGAAGGACCGGTCAAGTTCTCTCATATCGCGATTTACTGGAGGCAGAGCAATTTCTGCGGTATTCAAAGTGTTCATATTGCGAAAAATGCATGTTCGCTTCCGAATGAGGTGGCCGAAGATTGGTGACTGGCGGTATCCTTGGCGTGAAAGCGATACGATCAGCATTAATCAGATTGAAAATGAGCGACAAGCCATACAAGCAAGGACTGAATGCGTCTATGATTGTCAGGACGTGAAGACTGATGTTTTGGCTTTGTAAATCAGGAGCACGTGAGACTGATCGTTCGAAATGGAAGATCTTCGGCCTGAACGCGAAACGGTCACGGTCTCTCATCGACTTCTCGACCCGCGAGTTGTCCTGACTCTGCATGCTCATTGTCAATCGTGATGAAACCATGAAGCAATACCAGATCACTTGGACTACCACTGAAAGGTGCAAGCAGGTGGCATTGGGAAGGTAGGTCCAGGGTCGACTCGGAGCGCCATACTCGAACGCGTCTCAACCACGCGTTCTGATGACGTGGGCACTAACAGTCTTTATGCTCTTCCCACAGTTCAGTCTTGTCTACTATCGTTCAAGGAAGTACTGTTTTGCTTCACAGTCATGTCTAAGAGGACGCTTGATTCATTCTTTTCACCACCTGTTAAGCGCGTCAAGCATGATGTTCAGACCTTAACTCAAACAGTATCGCCGCCACCTAACAAGAATCGCGACAGCAATGTCACTGAGAATACGACCTTACCAATCGATGCTACCCGTGCTGTGACAGCCAAAACCTCACATGCCACCTATCCATTCCCTATTGCAGATCTACCACCAGATATCCTGGAAACGCTGAACGAGCTGCTCCTAACAGTTTCTGGGAGGGAGATCAAGAACCAGCCACATTTAGACCTTTTATATTTCCAGCCATTAATACCTCAACCCACAGCAAACGAGTTATTCCACTTCCTACGCTCTTCCTTACCATTTTATCGCGTCAAGTACACCATCACTCGCTTTGGTAAATCTATAGACATCAACACACCTCGTTATACCACAGTATTTGGCATTGATGAGACTTCCCAATTTATCCTCGATACATATCCGTCTCCGGAAGGCAAGGGTCAAACAAATCTAACGACGCGTATGGTGGAGAGTACGAACCGAACGAAGGAGGTCGCCCCAGGTAAATACAAGTCCTGCGCAGTACCACCACGGCCAATCCCTCCATGCCTTCAGATGCTCAAAACCCTGACCGAGGCGTTGACGAACGACACCTACAACTTCGTTCTAGTAAACTACTATAGCACTGGCCAGGACTCCATCAGTTTTCATAGTGATGATGAACGATTTTTGGGCGACAAGCCCACCATCGCATCGTTTAGCCTTGGAGCACGTCGCGACTTTCTGATGAAACATAAACCCCCAGGAGTCGGTCCAGGTAATGGCAACAAGGGCAAGATATCAGCAAATGGTGCGAGTACAGAGAGCACATATCCCGGCACAACTCAGATCAAACTCGCACTTGGCTCAGGAGATATGATCCTAATGCAAGGTGAAACGCAACGGAATTGGTTACACTCGATACCGAAGCGAAGCGGCAAGCAAAACGAGGCTGACAAGGGCAGGATAAACATTACGATGAGAAAGGCTATGGTACCGGCCGGCACTGAGAACTATTATCAGTATAATGTCGGTAGTGGGCCGGTACATGTCTGGGACGATAAATTGAAAGAGATGAGGCCGTTGAGTGACGTGAAACTTCGAGATATCTAATATCAGTGATAATACACTTCGAAGCAACGTTTTGTTTCAGATAACTATGCTCGAACTATACTTAAACTACACTCATACTACACTCACACTGGACTTACACTATGCTTGAACTATGCTCACACCACTTTGACCTCTATATCTGCTGCGTACCCGTGCCCAGGAAGCTAGCCTCGTCGTGCATCACACTAGGGAGGCCCTCGCCACTGGCGTGTCTTCGTATCACGACCTTCTAATGATTCTCACCTTCTGCCTATTTAAGCTCGACTCTGCAAAATGGTGTGTGCTGTCTGTTGTGGGCGCCTTGAGCTATACAGTCGTTACGACTTTCGTTAACGTTGTCTGGCTCTTTCTATATGTGGAGTGGATCCGTACACGGAAAGTCGTAGTACCTGTCACAGGGTGTAAGGCTGAAAGGGTTATATATAGTTCCATCAGAATTCGCACCAAGAAGCGTGACGTTCTGTGTCATTGCTTTTGTTATTAGGACACGCCACGGACCCGCCTGTTACAGCACGGATGGCTTATATCTTCGATCAGGAATTGCCTGACCCATCCTTCTATATCGGCTGCACAATCTACGGTAAGCTCGAGAAGTCCTTAGTAAAGGAGATCTCGTTGTAGTTGCCACTTATAACTGCCGCCACATCTTGTACAATATCGTAATTGTATGCTGTAACGATCGTATATTATAGTATATAAATAATAAGAAGAAGAGTCGAGCTTTCCAGCTTAGAGTAGGCGTAGAGTGCTAGCTTTAAATTGCAATAGAAATAGGATAGAGGTAGAACAGAGATAGAACAGAGGTTGAATAGAGATATGAATAGAGGTTGAATAGAGATATGAATAGAGGTATGAACAGAGGTATAAATAGAGGTATAAATAGAGATTGAACAGGGATCGAATAGAGGTTAAACAGAGGTTAAACAGAGGTAGGATAGAGATAGACGCATATAGCATCTAGATCAACCACGACCGAATAGCCCGCGACGTTCCGAATGTCGACGTCCTCACCGCGTCTGTAGCGGTCAATCTTGTCTTGAAATACCTTCTCGGATCCAGCATACTCGGCCAGTTTATGAAAAACTATCTTTCGGTGGTATACGTAATTCGAGTCTTCGAGGAACCAGTTCACTAGACACTCCGGTTCAGTTCTTCGGTTTTGGGAACTGCAGACAGGATTCGCTGAATTTTAGCCACTCGCTCTGGTATTAACGGGACAAGTGCACGCGGCACCTTCAGCTGAAAGGCAAAATTTCTTGTGTCTTACTTGTCGTTTACTGCCTCTTTATCATCGCCTTGTATTGTGCCTTCTATTGCGGCTTCGTCCTCCGCTGCGGCGTAGCCATTCAGCCTGTTCGATACAAGGGCTCCAACCTCAGTCCGTGAGGATTCCATTGATTTGTGCAGTTGCTGTATTCCCTTCAAGGGCACAAATTCTAGATTCGCTGTATTAAGTTCAAAGAGCAGTGGCGGCAGTGGCACGAATAGACTCTGTGTGTCTCGACGAGTGGCAGCGTTTTGGACTCCTTGGACTGACTTATATACCAGCACCATTGAGTGGACTGATATCGAACATCAGCGTAGCATCCCGCAGATAATTTCGTACTCATTGGAAGCGATTAAAGCACGTCTCTCTTTTTCGAAATCAAGCATTCTAGAAACTCTTTGCGGCTGACATTATTGCAGTGCATCTGCAAGTTCCTGCTATGCCCTGTAGAGAGTAGTAAGAACATACCACAACGTCACTTAGTAAACCGCATTAGTCACAGACTTAGTGTCAGGCGTTGGTCGTAATGACACATCCCAGTCAGCAAAAGTGTCGGGGCACGCTCGTGGTTTCATTGTGGTGACCCTGACACCTTTACTCTGACCGGATATGCGTGGCTTTGAACATCTATCTCATGTGCAGTATGTATGTATGTATTGCCAGCCAACAGACTTGGCTTGTGGTTGACATCGTAAGTCTCGCTATACCTGCCCCCCTCGGTCGATGTGCCCATCTTCCAGCTAAGAAGGTATAGCGATACCCTCGGTCTAACCTCGGAAGACTGCCGCCTCCTTGCCAAACAACTTTTTCAAGCTCCCTGAAGCTTTCTCCATGTATTTTGGACCTCCAGCAATGATCAAAAACGTAAACTGATCAAAAAGAAATCGGAAAAACATCAAAAAAAGGGCCTACTCGGATTCGAACCGGGATCGATTGATAGCCGATGAGAAACAATCGAAGTCAATCATGCTAACCATTACACCATAAGCCCGAGCGGTGAATCTGCACAAGCTTATGTGGTGATTATGGAGGAGAAGCAAATTTCTGTCTCATATAAACGCTATCATCCGCCAAGCCGCGTTGTGTCTCCGCCGATGCTCTTTGACCAAGTCAACGCAGTCCAGGAGGCCGCTCGGGAGGAAATTCTGTTTTGGATTCTGAACGACATATGATGTGCTGCTACTGATGGTCCGACCTCGCACGAAGTAGCAGCCCTCTTGCGGTGCAAAGAGCGGTCGGTCAAGAGGTACATTGTTCTTGCATCGGGGTGTACTCCGTGATACTAAATATCGATATAAGCTAGCTCTCGGTGTTTTGACGATGACAAGTCCTATCAGTACCAGCTTATGCTTGGCTCCTGTCCTTGTTCGGTCCGTTGATACGCTTGTCTATGTACTTGGAAAGCCAATTGGTGTTGCGTGTACCTTGTGTATCACATTCAGCACGGAGTCTGGTCTCAGTGCTAAGCCTACTGCCCATCCCCAGAGTGCTTCACCACAGTCCAAAAAATTCGCGTGTCAACCTCCCAGTCCTGGCGTTGAAAGACCTCTTCCCAATGCCGCTCTTCGCGGACTCTGTGTCACTGTTCCATTCTCCCAGCTGCGAAAGCGCACCCACAAATAAGTCCATGCCACTACACTGCATACTGGCACCAGCAGGCTCGGTGAAAGGTCCGCCCCAGACTAGACCGAGTCGGTTGTACTGATCTCGGCTCCTCGTCCACAGTGCATCTGCGTTGTTTCGCAGAAATTCAGCATATTTATCTTCGGGCGAGACTGAGTGAAGATGAGCCAGGTTTCGAGCAAATACGCCTTTGAAGGTCGCCCCATCTATTCCACACCACATCTCTGCTTCACAAGGGTCTCGCAACGTCGCGACCGCATCCTCGTTAACATCTGCTGATGTCAGATTTGCAAGAGCTGCATCTGCTATGAGCTTCGCAATGCCAATATAAAGATCTTGAAATGTGGCGGCACTTAACTCTGTCAGAGCGGAAAGGACAACACCTTGGTTGTAAGACCAGACTATTTCGGTTGCGCCTGGATTACTGCCGACTGCTAGCCCGTCCTTGACGTTGCGCTGACTAGTGAATATACCACTGGAGAAGAGCCAACGCCAGGCTGCTTGTGCGGAATTGATGTATCGTTCTCGATCGTTAGGACAACGGTTGTCCAAATGAGCAGCTATGGAGAAGTAAAGTTCGTTTGTGATCGCATTGACATATTCATGCTTCTTGTTCCACCAAAGACCCCCGACTGGAGTGCTGTTCCAGGCTGCGTCCAAGTCGTTGAAGATGGTAACTGCTTGATCGAGGTATTTCGAATCGTGATTTAGATCGTACACTGCGATCCATGCCGATGCCCTGTCATTAAAGTTAGCTCGCAACATCGAAGCAACAAGATTGGTATGTCTTGATAATGGAATGTGCCCTGCCGGTGTATCAAACAACTGACACCGGGACCAAAAAACTCACCACCATCCTTCATCGTCATAAAAGTCGTTTATGAAGCCGACGTGTTGCCCATCTCCAATATGGCTCAGCCCATGGCTCGAAGACCAAGCATTAGCTGCAACCAAATTACCTCTCCAAGTCGGACCAATAGCTACTGTCGTAAGAGAGTTGTGCTGAGCAGCGTTGGTAAAGACTTCTTCCCAAAGGTGGCCAGTGCGAGTTTTGATGCGACTGTCTATAGCTGCCAAGCCAGCTAACATCGTAAGGCAGTTGGCGCTGTTCCACCATCCTGTCGAAGGCATCCATAGACCTATACTAGAATTATACCAAGTTTGAAGAGTGTCAAAAGTCTGTTCGACTTGAGCGAAGGTAACCGCAGCTACACAGTTCGTGTAGTCGATAGCTAGGATAGCGATGCAAGCTTTCAGATGGTTGAACATAATCATTTCGAAAGGGTAATGACCAAGGTATAGAGAAGCACTCAAAAAAGTTGTCCTGTTGAACACTGTCGGGTCAATGTCTCGGGTAAGGTGATCTATACTGCGTAGATTGATGGTAGACAGGTCAGATACAGGTCACGTCGTTGGCTGGCATGAGTCAACGTTGAAATCTAGTCATGGACTGTGTGAGACGTTCGCCTTTCATAGCCACCAAAAACACGCAAGAAAAGATGTCAGACGGTTTGATACTGCATCCTGTCATGCGTACTTGCTTTGCTATTCCACAGAGATCCTCCTGGAAAGAACTTCGGCCTCGAAAGATATGGTCATACTGCAAACGAGCCACTCGAACATCGCGCTGCCGAAAAATATGAAGAACAACTTACAGCGTCGAGTCGAGTGCAACCAGAAGCGTAGCGAGGTATAGTGTATCGTTTGCTCATTTTGAAACGTGGCCACGAAATGGCCATGCTGAGGTCCAGCAACTGGTCGATTGTATCTGTGTTATCTTACCATAGCCGTGTCGAAGCTATATGATGGGTTTAAACGTGCATCAAGATGGATGCGTGTCTGCGAGGAGCGAATTGATCCCCGATGTGCAATAGCTTTTGTTTGTTTGAGCTGCCATTTTAGTAATGCTTGCGATTCCTTGGACTGTCGAGACTGCGGCAGTGTGATTGATAGCACAGAACACAGCATTACATAGTTGGCATATCGAAGCGTAGAAATGCTGTGCGCATGTTGGTGGGCAAAGTAACAAGTAACACGAAGCACTTCTGTTTTCGTGCTTCGAGTTATATCTGTAATACGAACCCCTGGGTGTTCAGTAATAGAACCCTTGCTGCCAGCGACACAGAAACGGCACAAGCATGTTGAAGTATGTTAAACAGCATGTTCGGAGCATCAACTGCCAGATTCTGCACTTCAAGTTATGCGCACTGGATTGGCAGAAAGTTCAGAAAACGAGGAAGGACGCGTTAAGGAAGCCACGACCCATCCTACGGTCGACCAAACGTCCCTGAACGGTATCTTGAAATTACACGGTTCACCACAGAGTCTCTATCACTTCGCAGACATCCACTATCTTGTCCCAGCTCGGCACTCAACGCGTTGGTCACTACCTGTCGCATTTGCAAGCAGTGGTTATAGATGAACCCTTCGTCTGGAATGTATGTCTCGTATCGAGCGGTTAAAAGATGAGGTACAAACTCGGCATTTCCAATGTCAGCAAATATCTAACATGATCGACAGGGCACACGAACACAAGTCATCATCTCTGGTGCTGTTGCGGGTCTAGTTTCCAGGTTTTGCATAGCTCCCCTTGATGTGGTCAAGATTCGCCTGCAACTTCAGACGCATTCCTTGAGCGACCCTCTCTCGTACAAGAGCCTGAAAGGCCCAACATATCGCGGAATTTTCAGTACCTTGCATACAATACAGAAGCAAGAAGGCATAAGAGCGCTTTGGAAAGGAAACATTCCTGCTGAATTACTCTATGTATGCTATGGAGGCACGCAATTTGTCGCGTATCGAGCAGTCAGTCAGCTTTTGTCACAGTCTCCAGTTCGACTACACTCATCAGCTGAGTCTTTTCTCAGTGGTGCTGCCGCTGGTGTGGCTGCGACGACAGTGACATACCCCCTCGACTTGCTCCGAACGCGCTTCGCTGCTCAAGGCACCGAGAAAATATATGCTGGTCTTCTAGCTGCACTGAGAGACATTGCAAAAGACGAAGGCAGACGTGGCTGGTTTCGAGGTCTCGGAGCAGCGAATGGACAAATCATACCATACATGGGCTTGTTCTTCTCCTCTTACGAAGCCTTGCGCCAACATTTGGCAGGCGTCGCTCTCCCTTTCAGTAGCGGAGATGCAGTGGCAGGCATTCTAGCCTCTTGTTTTTCGAAGACGGCAGTATTCCCGCTGGACCTTGTCCGCAAGCGACTCCAGGTACAAGGTCCAACGAGAAGCAGATATGTTCACAGTAACATCCCCGAGTATCGTGGAGTGATTAGAAGTTTGATCCAGATACGTCATCGGGAGGGCGTTCGTGGGATGTATCGGGGCTTGACTGTGAGTCTCATGAAGAGTGCGCCTGCATCAGCGATCACCATGTGGGTTTATGAGCGTACTCTGCACTTTACAATGCGTTACCGACAGGCACGAGAAGCGTAGGAGTATGATTCACTTGCCACTTCGGAGCACCTTTGAACCATTACAGACCACATTGATTCGAGCCTCTGCGTGGCTAGTCGAAAATTGGTGCAACCACAGAATTGCTCACGCCGCAGCTGAAATGTGTTTAAATCATCATCCAAGCAGCAAGTATCACTTCGGAAGGTGTTCAGGAACTACACCTGGTTATATATCGTTGTTTCGAGCACGTAGCTTAGCAATCCTCCATCATAGTAGAGATCGGCGACGAAAGAAGATCGACTTTAGATTCACTGTATCCTTGTAGTCGAATGCCAGGTGCGTGCAGATCGTTCTTGCTTTCTCTGTGTGGCCAGGTCGTTGCGTAGATGTTTACAATATGGTGTGTTCTGACACTATTTTGAGTAGGTCAGGATTTGGTACGTACGGTCAAGGCAGGTGTCGATGCGCTCGGGCGCATCAGATTCGGCGCCAGCAGCTTGCTCTCTTCCAAGTCTATCTTCACAATCTGTTCTCCTGGTATAACAATCAGGCCCACAAACCTTGAAGTCATATCGGCTTTTGCAGGTCTGCCGGTAGTGGAAGAGTCTGCAATGGCCTTGGCTTCAACAGTCTTGGAAGGCATTCGATATTCAAAGGCATTACCTAATATGATATTGCTCTCATTGTCGGTGCACTTGAAGCCCCCTGTGAAGAGACGACCGTCTAGTACTCTGATGTGTAAAGTCTTGCCTAAGAGGGATTGAAGAAATGAGATTGCCTCCACCTGCTCCGTCGACATTTAGTGTAGTGGTTCTCGATATTGTTCAAGTCTGGCTTGATGTGTTGCAATGCCCCTTTGATTATGGCGGATACCTGTCAATGGTGATCCAAGATGAATAGCAAAAAGGTCTAACTCGGGTAGTGATTGAGGAGTGGAGGAATAGCAGGCCAGCACAGCAGGTATATCGACGAATCACAAGCGAGCATTTTCGGAGATTCAAGTCCTCAGGACATTGAGGTCGATGCGACCATGCAAGAAGCTATAGATAAGTCAGCTTTCAGGTCCCATCGTCCATTTCTGATGGCTCGTCGTGTTACGTGTTGCTAATGTGGAGATGGAGGCAATGAGATGTTCGTCTCTTCCTCGTGATCAGGTATTGGCAGGAATTGAGAAATGCCTATGCAAAGTGCCTATGGGCGGATACAGCTGCAGTTGAGGCTGAATGCCATGTTCGCGGTCAAATGCTGTTCTAGAAAGGTTCGTTTGAGCCGTGAGTACAAAATACGAGTTCCCGTACAGATGGAATGCTGACAGTGTGTAAGCAAGAACTTTTCAATTACTCGCGACACCCCAGAATGCAGCTCAACAACGCTCTTTTGCTTTCAGCTTCCCGAGACGCCTCGATCAGCAGCGGAGTGAGTCGGAAGCTGAGAAGCCTGACGAAGACAATGCTGGTGTGAAGACCCAGAGAGTTGAAGATGATGTTCAAGAGTTCCGCCGCATTTTAAGAATTCATGGATCAAACCGAGAAACCCTGAGGGCCGCACAAGACAGCCATTCGTCCTTGAATACATGGAAGAATCTGATGCGTACAGTCACACAACCAGTCGCCATTGTAACCGCACGCAGTCAGGATACTAGTGATGACCAGGAAGGCACCTTTGCTGCTACTGTGTCCTCTTTCAATTCTGTGAGCATTGAACCAGACATCAGGGTGTCTTTCAATCTTACCAAACTGTCCACAACCTACCAGACTCTCCGCGATTCCGGCTATTGCTCTATCACATTTCCTCGCAACACGCATAGGGGCCGACAATTGGCTGACAAGCTTGCAAGAGGCAACCAACAATCACCATTCAAGGATCAAAATCTGCCTGTGCATCTAATCCCTCTGAAATATACCACTAGGAACCAGGACTTGCAATCTAAAGAACTCAAGTACATTCCTGCCGCAGTAGCGCTGTCAGGACTGGAAGACAACCATGCGTCAGGCTTGGCCTTCGCCTTCATCGGCGAGTACCAAACCTCTATCGAAGTCGGTGATCATGTCCTCGTGACGGCCCGAGTCTTGCCAGACTCTATCGTTCATGGACTACCTCATGGCTGGGGTATGAGTGTCGAGTTTGGTTCGTATTACTCCCACAGCCACCTGACACTCTCGTATGTGCATGGTACCTACACTAATCCGGAGACCGCTCATGGTTTGGACAAAATCTGGAAGCTGGACGATGATGTCTCTGTAAAAGATCTTTCAGAGCTGAAGGACAAAACATGCGTAAAGAGGCCGAGGTGTGAGGCACGCTTATACGACATCCTACAAGCGCAATCGTTGAAGAGGAGACAGACTCCCAGAAGAGACTTTATCGCGCGGTGGTCAAGAGCACAGAGAAGAGCCGCAGATCTGCCATGGTATCGTCTTAGAGAACTTGAACGTCATTATATGCTATGGCTAGCAATATACGATGTGCAAGATGGCAGAACCACAGCCCCTGCAGTGGAAGCAGGTGAATCGCCACGTAACAATGACAAGCCTTGGCAGCAACACTTCATTCGTGTCAAAGCAAACCTCAGCGATGCAGATCTTAAAGACGAAGAGGATCTATGTACCAGACGACTTGCAAACTTGGCACAACAATATGTCAGCTTTGCAAACACAACTACATCGCCACCAGTGTCCGAGGAACAAGTTCCGAATGATGAAGAAGCGGGTCTTAGCGTGGACGACATCCCACAGCAGCAAACTCATCGTCTCGGACCGGCCGAACTAATCGTCTACTACTCAAACCGATTACACCTTATACGAGAAGCTAGGAGACACAAGGCTGACCCAGAGCCCATCGAGCATGCGATGAGAGAGGCACACTTCCAAGTTCAATCGTCATGGTCTTCGTCGTTTGTGGAAAAGCAAAAAGGGAAGAGCTTGGACGCTCTACGGCAAATGTACATTGAATTTCAGAACAACATCAGTAGGGCACAAACATGGCTTTTCATTGCCGACAACAGATCCGGCAATCGCGATTACAAAGCTATAGATGAGGCTCGATATCGCATGGACCAGCTGATCTATAGGCGAGATCTCGTTGGCAAACTTATGAGAGAGAGAGCTGCGCTGGCACCAGTAGAAGAGATTAGAAATGAGCACGTCTTGAAGTGGAACTCCAAAAACTATCAAACACCACGGAAAGGTTCGGGCTCGGAGCATGATATGGAGATTCGAGACTCGAAACTGGAATTGATTGAGAAGCTCCGACCCACTACCAGTGATGTTCGTCAAAGTGCTACGCAAGCTCAAGCCACAGGAGCAAATCTCCTGGTCGACGGCGACAAATACGACGAAGCAAGTGAGACAGCTCAAGGTACAGACGTGGAAGAGCTGTTCGGATCCATAGTGCCTCTTCAACTGTCAGAGACGGATCTCGATCCAGACCCAGGTATTACTCAAAACGACCTTGATGCGATCCAGAATCAAGTGGATGAACTAAATGTGAAACACGAGCCATCCGACAGCGAAAAGAACAAGGTGATTGTGGCCAGACGAGATAAAGATGGTCACGTTGTCCTGCAGCACTTCGAGGGCGAGGAGATTCCTTCGCCTGACGACTTCATTGACCTGAGTAAGCAGAAGCCAGATGACAGATGGGGTTCGAGAGAATAATATTTCGTCTATCTCGATCAAAACATAGTATTACTGACAAACTTCTATATCGGTGTATCTGTTACACCGTCTATTGACTGACACCTCTGTCTATCTTCCTTGCTCATCGTCTGCCAAATAACCTGCTTGACCTCACTGCCAACCTTTTCAATCGAGTCAATCGCCCACAACACGTCAAGATGCTCGTATTCCTCAATGACTTTCGACCGCACAACATTAACATGTGGTTCGCGACCCTGCTCAAACCGATCAAGTAATCGCCTCCCATCAACAAGACCATCACTGCCCGCAATCCACATTGCGAACGGCGGCGCCCGCTCATCATACCACGGCGTCCCTTTCTCCTGCCCCGTCTCCTTCGTAGTCCCCAACGGACCACTGCTCTTCGCGGACGAATCCCTACTACTGTCTTCCTGAACATCCTCCTCCTTCGTCGATAAAATACATTTATGTTTCGCGAAACACTCCCTCCCCAACCACCACCGCATAGACTCTGAGCTCACGTACACAGGCGCAAACTGGAAGAATCGATCTCGTATCCCTTTGTCCCAGCGGCGATCTGTCCAGTTAAACAGGAAGCCGAAGACGAGATAGCCCATCCATCCGTAAAGTTTTGCGGGGAGTAAGCCGTGCATGACCATCATGAGTGGGATAAAGGCGTGAATGCCAAAGAAGATTCTGAACATGGCGGGGGAGATGACTTTCATGAACTTGAAGTACATTTTCCCTATCAAAGGGCCAGCGTAGACGGCTGGAGCGAGTGCACAGAATACGCTGATTTTTTCGCCTAGACCGGGTCTCTGGCCTTTTGCGAGGGCGACGAACGTTTGCGTTGTGCCTTGTGAGTGGGCTACGAGACCGAGTTTGTGGAAACCGGTTTCGGAAAGGACTCTAGAAATGAATGCTGGTAAGTCCATGACTCCCATTTGGCGGATGTTCCATGACCACATTCGGGGATCTGAATAGTTCAGCAGTGTGTGTTGAGGTCGGAAGCCTGCACGGTTATTGCCTAGCCAAACGTCGTAGCCGGCCTTGTGGAGGTAGAATGCTAAACTGTCGTCGTCGTTGCAGCAGTATGCTCCGGCGGACTGAAGGAGACCGTGTATGAGAAGGACTGGGTAGCGCTTGCTTTGCGGAGGAGTGTTCTCTCCGTTCTGAAGCCCATTTTGGAAAATGTTAGGTCCTTTATCGCCTTTTTCATTTTCAGAATGTGGCTGCTGCTTATTGGGGTCGTACAAATGCCACAGATCTATTATGAACCCATCTTCTGTCTGCACTTTGAACTTTTCCATTTCCAATCCAACTCTTCGCGCATAATAGCGCGCGTCGCAAACGAGTTTGTCAGGACCGCCTTCCAAAGGTACGAATTTGTCTTGTGACACGTTGTTGAGAGTATCTGGCTTTTCTCGGTATTGGTGCTGTGTCTTTGATCTTTTGTTTGATTGTTGCCATTTCTGCGCCTCTCTTTGTCGAGCGGCAGCGCGCCGGTGTTCTTCCTCGTAGAATGGTCGCGTCCTATCAGGATCCCGAAAAGTAAGCCAAAACCAGACTCTATCACAGACTGTCGGTATTGACGTAAAGAGCGCTCCTAGCACGATCACAAGCAGAAAGCCTGTAGACAAGAAGAACGAGGTGATTCGGAAGAACAAGCAATGAGCGTTGCGAAGCAGACTTGGCGGTCCGTACAAAGGTAGTGGTGGAAAGAGCGGATGACTGGTTACTGGTGGAAGTGCCAGGTCGAGGCTATCGTCGGGCGCAGATACATCTTTCTCCAAAAGCGACAAACGGGACTTTTCCTTCTCCTTCTCCTGCGACGTGCATTTGATCAGGGACTCTTCTTGGCCATCTGCCTTGCTTTTGAGCGCGTTAATTTTATGAGCTTCTTCAACAGGTACGGCAGGTAACCTGTTCCCGTCCGCAGTCTCGATTACTGGATCAAGAGGTGTAATGAACTTGGCCTGTACTGCGACTCCAGTATCATTGTCAAGCGCATCGGGATTTGCAAGGGATAACTGTTGAGAGAGTTCCGCATATCGTTTTGCAGCCTGGATGGACGTGGAAACTTGTGTTTGTGACATTGCGATTGATCAGTATATGCTCTAAAAAGTAATTAAAGAATGCGCTGCGAATACGTCCACATGGCCACAAGCTCAGCAGTGATAGACAATTGGGGAAATAGAGAGATCAAACAGGTCAAGGACCAGCATACTCGAATTTCTTGCCTCTCTCATCAGCTGCAACGTGCGATTGCTGACACGGATAACCATTGCGAAGCAAGCGAGTAGACATGGTGTACGAGTGGCTGAGACTCACAGCACGAAGCATGGACGTCTTTTTAGCGCGTTGGTCAAATTGCATCTCAGCGACTGAACCATGTTGAGATATCGGTTTTGAGCGCAAGCGAATCCACGGCTATTTCGCCAATCACCCGAGCAAGCTGTTCATTGGCATGTGAGACGTCATTCATGGCTTGTCTGACGTAGGCGATTGAGAGCAATTTGAACGTCTTCAGGAAGTGGAATCATTCATCCACCATGTTCCTTGTCCAGACAGTACTCAAGCAATGCTTGCGTGGGATTGTTGCGTATTGCGCTGCAGAAAACATGTGGCAGGAAGGCGTGTCGTTGTTGGAATGGAAGTTCACACGTGGTTCGATTCAGGAACCATAATCGCACGTGATCGTAGTCAATCTTAATGCCCCAGGCAGCAGTCATTGATTCCAGCCCCGCGGGATCTGGAGTAGTACTGATAGTAGTCCGAGTCTGTCGAAATATGGTAAGCTGGTCTATCCGGAGCGCTATCATTTTTGATCGAGGGAACTAGAGTTGGAAATATCTGTCAACGATTGCACTCCAGTAACTGTACGCCCAAGGAACTCACGGTTGGAAAGCACGTGCCTGGTATCGACCATAGTGCGGACAGCTCTGAGATGCTCGACTTGGACATGCTGTAACCATGAGACAATTCCGTCGGTCTTCGGATATTCCGAAGCTATTCCAATATTTCCAACTTGTTCGGCAACATGGTCGCCGTTATCTATCTGTCTCGAAGCAACGACAGAATCAACCACAATCTCAAACTCCAAAAAGTAGCAATGGCGGGAGCAGTTCTTTTCAAGAATTCATGCCCAAGCCTGGGTCTGGGTCATCCATAAGCATAATCTTAGCAGCCTTGATCGTGTTCGCGGGTGGTATCAAGGTTGGCTTCGATCTCAAGCAGTACTTTGATCATGGCGCTTCAAGCGTCCTCGATACTAAAGGGGAACCGCGCTACGCACCCCAAACAACTATGCTTGTGGCATTGGAGGAATTGAAGAGACTCTTGGCGAAGGATTCGAGCGCAGATGAGATTGAAGATATGATATCGGTAGACGACGAAATCATCCAGCAACACGCCTACTCAGAATGGTCGACGAGCAATTCTACGAACAAGCCTGTCGCTGTGATCTATCCACGATCCACGGAGGATGTTGTGGTGATCGCAAAGTTATGTAGCAAGTACAAGGTCCCGATGGTTCCATATGGAGCTGGTAGCTCGGTAGAAGGTCAATTCTCAGCACCCTATTCTGGCTTCACAATGGACTTCTCGCGGATGGACCAAATACTGGCGGTACATGAGGATGACATGGATGTTGTTGTACAGCCAGGTGTGAATTGGATGTATCTGAACAAAAAGCTGGCTTCTACCGGGCTATTCCTGCCACTGGATCCGAGTCCAACTGCACTCATTGGTGGTATGATCAACACAAATTGCAGTGGCACGAACGCCATGAGGTATGGGACGATGAAAGATTGGGTCATCAATGTCACAGTTGTGCTGCCTGATGGATCTGTCCTAAAGACGCGGCGCCGACCAAGAAAGAGCAGTGCAGGCTACGACCTTACCAAATTGTTTGTGGGGTCGGAAGGTACATTGGGCTTTGTGACAGAGGCTACGTTGAAGCTCGCTGTCGTGCCGAAGAGCACGGGCGTGGCAACATGTAGTTTTCGAGACGTAAAGACTGCAAGCGCAGCCGCCGTGAAGATGATGAGAGAAGGTATCATCGGGCTCGCTGCTCTCGAACTCATGGACCAAGCACAAATGAGTGTTATCAATAAGAATGGTGGAACGCTTACAAAAGATGGCAAAACGAGGAAATTATGGCCAGAGCAGCCCACTTTGTTTTTAAAATTTAGCGGAACGGATAAAAGTATCGTAGAGGACGTCCAGAGAGTCAAGGACATTGCCAAATCGTTCGGCGCAACCAAACTGGAACACGCTACCGGTGACAAAGAGAAGGACGCCATTTGGGCTGCAAGGAAAGAAGCGCTCTTCGCAATGGTCGCACAGAGAGACGAAGGCACAGAAATCTGGTCGACTGACGTGGCAGTGCCCTTATCACGGTTAGCTGAAATTATCGAGGTCTCTCAGCAGGAAAGCTCATCCCTAGGTCTCTGGTCCACCGTCATGGGACATGTTGGGGATGGCAATTTCCATCAATCAGTCTGTTATCATCCCGACGATCCAGAAGAGACAGCCAAAGTCGCAGATTGTGTACACAAGATGATGGATAGAGCAATGGAGTTTGAAGGAACTGTCTCCGGCGAGCACGCCATTGGTCTCGGCAAGAAGCCAGAACTAGAAAAGGAGGTAGGTCCTGGATCGATGCAGGTGATGAGAACCATCAAGAATGCTCTCGATCCTTCTTGGCTCATGAACCCTGGCAAGGTCTTTGACCATACTGTCGGTGCTGGGCATCAATGACAATATTTACACATTTTTTGAACTGTATTTGCACTAAATTCAAACTGGGCTCACCAAGGCTTGAATTGTGCTTGAATTGTGCTTGAATTGTGCTTGAATTGTGCTTGAATTGTGCTTGAATTGTGCTTGAATTGTGCCTTGATCCAAACAAACTTGTATATTAATCTATATGCTAAATATTGCTTTTATCGTGCTCGTAAAGATCGTGGTGGCATTGTGGTCATCATGCCGTCGCTATCTGGAAAACAATTGTACTGTGCTTGATCAACTCCGTCGCTATGCTGGTGCTCAAAGATCTGCAAGCCCAACCCTCCTATAGAACGCTATGCAGAGATTTCTCAAGATGAGGTGTGGTGGAAGCCCGGTCGCACTCTGGGCTAGTAACTTTTAGGCTCACTTATGCAGACTTGGAGGCTGCGGCAGGTGTTGTAGTGGACAAGACGACACCAGTGATGAAGGTTGGGGAGGTGGTGGATAGCTCAACGCCAGTAAGGAACATGGAGGATGAAGTGGTCGACAATACGACACCTGTAATGAAAGTTGGGGTGGTAGTAGTCTTGGACGAGGTATTGCTTGAAGTCGTGGTTGGGGTCGTAGTGCTAGTCGTTTTGCTGGAATAAGATGCTGAGGTAGATGTGCTTGAGGCCGACGTGCTGGATGTAGGCTTCGAGGCGCTGGAGGAAGAAGAGGAATGGCTGGAGGTGCTTGTAGATGTGGTTGCAGAGGTGCTTGCAGTCTTTGAGGAACTGGAAGTAAAGCTAGAAGTACTTGCAGACTTGCTCGATGTGCTGGTAGTGCTAGTGTTGTTTCGTGAGCTTGTTACAATGGAGCTGGTCGATAGTGTTGTCTTCGTCGAGCTGGTAGGTGTAGTTATCACAGTCGAGGAAGTAGAAGTGATGGTCTTGCCTCCATTGTTGTTGCCGTTGTCAGTCACTGTAACAAAGACGGTAACAGTACTTGCTGGAGCACATGCGGACGACGTGCTGGTGGACATGGGCTGCCAGTTGTGCCAGTCGTTTCCACGGAAAACTGTGGCGATCACAGTCGTGGTAGGAACTACGTACACGGACTTTGTAGTATATACCGATGCAGTAACCCAAGTGGTATAGAAGGTTGTTGCTCCAGACGTAGCAACTGGCTTTGAAGTGGGAACGAAAGTTGTCAAAGTGATGTAGTCCGTGGTAGTGATGGTAGTTGTAAGAGTGGTCGTAATTGTGGTTGGCTGTCCAGTCACTGACGATGAGCTCTTGATTGTCGATGTTGTGGTTGTGTTGTGAGCAGGAATGCTCTTGGATGTGCTGCTGGTAGAACCCGAGGACGTCGTAGGAAGACCGGAGGTCGAGCTTGTGCTTTTGGTGGTTGACGTCGTGGTTGTATTGTTGGCGGATGTACTCTTAGATGTGCTGCTCGACGGAGTTGAAGAAGTTGTAGAAGTAGCAGAGCTACTTTTGGATGTGTTAATCGAAGAACTCGAGGACGTTGTGGAAAGAGCAGAGGTCGAGCTCGTGCTTCTTGTCACACCGGTCAGGATGCTTCCTGAAGAGGTGCTGCTAAGAGTGACTCCAGTGAGAATAGTAGTAGAAGAGCTAGTAGAACTGAGCGACGTTGTAGTAGTCGTAGTAGTCGTAGTATTTGTCAGGGCTCTTTCTTGTAGAGGTAGAGCGAGGGCAGATCCAGCCAAGATGGCGTTCAAAAGAGCGAATGAAAAGTGCATGTTAAAGAGTAGAACAACAAGAAAGTGGTTTGGAGCGACTGTGACAAGGAAATCTAAACAAGAAACGATAGGAAATGGGTGCTTTAGCGAATGTTGCTGCTGATACTTGCAATGCTTGATGATGGGATCTTTACTCTACCTGATGAAGTGATTGCATTCTTATACCAGGTCTCGCTGTATGTAGGCAGTCATGTTACTTCTCGTATTCTCTGATTAGCAACACTCTGCTGCAGTGGCGCATGCTCAAATTTTCGTCTTCAGCAACGATGTTGCGTCGTATGTCAGCATCTCAGAAAGTGGTAGATGGAGGTCTGAGATGGAGGCGGAGAGAAAGAGCCTGGCGTAGCTATCGCATAATCATGCCAAATTTGGAAAGGCGTTGACCTCAGCTTTCGACTACCAGTGGTGGTTGCTCATCACCAAGCTGGTCCACAACGAGCTTGGTATTCTCGCTATTATTAGCGTCTACGAAAGTCCCATTCGGATGTTGGTCAGCTATCCCAAGCACGACTGTGCGCGGTTATGATTACCAGGAGTAGTAGTGCTGCTTCTGTCAATTGGGCCACAATGGATCTACCCTTGATATAGAGTAGTATGACACCTTGCTGGCGTCATTTCACGTCTTGTTCTGACTTTCGGACCAGTTGCATACGCTCACGGTCTTTTGGTATACTACGTTACATGAATGGGAGATAAGATCTCAACTAGTAGATAGTCAGGAACAACGTCTTCTTTTGGAGGCCTCGTCAAGGCGCATAAACTCCACTACTTTTCCTATAGTTTTTGTCGCGCACTGCTTCCAAGAGAGTCAGTTGCACAGTAGCATCCGAAACACATGTCTAATTTTGAATGAAGCGGATGGACATACTATGCAAAGAGGTGCTTTGCAGCATGGTCGACGTGGTCATCCGAGAAACTGGCCATGGTGAAGTAACTGTGGTCATAGTCAGGCTGGTATCGGATGTTGACACCCTTTTCTTGACCAATGGACTTGGCAGCTTCAGTGAAGTTCTCAGGGAGTAACTGCTTCTGCTTGTAGAAATTGTCGCCGGTTCCCTGCGTGGTGATTAGCCAAGCCTGATTGACTCTCGTTACTGTGCTTACCACATCGATCAAAATATCCAAGGGTTCACCTTTCCACTTCTTGAGCAGCTCTGTCGAATCATATTCTGCGCCCTTACTTTGCCAATCACTCTCCCCAAAGTAACCTTTGAAGGCCTTCTCACCCCAGGGTGCCTTGAGAGGATTTGCGATTGGTGCAAAAGCGCTGACACTCTTGTACTTGCCAGGGTTCTTCAAGAAAAGGGATAGCGCCCCGTGACCGCCCATACTGTGTCCGGTAATACTGACACGGCTCGAGTCTAGCTGCTTGAAGTTCTCGAAAACTGTAGATGGGAGTTCATCAGTAACATATGAGTACATTTTGTAGTTCTTAGACCATGGATCGTTTGTAGCATCGACGTAAAAGCCGGCACCTGAGCCAAAATCATACGACTCATCCTCGCCTTGAACATTGGCACCACCTGTACATGTCAGCAGAAACCAGACGTGATAGTGTCGAAAAGCTCGTACGTGGACTCGTGTCAGGGTACAGCACCGCGATGCCTTTTTTGCTTGCGCCATGTTGGAAGAAGCCCTTTTCGCTGCAGTTATCAGGTGTGCAGGTCAATCCAGACAACCAGATTAGCACTGGAACCTTGGACGACTCCTTTCCCGTGGCTTGAGGTGGAAGATATAGATTGAAGTTCATCTCTGTACCAGTAACTTTGGATTGGTGAGCCAGCTTGAGTAGTTTCCCTCCGAACGAGGCAATCGTCGCTTTTGTTGTAACAGACATTTTGGTGGTATCTGGTTGTAATTGCAATGTTTCGATAGTCAACCTGAGCACAGCAAATACTCTGCAACCATATACGATTGTAGAGAAAACATAGCAATGACGTTGTATCCAATGCCCCTCAGGAGGACTTATTTCCGTTTGAGAGTCCGTGTGGGGAAGGATTGCGATCGTACTCGCAAGCAGAAGACGGCGAGCATCATGGCGATGCTGTATGCAGTATAAGTTTCTCCTGGCTTTCTACGATGGATGTTCGGTATGTCCTGGAGACATCATCATGGGCGATGAGAAGCTCGTGATGCATATAATATCGACGACGGGACACATTTCGACAGGGACGATCATCATGAGTACACGGAAGGGACGCAGGGCAAAAATGCTTGGCCTGTAGCGGAGAGCGAGCTGCCTCTCTCGATACTTCCACGTAGTAGTACGCGACAACACTGTGATTAGAAATGCTCGAAACCACTAGATCCACGCCTCACTGTCGCGTGGGTTCTGCAGACGAGCACGTGCTCAAACACAGCATTTGAAGGTGTCTCAGATAGCCATATTGAACTATTGTTCCTTGACCACCTTGTCTAATTGCACCCGTTACTCGATTTGCATGTCTACCCTTTATCTGTAGGCAAGTCGCAACTGACAGATCAGAACTCGAGAGCAGACTCACAACAGTGACACCACAATGGCCACGATCGTCCTGCGAGCTGCTACGACAACGGCAGCGAACAATATCTTTGACAAAAGTGCAGCGCCCTCAGAGGCCTCTTACAATTTCAACTTTTCGCCTTTCTTGCGTGAGAACGCATTAGCAGCACTAGCATCCGAAGTCCCAGTGTGCGAGACCTATGCATCCAGTGGCCATTGCCCTCTCGGTCGACGATGTCCCAAGCGCCATCCAACCCCCAATCAAGCCCCGAACCAGCACCACTATGGTCGTAACAATGATAACTACGTCTGTAAACATTGGTTGAAAGGACTATGTAAGAAGGGAGACGAATGCGACTATCTCCACGAGTACAATCTACGAAAAATGAGCGAATGCCAATTTTACAACCAGAATGGATACTGCCAGAACGGCGATGAATGCCTCTACGTTCATGTAAAAGAGGACTCAAAGCTCCCTGTTTGTGAAGACTACAATGCTGGCTTCTGCGAGAAAGGTCCTAAATGTGGTAAGAGACATGTGCGACGCAAGCTCTGTGAGTACTATCTGGCTGGGTTTTGTCCCGAAGGTAGAGACTGCAAGAACGGTGTACATCTGAAAGCTGGTACAGCGGTCAAGGGCAAGCCAGCCGAAGATGATCGAAGACGCAGAGTCGAGGATTTGGAGAGAAGGGAGGAAGAAAACAAGAGAGATTTCCGGGGGAGGGGTGGAAAAGGCGGTAGATGGAGAGACAGAAAGCGACGGAACCCATGATCGAGCACCACTTCAGGATCCTGATCTGACAGTGCTGTTGATACTACTGCGCACATTTGACAGACATTCATTGGATACCCAGTAATTGCAAAATGGGCTAACAGAAAATCCACGTCCTCGAGGACCTGCGTCGACTATATTAGAAGCTATCGACCGCTCTTTCTACCCACAGACAACACCGTAGCAACTCACGATAACACAATTAGTTCGCCTCAGAATACTCGAAGGAACGATAGTCATGTCCGGCCCGGCAGCTGATACTCATAGCTCGATGGAGCTGCCAATATGTGCCAACTGTACATACGCAAGATCGCAACACAGACCTCTCCCTCGTAAGGGTGATTGCTATCCTTGCCTTGCAATATGGCAATATACGAACATGATGAGGGCTTGCATGAGAGAGGAGTCATCCTCTCAACCTTATCAGTCAGAGACACAAACGTCAACATCATCATCGCAATCCAGTAACGCAACGACCCCCATCACCAGTTGGCAAAAACCGGAACCCAGATCGTTCAATACAACTGCACGTCCTCCCGTTCGCAAAGAATTCGTTTGTTGTGACGAAGAAGGTGAGTGTCCTATCAAGCCGGCAAAGAAGCGACGTAAGTCGAAGAACCACTATAAGTCAAAGAAACCTAAATCGAGGAATCAACACAGATCAAAGAAGCAACCCAAACCAGTCGTCGAAGTAACAACTACAGACTCCCATCTACTTTCGCGGTGGTTTGCAGGTCTGGCAATCGATCCACCCGAGTACGTGCCGTGCTGCAACTGCCAGTGGGCAGAGACAAGCCTCCACGACCTGATGCACGACTCGATGCCCGACTTCGATCTGAACTGTGACTTGATGGTGTGGTACGAACAGTTGTAGTGCCTTGGGACCTACTTCCGAGGCGGTGAACGAGTTATTGAGGACGGTTGGAATTTAGGATAGTAAGGTCAAAGTTTCGAAGGAGCATGCTAGCGCCGTCAATCTGCTTGAGGTAATAAATCTGCAGCATAAGGTTGGATACTGTTAGATGAGAGCCTCAACAGCATGTACATTTACACGTGTCAAGTATTATTATAATACATGTGATTTTAATGGATTTTTTGACTTGAAGATTAGATGATTGCGTAGCTCTCGCTTTCCCACATTTACAAGCAATGTTAGGTGCTGCTCACCGCGCCGGTTGTATCAAGTCATGAAGACGGTCGTTTCCAAAGGACGAAGCATTGATGTCGAGCATCTCAAGATCACAGTGGTTCGCTTCTCAAACTACTCTTCTCAATGGTCAGAAGCACAACTACTTGCAAGCGCTGGTAGCACTGGGTGGGTCGAGACATGGTAACACGATTTGGTCCTTACTTCGCTAACTTAGATATGCTGTCAGAGAAAGCGGTCTTGTAACTTCAGGAGGTACACTGTCAGCTCAACCAAGCAGAGTAGTTACACCTTCAAGGACAACAACAACGTGAAGTGAGTGTTCACCACAACACCACAACCAATTTTTCACTGCTGAGGACAAGAAAACAGCTTCGCGGCCGAACAGATGCTTCTAACCACGGCGAGATTCCGGAAAGCAATATCATTGCAAGTGCTAGCAAGAAATTTTAGTCAAGCACACATTCCTGCTCTGCAGTTATGCTGGCTTCTTCGACTTCGTCCTCTTCTTCGCACTATCAGGCGTCGCTTGAGGTGCAGCTGCACCCGAGCGTATGGCCCCTACTGAAACCACTTCCTCATCAACTCTGTCCTCTTCTTGTACACTTTCGTACTCTTTCTTGGCCCCAGGATCTGCGAGACCGACGACTTCGATGTTACCCGCTAGCCACGTTCTTAATGCCTTCTGATCCAGGAAGCCTTGTACGTTAAACCATTCAGTGAAGTTGCCTTCAATAGTCTCATCGTCGACAAATCTTTTGCCTGATTTGGGTGCTTCGTAACGTATTTTGAGTTTGTAAATTGGTTGGTGTTTCGTAACTGAGGATGAGAGGGTCAACTGCGGCATATGTGTTAGCATAAGCCATTCTGTACAATGTCCCCATATTTTGCGAACAGGGTCGTAGGAACGTCCTCGCAGCCTAGACTGACAGGACGCCATTGCTCGATCCGACTCTTCCCAAACACAGCAGCAAGGGAGAGATTCCACGTACCTTTTGTCCACCTTCTCGTACACCAACAAACACTTTCCCACTCTCGACCGCCCATGTCCAGTATGTGAGAGCACTGTTGAGAACAAAGTATGCCACGCATGCAGGCATTGTATAGGGTTTGGTGACGTCCCATCCGAGCTTCCAATCCGCATAGAACAGGATTCCTGCTATGGTGACGGCGACATAACCCAGCGCAAGTCGTACATTCGCGTAGTAGTGAATTTGTGTCAGCTTGTAGGGTTTCGGCAAGGATGTCAGGATGGGTGCCAGGGCATCATCGGTGGTCGTCTTTAGTTCTGCTCAGAAGTCAGTGGTTCATAGTCTTAGGCTAAGTATTCACCGGTGTTGTAATCTGTACAAGAACGGCTTACCTGTGAGATTGTAGAGGGAAACTTTCTGGGGGGCAGTCATGCTGGCTGGGTTATTGGGTAGACGAGTTGCAGGGGACTAGGCTACTCATAACAGGAATAACGTCCGTCTTGTTCGGCAGGAAACTTCTAAAGACGGAGTAACAAAAATAACTCTAACCCAATGTACTTGGTAGAGCATGCGGGAGGACGATCTGTCTGATCTGTCCCCATGCACGACCCGGATATGATATCCACGATAGCCGTTGTTCACCCAGACATCACTTCTACCATTACATAGGGCAAGCGACTATCGGAAATATATCAGTATGCGTTATTAAAACACAAGAATTGGCCTACTCGTAATCATAAACCGCGCCTTTCTTTTCTCATGGATACCTATCTGGAAAAACGCCTCACTCCCGAACTCCATTCCCTATCTTGGTTCCTCTTCTCCTTCCTCTGTTACGAAAACATGAGCGAATGTTCTTAACGAAGTGGTAATGAGACAGTTGAACCTAGAAAACAGAAAGAAGACTTAAAGGACACCGAAAAGAACGATAGACGTTTATGTTCTTCATGTCGCTGCTTCCGCATAGGACCACGTGATGGGAACACGGGTTGTGCGAACCGTGAAGAGAAAAGAAACACCAAGAAGATCTTCATCTTCCTCGGCCTCCGCCGTCGTCCATGAGGCATTTACAGCTCGAGCGAAATGCTTGTAGACACTCACCACTGCTCTCCCTAGTCCCAGGTTATTGCCATTGCCGCGAGGTGGTGCGGTCCGAGCTTTCATTGTGTTTGCTTCACTCGTGTCAGATGACGTGGCGCACAAGTAACAATACTTATATTGACGTCCACCAAAATGCGCTTCCAAATGTACACATAGACAGGGCCTGTAGATCAATAGTAGATCGTCGGACTACGAATCGATCGTGGTGATCCGGAGGTTGCAGGTGCAAGTCCTGTCAGGCTCGCTGTTCTTTCTTTTTTACCTTTCTCCTGTTCTTTTTCTCACCTATCCATTGCATCAATGCTGAGTAGAGTTCGAGAGGAAGACAATCTATATGGAAAAGTGATCCATTTCTTCGTTCATTGTCAATTTACCTTAATCATCTGACGCCCTCAAAGCCTTGGACTAGCAGCCATCAGCGATAGCTCATCAGGGGGACGCTATGATTGAATCGAGCACGACCAGAGCGCGTTTATATCTTTTGCCTATCCGCGATCATCTCTGGTTCCAGAGTCGAAAATTACCTGTCCCTAAGAAGCTCAGAACGGAAAACCAAGGTGAAGAAGTACGACCGCCTCCCAGCTCGCGTTTGTTGTGCCACGGTAACGCGGTCCATCCTCGGCGAACTCGATCTCAAAGACGTCGCGTCGACCATTTGTCGACTGAGTTAGATGAGTCGTTGCTGTTAGCCTTGAAGTACTTGATTATGCTGTCAATATGCAGTAGAGAGCTAAAATTAGAGGCCTAGCGTCTACTGCAGTGAACTCCACCGAACTAACGAACCTGTCGTGCCTGTGTAAACCGCCACATCCTTCACATGTCCGGTGGACTCGTGCCCTGCCCACGTATACATGGCAAGTCTACATCCGGAGTTGCGAGCCTGAATACTTGTGAACCCTGGCACGTTGGTAAGAACAGAATCAGCTCTATTTGACGCAAGTGCATACAATTTCGAAAGCTTCAGCATGGCCTCGACAGGCTCTAAGAGCGTACTCATCCTAGGCGGCAATGGTAAAACGGCCAAGGCTCTGACCGTCCTACTCGCGAGGAAGCAACACAAGATCTACAGTGTCGTCCGTCAGGAGAGCCAGGCTTCTGCTATATCATCTCTAGGTGCTCAGCCTATCATAAAAGACCTCGAAAAGGCAACAGTAGAAGAACTCAGCCGCATCATCGATGAGACTAAATCCGAGATCATAGTATGGGCCGCTGGAGCAGGTTACGGCGATCCATCCGCACCAGAACGAGTCGACCATCAAGCTGCTGTACGAACTTACGACGCAGCAGCTCAGAGCGGTAAAGGCAAGCGCGTTATCGTCATTAGTGCGCTAGATGTTCGCGACCGGAGCAAGGCAGTTCCAGATTGGTATAACGACGCCGACAAGGCTGGGAGCGAAAGGTTGTGGAAGGTGCTTGACCCATACATGCACGCGAAACTTGAAGCAGACAAAGATCTAGTGACGAGAAATGCAGAGCGCGAACTGAAATGGACAATTGTACGTCCTGGCAGATTGATTGACGATTCTGCAGTAGGGAAGGTTGATGCGGGCAGGATACATTTTGGAAAGGCTGTGACTCGAGAAGATGTAGCTGCGGTCGTTCTTGCCTGTATGGAGAATGATAGCAGTATTAACCTTGCGTTTGATCTTGTGGGCGGGGATACTGACGTGGAAGATGCCGTTGCTAAGGTTGGAAACAGTAGGGAGGATTGCTTTGAAGGATTCTACTGAGAGATCTGAAGCGCTTCTGCACTTTGGACCTTTTTCCACAAGGCAACAAAGCCACCTCCTCTTGTCGTCTCTCCGACCATAGGTCTGCAAACCATGGGCGGTATCGTGCCCACTGCAGATTTTGTCGGCTGGCGGCCATGTACAATATTCAGTTCCGCTTCGCTGCCTGGCTCGTGCTCTGCTCCATCTTTCGCAAACTTCGACAAGCGAGTATTTCTCAGGTCAGCGAGGCGTACGTCCCATAAACGGCCATTACTTATGCCGTCACCCAGTTCAACAACCTTTTCGAGCTTCAAGCCTAGGTCGTTACCGACAATTTCCTGGACACAGCTTGCAATTTGTGTGATTTGAGGCACAAAAACAAGCAATTGCCCACCACTCTTGACGGCGCCGACGACTGATGAGATGTATTCTTCTACTCCAGGCATGTCTAGAATCACTATGTCGAGGAAAGGTTGCTGCTCGGTGGAGGAAAGTTTCTCTGCAGCCCATTCTTTGACGTTGCCAGCATAGAAATCGATGTGTGGCCAGTAGGCAGCATTTCGAAAGGAGCGAATGAGCTTGTCGGCGTGTTCGCGATTTAGAGGGTCGATATCGACAGTATGCACGACAGCGCGACGCTGCTTCCGCCATTCATTGAGAGCATCCGACTCACCACTGTTATCGCCTTCGTCAATCTCCTCACCTGCTCTGTATTTCGTCAATTTCGAAGCTCTAGGCTTGATGTCTTCACTTGGTGGCGGATTGGCAGAAGCGATTGCACGAGCGAGCTGCAAGGTCAAACTGCCATGACCAGTACCGGCTTCCAAGATCTGAAATGTCGGGCCACTTTTCCTCGAATCGTTCTCTAAGGATGGCGGCTCATTGTGAATGTCGAGCAAGGCGACTATTGTTTCAGCATAGGTAGCATAAATAGGGGCCACACGCCGTGGCGCAAGCGATGTGAACTCGTCCAACGTAGGATGTCTGGCAAATACACTGAGCTTGCGCAATCGATCCTTCGAGGTACTTAGGAGCCGTACATTGGATTCCTGGCCGATGAGGTAGCTGTGCTTGATAGGGTGACTATCGATGTCTGTCTCGCCATCTTCACGTAGAGGCTTGGTGAGCTTCCGCTTTGATGTCTTGCCCTGCTTCCATCTCAATAGCACTCTATCACCAACTAGTTGTTGTCAGAGCCCATGCGACGTTTGTTTGTTTGTCAATTTCGTACTTTGTAGTTTGGATTGTTGCACAGGACAAGAGCTAAAAGCCCGGCTGTATCGATTCAAGCCATTTCCGCAGTGATGGGCGTGGTACTGAATGTAAGCAAGTCGACTGCCTCTGTTGAGGAGACCAGCCAGCATGCGAGCAGTGTCAGGTTCCTTCAGTTGTACTCGTGTTCGCCCGGTAGCACTTAAAAGGATTTGGAACCTTGACAATCTGAGATGATACAGAGGCAGGTGCACTTCAGGTTGGTCTCCGCAGTTTCGAGATTCATAGAGTGGTTGTTCATTCCCAGAGTAGTTGCCGGTTTTCACCACTATAGTCCTCGTCCCTCGGCAATTACTACAATACAACGGGGTCTCCCATGGTTTGCAGTTCTGAAGCGACAGCATTATGTCGCATTGCATCTCCAGCAGGCCGCCGGGATATAGGCAGAGAGAACAAAACGGGAGGGTATGTAGGACATCTTCATGTTCTGGTTCCTACATGACCTTGTCCTGTCAGTCTTGCCTTGCATGTAAGACCATTCCTTGAAGCGCAGCCTCTGGCTGAATCTGGTTCAGACATGACTCGAAGAATTGTTCGTGGATTTCAAGCAACATCTCGATGGCGCATGGGTATACTGACGTCTACTAGGTACGGACTGGCTTACAGTTGACATGTTTGGTATCTGTGGTCCTGTTCCTCGTTGTGTTCCTGGACAATAGATATCGAGTTCTACCTACCGCAATTCACAATCACCTACCGGCCCACCATCCTGGATTTGTGGTTACTGATATTAGAGTACTGTCGTGCTCATCGCTGAATCCTTTCAGCAAGTGCGCCATCAACGAGGATAACTGGCACAAGATAGACAAGGACCTCTACCTGGGAAGAGGATTTCCAAGCAAAGCATACGTTCATGTACGCAGGAAAAGGGAAGAGGAGTTACTAAGCCACGATGAATTGGTCATCGATGTCTTTGTCGGACCTACCTCACCAGACGATGGCAAACTTGGGAAGAATGAGAAATGGGAATCGCGCTCTATGGGTATCTGGATCAAACGCTCCTCGAAACGACATCTTTCAGACTCAACAAAGGCAGTAACGGGTGTAGACGTTCTCTTTGGTCCAGATGCGGCTGATCCGCGTTCTAACTGGGTCATGCAAAGGACGACTCTGAAGGTGGATGCACATGGCGAGCCTCCCGAGCCACGCTTGACAGTTCGCAATGGTCCTGCGCTGAAAGTTGATCCTCCGGTACCCAGAATTCGCAAGGATGGGAAGTTCAAGATCTTACAAGCCTCCGACCTTCATCTCGCAACTGGCTACGGAAGATGCCGGGACGCGGTACCTGATGGCTACAACGGTGGTCCATGTCTTGCTGATCCTAGAACTCTTGAATTCGTGGAGCGCATTCTGCTCGATGAGAAACCTGACCTGATAATTCTCTCTGGCGACCAAGTCAATGGTGATACAAGTCCTGACGCTCAATCAGCTATTTACAAATACTCCGCTCTGTTCACGAAGCATCAAATCCCTTATGCCGGTATTTTCGGCAACCATGATGATGAAAGCAATCTCAATCGCGCACAATCTATGGCGATCATGGACGGTTTACCCTACTCCCTGTCTCATGCTGGACCATCGGACGTAGAAGGAGTTGGTAACTACTACATCGAAGTCCTCTCGCGCAACGGTGGATCCACCAGCGCTTTGACGATATACATGCTCGACACGCATTCCTACAGCCCTCAAGAGAAGAAGTATCATGGATACGATTGGCTAAAACCAAGTCAAATAGACTGGTTCAAGTCCACTGCGCAGAGTTTAAAGCATAAGCACAAAGCCTACAGTCATATACACATGGACTTGGCTTTCATCCACATTCCCTTACCTGAATATCGCAATCCAGACAACAATATCGTCATCGGCAACTGGAGTGAAGGCGTTACAGCACCCTCGTACAATTCTCACTTCACCGATGCACTTGTCGAGGAGAACATCCTTATGGTCTCTTGTGGCCACGACCACGTCAATGACTACTGTGTGCCGAAGAACAACAAGCACGGCGAGGCAGCACTATGGATGTGCTATGGTGGCGGCGCCGGATTCGGTGGGTACGGCGGTTATGGTGGCTACATCCGACGAATGCGCCTTTTTGAATTCGACATGAATGAAGCCAGGATACGAACGTGGAAAAGACTCGAATGGGGTAGCCAGGAAGATTTGGAGCGAAGAGTTGACGAGCAGATTATTGTGGATGCTGGGAAGGTGGTGACGGGCATGTGAAACCCAGCATTGTTGTATCAAAATTACAACATAGCATGGAACAGAGTACGTCGACTTGCTGTACAACATTTTGTGCTGTGGCAGCAGCAAGGAATACAAGTACCGAACTTTAGCGAGCCTACAAGGACTCACATGGCAACAGAGCCACCACCCGAACGAGATCTCTGAGCTGAATAAGCGACGAGCAACAAAGCCCGTGGCAGCAAAACAAGAGATGCACAATACTGTGAGCCTCATCACTCGATGTCGTTCATGTCTCCTATTTAAGGGGTGTTCCTGTTCGAAGACGTTACCTTGTGGGCGTTCCTACGAGCAGGACTGGCACTGACACCCTATAAGTAGAGGTGAGAATATTCCGTAGAGAAATTGGTTCAGTATCCCGGCAGAGAGTGCCTGGAGGATGTGATGTATGCTATAGCACTGGTCGAGAGATGTGAACGGGCCAGAATGTACATCAAAATTGCTACCACCACTTCTCACACAATACTCTCTTCTCATCTAAACCAGGCATAGCCTTGAGTAGTTGCACAAAGTCATCGGTCATGTCTGGAAGTCCACACACATACACAAGTGTAGTTTGTCTCTGTTTTTCCGAACCGACTGCCTCAGCTAGATCTTCGGGTTTTATCCTCCTTCTGCAAGTTTTCATGTTTAGTGGCATACTAGTAGTGTCCTGCTCAATATTCGCTGGGACATCGTCTTTGAAAGTCTCGAAGAATGTGTATCCAAAATCCACGTTGTCCTGTTTCGAAGCGCGCTTTGCCGCAATCGCCTTTAGCCTCTCTTCGAAGAGTATTTCTTCCAGTTTACCCTTGCCATCAAGGCCTCTTCTGGACGTGTATAAAATTCTCAGTCTGCTCGGAAGACCTCCCATTCGTTTGGATCCTAACATGTCCATGGCTGTGACCATGCTCATGATTGGGTTGATACCAACACCTCCGGCTATTAGGACAACGTTGTTAATCTGTTGAAACTCAGGCATTGAAAGTGTCATTGGAGGGAAAGTGAAGTTTCCTCCGATACGAAATCTGACCGGTGCATTCATTATCTGATCCGGTTGCTGCCAGAGATATGCTGCTGGAGGATTATCAAGGGCTTTCTGTATTGCTAATTCTATGTAGGGATCGTCAAAGGTCGCAGCTGATGGAGGCGTCGTAGTCGATGGTGTCGGAGCAGGCAATTTGATCGCTGTTTGTGGCGGTGAAGTTATCGTAAAGCCTCCGACTCGTTCGACTTCTGGTACATGAAGATCTACATATTGACCAGGAAGATGTCTTAGAGGTGACTAATAGAAGTGAGTCTGCATTCTCACGGTCAAGAATCAAAGCAGTATGTAGGTCACCAGCACAGGTCGGGTTTGCGACCAACCTTTGTGACAGATAGAAGTATCAACAGCTTACCTGATCATTGTCAAGATATAGCCGTAAAAGGCGAATCTTGGAATTGACTTGCTCTATTCTCCCAATTGTTGCTCGAAACATATCTCGCTGCCTCTGATCCGCTGATGTCCGTACGATGTGAGGTATCGAGTCTTTTACTGTCGCCATTTTCCTGATGATTGAGCGATGCTGAAAGTTGGAAAATTGGACGTTCTTGAGGCTCGACGATAACGCTGAAGAGTGCCCGAAGCTTCCAGTAGACTTGAAAGGAGACCGCATAGAGAGAGCAAGCATAGTGTATCTGAAAGCATTCGAAGAACCAAGTCTTCGCATCGGCCTTATTCACGACATCAAGCTGAAAAGATTAGCACAAAGTTAGCATTTGCGATGGCTGAGAGATGAAGTCATAGCAAGTCCGAAACTGCACATTGTTTAATATCAAAATGGCATGTCTGCACAAGCTTATCGGGACCAAGCAAGAGATAGACGCGTGCGATGGCTGCTAAGAACACAGGAATTAACAGAAGCACGCAAGCTGTATAGTCTTGGGTATAAGAGGCAGTAGCAATGTGACTGGGGAACTGTAAGGTACCCCAAATGCGGCAAGTGCGACGAGGCAGTAATGCGCCTGCAGTGGGCATCGGTCGCAGCAATACCTTACATGGCTACGGTATAAACGGACTGGAGGTACGAAGACACGGTATCGAAGATCTCCTCACCTTTGTGGTTATGAGAGTCGTTGACTGGTCAGCGTTATAGCAAATGCTGCTTCATTCGCCGCAAGAATTAGAGACATCAAGTAACAGCTTGAGAGTCCCCCATCCTCATCTTATATGGTGCATCTAGCTAAACAGCATTTGCAATGTAGAACAAGGCGCGAGGGACAGACTGGAAGGGTTTCGAGTTTTTGTGGGGTGAAAGGACAAACTTGTGAGCTGGCATCGACCGTTATCATTATCGCAATTCTTCTGGATGGTTCATGCTTCAGGCATATGATGGTGTCAAGCAGCATAGTATGCAGGCAACAGATCACCGAAAGCCAAGCTTCGTGTATCTTGCTCTTTTCATAACATATTTCTGGCCAAGTAGAACGCTGAGTTGGATGTTGCTGTCAACTGCGACCTCTTGAGAAGTAGAGAAGCATATTTGATGTGTGCGGAACCACGGACATGACGTGCTGGGCTGCGACTCGGTGTTATCAATTCAGCCCTCTTGTTCACTTCTGAGTATTGTCGATTACTCTGAACATAATCAATAACTTCTGCGCAGACACAAATTATAGCTTTGGTAGAGTAAATGATGGTAGAGAGAAGGGATGAGGTTCAGAAAGAGTAGGTCCAATGCCGAGCTTTTAGTGGCGGAAACCGGCACCTACAACGATGCTCTGGGCCACCAGCAGCAACCTCACCTCATGAATCGATAGACCACATATATCCTTTTGCCAACGACAAAACCGCTTGAAACCTCTCAATTGTCGTATGAGACTATCACGTACATACCCTTTCAACTTGCAGTTCGTTTGCTGTTGCAATATATAGCTTTTTTCGGCACTTTCTCCACGACCACGAAACACCTCCCAGGTACCAACGCTCAGCCCCAAACAACCTTATGAGAAGGTCATCAAGGATAGCCAAAATTACTTCGGGTATACTGATGGATTATCATATTGTCTGATCGGGCGAGGAGAGGGACAAATTTTGAGACAATTGACAACATCAATATCGATCGCCCCTTTCGGTATCGAACATGACGAGCTTCGCTACCACGATTGCCGTTCAGAACCTCTGGGCAAATGATAATGCGACTGGTCACAATGCTGGTTTGCATTTGACAAGTGACAAAAGGTTGGTATTGTCTCCTTTTGATAGTGTCTTTGGACTTGTGGCAATTCTAACCAATTTTTATATTCAGCCATGCGAACCCACAATCCATCATAATGGAAAATATTAATATCAAAATGGAGGTTGACGACGATGATTCTACTGACGAGCAAAACACCATTTTGAGAAGTCTAAAGACCAATAGTGAACCACGAGACTCGCCCAATAGCTCTATGACTTCGCAATCCGGCGCCTCTTCTGTGCAAGATATCAAACCATCCACGCCCAAAAAGGCTTCTCAAGTCACCAAGGACTATGAGAGCCCAAGCAAATATATCCACAGTCGTGTTGCAGGCACTTTCAAGGCCAAGTCATCTATACCTTCAAGATTGCCACCTGCAGAGTATGCTCGTCAATGCGTGGCTGCAGCTGAAGCATCTCGACTGCCTCCATATGCACTGCACGAAGAAGAACAGAAGCTCTTACAAGACAAGCTTTGTCAGCAGCATGTAACAGTCTATCTGAATATTCGAAACGGCGTCCTCCGCTTGTGGACACGTAATCCAGGTGTCAGTGTCAGCATCGAAGAAGCAATAGGATGCGCTCGAGACGAACGCTGGACGCGACTTGCGTGCTTTGCATGGGAATGGCTTGTCAGAAGAGGCTATATAAACTTCGGCTGCGTTGAGCCACCTGCTATCTCAAAAACTGTCAAAACCAGAGGTCGACCAAGTCAACGAGAGACAGTCGTTGTAGTTGGTGGCGGCATGGCAGGCTTGTGCACAGCGAGACAACTAACAAATCTCTTTCAACACTACCCAGATCATCCGACTCCTCGCATCATTGTGCTTGAAGGTAGAAATCGTCTTGGAGGTCGGATATACTCGCATCCTTTGAATAGCATGCGATCCTCTCTACTGCCATCAGACCATCGGTCCACAGCAGAAGCAGGCGCTCACATCATTATAGGATTTGAAGGTGGGAATCCGCTCGATGCAATCATTCGGGGACAGCTCGGCCTCGACTATCATTCTCTTCGAGATTTATCAACGCTCTACGATGTTGATGGCACGCCAGTAAACGGAGCCAACGATGTGATGATGGAGAAACTATACAACGATATACTAGACCGAACAGGAACATATCGACTGAAAAATAGTTTTAAGAAAACTGCATCTGGAGAACGAGAAACTATGGATGCAGGTCGAGATCCGCCCGATACAGACGACACATTGACCTTGAGACAGTACGAAGAAGCTACGGCTGCTGGTACCATTGATCAATTGATCACCAAGCGATCTCGCCGTAGAGGTGCAGGTCATCGTGCAGCCAAGCAAGACAATCCGGAAGAACGAATTGAGACCAGCATGGAAAGCAAGACACAATTACCAGCAGCACAAGCAGCAAAAGAATTTGGGTTCCTGCTACGAAAGAGCACAGAGCTCCATGAGACACTCGAGATCGACAGCCTCGCAGAGGAATTTAATCAGTCACTCGGTCTTGTCATGGACGAAAGTGTCAAACAGTACCAGAAATTTCTTGATCTCAAGCCATACGCTCTGCGGCTGATGAACTGGCATTTTGCGAATTTGGAGTACGCTAATGCAGCAAATGTTGATAGGCTAAGCCTCCGAGGATGGGACCAGGATACTGGCCACGAATTTAGCGGACCGCACTCTCAAGTGAAAGGTGGCTACCAACAGCTACCACGAGGCCTATATCACTTCCCTACCCAGCTCGACGTACGCACGAACAAACCTGTGAAGAGCATTCGGTATGGTGGTGCAGGGACTAAGAGTAGGGCAACCATAATTTGTGAAGATGGAGAATCCTTTGAGGCAGACAAAGTTGTCTTCACTGCTCCGCTGGGCGTTCTGAAAGAAAACACCATACAATTTGAGCCTCCTCTGCCACAATGGAAGAGAGACGCCATCCGCAGAATGGGGTTTGGCTTACTCAATAAACTCATCCTGGTCTTTGACAAGCCATTTTGGGACGTTGATCGAGACATGTTTGGTCTGCTTCGACAGCATCGTCATGGCAATGGTTTTGATCAAACACACTACAAGGAAGGAAGAGGTCAGTTCTACTTCTTCTGGAACACGATCAAGACGACTGGGCTCCCATGCCTGGTCTCACTAATGGCAGGCGAAAGTGCTTTCGAGGCAGAACGCACACCAGACAATGTGCTTGTGGAGGAGTGCTTGCGCTCGCTTCGCGCATGCTTCGGAGAGGCGAACGTGCCCATGCCCCTCGAGAGCGTTGTCACCCGCTGGGGCTCGGATCGTTTTGCTCGAGGCACATATTCATTTGTTGCTAAAGAAGCTCGACCGGCGGACTACGACATGCTCGCCGAACCTATATCGAACCTACACTTCGCTGGCGAAGCAACTTGTAGATACTATCCTGCTACCGTTCACGGTGCTTACCTGTCAGGTCTACGAGTAGCTAACGAGATTCTCGAGACCATGACTGGCCCCATAGCAGTTCCACCGATACTTGTACCTGCTAAAGAGCTGACACGCAAAGAGCCTGCAGCGACCTCAACGTCTAACAAGACAAATGCTACCATCGACCTCACACCTGCAGAGGATCACCTTATCAAAGTGCCAGCTCGCAAAGGCGACCCCGTCCTCCCAGCCGGCACATTCACACGACCTGCGAAGGAGAAGATCGATACGTCGCTCAACGAAGCCTACGATGCAGCCATGTGGGTGCGCATCTACGACGAACTCGGTCCACCACCACCCAAGCCTCAAAAGTCCAACGTAAACGCGTACCTCATGTTCCAGATGGAGAAATGGGACGAAGTCAAGACAAAATTCCAAGGCGCCACTACCGCTTCAGGCCGAAGAGCAGGTAAGGACAAGCACGAAAGAGACAGAGTCCGCGTCGAGATCGGCCGCATGTGGAATGAGCTTGGAGAAGAGGCACAACGTCCATACAAGGAGACTGTCGAAAAGAACAGATTTGAGAACGATCGTGCTTTCAAGGAATGGCAGCAGAAGGCTCAGGAATGGGACAAGAGGACTTGGGAAGTGAAAGATACGTGGATCAAGGAAGGCAACACTTTTGAGGAGTTTTGCAGTCGGGCAAGGGAGGAAAGGGACGTTATGGACGGCCGGAGTATGAAGAGGGAGAGTGAAGATACGGATGGCGGGAGTGGGAAGAGGGTTAAGGTGTAACCTCTTCGCAAGATGGGACGGCACTCAGGCGCCTCCTGCAAGAACAATGTCGAGAACTATGACCATCGTCCCCGACAGTCTGCTTTGAAACGACGAACCTGTTGGAAACGGTACTTCGCAGTATACATCCGCACGTCGCTGAGACAAGACCATTTGATATTGTAGCACAACATACATTATCCATCACTTCTGTATTCCTTCTCTGCTGCAGGTCCAGTTCGTGTATCTTTCACATCTTCTTGACACTTGATCTGTGGTGTCATGGGCAAACTACAGCAGTGAACATGGCGAAGATACCTGAACACGACGTGACATGGCCATGCGGGGTACACGTTGCTCTGGCATGTGGCACGGCGTATGTACTCTGCTGGGCGGATCTGTAGCGGTGATCTTCACGGCCGGCGGGGCACAATATCGAGTGGCACGAATGTCATGCTGTAACACGTCTTCAGGGGCTGGAGAGGGTCACGAGGCTTATGTTGGGTGTAACGGAGGCGTCTAGATTGTAACAGATTACATAGATGTTAAGAGATCACTGCGAGGCTTGAGTACGATGGGTACAACGTAGAAGTAGGACATTGTAATGAATATGGAGACGGACCGGCAGAGAGGAACAATGATATGTGAGTACCGTTTCATCTCAGAAAAGAGTATTCGATTTTGTGCATATAATAGCTCGGACAGACTATGAATCAAGAAGTTCAGTATGTGCGTATACATATGCAGATGCAGATAGAGGGGGGTAAATATGTCCCTTTCTCTTGTCCTTGCAGTCGATCTATCCCTCTGCTCAAGCTCTTATATCCTTTGAAGCTCATACCACACCGGGTGTCTATAAATCCTGCCCAAATTTTGCTTGTTGAAACCGCGACACCAATGCTAACTCAGTCAAAATCAGATGAATGCTAAAATGGTGATGCTCAATGATCGAATGTGTTGAGAAAAGTTGTAATTGAGAATCTTCGTCGTATCAATGTGGCTTTGTATGTTCTATCTGTGCTCCTCGTGTAACTTGAAGGCTTGGCACGTTCCGTTCGTTGTATCGAAGTCGGCCAGGTCGGTCTGGACAGCCTGCGCTGTCGATCAGCTGGTGAAACAGGCGACCTCGGAGATGGTTTGAGGTGGTGCAACACTAATCCATCCACTGTCACTTGTTCCACTTTGGCTGCCTGACCATCCGTTGCTGCCCATGAACATACACGTGTAACCCGAGACTGCAGCAATCTGATCAATGGAGGCGATATCGCATGAGCCATATGAGGAGGAAAGGATGTTGAGACATGTTAGGCCAGAAGTTCCATAGCCGTTGCCATCAGTCGGTACCCACAAAGCGAATTGCGAAGCGCCCGAAGTCATAAGGACGTTGGTGGCAAAATCGGCGACAGCAACAACCGTGATGGGAGCTGCAGCAATCTTAGACGCTAGTAGAGCCAGCGCAATGGTGAAGGTGAATGACTTCATCGTTGTGGCTGTTCGAGGCACGTAACTTCAGAGTATATCGAAAGGTAGACCGCTTCAGTAGGTAAATGGTGACCGACAGAGTATGAATCTGTCGATGCAAATTCGATACAGATGAGCGATGTAAACGTCTGATGGTCGACTGGTCCGAGCACTCAACGTGAAACGAGTGACGAAGAAGCCGAGATGAACGTAGGTCCAAGTACGTTGGATTACAGGTCGGACTGAGAACCTGGCACAGGTACACTGATCCTGAAGTCAAAGTGAGCTTCTGGCAATGTAATTATTTCTTTCAAGCGAATGTGGGATACTGAGGAGTGATGGTATGTGTCAAAGGTGGCCCCGGTTGTAGTTGTCCTGAGGTGGGTGATTGAAGACAATATTGCATCAAACTTCACGATATTCGAGCAAGCGGAGGTTGATTCGTGGTTTCTGGAGGCTTATGATGCAAGCTGCAGGTAGGTTCTCCCAAAGGGCGAATACGGCTTGCTCCGTGGTGGAACCAGGTTCGAGAACTGATCGTTTCTGAAGATCAGCAGAGACAGCGGTGGAGTTGCAGACAGTGAATTTGTGATGGCAGCTTCGACTTCCTGGATGGCACGTTATAGCTTCAAACCAACGAGAAGAAAGAGTTGAAGAACTTCGCTGAGAATTAGTCGAGGTTGCAGGACAGCCGAGAAAAGGCTTGTGTGGTTGCGATCAGACGTGACTGGCCATGTTGTAGCTGTACCTTAGTGGCGGCATGCAGCTGCTGCGATCGCAGGGTGGGTGGAGTTCGATGTGAGCAGCAGACACCTTCCCAAGGAGATAGCGGCTTGAGCAGACGACGTAGTGGTGGCGACTACTCTGCTCTCAGCCTGCATGACTGCTGGGTCTCGACCTCTGATTGGGTTTGGGATTTTGTGTCAAGGGCACGGCTGATGCACGCCGTTGTCCTCTTATGCACATAGCCGTCTCCGGCTAGACGTAAGATTGGTTAGCTTACCAGCCACGGGCTCATGATATGACCTTAACCCACCTGGGACACTTGCCGTGTCAGACACAGTCGCCTAGCTGGATCTATGGCAAATCGTCTCGAGCAGGAGGAGAAGATTTCGAGAACTTGTAGGAGCCGAAACTCGATGGCCCTGGATCTCCTCGCTTGAGCATGGAAGCCTTGCTGCACATGTGGCACTTGTCAGGTATCTCGTCACATCCTGCAATCAATCCACACAGTGACCACGCATGCACGATACTGTAGATGCATTTCTGAGAGGGAAAGGTGAATGACGGAAAAAGACAGTTCTGTGGAATTATGAGATTTAGCGCATAAGCTTTTCCTCTTGCAGTAGCTGCGGAGTGGTTCTTCGACGGACCCTGCCAAAATGAGACATTTCGCTGGTGAGCTTGGAGCTCGAGCCACACACTTACAAAAAGCATCGTCTTCGCTAGTGCTTGTCTTAGACAAACGCAGAGCACACCAACCTAATGGGTTCGTTGGTTCGTTCAGAGATATCACTTACGAAGGTGTATCTCGAATGCCGTCAGGCTTCATTACGAAAAGCTCTGGCGGTCTGGCTCGATGAAGTTTTGCACCAGACAAATAGAGTGCTGCAGGGAACATGCCATTGCATAGATGGAAAACTGTTGCCTAAACGTGCTCAGACTTAGATGGCTATTCTTGCACCATTCGTCAGTCGCGGGCTGATTGCTGCTCGATTGACGACATTCTGAGCCAGGTCGAGGGGTATCGAAGTGGTCGCCGGCGCTACTCTTGCACAGAACGAGACGATGTCCCAAGAATGGGCCTAGCACTACAATACTGCAACACTTGCAGTACAGCGAACAGCTATTGTTAAGGAACCTTTGCATAGAAAAGACTCCCACAACTGATCTGCGTTAGCTCGAGTCAACGTTGAGTTCGAATCGTCTGTATCGGCACTAACGCGAGAACGCGAGTATCCAGACGTGAGGTAAATAACTGCTAGCGTTACGATATGGTGTGCGGCAGTATTCTTCCAGCCACTACGATGTCTCTGTATTGTCAACGTGCATGGGGAGTTTTCACCACAACATCTCGATGTCGTGAATACTGTAAACGCAGTGACAGTGCCTCAAAGCGGTGTCTTTGTGGTGCAGCTAATGGCTCGTCACGAGTCTCTGCGTTCCCCGCCTGGAACATTGCAAGCAGTCCATTCCTGTGGTAATAGCCATGAGTACAGGAAGATGGTGATTACCCATAATGGTGTCGACACCCGCTTAGTAACCAAATGATCGGACCTCCGGCAGAGTGGAATTAGACAACCAGTTTAGAAACCGGCAAGGATCTACATATCAAACAGTATAATGCCTTAAGAACCTTCATAGACCTACCAGCGTGTTTGCAGGCGTCAACCACTTCCTCAAAACTGCACACTTTAGGCGCGCAGTGTGCACTGGACCGCGGGATGGGTAAATGAGTGTAGACCAACAGAATTGCTCGGCTCGAGCACGCTTTGGCCGATAACCGTTTCCACCTCTTCGACGGCAGACCTTTGGTCTAGCAAGCAGCATACTGCCATGTGCGCCTTCGCTGTATGGCACCATGTCGATGTGCGATAGTTCGGAGTCTTTCAAGCATCAACGACGTCAGACATGCTGATCTCGTACCAGTATGAAGGTCTTCCAGGATATCGTGGTCAGACGGAGTATTTCGAACAGGCTGACGATGATCAGTAAACTCGGAATGTGAGATTTCGTGTACAGGAAGGCGACCGGGAATATCGGTGCCTTGCATATATCGATGATGGTTAGAACCCTTTTCGTTCGACTGCATCTGTCACAACTCGAGACGAGCCATGGCACGTCTGTACTGCCTGGATGCCGAAAATGGTCCCAATTCCGTACGAGTAACTCTCTCGCTCAACATTACGAAGACCTGATCACTTCTAGCTTAGTACCCCGAATCTGAGCTGTTGAGACTCCCTGAGCCGTTCGCTGCAGGTCATTCTTGACTCTTTCTCGTCGACCAACATATCTACAATGGAACGTTCGTGGACAATCGTCAGCTTGTTGAAGAGTAGTCTGAAGTTTTCCAGTACTTCGAGTCGTCCAAGGCTTTTACTAAGTGTCTGAACTTTCTGTGTGTTGTCCGCGAAGTGCCTCGCACGTGGATGATACCAAGGCCAGCATACTCTCCCACCACAGCAAGCAGCTTGGTGGCAATCCGTGTTGGTATGACGCCGGACAGCAGTGGCCATGTGGTCGTTAGTGGTACTCCATCCCATCTCGGATTCCATGTAGAGAGGATAACAGCACGAAACCTGGTCGCCGTAGCACAATCTGAGTGTTTCAGACTTGTTCAAGGGTTCTGAACGACCTGAACATTGTTTTTCTTCTTCCACTTGTCCATCTCGGTTTGTTTGCTCTTGTACTGTTTCAGTAGTTCGTCCAGTACCTGCTTGAGACCATCGGAATTCGTCTTTAGGGCAGGCAGAACTTCCTTCACAGTTCGTTCCACGAGAACACCATTGATCAGGCGAAAGCACTTGCGATCACCAGGCAATGGATCTAGACTTTCAGTGACAAGCCTGGGAAGAGATCAGTATCGTGTCTCTGTATACACCTTTTCGCGTACTGACTTGTGCTCTTCGATTTCTTGCTCAATCTCTCCGACTTTCTGTGCTAGCGACTGCAAAGTGGACTTGTAGTTCTGGTACTGCGTTTGCAGGTCTGCGCCAGTTAGTAAGGTGAGAATTGAGATCCTAGATACTTGCCCTGCTGCTTCTTCATAGCAACCTCGGAAGCCATATTTGCAGATACTATCAGCAGCCTGAACGAGAACACAGATTAAAGTGTTAATGCTGGTTTCTGAAATGACTGGAAGGAAGTCACGATGCTGATGCCTTGACGCCTAAAATACGAAAGGTGGAGGACGACCGCCAAAATTCGTATACTCGATTCCACGCAACCCGAGCACGACACGATGATAGTCATGCCCGACCTCACAATTCTACGGGCAACACCGGAATCTCTCTTGAACTATGGATCGTGATAGAAGCCCCAAAAGGCGTAAACTTGAAGACAGCAGGTTCTCTACTCCTCAACCTGATGACCTAGCTCCTTCACTAACACGACTCTCGAAGATCAAGACCGAGTCAAATGGTCACTATGCCTCCTCGCGATCGTCGACGCCACGAGGAAAGCGATACGCTTCCACTCCTCGCCAATCTGAGTTCGACGTAGCAGAACCATTCATCCAGGACGAGGACTCAACTGCTCTAGATCGAGATTGGTACCTGGGAGACGACTTCGGACACACCTTTGGCGATGAGTCGCACAATCCTTTTGGCGGTGCTGATGTCTCTTGGCAAGACAAGCAGCGTGAGCAGGATCTAGCCAACAAGAAGCTCGGCAAGCGTATGACTGCCCGTGCTGCTCAAAAGCAAAGAGAGGTTGATGCTTGGGAGACTAATCGCATGCTTACTTCTGGTGTCGCTCAAAGACGGGACCATGGCGCCGACTTCGAAGATGACGATGATTCGACTCGTGTACATCTGTTGGTTCATGATCTCAAACCACCCTTCTTGGACGGAAAGACTGTTTTCACCAAGCAGCTGGATCCTGTGCCTGCAGTCCGAGATGCGCAGAGTGATATGGCAGTTTTTAGTAAGAAAGGCAGCAAAGTGGTCAAGGAAAAACGGCAACAGAAAGAAAGGCAGAAACAGGCACAAGAGGCTACAACTGTTGCTGGTACTACACTAGGCAATATCATGGGCGTTCGTGAAGGCGACGGTGACAGTGTCGCTGCGATACCTAATGAAAACGGGAAGTCCAGCGACAGCAAGTTTGCTAGTCACCTCAAGAAAGATGAGGGTGGTAGTGCTTTCAGCAGAACCAAGACTTTGAAAGAGCAGAGAGAATATTTGCCAGCCTTTGCAGTAAGAGAAGAACTTATGCGTGTGATCCGAGATAACCAGGTCATTATTGTGGTTGGCCAGACTGGTTCGGGAAAAACTACACAATTGACTCAGTTTCTGTACGAGGAAGGGTATGCTAAGAATGGCTTGATTGGATGTACACAACCTCGAAGAGTAGCAGCAATGAGTGTGGCAAAGCGTGTCAGTGAGGAGATGGAGGTGAAATTAGGAGGTCTCGTTGGCTATGCTATCCGTTTCGAGGACTGCACTAGCAACGAGACCTCGATTAAATGTGAGTCGTGAGTAATGATTGCGTTTTCGCAAGTACTAATTGATTTCCAGACATGACCGATGGTGTACTTCTTAGAGAGTCCTTGACTCAACGAGATCTAGACAAATACTCATGCATCATTATGGACGAAGCCCACGAACGTGCCCTCAATACTGATGTCCTGATGGGCCTGATCAAGAAAGTCATTGCGCGCAGAAGAGATCTGAAGCTTATTGTGACCTCTGCAACGATGAACTCTGAACGTTTTGCTCGTTTCTTTGGTGGTGCACCCGAGTTTGTGATTCCAGGCCGCACGTTTCCTGTTGATATCCAATACTCGAGGACGCCCTGTGAGGATTATGTGGATAGTGCGGTCAAGCAAGTCCTTGCAATCCACGTATCGCAGACAGCGGGAGACATACTCGTATTCATGACTGGACAGGAAGACATCGAAGTGACTTGCGAACTGATTGAAGAGCGCCTACAACAGCTCAACGATCCTCCGAAGTTACTAGTATTACCTATCTACTCTCAAATGCCTGCAGATCTACAAGCGAAGATCTTCGATAGGGCTCCTCCAGGCGTCCGAAAAGTCGTTGTAGCTACCAATATCGCAGAAACCTCCCTTACAGTCGATGGCATCATGTACGTTGTGGATTCTGGCTTCTCGAAGCTCAAAGTCTATAATCCACGCATGGGTATGGACACTCTCCAGATCACACCTATCTCTCAAGCCAATGCATCGCAACGGGCTGGTCGAGCTGGTCGTACCGGGCCCGGCAAGGCTTATCACCTTTATACCGAGCAAGCTTTCAAGGACGAGTTCTATATTCAGACCATACCCGAAATACAACGTACCAATCTCGCCAATACCGTCCTCCTGCTGAAGTCGCTCGGTGTCAGAAACCTGCTTGACTTCGACTTTATGGATCCTCCACCTCAAGATGTGATCACCACGTCCCTCTTCGACCTTTGGGCTCTGGGAGCACTTAATCATGTCGGTGATCTAACAGAGATTGGTCGAAGCATGACCCCGTTTCCAATGGACCCGTCCCTAGCTAAGATTCTGATAACATCCTGTGATCCAGCATACGAGTGCAGTGAGGAGGTCCTCACCATCGTGAGCATGCTTAGTGTACCTTCCGTCTTTTACCGCCCCAAAGAGCGTCAAGAAGAATCGGATGCAGCAAGAGAAAAGTTCTTCGTCCCGGAATCAGACCACCTGACACTGTTGCATGTTTACACACAATGGAAGAGCAATGGCTATAGCGATGGCTGGTGCGTGCGACACTTCTTACATCCGAAGGCACTGAGAAGAGCAAAGGAGATTCGAGATCAATTACATGACATTATGGTTGGCCAGCAAAAGATGACTTTGACGAGCTGTGGTACAGATTGGGATGTGGTCAGAAGGTGTATCTGTGCTGGATATTACCACCAGGCCGCGAAGGTGAAAGGTATAGGTGAGTACATTAATCTGCGCACATCTGTTACTGTGCAACTGCATCCCACGAGTGCTCTGTATGGGCTAGGCTATCTACCGGACTACGTCATCTACCACGAACTCATCCTCACCAGCAAGGAATACATGTCCTGTGTCACAAGTGTCGATCCGTATTGGCTGGCGGATCTTGGTGGTGTCTTCTATAGCTTGAAGAGCAAGGAGTACTCTACTAGGGAGAAGCGAGTGATTGAAGGCGAATTTAACAAGAGAATGGATATTGAGCGTCAGATGAAGTTGGAGGCTGATGCAGAAGAGGCCAAGTTGAGAGATGAAGAGGAGAAAGAACGTATCTTGGCTGGGCGCGGAAAGAAGATGAGCTCGGTGGTCAAGAAGAGTGGAAGCAACGGTGTTGTGAAGAAGCCGATTGTTGGCAGACGGAGGCTTGGTGGGGGGTTTTAGTTGAATCAATGCAGATGCAGAGTATTCACGTCTTTGCCATTGTTTCCAAATTTTCGTAGAAAATCGAGTTGTTGAGTTGCTGGGTGTAAAGGATTACTGGATAAATTCGATGGTCCCGAGATGTGCGTGTCAGACTGTCAGCGCACTATTTGATAGGCGGCATCCACGTGGTGCACATAAAACACAGGGGATCAATGATGTGGTGCAGGATACCACAGCTTCACAATATTCTCAAGCATCTCATCAGGCGCGCCTGGTGTACTGCCATGATCTATTGTATACTCTGTGGTTGCAAGGGACGATCGCAACGCGCACCATGATCAGTGTGCCTGAGATGGGTACATATCCGCTCTCGAAAGCGGCAATTAGCTGCTAGTACTGTTCCTACAATTCGACCCCTGCCCAATCCCGCCAAGCCATTAACGATGAGCTTTACTGCTTCCGGAGCCTGGAAAGCCTGCCTCTGTCCAATCATGTGAAATCAATGCACTGTTTCACGAACTGAACTTTTGGCTCCTTTTCACTTCATTGTTTGAGATACTTACTAAACAAACCAGATCCAGCATCGCCTGAAAGTGTCAATCCTGGCGCTACTTACAGGACCCTTTACGGCTGGGTTTCAATCACACGCTCGTGGAAGCGAAGGACATGATGCATATGGTCGCATAAACAGATAGCAAGGGCGGCCAAAGGCTCTCGTGACTAGTCATGAAGGGTGATAACGACCTTACACCAAAACACTATTCTGATTTGGCACTTTGCCACAGCATATGCAGATAGCGCACAAGGTTCGCACAACTGCCATTTCTAGTCGAGCAGACCGCACTTGCCTGTCTCATCTCAGCCTTGGTGGACTACGCATTGTCAGGCGCAACGAGGGTTATCGTCGCCTAAGAAGTACATACAGGCTCTTACCGACAACACCCAGCAGACAGAGCTACTCACTTCATCAAAATGTCGTCTCTCAGACCTGAATCTGCGGCAGCTATGACAGCTCACCGCCGAGAAGCCGTACGTTTGGCAAAAGTTCAAGAAAAAGCGATTATCGATAAAAGTATCCGCACTGGACAGCAGCCACCGGGCTATGCCTTCGACGAGTTGATTGGCAAAGGTAGCTTCGGTCGGGTCTACAAGGGTAGACAAGGTGCAACTGGTAAGGTCGTCGCTATAAAAGTGCTTGATATTGATGAAGCCGACTTTCAGGCTTTTGGCGATATGCGAGACGAGCAAATTCGAGACTTCAACAAAGAAATCGCAATCTTACGACGGGCGCAAGAAAGCGGTGCAGTGAATCTGAATCAGATGATCGAAGCGTTGCCCGTGCACAGCCAGTTGTGGTTGGTTTGTGAATATTGCCCTGGTGGCAGTGTAAAAACACTTATGCGCGCGACAAAAGATAGGCTCGAGGAAAAATACTTGATTGTGGTCGCACGGGAATTAGCAAAAGCCTTGAAGGGGTTGCATCAAGCTGGCATCATGCATCGCGATGTCAAAGCTGCAAATGTACTTATCCATGAAAGTGGTGGTTTAGAACTCTGTGACTTTGGTATCGCGGCAGCCATCGAGGGTCAAACAGACAAAAGGCGTACCTTTGTGGGTACGCTGCATTGGATGCCACCGGAACTATGGGCCGACAAGCCTGAATACAACGATGAGGTAGATGTCTGGGGTTATGGCTGTACTCTATATGAATGCGCTACAGGCACACCACCAAACAGTGACGTCCGAGAACGGCAGCAACTCAAAGTTCGGATGAGAAGGTTGAAGCAGTCGATCGAGCTGCCCAACAAAGAAGGTCTGGACTTCAGCGACGGGCTCAAGTCTCTTACGAAATTCGCATTGAACCCAGATGCAGCCTCGCGACCATCTATGCACGATATTTTACAGCATGAATACCTTGCTGACACTGAAGAGAAATATCCGACTAAGTGTTTAACAGAATTGGTGCAGCAATATTATGCCTGGCTATTTGGAGGTGGACAGAGAATGTCACTCTTTATGCCTGGGGGCGCAGTCGCCGCATCGGAGATGCAGGATGATCTAGGTAACACGATGACAGAGGAATGGAATTTTAGCATGACACAAGAGTTTGAGAAAAGAGTTTCGACAATTTTAGAGATACCAGACTTGTCGAGCCTAGCTCAATTCGAGCTGGGGGAGGAAGAGATAACGCCAAGAGCTGCGCCAGGCACTGCAGGCCTCCTATCACCCTGGACACCAGTGACTGCGACTGAGCGAGCCAATTTTGAACTACGAGTGCAGCGTGGTGAAGGATTAGCCAGCTTGTTTAGTCCCGAAGGACCAGCTTATGAATACAAGCAGAAGCGAGATTTCATACCAATACGAGAACCAGCTAATCGTACGTCAGATCTACCTTTTAGAGCAATGGCAGATGACAGACCCACCTCGATAGCATCGATCTCGATCGATCTTGGCGACTTTGATGAAGAGGACTATGCGGTTGCTGCTCCTCGCACGGGTGATGGCAGCATACAGACGACCTTCGCAGCTGCTACACCTCACAAGGAGGAGCCAGCATTTATCCTTCCAGATGCAGCCACGATCCGTGCTAGGCGTGCGGACTCGAAAGGACCAAAGGAGGATACTAGACAAGATCTGACAGCGAAACGTTCTTCTTCAGCAGATGAAGTGACGGATCCTACAGCACAAGACTGGACAAGCAAACGCGACTCAAGTACTCCTCAAGTACAGGAGCCTGCCGAAACCACACCCACAATGCAAACGAGTCGGCCACAGGAACGGAATACAATGGGCTGGAGTTTTGCAGCAGCAATGAGCGAGGTCGCCGAACCACCCTTACCATCCGACGAGCCTTCAACGGCATCAGAGGACGAGGAACTCTTTCATGACAGTCCTAGAAAACAGGACAAGGCGAGGAAGCATGCAACGATGGAGTGGTCCTTTACATCAGCCATGGCCGAGGCTGGAGATGGAACAGACGAGGACGACGAAAGTCAAAGAACTCCAGGGAGACACGCGCGGCCAACACCTTTACTCCGTACTCACACGATGCCAGTCACGACCATGGAAGTACAGGACGTATATGAAGATTATTCACGACCTAGCACATCCCTCTCCATGGCATACTCCGAAAGCTCAATGAGCTCTACTGACTTCGATCCCTTCTCATTAGACAAGAGACTGCCATATGAAGAAGATGGACCTGGCGATGCTGAGTTCGACGATCCTGGCCTCAGCGATTTCTATGCTTCCCGAGGACGAACGATGGTACCGTCAGATATGTCAAGTCCCGGGCCGGATATTGGCATGACTATTACACCACATATGAACGGACATACAGCCTATCAAGCAGGTAGTCCAGCAAGAATGAGCGAGAACGGATTTCCAGGACCTGTTGTTAATGGATCTTCGAGCACTGTCACGACTCCTGTTTCTGCACGGCGGTCGCCTAGAGGTCCATCATCACCACGACACCTAGGTCATATTAGAGGTAATGGCAGTGGCGCAAGTCGAGGGTCGGAGAGTTCAACTGGTAGCACCAGGACTACTCACAATCTGTCGACGAGCGTAAGTACGAGCCAAGGTTCTGGAAGCAGTGGAACAGGTCTTAACGGGTATTCCACGTCTCGTGCTTTCCACCTACCTACACCAGCACCGCCCAGTATTTCCGCTATGTCTGGCGACGCAAGTCCCAATACAATACAGCGGGAGCTTGACCGTCTGCTGGACGAATTTCAGGATGCTCTTGGCTTAGCAGCGGATATCATCAGTGAGGCTGGAAGAGGAAGGGCAAGGAGACGCAAAATGCCTGAGAGTGGCAGTGAGTGGGAGGATGATGATTGAAATGAGGCTCGCTGGATGAAAAATGATAGGAGACTGTATAATATCATACCTTGGCGCAGGATCCTGGAAATTTCAGATAATACCCCATAGCAAGTGTGACCTTACCGCAACATTGTAGACGAGCTTTTAAGCCGAGTGGTTAATAGCATGAAGAAGTCGACTAGCCACGCGTGCGTAGCCAGTCCTTGACATATCGCCTGTCAAGATAAGACACGTTGAGGCTGTATTACCCTGATATTCACTTACTCTTTGACCCAGGAAGTGGCATTTGACGAATGTCACGTGATGAGCTTCTACCTTCCACTCGATATTCTTCTATTCAAAGCTATCAATATTTCTACTAATCGACGACATGTTATCACGGTCAGCATCAAAAAGCTCGAGGTATATCTGCAAAGCATGTCGTTCTACTATCAATGCCAGTCGCAAGCGCAAATTTGGAACGAATAGCATTACCTTAAATCCAACCTCCGACGATATCTACGATGTGGTTACAGTAGGCGGCGGACCAGTAGGTCTCGCTCTACTCGCGGCATTAAGTAGGTCTTCCTCATGTACTCTACTTGTACACAGCTCATCTTGTGTCTAGAAACCTCACCTTCCACATCACACCTGAAATGCTTACTGGTCGAGTCACAGTCCTTAGCCAAGCAGAAATCATGGTCGTTACCGCCAGACGCATATTCGAATCGCGCCAGCAGTATCACACCCACGAATCAGTCGTTCCTTGAAGCAATAGAAGCATGGCGTCATCTGGACTTGACGCGTGTTCAACCCTACGATGAGATGCAAGTCTGGGACGCGGGTAATGCTGCGAGTATTCAGTTTGACTGGTCGGCTGAAGCGATCAAGTATAATGCGCCTCTGAGAACGGTGGCGACCATGGTAGAGAACTCCAATCTTAGCAGGGGTTTATTGAGACGGATCGAGGACGTTGGTGCTGAGGAAAGCTTGATGAGTGGTTGGAATGTGAAGGGTATTGGAAATGGTATTGATGACCCTGAGGGATGCAACTTGTCGACATGGCCTGTCCTCGAATTACAGCAGATAGGCTCAGAAGGATCGCAAAACACGAAACAGATCGCTACCAGGTTACTCATTGGGGCTGACGGAATCAATTCGCCAGTAAGAACATTTGCGGGCATTAACACGAACGGATGGGACTATGGTCGACACGGAGTCGTAGCAACTCTACAAGTGGAATCTTCATCTGATCCAGCCTCACCATTTCAGAATTCAGTATCGAACGACGACTTTGACTCAGCGCTCGAAGACTTCCTCTCAGACGACCCGAAGTCCAGTTCAAGCTCTTCACAACCAAATTTCGAAAACATCACCCCATCAAACCGTGCCACAGCCTTCCAACGCTTCCTCCCAGCCCTCGGCGGCCCCATCGCAATCCTCCCCCTTCCAAACAACCACGCCAGCCTAGTCTGGTCAACCACACCCCAAATAGCCAGCTACCTCAAATCCCTCTCACCCTCAGCCTTCACAGCCACGGTTAACGCAGCCCTCCGCCTCGAACAAGTCGACATCCAATACCTCTTCTCCCTTCCCACTACCATCTCCGAACCAAACAACACCACCCCCCACGAATCCGAACTCACATGGCGTCTCCAACACACAAAATCAACCCTCCCATCCCGCTCTCCACCCTGGATCACCGCCCTCCAACCCAACACCATCGCCTCCTTCCCCCTCCGCCTCCGCAACGCAACATCCTACATCGCACCGCGTATCGCCCTAGCAGGCGACGCAGCACATACCATCCACCCCCTCGCCGGCCAGGGCCTGAATCTCGGTCTTGGTGATGCGGAGTGTTTATCGCGTACGATCAGGTACGCGGTCGAGCATGGGATGGATATTGGGGATTTAATGGCGTTGCAGGGATATAGTGGGGAGAGGTATGCGGCTGCGGTGAGGGTGAGTACGGGTGTCGACTTGTTGAATAAGGTTTATCAGATAAGTAGTGGGGATGGGTTGGTGGGGAGTTTGTTAGGGGCGGCGAGGGGGTTAGGGATGAGGGCTGTGGGTATGGTGCCTGGGGTTAGGGAGGCGATTATGAGGACTGTGGATTGAGATGTTGTGGGAGGATGATGGAGGGGTAGGTAATGAGTAAACCTTGTAAAGTTACTTGGTGGTGATATTGTCTTAGTATACAGCTGGTCGAATCCATACGGCAGCATATAACAGGAGTAACACTAACGTATACAATCTGTGCAACGTTCGAAGCCAACAACCACGAACGTTGTCACTCGCGACCTACTGCTACTCTCATTGTCGAGATTGGTCAATCGTCAAGCGGTGCCCAGGCTCCTACCTCGATACTCTCTTCAGTCAATACCTCCACCTGCAACACATTCGCATCCTTGCTCTCTGTAGAAGCCTGCTGAGGCTTTTCAAGCACAAGCCAAAGCCCACCATTCTGAGACGATGCCAGACTTGCATTCAAATCAATATCTTCAATCCTCAATCCAGATTGTATGTTTGCGTATTCTGCCTCGTCGGTGGAAGACGTAACGACACAATTCCTGTACGGACCCTGTCCTTGCTCGATGGACATCTTGAAAAGACTTGAAGAAGATCCTTTCATCTGCCATGCTTTGAAGAGTGCCCTGGTCACACGTGTAACTTTCAGCGGCGCTATGACTTTGGTTGTACCGTTCTCGAAGATGGCTGGTGCTGGCTTGATGCTCAATCTGCCGCTTCCCTCTGGCAAAAGCGGCTTGATCATATACTCGGCTGGTCCAAGAGTGGTATAGAAATCGAGCTGGAATTTGGACAATTGGCCTGGCTCGAAGGTAGAGCAGATAATGGTGTAGGAGCCTCTCTGTAGGATCGTTTCAACAACAGTTGAGCCTCGTTTGTAATCCCCGGATTGTGATACGGTATCTCGTTTTCTCAATTTCGTAATCCTCCGTCGGTCGCTAGATAGGATGAGAATTTTCACGTGAAGTCCAAGGTTCAATTCCGTAGAAGCAGTGTCGGAAAGCGACTTGAGGACGATGACTGCCCTTGATTCTCTGCCGACTTGTAGAGTGAACTGTGGGTTTTGTAGATAGGTGGAAGATCCAGCGTTACCACCTGCTGTTGATCTTGTCCATGCCGCCATGATACTAACAGGCTGTCCGTACGTATCTGATGCTTCATCTAGCTCTACTGGACAATTTGAAAAGGCAGATATGGTGAAGTTATGTTTGCCACGTGGCAGATCCTGACTGACAGCGACGATGGAGTAGTTCATCTTTGCTTCGGCATGAAACCGAAGCAAAGTGTTTGGCGAATCGACAAATGGTCCTCTGACCCGAGCGTTGTCACTTGAGAACACCGTTTCGCCATATTTGTTGAAGAGGTATAGACTAATATATCCATTGCTGCCGTGATTTTCGACGCTGTAATCGCCCGTTCTGAAATGCCGATTAAGCAAGATCCAGAGCTGACCAGCTCTACGAGTCCTGACCGAAAATTGTGGATTGTCTATGAGAAGATGACCAGCTTGCATAACTTCAGACAAATGCCAAGTGAAATGTCTATCTTCTCTGTGACTGAACAGATTCGGGTTCCAATTCAGGTACATATGCTCGAAATACTGAAAAACGAGGTTGAAGTCCATCCAGAATGTACCTGGCTCCATTTTTTCGACCTCGCCGCCCGACTGAGGAGACTGTGGCGCGCCCTCTTCATGGCCCGGATGTGGTCGATATCTTGTAGCACCTTTCCAAACATCGCCATCGGCCCACGGGTTTTTGATAAGTATCTCACGGACATCGTCATTCTCTTTCATGTCAAGCACAGCATAATCATGCTCGGCTCCTAGCCCAAGCAGCTGTTGTTCTCGTCGACCGAGCTTACCAGTTCCTAGGGTACACATGACTTGACCGTCGTTGAAAGCAGGGTGTATCTCGTCCCACAAGGACCGTGGCTCGACATCATCGTCGTGCAGGAAGACCTGTTGTGGCATCCAACCAGTAATGACAGCCAGATCGGTGCCAGAATTACTGCCGGGGAAGTTGTAGCCACCACGAACTTTTAGATAGGCCTTTTCCACAATGGCGGGCCACACCAAACCAGGCTGTGAGCGATCGACGACATGCAAGACTCGGGAAGATTTGGAGGTAGGAAGCCTGTCGTCAATGTCGACACGTCGCCAACAGCCATTGAAGTATAGGCGCAGAACATACCTGCCGTTAGCAGATTCGCATGGTTGGTCAGAGTTGTGATCATAAGGGTATACTATCTGACCGTATAACTAGATCTATTAGATACCTGATAGTAATAGCGGAAAGTCGACCTGTACTTACGCGCTTATGGCCTCTTTCTATTCTTGAAGCGCCAACACAGAAGCTCGCGATGACCGAACAGTCTGGGGCAACATCTTGTACCATATCCAAGGAGCCTAGGGAAATCATGGTGGCCTCGTTAGGAAGGAGCTGACCATTTTTCTCGACGCGAACGTGAGCAAAAGCGTCCTTTGGTCGCTTCCAACCAGCGAAGTGCTTGAGCTGAGCCTCGGAAAGTGTGAAGTCGAAATCGTCAGTAAAAAAATCATTTCCCTTGAGTTCAAATTCTTCTTGCGATGGAGGAGCTGTCCATTGTTTGAAGATTGCACCATTCAGCTTGGAACTTTCAAGCAGGATGATCTTTTCTCGGGTGGTCAAGACTCTTTGCGAGACAGGATATGGGACTTCAATTCGAGCACGTTTTTCAGCATTCACGGTTGGCTTACAGTCGTGGCGCACTTTCAATTCTTCTGCTCGCGAAATCAATTGTTTCGTCTTTCGATCCAGTCTCCTCCTATCATCTGGAGAGGCAGCGAGTTTCAGAGCTCGCATGTACAGCTCTGCTGCAGAGATAGCAGCTTCGAGCTGGGTCCCGCTGCCATCATGGGCACTGACTCTTTTCTCAGCAGCAATAGCTTTTGCTTCAACGTCTTGCAAGGCTTTCGTAGAAGCTGCTGACATGATTCTGGGTTTTGGTGATTCAAAGTTGCGAAATTCTTCGGGCTGGATATGCCTAGACCTCATCCCCAGCTCGTCCATACGGAAGCTCTCCGACTACAAGCGTACGTCATTTAGGCATGTGGGTTGTGGCTTGTGTGAGGAAAATGGCAGCCGAGGTCCAAGTGAAGTTGCGAAGTCTATGGCAGATGGCTTCGCTTCTCTCGATCTTGTCAAACAACGATTGTCTGGCAGGAGCGTCTCGCGTGAGGCTGGTGTTCTTTTCCAACAATTATAAGCCTGCTTCAATATCTAGCCATACCACCTCATCCGCGCTCGTCGAGCAGCGACAGCAACCTCCACATCACGTCACGACCGCAAGCTCAACTTGGACTCAAGATATAGCAGCACATCACATATCACAGCATATGTCTAACTCTAAACCCGCCGCTCTGCCACCCTGGGGTGTAGCGGTAGCAGGTGCTACAGGCGCTGTCCTAGCTAATGCTCTGGTATATCCTCTAGACATGTGAGTGCTGTAGAAGACTGAGCCGACTAGGACTGACCAGCAGATAGCGTCAAGACAAGACTACAAGTACAAGTCAGAAGCCAGAAAACGGGCAATGTACCATTAACAACCAACGACCGTCACTATGATTCGACTCTTGACGCTATGCGCAAGATCGTGGCAGATGAGGGAATCGAAGGATTATACAGTGGATTGAGCGGGAGTCTTCTTGGTGTCGCTTCCACGAATTTTGCATACTTCTATTGGTACTCGGTGGTACGGCAAGCATATACAAAATGGGCTGCAACTGGTGCACCACCAAACACTTCAGTCGAACTTTCTCTGGGAGCTATTGCTGGCGCTCTCGCACAATTGTTCACCATTCCAGTAGCTGTCATCACTACGAGACAACAAACTCAGCCAAAAGGCGACAAGAAAGGCATGATTGAGACCGGCAGAGAAGTCATCAACAGCGAAGACGGCTGGACAGGGCTCTGGAGAGGTCTAAGGGCTTCTTTAGTCCTCGTGGTCAATCCCTCAATCACATATGGCGCATACTCGCGCCTGCGGGAAGTATTCTTCCCAGGTAGACTTGCCCTCAAACCCTCCGAGGCATTCTGTAAGTCTCCCTCTCCTCCAGAACCCACTCCCTACTAATCATCCCACCCACAGTCCTCGGCGCCCTCTCCAAATCCATCGCGACCCTCGCAACCCAACCTCTCATCGTCGCTAAAGTCGGCCTCCAATCACGACCACCCCCAGCCCGCGCCGGCGTCCCCTTCAAGAGCTTCCAAGAAGTCATGTCCTACATCATCGAGCACGAGGGCTACATGGGTCTGTTCAAGGGTATCGGTCCACAACTCCTGAAAGGCGTGCTAGTACAAGGCTTTTTGATGATGACGAAAGAAAGAGTTGAATTGTTGTTCGTGCTGTTGTTCGCATATTTGAGGACTGTGAGGCAGAAGCAGTTACAGAAGGCGGCGGATGTGGTTAAGAGTAGGGCGATTCCGGCTGCGGAGGCTGTTTTGGACAAGGCGAAGCAGTCTGTGCCGATTCAGACGAGGTAAAAAAAGGTGTGGTCTTGAAAACAAGGATGTGGATCGTATATGGAAACTATGGAAGAAGGAATCCGAGACGTTTCATTTTGCAATATGTGGTAGCCTGAAACTGTCAGCCACTTGAAGCACTGGAGATGGGTTATTTTGCAGCTTAATCATCTGTGTCCAGAATCTACCTACTATCGAAAGAGTAGGATAACGAGATCTCCTACGTCAGTGTGACGGATTCCGTGGCATATTTACGGGAGATATATTCGTTGAGGAGCTTTCGATTGATAGTGGGTCTACATGTAGCAGGCGAATAAAGATGACAATTCCGAGTAGAGATGAGCGCAAGAAGAAATGCGCTTCTTTGATATCCGTTATCTGCAACAACTTGTTGTTAGTATTTCAGAGGCTCTGCTGCTTTCAAATCGGGTTGGAGTATGATCTCATGCTTGTTAATGCAGTAAAACATTCTACCATGCACTCATATGTACACTACAACAGCCTCGCACCACTAACACGACCAGCTATTCTCATGACCCAAGAGCTTTCAAGAATGGCTCTCTATACATGGAATTGGCTCTTGGCTTTCATCTCAATGGCTGATTTCAGCGCTACACACGTTGTTAGTTTATGATCTACTGGGATTTGACACGTCAAGACTTACCATCACACGTCTTCTTCGCATCTCCAAACAACATCTTCGTCCCAGGCATGTAGAACATAGGATTGGGAACATCAGCTGTGCACCAGCATGTTAGCAAAGTAACAAGGAAGGCAAAAAACATGCTAGCTTACCATAACCACTGCTCATTCCGCGTTTCATGACGATGGTCTGTTTACTTTTCCAGGCGTGTAAGACAGGCATACCCGCAATAGGGCTCCCGGGCTCCAAAGCAATAGGGTTGACTGTGTCGTTGGCTCCGATCACAAGGGTAAGATCAGTACTTGGGAAATCGTCGTTAATCTCGTCCATTTCAAGCACAATGTCGTATGGCACCGTTGCTTCTGCAAGGAGGACGTTGCATTGACCGGGCATGCGGCCTGCGACAGGATGAATGGCAAAGCGCACGTTTACTCCTCGAGATCTGAGCATGGCTGTGATTTCACTGATGGCATATTGCGCTTTGGCCACTGCCATTCCGTATCCGACCACGATGATAACATTCTCAGCATTCGTAAGCGCTTCTGCCGTGTCGTCAATGTTGATCTCTGAGACTGTCTTGCCTTCTGTCACGGCTGCATGCGAAGTGGGAGTAGGTGCAGCAATGCCGCCGAAAAGCACGTTAGTAAGACTGCGGTTCATGGCAACGCACATGATGTAGGACAGAATTGAGCCACTGACACCGATGAGCGAACCTACAGTCGTCAGAAGTGGATTGTCCAGCATGAGACCTTCTGCAAGTAGAGCGAAACCAGAATAAGCATTCAGCACGGTGATGACCACTGGCATATCTGTGCCTCCAATCGACGCAGTTGTGGTGTAGCCTTTCAGGAAAGAGAGAACCGTACTTGCGGTCAAACAAGTAGCTGCTACTGCAGGAGCTGCAGGAGCCATCGTAACAAAAGCACCCATGGTGGCTACATTGGCAGTGAGCAAGCCGGCGTTAGTGAAGTGTCGGCCAGGAAGTTGCAGTGGACGCGACGACATCCTGCCAGCTAGCTTCATAAAGGCTACGATCGAGCCAGTGAAGGTAATACCACCAATGACAACACCTAGGTAGCCGGTGACCATGTGGAGCATGGAGATATTGGCGACATGAGCAAGGATGCTGCCGATGCTAGTAAGCACAGCGGCAAGACCAACCACAGAGTGTAGAGCAGCCACTGTCTGAGGCAGATCAGTTGGAGTGATGCGCCTGCCAATAAGTGCTCCAGCAATACCACCTACTCCTGCGAGCGCAGCAAACTGTGCAAGAACTGCTGGTGGAAACCCGACTGCAGCAAGCGAAGCCAGTATGCCGGATCCGACACCGAGTATACCGAGAAGATTGCCTTGTCGGGCTGTATTCATGGCTGACAGACCAGAGATTGAGCTGATGCACAATACACTGCTCACAAGGTAACCGGCCTGTACAAGACCTCCCATTCCAGTGGCGGCAGCAGCAAGGAAGCCGCCACCAAAGAGGACACCGGGAACAGCATAGAGCCAAGGATATTCTGCCGGATCTGTCGGTCGCTTGAACATGTCCAACATGCGTTTCGTGATGACAAAGCCACCTCCAATGTTGACACATGCCATCAACACTGATGCTGCGCCCAAGAATTGTGGTAGTGTCTCTGGTAGATAGCCACCACCCATAATGAACAAACCACCTACCCCAACCATGCCCGAGATAGCATTTGTGACACTCATGAGAGGCGAATGCAAAGCAGGACTGACACCCCATACGACGCGATAGCCTATCAGCCCAGCAAGACCAGTGGTAAAAATGTTGCTCATAAATAGTGGTGAGGTGAACTTGCCTAGGGCCAACATGGTACCCATCCCAGCTGTGACAGTAGTGACTTCTCTAACAGTTCTCTGCCATGGTGTCAGTGCGACCACTTCTTCCACTTGGATAGCCTTCGGAGCAGGGGCTGGTGTTGGAGGTGGTGCTGCTCGAGGGGCTGGTGGCAATATTTGTCCGTTCTGAGTCACAATAGCCCCTCGTACGACTTCATCCTCCAAATCAATCACAAAGTTGTTGTCCTTGGACATAGAAAGCAGGAATTTGGTAATGTTGTTTGAATATAATGTCGAGGACTGTGTTGGCAGGCGAGAAGGAAAATCTGTATAGCCGATGACTGTCACACCTTCATAGACAGAAGCAGTACCGGGGACAGTCGCCTCACAATTACCACCTGACTCTGCTGCAAGGTCGACAATCACTGAACCAGGACGCATAGCAGCGACGTGTTCTTTCAGGATCAGACGAGGTGCAGGTCTGCCAGGAATCATGGCTGTAGTAATGACAATGTCCACATCTTTTGCCTGCTCCATGAACAGCTTCATCTCGGCGTCAATGAACTCTTTTGACATTTCTTTGCCATATCCACCAGCACCAGAGCCATCTTCCTGAATAGTAACCTCAAGAAACTCGGCACCTAACGACTGTACTTGTTCTCTAGCAGCTGATCTGGTATCGAAGCCTCGAACGATGGCGCCCATTCTCTTTGCAGTCGTGATTGCTGATAAACCTGCAACACCTGCACCAATTACGAGTACTTTTGAAGGGGGGATCTTGCCCGCAGCAGTTGTCTGACCAGTCATGAATCGACCGAAGTGGTTTGAAGCTTCTAGAACGGCCTTGTATCCTGCTGAGTTGGCCATAGAGCTCAGAGCGTCGAAGACCTGGGCTCTCGAGATGCGAGGTATCATATCCATGGCAAAAGACGTTGCTCCTTGAGCAGCGATAGCATCCACCAACTCTTTATTTTGCATTGGCTGTAGCATTGAGATGATTACGGTGCCCTGCTTCAACACGTCGACTTCGTTGTTGGGACTATCAGTGCGTGGAGCTCTCACTTTCAGAACGATGTCGCTTTCTGTCCATATCTGACTCTGCGTTACTATTGTGGCTCCAGCAAGTTCGTACATAAGGTCGGAAAAGGTGGCTTGCTCTCCAGCTCCTTTCTCGACGAGGACTCTGCAGAACCCCTTCTTGCGTAGAAGGGAAACATTCTGAGGTGATATGGCCACGCGACGTTCTCCTGGGTAAGTCTCTTTGGGAATGCCGACAGTAAGCTGGTCGTAAGGTCTCTGCTCAGGTAGTGTCGACAGGGCGTGTCGACCTAGGCACGAAAGAGACGTCGAGCATGGCGTCAAAGCGAGAGGACGACTCTGGGAGGCCGTCCAAGGTTGTGGTACTAGGTAGCGTCGCCCACTCGTCAATGTATGTAGTGTCCTGTTGCGAAGCTGCCATGTTGTCTTCTTGACTGGTAGATATGTCGAGCGAAATAGCGTCGAGCTGCTCGAAGGACCATAGTAACGCAAAGAAGGTGTGCCCCAACAAGGAATCTGTGAGACGCGTGAAGCCATATTTCCGGTCCCCGGTCTATTTCTGCTCACCGCATGAGAATGGCAGCGGGGTTCCTCGTGAGATCCGATCTCATTCGCCGATTACTCACGGCACAAACGTTGTTATTATCATCAGCCCAACCTGGATACTAGAATTGTTAGTTGTAGCAAGTGTGGCTGCTCGTTGGCAGATGTTAGCGAACGCGTCGACAAAAGCCAATGCTTGATGAAAGAGATTGGGACGGTGAGCAAAATCCGCTCGTGAAGCTATCGTGCTAGGCAATATCGTACAACACAGTAGAACGAGTGTGGAAAAGAACCGCGGTAGAGGCTGGCAGGGTACACGTCCTTCGGCGTGAGTAGATGCCAGGAACTATCGAGCTGCACGAGTCCATACGGACGATCATCGCGTGGTACTCGCTGTCCATCTTGCAACTGACCTCTAGAAAAGCTTCCAATTGTGACAAGCGCTGGATCCCCCCAGCTTGAATGCTACCTCGCTCATGCGCGTGATGAGAAGACAAGAGTGCCTGCACCCTCCAGAATTTAGCTTATGCGGGGTACCTGTGGGGGAAAGGAGATCCACTTGCCGCACACGAAGGTCGTGCATAATCTCAACCTGGCGCTCAGCGCGTCGTGCTAGTGATATTGCATGCATTTTGTCAGCGACGGCAACAGACATGCTGAACTTCGTAGAACGATAAGGGAGGAAATGGTATTGAACGTCAGTGCTGGAGGCAAATATCTGATTTTACGAAGAAAAGCCAGCAGCCTGACAATGCTAATTCTTGCTAGAAGAGCCGCTGAGGAGATCCTCACTTTCCCACAACATCAAATAACTCCTAACTATGTCCCTACTGAGCTCACCAGTCATCGCCGTTGTCGTCTCTTCTATGGCTCATGGCGCTTTGTCTTGCTCTTAGTGCCTCCGCCAAACCTCCTGCTAAACTTCCTCCACCTATACTGTTAGGCGTAGCTCGACCGGAATCTGTCCCGCTACCATTACCCAGACTGACAGCACTATCACGTTGAGGTGGTGCAGGAGCTGGCTTGCGACCACTGGGCACTGGCCGTTTTGTTGGCGGTATAGGTGGCGTCGACCTGCCTTTGGCCGTTCCGTCGACTGCACCATTTAGAGCCGCAGCTGGTGTCGGTCGTGGTGGTGCAACAGGAGGAGGTGGAGGTGGTGCTGCTCTCGTCTGCTCGATTTCCTCTACATATGCCGATGGTGCCCACCCTTGCGCACCGGTCTTGGGGTTCTTACATAACCACCAACCGTTATTTTCCTTCTGTGACAGTTCGAGGACTTCTCCCGCCCTGATCGTCAATTGGTTAGCTGCTGGCGACTCAAAATCATACTTGACTTTGACATGAGGTTTGTCAGATACTGGAGCTGCCGCAGCTGGTGGAGGAGGTGGTGGCGGTGGAGGAGCATGTCTACCTGAAGAAGCTGATTCGTTGCGTGGGTGCCCGTTGGTTTGCAGCATTCCAGATACAGGAACTGGTTGCGTCACGGCGGCGTATATGCTGGTCTGATTAGTACTGGCTGCAGGTGTAGGCACCGGCCGTTGTACTGCTGGACTAGCGGCTGTAGCAGGTGTGGGTATAGGTCTCGAAGTGGCGGGGACAGCGGCTGGTGCAGGTCTTGGAGCAGGTTTTGGTCGAGAAGCCATTTTGGAGGGCTGACCACCAGGACCACCAGGTCGTAGTAGTTTTCCACTCTTGATAGGTCTCACGACAGCTTTGCCTCTTGGTGTCGGTCGTGAGATCGAGTTAGGCGGCTCGCCAGGGCCGACGTGGATAGTACCTGATTTGTAAGTATCGTCCCGAGCAACAGCTGGATCTTTGATAGTCTTCACTGTTGCCAGCTTTCCAGGTTTCTTGTTGTATTGTAAGTGGTCGGCGAGTTGCAAGTTGATACCACCTGGAGATACAGTCTTGAACTGCAGGAAGAACTCGGTCTTGAAGACACAGTTGATCAGCGGATCTGGTTCTTGAGGTGAGCCAACGCCAAGGACGAACCAGTCGTCTTTGAGATTAGACGCCGATATGAACTTGACAGACCCGTTGGAAATGGTCCTCTCTGCTGATATCTGTAATTGGTTGTTCAGAACTTGCTGAACGACGATGTAGATAGATTTCGGCGTAAGGATCAGAACGCGTGGCATACGTGTTGAAGATCGTCCGAACTTCGAGACCAGCAGCTCGCACCGAGCCGAGAAGATACATCGTTCCTGACCCCCAAGATGGATGGCGTCACGTATGACCTGGCCCGGACCACGAGGCATGTTGACGCCCAGGTAATCTCCAAAGAAGCGACGCGAGCCCAAGAGACTATATCTGCGCCTCTCCTTGCGGCCTTGCAGAATGCGATGACCTTGGTCTCTGAACTCAATTTCCTTGATTCCAATCTTGGATTTGCGCCAACATCTCTGTATTCTCGTGGCTGCTTCAGCTCGATAGCGGAGGTAGTTGCGCCATGCACGTTGAATACGTATGGCCATATTGTGCCAGTAGCGATCACGCATTGTCTCGAGACCAAAAAGCGTTTCTGGAGATTTGACAAATGCTTTTGTGACACCAATCTGGTATTCTTCTTTCGGAATACTCGTGTCTTCAAAGATGATCTTGACTGCCTGTTCCATAGGTCCTGTATATGTATACTCTCCCGCATAAGACAGTCGTGGCGATAAGAGAGCAAATCTTTCGACGAATTTATCAAATGCTTGTCGGTAAGCAAAACCAGCTCTTCTGATACGAACATTTTCCTGCAGACCTAGATATTTGATCTGGTGCATCACGTTTTCGTTGTTAAATTCTTTTGGCGATTTGTTCTCGTTAGGCTTGATGGTTCGGATATATGATGGCTGAGCTTGCATGAGAGTCTCGACAAGTTCATTGGCGGATTGCTTGATCTTGTCGCCAGCAGTCGGCGGTCGTCTCTTGTCATCTTGGTTGACTCGATCAGGGAACAGCTCATGTGCGAAGGCGTTTGAGCTCTCGTCAATCAGGTTGAGCAGATCCTTTGCCAGTTGGTCTTTGTTCTTGTCTGTCATACCTTGCACTTTGTAATGAACATCACCTGCATAGTGCTTGATGATGAATTGACCCTGCCGATTTTCGAAGTTGGCATTATCGGAAAGGAAATTGAGTCTGCCAACGAAAGTCTGGTCAGCCGCGCCAGAATCAGCATGAGCCGTTGCACATGCATCGTTCAAAGCTGCGAACACACCAGGAGGTCGCTTGTCCTCGATCAGTGAGCAAACAACCTTGTTGTCGAAGTACTTGATGGGAGTCCACTGAATCTGTTCACTAGCATATTCATCCTGCTCGGCCTTGAGCGTTAATTGGATGAAAATTTGTTGCAATTTTTCGTTGACATAGTTGATGCACAGCTGTTCGAACGAGTTATTCTCGAAAATCTCGAAGCCGTAGATATCTAGGATACCAATAGTGGTTTCAACCTTCGCTCTGGTTTGTAGCGATTTGTTTGTTCGGGCGACGATCCAGTCGAAAAGATTGAAGTAAATAGCTTTGGCCAGAGCGTCTCGGACGGCGACGGCTTGTACAGGATTCAGAGGAGACTCATAGACAGAGCCGCGACGACCACCACCACGAGCAGTCTCCACGATTCTGATGGTTAGTGCTTTATTCACGTGAGCTGCGTCTACCTCGAGCAGATAGGCGAAGAAGTCGACAACAGATTGGTCTGCAATATCAACACCACCTTGATCGTTTTCCCGGAACGTGACATTTCCTAGCCACAATATCGCAGCTAGCATGCGGAAGATGTTGTCTTGTTCTGGCTTAGTAAGGCCGATAATCTTCATAGCATCCAGCGTCTCCTTGAAGTCCGCATGATCGTCAATACCCTGCACATCATAACATTTCGATCGACTCGTGTAGACGTAAGATTGTGGCTGCTGTACACCAAAAATCTCGCGGTACTCTGATGAAGCAGCCTTGGTGAACTGGTAAAATATGTGGAAATTTCTCTCGTTCGTGATCTGGCCAACAACACGGGACTTTTCGAGCAGATAATTCGTAACCTTAGCTCCTACTGGTTCTCCTTGCTGGTTGAATTCCAGTTCTAAGTACTTTCCGAACCGAGAAGAGTTGTTATTCCGCAACGTCTTAGCATTGCCAAATGATTCGAGTAGGGGGTTTGTGGCAAGGACCATATCCTTTGTTCTTTGTATCGAGGAGTCGCTACCACCAGAGACACTAGCGATGTATTGCATCAGTCGTTTGGCAGCCTCTGTCTTTCCAGCACCTGATTCCCCCGAAATAATCACGCATTGGTTGTCGTGGTAGGCTTTCATGTTGTAGTAAGAGGCTTCGGCAACCGCAAAGACATGTGGAGAGACCTCGAGGCGGTTGCGACCACGGTAGGAATCCAGAACAGCATCGGTGTAGATACCCAGATCTCGGAAAGGGTTGACAGAAACCAGCACATGACCGATGTACGTGTATATTTCTCCGTTTTCAAAACGTTTCTTCAAGTTCTCGTTGATGGCTTCGTTTGAGACTTTGCTCAGCAAGGTGAGGTCCGAAACTCCCACCTCTTTCTTCTTTGTGATCTCGAAGGCTGCCTTCTTTATTTGTGTCTGGCCATCGGCGACATCTTGAGACCTTCCCCCACCAAAGAGAGCTGCCTTTCCTGGACGGGCAGACTTGCCTTCGCGCCGCTTCGTTTGGCCCTGTATTATATTAGTAGACTATTGTGGTGAGCATGTTAGTACCTCTTACCATTGTCTTACGATTTACGGATACATAGGTAGAAAATGAGCGGTGGACAGTATAGCACAGCAATAAAAACGACAAAGGAAGAGGCGAAACAGAAGCCGCGCAATGTAAGAACGAAATCAGGCAACAAAATTGAATTGATTGAAGCACTTATCGAACAACAATGTTGTGCTTCGGGCTGCCAGACATGTTCAACTATGACGATGAACTGGAAATGCAAAGTAGTAGTCAGCGCCCAGACTAACGGTGTCACGGCACCCATCGGATGTGGCACTGCTGGCCTTGCCAAATAGCCGTCTACGTGCAGTGCGCTGGGTCAGCTTACCAGACAGTATTGCAGACTTGCCACGAATGAGGCTTGTACAGCTTGAGACGCGTTCTCTGAAGTGCTAATCCACCACTTTATACAAAAGTTCACAGTACTAGAAGAACTCCATGCTGACTGCATTCTGAACTTTACAGATCATATGTACAATATGTGAGGCTCTTCAATTACAGTAGCACGTCATGCTTTGAGCATATGCTCACAGGCTGGTTCCACCGTGAGCTAGCCACTCATCGTCCCAGAATTCCATTATCAGACTCGCAGTCTCGTCGCCTACCGAATGCCGAAGTCGCGTCTGACCTTCTGCTGTCTTTATCACATAGGCTAGTCCTTTAATAGAACCACACAGTTGCATGACCTTAGTAACCTCGTGGGCTGTAAGCAGGCGACGTGGAGATGAACTCACAGCCCAGGCCAATGGGTCGGAGTATAGTTGTGCATCGCTAGTCAGAGAGTAATCCCGTCTCTTGCAACAATATGCGGCAACGACTACGCCTAGTTCGGCGGTATCTGCAAGAGGTAGGACAGGTACCAGAGCTCGTTCATCCAGGAGGCTGCCAGAGGTTCAGTTGCGTTCACATTTCCGGATGAAATGAACTTACTGGAGTTGTAAGTTTTGCAGTGTTTGCATGAAGTGGTCGTTGTGTTTGGAGCTTATCAGGAGGACCGTTCGACTTGCTTGATTGCAAGTCGAGTTCAACCATGCGTTCAAGCGTGGATACTCTGCATCCGCAGGCCGCGCATCGAGGATCAACATGTGCTCGTACGTTCCGGAGTCTGGAATTTGCAGAACCATATCAGAGACACTGCTATCGAGTTCTGTCCATCCAGTTAGCCACATCCAAGTTAAGCGTCCATTGCAGAAAGTGATCGTTCTCCTGGACGCCTGTCCGCCAGCATACTCGTGTGCTCTCTTGGATTACCATGTGCCGTGTGCGTGGCACATCATACCTTTGAATTTGAAATCCGCATGATCCTTGATAAAGTGCGACAGGATGACCCAGAAGTCTCTCTGTCGAAGGCTTCGTGCGAAATCAATAGCCACTTGGCTGAACATGCCCGTGAATTTTCTCTACAATGACCAGCTTCTGCTATTCTGCACTAGTATTGATTGAAAGAAGAAACTCCAGTTTAATAGAAGGCTTTGCTTGGGAGTGGATAGAAACATAAAGTAGAAGTGTGACATTGGAGGCATGAGATGACGAGAGGAAAGTGCTAACATCGCGCTTGCCATTCACTAATTTGCCCTCACACATGCTCAGAGTTAGTGCGTGTCTCTCCTTCAGCAGAGCTCAGAGAACACAGAGCTGGTCTTTGGCTTCAACAGAATCTTCGCGATATGCGTGATAGTCCAAAGTCGTCCTCTGTGTCGACATGCTTGTTCCGCTTCCTGTGATCCATGGCTGCGAGGGTACACCGTTTCGAAATACGTCAAAACGCTTTCTTGCTTTCGAGCGGTTCAATTCATGCAAGTGCGAATCAAGATACCTTCTTTTTGATGCGTCTAACTGTGGTCAATGTCTACCGGAGCACCGTGGCCTGAGGTCGGAGGACTATTGTAATGGGGAGATTTATTCCGCTTGAACGAAGTCACCACTAGGACTAGTCTGGCTAGTGCAACTTTCGACGATCTGGGAACTTTTTCTCGGGAGGCACTACGAAGTCTCGCATCTACGTCCATTACCATCATTTTGGCCAACTTCATCGTCCTGTCTGCCTTCTCACTTCTTTCTTCTCTGTGTACTATCAGTTGTGATTCTTTATAGCACATTGAAGATGTATGTCTGCTCTGCAAAGTTGGAAGAATGCCATTGACATGCCTAGGTTTCCTTTGCGACATGCAGCAGCGCGATTGCTTACTTCGCGGCCCATCTCTATCAATGCACGACCTCGAAGTTTCACCTTCGTCTCAGTGCCATTGAGACAATCGAGATTAGCCGCGCCAACCCAGTTCCAGCGCAGATGGGCGACAAGCGAAGCTGAAGCAAAAAAGGAGGAGGCTCCTATCTCGCAGTTACAACCTACACCGGAGGAGGAGGTTGAGAATGCAATTCATGAAAATGGCCTAAACAATTCTGCGGGCTCTGCCGCTCCTTCGAATTCGGACGCAAGCAGGGCAACACAAATCGCCGAAACTGCCAACGCCACCGAGGCCACAGACGACATCACCACTACTGCCACAGAATCGAGACCTGTTCGGGATGCTGTTGACTCGCTTAGAGGCGCGGCCTCCAGCTTGACTGAAGGCCTTAGCGAACAACCACGGCCGAGACGAAGCGACATAACAGTTGCTAAAGACCCTCCGACGCCCAAGGCCACTGTCTACGTCGGTAACCTATTCTTCGATGTTACAGAAAACGACATCAACAAAGAGTTTGGTCGCTTTGGGCCGATCAAGCAGGCCAGACTCATTCGAGATTCTCGGGGACTAAGCAAAGGGTAAGTCCCTTTCTTGTACCTGTCGCTTGACACTAACGTAATCACCTTAGCTTCGGTTATATCGAGTATGAGACTACCGAGCAGGCACAAGCAGCCATTGACGATATGCACCAACAGCTGTTCGAAGGTCGCCGGCTAATGGTGAACTTCGCCCACAGCGATGCTGCTTCTCCTAAACGAGGAGGCAGCAGTGAGCCAGTCAACTCGCCGACCAAGACCCTCTTCGTGGGCAACATGTCCTTCGAGATGACAGACCGTGACTTGAACAATCTTTTCCGAGGTATTCGAAACGTCATTGATGTTCGAGTTGCTATCGATCGAAGAACTGGTCAACCTCGAGGCTTTGCGCATGCTGATTTTGTCGATGTCAAGAGCGCTATGGAAGCATTGAAGGTACTCAACGGAAAGGAAACCTACGGCAGAAAACTACGAGTTGACTACTCATTTGGACCAAGCAGCGCTCCACGGAACACCCCAAGGTGAACGGGGAATTGTTTGAAGATTTCATGTTTGATAAGAGATACTGTTTCAAAACGATGGTGGCTACGACCCCACTGCGATGAAGGTCTTTAACACACAAGCCATAAGCCGGCCAGGTGGACGTGAGGCATACGAGTTTGGACTTGGGTTCAGCCGCAGATCCGAGATTGGGATCAGTCGTCCAGGTCGTGTCAGGACACACCGAGAATGTACAACAGGGAAGCGGGTACCTGATAGGGAGATGTTAGATACGGTCGTGATGAAGACGACTACCGGATGCATACCGCATTTTAATGGCCATACTATATGTATTGAATTCAGACACTATGGTCACCACTTAAGACCTCTCCACTCACAACTACGTTTTCCTAGCTTTCTTTACTTTGTACGTACTTCGACTCTTGCAAACGACGAATAACAAATGCTTTGATGTGGTTAAAAGTATCATGGTTTGAGATGTTTGTGCCACTCAAAGTGCAGACTCGTAGGCAACCCTGCAGGGCTCTCAGCCTGCCTCGGCAGACTACATGCGGCGGAAAGTCGTGCTTGGGCTTGAACATTAGTCGTGGACAAACCCATTTCTCATCTTTGATATTTACACTCAACACCATAAGACTACGGCCACAGCACTATATCCTGATCCATAAGAGTTTACTTGTTCGACCTCTAAATCCGGAGCCTTTCGTCTCAGTTCCTAGCCATGTCCTTCCTTGGTGGCGCCGAGTGCTCGACTGCAGGCAATCCTCTTACACAATTCACAAAACATGTACAGAACGACAGCTCGTTACAACGGGATCGCATGGTCGGCAATGCTCCAGGAGTATTGGGAGAGACCATGCGATCAAGATTGGCACCCAACGGATCCGATCAGGTGAGTACAACTGCAGTCATTCTCGCGTTTACTAACACGCGGCTAGATGATGAACGACTTTGCACAACAAGCTGGTCCAGGACCACAGCCTTTTGCTATGGAACAGATGCGACAAGACCTTCCACACCTACAAGGCATGACTCAACGAACTCCTTCACCTGGTTGGGCGAATGAATTCGACCCTGGCGAGCAATCACGTATGGAGGCAGCGTTCGCATCATCCCAGATGAGTGCCAGACCAATGAATGGGTTCAGCGCAGGTGAATTCTCAAAGTTTCAGCAAGCTCAACCAGCCGGCAGGACAATGAGTCCTGTTCAGCAAGCCCCTCAGAACATAAGCAGTATGTATCGTCCTATGGGCATGAACCACTACGGCGGAATGGGCATGTATGGCGGTGGCATGCAGATGCAGCAACAACCACAGACAGAGGCTAAGGGGAAAGCCAGAATGGTCGAGCTCGATGATCAAAATTGGGAAGCTCAATTTGCCGAATTGGATCAGCAAGATAATATATCCGAGCAAGCACGAGAAGCGATGGAAAGGGAACTCAACGATATGGACAGGTCAGTGCCATCCGAAATGCGTTCACTTGATGGGATGCACAAGGTATGGAACAGAATAGAAGCTGAACATGATTTGAGTAGACAAATAACCGACGATCTCGACGAGAACCTGTACTCTGCCGAAGACTACGCCGCATGGGACAACTTCGATTCGAACATGGGTCTCAATACACATAGTTCCTTCTCGCGAGAACCTTTGCTAGGCAATTACATGTTCGAAGACAACAATCCTTTCTTACAAGACCAAGACATATCCCGTTCAGCCTTCGATAAAGGTATGGAAATTATGCGAACACACGGAAACCTGTCGCTTGCCTCACTAGCTTTCGAAGCCGCCGTTCAACAAGATCCGAACCATGTCGATGCTTGGGTACAGTTAGGTAATGCTCAAGCACAGAATGAAAAAGAGGCTCCAGCAATAAGAGCACTGGAACGTGCCTTGCAGTTAGATCCCAACAATCTGGAAGCACTAATGTGTCTCGCTGTGTCTTACACTAACGAAGGGTACGAGAATGCCGCCTATAGAACACTGGAGAAATGGTTGAGTGTAAAGTATCCTCAAGTATGTCCTCCGGATCAGCTCAGCTCGCCAGCAGATATAGGCTTCTCGGACGGAGAAATTCTACATGACAAGGTCACCAACCTCTTTATAAAGTCAGCTCAACTATCGCCGTCTGGTGAGCTAATGGATCCCGATGTACAGGTTGGGCTAGGTGTCCTGTTTTATGGCCAGGAAGATTTTGAAAAAGCAATAGACTGCTTCAACGCAGCGCTTGCATCACACGAGTCTGGAACAGTAAACAAGGAAGGACAAATACATCTGCTCTGGAACAGGCTAGGAGCCACCCTGGCTAATTCAGGCAAGTCAGAAGAAGCCATAGCGGCATACTCACGAGCATTGGAGGAAAATCCAAATTTCGTTCGCGCAAGGTACAACCTGGGTGTTTCGTGTATCAATATAGGCTGCTATCCAGAGGCAGCAGGACATTTGCTGGGAGCATTATCTTTGCACAGGGCTGTCGGTGCACAAGGGCTAAGTCAAGCCCGAGACATCCTGGACGATGGACATGGTAATCCGATCGGTGATGCGGAGCTGGAACGCATGATTCATCAGAACGAAAGCAACAACATCTACGATACCCTTCGACGAGCATTTAGCGGCATGGGTCGACGCGATTTGACAGAAAAGGTTGGGTTAGGCATGAATTTGGATCAATTTAGGGGCGAGCTCGATTTCTAGATATTCATGGGTAGATCAATCAGGCTGGCTGTGTAGATAATGTCGCCTAATACGAACCACACTTTGCCTTCCTTGGTTGATGCCATGTTTGTCCTATTTATTGGATGTCGTTTTGTACAGAAACCGTTCAAGAAGAGCTCAGCGCGGATGCCTTGTTCAGGCAAGAATCCGACGTTGGTGCAATGACGGCAGCCGAGCTGCACGCCTATTGCCTACCGGTAGCAGTAGCCAGGCGCAAAGCCCACCCTCCAGCTCTTCTATACCACATACTACTTCACGAACACGACCCATAACCAGCAATAACTTCCACCTTGCGATGTTCTTAATAGGATCGTCGTCAAAACACCAGGATTGATCGTACACTCCGCTAGAAACCGGGTATTGAAGCTAGCCAGCAGGCCAACCATTCGCTCACCATCACTTTAGACTGCAATCCTCAGAAGTCAAGAGCGTCCTAACGCTCACCAAGAAGAAGATGGAAGAGGAGTCGGGTTTTGATAGCGTACAATGGGATCGTGCAGATCAAACAGCAAGCTCACCTACAGGGCCCGAGTTCGAGGAAAGCTCGTTACCACATCGACCTGCTGGCAACCGAAGAACGAGCACAGCCAGTAGCGAGCGTGAACCTCAAGCAGGCGAAAATGCGGATGCTATTGACCTGGCAGGAATAGGTGAGGAGGGTACTCTTGACTGCGTGGTTGGCTCGCCGAGAAAAGAGAACGATGGCACAAAGGATGCTTATGTATCCTATGAAATCTTGACACAGGTACATACGACCTCGACGTCCTCGAGGGAAAGGCTGACCCAGTATAGACAGACTTTCAATCGTTTATGAAGTCTGAGTTTTCGGTAAGAAGACGCTTCACCGACTTCGTCTTCCTGCGCCATGCGCTATACAAAGAATACCAGGCAGCTGCTATCCCACCTCTACCCGAGAAGAACAACATGGCGTACGTTCGTGGCGATCGATTTAGTCCTGAATTTACACAGAGAAGAGCTTGGTCTCTACACCGATTCATCAAGCGCATAACACAGCACCCCATACTTCGTAGAGCCCCCATATTCCTTCTGTTTCTCGAAACACAAGACTGGAACCAGCAGATGAAGCTTCGGCCGAGTCGCAGCATTACAGCCAGTGAAGCAAGCACATCGGGTCCTACGCCCCCGCAAGGTTTCTTCGATAATGTCGCAGATACCATGCTCAATGCATTTTCGAAAGTACATAAGCCTGATCGAAGATTCTTGGACGTGATGGAACGGCTAAACAAGCTGGACGAAGATCTCAACCATGTTGAGAAGATAGTGGCCCGTGTGGTGAGACGTGAGGGTGATCTAGAACAGGACTATGCCGATCTGGCAGTCAACATGCGCAAGCTGACACCGATGGAACCAGGTATTGAACCACAAGTGCTCACCTTTGCAGGCTGCGTGGAAGAAACTTCGAGAGGCTGGAAGAGTCTCAAAGAGCACACGGATCAGAGTTACCTTGGTAGCCTGAGGGATATGGATGCCTATATCGCAAGTATCAAAGCTTTATTACGGACAAGAGAACAGAAACAACTGGACTTCGAAGGTTTGACGGACTACCTAGCAAAAGCTTCCCAGGAACGAGATACACTGGTATCACATGCCCAATATGGCACATCTTCATCGCTAAATCCGGCAACCTTCATTCGACACAAAGTGGAAGACATGCGTGGTGTGGACCACGAGCAAGCACGACGCGAACGAGCACGCAAACTTGAACTTAGGATTGAAGAACTAAACCGTGAAGTTGATATTGCCAAGAGCACGAGTGAGATGTTCGACCAGCAGGTATTGAAGGAAGTCAACGATTTCGAGCGCATCAAGGGTTTGGAGTTCCGAGACTGTTTGGGATCCCTGGCGGGGCAGAACATTGATTTCTACAAGGGAGTTATCGATACTTGGGAGAGGTTCCTGGGTGATGTGGACGCCGACAACAAGACGCTGAAGGGAAAAGGCGTAACAGCATGAATTGCATAGCATAGAGGTTATATGTACAGCACGACATAGTAATTACATCAGCATTGAAGTTGCATAGAGCTTCAGGATCGATACGAAATACTCTGAGAGGTACGATGGAACGTGTCTCGGAAGTAGTTGTCTCTGGATTGAGACGGTTGCATTCAAGCAAGATATACACACGTGTATGCTGCTGGAGGCAGATACATAAGTAGAGCATCATGCACAATCTCCTCTGCTCAAATCAAGGTCATTCGGGAATCTGCAGAACGAAAATGTCCGGGTATAGCCCAAGCAGTCGCGACGCGTCCCAAACAGGGAAGGTGGAGCCTGAGTTGACTATTTCCACCAACTCGAAGACCAACCCTGCTACCAGCATCAGAGGTACAATATACTCGATCTTCCACGGTCCCGCCACGATCCACGATCCTCTTCGAATGTTGCCTGACCCTAGTACGCACAAATTCAACGACCATACCAGCGGCCCAAGCTCTCGTCGACTTCCTCCTCCCTCGCATTCACAACAACCCGGCAGAGGCTATACGGTGGTTCCTACACTCTGTAGCCGGAAACCCCACGGCTCAAGCCGAACATTTTGCCCTAGCAAATAAAAGTCACCATTTTCACAATACTGAGGCATTCTGGTGGCAGTATATCTGTGGTTGGATTGAAGACGAGATCGAGGACGAAGAGGACGGAGAGGAGAAGTTACAGGTCGTTGTGAAGGCGCTGAGTGACTCACACAGACAGGGGAAACTTGAGACCCTTGTACCGAAAGAATTGAAGTTGGAGAAGGTGCGAGTGAAGCAGCCGGGAGCACAACCTCGGAGGGGAAACGAAAAGATAGAAAAGTGCCGTGGGAAGGGCCAGCAGGGGCGGCTACTCAATCGTGAACGAGGCGGACACCACAAGAAAGACGAGCTGAGGAGGAAGGAAAACCGCTTCACTACCTACAAGGAGTCATATGCCGCGCATGTTTCTGGTTTGTTGAGTGCTGAGGTATATAAGCTGGGGAAGGTCTATTCGCAGCAAGTCTACCCGCCCACGAGGGTATGTAACCCAGAGAAAAGTCAACAGCGTCACTATCTTCATCTACCAATCCACATAATGGCAGCCGTGAAGAAGTTTGCTGGCTTGCCGGACGTGGACGAAGGTGCGGAGGTCTACGAGACACAGGTCCCTGAGTTGACCGAAGCCAGCACCTTACCAACAGAGTCAGATGCTGCTTCGGATGAGGATACTTCGGATCTTGACCGAAGAACCATTGACCCAGACGCTGCAAGACGAAGATTTGGACCAGCCATTGTTGACGCGTCGAATACCAATTTCTCAGATACTATTAATGGAGGAAGGAAAGATTACAAAGCCCGAACTAGGCGGAGAAGGAAACGAGCCCAGCTGGTCGAAGATAAGGCTGAGATTGATGGCTTCGATGAAAGCGAGGACGAGACCTTGCAAGGACGTCTTGCTAGGTTGAGACGTGAGGCGACAGAGCTACAAGCTGAAATCGACAGTATTGAACAAACCAAGGAATCACGTCAAGGCGATGATGACGATAGCACTTATGAGGACACTGTCGATCATCCTAATCCTACTAGCGAGCTCTCCGAAGGTGCTGAGCAACTGAACAGGACTCTAAAAGCTATCTCATTGGGCGGCAGTAGGAAGAGGGTCAAGACGTTAGAAGAGGAGTTTACCCAAAAACTGGATCAGCAGTTGGTGCCTCCAAGGGATAGATTGCACTCAACAGGACCTGACATCAACGACCTTCCTGAATCATCTATATCCGCGATTGCTGCCTTCTCTGATCGACTCACAGCTATGGAAACAGTGCTAGGTGTATCTGTTCGAGGTCCAGCCACCACCTCATCAATAATCCCGACCCTCGAATCCCTCTCAACGCAGATTGAAGCCTTATCTTCGACCTTGACTCCACCTCAGAACTTCAACATTACGGGAACAGCTAGCACAAGCACGATACACCTCGAGCCGATAGCACAAAGAATCCGCCACTTAGTTGCTGAATCCAAGCGTCTCGAGGACTCTCGCTGTGCAGCGACGAAGTCCTTTGAGGAACTCCTCGAAACACGCGACCGATACGCGAACCTTTTGCAGAGCACCCACGTACACTCTGCTGTTCACACTAGCAGTGGCGCTCAAGTATCTCGCAATTCTAGCGGTCAAGAAATCCCAACAACCAATGGCACTGTCAATGCCCCAACAAAAGAGCAAATGCAGTCGCAATTCACCACACTCTTCCTGGACGATCAAGCCGCCCGTATTGCTGCACTGTACAGCGCCCTGCCTACCATTCAGTCGCTACAACCTCTCCTACCAGTCGTGCTCGAGCATCTGAGGGCACTAAGTGTGATACATACTGGTGCAGCGGACGTCAAGAATGAACTGGATGATGTAGAGCGACGCCTAGAGACGCAAGAGCAGGAAGTCAAGAAGTGGAGGGAAGCTGTCGAGGACGCCGAGAAGGCGATGCAAGAAGGTAGAGAGGTCATGAAGGAGAATGTACAGGTCGTGGGAGATATGGTCAGTGGCATAGAGAGCCGAGTCAGACAGCTAAAAAGTAGGTGAGTGTCAACTGTGGCTATAGGGTGTGCATTGGTCTTGAGGCCGGAATAGCAAGCTTATGCAGAAGCTCTCGAAGTGGCGGTCGCCTTGGGACTGCCTCCAGCTTGATGGCCGACGTCGCTGTTGGGCAAGTGCGACTCAGTCATCATATTCATCGTCATTTTGGCCATTCAGACTTACCGACCTACGTATCACTTACAGTGCATCCATATAACATCCTTCCAACGTCGTCGACTTTGAAGGACACGCTCCAATCAAAGCAACAAAGCGATCACTCTGGTAGTCGCTCGCCTACCAATGTACTCAAACACTATTTTCCGCCGTTGAGTGGAAGGGTACAAAACTACAGAGGCAATAGCATGCCGAGCACGTGCCGAGTGCTTGGGTCGTGCTGCTTCTTCTGCTGGTGTATATAAATCGATCACCTTCCTCAGCATGAAAACTCTTTACCACCAATAGCCAGCGACATCTAACGTCCGTTTACATGAGTCCGTGTGTCAACGTGCGAGCCTTCATTCGCTGCGTCGATGTATACCACTAGTGAGTTTACCGTATCTCGAGACAGAGGACCACGGTTCATGCACCTGCAGCTCTTCGAAGATGTTCAAATTTTAGGTCCATGCCGATGAGCGATAAGCAACTAGCGCGATAGTGCAGAACTCTTCCGTTCCAACTATGGCAGGGATTATGGCTCCTGATCTTTCCCAGCCATTCGTTCTTGCACGTTTACGAGCACGCTGTCGAAAGATCGCTCAAGCGATCCTGCAACGAATTTCAAGCGCTCTAACTTTCAACAAATTCGAGCATGGCCGCAGGAGTTTGGACCCAGCGGTGGTCAAGTCAGCCCTGCTGTGAAGTGGTGCCTATCTGTTTCTTGCTAATTCATCCGCGATCAATCGGTAGTAGACATGTATGCCGTGGCTTTCCTACGACTTCAGATAGAGAAGCGGATGCCGACCGTTCTGGTTATGCAGATTGCCCTCGCCGACACACGATCTGGAAGGTGTCTGCGTAATTCGCCATGAACGACGACACAACATTCTACGACTTCGCTGAATTCCTCCAATCATCCCCCACCAGAGGTAGTGCCAGCTCAGCATCTGAGACTACCGGTTTGTCCTTCTGGGATCCCGCATTCACTGGCACTCCCGCAACGTCGCCACCAAATAGTGAGAGGCTCATGTCCAGTCGATCCGCAATTGATATCACCACAACAGTAGACCTGACTTCACCAGTGACCCTGTCCTTCAACAAAGGCGCCAAGTTATTCAAGCTAAGATACACCAAGATCGATGTCTGTAGGGATAACGCAGGTACTCTAAGGTGCATTGAGCTTAGTGATCCAGTCTCGCTATCTGGTGTTTTCATACACACATTTGTCAGCACGAAGAGACCAATACCACACCTTGAACAGCCAGCGACATTAGCACAGAAATCTCTCAGGGTGTCCTTTCTCGACGAGCAGACGGTTCAGGTAGCGCAGACCTTATTTAATACACAGCCTCGCTATACTTTTGAGAGAACTAGTGATTGTGACCGGTTTCAGGAGGCGGTCCTTGGTTTCGCAGTCATTTTCGCGGCAGGTGTGGCAGAAATATCGTCCAAGGGTCGTGGAGAGGAAGCCATCAGCCAGAATATCAGAGTCTGCCGACAGAAGAACGGCAGTTTAAACCTCTTGTTCTTCGCCAATTCTCAAAGGAAGGAGAAGAAGCGATATCTTTCCGTCCCAGTCGATGCAATTGACAGTCTCGAGGTGCCTAAGAAAATGTCAAAGCCTGTCATTTTTCGGTTAGCCACGAGCAACGACATAACGGCACAGATGAAAACGCTGAGCATTGTCCTCCTCGATGGTAACGATGTGAAACGTTTGTGTACCTTGCTGCAAGCGTCTGGGGTCAAAATTTCCGGGCATCGATGATCCGGTGCAAGTTCCAGTGTGTGGTTTGAGTACAAGACTGCTGTTCTTAAGCGAGGAGTTATCGGTGTACGAATCTGTCGCACCTTTTACGTAGCGTTTCGAGCAAGCACGACAAGGTCTTGGTACCAGATGCACTCCGAACATTCGGTCTTGCTTCTTCTAATGAGCCTCTCACTTGATGGCGACCTCCACGGTTGATCTCGAGAGATCTTGCTGACAACTCGAGAAGAGGATGTGCCACTCTGCACCTATAGCGTAACTCGATTGCTCAAGCTATACTTCATGTGTTCTGGCGGAATTGCCCGCGCCAGGGGCCATTCTCGAGCTCCATTGTCGAATTTAACCACAGCATTTTTGACACGTGGGCGCTATCATTGGTTGATAGGCATAAGCTATACCAACCTCATTCGGGGCATCACTATCGATCAAGTATACCCATGACTCGAGCGGGCGAATTATGCCTAGGCACATTCCAAATCCAGACATAGTTCATGATCCTAAGAACGCCTGAACAAGCTGGTGCAACAGAAGAAAAAACTGATCCAGCTGGTTGGCATACATGGTCACCACGGCTCGTCCGAGGGATGAGGCAATATACTCGACCAACCATAGATCTCTTCATACCATTGCCTGAAGAGTTAACGACTTGTCGAAATTCCGACAATTTTCTGAATCGCTGCTGCATTTTGTACACATGATGATCATGATGGCTCTTTCTAACTGAATGAGCGTCCTTGCTCGTTCTAATTAAGCCAAAATGGGAAAGTGGCGCGGGCGGCTGTACAAGACTGACCGTGCACGAGACTTCGACCACGAACTCGACCGAAATGTCAGAGCGCGACAGATCTACGAGACAATAGATCGACAGAAATTTCAATGGGTAGTGGTACTGGTTTCGGGTGTAGGCTTCTTCCTTGACGGATTTACTTTGTTCGCGAGTAACATTGTGACGCCCATGATAGCGTATGTGTACTGGAGGGACGACTTATCGAACCGAAGAAATGTTCATATCAATCTCGCAACGTTGTCGGGCACCATGCTGGGACAGGTCATCTTCGGCTTTCTGGCGGACAAATACGGCCGCAAGAAGATGTACGGCTTCGAATTGATTCTCCTCATTGCTGCCACTTTGGGTGTCGTGATGAGTTCTGAAGGTGCCGAGGGCAGTATGAGTGTCTTCGCCTGGCTTATTTGGTGGCGCATCATCGTTGGTATCGGCGTGGGAGCTGACTACCCTCTCAGTGCAGTGATCACATCTGAGTGAGTTGTAGTCATCATTGACGTCCTAACAAAGTGAACTAACGGAGTTGTAGACTCTCTCCTACAAAACATCGAGCCACAATGATGGCAACTGTCTTTTTCATGCAGCCTCTTGGACAGATCTGTGGTAATATCATCTCACTTGTTGTCATTGCTATCAGCCGAAACACCGAGACAGATAATCTCACCCGAACCTTCGATCAGATGTGGAGATGGGTCATTGGACTAGGTGTGGTTCCAGGAGTTATTGGCGTGCTGTTCCGATTCGCGATCCCTGAGACACCACGTTTCCTGCTCGACATTGAAGACGATCCAATCAAAGCAGAATTCGACGCTACCGAGCTCTTCGGAGAAAGCCCCGGCGATACAGACCTCGAGGATGGCGCATCGTCAGCATCAGCTCGAGGCTCAGGTACTTCTGGAGGTCGTACCGACGAGATCATAATCGCAGCACCACCTCTCACGACGCAAGCAGAGTGGACCATTGGTGCACCCACTGTAACGCTGAACTCTAATTGGACTCTTTCGAAGCGCGACATAGTCCAGTACTTCATCACAGAAAGGAACTGGATTACACTAGCCGGAACAGCTCTCTCATGGCTACTACTCGACTTCGGCTTCTACGGCATAGGCCTCTCCAACCCGAAGTTCCTAGCGAAGACCTGGGGATCCCTCGACATCGTCGGCGCCACACCCTCCTGGCAAACCAGCCAAGACCCAAGCGTCAGCCACTTCGACATGTTCTTCAACACATCCCTCCACGCCCTCCTCATCCTAAACCTAGGAAGTTTTCTCGGCGGTGTCCTCATGATCTCCTCAGCCGCCCACATCAACCGCGTCAGCCTGCAAAAATACGGCTTCATAGCACTAACAGCCATCTTCATCGCCATGGGCACAATGTTCATCACAACCCAGAAAGAAGGGGCCCCAGCCATTGTCCTCTACATCCTCGGCCAGCTCTTCTTCAACTTTGGTCCGAACTCCACTACCTATATCTTGCCCGCTGAGCTCTTCCCAACCAGATACCGAGGCACCTGCCACGGCATATCAGCAGGTGCAGGCAAACTTGGCTCGATCCTCGTACAGATCTTCACAACGTACTATAATCTTGGATCTAGCACGCCAGGAGATGAAGGCACGAAGAGATACGGCGTTGTCCTGATTGTGTTTAGTGCGACAATGATCCTTGGGGCGGTTGTGACGCAGTACATGGTCCCGGATGTGCAGGAGAAGGGGCAGGGATTGAAGAGAAGTTGGGGTGGGAGGTCGAAGACTTTGGAGGAGCTAGCGATTGGGAGGGCGGGAGTTCAGAGTGATGTTGTTGTGAGGGCGAGGAGGAGGAGGGATCTGGACTGAAGGAACGGATGGTGTGATGTGAACGTTTTCATAGTGTATACTAGCAATGGAAGGACTGACGAGTTCAAGCAACTGATATGTTGGTTTTAGTTGTAAATTACGAATCGACTTTTGACACAGATATTCTTTCACCTTGAAACGCCAAAAAGCACATATGATTCAAAAGTTTATTTAATCCGCTTCAACCTCTCAGTCTGCAAATGAAACCTATCATCCAATCTATCACTCTTGTCCGCCACATTCTGCAACATTTTGTTCTGAGTATCAGCCTCGTCACCCATAGCCCTAGCCAAAATGTTCAACCGTTGCGCAGCACCGCCCAGCTCATCAATATTTCGCTCGATCTCGTCCTCCGCGCGGTCATCGTCACTATCAGCCTCGAACTGATACTTGGATCTTTCAGCCAGAGTCGCCTTCGGCATCCCGTTTGGCCTACCGGCGTCGTTGAGACCCTTGAAGTTCTGGTTCATGCGCGCGGTGGATTGGAAAGCTGCTTCACGAGTAGCTTCGCGCTGGTCCCGTTCCATCCTGTGGCGGTCGACGATCTTTTCTTCATCACGGATGCGGCGTTCTTTGGCGGTGAAAGGGTTGTTGACGTGGACGGCGAACATGGACCGATTTAGGGTTTTGAGTTCTTTGCTTCTGTCTTCGGCGATGTTGACCGAGTTATGGCCAATGTCCAGGTTGCGATTGGTGTTGTGGATGCGTTCGCCTTGGGCGCCGAGGCGGGCGAGTGTGTTGCGGCCTGTTTCTTCGGCCATGGCGGCGGCTTGGAGGGCATTGCGGGTGGAGGAGACGTCTTGTTGTTTCATAAATTTGATTTCTTGTTTGGTTGCGGTAACATCTTCTTCCTCTTCCTCTTCTGCTGTTAGTTGGCGGTCGCCGTAGGCTCCGTAGCTGCGGGACTCGTTGGGGTCGTTGCCGCCGCTGTTGTATTGGTAGCCAGGTGGTCCGTTTGCTTGCTGTTGTTGAGCTCTGTCTCTCGCACCCCCAAATAAGGCGTCCCTGTTCTCGTCTGGTGTATCGTCTGCAGGACCTAGTCCGCCGTAGCCACCTGTCTTGGAGGCACCACCTGGCTGAGTCATTTGTGCATATGGGTTGGCACTCCGCTGAGGTCCAGGAGCGCCGTACGGATTACCGCCTTGCTGTGGTCCGCCATATCCCTTCTCGTCACCAAATCGATTTGGGCCATACCCGCCCTGCTGATTTCCTGTAGGCCTAAACTGATTGTCACCTCCATGGGGACCGAACCTGTTAGCACCATATCCTCCCTGAGGTGCACCATAACCTTGTTGCGGACCACCTTGCTGCTGTTGCTGCTGCTGAGGTGGCTTCACTATGCCGGCATTCATCTTCGCTTGTGTATATGGATCTGGAGGCACATTGGAGTATGGGTTGTTCTGTGGTGGAGCAGGGGACTTTGAGTTCTTTGACCTGCTGAATAGGGCAGATCGACCACCATCTTCGCCGTCGTCGCCCTTCTTCTTGAAGAGACCCATCTTAAGAACTATTCTGCTAACGCTTGTAGGACAATGTACTTAGTGAAGTTGAGTAACGGCGTCCGTAGTCGAGCACCGCAGGTTCTCAGCTGAGTTAGCGAGTATCAAAAAGTAGGGACCGCCTCGATTGCTCTTGAAAGTCTTTCTCCTGTGCGTAAACGAGCTGAAAGATGCGTGTTGCAGTGGCTCAGGATATCGGTGAGTTGGGCTGCGGCTGACTTGGGGCTGTGGTGAGTCGATGGTGGGCAATGATTAGGCTGCTGAGATCGAGTACGACAGCCAGATCACCGGCAGCTTCACCTGGTATCGCTTCGCGTCTAGCCTGTAGGGTTGCGATTGTGGAACTGGCGTTTTGGATCGTGCCTGAAACCTGTAGTAATTGCCTACTGGTGATTGTTGCCCCAGGCCTCGAGCCATCAAGCACGAATCAGATGGACAAGCAAATGCTCTGACAGCAATAGAATACGAAACGAATAACCTTTGTAGTGGTTTTCTCCGTATAAAGAGCAGGACTATCACATCACATGCCAGCATACCGATGATGACACAGGCTCATGGCGCCTCATATCGACCGCGAGGCCGAACATATCAAAGGAAAAGCTCGTAAGGATCTACTAGCTCTTCTCGAAAATGTAAGAGCCTCGACACTCAGGAACACACCTGGGATCCAAACTCATGAATACAGGTCCGAGGCAAGAAAAATGTCGTGTTCAGCCGGGACCTTCCAGCTATTGTTGGCCTCTTTGTAGGCTTCTCGGTGCTCAAAGAGTACGGCGTCGAAAAGGTCTTCGTTCTTGAGAATGGCAACACAGATGCGTCGCAGCGTAATGTGGTCTACATTGCCGATGGTGAAAACCCAACAAAAGTTCAAGCGGTGGCAGGTAAGTAGCACAATCGTTACAGCATCCTAGAAGAGGCAGCCGTGGTTACGTGACTATCTTCGTACTGCAGTACTAAAGATTTTACAGCACAGATTAAGCAGTTACAAAGAAACGGCAACGTCGAACACGAGGTGACCATTATCTGGGTCCCAAGGAGGACTCTAGTGTCCAACAAGATTTTAGAGGATGAAGGTATACTTGGCGATGTCAACATACAGGAATTACAAATATTCTTCCTGCCACTGGAGACCGACTTATTGTCTTTGGAGCAAAGCAACGGCTTCCACGATCTGTACCTGTACGGCAATCGGGGTCCAATACATCTGGCTTCAAGAGCTCTGATGCAGATTCAGCAACGACATGGTCTTTTCCCCAGGATTCTAGGCAAAGGCGACAATGCTCGCAAACTAGCTAACCTCCTTGTGCGAGCAAGAAAAGAGCTCGATGCCGACGAGGCCAGTACTCCTTATACTACGATGCCAAGTACATCGATAGACAGCCTGATCGTCATCGATCGAGACGTCGATATGGCCACTCCGCTTCTCACCCAGTTGACCTACGAAGGACTGATTGACGAGATGATCGGTATCAAGCACAACAAAGCAGAAGTTGACTCTTCCATCATTGGCCCTGGCGGACAAAACTGGCCCTCTGCTGGCGCGACAGCACAACCAGTCACGGCTCCGTCTCGTCAAGCCCTGAAGCAGACAATAGCGCTCGATTCATCAGACACATTATACGAGCAGCTTCGATCGGTGAACTTTGCTCTCATTGGTCCACATCTCAATAAGATCGCCAGACGCCTACAAACAGATCTTGAAGGTAGACATCAGGCACACGAAATTAATGAGCTTAGAGAATTCGTCAATAAATTACCAGTCTACAAGGAGGAGCACAAGTCCTTGGCTGTTCACACCAACATGGCCGACGATATGACCAAATATACACGGTCAGAAACATTCAACCGAGAACTTGAAATACAACAAAATATAGCTGCAGGAACTGATCCAATTTACCAACACGACACCATCGAGGAGCTTATTTCTCGAGATGTGTCGATATCCACGATCCTTCGCCTCCTCTGTCTCGAGTCGACTATTGCTGGTGGACTTCGTGCAAAGGACTTGGACAATTTCAAACGGCAGATCGTGCAAGCATATGGCTACCAACATTTGCTAACTCTCGACCGACTCGAGAAGATGGAACTTCTTCAGTCCCGGGCTTCAGCATCAGCGCTTCTTCTACCTGTTGGTGGCGGCGGTGCGAGTGCGACTGGCACTCAGTCCAACTATGGCTTCCTGAGGAAAGAGCTTCACATGATTGTGGACGAGTACAACGAACAGGATCCTGACGACGTATCTTACGTCTACTCGGGCTACGCACCATTGAGTATCCGATTGGTTCAATGCATTTTACAAAAGTCCTACATGCAATCTCTACACAAGTCTCCACTACCGCTTACACCCTCTAGCACAGGCTGGGCGGGATTCGAAGATATCCTCAAGTCCGCCAAAGGACCTACATTTAACATAGTGCAGAAGCCCAGTGACGAGAAAGCTAGTAAAGCTAAGACTGCATTGGCTGGTAACGCCGGCTGGAAACACGTCTTTGTGATGTTCTTGGGAGGTATCACTTGCGCGGAAGTCGCTGCATTGCGGTTCATAAACAGGAAACTCGCTGAAAGTGGACAGCGGAAGAAGATTATGATATGTACGACTGGCATGGTTAGTGGGAGAAGTATCATGGAGGGTGTGATTGAGACGAAAACCTTGGGTAGTGGTATTAAAACACCACCCACTACATGAGGTGACACAGTTCACTTAGAGTGAATTTTGCAGCCTATACGTATCAGCTTTGTAAACCTTTTAGTGATATTCATTTCACTTACAAAGTGACTTCCTGACCCACACTATATAAGCACGACTAGCAGCCATTGCCTCACTCAACGAAATAGTTTACTTGAACCTCACGTATAGGCCTGCCTAGTCTTGGTAATAGTGACTATTGCGGTATTGTACGGGTCATACACAAAAGGCCGGTCATTTTATTACGCGAGCGGATTGGTGCCCCAAAGTCAACATTTACACGTGACTCGGGCATAAATCCAAACCCCGAATTACTGGCACGATTTGTCGCAACTTTCACAATTTCAGTCGCGATATAGTCAACATTGATCCAAACTTCACGATGGTGACAACACGAAGATCCGGGGCGAACGAGCCTCTCGAGCATCTAGAGACGCCTCCAAAACGAACTCGTAAGAGCAAACCCAAGAGACCTGTCTCGCCGGTGTGCGAAGCCTCTCCCGAGGTGATACAGGCTGTCCTCATGGAAGCTGCATCGTCCCTCTCCTTCCAAGATGTGCCCGTGACAGACGCTAAAAGTGCTGAAAATCTAACCCCTGCTATAGAGCAAACCACCACGAACGCCACCTCTGTGAAGCGTCGACACGAAGACGATGAGGCACAAGATGCTAGTCCCACTAAGCGTCCTCGAACGCAGCCAGTTTCTGCCATAAAGGACGACAACTACCTCTTCATGTTCCCGAAGAAACACACCCTCGAAGAAGACCTCGAAGAGGCCCCCAAGTCACTTGTCAGTACTTTTCGAAGAAACAGAGCACTCCGTGCCATGAACAAGAAGAATGGACGATTTGGTGGTTCGGTGCGACTTCAGGGTCCAGTGAAGCTGATCGGTGACAATCCATTTGGTATTGAAACCTTCACTCAACAAGAACTCGCCGAACAAGCAGCTGCACAACAACCCAAAGAACTCACCACAGAGAGAGAGAATCGGGAAGAAAGATCTGCAGCTCCAGAACCAGAAACACCACAAAGAGGACTCTTTGGCAGTTTGCGAGAAATTGGAAGTGCTACTGTCGGCCGAATACTGTCGCCATTTGGTAGATCCAATACAGCTTCACACTCAAATACAGCCCCACAGCCACGGACCGAGCCTCAGAAGCGTGTCAGGGTTTGGGACATCGAATATCCTCAGCTGCCTCCGAACCAGAACGAGAACGCTCCCCCAGACGAAGAACAGGAGGAAGAGGAGACAGAGTCTGAGAGAAAGAGACGAGAATTCGAAGCCAAGTTTGGCAGGACAAGCAGGAAGTACGACCACCTTCACACCACACCGATCGACGGCAATCCGGAAAACCTTCCCTATCCTGTCAAAAAGAAGCCAGAGTCGACATCTCAGCCAGACACAGAGCAAACTTCGAGTGACTTACTAGAGTTGTCCAGGCGACGAAAGGAGAGAAGGGAAGCACTACACGGCAAGCGATCTGTCAAGCAAATTCCAACTATGGCACCATTGTTTGGACCGAACAGTCATTATGCAAGAGGGACAAGGGATCCTATTTTTGACAAGCTACCTGTCACTGGAGACCATCCTGCACCAAGCAAACTCGGTAACAAGCGAACGTCGGAAGAAGCCTTATCAGAGGAAGCTACGGCGCCTAACAAACAACCTCCTCGCTCCTTCCAGCCATCCGTAGAAGACGAAGCTGACTCTGTCGAAGACGGACCCTCCACACCTTTGGCCAAGAAGCAGAAAACAACCGCAATCACCCAAACTCCACGTTCTGCATTGAAAGCTCCTGGTTCAGTGGCTCGATCCGGAAGATCTGCTCGATTCAATCCAAATCCGATTGCCAGTGTCAAGCACATGAGTCCGATTTCTGGTACGGCTCCTGCTGGAGAGTACTCGCCAGACAACCTGTTTCTACCACGTCCACAGGATAGTCCCGGTTCTGACCATAGTTTCTCGCCTTCACCGAATACTCAGAAAAACACTGTTGCCAATACTGGAGAACATCGTTCAACTAAGTTCGACCGCAAACATCCTGGAGATGAATTCACTACGGCCCTCAATGCTGGCCAGCCGTACGTACGAGTGGATTACACTTGGAAGGACTCCCAAGATCCCAATTGGAGACCAAGTTTGCATAACCCGCGACCGGGTTGCATTCGCCTGCTTGACGATGATGAGGAAGAAATTGAGATGCAGCGTCTTGCTGCTCTGGAAAGAGAGCATTCATCTATGTCGCCTGAGTCTGCACCTGAAGCACCACCAACACCACGAATGTCACATGCTGAACTGCCAAAATCATCTGCACCGTCGTCATCCTCAATTGATGCACAGAATGCTTTTGAGGCCGCCAATCTCGAACGTCGTCGAGCAGATGCCACAAAGACCAAGCCGCGAAAATCATCAAGACTGGCAGAAGTCACGTCTGCACGGTCCCGATCACCTTCTCCACCAGGCCTGGACACCAGCTATGATGCAGGTGAAGGCTCCGACTCATCTGTCAAGACTCCCTCACCTACTCTTGACACTACCAGCAACATCTGGACTTGGAACACAGATACCAACGAGTACATTTCATCCGTCGCCAACTATCCTGATTTCGCTTATAATCCTTACGACGAGCTCATTCCTGCCTTCGCTCTCAAGACTGCTACAGGCGAGTATGATGATACAGTCGTTGGTCCAGATGGTATGACAGAGTTGCAGCGACAGAATCACTACAAGAACATATACAATGATGAATGGGCTGAAAAGACCTTCAAATTCGATCCTCCGCAGACTTATGAGGAAGCTGGTGTGGGCTCAAAGCATATACACGACCTAATCAGGAAGACAGATGCCCAGTTTCCAAAGCTTGTGCAGAAGTGCGATGAGCGCAACAAGGTTGAATGGGATGCTCATCAACAAGCTATTGATAACGCAATGAGGCAGGGAAAGGTGTTGAAAGCTACTTACCCCGATAGAGACGAGGTCGAGATGCTTGACGACGACGAACTGTAAGGAGGAAAAGGAGATTGAACTTGGTTGTTTCATTAATAGCGTGGAGCTGGGGCTGTGCGAGTACGCCAAGGCGTGTACATTATGGTTCATACATCTTTATCGAGCTTGGGTTATTGCAAGAAGATCTCAGGAGATGGAGATAGTGTGTTGGCTTGGAAATTGAGGTCGAAAGCCCTTGAGCCTGCCATCGAGACTGGCTGTGTGATCACCACGATCCTCCTGGAGTTCGCCCTCGAGGCTTGAGCGAAAGGAGTTGATCGTGGGTTTGATCTTGCCAGTCCCGATGGATTGTGGCTTAGGAAGGAGATATTGATGAAAGATGTCAGCGCGTATCGCTGACCTGATTACGAAGAGTTGAGGTGAAAAAGTCGCGTAGTATGGTTGTTCTTGCTTCATGATGAGGCTACGAGAAGATGCTATTTAGTGCTATAGAGCTTGTGAAGCTTTGCATGATTAGTTTATCGGACCAGCACAGTGTTCGACGTGGTCAAATACAGCTCAAATAAACCTTTAACGCTGCTCTTTTTATTTGCCGCAGTAACGCGACGAGTTCGCGTACGTGGCGCGATTCCTCCATTTGTCCTTCTCGCACATTGGATCTGGCTGTTCATATCATCATTTCAAACTTACAACTTGCTGGGTCTGACATTGTGATCGCCACTATGCGGAGTGCCTGCCTCTGGTGGGCCACTGATATCATGATAGCCTCGAAGGCTTTATGAGCAGGAAATCGCTTAGGGTTCTCCGGAAATGAGCTTCTATTTGCATCCACGATTCATTCGTCACCGAGGTATATACGTCGCAGACGATCCAACGCATGTCATGAATTGTCACTCAATGAGACAAGAAAGTCGACGCTTTCTTTGGTCTTCCAATGACGTTTAGTGCTTTACGCTGAATTTGCTTCTCATAACCCACCAGCAATGTCATTCGAGAGTCTGGAGGTGTCCATAATGCGCTGCTAAAAAGGTTTCCGTTCGCCTAAAGGGGCAAATGCTCACACGACATCAAATCTGCAGATCACATATACATCCAGGTCATCGTCAGACAACGATGTGTCTGCATCTTCCGATAGTACGTGAGGAGGATCATGGAGGGTATTTTGCAATATCGTCGATTGCGGAAGGACATAAGCCAGAAGGTTGAATGTGGTCACGATGATCCGATAGCTACCTCAGAGAATAGAAATTCGAACGATACGGAAAATGACACTAAGGCCGGGTCGTACGTGGACTTTGGCGTCCAGGATCCTCACAATCCACAAGCGTGGTCATACAACTACAAACTGTTTTGCGTGTTTATTATCTGGTTGCTGGCATTTGTGACAGGATGGGCATCAGCCGCAGACTCAACTGGACTTGCGATGGCCTCGAAGCAGTTTCATGTCTCTCAGACTGCCGACTCTCTTACAACAGCAATGTACCTTTTTGGTGTTGCTGTTGGTGGTGTGTTAGCCGGACCAATAAGCGAGACGGTGGGTAGACTGCCTACATACCTCTTGACTTTTGCAATCTATCTCGTATGGCTGATGGCTACGGCGTTGGCACGAAACTATACAGCTCAGATTCTATTCAGGTTGCTTGCAGGTTTCTTTGCTTCCGCGAGCATGGCGATCTATGGCGGAAGTCTTGCTGATCTGTTTGAACGAGAGGAACGTGCTTCAGTTTGGCCATTCTTCGCTCTGTCTCCTCTGTTAGGTAATTAGCAGTCTTCAACTTGTTCATCATATTCCCAGTGCTAATATGGCTTAGGACCTACGCTCGCTCCGATAGCAAGTGGTTGGATTGCTGAATACTTCGGCTGGAGATGGGTCGAGTGGAGTACTCTGATCATTTCCAGTGCGATCTTCGTCCTGGCCATATTGTTCCTGCCTGAGACACTTGGCCCTACCATTTTATCGTGGAAAGCTCGACTGCTTCGTGAAGAGACAGGAAACGACAAGTACAAAACAGAACGCGATGAACAAGGAGGCCCATTCGATCTCCTCCGAAGTCGTCTGCTGCGCATTACTTCTTTTATTCTCACCGAGCCAACCACTGTCCTCTTCGAGCTATACCTGACACTCTTATACGTACTGGTCTATGGGTTTCTGGAGGGCTTCCAGTATATATTCACTGATACGTATGACTTCAGCACTGGTGAAAGGTACAGCTCCTTCGCAGCCATAGCCATTGGTATCCTGGTCGCCATCCCCTATATCCTTCTGATCTACCATTTCGCCTCGGTGAGGTCAAAGCGAAACTCAACAACGATATCACCCGAAGGGCGCCTGCTTCCATCCCTGTTCACGTCACCTCTATTGCCAATCGCGCTGTTCTGGATGGGGTTCACGAACCGATTGGATATCTCATACTGGTCGAACTTGTCCGCTTGCTTTGTTCTCGGCTTTGCATTAATGGCTCTGTTTACTTCGGCATATCATTACCTCCTCGATGCGTACGGTACGAACTCATCTAGTGCTCTAGGTGCTGTGACTTTCGTGCGCTATGCGGTCAGTGGCGGCGTGGTCATCGCTACTAATCCATTGTACGAAGCACTTACGGTGAGGTGGATGTTGACCCTGTTGGGCGGCATTGCAGTGCTCTTGGCGCCTGTCCCTTGGGCATTTTGGCGATATGGCTCTAAGATTAGAGAGAAGAGCAAATGGGCTGAGAGTTGATAACAAAATCCACGAATTACGTATAATGATGATTCAACCTTTGAACCACTTGAGTATGCAGCTCCGAACTGCCTTGCAATGCTGTCAAATTGCTCTCAACTCTTGATCACTGCGTTCAAATCGCCTTCCAACCCAGCTTCCAGACTCCCTGTATCCCCTTCTCCTTGTCCCAAAAATCATCCAAACGCTCCGTCGGATCTCCCTTCACCAGCACCAAATCCGCCCGTCTCCCCACCTCCACCTTCCCCCTATCATCAAACCTGAACCTATCCGCACTCACCCCCGTCGCACTCCTCAACGCCTCGATCACACTCATCCCACATCTTTCAACATACAGCTCCAACTCCATCCACAAACTCGGCCCAATCCCCGTCCCCTTCAACCCAGCCGCACTATCGGTCCCCGCCACAACATCCACACCATGCTTCCGAAACATCCTGATCGTCTCAAAGCCATGCTCAATCGCACACTGCGGCGCCTTCATGCCAAGAAATTCCACCATGGTCTGTTTCGTGAAATCGTCAATGACTCCCAGATGCTCAGACGCGATCTTCGCGTACTTCTCGCGTAGGTCCTGGAGTTCGTTGGTTAGACTGCTTAGCACGACCAATGTCGGAATCACGAATGCGTTGTTCTTCTTGTATAGCTCGATGATGTCCTCGGTGGGAGACTGGTCGATGAACGTGTGAGTAAGACCGTCAGCGCCAGAGTTCAGTACGATCTCCGTGCTTTCACGGCTGGTGGCGTGCCCGACCACGAGGAGGTTGGCTTTGTGGGCGGCGTTGACGACGGCCGTTTGGGTCTCGAGGCTTGCGACGGGGATGCTGTTGGTGGGGAGGGCGAGGGAGCAGCAGTTTTCTTGCATGAGTTTGATATAGTCTGCGCCGGTGGATTTGTGGGATGCGATGAAATCGGACGCGTTGGAGGGGGTCAGGGAGGGCCATTTGGAGACTTTGGCTTTGAGCTGTGTAGTAGGAAGAGGGTGTTAGCACTTTGACCTATGTACCGTGGGGGCTAAGATAGATAGGAGAACAGCAAAGAAAGACACAGCATCAAGCATCAAGCTCCAAGACCTACCTCATCACTCGGCTCATGCGCAAGCACAATCGGCTTCGGCCATCCCCCCTCAATCGTAGCACCATACAGCGAACTCTTCAGATCACACAAGCTCACCGTCTCCTTCCCCTTCCTCGCCGCCTCAACATCCTCCTTAATATCCCTCCGGAAATTAAGAATCGTGTCTGGATCACTATGCATATCACAAATCGTAGTCACACCACATTTCAGCGGCGTGCGAAGAACCTGGCCGTGGTCCGCGCCTGGTGGGAGGTGGAGATCGTACACATGGACGTGAGCCTCGATTAGGCCTGGGAGGAGGGTGTGTCCGGCGCCGTCGATGGTGGTGGCTTTGCTGTTGGCGGATGGATCGACGGAGCTGGCGTCGGGGGAGGTGTTGACTTCGAGGATGGTTCCGGAGTCTGAGTCGAAGGTTACCCGAGCTTTGTCGTGGACGTTTGTGCCGTCGAAGAGGCGGACGTTGGAGATTATTGTTACTGTCATGGTTTGCTATGGTTTACCAAAGCTGAATGCTGTATTTCTTGCCCTTGACTCAATCCTTGGAGTTTGTTGTTTCGTTCTCGAGAATCTAGACAAGTTTGAAAGCTTCCCTTGTGGTTTGATTCCAAGATTTATGACCAGTCTCCTGTGTTGTTTGACTTGCAATGGCTTCTCTTAGGAGCTGGGTCTCAGAACGTGAATTGTTGACAGCAGTTTTGGTCTCTCGCGTAAGGCACACTTCTAGTAGTCAGCTCTCTGCTGAAACAGCTCGCCATAAACTCAGGAAATAGCGTGAACGGGGTTTCAGAAGCATTATACAAGCGTTCTCTTTGTCACACTTGAGGCTGGTATAAAGTTAGATATTACTCCGCATCCTCAATTTGGTGGGGCTAGGTATAGTGTTAAACAATAGTACAAACACGCAGACTTCGAACAGGATAAGAGTCTACGTGAGATTTCGCTTGACAACTCGACAAAGCCTGAGAAGAGCATCATGACCTCGATCGGCGAGATTACCAGCCACCAAAAGCAGTTATATATGCAAAGTTCTGATATGATGGGGTGACCTATCTTAATGTAACACGTTTTGCTTCGCTTTTATCATGCTCGTTAACAAGACAGTGCCTCCTCTCGTTCTTGTCCAGATGGCGTGGACTAACATGGTAGGATTCTTAATTGCCTTCATCCGAATGATCTGACTCAATATTGGCTGTAACAAATAACTCAGTATCATCCTTTCCAAGACCACGACCTGGACTGACTCGAGCTTTAATGTTAAAGGTAACACTGCCTCTGCTACCACGAGAGTTGCTCCGGGATGGGCTCAAATTGAATCGATGGTCGATTGCGTAAGGTCGCCCACCTGGAGAGTGTGCCTCGCGAGGTCGGCCACGAACAGGGGTGAATGGGGTAGGTTTGATAGGGCTCAGCGAAGACGTTTTTGATGGCACGTCAAATTTGTGTGCAAACGGCTCTACCGCCTTGTTTGAGTCTGTACCTAGAGAAACAAAAGCCTCGTCAGCGACATCTCTAAAGTTAATTGATATGCACTTACCATCAAGCGATTGAAGTTCTTTCACCTCGTCGGGTGTAGCTTGCAGGTGAGGAAGATGCACATTGACATCGCGAAGAGTCATGTCCTGAAGGTCGCCTGCACTTTGCACGATTTCCGATTCCCATATGATTGGCTGAGCGACTTTGTCCTCCTTAGTGGTAGACGCGCTCTTCCCCGAGACTCGTCGTTTCGTGGCAGACAAGAGATCACGTATTGTGGTCTTGACCACACTCGACCTAGGCTTGACATGATGCTCATCGTGTTTGGCTGCTTCAGCGTACGAGACAGACTGTCTAACGGTAGGATTACTTGGACCAACGTCAGTCATAGGCAGACGGCCAGGCCACTCGATTGCTGTCGAGAAGCTGCGAGCTGACTCCAATGGCAAATCAACTCTGTCATTGTCTATAGTGGATGCCTCAACTTCTGGGTTGAGAAGCTTCGCCTGTTCTTGCCTTCTTTCAGCCTCGATCAATCGAGGCAATGCCAGAGCGATAGGAGGTGTTGCAGACTTTGGTCGCTCGTCTCTAGAAGGCGGTGGAACTGGATGGAATTTAGCAGTGTATGGCGAGGTCTTTGGTGGATCGCTTTCTACAAGTGACTCGCGGCTCATGCTTTCCTACAGCAAAGCTCGTTCTCGGACAGGACTTGAAAGAGGGAAACCAGTATGCCGAGGAGCGACAGCTATCGACTCAGAAGCCTGGTGAAGCTTGCCTTTTTCGAGACAATCACCAAACAACTGACGGGGTTTTGCCGGCGTTAGGCCACGCAACTTGACAGGCGACTCAGTATGAGAATTGGATGATGATTTTGCTGAGCTTGGTACAGTTGTTCGGTCTTGACTTCGGGCCAATCCAGCGACCTTCACACTCTGACTGCGAACAGGCTGAGCTGAATCCGATTCTGGTTGCATAGGAGGTGGTCGTCTGGAGCTTGAGCTCCTGGTCAGGGGATGTGGTATCTGTAGAGGTGACATGGTTGTGGCAATAGCATTGTCAAGCATGGTACCGAGCTCGTCCATCAATTCGTCTCTTACTTGCGAGCTGCTGCTCTGCTCTCGTCTGACAATCTTTTGCACGGAGAAAAGTCTCGCACGGACATCTTCTAGCACTTCATCCACTTCTTCCAAATTTTCGGGCTCAGGGATGGGAGACGACCTTTGTGCTGGATGTCCTCTGTCTCGTAGCTCATGCTCAAGGTTCGTTGCTGGCTCGATCTCGTGCTCTTCGTTTGGAGGTTGTGTAGCAAGCTCAACAATCTCTGGCAGTTCTTCTATTTTTGGCTGGATCATAGGGCTCTGTGGGACCGGAGGACTTGGGTGAAAGGTGGTTGGCGGCTTAGGAGAATCCTTTGCTCTAGCAGGCGAGCTCTTGGAATCGTCTTGGAAAGCTTGGATACGTTGTGAGACTCGACCGGGAGGTATATTCCATGTTCTACACGTATCAGCGATTTCCTTGACTTGAAAGACGTCCACTACAGACCTTGGTGGTCTTTCCATTTCGTGGTTGCGAATTAGTAGCCATACAAACACATCGGTAGTTATGCTGTGTATATGATCAGCAGTGCGTTGCCAGTTCAAAAAATTGGACGCGTAGAAGCTAGCAGTGGGTTAACTTTTTTCTGATAGATTCAAGTGCGATCCTCTCAGGCAGAGAGGAAGGAGCGACTTGCGCATATCTGTCGATAGGGAGGTTTGTAGCGTTACTCGTGCTATCTGAATATAAGTATAGAGCAGGTTTGAAGTAATGTTTACATATTCTAAAGCCTCATATCTATTTCAAAGCAGCCTGCAAACTCTCCAATACCTGCAAATTGTCAACGGTTTATCGCGCAAAGCCAGAATGCGTGCTTACCTCGAGTTCGATTTTGGCTTCAGCAATATCCTGCTCACTGCCACCACCACTTGCGATCTTTTGAGCTTCCTGTATCTGGGAATTGACTGCTTCCGAGCTGAAATCCTCTAGAGCATATCCCTCCACAGCATTAATGCTGAGAACCGAATCTGGCTGTACGACTGCGAAACCACCAGACACTGTCCACTATTAGTTGTAATCTCTTTCATGTATGACCTTGCGTACAGAAAAACTGCTTGCTGCCACCCGCCTCTTCGATGATCTCGACCAAACCAGGTCTCAACTGTTCAATAGAAGGAACGTGCTGTGCAAGAATACCCATTTCTCCAGATTCGGCCGGGATGTTCACCTGAACACTAGAAGGCTGTCAGTCCATTATCCCAGCACGCGCAGAGTGCATGTTCGTACACATCTTGTGACTTGTAGATTGACTATAGAGCCGAAGGTTAGCACTTGACCCTTGCAACAGACAAGTATATCATTCGAGTCTCTGGTACGTACCGAGTGAGGAAGAGCCAGGGACAACTTGATCTTGTCGGAAACTGCATCGGCATAGCCTCTTCGCTGTACAGGCCGTGCGATCGCCGCAGATCGTGCTCGAAGAGCTGTCCTTGCAATTCTGACTGAGCTCATGTTTGTGGTGAGAGGCTGCCCTGACTTGTGAAGTTGCGAGGTCCTGAACTTTCGAGCTCGGAATTGAGCTAGCTGTCGCGATACCCGGATTCTTTCCGGGAAAGTCTGCCGAAACACTACCATACTTTACCTCCGCAAATCGAGACTCTACTTACTACTATTCCTCCGTGTTTTGACGCAGATCTGGGAAGATTTTCACATTGTTCTCTGCGTCGAACGTGAATCTGCAAAATCTCGAAAGCTATCTGACATGCTAACCATTCAGTCTCAGTGCCTCGTAACCATCAACTCCTTGGTTCTCCGTATCTCACCCACTAAGGAGATCTCCTTTGTGCCAAAGGTTTGCAACTCAGACTGGCGATATTCTGGACAATGCATCACAGGACCGCGGCCGGTGCTTCTCTGTGTCATGCGTGCAAAAGCAGCTCCATCGCTGAGTACACTTATGGGCAGCGACCTGCCACGAAATCCAAGCCCATTCACAGCTCAGCCCTCGAAATTCAAAAGGCCTCGTTTATCTAATTCTATGGTATTGACTGATATCAGGTGTTTCTGCGTGACGAGCATATCGTGTGTTCACCAACCTTGTTGTCGTACATGAACGACAGAATATATGGCGTCGTCAGCGGCTATGAAGGTCACTTGTGGCTATATGTTTTACGTTTACTTGTCACAAATTTTCCCTAAGAAGGCTGTCGTTATGGCTTCGTACATGTTGCAGTGCTTGGAGAGGATAAATCTCACATTTGTCTGGAACCACTAACTTGCCTTTCAAGCATACTCCGAATAGCACCTACAAAATGCCTCAGCCATATCGAATGACATCCGAACTTCTATTCCACAGTACTGTCCGCGAATCACCGACTGTCTTTGCCATGTTCTACCAGCGTGGAGAGGCTACCACGAGAGCGTTCAGAACAATATGGGAGTTACTGTGTTCCGAACACTCGTCTTCCTCTACAACCTTTATCGAAGTCGACAAAGACGACTTTCCAGATCTCAACAAAGAACTTGGTGTACCCAACCATACCATTCTGACATTTCTCGCTTTTAGGAACAAACATTTGAAGGACGTCATTGAGGGAGTAGACAGTAGAGAGTTGGAGCGGTTTGTGGACAGGAACAAGCAGTCCACCACTCGACGTCCAGCGACTCCCCCTAGAACGCATCGTGAGGTGGATCTCAAAAAATCACGACCTCGTCGTAACCGTGCGAGAAGCCCGGCTAGGGTGGTTGTCGATTCACCTAGAAGACATCGCTCGCCTGCTCCACGTCGAGTGCCTGTATACCACGCACAGGCCGAAGCAAGCAGAAGACGTCGCCGATCGAGCCCAGACCTAGTACCGCTAAATTACGGTTCACCAAACTTCGAGGGCTCAAACGCCAATCGATCCTATCCTGTCGGCATTCGATACACCGAAGACCATGGCTCTCACAGAATCAGCCAGCCCGCACACCTAGAGTACACGGGCCAGGATGGCCATCGTCGTCGAGCTCATGATGTTCGACTCCAGAAAGGACCTGATGACCGACCAGAAGTGGCATTTCTTGATTGGTCCGGTTCTTTAGCAGTCGAGCGCACGATTGGACGTTGAGATGTGGGGAAGAGATTCAAATGTACACTGAACCATGGGCTTGCAGAGGGCACACAAATTTGGTATTGACTTAGGCACAAGCGCATATGCTGCGATGCTAAACAGCAGAACAACAATGTGGCGCTTGTATGGACGCGCAGCTAATCTTTGAGGGATCTACAGGATATGTAGTGCTTTTCAACCAACATCATCCAGCTGAGCTCGGAACTGAGCTGAACGATTTACTAGCAGCGACAACAGCATCATAATTTGACCTAGGTTGTATTTCCGGAGACTTCCCTTTCACAATGTCGCATACATGTTCATTCGTGTGTAAACTGGACGGCTAAGGAAACTGGCTCTCACATGTTGACGACAACGTCTGGCAACGAAGGACGTATGAGCATGTAAGTTGGTGACAGGAGGAGGTTGATCAGGCTGATTGACCCTTCCAGGAATTTTTCTTATCTCCTCGTCTTGATATACAATAAAATTTCACAATCAATGATGGTCAGTCTTGCGCTTTTGCTTAAATACCCTGAGATTATCAGTCGTCTATGCTATCTTTCCTCATCTGCAACTTTTTGTCTTGAACTTAATCTACAATTTATCACATTTCCCATCCATCAACTACAATTTGGAATCTGTCTCTACTTGATCCAACTTGACTTTGCTCTACTCAACCTCAATCGCCGTGGTCCAACTCAACTCCGATAATATCAATGTCTCGTGGCTGTGGTAACAACTGTGACTGCGGAACCAGCCATGCCGGTACTTCTGGATGTTCTAGTTCGTCACGTCCAGGCAATTCAACCTACAGTTATTCGAGATCTGGTCGCTCCAGTTCTCGCTCTGGAGCTGGAGGATCTGGCTGCTCATCTGCATGTTCTTCTGGTTGCTCCAGCGGCCGCAGCTCGGCTTTTGGCGCGAGTTTAGCTTCTGGCGCCAGCCGGTTCAGCGGTCACAGCCGCAATAGTGGTCATGATAGCCGTGGTGGATTTTCGAGTGGCTCAGGCTGTGGTTCTGGTGGCTGTGGTGGTAGTGGGCGACTACTCTCTGAACATGACATCTCTAGCTTGCTGAGTGGATTGAGCGGCCGAAGAGGTGGACACCATTCAGGTTACGGTTCACATGGTGCTGGAGTATGCCAGCCAATACCATCAGCGGAATGCCAGGCCATTTGTGATCGCATGTCCCGTGGTATGGGCGGATCTGGCATTCACGGCTCGAGTGCCAATGGTAATCACCATGGAGGTAATTCTCGTATTCAGCGAGTGTCGTACAACATTCCTGGTGGGACAGTCCGAATAGAGACACGAGAGTATGACAGTGAATGGCGACAAGTGGATGGAAGCAAGGTTGGCTCGAAACTTGGCTCTAGGAGTGGACGCAGCACGGGATCAGGAGCAACATTAGTACCATCGAATTGTGCTCAGCACTCTCCATGCAGAAGCTGTGAGTAGGCTCATATGTCTTCCAACCCGTAATTCCAGGCTGGTCTATACCTTAGGGCAAACTCCAAATTGTGCCATCATATTTAGCTTAGTATGTAATGGATTATGACTTTACTAGAGCAATGACTAGCCTGACCACGCATGATCAGAAGCAGATACTATTTACGCGTTGGCTATTTCTGGTGTCGCAAGGAAGGTGCGTATGAGTACTGCAGTGATTTGCTCCTTCTCGCCGGCGAAGATGTGATAGTGGTCTTGCGTACGCTTTGGCTTCAATATCTGTAAGCATCTCTATTAAATAGAGTATCTGCTTCAACATTCCACTTCAGATTGTAGTACACCAAGTCAAGTAATTCTTCGCAAAGGCCTCTTCTCACAGTTGTTCCCACACGATACGCCACGATGTCTCGGCAATCTGGATCACATTGCCAGAGCAGCCATCACAGTCAACCTGCTCCATCTTCCCATTCTCATCGATCCTCAAACCATTCAAAACCCGCCTGGCCTCCGTCCTACCACTCCTCAAAGCAGTCATCTCATTCAGGGATGAGCTATAACCCACTAACTTCTGCGTCCTCCTCGCGCCATGCGCAGAGCCATATTTCATCCTCCACCCTCCCATCAGGTCCACCTATCAAACTCTGCGAATGCAAAGAACGCTGGGTGAGCGGCGATAAGCCGACCCGTGAAGACGCCATCCACACAGCCAAGCATCTGGTGGGATGGATCCCAGACGACTCAGAATACGAGACCAATAAACTCACCCTAATTCGCCATTGTCTAAAGATGGGTGTAGAACCTTCGACTATTGAGACAACAAATTGGGGAGTTCTAGCCCCAGACCCAGACACATGGCGTAATGCTGCCGCCGGTCTTCCCAATATGACGCGATGGACAGTCGGAGAACAAATGGATTATTGGTGCAAAAAGCTGCCTGAGAGAAATTCGGAAGGCTACGACATCCACACCTACGCGCGCATCTTCAAGACCATGGGATGCTGGGACTGCCGCCATCACCTAGAGCTTGATTTGTTTAGCCAAGGAAATTTCGAGGGCGCAGTGGACGGCTGTGTTGCTTGTCATAATCGACGGACTGGCCATCAATATCGGGGTGGATGTTGTGGTGGAGGAGCTTATCTCAACGATTCTCCTCAGGGTTACTTGACCTTTGAGAGCAATGGAAGTGCTCGCTCAGGGAGCCAGGCTAGAGCAAAGTCAGGGTACACCATGGGCGGTTATGTTCCCGAGAGTCGACAAAGCCGGTCCAGCAAGCGAAGTGGCAAAACTGGTAGCAGCCAGCGCAGCCGTGCTAGTCGATACGATCGGTCCCAGGCAAGTGGATGGCTTCCTCCCAAAGCGCGTTCTGAGCATGGTGTCCCTGCCAGTACTGTATTGGGTCGCAGTGTCAAATCCGAGGGAAATACCTCAACGATTTTGCCTGGAGAGAGCCAATATGGATACAACCAGCGACAGGACGAGAGGAGGGCGAAAGGGCAGGCTCGTGGTGATTGGGGCCATGCGCTGAGCAAGGACCTTCGAGGGAAGTAGGTTGTCCGTAGGTAGGAGGGCAGACTCGATCTCTGAGTTGAATAGGTAATGCATGTCCACTGACTAGCATTCACTGCTTCGGGTGACACATTTTTGTCCATGTCATTCTATGCTCGTTGTTTTCAAGTGAAAGAAGCTGTTGCCAGAATTGACGTGGGTCTCATGTTTCGCTATCCTGTCATTACCACAATATCTCATTTGCGTGCTTACGATATTTGCACACCTCCAACCTCAACAGTCTCGCCCTTGCTCAACTTTTCAATAATTTCTTTTCTCTGCTCTTCGGTCAAAGTGACCTTCTGTCGCGTACCAGCATCCACTCCTAATCCTTCCATCTGCTTCGTGACTCCCTCGACTTCACCACCATCAAGTTCCCTCAACATCCCACTCACCTCCTTCACCAAATCCCCCCTCGGAATCAAAATCCCCTCCTTCCTCGGATCACTATCATCCGTCAACCCCATAATCTTAACCTTCACCTGCCCATTCCTAATCTCATCCTCCCCCAGAATCACCCCGATCCTCGCCCCCTTCGAATCCGCCTTCTTAAACTGCGCAGGTAATTTCGCTTTCTCTTTATGCATTGTCTTCGCACTGATCCCCGCTTCCCCAAGCGTTTTGATCACAGCATACCGCTCCTTCAGGGCACCGTCAAAGTCTTTTCCGCCAAAGGCCATGACGAAGACGTCTGTTGATGTTGATGTGACGTAGGTAAATTTCTGCCCCTGGGAGAGACGAGATTTTGTAATGCTGAAGATGCGGTCGACGCCGAAGGAGACGCCGACGCAGGGGATTTCGGATTTTTCAGAGAAGCGGGAGACGAGATTGTCGTAGCGGCCTCCGGCCGCGATGGAGCCGACGCCGATGGTGGGATCGTTGGAGCGGTCTTCGTCTTCGTCGGCGATGTTTTTGGCTTTCTTGGTGTCTTTCTTCTCTTCGTCGGATTTTTTGGTACCGTTGAGGGGGAGGTTTGTGGGGCGAGAGCCTTCGGTGATGACTTCGTAGATGATGCCGGTGTAGTAGTCTAGGCCGCGGGCGAGAGAGAGGTCGAATGAGATTTGGTCGAGAGTCTTCCAGGCTTCGAGGTAGGACATGAGTTTTTCGAAGCTGGTGATGCCTTCTTTTGCTTTGGGGTTGGACATGAGTTTATCGTCGGCCTTAAGGGTTTCGAGGAGGGCGCTGGCGGTCTGGGAGTCGCCTTTGCCGCCTTTCATGGTTACGTATTTCTCGATGCGGTCGGCGACGTCGGGGTCTAGACCTTTTGTTTCGACCATCTCTTTGCGGACTTCGGACCAGGGGGATTTGTCGAGTTTGTCTACGGCGCTGGAGATTGCTCGTAGTTTGTCGGTTGGGACACCGCATACTTCGAAGAGGCCGTCGAGGATTCGGCGGTCGTTGATCTTGATTGTGTATTGTCCTTTCCATTCTAGGGCATCGAAGACTTCGCAGACTATAGCTAGAATCTCGCTGTCCACGGCCATAGGATCGCTTGGTCCATTGAAATCGATATCGCATTGCCAGAACTCCCTCATGCGTCCCTTTGCGATCGCAGGCTGGTCTCTACGGTATACCTTGCCTATTGCAAACCTGTTGTCCGTGTCACTGTTTGGGTTCATGGCCAGCCACCGCGCGAAAGGAACCGTAAGGTCGTATCGTAGGGACAGTAGTTCACCACCTTGATCTGCCACGTCGTAGATGAGCTTTGAGTCCTCCCCATATTTGCCCTTTAGCACCTCTTGAAGTTCAAAGACAGGTGTATCAAGCTCTTGACCACCATGTTTGCGGAAGACGGTAGATATTTGTCGCAAGATGTCTTTCAGGAGTGCAACATCTTCACCAGACCAGTCTCGTGTGCCTTTTGGATTCTTCAGTTGCTGCTTGTTTTTCTTGTCTTTGGCCATATCGGAGAAATAGCAGCGTTGCGCAAAGTCCTGTAAGGAGAGGGTATGGCTTGGAGGAAGTTTGATAGTTCTAGTAGTACGCCAGCGTAGCAACGGTGTCTGTCCAGCAGAAAGGAATATACGAAGGAATGGACGCATGTAAAAGTGGGTTGTTTCTGCTCAATGAAAATGAGTCTTGAACGTTTTGAGTGCCCGCATTTCTTTCAGGTTGGAGATGCGTCAGAAACACGTGCAGCAAACATTTCACAGATGGTGCGAAGGTCAAGCGAGAATCACACGGGCTCACTACACAAAGCTCACATACATACAACGGCCACGGACACATGTTTAGTAATGAATGTCACTTTTGCCTATCTACAGCTAATCCACTAGTCTTCCGCACGACACCCCGTCGACAAGATACCGAGTACTACCAGGTATTCGTCCCCTGAAGTTGGCCAGGACTACTGGACCCTCGTTGTGGACTTCTCAAAGAACCTCCAATCACACCAATGTTAGCCGGACTGTGATTGTTATTGTCTCTGCTAGACCCACTGCTCTTGCGTCCATTGAACATACCAACGTCAAAATCAGCACTACTTTGTGAGGGCGGAATAGGGTCATAGTCATCAAAGTCTCCAGACGTCCCACTAAGTCCACCGGTTGATTGATTCGTGCCAGAGCGAGGACGTCGTACTCCACTAGCAATGTTCTTTGCCAGACTGTGGAACGGTGATGCTTGAGGGTCCGGGACGAAGGTCGAAGGTTGCATGTTGCCGAACATGAAGGCTCGGGATCCGATAGAAGTCATGCCTGGAAGCTCACCCTCTGGGGTAAGAGGACCGGTACTCGTTTTTGCCATAGCATCTTCGATCTCCCGGAAGACAGCTTGTGTTTGCATCTTGACAGTGTTCAATTGAGCATTCATGTCGTTGATTCTACGTTGCCAGTCTGCTGTTTGTCGATCCTGCTCTTTCGCACGTGTGACTGACTCCACAGCCTTGCGTTCTTTCTCACTCAAGTTCTGGAGGTTGGCTTCAGTCAGTCGTTCTTGTTCAGCGGAGAGCTTAGTATTGCGTGCGATCAGACGATCCTTTCGAGCGGTCGTATTCGTAAGCTCGGCCTTGGTACTTGCAAGTTCGCTATTGGTCTCGTTCTTCAGGATCTCCAGCGACTCGTTCGCCTCTGCCAATTGCTGGGTTCGCTCGTCATATGCAGCTTTCCTGGTACCATACTCAACTGTCTCCTCTTCCGGAATCGTCTCCAGCTCGTCCGATTGTACGCCAATAGCACTCACAGCCTCTTCGTATTGCCGAGCATTTCTCTCAGCTTGCAGAAGCTTTTGTCTTTGCTTGTGATCGTCGCTACCAGACTTGAGCTTGTTTTGAAGTGATTCAATTTCTCGGTCGAGTTTGGCAAGTGCATTTCTGTGGTTTCGTCGAATCTTGTTGCGTCTGTTATTGGCATCCTCACGTGATCGCTCAGCTGTCTGTATTGATGTCTTGAGCGTAGTCGTTGGTGAGTTGGGCCGAGCTGATTGGCGGACGGGTACTGGGACAGTCGCGTTGACAGCATCTCGATCAGCCAGGGGCGGAGTTCTAACCATAATCGAAGCTATCTCTTTATCACCATCAACACGACGGAAGGAACAAATATAGTTGCAGTCGGGCGCCAGGCCGCCAATACTGCCTAACCACTTGGCTGGATTATCGTTCTCGCAAAAATCTTCATGCACAAGATCCATAGTTACCGAATGCCACCGTGCGTTGTTGATACGGACATAGAACGGTCGAACAGTGGCAGCATCCTTAAGGTGACAGTCCTCGTGTAACGAGGCATGATAACCTGCCACAAACTGAATCGTAGAGGGCTCGACATTGGTGATCCACACGCACTCTTCGCTCTCTCCACGATTGGTGCCTTCGGGACTGTTGGTTGAATTCGCTTTGTCTTTGTTGTGCTCGACCTCTCGCAACACATGTACTTTTGTGCTTGCTAGAGCTGCCCAGAATGGTTGACGGCTCCTTACCTGGGCTGCTTGACGACGGCGCTTCTTTGCATTGAGAGCTTTGTCTTTGCTTTCCCGGAGAGTCGGGGTAGGAGGTGGCGGATCGTCGCCTGGGGAAGCAGCTGTGTTGAAGACCAAATCCTGAGCCGAGGAATCGAGACTTTGGGTTGAACTTGCCTGAGGCTCGGCATCAGATCTCCTCGTTTTGGTGGCCGTAGACGTGCCGGCGAGTCTGCTTCTAACAAATGCGATGATGGCTTGACTAATGATATGTACAGCAAGGAAGCTCTTTATCTTAGAAGGAGGCCCTGGACTGTGGCCAAAATCTGAATCAATCGGTAGTAACTTCGCGTATGGTGTCAGGAGAGGATGGTTCAGAACACCGGCAGGCACGACTTTGGTATGAACAAAATGCCGCAAACCCGAACTGCGCGCTGAATGCAGAAGTAGAACGAGTAAGAAGCATATGGTATTAACGCTGCCATTCTTGCCCGCACTCCCATTGCCCAGCGTAAGCGCAATCTGGATCTGGGCCAAATCGAGTGTAAAATTTTGTGCCCAGCTCCCAATGCAAAGCCAGACCGCGAAGACAATGACATCCATCACAGCCATAGTACCGAGGGAAGGAGATCCGGTCGAGCCCTGGAAGACGTCGAACAGAGTCAGAAAAGGAACCGGAGAGACACCACTAGACGGAGGCATTAATGTCAAAGAGGCGAACAGAGCTTGTACAATTATCAAGACAATCGAAGGTAGTGCCAGCAAAACAATGAGCAGCGAAATTGTATCGCCAGCAGGATTTGACGTGAGAATTGTAGAGGCGATCTGCAAAGCGCTCAGATCCTGGAGGCTTTTGGTCTTGGATAGTGCATCTGGTCGTCGAGAGGAAGTGGTTGTGAGTGTACCGCTCGTATTATCCCACTTTTGATCTTGGCCATCGCTCGACGATTCCGAATGTCTCTTCCTCCAGCGCAACTCCTCGCCATTCATAGAAGGATCGACAACAACATCTTGGTCCACACCAGTCGATACGGAGGAGGATTCTCTTTCGATAAGCTGAGGATTCGACGGAGAGGGGAGAGGTTCGTCAGGAGTAGTGGGGGCCTTTGCGCTCCCACTGAGTTGGCCATTTGACTTCTGTTTGGCGACCCGCTTGCCTGGGCCTACAAGACCATTCTCGTGACGATTGTTGTGGTGACCTTTTTTGACGGCGGGGTTTCGTGGCATGAAGTTGTGGTCTTGCTTTCACTGCCAATTCCCGGTCAGCTTGAGGACCAACAGAGTCATCAAGCGGACAGAAACCGGCGATATAGTCGAGGGTGGAGAGTAGGGTGGTGTTTTATACGGCTGTACAGTCTCGGTCACAGCTCTGAAACATAAGTGGCAGAGTGTGGGAGAGCGGTGGTAAAATCAAACACTGGCAACTGGCCATGGAGAATCAGCCACGAGTCTTGCTCAGGCTGCTACGGTGCTCCGTAGATTTGCCTGTGTTGCAGCTGTCACGGGCATGATCGACCGCCAAAGCCTGCTTAGCTTTGTGTTTTTGGAGCTTAGCACAGCTGTTAACCAGCTCGGGTTTAGCCCATCATTTCTGCAGGGCGAACGGATTTGTACAGCAGCCATTTACGAGTAGCAGCATCAGAAATTCTTATCCCGACCACGACACAACGTGCTGTCCACTACAGCCTTGAACAATTGATTGATTTTTCAACTGCCGTCGGCGATTACACAAAGATACTACAGTATGTGTCTGATCTAAGTCACGGGAGCTGCAGGTAGCCAGACCAAACAGTTGGCTGCCTAGCTATTACACAGATGTTGTATCTCGGAATCGAATAAACTTCTGATACAGGTCAATAATCACTCACTGCCAGCGATTCTCGACGTGGGCAACATCTCGGACCACAGCAGGCAAATCCGGCTTTCAACTTCTGTTACTCAATAACATCGTCACTACCTCCATGAAAATTGTTTCTATCATGCCACTATACACCAAGCAGGCAAAGTCTCGTTTTCCCCTGCCCAATCGTATGATACACTTTGTATCCATTTCTGATGTTCCATCCTCGTGTCGATCACGAGCAAGCCAGTTACTTGAAGGTTTTACGAGAGGACCACAGGACTTGCGAACACAAGCCATTTACCTTGACAGAGTAATGCCCACATGCACTGGTGCTTCGAGACACTACTTTCTAGTCGTAGTCAAGCTTGGGCGTTATAGCAAGGTATTTGTTGCAATCATGGATGTTTCGCAGCCAAACTGCAACAACGATCGAACAAAGTTTTTCCCCGTCTCTTGATGCAATGGGCTCCGCCCATCCGAAACACGCTAGAATACGTAATCAGGAACCAAAAGTTCTGCTTGGATACAGACTTCAATAGCAATCGTGAATCTGGCGAGTATTAGGTTGTCGGACTGTATATAGGCTCACTCCAATCGACAAATAAGGCGTCTGAATCCACTGTGTTGTGGGTGTCCATGGCCAGTCACTTCGTTCAACGGAACAGGTACGTGATCTTATGGTGCAAAACGTGGTAGTTTATGACCCCCTTTCGTGGGCTCGGCTGAATCTATCGTGCTATCTATCTAGTATGGCTTATCTTTCTATTCCACTTCAGCCCTGGCGGATCTAATTGCAACCCGTCCCGGCAATCAACCGAATCTTGACACTGCAATACCTGAACACCGGCGACCTGACACCAGCGACAGTGCAATGTATAGACGAGCATGAATCCATCGGAGATCCCTACGGCCACAGATGTCTGTCAACACGAGTAATTCCCGACTCTTCATGTCCTGGGCTCCGACAAGGGCACCTGTCTTGACCGATCTATATTGCTGTTCCTCTCAATCCTTGTCTGAGTTGTCTTGTTCAAATCGAGCAAGCTACCTCAAACAAGTATACCACGAATAAATTGCAGGCTGCCTCGTGCTCGTGCTCGTGCTCGCGCAGTTTCTCGTTGCTCGAATCGAGACAGGAAGGGATTGGTCAACCTGCTGCCTACTATGCCCTGCAGTCTTCAGCGCAGCCGATGACACTGAGCGCAGGGGCATAGTGCATGAGTCTGGTTTCGGGTGGAAGAAGCCACAGAAAGAGCACTAGGTGAGTATCGGAACATGACCGATGATTGTGGCCTCTCTTCATATGGTGGCAGCTCCTCCTCCGATTCCTGCCCTATCGCGTCATTCACATCTACCCAAGAGGAGATTTCTATTGAGGTATAGCTGGAAGCCGATGTCGTTCTCGTGAGGGTCGCGGGTCTTCGTAGTGTTTGAACAAGGTTGTTTGACTGGTATTCTTCGTACGGTGGACTTGCTAGTGCGCTGTTCGGGTCGTGTAACGAATATTCTGGAGCACTCGATCTCGCGATTTTTGATTGACGACGACCCACACTTGTCCAGCGAGAGAACAACTTGGACGATGTCATGTTAGCCATCACTTCGAATTGTCTCAAAGATTTCGGCTGCTTTTGCGTCAATCTTCTCTCAATCTCATTCGCAGGGCCAGTACACAATTTCCTACTAGGAAGGGCCAGTACATGGCGCGGGCTGGCCTTTTACATCTGGGGTGACTTATCAGCGACCCTGAATGTTTTCTCAAGCCACTCGAACGTCCTGTCAAGCGATAGGACGATTGACAGCAGCCAAGCTGCCACAAGAACTATGGCTGCTTTCAAAGTATTGGCACGATCAATTGTCCAATGGCCTTGTCGCAAGACTATCTTGCCGATTTCGTCCTGCAGCAAATGGTCTCGGCGTTTCCCATGTGCTTGATGCTTTAGGCTTTAACCTGCCTAAAAGGGAATGGAGCGGGATAGAGCCCCGTGCCCCAGAGTCTCTCATGGTTGCAAAACCTGGGGCTTTGTGACTCGAGTGACCATCATCCTTTACCATCCCTCTTTCAACACATAACACGGTCGGTATTTAAATCGACCTGCGAATTGTGATCGGTCAGAAAATGTTTTGATCATGGTGCATATTGTCAGCAGAACCCGTATCGTTTGACAGCCGTCATTTTGTTGTAGGCTGGTTCTAGGCCTTCCTAATCCCGTATCAAGAACGACTGCGGCGAAACCTTGTTGCATGAGCTTGTCGGGAATCGCCTTCTTCGCCAAGCAACACGGTTGAACCAGGTGCCAAGTGGGCTTACTACCTGACTGCAACAATAGCCGGATGCCTTCGACTCGACTGCCTGAACTGATTGTTGAAGCAGAGCGTTTCTTCAAGATCGGCACTCGGACAGCTGTCTGCAGTAGGTCAAAACCAAATCCCGTGGTCCATTGTCGTTGTCTGCCGTAAGCTGTCACGATATCAAGAATTATGCATCTGCGCTCAGAACGAAAGCCCAGATAACACATGGTCAACCATGACTGGTAGCGAGCACCCGACCACTTACATCGGCATTTCAGCTCGGTTCATCCAAAGCTAGTCCCCCGTTACCTTTGCTACTGGCATAGTAATGTCATCTCCTTTGAGCAGTATTGCTACTACTCCTTACCGAGTATCCAGCAGGGGAGAGGGCGTTTGAGGGAACCAGTATCATATCGGTTTATAGCTTTATTTGAATGATTTAGGCTACTTGGACAAGATCTAAGACTTAGCAAGGCGAGTGATACCCTGTAACGTCTAGATCTCTGAAGGTTCTTGTTACAGTAGTGTTGCAACATGAACAGCTCTAGCTCAGCTCGAGACTTAATCAACACGGGCAGTCGCGACCTCACTTGTTGGATACTACACCCATAGTGGCAGTAGTACTGTGTCGTAGTTTTAGCTCCCTGACTGCCTATAACAGATCTACACACCACCTAACGCTACTGTACCGCGTCGACTCCGTTTGTACAATCTTGGACCCGGAAAAGTTTTCTCTGACTCTGAGTCGTGGCGTTTTCCCTGCCTTAGGCATTAATTCAACCTTGTGTGAAGATTGTTTCATTGCACATTGACTCGTTCAAGCAAGCACAATACCTCCACTCTGTATGCACAGACGATGCGATCGTCTTAAAGCTTGTTGATATGCTTGCAGCCACACTCCTTAGTCTCTACTTCGGGATTTAGATCTTGCACGAGCATGCTTCGTCCAGCCACTTCTCTGCGACAATATCACAATGCACTCCAACCTCCGGCAGCAGTAGATTCTCTACAACCAAACAACCAACTTGGCGGGAGTTGAGGAGGCCCAATCATTGTCTGTCTGGCTATAGTGAGCACTGTACTCACGTACTTTGCTGTACGTGATTTTCGACGTGGCAAGTTGATGTGGTCGGATCTAGCCACTAATGAGTCCGCTTATCGAACGTATGGGACGATCGGGTCATAGATTCCCGGAAGCTATGGAAATCGTCTCCATGACGCGCTCATCGTCGGGGTTGCACCATAAGCGACAAGGTACAACGCTGTTATCGTCAGCTCCTGCACCATTATCCCTGTCTCCTACAATGCCAGACAACGAGCAGAGTTTCGCCAGACACGACTCACGTTGGACACGAGTAAGGAGGCACATATTATAGTCGATCGAGATCCCATTTCAGCTCGTTAGGAGGTGCTAACAATAGCTACACGTTCGAAATTGTCCGCGTCCACGTTGCAGATACGATCGTCACCAAGGCCGGTGCATACAATCTTGATTACGAGCAGAGGTCTCCATGCGAATGGTCAAGCCTTTGCCGAGGACCTTAGCATCACCTCCTTGATGATACCGGATGCTGATACTATTGATAAGTATGGCTAGCCTCTATCTAACACTCTGCAGCCACAAGTAAAACGTTGGAGTGGTGAGTATCGACAGGGATTCGTTCACTATCCCGCCAGTCCAGCATGTTAGACCCAGGCGGGTTGACATGGCGTCAACGAGGACCTCTTGTCGATCGTCTTGCGGAAGGATGTGCCATACCACTTGAACAATGCAGAACGAACTGGCTTCCTGCGTTTTGATCCCACTGTACTACGGTGTGTGTCTATTCACACAAATCGTGTAGTGAGTAGTCTATCCAGATACAGCGACCTACAATCACCATGTACGTCTGACTGGCACTGTGATCCATCAACTCGTTCATTCATGGTCCTTCCTCAAGACAATCGTTACCCACAATATTTGTTCCAAGGCGCAGGGAGCAAACCTGGCTTGTAACAGTTGCCAGCTCATGATCTCGAATGGTGTGGGCCGAACACGTGCATGGACTTCGATGAGATCTTCCCACCCCTGTGTACTCCATTGGAAGTGTTCCGCCCATTTCCCGACTGATTTGCGTCTGCAACTAGTCGTTGGTGTCGTTGCTTCGAAATCAGCACGGACATCTCGGTGGGCTTCAACGTAATGTCCGCTATACAAACCTGGTAAAACAGATCTTCATGCAGGCGCAGACGTCTAGGATAAGGTCAATATCGTTGTCCAATCGTTCTGAGGCTGTCAAGTACTTGCACTTTCTATGTCCGGGATCGCAAATTCACCTTGTCAAAACTTCTCCTGCTCTTAACACTTGGACAGGCATATCAGGGTACTAGTGCTCGTCAAGTTTAGTGCTCAGGGCTACACGACGAAAAGCCTGCATACGTGAATTTTCAAGACTATCGAGCGTTGTAACAAGCTAGGGTTATCATCTTACGACTCTCACGACATATGTAGATGCTGCTCAGGGTCAGTCACTACACATGAGCGACATCACAGTACTGATATGGTTGTTAGACTCCACGATCATCCAATATGTATACCGTACCACAAATTGTCGTCCATCGGTGGGATGGTAAATTAAAGGAAGCCACGATATGGGACCATCTGGAGAACGATCCTGAGCTCTCCAGTCCAGAGGCAACTTGTCTTGTTTACCTCTCCCGCCGAGATGCTGACAGGCAGCGTCCATCAATGAGAATCCCCTTCGACAAGCTGGTTTACGCTAAATGCCAACCCTTGATAGAAAAAGCAGACACGACGCCTTTCGTTTCACCTCTCACTACCTCGTCCGGCCGCCCTGCTTCCCTCCACACCACAAACAAGCAATCTTGCTCATTTTGTCTTGAAGCACCAAGTCATTATGGTTCTGAGGAGACTATGCAATACCATATAACTACCCGAAACTTCTTTGCTTGGGTCATGAACAAGCCTATCGTTGGTCCTGATCCAGCTTCGGCCCTTCTAGCACTCAAGCTACGTATGGACACCTGGAGAGTGCGGTCGGTCGATAACCTTGCAGAACTCTATCAATATGCTAAGGCCCAGGGCTACGGCGATCTAGGCGACATGCAGCTGTTCCTCAGTAACCATCTGCGTGGCTTGACATCACCACCAACAGGGTACAAGCTTGTATCGCACCAAAATCAACCTGTCAACTCAACTACAGAGACAGCTAGACCTGGTTCCAAGAAGTCCGTGTTCAAACGATTTCATGATAAGATACGGGGTCGGCGGGCAATGCAGGAGTCTGACCAATTCATAGAGATGACCTCAACGCCTGCAATATCTATTATTGAGGCTGAGAATGTCGTGATGTCTGGTGCAATATCACCATCAGAGGAAGTCAAGCTTTCTATCGGCACAACGACGAGTGCAAATCTGCTCAATAGATCGTCATCAGCTAGTGGACATGAGCGCCAAAGGATGGCACCTTTACGGCCAACCATGTCGACAGTTCTGAGATCGAACCAGCGTGATCATCGGACATATTCTATGCCAATCCTTCCCAGTGGTAGCATAGACAATGTGAGCCGTGAGCTGGAAAAACGATCTTCATGGATTCAAAACCTGACCAAGGAGCACTATCAGCCGCCTGCCAACACGGTCACATTGTCCCAAGCACCTCCAGAACCACTTGCAGCTTCGAATATGAAGTTCAACCTGCCTCTAGTTCCTCCACTTCCACCTATGTCTCCAGCACGAACAATGGCTCAGGGGCGTAGAGCGAGCTTAAGCTTGTCGAGGCCTCCGTCGCCAATTATGGAAGAGGACCTGGTTGTTAGTGGTCAGTCCGCGCAAGGGAAGCCCCCTACACTACCGCCTCAGAACCCAAGAAGATTTAGTATGTCTTGTGTTCCACGTCCAAGCACAGCAGACGTTTTCGCCACCACTATCAAGGACGCAACGAGGTCCTTGAGCAAAGCTCACCATGCCCATACAACTCCAGTATCCACTGCTTTAGAGGTCCAGGCCGGTTCAAAAGAGTGCAAGCATGCTCTTCTGCCGTCACACGTGTTCTTCAGCTGCAAAACATGTGGACGGCTAAAGTCAAATGGCTCAACCATCGACTTGGCCCAACCGAAGACACAAGCAGTGAATATGAAGCACGGTCGCAGTCTCTCACTTGACCTCGAGAGGCAGCGACGTGGATCAGAGCAGAATACGGAAGAGCAGCGACTTATGGACCTAAAGCGAGTCCTGGAACTCAAGCAGTTGGAGCGAGCCTGGTCTCTGACTCGATTTCCTAGCCTGCGGAAACGGGACGAACAGGCGGCTGTCGCAGCCCCAAAAGCTGCGGAGAAGCCCTCAATACCCCTACGGACTGCAGCTGAGAAGGAGCCTTTGGCTAGAAGCAGTCCGTCCAATTACGGCAACAGGTCGGCACCAAATCTCAATACTAGGCCAGAATATAATCTTATGCAACGACCTTTTCCACCGTTAAATAGCACACCTTTACAGATGACTAGTTCTGGAGGCACCTCCCAAACCACTGCAAGTCTGACAGAGTCGCCTACAGAGCTTCCAACACCAGTTTCAGTGGCTGAACCTTACTCTGTCAACACAGTAGGCAGCAGCATGGGACTCGTCAGCAGCCGTAACAAGGAGATGCCACCAGTTTCAATTCTTCGAGCTCAAGGAGGTGACCAGGGATTGCTCTCTAGAATTCTGGCTAACCCCAAGGCTATCGATGGCCACCGTGTACCGCTGGACGAAATGGTCCTTTGCACCAACGACGAGAGAATCATCGACAGCATTTTGGCAGATATCTCTGCAGACAGCGAACCATATTCTACTGATACAGAGACCTCAAAGTGGCCATATGTTCGACAGGAGACGTATGAGGCAGATCTCCACGATGAACCAGGTTCGATGACAATACTCACCACTGCCGAAAGCAACGACAGAGTAGCTTCCAAAGATGTGGTGAAGAAAAGCTTAAGAAATAGTCTGAGATTATGGAGCATGAAAAAGAGCACGCAAGTGTCAAGTCCTACACAGGATTCGACTCAGACTCAAGCCAATGTTCTCATCCTGGATAGCTCCGGAACTTTCTCGACCTTGGCTTCACCAATCGACGATGGTATGGATTACTGGCAAGAGAAAATGATGGAGAGGGCTAGAACACCGATGTGCGAACTGCCTTGAAACGGCCATTAGAATGGTGCTACTGCTTTCGATCGTGGGAAATAAGACGAAGGAATGAATAGATAATGAGACGATGAGATACGAAGATAAAAACGAGGTGCGGCATGAGACGTTGCCTTTCGCAGTCGCAGTTATGATATCTATAGAACGGAGTCCTCAGTGGAGCTAATGCGAGTTTTATCATTATCATCTACTATACATATCGATCGAATAGAAGTCCCCTCAAAACATGCTCTATACTAATCGGGTCCTCGTGTAAACAAAAAATTTCACGTGACCCGGTGGTTCAAATGGTACACAACCCGCAGCATGTCAAGTACATCGTTGCGCTAGTGTTGACTGTACTCTGCGATATGCAATAGGCAGCTGCAATCTTTACTGGCACTTTCTCTTTGTTCCAGTACCTTCTGGAAGCCACTTCCAAGTCAAAGACAATGGCGTATTCACCATCGCCAACATCTCCTCTGACAGGACGACGATCACCCTCACCTCCGGCGCAACCACTGTCGAAGCGAGAGAAAAGACGCAACCAGCATGTCGGTCTTCAGCAAGAGCTACAAGCTGAATTCGACGACCATAGAGAGCAGCACTATCGATCACAACTCATAGCACTACAGCAAGATATGAATCTGGTGACTACCGCCGATCCATACAGACCAGAGCCTCTAGATGATTCCCCAGAAGAGATTGCAGACCTTGTATCAATACAGGCTTCTGGCACACCCTACCAATCAGAAATGTCCTCACTGGCTGGAAGATGGTACACGGAATTTGTGCACGAAGTTAACGAAGCGAAGGAAGCAAAAGAGTTGGCACTGATAGAGCTGCATCGTCAACACGAAGCAAAATTGGAGAGACTGAAGTATGAGTGCGACTATCGACTGCACTTGGCGGCGAAGGAGGCAGAACATATGAAGCACACACTGCGAGAACGACTCATCCAGACTCTTACAAACAAGCGACAGAAGCTAATGAAGGAGAAGGAGCAGCTGGATATCGCAGATACGAATGCTCTCCTCCTACACCCTAGCCAGTTTTCCATCACGAACCCTACAAGTCCTGGTGGTACCCAAATATCTCGAAAGACGCGCCTGACTAGGCATCGAGGCGAACATGACGAGATGACGAATGGGATATCTGAGGTTAACAAGCGAAAGAGGAAATTTGGTGGTGGTGGTGAGGACGATATTGGTTCGCCTTCAAGAAACGGGCACAACACGCCAGCAGAAAGAGCACGGAATGCAAATATTAGTGCACAGCTAGACAAGGCATACTCTATCAACCAGTTATTCACAGAGAAAGAGCTCAACCTGCAGTCACACCAAGCACAGATAGCTACCCGACACTTCTTTCAGGCATCGCAGGAGAAGGAAGTCAATGGTAGAAAAGCTGGAGACGAAGACGCCAACGAGGAAGACTCGGAAGCGGACGATAACGACGAGCTGGAAGCAACAGGTATGGAAAGGACAGCTAGCCAGAACGTGCATGTCACCCGGTCCACCCGTAATATTGGGGGCATGGGAGCACTGGGCATACTTGGTGATCTGGCCGAGAAGCAACCTCGAAGGCCGACTTTGCCATATGCGACACTTCATTCAGCACAAGGGAAGAATGGCACGTTCCTGCCTCCTGTGAGTCGGCTGATGGACGAGGAAGTAGAAGAGGATCGGGCCAAGATTGCGGAAGCAATGCGGCGGGGTGAGGGAGAGGTTGACAAGGCTGCTATCGAGGAGGCATTGAAGCCCATGACAGGTGCCAGGAGCAACTTGGCACCTGACTGGCCTGTGTACCTGGATATGCATCTGGTCAACATCGATCCCCGACGGTCGACAAAGACTTGATCGAGGCTCGTTTCAAGAACATTCAATAAGTAGTACGACCACGGTCACTCACTCTAACAGTGTTTACAATCTGAACAGGTGACACTCAACAGATACACCACCAAACAGTGTTGGTTTACGAACAGCCTTTCACTTCTCCCACCGGAATACTTGACATCACTCTGTCACATCGCTACCCAGAGCTCCTCTTCCGGGTGGCTCATGATCCCTGTAAGACAAGCTTTGGCCACTAAATTGAGCTTAGACTCCCCCAGATCTGCAGCGTGCCTAAAGAGCTTCCCAAACTCCGCACATCAAGTTCCGTCACTCAAGCTGCCGCTTCTCCACATGAGCTCTAGTGAAGAAAACGGGACTTTTGTTTTCTGGAAGCTCCATGTCCTCCGCGTCTCCTGGTTGCACGATCGTTTTTGACGCGTATCACTTCCTAGCCTTCGAATAAAGTCGATCGTTTTCACTTGTAGTCAGTCGTACCTGCGAAAACTAGTGCTACTAAACACTGTCACTTACTGGTTGGAGCGGAGAAGTGTCTGGTGCTGGTCAAAAAGTAAGGTATATGATGCGTCTGCTGCTGCGCTAAGCTCATGATTCCTTTGCTTTCTGTAAGGTTGTCCAAAGTCTTGCTCTGGGCTGTTCTGTTCTTTGTGGTCTTCCTCTCGTACACTCTGACCATGAAGACATTCTCGTTGGCTTCAGTGGCCGTCCTGGCGACGTCAGTATTGGCGCAGAATGCCACAAGCACATCGTCGGCGCAACTGACCGAGTATACACTTCAAGCAGAGAACATCACCGCTGTCATCCTACCTTATGGTGCGCGACTTGTCTCGCTGCTCGTCCCCGACCGCAATGGAGTGGCGCAAGATGTAGCTGTTGGCTACGATAATGGCTCGCAGTACCCTGTCGATACTGCTACTAACCATACCTATTTTGGTAAGAAGGATACCCTTTGCTGGTATTTATAGTGGCTAACACTGGAGTAGGAGCTGTTGTGGGACGCTATGCGAACCGAATCAAGAACGGCACTTTCACAATAGGCGGCAATACCTTTCGTGTACCAGCCAACGAACACAATGGGACAAATACTCTTCATGGAGGCACCATTGGATACGATCAGAGAAACTGGACTGTCGCAGCTGTGAACGGTAGTGCTATAACCTTGACTCTGCTGGATACTGGCTTTGAGAACTTTCCAGGTACAGTCTTGACAACGGCGACATTCGCAGTATCTGCATACCCAAGCGGACCCCAAGGACAGATGCGACCACGGTTTACGACACGATTGGTTTCAGTGGCACTGGACCAGCCTACCCCGATCATGCTTTCGAACCATATCTACTGGAATCTGAACGCCTTTCAGGCAGAAAACATCTTGAATGACACCTACTATTGGATGCCATACTCAGACCGATACATCCAGACAGACGGCAATCTTATTCCAAACGGCACATTCGGCATGACTGCAGACAATCCAGGTCTCAACTTTCAGTCTCCGAAACTCGTTGGCACTGCAGTCGATCAGACCGCTGGACACGACTACTGCGGTACAAACTGCACAGGTATTGACAATGCGTTCTGTGTTGATCGACCAGTCGAAGTGGGCCAAACCTCGCTCGTTCCTGTCTTTCACGCCTGGTCTGAGACAACAGGTATCCAGATGGATGTGTCTACCAACCAGATCGGGCTGCAGATCTTCACTTGCATGTCTCAAGACGGCAGTATTCCCATCAAGCAGGCTCAACGACAGAGAAACCAAGGTGTTCAGGGTGCTACGCAGCACATCAACAAATTCGGCTGCTTTGCTCTGGAACCACAGGTGTACATTGATGGAATCAACAACCCTCAATGGGGAGTCAACGGATATGAGATATTCTCGCCGACCACAGGTCCATCTGTCAATCATGCTACTTATGATTTCTCGTCCTTTTAGAAGAAGCCGAGATGTCAGCGAGGTGAATTTGGCAGACACTGTCGCGGAGACTAGCGATCGGGCAGTCTATTCGCCAGTGGACAGCATTTCTGCAATGATAATTTGATTTATAGCTTATAAGATAACTTCGAGCTATAGACATAACCACCCACTTCAAGCTCGCAGGCAGAGTTTGGTAGCGATTCATGCCTGAGGCATTAAGCTGGATTGCGGTTGCCCCGCACACCCCAGTTTTGTTGACATCCAAACAAACCTCGCGTCTGCTTCTAAGCACATTTGATGTAGTGAGACTCAAATCGTAAGCGAAGACGACGTATGCAACCAAGCAATCTATGTGTTTTTTCATGATGTCGATCGAGTCAGAGAACGTTCAGAGTCTATGAGGTAAAATACAGAGAAAACATAGTGATCCGCTGAGGCGCTGAGACCACCTCCGCTAGGATCTACAGTACTCATCATGACACGAGATTCTGTGCCCACAGCTTCGGAATACACTGACCTAGGGTCTCCTGATCCACTGGCTGATTCTCCTCCCGAAGACAGCACAGTCATGACCATCACCAGAAGTCGAAGCAAGAGCCGTACGACTGCAGATGGAGAGGCACTATACGACCGGCGCAGCAAGAGCGCTGAAGTCAACCTTTCACCCTCGAAAATGGTGTTCGAGCAGAACATGAGCCCACTGCGTATCAAAGTAACTGTCGAAGCTGAGAGTGAGGATGCTGCCGGGCAAAATGCCGGAAGTCGACGCAGGCAGACTATTACCAGGACTATGAAGGTACCCCTGAAAGACGCAAGTTCTCCCACGAAGAGCGACAAATCCACGACGCGATCGCGACCGAGAAAAAGTAGTGGTAGTGGAGGAGCACGAGGACGCAGACGAAGGAGTATCACGAACCTCGATGTCGACGCAGTCACAAATGATGCGAACGATGAAGATTGGACTGCGAAATTACCAAGGAAAAGAGGTACTAGCACGAAAAGAACAACGCATTCGTCAAGGAAATCTAGCTCAAATGTCAATGATTTTCGAGTCAGAGAAGACGAAAGTAGTGTTTCAGCAGGACACGAGGAAGACGAACAATTGGCAATAGATGCTTCGCCGACGATGGAAGAAGTCGACCTCAATTCAGTGTCAACACGCCCGGACTTGACGATCGCCAAGCACAAAGACCATCTTAAAAATAACAAGCAGGTGCAAGGCAATCGCAAGGTGTCTGTCAATAGTGCAGCAAGCTATCCTACACCGTCACCCACGGCGTCTGATCATCGTCCTTCCGACAATTTGCTAGACGAAGGAGATCATCTAGCTCCGGCTGGGCTAGATACAGTCATGGAAAGCGAGGCGTTTACAATGATCGACTTGGACACCCTTCCCTCTGTCAGACATATGAAGAATACACCAGATTACCCCACAATACCTGCGCTGATTGATGAGGAGAATGAAGAGAACCAGGGAGACCTAGTGAGAGGCGTGCAACACTCGAACCCTGAGGAAGTCGAAGCTCCCTCTATTGCAGTCACTCAAGATGAGACGGACTTTTCAGGTAACCTCTCAAGCTCACCACTGAGCACTACCCAAGGCCAGAAGCCAAAGCCATACTCGATCGCACATCTACAGCTACCTTCGAGTACAAACGTCCAGCGCCATCGCCTTGTCACACCCATGCCTGTCTCTCAAAACCCGTTTTCTTCACCAAAGCTGCCTTCACCACCTCGAGCACCAATATCAGAGTCGAAAGATCGACCATTAATACACTCGGATGATGCTGTTCAAGCTACAAACACCCTCCATCATGCAGTAACGCCAGAGAAGGACATTAACAATGAGAAGAACGATATTTATGAAGAAGCGCTCTTTGGTGGCTTCTCGCGTGATACGAGACGTGAATTGAGAGCTGAATTAAGGTTTGGTGAGGAGCTAGGGAAGCGACAGGTACGGGCGGCTGAAGACGCTTTTGAGGCCACACAAGCCGAGCTCGAGGAGGAAAGACGTCAAGACCGTTTGGAGAACATCGAGCAGGCTAAGCAGACTGAGGCAGTCATTGTTATGGATGATGACTGTCCCACTGGCGAGCATGCTGATGACTCGGATGGCGTAGAAGATACAATGGGTGATATATGGCTAGCTGAGGCTAAGAAGCCCTCTTCAAGCCCGAAGGAGTTGACGGACCATGCGCGGAAAGCGGAAAAGCCAATTGAGCTACCAAAACGAAGGTTGATACCAAGCCCTTGGAAACGTGGTCAACAGATTGAGGAGTCATATCAATCTGCCGATGAGAGCATTACCGGTCTTTTCTGGAAGCACACCGCAAACAACACAGGTAATGCTCGTTTTGGTGAGCCATTCATGACAACACCAAACCGGCAGACAGGAAAGCGAGTTTCGTCGTCCGATCGCAGACGAAGTGGCATGTACGACGCCGAGCATATGGTCATTAGAACCCCTCGAAGGCTGACCGAGCGTGAAGAACCAGATAACGAGGATCAAGATCTCGAGGACGAGAACTTTGATGTGGCCAGGGGCAACCTTCAATGGCGGACTGCCGCAGATGTAGTCGAAGAAGAAACAAATGAGCTCGAGGCAGGGCAGCAGTCTAGTGACCCAATATTGGAAGAGCCCCATGCTGAGGTTGGAACGACCAAGCTCTATGAAACTAACCTGGACGATGTTCCCGAACAGGATCTTTTGTCTCCTTCGCAGGGTCAGAGCGATGGAAAGCAGCAACAACAGGACTATCTATACGAGCATGACTCAACGTACTCTTCTATCTCGGACCATGACAGTCCGGAACCGTACAGACAGCGAACCTCACTTCCCAATTCCAAAGAAAGGCCCCATACGCCCCGATCGGCACTCAAGGGTGGCAGAGGAAGTTTCGGTCAAGCTATTCGCTTTGGCAACGGCAACGGCAACGGCAACGGCAACGAGGACACCAATATGCGCAAAGTCGTGTGGGCGAAGCGGTCTAGCTGCATGAATGAACAATGGGAGGAGAGCACGACCAGTGTGAGATCGAGCCAAACGACTAACGACGATGAAACACCTACGCCAAGGCCTGGATTGCAACTAGAAGCTAGTTTTCAGGTCGACCCGCAACCACCGATCGCAGCACAAGCTGAAGATCGAGGGTGGTTTGGGTGGTTCTCGAAGAGCGATCAAGCACCTATAGGACAATCGAATGGAACCAAGCCCGAGCAAAACATACAAGTGCAGCATGCACCACCCTTCTCTGCTTTGGATGGCTCCAGCGATGAGTCAAGTTTCGTTCCCACATCGCGGCATACATCCATTGAATTCAGCGTGAAAGACATTCGAACGCAGAATCAGAAAGTCGACTTCCAGCCCATCAAAAATCACGACGGTCACCTGTCGAGAAAATCAGCCTCGCCGTCATCGTCAGAAACGTCCACCAAGACTACATCTTATCTTCTTGCACCTTCCTATCCGTCAGACCCATCCAGAGACGCGTCGATACCGATGAACACATCTGGAGACTTCACAGACACGCATTTTCGCACTCTCCAGATAATATCTCGCAAATCGAAACGAGCACGCTTTCATGCGCCAGAATTCCCAGGCGAGATACGCCCAGGGATTCTGGAATTAGTAGGCGAGGAGAATTGGAAGCTCAAAATCGATGAGTCTCCTACAATGGGCGAGGATGGGCTGTTTGAGTTTGCAATTGGTGCTACTGAGGCAAGAGTACTCGAGAGATTCATGAGGGAAGTCGAGCATGGCTATGGACAGGAAGAGGTGGAGTGGGGATGGAGTATTGCGTATCTGGCAGAGAAGCTCGGCAGGCTTGTTGTGGGAGAGATTGTTAGACGGGAGGAGAAAGAGGCTGCAAGGATTATGGATGCGGTCAAAGGCTTAAGGGCGTAGTCTGTTTATAGATTAGCAGCGTTGGAGTATCAAGCTCTTCTGATGTAGAGTAGTGAAGATACCCCATGTTTAAAAAAGGACAGTACCCTGGACAGCGAAAAGGGACTTCCTGGTCACATCTATGTATATATATGCGCCGAGACCTAAACCGATTTCATGAAGCTTCCAACATATACGTATGCCCATATGACGAGATCTAACCATACTTGTACACGATACCATGCTGTCAGTCGTTCTGAACATGGGCAAATATATCGTGGCTTTCAGGTTCCGGGAGACTGAGGTCAGTCGGATGGATCCGATACTACGAAACATCACCATCTGCTTCTATGCGTGACCGGATCCCGCGACCTGAAACGCGTGAAAGTCGCAACACACTCACCACGTTCTTGCCAACGAATCAACCATAAACGAGACGTGATGTGGTTGCTCCTTCTTAAGCAGTCTGACAGTTCTGATTACTTTGGTATCCTGCAGATACTTGCTTTCCTGATCGTCTGGATCTTGCCTTCGCTGCACCCACATCGTCTTTAGGATATAAATGTTGTCACCTGGCATCCAGTCTCAATCATTTTCTTTACTGGACAGATCTCAATTGAACAATATGCTATTCACCAGCTCCTACCACGATTGTGGCGTGTGCATGAGAGACAGTTCCGACCGCTCAATTCACCACAGGTGAGCAGGACGGTTTGCCCTGTCCAGCCACAAATGTGATATGTCCAGACAATTGAACCAGCAAATTGTCCTCCTGGTCAGCAAGGTTCAGTAAGTCCACGTTTGTTCCAAACAAGGCTGAGACCAGACATATTGATCATCTTCACGAGCAGAATGATAAAGTGGTGCAACGACGTTGGCACAGCCGAATGGCTACTCTGAAATTGCTCGCGATGCAAACATGGCTGTGGTTAGTAGGAGTAACGTTTGTGGTGGTCCTGCTAAACGGCATGCCTGGTGAGTAAAGCTAAATATCATCCGGTTCTTGCAGTCATCTGTTCTGTCTTCCTTTGTTCCTGTCTCCCTCAATCAAGTACGTTTGTCATTTGTATTATACACTTTAGGGAAGTGGCAGGGCATGTCCCAAGTTCAGGACAAGCATGGTTTATGAAGCACAGCCTTATATATGGTGAGATTATCTCTAACGCTTCGCCCATCCCAATATTCACTGTGTCTACCCAAGGAGGCTGTCGATACAATATACGTCTCACCATGGCTATCACTCAGCCTCTTCTCGACTCGGCAAGGGGATGATTAATAGTCACTGTATCTACAACAAACAGCATCTTGACACCCGATGATATGCGAGGTTGAAGGTATATAAGCAGCGTCTTTGCTTGACTTGCTTCACAGAAATTCCCAACCACTTCCATATACACCTTGAGCGCGAAAGTTCAATTAGAACAATCCTCTTCTTAGACCAGCACAACTCCTCAGCCACGCAACCCATATCGACAATTGCTCAAGTCTCCTCGAAACTCCATATACATCGATATCCAGTACGACTTTCAAGATGAAGGTCTCTCCAATCACGGCCGTCCTCTCCGGCATTATTCTTGCCATCAATGTGCCTCAAGTCTTCGCAGCGAGCGCGTCAGTCTACAGCAGATGTCCCTATCCTGTCGTCTGCGCCTTAGTGGAAGGTATAGATCCTACTACTATACATTCACTCATTCCACCAGGCGCAGACTTCAGGTTACTCACCGGTGATGGCATGCACGCAACAGCAAAGGCAAATGTAGGCACTGCAATAATGTGTGGAAAGCAGGACGAAGTCACAGCAGCTCTCGCATCCAACACGAAGCCTTCTGTAGCTGAGCTTGAATGGACCTTGAAAACAGATATGAATGTGCTTTGGTGGGATGGTTCCTTGGTTGACGGCAATCCGTTCGGAGCCGAAGGCTTTTCCATGACGAACAATGGTCTCCCCTTTGGTCAACCCCCGCCAAGCGAGTGGCACAAATGCTGGGATGTTTACTGCGCGCCAGGTGTGCAGTGCTCAGAGAACCAGGTCTACCTCACAGACGTCAGCGACAGAGATGAGGTGGACAACCCCATGAGAATGTGTCCATCAGATGACCACCTGATCTGGGTCATCTGTCCCCACAATTGAACGAATTCCACAAGATGAGACATCTTGGTCTCAGGGGAGTACACATCAACTTCCATGTAATGCCATTTGTATCAGCAAGGACCATAAGCAACAGGCTTATGTTGTTCTGCACTGGACATGGCGGGAATGGCACACACCGATTGAGCTTGGGAAATACAAGGGCAGACGGTGAATCACGAGCAACGCTATGCATTCGCACGAAGTAGATCCTTTCCTATCATCCCATTAGATTGACAATACACAACACAATTCGTTTATTCTGAAATTTCATTCTTACACGTCTATAAGTTGTCCTTGAATATGCCTTCCATCATACTTGAATACATACGTTTTTCCAGGTATTTGTGAAGGACATGGCATCCTCAACCGGGAGTCGTGAATACTTACACGCCTCCTGCTTATCAAAGGCTCGAAGTCGAGCCCAAGGAAATTTACCACGTACTGTACAACATTTTTTCACAGTCTCACTCGGGGTAAACCATTCGCCTGGTAACGCCTCCATCCACCACGATCTCTTGACCAGTCACAAAGCCACCACTACTGACCAGATACTCAACAGCTCGCAGAATGTCATCAACTTTACCAACCCGCCCAGTCCAGTGCCATCTGTGATCCTCTTTACTTAGACCTTCCTCCCATGACTTACCATTCACATCGCCGTCTTTACACTCACTCACGACATTGATCCAGCCTGGTAAGATAGCATTGACGCTAACAGCATGATACTCATCGCTAGCAGCGAGACTACAAGCAAGAGCTTGCGTCATCCCGATCAGACCTGCCTTCGTAGTCGCATACCCCTCGGAATTTGGCTCTGACTGTCTCGCTCGTGTAGAGGACATGTTAATGACAGAAGAACAGACATTCTCATGTCCATCACCCTGCTCACGTTTCCGCCTCAGGATAGGCAGACAAGCCTGCGTCATAAGCATCGTCCCTGTGAGATTAGTCTGAATAATCCTATTCCATTCTTCGAGACTGAGTTCAGCGAATGCAGTTGTCCCCACCGGACCAGAGAAAGCATTATTAATCAAGCAATCGAGCTCGCCGTTAAAGAAGCTTGTTGCTTGAGAAGCTGCTTGCGAGATGTCGGACGGTCTGGTCAGGTCACCTTCCTCGATATGCCAGTTTGAACTGTCTATGCCGGGACATAGTTTGGGAAGGTGGTGTCGTAAGTGTTCGAGCTCTGACTTGTTGTTGTCGAAGAGGAAGACGCGGTGGCCTTTGGTGAGGAGGAGACGGGATAGGCCTCGGCCGATGCCTCGGGCGGCACCTGTGATGAGGAAATTTTTGCTCATGGTGTACGAGGCTTGCTGGTTTTGCTATTGTGTATAGGCATACTGCCTGCTACAGAGTCCGAAACCAGCGTTATGGTGCTTGTTACGTCAATATTTACAGTAGCTTCGAGGAGAATGGAGAGTTGCAAGCTTGGGAGGCTCAGTGGACTTTCGCGGGTGTGGAACCACGTGATAATCGGCTCGCGACTTCCTAAAGAATGTTCAGAGTCTCGACGACCTTGAATCAGGTCGGACTGCGTGTTATTATCAAGCAACGTAAGCAGTCGAGCTAACATCTACGAGCTGATCTGTGGCACTTCCAACAATCTTGTCCATTGCGTAGCCTGAGCGACCGACAGGGAGATACAGATTTACACTTGTGTATCTCTCCTCTGCTTGATCATAACAAGCTGGACAGGTTGTGCAACATCAACCAGGTATATCACTTCGACGTTCTGTCACGTTGTCCGCGAAGAAGTGGTCGAGGCAATGCAGTGACTGTTCCAGTGTATGGTCTCAGGATGTCTTGTACCTGTCCATCTTTGACGCGTCTTGTCTCATGTATCCTTTCCTTTGGGGGAAGCTAACGTGCTAACAATGAGCCTGACTCCCAGACGTCTCCGGGAAGACTTTGTGAACGTCACTGGACGGTTCAAAGGACCGAAACCTTGCAGATGTGCCCTTTACTGACTGGCGCAAACACAGCACTTTCCGCTGAACATACTGCTCGACGTCAAAGAAGTCTCGTCAATGGTCTTTCCGCTCCATTTGGATCGACTTGTCGTTTGTCTCTCAGGCCTGCAAGCTAACTTATTCTTATAGCACAATACTTATGACGAGTCGAACAAACGAAGAAGCAAATGTTGATCTTTTGTTCTTCTTGGTGTTTTCTCCTTCTTGCAAACAGCTCACTGATAGTTTTTAAACAGCTTACTAACGAACAGCTATCACAGTACTCCGTCAGAGTAACACTCCCGGTTCCAGGCACTAACGACCTTTCGCTAGTCTTAAGCTCAGTATGAGCCAACATATGGCGATGCAAACGGAACGATATAGAAAGTGTGCGAACACCGAGCTCGCACTTTATCAACACCGAGAGTGCATGAGATCGTGACATTTTCAACATGAACAAACACCAGTCTACACTTTCGTCGAGAAGACAGTCGGCAATGTTTATCTTATTTGGTCCCTACATTCTTTTCCATCTACTTTCTTCTACAATCTCAAACGTCCTGTCTATCGATCTCTTCGATCCACAAACCACTCTCGACGCACTTCGAATTTTGCGTACAACTTACTACTACGGCCGCGAGCACAACCTTACGTATACAAAATAGATAACATTCTCCGCAGCAAAGAAAATGGCTTCCACGACTCGAGCTAGCGCTCAAAGCTCAACGAAACAGGTCATACTGTTTGCCGACGGCGATGGGTTCGTCTTCCTCACAACTCTAGCTGTGACCGCTAGCTCAAAAGTAATGCTTGTCCGATCACTGAAGAACAATAAGCTCTATGTTCGCAAAGAGTCTTTCGCCAGGGACGACAGAGAAGTGTACGACGTCCAGACTCCAGACGTCCGCAATCTATGGAATGTACGACATGTGGACGGCACAATCACGTTAGTCGGCTGGACTGAGTACCTCGACCAAATGTCTGCAACAGTCATTTGTGTCAGCTACTGGAAATTCTACAATGCCAACACTCTGCACCACCTTCAGCAAACCCTACGAACCTCTCGACAGCCGCTGCCCGAACAGTGTCTCTGGTCAATCTGTCTGCGAATGTTCAAGACCATGCTGGATGCCTTGAGAGCCGAAGTAGTTCACATGGACGCACATGCTGGAAACTGGTTCCTCAACCTGAAAGAAGGCTCAACCGAACCTGGGTTTGTGCTTGGTGACTGGGGACAGGCTGAAATATTCCCGAGAGATGAAACAAATAATACGGGAATAGAAAGGTTCTGGTACCAAGCTCACCGGGAACTCACAACCTCCCTAGTAGAACCGGTGAGAAGCTTACTGCCGCGTAAAACGCCGCTTGAGGGTACACTGCGAAGCTATTTCGACCGAGTACTGGGGCGTCATCAAGGCACTGGAAATGGACAGCCACTTTTCCTGATCGAAGCTCTGAACAACATCGAGGACACAAAACCTTCGATGTTCGCGACAGGTGAGGCTTGGCTGGAAAGCGTACAAAAGATATATAACAGAATCGAGAGTGCTCGACCGAGTCCAGGCTCTACGAGAAGTTCAGCTGATACGCACCGCCATATGTTGACTGATCATGCCACGGCGCTGCCGAGCTATGACGAGGCCTACGTGCAGCTCGAGGAACTGGCTTCGGAGATCGGAAACAGCAGCACCAATCTAGTGAACGTTGTGCCTCTCTGGAAAGAAGCCCATATTGACACGAGCTCAACCCCGCCTCGAATTGTCTCGATCCAGCATCCAGCCACGAGCTTCTCAGGCAATAACTACCAGGATGATACTAAGCGTGAATACTTACCAAGAGCTTGGGATGAGGCACACCAGAGAATAAAGAGACTGGTGATCGAATTGGCAGGTGAAGAGGAGGTGAACGAGTATAACGAAAATTTTGGATTGCAGGGTGAGAGTGAGACGATGGGACAGATCAACACGGCATTCTGAAATCCCTCTCACCTTACACAGTGGAGAGAAACTGCCAAGCGTGCTACACTGAGCATGAGAATGAGAGGATTATACTTTGTACTGCGAGTCTGAAAATTCGACTACAACTAATAAATTGACATACAATTCACGCCTCGTGCACGATTCTTGGGCTTATCTATCGCCACCATGTGCTGTGATTGTGGTAGTTCTGTGGCTCGCGAGCTTTCTCCAGCCGCTAGCTGAGCTCAGCTTTTTGGATTTTCCCTTCCAGAAAAATTTCCGTGACAGTTCATTGAGAGAATGTGTTGCACCTGTGCTGTGGACAGGTGCACCACTGTCCTCTCTACCCTGAATTGACATATGCCGCCGTTGTTAGCCCGCTTTGTGCCCGTTGTCTTGTCAGATCATGATACATCGCCTGCCTCTGTACAAGTTCGAGCTCACTCAGATGTTGTGAATGCCATCCTTGGTTCGCCACTGGTTGTAATGAGACTCCATTATGCATACTCGGTCGCTAGAGCTTCTTTGTGGACATATATGAAGCTTCCGAGCATTAGGCTGGTTAATAGCAACTGACGAAGGAGGATCATTTTACCCGCCATCTCAGATCGATTGAAGCTTGAGATGCCCGAACCAGATCCTCCGGACATGTTAGCTAAAGCGGTAGAAGACCTCAGCCAAGCCTCTGCCCTGCACTCTCAAAGACCTTCTTAAACTTCTCCGGCACATCCGTCTTCTCCAACTTGATTTCCACAAGCTTCAGTCCAGGCTTGCCCACACCGCCGGACCCATTATCGAACCTCTCGTCTTTCAAGAAGTCTTCGAGGTCTGTCCAAGTCCTAAGTGTTATGACATCGACAGAATAGTCTTGCCCCAGGCTGCAAGCTTTTCGAATCGCTTCTCGTGCACCAAATGCTCTTGGTAGTAAACTGTAGATCCATGGCGCGACGTCGTGATAGTCCGCATCGGGGTTATGAATTAGACGTTCGTAGGCGTATCCGTCGTTGTTGATGAGAAAAATTGTCATGTTGAGGCGATGATGTATGATTGTGCTGAGCTCTTGAGCTGTGACTTGGAATGATCCGTCTCCTTCGAGGACTACGACTCTGCCTTTTGGGGATTGTGCGTTGGTATCATTGTGGTTAGCTTGTTGAGCCATGCCAGCACCTAGTGCTGTGGGAAGAGTAGAACCTATTGAGAACCATAACCCACTGACGATGACTCGACAGGAAGAGTCTGGGAGGACGAAATCTCTACCTCCGAGGATCGGAGTAGCATTGCCGAGCAAGATGATGTCGTGTGGACGGAGGTATTGGTTGAGACGAAGATAGAGGCCGGATTGGTCAATGCTGTCTTTCTGATTTTGGTAAGCTGGAGCTGTGACCGTGCGGAAATCTGAGATGGGAGGATGTTTATGCGTTGACGAGAGGGATTTCTTGTTCTTAGCATTTGAGGTCAAAGCTCGAAGTAGCTCACGAGCGTCTACTTGACCAGGCTCTCTCTCGCCAAACAACCAGGTCTTTTGTTTGCCTATGATTATTGTCTTCGTTGGATCTGGTACCACGGTCCAGCCCAGTGTCCTAGGTGATCAATCGTTAGCTCGACGACCAGAAGTACTATACCAGGCCGATCGTGAAACATTGTTGAATATTGGACGTGAGGGGACTTACTGGGTGTCAGCAAACATGGGGCCAAATGCTAAGACTAGGTCGGCATCATCCACAAGAGGCATCGTGTCTATCTGGCCTACAGGGCCAGCATGCACGCCATAGTAGTTTGGAATATGATGATCAATCATGCTAGCACCTGAGGGCATAGTGAGTGTTGGTATCCCTGAGCTTACAACAAAATCATTCAGCTCTTGGCGGAGCTGATCCATACCCATACTGCGGTCCACGAGTAATAGTGGTCGCTGTGCCTCTTCAAGATATTGAGAAATGATTTCGACCAAGCCTTCACCTGTTATATCTGACTGTTCTTGGGATGACCCCGTGTCCTGTAGGTTCCTTGTTATGTCAAGGTCGAGTCCCTCCGCGTTGACTTCTCGGTTGACCATATCGCACGGTAGACCGATGTACGAAGGACGACATTGCGTCAGAGCATACCGTATAGCGTTGTCAATCTGCTCGGGAGCAGTATCCTTGTTCGTCAGAAAAGCTTGAGCCACTGTAACGTTCTTGTACATGTCACGAAACACGGTGTTCTTTCGATCGCCCAAGCTATGATGCACGATATCGCCTGCTCTCGTGTGCTGTTTCTGAATCATGTGCTGTCTCTGAGGAAGACCTGCTATGTGAATGACAGGGACATGCTCAGCGTACGAACCGGCCACAGCGTTGATAGCTGAGAGCTCGCCGACGCCATAAGTGGTGAAAAGAGCTCCTAATCCTTTTGTGCGTGCATAGCCATCAGCTGCGAAGCCAGCGTTGAGCTCGTTGCAATTACCTACCCATTTGACGCCGGATGTTTTTGCGTGGTCCAAAGCTTTCAACGTGAAGTCTCCGGGGACGCCGAACAAGTGGTTGACGCCGTATTGACGTAGACGTTTAAAGAGATAGCTTGCAAGCGGAATTGTTCGTGGCATTTTTACCGCGGAGCTATCCTGGGGAACACCTGCACAGCATCAGGTCACGAGATAGCGGACAAGCTCATACTTTCGACGCGTCATGCTAATGAGGCGAAAGAGTTGTGCTGCGCCGAGGCATAGAGGTATGGCTCATTAGCGAAGCTGATAGTGTTGATGTATCCAGCTGAGCAGAGTGTTCAACAACCACGCCGCTTATATCCCCGAAACTATGGCCGGAGCTCACCTTCGATTGTGGAGTCAGGTCGATTTGGAACCACAAAGGGATTTACAGATGATTGAACACAACGGCGGGTGGACTGATGCATCTTCATACTGAGCAGCACTTCGACAACATGGCGAAAACGGTGGGTTTGCCCTTGCCAACAGCTCGTGGAAGGTCTCGGGCAACAGGGTCTGAGCCCTGAAGTGATACTCTCAATTTTCTTTACAAGGTGTTACTGTATCTTACGAAGAAGTGCTCGAGGTGCTCAAAAGTCCAGTCTGAATACTCTTGCTCAGAGACCAGTCCTGTGAGCTGTGGTGCTGGAGAGTGGGCCAGCATCGTCCATGTTAGCTATTACTGTTTGATACGCCCTCTCCCTGATAACACCTCCAATCGTGTCTCCCAAGCAGAGGTGCTTTCTTGCGGGGTGGCCTTACGTCGAGAAGCTGGACAACCAATAAACGTATCGATGGTGTTACTGTAGAGTTTCTGGGAATAGACCGCATCCCAAGTCCTTAGCTACATAACCTGGACAGCTGCATGAGCCAAATCAGCTTCCAACGCAAGAAAACCACCGATCTAGCCTACTGGTAAGTCGCATGCGTCCCGCGATGACTTGCTATGTAGCATGGTCTGCAACTGCTCACCTTTGTCAAGGCCGGAGCAGCTCTCTGCCAAGGCCGAATCTCCGTGCTTGGACCTCTTGTTCTTGACGAACTTCACAATTCTTTCATTAGAACCTGCTGCTCTCTGTGAACTTCCCTAGTTCAGTGATTCTGTAGACGGCCGACCCTCATGATGCGAATGAGCTGCAAGAAGAATAGTTCGAAACATAGCGCGGTAGAATGTGAAGTACAGAAAATATCGGCCACAGTGTGCTGCACCGTGAGAACCACATGTTGCTAGGGCTCAAAAAAATTTCTTCCGAATTCACAGCAAGGGAACAGCCTTTCCCCCTATTCTTTTTGCGCGAGACTTGATGGAACGCAGATAACATTGTCTAGGTCGTGCTAAATAATCTGACAGGCAAGCAGTATGGCTAACGAAGCTGTTTCACCCTGCAAAGTCGTGCTTGCCGGGACCGTTGCAAAAGGACTTCTTGCGGAAGTCAAAGCGGGCCTGGAAGGGCTAAATGGCAGGCAACCACATCTCCAGGGCATATTAGCGAACAACGATGCTGCTGCCAAAGTCTATGCTGACTGGACTCAGAAGACATGCGAAGAAAAGTGAGTAACCTCGACAAGCAAGAGCACGTTATCTGAATCATGCTCGCAATTTTTCGTCATACAGCAGACAGGTAATCTGACTGACCACCTATTAGTGGAGTCAAGTATACTCTGGCGTCTGTTGAGAAGGACCAGGTCGAGGAGGCCATTATCAATGCCAACCAAGACAATAGCGTGGACGGGATCATTATCTACTATCCAATTCACAACAATCGCCAGGACCAATATCTCCAAGAATGTGTATCTCTGTCCAAAGATGTCGAAGGTTTGACTCACAAGTACATCTTCAACATGTACCAGAACATCCGCTTTCTTGACGAGCAGCAATTGCGGAAATCAATACTTCCTTGTACGCCGCTCGCTGTCATTAAGATCTTGGAATACCTGCACATCTACAATACAATTCTACCGTATGGAAACAGACTTTTTGGACACACCATATGCGTTGTGAACAGATCCGAAGTCGTGGGTCGACCGCTTGCAGCCTTGTTGGCTAATGACGGTGCTACGGTGTACAGCGTTGACGTAACGGGCGTACAAAAATTCACGAGAGGTGAAGGCCTACGCAAGCGAAAACACGAAGTCGAGGAAATGCCTGGTAAAGGATTGAAAGACGTCGCGGGATTGTGCGATGTAGTCATTACTGGTGTACCGGGTGAGAAGTACAAGTTCGACGTAAGCCTTTTACGAGAAGGTGCTGTTTGCATCAATTTCAGTAGCGAGAAGGTAAGTCTGTCCACTCAGTCAGCATGGTTGATCTCCCTACACGAGCTTGAGTCGCCGATCAACTAACACTGAAGTAGAATTTTCCACCAGAAGTCAAGCAGAGAGCCTCAATCTATGTGCCAGCTATTGGCAAGGTGACTATTGCTGTACTCCTCCGAAACCTTCTGCGGATCACTCAGAACCGTATGCTGCAAGAGGACGGCAACAGCACTTCAGGCGACAAGCAAAAGTCGATACCTAATGGAGTGGTTGATAAGATTCTTGATCCATAAGCCTACTTTTATGGGTGTCAAGGATTAAGTTCACCGTTCGCTATGAATCTGTGCGAGCGTAGAGGTATCAGGATCTGGGGAGTTGACGGGATTGAATATTTTTTCGAACAAGGTGAGATCGAGCTCATAGAGATAGTCTAGGATCGGTAAAGTGGCATTACTCATTGTCCCGCACAAAGTTCCGAGCAATACAGGAATAACAACAGAATCTCCTCCTCTGGTGTATGAGTGTCTGCAGTACGCCCACCCATGTAGTGAAAATGCGGTCGGTAGGCTTGTGTCAGTCCTAATGCTCCGAAATGTATATACGAACTGGTATCTGTTCGAGTCAGTCTTGCGAGGAATGTGCGCTCTTGCGATATATGCCTTCTTGGGAACTCTTCAACAGGAAGATTTGGTGCTATTGTTTGATTTGAACTCCTGCAAGCCACAGGATCCGTGACAGGGACACAGGTTCGTGGTTGCAGGAGTATAAGGTGGTATCATGCAAAATAGTAGCTGCCTCTACCGAGGTTGCTATAGTGTCTCTTCACCCCAGCCATCACCACAGACGTTGTAACGGCGGGCGCCGGTCTCAGCCATGGCTTCTTATGCTGACGCTGACCACTTTCTAGTACATCAAAGCCGTGACCTCATCCCTCGTGCAAATGGTCCCGAAAACATCCTCTTCACTCTAGCTGAAAGAACAATTTATATCGACGATGGATACAGCATAACTCTGACGGAGGCGCCGAAGGATCGTGGAGGAAGGTTGTGTACGAATTTTGCCCTTACAACACCGCTGTTGCCATGTGGTCTTGCCACCTTGCCCCATATGACTCTGATCTTGGTACCCTGCCGTTCACGGGCGGCTCGATAGATAAACGCTACTCGCTTTCCGAGATAGAACCTGCAGCAGTCTTGGTCAGTCTCTCGTTTCTTCCGCCAGTCCTACTCGACATTCTCTTTAGGGTGTGGTTCCTTACTGTGCGGCTTTTGAGTCATCGACACCTTCGATCTTGAGGAGAGATGTGTTTGGGTTCGTGTTTCGCTTGCCTCGTTGGTATGAGAGGTGCTTGCCCTTGACGTATACTGCGTGAACAAAGTTAGTTTCTGTTGTCTAATGCTTTCGATGTGTCCGAGTTGTGTCGCATTCGTTAGCCTATTGGTGCATATAGGTCAACTTACGTCTGTGACCCTGTGCGGAAGGCATGTTGGCGGAAGTGTGTCGGTTCGAAGGTATTGACGCCGGCTGATCAGAGTTGTGCGCAAGATAAGTTGACTGCGCTTGCTGTCGGCGTCGACGTGCTTGAAACTTCTCCAAATTGCTTGGCTGTGTGTGCCTCAAAAGGGAACGGAACTAGATCGCGCCAAGACACCATCAGTTCATGCCTGAGAGCCTCATAGAAGGAGTCGACTTATCTCCGGACTCCGAACAAGAACCACTTACTAATCACATGTTGGGAAGCCACGCACCACGGCTATCAACATCGGCACCACTTCCTTCTGGAGTATTTACACCTCGAGGAATGAGCGGTGACTGATATTTGCGGCTGCCGCGTTATTCTCTACGTATCTTCTTAAAACCGATCCCTAAACGATGGCGGTTTCGTGTGCGGTGAGCCACCACGGTAGGCCTGAGCAACTTGTGCAAAGAAGCACTGCAGGATGAATTGATCAGGTCAGCAACGCGGTCTCACGAAGCGGACGTATCCTGCCTTACATGTAGCCAACAAGCTAGTTTCGAGACCCTATACAATTCGAAAACGAATAGGTAACCGAATCATCCGAGAGCTATCAAGCTCTTTTCCGGCTTGTTGGTGCGGCGTAATTGTTAGTGTAAATTCATCTTGCATCTTTGCCCTCCTTGTTGAGGTCATAACTTTAAGCTTCACTAATCTGTTTGTACGAAAGGGGTAAAGAGTTTGTTGCGACTGCTAAGATTTCACAATCCACAAACGCACGAAGTCATGGTTGTACTTTCTGTCTCGACATCATGAATACACAGTAGCCGGAGGGGCAGCCCGTACATAGATAACGAAATAAAACTATCTGGCTATAATATTTGTTGAGCCGAGACGTCACCTCTGACAAACACTGCTGGCGTCCTCCTCGGACCCTCGAAAATAGTTTTAGAATAGTCCTTCCGCAGTACTAATACTGTGTAAGCTTCACCAAGCGATTACCCCACCGAACCAGTTACTGAATGCTCAAGGTCGTGCTGTTTTCCTCCGATATATTTTCCCAACCCTGCAGACTGTTTCTTAAATTCTCCAGGAGCCCGCCAATATACTGAGAGCTCATCGAAATGGCTGATACAATCCTCCAACAGGAAGAGCCGCAGCATGCTGGGTGAGATTGGTATTATATTCGCGACCACAAAGCTAATTCGAGAAAGCACCATGGAGCTCAAAGAAGATACCACTATTGTGGTTCTCGGCGCATCTGGCGATCTAGCAAAGAAGAAGACATTTCCTGCGCTGTTTGGCCTGGTAGGATCACTCATCACCTCGAGTGACGAGGCTAATCCTTGTTCAGTACCGAAACAAGTTTCTTCCTAAGGACATACATATCATCGGATATGCTCGAACGAAGATGGATCACGAGGAGTACCTCAGGCGGGTGAAGCAATACATCAAGACTCCTACGAAAGATGTTGAAGAGCAGTTAGAAGACTTCTGCAAATGCTGCTCATACATCTCGGGTCAATACGACCAGGACGAGCCATTCCAGAACCTCAACAAGCACATTGAAGAATTCGAACAGGGTCGTAAGGCAGGGAACAGAATCTTCTATATGGCTCTGCCCCCTTCAGTGTTCATTCCAGTATCTCAACACCTGAGAAAGAACTGCTACCCCAACAACGGTATTGCCAGAGTTATCATCGAGAAGCCATTCGGCAAAGATCTACAATCTTCAAGAGAACTACAAAGAGCTCTCGAACCAGACTGGAAAGAGGAGGAGATCTTCCGTATTGATCACTACCTGGGCAAGGAAATGGTAAAGAATCTCCTCATTCTCAGATTCGGCAATGAATTCCTAGGCGCAACCTGGAACCGAAACCACATCGACAGCGTACAGATTACCTTCAAAGAGCCCTTCGGCACAGAAGGACGAGGCGGTTACTTCGACGAATTCGGCATCATCCGAGACGTAATGCAAAACCACTTGCTCCAAGTCCTCACCCTCCTAGCCATGGAACGACCCATCTCCTTCTCCTCCGAAGACATCCGAGACGAAAAAGTACGAGTCCTCCGCGGCATCCCAGCCATCGAGCCCAAGAACGTCATAATCGGCCAATACGGCAAGAGCCTGGACGGCACAAAGCCAGCCTACAAGGAAGACGACACAGTCCCCAAAGACTCAAGATGTCCCACCTTCTGCGCCATGGTCGCCTACATCCGCAACGAGCGCTGGGACGGCGTCCCCTTCATCCTCAAGGCCGGCAAAGCCCTCAACGAGCAAAAGACCGAGATCAGAATCCAATTCAAAGACGTCACCTCTGGCATCTTCAAGGACATCCCACGCAACGAACTCGTCATCCGCATCCAGCCCAACGAATCCGTCTACCTCAAGATGAACAGCAAACTCCCCGGCCTAAGCATGCAAACCGTCGTCACAGAGCTCGACCTCACCTACCGCCGCCGCTTCTCCGACCTCAAGATCCCTGAGGCCTATGAATCTCTCGTCCTCGACGCACTGAAGGGCGACCACTCCAATTTCGTCAGAGACGACGAACTCGATGCGTCTTGGCGTATCTTTACGCCTATCCTGCACTATTTGGATGAGAAGAAGGAGATTGTGCCAATGGAGTATCCTTATGGATCCAGGGGTCCAGCTGTTTTGGATGATTTTACGGCCTCTTTTGGCTATAAATTCTCGGATGCTGCGGGTTACCAGTGGAATACTGCTAGCAATAAGGCTGCGCTATAGAAGGCTGCAAAATGTGCTCGAGTCGAAGATGGTCGACTGGGTAACACAGTGGTTTGAGATACGTCTTATGAGCTTCGGACGCGATACGAAATACAGTAGTATGAAAACGAGAAGAGTCATGATAGTATGAATGACGATGAGTTCACATCTCAGTTTTACTCGAGGACGTCAATACGCTCGAGATTCGCTCTATGGTCTGATACTTCTAGGCCGCTTCGTTCGTGTGACATCGTTACTTACAGTAGTGATAGTGTACAGCATACCCAACTTGTGCTCCTACACCATTACAACAACTACCTCAACCCATCCACACGCTGAAAACGGCACCCTTCCCAACGATTCAAAAATATACATCCTACTTTCGCCCACGGACAATCCGTCCAGTTCGAGTCAATGTTGCTTGTCCGCTGCTCTCTTTCTTGACCTTAGTACCACGTCCGCTTCTTTGTGAGCTTGGCTCATCAGCAAACGGATCTTTTAGATTCTTGCTTGCCTTTTGAGCTGCCGCACGTCTACCCCTGCCAGCTGGCTTCTCCTCTACGATCTCGATTTCTGAGTCTTTGTCAACTTTCTTTCTCACAAGTGGCTTATCGTCCTCAGAGTCACTGCTTGCCAGTTCTGTGAGAGGAGAGCCTAAGCTGCTGAGAGCGCTACTTTCTTGATCGTTCTCAGTCTTGACTAGTGTTCCAGCATCGATACTGTTTGGCAGCTTTTTCTGAGTAGTTCCATTTTGCTCGGCTGCAAGTTTTCCAGGTGTCTTGCCTTCTTCTTCGAGCTTCTTGAATAGCAAGTCCTCAATCATTGCCACACCTTCGGCTTCCACAAGACCCTCGTTAGCTGGAGTAGCCACGCCACTAGCAGGGATATCGACGGCTTGAGGTTCTCCATCTTCACCTGCGACTTCGCGATCGAGCTGGAGCTTGACCTTGCCCATTTCGTAAATCTGCTCTTCAACAGATCCTTCTGAGATGAGCCGATAGACTTCGACGTCTTTGGTTTGACCAATTCTGTGACAGCGGTTCTCGGCCTGTACATCATCCTGCGGATTAAAGCCAGAATCAAACACAATAACTCTAGATGCACCTGTCAAGTTGATACCCGCTCCACCTGCCTTCGTGGATAGCATGAAGACCTCGAATTCGCTGTCCTCAGCATTAAACAGATCGATGAGGTCCTGTCGCTCATCAACCTTAGTGGAACCATCGAGTCGCAGGTATGATATGTTGTGGTTCTTTAAAACGTTTTCGAGTATTTCTAGGACCATGACAAATTGTGAGAAAATGAGCGGTCGATGGCCATCCTCTCTGAACTTTGTGAGCAGTTCGAGCATTTTTGTAATCTTGCCCGATTTCTCCCACTTTTCTGCAGTCAAGAGGTATGGATGTAGCGGAGTATGCTTCGAGCAGAGGTCATGAGTCTCAAAGTCTGCATAGTTAACCAGTTCTGTCATGATGAGCTCGGGGTTTGACTCTCGGAACTGTTCAATTTTTGGACATGTCTTCGCGATCTTGCGTAGTGTTTTGTCAGAGTAAAAGTATCTGAAAAGCAGTGGGTGTATAGCTGCTTGCCGAAGACGAACTAGGACATTCGCGTTCTCGTCGGGTGGTATACGCTCACCACGAGCCTTGCGTTCACGAATGTCCCATGCTTTGGCCAATTGCGCATTGTAGAGATCGCGTTGTTCTTGTGTCAACTCACAGGTCACCACGTGCCGGGTTTTCTTGGGCAAGTCTTTTAATACTTGCCATTTCTTGCGACGCAGGATGAAGGGAGTTAGCATTGAACGGGCTCGGTCAATACGCTGTTTGGAAAGCAGCATCTGTCGAGAGTCTGCCGTGGCGCCGGTGGTCGTGACCGAAATAGACTGTTTGAAAATCGCAAGCATGTCTTCTTCTCGTTCAGAGAAGATCTGAGGCATGAGGAATTTGAGGAGACCCATGAGTTCACCTAGGTTGTTCTGCAGTGGTGTCCCTGTAAGCAGCAATCGAAATTGACACTTGATTCGAGCCAATTTTGAAGCTACCTCAGATGTCGGATTTTTCAGCATGTGACCTTCGTCAAAGATCGCACAGGTGAAGCCATATCGTCTTAGCCATGGGATATCCTCTTTTGCCTTTGCAATCTGGTAGGTCGTGATTATCACACTAATTTCGTCCCGCTTATCTTCATACTCGAGCCGCATTGCCTCACGTTCGGGAATGCTACCATAGTATGGTTGAACACTCAACGAAGGAGCGAAACGCTGGAACTCCTTCAGCCAGTTCTCAAGAGTAGCAGCAGGTACCACAATAAGATGCGGGCCTGACTCGCCAATTTCAGACAAGTGTGCGATGAAAGCAATTGTTTGTAAAGTTTTGCCCAAACCCATGTCGTCCGCCAAAATACCAGACAGTTTAGATCTGAACAGCAAATATAGCCAATTCAATCCAACAACCTGATAATCTTTCATCTGAACACCCTCAGCCAGCGAAGGTGGTTGTGGAACAAATCCTTTCCTAGCACCATTTATCGATCTACCATCATCACTGATGGGAGTGCCTATGCCGGAGTCCTTACCAGTCAGGACTTGGGCATTACTCTTAAGGGCATTTATGTCGACAAGATCAATGCCAGCAGTGTCCTTGCCTTTTCCATAAACATCAACGCCCCAGGCACTCATACTTTGCGCAAGCGGTTTCGACATTTGTTCGCACTTCTTGACCACGAAGTCGACAGCCTCATAGGACTTGGTCATTTCGTAGACTTTGTCCCAGATACGTTCGCCGTAGGATGTGCTGCCTTTCTTGGTTTTGTTCTTGTTGTTAGGATTCTGCACATCAAAAACCTTTTGCAGGCTAGCAAATGGTCGACAGCCAACAAAATGCTCTGCCTGGTCCTTTGGTATGCCCGACATATCCATCAAGTCGTGCGCAGTACAGGTATTGAAAAAGATCAAGACACGATTGTCGAGCTTAGCGTCCTCAGCTTCGGACTGAATACCTGAATCGACTTCATCAGAGTCATCAAGCACGATAGCTTTTCGAGGACTACCAGAAGGACTTCGATTCTTACGACCTCTCATAAGTGTACGTTTCTTCGCCTCCTGAGGTGGAGGTGTATCGAAAACATCCAGTCTTCGAACCTGGTTTGTCGCTTGCGGTGGTTGTTGCGTGCTACCCCATTTCTGAGCGATTGATTTAGTCGGAGCTCTTCTGATCTGCTGAGGTGCTGCTTGGTACTGATTTGCAGTCATCGCTACACCTTTTGGCGGTCTGGCAGGCGTATACAGCAGCTCGTCGTCTGAGCTGGGAAGCACCACAACATTGCGGCTTGTTTGCTGTTGCATTGTGGAGGGATGTTTGTCTCTACTCTCACTTTGCAAAAGCAGCATATCCGCAGCATCATCAAAGTTCTTTGTCACTTGTAAGGCATGTAATATCTGCCGGACTGAGCTGGATGAGCACGTTGTTTGTAATCTTTCAACCTGCCGTCGCAGGTGGGGATCACGAATGTCATCGAGTTCTATCTCTTGATAGGGCTGTGTTGCTGATGAAGGACCTTGTTGTACGGATGGGACGTTTGCTGGCATGATATGTCTTCTCTTCTGAACGTTGCCATAACTATTAGCCATGACATCTGCAGATCTCTTGACAGCTTGTGGCGGGGCTGATGTGTGCGACTGGTAGCCAAAATCATTCATCAAGCCACTAAATGTGTTCGAGGTAGGCGGCTGACTGAGTACAGCTGTGGAGGTCCCATTTCGCGAAGAGGGCTTGAATACTCGAGTTTTAATGTTGTTGCGCTGCGCTTCGAGGCGTTCGTTGTCGCTCGACTCCGGATCACTGGGGAACCAAGCTGGCTTCCGCTGTGCTTGGGATGGAGATTGTACTCGGCCGGGTGGTAGACGCGGAGGAATGGGCTGTCTGTAGGATGTTCCTGCAGGTGCCATGGACATACGCATAACACCCATCTGTCCCGCACCTGGAGGGGCATTATGCATTGCAGTTCCCAAAATTCCACCCGTCCTGCCATTTGTTACTCTTGGTGGAGCGATAGGCGAAGAAGCCACGACTTGAACAACAGACCTCGAAGGGGGTGGAGGAGAGGAGAAATCTGTGTTCGGTGCGTTTCCCGGTGATCGAGGTATTATTTGAGTGGGCTGTGTAACATATTGACTTGCGGATTGTGGTCGACCTGGAACATCACTATATTGAGTATGCAAGTATTGAGATTGAGGCTGTGACTGAGGGTTTTGAGGGAGCGAAAGTAAGGTCTCCTGAAATGGTGTCGAAGAATGTGTCGTACGTGGAACTGGAATAGTTTCCTGAGTAGTATATCCCGGAGGTCTGGCAGGGATGTTGAAGAGGTCATCTGCCGAGTGCGTCGAGGGGACTGGCGAGGAAGACATTTTACGAAGGGCGTTTTCCCGATAACAATACCAACACCAACAATACACCAGCGTCCTCCAGGAACGCGAAGAACATGAGCGCCGACAACAAGTTATTAAGATATCGCAAAAACAATTGCGACTTCGGGAAGCAAGGAAGGATGGGTGAACCTTTCACTACCAACAGTCGCAATAAGAGGATCGGGGACCGGACGAATAACCATTCTGAACGCGTAAAGTTCGAGTCGGGCGCACGTACTTTGGTAGGGCGTTCTCGGTCGCGTCAGCCAAGGCATCTATCCCAATACAGTTTAAGTCAAAATTTCGTTTGGTCGGAATGCTTCTACTGAGTGACAGCCTGAATGTGGAGTGTTTTTACGATGGGTAAATACTTGCACTGAGGAAGTGAAAATGCATTAGTACTTTTGGAATAATGTATTGTACTGTAGACGTGATGCTCAACATCTGAATAACTCCTTCTCACATGCATGTGGTTTACACGTAATGTTACCCAGCTCCATGTCCTTGTGCTTGTACCAGAAATGCTAGACCCCCCAACTCCTCGCTTATAGACACAGCACGTATGCAAAACATTGTGAACGGTGATACAGTAATATCGTGTTATCGTAAAGTCGTATGTGTCGTGGGACAGCAGACCCAGCAGTGTTCCATTAGCGGAAGTGAGCAACAGCGCCAGGTGGTGGTACTACTGCTTGCATCATCTTCGCACCTCCACCACTTCGTAGGTTGCTGACGGCTTTCATGTGGTCCATGGCCACTTTAGGAGGCATGACGGCGTCGGCATGTATTGGGAACCGAGCCTTACGTTCCAGGTCGTCAAGAGGCATAGTGCTTCGGATGTACTTGTTGCGTCCATCGTCGAGCTCACTGCCTCGCCAATCCCAGCTTTCGAAACGGCCTTGGGTGAGGGCTGACCACACAAACTTGCGCTTGCGCTGGCAGAGAAGTACGTCCTGAGTGATCTTCTTGAAGTCCCATCTAGCTGCAGCCTCTTTCTCAAATGCGTCAAAGACTTCTTTCACCTGAGGATCGAGACTTGTGGCAAGATTGGTAAGCTCAAGTGGATCTTGCTTCAGGTTGAAGAGTTGAGGAGGATCAGCCGGACAGGTAATATACTTCCAGGGTCCTCGTCGAATCATCATGAGAGGGGCAACGGTGCCTTCACCCATGTACTCGGCGATTGCAGTGTCATGACCAGTAGTACCATAAAGGTGAGGCATGAGGGAAAGACCGTCCATGGGCAGACCAGGGATCAGACTGCTACCAATCAGGTCAACGAAAGTTGGCAACAGATCGACCGTGCTAACGTTTTCAGAAACGTGATGTGGATGGAATTGTCTAGGAGCACTAATGAGCAGTGGCACGCGGACCGAGTTCTCAAAGTAGGACATCTTGTACCACAAGCCTCTCTCGCCCACCATGTCTCCATGGTCTCCGGAGAAGACAACAATGGTGTTGTCGTCCAGACCACATTTCTTGAGCACGGACAGCAATTCTCCCACGTTGTCATCGATGTAGCTCACTGCTCCATAGTATGCACGTCTAGCTCTCTTGATTTGCTCGTCAGTGAACTCGTGACCTTCGAGCTCAGCCACATATCGCAGTCGCTTGCTGTGTGGATCTTGGTCTTCTGGCCTGATGTTGACGGCTGGCAGCTCGACGTCCACATCCTCGTACATATCCCAGTACTTGTCTTCGATCACGTATGGATCGTGTGGATGAGTGAAAGAGACTGTCAAGCAGAATGGTCTCTTGTCTTCTGGTCCTCTTGCATAATCGTACAGCCATTGTTTAGACTTGTGTAGGACTTCTTCGTCGTAGTCCAGCTGGTTTGTCCTCACACATGGACCAGCTTGCAAGATGGAACTGCTGTTGTGGTACCATTCCAACCTTCTATCTGGCTCATCCCAGTTCACCGCCCAGCCATAATCTCCTGGATAGATGTCCGCAGTCAACCTGTTCTCATAACCATGCAGCTGGTCCCCGATGAAGTGCATCTTTCCTGCTAGAATAGTCTCGTAACCATCGGCTCGAAGGTAATGTGCGTAGGTAGGAACATCGGAGCTAATTGAGCAAGCATTGTCGTAAGCCCCGATCTTTGAGACGTGCTGACCAGATATCAAGGCCATACGAGAAGGAGCGCATAGTGGTGATGGGCAGTACGCTGAGTCAAATACGACTGCCTTCTCAGCAAGTTTGTCGAGGTGCGGTGTCTTAATTTGACTCTTTGGATTGTACATCTTCAGCAGAGGAGCGGCCAACTGATCTGCCATGATGTAGAGAATGTTTGGCTTGGCTGGAAACAGGGGCGTAGAGAAGCCATTCTGTCCCTGGATGCCATTGGGAGGTGAGATAGGTGGTGACTCCGGCAGGTGAGTAACCTTCATCTTGGACAATAGTGTGTAGGTGTTGTGCGGAGTGGGAAGGCTGAAGACGATCTGAGTGAACAAAGGATCGTCACGTCGCAGTGTTTGTTACCTCTGTAATTAATAAGCTATGAATAGAGAAAGATGCAGCCTGGAATTAAAACAACGAAAAGAAAGCCTTGAGCAGGATATGCTCACTGTTATGTACCTCACAATGCCCTCGCTTGGGAATGAGAACAAGAGGGTTCGTCGCGACCACCCGACAGACCGACAGGATCATTGTGTCTGCGCGTGCTCGTCATCCCAATTCGTTTTCACTAGTATTTAAATTTCTAGCGTATGTGGGGAAGGCCCATTCTTTTGATGCCCTAAGGAATAAATGCTGGAAGATTGGGGATCTGCAGATCTGGTATGCGCTAGGACTCTTTCCAGGTCAAATGCTGGCAACGTCCGGACGGTATTACGAAGAATGGCATAGTCAGCTAGATACTCGTTGTGTTTTGACGCTCTTGCGCTACGAATGCAGGACATGTACTCCGTGGTATTGTACATTGTCCTTTCACGACTTTCACGCGACTCACACGTCAGACAAGCGAGACTACATTTGTGGAGTCTCTATCTTAGCCTAGTACGACGCTGATCCTGCAGGCACAAAAGTTTTTTGAGTGTCCGTTCGCTGGATAATTCCCGCCGATACTGCCACTAAAAGAATTGGTACCCTTGCACAATTCAAAAGACCAATCGTGGAAAGAACCACAGTCTGAGCTGCTAGAAGATAATCGATACCGAGGAACATGTGACACGTCGGTAAGCGCAGTCCAGGCTCCTTCTGGAACCACTTGTTGCTACAAAAAAAAGGTGTCATCCATCAATGTGCTCATCCTCTGAAATAATTGCGTGCTCAATGATACAATGCGAGCACATAATGTCCGCCAGCTTAGGCCTTGGCTCATCTGAGAGTCAAATACGAAGTTTTGGAACCCTTGGACGAGGGGAATCTGGGGTGCACCTTTGTCGTATGCTTTGGTACATCCAAAGATTATCTGTCTTACTGTCTCACAGCTGGTTGTTCATGTCATCGATCTCTTGGCTATGCAGCTAAGCACAATTTGGGAAGTTGTTACTGTTGATCCGAGCCACATAGGACGCATGATTGTTACAATTTGTTACCGCTTTTGTTACCAGGTACCATGTCAATTCAGGTATGTGTCAAGAAAACTCTCTATCCGACGATGATCTTCTGCATATTCCGGTACGGTGTGTACGCGGCTGTAGCTCAAGGACTTCCGCAACCTATCACGAACACTTTCATCACTCCATGTCCGACCACAGGGCTGATCTCATTGAGCCACTGCAGATAGTTGCTCTCAAGGGAAAAATAATGATTGCATGCCTCATGTGTGCTTCTGCAGAGAAGACATATAACACGAACGAAATCATTGCAAAAAGTAGCAGCTACTGGTTGAATCCCCACTTCCAACTTCAAGGCTCACAAACATATTAAGGTGAAGTTCACTGATGCCATGTCCCAGTCTTGTGGCTGTTTATCCGCTAAGGAGGTGATGCTCTTATCGCCCCGTGACCGATTTCCGTTTTTTATTTTCGCTTTTTATTCCAGCATGCGCGATTGAAAGAAGGCGTGATAAATTGACCTCAAGCTGATACACCATCACGACACGATGGAGCATGAAAGGTGCAGAAACGCCAAGGCATTGTGAAAATCACACCCTCGTTCTATATACGACAAATCCACTTGGCCCATATCCGACTTCCTTTACGTCCAGAATGCTGGTTGTCGACATCGAGAAGCTTGTTGGCGACATCAGCTGATGGAGAGAAAGGCGCCTTTACGAGATGAGAATTGGATGACCTCGTGGAGATTCGGTTTGTCTTCAGCGCAAATCGAACCTTCGAAGCCAATCGATCAACCTGGTATGCAGCAGTCCTTACTTTTTCCGAGCTGCGATATGCGTCCAGCCCTGCTTGGTGAGTGAAGTTGGACGAATTGACAGAATCCAGTCGTAGAGCCGCCTGCCGACATAGCATCCAGATTCAACATCATCTGATAAGCCTCAGTGTCCGTTTACCAAATCAGGAAATTGTACACTGATAACTATCTCCAAAATTTCTATGTGGAGGACGAAAACCTCAATTATGCGTCCGAGACCTTTTTCAGGAAAAGACAATTTTGCTGGCGTATAAATCCTCTCACTTGTGCTCCTGCGAGCTTCGCGACTCTCTCTAGCTGTCAGATGGTCAACCGCAATACAAGTGGAGGTATGTCATTACATATACGCCAACACCTCGCATGGTCATGGGACTATCAGCAGGCAGCCTCTTAACCGCACATCGACGATGGACGCAAGCGTAGGATACTCCAATATTGTCATTCGCATCGACGTGGCACCTCTGATGGAGGATGCTGCCCAACGAAGTTCTAGTCAATCTGAGACATTTTTCGTCGGAGAGAGAAATGAGGCTCTTGGTCAATATGTGTACCTGAATCCTTCAACACCTTCTATACACTCTTTTCCTTGACCTCTATCAGCCCTCCTGTTCGCTGTCCAGAACATAAGTGTACAAACCGTCACCACAGCAATCATTACCAGATGGCTGCCGATGCTGATCCAGATAGCAGTAAGATATTTCGGTGCCTCCGTGCTCCTCACAATATACGACCCAGCAATTCCTCCCAGCCCATTGAAAGCGCTCACACTCGCCGCCACTGTAGCCCTCTTCCACTGCCCACGAATATTGTTCGCTTGATACACACTCAACGCAGCCCAATTACTCACATACGCACCCGTGGCCAGAAAAGTCCCAATATATCGCACAGTGACCTGATCCGCAAAGCCCAGCATGCAAAAGCCCACAACCAAACACACAGCATTAAACACAATGATCGGTCCCCGTATCCCATACCAGTCCCCAACCAACGAAGACAACAAAACCGGCAAAGCAGCGTAATAATAAGGCGGCGCAGACAGTAAAATCGCCTTATTCGTGCCAAACCCCATCCCACCCTGCAAGACGATCGGCAAAAAGTAGCTCAGCGCCGTACTCACCAAATTCTGCAAAAAGAACAACACCGCAAAGACATAGAGCTTCAAATCTGAAAACGGAACCATCACAGCCCGCAACGTGAACGGCTCCGGTTTCCCTGCATCGCCTCTATCCTTATCAATCCGTGCCAACACCATTTCAATTTCTTGAGTCGTCAAAAACCGCTTCGTCTCGTGCGCCCATTCAGGAAATTGCGGAATCCAGAAGTATGTCAGTACACCCAAGAAAATCGTGATAGATCCCTGCACGATGTAGATATACCGCCATCCCGCTACCCCACCCCTCCCGTCGAGACTCTTGTTAATCGCGAAATTCACAATCCCACCCGTCGCCAACACCACCACCTCCCCAACCTGTAAAAACGCAAATCTCATCCCCTGTTCCCTCCTCACATACCAACTCGAAATCAAGTACGTTAAACCGGGGTAAATCCCGCTCGTCGCGATCCCAAGTAACACCCGTAATGCCATCATCCCTCTCCAGCTACGTATAAACGCTGTAGACAACGTGACAACTCCAAACAACACAGTTGTAAGAGAGAAAAACAGCGGCGGCCCGGCCAGCCGCATGAGCAGCGTGGCGGGGAGTTGGAAGACGATAGAGCTGATGGTGAAGATGAAGATTGAGATTGAGAAGCGTTGGGGGGTGAGGTGCAGATCGCGGGGCATGGATGTTATGGAGGCGGAGGAGATTATGCCGCTGTCGAGGAGGAGGAGGGAGCAGAGGAGGGAGGCGATTGTGCAGAGGCGGGTGTCGATTTTGTGAAGGGTGATGGAGGGGAGGGGTGGGAGGGTTTGGGTATGGCGAGTGGTGAGAAGAGGTGTTTCGTCAGAGACATCGTCTTCGTTGTCAATACTATCCTCGTCGGAGGAGCTTTCTGTAGCTGGGCCATGATCAGCATTGGTAGTTGTAGTAGTCACTGCGCTTGGCTTTTTGTCATTGCCGAGCTGTGGCTGCATGTTCCTGTTCGTTGCAGTCGACGAAACCATCGTTGTTACACGACAGTACTGTGGCTACCGAGTGACGACGATGCTGCAACATACACGAGGGGTCGTGTACATATCGACAACATACCATTTCCCCAGAATCTTCATATCTGGCACGAGGTTCATCATGCAGGCAAGCGGAGTTTCTGAACCTTAAAAATTGAACATTTATTCAGCCTCGACGGTATTGTGCAGTGTCATCGAGAAGAACGGGATGGAGAAGCTCATTATCGTGAGCAGCACGGCAGTGCTCACTATTACGCATGTAGACTATCTGCGACATCGGGGACTCGGAGCTGGAAGAACGACGTTGAAGACACGAAATTGGAATAAATTGTGCTTGCAACGTGAAAGTCAGGGAACGACGGGCGCATGGGCAGGGCTGAAGAACCTGCTTCTTACGAACTTGAGCGTTTTGCTGGAATAGTTTTTCTGGCGAAGAGAGAGCCTTCAGATGCAATATATACAGATACAATTTTTCGTGTAGAGAAGTGGTTTGGCATAATACTACGTATTGTTCTTAAACTGATTCGTAAGAACAAGGTCCATCAGAAAGCTCAAGTGAACAGGTGCTAAACTCAACTTATCAAATACTGCTAGCTCTTTACTTTCCAAACCCAGCAGCAGCACTCCTCAACTGATCAACCTTGCCCTCAAGCACACAACCAATAGCCCGTTCAAGCACCGTAACGAGCTCAACCGCAACCTGCACCTCATAATCCTTATCATCCACGCCCTTCTTCTCCTCCAAAAGCCCCATATCCCCAACATTGTCCCAGTCAACATCACTCTCAATCATCTCCTGAAGGTTCTCTGCATCCGCGACTTTCACGCCCAACTCTCGCAGCGCATCGATAGATCTCGGGTCAGCATATGGCCAGATAGCTTCACCCCAACCCTCGCAGGCTTGAACGCGCCGACAGAAGATTTGAGCGCCTGTATCGCCCATGCCTTTGACAGTGCTCTTGATGTATTCTATTGTGGCGCGCGAACCGCCGTCGTTGGCGCGGGTTGCGAGCTCGAGCATTTCGTCCGAGTCGCCCATGTTGTTGGTATCGTCTTTGTTGTTGGGGTCGGCATATTGTACTGCCATGTCATAGAGGTAAGATGCGGTCTTTTGTCTGTGTTGAGTTCTGGCCTCCTCGAGCGCATCCCAAATCTTTTTCTCGCCAGCAGCGCGCATTTTGCCAGGTGTGCTGAAACTGTATGGATCATTCAGTAATGTCCGAGCGCTGCGCATACCGAGTGTGTGGCTCAATGGTTTCGAGATCAAATGCGCTGTAACGAGATGTTCGAAAGGTGTGAATAGACTCGGTGGAGTAAGAGAGTAGCATTTCTTGAATTTGCCAGAGTTGGCAGCCTCCAGCTCATCTGAAGGATAGCAGTACGGTAGGGAGTCTTTCGAGAGTAGAAAATTGACAATCTGTTTCGAGGTCGCGTCTTTACCAGCGCCGGCGCCAGCGGTACGAGATGAGACGCGACTGCCTTGACGTTGCTCTTTCTTTGGTGGTTTTGAACCTCCTGACGTTGGTGGTGTTTTGCGCTTTTGACCTGTTTCTGCCTTTTCTTTTGCAGGTGCCTCCTCTTTCTGATCTTCTTTGACTGCCTCGTCTTTAGGATTAGTTGTCTCATCCTCCATCACGACATCGTCTTTCTGCTCCTGCTTGGCGCGACTTGGAACTTGCTTGTCTTCAGCTTGTTTCTTTTTGTTTACTGCTTTCGCAGCTTGCGCAGCACCAGAAGCTTTTTTGGGAGGCATATTGAGTACGCGATAAGACTCGAGAAAAGGAGAAGTGCAACAAGGAGCTTGCGCGCGTAAAGTCAACGTTCAACGACGAGACGTAGAGCTTCTAGTCGCAGGCGTACAGAAGTCTCGCTTGAATAACTTGTTGTGCATACCGTTCCTGACTAGGAATAAGGTACTTGGAGTCGTGACGTAGCGAGGTGCAGGAAGCGAGATCCACTTCCCCAGCCATCTTGAACTGATCCCGATCCCCGGTTCTCCAATCAGCTACCTAGACAGTCCAATGGTGCAGAACGTGGGAGCGGGACGAGAGCACGAAATTGAATTGAGCATTTCGTTACTCCCTATCCAATAAGCTCAATGTCTCAAGCTCTCGCTGGATCATATCTTCAAAGTCTCCTCTCGAAAGGCCAGCCCCTTTCGCGAGTCGGTACATGCTCTTAACGCTGTAACTGATATGTTGCTTGATAGCAATCTCACTAGCAGAATACCGATCTGCAGTCTCTTCCAGCCTTGCAATTGTGTCGGAGCCAGCCCTCGATGACGGCGAGGAAGGCATAGGATGATTGATCTCGACTGCTCGTTCGTCTTCTTCGGGAATCTGCAGCTTGCTCAGGTCTTGGAACTGCTGCGACCTTGTCTCTTCGATCGGTTCTGGCTCAGAATAAGAGTCGCCGTTAAGCGTGTGCTGCATGCTGTTGCCGTTCAAAGTCGACTCGCCCATCTCTTCATGCTGCTCGTCTGGATCGTAGCTGTCCATCGCAGGCTGTACGCTGCCATACCGAGCATAGTAGTCAGCATCCGAGTTTGCGGAACCTTGTGGGTTCACAGACTGTTTCCTTGCTGGTGTTTGTGGACCAGGTGTTCGTCCAGGCGTATTGTCATATTGCGCCCAGTAGTCGTCATCGCCATCTTCTTCCTGCACAGGTACTGACAGACTTTTGTTGTCGCCATTCACTCGCGGTGGCTGCACTGCGAGACTCTCTAGCAAGGCTTTCTGCTCTGCTTCATTAAGTGAGGCAGACCAGGTTTGGTCGCTGCTCAAATCAGAGTCGTATGGTATCAGCTCTGCCAATTTCCAGTTATTCCCTTCCTCACTGCCAAGACACCACAAATACAGTGCAGTCAAATCCCAGTCATTCAGTGGTACCTGTGCCTTCAATGTCTCTGGGTCAAACCTCTTGTAGCACAATCTTTCGATCTCTCCTATCTCCAGTTCTCCAGAGGCAGGATGTGGTTCAAAGTTTGCATTCTCGACTATCTCTTTTAAGCGTTCTGCTTTGGAGCTATCCCAACAGAGAAGGCGCAGCCACGAGTCATGTGCAGAGGAAGATGTGGTATGGATCTGGAGTCTCTGCCGCAGTATGGGCGAGAGAAGTTCGAGCAGACTGGGAGGTGGTTTCGACGATGCAAACGAGGTAGGCAAGCACGCGAGCAGAGGTGGAAGTAAGCTGTAGGTATCTGGAGGTGGTATTATTTGTGCCATGCTTATGTCGTCTGATATCTCTTTCAGCAAATCGTCGCTTCAATCGTGAACGTTTCAGAAGTGAGTCTCGAGAGTAGTGCCTTAGTACAGCAGTGAGCAAGACCAAGTCGCAACAGCACAAGACTCTTTGAAAGGTAGAAAGCAATACAGCCAAATCAAATCATACTAGGTTAGCTCAAGGTCAGAGTGGTAGATCAGGTGTCGGAATTCAAGCAAGACACAAAAGAATTCCTCTTTCAGGTACGACAACAACGGATGCCGTAGCACTTTCTACGTGCTCACGAGGCAGCTGTTGTCGGTCCAGCTGGCCTGGAAGGATCACTGCCACGAGCCGGCACGTGTCCGATTTGTGCTCGTCTTCCTTTGCGCCGAAATCAGCCAATGACAGCATATATCAAATTGAAGGTTTTTGCCTGCCAGTGCACATGCTTTTCTAGCCACGTTGTGGGCTCGGCGGGTTGCGCGTGTCTCCGCATTCTTGCATGAATCCAGAAGTTCTATTTTTCTTTAGCTGCAGTTTCCGGGTTTGCTTTGCGGCTCTTCGAAGATGTGTTTCTTCTGCTTTGTGTGCTGCGACTCCGAGGGCAGCACTCAGTATAGCATTTGAATTGATGGAGGACTGAACAATACACATATTGCTGTGGCGGGGCTAGTTTGCGAACTGAATTATGGCCCGGGGAAAAGGCAACACTTTAGCCTGGCGCTGTACTGTCCGATACTTTCACACCTGAAACACGGTACAGTTTTTGAGAAATGCCGACATTCTGTACTCGAGTAGAGTCCTGTGTTACACCAATCGTACACGGTTGTTAGGAAAGTACAAGTAATCATGAGTTGTTACATGCATGAAGCCACATATCGTACCAAGGTGTCTGCTTTCAGTTCTTCCTGTTTAAGTCTAGTCTATGTAATTGATAGGACAGGCAGGTCTACAGATGCAGTGCCAATATCACCGACTCTTCTTGGACTCTCCGTCTACACCCTTGACCTTCTTCTCCTCCTTCTTGACCTCCCTCCTGCGTTCTGGCAAGCCATACAATCCACCTCCCAAGAACACGATCACAGCGCCTACTAGCACTCCAAGCGCAAGCTCATTGCCAAAAAGATAGATGCTAAGCAACAGACTAACCACCTTCCGCACATTCAGCACAATGCTGACCGTAAGCGCACTGGTCTGTGTGCTCAGTCTGTGAACTCCAGAAATGCAAGCAATCTGCGTTATACAGTTGAGCACGAGGTAAGTCAGGGCTTTGGGCGCATGCTCAAGTTTGATCCAGCCAAGAACCTTTTCTTGCCAGGTTGGAGGTGTTTGTCGTGCTGCGGCTGCCATGTGCAGGAACTTGGCCATGGGGGTGAGGCCTGTTAGATCTTTCCTTACACCTGACCTCGGGAACAAAACTGCGCTGGCTGCCATGAGCTTGTTCCATTGAGCATATAAGGTGTCGAATCGAAGCGCGAAGAAGGGTAAAGAGAGTAAGTGGCCGTAGAAGACCTGCTCGTTTGCAATTGCTGTGTTTCGGCCGTATTTGCTGTATACACCGTCTGACCATACACCCATGACTGCACTGAGAAGGAGGGCAAGTGTCAGCAGGGCAAACCCAGGAGCCTGCTCCATCAACGGTCCTGCTGGACTCGACTCTGTGTGTGTGGTATTGGTCCCCAGTGATCCAGTGGTAGTGTTTCGAGGCTGCGAAGGTTTGGGCGCGTTCTGAGTAGTAGACGTGACTCGTAAGCTCGTACTATTGCCTCCAGTAGTAGTCGCACTCACTGAAGTCTTGGTCTCGCTTCCTGCATCACTAAGCGCAGCCAGCACCACCCCAACAAACAGAAGCATGACGGCCAAAACCTTCTGCCAGCTATATCTCTTCCCAGCCCAGACTCGTCCCACGACCATGCTCGCAACTGGTCCAGCACTCCGTAGTATTATATGTAAAGGCAAAGAGATCTTGTACCCGAACGCAGCATTGTTCAGCACATTAATCAGCACGAACTGGCCAGCAAACGTGAGCCATTTTGTCAAAGGGACTTTCCGGCTCTTCAAACGAGGGAACCATACTGCTTGGGTAGGCCGTAGTGGAGGAGGGTCGGACGGTGAGGTAACGTGGAAGGTAAGCTGGCTTGGGAGGCTGTATAGTGTGATGAAGAGGAATTGCAGAAAGGTGATCAGGGTACCGCTGTCGGATGAGAGGTTGAGTATTGATTCGAGGGTATAGACATTACTGCAACAGCCACCAAAAATTAGACCCAACGTTTGGAGAAGTAAAGGCTGTGCGATCAAAAGAGCGACTATCGTCTTCAGTGCTTCGACAGATCGTGAAAAGAAAGTCGGATCAGGTATGCCAGTGAGGTAGGCAAAGTCGTGTGTCTTGACCAATGGATCGTGCTCGTGTGGCCGAGGATCCCATCGCGATTTCTGAGGGTTCGCTTTCGTATTTGATGTCGGTCTCACAGCTTTCATTGCGGGAGGTCTTTAAAGATGGGATCGGCTGTGAGCCATGGAGAGAAATAGTCAGTATTAGTCAGTTGAATATCATCGTGATTGCGTTATGAGGTGAAAAAGATGTCCACGAATTTTACCTTCACTGTTGACACATGTGCGCCACAACTCGCATGTGGACCACCGCGACCATCTCATCACTCATTTCTTCTCCGGCTGCAGTTACGATTAAAGTTCGAGAATACTGGTAAGTCGCGCTCGGTCGTGGTCGCGACCTGGAATATGGTTAGCACTACGAACGATCGCGAATCGCAGAAACTCGGAAGCAGATCGTTTGTCACAAACCCAGTAGTGAACATGTATCAAGAATATAGATCATTAGAAAGGCTACATTGTTTGTTTACTTGTGCTCCCAGAACAAATCAATCTCCTTGCCGTCCAACCAGTCAGCCATTGCCTGGTACATGTCCTTGAACCCCTTATTGTTGGCATTTGGCAGGTCGTGCAAGATCTTGTGGCCGAGTGTAGACTGTGCATAGCCAAGATATTTGTATCCCTCAGTGTATTTATCCAGCTCCGACTCTGGGATTTCTGGTAGCTTGCCGTTAACGGCGAGGATCTTGTCCTTCTCGTAGAAGAGCTTGACGAAGCGCGCCTTCCATTCGCCGTCCTCGATCAGGGCGAAGAAGATGAATCGGCAATCACACTCGACGTCGACTGGGATGCCGTGGAGGTTCATGCGCTGGGTGATGGTGGCCTTCATCTTTCCGATACCACGTTGCTTGGCCAGGTTGACGTTGGCGAGTGTGCCGTTCTCTCGGTGCATAATAAAATCGCCGTTGGCTCGGCCTTTTATCGAGACTGCGATGAAGTCCTCGATTGTCAAACCACCCGACCATGCTGCGATCATGTTAGTGAAGGCTTCTTGCGAGGCACAGTGGCTACTTACTAGTCCATACCCAGGCACCCTCCTTGGTGAAGAGGGACCGATAGTTCTGCCATTCAGATGCATCTCTGTATACTGGCCATCCTTTGCAGAGCTCTGTTATGCATAGTCTGGCGAGGACCTCTTCTGTGCTGCCGTTGATGTGGCTTGTGACCTTGGGCTCACTCTCCTCGGGAAGTACGTTGTAAACCATGTTGCCGAAGTTCTTTAGTAAGTCTGGTAGATACTATCGTGGTATTGCTTGAATATTGCAGTGTTTGACGAAGGAATCTACGAGAGCAGCCTACTTCTCAAGTCCTATATCTTATACTTGATATTCAAGCATTCCCCGAGGCCCCTCAGAACCGCCTCAAGTCCCGAGGGGCAGACTCATCATCATCAGCGTAAAAGCAGAACCGAGCGGTTACCATTTGCTGACTGGCAGACGCAGAGGTCTTACAAACGGGTGCGCCTTCGGTAGTTCCCAACCCAGTTGGGGATCCAGACATCGAATTGACGTACAAAACTTGTGTACGTGCAAAGTGTGGGGAAATGAATTCGTGGTTTCAAGATGCTGAGTGAGGTTCGGATGTGAACACGGCAGAGCTCTTTCAGGGACAATTCTCATCCGGCTTTAGTCTTGGCACTACAATCCCTGCTTCGCTATACTTGCATAGCAACAGAGAAAGATTACTATGCCTGTAGGCTGGCTTATGTAGTGTTAAAGATGATCGTTGGGTGTACATAGTGCCTTCTCCTTCGATCTATAGTTTAAGAGCTGATCCAACGTTGATGATGAGGCGCTCATAGTCCACCACCCAGCTAGGACCTACTAATACAATTTGTCTAAAGTACTCCATCAATACCAGACAAGCAACTTAAGCATTGATATGCCATTAACTTCGGATTCGTGATGCAGAGACACTTGAGCCTGTGCCTCAATATTCAAGCCTTGATTCCGCTTAGAGTTTCGATCTGACATCCTCTGCACCACCTGCGCTTGTGCTCGCAGTACCTGCAGTAGCTGCGAATGACTCGCCTCGAGTGCTAGTCGAATCAGTGCTCTGAAATGAATCGATATCCGCAATCTGCAGCATCCAATCGGCAGCATCTCTTGCAAATTTCTCCCCTACTCCATCTGGTTCGCCGTGCAATTTGTGATATGCACCCTCATACGCCACGAACCTGCTCTGCTTCGCCGCATTGGAGGTCTGGTCGTTAGCGATGAGTCTGTCGTATAGCTTCCGACTAGAGTCGAAGTCGCAGACCTTGTCTGCCGTTCCATGTGCCCACCAGACAGGGCAAGGCAATGTATGCCGCATGTCGGAGCGAGCATTGCCAGTCTCTCCGAAAGCATTAAGATAATTGGCTCGGTCGAGCAGACCTGCTAGACCTTCTAGCGTACCTGTGTCGTGGCAAAGAGGATCTTCTTCCCAATCCCTACAAACCTGGGGATCACGAGACATGAAAGATGCGTCTAATTCCTGGACCATCTGGAATCGTGGTGCCACCTTTGCTGCGAGCCGACCTGCGAGCACAACGAGAGAGTTTGGCTTGGATTGAGGAGGAAAGCCTATATGTGGTGATTCGAGGAGGAGTCCTGATATTGGGAGTGACGGCTTTGAAGGAGTAACAGAGAAGGATTTGGGGTCTGACAGCACATACATCAAGCTCTCTGCACCACCCATACTGTGACCCATCAAAAAGAGCGTGCTTGACTGTTCACCCGTGGTGATTGAGCTTGATATCTGACTGATATATTCAGCGATATCTGATAGGACTTGATGAGTACCACTAGTCACACCCCAGTCAGACTTCTTTGGAGCTGAGCGTCCCCAACCCCTTTGGTCGAAGCCATGGACTGTGATATTGTAGGGTGGTGATGCTAGTGTTGGGAAAAGGGCGTAGTATGCATTGACATGGTCACTGAACCCGTGCACAAAAATCAGATGTATTGAGGAAGCGACTTGTGGCTAATGTCATTCAGTAAGCATTTGAATGCACAGTAGAGTTGATAGCAGACATAACATGACTAGCGGCCGACTGACCTTCCATGTTTTCGTGTATAATTTTATTCCATCTGATGTCGTGAACGTGCTCTCCATAGTGGTTGCCTGTTCGACTTCGGTGGTCGACAGTGTTTGCGATTACACGGCGATGAGGTAGCCCGGAGATACAAGGATTACTTGCAGGTAGTGCTGACTGTTGGAGGCTTTGCTGGCGCGAGATGTGGTTAGGTGTTTTGCTAACGTCTCGATTAAACAACGATAACACGCTGTATGATATTGTTGTGAATGATGGACGTCAATGTCGTAGGGAGATGGCGTTGGTAGTATGTAGGTCGTAAGCTGGTGGAAAAATGATAATGAATTTGTGCATATGGAAAGTCGTATTAGGGTCGCAATTGCCCTAAGTATTTATTCCAGATCCATGAAGCGCAAAATTTAGCGAACAGCAAAGCGCCTTCCACAATTTAGGCCAGTCAATATGACACATGCACGGCAAGTACAATACACATCGCAGCTACTTGAAAAGAAACACAGGGCCAGCTAAAGGATCATTCGCTCACTAAGGTGTAAGGTACATACACTTCTGCAAGATTGGCCAGAGAAAATCATGCTAGCTAGATATGAGCTATTATATGTTTGAAAGAATATGTCGAACTCATGACGAGCATAGTTTTGTTCTACCTTGCGTACTGCTCTCGTGCCTTCTGATGTCGAGCGATTGCTGCTCGTCGTGGTGAACGTGAAGGCTCTGCACTGTCGTTCTACGTCGTCCAATCGTGTTGGTCGTGGTGTACATATTCTGCTGTGCTTTGAGCCTAACGAGTTAAGAACCGCTGCTTAGAAATCCCAATCTTCCGTCGTAGACTCAACAGCCCATTGGAACTTCTCACGCAATGTCTTGGAGAAGAACTTTTCGATTGGCACGTTGAACCGTTTGCAGAAGACGACAGTGAGTCGAGGATCGATGTAGTTCTGTGACTTTGTTAGCAGTGATGATGGAAGCACGAGCTAAAAACACTTACAATCTTGGATGTGCCTAAGGCGACCTCCTTGTTGCTTTCCTTGTCCAAGGCTTGAGTTTCCATAGTAGCCGCCCGTTGTTCTACCTTCTCAAGTTTTGCTTGCAAGTTCTCCAGGGTTGGTGACTTGCCTTCCGCCTCGACCTTTTTCGATTTGTTCTCTTTCTTGAATTTTTGCTCAAGCTCTTTGACGGCCTCAAGTCGCTCAGTCAGCTCTTTGGATTTCATCTCCTTCTCCCCTTCGGATTTCAGCTTCTCGTTGTCCTTTTCGAACTTCCTCGTGATCTTTGTCTTCTGCTCCTCGATCAGGAAGGCTTGGTGTTCAAGGACCCATTCTTGATCTATGCCTTCTGGCAGCTCGAACCAGTCTGCACCCTTCTTCTTCTTGATCTTGGGATCAACGTCAATCATCATCTGCTTGATTCGCCAGGCTTGATACTTGACAGCCTTGATCCTGTCTTCCATCTTCTCCATCGACGCTGCGTGCGTGGCGCCCACAGTCCGCCTGTGGTTGCAAAGGATGGCCACTTTCCGGTTGGCATCGTTGTAGTTCTTGACCTGCTCTGCTACTGTGCCACCAGGTTTGATGTCTTTGAGAAGCTGAGCGAACGTCCACGAAGCGTTGTAGGTACGGAAGACCTTAGCAGTCAAGCCTGGCATCAAGTTTGAGAGATGCTTGTTTAGTGCAGTCGTTGTCAAACGATCGAAGACCTGATCTCCTTCCTTTTTCGGTGCCTTTTTGAAGATCTTCAGATTCTTGAAGACCTGTTTGTCGACCTCGTATGACTCGTGGAAGCGAATGCTGTCCTTCCCTAGGAAGTCAAAGATGACAGTACTTGGCTCTTGAAGAGTAATGTTCTCGTATTTTAGAGAGCAACAACCAACCGTGTCAGCCTCGTCCTCACCCTTTTCATTACCAGCACGAAGAGCTAGAGTGTCAATCAGATACATGGCAGTGGCTCTTTGACGATCGACCATCATTTCAGCCTTGAGGTCTCGTCGATAGGCGGATCGAATATCGTCAATCTTGCCCTTGAGTCGTCTTGCCTTTTCGAATTTCTCGAAGTCGGAACGGCCTTTGATATCTGAGTTGGCTGCAAGCATGACATACTTGAAGTTACCGTTGATGTTTTCTTGCCACATGGCTAGCCATGTCCCAGTACGATCGTGCTTGACTTCTTTCCATTTGTGACCTTCTGGTGGTGCTGGCACAGTGGCTTCTTTACCGATGTTGATGGTGATCTGCTCCGGCTGCACACGCGTTTTGACCTTGCCAGTCTTTGGATGGTCGCCACGACCTCTAAAAAGACCTGGAGGCTCAACTCGAAAGTTGCCAACTTTTTGCTTCTTTCCATCCCAGAGGCAGAATTGGTAAGGAGCCTCTGCCTCGTCTTTCTCGGCTTTTATCTTTTTCTTCTCTTCTTTAGAAAGGCTCTTCTTGGCTTCGCGCTGAGCATCATAGTACTCGAAGATTGGCTTGAAGTCGCATTTGGAGAATTCTTTAATTGCGACTTTATCACCATTAGAGCCTGTGGCGCCGCCAGTCTTCTTGAGGATTTCCTTGAAGTCGGCGAAGAAGTTTTTCTGAAAGGTAGGATTTTCCACGTTGTGTGTGGAATTGAGCATACCACCAAAGAAGCTGGCGACTTCCTCAGCGTCAGGGTGCAGAGATACAGGTGCTCCATCGTATTTGAGTTTGACGTTCTTGGGCAGTGGTTGATAAGGAGGTGGAAACACGACACCACTATGTTGTAAGGTGGCCCACTTGTTCTCACCATCACTATGCATTGGATTGTTCCACCAAGCCATCTCCTCTTCACCTTCTTCACCATCTTCCGGATCCTCGGTCTCTTCTTTCTTCACTGCCTTGGCTTTGCCCTTGGCAGTTGTTTTGGACGCCGAAGGCTCGGTCTTCGCTTGCTTAGCCTTGGAAGCAGATGCAGTCTTGGATTTTCTGGACAGTGGTTCATCATCGGATGAGTCTTCTTTCTTCACCTTCTTAGACTTTGAAGCCGGCTTCTTGGTGACCTCCTTAGCTTCTTCCTTTTTGATGGCCTTGGCAGTTTTCTCGGCCTTTTTCATGATGTCTTGTTTCTGCTCAGCCAGCTTGGTTGTCAAAGGGGTGTCGGAATCCGAATTCTCTCCCAAATCTCCAGCACTCAAAGTATGGGCTTTGGTAGGTAATCCATTCGATTTTGCTGCAAGAGGCTCATCGTCAGAGTCGGTCTCGAGGGCCTTGCTGGGCCGAGGCTGTGTTTTCCGTTTTTTGCTCTACTTGTCGTCAGCCAGAATTCCTTAGATAACGTTTGACTGGGTTTCTTAGGGGCGTACCAATGGTTTATCGTCATCACTCGACTCAGGCTCAGCAAAACTAGGTCGGTTCGAGTGTGTTCTCCGCTTTGCACCATTGGTGGCGGGTGCGATGTCATTCATGGCCACATCTTCCTCCTCGAGTTTTGGCATAGCTGGCATGACATTGCCATTTGTGGAGGGCTTCTTGCCAACAGCTGCATCAGTCTTGGGGGAGACAGTAGAAGCCGAAAGCGGCGGATGAGCTTGGAATGAGGTTAGCCAGATGCCAGACGCGAGCACGTTGTGATCAACATACCGCCATTGACACCATTTGGCTGGCGTCTCGATGCCACTAAGGGCATATCATCGTCCGAGGAGGACATTGTACGTACTACGAGTCGTGAGACACGGTCTGATCCAGCCTGACTGTGTCCTCGCTCCGTACAGCCCCAAGCGTGGTTTGTGGAAAAGCTGAGCTTGCTCAGTAGAGAAGGTGGAAGAAAAGCAACTGAGAAGCCAGTATTGGGCTTGGATAGATTCCGTAAAGATGCGACAGATCGAAAATTGAGATAGACTGCGCGTGCAAGTGCTGAATTGAGTAGTCGAGACAGATCGAGGTAGAAGTGAGCAATAAGTGAGGCGCGGACGAGGGTAGGGAAGTCCCTTGAAATTAATCAGGTCGATGCGCAAAGGTAGGCGCAAGGTACGCGTCAGGTCGATGTACGCGTGATAAGTCGCCGGCGCAAGAGAGTGGTGAGAAAGAGAAAGAGCAAAGAGTGGGAAGGGTCGACCAAGGGCATTACTCAGAATGGCCAGTCTTCAGTCTTCGTATGCTGCAGCAAGAGAGGAAACAGCTGCGGCGTTCCTGCGGTGCATAAAAAGGGCTTAGCCCAATCAGGCTAGCGTACTTAGTGACAACCTCAAGCTCGAAGAATAGATAGAATCCTGAGCTTTGCCTGCAAACCACACTCTCCCCTCTCCGTCTGAATTCCCTGTGTCTCGTTGTGCGTCTTGTTTGTTGCCTCCTGCAGATCATCCGAGATGTTTTCGCGAGCAGTCCGACCTGCGCTCAGCGTGGGCAATGCAGCTTTGGCTCGGTATACCCTCCTAATGCATTCACATCTCACTCGCTGACTCGATCCAGGTCCGTCGTGCCAAAGTCTGCCGCCCAAGCCGCCAACTATGCCACGCTACGAGAAATTGAGGGTCAGTACTGCAGGATGCGTCGACGAATTAGAAGCTTATGCGAAGGACAGGCCGATTGAAGTCGATCAAGAACATCGAGAAGATCACCAAGACGATGAAAATTGTTGCCTCGACCAAGCTCACCCGAGCACAAAGAGCTATGACAGAATCACGAACCTACGGACAGACAGCTAATGAGGTTTTCGAGTCTGCCGAGACTAAGGCTTTGGACGAGAAGAAGACTCTTATGGTCATTTGCTCCTCCGACAAGGGCCTTTGCGGTGGTATCCATTCCGGTCTTTCGCGAGCCACGAGAAGAATGTTGACCGAGCATCCCGACTACGACCTGGCTATTATTGGCGAGAAGTGCAAGGCTCAACTATCCCGATCTAACGCAAAGAACATTGTCCTAAGCTTTGCTGGTGTTGGCAAGGACGTGCCAACATTTGCCGATGCACAAGCCATCGCTGATCAGATCTGCTTGCTTCCAGAAGAGTATGGTAGCGTCAAGATTCTCTACAACAAATTCATCAATGCACAGACTTACGAGGCAACACCGATCGAGGCTTTCTCAGAAGAGGCCATTACTCAGTCGGCCAACTTCTCCGCATTCGAGATTGACGATGAAGTCCTGGGCAACTTGAGAGAATATTCATTGGCCAACTCGCTCTTCTGGGCTCTTGCTGAGGGTCATGCTTGTGAACAATCTGCTCGAAGAAATGCTATGGATGTAAGTCAAGCAACTATCTTTGACATTGTGAGAAAAGAAAACAGACTGACAACCGGCAGAACGCATCGAAGAACGCCGGTGACATGATCAGCAGATTTACCATTCTGTTCAACAGAACCCGACAAGCCGTCATTACTGGCGAATTGGTGGAGATTATCACTGTACGTGGACGTCTAATCATGTATGCGAGTCACGCTAACTTTTCCAGGGTGCTACTGCTTCAGCAGAACAGTAGACACAATTCATCGCATCAAGGTCATCCTTTTCAAGCTTCTCGTTTGTACGATATCGTTTGTGTCTCAAACAGCAGGTACTCCTCAACTGTGATATTGATTCCACACCCCGTCTCTTTATCGTTGGTTTGTGGTGAAATGTTTCCAGCCTCGGGCTTGTGCTCAATGATCTGCCCTGCACCGCTTACCTCATTGCTAGCGACTGCATCGGTCATGAAAGAAGAAGCCCAATATGCGTTGCATTCGCAGATTTTTCAAAGCATCGGCCGAAGCCGAGACGCTACCAAAACCTCCGCGCCGTCGTTCATATATCAGAAACATACTCCCTAACCGCAGAAAGCAGGCAAGACCAAGTTACAACCATTTTGCAGGCAATATCAGAGACAAGCCCAGCCAGTATACGATGAAGACGCAGTCAATTGTGGATCAAGAAGAGCAACTACAATGCCTGTCAGATCTGATAGTTGCAATGTGCATGACCCTTACCTCGTTGGGTATCTGTTGTGTCGCCTCTTTCGATGTTACTCTACGCCTTGCCCTGCTTGTGGAACTGTTATTCTGTACCTTTCTACCTTTCTTCGCTAACTGGACCGTCCTTGTCCCTCTTTTCTTACCGATGAAACCCCAGAGTAGGTTGGAGGTTGTACTCGCCATGGCGATGCAGAGCTGGATGTCGCGAGTGGATTGGGTATTCGCCTGGACTATAGTTGCTGATCGGTTTGCAAGAGGGCATCCAGAGAGTGAGCGTGGGCAAGAAGATAAAGAGGGATGGACAACGTGAGGGCTGACGATTGAAAAAGGTTGAGACAATGCTTGTAGCATTGAACTATTTCCGTCCAACCTTCAATATTGAAATGCCCTTCGAGCTTGCTGTGCGAAGATCTTAACTGTGTGCCGAGTAGTTTTTGTTAAGGCAGAGCATAATTCTAGAATGCTTATTCGACACGTGATGGTGTGAGGAGGATGACACCTTTGCAGCGGTGCACGAGCGAACACTGTGGCAGAATGAAGTGAGATGTCAGTGACAGTTATGCGGCTGCTTCAGTGCTTGACTTCGGTGCATGATTTCTTTCCACCTTACATATCGTTCCCATACGAGCACCTGCAAGTCCTTATCAGAAAATGGCGCGTGGAGCAACCTTAGTCTACTACTTGCTGGCTGCTGGCCTCGTGGCTGGCCAAGGCATCTATAGCTCCAAGTCTCCTGTTCTCGACGTGAATGCGAAGAACTATGACAGTCTCATTGCACAGTCTAACCATACTTCTGTACGAGAAGTCTTTCACTGACTAAGTGGCAGCGCTAATATCTCCTAGATTGTCGAGTTCTATGCACCATGGTGCGGACATTGCCAGAACCTCAAGCCAGCCTACGAGAAAGCAGCTAAGAGCTTGACTGGCCTAGCAAAGGTCGCTGCGGTCAACTGCGACGATGAATCCAACAAAGCCTTTTGCGGTCAATTCGGTGTTCAGGGTTTCCCTACTCTAAAGATTGTGAAACCGGGAAAGAAGCCAGGCAAGCCCATTGTTGAAGACTATCGGGGTTCAAGAGAAGCAAAGGGTATTGTCGAGGCTGTCACAGACAAGATCACAAACCATGTCAAGAGATTGAAGGCAGATACACTGGACGCCTGGGTGCAGGAGAGCACCCGACCAAAGGCCATCCTCTTCAGCGAGAAAGGCACTACTGCTCCTCTCGTCAAGGCATTGGCAATCGACTTCCTTGGGGCTATTGACTTTGCTCAGGTCCGGAACAAAGAAACCGCTGCTATCGAAAAGTACGAAGTAACCAAGTTTCCGACCATCGTGCTGCTCCATGGCAGTGATACCTCTAAATACGACGGCGAAATCAGCAAGGATACTCTTACCCAGTTTCTTAGTCAAGCCGCTGCGCCGAATCCTGACCCTACTCCCAAGAAAGCCAAAGCCAAACCGTCTACTACTAAGAAAGAGAAGGCAGCTTCAGCATCCTCAGAGTTCTCAAAAGCATCGGAGAAGCACAAATCATCTGATTACCAGGAGCATATGGACCATGCTAGCACCGTCATTCTGGAAGATGAACCACCAACTGAATCGCCTATACCAATTGTCGAGCACAAGCAGAAGCCAATGGTTGTGCCAGATGTCGCTCCTGCTCTTCCCACCCTGGAATCAGCTTCAGAACTACGAACCTCGTGTCTACAACCTGACAGCACTCACTGTGTACTTGTTCTGTTGCCTGCCAAAAAAGATGCTACCTCGGAGTGCGCAGGCACTGCTGCGGATGTTCTCGCTGGTTTTGCGACGGTCGAAGACAAATACAGCAAGAGAAAAGCCAACATCTTCCCCACCTACGCTGTACCAGCGACCAACGAAGACACCACAACCATCCGAAAAGTCTTAGACCTCAAGTCTGAGGACGAGGTTGATGTCGTCGTCCTTAACATGAAAAAGAGATGGGCTAAGAAGTATACTAAACCGTCCTTCGATGTGAAGAACATCGAAAGTTTCATGGACGATATTCGCTTTGGCGAAGGCACTAAGCAGAAGCTGCCTGCTGACTTCTTCACTAACCCAGAACCTTCCTCAGAGTCAACGGCTGCAATGCCAGAGCCCGCTCACGATGAGCTGTAGGCAAGGTAGTCAAAGTGTTGACCCAATCTACGACGGAATATACAATGCTAAGCAGTTACTTCACCTGACCTTCACCTGAACCACTTGAATTTATACGCTGTCCTGCAAATTGTATAATTCCAAGCCTGTCTTACTTCTTCTAACCTGTTTCTTTCATCTTTCGATCTTCCTAACGAATGCTCGATCGTACTTGTGACAGATCCGTCGCAGAATTAGCAGTTGATGATTTCAGATCTCTTCACTGATCTATCAACTCACCTTTGAAGTCCTAACCATACACCCTCAGAGCTACAGCCCCCACACCTACCGCCACGCACCTGGCCCATCTCAATCATGCTCGCCAACTTCTTCAAGACGGCAAAGCCGCAACCACACTCACAGCCAAAGACTACTTTCGAATCAGTGCAAGTTCCTGACCAAGATATGGAAGCCGCTTCTGAACAGCAGGCAACGACAGCAGTTGAACAGAACGTGGAAGACAATGTACTCAGCAATGGCAATGCGGACTCACCAGTACACGCGGATATCGTGATAGAACAGCCTGACTCCAACGATGACTTAGCTCAAATCCCGAATACACAAATCACGAGCGAGCCTATGCACGTCGATTCAGATCATGTCAGTGCCACAGCACTCTCAGAAGATATCAACCACGATTCATGTATGGATGCTGGGCGCGTTCATTCTTCTCCAGACATCACACCATTGTGGAATGACTGGGCAATATTTTCAGACGATGACAACCAACCCAACGACCATCACGGCATCTTTGCTGAGCCACAGTCTGTTGGAGACACTAGTCGACACCTGGAACGCTCTCCAGCAAGGGCTGACCAGGACGAGTCCGAGGTTTCTGCACTTACCGCGCCAGTCTCGCCTGGTAATCAACCCTTGGCTGCGACTGCCACCACTACGACCGGTTATGCTGCTCCCACTTCCTCTTCGGAATTTGTCGACCTTCCTACACTTCCCATTCGTTCTCAGACCGCTAGTCCAAAATGTGGCAGCCACTACACCTCCTTAGCGAACTGGCCACCTCCAGAGCCTGCATCCTGTGACAATGCTCAGCGCTTGGACATCTATCCACCTAAAGATGCGCCACTGCACGTTTGGGTACAAGCGTATGCTCTCAGGTGGGGTACCTGGACTGCTGATATCAAGGATGAGGCAGTTCGTGAGCGAGTCCTGTCAGCTGTGACGGAGAAGATGAAGGAAGCTTGGGTCACTGCAATCACTGAAGGTTACTATGCGCGCCCTACCATTGATGAGCATCAACATGATAGTGATGGCCAGACCAAGCCTGGTCGCAAACGAGCCATCAGTCCCAGCAAGCAAGGTGCGGGCTTTGTTGTTATCGATGGTGGTAAAGACAAGCTTGCTATCACAAATGCGGAACTTGCTGAACACAGTCTTACGATAGACGTGATCAACGAAAGAGTCAAATCTCGAGATTTCGAGGCCGGTGAGCTTCGCTTCAACGAAGTACTAGAAGTCCTGGGCTCCCGCGACATCGTCATTACTGATTGGAGTGCCACTCGCTATCCAACTATTCAAGGTCGAAATCTTCTTATGTATGCTTTGTTTGTTGTACAAGACACTCGGACAAATCTACGAAGGATGCAAAACCTCCTCGAAAAATTCACTAAAGAAGTGCAGAAGAAAAATACGCTAGCTCGAATCGAAACCTATCAAGAACGCGAACTTCAACACCTGGCTCTGGCTACCGAACTAGCTCTTCAAGAGCGGTCTCGGTCGAATTCAGATGGCAGCGGCTACGCGAACGATGCTGGCACAGTTGACTTGACGAGCGAGGTCGATGAGGACGCGAGCGAGGAAGTCGATCTGGTACAAGACCTTGGCTCCGAAGCTTGTGCTGCAGCCAAACACCTTCTCATCGAGCTTGCACAGGACGTCCTGCAGGCCGAAAGTGAAGTGAATGTTCAAAGAGCCTTTACGTCGCGTGATCTCCAATTGGCGACATTCTCTGAGGAAGGGCTGAAGGTCGACAACAATGAAGGATTACAAACTGCTAAAGCGCTCCTAGGTCAAATATTGCAACACACTTCTCACCTGATCACTACCAAGCAGCGTGTCAAGAACCAGCATCCTAATGAAATCATTCGCATCGGCCACGACATTCGCTTGACGAAACAGAAGATTAGCAACCTTCAGCAGAAGCTACATGTCTGTCTTTCTAAGGACTTGCATGTCTCGAACGTGACTTATCTTTCAGACCACGATAGAACTGCAGCTACTCAAGATAACATCGATCCTCAATGTCCCAGTCTTCCTTCCTCGAGCCTGTCGACGGTAGGTGATGCCCTTCACGACACTGAAAAGCAGTCTTCACCAGCTCCAGTCTCAATGCCCACAAGGACACCTAATCGATCAACGATCCAATCAGCTTCAGCGAGGGATTCGTTTCGCCCAAGCAACGAACAAGCAGGAAACAAACCAGCTCAGTACCACTCTCAGATATCACCAGGGATGAGCCACACCACCACCTCGCCATATTCCCAAGTTGTTGCCAACCAGAGCGGTGTACCTCAGCAGGTCGCGCCTCCAACAGGTTCTGGCACAGCGTCTGATCCATCCCGCCTGAACCACATTGAGGCCACCCTCAAGAGAGAGTATATTAATCAGGTCTGGCTACCTTTCTTGAACCACACCCTGATGCAGCAAGGCAAGCAGCCAGTTCAGGGAAGTCTGGATTCATGGAGACAGATCAAAGAACTTCTCTCAGGTCTTGGATTTTCTGCTGAGGAAAGAAACAACCTTCTCGGTAGCTTCAAGGCTAGATTCGCACAGTATTGTGAGCAAAGAGGTATTCATGTAACAGATGGCACCAAAGCACAATCATCCACATCAACAGCCACTACTGCTGCTTCCCCCATACCATCTTATGCCTCTACTTCACATCAACCATCCACTAGCTGGCCTAGTGATGCTGAGATACTAGCCGCCATACCACAGCGAGGTATTCCAGCGAGTCAGCTGCTGCAGGCTTTTGCACCTCGACTCAACCAGAAGCAGTCTCAATTCATGGAGACCATCAAAAGACTCTGTGTGTATGATCCATCCAATTACATGGTGTATCCTAAACAAACCCTTCCTCCTGCGAACCGCAAGTACAATACCTTGCCACCATCAGGTCATTCCTCTCAAGCCACACTGCCGTCCCCAAAGCCAGAAAGACCAGGTCTCGTCAAGATCAAGCTTCCACCTCAGCACTCCTCCAACTTCGCAGGTCTACCAGCACAAGATGAGAGTGACTTTCCTGACGATATGAAATCCGAAGAAGTCAACGAAAGTCGTGGCTTCTCTTTCCGACACCTCCCACACGCCACATTCGAGCAACGACAGCGAATGGATGAAGAAATCGGCGAGTACATCTCCAAGATGTGCAAGTCAAGAACGAAACGTCATTACGGTCAATACACGATCTTCACTGATCCTGACGACCCGTCTGGTCCTCCTGTTGCACATGGGTTCTGGGATCTCAGAGATGGTAGCAAGCTATCTGGTACGGAATGGTTTTATAATGGTGAAGACATGCCCGAGGGCTGGAACGCATATGGCAACGATGGAGATGCGGGGGACGCTCAAGTGCAACAGTCGTCCACTCCTGCAACACCTGCACCACGACTCACGCTCAAGGTTGGAGCGCCAGGAGATTCAGTGCCAACAACACCACAGTCTGGTCGTCGAGGTGCACAGGCTGAACCAACCTTTGACTCCTATAACAACCAACAACAACACTTCAAGAGTATCCCTCCGCCCTCCCTCTACAACATCCGAGGTCGAACACGACACATGCAAGGTCAAGCCCAGCCCCAACAATACAACTCCACAAACACAAACACGAACGCCAACACTATCAACCCAGCCCATCTCTTCACCTCTTCTATCGATCCATTCGCCGAATTCACCACCCAAGACGAAGACCATGAAGCAGAAATCGGGACAGGTCAGGCAAATAAGAGAGCTGGTAAGAGAACTGCTTCTAACAGTGGAGGTGGAAGGAGGAAGAAGAGACGGACGGGCGATGCTGATGATGCTGATTATGATCCGAATCAGGATTAGAGATGTGACAAAGGAATAGGTTGGGGTTGAGGTGTGATGGTGAGAGGTGAGGAGCCAAGGAGATAGGATGCGTGAATGGGTCTCGTGGTGTTGTGGTGTTGTGGACTGTAGCGAAATGATGAATGACGCAGGTTGAGGGCATGAGAGACGATGACTTTGTGGTTGTGGAAATGTATCGAAGGACGTGGATCATATAGTAAGGTACTGCGATGCACTACGAGATTGAATGGGCTTTTGCATGGTTCATTGCGCCAGTATGAGACTTTGTCTCTTCGAGATGGCATTGCTACATGTGTTGTCTCAGCTAAGCATCCAAGGATTATGGAACAGATCAGAACAGATAAGGGTTGACAATAAACGTGTACGTGTGTTAGCTGAATGAGATGAGAGATGTACTGCAACGATACAATGTTATGCAATTCGACGCGATTCCACTGGCTTTGCGTCACGCTTTGAGTCGTGCATGCTGGTGAAATTCACCACAAGCAAAGCAAGTCAAACCAGTATTTATGTTGCGTGGACGTGCTGTGCAGCCGAGCAAAGAATGCTTGACGGCGAGGACGAAAGGCGGGAAGGCGATGAGAAGGTGCTCTCCGTGTAATTCTGCCTGAAAACTATCTGAGCAGATACATTTATGGATAACAGAATATTTGGGATCAACATTGACTTCTTAAACCTTCCGCTTCTCTTTCTTACTCCTGTGTCCGTCCTTGTGCTTCGACTTGTCTTTCTTCTTCTTATCTGTTTCACCATCTCCGTTTTGCTCGTCCTCTGCATCGGCTTTCCTCTTCTTTGAACTCTTTACTGAGACAGTGCTTGTTCCACCTTCTCGAATCTGGCGCTCTGCTTCTGCCCATCTTGCATCGTCGTCTTTCTCTTGTGTGTCTTCAAGACCATCGAGCTCATATCTCTCTAAAGGGAGGGCATTAATCAATTCTCGCTGCTTGGCACGTATATTCGGATCGATGTCGTCTTCTACGTCATCGTGGTCAGCATAGGCATCTGTCGAGCTACCATTCGTCTTTGATTGTGATGTGGACGATGCCGTGGTTATTCTCGAGCCCAGGTTGGAGGACCGTGGTATTGACGGCCGATCATTTGACTCGGATGGTATGTCCTTCGTAATGTCTTGCTCAAGAACAGCTCTGAAGGCGGTACTGATTTTGCGGACAACTTTGATGAACATTGCCAAAAGCTGGTTACTCTGTACATCCAGCTCTTTCTCAACATCACTGATATCCTTCCGCTGTAGGCCAATGGCGAGCAGAATAGCTTGCTGGACACCAGACAGTGAGACTTGTGGGAGTCTGTTTGTGAAGAAGAGCTGTGCGATGCTAGGTAGGAGATCAAGGATTACGTGGTAGTCGAGCATGTTGCTCGCATAAGAGTCAAGTCGTGCAAGATCGTGAGGCGAAAAGAGGCTATCGAGATCTGCCTTGGTGAGAGGTTTCGACAGTGCTGCCTGAGAAATATTTTGCTGTTTTGAGGGCGCCGAAGCCGACTCAGAGATTGAAAGCGACTGTACAGCAGCAAAGGCGCGAAACTGGTAGCTAAGAAGACTTAGGAAACGTCTGTGAAAGTCGGAAGCATAAGCACTGAGCCAGCTCGGATCAACATTGCCAGAAGAAGAACCATGTAAGGGACGAAGCATTACACAGGAGTGTTCGCCGGTCAAATCGTTTGGCGTCTGCCTCAGATAAACAGGTGCGAAGCTGTGACGCTTCCAGAATCTATGGAGTTGTTGTGTGAGGCCGTAAGAAACACCGAGATAGTCAAGAGCATCAGGAGCACGCTCGCTGAGACGAGAGAACAGAGGCGGCATAGAATTGATGTTGCGTACTTGAATATCATCTGCTAACAAGGATGTTGAGTCTAGCTCCGCATCCGTGACTCGTGGCATATGTTCGCTATCCTGTACAGTATTTGTGTTCTCTTCTTCGGAAAGCGATGCAAATTTGCCTTGGTAGAAATCAGCTAGCAACTCAAGTGCACGGCTGCCGTAGCCCATTTTTAGATACTCAGGATTCGTGGCTATACGCACGACTCTCGACCCTGATAAACCAGCGAATTCACTGTCCTGGAACTGTTGGCTTACGAGCCAGGGTATGAGATCACCACCTGCTCTTTGTCCACGACTCAAACTGTTCATAACGGACTGTCGAGAGATACGACCCTCCAAGGCGACCTGAATAACACAGAGTGGTTCTGGTAGACTTGTCGCACCTTCGGCAACAGGTGGGATCAGTACGAAGAGTTGGTGTGCGGGAGCGTCAGACATAAGTTGTAAGTCATTTGGGCTGTTCTTGTAGTGACTGGCGACATACAAAGCCATCATCTGCTGTAGGAACTTCTCAGACACTGGGTGGAAGGAAAAGAGAGTATCGCGATTGACGTGAACGAGCTCACATTGCGAGGGGTGAGGTGTGCCTTGTATGTTGGTCTTTGCTTTTGGCAGAGTTGCGTCGAGACACAGTAATCGGTTCAGCCATTTCTCGACAGCATCGCCTTGTGCATACCGTATTGGCTCCGACAGAGTGATCTCTCTCAATGACCTGCTGGATCGTATCGTTTTTGAATCGCCGTTGTCCTTCTCGACAGCCTCTTCTTGGTTCGATTTAGCACCACCTCGAGACTGCTCGCGCAATTGCTGGATCAATTTCAGTGACAGTGAACGTCCAGTTCCTTCGTAGCCGTTGATAGTGGAAGCCATGAAAACAAGATAGGGGCCCATGAGTTTCCTGACCAAAGGCAAGGGGATAGCAGCAGCTTCGTCAATGACCACAAGCTCAGCTTGACCAAGGACATGTGCATCCTGAGGTTGTATATATTGTATGGTCTGACGATGTTGTCTGTGAATATTGATACGAACGACAGCTTTGTTGTAGTCTGGATTTGTAGATTGGAGGATAGTGTAATCAATGTGGTCGGTGTAGTCGAGAGCATCGAAACCTCTGACTACGAATTCGAAAAAGGTTTTCAGATTTTCAGGGCTGGGAGCGGTGATAAAGATATTGCTATAACCATGCGCGACTGCAGCAGCAACTGCAACACCGAGCGCAGCAGATTTACCTCTTCCACGAGCAGCTGTCAGGGTGACTGTACTCTTCAATGTCTTTTCAGATATAGCATCAACAAAGGTGAGGAGTGCTTTGGCTTGATCAACGGTCCTCGAAAGAGCCAATAGAGGGCCAACTGGGCGTTGGTCTGCCAGAGACTCCTTTACCTCTTTCAATTCAGCTCTCTTGGGATCTAATTCCTTGTCGTTGTTTGAAAGAGGTGGCAGTTGTTGGACAGTTTTTCCTCCAGATATAGGTAGGACGTTGAGCTCATCATCAATGACCAAACACGACTCGCAACTTCCAAGCGACAGAATGAAGCGCTCGTTGAAGCGAGCGACAACATCGTCGTGCGCTTCCGTGCGATACCTCGAATGTACATCCATGGACATTGTGTATAATTGTTTCAGACTCTTCATGCCTTTCAGTAGAAGCAAGACCAGACCTCCACCTTCGACCGTCTCGATTGTCCTGGCGAGCAAGTTTGGAGTGAGTGCCTCGAAATCTTGCAGAATACACATGCCATAGGTATTTCCCAAGATCTTCTCCGTCTCTTTATAGTAGACATATCGGATATTGTTCAAAGTAACGAAGAGCTCGAAAGGATCCTCAGCATTGGCTTCTCGAACACCTCGTTTGATCTCCTTGCGGATTTTGGTCTCGCGCTTCTTTCGATGAGATGTGAACCCAAGTAAATCTTTCTTGTATGCCCAGAGCACCGACTTGTTCTGCTTCACATCGACGCTGGACATGATATAGTGCAGATGTACAATGACATCTTTGGCCCGGTCGCCAACGACGACGATGAAGCTGCGCTTCTTCTCTTGGATACCATTTCGAATAAGAGCTGGTATCCTGGCATCAATAGCTTTGCGAGGCATTTCTGACACAGCCGACCACCTACCACCGGACGAGAAGGAGCGATCAATTTGGGTTGCGACGCGCCTTCCACTTCTCCAAACTGCATCTCAGAAAAAATTGTCTCTTATCCGCGATAAGCTCCACAGCCGGCAGTGGCCCGCTGCAGCTTTGGTGGGCTCCCTATTCAAGCTAAAGTTGGCCAAGGTTTGGACGTGTGGATGCTGGAGTTCTAGGTGGATGGGGAGGTTGCTCTAGCGGTGATCCATGCACGCTAATTTACCTCTACGAACTGGACAAACTCAAGTTATCGAAGATTTGATATACTGAGTGTCTGCATCACCTTCGCAATCGCTGTGTCATCCTCCGTTGGCACCACTTTGCGTATCAAGCATGAGGCTGCCGTAACGACTTCTTAGTAGGGTCAACCATGCTTCACCGTGCTCAATCGGTCGAACGACTCGCGAAGGAGCGACCCACCCAACCATGGCAGCCTCATTGGGTACTTTGTCCTATATGTATGAAACCTGTTCACAATACGACTGGGCCTGACTGCTAACTTAGTACGCAGGATCGCGTGTCTCACGGCCTCGACTCTGTCCTTTTCACCAGGCTCTTTCCTCACGACTGAAAGGCCTGTTCATCTTGCTGTCTTGACTCTTCTCTGCACCAGTACCTGTCTGTTTGCTATCGCAAGACGATCGGGAAGTCGAACTTCAGCTGTTTCAGGTCAGCATGGCAGCTACGTATCGATTCCTTTGCACGAAACATCTGATGGACAATCGAAGAGCGCTGAAGACAAAGAAAGAAACTACAGTCAGACCCTGAATAGCTCTGTTCTGCTGCTTCTTGTGCTGGCGGCGACTGCTGCGTTGACCTTGCGAATCGAGTTCCATCGCCGTATACTGCTCGCATCAGAATGCACTACCAGAAGTCTTGAAGTATGGCTGCCTCTCTTACTCGCACTATACGACGCTTTGCGCTTCCAGCAGCCACTACTGCTCGAAGACGAAGAGGATGATGATCCAGGCTCGAGCGCATACCGCGACTTTGCTCGTTCTTTGCGCAAGTCTTTGCTCTCGAGCAAATATCGTTACGTGCCAGCTGGCCTGCTCATGTCCTTGGGCTGCCACATGGTCGCTGGCCTGTGGCTGACTTCCCAGTCGAGTCATACATGCCCCTGGGTTAGCACAGACTCATTCGTTGTACCACGGTTACAGGCGTTGTGCTTAGCTATAGATGCCTTCCTCGCTATTGCCGTGGCCGAGTTATCTTCTGGGTATCGCTCTTCTGGCTTCCCACTATCCACGCCTTTCTCATGGGCCACTGTCACCTCGCTCTCAGCTGCCGCCTGGTTCAGTATCTCTGTATTTGTTTTTCGTACGCAACCAGAGAACCAATCGTGGCTGCTGATGAACTCGGGAATACCTCGACCGACTGTACTATTCACTTTGCTGTGCCAGGCTGTTGTCCTAAGTATATTATGTATATCTACTCTGTATAGTGTGAGTGTCAGAACAAACGATACGTTTCAGTACCTAACTTCGTTCTAGGTCGTTCACATGGGTCTACTCCATACTTGCTTGTCGTTGACTGCTCTGCTTTCTACAATCCCAGGTGTTAAGTTCATGTGGTCTACTCACCACCCTTACCCTCCAATTTCATCAATCAACCTCACGTGGTCATTCGTCCTCGTCTGCTTAGCCTGGTCAGCCTACGGTCGAACAAGAAGAGCTGTACGCCCTTCTGATGCTCCATCATCCACGCTGCGACGGTTCGTGGCCATTATCCTCCTGCTTGTTCTCCTCTACCCTGGACTCATGAAAACAAATACAGTATACTATCATCCAGTCGACTTGCTGATGTTCGATGCTCAAAACAAGTACCTGAACTACCTCACTTACGCTGCTCAAAGCAAAAGCCTGACAGAGGCCGTGCGCACTTACCAGCAAAGATATCAGGACAACCCACCACCAGGTTTTGATATCTGGTTCGAATTCGCGACCAATCGATCCGTCTACGTATTAGATGAGTTCAACCAGATATACAACGATCTTCTGCCATTCAGAGCTGTCCCTCCAGCTCAGCTTCGAGAACAAACATGGGAGATAGTATCGAACCCATGGAACGAAATATCTGGCATTACAATTCGTCAAGGTAAAGCGTCCGTGCAGGAAAACGTTCTACCAACTCATCGTTGGATGTTGGAGGGTGTTGTTCACATCATTGACAGCTTCAGTCAGCATCTGCCCGATATGGACCTTGCCTTCAACTTGAACGATGAGAGTCGTATAGCTCTTACTCAAGAATATCGCCAGGAACTGCAGAATACAGCACTGAACAACGGTTTCCGTGGCGAGTCGTCTTTCTCAGGTAATCGTGCTCTAGATTGGAAGGATATTCCCGATGAGCCGACCACAGATACAGTTTTCGAGAATTGGTCCTTTAGTAACACCTTCCACGAATGGGCTGCTCAGACTTGTCCAAAAGACTCTGCTGCTCGGAAGAATACAGCACCTTTCAGCAGATCGCAATTATGTGTTCATTGTGCAGCTGATCATAGTCTCGGTCAATTTCTGGCTAACTGGTCGATTGCTGCCGACCCTTGTCATCAGCCCGATCTTGCAAATCTTCACGGATTCTATCTAAGTCCTGCTGCCTTCAAAGCCACTCATCAACTTAGACCAGTCTTCTCTCAGAGCAAAGCTCCTGGATTCAATGATATACTCTACCCAAGCGCATGGAATTATATGGACAAAGTTGTCTATGCCCCAACTGATGCAAGTACACCTGACCGGCCAGCATTTCCGGATCTACCTTTCGCCGAGAAGGCTGATACAATGTTCTGGCGCGGTGCAACCTCTGAGGGTGTCAGTGCAGGGCTTGGAGCATGGCGCGGCATGACCAGACAGAGAGTGGTTCATATGGCGAACAACCTTACCGGCTCCCAGCATGACACCGTGACCCTGTTACTGCCTGACCAACAGCGTCCCAACAGCTACACATACACCACAATCCCTGGCTCGTCCCTAAAAGCACTCGGACTCCAATCAGATGTCCACATCGTTGACGGTATCGCCCGCTGCGGCGGTCGAGACTGCGACGAACAAGCAAACGAACTCGGCCTCATCGGCCCAGCAGACTTTCAAAGTCACTGGCAGTACAAATACCTCATCGACCTCGACGGCGCCGGTTTCTCCGGTCGCTTCCTACCCTTCCTACAATCACGTTCTCTCCCCTTCAAAGCAGCACTGTTCCGCGAGTGGTACGATAGTCGACTCATACCCTGGTTGCATTTTGTGCCGATCGACCTTCGACTTCATGGTCTGTGGTCGACTCTCGCGTATTTCTCTGGTATGCACGGTATGGACGCGAAGGGAAAGCCATGGGACTGGAAGGGCCATCAGAGAGAGGCTGAGTTGATTGCTGAATCTGGGCGGGAGTGGTCGCGCAAGGTACTACGGAAAGAAGATATGGAAGTTTATTTCTTTAGATTGTTGCTTGAGTGGGGACGACTTACTGATGATAAGAGAGATGAGCTGGGTTTTGTACTCAGTCGATGAGCGTACTGAATTAGAGCGCTGTGATGAGAAACGACTGGAGCACCTATCAACGACTCCAATAGCAGGCATTGTTTCTACCCCTGCCTGGATTGCTCGGAGAAACCAATTCAGCGTTGGCTGGTGGACGGAAACTTGCTCCCAAGCACATCACTGACTGATACTGTCGTCAGTGAAGTCAGCTCAACAGCAAATCTACAGAATCGGCAAAGAGGCTGGTGTCTAACCTAGCTTGAAGCCTGTAAGAAGTTGTACTGGTGGTCAAATTCTCCCACAGGGACTGCTATCGTTTCTGACCATGGACACAATTAGAATATCATAACAGAAAATACATACGTTCAAAAGGAAGAAAAAGCAGAGTATGGTTCGTGTTCTTACAAAATCATTGTTGTGAAGTCTTCTATCTACTTCTATACCAACAGCCACCTGTGCCTGATCAAGCACCTCAACCTCAACCGACATCCAGCCATGCTCGCTCATATTGCGTAGCTTCGCATAAGATCCGAGAGGGAAAGGAAAACGGGGTGTCGTGAGACACATGTGTGTAGTATTGTCAAACAGCCAGAAGAGACGGGATATCTTCAAGCTTGTAAAATGAGATATGTTGCATGGAGCCACCAGGGGAAAGCAGTATACCAATTGTTCCAGCCAAAAAGAAAAAGTGTACGTATTGAACGAAGTACAGGACGAGATGTTTCGTTATATCGTTAGTAAATGCCATGGCCGTAGAAGGGATAGAAAGAGACTCGTCGTCAAAGGGCGCAAACACTCCAGAGCTGCCAGTTGCTGCAGCCGTGTTTTATATCCTGGACGAAATGGCGCTGATTTCCTTGTCAAATGCGCTTGAGCTGAAGTTGTCCTTTTCGGTTCGTGGTGTGCTTTCGACTTCTGTCTCTTTTACGAAGCCGTCGAATTTCTTGGGGTTAGGTAGTGCTATCGAGGTCGATCTCTTGATTTCCTCGAGTGGTGTGTTCGTATCTCGCTCGTTGCCGTTGTACACGACTGCTTGAACTGCCGGGGTGTAAGTTGCTAGAACTTTGTACAAGACTGGCACGGCAGCGCTTAGGATGGAGGCATTCATGACAAATTGTTTCAGAACTGTTGGATTAGGCATGGCTCGTGGCTGGTTGATGTCCTTGAGCGCTGGTGCCAGAAGGGCGATCTGTACGATTCCAAGAACACAGGTGATGAAGCGAGACCCGAAGAGGCCGAGGATAGTTTGGCGCTGTTTAGCGGTGATTTGCATGTCTGGCAAGGCTGTCCAGACGCAAACTGCAAGCCAGGCATCGAGGAGGATGCTGAGGATCAGAGTTGGATACCATAAGGATCCTGAAGCTGTGCATCGATCAGGAATGTAAAGCCAAGGTAGGGATCCGCCGCACTGAAAGGCGATGGCTGGAAGAGCAAATGTTCCCCATACAGCGATGAGGATTTGCAAAACCATCAATTTGCCCTTTGCGATGGCGGCTCTGCTAGCGATTCGATAAACAAGACGGACCAGCGAAAATTTGGCAAGGATCATGGCGACGAGAAAGATGAGGTCGGAGGCATAGACAAGCTGTATCGAGTCAGTAATCATATGTGAGACAATGAGTAGTCAATCATACCTGTGACAACCATTTGAGTTTAGAAGCATTTCCTGGCCTGATGTATGTTCCCATTCCTCTACGCACAGCGTGCTCGGTCAAGGCGCTCTCAATAATGGCGGCCAGCAGTGCCAAGTACAGCAGAACATCATCGAGGCCAAACTTCCTTTTCCATCTCAGGTTGGTGAAGACAACTCGTGTGACCAGCACTATCAGGGTGACTCCCATGCAGACATAATTCGATATGACCACTCTGCTCGTCTCCGGCGTCGCATTGAGGGGGTTCTCTTCTCGAGCATCCATGCTTGCTGTGTTGCTTTCTTGTCAAAAGAGTGTACTATAGCGAGTGTCTGTTGTTGGAAGGTAAAGAATGTGAGGTCGTGAAAGACAAGGAGTGTTCCGGAAGGGAATGTGTGAAGCCGACAGCAACAGCGAAACTGGTCAGGGACAGCCTGCGACAGTACCAGACAGAATGACGAAAAGAGAGCAATGTTGCGAGGAGGTAGGAGGAGACTGTTCAGATTGTTTGATCAGCGCTAACTTCCAGGTACGCCAATCAGCGCATGGGCCGATAACATGGTTGGCGCCGAAAAAGGAGATCCGGCACAAGAAAGTTTTGCGCCTTGGTCTCCCGGCAGCAGGTCGATTGGCTAGATTTTAGATTAGCAATGCTCGCTTGCGGAGGATCGTCTCAGCCCGAGACAAAATCGGGTAAACGTAAGCTTTCGCTGGAGTTGAGCTGGTTCTGACATCATCCAATTTAAGTAATGACCACAAAGTTGAATTGCCCATCCGTGCCCGGAGTCGTGGTGTTGAAGCACGGCAACGAGATGGGACCTAAACAGGCCGGATATGCGGTCGTCGCGTGCCTGACTCCTATCCACGCGACACGGTCTTGTGTGATCGACATGGGGTTGATCAATGACGAAGAGTCAAGGGAAGTCCTTTGTGCCAAAGGAGCAATGGGCAGAACCTGTGAGTGTGGTTGTCGATAGCCTTATTGTATCTTGATGACTGGTACAGATGTTGTGCACAGTGCTGAGCACAATCAGTATTGTAGCTATCGCATCGAATAATAGTGTCGGAAAGGTATATAGCCATTGCATCATGCCTGATCAGTGCGGAAATATGGCAGCCCTTATCGATACTCATACGAATCAGATCTGCAACCAACAGCAGGACTGTTTGTGGTCTTTGGTAGGACGGCTCAGCGAATGCTGTGCAATGCTCGACACCTCCGCTCGTGACTAGCTGACAAAGTCCTTGTTTCCTCTGGGGTGCAGCGAACACGACGATGCTTGGCAGATATTTTACGAAACATGAGTACAGTTGGGGGGGTTGGCTGATCAGAAGAAAATTTCTGAGCTTGGTTAAAACTTATTGAAGCGGGGTTTCAATCTAGGAAAGGACCGATCAGAGAGTGATGAATTCGCGTGGCAGTTGCGGCTTGCACAGAGTGTCAGTGCTCTTTCCCAGAGGCAGCCTTGGCCAAAAGCTGACGTCTCATTGGTTTTCAAGATAGGATTGGAGGACGAGCTGCCACAACCCGGCACGGTGTGTGAAAACAGTCGCGTGCTGTTTAAAGCTACAACAAGTCAATTCATTCGACGAAGCTAGTGCTACAGACCAGGTCGCGACACATCCACCGACCCAGCAAATACTACCAGTAAAGGTAGAACATTCTGCTATCGAATTGGCCATGCACTCATGTCAGTGCCCATCTGCATCGCCTCAGCAGCAAACATGTGTCTGATAGGTTCGCCAGACTCATATTGCCCAACCGTTCCGTGAAACAACGCAAACTTGCCATCTGGAGTCATATCTGCACCCCCTGGCGCTGTCACCGGCCCTGTCTGCGTCGTCATCAATGGGTAACTGCTCTTCGTGAAGGGCATGGTCAGGTGCTCCGAAAATGCAAAGCTAATATCATAGTGTTCGGTCGAATAACAGTTGCTGCTGAAGGTCATGAAATATAGCTCCTGGCTTCCACTGTAGAACAGGCTCGGGGACTCGACAAGAACTCCGTCGGCCTCGTCACGGTCCAAGACCTCGATAGGTTCCCCTATCCTCGTCACACCGTCCTCCTCTATCTGTTGCAGCAGGATCGGTGTAGGCCGGTAGTCCTGAGGCAAGCCACCCGATCCGCATGGGCCACCACCGGGATTCATACTGTTTCCGTCCACCTTGTAGACCACATACAGGTTACCGTCTTTGGGGTCTCGAAATGCAGCTGGGTCAATAGCTCCTCCGTCATCAAGAGGACAGGCGAAAGGCTTCTTCACCGGACTGTATGGACCAAGAACACTGGTTGACAGGGCTGCTCCAACACAATGTTTGCTTGTCTCGTTCTTTACCGTGGCAGCATAGTACATGACCCAGCGGCCATCTTCCTGTCAGTCTGAGTCAGCACGAGTCTTTTACGAATTTTCACGCACTCACCAATTCATACACGTGAGGTGCCCATATGTTGCGGTCATTCGCCGCCCATGGCCCTGGATCTGGCAGCACGTCGACATCCTCAAGCAGCCTCCACGAGTGCTCGCTAAACGACGCCGAGGCCGCGACCTGGACATTGCGACCGTTACCTGCTGTCGCAAATGCCAGCCACATCCCATCTACCGAGACCAGCGCGGGATCCGGAAAATTGACCGCAAGAGCTGGTTTGGCCTGTGGGTAAGTGGTGTTGGATTCTGCTGCTGCTAAGCATACAGAAACGAAGACAAAAATTGTTGTGGGAGAGCTGAGATACATCATAGTGCTTGTGATTTGATTGACAATCGAGTTGACATCAGATATCCAATCAAAGACTGAGGCAGAGGCAGCGAACTGATCTGGCTTTATAATCCTGCTGACGGTTCGAACATGGTGAAACCATTGCACAGCATGACTCCTCTGGGCTGTGTGCCAACGCCTAGTCCTCGACCAAGCACTTCTCGTCAGATGATCAAACAGAGCTATGAGTCTGATGACAAGGCAGGAAATGGCGCAAGATTGTGTACACCATAGCCCAATGTCTGTCATGGGTTGTTGGATCTCGCAATTCGTCTGAGCAAGCAATAAGGATAGGCGGTGTAATGATACAGCCGTAAGTCGCGGAAGCGAATGTATATGTCAGCAGATCGCGATGTCAAGCGTGAGCATCTCTCGACTGCTTCCTCTCACGACCTGCTTGTTCCTTCCGCGTTTGTCTGACTGGCCGTGGCTGCTCCTGACATCTTTCCCGAAGTCAACAACTCTCCTAGCTTGCCAAGCTCCATGCAAGCCCGGAGATCTGGTAGACTTGGTAACCTGTCACGTTCAGATGCCACCGCTGCCTCGCACAGCATTTACGTACAGCATACTGCATGAACCATTGGGTGATCTTGCTCGATCAGTCAGTAGCGCTGCAGACGAGATGAGAACTTGAAGATACTTGAAGTGATTGCCCTGAATACATAGAGATACAAGAGGTTTCAAGATTGTAGTATAACACCGCCGTATCTAATATGCAGCAGCGTGGATCTTTCGGTGATATGGTAACTTATAAGGGGGGAAGTATACCGCTAGTCCAATTCGGTCGTAGTAACTTCACTATCACGCTCACCACACGGCTAGTCCTGATTTGGTCACTGTCTTCACCGTTGCTCGAATTTCATCTCAGTGCGGGACATTAGCAATGACTGAGCAACGATGAGGTACAAAGTCTGGCGTCACCGAAGGACGCTGATATGATGCAAAGGATTTCCATTGACGCGGTGGCATTCCGAGAGTGCTGCGGCCAACATAAATCCATGGTACGGAGGAAGTACGACGAGCTTTTACATCCTCCGTACTCAATGTCAACAACTCCCGGTCAAACTAACGGTCGACACTGTTGTGCTATCACGAGTGTCCACGACGGCAAACCTGACTTCAGACCTGCGTCGTACGTACAAACGCATACAGCCTTCGTGCGACGACGCCTTCTTCACGTGCCGGCGGAACTCGTGGGCTCAACGCTGTTCTCCACAATCCGCTCCAATGTCGAGCGGGCTCTTAACTGCTCTGCTTGATACGTCGAGTGCGAACGTACTCGCCGCTCTGACTCGCGTTGTCTGTACAGAAGATTACAAGCCTGCTTAAAACGAACATCTTTTCTGACAACTTTCTTTCCTCCGTTTACAGTGTGACGGCCCCTGCTGACGGTACCTTGTACATCCGCGCGTGGTATTGTGCAAAGGATATGTTGCTGCGCATGATGTTTCAGATACCGGATTCAAACGAATTCAGCTACTCACGGTGGAATCAAAGCACAATTCCCTATGTCATTTCTCTCAGAGGCTAAACTCCCACTCAGCCTCCCTTTCGGTTGGAAGAGCTTGAGCGAAGAGCGTAGGCAGAGGCACGCCAGATGATATCGTGGAATTCGGGATCGTGATGTCGCCGCTCGGTCTTCAGTACAGGAAGATTGGTGATGCGCTTGCGCAACAATGCCCTACATCGAGAAACAACACGGATGGACAATAACGACAATGATCCAACAACAAAGACGAGTTAGCAAAGAAATTGCCCATTGTTATCGTCCACATCCAGGTAGTGATATACATGATCTGAATCGTCATCAGAATACATCTCTATCAATGCTGATAAAAATAGCACGATGCCACGATACAAATTTTCGACCTGTACATTTCAACGAAACACTGTCATCCCTTGAGATTATACAAAAGATGAGGTCCGATTATACACGTGTGTATGATGTGCAGTTCGGCGGGTTCGTCCATGTAGCGAAACTGGGCGAAGGCTTATACGGTTGTGCGATCCTCGTGCGCTCGCTTCGTGACGGCAAACTCTATGTGCGGAAAGAAGACCTGGACTGCGTGCCAGCCGATGGCCACCGATCTAATGTCATTGATAGTGACGAAGTCCGCAACGCGATGCATGTCGGTCGACTGATCGACGTGCCAGAGTGCAAAGGCTGGATTCGCTATGCAGATCAACGCAGAAATTTGAGCTTCGGAGTATCCTACTGGGAGTATTACTTCGCAGGAACTCTGTGCGACGCTCTAAAACGGTCAATGGTGAGAAATATCATGTTTCCAGAATCGTGGATTTTCCATTGGCTGAGCTGTATGCTCGACACGATACTTAACGCTCACATCGCGGGAGTAACTCACCGTGACGCTCACATGAACAATTGGTTCTTAACCCGAAGGCGCGATGAAGAGATTCCAAGCATTGGACTCGGAGACTGGGGCTGCAGTCAGGTCTGTGATCGTTTGAGCGGAGAGGAATGGTTCCGATTCTGTCGCAAAGACTTTGTGAGCGTTGCGGCGGGTATCTTTGAGGTCTTCGCGGAACAACCACACTCATCACGTGTGCGAGGACTTATCAAAGACATTGTTAGATCACTTGAGCATTACCAACGACCTGCCGACTTTGTGGAACTCCACAAGGCCATGGACTACTACCGAAGAGAAGCGTGTAAAGCTGCCAACACCCGAGAACGACCAACAAGGGCACAAGAAGGTCTAATTCCACGTCAGAGCAAGTACGAGGATAACATCTACTGTCCTTCTTCAGATTCACGCGCAGCCTATCGGGCTGGGGAAGCCCAGTCGAAGAAGTTCGAGGTCGCCAAAGTTGAGGGCCGTGAACTCAAAATCCATGGCGCCATCAACTCACACTTTGTCGCACAACGAAATGGTGGATGGAGACAGAATCCAAGTTGTCGTCCGTTGTTCAGAATCAGGTAGTTGGTATATATCAAAGCAGCCATTGTCTAGAGCACGAGAGGAAAGTGGAAAGCAGGTTCGGTTCAATAATTAGTATTGCTTCTTTGCTCTTTGAAGTATCGCGTGAATAAATGTTCCACAGACATCGTCTTCCTGCAGGACCGGAAATTTTCGATCATACCGCTCGAAAGTTGAAGCTCGTTGAATCATAGACAAAGTACGGCGCAGGCTCTTTCCAAAGCAAGCGGGACACATGGCGACGTTCGATGCAGCATAGAGCAGAATTGCGCAACGGATCGAAAGCAAAGCCGTAACATACTGGCCTCGACTGCACTGACCACTCCGACACGTCGCGGGTCGACGATTCCCACATCTCTACGCGTGCGATTGTACCGCTTCTTCGCAGCCACTTTCTGTGCAAATCCATCCGGATCATTGCGTAATTGAGACTGTCACATATCTTGACTATCATGGCCGTGAGCGAAATGTGAGTATTTAAGGCACGATGACTCGAAACTTGTGGGCAATCATGTCGCAACAGAAGTCATGCCTGGTTGAGATATGAGCTCGCAACTCATTAGCATGAAACAGATAATAGGTCACTTTGCGAGCAAGAGATTCACCAATTTCGACTCTGCCTCACGAATCGTCTTGCGACCATGGAAAGTGCAGAATTTTCCTCGTTCGGCAGTTGAACTTTTGCGGGGTCGTGATGCGGGCTCCAACACCCACAACGTCGAGCATGAAGGAGATGATATTGGAAGATATAAACTCGAGTGTATCAATGAATAAGGCTTCCTCTTTATAGCAGCATCGTATCAATTGAAAATGTCATAAACCGCGCCACGAAACCCTCCCTTCCGAGCAGAGCACCTTGGCTCTTTGCTCCGGCCAAAAGACCTCCTCAAGGAAAGGACTGCTTTTGAAAAAGGTCAAATCAAGTACGATCAGCTGAAGCCTATTGAAGATGATGCTATCAAAAAGACAATTCAGATGCAGCTTGATGCAGGCTTTCACGCCATCTCAGATGGAGAGTATCGGTATGTTTGAAACAGAATCAGCTTGCAGCGACTGGAGCTGATGTGCATGGGTGTTCAGCCGCCAAGTCTTCTGGGGTCAATTCTTCGAGGATCTCGAAGGAATGTCTGAGATTCGCAATCCGAGCCTCGACATCTTCCGTGAATATGTCCCGGACATGGCTGGTTTCGTTGAGAAGGGCGATCGTCCTGGTCAATCTTACCTGTGCAAGGGCAAGCTCAAGCATCGTGGAAAGTCCGCACTCGCCGACGCTTACAACTACATGAAGACTGTTGTCCCCGAGAAGCTATGGCCCGAAATCAAAGTTACCTTGATCACACCCTCGTGGTATCACCTACGGTACAAGGATGGCTTGGCATTCCCAAAGGATGTGTACAAAACTGATGAAGAATATTTTGAAGATGTTGCTACCGCCTATCAACAGGAGCTCGATCTGCTCTATGAAGCAGGCGTCAGGAATGTCCAGTTTGACGATCCACTCTTCGCCTGTACGTGATCCTTTCATGGCATGCCTGATTTTGTACTGTATTGCGAGTCTGTGGAGCTGATTATGTCTACAGATTTCTGCTCAGAGAAAATGGTCGCAGGGTGGGCCGCCGACTCATCGAACAAGCGATCATTAGATGATTTACTAAACGTATATATCGACGCCTACAACAAATCAATTTCCAAGCACACCTCAAAGATGCATTTCGGTTTGCACATCTGCAGGGGTAACTTCATGGGATCCAGGCACTTTTCCGAAGGTGGCTACGATCGTATTGCCACAAAGATTTTCAAAGACCTGAATGTACAGACCTACTATCTCGAATACGATACACCACGAGCAGGTTCCTTCGAGCCTCTTCTGCACCTGCCGAACAACAAGAACGTGATCCTCGGTGTAATCACTAGCAAGTTCCCTGAACTGGAGGACCAGGAGAAAATGAAGGCGAGAGTCTTCGAGGCCGCCGATGTGGTCGCTAAAGGCGCAGGGCAGAGCAGAGAGGACGCGCTGAAGAGACTAGGTGTCAGCCCACAGTGTGGCTTTGCTAGTCATGAAGAAGGTAATGCGATTGTCTGGCAGGACATGGAGAATAAATTGAAGTTGGTAAGAGCGTTGGCAGATTCCATCTGGCCAGGTGAGCCTTGAGTGGTGAGTTAGAATTATCGTCACCATCGTCCCTCCCAACATGAGACAGCTTAGTACAGATTCAAGAGTACAACGGTGGCTTCTAAACTCGTGTCATCGTGCACCAGTCCATGCCGTCAAGCAGAGCACTTCCTTCCAGGCGTGGCGGGCCATTCAATCACATTTGAGCAGCTGCAACTCAAGATCACATGACTCACGTAAGTGTGATTTTGCTCTGCTTCGGTACTCTTTTGGCAATCAGCAAATGCTCTCCGCATTGACAAATTCTAGTTGTGTGCCAATCTTGTTTGCTGAATATTTGATCAGGTCTCAGAATTTTCTAACGGTGAGCCGGTACTGGATCCTGTGCTCCGCATACAATAGCTCAACCATCTTCGACCCTTCTCACAGTACATTACATATCGACAAGAAATCATATTTCCGCTCCTGATGCGACATAAGGGGCCGAACTATATGTTTGAACCAGGTCATTCCAAAGTCTTTGGCTTGTTGTTGCGACTGAAGTCGCAGTTATGAGATATATATAGAAAGCAGCACGTTCGAAGATTCATCCAAAGAACTGTCCAGGAGCACGAGAATGGCAATTTTAATGGACAAAGCGATGGGCTGCTGCGACGCTTTTTGCGAACGGGATGAGCATGGCCAACGAAGTGTAACGAGTGGCACTGCCGTAAGTGACAGTGCAAGAGTTCGTATAAAGAGACACTCTTGAACTGGCACTATCTGGCTCAACAGCACCCTGTCACTTCCATTCCTGCATTCAAATGTCAGCTTCATGTCACCAAGAAGCCGAACACTCTGTTCCGCATCAGTGTTGTTGTCACTTCGTCCAAAAACAATTTTCTTTTATACCTTTGCATTTCGAAGAAAACTACCAATTCGACTGCGTGTTTCCAGAGATTATCCCAACCAACAAGGAGCAACAACCTTTTCCAAGTCCGAAAAAAGAGTACCGCATCAATCTCTACCTACGATGACAACTCTCCTCAATCTCCCCGATGAGCTCCTTGTCGAGATCGCCGCCTGGATTCCGTTTGGTGGTGACTCGCACACAAGCGTTTCCATGGCCAATAGACGCTTCAACGCGGTTCTGGCCAGCAGATCACTACCCAACAGAATTGCACGTTATCAATCTAGTGACAGGTACAATCTTCTCGAGTCCAAGGAGTCCGATTTGTACACCGTCCAGGATACCAGAATCACTTGCCAACGCTCGACCAACCACTCAGTATGGCTGCAGGCACTGGAAACCGTTGACTTGTCTGATTCGATGAGCAATACAGCCATTGAAGCAGCGATGCATTTCCAGCTCTACCATACAGATGTAGCGCGTGGGAGAGACTGGAGTGGTGTGGTACGAGCACAATTTCTCTTACATCTGAGAGTGCTCCGTCTAGTACCCGTTGAGGCATCACTCCTTCTGAGAAAGTTACACCTCAAAGTCGACCGATCCTCAAAGCAATCTTTACCTGCTAATGACCAGATCAGGGCGGCTCAACGAACCATAAAGAATGTGAGAGGTCTGCCTCTCCTCACTATTCCGCCGGCTGGCGATGCTTGGGTCAACCGAAGAGGGATTCCTAGCCATTTATTGCCTATAGTTGTCTTGGATATGCCCACAAATAGTCATCAGCCTAGTCCTGCTACATCGACTTACTTCAAGTCAATCGTGGGTGGCATGGATCTTCCTCTACAACTAGCTTATTGTACTCACATCTTCCTCCTGGAAACTTTGGAAGCAAGAAATTACATTGATGTGACACGCCTCCCTCGACCAGATCCAATGGTGGAACAGCAAGTCGATGACGAGAAGCTTGCGACATGGACTGCCCTGACGGAGGACATCGATAGAGAAGTGACTAAGCTTTTCGCCGACAAAGCTCGAACTGCAATACTCATGAACAACCTCGATCTTCGAAAGTTCGGCGAAACAGTGCGGACTATCAACGAGGATATAGTCGCTATGACGCACGATCAACTTGTTTCGGCACTGGAGCAAGAGCACGAGTTTTACAAATTGCTCGATTGGCCATCCACGATGCTCAAATTACCGATGCGCGCTACAGGTCAGAAGGCAGATGAGGTCAGGCATACTGTAAGCTTGAGCTTCAGCATGGGCTAGGATGATACATATATTTTGGTTGGTTGAATGAGTGAGATGGTTGGAGGACAATAGGTTTGAGTACCTACAGGCTAGCTTGGTTGAAGGTCGAGGGCGTAGCGAGCGTTGCATTCGTATCATAACTGCAGCGACAGGTTGTGGCACTGATAGTATGCTGCATCATCGCAGATGCAAAAACAATGAATTTCAGTTATGAACCAACTCGTCGCACCTGCCAACATCAAGTTAAGAGTGGTGACTAGGGCTCAACAGGTAGACCATCAATGCGCATCTTGTAGGCAATATCAGCGGGGAAGTCTGGCATGGCCGCCAGCGGAGACACGTCCGTTCGCCAGCTCCAGTGATTACCAGACGAGTGTTCGGTTGGGTTTCGGAAACGATGGGCCAGCCTGAGAGAACTGATGTGCACAAAGTCATTCGTCCTGATTGACACGGGACAACTATACTTCAAAGTCCTTCCTCTGCCTCTTAACTATGTATGCATTTCGGGATTCATCAATCTCCCAAATTCCAATATCATCCTCAACCAAACAAGTTGTAGATCAATATCCCTCAATGCCTTATCATGCCAATCCGTACTTTCCCTCGCGATTCGCTCACTGATCCGCAACCCTTCCTCCGTCGTCGCCAAGAACCGTGCCAGTTCCGGCAGTTCCGCGTACAACGTGCTCAAAGGCACATAATGAACCCATGGTATCAACCGGTCATCATGCCACTCACTGAAAATCGTCTGCTTGACCACAACACTGCGACTCTGTAGCAACCGGTAGAATCGACCGGAGAATCCATTTCCGTCGATGTCTAGGACGAACTTGTGGCGATAGGCGGCTTCTTGGGGATCGTCATGATGTTCTTCAGGGATGCCAAAGATCTCTTTCTGGGTCTGGCAGGCTTCATCTGTGCATTGCACGATATTCGTTATTCGTGTCGAGAAGTGATCGGCCACCTCATCCATTGTCGTGAGGTAGGGTTGCCACTCTCTATTAGAGACTTCCTTCAGTAATTGAATAGGCTCGGAGAGGTTGTTGGTCTTGAGAACCATGCGTTGACGTTGCATGTGGTTCCAGGTCCTTGATGTAGCCCAGCCTCCTGTCGAGCTCCCGGTCCAGTAGAAGTTGGACTCCTTCTCTTCCCATGCATTATCGAAGTCAGAATCATAATTATCACGCGCACCGACGTAATACGCTGATGGGTACAGGATGTCGTTGAAATGAGAAGGCTTGCTCGCTGACCAGATTGGCGTGAGACTGTGAGCGATATGCATGTTGCCTGGACTTACGAGAAGACCGTGAGTGGCTAGCAAATCGCAATTCTGACAGACGTCCCTGCTACTTTTCACGTCGGTCACGAAGTTAAGCGGATCCTCCACGCTCGGCAAGGAGCAGGAAAGCTGACGGGAGGGTGACTCAATGCTGCACGCTTGCGACGTTGCTGCCCAACCATTCTGTTTTCCAGTCTCAATGAAGCTGAAGTCGAACGGTGAATAAGAGGTTGCCGAGCTGTCCTTGGGCCAGCCCATGCCGCTCTTCTGAGCAGCTTCTTTGGCCTTCGTGACTTCGGGGAAAGGAACGCTGACCATTGGCTCATCCCAGTCGTTCACTAAGAGTGTTACGTTATATGGGATGTATTCGGCCCATTCGCGATGTGGCATCAGGCGCTTGAACAGGCCCGTGACGCCTTCTGACATATTGACGGAGCCATCCTCGAACTTTATCATACCAAATCGATCAGGCTCTAATTCAAATGCAGCCTGAAGACGATGCTGAAGAACATTAGGTGGTACTCCGAAGAATGGTTCGAGGCTCTCCATGAAGGTATCAAACTCGTCGATCAGGACAAAGTCATGTTCCCGCGCCAATCTAAACCATGTGTCGAAGCCAAGAGGGGGCTGTCGATGGTATCGTCGGTGGTACTCATTGCGCGCATCTTTCAAAGTACGAGATTGTTCAGAATGTAATTTCGTGAGATGTGCCTGATTAGCTTCTACCAATCTTGCCACTGGATGTCCAGAGCGTGTTTGTACTGAGCGAATATGATGAAATCTTGAGAGACCATCGCTGCGCATCCAGAGCCCGACTAGGAGTATCACCGAGAGCAGGACAAGCACTCGTATCTGCGCGCTCTGTGATTGCGCCGTGATTCTCGTGCCCATCGTGGCAAGATAAGCAACTGAACAAATCAACAGTCATGGACGAAATGCATTTTTATCTCATTGTTCGACAGATATGGCACAGCAAGAGGGCAAGGCTAGAACATTAGGGTTTCAGGAGCTTCTTACCAGTACATCAGTGTATGCTTTAGACAAGAATGTGCTGCACAAAGTTCAGCTTTTGTTCAGACCTTGATGGGCCGGTTTAATGGCTGACTGAAATTCGAATGGGTTTCACCCTAACGATCTCTTGTCCTTGTACAAGCGGGCGCCACCCGGGACTTGATTGATCACCCCTCCTAAAGAGGACACAAGCTAGGCCGCTTGAGTCTGGCACTGTGTGATATCCTTAGGGTTTACTTATGCACTCGATACAGTAAGTGAAGACCCGCACTAGTGGTGGCTCCATGTCCGCTGCTCATGAAAGGCATTAGATATGTGCTGGCGAAGCATTGATTGAATAAATTCGTGGTGCGGAGCTACTAAGTCCGACTTCCACTTACCCAGTGCAAAAGAACGACGGGTTCGGCACTGAACTAAGTGAACTTTGAAGGTCTTTTCATCTTGGTCTTCCAAGCATACAGTACAATACAATACAATCTCACTAGTACTGGATGCATGTTTGTGGGACGTGCCCAATCAGTGTTGATATGTATTCAGAACTGCAACCACGGTCTTCAGCTCGTCCACTGTCTTCAGGGACAAATATGGCTCCACCCTGCCAGACAAGGCTGGAATTAGGGGAGAGTCGTTTGTTCTCTAATGTTCATCACCCTGATACGAATTTCGGCACTTGAAAACTGTCACGTTGCATTGCTCCATGCGGCTGAGACCATTTTATTCGCATTTTCGCCATGTTCGGGTCCAAACGAATATGAGTTAATTCACACTCGCATGACTTCTTCTGAGGACATTCAATATGGACTTTTAACCACGTCGACAATGTAAGCTACACTGACAGGACCAAGCCGTGTCGTCTTTAGACGGGCCATTCCAGTTCACCAATGTTGGTGAACCCACAAAAGTACGGAGAAAGCGCGCACGTGCGAAGGAGACGTGCATGACCCCTTATCTCTTTGAGTTTGTGGCATTATGGAGGTTGAGCAGAGCAAAAGAAAAATCGAGAAGTGGAAGGGAGATGCTTTTGTGGCGGCGCTAGTATTGCTCAAAGTATACTTAGCGTCGTTTTATGCATTTGCTGCCAAGATATCTAAGATCGATTTTCACCCTTGGAGAGCTATCCTACTCGGCTGGTTGTCGAAATATGTGACCGATTCAGCTCAAGCCAATTCAGCCTGACTCAGCATGAATCCCTTTTACTGTAGCTTGGGTCAAATGTTCTGGATCAGAAACGAGTTTCACAGAATATCCTTCACTACTATACAATTCAATATGCCAGTGTGTCAAAAGGCCATCCCTCTACCTGATCGTTCATTCTCGACGAGTTCAGATAACGGCGCCGAATCTCCCATGGTCTAATCAATGTCCGACCTGCCCATGTTCCTAAGCTCGCTTCGTTGCCAATTATGGCGACGGCACAGATTGATGGGTATTGGATTGTCGATATCACTGTTACTATTCCTGTTATCGCAACCACACACACGTGAAGCATCACTTACGCATACACTCGTGAGTTCTGAGATCGTACTTTCTGGCTTGTGACGCTAAGAACGCTATGCAGTCTTTGCCCCATATATGGCGGGCTTCGGAACCTGCCTCTGATAGTCATGAGCCCTACGAGCTACTCGAAATATCTGGTTACTCTAATACGAGAATCCCCAATGGACCCTATTGCGACGATATCCTCGTTCCAGGTCAAGAGCTGCGAATATCGAAGAGCATCTACCTCGAAGACGATAACCTTGAGATCGCCGAGACTATTGTACATCCCATGGTTGACTATACGGGTCAGTCTAAAGATCTGAGTTTCAAGGAGACTGTCAAGAAGACGTGGGGTGCAATGGCTGGGTCAAGTGTGTGGCTCGAGAAATATCAAGTTTACTTTTCTGTTACAAGAGTCTTCTTTTACACCCAAGGTGTTAAGCACTGGCCAAAGATCAGTTTCCTCTATGCACAGATCTACGACCCGTCCTGGACTAAGCTGAACAATTTCACCATTTCGTGGCAAGGTGAGAGCATTGTGTTCCCACGTGTTCTTGATGTGGAAGCCGAGTACGAGATTGGTGGTGGATTCTATGGGCCCGAGGATCCGCGCGTCATCATCGAGCAAGGCGTTCAAGACGCTGAGCCCATCGTGGTCTTCAACATGGTGCAACTTCGAGATAAGGTCCGATCAATGTACATTCACAGGCCATTTTCAAACTTTACGACCAACCTCAAATTCTCTGGCAAGGGAAACACAGGCACGCAGAAGAATTGGTCTCCTTTTTTCATGCCACGTAACTACACAGACAGCATTGACAATCAGCGGTGGCCGAGCAAGCATATTAACTTCATTTTCGATTGGCACCCCTTGAAGATTACTCGTTGCCACTTACTCAACGGAAATTGCGATTTTGTGTACAGCCAAGACCAATCAGGAACCAAGTATTCAGACCACGTCGCCATGAATAAGTACAACGACACACAAAGCGCTATGCGTGGTGGCTCAAATTTCGAGCCGCTAGGTATCTCACCCGGTCCAGGTCTGACTTCATTCGTGGGATTTCCACGAACCCACACTGATGCTGGTTGTGGAAAGGAAGCTATCTATCGTCCCGTGGTTGCTATTATGACTACAAATGGCACGCATTTCTACCTAGACTACATGTCTAGTGGCCTCGACTTTGGCCATTCAGTGCTAACGGAGGCGCAGTACAACGATGTCTGTGATAAGGGCCGCATTCTACTAACGAACAGCATTGCCAAGCTTGATCCACGACCACAGCACGATAAAATTACTTTGTCCATGACTGTGGCTGACTCAACAGTACAGGTTGCCAATCTCCATGGCGTCGGAAATCTGGTTAGCAATCTGCCACAATTCAATCTCAACAAAACAGCCGCATGGCATAACGAGGCCGTTCAAGCCTTCAGGCTCAACGTGACACACGACGTGCTGGTCTGTGCGGTGCAAACAATTTCGGATTATGCGATTCGCTTTACCAATGTCACTGATCGAACAATCACTACATGAGGACTCCACTGCATTTCCAGCAGAGTAAGTTTGTCCATGAACTTCGCCTACAGCATTTTCAAGCTCGCTGCTCTGAGTGCATTCTAGCACTATGGGGCAGCATTTTGTAGAGTGCTAGCCTCTTCCCAGTAAATTGATCCAGTCTGGGGCTATGACAGATCATATTCGACCGGCAGAAACAACCAGCGAACCTCTACAGGTACCAACAGGCTCCAAAAACAGGCACATCGACACGTCTACCTCTCTGGCTCTGAAATAGCTTGGTGCCACGCACTCAACAGGTGCAGAGGATTGCGATGAGGCAGTTCTCCACGAACAGCCTGTGGTACGATGACGGCTCAAATGCTGAGAAGGTGAATGGATTTGGAAATCTGGACACTTGTGACTCACGATCGCGGGCAATCGTAGAGTTTGACGACTCAGTCAGCAGAGTATCAGCGACAAGTCTCTTGTCGAACAGCTGGCTTGGTATGAGTACATGATATGAGAAAGAAATTTCGATGCCTTGTACAGTAAGCCAAAAGCGTCTGCGCCATCGTGAATGTCTATATTGATTAACACGAAGAGGTAATGACTGGCAGCTCCAAGGAAAATACCAAAATTACGTCCATCAAGTCGACAGTACGGAAGTTTCTTCACCTGTAAAGCGGCTCTGGTCTGTACTCATTGTGGTGTTTGGAGGAATTTCATTAGTCCCAGGTTGACTACGTGGCTTTGGCCTTCCATGAGTCAAAGCAGTGCAGTCAGTACCACAGCTACCATCAACTTCTGTTTCTTGGGTCAAAATGGACTCAGGCTATGATAACAAACTCGGTAATCGTGGCTGGGCGACTTGCTGCTCGCATGCCTCTATCAGGCACGTATGAATGCGCCCTGCTACGATACATAGGAGCAAACCACTTCAACAGTCATCAAGCATGTCCTGGTAGTCCATATAACACGCGCAGCTGGCGATATAGCTGAAATCTGCGATCAAGGTGAAGCAAACCCAAAAGTATGGCGTGCAACTCACCAGAAACAAAATATGGGTGGTTTCAATACCTTAGCTTCCTGTCCTACAAGGCGAATTTTAGTTTTCAACTCAAACGATTCCGAAGCATAAGCGACTTGTTCCACAAGACGTTCACCAAGCATAATACATGTTCGCCTTGTCTTCTCGACCTCTCCGATGAATTGCTCCTGGAAATCGCGAGTCACCTTCCACCGAGCTGCATGGTCAATCTTGCCCTAGTCTGTCGACGTCTATCAGCGATCACGAACACGACCTCTTTGCCGAGAAGAGTTGCTCTCTGCCAAATTCCAAGTCGGTTCCTTATTGAAGGCTCGAGGAAAAATGATTGCTTCGGCATATCCCAGCTTCGGTCGCTCTTCCAAGCTGAACACAAGAATGGAGATTGTGTCAGTAATACCAGCCTAGTACAGCAGTTGGCCGGCCGTGGCTGCGATCGGTCAATCCTATCCATGACCTCCACTTTGGCTGACTACATCAACGACAAGAGAGTCGAGGTTCGTAGAAGGTTTCTATTCTGCGCTTCGCACGTACATGTCTTCGCCGAAATGCTCTTTTGTGCTCGCCTGTCACGCAGTTTAACTTTGGAGGCACTTCTGCTACATCGCTACCTGAGTAGTGAGATATATTGGCAATTTAAGCACAGTTGCGAGGAAGCGACAGATATGGAATGGAAAGGACCTGGCAGTCTCGGTGCTGTTGCCAATTAATTTACCTTCAGAACCGTATGGGACTTCTATGCAAATCGATGGCGTCCGGGAACCAACAATGCTAATGACGATCGATTGCTCCATGGTTACTGGCACAAGCATGCTTGTGGAGTGGCGAAAGAGATGCATTCTATGTTGGACAGGATCTATGAACCTCATTACGAAAGATGTGCTCTTACTCTTTACTCTGTGCCTATTTCACTACTCAGAGCGTGTCGGAAAGGTATGCTGATCAACGTGGATGATCTCAAGCACGAAGATCCGGACGAAGAGAGTCTGTTCAACCAAATGATTACTAGAGCCTTGCAAGTACAAGCCGTTGACAATCATATTCTCGAGCTCTTCCGAGACCGAACTGAGAGCGGACGAATATTTCAGACGCTCGATGTGGAGGAACTAGGGAATATCATCAGAGAAGTGACTATTACGATAAAGAACATGACAGAGGCAGAGATATTGGAAGCACTATGGGAAGAATTCGAAACTCTGGAGCTGCATGGTTGGCTATGAACTAGCATGACCTGGAAGCGCGTCACTTCCGCATCCGGACGAGAGCTCAACAATTCACTACTATTATGTCACAATCACTGCAAGCTTGACGTTTTATCGAAAACATGTGCCGCCGCACAGCGCAGATAGAGTAGATGGTTAGTAAGTGTAGACAGAGGCTGAGACGACGACAAATCCGGCGCCTCTCAATGTATTGTTTGACTATTCGGCTATCGACTGCACACTATTTTCAGATAAAGACGCCGAGCTCCTACAGTACTTTTACAGTACATCGTCGTTCGCGTGTGGCATCACCTTTCAGATGCTGTTCAGAGCTATTCCCATTCCATTGCAAGGTCTCACAAACGTTCTCGATCAAGCCTTGTCTGACGCTCGGGACTGAGCCGTTTCTGGATTTCATGCAGGACACATGCCAGCCAAGAGTATAGCTCGCACATAGCCGAGGACTAGCTAGGTCTTTTCCAACATCGTTTTCACCTCTGCACCAGGGATTCCGCGATATGCTGTGCCTCAAGGTCAAACTTCACACTAATAGCCGCCATCTCGATATCGTTTCTCGATTTCTTGTTTTCGGATGCTGCGTCAACCGGCACGTCGCTAAACACAGTCTAACAGGAGCTGTACATGGTAACCATGTAGATAAGGTGCTCGGTGTGCTAGATCGTGACATTAAGCACTACATCAGCACAGTGGGCTGATCCTACTGATCGCGGAGCCAGATTAGCGAAAACAAGCAGCACATGGGAAATATTGGGGACTTGAGAGCTTTGGCGACCGAACTCGCTCCCAGCCACACAGCTGTACCGAACCAACGAGTGCGGGGAACTGAGTCAGCCACGCCCGAGCGCTTGCCGACCTCAGCAAACCAAAACCTGCTCCGCTCCGCCAAGGTTCAAGCCAAGAACAATGGGTTAGGTGCCAAGTACTACTAGGGCGTCGCTTGGCATTACTATGGACATCCAGCCGGTCTTACGCAAGCGAGTGAGACATGCCATTGTGTTCGAGCCTTACTAGCACACGCTCAAATGCTTCTCGCCTACCTTGAGCACTTTAAGTCACCACGAGAAATGTTACCCAGCACAAGCAGGTCCACCAACGTATGCGGAACGATGCAGCTACCCTGGTACAGCGACCTCGCATCAGCGTTTCTGAGTAACATAAAATAGCCTGCTCTGCCCGCTCTCAAACTTGACTTCCAACTGCCCTTGCTTCATTGTAACTCAAACAGCTAACATGAAGTTCCTCATTACTTCCCTGCTCGCAGCAGCAACACTCACCTCCGCTAGCCCCGTAACCCGACAAACAATCGAAGGCTTCCCACCAAATTGTCTCAGCTACGCCCGAGCGCAATACATCATCGAACGCGAAATAGCATACCTACGAAAAGCCGATCTCGCCGACGCCAGAGCAGCAGGCGAAGAACTCTTCGCAGCAGACTTCGTCCAATACGGCGACTCCATCAACTCTCTCCGAGGTGACCCTGTAAGTCCTCCTCCACACTCACATTGTTCAGCCTTACACCACACATACCCTTTATATTTCCCCAACTAACACACCACCCTCTCCAGGTTGGAACCCTCGTCGAACCCGACGGCGCAACCTACGTCAACAACACGCTCTCCTCCCCACCCATCCGCGGCATCAACAGCCTGGCCATGATCCACAACTGCACACACATCTTCTGGCAATGGCAGTTCATCGGGATTGGCGGCCCAACGGCACCGAATACCATCAAGGGCTTCACGCTGCTTACGGTGGACAATACGAGGGCGGAGAAGCCGGTTGTTGAGCAGTATGTTGAGTTTAATAGTTTGGCGTGGGCGCAGAATATTGGGTATACGATTGAGCCGCCTGCGGAATAAGTGGGGGTTCACATTCCCGAGAAGGGAAGGCGAGAAACTATGTATGTGAGGGAGGAGCATGCTCATGTGTTCACGTCGTAATGAATAATGGTGATGAATGGTAGTGAATATGAGAAAGTCTTGATTTCATTGTTCTTTTGGTTTAGTTTGGGTCCTTTTACTCCAACACCTAATTTTTCAGCCTCTGTTTTCGGGTGTCGATGAACACAACCAAGGATATCACCCAGCATGATCAGGTATCTAGTGTTACATCCTTTTGTTCATCGTCTTTACCTTCTTGCACATAAGCAAGCTCTTCTTCGTACCACACTGCAACTGCATCGATAGCTGCTTGAGGGTCCTCATCATGCGTCAGCAAATACTCCTGGGTCGAGACGGGAGGAAGCGTTTCCGGAGCTATCATGTCGGCAAACCTCTCTGCAAGTAGGTGTAATATGTTTCTATCGTATGGTCGAGCTTCTTCTTCCATATCGGGATCGGAATCATAAACCTCCAGGAAGAGATCCCATGTCTGCTCTCGCGTCACGTAGCCAAAGAACACGTCCCGATCCGCCCGACCTCGACGCTTCATGGCTTCGCCGAGTCGCTCCTTGTGGTTGGTTGTCATGATGAAGATGTGGCCAGTGGGGGCAGCCGTGCCATCGACAGCATTAAGAAGACCTGATAGTGTCACTTGTGCTGCTGGCTTATCCTTGCCTTTCTTGTTATCTTCTCGATTATGGTTGCGCCGAGACTTGGCGTTCCTTCTCTTTCTGTGCCTCGACCTGCTTTCCTGATCGTCGCTGCTGTCTGTGACACTCTCGTTGGAACTTTGTGGTAGCATGCCGAGCATATTTCGTTGTTTCCTCTGTGACAAAGTCGATGTGGTTGCGGCCGGTCGTGGTTGCTCGTTGTTGGTCCACAGCATCGACCACCTTGCCTTAGCATGTCTAGGATTGTGCCCATAGATAGCTCCACGACCTCGCCAAATATTGCTGCTAGCTCTCTAGCTGCCAAAGCCCGACCTGCTCATGGGTATGTGCTTCTATTTATTGCCTCAGTGGCGATCTGCACAACAGGCTCTTCCTGGTCAAACTGCGAAGTCGAACTAAAGTCGTGATCTTCAGTTTTGCTTCAAACCGTCACCGGCGTCCTGAATCCTGAATCTGAGCTTTGATGTTGACTATCTGTCTGCCAGGTACGTCAGGAACGTTTCGTCCACAGCCAGACGCATGCCAGCACTCATCATCTTGTGTCGGATATGTCGATCTCACAATAGGACAGTCAGAAGTGGCAAGAAAAATGAGAGTGGTGGAAAGAAGGACACGATTAGTACCAATATTTGTGGTCAGGCATTCGTTTGTCTTCATTTGGTTGAGCAAATACGTGGAGTCTTGCTCTAACTGCCTCGGAGATAGTATTCGGACTTCGGTCGAGCAGAGCTACTCGTGGTCCAGTCAAAGACACGAGCTTGGGCTTGGGTGAGTGCTGCAACAGTGAGCTGTACTGTATCCACTGGAGTTGCACTACTTCGTGACTGAAGTGGAAACAATGGTATGTTGAGGGTAGGTGTCGGGGCCAGAGCAGATGCTGGCTATATTCAACTCAAATCCTAATCATGTGCTTTTATCAATGCGCAACAGCCTGCTCGATCGGAACAAGATCCAGTTCAAAGTCGTCCAAGGACGCTCCTTCCACCGAGGTATTGGCGGCTGCTATCCTGGACCCAGCCATCGCGCAGCACTCCGGTAGTCATCATGGCTTGATATATCCAGCACATCCACCAATATTGGGGCTGAGTAAGACGCGTATACCGTGTCGGACAACGCGTTGTTGCTAGCTATTATATGGACTGAGGGCAGTGAAAAGAGGAAGTCTTGTATCGTCTATACACATATGGTCCTCGACATTCACCGTAGTGGTTGTCCTACACAAACGTATATATTCTACCACGACTGCACAACGAAATCTGAACCACGATGTCTTGCGACTATAGTCCTGCTTCTATCCACGGGTCGTGGTGACATGTCGTTCATAATGCTGTACTAATATCGGTCATCTGCCACAACTTCAAGGTAGGTCTATGCATATAGAGTGGCTGTCTCAATTGTTACATGACCTGCTCCATGTTCTTTCCTCTCAATACGCGAAGTTGCTTGGTTGAGCAAAAGCTACATTGACTGCTGGGTATAGGAACTTCAACATCGACTAAGCGAATATTTCGAGTCCCAGCTACTAGGCTATTGACTCGTCCGACGCCAGTCATGCCTCAATCATCAACTCTTCCATCCTCACTCATTCACACGATACGTACACATACTGCGCCCGTTAACGCCCTCACTTTCTCCAATAGTGGTGGAACCTACGTCCTGACCGGATCCTCGGACCGTCAAATACATCTTGCACGCACCGAACCACAGTCGCAAAGCCAGCAATCGAAAGAGCCAGTAACAACCACGAAGCCAATACAAAGGTACACCTCTCATGGCTACCCTGTGCTCGATCTCAGCGTCTCCTTAGACAACACCAAGTTCGTCTCCGGCTCAGCCGACAGATCTGGCCCCTTTCTCTGGGATATCAACCTGAACGATAGTACCATTAGGCGTTTTGGAGGCAATTCTCCGAGTCCGCACACTAGTCGAATTACCTGTGTCTGCTTCACGGCAGAAGACAATATCGTTGTATCTGGGAGTGACGATCGCAGTGTACGACTTTGGGACAATAAATCGAGGGATGGCAGACCATTGATGGTGCTGGAGGATGCAAAAGACGGCATCGCTTGCCTGACGTGCTGGGACAAGGAGATCGTTACAGGAAGTACGGATGGGAGAATGAGGAGCTATGATATACGAACGGGAAAATGTCTGGTCGATGTGCAGCCTGGCGCTGTAACCAGCTTGACACTATCCAGAGACGGGCGCACTGTGCTTGTCAGTTGTCTTGATGGCAAGATCAGGCTGATGGATCGAGAAAATGGAAATTGTCTAAGAACGTTCCCACCAGACACCAAGATAGGTGGGAGTGACCATGGCTACAAGAACGAGGCTCTGAGGTTACAGAGCTGTCTTGCTTCAAACGACGCCCTTGCTCTTTCTGGGTCTGAGGCAGATGGCAAAGTACGTGGTTGGGATGTGGTGACTGGGAAACAGGTAGGTATAGTGGACATCAGCGATAGTGCTAAGGTAGTCAGCACTGTGAGATGGCGTGGAGGAAGCGAGGTTGAAGGTAGGAGAGGCGTTTGGGCCGCGGGAGGCACCGAAGGGGTGGTAAAGATCTTCGGATGATGAGGACCTGCCTGCTTGTGGATACGAGATTTCGGTATATATGTTCAAGCCCAGCATGCTGAATCCGAGCTGAAAATGTTTGATCTACCTTGAGCTCATCGCAGCAACAGTCGACAACACACTCGAAAGTAATTCCACTCACCACTCATCATCTTCGTGTGCCCATCTACAAGTAATATTCAGATTTTGAAAGTCTAACAAGTACGTAAGTCTATTTACCGTTCTCTGCAGACCACGCTCACTTTACCAGGCGTAATCAATATGACGCAGATATCAGACCTACCCTGCGAAATCCTGCAACTTATCTTCCAGGAATACCTTGCCGACAACCGATTGAGTCGTCCATGGTGGCATGGCCGGGACAGCACGGCAGCTGATTTCGTGAGGCTCATGAAAGTGTGTTCGACGTGGAGGCAGATGATCACTGAGATGCGAGTTTCTAAATCACGTCGACTTCAGCTCGTGTTCCAAGAGGGCCGTCTTAGTCAAGGCATAGAACCTAAATTCGTGCCAATTTGGAGGGAGACAGGGAAGAAAACTTGTTAAGGAAACAGCTTGGAATGTGTGAGTTTTTGGACGATGGTGCTTACGTGCTTGGAGAGGGGAGGCAATCGTGGCGGATGCTGTACCTAGTACTGCAGTAATGCTTTGTAGATGATGTGCTCAGATGTCTTGAGACATGGATTTCAGAATCCCGTTGAGTATCAATACCTGCTCGCGTTCTCGTTTCTCACCTCCTAACACAGCAATACGGGTTGAATCTGTTGATAAGATATATCGTGCTTCCTTTGCGGGCATGATAGGCTCTGATCTTAATGTACTTTGTAGTCGTAACTTATTAGCATTGCCTTGGCACAAATATTTCACACGCGCACGACTTAAAAACCCTGCTTGATTCACGTCACATTTGAGAAACAATAGTCTCAGCTCCTGCATGGGGAGACTGGATAAGTAGGATTATATTCAATGATAAAAGGAAGCCGTCATGCCGGCATGGCATAAAGGACTTTTGCTTGGTTGGCGCTCAAACTTGCACAATCACACAACGTGGAAAAAGAACTCGCCCACCTGCTCAATCGATAGAGACAGCTCCCGGAGCTAGCCTCATTGCTCCTTCTTCATTCGTCTTGTTCTAGATCTAGCGGCGACCATGAGATCTCACAGCACTGCCCTGCATCTGTTCGAGTTCTTGTTCGAGCTGCTTGATGGCAGCATGAGTGGCCTCAAGATCCTTGTTGAGACGGTCTCGCTCGCCAATGAGTTTCTGCTCCCAGGCTCGGAACCTCTGCTCCTCAACCTTGACCTGTTCGGTGAATCTCTTTCGCAGGGCTTCCTCTTCCTCCTTGAACTTGGGATTGTCGAGTTTTCTTGGTCGTGCCTCTCCAAACTTACGAGTCTCCATTTGCTGTGCTCGGTAGACCTCATAGTGTTGCTCTTCAGTGGTATGGATCAAATCCAGCATGTGTGTCCTAATCAAGATCGAGCGCAGCTTCTTGAAGTCGCAGTGGTCTTCATTCTCAACTTCGGCAACACCCCAGGCGTACTGCCTGCCTTTGACAATACGACCATCAGTAGTCTTGACATCTTTCTCGCTACCAATCACGGACATAGGCATGGCGGCCATTAGAGCTCTCGCGTGTTGTGCTGCTGCTTCATCGTCTTCCTCGATAGGCGGCTGGTAGATCTTGATGCCTTGTGCCTCAATAACGTTCCTGACTCTTTGCTTGAACCTGATCAGATCTGCTGGAGATAGGGTATCGGCCTTTGCGACGACTGGGATCAAGTTGACACGTGTGCACAACCTCTTCATCACCTCGATATCTAGAGGCTTGAGTGTGTGACCGGTAGGACGAATGAAGTACAAGCAGGCGTGAACTCGAAGGTCGATTTTGTCATTACGTTTTGGCTGCTGTTCTTGCAACATATATGACTCGTGCTGGTCATCCAGGAACTCGATGATGGGCTGCCATGAGTCTCGGTTGTTGACATAGTCGCCGAAGCCGGGTGTATCGATGACCGTAAGCCGGACTACGGAGCGTTAGTAGAGCGTGCGAACACCGGGTGCATAAAATATACCCTTGAAGAACTTCTCTTCCAATTCAGCCTTCGTGATTTCAATCTCAACAGTCTTGTCAACCTGCTTTGCGTGCCTTCGCTTGTGGTCGGCGTAGTTCTTGATTGTTGTTGAGAATAGAGTGTTGATGAATGTGGTCTTTCCTAGTCCGGATTCACCTGCCACCTGACGCATTCAGTAGTGCTCGTGCAGATATGCAGAGAGTGATATACCATGATTGTGAAAGCAGCACCTCTTTTCGCGACTATTTTGTGCCGCTGGTTGGGAAGGTTAGCGATACCAATCGGCGAGGCCGATTCTGCTGCTGCTGGTGCCATGATTGCGACGTGAATTGAAGAGCAGAGAGATGGCTATCGTGGATCGTAATATTCGGTATATGGTGTTCTGAACACAGGTGGGAAGGTGCGACTGCAATACCCAGCACGATCACAATTAGGGGGTCGCGCCAGGTGCACTTGGCTCGAAAATCATCCGCCTACGGTGAAGTGTTTGGCCAATCACAGTCAACTCGCAAAACCTGGGGAATGTCCCTGCCAAGCCTAAATTCCTGCCTGAGGAAACCGCAATCTACTCTGTATGTTTGCTCTGTTTACCATGCGGCTCTAAGAAAAAGTTGACAAGAAAGGCTCATGAAGCAAGTTTGCGCCAGTACTGATCATGTACTGTTAACAGCATGAAGACCGAGTTCAAGGTGTGCGTTACTCTCCAAATACCTCTTGCTATCCACTGACCAATGTTTCCAGTTCTCCAATCTCCTAGGCACTGTCTATCGACAAGGCAATGTCATCTTCACACCAGATGGAGACTCACTACTCTCGCCTGTCGGCAATAGAGTATCTGTCTTCAATTTGACCAAGAACACGAGCTATACTTTACCTTTCGCTCACCGCCGAAACATCTCACATATAGACCTTACCTCAAACGGCAATCTACTGCTTACTATAGATGAAGATGGCCGAGCTATCTTGACTATTTTTCCACGCCGAGTATCGATATACCACTTCTCCTTTAAGAGCAGAGTTACCGCACTGAGATTCTCACCCAACGGACGACATTTCGTGGTAGGTCTAGGTAGGAAGATACAAGCATGGAAAACACCTTTAGTACCTGGGTCGGATGGTGGTGAGCTGGACTTTGCGCCTTTCGTGCTTCATCGCGAGTATGGTGGTCACTTTGACGATGTACGGCATCTGAGCTGGTCTGGTGATTCGAGATTCTTCCTAAGCTCTTCAAAGGATTCAACGGCCAGAATATGGAGTTTAGATCCTGAAGAGGACTTTGAGCCGACTGTGCTTGCAGGCCACAGACAGCAAGTTCGAGGCGCATGGTTTTCTTCCAGCCAGGAAGCGATCTTCACCGTCAGTGAGGATGGCGCACTCTTCAGGTGGGAATTCGTCACTCGGACGCAACAACAAAGTGGTGATGCCGAAAATGCAGAACCTGAAGACATAGAAAGATGGCGGATCGTACAACGGGATTACTTCATGCAAAATGTGAAGCTGAAATGCGCCACCTTTCATCAGGCAAGTGAACTGCTGACTGTCTGTTTCGCGAATGGTCTTTTCAGCTTATACGAATTGCCTTCGTTCTCGAACATACATACCCTGTCCATGGCTTCTTCGCCGATCTCTACCATATCCATCAATAAGAGTGGTGAATGGCTGGCTCTGGGTTCAGCGAAAACTGGTCAGCTGTTGGTGTGGGAGCATCAGTCCGAGTCGAACATCCTCAAGCAGTCATCGTATCTAGACACGATGACCACATTGTCTTTCTCACCAGATTCTAGTCGTATCATTACTGGCGCAGACGATGGACTGCTCAAGATCTGGGATGTCTTCTCAGGCTTCCATGTCGCCACTTTTACAGAACATTCTTCCGCTGTGACGGGTTCAGCCTACTCAAGAAGGGGTAATATTTTATTTACATCCTCCTTAGATGGCTCGGTTCGAGCATGGGATATGCTGAGATATCGCAACTTCAGAACCTTTACAGCTCCACAGCGACTATCTTTCTCCTGCTTGGCAATCGATCCTGCGGCTGAAGTTGTTTGCGCGGGATCGCATGACTCTTTTGATGTCCATCTGTGGTCGGTGCAGACCGGTGCTCTTCTCGATCAGCTTTCTGGCCACGAAGGACCCATCTCTACCTTAGCATTCACGCCAGATGGCCGTATGTTGGTCTCTGGATCTTGGGATCGTACGATACGTACATGGAATGTGTTTGATCGCTCGCAAAGCTCTGAGAGTCTCCAATTAACTTCGGACTTGCTATGTGTGACAGTAAGACCAGATTCAGCTCAGATAGCAGCATCGACACTGGACGGTCAACTTACTTTCTGGGACATCGAATCGTCTGTACAACAGGCTACCATGGACGGTAGAAGAGACGTGAGTGGTGGAAGAACACTAAGGTCTAGAAGAACGGCAGCCTCGACACCAGGTACTAAATCATTCAACTCTATCACATATTCTGCGGATGGGACGTGCTTGTTGGCAGCAGGAAACAGCAAGTATATTTGCCTGTACTCGGTGAGCACCTTGACCTTAGTCAAGAAGTTCACGGTGTCGGTCAATTTGTCCCTCGATGGCACCCAAGAGTTCTTGAATTCGTCTGCAATCATGTCGAACGGATTGCCAAGAGACATGATTGATACAGATGGTGAAGCGAGCGACCTAGATGACAGGATAGATAAGAGCCTGCCAGGCGCCAAGCGAGGTAAAGATGCCACAAAGAGAACAGTTCGACCAGAAGTGCGTGTCACGGCTATCGAATTTGCCCCGACCGGGAGAACATTCTGTGCTGCGAGTACAGAAGGCTTGCTCGTCTACAGCCTTGACACAGCGGGAATGGACGATTTCGACCCATTCGATCTTGATATTGACGTTACACCGCAGAACGTAGAAACTATTCTACAGCAAAAGCAGCCAGAGTATCTCAAAGCTCTGATCATGTCATTCCGGCTGAACGAGAAGCAGCTAGTACGCAGAGTGTACGAAGCTATACCATACGGCCAAGTGTCCTTGGTAGTGCGAGACCTGCCAAGAGTCTATCTTGGACGTCTGCTAAACTTTTTAGCATCTCAGTTAGAGAGCAGTCCGCATCTGGAATTCGCTCTGTCATGGATTGGTGAGGTTGTTGGTGTTCATGGTCGGTACATCAAAGAAAGAGCAGGACAGTTTTCAAGTGAGTTGCGCGCGGTTCAGCGAGGCATTGATGGAATAGGCAAAATAATTCGGAACCTGAGCCAAAGGAATACTTTTGAGATTGAATTTCTGTGTCAACAACAAAGAGACACAAATGTGCCATTACTGACGAATGGCCATGGTACAAGTCATGGAAAGGCTGATGAAGCTGATGTAGATATGGCTGATGAGGGTGGCTGGATTGGCTTTGATTAAACAAGACGCCGGTGTCGCGTCACTACCACTTGCAGAATGCATTGCACCCTCATTTTCTGCATATTCACTGTGCGTCGGTCTTCGTACACCCCTTCGTAACGTGTTTTCCTTTCGATGTATGAACTAAGAAGTGCTTCTGCCGCACATATGATGCCATGCTCGGGACAGGGTTCCCATCGCTGCTTTTTTCTCCAAATCGAAACAAAATTTCCTGCGGCCACGGCCTTGATTGACTTGACTTCGTATTTATGCGCAAAACCATGACTCGAAAGCTAACCCGTCAAAGTTGGATATAGCTCCCTGATTCGGCTCTAGAAATATCTGCTTCCGACATGGCCTAGGACTTTCACCAGTAACACTTTTCTTCCAACATAGCAACGACTGACCAAAGTTGTGATTAAAGCGAGTGTTGAGCATCTTTATCCATGGCTGGAGAGAAGAACAACCTGTTGTCGCCGACGCTTCATCCGCAACCTCGTTCAGCAGTTCCGTCACACCTACTGAACGGTTCCTCACCTCTGCGGAACACTTCTACCACGACTCGAGCTCAGGAAAGAGACAGACTAGCATCGAGCATACAAAGCACATACAACCGCAGAACTTCAATAGATCCTGCAGAGCTGTCAGTCAGCCGCTTAAACTTGGACGGAGAGAACAGCAGAAGCTGGGTAGGTATGCCAGGAAAGACTGCGCCCGAGCACGCGATATCGGAGACTGCACCAGACGAGGAGACACAGACAGGGCCCTCAAAGCCTGTACTACAGCAAGAGCCTATGAGCGACGCTCGCGATCATGCACCTCCCACACCTCCAGTCTCGGCCTCTCGACCAGCAAGCCCTTACACTCTCAACCCCCCGATCGACTTTGACGGTCTTTCCTGGCCATGTCCAGGTACTAGAGCACGACTGGAGCAGTCACCTGAACAAGCACAAGAAAGATTAGACAAGCTAGCAGGCGCAGTAAGGACCATCTTCGAATGTATAGGCGAAGACCCAGATCGAGAAGGTCTACAGCAGACACCAGAACGATATGCGAAAGCACTCATGTTCTTCACGAAAGGCTACGAAGAAAACGTGCGAGACCTCGTTAATGGCGCCGTCTTCCAGGAAGATCATGACGAGCTAGTCATAGTGAGAGACATTGAGGTGTTCTCATTATGCGAGCACCACATGGTACCATTCATTGGGAAAATGCATATTGGATACATCCCAAACAGAAGGGTACTGGGATTAAGTAAGCTTGCACGTCTTGCGGAGATGTTTTCAAGAAGACTGCAGGTACAGGAACGCCTAACGAAGCAAGTCGCGCTAGCAATCGCAGAGGTATTGAAGCCCCAAGGAGTAGCTGTGGTCATGGAGAGCAGTCATTTATGCATGGTTATGAGGGGAGTGCAGAAGACTGGGAGTAGCACAACGACAAGCTGCATGTTAGGAGCTATGAGGAGCAGTGCTAAGACTCGGGAGGAATTCTTGAGTCTACTGAACAGGGGCAAATGAGGTCATGGTTGTTTTCGGTTTTGGCGTTCAAGGAAGGAACCAGGAGGCATTGTTTCAACACTTGAAGGCAGAGATACCCAGAATGAGGATTGGCGTGGCGCAAGAGAAACATGCAATGTATCTTTCTCAGTCAGCTATCTGCTGAACAATATTGGAAAACAGCGTTGGGCAGTTCAACAGCCTAAATAACGTATTCGGCCTTTTCCATCACTTAAGAGATAAGAACTACGAAACATTACTGATGTGCTAAGCGGCCGGCTTTCGTGATACAAGCTCTATCAAAAACGGCACTGAAGCCATTTCCAGGGTTTCAAATAAAACCCAAAAAACCCTGCTCCTTCCATTCTGAACGATCCATGGGGCAGTCACCATCTTGGGTCAACGAGATATGAACGCAGAATATGCGGACTTGAAGCTCGAGTTGCTTGAGCCACAATTCAAGCTCAAAGAGACACAATTAAATGAGCCACGGCTAGATCAGGTCTGAGCTACGCTTTCTAACCATGTAATTCTAGCCGACAACCCCAACTTCTCAAGATCTGCATGACGCATTGATCGTACACAGACACAACGCCACTTTAGCTTGCTCGATATGCGAGTAGGGCAATAACAGCGATGTGTGTCAGCAATCTGCAAGGATGTCATTTCAGGCAAGATGCAAGACGAAGAGAAAGCGTACAGAGATGAAGGTATAGCCATTGAGCAGCACATCCTGCAAGAGCTTGACCTCGATAATGAGCGTCAATCTCCATTCTCCAACAGGCGGATCTCATGGTCCCGGCAATATTCTTGTCGTGTCCTGATCAAGAAGTACAGCAAGCGTGAGAATAACGAGATAACGAAAGCACAGCTGGAGATCGCGGCATTATTGGCCTGCAAGGAAGATGCTACTCCACCTTTGCTGGACTACTTTGACCCATCTGAGACGATATGGGTGGTGATGGAGGAGAGAGATGACGTGCCATTGAAACGGTATATCGAAGGGTATGGTACCTTGTCCGAAGAGATGATCAAGTCAGCCGTTACGCAATTGTTCTCTGGATTGGCAGCTATGTTTATGGCAGGGTTTGCGCATCTCAGAATATGTGATGAGACCTTGTACATGAATGCGGAAGGACAACTGACGATCAAGGACTTCTTCTATGCGCATAAGTATGGAGCGCAGAAGCTGGAAGATCTATATGCAACGACTGATGTCAGGTATGGACGGGACATTTATGCTGCACCGGAAGTGCTTTCAACAGTAGGCAACTACAACGCCAGGAAGGCTGTGCTTTGGTCGTGTGGCGTTGCTATTGTAAGCTTTGTGGTACTGATATGTAAAGTGAGTCTCACGCTGAAAACCTTACAGTACTACATGGCTACAGGACAAACTGAGCGTCTCTCGAATCTCGACCGTCCTACCTTCGCTACCACCTCCGCAGCACAGATCCAGTCGACCCCCACCAACACTGTACTCGAGACACAAGCAGATGAGCGCAATGTTCCAGGAACTCCACCAACTCCTTCCCGGCGCCGTTCTTCTCTCGCTACTGCTCTTGCACACCGTCGGCGTTCCTCAGCAAATAATGTCCACAGCCGCAAAGCTTCCTTGACTCAACCACCAACTATAATCACCTACCCAGGCACACGCTTCGAAACAGCCTCCTGGGTACGCGATATCATTTCGAAAATGCTAATCGTCAATCCACTTAGACGCGCTGAGTTGATCGAGGTGGCATCCAAGGTGCCCAGAGAAGTAGTGGCAAAGACTGCACGACCATTGCTTGAGCTTTGTTGGTTGGATTACAAGGGTATGTTCCTGGCAACACAGATCACGATATGCAACAGGCTAATATGGTGCACAATAGAACACGTCGGACCTTATGCAGGCTTGAATTTCGACATTGATGATTCGGCGAGTATCAGTAGCAGTTTGTTCTCGGGAGTCAGTAGAATGAGCAATCCGTTTGCAGGCTTGCTGAGCGGCAGGAGGAAAAGCTCAATTGATGCGGGTGGATCAGACACTGCGAGGGCAGGGAGGACATACGCTGGATTTGTCTAAATCTGCAGCTACGATCAATGACACGTGTTCTGCACCTGCTGATAACAACCAGACGCTGCATTTCATCGTAAGTCAACCGGCATAGGCATGTACAGATTATTCTTCGGGAAGGAACGAAGTAGTAAGTGGTATTAATAGCATCGAATCACGATTTGTCGCTGTTCCCGTAGTCAAATGTTGCCGCTGTAATAGTGGTCACCATGCTCTGAGGCGGTCTCAGAGGTCACTTTCCCTCTCAGGAAGCTGGAGGCTCGTTGTATAACATATAGCTCATTCCTCTCACATACCCTCAACACACGTAATCGTCTCGATCTCTACTGTCTTGCTCAATGCTGGCACCTGCGATCTACCTCAAGCTCCGAGCACACTGTGGCTGTCGTGTTTCGCCGTACATCTTTCATTGAGCTCACGATGCTGCTGATTGTGAAATCACGAACATATCGTCCATAGCCCCATTGCAGCTCCTAATCTCCACTACCGCCTACTGCCCTCAACCGCAATCCTGCGCTATCCCTGATATTTAACCAGCTTCTTGCATGTCTCATCGGTACACAATTCGACGACAGGAGGTCCCACAGGTCCTCTAGGCCAAGCCAAACAGCTTACAGCACGTCCTGTATCGTCTTCGAATGAATACACGAGAACGTCATCAATTCGCTTGCTCCATTGAACCTGCAAGTTCTCGTGAGCAATAATCAGGTTGTGAACGTGTGGGTCATCCCAATGGTCAAATTCTGGGATGAACAGGACACCGCGAAGGGTGATCCGCTGGCAGTTCTTGTTTTCCGGGTGTTCGACATATATGGTCACAGAGCCCTCCCCCAAAACTTTGTATGTTTTTACCACTCCATCGCTTCGGCGCCATCGGAATGTTTGTTTCTCCTTTGGTGTGTTCTTTGGTTTGTTCTTTGGTGTGTAATGCCGAAAAGTGTTTGCATCGAAACAGTAATGGGCGGAACAGGTATTCGGTACATTCTTGTTCATGGCGATGGCCCATCGGCCTTGACCGATACGCATCCTTCCGTTGAGGTTGATCTAGGTAGACCAAGACTGTTATATACGAAGAGGATATGAGTGGAGGTTTGGAGTGATGAAGTAGTGTGGCTTCGAAGAGGTTACCTTGCCTTGCGACTAACCAACAGATCCTATTGTGCCAACAGTTTGTTACTTCTCATTCTTGAAGGTTCCAGATATTTGGAGGTTTAAGATTTTTGAAGGGTACTGATGCTTGAGAGATCTTTTATACTACTCTGGCACAGTCATACTTACACAGTCAGTATTTCGTTTCCAGCGAATGTCTCACTGATACTTTCGGTTTGGGCATGACACCGAGGACACGACCGAGAGTGGTGACTCAAAACGTCTTGCGAGGATGCCCTTGCAATGAGTAGCGAACTTGGAAGCGGAAGGACTATTAACGAAAACTATTGCTCATCTCCACGCCGTCGCTTGTTCACACAAATTCACCTGGGTTTGCGCATGGCGCTCTCCAGAAGAGACTCTTCCGTGCGTTTAGCAACTCACTTACTTATTTTCACCACCACCCAAACATAGAAGATGAGGCGAGAACGAGCCTGCTCGGGGTTCCTCAAGAGCTTGGGTACAAGATTTACAGCTGTTTCCTCCACGCCAATACCAACGGTATATCTTCGTCTGATGAGAACAGGTACCAATCCGATTTCGAAGTACGACAGTATCTATGTGCAGTGCTATCCGAGAAGAAGCTTGGGAGGATCTCGGTAGGTCAAATATATGGATCCCGACTGACCTCTACTCGCAGACAGGATGCAAAACATCATCAGATCAGAGTTTACCCGAGCACACCACCTACGATCTGTCAATAGCTCCATTTACAAGTGTATACAGCGAATTGTTAATAACCAGGCACTGACTATTCGAGTCGGCTATAGCTGTGGTCGAAAGAAGCTACCGAACGACGCTAAGCTGAATCAGCGAGTGATTATGGCATACAAGAGCGACAGTTAGGTGTTGATGTGTCAGGCTTCGCAGAGAACATGGAAACAGGCTGCTTCACAAGCTGTCGCGTGTTTACTACTGGCAAGCTATGGAGGATTGCCAGATATGGCAAACGACAATAGTTGTGCTGCTGCAACCCACCTGAGCAAGCTCGATGGAATCGCTATATAAGATCACACTACTCATCCTTCATGCTGCCATTTTCGCCTTCGTCTACAGTTGACTCTGCTTACTGTGACCGAGAATGGCACCCAATTCTGAGAGACAGTCTCGCGATGCTGGTCAGGAGCGAACCAATGGTATGTTTGTTCTTACAGCATGCGTGGCAGACAAGTGTTGACAATAATCAAGCAGATCTTGAACGGTCTAATAGAGACAACGAGAGCAGTAACACATCACTTGAAGTCCAACATGTACCACGCGGTCGTGTAGACTTAGCAACTCCTTGTCAAGCCTCATCTTCGACTACCTCTTCGCCACAGGAGGCGGCTGTTGCACCACGAACCTTCAACGCCTTGCCTCTAGAACTTCGATTCAAGGTGTATGACTATGTATGGTAGGTCAAGCCATCTGTTTGGTACGATAAAGATCTCGAATGGCTGCTCTCTGGCTTTCCGTCTATCGAGCCTCCCTACCAAGTCGCATTGGCACAACCGGCAGCAACAAGAGAAGAAATCTTTGAATACTATTGTACCAAGAATCGATGGATCGAAGTCTTGGTGTACGCTCCACCTGGAATGCCTTGGAACGAGGAGGCCCCTTGCAATCCAAATTTCCAGATACCACCGGAGACATTCGCAAGGTTCTCCGAGAATGATCGAGCAAAATTGCAAGGGAACATAGCACTGACTATCCGCTTAGGGTACGGCTGCGGTACCGCGGATCCGCAATATCTCAATGGCCGCCAGGCGTATCGCTTCCTGTTTGCTTTTAACAAATATGCCTGGTTCGAAGTCTGCTGTGATATTGACAACAACATCGACTCTGTCATGAGCATTATGATGGAACTTGGGCCCAAATATCGAGGCAACGACTCGGCCTACCTCGAACTCCTGCCTGATTTGCTGCTAGTGCTTTCTATCATACGAGGCGCACAACAAGTTCATTTCGAAGGATCTGTCACAAAACCGGCTCTACATGCTCTTGCAGGAAGTATGGCAGCGGAGTTGAGTCGGCCTGGCCATTGTCACAATTTGACCCTTGGAATGCACGAACTGGGCGAGCATTACCTCCGGGAAAAGGATCCCGGTAATATTACAGCCTGGTTGGAATACATAGGACGACTACATCACTCAGGTCTACCAATGTTGCGTCCTCGGAGGGAGTTTGGCGAACCTGAGCGCAACACTACGTTGTCCAATCGAGTCGATATAGAATTGACGGCTATCAAGATGCGCAATGAACATTTGAGATACATGGAGATACCCAACAGTTACAATGATGATAACGCATACTTTCAGGCACTCGGAGCATCAACAGTTACTTATGTACACTATGCCTGGACCTTGATTGACAAGCAGCGCAGAACCCTTGGCGACATGTCCATCTGGCCAGGTCTCAACGACGATCAGCGTCAAGAACTTCACTACCAGCAAGGCACCAACCACTTACAGACGCTCACCTATATCGCATCTCCTTACAACGTGAACATCGTCAGTGGAAAGAGGTTCGTCGACAACTGGGCTTATAATGACCTATCCTCGGTTGTCTACCTCTGGGAATATTACGCTGCAGCTGCGATAGAAAGATTTCGTCTAGCTTACGATGTCAATCCCCAGAGTACATTGGGCCAAAAAGCCAAATCCTCCTATGAAGGTCTCGAGGCACGACTTCGTCGTCGATGGAGTTTCGATCCCTGTAACACAAATCCATGGCCTGACTTCGTACAGGTAGACACTGGTGGTAGCACCTGGAGAGGCGATTCGAAGTTATGGATCAAATGGGGGTTGAGATCTGGCTTGGACCTCGCCCCTTTCAAAACCAGGGATGACACATACACCTCCAGCACGCAGAGGCTGGAACAGCTTCGCGATGAGTTCGGTCTTCCTGTCAATTTTCAACCCCTGTGTCTGTTGCGCTTTCTCGACGTACAAACTCAGCACTGACGCTCACGTCTTGTTGGTTGCTATTGTGTGGCCGGTCTCCTACTTTGAGCTCCTGTAATTCTTAACAATTCACTTTTAAACATCAGCGGCGACACTAGAGCTACAGTTTCGACTGAGGCGACCAATGTTCGGAGTGCTCGATGTCTGTTTTGAATAAGGCGGGACGATGAGAGAAGAAGAGAGCACCCACGAGAGAGACTGCTCACAGTCCAGGGCAACCTCAAGGAGAGTGGAGATTTCAGTCTGAAAATCGACAATTTGACTATTTTTCTTCTAAAAACGCATCAAAACCTTTGTCTTGTTTTCCTCCGAGTAATCTTTATCCTTCTCGTGAATTATAAGTGACTGTCGATCTCAATGGCTCCCGACAAGTGAAGATTTAAAGATTGCAGTAATGCTGACCAAACAGACCACTTGCTATTGGCTGCAGCGAATCCAACGCCAGTAGTTTCTTCGAGAGCCAAGTTTGCACCGATTGACACCTCCGCAAACACGAGTGTGGGGACGAATGTCCTGTCATTAGTACAAACGTGTTCCTTCAACTCGAAGAACAATTACGGTTGGCTTCTTGAAGACCGACTCAAGAACGGAAACGGAAATGGCTTCTGTGGAGTGAAGTCAAAGTGGATCAGCAGAAGGCAAGGTCATATGCCACGACGTCAACACCAGTATATACTGTCGTGATATAGAAACATTTCTACCGTAGTACATATGTCGAGCATCAAAGCTTTAAACAGACTGACATCTGTTTTCGCACACAATCGACAACCTGCTCTTGTGCATCGAGCCGGAAGTGCTGCAGCCATGGCAACTGCCGCCACTGTTTCCTTGTCGCCAGACACGTCCGGTGTCCTCCATGTACCTAAGTCACAGATCGCACCAGAATCATGCTCAAGGGCATCTGAGCTGTTACAGAAGAACCACGATGACTATCACATGTACTTCAACAGTTCTGGCTTTCACAACCATATTGCCCACCACCTGCTCACCATCTTCGCCCTCGGCGCTAATGCTCAGCAACTCCAGAAAGCTTACAACGATAACGCCAATTATCAACGTCCACAGTTTCCTGTGGACAAGGATAAAGTTGAATCTATGTCTGATCCCGCCGTTTTCGCAAAATACCTAAACAATGAGAAGTATTTCCACGACTTCGAAATATACTTTCGCAAGGAGATTGAGAAACGAAATGGATCGTGGCAGCAGATGCTGAACGATCAACTATTTGCGGATACTGATCAGGCCAAAGATCTGTTTGTGAGAATGTTTGCTGGGTTCTACCATCCTATTATCCACCTTGGCTTCGGTATTGAGTTCGAACAGCCAGCGATCATCGTTGAAGCCTTGGCTCAAGCATCTACACACGATCGGTGGCCAGGCGATTTCGTACAAAAGACAACAGAACTCGCCAACAAAAGGAAGCAGAATGGAGAGAAGTCGCGATCACTGTTTGACCTATTACGAGAAGCTCGGAGCAACGACAAGATTCGAGAGTCGCCGCACTGGGAGGACGGGAACAAAGTCCGTGACGGTGTTCTCAAGCGCGCAATGTCTGAGACTGCAGACCTGTGCTCGCAGTGGCTTGTGCAGCCTACCAAGGAAGACCTGAGACTCAAAACAGCAGAAATGACCAATTTCTGTGCATACTTCGCTAGTGCTGCACAGCATCCATCTCGACAGAAGCAGCTCAAATTCGACTTCTTCTACATGCACTGCATAAACTGCTCGATCTTCTACTCTGCATTCATCGACCCGAAACACGACAGCTGGCTCAAGGATGAGGATCGTGTGCGCTTGCTTCAATTCAAAGGCTGGTCGGATATTAGCATGTATATCTCCAGAGGTTCACCGGAGCTGCTCTTGGACGAAGTCACCAACTACATGCCAAAACAGCCTGAAGACGGCTGGGCCGAGCTCTTTGAACGAGTCGACATTCTCCCCGACGATGGCCACGCTTCGAAGCTCGTCAGAGCGATGGCGAATGGACAAAGAATCTGCGCCGAGTATGAAGGCAACGAAGGCAAGGATTGGCCGTTCAAGGGCGATACGTGGTTGAAGGCGGCGCATATGGCGATTGATAGTGTGGAGGGTACGACGACGAAATGGGTGAGGAATGCGGGATTTGATCAGGCTTGGAAGGATATTCCTGATAGATCGGCGGAACCGAATGCAAGTGCTTCGAGGGCTGCGGCACTTGATCCAAATGCTTCGAAGGGTGAGGTTGCGCAGGGGTATCATGAGAATTGAGGATGATGATTGGTTGTGGTGTGATCGAGAAGAGAGGATTTGACGAGTGGCATATTCACGACTGTACTTTAGTTCGAGATTGTCTCTATATGCGCATATCCAATTTTCGATATAGTTGAACCTGAGTGTAGCCTGCAACCGAATGACCAAGAAGTTTTTCAACTTGCTTTGAATATCAACAAACTCAATCTTCAACCTCGGAATTGTGGGGTATCAGAAGATGGGGAAGTGGAAGACACCCCAGTCAGAACAAACATGGGCATGGTTGCAACACCTGACCAGCAAATGCTCGCTGAGAACCGGAAATGTCTTCAACCACTAATACCAACGGCGAGCTGCACTTGCTGTTCATTCGACATGGCGAAACACAAGACAACATTGACCGTGTCCTCCAAGGTCATCGAGATACAGACTTGACCGAAAAAGGACACAAGGAAGCCAAGGTCCTGGCTCAGAAACTGCAAGGACAGCAGATTGATGTGATCTACCACTCACCACTGAAGCGCATGATTCAAACCATTCAGCCGATAATCGATGGCCGCCCAGACCTTCCAAAACATGCTGATGCGGACCTGAAAGGACAGTTGCTCGGAGAGTTGGAAGGAGGCTCATACGACTCAATCGACATGGGCAATCCACGAAGCGCAGATGGAGGGCCTGGTGTTGAGCTGTTCGACGACTTTGTGAAGCGGCTCAAAAGGGTGTTTGGGCGGATTATTGGTGCAGAAGCCCCTAAAGTCGATGGTGAAGATCGTGTCGTCGTGATTGCGACGCATGGAGTGGGTATTACATCCTTGTTTACAGCTCTTGAGTCAAGTCCATCTTGTGACGGCTTAAATCCTAAGCTTGCTGTGCGTGGACCCAAAGCTTTTGAAGTCAGATGGACTGATAGTGACGATATTGCGGAGATTGTGGTTGCGAGTCCTAGAGCATTTCCAATCAAGAATGGATCATTGGACTGGTCCAGTATCGAGGGTCAGCCATTCTTGATTGAGTACTGGGGAAAAGAAGAGAAGGCTCTTTGATCAATACTGTAACTATCTGCTACTCTTGGCTTATTCCTGCCATGATGGCACTATGTTCAGCCGTAGGTGGATGACCAAGTCGCCGCCGCTCACCGACAATTCATCTTTCTTTCCCACGCGCTCTTTACTGCCTCATAAAGCAGATATAGCATCCACGATGCGATCTCCGTCTCTGGTCGTGCTGTATAGCACGGTAGAGGCGTCTTCTACACTTTCTCAGCATGTCCTATACCAGTATAGCCCCAACGTTGGGGTGTACAGTCTGTGACTCAACGATATCTCGTCCTGGTAGTCGCGAAGACTACAGGACTTCCCTCCAATCAGAGAAACGATTAATACATAACCCATACGAAATTGACCCAACGGTGCGCTCGTATTGGTCTTTTGAAATGCTGGAACTAATCCTGGCAGAAATGGCATTCGTCGAGCTAGCTCCAGAGCTGGTACACCAGATTTACAATACACTTTACAGCATCAACGACGTGATAAACCTGTCTCTCACTTGTCGCCATTTCAACGTACTCCTCAAGCACAGCCAAAAGCTACCCACTTTGTTCGCAGCTGCCGAGCGTGAATTTGGTCCTTTAGAAGATGTCGCACAGCTTGTTACCTTTAATGCTTCGCAGCCAGCACACATAAAGCGTCACCCACAACAAAACTATGCCCTGCTAAGACAAATGATTAAGATTGGAGGTGTTGCTCAAAAGTGTGCGGACATTTTCCCAGAAAGACGATGGCAGGACAACTATCTTGAACGACGAACACTTTCCAACGATGAGGTGTGGAGATTAAGGCGAGCAGTCTACAGATACTGGCTGTACTGTGAAGCTTTCCAAGGTCGAGGCAATTCGAGGAGTATGCGCATGCTGCCATATATGGTGGAAGAAAGAGCACAATTACTACGAACTTGGACTACAGGTAAGCCTGGTTTTAATCGACGTGTGGCGTAGCCGAGATGCTGATATCCGTGCAGAAGAACTAAGCGAGATTGAGGACGTGCGGCTTGTGCTTGAGGATCTTGTCTCACTTGAACTTTGTCCTACCCACGGCGCTGCACAACGAGAATTCAACCAGCACTGCGATTTTGCTGAAGTACGCCAAACCCACCAGAACGTCTACACTCACCGATCGTGGAACTCCTGGCCACCTGATTCATTTACCTCTCAACTGCTGTCCACCAATATTTTCCACAACTACCGCGACGAACAAATCCTGAGCAGGCATCTCGATTTACCTGTTCCTCAGCGCAGGAAGCTCGAAATGATGGGCTGGGGCGACGAGATCTCGCAGTATTATGTCGTGCAATCTATGATGAAGCTGAATCCAGCTCAAATCATGTACTTGTACGAACATACTACACGGAAACAGGACATTGAGCGCTGGCTAGCAGAACATATCGGCGAAGAATGGTTCTGGGATAACGGGCAGACATGGCTTGATACCTGGAACCTGGTACTGTACAAAAGAGGCCTGGATCCCGAATGGTTACAACTCGAAATTCAAGAAGGCAGAGCAGGAGTTACAAACAAGGCAGGATCGTCCGACCAGCATATTGAGCAGAATCACCAGTGTCTGTACTAAGTCAATCAAGCATCTGTCACCTACGCCGATGCAACATACAGTAATCGCAGTTGTCCATCTGGATTCCTGCTGTCTATCTAGGCTATTGGGTACAGTGGCTGAACAATATTAAGATCAGCAAATTAGTTGGCCTTCTACATTACTGAGACAAAACATCGCTTTCTTTGTCCAATCCCCAATTTCGATGCTTCAAGTTGTGCCTTTTTGTCTGCACTGACCGTGGTCAGGTCCGCTCAATTTCTTTGTTATGCTGACTTCACAGGGCCATGTCCTTCCCTTCGATTGACAGTATGCCGTCAACCGTTCCTGCCTCCAACACCTAACCATCCAGAATGAAGTCGGCTCTCTTGAGCCTGGGAGCTCTCCTCCTCATAATCACCAGAAGTGCGTCAGCCCAATCGACCAGCACCGTAACCGCAATCGACCCTCAAACAATAACGGCAGCAACCTTCACCCCGATCGTGACACCAAACTTAGCCAATGTCATCTTCACCTTGGCAGACAGAAGCAAGAGTACCTCTTTCGACGTCATCAAGGATAAGAGATGCTATAACACGGCTGAAGTTGTTGGTACACAGTATGAGCATGGGAGGATGGGGGTGAGTATTTATGCATTCTATTTCAACCTCATTCTTCGTCTTGAAGACAGGTGTTTGAGGCTAATACTGCGATATAGGTATCTATTGGCACGACCTGCACCAGCTTCGACCTCCCTAACTGTCAGGGATCGCTTTCGGTCCTTACTCACCGTGTTGGTCAATTGAATATGTATGCTGCAGGAGATTATCCGTTCATTAGTTTTTGGTGTGAGGGCAATGGGTTGCAGAAGGAGACTCCGGTGTTTACTTTTGGTTCATAGTGTTTTCTGGACTTTCGACCATAGTAGTACTGCTAAAGAGTTGAGGCGAAAGGCACATTGTTCACCAAAGCAATAGTAGAAATGTTCAGTAACCCTATCACGCCAAATTTTGGTGTCTGTTCGATGTGGTATTACTGCGAAATTGTAGTTTTTCGGTAGCTGGAGTTACGTTAATGGGATAGTGCTCCGAAATTTGAGTCAGACCTCATCGATGTGAGTAGAAACAAGACCGGCTGTGCTCTGGCCGAGCTTACCTGCTGGGATGGTACAGAAGTACCAGGTTCAATACAAATGTACATACAACATAGTATAGCTAGAGCAATATACAGATAACCTGATCTTTAATCTCCGTGCAATGCATCGTCAATTGGCTACTTCCGGAACGTTACAATCTGGGAGAAGTCCTTTCAATCGTGCATTGGGGTCGTCGCTGCACACACACAAAGCATACTTATATCTATCAGACATAGGAAGGTCTCCTCTGTTGGCACGATGTAATCTGCTGTTCAGAATTTGACCATATCGGAGGCCTGTCCAAGCAGAAAGTATACAGCAACTCCACATGTACTTTTGCCACAAAGCTTGATTGCCGTAACGACTGTCTCGTTCTATAGCATTGATTACCTATCATCTACATACTGTGTATCCCTGCATGCTTCCTCAGCGCAAACGAAAAATAAGGGCAAGAAACAGTAAAAGCACTCGTCTCGTCACGCAATGCTCCCAGACGACCTACAACCACACCCAACCAAACTCCTCGACCTGCCCGAAGAGCTCCTCCTCAAGATCTTCATAGCAGTCTACGACCCATGGCACGCTCGCATTTCCTGGCGTCCAAATAGATGTTACGAACTGCCGCCCGAGCACCACTGCAACATCCGCTGCTACCAAGGCATTCACGACTTCAAAGCTACACCAAGCAGTCCATCTCGCATCGCGCCCATCCTCATCTGTTCATCACTACGTGACATCGCGCTCACAGCTCTACGGAAACAATTCACTGGTGTCTTTGACGCGACTCAGGCGAAGAAATGGCCTCAGATACCGGCTGCGTGGAATTTCCTTCGGAGCACGGTGACGAAGGTTAAATTGCCTCATCTGGAGATACCGGATGCTACTTATTCGATCCGCTGTGCTCCTGTTGTGGTTGCGGAACAGTGGCAGTTTAACCATGTGGAGATTTCAAAGTCGCTGCCTCTGGTGGGTACTCTAGAGTATTGCTGTTTGACTGTATTTGCTATGTGGTTCGTTGAATATGATCCTGGAACGGATGAGGCGAGATTTGAGGAAGCGGAAGCGCGTGTGCATGAGAATTGGGGTGGTTTAGACACTCTCTGGGAGGCCGAGGACGAGGGAACGATGATTCTGTTTCATGTCTTGTTCATGGCCGATAATGAACTAGATGGCACGGACGTGCTGTACAAACTGGATCGACGGGCTCGATCGTGCTCCGTAGTACAGAATGTGCCTATTTCAATCAGAAGAAAGTACACAAATATGCTGGAGATCCAGCCAAAGACCCTGCTACCATAATAACGACACGGAGCTGCTTTTGCCACGATTACCGCTCGTGGGGCCAAAGGTCGGGAGTAATTCAGAAACTGCACGGTCGAGCTCAATCATTCAATGTCACCACCAATGCATCCTCTCCACTAAGTCGGCCTGTACAAAGCTTTGCCCAAATACCTTCGATGCCATCCTCGCCTTTAAGGCCATGCTCGACTTTCAGATTCAATCCCAATACCCTTCCATCGAAATCGTGTTCCTGCTGTGCTACCATTCCCGCAAAACGGCTGTCCATATCCTCAAAGTATTTCGCCTCGCCGCATCTTAGCATCGCTGCATCCCGAATACCTGTGGCATTCATCTGCCACGGTTTCAATTTCTCAGCTGTCGCTCTTCTCTTTGACATTGCCTCCTGGTCATATACTTTAACCTCAGCTCCAATAGCCACGCACACTACCTCCGCGGAGCTATTGACCTGCTTGATCGCCACCACAACCTCCTCCAGACTATTGCCTCGGCCAGCAAAATTCAGAACGACATATTTTTGATATGGTTCAAACGAGCCTGCCAAATTATGATAATTTACCACTTTGTGCGTGAAAGGCACGTTCCGGATATAGCTTCTGCACCACTCTTTGCTGCTAGTGACCTCGACCAAGGTATATCTTGGCTGCTTGGTAGCAGCAATAGCAGCCAGCTCATGAATGAAACTTCGGGCAGTCTTGGAGCCAGAGCCAAGACAAACAATGCAGGCTCCAGCAAGGTCGGCCTCCTTCGTGGTCCACGGTGCAGCTGGAATTCCAAGGGCTGTCGGGTCCCCAAGGGGGTGAATTGGAGCACTTCCATCTTGAGGAAATAGGAAACGTGCAATCGAGGCTCCCGCCTCATTCACTTTGAGTACTGCTGACCAAGCCAGTAAGGAGTTGTTGAGATTTGTATCAGCTGGCTCAAGCTGGTAGCGTTGGTATAGATTCATGATCTTGTTTCTGTGCGGGCTTGTTTCAGTAAAGTGGCTGGGGACAGACGCGACCTGCGTCAATTGAAGGTCAACCGTGTGCTCAGAGATCGGCAGAAAGCCGCTGATGACCCTCCCTGGTTCTATGTCCTCGATGGTCGATTCCAGAACCTCACAACAACCCCAGCCTGGAGCAATGCCATACTTTGTGACATCGTTGTAGTGTTCCGGGAGCGAGGCTGGCAAAGGAAATGCTGACCACCAATGCAGGACATCTCCCATCAGACAGTACGAGAGATTGTTGGCTGTGATGCCTACCAACCTGGTCCGGACACGGACTGAGGATGGTCCAAGTGAGGTCGCTGGCAGAGGAATCTGGAGACAGACCTGCTCATCGTATCGAGCTTTTTCGACGAGGCGGATCGTTTCGATAGATGCCATACTCACAAGCTCTTTTCTAGCAGTGTCTTGACGGGGCCTCAAATCGGACGTTGTGCTCCTAGATCGAAGATTGTACAGGCTTGGGACGACGTTGCAATATTGTCGGATCACTAGGTCGCCTTAACAGGGATACTCATGCCAAGACTAAGGTAAAGTACGGCCGTACAAGATAGACCAGCGATGTTTCTGACGTGACCGCCAAGAGAGAGTACTGTAGGGCAGATGGAGATCACGATGGTGTTCACGAAACTTTTGTCCAAGGCTCAATGTTGTAAACTTTTGTGATATTGGACACTCCAAACACAAAGGGTGTACGACTTCGTCCGATGGTATGTCGCCGCTCACGAGACCGGACAAGAGCTTCGAGCTCGAGCTTCGGTCTTCTACATTGCAGTTTCATCTCATGCATGTTGAGGATAAGTAAAGTAATCCATGTTCCGAATCCAGTCTGTAGCATCTTCAATGTATCATGTCATCTGCTGAGCCATATGGTGCCTGCACAGCCAGCGTGCTATTCTCGATGCTCATCATGCTTGCTTTCTCAACCGCATCTCTTGTGTGGACAAGGAAATCTAATTATGCCCATCGCTTTTCCTCGACTCGTAAAGAACGTGCGGGTACCCAGCTCCTGACATTGGAATATTGAAAGGGCATTCATCGTCAGGGACTTCACAGGCGCCGAGCTTCAATCGAGCTCTGTGCAGGGTCAGTTGCCACGTCACTAGAGAGAAAGCAGCCCATATATTGGGTTCAAGTCCTAGAAAGTCAGTTCACCTGCTGGACAATGAATCGAGAAGCATGCACAGCACGAATGAACGACGTTTCGAGTCGACGAGCATAACTGAAGCTCCTGTAGTAGGTCGACATTGTTCAAACCTGCATAGCTCTGCCAAAGACGAGCTTTCGAGTCGCTCCTGCCAGCAATTAAGTTCGAGGATTGCGTCAATAATGTTTGCGAGTTTTGCAATTGATACAGTACATCAAACGTGTTTGTGGAAGGCATTACCCTCATAATTCTACTCGTGGTCAATCTTCGCCCGCTGGCAAGCTAAACATCCAGTATTCGCTGCGCGACTCGCAGCTGCTCTGAACGCGAACCGAGGATTAGGACCACGTATCTTATTTCATCGCCGTCACTCACAGCCACTACAACCACAACCCTTCCCCACCTTGACTGCCCTGCATCCGTCCCACTCCTCTTGTCATACTCGTATACCGCAGAAATACAGTCATCAAGACTCTGATACAACTACACACCTATCGGGTGCCCTGACACTGGTTCGCCGACTGCCCATTGGTTTAATCACATCAATAGGTGTCGGCGAGATTGCCACTGCTCATCTAACCTCATCAAGTAGTCCTTCAAAGTCGATGCTCCGAGTAGCACAACACAAGATCTTGATCGAAAGATAGTCCAACTAACACACCACAGTTACAACTGCCGGTACTGTACTAGTCCTGCAACCTCCTGAGTCTACAAGGGCCTGAATCCCGTCAGCCGCTGAGATACGACAACGACGACAGCTCATTCGAGCTACTGAAGTGCAAGAACTGACAGCTGCAGACTGTGTTGGAAGCCTGTGACAGGAGCATGGTCTCAATGGTCCCTTGGACTTGCACCTGCTCCGACCCCATCCACTTCAAGTTAGATACTCATACGGCCACCCATCTGCGACCAGCATATCCTCGATAAGCGGATGGGGGCGAAGTGCGTCTTCAGCGAACAACTTCCTTCTTCTGCCGATGTATTGCAGCACGTGAACTCCTCAAGGGTGGAGCGTGAAGCACGCAGAATGTCGTGCCAAGCGATTGTGACCTTGCTAAACCTCGAAACTTGACTGCTTGCATTTCACAAGCATTCTTGCGTTGACAGGTGCTTGTTCTCCCCACATGCGCTAGCTCGGAACATTTGGCATATGGCAGGAATCGAATCGTGACAGCTGCATCTGCTTGGTGGGACAAATCAGCAGTCACTTATCACTCACACCCGACATTTCGGTGCTTGTCGTGCTCCCCTTCCACCTCAGGTATTCTCTTGGTTGCTGTGGTATGTGTCCATACAGAGGTCTCCGAAGCGCAGGAGCACTCTCGCCTACAGAACAAAGCGGCCAGAGTTCTCGAGTGGGGTAATTGTGATGAACCGCTTTGTCAGAGCCATGCATGATATTATCGCATGCTACTGCACTCTCATGATGAGATTTAGCGATCTCATCGCCTTAATCTCCAAAGTCTTCACGCCCATAAATCAAGGTATCATGTGTATCTGGCAAGCATGCTTGCAGCTGGCCATCTGGATGATTCCGGCCTAAATACCTTTGGGAAAGTTCTGGCGATTAATACATATGAGGCGTCCCGACGGAGCAGCATATACTTGGCATGCATTTTTCGCGCGCATATGCAAACTAACGCGTCTAATATACAAAAATACAGTACGGAAATGTCACCACGTGTCCACATCGGCGAATTCATGTCAGGCCAGGCATCAACGAGCTAAAATTCCCATTCGCTCGCGATAGATACGACGTGTCAATCCCACTAGAGTGGGTACTACTGGATCACTTCGGGCTGAGCCTGTCGGTGAGAGGAGCCGAAGTCGTTGTTTCAACGACTGAAGCCACGAGGTTAAGCGCTTGACAGAACACGCATGGATATTTAGACTGCTTCTGTTCCATCTAGATGCAGTAAAATCTGCAGATACAAATGTACATGTACAATAAGCACGTTCCATCCCTGCAAGCTCCAACGACCTTCCACGTTGTAGGAAGTCCTCCCTAATCAGAACCAAAAATCCACAATGCCCCACCATCCACGTTTCACCTATCATTCATGCTCGTGCACATTATTCGAGTAGCTGTTACCCTATCTACCATGTCCTCTTAATCATCTTGCCCTTCGCAGCACATGCAGCCCTGCAGGCGTCAGGCCCCCAAGCACTTCCAGTACCCACATCCGGGATATGCGAGCCCACACTCTGCAGATTGACCTCTCCACCCAGAATAGTCTGGGTGAAATTAGCTGGCAGGCTGAAGAATGCATTCGCAAGGTTATGGGTGCCGGCGTCCTCGGAGTTGAGTGCAGATACGAGCTGAGCGTTCTCACAGCCAATGTTCATCATGGTGTGCACCGAGGCTGTGGGGAAAATGGTCATTTGGCCGGGAGTTAGAGTCTCTTCGACTGTTCGTGCGCCGTTCTCGGCGATCATGAAGGTGCGTGTGGTGCCTGACATGGCGACGACAAAGTTGGTTGCTCGTGGGTGGATGTGTGGTGGGAGCATGGAGCAGGGGCCCAGGTTGAGCATTGCCTGGGATTATGTTAGCTTTTCGTTTTCGGTAATGAGAATAAAGTCCTACCAGTGTCATACCCTGGCCAATCACGGCAGGGAAAGAGGCGGCATTGGCGTTGACAACACCACCTGGAGCAAAGGTGTATTTGTCTTGCTTGGTGAAGTCAAAGTGCCAATCCTCGTCCTTGGGAAGGAGAGCCATTCGGTCGAGGTTGGTGGTGGCCATTCTGAGCTTAGCGCTTAGTTCTGGATCAGTGTCGGCACCAAAAGCTACACCAGCCAACACAATGGCAACAGTGCAGAGAGTTCCAAGAAATACCATAGCGGCGAGCTTCCAGTTGAATCTGCGAATGCTCTTCTGTCCCGGTTGGCCTGAGGCAAGCTCCTGGAGTTTGATGATAGCTTGTTGTTTTTCAGCGTCTGGGAGGTCGTTGAAGAGAGTGATATCGCTCTTGTTATCTGATGTGACTGTGGAGTGTCTGTTGGATCTCAATGAAGAAAAGACTTTGTTGAAGCTGGCAGGAAGAAAGGGCATGATGTGTTTCAGAACTTGTTCATCTCGTGTCCTTGTGGTAGATGGTGGTGATGAAGGATGAAGGACTGGTGGGACATTCTACCTTGCTTTATACTCCGAGCACCCTCTCGCGTCTGCTGAGTCCTCGAGCCTCCGTTATCATCGTCGACCTTGCTCGGCTCGCATCTACTCATCCTCGCGTGTTCAGAAATGATGATTGCAGGTCGCATTATGCAAAGCCCTGGGTACTCCAGAGCCACTCATTCGCTTCTTCCAGGTTATGGCCGGCAATCGACCCATTCGAGACCTGCTGATTCGCGAGTCCATGTGTAGACTCTTGGACATGCGTTCCCGTCAACAAGAACAGTATCAATTGAGCCTAGGCTCAGGTGGTGGAGGGCGGAGTCCAGCCGCTCGTGGACACTGTAGTCATCCTGAAAGCGAATGCGAAGGACGTCGAGGAGGACGCTAGTCGTGGGGTCCAGAGATGTGGGTAAAGGCGTCCCGAAGCCACGGTCGCATAAGCGCTTATGCTTGATGGTGATTGGTGAGGGATTATTTTTGCTGCATACAAAACCTTATTCGCTTATCGTGACAGAAGAACTTGTAGTCTGTAGGTATCGGTCGAGGCCTGCATTAGAAGACATGCACTAAGTATTCAAGCTGCTCTTAGAAGTCAGTGCTATCTCGAGAAAAGCCATCGGCTCGAGCAGCATGCTGCTTCTCAGCTTTGGCCAAGCAGGCTTGGCTAAACTTTGTGACCACTCGAGGCACGTCTCAGTCATGCCACGTTATGGCTCTTGGTCAAGGTCGTCGTAGATTGGTAGGGGCTCACAGTCTGTACACTATCATGTCCCGAAGTCTGTCGTTCCCTTTGAGCTTCTGCCGCCCAGGTGACCGCCCAGGTGACCACCCTACTGTGCTGTATGAATGGTTATCGTTGCAATCACTGTCAGCAGCCATATCGTACTTCCACCCGAACAAAGAGATATTAACAGGCACTTTCAGAAGGAGTCAGGCGTAGACCCACTCATTGCTGCGCACTGGTTACTCCTCATGATTTAGCATGTCTCGAGCAGGCCAAAGTCCATACTGTCCCGTGTGGAGTGCCAACATTGCTTTGTGAACAGGGTTGAGGGGTCAGACGTGCATACACTACCGAGCAGAATAAGGTTGTTGCGGGAGAGGAATATTTGTCACGGACGAATTCAACCGAAGTCCAGGATGGATAACGCGAGATAGCCAGATGGTGACCATTTTGCATCAGACTGCAATCTGTTTCAGCGTAGCTTGTCCATCCGCATCTGAGAGCGACTGTATTCTCTGTATCGATCTCTTTTGCATCATGTGGGAAGGAGAGCTGACCGGAAAAGATTTGCAACCCGTGACATATACATCTCTTGTATGAATGGGAACGCTGCCATCTATGGTTCTCAAGCCTCAGCCAGTATCAGGCATCCCGTCTTGGTAGGCCAATCGTCTCGCTTAATGTTCTCGTACGCGTTACTGTCAAGGTTGAGGAATGCTCATGGAGCATAAGCCGTTGGAAAACACGGGAATCCTATAGCAGGACTAAAGCTCCATTAGTTGTCGAGAGCTGTCTCCAGGCACAACGAAGCTCAGCACCTGAGGACAATGAGAGGCGACAGAATGGGAGAGACATTCATCGACGACGCTGCGAACCGCTCCAATTAAATGCAGCAAGGTTCGACCGGACCTAAAGCTGCTCCCACGTTACAATCAACGCACTGCGATATGCCATATTCGCGTGTACGTATACTCAGAGACGATGCACTCTGAACTGCCGGAGCTGCTGTTGCACTGTCCCGATATTCACCCGGTTGACCTTATAGTCGACCGTACCGATCGCTCCTCTGCCTGGGAATCGTTCATTGAGCGATTGAATAGGCCGAATCCGATATGATACATTGTAGAACGACCAAACAGCTATGTCGAGGACAGTGCTCATGACTGACACGCAAGCTAGTTGTCAGAGGATGCTGCGTCGTGGAAGCATCAAGAGTGCATTCATCCCAAGCCCAGGGTAAGGACATAGCTCCGTCCGGGCTGGGCCACGGATCATGAGACGATGAACAGCCATCAAGACTATGTTGATTATACAGTTTACGCAGCTCTCTAAGCTGGAGGTCACGGTCCAGCGGTACACGTGCTATGACAGTGATCGAACTTTTCACAATACAGGATGCACAATCAATCAACCATCGAGCTAGGCATCCATCTTACAGAAGCCAGACAAAGCTTCTCTACGATGGCTACTAGTAGAACAAAGTTAATACAAGGTAGATTGTGGTCACCAACAAAGAGACCATGGCATTGATATGTCTGAACCACAATGCCTATGTTCCTGAACAAAAAAGCTTGACTTCTACCACACAGCACAAACATCCTGTTAGAATCGCATCACTATATGTAAGTCTTCAAACCTGCTTCTGAAATCGAGACTTTACATCATGTCAAATTAAGAATACACAATCACGTCAAGAACACATTAACGTGAAAGTCAGTTCGACCAAACAAGTCATCATGGATCCATACAAGACACTATTCATCGACCCAGAGTCGTCCCTGGCAGAAGTCAAGGAAACCTACAGATCGCTTGCATTGTTATACCATCCCGATAAAGCAGGCGCCCAAGGTGAAGAGAGGATGAAGGAAATAAATTGTGCCTACGAACTCATTCTCAAAATTCACAGCCGAGCTGGAAAGTCTTGTGAGAAGATTACAAGCGAGAGCAAGCTAGACGATGCTGAATGGCAACCCGCCGAAATCAACGGCGTACTGGGATCGGTCCCGATAGATGAAGACGAACGTTTGGTCCCGATGGACGAAGACGAACGTTTCGCAGAGTTGTTCCCCGTGCTCTTCGAGAGACTAGAGTCACACATCAAGAAGACATTGACCTTCAACAAGGTGCAATACAGACGTATACAGAATCATCTTCTGCGACAGCTCAAAGGTATGATTCTCACCTGGCTCGACTGGCTACGTCGTGACGGGCCAGAAGCTGACAATTATCGCCAGACCTGTGGACATATCGGTCGTCTCCTCAACACTGTCAAGTGGACACTGGCCTTACAGGCTGCGAAGTATGAAGGAGGTGGTGGACGCTGGGCAGCGTTAAGCTTCGAGAAGATGCTTGAGCAATTCAGTCTCGAGGTAGCTGCCACTGAAGGGTCTCTTGTCGTTGTCACTGGCGAGGACGACAAGCTGATCTTACGCTTGGAATTCTGGTCACTCCTCTACGTCAAACAGGGATGGGTAGATGCCGACAAGGAGCTGTCAGACAGAGTCTTTCAAGACCCTGGCTGGCTGGCTCGAATACTTGAACAGGGCTCTCAGCAGGCTTCTATTAAAGATGCTTGGTCATGTTCCGGATAGGAGTAAAGACTACTAGTAGTAGGCAGATGGTTAGGATACACATCTTGAGCTGAATGATAAAATATGTATGACTCTTTTTAAACCTGCTTCCTAAGTTCTCACTCTTTAGATACGCGGTACTCTTAACTTCCCCCAGCCACCATAATCCGGGTGTACATGGTGGGCTCGTCTGATGCTTCGAATATGGAAAGGACACGGCTGCTCTTCATCGAGTCTTTCAGTTCATGCCGAGTGACAGAATGGCATTAAAGTTCTGGCGGAGATAGCTGGACCCAGCTGGACAATAATGGAGAGTTTCCCACCAAAGTTGAACCGAGCAAATCGGCTGGCCAGCGAGTCCCGACCAATGAAACTGTGACTCACAGCGCTCTTCTCCAACATCGGGACGCCTTGTGATAACCATCTGATTGCACAGATTAGCAAGCCATACATCCTACAATCGATAACACTATTCATGTACAGCAAGTCCATTTTGTTGCGATCGCAAACATAAGCGCGTCAATATTCTCTATTATACGTATCCATCATAAATCAAGCCACCACCTCCAGCTATGGGCGTCTACTACGAAGTCATCCCACCCTCCCTCCAAACATGGATCATGGACCAAAAATGCTTCTGGGTCGGCAGCGCACCACTCTCCGGCAAAGGCCACATCAATATATCGCCTAAAGGCGGTCAGTATTTCGGCATCATAGACGAAAAGACGTTCTGGTACCAAGACCTGAGTGGCAGTGGCAATGAGACTATCTCGCACTTACATGAGCCGGGGAATGGACGGATCGTGATCATGTTTAATGCGTTTGAGGGGCCACCGAAGATTGTTAGGTTGTGGGGATATGGTAAGACACGCTAGGTAATAATATTTGGTGCGTGGATGCTAACGATCTAAAGGTCGTGTCCTTGAATATGGCACACCAGCTTTCAAATCTCATGTCGAGCAGTACAAAGTCAACACCATCCCAGGCACGCGCAGCATAATCATGGTTGACATCCACCAGGTCGGTGGCTCATGTGGATGGAGTGTGCCATATTACGACTTCAAGGACTACAGACCTGTCCTCAACGATTTCTTCGAGAAGAAGCAGAAGAAGTTTGAGGAAGGCGCCGAGAAGGAGGATATGGATAGGTATTGGGCCTGGAAATCGGCATGGAGCATGGATGGCTTGCCTGGAATGAAGCGTGGTCTGGAAGTCGGGAAGAGGGAGAATATTGAACCGCTGAAGAAAATGGTCGGTCCCTTGGCACCTAAAAATGGGTTTGTGCATTCAGACGGTTTCACGTTGGAGCAAGTCATTGTGGTGTTTATTGTCGCTTTCATTGCTGGTATCATGGCTGTTACCTTGAGTCCCGCTGCTCTCAAGAATGTCCTGGCACTTGTACCTGGGCACTCGAGGAATGCGGTCTGGTTGCCAAAGAGTTTGAGGTAACTCGTATAAGTATGAGTATGGCTAGTGATGGCGCGCAGGTGTTGTTCGGAAGTGTTCTAGCGAGTTTGTATTCTGTACGTATTGATGACCCTTAGATTCAGACATTACTTCAACGAGAGCGAAGTTGTCCATTTAGATTGTTTTCTGGATATGCCCTTGTCTAAGGAGTACATGGCGGAGATACTGTATCTTTCCACTTGAAGTTTGTGAACTTCTTTGAATCCTCTTTGCCACATCTTGTCCGTTAGCATTGTGCCTCTGCGCTGCATTACACAACTTCGAGCTGATTTGTATGAGATCTCGCTCAATACATCATATTCCATGGTGAAAGATGCATCGGGACATCCAACGAGTGGTGTGAGCCCCATTTTCTATGTCGATTTAAGCTCTGATAGAGGACTTCGGAAAATCGGCCGCTTTGTCGTACAAATCTCATCAGGGTAGGCTTCGCGACTTACCACAGTCAGGGCTATTGAGATGTGTCGCTTCTTTTGTTGAGTGCTGAGTTGTGGTATCTATCGTCGGGTTCAATGCTGTTTTCTGTCACGGTCGTGTCAGAACTGAAATTCTTGCGATTGGCGTGGTCTGCGCATAATACCGTCCACAAAGTGTTCAAATTGCGATGACTCTCCTGTAAACAGTTCAATTTATTCCGGACCGCACAGCCATGGTGCAGTAGCGAACCAACACATCGCGGGTCGACTTCTTTTATTTCCGGGACTGTCAATTTGCCCAAAGGAAAGCTCATTGTGGCTTGGACTCTAAGATTTGACGTAACGCTGCTTTGTCGTTCTATTGCCAGCATGCCGAGAAGCAGACATAGCACTTGGGAATATGGTTGAGTATAAATTGAAGCCGCGGACAAGGACAAAGTATAGAACATACGGTCACAACAGATGAACGGTAAATGCTCTTGATTAATTCAGATACAGGACTGCCTGTTCTTCTAAATTCTCTGAACGTCTACAAAGTATACTTGAATCCTACCAAGCCCTCAATCGGCTTAGCGTTAGGGTTGTCGGTGACTCTCTTGTTTGCTCGGTAGAACTTGAGATCCAAGAGCAGAGTGATGACGATGATCAAGGCGGCAGCAAGCATGCAGGTCAACATACCTGGACCATAGGCTGGCTTGTCCTGCTCTCTGAACACAGTACCACCGATGATACCACCAATACCACCAGCACCGACGAGGGTGGCGGAGCAAAGAGCTCGCTTCCACTGGCCTCGGATGTTGTTAGCTTGCCATGTCAAAACGCAAGGAACATTGGCGTTGGCAGCAGTGGTTGCAAGGAAGACACCGAAGTATCGGACACCGACGTTGTGGACGTAGCCGAGGAGGGCGATACCGATGAGACCCATGCAGCCGTTGGCGATGATGAAAGGAGATCGAATGTGGTACTTGTCGCCAGCCCAGGCAAAGGCGAACATGACGATTGCTGCGAGGATGTATGGTGGTGCAATCAAGCATTGAGCCTCAGCGACCGAGAAGCCCATTCCGACTTGTAGAATGATGGGGAGGAAGTATGCAATGGCATAGGTCATGGTGGTGGTAAGCATGAAAAGTGTTGCAAAGCCCCAGACCTTGAGGTCAAGAGCGTTTCTGAGGTATTTGCCGATGCTGAATGCTTCCGGGATAGCATCGTGACGATCTTTCTCAATTCGAGCAACGACGAATTCGACCTCCTTTTCGGTGAGGAACTTCTTGCCGAGACCCTTCTTGGCGGCGAGTTCTGGGAAGTCAACAATGAAGTACCAGCCAATGAGGCCGACCACAACAGTGACAAGACCTTGGAGGATGAAAATCCACCGCCAGCCTGAGAGGCCAGGACCGAAGTATCTAGGAGCTGTTGGGTTCTTCTTCGTGGGACCGTGGTGGACACCGAGCCATGGAGCACCAAATTGAACACCGTGGTTTTGTAGTTGGGAGAAGCCATAAGCTAGGATACCTGAGAAAGCTGAGGACATGCTGCCGATTAGGTAGAAGACCGCATTGCGCTTCTGAAGTTCGTAGCGTGGATACCAACAGCTCAAAAGGTAAGCGCAGCCTGGGAAGAATCCAGCTTCGAATATTCCGAGTACGAGACGTAGAGGGAGCAGGTCTGTTTTTCAAGTTAGTAACGGTCAATATCAGGAGTATTGAAGGCAACATACCAGTCCATGTCTTGACGAAACCAAATCCGACCATAGCTAAACCCCAAAGAATGACGATGGAAGGCAAGAACACACGGGGACCCAGCTTTCGGAGAATGACAGTGGCAGGTGGTTGCAGGGCAACGTAGGTGATAAAGAAGACGAGTACAATGATGCTGTACCTCTCGCCAGCCAAAACAAGGTCGGTACCCATGCCAGCAACGACAGCGATACCAAGGTTGGTTCGGTCCATCAGTGACACACAGTACATGAAGCCGAGAGTTGGGACCAAGCGCAAATCGATCTTGCGGATGATCGCCTTCTGCTCTGCAGGAGTGAAGGCATCGATGTGAGCATTGTTGATGGCCTCGGAGTCGTCTGAGTCCACTCTCTCGAGTCTCTCAGTGTCAAGTATCTTCTCGTCCTTGTAATCCATGGCGACTGAAAGAGGTGGAAGTTTTGAAGGTAGGTGTGTGGTTGAAGTTGAAGAAACAGCTTGAAAGACAAACAGATATTGCCTGGCAGAATACGCTGTATATACTTGAGCCTCAAGGTGGATGTCTCAGCAGCATTTGCCAGATGTAGCCATGTCCGCGTCTACTCAGATCGAGCGGAGCGTCCGGATGTTGAAAAAGGCAGTCGAGACACATTGTGTCTGTGCTAGTGCGACGGTGTCGTCTTGGCCAGACGCAGAAGACTCGAGATCCATGAGCTTCTCGAATCTTGAAGGATTGCTTCGCGGACTAGTGCATGCTTGATCGCCACTTTCTGCGTGCAATGAGCGAATGATTATGTGCTGATCTGGGGTAAGTGGGGCGATATGGAGCTGTACCCTGTCCCCAGCTTTCGCAATTCGAGGAGGCAAGCTTTATCTGGGTCTGGGGTGACGGGTCACGAAGCTGAATGGAGGCTCGGCAAATTCAGGTTTGTATTCTAGACTCAAGCCACATGGACGAAGTAGGCGAATTGTCCGATCGCACATGGTTGGAACTTTCCCGGTGCATGATGAAGATGGTGTTCTTCGACCCACGTACTTGATATTCGTCCGTGAATTAGCTTTCGCTGCAATACAGTTTGTCATCTGAGATATCTTACGATCTTTCGGTAGAGCCGCACGCAGAACAAATGACTTACCGAGGATATCAACAATTAGTTTTTACCTTTGGGACCGGAAATTTCTCGATCAGGTGTCTGTACCGAGGAGGAAGTCGTGAGACGAAGGTGGTAACTATGAGCAATTCAGATACTCACAGACCTCTGCCGCAAACATTGTCCTGCATCACCCGAGACTTGTGATTTCGATAGGTATTTCGTGCAACTGCCGAAGAACATTCATCGATCTCGGGTCTCCAGCGCAGTACTCGAGCATTCCTGAACATCGAACATGCAGCATGATGCAGCATGAGGTCGGCTCGACTTTCTGTGCACGAAGTGATATCAATGTAACGACAGGGAGTAGGCCGTCTCGATCCACCAATCGCTTTTGTTTTCTTGAATGAAACAAATTAGACGTGTCATCTCAATATCGCCAAGAACGCTAGTAGCCATGCCAATACCGGACACCCCAGACTGGGCATGGTGCTTGTCGCTTCTTCGCAACTTCTTGTTGTCTTCTCCAAGTGTTCCCAAGCGGTGTCTCAAGCATGAGAAGCAAATAGCCAAGATAAAGGCTTTTCCGTCCTCAAATCGCTGACCTTTCCAAAAGAGGCAGTCGTGCCTTAGCGCGTGGTTGATCCTAGCGCGTCAGTCGGTGGGACAGCCGATAAAGAAAGTCGGTCGAATACTTACATTATCTTTTTCTCTTTCCTCACAACTGTATCAGACGAGGAGGCGTTTCTTTTGCTGCCGCTAGACTGCGCCGCTGTTGACACAGCAAATTTCGTGTCCGATGTGTTCTGTGTCTGGCCTTTCCTGTAATATAGCTAACCCAGCAAAAGCTCCCTTGAGCTATTATGCCCAACGAGGTCGACCAGCCGGCGTCTTGGTCATGAATGATATCGCCATGCCTGTTCCGCTGGATCAAGTCATCTTCGACGTTGCGATGACCCTGACCACAAGGACTTGACTTATCTCGTTGTTCATCGTGAAGTTTGTCAATTTTATACAGAGACAGTAACACGCTACAGACCTTGAATGATACCAAGCGCCCTGCAATACTACGCGAATTTCATTGGACCCAAGTGTTTCAGCTGCTCCTTGCGAGCTTGAATGTCTTCCACAAACTTGATGTGGCAGATGAATCTACATGCATGACTCAAATACTGGAGACTCAGCCTTTTTCTGCGCCGGTCCTTGCTCTTCTCTACCACTCTTTACCAAGAGCATACTAACCACTGACTCTAGCTCTCTTTTTCCACGAACCAGGCTATAGAAAGCCGGATCGAAACCTTCACATTCTCCCGACGAAAGCTATCCCACCAACTCACTCGTATGCACACTTCCATCTCCTTTGGTCGAGAAAGATAAGATACAGAAGAACAAGAGGAATTTCCTTCGATTCTACCCTCTTCACACCACTCTTAGTGATCTTGAGTTGACCTCCGAACGGAAAATAATCCCTGTCAAGATCGTGCACAATTTCGAGTTCGATAAAGAAGCGAACTTGGACGGCTGATGGGGCAGCATCACGATCAAGGCTGAAGTGATCCCTACCAACAGAGGTGCTGGGGCGCGCAGTGAAGGACCTCTGGAACGATCAGACGCAGACTGTGCTACATTCGTCCGGTACTTTTGCAAAGAATAAAGGAAGAGGACAGGAGTGCGGGAAAGTAAGTTGAGCGGAGCCAGAGAGGGCGAGCAGTTGGTTGTCATTTCTACAGAGACAGAATCGCATATGTATCGATATGCTTTCAAGGTTGAGGATCTCTTCGTTAGAGATTGGCATTTTATGCGAGGCTTATCAAATCAGTAGATGCTAAAACTCCTGAATGAGACCTACACTCCCATAAGCATCGTCCTTCCCACTTCTTTTTTCCTTCTTCAAGGAAGCATCGACAAGCATGTTTTATTTCCACATGATTCGTGAATTTGAGTTTTTATCTGATATTCTCTTCCTCCTAGCCATCCCTTTCTAATCCCACCACGGCAGTTCTTCTCAACTTTCGAGCAGCTCGCGCGTCCGCAATTCCTTCTGCTTCCGCCTTCGCCTTTCCAGCATGTTCTTCCTGCTCCTTGGTACTGACAAGTCTTCTCTAGTAACAATAGGATTCTGCTGCATGGGGACTTTGACCCTACTTAGCTTGGACGATTTGTTCTGACCAATGTGTACAGTCTTATTGTCTACCGATCAACAAGTTATTGGTTCTCGCTTCATGGCCGTACATCATTCTCGCCTTATGTGGTATTGATCCTCTCTTTCCAACAGCGAGAAAACGAATCCTTGGTGCAGGCGCGAGCGTAGGGGTCGTCGTCCGTCGGATAGTGGTCCTCGTAGTAGTCTTCCTCCCAGGTCCACTTAATCTCTTTGTCCGTCCACTCATAAGCAAAGTCAAGACCTTTTGCGGTAAGGTGCTCTTTCAGATGCGCAGCCAGGACATGAAGGAAGCGAACGTCGTTCACAGCGTACAGTTTGAGAATCGGTGGTAAAGGTCTGTCCATGAACCTTGAGTAATCCCTGCCGAACGGATACTGCTTGTATCGAGCGAACTCGGTCTCTTGGTCGTTATCTAGACAATCTGAATCAATCATCGTCCGATTATATCCTGGTCGCCTATCGCAATAGTAACGATAGCAGAGCATCTTCAGGTACTGGACATCGAGAACACCTGCCAGCTTGATGCCGTAGTGATTGTACAGCGCGTCCGAATCTGATCGTACGTCGAAGATGAGTTTGACTAACTTCGGGTTCTGGAAGATGTCTTGTAGTGTGGTGGCAGACCCCTGTGCAGGCGTGAACCAGGCCTTCTGACCTAACGTCAACAAGTCCACGAGATAAATCCTCTCAGCGACGTTGTCACGGATCTGCAGGTAGCATGTGGTACCGTTACGTCCTAGGTTATCGCCCTCGCAATCGAAGGAGAGCACCATGCTCTGACCATCTGCTGGCAGTTTCACAAGTTCAGTGAGCATCTTGCGAACCCCGTTCTTGGTTGTAACGTTCGTGTGGGATGCCTCGTGCTCCAGCTCTCGGAGGAATTTCACTGTGTTAATGGACTTGATTATACCTTTGTATAATCGCGAGCTTCGAAGGACATCGAGCTGTGATTCAAGCACAGACTTGATCTTGTTTTTGATATCCTGGTAAATAATGAAAGGTTTTCGGATAGCGAAGAGATAATGTTCTTCGAAATTGCTATAAACCACCACAGGTCGAGGACTCCAATTGTCGTACTCAATGCCAAGGGTATCGACCTGCTGGAGTAGTCGGCCTGGGGTGAGGTCTGTCTTTTTGTCGGATGGTATGACACAACGACAGGAGGTTGGAGCAGAGTTGCAACGTCCGCAGAATTGACACTCACAATAGTATCCCTCCTCCCCGCAGATGTGACATCGCGGACATGAGCAAAACGACTCTGGCTGGTCACAAACCGCACAGGTATCGTCGCCGCAGTCACAATCGTCCTGCATGTTGTTGCATCGCCAACATCGACGACACTGGCAGAGCTGGCGGAGCTGGTTCCGTGCTATGTCCCTATAACATCTTTTACAAGTAGCGTCATGCTCATGCTCATGCTCATTGACCTTATCGGAGGGCTCTGATGCGTCTTCTACGTGTCCTGGCACATCTTCTGAGTGCTCGGATTCGCTCTCGCAAACGTCGTCAGTGCTCAGGACTGCGAAGGGGTTTTTGTCATCCAGTGAGGGCCAAACACACTCGTTGTGAGCAGTGACGGTATGAGCATCGGCCTCAGTGGCCTCAGTCGGACGCAATATTTGGTTTGACATCATATCAGGGGATATCGATGGTCTAATCGGGTCTTGTTTCCTTGTTGAGCTTGAATCGATGTACCCAAAGATGCGATTGTGTGGACTGGTCATGATTGAGGAATTATCGAGAGCGCAGAACAGATTCGAGTATCTTATTCGGTCGAGTAACCTTGCGGTGCAAACACCAAGAAGTGTCGCTCTTTGTCACCATGTAAAGTCATCGCTGTTTGTTGGCCTCGTTGTACGTCAACAACTGCACTTTACTCTGCTAGCAACACCATTGTACGCCATTGTGAAGGGAGCGTTCGAAGCCCGAGTATCGCCAGATACTGCAAATTGACCGCGGACCTGCGAAAAGTGACCTCAGGTACAAGGCTGTGCCTGAGGGCGCAGTCGTCGCAATCATCAAAGATGGTCGTTTAGCGACCAGGGTGTTGAGTCCGAGGCCTCACTGCTGCTAGCTCGTTTTGGTTCGTCTGCTCGTAGGAGGTGGGTGACATGTTGTAAGCAACTGAGTGGACTCCATCTTGAGAACGAGTACCCGAACTCGACGGCTGTCCTTCGCAGTCGTTCTCGAAGTTGGAGCCTCCCTTTTTGGGTTGTTCGTACGAGCTGGTCGTTTCAGGGAGCCTTGTTGAGTGTGTCTTCTTCCACAGCGATTCTCTTTGCTGTGCTCTGAACACCTTTAAGTGTGTCAATAATACAGACGACGTGCCAACCAAGCCTGAACTGGTATTTCTTACCTTCTCCTTTCAGCAATCTGAGTGGTCAGAGACTGGCCGAAGCCATATTGGATTGTACTCGACGACATGCTGAAGATTTTCGGGATAAATTGTGCCTCCCACTCCCACATCTCTTAGCACGCCGAGCAGCTCGCTTTGCCACGATCTCTTCAGCTTCGGCCTTGGAGAATGTATTGATATATATATAGGTTGGCAGTCCTGTGTTGTAGTGCTACATTCAGAGTTAAGAAGCCATAATGAAACACCTTCCGTGGACGATACAGCTTCGCCCTCGCTGCAGAGTCTTAAAGAGCAGAAATAATTCTTCTTTCAATTATAGCACCGCCCTTACTCTCAATTGAGCTAGGTGTGTAATGCGCTATCCGACGTTCTGCCTTTGATGTGCTCCGCTTGACCAGTGTTTCGATTAAGTCTTGATAGCATACCGAGACTTGCTACGAGGTTGTCTACTGGTCGTTGGACATACCAGCCACGAATCAGAGGTCATCTGATTCTCAGACCTCAGATGAACAAGACTGAACAAGTCGCTGAATGCGGTTGGGAATCTGAGAAGCAACCAAGCGCTTCAGCACGCTCGTGGTTTGCTGTTGTGCGAAAAGTCCACGTGAAGAGCAAACAATGTGACAAACTCTTGGTGAAGCAAGGTGCCGCACGCTCGGCGTATACTGGTAGTTCAGGTATGCGAAGGTGTTTCCTACTCGGTGAATGCTGTGGTGCTTGGCAGTTTTGGAGGAAAGAACATGCCCAGCGACACTTCAATATCTGCGGACCACAGATCCACTTTCTGGAGAGAACAAAGTAAGTACAGCGGGATTAGTAGCCTGGACAGGCAAGTGCGACGAAACGAAGTTGTTCCGAAAATGTCTTGGCAAAGTGGTGCGAGTCTGAGAGTACTGTTGTTAGTACTCTAAGGAGGAAGTAGCCTATCACTCGAAGAATCAGGTGCCCAAATTTATACCATCCTGCTGTTGGCAAGTCATGCTTAAGTACTGTTCCTGTGGCAGGTCCAGCTTTATCTCGACATCCCAATAAATCTTTGTTCCTGTCAGTAGCATCTTACTGAAAAAAGGGAGTCAAGCTGAAACCAGATCGTAACGTATCTGTTTTGCAAGCTGTTTGAAGCGCTATATGAGACTGTATATGTCAACTGCAGCTCAGCAATAGTAAATAACCTCAGCCTTTCGTATGCTCGACGTGCCATGAACCACCCAGCACCATACACTTACTGTTCTCCATACCACGTGCGTTGTAGCAAAGACCCTCAGACTCAATACCATCCCACCCATCTTTGCGCCATCTCGTGCCAATCACAAAATGCGCTGGAAAAGTCAACCCCTGCCGTATTAAGGTAGCTCGAATATATAGAATTGTGGCCCCTACCACATCGAGTTCAACTAGGTCATCGTTCGTTGACCCCTTAATGATAGCAGGTATATGATATTGACCCTGAGCCGCCAGCTCGCCGTCCTTTATCTCTTGCTCGTTTAGATCCCATCCTCTTGGCCCTTGCCGTGTGCCTCGCCACGCGTTGTGGTCGTAGTTGTCGTTGCCACCTTGCGAGCAACGCGCTGTGATCATTCCGACGTCGGCGCGTTCCCCGGTATGCTTGATCATGCGTTGCACGATACCTCGGTCAAGTCGATGTACATCTGCGTCCATCCATAGAATGTGCTCTTCGTCTGCGATCGTCCTAAGCATGAGGAAATTTCTCAGCTTCGCCAATTCGCTTCGTCGAGCTACTTGTACAGCCCGATCTTGTCGATGAGCACGATCGACGACCGGACCATCGTGAAAGCCTTTATGCAAGATGATTGAGATCTTAGCAAAGTCATATGCGCGTGTCGCTTCAATGTATGCCTTGTACTCTTGCTCCGAGCTTGTGAGTAAGCCTAGAGAGACGTCCTCGAGCTGGACTTGTTGTGGTATTATGCGCAAAAAGTCGTCGACATTACGGTGATGGAAGTTGTGTTTACCCCAGGATTGGGAGTCAAAGGTTAGGCTTAGCCATAGCAGAGAAGGAACAGTGCTGGTACTGCTACGCGTATACTGTTTGACTCCACTGCTGAGATTAGTTTCGACCTCGAACCAGCCATGTGAATCTGCAGGCTGTGGTAGATGATGGCTATCGCCAGTATGGGAGACGTTGTAAGGCCTATATGCTGTTTTGCGAGAGATGTACGCAGGTACTTCACTCACTTCGGCAAGAAGTTAGAGATCACCAGGACCTGAAGAGGGTTCCAACTAACAATCGTGGTAGCGCCATACAATCCCGATTGTGCATATCACAGCGATCGTAGCCGTGAGCACGCGTCGTCGCGTTGACATGTCCTTGCTCGATAGTAGTTTGACTGCAACAACGTCTCGAGGGTCAGCGCAGGCCGGCGACGAGAGACACCCATTGTCTTTGACTTCTGGAAGGCTCGTAGCAACTCCTTGTGATTCGAAGAGCGTACCTCCGTACGCCAACCTTGTACCAAACGAGCCTCTTGGTAAGACGCTGATCGTTTAGTTAGCACTTGATGGAGGCCTTATTAGACCTCGAAAGCATCTGCAATTGGCCATGTTGCCCTGCTAGGCTGGACCGAAAAGAGCTCTGATAATCAGGTGGTGGAGGCATTACGGAAGCTAAGAAGCCGCTTCGGGGCATCGCTGGGCTGTGTAGCCTGGTTGTGACCTTGTCGCGTATGCTCTCCTATAACTTCACTGGAAGTTGTTATATGTAGCAGAAGCCGTTTGTTCCGTCTTCCTTTCTTGTTTGAGGACAATCTCTCGTTCCAGAGAATGTGGCCTCTGAGCAAGTGAAAAGATCGGCTGGAGACATGTTGCTGTCACATTAGCAAGCCGAAGAATACAACAGCGTATGTGTGAATGACGACTTCCGAATGTGCCCTTCCTTCTCGTCAACCCAAACTCCTTTCCAAGTGTATACTGCTGCAAGGTCATTGAACGACCATCACAGTTCTTTGCAATGCTTTACGACATCTTTGTGCGCAGTGATCGAACAGTCATGCATCATGACTAACGGCACGTGCCTCAGATGGTCGTCGGCTGGTCGATGCAGCCAAGTCTCTTGGTGCGCGTCATCTTCCAACACTTTGCATGGTTGGCCAACGAGCCAGCAACGGAGCTTTGTTCTGGTGTGATCTTAACAGCGATTATCGATTGTGGGAGATAATCACCTTGCTCGGCTTCGCGTCTTGATCGCGAGCCATACTGTTGAACGCGGTGTTTAGTATATGGTTCGTTCTGCGGTGTTGAAAATGTCGACTATTCCAGTCACGGGCAACTGATTCCGTTAACATTCACTGTCGTGTTCTTACTGCCCGAACGCAACCACAGCATGGCTACCACTAACAGAACTCTCCACATCGCATGTCTGATATGTGCAATCGCGATCCTTCCCATGGCTGCTGTGATCCTAGGCTTCACCATCGATAACGTCGTTTATCATAGTTCGAATCGCGGCACAAGCATCGTGGCACTTGAATTCAGTTCTGCTGTCCCAAGGATTGTTCTTGTGCCTTCACAAGTAGGAGTCGGCGCCGTCTGGGCTCTATTTGCAACTGGCATTGGCGGGACTATCGACTCGATCCTGTTAATAGCTTTGTTTTCCTTCTCCTGGCTCAAGTCAAAACAAACACCACGTCGATGGTTTTATCCAGTTATCATATTCATCTGTGTTGTTAGTGTGATTCGATCTCTGACAGCACTTGCCTACGCTTTCAACAACTACAGCAAGTCGAGTGCATTTGATATTACCAAAGTCATGGCAGATGGGACGTACTCCACTCAAGGCAATGACCTCGCCCTTGAGAAATGGAATCGGGGTCTACAGCGATATCTGGACGATGGTAGTACACAACTGAGACTAGCCAGGGAAATGACAGCCAGCCGAGGATTGAGTGTGTCAATTTTTGTACTCTATATCCTTGAGCTGGTATTGTCTGGTTATCTGTGGAGGACGCAAAGACCGCGGTCGACTACAAAGCTGAACGATGAGCGGTTAAGCAAGTCGTAGATGGACAAGTCTCTAACCCAACTCGGTGTTGAGCAACGATTCGTGCTTATTAGCGGTTATCGTCGACCACTCGCGTATACAATAGTCCCGGACAATCACAAAGACGCGCTATTGATGATCGTTACAGTGAAGATCGACGTGACCGATATGCTCAGGACGATAGCAGCCGTTCAAGCAGGACGCGCGAGCGAAGTCAATGTCGGGCGCCCTACCCAGGCAACTCAAAGAGTCGTAGTCACTCTCAACGTGATCCGCCCTTGACACGATGAAGTCGACGAGATGATCACGATAGGTCGTCTAGACGCGCGATTTGTCGAGGCACGACAGTCACTCCCGTCGTGACCCGTCACCTACACGATCAAGCGGGCGAGGTGACTATGATCGTCCTCAGAAAAGTCTGGAGTACAAGGAATCGGAACCATCCAGCCGAGCTCTTTCACCTCGTCCCGGGGATTGAGATAACGGTATTAAGGCTCGGACAGGGAGCAATAAATTGTGTAGTCAATGCTTCATTATGTGGTTAGAACTCAGCCATCGTCAATTCTGGTGTCTTGAATAGGCTGAGAAAAACCATGTCCAGAAAATTTTGTTCACGTTATGGTGACTTCTGGTGCTATGAGAGTGCGTTGCTTGAATTCCCGCAATTACCTACTTGCCACTTCTCTTGCAAGACCTTCCAGTATCCAACATCATCTCCGTCAAGTCTCTCAGAATATAGCAGTAGCATTCAACCAACTCGCCACGCCACCAATCGTCCTGAACGGAGCGCTCGTAACAAAGAAAGTCCACCTCTTGTTCTTCTTCGCTAATTCGCTAACCTTCTCAAGATCCACCATCTCGCCAATAGGTACGCCCCACAGCGCCAGCAGGTACTCGTGCAGCATAATAGGCGCAGGTGGCCAGCACTCGAAAGCAGGGGCGTCACCCCCAACAGCTGAGAAGTAACAGTCGTGTAGCCAGTCAATCATCTCGGGCTGTCGCTTGACGCCTGCCCACGCGCCGTGTTCTCGTTTCGCAAGCTCGACATTCTCTGCATCAGTGCGAGAATAGTAGTCCTTGACCCACCCGCTGCGGATGAACAATAGATCACCAGGCTGTATATCTCCACCTTGTGAAGCAGGACGGATGTCGAGGTTTTGAGACTTTCCAACAAGCACGAGATTTTCATAGGTGATTTCGTGAGGCGTCGCGGTGTCGTAGTTGATCCCTTGACTCTCAGCCCAAGCCTTGTAGTCAAGGAGTACACCACGACCAGTGAGACCGTGCTCGCGCCAAAGATGGACACTGCACTTATGCGACTTCTCATCACCGCCAAGATGGGATCTGAAGTCCGCAGCTTTGGTATTGTTGTAAAAAGTATTGGTGGCTTGATGGGCGACGTGGCGGAACCCGTCCCATTGCGTGCCGGACTGGGTGTTCATATGATAGATGTCATCGTATGCATGTTCCTCAGCGATGGGTGTAATTTCATGCTTGAAGACCTGCCGTCCGAAAGCGGGCTGAGCTGGAACGTTGGAAGGAAGGTCGAGAGGTGCTGTTTCACCTGTTTTGATTTCGGCTGCTGCTGCTTTGACTCGAGTTGGAGTGAGGAGGTTCAGTCGACCTAGATAGTCATCCTGAATAACTTAGCTTCCTGAATAGACTTGACTCTGAGTGCTGCCTACTTTGCCCCAAACCTAGACATGATCAGCATACAACGAGCTGCAGAGAGTTAGACAAATTACCCAGCAAGCGCCATCTGGTTGTCCGGGTTGGTGCGAGATATCTTTACGCAGCGGGAAGTTTGTATTCTCTGGATCCCAAGGCAGGGAATTCGGATCTTGTGTCTTACCAAACATCATGTTCTTAGCTTGGTTGAGCCGACGGGTGGCTGTCAATAGGCTACTCATACTTGTTCTTGTCAGACACGCTTTGCTCTGGTGTACTCTTTACGCTCAAGAAGTCACACCAAGTCAGAGTCAAAGTGAAGGTTTGTATGAGTACACCTCAGCCACGGCATAGTGGTGTCACCGCCACAGTGCCGAGGCATCTTGGACTGACGTGGAACAACAAGGATTAGCTTGATTCGCTGAGGGGTTGTTGAAGCAGGAGTGAGCATCGGATTGATGGTTTTTGAGCACTCGTAGCCCCTCACGCTGCGTCTGCATTAACGCGAATCTGGTCTGCTAGAAATAGTCGAGATTCAGATACTGACGCGTGGTTTGACGGATATCATGTGCAGTGTGTTTGAGCTCCAACATCGTTGAAGCGGCCACTTCGATTTTCGAGGTCAAATAAAAAAGAAGCCACGATCTTCTGCGCGCTCAATGTGTGTGAATGTGTAGAATAGATATATCATATTGAACACAAGCTTCTATGTATCGAAACCACGTAGCCACACAGATACCGAATTTGGAGGTACAACACGCTCGCACATCAAGACGTGATCGTTGCATCAAGCCCCAACCAATTCCACCCATTATCGAGCTCTAACCCTCCTCCACCTATATTGGGAAATGGAAAACTATCTCCAGGCATGTTTTGGTCCTGGTATTGTGGTCCATACACGTTCACAGCTTGCTGTTGGCCATAATTGTTGGATGTAAGGTCGATGTTTGAGCTGAAGTCCAAAACTTCCGCCCCAGGAAATGCCATAAAACTATCAAATGTGATGAATGGATCCTCAGTGCTTGCCGTCCAAGAGTTGTCCATACCGTTCGGAGCTGATAAAGGATACTCGTAAGGTGATTGACGTATTCCTTCGCTGTTTATACTTGGCGAAGGTTGAGATGAGTGAGAACTGCAACTTGGAGTAGGTAAACCACTCATTATATGCTGCTGAGCATGCTGTTGGGCCTTTGCGGAGGCGGTCACTGATTGCCGTGGTGCACCTGCTTCTGGATATGTTCCTGGTTTGATTGGTACGAAGTGCTTGCCCAACCCAATCGAGATCGTGCCGAAGTAAGGAATAGCAATCTGACACGAATCTTTACAGGCTTTTTCTTGGTCACATTTACCTGACCTAACCCGACCAAGATATTCAAGCGCTTTCGCACACTGAGACGCCACAACGCCACCAGGCTCATTAGCTGCTACACGAAGCAGAGTAATAGTTCGATCAATTAAAGCAGAATCTTCTTGGTCCTGCTCCAAGTCTGGCTGTTGTGGCAAAGTGCCTCTAATATGCGAATTGTATCCACAGATATTGAGTATCAGAAGCATTGCCGCTGTAAACGCCTGGAAATCAAGCAGTTTGCAAATATGAGGACCAACACTATCAGCGCCTCGTAAAGCGTCGAAGTAGCGTATCATGTGCCGGGCAGCGTCTAAGCACGTTGCGTGAGAATATTGGTAGAGTTTGTCGCTGGATGATCGAAGCATGAATGGCATGTGTAGAAGAACCTTTGTCTGATAGTGGAAGAACTGTGCTTGGAGGCGATCGAAATGCTCTTCTATCGCAGTATTTGGTAGTCTTTCGACCGTCCACCAGTGCTTCGGTGTCGTAGCGTACAGTTCATCGACCTCTCTGTCTAAGTTGAGTGAATGCGAATAAGGCATGGTGGTTGGACTCTGGTTCCTATCAATGAGTTTTGTCAAGATAGGTGCCATCCTTGCAAGGTAGGCTTCTCCAGCTGCAGACTCTTGCGCAATGACAGCCGCTTCAGCGATTGACGCAGACACAAAGGCCTCAGCTACCGAATATGGCAGTCCAAGGACTAGGGATAAATACCGATCCCCCATCACGAGATGTGTCCATACCATTAGTTGCCTATAGTACTCTGTGTCTGGTCTCTTGGGGCGTCTTACGGTGAGCCTGTGCAGACCAAGAAGCTGTCCAAAAGCAATGGCACGATGATAGAGTAGCCAGGATCTGCGTGGTCTGCCAAGATTGATGTGATACTTGGCCTCGAGGATCATGCATTCTAGACCGTCAATTGTGGCACCGATTTCATCATCTTGAATGATCAGTCGGTCGACGGTAGAAATGTACCGCTCCATCAGTTCCGTACGGTCTTGCTTCATTGATACGCGGCTCCAATCAAATTCTTGAGGTAGTTGATTTATACTCAAGGCGATACACAGCATGATCTTAGCTATCTCTGCAGGTTTCTCCGACCTCAAAGAATGGGAGACGGACTCCTTGATAGTCACACACCGTCGATCAGTAATATGAGGGAACATAGTCCGCCATATGGCCCACCATTCTTGTGAATTTTCGAGTATGACCTCGAGGTCATCTGGAGTAGGAAGGAGCTGTAGAAGCGAGGCTATCAAGGACTTCGACTTGTTGTATTGTGCTCGAGATATGGGTGCAGGTAGTTCTCTTCGTTTTATTACGTCGTTGTCGAACAGCGATAGAGCTGGGGCGCTCGCGGTGGCCTCGCCTGGGAACATGAATATCTCTTCCGATGAATGTAAGTTTCGGGCAGGACTTCTTAGACTTTCTAGAACTTTTGCTATGAAACAGATCAGAATACAACTCAATCTAACCAATGGTACTACGTACCTGCTTGGGTGTCGGCTTGCATGGTCTGAGTCTGAGGTGGTGCAGCTGGCGCGGCAGGCGATGCGACACCATTCTTCTCTGGCAGCCTGTCCAGTACCTGCTTCACTAAATCTTCCAGATATGTAACCCTTGACTGTAAAGCAGAATTCTGGGCTTCCTTCTGCTGGAGGACTGTAGTGTTGGATGAGAAGCTAGATACGTCGCCATGTTCCTGGTCGATACAGGTAGAACCACGAGCAAAGCACTCGTTGCATATAGAGGTCCTGCCAGGCTCAAATGTGCACTTGATCTTCCTCCTACGACACTCAATACAGCTCTTAGTACCTTTCCTCATCTTTTTCCTTGCTGGACCCTGCGCATGGTCACCAGCAGGAGAGCCATCGGTTGACATGTTTGGGACCATACACAGTGGGTGTGCTATAGCATATCCCGTCCGAAAGGCGGTCGAACGTTCTATGCCCTCCACGGCAGGATGCGCACCGCTCGACTTGCGCCACAAACCGCGAGAGTAAAGAGTAATGTGGAAAATGAAGCGGCGACAAGAGTACAAACGAAAGACAATCTGCTTCAGTCCAGTAGTGCAAAGACTACATCGAAATGACTCGGTAAGAGGTTACAACACGTTCGGCCGAACGGTTTTGTCAGCAAAGGGACTACATTTTGAGCTTGAGCCGCCAAGTCGAGCACTGGTTGGATGATGTGACTGTAGAACTCCGCCCGGAAACTTCTAGGGCTGCTTCAATATGCTGCAGCCTGGATATACTGCAGAAATTGAGAAGATTGTCGTATGCCGAAGTGACAGGAACAGCTATTCTGAGATTTGAAATGTTGCTGTATGAGTTGCAAGCTGTATGAGCTGGGATTTACTGCGCGTGTCTCAGACTTCAGCAGTACTCTAGCGACGGTAGTGGTCCAAGCTTTGGCGGAATAGCCCGAAACATGGACTCCTTATAGGGACAGCTAGGCGTGGCCGCCCCTCCTCCCAGTCCTTCGAGCTCCGCTGCGGAACATGAGGTCTGATGTCACCCGTCGTGGCTCAACCAAACCCAAACCTCGTCCTCGCTTGCGATCTTTGCTTGCACCAGCAACACTTCGACTCAATCTACACTGTAGAATGACTCGACGTGCGCTGATCACTGGTGCAACCGGGCTGCTAGGCCGGCAGGTTTTGAAGACCTTCGAAGATGCCAATTGGGAAACCATCGGCACTGGTTTTAGCAGAGCAAATCCACCCAAGATTCGCAAGCTCGACATCCAGAACGAGGATGAGGTTAGAGCGTTGCTCGATGAAGTGAAGTAGGTTTGCCCAGCGACGCATCAGTAGCCAAATTAGTGTCCTGCGTTTCTTCAAAAACATTTCCAGAAACCATAGCACGAGCCATGATTCTACTGACTAGATACAACCTCTAACGTACTCAGGCCACAGGTTATAGTCCATTCAGCCGCTGACCGACAGCCCGATTCCTGTACTGCCAATCCAGAGGGTGCTCGTAAGCTGAATGTGGCAGCGACAGCAACCATTGCATCCCACGCTGCAACCAACAATATCTTCCTTGTCTACATCTCGACCGATTATGTCTTCCCTGGAAAACCAGGACAAGCTCCCTACAAGATTACCGACAAACCAGAGCCGACCAACATATACGGACAGACAAAACTCGATGGCGAAACAGCGGTCCTTAAAGCCTCAAAACCTGGACAGGCAGTTGTCCTGAGAGTTCCAGTTCTATATGGCGAAACCGTACCCAAGGAGAACAACAAAGAAAGCGCAGTGAATGTGCTCATGGATGCATTGTGGAAGTCACAGAAAGGAGAGAAGGTTGTCATGGACGACTATGCCATCCGCTATCCTACAAACACAGCAGACATAGGAAGAGTCATACTGGAGATCGCCAAGCTCTATACTTCAGCCATTTCCCCTTCGCAGCCTACGCAAACCAAGTCAGACTCCCTTCCACGAATTCTGCAGTTCAGCTCTGAGGACCGCATGACGAAGTACGAGATTGTGCAGAAATTTGGTGAGATCATGGATCTTCCCGTGGACAATATGGTTCCAGATCAAGAGAGTGGTAAGCAACCAGCCAAGGATGGGACACTAAGACCATACGACTGCCACCTAGACACGGGCGAGCTGCAGAAATTAGGAATAGATGTGTCTACTGTCGATTTCGTTGCCTGGTGGAGGAGGTGGGTTGGCGCTTATCGTAGATAGATGAGCATTAATACCGGGCAAAGTCGTGACTGAACAATCCATACAAGAACCCAACATAACAAATTCGAAACCGTTATTATTGTGCACTGATACAGCATAGTTTAGAGAGCATCCATATCTCGGAACACGTCGTTTCATGGTCACAGTAACAAGATTCCTAGTTCACACCAAGGTCATTTCTTGAGCAGCCCAAAATCACTTGGCTCACATACACGACTTCAGAACAGGAAACGAACGACTCGTCTCACAAAGGACCCTTCCGCCTGCCTCTGATTTTCGACACGATGAGCAACCCAGTCTATCTGCCTCTGTCCACTATTGATGTCGATACGGGCTACCTTGAGCCAGGGCTTTCGATTCCAAAAATGGCCACAAGCCCACAGAAGCAGCACGACAGGCCATGTGAGAGACTGCTTGAAGAAGTGTTCGGCATTGGCGGTACCTCCTCCAGGTGGCTTAATCGCGACGAAAAGCTGTGCGGCAAGAGCTAGCACAACTAGTATAAGACTGAACCACGAGCCCGCAGTGCCAAAGAGAGCTTGGAAAGGTATCTCGTTCATGCTTCGACCTTGCAGTCTCCATGCTGCACGAAATCGGATACGCGACACACAGATACTGCCCCAGGTGAACAAAGCTGCGAGACCAGCAAGAGACATGAGCCATTGAAAGATGGTCTGGCCCGCTTCACCAGTGTTGATGTATGCCACACCACCAAAACAGATGAGAATCACCGTCGATGCCAGCGGTCGTCCAGCCCTGTCGATGTATGTGAGAAACCTTGGTGCATAGCCTTGCTCAGCCAATGCTGTCAGTGTTCGAGATCCAGCATAGACACCAGAATTGCCAATCGAGATTACAGATACCACGATGACAGTGCAGATGAAGGAGTCGAAGCCCTTTAGACCAGCATTGACAGCCACGATCACAAATGGTGAGGCAGTAGTGTCTGCAAAGCCTTCTCCGGATCCGAACAATCTCTTGTCGTCGTATGGAACAAGCAATCCAACGAATATCAACGGAAGTACCATGAACGCCACAACTCTCCAGGTTACCTGCTTGACTGCACGTGGCAGGCTCTTCAATGGAGTCCTACTTTCAGCAGCAGCCAATCCAACAAGCTCCGTACCAGCATAAGCAAACGAGGCAGTAACAAAGGTTGAACAAAAGCCTTTGAAACCATTGTGAAACGCACCAGGATAATTCCAGAGCCTAGCACCCCAATACTCGTGGTACACTCCGTCCAAGGGGCAAGAGCCCAGCACGTTCACAAGCCCAGTGACCAGGAAGATAATAATAGCGATCAGCTTGAATGTCACGCTGCCGAACTCGAACTCACCATAGCCCATGACCCCAAAGACGTTCAGGACGACAATTCCCGCGAGGAAGGCTGTGATCCACACCGAGACAGAGATGTCATTGTTCCAGAACTTTATCACCTCGCTAGCGACCGTGAGCTCGAGTGGCAACACGATCGCCCACTGAAGACAGTAATTCCACCCAAGAGCAAATCCAACGCTCGGATCAATGAACCGAGTCGCGTAGGTGTAAAATCCACCACTGACAGGGTATAGAACCGCAAGCTCGCCCAACGCCTGGACAACGTTGAAGACAAGGAGACCAACAGTGAGAAACCCCAGTAGGAGTGAAGCAGGCCACCTGAGGCAAGTGCGCCTCCTGAACCCACGAAGAGGCCGGCACCGATACATCCTCCCAGGGCAATCATGTATAGATGCCTTGTGCGGAGGGTGTGGTTGAGTTGGTTAGGAGCATCTTGGGGCTGGCGACGGCGGAATGAGTCGAAGGTGGTGCCCCAGCGTGTCCAGCGAGAAAGCTGGGAAGTGGCACCGGCAAAAGCCTGTTTCTCATTGGCTTCTGCGACCAGGCTCTCAGCGGTTGTGCTGATGCTGCTGGAGGGAAAGATGGCTTCAATGTCGCTGGTGGGGGACTTCCTTGGTGCCATCTTGGCTGTGTCAGGAGTGTTGACGCAGGGAGATGATATGAGGCAGAGCTCAGTCAAGGACAAGGAGGCTATCCTTCATCAAATACTCCATAGATCGACGAGGAGGCACAGCAGGCAAGAGAAACATAAGAAGCACACGAGCAACTACTTGAGATATCCAGCAGGATCGTTTTATGCGATATCCTGGGAAAGCCTGGTCGCAGGTATTGAGCTCGTTTTCCTCGTTGTCTCTCAAAGAGCATGTTTGATCGTCTGCTATTGGCTAACCACAATCCAACTCAGCAAGAACCGTGGCTAAGCTTGACGCTAAGCCATGGGAAGAGGTCAGGAAGAAACCATGTGCTTCATGCGGGCGCAGCGCATGAGAGCATGCTTGAGGATCTACGAGGGAAAGGAAACTTGAGCTGAATAGCATGGGAAGAGGCTCGAGATCGATGCCAGAATGAAGCGTAGCAGTATAGTTAGTATTCAAGTTGTAAAGTGGACATATTCGTACAGGCCACCACCTTCCTGTGACCGCTTGTTCGAGGTTACACCATATATTGCTCGGCCAAAATATGAAATTGGTGGAGTTCAGCACTCCCAGGCTTGGGAACTTGATTGTATTCAAGTTTATCAAAGTTGAAACCTGAAACAAGTGTAATGTATAGTCATACCAATATCAGCATGGGTCGCCGAGAAATTGACGCTGCTATCACAAGTCATGTGATTGCAGCAGGGATTCGTTGCTGCGACCAACACTCGCGAAGCACAACGGGGTACCTCTTTAAGCTCTCTATCAGACAAGAGTGATTCCGAGCTGGTCCTCTCACCACCACAAGGCTGATCCCCGCGACGCAAAGATGCGCCTCCCTCTACAGAAGACGTTCTATTTCATTGGTGTGGGCTCGGCAGTCATTTGGGGCGCAGGAACATATCGGGCCCTCAATTTATGGCGCACAATCAGCTCGACAACTTACCCTGGGCCTCAAGCCCAAGATCGAGAACAAGATGAAATAACAATGCGGCAACTAGCTGTCGAAAGACTTCAGCAGAAGGGCGACGAGAAGAGCCTCAAGCTAGCAGCATTCTACAAGGCGCAAATAGCGTTACTGCCACCTCAATCAGACCGGAGACTAGCGACAGAGCGTGCTGTGATGATATTCCGCAAGGGGCGGTGGGCCAATGCTGATACTTTCGCGGCGGCTGAACAGGAGCGTGGAGATGGGGGTTCGCAAGGTCGGGGAACTGTGAAAGACGACAACGATCCTAACGTTCGACGTAAGAGCTTTGATGTTAGTGCTGGACCTTTCAGCCTTGCTGGATCGGCTTCGATATCTACCAGAGGTTCGGATGATAGAGTAACGAGGGATACGGGAAAGCAGGAGGAGAAGAAGAAGAAGAGGCCAAATGATTCACCACTGTCGAACGAAGCTTGGGAGCAAGAGATAGCAGAGATGGAAGCGCAAGAACGGAGGGAGAAGAGAAAATTGATACAGGAATACCAGTCACAACTGCGTGATCCTGCTGATAGAAAGAACGATTAATGTCCCTGTTCAAGATCAATCGTAGTATCGACGAAACTGCATGCTTCGAGAACAACAATGGGAATTTAGGAAAGCATACGACAAGGCCAAACACATGAATGACAGGTCGGCAGACTAAGGAGGCTGGTCCTTAGCTGAGTCGCACCTGTAGTGCTTCTGCACGTGCGCTCTTATGAGTTGAGCTGTGGGCTGCTATACCGACAACACTTACTTTGCTTAGCTACGTTGATACTGCTAAGGTTCCATTGTGCGTGGGCTGCCTCCGGCAAAAGTGTGACAGTATGGGTATTCTATGTGCAAGCCACAAGTGAAAGTATCACTCGGGACCTTCGCAGCCCCACTACCACGAGATCTCTCATTATTTCCTCCACTTGATATGCTACCGCTCAATCACTACTTGACGCAGGAACCAGATCCAATCTGCGATCGAGTTGCTCACTAATCCGTTCGAGTCCTCGTTTTCTTCGATTGACCGCATCAGTCCATTCTTGCTCAATAGAAGATTCAAAGCAAAAGCATACTACTTCCTTCGATCAAGATGCGCGATATGTTCTCAAAGCCTGCGAATCCTCAAGCTGGTTCTCGATTGGTGCAGTTGCCGGCGGAAATTCGACTTAAGATCTTTCGACTCTTGTCGAAACAGTTACAACCAATTCGCAGTGACAGCCAAAGAGACGACCAAAACCAATACGTTGATGCTGACCAGGCGGATTTCCACGTGGAAGATGCTGCATGTCCTGGCGGTGCCACATTATCCTCACAAGCTTTACGAACATGTCAGCTCTTCTACCAGGAGGGATCGCATGTCTTGTATAAGGAGAACACGCTTTCTCTGTATTGTCGCAGCAGCGTTTGCTCTTACGAATGCAGTGTACTCGGTCTGAAGATAGACTACGCAGAGGACCTTTCCGAAATCCCACAGTACAAAGCAGCTTTACTGGATTACGCAGAACTTGACTTTTATTGCTTCAGGCTAGATGACATGTTTCGGGATTCACAATTTTATCGCGCCTGTTACAAAGCACTTTGTAAGTCAAAATATCATGGCCATATTCGCCGAGGCAACACCGAACTTTCGCTGAAAAGGTTATGCTCTATCTTCGACCGTTTTGATACGTTTGAGGTGGTGGCAGCGCACATCTGGTTAGGACACTCTACCGTCCTTGTCTGTAGAACCTTTCAGGACCTTCTGGATGGAAAAAACGTTGCGTTCCGAATCTGCAGAGTCTGTGAAATTGGCAGTTCAGGTGAGGACGAGGACGAAGACGCAAGAAAGCTCATGTATCTCAACTTCTTTACGAACGAATTTGAATCTTGTCGAATTTTACGTTGTGCTTCGTTGAGTTTCCCAGACATTGAAAACAGGAACTCCAAGGATGACAAGACATCCAGCAACGTCGTGAGCTCGGTCCGGTTGGAAAGAAGCCGTTGCGCTGGGCTCAAGGACGAAGTTTGTGGTTTCAGCGACGTCTGCGACACTTTCACGTTGTGGCAAATTTTCATACAATCCGTTGTCAAACCTCTAGCGAGCATTGCCGAGCACAAAATCCGAATCTAAGTTCAAAGAAGAGCTAGATCTGCTAAGAGAACATGCATTCACGTACCGCGAAAGTGATTTCATGTCAGTTCGGAAGTCTTTACATCGCAAAGCCCATAGATGGATTGATGTGCTGATTGAGTGGAGTGACAGTTGCGCTGGTGTCACGACGACCAACGACGACAAGGATACAGAGACTAAAGAGGATGACGGGGACGACTCAACAGCCTCCAAAGACAGAGACGTTGCTATGACCTCTGGCGGTGAGGATCTTTCAACGACTACTAAGGATGAAGACAATTGAATGTGGAACAGTACCTCGGGCAGGGGGGGCTGTCTCTTGTAGAGAGAAGAAAACCATGGCCGTGAAAGAATGATGGATCAGTACCTGAGGCATGTTGCATATTCGGAGCGGTACTGGCTCAGGCTACTGGCAGCAAAGGTTTAGGAGATTAAGTGACTGATGATCGTGTCTTTGCAGAAAATGGCCACGGGGGCGACAGGATGACACTTCAAGCGAGTGTTTCTAAGAACGCTGCTTTATTGAGAATCACAATGATCAGTGCAATAGTCTTTGGCTGTTACAAAGAACCAATCTTGTGGAAGAACGTTCATTTGACCTATGCCGTGTTAATGAAAGTCGTCCAATGGATAGCGGCAGCCCGAAAGTAAATCAGCCCGTTTCTTGTCTGTGTTTACTGCCTCTCTATGGCAAAGCTTGTCTAGTAAAGCCAGCTTTAACATTCCGTTCCACTCTCCCATAGTCATGGGAAGATCATATCACCAGCAATATTGGAGCGAGTCTTGAATCAGGCAAAGTGAACAGGAGCAATGCCTGGTGTCTGCATTTTCTTTCGCTTGAGCTTTCCAAGACGCGACGAGACTGTGATGTCATAGGCAATGTAACAAGTCTACACGGTAAGGGCACCATTCTGCTGTACTGACTTGAAATCCTAGCACCTTGAGGCAGAAGAACGGCAACAAAACTCTAAAATAGAGGATTACAGCCAATCAACAATATGTCACTCAACACCAACGAGCTTCACCAAAACTACGAGCCAAATCCAAATCCTGCTGAGCTGACTGGCAAGGACTCTCTTCGGAATGTTTCAGCGACGGAGGATTACGAGCCGCATCCCGAAGAGTCCCTTGACATCTCTCGAGAGCACGAAGAGATTGTCAGGCGGATCATGAATCTGTATTGTGGTTCAGCGAGCGAAGATGACATGCAGGTTTATGCAGAGAAGTCCATCTACGACGATCCGTATTCTTACTGTGATACGCGATACAAGATAGCTGGGCAGTGGTACGGTCTTCCCAAGGTAGAGTGATCGAGGTTGAATAGACGTTGAGCTCCAGCTTACTTGAGACAGGCATTCTCGAAGCTTCGCACATTGAAGCTACAGGTTGTTGAAGACAAGCCAGATCTTATCGTTTTCAAGTTGCAACAAGAGTATACCCCGAAACTGATACACAAGGCCCTACCGGTCAACAGCCTGGTATCACTTTCGCTGGACGAGAACGGCAAGGTGAGGTACCACAAAGACATGTGGAATGAGAATGACTATTCTCATGAAGGACTGGGCAAGATACTGAAACAGTTGAATGGCGACCATTTGACCAAGATCACTCAGCCTCCGAAGCGATTGGGGAATCCAAGCGGATAGCTATATGGCAAGGATACCTGCAAAGGTCGGTCGTGATAGATATAGCCTTGTGAGCGAGAGAAGTGCTGGGTTAGTGAGTATCGACCCCTCGAGTCAATGCAGATGCTCAACGCGAAATTGTGCGCGCATGCGTCGTCAGATGCATTTACCCGGGAGTGGGATGCACAGAAAGGCCAAGCAGGGTCGATAGATATATGCTCAGGCCATGCGAGTAGAGAGCTTCAAAGCAAGTAGGAGGCGGATAGCTAAGTACCCAACACAGCCGTCTGACATCAGGGTTCCATACTTCAATCTCGGATCCTTGAAAAGTCGCGAACCAATCCTTCTTGGGAGTCGACAAGGTAATTGTTACTCAGCGAGAACGAACAAGGATACAATCAGGTACACCACCCTTAGTAAACATCGCACGACGCACAAGCACGAGGATGATCTGTACAACGGTCACGATTGTGTGATGAAACTGCCACGTGCGCCACTGCAAGGGCATGTGAGAGCGTCTTGGCTGGCAGGGTGGAACCAGATAATTAAGCTCGGGCGAGATCTGCCCTAAAGCGATTTTCGAGGCTTGGATATTCCTTCCAACCATCTACAGAACATCGAGCATGATTCTCAACCTACTCCTCAGCCCTGACCGAACGCAGGTCCTAGCACACCGCACTTTATCACTATACTCACTATTGCCCTAGCTTATTGTTACCAGACCTATATCACCTACAGTCAACAACAAAGCTCACTTCTCTAGTGTCGGAGCTTTGTGATCTCACTGATCGCCGTTTTCGGTCCTCGAATACCCCTCTCGCCTTCACCTCCTTTCACTTCATGTTGAACCGCATGCTGCAGTTCTGAAACCAGAACTTTCCTAGGCTCGAGTCATGTGTCTTTTCTTCGACACCAGAGGCCTGAACCGATCAGAGCGACGAACTCAGTAGACCTACCAACCACCACCAATTCTTGTGGCCACCACTTTTACCGTTGCGCGCCTGAGTCAAGGAAGTTCAACAGCGTCGTCGCGAAGATGGCGGCACCCTTGCATACAGTATGGTCGATTGTCCAGAAGGGTATACCAGATGTATTCCTGAAGAGAAAGTTCAACTTCATCACAATCCACTACCTCTACATCAGTCTCATGGCCCTGTTTTGGTCGGGCATGTTCTACGCTATCGGTGGTGTTGATTACATAGACTCACTCTTCTTCACCAGCGGAGCATGTACTCAGAGTGGTCTGAACACCGTCGATGTCAACAAGATCAAAACAGGCCAGCAGGTCATTCTGTACCTTTTGGCAATGGTGTGCAATCCCATTTTCATCCACACCTCAGTTGTCTTTGTACGCCTCTACTCGTTCGAGAAGCGCTTCAAGGACATCGTTAGAGATGCAAAACAGCTTCGGCGGACCAGATCAAGATCACGACAGCGCAGAGGAAGTATGCACTCGACAGATCCCGAAGCCCAGATGGGCGTCAATAGTGTTCGTGGCCGAGCGATTCAACTACTCCGCAATACGGGTCACAAAGCTGAGGGTCGTACAATGACTGATCCAACGTACAAGATTGAAGAGAAAGAGAAGCAGATGGACGCTTCCGATACTTCTGGTGACAACTACGATGACAATGACAAATCTCTACGTCGAAGCAATTCTATCGACAGCGTACGTCTGCCACAACAAATGAATACCGAACAGCACATACAATTTCTTGAGAACCAGAGGAACCCGGTGGATACTACGACCCTCCGCATACCTAGTCCTCGAGAATTCGATCGTGGTGGTCGTGTGCAAAGCATTGACGACACTGCGCAACTGGATCGCCAAGTATCGCACATCAATCCCGAAGACCGTGCCCCAGAGATCATCGGTGTGCCAAGAGTTGGTACCCATATCACCTTCAATGAACCAGATGTTCCTTCGCATCAGAAAGGCCCGAGTAGAGCAGCAACGGCTTTTCCACGCATCGAGACAGGAAAAGCATCGACTTTGGAACCTAGTACCTACGACGATCCTCTTGTACGTGGCCAAAGCCGAAACAGGAGAAACTCAAACGGTTTCCTCCGCACGACCACATACAGGACCAACGAGCCAGCTCCTTATCTGAGTTATCAACCAACTGTTGGCAGGAATTCTTTCTTCGTGAACTTGACCGAAGAGGAGCGTGAGGAGCTTGGAGGTATAGAGTATCGTGCTCTGAAAACGCTGGCACTCATTCTGATCGGTTACTTCTTCCTCTTCCACATCTTTGGTGCCGTCTGCTTGGCACCTTGGATCTACAATGTCAGCTATGGCACCGTTGTGACGGAGATTGGTCAAGGTCGAGGCTGGTGGGGCGTCTTCACGTCTGGGTCTGCTTTCAACGATCTGGGCTTCACATTGACACCGGACTCGATGATCTCTTTCCAGAGTGCGACGTTTCCGATGCTGCTGATGACATTCCTTATCATCATTGGCAACACTGGCTTTCCTTGTATGCTCAGATTCGTAATCTGGCTGCTATCGAAATTCGCTCCAGTCGGAAGTGGCCTTTGGGAGGAGTTACAATTCTTGCTCGATCATCCTCGTCGCTGCTTCACGCTTCTCTTCCCAAGAGCAGCTACTTGGTGGTTGTTTGCAATTCTTGTCCTACTCAACGCCATTGATCTATTCTTCTTTATCGTTCTCGACCTCAATGACCCAACTGTGGAAGTACTTAGCCCCTGGGTCAAGTTCATGGTCGGCCTCTTTCAAGCAGCATCCACACGTACAGCAGGCTTTGCAGCTGTCAATCTTGCCGAACTACATCCTGCCATACAAGTTTCTTACCTAATCATGATGTACATTTCCGTGTTCCCGATCGCCATTTCTATGCGAAGGACGAACGTGTATGAGGAGAAGAGTTTGGGTATATATGCTAGTGGCAATGACGACGACCAAGGTGATGGTGAACCAAGCTACGTCGGCGCTCACTTGCGGAAACAGCTCAGTTTCGATCTGTGGTATATCTTCCTTGGTCTTTTCATCATTTGTATTGTGGAAGGGTCACGTCTCGAGAACACAAACGAGTATGCCTTTACAATCTTCTCGGTGTTGTTCGAGATCGTTTCCGCCTACGGTACGGTAGGATTATCATTGGGCTATCCAACAGCCAACACTTCATTCTCCGGGCAATTCAAGGTTCTATCAAAATTGATCATCATTGCCATGCAAATTCGAGGCCGTCACCGTGGTCTTCCTTACATGCTTGACCGAGCTGTTCTTTTGCCATCCGAGAATTTGCATCGAAAGGAGGCGGAGGAGGCAAACAGACTACTTGCACGACGACAATCTCAAATCTCGACGTATGACATTCGTCAAGCCATGTCAAGATATGGCACTGATGCTCCTCTTGCAACAGCAACAAGCCATAGAAGTAACAAGGATGAGTATCAGAACGACGAAAACCAGACTGGCCCCCGAAAGCGACGTCACACAGGATTGTCTACCACAAGCTCCGGAGGTCATGGAGGAGGAAGCCATCCATTCCATCGAGGTCTTGGAAAGGCCATGTACAAAGTCGCAGGCGCCGAGGACGCCATCAAAGAAGAGGCGGAAAAAATTACGAAGACTGTTAGTACACACTGATCCAGTTTGGACATGTATGTGATTGCGTTAAAGCGAAGATTTTGATGAGATAGACTGAAATCAATGTATGTTGATCCTTACACACTACCTACCCATTTTGAGCCCTGTAGCGAGACTGCATATTCCTCGATTTTCCTGTAACCATCTAGAGGCGCGTTGTTCGGCTGACTTCCAGATATTCACTGCAGGAAGGAGCATCTCGCGGCGGTCCTTCTGCTAAGAGACGCTACGGCAGGTACAAAAGCTTGGCAAATTTTATCAGCTTATGACTCAAAAGTGTATTCGCGGAATGTTCGGGTCAAAAACAGGAATGATGATGTTCATAGCACGATGCTTCCACGGCATGAATTCGCTTGGGGAATCACTGTTTTACAGTAAGTACTGGGTACGTTCTCGATCCCTTCTAGACGAAATACAACACGCCTTGTCAGTTACTTTGATCACGTGAGATATACCTCCCTAATCAGAAAACTGCGGCTCGAAGCCAGGATGATTGAGACTCTGGCCCTTGACCTGGTCGACCTTCACTCCTTGTTCCCCTCCCGTGCAAGCATGTTTGAGTTCCTTTCCTTCATTGTTGATTATTTCGCGCCGCTCTTGTAAGTTCTCGCATCCTGTTCAAGGTTGGCGACTGACATAACCAAGTCTAATCGCATCACCCGTCACATCCTATGCCGACCAGATCTTGTCCATACATCGAAATAAGTCTAGCGATGGCTTCTCCCTCGACATTCCCCTCATTATGCTTGTCGCGTCGATTCTGAAAGTGTTCTACTGGTTCGGAGCGTACTATGACACTTCTTTGCTCATTCAGGCTTGTCTCATGCTTGTCGTGCAGACGATCCTGCTAAAAGTCGCATTGGACAATAGACCTTCTTCAGCATCGAGAGACGGCGTCGCCCACAGACCGTTTAGCTCTTACTCAGCAGACAGCATTGTCGAAGACATTCTTGCAGGCAAAAGACCTTTGAACTTCTGGAGGTGGAACACCACGAAACCATACTTCCAGTTCCTAGCATACATGTCCTGCACGTTGCTCTTTATTCACGTCCTACTTCCTTTTATCTCGAGAACACCTTTCTATATATCCCTTATAGGTTATACTGGGCTTGCGATCGAAGCCTTCTTACCTGTGCCACAAATTTTCAAGAACCACAACGCTAGATCTTGCAAGGGCTTTCGCTTGTCAGTCATTGTTAACTGGCTAGCTGGTGACGCCATGAAGATGAGCTACTTCTTCTTGAGCAAGGAATACGTCCCTTGGCCTTTCCGACTGTGTGGTATCTTCCAAGCTTGCTGCGACTCGTACCTGGGATTACAATACTACATGTATGGCGACGGTTCGAGGTACAGATCCATGGAGATGAACCAGATGGGCAAGCCACCGATCTGAGCAAAGAGACAGGCTGACACGAATTCTAAGCCTTCGAGATATAGACTACTCATTGAGCAACTCGAGATACACTGACCAAAGCACTTCGTCGCTGACCACATATCGCGACAATAGGCTCACAACCTCGCCTCCACTCCAGATGTCAACGTTTTCTGGGCTGCAGGCGTCGAGAAGACGATTGAATTAGAGCTGGAAAAATAACAGGATCGTCTTTTGTTGTCAAATACGGTACTCACAATTCCGAACGCTGAACAAGACAAATCTGCCTTGCCCTAGGTGGCCTGGCCTAGTTCACATGTTTGCCGGTATTGATGGGCATCCGCACCTTCTGAGCGGTCATCGATTGGATTCGTGGCTGTGAGTGTTTCAACTCGCCTGAACCCGGTCTAGTCCCGGCTGGACGACACGCTGCGGTACAACCTTTGTGCGTGTATTCATGTCGATCCAGGCGTGCCACGCAACCTGTCACGCCATACTTGAGTACAAGCCTTTGTGCTTGCATGCCCGGTATGGCTGAACGATACTGCACGATAAAGACTTCGTTTTCCGGACATATATTCTCGCGGTGAAACGTTGTATAGCTAGATCCAACCTACATGTTATGGCCTCACTTTCGGGCCTTGGTATCAAATCACTACTCAATCTCTACGATCGACCACATGCAACAGACTTACAGAACCCGGACTTCGCAGCACTATATTCGAGCCTTTTTGTGGCAGCTATAAAACTTCCTGCTACCTCCTCATGCTCCAATAATCAGATAGTCACGACCCGGCATTCAGAACCATTCCCCTCATCACAACACAGATTGTTCAATGCAGTACAGACCCTTTTAAATTCAACGTCAGACAAAGCCAGGCCGCTAAGTGGCTTTGCTGTCTCACCACAACTTCATGGAATAGGTCGTCAGTATGAGTGAGGTTTGTTGCCAGCTGTAAGTCCTCCTCATAGGCAAACTCCACATGAGAGAGGCAGAATCGACTTCGAAGCAGTGTAACCAGGCTGCTCCAGGTAAAAGCTTATCATGGCTTGTTCCTCGTGTGTATAGGACTCGAGCATGGTGAACATTCTGCCACCACAAGAAAATAGAGTCAGACGACGAGTCGGTAATCAATTATAGATTGCTTGCAGGGACAGTGATCGACCGTCACGCTCACGCGTATACTTCAAGTTCTTACGAGTACCCCCTTAACTGTAGAGATTGACTTCAGTCGCGTTCGCGACTCAGCAGTATGCGACTGAGTGCTCACCTTGGCAATGTCTCAAATCTGCTTGTTGCCTCGAATCTCAGGCTGTTATGGTTCAAACCTCCACGTAAACATTCTGCCACTCAATTTCCATTTGCATCTCTACCCATCTACAGCTTCTGTTCCATACGTAGAAAGAAACTAGTCTCATAAAGGCACACGCTAGGAGATCGCAACAAGAATGGCTTGAAATTGCCGCCATCGAATGTCAGTCTGTCGAGACCCAGTCACGCGTCTTGGTCGGCTCCGAAGCAGACTATTTGCTTCCTGGCACGAACACCAACAACATCCTTTTTAGCTCCTCCTAGCTCGGTCTCTTTCTCGCTGGGAATCATACTGAGGTGAAAAAGTCCATAGACGATCAATTCGCGAGCCTGCTGTGGTTTCAGGTCGAGCCACTACTTCTATATACGGCACAGATGTCTTTCGAAGTCAGATGGCTACCTTCTACGGAATCGTCCAGAACTAGCTCTATCTTCCAACCTGCCTGATTCTTAAGACGAGTCTGAGGCAGTGCGCGTCTCCCACTGTTCTTCGCTTCGGGGTTTTTCATCACGACAGAAACGTCGGGGATATCGAGATGCCTACTCGCATCAGCGGAGCCTGTAACGGCTGCAGGTCAAAGAAGCAGAAGGTATGCAAATTACACGCACTTGGCTTTTAGCTCCCCGGAAACTGGATGGCAGGCTTGCTTTCATTCAGACAGTTTTGCGTGCTTCAGGCAATTTTCGACCAGATGTGCTGACTTATTTGTTCTGATAGTGCAGTGGTGACAGGTAGGTCGATCTATCTTCCGTATCCATCTACAACAAGCACCAGTATTCCCGATGGAAGTCCACCAAAAACAGCACGCCTCAAGTTACTCTCGGGCCGTTGAGTTCCAAGTGTATCAAATAAGCTCGATGAGAAGCTACAACCATTACGTTGTTCCAATTTTGGTCAGGCAATTCGCAGTACACGCAGAAAGTGCGATCGTGTATGCTCGGCATTGGCTAATTTTCATATTTCAGAAACGGTTGCGCTCAATGCGAAGCTTCTGGCATACCTTGTACGTGGCCAGAACAACGAAAGAGGTAAGCAAAACATTCGCTCGACTGAAGAGAGAAAGCCTACTTCTACTTAGCTGAATCTGTCTCGATCTTTCGACTAACTCCTGATTAGAGGTCCAGCAAAGGGCTATATAGAAGGCCTTGAAAACAGGCTTCACGAAGCAGAATCTCTTCTTTTACAGATTCTACCACATGTCACGACAGAACAGCTGCGAGCTGCAACTACGCGTCTGGCTCACGACGATCCCGACGAGAACATAGACGGCTCATCAGAACGGAAAAGCTCTCCCCCAATGCTGAACAAGAAGACCGGTGTCGATTACTGGGAGACTTTCCCTCTGACTAGTGTCAGCGATATCCTCAGATGGCAACAAGACTGTGCAGCGAACACCTCAATCAAGGAGAACAACACTGGTGCGAAGTCCGCAATTCGGAATGATCTATCGTTCGAAAGAACAGAGCGTCAAAGTGGACCGGACACAAGAGTTCCTGGGACTTTCTCACGGATCAATAGCAAAGACACCGACCTGCATTCTATTGAGCATGCTCGATCGTCATCGATGCATGGAAGAGAAACGCAAAGAGACAAGGTAAAAACAACGATGAATATTCCATCGCCAAGCCACTGGAGAGCAAGGACGCTGAACGGCAGTACGGACATGACACAACACAATCCAGGTTCCTCCCAGGTATCATTTGAGAACCCCGAGCTCACACGCACCAGCTATACTGATCTCAATACTTGGCAACTACAGTCGACTATGCAGATGGACCTAGATCATGACAATGCTAGTCAGCAGGAGATAGTGCCTACAATCAACAATGTACAATCACACTTGTTCTGGTGAGCTGTGAGAATGGTTGCAACAGACACAATACGAGAGCCTTAGGTGTTCTTGTTAACCCCAAGATCGACGTGTGATCAGAGAGTCGCTACAAATACGCCTGTCCGTTCGACTCGAACAAGTCATTCATGTTCCCACCAATGCCGCCACCTTGGTCCGCAAACGATGACATATCCCATGTGTTGGGACTAGCATTCACACCTACAGGTCCAGTCATGGTTTCCCATGATACAGCTCCGAAAATATCGAAAAGGTTACTATCCATATTACTCCAGAACATAGGGTCGTCCACCGAGGACAACTCGGGCAGATTCATGCCCATACTATGACTGGACTGAGCAAAAGCCATGTCTTGTGGGTCAGCATAGATAGCTGCCCCTGCACGATGTTGGTTCTGAATATTGTTCGTGTTGTCATTGGAATATTTCATGTCACCATTGAGTACTGTACTGCTATACAACAAGTTGGAGGATTGATTTGGTGTCATGAAATCCACACTAGAAGCGCTGATTCCCGAACCCTGTCGAGCAAACAATATCGATGGGTTTTGTTGATGTGCAGTAGTGCTGTTTGACTGCATCTCTGGGGACCTGAAGTGAGGAGGATGGAAATCTGAGGAGGCTGGAGACATGCCTGCCAAGCTATCTCGCTTCGGAGACGGTTCAGCTTCGTTATTGCCAACCAACGTGGAGTCACGGTTGCGCTTCCTCGACCCTCCTCTAGCCGAAGTACCTGGCGCATTCGACAATTGATCATTACGACACGCAGGCAGATATCCGTTCGGCGCAGCCTTTCTTTCGTTGATACTAGCCAGCAACAAAGTGAGAACTTTGTGGCAATTCTTGACTGTGTACCATTTGAGGTTCATCGACTCGAGAAGCAACAGACACGATCTGATATCACTGCATGCTCGGACCTTTGGGTACTTGCCTAGTTGACAGGCAAATGCGATGATCAGACCTGCCATCCATGCGGCGGACAACAAACCAGGCAGAAACACGGATTGGCTGTTCTCTTTGTGTTTCTTCAAAGCAATGAGCGTATTCTTCGATGCACGGATGCATACTTGAAGTCCTTGTTGAAATTCTGCCGTTGACTGGTCGAGCGATAATCTTGGTCTGTTGAGCAAGAGCAAAAGTTGATGGTACAGAAGAGTAAAGAACGGTGTTAACAGCTTATGCTGTTGGACCAAACCCGGTTCGACAGTCTCTTCACCGTCTCCACCTGCTGCTGCGGGATTAAACTCACCCGTCAAGGTGCTGGGCAGCTCGTTCCACCAGTTTTCGATATCGGCCGTCAGGAAACCTATGGCGTCCTCTTTCGGAAATCGGAAGTTGATTGACTTGTGGAAAATCTCAATGATTCGGCCTGTCAGTCTGCCATAATGCACGTACGCTGTCAACGCGGCTTCGCGCAATTGCTTGCTTCTCGCGCTCGGTGTTGGAGGATTTCGAGATTGTGGTTGATCGTCTTCCTTCCTCGTCTTGGTGCCTTTCATCAGGCCGCCGCGCCACTGATCCATATGTACGATTCTGCCCATTGAGTCACGCGCATAGTGCAGCTTGACCTCGACCTCCTTCTCGTCCTCCGTCAGTAATTCGCGAGCAACAGCTCGGTGCATCTCGCCTTCTCCGTTCATTCCTCGACTGACACATACATCAATATCACTGTCCTGGAAGGTATTTGGATCACCTAATGCAAGACTCAGATGCCGATCGATGGCGTACGCCGCCCAGAAGATGCGTTTGCGAATTTCACAATCGGCTTCCGTAAGGCTTGCGTAGCGAAGTGGACATCTGTGCAGGCCGGCGTGATAGATAAGTCTGAGAGTCACACCGGCAAGCGTCGAGGCTTGTCGAAGGGATATAGTGGTAAGGAGGTAGAGTTCTGCAGCAAGAAGGAGTTGTATTGTCGGCAGTAATGGTGTCGTTGACAGGGGCAGAACAAGGCTAAGGAGACTCTGAGACGAGGGAATTAGAGAGGAGGGTGGTAGGCTATTTGTTGGGTCACTCTTAGTGGATGGAGTATGTGAGTGATTTGCGATATTGATTATGATTTGAAAAGTGATCAGCTTCAAGGGGTCGACGGACTGGATATTACCCAAGGTCGACAAGGCTGAATTCGCAGTCACACGGGTCGAGCTATCCGTCCTCCTATCATTCGTCGCCGAGTATGGCGTGCTACCTTCTGGGCGCGACGAAGCCTGCCCTATCGATGAAGAAGGCTGCCCATGGATCGCCACATATATTTCCCTCACGTCCTCCAGAAACCTCGGTCCATGCAAGAACGGAAACAATGGATGCGTCTGACGAAAGAACGTCGTAATCAAATCCATCGCTAATCCCTGGTTCGCAGGCGGTCTCCCTACAGCCGCCACAATCCGTCTATGGATATCCTGATCATGCAGCCACCACGCCCCTCTCGTTGGCATTGCTACGTTCCCACTCCCATTGAAACTCCTCCCTGCAGCATCTTCGCCTGTGATGATATCCTCAGAGGCTGGGACGGCAGTATCACTGTCGTTTTCGAGGTTGTGTGCAAAGGCGGCGGAAAATGCACGTCGGACGGTATTGACGAAGTATACACCGGAGGAGGAGCCGAGCCATGCTGTGCCGCCAGGGACAGAGAGTTTCTTTAGGGTGCCGATTTCGGCGGTGTGTGTTGGGCGAGGTTCTTCTTCATCACCACGACGTGGTGATGAAGAGGTTGAGCTGTTAGGGGGTTGGTTGGTGTCGGCGTTGGTGGGGGGCGCAAGTGTGGATGAGGAGGAAAGGGAGCGTGGTGGCATCTCGATACAGCACTGGAGGTCTGGTCGTGATGATTTTGGCGTCGGTAGTGGGTGTCTAGAGTGTTGGAACAGCTAGCAAGGTTACTGGAAGCTTCTGCTATAATCGAAACACATGAGACTTTGATTTCGTCGCTTCCAGATGAATTTCATTATCGAAGTAAGTAGTTGATAACCTCAAATGATGTTCACAGAACTTCCTTTCCGTATATGGTTTCCAGACACAACTGAATCACGAATTGTCAATTGTCCAGCCTGGGATTAACAATGATTCGTGGTCCTGGCGGCTCTTCTTGCTAATCAGACCTGGAATATCTCTTGCTTGGAAGCACTATTCCCGACTACAGCCAAGTAATCTGTGTCAGTCATTAGTTCCCAGTCATCAAGTGTACAGAGCTAAGCACCAGTATGTATGTTGAAGATGAGTAATGATGCGCGATCCGAGCAAATTGCTGAATGATCAAGGCTTCATTCGGTAGCATCCATTCGGTCAGCTAACAATAGATCAAAGATTGCTATTGTGCTAAACACACCGAAGTACTGTACATGTACTATACCAGGGTGTGATAGCGACGTGGAAGGTGCTGTTTTGAGGTCTCAAGTGCTGCGTCGTACCAAGTGAAGCTGAGTTCGAGTGGAGAGCCCACGTTTCGGTTTTCTCGCTTAAATCCACCTGGATCGGTACGAAGTTCCAGTGGAGCTGGGGATGTGCTTCTCGTCGATCACTTTCGCGGCACTACATTGTGGACAGGTGACGACTACACGGAGATCAGTGCAGATGGGAGTACACTTGTAGCTATTCAGCAGGGAGGAAGACGATTATCTATGTCCTCTCAAGTATGGCACGATTTCCGTCGTTGAGATAACCTAGAACAGTCCGCCCCAGTGGGAGTTTGCTGCTGTTCTTGCTATGCCACGGAACGCATACAGCTTCCAGTGCTGAAACCTGACTGGGCGATTTTTGTACACCACACCAACAAGACTTATGAACAGCACTCTTCGCATTAGGCTTCTTCCCGATGTATACCAACAATTCCACTGGTGTCCTTGACTTCTGTCGAAGGCTCAATGATCTGAGCAGTCTCCAAAGTCTTTATGACACCATCCATGGTCGGTGCATCGACACCTCTTGTCTTTTCGAAAAATTGGGCGGATTTTAACCATGTATTTGCATCTTCCTCTGAATATTCACAGTGGAACTCACCTTTGACCAGTCTGTCGATGGCCGACTTTGTATCATTATTGAAGTCCCGGATGCCACGATCAAAGCAATCAAACAGATTTAATAACTTTGGTTCTGTACCAGGTTCTGGGAAGGTCTTGGTGGAAGCAGCAATATGCCAGCTGGGCCATGGGGTGTAGATCTCGCCGATATGCTTTAGAGGTGCATCGTTCCCATCAAAGTATGGCTTCGTTGTGAAGTGCTCCCACATGAAGAAATCTGCAGTCGGGGCTTGTCCGGCTTGACCGGTCACACCATCTCTCAGGTCTTTAAAAGGTCCAAGCGGATTCAATACTAATCCCTCCGACTTGGTTGCATGATCTTGTTTCAGCCAGCCCTTCTGCTCTGCTAACACGAAGGCCATGATGTGACTACCACTACCGATCCTACTTACACCAACTCGTCTGTGCTGCCGCAGGTCTTCAATGGTATTGATATCGTCTCGGTTTCGGCCCGTAACCACAGCCCAACGTAACGAGTTCTGCACCCACGAGCCTACAATGCTGTATCCTTGCTTCTGCTGACCTTCTGCTGTCATCAAGCCTGCGACCCAGCCTTCAGTCAAACCAATAGCCAGGTCTATCTCGTCCGATCGAAGGGAAGTGATCATATGTCCCGTGCCAGACGGAAACGGTATCAACTCAACTGGGTCTTTGAAGTATGGCTTTGCAAGGTGTAGAGGTATTAAGTAGTGCTCAGGCACGAAGCCTATTCGGATCGGTTTCTGGGAAGCCATGCTCGCGAGAGCTCGTCTTGCAAAGGATGTATTTGGCCGAAAGGTTAGTGGTATAAGTGGTAGTCGGAGAACAGGTGCAAGCATTACTAGTACAGAAACATTTCAGGACCAGCCTGTGTCAAAGTGACTACGACTCGAGTTCACGATTTCGTCAGGTACGACCTGGGCACGAGTCATGGATTTACTAGGTCGATATTGTACGAAGTCAATTGCCTTTGTACACACGGTTGTTATCTGCCAGACCGGCAGCTTTGTTTGGTACACGTCAGCTGAAACCACAATGACGTACGGAGCCGCGTATTGGTACTTCTTGCCTGAGGCATGCACAAATCAATAACCCCAGGACTGATCTGGTAACGTGAAAGTAGAGGTATGAAACCCCATCGACATCGCAGGGACATAGATCTAGCCAAGAATCTGTCAATGAGCTGTTATCTGGGGATGAGCTAGTGCCCTGCAAGATTAGGTGGGAAGGCTGCATGATATCCGATGGTTACGGGCACCATTATCGCTTCGGATATCTTGGCCTTCAATTCCACCTTTCGTTCTGTGGAACTAATGCAATCTTAGTGCACGCACACGAGACAGCTTTCCTGATTCTCGTATTGAAGTGCATACCATGGCAAGAGGTCTCTCTCACGCCTGCTATCTACAGCCGATATCCACTTCTTCTCTTTCTGATAGGCTCTTTGCCGTACGGTCTGTGCTCGTCATGGTGGTCAGGACGCGTAACGTAAATGCCACGGATGTCTGGTCAACAGTGCATCTCTCCGTCCCGTCTCTGCGTATCTGAATCTGCCCCGTCGCTCGTTGCTTGTATTACTCTCAACCATGTATCGCCATGGATTTCGTGCTGTTGCTATTTGGAGTGCTGATTGTGCTTCAGCGTGGTGTGGCTGATTTGCCTCCCTTGTTGAACGACCAAGCATATCAGGACGGCGAACTTGGAGCCTATCCTAGGCAGACCTTCTTCTCAGATCTGGATGTAATTGCACCTGTTCCTAACATTATCGTTCAACAAAAGGATGGAGCGTCCCCAGCTCGATACATAACCTGGGCGGCTCACGGCGACAACTTTACCACTGTCCCTCAGCTGCTCGATGTGGAAACCCTTTCCGTCATCTATCAAGGGCCTCACTATGACGAAGACACGTTTGGATTCACGGTTCAGACGTGTAACAACAGTGATTATTTGATATGGTGGGCAGGCACGAGCATCGATGGCCGTGCCGGCGGGTTCGTCTACATCCTCAATTCGACGTACCACTTGGTGTGGAATATCTCTTCCATAGACCTGGAGTACATCGATGCGCATGATATCTTCTTGACGCCAGATTGTCACGCCATTTATACCTCATACCAGTCAAGGATTGCTGATCTGCAGGAGTATGGAAGTGAAATGTGGCCATTGAGCAACAGTTCTTGGCTTCTCGATTCGTATTTCGAAGAAGTCGACCTCTTGACGAACGAGCTGGTCTTTCGTTGGCGTGCATCTGACCATATTGACATGCATGATTCATTCTGGCTTCCAGAGATTGAACAGCAAGGAGACGAGAATTGGCATGGTTGGGACTTCTTTCACATCAACAGTGTACAGAAAGATCATTTAGGCAATTATCTCATCTCCGCTCGGCACACCAACGCAGTCTACTACGTTGAAGGTAGGACTGGATCTGTACTCTGGACGCTGGGTGGCTCTCGCAATGACTTTGTTGACCTCAGTGGTGGTCGAGCCACTGATTTCTCGTGGCAGCACGATGCTCGTTGGATCGATGATTCACTGACATCGCTGTCTCTGTTCGACGATAGAAGTTGTGGCTACATCCAAGCAGAAGATTCGACCTCGCGAGGTATCATCATAGACCTGGACTTTCACGCCATGACAGTAAGCCTAGCTGCCGAGTATAGGGCTCCTGACGATATTGTCGCTGTACGTAAAGGTGGCATGCACCATCTTGACAATGGAAACAACTTGCTAGGCTATGGTAGTGAGCCTGCCTTCACCGAGTTTGCTCACAATGGGACGATACTGTGGGACGTTCGCTTCGGCCCAGTCATGCAGGATATTGATCGAGAAACGGCGGACAATTATCGTGCTTACAAGCTCGACTGGGATGGTACTCCTCATTGGAGTCCAAAGATTGCTGCTGGGCCGTCAGTTGACAGGATGCCAGTAACACTCTTCAACGGCGCATACACGGAGTCTCTGAGCAAATCCAGCAACGACACAGCTTACTTCAGCTGGAATGGTGCAACGCGACTCGCTTCGTGGCTAGTGCTTGCGGCAGATGAGCCGAGGAATGTCCTGGAGATGAGAAGTGTGTTAGCGCAGACCAACAAAACAGGATTTGAGACTGGCTTATACGTCGGTGAACAGTTTCCCTTTATTTGCGTTATTGCCATGGACAATGAAGAAAAGATATTAGGAGTATCACAACTCTTACATGTCCCAAGCGGTAAAACAGCTGAGATCGAGGATACTGCCAGCCCTCTGTACAGCCAATATGTGGTGTTCAAGCAGAAGTGGCATTCTCACAAATACCTCAACGCTCGATTAAATCTAGCAATACCTGTTATGGCTGTCAGTGGAATCGTATTGGTGTTCTGTGCCTGCTACAGGTCCAGAGCTCTTAGCCGTCGGCTTGCAGATGTTTTCGGACGAAGAGGCTACCAGCCAGTCCAGCATACGGATGAGATTGAAAAGCAGCTGGACTTTGACATTACGCGGGAGTTCTCTACAAGTTCCGCTGTTGACCCAGCGACATCGCTAATGTCCCATGAAACGGTTAAGTGGGAGAGTGAAGACGATCCAGGTATGGGTGCGCGAAGAATCCATCAATGAATCACGACGATGTAATATCGTGGATGGAGCTTCTATGAGGCTCAGTTTCGTAGCTGTCTCTCCAATGTCGTTGACAGTGCTTACTGAACACATTTATCTTCGGTAGACCTGAGATAGCGCTCTGCTTCTCACACTCTGCATACGTACCTCATAAGAACCAACCATTGGTTGCATTGGCAAGTGCTGTGGAAACAAAGCGCGTTCTTGCCGTACTGTACCGTAGTAGGGCTTGAACAATATGACTGTAAATACCCGGGTATACGGGTTGAGGCAAATCAAGGCAGGATCAAACGCCTACGTCCCACAACGTCCCACAACCTCTTCAGAATCTCGCCAGGTTTCGCCTACAAGAACCTTCTCCCGCTTTCCGACGCGACCTTAAGGCTTGGCTCAATTGTGATTGGCATGTACGAGTTGAGCAACAGCCACAGCGAATCACGCTTTCCACACGTGCATCAAACCATGGTTTGCTGTGGCGCATGTGGAAGTGGCAAGGAGCTCATGGCGTACGCTGATGTCAGGTACAGTCGAATGATGTAGTGAATTGCGGATGTTCGTTTGCGTTCTAGGCAACACGATTTTAATCCATAAAGCTTTCATATTGCTTCTTTTCCGACTCTTCTCTTAGATATTCATCTCATACTGTAAATATGTCTACAATGGAAAGATATACTGACGAAAAGGCTGCCGGCGTCGAGGTCGAGGTACTTCCAGTACCAGTGACCTATGTCGTCGAGCCAAAGCGACCAAGTTACCTCCGCCGCTTCCTTCGAGTCGTCCTTGCCTTCCTCGGCACTCTGCTCGTCCTCAACGCAGCCAACCATGCCATCAACTATGCTCTCTCATCTGGCTGCCCCGGCATGATGAAAGGTGGTGGCCATCATCAGCACCCGATTCCTCCTATCGACAACTGGAAGCCATATGAAGGTACTACCCACTTCGAATTCGAGCCAGAGCACGCATCCGGTCTTTCCATAAGAGGCACTGAGGTCTTTGGCAAGGTTGTCTTCGAGACTTCTAAGCTCTCCGACAAGGTGGTAATCGACCTGGACCTCAAGACCAACCACCACGACAAGAACGGCGAGGTCAGCATTGAAGAGAAGGATGGCTACCTTACTGTCACTACTCCAAGCACTGGCAAGCTCGAGACATATGCCTCAGCCAAGATTCAGATTCCATCCAACCTCCTCGGTACCTTCGGTCTTCCAACCTTTGACCTCAACCTGCCAAAGCATATGGTTGACTACTCATCACTACCCAAGTCACTCGAGATTGGTGTATTTGCCATCAAGCTAGGAAAGGGCTTCGTCAAGCCAGGCCCAGTTCACTCCAACAACACCCAGATCACTATTGCAAAGGGTGCTATTCACGGTTCCCTTACACAAGCCCGTTACGAGACCTCCCTGGATATTGCCCAGGGTAATGTCACCCTCGACATCTCTTCCATCTCCGGTGGCAACGAGGGTGTCTCCAACATCAAGCTTGGTGATGGTCACCTCAAGGGTTCTTTCCCTGTCTACAACTCTACCACACTTGACGTTGCTAAGGGTTCTCTCTATGTCAACGTTGACTTCGAGTCAGCTGCTGAAGGCAACCGTGCCGAGCTTTCCACCAAGGTTGGCTCTGGCCCAGCACGCGTCTATGTTGACAGCATCGCTGCAGAGCGTCTATTCAAATCATACCATACCACTGTTTCTGGCGATCAGTTGATCACTTATCCTGAGAACTTCCAGGGCACCATTGATGCTCGTGGCATTGCAGGAACTGTTCAGCTCGAGGGCAAGGATCTAGCTGTTGAGAAGGTATTGGGCGGTCTTCAAGGCACCAAGGGTGATAGCGAGCGAAACTATGTCAGCGTAAAGGCTGCCAAGGGTGCTTTGGATATTATGGTTGGTGATGAATAGTTGATTCAAAGATCAATCCATCAGACGAGTATGTAATTTCTAGTATGATTGATCAGTAACAAAAGTTAGCGTTGAGAAAATGAATACTCAGCTTGTAATATCATCATTTTATCATCCCGATATAGGGAAACGTCAACCGATGCAAAGTCTTCACATGTGAGCCGTTTTCCATATGACGATTATCTCACCATATCTTCGCTTACACATACCACAACACCCACTCCACATTTTCTTGAAGCAGACCTCAGTACGTAGAGAGACCCCTTCCATACCCTTCAGAGTGCTTTTGTCGATAAATCCTTTCTCCTCTTATACGTTTCTGCTCATATTTACATATACAACCGAAGTACTTACGCAACATTCAATTGGTTCCAGGTAAGTCTTTACGTGCGCGTTGCCAAGTTCCAGGAAATCAAATCTCAATAGGTTTGCGTTCAGGTACCAATCTGAGCTAAAGCTGCTTGAACGCTATGCCTGTGCTTATGATGGCATCGAGTTCAGGAAGTTAAGGGAGGAATTACTGATAAAGGCACAAGAATGGTTGGTCAGATCTGCGAAGCGCGACGCCAGCATTTGAAAAATTGGCAAATATCATGATGAGCTGGACATTGCGGAACGCGGTGCTACCTTGGACGACGACACGAAAGACCAAGACTGATTTGTCGATATGATTTGAAGGTATTGCCGCACCTGTGGCTGGCTATCTGCAGAACTCGATAATAGTGGTGATGCAATATAGCTGTTCACGATGAACCACGTGCCATCTTCTTCGAGCACTGGAACAACTAGCTCGTGATTTTGCTCTCTGCCACATCAAAACTGTCTCCTCTGAATTTTGCCTGTCACAGTCCTTACCGGCGTTGCCATTCCTGCCACTATCGTGGAGCCTGGATGACTTAGTCCACTTCCATTCATCGAAGTGAACTCAAAGAATAACAAGAGCGCAGCAGTGATCAATACAAGCTCACCACCCACTTCCCCAGGTCCCCCGCGACTGGGTAGGCTCTTCCAAACCGCAATACTCGTGTCAGTTTCCGCCTCGGATTTTGACATGAACCTGCTCGGGACGAACCTCCTAGGTCGATCCCAATATTGTGGGTCTTTATTTGTAGCTCCGTATGCTGCGTGAACGCGATCACCTTGCCAGAGCTCGAACTTCCCACCTCTCTTCTTTGATTCTCCTGCTGTGCTGTCCTGCTTATCGTCCGTGGTTGCTTTTAGCACAAAGTCTTTCTCCACAACGAAGTAGTCTTCGTACTCGGCCTCGAGACGCTGCACTTCAGATAGTGTTGCCGTCAACATGGGACACTTTTCCGCAAGCAAATGAACAATCTCGGTCTTGAATTTCAGCCTTGGTGGTTCTTGAAAAGGGAGTCCGCTCGGCGGTGGTTTCTCAACACGGACTATTGCTGTTATTTCTTCCTTCACCGCTGTCAATGTTGTTGCATATTCTTCGCCCTTCATGAATAGGTAGATAATCATCCATACAACCAAGTTCACATCGTGGAAAGTGGTGTAGAATAACATCTGAAGCACTTCGCATGAAATCGATCGCACATTTTTAGCACGGCGGTTGTGTTGTCTGGCACTCTTGACAAGTTTCACAACAGCAGGATGGACGTCTTGAACGTCATACAGCATCCCAACACCTAGTGCACTTCCACCTGTTCGCTCCGTGTCCGCGATGATAGCATGTACAAGGCCATCGAGTGTAAGGAGGCATTTCTCTCGAGCTCGAGCAGGAGGTCCGAGACCAGGACCGATCCAGTACGGTAACCCTGTCATGAACGTGCTGTATTTTGAGCTGAAATAGAAGAAATCAGGTAAGAGATCCGGATTGGCTTCGACGAAGGAGCTACCGAGTAGCACAGAGAAGAACATGTGCGAGACAAAGTCACGGATGAGGATGTTGATGTTGGCAGAGACAGATAGTTCAGGGTCCTCGGTTATGACATTGACCTCAGCAGTCCGTTCCCACTGTGCTTGATCGACCCAGGACCTAGATGATGAGATTAAATTGTAGGTATTCGCTTCCAGGAGCTTCAGTAACTTTCTGACTCGCGATCTATCAAGCTTGAAAGAGGCGACAGCTTCGCGGTTGCGAATTTGCATGGCTTGGTCCGTATGTGGATTGTCGAAGAACCTTCTGCTTCGTAAGCCAGATGATAGCTCGCTGCTGAGACTGTCAGAATCTGACAGAGCTGCACAGAGCATTGGCGATGCAACGATAACGTGATCGCGACCATAGATCCTCAACGCAAATACGCCTGCCCTTTGAGCCTTGGCCTGACTCAGAAGCCATGATTGTGATCGAGAGGAAAAGCTCAATGTGTTGGCAACAAAAGGGATCCAGTAAGGCACACGTGGAATAGCCTGAGTATTAAGACTGGGGTCTGGTTGACGGTAGCTCTTTTGGAAAGCAGTCCATCTCCGTGTGATCAAGCAGATAGTAACAAAGGCTTGAATCATGAAGAGTAACGGCTTCTCGATCGCGACTGCTAGTATTCTGTTCAACAGATCGACATAGGGCTGAAAGAAGGTGTTCCCCGACATCGTGTTTCAGGGACAGAGTACCTTTGAGCTAAGGGATAATAGTCTGAAGTACTCGTGACTTAACACTACACGATAGAGTCGCCATCGAAGACTGCTGCAACACTCGCAATCAGAGAGCTGCTTCGTTGATTCGAATGAACGAAAGTATGAGATCGAGTCACAGATTACTCGGACTCAGATGGTGACAAGGCCAGTGTAAAGTCGAGGTGTTTTGCAGATGATAGAGCACTAGTGGCCGCTTCGTGAGGGTTGTTCGTCATGGAGTAGCGGTATGGTGCTGACGTATGTTTCGCCTGTAGGAATAAAACGTCTCGAAACGATCCACATAAACTGCAACTCCGCAAGTACAATTCCGTTCGAAACCATTTCAACAATTGAAACCGAGTGTGAAATGTTGGACCACATGTTCGTTTGTGATCAGATGGTGGATGTTTCCGGAAATGTCATATGCTCTTACACTCCGCACTGTAGCTTAGAACACACGCCAGAAGACGATTACGACTTTACGACTCATGCCCTCTTTGCGCATTCACGAAGGAGGAGGAGTAGAAGAGAGTAATTACGTTTCATTGAGTTGAAGGGTATCATAAATAGTAAAAATCGTCAATACTTTTCAGTCAACACTTTCTTCAACTGTCCTTGCTTGGCCTCGTAACCAACAATCTTCTCCTGTGATGCTAGGGCCTTGTCCAACAAATACCTAATTCGAGGTTTCAGCTCAGCCGGCATGCCTGGAAGTTCAGATAGCAACTTGAGTTCATTCTCACACGCATCAATAGTCGATTTCTCCTTTGCAGCGAGTTGCGATAATATACTGAGATCCAGACGACTACGCAACACATCGTCCTCAGTCAGATACTGGAAGGCGGATAGGTAGACTGGCTTCCCGGGCTTGATCTTGTTTGGTCGGCCATTAGCTGAAGCTATACTGATCAGTTCGGCCTGTTCCAAGTTTTGGAGTACCTGTTCACCATTTTTGCTGAACATGTCGTTGAGCAGAATCTCGTTGTATCGAAGTTCCTCATTTGAGGCCAGTTCCTTGATCAGAACCCATGCTTGCTGAGGTGTCCAGGTTCTTTCGCCATCCAGTAAATACATCTTTAGAATCTCAGATGCTGATTGTTCGATGATCTGCTTGACAGCACGACCTGGGGTTTCACCTGCCTGTATCCGTCGTGCAAGGAATTCCAAATCTGTCAGCCGACCACCAAGAACCTGGATCACACCGTCAAGCTCGTCGAGGTCAGTCCGCAACTGCGAATCTGTCAATTTCTTCTCACCTTCTCGGGTTACAACGTCTGTATCGAGATGTCGAATAACGACTTTCTTTGCAACTTCTGGCGAACAATCTCCGAGGGCAATCTGTCGAAAGACGCGATCGGGAAGCGCTTTGGACAGAGATTTGGAGAAAGACACATCCGTGGTCAGGAATATGACGTGAGCAATGTTCTGTGTTGTCAGGCTAGCAGCCCACTCAGCAATTCTATCATAGACCATATTTGCGCCTGCCTCATTGCTCTTATGCAAGAAATTGTCGATGACCACGATCGGTCTGTGCTCGGGATGAGCCTCGAGCCATTCATCGTCGGGCATGCCAGCATCACGACCTTTCTTGTCCCGGTGCGAGAGTGCTAGACCTTTCAGAGCTGATGTTGTGTTTGTCCATATCTTCACAAGTTGATTTTCGACAGTCTCAGAAAAACCAGTCTTGGTTCCTATCGTACCCATAGCAGCTAAGTCAATCATGCTGCTGAAGGAGTTCATCCATGAGAATACTGGTCGGTACCCAACCTCGTTTGCTGCCGCATTGATAGTCTTGCTATCTCCACGAGCATCCTGAATCTTCTTACAATCAATAACCAGCTTCTGTGGCACATGTGACAGAGCTTGATCTATTAATTGCTTTTTGCCAGCACCTCTAGGACCTTGAATGACGATGAAAGTGTCGGCACTTTCAGACATCCATGTCTTGAGCTGCTGCATCTGGCTATGTCTGTCTTCCCATATGGCATCAAGACCTGCATCTTCAGACTTCTTAGATCCAAAGCGAACATAATCATAACCTCGAGAAAGTTGTTGCATGACCCATTGATAGTACTTGTTCTGTTCGAGATGAAGGCCGTGGGTAATGTGCAGGCGGATGCTCCATGTCCTGATAGGGTCAAAGATAGAGACAGAGAGAGCAGCAATGAGGGCTGCGACGACCGGGATTACTATTCTCGGATGGCTGGCTAGCCAGTCTCTTATCCACTTGCCTCTAACCTTGGGCTCGTAGCTGAGTTTCAGCAGTGTACCAGATTTTCCACCACCGTGCTCTTCGACCAAAATGAAACCATGCATACAGTTCTTAGCCATTGTGGCATATCGTACCCTCGAGAAGTCAACATAGGCAAAGCGAGGAGCGATCTTGGAATCGGAAGGCTGAGAGGTCATCTCAAGGATTGTGCCATATCTGCGGAAAAGTGAGTATAGTGTCTCCTGAGTCAGCTCGGCGGCCGACGCTTCTGGTGTTGTTGGTAGAAATTCAACCTTGACTCTCTGACTCGGCAGGCGGTACAGATCTTCGATCCAAGGCTTCCCTTTGACTAAAAATGTTCTTACACGTCGAAGAGGGTTGAACCAAGGTCTAATGGGTTTATGTTTGAGATAGTCCTTAATTGTGCCTTCCAACTCTTGAGCAGAAATGCCGGCCTCATGCTGGAACTTGACATAGGCACCACCCTCGCGTAGCCTAGGCAAGATAGACAATATCTTGATGGGCAAATTCTTCGGTAGTGCTCGATCGACAATTCCCGTTGGATCGGCCAAAGCTATGTGCGGACTATTGACTCGCCTGTAGGCAGAGATAATTGTTCTAGCATCTAGAAAAGGTATTCTTGTCAACCATTGCAGCCTGAGAGGGAATATGTTATCGAAGAAAAGAATGCTCTCATTAGGAGCGGTATTGATGTGACCCGTTTCATCTTCTCCTGCATCACTGATGCCAGATTCTGAGCTCTTCTTGCGGCAATTAGTGGTAGCTACTGGCGCAGAGGGCGTAGGACGACGGCTGGACTGGTAGTGGATATATCGGCCATATTGTAGAGGTAATGGTCGAGCCTGCTGGCGCAACAGGCCTCGTAGGGGCAGCATTCTGCTCTATTCAGTCCGCATATCGGGCGAGTAAGAAGTCGTGGTCCGCAGCGATTTGTCCCAGCTCTCAGAGTAATTCGAACATGGGCTCAATCTGTATGGAGGGCCATCAAACAATGCGATTGATTCTGGGCATTCGACCACGAGGCAGTTGCGATCCCACTCCTCACTTGCACCTTCCAAGTTTCTGAGGCGCGTGATGACGGCACGCGTTTCTTTTAGCTTAAGCACAATTTGATTGGCAAGACAAAAACGTGGACTTCCGCTTTAGGCAGGTGCGACATTTGGTACAGGAGCACAGATCGTAGTACTGGTAACTTTGAAGCGGCTTCATTTCCATAAACTTTTGACCAACGTACATTCCTCGCGCCATGTGGTGGCCATTTGGCTCGTCAAATGACAACAAATCGCTGATACCTAGACAACCAGAGGACATAACACCCGCTCAGCAACATGCTGTGGAAAAGTTACCAGCACGCGTCAAGCAAGAAATATCGCGGGAAGAGCAAGCAAGCCTTGATTTCGCAGAACTACTGAAAGAGATCGAGATAGAGCAAGCGAAAGCATTAGACCAACGAGTGCATGGGAAACAAGACGGAAAATCTCAATCGACGCCTATTCCTGCAGATATCTCTCCAGATGCGCTGTATCCTACAGAGATATCGTGCCGATCTGCACTTGATTATGCCATGTTCTGTCAGAGCTTCGGTGGTCAGTTCGTGAATGTGTATCGGTATGGAGAGTTCAGGAGCTGTAAGAATCACTGGTCTGATTTCTGGCTGTGTATGAGAACAAGGAATTGGGAAGAGAAGGACAGAGTAAAGGCTATACAAGATCATTACAGGATGAAGGCAGTCAAATGGAAAACTGGTCCGAGCAGTGAGGATATTTGGGAAGTAAGGACTGAACCTGTAAAGGATGCCTTCCAAGACAGTCTAGAAGAGCTAGAAGCTAAGATTGCAGATTGGAAGCAGGCACATCCGGACGTGTCTGATCCATGGGACAAGCGACAAGGTACTACTTTCGCTAATGCTCCCCCATCTACATGAGTCCATCAGCCGTGCTCTACTTGTGCGATCGCCAAAACTGAAAAATTCCACCAGGAGGACGTCTGTTATCTGGGCAAGTAAAGCAGTAAGAAACGCTCACCATAGTCACGAGAAACTGTCTCTCCCCGTGTATACGACATTACTATGCACCTCACAACGAACGCAGGCCTCGGGATCACTCGACGTGGAGGTAGACTTCTGATACACGAAACAGAGGCTGTAAAAGACTAGCATCACGCCCAATAAGGATAGTCCCCGGAGGAGAATACACAGAAGGCGTACTCGCTCTACGAAGAATATCCTTCTATTTCTGAACAGCAGGTTGAACCTGGAACAGGAGGTGCGAGTGGTTGTCACTTTCACCTCACTCCACCTTTCGCCTTAGCAATCTAGAAGCAATTTTCTAAACAACCGAACCTAGTTTCCAAGAACTCGCGACCCTCTACCCCAGCAGATTAGATACAGGACAACCGATTGATTCACTTCAAGTCGATCTTGAATAACTTTTGTGGACTTTCATCGATGCACAATACCTTCACTCAGTATGTCGTCCTTCAAACCCAAAGACCCAAAGTGGTGGAGAAAAACGGTCGAGGAGGCTCTAAAAAGGTCTTCTCGCAATCTTGAAGACAGCCCCGACTCGACGACCACCAGTAATGAACAGTTCGACGATCATGCTGTCAGTGTTCGGGATTCATGGTACGTGGCAGATAATCTAGCAAGAGTGTATAATTTGTCTCAACCTGCCCAGCCTCAATGCGGCTCTCGTCTTATATTACACAAGCAAAGGTCGAAAATATCAGATGTACTGGGTCCGATTTCTAGTGGAGTCGAGAAGCAGAAACAAGGAGCAAAGAAGTGTAAAGCGCAAGCACTTAAAAAGGGCTTTTCTGAACACAAGCTGGCGGATCCACCTGTGACACTGAGAGGAACGAGTACAGTGTCACCGACAGCTACAGACTTTTGGCAGGTTAAAGCAAGTGAGAAAGACAACACTACCTACCATTCTGGAGGCCTTTATACTCATTCTAGAGGAGTTCTGCAGGAGCATCTGAGTGACCATGTCCTTGTCGATAGATCGCCTATCTTACAAACGACTGCATCTACAGGAAATCCGCCTGCTTCAGTACAGCCACCGGTGCCACTCGCCCCTACGGATACCGACGTTGACACTGACGCGACTGTGGAAGATGATTCGAATTCAACTTGGCCAGTACGATTGCTCACCAACGCCGAGACTGCCGTTTTTCCAGGAGACAATCAGATAGAAGTGGTGCTGTCAGACAACCTGGACCTTCCGAGATACGAGCCGAATGCTGGAGACTGCCCTGGACCAGCACCACGATGCTCACTATTTGACCAGCACCTCAAATCTCTGAATGAGCACTACTCTCGACCCACACCAGCGCTTACACCACAGTTCTCAGATCGTCGGTTGACACCTCCAGCTGATGACTCTACAACTGATACACAGTGGTCAACACAGCCATATCCATGGTCTGAACATACTTCAGATACAGACCAGGAAGATGCAGATACCATAACCGGGAGTAGCAACTTGCCCCTTCCAACTCAAAAACCAAGATTTACACGTCCTACTGGACCACTTCTGAATCTCACCTTCCGTTACGTCTCTCCAGGTATCCAACGAGCGTACCCGATGAAGACTCTCCCTCGACTGCTGTCATCAACCCTGCCCGACAAAATCCTACAGGCACTGAATACCGATGGCGATACAACATCGATTTCCAGGCAGAGCTATCATGATCCTGAGTTAACCCATACCGACACTTATGAAATTCCGGATTTAAATTCAGCGAACGCCAACGAAAACAGGGACGACGCAGAGGACTCCACCACAACTCCAGAGACAACTATCAAAGCAACCGCCCTACGCGCCGCAAGCTCTCTCATCAAGCGCAGAATCCTCTATCGCACAATCAAGAAATTCTACGAAGACGAAGCCAGGCGTGGTCGTGTCAAGAAGAGTACAGGCCTGATACCGAGAGTCTCATTTGATGATTCCGCTGCACGTGAGACTTTAGCAGGGTGGAAGGGTATAGATGTTGAGGACTTAAAATTGAGTAGGTGCGATTAAGCATTTGAAAGGGACGTAGCGAAAAGTTGTAAAGAGGAGAACGGCTCGTCGATTTGATCTTTGGGTGCGTATACACTTGTTCATTTTGGCATAACTCAAGCATTAATAGACATTTGTTGAAGAATACGTAATAGAGTTGAGGTGGTCATAGCGTGTTCCATGCGAACCTCGATCGGATTCTTGAAGTGTGGTACACCTCAACCTACTACTAATATCCACCACAATTCTACAGACGTCCTACTTCTTCCCCTTCTTCTTCGTCTTGTCAACCACCTCGATCCACTCCGGCTTCACACCACGCTTCCCCAGAATCTCCTTCTCAACAATGGCTCTCTGATCACCTTGAACCTGCACCTCCAACATCCCCGGCTTACCACCCATAAGCTGTCCAACACTCGCACTTCCAGCACACTTCTTCTGTATCTCTGGCCGTATGAGATGGGGATTGATGAAGAAGCTTTCGAGGCCTGCAATAGCAGTCACGACTTTATTGCCGCCACGACGCTCGATTGTCAGTGTTACGTGAGGCGCTGGACCAGCTTTTGGCTTTAGAGTTGGATCGGAGTCTATTGTTTGGTCGTTTCGGAGGAGGATGTGGTGCGGGACGCAGAGGTGGTCGTCTTCGATGATGCGGCGGTTGAGTGTGCCGCGGTCGATTTCGCCGGCTGCGAGGTAGCGGTTGTCGTCTGATGAGCTATTGGAGCCGAGGATGTTGTTTGCTAGGAAGGGATTGAGCTTGACGTAGCGCTTTTTGGCCTCGTTGATCAGGTCTGGATTGGCGTCGAGATAGGCTTTGATGGCTTGTGTGATTTGTTGAGCTGTGTAGAATTGGCTCTTAGTTGGTAGTAGTTCTGGGACGAGTTTTGCAGAGGCGCGATAGAGAGTTTGGAGTGTTAGTCTTTGGTTGAGCGATTGATCTGTGCCCGTGTCTTTGACGGCACCACCTCCAGCTGCGTCCTCGGATGTGTCTGCGGCTTTCGGCTTGGGTAAACGGTAGGGCTGGAAGGTCCTTACAGCTTGGTCGTTGAAATCGATGTCGAGAATAACTGTTTCTCCTCCATTACGATCTTTCGACTTCAGGAGCTGTTGTTTGTCCAGGTGCTTGATAAACTTTTTGGTGTTCTTCCACGAAGTCTTCTTTATGGTATATTGAGGAGACTGGTTTCTCAGATGTGGTTGTATCATGTTTGCAATGAGATAGGAAGGCTGTATTGGAAAGTCCAAACCATGTGGTTCGCCAGGATTGTTCTTCTTCGCAGTGTATATCGAGTAAACAAAAGCTTCCAAGAAGGCATCGTCGACTTCCTTTGTGGTCGGTATGTGCTCGTCCGAAATATCATCTCCCTGCAATGTGTCCTTCTCTTTCGACGCAGCCTCAACTGCATCATGCTTCGCGATGGCTACACCACCAGTAACGTGTTCACCCTCGGGGCCGTCATCGTCGTCGTCGTCATCATCATCGTCATCGAGATCTAGATTGTCCATATTCTGTTCGATTCTAAACTTCAGACTCGGCCAGCCTTCTAGTGCGCTTGGTGCAGCTGTACCACCTTTGTTCAAAGCACTCCATGTCCACAGCTCATCACCTTCCCAGTGTAAACCCTCTGCGGCGGTGCCTGTGGCACTGTCCTGTAATGTACTGACATCGACCTTGCTTATGCCAACCCATCGAGGTACTGTGTCTGAGACATGACCTGCCACAGCAACAACTGCTCCCTTCGTGGCCCTAGAATCAAAACCTCTGTATGGCTTGATCAAGCCGGGCGCAAACAGGTCTGCACCGCCCTTCAGCTTCCCCACAATAGTTTCTCCAATGTGTAGTAGAGGTATCAAGTCAGGATTATGCCAAAGTGTGTATACGGTAGGTATGAGTCTGTCGTCTTTACCGATCTGAAACCACAGAACTCTTTCTTCTTCGTCAGGATGAGCCCCTACGTATATGGTCCCTGATATTAAGGATGAGCTCGATCCATGGGTAGTCGTGAATTTTGCGGAGGAGGTGTGCTCGGGCAGAAGGGCATTCCTTATGCTGGACAATGTCTGTGGCTGTGCTATAGTTTGCTCGGAGTCTGCTTCGCTCTGTGGCTCAGGCAGTGAGTAGTCCTTGCGTATCTGGTCGGCCAGTCTCCGCCGCTCGGACGATTTTAATGGCGACAGATTTTTGATTTGCGGCTTCTTTTTGAACATTTTGATTGATTGGTTTCCGATGGAGTGAGAACAAATTGGTCGACTTGCAGAGAATCTCCAACAATCTATAGCCTGCACTGTCTGTATGTTCTCGCGTTTGGTTGAGGCTGAGGCGGAGCGCGGTTTTGGAGAGGTCGATCTGAATCACTTCCGCCCGCAGTTGCGCAATCCCTCCGCGTGGGCATGTGCTCAGCGGGCTCTACGTCATTCGCTTCGCGTTTCGCGTTTCTTGTGCCTGAGGCATTAATCCAGAAGTACGAAGTTCTAACAACAAGTCTCAACCGATCACACATATTTTTGAATCACAGGACATGATAAAAAGGACGCCTATGTAATTGAGGTCGGCACGAATCACCCCGAAACGACCCGCCTTAATAAATGCCAAATCCCTGTGCTTCTCATACAGCCGACATACCTGGTTTACATGTTCGAAACCATTTCTTTGAGACAGTAGTAGCATATGCCCGAACGGAAACGGATGGTATAGTCTGCTGCGGCTTGATGGCCAGCGAAGATAACCAAGGGCTTGCCGTCCAGGTGGTAATTGCGGTCGTCACGAGAAGGCGGTACATGCTATGTGTCTGTAGCGAAGCAAGTGAAGCTTGAGACGAAACAATCACGAGATAGTAAGCTTGTCAAGAAAGACTGGAAATACAGACGGCTCGAAGCCCCTGCATATGTAAGTGAAGTCAGATTTTAAATTTACTCCTATTGGCTCGGGGCAGTTTTCCCAACCTCGGAGGAGGACATCCGACCGCATGACGTGACATAGTCTTGATGGCAAGTTGTATAGATCAATCATAATAATTCAATCTTCTGTCCATACGACATTGCATTCAGATCAAATACTGATAGAACATGTCAGTCGTCGCTGGAAGCATCAGCAACGTCGCTGCCACTTTACTAAAATTTAGCCCGACAGCCTGGATCAAATCTTGGCTGCTATACGTGGGTATACAGACTCACGTGAGAGGCACTATTGACCCAGAACTCAAACCACTACACAATGTGTGCGAATATCTAAATGCACTTCACATATATACAGATGAGGCGCGGCGAGGCGAAGTCCGAACCGTCGAATCTTACCATTTCTGCTCACATGTACGGAAGGACCTGCGACAATGTCTCATCTACGATTCTTGCAAACCAGATGCTCGCCTCATTGGAGTTGAGTACATGATTCCAAAGTCCAAGTACCTGGAGTTGCCCGAGGAAGAACAAAAGTTATGGCATAGTCACGAATTCGAGGTTCAGTCCGGCATGCTCGTTCTACCCACACCGGAAACTCATCGAGGCCAAGCCGATAAATGGGAGAAACTTGAGACGCAAGCATTGAGTGAAGTGGTTGGACTGTATGGCAAGATCTTCCACTTCTGGCAGGTCGATCGTGGTGATGAGTTGCCATTTGGTATGCCGAGGTTGATGGGTAGCTTGACAGAGTTCAAGCAATTGAACGTGGACGAGGCTCTGAAGGACAGGGACGAGAGGTTTGGTGTTAGTGTCCAGCACAAGCGGGAAGTTCGACAAGGAATTGAGGGGCCTGGTATCCCGGAGAATGCCGACAGCTGGTGGAAGGAGGCCAAGAAGCAGAAGCTGGGTATATATTCTTCCTAGACGAGCGCTTGGAGAGGGACGTTTGTTCAAGCGTCCTACACTGTATTATGAAGCTGTTGACCGTTTCGCCCAGCGTAAGCGTGCTAATTGCGGGACGATCTTGTGTTTGCTTCGTGGAAGCTGACTCATCAGCGAAGATGATCCTGCTCGTCATCTGGGGATAGAGATACGAATAGCAGAAATGTGACTGTCATAGAATGCACCATTGCGAGAATGTTATGGAGGCCTTGCATTTGGTTAAACGCGGAGCTTATTTGTAAATCTCCACGACACGTGGTTGATGAAGAACAACAATTGATCACGTTCGACATTTTGAACCGTCCGAATGTCTCCAACCACAGCTAGCTGGCCGCGCAGTGAAGTGCGCCAGTAGAAGGACATCGGCTATTGACATCGCCAGAGGCACAATATTCAGAACGGATTCCGACGTATTGATGCCAACATGATTGTCAAAACATTCTCTCATATTCAGTTCGTCAGGCAAGTCAAATATCAAGCTCCATCAAGCTTCGATCGCGCTCGCGCTTGTCCTGTTGTACATTACAATTTCGCCATGTACGATCACTACCATCAATTTCGTTCTTTGAGGACACTTGCCGAACTCTATAACCTGGAGTCGCGTATTGGTGCGGTCAATAGCTACTATGACAAGAACGCGCCATCATGTTGAAGCTTTCGTCATTCGATAGTCTTACATTTGGGAACTGGATCTAACCGAAGGTCCTGCTACTTACAATGACTTCTCGGATCCTACAAGTCAAATGTCATGGGCATCTATAAGCCAAAATGCGCGCTGAAATCTTGCCTGGACAAGACTCGACTTCCAGCTCGACCACGAATGTTCAGCACGATGTCGCTGACGACCAAGGAGATCTGGAGAAGCAGGAACAAGGCGAACGAGCTCGATCGCAGGCCAAGGACGATCGCATCAAGGTCGAATGGGACGACGATGATCCTCTAAATCCCTACAATTGGAAGTTCGCCTTCAAGTGCTGGGTCACTCTACAACTCGGCATCCTCGCGCTTGCACCTTCCTTTGGTAGTTCTGTGATATCGCCAGCCGGTCCAGCGATAGCGCGAAATCTAGGTGTTGGTGAAGAAGTGACGGTACTGAATGTCTCTCTGTATGTCCTGGGATTTGCCCTTGGGCCCTGCCTATGGGCACCCATTTCAGAAGTATGGGGACGCAAGATCAGCATGCTGCCACCTCTGTTTTGTCTCGGTCTATTCAGCATCGGCACGGCAGTAAGTACAACACCTGCTTCGGTTTTTATCACACGGTTCTTCGGTGGTGTGTTCGGATCAGCACCGATCTCAAACGTGAGCGCTGCTCTGGGTGACTTCTGGAGCCGAGAGGCTAGAGGCACGGCCATGAGTTTCTACGCGATCTGCGTCGTCGGTGGTCCCACTATCGCCCCCATAGTAGGCGCAGCACTTACTGAGAAGCTCTCATGGCATTGGACCGAGTACGTGGAAGCCATCTTTGTCTTCTCAGTCTTTGCTCTGACCATTGTCTGCTTTCCGGAGGTGTATCCTCCTGTCCTACTGAAACGGAAGGCACAGAAACTGCGCAAGGAGACAGGGGATAACCGTTACTACCATCCTCATGAGGATCTCAAGATCGATTTGAAGTCTATCGTCACGAAAGAGCTATCGAGACCGCTCCTCATGTTGGTTACCGAGCCCATGGTGATGACGATTGCTTTCTACGCAAGCTTCGTTTACGGTGTCCTCTATATGACCTTGGAGGTCTTTCCAATCGTCTTTCAGCAGAACCATGACCTGACGCTCATCGAAGCTTCTGCGTCATTCCTCGGCCTCTTCATCGGCGTTCTTTTCGCCCTCGTTATCAATCTAGGCAACCAGCCACGATATATTCGTAAGGTCAGGGAATCGAACGGAAAACCAGTCCCGGAGGCGCGACTACCCCCAATGGCGATTGGCGGTGTCGTCTTCACTATCGGCCTCTTCTGCTTTGGCTGGACAGGTACTCGCAACATCTCAGTCTGGGCGCCTCTTACCTTCACACTCTTAATCGGAGCTGGATTCAACTCGATCTTTCAGCAGTGTATCAATTTTCTCGTTGATACCTATGGTCTATATGCCGCAAGCGCAACCGCAGCGAACACGTTTCTACGATCACTGATGGCTTACGGCTTGCCGTTAGCGGTCCGTCCAATGTTTGCAGCATTAGGCGTCGGACCAGGAATGTCAGTACTCGGTGCTGTTGCAGCTGTGGCAATTCCTGTGCCATTTCTTTTCATGAAGTATGGACACAATTTGAGACAGCGTAGCCGTTTCACGCCTGTTGATAAGGAATGACTGCACTGAAATTATTCTTACAAACGGCAAGCTATCTGTCTTTAGTGCGCCGCGTCAAGGCTGCACTAAGCGCGCGACAAGCAAAATCTTTTCCTACTCTAGATCTGAAATAACAGGCTTCACCGTGCCTTTGAGGTTGATCAACAGCACCAATTCTCCTATGACTTCAAAACATTTCGGAAAAGCACGAACTCCGCTGGTGTGTGCTTCAGGAGAGCTTGATGTGGGGGCGCGCCCCCACATCCCCTGGGATAGAGGGAGCACTAGGACCGCCCAACCCTTTAACCTATATCTCAGAAGCCGGACGCATACACGTCTGTCCGAACAGTGTTTGACATCTGGCGCTGTTCATGATGTTTCCTGTCGTACCCATGCTCTTCTCAAAACGCGACTCATCAGCAGATTCTCCCTGTCCATCACCAACGTGCACAGGGCTTAAATATCCAGTGTCTTTGGGTGGCTCATAGTGATTCATAATCTGGGGGTTCACCACAAGACATCTTAGGGCACCGGTTCCACATGCATGCGACAAAGCCACATCAAAAGCCTCATCGGCGCCGCTTGCCACAATATTCAGTATCTTTTGCGCGGAATGCTTGTGTACACCGTAACCAAATGTACAAATGGTCATTGAGCCTGCCCATTGAACAATTCGATGGCCCTCTTCGAGGTGATCGCGGAGAAAATGCTTCGACCAGCCAGAATATAGTTCAGTCTTGCATCTTGATTCGTCAAGATATCTTTGTCCCGGGTTATTCGGTTCCATCGCAGTGCCGCAGTGACCGAGCCAGAGAATGTCCCAATTTGTGCCATAAGCTGAACTGTCGGTCACAGGAACTTCTGTGTATGCTCTGATATTGTCCGAAGCAAGACGAATCTGGTCCTTGAGTTTCATGTCGAAGTCTACATCGTCCTCAACAATAAGCGCACTCTCGAGTCCGCTCATGATGAAGTACTTCAAGAGATCTATGTGGTAAAGCCATGCCGTTGCAGATCCTCTAGCAGGAGCAGTTTTCCCTGAACTTTTGCCAATTTCTGAGAAGGCTGTTACCAAGTCTGCCGGGTTTTTGGCCTGTGTCGGGTAAGTGAACTGGAGACCGACACTTCGGCCGGCTGAGTCTAGTCCACGAGTTCGCCAACTGGGACGAGGTGATAAGGCTAGGATTTTCTGGAACTAACAAGAAATATTGGTCAATGTACAACCACACCTCGATCGCCTGTGAGTATACTGAAGACTTACTCCTAATGTTTCGTTGGCTGCTGCCTCTCGGGGTGGAAGGGCATTCAAATATCTTGCCGACCGGATGCCATACGTACTCGAACCACCAAAGGGTCTTGATAGTGCGAGCAAAGTGATTACTACTAGCGCAAGAAGCACATATATCCGTTTCTGTACGAGCACAGTGGACAGGGTCTTAGACGAGTCCATACTAATTTGATGAACAGGCTCCGGTACGGCGTGTTCACCGAGATACGGAGTAGCGTGTCAGTGTCGTCTGCTGAAGGAGACCACAACGTCAATCACCTCAAAGAATGGGCAGCAGGCATAAAAGAAGCCATATAGTAGATCTCAGAAACAAAAAACAAAACACATCAGATACTGATGAACAGCCTGTCTAGAGCAATTTCAAATATGTCTGCAATGTGCGTCGACGCTGGTCGCGGGTGAGATCCTAGCAAGCTGCATCCGGTGCTCAGACTGACTTTCTTTGTTGTTGAGCCAGCTCTTACCCACAAGCGAGATTTATTGGCGCATGCAGCTCGGATGTCTGTCTCAGGTCGAAGAACCACATCGACGATGTCGAGGTATTCGGGCTATTGACCAGACCAACAACGCAAGATTGAGCCACCTTACTCTTAGCAAGGCAGTGCAAGACGAGATGTAGGCGGACAAGGACAAGTTGTCCAGAATGGGACCCAGTCGAGCACGACCAAGTCCGTGCTTTAGGCGTCTGTGCTGAGAATGAAAAGTTGAAAAATTGTCTTGGTGACAAGAGGCCCAATGCAAATCCAGCGAGCTATCATTGAAGATCAGTCTTGGGCTAGGTTGCTGGACTGAAAAATTTTCCATCGTTCAGGCAGATTATTGTGGTTAAAACGGAGTCGAAGTGGTCTCTGTACGCGAAACCATGTACCCAGCCTGAGATTCCCACCAGATATCTGCCTGTGCCAATCAAAAGCACGTTCGTTCTTGTGTCGGTACTTTCACCGGTACCTGGTCTCACTACCAAACCCTGCACGCTCGCCATAAACGAGACTATGGACATTGAGCGGGAGGCCGTCTTGGTGGACATTCGAAAATTGCGGGTAAGGTTTTCAGGCTGGATGAAGTTACAACCGACCATATCTGCCTTTTGAGTGATCTACGGCGATGGAAACCCTCTGCGATTCTCCTCTCAGGGATCACTTCTATCTCAATATGTGATGTCCTTTCGCAGTTTTGAACTGTTTCACTAGCTGCCCACGAAATCTGACCATAGGGGCTCTCATCTCGTAGCTCGATTGGGTAGTCGTCCCGTGTACTCCACCTGGTGGGTACAGTCACCTGAGCCTGGGATGGGTGACATCCAGGCCTGATTCAAATCTGAACTGACCAGACTGCTCTAAAAGGTACATTCTTGGCAGCTTCGTTTTGAATAGAGGAGTGCTTTTTCAGTCACCACACCTTGAAGGGCAAGACGTCTCTGACAGAGTCTCCTAAATTTGGTTTCTGCCCAGATGTTGGTCATATATCGACCGCAAGTCGATGGGAAAGATACTTTCCGATCATCAGCGCACGTCTCGCTGGTCTCATTCTGGTCCAATTGAAAGTGTGAATAGGTAGATGGCAAATTGTAAACTACTGTGATGGACGTGCATATGTGCCCTTCTCAGCCACTAGTGAGAGACTCTTCTACTAAATGGAGTAACCTACTGCTTCAGCACAAGGTACCGCTGCACGAGTACCTGCAAACTCCTTCTTCTACCGAGAGATTCTGTGTCGATAAGAGGTAAAGCCAATCAAATGGCTCCTACCATAGGCTGTACATTGGCTCCAAGTTTGAACCAGTAGCCAAAACGAGGTCGTACATATGCACGTTCACTACATCACTGTCATGAGGTTGGTTTGCACATCAAACTGCCCTCTCGGATAGAATGTTGAGAACCTGAGACAAATGTCTCTGGGTACACTGCCGTGTCGTCCTTCTTTACCTGTATCAAGCTCTCTCTCATATCTGACAGATTCTCAACTTCACAGCTTCAGTCGATCGCCATGGTACGAGTATGCTGGAAACTCTCTCTGGTTGTTACCGTCGTGATTTACACCTTGGCCCACTGTCGGCTGTGTGACTCCGACCTCACAAACAGAACCAAGCCAGACTACTACTTTATCACACCCCAACAATTCTGCTACGACAATAACTACGTTGGAATTGCAAGCTATCCAGAAGGTACTGCGTTAATGGTTCAATGGGTCGCGGCGACGGAAAACAACATCTTGACACTGGCGCAGATCAACGCCACGGATCCCATACGTCAAATCGAGTGTAGGTGTTCCGAAAGCAATACAGTTCGCCGTGCTGATTCTGTTCTAGCGAACATAGGAACCACGTACGCTTGGGATGGCTGTCTGCCCTCAGACGTTAGCCTTAGCAACGGCAACACTTTCAACTTCCTTCTCTACAACTCTAGCGGATGGATTTGTTCTTCTGACTTCTTCAACATCTCCGCAAGCAATGTGTGTGCCCAGCGTGCAGCCTCTAGCTCATCTTCAGCCATTGCAGCAACAAGCTCAACTTCCAGGTCGTCAGTTTCGAGCCCAAGCCTGCCTTCTGGACTAACATTCACGGCTGGTTTTGATACAACTGGTACTGCTGCCACGACCCCAACAACTCACATAGCATCCGAAGACAGCGGCGATGATCACAGCCGTCTAAGTGGCTCTGCCAAGATTGGTATTGGTGTCGGCGTCGGCATTGGTGCACTGCTCGCCATGCTCGGTGCAGCGTTCTTCTTCCTGAGTCGTGGGCGGAACAAAACTCACACAGCAGGCTTAGGTCATGCCCCACCCTACAAGGATCAGAAAGTGCAACAACACAGCGACAACGCTCCGCCTCCCTTTTCGCAGCACTGCCAGTCTGGACCTAGCCCAGTCTATGGGCAATCTGTATATAGTGTGCAGGAAGCTCCTGGAGACCTATCTTTTAAGCCTATATCGATGGATCAATTTCCACGCGAGATAGACAGTTCCATACGGTAGCACAAGCATTGAAGTCTTGAAAACGCAAGATCTGATGCTTTGGGGCAAATGTGACAAGAGGTATAGTGGTGGAGCCGATCACTCATGAACCGGACAAGGTTCAGAAGTCTCAATGGAAATCTGTAGATAATCATAGAATTATACCAACTAGTTTGGAAATCAGTCGCAGTTACAAGACGATTGTTTCTTGCACTAATCCAGTGCTTCTTCGGATTGGCTGCTATCGTCTTCTCTCAGTCTCCTGAACATTACAGCTGTGGTCGACCTCTGTTGTGCAAAGCGAAGAAGGGCACTGAACCAGGTTGCTTGACCGCTGGAGTTGCCCTCCTGTTGACTTTGAATTGTGCTCATAGTCAGGGCGCCGGGGGATTGAGCCTGAACGTTGTGGTGAGTATAGCTTGCAGCCTAACCGTTTCTTAAGGCACTCTTAGGCACTAGCCTGTATAAAGAGTGCCCATCACCTAATCGAGAAGGTGTAACGATATTCACGCTTCCCCCACCATTCTGACAATGTGTGAAGCTGAATTCATGATCAGCCGAGATCGGGACACTTGAAATCTGCAGCGCAGTTTAATGCAGTCTCTTCGTTCATCACAGCTATTCAATTCCATGTAAAGGTGGAAGACATTTGTACTGCAGAAGACCTTTCGGAAGACATTCGGTGACGAAATAAGACACAGGATGTCATTGCCAAGATCACTGCACCCAATTGAAAGCTACAGCACTAGCCACGTGCTTGTGGTTGAGCAGAACGAACTTGTGCATTTCTTCTTTCTGCACCTCTCAGACATCAAGTGTACCTGCAGATCGCCTTGGTGCAAGATTGCCGGGACAAAACCCTGCATACAGTTCCATGATGTAGCTTGCTAAAGAAGCTCGATGAGGCTAACGAGCTCGGCGAGCTCTACAAAAGCTTTCAGTTTCCCGGTAGGTAGAGTACAGAGCATCAATTTCTGTTCAGAGCTCGCACTTGATCAATATGCGTAACGTACTTGCCTCAGCATTTCTTGCTAGTACAGCGTTGGCTGTACCGCAAAAGAGAGCAACTCCTGTCAACACGACAACTTGCAATGGCAAGACTTACGACTATCTTGGCCTAGCTGGCTATGGTTTCACTCCATCAAATGCAAGAGACAAATTTGGCGATACAGCTGGTGGTATTGGTAGCTCCGCTGTACTTGACCCATCAAGCTGGACCTTACAGCGCAATGGTAGCTATACAGGCTTACTTTATGGTCTGCCAGACCGTGGCTGGAACACCGAGGTGAGTCTTAAAGCTGGGCCATCCTCGCGCTGAGCTTGCTCGTTGTGCTCAGACAGAATACCGGCTAATCGAATGTTACATAGGGCACTCTAAACTACCAGCCTCGTCTCCACAAATTTCAGATTGTCTTCACTCCAGCGAACACTGGTCCAGCACCCAATCTTCAGCTCTATTACCTCGATTCGATCCGTTTTTCGACGTCCACCAACGTGCCATTCACTGGTCTGGATCCGAACCTTTTGCCACCGTATCTGACAGCCGCAGATGGGACCACTCTGCCAAGCGCGACATATACGGGAGACGGCTTCGGAGGTAACGGCACAGGTGGATCTCGTCCGAGTCTCGACTCTGAAGGGCTGGTGATCATGCCAGATGGCACGATGTACGTGAGCGACGAATACGGCGACTACATCTACCACTTCGCTGCCGATGGAAAGCTTATCAAGGCCATTCCACCACCTCAGCCTTTCATTCCCCAACGTAATGGCAGTGTGAGCTTCAATGCCGACAGCCCTCCACGCTACGACCCCGACCGAGAGACTATTCCAGCCAACCCAAGTGTTGGACGAGCCAACAATCAAGGCTACGAAGGTTTGACCCGAAGCCCCAATGGGACGTATCTCTACGCCTTGACTCAGTCCGCACTCATCCAAGACGGAGGAGCTGAAGGCGGCAGATACCGACGCCATGCGCGCCTGGTCAAGCTGGACCTATCAGCTGACCAAGGCGGTGTGCCTCCAGTTGTCGCACAGTACGTCGTGCCGCTGCCTGTATTCACCAACAATGCCAACAGGTCAGCTGTGGCTGCTCAGAGTGAAATCAAGTACATTTCTGACACTCAATTCTTGGTCTTGTCTCGAGATTCTGGCGCTGGTCATGGTCAGGACGAATCCCTCAGCAGATACCGACATGCCGATGTGTTTGACATCACCAATGCTACCAATGTCAATGGACGACAGAGTGTAGCTCCAGGTGGTAATCTTACCTCTGGTATCGTTGCGGCCACCTACTGCTCATTCCTCGACTACAATGTCAACTCCGAACTTGCAAAGTTCGGGCTACATAATGGTGGAGCTCAGGACGACAACCTACTGAATGAGAAGTGGGAGAGCTTCGCGCTTGCACCTGTGAAAGCAAAGGGCAACGGCCAATGGAGTAACTGGGGTGGCAAGAGCGACAGCGATAATGAGTATTTCTTGTTCACTCTCAGTGACAATGACTTTATCACTCAAGATGGCTATATGAATGGTGGATCGTTACCCTACAGTGATGAGAGTGGCTTCAGTCTGCTCAATCAAGTATTAGTGTTCAGGGTCAAGTTACCAGCAGGATCCTCGCCCCTGGTGGATTGAGTCCGCCTTGCAGACCCTGCATTGCGGTCTCTGAGGGTTACTGGAGATATTGCCTGAATAAATGAGCATAAACAATCAGAAATCTCCCACAAATGAAAAGCTTGCTAGCTGGTTTTATACGTGACAAACTCGTTTAGTGCTCCTAGTTGACGTGCGGCAAAGCACAAGCACAACTTCCAAGCGTCTGCAGCAAAAAAACACGTTCCATCTTCTACGCAAGAAGCGAGCCATGAGGAAGATGGGTGTAAGACGGACTGAGAAAATGCCACACTTTGACCATGCGAAGACACTCTATTCTTCTGCTTCAACGTGGCCGAATCTGCCGTACATGACTTTGTTTAGTGCAACGGACTCTTTCAGCCTGCTGCGTCACGCCTACCTCTTACTTCCCGCACGAGGCCTTTCGCCTCCTCGACCTCAAATCCATCCATACACAACTCTTCTGCTAAGAGCTCTGCTCGGTCTAAGTCGTTGTTCTTGAATGCATATCGCGCGAGCCACAGCCGAGCACGTGAAGTCGTGGCTGTGGTTCCTGTGCCGAAGCCAGTATTCGATCCCGGCTGTTCGTCAATGGTGTTGTGCTCAGGTGACACCTCTTCGGTAGCATCGGAAGCTGCAGACGAGGGTGAAGACAGAACTTCAGTATCACCGTCGCCATCCCCTTCAAAATGCTGGCTAGCACTTGGAGGGTCGGATGGCGACGTAAGATTCTGTCTATGCACTCCCTTTCGTGTCTTCGTTCTTGTAGGAGCAACACTTGTTTGGCCCGTCTCTTGCGCTAGACACAGCTCCATGTAACGTGCCGCTTCCATCTCATTCGGTATACGTTCGTATAGCTGAGCAAGATGGAACAGAGTCTCGGGATCAAGCAGTTTATGTCCTGTGATCCGTCGAGCTTGGGAGCCTTTGCCTTTACCACTCGTCGATGTGTTGAACGAATGTGCAGGCGAATCGGTCTCGTAGTATGTACCAGCAGCAAGTGCACGTTTGAGAGCTTTGATCGCCTGCTCGACTCTGTTCATCTTTGCATAACACGAACCAACAGCCTGCCACATCTTGGCATCGTAAGGTCGCAGACCTGCTGCTCGTTGATAATAGAATAGGGCGTAAAAGCCCATGTCGAGCACTTCGTATGCCTGACCAAGTCCATACCAAGCTCGATAGTCCTTCCGATTGGCATCTACGGCTCTGCGATATGACTCGATCGCAGCATGTGTATTCTTGAGTTCGATGTACTCGTGGCCCATCAACGTCCAAGCTGACAAGAACGATCGATCAAGAGTGAGAGCTCTGCGGAAGTACATGACTGCCTTCTCGTGGTGTGAGCATAATGAGTAGTAATTGCCAACAACGCAGCATGTTTCAGGTCGAAATTTGTCAACACTTGTGGCGAGGTGAGCCAGAAAGGCGAGCTTCGGCCGATCTGTCATTACATACAAGATGTTCGAATAGTGGTCAAGGCCGTCCAGACGATACGGATCATTGACGAGAAGCTCCTGGAAAATTGAAGACGAAGTTTCGAAATCTTTCGAGTGGTAGTAAAATAAAGCTTGCTGTGTTAGCAAGAAGTTGGAGGTAGGAAAGATTTCCAGTAAAGACTGTAGTGTTGTAATAGTCGTATTCGAGTCTGTAGTCGAAAAGAGGTCGATTGAGGCATGTATCTGGTACATCAAGGTCATGACGTTCTGAGGGAGAATGGAAGCACTCAATTGCGCATTTAGATCGTCGACAGAGGACAGTAGATGAGAAAGCTCTTCCCACGCACCCCAATGGTAGGGGTTCAGCCGGACGGCACGGAGGAGCCATTCCTGTGCGAGTTCTTCCTGCTTCGACCGAGCCAATATTAGACCATAGAGATATTCTAGCCAGCCTTGAGCTCTTTTGATCTGCGGATCTGCAGCATCTCTTGCTCGGAAGTACTCATCCAACGTTTTTGCTAACCCAGAGAGTTCTCTGTTCGAGCTCATTCCTCCATCTGTTGGTCCCAGTATCATCTCTCCCTCCTCTTCCTTCCGCTTCTCACCTGCCAAATATCGAGCATAAAGGGCAAGGAAAAGAGACTTCTGACTCAAGCGAGGGATCGAGTGTGTTTCCGACGGCTTTGACCTTCTGGTCTTGGATGGGGTGGAGGTAGGTGTTCGAGTCTTGGACTTTTCGAAGATGGCTAGTCCTCCTGCTGGGACTGCTGGCGGCAGGAAGACGGAAGCACATCTGTCGAATTCCTTCGTGTCAAACAATGATTTGGCCAGTAGATATTTGCCAGCTTCTCTTGCTTCTAGTGCAGCCTCTTGTGGATCGTCGTAGCTTGTTGACAACATGCGATAAGATGAGGTAGGAGCATCGCTCCCAAGCATTGGTGAATCATGGTCTACAACATCCGGCAATGAGTTCAGTAGTTCTGCTGCCCTGGATTAATCAGTTGAATACCAGGAGACATGGGCAGACATACCACTTCGCTGACTGATAGAGACATCGTTCTGAACACTTGATTGTGGCTTCAGTGAGTCGATCTCGAATTTCAACCACAAGGGCCCCTTCGTCTCCAGGTCCCGAGGCTAAACTTTCGTTAAAGCTAACAGCAGCCATATTGGCAACATGTTCCAGAGATCAGTCCGTCAGTGTTGGTCTTTACCTTGAGTGCGACTGCTCACGATTGCTCCTGCCATGTTCAGAAAGATGCGTCGGGTTCTGATGCAGAACGCGTCACCTTTACTGTATCAGGCTTAGCTTCACGCGTCTGTTATTTCCTCGTACTCAACTTGAAGCACTAGCAGAAGCCCGATCGAGGTCGTGTAGGATCGAGAATGCCATCTTCTGTTCTATCGCATGGACAACATTGCCGACGGGTGCTCCATGTTGAGACATCGGGCACTGCTCAACTCATGCGGGGCACGACTTGTCGAGCGAGGAGTATAGAAATCATCCCTGATGTTCCAGCTCTTCAACATCTAAGGTAAGCAGACAACCAAGACATCCATTTTAGAGACGTCTCCTACTGCAATGGACGTTATTCAATCACTCTCCTCGCGGGAAGTAACGCCAATCACAACTGTTGATATGCATACCTGCGGCGAACCAACCCGTATCGTGATCGCTGGATATCCAAGCCTTTCTGGCACACTGCTGGAGCAAAGAGCGCAAGCAAGGGCCCATCATGACCATATTCGAAAGAGACTCATACTTGAGCCGAGAGGTCATTTTGATATGTATGGTGCTATCTTGAGACAGGAGACTGAACTCACTCGCAGAGGACTAGCCGATATTGGAGTCCTCTTCATGACGAACAACGAGTACTCGACCATGTGCGGCCATGCTACGATCGCTCTAGGACGTTTCCTAGTTGACACTCACGACCTTGATGTCTTCCCTGCAAGAGAGAGCCTCCAATTTAATAGCACTCGCCGGACGATTCTCCTGCGATTGCACGCGCCTTGCGGGTTACTTGAGGTGACAGTTCCGGCATCACAGGACGGCCAAAGATCTGATGCTTCTCGGCCTGTCTCCTTTAAATCTATTCCATGCTTCACTACTGCTCTCGACTTACGTGTGAATCTTAACCTGGAAAATACATGGCCTGAACTAGGACCGCGAATCTCTATTGTGGCCGATTTTGCCTATGGAGGAGCATTTTTTTGTCTTGTATCCGCTGCTGAGCTAGGTTTTCCTGAAGGGTTGACTAAATTCAATTTCGAAGCCATGAACCAGGCCACAAGACGACTCAAGGCTGCTGTGAATAGTGATCCATATTTGGCCTACTTGTTTCGACATCCGGAGTCCAACGACCTTAGCTTCCTGTATTCTGTCATTGTTGTTGACAAACACCTAGGCCTGGCGATAGGAAACTCCAAAGGAGCGGAGACAGGCTTGTGCTTCTTCTCCGACCAAGAAGTCGATCGTTCACCAACAGGTAGTGGCGTTTCTGCTCGTCTCGCCGCTGCCTATGCTCGAGGCGACCTGAAAGAGAACGAATCGTGGACCTACCACTCTTTGGTATCTCTGCACAATGACAAAAGTAGTGCTTTTGTTGGCAGAGTACTTGGTAGGGATAACGCGTCCGACAGTGGCCGATTTCCTGCTGTAAGGACTCAAATTGAGGGCCGTGCCTTCTATACTGGATACCACACCTTCGTCTTTGAGTCTCCCGATCCTCTTGGAGATGGTGGTTTCATCATGAAGGATTTCGCAGACAGTGCCGTACCGAAAAGCAGTTAGGGATTTGGTCAGGTTGCGCTAGGCTGAGCTTAAATTGTGCTCCTCTGAGGTTTCAGGTCGTTTTCTTTCGCAGCTGTGCCACGTACAATCTGACGGAAGTGCGAACAGTTTCAGATCATCTCTTCTGGATTCCAAGGTGAATATACAGGACAATGACGAACGACTTCTATCGCTCAGGTTCAGGAACGAGTTAGATACAAAATAAGAACTACATGATCAGACAACTTAAGGCCTGCACCTACAATCAGCATTGTAAAGCTCAGCTAAAACTGTGAGAGTCAACCCCTCTCTTTCTTGCTCTCCAGCAAATCCAAACATATCATCATCATCACAACTTGCTCTGACCACCCACATTCTCACCACTCCCAATCTCATCACTCACATTCCCCTTCTTCTCATCCAACCCCGTATTCTTATACCCAAATAAATACGCAGCAACCTTCCTCATCTGAACCTCCTCACTACCCTCCGTAATCCTATACCTCCGGAAATGCCTCCAGATATGCTCAAACGGCTGATGTCTCGAGTATCCATTCCCACCATGGACTTGAATTGCGTTATCTGCTGCTTGCGTCGCTAGCCGATTAGCGTAGTAATTGCACATACTGATTTTGTGGCCGAGCTGTTTTTCGATCGCGATCCATGGTGGCATCGAGGCGCCTGGAGCAGAGTATTTGCGTTGGATGTCGTCCATTTCGTTGGCGGTTCGCAGGATGAGGAGGCGGAGCATTTCGGCTTGTGTGCTGAGCTCGACGAGAGGCCATTGAATTGCTTGGTTTGAGGAGAGTGGTTTGCCGAAGACGATGCGTTCACGGGCGTATTCGACGCTGCGGTCGATGCAGAATTTTGCTGCACCGCAGGAGGAACTAGCTTGACGAATTCGGTTTTCGTGCGTGAATGTCTGAGCGATGGCGAGACCGTTGTCGTATGGTCCTAGGACGGCGGTGGCAGGGACCTTGACGTCTTTGAAGAGGATGGTTGCGTGGTCGGTGGGCATGTTCAGGGTGTATTCGTATGATTGGATGTTTACGCCTTCGGTCGTGGCGGGGACGATGAAGGCTGTGATCCCGTGGGGTGAGCCGCTTTTGCCTGAGGTGCGTGCGAAGACGAGCATGTGTGTGGCGTGGTGGGCGCCGGTTTGCCAGCGCTTGTTGCCGTTGATGGTGTAGCCTTTTCTGCCGTCGGGGAATGTGCATTCTTCTGCTTTTGTGTCCATGTGTGTTGCGTCGGAGCCGTGGTGGATCTCGGTCAGGCCGAAGGTCATTCTGAATTCGCCTTTGAGACGGGCTGTGATGTACTCGTCTTTTTGCTGCTGATTTCCCCAGTGGTAAAGCATGAGGAAATCAGGGAAGTTGCCAACCACGCTGTGCTCGTTCTGAAGGTCATTGGCCAAGCTGACGCCTCCTCCGTAGACTGGATGAGACGCGAAATGATAGCGAAGAGCACACATCCACAGGTTTGAGTTTGGATGTTCTTGGCCGCCATACTCCTTTGGCATAGGAAAGCGGTAGAATCCTGCTTCATCAGCCAGCTTCCGAGCCTGCGTGAGTAGTTGTTCCCACTCAGAACTTGGTAGACCGCCTTTGTCCCATTGTGTCCGCGAAGGCTCGCGTCTGTGGTCGAAGAATCTGTTGTTGTCGTCCTTATACTGGAGAGGGAGAATGATAGATGTGATAAACTTGTCGACTTTTGATATGTAATCCTGGAGATCGTGAGGATAGTCGAAATTCATGGTGAAGGACTCCTGTATTCAACAGGACTAGCACTCTGGGATTGAGATCTTGAGAAGGCTTGTGATTGCGGCTACATCTGTACATATTGATGAGCACTCATGCCGTGGCAGTCTCGGCTAGGTCTAACGAGTTGCGGAGAAGAAGCTCCCGAAACATAAAAAAAAAGTCTGGGGAAGGTGCCCGAGGCAGGATTCACATGAGGTAGATAAGAGGTAGATTGTCCCTTCTTGACATGGAGAAAATGCGATTCAGCGGCCAGTTTTGGAGTGCCTGGCCTGCTGCACTTCGACCGAGGTAGCGTCGTGATTGGCCTACCTTAGTAGGTAAGTCAACTCCACGTCTGACTCGAGTTCTCCTAACGTCCTATCCTCCACGACCTTTTCAAATTCGTTGTCAATGACATATTCGGTTGTGCTCACTGTCGGCGCTTTGATTTGCACATACGGTGCTTGTGCTTGGTGATGTTGTGATTTTCTGTGACGCGATGACTTGGAGGTTCGAAGGTCAATTTCAGGGGCTTCAGCATCCCCAGCACTCTGCAGTCGTTGGATGTACCGCATGAGTCCAAACAGACCAGCTCCAATTAGTGCAATGACAAGAAGCCATTCGAAGACAATGCTAGCTATCAACCATTCTTTCGATGGACAGACAGTATGTCCAATCGTTTCCAGTTTGAAGCCATGTGCTCTCAAGAATGTTACCGAAGCGAGCTTGTTATTGTACTGACACTTAATACTGCCCGGAGCTGTGGCTATTACTGAAGTTGCATTGTGATGGTGGATGTCTTTCGGTAGAGGTATGGCGAAGGCTGTGGTGAACAACGCGAGCAACGTGGAAATCAGACTTGTTGACTTCATTTTGAGCTCACTCCGACGTGGAGAGTGACGGTTTTGTGATCAAGAGGTAAGCTGCAATGCCTTACTCTTTCGAAAACTCAGCGCCGTCCTCGATAATCATTAATCACTGGCCTCAATCCTCTCGTCCTCGGTCCAGTATGCCGTGGCAGCTGAAACGTGTGGCCCGGCACGATCTCACTCCCTCCACGAGCCTCAGTGTACGTCGCCGTGACCTCCGGCTCACGGAACCGGACTTGCGAGCTGCTCCCTTCTCCGAGCTCTTCTGGATCCTGTCCCTCCAGATACTCAGGTCGCTGCCTGTTTGGCCTTCCGAGCAGTCGCTGGAGCTGAGGGAAGAAGCAGTAACTCAGCACCACCAAGACGATAGCCACCAGGGCGATGATACCGACTACCGTGAAGACTTGTTGGCCTTTAGAAAAGTTCTCAAAGGCGTTTTGGGATCTGCAGAGGTAGTTGCAATCCAGATCGCCTGGAGTGTTCTTGATTGACTTATCAAGATTAACTGATGCCATGGTGAGAAGGTAAGTTGAAAAGTGAGTTATGGCAAGAGATACTTATGCTAAATGTGTGGGAGAGAGTGCCCATCTTTTGAGGATCTGTCGTCTAGCGAGCACTTATATGATTTTCAGATTCTGGTACGTGTGGTAGGCCGTCATGCACGGCTTGTCATTATTCTCAACATGGTATGTGTAAATGTGCTCAAAGCAAGTTAGATATGAACTATCCTGAAAGCAGGAGTGAGAAAGAACTAAGACGAAGGTGTATATAATTGCTCAGACCCATGCTTCTCATTCATGTCGTTCACGAACCTCGAGCTAACACGAGCCCACTAGCCTTCCACGCTATTCCAACCAACCAATACTATTCCTCTAAAACTCGCTCGCTCCCTCCCTCAAACACGTGCCTACTCACACACTACCAAAATACCTCCTCTCCCCACCAATCATACTATGGTAAGCCGGCGGCACTACAGGCCCGCCATACCTCGTCGCCTTCGGACCAATAATATCCGCATATCGCGGCAACTCGTCCAGAGCCACATCCCCAGTCCGCGTTCGAGCCCCTCTCCGCACCCCGGGCCCACCATCCTCGTCACTGCCATAAGCATGTGACGGACCTTGTCCCTGCCTTTGCGACCACCACTGCAAATGCTGGATTTTTGCTGTTGTGCGCCGCGCTTGCCTACGCGTGTGGTAGATTTCAAGGGCGAGGAATAGGAGGAAGCCGGCGATAATGATCAGGACGACGGCTATGGGGACGATGTATTTCGCTTTGCTGTGGATCTTCCCTGCTGCTGTTGTTGATGTTGTTGCTGCTGCCACGGTCGAGGTTACCACGGCAGGTACCGTGGTCGTGGTTAGGGTCCAATGTGGCCTGGTCGGTGGCATCCACGGTGCCTTGGCAGCGAGGCTTGTGATGAATGCTGTGGGGACAGCGGTGATTGAAGGGACAATGAGTTGAGGTTGAGGAGACATCGTGATGGTGTTGAAGTGAAGTTTCTGTATTGTGTATTGTTTATTTTCTAAAAGGTCTTTTGGTTAAGTGGTTGTACGGCTACTGTTCGTGCTGTTTGGACTTTTCCAGGAATGAGGAAGAGAAGACGCTTCTCTTATAGCTTTGATGGGCTCCATCTCATCAATTCAACTGATGCCGTCGGGGACCTGTAAGACATTGTGCGCTTGTTCCTCTGGACATGCTCGACTCGGGGCAGCAGATCGTGAGTAAAATGGCGCTAGACAGTCAGCTATCCGCTCGACCAATCGACATCGAAAATGAGCCCAACACTAGCTTCACGAACGATGAGACAGTGCTAGGAAAATGAGCTCAATTGCGAACCGATGATCGGAGCTGTGTTATGAGGCTCGACTATTGTGTTGTATTAAGTCCTCACGACTAATGCTTCGGCGTGATTGTGCCCAGAAGGAACAGCTACCTCTGAGTACATCCGAAATGCTGACACGTGGAAAGCATGTGCTGTCAGGATAGCACATGTGGCCATGTGGAAGATTGTGAAATCGCCGTAAGGCTATTGCCAACACGTTTGATGATTTGGGTATATACCTATATACAAGATCTGTACGTCATTGTGTATCATCAAATGCTCGACGTTTCCAAACGAGCGAACACAGTTATTCGCAGACTTAATCACGACCAGTTACTTCTCGTACCGATGACCACCAAAATGACCATGACAACCAATACCACTAGCCCCACACAGCACATCCACATGTTCATGCGTCTCCACCATCTGGCGTTCTGCCACTTGAGCTCTTCCAGGCCTCGTATGTGCTTCTCGAGTCGTAGTCGTGCAATGATATCTCTATCTTCGACGTCGCCGTACTGACGTTGATGGACATGCATAGTCTGCTTCTCGAGGTCATAGTAGTTCTGTGGTCGATGAGGTAGCGGCAGGAAGGCGCCAACAAACCAGATCAGGGGACATAAGAAACCAGCTGTGAAGCATATAACATGCATGTCTTTCAAATCGAATTTGAGCCACGAGGGTTGTCCAAGCTCATCTGTAAATCCTGCCTGAGGCTGCCACCTTGGCCGAGCATTGTATGGTGCGCCAAATCCTTGTGAGGCTTCTGAACCGGTGTGCAGACGTACATCCTGGTGTAAGTGCGGAGTTGGTAGTCGACCCAAGCGCATTGGTGGCGGCATCCTGTTAGTTGAGGCTCGATATTGTCGCGGCACACTGGATGAAGTTGAATATCTAGGAGTACCAGTGTATTGATAATCGGCTGACTGCTCCGCCTCTTCTGCTGTCTCTGGCTCCTCGATGATTCCACTCCAATGGTATCGTGGATCTGTCGCGGTTGCAGGCATCGATACACGTCGTATTGTATGATGGTTTCGGTAGGCGGATATCGGACGAGATATTATTTCGGAGCTGGGTCTGGTTGGATTTGAGACTAAAGGTCCTACACCTCTGGTTATATGTGACTGCCGGACATTGAGATGTGGCCGGACGATTGGTTGAATTACAGGCTGAAGGAAATTTCTGATTGACGAACGTGCCGATCTTGACCAGGAACGTCGTGTATCTGCTCTACTCGATATAGTCTCATATGACGACGATGGTCTGATAGATGGCGGAAGTGAAATTGGTTGCTGGTTCGTGGGTGGCTGTATATTAACGACTGAATAATCCAGATTGGTCGTAGATTGATAAAGGTAATGAAAAGAATTGCGATAAAATCCAGAGTAGTATCTACGAGCCCAGGTCGGGACAGAGCCTGGTTCGAGAAAGCTGCCGGAAGAACCGGGTCTGACCGAAGACCTGGAACTATCGAGCCTTCCATTCGCGCAAGGTCGCGGATTGCGAACTCGTTCCTCAAAGGAATTGCGAAGAGAATCGAGGCGACTCACGGAACTGCTCGCAGATGATCCCATAAAGCTTGCGCTTCGTGCGCGACTGAGAGCAGCGGCAAAAGAAGTTTGCTGTCTAGGTAAAGCAGAAAGTCCATCTGCAGCCTCATGCCGGTCTGCATCAGATATTATGTTAACTTGTGAGCTATTGAGGTCGTGGTGGTGCATGTATGCTTGAGCAGGTGCGATTGATTCTGCGTCTAGATTGTCGTCTAGATCTTCTGTAAAGATTGACTCCCTCGAAGAGTCTCTACGTGGGTGAAACTGTGTGATATCGGTCGAAGATATTTGTTGAATTTCAAGATTTGTGACTGAAGGAACAGGCGAAAGTCGAGTATCTGTGTTGTGCTCCAATCTGGCTGGACCCGAAGAGTCTCGCTTTTGTAGCGAAAGCCTCGCGAATTGATTGACGTCTGGTGCTCTAACGACTGGTCGTTGTATAGGCGCGACAGGGCTGGAGCTGAGAATACTCTGAAGGTTAGTGTGCGCACTTATGATGGAGCTCTCACCAGCACTGAGAGCTCTTTGTTGCAGGCGAATCACTGGGCTCGAAGTAGATTGAAGCTCAGAGCTAACATTACCGAACTCCGGTGGAGACGACGGCAAAGGTCCTTGTCCTGAGTGCTGTAAAGAGTTCTCAGCGCTAACAGCAACGTTTCGCATCTGAGGACTACCAGTACTTATGCGACCTCGTGATTTTCGTGCGCCAAAAAATAGGGGTGTTCTTCCAGCATATGCTGAACCCTCTGTCTCGGGTCTTTTTCTTTTTCTAGACACAGTTGACGCATCTGATGGTGTCGGCGAAGTTCCTCTCTTTGGGGACGATGTTCCCAATTTGATAAGATTTGGGCTTGATTCCTCTTCAGCGGCACCCGAGGACACCGCTGGATCTGACTCCGGAATGATCGAGCTGTGTTCGAATTGTACAAAATTAGGACTAGATTCTCCACCTGCTGAAGTCAGAGACCTTTGTGTCATGTCTGTGGTCGGAAAGCTTGGTGGACCATGTTGTCCAACAAAACCTGGACTCGAGTCTACCTGCTGCGCGTTGTGTCGTCGGTAATCCGCATCGCTTGAAGTATGTCCAACTTGCACAACATTCGGGCTGGACATACCTTGACCCTGAATTGTAAACGTGGAGGACTGTTCTGGTGGGCTAGAGGAGGTCGCAACATCGTGATAAGATGGCAACTGTGGACTTGATTGACCAAAGGCTCTCAAATGAGGACTGGACGAATTAGTCCGATTTTGTAGACGAGAAGCGAAGGAGTGTTCCGAGTCGAGCCTTTGAAGCAGTCCCTCGGATAGCTCTGGTAACGTTGCGAGATCGTCCTCCGACACCTTGGGCAAACCTAGCATTTCCCAAGCACCACGTCCTGACAGGCCATCGCTCGAACTGAAACTGCGCAACCTTGAGCTCGATGGACGCAGAGCTGGCGAGGGCGCAGCAGTCGATGGCCTGGAATGTACAGCGGTAGACGGTCTTGAGCTCTCAGCCTGGGCTTCGTACATATCGCGCAAAGCAGTGACTGATCTCTTGAGCTGTAGATTTGGAGCTCGGCGCACTTTTCTCTCATCTTGCCTTCTTGACGTATTTGCTGCAGGATTGGCAGTCTCTGAACTGGGATTGTCGAAGAAGAGGTCTGGCAACTGTCTCTCGGCATTTTGGCGGCTTCTTTGCTTGCGGATCGTGCTCGGGAGGAGGATGTGCTGAGGTTTTGTAGGAAAGGGATTGGCTGTGAAGATCTCAGCGTCCGTCAAGTCAGGTCGACTATCCTTCTTCAGTCTTCCCGCTGCTGAGTTCTTCTGCGACGGAGTGCGCTCTTGCAATGGGCTTCGTTTCGCGGTTGTACCCTTCGGCGTTCTTCGTGGAGTCGTAGTAGGCGAGGACATATTATTTCAGCGCATCCTCTTTCGCGCTGAAGCAAGGGACAAGGAAATTAAGATTAAAAGAATGACGTGTAGAGAAAAGAACGGCAGTAGTTGGAGCTTAATGAGCGACTGGTATGAGAAAAGTTCAAATCAATCAGACCGCGCCAGCTATTTGGTCTGATGCTGTAGGACGTGACCCTTTGCGCTGCGAATTTCTGCCTTCCGTCGATGTATCCGGGATGTTTTCATAAACGATAGTGGGCGTTGATCAATAATGGTGGATGTCTTATGCATGCTGCAGGGTTAGGTCGAGAGGAGGGTCTTCACTCTAGAAGCGATATCAAGCTCGGGGTGATCGATATGTCTATCGTAACCTCGATGTTGCTGCCGTCGACTTCACATGGTCCTTGCGAAGAGAAAAGTCCTACCTGTTCACTCCAGACAAACAGAATTTGCACATGAAACGCAAGCATGCCATGAGGTCGCTCACGGACCTAGTCTTCACAGTTCAGCAAAGCACGGCATCTCAGTGGTTGGTATGTGATCGAATGAGCTAGGAATGTGGATCGCAATCAATATCCAGAGACGGTGTCGAGGAAGCCTGTCGCGTGTCTGTGTACAGATCCACTAACGACGCGTTTCAACCACTGACAATGATCAAAAAGAAAGTCTTGGCGGCCACGACTGGGGAGGCGTGAAACTAGCGACAATATTAGACGAAGCTTGTGGCTTTGGGAGACCAGAAAACCAGGCCTTTCAAGCCTGGCATCTGATTTGTGGCATGCCTGGACGTCTATGAACTGTCTGTTGGCTGTCATCTAATCTCCGGTTCCGAGAAAAAGCTTATTCGCTCCTATTCAAGCTCTTTCGCAACACCAACCCGATTGTTCATTGACTGGATCTGACGACATGTTCATGAACAGGTATATTCTTTTGATAGAACACACATATGGCGCCAGTCGATCTGCTATGGCGATTGGTAGGCTCTGCGATGGGTCGAAAGTGTAAGTCTAGGTTGTGCGCCTACAATATGTTGTGATGGCCTGCCATTGGTTCATTAAGCAATCATTATTGCGTACTTCTGATCGAACTTGAAACTACTCAAGTTAGGAATTTACTAACGAGACACTCAGATGAGCACAAGCCTGCTATCTCGGATTCCGTCGCTGCTCTGATCTCTGTAAGTGCACATGTGTTGCTGAGCACCCGAGTCATTGTCGCACCCGAGCCTAGAAGGAAGTGTTGGCAGGCCGTGATAGGGACAGGAAAGAGGGTTTCGTCCTCTGGCCCTCCATCTACTTATCTCATTCTGCGACAACGAGCTTGCTACGTCACTATCGGCTGATGTTTTGTTGTACAGATTTTCTTCACTTCACTCTATGTCTTACCCTTCTATCTGTCACGAAAGACACGTCCATCGCCGACCTTGAATCGCGATGCACCTAGTGTCATTCAGGCCCGAGTCAGGGCGGTGACCGTGACGGTCACCATCTCCACTCTGGCAACCTTCTACCTGCTGCATAGCTGTGGCCAGCTCAGTCTTGAGTCTGCTCTTCACCACGTTGGTCTCTGGCCAATAGCGCCACTGGCCATTCTGCAACCACTATTGCTGGTCTGTATACTATATCTCGGTCCACTATATCAGAACATTTTCGTTCAGCAGAGCCTCTCCCCATTATCGAGCGTCTGGTCCGAAGTTGTGACGAGCCTTTCTTCTTCTATTGGCTACCGCAATTATGTAGCTGGGCCGATTACAGAAGAGCTTTTGTTTCGCAGCACTATCCTACCAGTTCATCTCCTTTCTCCTCTAGCGAGGTCGCCGAAGAAGCTCGTCTTCCTGACGCCACTTTACTTCGGCATTGCACATGTGCATCACTTCTACGAGTTCAGGTTGAGCCATCCCGACACTGCGCTTACGCCTGCTCTCTTAAGGACTGTCCTGCAGTTCGGCTACACCACTGTTTTCGGCTGGTTCGCTTCCTTTGTCTATTTACGTACGGGAAATCTTTATGCTGTCTTCATCGTCCACACCTTCTGCAACTACATGGGCTTGCCGCGTTTATGGGGCAAGGTTCGGTCAAGATCTTCAAACAGCCCGTATAGGGCTACACAGCTAGGACCTATACTTCGTGGTAAGGACGATACAGAACGAGAACCAATATCCGGTGGGAAGAACAGTGGCCGAGGTGCATCCTTAAGTGGTGTTGATGCGGATACCTTGCACACGATCATCTACTACGTGCTCCTGCTGACAGGCGCTTGTGCTTTTGGGAGATTTCTCTTTCCTTTCACAGATTTTGACACACTCGCATTGATAGACTTTAATGCAGTGAAATGAACCAAAGCCTGGCATTGAAGAACTATGTCTCACTCTCCACGATTGCATTTCTCAACGAGTGCTTTGTCCCATTGTAAGCTCGAAGCAGCTGATCCTGTCCTGATAACATATGGTATCGGCGCCGCCGGCCTCCTCTGATGGCAGGAAGAGTGCTCGAATAACAACAATAATTTGAGCTGAGAAGTCAACTTGTGGTATCTACACCTACGCAGCAAGTCCGATCCTCCCCTGTCGCCCATTGCAACATCGTACTGCGTGAGAGAGCTTGATAGAAGATGTGGGTATCCACAATGTTTGGTGTAGGGAGTCCCATTCCAGTGCAAGCCAGTTTCGAGGGTCTTGCGACTTCAAGTTTGTAAATTTATTCAATCTGCTGCCTTGAGGCCTCGCGTGAATAAAAGAGCGTCTGAAATAACCGGATAGAGCGAACGACAACAACCACACCATTTGTGGACAGACACCAACTCGATCGTGAGGCACGAAGCGCTTCCTAGGCTTCATTACATGCAGTCTCTAAAGTTGCAATGAGTGAACACTATTTGGGATCGGCTTTACCTAGACCATCTGTATTCGAAGTCGGCTGATTCCATGCATGATTCACTCCTGTTACATTCATGTCGAGACGGCTATACAAATCGACTCTTCGCAAGGCTCTCCTTGTCATCCTAGCAACATGGTGCTTCATTGATATCGTGCGCTTCCACTTCTTACGATTTTCCGTGCCTCCTGTGCCGAACACAACCGAAGTTCACACGCCTCGGATATTCATCGCCAGCACGCATTGGAACAACGAAGGGATTCTCAGAAATCACTGGAACAAGGCAGTTCTACAGCTCGTTGAAAACCTCGGTCCGAATAATACCTTTGTGTCTGTCTACGAGAGCGGCAGCTGGGACAACTCGAAAGATGCGTTGCGCGAACTAGAGCAGGAGCTGGACCATAGAGGTGTAGGCAAGAAGATCGTCCTTGACGAAACAACACATGAGGACGAGATCGCAAAGCCACCTGGCGAAACAGGCTGGATAAACACCCCACGGGGCAAGCAAGAGCTCAGACGTATCCCTTACCTTTCGAGACTGCGCAATCTGTCCCTGGCACCACTAGAAGAGCTAGCAGAGCAAGACATTTTCTTCGATAAGATCCTCTTCCTAAATGATGTGGTATTCTCGCTCAGCGATGTACTTACGTTGCTAAACACAAACAACGGCCAGTACGCCGCGGCGTGCTCTCTCGACTTCTCCAGACCACCCCACTACTACGACACCTTTGCCCTGCGCGACTCTGAAGGTCACGAAGCAGTCATGTCTACCTGGCCGTACTTCCGCTCCTCCCTCTCACGCACAGCTCTCAAGCAGGGCAATGCCGTCCCAGTCACGAGCTGCTGGAACGGTATGGTCTTTATGCCTGCACAGCCTTTCTACAGCCGTGGTGGGCACCCAGGTCTACGTTTTCGTGGGATTTCAGATAGTCTAGCTCTCTACCATCTAGAGGGTTCTGAATGCTGCTTGATCCACCAGGATAACCACTTGTCAGAGTCGTTAGGTGTTTTCGTCAACCCCTATGTTCGTGTAGGATACAACAAAGCGGCTTACGATGCGATGAATGGTTCAGCTGGAGAACTGAGTCTGTTTCGCTACCTGTTTCGGTGTTGGGAGAACAGGCTTCGACGATGGTTTACGACCGATTGGTTCAAGATCCGAGTTGTTCGGAATCGTGTGAAGAAATGGCAAGGTCTCAGTAGCAGTAATTCCGAGGTCGGGGTTCGCTGTCTCATCAATGAGATGCAGGTGCTCGCTGGAAATGGGTGGGCGCATGTGTAGAGGGTGTCATAATTCAAAGCAGTTGCTCAAGAGTAGCCTTTAGCATGAAACTCAGAAACGCTTTCAAATCTATACAGAACGTATGCTCTAGCCTGCTCTGTCGCTCCTCATCAAATATTCCAACGTGCCGCAGAAAAATCTATCCAACTCTCCTAGCCCAATGTCATTACAGTATCGCTCAACACCCGCAACAAATCCTTCCTGCTTCAATACCTCATAATCGAAAACAAGCACTTCGCTCTTCGTGCCAACATCAAACTCATCATGCAAACCTTTTCCACTAATCTTTCTGCTCAAACGTCGTAAATCAAAAACAGCCTGCTTGGAACGCTTCGAATCAATAAACACAATATGCTTCTTTCGGATGTGGCGGTCCACTTGTTTTCCCAGCTTCAGATTCTCGATGAATGTCGTGCTCCGGGAGGTAAGATCAATGCTTCTTTTCCTGGAGTAAGTCTTGATCTCAGCGCATGATCGGACGTCTTTAGAGATTGATGGTGCCACGTACATTGGACCTCGTATTCGAGCTGGACACGGCTCACAGCCGATTGGTCTGAGGATAGATTTGAGTACTTCGTATGGACATGGTGAGGATGAGGGCCTTGGTGATTGGGCTGTAGATTGTATCTCGTCCTTAACGCTCTTGAGATCGGCCCTCTTGGTTTCTTCACTAGATGGTGGTGTGGGTAAACTTAGGTTGGTGGCTGTGGACGACAAGGTCTTGCGACGATCCTGAACTGGAGGCAATCTACTACCGAAGACATTTGCTGACTCAGTGTATACGGGGAACACACTGATATTTGTGTCCGATATATCCGCGCGCGGTTGCTTGCCTAGACCTTTGTGCCAAACGATCGTCTCACTGAACTCTATCCGCCTTTTCTTGGAAGGAGCACCATATAGCGGACTATCCTCCAAGCTCAATGTTCGCTTCATCGTTGATGTCGTCCTGACTGTGCTAGGCGTCGCAGTTGACTCTGAATGTCGACTTGGTGTCTGAGGACAGCTGCTTGCATATCGTTCCTGCCACTCCGCCTGTGTAAGCTCGTCGGAGTCAGCGCGAACAAATACAGGAGATGGTTGCGTACTGGAACGACGAGAGGAGGCTGGGGTTAAACTTATTGTTGTTGCGCTGCGTGGTGTCTTTGACGGGCTGGTACTTTGCGATTGATCGACAATGTACTTCTGCTGGGGGTCCGCGGCGATCAATTTCTCAATCCATTCAGCGTCCTCCTGTGAACCAGCCTCTTTGTCCGTCGTCAGGCTTTGGTGAGCTAGTTCCTGTAACTCGTCGAAGCTGACAGTATCTACCACATCGCGGTCTCGATGCAGTTTGAGTTTCGAGCCAAGTCTTCTTGGGAAGCGTAGCACATAGAAGTCAACGGTTTGTGGTCTCTCGAAACTTGCGCCCATGATCTCGACTACAATAGGCTTAGTGAACATGTCTGTTGGAGGGGGAAAGTCCTTGCGCGGATGTTTGATCGACATGTATTGAGAGTCGAGCACAAACTCCTTTTTAACAAGCTTGCCTTCCTCGTTTAGTGCAATAATGTCGTCTCGCGAGAGATTGCCAGGACCGATGCGATCGACGATCATGAAGATGGGCTTCTGGTCGAACCTGCGCACGTCTTCCTTGTTGACTAGACAGGCGATATAGAAGTATGTCCATGATCGTGGACCAAGGTTCACACCAACTTCAGCTCTGCTGTCTCTTCTACCACCAACAATACACATATCGGCGGTATCACCTAGTCCAGCAACGTAGTCCTTCTTCAGCTTAATAGCTCTCGTCCCTTCCTTCCACGAGAAATATGGATCTTCCAATCCTTTGAGAACAAAGCCCTCCCACCTCTTCCGGATGGCTGCTCCAAATGCTTCGCGAAGAGCTATTGGAGCCTTTCTACTTTTAAAGTCAATCAGCGCTCTCTCAACAAGCATCGAGGTGCCTGCAAGCGGAGATACCATGCCTTTGAGATACTGTCGACGTCGGCTATGCGGTTCGCTAATTAGTACCTTCTCGTCAAGCATGAGGACATCGAAGAATACGATCATCAGTTGCTCGCCTGCTTTTCTGGGTGAATCTGCTTCGGTGCCTATTCGCCTTCCACCATGCAGGACGTGCTTTCGGACATGGTAGAATGGTAATATATCTCGTCGTGCTCTCGAGTAGACAAGCAGCTCGCCTTCCAGAATGGCTCTGTGTCTAATTTTACAGTCTTCCTTACCAATTCTCAACCCAGCTTTGATGGGGCCGAGCAGACTCAGTCGGTCGAGAGTCGAGTCTCTGCCACTCTTCGCAAATATTTGGACGCATCTTGACTTCTTGGACAAGTCAACGTGAATCTGGCAGTACTCACCGTCGTATTTACGTTCGATACTCATGACTCTAGAGTTCGCCATTTTGACGCAGTGCTTGATACTTCTGGCCTTGTCGAGTGGTTGCCTGCGCACCACAATCCCAAGCTGTGGCTCAATCTCTTTGGACAAGAATGGAAAGAGCGCAATCTCATAGTCCTTCGATGGCCTGCACGGAAGTCTTGCAACTTCTGGGCGTGAGATGATCTTTACTGCTGCCTCAAAAGAATTCTGGATAGTGAGTAACTTGGGAAGCATAAAATGAAACCCATGTAACACTGCATATTCAGGAACCCCGACGGGTTTATAGGATTTGAGGATCATTCGCACGAACCATTTCGCTTCGTTGCTTTGAAGTCGACGAATAATCGGTTTCAAGATATTGGTAGCAGCCTCTCCATCCGCATTTGCTCTAATCGCTGGGGCAGAGGAGACCATATTCGCGGCGACCCTTGTCAAGGCAAGATCGATTTCTTCGACACTTACTTGCTCGCCAGGACGTGGTGGTTCGAACTCCGATTCTGCCATAACGCGCTCCACGCAAGTAGCAAAATCGGGGCCATCTCTGTTCCTCCATCCATTGAGTGACTTCAGGCGAGTGGCGCCTAGTCCTAGCTCGCGTGCAAATATTTTACTCAACCGCTCTTCCTGCAAGTCATATGTGCGGTCATTCCTTCGCTCCGGCAATAGGGTGGAAAGAAGAGCAATAGCTGACACCCCATTTCTGCTAATTTGATCGGTGTATTTGCTGTACCAGACTGCGACAACGCGATGACTGGGATCGTCCCATTTCGCATACGTAGCACGTTGCTGGTATTTTTGCCGATCGAGTTCCTGTAATAGTTCGCAGACGTGCGCAAACTCAAATGGCATGGGCGAACGTCGTTGAGATACGAGATAAGGTCAACGAAGCGTTCCAGTTTGTGCGTCTGTTGGGCACGGACCTCCCACAGCCCCAACGACAAACTATTGTCGTGTGCCAGTGACGCTCTTTGTGTCAACGCGTCAAAGCATATAGAAGAATTGAAACTCACGCGTTGTCACGTGGAGTGCTTCCATGGCCTTTGTTCTCACTGGATAAGGTGTTTCTTTCTACAATCGCGATATTCTCGGAGTCGAGTCTGATAGGAATCCGCAGCCAATAGTCGACACCTCGGTATAGCTTCCATCACGAATCCGTGTCCTCTGGCAACTCGGAGAACCAGAAGTGGATGATGAGGGGAAATTGCGTAATCTGTAAACACTGGCACTCTCTCCCCTCAGCACATTGCGAGGTCGGGATGAACCCGTAGATAGGCGACCATAGATTCGAGAAAGCGAATGCTGCCACTAGAGTTGCGGAGGTACCCCGATTGCAGTCCTCGAGATGAGAGGAGAAGCCTGCGGTAATTATGGACGTGAGGGTTTCACGACCTCGGGTAGGAAGCGAAAGATGGACCAAGATTTTAGATGGACGCATATGAGCAGTCTTCATCTACTTGTTACAACCCCTGACCTGGTGCACTTAGTAGTCAGCACGGAATCAACACACTAGGATCAAATCGTAATCACTAAGTTTATTGACCTCGAAATCGTTAACATGCCAGGCAGATTAGAAGGAAGAGTCGCGATTGTCACTGGAGCCGCGAGTGGTTTTGGAAAAGCAATTGCCACAACCTTTCGCAGAGAAGGCGCGAATGTCGTGATCACTGATCTGAGTGAAGATACTGGAAATGCTGTAGCCAAGGAAATTGGTGCAACGTTTGCCCGAGCGGATGTGACAAAACGAGAAGACTGGGAGAAGGTCTTACAGCAGGCCATAGATTCTTTCGGCAGGCTAGACATTGTAATCAACAATGCTGGCACTACATACGCCAACAAGGTCTGTATAGCCTTATCTCTCTTCATATCAATGAATCTGGCTAACAAGCGATCTCTAGCCTACCGAGAATGTTACGGATCAAGATTTCGATTTGGTGTTCAACGTCAACGTCAAGTCAATTTACCTTTCGACGAACGTGATACTACCATATTTCATCAAGAACGGCATCAAAGGTTCTTTCACAAATATTGCATCCACTGCTGGTATCCGGCCTCGTCCCGGTCTTGCATGGTACAATGCATCGAAAGCTGCAGTCATCAATGCGACAAGGACGATGGCTGTCGAGTATGGCCCAAAAGGAATTCGTTTTAATACAGTTTGTCCGGTCTTTGCTAGTGGCACTGGATTGTAAGTCTACATTCCTCCAAGCCTCTGAGAAATTCTATGGACTGTAGCTAATACATGTACTCTTAGGAGCTCAAAGTTTCTCGGTAAGGACGACAACGAGGCCAACAGAGCAGGTTTCGTAGCCACAGTCCCACTTGGTCGAGGAAGCACCCCTAACGATATTGCCAACGCATGTCTTTACCTGTCCGGCGACGAAGGATCGTTCATCACAGGAGTCGACTTGCCTGTTGATGGCGGACGTTGTGTATAGATGGGGACACATGAATTTGATCTACTGAAGCAAGCTGCCTCTTGATCGTAATATAATGGATATCTAGCTTCTGTCTGTTGTGTGAGTTTCTGTAGAGCGCAGCATTGCATACATAATATTACCAGCCTCTCGGTGGGAAGTCTTCTTGAAAGCAGATAGGGCAACTACTGGTATGTCTTATCTCGAGTGCCTTGAAAATGCCCAGGCCCAGCCGCAAAGTTGACAGGTTCACTGCCGTTTGTGCTCCTGTTAAACACGTGTTTTCGAGACACAGACAGGTAGCTGTCAAATGTTCGGCGATATACAGTCTGCGGGATTAAACATCACAAGCAAGGTGCCACCAGTATAATTATGGTTCGAAGCATTCTTGTATCATTCGAGTGAGATGAATGCGTTACCTTCGACGGAATGGTGCCCATCTGAACTACAACCTGATGCAATAATACGGCGACTAGACTCAAGTACAGGATGGGTCGTTTCTCGTCGACTCAGTCCTGGAGCGCTGTCTATTTTGACGCAATACAAAAAGATGTCAAGACTGTAGCCGCTAGCACAAATACCATCTTGTGGAATCGGAAACTTGCAGCCGCTGTCAAATGATTAGATGGGACGAATCGAAAAGTGTTGGACGAGGAAGTTGTGTGACCCAGCGCTGTCAGCTGTGGGGTTGGAAGTCAAGATTACCATGATAAGACTGAGTGGCGTCCATACGGTAATAACAAAGACGACAACTAGTTCAATATTCAGAAGTCGAAGTGGTCTATCGAAAGCATGTTCCAGCTTACCGTTTGCAGATGTCTCATCCCAAGCGTCACGAGCAGTTACGAACCGGAACCAGAAACCACACATATCGTCATCTTTGCCTCCCCACCACCTTCGAACGCTGGCGTCCTCACAAACCAGTGTCCACGACGTCATATTTCTACTTTGACAACATTTGTAGATAGTATCAGACGTAGTGACATCAGCAGAATGTATTAACCAAAAATTGCTCAGGAGGATTAGCACAGGAGAAGGTCTTGCAACACATGCATTGAATGACGAGACTAAATACTGAAGTGTGGCATGCTCAGCGACATAATTCACATGCTGCCAACCTCAGGTCTGCCGAGAGTTGGGTTTCGGAGCCACTAGCATCGCAAAGCGTACAGTATGAGTATGAGTAGGGTAGAGTAGTAAAGGAATGGTTGTGCTCTGCACGATCACAAGCATTATCATGCAACCCTTACCAACAGTAGTCCGGCATGTTGTTGGACGGCCACTTCCACCATCACTCTGAAAGAGCCCCAAATCGCGTCGTAAAAAGAGCATCCCATTCATTCGATACACATGCAGAGCGCCATGCGTGATTATGCACGTCTTGAATGCGGCGGCCATGTGCTAGCCACATGTTTTGATGAGGAGAATTGTATGCAGTCGGGAAGTACATGTACCAATGCGAACATGCGTAATGCAGTAGTGCAGTAATGGGGATGGACACGACCGGGATCATCATCGTGGGGAGCTGCTTTCGAGTTCAACTTTTGGGCACACACTTTTGGAAAATTGAGATTAGTCCCGACTAATGGGTAGAACAGTGGATTGTGATTCGTTTGGGACCATTGCCATGGCGCTACAGCTTCGGTTGGATGATCATCTGCATTCGGATAGCCCGAGCGAGGTTAGCCGTCAGACAGCTCCCATGCACTAGCAGTGCGACCATGCAGCCACTGATGCTGGGAAACCAACCAAGATACGAGAAGAAGCCGCTGGGCATGTCCACCACGTTCGTCTCCATTTAGTGCACAGGAACTTCCAAGATAGTGCAACGTTCTGTCATGTGTTGGCGCAGACTGCGCTTCTCCCAAGCTGGTCTGACTGCCCACATTAATTCGGACTCCAGTTTCGCAACCTCAACTCTTCGTCTTTTCCTCTCGACAGTGGTACTGCGACCACAAAGTCCAGCTGGACACTAGCTAATCGACTGCTGGTGGTTCTGTACGTCACAACGCTTTCCTGGACACGTCACATCTCAACGACTTCGAGGCACCACGCGGAGCGGGACAGTATAGTGCAATATAGTAGTCACGGAACGAAACTGGAGAGGGATCGTCCAGCGCGACCACGAATGCTCTGTTAGGTTTTACTAAATTCTCGCGACATCATTACACGACAGCGATAATCCCGTGCACGCATCAAAGACGAGTTCGACTCAAATTTACGCGACCAAAATTATACTTGCCTTGTGACCTTACTGCACACCCTCGATTATGCAGCCTTGCACATATTGACCTCAGCTCTAGCATTGAAAGACACTGGAAGAGCAGAGGATTTAGGTGGAGAATTGACTCTGCCTACTCATACCGCGACAGCAACACACGGGCTGTTTCGTCTGCCAAAACAAAGGACGCAGGGACAGAGGCTGATTGACTTTACCAACAAGTGATTGAGGTGAGTAAGTTTCCGAGAAGTCTCTCTTTGTTTGTGGAGAATTTTGAGCCGTTGCGTTGTTGTCTACAGTTAGCGTACCCATCGCCTGCCTCATACCACAATTATTTTGTGCTTAGCCCAGAAGACCACAACGGCGAGCAGGTTTCCCCTGGGACATGCCTATGATACGCTCCTTACTCTCAGCTCATCCAGATCTGTGGAATTGTCAGTGAAGCAAATATGGCATTCAACTCTCTGCCAACCTCATACCTTCCCAGCATTCTTCCGTCTCCTGTATCTTGTTTGTATTCTCTTCCCATTCTATTAGATTAGCAAAAACATGGCTTCGAATCGTTCCGAGGACAGCGGACGAAGGCAGTCCTTAGCATATCATACTAAGCAGAGTGATCATAGTATCAGGTTAGCACCTCTTATTGCGCCCAAAAGCAAGTCCAACGACAAGTTACCCTCATTAGAGGAGCTGGGCCTGTCCGACGAACTTCTTGCATCTGCACGGGGTGTTTGTCCATCTCCTGCCGGGAACGTCGGAAATCAGGATTTGGTATTGAACGACAAGGTCCTCAGAGAATACAAGCTTCAACACGCTAAAGGTTGGAAGCTCTTCGTCATGCAAGCTCCTCCGAGAAACGAGAAGAGAGCGATCTTCACGCGCAGAACAATTGGTGGTCGCGACCTTGTCTACCGTCTCGATGTAGCTCAAGAGCCGAAACAAGCTCGTGCTTGCGGAAATGGAAACAAATGTGAGTCTCACGCGTCGCTTTGCTTGAAGCTGGCCACTAACTCCGGCCAGCTAGTGCCGATAGACGGCCAGTAGATCCTCCTCCTGTCGTGAAGATGACTATATTACATGGTGATATCGACATTACTGGCCACTACGATGCGGATTTCATGCTCTTCGCAACACTGGAATTCTCTCGACCAATTGCTAACGGAAACATACTTGCAACCAACCACTGCCCAGTCTTGGCAGGTAACCCATGTGTGGGGGCATCGTACTTGAGCAAACCATCAAATGCCGCTTACTTCATTTTCTCTGATCTTGCTGTGAGGCATGAAGGCTTCTACCGCTTGAAGTTCACTTTGCTAGAAGGACCAAAAAACCATGCCGATTTTGACCTCGACGCCTCGCTGGGCGTAGGACAAGGAATGTTCACCAGAACAGCTGTTTACACACCTCCATTTCAGGTGTGGAGTGCCAAGAAGTTTCCAGGTCTGGAACTGAGCACCGATCTAAGTCAGGTGCTTGCTGACCAAGGTTGTCGCGTTAGGATTCGTAGGGACGTCCGACAGCGAAGAGCCAGAGCTGATACCACAAGCAAGAAGGACGACGAACAACGAGCACTTCGAGCTATCAGCCATGATAGGAATGCTAGCACAGATAGTCCAGACTACTGGCCTAGACCTATGGCACCCTCCTCCGCCAATACACGCCGACCATCTGTGGATAGTCAATATGCTCTGGGTAACGCACATTCTCGGCAACAGTCTGTAGCCCAGTCGGCACTTCCCAGTCCAAACACAGCAGAAATGACACAGTACATGCCGAGACCGTACGAGGCTCCCACGCCTACTGCGTCTCTAGCCGCTGAATCGGGAGACATGTGGCAGCACCAGAGTCATATTGCATATAACATGCCACCTTTACATCGCACTTCGAGTTCCATGCAAGGACCACAGCAAGCAATGGCTGCGCCAGCACCACCATACACGACAAGCGGCAGGTATGGTTCCGCATCTTCCAATCCTTCTGATATGATGGCTGGATTACCCTCAATATCTGCCTTGATTCACCCGCCCAAACAGCCACGCCTCGAACATGGTGCATATGATGGCATTGTCTCACCCAAGACCGGCAAGCGCACTCTACGTCAACCTTCCGACGAGCGTGGTGCTTCTCTAAAAGATCGTGCTCGACCTAATTTACAACCCACATCCCTTCGAAGCCCCTACTCGGTGTATGGCGGTATTCAGAGCCACAGTGTACCCATGACCGGCGCAAACGACATCATTGAAGCAGGCGAAGGTAGTGATGATGGCGATGAAAGCGATGGTAGTGACGGTCTACTCAACACCACCACCTTCTACCGTCGTGCAGGTGGCGGCAAAAGCTATGTCCCAAACATGCAAACGAGCTCATCCCACGCTTGCTAGCAGCACACACTCGACCAGGAGGATGTCCAGGAGCCCGAAAAATGCGAGACGGTGGATGAGGCTGCCGATACCCGTCGAACAGCATCGCCATCGTCAAGCCCATCTGACCACGATCGAAGAGAATCTTAACACGAAACAGCACAATAACCCCTCACTTTGATCATACAATCTCACGACCTGGATGTCCATATTACATTAATTTTTAACGATCAGCACTTATGTAGCGCGGTGTTGGCACAACTCATCATTTTCTTCCCCGAATTCTGCCTTTCATTTATCTCAATCACGACCAAGATGTCACAGGATAATCGAAAGAGGGTATGCATCACAACATATTATATCGACGCTGTACATATCCAACGAAGGACTCTAACACTCCGGACTTGTCGATCAGCTCTATGTTCGTTGACAGCGTTCTTCAAGCGAAGCAAGCAGTCAGCTATATGAGGTGGTTGTCCCCGTTGTGGAAAGATCGCATCGTTGCACATTTTGGCATAGGCGTTGTTGGAAATTTTAGTTTAGTAGGTGTTAGCGAGTCCTTTCTGATTTTAGCCATGGAGGGAATGTCGCATTTGTCGATTACTTACTCGTACGACTCATTGCATATATGTACCTGAGTCCGAGTGCTGCAAAAGTACCGTTGCCTTTGAGATTAGCTCGGCATGGCTTTGGATATTTTGTGATGGAATTCATGTGATTAGCTATTTGATCTACAGAGAATTTGAACACAAGATAGGATATCGGTACAAAGTATACTGAAACACTATACACACACTCTTCGCTCCTAACCATCCGAACAGACATGTTGTCTGTACTTGGAGGCGGTATTGAAAAGGCTTCAGCAGGACCCCCTTAGAGTAGAACTCCTTTCCCTTGTGGGGTGGTGGCCCGGGAATGTAATGAAAATTTGGTCCCCACCTAGACAATCCAGGTGTTTCGCATAGTATAGAGATCAGGTTCTGAAATGAAAGCTCGATCGCGTTAGCCAAGTCATGTCTTGCGCGTAGTGGCCATGCTCACCTGTCACACTGTGCTCGTCTCAAATCCTAACCTATACCTTGAACATGACTTCTGTCACTCGATCAACTTCGTAGTATCCTCCTCTCGCTTGATCTCAACAACAGTCTCTTCCACCTCTTCTGCATCTCTCATGTCTGCATCGAGTATATCCGGCATTCTAAGACAGAACTCGAAAGATTGCCAAGCCAGATCCTGCTCTTCCTGGCTATGGTCCTTGTATTTGCCTGACAACCAGTTTTCGGCCCATCTGTCAATCTTGAGGAGTGCTTGGTCAATGCGGTCGCCAAAATCGGGTTCGTCCTGCGGCCGTCGAGGTGCAATAAGAGTGTTTGGATCCTGCTTGGTGTCTTCAGTGTTGACTTCAGGTTGTACTTGCAGATATGGCGGAGTTTGCTGCTTCCACTGCCTGAAGGACATATTGGAAAGACTGTGTAGGCTCGAAGAGTACGGCTTGTCGTGAAGAGTCGTGATCAAGTCGTTCCGAGGCTCTTGTTTGGTGGCGGTTGGCTTGTGTTTGTGAACGATCACAGGTTCTTTTCCACACTCCAAGGTAATCGCATCAGCTGTGTTCTGAAGATTGGGACTCAGCGTCGTGAGTGGGGATGAGTTCTGAACGGCCGTTCGTAGTAAGACATCTGAATATTGCACGTAGTGAGTCATGAAGCTACCACTATTATCATTAAAGCTGTTGGTAATAATCGTCGAGGTGGCAGGGGACGGAGAAGGTTTGGCGTTGGACTTCTGGGGTGGCTTTGTGGTTGATGTCTTAGCTGCCTTCTTCTTGACTTGCTTCCGCTGGTGCTTGTCGATGGAGGAAGCGGCAGTCGTCGTTTTCGATTGTTGCGACTTCCATTCCTGTGAGCCAACATGGTTCTTGACAGAGGAGGTGGCGGCACGGACGACCATGGCGTCTCTTCGTGTCGAATATCCCGCCTTGTATGATGCAGTACGATTCTTGCGAGAAAAGCCGGCTTGTGATCGGTAGAATCTGCCAATACTTCTATAAAGCATGTCGAGCTGTTCGAGTCCAGTATTGGAGGGATCGGGTACTTCGAGACAATCACCATGTTTGAAGTAATAGTTGAGGATGAGCAATTGAGTAACGACATGATTCTGGCTATCACACCAACCAGTGGCTTGGTTGAATTTGGATGTGCAGTGCTTGTGAAGGGTAGAAGGTTCCCATTCGTGTGATGGACTAGATTTGAGGAACTTGCTAGCCTTTTTGATAGCAGAAATTCATTCTTGTGTGAAGTCCTGATCTTGTGCCTGTGCTGGAGCCATGGCGGCAGTTACGTCCGCACGCCTCAGTTGCAAGTGCAGACGTGAAGCAAGAAGAAAAGCTGGTTTATGGAGAGTGTATGTTATGCAGGTAAAACAGCACGAAAGAGATGTAGAAGCAGAAATACCTGTTGTTGTTTTCAGGATCCACCGAAAGTGGTTGCAAATGTGGTAGGAACACGAGGTGATACCGACTGATAAAAAAAATGCTAGTGAAGACAACCTCAATTTGCTGTTCATCCACTACTAGTAGTTATGCTAACACTTCGGAATGCAACAGTGTGTCATAAACTAATAGGGGATACTGAGAAGTCTTTCATGCGTACGCACCTTTATCGTAAACCAATCTTCTTTACCATTGAGCTGCCAAAGTATAGTTCTGTCGAGGCTCTTTGACTCCTTCCTGTGCATAGCTCGTTCATCGAAGTTGTAGATAGACATGAGAGTTGCTTCTCACAATCAGGAAAGACGAGGTCACAACATAATGCTTGCACAGTAGTACGAATTAGTAACCAGGCCAGTATTGAAAGCACAGTGAACATGGACACCATTGAATTTACAGGCGGGAATAGCTCAGAAGACTGCCGAGACCAAGTGCGCTCGCATCAACTCTTTGGGCACCTGAATTTGTTATAGCTGACCGCGAAGTTGATGAGGGCAGATGAATAAATGATTGAGAACTAAACAAATGTGTAGAGCTGCTTTGAATTGCTTCCGCTACACAATACTACCGAATCTTTTCAAGCCACTAAGGGGGACAGCAACTGGCACTCCTGAACATGTGCCACAAATACACCAGCCACACTACGTCAGTGAAGATCGTCGGGTGTAAGAGCTTTCTCCGAATATTTGTAGTGAAGGATTGCAGCTGTGGAAATCGTCTCTCCTTCAAGCCAGTGGTTTCTGACATCTACTGTATGTCGTCTTACACAGGTTCGACTTACACGCATCGCAAACAACTATGAGAAGACCACCTAGATGACAGTAACGCCAATGCGACCACTCTCGACAATTTCGACTGCTGCGCTTTCACCATGGAAGAGACTATTACGCATCTTCGGGTCTCGACCAGATCAGAATCTATCTCTCCTTCCCATTAGAACTCTTGCCCAAGTTCGATCAGAATCATTGTCGGAACTCTGGTTTACAGCAGCCGTGCCTGCAGGCTCGACGCCACGGACTCAAGCGCAACAAGAACTTGGTGCTGGACCATTCGTCCGCTTGGATGGCATCAATGGTGGAAGGTCGCCTGGAGGTGACCAGAAGCCGCCTGACGAGCGGACGATGAAATTGGGAAAGAGTATGTGATAATAATCTTTGCCTTGCGAGGAGGAACTGACAAGATCTAGCACTACGAACGTTGTCCCCACTTCTACCGAACATTCTCACGACCCAACTGCCTCCCGAGATCGTCTCTCCCTACGTGACCCTACATCTCTTTCCCTCCACTCATCCACACTTACCAGTTGTAAAGGGCAAGATACCATACCGAGCTGCTCTTTGGACAGCACCCGTGGCTTGGGGTTGTGTTCCAGTCGTGGGCAATGTGAAGCTGGAAATTCTGAGCGAGAAGATGGTCCGCTCGGGCTATATTACTGCACCTTCGCATGTTGAGGCACACTGTGGTGGTCTTAGAGAGGAAAAGCTCGTGGTACGATGGAGGACAGAGCCGCGCAGGCATGGCAATGGTAAAGGCCATGCAGTGCAGTCAGCCACATCGGAATCTAGCGCAGTCGACAATGGAGGAATTAATAGAGGTCTAAGCACATTACTCGGAGGCGATAGACCTCTATTTGGTGGGGATGCTGGGTCGAACACATTCACTGGCTTGTTTGTATTCTCCTTCGACTCTGAAGGACGTATCGCGAACCACACCATCGAACACGCTGACGAGGCTGGTGGCTTTGACAAGACGAGCAAAGTCGTGACGCTTGCAGATTGGCTACTGGGCAAAGCTCGTTGGCGTGGGCTTAGAGAAGAGGATGCTCTGCCTGTTCCTGGGCTAGCATATAGGATGAAGGTCTGTAGGGACGAGATAAGAAAGCAAGACCGATGGGGAAGGAGACACTAGATGTGCTACAAGGGATTTTATATTCGATATCGACGATTCTATACTCAACTCATGCAAGCAAGCAGGCGTTAGGAAAATTGTGCACAGATCTATAGCTGTGTTCCTGCTCGGAGGGGTTTCCCCAGTGCACTGCGGGAACCCGTTCGGGCTGACTTCTCTGAGACACACATCTCAATTATATACAACAGCAGACTCTACTCGTGTCAATGGTCCTAAAAGTAAGGCAATCTACGTTTGCGGTGGATGTTGAGTGCCGTACAAAGTCGTATCTATGCTTCCCCGCATATCTTTATCTGGTGTTGTCGCAAACGCGGCTTGAGAGCTGCCTTTGGGACCAGTCATACCATTGCATAGATATCCATACAAACTTTTTGTCTCGTTATTGATAGTACAAAGACGGTTCCTCTAAAATGCTGCTATATTTTTGATGCGACGAATACGCGCCGAGCCAACGCTCGGTCTCCTCTGTCCAGCCCTCGAATGGCGAACTGCCGACTCGGTGATGTCGGTGCGATTTCGAACAAGCTATATCGCATTCAGTAAAAGATGTCTACATACGAGCCAGCGAAAGCAATCAGATGCTCGGTTTCATCGCTCAGATTTCTCGAATCAGCCCTTTACCGGCAGCTATGAGCCTGGTCTGCCCACTGGCGGGCCTCTTGGAGGCAACCATGTGTATGGTGTGCCACGTCTTACACCGAAGATGCTCAAGCAGCATCTAGACCAGTTTGTTGTCGGGCAAGAAAGAGCAAAGAAGATACTGAGTGTATCGGTCTTCAACCACTATCAGCGCATACAGGAGCTCCAAAGGCGCGAAGAGGAAGAGGAAGAGCTGGCCGCACAGAGGGAACGTCGTGAAAGACACCCAGTTGAGAGCGAATTCCCTGGTCAACAACCAACAATACGGATGGGAGGTCCGCCCGCAGGCTATATCCCGAAGCTAGGAACTTCACCGCTTGTGGATACGACACCCTTAACACTTGAGAAGTCGAATATCCTTCTGCTCGGACCGTCAGGCGTTGGAAAGACACTGATGGCTAAAACACTGGCTAGAGTCCTCGAGGTTCCCTTTTCCATGTCCGATTGCACACCTTTCACACAAGCAGGCTATATTGGTGAAGACGCTGAAGTCTGTGTGCACAGGTTACTGGCCGCAGCAAACTACGATGTTGAAAGAGCTGAGAGAGGTATTATTTGTCTTGACGAAGTAGACAAGATCGCGACTGCTAAGGTCAGCCATGGGAAGGACGTCTCGGGAGAGGGTGTCCAGCAAGCCTTGCTCAAGATAATAGAAGGCACTACAGTACAGGTGCAGGCAAAACCCGAAAAGAACGCGCCACGTGCTGGCGGTCAGTCTCAGACATATCCGACTAATAGCCCTTTAGGTGGGTCTGGGTCACCTGCGCCAACAAAAGGTGAGGTCTACAATGTGAGGACAGACAACATCCTGTTCATTTGCAGTGGTGCCTTTGTTGGCCTGCAGAAGCACGTTATGGACAGACTTGCCAAAGGTAGCATTGGCTTCGGAGCACAAGTACGATCTTCCACCAACCTGTTCCAGTCGGCCTCACGTGACCAGAAATCGACCACGAACAAGCCTATCCCTATTGTGCCCGGTTCAGAAGAGGAAGCACTATACAAGAAACACCTACCTTTCTTCACACCATCACCTATGCCTGAACAGACTAATCCCGACGGCTCTCCACTCGAGCCGAATTACTTTAATCCTCTTGACCTTGTAACACCTGCTGACCTCCAATCTTTTGGCTTCATACCTGAATTTGTTGGGCGAGTTCCAGTAACAGCCGCTCTAGCACCACTGACTCATGCCATGCTCCTTCGCATCCTTACAGAGCCTCGATCATCACTTGTCTCTCAGTACGTCACGCTCTTCTCATTATCTAACATCGAGCTTCGCTTCACCACACCTGCCTTACATGTCATCGCATCGAACGCTCTAGCAATGGGAACAGGAGCACGAGCGCTCCGCACAGAGATGGAAACCATCCTTGGAGACGCAATGTTCGAAGCTCCAGGAAGTAGCGTCAAATATGTGCTTGTCACTGAGAAAGTGGCCAAAAGGGAAGAAGGTGCTATCTACCTAGGTAGAGGCCAAGGTGGACGATTTCACGCTCTGATAGCGCAAGAAGAGGGCGAGTGGGAAGATAAGCAAAAAGCTAAGCAGGGTCATGATGCTGCTAGCTTCTCAGATTGGCGAAGCAAGGCTACTGTCGCGGTTGGAAGTGGTGGGTACGGGTAGCCATAGTGCTCGACGACTTCAGCAAGATCGATGAGACATGAATGGATGACTTTGTTTTTATTGCATACTAAGGCTCGGTGTCCCGGGATAGTTCTTCAATTGGTGCAACGCCACTACAAGCATGACCACACATTTAGGCTGGGCATGCGATTTCCTGACACACCTTGTGCTTGACTCAGCACAAGTGTACAAAAGCTACGATTGTCATCAGTCGCGCTGTGTTGACTTGCAAGCGTCCTTGTGCAGTGTTCTTTGGATTGTCTACTGCTAATTTCATGAGTAGGCAAACACAACCAGTAGACTTCACAGGCATAAATTCACCTTGTTCAATCGATATGTCTTCTCCTCCGTCACTTATGGGACTATCGTCAGAATGTCTTCTCCTAAACCAGATCCATCGACACAAAGGCCCAGGTCCAAGACTGCTGCTGGAGCAATTTAGAACCCAGACCAGGAGAGTGTTTCAGCTCGTCCTCAGGCCACGGACGCGATCAGATTTCCTGACATGCCTGCATCCTTCTACAACATCGATAACATGGTAAGCACAATACGCTACAGGCTTGTTTCAAGTAGCAACTAACACATTAGCATCAGTCTGAAACTCCAAAAGAATCTAGCACCCGTCCATCGTACGGCCACATCAGGCCAAACTCCTTCAATGCAACACTCAAAGAGAATCCAGATATCCTGCTTGACAAGATGTTGCGCTCCGGCGGTATCATGATCGGCGAGACCGACGACGAAGGTCAGCAACTCACACCACAACAAGCCTTGAAGCAGATTCTGGATGACCCTCGATGGACGCGTCGTATGCTTGAGGACTGGTTCAAGAAGGGACCTCCATCGAGGACTAGACCAGTCGCCTTTTCGCCTGATCCTGAGTTCAGAGCATTGTACCTGGTCATACTGAGCAAGCTGGAAGAGCAGAGCAAGGAGAAGTCGACATTGGATATAGCGACTGTGCCTGTGGAAGGGCCACGGACACGGGCTGAAGAAGAGGCTGCTGACCGAGATCTGATTAGACGTACGGGGGAACACTTTAGGAAGCAACAAGAAAGCAGGAATTTGTATTGAGCTGCTGTGTCAGTACTGCGAGGTCAACAGGAGCGAAACATTGGAGGAAGCGATCAGTTATGGTGGAGAAACAACGCATAAATATTTCGGAGAATAAAAATGGTCGTTTTGCAGACCAGTCGAGCAGTCTCTGAAGGAGCCTTTTCATGTGCAACTCCGAGAACAGGCACAGCGATTGTTGATGCTCGAAGCTTGTGCACAATCTTCTTCTCGTATGTGAGGTATTTCGAGATACAGCGATATGGACTGCAGCTCAAGGAGCTCTTTCTCTCGCCAGTAGAGTTCGGCCCGATTCACATGCTCGTGAGCTCTGATCATCAGGGTCCGTATTTCATTGGCTCGAATTGAGCGCATAACCCTGCCTGTTTGTGAGCTAGAGTTTTTGGCTCCCCCGCGTTTTGGTATCGCATTCGTATGGGACTGGTAAGAAATAGTTAATATTGTCGATCGTGGGTCAAGATTGTAGTGTATCGAAACGAAACCACATGTATTAACACAGAGCCGCAATTGCCCAACAGCGATTCCTGATCAACAAAACGACGTCAGATCTGAAGCTCGGTGGGTGGTGTTTTCGCTAGGCCTGTCCTCATTGCGAGATAATCTCAACACAAACATTAGTGCAAGCCCAATGCAGGGTTGAAGGAGAGGACAGAATAGAGATATTTGGACCAGCTGATATCCTTTGACAAAGATCAGAAGTTCTTAATTTACACCCCTGTTTACTTTACTGTCATTTGCGTATCAGAATTTTTAGGCTTGTACAACAACAACAGAACAATTCTCCTGAGGACACAACCACAATATGGATCCCACGAATGAGCAGTCAGCAAACAGCATAGCCGTAGCTCCTGCTGGTGGGAAAGTACCAGACGGTACAGGTGAGTGAGGACATGAGTGTAATTGTTGTATGAAGCTGACCCTTGCTAGGAATCATTGACCTTGACCCATGGCTGGGTGACTTCAGAGACGCATTGAAGAGCAGATTTGCCAAAGCGAAGCGTTGGATAGACACATTTGACCAGCATGAGGGAGGTCTTGAGAAGTTCTCCAGGGGATATGAAAAGTTCGGCTTCACCTTCGCAGATAATGGCGACATCACGTATCGAGAATGGGCACCCAATGCAACACAGGCCTACTTAACAGGCGACTTTAACGGCTGGAACCGAGATTCACATCCTATGACAAAGAACGCATATGGTGTCTGGGAGCTCGTATTGCCTGCAAGAGATGGCGTACCAGCGATAGCACATAACACAAAGATCAAGATCTCGATGGTAATACCTGGAGGAGAGAGGATTGAAAGACTGCCAGTCTGGATCACAAGAGTCACACAAGACCTCAACGTATCGCCTGTCTATGATGCAGTGTTGTGGAATCCTCCCAAGAGCGAACGCTACGTCTTCAAGCATCCACGACCCCCGAAGCCAGAATCGGTTCGAATCTACGAAGCCCACGTGGGTATTTCAACACCCGAGCTGAAGGTGGGCACATACAAAGAGTTTACACAAACCATGATCCCACGCATAAAATACCTTGGATACAACGTGATTCAGCTCATGGCGATTATGGAGCATGCCTACTATGCCAGTTTTGGCTATCAGGTTAACTCCTTCTTTGCTGCGAGTTCAAGATATGGCACTCCAGACGACTTGAAAGAGTTGATTGATACTGCTCATGCAAACGGCATCACGGTCTTGCTAGATGTGGTGCACTCACACGCAAGCAAGAATACACTGGATGGGTTGAACATGTTCGACGGCAGTGACCACCTCTACTTCCACGAAGGTGCTAAAGGTCGTCACGAGCTTTGGGACTCGAGAACGTTCAACTATGGCCACCACGAAGTTCTACGTTTCCTGCTATCGAATTTGCGCTTTTGGATGGACGAGTACCAGTTTGATGGGTTCCGCTTCGATGGCGTCACATCTATGCTGTACACTCACCACGGTATCGGCACGGGCTTCTCAGGTGGCTACCATGAGTACTTTGGTCCTTCTGTCGACGAGGATGGTGTTGTCTACCTAATGATTGCCAACGAGATGCTGCACAATCTATACCCATCGTGTATCACGATTGCCGAAGACGTCTCAGGTATGCCCGGTCTGTGTGTCAGACTCTCACTTGGAGGAGTCGGTTTCGACTACAGACTCGCCATGGCTGTACCCGACATGTACATCAAATTACTGAAAGAAAAGGACGACGACCAATGGGACCTTGGCAACATCGCGTTCACGCTAACTAACCGTCGCCATGGCGAGAAGACAATCGCATATGCAGAGTCGCACGATCAGGCGTTGGTCGGAGACAAGTCGCTCATGTTCTGGCTCGCCGATGCACAGATGTACACGAATATGTCGACATTGAGCGAATTCACTCCGGTCATCGAACGTGCGATGGCTCTACACAAGATGATCCGCCTAGTCACTCACAGCTTAGGTGGCGAGGGATATCTAAACTTCGAAGGTAATGAGTTTGGTCATCCAGAATGGCTCGACTTTCCACGAGCCGGCAACGACAATTCTTTCTGGTATGCGAGACGTCAACTTAACCTTACAGAAGACAAGCTGCTACGCTACAAGTTCCTTAACGACTTCGATCGTGCCATGCAACTCACTGAGGAAAAATACGGCTGGCTACACAGCCCACAGGCTTACATCTCGTTGAAGAACGAATCGGACAAAGTGCTCGTCTTTGAGCGTGCAGGTCTTCTATGGATCTTCAACTTCCACCCTTCGAAGTCGTTCACCGATTACCGGGTCGGCGTAGAGCAGGCAGGTGTCTACAGAGTTGTACTTGATTCAGATTGGATGGAGTTTGGAGGGTTCGGAAGGAACGATAGAAACACGAGATTCTTCACGACAGATATGCAGTGGAATGGCAGGAGCAATTTTACGCAGGTTTATATCCCGACGAGGACAGCATTGGTAAGTTCGAGATCGAGACTGGAATCTGTGAGAGTGAGAACTAACTTGGTTACAGGTACTTGCCCTCGAGAGCACGCTCTGAGCGACACTCTTTCTGGCAACTTGATTGTTGATTTTCAAGGTGGTGTTCTGACGGGCAGTCTTTGGGCACGGAGTATAGGCAGCACGCATAGTGCGGATCACGTCGAGGCCAAAGTCTAAAAATAGCGAGGAAAAAGGGAGGAGGTCATCATAGCTGCGTGTCAAGCTGAATACTGTCACAATTCTAAGTCTTCCACAATGAGCTCAGAGCTTGCTTAAGAAAACCATTGATCTAAATGTGCTACCTTGTCAAGTAATTGATTGTCGTAGTTGTTAGCACTAACTGATGCTACTAGTAGCGTATAGACGACTTAGCGTGTTTAATCCCGACGTGTTCCTCCACATTCAAGACTTGCTACCGACACTCCCTCTGGTTTAAATCTCTTTCATCAATGTCATGTACAACATGCTACTCGAAGCGAACAGCTGCAAGTCGTGCGGGTATTCATAAGTCCTCGTGGAGCCTGTCTATCTACACGACCTGCCTGTTTCATACCACCCAACAAATGTAGTACATTGACCCGCACTTATTACATCCATTGATTCCGTTCCATCTTCAGCATTCAACATTACTGAGAACAAACCGATTCTCTGAATATAGGTCCAAGGTATATTCGGACTCGACGTTGCCTGTCATGTATCGTGGCAGCGACGATATCCAATATCCATAATTACCCTCATCCAGCCTCCTCGAAGTAACCAGGGAACCACTTTCTGGTGAATTCAGGATTTTCCATCAGTCGCTCAGTCACATCTCGATGCAAATTCGTCTGCGCAGGCATTGTATTGATCACGGCAGCCTTGCTGTTTCTTCGAACCTTACACCACTCTGCTAACGCAAGTCCAAGTGCAGCACCATCTGCTCGCGCTTGACTTCCATATGCCTCAGCAGCGGCACATCTGACTTGCAGCTCGGCGAAGGAGTCGTTGAGTCTGATATTGGTCATATCTGCTTGGCGCTTCTCGTATTGTATACGATAAAATGCTTCTTGAAGAGCTGGAAGGTTGGTCATGTCGAGACCTGGTGGAGCTTTGTAATAGTTGGGGTTTGCTAGAGCTTCGATCGAGGTGGTTGGTCGCTCGGCCTTTCTCGTGGTGGGAATGGGACGGACAGCGTCTTCCGCAGTTTCTCGAGCATCTGAAAGTTCCATCGCATCATCTTCAGCATCGACGACGATGGGAGACAACAGCGTGGAACCTTTAGGAGGTGCGGTCACTGGCGTATGATATCGCTGGTCTTTCTTGGATGCGATAATGTTGTAGAACACACGGGGTGTTTGCGTGTCGAAGATGTTTGAGAAGTCGTCGTCTTCAGCCCAACGTCCACCAGCTTCATTCTCTTCCTCGCCGACAGGCTCACTGAGATTTCGGATAGCACCTCTGCGACCAGTGTATCGCATGAAGCCAGGTGTTTCACGAATCTGACCAGGTCTGGTGGCCCAAGTGTGGTGAGAGTCTCGAATGAACACTTCCAATGCTAAAGCGACATAGGTTCCATCCTCCTGCATATTCCACAAAGGCTCTCCTCGCTCCTTCGCCACATAGTCTATCAATGCTGTTCGAATGCGTCCGAACGCCGCTTGTCCCTCGGGCTCATTGAAGTCTGCTTCCAGGAAAATGTCACGGTTATTGTCAAAGTATTCTGTCACAAACTTGGCCATTAGGATGTATTTCGTGCGGCTTTCATAGCCAAGCAGAACGACGTATGTTTTCACTCTATTGCCTGTGCTCAGGAGTAGGTGCTCATAGGCATCGTGCCATTGATACTTCAGAGTACCTGTCGGATGAAGATGGCAGGGAGGCCGAGTCTTCGCAGTAGCGAATCGGGAACGTTTATTGCGACAATCACGATCTTCGATGGGGTCCGTGGCGGAGATAATCACTTCTGAAGTTCGTTCCACCTCTTGAAGTTTCGTATCTTTGTGCGCAGACTCTTGAATGACTGGCCCCAGGTACTCGGATAGCTGCTCTGACACGTGAGTGCCAGTCGTGGCCTCGCTATGTGCACAAGAGCTTGCGGCAGTGCTTTCCTTTCTGAACGGTTGGTTGTCAGCTCTTGTGCCCTCGCTGCTTGGTAGGTGTGGGTGCACCTCCACGAATTGATAGGGTATTAGCCAGACCATCTTGCAGAACGAGTTCACTTTTTTGAGATATTTGTTCCGAGTCGATCTTACGAAGACGGAGTTTCGAAGCTGGAGCGACCACAGTTTAGAGACTGTGTGAGAAGGGTAGGAAATTGGATGAAGACCGCGGAAACAGCGGAGGAGTTATCGACTTCGAAGTGGGATGTGACGAAAAGATCCACAGAAGAAACGATCAGTACAGGATAGGCCCAAGCTAAGTCGTCGCTGGCTCATTGTTCAGTGATAAGTGAAAGTGTTCATTGGTTGCGTGGAGAGAAGTCACAGCCATTTTAAGACGAGACGATACGAGCTAAGCACAGCCTTGTTGTTCGATCAAGCGTGCAATCACTTGTGTGAGGCCGCCGCGTTGTGGCAATCGTTTGCAACCTTTCAGGCAAGACGAGCTCTGCACTGCACTTCGAGCTGCTACCAGGCTGGAGGGAGCGAGCGCTTGCTAAAGACGGCGAGCTCGCTATTGAGGGCAGGCACGTCCTCGTCTCAGCTTCTCTCTTTCGCACAATTCGCGTTCCACATGCCGTGACTTTGAGCTTACCGCGGAGTGATGCAAACGGAGGACAGAATATTGACCCTCACTCGTAAGGTCGAATTGAGAGCGGTCTACCATCCATCTACCACCTGGCCATCCAGTCACGCCAGAAATCCGGCAAGCAGGAAACATGCATCAGCCATTTTTGTTCCTTGTCTCTGGTAGATCTAGCAAACCGTGCCTGACAAAGCAGGCACGCCACACAAGATGAATGCAAGTGCAAGTGTGCACTGTTGACATACTACGTTTAATTCACTTATGGCTTCACATGCTCGCACTGAGCGCTGCGCCGCATGGCAGCTTAGACGACTATGCCTTGATTGCCTGGCTTGCTTGCACACAGAAACCAAATACTAACCCAATTTGTTGGAGTGCAGAGCGAAAGAGCATCGAATTGAAGACTTCTGGAAGCAATAAATTGCGCCCATTATGGCACTCAACAACATCCGGTCCAACCACTTCGGCAACATGCCAGATCGTGCTACCAATCGTCCACAGATTCAGCCCAGCAACTACATCTGGAAATCTCCTCATGGAGAAGCTTTTCCGGGGTGGCAGCATCAGCTTATCCTGCATCTACTTGCAGTCGACCAGACCTGGAATGGCCCCTATGGCTTTGATTTCACTGTCGTCACAGCATGGCTCATGCAGCACTGGCCCTCATATATGGTCACACCGACTGTGCTTGGAACAATAGCTTGGGAGTATGTTTTTCTCCCAGAAGACGATAGAGCGATCTACAGGAATATGATACCAAATTTACCTCACTCGAGAGAAGTCAAATTCAGCGCTTTCACTTCCATCAGTAGCACAGTTGGAACTACGGCCATGCTTGATCCAAACTTGTTCCAAACGGCCGAAACCGATGTCATGGCTAACTATCAACATCATTCCATCTCAACTACTGCGAGTGTTCAAGCAGGAAGTGCACCTGGCCAGCCAAAAGGATCGACCGGAAGTGGTTCACAAAATGTGATGCGCAAGGACTTTCACTCTCGCCTGCCGAAAGTGCCAGATACTGTCACTAGCAGCGGCCACTTCCTGCCTGGCAGCAGTGACAGTCGACAATCAGACTTCGATAACAACTTTCGGTTTTCGCCAACTTCCAACATTACTTTCGACACAACATTTACCGTACCGTCGTCGCCCACAAAGATATTACCAACAGCTGTTATGCCATCTGCACCTCATAAATCCAATTCATCACCTTTCAGGTCATTTGAAGAACTGTCGTCTGCACAAGGTACACCCACGCCTAGTCGCACTCCAAGAACGAGCTTCTACGTGATCGACAAGTTGTTATTCGATCCCAACAAAGACAACATAGACAACCAACCACACAATACACTTGAGAAGGTTGCAGAACAACTCAACCTTCCATCAAAGCACGTTGAGGGCATAAAAGATGGTACAAACACGATCGACCAGGACGAAGAAGAGCTTGCTCACGCGACAATGGCTCCGCAAGGTCACAATCAGGCAACGAGCAGTAAGAAGCTGTCGACAGAAAATGAGTCGATAAAAGAAGAGGCCGCCACAACCGATGTCCAGTCGTCCAAGCCATCTATACCGTCGTTAGACACGGAAGCGAACCAAATGCCATCGAGCATACCGATCCTCCCACGTCCCGACTACACAAAGTACGTCCATATCGCAGGGGAAGACTGGATCATTCCATATTCGGAAGCTGATGCGTTCGCTGCCTGGTTCAACCCTCAAGTAGACCCAGTGCCAGAGAAGATCGAGGGATATTACTGGTATTGTGACAAATGCCACAATCCTGAGCACCAAAATCCTGGCAAAAACGTCCGTGGCAGGTACAGCGTCAAGAAATCGTTCGAGAAGCACATTCGTTCTGTACACAAGGTCAAGAAATGGCGACCTGTGCTGCCAGAACCTAAGAGGGAACAAACTGTCGTGGACCTTAGGCCTCAGGAGATACTGGGCAACATGGAAAGTCATGCTGATGAAGACAAGCGCGAGTTGGTCCATTCCACAATAGAGACAACAGTTGAAGACAGGGCAAACGATGACGAGATCGTTGTGAAAATGGACAATGGCGAAGAGGACCAGATCGTCGAAAAAGCCTCTACACTTCCTCCGACTTCGCTATCACCGAGCATAGAGAGCTACGATGACTTCTCGTACAAACCAGCAAATACCAAACGGAAGCTGTTCGAGAAGGAGCTAGAAGAGAGTCTGGTCAGCCCTAGCATAGCATCAACACTTGGCCGAGACAAGAGTGGATTCAGATTCGCTGATATCGATCCTCGAATAGTGAGCAGCCCCACCAAGCAGGGCGCAGATAAAGTGAGCGTGGTTCCAGGGAAAGGACGCGTTGCTTTCGCTGCGAAAGAAGATGTGAAGATCTTTGACGAAGAGTCTTCGCCAAGCAAGAAGCATGGCAAAGAGGACATAGACACACAAAAGAACATGCCGGCCAGTCCTGACAAGGAAGAGATGGAACTACGTTCGAGCAAGGCAACGCTAGTCAACCCATTGAAGAGGAATATCAACGAGGCTGATACTGGAAGTAGACTTCGGAGTGCCATGAAGAAGTAGGCTTCGTTGGAAGAGTCATCATTTGATCTGCTAGTCGGTCATACGGATGAAGACTTTTTGATTTAATCAGTTGAGCATGTCGATTTTCCACGAGACAAACGATGTCCCTTTGCTGTGATACGAATGAAGAATACTTAATCTCGCAAAATATTGGTAGCGCTTGATGTTGCCTCGCATGGGACGACACGACGCGTTCCACAGTATTCACGCGTTTTGGCGTGATAGTTTCGTGTTCCTCCCCCTGCCGTACCTCGACCCGAGGTAAGGTGTGCACAATTACAGACAGAGTTGACACCGAGAATAGGATAAGATGATAGCAAGTCTACCAGACGAGTTAGTCAATTCCATACAGCAACAAATCATATTCCGCCAGACGCAACTTCTGCAACTTTCGCTGTTCTATTCTGTACTGCGACTCTGCCAAACATCCTTGAACCTCCCACTGACCATTCACAGGATGGTTTTCCGAGCCCTGATGTACTCGTCGCATATGGACCAGAAGACGTAGCGAAACTCGAAACCATTCAACATGCGCTAACCAGCCGGAACATCCACTATGTGGTGGTCAATTGCAGGGAGTGTCTGTCCCAGCGACACCTGCTCAGCAAGATCTTTTCACGATGTGTGAAATCATTGGACTCTGAAGGCGCCCTGGAGGAGGCCAGATATGATCGTCTCGACAGTATTAACGCCCTCTTTGGGAACTTGAAAAAGTTACTGCAGCCAAGGGAAGAGAAATTGGTGGTCATTCTGGCATGCGCGGATCAGCAGCGAGGTGCAACAGCTACCTTATTTCCTGCTCTTGCGCGATTGTGCGACTCAGTGAGCTTGCCTTTCTCACGAGGAAGAAGCGAAATACTAACAGGCCACAGATACCCTGCTTATCCATCATCCTCACCTCAAGCGCGCCGCAACCACTCGCACTACACAAGGCTGGAATACCTTACCTATACTTTCCTCCTTTAAGGCGCAGCGAAGCTATAAAACTTCTGCTCCGGGATCCTCCACGGCTTCTACCAGATCCTCTTCCAGAGTATGCTCCAAGCATAAAGCAAGAAAGGTTACATAGTATCTACAACCAATTCGCAACGGTTGTATTTGATACGTTGATAGCACCGACTACGAACTCGATCGTCAAGTACAGACAGACAATCGAAAGGCTTTGGCCACGCTTTATCTGGCCCCTAGTATCTGGCGAGACGCCCACTGGAAGAAGCACAAATAACAACTGGGACTTTGCCCGACTTCTAAGCAGGAATCGAATACTCTTCCAGAACGAAGGTGAGGAGTCGTTACAAGAAAAACTAATCTCCGTCTCGAGCCTGCCGAGTACTTTCGAAGAGCTCGTATTGCATAAGGCGGAGCAGGATGAGAGATTAACTACACAGCCTGAGTCCGGTACATCTACGACATCAAAATCACCCTTCAAACCAGTACAGCTATCTGCTGCAGAACACCACACACCACAAGGCCCACCACTCCTCAAATTCTTCTCCACTCTGCTCCTCCTCTCCGCCTACTTAGCCTCCCACACCCACCCAAAGCACGATATAGTCCTCTTCTCCCGTCTCTCCAACGCCTCATCCACTAATCGTCGCAAAAAGAAGTACCTCGCCCGCTCCCGCGCAGGCGGAATCACCAAAACACCAACCAAATCGCCCTCCAAGAAGAACGCCTCAGCTCCCGACGGTGGCGACGACAACGACAACGATACCTTCAACACCACCCCAAGCAAAAAGCGCAAAACCTCAACCAAAGACCTCGGCCTCGCCCTCCCAACAACCAGCACCCCCAAAAAAGAACGCGCCGACCGCTCCATGCGCGCTATCTTCGAAAAAACATCCAATATCGCCCGCCCTTTTATCCTCGAACGCGCCATTGCGATCCTCCGCGCCATCCACCCCGACGGAATCAAGATGGGAAAGGGAATCGCGGACCGTGTGTACGCTGAACTTGCGGAGTTGGAGAGGTTGAGACTTGTGGTTAGGGCGGATGAGAGGGGGAAGGTTGCGGTTGAGGATCTTTTGGAGGAGCAGTGGAAGTGTCTTGTGGGCAGGGAGTGGGTTGTTGAGGCGGGGAGGGTATGGGGGGTGGGAATTGAGGGGTGGGAGGTTGAGTGATGGGATTTGAAGCGTGGGTATGTGTGTAGAGGAGAATCTAGGGAAGTGGTCAATCATAGTCTTGGTTTTTGTCTACTGCAGTCGGAGTTGTTGTTGGAGGTATACCCTTAGTAGTCATCTTACTTTCGTTCATTGGTCTAATTTCTGGCTGAGCCGAGTTACAATGGCTGACAAACACGGCATGATCATCAGCATCGAATCAGGTTGTTGCTCTCGAAAGATGATATTTCGTTGGAATCCGACACCCTAATGCCTGTCATATAGGCAGAGTTGGCCATGAAATACGACATGGGTCCAGTCAAAGGCCTGTAAACGATTCGGTAACATGTACTGGTACGTAGATACAGCCGAGGAGTTGTGATCATTTCCCAGAGAAGGAAATTGGATACCGCTGACAAAATGTACGTAACAACATTTGTGTTCAATGACCACTATTCCATACTAGAAGAAACTAACAATTCTCTTGTGCAAGAAGTTCACGACTCAATTTCGATCGTCTCAGCATAGAGAGAACACATATATACACAAAGGCAACTGTCTCGTCACGGAGCTTCGTGCCTGCTTCTTGTCGTCGTCACCTGTCTTTAAACTAGTACAGTAGTAGCGATGGTTTATCGAGCATGCTCAAATCACCCTTCGGGCTTCCAATCATACTTACGCCTTGTCCTGACATGCTGTCGCGGAACTCTACTTGGTTCGTGGGTGTTGTGTAGGTTGATAAAAATCCTCGCCAGTAACCGACTCGACGAATACTAAGCTCGACGGTCCGAGCTACTTCGAGACAGAAGCAGTGTTCGGCGCACCATCTGTTGACAGTGCTCCATTGCCTCTCCAGATCCCCACTGGAGGAGCAGTAGTAGCCGTGTGTTGATGAACATGTTCTGGTGTTTTGCCTACTGTCCATGCACGTCATTGCCCAATTGTGATGCTCAGTGAAGTCGCGCCGACTTGTTGGTGGTTGGTTAGCTCGCGAAGTCGCTGGTGAAGTGGAAGTCAGCTGTACTGAGTTGGTTTCTGGCAGATTTCGTCGCGGGATGTCTGACTCAGGATATTTGACTTGTTCGGGAGCAGATCGAGGTGGTATAAATCGTGGTGCATTGGGCTGCTGAAGAGTTGGTTGCCGAAAGAGAATGAGTGCAGGCTCGTTGGATACAGCTGGACTTGTAAGCACTGTTCCTAAAATGATGATTTCTTAAGCCGTGATTTGAAGTCATGTGCTTACTCGCAGCGGCACACCAAAGCAGGACCAAGAGAATGCCTGGATGCATGGTGGAAGTATAGTTCTCCTTGTTTGAAAACCTGATTCAGAGGAGGGAACAGAGACTGCTGGGAGGACGATGAACGACTAGTGTTCCTTTCCTGATAGGGCGACTTTGGGGTTCAATACAGAACGATAAGTAAGATCACCCACGACTTCCTTTTATGTGGACAACGATCTGAACGCATGAGTCAAGACTTTTAGGCCATGACACCGAATTGTGCACGGTTCTTAATGAGTACAGGCAACTTCGCCTGCCGATTTGTGTTCTTTGCTGTAGTTGTAAAACGGCGAAGTCTTAGCAACGCATGAAAACCATGAGAAAGCTTGTAGTCATCGATTGACGCTGTAAAGTCTTGCTTCGAGGTGGAAACAGAAGAAGCAAGACATAAACGTACAAATTTCATGACGATGTTGGATTGTATGCTTGACACACGAGTGTAGTGTGTTCGCTTGAAGGGGGGATGAGTGATCTCTAATCCAGGAGTCATGGTAGCTGCATTTGTAGTACGATTATCGTGACAACAGGTGGAAAGATCGCTCCTTCCGAGTAGAGCGTTTGCCAGAGTGCCGTAAGACAGTCTTCACTGTCGTGACAAGTAGACGGTCTTGCTTGATCTCACTGTGGATCAGAAGAGAGTTGCGTTTTCAAGTTTTTCTGAAAATGTCGTCTCTGGATCACAAACATATTGAGTAAGATAGGAGTTTCCCTATCTCAGGACAAGCCCGTTTCTAGCCACAGTCGTGGCTTCATTGACAACCTCGTTACAGATCAACTTAAACAGTCGATACCTCTCGGATATTACTCATTTGTTGTATCACTCTTCAGTCTCCTCGCTGTCGACAGCCCATTCACGGATCTGACCTGACCACGTTGCGGTAACAAGAGATTCCAGTCCATCACCAAAATGACCAGCGACGACACCGACAACGTGACCGAGGTCTGCACAAGATGTCAACGGCGAGGGCAGTATGGACCCCTTGGAGACGTCAAATAATGTTATGATATCGTTCTTGAAAGGAGTGTTCGACAATCGTGATGCCACTGCAGCAATGTTGTGACTGTGGATGTAGGTAAGAGAAGTCAGTGACCCGTACGATTCTGCTTGACGTTCCGGAGGAAAGCAGAAAGGTACTAGAGGTCGCGTTTCCTGCACCAAGGTCGGCAAACCACGCTTGCGCTTCTCCTTAGGGTAAGTAGTGGTTTTAGGCTGTGCTGGTTCTTTGAGATAGCGCAGATCGTAAAGAGCGACTGAGGACAACCCACTAACGATGACCTGCTCAGGCCGCCTGGTGACCGCAATACCAGTTATAGCCGAAGTATGTTTGAGTCGAGGAACGGTCCCCCTGGAGCGGAGATCGGTGAAATTGACTATACCTCGACGTTCGCCAGACATAACAACATTTGTGTCTTTCATCGAGAGAGTCATTTGCTCCTTCCTTACTAGGGGCTGTAAGGGCGCGGCGGCAAGGTCCGGACTGTATGCAAGACCATCTTCAGTTGCAAGAACGCAGCTACCATACCCAGGTAGGGCAGCGTCCCATATGGTGGTGTCAAGACCTAACTGCATTGCAGCATGACTGCCGAAGTGGGCGTACTCGAGATTGGACCCTGCATTTGCTTTGTTAGCGCTTCATTCGAGTTAAGTACCGTCGTCAAAAGAGGTCTTCATAACATGTGAACGAGCAGACTTCGCAAACCAGAACGCGGACATTCCAAATATTGACGAGCGAGCAGGGCCAGGCACGCCGAAAACCTGACCTCGTGCTTTGAACAAGCTTCCACCAGCAATGCATCGAAAACAAGACAACTAGAAATGCGAGTGTATGGAAGTTTGATGTAGTGGAATGAGACTTACTGCTAAACGTAAGGTATGTACCATCGCGAATGACTGTGCCTGTCCTATCAGGTACGGGCAGAATAGTCGCGTTATTCTGTGTCCTATCACCAGAACCTACCTCACGTATGTTCACTCCAAACGATGCTGTCGCTGTGAGGTATAGCGTGCCTTCTGCCGAGACCGTGAGGGACAGAGGGCGACTCTGAAAGTCAATCTGCCGATCGTGTAGATTCGAAGCATACAGACGAGTCATTGAATGAACATTCTGCCGCGGTGATGCACCATATCGAAGAGTCAGACTCAAATTGTCGTAGCAACCAGGATTCAGTCTGCGAATAAAGCTGCTTCGCTCTCGTTCTCGTCGATGTAGCGTGGCACGTTCGAGCCTGTCTCTCTCGATCTCAGCCAGGACAGCAGCTCTGCTGTGAGCTGTACCGGGTGGTGCAATGTGGTTCGGCTGGATTTTGAAGTATTTATTGCGCGTAGTATCGAAGTAATATCCCGGAATTTCTGGTCGTGGAGCCATGGTTGTTATGGTGGAAACTGTCGAGGCATCCGCTTGGCAGCTGGATCGACTGAGGGTAAAATAGCAAGCACTATGACCATCTTAAGGAATATTGGAATAGATAAAATGCCAATTCGTATGTTCTGAAGCTATAGTAGTACGGAGCGAAAGAAAGTGATAACTTTCGTTGTCGCCACTAGTGGAGCAGGAACGGAACAAAAGAACACGACTGACCAGTTACCCACAAATGTGCAACTTTACCGAACGGTGTTGAGATCAACTTCATTCTTGTCATTTCTACTCGAGTAGGCACTCGAGCCAAGAACGACTGTAGGTATACTTCCCATAACGAGCTTATTATCACTGCTTTCTCAGAATGCATGGCCAGCGCTTTTGTCAAGTGACCCGTCGCTTCTTCCTTAAACGTATAGCTCGCTCCTCGGAAGCTCTCTCTATCGTGCCTGCACATCCTTTCCTGAAGAGACATCTGTACAAGATGCTCCTTCCAACCGTTGTGTCGCCTCAAATCCTGCGAACCAGGTCTATATTGGCAACGTATCTCTACGCTCAACTACCCTCATGCTTGGCTTGTTGGATGTATCGTGGTAGCCTGGAGCTGTGGAAGCCTAAGCAACCTCAAATACAACACCGTCAAGCCTCTCGTTACTTTTGCTGCCTCTTTCCTTGCAAATGAAACGTTTGACTCAAGGTTTTGCACTGTCCTCAAGACCACACTGACGTGTTCGCTGACTGCCACGTTTTTCTTTTGGCTGAGCTGCGTTACCCCGATAACATCCTCCCGACCTGGTTGTCACGGACTCAGTCGTTCCCAAGCAGCGTACAACCAATCTTGATCAGGTACTAAGACCAACCGATCGGCGGCGGCGAGCTCTGCATACCTCGACATCGTGGTCTGCTTAGGCGTGCTAGGCCTGGGACGACATGGTCCATCCTCTCACTTGAGGCTTGCGTTGGGAGGATCAAGCTGAAGGTGGCGCTGGACTGGTGTTCCGTCGCCCTTGACTGGTGAACGATCGAGCGCTAAACTCATGCCTCTGCGGCCGAAGACGATCGCAATTGGGACAGGACTTGGCTTCAATATCTATGTCTGCTGCTCTGAATGCTTTCACATAGGATTCAGTTGGAAGCCTTTGCTGCCTGCACGTTCAGGATGAATGTTTGTGTTCTCTGGGAGATCAGTGATGCATCTATCGCAGAAGTTAGTATCGAGGAGTGGAAGCAAAAGAACATCACGTACCCTGTGCTCGCGCTGCTGACCAGTTTCGCGTATTTGCCGAGTGTGCCTCTTAGCGTCCTCTGTTTCGGTGGGTTCGCTTCCCAAGCTGCCTTCCTCTTGTCAAGGGTATCCTGCTCGACGTGGAGATCCATCACTCTCTTCTCGGCGTCAATAGTAATCTCGTCTCCATCTTCGACAAGACCAATAGGGCCACCCTCAATAGCTTCAGGAGTGATGTGTCCGATCAAAAAACCGTGCGAACCACCAGAGAATCGTCCATCAGTGATCAAAGCAACATCGTGTCCTAGTCCAGCTCCCATGATAGCAGAGCTTGGCTTAAGCATTTCAGGCATACCTGGACCACCTTTCGGTCCTTCGTATCGAATCACGACCACAGTCTTTTCGCCCTTCTTGATATCTCCTCGTTCGAGAGCTTGGACAAAGAGGTCTTCTTCGTTGTAAACCTTGGCTTTACCTGTAAAGACTAAACCTTCCTTGCCTGTGATTTTGCCAACTGATCCACCTGGAGCTAGAGAACCATACAAGATTTGCAAATGTCCAGTCTTCTTGATTGGGTTGTTGAAAGGTCGAATGATGACCTGGTCCGAGGGAAAGTCAGGAGCGGTTTCGAGGTTCTTCTTCAAAGTTTGTCCAGTAACGGTCATATGCTCACCCTTGATGACACCCTCCTTGAGCATGAACTTGAGCAATGCAGGCGTTCCGCCAATCTTGTAAAGATCGTTAAAGACGTACTTGCCTGATGGCTTCAAGTCCGCAAGGAAAGGTGTCTTGTCTGAAATAGCTTGGAAGTCATCAATACTTAGGTCGACTCCTGCAGCGTCTGCCATCGCGATCAAATGCAGAACAGCATTCGTACTTCCGCCAGTCACCATAATGAGGATGATAGCTTCTTCGAAGGCCTTCTTGGTCATGATGTCGGAAGGCTTGAGGTCCATTTTTAGTAAGTTCCTGATAGCGCCACCCGCAGCGAGACATTCAAGCTGCTTTGACTTGGACTTTGCTGGGTTCGACGAGCTTCCAGGGAGAGTCATACCCAGAGTCTCGATCGCAGAAGCCATGGTGTTGGCAGTGTACATGCCACCACAGGCACCACATCCTGGGATCGAGTTGCGGATGATATCGTACCGCTGATCCTCATTGATATCCCCGGAGATGAATTGGCCGTAGGCTTGAAAAGCTGACACAATATCAATGTCTGCATTGTTTTGGGTCGCAGCACATCCGGCCTCAGTTGAACCTCCATAAACCATCAATGAGGGTCTGTTAACTCTTGCAATGCCCATCATGACGCCTGGCATATTCTTGTCGCAACCAGGTATGGAAATATTAGCATCGTACCATTGTCCTTGCATCACAGTCTCAACTGAGTCCGCAATGATTTCTCTTGATTGCAAGCTGTACCTCATGCCTTTTGTACCCATCGAAATACCATCCGACACACCGATAGTGTTGAATTGCATGGGAGCGAGACCAGCATCTTGGACACCCTGCTTGACCACATTCGATAGATCGAGTAGATGCATGTTACATGGATTCCCACTCCACCACACAGAGCTGATACCAACTTGAGGCTTGGACATGGCTAGCTCGTCCATGCCAGTGGCATACAGCATAGCTTGAGAAGCTCCCTGTGACTTTGGCTGTGTAATCTGTCGAGATACACGTGCGAACTCGGCGAGGTCAGCCTTTGGTAGCTTTCTGGGAGCATCTTCTTCTCGTCGGAGGATTGAGGATGTGAATGACCTTCTACGACTTGTCAGTGTGCGCTTCTTCTTCCAGTTTCTCAATCATGCATACGAATTAAGGTAGACATTTTGCGCGCCACATTTCCGAGGCGATATGAGCCTCGCAGAAAGCGACGTCCGCAGTATACCTGCCATGATGCTCCGACGTCCTCTATGCGCTTTCAAGGGCTAGTTTTTGCCCTGACTGCTTGACTGATCAACAAGGAGGCGAGAGCACACGTTCTTCAAGCAGCTGTGAGTCAAAAATATTTTTGGAGCGCGTTTCGAGGCACTTTTTTTCTCCGCAGATCAGGGCTGGAGCACTCACCGAGGTTTGCCTGGAGAGCTCAATCGACCAATCAAATATGCCTTGATTTGCAACCATTCCAGGCTTCAGACGTGCCGGTTCAGCTGCTTCATCTATTGTATTGCTTGGGGAAAATATGAACAGATTAAGTTTCTAGGTATATCGGCACGCTATCGTTTCTACAATCTTCAGCTTCAGGCCGAGCATAAAGCCGTGACTTTGCTTCCACGGACACCCACTAGGCCATCGATATATGCCAAAAAGGAGTCGACTGGAATCATATCCATCCTTCCTAGACTTGGGTTGCTGCTTCGCAGCACCTGACCTCTCCACAACACTCTCAAGAACCAACACCCACTGCTCCTGCTCCTCCATACCTCAAACACAACTTCGCTGCCCATTCCAGGCCATACCATCACGTCCAGCTGCAGGATACTGAGAAGTCGACTCATGCTGCCATCGTGTGCGATGTTGTGCCTATATTTCACAGCACTTGACCCACTCATTGTAGCTCGAAGGTTATTTGCCAACTCTGCAACCCATAGTCCATAGCTGGCCGCACTTGCTGTCAAAGACTTGTTGTTATCGCGGTAGATATAGCTGTACTCGTATTGTCCTCGTCTAAACACTGCATTTGCAACTGACTCATTAACGCACAACGAAGGGTTTGAGATATTGCACGGCAAAGGCTTAGCATGGCATAGCTTAGCAGACAGATTGTCGGAGTAGTGGTCAAACCAACTATGCCATCCACTATCGCTTCGATTGACGCCACTGACGGTGTCCAGAGTATTGAAAAGCGAGATCGTTGAGGAATCGTTGAGATGCGCTTGCCAAGCCGGGTTCCTGCTACCAACGCCGTAGGAAGAGTATTGGGAAGCAGCAGAGCGACACGAATATTGTGGTTCGAGCGTATCGAGGTTGACGGGCTGCACTGTCACAGGGAGTCGCTGAGAGGTTAATGAGGGATATAGACCTATTGCTAGTTGGCCAGCTACCTGGCTGGTAATCTGATTGTTCGTGACACGGAACTTGGCAACGTTGCCATCAAAAGAGCTAGGCAGGAAATGCAATTTGTCGACATAGACCGACCTGAGGTCTGCTCCGTGTTGGCGAGAGTCCAGCAAACCGCCTGAAGTAATCTGAGGGAATTGACAGGATGAATTCTGGAACCCGGATTGAGGAAAAGGGTTGATCGGAGAGACACTGACTGACCAGCCGATTTGTGCTGCCAAATTATCACTCGTCGGAGCGCCGTAGTAGTAGAGGTACTCATCATCGCAATCCCAAGGTATAGGTTCTACAGGAAAGGTGTTCGATGCGTAAGGAGTACGTTTGTGGTGACGATGGATGACCTCGACATATACAAGCTGGTACTCCGCTGGGGGGATAACATACTCTTGAGCACGGACATGTGGCATGTTACACCAATTGTACGTGGAATATGGTACCGACGATGGTGTGATAGAGCTATTGAAGATGTAGCCATATACGCCACTGCTGTTCGCAACGCTCGCCAGGGAATTGACCACAGTGCTGTTAGGAGGATACCAGTTCAGGTCTGCCGGACTGGGTGCAGGGCATTGCGTGTTGGCATTCGTGGCACCAAGAACTGCTGCAACCACGAAGCCTGCTGTAAGGTGCTTCATCTGCCACAAATTATGGAAGTACATTGAAGCAATGCCAGTGCCAGTCACGAGGAGGAATACTTTGAGTCTGGTAGGGAAACCATGAGGTTGCGGCGAAGACATGAAGCTCTCAACTTATACACATCCTGACCGAACCCATGATGTTGCATTTGGATACAGTCCATTCCCTGCACGTTTGTTAGCCGTGAAGGGCAGCTCGAATGAATAACAGGTTGAAGGAAAGAACGAATTGTAGCAAGAGCTGCTGTGGGCCCTGCAGCGGAACGTGCTTACAAGTGGGCGCTGATTGGCAACATTCAGAGCTCAATCGGCATTTGTCAGAGCTCATGCTGTGATGATCATATCATATCAAATCAACTGGATGAACTGATGCTCCGTAAGGACTGACGCGTAGCTGCTTGCTGCTCATCCAGCATGAGGAAGGTAAGTGAAGGCTGAACTTGGTTCGCACGAGGAGAGTGACAATTTGGGCAAGCTGTTGTCAGGCATGAACGGCCAAGTTCAGGCAACATTTTGAACCTCAAGTTCCAGCCACCACGAACTTCAGCCTAACGATACATAATCCTCGCGAACTTGAATACTGATAAGGCTCGCGATGGAAAGCATGTTAGTGTTCAATCTGCCCGCCAGCCAAGGGGACTCCTACCATGTTCTTCTTGAGCTCGTTCACCGATCTCCAACTCGACATCGTCGGCATTGTGGCCATACTCGGTGAAGCCAGTGTGCTACGTATTTCGCAAATCTCAGCATTATCATGGCACCACGAACTACCAAGACTGATGCCTGCACCTCAGGCGCTACTGAAGCACTCACTTGAGAAGCGACTGCCAACCGAAGCTGGTAAAGTAGTGGGTGCATATTCTGGCAACGTTAACCTTGAACTCAATTTCTTCTGTCAGTTGCTACATCCGCACGAATTGGACCATTACCAGGTCGAGTTTGTCACGATCAAGAAGCGTAAGGGTCTAGAAGACAGCCCGCCGTACGAAGTCAATCCATCAGGCAGCCTTCGAGCACTCTCCCTATTGGGTCTTGCGCTCTCTGTCACACTGATTGCCCTTGCGGTTGTGTATGATGATGGGTGGGCACTGGTTGGGACAATCCTGCTTTCGATCACTTCGACTTTGGTTGGTTTTGCATCCAGAGTCAAACTTGAAGTTCAACAGCCACCCAAGGATAGACTGACAAAAGTCCACGATAGTGAGGTGTCATTTACTATCCTCGAACGGGCGCCTTTCGTGTCGTACGTTGCAGCGAATTTGAGTCTAGACTCTACTTCACCTCAAAGACATGCAAACCTCTCTTTGACGATAGCTTATATCGAGCTTTCGCGTTGTGCGGTACTGTAACTTTGATCTTCGGCTTGATCTCGATCGGTAACGCACAGACTATTTTGCAGGTCACATTTGCTGCTGCATACGTCCTCCTGAACATTACATATTGGCTGGCATCTGCCATCAGCTCCCACAAGCACTGGAAACATAACTACGATGTTCAAACTCATGCCTTCGAGTTACCTGCCTCTGCTCCGATGCCAGCAGTGACACTGACTCCAGATGCCTCGACTGTGATACCAGGCCGGACAACCACCTTTGTCCTCCCAGTACAGGAAACTAACGACGATGTCGAACGCAACATTACGAGGCGAATAACAACAACTAGAACTCGTGTGATGTCCCTGCAAAGACGGTATACTGGCAATGTTACAATCGCACAATCCAACCGCATCTTCACGACTGCACTCTGGGAAACTATCGCTCTGACAGGCACCGGCGATTGGCTTCGACGAACAAACATCGCACCCAAGAACGATGTTTGGGATAAATGGATATCGCTGGCTGGTGAAGCTGCGAGGATAGACGAACCGGACTGCAGAGGTACTCACAGCTTCACGACAAATGGTCGCACACGGATCGTTCTTTCAGCCTGGCCTTACAGGCAAGTGCTTGCACGATTGTTTAAGGATGAGCAGACGAAGCACAAGTGGAGGCCGAAGTGGTCGAACCAGCAATTATCGAACATACATCCTGAGATCGTTCAGTCCAAACCTGAAGTGGACAACGCGGATGCTATGTAACAATCGAATTCTAGTGGTTCACATCAATACCGTTCCATGTCAGGCCCAATATAGAGGGCCTGGCAACAAGGAGGAAATCGAATCTTCTACATCCACTCAAGAAATGTATAGCTGCTTACGAAACGTCACGTCCGTGTCCCAGGAGTTATGGATGTTTCTGTCTGCTTTGTCTTTCAGAATAACGTCTTTGTTGTTTCCAGAAACGCAGCCGAACAGGTGTTTGGATATCCTCTCCTAACCAGAAACTCCCAGGCTGCTTCGTTGGACTTCCTCCGCCGTTAGCTCTTGCCTGGGCTGAACTATTTATCTACCACAGTCAACCCTTTTCATGATACTTTCTACGATACAACATCTTTCCAATAGCAAGAAAGCAAACCCCCAAAGATGAATCAAGACTCAGGCGCTTCATATCACAATCAGGACCAAGGTCTATCACCGAACCAGACCTCATCCAGCGACAATACAACCCCCAATCCCAAGCGCCGTCCCACAAACGTCGAATTGAAACAAGCGAAAGAAGCATCTGTCACTCAGATCAAAAACGCTAAGACAAACCTTAACAAGTTCACATTACGCAAGAAAACTGCAGAGTACCGCATGAGATTCGCCGCTGTGTACGTTCAAGTATATCGCGCTGCTCCACCAGAACACCGTGAGAAGCTTGGCCAGCATCTCAATCAGGTCTACAATTACGGTCAAAAAGCCTTCTGCAAAGACATACTAATGCAGTTCACTTTTGCCGACTTGGAAGTTATAAGGGAGTATCATCCAGGTGTTCTCCATCATCTACTTACATTGGATGAAGATGCGCCAAGATTGGAAGCGTTAGCAGTTGAGGAATTTGGCAACCATGACGAGGACGACGACAACAACAATGGAGAGTAGGGATAGCTAGGAGAAGAGCATAATGGCGAACACAGATAATCAGACAATGAGCTTACTAAGGCAGAGTAATAAAGATGGTTAGGTGATTGAGATGGTGATGTACTGGTGGAGGAGGCAGATACTGAGCAGGACACATGCAGCAATCAGACACAACCAAGCCCAGGGGAATATAGGGCGATGAAGGCGATTTGCAGGCGCGACAATGCCCTCCCATGACACAAACAGCTCCTAGCCTTAGGCACTCTTCCTCAAGTTCAGAAATCGCAGGACGAGTACACTCACTATAGTCAATCTTTCAGCTCGGTCTGAGTATCGCTCAAACAATCCATCAAGGTGTCGCAAAAACAGATCTTTGTTGATTCATCTGTAGAGTTGATCTCGTCTTAAAGAATATTTCCGTATCGTTCATACATCCAGCTACTTATCTATTCATCCTCCTCAACACCCGCCAACCTCCGTTCCCCCATCTCCCGTATCTTCTCCTCCAGCACAGTCCTTCCCCACCTGCCCGCAACCTTACTAGCAGCCTCAATCATCTTCCCACCACGATCCCTCATCATCCTTACAATCTCCAAAGCCTTCATACCCCTATCCTCACCTTCTCGACATTCCGACGCCAGCAGCTGCAGAAGCACTTTATCAACCTCGATCTCACGCCGTGTCAGCTCCGTCTTGTCAGTGTGACGCGCATGTTCGCCGTGAGAAGTGACGAAATCGTCAAGGAGGGACATCATGAGCGTGCTTCGGACGTATGCTTCTTCGAGACGGGTTATTTGATGCGCTGTGGTTTCTTCGGTGCCGTCCATGTCGATTTCATTGCCATCGTCATCTATGGAGGTCTTTTTCTTGGGAGATGGTCTGCTGATGGGGATGCTAAGGTTGAATTCTGACAGTAGCGGTCGCGGGAAGTATGGATACTTATCACCACCCTTGAGGATAATGCAGTGGAATTTCTGGTCGGCGACGGCAACGGGCCAGTATGTTTCTTCTTTCTTGCCGCCTTGAAGACGCTCGAGGAGACGGGTGTCGAGTATTGGTACCCATTTCGCTTGGCCCATGTTGCGCCAGTGTACGAGGACAAGTAACGTGCCAGTTGAGTCGTAGATAGCCGGGTCGCCTGTGTCGGTCCAGAAGAGAGATTTCAGGGTCACTGATTCGTCTTCGTAGTTGTCTGAGTCTGGGTGAGGCGTTCCCAGGGCAACTAGGTCTGAGTTCTGGTGGGCTTCGTCGTAACGGATGTTGTCGATGCTGTAGATGAGTTGGGTTGTACCATCTGAATTGACGGCTCCGTTCGTGACTGTGATTAGGAGGTCGTTGTGCGCGGCACAAGTTACGGCTGGTGAAGATTTCATACGCCACATGCGCACTGGTGTACCAAATAGTGTCCAGACTCTGACATAGTTCTTGCTCGTGCATGCTATGACATATCTCGAGCTTAATGCGATACACGAAATATCCTCACCATCAGGCAGGCTGACACGGAAGTCAGCTCTGTTGGTCCAGGTCTCATGTGGGCGGTAGAAGATGATGGCAGGCTGCTGCTCTGCGGGATTGGGAGGGGCAGAAAACAGAGTGCCATGCTCGTTCAGACAAGCTTTATCGTACTGAAAAGGATCCGTAAAGTGAAAGTCACGATGTGTTTCTCGGTCGTAGAATTCGACAGTAACAGTATTGTGAGTGTCGTGGTTGACTGTCCAGACGAAGCCAGTAAGGTTCAAACATAAATATTTCCGATCACCGCGCCAGGGAGTAGCACCCGGTTGGAAGGATTCGTGAATTTGCGGCTGCCAGGTTTCGTGCCTGGTCTTCTTCTCAATATGACCATTGGCTCCTTGAAGATGACCATTTGTGCGTTTACCGTTCTCGTTTGTGTAGCCAGCACCATCATCGTCAACAATCCACTGATCGTCATCTGCATCAGCCAAGTACTCGTCTAGACTGTCTGGTGAGTGTGCTCGAGGACGTCCATTGACTAAGGGTCGGACTGGCTTTACCCCATTCAAACCATTTTTGATCGGGACAGTGTTTTGAGGCGGTTTCTGTTGTGCCTCGGGCAAGGGTTGCTCTTGCGCGCCTTTCAACAGCTCTACATGTGCTGGGTTCTTCAGAAAGCCTGGCGTAATGTAAACCTCACCCCAAGAATTCGTCCAGCAGAACAGATTCTCTCCCTTGTTGTGCCACTCAACGTGAAGAATCTTCTCGTATGTGTTTTGTTGCAACACCTGACCAGTCACTGTATCCCAGACAATCAAAGAGCCCTCGATTGCCGAAGTCGCTAGTAGCCTGGCATTCGGTGACCAAGAAATCGAGGTCACTGGACTGTTGTGTAGTCCAGCAAACCGTCTGATGATCTTGCCGTCCTCGGCCGACACAATAATGACTTCTCTGGAAGCAGTACCGCACGCAAAGACTTTGCCCTGAGGATGCCAAAAGCACGCCGAAGTCGTATCGTCGACTATCTCGAGCCTCTGTATAATGCCATCTATTGCCTTCACGAATTTCGGTTCCTCCTCTTCAACATTGTACATGTAGATCTTGCCATCCGTACAGGATGCTGCTAGCCATTTTCCTGTCGGATCGTAACTTAGGTGCTTGATTGGCTTGGGTTGACTTCGTAGGACGTGGATTCGTTCAATATCGTGTCTATTCACGACCTTGACTTCAATCTCGTCGCTGCTGGCAGCAATGAACTCTTCATCTGGAGACAGTGCCAGGGCACGAACTGGCAGAGTAAACCGTACAAGAACCTCTTTGAGGTTATTGTTGTGTCCGTCGGCGACAGCGTATTCGCAGACGGAGCCGTCTTCTGCTCCGAGAATTGCATAGTCATTCTACCAGGATCAGCCTCACTCACTTGCCATTACAGAGACCTCTTACTCCACAAGCTACTGCTAGAGTATCATCGTGAACATGATCAATCATGTCAGGTTCTCCATCGTCGTTCGTCTTGAATGAGCGGGCATAGTTGGCACAGCCAGCGACCAGCATGCGCTGGCCATCTGGAGAGAATCTGAGAAATGTCTTTCCTGGAGGTTGAGCGACCCTAGGTGCAATAGGCGGTCTGTCCGGCATTTTGGGTCGTTGTGTACGTGTTGTGACTTAGTGAGCATCTGCTGATTATTCAGACACGATTCTACATCTATCGAAAGTTGGATCGTGTCGAAACGCGTAAAGTCGCGTCCCGTATCTCAAGCGCGTTCTGATTCGGTTCAAAAGGCCCCGAGCAACGAGTAACACTTGATCTTGTTCTGCACTGTTCATGCGACTCAAACATTGTGCGTCAATCTAACAGAGACTATGAAGAAGGCTTTTTGTACGTGATAGAGGGAAAACTCCTACTCGTGTTTTTCTGAGCTATGCTTTCTGTTGTAGCTGTTCGAGAGCAGCTTTCGTTTTGTTAACAGCTTGCGTAGCCTCCTCAAGCATCTGCTGCTCAACTGGATCCCCTGCTACTGCTTCATCAGCTTTCATTTCGACCAACTCCCGCATCCTCTGGGTGACACGTCTAATTACGTCTCTACCTTCTTGGAGGAGTCCTGTCTCCAAGCCTTTCGTTGCTGTTTGCCAGCCAGTCTGCATGCGATACACAGCAAATACTGTCCCCACGGCGAAAATGCTTCCAGCCTCATATATTGTCGGTGCAATTTGTGATACATATGTCAAGGCTGATAGACCAGCAGAAAATCCAGAGATGGAGAACGTCCGCAGAACAAGCTGTTGCGCTGTGCTTGTCAAGCTCGTGATCTGTTCTCGCATGTACCCTGTCCTTGATAAGGAGATTGTGGAAGTTATTGGGATAGATATCGGAGTAGGCCTCATCTCGATGGTCGTTGTGTCGTCCATTGGATCCGACTTTAGCGTTGGTCGTGTTTCTGGGAAGACAATCTCGTTGGCAGGGCCAGTTGTGGCAACGGTTAGTAGTGATGGTGCTGGGTCGATTATCGTGGCACGAGCCGTTTCTGCCTCAAAGGCCGTCTTGTGCTCGGTTTGTGGTACTTCTACTTGAGCCATAGTAGGATTGATGCCCATCTGGGTAAGTCGTCCCGAAATCTCGTAGGTGGCTCGCTCGGTCTTTGGGAGCCATGAGTTCGTGACCAGATCAGAGACGATCAAGCCGACATCATCAACTCGCCAGAAGAGCTTATACCACGATAGCTTGCGCCAGTTACGAGACGACCACGCCGAAGCTAGACCTGACTGGAGCTCTTGGTGAGCCGCTCGTGAAAAGTCGTTGATGGCATTCTCGATTCTCGATCGAGCAGCGCTATCGAGGGCCGAGCCGAAACTTTTCTGCTGTGCTGTCAAAGAGCGTTGCTCGAGACTGACAGTCGCTGCAGTCATCAAGGACCCAATGAGTTTTGTGACGACGAGTGGTGGAACACGATCTAACTCTGCGATGTCATTCTCCAACCACTTGGTTAGAATTGGCATACCAGAGTCTATCCATTCATGCTCGTATATTGTGGCCTGTGAAGTCGACGTCCGTATTGCCTTCAGACCTCTTTCGGCTCGTGCCACATCAGAAAGCAAGACACGAGTCCGCGACTGGGTATTGTTGTTTGGCAAGTCTGCCACGAGTGTGACTGCCTCTCGATCAGCTTGAGATTGAAACCGAGTTGCGCTTAGCAACTCAATGGCAGAAACGAGCTCTTCAAAGTCATTCGCAACCAGCAAGGAACGATGGACAGGCTGGTTCACAGTGACTTGCCGGCCGTCGAAAGCTGTTGGAACACCAACAGCAGGGGCCAGAAAAGCCTCAGCTGGAACTCCTGAACCATTGGTGTGTTCTGAATTGATGGATGTAATTAACAGCTCCACATTCAGTCTCTCCAGTAAAGGAGAGGGAATGTGCAGTATTGGTAGCGTCGTGCGTTGTGGTATGTTCGTGTTATGTGGCTGTCCATATCTTAATAATATCCCATGTGAACCCTGATGCTGTATGGTTTGTTTCTCCCATGTCTGCTCGTCCTCAAGCGCATCTGCTAGTAATAGCCGTACTATGCGCCTTGAGGTGTCCTGCACGTTCAGACCGATTATTGCTACACGGGTAACTGGTCTTTCTGTCTCAAGTCCCTGCAATGCTAGCTGTAACCTGCTCAGATTGACGTGAGCTGAAGCTTTGCTCTTCACTTCGGCAAGAGCTTGGTGAAGAGGTCGATTACGTTCGGGAACAGGTCGCGTTGCATTTATGGCAGTCGAGCTCGATGTAGAAACATACCGATCTGTTCTTACCCGTTTTCGAGGTGTCGACCGTGGGTCAGAAAGACGTAATGTCGAGCATGATGGGCATAAGAATGTTCGTCGTAGCAGCCAGTCGAGCTCCCGCTTCGAAGTCTGTAAATTCATCTTAAGAGTCGCAACTTTAACATGTCGGTCTGATCGTCAGCATCGAGACCACAATATACAATGAGAATGTGTTCCGTGCTGGTGACCTTCGAAGCCTGGCTGGCAGGTCTGAGTCGCATAAACATACAAATCGAGCAAACACGATCGCGACTTGGATAAAAATCGAGTATTTGCAAAGTACGGCCTCGGTCCCAGACCCCTAGTCGTTCAACTTCCAATGTATTTCTCAAGGTAAGTCATTCACCAATCATCGACACAACCATCGCGGACGTAGTCATACGTCTACAATGCCCGTAAAGAGTATTATCCTACTGAGACATGGTCACCGCATAGCATGGACGCTCGACCCTACGACTGGGAAGTATACATCAAATCACCCGTTTCCTACAAGACTACCAGCAGACCCGCCTTTAGCATCTCATGGAGTTGATCAAGCTGTAGAGACTGGTATCTACTTGGCTGAACGACTGCGAGATCTAGCGGCACACGATCGTTTACGAATATACTCAAGCTTATTCTATCGTTGTCTACAGACTCTGGCACCGAGTGTGACAGCATTACAGAAAGTCGCTCCTGAACTAAAGGTTCGTGGTGAGAGAGGATTTGGGGAGTGGTTTGGCCACGCTTGGTTCGAACAACCTATACCAGCAGACTCGTCGCATCTGAAGGAGAAGTTCTTTCCATTCGTGGATGACCAATACAAGTCGAAGATCATTCCAGATAGGTACGGTGAACGAATCTTGGAGATTCACGATCGCATAGCCAAAGCTTTCACTCGAGTAATCAGGGATATTGACCTGGAGTACGAATCACTAGGCCGAGGGTCGGAAGAGGTGACGCTGCTTCTATGTGGTCATGCCGCCCAGATAATATGCTCAGGACGTGTACTGACAGGTAGTATGCCAGGAGATCCAGACGAGGAGGACTTCAAATGCTTCACTTGTGGTATCAGCCAGTTTCAGCGGCGAAAAGTCGACAATGACCAGGATGAGAATGATTGGCGAGGCAGAGGTGTAGCTGGCGGCTGGGACTGCATAACAAACAGCTATTGTGGTCACTTGAGCGGCGGCGAAGAACGAGGCTGGCACTTCCACGGTGACGAAAGCTTCGACTCGTATGCTGCTGGTTTGCGACACGGTCCTATTACTGCTGATGGTACAGTGCACAATGCTAGTCCTACAAAGCTGTGACGGTCTTGGTCGTGAACCCTTAGAGATTTAGAGCATCTTCAATGACACCTTTACACACAAAGTCTCTTTCGTGAAACAATAGACGTTTGCTTGGGACAGTGTGATAGTCACATAGAACCAAGATGACCACGTGGCAGCCTTCTCCATGCATCTCGCTTCTCGGCCCTTTTCTGGGAGTGGCAAGGATCTCATATACTTTGGAGAACCGCAGATCTGCCGCGATCCAGCTCTCTGTCCCCAACCCATCTCTTCATTCTTGCTTGCTTTGATTGACCACGTTGGTTCCAGTCTCAATGTCATGGCTCGGCGGAAGCGTCGAAGCTGCCATGCTACACGGCAGCAGGCTCAACGCTGAGAGGTATGCTGAGCTTCTACCACAGTACATTCGCCAGGCTTCACGGGATCGACCGAAGCTCCATCTACCCGTCTACAGACACGATGGCAATTTCCAGCGGCGACATTTTCATGATTACTTCGTAACCCACCTGCCATCATCCTCATTGCACCCAGACTCGCGGCCAGCAGCAGGAGCCTCCCAGAAGCTCGATCGCAAAGCCTCAACCCCGCACACAGGCGGTAATCGAGCTGTCCCTCCGGCACATTCTACGATCGCAAGAGACACTACAGTAGTGAGAATTCCTCTTAAGAGCGCGAAGCATCACTATGGCGCATGTGTATCAAGAGGAAGCAGGCCTTACAATGAAGACTCCCATCAAGCAGGAGTCATTGAAATGCCGGCTTTCTCCAAACGACCTCCGAAGTCTGTACAGCTGAAACCTGCAGCTGGAGAGGCTCGAGGTGTAGGTACCGCGAAAGGCGATCCACAGGTCTTCTACTTTGGGGTCTTCGATGGGCACGGCGGAGCAGAATGTAGTGGATATCTGAAGGATGAGCTACATGGCTACCTCGAGCGAACAGCCGAGCAGTTCCAGCTTCAGTCAACCTTGCAGAACCGCTCAGGAAAGATAGCTGTAGGTAGTGAAGGAGAAAATGTAAAAAAGGAAGCCAGGAAAGCCCTTGATTCCGTGAACATAGCTCGCAAGGAGGATGTGCCTGAGAAAGTCGCGCAGGGACATCAGGACAGCGAAGAGCCCGCATCTATGGGGAGCGCCGAGCCAGTCTCGCAGGATGCAGATCAGAACAGCATCAGAGAACTGGAAAAAGACTTGGTACAAAACTGGAAGAAGCTTGTTGGTGGCTATTTCCGACGTTTCAAACCTGCCTACTTCTCCATATACGGTTCCAATACCGAGTCCGAGAAAGACCCAAAATCCGACAATACTAGGGAACAGGAAGCCGAAGGTTCTGTGATCGAAGAGGTTGTAACGTATGCTTTTCTGAAAGCCGACTACGATTTTGTGTCAGCCCAGGCTGCTAGGGAAGCAGAATCTCGTGACGCTGTGAAGGCAGAAAAGCCTCTGAACGATGACGATGACCATATACTTGGCTCGCCCGAGGCAAGAGAGCTAAAGAAGCAAAGACACAGGTCATTCAAAGGCGGCAGTACGTGTAGTATTGCTATTGTCTCCACTCCCACTCCGACTCCTTTTTGGAACCCATCGACTTCCTCTTCGATGCTGGTGGCACATGTTGGCGATACCAGAGTACTACTCTGCTCGACGGCTACTGGTGTGGCTGTTCCTTTGACGACAGACCATCATCCTTCTTCGCCTGTTGAGGCGACCCGACTACGACGATATGCAGCCACTTTTGTGACCGACTCGTTTGGAGAAGAACGGATATCAGGACTAGCTAATACAAGAGCATTTGGGGATATTGGATCGAAACGGATAGGAGTCAGCGCCGAACCCGAGATCCGTCGAGTCGAGCTTGGCGCTGCTGAGTATTCTTTTATGGTGCTGGTCTCGGATGGAGTGTCTGGCACACTCGGCGACCAGGAGATCGTTGACATTGTTAAAGAGGCTAAGACACCTGAACAAGCTGCTCGAGACATTGTCAATTTTGCTACAGAAGTCACTACAGAAGGTGATAATGCTACTTGTCTTGTGGTCCGTCTTGGCGGATGGGAGCGGCGCCAAGAGGGCGGATTTGGCAGTATGGGCACCAAGGAGAGTCGCGACTACAAGAGACAGGATGCAATGAACCCGCGCAGCAGTATGAGGTAGTGTAGTTATGATGAATGGTGTACATAGCCTGTATCTAAGATGACTTAATGCTTACTACGTATCGAATTGTCCTTTTGTCTTCTGACCGTCTCAACGCCATGTGCTCGTGCATCCCCACAACGTGCGGCCTGCGGCAGGAGTCGGGGAACACGATCCAGTTTCGACGTTGGGTGCGAACGACACCGTGCAATCACTGATATTGCGCTTCCAACATATCCTATATAACCTCCGCAACGGCCTGACATCAGCAAGCTTTCTAATACAAAAACCCATAGACGTGGTTCGCCCGAACTTTCGTGAAAAGTGATCCTGTCAACCCCATCCAAGGCACCAGCATTATCCTGAATGATCTACGCGGAGCATCAGGATAGGAAGGACCTTGTGACAAAGCAAGACAGGTTCTGCGTTGTTTTGGACATATCTCAGCAGTCACCGTGTTAGTACTCCTCTACTACTGCCACGATCAACGTTCATTCAGGTGGTGCTATTTTACAACAAATCAGAATATTGCACTGCACAACACGTCCAAAGCATGGCGGAAGGTCAACAGCCCAATGGGCATGCGACAAAAGGACGGCGTATGAGCGAGGTCGTGCTGGAAAAGTTGGATGAGCACTTCCAGCAAGAAGAAAACATATTTCTATTCCTGCCAAACATTATCGGTAAGCAATTCGAATCATGCTAGCTGTACACAATCTGATAGTGTCAGGATACTCCCGCATCGTTCTGGCGTTAGCCTCTCTCTACTACATGCCTCTACACCCGAGAACATGCTCCTTACTGTACAGTATATCGTGCATACTGGACGCGCTGGACGGATATGCTGCAAGAAGATACAACCAGTCTACCACCTTCGGTGCTGTGCTCGATATGGTCACGGATAGATGCACGACTTCTTGTCTGCTCGTCTTTCTGGCGTCAGCTTTTCCGAGATGGAGCATTGTTTTCCAGGGCTTGATTAGCTTGGATCTGGCAAGCCATTACATTCACATGTATGCTTCTCTAAGCATGGGTGGAAGCGGCCAAAGTCATAAAAAGGTGGACGAAAGCAGGAGCAAGATTCTGCATCTATACTACACCAACAGGGTGAGTTCCTGCGCTTTATACCCAGCTAATTCTACTCTAACATCATTTGCAACAGACTGTCCTGTTCTTGTTCTGCGCTCTCAACGAACTCTTCTTCATTGCCCTCTACCTGCTCTCATTTTCCTCACCACTCCTTTCGCCCTCACTACTTGTTTCGGCAGACCCAGCCAACCCATCCTCCACCATCAACGCAGCGACCCCATCCCAACCTATCAACCCAGCACACCCCAAGCCTTCTTTGCTGTTTACGAATCCATGGTCAGCTGGAGCGATGGAGATGGCAAGAGCGAACAAGATGGATAGTACAGTACCATGGATCCTTGCTGGGATTAGCGTTGTTCCCATGTTAGGAAAGCAGGCTATCAATGTGATTCAGTTAGTTAAAGCAAGCAAGTGGTTAGGAGAGGGCGATGTGGCTGCGAGGCGGAAGGCAGGTATTACTGCTGGAGTAAGAAAGAACAGGTAAAAGTAAGGTATTTATTTTGAGGAGTAGTGTAACACCAATTCATATGATGCAAATCAAATTGGGCGGCAATAACTCAGAGCCATTTCACAGGTCTGCCGGTAAGCCTGTCTCTCAGAACAGAGCATCGTGGCCCTCAATCGGAGCGCCCTTCCCACCTAGACAAACATTGCGGTTGTCAAGCACAACCTGGACACCTGCCCCACGAGTATCTCAACCATTTTGAACCTTGATCTGCAAAACTTCAAGTGTCGGCCGATCAACTCTTACGGTCAGATACAAATCGTTGTTGGGCATTCTCTTGTACATTCTTTTACCAATATGGCTATAAATCCAGCTACATTTCCAACAACCACTGTCCACAGCGAAGTCATAGCAACATTTACAAGAAGTCCTACTCAAGCCACGGTCTTGCGAGCAGTCAATGTCGATCCAGCACTGGTTGAGGGATTTGTGAGCCGGTTTCCTCCTGCTGGCACGTCTCCAGAGCTTAGAAAATGCGTCACCAATGGCTTTCGCGCATACGAGATTGGAGCCGATCCTGCTTGTGGCGTCCTCCTCAAGGTTCGGGAAGACCTCGACCTAGAAACAGCTCGTGATTACTTTGCTTCCCTTATACTGAACGATATTAAGGAATCGCCAGCCATGTTACCCGTCGTTAGCGAAGATTCTGTGTCCTAGGAGATCACTGAACTCTTTGAAGAACATCTATTGTACGATGCCCACGAAAAGAGGGCCTGGAAAGAGAGTGGCCTTGAGCTATTCAGGAGCCAGGTTGAACACTTCACAAGTCGTCGTGTCCCTGTTCAGTTCGCTCTGCCAGCCTTTCCCTGCAAGACCACAAATCCAGAAAAAGCGTTTTCTGCACTTCCTGATGGTGCCGAATATGAGGCTCTAGCAAATCTGCGATCGTTTTGTGAACGCGTCTCTGAGGTTTACGAACCTGGCTGCTATATCAATATCGTCTCTGATGGTCATGTCTTCTCTGATTGTCAAGGCACTGACGACGACGTGGTACATACCTACAATGCAGGTCTCAAGACTATGCTAGCTCAGATCTGCTCCGAGTCACACAGCTCCCATCCAGGAATCAAATTCTACGATCTCAGCCAATTACTGTTACCTAATGTACCTGCCTCGACAAGGGCTGCTCAGGTACCTAGGAAGTGTGTCGTCCATCCTGTGCCAACTTACACATCGCGAGATGACGATAATTGTCGAGAGTTGATGATAGCTGTTTGGAGCCCTCCAGGGGTCTACTATCGGGACCTCATTCGATCGCAGCCAGATCATCCGATTACAGCACTATATAGAGGCTTCTCCAGGTTCATGTTCGAGGATCTGGCATACATTGCAGACTACCGCACTGCGTCAAAAAATCAACGTAAGAGGGTGGCCGAGTCCGTGGCATTCACGATGATCCAGCGAAATCAAACATACTCTCGCATGGTGGAGAGTGTCTTTCCGATGCACGTACGTCTGAGTATTCATGCTCATGATAATGCTGGGCCAAAATTCGCAGTACGAGTTATGCCGCCGCATATCAAGACTGCAAAGGACGTCACCACACTCTTGAACGCTGCAAATGATCATGGTATGGACAATGATCGTGAAGCTCGACATACAGGCCACATCCCGACGCCTTGGCACAACGCTCTGGTAGAGGTAATCTCGGACGATTCTGAAAAGCGTCATGTGTTTCTGTGTAAAGCAAAACTGGCAAATGACTTATTACAGTATGGCTATGAAGGTGCCTGGGACGCTGAACATGCTCGGGGTGCTAGATTTGTGTTCAAGATCAATTCGGGTATTCAGAATGCTGAATAATGGTATAGGCCACCGTAGTACGGTATTACTTTTATCTATGGAAAAATAGTTTTTAATGTCATACACGGTCACAACTTGAAATCAGCCGCCATCATCCTCACCTTCAGTACCTCGGGTCAAGTATTAATGTTGCAAGAGCTCGTAAGGGGAACTGACCAATTGCCATTCGATTTTCAAGTTCGCATCCTCTATATCGCTCATGTTTCCCTCGAAAAATGTGCTCTGGGGACCTGTGCCTACATTAAGTGCAGCTTAGCTCTTAAATAAAGCCAAACAGGTAATGGTAGCCTCAGCAGGTCCTCACAGGATACACTATAAGTACATCCATATTTCCACTGTTCTGATCTATCCTTCAGTCTGCTACCAGCATAGTAAGAGCATATAACCAAATCATAACACAGCTACTTCGCACAACTTACCACAACTTCTCATAACTTGACATAACTTCCAGCTACTACTCATACGAACTTGTACACTACAGTCACACTACTCTCACATCCTTATTACACCACACTCAAACCACGATTACATACTCAAATACACCTCACATAACAATTACTATCCCAATATCAAACCATCATGCCTTTCACAACCCCACCCAAAAACTACTTCCTAATCCTCTTTCCTGGCTACCAACTCCTGGACGCCGCCGGACCCCTCGACATCATCGAGACAATCACCAAGCACCCGCCCATCAACGGCCTCGACACAGACGTCACACTCACCGTCCTCGCGGAGACGCTTTCCCCGCCTCCGACCGCGCCAATCCCTCCGCGGGGCGCTAGCTATACATTTGACCTGAGCGGGCCGGAGATGCAGACGTTCTTGAGGACGGATGGCAGTGGTGGTGTGAGGGGGGCGCGGTGTAATCCGCGCTTTGCTGTGGATTTGACGTTTGAGCAGGCGTTGGACGGGTTAAGACGCGATGGGAGTGTGGAAGTTGAGGTTCCGAGCGCGGATGGGAGTGGAGAGTGGGTTGTTGAGAAGAGGGGTGTGGATGTATTGCTTGTTCCTGGAGGGGTTGGGACGAGGATGGAAAGGGTTGAGAGGGGGAGTGGGGAGAGGATGTTGAATGTCAAGCCTAGTGTGAGCTTTGTGGAGGAGGTGTGTCGAGGTGGTTGGGTAAGAGACGCAGTGTTGACTGTGTGTACGGGGAGTGATTTGTTTGCAAGGACTGGGCTGTTGAATGGACGAAGGGCGACGACAAATTGGAATGCGTTCGATAAGGTTGCGGGGCGGCATAGTGGTGTGAAGTGGTTGAAGGGACGGAGGTGGGTTAGGAGTAAGCCTGAGGAGATGGGGGGCAAAGATGGGAATGAGAAGGAAGGGTTTGAGAAGGAGATTTGGACTAGTGCTGGAATCAGTGCTGGTATGGATCTGATGTTGTGGTTCGTTGCGGAGGTTTATGGATACGATTTTGCCAAATCGCTTGCGAGGAAGTTGGAATATGAGTGGAGGGATAATATTGGGGATGGGGAGACTGATCCTTTCTATACTCAAGAAGATAGCAAGCATTGAGAACTGATACAAGTCATTACGCGCCATTCTAAGCTATCTATTCTCTACACTCCTGCCTGGGTAATGTTCTGATCTGTCCGCCGCCTCTGCCAGTCTTGAAACCTTTGTTGTGCGGTGTGCTTCAATAACAAAGTCGTTGTGGGGGTTGAGAGATGGACAGGCTGATTGATAATAGGCAGTTGTAATCTTTCGCTAGAGTACAGTCATGAATTATCCGAGTTGAGAAAGCCTAAAAAAGGATACGGGGTACTTGAGGGAAGGCACGTGACGATATACTGCAGATTTGCGACTTTGTGTGGTGCAGTGTCGCTGCCGATGCTCAGCCATAATCAGTATCGAGCTAAGTATCTGCAAGCGCTCTCAGAAAGGTCGACACCTTTCCTGGCAAAGTTCATGTTTACCGATAAATCGTCCACTCAATGTCGTCAATGCCTGAGTACCGAGTTCCTTTGTTGATGACCTAGCTTGTTTTGCCTAGCCCAAGCGCTTTCTATCGAACAAGTGGCAGACGCTTTGCATGGAAATCCTGCAAATCGGCAATATCGTGTGATCTCGGCCTACTTCGGGCAAGCTTCTCTCAAAGACTAGTTGATGGGTCTGCCTTGACGGAAGAGCTGTACTATGTGTAGCTGACGACCTGGATTCGTGTTTTCGACCATTAAGACCATATGGACCTCACAGCGATGTCCTCGTCAGCCTCCCAAGCAGCAGCGAACGCTCTAGGAACACTAGGAGCCATCTGCTGGAGCGTCCAACTCATCCCACAGATATGGCAGAACTATAGAAGACAACACACCCACGGCCTACAGCCGACCATGATGCTTCTCTGGGCATCGGCCGGAATACCCTTAGGCATCTACAACATCACACGCTCTTTCCCCGTTGCACTACAGATCCAACCACAACTCCTCACCTTTTTGAGCCTTCTTACCTGGGCACAGACGCAGTACTACCCACCGGCACGAGATAAGACGAAGCGGAGTATCACATGGTGTGCTGCCGTGCTTGCTTTATCTTGCGCACTGGCTGGCGGAATTGAGGCAGGTGTCATTTTTGCGCTGCGGACTGCGACGCGGCGTAGGACTGAATCTCAGATCGAGTATTACTGGCCCGTAGTCCTGATGGGTGCCCTAAGTGCTTTCCTACTCTGTGCCGGAGTGGCGAGGCACTATGTCGATATCTGGAAAGAGCGAACTGTGAGAGGGATTAGTTTCTTGTTCGTCGCAATTGATGCGATGGGCGACTTGACGAGTTTGGTCAGTGTGGTATTTTGGTGGAAGGCTGGTAGGAGCTTGGATGTCCTTGGCCTTGTTGTCTATGGCAGTGAGCTGTTGCTATGGATAGGGGTTATGGCTTGTGGGGTGTGGTATAATTTTAGGCCTTGGGCGAAGAGTAAGTGGAAAAGCAATGGAGATCGAGGACAAGCAGAAACACCTGAAGTTGCCACTGAACCTACAAGGGGTGCTTCAGGATCAATGCAAGGTCCGACGAGATCCAGCAGTCTAGCGAGGAGTCTTGCTAGCAGTCGTGCCAGCTACGCTTCTGGTACAGTTTTTCGTACAGCTTCCGGACGTTCTTTTGTTGTTGGAGCGAATCCAGTGAACGCAAACGACGGTTCGGCGAGCCACGATGCAATGCGATTGCGAAGCATTGTACAAGTCTAGCCGTGCAGCGACTGCTATGGATGTACCTGAACACCTGAACACTCGAACAATTTGATTAACTCGCCTTTCTACCCCAACCGACATTCATTTTGTGAATTGCATGGACTTTTGAGTTGCATAAATCCTGTCGAACGTTGGCACATAGCACATACACCTCCTCTGCGCTCCAGCCCAGGACACTTGTCAATAAGCGCAATGTCCAGTTTTCCAGCCCAGTATCGATATGAGCATACGCGAGGCGGCCCAATTTTTTCAGCTCCTTCCGCTTAGGCCAAGTACCTATAGGCCATTTAAAGCCATGCTGTTCAACGTCAGAGAAGCCTGACGCCCTCAGATTGTCTGCCGTTTTCTCCAGGACTTGCAATTCGGTTTTGAGCACTTCATGACATTCTGGTCCTACCGCATTCCAGGCAGCGACGCCCCCATCTGAAGGGACCGAGTCGTCATCTGTTGTGAATTGTGCTGAGTACTCCGCATGTTCTATATAACCTCCTGGCTTGAGGACGCGCAAACACTGCCTGTATAGCCGTGGCCAGTTCCGGATCGTACCGTGGAGTCCACGAATATGGATATAGTCGAAGTGATTGTCCGACCAGCAAAAGTCCTCCTCCATATCATCGACCATGAACTTGCAATTAGGCGGTACCCAGTTTGGTTGGATTGGCGAAAGGTCGGTACCAACAACAATAGCAGAAGGATATTCTTCTGCCATATCTATTGCCCAGATGCCTGTGCCCTGAGAAGATCAGTAAGAGAACACCATTTGTATTGTGCTTTTGATTCGCAGGATTAGGAGACATACAGTGCCAAGGTCGAGGATTTGCTGTGGATATGGGTCAATAGGTGCGAGGAAAAGCTTGTCGTTGAAAGTCTGCGTGTAAAGTGCGTGACAGATATCCATGTGACACTTTGCATCTTCATCGTTCGCACCATAATAAGCACCGTCTTTGTAACTGTGATAAGTCCGGCCATTCTCCTCTCTATACTCGGCCACCCAGCTGCAGAGTGACGTCGAATCAGTTTTGAGACTCCCAGCATCAAGCGAATCAACGTCGTCGTCGTCATCCTGTACCGCTATACCGTCATGTTCTTCAGGAAAGAGATCCATGTCGACAGATCCTAATCGTTGTGACTGTAGTTGAGGGCTGCTGGAATGACTGGATGCTGCTTCGAATACCGTACCTAATGTGAAGACAAGAGAGGATGATGAGAGCACGCTTCTCCCACGCCCACCATATATAGCTCAAGGTGAGTAAAAACTCAATATCGCCCTCAATCGGAATGAGGAATCTCTCTCATCGAAGACTGTGTGGCCTTCGCTTATGGTTTGTTAGCGTAAAGACCCATACCTGCTGAGGAATACAAGCGACGGCGAACGAGAATGGTATCGAACAGATGAAATCCATAGCCAGCATAATAACTTCGACACTTGGTCCCGTTGGTTGAGCCATCAGGATGCAGATCCATGGCGCGTTCTCAAGCACTGGTAAGCGAGAAACGCTAGTCCATATCCTTAGCCTGAAGAGATTGAGGGGATGGAGACGCGCCAAATGAGCAGAGTTGCAAACTCCAGTCCTTGACTACTTTTCTGCCTCCAGTGTATCTGAGCAGTCTTGAATGCTACTTATTTCCGTCTTCACTTGACAAGAACATTACAGCTTGGAATGGCAGTGTATGGAAAACGTCTGGGGTGTCGGCTAGTGCTGTTCGCAAACAGTTTTTTCGCGTAGATTTTACCAGGGCGCGCTTAATCTTTCTTCCTGCATTAGACTGATGCATGCAGCACGTTAGGCTTGAGCAATGTAGCAGACGCGATCATGCCCACCATGACATTCAGCACGAACTATCATGACGCCCTTCAGGTAATGCAGAAGACGCGACAACAACACCGTTTGCCATATCGGAAAGAAGATCCGTCGACTATTGATTGCAACGATGACTGAGACGACTACAACGCCATGGCCACGAGAAGGTTATCGAGCTGAATGGCTTGCCGTATGCTGAACGACCAGTGACAGATATCATCTAACTAATCCGAATCAGCTCGAGGATGCTTCGGGGGGTAGGTATTTCATGAAGGGTGATCTTGCTGCAGATCGAGCGGTCTACGACGCCGTTTTTGCTGGTATATCAACGCAGTGGCCACAATATACGGAAAACTTGGATGTTTGTATGTTTTCAGCGACTGGCCGAACCGAGTAAGTTTTGTGATACGACAATGTGACTGACATCCATATGCAAGGGAATGAGAAGATGAGTGTGCCGTACACTGACAATGACGTTCGAATATACAAGCCGAAGTCAATCGATACCAACAGTCCACTGCCACTTATGATATTCTTTCATGGTGGGGGTTACATGGCTGGTACGCTCGACACAGAAGATGCTCAATGCCGCTTCTTCGCGACCAAAACACCATGTCTAGTCGTAAGCGTCAATTACGAGAAGGTGCCGAAGGTCAAGCTAGACGATATAATCGCAACAGGCGTCGCCGCGGTTCCTTGGTGTAAAGCAAAAGCGCGAGAGCTTGGAGCTGATCCCGCTAAGACTGTACTTAACGGTGGCAGTGCTGGTGCATTCCTAAGCGCACAGGTTGCATATCATTACATGTCTCAAGGTGACTACGAATCGATTAGCGGCTTGATTCTCCTCTTCGCCGTAGCCTTTCCATACACTTATGGTGAGAACGGAAAATACAAAGACAAATTTACCGCATGGGCAGAGAATGGAAACGCACAAGTACCGATCATATCACGGCCACTGGCAGAGTATATCTGGTCGCACTATCACGCCGACTTCAACAGTCCCAGGCACTTTCCTGGTTTAGCGAGAGACTTGTCGAAATTTCCACCCTCGTATATTGTCGCTGCCGAGAAAGATTGTTTCAGAGACGATGGAATATTGCTAAATCAGCTCCTGCAGGAAAGTGGCGTGCCGACGAAGCTGGATTACTATGAAGGTCTGCCACATTACTTCCACGGTATATTTCATTCACTGGCTGTCTCTAGTCGAGTTTACACTAACCACTCATTTGCCAGTCTTTCCAGCGCTCAATGCTGCTCACGAGATGATGGATAAGGCAATAGAAGGGGTTCGTTTTGTACTGAAGTAGCGCCGTGGCTGGACGGCAGTAAACTCTGTTTCAAGAAAGACAAGGCATATATTCGGCAGGTGCAAGAGAAGAGAGATTCTCATAAAAACAACTGCTCCAATGCGTTTGATACGATCCCTCGTGATTTGTTACATAACGGTATTCTTGATCCGTCGTAGTTTCTTATCGCTTTTGCTGTTGCCGTAAACTATGTCTTGGATTTTAGACTCAATGGATCACTAGTTGAGGAGAGGCAGGTTCTACGGCAGGTTGCGAGCACTGCATATGCAGGATACCAGGCTAACGAGGGTTATCTTTAAACCCCGTTATCGCCGATGGACCAAAATTTCCAGAGAGAAAAGTATCGCAATGGGCGCGAACATTTAGTATGTTCAGTTGTCAAACCACCAATTGGACGTCCTAGTGTACCAGAAATTCAGGCAAGATGGGTGTTGGTAACCGAATGAAGAAACAGGGTATGCCTATGTCTCTTGCAGAGCTGGGTATTGATCGGAAGAGGAAGAGCGAAAAGCCACAGAGAAGCTCTTCGGCGAAGAAAAGAAGGACGTCAGACGAAGAGCCTGAACCAACAAAATTGGTCAAACTCGACAGAGCTTTGCGACAAGAGCGAGAAGCAAAACTGGTAACGAAACAGCGAAAACAGAAGCAGAGACTTGTCAATCCAGATGCGCAGATCACAGTTCCACCAGTATTTCCTACGACAACCGAGGACGATGTCGAAGATGAGGCAGATGACATTGAAGAGATGATTGTGGATGAGGATGACCCAGAGATTAGAGAAGCAAGCCTCTCAGAAGATCAATTGGAAGAGCTGGCGCAGGCTGAAGAGGCAGAGGAAAGTGATTCAGTCTTTAATACAGATGAGGAAGAACAACAGCCGAAAGGCATGTTCTCCGAAGATGAAGATTCGGACGCACTCGAGACACTGAACGCTGCCAATATAGAAGGTCTTTCTCGCAAGTTGGACCAAGAGCAAGCACAAGTCGAAGCAGAGGCAGAACAAGAGTTGCAAGACGACGCCTTACAGACAAATATTGCAGAAGACGGCCTGCTTGATGACGAAGACCAGATGAACATGCTTGCCCCCGACCTCAAGCTTATACATTCTCGAATTACGGAGACAGTACGTGTGCTCACAAACTTCAGCAAAACAGCAGACAAGACAAGATCGCGTGCCGAATATACGCAGCAGCTACTCAAGGATATTTGCATATACTACGGTTACACGCCTTATCTTGCAGAAAAGCTCTTCGATCTCTTCAGCCCGGACGAAGCCTTTGCATTCTTCGAAGCCAATGAAACGCCACGTCCGGTAGTGATACGAACGAATACTCTGCGAACCAACCGTCGAACCTTAGCTCAAGCTCTCATCAATCGTGGCGTTCAGCTTCAACCAGTGGGGAAATGGTCAAAAGTCGGACTTCAGATTTTCGAATCTACTGTCCCCTTAGGTGCTACACCGGAATATCTAGCAGGACACTATATTCTACAAGCCGCTTCCTCTTTCCTTCCGGTCATGGCTCTCGCACCACAAGAGAACGAGCGCATCCTCGATATGGCAGCTGCGCCAGGTGGAAAGACAACGTACATCAGTGCCCTGATGCGGAATACTGGCTCAGTCTTCGCCAACGATGCGAACAGAGCTCGAGCAAAAGGTCTCATTGGTAATATACACAGACTCGGGTGTAAGAATGTGATAGTCTGCAACTACGAAGCCCAGAAAGCTTTTCCGAAAATCCTGGCAGGTTTCGACCGAATTCTCCTTGATGCACCATGTTCAGGAACTGGCGTTATTGGCAAGGATCCTAGTGTCAAAACATCGAAGAATGAGCGTGATTTTTTGGCGCTTCCACATATGCAGAAACAGCTGTTACTCTCAGCAATTGACTCAGTCGATCATCACAGCAAGACTGGTGGCTACATTGTCTACTCGACATGCAGTGTTACAGTGGAGGAGAATGAGCAAGTCGTGCAATACGTATTGCGCAAGCGACCGAATGTACACATCGTCGATACAGGTCTCGGAAGTTTCGGCACTCCAGGATTTACAGCATATCAAGGCAAGAGATTCGATGATAAAATGAACTTAACACGACGGTACTTCCCACATCGAGAGAATGTGGATGGTTTCTTCGTCTGTAAACTGAAGAAGACTGGTCCTTCCCCAACGGGTGCTGCCGCAGCAGGTCAGATAAATGGTACAGCAGAAGCGGATAGCGTCAAGCTCCCGATCGTCAACGGCAAGAAAGCTACTACGTCGACCAATGGCAAAGCAACATCTGATGAAGATGCCATGGAGGTTGCACCAGATGATGAGTTTGGTGGGTTTGATGATGAGGCAGATCAGGCTCTCATAGACAAGGCGCAAAAGAAGTGGTTGAAGGCGCGAGGACTCGATCCTAATATGGCGGATGGCAAGAGCAAGAGCAAGTCTGCTACACAACCGGAGGTCAATGGCAAAGTGAGCGAGGTCAAGGCTCAAGTTGTCTCTGCTGGCAAAGAAACGCAAAAGCTGAGCAAGGTCAAATCGAAGCAGAAGCAGAAAAAGTAGTTGTGCTTCGACTCATACATACCACTCGATGAGCATTCACAGATTCTCAAAATCTGCATGACATTGTGTTCAGCTCTTATCCGTTGCTCCATCTGTCTAAGAGATAACCACCAATCTGGAGAAGGAGTTTGTTGTAAGGAGCACCAATCACACCTCTAACACACTATACCCTCTGATGTGCGTTCCAGGTAGACGTGATAACCACTACATCCATCTTCCGAGCACTTCTATCCGATCTCTCAGAAGACTCTTTGACGTGCCGATGATAAGACCTTGCAAATGTCCTGGTCCAATGCCATAACACAACACTTCCTGACCATTAGGTGTTCGTTTGTGATAATGCCACAGTTCCCTGCTTACCTCCCAGGCATCTTGTCATAGGCCCATCCACTACAGAGTCGATCAGGGAGGTTCAATATCGTCTTGTCTGACTCGGCCAGCAGTATCTGATCTGGCCGCTGTGCCAGCATATCGTACTAACTATTGCTCAACCGATTCGTCTGTCTGCACGTCGTCCTCACTCGAGCCTTAGATCTGACTTTCCTCATCCGCCCAAGCAAGACGGAAGAGCATCGCAGCCCCTCCACCCCTCCGCGCAGCAGGTCCAAGACCCAGGTTCAGCCCAGCTCGACCAGACCTCCGACATGGAGAGAGAGATTGGCTGGAGTTGATGTTTCCCGAATCCTCCACTGTGTGGTAGTTGAGAGGGCAATGTAAGCAGTCTCGATCAGATCGGGATAAAATGTTCCTTTTTATACGTACTCGCGGTTCGGTAGTGGCTGTAGGTCTGCCATCGTGTGTGGACTAGGAAGGCGCTGTGAAACCACTCAGGCTATATGTTTGCGAATTTTAGTCTTCTCATCCGAGTCTTTGATCAATCGAGTATGACACCTGGCTCTGAGACGAGCGTGAAGGAGGTTCATTGAACTTAGAAGCCTGTTTCTGGAAGGGACTAGCTCGGGTTAGTAGTAGGTGAGTGGTTAGTGAGGGTGGAGAGGGTGGTGCTTGAGTTGGTAATCATGGAAGTCTACTGGTAGGGAGCATATAGCGCTGTAGATTGCAAATCATGCGCTATCTCAGCTTTGTGTGAATTTAAGCTGAATGTAAGCTGAACACGACATGAACAGGGTCCCTGCCATTTGACTCATCCTTTGCGTCCTTCATAGCATTCGAACTGTTCGCAAACTGAAGATACACTATGGGTTGCCCATCAACCAGGATATAACTTTTAGTCACATCTATACGAGTCGTATATCGACAATGCTCTGGGCAAGTCCTTTGCTTGATTTTCAAATACACCTCAGCGAGAAAGGAAGATGTGTCCTAACATTCCATTCTGCTGAACCATTAATACAAGCTGGCAGCAGCTAGAAAGTTCTGACCGGCCATGAAACAGAATTTCAGGATTCCACCACATAGCCCAGGGTATTGGCAACAGTATTTTCGCATTCTTCTCGCTGCTTATGTCGCGGGCACTTCTGTCCCATGCTCGATCTTCAACGAGAAGTCAACGTGTGGCACACCTTGATGTACTGAACTCGTAGAAATAATGTCAATATCGTTGCAGATGTAGCCTCTGACATTATCCTCCGTCAGACCTCCTGAACTCTCGATCAGAAACTCTCTCGTGCCTTTCCACCTGTCTCTCAGGCTCTTTGCTGCGACTCTTATGCCGTCACCCGTGAAGTTATCAAGCATTACTACATCGGCACCGGCCGCAATAGCCTCGTCCGCCTCCTCTTCCGTCTGACATTCGACCTCGACTTTCAGCGCGAAGCCACCCACGCTCTTCGCAGCCTTGACGGCGGCCGTTATCGATCCTTTGGCCCAGATATGGTTGTCCTTCAACATAATCATACTGCTTAGATCATGTCTGTGGCCATCTATACCTCCTACAAGCATGCCATATTTCTCCACTAGCCTGAAGCCAGGTGTTGTTTTCCTTGTACCAGCAAGAATGCCTGTATAGCCATTCTGCCTTACCAGATCCAACACCCGTTTCGACTTGGTTGCAACACCGCTACAACGCGCCAGTGTGTTCAGCGCCACCCGCTCCCCAAGTAATAGTTTCCTCGTCGGACCTCGTACAGTTGCGACTTTTATCTTCTTGTCTTGTGCTTCTATGTAATCTCCTTCTTTGGCGTGCCAGGAGACGGTGCAGTCCAGCTGGCGGAATATTTCGTCCACGAAAGGTACACCAGCGAGGACACCGGGGGATTTACAAAGGAGCTGAGCTGTACGTGGAGCGGATCCGACTACGAAGCCGCCGTAGTCGAAGGAAGGTGTGTCTTCAGCAAGCCAGGAGGTTATGAGGGTGGTCCAATGGGAAGGTAGTAAGTCTGAGAGACTGCCATGGTGAGCTGCAGAGGTAGGAGTAGGTACATTTTCGTTTGGGTTAGACATTTTCGACGAGCTTTCGGAAAGAATCACAGACTTGTTGTATTACTATCTGGAGATGCGGTGTTCTTCCACACACTTTTTCGTGCATGCCGAATTGACCTGGGTTGTGACGCAGTAGGGCCAGGTCCGGGTGCGGGGTGTGGGGTGCGGAACTAGGCGTGGAGCTAACTCGACAGAGGCACGACAGTTCCTGTACATATCGTTCTACGTTGTCGTTTCTCACGAGGCCTTGTTCTGCTCAGCATTCCCATAAATGCTCATCTAGAGCTTCATTCCTGAGATGCTGCAACATCCATATACCTCTTCAGATCATCAAGAACACTCCGTACGAACCTACGCTCCACTATCTCTATAGTAGAGTTCTCCGTTGTGTTGAAGCCAAAAGCACCTGGTTGCCAGCTAGCACATATGACTAGATCACCACCTTTGACACTCACTACACTCAAGAAAAGAGGTGAGCCAGCCGCTTCAGCAGATTGACCAAAGAACATCTTCTCCACGACTATGGCGGGTGTTCCTCCAGATGCACTTCGATTCCCAAACGACAACAGGTTGCTCATTTCCCAGCTGACATCTCGTGGTTTGTTGAGCTGGCTAGCCATCCAAGCGTCGATATCTGATATCCAACTTAGAAGAGCAATCGGCTGGTTCCGAAGCAACGAAACAGACCTGTGCAGCTGAGTAGTGTCAGCGCGAGACTTGGACCACATGTGCTCGGTAATTTTGACTTCGCTCTCTGGATTCAGACTACGATCAATGTCATGTCGCGAGTAAGCAGTAGAACTGAAGATGCCGATCGTCTCGTCCGGAACATCGACCAGCCTGCGGAGATTGGTTGGTGTTGAGGCCACGAAATTGTTTTGACTAGCATCAAGAACAAGCTGGGACGACAAATGACGATTGAAGCATTGAGCGACAATCTCATGGAGAAGAGATGTAAGTTTAGCGTCGTGCTTTCTGCATGTCTCGAGAACTGCGGTCACCGTGTTGTCACTGATTGATAGGACTTCGGCGGCTGTCGTGACGGGTACTCCCTCGGAAGAGGCAGAACTCAGAAACGTCTTCTTTCCTGACCAAGTAGCTTCGTCAGATCCGCTTACACTCGCCTTTATGCCAAGCCAGTCAGCGACGAAACGTGGCAGATAGTGCCCAAGGGCTGGTCCTAGAAGATAGGAGAGTGTCAACGGAAGATGTGGTAGTCCTGGCAGATCAGCGTGAGCCGTGTTGGAGATGGGATTCGTGTCTTCAGGTGGCTGCGCACCGAGCTGATGAAACGCTTCCAGAAAAGTCTTCTGGAAGACCATTCCTGACATGCCATCGCCTATGGTATGCCCGTACGTGAACGAGATAAACACTCTTTTTTGGTGAGCAGATTCCTGCAAGGGCAATACGTCGAGGCGCCAATGTGGTAGAACCTCAGCCGTGTCGAAGAAGGTGAGTGCCGGATCGTTGCAAAGGTGCTCAATAACACGACCGATGAGCGTATCCTCAGTGGCTGTGTTGGACGCGCTCAGCTCAGCGTCAATGACGTGAAAGTGATCGCGAAGGTCAACGGCATCAGCTCGAGCATAGACGCTCTGACCTTTGGCATTTCTCCTTACAACAATAGAAAGAAATGGGTGCTGCAGCAAGCATGCTTTCAGTACTGGTAGATACGTCTCAAGCTTGGACAACTGTGAGTCTGCAACAGTGACAGGGATACTATATATGCCAGCTACCAGAAGGTTGTTATAGAACCGGTGAACATGTCTAGAGATGAGTCTTTGCTCGCTTGGACCTGTATTACGATAAGGACCATGCTCATCATGAGCCTTCATGGAGAGTCTTACATGGTGCTCTAACCAGCGTATAGGTGGTTCCTTCTGTCATGGGGATAGACAATCGAGTTCTCATTGAGCAAGCATCGCACAATTTCCAGCGTCGACGACATCCGCTCCGTGACTTAATGCACCAGCGAAATGGTCGCTGCCTGGAGCTAGATTACTAATTCGGCACATCTTAAAACTTCTTACAACAACTTCAAACATGCCGAGTTTATGCAGCGCTAACGACAGTAACAGCATCCTCTTACACAAAAGTCGTATCCGGATACTGAATCTAAGACCTCGAACGCAGGGGCAGTGTTCCGGAAGGCATTGAGTCGATGAACCAGCCACCCACTTTTTGCCCAGCCACAAGAAGGAGTGGCCGGGCGCACTTGCACTAATTGGCTGTGCCCGCCTCAACATGCCCATTGGCTCGCTTCCGTTAGCGTCGCATGGTTGCGCATTTGAGTCTGAGCTTATCAAAAGTTCGGATTCCAGCCACTTGCGACTCTTTCCAAGTTCGTCGTCTTCTTCCGGTATGCATGCGATTTCGAAGAAGGCTTTTTGACGCCAGCCATTCGTTTTCACAATTCAACATGGGTAAAATCCTTCCATATGTCAACCACTTGTCTCATGTTGTGCTTCATTACTCATTCATCTCACAGTCGTGCTCACAGGATCAGGAACTGAACAGAAGACTTGCATCCAGAGATCGCCAATAACAATCATTTTTCCTTTATTTGCAGATTGAGGCCGCACCAAAGTCAACATGAAATTCGCTACATCATCCTGCATCTGCGTATTTAGTCTCTTGTCAAGTGTTACGCAGGCGATACCTCTATTATGGTCAGCAAAGGCGCTTGCAGTTCGAGCACCTCAACCACAATCATACTCGGTTGTCGCTGTGGACGGCGGCAGCTCAACGCCATCAGCAGCACCAACAGAGACCAAGACTGTTACCAATGCTGTGACAGAAGTTCACACAGCCACGATATTGTCAACGATTCCAGCTAGTCCTTCGAACTCAATCATGACAATAGTCGATTCACAGACCGTCACAATGACACAAGCACAAGCACCAGCGACAGTGACGGCCGAGCCTTCAGTCACATCTGCGGCTTTTGACAACGGACAATGGCACACGACCTACTACTTTAGAAGCACGATATCCTCTGTTTCAAGCCAAAACGCTGTTGTGTCGACACCTGTACCCACCACGAGCATTGATGTCGGCCAGTGGGCTTATTGGAGTGAGCGGGACGGCAACAGCGCGGCGCAATAAGACAAAATTTACGACAATTAATACGGGAAGCGATCTACGGGTGGAAGCTACTGTCGACTTCGCCCCTAGCGTAATAGGTATTCTCGGTATTCGCAAATAATGATGTATGAACAAGATAAGGGTCGAGCACAACATGGTTCCCCAGGGTCTGAATTCAGCGAGGAGTTGGTGGTCATGATCTAGATAACACAAAGATTTCATAGACAATTGCAGAATGCATTACTTGTAAGAATACCAGCTTATTGTCGCGTTACCCTCCTCGTGCTTAATCACATCTGCCCGTGCAAGCCATACTGGTAGCTCGGGCAAGTGCCAAGACGTAACCGTCCGCTCCGCAATTGCGTCGCTTAGTAGTGGTTAACGGCACTTGGAGAGCCGCAGCTTCCCAGAACATGGCCGTATCTGTCTATTTAACGATTTACAGGCAAGAGGCTCCTCGTTACATCCAAGTCTAAATCACAGTACCGACGTCAAGCTGGCAGGCCATCTTTCACCCACGGCCCTCATACCTCCAAGTCGAGGGCCGATGAGCGATATGGCGTCCCCTCCCAAGGTGGAGGATCAAGGACGCCTGTTGGAAGAGGCTCTGGGCATGGTCAGACAGCAAGCAAGTCAAATGCGAAGATGTCTGGAGACACCTGGGAAACTCATGGACGCTTTGAAATGCGGGTATGGTGAATGCGACAGGCGGGAACAAGTCAATACTGACATGCACATAGGTCAACACTGGTCTCGGAGCTTCGAACACCTACTTTAGGCCCAAAACAATACTACGAACTCTACATGGCAGTATTTGACGCCTTGAGACACCTTTCTGACTATCTTCGAGAGTCCCATCCCGTGAACCACCTCGCCGACCTCTACGAGCTCGTACAGTACGCAGGCAACATAATTCCCAGGTTATACCTCATGATTACCGTCGGCACAGTCTACATGGGTGTAGAAGATGCGCCAGTCAAAGAGATCATGAAAGACATGATGGAGATGAGCAGGGGAGTTCAACATCCTATACGTGGTCTGTTTCTGCGTTACTATCTGATGGGCCAAGCACGAGACCATCTGCCCGTTGCGAAAGAGGAGGGTCCACAGGGCACCTTGCAAGATTCCATAAACTTCATACTTACCAACTTTGTCGAGATGAACAAACTGTGGGTACGTTGGCAGCATCAGGGTCATTCGAGAGAACGAGAGCAACGAACACAAGAGAGAAGAGAGCTTGAGCTGCTGGTGGGAAGCAACCTCGTGCGGCTAAGCCAATTGGTAGATCTGGACACATACAAGTCGGTCATCATAAATCCTCTCTTGGAACAGGTCGTCCAGTGTCGAGACGTGCTGGCTCAAGAATATCTACTGGAAGTCATTACCAAGGTCTTTCCCGATGAATACCATCTACACACTCTCGACCAGATGCTGTCAGCGATTGCTAGACTCAACCCGCATGTCGACATGAAGAAAATCGTCATTGGTCTTATGGATCGGCTTTCGACCTACGCACAAAGAGAGAACGAGGGCCAGCAGGCAGACAATAAAGAAGCCAAGGATGCGAAGCAGAAATCAGAGGAAGAGGCTACTGTGCGACTACTAGAGAAGCTCAAGCTGGAGAAGGACCAACCGAAAGAGGAACCGAAACAAGCGAATGGGGAGAGTGCTGATGGTGACGTGCCAGCTTCGGAGCCAGAATCATCTCAATTTACCGCACAAGAGAATGGTGGTACTCCTAATGGGGTTGGAGGTGTCAAACTCTTCGAGATCTTCTATGACCAGGTCGCGAATTTGGTCAAGACCAGAGCACTACCTATCGGGGACACTATGGCCCTCCTAACATCTCTCACCAACCTTGCTCTGAACATATATCCAGATCAGCTTGAGTATGTTGATCGAGTACTTTCATACGCAACTGAGAAGGCACGAGAATACACCGATTCACCTGACCTGCACTCCGCCCCGACACAATCCAACATCCTCAATCTCCTATTGTCACCTATACGGAGCTACTTCTCTCTTTTCACAGCGTTGGCTCTTCCAAGCTATCTTCCACTCTACACGGCACAGTCCTACGCCACGAGAAGAGCTGTGGCAGCTGATGTTGCAAAGAGCATTTTGCGCAATCGAACTAAAATTACTACTCTACAGCACTTGGAGGGCATCATGACAATCCTGAAGGTTATCATTAAAGAGGGCATCAACCAACCGACAGGCTATCCTGGGATTGCAGGTCGACAGCGTGGCGACTCGGACGAGGTTGTAGAGGAGCAAGGGTGGCTTGCAAGGATAGTGCATTACATTCAAGCGGAGGATAATGATACTCAGCTAAAGCTTCTACAACAGACCAGAAGGGCATACGAGGCTGGTAATGAACGTATAAGATACACGACGCCTTCCATCATCACACAATCTCTCAAGCTAGCAAGAGCGCTAAAGAAGCGAGAACACTTTGACGACAACTGGCAGACACAATCCTCAGGACTGTATCGTTTCATGCATCAAACCCTATCTCAATTATATACACGGGTCAACCCATCTGCAGCTGAGCTGTGCTTACGGCAGTTCGTGGATTGTGGCAAGATTGCAGATCAGTGCGGGTTCGAAGAGTTCGCATATGAATTCTTTGCACAAGCCTTCACAGTCTACGAGGACAGTGTATCCGATTCAAGAGCACAATTTCAAGCCGTATGCATAATAGCTGGCGCCCTTCAACAATCGAGGAATTTTGGCAAGGAGAACTATGACACGCTAATCACAAAGGCCGCATTGCACGGAAGCAAGTTGCTGAAAAAGCCTGACCAATGTCGCGCCGTTTATCTGGCCAGTCATCTTTGGTGGGCCATAGAAGTACCCGCAAGAGGTGAAGAGGATGCTAAGGATGTAAGTACACTGAAGTTCGATCAGCGGCTATCACTGACTTTCTTCAGCTCTACCGTGACGGCAAACGAGTGCTCGAGTGTCTACAACGTGCTTTGCGTGTCGCAGATGCCTGTATGGATACTGCCGTGTCGGTTGAGCTATTTGTTGAGATATTGAATCGATATGTATATTATTTTGACCAGCAAAACGAAACTGTAAGTTGGCTTGGTGCCCAGCCGGCAGATCCATTTGGTATTAACATAGTTCGCAGGTCACAACAAAATACCTTAACGGCCTAATCGAGCTCATACATAGCAACCTGAGCACATCAGCCGCCGAAGCAGGCGCAAACAATGCACAGCAAAACCAAAGTCTTGAGAACCCCAAAAAGCACTTCTACAGAACGTTAGAGTACATTAAGAGCAGGGAGTTTGAGGGTGTTGTCACAGAGGCCAGGTCTTGAATAGTCTTGTCCTCGAGAATTGGGGATCGTTTACAATGTACATGTCAACGTCGACTTATACGTACTCACGAGTACAAAATCCTAAGCGCCTAATTCAATACGTGCGAGGTATCAAGGTGTCTTACCTCCAACTGTATTATACGCTTTGTGATGAGAAGCAAGACTATTGTTCAGACGACAAGGCTACTTTGTGGCTTCATATCACAAAGCTACATTATGTGCCTGATTGTCCAAACGACACGTTTTGTATAGCTAGACCGCATCTCTCATGTTGACGGTATACAAAATCCTTCGTACAGCTAACACTTTTTCCTCTAGCATAATCACAACTCCATACATCAACCAGACTTGACTTCACATCTTACAGAAGAAAGTACTCCATTATCATCAATCATACCAAAGATGACCCACCCAACGCAAAACCCATGGGCCAACATCCCTGCCAACCCCTTCAGCCATCCAGCTCAAAACGCAGGAGTGCCCTCAACACAAACACAAACACAAACACCCATAAACACCGTCCTATGGCCCACTCCAAAAGAAACCCTAGCCCGGTCAACGATGGTCTCGAAGCAGAAAGCAGTCGTTCCAGCAGCGAGAAAGACACCAGCCCCGGCACCAGTACGACGAAAATTCACAGCAAAAACAACGGTAAACGCAGGAGACGCAGAGGTACTATCATGGCGAAGAAGACTAGATCAATTGCTAAATTATGACAATCTAGCACGTTTGAGGATCGAGACGGGTACCGAGGTGCCGGATTTCACGAGACGAGAACGAGTACTGACATGGATTTTGGATATGCAGGGTGCGAAGGCGGGGGAGGATAGTGAGCTTGAGGAAGAACTAGAAGCAATGCAGGTGTTTGCAGAGTCAGAGGAAGAGCGAATAGTGAAGCCTAGGGTTTGGTTGCAGACTTATGAGGAGCTGAGCAAGTTCGTGGATGACGATGATATGCCGCGAAGATGGGAAATATCACCGGAGAAGCTCGAGAAGTTGATAGAGGCATCGAATGCGTCGTGGTGAATTGTGCCATACTAGAGTAAAGACAGGCCCATGATTTCGATCGAATCAAATAAATTATAGTGTTCATAAAAAGTAAGTTCTGCTCCCAAAATTATTGTTTCCCATTTTTTTCTGTACTTTCGCTGGAGTGATACTAGTTGGTTGCCGTTTGTGTATCACCAGCATAGATCAACTCAAAATCACCAAAATCGATCGTTATACCATCTTCCAATGAACCACGATCCTTTTCACTAGGCGAGAAGAACAGTCGGCCATCACGTGCTATGTACGCTGTAGCTTGTCGAGAGTACGGGCCAAAGTTTTGATCGTTCAGCAGAGTTTGTATCAATTGTCCTGCTACAGTGAGCAGCTCCGAGCTGACCTCCATGCCTGCTCTAGGTTTTTTCAGGCCCAAACGTTCTGCGGTCTTTTGACTGCCTGAGGCCACCATGAAAATGTAGCCTACTATGAACGGCAATTGCGATTTAGTTTCCAGATAGCCCGCTTCGAAGTACTTTGAAAATCGTTGATGGAGAACTTGCTGAATCGTATCCAGCATCATCCAGCAGGCTCGGTGGAGGTGGAAGTAGTCAAATGCTAACATAGGGACTTCCTGAGACATCATTGCTTGCATCGCGAGGAGTAGCTCGACTGGTGAGAGTGCCGCTTGTTTGCGAAGCTTATGGCGAAGGAAGGCCTTGGTTTCGCCTTTGGTACGTTTTCTGATAGCGACTTTTTCAGTGTCTGGCTCAGGAGGATCCTCGTTCCCGTCGTCCTTATCGACGACAAACTTGTTGTTGATGAGTTCTTCGATCTTGTCCAAACACGAACCAGACCCTTCGCAACTGTTCTCATATAAGATGTGAGACATATCGCCCTTGATCTCCAACGAACGAGGTCCTCTACTAGCTGCCAGGGGCACATGTTGTCTGCGGTTAGCTGCGAATGTCTCAGCAGAGTAACCCATGCACAGACAAAATCGTTTGAAATAGTCCTGAGCATTGTTTGGCTTGCCACCAACGAACACCCGTTCCTCGGTCTGTATATTAATCATCAGGTCCATGTCTGCCCATGCTGTCTCGCAGTCACGCTCCTGACACACGGCGTTGTAGAGATGGCCTGTGTAAAGTACGACACCAAGTGCGTTAGCGTACAGCACACCAGTACGCTGCGCTGTGGCCTGTAGATAGAAAGCGAGAAGACCACACAGCAGAGCGTGCTGTTGGAGCAGTCGGAATTTGCCTTGAGGGGCAGACACCTTGCCCTGAACCAACTGCTCTATACCTTTCTGTATGATATCACCTTCGAGCCATTGCTCAATGGCGTCGAGCAGATTGCCCTGGACTGCTCTGTCGTTGCCATCTGGCCAAAGCGTGTCTTGAGAACTGTCGCGCATGCGGAGAGTCAGTAACCAGGACTCTTTGAGATGCTTACCTAGACCTTGTATCTGCTTGAACGGTACTCCTTCGGCTAACCGAAGTAGATGGTGCACATCCAGGAACAATTTCGCCGCAAACATTGTCCAGATATGAACCTTCCGACTATTAAGCATGACACGAAAGCCTTGAGTAAGCCCATCTTCCCACGCTGGACCGTCCTTACTCCTTGCAAGGAACCAGAAGTCGCAAAGAAGTTCAGCTAAGATAATCTTGTCTTCTTCGAAACGCGCCTCAGATGTCAATTTTTTCCGATCTACAGTTGGATCGTACTTGCCAAAATGACCGGGACGATAGACTGGGGGTGCATTAAGAGAAAAGACGTCCATAAAAGAGGTTAGAAGCAGGAACATGTCGCCATAAATGAAATGTATCACTTCCTGCACATCTCCGTTGGGGGGTTTCATGTGTATCATGTCGTTGCCTGATACATGGCACTTGAGCTGAATCAAAGTATTGATGACTTCTTCAGGCCCATCGATGGAAGTGAACTGTCCGAAAAAGTCCTTCTCAAGCCGACGGACGAAATCGATAGCTGTGTTGCTCGTGACAGAGACTGTGATGAGGTCGAGGGAGCCTTGGTGATACTGGTCCCATATATTCGTCAAGAATGTGTGAATCCTGCCGATGTCGTTGAACATGCTAAATGCTGCAAACAACATCTCGGATTTGGTGGCCGGATGCTCTGCCTGGTACATGACTTGCGTTTGTTGCACTGTGGCCGATGAGTCCGAAGGTCGACTCTCCTGGAATTCGTGCGATGGCTCCTCAACGTGCAGGTGTGAGAACAGATTACCAATTTCTTGAACGTTGGATTCCATTTTCTCTGACGGCAAGGAGCTGTGAGGCTCCAACAACGTGTAGACGCCCTCGAGAATGCTTAGGAAGTAGGCATGGCTTTCATCACTTTTTTCGTCCTGCTCGTATGTTCGGAACCAAAGGCTGCATTCTCTTCGGGAGTCAATAGTTCTCTGTAGCTTGTGCAATATGGATAAAGGAACCTTAAGAGCCTTTTCAACATGTTGAGCTATGTGTTCCGCCAGCATTGCAAACTCTCGAATCGGTATGACATGCTCTCTTTGCTCCTTGGGCACACGCCTAGCTGCATCACGAAGTTGTTTCTTCGTTTTGCTCTTTGATTTTCCTTTAGATTTTGTCTTGACTTGCACAGTTTGAGTTGGAGCTGGTAAGGCCTCTGATGTGTAGCCTGTAAGGCGAGCAGTTTCTGCTAGCCATGTCGCGATGTCGTCGGTGTCTTGTTTGTACAGCCTATAGCTGCTTTGGAGAGACGATGGTAACATGCTTGAGTCAGTGTGATGCACCCCCAAGAACAAGCAGAGGGTGGCAGAGGCGCGAAATTGCGGAAATAAAAGCACTTTCAGAATAAGATCACGAATTAGGAGAGAGTCTCCGCGTATAGGCAACGGGTAAGAAAGTGCTTGACAAGGCAATCGCAGCTGGTTTGTTAGCATGAACAACTCAACGATTGTGCTAGCATGAGATAGATGGGAAGTGGCTTAGACAATAAGAAGTGGCAGCTATCAGATAGCAAATATGACTGCGCATATTGGGCGGGTAGTCGATTCTCCACCTGCACCTCCCTTGCATCACTCCATGCACTTGCCTTAATGCAATTCACGGCACTTTCGATGCTTTCTCACCTGAACAAAGATGTAAGCCGCGGAATATAGTGAAAGAGCACCTCAAAGAAGAACAATACAGGAAGGAGTTAAAGTGACAGCCGCGAGATGTGGTTGAACTTAGCACGTGCATAAACTCAGCTTGTCCCAATATCCCAGCAGCCTTTCAGAACAGCAGGTAACCCGAGAAGAGGTGAGCTCCTCCAGTACGACCCACATCTAACCAGGGTGAAACTTCAATTGCCATAGTCAGTCTCATTCCAAGCAAGACAGATATCAAGGGCAACAGTGAATTGGAGAAGATTTTTCAGCTCGCCCTGGTCCTGGAGTCGAATGAGATGGTAGGATGTACTCGGTACAAATATTGGTCGAGTCTTGTTGCACCTGTTCAATTGCAGTTTTATTGTGTTCCTCTGGCACGCTGAAACCCAGCGCATTTGAGTCCGTCTTCTTTTGTCGACAACCCGTGTTCTCATGTTGCTCAAAAATCCCTATCTCCAACGGTGCATGCTCTATGGTCCATAATATTGTAACCTCTTTCTAACCCAGTATTGAGTCGAGTCGAGTTGACGCGCCGCAAGGCGCCATGAACTCCATGTAAAGACTTTTTTCATCAAATTGTGTCCCTGACTCTCCCGCCTGATGCTGGCACACCTGCGTCTCATCACAACGGCTGTCCAGTGTGCAAAGTCTTGTGTGAGGCCAGAAATAAGATCACTCCCATCTCTTCTGATCGCCACGATGAAAAGCGACGCAGCAGACTGATAATCAACTCTTTGAAGTTCTCGGATCAGACTGGCAAAAGCTTACTGCGCGAATTGTGTTGGACCGAATGCAGTCTTTCTCAATCCCCCCAGCCTCTACCTCTCGCACTGGTCGTAGTCTTCGAAGCATCATGGTATTCATAATAGTTCCTAAATTCGCTTGATCTAAAACAACCACTCATGGAGTCGCTCTCCCCAACTCTTGCAAAATACTCGACTGCCTCTTCTCAACGTAGAATCCAGTATCGGGCTTCCTCTCAGCCTTGACTTCCGTCTTCGTCAGAGGTCGGTCGACCTCAGCAACCGCAATTAACTCTTTCACCCTCATGATTTGACCTGCGACGTCAGGTGTGACTGGATGAAACACCGTAGCCATTCGTTTACGTAGACCGAGCGCACGCAGGACCTTGGCAGATTTCGAGGGTAGGCCGATTGCGGATCGCATGAGTGTGATGCGGAAATAGGATGGGGCTGTTGTCATTGCGGTTGATGCCACTGTTGATGTAGCCATTGTGCAGGGGCTTATAGAATGAATGGAGATGATGAAGTGTTGTGGTGAATGAATCTGGAAAGTTTGCTAGCTGTATAATTTCGCGTTCAAGGTAATAGATGCGCACGAGTGAGCTAGCAGAAGAGCAATGAGCAGTCTTGTCCTGTTGATCGTTGACTACACGTATGCGACCGCAGGAGTATAGTATGGAACATGTTGTGAAAGTCAACGTACGAGAAGCTTAACGAGCAACTTGTGTTGATGCCTCAGGCACAGAGACATCACCTGTCTACCCCTACACGATTCAGTGACCCCCAAGTGGACCACCTAGTCGACATCATAATGAGCATATTCACGAACGATAACGTTACATTCAACGACACATGGGTTAATCATAGTATTAATATGTATGCTCATCTAGGACTACCACAGAGACCAAAGTTCACTTTTAGTTGCAACTTCCTGGCTCTACAATGCAGTGCTGCTGCCACTCCATCATCCAAGCTTGTACGGACTGCGCGAGCTGAGCTTGAGCGTCTCGTACCGGCGCTGGAGGCAACTCAGCTGTGGTTTCGTTAGGGAAAAGGCCATTCTCATCCCAGTGATGCACTGCCAGACCTCCTATCAGGATTATAGGTTCGCTGACTGTGCTTGTATCGTTCAGACGATCAGGCATATCCAGGGTTGCAAGTGGACTAGCAGCTCGCCATGGATCTGCCTCGCCGCCGATAATGGCAAGACGAGGGTAAGAGATATTGAAACCACCGTACTTGTTGACCCGACCAACGTCCGGAGGTCCGTAGATTCCGAAGGCATAATTGCAAACAAGCATGTTGTATGGTATAGATACCAAACGAGAGATCAACGACAGCAGGTTCTGGGGAACGGTCGATCCAGATTGCAAATAGCCCCACTCTGTACAGTACTGGTATGCCCAGGAGAGACTGCCGTAGTTGCTCAGCGACTTGTCGGTATATTTTGCAGCCGAAGCATTGTGTGCACCATATCTTGTATCCAGATTGTTGACTCCGTCGACATAAGCGGCTTTGCTCCATCCGATGAAATTCAACATTCGGTTAGTGAGTGCTGAAGACTCATTGCCCCAACCTCCTGACTCGATCCATTCCGAAGCTGACGATGCCAGGTCGGAGTTATTAAAGAGCACAGAATTGTTTGTTATGTTACCACAATAGTAGTAGAAACTTGGGTCACTGACTGCTGGATCCCAATTGAGGCTTTGCCATAAGCCAAAGGACAGGCTCATAGTGTTTGCAAAGTCATCGTTGTAGGTGAATGAACTGGCATTAAACGCGCTCTTGAATGCATCAATCGTCTCATTATCGCCACTGTTCAGAATATTGTCCATGACGTTGATCAGACGCTCCTGTGTTTGAACACAATCTGGAGGCGCATACTTGCGGTGAGCTTCATAATACTCCCAAAAGTCGTAGATAGCTTCAGTGACACCTGACGACGAAATCGCGCCCCAGTAGATGTCTGGATATTGGATCCGAAGGAATGCAACGAAAGCACCAGCATACGAGCCTCCATAAGCAATATGAGCTGTTCCCGGAGCAGTAAGGTTCAGATGCTCCAGACCCGGAAAGACGATGTTCCGAGAAAAGTAGGCCTGATCTGCGAGAGCCTGTTCTGTTGTCAGAAAGCGATAGTTCTCGGTGCTCAAATTCGCTGTCGGCATGCTGGTCCCGTAGTATCGATGCTCGAGAATAACACCAATACCATTCGTGGCGGCTGCTAGCTGAGCAACTATACCTTTCTGAAGATAAGGCAGCCGGCCAACAATGCTTGTCTCACCACCTTGCAGAACAATCACTGGTCCTCCTGCTTTGTAATGACTGGCATCGAAGAAGTATCGCAAACTGAACATTCCGTCCGAGTGAGGTGAATACATGCTCTCATTCTGGAAATGATCTATCGGCACGGATATGTTATGCTCCGGATACAAGTCTGCTGGATTGGGAGCATCGCGACGATGTACTGGTGCTGGTTGCAAGCTATTGGATATGAGCTTTGTATGAGACCTGAAAACGAGACACTTACCCTGCTATTGATAGGCCAAGGGTCAAGAATTGCAAAACTATTGAAATCAGCCTCATGATGGTTAATAATGAACGCGAGCAATTCAAGAGACTGAGTAACAGTATTCCAAAAAGAGATATCGAAAAGGAGGGTGACAGTGCATTGATGTTAACTACCTCGATCGCGTGAGAAGCATGTCAAGACTCTGGCCAAAGCTTGATCGATACTGAGAATACTCTGTAGCATTGTGCTTCCGACTGTGAAAGAGCATCCAGAGAGATAGACGTAAATCTGTGCCAAATGTGGCAGGTCGTAATGTGTCAACGAATGAGACGAAGGTAGGCCAGAAAGTAGCGACGCAGAGCTGCAAGGTACCTGCCTCTCCGCCAACTTTTAAGAAAGCAGAGTCAATTCATTGGTTGGATGAGAGGTCGAAGACTTGTTCAAGCTTCGTGCTACCAGTAAGGTTACATTGAAGATAAGATGTGGCATCATGACCCTGCAGTAAACGGCAATCGGCAGCACGACGTTAGTGATGATTGAAAGACAACTATTTCATGCCTGAGGCATTAGACATTTCTCCATACTGGGTTTCAGTCGTGTGTTGCCAACAGCTTGTCCGGCATACGCGTGCTGATTGCTCACATTGGTATATGAGCTTGTGTGAAAACAGGAGTGGTAGCTGACTTCTCGGCACCCAGGAAGTGATTTGTGAAGCTCGAAGTCAATTTACTCAGCTTCAACCAACTCAATGCTTGTGCGTAAAAGAGCTCCGACGCGGACTCTCGACAACAGTCCTGTGAGCGAGAGAAGGTGCGTGTAAGATCCTGGTGCGAAGAAGTCAAGTATTTTAAGTAACGAGCAGTCCAAGTCAGACGTCCATCAGAATATGCTAGCAGCGAGCAGCGACTCCAAGCGGTCAGAATCAACTTCAATCAAGCAGATAGAAGCATGGACGATATTTCAAAGGGCCTGAGAAGCATACTATGTCAAATCCACAGAAAGTGACCCTAACGCGACCTGAACAACGGCACGCAACCCTAGCAAATGAGGAATGCTTCGCGCCACGATGAGTAGCTGGATGAACCAGAGACAGATATCACATGAGCCGTTTTGTCTTTCTTCGTCCACAGCTCGCCACAAGACACATAGGCAATATGTGCAGTACTCAAGAAAATCCACGTCCTAGAGCCGGAAGCGTAAGACAAGTGTCTGCCAAAGGTGCTTACCGAACACTTCCAAGAACAAACCTTTTGCTTGACGTCCACAACTACAACAGTACAAACACATCAGCCACTAACACTGACATCAAGCGGCATAGAAAACTTTGTGTGGCAGAATGTCTGAGCGACACGTACAAAGCTGCAAGTCAAAGTATCGGAGCACGAACAGTGCGAAGACTTCACTGGGGTTACCGCTGCTATTCGTATAAGTGCAAGGTCGCTCAGCCCCAAACGTCAGCGCAATTGTTCGTTTGCCAATTGTATTATATCACTTGAAGCAATTGACAACTAATAGCTTAATAGCAAGATAGACATTTTGCGACGACTAAATCCTGGCCCATTGTCAATGCTTTTTGATCAGTTGCTGGCGATTTACCATGGGATCTTATAGTGGGTACCGTCTGCTACTAAAAGTCTACTCACTGACATGGAAGCAGACAATATGAATCGACCTTCGCCCGCAATCACTCCGTTGCTTATCAGCGACGCGACAAGAGACCTGGTTCTAAGCACACGGCTGCCCGAGCAAATCAAACAGAAGTTCGCAGAACGATCACTGCTAGATCACGCTTACATTCCAACGAGCGTCCTACCTCAAGAGAACGAAATCGATGTGGAAGTCTACGATGATATCTTTGAGCTTTTACAAGGACACAATGACATGACGAGCCAGAAAGCGATGTTCTTTCTTCTTGCCGACATCGGCTATGAGCTCGGATATACGATCAGACAACTCGCTCGTGAAGGCCCCGCAGATGATGAGAACGGTGTCGCAGACTTGGTGTTGCTTAGGCCAGTGGAGGCAGAACCAGGCGCCACGTTACGGGCTACCCTGGATGCCGTCAACCCACGTCAGTTCCCAACACCACAAACTTATGAAGGCCACAATGCAAACGTGGACTGCAAATTCACCTGCCCCATCCCACCCCGTGTCAGCAGTGTCGTCACATTTGGATTCTGGCACTCGATGACACGACACCTCCGAACTGCCCACCATTTCTCAGCGGCGGACACTTCAGAATTAACAAATAATGTAACCATGTCACATCTGAAACAATTGTTCGGTCCATATCTCATCACTGATCTCGAAACTGCGCTAAGACCGAAGCGGAGGATCAAAAAGAGCTCAGTGGTCATTGGAGAAAAGCCGGGAGAACGCTTGTCGGGTATTGACGAGCAGAAGGCGGATACTTCTCAACGCCACACAGACACTGCTTCTGCTGAGCCTGAAGCAGGGCAACTGGGCGTCACGCGATTCCCTTTCATGGAGGCCATGCTGGATGCCATGGACAGGGAGGACGAAGAAAATGGCACATACGTGCGAGGGTCTTAAGTTGGTTTCAATAATTTCTGAGTATAATATGTCAGACTGGCAATCTTCGGCACTCCTCCTGTTCAGCAGGACAATTAGTACATACTACTAAGTACTATATTAGCTGTGATTGAGGCTATTCCCATTACAGTCTAGCGTTGTTGAGGTATTCCTATCTCAAAAATATGAAACACTCTTGTCTTCTAATCCCAGTTGAATTGTAACAAAGGATTGACATTTCGTACTATAGAAAATCCCAAACTTAGGCACCCACCATGATAAGTCGGGACGAGAGCGAAAGCTCTCTCGAAGCTCGTGCTCTTGCACAATTTGACAGCCTGGTCGAAAAAGGTGAGGTGTTCTGGGAGCCTACGGAAGAGATTCGCTATGAGCAGAAGCCATTCGATGTCAGTCACCTAATGAACTCTACACCCTGACTAGTATACTCATGCTCTACCAGGTCTACTTCCGCATCTCCCCAATCACAAACGCCAAACCATACAACCCCAACGACAAATCTCGAAAACCAGGTTTTCTCGACGACGACCCAGAATTTACATTATGCAAGGTCGCGCCAAACCACAAATTGATCCTCAACAAGTATTGCTGGTTGCGGCCTCAGCTGATCTTGCATACGCTTGATTTCCAGAGTCAGAAGGATATGCTTACGCAAGCTGATTTCCATGCTGCTAGTGAGGTATTGAAGCAGTTGGGGGATCGGTACATGATTATCTTCAATGGTGGTCCGGATGCAGGGAGTAGCGTGGCGCACAAGCATTTGCAGGTGTTTCCGAGGCCGGAGCGGAGGACTGTGGTTGAAGATCTACTTGAGAACCCAGAGCGTGAGTCAAAAGTTGCTATTTATTGTTGAAGAAGATTTATTGACGACTGAGCAGTCATGTTGCCATTTAGGTACGAGCTTGCCAAGCTAGATGAAAACACCAAAAGTGAGGATATCTACAACCACTACAAATCGATGTGCAACAAGCTCGCAATCTCCAATGGCACTCCACAAAGCCTCGTTCTGGTCAAAGAATGGCTCATCGTCCTCCCACGAACGTGCGCAACGATCAAAGGCGAAATTGAAGGTGCGCTTATGCAGGGCGGTGCCAATGCCATGATTGGCATGCTATGGCTGAAGACGCCTGAGCAGTTCGAGAATTGGAAGAAGTACGGCCCGATGAAGGTGCTCACGGAGTTTGGGGTTACGACAAAGACAGACTGAAAGGAGTCGTCTAACACAGCCGTGGAAACATCATCAAATTTGTCATGAATCAGCGGGCGCACTCTGCTCAGGCACCGTCTCCTCTGTCACCGAATATGACACCTTCAACTTAGTCCACTCCTCCAGCATGGCATCAACTTCTTTGATATCCTCATTGTAGCTGAGGTCAAAGAATCCAAGTTTCACCAGCGACCTGGCCAGACGATATGCGGGATTGTACGCGAAACGGGCAGATTCAGGTCCTGCAGCTTCCTCGAAAATACGTTTGATCTCTTGGTTCTCCGGAGACTCAGGCTCGTCGTTGGCTTGCAGTTCATCCTCGTCATCATCACTATTCCAGGCCCAAAGCCAGGATGGAGGCTTACATGCCACGAACATTGGTGCGAAGGTGGCACTATCCCAGTCAAGTATTGCTGAGATGTGTGCACTGTCGTTCTCTGCTATGAGTAGCATGTTGCGCGGTTCAAAGTCGAGATGACAAAGGCTAAGCGCAACATCCTTGAACAGTCCAGCCTGATCCATTTCTTCCGCAACCTTCATGAAAGCTGTATTGTATTCTGATCGGAAGTCGTCGATCGGCGTTTCTGCGACCGCGACGGAATTGCGGTACTCAAAAATTGTCGACAGCAGCGTTGAGGTTTTCGGGAAGAGAAGGCTGTCATCGTATGGCCAGGACTGTGGTGTACTTGTGTCCTCCATCGCGTGAATCGCGTATTGGTTCGGAGAACTGGGTTCGTACGACTCCACATCACCGAAATGACCAAGTTTGCCTATGTGTTGGCTCCTGATCTTGCTCAGCGCAGCATATACGTCGCCAAGTTGTTTCGCAACTTGACATCGCTGCTTGAAGCCCAGTTCCAGGTAGCCTTCGAGCAAAGACCTGCCCTCTATGAAGCGCTGTATCATGTATGGACTCTCAATGACGTTTTTGTCCGTGATGTCGTAGGCGATGGTGTCAGGCACAGGTATTTTGAAGCACTTCTTCAGAAATTCGAGCAAGAGAACATGCCCTAGTATTGGACGCTCGTCCCAACGAGGCACACGAAGTATGTATTTCTCTTCTCGTGCTGCATTTTCATCTGTTGCTTTGTGTATGACGCGAAAAGCGGTTATTCTGTTGTAGCCACCACCTCTCGTTCGCTCAACCTCAATTCCCTGGTCATCGCTTGTGCTCAACACCTGCCGTACCAAGATCGGAACCTTGTCTTTGAAGGTTTCGAAAGCTTCTTGGCCGTAGACGAGGGTAGAGGTATCAGATTCGCCGTCCTTCCTCGACGTGTCAGACTTAGAATCATCGATAGGCGACTCAAGGTTCAATTCAGACACGAGTAAGCTCTCCATTGCTGACAGTAGAAATGCCTTGGAGTGGCGAAATATGGACAGCTGGGCGCGAAAGTTTCCAAAATACTCAAAATCTGATGTCTCCTTTCAATCTTTGCTGTCTTTCCAAGTGTCTGTGCAGATGCTCGAGCCCGAAAAGGCACTCCACCTTGCTGCGCACGGTCAGTCTGCCACGATTCTGGCCTTTGTTTTCAGTCAGCGCCAAACGTGAGGATTAACGTCCGAAAGTGGCTGATTGGTACAAGTTTTGCGATAGAGGCGGTTGCCCGTTGTCTTTGGACAAGGAGTAACCTCAATCTGATGTAGTTTTCGATCCTATATTCGTCAGCTTGCATTGTGCATATCAATCTTTGTCAAGTGAGCAAGAACATCGACACAGCGATGTACATAGTTCGTGCTGTATACCATGATGCTGCGAAGCCACATCGACATTCAGTCAAGAATTATCAGCTAACAGCAATAACCAACTCAAACAGTATACGAAATAATGGCCGGATATAAAGGTAGAACCACACACCATTGCCCAAGGAAGAATAAGGGTAGCTGTCGTGACGCTAAATACCAAGGCAAAGGCTTCCGTGCAACACATCAGACATTGTGCAGAATTCATTTTGTCGCCCACCTGCAATCGGAGTACTGTTTTAGATGCTTGAAGGACGCCGAGGCAGCACAGGCCGCAAAACGCTGAGATCTTTGCTAACCGCCTAGAGAATGACTTCGCCAACAAGCTTGATCTTCGTGTGAGAAGCCTGAGATCGACCAATCTGTAGGAGTATGAGCTGGCGAATTGCTGTAGCAAAATGAAAACACGCTAGCATGCCCAACGCGCCTAACGCGTTTTCGTGCTCATGATCCATACTGGTACACGCGTGGGATAGCAACCATTGAATTTCTGATCATTTCATATTCGAGCTTCTCCTTGTTCTGTTATCCTCTAATGCGATACTACCGTAACGCAGATTGTCGGGCCTAGTTAGCTTGAACAGTGCGGTTTTGTGTATTGACAGAGACCAGTTTCCTACCCATACTAGAAAGTGGTTGAAGCTCCAGATCTGTTTAGGCCGAAGGTAATTCGAGCGCTGGTGTGAGTGATTATTCATCGACCTCCCTCTCAAGAATAGCTTCGGTGGATGTTGTTTCCTCATTGTGAACTTACGGGTCAAGGCTACAGGCTTGACAGGCAGAACGCCTGAACAATGAAGACCCGTTGCTAAACTACAAGGCAAGGCAAGAAGCTTCGCTTGAACGAGCCATAGAACGATCAGTTAGCCGGAAGTTTACCATGCTTGATACCGGCGCTTTACAAGAGACTCGATATACTGGTGTACAGCAGTTACACTGGCAGACGCATATTTCAGGTGACCTGGAAGCCTGCGCCACAGTTTGAGATCCTCAGGTAAAACGATATGGCCGCAATAACAGCTCTTTCAATGCGTGGAGGCAGTAAGTGCTAGAGGGTGGTCGAACTCGATCTCGATCGGAGCTCGTGGATTTGCGCAGCCACGGCCCCAGGTCAATTACGTAGGTTGGTGCGGGACATTCGAGAATGATGGCATACTTTTTGACTCGACGCCTGCACTGCTTCGCCAACTGAAACATGATATCTGCCTGCTTCACTGCCACACAACAATATTCTCTCGACACTTTCGTCATCAGCAGTTGACGACTCAGACTTTGCCGTCTTCACTTCAGGCACAACCCATTCGCATCATTACCGACTTACTCCCTCAAATCACTTTCGCAACAAGAGAATCAGCGAGAACTATCGACCTGTTGACAACCTCTTTGATTCACGTCACAACCTAATCCTCACATCTCCGCAAGAAGACCACCAACAATGAGCGACTACGCGCCCCCAACAGGCCCTCCACCACCTCGAGTTCCAGAAGGCTGGAAAGCAATATGGAATGCGCAGTATTCCCAATACTTCTACGTCAATCTGTACACCAAAGAATCAACGTGGGAGGTCCCAACAGGACCGGCGCCAAACCCACATGCCGAGCACTCACTAGACGCACCACCTTCGTACATACCTGGTGAAAACGCACATGCATACGCAGGATCAGACATCAAGAAGACCGGTAGTCCACTACCAGGACAGACGTCATCAAACAGCAACAACCCATATCAACAGAATATTGGAGAAAGTGACGAAGCAATGGCGCGACGTCTGCAGGAAGAAGAGAATGCACGCCGCGCAGCTGGTGGCGATCGTGGCTCGTCTGACGGCTACTACCAGGGCGGTAGCACAGGCAACTACCCCAATCAACCGAATTACCAGTCGCAACAGTACCAGAGTACTTCACCTCAGTACACAGATACATCGGCATCGAAAGGCAAATCTGGTGGTCTTCTAGGAAAGCTGAAAGACAAGCTCGCCGTGCCAGCTGGTGGTCACCGTCCTATGGGTGGTGCGCCGATGATGGGCTATGGGGCTGGTGGCTACCCGTCTCATCAGTCAGGGTACGGCGGATATCCACAGCAGGGCTACGGTGGACATGGCTATGGTGGGCATGGCTATGGCCAGCCAATGTATGGTGGTGGTCACGGTATGATGGGAGGTATGGGTGGTATGGGCCGAAAGAAGCCAGGAATGGGTATGGGAGGAGCCGCTGCTCTTGGAGTGGGTGGAGGATTGATAGGCGGAATGATGCTTGCAGATGGCATCGATGACATGCAGGACAATGCTTATGATCAGGGTTACGATCAGGGTATGGACGATGGTGGTGACATGGGAGATATGGGAGATATGGGTGGTGAATAAAGTGGCACAAGTTGACAAAGAGATGAATGAACTCTGCCTATTAATGTCAAACTATGCATGGATATCTCTACCTGCGTAGAATGTATGTATTAGTGTACAATTCACTTAATCAGATGCGTCTTCATATGGCATTGTGTGACCATCACTCTGTCGTCTTTGTTTCTTCTCCACCTTCACTCAACTAGTCAACACTAGTCAGGCACCAGTAGAAGAGTATTCTAGAAGCACACAAACATAAACATTGCTCGACTTATCTCACTTTCTTCAGATCTTAATCTTCCCACTTCCTCAAAAGCTCGTTCTCAACCCTACTTCGTCAGTTCACCACAATATGTCGAACCAAGATTCAGACAAGATCGATACTGGAGTTATCAAGCACGATGCCGTCGACAAGATGTTTTGTGAACCAGAGGGACCGACTCAGTGAGTGTCTCGGTCATTTACGTTTTCTCGATGTCCTCACTAATGTCTTCGTAGCTTTGCAAGAGCTGCCGTTGTTACTATCCTGATCGGCCCTGAAGAACAAGCCCTCACTATCCACAGGAACATCCTGATCGAGAAATGCCCTTATTTCGCATCCCGCCTCAGAGACTGCTGGGATGGAAAACACAATGAGCCCCTGAAGCTGACCGACGTCGAATGTCGCAGGCTTCGAGGTTGTTGTGGACTGGATCTATTCGGACAGACTTCCACCCCGAGTCCTTGACCCATCTAACAATGAATGGTGGATGTTCAATAGATTGGCGTACAAGGCCGCTGATAGACTCATGATGACGGACTTGCAGAACGAACTCGTCAGCAATGACCTGAGGATGCTGAGAAACCATGATATGCGCTGGACATTGGTGGATGTCTTCGGCATGGGGAAGTTGGAGCTGGACCACACACCATATTATCAGTTGATATTGAAGAGTGCTGTCCACGCAATCATGGCCATGCCACCGAAAGAGGAAATTGCTAATGAAGAGATCACCAAGTTATCGGACTGCCCATCGGCTATGGCGGACGTGCTTCGACACATCAACAAGTACAATAGAAAGCCCTGGCAACACGTCGAAACAGGAGATTGGTGTGAGTATCATATCCACGCCAATGGAAACAAACGCAATGCCGCCAAGTCCTGAGTATTGAAGACCACGAAATAACCTGCTCGGAAGGTCCTCCAGTCGTTCATCGTGAGAGGCTACTCTTCTGAATGAGGTGTTTGTGGTACAGCGAAGTGACCACACGACTCTGCTGGTCAAATAAGCAACGTTATCGAGATCTCTCTCGCGGTGTTTCTGTACTCGTACAGCAGCGTTTCATGTGGCGAGTGGAGGTTAGAAGCTGTCAGATAAGACAGATGACACAAGAAAGAGCACCCATACGCCGGAAGCCCCGACTAATTCACGTACTCGTGTCGATCTACCGATCAAGGTGGAAGTGCTCGAATCGAGATATTACTTACCTGTCTACTCAGCCAACACATCATATCACTTCATCCTTGCACTCTCACATGTAGCCGGTTAGTTGAAGCTTGTCGCGCAGGGTTAGAGAAGTGTTTGAAGAGTGCAGCAACATACTGGATGCAACGGTCAATATAGGACAAATGAACGGAAACACTTGGTGCATACTCTCTCCTGTCTTGTCTTGTCACCAATATTCCTTCTTATTAGTTTTCTTGAATAAGACCTTTTCTTTTCTATTGTCTTAGAGTCTTGCGAATAGAGCAGCTTCATGAGCAGTTGCGTCTAACAAACCAGACTCAGGATCAGTTCGGTACAGAACCCTTCACCGTGTCCAGTCCGATACAGTTCGGTCCAGCGCTTCAATTAGCCAATCTCTTTGATCCACCCAAGTCGGTGATATGGCGACAAAGACGATTGAAGTATCGCAGTAAGTTTTTCGATAACTTAAGTTTCAATCGAAAGCTGACATAAATTAGACATGCAAAAGAACCTGTCGTCGCCGTCCTGGTCGGTGCTAAGGAACAGGTCTTCCACATCCACAGAACTCTCCTGCTCGAAAAGTGTCCATATTTCGAGATCCGTCTGAAAGAGTGCTGGGACGGCCAGCAGAACGAGCCGTTGTCGCTAAGAGAGGTCAACTTAGAAGGTTTCCAGGTCATTTTTGATTGGATGTATTCTGGTGACCTGCCTGAAAGATTGTGTAGGCTGTGCGATGCGAATACGAAACAAGCAACAGCTATTTCTCTCTCAGCATACAAAGCCGCCGATCAGCTTATGATGTTCGAGCTTCAGAACCATATTGTGAGCAACGAGATAGCTCGAATGACTATTTCAGACAAGCCAACTCTATCTATGGTCAGTTTACTCGGAATGTGGGAGTTGGATTTGAGTCATACACCATATTATCAAATGGTGCTCAAGAGCTGTGTGCGAGACCTGGTCACATCGCCGGAGTGTGAAACAACCTTGACTGGATATCTAACAGTGTTGGCGAACCACACCCAGGCATTGACCGACATCATTCTTTGCATGAACCAGTACAACAAGAAACCGTGTCGAGTTTCATATCGATGTTGTTCGGGCGAATCGCAATGTTGCGGCCAGAGTACCCAGCACTGCACCAACGAGAATCTACGCGTCAGATCCTTGCGATGGATTCCCTTGAGACGATGGCACGGAGTATTACGAGTCGAGAATTCCGTTGATATAAAGGACTTGCGAGTCTGGGGTGTTGACCAGCGACGTCCTCAGGGTGCATTGTGGACTCTACCACCATACTGTTCATCACGTAGCGCGTCCTTGTCTGAAACCAGGGGAAAGAACAGCGAAAACCGCCAACAACACGAAGGGTCGTACTTAACGAAGTCGTAACACCGAGGTCGCTGAAGTGCTGTATCGCCAAAGCCTCGACAGTGCTCGAAGTATCATCTCCGGAAAGATTACTCACTTGTTTGTAGTCCATACGGACAGATACAATCACTTCACTTTCTTCCCATATTGCTTGCCTCTGCCCTTGTCCTTCTTCGGGTGTTTGTTACCCCTACGATCGTTGTGATGCCGACCTCGATCGAATGCAGGCTTGTGGTTAGGTTTCGCGCCTGTGAACGGCAAGCCAGCCTTCTTCGACTTCGCGTAGCTGGACTTAGACAGATCAACTTTATCGAGCGCTGACATGGCCACATCGTCGTCAAGATCGAGCCCCGTCGTAGATTTCCGCTTCTTGCCCGAGCGTGTTCGACTGGTCTCATCTTCGTCGTCGTCGTCCTCATCTGAAAATGCTTCCCCTTCTTCCTCGGAATCCAGAAAGTCGAAATCAAGACCATCCGTTTCGCGCGCAGGTGTACTCGTCTCAATCGTGGTAGTCACACCACCCTTCTTCTTGCGCTTGAATGCACCATACGTCTGCCTCCCGTTGCCCTCAACCCCCTCGTCGTCTGACCCTGAAGTCGTAGCATCATCATCTTCCTCATCTCCGTCTTCATCCTGCCGTTCAACAGGCCAATCCACATCCAACACCCACTCCGTCTCAACCGTATTATTCGCAAACCCAAGCTCCGATCTCCTCGCCGCCAATAGCGCCTCATACGCAGAGTTTGCTTTTATAGCGGCGCGCACATCAGATTTGTCAGCGTAGAGGCGAGGTTCGGAAATGGGTGTGGTTGGGACGGAGGAGTCTGGGGTTGTAGTAGTATGTGTTGTTTTGCGTCGCTTGGATGTTGGTTCTGAGGAGGGGGTCGTGGGTGTGCCCGTGGCTGATCTTTGCATGAACTATGTAGGAGCTGTCAGTTGGTTCTATTATGGCTGTGAGAGGCTGTTGTTTGGGATTGTTGATGGTTCTACGGTACCTTCATGGTCAGTAGTCGGCTGGACATCTGTTTTGGTGGCGCATCGAGGCGCGGTGTGGTTGCGCCTGACATTGTGTCTGTATGTTATGGGATGTTTGTATGCGATATACGCAAGTAGGAGATGTGTTGGAAGTTCGATCTGGGAATGGTGCCGTGGTGAGGCGGAGGATTCTACAGTGAATAAAACTGTATCGGAGCCAAATTATTGCGATAACCTGAACAGAAAAAGAAAGCTCAGTCCCCGAGTTGAAGGAAGCTCCAAAATACGCGAAGTCATCCTACTTACTCTTGAGTGTCATTGGCGACACGAGGCGAATACATTACAGAAAGAAGAGTTCATACATTGTTTGTAGCTGATGAAAGACTGTCGCCAGCCCGCTCACAATCCCAGAATACTCCCACTCGAATACGATATTGTAAAGTCGCTAAGCAGACGAACCCGCAAATCATCATGGATACTCATACTACGTTATGCCTTCTCGCCTTGTATGGTGGCAACTACTTTCCTCGAGTGCTTCGAAGCCCGAAATTCGAGATACCATATTCCTTGCCACGTTCCTGTATTGAGCTTGCCGTTCGAGATCGGAACTGTCACGCTCGCACCTACAAGCGCTGATTTAATGTGTGCCTGCTCATCTTAGTATTACCTCAATATATTTGTGCTTAGCAACCTACTGGCATGTCATCCAGACCTTCTGCCGAATGTCGATAAAGTGTGCCCTTCTTGTCCTCCGGTGCCAGTCTGTCTAGAGCATCACTCATGTCTTCTCTTACGTCGCTGTCCCAGTTTTCATTGAGCGACAGACCGCACGAGGTATGCTGAACAAAGAGATTGAGAAGTCCAATTTTGTAGTCTTTGATTTCTGGCAAGTTCTTCACTACCTCATCAGTGATCAAGTATGAGCCTCTTGACTTCGAGGGCAGTGTGAAGGATTTCTGAAACCAAGACATGTTGGGAGTGTTAGGGATGCAGCCTGCTGGACAAGTGATCGAGGTCACAACTGGCGTACTGCTCGAGAAGATGGCGCGAAACGGTAGGAGGAGTAGGAACTGTGGTGCGCCAGGAAAGAGGGCTACCAGAAAGATGAGTATGAGGATCGTGGAAAAGTGGTGGTTCTGTGTGATTGAAGGCATTGCTCGTTCTTGAGAAATGAACTGCGATTTCGAGTAATAAGAACGTCATAGTGGATTATCGGGAGTTCGCAAGAAATAGCTCCGAGCACGCTTCTGCTGTAACAGTTAGCACAAAGACCAACGCTGCTCTCGGCGAATACTGCTAACGTCAGCTCCTAATAGCTATCAATGTGTTTCAAAGCAGGGAAACAAATCCACGAAGCCAGATTGTGATGAGACGAATGCATTTCCCTTGCATATATACAATTCAACACCGATTTAGCATTGCAGAACAGCCGAAAGTTAGGCTTATCTGTTGGCATAAGCTCGATCCTCCTTGTTGTCTGAAGTGTCGTCTTGAGGAATAGAATTGGCGTCCAGCTCGCCTTTGAGCGCAGGGAATTCGCCTTGAATTTCGCCCATCTGAGTTTTCGTCTTCGGCATAGCGACCTCATCAGGGTCACCAGTTGGATATAGTGGAAAAGCGAGTTGCTCCTTAGGTAGTGACTCTAAGTATTTTCTGTGATGTTTTTGAGCCTAGTCGTATTAGATACAATTCTGATTGTGCACAACCTATACTTACATATGGCAACCCGCAATAGGTACACCAATTGATTTTTGGCTGATTGACGTTGATGAAGATCTTTGGGTGGCCAAGTGGACCACCACCGCCGTCACAGGCGACATAATGACCGTCAACCCATCTTACTGGTTGTTTGTGAATGAGCTCGATTGCTGCATAAGGTCGTGGCTGATCTCGTCAGTGATTATGGCCTGCCTACTCGACAGCATGCAAGCTCACTTGTGCGTCTATGATAGTCTGCTCGAATCGAGGACCTGACATGGCCAATTCTCGAGGCATCTGACTGCGTGACCAAACTCCCTGTCTGTTCGGAGCTTGCATCTGCCTCTTCTTTTCCGCGTCCGTAGCCATTTCCTGTAGTGGCGCATCCCTGAGACCATAACTGTCTACCGGAGTTTCGTTTGTCTTGGACACATTGGGAGGAGTAACTCTTGTTGTAGGGTCATTGACTGGTGCTCTAACCTCCCCACTTCCTTGTCGTGCGAAGGGAGTAGTTGATGTGAAGGAACGGATTGCTTGTTTGGAAGATCTTTGAGTCACCGACTGCAGGCGCAGTCGCGCGACTGATATTGAGGCCGACATTGTTTATGTTGTATAGGTGCTGTGGTATGGACCCGTAAAGCTCGTATATACTGAGATCGAGAGGTTGCTACTGAACGATCAAGTCGAGCTCTCAGCCAATCGGCGTGGAAATGCAGTTTTGGTGGACCCTTGACCGACGTAGCCTCGTCCCAAGGCAATCGCAGGTCGACGCGGCGGGTGTGCTTGCTACAATACTGAATACTAACCACAATCATAATCTACTTGTCCGCAAAGATCAGACTCTACGAACAAGCCTGCCAGTCGACTCTGTCTTATATTGCCTTCGAATACGGGTCAGCAAAACTGCACGAAACACAAATAATAATTCACTATGGCTTCGGGCTACGATCGAGCACTTTCAGGTATGGTCTGTCCCATGGCAAACTCTTAGAGACAGCGTTAACAAGACCAGTGTTCAGTCCTGATGGGCACGTGTTTCAGGTCGAATATGCACTCGAAGCAGTGAAGAGAGGAACATGTGCTGTTGGAGTGAAAGGAAAGGATATTGTTGTACTTGGTTGCGAGAAGAGATCAGCTATGAAACTACAAGATACAAGGATAACGCCGTCCAAGATTGGTCTGATCGATACTCACGTCTGTCTGGCCTTTGCTGGTCTCAATGCTGATGCACGTATCCTGATTGACAAGGCGCGACTGGAAGCTCAATCGCATCGTCTGACGGTCGAGGATCCAGTTACCATCGAATACATCACAAAGTACGTCGCCGGTGTACAGCAGAGATATACGCAGAGCGGTGGTGTAAGACCTTTTGGCATCAGTACTCTCATCATCGGATTTGACAAGGGTGAAACCGAGCCAAAGCTGTACCAGACAGAACCTTCGGGAATTTACTCAGCATGGTAAGCATTTCCAAGCCCTGATGCCGACAACACTGACAGCGTTCTAGGAAAGCCAACGCCATCGGTCGATCGAGCAAGACTGTCAGGGAGTTCCTAGAACGAAACCACAAGGACGACATGGACCGAGAAGCCACAATTTCGCTGACGGTCAAGTCGTTACTGGAAGTGGTACAGACAGGAGCAAAGAACATCGAAATTGCAATCATGGCACCAGGCAAGACGATAGAAATGCTGCCAGCCGAGCAAATAGAGCAATATGTCAAGACTATAGAGGCAGAGAAGCAGGAGGAGCAAGCTAAGAAGAAGCCTGGTCGAGGCGGGCCAGCTGGTGCAGCTTCTTTGCCATCGAGGCCTGTCACAGAGCAAGAAGGCTCGACCGGCGTCTAATACAAATATGTGTTGTACAATGGGACGGAGTTTGTGGTCAGCATGGCATGGAGTTGTTTGCTTTGAATTAGCAGAATGCGATGCTTGCCCTTTCCCAGGTATCCCTTTTCTTCGCTGATAGAGCCAGTGTATCGGCTTCACGAGATCCCGTGTTCAAGTTCGACACGGCAGGCCAAGGATGGTCTCTCGCTCATTAAAAGGGTGCGACAGTTTGAACACATCTCTGGACCAATGATGCATATGCTCACATCTCCTTCGGCCGGTGTATTGGCTCAAAGCTCTCACAATCTGGCCGCCAGCTCAGAGTGTCCAACATCTGTTTCTCCATAGCTTGACCACTTTTCCGCAGGGTATCTTCGTACGGGTAGTTCAGGGTTGTCCTGCACACAATCCTCAAGCATACCCGAGACAGAACCGCTTATTTTGAGTGGCGCTGTATAGTATCGTCTTTCCGAGATTTGGTTCGAAACGATTGTTTAGCCCTCGCACTTAGCCTCAACCAAGCCTGTCCGCAGACGTTCCTACGTCAAAAATCGACTTGTAGTCCTTTTGCTGGACTCGGTCGTCCTTGATCATCCTGGCTACGTTAGAATTGGGCCGTTAGTCAGACTTAACTTGCCTACCTTGCGTCGACTCTTGTATCCTCACTTTCCACTTTCAACGCTGCTTGTGGTGTCTTGGCTTCGAGCACGAAATGGTTGTCACAATGAGGACAATATTCGTCACTGGTCATCTATCAGACTTAGAATACACTGACTGGGCTTTTCACGTGCCTCTCTTCGAAGTCTTCCATATTCACCCGGAAAGCCTTTTTACACTTTTTACATGCAAAGGTCATTTGTGTAGTACGTTGTAGTGGATGTGTCTCCTTTTCAGCATGGCACTCTGCGCAGTCGAACCACTTGCGGCCTTCTCCTATGTCAGTGTATCCTACAGGATCACGATAATGTGGACATACAGCATGGCGATCTGATAGACACTTGTGCGTTCAAAACATGCACGCTTCAGATTTTAGTCAAGTTGTTCTTGCAGCAAAATTTTCCCTTACCACATTGTAAAGCCTGTTTAGTTGGAAAGACGCTGCTATTGCAAAAAGTTACAACATTCTATAGCAAGCGCCGATCTTTGGGGAGCGGAGAATGCAGGGCCTGGGGAGGGGTCGGCGGAGTTTTAGTGCCTGGCGGACTCGCTTAGTAGTCCAAAAAGGTGGAACCACTACGTTACTTGCGTATGTGCTGCGCATTCCACGTGAAACCACAAAGACCGCGTGAATGACTTGGTATTCCCTCAACCACCGTTCGCGTATGCGTATATTCCAAACAAAGCCGCTACAATCCGACCTTCGTGCGCTAGTCGGCAGACTTTACACATCATAGCAACAAACATCCGTTTCGTGGCTTGCGCTCAGCTCCAATTCGATCACTTCAACCTCTACCACCACACCAGGCAGGCCTGTTTTTCGCGGATATAGATTACACAAGACACGTCAAGTCATTAATGTGTGCGTTAATGCGGAAGTTCGCGGTAGGCTGATTTGCAGACCTCTGACCATGCAAGACGATCATGGAAAGAGATGGCGACCAAGGTCCAGATACTGCTTCTATTGTGCGTATACTTGCAATTTGAGTCGTGCCTGCCATGTCTGACCACTGCCAGAAACCCGTGTCCTCCTTGAGGGCCAAATTCGAAAATCCTCAAACCCCGAACCCATCTGGCAGCGATGGCACCACCACTAAGCAGTCTACACCAGGCCTGAGGCCTGTCGACCCAAGCAAACAGCCGCCTGCCACAGTACGAGCATCGTTCGACTTACCAAGACCACAATCTCCCTGGTCAACTCAGCAGATTGATATTCAGAATGGACCTCGAACTCCGGGCCCAGCCCCTAGAGGTTCTGAGTCGCCTTCGAGATCGAACCACAAGAGACCGCTTTCCATGTTAATACAGTCTTCGCCTAAACTTACACCGTCTGTTCAGGTAGACTCGCCTAAGTCACCCCCACGAACCCTGTTTGCTCGACCCAAATCGCGCTCACCAGAAAGGAATGATACCACACCTTTCGGCAAGGTCAAAGCCCTGGTCTCCCAGCACGGCAGTAGGTCTTCTAGCAAGCCACCTACTCCAGGCGATGAAATACCTGATCCCACTTCCAACTCTGCGCCTATTCAGCCTACCGTAAGACCAAAATCTCCTATACCTCCCCCAATCAACCGAGCAGACAAGCCTAAGGTTCCTGCCAAACCACTGAACATTGCATCTACGCCCAACTCTGACCTGTCTGCGAGACCTTTATCCTTTTTGAATGAGAGAAGAGTGTCCCCTTTCAGTACTCCACCTAGCAGTGATGAGGAACAAGCTCCCGTCGAGCCTCAAAGACAGTCGGGCGAAAGAAGATCGGTTGACGTGTTAGGCAGATCTGCTGAAGGCCTTGTAGCACAAACCACTGATGCAGGTATCCACCAATCTCAACGCGATCCAAGAAGTCTTGGGTTTAGTCAGCCGAAGACAAACACTGAAAGGAGGGATCCTCGTCAGCTCGGCTTTACCACTGAACCACCTCGACCACCCAGCAGAGAGGCAAAAAGCACTCCTTTACCGACACGAAGCACCCCACCAGCAACGACAGCACCCCCCAGGGATCCTCGTGAGCTAGGTTTTGGTGCGAGTACACCAACAAATCGTCAAACAGCACCATCGATGCCTCAGAACAGAGCATCTCCACCAAAACCAGAGACCTTGCCGCAACAAGGCTCCCACAAGGATGCACGTATGCTTGGATTCTCAGAAGCCAGTCTTCCAAGCACGCTTGTAGAACCCGCTCGACCGGACCTACTCCAACGAACGATTCCTAGAATACCTCCGCCACGTCCAACCGAAGACTCAAAGCGTCCAACTTATGCTCCAGGTATCATGAAAGCACCTCCGGCTCCACGGGTCCCCTCCATTACTTCAAGCACTACACCAGCACGAAGGTCTGAGGACGTCCCTAGGCAGGCAATCCCGTCTTCTTCAGATGTCAGATTTCCACCTCCTCCAAAACGCGAAACCTTTCATAATGCTGACTTTGAGGCGTTGGAACCGTCCAACATACCGCCGTCTTTACCTAGTCGAAGAAGGTCGTTCGACGTCAATCCTCCAATCCGTGATGATTCAGATGATGCCGAGGACTTACAGCCAGAGCCAGTCACGACCCGGCACGATTACCCTGACGGCAGTCACACTAACCGTCGACCACCGCAATATCACCCTAAGAGATGGCAATTTTATACCAAGACTGACGGTAAAGCTTTCGATATTTGTGGAAGACTATACTGCACTGCGAGCTATCATACAAGGATACTCGACCTCGAAACCGGCGAAGAGGTCCTTGCATTGAACCACGGCGAGACCGTCAAACAGACGGCTGTGATATTCAAGCCCGGAGCAGACATCAAATCTGAGGGCAAAAGAATCTGGATCGGTAACAACATTGGTGATCTGCAAGAGATCGACCTGGAAAGTCATGCAACAATCGCCACCAGTTCTGCTCACAATAGAACTGAGATTCTGCGTATCATGAGGCATCAAAAAGACGTCTGGACCCTTGATGAAGCTGGCAAATTGTTTGTCTGGGAGGCGGGCGAGACAGGAGTACCAAGTATGAAAAACACGCCAATCTCGCATAAGCTCTCCATCAGGCCCACGCACGCTATGGTGGTGCAAGATACGCTTTGGGCTATGTCTGGCAAGGAGGTCAGGGTGTATCGTCCTGGTCGCGACTCGACATTCAATGTGCACAAAGGTCCTCTCCAAACTTCATCGAGCGCAGGTGATGTGACTTGTGGCACCTTCTCAGAGGCTGAAGGGAAAGTCTACCTCGGACACACCGATGGAAAGGTCACGATGTACTCACTCAAGGATCATTCTTGCCTTGGCAGCATGAAGATCAGTGACTACAAAATTAATTCCATGACCATGGTCGGCAAGAACTTGTGGGCAGTTTACAAAACTGGCAAGGTATACGTTTACGACATTTCGACTACTCCCTGGCAGATCAAGAAGGATTGGAAAGCCCATGAAGGCCCGGCAACAGGTATTGTCCTTGATCGAAGTAGTGTCTGGCTGCTTGGTCGCGTGCAAGTGGCCACTACTGGTCATGATCAGCACGTTCGACTGTGGGATGGCATGCTAGAGGATGACTGGGTCGAGAACAGAATGCACGAAAGAGATATTGACTACTGTACTTTCAGAACAATCCGAGCGTCAGTGACGACCTGGAATTGTGGTGCCACTAATCCAGCCCTTCTCCGAACAGACTTCATTGCGGATGCGATACATGCAGATGAACCAAGCCCTCCCGAAATTCTTGTCTTTGGTTTCCAAGAGGTGGTGGATCTCGAAGATCGTACAGTAACTGCAAAGTCCATTCTTGGCTTTGGCAAGAAGAAGGAGAACAAGGCTGCCGATCAACAATACCAATCTAGAGTGTATCGAGATTGGCGAGACTACTTGGCACGAAGCATTAACAAATACATTCCTCAACACGAGTACACCGAGCTCCATACGTCGTCTTTAATAGGGCTCCTTCAGTGTGTGTTCGTGCGTGCTAACGAGAGACGCAATGTCACCAATCACGCAGGATCAGACGTCAAATGTGGTATGGGTGGGCATTACGGCAACAAAGGCGCTCTTCTGTGTCGCTTCGTTCTCGATTCCTCAAGCTTATGCTTCATCAATTGTCATTTAGCAGCTGGTCAGTCGCATACCTCTCATCGCAACAACGACGTCGCGACAATCCTCGAGGCAGAATCACTACCGTCGGAGCTCGACGTGGATGTCCGTACGAACCACTATGTGGGAGGTGGCGACGGCACACAAATACTTGACCACGAAGTTTGCATCTTGAATGGTGACCTCAACTATCGTATTGACACTATGTCCAGAGCGACAGTCGTCAAGCAAATTGAATCTGGCGACTTGTCCAAACTCCTCGAAAGAGACCAACTCAATGTCTCAAGGCGTCGTGTTGCTGGTTTCCGTTTAGCACCCTTCACCGAGCTTCCTATCACATTCCCACCAACATACAAATATGATGTCGGTAGTGACAGGTACGATTCTTCGGATAAGAAACGTAGTCCAGCCTGGTGCGATCGTCTATTGTTCCGCTCCTCTGCTGGCAGGGTCAAGCAGCTTGAATATCGTCGTCACGAAAGAGTATACTATTCTGATCATCGTCCAGTGAGCGGGATCTTCAAGCTTCAGATTAAGAAAGTTGATGAGGCGAAAAGGAAACAGACTCTGAAAAGCGTATACGCCGAGTTTGAGAAGACGAGGAAAGGCATACTTGAGGAAGGATGTGTTAGCTATCTTGTGGAGTGTTTTGGTATTGGACGGGAAGAGGCTAGGCGACTCTTTCGGAGTGCGGAATAAAATTCCCTTCAAGAACGAAGAATGTTGGGTCGTATGCCAATGGCATATGAAACCAGCACGAAACTCAGAGAGAGAGCATATAGAGCCTTTCAATTGGATCTCTTCGACCATTTCCTCTATCCAAGAGATCATCACCCTGTTATCGTGTTTCGCAGCCACAGACCGCGTTCTTTCCATCGTCCCGATCTCTCACCCGCGACTCAGTCTTGAATCTTCCACTAGAGCCTACTTGCTTTTTCTTCACGTACGCCTTTCCTTATTTCCAGAGAACTCTGCCTTCATCTCTGCCTCCTTCACCGTCCCATCACTCCTTGTCCGTACAGGAAGTTCCACAGGACGTGACTGCTCCTGCGCAGACGGCAACTCAAGATCAGTATCAGTATCACAGTACTTTCCTGACGGGCCGGAGATTGCGTTTCTTCGACCTCGAAATGGTGGACTGGGTGGTGAGGTCCGTGGTTGGCCAGGTTGATAACGGTAGAAGGATTGGAGGGATGATGCTGGGATCTGTGGGTTATCGAATTGTGAGAGGAATGGATATGGGTAGGAGGATGAGAAGTCAGGTGGGGATGAGAAGGTGAAGGAGAAAGGGGTGGGAGATGAGGATGAGGATGGGTTGGTGGTTTTGTGAGTAGTGTCTTCGTCAGTATTCTTGTGAGCGTTCTTGAGAATGTTCTTGGAAGTGCCCTTGTCAGGATTCTCGTCTTCGTTGTCGGTGCTACTATCGTTGGCGCTGCTCATCCTTAATGGAGTCAACAGAGGGCGACGACGATAATTGCTTTTCTGTCATGAGAGGAAGTAGCAGAGGTAAGTCAAGCAGACGAAAACGCGACAAATACGACAACAAAGCGCAAAAGTGACAAAATGAAGGAACTTGCATTCAAACCGCCAACCCAACACGCCCCCGAAACCGAACACCCCACGTACACCTTCCAAGTGCCTGCTGGCTACTTGCAAGCACTGAGGAAAACGGGTATATATCTGCCAAGAGGTGATAGAGAAGCATATGCTCCAAGAACGAGTAGTGGCTTCTCTTATCCTCACTTCTGCTCGCTCGCTCGCTTGCTTTGCTTGTCGACATAGTTGCAAGAAAACAATGATTCAAACCTTTCATGCGCTTCCTGGTATCGTACTTTTCACATATCTCTTAGGCTTCTGCTCCCTTCTTCTTCTTTTGCTCGACCTTCAGTAATAGCGCTCTGTTGATGTGGGGTAGAACACCACCGAACGCGATTGTGGCTCGGATCAAAGTGTCCAACTCTTCGTCGCCTCGAATAGCAAGCTGCAGGTGGCGAGGCGTGATACGCTTGACTTTGAGATCTTTCGCGGCATTGCCGGCAAGTTCGAGGACTTCGGCGGTGAGATATTCAAGGACTGCGGTTACATATACGGCGGCTGAGAACGCGTCAGCAGCTAGCGCGGACTCAGGTAGGGCAGGCATACCTTTTGCGCCTACGCGCATCTTATTCTGAGTGTTGTTCTTGAGGAAACGCTTGACTCGACCGCATGGAAACTGTTAACGCGTCAGTATGTTGTTGTCATGATAGCGTTATTCGCAATTCAGATTAGGGTCACAAGCTCGGCGCGTAAGCTATGCTTTCTGGTTTCAAACCCGACTGCAGCCCAGAATACTGGTCGCGACGCGTCGGCAGGAACCAGCGCTCTCGATGGCCTCAAGTAACGCGCGCGTTCTCGATCCCGACCTTCACCTTGACCCCAATATGACTGCTGACAGGGCGACTTACCTGCAGACCAGCCTTTGCGCTGTGCGATTTCTGCGTCTTCGTGCTTGAGTCCTTTGCGCCTGACGCCTTGCCTCCAATACTCTTTCCTTTGCCTCCTGCCATTGTGTTGTACTTGGTATTCGTCTGTTCCGGGAGAATATAGTGCGAACGTGATATGTATGCGACACAATTCTGTGAAGTGAAGAAAAGTGACGCGTGGGGTTGATGAAGGAAGATGTCACAGAGCCGAGAAGTGGATGATGGAAGGCAGGCGCGTTTGCTGGTGGGGCCACTGCGTGCTTGGCATATTTCCTTGTTCAATCCAAGTCACAACAATGGTGTGTGATGCTTGGGATGAGCTGGACTATCCTACAAAATGGTCAATATGCGGAATTTGTGCTGCTTACCATTCAACATGAGTCTAGATAAATATCGAAGACTGTATAACAGCGGGATCCGTGGTTGTGAAGTTCTCAACTCGTTCCAGAGTCGTTCTTACCAATTCTCAGTGCACGAAGGCTGCCATGCAGCACAGGGTATGTGTGCAAGCAGCATGATGGCTCATCAACAACATTCTTTGACCGGCGACGAACAGAACGTTAGGCAAAGTATCAAAGCTTCTGCTATCAACACAGATAGGACAACTGCTACAATTGTCTTGCTCAAGCTGGGCAGTAGGAAAGAACGAAAGTCTCATCACGTGGGTATCAGGAAAGGCAGCTTTTCCGAAAGCATTTCACTGAGGCTACCTTACTGGCACGAGAGGGCTCAATATACTAGTGGCATCAAGTTACTGCCATATGTGTGTGAGATACCAAGAGCATAAGACTAATTGACTAAGGCGATGCCATGACCTTTATGCTTAATTGACGCAAGATTTCTTGCTATTATTAATGGCACAAACACCTTTCTCTCAGTAGAACACCTTCTCATGCATTGTATTGTCCTTGCACCATGTATCTCGTTGCTTACTTAGAATTACTCTCTTTAACAATTCTTTCAAAGTCACTAAATCAGTATCTCCAATAGATCTTTTGCACAAATGCTCATATCGCATTTCCCGCACCGAGTATGACTCCTGTGCCCAAATTTTGCACGCTTTCCTCGTTCGTAAGGGGTTATCAGATGTTGTGACAGGGTCGTGGTATTCTTGGTCGTGTTCGTCTCTAAGCCGTTGAGTTTCATATGCGCAGTCGTAAGGCTGCCCTCGTGCGTCTAACTTTTGCCGTCCTGGTAGAACTGCTGATTCGTCACATCGTCAGGTCGTTTATCTCATCAAAGGCTCCGAAGAGCTTCGTCAGTAGAAGGGGGTATCTGTTCAAAAAGTTTCATTCGGCGATCGCTGAGGTAGCAGATCGCAATTCATCGCTGCCACGTCCATTGTGACGACGGAAGCCCATCACACCGTTCGAGGTGGGTCCTCGAGATTGACGGAGTGGTGCGCCATTCTCCTGACCAATGCTTACAGTACGTTTGCTGCCAATTGGTGCGGTGGCTTGATAGGATGGTTGGTCCTCCCAGGTCGAGGTACTGTTGAAGTAGTGGCTTCTTCCACGACGAGGGCTTGTTTGGCTGTTGTTGTTACCGATGTTTAGGTTATTGAATCCGGATATCAAGAATGGCTCATCTCTGCCAATGCCAAGAGCAGAGTTTGATGGTACTGGAGTCAGAGTTGGTGTGTTGGAGCCAACTGTATCACCAATGGCGTGAATGCGCCCGTTAGCTTGGATAGCAGGGAAGCTAGCTGAGGATTGAGCAGGAGATGGACTCCACGATCTCAGATCAGCATATGATTTTGCATTGCGAAGGTTAGCGTTGTCTGGTCGACCAAACGCGTTATTATCGCCGACATCCAACAAGCCCACAGAAGCCTGTCCACGTAGCTGAGCATAGCTTGGTCCATCATAGGGGCGACTGACATCGAAGTCGGAAGTGGAGGTTCTTGCCAGTGGTTGCCGGGTATTGATGGCCGGATTAGGTGGACTGATGTTTGAGCCTGGTGCAGGTCGTTGAACATGAACCTGACGTTGTTCACCGGCTCCGTGCGATGTGTGCGAGAGACCCATATGATGAGCCAGGGTGTGTACGAGGCGACGGTGCTCAGGTGGCAGATCTTGAGGGAAGATCAAAGTCTCAGGCTCAGTACTGTTCTTGAAGAGAGTAAGCTGCGTGTAGAAGTCAAGGGTAACCTGGTCATTCATATCGATGTCCGCTGATGGAGCTTGCCTAGCTGGCTGTCGTTGAGAAAGGGGTGATGGAGTATTCCTTGCCTGCGACAAAGCAGAGATAGACAGCTGGGTATGTAGCGGGTTCTGTGGAAGAGGTCGGTGCTGCTCCTCCAGCTGACCGCGACGTTCTCTTTTCTCTCTTTCTATTCTCTCTCTTTCCGCCAGTGGCAGCATTTTCTTATACTCAACACGAAGCTTTCGACCACTCAGCTCCATATGGTTCAAGGCTTGGATGACTTGTTCAGTTTCGTTCGGACTGGTGAAGTTCGCAAAAGCCAGACCTCGAAATACTCCGTTGTCGAAGTGGTAGTTGAAAGCATACGGAAGGGGCAGGTTCATGTTGACCATTAATTCGACAAGTTGCTCCTTCTTGACAGCAAACGGGATATTTTTAATTACTATAGCTGTAGGGATGAGTTCGTCATCGTCCAGCTGGTCCTGGTGACCGGTAAGGGATGGCTGACGACCTAGCTGAAGCGATGGCTGTTGGCCGTACTGAGGTTCGTCCCACAACTATTTCATGGTTAGTCACTGGTTCTAGAAACATCACACTCAACTCACATTTGACAGACCAACGCGACCACGACTTGGTCGAACACTACGAGAAGGATCTTGGTGGCCACCCAGCCCTACCCCAAAATTTGGAAGGCCGTTAGAACCAGCGTTCCAGGTCTGCGCTGCGGCTGAATCGTATGGGAAATTCACGCTGCCAACCGGACCATTAGGCATGCCGTTCCGCATATGAGGTCCAAATGGTCCTACACCAAAACGTAGGTTCTGGCCATTGCTGTTATTGCTGAATGAATTATTGTTTGCAAACATGGCACCCTGCATTGACCCGTACGCGCTATCCATCGGTCGAGAGTTTGCTCGATTCAGCTGAGGATTGCGATAGGATCGAGGTGATCGGGAGGGATGATCATCGTAGAAGCCGTCGTTCATGTTGGAAAAAGTGGCCATCTCTTGTGCTGAGTCGACCAAATTCCAGATCCTGCTTGCTGTTCAAACGCGACGGCCTGATACGTCTCAAATATCCCTGACAACAAGGGATTTTGCCAGACTTGCTGGTCGGAACCAGAAAATCAAGTTTAAACTCTAGTCTCGAGGTTCCTACCTCAAAGTTGCTGATTGTCTCACACAAAGTCGTAAAGCGCACAGTAGGAGGGATGCTCGAACTCGCAGAAGTTGAGGAGAGGAGATTAGGTAGCGTCGCAATGCAAGGAGTGGGAAAAATTCATGAATTCGCGCACAGTCGTGGCCAAATGTCGCATCAAAAACTCATCGAAAAGACATAACAACTAGAACGATGGGTTTCAGAATCGTAACAAGGAAGATGTACTGCTGAGTACAAACAGGAATTAAAGTAATCTGCAAAAGTGGTAAAGGACGAGGAAACATCTCAAGCAACCACGAGAGATTGAGGTGGACTAGCGTGAGCCTTAGCCTGAGCGTATTCTACTCGTAGGTTAGTAGGGAGAAAATGCTCCTCCATACCCGGTTCCAAGCATTGAAACTCTTTGAGCTCTTTATTAGTGTCTTCTTCTGGCTGCCCGAACGCCAACCGTTGCCTGATTATCGAACCTCTTCAGAAGCCACGGATTTCCTCATCTTCAAACCTGGAAAACCCTCCACAATTCGTCTTGAACAACAGGGGCAGGTTTGAGGTCCACGCCACGTCTTGAAATCCACAAACCACCTTGCCAGTTCCAACCAATCTCCTTCGCCTCACTATAGACGATGCATGGTACGATAGACATGGTGATTGAACACAACCCAAAACGATCAATATCTGTGATCGCACAATCCATGCTGGGTCGATATGTCAAGCCTTTCGTGCACGATCTAACTGAGGTCGCGTCGCCTCGCAGCTTCTCCAGTAGCAGACAACCACTGCAACGCACCTGACTTGTGTCGATTGAGGCACTTGACACCTTTTTGTGACTTGTGACCCGTTCCCTCCTTGCATAACCGTTCCCCTCCCTTGCTTTTGAGCCACACCCAATCTCATCTACTCCATTGCCTTTCGTTTGTGCATGTCTTCATCATCTTCAATTCCACCCTAATGGTTCTCCTATTCCATATTCTAGCTTGGTGTCTCTCCACTGTCCGCCTGGCCCGTCCGGATCATCCCTCATGCTCGAAACCTTGTCGATCAACAGTTATTTTTGCTCGTGCAACCGCATGACTCCTGGGCCAATGGTCCAAGATAAAGCCTGGCATGCCCAGGCTTGTGCCTATCATGGATTGTGGCAGATTCTATGTCGTATCGATTGATACATCATATCCCATGTTACCACAAATCACATATCATACGAGTACGAAATTTACGCACGACAACATCCCTAGACAGCCGAAGTGAGCAGGATTCTGGATCATGCCCAACGCGCACCGGATGCTGTCTCTCAGCCCTATAACACAGGTAGATTGGTGATACGAACCAGTCCTTGCAAGTAGGAGAGTCCTGGTTACTTGGTCTCCACGTAGCCATGTCGCTAGTCTTTCCGACTCAGAAATCTGTTGTCTTCTATATTGACAATGTGCTCTCGTTCTCGCAACTACGTATGGTAATACACTGGAATTAATAGCCGTCGGAAAATTCCCACATTGTAGACCCGTGTTATTCCCGGCAAGCCCTGGGAGGCGCATCTCATTGAAACTCTCCATGAAGCATGCTGGTGACTGCTTACGACATGGCCGCCTGCCTCTCACCTCTCACACAAACCAACGGCCAGCGCTTCAATGACTCAGTAGAGACCTCGAATAAAGTGCACACAATAAACGAGATGCACGAGTTCGACGCTGATAGCCTTATCTCAACATCCTGATGCTCGTCGTTGCGATCAGTAATCCATGCCACATCTGTCTGCTCCTATGTCTCTGCACTCCGTATCTGACAACTTCTTAGGAAGGAAGTAAAGCAATAGTATGGTGAAGGACAATCGCTTGCGTCATGATCGTGTCAGCCATAGCTGAATGAGGTTGGACACACGTGTATTTCGATGGGCAAACAACTCATTGAAGCATTGAACCTCTAAACCAACATTGTAGGGTTGAGTGACTCAAGTTGATACAGGCAAAGGTCCCTAAGGTCGCATGCAAGACTGACTAGAGTACCACTAGTGCAACCAACCATGCCTTCCGCTCTGTTCGGCCACCTACCACTGCCTGGCAAATCTGCCACTACACTTCCAGCCTTCGTCTACGGAACAGCTTGGAAGAAAGACCTCACTGCTTCCTTAGTCTTACAAGCCCTACAAAACGGCTTTACTGCGATCGACACAGCTTGTCAACCACGACACTATCGGGAGGACCTCGTCGGCGAAGGAGTTCGGAAATACCTCTCTTTAAACAGCAATATCAGCCGCTCAGACCTATACATCCAGACCAAATTCACATCGATTCATGGGCAGGATCCGAACAATATTCCGTACAATCCAAAGTCGAGTCTACGAGAACAAGTCGAGAAATCGATCGAGACGTCCTTAAGAAACTTTACTATTTCCTCATCTGAGACGCCATATCTCGATAGCTTAGTTCTGCACAGTCCAATGCCATCGATGCCGGAGACGCTCGAAGTCTGGTCAGCACTGGAACAGTACGTGCCCGACAAAATTCGCAACCTAGGTATTTCCAACACGAACTTGTACACCTTAATGGAACTCTATGAGCGTGCCACGGTCAAGCCTGCCGTCGTACAGAACAGGTTCTACGCGGCAACGAAACACGACACCGCGGTACGGAAGTACTGTAACGAACGAGGGATCATCTACCAGAGTTTCTGGACACTGACTGGGAATCCGAATTTGTTTAAGAGTAAGGTCCTAGCGGAGACGTCTCGACAGCTAGATGTACAGCCTGCTGAAGCTTTGTACTGTCTCGTACTTGGACTGGATAATACTGTAATCTTGAATGGAACTACGAGTGTTGAGCATATGAAGGAAGATTGGGAAGCTGTAAGGAAGGCACAAGAATTTACAAAGAATAACAGCAAGCAGTGGGGACAATTAGTCATGGATTTCAAGAAGACAATTGGACAGCTTGTTGCATAAGACGCTGCACTCCGTTTCCCCCTTCACTCTTCGATGTTAACCTTCTCCTTATACAAGCACTGAAATAAGCTCTTTCAATCGCATCTTCTGCCAATCCAGTCGTATAGTCATCAAGCACTCGACTCGCAGTGTTCATAAAGTGATTCGAATAACACTTCCTCTGCCTCGTCCTCGCTCATCTCCTACACGGACTCTTCTGTGTCGTGGTAATCGCCGTATGTATGCATTACATTGTGGCACATAACATGTGTCTAGAATATAGTACTCACTACTAGTAGGTAAAAGTATGCTGATTCACAACTCTCTAGTCTTCTTTGTTACCATCCTCGTCCTCGTCCTCCTCCTTTTTGTGTTTCTTAGTAGGAGTGTCGATCGCGTCTGGCTCATCGTCCTCGTTGGCAATCGCAGCTTTTCGTTTCTTGCCCAACGATTTGGGGGTCGGCTTCGCCTTTGCCGCCGACTTCTTGGTGGAAGGTGTATTAGGTACGCCGACGCCTCCCTCGTCTGCTTTGGCATGCAGAGCCTCAGCTTCGCGCTTGAGTTTGTAGAATCTTTGTCTGCGAGAGGATAGTGTTAGTGCTTATACAAAGTGAAAGACAAAAGTGCTGGTAGGATAGAAAACACGAACGAGCAGGCGTTAGCATTCACGCCTCCGCCAATCACGGCCGCCACGTCTGCAAACATCGATTGGGGCGGCTTGATATCAAGGCTCTTGATGATTTGGAACAGCATCTCTCGCTCCGCCTCTGGAGTCCATTTGAACGGCATTGTGGTGTTGGAGTGCTTTCTTCTTCGGAGATGTCCTAGTGGTGGGAATGAATAGAAGTGAATTTTGTCATAATCCTGAATGTGATAAGACTCGAGAGTGGAAAAACGATCGAAACCGATCGAGATGGAAGAGGATATCGGAAGTGGTAAGTAGGAGTGGTGAAGAAGACGATCGAAATAAGTCGATCTATAGGCAGCACGCAGGGAGAACTGGCGGAGCTAGTGAAGTAAAAGCCTTACTTTCACTTCAGCTTGCTACCTAAGTGTCGACTCGTCCAACTAGTGGCTCCTAAAGGCGGGTGGTAGGCTCTTGGAATCACTCTTTGAAGAGTAGATATTCGGTTCCAGGAGAAATTTGAAGAATGATATAAGTCAGCGAGGTGGTGTTTGCGCACACGATATGTTGGTTATATACACTTTATCACAAAGATGGCACATGGATAGGAAGAAAACCTCACCGTAGAGTCCCCGCTTTAACACCCAGCTGGGCAGCAATTTCTGTGCAGGTCTTCGTGACCGGGACCTGAGTATGGAGCACCATTGTCATAAGAAAGAGCTTGTCGTCGATAGATGAGGATGTTGCTTGGGCCATAGTTGCGAGAGGTATCGAAATGAGAGGCAAGTTGAGAGATGTTCGTAGTCGAGAAGCGAAAATGGGTAAGAAAGTCGATAAGTATCTACTGACAGCAGTAAAGGCGAAGCTGAGAAAGGTAAAGGACGGTGCTAATCAAGAAAATCTATAGAATCACATGTTAATAACAATACCTTTGTATAGCTAGAAGTGAAGGGCAAGTCAGCTCGGTCGTACTCCAAGTAACAGCTCACCTGCTGTTACATCCTGTTAACTCGTGGACTCGTACATACTCCGAAGCTAGAGGAACCTTCATCACTAACGTCCTGCATCTCTCCAGGGCTTCAGAATCTGATAGCAGCACGATCGTCGCATGCAATAGCGAGACATCCTCAACAAGTGTATAGTGTATGTGTTGTAAGATATGTCACACAGCGTCAGTTTCCATTTGAAGTCCTTTACAGCAGATCATGGGAATTTTCGACTTTCACTGAGCATGCCTTTGTCATGGCCAGGCTGATTGTGCAGCCTTTAACGATGAGCGAACCTTGGCAGAAAGACCTGCCGTCTCGAGGGTCGACCGTGGGCGAGGGTCCCGAGAACCGCTCTAGAGGCAGTCAAGGTCAACTTAGTGCTACCTTACTCCGAGAGAAGGTAGAACTTCTGTCTTCATACTGAAGCTCGCCATGTTTAGGCAGCGGCATAACCTGCTGAGCTTGGTCCAAGCATCCACGGGCATGGACTACGTAATCATTGACGTGTCGTTGTTGTCAACTCCAGCTGGAGGCTTTTTACGTATGAGAGTATGGATCAGATTCTCGGAAAGCAGATGACGGGCTCTGAGCGAATGGGCTCTAGAAGTGAATGTGTAGGTATTTTCGACTGAGGCACCCGCCTGCAATGACGTTAGCGGTCACACTGCGCCGCCGCATGCCGAAGCTTCAGGGCTTGCGCCCACGTTGGCCGGCGTTTCTTGATGCCCCACCATAAACACCAACAGTGCTGTGTCTGTCACATTGACGAGTGCACACTCGCAAATCTTTACTGATTGACACTCTCCATTTCTTGTTGCCTGAACTCACGGTCCTGTTCATTTCCGGTCGCCTTCCAATATCAGTTCACACGCCTGACCGCATTCCTCTGTCCCCGAAATCTGAGGTCTGCACACACTCTGCCTCTTTTGCTCAACATTTGACAACATCTCAATACAACACATCCCGAAATCATGGTACGAAATCACGAAAACATATCTGCTGTCCATACTGATCGTCGCTAGCCTGTCTCAGGGTAAGCACACCGCGAAGAGCACAAATCCAACTTGAGGTCTAGAAAAGGCCAGCCTAACATATTCATCGCAGTCTTTCAGTCAACCCAGAGTGTGTCTCTACATTCAACGAACTGAAACTAGGTCGTGGGGGTCCCAAATACATTATCTACAAGATTTCAGATGACCAGAAAGAGATTGTAGTGGACGAAGTCGGCAATGATGCAGACTACGATGTGTTCAGAGAGAAGCTCATCAGCAAGAAGGAGAAGAATGGCAAATCGAGACCCTCGTATGCCATCTACGATGTCGGCTTCGAATTAGAAGGTGGTGAGGGCAAGAGGTGAGACAATTACGTGGTATGCTGTTATTATACTGAACAAGCACAGGTCCAAGATCACATTTATTACCTACATTGACCAGGACAATACTGGTGTCAAGGTTAGCACATTCCTCACATGCTTGATCCTAGCTAACGAATCGCAGTCTCGCATGGTCTACGCTAGCTCTCGAGAAACCCTCAAGAACGCTTTGAATGGTATCGCAATGAACTGGCAAGCAAACGACTCTGGCGAACTCGAATGGGCCGATCTGCTCAAGGAGGCAAGTAAGGGGAAGGGCACGGTTTAGGTCATTTGATTTGTCTGAAGCATGACTATTTACGTCCGGAAGACCTATATGGTCACCTACTGCGATGAAGCACGCGAGCAGGGTTTTCAGATAAGTTGTGGACATGAGCTCGACTGCAACGCACCACACTCGCGACAGCGGAAAAGAATGAAAAGCGTTCAAACGTGCTACGGATATGAGCGTACAATCACTTCTTGAGCGATCTGGACTTACATACACATATTCATCAGAGTTCTCAACCTGCATATTGCTGTAGTCTGCGATCGACCGTCGATATGGTTTCTTACGATTACATGTTTCTGACGCTATCATCACACCACTCAAATAGCTGCGCGTCCTTTCTTTCCGAAGAACCGTAGTGGAGACTAGCGCCTGCCAAGCTAGTTTCGAGCTCTTCCTGCGAGACTTCTGACCCCGAACACGAGACTTTGACACTTCGCAACCAACAACTCGACGCTCCGTGACCTGCAAAGCGTCTACGACCTGTCAAGGTCGAACACGATCCAGCTACACATGAACTGAGACCACCACTGAGCAACCAAGCAACATGATTCTCCCCTCCTTAAACCCCCGTCTGGCCGGCTCCTCGATAGCTGCGCGGTCGTGCACTCGAGCATCACAACGCTCCTTCCAGACATCAGCAAGAGCTCTTGCGCCCACGTTCGCTGCCAGCCACCAGCCGCCTGTTACAAGTCAATCTCGACAATCGACGAGATCAGCTCACGCGATATCCAACCCAACCCTGGCTGGTATCGAGAAGAGATGGGAGGGCATGCCACCACAGGAACAGGCTGAGCTATGGATGCAGCTGCGAGATAGGATGAAGGTCAACTGGAATGAGATGACGCTGCAAGAAAAGAAAGCTGGTATGCTTGAATCTACGTTATGAATGACGTGCAGTCGTGCTATGGCACGGTATTGACATCTGACCTTGATCGCTAATATGAATCTTTGCAGCTTGGTGGATTGCATTTGGACCTCACGGACCCCGCGCTGAATCACCCCCAGGCGAATGGCCAAGGATTTGGCTATATACTGGAATTGGTGTGGCTGTTTCCGCGATACTATTCCTCGGTGTTCAGTCTTTCGCACGTCCACCACCACGAACTATGACTAAAGAGTGGCAAGAAGCAACCAATGAGTACCTCAAGGTGAGCCTTAAGCACGACATGCATGATGGACACAGTCTAACGCTTCTTAGGAAGAGAGAGTCAACCCTATCTATGGTATCAGCAGTGAAGGGTATTCTGGCAAGGGTTACGTGCAAAGCAAATCTGCGAAAGCCCTTGGTGTCAAGATCGAAGAGGAGGAATAGACGACTTCAGAACGTCTCGAAGATCCTACTTTTACCACAAACTTTCTGCTATAGGGCGTGCTCCTGGGTTCACATACGAGATGTCTTCTTTGGCATTGCAAATTCGATAGCACATGTACAGAACCTGAATCTTATTGATGGTGCAATAGAAGGCAAGATATTGATACTGAGTCTGTGTTGGTGTCGTGGGTGGCTCAGCAATTTCCCCAAAGAACTGCTGTCTAGTGTAATACTCCCGGCTTTGAAAATGCCCACGACCCCGAGCACTCATTTCAGCTACTGTCTTGACTTTTTGAATAGCTATGATATTGTGTCGGGCTTTGCTTCATTGATCGATTGTGAATAGCATGAAAGGTCTCCTTGCGAAACACCTAACTCGTCGTGAAGTCTAATCGAGTTCTCTATCATAGAAACAAGTACTATATTTTTGCGACGAGTGATCGTACTCGTTTGGATGCTTCGGCCATAATTTCTATGAATGATGCTGTGACTTTCAAGACCCACCAGAATGTGATTGGGAGATTCCACGTGACTCGTTAGCTTCCGTTCCGAATCGCACCTTTCGAAACTTCATAGCTTCGACCTTCCTCCTTGCCAGTCAAGTACCCATCTCCGCTCTTCATATACCGTCTCAATATATCCGCAACCATGTTCAAGCAGTGAGTACACAGCTTCTGACGACCTTCGAAGCTCTTTTGGACGACCAATGCAGGTGCTGACGATGGAATTGTAGCGGCATCGCCCGCGCCTTGGGCAGGTCTGCTCTCCGACCAACAGCTACTCGACGCGCATTCGAGCCTCTCCGAACACAAGCTCTACCAGCATTGAGCACGAGATTCGCCAGCACAGACGCCAGCAGTGGTGTTGGAGATGGCAAGATTCATCAGGTCATTGGTGCCGTCGTCGACGGTAAGAGAACCCCTCGCCGCTCCCAGGGAGTACCCGGAGCTTTATACTTCTACATAGAGCTATGAAACCCAAGAAAAACAGAGCTGATGAGGTTCTCTTACAGTCAAGTTCGATACCGAGACACTACCTTCGATCCTGAACGCTCTAACTACCCAGAACGGAGACAACAAACTCGTATTGGAAGTCGCTGTACGTCTAAACAGCATGAAGCAAGAAAGAAAGTACATCTACTGACACTGACAAGCAACATTTGGGTGAAAATACAGTACGATGCATTGCCATGGACGGTACGTTTAGAAAATGGCCACCATGGTTTAGCATCGACTAACCATTACAGGTACCGAGGGTCTGGTCCGTGGTTCAAAGTGCACAGATACTGGTTCTCCCATTAAGATTCCAGTCGGTCCAGGTACTCTTGGTCGTATCATGAACGTTACTGGTGACCCTATCGATGAACGAGGTCCTATCAAGGCCACCAAATATGCTCCCATCCACGCCGAGGCTCCTGAATTCGTCGAACAATCTACATCTGCTGAAATTCTGGTCACTGGTATCAAGGTCGTAGACCTGCTAGCCCCATATGCCCGTGGCGGAAAGATTGGTCTCTTCGGTGGTGCTGGTGTCGGCAAGACTGTGAGTTGGGCGGCTCATTAGAGGGTTCACAAGCTAATAACCTATCAGGTGTTTATTCAGGAACTGATCAACAACATCGCCAAGGCTCACGGTGGTTACTCTGTCTTCACTGGTGTCGGTGAGCGAACTCGTGAGGGTAACGATTTATACCATGAAATGCAGGAGACCTCTGTCATTCAGCTCGATGGTGACTCCAAGGTCGCTCTGGTGTTCGGCCAGATGAACGAGCCTCCTGGAGCTCGTGCTCGTGTCGCCTTGACTGGTTTGACCGTTGCTGAATATTTCCGTGACGAGGAAGGACAGGACGGTAAGATACCTCAGTTTTTTCGCTAAGCAACTACTGACCTTCGATAGTGCTACTGTTCATTGACAACATTTTCCGATTCACCCAAGCCGGTTCCGAAGTATCCGCCCTGCTAGGTCGTATTCCATCTGCCGTCGGTTACCAACCAACTCTTGCCGTCGACATGGGTGTCATGCAGGAAAGAATTACCACCACTCAGAAGGGGTCCATCACATCCGTACAGGCTGTCTACGTCCCAGCTGACGATCTGACTGATCCTGCTCCCGCCACCACCTTTGCTCACTTGGACGCCACAACTGTGTTGTCTCGAGGTATTTCCGAACTTGGTATCTACCCAGCTGTGGATCCTCTTGATTCCAAGTCTCGTATCCTTGATCCTCGTGTCGTCGGTCAGGAACACTACGACACTGCCACCCGTGTACAACAGATGTTGCAAGAGTACAAGTCGCTACAGGACATCATTGCCATTTTGGGTATGGACGAGTTGTCAGAAGCTGACAAGCTTACTGTCGAGCGAGCCCGAAAGCTACAGCGTTTCTTGAGCCAACCTTTCACAGTCGCTCAAGTTTTCACTGGTATCGAGGGCAAGCTCGTCGATGTCAAGGACACCATCAAGTCTTTCCAGCAGATCATGCAAGGAGAGGGTGATGATCTACCAGAAGGTGCTTTCTACATGGTCGGTGACTTCGAGAGCGCAAGAGCCAAGGGTGAAAAGGTACGTTCAACATGTGACACGGGATGTAACATTGCTAACTTACTCGACAGATCTTGGCCGAGCTCGAGAAGTCGTGATTGTAGTCCTGATATAAACAGGCTGGCCGATTCGCGTTCGCGGCAGATATTCAATATGCTGCAAAATGCCTGCAGTAGCAGGGATCTTCCTTTTGTATGCTATAAAATGCTTCTCGCGATGGATGGGCACGCGTTGTAGAAGAGCCTTGTGTACATGAATCATTTCTCCGAACTCTTGAGGCGCTGGTCACCCTGTTTTACGCTTGACCGATTGTCGAGTTTGTTTGCAAGCTTCGAGTTCTGAGTCAGCATGCTGTATCGAAACGAACCGTCTGAGCCATGTCGGCCGACCTGCCACGCACGTGGCTACGCATTCCTCATTTCAGCGCGTCTCGTTTCAGATCTTCTTGTTTCATAAATCGCTGAATCACAACCTACCATTGGCTCCGCCACTTGAGTCGAACATCTGCTAGTTCTCTGCCATATGGTCAAGAACGTCCGTGTTCCTTTTAGTGGTATTCAAGCTTAAGTCGCAGCCACCGGATGTCGTGACAAACACTGTATGTCTACAGGTAAGGAGCGTGATGCTTGGGTGAGACTCGAAAAGGACGGAGTATTTGTGATGCTTATTTCAATGCATTGAAACGTCGTGGCATTGCTATAGCCTACCATGATCAAAGCTGCTCTTAGTCAGAGTGAAGGTATTGCGTGTCTCTGGTTGAGCCAGCAACCATATATTCGCCTACCAACGCCGAAAATTCAGCATTTGTCACCACCACTACCTCCACGCACTGTCTGTTCCTGATTGTTCACCACTTTTACCTACCTCTTCCACTTCCATTCGTTTATTTCGTGTACTATTGATGTTCAATATGCACAAATCACTCTCTTCACATTTATTGCTGCCGGCCGGCATTCTATCTCTTTGTTTTCAGTATGCGCAGAGCGCGTACATCCTGGCAGATGATTATTCGGGCGAGGAATTCTTTAAATCATTTTCATTCTTTACAGATGCCGATCCGACGAATGGGCATGTCAAGTACCAGTCGATGAGCCAAGCCAATGCTACTGGTTTAGCAGGCTTTATGGATGGTGGGAATGCGACGAAGGCGGTATATATGGGTGTGGACACCACGAGTGAGACACCTCAGGGAAGAAGTAGCGTCCGAGTGCAGAGTATGAAGAGCTACCAGCATGCGCTTGTGATTGCAGATATTGTCCACATGCCTGGATCTGTGTGTGGTACGTGGCCTGCTTTCTGGATGGTTGGGGAGGACTGGCCTAACAATGGTATGCTACTTCTCGGAACCACTGTAACAATTTCATGCTAATATTCTCAGGCGAAATCGATATAGTAGAAGGTGTCAACGATCAAACCTCCAATCAGATGACTCTACATACGAGCGCTGGCGCGAGTATCTCCAAGAGTAGCCACCACACACATCCAGGCAAGGACGGCAGCAACGGCAAGACCCCATCACAGCAATCCCGCCTCTTCACCGGCAAAGTCCTCACCTCAAACTGCGATGTCAATGCACCCGACCAGTCCAGGAATGCAGGCTGCGCTATCGCCGACAACACGAGCCTCACATTCGGAGCCGACTTCAACACCAACGGCGGTGGCGTTTACGCGACAGAATGGACCAGCTCCTTCATCAAGATCTGGTTCTTCCCTCGCGGCTCCTTTCCCTCCGATGTTGCCCCTGCGTCACCCTCGCCGAGCGAGAACTGGGGCCCACCGACGAGTATGTTCACTGGTGACTTCGATATGGATCAGTACTTCAAGAACCTCAGTATAGTGTTTGATACAACTTTTTGTGGGGACTGGGCAGGAAACACGTGGAAGCAGAGTAGTTGTGCGTCGTTGGCGCCGACGTGTGAGGAGTATGTTAGTAAGAACCCGGCAGCGTTTATTGAGGCTTACTGGGCTGTGAATACTTTGCAGGTATTCCAGGATGATGGGAAACTAGGTCGTGGTGCTGGTGGTAATGGGACAGAGGTGAGACCGGGCGGGCCACCGAGGGCTGCAGGAGCTGCAGGTACAGCAGCCTTGGCTAATGGCAGTTTCATCAAAAGTGCTGCGATCGCACATTCAAAGAAGTCTGAGTTCCAGCCACGAAGGCGTAGTGGCGGTGCTGTGCTTAGGAGATGAGCATGATCTATTCTATCGAGCGTTTCTAGTTCTGATGTATTAGCAAGCGTTGTTTCAAATAGTCCTATATAGTATGAGCTAGCAGCTAGAATTTTATAACCTTTGCTATATTCCACTGAGGCATAATACCACGGCTTTTTATGTCATCAAGAGTACCAGTGACTGTCAAGGCAATAATTTTTGAATGTGGCCGTCGGTATCGTCCATCGTCTTGTAGCATGTGAACACGTGAAACAGTACTGCTGAGAGCATGAACGAAGATCTCGGCTAGATCCCTTAAAGCTTGTATATGTCCAGAAAGCCCATTCCAACGTAGTCGCACATCGACGGAGAGCTGGACGTATTCCAGTCATGACTTGAACTCGTTCTCGAAAGCTTGCTTTGGTACCTCCCATCCACAACTCCTGCCATCCTTGACCTCGACTTGTGCATCTTCAGCTGTTTGCCTGTTGAGACAACATTAGCATACTGTAGGGACGAATTGACAGAGATGGGTGACACACCATTTGCCAGTCATAAGATCCCTCATATATGTATATGGACAATCGCTTGCTCCACCCATCACAGCGACATACCCACGATGTCCAAATTGGTACAGGTTGTTTTCCACACCCCAGTGGCGTCTCCGTCTCCTTACCTCTTCCACTTGTAACTCACAGGCAAAAATCTCATCAGGGCAGTCGTTTCCAGACATCAGCACATCACCTTCTGGATTTACAGCCATGGCTGCACCCATACTCTTGAATGTCCCGTCTGTTCCTGCTAGCGCGACACTTACCGTATACATCAGATTCGTGAAGGCGTTCGTTCTGTTTGTAAGCTCCCACGATTGTCGAATAGGTGGAGTGTAGCCTGCTGTCCTCAGGAGAACCTCAGCGCCTTGGTAGGCGGCTTCACGAGCCATTTCTGGGAACATGCCATCGTGACATATGATTAAGCTCATCTTGACACCTCCTGGCCCAGTAAAAGTCGAGACGCCTTGGTTACCTGGATACCACGGCTCGACTGGAATCCAAGGATGCATCTTACGATAATAGTTTATAAGCTCGCCTTTGTCGTTGATAGTAATGCCAGAGTTCCAAGGACTCGATAGTGATAAGTCGTTCTTCTCCATAATGCTGAAGCAGCCCCATACCTTCTCCTCCCTGCACACGTCTTTGAAGCTTTTGACTTCTGGCCCGTCTAGCGAGCACATTATGGCTGGATCTGTACGCATCGATAAGCCATGGCAGCAATATTCAGGAAAGACAACGAAGTCAGTTGCTGGATAGGCACGCTTGGTCCGACGGACGAGAGAGCATACATGCTCTACCGCTTGCTTCAGATCAGCAGGTGTTGCCACATCTAGTAATTGCGACTGAACAACACTGATAACGATACCACCTGGAGTTTTGTTGAGACCACCTAACCCCGACATACTGTTTCAAGGCTGTCCAGCTACCTACGGAGTCCAGTAAAAATGCGGCAGAATGCTAGTTGGTTTAAGAGCCTCGTCACCTTTTAGTGGTATTTCCTAGAGGAGTGCAAACTAGTCGTTAAAGCACATAACAAGTAAGTAGGTATGAACAGCAGAAGACAAGCTGATGGTCCGATCTTGGAGACGCGCCGCACTATTGTTTTCAACCTGTCCGCACCTGGAAGATTATCTAAATTCCTCTGATGCTTTCCGCAATTGATTCAATACCAAGCATCCATGAGATTGATTAAGTCGACCTTAAAGACCGATCGTCACGCGTCGACAACATGATGTTGTAGGCATAGCTGCAATATAGTCGTTGCTAGTGAAGTAGCAAGAGCAGTATCCGGCTCAAGAGGAAAGCCCTGGAAGACAGAGCAATATCGGTACGGAGTAATACTGTAAAGACAACATACGTGTGCTGTAGTTACGAAAGGTGGGGCTGTTCGTGTCGTACCTACTCAAGTTCACTGATCGAGTTTGGTATTTGACCCATCGACCCTTCTCTTTCTTTGTACTATCACGATGTCCCCCCAACATCTACAACCTGCTTCTCAACCATGGCGATCTTTGCCTCTCGCTCGTTGCCTATGTTGGGAGGGCATCGCAATCTCGCGGTGCAAGAATTGAAAAGTAGTTTCTAATGCATACAATGCTTCCAACAAACGAGGCCACGACCTCTGCTCGGCCCAGCTGTTGCCTTGTCGTTCTCTTCTAGATTTTGCATGACACATGGCAGGACAGGGGCAATATGTCAGATCTGCTGAGTGTTGCTGCAGGTGTAGTCGGCTTACTGACAGCTGCAGCTCAAATCTCTCTGATTCTGACTAATATCATCAGCGAAGCGCGACACGCACCTCAAGAGTGTAAGAGAATACGCAGCGAAGTAGATGATGTTCGCAATGTACTTCAACAGCTGTCTTTGTACCAACGGTACCAAGCAAGCATCAAGGTCAAGGCGAGCCTTAATCATGGTGGATCAGGTTGCTGCAACATTAGCTAGTTGCATTACTACCTTTGACGAGCTGAAGCTCTTCATCGAAGCTTTACAGAGTGATGCCACAATGGGCTTACTCGACAGACTTCGCTGGACTACGAAGACGACTGAGCTGAAGCAGCTGCTAGCTCGCCTGGACACACATAAGTCGTCACTCACTCTCATGCTGACGATCTTGACGTGGTGAGTAGTTCAAGTCGTGTTAGAAGTTGAGCTAAACGAGTGTTTAGTCAAAAGCAGGATGATGCTGACGATAAGGTCGACCATCTCTGCAATATGGCGGAGTTGCTGCTCAAACAGAACACAATCCTTGCGCAACGTATGCTAGCCTTTGACATGTCAAATGTCGGCATGACACAAAGTCAGGCTCAGCTCGCGATGACCCTTCCAGGCGCTGTATATTGGAACTCTTCGGCAATATCTGGCAGTTCTCCTTACGGAGCTGGAATCGACCAACCTTTGAGTACAGATCCTGGTCCGCCCATACCTTCAGACCCTAATCTTGCAAAGCGCAATACCCGAGGATTTGCTTTCGAGGAACTGCTAATGAATTCTCGAGCATACCGCAACGCGGCGCGCAACAATACGGACGCACTCTCAGTTGCTACTTCTGCTGGTAGGACTGCCACATGGTCTATGTTGTCTGGAATCAGCCTATCAGAAACGTCAAATATTGCGATTTTGGCTTTGCCAGTCTATGAAGTGGATCTGAATGACAAAAACATCTATAACTTTGAGCCGCCGCGGACGGAAGACCTCAGTACTCTACCGTCCTCTGATCTGACACGTCCAGAGAATGTCTCATCAAGCTCACATCGGAGGGTTAAGGATTGGTGGAAATCCATTAACAAGACAGATCAGTCTCTGACTTCACCACTTGCAATATCTGCAGAACCTGAGCAGCATATATTTGATGTTAGGCTCGCTGAGAGCATAAGGCATGCTAATGTTGCAATATCTCTCACCAACGAGCAGGGTGAAGCATTTATTTACGGCTATATACCAATCATCGTTGCAAAAGTATGCGTTTATCTCAAAGAGAAAGGTATGTCGAACAAGTTCGCATCTACATGCCAAGAGATTACTGATCAATTTGTGACAGGGATCGATGTTCCGGAAGTCTTCGCCCACAACGGCAACGCCCTGAGAGTGCAAAGGTTGTACACAGCGTTCGGACTATTACCCCGATATGGTAAAGGATTAGACTGGACCGGATACACAGTCTTTGATGCAGCTACGATCATGCTTCGATACCTCAAGTCACTACCGGAGCCAATAGTACCTTTTGCGTTCTATACGAGGTTCACTGAACCCTTAAGACAACTCGCTATATCGCCGAATCTCAATGTTGACTCTGGGAAGCATAAAGAAGTACTGAAAATCTACCAGGGCCTCGTGAGACTACTTCCTTCGCTTCACAGACAGCTCTTACTTTACCTACTTGATCTTCTAGCTGTTTTTGCGAGCAAGTCCGATCACAATCGGATGACTGCAGACCGCTTAGTGGTATGTTTCCAGCCGTCACTGATATCTGCACCTCCAGAAAAGATGGACGAAGCGGAGCATAAACTCGCTGCAGATGTGGGTAGCTTTCTGGTCAATTGGCAAGACCACTTTCTGATCGGCTAGTCTGGTGACGATGACTCGCAAAAGGCGCCTGCCTTGTGAGAAGGCAGCTCTACGCAATAATTATTCCCTGGCTAAAGCACTGGAGCCCCGAGAATGGCAGGTATAGCGGTAAAACCCTTGTGCCTGCCAGACACATCCCATCACCTCTGCTTCACCAGATCATGAGCACTTGAAGATTGGTGTGGATGAGTCAGCAATCTCTATGACACTACAAGCAGTGTGTGGGACACAGACGAGTTCTCTAGCATTTATAATTTGTGGGTTTGAATTTTACTAGCATTGAAGAATACTCGAGCAGCAAACATATATGTCTCTTCTTCACTACTTCAGCGATATTATTGTCCTCTGAAAACGATCTGGATCTTCCAGATATGTTCATCAGACAATGTGAATGAGTCTGGCTTCCTATATCGTGATCGTCACTTCGTGAAAGCTGTTGCTGGCCTGGTTCTCATCCGCTGGGATATGTGAGGCCTGGACTCTGAGGCACTCAATTTCGTTGCATCATGTGTTCTCTTTCATCAACATCAAATCGTTTATGCATGTGTGATCTGTCCACGTCTCTCCTGGTATGTGTTCGACCATACTGATCTCTTTGGCTGTGCCAGTCTGTACAAGCCAGCACCTGGGGTGTTGATTGGTGATTCACCAGTCCACAAGAACATATCGTAGAGCCAGCCGCCGAATGTGCATCCGAAGAATGGTGCAACCATTGGGACCCTGTTGAGCATGGTTAGTAAAACAATTAAATGATGGACTAGGGGTTTGGTTCTTACCAGAAGTAGTAGTTGCCAGCAGACCAGACTTCATGACCGTAGCCGAGCATGTAGCTGACGAGTCTTGGGCCAAAGTCTCGGGCAAGGTTGATGGCGTAGCCGGTTTCCCAGCCGAAGCATGCACCAATGCCAAAGATGATGAAGAATAGACCGAGAGGTGTAAGTGGTCCTGCACCAATGTTTCCGTCGTCCTGTGTCGATGTCAGTCTTTTTGAGTGAGGTTATATAGTGATTGTCAGGCATACCTTGAGAGCATAGATCAAGAACATGAGCATAGCCGAAGCGATAAACTCAGAGAAGAATTGACCAGTCTTGGTCATGAAGGGTGCAGGGTAGGTGCAGAAGATACCAGCTGTAGCAGTCTCAGAGTATCCTGGTACTGTTCTGAACGATCTTCCTCCCTCAAAAACATCGATTGCAGACTTGTAGTTGGCATACACGACTGCAGAAGCAACCATAGCTCCTAGTATCTGTGCAATCATGTATGGGAAGAATTTTCGCCATGGGAATTTTCGGAATACGCAGTTTGCAAATGTGACGGCTGGATTGAGATGGGCTCCGGAGATACCGGCTGTGTAGACACCTAGCATAACACCGAGACTGTGGAGGTTAGTATATCAAACAGTCTTGAGAGGGTGCGGTACATACCCCCAACCCCACGTAATTGACTGGTATTCACCATTTGCACCACCTGAGAGGACGACTTGCGCCACAACACCGTCACCGAACATGATAAGGATGAAGGTGCCTGATGGATTGGTAAGTATCGACACTATAGATCTCTTTATGAAATGGTGTGGGTTGTGATTGTCAAAGCGGTTTTCGCAAGGAACCAAGCTTGGCGGCTGATACGGATGCGAGATCACTAACCAAAGAATTCTGCGAGAGGCTCGCGCAGGTAGTGTCGTATTCTGCTCCATGCTAGATCTGGCTGCGCTTGGATGGCATCGTCTTGTGGGATTTTGTGGTCGATACCAACACCATGCTCCTCGAGAGCTGGTAGACCAGCTACAGATGTTGCTCTATAATCTCTTCCCGAGATATCCATATGTTCAGCATGGGTCGCTGGGGGTGTTGAGGATGGAGAAGCACTCTTCAATTCGGCCATGTAGCTGAAATGTATGCCGTGTTCGTTTATATGGCAGTCAATGAATAGAGTGTGTACAGGTCGAAACTCGTGGATGAGGAATCAATCTACCTTGTGAGGGGAGGGCAGCGGGTTTTTATTGTCCGCCTCTCGAATTGACATATTGAAAAGGTCAATGGAGTACAAGCCAGGATGGTGCATAAAGCCCCTGCTAGATGACCACAATCGACTCAAAACATGGTGGTCCAGGTGCCAAGGCACGCCACTAGCAATGCATAAAAGAGTCTGAAGTAGCTCCCGCACAAGCAGCAGTTTCCAGATGTGGTTTTCATGCATAACTGATGGACCGTGGACTCTCCAGACTCCAGAATTGTTGCGGAGGACCGCAATCTGGAGTCTTGCCTGAGGTCCAAAGCAGAAGCACCTAGGCTAGCATAACGTGACCATTCCTTGCTCACCAGTTACACACGTCTAAAGCTTAAGCAGTGAATGGTGTTTTCGGTGCATTCGGTGCATGGTTCGGTGATCGCGATAGCGCTAACAATTGCCACGAGGAGCCGGTGAAGAGGAACTCCAGCGCTCGTGATTGTGAAGCCGAGGCTGATCCGAGCGGAAAGAGTTCGAGGGAAGAACGAATAGAATCTACAGGCTGACGAGCTAAATGCTCCCTGAGCGAATGACACGTTGACTTTGTCTTGTCGTGTTACCGCGTGTGGAAAGGTGGCTCGGTGGCTGGAAATCTTCGAATCGACAAGGTTTGACGCAATGAACAGCGCTAGGATGCGGTTCCATTCCGGAGGTAACGTGGTACCTCTGCCACAAACGGCGTTGCACGGAGTAGACATTTGTCTGGCACGATAATTCAATGATCTCAAAATTTGAACAAGGCTCTTAAATCAGTACGAATACTGTGAATCTCTCCTTCGGGGTCACCCTGCACCAATGCAAAGAATGAATGAATCCTGGCCATACGAGGCAAACAAACTCCACGCTAACCCCGCATTTTCAGAGAGAAGAAGCTAAAGAGTCGATTTCGAGAAGCATCAAGAGATTGGCCAAGCCCAATACAATACAGCGTGTTATGCAGCCTAGATGATTCGCCGTGCAACGTTGAGGAGTAAGTGGTCGGGGTTCTCAATTGTTATTACGATGGCGATCGTTCAGTCAAGGTATTTGAGCCGATGCGTCTTTAACATAACCTGCATGTCAAGCGTTGGTATTAGTGCTGCATTGAGTAGTAGCCAGGACGCGGAGCAAGCAGGGGTACCAGTCTCAAGCTTTGTGATTGCTTTAGCTCCGAACGAGTGGTACACCACACCAAGTTATACGTGAGTGTAAATACTCGAGACTTGTCTCGGAAATACTACTAAGTGTCACTTCGAGAGCAAGATGTACCAAGCCAACGGTACAATAGTTTTGCTGAGGATTGAGAGCAGAATTTAGTCGCTGAGTTATAGCTAGCCGGTACAAATTGTATTCGGCGGAGTCAGGCCACTGAACACCGAAATGAGGTGTTGATTGTCCGATGGGAATAGGAAGCAAGGCATGCCGCATACCGAATCACCTGGAAAACAAAGCTACACGATCCGGCTGAAGCAAACGCTTCTCATTACCACGTGCTGATAAGGCTCATTCCTGGGTCGCTGTTGCTCTTAGTGCGGCTGCAGCGGAAACCTCGACCGACAGGTTTCGGTAAAGAAGACCGAAGCATTACCGAGAATATGCTGACTGTTATTCGTCTTGCCAAGCTTAACCATTATTCTTCAGGACTATTCATCAGTCGAGCCTTGGGTCGGACGCCGACGAAATGGCAGCCGTGGTGAGATAGAAGGTGCCAACCATCAACGAAATATTGGGCGGAAAGTCGTTGTCATTCGCGGCTATCTGTATTGTACACACTCGATCAACTTGACCGCGCCACGACATTGCCCCTTTTTCACAATGGAGATCTCGGATTCCCGTACACCGAGCGCCACGATATAGTCGTTGCGGTGTTGGATTTCTGTCAGTCCAGGGCTGGACCGACACAAGGTGAGATTGACCTACTTGACAGGCGATATAAGAATTGTGAACATCTTCAGGATCAGAGAGGAACGCCGTGACGCTCAGATCATAGTATACTGGCATACAGTACAACTTCTGCAACCCACGAGTGGCAATCAGTCTCGTCAATACGTCCAAGATCTGTTCTCCATGGGACATTTGTGACCCATGTGATTAAACCTGACCGATGCAGTTGCATGGTATGGCAGTGTCTGACGCTCGAACTCTGGATCGCGATTCTCCATTGTGGCGGTTCTGAAATATTCAGGCTACACAGGCGAGATCGAACTCTTCTGTAGCGCAAGTGGCAGTGATCTGCATTTGGCCTACCCACAAAGTTGACGTGTTCGTGTCAATGTGTAAAGTTCGAATTAAGATGGTGTCGATTGAAGCGAGCGCTAACATCCTTAGAACATGTGCTCGATCCAGTCGTAGCTAGAACTGTGATCACTCCACAACAACTGTTTCTCGTACTGCTAGATTGCTCTTCAAGTCGAGATTTTTGAGGCCCCAGTCCTCTTTCTAGAATTTGCAGGTCGTCTGACTTATTCTTCCCACCATTTCGACATTCTTAGGAGTCGGGATCTGGGATATGTCCTCTTGTTCTGGTACTGGCTCCTCGGAAGATCTGCCGTGCATGGAGGTGCTTCTTCTGGACATGTCCTGACAGAGTACAGATCGATTGCACTCATATCGTAGGTCACACAGATGTGGGCTTCGGAGGTTGGCGAAAGAGCTAAACACCCTATCGCAGGTTGGTGACACGATCTCGAGACACCTCTCATCGCCAATCGCAGGCAATGTTGACGTTGCACAGCCGCAAATTATATTCCATGTATAGTAAGTTGATCGCCGTCAGTGTCCAAGAGCAAGGAGTATGCTGGGCATGGCGTAATTTGACTATTTGTGTACCATCGAAGACAGTCTACCGATGCAAGCCTCTCGATGCTCTGTCTTGCAGGCGGCGGCTCAACTTACAGATTTATCAATACGCCCTTGCTTCGCACCCCGATGAACGCAGAGATTGATATCGTTGTGGCCTGCTGTGATGCCGGGACCAACTATGCACTTCTGGAATCGTTGCGCTGTGTCGTTTGGCCCAGTTTGTTCTCGATTGAGTATTTTCAGTACGAGGTTCGTTGGACACTTCAATCAACACTTCCTGTGGTCATACAACAATGAAGACAAAGCACGTGATTATGTTGAGCCCGAGAGTTGTTTCGCCTGAACAAGGACAAGGCTGTGCGACTTCGCTATCAGTCAAACCATTGTTGTTGCTCGAATAGACGAATCCAAGCCCTGGCAGGTATTTTGACATGGATCCTGCTCGAGCTTTCAGCCAACACGCTTATTCTGCTCGTGTAATCGTATAGAGTAAACGTTCAAGCAGCGGTGCCATTGCGGGCATATTCGTGGGCGTGTGAAACCATTGACAAGGCTCAACCTGATACCGAACAGCGACAGAACCGGGCGACTTCCTCAGAAACGCGAACAGTGCCAACGCCCCTGCCATATACGTAGAGTAATGACGCCGTTAGTCCTTAAAGTCTTCCGTACCATCTCCTGCCATGCCTACGGTCGTCTACATGATCACAGGTGCCAGGCCTCGATATAGCACAAAGAATTGCAGCAGTGGAAACAGATAGAGTAGCAACTTTAGATATCCGTCAATAGTCGTTCGTCTCTCTTCCGGTGTTGGTTTCCTTTACCCTTGGTGACAGCCTGTCTCAACCAGCCATGCAACCATAGCAGTCATCTCTACCACTCCGTCAACACTGTACAACATGGCCAACCGATACTCCTCACTGAATCGGCGTCCAGGCGCGGCGGCATCTGGCCTTTTCGCAGACTACCCAGGCTCGCGGCCGTCGTCGAGCTCATCGCAAAATCGCCCGTCATACGCTTACTCAGACCCAAATCGTTCCGCCTCACCTTACTACTCTCAGCAACAGCCGCCTCAATCACAGCCCTACGCCTCTAGTCCGAACCAGTTCTCATCCTCGCCCTTTCAGCCAGCACAGAACGATAACTCGACGTCCGACTCGTCGAAGCGCAAGAACAATGCATATACTTCCACTGCAGTGCTCGACCATCTCGAAGCACAAAACGACAATGAGACCAGTATTCTTTCCTCGAAGGTGTCGCAGCTGAAACAATTGACAATAGCAATTGGCGACGAGATACGGGAGAGCAGTTCACTGGCTCAGACGATCAACGATTCCTTTGAGAACACCAGTGTTAGATTAAAAGGAACGATGAGGCGGATGTTGAGGATGGCTGAAAGAACAGGCGTAGGGTGGAAGGTGTGGTTGGGCTTTTTCGTGGCTGTCTGGTTGATCTTCTTTTACGTGTGGTTGTTTTGAGGTGTAGCTGCAACGCAGGCAAGAGTGTTTGTGTGAGGTCTACTAGCATGGCGTTGGGGCATTACGAACTGGGCAGGAGCGCTGTACGTTTCATGTGTACAATCTAAGAACCTGATATGAGTTATTGGTCGTGTATGAACACAGGCAGGACGAGGTCTATAACGCGTGGTAGTAAAAATTTGACCCAAAACTGTATACAAGCGAACTGCGAGGACTACGGCCAAGAAAACAATTGCGGCTTGATATTACGCACGAGTAGCAGCAAAGATTTCACGTTCGTTTGTTGTTGGTCAGGTCGTGCAGCAGCAAGGTTATAACCGAATGTAAAAGTGCTGCAGCCATACTTATGCAGAACATAGACCTAGGCAGCCCTGCCTCCACGAACTCTGCTGATAACCCTTCCACTCCTCGTCCTGCTCTGAGACTCATCGTTGAAAGATACACCACGCTGCTGTCTCTGCTCATTCTGTTGTTGTGGCGAGGGCGTAAACAAGCCTCCACTACTGACTTGTCTTAGTGCTTCACCTCCCACTCTCTGCGACGCTTGAGGCTGTGGATGCGACGACATCCCCCTGCTCGACGACACTATAGGCTGTGCAGGAGCATTCCTATTGACCCCGAACAGATTTCGTCGGGCACTGGCTGGGTCAAGCCAGGCCTGTTGGACTAAATTTCCTCGATTCGCGCTTTGGTCTGTGTTGCCAGTGCTGATGAGTGCACTAACGCTAAAATCGCTTCCTGCTTGGTCTGGAGTGAAGTTTGGAGGGGAATGATGAGCCTGTAATGGATTCCGGCTCGCTGCCGCTGGTCGAGCTGGTGGTGGCATTGAAAGAGGCACGTTGCCTGATGTTCTGCGCATGCTGGAGCCGATGTCACTTTCCATGCTAGCAGTACTCTGCTGAAAATTCTGACGATGTAAACGCTGGCTCATGTTCGACTGTGGGGGTGGCATGGACGTATGGTGTGCTACTACGCCTGGAGGCACTATGCTGATATCCATGTCGCTTTCCTCCATCTCAGTATCGGTATGCTCCCAGCCCCCATCGGCGTCAGCGTCTGGCACATCATCATCGAGATCTGGAGCCTCCTCGTCCATGTTTGGCATATCATCATAGAAATCTCGTGTGTACTCGTGAACTTCATACAGACTATTAGCTGTTGCATGATCCTGGCTGGGAGATTGCTGCGTATGTAGATGGTTAGAATGTCTGGATTGTGGAGGTGGTCGTAACTGTGACGATATTGGTTGCTCGTCTTCGGATTCAGTATCAGGATCTCGAGTCGTGTCGTAGACCCAGCCACTGTCCCCTTCAGGAACATCATTGTCTAGATCAACGTCACCATCCTCTTCGTCCTCGTCCTCGATGCTGCCCTCATCCCCAAACTCGTCAGTAGCATCCATATCAGGCACTTCCTCGTCAAGATCACGTTCACCTTCTTCGCCAACGTCTTCACCTCGTGCTTCTCGAGCTCGCTGTTCGTCTAGCTGTGCGGCTCTGTGTGCCTCCTCGGCCTGCGCCTGAGTTTGTTCCTGTAGCTCAGCTTCTCTCAGCTGTCGCTCAACTTCTTCTCGTTCAAGCTCTTCTTCGCGTCGACCAAGCATAGTCTTAGCACATCCTGCCGGTTTCAACCATGAGTAGCCATACATTTGTATCGCCAGTTTTCTCTGTGAGAGGAGGCGCTCATCGTGGGTGAGAATTGCAAGCTGACTTCTGGGGTGTGAAGCATGTGGGTGACTGCGAGTTCGTCGTTGCTGCGATTGAAGTGAGTTTTGTCCATCATGTGTATGGGACGCATCTGAAAAGGGATGACTGTTCAGAGGGGGAAGCAATGAAGACGCTGGAGGAGGCAACAACGGCAGTGAAGTGGTTAGCATTGTTATGGCGTGCGCTATACGGTTCTCGCGTCTATTTCGATGCGTGAATATCGTCTCGTACTCTTGGAACTTTGATACGTCCTCAAATCCAGGTCGCATAGGTCGCGAGACTAAAGCGCTGCTGCCACTGCCAACACTGACACGATTGTGTTCGGTGTTGATAGCAGAATACACCGGCCAAGAGCCGAATTCATTGGTGTTTAGTCTCGACTGAGGGGTTTGTTGCTATGTAAATAAAGGTAGGGTGGTAGTGCAATCACAACTCTAACGTCATTCTTTAGACTGGTACAGTGCACTCCCATAGCGTGCTCATGAATTATTGCATCCATCTTCCTTTCTTCTGCATTTGTTTCTGCAACGATGATATCTTTGAAATACCACACATGCTGCATAGCTAGCGAACTCTTATCACAATATCGTTACCACAATACCATAACCACAACGACGGAGTTTGGAGTTTGTGATGCTCGAGCTCGAGGTTTGCTGATATCGAACCTATGAAATGCGTGACGAGCGGCAACTTGCGGATTGCTGCTAAACTCAGCCCATGCCTAGAAATGCCCAGCCACTAGGGCCCCTGAGTCTGGGGTCGCAACATGGTAGGATTCGAGCATCATTGGCTCTCTACAGGTGAAAAGTCCACTCCGCCCAGCACTGCAGCCCAGGGATGGCGTGGCTTGGGGCACGGTCGACCTGTCATCGTTCTTCGAGAGTGACTGCCAGGCTTGTCTGCGGTTTCTCTTTGATCACTTCGGACCTCGAGGCACGTCTCGCAACCCTCGTTTGATCCGACAACTTCTGTACCAAGTGCGCTACACAGTCTCTCGTGCTTGACACCGATCCCAGCTACGATCTTTTGGAAGAGCAACACGAACCCAACCACTATCGTTCGCTCAATCGCGTACCTATTTTCCGACGTGCGACCTAATTTGCCTCCAGCTGCTCAATTGCAGCCACCCTCAACCACGAGCCTTCACCGAAAAGACCTAAACAACAACGTCCATTCACACACAACATTGATTTGTACCATTTGCATTTGAGTGGCCTTTTGTTGCCGCTGTCTCTCTTGAGACCAATTCAAACAATTTTGGGAAGAGCCGGGCCACATAGAGCAAAATGTGGTCGTCCTTGAAGAATCTGTTGCCGTTGGCCGGCCTGTTCTCGATGACAACCGCTTTGGAACTCCAGGTTACCAGTCAAGACTCAGTCAGATCAGCAGCGTCGACTATTGCTTACGACATGATGACATATTACTCTGGAAATTTGACAGGACAAACACCTGGTATACTACCAGGTCCTTGTTCAGATCCAGCGTGTTACTACTGGTGGCAGGCAGGCGCGATGTGGGGTGCCTTAATCAATTACTGGCAGTACACTGGCGACGACAGCTACCAGCCAACAGTTATCGAGGCGTTGAAACATCAAATCGGACCCGACATGAATTATAATCCACCGAACCAGTCGAAAAATATGGGTGTTGATGACCAGGATTTCTGGGGCTTCGCTGCCATGGAGGCGGTTGAAGCTGGCATTCCCGATGTTGACGAGGCCGATTTTCCATCGTGGCTTGCGCTCGCTCAAGCTGTGTGGAATTTTCAGGTTCCTTTATGGGAGACCGCAACCTGTGGAGGCGGTTTCAGATGGCAAGTCTATTCCTTCAATGCTGGGTATAACTTGAAGAATACTGTTTCCAACGGTGGGTTCTTCCAGCTTTCCGCCCGCCTGGCCAGGTATACTGGTAACCAAACATATGCCGACTGGGCAGACAAAGTTTACACCTGGATGGAGGAGTCTCTGCTGTTCCAGGTCCAAGATAGCCATCTGTACATCTGGGATAACACCGATGCGAACGGAAACTGTACTGAGGTTGAACATTATGTCTGGTCTTACAATTACGGTATCAATTTGATGGGTTGTGCTATGATGTATAACATGACCAACGGCGATCCGAAGTGGAAGGCCCGTGTTGACAGCATTATCGATGGGGCGGCTTTCTTGTTCTTCCCAGCTGAATATGGTGGAAACATCATGACGGAAATGTTATGCGAGGATCAGAAGAATTGCAACAATGATCAGAGCAGTTTCAAAGCTTATCTATCAAGATGGATGGCTGTCACAACACTGTTGGCACCGTACACACACGATATAGTCATGCCGAAACTGCAAGCCAGCGCACAAGCTGCAGCAAGGCAATGTATTGGGGGTGACAATGGACGCCAGTGCGGAAGACAATGGTATTCAAGTGCCTGGGATGGTACGAAAGGTGTTGGCCAGCAAGTAAGTTGTTTCATCCCTCAGATCTAAAATCAACCACTAATGTTCTTAGATGTGCGCGTTAGCCGTGATTGGCGCAACACAGATCACATCAGATATGGCACCCCTGACCGCCGCGACTGGAGGCACCTCGAAGAGCGACCCCGGGGCTGGACTTGATGCTCCACATAATCCCGAGGATGAGTTCAAGAAGAACCCCATCACCACAGCTGATCGAGCTGGGGCTGCTATTTTGACGATTGCCATTATTGGCTCTATTGTAGGGTTGAGTTTTTGGATAGTGTTGTAGATTACTTGGAAGTCAGGCATTTATACAAGCATTAACGAATAGCGACTGTTTTCCAAAATCATTTCATACATTTGAGTACACTACTCTGCACGATCTCTAATAGGTTTTGAGCTGTATTTTCCGTACTCGAGTAAGACCACGAGATATGTGTTAATCTACGATTGATGTCGGGTTTCTGATCCGTCGCTCGATGTGGCCCAAGAAGAGTGGCTGCAGCGGAAAGTGATTTTAGTGGCAGATAAAGCCAGGGACCTTGCAGCATTGCCAGGGGAAATGGGGGGGTTTGGCCTGCAAGGTTCACAAGGACACGTGAAATTAAAGAGGCTGAAGTCGAATTCTGGGCGTTCACTCGAGCGCTGGCTTTATAGCCACCTCCCCGTGCGTTGTTTGCATGTTGAGTTTTGTCATGCAGTTGGTCTGAGCGTTGGTTTGCCTATCCGCGAGTGCTTTGGGTTGGTTTTCTTCCTTCTACGCGGGTTTGCGATTGCCATGATTATGATAAACTGAAGTCAACGAATACACCGACTTTCTTCCATTCTTTTCTAAGGACGACGATCATGACCACCGCGACGGCCACCGTTATTGAGACGCAGAGAGTGCAACTTGCTGCTGCACCTTCAGACCATGACCGCATCGATGACTTACAACGACCTGCAATTCTACAGCGCTCAACCACAATCCACAATCCATCACCAGGTTTCAGTCACAGACATAAACATTCGAAAAAGCTATCTTTGAATTTTCCGATTCTGGTTCCTGCTACACACGATACACCTCTGCCCTCAAATGGCTCGCTTTCCTCATATGGCCAGTCACCATCAGCAATGTCGCCGTATAGAAATGGCACACCTATTTCGGGGCAGCCTATACCTTCGCCCGATGAGATACTTGAGGCAGCAGATGGTCCAGACTTTCTGACCCTCATTGCTGGTCAAGAGCGACGAGTCATGGAATTGAAGGAAGAGCTTCAGAAAGCTGAGAGTAACTTGTTGAGCTTGAAGAAGCAGTGGGCGACGTTCGAGGCGAAAAAGAAACATGCAGAACTGCGAAGTAAGTCGGTTAAGCTTGGACCTGTTTCACCTAAGACTGCACATGCGAACAGTGAAGAGGATGCCGAACGTGTCAGAAGACGCGAAGCAGCTCGCGAGAAGAAGATTCGGGATCTAGCGCTGAAAGAAGCTGGGATGGAGGGATCACTCCCGAATGGCGGGAAAAGGAAAGTGCTTGCTGGAAGACATACGAGGACTCTGAGTTTATTACAGAGCCATGCGCCTACTGTGGACAACGAGAATGGTTCAAACGTTACCAAGTCCAAGCACAAATCCAAGACAGAGAGCACTTTCGCCGATCAAGATTTGGAGCAGGGCCGGGAGGATGTCAAGAGGCTATCACGGCCCTCCATATCGCGACAACCTACTCTCCAAGAATTGATTGCCAGCTCTGCTACTGGTGCAGCACAACTGAACTTTGGCAAGACATACAAGGATTTGGCACAAGCTAGCAGAAAATCACTGCCCCCAGGAACTGATGTCTTCATCAAGCAGGGCAGGGAGGTCTACGATGGTATCAACCAAGGATTTTGGACTTTCGTCGAGGACATCCGGCAGGCCACTGTGGGAGATGAGCCTGTGAATGGTCCACCTTCAGACCACAGAGGAGCAGTCCCACGCACCAGGTCGAATAAAAAGCTTGTTGTGGACGATGCGCGTAATAAGCAAACTAAGAAAAAGAGCAAGAATTCGGATGAGCTCAAAGGAGACAAGGACAATTTTTGGAAGGAGTTCGGTCTCGAAACACCCCAAGCGCAAAGGCAAGCGCAGCAGAAAGCATCTAGAGAGCAGAAATCCTCCAAGGAAGAGAAGCACGAATCCAAGTCGAGTACGGATTCTCAATGTCCACCTAGTCTTCTCGCTGACTTAATGGACGTCAACGAAGACGATGAGGCTTGGGACAATTGGCCTGTGGATTCGCCTAGTGCACCAAGGCATGGTACGAACCACGTCGTGATACGCAGCTCGAGCGAGGACGGAGAAATGGAAGAGGAAAGTCTGGTTGAGCCTCTACCACAGAAAAGAGACAACTCAACGGCCAGTCTTGCGGGGCGGTAGAGGAGTCTTCTTTTCAATATGATTTGTAGGAGATATTCATCACTTCTTACAACACTTGCTTCCTTGCCTCGCGTAGCTCAATTGCAATTGTTGACGATGCAGTAAAACCTCAGTCTGCGATCAGCACGACCTGTGGTGCGGTAGTGCGGTCGTCTGGTCGACAATGAGCTCCTTACTGACTACGTGAAGCCATTGCTGGAGATCTCGTTTAGCAGCAGCACTGGTGTGTACCAAGTAGACTCAGATGCCTTGAATCTCCACATTTAGTGTTTCAATGCAAGCACGGCAAGGTCCCGATGCAGGGAAGATCACGAGCAGACACAGCTGCTTTTCTCATTGGACTTCTCGGAAAGAGCCATCTGTCAGATCCCCAAGTTGTAGGTAGCTAAATGTCTGGATCATGTTTAGTGGAGCTCACCCCTGAAGCTAAAGTACTATGGTGGAGTAGCCATGTGTTACAGTTTTCCCATAGGAGGAAGGTACGAAGGTTCTAGCGCCGTTGCTATGATAAACATCGGATGAAGTCATTGCACAGTGTCTTTTACTGCTTCGCAACGCAGCCTCGACATTAATGTACTGACATCCTATTTCACATTACTGGTGGAAGACAAATATCCTCAGCTTAACATGGGATTATAGCATACATACAATATCACTCAGAAGGCGTCGTCTTGTGATATAGGCAGCCGATAAGATGGCAACACTTCTCCCTCCACAGTCGAGATTCGAGCCAAAACCGCCTCTACGACGGGCTGCTAGCGACGGTCCTATCTATACGACTCATGAGCCATCATCACCTTTTCAGATCCACAGCGACGATACCGATGGAGAGCAGCTGGCTGCAAAGTATCAGATGCTCGAGGAGCTGGGCAGTGGCTCGTTCGGAGTAGTCTACAAAGCCATTGAGAAGTCTACGGGCGAGATTGTTGCTGTGAAACATGTCAGTAAGTCCTGACTTCGTGCAGAACATATACACTGACACAGAGAAAATAGGTCGACCTGGAATCATCGGAAGAAGACCTTAGCGACATCCTCTCCGAGCTCGCCGTCCTCAGCTCCTGTGCCTCAACTCATATTACTAAATACAAGTCGGCCTTTTTGCGCAAGCAGACGTTGTGGATCGTGATGGAATACTTAGGAGGAGGATCATGTGCTGACTTATTGAAACCGCCTCCTCACCACCTTCACGAATCACATATCGCTATCATCTGTCGAGAACTTTTGCTGGGCTTGTCTTATCTACATGGCGAGGGCAAACTGCACCGCGATATTAAAGCTGCGAATGTTCTCCTTGGTATGGATGGAAGAGTTAAACTTGCAGACTTCGGTGTGGCTGCTCAATTGACTGGGTTGAAGAGCATGCGCAATACTTTCGTGGGCACGCCATTCTGGATGGCCCCAGAAGTCATTCAACAGGAAGGTCACGATGCGAGGGCAGATGTCTGGTCGCTTGGCATCACTGCTATGGAGTTGGCTAATGGTCAACCACCTCATGCTAATATTCATCCCATGAAAGTCCTTTTCCAGATACCCAAACAGCCAGCACCAAAATTAGAAGGAGCTCAGTGGTCGAAGGATTTCAGAGATTTCGTCGCTTTGTGCTTGACAAAAGACCCTGACCATCGTCCAACCGCGCGACAGATGCTCAAGCACAGATTCGTACGTCACGCTGGCAGGGTGGAAGGTCTTCAAGAACTCGTACAGAAGAAGCAGGAATGGGAATCCTCTAGGGGAGGAGAACGTAACTTGAAATACTACGCTGAGACACTGAAACAGCTGAGAGTGCCGCAGGCTGAGCAGGCAGACGAGTGGCTGTTCGACACTGTAAGAGCTGCTCCTGTCAGACAACCAAGTGCATCGTACACACAGAGAAGACGAAAGAGTCAGCGGACTTCAGCGGAGATGAGCTTGTGCAGTGAAGCCACCACGATGATGGAGGATATGAGTATCGACCAAACACCGACACGAAGGTCGTCCCAACAGTTCCCTGCCAACTCGTCCGTTCGTCGTTCGAGTACCAAGAAACGTATATCCAGCACGCAGCAGCAGCGTCCACCCCTTGGAATCAACATGTCTTTTGGCAATAGCCCCTCAACTATCCGACAATTCAGGCGAGTGTCGCCCACTGTCAATGCCGAGAACGAAGATCCTCTCCAGTCCTGGTCGATGAAGTCCTTGCCGACAGATGAGGACGTATACACCAGTACCCCGATGAGTATAGATCAAGACTCGGCAGTTTCTACCTCTTCAAATCTGTCTCGGTTTTCTTCACAAGCAAGTACGATCAACAGTGAAAGCAAGGAGGCCAGCCTTGGCAAAGCACTTTACTCACAAGTAGTCGGATTGTCATGTCAAGATGTGCTCAATGAGACTGGTGATCAAGCTCGAAGAGAAGCGGTAAGCAGGGTAGCTGAGGCATTCTCCGACCTCGAAGCCGCGGACCCAGAAGGTCTCTATCACATCATGAAAAGTATAGTCGGCAGAATGCAGGCTGACGATAGGCTTAAGGATATGCTTCCAAAGCCGGCGGCCATCTCAGCGGCCCAACACTCCGAGCTGGAGGAAGATATCGGCACCGTCCAGCGTACACCATCTAAAGCACCAAGATCGAAGCAGGTTTCCGAAACACGGAATGGATCGCCTACCAAGCTCGTGCTTGCTCAAAATAATCCTCACCTCAAGAGTCACAGACGTCGGCAGAGTACGCAAGTCATGAGCAGAGAGAGCAGCCAGGTTTACTCACCAAAGCTGTCTGCGAAGGATGTCGAAGAGAAACAATTAGACAAGCTGATTGAAGGTAGTGGGGTATTGCCTCATGTCTCCGCGATGGAATCGTGTATGTACGATCGGTGGCTCGATGGTCTCAGAGTGCGCTGGCCGGCACTGTAACGATTTGCATTATGTGTTGGAGGTCAGAAGAAATGTGTCTGTGAGAAACTTGAGCTGTAACAGCAGGGTGTACTTTACTGTACTATATACGATTCAACTGTAGACATAGAGCTTAGATAGCATTCACATTAGTATTAGCAGCTTTGATTAGCAGTGCTGTTTCATAGTGTCAGACCGAAAGGTTTGCAGAACTACCAAGAAAGAGCCACAGTGGTCTGTCGCGTGGCCTGCCTCGCTTCTTCACCGTTCCTGCTTGTTCTGACTGTTAGCGTGGTCGAAGCTTCCGAAGTACTTTTCGCAATTGTCCTGCACCTGGATAAAACCTCTGTTTTGCCTAAAAACCATCAGCACATAATCGGAATCTTGTCCTCCACCTGTACTGTAGCCTCTTACTCACGATTTCACCTACTCACTATCATTGGTCCCCGCAATATTTGTCCTACCTTGCTGACACATTTTGGCTTGACGTCTTATGACTTCAGTATAGCGCTTGCTTGTCCTCCCACTGGACGAAGGCAGCGTTTCTGGCAGTCGATGCTGGCATAGCCACAATGCCGCGTATGGTGAGAAATGGCCGTGCAATCAGCTATGATATCCACCCCACGAACCTAGAGGGTAGCATTGTCCTTTTCCAACAAACGATGCATCGATGGAGTTCTCCAGCTGCCGAAAGGTACGCAACGAGAAGTGCCCTTCAGTGGAGCATTGGAGGTCTCTTGCTGAGCGTCTGCTTCCGCAAAAATCAGGACAAACTCATGTACCACACCGCAATGTGGCATAGACAGTCCGCCTCCAGAAAAGCAAGGCATGCAATCAGACGTTCTGATCTCCAGCTCATGCAGTAAGAGAAGGACTACAACAAGAATGTGTCCTGGAGGCAAAAGCTTGCCTTACATGAAAGCAAGGCGTCAAGCTCTCCTAGAAGTGTGATCCGCAGTCGCCTAAGAACCAATAGAAGGTATGCTATGACCCACATCACAGAAAAGGAGTGTGCTTCAAATATTACAGCAATTCTCGCTTTGGCTCGACAATTTCTTCGTTCTGTTCATATCAAACAAACGTGGAAGCTCGAGACCTGAAATGCACTTCTGGACGTGGTCATGTGTTCTGGTCATTCAGGACAGCGAGCTCAGACAGCAAGCTTCCTGAAATTCGAAACTCTATGCAGAACGCCTTTAACACATCGACGGCAGGTCACGTGTACTGAGATTGTATAGAGACGCTCACTTCTACACAACGCTCGGCCATTTGAACAACTTGGTCAAGCAAACACCATCTGCCACCATCACTCGGAGTAAAGATACAGCACACTCGACCTTCTGGCATTGCAGTGATGGTGTGGAGCCCTGCGTTTCACGAGAGACACGTCACGGATGTGAAGCATGGCAGCATCTCCGCACACGATGCAATCACCAAGCTGTTCGAGCTGAGCGATTGTGGTAAGCTAGAACATGCAACAATGTCGCTCGAAGGGAGGTCGGGATCTTGGTCGATCCTTTAGGTCAGTGTGGCAAGATTCGCGGCAATCGCAGGCGAACCGGCGGGATGTACCAGATTTTGCAAGAGTATGGGTCGTTATCTGTATAACCGAACGGCGCCAATCTGGAAGGTCTTCTCGATTCGCTGTTTTGCTCTCGCCGGGTTTCGGGCGCTGGCCTATTGCGATATCTACTGCGCGTCAGAACATGGAAAATGCTTCGAGACTTCGAGTTATGGCTTGAGCTGCGGAACAGAACCGAAAGAGCACTTTTCCTGCGTTGTTGCTGCTGAGCAAAGCAAACCGGCACATGAGAATAGTCTTTCAATGATTGCGCGAAAGTGTGAACTCATTTCGGACTGTCTAAGAAGAAGCGCTTCTAGCATAAAGTAAGTCTTCGACCTGCTGCCCTGCATCAACTTTGCATAGACTGCGTTCCCGCTTCCCTCTATTGTCGCGTGCAAATTTTGCTAGTCCTCCTCGATCCTACGATATGCCGATCCCAAGCATTTGCTTTGCATTTCGAGTACGGGCAATTAGACCTGAGCGAGATGGCGAGTGGGAAGGCCAACGACCTGCCGGAGACCTCAGACCACCACGCGAATGGGTGCAAGCAGGTTCCGAGACGCAATGGTATGGATGGGACTCGAGTACAACAGGTGGAAGCAGAGTTTGGTCGCTACAACCAGAGGACGAAGTTGTCCGCGAGCGTGTTATGTCAATCGTATGGTCCCCACATGTCCAGAACTATTTCATCACACCACACGATTGCACTCAAGCAGACATACAGAAACTCATGCACCGTGAGCCCATGAAGGATTGGAATACTCTATATTTTCGTTACCAGAGGTACTCTGAACCCGGATCATACAAGATACTAAACCATGGGACTGAGTTGTTGTTACCTTTCCCACAGCCACAAGCGCTTGCAGGTTTCCTACCTCGAAATTTTTTTCGTGAAGTGAAGGAGGAGGACACTGATGAGGTAGATGAAGAAGGATTTGATAGCGAAGACCAAGGGGGCGAAGACCAAGGGGGCGAAGAAACAGATGAAATACCATGCCATCTCGTTGGTGATCTGTCTCTCATACTGGCGCTATATGCGATTCGCCTTTCTAACTTGATTGATATTGGCGATCACATTGACCAACATTTCTGCCAAGGCAACGAGCCTCTTTTCGTTCCTGGTCAAGAGTGTCAAAGGTGGATGGCGAGGGACAGATTTGGTAGGTGATGCCGTCTGGGAGGGCGAAAGGGGCTAACGATGAGTGTAGTGTATCCTGCGCCAGCACTGATCATGGAAGTTGGTCTTCTTGTTGACGACGAGATAGAACGCAATCGCGATGTCTTGAAAGATTGGGAGGAGGGTCGCTTAGTACCTATGGTCTCATCACATCCTTGGCCAAATGCGACAGTGGCTTGATCGAGTATACACGAGCAGGAACCCTGACACATATCACCATTCGAAGTACAATACATAAGTTGCGCGAGTGCGTGTTCTGTGTCGAGGCGGAAGTCTTACATCAGATACCGACACAGCACTCTGCGACTACAGACCTGAATATACATTAACCACGAGAGGTATTATCGACAGATGAAGGATTATGGACAGCTTCGCATCGGGGTTTGACTTGCCATTAGCAAGGATAATATATTGATTATAGCACTTTGTTTGATTGCCCCAATTGAAGCTTAGGAGCAGATCTCGATGTTATTAGCCTTGCTGCAGCCAGTCGACTAAAGCCATATCCTTGGTCTCTACTACATGCTATATGGATTATCGGCGTTTGGACCATTGAGTACAGTCTTGAGAGCAATACACTTCTCGTTGTAAACCCTTTTCCATACGCAGTTGCCTCAGTCAAAGATGCATGAGCCTAATCGATGTTGAACCACAAAAACTCTAAGGCACGCCTGTTTGGTCACGGGCGTAGCTGCCGCGAAACTTCATTTTGTTCAAGACACGCCATACTAGTAGGGCAGGAAACGCCCATCCACGAGGCCGGGCACCGTGGTGAGTTGCGGCTGAACCAATCGTTGCCGACCGAAGAGCAGATCAATCGAGGTTCTGAAACAACGGGAACGACACATGTGGTCGCAAAGCGGTCGAATCGGCTGGCATACAAGAGCTCCAGCCCATTCATCTTTTCCGACCAGTCTCTCGCGTTTCCAAGCATTGTTTGCTCGCTTGCTGTCGGAATTCAAAGCTCGAAGCGCGTTATAAAAGTCCATCGGCATCAAAAGTGGATCGCCAACTCCACATATTGAGTAACGGTTGGACGAAACAAGCGCCGACGTCCAAAAATATCTTGCCTTCGGTGTCGTTGTACAGACCTTTACCATTCTGGCGTCGATCTCTGCTTGCTATCAAGACATTTTATGCAACGAACCATGTAGCTGCTCGGGTGAAGAGATGGTGGCAGGTCTCGACCAACGAGTACGATGCACTAAATTGTCTAACTTTTGGCAGCGCTATGCCAGGAATGAAACCTTTACCGGGTAAGTCCACCATTTCAGAAACTCGTATACATGCCTCTCGTGTTTCCATTGTGACTGGAATTCCAGAAATTGCTGACGAGCTGGTACTCGACACCCTTTGCTAACGACGTGCACTAATTGAGACATTCACTTCCCATCAACGTTTCTTTCCATCGACGTTTCTTTTGGCACGCAGAGCGGTAGCCGAAGTTGTAATACAATGACTTTCGTACAGGCCTTCTTCACTTTGTACTTGTTTATAGTCAGCCTTTTCTTTGTCGGAGCTGAGAATGACACATGCTCCGATGGTTGGATGTTCATTGATATCCACTACAGGTCAGCATTCTAATCGTCTAGTGCTTCTACATATTGACATAGAGCAGGGCAGTTGATGCAAAAGCGGAAACCTACTCCTACGGCCTCTTCATTGGTGCTGGTACGAGCTCGCAAAATCAGTCACTTTGGCCTTCCATCGCCTACAACGAGACTAGGCTTGCTAGCAACGACTTCTGCGGCTCTAACAGCGTAGCCCATTGTCACGAATCCAAGTATACTCATGGCCATTTTGGACCTGACGCTTCTGCTACTTGGGCCAGCACACCACAATACAATTCACTCGACGTCGAAGTGGAGGCTGAGTCTGTGAACACGACATATGGTGTGGACAATCTGAACATCTATACTCACTACTTCGATCCGAGTCCTGCGTCAAGTTTTATTGTCAAGAATCATAGCCTCACGATACTATCAGACTATTCATTGGATAGAGACGTGTTTTACGAGTCTGGCTCTCTAGGTCTGGGTTCTGCAAGCACTTTGTTGAAACAACTTGTTGATATTGGCCGAATCAGTCGGAATGTGTTCAGCATATACCTTGGTACTGCTTATCCAGAAGCTGGAGGGACACAGAATGGCTCTATTGTGCTTGGCGGGTACGATGCAGGCCGTCTTCAAGGAGCTGTACACAAATATCCTCAAGCCCCGAATGCAGGCCCGAGATCTTCCAATTTTAAAATCCGCGTGAAACAGATGTCTTTGTCAACTGGGGATGGTTCTTCCATTGGCATGGTCACAGATAACGGCTTTGACGGGCACATATCAACAAATCAGTATGCAATGGAGATGCCACCATATGTCATAAAGCATCTCGCAGATGCTCTACAGGGTGTGCCGGCAGGAACACCAGAAAATACACTGCAATTGGCACAAAAGTTCAGTGGGAACTTGACTGTTACTCTCGACGATGACTACGAGATAGTCTTCCCTTCAGAGTGGATTTCTAATGCTTCTGAAATTACGCCATTCTCAGCGGCCACGCTCGACACGAACATTTCTGTATCAGACGGACCATTTGTCTTTGGCACCGCGTTTCTGCACCATCTGTACATGACAGTTGACTATGAAGACTCCAGCTTCTATCTGGCTGATGCCAAAGTGTACGACAACTACGTCCAGCCGCGTTCGTTATGTGCTGGCGAAGCTCCGGTCCCACTGGGCCGGCCCAAGGTGAACAAGTTCGTACAGACGGGCATGGTAGGCGCCATTCTTGGTGGCCTCATTGGGGGTGTGGCTTTAGCATGGCTGGTCTTTTTTGTTATCCGGAAACGCCTACAGTACCGTCAATCCGAAAATGCTATTCACAAGATGGAAGGCGGTGGCGCAGCGCACAAGAAGAGCAGTTTGCGAAAGAGGTCGCGGTTTGGCTTTAGTCAATTCGGACGTAAGAAGGAAAGTAAAGATGTGACTTTCAGCGATGTCAAACGTGTGTCACGTGATTCCGATTCTTCTTCAGCTAAGGACGTGAAATTTACAGTAACTGATGAAGAGAAGGAGCCAGGCACTGTGGGAATTGAAATGAGCACACTAGTGAGCGACAGTCAGAAGAAGACAACACATGTGACGATTAAAGGCCCAGTCTCTCCATTAACACCGGCAATGGAGCAACCGGTCGAGCATATCAGAAAAACCACCTTTGAAGCAACGCTACCAGAACCGAGCAAATTCGAGGAGACATATCAGCAATCACCATTGCCAAGTCCTTTCACTGCGCAAACACCCAGAACAGGAAACCCATTACTCGGCGACTTTCGTCAGCAATTTTCGACCTACGATGATAACGAGGACTCCGATCTACACACAACTCAGCAGAAAAAGATTCACAGACGGTCAGCATCAGAAAGACTGAGGGATTCGCTTCGATTGACCGTTAATACGAACACATCATCTTCTGAGAGATCGAATATTGTCGGTCAACCTGTTCCGATGGCAAGGCGCAAACCTGCTCCATTACCACTAAAGGTTGTGGGAACCACTGCGAAAATCGGTCACTCTAAGGCGCCTATGACTCCTTTGAGCGTACGCACTGATGTAGATTCGAATCGCAAGCACGGGTTTTTGAAGAAACTGTTCCCTCCTTCCTGAGACGTTTACCTTGAAATCAACGACATCGGATACACCCTCAAAGTATGAGTGAACGACCTCTTCGAGCACTGGCATGTCTCAGCTTCAAGCCTCGAGTCACAGTATAGCTGCAGTTAACGCCCTGCCCATGGTTGGGTTTCAGATGTAAGGAGACGATGCAACCTACCGACATAGTGGATCTGGGATCTTGCCGTGATAGTGGTAGGAAGATGCCACAATGGATCAGATCAGGTACTTGCCTGTGCCTTGCAAGGACGAGAGACGAGTGATTCAGCACCCAACTTTGAGCTGTAGAAATGCCTGAGGAGGCCGGAGATGACGGCCTAATTAAGGCCTGGACGGCAGTTCTTCGGTGCTGCATTTCGGTATACCGCTGTGCCTAGTCTACTTTTAATTTCTTGAATATTATGAACTTGCCCTTGCGAATAATCCCACTGTTTGTCCATACGATCGCCATTGAAAAGTGCAGACAGAACCTTTGATAGCCATAATCTATCTTAACGACCTTGCCACAAATCTGTACCAGCCGCAATGTCCGAACGAAAGGTACTCACGAAGTACTACCCTCCAGACTTTGATCCGTCGAAGATCGGAAGAACACCCAAGCACTTACGGCCCACTGGTCCGAAGACCATTAGCGTTCGGTTGATGGCGCCTTACAGCATGAAGTGTACGTCCTGCGGCGAGTATATATACAAGGGACGAAAGTTTAACGCAAGGAAGGAGACTACAGAAGAAAAGTACTTGAACATACAGATATACCGTTTCTACATAAGGTGTACGAGATGTAGCTCCGAGATCACATTTAAGACAGATCCCAAGAACATGGACTATACGTCTGAAAGAGGCGCGAAGCGAAATTTCGAGCCATGGAGGGACCCAGCAAGCAAGGAACTGCAAGAGACAGACGAGCAGCGGCTCGACAGATTGGAGAGAGAAGAAGCAGAGGCTGCCGAAGAGGAGGAGCGAAATGCCATGGAAGAGCTTGAAGCGAAGATGGAGGAAAGCAAGCGAGAAATGCAAGTTGCTGACGCGCTAGATGAGATTCGAACGAGGAATGCGCGCATAGAGCGTGGTGGTAAAGGTGGCAAGGAAGATCAGGCTTTGGCGCAGGCACGGCTTGAGAGCAACGAGTCAAGGTTGCGTGAAGAGCAGGAACTGGAAGAAGCTGCACGGCTTGTATTTGCAAAAGACAATGTGGAAAGAGCAAGGTTAGAGGAGGAGCAAGAGCTCGATTCTGTGGCAGACAGGGAGACTGAAAGCAAGCCTGCTACTTACAGTTTCGAAAAAGAGCCAAGGCCCAGGAAAGTGAACAACAGCACAATATTGCTGAAGAAAGCAATAAGCAACACTACAAAACCGCCAGCAGCTGCGGCCGTGCCGGTTGTTGCCAGTGGCTTAGGTCTGGCTGGATATGATTCCGACGAGGAGGATTGATTGAAACAAGTTCCAAATTTGTATGCTGTGGATAGATATGGGAGATACGCCTCACGAATTCCATGAAAATAGCAGAGATACCCTAAGCATGCAATGTTATTTTGTTCTACTACGGCACATAGACCTATGTACAGGCGTGCCCAATATTATCGCAACGGGCCTTTCCGACTGTATCCCAGTTCGATGCTCAGTTTAGGCTTGCAATCTTGGATTCCTCGTTGTTGCCCTGGCTGACCACTACTCACAAGAAGTTCTAGGCTCAACGAGAGTGATGTAGAGGCAGTACCTGCCTGGGAGCATCACATGGAACTGGTGATCTTGCCGTAATCTGATAAGTCAGTGTGTTCGCAGGTGAGCACAATTGCTGTACACACTTCCTGTGATGGTCTGATGCAGCCCCGCTTCTACCCTTATGACGATTGGTCAATCACACCTGCCCAGCCCGATGCCGGCAACAATTCGGATCTGATAAAATTTGATAAGATCAAGCCCACCATTCATGTTCTGAAGTGCTTCGATTCACTTTGTCTATGCCGCCATCGATCTGACTCGACTGCGAAAGTACTATCTGGGACAGCCTCGCATATACGACAAGGATTGTGAGTCTGCCACAACCGATCAAGTGCAGACTTCAAGTGCATCGATGAGGCAGGGTCGCCTAAAGCGCGATCAGTAGTCAACCAAGTACCGTGGCAGATTGTCTGCGCAAAGGTATCGGCTATGGCTTCTACTGCCGGCTCGACTCCAGCTCCTCCTGCACTTATTCCTTCTCTTCAAAGACAACCTTCACTATGTATCAAGCCCTCCCCAAGTTCCGCCGTGTCTTCACCGACAGCTACTTCCCCGCCTTTGTCACTTACTAGCAAGGAATGGGTTGTACCTCCGAGACCTAAACCTGGTCGCAAGCCAGCAACTGATACCCCTCCCACGAAACGGAAGGCACAAAACAGAGCAGCACAGCGAGCATTTCGAGAGCGCCGTGCTGCTCGTGTTGGAGAGCTTGAGGAGCAGCTGAAAGAAATCGAGGATCAAAATGAACAAGATCAAGATAGCTTACGATCTGAGATTGCAGAACTCGGTACAACTCTAGAAAGATGTCAAGCAGATCTTGCAACCTGGGTGTCCAAGTGTCAGAAATTAGAGATAGAGCTGGCCCAAGCACACGAACGATTACTAAAACAGCAGAAATCTTTGCCACCACTACCTAATCATGTCGACAACTCTGAGCCCATGGGTTGTGGCAATTGTACTCTTGAGAGTCACTGCCAATGTATCGACGATGTCGTCAAGGGAATGGTAAAGGATACTGAGCAGACTACTTATCACACGCGACCACAGGGCGAACACGGTTCTCCACACAAGCGAATCAAGCTTGAACCTTCTGACTCAACCTCTATGGAAATAGACTTCACTGCTGCGTTCGCTAGAGGCCAACACCATGCCAGACCAAGTCACACTTCGGCACGTGTCCTAGATCCCTGTGGCTTCTGTCAAGACGGCACGCCTTGTATATGTGCTGAGATGGCGGCCGAGCAGGACCGCCAGAATGCTACTCGTCCTAGCTCTCCTCTTTTGAACACTCGGCAGGTACCGCGACAAATGGCACAGTTCACCCCTCCACCATCAGAAGGTGACGTCGCAAATCTGTCTATGCTTTCGAATGCAACCTCCTGCGCTTCTGGGCCTGGAACATGTGCCCAGTGTGTGGCTGATCCAAACTCGACACTTTTCTGTAAGTCCCTAGCAGCTTCCAGAGGCAACTCGGGCTGCTGTGGCGGACGAGGTGCTGAAGGTGGGTGTTGCCAAAGCTCGGTGGCTTTACCCCCTCGAGCCACCAGATCTAGGACAGCTGGTGCCTCAAACCTTCGTCTTCCAGAACCAAGTACCAGGAATCCAATCACACTTTCGTGCGCCGATGCTTATACTGCTCTTAGTCGTCATTCGGCTTACGACCAAGCAAGTGGCGACATGGCTTCGTGGATGCCCAAGCTTCAGGCAAGCTCTGTCAGCGTTGAAGGAAGACCTGCTATGGAGATTGACGCTGCCAATGTCATGTCGGTGCTTAAAGACTTCGACCGGAGGTTCGGATCCAGTAAATGAATAGGCCGTACCAAATGTGCATCTTATGTGATACGACAATGGCCGAAATGCCACAACGGACGTTCCCAGCTGGGACGATACAATTATACGATGGCTCGAGGCTATCATGCATTGTCTTGGTGTTTAGTAGCGAAATATAACGTCTCGGTGAGACGTTACATACAACAAGCTTTATGTACGACAGCAACGTGCATGTATGAGATCACACTCAAGGTGAAGGTGTCAAGTCAGATCATGGCAACGCGAAGTGACTGCATTTTATGAAGACGATCCATAGAGTGCTTCGTGCCGCCTCAACCTCACGGATAAGGAAACGGCGATGCTTTTCTTAGAATACATTATGCCTGTGGCAAACTCAGATGGTCAGTTCATCTCCATATGCTGCCCCCCGAAATATTGACTAACTAGTCAGCCTATCTTCACACTCAAAAACAGGCCTCTTGGTTCGATGATTGGTACTGATGTCGTGTTCGATGAACTCAAAGCCAACACATATAAAGCCAAGGTCGTTAGGTTAGATCACGTCTAGTGTCAAAGCGCAACTAAAGCTGGTTGGTGGTCTGAAATGCGTGTTCAAATATTGATGAGGGTGCAAGACCATCTGCGACGATTTGTTGGTTCATAGCACTGTCAGTAACGAAGTACTAGTAGTTGTAATGCTAGGGTCGCACTATAAGGAAGGAGCAACCCAAGTGTTTCTGAACCGGTCTTGGCATCATAACAATCTGTGATTGGCAACCACGTAATCCATTGGAACCATGGTACCTTCTAGCCTTGTAGATCAAACTAATCACGGCGATGTCTATTTGTTCATCAGACTTTCTTTGTCAACTTTAAGCTAATCTTGTGCAGCTATCGCCAGGAAGCTCAGTATACATAACAACTACGGCAACTCAAAACGCATATTGCGCTCAGGTCAGATGCAAGCACATTCCTGCTAAAGTCACGCACCGGGCTCACTGCCAAACAATATTTCGCGCTCTTCAGATGTTACACGAATGATTGTGCGCCACTTGCGCCATTCGTGGCGGTCGTTCATATGGCTTTCATTCTGACAACTCAGTCGGAGGACATATCTGCGCTGAAAAGAGCCTTTCCTGTAACGTTCCGAGGAGACTGGTGTGCCGAGAATTTTCTACGCGTCAAACGAAGAGGGCTTCATTTACAGCGGAGTATGACCAAGGCGAGGGCAAGACAGAAAGTTGTCCCTGGGATTGTTGCTTTCGACAGGCCAGCTGGTTCGCCTGATGACGCTCCTGAAGAGGCAGTCGTCGGACTGGGACCACCTCTTCTTCCACCTAAGGGTATGTTAGACACACGGTTGAAACGAAGCTCAAGCTGACAATACTACAGGAGAAACAAGAAAATTCTCACTAAGGCGGTTAAAGGTAAAGGATGATCCAAATGCGGAGCTGTTAATTGACCTCTGCAATATTCGTAAGAAACTGAACTGGAAAACTAATAGACCATCGGAAGACTCCAGACCTGCCAAAAGACCGCGGCTCGAAAGTATACCGTGTCACGCTCATCTGACAATATGGGATAACACTCCTGGATCGAAAACCAAAAGCTCTTTTCGACCTTATACACGAGATTGCGAAGTTCTGAAAAGCTGTACTGACTTTGATGCTGCGGTTGGCGACTTCATTGAAGTAAAGCTCGAAGAACCTTTTAGGATTCCAAAACGTGATCTTCGAGTTGAGGCCTTCGATAAAGGCGAACGAAGACTTGATATGGCTAAGGAGTACTTTATAGAAATCAAAATTCAGCCAACTCGTGACGATTTGAGAAACTGGCCTCCGATGAAACTCCTCGGGAAAAGCGAAGGAGACCAATCAGCCAAGATGGACAAGTTGGCCAAGAAAACGCTAGAAGGATGCTTGGTTGCAAGGCATCGTTCCTTAACACCAGAGTCGCAGACCCCTTTGTCTTTGTTCTTCTATGCGGAGGGGATCTGTTTCAAAACAAAGTATGGTCTGGAAATTGATGCAAAGTGGATGTCTACAGAGGACATCTCGAGCATGCCGAAGAAGAGGCAACAGCAAGAGGATAGCAAGCTTGAGTCTTGGATGATGGACGACGATGGTCTTGTTTTCGGAAAGGTAAAACCGGTCATACAGAAATCACAGCCCTCAAAAGCTGTTCCCAGGACTTTGCCATTGAAAAACGCTCTCACAAACGGGGTTCTTAGTCGAGTCAAACGTACTGTCAAATACAAAATAGAGCCCAATGGAGCGGAGGGACGATTCAGGAAGTACAGAGAAGCTAAGGTTGAAGGATTCTCTTGCTACTCTTGCGGAGATGACTGCTCTAAGACGATAGAACAACTCCTTGAGCATCTGCGATCAGTGCACTACAAGTACGACTATATTGTCGAGGATATGAAAACAATCGAATCTCAGCAGCTGGCGCATACAGAAATCATCATACGGGTCGCGGACCCCAATTTCAAGCCGAGAAAGCTAGCACAGAAAACCCCAACTCAACTGGAATTCGTTGAGGATACGAGTAAGTACCCTCTGAGTGCTCTACGCAAACAGTATGGTGGATTTCTATCTCCGCAGCATGTGCCGCCCTGCAGGCCTGCCATCTACACAAGAAGAAAGTATCCGAATACACGTGTCAGTGGTAAGGGAGGAGAAATGACTTCTGCTTTTACTTCTACAGCGGTCCGGCCAGTTGTCCCTGAAGATCCAGATGAAGAGTCTAGGTCAGAGTCAGAGGATGAGACGGACGATCGATGGTTTCTTGGGAAGCACCTCGAAAAGCTCGATGTTTATGCTCATGAACAAAACTGGTTAGATGCAAGACGTCGCCTGGCAAAGAAATGGGCATATCATCTTATGCATCGAGAGCGCAGTCCTCATGCTCGGTACATTAGCGATTCTCTGATCAGATTCGTGCGAATGGAGAAGCAATGGATACTGCGTAAGAGCAAAGAGTGGGCGACTGCCTCGAATCGTGGCGATCTAGAAATGGAAAGCGTTGAAGCCTTGGAGGAATTTATGCACGAGCTCATGATGAGCCGTGTCATCAACAGGGCGGTGTGCAATAATGTACTAGCACTGCTAGAAGACGACAAGGAAGCATTACCCTTGCCAGAAGAGGAAAAACACATCGTTGACCACCAAGCTGCTGCAGCTCTTAAGACATCGAGACGTCAACAGCGTCGCAACGAAGCTGCACAGAAATACGAAACTTGCGTGAAAAAGATTGCGGCCAGCGATCTTCCAGACGCGTTGCAAAGACGTCTTCACAAGGTGGCCATATCAGCTCTACCGCCAAACTTATGTGGCGCATGTCAGCATGATCTCGAGCAAGGCAACCCAACCGCTGTACGATGCTCTAGCATTGCGTGTCCTCTACCAGGCATCTATTACCATAGCCATTGTGCAGGATTGAAACGTATTGGCGAAGCCCAAAAAGCAAGGCATGGTGATGGCTCTCTTGCAAGCACAGTGCCGTTTCTATTAGACGAGCTCTACAAGGCAAGGTCGGAATGGAAATGCCAACTGTGTCAGGCCGAGGAGTGAACAATGTTCATTTTGATTCGATAGTGCATACATAGACAATCCAACTAGCTGACTGGAACTTTCCCAATGGACGCTCAAACCGTAATGACTTGCAGAAGCTGACCAAACTGCAGAAGCTGACCAAACTGCAGAAGCTGACCAAACTGCAGAAGCTGACCAAACAATGGGTCAGTTCACACCGGTTCCATCTAGAACCTGTGTTTGACTCCAACGTCTACCGTCAGTTTCCTCCCATTAGCCTCACTCAATCCCTATATCCTGTAAAAGTACAGATATATGCTTCTTTCACCTAAATAAAAGAGATGCTACTTCGACCATTACAACTTCTTGTACTGAACGTCTGCTTTGGAGCGAAACATTCTGCATAGCCGCATTATGGCCATAACTGAGAACGAACATAACACGAAGAGCTGCGTAGTCAATCTCACATGAACTCGCTATCTCTAGGCCTCAAAGATGTTGACGATTGAAAGTCAGGGCTCATCATGTAGTGTTTCATAGAACTGCCTTACATGAACGACAGGAACGCAGACTCGGGTCTGGAATATCTGTTTCGTCGCCACACGTTCAAGGAGCAGCGTATTTTTGAGATGTGAGGATCCATGTTCAAGCGTCATTGTAAAGTTTTGACTGTAATGCTTTAGTTTGAGCCGCGATGTGATGGCAGGTTTGGTGATGGTAAGTAGATGATCACCACGAAGGGCCTCGGAAACTTCAGTGGAAGTCTTGCGTTTCGGGTCCGGCAGTAAAAACTTGATACATGCTGGTTCTAAACACCAAGGCTTGCCTACACCTTGTGTATGTTTTATCCTCACTGTTTTGGCATCTCATTTTAATTGTGTTCTGCCAGGTTCGAATCTTGTCAGGTAGTGCCATTACTCATAGTGCTTCCGCTAACATCTTGATCCATCGCGTTCTGCTCCGCAGCTGAGACAACTCCCTCATCAGCCTGTGTATCACCAGCACCTCTCTCGAGCGCATCACATTCTTTCAGCAACCATGTGGCGCATTCGTCTGTTCCTTCTTTTGAGCTGTACTCCGCCTCGACAACTGCGTCTCTTCCAGACTCGTTGACTATTGTAGGGTCTGCGCCAGCTCTTACGAGTACCTGCACGACTTCTAGATGTCCGTTCAAGGCGGCCCAGTGTAGTGGTGTGTTGCCGCTAACGTTTTGATGATTAATCAGTCTAGGTGTGTCGTCCGTAGGAGCTGATTGTGTACTCGATATTCCATTCACGTGGTCTCCGTCGGCCGCTGAGTGTGTTGGGATTGCAGCCGCACCCAGTCTTTCGAGCAGAAAGGTCACCAATTCGAGGTTCCCATTTGCTGCTGGATAATGTAGGAGGCATGCTCTTGAACCAAGTCCTTCATCGTCAACGTCAATAGCATTCAATATTATTTCTGCTTCTGTTATGTTGTGCTGTACCGTATATGCTTGTATCTGGTCTTTTAGGTCTTTGATGTCGTTCGTTCGACAGGCGTAGATGAGATCGTCAACGTTGTCTGTGGTGAGCTTTGCATCAGAGCGACCGTATGAATTGGCCATGATATTGTTTGGTAACATGTAGCCAGAAGGGAAAGTGTGGTACGACTAGTGAGCAAGAAGAATTTTTTTTTCAAGGTATCACTTCAAAGAGCATCAGTTCTGCATGCACAAACCTTTAAGCATTTACAGGTGCAATCATTTTTGTCAGTGACCTTCTTGTGCAGGAGTTGAATATCACGCTAAACGCTGTTTCTCGATTCACGAGAATGTGCGTCTGAGTGACAGGTGCATATGCGATGGAAAGAATTTGGTTCGTGGTCTGAAAAATTCTACTGCTGTACAACTTCTGACCACGAGGTATCCGACTGCAAGATGTGTAATTGCGCCTACTATCGAATCGTACTTGGGGCACAAGCAGTACACCCAAGGGCCTATAGTGTGTTGTAATGCTGGGTTATCGACAAGATGCGAAAAGCTCGAGGTCAGATCCATGGTTGTTTCTGGCTCCCTCCGCAACTCCCACAGCAGTGTCAACAGCACCTGTATTTTTCACACCCAAGTACTACAACCTGAACGTTTTGGCGGGTAGATATCTAGTCATTACAAATACGGTCTTGGGCACTCCAGTACACTACATAGTACTGGGGCCGTAGAACTGAACCAGGAAATCTAGAATGCGACTGGTGAACACTTCGCTACTTCAGATCTAATGCATCAGCGGTCTTTTACACTCAATTAGCTTAGGGATCGTGCTAGAACGCTGCACATTTGGCAAAAGTGTCTATTGAGGTGCTCTACAGATCAACTCTTCCCACATAAAAGGCCACTATTCGCGCCTAATTTTTGTATCTTTCGAGTTAGCAGTATGCTTGCCATTGATTGAGGCAATGTCGCCATTTTCTGTTCTCGATGCCATTCTTTCCTGTACGTCTTTTGTCTTGTCGACAATCTCGTGCACCTTCATGTCCATACCTACCCAAAGCTTCCGATCTCTCCATGTAACTGTAACGCCTCCCCATATTGCCCAGAACCAGACAGGCAGTGTCAGAGCCTCACGACCTAACCACGACGTTGCCCAGCTTAAGAACGATCTTCGAGGTTCGTTAGGTGAGCGGATGAAAGGTGGCAGACTTTTTCTGTTTGTAGTGGGCAGCTCGACGGTGCTTTCAGATTGTAAGAGTTTATACACTTGCCAGTCGACCAGCATCCAAAAAATTGCACTAGCCGCCCATAACGTCAAGTAGCTGTACCAAGAAGAATCAAAGTAGTTCTTCGTCAGTGGCGCTGTCATCAGTCCAAACACTCCTATAGCTGAGCACAACAAAGACTCGGTGCCAGGTTCAACTAGAGTCGCGATAGGCACAGTGAATTTTCTAACACGCAGCCATCGCACTCTTCGCGCAACGTAATTGCCGACTGACATACCTGCTATTGGCTGAAAAGCCATATCTGTGAACACCAAGCCATGATTCTTCCACTTAGCTGCCACTGCAGGCATGGACGAGGGAATTTTGGCTTTCCAGAGCAGGTCACCGATAAGGTGATCCTCGCATATGTTTTCAGAGAAGTAATCGAGGCCACTGCCGAACCGAGTCTCGATCGAGTTGTCCATATTCGTCAGAGCATTGAGATGCGACCGCCTGAACATGCTCGACTTACCACATATGCAGGGCGCCACAGCAACGGTATTGATCGCTACATACATCTTTGCGTGAGCTGAAGAAAGAAATGCTTCGTCCAGACGCCCTCCGAGATAGGTCTTCGGGTCTGGTAAGGCAAGTGGATCTGCTTCTTGTCCTGAAGAGGGAGTCTGCTGAGTATGCGATATAGACGCATAGCTGAAGGCATCTTCGACAGGCATATCGACAGCCACTGGTAGATGGTGTACGAATTTGTAGGGTGCATGGTTGCCTTCGTTCGAGAAGCCACACAATTTGTCGACCATCCGTCCACATGCTCCTCTTCCCACCCAGACATTGCAGTCGAGAATCCAAACTAGATCTCCTTTTGCATTCCTGTAGGCTCTGCTCATGTTTCTGATCTTTGGGTTCGGACCCAGTCTCTTTCTACTTCTTGCGTTCGTGACCAACGCAGGGTCTTCGTCCTCCACAAGGAGCTGTGCATCGTAGTAAGTGTAGTCAGAGAGCACACGTTGAATAGTAAGACATGCTGGGTCATTACGCGAGGCAACGCAGAAATAGATAGTCAGTCTGTCATTAGGATAGTCCTGCTGTAGAGATGCGACAAGGCAATCATAGAGGTAAGGCTCCAGACCTTTGCATGGTCGAATTATCGTAACATGTGGAACGTCAGCGATCGGCAGCTTGCTCGAGATTGAAGAACTCGGTAGGTGAGAGTAGTGCCGAAATCTATACCCCGAGTCAGTGCAGCTCTGAAGTCTCGCAGGAAACGCGGAGGGACGAACAATTGCACGCATCCAATGGTGCACACTAGAACGATAAAAACGTACCAACCAAGGCAGATGGACGCCACTATCTCAGTCATGGAAGGCATGGCCACAACCTATCATGCATCGTCCTGCCTGGTTAAGCGGAAAGAGCATTGTAGCTGAGTTGATGTGTAGTTAAGTACAAAATTTTATCGAATTCATTCTATCGGTAACTGAGAATGACAATTGACCCACTAGGAGTGCTACATGCTTCTCACTCTACGAAAACTACTCAAAATACTCAATTTGCCAAATGTCAATCTCGAAGCCACGCTCTTCTCTTCTCCTCCTTCTTTTCCTTCCTCTTGTCACGATACGCCTTCAGCTGCTCCTTTGATATCTTCTTGTTCGACCGCTCGGCCTTCAAACTTCTCCCGTCGTGTGAATTTGCTGCGGCATCCACGTCGAAAAACGCGTTCATCTGCCTCTTACTCTTGTTCTCGTCGTTAAACTTTTCAGCTGTAATTTCTGCACTCTGCCATTTCCCTGTGAATCTGTTGAAGGCACCTGTTGCTGCATAGGCTGCTGCTGGGTCAACTGTAGCACTCTGTTCCATTTCAGAATCGAGGTTCCCCGGCTCGTACTTTTTAGCATAATCCGCATTTGGGTCGTAGTCGCCGTGTATTGCAGGATCATATCCGCCTGCTATCTTTTTTCGATTGGCAGGTTGTGTGGGAGCGCCAGGCGGACCAGTATCCTTCACTGTAGCTGTGCCTGTCGTCTCAACCGCTGGAAGTCGCGGATTCGCCCACTGTGTTACATGGCTCCGCCTGTTGTAGAAATAGAAAGCTTGTGCGTTCTCGTCCCATACAGGCTCCCACCCGTCGTCTCCTGTCGGCACAGCAGGCTCTTCATTGGGGAGAGGTGGTGGTGCTTCGTCCGGTAGAGGCGGTTGTGCTGTCCCGTCCTGGTCGTCGTTGCTTTGATCACTTAGACCCACACTCGAAGCTTGGTTCTCATTGTCTCGTTCTTGCACGGAATCGTGGCTATTGCCGTTGCCGATCTTCTGACTGGTATTGTCGATACTATCAGATACCGAAACTGGTGGTTTGGCAGGACTGGAGCATGGCAAGTCATTAGCACAAAGGTAGGATTACAAGAAGACCTGGTGATTAGCTACAGCGAAGGTGACAGTAAGGAAGCACTCATGTTGACTTAGACCTCCTGGGATCCGACGGCGCAGAACATATGATGACTTCTGTAGTTCTTCGAAGGACAACAGTGTTTGTCTAGCTTTTGGGTATCTCCAACGCGCCGAACGTAGGATGTAATATTTCGGTGAACGCAAAATAGTAATAATGAAGAGGCTGCGATCACAACGGAGCACGGTCCCGGAGCACTAGTATTCGAGTAGTTCTTTGCGTATCGGCGACAAGAATTTCCGTGCCCGTGGAAAGGCAAACCCCACTATCGCTGCACCTTCCCTTCAGAGTTTGTGGCTATGGTTGGGTCGAGAAATGGTTCGTTTCACCCTGGGACCCAATTACAAACGTCAGTACGAGTAATTATATGGGTCTCTTCGAGCGAGCGTCGTATTGAGGGAAGGTTATTGTGCTTGTTTCTGTCTCACAGCGAGATACAAGGTATTTCAAGTCAAAAATAGACAACGATTGGCTTCCCTTGGCAATGTCAAGCTTCTTAAGCTTTTGCCCCAAAACTTGGTAGTGCTTGATTATGCGCTACATGTTCCACTTGCCGGCGATGGAGCACCTACTGATTAGCAGTCTCTTGTGCATCTCATATGCCCTGGACTTTGGATACACTCAGGGAGGAATCAGCAGTTTTTGGTTCTTATGCCTACCACTGTGTTTCATATGGTCTTGCTAGGCTTTCGCTAAGGTCAAGACAGCGACAATATCCGGACGCTCTGGTTACTATCGAGACAGATTACGGATAGTCCTGGTCTGATACCGAAGCTGCAACAGCTGAGTCTGTATTCGTCACAATTCGGAGCGGTCTAGAAGGTGACACAGTTTCACCAAAAGTTCGCTCTTGTCATCCACTCAGGGGCTTCTTCAACGAAGATACATATGGGCTGACATTGCGTGTCCTGTGGAGATGGCGGATCCGTTCCACGTCACCTGTTGTGATCTATTTCACAGACAGAGGAAACATGGAGTCTGTCAGTAGGCTTATAAAGTCATCTGCTTTCTCCCTCTTCCTACTAGTTGTGTTTCGGTGAAGATTGTACATCTACGAACCTCTTACAACTATTGAAATACTCGTACTAAAGAATCTCTATATTAAAGATGTTCGGGTGGGGTAAGTCGAGCTTGGTGCCTCCTCAAAAGTTGTAAACTGACCTCAGGACAGACGAATCTCGAGATGCCCACCAACAGGTGTATGGCGATGATGACAACCAGGCTAAATTCTCTCACGAATTAATTGGAGGCGCTGCGGCTTTTGAGGGCATGAAGCTCTTTGAAGATCGTCAGCGCAAAGAAGGTATGGTGGATTGAGATGATATTTGAATATCGAGTAACTCTTTGCTAGGCAAAGTAGTCAACCACCAGTTTGCCAAAGAGCTTCTAGCAGGTTTTGCTGGTGCCGAGGCCGACCGGCTGGCTGAGACTAAGGGCATGGACGAGTACGATAGAATTGAGGCCAAGAGGCATGCCGAACGATCAGCCCAAAACATGTATGACCAGCATTATCGAGATGCTGATCAGGTGAGTCGTGTGCCTCAGCGCCACTACTTGAGGAATTCTTGCTGATTTATGTAGTATGACCCGAACCAGTATGAACAACCAAACTTCAACTACTGAGCATTCAGCTGGCACTTGTAATAGCTAGAATGTTCGCGTCAAGAGGTAGTTACCTCACATCGTTTAGAACGACCGAAGATAAAGTTTGTTGCTGCTTCTATTCAACAAACTGCCGAAGCATATCTCACCATCGTCCTGTGCTTGTCAATTGCTTGTTATGAGTTGTGAGTGTGGTGCCGGTGTTTCGACTTCGTTGACTAAAGTTGGCTCAACACGGGTCTCCAAATCCTTGGCAGCAATTTTATTCGCCTGGAACCATCGAGCACCGACCACAGTAAATATAAACACATCAATATCGTTACTATCTTGCGTGACCTGGTCATCTGACTTGCACTCTCTATCGATTCTGATGCTAGCCGTTGGGCAGGCTTTAGGCCACGATATCGTTTTCATACGTAGAGATGCCGCCTCTTCCTACAGCAGCTCTCCCTGGCTTCAGTCCAAGAGTCGTATGTTATTTCCAGACTTACCACGACAACGGTGAATACATTAGTTTGCTACCTCTTGTCACGAACCCTTCAGGCGTTACGCATGTCATTTTAAGTGCTATACATGTGAACTGGGATCCCAACAGTCTCACTCTGAACGATGACACTCCTGATGACCCAAAATATACACAGCTATGGGATGAGGCCATGGTATTGCAAGATAGCGGAATTAAAGTCATGTGCATGCTGGGTGGTGCAGCTAAGGGATCATTCGCAAGGCTTGACTACAGCGAGTCAAGGACTGATGTGCCACTGGCTCGCTTTGAGGCTTACTACGTACCACTACGCAATTTTATCCGAGCTCACAACCTGGATGGCATCGATCTTGATGTCGAGGAAGAAATGTCACTACCTGGAGTTGTTCATCTCATTGATCGTTTGAAAGCAGACTTTGGACGAGATTTCATCATCACACTTGCCCCAGTTGCTACTGCCTTGATGGCTGGCCGACCTCACCTCTCTGGTTTCGACTATCGGCTGCTGGAGGCTGCGCGAGGCAGGTCAATAGCTTGGTATAATGCACAATTTTACAACGGATGGGGTGGGCTACAAAATACTGCCGCTTACGACGAGGTCATGCGAAACGGATGGCCGGCTGAGAAAGTGGTTGCTGGGATGCTGACAAATCCTCGACATGGTGGCAGTGGTTACGTGCCTCTAGAGCTAACAGCAGCCGTGCTCAGTGTGCTTGTTGAAAAATATCCCAACTTTGGTGGCGTAATGGGGTGGGAGTATTGGAGCTCCTTCCCTCAAGTCGAACACTCATGGATCTGGTCCTTCTGCATGACACTCTGCATGGGCATGCGCAAGGTAAGAGATGCAGCGATAATCGTAAGCATGGGACGGAGCTTGTCGTCCCTCAATACGCAATGAGGATCAACAGTGAAAGTATGGAAAACAGACACAAGATCGACAAAACGGGTTGTGGGGCTTCTCCGGGCTTAGCCGGACACAATCCATGCCTAAACCTCCGACCTGCAAGCGCCACTGCACGTCGCGCACGCCCGCGTGACTTCAGCAGCACGTTCACAATTCTGCGCCAGCTGCGACAGCTAACAGAAGCTCAAAACATCGCGACACAAACACAAGCAGGATGTAAAGATGCCATCAACACTAGAGATTGCCGTCGCAGCAGCGTCGACGACTGTCAGGATCAGTGCCTTTCTGTTCCTGAGATGGGTAAGCGACAAGCATGTTTCGTGGGACTTTTGACTGAGCAATCGAGATTCCGGGACACCATTTTCCTCCTCTTATTATTTCAGCCATAGTACTGTACTTGTCCTTGATCACCGCCAACTCGAAATCGTTCGGTACGCACAGACCCACCCTACGCGAAGCATTTCCCAAGCTATTCAGGCACGAGAAGAGATCAGAAGCGCCGAAGTCTGACACCCTTCACGAGCTGCACCATGATGAACCTGCCGTATACCATGACGAGAAGGCTATCTGGCGGACACTTCTACTTGGTATTCCAGACTGGAAAGAGTGGGAATTCAGTTACACTGCTATAGCTGTGAACATCTTGCTGACGCTTTTGTCCCTCGATATGATATTTCGAGGTCCTCTGCTCTACGATGGCAAGGACCTCACTTTTACCCGTCTAGGCTACGTTGATGACACGAGCGCCAAAGTGTTACTGCGAGATCCGAACATCACAAATCTACCTATCTACGTCTACCTAAGACCTTCCAACAGCCCGGCTTGGTCAAACGTCGACACTCTCTATTATCTGGGAGAGGATAGCGATTATACTTACCCGATCACGTTCTCAAAGCTGCAAGCTGATACAGCTTATACCTATGCCTTGTCCAACGACCTCAAGGGTCATTTTCAGACCGCACCCGGAGCCAGCGACCAGAATGCAAAATCTCTGATCTTTCTCACTTCATCCTGCATAAAAGCCAATTTTCCATACAACCCCTTCTCACATTCTTTATCCATTCATGGCTTTAAGCATTTGTCTAATGTAATGAAAGCTCTACCATCACGGACCGCGTTCATGTTGTTCCTGGGTGATTTTATCTATGTTGACGTACCGCAACGTCTAAGCTCAACCGTCGAACATTACCGGTCTGAATACAGGCGCGCTTACAAATCGCCGTCATGGCAGCTGCCCGGTCTTCAGATTCCTTGGCTCCACACCCTCGACGATCACGAAATCGCCAATGACTGGGCGGGTGGGAATGAGACCGAGCCTTTTCCAGCAGCCTCAGATCCTTTCCTTCATTATCACGTGTCAGTCAACCCGCCGTTTCCACAGGATGTACCAGCAAGCAGTCGTGCAAACACAACGTATTTTCAGTTCACGCAAGGACCAGCATCTTTCTTCATGCTCGACACACGAAGATATCGCACGCAACCAGAGTCCGAACAGGCTAGTCTCTTTTTCTCAGCCAAACCGCTTTATGGTAGCTCATCTGCACCATCTCAGACACCGGAATATGCACCGAGTATGCTAGGCCCTGCTCAATTGCAATCACTTCTTTCTTATCTCACAACACCTGAACCTCCAAACGTACACTGGAAATTTGTGGCCTCTTCAGTTCCATTCACAAAGAATTGGAAAGTCGGCACCTCTGACACATGGGGAGGTTTTCTTACTGAGCGTCAACGTGTACTTGATGCAATGCATTTCGCAGAGGCTAATCTCGGGGTCCGGGTCGTGATCCTTTCTGGCGACCGCCACGAGTTTGCAGCTGTGCGCTTTCCTCCAAGCGCAACTCGTGCCTTGTCCTCCTCAAAGGATGGTGCTACTGGCCCACATGAGTTCAGTGTTGGTCCCCTTAGCATGTTCTATCTACCTCTCAGAACTTTCAAACAGACCGATGATGAAGATGTGGCTATAGCTTACTATCCTGACGGCAACAGTAAGGTTGGAACAGTTGAGATTGCATCGATCATCAACAGAACTTGCAGAAATTCCAGAAGCATATTAACATACACTTTGTGGGTGGATGGATCTAGAAGATGGAACTATACTATTGAGAGCCCTTCCTCAGTTATTGTGTCAAGAAGTAATCTAGACACCTGGAGATCCTGAGACAGACATACGGCATGGCTATGAGCATTGGAAGACTAATATGCTAGCTATCGCAGTCGGGACTCTTTAAAGGGAAAGAACAAAAGCTTTGAGGCGGCAGCTTTCAGGCTGCAAGTTCTGCTTTCCCCAGGTTTAGCGACCGCCTCCACATTGTCTACTGCACCTTGAGAAGCTATGAAGACCGACTGAAAGGCTTCGAATAGCGCTTGCATGAGAACAGAGCAACCGAATGCCAGATTACGGCTCAAGCCGAAATGCAGCTATTGTTTCAGCACTGAATCAATGATTCGTGAACAGATAGCCGCCAAGACTCGAACGTGGTGTTGGCCAATCAATGCTCAGCAGACGACCAAGCTATTTATGCAGGCGCGTCATCCCCTGGCGTTAAGCTTATATTTGGCAATTGAGCGCGTCGAAATCAACCATTTTGGCTAGCAAGTCTCCTACCAGCAATGTGATTGGTGCGCTCTTCTCGACTCGTGAGCTGAGTTGAAGATGGGCTGGTATTGCTTGAGTACTGGCGGCAATACTACGATTTCTATTCTTGCAACGCACGATCGTATCTGTCGAGGTAAATTTATATCTGCCAATACGTCGAGATGATATGTATCTCATCCATCAAGTCCTACCAACATCGTGCATCCAATAGCATAATCTTTTCCCAACAAGATGATGTATTCACCGCCCAGCAGTCGTTCTTCTACGCCATCGCGAACCACTGGAGGAAGAGGATCGCCAGGAATTTCAGCAAACGACTATCGGTGTGATGTACTTCAGTCCAACAACATTTTATTACAGACTAAGACTATGGACGAGGAAAGGTGGTCCGACCTAGCCTTTTCTTTAGGAATCGCCGCACGTCAGGGTCAACGGCAAAGTGCTGCGACTCAAAAGCTCGCCCAGAAAATGTCCAAGCGCAAACAAATTACAGCAGCACAGACATACGATTGTATCAAGCCTTTCGTTGAGTCGTTGATTTCTGCTTGCCCTAAACTATCTCAGCAGAACCGGTGCACATACAATGGTGATGCTGTGCCAACAGATGACGCCTTCAAGAATACGATAAACCGATTGCCCTGTCCAAAACCAGCAATTAGTGTGGGATACAGTCGGCACGCGTTTTCAATAGCTCAAGATGAACTCCAAAACGGCATCATCGCTGGTCCTTCTGGGGAGCCCTATGATCTAAGCCATCTTTCGCAACCGATACCAGGTCATTTCTGGCCTTTCTTCGTAGTCGAAATATCAGACCATTCAATGGCAGCTGCTCGTCAAGCAAGTGCGATATCAGCTGCAACATGTAACAATGCTCTGAGTCTCGTTGCCGGTGCTGCTTTTGATGGCAACAGCAACCGCCCCTACAGCCCTTCCATGTTCGACCACAAATTCGCAATGTCCTTTTCTTTATCCATACATGGCGAAGTTGCTTCGTTGGGCGTCCATAAAGCCGAAGCGCACGCGCCTCATGTGGCTACGCAGATTGCAACCTATAACCTCAGCGGGGCTGGCGAGGTCGCTGCTCTTGCAGATCGAATCTATGGCATTTTCGTCTGGGCACATTACAACCGGCTGGCGGAGATCATGGCTACTATTGACCAACTGGAACGAAGAGTGCACGGACAGCCAGCAGGTCTAAACTCGAGCCCCAGCAGTTATGACTTCGATCCTCACTGCCTGAAGACTCTTAAACTACAGCCTTCAACGAGACCAGATCGAGCCAAGGTCGTGTTCAAGGCTGGCTTGCCATCGTGGTTGTCACGATGATATGACAGAATCGGATTGTTGATGTACGTACGACTTATGACTGAATGATGTCGAATTGAGCGTTGTGATTTGGTGCGTTTCAAGCGGTAAACATGCTCATTGGGTGAGCTTGCTTTCGAAAATTATCGGGGTACGGTGTACACGGCTTCCACCAGCCAGAAGTAGGCAGAAGCAAATCGTGTATGAGCGAGTAATGCTTAACGTAATGATAGTAAAGAAACCTTGCAGTTACTATGCTATTTTCCAACAATAAGCTCCCACGCTCAACACGAGGATGAAACGAGACCATGCCATGGCTCGATCTGATTCTGGGAGGAGAGTCCAGGCTTTTGCGTGTAGAGATAGTCTTTTGCGGCACTGCATACATGACGAACGTTCGACTCTGCACTCCTTCTGATTAGTCTGTTAACCCTATCAATGGGTCATCTCCTGTAGATTCATTTTGGCGGTGTGCATGCTGGCTCCAATACTCGTGGCAGGTACGTCTCCCTCGTGTCCTTGACCGTCGCGGATCTGCGACCTTGAGCGCCTGCATGCATGGACGCACTACCAAGTTCCTGCTTGATACTGTTCGACTGGCTAATTCCCACGAAGTATGTAGGCTTGCGGTCAGAGAGAGTCGAAGATCGGCCTGTGCTCAATTTGCTTCGACGACAATTGTAATCGGGAGTTGTGACGAGTACTGTTCTCACGCAACCATCGCAACACAAGCTTCAGTGTTGCCGAAATGGTACTTCTGTTGTCGGCACTACGTCCACATTGTGTCAGGTCTTTACACAGCTTGGCAAGCTGTTCTGGCGCGGCATGCTATCGCGCGATACAGGAGCTAGTACAGTAGCAGGGTTTGAGGACGAACGCCGTTGGTGACTATTTCAGTCCATATGTGCTTGGCCACATCCGAGCAAGCGGCAATCCACTCATCCACCTCAAGCTCCTCTTGCATGTACATGATTTGCGGATTGCCCTGATGTGATAGAGCCAGCTGGCGCTTCGCGCACAACTTTAGGACAACCCGCCTACGCGCCAGAATCGCTCATCATCAACACGGCATCTACGTGGGTCAAGGTCAACGATCTTATTGTTATTCGTCGCTCCTCTCAAGAATGCAGTCCCCAGGGCTTGGACTAGCATGCTGGCTTGTTCTTCGGTGGATGATCGCGCGGCTATTGGGTCAGGTTCAAGTACATTTGCAAACCTCCGAAGTACAAAGCAATGCCAGTACCTTTTGCGTTGATGGCCTCTTTTCATCCTCTTGAGCGTTGACCCGTCATCGAGCGTCCTTCCTTTCTGTGTTGTTCACCTACTATTGTTTCCATAGCATCCTGCTGGCCAGGCTAATCAAGTCTCATTCGTTTGCTTAGAATCCAAGAAGATTACTCTACATTAACGACGGCCTAGCATTACGTTTAGCAGGATGTCTCTCAACAGTGCAATTTCACATTCAACAAACAGTTCATGGTTCAGCAGAGGCAGTGCTGATTCCCGATCAGTATCAGGAAGAAGTCAGCTGCATTGGAAGAAGTTCCGGAAGGAGGTCCTAGCACCACATCACATTCGCATAGTCGACAGCCTAGCCAACGAGACGATCCCGGAATCCATCTGCACTTGGATCGAGGCCAATCGCAAGAATGTCGACCGCTTCACCAAACAAAGGCAAAAGTTTCGGAAATTGGTAGCTAATGGACGTGGTTTTGGTTCTTCAGCTCTCTTTCCACAAGAGGTCTTACCTTCAAACGACGCTCGACCATTCCTCTCAAGATGTATGGTGCCCTCATTGCCTGGAGATGCACTCCCAGAAAAGGTGGTTGGTAAAGCAGGCTCGGCTATTCAGAGGAGCTTCCTTTCCGCACCACGACCCGGCTTGGGTTGCGGCTTCTCAAGCTCTGCATTTGCTCCGGAAGAGATCAAATGTATGCCAACACACATGCTCGCCACTGGCACCACAGTGCATTTCGATACAGGTTCCATCTCCTCAGGTACAGCTTTGTACTGCCCTTTCTTCAGCTATGAACGCGTCTTCAGCCAACAGAGTTATGGATTTGAGATAGCAGCCAACCAGTGCGCTATTGATGGTGCTTGGTCGGTTCGTGCCATGCAAATGTTGTATGCAAAGGCGTCCGAAGACGATCGAGATACTGCCGAGTCCTTCCTTCGTCCTATTGCGTTTACTTGTGCCATCGACAACGACATTGCCATCATCAACTACCACTGGGTCGACCATGCACAAACGTATTGCATGGCACCTGTAGTCAGGTTCGAGCTTGCGAACGACAGTCACTTTGATCAATTTCTGTTATGGTCCGAAGCAATCGGTCAGTGGGCTCTTACACATCTTCTGCCTGAAGTGAAGAAGGCAATCAGCCTGCTTGGTGACTATGTTTCAGGCTTGCCTGCACTTTACAGTTCTTTGGAGAAGCTTGAGCCCAAGAGTTCGCAGGAAGAGCAAGCCCTAGTTTCAGCATTGAAACTCTCTTACGACAATATTCCCTGGCGGCTAGACAGTGATGCTGGCTCTCCAGTCAGTAGCAGTACGGCCAGCTGGGGTAGTCCCATGATCAACGAGGCAATATTTGCAAAGTTTGAATACCCGCTTATTCCACAGCCGAGCATGCTTCCGCCACTACCAGCGCTACCAACAGTACCACCTGCCCTAGCTGGACGTGCCAAAGCGCCAGGTAGTGTCTGCTCGGATTCGAAAGTCATGCCCAAAGGTGTTCGTTTTGCAGGTATCAAGCCAAGCAAGGAACAACCAAATCTGAATCCAGGAGCCTACGCTCAAAACACAGACCTTGTGGTCACGAAAAGACTCGGTTATGCCTTGGACGAAATCCAGGATTTGCAAGCTCAATTGATGCACCTCAAACAAGAAATCAGTGGGTCGACGTCATGTCTGCAGAACGAGCTCTCCGGCTTGCGAAAAACTATGACCTGTGTCATTCGCAAAGAGAAAATGGGTTCCAAGCCGCGGTCGCCAATTCAGACGACTATCAATCACCAAGCGTTCGTACAAAGTGAACATCGACTCAATCTAAGACATGGTGTCTCTGTGGTGACCACACCGACTGACCCGAAAGCTCGGCCTGTTCACTGGCCGTCACCAAGTCCGAAAGTCAGGACGCCATCTGGATTGCAGAATGTCTTGAGTCTTGACACGAACGTGGAAGCAGTGAGTATCAGCAGTGCCACGAGCTTCCATTCTCCTCAATGCAGTGCTCCGATCAAAATGGCACAATCACCTATAACGATTTTTTCTCCGACGATCTTCAATATCGCTTCGCCAGAGGAGACCGAAGAACAGTATGGAGCGATGATCCGAGTGCCAAATCAGCAGCGAAATGTCTGGTCGCACGTCGCTGCCACGCATATAATCAGTGCTCTCGTTCCTGCGACAATGTTGAGAATCTTGTTCCTAGGCTGTTTGTTGGACTACTGTATGATGTCGATGTCGGGTGGCCCACAAGTAAGCATTACGCAGTATCTGTCAAACGTGCTTGAAAGTGGCGTGTTCTGAGGGATGGCTTGGAAGTTGGGAGGACTTTTTGGAGCCCTTTGACGATTGTGATTCTGCCTTCTGTATGCGTAAGCGATGGTGTCGGTTGATGGGCTAAATTACGATTAGTAGCTTGAAGAACGAAAAGCCTACTGAAATAGCCTGGGACTTCGACTAAGGTAGCCTACGAGACCTTTACCAGTAGATTTTGTTACGTGACGACAGGAAAGCGTTAGAGCGTTGAGGTTGCATGTATATTCCTAGCTGACAATGTCTCTTGTTCATAAGATAAGCTTAAGACCTCCAGCTGTATTGTGTGACACCAGCGAGCCTTTCAAAAACACCTTAGTAATACAGATGTGGCTTCGCTCTTATTCTGTAACGTAGTAGGCACCCATTCTTCGTCTTCGACAGCAAGAAAGGATGCATAGTGAGACATTCCGGGAGAACCAACATGTAAAGGCTTCGGATGGTGACAACCGCGTGCTTCGCAGCGTGTCTATCGTATATTCCACGACTTGAACGCGTGAACAAACTTGAACTGTCTTTTCGAGGAAAGCGCCAAAACGCGGCTCGGTAACTGAATTCTTGGAAAGCCCCCACCGAACTTTACCAGCTTAATCTCAACTATATTTCTCATATCCAGGTGGATTTCTTGCTCTCGTTCTCAGTACTGAGTCGAGGTCAAAGACCTTGTGACAACGAAGCGCAATGACGGCGTATCAATTTAGCACTCCTACAGTGCTGTGCAATCTTATCAACTTGCTGTCCTAGCCCAGCGAAGTATCCATCGTCTGCAGTGTTCTTGTAGCCCAGGGAGACCTGCACGCCGCACCCCTCGATGAGCGCTTGGGTGAGCGATGTGGCCCAGTAACTGACCAACCACTTGCGACCACTCCGAGTCTCGAGCGCGCTTATCAACCAGCAAGTGTCCTTCAGACGACAGAAGCATCCTGTTTCTTTAAGCTGTCTACTTCCCCTGCCACATGCGTCCGGTCCATCTCATGTAAAATTTGGGAATACGACACTGACGTCCTTGAAATACCTGATCAAGCGCTAGCTGTATTCGGGTTGCCCGTTGACCACCTAACTATGGGCTTACTGAACAACGGGTTCAGCCCTTTACTGGAAACACCGCGCCTTGTACCTGATCTGGGTATACCAGTCACTTCTGCAACAGTGGAAATACGTATTATCAACACTACATGCTACCAGAAAACAAGCACAGCACATCTTCTTGGTCAACCTATACCTGGTCACGAAACTATAACTTTCCCAAGTTATGCTTTTCTCGTCAGCAATCGTGCCCAAGGCGTAAACGTTCTTTTCGATCTGGGTATGCGGAAGGATTGGAGAAAAGCATGTCCTCCTGCTCTATTACCCTATATTGGGGACGATGGACAGGGTGCGCCACTTCAAGTTGATGTTGAGAGAGACATTGTCGATATCCTCGATGATGATCCAGGCAATATTGGAATCACTTCGTCCGATATCTCCGCTGTAATTTGGTCACATCATCATTTCGATCATCGAGGTGATGTAGCTAGATTTCAGTCCTATACAAAGCTCATCGTCGGACCCGGCCTTCTCGACAGGTACATGCATTCCGAGATACACGAATCAGAAATCCGTGGTCGCGATATCGTCGAACTCGACGATACATCTTTCGATCTAACCATAGGCGGGTTTCCAGCACATGATGCATTTGGGGATGGTTCATTTTACCTGCTGTCGTGCCCTGGTCATACTGTCGGTCATTTGTGCGCGCTCGCACGCGTTACAGCGACACCGACCAGCACATTTGCTTTCCTGGGTGGCGATTGCGCTTATCACTGCGGTGAGTTCCGCCCTTCGCCATACATCCCTCTTCCACAGCAAGTCGCTTTCAAGTCAGCGTCGTGGCACTTTCCTCGTGGGCCACAAGCTGGTCCACCTGTTCTAAAGAACCGAAAAATTCTGCTTTGCGCTGGCGATTTCATCAAGGATATCGTGCATCCCTACAAGTCGGCCACAGAGTCCTTTTACGAGACGCCTGCCGAGCCAGTGGTGTCCAGTCACGACGAAGCCTGCGTCAGTACCGCCAAGATGGAAATATTCGATGCCCATGACGATGTCTTGGTATGCATATCCCATGATAAGTCACTTATGAACCATTTACCGTTCTACCCACACATCATGAATGAATGGCACAAGAAAGGCTGCAAGCAGAAGCTGCATTGGGAGTTCCTCAATGACTTCGATCTCGACCGAAATCCGATAAGTCCACCAGCTGCGTTACATTTCCGCCGACAGCGTTGAAATACCCAGAGAAGCTTAAGTAGAGTCTTAGAGCTGGCTACTCGGGTACAAGTATTTGAGACCTGATCAGATTAATTCCATTGTTGAAACAGCATTCGCACTATCAACCATGGAAGCATTTCGCTTCCTTCTTCAGTGACGGCAATAAAATCTGCCAGTGTCTGTCGAACCTTCTATGGAATTTTTTGGTATACCATTGTCGGCACGTTAGGTAGAAAGTGTTTGATCATCTGCTGCCAGTATAGGACGGCTCAACACGCGCCTTGCTGTCTATCTGTCTGGGCATTTGAGCACCTGTCGCGCCGAGTTCTAGTCCGGGTATTGCAACGGCACCATCTACCAGGGCGTTCTGTCGACTATTGGGACGAGAAGGCGCAGTGCCTGACAACTTGGTTGTGTGAAATCATGGTACTTGAGTTCTGATTGGCTGTGGAAGCGCTTACTATCAAAGTGGAACCTTTCTATAGGCGCCATATGTGGAGACGGCATTGCACGTCACACCTCTTTTCTCGTATCATGAACTAGATTGCTCTGCTCGCTGCATCTGAGCAAGTTCACCGCAAATCTACAGCCAGTCTTTTGCGACTCAAAGCTTGGGTTTTTGAAGGTGTTACCTTCCCAATTGCCTGAAATGGGGTGGCGGGGCTCTCCACGTACTCAGACGTTGCTGTACTGTATGTCGACGCGACTTCTCAGCTGAATGAAGTGTGCAGAGGTGCACGTTCCAGTACATTCATATGGCCTAGTCCCCTGATGCCGACTGCCACTAATCACATATTCTCCCGTTCAATGTCCTTTATCTCCTTATCCTGTTCCAAGTTCTACGCAGAAGTCCTCTCAAATTCTTGCATTTTGTGTCTATGCACCTTGTCGTGGACAAAGTCTCGCGTTTGAGGTTGGAGCGACTGGAGCAGTGGTAAGGAAAGACCCTATCTGGTGAGTGCCGTTACCTCGCGCCCGAGGCTGACTCAAGTTATTCTTTGTCTTTTCGTTTCTTTCTTTGTCTCCGCTCTTGTCCTCAATGCGCACCTGCTATGTTCTTGAAGATGCGCTTCTAACTGAACGGCATCTTAGCATTTGTGAATTTGAAACACCTTGGTGTTCACCAGTCTACTGTCGTTGTCTAGCGCGACCACTTCGCTCAACGAAGTCAGTCCACGCCAATACATCAACCACGAGCTCAATCTAGCGACCCCCGATAGACCTCTGTCTCGAAAGCATGTTCGAACAGAAAGCCGTCAGGTCGTCCTTGGAACGAGGAAATCGGAGCAGTATTCTCACTTCGAATGTCCAAGACAGACGCAATTTGTGGTGGAAAGCCTTTCGCAAGACTGTCCTTGAACCGCGTTCAATTGGTATTCTAGAGAACCCGATGACCGACAAGGTGCCTGCTGAAGTCCTGAATTTGGTGGAACAAAAGTGTCAATATCTTGAGAGGCATGAGCAACAGGCATTGCAATTTGTGGACGCGGTTTCCCATGGTCGAGGCTTCGGCTCCTCAGCTCTCTTCCCCTCGGAAATTCTACCAGCAGTATCCGACAACCATCTTGCGCGGAACCTAGAGCCAACATTCGATCAACAGACTCTACCATCTCAGGAGGACAGTTTCCGAATACCAGTGTTCGAAATTCCAAATCCGTGTCCAGGTCTTGTTTCAGGATTTCCCCAAACTGCTTTTGACGAAGATGAATTCAGGGAACTGCCTACACATGCGGCAGCATCAGGCATAATAAGCGATTGCAGCAGAGGTCGAAGTCATCCCGACCCAGCTGTCTACACACCCTTTCTGCTCCTTGAGAGGACATACGGCAATGCCAAACACGAAATTGAATGTGCGATGAATTATTGCGCAATGAACGGAACCGCGGCGCTGAACTCCATTAATATGGTATACGAAAGCGCATGGCCTGACCGAGTCGCACGACCTGTGAGAGATCCAGTCGTCTTTTCCTGCATTATCGACAACGATCTAGGGATAATTAACCATCATTGGATGTCAGAAGGTGGCTTCTTTGTGGCACCTCTTTGCAAATTCGACTTTCGAGACTTAGAACACTTTATGCATTTTCTTGCATGGATAGAGGCAATCGAAGAGTGGGCAACCACTTGCTTCTTACCTGATCTGCAAAGAGCTCTCCGAGTTGTGTGTGAGCTCAAGGCTGCTGGGTATGCTGTGGGTCCAGCGAAGGCTTCACTGTCTCCCATGTCAATTGATGAGAAACAAGACAAGCTGAGTCGGTCCATGAAGGAGGCGTTCGACAACATACCATGGAAAGGAGAACGATCAAGACGAACTCCATTGGGCGTAACGAGTGCGATGCGTATGAGAAGTCCCAAAGCTACTGCTGAACCTGAACCTGTTGTAACACCTATGAATCTCTCACATACTATAGAGCCTGCATTGCCAGAAATATCGCACACAATCTCGGCTGATCCGGTGCCTCTGCAAGAACATGCAAGAGACTCAGTCACACTGAATAGTTCCACAGCTATTCCAGCACCTCCAGATCCCAAGAACGAGGAACTCAAGAGTTCTGAGCAGGAATTCTTAGCGCCAACGGATGTCGCACCAATGACAAAACGGAAAAAGTCTAGCCTTGGATTATCGCTAGTAAAGTCTGCAGGACTTTCAAAAGGAGCGAATTCCGCAAAAGAGACTCGTTCTATTGGCTCAGCAGGCCTTGAGGTAAACGAAAGCCCAGCAGTCAGTGTATGGACCATGCCACTACCTCAGAATAACAGTGGCAAAAGTCCAGGCATAGCAACGAGTACCGTCAGCATGAAGAGTCCTGCGGAATCCACTGTCTCGATTCAATCAAAACGGTCATTCACCTCTCTGCGAAGCAGGAAGATTAAGTCACCGAGTACACCAGATTCTAGTTTTGGTGCCTCACCTAAAGGTTCCAAGTTCAAATCGAAGATCAGTAACAGCCTGGGCATGATCAAAGAGCATACTCTGACAAGACCCAAGTACTCGGATAATTCTGCACCTTCGAGTGCTAAAGACCACCCTCCTATGCCCACTCCTGCGTACGACAAGAAGAGATTCGATATTCGGACACCTAAGCCAATATTGCCAGAGAACCCAATGTCCTCCATCTCAGAGACTCTCCACAATCGATCGATGTCCGAGTCCGTTAATACAAGTCAGGCTTTCAATGGATCAGGTGTTATGGACAAATCAATTGCAGCTGCGGCATACAATGCTAGTCATCCTCTACCTTTACGACAATGGGCAAAGAGCCCTACGATAGCAAATACTACCACGACGACGCTTGAGGCTCGCGGCTGACATCTGTTCTAAGATATCTGCTTGTGAACCATCCTGTATTTGTAGTACTACCTATGTTATGAACGTTGTTTACTGTCGGGACATCAAAGTCCCTTTGTTCGAGCGAGGAGTGGGCGGCGAAATACTTGTTAGACAGACGACTGCAAACGTGTAGAAAAGTGATGCCAGAATGCAATTGCCTGCCACACCGTTGCGGATCACCTCTTCGTCACGCACATTTTGAACATGACCTCGAGCAAAAGACGTCTATGTCCTGAGCCCGAATTGTAACCGAATCGTAAAGACACGCCATATAGCTGAGTGCTCTGTTCCTACTCAAGATTGCGGCTCACGTTGCGAGAAAGAAGCTGTTCAATTGGCTTTCCTTGTAGGATCGACTGTTCCACTTTCCCAGTAATTGCCGCTTCCGTGGCGGGCAAGCACGATGGGACCGGATTACAACCAGAATTACGTCGTCGTTACATATAGAGTAGTCATTCAAGTAAACTTTAGTACACATCTCAGCTCGACAGCAACTGGAAGATTGAACCAGCCATGGGTGTTTTCATCGACCAAAATTAAGTACAGCGTGAATATGAGCGGGCCATGTTCTATGCTAATCAAAAAGTAACCAATGCTCCCAAATCCTGAGTCGAATCGATCGTTTCAACCACAGCCCGATTCTACCTAGTGCGCGCTCCTGTCCATGCGAAACGGGACGAATCAAAACAGCTGTATTGGCGCGGGCACATATACCTAAGCACGCTCTACAGCCTGGACGTTGCTCTCATCACTGCACCAAGCAGGGTCTCAATCAGTCACATGATTGCATTCCTTCAGGACGTCAAGCTTCGTAATTCTCCTCAACAACGACAATCGAGGTGGAAGCACATCAGCACGAGCTGTATATGCTGCCTGAAATAGTGAAATGCAAGAAAGACAGACCTGCTCTGCTAATTACGAAATTTTTAGTGCCCAGGTTCTGCATGAATCGGAGCGTCCACTTACGCGCCCAACCTCTACCCCGATGTGCAGCTACATCACATGAGTTCAATCCCAGAACAAACTATCCGAAGGTGCAGGTGCGCTTCCAAGCTGGTTCTATGAAGCTCTCCTGACTAGACGGGTACTAGCCCTAGCGCTTTCTCCGTCCTCGTGGATGCTTCGCAGCATCCGCTTGTCGTTCTCGGTTACGCCGCGATGCATGGTTCACTGTATCAAGCAGATCTCAACCAATATCAATATCACCGTGTTGATTTATGCTTGACCAATTTGCGTATGGGCTAACCTCTCGCTGAATATTTTAGCTACCAGTGTCTTGAGGGAGTCACTAATCTTGCACACGACATGGCGAAGGCGGCCTGTTCCTCGATTGATTGTGCGATTGAGGACATCAACAGTATCGGGAGTGGTGAAACAACTCTGGACCTGGCCAGCTCAAATGCTACCAACACGATTCATGCCTCGAGTATACGCGACGACTGGTCGAGGCCGTCATTTGATGCATCACACCTACACTGGAAGACATTCAGAAAGAATGTCTTAGCACCACATCGGATACGTGTCCTCGAAGGTCCGCCTGGCTACCCTCTACCTCGTAGCCTGATTGCTCTTATACATGCTGCAGGGAATGACGTCGGCAAATTTGAAATGCAAAGACAAGGGTTTAGAGAACAGGTTGCTGCAGGTAGAGGATTTGGACTGTCACCCTCCTTCCCATCAAACTTACTGCCTGCCATAGACAACGAGCCAGCTCTCTCACGATGTGCATTCCTCAAGTTCAACGCAGAAGCATTACCGAAACGTCACAACGAGCACGGTGATCCACTATGTGAACTTTTTAAACCACAATCCGATCTCGGCTGTGGTTTCTCTCACGACGCTTTCGCAGGGCTCGAGGTCAGCAAGATACCATTGTACCTAGTGGCACATGGCACTATTGCTCGATGTAGTGTTGGCAAGACTCGTCCTGGTACTTCTCTGTTCTGCCCCTTTCTCATCTTTGAAAGAACCTTTGGACCAGGAGAAACCCGACTGGAGGTGGCCAATAATCAATGTGCGATAGCAGGTGCTTTGAGCAATAGCAGTATGCAGATGCTCTTTGCTCAAGTGTGGTCGTCATCCGAGGAGCCCTTTCCGGATCCGCCCGTCTCTTTTTCGTGCACAATCGATAACGATGTTGCGATCATCAACTATCATTGGATTGACAGCTCACTCGGCCATTGCACGTCACCAATATGTAAATTTGAACTTGGTGATAATGAGCATTTTCACCACTTCAATGTCTGGATTCAAGCCATCGAACAATGGGGGGCCAGAACACTTCTACCAGTAATCAAAAGGGCTCTATCATCGTTAGAGGAACGCAGTCGACCTCAAGTGGAGACTGAGTCGCCCTCTGGCAGGCCCGAGTTGAGGATCGACACGGTTCTGGAGGAGGATGCACTTATGACCTCGCTTCGTGACTCTTCTGCCTCACATTTCTGTTCTGTGGAAGACGACGACTTCACACCCGTAAGCAGCAGTGTTGCAGCCTGGGGTTCACCTATCATTAATGAGTTCTTCTACAATAACCTGCAATTTCACTCCATACCACGTCGGCAACATTCTAGTAGAACTTCTTCAAGATCTAATAACACGAGGTTTACGGGTGACCCTGCATCGATCGTTATAGCAAGAACACCCGTACCAGCGGCCTCGACGCAGCCGCGCGGCTTCGGCGTTTCAACGCCACTCACGCCGGCAGCGTTTACTTTCTCATCAACCAACAGCAATGAAGAGAGTATTTCTCCCCCGCCCTCGTACACAGGACTGGATACTGAGCTTGTATATCAGAAGCGTTTGTCTCACGCCATGGACGAAATACGAGACCTTCAAGATCAGCTGCAGCGTCTACGTCGAGAAATGAGTGGATTGACCACGTCCTATCAGAACGAATTGTCTGGGCTGAAGAACACAATCGACAAAGTGCTGCACAGGGTAGAGAGCCCGCCAAGCACGGCAGGATTAGTCTCGCCATCGAGTTCGGTAACGGCAAGTTCGACGACAACGACGATTTTCAATCCTCATCCGATCACCAATACGATAAATGCCTCGCTGACGATGAAGGATGTCTATACGGACCTTCAACACGCTCGTCAGTTGTCTCAAGCCACAGTCGTTACCACTCCCACAGACCCAAGGCCAAAGAATCTTCCTTGGGACCGCCAAAAGTCGCAGCGCGCCAGGTCATACTTACAGCAAGTGTTGACCGTTGACACAGAAGATAATCAAGCAGCGCCCGCAGATACCACCCGCAATGCTTCTGAAAACGAGGAACAAAACTTCAAGCCAATTCCTGTTGAGGTCGCCGCACCCACACGTTCACCCTTGAGTGCACGAATCCCGCAATTACCTCCGATACTAGGACCGATGTCAGCAGCCTCTCCCAGTCCAGCTTCTGTTATCAGGCCAGGTGCTTCAAACGCTCTCGAAAAGCCACCAGCTTCTCCAGAAACAGCTAACACACTCAGGTGGACGGCCATCCTCCTCGGATTACAGACACTAGGGACTTTCATTCCGAGCACAGTCCTGCGTATCGCTTTTCTGGGGCTTGTCACAGATTTTGCGTTATTGGCGCTTGCCGGTACGCAGTGGTCGAGCACGGCAGGACACATTCTGGAGTGGTTGAGGAAATAGAGGGTGATAGACGCAGCAACACAGATCACAGATGACGGATGAGTGTCCATAGATATGACTATCATCCGCAGACTTTGTAGCATCAAAGACAACGATTGACATGCAAACGTTCCGAACAAAGACTGTTGTCCCCAGATAGAATCGAATTGATGAAGAATTGTAGACCATCTATCTCTGTCCTGAAGAAGCCGGGACTTCCACCAGACTTCTCCTTGTCTCACCGAACAGTCCGCAACCACAACGAAACCTTTTCTCTCCGTCACTCAAACACATACATAACCTCTCAACTCTCATAATAAGGCCGACTACTCAACGCAACCGTATTATCCTCCAAATCAATCAACATCAACACATTCTTCAAGAACGGCTGCCCAAGCGCATTGTACAACGACACCTCATCAGCCATGACCGCCGAATCCGTCACAGCACTGTAACAAAGCTCTTCCTCAATATACTCCTCCGACTCATAATCATAGTACTCTACTTGTTCGCGAATGACGAGGTCCTCGGGGTTGATCGGGAAAGAGTCTCCAGCAATGGTGATGGCGAGAGGAGGGATGTAGGAAAGTTCGGTGCAGTTGAGTTCGTAGATATAGTGGTTGCGGGAGATGTCGTAGTAGTGGTCGGGAGTTGGGGTGAAGAGGTTGTTGTAGGACTTGGCGAGGGAGGGTGGGAAGAAGAGGAAGGGGAGGTTGGATTCGAGGAAGAATTGGCTGCTGCCGGCGCTGTTTGTGGTTGTGCTGTTGGGGGATGATGCCATGGGGATGAATGTTGTGCCTGCTGAGCGTTTTTGTGGAACGTGATGATGGGACTTACGGACGTGGTTCCAATCGGTTGGGGTGCTTCTGCGGGTACTGCTTGTTGTGGTTGGGGTGCTCAGATTTGTGAATACTGGAAGACTGACTCCTTCCACAGAGATGATGTATGATCGGATGGATTTGGTGTCGTCGGAAGCTAGCGGTTCGATTGGTACATCGGTGAAGCGGCCAGAGGAATTGATGCGCGCATCAGTAGTGTCACCAATCCCGCCAAATGTAATGCTGCCTCCATTCGAGCTGTTCGAGCTATCTCTGGAGAGTGCGAGAGTGATGTATGGGCGTGAGAGCCTTGAGGCGAGATTGACGCTTACCGAATCGTAGTTCATTTGGTTGCAAGTGTACTCTCCGTCGTAACCGTAAATAGTGGTGGAGGAATTGAATGGGCAATGGAGATCGTTAGTCCAGTCTGTGCCTGGAAATTTGGATGTCGAATTTCGAGGTGCAAGACCCAGGACACCAGAAGTGAAATTATCACCATTGGACCACTCCACCATGGACACGATGCCCATTTCTTGCATGAAGGTTGTATCGGATGTGAAGCTGAGCAAAGCTCGTGCCATTGGTCCCGCTGCGAAGTCTCCCAAGCCGAATCTTGCAAAAAGATTCACATCAGTAATTGAGGTGATAGTTGGGTCTGAAGTCTGGTTGAGAGTGCCACCTAGAGCACAGAAAGATTGTGGGAAAATGCTTCCATGATGGAAGCAGCTGAAAAAAGCATCTGCCACCCATGTATCTGCACTGCCAATATCGATCAGAAGATCGAACGATTGAGAGCCGACAGTGACGGGAATAGAGAAAAGGTCCTTTAGCTGACTGATAGTGATACCATCATCGTCCAGAGCTGCAGTTGAAGCTTGCCTTGCGCCTCGAAATGATCGTGATGCTGAGCTTGTTGATGTGCGCTTCGTCCGGTGAACCTTGAGGTCGACGGATTGACCTAACTCGCTCAGTGCAGATTTGATACTACGAGATCGGTGAGGGATGGAAGAAGCAAGATCGAGGCACGTACTCAACACCAGGAGTATGGGCGCAGCAGCAGAGAGCAGCATCTTGGCGTAAAGTTCGAGACCCTTATTGACTGAGTTGTTGATGCAGGAATAGATAAGCAGGACGAGAGAGGTCGACGTTCAATGCCGTTATATCTGCTGCACAATGAGTAATTTCAATTTACTTTGCAACGGGAGTGTTGGTTAATGGACATGCAACAAGTACCGTTTCGCGGGTCGCGGAAGCGATCTTGTTACCGTTGTCAGTAAACGTGGCTGGATCTCCGCAGAATGTAGCAGGGAAGACACTGTTGAGACGAGGTTGCCGGCAGTACATTGGAGGACATACAAATTTGTGAGTGGCAGAGGTACCAGAAAGCTCATAGTTGACTGATTGTTCCGGGGTCTGTGGCACCACATGTGCAGATAACCGAGTGAACCTGCAGCAAGATCTGTACGAACCAAATCTGAAACATCATGTCCGCAATATGGTGCGTGCAAGGATACCTACCGACGATGTGAGGAGCTTTGGCAGCCTTGGATCAGCGGTACCCGTGTTGCGTGTCGTAAATGGGATGCACGATGCGGGTTTGATTCCAGCATAAAGAGTGAATAGTGTGTGCTTCATCCTATTCGTTGGGGACTATTTGGAAATCCCAAACTTCTTCCTCATCTCAGGGGCACGCCTCAATGTTCTCTCAGTCATTGTGTCTCGATCCCAGATGTACGTGACACTCTTCTGGGCGAGCACAGCGGCAGCCCACTTGGAGTACGCTGGCAAAGTGTCGAGCCGTTCAGCGAATGACTTCGCAAGGATCTTGTCGTTCGAGAACTCGTGTGCACGAAGAACGAAGGGGGCAACAAGGATCTGTACTTCTCAGCGTCGTTCTGAATAGGTGGTATGACGAACGGGTTCGGTTGCGAGAATCACAGAAGAGCATTTGAAAAACCTGGTTCGCTGTACACGAAAGACTTACCTCAAACAAAGTTAGCCTTTCAGCACCACCAAAAAAGGGACCTTTTCCATGCCCGGTCACTTTAGCCAGCTGAGGTTCAATATGTGTCTTGATTGCCTCGAACGGATCGTCTGCCGCTGTAGGCACCTCATCCGTGCCAGCCATGACCTGTGCCCTCATGAGAGATGAATTGACTTTGTTCATCCAGGTATCAAGGAGCAAGTTGAGTGTATAGCGATGGTATGCTGACTTGGGGTCTTTCGCCACAGGGTATATGTGACCCGAAAGGTATGGGAAGGCATCAATCAGATAGTGAACCACTAAGGCGGACTCAATGACAGTTTCGGGCTCAGACGAAGAGAACACTGGATGTGTATGTTGGAGTGTCGGGACCAGTCCACGCGGGTTGCTGTATGACAGGATCAGCCGTTCGATCTCCTGACCTAGTAGTCTGAACTCACATTCTCAGATACCACTCATCTCTAGGCCTTTCCAGGTCTATGATCGTTTCCTCATAGTCAAGACCCAACTCTTTCACTATGATGTGGGCACGATGGGCCCACGGGCATCCGTGATTAGTGTACAAAGTTAGCTTTCCTTGCGAGTTGTCAGTAGCATCACCCATCTTTACGATTTGTCGAGAAAGGGCTGTCAGTCTGCGTTTGCTCATCGAGGAGAGACTCTTCGTTAACGAAACGTCTCATAAGAACGGAACGGAGCAGCAAGATCGATCACGACATCTGTTCATTCGGCATTGTATCGACAAGGATCGTGGAGTCCCCATGACGTGAATGGCCGATCGAAGATTGTGAGGAGCTCGAGATGAGGAGGAAGGAGCTTCACGTTTTGGCCGCTTACAAATCGAGGTCGCGTCACGCGTTCGGGAACGTGGGATATTTTCAGCACGCGTCCTTCGACCTAGCAGGTGCGAGGCACGAATTAAATGCACTGGCATGGCTGGAATAAATCTTCTCGAGTCAGAAAAAGCATGTCCAACCGCTGTGAGATAAGACTTATGTCATGTAGATGCATCTAAATTCTGTACATTTGTCGCTATATAGTCTGTGGATGACACTGTCTACTTCCAAGAAGGCGAAACTTACAAGATCAACCCAGCGACCGCGATGAGCAGGCAAGCAGCAACACTCATGATAGTGACTGGAGCCTGCTCAGCAGCTGCGCCTCCTGTAAAGGCTTTGACACCCTTGATGTCACTGACACCAGTAGCCGCGGCAACAGGACTTCCAGTAGCCCATACACTCCACGAGCTGGAATCAGATGCAGTAACGGGAGTAGAGCTGGCGGCTAATGGTGCTGCTTTGCCGGCATCGCTTGCTGCAGGCGTTGGGACAACAGTCATGGTAATGACAGGAGTGGCTGAAGATGCGTCAGAAACCTTTGCTGAAGCACTGCTAGAAAAATCCCAGCTGCTCCAGATGGTTTCAGTCACGGCTTGGGTGATTGTTGAGACCTTTGTCGTGGTAGAGCAGACAGGTGCAGCAGTAACCACAACAGCTGTGCAGCTTGAGGTAGCAATCCACTTAGCTGTCTCAACGGCGTATGTTGAGCAGCTTGTCGTGGTGCTAATTGCGGCAGTCGCGCAGGAGGAGGAAGTGATCGTTGTGGTTGTTGTAATTGTCTTGCCGTTTCCACTTCCATTGCCATTTCCATTACCACTTCCACTGCTGCTACCATTGCCATTACCGTTGCCTGTAGCGGGTGAGGTTGTGCTAGCACTAGACCATGTTGCCCACTCCGAGCCCCCAATCGTATAGGTTGGGGTGTAGGTTGAAGTTACTGTTGTTGTGCACTCAGTAGAGCTGCTGCTTGCAGGGTCGACTGGCTTCGGCGACGTTGTAGACCAAGGTGCCCATGTGTTGTCCGCAGTAGTGCTAGATGTTGGATCGACTGGCTTCGATGATCTTGTTGTCGATGAGCTTATTGACCATGGACCCCACGTAGAGTCAGTAGTGCTGCTGGTAGGATCTACAGGCTTGGACGAGGTAGAGCTAGATGAGGTGGAGCTCGAGGTTGGCCATGGGCCCCAGCCATTTTCAGAAGATGAGCTGGAAGATGTAGAGGAGCTGGTTGAGCCGGTTGTATCGATCAAGGATGTGGAGGATGAGCTCGGTTGACCACGTTGCGAGGTTGTGGTGGTGCTGCTCGTACTCTCATTAGAGCTAGAAGAGCTCGTTGTCGTGGTTGGTTGAGCTGTTGTGCTGCCAGAGGTTGTCGATGTGGTTGTTGTCCCTGAGCCAGTCGTCATCGTTGTGTTACCGAAAAAGTGTGAGAACGTTGTAGTCGATGTCGCGCTCGACCCACTCGTTGTGGCCGTAGTGCTCTCGCTTGTGGTCGTTATAGGACCAAACGGACGCGATCTTGTTGTGGTAGTAGTGCTAGGCGACTGGCTTGTGACGGGGGTGGTGCTCGATGTGCTCGATGTGCTAGTCGTAGAAGTAGTGCTTGTTTGGCTTGTGATAGAGGTAGTGTCTGAAGTGCTCGCCGTAGAAGTGGTGCTTGATGTGCTCACTGTAGAGATAGTGCTTGGCGTGCTGGTCGCAGAGGTAGTGCTCGATCTACTGGTGGCAGAAGTTGTTGAGCTGGTTGGACCGGCTGAACGCGTTGTGGTAGTGCTGCTGGTCAAGCTGGAAGTTGAGGTGGAAGTGGAGGTTGACTGTGATCGAGTAGTGGTCTATCGTCATTAGTATAAGTTGCTTTGGCGCAGAGATAACTTACAGTAGAAGCAGTCGCGGTAGACGCTGTGGTAGACGCTGTGGTAGAAGTCGCTGGCGTAGTAGTCGTTGTAGTCCTAGTTGTAGTTGTAGTCGTAGTCGGAGCCCTGGTAGTGGTGGTGGTGGAGGTCGAGCTCGAGGTCGTGGTCGTTGTGGTTGTGGTCTATACAGATCAGTCAGGCCTACGTTAGTTATATCTGAAAAACACTCACAGTAGTTGTGCTGCTTCTAGTGGTCGTCGTGGCTATAGTGGTCGTAGTCGTCGTCGTGGTAGCTCGAGAGGGGCACACCTCAAGGGCTTGCGCAATCTGACCAACATAATCGTTGTTACCCAAAGCAGCAGTCGCTTCCCAGACCATGACACCAGCAAAGAGAGGGCTGTCGCAGAAGTCCTTAAGCAATTTTGATGCATCAGTCTGGTCCAAGTACATGTATCCATCAACTGTTGCAGCAGGGGAGCCTGGCAGACCGATAAAGATCTGTGGCAGGTTGCTTGGTCTGCCGTGCGAGTTCGCAGTGAGCCAAGAGACCCAGTCATTGTACGAAATGTCTGTGCCGTAGGACTTGTCGAGGTGAGAACGGGCGGAGCATTGAGGAGTGTTGTAGAACTGGATGAATAGGTAGTCGAAGGAAGCGGCCATGATAGCAGAAGCGAGTGAGGCATCAGGAACGACACACTGAGGTGCAGCGGTAAGTATGTTGCTTGTGTAACCGTCACCATTCATCTTTTCTCGAAGTTTGTTTGCGAGCTGTCCGTAGGCATCACTTGCTGCTCCCTCAATGTCAAAGTCAAATCCATCAACGACAGCATTACCAAAAGGTCGGGGACCATCCCAACCTGCAGGCTCAGGTCCAAAGATCTGCCACAACTCGGTTGCCAATACGTCCACGTCTTTTGACTCGAGAATGTATGGGTCACTTCCATCAACCTCGCCGCCAATAGAGAGGAGAATCTTCTTTCCCTTGGCCTGGCAAGCTTGAATCTGAGTACTCCATGAACCCACGTCGCAGTACATGTACATCTTGGTGTCCTCGTACAACGGAGTTCCCCAACACTGGTTGCCGAAATTCCAGGAAGGCCACCCGTTGTTACCCTTCATGCTTGGGAAACGATTCACGAACCCAACTGGTATAATGTCGATGTTGTCATCGTTGCAAAAATTCTCAATGTCCAGCTGATTTTCTCCCTGTCCATAGTATACAGCGATTTTGGGTGCTGAGGTTCGCCTGGCGATCTTCGTTTCGACAGGCACGGCAGAGACGATGGTAGTGAGCGTGGAAGCTGCAAGCGCAGCAGCAGTAAGAAGTGAAAACATTGTAAGCAAAGAAAGAGTGGCTGGGCAAAAGATACCCGATTTTGTTAAAAGACTGGACGGCAGACCAAAGGCTGCCAATGCAAAAAGAATGCGCAACAGAATCGCAGTGTGGGAAAAGATACGGAAAGAACAACAACCTACCTTAAGAGGGAACACACCTCGAAGCAATAGCCCCGTTGTGAGATCCACCGAGGCATAGCGTCGATACTCACAAAGCTAGTCAGGTATAGACAGCAAGTGCTTCTGGTCTCCGCAGATCCAGGACGCTTGCTTTTGCTTAAGAGTGGTGAGCATGGATGATCCTCACTAAGCTTGTCCATGTCTGTCTGTCCTCGAACTATTGCGAAAGGACTTGCCTGCAGTGTCCATTGAGTGATCAGGGACAACATGACTTTCGTGTCGTCGGCGCAGGATCTAGCTTGCTCCTGGCGCAAACTGTGAGATCAGATGGGAAGAGCAACCAGGTTGGACGCCACAAAAAGAAGGGGATGAAGTTGGGAAGGATGAAGTTGAGATCAAATATAGATGGTTCCACTTGTGGATGAGAGTAACCCAGATCCGGCACAGAGTCGGCACGCTACACCTTTTATGGAAGTTACTGCGAGTCAAGCGCTGTCAGGGGAAATTCGCTCTTCTGTGATGAGTCAACCGCACAACGACGACAGCACGCCTGGGATTTTTTTCGTGATGGATGGACGCACAAATCTACAATCTAGAACAAGAGAAGCACTAAGTAAGCCGAATGCGATGAGTGCGCTGCGAGGCTGACACCTCCACTGCATCATGATGGGGTATTTTGGATGGTGATTTCCGTACGTGGCACGTCTGAATCGTGCAACATCCGATACATTGAGTCTTATCAGATCTTGCGGTTGTTGCGAACAGATTACCTCGAAGCGATTGACGACTATGCCAGAAGTCCGCCTACTCAATTTCGATCGTGCAATACTGTACAACGTGGATGGAGGTACCCACAAATCCACAGTGCTGCATTCACTTCAAAAGCAGCATTTTAACGAAGACCAGGATACTTTTGCAAACTTGATATGGTGCAATAGTCTGCTCAGGAGACCAAGGCCTAGGGCAAATGTGAGAACAACTTGAGAAAGGCGATGTGATTGTCTGAACACCTGAAACATCTAGCCCGAAGCTAACCTGCCGAAGGCCGAGTTCAACAGATATTGGTCCATACCGATAACGACAAATAGGATATGTATTTGTCCAGTCACTGGACGCATGATTCTGCTAATGGGAATTCGTCCGCTGAAACCAACTTAGATAGACCTGCGTCACTGGTTTGACACGCAGCAAGCATGAGTAATCGAAACTGTTAGCCAACGTTTTGAGTGCCCTCAGGTCGTCGGGTGCAAAAGCAATAGCCAGCAAGTTCTCATGCAACTACTCCCCATGTCGTCCGTAACATCAGCTTCCCATACCTAGTGATTTGCTGCAGAAGTCCCCTGTAAGGCGTCTCGAATGAGAGGCGCAACCTGCTTCCGGCTTCTTGTAGTATCACCCATCCACCATACTTTCCAGAACTTATCACCGATCTTATTGTCAAGCAGACTTGAGAGTTCGCGATCTTCGTCCCATGGCTGTAGTTGCAGAACATCTGCGTTCTTCTCAAACACGTCGATAGCTTGAGCCCCGTGCTCTCCAAAAGTGAAGAAGGCGACTTCCTTGCGAACACCAGATCTGGTCAACAACCCAAATATCTCGAGTTGCTTGTCGCCCTTCTTAGCAAAGGTTTCAATCTCGTTGATCAGGTTTTGCTTGCCTCCTGCGTGCTGCGACAGCCACTCAAGATCTTGTACGACACTTCCAATTCCGATGAATAGCTGCTTTCCATCTTGCGGTCGTTCCAGGTACGATTTGTAATCTCGATTGAATATCTCTTGCATATGGAGTAAGTTCAAAGACTCCGATTTTGCTGTCTGTACTTGTTGGAACAAGTCTTCTCGATCGAAATCGTCCCCTGTTTGCGGATCCAGGAAGGCAACCTGATCTCGATCCACATCAGAAACTCTGTCGCCAGGAGCTTTCAAGTCCCAGGTATCGATCAAGATGGGTGTCAGTGCTAACCTCGATATCTGTCTGAACCCTGGCAAATTTTCATGATCCTTGTCTACGGTCCATAGATTGATATTACGTAGGTGTTGAGTGACGAGAGATTGACAGCTGCCAATGCCCAAGCGTACGATCCGTGGTTTGGCTTCTCTCGGCACGTAATCTTCTTCGACGTGATGATCTATGCATCCCACCATGTTGAAGCGGTTTTCGATGTCTTCTTCATTGATAGACTCAATTGAGGGCGCGTTGTGATCCACAAGGATAACGTCGACCTTGTCCGTCGATTTGGTAGTAGTGAAGTGGTCGGATGGTGCAAACGCTTTCTTCAGAGCTGGTAGTGTCTTCTCGTTGTTCGCGAGCTCGTGTATCGTGATCAAGTTTTCGAGTAGTGTCTTGTCGCGCTGTTGCTCCCGAGCCTTGACCTCCGTTGATGGTCCATCTTCAGACTGAGGCGTCAACCCATCAACGGCACCCCGAACAGCTACTCCTAACTCTGGTCGAAGGCGCCATAGATCGCCTGTATGTATGAATGGCAAATTCAGCACCGGCACGTATATTGGGTTTCTGTGATGTTTGGACGCGTTTGGCCTAGCATTATAGAAGTAAGAAAGCGTGAAAGCGCATAAAATGCTGTCAAGATCGCAAGATGGGTTGCCCAGTATTATTGTTACGTCTCTGTGCTGGGTCTGAGAGAAGACTACCTTCCTGATATTGGTCAGATAAGTGATGATGTCTTGACCAAGATGAAAGTTTGGAAGCCGCATTTCATCTTCATCCATAAGTGGCAGTTGCATCTCAGACCTTCGGGTTAAAATATCGGACTGGAAAATGGAGCGCGGTTTTGGAGTCGGAATATTTATCCTCGCTCGTTTCGAGCTTCAAGGATTGTCTGTCTCGATTGGTCAGGCTTGTCCAGGGTTGGTCAGCGCTCGCTCCACGGCGACTACAATGTTTAGTACGATGAAAGGATAGTGCAAAAGATGCGGTTGCGAAAAGGCTGGGCCACACGAGCAAAGTTATAGATCGAAGCTCGAACTTCAAGGTCAAGAAACTGCTCTACGTCATCTGGGCTTGTACCGCGACTACTCAGCTCGAGTATCTTTCGGAATACCTGCTCGTTTTGAATATGTCACTTTGATGAGTGACAGTGCGTTTGCTCTGAACATAGCTGGTAGTACATTGACTGCGGTATCTCATCTACCAAGCAATCTGGCCAAATAGTGCTAGTCTTTCTCGTGTATCTGTACATTCATGCTGTCTAGTAGGTCAACTCCAGCCTCAAACATATAATTTTCGTCGTGGTCTTTTAACTTTGCAATATTGTGTCAACATCACCAGGAGGTTCAGTAAATCTTTGACCCATATAAGCACGCCCCCGGACGGTCTGCTCGTCAGGTCCAGCTCGTGAAGGAAGGACTAGACTTCACTTCTGTTTTTAGTCCATCCTGATCGTCGATCCATCTTGGTGAATGCCACCTCTAAAGAGTTCACGAATGATCTTCCCGTGCCCAATCGTCTGTTCCACTATACCTTCAACGTGTTTCGGCTCAACTCTGCCATACCAGATACCCTTCCCGGCGAGGGGAGACATACCTACCTCCTGTTCTTCGGGAGAAATGGCTTCATCGGCAGGCAGAGCCAGAGGCTCGGTTTGTCCAGCCACCACCTTGTCTCGAGGCTTTGCCCCCCTGGCTCGTCGCTCCAAAGCTGCGAGTCGGTAATTTGGTGGTATGTAGACTATCACGTTCCCAGCCCACTTGTGTCCACCAATATGCGATATCATGCCCACATTGATCGGATGCTGGTCACCGTGCTTGATGTCTATTGCATCTGGCCGAAAGATAGGATGAGACGCAAAAGACACGACTGCTTCATTATCCTGCCCGTTGTGCTTTACATCGTCGGACGTCACTTGGCTTCGGAGTGTATGCCTCTTATTGATGTACTGCACAAACTCAGAATGTAATAGTGGTCCAAGCATGCCGCAGCGAGTGTCTCTTGAATTGTGACTGCATATCAATATAGTGGGTGTAGAAATTGGATGCATATTTTCAGACCAACTTGCTGCGGCAGGAGTGTTTCGCTCTCGTTCTTCCCTTCCCATTGAACTTTCTGCGGAAGCGTCCGGCGACACGAAAGCTTCCAAGAATTGCAGGATACTGGAGCTCTCGGGCTCAATGTTGCTGACCATTTGAAAGGAAGGAAAGAGGATGGCTTGCGGAGGGTTCGGAGCTTGGCTGTCTGAAGTGCCAAAGGAGGAAGTACTCACAATGACGTTGCGGTATGGCTGAAGCTGGTCATCAGTCACACTCACAGAGAAACCTCATCGAAAGAACTTACATTGTGGAAGCGGCCCTTTGGTCCAAGCATTTCCTTTATCTGGGCTACCACTCCGCCCCAAGGAGCAGTATCTTTCTCATCCTCAATCTTGCTTTTCCAGTCCGCCAAACCTGTAGAGACCAAGATCTGCTGAGAATAGGCAGCCATGGTTCCATTAAGATCTTTCCCTCTTTCAATATCCAAATCGACTGGCATATCTGCACATTCGCAACTTGGAGCTGGACATTTTGGAACCACAGGAATTTGGGACGTTCGCTCCAGCTTTTTCTTTTCAACATATAGATGTTGACGAATAGCATGCTTGACATGTTTCGACTTGCTGCCAGTTTTGCCGCTTTCTTTCAGCCAGCAGGGCGAAGCGCGAAAGGCAAACATCTCCAAGTGACCATGGATAGCCTAGCCACTGACGAAGGAGTGATGAGAACAGGTAACGAATACATCGTTGATGATGTCTAAGAACTGTCTGATCGCGTTGTGTCTCGAAGTTTGGAAGCAGGAACTGAATGACGTCGTCGTCCATGTCCGTCTCGGGCCCGTCTGCTCCGTTTGCTGTCCGCAGTACTCGTAGGAACTTCTCAGATGTACGGGAATGGGAGCAGATATATGCCTTGTACTATCGTATTGACATGCTTGTTCTTTCTCGTAGCTCCAAGAACCTGACACAACATCAACTAACGATGATAATAGGTGGCCTACGATCTAGAAGGTGCATTCGGTTCTATTCAAGGCCATGATGGCCATGTGCAAAATAGCATCAATATTAACAATTTAAATTCTTAGTCTATTGCGCAAATCACGTCCGTGTCCCAGATTTGTCGTGTTTGACATATGTAGCAAAGAGGACCATGTGTAGTGTCCGTGACCTCCCTCGCCTGCCTAGAGACGCCCAAGTTGCCCATACTCATCACATCCGTAAGCTTCTCACAGGGCGAACTTCCGTCAAATACAATCGTTGGGCCATCATAAGCGTTGATCCGATCTGACGGAGTCATGTTTTGCCAGATCCACCAGATTCGATCAATTTGAGCATGGTGCAAATAGAAGGCTGGTTCAGAAGGAGAAACGAAGAAATTACCACCTGGATCTCCGCCAATTGTGTAATGGCCAGCAGAATGGACACCATAGAAGCCAACCGGGAAGCCGTCCTGCATTTAATGTTGGAACTGCGTGATTGTTTGGTAGTTCTTGATCAAGTCGAAGGACTCCTTGTCGGTTGACCATTCTTGAGACACGAACGGCGAAATGCGCCTGCGTAAACATCGCAGATTGTGGGCGAAGGACGAATCAACTGCTGTCGAGCTACCATCGCCGGATCGGAGACCAGAGAACTGTGGCCAAAAAAACGACGGTATGGTCCTTGAATGGACCTGTTTTGACACAGCCACCATCTCTCCAGAAGAGATACAGTTCATGCCGTTTCCAAGCGCATCTGTGCACCTATGCTCGGTAGTTTTCCCGTTACCGAACATGCTATACTCACTGCCATTGAAGAGGGGTGAATTCACTGGGTCATGAGCATACTCTAGTAAGGCTGAAAGCCGCTGTACTCACGCACATTTCCTAGTGCTTGCTCGAGGTTCCAGGTGAATAGCCTATGCCATGCCAAGCAGCTAGCATTTGCGGTAACCGACCATAATGCCACATCGCGGTGCTGCTAGAAATATCGATCGTATGGATACTGAGAACGACCAACATACACCTACATGGACCAAGATGCCGGAGCGACGGCATGGAGCAACTTTCTCGGCTGTTCAAGGCTCTTATTCGTCTATGTCATGACCTGACAAGCACGAAACCTCCGACGTGCCGACATCAGAGTGCTCTGTCGGTTTTGGTCGTTACTTAGAGGCATGAGTTTATTCGTTGTATTCTATAACCACGTCCCATATCGAGTGGAATAAAGAGGTCGGAATATCTGAAGAGTCATTTGCGTAGGTCAATTTAGCAAGTACGTCACACACAGCCAATGATTCAATCAGAGAGATTCCACCATCTCAGACGAAGTCCAAATATCACCCAGATGGAAGACAATGTCTTATTGAGGTAAATCAATGGTCTGAATAGCAGTCAGCAGAGGTCTCGAGTCCGTAGATAAACGCAAGACCCTGTGTACGTCTTTGACTCTCTTTGGAACTGGATCACGTCTGTCATACTATTCAATATGAAAATGCGACCTGAACGAAGGACGACATTATAGGTATAGGTGTTGCATGAAGGCTTATAAATGAACATGCGAGATGAAAGACGTGCCTCTCGACTCCGCAAACACCATACCAAGGGCCGAAACGGATGTGTCAACTGTAGGTACCGCAGGGTCAAATGCGACGAGAACAAAGACGGATGCAAAAGGTGCCGAGACTATTTGGTGAGTTGCCGATACGGTGGTCAAGATGCTGACCTACAGGTGCTCGGTGAGATGGTCTTCACAACTTTTGACATTAGTCCTCAGGCTTGCCGCGTAGGTGCGCCCGACAGGAACGTTGACACGAAGAGCTTTCCTCTGGTGTGCAGTCCATCAAACGATCCAAAGCATGCCGTCTTACTTCGTTTCAAGAATCGTACAGCACTATCGCTCGGCAACGCTCAGACCAGGCTGGCCTACGCTCGAGTTGTCCCTGGGCTAGCATTGCGGTACGGCTTCCTCTTCCATGCGGTCACAGCAACTACCTTGCTACACGATCGGGCGTTGACGGGAGCCCAAGTCCCTCAACATGACGAACTTCACCACCTCGGCCAAGCAGCCGCGCTGCTCAACCATAGATTGTCTACCAAGATCGTGGCTGCCGAGCGAGACGCAATATGGGCAACATCAGCCTATCTATGCGCCTCGACCATTTTCAATATAAGTACTACGGTCCCACAGCACACATGGCCGCTCGAATCGTCCAACCAAAACAGCCTAGAATGGCTCACAATGCAAGCTGGTCTCAGAATCGTCTGGCAAATGACCGAGATGAACAGACAGGACAGCGCATTCAGCCAAATCGAGCCGACCACTCCACCTTCCTCAAACTGCGTTCACCCGACCGAGCCCATACCAGGCATCAATGGAATTCTACCCATCTTAGTCACTTTGTGCGGACTGGACAAGAACAGCACCGGCGAGAACAACCCCTACCACACCGCCGCAAGTCGATTGACGACACTACTTGCCGTGCCAGGTACACCCGACAATGTACTTACTTTTATGGTTTTTGCAGGAGGCATGAAGAAAGAGTTCCGAGCTCTACTACACAAGAAAGACCCGAGAGCTCTTCTGTTGCTGGCGCTGTGGTATTCCAAACTCTTTCATTCGATGTGGTGGGTAGTGCCTAGGGCGAGGTTGGAGTGTCAGGCTATTTGTCAGTACTTGGGAGAGATGAGGGTGCAGGAGAGGGGTTTTCAGCAGGTGCTGGGAGTGGTCCGAAAAGCTAGCGAGACGTTGGAGTTGACTTGTGTTGCGGAATTGGTGGACCTTTTACCTCGCTTGCCGGTTGAGAAAAAGGTGGCGAATGGGCCGACGAGCATGAAGGTGGAGATGTTCTGGGATGGCTATTGAGGCCTAAGAACACGCGTCGGAAGAGGCGAGGGTATCATACTGAAAGAGCCTGGTTATTGGCACCTTGAACATCACCTGTTTGTCCGTGCAATTTGTCAGATAACATGGTATGTGCACTAGGATACCTCTCGAGACCTCTACCCCTCCCTCGGCAGCTCTCCTGGCACACTGAAGCTCAAGTCTCCGTTACTCGACTTCACCACGTCCTCAAAAGCGCTCTGGAACATGATATAGGTCATCTCATCAGTATAATTCTTCCTCGAATAGTCAGCCGCTTCCTCCGCCACTTTAACCGTCTGAATACCCCTCGCAGCTGCAACGGTATCAGCAAGCATCTGTGCCTGGATGCAACGATCGAAGGCGCCGAAGAGAAATGTTGCTGCATCGACGGTTTTGCCTACTGTCAGGTGGCCATGGTTGCCGAGAATGACGGCTTTGTGAGGGCCGAGAGCTTTGACGATCTGTGTGCCTTCGTCTTTTTTGAAGGCGATGCCACCGTGGTGGAAACAGATGCTGTGGTCGTTGTGGAAGCTGGGATGTGTCAGATCTGGTACTTTAGCAAGGAAGCGGTTCTGCCGTGCTTACCGGCATGCGTCCTGGTTAATCGGATCGAGCTTGATGCCTAGTGATGAAAAGGCCTTGCTGGGCACAGAGTGGCAATGCACCGCAGCGATGACATCTGGTCGAGCCTTGTGGATAGCGGAATGGATTACATATCCAGCTGGGTTGATGGAATGCATGTTGCCTCCTTCCTTGACCACACCTTCTTCGTCAACCAGGCAGAGGTCGTCCTGTATGCTTGTTAGCTTCGGCTAGAGCTAATGTTGCCAATGATCTACCTACAGGTCGCATATGGCTAAACGACTTCCCGTGTGGGTTGATCCTAGATTTGGCCTTAGCATCTTCTGATCACATCGCTCCTACCGAGCAGTTGAAGTTTACACACCAGAAGTGGTCCGGCATAACAGGATCCCTGACAGTAACGTGTCCACCTGCATCTTATGAGAATGGTCGTTACATTCACAGAGTGCATAGTTGCTCACCTGCTCCTTCATTGTTGTAGCCATTGAGCCCAAGCCATCGAAGAGCTGCTGCTTGGTGTAGCTTCCTGTGCGCTCGTTCCGCCTCTAATGACTCGAACCTTGGAACTCGTATTTTATGGACTGGTTTGGCCTGGTCGCCACCCACAACAGGGTATACACCGAAACGAAACCCGGGCATGGTATCGTGTGATGGTGCTACCGTTGCCATATCGCGTCGTGTGTGCACGATTGCTGGGACATATGGTGGTCGACACGACTTGGCGACAGCTTTTGCAGCGACGGATGCCCGTCCAAGTAGCGACGACATGCTTGCCTTGGTCGTTGGTTCTTGGCGGTGATATATCTCCTCACTTTTGGTAGTGTTTCAACATTGAATATCAACCCTTTCTCTGTGCACGAGGTCCTGGTTAGAGCCTTACAGCAGGTTGACGTGCGGGGATCATGTTGACATTGCCGACACCCGTCTCCCATATTGCTGCACGAATCGGTGAAAGATGTGATTAGCCGAACCACTCGGGACGATGTATTTCTGCAAACGCCAGCCTTATGAATGTACTTGTACAGCAATATAGCAGCACACCTCTCTGCTGTTGCCGGGCTGCTTTTGGGTTCTAAGATTGCTGTAGTGAGCTTGGACATCAGTAGTCAACAAAAATTGTGAAACGATCACGCCAGCCATACTCGCAGAGTGTACAGTCAGTATTAGTATGGAGCAGCATCACTGGCCCGCGTTGTGTAGTAGGGCACACTACCATGGTCTTAGAGACAAGAGGGCTCACTGAAGCATTCATCCGATACACGTGGCTCAATCGCTGATAGTTGGGTCACTCCCGAGCGACGACCAGCGATCGCTAGAAATGTGCAAGCTTAGCGAAACTGTTCCGCAAAAAGAAGGGTTCGATCTGACTAGGTATTGTTTGCTGTCAGAAATGTATTGAACCTCTCCAATGCACCCATAACCTATTCCGCAGGTACTTGGTAGTTTCCCTGATTCACGCCTGGCGATGAATCGAGTGGTGGAAGGAACGGCGACGGGTTCCAGACACAAGTCGTGGAACCCCCAAATTTGCGCCACAGGATTTGTTTCATATTCCATCAGTCATGACGTTATCGAGTAAGAGTGGTTTCTGATACTTTGATGAAGCTGAAGAGCTCCAGCTCATTGATTGTCCATGTTCAACAATTCAGCAGGAGTAGGGGTTGGTATGTATGATTTATCCGCTTTGTCTACGAAGTGACGATATTCCAGGATTAATGTTCTCCCAGCCGGAAGTACTCGTAGGGAGCTCGATGCGAGAGTGACACTGTTCCAAAGTCTCGTTGAGCTCAGCCCCTTAGAATGAGCATATTGGCCTAGCCTGTAGAATGTTTACAAACGTTCTATCGCTGGACTCAAGTTCACATCTAAGACTGACCGTCAAGCCGGAGTTGTGTTCACGCAAGATCGGCTAACTGAAGCTAGAGCAGTCTGGGATCGGAATCCGGTTGTGTGCCAATTGCGCTAAGATCTGTTAGCTTTAGTACTAAGTCGTTTATCGGTGATTACTCACCTCGTGGCCGTCCTTGACTTTTTCCCGAGTGCTCGTGTCGCAAAATCGTGATCGCTCCTGCCAAGTCTTCTCCAATATCAGATCGTTATTTCTAAGCTGCATATTATCGTGAGCCTGAGACTCGACGGTAAATTACATACGTTTCGTTCTAGAAAAGAGTCTGCCATGATAATTGTGGTCACAGGCCGTCAAGTCCACCATCTCTGGTAAAATCGTAGAAGCTTTCCGGTGTTCACTAGCGCATTTATCACGAGCTTGCCCCTATCTAAAAAAGATGGGCTTCAACCATCTTCTTTCCACATTTCGTACGCTAGATGCGTCTTCATGTCAACTTTGGACACCAACGTGGCGCTCTAGATCTAAGCCTCATCAACTTCGTACCATAACGAGGAAGGTCTTATCGACGGTTCAGCCTCGATTCCACACTCGTGGACCCACGTGTCCGCCTGCACGCGCTGGCGACGACACGAACTACTCACCACTTCAACGTTGATGGTCCGCTTTCAGGCCTGACTCCTATAACACGTATACAATGAGCTTCCTGACTCCGTACCTAGGGAAAGCCACCGAGCTTAGCACGAGAACGTCGTGCTGTGTCTCCAAGGTAAGTTCTTTTCGACTGCCACTACTCTTCTCTTTCTCGATACACCAACCGTCAATGCGTTGTCACTGAACAGCGCGTCCTTTCCTTTCATTCTCGTCGTTCTTTACCATAGCTGTTGCCTTTAGCAACATGCTGCCACTCGTTTCTTTCTTTGCTTTCTCTGCTTCTCTGGCTGCTGCCTCGATCGACCAGCTCCAACCGCGCGATACTTGCTCTTGCCTCAGTCCCGCTGCCCAGACCTTTGCGAATAGCGCCGCAGTAACCGATGCTGCCAACAAGGCTACCACTCCGACCGGATATACGAACACCGGGAGCAATGGCTCTCAGTGGGCTACGGGAGATGGATGTTTAGGTTTCGTGGATATCGACGATTACGACAGTAATGCTTGTGCTGGACTTTGCGATACCATTACAGAATGCTCAACCTTTCAGATCTGTAAGTAGTCACGGCGAACCTGGATGCTGCGCGCTAATTCGTCAGATTATGAACAAGCTGCCTCCGGAAACCTACAGGCAAAATGCTCTTTCTGGGGTGGTGTAGTGGATTCAAACAGTGGTAGCATCATCAGTAACGCTATCGGTGCTTGCAACACATATACTAATTCCAAGGTCGTTCCTCCTTCCGGCTTCGATACTCCAAAATGGTACGGCGGTTCTGCTTTTGACCGATCTTCCGGTTCAGCTGGTGCAGCTTCGTTTATCGGCTCAAAGGTGTTCCCAGGTGGCTCTTACGATACAACAAGGTGTGCGGACGAGATGACAGCACGAAATGGTTCATTCTACAATACATACCTCGTTCACGACAACAAGGCTGGTCAACAGCAGTACTGCGATGTATACTCGGATGAGCTACCACCATCTGCCGCAACATATACAGGCAGCACAGGTAACAAGGGCAACGCTACAATTTCGAACAGTTTCGCATGTGGAAAATCCAAGGTTGACGGTTCAAAGGCTGGCAGCTGGTATGACTGGTCGTCCAAGCCAAGCAACTCGTCTAGTACCTCGTCTAGCTCCACATCGTCGCGAACCATTCCAGGAACCTCCAGCAGTGCCTCTGCAATCACTACTACGTCGGCTACTCAGTCTACCACTGCACGCAGCTCGTTCACCGGCCGACCACATAGCCAAAGCACAGATTCGAGCTCGTCAGCCGATGCTACCTCGAGCACGTTCACCTATACTCGAACATCCACAACGACCGAGTCCGGGGACGTGACAACGAGCTCTTCTGGAGAGCCAACGACCACTGTGCCAGGAGTGGTTACCACTACCAGCTCCCACGGCTTCTTCTTTGGCAACACAACTAGCTCGACTATAGACGCAACCACCACCACCACATCTGCCTCAGCAGACGTCGCTCAGCCTGCTACGACTACGACTACCTCAGCCCACATTGTTCCACCTGTTGGAAGCAGTTCTACAACGGCCTCGGCAAGCACGACCTCGTCCGTTTTGGATGCACCAGGCTCTACTACGACGACTACCGCTGCTAGCACTGTTGCCACTTCATCGGGATTCGGCCAACCTGCGGTCGATGGTACTACCACTGCGGGTGCAAGCAGCACGACTCCAGCAGTTCTGAATGAACCAACCTCTACGACAGCTGCTGCCACTTCATCAGGTATTGCACAGCCAGTTGCAGGTGGCACGACCACTACAGGTTCAGACAGCACGACCACTACAGGTTCAGACAGCACGACCACTACAGGTTCAGACAGCACGACCACTACAGGTTCAGACAGCACGT